CTGTTTTCCCAGTTGGCTTTGCCTCTTTCTGACCATCCAGGGTTGCGAAGGCCATCTTCGGTTGCTTCTTTCCAGAAGTGAGTGCTAGATCTCCACGGCGGCTACGATAATCGGCAATAACCTCATGAAACGTAGCAGTCGTGTTCATACGAAGCTCACGTCGCCATCCCGAGCAGAAGGTGTCATCTAGCCCCTGCACAGCATCTAGGAAGTCACGAATAGCATCATCTTTCTCAATACAGTCAGGAACCTTGGCAGCTTTTGCCTCCTCATATAAGCTTTCCCACTGTGTGAGCCACTGATCAATGCTAACATCTCTCGCAGGTTGCCTGATCATCAATCTCCACGCACGTCGGAGCTCCTGTCGTCGATTCTCAGGCTTTGGCTTGAATGTCTCTGCTAGTTTCAATAGCTTCTTCCTTGGAGTTTCCTCATCGACAATAAGATAGTGAAACTCAGTGGCTACTGAACGGGTAATAAGGCTATTCACGCGCGCCATAGCCTTAACAAGCCGCTGTCGCTTTGTTTCCTGCCGCTCATACAGCTGTATCTGCAACTGCCATCTCCTTAACTCATCATCAGTGAGGTCCATGATATCCTTCTCTCTACCGCGATGGTCCACGGGCATCATAGGTTCCCGATGTGCGATTGGAAGCTGTTCAACTTCTTCGTCCGACTTCTCGAGGTCAAGATAATTCCACACATCTTCAGATATGGCTGCTGACCTGATATGTCCTATCCAGATCCTCCACTGCGATTCCGCCCGTAGTTTCTGATCGGGTGGGATCATTGCCATCTCCTCTCTTTGTGAATCGGCCATCCTGTCTTCTCTCGCGATGATACTGATACTGTGCTGATACTAGGTTCAAGGGTACGGGATTGCTGCGTTGAGCGCGGGGCGAGGTTCCAATTTCTCGCGTGATGCGTGCGTTCAGGGGTATCCCGATCGTGCGAATCGCTGCTGCAGTGCTGCCAGGGGTGGTACGCTCGCAGTTACACGTGTGCGGCGCGGCTAACCGGGCTCATAACTGTCAGGATGTCGGATACGTGTATCATCTAGTATCGAGGGACGGCCAATTGATGCATGAGATGGATTAACGAGAGTGTGTCTGTGTGTTCCGATCTGTTGAAAATGATCCAGGGGCTATAAACTGCGTATTACATCACAGTTCTTCCGAGAATGACCCGAATTACCATACAATTACTATTGCAATGTGGGTGGATGCTGAATAACCAAGAGCAGTGGAGAATCCACAGTATTTTACCTCTCAGAGTTGACAGTTCGTGCTAGCGCACCTGCTCTACAAATCGAGATAGCCTGGCCGATAATTAGTTAATGTCGAGGGTGGAGCAACAGAGTCCGCCGGAAGCGGGTTCAATTAAGGTTCGTGCTAGCGCACCTGCTCTACAAATCGAGATAGCCTGGCCGATAATTAGTTAATGTCGAGGGTGGAGCAACAGAGTCCGACGGGAGCGGGTCCAATTAAGGTTTGTGCTAGCGCACCTGCTCTGCATATCTAGTTAGCCTGGCCGATAAGTAGTTAACCTGGCCGATACGTAGTTAATATCGAGGAAAGTGGGATCGTAAAATATACGCAGAATGGTTTAATTTCACTTGTGTCGTGGTTCCTTTGTTTATGCTAGGGATTCTTGACACTCCGAGAATCGCGACTTCCGACCCCCTTCCCTACTTATATAAGCAGGACGTCCTAACATGTCCTCGCATCGTGCGCTCTTTTCATCTTTTCTTCGACTAATTCAATTCAACTCATCTTTGGAATTGGTTCCCTTTGGTCCATTAGCCCATATCTCAGACCAAATCTCGATACAATTCGATGAGGTTACTTTTCGCGCAATCCCTCTCACATATAGAACAATTTTGGCTGCATGACTTAACCTAGCCCAGTCATTCAGTTTCCTTACTAAAAGTAAAGCGTATGGACCTCTATATAAGGCTGGTCAGTAATCCCAGTTCGTCAAACTTATTAACCTCATTTCACGTAAATTCACCTTGCAAATACTCTCGAATTGGTCTAAATTAGCGATCTGAGTTGAACACTTGAATAGGTTGCCAGAATTGACTGTCAGGATTGGGATGGCCGGTCTAGGTAAATTCTGGTGGCTAATTCAGCGGTAAATTGACGATGTGAACTTTTTCAAATTGATCCATATGAAGTTAGACGGGCGTCTGAATTCACCCGAGTTGGTCAAACTTACATGCTGAATTGGCCGCTCGAATTGGTCTCCAGAATTGATCTCAATATTCGATAGATAAGTTGGAGTGGAAAATCCTCCATAGGCTATATTCTTAGTTGTTACCGTCATTTATTGCTTCGACAATAGATTGTAGTGGTAGCCTAATGCGAGAACCGCTCTAGGCAGAAGGCAGCTACAAATCGCTGCGCCAACGCGCATAGTTAGAGAATGATCATCACATTTGTGCCTCAATTTAGAGTCTCAACTCGCGAGGGCTCGCGGTAAATGATATCACACACTAACATTCCTTTAATGTATTATGCGCTATCGTCAACATCTTGTATCAAACACCGCCAATTATTGAATAGCTTGAAACACCCTACAAGTCCCTCTTCCAGCACGTTATGCGGGTGCGCAAAAACCATTCGAAGCCGCCCAGGTTCTTCGGCGGCATAAATAGACACAGCCGCAATGTCAACTCTCTTTTTTCGGAGCCTGGCGAGAATATCCTTATATCTTCGTGGCCGAGATGTTACCTGCTTGAAAACTCGAGCCAATTGGTGGTAGGGACCGCCAAGGCCATAGTTGCCAGCTTGTGCAACCTGGCTATCTTGGCATAGTCGTGCATAGCATAGATAGGATCGCCCAAGTCAGATTTACTTGATAGAAATAATTGACCTGGTAATTTGCAAGTAGGAAATGTGAGCTGCATTTAACCCCATAAACTAGCTGTAGCCCCACTGACTCTGCGCAAGTACAGTATCACCACATCAGCACCACCAACTAGCAGTCGTTAGTCTATCTAACTGGACACGCACTATCCCCTTAACTCCAACTGCTGATCCAAAAGGTCCGCAACCTGCACCTCCATGCCTCGAAACTCAATCCCTAGCTCTCGGTGCGCCCTAGTTGTATCAACATCGTAGCCTAACGTATCCAACGGAGGCAGCTTGATAGCAAGACCAGGATACCTATTTTTCACGAAATCATGCACCTCGTGCCACGGGCGCGCTTTAGACGAAACAAGGTACGGCTGTACACCCTTGATGGTGGTACAGCTTCTCGTAAGGGCGCTGACATGCGCCGAGGCGACATCGCTAACGTGTACGCCGAGGAATTGTTTCCCGAAGGGAGTCTCTGACATAAGCGTTTGGAAGAGCAACCCGTTGCTACCGGATAGTTCTTCGGCGGTTTCTTGAATGAGACTGCGGCCGAAGACGAGGACGGGGTGAATGGTCACCACATCGAAAGACGGGTTGTTGGTTGCCACGAAGTCGATCACGGCCTTGTGGGCGGCGATTTTGCTCGCGTGGTATTGGCCTATTGGTGAGAGGGCAGCGGGACTTTCCGCGTCGAATGTGAAGTCGAAGTCGTTGTCCTCTTGTTAATGTTAGTGGGTTCGCACTCTTGGAATTAAACGCAGCCAGGAGGGGTACCTTTCACAACTGCGCCATCCGCAGGTGGTGTTAACGGTATGATGGACAGAATCGAGGCTGTGATGACCACCTTCCGAATACTCGGAACCTTCACCGCCGACTCTAGTACCGAGACAGTCCCCTTTACGGCGGGGGTAAGCAGATCCGACTCCCCCGAGCCAGCTATGGGTGAGGCCACGTGGATAACGTAGTCTACGCCTTGGAGAGCCTCGTCAAAGCCGCCTGGTGCGGTGATATCGGGTAGCACGGCGAAGGATAGTTTCTCGTAGTATTTGGAGAAAATCCGGCGCAGCTTGTCGGCTTGCTCAGGGCGACGGACGACGAGGTGGACATTGTGGCCGGCTTCCAGTGTCTGAAGGACGACCTGGGAGCCGATAAAGCCTGTTGCTCCGGTAATTAAGACGAGAGACATTTTGGGAGTTGTTTGGTGTAGTGGAAGTCAGTTCAGTGTTCTCATTTATATAGTGCACGCCAGGCAAGACACGCTGATAAATCAAGATCGAGAGAAATTAATTAGATGACATCTAATTACCGATTAATAATTCTTATAAATACCCATCTCTAAAGTCCGGCCGTACTGTGGTTTGGTTGTTTTTAAGCTTTCGGAGACGAAGATAGTTAACGGTAATGATTAATGATCATGCCGAGCCGAGAGAACATAACCATGGCTTGAAACTACACGATGAAGATTATGGTGCGCAAATGGGATGGCTTAGCGTCTTACATTCGTCGAAATTTTCGGTACTCTCCGGAGAAAGGATACGAACTTGTCCTGATGTTATGCCTTAAGCATCATGAAATTCAGGGGCACAGTGCAATCATTCCAAACTTACTTGTTTCATCAATTGACATCACAACGATTAGGAGGAACTTGAAAACTAGCTCGATTTCGTAGATCTTGGGATATCTGATGAAACTACCACTGAGGGTGAGCAAGGCCCACATCGCACTGGTGCGCCTTCCGGCCTCCCACATATATGGTCTAATCTAGTGTTCATTGGACCCGTTCTTCCTGTTACAGCTCAGTTACGAAGTGACAGACATCAACCAACGTAGTAGCATTCAACGAAATAACTAAGCATGGGGAGGGAAAGAAGGGGAGATGGAGAGAGACCTTGAATTGTTTAGCCCGGCAATATATCTTGACTCTGTGATGACAGACCACGGCTACGATATTTGGTTACGTCTTGAAATATATAGTTTATATTGACGTTGGTGAGGTTCCTTCTCTGATGCGATTATTCAGATCATGTCTATAGCTAACTGCCTCTCCCTCCCGAGTGGACTAAACCGCATGTATTTCAATTGATTTTCGTCCTTCCAAATCCCAAATATACAGGCTAAGGATGGTATATATATTTCAGTCGCTTAGAACTTCAAGACGGCCTTGCCCTTATTCTTGCCGTAGAAAATACCGACCAGACCCTCTGCCGAGTTGTCAATACCGACAGTCTCGTGAATGAGCACCTTGAACGAGCCCTCCTTGATCCACTTCTGCGCCCGCTCTTGGTGCTCCTTAGCGTAAAGGGGACCCATGTCGGGGTCACTGACGATAAAACCGCGCATCGTGATACGCTTGAATATCACGTTGTGGATGTTCTTGATGGGGTTGTAAGCGGAGTTGTACTGGGAGATCAGACCGCTAACGACGACACGACCGAAGTCCTGCATCGCGTCCAGAGCAGCCTCGAGGTGCTCACCGCCGACGTTCTCGTAGTAGATATCGATACCCTCGGGGGCAAGACGAGCCAGCGCATCGGCAGGCTTCTCGTTCTTGTAGTTGAAGCCGCCGTCGAAACCAAGCTCCTTGATTATGAAGTTGAGCTTCTCTTCGGAGCCGACGGAGCCAATGACGCGCAGACCCTCGTTCTTGGCGAGCTGGCCAACGATCTGGCCGACGGCACCGCTAGCAGCGGAGACAAAGATAGTCTCGCCCTTCTTGGGCTTACCGATCGCGTACAGCGAAGAGTACGCGGCTAGACCGGGCATGCCAAGAGCGCCTAGGAAGACACGAATATCCTCGATGCCTAGAGAGTTCTCCAGCTTGCGAATGCGCTGCAGGTTCTGGCCATCGAGCGAAATGTACTCCTGGATTGGCACGTGGCCAATCACGAGGTCACCCTCCTTGTAGGAAGCATTGTTGGAACGGAGGACCTTGGCAATGCTGGCACTGTCGATGGCCTCGTTGAGCTCGAAGACTGGACCGTAAGACTTGACCTCGGCGGGGCGCATGCGGCCGCGCATATATGGGTCGAAGCTGGTGTAGAGGGACTGGATCACGACACCATTGGCGGGAGCGGCAACGTTGGCGTCATACGTGGCGGGCACGACGGTCAAGTGCTGGCCAGGAACGGGGTATCCCTGAGGGATCTCCTTGAAAACGAGCGCCTTGTTGGCCATGATGTCAATTAAATGGAATGTGGATAGGTGAGAGGAGGAAAAAGTGAACTGAGTTGAAGGATTGATGAGGGGGAATTGGCGGATAATTGAGCAGGAAGGCTTGTACTGTATGGTATTATACTGCTGGTGAAATTGGTTCTTTCCAGATGCTGACGGTTCCACTTTCCTGTACATCGCACCCCATCAGAGCGTACCTTGATTCGGATTGATGAAACTTTCTCACCATTGTCAAACGTATCTACTGTACGTCAAGATTTATCAGCATGCGGAGGTCTGATCATAGCCATCGAATTAGCCATCGCGGAGACCCCTTTTTGTCACAAAGCTCATTGTGATGGTGGAGCTCGGAGGAACTCAAAACGCCCCAGTCCGATGTAAACGGCCATTGTTGGCAGGAGGGCCGCATTTGTTGAGGAGGCCACCCTGTTCGCTGTAGTAGCACTATGGAGTTATAATGCTTGCGTATGATTCAATGGGTGATGTGTAAAATGAACATCCAGGCCTCGGTTCCCCATTACCGAGAAGCTTTCGACTTCAGGTGTGGTCCACTCGCTTGGTGATTGCCGTACACGCGGATGACCGAAAAATGCTTAAGTTATTAATTATCCTCTGTGTAAGTTAATTAACTAACTAACTTTACATTTTGTGTGCTCTGAATCTCCTGGGTCCCCTTATTATTAATCTCGCGCTGTCGTTACAAAGCGGCGCGCCCTGCCCACTTGGGTTAGTTAGTTAACTAATAATGAATAATGCTTTGTAATGAGAGGGCGACCATTGCTTGGGTACGAAATGCTGCAGGATGTCTGGCGTAAGAAACCCCTGGTTTAGAACCAAGCGCCAGTAGGAAGCGCTATGTCGAGGACGAATGGACTCTTCGTGGTGAGACATCTTGATGTGCGAGTAGATGGACTAACATCCTATGGCACAGAAGCGATAGCTGTATTTTGTATATTCGTTATATGCTGATCTGAACTGAGGTAAAATCCGATCTTGAGAGGGCCCTATTGGCGAAATTGACAGCCAGCTGAGGATCTAAATGACCAGCTGAAGTGGAGCTTTGTCTTTATCCTCAGGGGGGTTAGCAGGCATATCGAAGTCTATAAAAGCGGCTTGACATCCCCTTGTCCACGGGCCTCATCCCTCGAGCCGGAACATTTGGGACGCCATGTTCAACTTCCAATATCTGAAGGTGGCACTATGCACCCTCTTCATCTCGTCGTCACTCAGCAAAGCCTGGGACAGCCCTGCTGATTGCTCGGATCTTGTCATCCCCTTGCGCGTCTCTTCCTGGAACCGTCAAGTGGAAGACTCGGTCCTCACCAATGGCAGCTCGGTGATCGCCCTGGTGTCCGAGCTGGCGCTGACATCCAACAGCTCGACCTGGGCCTACGAGTCCACTGCACTGAATATCAGCGCCCGCTACTGTGAGCCAATAGGCCCCTCCCCACGTCGAGACGCAATTCAACTGCTCGTTCACGGCATCACGTACACCAAAGACTACTGGTTTGCCCTGGGAATGCCGGGCGTCCAGTCGCGGCTCTACTCCTGGGTGGACTTTGCTACCCGAAGAGGGTACGCCACGCTGTCGATCGATCGTGCTGGTGACGGCGCTTCCTCTCGCCCCAATCCATTCCATACCGACCAAATTCCTCTGCACGCGGCGGTGGCCAACCAGATCGCCGCGCAGCTAAAGCGGGGACAGATTATCCACGGACGGTCGTTTGAAAAGGTCATTTATGTCGGCCATTCTCTCGGATCTATGATTGGCGTCGAGCTGGCCGCCACGTACCCCGATGCCGTCGATGCCCTTATGCTGACGGGGTACGCCGCCGAGTCGGACACCCCGCTCATCTTGGAAACCGGGCTCCTGCCGGCAAAGGAGGCACTTCCGGCCAGATTCGGCAGCCTGGATGACGGATATCTGGTAACGTCGTCCCTTCCTGGCAGACAAAAGGCGTTTTACGGCCGCAATAGCACCTTCGACCCCCGGGTGTCTGCGCTCGACTTTGACATCCAACAGACGGTTTCTGTAGGGGAAATGGCTACGGCCAGCCTGGCAAAGGTTGCGACCAACTATTCCGGACCCGTGACGGTGATTACGGGCGACCAAGACGCGACTTTTTGTTTTGTCAATGAGACCTCGGATGGCTCAGGGCCGGGCGGCGAATGTGGGCAGGGGAAGACCTCGGGCCCAGCCCGCGTGTCGTCTCTGTTTCCCGCCGCCACCAGCTTTTCGGTCACCGTGCTCGACAATATCGGACACTGCATTAATCTTCATTACGAGGCGATTGTAGCGTACGCGGTGGCGCATGACTGGATGGACGAGCATGTGTGTTAGTGCGGAGAATCGGATCATTAATACTTGTCAGAACTATGGAGCGGTAACTTACCGCTAGCAAGGGATTCGTTGCTTCTAGATCCGCATTTCTTTTAAATTGGTTACCTTGGCAATCTCGGTGTTGTAACCACCGAGTATCGGCCCATTTTGGGGGTATTTCAACCTGCCCTCGAGTGTGTTCTTTCCTTCTGCAATCAATCCTATCATCCTGGATTGGTTCCGTTTGATCTCATTCGTCTACGATGTATAATAGTCCATACTGTTTTAGCTTGCTCGGACAATACTGCGGAGAAATTGGATCCTCATTTAGACCTTGTAAATCCAGAGAAAAAAAATCAAACTCGTGAAATTTAATGGAATCAATTATGAAGTTGCTTAAAGATTTTCCCTCAACAAGATATCTTTCGCGTTTGTTTAGGCGTGATTGAAATATGACTGGCTGGTGTTTTTTCCAAGGCTTCCGAATAGCATAGTGGAAATTGGTAGTCGCTCATAGCTAGAGAGTCATCCACGAATAGGCGGTCGCCCACTTACAGTACAACCTCCAGACTCGGGTCTTCCCTCTAGTCATGATCATTAACTTGCAAGTTCCGGTACTGTCGCTGAGACTTCCAAGTCGTCCCTTTCAGACGCTCCGTATCCAGTAGTTACTGTATTCACGTATTAACGGCTACATACTTGCAAACTTCATGCGGCTTCTCTTTATTACTGGCCTCATTTATTTGTGAGGGAATATTCACACGACTACCGTTGATTTTCAAGTAAATGGTAGCACTAGCACTTAGATCGGATGGAATGAACAAGGTCTGGAAATAGCGCCTATTTGTGACTTTAATGGATAGAGGGAAACGGATTGAAAGAGCAATCCAAACTTCGGTTGAATATAGGAAACCGCAGGTAATGGTGATGAGTCGCTTTAAACAGCGGCCTTTTCATGGAAAGTAGGATTAATTGAATGATATTAACAAACACCTTTTCCATTCTTGCCATAGGTACGCGCGTTTTGCTATTAGTCTCGCATCCCCTGCTTCTACCGTGCTTGCAAGGACAGCCGCTCATTCTAAGTCCCAGGGCCAACTGTTATTTCCGCATGCCAAAAGGTGAAGAACGCAATCTGTTCTATTTGAGATGAATCAACGTTCAGCAACGGTGAGACGAAATAGTGGATACATAATTATAGATATATGATGAAAAGCGAATAGTTCAAAAATTGGAGGTTGGTATTTCTCTATTTAAGACGTGAAGCCGCTCGATCGTTGAAAGATAGCATTAACGATTGCAATCTCTCAACAATGGCTTCACCTGCTTTAATTAGTCACCTTCAACGACTCTTTCAGCGACTCTGTTGAACAACTTTTGTTCCGGATTTATTTTTCAACGGCTCTCACTGTATTTTGAGTCTCAACGAGGAAATGTAGTTTATTTCAACTTATTAATTAATCTTGAGATAGCTGTAAAGAGATAGCTCTAAAGAGAGGGTGGTGAAAAGAGAGGGTGGTGAAAAGAGAGGGTGGTGAAAAGAGAGGGTGGTGAAAAGAGAGGGTGGTGAAAAGAGAGGGTGGTGAAAAGAGAGGGTGGTGAAAAGAGAGGGTGGTGAAAAGAGAGGGTGGTGAAAAGAGAGAGGGGAAAAGGGGTTGGCAGAGCGGAGTCGGTGATGAAACTGGCGATAATTCCCTAATTGCGGGGTAATGTCTTTGCCGCAAAGCTTTTACAGCTTAACAAAATATTGAGGAGTCGCAGAATTAGCCCCAGCAATTGACTCGAATAGTTGCTGCTATTCGGACTACATTCGTCGTCACCACTTGTTGAAGGACATCAAGCATGCCATTTCTCAGCATTGTCTTCTTCTACTGCGAGCAGATGACTACGGTGACTCTTTCGACGGCTTCTGATTCTTGGTCCATTCCAACGATACTGTATAGTACCCCTCCCTCCTTCTGAAGCTGCAAATTATCGGTACTGGTTTGAAAATTAGCCTTCGCATTGCTGACACACGATCTTCAATCTGACATCGTGAGCTTGAATGCAGAACCTCCCGTCTGGCGGGAGTGCATATGTGATCTCCCCCTCTAGTTTCACGACGTCCATCGTCAGAGTCTCGATCGGTAGCTCGTTGGACTGATCGACGGTCAGTTTTTCAATGGAGTACGCAAGAGACTTTGTTGCGAATTCGGGATCTAAGCCCTCCTCCATCTCGAGTTGGATATGCAGAGGGCCAGTCAGGAAGAATGGAGATGAGGCTGTCGGAGTGATAACGCCGGTAAACGGATTGCTGGATGCCAGAACACGGCTACTAGCTTCTTTAAATCCCACAGACAGACCTGCAGTTGAGACCGCAGTTTCCAGGATACTGGGGCCTGGAGGCACAATCTGGGGCAATGTCGTTTTCTCCATGATACTGGTCTGATTTGGTACAGCGCTAATTGTCGACACTGAAGCCAACATAGGAAGTAAAGTACTTTCATTAGGGTGCGGATGGATATTCATTTGAACTTTTGCGCGAGCTCTGATTGTCTGTCGAGCGTGGTTTAGGAGAATTTCATTGAATTTGTGCTCTAGCATCTTGAGAGACGAAAGCGTTGGTAGCCGCCAGCCAGGGTACAATCTCCCATGTGTGCGTGATGTATGCATCTTGTTATGAATTTGGATGAATGTATGGCACAAAAAACATGCATCCTTACTGGAAGCGATGACACGCGGGAACAGCGGAGGTGATTGAATTTCGCAGTAAGCGATTATCTGGATCTCTGCGTGAATCTTGGCTTCGTGGAGTGTCCTGGTAGTTTGCTGGGAGAACTCTTCACCCAGACTCTCGACCGTCCTGCCCGTTATGAATTGAGAGAACTGGGAGATATCATACTTTTTGCCATTGATCTTCCCTAAACGAGAAAGCACGACTGGAAGACTAGTCAAGTATGCCAGCAGATGGGGTCGATCGAAAGCCTCTTGGGGGAGAGATGCCAGATGGACCTCGATGTTTCGGACAAGAGGGAATTTCTTGGCAATGCGGTGAATTATTCGAGCGGCTTCTTTATATCTGGATACTTTTCGGATGACGTTGAGCAAGGTAGATGCGAAGGCTGCTTCCTTGACCATCTTCGTGGGACCAGAGGGGATCAGATGGAGGAGTTGCTGCAAGCCATAAACATTGCTCAATCGGTACATCTTATCCACAATATCATCGAGAAGATATGAGACACGATGATTGGACCATTTATTGACCGACTGAATCACGCTTTTAGACTCGGCTCTGAACAATAGCAAGCTTGCGTCTAGGTTGAACTGGGTAAGTTTCTGAGGATCTATTTGCCGAATGCCTTCCATTGCTCTTTCTAGATTATCTTTGATGGACCTCTTAGATTCTTTCCATTTTCTACCAGTAAGTCGCAATCGACAAGCGATTCGAGAAGAACACATTTGCACGATCATGCGGAGAAGTTGTTTCATGATCTCCGTAGAGCTCCCTCGCTCTGGCGACATTCAGATCAGTAGCTAAAACACATGGGGGAGATCAACGAACCATATGGTGATTTTCGAAGTACATTAAATATGTTTTCGAATCCAGTTTTCAGATTTTGTAGCAGGTGATTTCCATCTGTATATGTCCTTTTATTGATCGCCAAGAGGGCCTTCAATGTTGGACCATTGGGGTCTTGCTCAACGCACATGGCAGGAATATAATCAGATCCTTCTTTCGTTTTGGCAAGAAAGGAGAGAATTTCCACTAATTCACTTTCTTTAGGAAAGGGAAGCGTATAGTCGTTCTCGAAGCCGCGAGAGGGCACTGTGGGCTTTTGTTGCGGTGGCTCAGGAACTTCATGCAGCAGGTAATTGAGAGCAATATTCTCTCCACGGTGTCACCGCTATAAAAATTGCTGTTACATATTGTCGAGGCAATAAATAACGATAACAACTAAGAACGTGGCGAGCCAATGGAGCATTTTTGGTCTAGCCGCCTTATTGCCCCGAACTCGTCTCGACATATATAAATTAATTTACATGGTCAACCCACCAAGCACATACAACCTGAGGCACTCGAGATTGGGAGGAAAAAGACGCTAAACCAGGGCGAAAGCAATGCATGAAACGGTATACTCGCTTCTAAGTTTTCATATAGAGATTGCATCAGTGGCACTGTATATACTTTTATGCTCCCTGTCATATTGGCGCCAAGTTTGCATAATGGGAAATTTGCCAAGATATTAGAAGGTTGTAGATTCCCAGCCGCAATGAGATCAGATCATAACGAAATTAAAGTAAAGGTCATCAATGAATCATAGATCTGTCCCCAGATATTGAGCACTGAGAAAGCTGATGAGTGCTGGGCTTGCCCATGGAAGTAGCCTGGCTCTTTTTAGCACTAGTTTTTGTTTGGAAATAAAGTGAATCAATTCTCATAGTATCATGTGCGCATTACTTTTAAAGATACAAATTGAGATACTCGCGTCAGGCAGTCCGGAACAAGTGAGAAACTCGCTTCTCTCAGGTTATGTACAGTAGATTCGAAGAACCCCGGGACTTAAATCAATGTCTTACCACTTCTCGACATATGGACGTAGATCTAATTCAAAGGCAAATGTCGTCCGTGGCTGAGTGTGCAGAAACCAATACGAGTCCGCAATCTAAAGTAAGTCAGTGACCAAACCAATATACCAAAAGAACTAACACCTACAGCATCGGGACTCAATTTCCCATCCACGTGTTCATTGGCCCATGCCTTGGTCCGGGGTATGTCAATGATACCATCAATGATGGTATGCGAGACATGCACACCCTGCGGTCCAAACTCACGAGCAAGCGACTGTGCTAACGCGCGTAGTGCAAACTTGCCTGAGGCAAAAGCAGCAAAGTTAGCTGAGCCCTTTAGGCTCGCTGTAGCTCCGGTAAAGATCAGAGTTGGCGGATACTCGGAGGATTCACGAGAATCTAAGAGGAGCGGGAGAGAGCGTTGAGCGAAATTGAAAGCACCTTGCCTATTATACGAATTAGTGCTAAGTCCCAAATTCACATACTTTTTGATTTGTTCTTATCGAGAGCAAAATATGTGGAAAGAAACGTACGCTTGAGATGCAAGTGCGATTGAGTAATCATGCTTAGTAAGTTCAAGGAATGGCTTTCGGACTAAGCCGCCGCCAGCATTGAACACCGCGGCGGCAACCTTAGACGATGGGTATTGAGCTGCGATCTTATCAAAGGCGGCATTCACGCTCTCTAAGTCTGAGACGTCTGTGCTAATGCCGAAGGCTTGGCCGCCACTAGCATTGATCTCCTGAACGACTAGGTCGAAGTTTTCTGGGTTTCGGGCCAGAACAACAACAGAGTACGCCTTAGCAAACTTCCTGGCGATCGAGGCGCCCTGTATGTTTTGTTAGTGCTGTATTTCTTATATGCCGGGGGTGTATGTATAAGTAGACCGTACTGTGCCAGGGCCAACGCCGGCGATAATTGCGATAAACTTGGAAACCATAATTGATATGGCTATGAAGAGTTTCCGTCGAGTGCAATGAACTGGGAATGGAGGGGAGCTATATAAAGCTCTCGGGCAGATTACTATTGCCGAGGCTTAGGAATGCAGGGGGGATTGGTCATCACTCGGTGGATGATATCATCCGCAGAGAATGGGACTGGTGTATCCCCGTAGAAAAGTTACAATCCAGATGAATAATCGTTAAGGGTCAGTTTCACTAAATGATTAAAATAATGACGAACTGAGGCAGGGATATCTTACCGCTAGGGATCTACGGACAGGCTTATTCAGCGTCCGCATCATCCTCCCTTATTTTTGTATGGTAATCCGGATAGATCGAAGTATAGTGCCGTAACACGCTATAGCAGGCTCCTGAGGATCTCTCAACGGATACAATCTTCAATCAACAAACACTCATTTGGATATGCCTAATATTAGTCAGTACGGAAATTCCCCGCTCGGCAGAATTTACTGCCTGTCAATTTTGAACCATACATTCGTCACACCTGTATACTACGTCTTTTAGGTAGACGGTATAAATCTATACAGGCGGTGAGCTGGGTGGGGTGTAGAAAGTTATGTCCAGTCCCTGTAATCTTTACCTCGAAAGTTCCTAGTGGTATTTGATATCAGGAATGCCCCCCTCTTTCTTGTAAACCCTGAGTCATTTAACCCCATGAAGTTCAGTTGTTTAATTCATCAGAATCAACAAACCTTTCCATCTCATCTTTGCATCGTTGCATGAACCCGTTTTGATTCGGTTGCTCTCATTAGCCAGTAAATTCAGTGTATTTTCATAACTATATTGGCCATTCTTGGTATTCCTGGTATGATTAGGTGTAAGAGGAATCACTGCACATCGTGTTACGACAAACCGTAATGCCAAGTATTCTAAATTACTGTACAAAACATTAAGGAACGTGGATCACTCAGTATGTCGGACTTTTGGATATCGGTATCGACTAGTACTCGTGAGGGGCCAATTGAACCATCCCAGCGATCGATTGATTGACTGAAGATCTATCTGTCGGCTCCCGTTCAGGACGCCATCTATTCAGGGGTTTTTAGTGTGTGTTACAGCGCTGCTTTTCCGAGAATATCCGATTACCATACAAAACAGGTAGGAGATTGGGTATCTGCTGAATCATTTCGAAAGTTGCCTTCCAGGTTCGGCCTTTGAGATTCGGCCTTTGAGGTTCAATCGCCGAAGATGTCCGTTTCATGACTTATGCTGATGACTTCCTTTACATATATTACGTGCTTTCTGCTGGTCCACTCACTTACCGACTGCGTTGGTATCGCCTAAATTCGGTTTGCTTTCCTGACATCCTTCCAGCACCTAAGCCGTTCTAGCCCGGAAACCATCATTCAGCCCAAGACCCGAGTTTGAACTTCAAGCCAAATCAGCAAAGCCTACAGCATGGCTTCACCCCCATCGCCTGTCGACTCCGCGTTGGATGCTATTGGAAATACGCCTGTCGTGCGTCTCCGTCGCGTGGTTCCGGAAGGCCACGCCAAGGTCTTTCTGAAGCTTGAATACTTGAACCCGACCGGTTCGTATAAGGATCGTATGGCGAAGTCCATGATTGAGCAAGCCGAGAGTAAGGGGAAGCTACAGCCAGGTATGACAGTTGTGGAAGCCAGTGGTGGCAGTACTGGCTCTTCTTTGGCATTTGTCTGTGCTATCAAGGGATACAAATTCAGGGTGGCTTCTTCCAATGCCTTTGCAGTCGAAAAGCTACGAACTATGCGTGCCCTAGGTGCCACTGTCGATATAATTCACAGCCCATCCGGCTGCGTCACAGCAGACCTTATCCCCTCTATGATACGCCATGCACAAGGTGTTGGCAGCCACGAAGGACACTTCCTCATCGACCAGTTCAATAATACAGACAGTCTTTCCGGGTATGACTTAATCGGCAAAGAACTGATTGCACAATTCCCAAATGGAATTGATGCCTTCTGTGGCACGTTTGGTGCGGCTGGCATGGTCACCGGGGTGTCTCGAGTGCTCAAATCGAGGTGGCCAGAGACACGGTTCATAGTTCTAGAGCCGGAATCTTCACCCATCCTCACGGAGGGTCATGGCGGCTCTCATAGCGTGGAGGGTGTTGGGGTGGGTTTTATCCCACCTCACCTCAATCGCAGTTTATATGATGAGGCATGGGGTATCTCCGAAGAAGAGGGGCGTACCATGTGTCGGCGACTTGCCCAGGAAGAGGGGCTACTTGTGGGAACTTCCACGGGTCTCAATGTCGTCGCTGCTATTGCCCTGGCCAAGGAGCTAGGTCCTGACAAGACGGTAGTCACCGTGGCTGTTGACACCGGACTTAAATACATGAACGGAAACCTCTTCGCTGATAACGGAAATTATTGAGAATGGGATGCGTGTGTAGTACCAGATTGAACAAAGACTTGACAGTATCATTTCGGTTACTTGCAGTTGAAGACTTGTACTTGCAACTGATGGTTTAGCTTCAATTGGGCCGACTTTTAATCATTGCTATTGCTTTCCATTTCTCCCATCGACACAATTCGTTATATCCTAGAGTCCTTCGAGGTTGCATAGTTTGTATCTGTTGGTATCACCAGCTAGGTACTGTGTACACAGTTAAGTGGACAGTGTGTATGCTCCAAAGCAAAAGTCAATTGATTCCTGTTGATCGACGTAGATATGTGTCAGGTCCGGTCCAAAATACCCCTGAATCCAATACGCCGAGCGACCATGCGCTACTACTATAGTAGATAGTGAATATGACTCTTTATCGCTACTACTACCTTTAGTTAACGAGTACTTTGGAGTAACCAGTTTACTGGTGTAGCATACTATGACTAATCGGAGAGCCTAGGGAAATGCTTTGCTTCACTCCTCAGATGATGCAGCATCATTGGCTGCATATACGAATTCCAATGTTTTTCTGGGTGTACTAGCTATATGCCGCTACTGTGAGAGTATTACTTCACCACAACTCCAGTTCATGGGGAATTGAACACCACAGATGGCTACATATGATGCCATCGCAAGCGTCCATTCCTAGTATTAATAATCATTTCTCTTCACAGATGTTGTCACCCTGAAGATCAAGTCCGACCTATGCCTAAGCCAACTTCCCCGCCGCAATAAGAATTTTTCCAAGACAGACGTCGGCAGCGGCAGGGTCCGTCAGTCTTACCCATAAGCCCTAAGGTACCGGGCGCTGCGCTAGCCATCTTGGCACCTGAAACCTGGATTTCCCGAATAACTCCGCCCTTCCGCTCCAGCATGAACTGAATCTATCCCGAAACCGCTCGAGACTTATCACGGGGCTCTGTGGCACCGCGGAAGGTCGTATCGGCTTCCACAGACGAGATAAATGCACAGCTTACTTCAATTCCATGGATGGGAGACAGTCAGTGTGTGATGAGCGTTCATTAGGGGCGAATGACCTGACGGACTTCAAGTCTTTGAAGGAAGTAGTGGAAGAGCATTGATGCCGGTGCTGTGAGTGAGGAATGGTGGTTCTACATTATTGTTGGGTAGTTGGTCAGGAGGATTCTGCTGAAATTTTTCTTACGGCAACAACTCCGTTACGCTTGATGGATCTCTATTGTCAGTGGATCAGATTGGTTTGATGTTAAGGCTTATGGCGAAGAGCCCCGCATCAACACGAGGAGTGCATAGGGTACGACCACATCGGCAGGAGACTCTCAAACATGTCCTCTGAACGCCAGACCCTGATGCACAATGCTTGGCATTGTCTCACATGAAGGCCACTCTAAGTCTCTGCCAAGGCACGATTCTCTCGCGTATCTGCAGGTGCGGACTATGCAAAGGAAGCCTTGAAGAAATACCCCCCCCCTTGGTCTGCTCTGGATTTGACTGCTCATTAATAACTTGAGTATGGCTTCCCTGTTATTCACCCTGCTTTTTGGACTCGCTGCCGGCCAGGAGGAAGGTGTGTTGATGCCCTAGCATTTTTGGGGTCAGATCTAATAACCGAAAAGGCACCACCAGCTCGCAATGGCTCATTACCCTCAATACATCGATTTTCTGGCCGACAGCCACCAATTACTACTACGGGCCCACGACGGGTCCCCAAGCGTCCGCAGTCTCTTGCAACGCTGAATGGGTTGAATACGCTGGTCGGTCCGAGGGCCTATGGTCTCTAGGCTCGACTTCCACGAGCACCTCGCTCGGTTCCTACGCCACCAGCGAGGGCGCCTGCCGTACCTCTATTTCATTAGAAGCATGGTCCGACACGCATACGGGCTCTCTGACCACTCTTTGTGATGGGATTCCGCGTGCCCTAGGGCCTCGCGAAACGGCCACCCAATACTACCCCGGAACCGGTCCTTGCATTACAGGATATAGGACCTTCACGAACACAGAGACCTTCTATCGAGAGCCGTCCTCGACCCCACAGTGCACCCTCCAAACAAGCGAGTGTATCCCAATTTGGCAAACCTGGTCTAGCCTGTCTAGCTCCTGGCGCGACTCCATCGTGACCTCTGTACCTGGCGACACCAACAGTCCTATTCGCCCTGCGGACTGTCCCCAGACGAGTCGCGAGTACCCCGAAGAAAATCCTTGCTCCAACTGTCATTTTCTCCCTGCCACCGCGACCCTCTTCTACTGGCCCACTACTACCGCCGACGGCGATCTCTGTCTGCAGAACGGAACCACCGTCCCTGCGTCGGGACTCAGCACAGCTGTAGTCAATGGCGCCACCTTCACCTCCCCATCGATCTATGTATCCTTTACATCGATCTACGCTTGGAGCAATCGTCGTGGTCACGCAGGATACCAATGCGGCGTGGATCACAGCAACGTCGTCATCTCGGTTAATCCAAAAACCGTATCCTCCGTCCGCCACCATCGAAACGCCAAATACCCGACTATTGGAACAGCATATCCATTCAACTTTGCCGAGCTCATGCCCCAAGAAATCGGGAATTATACACAGTCGCTCATCCCATGGCCACAGTTCCGCGGTGGCCAGCAATGCCCGTTAGCGGATGTAAATACCTGCTCTATTATCCGTGACAATTATACTCCTTGGCTGCTGCTTCCGGAGGAGGTCCGCGGAGTTGACCCCAGCTGGACAGTGTGTGACCGCGATTGGTATATTCCGCCCGTGACGATGGTAGCACTCGATCGCGAGACGATCACCGTCACATCGACGCCTGAACCGACTGAGCAGTTTTTGGCGGCGGCTGTACCTGAAGCCGCATTGGCAGCGGCGACACCGGAGGCCACTTCGAGGGGATGGTAAACGACATCGAGGGTACCTTGTGTGGCATAAAGGACTCGGTCTGGGGAAATATACTACCTCACGTAGCCAAAGCTTTACACTAGTGCAGTAGCTGATTATTTCCTGAACCGGCAGTTTTACGGCCACATTACCCTTCTAGCATCTCTTGGATGCTTGGTTAGTAGGAAACCTTGATCGAATTACTATATGGTACGTGCTTCAACAACGTGTACACTGACGTATGAGCATTATGGTTATCGCTATTTGACCGCGACATTCGTAAGTGATGTGATATATTCTGCATTGCTTTGGTCCTTGCCCAGTGACCCATACGGTCATCTCACAGCGTCTGATCATGTCTGGCCCATCACTTACAATTTCCAATTGTCACTGTTAACCATCAAGATGCTCTAGCGAGACGACAAGCATAAGTGATGACTACTAGAGGATATAACGTATTTCTCCGGAATGCTTTTACGAGCTTACACATTCACTAGTGTACAGCACTTTGGTGCGCCACGGAGGATTTTGCAGCCATCTATGATGTATACTTTTACACTAGTAGTGTACGTACTAGATACAGTAGTATATTCGCATTACTACTCTGCAGGACAAAACATTGGAAACCACGAGAATTTTGAAAGACCAACACCAAAAGAGTGAACATCAGAAAACAGCTCATTCAATTTGGATAGTGGAACAGTAGTATCACAATCAGTTACGCTATAATGCCTCTTCTCACGCTCCAGCTGCCTATCTGGGACATCATCGAGCCAATAGCCGCTCACATCCTGGGTCAGCCCACTTCTTCAACGCGCAACTGACCTTGAAATTAAGCAATTCCGCCCCCACGCACGTTCGCCTCTCTGCCTGGGCCTCGGATCAGATTGCGTGCCCGGTGCCGGTGCCGGGACGATCTTGCACTCCGAGAGTGGGTCAACTTCCGATCACAATGTCCACGGTGACGGGCTCGTCTCCGCATGAACTCCACAGACTGCGGGTTTTTCATCTCGACGGACAAGCCGAGGGATGCATGCTCGTGGTACCGGGCTCTGCAGTGTATCCTCGGTCACGGCACTGCTGCGGGATGAGTTCAGCCCGAATTGAAAAGAAGTATGGGGAGGACCGCCCAGATTGGCCGGCTGGAGGAGTTCGTGCAGGTGGCATCGGGTGGCGCTGGAATGCGCGGGACGTCCACGAACTGCTCTCGCACTCACCATGAACATCTACCCTACACCACAACCACGAGACCTCGCCCGCATCCCATGAAGACAGACGGGATGACGATGTCAGGTACACAGCCGAACGGGCGAACGATTCCCATGTGGCTGCCGTCAATGATCAGCAATGTCTTGAATCCTCCGCGGACCAGCCCTCCGGAAACAGTAAAGGCGCCCGTGGAGCCCCATCGTCATCCATGGGCTGTCTATCGCCAAGCTTAACCCATCAGGCCTTAATGGGTCACATGGGCTGCCTTGTCCACCGGTTGGCAATATGATCTGCATCGATCGGACACTAACAGGTAAGGCCACCGACACACCGAGGCAGAGGCACATACTATCCTGAGACGGGCAGTCGGGCGATCACCGGATTCGTATCATCCGATCACACTGGAAATCCGTGGATCCCCGCAGGATAAGCACCGTTGGACAGTGGGTAGCCATGCAGGGTCCAGTCTTTCGTGTCCCGCGTGGGAGCCGAAGCCGCTGAGGCGCGTTATAAAGGTCGCCCTCGTCGAGACTCTGAATCCCGAGCCTATCGACGAGATCGAGATCCTGTTGCACGGCCACTATGCGTTTCTCTTTGCTGACAGTCCTCTCCGCGGGCGCTGCTATCGGGCATGCCCTTCCCAGGAACCTGAAAGCCAGAGGTATGCATTGCCAGGAGATTAAACATTTTTTTGTCTTCTGTTGCTAATTGCGCCTGCAGAAGTCTCTACCGACGAGTTGTCCCAGTTCAAGTTCTGGGCCCAGTATGCAGCAGCCTCTTACTGCAATGAAAACTACGCCTCCAAGCCTGGTCACAAGATTACCTGCAGCGCTGGTAACTGCCCCCAGGTGGAGCAGGCCGACACCAGTATCGTCTATGACTTTTCCAAGTGAGTACTAAGCCGCCTGGCGAGGAAAAAGGAGCCTCGTACTAACCAGCCCAGCACTACCTCGACCGATACTGCCGGCTACCTCGCGCTCGACAACACCAACAATGCCATCGTTTTGGCCTTTCGTGGCTCCTACTCCGTTCGCAACTGGATCTCCGACGTCGAATTCTTCTATACCGACCCAAAGCTCTGTGACGGCTGCTCCGCTGAGTTGGGGTTCTGGAGCTCCTGGACCAACGTCCGCGACTCCATCTCTGGCGTCCTGAACGATACCGTCGCCCAGCACTCTGATTATGACCTGGTCATCGTCGGCCACAGTCTCGGTGCCGGCGTCGCTACCCTCGCCGCCGCCGACCTCCGTGGTAAAGGTTACCCCTCCGCTAAATTATACGCGTATGCCTCGCCTCGCGTGGCCAACCCTGCCCTGGCCAAGTACATCACTGCCCAGCCGAACAACTACCGCTTTACGCACATCAACGACCCGGTCCCTAAGCTGCCTCTCATTGCGATGGGATATGTCCACGTCAGCCCGGAGTACTACATCACTTCGCCCAACAATGCTACTGTTTCGGCGAGTGATATCAAGGTCTTGGAAGGCGATATCAACTGGAACGGCAACACTGGCACTGGTGTGCCTGGACTTGGCGACTTCCCTGCCCACCATTGGTACTTTGAGGAGACTGATGGCTGCAAGGGTCCCGGTCTGCCTTTCCGGGTTTAAAGCATACCTACATTTTAATTTCAGCAAGGCGTCTTTCTTTCGGTGTTGGAGGAGTCGAAGCTGGTAATTTTCCTTTTAGAGTATAGAGTTTGATTTGTATTTATATTTTCAAACAATATCTATAACGTTTCAACCGCACGCACTAACGATGAGGACAAAGTAGTTTTGCCAACATTTAAATTCTCTAATTTGGCTCCTCTTGTGAAATTTCAATGACCACCTTTTTGGCCGAGACGCCCCTTCGAAGTATATCGAAACCCTCCTGTACTTTCTTCAGACCACCCTTGATGATGAGGGGCTCCGGCTTCGTTTGGAATGTCCCAGCAGCCAATGCAGCAGGAATGTATTTCCGCCACACCGCATCACCAACCTCTGGACTCGAAAATCCGGGGTCCAAGCCATTGACTTTGTGAAAATATCCTTGTCAGCGGAATATTCCAGGATAACACAAAAGCTAGAGCCAGCTTACCGAAGACAGCCTCTACATTTTCAGGTGCAGATCCATCAGGGAGGAGCATTATTGGAAGTCTGCCGCCACCGATCCGCGACAGAATCTCCCCGCATTTTGCCTGGGTGTGAACATCACTGATACAATCCACCACCAAGTCGCCCGGCTCAAGCAGGGCTAAGATTTCATCAACGACACCGGGGTTCTTATGGTCAAAGACATGGGAAGCGCCCAGCTCCCTCACAAGACCGTGGTTAGCGACGCTGGCCGTCGCGATCACCCCGAGACCTGCATCGCGCGCAAGCTGGATGGCAGAAATTCCAACCGACGAGCTGCCCCCCAGATCAGAACCGTTTTCCCGGTAGGTTTGGGTTTGAGGGAAGGCAAGGGAGCATTTAGTTGAACAAAGAGGGCACTGGAGGCTGTTGAGATTGACAATGGAAGAACGGCGGCATTAGCTAAGGGAAGAGAGTCTGGGACTTCGGACACTAGGATCTCGCGACATGTGCTGTACAGCTGGAATCCTGAGTTTGTAGTCTTGCCGCTTCGGAAGCTATCGCAGTGTCTTGAGATTGATCAGTAAATGTCACTGTTGACGCCTGATCGTGTCAACATGACCAGTGCAGACTTACCCAATGACTCTTTGACCAAGCTTGAATCGTGATACGCGAGAACCAAGCTGGACGATGGTTCCTGCGACGTCGGTGCCGAAGATGAATGGGTAATTCAATGGAAAGGCAGCGATTTGTTGCATCTGAACAGTATTCAGCATTTATCTCATACCAGTTGTATCTGACACCATGACTGTTACCTTCCAATCAATTGCATTGACAGCAGCGTATGCGACCTTGATGACCAATTCGTTTTCTGCCGGGCTTGGATCCGGTGCCGGTCCAACTTGGAGGGGTTTGCCTTGGCGGAGGGAATCCACGCGGCTTGGTTCGAAATTGAGACCATTGTAGCGATCTAAAGAGGATGCTGCTTGTATCTGATGAATATGGAGTTTCCATTGAGAATCTGAAAAGGATTTATAACTTTTCGGTTCTTGAAAAGCCACTTGCATTCTGAGACTGGCTGCTTGGTAATTAGAACGTGGTTAGTTACCTCCGAAGCCGCGATTGCCAATGTCTTGATTTATTTACTAAGCAAATAATCTAGGAATCCAATTCGCAGCCTCGTCAGATACTAGCTTACTTGAATTAGCCAATGGTTCTCTTTATTTTGCCCGCTAGTACGGCTTGGCTAGTACAGCACTTCGTTTTCGAAAGTTACTGCTTGGTAATTGATGAACGTGATTACTTAACCAACTAACTACTGCACTAGAACAACAAGATGATTACTGAACGTTACTCTGCAATACGACATATGACAGGTAGTTGGTAACTGCAAGGCTGATTGTAACCCCGGAGTCGGCAAGCCGACCTTTGGAGAAGTAAGCTTGTCCTTGTTGATCGACATCATGGCCTAGGTTTCACTGGCAATAATCCGAATTAACCCGGCTAGGCTTTTAAATGAAGCAATGTGAAAACCGGCTTCTATCTTGTGAGCAAACATATTATCAACTTCCGATTTCGGGGTGATAGTAAGCTACATCGATCTGATCCCGGAGGACGCATTGCAACCCTACTGCCTCAGACCGCGGAAATCACAGGGCCTTCAGTGTATAGCCGACTTGTCTCATCTCCTATCGCCCCCATTCCTAGGCTTGTTTTTGTCGCAGCGATATGCCATGTACGCCAAAAACCTAACTACACTGGTTCTTCTCCCTGAGCCAGTGCCTCACGCCTACCAGTGCTCTTGGGATCCAAATAGGGTCGCTCTCCGACCCCAACGGCCCGATGACCCGTCCGTGGACCGATCTCTTCATAGTCCCAGGTTGCGGCATGGTACACCGATCGATTATCCCAGATAGCTGTGTCGCAGTTAGATCACACAGTTTCAGCTCAAGCTCTCACAGGATGTCCTACCGAGATCGTTGGGATTCTGCCAGCGCAAGCGGACCTGCAGGTCATGATTCTCCACAATAAGATTAACGAACCAATTCAGCAGATGGTTGCTTTCCTCTTCCGCAAGACCGTTGATCTTCTGCACGTGTGTCCCCACGGCGAAAACGCTCTTCCACCCTGTTACTGGGTTGGTACGGATAACTGGATGCTCAGCGCGAAGTTCCTCGCCGACATTCTCGGGTGCGCCTCGAGGGCCGGGATGGATCTTGAAGTTGTTGTTCTTGGCGACTTCGTTGAAACGTGGTTGGGCGTAGGTGGCCGTGAGTCCTTCCAGGAATTTCTGGTATGGCTCCGAGAGACGGTCGTAAACCTCATACCCAGAAGCCCATAGAGTGTCTGAACAAGTACATCAGCTCGAATTATTCTTCGAAAAATGCCAGGATTAGTCAATAAACCTACCGCCGCCGGTTCTCGGAAGCTCGGTCAATCGCAAGAGGGTATAATCACTCGGGATAGGCTCGAAAGTGATATCGCTATGCCACTCCCGTCGAGCAGTCTGCTTGCGGACGCTGCGGTCGATGTACAGTTTCTTTCGCTGTTGAGAGCTAATAACGCTGATCTCATCGTCTTCGACACTTTCTTCGCGTCCTGAATTAGCGACCGGATGGATATGCAACCCGGAGGTTTTTGGCTTTCCTGAGAGTTCACCCAGACGCTGGACGAGTTCCTTCTGCAGGTCATCGTCGAGACCATCCTGCTTGCGGAAGAATACAACACCTCGTTGGGAGACTATTGTAGCTTGTGAGATGAAGAATTAGTTCGGGTGATGGGAACTACTGACTGGTGGCAGCGAGATCGCGAAGCAATTCATCCGAGTTTTGAGCGCGGAGAAAGTCTCTCAGATTCGCATTAGGGAATTCTCTTCCAATTACAGGGGTGACATCGAAAGATTCAAAAACATCAAGAGCTCTGTTGAGCTTGATTGGAGTTCTCTCTAAACCCTTGAAGGCGACTTTGTCTTCCACGACAGGAAAAACAGGAGCAACGGTTTCAGTGAGCGAGGGTGCCATTTTTGCCGAAGAATAGCTAGTTACTTTCTCTATCGATCAATCGAGTGCATGTGTCTTTTCTTTATATGACAACGTACATGGGCTTTGCCGGTCATCCGACTGCGAGATGGCAGGAGCAGCGACAACCCCGCAGGAAAGCATAGGCAAATGTCGCACACTGACTGCCAAATCACGAATCGAAGCTCGATCCCCAGAAAGTCTTTATTAACATCCTATAGAAAAAAGCATTTCGCAATTACTTTAAGAGATCGTGTCACATTCCATCATTCAGGGTTCCCTGATGGGTTGCGGGGTTATGGGCAATATACATTTGAAGTGGCGCCACACCATGCAGTGATTACGAATGTAGCTGTTATCCGGAGGTTTTCTTTGAAACTGTTTCATAATTTCTTGCAATTCCCCGGCTTATCAGGCTGTCGGCGAGTGCCGCTACATGAATCAATCACGAGATGCCTGTTTTAGACGTCTATCAGAGACCAAGGAGCTGGACTAGCTAGCCGACAAAGGTAAAAAAAGGCATGCCAACACAGACGAATGAACTATGCACTGTGTTCATGGTAGTCCGTGTTGGAGATTCAATGTGCGAATCGAAAGTCAAGCCGTCTGTTTCCCTCATCTTTGGTGGCCTCTATATAATGAACTCTCTCTTGATCTGTCATTGCGTTCCACTTCCTGTCGCGGCTCGCATTCCGCCAGACATAGTATATCTTGGTCAGGGTGTAGATGAAAATATTCGCAACCACCAGACTCACCAAGACGCGATTGCCGCGTCGGTAGCGAGGAGAATCATCTATTCATTATTGTCAGATCTGCCAAGAATCCTTGTCCTTTTCATCCACTCACCAGCCCGATAAATATTCGAGGAAATGATTGCCGAGGCCTGAACGCACATATTGTACATGGCAGCTGAGACCGTCCGAGATCGGACGGTGTTGGAATTGCGAGAGTTCCAGCCAACTTGAATTGCATGTGCTTGTCGATTGTCAGAAATGGTGCCATGCAGGGTGTTGGAAAAGGGCAACATACAGTTTGGAAATCCGAGGAGCAATGTCATCACCACCCAAACGGCCCATTTGTTGGCCGTGTTCACATCGACCACATATAGATAGACCACGAACGGAAAAGTCCATACTTGTCCAATGATCGATACCCATGAGAGTTGACCGGTAACCTCCGATAAATAGGTGATCGCCAGCATCGTGATGATGGATATAACCGTACTTGGAATTGTCAGCAGATTTGTGACGAATGTGTTGAAGCCCAGGTCTCTGAGGGTGAGAGTTAGATATTGCTTTGGAGTTGTCATAGGGGTTTCGAATGTGAGCCCGATGATATATAAGGGCCAAAGATCGAAATCGCAGAGGCTTTTCCAGAGAAGCTTGGGTGTAATGGGCTCTCTGTTATGCATTGTGCCTTTGCTAGGATCATCCCGAATAACCCTATTGACCATGACCGTCTCCTCTCTAAAAGGACAGTTAGGGACCGATGACATTTCGCACGCAGAATTCGGGAATAGTGTTTACCGTGGACTGAACCACCCAGACTTGCCTCGCGAGCAATTGGCTGTTTGACACGGTCCAGGGGGCATAAGAACATAAGCTGAGAGACCCATCAAGAGAGTGGTAAGACCCTTAAGATTGTGTTAGTCGCTGACCCAGCTGACTTCCAGCGAAATATCCACACGTACCTCGAGCAAAAATAGCCAGCGCCAGCCTGATTGTCCTTGAACGCCACGCAAGTGCAATAGTCCAAAAGCCAAGAAGCTTGCAATGATATCTGTAATGTTCATTGCAGTCCAGAAGAATCCCAATCGAAGCGAGAGCTCATGGTGCTTGTAGAAATACGACAGATATAGAATCACCTAGCAATTTTGTTAGTACGAAAAAAGTTAAGATGACAACTTTGGAAGACAACTCACATCAGGAATAAAACCACCTTGTAAGATACCAAGGAGTGCACGACAGACTAGGAAGGTGTTCTTCCCTTGCATGCCATATTGGCTCATAGCCACAGCCGACCAGAGGACCATCTGTGTGGGGATCCATCTATCTGGCCCAACCCATTTACTGACAAGTTGCGAGGGCAATTCAGCACAAAGAAACGAGAGACGGAAAACGGTATTTCCAAGGTTGTAGTCTACTGTATATTAGCGTGGCCTCTGTATCGTACTGGAGTTGAAAACAATACCATTCGTGTTCATGCCAAGGTCGTTTAGAAAATTGTCAGTCAGAGCCTGCTGGAGGTTGGATCGATCAAGCTCCAGAGCCGCGAACATAAAGCAAGCAAAGACCATAATCCGAAGGTCAATTTTGCGAATCAATTGATACTCCTCACCCCAAGTCCATCGTGCAGAAGGGTCAAATCGGTGCAAATTCTCCCAATCGGCTCGGGGCTGATATTCTTTTGCCGTATCGGGGTTGTCAAACACTGATGGCTGGGTTGCGATCGCTTCTGAGTTATATTCTTTCGCACGTTGGAACCAGAATCGCCGCTCGTCACTGGGTGCTCCCAGCGGAGTAAGTTCCCCAAACGAATCTGTCCCATCATGGGCGGAGATCAACTCATTCAGTCCTTTTTTCAAGAGAGACTCTGGAAATAAGGTGGCCATGACTGCTTAAACGGTGCACAGATCATCTGCTGACTTGATCCCTAGGACAGAGTATCTCCGCGGAGCTCGAGATATATATACTGGCCGAAGTCGCCCGTGGAAACGAACTCATCGTATTGACCCGACGCCAGACTGTCTGGTCCAGATGCATGGCAGCAACTTGCATCATCTGGCCAAGCATGATACAACCGGCATCTAGTACGCGCTGTTGAATATCATTCGAGGGGTCGAATACCTGATAAGAACGCCAAACACGATCTGGCTGAAGTTAGCCGGAATTGCATCTTGATGTCGGTTTATCGCATCATCTCACAGTAGCCGATACCCGGAAGCGTTCACTTTGACAGGCGCGGAATGATCTTCGAATCGCAATCTCGTCATTCTTTTCTCTCGATCTGGATAAAAATCATGCAGGTGTTCGGTATGGTTCGAAGACCCGAGGAAAATGGATTTCCGGGGACGTCGCCCACAAGCGAAGGACTTGCTCCAGCTTCGTCGACATGAGATCTGGGAGTATGAATGCCGCCCTCCGCCTACCGTTTGAAACGTCCTCTAACTTCCCCTCCTCATACTTACCATGCTTGGTTGCTGCGACCGTGGAAGTGACTCGCAATACACTGGTATTCGTATTGCACTGTTCGATGGATCGGTCTGATCAAGGGCCTTGGAGATTTTCGAGGGGTATGTCCATTGACGTACTCCGCTCGATGGTGCTTTTGATCTCCTTCATCGGATTCTGGCTCGTCTATATGAGCAACTGATCATCTACCATTTGATCTACAGTCAAAATATCATGATTTGATATAAGATTGATTTCAAATAGAAGCTAATAAACCCCATTTGCATTTGTTGTAATTCACTGGTATATGTTATGTCCTTTTCTTCTTGATGGGATACACGAGGCTATATATACAACGAGAAGACCAAGTTGATTGCAAATCAACTTGATTCTTCGTATAGGCAACCCGGGATTATTTCCGATGTTGGGCTTTGTTCCTGATCTGCGCTAGCCTCATATCACAACAGCATTCTCAATTTTTAAAAAAATATACTAATCGAAGATATCGAAAGCACACGAAATGAAAAAGTTTTCTCGTACCCCTTGTCAAGGGACAAGGGACAACTTTGGGAAAGGACATACCAGAACCTCGCTCATGCTCGCTGAATCAAAGTCAAATCCAAGTCCGTATCAAATACATATCACTAAGCGATCAAACCTCGCTCGGAGTTTCAATTGCTAATGTTCAAGTCCGCAGTCCCTTTTAACAATGCACTCCAATGTTCATGGGCTGTCATCAAGCAGCAGAAGTTGCCGGCAATGCAGGTATTGCCGACGCAGCCTGGTGCTGACTCTGACTCCGGTTCTGCTTCGCCCAGCTTAATCCACGACTGTTACACAAATCCCGGTTTCCACTAGGTCCTAGCCATTCTGGCGTAAAGGGATTTATAGTAGCGTCTACACTATCCGGAGCAAATCTTCGGCCAATAGAGAGCGACACTTGCCCTGAAGTGATTGTGCAGATAGCGAAGAGTAGCTCACTACTGGGAAAACTGGGGTGCACCAGTGTCAAGACAACATCATCAAATTTCGGACAATTGAAACACGCTATGATCTTCGAAACGCAGACGATTTGTCACGAGTCTTTCGCCCCAGAGTTATCCCGTCAACTCGTAGAATCTCGTCACCAAAACTAGCCAAGCACCGGCCGTCCGTGACGTATGTGGAACAATACCCCAAGTGACTACTCTCGGCTTCTACTACAGCCGGCCGCGGGGTGCGCTTCTAAAAACCCTAATCTGTTGGGTATGCACTCTCCTCTGATTTGTTTGCTCGTGATATTTGTCAGTGAGCGGGATTCGCCGTTCTTTTTATGGAGTCGCTAGTTCGCCTTTTTGGGGGCTTGAACAATTCATTCTCAAAGTATCGAATAACTCCAGGCTCGTCAAGTATTATCACTTGGTCAGGTAGTGATTAGCGAGTCGGATATTGATGGAATTTTCTGATCGTCCTTAATCCCGTCTATTGCTGGAAAATCTGGACCGAGATAACTTCATGTTGCACAATATACACCTGAAATGCCGTTGATACATTATTTATTAAATTCTAGCCCCCAGGGTGCCATCGGGGGCTGCGTCAGCTACAGCGGGTCTCAAGAAATAAGGTGAGGAGTGCCTGCGCGGTATTCCAAATAATGAAATGGTTCTTCTCATTCGCGAAAATGTTTCACTTCATAGGTGTAAATATGTCTCCAACAATAACATTCAGACGATAGACGGATTCGATTAGTCCTAGAGGATTCGAGGAGCCGAGTTTACGTGGGTATCTGGAGCAATAAAGCGGGCGTTCGTTGGCTCTGCAATCGGTTCCTTGCAGGGGTAACGGAGTTTCGGTGTGTCGCCAAGAATAGTTCCTCCTTTAGACAACGTACTGGCTGTCACTTGAGCCAGAAACCATCGAACAAAATAATGCATCAAACAAAAGTGAAGAAGCGAGCCATGGGGCGACTTTACGATCGTCGAGTCGGGCCCTCCGTGAAGCGAATTCCCACCAGTCAGGGCCAATTTAAAGAATTCCAAATCATCGATGATCGCGGACTAATCTGGCAACCCACTTTGTCCAGTGGGCACGGTATAGTGTGGGGATGCGTCGATTTAGTGGGCAGATCGGTGGTTTAGTGCAAACCTGTCCTTTAGCGGCACCACGTCTGGACCAAGCTCGGATGAAGAAAAATCGCTTCGACTTTGCAATTTAAACTTCAACAAATTTGACATGCCGTCTACTAGGCGCAGTTGGCTTAGTTCGAAAGCTCAGGTGAGTTTCTCGCACTGGAGAGAGCTCAAAAACGGGACGTAGAGATGGATATGTGTATACCCATTCCAAGTTTGCGGAACAAGAAGGATTGTGCCAATATTCGCCAGCTGAGATCACATCGTATTTCTGCTGCTAGGGCTCGCAGAGCGCCAGTTTCTTGGCCTTGGAGGCTGGTCTGCTATCTGTATGTTTGCAAGAATGTGTAGGGGGATAGTGATGAGTTGCCTTGCCATTCCATTGTCGCTGTTCAGATTCAGCATTGTACGTAGATTGAAGTGGGGTATATGATTCCATTTTGCTGAGTTCTCCCCAACGAGAACCAAAATGTTTAGGGTTGGGACGGCTGGTGATAATTTGGCGGGATGTTCCCGCGTCTAGGCAAGCATTCTCGTTGGATACGGATGTAGTGAGCGCAACATTTGATACGTAGTCAAATATCTGCAACTGCAGATCGTGGCGTTGCGGGATTTTGGAAATCACTGTGGCGTGCAGGAGCCAATGACGAGCTCGACGTGGTGTTGGATTTCAGGGCGAAGGATCCTGCGGAATTTTGAGTCTCCCTTTTGGAAATATTCCTGAACACTTTGCTGTTGTCCATCCCACGCGAACAGTGCAATAAGCTCGTTAATTCTTGCAGCACATCTGTGCACGATTTCTACTCATGGAAGCTACTACTGCTGCCATCTCTGGTTCATCCAGGGGCCACAGAATCGTCTAATGAATGTCCCGTTGGCCGGCGGGCATCGGCAATGCTCCACTCCGAGTTGACCTATGACGCCCTGTCAATAACACCCCCAAGCCTGTGTAGAGACAGCGTAGGTACAATCGAGCTCGTCAACAGCAAGTGCAAATCAGGACACAAACCGGCGGACAGAGTTGCATTGAGGGCGAATGTGAATCGCCGCACTGTGGGGGCGAAAAGGGGAAACTCAAGGGGCAGCGGCGGAGGGTTGTGTCCGGTGGCCCTGGACGGGCCCAACAGTGAGGCTCCTCGACACTTGGGGCAAAGTAGAGCCTCTTAGAACCAACCTCGGGGCGTGTTAGGGCGGGTGGTCGGACAGGGGATCACAGGTGGTCGCAGCGCCGCTCGGGCGTTCGCCTCAAATAAGAAAGCCGTGTCGTCGCCCCGCACACTCGCTTCGCCAGTAGTGTCGCGCTTACTACCACCGCGGAGCTAACCTGGCCAGGCATAGAACCAGTGATCGTGCCCGCAGTGGACCGGGTTGGCCTGTGCCAGCATCTCATCCGAGCCGTCGCAGATCCGCTCGAGGGAGGAAAAAAGGGTGACGGATGAGCCGGCGTGAGGAAAGCTCCGCCGGTGCAAAAAAGCCCCCCATGAGGCGACCCCATCGGGGGAGAAATTATGATTGGCGCTCGATCAGCAGGATGAGAGATGGTGAGAGAGAGAATGGAGCAGGTCGTGGTACTTGTAGATACTCTGCCAGTAGTAGAATTGTGACAGGAGTAGTTGCCATGAGGCAAGTCACGGTATCATTCTTACTAAGGCACATCGATGTAGGGCAGCACAAGCTCGGGCCTTTCTCTCACCTCACCGCAACGGCGATGTGGAGGGCATCTCTAGCTCGACTGCTTAAGTCTGGGCCGTCGCAGGGAAGATTCCAATCGCCCCACGCTCCTCTCGGACAATGTTAGAGGGGGGTTAGTGTTAGGCTCGTCTCGATTGCCTAATGGGAAGGCCAGGCAGACTCAGGCAGCCTTGTCGAATCGGCCAAACCCTGTCACCCTGGTTGTCCCTAGCACTGTACTAACACCATGTAGGAATAGAGAGGAGGGTGTCTGGGGGAACTAGCTCCACTCCACCGGCCGCCGACTTACCCGACAAGCTTCTCACCTGCTGCTGGGGAACCAACACTCCATCGCTGCTGCGACTGGTCCATTCCTGAAACCCAAGGCGGTGCTGGAAGCCTGCAACGACTGCGCCGCTGCAGCAACTGCAGATTGAGGTGTTGAAAAGACTAGCAGTATGAAGCATCATGCAGACCAGCCGCTGTTGGCCGGAGAATTGATCACCATCATTTGTCATATGCCTTTTGGCATTTGACAGGTGGGTGAATCGTGAGCTCATTGCGATGGGGGCGGATGGGGTCGAAAGATGATGGTGAAGATCAGCAAGCTCGATTTGACACCATCTTTAGCCGCACCACGTTTGCCGTTTCATCTTTTTATTTTTAACTTGGACGATTTAAAGTACCATAACCGGCTGATCTTGTTGGATCTACGGGCATTTATAGAAGGCTATCGTCTGCAGGATTCGTCTCTTTAATTTGCCCGCTCATACGAATAACTTCCCACCAGAACCCCCCCCCCCCCCCCCCTCCTCTCTCCCTGCAACGCAATAAATGGACTCGCCAGCCCCATTCGTCGCTATTTCAGATTCAGCTGCCCCCATCGCCAGTCGCCTGTCGATTCCGACTCTCGGCGTCTTTCCGTTCCTACCTCCTAGGTGGTATTGAGCCTGGCCCACTGGCCTTTGAATAAAGAGGCGTCCTCGCCAGATCCCAAAAAATGTCCATGACCTGTAGCACGCCTCAGTTTAACATTCCGTTCATTTCTTCCGTCTCGCCATATATGGACTCGCATTACATCACTTCGGCCCCAGCACCTCCGATAGACCTGCCTGGGCCGGCCAAGTTCAGCCGCGTCAGCCCTCAGCTGGAATTGCCTCCGTCGCCGTCCTCTTCGACGGGTTCGCATCGAGTGAGCAAGGCAAAGAAGGGAAAGCGAGTGCATGGGTGTGAGTTTCCAGGATGCAATAAGGTGAGTCAACAACATGAATAGATCGAGCAAAGGACGTTTTCAAAATGCTAACTTTCGCAAAAGATCTTTACACGAGCCGAACATCGCCGGCGTCACGAGTTGAGTCACAAGGATAAGAAGCTATATGCCTGTACCTATGAGGGCTGCACAAAGGCGTTTCACCGATCCGACTACCTTTCTCAGCACGTTGCACGACAGTATGTGACTCCTATCATTTCCAACTGAAAATGGCTCTCAAGCTAACAATCAGCAACAGCGAATCCGAGGCCTCGTCCCTCAGAACACCACCTCTTCGCAGCAGCTCAGTCTCATCTCCAACACACTCTCACCCTAACTCTGTTCGATCGCCAGTCACTCCAGCCTTTCAAACCGTCCTACCCAGAACGGAACCTGCCTCGACATCATCCATGGTCGCCTGTTGTCATTGCTACAACTGCCAGAGCCGTACAGGACCTTGCGTAAACGTGCAGCCTATCTACTTCTATCCTAGCACACCTCAACCACCGCTGTCGAGTGCTCCGCTTCTTCCTTCGCAATTTGCAACATCGCAAGGACCAGTTGCTTTCGAAACATCAATGGATCAGTATCTCCGAAGCGTTCTGCGACCGGAAGCATTTCTCCCAACGCCGCAACCGCTCTCGTCATCGCCAAAGCAGGAGCAGCCGGGGTCTGCACACTGGGCATCAATTATCGACCCGCAATTGCCCCCATTGAATGCCATGGTACGCAAAAGAATATTTTGAGCAATTCAAAAGAGAGTTCCCCGCTAATATCCACGCTACAGGGCTTTCAGAACTCTACACCATACTCTCCGTGGACCACCGGTGCCGACAGCGTACCAGCTCCAGTGCATTCCACACGGGAGATGACCGATTATACGTCCCCTTCAAGGAATTCGTGAAGTTGCATCGCGAACTCGGACGCTTCTTCTACATGTGCTTTTTTTCAAATTGTATTACGATTCTAAATACCATTTTTACCAACGGCGCAAACTTGATCATTGAATTATCAACAAATCTTACCAAATCTTATCGAAATACACGCTACGGTTATGATTTGTACCCGATTTCTCTTCTCCAACCCATAATCAATGAGATGCCGAAAAGCTGCAACATCACATTGCTCGTCAAACTTGGTACTCGATTATTGATTACTGTTTTTGAACAGAGCAAAAGATCTTCGAAGGCGAAACTTCGAGAGCTGAGCAATCGGATTATTGATTTGGTGCTGGATTATCGGCCCGACGAGCATGGAGAGCATCCGCCCCACCAGCCCCCACATTCCGTTCAGCATCAAAATTTGAAACTTCGATCGTGAAACGCATTAGAAAAGATTCGGGGTACATGCAGTAGTCCGTGGTATCTAGTGCGGCTCGTTTTGGGCTCAGACCTGTCCCAAATCCTCAGCTCGGACATTGCAGGAACATGAAATTAAGGGTAGATCCGATGCAGATTCCCAGTTTGGTGCGCATGGGTCGAGATAACTAACACTATAGCTTAGTGTGAGAAGGGATCCAGTCAAAGTTGAGCTTGGACCAGGAGAAAAATCATCGTGATCTTCAATGAACATCAGAGCTCTTCAAACTGGTTCTATCGGTTTAGAACTGCGATTTGTGCTAAAAATAGATGGTAAAACGATGGTGGTCTGCAGATCCCTAACCACCTGGCCCCACATGGATTTGCCCCTATGAGCAGCACATTTCAGGAGATTTCTGGAGTTGGCAATTGTGGCCAGTCATTGTGAGTCACATTCCTGAAATCCGTTGAAAAGAGACTCGCGTCGGGATTATGCGGATGACTTCATGAACATATCCATAATTTTAGGGTGGCATCACAATGTCACTCTGTCGAATACCACGACCCGTTCTCTCCATCTGGTCTTGATCGCGACGTTCCCCACCACCCTTGACGTGATCCCCGGTACAGTAGTATCCCTCTCAATTTACACTGATAAACAGATCAACAAGTGCAGCGTTCGGGAGTTCGGAATCAGACTTTTTCCCCATCCTCCCCTTCCATGACCCTGAGTATAGCTCACGCAGTCTCCACAATAGGCCCATCGTAAATCCGACGAGCCCGAAGAAAATAATACACCAAACTAAGAAGTACAACCCCCATAGTACCCACAACGCTAAAATTCATAGTATCAACAACGACCGCCCAAGAAGGGGGCCAGAAGCTGAAAAATACCGCAATGCTCATGTAAACGAGAGCGCATGCGTTGATCAGGATACCCCATATCCCACGGCAATGGAACGGCCCCCAAACGAGCTTGCCACCGACTGTGTTGACAAGCTCGGAGTCGCCGTTGCGGATATGTCCGATTGCGCCGGTACTCCGGCGGTACAGGAGGAGGCCGGCAACGACCATGTAGGAGAGGTAGAGACCGGAGATAGACATTGCGACTAGGTCGTTGAAGGCGACGGAGGAGCCGATGTTGATTAGGGCGAGGAGACAGGCAATGCACATTGTTAGTAGGACGGAGTATACCGGGACGCGGTTTTGGCCGTGGACCTGGATAGTTTGTTAGCAACAATTTGATCTCGAGGGGGGTTACTCACTTGACTCCATAATCGCCAGCCTGGAATACCCCGATCACGCGCGAAAGACCAGAATTGGCGCGAGGTTGTTGCTAGCATACCGACAGAAGTGCTAATGCCCATTGTGGTGATGATGGAACACATGACAGCTGTCCCAACCACTGATCCGGTCGCTTGCAAGAAGATTGACATGAACGGGTAGCCCGTGGGGGACTGAAGAGCAAGTTCAATATCTCCCAGGCAGAAGAGCATCGCTAGCAACATACCAAAACCAAGTGAGCCATTGATCAATACGCTGAGCATGATCGAGGCTGGCACAGCGGTGGATGCATTTGTGATCTCCTCGGACATCTAAAAAGTCATAGTTAACTAATTTTCCAATTAAACAGGAAACTCGAACATCTTGAACCCACATGAACAGCAGCATCACCTCCCGCAAAGGCAAAGATACACCCGACCATTCCAACGAAGAACGACAAACCCTGCGACGGGAATCCGCCCAGATTTAGGAAATTGGTAAACACCTCATGTGCATCACCGTGATCCGACATGACGACCAAGGGAACAAGAATTGCGAAGAAGCCAAGGATGTGCAGAACGAGTATTAATCCCTCAAACCGCGGAAGCAGGTTTCCTCCCACGATGTTGATGATCAGGGAGAAGACCGCAACAGCCCAGAAAAGGAGTGTGCCATGCCAGTTCTGCGGCTGGTAGTTGCTATGCGTCAGGGCGATGAGTCCTTGGATGAGCGTACCGCAGAGATAGCACGATGTTGCGAAGGTCGCTTGCCAGCCGATGACAGTCAGCCAGCCTAGACTCGTTAGCTTTGTCTATCGGAAATTCCGGGATGTTGGGAAGGCAGGCGAAGTACCTGTCAAGTAGCTGATGATTTTCATTGCGGACCTGGGTGCTAGCATTGAGCACCAGTGGTATTGACCGCCTGATGTGGGAGCCCTGGTCAGTCATTAGATCGATGCTTTGCGACGTTGTCCGGGGGTATTTACATTGACGCCAGCTCTGATAGCACCACGAATGTTGATGCCACGCCAACCCAAACAAAGATGAACCCGTACACGGCGCCAGCTAGACCACCACTAGGAGATCGTCAGTATAAAGCACCCAGAAGAATATGCAGCTCTCTTACTTCTCATATGCCTGCAGGAAAAGCCTGGGAACAGGTAAGTGTCCGATAGCAAGCTCCCAATCCAACAGCACACCACTATACTCACACCACAATGCCTTCCCATGTAATCAGAATCGTGCAACTAAATCCCAGAATCGACCACAGCCCAAAGTTCCGCTGATCTTGTCAGCACCTTCGACATGTTCTGCTCGAGTGAGAATCACCTTCAAAACCGGTCGCTTCCCCATCCGTGCTAGCTTCGCATCGTCGATCTCCTGGCTCGAGAGCCGATCGATCTCCTGCGCTCCGGTCGCATCTGCATGTTTCGGCTCGTGAGGAAACATGGTGATCATGCAATATTGCAGGATAAGTGAAGGCTCTGCGATCGCAGGTCCACACAAATTCTTTCACAAGATGAAAAGCAGACGCGGGACGAGATGCAGGAATGGACAGGTTGAACGGCTAACTGGCATGCTAGTGGGAAGAGCAAGCTGCACTAATGCACGCGAAACACTCCTCGAGTTTGAGCGGGCCAAGAGCATCCAGCTTGAACAAATCTTGTCGGAGACGTGATTGTCCGCCTTCCCCTTGTATATTCTGAGGCAAAAAAATGAGCTTATATCTCCAGTCGCGGAAGAAGGACCCCCTGTATTCCCAGGCAATTCATTTGATTTGCTATGCTGTCCAGCACGTATAACGATGGCTGTATCGAATTAAACAGATAACCGGCTTGTTTGGCCGGTCCACGTCCTAAACCCTGTTCGCTCGGCGAGGCTGATGACGTTACACTGCTAATTTGTACACTAGTCCGTCTAGGAATCATTCTATAAATTATAATGCATTTTTCATTGGACTGGACTCGTATGACTCTTTTGCATGTGATAAGTTCTAATTCATTCCAATTTCACTTAATTAACTAGGAAGCATTTCCATCCCAACTGACCCACGGCTGGCCGCGGGCCGAGCCTTGGCCGACCCCGAAGGCATGGCCAGATCAGGTGATGTATCGATAATGGGGATGGCAATTCCACCGCATCGCCAGCTGTTGACACATCGAGTCTTCACTTGTCGGATCCACCCCAGCATCAACATCAGCATCAGCCGCCTTCTCAAGCTGACGATTCCTCCACCGCAGCGTAAAATGCAGCACTGTCGCCATGACAATACACATCCCCGAAAAGGCCACATTCGCTACATTGGCCTGCCAGTACCGCGGCCCCTGTGTCTCCGGATAGAAATAACTGGCATAGATCGAGGCGAAATTCGACCCTGCGTTGACGACGGCATAGGCAACCGCCCGCTTGGAGCGAGGCCGTGGGAGTGAGGTCGACACCCATGACAGGATACATCCAAACGACCCGTAGATCGACATCATCATGAACGTGGAGATATACCGGGCCGCTACGTTCAGCGTGACGGCGCTGATGATGAACCCGATACTGCTAAATACCTGCGGCCAGACGACGTGCAGCCATCGCTCGCTAACCTTGTCGCTGTGGAAGGAGTTCATTACGCTGAGGATGGCGGCGAACATGTATGGTGGCGCGGACAATAGCAGTGTCTTGGTGGTGCCGTAGCCGAGCGTTTCGACGATTGTCGGGAAGAAGTTGGTGAAGCATGCGGCAGTGTTGAGGCCAAGCTGCATCAGCCAAATGATGTACAGTACCGGATCGGCAAAGGCAAGTCGCAGGCCTTCCCATTTGCTGCGCGTCTCGTCGTGATCGCTTTCGTTGGCTTCTTCCGCGAGCCGGGTTACGGCTAGAATCCGTTCCTCGTCTGTGAGCCATTTCGTTGTCTCTGGGTAGTCAGGGAGAAGAAACATCGCAACGAAAGCGATGGGGATCGTGGCGCTTCCTTCGATGATGACTTTAAACGGTATTTGTTAGCAGAGCTTCGTCTATATCCTCGATGTGAACTTACACAGCCACCTCCAGGCTGGAAGTCCCGCTTTACCATCCATGCCTGACATGATGGCGCTTCCTAGAAGCCCACCAAAGGCTCCGGAGATCTGAGCCGCGACATAGAGAATGGAGATGCGCGCTGCAAGCTCTTTCTTGGTATACCACGAGGAGAACAGGAATAGTGCACCGGCTGAATATTTCGTCAGAATTGTTCATTATCCGAGTTTTTCCCGGGGGTACCAACGAAAAAATGGAGCTTCGACGAAACCGAGGACGAATCTCAAGGCGAGAAGGCCTTGATAGTTTTGAACGGCGCCAGTGCATGTGCTTACAATGGCCCATGCACACATCACAGCGGGCTGTTGGCTCATTAGCCCTCTATACTTTTCATATGTTGCACCTCCTTTTTGGCTTACCAAAAACCTCGAGGGCCTCATTTTGTTCAGAATCATATTTGTCGGGACCTGAGTCAGAATATATCCAACAAAGAATAGACCTGTCACAGTCAGATTCCAATTTGAATCCGCATTTTTATTACAGATGACTGACTGATGATTGTGTTGTATTGATTTCCATGAAGGCTAAGGTCCTTCTCAAGTGTCCCCAAACGCGCCGTCGCAATATTATTTCGATCCAAGTAGTTCAAGATATCTTTCATAGACCATTAGCTTCGTCAAAGTCGCAGTATGATGAATTAACTTCACATACAAATTAACATCATCAAAGGCAGCAAGCGCATATCGAGCTTTCGAATGAACTTCTTTTCCAATTCATTGCGGTTCGGAATTATCACGTTGGCCACTTCAACTTTGGCTACATCTTTCTCATCTTGCGGGAAAGTTTCAAGCTCATCACCTGCTCCCTCGTCGCGCTTCTCGAGGCTAGAGCTTTTTTGCATTTCGAATTTGTGTGACCACGACGTGGGGCGTCGTTGAGATTGGAATTGGAGAAAATCTAAGCTTCATCCCAGGTTCCACAACACCGTGGGTGGCAGATCCGTTTTGTAGAACATGGAATTTCCCCACTTCCCCGCCTTTACCCCGGTCCCCGGGGTGATCTCGGTGTGAGCCCCGGAGTGAGCCCCGGAGTCTGAATTCTCCAGGTTCTTTGTTGAGGAACTATGCTTTGACGATTCGGGAAGACTACCGACCCGTTTCTCGGCGTGCATGTCGGCTATTTACCCGAAGTAGAACCGAACGACATTTCTGGCCTACAAGTGGCATGATATCACGGACTACCAAAGTCGCTTGGGCCCATATATCGACCATTTTGCTTTTTAGTCAGTCGAAATTAGACCTCAAAGGAACGAAAATGGTTGGTCAAAATCGAATTATCTCCAAGCTCCCATTGGGTAGAAACTATATAGGTTCTCTCAGAGATAATAGAAATAATTTACAGTCAATACATCTTACAGCTGGAAGATTCCAGCAGCGAAAGCAGCCATGCCAGCCGCGAAAACGAAGCAGAACTGCGACAGCGACGCAGCAGAGGACATGGTCGAGGAGGCAGAGGCACTAGCAGCCGAGCCGGAGCTAGCAGTCTTGGAAGCAGACGAGCTGGACGAGGCCATGCTGGAGCTGGCCACCGAACTCGACGAGCTGCCCAGGTTGGTAGAGGAAGTGCTGTTGCTCGCCTTGATGCTAGTATAGGAACCGGTCTTGTCGGTGTACTTGTAGGCCTGGGCGGGGTTGTAGTTGGTGATGTTGACCGAGTCGACGTACATGGTAAAGGGGCCGTTGGTGTAGTCGGTCTCGCCGCCAGCCCACTCAATGGTACCCTCGGCGTTATCGGGGTCACCACCGGCCCAGATACCGATCTTGATGCGCATGGGGGTCTGGGGAAAGTTCTTGCCGGAGACAGCATTGGCGTACTCGAGGGTGCGCACGACGGAGCCGTCGAGGAGCCACTCGATGCGGCTGGAGGTCCAGTCGATACTGTACGTGTGGAAGGTCTCTTCAGGGCTGGAGACGTCAACGGTAGTGGCTCGGTCGTAGGAGGTGGTGTTGCCCTTTCCGAAGTAGTCGGTTTCGATGGAGGAGTCGTAGGTGCTGATTTGCTCCTGTGCTGGGGTTAGGTTTGTACGCCTAGTTTGGGACTTGTCGCTCTCTGTGTCTGACTTACCCAGTCGATCTCATCGAGGTCATCGGACTCCATAACGGCGGTAGAGATAATACCGGTGCCGTTGGCGGCTCTCATCTTGACGTCGACACGGCCGAAGAAGATGTAGAAGTCACTCTCGATAGTGGGAGCATCGCCCTGCTCGGAGATGGTGAACTTGGCACCGAGCGAAGTGCTCTCGACAGAGCCCGAGGTCGTGTTCCACTTGCTGAAAGCAGACGAGCCAGAGGTAAAGTCGGTGTTGAGTTGCCATTGGTTCAGACCGGTGTCGGCAGCACAGGTCTCTGCAAGGAAGTCGTGAGCTATCTGCTGATAAGACGGAATGGCAAGACCTCTACTCACTCTTGAACGGGTTGCACTTAGTGTAAGTCTGGGCAGCACCGAGCTGAGCAGTGGCCAGACCAACCGCAGTCAACTTCAAAAAGGAGTTGGAAACCATCGTGGCTTTTTTCCAAGCAAATCTGGCAATTTTCAAACGAGTGAACTGTGTAGGTGAAGACCAGACGAACGATGGGGACGAGCGGCGAAGTCGCTCGATTAAAGGGCCAGCGAAACAACTCAAGAACCGGGGGACGAGTCCATAAATTTCCTAATTCATCTATTTATACGCCCCCAACCCCATCAGACGCAAGCCAGCGACGCCGATGTGCTCGGTTATGGGGCTTTCGCTCCACCGCCGCAGACGATATGTCTGACCACAGCGACGCGAGTCGACAATTGGGCAATGGCTCAATGGCAGTGGAGACAGGCACCTGAGGAAGCAGCATTGCATCTTGTTGCGTCTTCTTAGGGCATCCCAATTTAATCAATGGGGCTCCACCGAAAAAGCTTGGGTTGGTTGATGACGGCAGCAGCTTGCGTGGTTGGTTTCGCGCGGCGGATCTAACCGGGCGGTCTACGTACGCCCTGTCTGAATCTTTTGCCCTAACTCAGTCATCAGCACCGAGGTCTTCATACAAAGCCGAGGAGGTATCTCACTGCGACGAGGAATAGAGCAAAAATAGCACCTCTCTTCCATGGTAGTGCATCGAAGAATCGCAGAATGGCACTCAAAGCCACCAAGAAGCCACGCATGGTAGAGAGGACCCACTATCCACGACGCAGCTGATATTGTCTTATCCAGCCAAGAGATCGATCAGGGAATCGAGGTGTCTCACGCCGCATACGCGACGGTCTCTTTTGGGACTCGTCTCTTCGGTCAAGAACTGGGCCGCCCTCGGAATTAATGTGCCGGCCACGATCAAGTGCGTACGCCAATATGGACACACCTGAGACCCAAAGCCAGTGCAAGCCATGAAAGTCGCTTTCATGTCCCAAATCGCCACCGGTCCATAGGAGTAGTCTCCCGGAGGTGAACAATCGTTATCTATCCCCTAATCGAGCACAAGGCCTCGGTGTAAATCATGTTGCAGCTTGATGGGACGGTGAATCCGATATGGGGGTCAACCAGGAAGGCACCTGGGATCACGAAGTGATACTCATGTGGATTTTTCTTCAATCTTAGTAACGTGGAGTATCTCACTACAATCATAGCCTAGAGAGATAAATTCTTTATTTCCACTTCCATCAGGAGGTTTCTACAACCCAAGATGAGATCAACAAGAACAATGATATTGAAATAATATCGATATCTGCTGTTGAAGCTGGCACAAGCCTAATGCGACTATGGACATAAGAATGCAAATATGTGAGGGATGCAAGCTATGCCAATGACATGCTTAGAGAAAAGTAGAAGGATTCAAATGGTCAGTAGCAGCGTGCTTCTTGGTCGGCTCAAGGACCGGTACCCTGATAGCTCCCTTGTCACCCACCGGCATAGGGTTAGGCGAAGGGCCCGGGGTGCGTTCGGATTTGTTTTGGCGCTGAATGAGACCGTTGGTGATTCCGAGGACGGAGTCGACGATGACGGCGTCAATGCCTTCGGCGACTTGGTACTGTTGGAATTTGTTAGTGACTTGTATTTTGTTTTCCTGGGGTTGGGGGAGATGACTTACGTCCACATTCACGCCATCGTTGTTCAGCGTGCCGTATGAAACGCAAACGAGACCGGATTCCTTGACGATGCGCACCAGACGTGGGCACAGGACGAGTGGCTCGGCCTGGCTGACGATGCCGAGAAGGTTCCAGCGGGACGCGAATCGGATGGCTTCCTGGAGACTGCTGGCGCGGATATCGCCGACGGGCGACGCGCCGGCATCAGTCAGGAACAGAACGGGGATCGAGGGCTGCTTGAAGGAAAGCAAAAGACAAATGTCGGGGTTGAAGCTGGAAAACAGTATGTCGCGGCCCTGGCCCATGTCGTAGACCTTGGCGAGAATCGTGTCCACAAAGGAGTTCAGTTCGACAGCGTAGGTGTCCATCTCTTCCTCCTCACTCTCGTGGAGCATGGGGTATTCTGGCGATCTAGGTTAGATCGTCGAAATGTAGCTGTTCTTCGGGATGGGATTATAACTCACTCAGTTCAATGTTAAAACCCACAGGGTTGGGAATTTTCTTGAAAAGTTCCTCCAAAGTGGCGAAAGGTGCCTGAATGTGCTCGCCGCGGGTGTTACCCTTGAAGCCCTTCTTCTTGAAATCCCGAGTATGCTTGATCTTCTCAGTCAGTTCGGCCGGGTCGTACAGTGAGCCACCGACAGACATGGAACGTTGGCGGGGAGGAATATTCGAGTCTCCGTTGACATCGACGCTATCAGGGAGCGCATTGCGGTGTCGGCCCTTTCCAAGCTCCAAGAACTGATCCAGTGTCAAGGTGTGCACCGGGGCATCAATGCCTGTTTCGCTGACCAGGAAATCATGGTAAATAACAGGCACATGGTCCTTGGTCAGCTGTACGTCAAACTCGACATAGGATGCGCCCAAATTGGCGGCAGCAATGAACGACTGAATGGTGTTTTCACCAAGCTGGAGAGAATTGCGGCTGGCCATGTTCTTACCCAGGCCACGGTGTCCAATAACCATGGTCGAGCTCATGGACCGCCAGTAGGTCTGGTTGCCCGTGATGGACATGTTTGGATGCTTGAAAGGTGTGATGATCAAGAAGTTGAAGGTGACCGATCCAATGACATCCAGGGTGTTTGCCGCAACAATAGGCACGGTGGAGTCTCCCTTCAGATTGATACGCTGTGATCCAACGGTAGGCTTAATGCTGGAAAGCAGTGCAACACCACGGCCAACGACTTGGTCCTTGGATCCTGAGTACGTGGGGACTAGGTCAAAGAGAAGACGGACTTTGCTGGCATTGGTCGAGTGGAACACAATTGGCTCCGTCGAGATATTGTCCTGCACAGGCAGATCAATCACCTCTGGCTCGCCATGGGCACCACTCGCAGTCACCACGAGTGACAGTGAGGTATCCAGCTGTGTAGCATGCGCGTTCTCCATGGGGATTCGGTCGAGGTTGACAGTTTCCAGGGGCTTCCGCATGTCCATGGTGCCCAGGCTCACCAGAATCATGGTCTCGTCGGTGAGATACCGGTGTCCAAATGTTTTAATAGGCTCAGCATTACGGAGGCCAGAATTCCCGGCAGAGGTAGGAGCAGGGGCATTGGAGCGTCGGTCAGTCAAGGATGACTGTGCTGGAGGAGATCCTGATGGAGAAGGGCTGTGGCTAGGAATTGAGGGCGAGGGCTCGGGTTCGGCAGCAGGGGGCCCAGGACTAACCTCAGCCAGGCACCGCGCAATTTCAAGATGGCCTCGCAGCGCTGCGTGTTCCTTTGCCGTCCAGCCAGAAGAGTCGAAGCGCTCCAGATCTGCGCCTGCTTCAACAAGCAGCTTCGCGACACCGAGGGTACCATCCACGCACGCAATGAATAGCGGCGTCCAAGCATAGGTTTTTTCTGCCAGTTCCGTGTTGGCCTTTTGATATTCCGAGCCTTCCAGGATGATCCGCGCACATACGTCGTGGCCAAAGCGGGCCGCGACATGCAGAGCAGTTTCACCCTGTTCATCCTGGTAGTTGATATCAATACCAGCATCCACCAGCAGTTGAACAATGTCCACAAAGTTGGCCTTGGTAGCTAGAGCGAGAACGGCACTGGACTTGGAGACCTGTCTCCTCACCTGGTCGGAATGTCCATGTGTCTCTCTCCAGTTTTCAGCATCCAGGAGGCACCGAGTGGTCTTCGGGTGACCGCCGATCACACTCAGGTGCAGAGGCGCCCAGCCATCCTCGTCCTGCCACAAAGGGCCGTCGATACCATCGCTCACATCGAACATTTCCCATTCTTTGAGGTGCTCGATAATGATTTCGCAAACCACCTTGAAACCATACTGGGCCGCATAGTGCAGCGGAGTCCGGCCTGAAAGGTCCTTGGTCATCAGTGACTCCCGTTGGTCGGGACGCAGGTGGTCTAGCAGATGCTGCAGGATCGCCACTGCGGGGTCATCCCGTCCAAGCTGCTGGGGCATATGCGCTTCTTTAACCACGGAGCGAGGTGGCTGCAGGGTCGGTGGCGCAGCGGGAGTGATGTAACGGGAGGTCTCTGGCGGGAAGTCCAGTACCATAGAAGCAGCCGGTTCTGAATCACTGGTCGACTGTTCACGGCCGACCGAAATGACAAGGCGGTGCAGACAATTGCGACGGTTGATATCGTCGTCCTCGTCGAGGGAGTCCACACGAGCCAGGAGGGCCGTCAGGCAAGCCTTGGCACGATGCAGAATACCACGCTGGATGAGGGTCTTGAGGACTTTGGCGAAGACTCCCTCGCCGGCGTCATCGGCTGCATTCTTCAAGGTCTCAAGCAGTTCCAGAAGAACATGGGTATCGTCCTTTCGCAAGGAGTCATCCACTGATGTCAGCACAACGGCAGGCAAGTTCAAGAAAGGACGCGCGGAACCACGCTTCAGTGACAGAGAAGAGTGAGTCGAGCTCGCGTCATCAGCTATTTTCTCTTCAGTCTTGGCTTGGTCAGTGATCACCGCCATCCAGGCATTGATGCGCTCCTGGGCCTTGATCGCACGCGCATTCGAGGCAAAGGGAGTGGGGTCGACCTTGGTCTCGAGGTAACGCTTCTGCGCCTGAGCGCCGACCTTTTTGTCCAGCTTCTTGGTGATCTTTACGAAGCCTCGGCGGTTGACCTCACCATACCACTGTAAGCGGCGCAAGTGATAGCGCAGGTCCAGTAGGGCCTCACGCAGATCATGGCTCTCCTCCGCCTCCAGCGCGTGATGGCCCTCCATTGAGTATCCGTACCGGTCCTCCAACAGCTTCAAGCGGCGCGAGAACTCGGCATATTTCTTGTTGTAGAAGTAATCGACATCTTCGACATTTCGGTCGAGGGAGTAGAAAAATCCTGAGTCGTGAATTAGAAATAGTTGCGAGGGAGTTTTGGAATCAACCACGACTGCCACTCACCGGCAAGATCCGCATCTTGGCCCGCCTTGACTTGCTCCGCGGCCGATTTGATGAGCTGCTTCAACGGCTTGTACTTGATGTAGTGGGCGCTCCACTCGGGGACTGTGAACTGGGGCAAATTGCGGCCGAACTTCATGTTGACGGTCGGCACAGCTGTCTGCTCTGTCTCCTTGTGCAGTGATGTCCGTTTGGTCTTGATACCACCACTCTATGCCGCTCTCTTTCCTCCACCTAGTATTCGAATTCCCGCCGTCGCAAAGTCGAGAACAACAAAGGAAAAGCCCAGCCTGAGAGTCACAAAGGGTGATCAGGTGAACGGACGTACGCAGGGGTTCAATGGCGCCATGTGGAAGAGTGGGAAGGGAAGTGGAGGTAGAAGAAGTGAAAGGTGGAATGAAACGGGAGCTCAAAGACCGACTGTACCTGCTTATGTGGGGAAGGGGTCAGTGGAGCGGTGAAAAATCGAGCGAGGATCTCCAACAGGAGGTGAAGGCGTAGTGGATCTAAAGGAGAGACGGAGGACCACGTGAAGCCGTGCAAAAAGGTGAAGTCGAATGGGTCCGAGGTGTGCGCCGTCGCCTGGCGGTGATTTGTCGATCCGCGGGGTCGGCCATTGTGGTTCCGCCCCGAGATTCTGCGCCGCCACACAGTCATCCTCGCCGGACGGCTGGGCACCCCGGGGTTACTTGGCGGTACCTGCACTGCCATGGCGAAATGGCGGTCTCGGAGGTACCCAAGAGTACCCTCCGGTACTGCCAAGTCAGGCCCTATCAATTGCCTTCAGGTATGCTGGGGGAGTCAACAGTTGTTGTTCTCCGTCATCCTCGTGATCAGGACAGACCGCTTGGTGTATCGACCAGGGTCTGCAGTTGTCCCCGGTCGGTAAAGCGCTAACGGAGTGAATTAGCAAATAGTTTGGCGATAGTTTCACGACGAAGCCACCGACTCCCCAAGAAGCCTCGTGATTCTGACCCATTTGCCCATTTAGGATCTTCCTGGGGCTTCTTTCTTTGACTGGAGTTAGTACTAATTTCCGAGAATGGTCTCAATCACGGATAAGGTAAACCACCTAAATATAGCGAGCCCCGTGAGCAAGTTGCGGTCCACGATTTATCCAACATCAAGCACGGGAAATACTTTCGGCAAGCAAGAATGAAGGTGTAGATAGATGGAGAAAGAAAGCGTACCCAAGGGCTTTGAGAAACTCAAGGAGGGCATGGCCATCGCCTGACCGGCGGGATTTGCTGCCCAAGTCGGTGCCAATACCCTACCTACACTACACTACACTACTCGTGTACTACATAGCAGGGTACCTGTGGTAGGCAGTGCTCGCACGACCTGGGGAAAGTACCTGAGCACTCTTGTATAGCCAAGCCCACGACATGACCACCCCTCCAGCAAGCACGATGATGCAATCTGTTCTATACCCTGACCTTTCGAGAAAACCTTCTTCCATGCTGCGGAAATCAAAGAGCTCATGGTTTCATATTCTCTATCGCTACTGCAATCGTAATCCTATGCTGAAAAGATACTAATTCGCCAGTCCGGCAACGAACGCCCCAAATCCAGAGTCCCAGCAAAGCCAAGAGAAAGATAGACAAGAAAATAAAACAAAAATAAAGCAAAATCGCTAAACCGAAGGATGTGCTCATGAGGGGTCGGAGATCATAAAAAGGAAACACAGCAAAAGTAGAAATAAAAACGCTCATATTCCCAGTGGAGAATCCCCAGTTTTGCATCTCGTTTCGGGTAAAAGCGACAGAACGTGAGGAAAAGCGCAATTCTAGCCCCCTTCGAGAAGAAAGGCCGGGAGCTACTGCTGATCTGCAACTAGTGGCTTGAGTGCCTCCACCCCGGCCTGTAACACGGCCGGGTTCTTGGTTTTCTTGAGGCACGCGGTCAAAATATCGATACCCCCAGCTGCGTGGACGGCAGCCTTTGCCCGGGTTCCGATGTCACCGGACGACGCAAGGGTCAGATTGCGCACCGAGGCGACGCCGCGGTGGACGAGTGCATCATCATCCTCCTGGCACAGACCCAGTAAAAGATCGACCCCGCGGGGTCGGTCGAGGACAGCCGCCACAGCCGCGTCATATTCCGTCAGCATAGCAATCGCGCCACCGGCGGCTCGTCGAGTCGGAAAATCATCGGCATCAGTCAGTGCCAGGAGAATGTGAAGTCGCTGTGCAGCCCGCTTGGAGCCATCGGCAAATTTGACAATGCCGGACTCACAGGTCATCAGGTTGCAAACCAATTCGCACGCAGCCCGCTGCACACGAGGATTACTGGACAGAAGGAGATCTTCCACCGCGAACCAACCTTCCCGAACGGTGAGTTCGGCCGGCGAACCGTCATGTGGATAGGAGGCAAGATTCGTCAGAGCAAGCAGACTCTCGAAAACGGGAAGGAGATCACGAGGCTGGTCCACTGAGAAGGTTGCCGGCTCAGGGGAAGACAGAAGGGAGAGCAAAGGTCGTACAGCGGTCGTGACTTGAGGGAACCCGGACGACGGGAAAACGTGTGAAGGATCGACGGAGATAAGAATTCGGGCTAGTGCATGAGACGCATTGTGGATTGTCTCGGAGGCGATGGTAGGGCTACCTTGTTTCGGGATCGTCAAGCTGAGCAACAGCTTCACGGCGCCCTGTTGGGCGAGGGCACCGCGTGACTTCTGAACCCGTGCCAGGGCCAGGATGATCTTGGCTGTAAGATCGTGGACGGCAGGCATAGCAAGTCGGCCGCATTCCACAAGAAGAGGCATGACCCCAGCGTCAATAACAACACCACATCGAGCAAGCACCACGTCGTCTTGGTCAAGAGGGTCTGGGCCAGCCTTCGCCGTGGCTTTGCCCGTCGAAGCATCCGCGTAATCCTTCAATTGGCCCATCTTCTTCTGTTCGTCGGAGAGGTTTGGGAGGAACTTTGTGAGGTTCACAATCGTCATCAAGCCGCCGTAAAGCAAAGATGAATCACGGGTATGCTTCTTCAACACCGCAACCAAGTCCCGTGTAAATGTCGGATCTTTAGTCAGTTGCTCCTTCACGAAAGGCTTGACGGAAGAGTAGGCCAGTCCTTCAATGGCGTGCGAGATGTTTTCGACCTTGGATTCAGACATCAGTCCCTTGAATCGTTCCACCAACTCAGAGACGGTGTCTTCCTCCTGGATCTTACCGTTCTCCTCGGGCTTAGTGGGCTCGGATGCCCGAATCTTGGCTAGAACCACAGCTGCCAATTCGGAGCCCTCATCGCTTCCATTTGTCAAGGTGTGTGAAAGCCACTCAGAAAAGTTCTTTGAAATTGCTTCCCGAGAAGGGCGGTTGACACAGGCTGCATTCAACAGCTCCAACATCGACACCTCCACCTTCCTGCGCTTGGCCTCTCGCGTCGCCAACGGGGTCAATGCGTTCATAAACTCATCCGACAAGAAGACGCCGGCAGCTGCAGAGGGCGCGACAGGGAAGACCGCAGCCACGGCCGAAAAAGCAATAATCAGATCGTCGAGGCGGCCTTTGGCGATCATCGCCGAGATCAGCGTGGAGAATTTCTTTGCGCCTGCATCCTTCGAGACCTCCAGATACTTTGCCGTCGCCAGGGTGGCTTGACTGCGCAGCTCCAGTGGTAATCGATAGTCCAGCGAAGTCAGGATGACCTCAAATCCTTCATCATCAAAGAACTTTTGGAGACGCTCGGCGTCCACGGCGAGTAGCCGGGTGATTCCCTTCAAAGAACGACCATCCAGGTCATGGCCGGATTCCATCAGCTTAGCCAAGAAGAGCTGGAACAATTCATCTTCGCAGTGTGTCCGGGTGCCCTCCGATGGCCAGACGCTGGGGTCCAGCACCACGGTGTCCAGACACACTGCTGCCCCATCGCCTCGATCGTAGATCTCGTCAAAAAAAGTCGTGACCGAAACCTGGAGTTGGGTTGAGAAGTATTGGCGCACGCTGGCGCTCTGTCGCACGAGCCCAGAAATGATCTCATCCTGCGTCTCGGTGAGGGCATGTGCTGGTTCTGCCAGGAGCAGCTTCAGAGATTCCAGTGCCACATTCTCCGGCGGTTTCAGGCCGTCCGTGCGGAGGTAAGCCGCTGCCTCCTTTCCGATGGAGTCATCTTTGCGGGTAGTGTAACGGCGGCAGAGACCTAGCAGTGGGTGGCCAATCTCTTCCTCTTGCTGAATTTTGAGGAAGGCGGCTTTGACTTCGGGGTTATCGGAAGCAATGGAAAGAGCCTCTCGGAGGTTTCGTGAGGCCGCCTAAATTAGATATTCTCCTGTGAGTAAATTGACGCCGAAGGCGATCAATTGCACGAGACCGCGCCGGGGTGTGTAGAGTGTCCTTACCTCGCGGTGGCCGGCGTCGACCAACTCGACAGCCTCTCGTGCCAGGTGTACAGCGCGCTCTTCACCCGTTGCTTGGACCATTGCAGGGTTGCTAGGGAGCAGCACGCTGCGGAGATCAAAGTCCGGATATCGGGTCTTGGGGTTTCGATTGTTGAAAGGGTGGTGGAAAAAAGAGTGCGCGAACTTTTTTTCGGGGTGAGGGGTGGGAAGGCGGAGGCGGAGAGGCGGAGCGGAGGAAAGGGAGGGTGATTTATCAGATGGTCTGGACAGGCCACGTCAGGCGAAAGGGGAGTAAGCGGATGCGGCCTGAAGGGGAGAAAGGTTGAAAAAGCAATGGGTCTTGGGTGCTGGAGCTGCTACTACTGAAATTTAGTCGACTAGTCCATGGAGTTACTACTCGTGCAGGGCGATACACATACTCCGGTATTACCAGCCAATCCCCCCGCGGGCCGTATCGTTACGCCATCCCATCTCACGCATTATCAACTCCCCCTGATAAGGCCAACCACAGCGGGCCCTTCCATCACGTTCCTCTGCTTGGCTATGACGACCTGGTGGGCAATCCGTTTGCCCGTGCTCCAAACCTTCTGCGGTGAAGTGCTCAACCCTTCCCTGGGCTCCTTGGCTGAATTCCCCTTGTCCTTTCAACAACCACCGGAAGATAGTCCCAACAGGATGAGCTAAACGCGGTACGCACGACAGCGTCCTCGCGAGGGGCCGAGCATGTGGGACGCCCTCTCATTCGAGGAGCGCGCCGCGTAGCGCTATCCTTAAATTTCCATTCTCCGGCATACAGAGTACAAGCTGTCATAGCTCCAGCGAATCGTCGGTTCCGGGGGTACCCCAGAGGATTCCAAGATTGAGAATTATTGGATCACAAACTGTTGGCATGTAAGGAGCCGTCCAGCTCCTCGCCCTCCCATTCGGAGACCTTTCAGTGTCCAATACTATTGTGTCTTCCCTAGCACAGTCAATCGGAGAAGGCCACCCGTACACTGTAGTGAAGCCAATTTAATAGAAATGGTAAAAAGAACACTATTGGCTTGTTTTGATATTGTCAGGTCAAATTTTGGAGCATTTTGTGAACGCCATTGTGGCACATATATATATCCGCATGAGGGTTATAACTCGATTGTTGTGGGCCCATAGAGGATTCACTGAAAGATCCAACTACATACTCGAGCTTGCAGGGTTAAGGTTTCCCATTGAATGTATGAAGAAATAGAGATATTACGTTAAACCAAATACACACTTCTCGTACTTCAAATTTCCATTCATAATGTTGTCGTATAGAAGCATGGCCAGGTTTTGATCGGCGAATTCATACATGCAGACCGCCTCGGACCACCAGGGCAGGCCGATCCTTATCACCCGTGACCGTCCTTATCGGACTACTTTGTCTGCCGACCAGACAGGCGAACATTCTCCCAAGTCTCTTTTGTCTGGTGTTACTTCTCTCGGATCTCAGTATAGGGTTCGCACGCCGAAGGCAAACCAGACCCCTAGCTGCACCGCAAAAAGTCTCACCGGAGTACCTCTGGTCCTGAGGGTCCGCCCTCAGTGACCAGTACTCACATCATGAATTCTGTCGATGCCTCGGAGCACGTTGAGCAGGGAGCCGTCGGTAAGTTGGATATTAGATCCCTCCACACGCCACTGCGCTCGCGAATGATTTCTTACCATGCAGACCTTGCCCCATCTCTCCTCACAGTCATTCTCGACACCAACCCTCGCGCCTGGGCCGCACTGAAAGACTCACTCGCCCTCTCTCAAGCCGTCGCAAACATCCTCGTCTTCATCAATGCCCACCTTGCGTTCAACTATGCAAACGAAGTCGCAGTTGTCGCATCGCACAGTCAGAAAGCTGCTTGGCTTTACCGTCATGATATCTCCGCGAAACCCAGCACGGATAACGATGGCAACGGGGATATCGACATCGACATGGATGCCCCGACACCTGCCCAGACGAACAAATACCGTCCCTTTCGCCTCGTTGAGGAACAAGTCCTCAAAAACCTAAACGATCTCATGGACTCGACAAATAGCGACGATATCCGAGAGAATACATCAACCATGCTAGCCGGCGCGCTCACACTCGCTCTCAGCTACACCAACCGGCGCAGGATCGCCTGGGCTCAGGAACACGGCGGCGCAGACCTCAACGATGCCGTCGGCGAAGGTAGTGGGGGCACAGGCATAGGATCCGGACTGGGTCGAAGCTCCGCCTCAGATGATGATGATCGCCTCCAAAGTCGCATTTTGATTGTTTCGGTCAGCGGATCCAGCGACTCCGCCCACCAATACATCCCTGTCATGAACTGCATTTTCGCCTGCCAGCGTCTACAAATCCCGATTGACGTATGCAAGCTCAGTGGTGATGCGGTATTCTTACAACAGGCCTGCGACGCTACCAAGGGCGTCTATATGGCACTTGACGAACCGAAGGGCTTGCTTCAGTACCTAATGATGGGATTCCTGCCTGATCAGCGCTCTCGCCGGCATCTTGTGCTCCCCACCAGTGACGATGTTGATTTCCGCGCTGTGTGCTTCTGTCATCGTCGGGTCGTAGACATTGGCTATGTTTGCTCCATTTGCCTGAGCATCTTTTGCGAGCCACCCCCTGGATACGAGTGCTTGACATGTGGAACTGTGTTGGATCCGGCAGGTGATGATAAAAAGCCTGCTCTAATTCCACGGGGAAAGAAGAAGAAAAAGAAGCGGGCGAATGCGACTTCAGCAACGGGAACGCCCGATGCCATGTCGACGCCCACACCTACGCCTGGACCTTGATCTTATCTCAATTTTCGAGTTTACTAGGAGCCTGAATACCTCAAAATGAACTTACAAGAATGCAAATCAATCAGCTTCGATATGTAGACCTTCTAGGGAATCTGGAAACTTGAGTGTAGAAACGCCTAGCCGTCACCGCTGCAAGACTCCTGCCATGTGCACATTGAAAATACCCTTTGTCGAAGACGTATGGGACCACAAAAAAGACCAAAAAAAAGCGGAACCAGTCGCTATCGGTATGCAAAGCGCAGAGAAGTGTGACCAGAGCCCGTTGTTGCCATAATAGAGACAAAAAAATCAAAAACCCCAAACACCGTCACAAAACCACCCTTGAAACTGATTGGAAGAAGTGCGATGAAGCTGAGCTTACCGACGCTTAGAAATTGAGGGTTTCGAAGTAATGCAATCGCTCTTTGCGTTTAGGCTCGGGTGTCTGCTCCTCGTTTTGCAGAGGGTTAGTCCGAGGGCTTTTTTGCGCCGGATCCTGAAGTTAGCTATGCACCTGAGAAAGGGTCTCCAGGAGTGTACGTACGCTGGAGTGCGATTGACTGGCCGAAACATCAGGCCTCCTTGCGCAATACGAACTGGATGACGACCTAAACCTTTTCCTTTGTCCGGGACGCGTGACATGACGGCAGAAGGTAGTTTATCATTGCTCGACATGGATCCAAGCGCCTGCAAGTGATGTCTGTCAACTCATGGATTCGGGTATATGGAGTTGTGAGCACTTACGAAAGACTTGGCATTGTGTGCGAAGTATAGCGCGATTCCGTCCGTTGTTCTTTTAACTGCCATGATACCGATATCACCTCCAAGGGAACTGTGCCGGACCGCTGGGTGACCTAGAGAACTGTTAGTTTCCGACAGATGCTGACATGTGCAACTAGACACACCGATGAATTCGTTGGTGATCATAGCAGAAAGAGCCTCTTCTTCAGTGACTTGTTCAGAATGAGAATTTCCGTTCATCTTTTGACAATGATAGACCCGGGCGGCGCTGGTGCTGGCTGCGAAGCTCGAAGCAATATGCTCCCCCGTACCGGAAGTAACAGCCGCGACGGCAGTCTCGTCTGGATCCTCAGGGTCAACAGGGATGACATGAGTGCCGATGCCAATCAACGCGGCAGGCCCGATTCTTCCACGATGCTTCATGCCAATTCCCCCCGAAGAAGAACCAGCAGCGATGTTTCCGTACCGATCAACGGCAATCGCTCCAACAGTGTCCGTGATTGCATCGCCCCCATCATCACCGAAGCCCTGGCCATCGCCGAGACCCGACCCTTCTGAAAAGGACTCAAAGTCCAAAGGATGAAGAGGTTGGTACTTGAGGGCATCCCGGTCAATTGACATCTCATCATGTGCAGCATCTATGTTCTGACGCATCGTCTCTAACTCGCCTTCGACCTTGGTCTGCATATCGGGGGCCTGGAAACTTTGCGAGATGCGAACCTTCATCGGATCTTGAACTTGACGGAGAAAGTCATCCGGGCGCTCTTTGCGAGCCACGGACTCTTTGGCTTTAATTTGTTCTTTCCAAGAAATCCAGCGAGATCTTGCAGCAGGAGAAACCATCTCATCATTGGTCATGGTAATGAGTCCGTTTTCGAAGGCAAAGTCCTCCGCGCCTTTTCCAGCTAGGAAATTGGGCGGAATGCGACCGCAACCAGGGTTTTTTGAAGCTTTATCGTAAATCTTGCGGGCAAGCATGATGGGGTTCTTGACGTCTGTGACCGTCAGGAATTAGCTAATATCAAGGGTGAAACCATGGCTAGAAGGGATCTTACGGGGTACAGCCCCAGCAGCACCACTGCGCCCAAAATGGTCGACAATCGTGGCATCGCCTTCCACAACACCTTTTTCGTTCAGATTGCTGCCATAACCTGAGTTGGTGATGGGGTCGTCTTCGAGGGCGGAAATGGCAATCTCGACAGCGTCAACGGCAGATCCGCCATTCCGCAGAAAGACCATGCCGGCCCTAACGGCACTGGAAGAGAAAGGTCAGTAACTCAATTGCCCATTCAGGTGACAGAGCTATGGATAACCTACTGCTTGCAGGACAGGAGATGCTGCTCTGAGTTCTCGAGGGAGTGAAATCCCGCTCCGACATGAACGAAAATGGCGCAGAGGCCGTCCGACTGCCCTGCATCACCCATCTTTATCCTTGAGCGTGAAGCGAGAGTACTGACAGCGAGCTCGTGTCAGGTTGATTGTTGATGACGATGCAGGGTGCGTGTGTTAGATGACAGCCTGTGACAGACACGAGGCAGTTGGTCACCAAGTGACCGAATTCTAGAGCTGGGGAGTGGCGGGTAGTCTTGCAGCTGGGCAGATTGCCCAACTGTACGTGGAACAATAGTCGTGTAGATGTGCAGAGCAATGCTCATAAGGAATGGAAAAAGAATGTCGGGGAAGGATAGCGATGCCCGAAGACAGGCGTGAGGATGAAGATATGGGTAAGAGTGGGAAGAGAGAGCGAGAGAGAGAAATTCAACGCGGTGCGAAATAAAAGACAAATTGGTCGCCCACTGAGCTTGGTGTTCTGCCGCACCTTTCCCGGCTGGCAGCACGAGGTGGGAGGAGATCAGAAGTAACTCACGGCATTTCAAAGCCGATCGAAGAAACTATTTACTTTTGGGTACACAATGCTATGTGATCGCCAGTATATACTGCTGACTGGGCCTGTAGAATACTCAAAAGCAAGATAGAAACCAGCGTCTATCGCATTGAATTTCGCTTTTTTTTTTTGTTGCGGGCTTCTCGACTCCCCTACCGGTTGCTATCCAGCTCCAGGCACATGACGTGGGTGCGTTAGTCAGCATGCTCCCCGCCTGTCTGCCTGGGCTCCGCCACGGTCGACTTCATCTCCCCCCCCCATTCTACGGCGGACCTGCCATTCTCCTTAGTATTTGGATTGGCCTGCTGAATCACTCTCCGCCATGGCGTCCCAAACACCTGCCGTTGTCATGGACAAGTAAGTGGCCCAAGTCCCCCCCGGAATTGATTCCAAGCTGACCGGCTATCTAGCGGTACTGGTTACTCCAAGCTGGGTAGGTGCTGAATGCTTGGAACGCAAGCTGTAACATTGCAATCGCTCGCTCCAGAATGAGACTAACGAGATTTCCTTTCGGGTGTTGACAGGTTTTGCCGGTAACGATTCTCCCTCCTTCGTCTTTCCCACGGCCATTGCAACCAGGGCCGGTGCTGGGAGCGCTGGCAGCTCCGGTGCTCGGCCTGCTGTCGCAAACAAACCCTCTTTCTTGTCCGGCGGTGGCGGTGGTAGCTCGCATCTGTCCGCAAAGCGTGGCACCGAGGATCTGGACTTCTTCATCGGCGATGAGGCTCTAGCCGCTGGCAATGGCCCTGGCTATGGTGTCAACTACCCCATCCGACACGGTCAGATCGAGAACTGGGATCACATGGAGCGTTTCTGGTCGAATTCAATTTTCAAGTATCTCCGCGTTGAGCCCGAAGATCATTACTTCCTCCTCACCGAACCCGTAAGGAGACCATCCCCATTGCCCCCCTCCGCCCCGAGATGTCAAAGAGAAATAGAAGGCTAACATCGAGATCTGGGGTTAGCCGCTGAACCCTCCCGAGAACCGCGAAAACACCGCCGAGATTATGTTTGAATCTTTTAATTGCGCTGGTCTCTACATTGCCGTACAAGCCGTGCTTGCCCTCGCCGCATCCTGGACCTCCTCGAAAGTGACCGACCGATCGCTCACCGGAACTGTGATTGACTCGGGTGACGGTGTCACTCACGTCATCCCCGTGGCTGAGGGATATGTTATCGGATCCTCCATTAAGAGTATACCCATCGCCGGTCGCGATATCACATACTTTGTGCAGAGCCTGCTGCGAGACCGCGGGGAGCCGGACAGCAGTTTGAAGACCGCGGAGAAGGTCAAGGAGGAGTATTGTTACGTGAGCCCGGATATTGTCAAGGAGTTTGCCCGCTACGACCGCGAGCCCGATCGTCTCCTGAAGCACACCGTGACCTCGCCTAACGGACGTAGCGTACAAATCGACATCGGATACGAGCGCTTCCTCGCCCCGGAGATCTTCTTCAACCCCGAAATCTACTCCTCCGACTTCCTGACCCCTCTCCCCAACGTTGTCGATGGCGTCATTCAATCTTCACCCATCGATGTGCGACGAGGACTCTATAAGAACATTGTCTTGTCCGGCGGTTCCACCCTGTACAAGGACTTTGGCCGTCGTCTACAGCGTGATATCCGCCACCTGGTGGATGACCGCATTCGTGCTTCTGAGGCCCGTAGTGGCGGTGCTCGGAGTGGTGGTTTGGATGTGGCGGTTGTCACGCACAAGCGCCAGCGACACGGTCCCTGGTTCGGAGGCAGCCTGCTGGGTCAGACGCCCGAGTTTCGGAGCTACTGCCACACCAAGGCCGAGTACGACGAGATTGGCCCCAGCATTGTGCGCAGATTCGCACTGCTTGGTGGCCCGGGAAGCACTTAAAACAGTGTCTCCTTCAGTATCGTGTCTTCACAGCCTGGTGTAGCTGGACTCTTTTGTTCATAATCCGTTATTTTATCTCTTCCTACTGTTCGCATGCTCCTCGTTTTATTTCTGGTCCAAAGCAGGCGGCATGTTGGTGAGTTCTCAGCAAGTTATTTCTGGCTCCCAAGTAGATAGACGGGTGGATTTTGAGCCTAAGACTTTTCTTTTATTAATTTTCAGAAGCGTCTTGAAAATGCAAAAATTATTATCTACTATCCAGTCGAACCCTTTTCCCTAAGTTTTGACACATGGATCCCACACCGAAGCATAGGAAGACAAGGACCATGATGTTTCAAGATTATCGGTTCCATTTTCTTTGGTTTATTCATACCTTTTGCACATGGCAATGTCTCATACTTTCTGTTTTTGATTCCAACATGGGCCCCTCGATCAACTTGACTTTTCGCCCTTCCCACCATGACATGATCCCAGCCAAAAGCGAGCTGAAACAGCCCAGACCGATGAAAAGACCAACCCCAAAGCTCGGACGGTTATGTCTATCATAATACCACATGAAAGTCGCCATGCCAATCTGGAAAAGACTATTGAGCAGCATATTGATCACGACAAAGTCCATTTTCCACGAACTGGTGGCTGGAGCAATATTGCCCGTCGCTGTTTTGATGAAGTCTCTATTGTCGGAAGCTTCCTCAACAGAGCCAGTATCCCATATTCTAAACCAGCTTGCATTACGCTTTGCAAGTTGCGATACCGATCTTTTTGACTTTTCCTTCGAGCCAAAGTGCCACATAAGCAGCCAATATGTATCACGAATCCGCCACGGTGCTAGGCCCCACGAGGTCAAGCAGAACAATCCGTTGAGGATTTGCGAATCGATCTCGATCCACAGTTCCTTACGCTCCTTGCTCAAAGAACCAACATTTAGCAAAAGGAAGAACAGCATGGCACCCCAGGCGACAACGTTGAGGCCATAGATCGTGATGAAAAGGCCTGTCGGGGTACAGATAAATCTCCAAACCGCAGTCGATATCTTCTTGCATAGACTGCGCCATGACAACTTTGGCATGTGTTCGTTCCGGTGGGTTTCGATGTGTTCAAGCTGAGGTACATGAGGCATCTCAGAAGACTCGTCCATCAACCTCCCTGCTTCCGAAGACTGGAGATCAATCGCAGGCGCAGTCGCTCTCCGAACCATCTGGCCAACGACCATATCTTGCGTTTTAACTCGACGTACACTGCGGCCGTGTATATCAAACCCCACTTCATCTGATGATTTGAGATCCATGATATTTGGGGCGTGCGCGATGGCCGTGCCCGTCGCCTGCCACATCCCGCCGGCGGGATTGTATGCGAGGAGCCTCGTGGCAGTCGACAACGAGCTGGAGCGCAATCTTCTTCCCGTCTGTAACAAGGGTATCATAGAATCCATGGTTTTATTGCCTGATTGGGCTGCCCGCTCATCGGTTTCGGTGTCCATAACGTGTCGTTTCAGCCCTTAAATCTCAGGTATGTGAAAATGGATCGAATGTAGTCGGAGAGGTATCATAGGAGCAAGAAGGGCACAAAAGGTGACCAAAAAATCTCTCAAGGCTCGATAGCTGCCCGTTGCATATACCAAAAATATGATGAACCCCGCAGCAGAATCTTTTAGGCATCTAGGTAGAGGAATGGACAGGAAGTTCATCTGCGTGGACAAGGGCAAATCAGGCTTCAGGCTAATGGTACACAGGAGGATGAAGAAGTAGTTTCGTATTCGTGTTCGGGCATGATACGCTTTCAGTGTATAGAAAGGCATCAATGTTTCGTTGGAAAAAAAAAATAAAAAAAGAAAGTTGCTGCGACCCTGGAGGAGTAAGGCCGCATCCTGTAGATGCTCAGGTGGCAACATTCGTACTCGTATTTAGTGCTGTTTCTGAAGGAATTAAGGAATTAAGGAGTTTTATGGATGAAATACCAGGTTCAGGCCAGAATCGAGGAGTGGGTCAAAATTCTCCATTTATGTTTTTACAAACGCCGACTACTGGTCGTCGCTGATATGTGGAGATCCAATGTTGGCATAGAATACGAGTACGAGGGTCTAGCGCGGCTTTATTGGATCTTGAATCACAGGTGCATACTAGGAACTACTAGTGAAGTCTTGTATCCGTTCGATTTCAGTTTGCTTCAATACCATACCTTTTTAATACTGGGCCTATCTTACCCTTCAATGAGCTTACACTAATACCGCTCGAGGTCTGGGGGTTTCTAAGCGGGCTTGGGTTGGTGTCCTTGTCGCACTTCGCAAACGGAGAACTCTTCATCCAACTGCACCTGCACATCCCTTGAAACGACGCCGTATTTTTATCTGTCTCGCTTACCCTGTGGGTGTCGACTAGTTGTCATCAGCGTTACAGCCTTCAGGCTCGGATCTCAATCACTTCTGCTGTGCCCGACTCGGTCCAAGTTCCGACCTGACGTGATAAGAGCCGGGCGCATGAATATGTGCTCACACCGGCTGCGTGTCGAGGGGAAGTCCTTTCGAGATCCTCAGAATCGAGAAATTATTCTGAGGGGAATCAACGTGGCAGGAGAGGCGAAATACCCGAAATTTCCTGACCTACGATCACACAACCCAGAAAACTTCTTCGATGCGGACAATGTCTCGTTTGTCGGACGACCGTTCCCTCTGGAGGATGCGCATACTCATTTTAAGCGACTCCGGGAATGGGGATACAATTGCATTCGATACATCTTTACCTGGGAGGCGATTGAGCATGCTGGCCCTGGTGTTTACGACGAAGAATGGCTAGACTTCACTATTCAAGTGCTCCGAATCGCCAAAGAGTATCGTTTCTATGTCTTCATGGATCCGCATCAAGATGTGGTAAGACGGTCCAAACAGCTTGGGAAGTCCTGGGCTAATTATTTCCAGTGGTCCCGACTATCAGGAGGTTCAGGAGCACCTGCATGGACCCTGTATGCAGCAGGTCTCAATCCACGAGCGTTCAAGTATACGCAAGCCGCTCTACCACATAACACATGGGAAAACCCTGCACAATTTCCAAAAATGCTATGGTGTACAAATTACTCGAGGCTAGCCTGCCAGACAATGTTCACATTATTCTGGGCAGGGAGAGACTTTGCGCCGAAGGCAGTGATTGATGATGTGAATATTCAGGATTACCTTCAGGATCACTTCATCGCGGCATGCAAATATCTCGCGCAAAGGATCCACGATTCAGGTGACCTAGAGCACGATGTGGTTATTGGATGGGAAAGCTTGAATGAGCCCCATAAAGGCCTTATTGGCATCCAGGATATATCAAAGATTCCACCAGAACAGCACCTTCAGCTAGGGACATCGCCAACTGCCTTTGAAGGCATGACTATCGGCTCTGGGAGACCTTGTGAAGTGACAACTTGGAAATTCGGGAGATTCGGACCACGACAGTGTGGCACTGAGCTGATAGACCCAAATGGGGAGTCAGTATGGCTCCCAGCCAACTATGATGATAGCCATTATGGCTGGCGTCGAGACCCTGGTTGGAAACTCGGAGAGTGTATCTGGGCACAACATGGGGTTTGGGATCCGACCACAAACGTCTTACTACAAAAGGACTACTTCTCAAAAAAGCCAGGTTCTAATGAAAGGCTTGACTATGAAAAGTTCACCAACTCCTATTTTCTAAGTCACTTCAAAGCATTCAAAAAGGGTATTCGCAGTATCTGCATCGGCGCTATTATGTTTTGCCAACCTCCAGTTATGGAGAAACCGCCAAGTTTGAAGAATACTGTCGATGATGATTCAAATATGGTTCATGCTGTTCACTTCTATGATGGTCTGACACTTTTGACAAAGCACTGGTTTGTACTAATTACCCGGCTCTGAAGTCATTCCCTAATTCTTTCTAGGAATCGGCTGTTCAATATCGATGTGATTAGCATTCTTCGTGGAAAACACCTATCACCAATATTCGCAGTCAAGTTCGGCGAGAAATCGATCCGGAAAAGCCTGCGGAGGCAGCTGAAATTTCTCCGCGATGAAAGTCTGATGCATATGGGAGAGCATCCCTTGATTTTTACCGAGATCGGGATTCCTTTTGATCTTGATAATAAACATGCATACAAGACAGGGAACTACAAGAGTCAAATTCGAGCAATGGATGCAAATCATTTTGCATTGGAAGGCAGTACTGGTAATGGGTTTACCCTGTGGGCATACATGGCCGAGGTATTTATATCCTTTCATATGATGTGAGCCATACTGACTGTGCCTAGAATAATCACGAATGGGGCGATCAATGGAATGGTGAGGACTTGTCAATATTCTCCCATGATGATTCAGAGCTACCGAGGATTGTTTCTTCTATGAGTTCAGAATACAGTGATCTGTCTGGATGTCATTCCCTTGAACAGACTAAGGGGGTGAATACGGATGTCCAAGACGCCTTGTCACTTCGGCCGATTTCGGGTGATTGTGACCATTGCCAGGAAAATTTGCCTCAAAGGAGAGGCTATCGCGCAGCAGAGGCATACATTCGCCCAAGCCCGATCCACGTGAATGGTCAATTGGGGAGCCATGTTTTCAACTTGAAGAAATGCACCTTCATGATGGATCTGACTGCAGAAAACACGGCGATACATTCGCCAAGCGAAATATATCTGCCGGACTTTCATTTCCCTGATGGAACTATCGTGGTTACGGTGAGTGATGGGAAATGGGAAATTGTCGAACAGGACATTCATAACACGAAGATCAAATGCCTGAGATGGTGGCATCCCGGAGGACAAATGAACGTTAAAGTAGAAGGAGCTTCAAAAGAACCTCGGAATCTGAGGACTGGCTGTCTATAAATGTCCCCAGAGAAAAACTGGCTGCAAGGAGTTCTAATACACTACTGTGCCACCCTACATTCTACATACGAATCATGATCTACTACTCATAGCGATTTGACATAGGAGGGTAAGCGCTCTAAAATTATATTATTATGAATATTGGCCGCTAAAAATTGAATTGTAGACTGACACAGGCCTCTAATTTGTTCTGTTCTTTCTGCATCCTTGTAGACTGATACGATGGCCACAGGTCACATGACTGTTCACCCGGCCTTATCTCGACCACGAAGCTTCCCAAGGGTTCTCCCTCTTCAATCACGCAAATTTACCATCATGACCATTCTTACTGCCTCGGACAATAAACTACCGCAGCCTTGTGTCGGAGTCGTTCCGATCGTTTGCGCATCAACGAAGCACGTGCGGCATCGTGTGTAATATTACAGAACTCGTAAGTACTAGTACTATATGGTTGCGGTATGTATCAGATTTGCATCTCCACCTGCCCGTCTTGATCTCGAACCTTGTTTTACTAGCGAAACATTTTTTTGGGATGGCCAATTGCGACGGCAGTTGCATGGCCATAGTGCTCTGTCAAACAGAGGACGACGATGCCAAGCCGTTAATTCGTGGGGCCTTTGAGTCACTACTGTACGGATGTGCTGGGAAATTTCCCATCTCTCGGCAGCCTTGACCATGTTTCTTTCCAAGTTAAAAGCTTAGAAAATTTGACATTTGGTATTCCTACCAACTCAAAGATTCTTCTGCCGCGCTTTATGCCCCAAAATCCTCATGGAAGATCAACCCCCACGATATTCTATGCTCGAGGCAGCTGGCTGGCCTGAAGATGAGTGTCTTCAAAGTGCAACAAACGTCAACAGTGAGATCCACAAGGCCTGGACTAGCAAATGATGCGATGTTGACCTTTGACAGATGATGGCCGCGTTGAGGTCAATCTCGACTCCAAGGTCTGTAAAACTGTTGCGAAGCTCATTCAGATCCCACGCGAGGAGCAGACGCCACCATCGATACCCGATCATGCAGAATTTGCTGGCTGCGATATCCAATTGAACATTGTGATTCAAGTTGTCGGTAGTCGGGGCGACGTCCAGCCCTTTATTGCGCTGGGAAATGAGCTCCAGCGCTATGGACATCGTGTGAGACTGGCGACTCATGGCCTATTTGAATCCTTCGTTCTGGAATCAGGTCTAGAGTTCTATCCTATTGGCGGTGATCCCTCGGAGCTTATGGCCTACATGGTGAAAAATCCCGGCTTGATACCACAGATGAAAAGCTTGCGGGATGGAGAAATTCAACGCAAGCGGGCCATGGTGGCCGAGATGCTACAGGGCTGTTGGAATTCATGCATCAATGATGATCCAATAAGCAAAGCACCTTTCGTGGCCGATGCCATCATCGCAAATCCTCCTAGCTTTGCCCACGTTCACTGTGCGCAAGCTTTGTCTATTCCCTTGCATCTTATGTTTACGATGCCATGGAGTAGTACAAGAGCCTTTCCGCATCCTTTGGCAAACCTCAAATACTCGAATACCGAGCCAAAAATCGCCAACTACATTTCATACGGCATTGTTGAATGGATGACATGGCAGGGGTATGAACCGTGCACAAAGGACCTCCATTTTGATCGAAGACGTGCTAACTTGTCTAGTCTCGGCGATATCATCAACGAGTGGAGGTCCACGCTTGATTTGGAGCCAGTGCCGGGTACTGAAGCGCCCAGTTTGGCCGACACTTTGAAAATACCTTTTACCTATTGTTGGTCACCGAGCCTCATGCCGAAACCATCAGACTGGTCATCGAATATAGATGTCTGCGGCTTCTTCTTTCGGTCTCTTCCAGAATACACTCCGCCTTCTGACCTCGATACGTTCCTTCGAAGGGGCAGCCCTCCAGTTTACATCGGCTTCGGTAGCATTGTCATCGAAGATCCGGTTGCAATGACAAAAATCATAAAAAGAGTTGTTAGATCACTCGGTATTCGCGCAATAGTATCTCGTGGCTGGAGTAACATCGGAGATTCCGTATCTGACGAGCAGATCTTCTACCTTGGGGATTGTCCACATGAGTGGTTATTCCAACATGTCCTTGCTGTTGTTCACCATGGAGGTGCAGGCACCACAGCATGTGGGCTGCGTTTTGGAAGATCCACAACTATCATCCCGTTTTTCGGCGAGTATGCTCTCCTTATCATGATCATTCAAGTGCTTTTTTATATACTGACCTCATCTAGTCAGCTCTTCTGGGGTAATATGGTTGCTTCCTGTGGCCTGGGACCAAAACCTATTCCGTACCGGTCTTTGACCTCTGATAACTTGGCGGCGGCCATTCAATTCTGTCTCCAACCCGAAGCGCAGTCTGCGGCACGAGATGTCGCAAACCGGATGACCCATGAGAATGGTGTGGCGGCCGCGGTTGCTTCTTTTCATCGCAATTTACCGTTGGATGACATGCGATGCCACGCTCTCAACTCTGAACCGGCAGTGTGGCGATTGAAAACATCCTCCAAGACCCATATTCACTTGTCGAAAATTGCGGCGGAGGTCTTGGTGGACCATCATCGTCTGAAAATGAATGATCTTCAACCGTAAGTACACTCGTCCAAGAGAAAGTCTCCCTCCCATAGAAAAATTTGACTTAGACGAAAGGCAGTTATCATGTCCGTCCGATTTATATTCAGAATCGACGCTGGGATCCTGTCACGGGCACCGCTTCCTCGCTGATCACTACCGGCACCGATATGCTGAAAGCGACAGGCGACATTGTTTACCGACCATACGTGGAATTCTCGCGAGCCCCCACGAATCAAGCAGAACGTGCTTATCCCGAGTCATCCCGCTCCCAGTCTCTTGACAATGCGTCCGTCATTGAAACAGCTTCTGTGGATTCTTCCGCCACAACTAAGCCTTCCAGGTTAAGAAACACCGGCGTGGCAATGGGCGGCTCAGCAAAAAGCCTTGGAAAGGCAGTTGGAGTTTGGTATAAAGGCATGCTCATCGATATGCCTTTGGCTGCGGCAGAAGGCCTCAGAGCTGTACCCCGGCTATATGGCGACGAAGTCAAAGATCATGGAATCGTAACGGACTGGAAATCCGGTGCTACATTTGCAGGGAAGAACTTTGTTCATGGAATTTCAGACGGTTTCAGCGATATTTTCAATCAGCCATACAACGGTGGCCAGGAAGAGGGAGCAAAGGGTGTGATGAAAGGAATCGCGAAGGGGACACTTGGGGTGACTACCAAGGTGTCATCAGGTATGTGGATTCCACTAGCGAATTTGATTGAATAATACTAAAGGACAGTCACAGCTGCTTTGGGGCTGGTAGCCTATCCTGCTCACGGGATTATGAAGAGCCTGTATGTGGCCACACATTCCAAAACAAGAAAACGTGTTCTCCAAGCGCGCGTACGAGAAGCAAAGTACCTAGCAGAGCATTCGCCCAAGGCACAAGGCAATCGTCAGGCCATCATTCGCAATTTCGAGGCTGTCTATCGCAACCCTGTCAGGACTGCCAGTTCGTCCAGCTGAAAGTGGTGAAGCTCATTGCGAAATCGGACAAAACCAGGTATGCACAATTTGAGCATCACATCACACGCATCTTGTGGACTACGACACTCGTGGAATCTTGGAAAGATAAGATCGCGAATCAGAGCTATAATTAAATGCAAATTATCATTCACCATTTTGCTTTACTTTTTTGTATAGCTCCCGTGATCAACGCCAAATAATGCAATATATCCAGCCCAATTCTATGTATTACACTAGCAAACAAAAGTTTTGACAGACCCAAGCGGCCATATTATTCAGACTTTTGAGGGAATGTAGCCCGGTTCAGAATTGCAACACCTTCGACATGTCCGGTCTGGGGGAAGAAATCAAAGCCACGGATACTTTCGATCTCATAACGAATGTTCCGCTTCTCATCACCCTGTACCATAACCGCGACATCGCGAGCTTGAGTGTGAACGTTGCAACTCACGTAGACAACGCGACGAGGACCGAAGTCGAGAAGTTGCTGGAGGAAGTCCTCGGAGCAACCCTTGCGAGGCGGGTCAATGACCAGCAAAGTCTGGTCAGGCGGGTACGGGACGTCCTTGAATAAGACGGCAGCGTCCGCAGCGGCAAAACCAGTACTAGGCAGAGCATTGGCGCGAGCGTTGTCACGAGCACAGACAATAGAGTCACCAGCAACATCAACACCAAGACTTGACTTGAAGAGAGGAGAGAGTGTGATAGTGAAGAGACCGGAGCCCGAGTAGGCGTCGAGAAGGTATTTGATGGGCTTGGAATCATTTTCGTTGCCAGGAGGGAAGACCTTGGAGCGGATATACTCGGTAAATCCTGACAGAATAGAGTTGTTGTTCTGGAAGAACCCGCCAGCTTTGTTGCTGAATATATAGTCGTCAATGTATTCGACCGACACTGCATTGTTGTCGGTGACGCAGCGCTTTTCCACAGTATAGTCTTCTTCCTCAATTGTGATCAGGTCACCGCTGTCGGTGCCCTTGGTTGGTTCAAGTCCAGGAATGTACTTTACTTTGGTCTTAGCACCCGGCGTATCCTTGGCGATGCGAGTGGTCGACTCGCGCATCAGTAGAGTGGCACCCTTCTTGTAGGAAGCGATATTTTGAGCCACGCGTTTCCTCTCGCTCTTCAAACCGCGGCGTACAATATCTGTTCCCAGAGGGCAATCTTCGATATCCATATCCAATTTTCGATTCTTGTAGGTGAATCCAATGGGAGGAACCTCTCTCGGAAGCGGGTTTCCATGTTCGTCTTTCTTGGGGTGACCGGCTTGCGCAAAGTGAGGGGTGAGTTTAGTTCGATATCCAAATTGCAGAGGCGATGGGAAGGTCGGTTCAATGGCTGGTACCAGATGAGGAACGAGGCCAGAGAAGTTGGCGTAGGCTTTCTCCACAATGCGGCGCTTATGCGCAAGTTGATCCTCGTAAGACATCATCTGCAATTGGCAGCCGGAGCACTTGCCGAAGTAACCGCACTTAATGAGGGAGTCATCTCTGGTCGGGCCGGGCTCGATCACGCTTATAAAGTCGGTCATACTGTAGTGGAGGTCCCACTCATGGCGCACCACTTTTACCCGCGCTTTGTCGCCGGGGACTGTGAACGGCACCACGAAGACATGGTTCAGGTGTTCATCATACGCAAGACCATCGCCAGTCGAAGAGAGCATAGCTATCGTCACGTCGATTTCGGTGAATTTCTCAGGCAGTGGGGGCTTGTCGCCATTGGGCTGCTGTTCCTCGGACTTGGGCTGGATCAGCTTGTCGACGTCGGCCTGCAGGACTTCATCGTGGCCGCTGCTCTTATTCTTATCGAGCTTCGCCTTCTTGCGCCTCCTCGCCTCGAACTTCAAGTTATGCTTCTGGTGATTCATTTTGGGCGGACGTCCGGTGGGCGGAGATAGACCTTTGGGAGAGAGAGGGTAGGCCGGATTCGAACTGGGCTGTACTCGAACTAGTGGGCGCAATTGGAGAGAATTGAGAAAAGGCAACCGCCAGCGAGAATAGCGCACAGCCAACATATGCGACGGAAAAGCGCAAAAAGAAAAGCGGCGGGCGATTTCCATAAATTTAAGCTGGGGCTTACCAACGCATCTCCCGCGCTGCTCATTGGTCGGGGGCTCACCGCCCTCGAGCAAGAAATTCCATCCCGGCGCTGCTCTTCCGCCGATTGTTTTGCGTGTTGCAATCGCCCTTCGCTCTTTAATTCTTTCTGTTTGAGAGTTCGTGGCTGGCGCGCTGCTGGCCGACGAGCCGTTACACCGCTACACATCATGAGCTTTGCCCGGCCAGCGAGATGTCTGTTCTGCAACTTCTCCCGAAATGCGATCCCCGGCACGCGAGTCCCTCGTCGCCAATTCCACCCGACCCCGGCGCCATTGTCGAACCGGAAACCCAAGATTCCCAGTGTTAAGGCCCCTGAGAAACAGAATGGCTCGTCATCTCGACAAGACCTGAAGCCGGAGGACTTCAAGGCCTACACCGAGGAGGAGACGGCCCACCTGGCCAAGGAGTATTCGGCCGCCCAGATGGAGGCTATCAAGGCTGGTGAAGCAGCCATCAGCCCTAAGGATCTGTCCGAACAGTCCGTTCGCCGTACCGACCCCTACCGATTCAAGTATCTCGACGACTTCTCCGTTATCGAACCCGGTATCGATCGCCACGTCCGCGCCCCCGAGACGAACTCTGATTACAACTTCAAGCTGAAGTCCGAGGATCAATTCATTGAGGATTTTGGTCGATTCTTCGCCGAGTCGAATGAGGATATCAGGCCAGCGGACTTTGTGCGATTCGCCGAGTCCCTGCGGTTGACGGAGGGCAAGGAGGAGAACGAGTTGAACCCGCACAGCGCTCTGGTGCCCGATCTTTTCGGCCCCGGCGAGACCATTGACGAGCCTCGCGTGGAGGAGCGCAAGACTGCGGCGGAGAAGGGCGAGAAGGAGCGTTCTCTGGAGGCTGAGGAGTTGACCGATGCCCTAAAGAGCCTTCTTTTGGCTACCGGCTACACCGAGCGTCAGGTCCGGGAGCTGCGCACCAAGACTCTTGTTTCTCACAGTGTCGTCAACCAGACCCGTCTGGGTAAGGTTCGTCGCGCCTACCGTTTGTCCGTCGCTGGCAATGGAAACGGTCTTCTGGGTATTGGCGAGGGTAAGTCCGAGGAGGCTGCCGATGCCAAGATCCAATCTCAATACCGTGCCATTCGTAACATGCAGCCTGTCCCTCGCTATGAGAACCGCACCATCTTCGGCGACGTCAAGGGCAAGGTCGGGGCTGTGGAGCTGCAATTGATGCACCGTCCTCCTGGTATGTTTTCTTTCTGTATCCTCTCCAATTCCACAGCGAGTCCCCACCACTAACAACTTCCAGGCTTCGGTCTCCGTACCCAGCACCTGATCTATGAAATGTGCCGTGCCGCCGGTATCCATGACCTCGCTGCGCGGGTCAACCGCTCCCGGAACAAGATGAACACAGTCAAGGCTGCCTACGAGGCTCTCATGAGCCAACGCGACCCGGAGGAAGTTGCCCGGGCCCGCGGCAAGAAGATGGTCGATGTCCGCAAGGTGTACTACGCGGGGAAGGTCTAGGCATCGCGTCTTGACGAGCGGTCAGGTCGTGCATTGTTTCTCGGCGTGTATATAATGTTCTTCTATTCCCTTCTCCTTGTCTTTTGCATGTACTTGTAAAATCGTTGGTCATATGTTCAAAAAGGAATCCAAACTCATTGATGATGTTGTCTCCTACACTAGTGTTCTCTTGGCTACTGCTGGATTTTGAAATCATGAATGTATGTGCGATTGCTGCTTATGGACAAATATCCTCGAGTCTCTTTGTTGTCCAAAACACAGTCATTAGTATCCAACGCGCCGATCCGGAAATAAACAACCAGGGTATACAAAATTACAAAGCTAGCCCAGATGAAGCTCCAAAAAAACAAGAAAAAGCTCCTAACTTGAGTCCAGGGATGAAGACAAAAAGCAGGAGACATCACTGGAAAGTAACATCTCCATCTCCCTCATAACCTCCGTATTGATCCTGGAACTGCTCATCCTGCCCCTCCTGTAGTTGTTGCTCCTCGTTTTCATTCCAGATCTGCTGCTGCAACACGATACTGTAGACACTAGCCTTGAGCAACGTGCACACCGTCGCGGTTTTGCGCTCAAGGAGCCCAAGGCCGTCGAGGGTCATGGAGGATGGAGATCCGGCAAGGTCGGCGACTTTTTCTGAGAGCTGCAAATTAGAAAACAGAGTTAGTATAACTGAAGCGGGCAAAGCAATTCGCGTCAAGGGGCAATGGACAGTGTTTATTTGCAGCCCGATGCGTCGTGTCGGACCCAACGCTGACCTTCGCACTCACCTGATTCACATTCCGCAGGAGGCGGGAGTACTCGTCCAGCACTTCCTGTTCTAGATCCGAGACAAGGCCATTGTCGTTGCTCAGCAGGGGGTTGTTGGAGCGACTGTGGCCGTGGGAAGCTTCTGCGTCGGAGCTTGTTGATTGCTCTGGCGGGATGGGAGGGGTGGTGGTTGCGGGATCGGGGGAGACGTAGGAGTAGTGTTGAGCATCGGGATCATCGGATTGCGCGAAAGCAGACATTGTGTGTGTTCTTTCTGGTCGTCTTGTCGATTCGTGGAGAAGGAGGAGGAGGAGGAGGAGGTGGACGGCAGTGCGGGGAGTTGTTTGAAGCCAAAGAATCAAATTGGGCGGGTCTCCGCGCAGCTCGAAGTTGGGTCCTACTATTAGTACTCAAGCAACAACACATGAGCATCTCAAGAAGGGTTATTTTTATCTAGCAAATATTGGGTGCTTTTTCCAGCTACTTTCCTTCTGCCAATTCAGTGATGACAGGCAAGCGAGTAACCTGGATTATTTGCTAGGCTTTGGGATTACTCGGTTTCCGCAAATCCGCAATCTTATTGATAACCGAAGCTACTGTCCATTCTACAAGTGTCAGATCTATACTTCCTGGACCAGAATGTACAATCATATTACTCTCATATTTCTTTTTAGTGGACCCGAGTTCTGCAAGAAAGTCAACCCGAGGAGTCCACAGAACGAAAACAGCATAATTTAAGAGCACAAGAATTGAACCGAGCTTCGTTGAAAGAGTGCCACGCCAGAATTCGAGAAGAACAAAGAAATCGGAGAACGCAAGGCAAACCAGCCGAGAAGTGTCACGAGAGTCAGAGAAAAACAAGTGAAAACAAGTGCCTAAAACGCCGCCCGCTGCAGAGTAAGAGTAAAACGATGTATAGCGGAGCTTGAAACAGGATTCGGGGAAGAACATGAAATCGTGACACAAGGAGTGGCTAGAAAAGTCGCATAAGGATATCAAGAGTGGTCTAAGGCCTTTGGCAGAAGAGATGTAAATGCAAGTGCGAAATAGCCAGAAAAAAGCAAAGAGTAGCAGAAGCATAAATCGATGCTAGAAGGCCGGAGACACCGCCATCCACCCGGTGGAATCCTGCAATGGAGTGAAACAGTTCACATGCAGTCGTCAATGCATCATGGTCGTCGTCGAGCCGATGCCCAGGCGGCTGCCCTCCCTTTGGTGTATCGGGAAACGAAATGAAAGTGAAAGGGGAGAAAAAAAAAAAAATACAAGATGGGCTTTGATATGCGAAAGCACAAGATTCAGTGGTCGCCTTCGTGGTGGAGAGTGACACTGTTGAACTCTTCGAATGGGTCATTTAACTCGCCATTAGGAGTTGCCAAGCCAGAATCCATGGGGACACCCTGCATCTTGGCCGGGTGAGTGCCACCGATATCCACACTAGCACTCTCCTTGACATTGCGAAAGTTCACAGTGTCGGTACCAGCACGGCCCTGGTGAGGGATCATTGGTGGTTTCATATGACGGATAAGAGCCCACTGGGTCGACCGGAAAAAAGGATGAGTCTTGACATCAGAAGCACCGGCACGGGCTCCAAGACGCTTGGTCTCGTCCTTGATCAGTAGCTTGCGGATCAGAGACTTGCAAAGAGTGGAGGTCTGTTGTGCACCCGAGCCCTCGGGGAAGTTCACCTCGTCCCGCAAGATACTAGCAAAGGTCGCGTTTCGGTTCTTGCCCTTGAAAGGGGTAGTTCCGTAGAGCATCTCGTATACGAGGATACCAAGGGTCCACCAATCAACCGCACTGGTGTGGCCACAACCCTTGATGACCTCTGGTGCAATGTACTCTTCCGTCCCAACAAACGAGTTCGTGCGGAAGTCAGCGATGCAGGATTTGGTATCGATAGTTGGCAGTGCAGCAGATGAGTTGCCGCCGCTTCGACCAGGAATCATTGTAGGAGCTCCGCCAGGACCAGACTGCTTAGACAGATCGAAATCCGACAACATGATATGGCCGGACTGATGAAGAAGAATATCTGTAGAAGTAAATTAGCATTGATTCGCTCAAGACCTATACAATGTGCAGGGCAGACAGCGCATATTGTAACATACTTTCTGGCTTGAGATCGCGGTAAATGAATCCCATGAGATGGAGATATTCCAAAGCAGCGGTCACCTCGGCAGCATAAAATCTGGCAGCATCCTCGGAAATGCACTTTCCGGGCCGGGTTTGAAGAGCTAATTGGCTGTGGTTAATAGATTGCAAGCGCATCAAATCAATGATGATACTTACTTCTGAAGAACTCGCCGCCACTGCAGTATTCCATGCAGAGGTACAGGTAATCCTCGGACTGGAAAGAATGATACAAGGTGACAATGAACGGATGGTTACTTGTCGCCAGAATCTCTTGCTCGGCGAGAGCGCGCTTGATCTTGTTCCGCTTAATCATTTCCTTCTTGCTGAGAACTATTTTAAAAGTTAGAATCTGCGATATTTGCAGACCGAAATTGAGGTAGAACGTACCCTTCATGGCATACAGACGGCTTGATTTCTTCTCTCGGACCAGGTACACCTTTCCGACGTCACCTTTGCCGATCAGCTTGATCTTGTCGAAGCTGGCAGGTCCCACCTCGACATTGCGGATCTTGATGGAGTTCGAGCTGTAGGTCCGGCGAAACGGAGCGTCTCCACCGCCGGACACTTTACTGTCAACGCCTACCGGAGGCACAACCAGCACACCTCCCTTGCCGTCGGTGAGACCCACGGAGCTATCGACACCAGAGACCTCCGCCAGAGGTTCCTTGCCAATCTCAGCCGTCTGGGGACGTTCGTCCCCCTGGCTGTTAAAGAGACCTTGCGCATTCGGGGCCGAAGCCACGCGGCGCAGCTTGCGAGCCAATTCCTCCTTGTTCGCGGTTGTAGCCTGCTCCACAGCAGAGACCCCGGTGACCTGCAGCTCGGGGGTATCGGGAGGGGACGAAGGAGGGGAGCAGTCATTTCGGTGTCGCAATGCAGGCTGGCCCTGGTGGGCGAAGTAGGGGTTGGCGGTAGCCGTGGGCGACACGCCGTCATCTAGCGGATTGCCCTCACTGGCGACAGTGGTGGACCGGTTGCGGCCGATGGTGGGGAGGAATCGAGACTGTCGGAACGTGGACTTCTCGTTCTTGGTGGGCGACTCTTTCTCTCGTTCACGATCGTGGCCGACGGGACTGCCGCTGTGGGACGAGTGACTGCTGGAACTGTTGATCCGGAAGAAATTCTTGATCTTGGTAGGTAGGTGGCCTGATTCGTTGGAGTGTTTGCGGGTGGGCAAGGAGAGGCCGGGGAAATTCCCGCGCTTTTCGTTCGACATGGTCGACGGGTTGGATGCGAAGAGTTGCGTCATGGCGCGGTGAAGCAGTATCCGGTAGAATTGACAGGCAGCCTCCCCGAGAGCAACAAGACGTTCTCTGAAGGAAAGTTGCGCGAAAGGAAGGGAAAGGCAAAAGGCGGGGGGACGTGCAAGGCCCGGGATGGGGATACCAGCGCGGGCGGGGAGATGATCACAACTCGATGAAACGAGGGCTAACCACCCGAAAGAATGGAAAGACAAAGGACCTCAGTAGCAGTGCTCATTAATGAGACTGCATATTAGGATCCGACGAAAAGAAGGGCAGGGTAAGTTGGGTAGAATAGGAAGGCGAAAGAGAGAAGGAGTCGGAAGGCGAGTGGAGAAGGACGCGGAGGCCCGATTAGTCAGGGGCCCCGATCGCAATGCAGGGTTGCGCCTTGTAGAATCTTGATAGTCCTTGAGACATGGCGCTGTCGGAGCCTACAAGAGTACCTAGGTAGGGTGTCCTAGAGGATCATACTACGGATAGAATATATTCTATGGCGCGACACTAAAACGAGTGACAACAGTTGGATTCTGACAAAAGGGTAAAATAGTACAAAGCGGAGGCCAGGCATATTGCAGCCTCCGGTGGCGACGGCCATCCTGGGAACACGCCACGTGATGTGCAGTTTGGGGCAGTGTTGTACACACAGCAGGGACTACATAGTACATACAGACACACTTCACTCCGCATGTTCTCCTCCTTCCACCATACTACTCTACTCGTACAATGCATATTCCATTTCCCAATCTTTTCCCCCCATCACTCACACTCATTGGGTCAATTCGGCTTTCACTCGGAAAGCCGATCAAAGGGCTTGGCCATCCATCCAGGCCCGTTTTTGTATCGACCTGGGAGGCCAAAGGCCGTCGCAGAGGAGGTCTGGACGGTCGGATGGCTGGTGGCTCGCTCGCAGCCAATCCCCTGCATTGCGCGAAGGTTGTTGCGGTTGAGTCGCTGTCTGGTGTTGCGCGCGACGCCCGCAGCCATCTCGGTCTGGCCCTTGGGGAGGACCTCGTCGGTATCCGCATCGTAGGAATCATCTCGCATGCCCCGGTTGCTGGCATCTCGATCTAGCTTAGTGGGCTTGCTTTCGGTGTTTGATTCAAGCAGAGGCACTGCCTCGTTCGTAACACCATCCTCTGAAGTGCTTGGCTGATCGGGCAGCGTAACAGCTTTCGACTCCAGGTCGCGGCCGTCGGCAATGCTCGTCTCTTTCTTCTCCACCCAGTCCTCATGCTCCATGGACGAATCAGAGTGAGTTCCAGTTTGTCTTCCCGAGGGGAACAGCTGCGAACTACTCGTAGTGCGTCGTTCGGCTGCAAGGGGACTCGCGCTACTGAAGCTGAAGCTGCGCGGGAAGTTGCGAGGCAGCGTCTGGCTGTCACGGCGTTCCAGATTCTGTGGGAGAAAGCGGGGTGTGCGAATATCTGCCGGGTCATCTTCTTGATCAGAAATGCAGTATTCGTCGTCACTTTCCTCTCCAGAGGTCTCCGTGGGCTCGACAATCTGACAGGCGTCACCACCTGCCGGTGGTTCCTCTGAGTGGACTTCAGCAGCTTGCTCTTTGGCGGCTTGCTCTCTGGCAGCGTCCTCTCTGAAAGAGCGGTCAATATTATCCTGCACCTTCTGCCGGGCCGCTTGGCCTTCGGAGTTGTCACTGAACGAGTCATCGTAAAGGTCATTGTAGGCACCGGGCGGAGGAGAGGGAGAGCGTGGGACAGGTCTGCTAAACTCAGGGGGCCAATTGCGTGGATCAAAGATGGAGTCGAGGTTCGTCTGGGTCGCAAAGGCATTCCGGCACATGTCATGGTATCGTTGGACTTCATCAGTGGCAGGGCCGTGAGCTTGACCTGGCGCCGACACAGGCTCGTTTGAAGCACCAGGTGGATCGTGAACTTGCCCCGACGCCGACACAGATTCGTTGGAAGCATCAGGCTCGGCCGAGAGTGTCAGTTGTTCCATGTGCTCGGGATCGGGACAAAGAGTTGCGACAATCGCCTGGCAGACGTCTTCGTCCCCTTCGAATCGATCAAGAGTCTCGTTCAAAGTCTGCTGGACCTCATCGAAAGTGTCGTATACCAAGGCCCTAACCTGCTTACACCGGATTCGCGACTGCACTTGACTTGGGGTCGTGGAAGAGTGTCTGGCGATCTCAGCATCGATTAGCCGCACTTGGTTTTCTGCTTCGGCCAAAGCAGTTTTCACATTGCCATGCAAATACATCAACCACTGCACCTCAATATCGTTGTCGGTCGACGGCTCTCCAACCAAATCAACTAACTCTTGGAGACAGTTTCTGAACTCAGTCAAGCTGAAGTCCTCACCTCCATCCTTCACATTGCGTACGACATAGTGCATTCGATTCAATCTCAGCTCGAGCAGCTCGGTCGGGTTCGTGATGAATGCTGCGTTCATGTTGAAAGGGGATGAGCGGCTTCCATCCACCTGAGAGGACATATTGGCCATCGGGTGGAACTCAATGGGTGGTGGAAAGCACACAGGCGATGGGAATGGTTGACTTGACAGTCCTACCGTAGTCGGTGTCTGAGCTACTGTGAATGGGACTCGACGTGCGTCGCCTTGTTGCAGAGTCTCACCAGAGAACTGTCCTGTGCCGTGGATGGTGTTTTCGATGATGTTTGGATCGCTTGCAGTAGTCAAATTTGCGGGACAGTTTTGGCAAGCCAATGGACACTGGCCTTGACCCAGCAGTGACGGTGACGGTTCTTTGGGGTCTTTATCTTTCTGGTTTGGGCTGTTGTCCCCAAGAAATGGAACAATTTGGCCTCCAGCTGTCACACGATAGTGCTTCGGAGATGAATGTTCTCTGAGGAATCGAGTGAACCCTTCCTTGTCGGTCGGGAGCCGCGAGGGGATTGTCTTTCTTTTGTTCGTCTTGATCCGGTCTCGCGGCTTCGGCTTAGGGGTCCAAGGCTGACCTCGTTGCTGGCCGGCGGTCCACCTCGAGGGCGAGATCTTTCGAAGGGGTCGTTTGATATCTGTCTGTCGGTTCTCTTGCCTCTGGTCTCGATCGGAGCGTAGAATCTGGCCTGTTATTGTCTTAGAACAGTCCGGTTTGATGTTTTGATTGCGGCATCATGAGTGATGTCAGCCTGGGACAAGCCAGGTTTCGCATTCCAGCACAAGTCGCAAGAAGAAGTCACTTACACTCTTTTGCGTGTTCAGTCCAGCTGCACAGAATTTCTGTCTCCTGGTAGAGAGCCAACAGCGTTGGGATGGTGTACTTCATCTTGACGGGTGGTTTTTCCGACATGGCGAAAATGAAGTTGAACTTACCTGGCGAGCAGGTGGATGGGGTTAAAGAAATAAAACCGAATGAAGAAGGTTATCACACTTGGGAACTGAAGAAAACGGTAGGTGCGAATCAGCAAAAGGTGTTGACGGGGAAGGTTGAAAGAGGAAGAACTGGAGGGAGCAGCAGCAGGAACAGGAGCGAACGACGCGACAAGGCCTAACGGGAACTTCCATTTTAGGCTCCCCTCGATGTATTTCGAGCCAGGTAAATAAATCAAAATTGCATTCAACAATGTTCTCGGCTTTTGAGGAAGGTGCGGCAGCTACACTTCACTTGTCTGGACCACACCAGTATCATAACATCTAGATACCCAATACACTTAGAACCCTAGCCAAACATGATGCCTGTTTCGGCGGTAACATACTACCTGTATCGCCTCGACCATAGTTATGTTTATTTTATTTGAAAGCTGTACTCTACTTACTGCTGTATTCCTTGCCTACCTGGTGATCTAGCTGATCATCTACCGTACAGGGTCACACACGTGATCAGCTGTCTGTGTAGCTACTCTGGAAGATGATGCGCCATGGTCCAAGACAGAAGAAAGCCATTGAAGTTGTTTGCGCCTATTATCAAATAGATATCTCTACGTAGTAGGATCCCCCACCAGGTTCTGCGACTGCTAGCATTCCACATGATCCACAGATCAAACCACAACAACATCAATCTTCTAAATACTTTCCCGCACCTTGACTGGCTGCAAAACACTGTGCATTCTCCACTCCTCTTCAATTTCATCATCAAACGGCGGTACAGGGCATGCGTTTTCGTGCGTTGGCGACGAGATATCCTCGACCTCTTTCCTCTGCTGACCCATCTCCCAGCTGCCCAGTCGCTCATGTCCGCGCACAAAGATCCCACCGGACGGGTCCTCGTGATCTCCGTTTTCTGGCTTGGAGGCGCTACCCCAAATGGACTTTCGAAACGTGAGATCGGTGTCGCTCGCATGCTTGTCGTTGCCCTTGAAACCGCCAATACTGGCTTTATGGTCGGCGCGCTTGCGAAGGCAAAAGAGGAAGCCAATTACGCCAAATAATAGAATCACGGCCAAGGTTACCATGGCTCCAATGACGCCTGCCAACGCTGGGGCCATCTGTTTTTTTTGCTTCGGGGAGCTGCTCTCTCCCATCACGCCTGTGCAGAAGATGGACTCCGCGTTGCAACGAGCACACCATTCTTGGGTCGACTGCATTGCAAAGGTCTCAAGCTCTGATTGAAACTCAGTGAAGGGAATCGATTCCTGGCTTGGGCCTGATCCGAAAAGGGGATATGATGTGAATGTGGATGATTCGGTGCCATTGTGCAAAAAGAACCGCACGAAGAGGTTGTCAGCACCTGGATACGAGGGATATACCTCATCCGACTCGAAGCTGAAAAGCTCAAACACAAGTGATGCGCCGTGGACAGGGCGGGAGTAGAAGTTGGATTGCTGCTCTGTGGCCAGCCCCATCAGAGAAGCCAGAGCGACGGCAGGCTCATCGCTTCCGAAGAGCAGAGTCATCTTCTGTTGAGTTCCATACGACTGGACATTCATCTTCAAGGCGAAGAGAATACTAGATGCCAAGGTTTGTCCGCCAACCGAACTCATCATTCCAATCATAGAATGAGAGTCAGTCTGTGCGTTTGTGGCATATGTGTACTGGTCGGCCAGCCATCGTGTACGCCGTATGTCGTAATCGGCAACATTGCTATAGGCGTCGGCGTTATGCAAGATCTCGTATTCCAGGTACTCCGCAATTTCAACGGCGTTGAGATATGTTGCTTGCGACTCATCATATGCTCCAGACAGGGCCTCTTTCCAAAGACCAGTGTAAAAGGCCGCGTTCTCCTGCGTCATGTCGCTGGCCTCACTGCTATTCCGATACTTGGTCACCGCAGCTTGGTGCATACTACACTCCGTCTGTCCCGACACCAAGATCGACTGCGGGTCGCCATTGCCGAGGCCAATGATGCGTGGATACTGATATCCTCCCAGAGGGTAACTATAAAAGGTACCATTGGCAGTCGAGTCGACGTCTTGGAAACCTGATTGATTGAGTGGCGGGTAGAGACCCTGCATAAACGCCTGCGCGGAAGCCATGACATATTGATCGGTCGTTGCGAGGATGCTCAGGTCCCTCGAGTCAAGATAATATGGTGATAGCTCCTGGACCGCACTTCCTGTGCTGTTGACTGATCCTCCAGTCGCGATATAGCGATCTCGGAACACCCTTCCTGCAGCCTCAAGCTGACTGGCTCCGTATTCCGTCAGGATCCTGGGTTGCGACCCCATCACGCTCGGAGTGCTGTCTCCATAGGTGGTGTATGCGAAAACACCCCAGACTGTTTCCGTATACTGTTGAGCCGTGGCCAGACCTGGCGCCTGGAAAGACAGCGCAAGCCCAGCGAGAAAGAGATGGCTTGAGAACATCCTGGCGTTGGAAGCGAACATGTAACTTCCAGCCGATGAGTATTGAGCAAACGTGATACCAGATGTTCTTCAAGAGAGCTTCGATAGTGGAAATTTCAACCGGAACGAAGACGTCGACCGAACTGCGGGGGCATCTTGAAATAAAAGCTATCGCTTCCCTCTTTCCTGGGACCCAGGGTGGGATAGATGGGCTAGACCCCTGGGCCAGATTCTGTGCGAGGGAGAATATCAGGAATTGTACCATTAAAAATCCGCCTTCGGAAACCTTTCATGCTTATAGAGTGCCGGGAACCTTGGACAGGATCGCTGCAGGAGACACATTAAGCTCATGGCGCCGTAGGCTTCGGGAGCATCTTGTGGATCGCCAGATAGTTGCAGTCTTGCGAAGTACTTTTCAAGCTTCGAGACCGATGGTTCCATGGACCCAAAAAATCTTCAGGTGCAAATCCGTCAGCCTATTTGAGGTAGTAGAGCGACTAATCTGGTGGGATCTCTACTCGAGGAAAGCCGTGTGCCCTATCCATTCATACGATTCTCCTTGCTATTAATCCAGACATGGAATACGAATGAAAATTCGCCCCTAAGAAGAATCTAATACATATTCCTCAAGTTAAGCCTGTTCGAATTATCCCAATTGGCGCTGCACGAGACTGGGAAGAGGGTTACAGATGCTGCGTGTAGATCCGCAGACCCACCTGTCAATGACGCGCACAAGTCCGGGTGATCGTCCTGGGTGGGCCAGACGGCACAAGTTGTCATGGCATTCATTTGTGGTGAAATTTCGAATTTGACATAACGAGTGTTTGTTATTACCGTTTTTCCGTTCTTCCTGCTGTTGTCCTCTGTAAGCTTACGTATATCTGGGAATTTGCAGGTATTTTAGTATGGGCATGCGAAAACTAGGGCTATCGATGCGGGAAGGGTGTCGGATCAAATATCTTCCGTATCCCGGATCGGCTGGTAATCACTATGGCGCCTGGCTTACCTGCCATCGGTTATAGAAAGAACAGTTGTTCACCAGCCTTATGCTGGAAATCTCTCTTAGTTAGGTCCGCTTCTTCTTTGAGAGCTTTCGTTCACATCCCAAGCTGTAAATACTGCACACCTCAGGACTTGGCGACGTTAGTTGAACGTTCTCACGTACCTATGTAATTACGTAAGTACATTACACGGCCCACCCCCGCCCGGTCAGCCAACCAGGCGTGGGCAGAAAATCCTTGCGGTTGGGGCAAAACCTGACCTCCTGGAAGCCCTACACCCGCGCCCTACCCCTAAGCCCTCATTTCTGCTCTTGGAAGTTGACCAGCCTAACCCTATCTACATCCAGCATCCAGATGGTCGAGACCCGAGGCAATCGGCCATCTTTTGATGCCGCTTCTGACCTGCCGTCTTTTCCTGACGATGGCGACTTGGGTAGGTTCCTCCTGTGCCTTTGGCGCGTTGCCTCAAACCCTGCAGCCGGCCGCTATACATCCCGCGATTCGAAATCTCCACATGGCCCTTGGGAAAACCGCAGTTTACTAACGCATAACAGACCAGAAAACTTCACGTCCCTTGGAGGATAACGAGGAGCATGACACTCCTGCTGCCAAAAAACGCCGTACCGATGCCGATGCCGGCCCTGGTCCGGACGACGAAACTTCTTTCCAACAATCGCTCGACAGCCTAGATCAGCATGGCCCCGGCCATAAAATTGAAGAGGAACTCGCAACGGCCCTTGGAGAAGGGATCGTTGACACTCTGGAGTCTCCTGACCCCCGTCACAGTACTCAAACCCAGTCCGACGCCCCCGCCTCTCAGAATGAGACATCCAATACCAGTCGAGAGCACGTCGTCTCTATCATCAACGACATCATGGATCTTGGAGAACGCTCGGAAGCGCTCACGAACTTGGGACCGCAGGAGATCCCTCCATCCAGTGATTTTCCCGGTGCACGGGGTTACATCTTTCTCCGGGCCAATTCCCATCTGAAAATCCAAAGTCTCCCTATTCTGGACAACCTAGTAAGTGTCCGCAGCTCCGATAATCAGAACCCAGGAATACTAACACAATCTAGTCAACGCAAATCTTGTCCTTCCTCTCCAAAAACAGTTACCAGGACCTCACTGCCATGGTGTCTGAACCGGATTCCGAAAACGGTCAAGCCTATGCCACGATGCGGTCGCTCTTTGATCATACTAAAAGAGTCTACACTATCCACCACTGCTTTCTACAAGCTTCCGATCTCGAGATCACCGACTCTTCCCAAATCGACATTATCCGCAAAGCCAACCTTGCGTCGTTCGTGTCAAGCATCTTCGGCTCTCAAGAAATCGGGTTCGCCGACTTGAACGACTACTTTTTGGATGTTTTTGTTCCTGAAGGTGGTCGTTTGTTAAAGGTTCAGGGAGCCCTTTACTTGGAACTCAAGACCCAGGCTTTCATTGCGGCCTTGAACACCAAAAGTCGTACCCGGACGCAACTGCTCTATGAGCTATTCCCGGAAGATATGGAACAACATCTGTTGAACAGGCGGCCAGGAATCAAGCAGTTGGCCCCTAGTGAAACCGATTTTGTCAACCGTCTTACATCTCGCCGCGACATCCTTCTTAACGAAATCAACAACAATAACGAAGAGGCACTCCAGGCGTTGCCGGATAAGTACCGATGGGAACATTTCCTGAGGGATCTCAGTTCCTACATTGCCAAAAATTTCGATGCCATCAACAACCCGCAGGTGTGTTCTGATTATTTTCATTTACCTTATACCTGTATTAATGCTTACGCAAGACACAGAAACCCGTCAAAGGACGCCAGGCATCCAGCTCGAATGAAGACGCCCAAGAAACCCCTAGTACCACCCATCAAGGGCAATTCTCAGTCAATCAGCAGGTCGAGGTTCCTGTCGATCGGAATATGCACGGCGACCTTGTTGCGCGTGCTGCTCGTGCTGCGCAGATTGCTCTCCAAGGCCATGGCCTTCGACGTTCCCAGCAGCAATCCCAACAACAAAATCAATACCAACAGCAGCAGCCTCCGTCCCAGGCTAGCCAGTCGCCTTCTCAGCATCACGCTCAACCTCAACAGCAGCAGCAGCAGCAACAACAACAACAACAACCACAACATCAACAACACCAGCACCATCAGCCTGCCCAACCTCAGCAGACTAGCCAGGACGACAACCAGTATCTCCATGGCTACACCGCTGCCCAGCAGCCCGCTCAGCCGCAGCAGCAGCCGCAGCAGCAGTTCCATCACAGCCCTACGCCACCGGGGGGTACCATCAACAACAATCTGGTGGACTAACCTTCCAGCAAAGTCCCTTGCAAGCAAACTTCCAGCAATACAACCCTAACGCGGCGCAGGCTATGCAGGCTCGGTCCAATGGGATGTCGTCACAACAGCAAGGCTACCTACCAGGGATTCCTCATTATTCTCAATCCCAACCGACGCAAGTCCTCTATGAGCGGGCTCGTATGGCTGCTTCAGCCAAGTCTTCACCAACGAGCCGCAAGTCTGGACTCCCCAGCCAACGTCGGCCATGGACAACTGAAGAAGAGAACGCGCTCATGGCCGGTCTTGACCGAGTCAAGGGCCCTCATTGGAGCCAAATTCTCGCAATGTTCGGTCCCGGTGGTACCATCAGCGAAGCTTTGAAGGACCGCAACCAGGTACAGCTTAAAGACAAGGCTCGCAACCTGAAGCTGTTCTTCCTCAAGAGTGGAATCGAGGTGCCTTACTACCTGAAGTTTGTGACTGGCGAGCTGAAGACTCGCGCGCCTGCCCAGGCTGCCAAACGTGAGGCCCGTGAGAGACAAAAGAAGCAAGGCGAAGAAGACAAGGCGCACGTGGAAGGGATCAAGGGTATGATGGCACTGGCGGGCGCACACCCGTCGCCTGTCCCTGGCCATGAAATGTCGGCCTCACCCAGTCTCCTCCGGATGCCAGCAACCAGTCTGTTTTCGACCAGACCGCCGAACAGAACCTGATGCAGACCCTTAGCCAGGAGGTTCATGGTAGTCAATACCCTCAGCACCACGCTGCGCCACCCTCAGACCATATTGATCCGCACATGCAGATGGGCCAATAAATTGACTTCCTGGCCTCTCGGGCCTCGAGCTTTTTTATTTTTCCTTTTTATGTGTAGTTCAAAGAGCAAGATTCGATCCGCATCTTGCCTTGATTTATTTGCCGTTCTTTCTTGCTTGGAGTTGAGGTATTGTACCTGTGGGATTTTGCTTTGGGTTTTGCGTCACGAAGCATGAAACAAGGCAGCGGGAGACCCCGATTGTACTAGTACATATTGACCTATGCAGCGTCAAAGCGATGAGGCGGATCTTCTTTCCCATAAATTATATATTCTGCTATTGTTTGAAGCACCTCGTGCGTAGTAGTATAACTACCCTTAATGGTACCCTAGTATGTAGTATAGCACTGTCAAGCTGGAGTGAATATGCCCCGGTGGGCCGTGCTCCCGTCTCCGCCCGCGTGTGACTGGCTCTGCCAACGCCCAGTGCATATCCCTCGGAGGGAAGGTACCTGGACCAACCACCCCAGAAGGCCACCACCGCATTGATTGGTCTCAAGCGCTCCTGCAGCCTGTCGTCTGATTGTATAGGGGAGGGTTACTGTCCATGATCTGCCCACTATGACCGACCAACCTTCCCACATCCCCCAACCGTCAAACGGGTCAGAGCAATCCGTACCACCATCAGCGACACCTGCCGAGACGGCCACCGATCCCGCCGTGAAACCTGAACCCGATATCGACGCTTCCATCGAACAAGACATCGACATGAACGCCGAACCGAGCCAGCCCGCCGCCGACGACAACGTCCCCGTCCCGGCCGAGGTCGATCCCACGCCGCCCTCCAAGAAGGAGACCAGCTTGCGCGAATTCCTGGGCAAGATGGACGATTATGCGCCGATCGTAAGAGATCCATCCCTATTATTAGTTTTTCGTCTTTTCTTCCATTCTCTTCGGGGGCAACTCTAGCGAAAGATCCCGGATACTTCATGCCCGAACATCTGGCCATGTCGTCGCGAAGTATCATCCGGGGAATTCATTTCCGATCTCAAAAATAGGAAACCACGGACAAGAAGCTAACGTATCTCTCCACCTGTCAGATCCCCGACGCAGTAACAGCTCACTACCTCACCCTGGCCGGCCTCCCTCCGCCCGGCACAGGCCCGAACCAAACCCCACCTCACCTCGCGCGCCTGCTCGCGCTCGCGACGCAGAAATTCGTCTCCGATATCGCAGCCGACTCCTACCAGTTCGCCCGTATCCGCGCATCCAACAGCTCCTCCGCAAATAACCCCATGGGCAGTCTGACCGCCGCGTCTGGACTGGGCGGTCCCGCAGGTCCCGCGCCTGGCGGCGTGGCCGGCGGCGACGGCGCAAAGGGTGGAAAGGGTAGTACGCATCTTGGTATTCAGCGCGCTGGATTCGGCGGTGGTGGCTCGGGTGGAACGGGACAAGGTCGGACGGTGCTCACCATGGAGGATCTTGGTATGGCTGTTTCGGAGTATGGAGTTACCGTCAAACGGGGCGAGTTCTATCGCTAAGCTGGACGATATAGAGGGCGGCGGGCTGCATGTTGCTTGTCGACCCTTCATGCCGTCTCCACCTCATTGTTGCATGTCTTTCAATATCCTGGTTTCTCATTGCTATCTACGTTGGGTTTCGGCGCAGGCGTACAAATCGGTCAAGCAGGCCGCGGATGACTATTGTTACTACCTATTGTTACTACTACCCTGGATTCGGATTCGGCCCTGGGCATTCTGGTTGGGAGGCGATTTCCGCCTAAAAATGGACTTTCCTTTCTTGTTCTGCTTTCTCCTCGTCGTATCTTGCCTTGTCGACGTAGTCTGTATGGAATTTCTCGATCGATGTATACCACTGGTCAAATGAGGATATGAATAACGGTAAATGCATTTCTTCCATGGAGAACTCCATCCGACGAGTAGCTAATGTCACAAGGGAAAAGCACTGATGTATCTGTACACGGCACTATGGCCAAATCAAAATAAAAGGTGCTTCAAGCGAAGCATGCGACCATATTCTAACTCGAATCCTTCACTTCCGCGGGGTATAGGTTTGATCTGCGAGGGAATCTGCAATTTGAGATCCATTGACGGCCAATATAGAGGGAAAGGCAATTGCCAGGGAAGGAATTCGAGGGGGTATCAGCCTAGGTGGGTTGGAGGAGCTCAAGGTTAACTCCAACCAAGCCAAGCGGAAATCATGCGAGCCGCTTATTTGTTCTTGGACTGCTTATAGGTGAAGCGCTTGCGGGTACTGTCATCGTAATATGTTAGGAACAATTTGTCCGAAGGACTGGCCAGGTACCGCTGGCGGCTGGCTCGATGGCAGACTAGGATTGACATACGCAACATATTCTCCGAGCTTGCGGCCGACCATCTCCTCGGTGATCTGGACCTCCTGGTAGGTCTTTCCATTATGAACAGCGAAGCGCAGGCCGACAAAGTTGGGCAGGATGGTTGCGCCGCGCTTTTGGGTGCGGATCGGGGGTGTGTTTGGCGGGGGCGGCAGGGTGCGCGGGAGAGGGAGACTGAGTTGGCAAAATAATTAGAGATTTGTTCCAAGTTCAAAAGACTTCTTTCTCAGGGTTCTAGAGCAACGCCCTTGTCGAAAAAAGTTGCCATTGTGCCGATGAGTTGGGGTTGGACATACGGGACAATATTCGGGCCTAGGTGAGAGTCAGCGGCGAGTTGCTTGACGTCGATGAAGCCAATACTTCGAATGGAGTCAATTGCTCTTACCTTTCCAGACCGAGCGGCCCAGCAGGGCGCGTGTGGGAAACATAGTGATGTGCGGTTGTCCGGGGCAGTGATCCGGAGAGGTCGAAACCTTTTCGGAGATTCAATCATGACATGATTAGTCAGCGTCCAACCGGCCTTGTTTCAAGTTACTACTACCTGTATCAAGCAGATCATGAAGATCTCTGCCATTCGTTCCTAGAATTGAGTTTTGTATCTAAATAAAGCTTTCCCTTCGTCATCATTGGCCTAGGTCAAGTCATTGAATAATTCCTGACAAGGACGGAGTTCAACGTATACAACCCAATTTATACTACTCGTCGCGATCCGAGCGACCACTTGCAACAGTTTCAAACATAACAAAACACGTTAGAACACCAAACAACACAAAACAATGAACAATGCGAAGTTTCACATTGACGAAGAAAACTTGATCTGTGATGTGATGCGTTTATTCCCCAGCACTAAGTGCGACGTTACTTATCAATCAGACATAGCGACCTGGGAATGGTTCATTTAACATCACGATAGTGTGATCATATAGGCTCCATGAGAATTTGGCTATTGATGTCGCTTCAAATGAAATGCATTATGGCTAATTCGGTAAACAATATGATTGAGCCGGCTGCCAGCAACCTCTAGGGCTCAAGAAATGAGATACGACTACACTAGTGCAGTAGTATTTGGGCTTTTCTTGCTCAAACAGCAAGCTCCTCGAATATCTTGACCAGATTTCGAATGCCCATCAACATATTTTCATCAGGACCCTCACCAGGTGTCCATTTTGCGTGCGCAAAGTCGATCACACGGAGATCGTGAACCTTGGGTATATCCTCCTCATCGTCATCATCAACGATCTCCGGCATCTGAGTCGTTTGAGGATCGATGGTGATGTTGATGGCTTTTTGTGGCACACCGTTGCCCAGGTTGACATCGACTAATTCCAAAGCTTCTTCGGAAATTTCGAAGCCGACATCGTCAACGTCCTCTTCTTCCTCGTCCGATTGATTTCTTGGATCGGGGTGTTTCTTCTCTTCTTCCAACGCGTGTTCCATGGCATCCGGGTCGCCTTCGTAGACCACCAACACACTTGAAGAATACATTCGACTCTCCTCAGACTCAAGGACCGCTTGAATATTTTTCAGTTCTTTGGCCAGTCGTTCCGCAATCAGCTTCGAGCGATCCACCTTGCCAGCTTTGGCACCGGCGAGGTAGGTCTCAAACCCTTGCTTGATATTTTCCGCAGTAAAAGATCGTCCGTACCATTTGTCGTAACGACGGAAACCATCTTTCTCGACGACTTCACCCTTTGCACCCTCCGCCGCTTCGTATTTTGTGGCATATGGATTGGTACGGGAGCCCTCATCAGCCTCGCCGCTTTCCCCAGTCCACACCTTCATCCCAGCAATGCGGTATCCCAAACTTGCACTCGTTGTTTCGTTGGACACCGCATCCAGCTTGTTGCGTTTAGCCGGTGGCGCGTCGTCCGCCCAGAGTCTCGCTCCGAGCTTCACGTCCAACACGTTCGGTCGGCGGAACCCACAAGCAACATTCTCCAGAACAACAGAGAGCCCAGTGTCAAGCTTTTTACCTCCAGACGGCACCCACAATTGTTCTGCCTCATGATGGGGTCTCCTTGTGCTCGTTTCCGTCTCGGGTTGGGATGCCGGTCCGTCGGAGTGGGTGGGAGCAGCGGGCGCGTCGGCTGGGCCAGGAAGAAAGACGGCGCCGGATTCTTGCGCGGCAGCAATCGCTAGCTGTTGCTGCTGATCGGCAGATGATAGAGTTCCGAGGAACCCCGGCATGAACTCCTCGAAGGCTTTGTGGAGGGCACTCGACTCGTAGAATTCGACCTCTTGCTTCGTACACGGTTTGGCGATTAGGGCGCCGGAATGAGTACAGCGCACACCATCACTAGTAGCAAGCGCATCAGTTAGCATTTTTCAAATCCCAGAGATCATCATGAAGTCTCCCAAGGAGGCGGATGGTAGTCCCTGATCAGCCTGCACGAGCGCTGCTGCAAGCTTGAAGGCGGTCGCGCGGGCTCTGGGCTGGGGAATACGAAACTTACTGACCCGCAGCGACGTGGTCGAATGGGACTAAATCATCGCTGCCCAGCTGTGGCGTCTTCCGACTGTCCGAGTTCGAAGTGGGCATGGTGATGGGAGGATCAGGCGACAGTGATTCGGATAGTGTATAGCATTCCGGATGAGTCAACCCACCAACTGAAGGTTTCCGGGGTTGGGCTAGGCAAGCGTGGAGACGGTGAACAAAACAGACGGGACGGAGAAATAAAAGCGAGGCTCTTAGCGGGGGTGGCATCATGGTCGACAGAGGACGACGTGCGACGAGGGATAAGAAACGGGAGCCGACGCCCGTGCGATAGCGGTACCTTGTGTACCTTGTGGATATACCTGTTCGTTTCCTTGGAGTATCCTCCGCCAAGACGACTTTAAGGTACTTTGTAAGGTACCCAGGGACAAAGTAAGTACCCCACAACTATATATCGACAAGAAAACGCTGCATTGATACTCCGGACTTCAGAAATGTTCAGCAACGAACGATTATACAGCCGTTTATACGTAGTCATGGCTTTTTACATTTTCTTTCCTTTCGCCGATCTTCGTCATGGTGAATACCGAAAATAGCAACTCACTTTGTAGAGACATCTTTCCATGCACGCGGTTATTCCTCACTCTGTATCAAACCTGCCCTCTCCTTCTTTGATTCTTATCTTCATCTCCACAACCTCCTCTTCTCACTTCTTATATCTTCGTCGCCCTCCACTTTCCATCGTCTTTCCTCTTCCAACACCTGATTCCATTCCAAGCCACCTTCTACGGTCAACAAGACATCTCGAAACGACTGAACCTCGAATCTCCAACCACAATGGGAAATCAGAAGCGCCCTCGCAGCAAGCGCGGACAGGTAATATGTCGATGAATGTAAAGGTTATTGACACAAACCACTCACTTGTCTTTCAAGCAGGGCAAGCCTACCGGGTTTGAAGAATATTTTTGCGACGGCCCCATGACTCCGATGGACCACGCTGAGATAACCAAGCTATATGACTCGTGAGTTGTCTGATGCACTTTGCGGCTTTTGGACGCTAATTATGATCCCAGGAAACGGCCATTTATCAGGTGCGTTGTCTGTTTCTGCGCACGTTCTCTCGACGAGGCACTAATTTCTTTGTACAGCCGATTGGAAGATGCTCTCATGCGATTCCAGAACAAGCGCCGCATCGTATCGGAGCGTATGAATGTTTTCCAGAAATACTTGCAGTATGGCGGAGTCAGCATTGGGCCAAACTACGGCACTGGTGTGACTAAACAGGAAGTGAAAGCCATGAGCCCCGAGGATGCTATGAAGGCGCGAACCGAGACTGCCGTTGAGAAGTCACGCGCAAACCTGGAAGTCAACTTCGACAAGGTGCTGCGAGGGTTCCTGTGAGTGTCATTATCCAGTGACCGAACTAGTCTGGCACCAAGCATACTGACCTGAAGCAGGAGCTCTTTTTTTATCAGTCATTTCAACCCAGATACTAAGGCTGATATTGAGCTTGCAACAGTCACCATCAAGAACTTCTACACCTATCTGCTCTATCAAAATGTCTGTCCGGAGCACGAGGAGGATATTCTGCGAGCCAGGGTTACCTGCGACCTTGCAACTGCAGAGCTGTGGAAGAACGTCCAGCTTGTACATGAAGCCCCGGGTCCCTTCAACAGATGCTGCTCAACGCTTTTCGGTGGGTACTATTTCGGATCTTCGTGGAATGACTTGGGAAAGCCCGACGACAGTTTGGATCATATCCAGGCCCTGACGATCCAGGTCGCTCACAAGGTTGTGAAGTATGCCATCGTGGGCGCCGGTTCTCATGAACAAGCTACGCGTTTTAAAGAAATGGCCAATGAAAACACACTCACCAGCATGAAAGTGGAGGATATCGATGGCTTCGAGGTTGTGGAAGTCCTTCGGCCTGATGACAATGCTCGTGATTTCTACAATGCATACGCATTGGATCTGCTTCCTGTGGGCAAAGTTCGCGCCAGGTCCTACCGGGATCCCGCAAAGCCGCAGATTGACATGTCTGCCGAGGAGCGACAGGACTGGGAAAAGGGCAACGGACCGCAGTATGACTTTGAATTCTTCGTGGAGGCCAACCTTCTGGAGCTCTGCTACCCTGGACTGAAGGTGATCACCTCCGTGTGGGAACTCAATTGCGATGTGTACTATTTCGATGAGATCATGACGACTTACCCGAGCTTTTACACCGTGATTGCAAACGATCTGATGTTGAATTGGAAATGGCCGAAGAAGATCAACAGGACGAAGTCGCAGCCAGACGATGAAATTCAAAAATCCGTCAAAGAGGCAGTGGATAAGATCCTGGTAACTGGAGAAGCAGCTCAGAGTGCCAAGAAAGAGGACTCTGATTCCGATTCTGATGATGACGACTATTGAGACGTGACCACCACCAAGTCTGCTCGTTTTGCATTTCTTTTTGGGTTTTGGTTGTAGTTTCTTTATGCCAAATTTGCTAAGGGTCTTCAGAAAATTTTGCGCGTTGGGATGTCAGATGACTACGTTCAAAGCAGTATCTTGAGCAAAGATACAATTATGAGATTCATTCATTCGCATATCTAACAAGCCCGTCCTACTTTGTGCATGATTCAAAACTCATACACAGATCAGGGCTTCAGAAGGGGCTTGCCTGTGGTCTTTCTTCCCTCCAGGTCATTGTGAACTTGGGCAATCTCCTCGAGCGGGTAGATCTTGTGGATCTTGGTCTTGAGCTGGCCGGATTTGAGGAGGTTGAAGAGCTCATTGGTGTAGAACTCGAACTCTTCCCGGGTCTCGATATAACCGAAGAGGGTAGGACGAGCAATCTTGACACACTTGGGGGAGAGTTTGCTGTATTCTCTTAGGTTAGCAGTGATATTAGGATAAGTAGAGCTGGGCTGTATACTCACGGGAGGGGAATGGGAGGAACCGGTCCACTGGCATTGCCGAACCAAACTATGGTACCCTTGCGCTTGACGGCCTCCAGGCTGCCTTCCCAGGTGTCCTTGCCGACAGAGTCATAGACAACATCGACGCCCTTACCACCGGTGGCTTCCTTAACCTTCTTCACCCAGTCCTTGCCTTCCTCGCTGCGATAGTCAATCACGACATCTGCACCAAGGGATTTGACCAGAGCGCATTTCTCAGGACCACCAGCAGTGCCGATGACCTTGGCACCGATCGTCTTCAGAATTTGAGTCATCAAGAAGCCAGCACCACCAGCTGCGGCGTGCAGAAGGACCCAATCGCCCTTCTGCACTGTGTAGGTCTCCTTGACGAAAGACAGGACGGTCAATCCGCTCAGGAATGAGGCCATGACGTCTTCATCACTCAAACCCTCAGGGATCTTCACGGTTTTGGCAGCCGGGGCAGCAGTGTACTCGGCATAGCCGCTCGTACCCATCCAGGCGACGCGGTCTCCCACCTGGAAGCCCGAGGTATTCGGTCCCAGGGCGACGACGGTGCCAGCACCTTCGCGACCCAGAATCTCCGGCTTGGCGGAGGCATAGAGACCCGTGCGGAAGTATGTGTCGATGAAGTTGATGCCCGAGATGTTATTCTTGACGAGCAGCTGGCCCTCTTGAGGAGTAGGCACGGGATACGAGGTCCTCACTTCCAGGACCTCGGGGCCACCGGTCTTCTCGACCACGACGGCCTTCATAGTGGTAGGGACGGACATTTTGCGGAACGGTGTGAATGGCCGATTGACAGGCAATGACGGAGTGTGGCTGCTGAGAGCTGCAAGACGAATACTACTGCGACGAAGAGCAGCGAAAGACATGGCAGGTTGGGGGAAGACGTGGAGGGCAGCTAACTAAGTAGATTGCATCAACAGCTTCAATTTGTCATCGCCTCCCCGCATTCTCCGAACGGCAAGTCCGGCACTTTTCCCTGTCTCCACCAGCCGATGCCCTGCCTGCCAGTTTCAGATCGCTGAGGACCTAAATACAATCGCACTGGGCCCATCATGTCGCGACAATTGCGCAGCGTGTCCTCCACAGGCTCAATTGGCCCTCACGGATGCCGTGCCGAGACTCGGAGCATCCGAATGTGGGGTGGCTGCCATTCCGTCGGGACTGCAGAAACCGACGGAACTCGGTGATAGACGCCTTGTGGGCGCCTGACGAGACATTTGAGGTTTCTCAATTGGTGTGTCGCTCGCTGGAATCCATCTTGTTGCCTGTTGCACTCGGGTGATCGCCCACCAGCCATCATAGCCGCCGCCGACATCCTCAGACAGGAGTATCGATCAGGTGCATCGCAATGGCATGGTCAGGACCAGGGGATACTCAGGGGTCCTTCGGGGAAGCATTCCCGGTCTTCTCGTTCCCTATCTGCGCATTGTTTTCGGGTCTCTTTGGCTGCCTTTGTCGAGGCGACGTATTATGCACCGCGATCCCTACCAAACGGGGCTGAGCCCCCGGCTACCTTTTGCTGGTTTTGACGGCCCTGCGCCAGACCATCATCAGACGGCTGCGGGCTGAGCAGGTGTGGCGCCAGCACCGTGATTCGATTCAAACATGTCGCCCTTAACATGGATGTCTATGACACCCCCGCGGTGGCGCTATGCGCCAGTTGACACAGGTTGAGACTCGCACTCGACCTCTGATCTGGCCCGCCCCTCGATGCTCTCAAACACCATGAGCCCCGAGCGACGTACATCGAGTATATTTTTAAAACATTGGCCGGCCACTCTACAGTCAGGTTTGGGCGATAAATCTGGAACACAAACTATTGAAACGTCAACGAGACGCCACCCCCCAACCCCAGCATTTGTGCCCAATAGCTGACAAGGCCTGCCAAAGCCACGCCCTTCGTGGTTTGTTTTGGCCAGTCGCGCTTGTTGTGCCCCTTGTTGACAATGACAACACTGCATAACACGGCGTATGGTCGCTCTGCTTCAGCCTGATAACTATTTCGGGTGATTCGTCGACTTTGGCCCAATGGCCACTGCGGCCCTATCAGCGATCTCCGGCCCAGATGGTGCCCGATGCTATTTGACCAACAATTTATATACTCCGGCCTCTTCGAGGGCGCACATTTACCTCTCCTAGTCCAGCTTTGTCGACGTGAAAATTTTTTCCTCGCGCCCACTCGAGCCTCATTGTGTAACGGCTCCTGTTTATTTTACTGCCCAACTCCTCGCTACCTAAGATTATGATCCATACGCCTCGGCACGCTCCACCACAAGACGTGATTGTACCCGGCTAGCACTTATACGGAGAATCTTTTTGGTTGCTTTTTCAACCTGTGTATGACCAGACCTTACCAACTTCATGATGCCGACTTCTCGCAGCAGCGGACCGCCTGCTTACAGCAAAAGGCCCTCTGTTCGCGGTAGTGTGCACCGTCGGTGGCCTCCACCACCTTGTGCCGAGGAAGAACCTGCCTCTCTTGCCAAAGAACTACATGGCCTGTCGCAGCTCAGCGAGAACCCCGGTGTCGAGGGTGCTCGTGAAAGAGGTACTGTTGACCAGTACCCTGTTATTTTGGGGCTGAGCATCTCTCCAACAGCTTCCCCACCCAGTGTACCCAACGTTCCTGGGTTGGGGAATGTTTCTTCAGACGACAGCTCCGGACCAGTCACACCTTCACCACCACCACCACCAGTTCCAGAGCCTCCTCTTCGCAAAGTCCCGGGACCTCGATCACAACCAACCCTCCAGACCAGACCTCCACCTCCATCAGATTCATCTACATCCAGCAAAAGTCGGGGTCGACCTCAAGCCCATGTTCATCAACAATTTGGCGGTGATTCACAAGCTCCACGTCAGCCACGACCCCGATCACCTTCTCGAGACCGCATTTCCAAGGAAGAAGCGCCAGTGTTCATTGCTCCACACAATTCTCGGAAGGATGTTCCGGAACCAACTCGCGTTCGAGGGCCCGTGTATGAAAGGGTTCCTGTGAATACAGGAAAGCCATCGATTGGAAGATCCAAGAGTGCCCGATACGCAGCCTCAGTCCAGCGACCAGTACCGAGTCAACGTCAACGAGAATCCAGCTCAGGATACCTCTCTGACTCGGCTACCATTCGCAGCAAGAGTTCCAACCCAGCTGTCGCTACTGCGCAAGCTACACCTCCCAGTACACAGTCCAACGGACCTACTATTGCTGAGAGGCTCGAGGAGAAACTACGACTTCGTCAAGAAATGCGAGAGCGACGCCAGGAGCGCCGCGAGGCAGGTTCCTTGTCAGACATGGAGACGCGCCCCAGTGTGTCTTTTGTGAAGCCTATCGTCACAGCAACAGAGAATTCGCTCCCAGGGCCAGCATCTCAGATACCTCCTCGGGATCTTGATCGTGCTCCAGCAGCCAGACCCATGGAGCGACTACCTGCTACACGTCCGAGGACGACCTCGGTGTCTTCTGTTGCGCCACCACCGCCTCGATCGGTCTCGAAAACGCGCATGACGGGAAGATCTATGTCATCCGATGATGCTCCGCAGAGCACCCGAAAGTCTTCTCGACCACCACCATCTGTCAAATTTCAAGAGAAGCATATATCAAAGCGTAGCTTATCTCAATCTGCGACAAGCCGGCAGCCGAGCCCACCACAACGGCCTTCTCCTACCGTTGGGCTGTGTCTCATTCCATGCCCTCGTTCTACTCCAGTGGCTGGCCACAAGGACTGGTACACCCTCAAAGGACTCACTCATTTGGACGTCTGCCCAAGCTGCATGAGCCAGGTCGGAAACTCTCGTTTCCGTGACTTCTTCATTCCAAGCCTTCCTAAGCCACAAAGCCAAGCCGTTCGCTGCGCCTTCTCTAACCCTTGGACTCGCTTGGCCTGGGCGCAGATGATCAAAAAGAAACACGATAGTCTGGAGATGCTTTACCAGATGACACGGCCACCCCCAGGAACTCGTCCCTGCCCAGGTCGTATTGTCACCGATCAAACTTGGCATCGCGTTGTCGACCCAGATACAGGCTTGTATCTGCCGCGCTTTCATATCTGTGGCACCTGCGCCCGAAACGTTCGGGTCCTGATGCCGGCACACCGTGATACTTTCCAGCACTGCCCTGAACCACAGGAGCGTGTCTGCGACTTTGTCACACATAGTCCGCGCTTTATTCAATTCATTGACCTCCTCGACTGCGCTGCTTCGCGGGCCGAATCGGATCCGTCGCGTCGTCCTGACCTACGTGAATTCCTCGCCTACGCCCGTCGCAAGGTCGTTTTGCGTGACTGTCGCCGTGACAGACCAACTATGAGCACCTGGCACTATATTCCGTCTCTGCCAGAACTGACTGTCTGCGAGGACTGCTACGACGAAGTTGTCTGGCCTCTCGCAAAGAAAGAGCACGCAATTGCACGCATGTTCTCTACCTCAATGCATCTGCTTCCTGGCGATGGTCCCAATCGTTGCCGCGACGCAAGCTGCCAGTTGTATTCGGCCCGAATGCGGGCCCGCTTCCGCGATGCCTCTACAAAGGCGGATTTCCCCGGACTGAAAAATATTGCGTTGCGACGATTTGAGGCTGAGCAGCGATTCAAGGATCGGAGAGAGGAGTTGCTTACGGCGGAGAAAAAGGGGTATGATTGCGCCGCTGAGATGAAGAAGGCCATTGACGAATGGAGACGATGGGAATAGGTTCTTCGGGGGGCTTTTCTTGGGAGATTGTATTTTCTGATGTATTCTCTTTCTTTCCTTGTCTGGTGGTTGGGTAAATTCTTTCTTCGCGATGTATCAATTTGGCTATGTCGGATTAGGTCTCGTCTAGTGTACAAACTTCAATCAAAATTCAAAAAATGAAAAACAAACCTCGCATTATTTCCTCCAAAAAGATGATCATACAGTGTAATTGATTCGATGTAAAAGCTCAGCCCATCAACGAAATAGGCTTCCACTCGTCTACAGTGCAAAAAGCATCAAGGTATGCGACAGAACCATCTGGTTGGTCCACACGCACAGTTTTCACCACACCTTTTATGTCAAAATTAAACCCACACTGGTAAAACAATCCAGCCATGCTTGCGGCACGAACCAAGAATAAATCAGCATCAGAGAAATCATAAGCGCTCTCTCCAAATATTTGCCAAAAGAGAGCTTCGAGTTCACGGTGGTACTCGTAGTAGTGCCACCCTTTTGAATCCATATAGCCCAGAACATTCTCAAGCCCATACAGTGCAAAACCAAAAGGTAGGACTCTTGATTCCGCCCAATCGACAATTCCCGTGATGTTTCCAGTCTCAGGATTGACGTGGAGATTCATCATGTTGAAGTCCCTATGGCTAAGGACAAACGGGAGACCTCTTAAGAAGAGAGATAGAAGGACCATGCGGATTCTTTTTAGATTTGGCATAAAGCGAGATGCTAGCTTTTGACAGAGACTTTCGAAATTTGATTCAGATTCTGCCAGCAAAGAGCTTTTTCATCTGGACAGAACCGTTGATCGTTGTTCCATGATTGTGCGAAAAACCTGTCTTATAATGTAAGGACTTGTAAACGAAGCAGATTACTGGTCAAGTGTACCTTGCAAGGTCTCTGATAGTATTGTTTTGTCGAAAATTGTTGTCTGGCGGAATTCGTGCCATTATAAGAGGAGTCACAAATAGATTCTCCATCTCGTAGATATGGAGCGGCCGTGAAACGCCTATGGTCCCGAGATACTTGCAGCGAGCGACGAATTCGGGTGAGCAGCCTTCGCAATACTAATGTTCCCCATATCAATGATAGAGTCCTCCCCACCGAACTGGATGATCTTGGACTTGTCGGGTCCCGCTCTCACGGTGTAGCTACACACCCCTTGCATCTCTAAAGGAGTAGAAACTCCGCCCACGAGAGAGATTGCAAATTCATCGCATTGCCGTCTTGTCACTGTAGTGCTCGAATTGAAAAACTCCGCGATGGTGCTCTCAAAGCTGTAGACTACATAGGTTGTCATTATGATGAAGGCTGGTGGGAAAGAAGGAAAGAAGGACAAAGAGGGGTTATAAGAAAATGGGTGACTCGTCACAGCGCACTCACCGCTATTTCATACTCTCAATCACCCTTGTCGCAGGGCCAAATATCCCAATAGCAATAGCTTTGATTAATAGCCTCCCAGCTCGATATTTCAATACCACTGTTGAGCAATTGGTAGTTTGAGGAACTATCCAGCAAGTCGAGGACGCCGAGGGCCTCGAAGCGCCCAGGACGGGCAACTGCTTTTCCTAATTTGCAGTGGAAGGGCTCTTATGTAAAACTGCGAGTTTAAATTGCCTGATATACTATGTACACATCACTCCTCTTCAACTCCTCAAATATGTACCATTTGCGCAAATCACATCACTCCCAAGTTATCAAACACTATATATAGAATCTTTCCGACAAGATGTGGATCGGTTACTCTGGCATTTCAAGTACATAGCGACCCGCGATTTTGCCTTGCTCTGAGACGAGTTAGTAGAGACTCATTACAATCTTGCACCGTTTGCGAGAAACGTTCGCGAGAAACAGGGGAGAAACATACCCATGAGCTCAAAAATCTTTGGAAGGTCCTTAAGAGGGGCCAGTTTAAATGGGGCCTTGATAAGACCCCGAGCGAAGAAGTCCAAAGCTTCAACACCATCTTGTCGGTTTCCAACATAGCTTCCCTTGATACTGATCATACGGACCACTGTGTTGAGAACCGGAGCCTTGAGGTAAGCATCTGGAGGCAATCCGATAGCGATAATTGTTCCGCGGGAGCGAACATATTCAGTAGCTTGTTGGAAAGGCTTTTCAGAAACCGCCAGTAGAATGACTGCATGCGCGCCGAGGCCATCTGGAGTTGCTCCTTTCACATCGGCGACGAGGTCCTTGGATTTCGTGAAGTCGACAAAAGTCTGCACATAATTAGTTCGCATTCTTGTTCTTTCCCGCCAGGATGGAAGTAAAGGCTGAGTATTCATACCTCTGTACCGAGCTGCTCGCACATGGCCCGTTTCTCATCGCCTCCATCGACAGCCACCACCCTGATACCCATAGCCTTTGCATATTGCTGTGCGAGGGATCCGAGTCCACCACCGGCTCCCACAATTGCGACTGTCTGACCCGGACGCACCCCAGATTCCTTCAGTCCCTTATAGACAGTAATGCCTGCACAGAGAACTGGTGCAGCTGCATCGAGAGGAACATTATTTGGAATCTTCGATGCATGGGTCGCCTTTCCGACGGCATATTGTTGAAAAGTGCCATCGACAGTATACCCCGAAAGTTGCGCATCGGCACACAAGGGGTCGTCGGATTGTCTGCAGAACTCGCATTCGGAGCATGAGCCGTTAAGCCATTTGATACCAGCATGATCGCCGATTTCAAATTCCTTGACCAGAGAGCCCTTGGCAACGACCACACCGGCACCCTCGTGCCCACCTACAAGAGGCATCTTGACTGGAAGGGGCCAGTGTCCCATCATCGCATGCAAATCGGTATGGCAAACACCAGAATAACGGATCTTAACTAGAATCTGGTCAGGTCCCGGCTTGGGGACAGGAATCTGCTTGTACACAAGCGGGCCGCCAATCTTCTCCGCTACTTGCGCCCATTGCATTTCGGGGATAGACATGATAGATGAATCAGATGAAATCGAGTTTGTAAGATTTGAGTCGAAAAAGATGAGAAGGATCGAAGTTATTCGATTGCTTGGTGGTAGCCATAGATTCTGCGTGAGAACAAGGTCTATATATACTTATCAGATTTAAAGGGAAAGACCGACAAATGCAAACCGCCGTGCCCTTGGCATGGGCTTTCCGACCCGCATTGTCAACATATCTTCGGCGAATCGGGTCGGACAGCCGGACTTGAGAACAAAGCAGTATCGCACGGGATACTGTAGCAGGTTTGTTGAGGCCATGGCCAAGATTAGATCGCGGGCCGCGATGCCTCTGCGGGGGAAGTTTTGCGGGGTCGGCGCACGGCCCTCCCGGTGCGGCTCCGCATGAACAGCCAATCATAGCTTCGCATCCCAACTTCCTCCAGACCGAATAATATCAGGATAGCAGTCTTTGATTTCCGAAAAAGTGGGCTGAAACGAGCTTTTGTCGATTATATCCCTCTTTGAAATATCCGTGGTGGTCAGACAATATGCATTAAAATAGGAGTTCGTTTTCATTCGTCGACTGTTTAGGATGTTTGAGCGGAGACGCTGAAAGCATCATATGTACATATCTTTGGGCATAGAGACCGGTCTTTTGAATGCGTCGAGAGAACAAAAGCTACATACAGTCATTGGATTTTGAAACATTGTCATATAAGGGCTTCCTTTTCTTCATCCGTCCCGTAGGGGAAAAATGTGCTCGACCATCCACTCCGAATTGCGAACCCAGAGGCAGGCTCACTACCACGACCACATATAAGGTATTTCTCATCGTATTTTCCATGGTTGGTATTGATAAATGAAGGAAATATTTTTTCTGTTTTCGATGTCTCTGGCGAAATGTGCGTTGGAATAGTCTTCTGTGAATAACATGGCTGCTTTTTCTCAAGAACACTAGGATCCACAAGATGTATGCTCTCTTTGGTCGAGTGTACCATGAAACGACCCTGATCTATGATCGGCCCGTTAAGTGAGTTGGAGAGATATTTTGGCAGCTTCCGACTTCCGTCGACACAGGTCAATGGTACTCCACGCTTGGTACATTGCTTGCAGGGTCGCTCATCTCCTATATTTTATTTAGCACAGTTCCATGGCAACAATGTCGATCAATAGATTCCGGCTCTTGGAGATGTACCGCATGTCTTGTGTGCTCTCTGACAGTTGGCGCAGGATCGTCTAGCCTTCCTGCGGGGCGGGGCTTTTTTATCTGCATTCCATGCTCTGCTGTCTTGGTGGTTACCATCCTCAGGATAGAGTGCCGCGTGCATTTTCGAAAGAAATCTGACAGTGCTGATGCTTTTTGTTATAAAATATCTGTTTGAGTAGCACCGAGGGCTCCGAATATTAAACACTTTTTGTTTCTTGCAATAGTTGGCAATAGACGGATGTTGCTTGGTTTCGTCCCAACATCAACACCACCCGAAGGTGGACGAACATGGATTTTAACCTAATTCAAAAAATAGAAAACACCCACCAGTAACAAGGGTCACTGCCTATACGGGTCTATCAGCTAGAAGTCGCGCGCTGACAAGGTTCGTCAACCCCATGGGGTAGCTTCTGGCCGTACGACCATGCGGCTCCGCACAATGGAAAGTTTAGTCAGTGTAACCAAAAAATGAAGACCATGAACACCCATCCATTTTACAGGTTCAATTGATGTTCGCACCTGCGGTCGACGATTTTATTGTTTGCTAAATTGAGCAGCGCATTTCGTACGCTTCCGTTTCCCCGCGACAGCAAGATTGAGAATTATTGAGTCTAGACTCTTCCTTTTCACCGTAATATCATCGGGCGGACTTGGAACCCCCCTTCATATTTTCTGTAATAAAAGCCCTCGAGCTCCAGGATATATCAACACTAGGAACACACAGCCCTTCCGTCTTTTCATCCCATCTCATTATCTGAGCTAATTATATTCATCTCATGATAACCTGGACAAGGCCCAAATCGGACAGCAAGATGAACAGCGATCTCGATCGGAATGGCGAAGAGAAGGCCTCATTTCAGAATAGGGAAACGCCGTCGCAGGCTCTTTCTATGGTCCCTACATCCGTGACACTATCGGCGGAGCAATTCGAGAGGCTTTATCTCACGCGGATGACTTGCCAACGGCCCAAGTTGGCGAAGCAGGTCGGGAATCCCACTCCTCTGTAAGCCTATGTCAATCACATCATTTAATCTTGCCTAGCGTCGCCGCTAAAATGGTTTCTAGTGCACTGGGAGGATTTGTCATCACCACCACTCCACTCTCATGCTGTCTGATGGCTTGGAGAGGAGCCAGCGGGAATGGAGTTGCCTTCATGTGGGTCTAGTTGACAACAAGCTCTCCGGAGATCTTCCTGCTAATATAAGTAGCGGACCAATCGTCTTCCTTGGCGGCCTTTTGCTGCTTATAACAAGTATTCTCGAATTCATATTGGGTAACACGTTTCCATGTGTTGTATTTGGCACTATTGGTGAGTTATTTCCACATATTGCCAGCTACGCCGACATTTCGGTCTCATAATTTCTGATATCTTTGACAGGAGGATTCTGGTTTGCATTTGCAGCCTCTATGATTCCCTCCTTCAATGCAGCTGGTAAGCGTCCCCAGGAATACTTGATTGGAATAATCGGCTTCTCAACGGTTTTGACGTGTTTATAGCCCCCTACTCTCCCTCGGCTACTGATACAATTGCTGGGCTTTCGAGTCCTGGGTTTATGACTACTTACGGTATGTACCACTTGTTTCCTCCTTAAAACGTTGGTGAATAAAACCTTTGATTCCTGACAATCATCTTAGCATTTCTGTTCATAACTATGGCTGTCCTGATGCTAATATTCATGATATGCGCGACTCGCACCAACATTGTGTATACACTCATATTTTTGTCGCTGCTCGTGGTTTTCCTTCTATTGTCGTCAGCTTACTGGCAACTAGCGGAGGGAGATGCTAGTGTTGGTGATCGATGTGTTAAGGTGAGCAATGTTTCTCTCCCTGGGAATTTCAAAGACGAGAATGAAAGAAGATGACTGAGATCTATTTTCTTGATAGGGTGCGGGCGCCTCACTTTTTGTCGCTAGCTTGCTTGGATTTTACCTGTTAATAGTGCAGCTTTTCGAAGCTTTAGAGTTCCCATTCCAGTTGCCTGTTGGGGACTTGGCGGTGCTTTGGACCGATGAAAGTCACAACAATAAAAGGTAAGACAGTTTTCTCTGAATGAACAATTTGAGAATTCGCTTTGCATTATGCTAATTCTTTTTAAAAAGCGGTGATTCACGTCGTTATGATGAAGATTTGGCCGCTATTGGAGATGATAGAAGTGTCTGAGGTTTGCTATGAGCTACTGGGAGCTTCTATCGTTGTGTCGCGGATAGAAATGATAAAGGGCTCACACCCTGCAGGCATTTTTAATCTATAACTTTGCTTTAGTAGGATATTGGATGTTGCACACTTACGAGTAGATCGATATCAACACGGCACTGATCCCGTCAAGAATATATTTTGACTGAGCTCTGGGGTGCCGCACTGGCCAATTTAGCCGACCAAGAAGACATTGTACAAACCAAAAATGATTGACAATTTGGAGTGACTCGCTAAATTAAAATAGGCAATCAAATTCGTACGCACTGCACATACAGTGGTGCACATATCGTGGAAGCCGAGTGAGCTTAACTTGGTGATCGACGTATCGTCGATCTGTCCATCGTTTCGTACACGGAGCTAATGTGGATTTATCACCCATAGGCACTTGGAAATGACTATCACTACCAAAAACGAGCTCGTCGCCCCTAGGTATTTCGTGGAGGACGAATGAGGCCGGCGATCGGGTTCCGTTAGCCCGAAGGGGCTGGGCTGGGCGCAGCCCGCTCGAACAATACCCCGCAAAGTTCGCGATGCTTCCCCAGATCTCACCCGCGTCCGTCGGAGTTTTTGACCCTTCGACCTGTACTGGCGATATATATAGGCCACCAGTGACCTCCGACGGGACTGCACTTCGCTGATATACCCTGCAACGAGATGGCTCGATCTCCAGGCATGGATGACACCCGTCGACGCCAGCTTCATAGCTGCGACCCCTGCCGTAAAGGCAAGCGGCGCTGCGATGCACCGGTGAGTGGAGATCAAAAACCTCACCTATCTGCGCCAAGCTAATTCCGGACCTTAGAAGAACCGAAAAGACACTGGCTTCCTTCTCTGTTCTAACTGCAAGCGATGGAACAAAGAGTGCACCTTCAACTGGCTGTCCTCAAAACGCGATGACTCCACAGGAGCTCGGCGGAGAGCAAAAGCCAAACGCCAAGAAAATTCTCAGGTCGACGAACTTGCTTCATCTATGATCTCGCATGTCCCTGCTCCAAACGAAGTTTCTCTTGCCCCTCAATGGCATCCCGCCATTTCCGATGACATCCTGGCTTCTAGCCATGCCGCAAACACTGCTAGTGGTTTCTCATTCCCTTCTCATCCGGAAGTGTTTATCGGAGGATCAGAGGGGACAGGGTCAAGCGTTGATCAGTTTGACTTTCTTTCTTGGAGCATGGATAATCCAATTGATTGGCAAATCAGCGCTACAAGCCAGGAATCCGAAAAAGTTTTCCGGCGTCTGGAATCCCAAGCAGTCTTTCACAACACCAATTATTTTCATAGTCCCCCCGAAACAACCGAACAGTCTGAAAACGAGTTCACACCCTTCTCGCATAAACCCAAGGCCTCAGGGCTCAACCATCTGGGACTCAACTACCCATCAACACCTACCTCTGTTCAACGATCTAGCCCCAATTCTACGTCCAATTTTTGCATTGCTTCGGAAAATGCAGCGAACCAATATGCCCGCTCAACAATGACGCGAAACCTGATACGAATATACCATGACAGTATGGAAAACGCATTGTCATGCTGGCTGACGGAGCACAACTGTCCTTACAGTGACTCAACGATCAGCTCCATGATACCACTACGTGAGAGAAAGGAATGGGGTCCCAATTGGTCAAACAGAATGTGCATCCGGGTATGCCAGTTGGATCGTGCCGCTTCGTCGATAAGAGGGCGAGTACTAAGCGTGGAGGAAGATAGAACCGCCGCTCGAGTGCTCCATCTCGCCATTATTGCGTTTGCCTCGCAGTGGACTCAACACGCACAGAAAGGCACAGGATTGTCCGTTCCAGAGCCAATTTCTCGTGACGAGAGATCTATTCGAGAGTATGTCTGGAATGAAGCACGCCATGGCCTAGAGCGTTCAACTAGGATACCATCCTTCCGCATCATCTTCGCAAATATCATCTTCTCTTTGACACAAAGCCCGCTTGACAATAATCAAGACAAAGGTCTTGGTCAACTTTTGGAAAATGACGGCGCTCCGATATTCTTGGAAACTGCCAATCGCCAGCTATTCACATTCCGCCACAAATATGTTCGACTTATTCGAGAGTCGCCTCCGAAATTGAAAGAATCTCGAAGAGGATCGATAGGGTCAGAATTTACCCCCGAATCAGACACATTGAATACGTCGGCGTCTTCGGCCGCGGACCCGATTATCGCCAGTCAGGAGCACCGCAGCACATTAAGCCTTCTCTTTTGGCTTGGCGTCATGTTCGATACCCTGAGTGCAGCGATGTACCAACGCCCATTGGTGGTATCGGATGAAGATAGCCAAATTGCATCGGCCTCTCCTGAAGTCCCCGACTCGGAAGACCAGCTTCAGTTCAGCATTGAGAAGACACCCTGCAGGAAACAAGACGTCTGGGGGGAGTTTTTCCTCCATCCCGCTCCGCATCAAGATCTGAGTCGAGTGCAATTAAGGTGGCCATGCTCCTACGAAAAGGCAGCATCCGTACTCTCAGAAGCAACACCCGTCAAAGTTCTGCTTTATCGCCGAGTCACACAGCTACAAACCTTGGTGTATAGAGGAGCCAGTCGTGAGCGTCTAGAGGAGGTTATACAGAAGACTCTCCTTGTTTACCAACACTGGAACTATACCTACCAGCGATTCATGCTGGATTGCGTCGAGAACCACGAGCTACTGCCTTCCCGCATCCAGTCTTGGTATGTCATTCTTGACGGCCATTGGCATCTTGCTACGATGCTTTTGGCCGACACTCTAGAAGGCATTGACAAAGGAAGTCTCGGCTCGGAGAGTGAGCGTGAAGCTCGAAAAGCTACGGAATTCGTTTCAATGCTGAGAATAGAACATGCGTTTGCGGTGGGCTCACTTGCTCGTGCCTCGCTGCATGGGCAAAATCCATCTATGTATCAGAATTTTCACGATTCGCTCAACGAGGTTGCGTTCTTGGTTGAGCCGTGGACTGTTGTTTTGATCCATTCGTTCGCTAAGGCGGCATATATCTCTTACGAAAGAATGGATATGTCAGACGAGCACAGTATGTTAGCCGATTCTTTCCGACAGAATTGCGAGTTTTGTATTTGCGCATTGCAGTACCTTGGAAGGAAGTCCGATATGGCATTCATGATAGCTCGAAATTTGTCGAGATCTTTGAGCATGAAGCTCACTCGGATGTTATGAGATATGGGAAGGCCAGAGAGTCTACGAATATGCAAACAAGATTACCTACTTTTCCCTTTGCCCTTTGGAAGTTTCATCACTCGCTACAACAATACACGATGGTAGCTTTCCGGTGACCTTTGTAATGTAATCATGCACCAACATGTGGAATCGAATGAATATTAACAGAACATGGCATTGTACTAAACTCTTTTTATAAAATCGAAATTTTTGTTACTTATGTAGGAGCCTTGTCAGTCAACCTGAGCTGTTACTATATGTTCCGGGAGCTGTGCCTCAGTGACAGCATGTAAGATCCACGCATATAGTCCCGCAGCCCAGCATACACTGCTCTAGTTCCTCGGGGTTCATTCGTCTCTTTCCATTCGTCTCAGGCCTTTTCGTCCCCCTCATCCAACCACCTTCCGATGGACCTTCAGATCGAATTTTCTGGAACGATTGAACCTCCGGCTGGATGGTTACTGAGTGAATACCATAGGCATGGAAACATTCTCTGGTGGTTTTTGAAAGACTCTCAAAGTCGAGGACGACATCACCGTCCAAAACTATATGGACTGAGGCAAGAGATTTTGTCTGATTCAATCGCCATATATGAAGCTCGTGGATGGCAAGGACGCCAGGAATCTGTGTCATTGTCAGCAAACTGAGATGCTGTCAATACAAGATGGTCATAATTCCTTACCTGCTCGAGATCATGTCTTACGTCGTCATGATCGACTCCATGAGGGGCACTTTGGAGTAGAATGAGGCCGGATTGTTTGACTGCAATGAGGTCAGTAACTCGAGCATAAATCAGGAAGTGCTCAACTTACTCAATGGAATAGAGGAGGCAAAAATCATGAGAGCAATCCCCGTACTCACAGCCGGGTCAGCATAAAACCTTCCGCCATAGTGTGCAAACCAGATCACCGCAGCCGCGATGATAACTCCGAGGTTGTTCGCACAATCGCCGAGTACATGAATCAATACTCCCATCATAGCCAAATCTCGATTTGACTTCTTCGAGTGTTTGGGGTCCTTCATGTTGTGTTTGTGGTGGGAGTGCTGGTTGGGAAAGTTAGTGATGGGGACAATCTGCAGGCTTTGTCGATACAGACCTTCTGGTCTACTAAGCCGATTGAGGCTGGATCTTGATTCGTAGCGTCCTCATTAGCAGTTTCATGATCGCTGGATTCTTGGCCGGGGCCATGCTCGTGTTCGTGGCCATGTCCGTGATCATGGTCGTGGTCATGATCTTCCGATGTTTTCGTTAACTTTCGGATCAAACGAAGACAGCGACGAAAAGATCGAAATTCACTTACCATGCAAGAATAATACACTGATAACATTCAGCCCAAACCCAACACAGCCCATAATAAGGACTAGCTTTGGGTTTTCGACCACTGGAAATTACGTTAGCCCCGGAATGAGAACCGCTTGGAAAGGAAATGACCTACCTTGCAAAGAGATGAAACGCTCAATAGACTGCAGGAACACGCTGATTCCTAGTCCAAATAATAAAACGCCATTAAAGAATGCCCCGAGAAGCTGTACTCGTTGCCAGCCGAAAGTGAGAACCTTTGGAGGTGACCTTTTCTCTGCGATCTAATCATTATCAGTAACAGATTTCACCTAGTAAAAGCCGAAGGCAAGAGACACATGTGAGTTTTCACTTACTATTGCAGCCGCAAGTGCGACAATAAAACCGACAAGGTCGTTCAGCTTTGACAAGTCATTATGTATTCACATTTTGAGGAAGGCTGATCTCCGCGGATAAAAGCGGCAGGCAGTGACATACATAGTGGAATGCATCAGCCACTAAGGCCAAGGAATGCGTGTAGAAGCCAACTGTACCACAGGTTAGCTGTTTTGTTTCATGCGGAAGCCACCCATGCCATTTCATTCACTCGAAGGAACCCATACCTGATATCTCAGCTATGAAAAAGCAGAAAGAAATGCCAATGACGGCACTTAACCGCTGGATGCGGGATATCTTCGGTGCCATCGGTGTAGGTTGTGTGAAAGCGTTTTGTTGCCCTACCCTCAAATACCTCAACTACGTACATCGATCGGACTCGAGTTCTCGAATGACAGTCGCTTAGTTTATGTTGGGTTGGATTGGCGACTCGGAAGGCGGCGGTTCAGGGTGGCGTGGCAAAGGAAGGGTCCTTTTGACATGTTTGCACTACTCACCCTCACCTAAACCTCACCTATTGGGACGAGTTCATTATGCACCCGCTACGAAGCGATAGAAACGGAAATGGTAACATGAAAATGCCTCTTTTGTACTTTTTTTATATGATTCGCTAGTAGATTTGGGTGTCGCATGCAAAGTTGTAGAAATGCTCCAAAGAAAACATGTGATTGGAAGCAGATGAAGCACTCAAAACGCCGGTTCTTGAGTCTTGTGGAGCCGCTCCAAGACTAAGAAATGCAAAAGAGTGAGTCAAGCTCCTCTTAATTCACCAGGCCAATCACCTCGTCCGGCCAGCGCTTAGCCCAGATCATGGCGCGCTGCGGGACTCGGCCTCCAACGGGTGCCAGTACATGGATCTTACCCTTTTCGGGCTCGACACTAGCAACGTAGAGGAAGCCAATGACGCTTGCATCGCGGACTTGGGCCGGTGTAGCTGTGGTCGGCGCATGGGTTATGGCCAAAAGGGTATTGGTGAGTGCGGTTGGCGCGGGCGGGAGGACCTTCTTCAGGGGAACATTGCTGAAGGGAGTATTGTCGGCTGATGAGGTTGGAGGATTGACGGACAGGCCAACGATGCCCGGGAGAGGTGCCGGGCGATCTGATTCCGTCGGCTTGGTCTCTTCGCCGAATGAGTCCATGCCGAGCTGAGAAGGATCGTATTCGTCCTCGTCTTCATCTTCCTCCGAGGTCACTGTGTAGTTGTAGACTGACAGTCCGGCGAAGTCTAGCTGTGATGTGTGTGGAGACAGGGTGACTGCGAAGGGGGACGGTGAGTAGATGGAGGTACCGAAGAAATACGACTTAATCTGATATTCCCGTGCAGTTTTCAGATAGGAAGGGTCGCGATCGACACAACCGCCCGATTTGGACAGCTTGAGAACGGAGACACGTTCGTCGAAAACGTCGGCTGAGGCGCTTGCGCTGGGTTTGTTGTCGTACTGTTTAACCATATTGCTGTAGAGTCTTTCCGAGCCCAAGACAATGATCGTCGTAATCGCAAATTCGGTGACAATGTGGTTGATGAGCTCAGTGGTACCTGGCTTGCCAGAGCTCAGAATACCCGGGGTGTCGACGATGATGCCGGTCTCACGAGAATCTTCATCCTCGGCCATACGACCTGTCACAGAAACAGCCAGTCGCGACACTAAGGGTCGATACACGGAGCCATTTGCATCCAGAGGACTGGGGTGCGGATAGCCGTAGACGAGCGGAAGCTTCACTGGCACAGGACTAGGCCCAGACATCGGGGAGCTACCCCAGCCCTCTTCGATATTCAGCATCGTTCGGAATGCAGTTGCTGTGATAGTACCAGGAACACTCAGCATTCCTTCAGTGGGGTCTAGGTTCACAACGATCGGCTGTCGGCCGGACTTCGTGGCGTACGCAGTCAAGATCTTAGCCAAACTGGTCTTGCCGGCATCCTCAGGACCAAGCAGCAAAACCCGAGGACCATCCTTGCCTGACCCATGCGCTTCTTGCCGAATCGTCTCTAGCGCGAAGTGCGCATTGGCATATTCGACCATGGGTGTCTCCTCGGCGACGTATTCGCTTTGGCATCCGCCTGCGCCGTGGCCAGCCGTCGGGGTGACTCCATCCAGCGTCGCCGTATTCGTTTCTCCCGCGCTCACTTCCAATTCACAACCGTGCCATGTGTAGATCGCCGCTTTGGTGCCGCAGAACGTGTAAGTTTGTAATTCAGCAAGCTCAGTGCCGAAGAGCTCAGCGGTTCCGGTGAGAAGCTATGACAAATTTGAGTTAGGATCCACACCGCTGGCCTTGCAGCGACCTTAAGTGCGGTCGCTTGGAGGAGATGACTTACTCTGACCTTGATGCTATGCCCAAACGCGACTTCAAAGCGCCATTCTGATCCGGGTTTCAGGGTGATTTGCGACGGCGGAGCGGCAGAATGCTGCCTCTCCTCGGAGGGCTGCGCCAGCTCAAGGCCAGGAAGAGACATTTCACGGCCAATCTCCGAAGATCAATTATCGACTCACGACCGGGTTTGAAGGTCGAAAAATATTATCAGGACTCGCAGAGATGTTCAGCAGACTGTGAAAGTAAGAGCGATTGCGCGGGAACTTGGACAAGATACGCAGCGGAAGCCGTGACGCCGCCTCATTCTGCCAGTACAATCGTAATCAGGCGGCCACCACACGACTACAATGTACATTTACAGGTGGATTTATTCACCAAATCACATGTGATAAAACTACTAATCGCGAGCGTAAAGGACTTTGCGAATCACTCACTAGATTGAGGATTTTGCACTTGCAATGAAACAAAGTCTTGGTCTTTAAAAAAACTTTGAGAAGCTATCAGTAGGCTAACCGCTCTTTGACTCCATGGCGCCCAAAAAGCCTGGCAAAACAAAAGCAAGATTGAAGATTTGGTATCAGGGAGAATAGGGGAGGATCACAGGGGTCCGGAGAGAATGAATTCGGTACATGGTCTCTTTAGTTATTGGGGCTGCAGGACAACCAAGCAGTGGGAATAAAGGAGGTAGGTAGAAGCAGGATATTAGAAAACATTGTGTTGGAGGAAAGTACAGTGCATACTGGAGGATGGGCAGGGAGGAATATATTTATCATAACGACAAGGGGGATGGAGAGAGGATGAGAAGTCGGGGTTCGCAAATGAATGGAAGGCTGACCTTGCTGGTAATGCAGCAATTCTTAGCAGGTCCAGTCGCGAGGCGGTATCAGGGTGGGGATTTGGGGATATTTAGGGAGCAAACGAAAGGCAACAATCCAAGCGAGAAAGAAGTAATAACTCGTAGCATATCTTGATCAGACTCGGTCCAGGGGTTTAAGCCTAGAAGAAATAGGGGACGGCCGCACTAGAATCGCGGTTAGTATACGGCTTGAATCAAGACAAAGGGGATCACGTACGCAAGAGCAAAAGCTGCGGAGACACCAAACAAGGCACGGTTCCGGACCCTCTCGCGCTTGAGCTTATCCTCGAGAACCTTGGCCTTCTTTGTCCGCTGAGCAGCCTCAGCGGCGGTCTCTTCGTCATCCTCGTCAGTGGGCTTGCGCTTCTTGGTCACCGTAGCGGTCGTCTCTGCGGGAACACCATCTGTCGCCTGGGTCTTGATGGCATCTTCCACCATTTCCTGAGCCTTGGCAATCATCTCTTGCGTCTCAGCAGCTGACATAGGGACCTCAGGAAGGCTGATAGGCACGTCAAGCGAGACAGTGGTCTGGGTTGTAGAGGCTTGGTCGGCGGTCTCAGCCTGAGCAGTCACCTCCAATTCAGTTTCCTTCTCGGCAGCTTCCTTCTTCTTGTCGGACTTCTTCTCTTTCTTCTCAGTTTTCTTGTCGGACTTCTTTTCCTCCTTAATCTCTTGCTGCTCCTCGGCATCCTCTTGGGCCTCAGCCTCGGCGATGGCCTTCTTGGACTTGCGACCACGCTTCTTCTCTGGTGAACCGCTTGTCTTCACTTCTGTTTTTTCCACGGTCTCGATAATGCCGTTTTGTTCATCAGTCTCCAATGAGACCGTAGTCTCCAGGGCCTCTTGGAGGCTGTTGTTTGCGGCAGCAGTCGACGGGGTACCCATGATGTCTTTCGCGGAGCGAGCTTGACGAGACTTGCGAGGAGATGAAGGCTTCTTGCTGGGAGACACGGAGCGACGGCTGCGGCTGCGTTGGGATGGAGCTTCCTCGTCTTCGGGGATTTCGAACTTAGGAGGCGGGGTAATGGTGCTCTGCTTCTTCGCGCTGGACGGGCTGTGTACAATGTCGGTGGGGTCCAGCAAGGCACGAACCCAGTCGTACATCTTGTATTCTTTTGAGAGTTCCAGAGCTGTGAGATTCTAGTCAGTATCGGCCCAATCAGAGTAGTCTTTCGCAAAATGGGAGGACATACCGAAAAGAGGAGAGATCCAGACATTGCCAGCAACTTCCTCTTGGCTCGTGTACTCGCGCGACTTCAGATACTCCCGCTCGGCCTTCTCCTCCTCGGTCTTGGCCCAGGGGAAAGCGATCTTGAACATGCCAGTTGCGCTGACGAAGCCGTCCTTGCTCCTCCGCTGTTTTAGTAGGTAAGTGACCGAGTCCGCGACCAGTGCTATAATGAGGGGGGTAGCTCACCATCAAGAAATAGGTCTCGGGGCCCTGGGCCGCTTTGTGCGTCGGAAAGATCTCGGAACCCTTGAGATCCTTAGGCAAGGGAGCCCGCAGATGGGCGTACTCGAATTTGCCCAGGTTTTCGGGCTTGGTAGCATTGGAGGTACCGATCTGGCCGGGCTTAACGGACAGGTTGGTGCTTCCAAGTCGGCGGCGCGCAAGCAGGTCCTCATCTATAACGCGGGCGCAAAAAAAAGAGGGTCAGCGATGGTCGGACCGAAACAGGGCATCAAGAGAGGGGGTGTGATGGAGGGGAGTGAATGCGCGAATGCGCGGTCGCGCGGTCGCGCGATCACGCGTCTTCAGACGAGACTTACAGGCAGGAGCCGAGTCGGCGAGGATGTGCGGGTTGTATCGCTTCGGAAGGTCTCGAGTCATGATGGGCAGCTGCGGCGAGGTCGAACGGTGCGATGTCTGAGATGTATGGAATGAATGCGAACGTGAAATGGGATGCGCCAATGGCGGCCACGTAGCAGGCGCGTCGCCGAATGAGGTCACGGACCGGACTTTTCCACCGAAGATGGAACTGGGACGATCTGGCGAAATCGGCGGCAGCGAGTGCGACACAGGAGAGCTATCGGATTGGCAAGGCAAAAAGCCAGAATGTAAGGTCAAGAAAGCGATCAGGGGAGAAAGGCGCGCGACAGAATAATTGGGGCCTTCGCTGCTCGTACGGAGCTTGTCTTGTTCCGGGATGGTCCGGTAAGGTACTGTCAGGATGGTGTACTTGGGGGCTATAATTCGGCAATGTAGGTCGAATACCGTTCCAGTCATACGCCGTGTTGGGATGGGCGTTGGCCCCGTGACCTCGCATTCTCCCGCTTTTCCTCCTGGCGCACCGGCGCTTCTTCCACCGGCAATAACAGATGTTTACCGTCGTCGACCCTGAGGAAAGACAATATACGTCCGGTCAGCGTCTGCTACCAGCCTGAGACTGTCGTTCCTGCACTCAAGCGGGGTGGTCCACTACTGTGATCGTGTCCAATGCGGTGGCATCTGGGCCGAGATCAACTGGAGCACGAGCGCTACGTGTACTTCTGCCGGTGTATGAGTGGTGCTGTCTCATATACAGTAGATCAAGTGGCCGAAATTACGGTGAGGGCGACCTGTTGACGTTGCTTTGTAACGTACGTCGGCTGCATTCTAGACATTCTGCGAATCGACATAGGGTAGTCATAGAAATAAACTCGCATTGACGATGCAGCTGCTGTACTCCGTCCCCCTCAGGCACCTCCACCCATGCGGGTTTAGACTCGCAAACTAAACAACGGGCGATCCGAATAGCCTCGCCCCTCCTCCCACCGCCTTTCCAACCCCACCAGCGACAGTCAGGAGACGCAAGCGCGAGACTCCTTTTCTTTCTTTCTTTCTTCCTCCTCTTTCCTACTTGTCCACTCGCGCTACCCCTTTCTTTCTACTATCTTACCAGCCGATCGCCATCCACTCCCCTCCAGTCCAAACCCCTCTCCGTTCCCCAATTCGGTACCCCGCCATCAACAATGGCCGACCACCACGACGATGATCTCGCCACCTCCAAGACCGAGGGTTTCAAGGTCGGCGAGAAGAAGACTCTCCAGGAGTACCAGGAGCTTGGTAAGTGTCCATTGATAGTACCATGCTCTGCTGCCGGCAGATCGATTATCCCATACCACCCTCAACACGATCGCCTCTTCCCCTCACTTGGAGTCCAAGACTGCTAACAACTGTTCTCCACTCATAGACAAGGACGATGAGGCCATGAACCGCTGGAAAGCCTCCCTGGGGCTTAACGCCGGTGATCCCATCGGCCAGCCCGGTGACCCCAAGTGCGTTATCAAGTCGCTCGCCCTCGTCGTTGCCGGCCGTCCCGATGTTGTGATCGACCTGTCCACCAAGGAGTTTCTTGACAGCCTCAAGGACAAGCCTTTCACCATCAAGGAGGGTGCCAAGTTCCACATCAAGGTTGCTTTCCAGGTCAATCACGAAGTTCTGAGCGGCCTCAAGTACGTCCACGCCGTCAAGCGCAAGGGTATCCGCATTAGCAAGGATGAGGAGATGCTGGGTAGCTATGCTCCCAGCACTACTGTCAAGCCCATCTACGAGAAGGAGTGTAAGTATTCCTTTTATTCCCCCTCCCTCGCCTTGCCAATAGCGACATATTCCCTACCCTACGTAATGATATGTTACTGACCCCTATCTACAGTCCAAGAGGAGGAGGCTCCCTCTGGGATGCTCGCCCGCGGTCACTACAACGCCGTCTCTCGCTTCGTTGACGATGATGACCACACCTTCCTGCAGTTTGACTGGGCTTTCGACATCACCAAGGACTGGTAGTCGAGGAATCTCTCCTGGACAACCTGTGTTGAATTCATTGAGCGGCCCATTGTTTGCAAGCGTGACGAATTTCCTTGATACCAAAAGCCTGGTAGAGATGGTCCAGTCTAGGCCAGTTACTGCACAGATTCACGCACCCTTACCTTTTGCAACGGATATCTGTGGGTAGATAGTGATGCCTTTGACTCTGTTGGTTTATTGTTTTGCTTTTCATATCTGTTCCATACCTGTCTTGAGTCTGGCCATGTCGAACTATGATCCTGTCCTCCATTCCCAGAAATGTAGCAGTAGACATGAATAAAAAAACTCTCCGTGGTGAACCGTACGTGTAATGTGCAGCTCATATTTTCTACCCTCTCCAAAACTCCTGTACAGTGCAATTGCGAGATCAAACAAGGCATGAGACCGAGATAATAAAAAAACCAGGGGTATCACAAGAAATAGTCAATGGTCGGCTGAGAATCCCTGTTCTGCTGGGCCTGTTGCTCGCTCCGATGCACATCGTTCTCGGGTGCTGCGTCGAAGATGTTAAAGTAGCGCTGCATTTTGTCACCCACCTCAAGTACACTAGCAAGATTTCCGCATCGGTAGCAGTAATTAGGCGCACTCCACACCGTGCTCAGTCGGTCGTCGAAAAGAACCTGGTATCCTTCGTTACACAGCTGATGGGCTCGCAAAATATGGGACATGTTGTTGACCTCGAGAAACTTCCGAACCACTTGCGAACCAAATGTATATCCAGCTCCACGCGGGGAAAGAGAGAACTCGTCGCGTTCTGGGTCGGGATCGGACCAGACTAGGTCGGCCATCGGGCCTTCGTGCGGGATCTCACGGTACCGGTCGAGGGATTTGATCTGGTCGATGGAATGGATAGACGGAGAAAGGCCGCCGTGTACGCAGAAGATCTCGTCGTTGATCACCACGCTCAGCGTGAGGAAGTCAAACATGTCTGTGAAATAATGCCATACATTGGCATTGCCGTATTTGCGTGCACATTCGGTGTAAAAGCCGTAAGACTGGGTCACACCGCGGGACTCGTGGTTACCTCGGATGAGATGAACTCGCTGGGGGTATCTAAGTTTGAGGCAGACGAGTAGAGTGATCGTCTCCACACTGAAGAGACCGCGATCTACGTAGTCGCCTATTCAAGATTGAGATGGTTAGCAATCCTGCATCAATGCATGAAGTAGCAGCACGATCCGGGGCCAACATGTACCAAGAAACAGATAGTTTGTGTTCGGACAGAATCCTCCGATCCGAAAGATCTCCAACAGGTCGAAAAACTGACCATGAATATCACCCACAACAGTGACAGGTGCCTGGATATGAACCACATTGCCTTCCTTCATCAATAATTCTTTGGCCTTCGCACAAATCCCTTCGATAACTGACTCGGCGAGGAGTTCTTTGCGGTAGAGTCGCTCGATGCACTCATCCATATCGATATTCGCTATCAGATTGTTAGTTATTGTCTTCCAACAAGGTCAAGTCTCAGTCAGCTGCAATTGTTCAGACGTACTAGGAATGCCCGGCATTGCGGCGAGATGCCCAAGGCAGCAATGGTTGCGCCGGATAAATGAGCGACAAATTCGAACAGATTCAAGTCGGAATATAGGCAACCGCGCCGAATAAAGCTACGAGGGTCGTAGGGAAACACTTCAGCGAATGCCGGTTAAGAGCAGAGGGGTCCTCGGCGGAGTGCTAAGAGAGGAACAGCTCGGCACTGAGAAATTCGAAACGCAGCGGAGAGTTCAACGAAGGGTGGATGTGGATCGCTGGCTAGTCACAGGCATCATGGCTTGGAGAAACCGGCACTGCAACAATTGCGCACCCAACTCAGAGAGATCCGTGGGCAAGGCTCCGTCGAGCTGGGCTTCTCGGGGTTCGGCGTGTTCTGCCTGTACACACCGCCATGGTGCCTAGATTGCCTGTACACGTGACCCTTACTGAGAGCAATCAGGACTGATGTAAGTTCTCAGTGAGCTAGTTATTGTCTTAGGCCCCTGTTCTACATGAACATTAATAAACGCACCAAGTGCATGAGGTCGAGTCATTGTTTACTGCAAAACCCAAGAAGTGAGAGATGATGCCTGGAGATTGAGATGTGGAAGACCGATCCCATATGCAGAAGATATAATCTAGATCTAGATATGATGCGATCCTGTACATTCCATCCTGCGCCGAGGAAGCCAATCGGCCAGCAAGCAGCTACGAATTCCAAAGCTTTTGAATGCGGCTGTTAAAGCAACTTCTGCTCTTCTTTGTGAACAGCCTCAGTCTCCGAATCGGTTTCCTCCTCATCCTCCTCCTCTTCGGAATCTGTCTCTTCCTCTTCGGAGTCGGTTTCCTCCTCTGAATCGGCCTCGTCCTCTGAGTCGGTTTCCGATCCGGACTCTGTTTCTTCCTCTTCCTCATCAAGCCACTGATCCAAGTTCTTCTTCCCGACTGTCCCCCCAAGTGCAGGTGAACCCTTATGTCTGCGCTGCGGGGCTGTGGCCTGGTGTTCGCGAAGCGCTTTGTCCAGCTTCTGGCCAGCGGTCATCGAAGCTTCCAATGTAGTAGGTTCTTCTGCCTTGACATCCTCGACCCGTAGGCTTGGATCGGGCTCGTTGCCAGGCTCAACCCAGCCTGGGAGGTTGGTATAGCCTCGAAGACCATGGTATCCGGCCTCGGATCCAACGACCAGTGTTGCGGTTCCGATAAGTAGATCCTTGCGAGTTTCTGAGGGGCTGGGGGCATGGGGGACGGGCTTGGGTGCCAGAAGGAGCAAGTTAGCTAGTTGGGTGGAAGAAGGACTAGCAAGGAGGGCCTTGTAAAGGCGAGCACGGTCACGGAGGTCGTAAGAGGTATCGTAACGGGCAAGGAGGAGAATATATCGCCAAAGCAGAGTGATACGATCTTCACCATTTTCTTTGGCTTCAATTTCTCCTTGATCATTTTCTTGCACTTGAAGGGCCTGGTCGACGCTTTTGTCTCCTTCGGCTCGATCCTCAGTCCATTCATTGCGGATTTCATTTTCGAGACTCGTAGATCCTTGCGAAGGCGAGGAAGATGTAGGTTCCGTTTTCCCCTCGGGAGGATTCTGAAGTAGATGGTGCAGATACACTTTGGCGCCAAGAAGGACGATCTGCTGCTTGACAACTTCCGGTTCATCGGCGAAACCCTGGATCAGAATGCGGAGAACGTCGGGCGCAATGTTTTGGTTTTTCTCTGCACCCGCAAACTCACCCACGAGCCAAATAATACTAGCTCGGGCATCAGGATTGGTAGTGTTGCCAAGGTACGTGACCAACCGAATAACAGTCTGGCGATGCGAGGCCGGGTCCTGCTGGATGAGGTGGCGGATGACAGTCAGGGACTCAGACACGAGGTTTCCGTCCAGACTAGAGATTTGCCCAAGTAAAATCCGTAGACACAGTCCCGCCATGGTGGTATCTGCTTGCGCGCAGCGACCAATGGCCCGTACACTCTCTCGAACCAATTCTGGGTCTGTACCCTTGGAAAAATGCTCAAGCTCACTGATGACGACACTTTTCCAATGTTTTCCACAGTGAGGAAAGATGATCGTCAAAACCTCCAGCTTCAAGCGCCAGATATGCGGCGGATCGTTGGCGTGAATGAGAAAATGGGCAATATATCTTGTGAATGGCTTGGGAAGCCTGAGGGCAACAGCAACAATGTTGTAGAGAGCAATAAGCTGCATGTCTTGCGGGCTTCGAAGAAGAGCCACCAGGGGACCGACGGCTGAGACCAAGTACTCTTGGGGCGCAAGGTAAAGGAAACAGCGGACAACGCTGACGATAACAGCCGAGTTACGGTTCTGCAGCAACACCTTGCATGCGCGGAAAAGCATTTCAAGATCAGGATCGACAACTAGAACTTCTTGCTCCCCGACTTCATCTTGGGCTTGGGCGATTTGGTCTTCCGGTTCGTCGTCGTAAAAGGGTTTCGAATCCGCCTGTTTCTGTTTTACCTTTTGAGTCCGACGAGGGAAACACTTGCGCGCATAGAAAGTCAACAGACGAAGAGTTGCCAGCTGACCCCATTCGTCCATGTCGACTAGCTTCTTGACGAGGCTGCGGTAGTGCTTATGAACCAGATCGATCTCTTCCGGGCAGACTTCCAGGAATGCAGAAACTGCGGGACCCACGACAAAGTATTGAGAATCACCAAGAAGGGTCGAAATATACCCAGTCAATTGGGGCAGCGTACTCGGGTCCAGACGATAGCACTTGGGAATGGCCAACGCAGCAGCCTTGCGAACATGCGGGCTCATGTCACCACATCCTCTCTTGATTGCTAATGAGACGATCTGGCTGATCACGGGCACTCGAATGCCGGACATGGTCCGCAACGCCATCACTCGCACATGAGGGTTCTGATCAGTCAATGATTTCTGGATAGCATTGATGGACAGCAGCGCTAGGTCCGGCTCGGCCTCCGCATGGTGAACCAGATAAATGTAAACCAACTTCTTAATCTCAAGGTTGGCACTCGCGGCATTTTTAACGACGGCCGAGAAGAAATCAAGGGAAGGTTCGGAGCGATACATCAACTAGATAGTGCACCAAATCGTGTTAGCGGTCATCCCATACATGCTTGAGTCAGCGGTTACGACATCATCATACCGAAATGACCCTCCGCAGCCCATCCAGAGTTTCCTTCTCGTGGCGACTATCCAGAAGCTTTTTGATATGGGGAACGCTATAGGTGCGCGACGAATAGTCTGGTTTGGAGCTTCGGTTACTCGCAGCGGACTGGGCGGCTTCTAGGGTGAGCTCTCGAGCTATGCGCACAGTGAAGTCACGGTCAGCTCCATTCAGACGCGGCGCCTATGGTCGGGGCGGAACAACTTACCTGTTTCCAGCATCGAGGATATCCGCGATATAGTCTCCATGTTGAATATCCAACCTCCGAGGGGCCCAGTCCCAGAGCGCGAGAATTGGCCTCGGGAGTTGGGGGAAGACAGGTGGGGGAGTGAAGGCGGAGGAGCGTGACCTCCGCGGGAGAGGCGATCTTCCGCACCGCAGAACCAACCCTGGAAAGCGACCCTCCAACACTACCAGTACCAATGGCGACCACCTAAAATCATGGTTGCAGGGCAGAACTCCTGGGTCGCAGGTCAGATGATCGGAGGGAATCGACAGCCTTGACAAAGCTGATACGTCACATCATGGTCCCCACACGAACTATCGCGTTCTGCGATTTAGTCACGAATCTGCTACAACAACTTCTCGATACACGCGCAGGCACTCGTCTTATATTCTGCGGCACCAGAGCTGAATTTCTCGTACAGCTCTCTGCAGCTATCCACGCGCAAGATGCTGGTTCTGGAGATGGGCAACGCCATAGTCTACTTACGAAAAGCATCGGATTACTAGCCAACTCAAGCAAGGTTCGAATAGCATTCTGTCCGTCACTAGAGAGCCTGCGCGCATATATGGCGGTCTTGGGCCCAGATAATGATGCTGCACTTGCAGCTGATGACCCGGAGAGACCACAGGTACTCGCTATTGCCAATCTCGTGGCTTTACACACTACAACTACCGAGTTCTCTGCGCAAGGACTATCAAGAACCTTTGCTGCGGCTGTCGAAACGGCATCTCGGACTGGGATGGACCTTTTGCTCTGCGAATGCACCAACGCATCCATGCCCTCGAGTACAGATTGGGGGCCAGGGTTATGGGACACACAGATCCCTTTGCTAAATGGCTCGGTGCGACTACGTGGTGAAGAGGGGGCCTGGGGAGGACGTGGTGTGCCAGTCAAGCATGTCGCCGAACGCTGGTTCGAATTTAATAGACCAGAAGTCTGAAATAAACCTTCTATTGGTTTGGGTTGACAACCACAAAATCAGGCAAAAATATATTGCAATATGATGATGAAACTCCATAGAATGAATCTGTACTGCCCGGGTATCCTAGAGCCAACCGTTGAACTCCTATTCGAAAGAAAAAGCCACGAAACCCGATTCGTCACAGCGACTTTTCCATCTCTGTGATATAGAGTTTGATATGGGACTCGAGCTTGAGATATTGGTCGTGGGCTGATTGGATTTCACTCTCGATATTCTCCTTAAGGTCGGCCATCTGGGAAAGTTAGCATAGGGGATCAAAGGTCTTCTGTGCATATACTGGAACCATACCTTCTTCTCTGTCTGCTCAATGCGGATGCGCCTTCTTTCCATATCACGCTGCTTCTCTGCTCGCTCCTCGCGTAGTTGCTTCTGGACATTGCGGAGCTCTTCCATGCGGGCCTGCGCCATCTCCGCTTTCTCCTGCGCATTCTTCCGGAGGGTCTCGATCCTATCGTTCAGACGAGCGAGTTGTCGCTGCAGGAGGTGTTCGGTCTGTTCTACCTCTCGCACACTGTTACCTCTGTCCGAGATCGCCTCCTTGTTTCTGGCAGCATGTGACTCCTCTTCTTCTTCCTTCTGCAGCTCTGTGGCAATATCATCCAATAATTTGACACATGCCTGCACATCATTGGAAACCACAGTGAATGTATCTGACGATGTTTGGAGAGCTCGCGCTCGCTTCTCCATTGCATCGATCTGAGCCTTCTCGCGCATCAAGTTCTCGGCTAACTCTGTCAGCGAAGATTGCAGAGTAGCCGGGGACTCGAGAACATATGGTCGGAGCTTCTCCGCCTCTTGTCGCGTGCGGACCGTTCTTTCGGTCTTTTCCTCCAGCTGTTGTTGCCGGCGCGCTCGTTCACTCTTGACTCGTTCCAGGTGGTCTGCGACCCTTGTCTGTTCGCGGCGAAGCTCCAGAAGACGCGCCTTGAGCTCATCGTTTCGCGCCACCTTCTCGCGCACCTGGGCCTCGTTCGCTTGCTGATCCCGTCGCATTTCAGCCAGTCGTGCCTCCATATCTTGGTTTTCCACATGCAGCGTCTCGATCCGTGATTTGGTCCTTTCGGTCTTGTTGAAGTGCTCGTCGATCACAGAGGCTTGGGACTCGCGGAATCGAACGAAATTGATGAGATAGGAAAAGATCTTGACAAGTCGGTCGTGTGTCGGTTTCGTCAGGTCGGTAAAAGTAAAGTCGTTCACACCGCACTTGGTCTAGTTAGTATACACCATAGTTTGGTCTCTGGGGATTGCGATCATTACCTCTGCCAGAAGCTTCCGAACATTGACAAAGAATCCCATCAGGTTGCGCGTGTCGTTGGGTACAATGTCAGGGTAGTCGCCGCAAATATCTTCTGCCGCGAGATGCATGGCTGGCTCGACCGTTTCGCGTGTGGTGTTCATGAGAAGCTCTGCAAACCATTCGAAGACCATCTGAATCTGCTGGGGATTGGGCTTCGCCAGGTCGGAGGGACTGAACGGGATTCCAATGTCGTTGATACATCCTGCGATCTCCTTGTCGGGCTTCGATAGAGTTAGCAAACTAATCTTCAGGTCTGCTGGTCTCGCGACTGGGAAATGCAACTCACCAGGCGCATCAATGCATCGTTATCGTCTTCTTTCTTGCGCCGGTTGTGCCCATGCTGCTGGGAGCCACCACCAGCCATGCTCATTCGATGGTTGTATGACATTCCGTCAGATGTGATTCGCGATCAAACTGGGCCCGGTCCGGAAACCAGACAATAATAGTCGCGGGGGAGGTCGAGAACGAGAGTTGTTGAGGTGGGCGGGCGGGCGATTGTTTACCTTCCAAAGTTCCGACCGAAGCCCGCCCGCCTGGCTGCATCCGGTTAGCGCGCCGAGGGGCACAGTGCAAACATGACAAACCCCTCAAAGAAATCATGACTCTTCCCTCGCTTTGTGAGCTGCCATTTCGCAAACATCATGGCGACAACTACCGAGAGCACGGCTGCGGCCGGTGCGAAGCCCTTCGAGTAAGTGCTGTGTTCCCATCGGAGCTTCTGTTCGGCGCTGATCCCCGCGGCAGTATCGTTGCGACATACAATGAGCTCCTACGCTCCGACCCCGATCTCACTATGCCCATCGCGGCTATTGAAGCTCTCGTGCTTCTCCTCACACATGAACCCTCTTCAACAATTTCCGAAACCCTCGATCTCCTTGAAAAGTCCACGGCACACCTCAAAAAATCGATCCCCAACCCCATTGGTCTCTCGGCCGGAACCGATCTCTTTCAACGCTATCTGATAACCACACTACAACGACCTGGGCAACTGGGACCTGCCGGCGACTTCAAGGCCATTCGCACACATCTTCTGTCGAACGGGCGACTTTTCATTCGTCGCGCCAAGGAGAGCCGTGAGAAGATCGTGGCTTTTGGAAGAGGATTCATCCGCGATGGTTGCACCGTCCTAACGAACGGTGGATCTCGAGCTGTCGCTTCTCTGTTGCAGAAGGCGGCTGACGAGGAGGGCGGCCCCTCTGCTGTGCGCTTCCGGGTTATCTATGTTCTTTCGCCAATCAGCAAAAACATCGAGGAGCCATCAGGGGAACCGGAGGGCATGGAGACAGTTCGCGCTCTGCGCGCTAAGGGCGTGCCTGTGTCGACCATCCCCGAGTCGGCGGTCGCCTACTCTCTCGGCAAGGCCGACATGGTCATTGTGGGTGCTGAGGGTGTGGTGGAGAATGGAGGTATCGTGTCGCGCATGGGAACTTACCAAATCGGATTGTTGGCCAAGGCTATCGGCAAGCCTTTCTACTGTGTGGCGGAGAGCCACAAGTTCGTTCGTCTGTATCCACTGGGACAGTACGATCTGCCCATTGAGCAGCACGTCCTCGACTTCAAGTCCGAAGAAGATATTGCTGAACAGAGCAAGCAACCTGCCGACATTAGCGGGGACCGGCCGGTCGAGCTGCCACTCTGCGACTCGGTGGATTTTACGCCTCCCCATCTGATCTCGGCTCTGATTACCGATAGTGGGGTTCTGACGCCCAGTGCCGTTAGTGAGGAACTGATTAAGATTTGGTTCTGATTTCCAGGACTGTGTGTTCTACTCCTCGAACTTGATGTTCAGAGGCTTACGCCTGAAACCGGTTGAAAAAGTACTTTACGAAATAGATGACATGATTTTGAATGACATGGTGGTCTTTCTGTTACACTTGGTTTCTCATACACCGTAGTTTAAGGCCAGGTCCAGCAGCGACTTGATTCAGATGAGTAGATATGCTATGCGAAAGGTGCGTCTATAGATGATATTCCCGATAGCGTGGAGGGCCTCTTGGCAGAGGGTCCTGCAGCTTGCTCCACTGCTACGCCAATGTACTCACGACTGTAACATCATCTTGCGAAAATACAAGCCCCAATGGTTCAAGTGGTGGTTCACTATCTCTCAAGAAGTTAGATGTTCGTACATCTGTTCGGAGCATAATAAGTCAAGGGAATTGATACAACCACACCCCTTCTGCCTCAGACCACACCCCCTCCCAACTTTTGAGGTATCCGCTAGCTCTTCGAATTGGGTGTACTGGTGATTCAAGTTTTATGCTCTAATAGGGATAATATTCTAGCTCGGGGCACATGTATTTGGCACTAGGATTACATTTTACTCTCCAGGGTAGCTGTCCAGGCAGTTGATCACGTAGGTAACCGGGTAGATGACTAGGTAGCTGACGAGATAGGTTACTGAGAAATAAACCTGACAGCAGTAGGTAGAATGAATGTTCCAGTTTATAAAGACCATAATAGAGGTAGCATTTGGCGTCGAAATTGGAACCATGTTTGATCAAGGTTCTAGTCTTGAATCATCTCACCGAAGCCATGACAGGGGGTGTAGTCTAAGACAAAAATGGATGTGGAAGCATCAATCTTCAAAATCAAGAACTAGAGTGGATTCTCTTTCAATAGAGAAGAAAATTTCAATTTATTGTAAATGGAGCCCTGACCATGGTCATGGCATCGTAATCATGAATCGTAACGAGTGCAGTTGTGCCAGACAACATGAGAGACCTTCTCTTTCCATAATCCTCCACTAGTATAATTTTTGTTCGAAAAGCAATTTTTGTTTGGGTATCGTCGAAGTCGTAAATTGTAAAAGGTCATATCTCATAGCGAAAGAACGGCAAAAGGGATGAGTTGATGATGTATGGAGGGGTTGGCGGTCGATATTCGTTGTTGATCGCTCTGCTGCGGCGCTGATGTATCTCGGTATGCTCCCATGGCCATCTCTTCATTTTGGCTGCAGTCGCATACCGTTAGGCTTCCTGGTCCGAGACACATCCTGACAGCATCAAGCTTCTATCCGGTTGGAAACAAGAGTGCGCAGTTGCTCTTGCGTTTGCATGGCCGCAAAGGCGTAGAGAAGTAGGTATCCGAGTGCCACCAGAATCCATAATGGTGCCATGTTGTGAATTTCACGAAAGAAGGATTTCGAGGTGAAAAAGTCGGTGTGTGTTGTTCGTGGTGATGTTGGCGGACACGAGAGATCTTGGGCAGACGACCAGACGGGCCTCACCGGATCTCAGTGCCGGAGGCTATAATTTTTCGGATTTTCGAAGAGTAGGACAATACCAGCTTGTCAACGTCGAAGTTGTACCAACGGCTCGTCGAGGGTAAAGAGGAAGAAAGATAAGAACGTGAGGGCGGGAGTATGGAACTCGCCCCCTCCACTCGAACGGTCTAGGGTTTTAAACCCAACCAGACCGCAAAACACCTGTGAGGAAAAGAGCCTAACAGGATCATCTCCGAGCTGTTCCACCCAATACGAGTCGATCGTGCATTGCATTTCCGGCCATTGAGGACGCATCCCGAGGACGGCCATGCGGGGTTCCTGGACTCCACCGGGAATATCATGACATGACACTCATAGTGGAAGTGTCTTGGCCTGTGTGATTCTTCTCACGAGGCGAAGCCTTGTTGGTGGGTTTGATGAGATGAGCTGGGCATGGATCGCCCTGACGATCGCAGCATGTTTTTGTGCCGCGTTGCTGGGCTGGAAACGTAGAGCGTACCACGCATTAGCGGCATTTTCGGTTCGGACGGCCCCAGAAGTTCTGGGGGGCATCAATCAGGGTCTGGGGTATCGTCAACTTAAAACCTGGCAGGCATTCCAGATATTTACGCAATATGATTTGATGTCTTGTAGATCAGGTCGGCCGTACATGGAGTTATTGATCGCTGAGACACTACTAGCAGGGATGTATTGAACCTTCACAAGTGTTCCAAGAAGGTTCAAGGTCCGCTTCTGTGTTTGATATAACAATATTGTCAGATAAGATCGAATCTTTCTATGTGCTACCTCAATATGGATTTGTGAGACTGGAATCAACACTTCCGATCGAAATGAGTTCAAAATCCGACTCGCGTGCGGCTGTTCGCGCGAAATGAGTGGTTCAGTACAGGTATATATTTGGCGCACTGTACAAATCCATCAGCAGTGCCTTTGCCCATATACCTGTTCACATTCATGTCTCTGCCGCTCCAATCGAAAGCCCAGGGCTCAACACAACTGGGAGCTTGGCCGATGTGCATTCCGGTTTCAAATGAGTGAGCCTTGCAATGACGAAATAGTGAGGCCGGCCCCAATGTTGGGATCGTCAACCTGCACCCTGGTGCATCGTTGCTGGCGGGAGGGACCTCTAAGCTATGGTCAGACCGGAAGCCTCGGCAGACAGTGAGATCACCTGCCATAAGGCGAAGTCACGAAACTGCCCTTCTGTTGGACAAATTTTAGGAACACCATACATTGTAGTGATGGATATGTCCTCGTGGAAGATCGAGCTCACTGCCCCAGCGCCCCACAGCCAGTCAACCCCGCTCCCCGGTTCCTGATCCAACACCTGACGACATACTACCATCGCCATCGACCTGCACGCATCCCAAGAAAGCAAGTGCAACTCCTCACACCCGCAACAGCCAAAGAACCCTGCGGCCACAACCGCAGCGCCAAAACCTCCGCGCCATACTAATCCGAGGCAATCAAAGTCCGGACAGTGTTCCCGCGTACATCAGATTCCGGATAGATCACATACCCTCCCACATACCCCGGAAAATGGATGCCCAGCCATTAACAACCCTCCGCTCCGAAGATGTGAATGCCGGTCCCAGGGCCCCTCGCACACATACACCGACGCCAAAAAACAACCCGGGCTCATCGGCCGATGGCGATGGCGACGCCCATCAGACTAGTGGATCGTGGTCTCTCAAGCGACTGCTCAGTCGACGCGGGAGTCGCCGGTATCGCGTGCTGGAGCGAGAGCCGAATCGGTTGCGGAAACGTGTCAGTCAGTGTCAGTGATCGAGTCGGGGTGTTGATAAGGATGAAATGAGGTGGCAAGGGAAGTATGGTACCTTAGGCATCGAGTATGCACAAGTGCGGTGTAATACTCTTGTGATGCATCCAACTCCCAATTAGGGTATCAAATCCTTGCCACACGGTGGATAAAAAGGTCGATCGACCAAGCGGGGGATCTGGTGGGGCTGGCCTTGATTTGGAGGGACTCTTGACTTTTCTCAGTATACTGCAGGTGCAGTGTGCTAGAGGGCTGGTCGAACAGGCGAGTTTGCACAGGCCGAGAATGCGACATGCAGTCTGCCGCCGGCAGCATCTTGCGAGTTCATGATTGCTTTTGTTTCGCGAGGCTAGCGGTTATTGGACGAGCTGCATCTGTTCGGCGTTTTACAGACGAGGTTTCGGATTGGGAGGTTTCTTGGGGATTGGCGGCATTTCTTCTGATCATTTGAAAAAGGGAATGTTATGATTTATGCTAGACTACAATGCACCGTACACAGTACAAGGTATAGACGGAAATGAACAATTGCCGACTCAGCAAATTGAATACTCTAATTAGAAGTGTTTCCGGGGCATACCCCGAGTGGCTTGCACGACGCCACGGCGATGGTTTGAAGGCAAGCAGTGTTTGCTGGCCTCGGCCAAGCCGGCGACGGCTGGTTGGGTGTATACTGTCAGGTCGGCTCATCTCCGCGGCCTATCGCCAAAGTGTGCGCCTGGCACTTTGATTGTACCTCCCCTAAGGTAGGGAGGGCGCATTCGATGCCCAAGCCTTGCACGCTCACTGCTGCAGGTCGAGTTTGTTGGGGCGGCCGATTCTTACATGCTCGTCACATCTGCGATGAGTCGACCTCCGGTTACTACATACTGTACGAATGGATTGATCCTGCGATGTCTCAGAGGGAACGGGGAGACCTGTATGTTCTCGGGCTGGGCTTTATCTCACCCGACAGACCGTCAAAATCTGCCGTCTCGAGAGGGACATGCAGGTGGAGAGCAGGGGACCAGGGTCTTGACCAGTGCGAGTCCGTCGGAAGCTGTCCGGTGACCAGACACAAGACTGGGCAGATGTCTCAAGCAGACACTCATCGAGGGTGCGAAATGCGGTCGAGTGTCTTCTGGACCTCTTAGTAGGTAGTGTAGGTGTGTCCTGCAGATGCGTGTTCTTCAGGGCGATCTGAGCAAAACTCCGCGCTAGCCAAGGCAAAAGGCAATAGAACGGGGCATCGGACCTCCATCGGCAGAATCTCATCGCGGGTAATTGTCATTATTGCATTGTGGTAATTGGAATTGTGGCAATCAGCCGTGGGCTGTGGCCAATGCTCGGTTTGGCAGTTTGGTTGCCGATTAATATTGAATATTGTGTTCGCGAAGGCAATTTGGCGACAGGGGCCCAATCACGAGGCCAGCAATATATTGTGTGGCGGGAGACTTGTCCAACATCAAACACAGCCACCCTTCCCCACGATGAGATATTCGTCTGCCTCCAGCCGCACCAGTTAGCCATTGCCACTTCGATTCTGTGCATATCGCAGTCTTCAGCAGACCCCAATTTAGTGCCCCGAACTCGATGTCGTCACAGCGATCCTGCAGGGCTCCCGATTGCAACGAAGAACTCACCATCGCCTTAGTTCGGCCGTAGCCTCGACCAAATCGGCCTTTTACGTGTTGATCGGGTCCACTCCGAATACACCAATATCTACTAGTGTCGCGGGAGCCCAACAGAGCGCCAATGCCACTGCTCCTGGCCCCCAGAGATCGGGAGAGCAGACACACACTATTCTCAGGTACGGGACGATAGACGGGTCGCATCCACGGCGCTGGACGGCAACGACACACTGGAGCCATTCAGGCACTCGCCGAGAGCCAGTCCGTCGGGGCGAGTGCGTAAGATCGACTCCATTCCCGCGTGTCAACCCAGGGATTGCAGGCGTCTGGACCGGCGGATGAAGGACGGGCCCACCGGGCGTCCAACGGTGGTCTTGGCCTAAAGAGGCACGCGCGCAGTGCACGAGATCCTTTTGCCGCGGCCATGCTGTTATTACCGGGGGTTGCTGCTGCGTTAGCCTGCTCGCTGCAGACTCTTCCTCCAGTGCGAGCGGAGGACGAACGCCTGTGCAGCGACGGGTTTTTTGCGATATGACCGCATCGGTGTGCTGTTATTGATTTTTTTGTGTCGTGTAGAGAGTGGATATCCCCCACAAATGGAGACAGCAATTTCCAATGACGATGTTGATGCCGATCTCCCCTGAAGACTCGTGCGACGCAGCCGAGCAGAGCGTAGGCGTTGTATCGACAACCCGCCAGCCCCGTGTTGTGCATCTGGCCAGCAGGTACCAGGTACTGTGCGACAGGAGAAGCAGGGCGTCGACGACTAGTAGGAGTCCGTCACCATGGGTGCCTCAGGGAGTCATAATAATAATAAGGCCTCGAGGAAAGACAATAAATGGGGAATGTGGGTTTATTTTTAGGGAAACCAAAACAAGCCGGGGCCGGTCTGGCCTTTTCTCTCCACGAGCCCTTACTTCTTGTGAATCACTTTTCCCCTTTCATTTTCCCTTTTGTCCTCCCCTGGAGCTGTTCAGGACGTCCGCTCGCTCCCTGGGTTAATCCCCCTGCCCGATTGCCACACTGCCTACAAGGCATTATTGGCCCCCCACGATCGCTTTTTCACTTCTTGCGCATCCCCCGAACTTTAACCCACGGATGACGCCGGTGGCCCTCGCCTTTCACTAGACTCGAATACTTTACATACCCAAAGGGTAGCCATTCCCGAGTACTGTCGACCCGCGTCCTCCATGAGTCCCACTGTTTACTCGCCTCGTTCCGCCCGCTCTCTTTGCATCTGCATCTGCGACCACCGCGAGCGAGATCCCAATCACCACTGATTTTGGGGCGTCTTGCCCACCCATCGAGCGCCATGGCGATATGGCCTTTCGGTCGGAAGAACAAGCGCCACACCATCCAGGTGAGCGCCGACGAAGCCGACGTCCTCCAGGCATCACTGGAGCAAGAACCTCCTGCGCCTGCCCCCGAGCCCACGTTGGCCCGCAAGCCATCCCGCCGCCAATCCAACCGTCAAGGAAATCGTCTGTCGCGTAATGGCGATGGCACAGAAAGCCTTCGGGGCTCTGCTCGACTGTCCTCGCATCGCCCTATCTCATCCCTGGACCAGCGCACCTCGGAGCCCGAGAACGATCGCGGCGCGCCGCAGCGACCACTCTCCCGTACCGGATCATTGCTGAAGAAACTGAACCAACCCCCGACGCCGCAGAATGGACCGAATAAGCTACGAAAGAGCAAGCGCAAGACCGACGAGGTGATGCGGGAACGTGAGATCAAGATGTTGTCTTCCACGCCCATCGACATCCCTCGTCGGTCTAGTGCCCAGGCGGGGGACTATGTGCTCGAACGACGCCGCCGCAGAGCTAACGGACAGCGCGCCGAACGCTACCAGTCCGACATCAGTCTCTCCGTTCGTGATTCCGCTGCATCCTCCCTCTCTGATGCCTCCGATCCCTACACCTACAAGGTCAACGCTTTCGCCGCGCTGACTCCCCGGCCCATTGTACGATACGTTGAAGCGCCGCGACCGACCACTGTGAGAAGCAATACCGAACCGGTTGGTGCTGCCCGACAGGACAAGAATAAAATACAGGCCATGACTACGTCGCAAGAGGATCTCTATTATTCCCGGCGACGAGTCAACGAGTTGGCCGATTCGTTGGATGCAAGCACCCTCCGAGAATTGCTTGACCGAGATCGCCGTCGTCGTGAGAAGAAGCAGATCGACGACCAGGAAAAGCTACGTCGCAAGTTGCAGGAACGGGCGGATGCACAACAAGCAGAGGAGGAGCAAGAACGGCAACGAGAGCTACAAAAAGCGCAAGCAGAGTCCAAGGCGGAAGTAACTCAGCAACGCCAACCTGAAGCTGAGGTCCCCACCGCAGCAGTGCCCGAAGATACATATCACCACGACCATGTCGTGGAGACCATCCCGGAAGAAACTACAGCGGCGGTTACTGCTGAAGAAACCGGATCTTGGTTGCGCGGTGAATCCAAGGGCAGCGATGCTCTGGCCGGCCGCGAGTCTCAACGGAACTCGCTGGAGAGTGCCCGCGTGATTGGCAACATCGATGATAGCTCGATTCGCGAGCCCAAGCTGGCGACACGTTCCAGCTTTGCTCATTCGCATGAGATGGGCATGTCCCGCACCACCCTCTCGCCCTCCCACTCCTCTCTTCGCCACGGCCTCAGCAGCAGCCAGTCGCAGACCTATGGCGTTGGCTCCACCTCGGATATCTCCGATCGACGGCCATCTGACACCAGCGGCCACCGTAGCGGAGGGAATACCATCACCTCCTTGTTCCGCCGTGGCTCCTCTCGTCTCAAACGCCGCTACCGTGAGCGTTTCGCCGAGTCCAGCCCGGAGGTGTCCAATGCATCCCACGAGTCGTTCTTCAAGGTCCAGACGCAATCCTCGCCTCCCCCTCTTCCTCTATTATCCCTCCCCGCGCATTTGTTCAGCCTACTGGAATTGTGAAACGGTCACAGTCCAAGTTCACCGAGCATTTTGGTGATGAGCCCCTCTCGCCCCCCGACTCCCGCCTGCAGTCTCCAGATATTCCCGAGCAAGTGCCCGAGTCCTCTATGGAGAACGAAGAGAACACATTCTTGCACGGCCCTTCGCCTACACCCGGCATGGACATTATCAACCCGCATAAACGTCGCCACCAATCCTGGAACGAGAGCTTTGATGTCGAGTCCGACAATGTGCCCTTGTCGCAGTCTTTGGCCTCGATTGACTCGGAAGGCTCTTGGATGTCTGGCCAATTCTTCAAGCGGATGTCCCAGAAGCCTGGCAGCCCTGTGCGAAATCAAATGAGCACAGTCGGCTTTGCCATGACTGACGGACCGTCCGATACCCATGACGATGCCCGTGACTCTGTTGATTCCCGTGGCGCCATGAGCAATATTATGGGCGAGCCCGAACTGGAGACCGATGCGACTGGAGCGGATTCTGGCAAACCCTCCGAGATGTGGCACCATGAAGTTGGTCGGAGGCCCATGATTGTCAACCCGGTCAATCGCCCCAAATCCAACCAGGGCATGCTCAAGAGCATCCCATCATTATCGCCCATTTCGGCAGAAGATGGCCACAGCTCTGAAGAGGAGCAGGAGCCCACTCGTCCTGTTGATGTGCGCCGGATCGCCAGCATGCATGGTGAAATCGGCCACATCGAGCAGGAACAAGAGTAAACTCGTCCTCGTCTCATCCATGTTCAACGGTGTTCACCCTACCCCACGTCCATTTGAGTTGCGGGCCTAGACCCATTCCGCTCGCGACGTACATACCCTGTCATTCCTTAGAGATTTTCATTTGTTTTGGTTTTCCTTTGTTCATGATCAATCAGTGATCTTCGGTGCAGTTTGTCTGCCATGTACGATGCGATGTGTTGATGCAAGGCTCCAGTATCCTTCCACCACATAATTGCATCTATTACTTCCCCTTCCCTTCCTCTCCCCTCCCCCTTGTTCCCAACCCTTACCTACCCCATCTCCCCCTGCCCGATTCACCCGTTGAGTTGCTGAGCTTGTTGTTTCCCGAAGCTGTTCCCTTCGATTTGTTGATACCCCAGCTCGCCCGATGTTTTGAGTTTGTTCAAGATGCATAAATTCCACTTCCATTTTTCAATAGCACCATTCAATTGGCCCTTTCCACCTGTTTATCCACCTCGATCGACTACATACGATCCCAGCTATATACCCTACGAACGATTGGGTTTGTCTCTAATACACATACCTCTCGCGATTCGCCGGTCGATGACCCTTGCCCATACTACTTTCTCCATCTCTTTTCTTCCCACGCTTAGATGACTGCGGGGAAACCCTGCAGTTCCCAGCTCTCACCCGCGGCGCCGATTCCGGATTTTCCTCGCGGTCGAGGGAACAACCCCGCCAAACGCATTGATGCCCTATGTATAGACTACTTCGGTGTTTGTACTGTTCATTCGGCATTTGAAGCTACATAGAAGACGCTGGACGATGCGCGTGTTCCATCCTGTCTGGACGGGATTCTCGAACGCGACTTGAATAATCCTTTAATTTCTAATGTAAATATTGAGTCATTACATATTTAAGTATTGAAGTGGATGTACAAAGTAGTAGTTATGCTTAAGGTGGTGGAAGTCCCGACCATTCCAATTCGTAAGCAACGAGCACGTCATCCGTCTTCCGCCTTCCAGCCGATTCTGCCCACTCCGACCGCCGACCTCCCTTTTCTCGGCCTCCAGCAACCAGCAACAATTGGACTGTCGATCACGCCAGACCAAGTCCTGCAGACCGAGAACCAATCCGACCATGCGCGTAAGTTTTTATCTCGGTCTCTGCCGCCGACGGGAACCAGCTGGAGGGTGCTCGGCGGGGATTATTCAGCCTGCCTGAAGTCCTACCTTTGTAGGGTTACCTAATCCAACCGGCAGAACGTCATCGCCCTATAAGAACCCGCCCCTCCGAGCTGCCCCTCCCTTGAAATACCGAAAAAAGCTCACGCCCCTCTCCTCCAGTTCACTCCATCTCTCCGTCTCGCGCGAGTTTCTCTGACTAGAGCTACTCCGTCCGTTCTCCGCACTTCCATCCCGACTCGTCTCCCCGTGCAGACGCCCTTCCGTACCTTTACCTCGACCCCAATCCCGCGTTTCACGCAATCCACATTCAAAATGGCCGGCGGCAACGTTGTTGAGATCACTTCGTAAGTTCACCAATACACATTGACTTTCACCAATGTCACCAGACGCTAATTCCTCTCCCTCTACAGCAAGGAACAGTGGGTCTCTGATGTCCTTAACGCTTCCGACCCCGTCCTCGTCGACTTCTTCGCCGAGTGGTGCGGCCCCTGCAAGGCCATCTCCCCCAGATCGAGAAGCTCTCCAACGAGTACACCGGCATCAAGTTCTTCAAGGTCGACGTCGACAAGCTCGGCGAGGTTGCTGCCGAGAACAGCATCTCTGCCATGCCCACCTTCCTCTTCTTCAAGGGTGGTGAGAAAATCGAGACTGTCCGTGGCGCCAACCCTCCTGCCATCCAGGCTGGTATCCAGAAGCTGCTTTAGATATGTTTCCAAACCTTGATACTGTGCCTCGATGGATAAGATAAATAATGGGGGCTTTTGTCGCGTTTCTGTGTTATTTAGTTTTCCCTGAGGATTGGAATTGTATCTTTGGGCCTGAGGGTCCTTGTTTTTGATTCCCATTATTTCTATGTGGTTTTGTTATAATGACGTGCGTATAAGACATGTAGAGCATCTTCTAGACTTTTACTGAGTGTTGGTCCGGTGGACATTGGCCGGTGCACACATACATGATTAACCGCGGGGTACCAACTGCAATCCAGTTCCACAGACGATCATGATCGCGTGCATCATGCATGCAATTGAACCAGTGATAAGACGCATGCACAAGTATATGCATCAACTTCGAGAACAAATTCGGGATTTTTCCGCGAGAAATGTAGTCAGTTGATCACATTAGTTCAAGATGCACGAGCTGGTGCACACCGCAGTTGAGGGGGAGGGGTTCAGAGTGGAGAAGTGACTGCCTCGAAGCTAGGTTGAAGTAGCAAATGGTATATATGTTCTTGTTTTGTAGATGATCTATCATTTTCTAATTGAAAGATACTGTGTACTTCATTTTTGGGCGTTTTCGGGCGTATGTTGGGAACCTCTTAACAGCGTAATGTCAAGAGCGCCCAGGTGCCGAGTTATGATAAGCTAAAGTGTCACATACTAGGACTTTGTCTGTGGCGCATGGCTTGCAGGAATATGACAGTCACTCGACATGATGAGAAGTGTTCGTATGACAGGTGGGAGTAGAAAATTGTGCCTCTACCTAAGCAGGTAAACCTCTCAATGCTATCACAGTGTTATCTCATTAATGACTCAAAGGTTGGATCAATTAAAATGCTACCTTGCGACCAAGACGTAGAGATTTCTCTGTTAATTTTTTGGGACTCAAATGAGAACTTCTGCGAGCTCGACTTCGGTGTCGCCGGTCAATTTCTTCAATGGGAGAAACTCATCGACGAGTAGGAAACAAACCACAAACAGGGCCTCGCTAGTGCTATCTTGATCGAGGTTTTACTCTGGACTTGCAGCCGCCTGGATGGAGTCGAGTCTAGACGTGAGGACCCTCGCGATGGCTGTGTGGCTGCATGTTTAAACTGCCAATGCACAATTTCCCGCGAGAAGCTGTGCAGAATGTGATCGAACTCTGCGGATGAGAGAGGGTCGGAGAATTACAAAGTACCGTGGAGTCAAAACTGTGAACCCACAATTGCCATGCGATTGACAGTTTACCTCCGGCATGCACCACCGCCCACGCCCCGACTTCAATCTCCCCGATATGTCGATTCCTGCCGCTACTTCCTCCAGGATTCAATTTCCAGCCACACCACATTGCAGCGGCAGGCAAATGATCCCGGGTAATCCATGGGGATGGAAAATGCGTCCGACAAGTCGACAGGCTACGAGTTCGTGGTTCGGCTAAGCAGCCGAAAAGAAAAGACTGGTCCCGTTGCTGGTGGACCCGATTTGATGGATCAGATCGATCTGTTCGACCAAAGATCAAATTTGGGTGTCCCAAATCCCCGAAGCGTGGGCGACGAGAAACATCCCACTGCTATCACCACGGCGCTGGGCGGCGCTAGGCCAATAGATCGAGATTCCCCCGACGGGCCTGGCTGAGCAATCAATCTGCGCCACCAAATCAGACCCTTCCAGCAGTGCCGGGTTTTCAGCTTAGGATTCCGTTGGGGGGAGGGCCGGATATTAATTTGATTGCGATATTTTCCCATCCCTCAGGCCGAGCCGCGACCGAAGTATCGTACGTGTGCGCGCAGTGCAGTGCGGCTCTGGGGCCGGGGGCGACGACATGGAATTTTGATCCACCCGGGACGATCTGGGATGCCTTCACGCCCCGATCATCAGACCAGTTCGTACTTTAGTGAGCATTTCAGGCGCCGGGCTGCGCTAACAGAGCTTGGATGCGTTTGTGACAGATCACCGACAGCTTCGACGTGCAGATCCGGATGGCAAAGTGCAGGCGACACAGCACAAACCCTCCATCGTGATTGTCGAACCCCATCAGATCCCGTGGGGCTGCCGCTGCATCATCCGGCCATTGTGACTGGCGACACGGCGCAGCTGGACTCGAGAAGGGCAGCCCCAGCCGTCCCAATCAATCCATCGGCCGCGCCGATTGCGTTGCGGATACCACTGGCAATAACTTTGAACCGGCTCTACTGCGAGCTGCTCTATTTGAGTTTCGAGTGCGAACGTAACAATTGAATTCTACTAGTGCATGTACAGTACAGGCTACTAAAGTACGCATGCTGATGGCGTCGCGGCGCCAACTTTCCTACGGAGGGTAGGATTTGTTGCGCCAGGTTCATTGAACACACTGCCCTCCCCGGCGGCGCTAGCGAGGCTAGCTTGAGAGGGCGATACTGATACGCCGCCATCACACCAGCGGCCCCATCGTTCCCTACCCGCTTCGATCCGATCTAGATTGGGCACGGTCGAATAGCGGCCGTCGACGGGGGAAACATCCTCGCTTCGAAAGTCCACTCTAGACAAGGGTGTACTCCACGGCCAAACGCCCCCATTTGCTCCAAATCGTGAAAATTTCCACTGGAATCCACGCGATCAATCTGAAACTTTTTTTTGGGCCTCTTATCCTGGCAAGGCTATTCTCCTTCGGCATTGGGCCGAATTCTACGAATGCCAGCTATCGCTAGCTACTGCCACGCGAAAGCCGCATGTGGATGGATGCAGGCCATGTGCAGCTCAGGGTGGGGACCTACCGTCCTCGAGCTCGGATCTGGATCCATATCGCTCGCCTACGGGGCCAGTTATTTCTCCGATACCCTTGTCAAGACGCAGTATTCGCGCTGACCTGCTATAATATCCGAGTCGCCCGGCTTGGTGATCTGGGGTTATAACAATATCATCGCCACGGCACTTGTGTCGCACACTTGAGCTGAACTTGCATCCTCTTCATCGTCATTCCTTTCGTCAAATAATTTATACTTTCTCTCTGGGTCATCGATACCCCTCATGTCTATTCTGATTTAATAATTCCTCTCTGCAAGTCGGCCATCGTTACTCTCCCTATTGAGAACGCGACTCGACGCCAATACGCGCCACAGATGCTGGTACTGTAGTAATTGATCCCACAACTTATTGCTCAAAATGTCGAGTTCAAACACTCCAGACCACAGTGGGGTGGCCCCGGAATCTCTGATCCATGTCTCCTACCTTGCGGGCTATATCTTTCTTTCCTACGTGATCAGCTCGATGGGATGTGCAACAACACTGGAGTTGCTGCATCGGAGGACTTCGCGATCTGGTTTCTATAATTGGTATGCAACAATCAGATGGACCTTGATATGTGACTATGACTACGCGGCAGGCAAAGAATTAACTCTTTTCATCAAAGGTATCTACTCCTCACATCATCCATTACCATGGGCGGCATCGGAATCTGGTGCATGCACTTTATCGGCAATCGAGCTATCGTCCTCGGCAACGGCGATAAAGACATCCAAGTCCTTTACAACGTCGCCTTCACTGGTACCTCGTTCATCCTTCCGGTGATCGTCCTGCTTGTCGCGTTTTACTCCGTCGGCGTTGAAGGGAAAGCAGGATATCTCCGCATCATGACCGGTGGATTTTTGACTGGCAGCTCAGTATGTGGAATGCACTACGTGGGTCAACTGGGCGTTGCAAACTACAGGTGCTCCTACCGCGTCGCGAACGTTATCGGCTCCGCAATAATCGCCATATTCTCCAGCACTGCTGCTCTGGGAATCTTCTTTCGATGGAGGGCAACTTGGACGGACAGCTGGTGGCGACGGGGGATGTGTGCTTGCTTGCTTGCAGCTGCGGTCTCGGGAATGCATTGGACGGCTGCTGTTGGAACGAAATATAAGGGGCGTGATAAGTCGATTAGACAAGGGACGCAATTGTCTCGAAGCCAGGTCGTCATTATCTGCGCTGTTCTGGTCAGTTGAACGTCGAGGCACCACATGAATGGAAACTGACGATGTTATTAGGCCTGTGTTTCATGTTTGATTCTCTCTGCGTGTGCGATTGTGGCAGGTGGAAACCGAAGAAGATCGACAACGCGTGCACACCAGCTTGTTCTTGCTTGTGCGTACTTTGATCCAGCAGGCCGAGTCATGGTTACCCCGCAGGCTCTTTTGCCTACCCGAAAGATTGTCGATCACTATATCGGACGGGTTCGTTACTATTCCGCTATGTTATCGTTGACCGAGCTGACTTAATACCGCGCAGACATTCAAAGACGACGATCTCACCCGCACACACCCGACCTTCCTTTGGGCCTTTAGGGCAAGTCGGAACTGGGGTGTTGTCAAAGACCTCATTCCATTCATGCGAAACCGCCTCGAATCCGAAGAACGAGCCATCCAGAAACATGTACTATCACGAGGAGTTGTTATGGACAAGGAGACGGAACTGCAAACGGACTTCGATACTCTGTTCAAGCAACTCTTCTGCGTGACGGCCCAAGAGCTCTCAGATGAGCTGCGACAGCCTCTTCAGGATCTGGGAACTCTATACGATGATGTTCTCGCCACCGCCATCCCAGTTTCGCGTCTCTCTAGAGCTATGGGCCGTTCGTCTCTGCGTACAGGCAAGGGTCAATTGATCTTCAGTGTCCGCCAGCTTCAGAAGCATGAAGCAAACCGTCTGGCATCCACCGGATTCAGATTCGCTACTATTGAACATGTCACATCCACTTTATCTCGCCGTATCCATGTCCCGGAGGTCACACTTCTCGATCATCTCCGTGATATGCGCGACTATGCCACGTCCAATCGCGGCTTCGAAGAAGGCGTGCACCTCATCTCCTTTGTCATGCGTCCTACAGTCCAGGACCACTTCGAAATTCTAACCACCAAAGGAACCGGCAACCCACTCCCGTCGTCGACATTGCCAATCAAGCGATTGAACGTGCAACACCTCGACATCCTCTCCCACATGGAAGGATGGTCCATGAATACTTGCCTCAAATACCTTCAATCCAAAACCGCAGTCCAGGTCGACAAATCCCTGGACGAGTTCCGCGAATACCTCGTACGAGGAATCACCTCTCTCGCAAGCTCATTCCCCGAAGAAATGCGCTCCGCCGCAACATTCTCTGCCCGACCACTCGTCGCACCCTGCCGTAGCGCCGTCCGCACCTCAGAAGAGATCCATACCCCCCAACAATGCACTCTCCTCACCTTCTGCGTCGTCGGCACCCTCGACACCCAAGTCCCCAACCCCGACTTCACCTTCACACCTTTCCGTCTCTTCCGCGTCCAGCAACAAGTCAACGACACATTTGCCGACCGCGAAGGCTTCAGCCGCGAACTAAACCAAGATCTCTTCTGCACAGATGTACGATCTGGTTCCTCCGCATACGAATCAGTCCCATCGACCCGGTCTGGAATTCTCCGTCTCTGGCCCTCGCGAAATCTTCCACACCCACGCAAATCACCTTCTGGTCTCTCCCAGGAATCACTGGTAGAGCCACATGCCACGGCATTGGGTGATATTACCGTGCAGAAGGAGGTCCGGGTGGATGTGACCCGGCTGAGCGAGAATAATGCCGTGCAGAATGCCGTTAACACGCATGGTGCGATTATTGCGGCTGGGAATGCGGCTATGACGCCTGCTACCTATGTCGATGAGTTGTATAGTTTGTGTTATGCACCGGGAATTCGATTGTGCCCGGACTCGACGTTGCGGCGCTCACAAAAGTCCGATATGTCATGATCCTAGCTCCTGCTGCTCACTGAGTAGACGTCAACAACGGTTCAGGCATGTTCAGGTCTTTTGAGTGAGAGATTACAGATGTTCAGTGAGTGCTCAGCCCGTCAGTGAGCACCCATGATTCGAACATCCATTCGACGAACATTTGGGAACGCGATGTTTCCTAGGTTGTGGAAGCTTGGATTCTTGCGAATCAAGAATAGTATTCTAAGTGTGTTTCCTAGAGACATGCAATGACTTACAGCTCAAGGAAGAGAGCAATGATTTTTCTGGAAGCAAACATTATCTTCCTGGAAGTGTGAAAGACAATGCAATGGGCTCCTGGGACGCACTTATCATTTTTCAGAAGTATGTAATGACCCTCAATTTAGCTCGCAGTTTTTGATGGACGGGAAGTAAGACACAGATTCTTATCAACAGCACTACTTGAAATAGCCAATCACCAATATCTTGTTGAAGTCTAGAAATGCTACTGATCATAGAGATGTTGGAATGAAATCTGAAATTTTGTGTATTGCAAGAAATTGACAACAATGTAAAAATTCTTCTTTGATGGGAATGTGGGAGATGTAAACAGGCCAATTGAAGCGGTGTTGATAGTGGCCATTGAAGTGCAATCCCCATTAAAACTCAGACCATCACAATACTTTTGATTTCAGACAGGAGAGAGGTAACGGTTGATTTGAGTTCTTATGCTCATCCCATTATCTTTCTAGCATCTCAAAACAAAAGAGTCAGAAGAACTTCATCATTGTTGAACCTCATCAAATTGAGGTTTGGGAAAACCTTGCTGGATGCTGCATATTGACTGTCATCTGAACATAAGGCAGGCGCTCAATTGCACTAATTTGTAAGCAAGGGATGTCAAGATTTATCCGCAGGCACATTTGAATCAAGATGCTCTTGTGAGCACTAAAGCCGTCCCTGGCAACTTTTACGGACGCAACTTAGAATGGGGCTTGTGCATTAGGAGAATATCACATCATGCTAAATAAAAAAGGGCTCAATTCTATTTATGGCTGATTAACTGAGGTATGAAAACGCGTAGTCAGAATTATGCAAGACCTCCTTGACCTGGCACGAAAAGAAAATTAATAATACATAAGCGAAAATAGAAAGAGTAATGCTGAGATCATTCTACATGTAGTAAAGATGATACTCGCCTCTATGCATATTGAGCCATGCGGAAAAGAGCGATTTGCAGGAACTCAGCCGGATTGGTTGATCCATTCTCTTGTAAAACATGACCACGTGGTTGTTATCCTGTGTCATTGTACACAGTAGAAAAATCCTTTTCGGACTACCATGCAAATTGCTCACCATAGACACTCGTCGATTAACCCTATCCCGTGAAAAATCAATCATACAACAACTTGTGTGTGACAACTATGCCTGTAAATCTCTCCTACACTGAGTATTTCGCAATTTGGCCCCAATGGGCAATTTTCCGAAATCTGAGGCTCTGGATCTCGAAACTGTGGAACTTTGTACAATTATTTGCAGCTACAAAAATCATCACGTAATTTTGAGTTTTAAATCGTCCTGTCACCATTATGCCTCAATAACATGATGAAGAATTCATTTGCCCGATGTAGCTTGCTCTAAATATATGCTGCTATGCGGGAGTGCTGTCAGGCCTGCCGACAGCTCGAAGGTGCTCGCCAGCCCACTGAACGATTGTTTCCATGGGTTGCAACGCAAGCCCCTGATTGGTCGCCCGAAAATGTATGTAAACATGACAAAATACACAAAATAAACACAAAGGAAATCCAAAACGAACGTTGCGTCCCCCGCTTACCTTCGGGCCTTCGGATTCGCAGCTCCCCACCAGCCGAAACGGCCTCGGCCGTCGAGGATCAACCGCAAATAAGGACCGTACGGGAGCATTGGACAATACGCCATGATTTTGGGAGAACCCTCAGGCATATACCTCTTTCCCGGCAGGTGTAAATTGCGGAGGGTTGAGATCGATGGCAAGCCAGTGTAGATAGTGATGTAGTTGACCCGGCTACCCCAACGTGACCTGCCGGCAAATCGGCCAATGGGCTGACAGACCCGAGAATGACAAATCAATCAATCAATCAATCAATCAACGTCGCGTCCCCACAAAAAAAAAAAAAAAAAAAGCTCTTTGCGAACCGCGCGCAGGACTCAAGAAGCCGGCATACGCCGTGGTAATGCACGGCGTGCCTTGCAGCTTCGATCCATATCAACCAGAAGCGAAAGCAAGGATTAAGATGGAGAATGCCGGCCGCCTTGCTGATACACCAACTGAGATCAACCTTATTGGGTGGTTGCTCAGCCGCCGTAAGATGGAAGAGGATAATCCAGAGACCTTGAAACTCGTCATTGAGTTTGATGACGCCAACGCAGCCAACCAAGCTATTTTGATGGGCCTCGCGCTCTTTGGGAGAAATCATGACTGCCGATTCTTTGATGGTAACTAACGTCTGCAGCAATGCTTTAACTGTTAACTGTATGGACATATAGCCCGAAACTGCAAGCGAACGGCTCGATGCGCATTTTGCGCGAAGAGCCATGATACCCCAGACTGCCCACATGCCAGGGACCGCACCCAGGCCAAGTGCGCAGCATGTATCAAGCATGAAAAGAAATCCAATCTTAACCACTTTGCCTTCGACAGAGGCTGCCCGATCAGGGCAGAGCGGCTAGACATCATCCGCGCGAATCGCATTAACGGGCCCCAGTGGTTTGCGTTCTCGTTGAGTGTCTTGATCGTGTCCGTGATGCTGGCTATATTGACATCGTTGAGTGAGGTGACCGGCTGAGCGCCGCTTGGGGTGGTGAGCCCTGATGTCCTCCTCAATCTGATCATCGTCTGCGTCTGCTACCCTGGGACGCCGACACTATCCGTAGGCATGAGGTCCACCTGTCTCAAGGCTGATGGAGATCTTCGGCCAAAGTATGAATGTTCATTTCCAAGCTTTGAAACGCATACATGGTGTGCATATAGAGCTCGCCCACCAGAGGCCTGCTGAATGACATTCGTAGAGCATGTCAGCATGATACTACGATGTGGCTGAGTGCTGAAGAAGATCGCCGGGCTCACCACATCCATGGATGTGATAGGACGTGCCTCAGGAAGAGACCCACCTTCACGATCTATAAAATGCCCCACCAAAATACTTCGAGTGAGAGAATCCTGATACTGTAGTGAATAGACTTGAACGTATAGCGAAATGCCACTAAAGAGACTGATTTAAACTGTTGGAAGATGGTCAAAGTAACTTGAGTCCAGCAAGTTTGCTGTGAGACCACGCTGAAGCATTCCTGGATTATGGAGATCAATCGCTTTTGAAGAATGGAAAAAGGCAATGTAATACAGCTTGTTGTGGACTGGGGATCCTCACCATCCTCACTGGACTTCTTCTACTCTGAGGAGTCGGAGACGGGGAGCGTAATGTGCTCCAGTATGGAAGCGTACCGGACGCCGCGAACCAAACACACAGCCTGCGACGCACTCATATGCCACTACCGCGTACGAGGGAAAGAAAAAGTGGCAAAAATTCCAAGCAGAAGTTCAAGAGTGTCTCCAGCTTCCAAGTAATGACCCACTTCAAGATCATCAGTCTACCTACGGACAGCGCTCGCGATTATCGAAGACCCAATCCTCCTCCCCTCGGTTACCACACACCCCCCCCTCCCACCTAGCAACTGTCAACCGTAGAACTCCGTAGAATTATTTTAAAGGGAAGTTCCGTAAAAGTAGTGGCGTGACTCGCTTCGCAGGTCTCGCTTGGGCACGTGCTCGCACAATGGGCGTTTAAAAGGGAAGGAACTCCAAGGCAACCGTACCCCTCCACCCGTCATCTCCTTCTCTCCTCTCCCACTCCCATCTTCCACTCTTCTCCCACTCTCATCCATCACTCTTCTCCCACTCTCATCCATCAACCCACCACAGGTAATCCTGTTCATCCATCAAGGCTTTGCCCACCATGCATTTGCTTGCTCATCGGCCATGCATGCGGCCACTGAGGCTTCACTCGCTGTGCCTTCCCTCCCTGAGGCCTTGCTCACTTGGGCCTTCCTCCATCGAGGCTCGCTTCACTGAGCCTTCCCCCCATGAGCCTTCATCCACTGAAGCTTCCTCCATCGAGACCCAAATTACTCGAGGCTTCTTCTAGTGAGCTTTACTTAACTGAGCCTTTGCTCACTGGCCTCGCTCACTGAGCCTTCCTCCAACGGAGCTCACTCACTTGAGCCTTGAGTATGCTCTGCCTGTGGTACTACCACAGTTTGCCAGGACAAACATTCTCTGCGTGCAGCAACTTCCAGAGCTCATCAAGACTTTTGACTGTGTTTCCGCGTTTCTGTGGCACTCGCCCACATGGTCCACAACATCTGCCTCTCCGATATTGTCTCGCCCAGGGAGCATGGCTTCGTTTGTCGTACACGTCCCCGTTCAACACATGGGAACTCATCCACCATTTAGTATGTCTTCATTGATGCAATCTCGAAGACCCTCCTTGGGGTTCTACAAGAATAGAAGTCTGCCGGGGCTTTTTTGCAAGGGGCTACTTCTGCTTCGAGATCCACCGGCGACGACGTGAAAACGATGCGAGCACTCATGCAATGGAAACCACTCCATCTTGTGTTGAGCGGACCCTCATCCACTGTCGCGCATGGCTTCATTGATGCGATCTCGAAGACCCTCCTTGGGGTTCTACAAGAATGGGAGTCTGCCGGGGCTTTTTGCAAGGGGCTACTTCCGCTTCGAGGTTACTGCCAGTGACGACCTAAAAATGTCGCGAAGTCTCATGGAATTGAGACCACTTCGCCTTCAGGCTCTTCATTTATCGCCGACCGTATGCCTCGTATGTCCATTCCGATATTCGCCAACCAGGACGAACTGAATACGAGATTCATGCCATGAATGGGGCTCCATTAATTCATACCACTTTCCACCGTTTTCGCTTGTACGACAGAGCCTTTTGTCTTCCACAAGATACAGACAATTTCTCCATCGATGAAGATCACTCGGGTGTTCGTTGAGCTCCAGCAACCATCTGACTCTATCCACCATTGAGTCCGTCCATCTTCGGATTTTACCTCGTCCACATACTCTGCGTCCACCGCTGTTCATTCAATTCGTCTGCCAGGTATCGAAGACCCACCTGGGGTTCCACATTTGGAATGGAAGTTTGCCGGGGCTTTTTGCAAGGGGCTACTTCTGCTTCGAGATCTACAGGGGTGACATGAACAATAAGCGAGGATTCAGGACACCAATCCGTTGATGCACTGTCCCTCATTGCCACCTACATCCTTCGTCTCTCTTCCGCTTACAGAACCGTGAGCAGACACGAACCCATGACATAAGGATTGTGCCATGAAAATGGCTTAATTCATACAAGCTATTTCCACCAGCATCATCATCTCTACGGACGACTTGCCCACAGCCGATACCGACAATGTGGTCGTCGCCAAGATTACTCCACTCTTCATTGGACCTCCTCAGCCATCGATCCACAGCCGAGTCCGTCCATCTCGGAAATCACTTCCGTGCGCTCTCCGTCCATCTACCACCGTCCATATCCTTCGTCTGCCGGATATCGAAGACCTGACTTGGGGTTCCAAATTTGGAATAGAAGTCTGCCGGGGCTTTTTGCAAGGGGCTACTTCTGCTTTGAGATCTGGCACAATTTCGAGGATGTGGACAAGACGTGAGAATCCACGCCATGAACACGGTTTCAATTATACATACCTTCGACACCTTCGATCATCGTCGTTCACACAGACAAATGGCTTATGGCCAAAAGATTTTTACTCGTTGCCGAGCTTTATCATTGAGCTCCTTCATTTACGACAAAAGAACACCAGTTTGACATCAACCACCCGGATATGGTCAATTTTCAGAGCGTTTCTCGCCATCGGACTATGTCTATTTTCAAGCTCTGAGTCCACCACCACTTCATCCCTGATCAAATTCTGTCCACCACCGATCACCGTTCATCACGAACTTTCATTGTCCATACACTTTGTCTGCCGGATATCAAAGACCCACTTGGGGTTCCATATTTGGAATGGAAGTCTGCCGGGGCTTTTTGCAAGGGGCTACTTCTGCTTCGAGATCTGCCAGTGAGATAGAGTGTGGACGTATCTTGAGAATTCACGCCATGAACATGGTCTCGCTCATACATACCTTCACCCATCTTCGTTCATATGATCGACTGGCTTATGGCCAAAGACTATTCCACACACTGCTGAGCTCTATCTTTGAGCTCCGTCAACCACCACGAAAGAATCAATAACCAGATATCAACCGTCGGACATAATCAATTTTCGGACCCTGCCCATTATGGAGTAATTTTCATTTTCAGACTATGTCTGTTCTTAAGCTCCAGGCCCAACATCATTAAACTTCGTCCATGGTCAAATTCAAGCAGCCGCCGACTCGCTGTCTGCATCGGATGTTCGTCATCTGTACAATCTTCACCCACCATCGTCCATACACTTCGCCTCCCGGATGTCGAAGACCCGACTTGGGGTTCCAAATCTGGAATGGAAGTCTGCCGGGGCTCTTTGCAAGGGGCTACTTCTGCTTCGATTCGCCCGTGAGGTCCAAGTTGTGAATGGAGTATGAAAACCCAAGCCAAAATTATGGGGTTGCTCATACCTAATTCCCACCATCACCGTCCATACGGATGACTCTTTCATCGTCAAACATTACCACTTCATCAATTATCGAACTCAGTCAATTACTGAAACCTGTCCATCAGACTTTGTCTGCTATCGAGCACTATCATAGTGGAGCTCTGTTCACCAACTCATCGGCGCCGCCACCCACCACTGAACATTCTTCTTTCACATTCTGTCCATAACAATCCACACAGCGCCTCTACAGATATCGAAGACCCAACTTTGGGTTCCAAATTTGGAATGGAAGTTTGCCGGGGCTTTTTGCAAGGGGCTACTTCTGCTTCGAGAATCGCCAGTGAGGCCCAAATTGTGGACGGGACATGAGACCCAAGCCAAAATTATGGTGTCGCTTCTACATATTTTCCACCGTCATCGTCCATACGGAAGACCTGTTCATCATCGGAAATTACCACCCATCAACCATCGGACAGTATCTACCAAAACCTGTCCATTAGGCTCTGATATCAAGTTTATCATCGTCGAGCTCCGTCTACCACCAACTTCAACTATCGGACACGGTCAATTACCGAAATTTGTCCACTGCCAACTCATCGCCTACCATTAAACATTCTTCTTTCATACACACTCTGTCTATAACAGTCCACACAACTCGCCTCCACAGGTATCGAAGACTCGACTTGGGGTTCCAAATTGGAATGGAAGTTTGCCGGGGCTTTTTTGCAAGGGGCTACTTCTGCTTCGAAAACCGCCAGTGAGGATGTGGACGGAACGCGGAGATACAGGCCATGCATTGATATGGTCTCGTTCATACGTACCTCCACCATCATTGTCCGTGCGGATGACTTGTTCATTTCACAAATCACACCTTTGAGTTCCATCCATCATTGAGCTCTCCCAATAATTGAGCATGACTATCAGGCTCTGTCCACCGCGAAGCCTTTTCCATCATCACACCTTTGTCTATTTTCAATATCCACCACCGTCAAACTCACTTGTCGCCAAATTCTGACTACCGCCAACTCATCGCCCACCGTTAAACATTCTTTTTCCCTACAATCTTTGTCGACAACTGTCCGCACACCTCGCCTCTCGGATACCGAAGACCCAACTTGGGGTTCCAAATTTGGAATGGAAATTTGCCGGGGCTTTTTGCAAGGGGCTATTTCTGCTTCGAAATCCGCAAGTCGGGCTGTGGACAGGACGTATACCTGGGCTTACTGCGACGCCGTTCAACCACGCAAACTTTCATCGCCAAGCCCTCGCGCTCTCATCCTTCATCAAAATTGCTATATTCACCAATGCTACCTCCTCATCGATCAATTCCACATCTACCTCCGACCAAACTGCCGCGCTGTCTTCTACCACCGAAGACCTCTCCATCAGGCCCTTGTCTACCTTCGGCCAGGCCATCGTGTCTCGATTCATTACTGATCAAGAACATTATTTACCACCATTCAAGCCATCACGCGTTCTCCTTTCGTTGAAAAACGTCTCGCGCATACAGCCTGTCTCCATTCTTAATAGAGCCTCTGCCCAATTCTTAACAGGCTTGCCTTCATGATCGAACAAGGCGTTATCTATTACCTTTCTTGCGCTCTATCCACCCTCGGGCGTCCACCACCATACATCCACCATCAAACGTTCACCACCGACCATCCATTGCCAAACATCCACCAAACCCAACAAAAGAACCTCATTACCAAACATCCACTATCAAAATTCTCTTCTTGCTGCTTTACTCATACTCCAATATGGCATTTTTGCCTGCAGTCCGAAGCCTTCGCTGCTCATCTTACCATCTGTCAAAATTAAAAACAAAAGAAAAAAAAAGAAAAACAAAGAAAAACAAAGAAAAAAAAAGAAAAAAAAAGAAAAAAAAGAGAAAAAATAAAAGAAAAGAAAAGAAAAGGAAAAGGAAAAGGAAAAGGAAAGGGAAAAGGGAAAAGGGAAATAGAGGAAGACGAAGAAAAGGGGAGAAAACAACCAAAAAAAAAAAAAAAAAAAAAAACCACCACCACCACCACCACCACCACCACCACCACCAGACTACATCTCGTCAGCCATGGGCACACAAAAGGTATTGTTGACTTGGCCCCCCTCTGTCGGATTATTACTGACTCGGACCCAGCTCTTCTTCAAGTCTTTCAATCTTCCATACTCCCGTCCTCTTCAATGCGCCGCCTGCCTATATTCTCAGCACGGTCTTCCGACATGACCATCCATTTATCTACAACCGATCCTCGCATCACTTGTCCACGTCCCCCAACGGTTACAAAGAATTTCATCATTTGTCTTTGCTACGATCACCCTGGCCCTCAACAGCAGCTACGGAGACACCCATCGAATTAACTGATGAGGTCCGAAGTCCTCGCAACATCAACCTACCATTGGAGTGTACATATCCTCTCCAGCAAGCTATTCAGCTGCAGCCAGAACAGAATACCGCGTCTAAGAACCAAATCGCTCGAGCCGCCGAGAACTCAGGCATCGTTGCAGGCTCTTTGAAACAGAATATGGCCCTGCTCAGAATCAATACAAGGCGACATACGCAGCAAACCCTACCGCTACAATACAAAATCTATTCGACCCCATTAACCTCGGTGAAAGTTGGAAAGAAAATTTCTTTCAGTCCACTTAGTCACTTGCTGGACTTGCCACGAGGAAGACCTCCAGTGAGCGGAATGCTCCGCACAATAACTTGATGTACTCCGTCGCGATGAATGCTCCGTCACGTACCAATCTTTTCTTTCTTGGTTATACAACTGTTTCTCCTTCGTGTATCTAACTTGCCGGTCGGATTCCAACTCGGGACAGACACGGCATATTTTCCTCCTCGCTGCTTGATTATACCAATACCGATTCTCTGGTCCACAATGTGTTCGCCAAGGGTCTTCAACGACGCCGGGAGTGAACCGACCCTGGATGTCAAGCTGGTCCACAGGCTGGTCCACAGCTTCTGTCCCTATGACAACCTCTCAGACAGCCATCCACAGCCACGCAAGCAACCATTTCGCCACCGAAGTTGAACACATCATCATTATCGGCACCGGAAGAGTTGGAAAGTTGTTTTACATGAAGACATGCCCTCCCTGAGGGACAACCTCACTCATTCACTGTTTTACAATGCAAATATCGTCAAGGGTGTCACTGGAAGCAATTTATGGGATGATTATGTCAACGAAAGAGCTTGTGAATATTATGCGTCGCCTGATGCCGGCGCTCTAAAGACACATCGCGCCACCGAGGCCAGAATGCACTCCATCGTAGAAAGACCAGAGGTACATCTCATGAAGGGTCTTTGTGTCGGCGTTGGAGGAGTAAGGAGCACCAGAGGATGAAGACGAGGAAGGCGACGACATAGAAGCTCCGCCGTCCATTCCACCGGCAGAGGAGGACGAAGGCTGAGCCGCAGTAGAGCTTGAGGAAGGTGAGGCGGAAGAAGAAGAAGAGTCCATACTGGGCGGTCCTCCAGCACCGCCGCCAGCACCAACGCCTCCTCCCATGCTTCCAGTACGGTTGGTCTCCTACTCGTTCAAAATAAAATGCTATCAAAAGGTCAATCAAAACGCCGTGAGATATGTGAGTGGTGCAGCACGACATACCTTGGCTCCTCCAATAACACCCGTATCCTTGTATGCCTTAGCACTCAATCCGGTAGCAATGCCGTTCAGGTACGGATCCGATCCAAACGTCTCAACCGATCGCCCACCCCAGGGCGTGCGACCCAGGGGCTGAGAAGTAGGTCCGTCGACAACTTGAATGCCCTTGAGGTAGAACTCAGTGGCTACGGCCTTTGCCTGGGCGTATATCGCATCCTTATCCCAGGTCATGGCCAGTCCCGAAGCCTGGCTGAACGCCGAGACGTAGTAGTAATCCTGGAGACCCATCGAGCCATCGAGAAACTCGAGTGCCGTGAAGGTCTGACCATCGGTGGTGTTGACGCTGCTTCCAGTGATCAAGTTGATCTTTTCCGTGGTGTTCGGCTTCGAGACGAAATGGGAGGCGTTTTCGTATGCGGCTTGCCAATCGCCCAGTGAGACTGTTGAGGCTGTAGTCAGCAACAAAAACCAAAGTATTTGCAATACTTGCACCGGCTTACCCTGGCCGTTTGAGAGAAGACCCTGATTTGTATTGCTAGAGGCAGAGGCAGAGCCAAAAATGGCGCCGATGAGAGCAAATGAGTGGATTTTCATCTTCCAGCGATAGGAACTCGAGATTGCTAAGAGAAAATAGAAAGAGTGACAGCGACAGAACAGAAGAGAATCAACCGCATTCTGGATCAGGACATAGTGTCTTATACGACTAAAGCTCTTCTCATGGGATCACCATGGCAATCTTGCACAACAAGCCCGACACCCTTAAGGCGTACTTAGGACCTGTCGTGCGTCAGCGCTGCCTGAATGGTTTGGACCGAGGCATGAAACGGGTAGAAACCAGGGACGACCCTGAGGGAGGCCCCCACGAGAAGCCCAGCCTTATGCTTTAACGAGGGGTCCATTACGCGGATTGGGGGGTGCTGACGTGGTTCAGGAACGGCCGGAGCAGAAGGGGGCCTGCAGAACGCGCTGCTCGGAAAACCCGAGAGTCCTGGGTGTGCTCTCGTTGAGGTTGGTGGGGCCGTTGGCCTGACGCGTCGTTGGTCGTAGCTGTGAGGCCTCGGATGGTGTTGGGTTGGCTGTCGTCGTTGATGATGATGATAGGGACTTCATGGCGTCGGGTGATGATGCCACTGGGGCCCGTTAATGCGATTCGCGCGGATGATGTCTAGCCGCTCCGCCTGATCGGGCAGCCTCTGTCGAAGGCAAAGTGGTTAAGATTGGATTTCTTTTCATGCTTGATACATGCTGCGCACTTGGCCTGGGTGCGGTCCCTGGCCTATGGGCAGTCTGGGATATTCATGGCTCACCACCCTCAGTGGTCCCGGCGAGGGTATTATCGCACAGGCGTAGAGGCCGAGGATCTCATCGGTCTAATGGGAGATCACGGCCTGGAACTGCTGACTCCAAGAGGCACAACCACCTGCGAAAAGCACGAGAGAGGCGCGGTTAGGAAGACGACAATCGATCTAGCGTGGGCATTATCCACCCTGGCCAACCGTCTTATACGCTGTGAGGCCCAACGCCAGTCGTTACATGCAGCGGACCACGTCCCGGTCCTCACAGAAGTCAACATTGAAACACAGCAACGCCCGCGGCACAAACGGCTACAATGGAAGAACGCAGATTGGAAAGCCTGGCTGGCAGCTCTCACGCCGCGAAGCCAGACCTGGAAAGTGGGACCGTACGAGACAACAGAACAGATCGACGCGGCCGTGGAACTTATGGTTACCGACATTCTCCAAGCAGCCCAAGACAACGTTCCCCGAACCGGCGTGAATGAATGGTCTATACCGGGATACACGCAGCAGCTCGCACCACTCAGGGCAGAGGTCCGCCGCGCTCGTAGGCGCGCGAAGGCGGAGGACTCGGATGCCTTGGAGTTTCGACAGCTTAGGCATAAGCTCGGCCGCCAGAGCGCTAAAATAGCCCGAACTGCTCATCGAGAACGCGTGGAAGAAGCTACGCAAGTTATCCAGGAATTCTGGAATCTCGCCAAATGGGCGCCCTGGACGGGAAAAGATTCTATCGTCCAGAGCTCTCTCATCCGCCAGTATCTTGAAGGCTCGGCTGCCCAAGAAGGCATCGATAGGAAGATGCGATTTTGCCACAAGGTAAACAAGATGGATTGGGCATCTTCGTCTAACATGTGGACTTTCGACATCACTGCCAACGACACAGAGAAGATATCCCTGGGGTCTCGCTTCGTGTTCCTCGGCACAGGCTACTACGACTGCCAGGAGCCGCTACGGGCGAACGTTCCCGGGATAGACAGTTTCCAAGGCGAGGTCATCCACCTCCAGTTTTGGCCTGTCGACCTCGACTACACCAACAAACGGGTCGTTATTATCGGCTCTGGCGCCACCGCCATCACGTTACTTCCCTCCCTTACTGCAGGCGCTGCACACGTAACCATGCTCCAGCGCTCACCGACCTATATCGCGTCTCTTCCCAGGCAGGGAGGTTTCGAGAGCATCGTCTCAGAAGTTCTACCCCGATTTGCGGCCAATGTACTCGTACGTCTTAGATGGATGCTCTTCTCATTTGTTATGGTGTCGTTTTGCCGTTGTTTCCCTCGTGCAGCCAGATCTGTCCTCCTCAGCAAAACAGCCAAACTTCTACCGCCAGACATGGAACTAGACCCGGATTTCGTGCCTTCATACAATCCATGGGAGCAGCGCTTGTGTCTTTGTCCCGATGGCGACTTCTATGCCTCTATTAGGAGCGGAAAAGAAAAGCATTAAGACGGGCGCGATTGAAAAGATTACAACTTCCAGCATAGAACTGGCCTCCGGTGAGGAGCTGCATCCGGACATCATCGTGACAGCGACCGGGCTTAAAATATGCTCGAGTGGTGGTATCACTATTACTATCGACAGTGAGCCGTATGACATTTCGGATCACTTTGCCTGGAGGACTGCCATGGTTGAGGCTCTGCCGAACGCGGCGCTATCATGGGTTTACGCCGACGCAAGCTGGACGCTCGGGGCTGACTCAACGGTGCAGCTGGTGTGTCGCTTGCTCACACGAATGAGGAAACAGGGAGTATCGGTGATAGTGCCGCGAATTATGGTGGAAGAAAGGAAGGTGTTGGAAGAACGCCCATTTCTGGGTTTAACGGCGACCTACGTGAAGAAAGGCGGAAATCCGTTTCCCAAGCCTGCGTCTACAGGCCCATAGCAGCCGCGCTCGTACTTCTGGAGGGACCTAGCCATCGCACGGTGGGGCGATGTCAAGAGGGGCATGGAGTGGTTGGCATAACTTTCTGATGTGGCAGACTCATTGTGGTCAATATCTTGCAACATCTGCACATATTTGAGCGAATTCTCGTCTGGGTTAACACATTGCCCAAGAAATGACTGCACGTCTTCATTGATGGCGTGGAAGTACTGGCTTTGGGCAACGATTCCCGGTCCGGAGGCGGATATGCTTGTTGCTCGCTCAGAAATCGCGACGTAGAACATGATTCGAGATCAGATGAAGACGCCAACTTATGTCGAAGAACAATCTGGGTTCTTTGTTCTGGATCTTCCCTGTTTGAGAGCGTGACTGGAGCAACCGGAGATCGAGATCATCAAGGGCCAAGGGTGGTGATAAATTCCTTGCTCGACAGCGGAGACTTGACTCACCGTCTAGACGTTGAGCTCGATGACTTGGGATAACAGGACTCCTCAAATCCAACTGAGGCCTCTATCAAGATTTCATGATGTTCTTATCCCTCGAAGCTGGTAAGGGGACAGGGCGCGTTGGTCCAGCACGGCATGTAGCTTCGAACATGGCCTTTTCGGGATTGTGGCCCGTTTTATAGTCTTGGGCAGATTGAGTAGATAAAGTGAAAAGTCTCCCTCCAATATTCTTGATACCTGGGTTTCAATCAATTCAATTTCGAGATACTGCCTTTTGGCTTGGACCTAGCATACCTCATCAGTTTGCTAGCGTCTGCCGTGCACCGAATACTGGGCCTGGATCCACTTCACAATTATATTTTCGCAACTCTGCAGATCTGTAAGGAATACTTCATATAGCGATTTAATATGTATTAAAACCAAGAGACAAATTTTACAAGGCGATAGAGATGGGCTTCGGTAAGCCCTTTTATCAACTTTTCATGCAGTAACGCAGTAAGACCGAGGGAACGGGAAACAAGCCCCATATTTATTGATTCCCACCCAATCATACTCGACTCATACCTCAATCACCGAGGAGCTGCATACATTAGCTTCGGCTCCGAGGCTTTGCAGCTCCGCGGTTCCATTATAAACTGTAAAACCGTCCAACCGTGAGAACATAGGCCCATGTTGAGACATGTGAAAAACAACCTTTTTCACGAATCTCAAATTCAAGGCTGCCATTGTCCGTGTTGTGATCCCGCGGTGGAACCGAGTTTCCCCGCATTTCGACAGGTTGCGGAGACATTCCCTGGAATTGTATAAAGGAAAGGCGAGACTTTAGAGCTAGGTGAAAAAGTATGATTTGCTTCGACCTCTGATCTTTCTCGCATATACTCCTGGTCATCTAACATCATGGGTCGCAACCCGCTTACCAATCCGCTGCACTATGCGACCGCCGAGCGGAGTCTTGTCAGCTACGACTACGGTGTGTCACAAATAGCCTTCAAAAATATTATTACAAACATCCCCCCTAACTTGCGGCCTCTATTGAAAAAGTGATCATTGGCGCTGGTGCGGCGGGCTGTGTCCTCGCCAACAAACTCTCCGAGGATAAGAATGTGTCGGTGTTGGTCCTTGAAGCCGGCGGTGACAACACGAAGGTCTTTGAAACAAAAGTGCCCATCTTGTTCTCGAAACTCTTTCACTCAGAGCATGATTGGGACTACTACACGATCGAGCAGCCGGAGCTCGCCAACCGGCAGCTGTATTGGCCCCGCGGAAAAATCCTCGGAGGCTCGAGCTCGCTGAACGCAATGATGTACCATCACTGTTCTAAGTCTGATTACGATGAATGGGCCTCGGTTCATGGCTGTGATGGATGGAGCTACGACAAATTGGCTCCCTACCTCCGAGACATGGAGCGATTTACCGCGAATCCCGGTCGCCCGGCGATCGATTTCCAGCACCGTGGCAGCTCCGGGCAATGGCAGACGGGTTATTCATGGCTCTCAGAAATTGTAGAACATGGCTTCCTTCCCGCCTGTCATGATGCTCAGATCCCAGCCATCGCGGACGTTAACACCCACCAAGGCAGCCTGGGTGTGACCAGATTCCAGACTTTTGTCGATCCCAAGGGTCAGCGTTCGTCACTTGCCACAGCTTTTTTGACCCCGCAGGTGTTAGCGCGACCAAATCTATATGTCGCATGTAAGGCCCGTGTTACTCGTGTGTTATTTGATACGATCACAGGCGAGAAGAAAACAGCAATCGGCGTGGAGTTCCAGACTTCCCAGGGGGGTGAGCGCTTCCAGGTTCATGCGCGAAACGAAGTTATACTCTCTGGAGGAGCTGTAAATACTCCGCAGACTCTGCTCCTCAGTGGTATTGGTCCGGCCGATGAACTGAAGGCCCATGGAATTCCCGTCGTCCAAGAGAACAATGCGGTCGGTCGCAACCTTAAGGATCATCTCTGCACGACGCCGATAATAGGCAAGGCAAAGAACGGCACTACCCTGGATTATCTAGGGAGTTATCTCAAAGCCATTCCAGCACTAGCGCGTTGGCTTCTCACAGGTGGTGGCCCACTGTCTAGCAACGTTGGTGAGGCGGCTGCCTTCATCAAGTCTACGGATTACAACTTCTCTCAAACCGTGAATGCTCCTAATTCTTATACGTCTGGTGATAATTCGCCGGATATAGAGATCATCGGTGCTCCGCTTGCATTTATTCATCATGGCGAGGAGAAGCCCTTGGGTGGAAGCAATGTGTTCTCTATCGTCCCGATCGGTCTTCGTCCGCAAAGCCACGGCACAGTTACATTGAAGAGCAGAGACGCATTTGATGCGCGTAAGTCTACTTCCATGTTCTTCATTGGCGGAAATATTGAAACCAGAGCTGACAACACAATCACTGTTTACAGCAATCATCGACCCGAAATATTTGAGCGACGAGGGAAGCAACGACCGAAATGTCCTCCTCGTTGGGCTTCGCGTGTGTCTCCAAATCATCAAAAGCCCAGCTTTCAAAAAGTATCTTGAGCCGGTTCCTGTAAATGATGATCCGACCTCGTACTGGTGGCCCTACTCAAGCAGCAATATCGATGCGATCACCGACGAGCAACTCCTGCGGTTTATGGATGAAAAGGCCTTTACATTGTATCATCCCGTCGGCTCGGCACGCATGGGCCCTTCACCCACTTCAAGTGTCGTGGACCTTGAGGGCAGGGTTCATGGGGTCAACGGTCTTCGTGTCATGGATGCTAGTGTGTTCCCGGAACAGATAAGTGGACACCCTACCGCGCCCATTGCGGCCATGGCTGCTAAGCTCAGTGAAATGATCAAGGGAGGCAGTGTCATGCCTAAACCCTTCGTCGCAAACTTGTAAGAGAAAGCAGCTATACGCAGAGTAATTGTGTTTTCATGAAGACTGGGTTGAAACGTCCTATGCTCCCATCCACAATGGTTCGGGCAACATTTTTTACGATAGCGTTCACCCGCAGCCAGTTACATTACCTCGTCGGTCTCTAAATGTGAATCGGATTCGCACTCTAGGCGCTCTCAATCCAGCCCCATACAATGATTTTTCCCGGGGACTTGGAGCTGCTGTTAATAGTGGCGCTTTCTCTATGGACCTCTTTCGGACTCGGACCAGCCAGGAAGTAGAAATCAAAAATACCACCCAGAATATTATACTCTAGGTATTGCTCGCCATATTCGGTCTGGTTGATTTTGATGTCCATGCCATCGGAGTTGAGCAGGAAAACTCCATGTGAACCTGTCTCGCGCTGCTCGATGTATATTGGATGGCTTCCATAAAGGTTCGTCCCTGCAGGGATTTCGAACGCATCGCGATTCCACAGTGTCCTAGTGTAGTTTGTAGTGTTCAGAAGAAAACTGTCGCTGTGCTCGCCCAACCCGTACAAATTAGGATTCTGGGGCAAGGACGTCCGGAGATTCAAGTACTGCGACTGGAAGATCAGGTTGGAGCCAGAAGTATTGAACAAAGTCTCCTTTGTGTCCGTCCGAGTCACGGCAAAGGAGAAGGGCTCTTCTTGGTATGAAAATTGAATCGCCGAATTGGAGCTTGAAGTAGCATTTTTTGCGCCAGGACGAGGGAGAACTGACTCAGGAACCTGATATACAATTTCATCTGGATCGTAGATCATAACATGGAGCCGGGTATCTAGCAGGACAATCAATCTTAGTCAGGCTGCCGTCTCCGAATATGGATTGGGCAACTGCCTTGGACTTACCGGTTTCATATTCCACCTTCAAATCTCGGTGCCATAAGTGTTGCAAGCTCTCCCAGCCAGCTCCAGATCAGCGGTCAAGGTGACGCCATGATTTTGCACATTGTTTGCTTTATATCCGGGACAGCTATCGATGGAAAGAGCTGCCCTTGAGTTCAAGGCAGCAGCTCCCACTGCAGCAGGAAACAGCAAAGCGTAGCCTAGCATTGTATGTTTTCCAGGACTAGAAATTCTGTCCAGAATGTACGGGAAAACGTTCCCTTTTAAAGCTTATCCTACCAGGACCGATCCAGCCTTCACGTCAAGCACTCTTCGGATATCTATCCCCCTAGTTTCCGGTAATCTTCCGAGCCGTAAACTCAATTAGTCTCAGAAACAAACAGTATCGTCTACCATATCTACTCCCGTGCTGGATGTAAGTTTCTGGTTTGGCAAACCCCTTAGATGCGTAGGTTGCTCTAGCGTTGGTGGGTGACACTAATAACCATACCTTAGTGACAGGGGCTGATCAATTAGAGGTTGACGTTGCCAATGATCGCTTCAATTTAAGTGAAGCTCAAGCTTGGAGGTAGGGTAGTTACCTAAAATAGACTGTCCGATATATATGCGAGACTGCGGGTCCATTGATGATCGACGCTGCTCCGTGATCTGTAATTGGTCTACAGTTCCGCTCATTTGGAAGATGCGGAGTTTCCGAACTCTATTATTCAGCGAAGGTTGCGATCGGGGCCTTGAAATTGCCAAGGACTTGGCGGAGATGATTGGACGTTTAAAGCCAGGTAACCCGTGCCGCCTTCGTCAGGAAGTTGGACCGTTAGTTTAGCAAAACTGTACCGTTTGCAACGATGATTTTAGCCCGCTATTTCCCCGACCCCAAGACAATGCTAAGATGATCATCGAATTCCACATTGTAGTACTATAGCAGCAAGTCATGTTTGACGACTTTCCTTGGATCCGTCCGATCACGAAGAAATTGGGAGAGCATATAAAGCTTGCACTGGTCGACAAACATTTGGATTTCAACAGCAGGTCCACTCACAAGTTCACTCTCGTTTGAACCTCAATACAAGTCGTTCTCCAGATTCTGCCGATGATCGCTTGGATGCAAACTCTTGTGGCTCTTTGCGCTACCCTTCCTTTGGCAAGCCTTGGGGCGGGAGCCGTGCTTCCCCGACAGACCAATTCGACCTCTTCCGCCTACTGTGGCACCGATTTATGCACTTGGTGGCATGACACCGCTGAGATCAATACTGCCACTGCGGTCAAGCCTGAAAATGTCCGGCAATCCCATCGGTATCTCGTCCAGGTGGCCATTGCGGGCACGGGGCAATACCATGATTCTTTCGTTTACGAAACCATCCCGCGCAATGGTAATGGCGATATTTCGAGTCCTGGGGGTGGCGACACCTTCACTGGAGATGATGGTATCTCTATTGAAATTGACGCCGGCATCACTATGGCTTGGACGCACTTCGAACATCAGAAGGATGTTGATGTCAAGATCTCAAGAAGAGATGGTGCAGATGTAGGCACAGATGTCACGATCCGACCAACCGCTATTCATTACGATGTTAAACACGAGGGTGGTGCCGTGTTTGTCCGAGTGCCCGCTGATGCTAATGGGCACCGGTTTTCTGTCGAATTCGCGAACGATCTCTTCACATATCGCTCCGATGGTCAAGCGTATACCACGGATGGATCTGGAGATGTTGTTGGTATCGAGCCCACCAATGCCCTTATGATCTTTGCCAGCCCGTCTCTACCCGCCGCATCGATCCCTTCCAAGAACGACACCAACACTAAGTTGATGGAACCGGGCGCCTTCACTGTGGCCGACATTGGAGCATCTCCCATTGTTTATTTCCCCCCTGGAGTGTACTATATCGACTCCCAGCCTCTCGGAGCAGCCCATGTCAAGCTCGATCCTGCCACTTACTGGGTCTATCTGGCTCCCGGGGCGTACGTGAAAGGGGCTATCGAATACACCACCACTGCTAAAGACTTCTACGCTACTGGCCACGGCGTCCTATCTGGAGAGATATACGTCTACCAGGCTAACGCTGATAAAGGCTACATAGCTGAGAAGGACGACGTGAGCAGCCTACGCATGTGGTGGCATCGCGGCATCCAAAGTGGGCAGGCATGGCATGCCCTCGGTCCCACAACCAATGCCCCGCCTTTCAATAGTATGGACCTCAAGGACGGTAGCGCCGATCGGGAAGATATTTCAGTCACGATTTCCGATTACAAGCAGGTTGGCGCGTTCTTTATGCAGACTGATGGCCCACAGATGTACACCAATGGCAACGTCCATGATGTCTTCTATCACTGCAACGATGACGCTATCAAAACCTACCACTCTGGGGTAAAGGCCTCCCGTATCACAGTGTGGAAAGTCTTCAATGATCCGATTATCCAGATGGGCTGGACGCCTCGAGACGTGCATGACGTTTCTATCGACACTCTCTATATCATCCACACTCGCTACCGTAAGAGTGAGAACGTGGTTCCCTCGGCCATTATCGGAGCCTCCAACAATTATGACGGCTCGGAGACTGTTGACGAGTCAAAATCCCTGAGCATTTCTATTTCAAACGTGATCTGTGAAGGCCCGTGCCCGGGGCTATTTCGGCTAGCCCCATTGCAGAACTATGCGGGTTTCACCGTGAAAAACGTTCAATTCCCTGACGGCCTGATTGCCGGTAATATTCACATTGGGGATTCAATTATCGCCACAACGGACGACACGACGAATCCTGGCTTCGACAAACTCGAGATGGGCCTGGATATCTCGGATTGGACGGTTAAGGGTGAAAAGGTGACAATGGAAAATGCCCAGACACTTGGCCAGTTCCACATCAATGATGCCTATAAGGGACAGTGGTCTATTACCTGATTATGGTAGTAGAAATACTACCTATGTCAGGTACGGCCTTCAAGAGAAGGGCGAAGTTTCTTCAATTTACGGGTACTGACGCTCCGGCTGGCAGCTCGTCATCCACTCATTTTATTTCATCTTGTTGGCACAGATGCTTGAGGCATTTGATATCTCGTTTGTGAGGCATAAGCATAGCTCTGTTTGCAGATGCACTAGCTCTCTTCCTCTCTCTTTCTTTCACTCTTTCTCACCACCTACCTACCTGTCTTCGATATAGCAATCCAGCTATCACCGATTCGACTACTCTTTCATTGTAGATGTGTCTTGTTCTCGACTCCGATAGTGTCGTTCTCATCACATCTGTCTGCCTTGATCCATTCGTTCACTCACTTCAACTCGCCAATCTTCTGTTGATCTCGTCCTTCCCACACACATTCTTTCAATTTCTCTACTGAGCAATTGCGGAAATAGAAGCTTTTATCCTTGAGCCAAGGATTCTTATTCATTAGCCGAGTTCTTAAGAAACGATGCAAATATAAACCAGATTGTAAGTTACTTTGTCAACTCAACCTAGGTAGCAGTAGGATTCTGCGATTAGGCTTGCTCAGGCTTTCGCTCAGCTCGCTGATCAATTGGAACTAGCCTTGGCTGTGCTTCCTGGGGTCACAAGGTATTCATCACGTGACTTCACCTTGGAACGGTTGGCTGTCGGTTATTATCTAACATCCTTCTGCAGCAGTTTGGGCTGTTGCAGGGATCGTAACATTACCATTCTCTCTCTGGGATTTCTCGGACACTGCAGTCAAATGGCTGCTACGACCATCAATGACCAATAGTCGGTAATTATGCTTATGTACGGGTATTTGACGAATGAAGACCTTTTAACTAGCGTAGCCTAGTCTCAGAAGTTAATCCAATTCATACCGCCAATCTATAAAGTCAATCGTCCAACCATGGTTAGATAATATATTTGGTTGGGAGCTAGTTAATGCATGGTGGATACAACCAAGCAGACGCGCAGAATGATTGGATTGCTATGCGCCACACGAGACTGAGATCTCCATCGAAGTGACTACCTTGCCGGGTGAGGTGTGGCCCATCTTTGCATCCTTGCAAAGGCTTCGTGATGATTTTTTAAAAGCCCTTTGAAAAGCGAGTTCGTCAGATTTGGGTGTCGCTACATAGTCTGAGACTTAAAATTTGCCGGGTCACATGAGAGCCGCGCATAGAGAGTAACAGCTTGACAATATCTGTCACCATTTCTGGTCGGGGCGTCGACGTTGATCAATCTATGGTTGATGGCGCGAGACTCTTGGCAACTATTCGTGGCTTTTGTTCGATCGCAAAGGATACCTGAAGAAACTCCCAAAACGACGTGTTGTTTCGCGAACAGACGATCAGATCATGGCAGGCTCACTGAGCAAATCAGGGTGCCTAGATCAGGCTCAGTGAGTGATCAGTTTGATTACAATGGTCACTGATCAGCTCCGGTCTGTCAGGGCCGTGCTCAATTCTACTCAGTGAGCAAAAGCGGCGAGGGGGTGAGCACTAGAACGGAAGGAGAGCGCCAAGGGTTGCCAGACATTATCCGGTATGTATGCAGTACGCAAGAGCGGGAACGACATTGCCAAATACGGAAGGCTATCTGAGGGACTGTGCAAACACACCAAACAGACCAGACAACATCACGAACAAGACTTCCGCCTCAACTACCATTTCTGACGCAACCCAACTGACCGACTTGGAATACAATTGTCATCAGCAGCTCATCATTCTGCGATAACAGCATCAATCTGCTTGACAACAGCGTCGCGGTACAGAGCCATCCCAGGACTGCGTGGGTGGAATGTTTTGATCTGCCGCGTTGGATACCACCCGCTGACCTTCTGGCTGTTGAAGTCTCCATTTTTGAGAGCCTCGGTTGCATTACCATACGACCAGGCCATCAATCCATTTGGTTCAAGCGCGATGGCTTTTGAAGCAAGACACAAGAAGTTCTGATATGGATCCGGATTCTCGCCCTGCGTCTCTTTACAGGTATCTGCATCTGGAAGATTGATTCCATTTTGCTGCAGAGCTGAAATGTCGTTGGAATCTGACGTGGAAGCACTGCCTGCCAGAGGAATATCGTTCCATGCACTCAAGAAGAAATAGGTGTTCGGAGCTTTGGGGTCAGGCTCATGGATTCCCTGTTCACACCAGCGATGTGAGTCGAATTTTGACTGGATGTCGATATAGTGGACAGCGGTTCTTCCTGCCGCCTTGTTGGCATCTCTGACAGCGTCTTCAATCACGTTGTTGAGCTGCGTGACCAGATCGTTGAGTTCCTTGCGCAGAGACTTCGTGAGATAAACGATTCGCCCCAATGGTCCATCACTAGGCGGCTTGTATGCGGCCCAAAAGTAATGGAAGGTGCTATCATCGCAGTCGGAGGTATCATGGTTGAAGAAACCTGGGTATCCAGCAACGAATAGTTGAAAGTCGGGCTGCGCGGCCTTCTGGAGAATACTCAAGTAAAGCGCACTGAGTTTCGACCGCAGACCAGTATCCCCCTGATCGTTCATCATGTTACGGGCTTTATCCTCTGCCTCCACGCACCACTGTCGATATGTCGATCCGAAATGCAGAGTGTTTGGGGTTACGACGCAGTTCCACACGATGTCCGAGAAACCAAGGTCATTTCCTCCCATTGTCAATGTTCCCAGGTTCGACAGATCGGTGCTTTTCCAGTTCTCGATCTGCTCCTTGAGACCGGACGTTGTATCACCGGAACACATCTTCTTTTCGATATCGAGCGAATCACCTGCATCCTTGTAATGTTTTTGAACAAGGCCAGGGTAATTTTGACCGCCGATGCGACAGTCCGTCTCCGTCGGGTCGGTACCCATACCAGCAGCAAAAGAATCACCGAATGCAACGATACCGCTAATCTCATATGCACTTCCATGATCAAACATGAGAGCATCATGACTGACACATCCATCTCTCTTGATAGACGTCGATGCGCCAGTCGATGAAGTAATGGGAATTTGTTTCTTCCAGTGGTCACTGAAATAGATTCCAGCCTCGACCACGGCCCAGGTATCGGCGTTAATAGCCGAGAATTTTGCATCGCATATCCCGTCCTGCGGTGGGTTGCTGCCTGGGACCTGACACAGAGCTCCCTTGAGCATCGCCCATTTCTGACAGCCTCGATTGAAAACACCTTCAGCAAGTTCCTTGCAGGTCTCCCAGCCATAGGCGTAATCATACGCTTTTACTCCGACCGAGTCTGGTATAAGTCTCATCGAGTATTTGGTGTGTGTCATCTCATGCAAAATGACGGCTGACCGAACATGGTGTGCCTCTCTGATGGTCGCTGGCTCATGAAGAACTTTGTCGAGCGTGGCAGTCATATCCTGGTCATTGAAAAACCTGGGACAGATGTTCATCGTTTTTTGAAACGCATTCATATAGGCAAGGTCTCCGTTCACGCAGTTATCTGTAGTAAAGTCGCAAGTGATCTGAAATTGAAAAGTGGCGGTGCCATCAAGCATATAACCGATGGTCTTGTACACATCAGACACCTGTTTGGCAAAATCTTTCGAACCTCGCAGGCCCGCAGAGAAAAATGTGTCATAGAAACCCCATTTCTGCGTATTTTTCTCTGCAGTATCTGCCATCTGGATGGCAAATCGAAACTCTGTCAGGATCTGGGGCTTCTGGGTAGAGCTACATTCAGCAGATGTGCCCACTGCTCCCCAGTTCAACGTAGGATTCCCAACATTGCCGCCCTCGGGGATAACAGGAAGATCAGGGTCCTCGATGGATCCATCGTCGCCAGTCTTGTCGGTTCGACCGCATAGGCTGAACCATGTCTTAGCAGTGTTGTCGATCGAGTGAATGATCGAGTGCATGTCAGCGCGGCCGTTGCCATCCAGGTCCGGGAAATAGGTACAAGAGCCTTCAACAGCACCTTGGAACTTCGCCCCAACAGGATCCCACCAATAGCGTGAGCCACCGATGTCTTTTCGACCCTTGTTGTACCAAACAGAGCCATCGCCATTGAACTTATCGGTGTGGATCATGTCCGCTTTGCCATCACCGTCAACATCGGCCCAGTGGAGATTGGCTCGATCTTTACCCTCGGAGAATTTGAACTGATCGATGTATTCAAAGGACCCTGTTTTTGATTGAGTCCATCCCCAAGATCGGCCATCTTTTTCAACGCAAAGGTAGTCTGCCCTGCCGGATCCAGAGATATCGGCCATATGAACCGGGTTGTCGAACACGCCAATCCCCCGTGTCTCTGGACAGTATAGGTCTGGTGCTGGGTCTACATGGTATTCCCAGTTAAAGTCACCAGTGTCTTTGATGCGATTGATCCAGAGACTGACACGGTTTTTATTATCCGGGTCGGTCCAAACGATATCACAGGCTCCATCTCCATCCCAGTCGACGAGATGTAGATCCCGACGGTTTAGATCCTTCTTCGGACCCGTGGTATGCGGATCGAAGATACCTTTATTTGGGCCCCAGAAACTCGATCCGTCATCAGGAACACTGGTAAGACCCTTGTTTGGGTATATATGCATACTTCCTTTGGACAGAATCCAGACATAGTCCATCATGCCATTGTCATGACCCATCATGTTGCAATATCGATTGCCATCCGCTGGGAATTGTCAGTGGATATTCATCGCAGAATTTCCACGAAGCCAAGAAGAGCTTTTGGGTTGGGTGAGGGCTCTTACATTTGATCTTAGTCGCTCCACTTCCAGTGTTTTTGAACGCGTGGAATTTGTACGAATATTTTCCCTTCCCGGCACTTTTGTACTCCAGAAAAACATAGTCTCGACGGGAATGCAGGCCAAAGTCTTGCTTGGTGCCATAGATTCTCGGGAAACTGATTTCTCCTCGGCTGACATTGTCGAAGTCTGTCATGCCGCTGTGGGTTGGTCCTGAGGTGTGTCCTTTCTGAAAGCCCTGTCGCCAAACAATGTTGAGTCCGTCGCCTTCTTTACCTTTGACACAGCTTCGGGAATTGGTCCAGGTGTAGGTTGCACCATTATCATCAACCCATAGCCAGTCATCACGACCCTATCGAAGGAGGTCAGTTTTCTTCTTTGTTCAAGATGCTTGGATTGGAACTCGGGGTGAATTCACATCACCATTTATATCCAGCAGCCGAACACCCGCGATATCACCCATCCCTTTGCCTGTGAATCTCTTTCCGAGCGGCTGCCAGTACTTGGGAGCATCATCTGAGCAGATGATCAGCAAATCCGTTCATACCCATTTGCATTTTAAATGAAAGACTTACCGATCCAGCCGTTACGCCAGCAAGTGAGATCGCCGTTGCCCTCAATGACGCAGTAATCACCTCGACCGTCTCCATCCACATCGCCAATCACAACATGAGACTGATCATATCCAGGTTCTGCATCCTTCCATTTTCCGATGGACTTGAAGCTGGGAGGACGGACCTCATTGCCGTCCCCTTGGTTGACACTTGCATAGGCAGTCCCGTCCTTGGCAATGCAAATGAAATCGTCCAAGCCGTCAGCTATATCGATGTTAGCACTGAAATGACTTGAATCACCCTGGTGCACTTGCCGTTAATATCGATAAATCGAATCCCCCGCGGGATACAATTATCATCCACACTCATAAAACTATCCAGTTGCTGAAAACGATCGGTGTCCGCACCACTATTTCTCCACACGGTATATTCAACCTTGCCCTCTTTCTGATGCCACAAGATAAGATCATCACGATCGCTCCGAATAAGCCGTGTGAAACCCCAACTCAGATCGGACTTTTCACTTTCGACCTCGAAGATGACACCCATGGGCTCACTCGAATGATAATAGATACCGTCATCTTCTCCGCTTCCCTGCTGCGTGAGACCGCCAGCATAGACACCATCACCATACTCCTTGTCACAGGTAGTCGACGACATGACACCGGGCCCTTCGATAATGTCTTGTTTATGAGCATCATTGATGGCATTGTACCAAATACGAGCCATCTTAGCATATCCATGATCGTTGGGATGAGTATCATCAACGTCGCCATTGTGGTTAAAGTCATCGGGCCATGAGATCCAACCGCTGGCATCAGCAGGCGCAGGGGGATCCATGTCCGCCAGGACAATATTTACACCATCGTCACGCATGGATTTGACCAGGCTGCGATATTGGTCGTTGACTCCAGGTCGGTTTCTCGTCGTGTTCTTCTCATTAGATGGGATGAGAGTTGACAGGACAATGGTTGTCTTCTTCATTCCATCGGCGTTTATGAGGGTGCTGATGAGAGATCGCATGCGCTCGCCAGTGTTCGGGATATCTGTGTCCAATCTGCAATCGTTCGTGCCGGCGTTGATGAGGACCACGTTCGGTCTGTATGACAAGGACCCTTTCGCTGCTTCTTTGACCTCGTCGATAATATCTCCGGAGTGGGCTTCGCATTCCTATGCAAATCCGGGATTGTTAGACGAATCGTCCACGGGTTCAAGGATGAGTGACAAACGTTGTCTTTCATGCTGCCGTGAGTCTTGGTTCCAACCATATCCACTGCCCATCCATCGAACCGAAGTTGGTCACGAAGAGGCTTGCGGTAGCCATTCCCGCTTTCAGAAAGATATCCATAAGTGATAGAGGCACCAAGTGGAAGGATTCTAAGCTCAAATGGCTTGTCATCTTTCTTGTACAGGTGATTTCTTTCATCAACGATGGAGACGGTTTCGAGGCTTGTATTGAAATACTCAGCAGAACTAGCAACATCCACATAAGGGAAGCAGTTTGCAACTGAGACGATGAAAGAAAGAAAAAAGCATGAAAATGCCAGAGATTGGGACGAGGCCCATGCAGAGCGCGCCATTCTCCCTCCAGAAAAAATGGTACAATTGACTCAAATTATCGACAACTTCAAAACTCTGTTATATACGCCTGGAGTATTTGTTTAATGAAAGAATACGCCCCCAATGCCAATTGGGGTCTAACGTCGATAGACACAGCCCTCGGGCCCTGGAAAAAGGTACACCAGGGGAGACCAGGTGTGTTTCCTACAGACTCACATGTGGGCTTCTTTTCGTTTTGCTTTCAAAGCTGCAGGCCAAGGCTTTTAGTTCGATAAATTTGAGTAGCCATTCCGTGTGCTTAGAATGAGCTCTCGTCTGTTCTCGATACTTTTGGCTCTATATCCCGACGAAACCACTGAGATCCATCGAATTCCTTCATACCACCTGGTTGATGGCTACAATCGAATGTCTATTTCTCTCTGTTGGCTGGTATATTCCCTCCTGGGTCTTACACGCCAATATGACTTCCACGGCTTGCCCGGCTTCGGAAAGTATTGACTGGCCCAATGTGGAGCATTCGTCTGAATCTTCGTATGCCAAGGCTGGTAAATATCGTTTCAAGTTTCGCCCATATACCTTTGCAGGCTATTGCACCCAGGCAAGATTTTCAATTCCTGGAGAATCCGCCTTGGATCCTTCCATGCCGTTTTGAGATAGACGAGTTGGTTGGGGTTACAGAAGCTCGACTAGTGCAACAGCCGTCTTTTATACATCTATTTCGGTAAATACATGACCATTAATAGCAACTTTTGCAGACCACAAGGTGTCGTTGTACTCAAATAATCATCAGTGCTTCTAATCTGCATATAAGGCTCCTCGAAACTAGCCTGTTTAGACCAGTAAAGCGAGAAGGCTATGCTTGAGCGGAACCACTGCAGCAGTGTGCTTGAGTGGCTGTGTATGTTCTCTCCAGTGGATCGTTGGTTCCCGGTGGCCCCAGAACTTCCAGGGCCTGGTATACTGAAACCTGGGTGGGATTACCCAGGGCGGCATGATGATGAAAAGCTGTGGCAGTGAAATAGGTGACGGAAACTCCGCTTTGCTGTATCCGTTTCTAGTGTTCCGTGTACCTAGGTAGTACTTCAGGGTATATACCCGTTCTCTGAAGCCCAGGTTGGTCGTTTGAGTCGGTTAGATGTGGACGGAATGATAACACGCACTAGAAGCACATAGTAGTTTACAGTCCCGGTACTCACAGCCAATCAACTCATATGCTTGAGGCGTACGGTGGCTACCAGTGGGTCTGTACCTGACCTAATGGAATACCTATTTTGTGTTGAAACTAGCCCCATGCCTACCAATAGGTGCCCATGGGGCCACCGAGGCTGAAATGGCAAACTACTCTAGTGTATAATACGATAAGCTAGGTATCTATACAACTAATACATATCTAGAATCACAACTAAGATCATTTCCGGGGGTTCCATGGCCCCTTAACAAAAATGTAACCCTCCAAGATCGGGTGATCTATAGATTTAGCGGCTGCAGTCATCCGGCTAGTCGAACCGAGGAGACCTGCATACTATCACACTAGTACGCCAGTATAGACCCTGGAAGCATTTCCTGGCAGAACTAGCATTGATAAACAAATACTTCCGTTCGCCAAGCTGCTTTTTACACGTGCGACACGTGCTAACACGGACATTGTTGACCGATGCCCGTTGCCAAAGTCATGTGATGAGGACTCTCGTCTCACTTCCTATTCTTCTTTCTCACTCCCTTCATAACTTCCAAACGACCGCTCTCCCACGCGCATGTGCTACCATCATTCCTCTCGAGAGATTCAGTGAACAGACTGCCGGTGGAAAGTCTAAAGTGTTTGCCAAGAGGGCCCATCGGTCACCGTTGCTTGGCGACTTCGCTAAGCATTCGGAAGTTTGCGGCCCCCAGATTTCCATGCGACCCTCAGTGGGCTGCTATTGTCAGGGAATAATCCACGCTAGGCATCTACCGAGACCCTGATTCAGCAAGTTCATGCCAGCACGACTGAATTCGGAAAAATGTGGACAGCAAATCGGTGATTCTGTCCTTGGCCGCTACCAAATCGATTCAAGGGCGGAAGCTGCGAAGCTCTTTGTTATGTTATGAAAAAAATTATCATCGGTTCAGCCCCGAATAGCCCCAATCTTTTTCGGCTGCCTTCATACCCATTTTTAAGCCTTGTGATTGAACATGCAGGGCACATCGGGGCTGTGTTGTCCGGAGCTGAAGCACTAGGAGGATTCAGCCGCCGGACCGCATCTCGCACTTGTGACTCCCGAGCCTCACTGGACTGTCAAGGATCAGGCTAGCTCTGAAACTAGTGCAAGGGTCTACAAAATCCTGATTGGGAAGGAGGATTCCTCCGAAGAATTTCCAGACTAATGGGTCCGTCTACGTCGTAACGTGAACGGAACTCCTATCACAGTTGGGGGACGAGCCATTCGCAAAACTAGTTCCTTGCTATTGGCAAGCCCGGTGTAGAGTCAAGAAAGTTTTAGTCGAGTGGACCTTTGATAACAATCTCATTGTGAACGTCACATTGAAGGGCGAACTACTCTCTACCCGTGTGCCGGTGTCGCTTCCTCTGGCCTTGACTTTGAACTACTTCCCACTATATCGGAGGGCCGCTAAAATTTACCAGCTAGGAGGAAGCAATCGTGAATGAAAAGAGGTGCTGGTCTTAATACCAAATTTCGCTGGGCTAAAACCTGCTATGAGCCTGGATCTCGGCATACGCATAACGATAGACCTTCTCGAACAGGTCATCAAAAAGATCCTCCAAGAAAACCGTCATACTCATCATCTTCAGAATCCGACAGCGCTTCCATCTCTTTCTTGTGGGTATCTAGTTTAAAAGTTGTTCGATCCGATCGTTCCCCTCCCATGAAAGCATCGTAATTATCATCGTCATAACCCGAAGCTGGCGTTGTAGCATTCAGATCATCGACCTTTAGGAATCCATTCTCGCCAAGCTCGCTTTCCTCTCCCAATTTCTGAGACGGAGAGCTCTGAAATGCCTGTTTTGAAATTTCGTCGTATATGATACACTTCCAGTGTATCGCAGACCCGTCCGGCTTCTCCTGAGAGATCTTCCAGGTTTCAAAATGAGCAAGAATTGAGTCTAGCGATGCTGGATCAAACTCTGCTGGATCGACAACGATAACTCGACTGTTTTCGGGCCAGATCCCGAGATGCAGAATGTATTCTGCAATTTCTTGTTTATCTTTTGTTGAGGGGCTGTAGTCGGAAAATAATCGCTCTTTGACCTGAGAAATGAGGCCGTCGATGAACCCGGAGAATGCACTTCTCTGATGACAGAAATTTGAAGTGCGATAAACGACATAGCCCGATGTTTCTTCGGTTCCCAAGGTATTGTAAGGGCCCTGGGTAGGCCATGGTGACAAATCCAACCCCATTCTGACGGACCTCGCAGCGGACAGGGGGGAAGTGGCTCAGGTTGCGAGCAACATTGAACAGGGGAGATATGCGAGCAGTCCGATAGGAATAGGAATTTTAGCTGAGACTGCCTGCGTACTTTCACGCTCCAAAATGTCTCGGATACCAAGAGTATCCTATACGAAGACAGGTGATGGGGTGCTGCGAAATCTCTAATGCGATGTTCCCTCCGGCCCCCCGTGGGGCCGGCCCCCAACCGCCACAAACAAGCCCTTCGGGGTCCAGAGAGCCCTTATCCAACGGATCATCAGATACCACCTGCGGATTAAATTATTGGCTCTTTGGGGCGTTAAGAAGTTGATGCGCTCGAGATAGCGCGAGGCTAACAGCATGGCCCGAGATGGGCTAGCTAACTAGTAGCTAGCAGGATTAACTAGTTAGTGGCAGGGGTAGAACGAAGCCTGATGGGCCCCAACACCGATACCCACGCAATTTAGAAGCAGAAATACAAGTCTCTTTGAATTATAAGCATCTGTGTTTAAATCAGGTCATTCAGATCTTCCTTGGTATAGACTTTTAGGCTGAAGAGGCGGCTCATCAAATGGATTCATCCGATATTTATAAATGAGATGGATAAGATCGTATATAATGACTCTCACAGCTCATGATTTCTTAACCAGTCAGACTGATCCCAGTTTAAATCAAATGTAAAACTACACTAGTTTATTGTTACTCGTCGGCTACATAGTCTTCGTGTAGTTTGCATTCGGAATCAAATCCTCCAAGGCATTATCTCCTGAGCAGGTTTCACATCTTGTGAGGATATTGCCAAGAATGTATTCCCTTTACAACTGATACAGCCCCTCTTTTGCTAACGGCCCCTCCACTTTCCCCTACACTACACTTGTCTTTCCAAACTTGGAACCGCCGAGCCGGATTCCTGCCCTGGCTTTACCTCCGGGGCCTTTGCCATCTTCCTTTTCCGTCTTCCAACTTTTCCAAGACATAATTCACCACCGTCTGAAGCTCGGTACCACAGTTCCTGAGCTTATATTCCCACTATCAGTCTCGAATTTCGATAGTGGTTGCCATAACCGCACAAATATGACACTCCCAGAACCACCTCTATGGTGTCGAATGTATGTGTACCCGCTTCAACACGGGGAAGAAGGATGTGAAAAGCTAATTCGAGCAGTATACTACTGATAATCGCAATCAGCTCATTCGCACCACAAATATGGCGCATTCAAAAGAGGCAGAGCATAGAGGGTATCTCTCTATCATACGTTTTGTGGAATCTCATCAGCTCAACAGAGAATGTCACGATCTACATCTTCACACTTGTCAATCAATATGACCCCTCAGATAAAACCATTTTCTTGCACTTTCCCTACTCTGCAGGCGACTGGTTTAGTCTGGCTCACTGTGCCGTGGTCACGCTCCTTTTCCTAGCATTGTGAGTTGACACCATTTTTTCTCGAGGAAAGAGCTGTATAAATTTCTAATTCCTCGCCTTAGATTCGTTCAAGTCTTGCGCTACAGCGACCGCCGCACCTCACTTTGCATCCAATATACCGCTTTCCTCCTCATTTCACTCATCCCTCTTCTCATCGACGGCATCGTTCCAATGCGCCCCTGGTCACGGAGGTTCTGGTTGGTGGGATACTGGGCTCTACACTCGTTCTTCATTTGGCCGATCATTACATTCCTAGGCTTCTTCAGCATTTATCGTCAAGCCCAAACGATCCGTGCAGTCCCATTTCCGAATTCCCTCAGTCTGCACGGACTTGCTGTGCAAGCATTTGTGTTCATGCTTCTCTCGGTGACATGGATATTCGCTCTTCCGTTTCCTTATGAGAAACTGGAGGGCCAGGTAAATATGAATGTCCTCATCATCTGGTATGCGAGTATCGGTTGGGTTATTGTTGATAGCTTTGTTTTTGCCATCGGTCAGACAATCCTTCTCGCACTAGCTTTGCGTCGGCGGTCTTCAGATGATATCCCACGAGAAGGCGAGACGGAACCACTACTGGGAGATGCGAGCAGCAGAGATTATTCTGGTGGCTAATTGCCTCAATAGACGTACTGGATGCAAGCAGGGGTTTGATTCTGAATATTTTGCAGTGATACATGTCTTCATTCAACCAATGTAAACTCAACCCAGTTACTAGCCGGCACCACAAGCTCAGGCCTACCATCATTGTCTATCGGGCGAGCAACATTTATCTCTCCAGCCGCAACGAGAGTATCGTTGTGATCGTGAAAATTGCCCCAATCCCACCAGCTAAGAGGAGCTCCATTGAACCCGTACCGAAACCGATCCCCGGGCGCAAAGTTCTTCGGGAAATCGCTCACAGTCCGTGTAAACGACCAAGACTCACCAGGCATCAAGGTCTGAAATTCATTCCGTTTATTCTGACCAACACATACCAGCTCAGGTGGAGAGCTGTAGACGTGGTGTAGGAGCTCTCCATTCACATTGTGGCCCCTCCACTCATCATTGTCTTTAACATAGAGCCGGAACCCATGATAGTGACTGTCCATAATATTGAAGATGGACGCGTGGAATACGATCGGCTTCTTGTCATTATCTGGGCCTGGCGCTGCGTCATATGAGATCATAACGGTAACAGGATAGTGAAGTCTCCCTTGGAGCGATCGATCTTTCACGGATAGCGTTTCAGGTCCAGCAATTTGCATACTCAGTACCGGAGAGTCCGGTACCCGAGCAGACGGGGACATCGGTCGCGGCGATGAACCCCATTCTCCCACGTCATCTTCAAGATCGCTTTCATCGTCGATAACCGTGAATGACTGGAATGCTCCATTGGGAAGTACTATCGCAGGTGACTTTGGAGCGAGCCGGCGACGTGATTCGCTATATTCCGCTAGCGTCCCCCAATCCCACAAGGGAATCTGTCCGCCTACCCAGATGAGGTGGTAGCCATTCATTGAGCGTCGGGCGTCGAAATAGACAGATGGCAAATCCACGGACCAGGAGGCGCTGGTGCCGGGTTCAAACTGCTTGAAGAAAGGGTCTTTGGTGGACACTTCCCTAGGATGAAGGGATTTAGTGGGCAGTTCGGACGTGTCAATATCGAGAACCTCAAAGCCTTTTTCTGGCTGGAAAGCTGAACGGCAACGAAGTATCAGGGCAGACTGGCTGAATCCGTCTTCGATGGGATCCCAGTGGATGATAAATGGTCGTCTCTCTGGGTCATCTTTAGCGCGGTTGATTGTAAACTCAACGCGATAGTAGGTGTCGTGGGCGTGCGATGTGGTTTCTGAGTTGATAAAAAGATTGAGGCGAGGTGTTCCTGGTCTGGTGAGGTCAGCGTTCGTGTTATTTTTCTTCTTGTCGGATTGACGTACGGTCTGTCTGCATCGGAGTATCTCTTGAAAGATGCGATCTCCGTCAACAAGTCTCCGGGAGACATTGTGTAGATCGTCCTATGTGGGGGAGGATCAAATATTTGCGTCGGGGTTTGAAAGTGAGACCATTTGACGACATACGTGTTAGCTTAGTTAGTAGATGGCCCCCATAGTCAGGTGCGGTCATGTGATAGCAGCGGCCTGCGGGTGTTGGTGACTTAGAGAGCAATTTCCACAAGCTTCTGATACGGCTGGGGTAAAGAGCCATTTATCAAAAAGTATTCGGGTATTTACAATGGGTGTGCACAAATGGTCCACATTCGTGATGGATGGTCCGATCATCTCCACATTTGTTAACGCGGGGCAAGGGCGAGGTATGTCTGCGATCCAGGTAGAACCCAGAATTTCAGTCTATTTATTTACAGGATCTTCGTGTATGCCCTATTTTTCCACATGTAGTGCACTTTGACGGTGCCTTCTTTCGCTTTTGCATAGCCTCACCCTCGTTGGCCCCTTTATCTTGCTCTATTTGATCTAACTTCCGTTTCTTAGGCCTCGGAAGGGGAACTACAGGCTCTAAGAGTGGGAGATATTCTAATTGAGTATCACAAAGGCCAGTCTTCCAGAACGGGTGGATATCAGTCAGTGGAATAGCTTTATTACTCTCCAGTAGACTAGAAAACCTGTGCACACAAGGAAGGCCCAATGTCCTGGTGAATGTATTCGTACATGGAGGTAAAGGGCAAGATCCGTAGCACTTTTAGCCTTCAAAACTTGCTCACTAATTCGTCGAATCGAATACCGAGAAGTTCTAGTCATAATATTAGTATAAAGTCCCTGTGATGGCACTACTAGCCTTTCAATTTGGTCTTTTGTAAGGTCATATTCAAGCGTCGTATGTTGGGCTTGTAAAGCCTGTGAAATCCTTTCAAATACAAGTAATATATCTCCAGTTGAAGCTGCTATATGCTTTTTTAAGAAGGCATGTGAGTTTTCAACTCGGGATGTAGACGAGTTACCTAGATGAAGGCACTGCCGGGTCCATGCAACTATGAACTTCTCCTCATAAATTAGCCATGTTTCTTTAATATATCGAATAGGGGGTAGGGGATATCGCTTTTCGAAGGCTTGTAGCCTTATATTATACTCCTCTTTAGTAGTTGAATATGTGACGGGCCAGAGCCCGGTGGTAAACCATGTGCATGGCCTTTCGGACACCGTCTTGGCAGGAGGATTCCAAGCGATTCCATCACGAGGTTCTTGAGGATTCTATCCGAAACGGGACCAGCACTCTTAAGGACCGCGACCGACTCTTGTCTCTTCTTCTTTCTTTCCTCAAGATTGTTGTAGACTGCATGTTGGCCTAGTACAATTAAATCAATTCTGCTACAGCTCTTCACAGAATAGACTAGCTGATTCCACGACTTTAGAAATTCTTGATACTCATCGTTTGTGGTAAAGTGCTGCTTCGTATTTTGTGTCACATTCTTATTAATATTCCATATACAAAGTAAATGCGAATATTGACAGCAGACGACGACTTTAATTGCACCTAGTAAGGCAAGATCTCTACCAGTACAAAGAACCGGATTAAAGGGTAAAGGGTTAATAAATGTGAAAAAGGTCTTTAATGCCCAGATATAGCTTTCTTCCTGTTCATTCTGCATAAATATAAAGCAGTACTAAACGTCGAGTTTGATGGCGATATACCAATAATATGTAATAGAGGCATCTTATATCGGTTTGTCTTATAAGTGCAATCTAGCACGAAAATTCTATTATATTGGGTAACATATTTAATTGACTCTGGGTGTGCAAACATAAAGAAAACGATATGGCCTTCACTATCTTGCTTAGCGTATTTCCAAGAGCTTTCCTGTAGATACTTTAGTAGATATTCAAGAGGAGTGTTATCACCTAGCTTCTGTCTTCGCAAGGCACTTCGTGCATTATAGATATCCCTAGGGGTAATTAGGGTATTTGGATGCTCTCTCATAATTAAAGCAAGGATATCACGAGGCTTTGATCCCACCTCAGACATATTGTTGGTATCACCAGCTAGGTACTGTGTACACAGTTAAGTGGACAGTTTATATGCTCCAAAGCAAATAGTCAATTGATTCTGTCGATAGATGTTCATGCTCAGTCTAGTTGGAAAACATTCCTAGATCCCACACGCCGGCCTTCGGCGGTCACAACACCGGGGCCACAGTCCAGCGCAAGAATGCGTACACCAAGCAAGGGATGTTATCCATCGGTCACTAGCAGTGGGTCACCGCTAGTTTGTTCTGACAGGAGAATATATCCCGACACATATAAAGGATATTTTGAAGCTGCTCCTCTGTAAATTTGCGAGCAGATGGATGGGCTATCATACTATTATCAGCTTGATGATTGTGACTTGGGTTTCGTACCTTTAATTTCCACTTCTCGCTATTAGGAATCCTCTTTCCATATAGCTTGAATGGACAACCAATCCGTCGTGTAGTTGTCAACCGTCGATTTGCCCCTTCTGCCACATTCACCCGATCATAGTATTTGCCACCACGATCACAACCTAGAGAGACATTTCGATTTGCATTTGCTCCTGTAGTGACGATAGCGTAGCCTTGGGAGAGAGCATGCTGATGCACAGAGGCTATTAGTAGCTCTCTACTATCAAAGATCTGCTCAGTTGGAGGCTCCATACTTGAAAATCCAAGAGGTAGAGGATTGAAGATAATAGAGGAACGGGAAGAACTAGTGATTTGTACTGTACTATGGTATAGGCATTTAGAATGATGTTGCTATGTTAATTCAGATACAATGACATGACGGGAATTGCTAGGGACACAACAGCTTTTACTAACTACAGACAGGGAATTGTTACGGACACTACAGGATTTAACGTAATCCACGGCCGACCTGTCCACACGGCCGACCTGTCCACACGGCCGACCTGTCCACACGGCCGACCTGTCCACTTTCACCGCACCCTCAATAAAATTGCGGCATTTCACCCACGAGACAAAATTATATTAGTCTATCTAATCGCTGAATATATAGCTATTTACTAGGACAACTTCTTACAGTATGTCCAATAGTCCCACACCCACTGCAGCGCCGTGGAGCTCGCTGGCATGGCCTAGCAGAAGGCTCACTATGTTGCTCGTTCGGCTGCGTATCAAGCTGCTGAACGCGATTTTGACCATCATCTCTAGATAAAAAGAGATCGTCGCCTATCTTACCACGCCTTCTTGCCTTCTTTTTCAGTTTCCGCTCATTCTCAGCACGTAGAACCTTGATTTCTTGTTGGAGGAGAACGTTCATATTCATTGCCATCTGCGCAGCCTTTTCAAGATGTTGAATATGAGAAATTGGGCTACTAGAGAGCATTCTTTTTCGAAGGCTTTTCTGTAGACTGCGGACCTCATGATATAGCTGGCGAGGATTCTCAGGTGTTTGAAAAGTAGAGGATATTGATCCTTCGACAAGAGGTGGTGTTGGCGTCCGAAGTTGAAATGTAATCTTTTCGAGGACCCGGTCTTCGTTAAGTGGCTTAAGACCAGCTCCTGCGAAGCCATTCCGTATATTCTCTAGATTAAAAACCATCTCGCGTGCAGGAGGATATAGGTGTAGGAAGTCTTCCTTGTCGATATGATTGTTGCCGGCAGTCATCATTCCTTCAACCAATTTCCCATAAGAGCGTTTTAACGGGCCGAAAACACCAACGTCGAGTGGTTGTAGTAGATGAGAGGTATGAGGAGGCATACAGAGACAGATAATTGCATTCTCTTTGCAAAAAGCATCAAACTCTGCAGTTTGGTGGCTAGAATGGCCGTCGAGAATAAGTAATCGTTTCGCACCGGTTGAAAGGCGTTTAGAATATGGCTCAAATGTCTCTTTTAGCCAAGCAAGGCCTATTTCATCTGTTGTCCAGCCATTTTGGCTTCTTGCAAGAACCCAGCCATACTTGATAGCAGGCTCTTGATACCAAGCGGCCTGGTGAGATCCAGCCTTTAAAATGACCCATGGAGGTATAGAAATGCCTTTCGAGCTCACACATTCAATGATTGTAACCCATTCACGATTTCCCTGAATAACTCTCCGAGGTCTTTCACTACGATCTACCGCAGTGATAACCTTAGAGGTTGAACAGAGCCCCATTGCAAAGCCGGTTTCGTCAAAGTTCCAGATATCATCCTCACGGATACCATGTTCTTGAATAGCTTCTCATACGGTCGCAAACCACTGTTTTATAACCTTTGGATCCTCCTGATTTGCTCGCTGGTATGTAATCCTCCGGTTATATCTTGTTTGTATTTCAGGACGGCGTTTCGTAAAGGAGTAGGCCCAGTTAACCCCAAGGGTTGCTGAAGGATCCTGTAGACGCGCTTGGAGTGAATTCTGCGCCATTCCACGTAGAAACTCTGGCCGAATTGAAAATCCTCATTTATCAGCATCTAGTAGCCGTTTAACTAGTGCTTCTTCTTCAGTCGCTGTTAATCTATGGCCGCTAGCGCGTGTTTCCGACCGTGGTTTGATTCCTTTCAGCCGAGACAGTAAGGTGGATTTAGGCACTCCAAATATTGCCGCAAGCCTTGATTTTGATCCAATTTTTTTGTTTTTGTAAGCCGCAATAGCCATTTGCATTCGATTTTCTTGGGAAAGAGGCATTTTGTATGCTGGTGGTGTAAAAACAACGCGTTGAAAGATGTTGCCGGAAGGTTGGACGCGAAAGTGGACAGGTCGGCCGTGTGGACAGGTCGGCCGTGGATTACGTTAATGCTCTGTCTGCATCAATTCCCTGTCTGTAGTAAAAGCTGTTGTGTCCCTAGCAATTCCCTGATCAGGTCAGGTCGGTCAGGGCCGTGCTCAACTCTACTCAGTGAGCAAAAGCGGCGAGGGGGTGAGCACTAGAACGGAAGGAGAGCGCCAAGCCTTGCCAGGCATTATCCGGTATATATGTCAGTACATTCGAATTTTGAGCGCGGATTATTGGGGCCTTCGTATATAATACTCATCTCTACATTGAAATTGATTAAGCACAACGATGAGAACACTTAAATAATTGGACTAAAACGTACACTCGATAGATTATAATCTCGCTTTTTATATATGAGAACGAAAATTTTGTATCGTGACACATCAAGAAATTATCAGTCGCTCAAAGAATGCAAACGTAACATTTAGACTCCAAATTGTCGTCTCAATCCCTCTCAGACTCTCAGTCTCTCAATTCTTCCCAGCCAATATTGAACGTACCCCATGGAAATTTCGCACCAAATCCACATCGTACAGCTGAACAGCCCGAAGATGCAAAACGCAACCACTAGTTAGCATTCGGATCTTCGCGCTCCAAAAACGCCGGATCCATCTCAACCCGCCGCTCAAACTTAGTCCACCAATCGCGAAAACTCTTCAACGGCACAACATCATGGCCCTGTTTCGAAGGATCAGACTCCGCAAAGCTGGCCAGGAAATTGAACGCGCTCCCGATAATCCGCTGCGCCAGCACCTTTGTCGAAATAGGACTTTGATTCAGCTGTGCACCGGATCCAGATTGCCGCACCAGATCCATCGAGCGCGAGGCTGCATTCTGTGAGCGCTCTGCCTCCAGCGCAGAGAGCTGGGGCGCGATGTTCTCTGCCGCCTCGATTGAGATGCCGAGGGTTACGATGCCGTTGGCGGCGCTGGAGACGAGATTACTGGATCCTTCGTCCAGCATCTCGTCTTCTTCCTCAGCCTCTGTTCGGCCGGTGCCATTGCCTTGCGCGGGCGAGCGCACGCTGAAGATGCCCGATGGCTTTTCGTTTGCTAATGCGCCGACGAAGCGGAAGTCAGTCGGATTGCCGTTTTGGTCGGGGAGCTGGGCGTAGATTGCGGCGCCGGTATTTGGGGGGAGGACAGTGCCGGGAAGGAAGAAGACCACGATGTCGGTGAAGGGTGGGCTGTAGGGAATTGTGAAGGCAAATTTGGTTGCTTGGCCATTTGCTTGGCTGTCCACCGGGACAATGTCTGTTAGGCACGGACGGCCCGGGATGACGACCGAGAACATCGTGGTGGGTGGGAGAGTGGGCGAGAGCGATCGCGGGGATGGAAGGAGGGCGAGGGCGTGAGAGAAAAGGATTCGGTGGGGTACAAAAGGCAGGTCGAGTTGCCCGGTTTCTCTTTGACGTCGGTGACAGAACCCGTCTCAAACAGGAAGCCACTGCGGGGAGCTGCCCTTATCGGGCGATAAGGGCTTGGCAGATTAAGCCATTCCGACGACTCCAAATTAAGGTTGTTGTTGTCACCTCTGTCAATTCTGAGCAGCTTTGGTTCGTTCATACCCGGTCGAGCTTCTGGGAAAGCCAATATGGTCAAGTCCAATTTGGATCTGGTGCGCGAATGCGATAAGTACTGCACCCCAGCTTGCACCTACCCCGCTGCATTGTCTGATGCCCGCCAGCTTCCCCTACTACGAGGACAATCGCGCCGCCTATACCGCGAATCTTGCCAATTACCATGCATTCCGTGTATCTGGATACGATGCCACGCTGGGATACATGCTGAATTCGGTTGTCGAGCGATTCCCTTGGCCGCAGGAGTACTGGAAGATTGACTCCGAGGCCAAGACCGTGACTCTCCTTACTCCGGAAAATGCAGACCCCGCGCTCCGCAGTAAGCTGGTTCAAGACAGCATTGCCGAAGCAGTCAAGCAGAATACCTTCGAAGTCCTCAAGGGATGGCGCAATGAAAAATACCCGGTTTTTGCGCCGGGCGGAGAGTACCTGCTTGAAATCGAGCGGAGTGCATCATGCCTCTTCGGCGTGGTGACCTACGGAGCCCATATGACCGGCTACGTAGAGGATGGAGAGGGAGTGAAGCTTTGGGTGCCCCGTCGCGCAAAGACTAAACAGACCTATCCGAGAATGCTGGATAACACCGTGGCCGGCGGGATGTGCACAGGCGAAAAGCCATTCGAGTGCATTGTCCGCGAAGCAATGGAGGAGGCCTCGCTCCCGGAGCCGGTGGTTCGAGCCTCGATCGTTGCGAGAGGATGTGTCACCTACACACATGTGCGTGATGTGCGTGCCGGCGGCGAGACGGGTCTTCTCCAGCCTGAGGTGGAGTATGTTTATGATCTCAAGCTCGACCCATCTGTCACCCCGAAACCAGGAGATAACGAGGTCGAAGAGTTCAAACTGCTCTCTGTCTCCGAGGTGCAAGGGGCGCTGGTTCGGGGGGAGTTCAAGCCGAACTGTGCGATTATCATGATCGATTTCTTTATCCGTCATGGTATTCTCACAGCGGAGAATGAGCCGGATTACTTGGATATTGTGGCGCGTCTGCATCGTCGTTTGGAATACCCGACTGCCTCGCATTGTGGTAAGTAATTATATGCAATCTAGACGTGAATCTGTACAGAATGATATGAAGATCTGTAAGGACGATACCAAGAGTTGATTCATTGTCGTTTGTATATACTTGAGATGAATCAGATGCATTTCGTCGTAAAGTTCATGCTCACGTCCAGATTCGAACTGAGGATCTTGAGTACGAAATATGAGATCAATTGTCTTCTTCGGTGTTTTTATCCCAAAGTGTCATGATATAATTGCTAAGGATAGAATTCTTGAAAATGAGGTTGGAGAAAAGAAAGAAATTCGAATTGCGAAATAAACACAGTACCCTATTCTAATTTCAAATAGACGATGTCCACCACGAATCGTAGCTTGCCACCGTCATGAGAACCCCATCAGAAGTATACGAGATAGAGTGGAAACCGTCAGACTTGCCAAACTCACACTTGACAAGAGGATAGATTGGCAGACAAGTATCCTCGTCCAGGACAATCTCATCGCGCGCCGGTGTACCGTTGGTCACCTTGAAGTCTGTCTCACACTTGATGGGGGTTTTCAAGACCGTCGCACCGGAAGGTGTTTATTCCTGGGGTGAAAACACAGTCGCGGAGTTGCGTGGCGGTGTCATCATCGTCCGGATAGACATATTCGGCTTGGTCGGCGTCCGAGAGGGAGTGCGGGAGGGTAACATCATCGATGCCGTCGTAGTCACCTGCATACTCTCTCGACTGGCCCTGGCTATCATTTCCATCAACACACCAGTCAGGATAGGTGCCGTGCTCAACCATCCATGTGTACCAGTACCAACCCTTCTTTTCCTTCACTGCCGCGATGTAGACATCGCCTGTAGGGGTGGCTTGCATTGCAGCAGCTGTTGATGTGATGGCATCATAAATGCTGAGGAGATCATCAAGATCCGACAATGACTCATCATCAAGGGAGGTGGTTGTGGCTTGGTTTGTAGTGGTGGTGGGCGTATCGGTGGTCATTGCGGCCCCGTCTGTACTTGTAGTCTCATCACCATCGCCGTCATCGGCGGTAGTTGTGGCTTCAGTATTAGTGGCCGTGGTGGTTTGTGTAGGCGTCGAGGTGATGGTAGGACTCGATCCAGGAGTGGCTTCGGTGCTCGTATTGTCATCATCCAAAGAATTCGACGCCGTTTCAATTGCCCCGAGAGTCTCGAATGTCATTGGAGATCGACGTTCGCATGCAGATCCCATTGTAGTGGTCAAAGTCTCGTCCTTCTCGGTCGATGTACATGCGGTGATCACATCAGATGAAGACGAGGTGTTTGTGACAACAGTTTGGACATTCGTGCCACCTGATTCCGTTGTAGTCGTGATGACAATGTCTGTTGTAGTCCAGACGGTGTATGTTGTGCTCGATGTACACGACGAGGATTTGTTGTCATCATCGTCGTCGTCATCGTTATCATCGTCGTTGTCATTATCGTCTCCATTGTCACTGCCACCGCCACCGTCATCATCTCCCCCGTTGTCATCGTCCCCTCCGTTGTCATCGTCCCCTCCGTTGTCATCGTCCCCTCCGTTGTCATCGTCCCCCCCGTTGTCATCGTCCCCCCCCGTTGTCATCGTCCCCCCCCGTTGTCATCGTCCCCCCCGTTGTCATCGTCCCCCCCGTTGTCATCGTCCCCTCCGTTGTCATCGTCTCCCCCGTTGTCATCGTCTCCCCCGTTGTCATCGTCTCCCCCGTTGTCATCGTCCCCTCCGTTATCATCGTCCCCCCCGTTGTCATCATCTCCCCCATTGTCATCACCATCAGGCTCATCTTCAGCATCTTCGACGCTGTTATCAATGCCTTGAAGAATCTCTGTGTCCTCTTCAATCTTGTTCCGATTGTCATCAGACAATTCACCCTCGTCAGGCAAATTGTCCTTCAGATCCTGAATCAACGGCTCGGCACAGCTAAACAAAGCACCAACTTTGCCGCTATCACCATTTTTGACATCTTCTGCAAGACCCGAGAGCGTATCAAGCAAATTGGACGAGCCCGAGCAAGGAGACTTGCTCGAATCGTAGCCGGTTTTGGAAAGGTAATTCTCAATCCAATCTTCGGTCTCGTCAAGGTGTTCCTTGTATTCTTGTCTGGATCTCTCGTCATCGAGGTCATCCTTGTTGTTCCAGAACCAGCCGAGGATCCCAATGAAATTCTTTGCCTCCTCATCCTCTTGTTCGCCCGTCAGAGTTCCAGAAGGAAGAGGAGTCAGACTGGTCCATTCTTCTCCTGTAGGCGTGCCCGTGGGCAGATTGCTCTTGAAGGCAGATTGGCTGGGGGGAGAGAGGTGAGGTCTGAGCCAGATGATATAATGGCTGTTACGCTATGGATGGGGGCAGAAGTCCCACCAGATGGCTTTCCAGTAGTGGAGGACTTCAGCGGAGCGGACGTGGGTTTGTGTGTTTGAGATGGGGAAGAGCTCGGTCGCTGGCTTGAATCGGGCGTAGGGGTATCACTTGGAGTGTCACTTGAAGTCTCGCTCGGTGTTGCATTATTTGAAGGCGAGTCGCTGGTAGCAGAGTTTCCGCTAGACGAAGGCACCAATGGTGTTGGCGTTGGCGGCTTAGATGACCCAGGGCCGGGCGATTGACTGGGATCCGGCGTGGGTGTATTGCTTGGGGTGTCGCTGGGTGTCTCACTGCTGGAGTGGCCTGCCTCGCTAGAAGTATGATCCTGGCTCGAGGGCGACTGCAGCGGATTAGAGGCAGGAGGCTGAGATGGAACAGAGCTGGGAGATTGAGTGGGCACCGAGGTAGATCCTCTCACGGGCGAAGGTCTGGGAGGCTCGGTAGCTGAAGACGAAGACAATGAAGTCGAAGTCGGTGATTGTGACCTCAGTGGACTAGAAAAGGGAGGCTGAATCGGCTCTGGAGTTGGAGTCGAATGTGGTACCTGGGGAGTAGAAGGTTCGGATTCAGGCTCATTCGATGGAACGAAAGGCGTCGTGGTCGAAGGCTCAGACTGAATCACCGGGGTTGCAGTTGAGCTTGCGCCGACAAAACTAATATCCCATACAGGGCTTGAATGATCAGGGACGGTCACGACAGAGGTCAAGGTGCTAACCCATCGCCTCTGTACAGCAGCTGCATTGGCACCTTGAAGCAGAGGGAGCAGCAACAAAATAGCACCTCCAAATGAGCCCATTTTGAGGCGTGTCCGAGGTACCAGGAGAGCAATTGCGCATCAAGTTCGAAAATGGGATATGCGAATCGTTTTTATAGAGCATTGACCCTCGAGGGGCCAACCCAATACCTTGCTGCCATTGGGATATTGCTCCTTGCCCCCAATTTTAACAATCCCCTTGTATCTAGGCTTTCAGGCTGAAGGATCTGGGGGCGACCTTGGCAGGGGATCTTAGTCCTGGGAGCTCTCAGGTGCTGTTGGTTGGGGTCCGAATCGAGGATATTGACTCACGCCGTGCGACATCCTGACCAGTCAGGAGACGCGATGACGAGGGATCTAGCTCATCAAACAGAGGCATATTTGCATCTTGTATTTTATTTATCATCTGGTGCTGGTTTATCTCTCCAAGGTTGAGACAACACTTGCTGCTGGACGTATTAGGGTATTGCCTCTCGTCGCTTTGACCCTGGGTCGCCTGGCCCCGCGGGCGATGGTGAATGGGTGGGAATTCGAGACCCGTCTTTGAGCCAGGTACATGCGTCCATCGACTGCAGCCGGATGCGATGATCGACAGGACATGTTACGTTTCTGAAAAGCGATGGTGGGTCGAATATGGAAGTTTCACCATTCCGCTTGAATCGCCCCCAGGCTGGGCTTGGCATCCCTCGCAGTGTGTACCAATTTAAGAATAGCCAGCCTGGTCGAACTTGTCTATCTCAATCAGTGGACTGCGAAGCTGCCGCAATCATCCGTAGAAATTGTCGAGGGGTGTGCAGCCTTGTGGGAGACATGGATTGACTCGCTAGCACAGCATCAGTGACTACTAGTCCCACATGTATATGGTGTCCATGAAGCAGAAATAGCTCCGATTATCAATCACTCGGGATAAAACATGGCTCACAGGTGTCTATCCTACCTTTCTCTAAAGATTTTGGCCCCTGGCCCCTAACAATTATATTCATCACACCGGATCACCGCCTCTTCAGAGCCACCCCGCGGGACGTTCAATGTCACAATGGGGCCGGGGCGAAGCCTGGGTAGAGTGACGGGGGCCAGGGTCTAGACGTTCGCTGAGGCCTTGGGCTTCCGTATGGATTCTGCCCCAATTGTGCCATCTGGCTTTGCATTGCTGAGAATGGACGGCTCGAGATGCCGCAGCAATGGCCACTTAGTGTGCTTTAGTATCACAAAAAAAGACAGCTTCGTGGTGAAAGGGTGACTTGAGCAATGTCACAATTTTAATAGAGGGTCATCTATTGGTACACCCAAATCGAAATGCAAAGAAAACGCCAACGCTGCATAACCCGACAAAAGAGATATGATAATCCACCCAAATATACCATCCCCTCAAATTCCACCTGATCACGCCAGGATTTCCAAAAAGCCGAGGCCTCCGTACTCATTGAATTTTGTGCAGGAATCAGAGAGCATAGCTCGTCTATTTCTTCAGAAGCAGGTAGACGTGGTCGATCCGCAGCGTAACGAGCTTCTTGTAGGGACCCTCCAGGTAAAGCAGCAAACCACCAAACGAGACAAACACAGCCCTATGGAATCTGTGTCAGCGGAATATTCTCCCAGATAGAATCAGCCTGTAACAAGCATCGGGTAAAACTCACATGGTATCCTTGGTCGCACCCTCCTCGAATCGGTAAACCTTGCCATGGCAGACATAGTCGTACTCGTTGGCGAGAGTCTGGTCGCCATCGGCAACGTTGCGCCAGCTGTTGCGGGCGTCCTCCTTGCCGTCAAGAGAGAGAGTAGAGGCCAGCGCCAGAGAGAGCGTCTCGTTGACGGCGCACGGGTACAGATCGGTGTTAATGTCGAGGGTGAAGCTCATAGTTGCATCGGTAGAGCTGCAGGTAATACGCGAGACACGGTCATATTTCTGCTGGTTGACCGAAGTCACGGTGAAGGTATCTTCAAAGAGCAGAGGGTCCGACATGGTTGCTTTGCGATCGGCGATGTAAAGACGATAGGACGAAAAGTAGCGGAGTAACAATGCGCGACTGGAATGAATCCCCTTCGGAGGGTGCGCAGGGGTGGATTGAAGTCCGGGGGCAACAGGCGGAGGAGTGGTAGGATTTGAAGGTGGAGTTGTTCGGAGTTGGGAGCTTTTCTTTTTTTTTCTGCCGCTTGGCTCCCCGCCGATAACGATTTGCAGTCACTCCCAGCCAAGGGCAACCATCCCCTTCACGTCAGTCACTGCGCTTTCCTTCCTGTTGACACTAGCATAATGTCATTTCGAAAGCGAAATGTCGGCCTGTCTGCAGGCGCTGATCGGTCTGCGGCCAGTGCCGTACAACCAGCCCCGCCTGGAGTAATTCCAGGCATTCGCCCCTCCCCCGACGATGGACGACCAACAACTTCGACAGGTACTCCGTCGCTAGACAATCTTCTTGCGGGCCATGCTGGTCTCCCGATGGGCAAGAGCTTGCTGATTGAGGAGAACGGTACTACGGATTTTGCGGGTGCATTGCTACGATACTACGCGGCGGAAGGTGTGGTTCAAGACCAGAAGGTTCATGTGGTCGCGGTGCCCGAGCAATGGGGTCGTAGTCTACCGGGTCTTATTGGCACTGCAGAGTCTCTGGAGGAGAAGCGATCCGATAAGCGCAAGGACGAGCGAATGAAGATTGCCTGGCGGTATGAACGATTGGGCGAGTTTGGCGCTGGAGTGGCTGGCGCGAGAGGTGGTGAGTATCCCATAGAAACAGCGAGCTTGGAATAGCTTTAGAAGACTGATAATTGCCGTAGCCTCGGCACCAGCAGCTACCGGAGAACAAGATCCGAACGCGAAACAGCCGCCTGCCTTCTGTCACGCTTTCGATCTCACCAAGCGCCTCGCCCACCCCTCCATCACCAATATGACGTTCATCCCCTTCACGCCCACGAAAGACTCGCCCTTCCCCCCGGTTCTGAGCCGACTCCAGACCGCAATTGCTTCGAGTGCGCCAAACACTATCCATCGCATCGTGATACCGTCATTGCTCAACCCGACTTTGTACCCGGCCGAGTCCTGCCACCCCGAATATGTCCTGCAATTCCTCCATTCCCTCAAGGCATTGCTCAGCGCGTATCCTACTCGTGTAACCGCGATGATCACTTTTCCTCTTTGTTTGTTCCCTCGTTCATCCGGTGTGGTTCGTTGGATCGAGTTGCTGAGCGACGGCGTAATCGAACTTTGCCCATTCCCCCATTCCGCGGATGCCCTCACAACATCGGGAGCCGCGACATCACAGGAGGAGTCCCCGCAGGGCATGCTCAAGACCCATCGACTCCCGGTGCTTCATGAACGTGGTGGTGGAAGTGACCAGAATGTGGGACAAGATTGGGCTTTCATTTTGAGTCGGCGGAGGTTCGAGATTAAACCGTTCAGCTTGCCGCCCGCCGAGGGTGATACGGAAGCTCAGGATACCTCGGCACAAGGCGGAATGCCCAAGAAATCGGACCTGGAGTTCTAAGGTATTCGATTGTGGCTTGTAGCGCAGGGTTCAATCCTCTTCCTCAAAATGCCGATGCGTGCCTGGCTCGGCTAGCATGTCATCCATCTCGATCTGCTCGGACAATGCAGGCCCTGAATTGGCCATCGTTCGGAGGTAGCTCTGGCCATATGAGTCCAGACCCGGCCGTACCGAGAATCCACCCACGCGAGTGCGAAAGCGATTCCCTAGACAGGATGAGGCCGCCAGCCAAGCTGTCGGATGTCAGCAACCAAAATATACTGTATACCCTAGGGTAGCTCGAAACTCGACTGCGGAAAAATACATACCAGCAAACAGCAGCAAGGGGGCAAAGAAAACGAGGAACAGCAGCAGCAGGAAATTCATAGCGAGCACATGAAATGAGACACGAATATCGAAGTCGCCAGACTCGCCGTTGCCGCCGCGCGAGCATGCGGAGGACCGCAGACCGCCCGGCCCGATTGGGATAAGCGCAGGAAGCTGACACAATCCACTTATTTCTTCGCTTCGCTTTCTTTTTCCTCTTCCTTTTCTCCCGCACGTCTGGCGTTTTGCTGGTCAAATCCCAGACTCACCACGTTAATGGTAAGCTACTCCCATCTTTTTCATTCCCCCACTCTTTGCATGATTATATATCTACAAAATCTGTCAATCCCCTGAAGCTCGCTTTAATATCTCAAAAAAGAGCACCGGTGACTGAGAAACGTATTTGAAAATGACCTGCCTTGAAATCTTCTTTGTTTCATTCTTGCATCTGTTTATTGCGAGCTCCTGCTAACATCGCATTTGCAATAGATACAGAATCTGAATCGAACTCCTTGCAGAAAGAACAAGAAAAGAAAAGAGGAAAAATGGACAACCCTACCTTGCCTATTCCGATCTCATACATATCTGGTAGATACCTGCTGTTCTCAATTGACGCCGTGACATACCTGCGACGCGAGCACCACATTTGCGGCGTGTTGATCGGGACCCTCTCCCAACTCCCGCAACAGAATGTGTTCCTGGGCCTGCCGTTGGAACTGATGCCCGAGGAGGCCCGGCTGTTGGTGGACAAAGGTGTAGCTTGCATCGTAGACGAAGCCAAGGCACATGGCGGCATGGAATCCCTCGCCGAGGAAGATCGCCGCCAGTATCTGCGCGAACTAGAATCCCAAGGTCTCCACGCCTCACGCCTCCTCTCGGATCGCAGGGACCAGAACCGGGAACAGGTGTTGAAGAAATTAGATGAGAAGAGCCGTGCCAAGGCGTTGAAAGCCAAGGAGAAAAAGGAGGACAAAGATGTCTCGTCGCCGGCGTCTGAGGCCAAGGAAGAGCCACTGGACCTCGTCGCACCGGAGCCAACAACCAGCACACCTGCAAGCAAGAACACTGGTCGTCAACAGGCTATGGGCGTCACCCCTGCAACATCATATCCACCGCTACCTCAGCCAAACTCTTCGCAACACCTGCCGCCGCCCGAAGTGCCTCTCTCATATCCTCTCTTCGCCCATTTGTCCACTCGCGGTTACTTCCTCTCGCCTGGACTACGATTCGGATGCCAATATGTGGCTTACCCGGGAGATCCGCTCCGTTTCCACTCGCATTTCTTGACGGTCTCTTCGGAGTGGGATGAAGGAATTGATTTGATGGGCATTGTGAATGGTGGCAGACTGGGAACTGGTGTTAAAAAGGGGTTCCTCCTGGGTGGTCCTCAAAAGTCTCGCGATGAAGCCGAGTCTGAGGCAGAGCGCGTGGAAAGTGTGCGCACTTTCAGCATCGAGTGGGCAGGGATGTGAGAGACCAGCTCAGTTCTGTTCTTTCTATACCCAAATTCGACACCTTTGCCCATGTTCCAGCCAAGCATTGATCATGGGAAATGGCGACATGCTGGCGCAAAACTTGTTCGCCTTACTACAGTTTTGGCATCATGAGATTCTTTTCCATCACGGATTAAAACACCAGAACAACCACAGTGGTGCTTCATCCATAACAATGCCATGGCTTATGAACGTGCCGTCCCAACTCCATTTCGGAAATATCTTGCTTCAAGTCTGAAGCCGGATTGAGCATGCCAAAGTTATGAGACACAGTCTTCTCTGACTCATTGAATGGTGGCCAGGCCTACTTCTGCTAGGCTGCAGCGACACTCATGATACATGCAGGCTTCCGTGCTTTACAGGCAGCGAAACCCAAAACGGAGGACTGATCAACTTCGTCACCACCCACGATGTATGAGATTTTCACAAGATACCCAATATACAAGCTTCTATCGAACAATGTCTACCCTAGGATACAAAGTAGTTAAACATCCAATTCATTCAGTATGCGACGCTCATGCATTAGTCGTAAACTCCAACAGGTCAACAGAGCCCATTGTAGGTCATTCAGAGGTAGTCAATATTCCTCCACTTGAACTTCTTATTCGCCCGATCAACAGGCCGATTCTCAAATTGGCTTCCATGCAACTCAAACACCAATGGTTTCGGCCCCCCCGATTTGCTTTGGTCTGTTTGTATCTTATCGCCCTCTTTCACAGCAGGTTCTTCACTCGTCGGCAGAGGCAACGTAAATTGGAAAACGGTATGTTCTTTCGGGACAGCTGCAACAAACATTAGCCTCAGGGTCAAAACGCATTGAGCAACGACCGCAAAACTCACTCTTAACCTGATTCTTCTCCGTAACAACCACGAAAGTGAACTTGGTATCGCGTACCACAATCCCTTTAATCCCAACCCGCCCAGAAGACCGACTCCTCACAACCTCAACCTCAGCACCATGATAATCCGCACTGACAAGCTTAGCCCCATGCGACGCCGGCGTCAACACTCCAGTCTTCCCGTCAGGCCTGAGATCCAGAACCTCCTGCATATATTCGATCCACAGCGCGTGCAACCCCTTGAAGATCGCATACTTGCATTCCTCCTTGGGTAGATCGTACAGACCGGAAGCACGCTTCTCGCGCGCAGACAGAGGCCGCGGTCGCTGGTGGCGGTGGAAGTATTCTTGCTTGCGGAGACGGTGAAGACGGCGGCGAGAGCGGTTGTCTGAGGCGGAGGGAGAGGTTGGGCGCAGGAAGAGGGGCTTTTGTTTGATGCGCTCGGTGAATTGTTGCGCGGCGCTGTCGGGGGAGTGGGCGCGTGAGAGGAGGGTGTGCGCAATGTGGGATTTTGGGGCGGGAGAGTCTGTCATTTTCGCGGTTTGAGGCCTTGCAATCTTTCTTCTGCTTGATTGCGGGCTTGGGAAACTTCGAGGTGGTTGGAGGTGAGGACGGAGTCGAGGTTGGAAAAAAACCGCAGCGGATTTGATGTCACCCGCTGATAAGATATGCTTTACACTATTGTTATTATGGAAGCAGCGCAACTTAACATCATCTTCTATTTTCAGCATGGGAAGTCTATAATTTTTTTTTAAACAACTACCAGCTCTACAATCTTGCCAGTGGCCCATCGGAGCGAACAACCCCCAGGCTCGAGGTGCTGATCTCGGAGATCGACTTGCAACCCGCCAGCTGCATGCACCGCTTGAATTCCTGGTATAGTATGTCGAGCATCAACTCAACGCCTTTCTGGCCGTTATACTGATCAGATCGCCGCGATCAGTATTTTGCAATTCTCTCAAGGGGCAGGAATGAACTTACCGCCAGCCCCCAAAGCATCGGACGACCAACCCAACAGCACTCAGCGCCCAACGCCAGAGCCTTGAAAATGTCGCTACCAGTCCGAATCCCACCATCGATATGAATCCGAATGCGACCACGCGCGGCCTTTGCACACGCTGGGAGAACATCGATAGTCGCGGGTGTTTCATCGAGCTGCCGTCCACCGTGGTTGCTAATTATAACGCCATCACACCCATATTCAATAGCAGTTTCAACATCCTCAGGCGTGAGTACTCCCTTAATCCAAATCTCCATATTGGTGATACTCCGCAACCAAGGGATCTCCCGCATCCACGAGTGCGAGTCCGAATTGAACGACGAGAACCCATCATCATGCGACATCATCTGGATCTGCTCGGACGACTTCTCAATCATGGGATTGTCGAGTCCGGCTGGCGGCAGGAATCCATTCCGCCATTCGTTGTATCGCACGCCCAAGACCGGACTGTCCGCTGTTAGGAAAATGGCCTTGCAGCCTGCTGCTTCTGCGCGGTGGACGATCCGCGCTTCCTTTTCACGGTCTGTCATCGAGTATAGCTGCATGACATGATAGATCGGTCCGATCTCTTTACCTGCTGCGGTGATTTGTTCAACGGAATGATTGGCATATGAAGAAATGCCCATATTGATGCCTGCTTTGGCGCAGGCTCTGCTCGTCGCTAATTCTCCGTCTGCGTGGGCCATGCCTTGCAGTCCGACGGGCGAGACGCAGAGTGGGAATGCGAGGTCCCGGTCGAACAAGCTGACCTTAGTGTTGACTTGGGACACATCCTTCAAGACGCGAGGAAGTATTCTGTACTTCTGATAGGCAGAGGAATTTTCATGAACAGTAACCTGGTTAGTCGCGCCAGAGTTGAAGAAATCTAGACATTGTCCCTCTGTGAGTCATTGAACAAAAGCGATGCCCGGGAAGGAGAAGTTACCTCGAGAGGCTGTTGGTAGAATTTTAGAAGCTGTTCTTTCAAGATCCGCAATGGACAGGATTTTTTCTGCCGCCATTTTGATCGGTTGGCTTATTGAGAAGGGATTTCACTGCGCCAGCGTGGTTGAGCATTCAGCGGAGGCTGCGGGGTATGCCATCTCACCGGGGGGGCTGGCTCCACTGTGGTTGCGCCCTATGTGATACGAGGCTATCATGTATTATTGCAACAATCCAGCCAGTTTACTATCCTGGGTTTTACATTAACATTCGATGGTCCTTGGTTTCACATGGGTCGCCTAGCCGCCATCTTGAAATCACATATATATCGTCTCTTGTTCTGGAAACGTCCAGCATGGGCGTCCAAAACAAGTATACCAGTTCAGTATTCGACGAAACCTCAGTGTTACTTCACAACCAACAGGCCTGACACTAATCAAACACTTACCCCGTCAGCTCGGAAGATACTTCAGAGTTTGTGTCCGATCCCAGAACCACAGTTGCGAGTGTCCCTCGGCTCACGAGCCTTCCCCGCATTATGATCAACTGGAAGTATCGCCACATAAACGGCGTCAACGTACTGGATCGAAACAAAAATATCCAATTTTTTACAAGTGTCGGATCTGAGACGTTTAACCTACCGAAACCATGACACAGAAACTCAACACTGAAAACATCGAGGACAACTTCCCCAGCCTGCCTCCCTTCCCGGACAACGTCTCCACAGCACCCCTGCTCCGGCTATCGCTTGGAAAGCTGCTAGCCGGCGAGACAGCAGAGTATGAGCGACTCTTCCAAGCCTCAGTCGACATTGGATTCTTTTACCTGGATCTTCAAGACTCGGAACATGGAAACTCTCTCCTCAGTGATGCAGATGATCTCTTCCAGATTGGGGAGAGGTTATTCGAGCTGCCCCTTGAAGAGAAGATGCGATATGACTTTAGTGCGCAGAACTCATACTTTGGGTATAAAGGCCAGGGAGTTGCGGTTGTTGACAAGAGCGGGAACTTGGATCGAAATGAGTTCTACAACGTGAGTTGCATCTTGAATATACCACGGAGCACCGAGTTCTGAACAAATGGTTAGGTATCCAAAGATGATACCCTGGGAATATCCGACCGGCTCCCAGCCCCAGACGTCTTACACAACAATCGGGAAAAGCTAAGATCGTTTATAAACGGCTCACATGCAATCGTCACCCTCATACTCCAAGTCCTGAACGACAAACTCGCCCTGCCGAAAGATACTCTCACCAACATGCACCGAAGACAAGCGATAAGCGGCGACCAAGTCCGCTTCATAAAAGCACCTCCGCAACCAATAGATGACAGGCGCACCGCGCTGGGCCAACATACTGACTTCGGCAGCGTGACAGTCCTCTTCAATCGACTCGGCGGACTGCAGGTGCTCCCACCTGGCGCCGAGGCGGAATGGGTATATGTGCGGCCATTACCAGGACACGCGATTATTAATCTTGGCGATGCGATGGTCAAGTTCACGAACGGATTATTCCGATCGAATATTCATCGCGTTGCTGCTCCGCCTGGTATCCAGGGTGACTCGACACGGTATAGTCTTGTGTACTTTGCGCGGCCGGAGGATGACGTTATGTTGAGACGACTTGATGGGTCGAATCTTATTCCGCCGATTGAGGATGGTCAGGTTGAGGAGGAGATTAATAGTAAGGATTGGATTATTCGGCGGGCGCTGGGACGACGTGTGGACTTGGTTAAGGATATTGATTATGAGAAGTCGGCTGGGACGGAACAGATGAGTAGGAGGATTAAGGTGTAGCAGCTGTGAGTTGTGTTAATCTGACTTGCAATTTGGAGGATCTAGCATTAACGTATGTAGAATTTGCGTCTTGACACCTGGAAGATCATGTAATTAGTGTGTTCTAGGATAGGCTACATTAGGCTCAATCAATCGTCTGATGTGAGTCGATATATATTGCCAATATAGACCACTGTCATATGAATGTCCCAAACTTCGGCCCAATCCAAATGATGGGTCGAAAGATTAGTCGTCTATTAAATGAGATTATGGTTAACTGACTCAAATACATGATTGTACTGTACACAAATGGCCACTTACGAGAGCAAACGGTCAGAACCACCCGTGGATCACAATGATTCATGAGATTCTCCCAAACTAGACCACTTGACTCAACAATTCCTCAGCAGCTTTTCTTCAACCCCCGAACAAAGCGCAAAGAAAGTTACCCCCACACCTCCCGGATATTTCTCCCGAATCATAATCCAAACACACTTCCCGAATCTCCGCCCGCATCGATCACCACCAAAATAGTAGCAACCGTTAGGATCCACCCGTCAACCCCATCATCCTCTTCACCACCACCTTGGACAGACCTGTCAACACACCTCACAGCATCAGACTCTCTCCAGCCCCTGGAGCGCCAAACCTTAAAATAAATTGAAAATGACCATCCCCTGTGAACTGGCGGTTGAAACTAGGTCAAACTCGACAGCCTCGATAATTTGACCCGACAATCTGGTCGAGACAGGTGCGTGGAGTCCAGCCCCATCCCTCCCCCCTGCCTCCCTGCCTCCGTGAAAACTTTGAAGTTTGCCCAAACAAATACTCCCTCGGAACATACGCAAACAATCCACCAGTACGAACGAGACCAGAACAGACCAGACCACTGATCTTCGTGGCAACGCCCACCTGAGCAGAACGCCCTGGTCTGGCATACGTAGCCGGGCCCTCCCCGGTGGAAACTCTCGGGGAGAAGACGGATGCGCATCCCAGTGGATACCGAGAGACCGGGATTTGATGTGCCAAGTGTTGGAAGTGGTAGGTCGTCGGGCGTCGAAGAACAGGGGTGTCATCTGGTATGTGGCTTGTTTTTGGACTTGGGTGGTTTCGCTGGATCTCCCTAGATATTTGACATTACATACACTGTAACCCTACTGAAGGGTATACCGCGACGGTCTCGATGCGTGTCTGCCTGCTGCGGGTGCAGGCATGTTCCTTCCGTCTTCCATCCCATCTTCTATCCAATTGCTCAGAATACATCTCGGGGCAACGGAGAGAAAGTACGTGCATCAATACCACACTCCAGTACGCTCCGACTATTCCTGCCCAAATAATAAAGCGTGGCGATCTGATCCATCCGTGAATACTGAGGGACATTTTGGTTTCGGCCGGTGGAGTACGCAAGGTCTGCGCGGATGTGGTTAGGGTGACCGTTGGACCCATCATGGATCCCCCTTCATCTTCCACTTCAAGTTCTTCTGCTTCGACTCCATCTGTAAATGTCACTCATTGACATTCCGCACCAACCGGATGTCGATGGGAACCCCAACGGTCCGGACCCGACTCCCCCTTGCTGCGACTTGACGCGGCGCCACCCTTGTTGGTGACCCGAGCCTATTCTACTCTATTCTTCCGCGTATCCATCAAACATACACCCATGTACAAGATGTACAGCAAGGTGGAGGCTGGTAAGAGGAGAAACACTCTGTACAGAGGTTTGTCGGTATGTATGCACAGGTCAAGCACCTCGTACCGACTGCGAGGCAACCCTCGGGTTTGCTGCAGGGACCCTGAAACGCCTTGCGTTCAGGGTTGCCAGTTATTCTAGTTGCAAAGCGGATTCCTTTACACCATAATGAGGCACCGGAGATGCAGAAGTTACATCGTAGACGGAAGGAATGATCTAGCGCATCAATCGGGATCAATGCTAAGTGGTTTATGTATTAGTATGCAAAATACGGTGCGGCCGTGTGTTCGACCAGGCGTGCCAGCACAGCGCCGAGCACGGGCTCAGTTCGAACGAGGGCCTTGCATGCTATCCACGGAAGTAAACTTATCACTCATAATAGGCTATACTGTACCCCCTCTGGATATATTAGATTCAATAATGTTTCGTGTAGCGCCGACCAAATCAACACGGAAACCAAGTCCGTTCTCTCTGCTGCCACATTCGGTGAGGTATCCTCACGTAACAATCCGAAGTAAACTCAGTAATTCGCAGGTTCCCAGCTTTTCTGGACCAGACCCATCTCGCTAACCTCAGAGTGGCTAGATTCGCAGGACTCGGGAATGGCTGAACCCGCTGCCATGGTTGATTCCTCCGAGCCAATGATGTGTCATGTCTATACAACACACAGTACAAACATACAGACACTGACTCGTGCACTGCTGTATTCTGCCAGTGGTTGTCTGTGGCGAGCACACTCCCCACCAACCTCAAATGCCTGGTTTGGGTGACCGCCATCCTGGCTGCGGTTAGAATCTCTGCTAAGTTAACAGAGGTACGATGAGATCAAGGGGCCATGGTCTAATCCCTCCGGCCCGGACCGTGCGCCGGAGTATGATTTCCCGGCCACGTATGGATATCCATACCTTAGTACTAAGTATGGGGACCATGATTCAGCCGTGTTCTCGTGGTATGATCATTCAGGATCGCCAGACACTGGGAATCTCCGCTCCGTATGAACCGTACAACCAAACCCTGAAGAATCAACCGGGATTTTAACCAGTCTCACTGAAGTTGACAGTACGGTACCACAACAGCGCGGGACCCGGTGCAACCCCACAATGACATCGCCGGTGAGAAATTAAATTAACGGCGCGGAGGGCAGGAGTTCGACGCCCGAAGCGGGCACGACGCCGTTGCGGTGGGGGAGGGTGGAACGACAAGCATAGGAGACGGGGTGGACTGCTGTCTCTCCTCAAACACTATTTCGGACTGTGGATGTGACAGACGGGAGAGGATCCATTCTTTAGGTGGTGTCGGGTCTGGACTCTCTAGTTCTGAGCTGGAGTATTGTTTTAGCATGTGGGATTTGTTCCGGCCGAAGAGGTGCTCGTTTTCGTACTCGGCCTTTGTGGACCGAAGCACCCTCTATCTTTCCAAGTGTTGGTATTGGTATACCATTCGCCTTGTTGGGAATATTCACCGGGTATGTACAGGATTTGAGACCGATGAAACCCTCGGAAGCAATGCTGTGGTGCCATCAGATCCGATGTACGCCGGATGTGCGACGACTACTGTACGTTGACTTCAAAAACAGTAACACTGGCGCAGTAAGATTCTGAATATCCACAACCTCGCGGTCCTCGGTCGAGGGGCATCATGACATTGTAAAATGTATCTGTATGTATAGAGGGAGAGTATGAGTATTTGCAAAGAGAGTGGCACATTGTCTGCTATGGTCATGTATGCAACAAAAAATGATCGGGCGAGTCCGAGATCGACTCTAAAGCACGAAACAGAATGTCATGTGGAATTGATATCTTCAACCGGTAGCTCTGCCTGTACAAATGCTCAGGCTCAGTCATTGGTATCTCGCAAAGCCAGAGCCTGTATTTTTGCCTCGACGTTGCGAACGACTTCGGGATCGGGCTCCCGTTTGATTTTCTTGGGCCTGTAAATTACCATTATCAGCAACTGTTCTGAGTAGATCAACTGGGTAGAACATACGGGATTCGTATGGTGGCGGCACATTTCGCCTGTCCGCATTTCGAACACACATTGGCCCCGACATTATACTGGGTCTCACAGACATGGCATATGTAATGCACTCGACGTTGTGGTTTCTTGAACGCCCGCTCCGGCTTGAGTTTCGGCGGCTCGGCATCACCAGGATAGCCGTCCGGATACTTGTCGAGTTTAGGTGGTTCGCGCGGACATTTCTTGCACCGGGTGTGCTTGCACTCGGCACATTCCTTACTACCCTTGACAAAGGTAGTATCGCAAACATGGCAGATACGGCGCACGCGCTGCTTCGCCTCCTTGCGAACCAGATCCTGTCCGCCCGAGCGCGAAGGAATGATGATGGGGGCCGCGGGATTGCCGGTGTACTTGAAGTGCGGCTGAAGAGGCAAGGCGCCGCGCTGACGGGAGCGAATCTCGCCAATCTTGGTCTTGGACAGTTCCTGGTAGCCCTTGTCTTCCTTCTCCTTGGCCTCCGGGAATCGAGGACACTTCTTGCAGCGCGGGTGCTGGCAGTTAACGCAGATCTTCTCAGGACCGAAAGTCGTGTCGCAGCGGTGACAGGTGCGGCGCACGCGCATGCGAATCGGCTTGGTGACGCGGGTCAACTGGACGTCGCCGGCGGGGGCCTTCCACTCGCCGGGGTCGAGGGTCAGGCCGTATTTGGCGAACAGGGCGCGCGCCTTTTCCTGCTGCATGACGCTGTAGTCGGTGAGCATGGAGGGTTGCTCGGGGGCGCCCGTAGACTTGCGGGCGGGCGCAGATGCTGGAGCACTATACAAAATGAAAAAAAAAGTTAGCGATTTGATCTCGGGAAGTATAGCGACTTCGCGACCGGGCGATATTCTGCGCTGACAGGATCGGATCGGTCGCAATTGGAGACAACGTACGCAGACTGGGTGGATGGACCGGCGACATCGGGAAGGGTAGCGAGCGACTGTCGCTTGGAGCCAGAGCGAGGGCGCAAGACGGTTTTCATGCGCTTGATATACTTGGACAACCCCTCGGGCTTGTCCTCGGGGCGACCGGGGTCTTGCGGAGACATGGCGATTGACGTGCGGAACGGAGTGGCACAGGAACGTGAATGTGTCTGGGTAATGGCGATGCTATGCAGATCAAGGTGGGATCACTTCATTCCATTCCTGAATGAGTTCGATATTCAGTGTTCGAGATGGACTGGCAAAAAAGTCGAAGTGGCACTGCGCAGCAGGTTCGGTGAAGAAGAACCAAATTGGCGGGAGCGGTGACTGCAGGAGCCAGCGAGTTGGGAGACCCGGCGCTGAGGGTCTACAGGGAACGCCTGGGGGCGAGTTGTGATGTGTCGAGATGGTCGAAATGAGGGTGAAGAGACAGAGCCGGGGAAGGAGCTAATACTAATAAACGGCGAGCAATACTTGGGTGTATTATTGTACCTCCCATACCTTTTTCCACTTGGTATTTTGGGGAAGTGGAGGCTGGACCCGGGCATATGGAACAGTTTCCAGGAGGGGTATGATACAATACCCTCACGTACAGGAGTGCAGAATCCCGACAGAGAGTGAAAGTTACGAGTTCCGCGGGCTATACGGTATGGTACTGTGGTACACTGTGGGTATGAGTGTATTGGCAGATGGGGCCCCTCTGGAACCATGACTGTATCCGTGCGTGCATTACTCGCCCGGCCGAGACGCCCTTGCCAACTCAGAGACTTTGCACGGTGGATTGCATCTTCTACCGAGAGGGAAGTGAGTAAACATAGCAGTACTTTTCCTACAAGTACAGTGTACAAGTACGGTGTACGTAGCCATCATGATCATTGGAGTACATGAATCATGAACAATGCAGTGGGAACGGCTCTACCCGCCCAGCTCGGCTGCGTTGCCAGAACCAGTTAACCTTGGAACGGACAATAGGAGGTCATGGACCCGCTGGACTTGGGTGATCAAGGTGGACATGGATGGTGGATGGCATCTCGATTTCCCGAGGATCCATTGTCGACGATCGCTGACAAGTGCCATTGTTAGGGGGGTTAATGGTTTTTGTTTCTTTGAAGGATCAGGTCTGCAGAGAACATTGCCCTGGGTTTCCATTGTCTTTCCTGTTTGCGCCGTGGCTTGCAAATGATCTCATACTACGACGGCAAGAGGCGCACCACCACCCAAAGGCAGCATGAAGCCCCGAGGGGCATTTAACTTTGAGCTCTGCTTCACGAGGCGCTGCATCTGCGTACTATCCGATGTTGATGTATGTACTGGTACCAATCCACGGTGTCGGGTGAGTGCTCAGGCAACACCTGCATTACTACACTGTATACACGCCCATGTGAATATTCATTATTTACCATGCCTGGAGACAGTAATCGTTGACATTCGGGGCTTGTGCCGACTCGTACTCGCGAGCTGCACAAACCTGTAATGTCGAACCTACTGACAGGGACAGTGCACCCTACAGAGGGAGAACCAGTCTGTCGGGTGCATACCGCGCCACACAGACTGAAAAAGTCCCCTGAGTGCTCCAGAGGAAAAACAGAAGCAATTCGAAAATGAAATGGACTCGAATAATGCAAATCGCCAACACTTATGTAGACACAAGCGAAACCATGCAGATGCACACTAGACGAGTTCGCGTGAAGCCCAGCCGGGGCGATGATGGGGGGGGGGGGGGTACGGGCACGACTTGGGTCATGAGGAAACGATGGGACGGGATCGATCGTGACTTTGGCGCTACCCATGACGGACGGTCGTACCACAGCAGCACTACTGCACACTAAGGACGCCCACCAGCCGATGATCATTCCATCGGCCACCCATCCCTCGTTGCCCAATAGTTCCACCGAGCTGCCTCAATTGCTGGACACTGCCAGTGGACACTGGACAGATGGTCGGGCCTCGCTCTCGCTTCAGAAGAAAAGTGGGCTCGGGGTCTGGCCTGCAGCGTCGTAGTCCTTCCTCTTGGGGTCGACTCCCCCTCAACTGCACATGAGAACATAACGGTCAGTCGCGTGGCGAGTGAATCACATTCACTCCCACAGAGTGAGATTTCATCTCAAATAGCCGTGTCGTTGAAAATTCTCTGTTCGTAGATGGTTACCCAAGGGTAGGAGGTATAGGAGTGAAGTGCGGAAGTCGATAGCTGCACACCGCCAACCGACCCGGCCCCCTGGAAACTTGGTGTATCTGGCTATTTGTAAGTACCAGCAATGAGGCCTGGCAGGAGGGTTCCTCCGGACGGTCGGGTTTCCCCCTTCGCATCTCGGGGTTTCCAGCGACACAGATCGCCGGGTCCCGTGGGTCTCCGTTTGAGATGCGCTCCTGCGCTCCACTGGGCCTCGTGCCGCTTATTTGTGGCGGGTGAAGCAGCCAAGCCAGCCTTTCGCGGTGGAGAACGGAGCCGTTCGGGGGGAGGGGGTCAGTGTATAGCTGTTCATTTAACTGTACAGAAGTGTGTATTGTATTGTACTACTTGCCCTCTGCTAATATAGTCATCTGTAGGGGATGGCACGATCTGACCGTTACGGCTATCCGGCCATTGTTCTATTGTTCTATTCTTCTATTCTTCCATTGTTTATAGTTTATTATTCATAGTCATTCCGCACCTACCCTAGGGAGAGGTACAAGTGTTATAGTAGTACCATACCTGAAAGGAGTAGTGTATCTCGACGAACTCCTCATCGGCCCGATCTCAGGCCTCGCAGATACGAAGATCAATGGCCATGTCTTCGCAATCGCAGTATCAGCAACGAATAATAGGAAATAACCCCGCCAGCGACTCCTAACACAACCTGATCACACCCTCAAATTCCAATGTCTCCGAGAGTCATTACTTCGAAACTGCACCGGTCGACTTCAGCTCGGTCCCAACTTGGGTATTCCGACTGGATGCGAGATGCGTCGTACTCCAGATTGTAATGTGTTCGTGCGTTGAAACTGGCCCCCAACCGATGAATGTCAGTAATAACATGTCCCGAAGATTTCACAGAGAACCGTTTATGTACCACCGTGTACTCCATACTAGGCAACGTCTGACAAGTAGTTGTCTGAATGTGCCTCGTTCAGCCCTCCGTCATGGCTGCTGCGAGCCATCACGCTGGAACATGGCTTCAGCCACCGCGTAGTTGTCTGCCACCTCGCTCCAAACCAGCATTCGTCATGGACTGACAGGGATTCAGAGATAGAGTGCTCACCACGACCAGGATACTGCATCGCTATTGCACCAGATCCGAAACGCGGCCATTCAGCCAGACCCTATCAAGAGAGTAACCGAGCCTCGACCACCAGGTGTACTAGCATTTATTCGACATCGTGCTTAGGGCACCGGATCCCATCTCCGGCCACGTCCAAGTCTTGCTCTACGCACCTACAATGGAGTGGATGACAGCAGCTGAACCGTCGACCAAACAGCAGGGAGAACTAGAGGGATCTGAGTTTGCGAGGATGCGTGCGTGGGAGAATAGCTGGCGATCCCTGCGATCGAGGACCAATTAATGCGGATTGTCGGTCTCGCATGGGGCCATTGAGTCGGGGCTGTTCGATCGACGTGTTCTGAGTAGGTGAGATCCGGGCGCGCTGGAAGCACGGTCGATCAGCCGCTTTCCCTTTCCTCGGCCTGACACGAAGTCGACATGGACACGATACTCGTCGCGATTCGAGGACTGTTTGTGCGACACTGCCTAGCTGGACCATGACATTGGGCTGGCTGAGTCCAGCAAGTTGAACTACGAATGACGGTGCTATACTCGTCCAGTACCAGTACGGGTACGGGTATCTGGACAAGGCTCTTGACATTACGGGCACCCGGATGGCATCCCGTCAAGGCGATCGCCCTGCAGACAGGACTAGTCTGCGTTTGCATGATCCATGGGGCAAGGGCGCGAGGGCTTCAAGCAAATCAATCCCAAAATAGGATTGGCGGGTCGACCCAATGCCAAACGTAGTAGTAAATCTGCGGCGTCGCCTTTGCAAATCATTGTGATAGACCGCACGCCTGACGACGAGGAGCCGATATAATTTGACGGCAGTTCTAAGCGTAAGCTTGACAGCTTATGCTAATCCGGAATGGAATTGTTCTTCTCCGCGTTTCCCCGCGCGATGATTTCAAATATCAAAAGTCTCTTGTTGACATATCATGGTGGACAGACTCAATGCCTGAAAAAAAACAAAAAAAAAAAGGGTACCCTGCAACGCCTGCTCTATATACGACTCCGGTCGACCAGTTTCATAAGACGCTTGGTCAATCTCTCAACAAGGCCGTCACCCAACCCTTACAATAATAGCTTATGCTCACCTGTTTAGTCGGTGCCGCCCAGCTGGGCTTTGATGGAGGTGATATCCTCCTCCTCATGAACCTCAATCACCCGGTTGACCTCCGCGGTATTACGCATCAGCTCCACGGCGCCAGCGTACATCATGCGCTGTGACGGGTTGCAGTTCACAGGGAGATAGTAAAGCATAACGTAAGGGACGGAGAGACGGCCATCTCCCTAAATCAATCATATCACACCATCAGTATCATTGAAGCCAAGTCAATTGCTGCATGGACACAACGTACCAGTGTCAAGGGATGGCTGAGAAGAATGAACCGCGGTGAGGATTCAGGGAGGTCGTCAGCCAGGTCCTCCATCTTGCTGTAGACTTCGCCATCCTGGGCGCGAATCTCCTGGTTCTTAGCGTCGATGATATCTGAACCGATTGTTAGACTGATATTTCATCACATTGACCGGTAAATGGGACAGTATATCATCCAAGAAAACATTGAAGATATGTCTGGGAAGAGCTTGAGGAGATCACGAGGTTCGTACAGATGATAGCTTGCGGGTCCTTGGCTCGCGAGGTAGTGAGACGGAACTTGCGCAGCTGCTCCTTCGTCTCCGGGGAGAAGGAGTATAGTCGAGAGTCGGTCTGAGATTGTCAGCGTCTATCCTTACGGGCATAATAGGCGTGCGAGCAGCTGGCATGTCAAGCTGCCAGGTCCAGCTGCCGTAGATATGCGCGGGGCAGGGGGGACAAGGGTTGGAGCTCACCATGCTGGCAAATATTAACGAGACGAGAAGAGAAGAAGACAAATGAGCCCTGCTCTGGAGAACTCCGCGACTCAGGAACAACAACCTGCAAACCGGCGCAAGTCAAGGTGGATGCACGAGGAATGCGGGAGGTGATGAAAAATGCGGGCGGAGACTCCCCTCCGCTCCCCCCACTTCACGCTTCCGCTTCCCACGCAGTTCTCCAGCTCTCCCCGGTTTGCTCTCCTAAACATCCCTCCTTCATGCTCAGTCGACTCAATCTACTTAAGCGCCACCTTCCTCTGTCGTTTGGCCCCGCCCGTCCAACTACCCCGGCCCTCTCGACTTCGTCCCTGGCTCCGTGCTCGGCTCCGTTCGCGATGACATCAGCATCTGCTGCCGCCAATTTGAACTTCACCAAGCCGATTCACACGGCTGCGTGCCTCATTATTGGAGATGAGGTGCTTGGGGGGAAGGTATATACCAAGAATTCTTTCAAAGGATCGTAGGGATATGCTAACACATTGTCCTTCCAGACCATCGACACCAACTCCCCGTTCCTGGCCAAATTCTGCTTTGACCTCGGCATCCAGTTGAAGAGGGTAGAGGTCATCCCCGACGATGAAGAGGATATCATCGAAGCGGTTCGCCGCATGAGTGCCCGATACGACTTTGTCGTGACCAGTGGAGGCATTGGACCGACGTACGTATTAGTCTGCCATGATAAACCCACAGCATAGAAACAGCTAACACCACCACAGACACGACGACATCACCTACTCCTCCATAGCCAAAGCCTTCGGCCTAAAACTTCAACTCCATCAAGCCGCATTTGAACGCATGAAGCGTCTCTCTCGCCCACATCCCATGCAACCCAACTTCGACTGGGACACCCCCTCCCCCGGCCTAACCGCCAAGCTCCGCATGGTCGAGATGCCCTTCGACGAGAACATCCCAGCCGAGAACCAGGCCCTTTTTGTGGCAGAGGACATGTGGGTGCCCATCTCCGTCGTGAACGGCAACGTCCACATCCTCCCCGGCGTCCCCCGTCTCTTCGAGCGCCTCCTGCAACACCTGAAGCCCTTCATTGTCCACCGTCTCTCCGATCCCGAGGGCAAGGGTACCTTCCGTTTCCTGTTTAGCACGCCCCTACCTGAGAGTGCAGTCGCCCCATTCTTGACTGAGCTTGCGGCTAAGGTCGAGCCGAAAGGGGTTAAGGTTGGTTCTTATCCTCGTTGGGGCAAGAAGCGGAATACCGTTACCTTGGTCGGTGCGGATAAGGCTTATCTTGAATCGTTGGTTGCGGAAGTTGAGGCTGGTGTGCAGGGGAAGTATGTTACCAAGGAGGATGAGATGGATCTGCCGGATGACAAGGAGCATATCTACAGTCAGTAGAGGATTTGTATCATACGATTGGTGAGGCATTTAGCAGATAGAAATGATTCTTTACGAGTTACAACATATTTCTGACTAGAGCAATCTTTCTTTCCCACGAGTGTCTATGTCCTATGGGCCCTTGATGGTATTCTCGGTGAGGACCTTGCGAGCATTGATTGTATCATTGCAGGTTTATAAAGTTGGAGAGTTGAACTGTGAGCAGGTCAACTGTGGTTATATCTACAGTTCCGTGAGTTGCACTGTATAAAATGGGTACTTCATCCTAACAAGTACTAGTAGATCTGCTATAAGGCGGAATGGGCAAAAAGGGAATACTATCAAATCGCTTATACCTAGGGTAAAACAAATGACTAAGAGTAAGTTGTGTTCCACAAGCAGAATACACTTTTCAAAAGACTGTCCTAGCAACGATGGGCATCAGATAAGTTGGAAGAAAGAAGATTCTTCTTTCACCGTTGAACGGAAAGAGGTTATTTCTACTAATACCTCATACTGTTTGATTACATATGAGGATCCAAGGCAGAGAAACATGATACTAATTGTGGGCTCATATATGGAAAGTTGAGCTACATTATGGAAGCGAGTGACAAAGTGTTAAGTCTTGAAATATCAAATTAGGTTGAATTAAAGGCAATAAAGGGTCGTCTAAGATGCAAATTGATGTTTCTTAGTAAGTTTGGTTCAATAGGAGGATTCTTTTCCCACAGCCATTAGTGTTTCGGATGAGGCTTCAATGATCCATGGACGTCGCTTTGATGTAACGATTTTGTCAGTTTAGACAATCTTATCAAACTTTAATCATTTCTCAAGGTTGGTGGAAACTTCAATGAGAACATTATCAGCGGAAGGTGGTGATCGCTGAACAACTCTACATTGTACAATATTGATATCTTCCAACGGAATGCACGAGCACCTTCGCTCACTCTCACATTGAGACCGTGCTATAATACTGAATGAATTGATATGTTCATATGTTCGAACACCCATGGATGGTCTGGACAAATGAATCTTCACACCTAGCCGGATGGCCGGCAAATCCAGATCGTCAATCGATAACCTCGACGAAATCTTCCATGATCATATCATGCGAGGAAACAACATATGCAAGACCAGCTGATCGTTGGGAAAACCCCCAGGAAGATATATTGACAGCCATGTCGTCTCGACCCCGAGACAGACAAGATGATAGACAAATAGATGGTTTGACCAGGAGACAATTCTTTCGCGTAAAACAAGACATGTAAAAATTAAGAAAATCGAACCGCAGACGGAAACAAAATAAACAAAAGGGGAATCAAAATGTTCGTGAGACGAGGTTAGCGTCAAGATGTCGGGCTGTCGTCGCGCAGAAGGCCTGAACGAACTTGGATCTGGCAAACAACAAGTACACCTTTTTTTTTTTTTTTTGAACTCTTTCGTTTTGTGTTGTTGTGTTTCTTCCCTTCCCGCGCCGTAAAAAAATAAAATAAAAAAATCCAGTTTCGTTCCCGCTCCAGCACATAGCAATCCTCGAAACGTGGATGCATTATATCAAGAGCACCCTGTAGGACATCCACATCCCAGTAGAAATCCCACACATTTCCCACAATTCCCTATTACCCATTCATTTGTAACTCGTTCGGATGTAGGTTTCCGCACTGAATGGACTGCCGCATCGTATTTGGAGGAGGTGTTCAGTGGCCCATTATTGGTTGAGGGCGACTTTACATAATAACGCACTTGGAGCAGCAGCCGGCGCCCTCACCGGGCTCACTGACATCCATCTTGCCCTCGGGGGCGCGAGAGCCGAAAGCACCCGAGCCGGAGGGGTAGGAGGCCATATCCTTGTTGTAACGGCGGATTTCGCGGACGAGATCGTAGAAGGCGTTCTCGACGTTGATGCGGGACTTGGCGGAGGTCTCAATGAACTTGCAGCCGAACTGTCGGGCCAGAGCCTCACCCTCTGTTTCGTATTAGTTTCTTTCCTCCAAGTCCGGGGAGAGCAAAGGAGAGAAAAAAAAAAAAAAAAAAAAACGCACCTTGCTCCGAGACGACACGCTCCTTATCGAGATCGCACTTGTTGCCGACAACGATGATGGGGAAGTAGTCCTTATCCTTGACGCGCAGGATCTGCTGTTGGAAGGTCATGATTTCTTCGAATGATTGGCGCGAGGTGATGGAGTAGATGAGCAGGAAACCCTCGCCGGTGCGCATGTACTGTTCTCGCATCGCCGAGTACTCCTCCTGACCGGCCGTATCGAGGACGTCGAGCAGGGCAACCTCATCGTCAACGACACACTGCTTGCGGTAGGAGTCTGTTGAGATTCGAGAGGACGATGTGAGTGATTGGAGCCTCCTCTGCGGCAGGGATGGTGTGGCTCACCTTCAATTGTTGGGTCGTACTCGTCAACAAAGTGGCTCTGGATCAGCTGGATGGTCAAGCATGATTTACCGACACCACCACCACCGACGACGACCAGCTTGTACTCTCGTAGGAACTGTTTTGCGGAGACGCGCGCCAGTTAGCCATTGGCCTCCTCCTTGGGAGTTTCGCATGAGACGGAAGGTTCCGCTGGATCGAACCAGGCAGGATATGAACAGGCAGGGTATGACGATGACAATTTGGGGCAGGACCGAGCAATAGTACGGTGACGGGATTTGCGTTCGCGTTTTGCGTTGAGCATTCGCGCCTGCGCCTGCGCCGGCATAGGCACAAGGACAGAGGCAAAAAGAAGCGACGAGACGGAGACGGCGCAGGGGGTCGAGCTCACCTTGGAGGCCATGATCGAAATGTGAAGCGAACGGCAGGGGTCGCTGGGAGGTAATCAGGGACTCGGGGGAGTCGCAATGGGAAAGGCGGGAGAAGGGAGGAAATCAGGAGGTTGTCGAAGGGAAGCGCTGTTTTGCTGTGAGCTCGGGTTCGGTGGGCCCTCTTCACGCGGGGCTCGGTTGGCCTCCTACCTTCGGGTCGGGCAATGGGGTGGACAGGGCGAAAGAGGGAGAGAGTATTCGAGAAGGACCTGACTTGGACGAACAGAAAGTAAAAAAAAAAAAAAAAAAAAAAAATTCAAGAAGAAAAGACGAAAAGCAGGGGGCCGGGGGCCAGTCACCGTTCAGGAGAACACCGCGAGCAGGGCGACGAGCGTGATTGGGCGACGAAAAGGGGAGGACGAGGACGCAATTCGAGTTCATCTATTTTATCGACTTCGAATTCATCTATTGCGGATTCCCCCAGGCCAGTCCCAGTGCTGGCGAGCCATCCGATTCCGATTCCAGCGGCACCTACCTACGACTACCAACGTCACTACTCCTCCTACACCCCGTTACTTCCACTCCTTGGCTGGACTCTCCTTTTCAGTATCAAGGTTCAACTTTGGTACGCTACTCGGCCTTGCGCCCGGTCTTGATGCCTCGGACCAGCTAGCCTAGCAACAAACAGCAGACGCCGCCACGATGGTCCATCAATCATCCAGAGACAACAACGCGGAAGACAACGATCAGTGCCAACTATCACTGACACCTGCATCCTTCATCCACTCATCCGCAGCTCGAATCCAGTCCCCTCCAGACCCGAGTGGATCGGCTGGTGGGGAGGATGGGTCCTCGCTGTTAGGCGCTTTAGAGTATCCGGGTTAGTTCGTCGCCTAGCGCCGTGATGCTGTGACTGGCGCAAATCGGCCTGTCAATTGATCGAGAAATCTACCTGGCGAGGTGCATCCTAGCTCGATGTACGAACAGGTGTATACCTTAGGATAAGGTGGAGTATTGCCGATGGAAAACAGCGACCTTGGCCTGGTCAATTCTACTGTTCAATCCTACAGCAATGAATGTTCTGCAAGGGCATCGGGCACCAACCGCGACACCGCATCTTCCAGAGGGCGTACCGATCTTGGCTTTCCTTTGCACCTGGATGGCTTGCAGGAGAGGTCCGCCATGCAGCTAGATTGCATCATCCCGTCGCCGTCAATTCATGTATCAACACTGACCCACATACCTCAGTGGCTTTGTTTTCTTTCTTCTCTTCGTCTTTTTGCCTTCGCTCTTTCGGCTACAGAGGACCCCGTCTCCCTCCGAAGCACGGTGATCGCCCATCGCCCATGACGGGTCACGCCGTCGTTGACATATGCAATACCTGCAGCTCGGGCAAATCCACGCCCTCCCCGGCTATTTAAACCCCGTCAAAGTGCGACCGCCCTCTGCGTCCGCGGGATCGAACCCGTCCATGCGGGACCGGGCATCGACATGGGCTCCCCAATGGATCCAGGGTGTCGGGTTCGCTGCGTACAGAGTCACATTGAACGGGCGGATCTGCCATCCTTGGTCCGCAGGAGTAATGATCGTCTGAAACCGGGGCATTTCTTTGCATGTTAGCTGTGAGAGGTATTTGCCATGGGGTCGGCTGATCCCAGGCTGGCTTCTTTGGGTCTTTGGCGGGCGCGATGCCCCTCTCATCCTAGCCTTGTCTGAGAGTTTGTCCATTCGTAAGCCCATTTTCTTGTTTCCAACAATGCTATCATTCTTGGACTTCGACACTTGCATGTAGATTCCGCAATGTCAAGGAGCGATCAAGCTGACGAGAAGCTGACACTATACCCGTAATATATCATTACATAGTGTAGCTCTCGGGTGCTTTAGCCCTACCAACATTAATCCTCCTATTCTCCACAAAACAAAATAGCAACCCGCATATAAATTGACCGAATATGATCAATCGCATACCCGACACACACATCACATCCGCACGGTCGGTGACAGATCAGGCCCTGCAGGTGTCGGAATGCGGCAAGTGGGTGATGCTCGACCCGAGACCCTGTGTTCACAGGCGTTGGAGGCTCGAAAGGGTGAATCATCTGCTAATAGTGTATGTATGTGTATACGATGCGATGAATGAAATGAAAAACGACAACTACAGATATTGGACGCTTCAGACATTCGGGAGTCTGGCAGTCTAAATAACAATCAAGCCCCTATTCCCACAATTCCCCTGCGATCTCTCAACACTACCAGGTACATCGGTACACTTCAGTACCCAGTTGGTAAACGCAAGATCCTCCGATATCTCCGATCTCGCCATGGCTCCACCAGATCTCCAAGTAAATAGTTTATACATCCTCCTCTTTAATCGCAACGACCCACCCCAGCCCAACGACTTCCACTGGGGCCTCTACCTCCACCAGAACCCCGTCAGCGGAGGAACAAAATACCACATCAAGACCGTCGGTCCCGGTTGGATCCCTGACCATGGCACGACGGCCGCCATCATGAAGGAGTTCCTGCTCGTGGGTCTCCTACGTATTGCCGACGTTCCCCGGACCTTCATCCCCATCTCGATCGGATCTTTCGATCGCTCGATGGGGATCTCAATCACTCGGCTCAGACGTGTCGAGTGTGGGTTCTAGATGTTCTCGCGGAGCTCCAACAGCCTTTGGAGGGGGTAACCACCGGGATCCTCGCGTGCAAGGACTTGTCGGCGCTGCAGCAGGAAATTTTCGACTGGGGCAATATGCATGCGATGAGTGCGGCGGCTAATAAACAGCCTCGTCCGATTGGGGACTCGAAGTTGTGCGGGTTGGACTCGTGATTGACCGGAGTGATAAATGAAGATTCCTTTTTTTTTTTTCCTCTTTCTCGCAGTTCTTCCCTTCATCTGATCGTGTAGGATTATACTGAATGTCACACCACATGAAAGAATGTCTGAAAACCTGTAGATGTCGATCATCAATTGATCTGTCACTCTCGGAAAAAGTCCGATTACACTTCGATGTGCTATTATAATCATCTCAGCTGTACGACTTAGCCTCACATGATTCTATGGTTATGCATCCCCGGTGACACAACCACCGATCAACTGCATTCAAGGTGTGCATGTGTAGCTGTGTATCCTGAAGTCATGTTCGACAAAACGCTATCTATTTATCTCTTCCCTAAGTGATATCCGTCCGTGACACCGCAAGCTTATGACTTGCGGTGCATGGTGCCCGCACCGGCCTATATTATCATTAGCTCGGATGAATTCCCGACGCACACGGGTACGAGTCAACAAACCTGGTGGCTGGGGAAGACCAGCGTATCAGCAATGACCACGTTCTCACGTCGGCCAGCGGCAAAGACAACCACCTCCGCAATGTCGTCACCGGTAAGCGGCTCGCAGCCCCTGTGACGCTTCCATCAGCCTTGTTGCGAATAAAGTTGGTCCAATGGAGGTTAGTGAACTCACTTATACACGGCATCGGCCTTGGACTTGTCGCCGTAGAAGCGAACGACAGAGAACTCGGTCTCAACCTGGCCGGGATCGATCTCGATGACACGGATCCGGGTCGCAATCAGTTCCTTCCGCAGTGCCTCGGTGAAGGACTTGACGGCCGCCTTGGTCGCGCAGTAAATACTACCACCGGCGTAGGGCTCGCGGCCGGCAATGCTGCCAATATTAATGATATCACCACGGCCGCCCTCGTCGCGCTTCTTGAAGATCGGCAGAACCGCCTGGGTCATGTTAATCAGACCGGTCACGTTGGTGTCGAACATGACCTTCATATCTTCGGCCGCAATACCGGGAGCCTGGGCAACACCCTTGACCAGACCACTACATAATTCATCAGTTCTCGTTCTGCAACTGAAACGGAGACCATGACTCACGCATTGTTAACCAGAACATCAATCTCCTTGAACTCCGCAGGCAGAGAGGGAACAAAGTTATTGATTTCCTCAGGATTGCTAACATCCAGCTTGACAGGGAGAACCTGCACACCATCACCAACCTCCTCCTTAATCTCCGCAGCAACCTTCTTGAGCGAGTCAATCCGGCGAGCCGTCAAGATAAGCTTCAAGTTCTTTGGCGAGGTGCGCGCAAATTCCTTAGCGGTACTAGCACCGATACCGGACGAGGCGCCGGTAACAAGAATAGTCTTGCCCTCGAGGCGCTTAGCCATTGCTGAGGCCATGGTGCGTCGGACGGATGTAGGTTGGAGGAAAGAAAGCGGGGTCGGGTTTGCGGAGAGGGACGAGACGGGTTGGGGGCTCGTGAGTCGGCGAAGAAGCTGAATTGATCTACCACAGGCTCGCAGATGGATCATGGAGGGATAGGAGTCACGTTTCGGTGCGAATTGCAGAGAATACAAAAGAAGGGCTCCCTCGGCGTGCGGGGATGGCTGGCGTCATATCGGGTTATGTAATCGGCTAATTATTATGGCGTTCGGCTTTCCTCCCGAATTGCACCACTTGACGGTGGAGACCGGACATTTCTATCGCAGATGCGCGGTTGTGTTTGTGAGTGATTGCAATTGCTCGGAGTTGAAAACCCCCGGATCTTTGTTACGGGGTGTCGATCAAAAGCCCATTGAAGTTGAATGATGAAAGACAAGACTGACAAGACAACGACATCAAGCGGCCCAGCAGAATGAAAAATGGCCAACAATGTAATTGTGAAAGAAAGCAGACAATGAGGCCGACAATATTTAAGGCTTGAACACTCCTGTCTACTTCTCATGGAGTAGTAGATATCTCATCGCCGGCATGTCCTTCGAATTGAATATCGACTTTGACCCTGGATGCGAGATACACAATACTTTGAACCTCGGAGACCCTGATAAGGACTTCATCAGGGAATACGATCAGGAGCAGCATCTCCCGGCGGAGCTGTCCTTCGCAAATGACGGACACGGGCGAGACCACGCACAATGCGAACTAAGTGACTCTTCGGGTGAATTCCATTCTGAAAGCGATCGCGAGGAATATTGGGAATATTTAGCCGGACTGAAATTTGACTCCGAATGGGATTCCATCGAGTCCGAATTCCACCGAAGAAGATGCCTGGTAAGAAATGACAATGGTATCCACCATTTCAACTTTTTCGGCATGGGGATCTACACGCACAGCTTAACTCTCCCAGAAGAGTCTCTCGCAATCCTCATGGCTCAGCCCAAAGTCCCCAAGGCCACTTCGAATCTTCGGGTACAGTCCATCATGAACCGTGCCGACCGATACGTTGACCCTGTGATTCTCCACCTTGACGGTCCAAACCGGGATGATCTCATTCGCCTACTTACTTCAGAGGAAGGATCCAGTCTCGAGCAAGCAATGAAAGGCCATGTTTTCAAATATTATACCTCCCATGGAACTTGGTCACTGGAATTTTCGAATAGTCCAGCTGACAGACAGGCTCGTGCTAATCTTGCGAACTGCCTTACCGAAGGGATTCACATTGACGACGGTAGCCTCCATAACTATATTGCTAACCTTGGTATCGGCAACGGATTCTACAGCTCTAGCCATCTCATGTCTTGGAAGCAATGGTTCGCTAACTGCAGAGGACTGACGGCTAAAGGAATCACTAATCAGCGTTCTCGCAAGAAGGTAGACTGGCGACCGAAACGATCTCCACTCAACCAGGTGATGAACATTGCTGCCGAGGGACCCAGCTTTGATGAAGATCGTGTTAATGAAAGACTGGCCCGGATACTGAATAATCTCGAAAACAGACCCGGAAATATGCGTCCAAGCCGACGCAATGCGATTGCTTCCGTTGACTGGCCTCGGGGCACAAAATCGGACTCGTACTACTCCTTTTCACATCGAAGGCCCCCTTCTAATGATAAACAGAGTACTAGTCTGAAGGCAGCTCCTAAGATAGCTTTGAAGTCTCTGCTATGTTGTCTGCGCTGCGGATAGACTCGGTGATCGGCCAAATTGTGGAACCTTGGGCTATGCTTGCTCAGTTTCTGTCCTCGTTTTGTAGGTTTACTCCATCTTCCAGAAACTAAGGAAGATATAGGAAATTGGAGAGAAATCTTAGAAAACCACAAAAACAATTCCTGTTCAACTTGGAGCAAAGGAGCTTAAGCGGCAAAAGATGCTAAATAAAGTACAGGAGATCTCTCAAATAGGACCAGGAATTTCTAGTACTGATTAGCAAGAGCTTGTATGATTAGGAAATCAATGACACAATCACAGCCTCGCTTGCTCCAACTGTCACATCCACCGATTCCTCCAGAACAGCCAATGTAGCGGTCTTGTGAAGATGTGGAACTTCCATTCCAAGTCCATCCGACTCATACGTCCATGTCTACCTGGCACCAATAGAATATATCATTGGCAGATGTGCCTCCCGGGGAGTTCAGTGTCTTAATTCGAACTGACCTGGAACTTTCGGCACATTTATCTTTTTTTGTACCTTGGCAACGCCATCCACGCCAAGGCAACTGCCATCAATGCCACGCGCTTCTCCGTCTCAGCCCGTGAATCCTACTTCCGCTTGTCAACGTACTACCGAAACGCTCCTTTCTTCCTTCACGCGAATTCCAACGATCCGCGTATCAACAAGATCGGAGCCCTCACCGTTATGTATGGACTTTAACAAGGCTGCTGCGTTGCTCCCGCTGCCTGCTGAGAACATCAAGCTGCCAGCTGCAAGCCCCAATGTCCCGGGCGGCAAGTCCTGTATCCGGCAAGATTTTTCAAGGCGCAGTGAGAAAACGCAAAGCTCCCCTCTGTGATTGTTCACACGGGATACACATTTCGAGCAGGACGGAAGTTGTTGATCGCACTGTTTGTCAATCAGGAGGGTGGTTTCGAGTCAGACAGTGGGTCATGGACGTACTATCAGACGTCGCTTTCGGCATAGCGCACAGCCTAGCCCCGGTTTTCCTCTGTACACCATGACTTTTGACAGAATATAGTATCGTAGAGTGTTGTCGACGAGGATAGAAAGTATAAAACTACCTTCAACCGTAGTCGGAAGCAGAATAGGTATAATGTGGACAAACATTCTGGTGGGACTAAGCTTCGCGGGGGCCGAAATGCTGGATGTGGAACGAGCGCCCCTCGGCTTCCATTTGTTAACATCTTCGCCCGTCAGTCCCGGCTGAGTCTCGTTGTTATCCAATAGGTTGCTCTAAGCAGTGGACTCTGTCGACACGGTTTTGAGGGTTGTTTTACTTTTCAGCTCAACAGAGACGTCTCCGCGAAGACGACCCCAGTACCCACTGCATGTCGAAACGGCCCCGGGGCAGTAAACGCCAGTTGCGCATGAGATATAGCGGTCCGCATTTGAAGACGTACGCAAAGACCTCGAAGGTGAATGGGGCTTTGTCGGTACCACGCTAGCAGTTCGTATATGATAGTACTTTTATTTCCGTAAGGCTGCAGATGAGGACTGGGGGATTTCCGATATTGATGGGTGACCAGGGTAGCCGTGTGCGTGATCTTTTCTTCGCTTTCATCCACTGAAAGTTACCGCGTGAATAAGTCAGAACGATGCCAGAAGATACCTATAGATATTCGAGAAATAGTGAAAAGGAAGGAGAATTGGGCGCCGCCATGGCATCGTCGGCCATTTATATATCGGTACCCCCGTGACCAGCGCCAAGACATGCTGTTAGGATCACAGCTGCCCTCGATCTTCGACTACATCACATGCGATCTACCTTACCACATGATCAGCCCAAACACCTCTTGATTTCAGAGACTCACAGCTCGAAATATAATTGCCTTTCCCTGATACGCCTCACGATTGTCGCCCAAATTCTCGATACAACGTCGTCAGCATCCTGAAACCGAAGGTATCATCGAAAAGAAGCACGATGTTGGAGTTTAGGGTATTTTTTTTCGCGGGGGAATTATGCACAGCCTATGAAGCATGGCAAAAGATGCAAGCTCCGCATTCTCACGATCAGACTGCCGAAAGCGAAATCTCCGATTAATTCGGTTTCAGGTGGCAGGCCTGATTATTTGATGGGTAAGCCCTCTAGCCAAGCCACGCCTCCCTATTTTCAATCTACACAGCCCAGCTGATGATGGACAAGGGTTTTCCCACAAGAAGTATTCGTTATGAACGTTCTGATGCGGTCGAGACCGCCGGTACACAACTTGTGCAGAAATCCAGGGCCAATTTCTATCCTCGGTTTAGTGGCTGACGCCGATCGCTCCAGTGGAGAAAGCTGGGGGCTGAAAGTTGCAGCACCAGTCTGGATTTTGGCGAGATCAGAACCCAAGGGGCAATGTCTGATCAGGTTAGTGGAATGCGAGCATGGGATCTGCATGATCGACCCTGAATTATAAAGTCTGCGAGAAATCCCCTGGTCGGGTCAAATAGCCTCAAGTTGCTATCGCGACCATATCCCCCTGATCCCCCGCCACAATGTGCTCGGCACTTCTGCTTACGGCCGTTTCTGTTGTCCTGCTGAATGGAATCTCTGCCGCAGAGTCTACGCGCGCCCTCGACACTGATTTTGCGGACCCGAGTGTTATCCGGACCGACGATGGATACTATGCCTTCGGGACCGCAGGGAACGGAGTGAATGTCCAAGTGGCTACCTCGTCTGATTTCGGATCGTGGGAGCTCCAATCGGGCACCGACGCCATGCCCGGCCCTTTTCCAAGCTGGATTGCTGAAAGCCCTGCTATCTGGGCTCCTGATGTGATTCAGAGAGTAAGCCAAAGGACACTACGCAATATTTGCAGATCTCCCCGCTGATACCGTTCAGGACGATGGAACGTTTGTCATGTACTTTTCTGCTGCTTCGGCCGATGACAATTCCAAGCACTGCATTGGAGCCGCGACCTCCTCCAGCATCACTGGGCCATACACTCCTGGAGACAGTGCCCTAGCCTGTCCTCTCGACCAGGGTGGCGCGATCGATGCCGACGGTTTCAAGGACGGTGACACCTACTACGTCGTCTATAAAATTGATGGCAACAGCCTCAATAACGATGGATCAACCCACCCCACGCCGATCATGCTTCAAGGCCTCAACTCCGATGCTGTCACACCAAATGGCGATCCCATTCAGCTTCTCGATCGCGATGACAACGATGGCCCGCTGATCGAGGCGCCCAGCCTGGTGAACGTGGATGGTACCTACTATCTTTCCTTCTCCTCCAACATGTACGACACCACCAAGTATGATGTGAGCTATGCGACCGCCACGGCCTTGGCTGGACCCTACACTAAGGCCACGGCCCCCAATGCCCCTCTGCTTGTCTCGGGGGATCCGAGCAACGTTGGAAACCTCGCAGGCCCTGGTGGTGCTGATTTCAATGGCGATGGCACTAAGGTTGTTTTCCACGCGTTTGAGAATGGGCAGAATATTGATGATGGCCGTGCGATGTATGTCGCTGACATTAGCTGTGCCAACGGCGTGATCACAGTGCAGTAGAGCTATCTTATTTCGGGTTGATCACTCGGCTTACACATAAGATAACTTTTTCATGTAATCTGGCTGATGGTAACACTGTCGCCTTGGGAATTGATCGGCTCCCGGAGCCCAGTCTGAGTTAGTCCCCCGCGCCGCCCTGAGTTACACCCTGATCAACCCTGATCGACCCTGAGTACTTCCAGAGCACTCTCGGAACAGTCCCGGAGCTGCTCCCTGAGCACCCTGATCGCTCACCCCCGACGCTCCGGCCTCTTAAACTGCACTCTAAGCCATATAACGTAGCTATAGAAATGGCAATAGTCGGCTAAAGCACAATTTAGGTCTAATCGCTGGTTATATGTCTATTTTAAAATTCAGTTCTTAGGAACACTTTCTCTAGGTATTATGTGGCCAGCACGAATAGCCCTTCAATTAGCTACGGTATATCGAGGCTGAGGAGATCTAGGGATTAGTTTGTTTTGTTTCTGATTACATTTGCAGCTAGAACAGAAGCCGATCCTTTGAACACAACTCGTCCTCGGATTTTGAGCCTTCGACAAGCATAAAGACACAAGTACAATCTAAATTATAAATAGCCCCGCTTGTCTCTCATTTATGAGTTTTTAGAACACACCTCTCCTTTAAAAAAAATCCTCTTCCTCCCGATTCCTTCTTCGACAGATCGCTAATAGAAGAACACTAATACTTTGCCACTATAGTAACGCTGAACTATCAAAAATTCTAGTAACCGGTTACAGAAACATCCTAAATATCTTCACACACTAGGCCTAAAAATGACGCCTCTAGGGGACGGAGACAATTCGCGAGCGTCAGGGAAGGATACGAAGTAGACGACTATACCGTAGGAGAACATGATACATAATTAATATCAAAGCCATTAGCCTGATAGAGGACAAGACCTCAGTAATTGTGACAGAATATCTCATCCAAGATCACTAACATAGGTTTAGATCGAACAAAATATCCTTTTCCATTTCCTCCCAGATCTCGGCAAATACGCTAAGAAAATTTGAACAATCCACTATATATCTCAGAGTAATCTGTCGAATACATGAACAAGCCAAGGCGGTGGCAAGGACGCGTTGACTTACAGATCACTCAACTCAAATATATGTGACCGAAAATACATTCAGGTCCATGGATACACAAGGGGCAATGCCTAGAGGCCATTGCATTATGAGATTCGCCTTGGATGCTGCACCGTCAGATGCCATATCACGTGACCTCGATCAGAGAGCGATTGCTTTGCTGCCTCAGGCATATTCACACATCCCACCTTCTAAGCTGCCGCAAAACATCACCTCCCCTACTTCACACTGCACCAGTCGCCTATCATCATCATCGAATAAACAGGCTCGCTCAAAGTTTGAAAGGAAAAGAGAAATTGCAGAATGTCTTTGTCAACACGAGATGCATTGGTATTCCCATGGTCAGATAGGGCTTTCCTTGAGCCTCAGCTCCCGCCTCAGGACGGCTCAGGTCTAGGCCCAGAAATGCCCTTCACGACCCTGACATTTGCAACATCACTCGACTCATCGTTGGCACTTTGTCCGGGTATACGCACTGTACTTTCGGGCCCTCAGTCAAAAGCCATGACTCACTACCTTCGATCTCGGCACGATGGAATTCTCATTGGGGTTGGGACTGCCATTGCAGACGATCCAGGACTCAACTGTCGTATCTCTGGAGTGGGCGGGTATGGGAAAGAGGGAACTGATGGTCAACCCCGACCAATCGTGATTGACCCCAGTGCTCGATGGGATTTCTCCGAGGAAAGCAAGCTGTTCCAGCTTTGCAGGCAAGGTCGTGGTCGAGCGCCTTGGATCATTACTTCGCTCCCCGAGCCTCCCACTGAGAAACGGGCTCTGTTAAGAAAATATGGGGGAAGTTCCTGCAGCTCAAAATGTCGACGCTTGAGAATGGCCAGCATCGGATTGATTGGAGCGACCTTCTCAAGATGCTCCGGGTGAATGGACTACAAAGCGTTATGATTGAAGGCGGGGCCCAAGTCATCAATTCTCTCCTGGAGCCTTCATACATGAACTTGATTGATCGGGTGATTGTGACTATTGCGCCGACTTGGTTGGGACGAGGTGGCGTCGTCGTTTCTCCTGCGAGACGCTTGGACGGGGAAGGAAACGCTATTTCCGCTGCACGCCTCAAGAATGTCAAGTGGTATCCTTTCGGCGAAGATGTTGTTCTTTGCGGGCAAATCAAGGAGTGAGATAGGAAATGCGTGAATATGACACCGTTGATTTGAATGGCTGGCGATCCTCTTGACGGGTGGGCCCGAAGGGCCCGAAAGCATTCACTTCCATGCGGCCCCTTCAGAACGAATACATGTGGGATTAGCGCAGCATTACTGCGAGTCATGTGCAATCCTTCAATTCTATTAAGGGCGCGCTTGAATCGAAGTGGATCTCGCCATCTGGACGGGTAGTCGGCCGCAAGGCTGTCGGCACATAGCCGCACCGCCACATGGCAGTGCAGGCTGCAGTCGGGAACCCCTTTTGGTCGACCCAAACAGCATAACAATCCGAAACCGAGATAAAATCGACTCACTGGGTTCCATATCTTGATATATAACAAAGTCAACCCGATGATTACGAGTGGCATAGATTCTTTATATTCTTCACCCTTCACTATGTCGCTCCTAAGGTTACCCCACGAATTGATTCAGTGTATATGGGACCATGTCACCGAGATACCAGATATGAATGCTTTCTCTCGAACATGCAAATACACCTACAACAACTTCAACCTCCGTCTATATCAACACATTATCCGAACACCGGGTTGCGACGAATTGATCAAAAATGCCTTGGTCTCCGAAGAAAAGATGACTGTGAAAAGGCTGCTTGAAGCAGGGCTCGATCCGAGCAACGAGTATTGCGACGAGACAACTCCATTGATGGCAGCCGCATGGTATGGACGCACGGAGAATGCGCGGATCCTACTCGATGCCGGTGCAGACCTACATGTCGTACGGCCGCACTCGGGAAACTCAGCAATTTCATTGACGGTCGACTTCGGACACGCAGAAACAATGAGTCTTTTGCTTGAAAGAGGCTGCTCCGCTGATTTCCGCTTTCATAACACTCCAGCCCTCACGTACGCTGCTATGTTGGGATTCGGGGATGTTGTCAAGGTTCTCCTGGCGCACAACATTGACGTTGACGAAGTAGACCGCATGACCCCTGGAGCTCCGTCAGTGCTTGGATATGCTATACGAGGCGGACATTATGACATGATGCAGCGACTGATACGGGCTGGAGCGAATATCAACTCGGTGACTCTGAGCGGACAAAATCTCTTGCACTTCGCAGCTGAGGGAGGGAATGTGGAGGCAGTGGCCTATCTACTCGAAAAAGGTCTAGATCCTCATGCCAAAGAAGATTATGGCACCACACCGTTGATTTGCGCCTGTCGCGCCTTCCATTTCCGTCTGAATGTGAACGTGATGAAACTATTTCTAGAACGAAATGTCGATGTGGATGCGAAAGACCGCAATGAGAGAACCGCCCTATCATATGCCGCCGACCGCGGGTTTATAGAGGGTGTGGAAGTGCTTTTACATCATAATGCAGATATCACAACTACGGATGACATGGGGAACACACCCCTCATTCTTGCAGCTCGAAAGGGTTATGCAAGTGTTGTCCTCATCCTGCTGGCTCACGCCAAAGAAAAATTGTCACCCCATGAGTTTAAGCAATATATCGACCAGCCAGACAACCGGGGTCGCACTCCCCTTTTCTCTGCTACCTTGTACGCGGAACAGAAAGTTGTTGAAGTACTCCTGTGTTACGGCAGCATTGCAAAGTCGACTCCAACCTGCGCAGGTCGCACTCCACTGTCGACGTCGACTCTTCAATTGCGAGCAGAAGGAAACGAAAATAATGAGAGCATACTGCAAATTTGGGACTTGCTTCACAATCAGCAGGTCTATGATATGAGTTCTGTTACAGAGATTACAGCCTTAGAAGACATTGACAGCGTGGACTGGGAAAGCTGGGATGCCACTTGTGATAGATGCCAAGTGTCTGTTTCTCCTGCCGACACGCATTTTCATTGCAACGTCTGCAACGAGGATGACTTTGATATCTGTCAGGAATGTGCGGCCCATGGGGAAACCTGCTACAATAGGACTCATGTCTGGGAAAAGATAAGGAAAATGGGGACGAAATGGAGAGTGGTCTCTCGGAATCTTGAGCAGGAGTCGATAGTTGAGGAGTTGGCCAGTATTCGTGTATCATAATGTTCTCTGCACTTGACGTGCAAATAACAATATAATCAGTCTTGTATGACAATCAGCCACAGCTGTATGCCATCGATGAAATCAAAGTTTTCAAGGCATTCGGAAACTCATTCCCCCCTACAGCAGTCACAATGTGATACAATTAACTTGGAATCACCCTGATCGTAGGCCTGGACCATAATCAAGCAACCGAGCAGCCATGAGATGTATAGCAGATGTCGACAATGTGATGAGAAGCACGCGAACACCAAAATTATGAGAGGTTCCTCGAGCTGCCTACAGGGGGTTGTACGTACCCAACAACGATCGCTTTCCATTCAGGGCCGCAAAGGTTCCACAGTGAGAGTCTGTCAGTGTCTATGGTATGACGCGTAGTCATTGTGCCCCTTGTTATACAGTCATACCATGTGTGACGCAAATACCTGTTCCCCGATCACTCAAGATTTAGATCTTGCCACGAGGATGAAACGACAAGTCTCCCATTGGTGTAGATTCTCTTACCTTCGGTATGGCCAGCTGCCCTACGTAGGGTAAAGTCAGGTACATATGTTAGGGAATTATAGCGAGTGCAGGAACAGACTATTGGGTCGGGCCGTGTCGATCAGGTATGCAAAGCTTTGCATGTAATTGCTTAAAAACATGTCCATCACGTTGATCCCGGAAAATCATCGGCCACCCGCATGTATTTCATAATGAAAGTCGAGCCATGGACCGGTTTCTGCACTTTCGATCATAGTAGTGGACCTTCTGAGACGGACGCGCACGCCGGTCATGAATGAGATAGTTTGGCAGGGCTATGCATCCCTAGTTGGCCGGAATCACCTATCGACAGGATCTTCCTCACCACCATATCGATCGACAGATGCACCACCTGAACATACACGCAAGCGCCGGCAAGGGATCGTTAGGCCACGACGAGTCCATTGCGATCGTGGGTTCCTGCAGTGCAGCCATACTGTACATAGAACAGCCCCTGTCGCTTCTTATCGTCGGCTTTTGGCGATAGCCCGGTGCAGCTCCACTCCAACTCCACTGTTTGAGATCATCGACAAAATATTTTGCTTGTTCGCCACTATGGTGTGCCCTTCGCGAGAAATTCCTGCGCAGGGGAAGTCGGTCGTATATATTCCTCTATCCCCATTCCCTCCGCGCTCCGTCGCCACCTTGCGCGTGTCTCCCACCCACGCCGTCACCTTAGGATGCCATCTGGGCACCCGCATTCCGGCATCGCGAGCCCTCCACATACCCCTCCACATGTGCAAACAGACCTGAATCCCAATATGATGGCCGGTGCAAGCCAGCCCGACGTTCCTGGCGACTCGGCCCCGGTCTCAGGACGCTCCTCCTTCTCGAACGGCCGAGGATATTCCACGCCCGCGACCGGCACAGCGACCCCCGACCCTTTACTGGGACACAAGAACCCCTTTGACAAGAACGCGCTGCATAACGTGTCGCACACGATCACCAGTATTAGCCAACACAGGGAAGATGGGCACGAACTTGAAAATCTCGGCAACCGACTGACCAACCGCAAAGCCTCGGTATCCCGAGCCCGGGAGGCCGATGAATCGGCTTCGCCGCCCCGAACGAAGCAGGGCGTGCCGCCGGAGCTGTCGAGCTTCGCGGCCGAGCTAATTTTGATCATGGTGTGTTCGGCAGGGTTAATGCTCTTCTCGTTCCTGTTGGGCGATATGCTTGCCCCGCAGGAGCGGCTCAAAAAGGCTCTCGGAATCACGAACACACAGCTCCCGTGGGTGGTAGGCGCCTTCAATACAGCCAACGGCTTATCAGTCGTTATTTCAGGATCGCTAACAGACCTCGCGCCGCCGAAGAGTCTCATGGTTGGTGCGTTCGCATGGCTTTCAGTCTGGAACATTGTCGGTGCCTTCTCACTACATCCGTCTCGGTACATCCTGTTCTTCGTCGTGCGGGCCATGCAGGGCCTCGCGATCGGCGTCCTCGTTTCAGGCAGTATGAGTATCCTGGGCCGCGTGTACAAACCCGGCATCCGCAAGAACCGCGTCTTCTCAGCCATGGCCGCGACCGCCCCATTCGGTTTCTCGCTTGGTGCCTTGCAAGGAGGCGGTCTTTATCAGCATCTCCCATGGATTTTCGGGACCAACGCCATCATCTGCGCAATCTGCTGTGTTGCCGCATACTTCTCAATCCCGCCACTACGGCCCGAGGCTGATGTCGCGGGTGCTGAAGCACCCTCTCTGCGGCAGTTTGATTATATCGGGGGCGCCTGTGCTGCTGGAGGATGTGTGTGCTTGCTGTTCGGCCTTACACAGGGACCCGTTGCATCTTGGTCACCTTACACCTACGTGCTCATCATTATCGGATTGCTGCTTCTAGGAGGTCTATTCTTCGCTGAGCGAGCTGCGTTCCGCCCACTTATCCCCAACCGTCTCTGGAAAACGCCAGGCTTCACGCCGCTGATGGTCGCATATTTCCTCGGATTCGGCTCGTTCTTCGGAGCCTGGCAGTTCTATGCCATCCAGTTCTGGCTGCGGATTCAACATGCTACGCCCATCGCCGTGGCACTCTATCACATCCCTAATGCACTGGTGGGTGTTCTTGCTACCTGGGTGGTTAGCCGTACCCTCCACATTGTACCGGGTCACTATATCTACGCCTGTTCCATGTTCGCCTTCACCCTCGGACCGGCATTCTTCATTCCTCAAACCGCGACCACAACCTACTGGGCCCTCTCGCTTCCGGGTGTTGCGCTCGTGACGTTTGGACCGGATCTAGCCTTTGCGGCTGCTTCCATCTTCATTACGAGCAATGTCGCGCGTTCGTACCAGGGCAGCGCGGGCAGTCTTCTAGTTACAAACCAGAACCTGTCCTCGGCTATCATGACCAGTGTTGCCGATGCAATTGGCACACGGGTTGATACCGGAGCTGATGGTGAGATTGGATTAGAAGGTTTGCGGGCTATCTGGTGGTTTGCATTGGCAGCTCAGCTGACAGCTGCTTTGGTGGTTGTTATCTGGGTGAGGATTCCCAAGGAAGAAGAAAAGGAGCATGTTACCTAATTTGGCTGTCATATAACGACATAGATGTGCATAGCATAAGCGATAACTTGATTGTTCCTAGCATTGGCATTTGTAGCACCTTTAGGTTTGTAGACACCACCTGTTTCTTGTCAGTCAAATACGTAGAAAGCCCTTAAGTCCACCATTTCGTCATCTCTTGAGGAGTCAAGTTCTCAGGATAGACGAGTAGTGCATAGACGAGTTGCCTAGAATGTGCTTGTCGTGGTGGCCGTCCTTCGGCTTCTGGCTCAGGCAATTGAGAATTTTAGGCCCGCAGCGATTTGTCCAAGACTCCAAGACTCGTAAGTCGTCAAAGATATTCCAACTTTCAGATTGCTGAGTGGAACGGTCGAGCTGTTTCCGTTGCGGGTCCTGAGCCGCAGTGGGAGAATTTAGAGGATCAATAGCTTTGGGCTGCATCGACTTGTTCCGGATCGGCAACTCAAGGCTAGTCGGAACTTGACTGGAGCCGTTCTGAGAATGACACTGATGAGGAGATAGTAGTGTAGAAAGACGGGTGCGATGGAGAAGAGAAGGTCGAGGGGGATAAGGAGAGCGAAGAAGAAGTGTAACCGGAATAAGCTAAGCCCAAAAAGGGCCGGGTCTTCCTAGTACCTGGGTAAGTGATGGATTTGTTCTCACTGGCCTACCAGCCCGCTGGAGCAAATATTACTCACTTTCATACAGTGACGACTTTGGGTCCGCCAGAGGTACCACAAACAGGGCAGTAGCTTTATGAATTCATGATTGCTTAGGCTTAGAGGGGCTCGCTTCTCTTTGAAATATATACCACCAAGCTCGTTGATTGGGGACACTACAGTTTACCACGAATTTAAATTGATCTTGCCACCGCACTCGCTTTTTTCGAATTCGAGTACCTTCGGGTAGTGTGTTGTGGAGTGGTCAAGTGGCTAAACCTGCCACCCTCGTTCAGATAGTTCCCGTCAAGTTGCTTTCTAGAAGGAAATTTCCATATAAAGTGCTCGTTCTAAAGTGCAGCTTCTATCAGTTCCTTGGTAGGGCCCATCTGCAATGTGAACTGCAGGCTTTGTTCTTCAGCAGTATTGCCTAGGTCTATCCTGGGCTCATGTCGATCTGGAGAGCATCGTTCTAACTGGCATTCAGACCATAACCCAACTCTGAAGAACAACCAGAAATCACGATGACTATGGCTTCGAGACTTCCTGAGACAAAACATTCGTGAATTTATCCCTTCTTAATGGGGGTAACATGACGGGCTCAATGGACCCACTGCACGCAGGTGCTTCGCCAAGCGAGTTCCGACTCTACGACTGGGCATTCTACATCTACAATCCCGACAAGAACAGACATGTGTTATGGGATGTTGGACTAGCGGCGGTAGGATCTTCGAAATCGAGCAGAAGATTTATGCTCTGACTGAACACCGCTAGAATAAAAGCGACTATCCACCCTTTGTCCAGAATGTCTTTTGGGATAAGGTGAAAATCACCGCACTGATCGATTCCATCCCCAGCCAAATACTCAGAAGACATGATATACCATCCGAGAAGATAGATTCGGTCTTATTCAGGTACATCTCAAGGTGCCACGCGCATTTCGACCACTGCTACCCCAATGTGACATCTTCCGCCAACGCTATGGGCTATTTCGGGCCCTACACAAAGTGACTATTGTAGCCCAGGACACATAGCGGACCCCACGTCCCAGTGGGACGGACGATTCTTCGACCTATCACGATCGACCGAGCGCTGGGAAAACTACCTGGGCCATTGACCTCTTCCGGCCCCTTTGAGAAAGCCATGGACTTCTTCGGTAACGGTGGTTTTGGATCATTCATGCACCGAGGCATATGTCCAGTAACCTCTGCGCTTGCGCACACCTGGAAAATGGGGCATGGGTGCTTCTAGGCTCCGACTGCTGTCACTCCCGGTATGCGCCCTAAGATAATGAAGATCGGACGATCTCATTCCTGCGTGGGATCTGAAGCGTGCTAACTTTTGAGTTCGATTACGAAGACCTCTTCTTGATGGGACGGGGGACGGTGGATTTTGCCCGATTTACTGTGCCTGGTGTTGGCCAAGGCGGTCTTCAAACGGATCTGCCCGCAGCGAGAGGTACGGAGGCCCGCTTGCGTGCTTTGGGAAGAGATTTTGGGGTCCACGTTGCACTTGCACATGATGTTTCCTGGATAGTCAATAGCACCGATATATCTCTCGCCTATTTGGAAGAGCCTGAGTTCCTGCGAGCTACGAAGGGAGCATGTCCGAGAGACCAATTTTTGTGACAAGGCTGAGAGGTAAGATCATGGGGGAAGAACATGCTACATACCTTGGTGTGCATCAGCTTTTGCATCAGCTTTCAAATCATGGTGGCCAAAAGATGGGTGTCATACTTTGTTTTTTGTGCTAGTTCCACATAGCTCGGATAACTCTTTTGGGGCCACCACCTGGGCAGGGCTCATGCAAATCGGATCTCTTGAGTCCCATGGACCACCCCGAGACCCGATCTAGATCAAGGGCAGCCGTGCACACGATGGTATTCCACATTCCCCATCGTACTTCTGTACTTTGTATAGTTTGATGGCGACCAAATTTGAGATATGCAGCGCGCCATAAGATCCTGGCTTCAACTATGATGCTCGGCTAGACCAAAACGGACAAGCGCGAGGAATAGATGATCAGCTACGGGGTCTAGGCAGGAACATGTCGATCACTGGGCACGCATAAGACTCGGAACGGCGGAGACTCAGCATCAAGGGGCCGAGGTTCACGTTCTGCCCCGTTAACGTTCGGAGAAGGAAGTAGGGATCGCCCCTGGACAGTTCTGCCAGCGAATCCAATGGCCCATGAAAGTTAAGAGAGTTTGATTGATACGCGCGGATGGACAGCCATGGACTTCCACGGTGGAGCCTCGCCATCGCATTATTGAAATGCCAGTGGCGATTGTGTGGGGGTTGTTGACATGGTGGGTTCGACGCGGCTGAATTCGTTCCGGGAGACTGGAAACGCGATTCCTTCTGATGCTTGGCCCTGACCATCGAGATTCATTGATTCATCAAGACAAATACTGCTAGCATGTTAGTACGTAGTCTATGTACTTCACAGAGACGATGGCCTTTTTCCGATGACAAAAAGGCCGGGGAAAAAACGGGGCGATTCAGGGGAAGTCCCGGGCTTCGGCCTAACCGCAACGGGACGAACCTGACCCACGTCCAACTCGCGACATGCTTGGATTTTCACCTGTCGCTATCCAACGTCGAGGATCTTCATGACATTATGCTCGAGCCGAAAGTGCCATACGTTTCATGCACTGATACTGTCCGGAGCATAGGAGTTCATCTTGTCATCTGCGGTCTCAGATTCACATAGATCGTCCGCAATGCCGGTGACGAGTCTCGTTAGCTGCATGACCGAAATTTCGGGAAATCCGGCGCGGTGGAAGCGGAGTTACAGGATTCGACCTGCATAATGCATCGACTGCATGGCTTTGGAGCACCCGCAACCACGCAATGCCCGCCACACATTGATGCAGGACTGGTGCAACTGCAACATCGTATCCGCGCGAGTGGGTCAACAATAGAGAGGCCCGTTCCCAACTAGCAAGTCACGCCCTATGCTCGGCAGAGAATGATATTCGACGACAACACGCGCAGACAGCCGGAGATCTATGGATTGCCCGGCCGCCACACGTCAATCCTGCCTAGATTCGCAGCGCCAAAGGCAAACTGCAAGCTGTGAGCGCCAGGGGTCCACCGTTGGCTGCAAATTGCTGTGGGGAAACTGGCGAGCAACCACGCCACTAGAGCGCTAGAGCTTCTCATGGCGGGCTTCGGTGCAGTCAGATGTTCGCTGCAACGCAGCCGTCTCCATACGGGGCCACATGCTGCTCGTCCCGCTGAGGTCGTACCCGCTCACAAGGCGCCATCAAGCCCTCCCGGGGACCTGGTTTGCCGTTTAAGATCGCTGCCTATTCGTAGACTATTGAGTGCACTATGCAAACTCTCCGGCGATCCTACGGAAGCCAACAAGGTTCTTCGGGGATGATTTGCATGAACACACAGATCGACTCCACTACCCTGAAGCACTCCAGGACGGGGACCGGGGGGCTTCATAAGTGCCACCCCCGCTCGTCGCTGCCCTCTCTAGTCTGTCTTTGATTGCAATCTGGATCAACGGGGCCGGGCATCGACATCACCCCTCCCCATGCTTCTGATTTGATTACGAGGGTTGTTTGGGTGTTCTATTTTGGAATTCCACGGACTCGACCACTCCATCACATTCTTTTACACCCTGCCTTATTCGTTCCTTCATACATCCATCGACATGGATGCCACATTGCACGATCTGCTCCCCCGGGCGAGTGACGATGGCTCTGAGCGCGGTCAGCGAGCGTTGGTGGTAACAGCGGTGTTAACGGGGATTGCTACTTTAATTGTGGGAATGCGCTTATTCGCCCGACTGGGATTGATGAAAATTACCGGCCGGGAAGACTGGAGTGTTCTCATTGCTTTGGTATGCATCGAAACTATCAATCACAGCACCTTAGGCATGATCCTAACTGTCTGGGCTTGACAGGTCTTTTCAATCATATACCTCGCACTCGTTGCTGCGCGTGAGTATTCCTTGCATATGGCCAACCCTGAGCTTTCCTACTTAACACTTCACTAGAATACCACTATAAAATGGGCACCCATTCAAGTCTACTATCCCCGCACATCCTCCAACAACAACTTAAATGCCTCTGGGCTGCCATCCCGATGTACAACGCCAGTCTGGCCTTCACTAAATTCTCCATTCTTTTCCAATACATCCGAATCTTCCCCGCTCGCTCTTTCCGTCTCGCTTGCTACATCGTCATGGGCATTGTCGCGACTTACTCATCCTGGGCCATTGTCAGTGGCTACGTGAACTGTGTACCCGTCGCCAAGTTCTGGAACCATGATCTACCGGGGAACTGCTTGAGCTTTGAGGCGGTTTGGTTCTTCAATGCATCGATGAATATTGCGACGGATGTGACGCTTCTGGTGCTTCCGATGCCGTTCCTTGTGAAGCTTCAATTGCCGCGCATGCAAAAAATTGCCCTTATGGCTGTTTTTGCCATTGGTATTCTGTATGTGTTTCTTTTAGGGATATTCGAAACCCCGCTAACATGCGTATCTAGTGTCGTCATCACAAGTATCCTCCGTCTGTCGAGTCTGCGCACCGTCGCCCAAAGCGCCGACACTTCCTGTATGCCCAACCCACCATCTAGATTCTTATGAACGCCGTCTAACCCTCCCACACAGACAGCAACGTCGACGCCGCCTACTGGACAGCAGCAGAATGCAACGTCGCCATCATCTGCGCCTGCCTCCCTTTCCTCCGTCCCATCATCAGCCGCTGCTTCCCGAAGCTCCTCTCCACGAACAGCTACAACCGCTACACCTCCAACACCCGCACCAACACCCGAAACATCACCGCCGGCCGCTCACAGCGTCAACACACCGAGCTCTTCAGCCAGAATGTAGACAAGGATTTCGATATGTATTCGATTAATGTCAAGCCTGGTAATCACTCGAGTCATAGCTCGCTTGGTGGTATCGAGGTTACCACTGAGATGAGCGTTATGCAGCAGAGCAAGGTTGATGAGACTGTTAGTGAGCGTCGGTTGGTCATGGATCATTCATGACATCTTTACCTTTCCGATTTTCTACTAAAGCCTTTTTGTGGCTTATTTTCGACACTTACGATTGCATTGCGACGGCCTATTGCGTTTTCTTCTTCTTCGAGTATATATTTTGGTCTGGGTTTTGGGTGGTTCGCTCCTATTTCGATCTTTTGAATTACGATACCTTATAATCATGAACAATACATGTGGATATTCTTTTCTTTTCTTTATTTTTTCACGGTGAACTTTTTCAGAAATACACTTAGCAGACGGAATATCATAACCTGTCTTGAAATAGATACATTGATGTGTAAACCATGTTAATTCAACTTTGGCGAAGGAATTGATCAAATTCTCAAATATGCTTCGATAAGTGTTTGGAAATCCTGCTATCATTTGCAACACTAGCATCGTAATACACATAGTGGTACTTTATCACACTGTATGATAATGTACCATAGGGTCGGGCGAACACACTGCCTCACCTCGCAGGTGGTATATAAGTTTACACATGACCATGTTGTAGTTGAAACTTGGTCTTGGAACTTTAGACTAGTGGTGCGGTCAAATGATACAAGCGAAACATAGGAGCTTGAAGACAAGATGGGGATAAATGGTCAAGTCATGATTGGGGCGACTGGTAGAGCGATTACAGCCCGTCTACAGCTTGAAACACAAGATTCGTCAGGAACACATTGCTCGCTAGACTTTTGGGGAAGAGGATAGTAACACAATCGGACCCGATCCCATTAAAAAAAAATCAAGTGGTATCTTGCGCAAATGTCCTTTGCGCCGTGTGTTGGGAAAACCTCCAGCCTGAACCAAATTATTTCTTTCGTTCGTTACATTCGTCACATTTTGGACTTCGTTTCGATAGGGTATTATGGTACGATTACCGACCCATTGCGGCCAGCTCGCGCTCCTTCTGTCTCAAGGCCTCGCGCATCTGTTCTGCCTCCCGCTCGAGTTGGGCACGGCGGTCAGACGAGACTTCTGTGAAGGAGGAAATGCCCGGGAGCGCTTGTTGATGTCCAGCCGAGTGCATCGGGGGCTGCAGTGCCGGCGGCCGGTTCAGCTGTGGCTCCGCGAGCGAGTCATCACGGGTATCGGTGCGGTTGAGGATCGAGGATATTGAGCTGAGGCGACCGGGAGGCGAGGGATTGGCCGAAGACATGATGGGTGGTAGCTGATTTGATTCCATGGTGGTAGTGGGAAGGGCCTCGGCAGCAGTTTCAGCCAAAGTGCGTTTCTTGGGCAGGTTGAGAGAGTTGGGAGACGCGGAGCGTCGTCCGTACGACACTGGGGAGAGTCCCAATCGCTCAGGTTCCATCAGTTTCGGGAGCTGGTGATGCTGGTGATGCTGATGCTGCATGGACGCGGAACTGATGTGGAACCCGGTGAAGTCGACGGGGGGTGGTGCAAACGCCATAGGTTGGGGAACACGGTCCATAGGCTCGCTACTCATGTACCGGTAGTGTTCGTCGTGAGGATGGGCCAGGGCAGCCGGGGAGGCTTCGGGAGAAGCCGATGATCCGTTCGAGGATTGCGTGGCGGCGGTGGGAGACTGATCTCGCAGTGCTGGAACAACCCGTTTCCGACGTTTAATGATAGACTTTTTCATTGTCGTTGGGCGGTAGCAGCCATGCAGCTTGTAATACAATCCTGTCAAAGCTTAGAAAGGCACATGGAGAGAAATCCAAGAGGACTTACCACAGGCATTGCAGATGGGATGACCATGCTCATCTCGGCGCCAGAGGGGCGTTACTGTTGTCCCACAGTTCTGGCAAGCGACCAATGTCGAATTCCCCTCGGTAGGTGGATTTTTCGGCGGAGTCTCTGCCTCTTGAGTCGCAACTACCGGTTCCGCCTCGGGAGCCGCAGCACGACCCCATTGCGACTGTACGGCGGGGCCACCGCGGTGCGAGGATTTGTAAATGCGGTTGTTGTATGCAGGGCATCCATCACATCCTTCGGCACCGCCCGTGCCATTGCAGCTTCCACCACCGGGGCAAGAGCCCTTCGGACCATGACAGCCGCCTTCTGATGCTGAGTTCGGGTCTGCCGGAGGAGCAGGAGTATTTTGTTTATCGGTGTCGGCATTTTGCTGAGCACGATTTCGTTTTGTCGGGCGAGCCACATTGCGGGCTTTGAGATAAAGGCCACAGGCATTGCAAATCATGGCTCCCGTGGGAGATCGACGCCAGAGTGGAGTGTTTTTCGTTCCGCAGTTGCTGTATTCATTGTTAGTATATAGTCTTGGCAATTCTCCAAACCCATTGAGCTGCTGCATAGGGTGGCAGATGTGGACACTTACCTGCAGGAATGACCCAGAAATGTTGTGTCCTTCTGGGATCGCGGAGATGCTTTTGTCGGCGGTTGACTCTCCGCTCGTCCATCGACGGACTGTCCGGATGCTGATGGCGGCCCATTAGGCGGCGGATTCCTTGAATCCTTGAATGTAGGACCATCGCCATAATGCTGAGCCAAGTGTTCGCGACCGGCCTGCGCAGACGAGATCAGCTGCTGAGCAGCATCCAAGTCCTCCGCAGAGGGCTGCCGCATGGGACCACCAGAATTCCCAGGGAAAGAGCGCACCGTTTCCATTTGTGAGATGGACGCCAACATTACCACCTTATTGTTTCGAATGGCCAGGAACTTGTCGGCCGGTTGTTCTGCTCGGGATTCAGGAGGGAGAATGAAAGCGGGATTCAGGACCGAATCGTCGGGAACAAGAAGAGAGGAAAAAGAGTATGCCGGTAAGGACGTGAGGGTTATGTCGCACAGCAGTCTAAAGCAGAATTCCGCAGTATCCAGCACGTCCGTCTGCACGCACAGAGATAACGGACGCCAAAGAAGACCAAAAGTCGGTCAGCGGTCACCGATGCCTGTAGGAAAGCGGTCGATCCGGGCAAAGCGCAGGCTGGCGGATCTGCAGCGTTCAGAGCCGGAGGGTTTGCAAGGTGAAACGAACGCTCAAGGGGGTGCGGCGGAGGGGCAGGACGCCGGAGAGTCACCGCAGCGAGAAAAAGACCACGGCGATATCAATCAACGAGTGTGGCGACCCAGAAGGCCGGGACAGTCAGGTGATGGCGATTGCGACAGCTGACAGCAGACAGCACCGTAGGAATGCCTGGTCTGACTTGGCGCTGTGGGGGACGACAGGCGTGTTCGGTACTGCGGCCGGCACACGAGGCCAAACGAGATTAGGATTGGACCGAGTTCTTTAAGGGCCTGCAGGACGGTGATCACACTGCGTCGGGAAAAGCGCCGTAATCGAGAATGGCACCAGGAGGAAGAGTGTGGGATGGGGCTGTCAGGGAGATATGACGGTGGGTGAGGCCAGCGAGGCGGAGGAGCGAGGGCGAGTGGGCTGATGTTGGGCTAATGGTGGTTGAGAGTTGAAAGGGAGGAGGAAGAGCAAGAGGGCCGCGGAGTTGAAGGTGCAAACTCGGCAGGAAGATGATGGAACCGCTTATCGAAGCAGAAAAAAGGGATCCGGATTACGGGGGAAGAAGTTATCGATCTACGAAGGGGGGATCGACGGAGACTATCAATCTATCGGCTTGATCGCATCATTGCCGAGCCTGCTATCTCATCTAATCTGTGGCTGCCTTCCACTCTTTTTGACGCCTTCATACACCAGACCCTTTCTTCAATTTTTGCTTTTTTTTCTCGAAATCGCGATCGAACTGTCACTCCCCAGATCGCTCTTTGCCAGCTCCACCGATACCTGATGAAGTTTAGGGGGCGACCGTGGTGGACATCGCACCTTCCCAAGTGAGACGCGGATGGGCCAATGCGCAGGCAAGCAGCTTTGCCACGCTCCCTATTGGCTGGCGGGTGGCGTCAGCAGCAATCCCCAGCTGTGGATTGGCTGACCGGGTGGCGGAAGCCCCATCCGGGCCCTTATTCTCAGGCCACGCCGGCCCAGAACACGTAAGGAGCAACAGAGTGCCGAGACGCCACCCAACGAGGCGAGGCCGATTAATAACGTCGTACCGAGAAGGACAAAGAAAATGCTAGTCATCGAATCACAGTGATTACAGTGCTGACTTCTCCGCGGACAGATCCGATCGGTTCGTACTTTGTTCTATCCACTTGGGGAAAACTCTCCACCATTCATACAGTACTAGTAGCACTAGTAACCAGTAATACTAATATAAGTAGTAGCACGCCGTTATAGTACACAAATCTTGAGTCGTCCCCAATGGACCATTATGCAGGTCAGGATCGCGAAAAAAAGACATGAAAGAAACACATCGAAGTCAAAGCAAAGAGAACGCGAAGCTCATGCGCTGCTCTGAAACTTCATCTTCCAAAAAAAAAAAAAAACCTTGGCTGAGCACATACTCATCCAGTGGTTCCACTGTTCTACTGGATAATGACATCGCCCAGCCCTCATGACACTCATCAAGTATACTCGCAGGGCGAGCCGAAAGCGCCGAATTGACAAGCGCTAGGCGGAGATCACGTGCGCCACGTCACTCAGGCAGCAGGCCTCACCCGCGGGAGCTCTGACAGCACCGCAGTGCGCTTAGACCTGCTCAGCACCCCAGCCCTGGTCGGACTCGCGCATGTTCGAGGGAGGCTCAATCGAGGGGATGAACTCAAGGACGAGGTATCCGATACCAGTGATGCCGACGATGGAGGCAGCGATCTCGCGCAGGATGTGGCCGTGCAGGATGATGCAGCCAACGAAGATATAGACTACAGACACGAATCAGTCAGCGATTGTACGCCCACCCGCATGTGGTATTGTCAGGGGCAACTTACAAACACCACGGCCCAGGAAGGAGAACAGGAACGAGGCGTAGCGGTAGGCGTAGTCGGGGACGTTAGGCAAGAACTCCAGACCGGCGACAACTGCGAGAAGGTTAGCAGGCAGACACGACACAATGCGACAGACAGAACCCCATACCAAGACCAAAGGCAATGACATAGATGCCCACGATGATGGAGCTCATGGAGGCGGGGAAGAACTGGCTGATACCGCCCAGCACCATAATCACACCGATCGCGATGTTGACGAGCCGACTGCAGACATGGTAATTAGCGCCGTTTGACAAGCGGATGGCAACGCGCCCGGTCAGCGCGCCGAGATGGTGAAGAAGTATCAAACATACAAGATGTTAGAGAAGTCCATTGTGACGGTGTTGCGTGTGTGGTTTCCACTTGGGGTCGAGGGATCTTCAGGGTCTCGTGGTCCGCGTTCTCAGGGTCAACGTCGCCGCGTTTTTAGGCTGCTGTTGGCACTGAGGGAGAGGTGAAAGAAGTGAGAATAAGGTGGTTGGAAAGTTTGCTAGTTTCGTCATTAGTTTAGCCGGCAATGACGGAAAATGGGGTGGCTCAGGCTAGAAACAGTGCCACAGCTGGGGGAGGGCTGGGTGGATTTAATGCCCGAGGGGATGCGGAGCGGAGGCGTCCGTACCTGTGCCTGTCTGGTGAAGACCAAAAGGAGCGACCGAGAAGGTAGTGTTGCGGACGAGGAAAAAACGAAGCCAAGAAGCACACAGCTGTCAATAGCGCACGAAGAACAGGGGCACGGAAGATGGGGGATGGAGAGCTGGCTGTCGCAAGCAGCGGGTCTGCCAAGTTCAGGTGGCTGCGGGTCACGTGGCTGAGGTGGCTGGTCCGAAAGAGGAGTGATGTACATATGCTATTCTTAGTGTAGCGAGATGAAATGACGGCAGTCAACGCAGTGCAGTATTATCAGAAGATCGCTAAAAAGAAAACACGACAAAGAACACGCTGCACTATCTAGTAAATATCCTGCTGCCTCTTTTCCAGTCGTATCGTCGACAACCCGTTGGCAAACCAGCTCATCTGCTCCGGATCCCGCTGGAGGGCCACGTAGATGGCTTCGATGTCACTCCCAATCCCCACATCGCCTGCCGTCTTGAGACTCCGCGAGTCGACAAAGGGGGCGATCGAAGGCCACACGGCCTGGACATTGTTGAAGAAAAGTTCCACCGTCAAATCGCCAATACCTTTGATCTCTTTCATAAGGATCTCGATTTTGTCTCTTTTCCCACCGGCAGCTTCTAATAAATTGTTCAAATCGCCATCTATCAGTCAACGGTAGTCATTAGCATGAGAGGGATTTAAGATAGCCCGACTGAGGAGTAGCCATCGCGTACCGTATTCTTTGACCACAAAATCCGCAAGGTTTCCCAAATTGGTGGCAGCCTGCTCCCTGTAGCGATTGTATCCTCCCTCTCTGAGTACGACCGTCCGCTCCTCCCATGTGCTAGCATGCAACTTGTCTATATCATGATAGCCCACCTCGATCAAATGATTGATAGTCCTTTGTGACAGGTCATGAGATATAGGCCGCGACTTGATCATTGCATCCAGAACCATAGCCAAAATGACCTCCGGCGACGCCTTTAAGGGCCACGGCACTGGTTCACGTCCTGCCATTGGGGTCTTGCCGAGTGGTCCATGGCCGTACTCATTGATCACCGTTTGAATTCGAGCAGAGATATCGCTAGATTTGTTTCGTGGCATTGCGATGGTTTTGCTGGTCGAGTGAAAGGGTACTTTTGTTTGAGATTCCACGTCCAGAACGAAAGGATCAAAAAGCCAGAAGCGAACTCTTGGGGGTCTTTATTAAATTGTATCAGATAAAGAATGTAGTGTATATGTACTTCATCAGGCTGACGTCACACCAGGGTCATCTCCATCAACCAATGATGTGGGGATTCACACTGTAACGGGTAGTGCAATTTAGCTTGTCTCAGGCCGATTGCCATCAAAGCTTGGCTCGGAGCGTGCTCTGCAGAGCCTCCTTGACTAGCGCCACAGCTTCGACGGAGCAGCCGAAAGAAGCTTGGTATCCGAACCCACCATGTCCGTAATTATGAACGACCTTCACCCCATTAATCTCATCCTTTTCAATTCGCGTGCCACCCTCACGCAGGGGTCGAAGGCCAACACCGTGTCGTACGATATCGAGACCTTCAATTCCCTGGCCTGGCTTGACCAGTGAAGGAGCAATGGCAATAGCACGCTTCATAATGCGATTGGCGAGATTAGGGTCTGGCATTGCATCCCAGTTGTGCTTCTGGTAGGATCCACCCAGGATAGTGCCGCCGCCTAGAATTGTCAGCTCGGTTCATGGAATAATTCAAACCCTTCAACAATCTTACCCGCAGCACGTGTCATAATATACAATGCTTCATCCTCGCCATCGTCCGTTCCAGACACAGAAAGCATGGGACCAGGGTCGTTGCGAACGACCACAATCTGGCCGCGAGCAGGGTGCATCTTGCTGTCATTTACGCCACCAAGTGTTCTGGCCGAGAGCCCGGTGCAGTTGACGATCAAGTCGGCTTTCTCGCCGGTGTGATGAGCATTGGCTGCGTCGGCGATATGCTTAAACACGGCACGCTTGAACACAGCTCCATTTTTGGTGCACTGGCCAACCAACCATGGGAGATAGACGGCAGTATTGATGCAAACCGAGGTAAACTCCTGCGCGTTATCGATTCCTGGGGCCAGTTTCTCGCTGGGGATTGCTTTGAACTGGGAGAGGTGTCAGTCTAGATCTAGGAGGTTCTTGCAGTGTGTTGGCAAGCATACATCGGGCACGACGTCTTTGTACCAAGGGTTTGGTTGGACCAATTCCGAAAACCATTTGCCGGTATCAGACTCTTGATCCTTCTTGCGGTTGTAGATAAGGGTCCCTGGAAACTGATGAGCAGAATACCCAAGAGAGTTCTGTATATTGGAACATACCGAGGAAGTGGATGCCAGCCTCAGGATACTTTTCTGTGATCTCCTTCAGGTACGGCCATGTGGCTCGCTCCCACCTTTCATGATCGCTGCCCTGCTTTCCGACCCTTTGGAAATGACGGTTAGTCACTTAAGCTACCAATGAACCCCGGAAGATATGCAATCGTACGGCATGTAATTGGCACCCGCCCACGGAGAAGCATATTCGATGTCATAGTCGCCTGGCATATGCTTGGCCAGCACGGTGATTTTGTTGGACGGGTCCTTCGACAGAAGGTAGGCTGTTGTAAGGCCGGAAACACCAGCTCTGTAAAGACGGTCAGTGGAAATCGACAAACGAACTCCATGCCTTTGCACTAAAGCGGGGACTTAGCGACTCTACGACCGAGGGAGAAGCAGCTTACCCCAAAACGACAATGTTTGGCATCTTGTATTGCAATTCGAACTGCAGAAGGTATTTGAAAATGAAGACAGTGAGCGCAAAGCGAGAGAAGTGATTGCTTCCTTTTCGCAACAAGGCGGCGAATGAGTCAAGCTAAGCCGAGGGCAAAGGCGGGGGTGGAAGCAACGTCGAGCTCCTCCGTTATCATGCCATTTGATAAGAGAAATCGGGCCAAGCCCTCGGGTTAACTAAATTACAATTGTACGGCTGTACGACCCGGTTGCCTTTTGGAGGGGCGGCCGGAGAGGCGGTGTACGCTGTCGCCAATCACACGACCTCAAGGCACGAGACATTCGAAAGATGTGATTGATGCACTTCTAGGGGTACGGTGGAGTCTACCCTAAGGTCTGGATGGAGAACGCGGGTCATTACGGAGGCCCTTGCAGTTGAGGCGGTGGGCCAGGATAGATGGATATGTGAGTTGAAAGTGAATTGGAAGGGAAAGGTGTACAGGTTCGATTCAGCTCCATAGACTAGTACTTATAGGTACGTGTCTGAAAATTATTTTAGTATAGTGACTGCTACAATTGGATGCTCACCCTCCCGAGTCTCGCCAGCTGGATGGCTCCGCAACGGCGATGCGGAGGCGTATTGTGTCCAAGCTGTTTTGCCTGTACAACTCCACATCCCCACCGTGAAAACTTGAAGTTGGTTCAAATGCTTGAGAGTTTTTCGCAGAGTGCTGTAGTTAATCGTAATAATTATTTCAGATAGCTAAACCCCACGAATCCCATATCTGATTCACCTGGAGTCATACTCGACCTCAGTGTGCTCCAAACAATCTCGCCCTAAAAACGATGTCATAGTGGGCAAACCCTCACGTGCGGTCCAATCAGTACGGTCGGAAAGCTGACCGCCCCCAACTCGGCACGCAAATCTGGACTAGTACTTTTCCTTTTTATCCATCGGCACCCGCAGGGCTCCTCCACTCTGCGGGTTTCTTATTCTTGTTTCTCCCTTGGGGCGCTCCTCTTTCGGTTACGACAGGCAATTCACTTCCTAACAGCCAAAATTCACTCAGAACTTCCCCCTAGATGCCGCCCTCGACCTGGGAAGGTCCCAATTCACTATGTCCGAGTCACTGCACGGTGGCAGAATCGTGCCCATACTTAGGGGCCACGAACAACAGCACCTCGACTCCACCCCTAGCACAGCAAATGTACTAGAACACCATCCGTTTCCCAACATTATTGCCAAGGCTCCGCTGCTGGATCAGCGAGAGGACAATATGGCCCTTGACAAGAAATCCCTGGACCTGAAGAGCTTGGAGATGCCTTGTTTGAAGGAACGCGGTCTATTTGCTTTGCCCACCGAAGGAGATGGTACGTCTACCCCGAAACACGTGGTTTTTGGAACCACAACCCTTTCCATCAAAAGAAAAGTCGTTACTGACGCGTCAAAAACAGGAAATTGCCTTTACTACTCTTTTTCCGACCAATTGTACAGCAATTTCGACCACGGAGACGAAATTCGCCAAAAGTTGGCCGATCACATGGCCAATCACAAATCATATTTCATGCAATTCGTGGTGGCAGAAGGTGGTGAACGTCGTCGACCCAAGAGATCCGCCGTCACCGCGTACGCTACGCGTTCGGCCGATGTTGCTGCACCTTCGGACGAGGACAAGGAACGTCGCTTCGAGGAGATGGTGGCCACGACCCGAAAGAATGCCGAATGGGGAAGCTCCGAGCATCTGCAAGCATTTTGCCAGGTTTTCCGCGTGGATGTCAATGTGTATACCATGGATGGTGTGCAATCATTTCGCGATGTCAATGCCTCGCCCGATGAGCATCGTGACGTGATTCACGTCGCTTTCCATGTAAGTTTGTGGTTCGTCTGGGCTGTGACAACTGATAACTAATATCTTGGTAGGATTTCAAGCACTATTCTTCCGTACGTCAGATCGATGGCACTCACAAGGGACTTTTCGAGACTTTGCAAGCACCCGTCCTTCCCAAGCAAATCCTCGGCGATGATTCCAAAGAGAGCATCGATACGAAACACAACGTCGATGCGAGAGAGAACAGCGATGCGGAATCCGAAAGGGATATCCCCAAGCACGCCCTCGCCGCCACGAGCAACAACCGACACTCGACACCTACTGATTCCTCCAGCGACTCACACTCCGCACCCACCGATTCAACCAATACCTCACACACCACAGCCTCCGATCCAGCCAATGACTCTGGTCTGGCGGTGGACGTTTTCCCTCCCTGGGACATCCAATCTATTCAGGATGGTCTCGGCGGTCGCTATGATCGCGACACAATTGTAGATATGCTGCAGAAATGCCGCGGCGACATTGACCGGGCATTCGCAGCTCTACTTGGGGAGAAGGAAACGCCCGCCGAGAGGATGGCGGCACCAGCCCAGAGTTTCAACTCCAGCGTGCAAATGTCACGCGAGTCGTCGCCGTTTAGTACCGGCAGCAAACGTTCCGCGGAAGATAGCGGCGACGACTCCGAGGAGCCACGTCCGGCGATCCGTCGGGGTCGCCCCAAGAGACGGATCGTCTCCAACCTCACTCTGGGCGTTGGTATCTCCTTCCGAGACGACCAAAATGAGGTCGTCTCGTTGAATATCCGGGTGAGTTTACCCGACAAAGAATAATCTCTCGGGTTATTGATTAACCCACCCCCGCAGATGAAGGACGAAGGCAAGAAAGACAAAAAAGCAAATTCGGCACTTGAGGAAAGTGCATCAGAACTATCCGAAGCTGCCTCGCCGATAGGCACTCGGCCTCGACGGAGCGGTCGTCTTTCAAAACCCCGCGCAGCATAGCTGTCGCTACAGTGAGTGGATAACTTCTTGAGCTGCTTCTATCAGCTCTCACTTTTGTTTTACTTTCTTGCCTGCATCCGCTCGATTCCCACTTCGTTTTGCAGCGATATATTGCATTGTACCGGCGTTCACGCGAAGAAGTTTTATCTGGCTGGCACATTAAATCTCTTTCAGCGGCATATGCATGATCATCAGCCAGGATTGGCTGCGGAGGCGTTCTGAGTTTACTCTCATGGGAGGGGATTGCCTGGGGCATTCTTCTCAATGAATCACGACATGCATTCTCAGCGAATACCTAGAGACTTTTGAATGTTTTAGCTTAGATGATTTGCAGGTGTTGAGATGCGCAAACTTCTCGACGCCTAATGAGACACAATCTGAACAGCCCAGCATTCGGTTGCTGAGTTGCTTGTACACGCTTTTCTCGTATCCACCTTTTGGAAACCTCGGTCTTATCTCGCGTTCTCTTTACTTGTTTTGTTTGTCACAGTGCAGGATCATATATGAACGACTGGAAGGCTGCAGTGCTTTATCAATTTCGAGTAACACAGGCGCAATGTCCTTCGCTTATCACACTGGTGCAAGCTACCAGTTGCAAATAAAAAAAAATTTTAATTCATGCTCTCTTCTCGTAGTTTCTATATGCTGTTGCAATAATTCAAGACCGCTGGCTAATATCTACAACCATCGGTGACTACCTAGTGCTAGTACACGATAAAATAACATCTATGTACGCGTGCCCTGCATGTACAACGCATGTTCAGACAATCTCATGCACGCTGAACCCGCCCCATGGCGCAATTCAATGCAAATATAGCACCTCTTACTCCTCCAGTAGGAACTTCAGGAAAGTCGTCCCGATCGAAACACCATCATGTTCATTGTCGGTTCTGCTGAGACCGTCTTGGGCCATTTCCTCCTTGAAGATGCCCGCCTTTGCCCTGGTCTGAATAATCTCTGTCTCCATCCATCCCGTGAATTCCGGGTGTCCTTGGACACTGATGAATCGGCGGGGCAGATACATGCCTTGGATCGCGCAGCGCGGCGAGTGGCCGAGGAGAGTGACGCCCTGTGGACAGGTGGAGACGATGTCTTGGTGCATCTGTTGAATGCGCTGATGGAGGAGTATATGTCAGTCTCGCCCGCAGTAAACTTCCTGGTTTTCGGAACGTACGATTTTATCCCGGCCGAACAACTCTTTCCCTTTATCGGTCAAGTCCATATCGCAGACAGCAATTTCCCAGCCCTGGTCGCTTCGTCCAACCTTTGCGCCCATAGCACGTCCGATGATTTGGTGTCCGAAGCAGATTCCGAGGATGCGCACTCGGTCCTGCGCGAGGACTTGCTGTGTGAATTCGACCAGACGGAGGATCCAGGGAATATCTTCAAAGGAGTTGTGTTCTGTCGCATTCCAAGGCCGTCAGCATGCCGTTTGTACGAAGTATGGATGATGTTCATGTTGCATTACTGCATTTGCTGGAGGGCAGGAACACGCACTTGATCCGGTCAGTAGCACGGCATCGATGTCTTCGAGTTTCGGGTATTCCTCGCCGTTCACAATGTCCCATTTCGAGATAACTAGGTCACTCTCCGGGTCCAATTTGTCAGGACCGTCTAGAGCTTTTGCACTCTCCTTTAGTAGCGAAGTGAAGACGCCTGCGTAGCCTCCGTAGCGGGCGTCGATGTTGGGGAGCGGGGTGTCGCATTCCAGGACGGCGATCCGAAGAGGGGGGCGCATTGTTTCAGTGGGCGTACACGATCCTATCTTCCTGTGGAGGATTGAAGTGACTGATCCGGACGTGAAGGACGTAGAATTGTGTAGAGAGATGTCGAAGTAAAAGCGCAATGCAACTTGGGACGGGATGAGGAGTGCGGAGTAGCAGGGCGTTGTTGGCCGCGGCGACTCCAACGGTCTCCAACCACCAAATTGCCGCCTATTATCGGCTGACTCAACTCGATCTTTGCCACTTTGGGACTCAGTCGATGCTGCCAGTGCATGTCCAGCACGGCGATTTTTTGCGATGCTGCATGCGAATCCCTGGTCGATCCGATCTGAGGTTCATGCAGTCTCGACGCGTTACTATCAAACACACTAAGGCAGTCCCGCAATAAGAATCCACCACCCCCTCATTTCTGCTTTTTTCCGTGTCACCTTCTTCCTTAGGGGCCTTTCATCGCAGGCTCTCCCTTGCTTTTTGTATGAAGTGTCGATTCCGCGGGCCTTGCATTTAACACTACATTGATATTGTCTGGTCCTTCTCGAAATGAGCGCTGGTGAAGGGGGGTCCACGTTCGAGGCCACTCCACTATTGCGACATGAGTCAAGCGAGCAAAATATACACTATCGCAGCGTGATCAATTCCAACAGCCAGTCGCAGCATGAAGAAACGAGATACTCAGGTACAGAGACTGAGGAGCAAATAGCCGCTCTCGGTCTCGTCCAAGTCAGCTCGACTGAAGGCTTAAATATCGAACCCGACCTTGAACGATTCTCGTCTCGGGGTTCCCTCTCGGGAAAGAAGAGCAATGCTTCTGTGGCCGACGGACAGAGTGTTAAGAACGACGATGACGACTACGCGGCACGATTCATCGATGTGTCACCGACTCGTTTCTGGCTGATCTTTGTGGGCGTCCTCATCGGCTACCTGATCGGTTTCTTCGACTCGACTCTGATGGCATCAAGTCATCCTGTGATTACCTCTTATTTCAACGCCGCAAATACGGCCTCATGGCTCTCGACGGCTTTTCTGCTTACCTCCACGGCCTTCCTGCCGCTCTTCGGGCGTATCTCCGATGCCTTCGGCCGGAAACCCGTCTACCTCTTCTCCATCACCATGTTCTTTTTCACAACAGCTTGGTGCGGCCTGGCACAGAGCATCGGCAGCTTCATTGCTGCTCGGGCACTATGTGGTCTTGGTGCGGGTGGCGTCTTCTCGATGGGCCAGATTCTCTCAAGTGACCTGGTCCGTATCGAGTACCGCGGTGTCTATCAGTCTTACATCAACCTTTGCTACGGCACCGGGAGTTGTTTGGGGCTGGCGTTCGGTGGGTTTCTGTGTGATCGCATCGGTTGGAGAGGAGCATTCCTCATTCAATTGCCCTTCATCTTCATCTACTTTATCACAGCTGCCGTGACCATCCCAGCGGAACTTGGCATCAAACGCGTGGGATCGGAGCGCATGACGGTCATGCAGCTAATCCGTAGCATTGATCTGATCGGTGCCCTTATTCTGGCTTCTGCGGTTACTGCTTTGATTATGGGATTGAATCTGGGTGGAAATGTCTTCTCTTGGGGGCATCCGCTTGTCATTTGCTCCTTAGTCGCATCTCTTGTTCTAGCCGCCATCCTGGTGCGATATGAGCGCGGTGTACCGCGCGCAGTGCTTCCGGTTGAGCTTCTCTCCAGAAACCCCCGAGCCAGTCTCATCATTGGAAACTTCTTCGGTGCGATTTCCGTTAACACAGTCATGTTCAATGCTCCTTTATACTTTCAGGCCGTCAAGCTCGCCAGCCCCACGGACTCGGGTCTGCGTCTCGTCGCCGCATCTATTGCCGTTACCGTCTCCAGTGTCGGGACTGGCTTTTTGATTACCTGGACGAAACGAATGAAGCCCACTATCATCCTGGGTGGTTTTTCCATGCTGTTGGGTGGATGTGCCGCCGGATCTTTGGGGAGCAACACGTCCTATGCACTTGCCATGCTCTGCGTCGCTTTCTCCAGCCTGGGGCAAGGGTTCACATACCCCTCACTGATGGTCTCGGTACTAGCCACCAGCGAACAGGATGACCAGGCCATCGCAACCACAACCCTTGGCCTCGCACGCAACCTGGGGTCTGTGATGGGTGTGTCCATCAGTAGCTGGATCTTCCAGAACACACTTTACTATGAGCTCGAACGGACCGTGACTGGTGCGGAGAAGGGCCACATCATTGCCCTCGTGCGCAAGTCGATCCGAGCGATTGCCGATCTCGATGCATTGCACCGACACCAAGGTTTGTACTCCAATGCTCCAATAGGCTAAGGTATCTCTCAATGATCTCCCGCTGACAACCTGGACCAAATAGTAATCGGGTCATATGCCAACGCCCTTCGTGCGACATTCTTATCGGCGGCTGTATGGGCTGTTCTCATGCTGCTGCTGCATTCTCGAATTCATCTTCCCCGGCTTGGTAGCAAAAAGCAATGGGATTAGTATATCTTCATCGTCTAGTGTACTGGCAGTAAATTGCCCGACACGACCCTGCCATTGTAGTGGTCCATGCATAATTTCAAATACCAAAATAGACTGATCACAATCTAACTAAAAATAAATATAATATAAATCATAACTATCTCCCGTCAAAGTCCTGGTACATCATACGTCAAATCGCACTGCGTTAGTGGTTGCTGACCGATCGGTCTTCAACCTGGAGGGCCCCACATTTTCTCTCGAATCTCCGCGTTGAATGCGAAGCCGATCCTTTGACACCCACCTTGCATTCGACTGTCTCAGCCATCCTGACGTCGCATCGTGCCGACCCTGAGGCAATGGGCTGGTGAGTAAACTCCCCCGAGACGACAGGCCTCAGCTGACATTCTTGTGCGTCAAAGACTGCTTGCCCTGACTCCTTGCCTCGTCCTGCCCCTCCCGCTACGTTGCCAATACCCCCGGCTCGATCATACAAAGAGAGACGTCAAAAGACTTTGACACTGCGCATAAACACTCCAGACCAGTCGGTCTGCCGCTGATTATACCCAAAACCCTCGCGCGCTGGCAGCGAACATGGCCATTCGAGCACTGTCATCAAAGAGATTTTGTGAATTCGGAATCCCTCGATCGGTCTGGAGGCTGGTTGCCCCGGTTCCTACTGGCGGCTAGATCACAAGGAGGAGTAGGTCAACCGCTGGAGTCGCCGGAATGCGTCTCCGCGGTCACTCCAAGTCCGAGTCACCTCGAGTAGACTCGAGGACGTCGACCCCGAAAAGCCAGAAAGGCAGCTCGCCGCGCGCTGCGGTTGTCAATCGCAAGAAGTCCGATGCGCCTGATACAAAGGCGAAACGGGTCCGAACCGGATGTCTCACCTGTCGGGAGAGGCACCTCAAGTGCGACGAGGCGCTGGGTAGATGTCTGAACTGTCAGAAGTCTGATCGGATATGTCGACGGGGCGTTCGGCTCAATTTCATTGATACGCAGACTGTCGCGCCGCCGCATGTAATCGATCGACCGCATGGCGCCAAGGTGACATTCCGAGACGACTCGCGCTTCATTGCATCTGAATATGTCGGCGGCTTCGAACGGTATCCTCCGCCCCAACCGGAAAGCCCGATCGAGGAGCGACGGCAGCTACATAATGAGGCTTTCAATGCCATCAGCCAAGACTTCTTGACGAGCTTGTTCCAATCGGCAGCCCACTCGTTTGACTCAACTGGCTTTGATGTCCCCCACGACTTTATTGTTGGGCCTGATACTTGGCACGGGCCACATATTGTGCCCGGCGATGAATTGCTCCCGCATGGCACTTCGAATTTTGCACGAAAGCTGGCAACGAAGCAGTTTGGCCCTTCTTCACTAAGTGATCCCGAGCAAATATTTCTTTTACAAACCTTTGTGGACGAGGTCGGACTTTGGATGGAGTCGATGGATTCATTCCGTCATGTATGTTTGTATGATTACATGCCGCCACATGGATTGTTTTCTAACAGGAAAATAGTTCACACAAACTCTACCATACTATGCCGTTGATGAGCCGATGTTACTCAAGGCTTTCCTAGCTTGTGGTGCGCGACACCTCTCGATAACAAACCCTTCGTTTGGAGAAGAGAGAGCGATTCATTACTACGAGAGCACCACGCAGGATCTCATGGTCTTAATGCAAGATCCAAATCGCGATTCGGTCTTGTGCGCGACAACCGCACTCGTCCTCAGCATATACGAGCTGATGTCCGCGCAACCAGCACTCAAGACTAATCATATTGGAGGGTCAAGAGCATTGATCCGCGAGTGTAATTGGACATCAAAGACGCCCGGTCTCGGTGGTGCGTGCTTTTGGATCAATACTTGCGTGGAGTTGCTGAGTTGCTTGCAACATGGCTGGTCGCTCTCTTGGGACCCAGATACATGGGGGGTCGATATGGACATGGATCAAGGGCATCATTTTGCAAAGGGAGAAGAACTGTGGCTCCACCGCATACTCTATATTTGCGGAAAAATAAGTATTTTCCGAGCTGCACGACAGCACCGGCAATCCTCTGATGACGCGGGTATGCAGAATGGCAACCTCAGCTCGGACCTGCAAGAATGGGGTCATTATAACTCCTGGTGTGATCAATGGGCCAAGACCGCGCCGGCGTCAATGCAACCATTGGGTCATATGCAGCCATGGGGCAGAAATGACAGTTCAGTTTTCCCGACAATATGGTATGCTCGACATACTCCATGTAGATTCATTCATTGCTAACCTTCCTGGCCAGGCTTATCAAGAGACCCGCGATTCTTGCCCAGCTGTTCTACCACACATCTCGCATCCTCTTAGCTAAATGCCACCCGATGGAGTCTGACTTCCTGGTAGAGATGAGAGAAATGCAGCATGCCCACGCTTATGATATCTGCGGCCTCATCGTGAACGTGAAAGACCGCGGTGTGGTTAACGTATCAATACGTTGCCTCACCATCGCGGCATCATGTCTCGAGTCCCGCGAAGCTCAAGAGGAGGCACTTCGACTATTGCATTCCACGACTCAGAATACCATCTGGCAGAAGGAACCTATCGAGGACGAACTGAAGCATCACTGGGGATGGCCTGCTCCACACCCGGAAACACTGGATCCAAGCCAGATGCACAACCATGATTACTATGACCTCAAACTGGACCCGGCATTATCGATCTCGAGGGGCTCCGAGATGCACTCGTCTCTTGTAAATCCTTTTTTAAATACGGGGGACTTTTCGACGGACAATCATCCTTATCAGGCATTCTATGTGGCTCCTCATCATGCGCCGCATTATGACTATGGGTCTTACCTTTAATGTTTCTTTAGTGGAGGAGTTCTGGAACGTTTAAGTTCGACATTATGCGAAATACCCTAAAATGCAAATGAAGACCATAATTCCTGTCGGTCACTATTGCTCTTGCCCATTTGATTTTGGTATTTTACAAAATACCATAGAGACACCCGTATGGTTTGTTTATTTGTATTGGGGTGATAAAATGAATAATCTCAATTCAGTATTATTAATCTCAGCCTTGAAGTATATCTCTCCGAAGGTCCATGTAGGGTCGGGATTATCTATTTCAACCCCCATTTTAGAGGTTAATGAACCCTCACCATTCACTTTGCGCTTGGCTTGTGCTTCCCCGCTTGATAGACGACCAGGCTTGAGAGTCGGACACACCTGCCTCTTCGGATGATCACACCAACTCTATCAAAGAAAGTCAACACGAAAAATATTAGTACCTCAATGATAAGGCTTCCATACTCAGCCCCGAGAAATCAGTTTATCGAAGCCCTGAAGAAGGATGGCTGCGTGATGAGAATTCCACCACCCTGGATGCACTCTAAAGGCTCGAATTGAGGTAGAACCGTGGTTCAATAAGGAAGATCACAACAGCAAAGTTGGAGGTAATTATCAAGTTGTTCGGGTACGGTTAAGTAGGCATGAAATCTGACTTCAATACACCAAGCCTTGAATGGAGAGGTACGCGAACCTGTACCCGCCTCATTGGTCGAAGCAAAACGGTCCGCGAGGGAATTTTTCTAGGATCCTTTGTACCAAGTAGGTGATTTATCAAGGGCATGCTTGATCAAGCATATTAAAAAGCCCCAACAGGATCTGGCAGAGGAATTCTGGCCATCGAAACCACAAACTGGTACAACGAGGAGCCACCTACGAATACAACCCACCCTCTATTGTCCATCGCTATAACAATGGATATCAAACCGGGAGGAAAGGCCCAGAAACTGCGCCGCGATGACAAAAACCATCATGCTCTATGCTCGCCACTCAAAAGTTGAATCTTATCATCAAAAACCGGGATATGCACCTCTATACACAGGATAATGTCCGCTAGGTGGGGCTTTCCTTGTCTGGACTGCTGCCGCTTTTATGAGGGCGATCAGCCTCAGGCTCACTTAATGTCAGCACGGGCTTAAACTCGGTGATCACTGTCACAACTCCTTGAGTATTCCACGCGACGGCAGGTCAGCACCTTTATACCCACCTAATGTAGCTGACCGCCTGCCCTAGACTGACGTCACATAGAAGTGCTCCTGTCGCAGTAACGTTTCTACGTCCGCCCCATTCCTTCATCAATAGCCATCTTGCTTCTCTAGTTCTGTCTCCTCCCCCTTTCCTCACACATCCCCATTCGGCCAACATGTTGTGTCTGTCCCCATCAACAGTATCCTCCTCCACCCTGGATACAAAGGATGCCGAGTCGGCGAAGACTTCGGTAGTCCCGAGTCACTCTCACCAGTCGAGGCAGCGAGGGACTGTGATTCGCACCTGCCATTCGAATCCCGGGTGCCGTGGTGTTATCTGCTCCCTCCATTTCTGTCATTCGACAAACTGCGAACGATGTCTATCGTCAAATCAACTCCGACTCGTCTTACTCGAACCAGTTCATTGTCGTCTCAAACATATCCCAGCCTCTGCAGGAGCTGTTAGGTGGAGATCGAAATCCTCTTGAGGTTTCCTACAGATTGACCCTCGATACACAGCACCAGCAAGCGCTTATTCGAATAATGCCCTCAAAAGCTCATGAGCGCGTGATGCAGTCATTTTCAAACGAACTTGTCCTGAAATTATTCGAAATGGGAATTCGTCCAAGAAACTATACTATGAACGCAGCCTCCCGGTACCACGGAAAATCATGCGACAAAGAAGCCGAACAGTCTCTCACTCCGTCAGGGAATCTCCTGACGATGACGACTGGCCTTCGCTCGTTCTTGAAACTGGTCTTTCTGAGTCAGAAGCACAACTGCGAGCCGATGATATTGGTGGTTCTCAAATTCCGACTACAAAGTCAACATGGTTATACTCTTTCACATCCAAAGATCCCCCGAGCGCAGAGTCATCTTGAAACTCTACAACCTCAGATCTACCAACCCTAGAGTCACCCGTGGACTAGAGGCAGAGGTTGGGCGCACCTTGCTCCCTGATCCTGCGTTATCTCAAACAGTCTCCTCAACTGTGTTACAACCTCAATTAGCGGTCAAAGAGATCATCGTTACCTTAAGCAATGTTGAGAATGCTCCACTGGGGCTAGAATTCGAATCTGTGATGCGCCGCCCGCCAGCCCCTAACACAAGTGAAGGAAATATTATATTCACAGCTGAGGATCTTGCTACGTGCTGCCGCTACGCGTTTCCAATACCTTGAACATATAATATCCTTAAGGAATGCTAATAATTCTCCACCGAGGACCTTGCTATGTCTTCACTGGAGGTGAAAGTCCGATCAACTACCCACCCCGACGACGGAAGCGGGCTTTGCATGTGCGAACGGCCAACCTTCGGAAGAAGCTTGGTCTGGGACGAAGGAAGCTTAGAGACATTGAAAGGTCTGGTTCCAGTGCAGACAATTAGTCGAATATTTCGGGTGGTGAATTGTCACGATATGATTCTTTTTGGGCAATCAAGTTGGAAGTGGAATGTTCTGGCCTCCAGCGCGGAGGGTTCATAGAGATACATAATGTATGGCTAGGTACGGTGAGGTTGCGCTCTTGCGCTTCTGGAACAACTCTCGGTCCTGGACAAAATGTAATAATAGGCATGGGAGAACTCAAAGTTCAATTAATCACAAAATGATAGCGTGCATCGTGTGTCATTTTTTGGTGCCATAATAGCAGCACCCTAATCGTCGGAGAAAATTTGACTATGAATATATCAATACCTGCTTCATATTTTCGTGCAACAAACGTAAACATCATGGATGGCATAGGTTCCTCAAACATAATGTATCATATGTTGTAGTGTTACTGTCAATTCAAGGTCTGCTCCAAGAATGATTTTCTCGGTGCCGTGAAATATATTTCGGAATCTGAAGGTCCCCGAAAGTCACAGTCGTTGGTGGCAACCTATTGTAATGACTATTGTAATGAAAGCGATCAAACATTTTCTAAGGAGCTAAGACTGCACATTTTCATATGTCGCATTGTTTCTTCAAGCCATCTGATTGGTAGTTGTACAGAGCTCATTTAACAAATCGCAAGCCAAATCCTCCGGACCTCAGTCAAAAGCGGTGACTTAGGTAAGGCTAATTTGTCGCGGGCAACACACTCATCCGCCGGCACCCACCCAGTACAACAACCCACATCTACAAAAAGCAGAGATCAACTGGGTATGGCTGAAGCATCTGGGAAAAAACAGCAATCTGCAGCCACGCCGGTATACATCCTCCGCGGGCATGCTGCGCCGATACATGCCTTGTATGTGTTCTCCCAGAACTTGCGGCTTGTGTCTGGGGATGCCGAGGGCTGGATCGTCGTCTGGGATCTAGTCACCAAGCGACCGGTGACGGTATGGAAGGCCCATAAAGGCGCCGTGCTCGAAGTCAAGGGCTTTTCAATTCAGGGTGGCGGGTCTGAGATCTATACGTGAGAAGCCCAGCCCCAAATGCTAAGTGAGAATACGTGCTGATTCAGATGACAGACATGGTCGCGATCATAAATTATGTGTCTGGAGGCTTCGCAAGGAAGATGAGGATTTACTTGACAAGTCTCTCCCTGTGGATGCCACTGTTTCTGATCAAAACCAAAGAACTCAGCCGTGGTTGCTTCACTCTCTCCCAGTGAACGCGCTCAATTTCTGCGCCTTTTCTATGTCATTCATTGACATGACCAGCAAGGAGATGTCCGGAGATGAGTCAAAACCGGAAGATGCACCCAGGAAAGATATCTTATTTGCAGTCCCCAATGCCCTTGACTCTGGTGGCATCGATATATTCCATCTGCCCTCCGAGCGTCGGCTCACCACCATCCGGTCGGATCCTGCTATCAAGACCGGCATGGTCATGGGCGTCAACCTTTTTGTAACGCCCTCCGGTGACATCTTCGTGACATCCGCCTACGAGGATGGTCATGTTATGGCCTTTGTCCGACGAGGCCCTCTCGACTCGTCAAGTCTTGATCCGAACTATATCGCTTCGAATCCCTGGACATGGGAAAAGCTCTACGGCAGCCGCCCTCACACCCAGCCTGTTCTCTCTATCGACACCTCTCCCACCCGCGACTTCTTTTTCTCTTCGTCAGCAGATGCATTGATCATCAAACACCCCATTCCAACTAGTAGCCAGAGCTCTACTATCGGGAACCAGGAGGACCTGCCGATGAAAACAATTAATACGAAGCACTCTGGCCAACAGGGATTGCGGATTCGCGGGGATGGCAAGGTGTTAGCCACTGCTGGCTGGGACAGCAGGGTGCGGGTGTACTCGTGCAAGACTATGAAAGAGCTCGCTGTCCTCAAGTGGCACAAGGAGGGCTGCTATGCCGTGGCCTTTGGCGAGGCCAACTCCACCACTCAACCCGCATCTTCTGCCAAAACAGAGCCAGAAGAACCGGACGAAAAAGACAACACAACTCAAAGATACGACGCCTCACTCGCTAATATTCACCAACAACGAAATCACAAAATACAACAAACACACTGGCTGGCAGTCGGTTCCAAGGACGGAAAGATCTCATTATGGGATATCTACTGAAACAAATGCTAATGCTCTTGTACAATAATGCATCGCCACATATCGAGGCAACATAGAGAACATAATTTTTAAGCAAGATTGAACTCGCTGGCTCCGGCCATTTGCTCGCGCAGCTTCGCGCGCATCCTGCGTGCCGCATCGTCAGTGTTAGAAGGAGCCGGAGCGTTATCATCAGCACCACCAGCCTTCCTCTTCTGACCAGCACCACCCCGCGAGGCCTTGAAATCCTTCTTCGTGTCTTCCTTGCCGGGGCGCAGACCGGGAACATTGATTTTGCCTGGTCGATCACGCAGAGCGAAACTTTTGGCAAGGTGGCCCAAATGAAGGTCTTTGATGTTGAACATGCTGCGCTCAGCAGCAATGTGAGTTGCGTAGGCACGGATGTGAGACTGGAATGCACGGCGCGCCATCTCCAGATATTGGGGGTTATCCAGTGCCCAACGCTCCACGTCCATCTGCCAATCTGTGGTCTTCTCCTGCCAATTCTTGCTGTCCGAATCCACATTACTACCGAAACCACGCTTTAGAATTTCGTTGGCATCGGTACGGGTGAGTGCCTTGCCACCGTCACGATATCCACGCTTCAAGACTTCGACGTAGTTCTCCTCGCATCCAGGCTGGAGGAAGACCAGAGCGCGACCATCACGGCCAAGACGCGCGGTACGACCGATACGATGGGTATGATCGTCTGCGCTGAAGGCTGGGTCGTATTCAATGACAAGATCGACGTTAGGCAAATCGAGACCACGCGCAGCGACATCAGTGCAAACAAGAACTGAGGGGTCGCCGCTGCGAGAGAAGGAGTTTAGAGTAGCAGTTCGTACATGCTGGGGGAGCGAACCGTGAAGGCGATGGAGGGTGACGGAATTTGACGGAGAGGAAAATGCTGTAGCAGGCGCAATGGTGCCGTGGGGAGACATCTTCTCGCGTTCACTCTGGGTCTTTTCTTCTTCGTTTTCTTCATGGTCTTCACTGTCGCTGTCACTGTCTCTTTTATTCCCCTTTCGCTTGCCATATTCTCGCGAGAACACTTCAAACAGGAAATCAACCGAGTCGGCACAGGAGACGAAGACAATGGCTTTCATCACAGAGCCCTTACGAATGAAGGTCCGTTTGAGGAATGCAGTCAGTGAGACCAGACGCAACTTGGCTGCGACAACCGCATATGACTGCTTCAGCTGAGCAGGTACACGGAATGAATCTTCATCGTCCTTTCGACCGCGGTTTTCATCATCTTCGTCAGCGGGATCAGCCTTGATGTGGACTGCATCCTTCAAACTGATCTCTCCAAGTCGTTGCACATTCATCTTGAGCGTAGCAGAACACAAGACAGTGGTCCTACGAGTAGGCACGCCGGGAATGCGACTGGGCCGCTGTCTCGCGTCCAACTTTTTGACAATACCCTGCAATTCTTCCTCGAAACCCATGTCCATCAGACGATCACCCTCATCCAGAATCAGCCATCGCACGTTGCTGACATCCAGCACTTGTGTGTTATCCAGGTGGTCTACCAAGCGACCGGGTGTAGCGACGAGGATGTTCAGACCTTTCCTCAAGCGGGCCTTTTCAGACTTTTTCTTTTCACCACCAATAACCGTTCCACCAACAATCCAGTTCGCGCATCGGAGAAGATTTTCCAACACGACCGAAATCTGCTTACACAACTCACGAGTCGGAGCTAGAACAATAGCAAACAGACCACTGTCGCGGTGAACGCCCTCCTCTTTTGTAGCCTTCGAGAGAGCCATGATTCGCTGCACCAGCGGGAGTAGATAGGCCAGAGTTTTACCTGAACCTGTCTCAGCTTGGATGAACGCATCACTCTCCTCCTTCAGCAGCTGTGTGATCGAGGCCTTTTGAATCGCAGTCGGCGCCTTCAATTCAAGCTTAGTGAGAAGATGCGCAGCCAGGTTCGGCGATAAACCCAAGTTTGTAAAAGTGTCGATGCCATCAATCAGCGGCGCGTTGGTCGGCTTCGCCTCCTCGATGGGTTCTTCGGACTTTTCCTCCTCCACATATGTCGACTCGGGGTTGCTGGTGAAGAGCGATGAGGCAAATTGACCTGGGTGTCGGCGCGCAGCCTGCGGTTGCGATCGGGATCGTTGGCCGGCGTCTCCGCCCTTGTACTCACTTGAGTCGGTCTTTTGTCGTTTGGTCGGCCGCGAGCTCGGAATCTGGATTTGGTTCGGGTTTTTGGGCTGGTTGGGGCGTTTGTTGCCTTCGCCGTCAGGTCGAGGTTTATGCTGAGAGCGCTTTTTCGCGGAGAGACGGTCCCGCCATGTTCCTCCCTTGTATTTGGCCTCCGGCTTGATGACACTGTCCCCAATGGAGAAATTCAGAAGCATCCCATCGTCGGCCATGGTGAAAATTGCAATACCCAGCAGCTGGGTTGAATCTGGGGGTCGAGATGTTTGGCGCGGGTTGTCGAGACTTTTTTCCCGCCAAGGCCCACCCGCAAAGGAACATTCTCGGCCCGAGCCCTATCAGTCTGCCCTACTTGCCGTTTGGAGAAGGTCGGAGGATGTAATGCCAGTCAATGTCTATGAGGGGATCTATCTTCTATCCTATTTTGGCAATCCAGTTTCAATGGATTATTTTGATGTACACAGATTTTCAATAGGAAGGAAAAATCAAGCCCGTGGCTGAAGAATCAGGTTGTCGATCAGACGCACTGGCACCTTACCGTCTCCCAATCCGCAGTCCTCGCCGGGCTTGTTCTCTTCCAAGGGCGCCATCTTCAAAGCAGCACTCAGGACACCGCCCTGAGTAGGGTCAACGAGATCCAGCTCGTCGAGAGTGTTCGGATCAGCCAAGGAAATATAATCCACCTCAAAGAGCGATCTCTCAGATGGTGTCAGTGCACGCTGCTCAGCCAGCACCTGGTCGGTGATACTCCGAGCAGCCCCGAGAATGTCTGCGCGGGAAACCTTGCCCGACTGGTACGCATCCTCGGCCGCCTTGAGGGCCTTGTAGATTGTGAGTCCCACGGCACGTCTGCGGTCACCCAAATACACGTTGCGAGAGCTCATTGCCAATCCGTCGGCCTCGCGAGCAGTGCTGACAATGCGGACCTCGGTGCCAATTAGGAAGTCCTGCACCATTCGCTTGATAATGACAGTCTGCTGTACATCCTTCTGGCCGAAGTATACACGATCGGGAGTGGTGGCATTGAAGAGCTTCATGCAGACGGTTGCGACACCGCGGAAGAAAACGGGTCGGGAGCCTCCCTCGAGCTTTGAGGATAGAGGAGTGATTGTAACAAAAGATCCCTGACCATCAATGTCGGATGATGGGGGCAGAGTTGGATACATGACCTTCGACGTGGGAGCGAAGATGGCCGTGATCTGTCCGGAGCCAGGGGCCCCTGAACGGCCCAACTCCTCATTCAGCTTCTCCAGCTTCTCGACATCACTGTCCCAGGTGCGAGGGTAGCTAGATAGGTCCTCGTTGACGCCGAATTGAGTGGGGTTCACGTAGATGCTAACGAAGATATCGGTGTTCTCGCGAGCTGCTTCACGAATCAAGGAGAGATGCCCCTCATGGAGTGCACCCATCGTAGGCACAAATCCCACGGTACGTTCATTTCTTAATAATTGGTGACGGAGCTGGCGGAGAGACGGAACATCGCGAAACACTTGGAACGAAGACGGCTGGGCCGCGGGTCGAGAAGCTGCGGTGGCCAAGTTCGAGGCCGTAGCTAAGGAGAGCAGGGAGATTAGCCCTCAGAATCCCCTATAGCGATTCCGAGGGGTGTGATATTCACTTACTCGACAACGACCTGACCCCACTGACCAGACGAGACATAGTGTGCAGAGAAGACTGGCGAATAAAGCAATCTAACGGTGCCGCAGCTGTCAAACGGCGGGTGGGCGAAAGGGCGGCCTGAGGCTTCCCGCGGCTACATCGGCGGCACTGGCCGCTGCCGCCCACCGTAGCCATTCCGTGCCTCGGTTGCGTCTGGGGAAACACCTGTGAAAAGACAATCCGGGGGACGATCCTTTTTGTTGGGAACTCGAAGCTATGGCCCAGTCCCGCACTCCTCTTTCCGAGTGGATCCTTCTGTTCCTATTTGCAACCTCATCAATGGCCTCACCTGGTCGTCTCTGACCTCGCCAGCTTGCTTTCGACGTCCTCCCTTCCCCCCGCTTTTCCGACACCATGCCGCCCCCTAAATCGGCCGTCAGTGACGAGGCTCCGGATTTGGAGATCGTGGGCAAGCAGGTGACGATCCATCCGTCGGGCTTCACTGGTGGCCCTGGAGCTCAAGATGACACCATTACCGAGCGCAACCTTGTTCAGCATATGGCCCGATTCCGCGAAAACCCCCTCGACTTTCTCCGCGAGATCAGCCTGTACATGTCCGGCATGGGCTGGCGCGCATACGACGATGTGATCGGACAACCAGTGTTCTACTCGGGATTCTCCGAAAATATGAAGACGTCCATTTCAGGTAGCCCGATGCTACAGGACAAAGTCAGGGAGCTCGCGCGTACACGTCTGTCGGTCGAGGAGAAGGAGGGGCTATTGGCACTTAAAGAAGGGGCCAACTTAGATGAGAAACGAGCACGCCGCCGACACGAAATCGAGAGCAGCCTCCGAGAAGTGGTGGATAACATGATGGACAACATGATTTGCAAGATGGAGAGCAAACCTTTTATCCGGGGTGCATATTATATGTGTACACAGCTCTTGACTCGTGCTTACCACCAGGGTATCCATGTGTCCAGTGAGGAGGTCTTGCGTCTTCGAGCAGTGGCCCAAGAAGCCGCCAAGAAGAAGCAGTCCATTGTTTTTCTTCCATGCCACAAGTCACATGTGGATTATGTATCGTTGCAGCTCATTTGCTACCGTCTGGGAATTGGGTTGCCTGTTGTTGTCGCGGGCGACAACTTGAACATCCCCCTACTTGGTCCATTCCTGCAGCATGCAGGTTAGTTTTGGTTTTCTCCCGTGCTGCGTGGATGATACTGACTTCAAAAGGTGCTATGTGGATTCGACGCAGTTTCGGAAACGATCCGCTATATCATACTGTCGTACAAGCATATATCGACACCATTCTCCAGCAAGGTTTCAATTTCGAATGCTTCATTGAGGGTGGTCGCTCCAGAACTGGAAAATTGCTCTCACCCAAATTCGGAATTTTGAACTTTATTGTCGACAGTGTCTTGTCCGGGAGAACAGAGGATACAATTATTTGCCCCGTCAGTACACAGTACGACAAAGTCATCGAGACAGAGTCAGTCCATCAATTCCACTAGCCGCCATACTGTATGGTCATACTCACCTTACTCTAGGTCTTATATCAGTGAACTTTTGGGACAACCCAAACAGAAAGAGAACTTAGCTGATCTTCTTTCCTCGTCATCGGTCTTGTCTCTGAAATTGGGACGAGTCGATGTCCGATTTCATGAACCATGGAGTCTCCGTGAATTCCTTAACCAGCAACTCTCGCGGCTCAACCAATCCGGTCTCGGTACTAACCAGAAGCTTGCTCAAACCGAAAAAGGCCGTATCCTCAGAACACTCGGATATCGAGTTCTGTCCGAGATCAACGACGTCTCTGTCATGATGCCGCCAGCTCTCGTCGGGACCGTTCTTCTCACTCTGCGTGGTCGTGGTGTCGGCAAGGGTGAACTAGTCCGCCGTCTTGACTGGCTATGTGAGCGGGTCCGAGCCAAGGGCGGTCGAGTTGCCCACTTCTACCGTTCGCCCACTGATCTGGTAGTCGATCGAGCCCTCGATGTCCTAGGCCCAAAGCTGGTTGGTGTAATTTCCGGCCTAGCCGAACCGACCTATTATGCAGTCGATCGCTTCCAACTGTCATTCTACCGCAACATGCTCATCCATTTGTTCATCACGGAGGCATTAGTCTCAGTCGCAATGTACACAAAGATCAAGCAAGGCGGTGGCCCTGCCAATCAGCGCATCACGTACGAGGCGTTGAGGAATCAGGTCTATTTCCTGTCTCAGGTGAGTCTTCAGTCTACATGATGTAAATGGTAGAAACACGAGTCTAAGATCTTGAAGCTTTTCCGTGGCGAATTCATCTTCCCCCCGGAGGGTCTGTCGGCCAACATGGAAAATACCCTACGCGGCTTAGAGGCCGATGACGTGATCAAGATCACTCGCGACGGCTCCGGCACACCACAATATGTCGAACTCAGTGAGGCCGAGCGTCACTGTGGCCGTGAGAACTACGACTTTTACTGCTTCCTGATCTGGCCCTTCATCGAGGCCTCTTGGCTTGGTGCAGTCTCTCTCCTTGGTCTTACGCCACCTCTCGATGGCGGACACAATACCTGGATTGACATGAAAAAGGCCCAGGACAGCGCGCAGCTTGTGAGTGACCATCTTCGACCAGCTGCTAATTTGACTTGGCTAATTGAAACCCCAGCTTGGAAAAACGCTCTATCATCAAGGAGACCTTTCCTACTTCGAGGCTGTGAACAAGGAGACTCTTCGAAATTCATATCAGCGCTTTGAAGAAGAGGGAATCATCCTCGTGGCCAAGGACAAGGAATCTCGTGCCGGTCCATCGCTCAAACTAGCGCCTGAATGGACACCAGAAAGAGACCCTACCAGCGGGAGAGTCTTGGACCGAGGAAAACTCTGGGACTTTACTGAACTCATTGCCCAGTCCCGTCGTGAGGGGTGAGTTGAATATCTCAATGATTCCATAGAGTATATGCTAACCATGTCCGCTAGCAAAAACCGTCGCGATGGCGCCACTGTCTCCTCGCGTGTCTTGACCATGTCGGACATTGTCGGTCGCCAGCTATTCTACAATGCTGCAGCTCCGCCTCCAGCTGGTGTCTCATCCCGGCAGATGCGCCGAAAGGCCATTGGAACAGATGCGAAGCTCTAATGCCATCAGCAGCGGAGATCTCTCTGGTTCCTCAATTTTCTCAGCTAATTCAACTTACATCTTAAATACCCCGAAGTCAACCGGTCCGTCACTGGTGTTGACTTCTTGTATATACACGAATATATCTCACTTCGACCTTGCTGGATTTTTTCTTATAACGTCTTGGGAAAATCCTTGACATCTAGAACCTGTGCTCCAGAAGCAATGTCTCTCCGGGCACCACGATCGCGGATTCTCACGGCATCGAGGCATCTTCCCTCTGATTTTTCTAGCACTCTTTGGAAGCTCTACCCGAGCCCGAAACAAAACGCGGCGGGCTTATTCCGCACCGCCACGCGATCAAGCTCCGCCCGAGTGTCCCAGGGCGAACCTTAACTCTTAGTTTTTGCAGACAGCTGCGGTGCCTGAACAATAATTGCAATAATTGAAACAAGAATTTGGGCAGTGAACTCATTTTCACCAAGTGCGCTAGAATGGGGATCTAAAGCAGGTAAAGACACTATCGGCAAATCTCACTAGCCCAGCAACATCATAGGGCGTTCCACAGCATATAATTGCCGATCACTTTGCCGATGACCCCAGGATTTTGACCAGCCGATGTCTAAAGGTGGGCTTTGACTAGCGTCGTCCAGAAAGGGCCCATGCACAGTGGTTACACTGATCGCCGGTTTTCTTGCTGGGCGGCGAGTCCCTTCAGGGCCAATTCATCCTATCACCGAAGCCACATCAGTTGGATCGGAAGAGCCGACTACCAGGTATGCAAATGTTCTCTTGCTTAGGCTCGGCAGTCGCTCATCGGGTCTCTACTTGGTGGCCTTTGCGCCTGCTGCATCCTTCGGCTTAACTAGGTGAAGGCTTGATCGTGGAGAAGCCGATGTGCCTCCTCCCCCACACTTCCTTCTCCGCAAATTGACATTCAGACTTTGACAGCTCCGATGCCAGAGCTTGCCTTGAAGTTTCTTGTATTAGTCGGACATATTTACTCTTCGGTAAGAGCAAAGGAGGCATCGAATCCAAGAACCTTAAGGTAAGTGTTGGTATCACCAGCTAGGTACTGTGTACACAGTTAAGTGGACAGTTTTTATGCTCCAGAGCAAAAAGTCAATTGATTCTCTTGATAGATGTAGATGTGTACCAGGTCCGGTCCAAAATACCCCTGAATCCAATACGCCGATCCTCGGTGGTCCCAACACCGGTGCCGCGGCTTGGCGCAAGGTCACCCAGCAAAGGAATGTGATCTACCAGTCGTCAGCGGCAAGTTGCCGCTTGCTTGTTCTGACAAAAGGATATGTACCGACAGTAAGGAATGGAAAAATTCCGCGCCAAGAATCCTTCACAAGATGAATCGATGACATCAAGTCACGGGGGTATCCGACGGGTAGAAGCCCACGATATGGCCTTCTCTTACCTGATAATATTGACGAATACCTAGTTCGCTCAAGCTTGGTCTGATCCCTGTCATAAATACCTGCCACTCGTCTTATCAAAAGAGGGCGAATCAGATGCCTACTAAACACTTAATACAATGTCCAGATTCTCATGCTTCATCAACCTCATCTATAGAGATAATTCACGAACCAAAAAGGTTAAGTTTCCTCAGATATTCGCTTGTTCAGAAGGTTGCTCTTATCCCATTTATTCTATCATGGAAGATCAAGAATAAAGTTTTATACAGGCACTTGAAGCATGATCACATCCTCTCCAAAGCTCGAGCTCCTCCCATACTGCGGGGGCACCTTCGGCTTCTTTCCGCATACAAGTAGGCCCTACACTACATTGAGAAGCATCGGACGCAAAGTCGGCTAGCGGGGGAAGGATAATTACCGAGGAATCCACTCCTTCTCTCCGGGGATCAAATTGCGGAGATATGAGGTTCCACAGCTAAGGCTATTAGTTGAGGCAAATGATTAAGATGAAGAGTATAAATCGAGGCGTTTGCGACTTCCAAACCCATGAACACACTTAAGAAAGAGAGTAGGGCTACTTCTACTGTCACTCTATCAATCACAATGTGCCACTCTGTTCTGGCACGCCTTCCTAAGGCCTTGACTCTTTTTTCTACATTGTTGAGTCCTGTCATTGCATCCTCAAGTGGAGAACTATGGCCTCTGCAGACGTACAAGAGTTCTCCTATCAAGACACCACATATGAACGTCACAAAGATGGGCCAAACGGAACCTGGTCTTCTTTTCTTCACTCCACAAGATATTCTTCGGAATATCGGCCAACCAGCCATCTATTCAGACGATGGACAACTCGTCTGGCAGGGGCAAAGCGGCAATCAATCCGCACTTCAGCCTCAAATGCTCAACGGCGAGCCCGTAATTGCCTACTGGGAAGGCTATTCCGGTGAGGGATTCGGATTCGGACACATTAGCATCCTGAATAGCTCGTATGATGAGATCCATCGCGTCACACTGGACTGCAAGTCGCAGAACTTTGTGACAGTTTTTGACCCGATGGAATTCGAGTCTTGTATCGATATCCACGAGAGCCAGCTTACGAATAATGGCACCATTCTGGTTACTGCTGTCAATGTCACGCAGGCTGATCTCAGCTCTGTCGGGGGCCCAAAGGATGGTTGGATCCAGGATGGTCTCATCTACGAGATTGATCTTGTTACCAATGAGATCCTTTTTCGGTGGAGCGCCCACGAGCATATTGATCAGGTGCCACTCAGCGATGTGCGGGCTCCGCTTGAGGCTCCTGAATCTGGTCAAAACAAGACAAGTCCGTACGGATATCCGCATCTCAATGCTATCTACAAGTATGGTGATGATTATTTGCTTTCATCTCGATACATGTGCAGTGTCTTCTTCCTTTCATCCAACGGGTCTGTCATCTGGCATCTCCATGTATGTATCTTCATTGTTTCTGCAACCAAGTTCGAGCAAGCTTCATCAAGACAACGCTAATACATCCCACAGGGCCGAACTGGTGGCGATTTTAATTTGGGTCTCGGAACAAGCTTCTGCTACCAGCACGACGTCCGCTTCATATCACAAACTACCGAGCGCGTCACGCTCTCCATGCACAATAACGACAACACCGAGTTCACAGGCCATACATCCCTAACCACAGGCATTGTCCTTGAGCTCGAACTCCAGGGGTCAAAGCAAGTCACCCTCAAGAGCCGGATGTGGGACGCCGACGAGCCGGTATATGCCGAGTCCCAGGGAAGCTACCAGTCTCTTGGTAATGGGCACGTCTTGCAGGATCACGGAGCTACTCCGAAAATCGAAGAGTTTGATGAGAACGGAAGAATTGTGATGCGGGCCCGCTTTGGGTATGATAATACCATGCAGACTTACCGGGTATATCGATACCCCTGGACTGGGACCCCGTCTACCAAGCCGGACGTTGCTGCTTGTGTCCAGAGCGGAAGTGGTAAGGCTGCTGTGTATGTGAGCTGGAATGGGGCGACGGATCTTGAATCGTGGAAGGTGTATTCGGGGGGTGACCTTATACAGACCGCTTTAAGGAATGGATTCGAGACGACAATCATGGTGGACGATTTGAGTGCTGGTGAGGAGATTACTGTTGAAGCAGCTGGGGGTGTTGGAGATGGGACTAGGTCTGACTCGGTCATGATCAGTCAGAGTTGTTGATTCATGTGGTAGGAAGCCTCCATAACTCCATATGTCATAATCTGACAAGGGTATATAATCAGACCCCAAGTTTAGGAGGGAGTAGCGTTAAATGGTCTGTCTTATAGAAATCTCTCGTATTCAATCTTCTTTTCATTCACTTGTTGTTCGATACAAACGACCATAGGGTGTGGAGAAGAGGACTTCCCGTCCGCTCAGCCGTACTTAAGCCACATACGAATCGCAGTCACTTTCCTGAACGCCTTTTGGTTTAAATCGTTAATGCGGGTGATGTTGGTGAGAGCACTCTTTGCATCGGCCTTCGGAGTTTTCGATATCCTCAAGAAGCGGACCTGCTTAGATCACGAGGCTTGGCATTTTGGTGTAAGTATTATTCGAAACCAGTCACCTACGGGTCTCAACCCATCACCAAATTTGGTATCCTCTTTTCGTCTGATGACATGATTGCGGAGTTAATGGCAGGATGTGGCCTTTGTGGTTCCCGATGAATAGATGACGGTAGCCTCTTCCGTCCTTACGCAAGCCGGTTTTTTTTCTACCTTGCACAAAGCGCCTAGATTGTCCTCGTTTAAATCGATATCAGGCTCAATTTGCTTCGGAGCACATCCACATCAGCGACAATCTGATTTTATCTTTGCACCTGAAATTCGATACTCAGTGGGGATTAGAAGACTTATGTGGTGAGGGGTTTCAAGACTCTCCATCTATTTTCAGTGTGGCAGATCCTCGGCTTACCCCTGCATTGCCGGGCTACAGACGAGGACGGTTGGCATCAGAATGTTCTGAGGTGATGATTTTAAGTCCTGCCAAAATTTGCGAGGTTATAATTTTGCGCTTCTGTCAGATTACTACACCGTTTATGAAACCAATTAGATGGCGATTCTGACTTATATATCGAAATACATGGTCTATAAAGGCATCATTGACGGAAAAGAACTAGGAAATGAGTACGGAGAGTTCTATTTTGCCCTCTTGCGACTCGGTAGTGTTTTCACATCTGGGTAAGCTTCGCTGTGATTTGTCTTTGAGTGGGCGCCTGCCAAGAGAGCAAAGTTCATAGCCATACGTATTGGCAATGAGTACTCACAGACTTATAAAATGTAGAGGAATTTCATTTCTTATTTTGTAAATGCGCTTAAATAACGGTTCGGAAGATGAGCGCCTCGAAATTTATTTAAATATCGACTATTTTTGTGCCATCAAAATTCGCCGCCTGAGAAAAGTAGTATCCTCTCTGGTTTGAAATAACTCGTTTGCCATCGACAGAGTCCCGAAAATCACAGTTAAAATGCGTATGTCCAAATGCCCAAAGTTTCACGACGCCACGATTCCAGCAAGGCTCACTTGATAAATCAGACATGAAAGCAGAGGAAATTTTGCTGCCAGCATGTTGAGGATCGACAACATCTTTACTGATCAATGGGCAGTAGTGAGTCAACACGACAACCTTTCGATTTGGTTCGAAGCGTGAGATTGAATCGATTTCATTGTTGAGCCAGTCGAGGTCTGCGCGATGCGCTTCTTGGTGTGCCTCAACAGACCAATCATCGATATAATAATTATCATTCAGGCCAAAACTGACGCTATCCTCTTGTTCGTGTGCCACCTGCGAGAACAGGGTGCATCCAAGAATGCTAAGTGTTGATGAAATGTCGTGGCGTGCTTTGTCGAGGAAAACAAATTGGCCGAGCGGTTTGCCCGATGGGAGAGGCGCCAATCCGGATTCGAAACGTTTGATTTTCGTTTTAGCTTCGGTCCAACTGCTGTAATAGGGCTCATGGTTTCCCAAAACCAGAAACACGATACGAAATTCCTCGAGTTGTTTGCGAAGAAAGCGGAAGAAGCCATCGTCTTTGGCGTAGCCAATGTCGCCAACTAATGCCAGGTATGGCGCTTTGGGCTCGATATGGAAAACATCGTATGCATTAGGAACTTCCAGATGAAGATCTGACAGGATTTGCATTTGTGTTTCAGCCATGGGTGGCTATGCGAAACGCAAACTGTTTTAGATGCTGGGTATATTCTGAGGGAAGGTATCCCACAGCGCTAATACAGTGGCGGCACTGAGGCGGTCAGGCTAGGCAGTTGGCGCCTAATGTGGCAGACACTACATTACAATGCACCTGACGTGGCATACCAAATTAGTACCGATTTCCAAAGCAAAGAATGTAAATAAAGGCTTCTTTCCAACGATTTTTAAATGGATAAATGACACTTTATCTCGATTCATTGACATCAAATCAAAGAAATGCCCGCCCCATCATTTGATGAACTCGACACGGCCGCAGGCGCTGATATGCCCGAAATCTCTCACGCCAGTATTTCTGTTATTGGGGGCTTAGGTATTTGGAACTACCTTCGTGGTTATCAAAGTACCGAAGTAGCACCGTTTCTACCCGCTTCGAGATTCCTTGTCAATTCTTTTGCATCAGGACCTCGAATTTCTCCTAACTGCTTCCAAGGTGCTCCTAAGGCAATCAAGGACGAGCTACTTGCTATTCCGTCGACACCATTCCAGCAGCAAACACAGCAGTTCTTCTATAAGGGACCAGGCGGCAAATCAATCCAGACCGATATAATTCAAGACTGGATGGTGTGCATCCTAATATCGATCGTTTCAATGAACTATAATCTAATGACCTACAGTCACCTTATGTCTCATCCATGGCGCTCTCGATTCTAGCCCTTTAACCAGGCTCCTTGCTGTACATCTCTGAGCTATATCTTCTATTTTCAAAATCAATAGTTGTGGTTTGCGGCCAACACGTCAAAGAAGTTTCGTGGTGCTCTTGATGCCAGTACCCTGGCAGATTATCTTAGTTCAAAGAGCCACATTGCCCTGTCATTTACGCAGAAAAATAGACCTAAACTATGTGATCCAGTTTCCAAGTCAAGATAAAGGTAGCATCTGGTAAACATCGAAACTTTGTCTGAATTGACCAGAAGCGCAGATAGTCAGAGCAAGTAAGTATTCGGCCCCGCAGAAGCTTTAATTCTTCTTTTTGAGCTCAAACATTCGCCTTCTAATGCTTTCTTTGAGCGGAGGGGTTTGATGCTGGACAACTCGAGAGTGGGGTTTTATGGAGAAGTTTGCTCGAGGAGTTCGCCGGTGAGATATCTGATGGAATCGAAAGACAGATTATTCTTTCAGCGTCCCGTATCCTAGAAATGCTGTTCGTTTGGTGCTTGTATTTTTTGTTTTTTGTCTTGCTGTTTTTGTGCTGTTTTTTTTTTTTTTTTAGTATTTGTCATTCTTTGCAGAACTGTTATACTTGGTCGCGAATGATATTGAAATCTTTATAACTAAGTATTTTCTTGAAATGATTTATTTATTCATGAAAGGTCTAAACCAAGAAATCAAACCCCGAGTTCGAGGACACCACAATCTTAGGCGGTGTCTTCCCACTCGGAGCCGGTGTACCAGGACTAGTGTTGGTAGTGGACGATGCTCTGCTCACATCCGGCCTACTCATGATAACCTCCGTAGGTATGCTCGCACGCTGGACACTGGATATATTCTGTATGTCAAGTCCACGGGATGCCTCGCTCGAGCAAGTCCTAGACGGCAGAGTATACGCATGCTGCGGGCGAGTCACCGGACGCGACGAAGAAGGACCAGGCAACGATAAATGCCTCGCAATATCTACCGGGATCCTGGAATTACCCTCGCCATTCGAAGACTCCGATCCAATAAAGCTGCTAGCCCTAGAGCGAGGAATCGGGGAGTTGCTATACGCTTTGTGGAAGTCGGGAAGACGATTGTTTCGAAATTCCTCGCCTGGGACCTCGGGAAACGTCGAGCGCTCTTTGGCGTGGAAACCGGAGTCTTGGAATTGGTCGTGAGCTTTCGCGGCCATCTGCATACTCAAAAAATTGAGCCAGCGGGCGACTATTCGTCGACCACCTGGGTCGACAGATATCTCGCTATGGTTTGTGGTTGTACGGGGGATCCTTTGTGAGATAGTAGTTGACGTCATCGTTCGAGTGACATCCTCAGAGCGTCGATCGTCGTTGCCTGCCGAGCTGTGGCGTGGACTATTGTCGGGACTATCTGGATCATAGTATTGACCGATGATTGTCTCTGGGTTGCCACTTTCGGCATTTGATGGCGCTTCCTGATCGGCTTTTTGATTCTGTTCGGCGTCCATGTCGGCCGTTAGAAGAAGATATAGAGAACCGACCGCTGCAAGCGCCGTACCGACAATGGGTGCCCACTGGCCTAGACAACACACGTTGGATGTTAGCGAGCGAGCAGCCAACTCACGACGTCCAAAATCGCTTACCAATGCTCGTGATCGGCTCGGTTTGATACATCAGTTGCTTGCTGAAAAAGTTCATCTCACCCTTGACCAAAATGGCGAGGACTGCGGCGAAAAATACCGGAATTTCGATCAGAGTCAACCAGCTTCGAATTCTCATCGCAATCCAGTTCATCTGCTTGGGCGTGGCTCCATTTGTTCCACTAATCGGCTGCTCATCAGGTTTCTCGGTCGGTGGATTTCGAGCTGACAGTTTCTCCCAATTTTTCTCGAGGATCTTGATCCAGGTAGAGACTAGTGAGAGTATTGCTGGGACGCAGCAAGCAGCGGCGAGGAGAGTGGCTGTGTTGAATGACAATTCATGAGGCACCTCGATCACGTAGATATTGGCGGCAGCGCCTTGCCTCAGGGGGTGAGAAAGGCCCCTCCTCCTCTCCACAAATCATACCGCACTTGCTTTCGTACGAGAAGGTGCCATTTTTAAGCCATTGGATGGTTGCAGGGTCACCAGGCGGACAGATCGTAGACTCTAGGCGAATGAACTCTACTGTCAAGCTGAGAAGCCCCGCGAGGATCAGTCCGGTCCAGAGAAAGATGATGTCGCGGCCTGGGTTATTGAAGTACGTTTTGGAGAGTCTCACTGTGGCTGGTGCAGTCAAGATGCCAATTGAACATAGTTGAAAGGCACCATAGACGTCCATATCGACGGCACCTATAGCGAGTTAGAAGTTTGTAGGCGTTAGATAGCTGGAAACCAACCTACCCTCTCGATGTAAGGCCGCCAAAACAATTCCGTGGAGTGCCGCAACGGCAGGGAACAGCAGCACGGCCGCCAGACCAGCATTCCGGATCCATTCTGCTTTACGAGCAAAGACACAAGCTGCCACCAGTACGTAGTATCTTCCAGTGATGTTAGCACTCGCGGGATTTCTGCAATGGAGATATCTGCGAGAGAAATCATACAGAACTCGAGTCCCTGGTCCATACTGGCCCGATACTGGCCATGCACAGATAACCGCTAGACCTGGATCTGTTGCATTATGCGCAGTAACACTGCGTTGCACAAACTGGCTCCCCAGTAGTTCCGAGATGGGAATCGCCGGCATTGCTAGTCAACTACGTCCCGATCAGTCGGAACGGGAAAAACAACAAGAAGGGCATTCACAAAGCCAGCTCGCTTCACTCGAATTCGTTGCATCGCCGCATCTGCCTTGAGAGATGCGAAGACGACAGGAAACCAGTATTAAAGGGCAAAGATCGGGTCTCGGATGAAGGAGGCGTCGTCTGCCCGGGTTCAGGATCATCACGAACGCGAGCTCTCCGCACATACCACTCTGCAGATTGTTTGGTCAGCACGAGCCTCATTCTCAAAGGACCGCCTTCAACGAGACTATCAGGGCCCAATGGGCATGCGTTCTCTGTGTTTCCGAGCGGGCAAGTGCCCTCGTGATGTCCGGCCGGGCGTCCGCAGTCATCGGGGCGTGGAATACGAGACGGGGCGCCGCCGGCTGGCGTGGTTGGTTCATCGCAGACAGTGCAGACAGGCTAAGCCTGGCTTTTTTTTTGCGGCGATCTTAAGAAGAGCAAATTGTTGACAAAATTGACAGAAAGGCAGATTGCTGACTTGATCTCGATGAAATATCAGACGTATCACTGACTGGACTGGCGGATCAGAGTGCCACTGTCGACATCCAGCCCGCATCCAAATCACATTGAAGCGTGAAACTGCCACGCCAATCGTGCGGGGTCGGGCACAAACCTGCTGGCGCGGCGGCTTCTTTGAGTCTTTTTTCCTGCAGTCTCACGTCGCTTGAAGGAGGCTGAGCCCGGCAAGCAGGCTAATCATCCCGGTGTCGCCAGCCCGTGCCATCTGTACTTTTCCTGATTGCTGCTGCTGGTGAGGCTTAGCCTGTGCTCGACAATACCTGCCGATTTTTGCCGTTGTGTGCCCGTCCAGCTCACCGCGAGTGATATGAGGCATTCTCCCCGGATCGAGATCGAAGAGAGTGTGAGCAAGTGACGGGAAGTCGCGGCTGCTCGAACTTCGCAGCATATCCCCGTGTCGCCCTCACCGCCATGCTGCCTTCCGCATAGAGGAAGACACTCAGCCCTGCATTCCTAAAAACGACACGACCATCGCCAGCCCCTCGTGGCGCTTTTCAGTCCCTCTAGTCCAACTGAATTCTGAATGTAGGAGGGTTTTTTCCTTACATTCCACATCCTCACGGCACAACATGCCACCCTCCCGCAAGCACAAAAACTGACGGGGCGCCTGCTCTTCGATAGGCACTGGCCGGTCCCACTGCGCTTTTGATGTCTCTATTCACAATTGCGACCGAATCCTGCATCTCGAAACCCCGCCGATGATCTACGTGGGGCCTGAGGCAACCACAACACCAACATGGCGGAGAGTCTGGACACCAACCAGATCAAAAACTGGCGATCAATAATTACCCTCATACTTTTTGTGATAACTAGTAAGTGGGTGCATTTGGCGCGATCAGAATGGCCTCCATTTTCGACTTTCTAGGGTTTCTATTGACCGTCATAGACATCATCGTGCTTTTCCCATTTCATGTCCCGTTCTACATTCCTCGGTGGCTCTACAATGCAAGTTTGGACGGACTCGCCGCGATACGAATCATACCTCCGCGCAATCACGACACTTCTCAACCTCATGAAAAGTCCAAATCATTTGTTCGACTGAACATACCCCTCAACTTTGTCACTGCACCATTAATAGCCGATCTTTTCCTTCTGGCCATCTTGGCAATTGGCCGACAAGAAGTACACGACGGGACAGTGGGAGCCAACGGCATTTCTCCCATCGATATTCTCGTCTTCTTCCTCACGCTGGCCTACATCGCAATTTCCATCGACGCATCAGGTCTCATCCGGTATCTCGCGTTCAAGGTTCTCCAAAAGGGCAACGGCGTCGGCCACCGGCTCTTTTTCTACCTCTACACCTTCTTCTTTGTCCTGGGCAGCTTCATCGGAAACGATCCGATCATTTTGTCCGGCACAGCTTTCCTTGCCTACATGACCCGCGTATCGAGCAATATTGTCCACCCTCGAGCGTGGATTCACAGCCAGTTTGCCATTGCGAATATTTCATCCGCCATTTTGGTCTCCTCCAACCCGACCAATTTGGTGCTGGCGGGGGCATTCGGTATCAAATTCCTCGTGTACACGGTGAACATGATTGTCCCCGTGGTCGTGACAGCCATCGTCGTTTTCCCCTTCTTGCTATACATCATTTTCGCCGATACCTCACTCATCCCAGTCTCGATCGAGATGCACGAACTGTCCGATGAAGCGAAAGCTAAAAAACCCGTCAACCCAAACATCCCGCATGCGAGAGGAAGCGCGGAAGAAGATGAGAACGAAGTTAACGATGAGAATGGTAAACTCCTCTCATTAGAGGAGATCATGAATCCCTTCTTGGACAGAGGAGGCGCCGCATTCGGCGGCCTGATAATGGCCGCGACTCTTGTCACCATCCTAGCGCTAAACGCCGCTTCCAATTCTAAACATGAGCGTCCCGTGTTCTGGGTGACCTTGCCAGCTGCCTTTGTCATGTTCTGCTGGGATATGGGGACGGGCTGGATCCATCGACATGAGACGAGAGAGATTGCCGCGACGGGTCGACAAGAACTGGAGGCTGCGCGGGCCGAGCGCGAGAGGCAGCAGTCGGTCCAGAACTCGCCAGATAATATTGCGCAAGCCAATCTTGAACGCCTTCGGGCGCGAGCGCATGATTCCAGATCGGAGGACTCTGAGCTGGATGGTCGTGATACGTTAAGCTTGGATCCTATTCACGTCAGCACCGGGATAAAAGAGTCGGAGAACACTTACGAGCCGCCCCTCCCAGATCCCATTTTGGATGATAAAGAGGCTTTCCCAGACTACCGGTCTCCGAGTTCGATTATCAATGCATCGGATTCATCTTCGCCCGAGTCCACCAAGGTCCTAGGGAGAGAGGTGATAGACGAAAAGTCAATTGGCACGTCTCAAACAGAAACAAAGCAGCCAACAACACTGGTCACTCTCTTCGAAGATCTCTACCGATGGTGCCAAGAGACCTTCCCGACTGTTACAGTCGTGATATCGCATTTGCCATTCCCGCTGGTCCCATTTGCGCTAGCCATGTTCGTGCTTGTCCAGGCGCTTGTGACTAAGGGCTGGGTACCTGTCTTTGCTTATGGGTGGGACCACTGGGTTGAGAAGACGGGAACAGTAGGAGCTATTGGCGGCATGGGCTTTTTGTCTGTGATTCTTTGTAACGTGAGTACTATGACATACCCGATTCAAGTGTGAGCAGGCAGGCTAATAAATCTCATATCTAGTTCGCTGGCACAAACATCGGCACAACAATCCTACTCTCGCGCGTAATCCAAGCCTGGCAAGAAATCCACCGCGTCAACAACACACCCATCAGCGACCGCACATTCTGGGCAACGGTCTACAGCATGGCGCTTGGTGTGAACTACGGCGCGTTCAGCACGGCATTCAGCGCATCGCTCGCTGGGTTGCTGTGGCGGGATATTCTGGCAAGAAAGTATATTCGCGTTGGGAGTATTGAGTTTGCAAGGGTTAATTTGCCCATTATTGCTATCTCGATGGCTGTTGGATGTACGGTTTTGGTTGGGGAGGTTTATTTAATGAGGAAAACGACGCCGTATGATGCTTGATGTGACGTGACATGGAGGTGATGGGTTATGAGGAAGAAGGTGATGATGTTTTTGGATAGTGTTTGGAGCAAGATATCCCATGCGAGCTGTGTAATGTGCACCATATCGATGCAATCTTTATTGCAGATTGATAGCTTTGATTCGTTACTTCCTACACTAGTGTAGTTGTAAGAATCAGGTGCAATCTGCCCATGTATATTGCGTAGACGAAGAGAGCACCCAATGACGAAAGACCATCGCCTGCTGCAGTCCCATGACATGTGATATCATCTCAAAACATCTCGAAACAAATTCAACGACAGTGCTATTTGCAATCCCCGCTACAGTCAGAGGCCATAGAAGAACGACTCCTCCAGCAGAGCTCTTCACTGAGAGGGAAGTATCGCGTCGTTCATTGGCCAAAAAACCAAGAATATAAGGGACGCTGCAACATATCTCTTCAGAAATTTGACACAACTGCCTCCTAATATGACAGTACTGAGACTTGTAATTCTCGATACTTTCTGGGTTTCCTTCCATCCCCGTTACGTAAGGCTGGAGCTGTGTGAGCATCATATCGTAAACTTGGAGCTTGATAGTCCGGAACTCATTCCACATATTTGCGATCCAGAACTTTCCGTACTTATGCGCGTATTTTGTGTAGGGACTGAGTGTGTAGTTGGATGTAATCTGGAATGGCTGCGGAGTGGAAACGGCATCGTAATAGCAGCTCGGCGAGATGGAGCTGGCCCAATTTTCGAGGTCGGTTTCAACTACTCGAAGATCATGCAGGGTTCTTTGGGCGTCTTTTAACTCCCCAGTGTCTATTTTATGTCGCAGGTTGGCGAAATGTTCTGTCACTAGTGTGAGATCGCGGAATGCGGCGCTGAGAGGGTCGCGGGTTGTTGATGCGAGTTGGTGGGATAATCGAATGATTATCGAGGGAAAGGGGATTTTGCGGCAGATGCAGCAAGTAACCTAATTATACCTGTCAGTTACTATAAATTCATGAGATCGGGGAGACAGAACTCACAATTGCACTCCTCCATGAGTAGAACATTTCTGGCGAAGACGTCTTGGAAACATCCTCCCTTCCCCTCGAGTCGAGTAACCTGGATGCTCCTATAATATGATTGATCCAATTATCGATAGACTTCCTTTCTTGGCCGACGACAATCTGAAGAAACTTGTCAGCAACATCACTCAGCTCGATCAGACACAAACCGAATCACCTCAAAAATAGAAAGCAAAAAAATAGCATTCAGCGTCGAATCCTCCTTCAACTGCTCCGTATCACAAAGCGCCGAATTTACAAGATTCAGCGTCGTAACATAATCATCACTCGCCGATTCCCGCAACGCATCAGAACGATGAATATTTGCCAACGACGCCTTGCCCACGGCCGTAATCCCCGCCAACAACGCCATTTCACCAACCGGTGCATCAGCCGCATCTTTCTTGTAATCGAACGAGCCCTCGACCAACGTCGACGCACCAACCCAATTAAATACCTCGAAGAAGTAACACGCCGCCCGATCCTGAACATCCACGACAAAGATATCCATCGGCAGGAGGAATAGTTCGCCCCGCTGCACGGTCTCGCTGGATGCACATGCTTTCTCAAATGCTTCTTCCATGAGGGAGCGCTGCGTTCGGCGGTCGACAGATGGGGAGGTGTGTGTCGTGGCTTTTGTGCGTTGGGCGACGGTTTGGCTTTCGTCGCGGAACCAGAGGGCGAGTTGGTCGCGGTAGCCGGGGCATTGGCGGTTTGATTTGAGGCAGCGGGCGCAGGAGGGCTCTTGGAGGTCGCACTGCAGTGGTGGGGGGGTTAGTTGAGACACGAGGTGTAGTGTTAGAGAGTGTGCAATGTGTTGCTGACCTTGATCTTTCGTGTGCGGCACTCGCCGCATCCTCGACTGATGACTCTCGAAGAAGACATTTGCAGACTTGCGTAAGCTTCTCGAGCACCCTTTTTGTGATCAACTGCATGAACCAGAATGACTCGGGGCTATATATATAGAAGCTATACTAGCAAGTTCGACCTTTGCTCAGTCCATAGCCAGGGCAGATTCGACGTCTGCCCTTAGTGTACTTCCAAGGTTCACGAGTATTACCCCTCAGGGTGCAGCACCTACTCTATAGAATGGACATCAACATAGCCGCCTTGATCAGTGCTAACGAGTGAAATATCAAGTGCGAGGGCATGGGATGATCCCGAGCTGAAAATAAACAAGGCTGCATGGAACGGGTTTGAACCCCGCGAGGCTGTAGATTAGAAGAGGGGTCGAGTATCCCATATACTAGGGTATGGTGCAGTGTCATGACTTCCACAGATATCGAGGGATGGTCAGACGCCAATCATGGCTGCGAACTACCTGATCTGACTGTCTGTACCTGTCGATCTCGACCCAGGTGTCATTGGCGTTTAATGTACAGCCTCAGGCTGTTTTTGGTAAGGTTTTGGCCCTTACATTAGTCCACATCATGGTTCACCCGCATGAGAAGCAGTGCTGGTGAAGAATGTGCAATTGCACCGCTTGAAGATGTTCGGGGCGGATAATTTGAATATTTCTGAAAAACTAATAGCTGCAGTATGCAGACATGATATCCTATGCTTGACCGGACAGTTCCAAGTCCTTCGGTCTTACCAAAAATAGCCTCTCAGCCTCTCGATTGCTGAGCATAAAGTGGGACCATCCACTGGCGCGGGTTGGGGTCCAAATCTCCATTATTCGACATCACCGGGCACTGGCATTGGACCCGCATTATCGTGGCGCTGAAGAGCATCGTGGCGTAGATTTGAATTTCCTTAAATATCTATGCTATTATACGAAGTTATTATCGACTGTGCACCCACCGAATCGAGTACACGTGAGAGTCTTGATGTCGTCTGTGCATGCCATCGCGTGGCAGTGCGATTCAGGCCACCCTATTTCGTTACACCCGAGTCGGATGAATTTAATAAACCTTGAATCCGCCTGGCATGAGGGTCTGGAAGACGCCGTGGGGGTCGTATTTCTGCGCAATCGAGATCAGGCGCTGGTGGTTCTCCTCGCCGTAGCCGGGGAAGATCGACTGGAAGCCGGCAGAGTCGCCCATATAGTTGAAAGCGTCATACAGACCGGCCTTCTTGGTGGCATTGTTGATCGCGTGGGTGGTGTCCTCCACCCACTTGGCCACGATGTCATCGTAGGCCGAGCCGATCCACTCGACGACCTCGGCGTAGCAGAGGTAGACCTGGGAGGAATCCAGACCCAGGGCGTTACCACCACGAGCCTCGGAGGCCTTCATCCAGTCGGCGCCGATGGGCTGCCAGTCCAGCTGGATGGTGGAGATGTTGGCGGCGGGGATCTGCTTGTAGAGCTTGGGGAGCTCGTTGAAGAAGGTGGTGTTGATGATGCTGATTCCCTGGTGGAGGTCCTTGTAGGTGGTGCCCTTGACAGTTCCGGCGATGAATACATCGCTACTAACTGATTAGTTTCGATCGACAGACTCTCAATGTATAGGAGACTTACTTGATGCCATCGACAACCATCTCACCGGTCTCAGCGGCGAACTCCGCGACAGTCTTGAAGCCGACAGTGCTGCTAATGGCCGGAATATCGGTGAATGGCTTGAAGATATCGGGGTAGCTGACGGTGTCACTGTCGTAGAAAAGAATCACAGAAGCCAGGGTGGAATCACCAGGCACCAGAGCAGGGACAATGTGAGTCTTGGGGTCAGAGATGTCGGATGCGTATTTCGCGGCAGCCTAATCAATACTGTCAGAAACGAACAAACAGATCATTTGACGAGAACATACAGCCAGGAAGCGGTCGATATATTTTTCAGACACCGTGTGGGAGCCAGCCCAGACTTTGGGCGACTTGATGGTCTCCAAATCGAAGCGGGTGACCAGACCAAAGTTGCTGCTACCTCCCTTCAAGGCCCAGAACAGGTCAGGGTTGCTGGTCTTGTTGGCCTGCACGATCGATCCATCGGCCAGGACAATCTCGTAGTTAACGACAGTGTCACAGCCGAAACCAACTTGGTTACCGTAGAAGTTGATGCCGCCAGCGAGGAGCAGACCGGGGACACCAACAGGACCCAGACGACCACCGGCAGCGGACAGGTCGTGCTTGCCGAGATACGAGTAGACATCGGCCCAGCTGTACTCCTCAGTTAGTCGAACCCTCAAACTCAGATATACAACAAGCAACGCCTTACCGGTAAGCGGGTCCGACCGACAGGATGGACTTGTCCTCGTTCAGGTGCATGGTGGTGAGGTTGGACATCACGACGAGCACGCCGCCATTGATGCTGTTTGAGCCCTGGAAAAAGCGTTAGGTTCTGCTCCTCAAAGTGCAGCAATTCTCCAAGATCTTGCGCTGAACCTACCTTGATACCCATGTGGCCGCCACCACGCACCGCAAACTCGGCATTAGCATCAACAAGCGCCTCTAGACCCTCAGCCAACTGCGCGCTGGACTGCGGGCGAAAGACACATCCCGGCGACAGAATTTCCGTGCTGGACCAAAAGTTCTTCGACTCGTACTTGTAAACGTTGCTGTCGCGGTAAAACACCGCATCCCCAAGGAGCTTAGCCAGCGCATGGCAGCCAGCGCTTAGCGAGGGCATCGAATTGGCCGCGACAGTCACAGCGGCGCCCGCCAGGGGCAGAGCAACAGATCCGACGCGCATTTTGAATCGAGGCAGACGTGAATACAATCACAGTAGAAAGCACTGGCATCATCCCATGGGGAAGAAGACGGGCCGACGCCGACGCCGAGGCGGAAATTACTTGTGCTAGCTTGCTTCCAACCAGGTCAACGCCCGGGACTGACTCGCGCAGCAACGTGCCTTACCGGTGATGGCCTGCACGGTGCTTACCCCCGATGGAGCGGCTTAGCTCCGATGTTTTGGAACGGGTCGGATAGTTCTGTGGGGACTGTCCACTTGGTGCATTGCACGAACGAGTTGGCGGAAATTAGGATGAATACCTCCCGCGAACAGATGCACTGTGGCAGTAGTGCACAACATTTGTACAGATGGCTACCATGGATATCTGCAGATCTTATGCAAAGTTAATTCGCGAGGTGTGATGTCTGTGTGTTGCGAATTGCTGGGACAGGCACGGCTCGTCGGCCATCTCGCGAGTCTTAACTAGCACGCCAGAAAGGGTTGGATTGGGTCGAATGGATCCACTCTCGCTTTGATGAAAGGAGGACCTAAGGAAAACATTGGATCTTATCGTGCCATTATCGAATGCCCTCAGGTACAAGTGTCCTTCGTGCTCAATATTGGGGGTATTATTTGTTGATCATCAATATACATTCCAAGTCGTATTTATACAGGGTCGTATCCCGGACCCCTCTATAAGGTCTCAGGAGCACACCGTAGAGTCTGGTCTGTCTTGTCATCATCATCGAGCTCGGGTGGATGAATTTTCCACATCAAACTCAACCGTGCGAATAATCCCGCTAGTGCCATCCACGTCCTTCCCAAGTAGATGCGGCGAGAGGATGTGCTCCTCGCTGTCGTTTCCGTGTACACCCGGCGTCGTAAGAGTCGCCGAGTATTGATTCTCGCCATTTGTGAAATCGGGTCGGTCGCTGCGAGGGACGAAGCCGAGGGGAAGGCCGTATTTGCGAGATTGCGAGATCGAATAGTCGCCGGCCGAGGAGAGGCCCAACAGACGAGGCATGTATCGTCGGATAAAGGGTCGGATGGCTGTGACGCAGCCGCCGAAGATGCCCAGGTTGAGTTCGATCGCGCACCACATAAGTGCATTGGTCGTAACCCCTGTAGTGTTGTAGATTTGTGAGCGTGTGTCATTAGGAGTTGTGGTGACCAGGCTTCCTTACAGGTAAGATCGGTGCTGTTCATCAGCTGGTATAGCGTTGCGAGGCGGATGCAGCTGACAATACCAACGCTGTACACCGTGTTAGTCTCAACATGGCTTGTGCTCGGGGCAAGGGCGAAGAATACTCACAAGCAACCCATCGCCAGAATTCCACTCACGGCAACCTTCTGTCGCAGGGGCATCTGCAATCGGCGTAGCCACGGACTGCACAGCGTTAGTGTTAGCCACTGGTCGAGATCTTCGACATATCGCCACTCCGAGAGAAACCACATACATCGGGACAATGACAGTTGCAAAGTCAGTAAAGATACCCAGTCCCGCGTTGGCAAAGTAAAACACCGGTCGATTCATGCAATGCCCCTCTGTAATCGTCAAGTCCCAAGCCATCGCCACGGGACTGCAGCTGAGGATGTTGGCGAGGATACTAGCCACACTATATCCTGCCGCAATGAACACAATGGTCCAGACCGCGATGTGGAAGTTGCGGCTGGGGAAGATGCGGAGGTAGAAGACAAGGACGGAGCATTTGGTGAATCCCGTGGCGGCGCAGTAGAGAATGGCGGCGATTACGTTTAACTATCGGCAACTTCATTAGTATCCACAGTTCCAATGGATCAAGAATCGAGACATGGTACGTGATACGCACCTTCATGAATGAGGGTGTCAAATGGGCTAATGGGACATCCCACATGTGTTTTCCCAGACCCCAGTTAAGCACTGTCTTCTCAGTATTGGGTTGCTTCTTTCGCTTAGAGTCTCTGAGAACTCACTGTCGCATGTCACTGCAGTGAGGGTGCAAGACAATATCTATCGAACAATTATTGAGTATACCACCGATCAGTTTCATTGGAATGTTGCATACAAGAGCGGAAATCATCAAATCTGTTCGATGCGTTAGCACATGCACGATGTATCGGGGCTGCGGTACTCACAGTCATCCCAGCGGAAGCTCCGCACCACGAAAAGCCTTGTCCATGTTCGGACTGCGAGAGCGAGAATGGCCAAGGGAAGAAAGACGCAATTGACGACGACGAACTTGGTGCCGATGTAATCTGGGTTGACCCAGTTTGACGTCTGGCCGGGCGGCGGCGCCAGGGCCGGAGTTATTGAATTAGCAGCCATCACGGCTCAGTCGGGGCGGTGGACCATCCACGCGGGGTGCAGTGCAGTGAAGAGACGAGTGCGATGGGGACCGGAGTAAATAAGTGGAATGTCATGACATGGCGGAGAAGTCGAAATTGGGTCCCGAGACGTCAAGCCGTCAAGTTTTCCGGAACTGCAGGACCGCGTGCTCACCGTTGAACCTTCACCTCTTCATTTACCCATATTATATTATTATCATACTACTGCGATACTATTGCGTCTCGTGGAGAACCGCATCGCAGGTCCACCGCGGACCCAGTTCGACGCATTCAAATATCGGTTCAGGACAGGGCCCGTGGCCGCCATCGATCATTTCGGGTTAATGCCCTTCGTATTGCCCGTTTATCAGTCGGCAATTTCTGGTCTCAACGAACAATGCGGCGTCGCGACAATGGTCTGACAAGGACCACCAACGACAACTTTTTGGCCCGCGGGGAACGGCGGATCTGAAAAAAGGACATTGCGGATGAATAGACATGCAGCAGGCAACGGGGGACATGCTATATCCGGCATAGCTCTCCCCATACGATGCCCGCGGCGCCGGTGGACAGTGATCGAGCCGAGGGGGCGTTGGAAAGTCTGGAAATCGTGCCTCGCCGGCGCGCCTGAATCGATTGAACGCCTGGATCTGCAGCCCTAATGCAGTAACGATGGGCGTGCCACGAACTGCGGAATGGATCTGTTTCGATTGTCCGCATCGCCTGGCGGAGTACGCGGACCACGTCCGGTTTCGCGTGGTGAAATGGTGGGTACTTGAGTTCGACCGGCGATTATTCGTGCATCGGAAGATCCAGATCGCGGAGGCGCGAGTCGCCAAACTATTATCCGTGAACCTCCATTTGAGCTGCCTTGGAAGGGGTGGAGCGGTGCACTGTGTTCTAGTGTTCGACAGCTTCGACCCACAACATTGGGATCCTCTCTCTACGTGTGCCGCCAGTCAGGACCACTTCAGCCTCGATTCGCATAGTCTGCTAAGCGTGCAAGCGTGGCTGCAAATGAATTAATTGAGGCGGGTCAGTGTTGATGGCGGATGGCGGAAGTCGGCTGCTGAATCTCACCCCTGAAGTCGGCGACGATCGACACGCGGCAGATCACAATGCGAATGCGAACTGATACAGCGAAGTAAGCTCTACTTGGAGCAATCAGCCAGAAACGGACAGAGCCGAGCTTGCCCCACAGGCAATTGGGCTGGTTCATCCTAATGAGAGTTTGTTCGCGTTTCATGTGTGTGGACTACTCTTTAGCTTACAGGGCCCAAAATGCATATACATATATAACGAATCAACAAATGAAGGTCATAGCTGGTGACTGCCGTCGACCTTGAGATTTTAAAGCTAATCCAAGTGGCTCGCATAGTGTGGCGAAAGTACTCACTGCTTAAGAAATAAAAAAAAAGCACTCAAGCAGATTGGATATCTGCTGTATGCATACAGAAGTACTGTATGGAATTGTGGTCCCTCCCAAAAAGGTCTCCGGAGGGTGAGATCAAGTCGAATTATGGGAGTCGTTTTGTGTCATCACACAACATTCTTGAGAAGATCGGCATAGCGCATCTACTCCAGTAACCTCCTGCTTATCTCCAACCATGGAAATCTAGATCTACCAGGGTAGAGTACCAAGCATCGCATACAAACGCTGACGCCGGCTTCAGGCCTCAAATGCGTCATCACGTGACAACACATCTACATCGTATGATGCATCGCACGAGCATCCCTCCTTCCTTCTGCCTCCCATCTTCTCCCCCCTCCTTGCGCCCGCTGCAGCGCTGCGGGGGAGGGGGAGAAAGAGCTACATACTCAGTTGCATGCCACGTGCTCGCTACTGTGCACACAGATTTCACGGTTTGACGATCTCCACGATTTCTCAAGTCCCATGAGTCCGCCTTCCACGAGACACAATATTCCAACAAATGCTTTGTCCCAGTACATGATCTCTCGATACAATATACCACCATTTACGATGACCATTGCTATGTACCTACATTGGGAAGGCCAGAGAATGCATCGTCGTGAGCACACCGCCATACGGAAAGCCTCGAACGGCCAGCGAGGCTACTTCTACACGGACCAATGGCATATGGTGTTAATCTGCGCTCGAACGACCAGGGAAGTGTCTAGCGATCGGCGGCCTGCATGTGGAGATAAACTGCACCGAACCGGCCAGGCCGGCGGCCACCGAACTTCAACCATATCTTCCATTACGAATAGCTTGTCAAGGAAGACTTCGGACGTGGGCAGATTGGCTGTTACTGACAAATGAGGGGTTTTTCAGGCTAGTTCCTGCGACTTTTCCCCTCCGTTTCTACAACTCGAGGATGAGGTCTCTTCGCATGTGGGTGTGTTGCAACCTTGTGTCAAATTCATGGCATGGCTGCTTCCCTGAGGGACGCCTCGGGTGCTTGAGCAGAAGGAAAATCTAGATAGTGTAGCCTACTCCATTCGCCCATCCATCACTATCATCCCAATCCAGCTTCTCTTGTTCCTCAGTAGCATGTACGTGAGACTTCGCTTCACGAGATGTATCTCGAAAGCAATAGACTGTGGGTATATTTGCGATCCCTCTTGGTTAGTTCCAACACCATAAGAATCCTGTCTTCCATCGTGCCGTATTGTTGGAGAGACAGACAATCCATTCCATCGTTTTGCCGATCACATAGTACATCTCATACGACTGCGTGTATTGCTCAGGCCTCAACCTTCAGGCATGCACACACGTGATAGGAATAGCCTGCCTCACTCCCTCCGATTCAAGATCTTTATCGACTTCAAAATCGGTCCTCGCCCTCTCCATAGAACGGACTGGGACGGAGGAGAGCAAATCCAGAGCTTTGTGCTCAACCACCTCTGCGTGGATAAACTGCCACCGACTTAGCGGCATTCGACATGCCAAACCACCAGAGCATGGTACGATACTACATCGGATTGACTTCCGACTCGACATCAAGTACCTGTTCCTGCGACGGCGCGCACGACCAGAACCTACCACCACCGACATCGTGGATAAACTATACCGGCCTTCGATGGATAAGATACCCGCAAGTGGGCACACCACCGATTGACATTCTGCCGTCTGCTCGTGATTGAATTGCATCACGATGTCCAGCGGCTTGCTTAAACCAGAGGCTTCTTCAACCTTACCCGGCATCGGCCCTGCTGTCCACGACCCTCTGCAGGCGACACCAGCTGCGCGAAATTGGCCCGACGACCAAGGAAACAAAGAACGAGAGAGAGAGCACTTCGCTGCTCGAGAGGAAGAATCCAGGGAAATTCAGACATACTCTCACTGCTCCTTTGCGGAGATATGAAGATCCAGGTCAGGCGGATTAGGAATCTTGTTGATTGAGGGTCTTTCAGACTGTTCCTTTATGATTATGGATGTGTTTCGATTGTATCTAGCGGTTCGGCATACCATGGTGCCATCTAGATAGTGGAGACTTGTCTCCATTCATCATTCATGAACATGTTTATCCCCGTCCTTATTTTCTCTTGTACGCATTGAATCCAAGTAGTCATGACTTCAACTCGTTCCCTTGCGGGCGCCTTGGGCAGGATTACTAACTAGACATGTCGTCAGCAAAATGCGACTCCAATAAAAGTCAAAGGGCTACTCCATTGACAAACTATGACTTGCTCCAAGGCTGTCCTTGGCAAGTAAAAGCAGTATGATGGAAGTCTCGATATCCACGACCTCTCAGGGTCTTGCCAGCTTAGATGTACTTTGGTGTACACTATTGGACTGGCTCTCCAGACCACTCGCGCATTTTGGAAGTTCTTTGCAGAATATGGCACATCGAGGCCTGCATTTATTATACGACCTAAGAGGTGACGAGCCAGAGGCTACCATACAGTGTATGTGTGACAACGCTTTTGAGGGTATGAATACGTAGCCCAGTAATGCTAGTCCGCGAAGCTGGAAAAAAGAAACCACACCAGCACCCATGAAAAGTAAAACGCAAGAAATTCCCCATATGAAAACAGATGTTACCGTGGCAATTCCGCGACTTCCAGCCCAGTAAAGTGAAAATCCCCGTGATCGTGAAAAGAAAAGACGTAGCCATGAACAGAAATCCGGGGTATGCAAATTGGCGAAATCACGTCCGCATCTCGCTATCGCCATCGTCATCCTTGCCGAGAGGTCCGCCGGGGATACGTCCTTCTTCCAGCTCCTTCTCCAACCGCTTGATTTCTGGTAAGCTCGTTGCATTTCGAATCATCTCCTCTACGCGCGCACGCTCGTCATCGGTGAGTTTGATGCGAATAGTCTTTTCTGCCGGAGTTTGGTCCGCGGACTCGATGGGGCCAGAGTATAACGTCTTGATACCCATGATCTTTGTGGCCAGAGGAGTCGGCTCCTCCGCAGTTCCGAAAAGCTCCTTCGCCTTGTTGCGCTCCACGTTCTTCACCTTTTGGTAGTCGAGAAATCGCACGGTGGGGATTTTCCAGATGATCCAGTAGCGGTAGTGCTAGATAGAATACATTGGTCAGCCACTATCCATGAATACCGTATCAAAGTTAGCATGAAATGGTAGCATACCTCTTTCCGGGTAATGGGGTTGTCCACAAGGCTCAAATGTACCAGGCGAAATTGCGAGAGAGGGTCGATATCCGCAAGTTCGGTCATGTTGTTGGCGGTCAAGATAAGGGTTTGCAGGTGTGGGAGCGACTGCGCAAGGCTCGACTGGATGTGACTGATGCTGTTGCGAGCAACCAAGAGGTAGCGGAGACGAGGGAAATAGGGGAAGTTCCCGAGGGAGGTAATGTCATTGTCCGTGAAATCGATTGTATCGTGTTCATCCTGGTGAATTGTATTAGTACAGATATTGGGAGGCGAGGACCCGCTGCTGGGTGTTTACACAGAGTGAAAGAATTCAGGTCCGCGGAATCCAGAGCCAGGCAGCCCTGAGGTGTACTCACATTTGCGATACCCAAGTTCTCGATCACAGGGATCTTGTGTCCTATACGACTCGTGACGCGATGATTAATACAGTTCCAAAAGAAATTGCCATGTCCATTGTTCGCAGGTAGGTGTGTATCAGCAAAATGTACCTCGGAGATCCAGCTCACGGTCATGGAGCGGATTGATGTATGAGAGGGCATTGTTAATGAGGTCGCCGTCGATGCGCATGTCGGCGGTCGTGCCTCTCGGCGATGTGCAACAGAAGGAGAATTAGTTATCGGGAGGTCACTTCGAGTGAACGCAGACCGGAGAGTGTGGTGGGGGACGTCAATGCGGCGAAAAGCAGGAAGGATGCTGAACGAGGGGAGCTGTCGCAGTTTCTCTAATCAACCGATGGTCCGCAACCATTTTTGCCGGGCGGTGAGAAGATGCGCTATTATCACGTGATTATATCTGAGATAGGAACCCAACTACATTAATGTAAGGTCGAGTTAAGCCTTCAGATTAAGGTATTTGTCCTGTTGTGGAAAAACACGGTTTTGACCAGCAATTATTTAACTCGGAGCAGTAGTCTGTTATATATGTAGTATTATTATACAAGTGACTTAGCAGCCAGAAAGATGTTCAGACATTGAAGCAATGTATTACTCTATATTCATTAAACTGGTAGCGAGACGCTAATGGTACACTGCTAATACATCAAATCACCCGGATCAGATCGAAAGCACCGAAACCATGAAGTACTCCAGAGCACAAAGGCGAATATGGTACCAAGAATCGAAAGCATCGGCTGCCCATAAGCAACCCTTTAGGGAAAAGGCTGAGAGCAGGACCGACAGCGAAAAGGGCCGCGCACTTATTAGCATGATGGCACCTGCGCCAAAAAAAAAAAAAAAAGAGAAAAACAAACGCCAATGGAAAATGCGATGCAGGAGAAATAAAGCACGTAGAAGGTCGGAAAGCATAATTCAGAGCGGGTTGCGTCAGGGACATCAGTCGTCGGCGAGGGGGCTCATGTTCGGCGATTTCTGGTGATGAGATCGCGTGGGACTGCCAGCTCTAGAGCGACGTCCATTCGTAGTCGGTCCCAGTGCGATAGGAGCCAAGTGGTCTCGACTTTCTGTCCTCACTACCAGGCCTGCACGGTCCATGGCGACACCCGAACCACCACTGATCCCTAGACCAATCGTCCCAGAAGAGCTATTATCAAGTGTGTATTTGAGGCTGGGAGTGTTACTGCCACTGCCCCAGCTTGAGGCCCGTTTCGGAGGCCGCAAAGTACCCGACCCGGCATCGGAGGTACGACCACCATCCAAATCGCTGCTATCGGAATCGTTCGCGCCAAGATCGAATTCCTGAGCTCCATCTTCCAAAACGCGCTCGTAAGAGGGGCGCTGCGGTTCAAGAAAGGCAACATGCCACCGAAAGGCTTGCGCTTTTTAGGGTGATTAGGATGTGAAGGTCCACCACGCCGGAGGAGGTTATTAACGCGGTGGTAGATACGCAAGCGACGGCTCCGTCCGCAGAGGAAAAAGCTGGCTAGCACGATGATAAATAGAAACAGGAGGAATCCAGGAATCCGGCGAGGCGAGTCTCCATTGAAAAGTGCATCGTGCCAGTGCTCGCTGTGGAACCCATCCGAGTCAGGAAGCAGTGCCACGCTGGGGTATTGGAAGTCGGTAGGGACCCCCGGGACATTGCTGCCAAAGCCGACGGGCAGTGCTTCGTCGTCCTCTTCGGTTGGTACCTGAGATGAGGCATACAGGACGATTTTCCCCAGAGTCCAGCTCACTTCTGTGGAATCGATCTTGTTGACAGCCTGGAAGGCATCGAGATAGCCCTTCTGCTCGCCATGCGTCAAGACTTCTTTCGTGCCATTGTGAAAAGAGCCCGACGTATCCTCTAGGCCAACCCGAGGCACTCCAATGCCATCATGGAGCATATTGATGATCCATGATGCTTTGAAGCAAACCTCGTAGGATTTTTGACGGTCGACCTTCTTGCCCCATTTATGATCTTCGATACCATGCTCGATGGCGTCCCAGTCCTGAGAGCAAAACGTTTTAACACGCTCCTGATAGGTATTAAAGTCGTATGCTTTATCCTTGTACCCCATTTCAAAAATTTCGTGCGTAGTATGCCAATATTCGCTGATGCCAATGAAGTGGTTGACATCAAAATCGATAGCTGGAACGTGAGTGCCATGAAGCAGACACGGATGGTCGGAGCATGGCGCATCCTTGTCTAGCAAAGGGAAGGTTTTGCGAAGACATTCGTCAAATTGACCGGTACCAAGCAATGAAACTCCCGTAGACTCTGCTGGGACACTCTTCCCATCCAAGGTAGTCCTCAACCCACTAGGCAAGCAAGGATCCGGCAACTCTTGCACTTCGGTGCCTGTGCTCATTTGCTCTTGTAGAGCTTCCACAAACCGTCGCCGGGCTTCATTTACACCAAATTCCAGCCACGAGGTGACAAAAACTCGGTGTTCCTGCACGGAGCTATCGATGTTCCGCAGCCGCAAGAGGGTGAGATCTTCCCCGTGCTTCTTAGTTTCCGTCGCATTAGGAGCAAATGCGATCTGAGCAGAAGCACCTCCCATATCCAGAAAGCCATAGGTGTGATGGCCCTTCCCATGGTCGTGCTTCTCGGGTGCGTCAAAGGTACCCATGAGATAATTTGTCGCGATCCATCCATAGAGTCCCTCGGTCTTTCCCGGAATCACTTGGATATGCGCTTCGCAGTCGGGTAGCAGGAAATCAGTGTTTACTCGAGCGTATGAGCAAATTTGATCGAGCAAGAGCTGGCGTTCCAAATTCCCAAGCAGCCGCATGCCCGCTGTCGCCAGTAGGAATATTGGGGTATCCTTCGCATCTTCTTTCGGGATGATCTTTTTCGCGTGTTCCAAGAGCTCTGCTAGGTGGTCGGGTCCAATAGCTTCAGGCTGACCGGCAAACGAAGAGACGCCTAGTACGAGAAGAAAGCAGTCAGCACGAATGGCTCTTGTGAAACTGCCGAGAATGTCGTCCCCGTTCGGTGCACTTACCAGGATGAATCTTCTTAACCCAGTCCTCCTTGGTTTTGATCTCCGGTAGTGATTTCAGTTCATCCGCATCGGCACCTTTGCGCGCGGCCGCATTGCGCAACCACCGATAAACGTGTACACGGGTCCCCTGAGCGATTGCAAGTCAGTTCAAAGATATCGGATGACATGGCACTGTCGGAATAAAATCAAAGCTACATACAGACGAGCCAGCGTCCAGGACGATGCCATAACGCCCTGCAGATCAACGATTAGCGATTTGGTGGGTTCTTGGCTGCACGGATTCAAGACCGACATACACTTGCCCATTTGGACTCGAGCCTATCCTTCGAGCATGACCAGAAAAGCGAGAGTAAGTCGGGAGAGAGGGAATCACCCCGAAGAGGACCGAGGAAACCGAGATGGTGAACGAACGAGTGACAGGAAGCGAAAGGGTCTTCGAGGAAAGAAGGAACAGAGGGAGATAAGGAGTGGCTTAAAACGGAGACGCGACAACGGGTGGCAATACGCAGGCGTGACGGGCGAGACGGGCGAGGCCAGAGTTTGCGGCGGGGCGTTCCCACTGCATTTGGGCGGCCCCGGGCTATTTCCAGCGCGGCCGCAACGGGGAAAGTGCAATACCGATACGCGGCAGGACACCAAGTGGTAATTTTACCCGGTTTTGTTCGTGTTGATGCCTCGACACCTGAGCTTGACGTAGTGGCCCTCCACCTTCCTTTCTCCACAGCTTCATTCTGGCCTCTCCTGCCGGTGTCACTCCTGCCACCGGCCCCTGCCGAGGGGTATGCCTCTCTTCTTCCCTTCGGTGGCTGTATTTGGCAATTCTCCTCACTATTACTGGCAATAACAAACGAGCATATCCTCTACGTTCGCTTTTCTTTCATCTGAGAATCTTGATCTCCAGGGTCCAAAAAGAAAAAGCTACCGGAACTCTATTCCATGCATTCGTCACCACGGCATTCTCGCAGTGTTGCACCTCCAGTGTAATCGCAGCTCATCCCTGTCCGTGCTGATCTCGCCCTTCCACAGTTACGCCGCAACCCGCGCTAGGTTGGCCTAGCAGGGGGTCGGGCCCGTGCTGGTGCGTCGGCGTACGTCAGCTCATTCCTTCCCCGGAGGATGGGGCCGACTGCCCTGGCCAATACTGCCTCATGATATGCTGAGTGCCGGCGCGGTCTTCTTGGCAACCTCCGCATCTATATCGCGGGGCCACTGATGTTTTGGCCACGCTCAGCAGGAGAAACCGTAAAAACTATTTCAAAAAAAAGAGAGAACGGGTCGAAATAGTGCGAGGCAGAAAAATAGAACAGACACGGCCCGATCAGACGCGGCTGGGCGCTGGGCTAGACCTAGACAGCCTGCCGCAGGTCACCCGTGAGACCCTGTCGGCCTCGTTTTAATTTTATTGCGCGCTCGCGTCATTCAGGGTCTTCCCGCGTCCCCGAGGATCTTCGGTCGCCATGCCCCACCTTTCAGCCTCCGGATCGATTCGTCGTCAGCACAATTTGGGTGTCAGGTTCTGTCCTTCTTCACTCTTTCTGTGGAATGATACCCTCCTCTACGACATAAGTGGAAGTACGCAAGCCATCCTGGACTCATACACTCTTTTGAGAACTACCCTTTACGCCTCGACCACCTGGTAACCCGGGAGCCTTGTTCACCACACTTGCAGATGCAGGTGACGACGACGCGAACAGATCGTCGAGTATGGCCCGCTCGCCGACTGCTCGCCAACAAACTGTGTTTCAATCAAGCCAACCTTCTCCGCCTCTTCGTAAACACGTAGGCTAATGCATGGACTCGGAATCATATCTCATGATAGCTACAGCCAGACCGATACAATGATGGAGTAAGCAGGCATTGCAAAGCCCTCGACCAATTGCTTTCCGATTTGTGTCTCATAAGTGTCGCAGCCACCGTTCACCTCGGTCGCTCAGTCGCTCAGTAGCTCAGTCAAGTCTTGCGATTAATCCAGTGGAGCGCGAAGATACCTGAGGAATGTGCCGACAATACCGCCAGCACCATCACGCTTAGATACATGCATGCGCTAGTCTATATGTAACCAATTTTTGCGTCCAATGGCAGCTGGCAGCCAGAAAGAGGTCCACTAAACCAGCAATGGCACCCTGACATGCCCCTCTCCACAAAAGGCCTTTCATGTCTACATAGGTGGTTTTGAGATGCGCGCTCACTACACTAGTGTACAGATCACTCGAGAACACAGGTTCGAGCCGCCCTGTTCGAAATGATTACCACCAATTTAGCCCTCACGCCAACATCGAGCGCATATGCAAGGGCGGGCCATTCCGAATGCGACATGCATGTGTACTGTCACAGACAATAACTACCTTGTGCTATTTCTTCACCTACAGCAACGTCGCAACAGCACTAAAGACCTTGTTCCCGGGGAAGATGCTGATTGTTACAGGCTATTCTTAATCGTGCCTTATATAAACATGACTATATGCTGCCATTCATAATACTATCTCTATTAATAATACAACATAGATATTGATCTAGCACGCTTGAAGGATTCATTGATTAGTATTCTGACCTCAAAAGCAACACCATATGTAAGAACTCATATTGATTTCAACAAAGATCACCAGTACAGCATTCCACAAGTGTTTATCGATACGCATCACTCAATAAACGATAGTGAAATAACACTGGGTCAGCCGCGGAGAATATCTATTTGTTCGCTCCCAGCAATTCCATCGCATTTTTGCCCTCAAGCCAGTCCTTAAAGCTTTGTGTCTCTAGCCGATTCTTCAATCGAGCGGGCTTAATTACATTCGAAACACCCGCACAGTAGCTGTACTCGCCGAGATATGCAGCACCCAGAAGAATCTCCCTTGGCACGCCCGGTTTCTCTCTCATCGCTTCCATGGTCAATTGAATCAACCTGAACTCTTTTCCAAGAGCTTTCTTCCAAATGTTTACCACCTGCTCGATAGAAAGATAATCTTCGTACGCAAGGAGCTTCGTTCGAGGCTCTTCATCCTCCACAAGCGCTCTCACGAAGGGTCCTGTGGATCGTGGGACATTGATAATGGGCATGCAGGTCTCCTTTCGGGTTAGAAGGATGGAAATGAAGTCACCAGTTTGTGGAACGAATTGAGGGTAGAGAAAGGCGTTGGTAGTATAAGCGCCGATGTAGATGTAGGAGGTCTTCTTCGCCAGCTCCACCTGCAGGTCTCGATGTAGTCGACGATACTCGCTTTGGTCTAGAAGTGGAAAGCAAAAGAGTATTTGCCATTTGATGCAGCATGCATAGGTCCCAGGGCTGAGTAGACGAACTTTTCCAGGGTCGGGATGGTTGCTGCGGCCTTGGTAGCGTTCTTTCCGTGGGTGACTTCGACCTGGTAGGCTTGCTTCGCGCTAGTCCCTGGGTCGAGTCCCGAGTCCATATTCTTGCGATAGGGATGCAAGAAGTCTGTTGACAAATATAGCTTGGACATTGCTGAAAGCTTTTCGAAGGGAGGCTTCATCCTTAAGGTCGGCTAGAACGATCTCGCCTCCGAGCTGTGCAAGTTCGAGGGCTTTGTCGGAAGTTGGCTGGCGTGTCAAGCAGCGGACGTTCCAGTGAGAGAGGCTCAAAAAGGTACGTGCAACAGATTCGCCTTGAATGCCTGTTGTACCCACAACTGCGACGGTCTCTTTCGCAAGAGAAGCCATGTCGGGAATGTGATCTCGGGGCGTAAGGTAAAGTACTGACCCGAAATTCTATGATATATCGGCTCTGCTCCGAATTGGATTGCTTCACATTCATTCCGGTCAGCAAACTGCTCTTTATATGTTGAGAAGCCCTTCAAGGGCAAAAATCCGGTGATTCTGGAAAGCATAGTTCGCACATTCTGATTGGCCCAGAAGCGTAAGCCAGTCAGCTATCCGCCTAGTAAGCCAGCTGCGGCCTGAGGCACCAACGGAGATCGGCTTAAGCACGTCGCCAACTTGCCTCAACCTGTCGCTTTGCTCGCCACATCGTCTTGCCGTATTAATCGAGCTACTATCGCGGTATTCTATTTCTGAAGAACACCATGACAGTCTCAGTCGCCAAGGACCCGGGCGGTGCTATTAACTCGGCCAATCTACCAAAGAAGCGGGTCATCACGCCTGCCCGGAAATCACAAAACAGAGCCGCGCAAAAAGCTTACAGTATGCGTCTTCTTATACAAAAATCTGCGTACTTGACACTAAATTCTCTCAGGGGAATGACAAAAGGAGCGCCGAAACCAGGAAATTGCTGAACGGGGGTAAATAAGCGACTGGCACCTCGACCGTCAACTACGTCCTCGGAGAGTTCCTCAGTGGCCAGTCCTGTATCCACGGCATCATCAGCATTTTCTCTGAGTATATCAGAGCTCATAACTGCGGAGAAACCCCATCCAGTGCCACTCGCTAATCCGTTGATGAACACTCTACGCACTACGCGAGACACGATCTGGGAGGCGGTACTGACCAATGCCGTCTGTCTAGGATTTGATCTCGCCCAGTTAGCAGATTGTAGCAAAGCCTACATATCACCATTTTTTAGATCAATTCCTTCCCAAGACAAGCCTCGAGATTTGGTCGCATCCACCTTCGATTCCACGATTCCCGTTCACCTGCAGCCGACGATGGCCCAGATCTTGATCCCCCACCATGCCAGCCTCGATCTGATTCCGTTGCCATTGCTCCGAGAAAGAGTTATCATGATGTCTTTCGCGATGCCTGGGGTCTTTGATCTCTGGAAATCTGAAGTTGGATATCTATGGGCGGCATGCGCTAGTCTATCAGTCCTTTGGCTCAACGGAGCTCATCAGTCATGGGATCAAAATAGTTGGAAGGCGACATCCTGGTTTATGAAAGTGGTGCATGGACTGGGTCAATGATCTTGCCATTGGGGAGGTCCCATGGATGACTTGAATGTCCCGAAGGGCTTGGTTGCGACGTTGATGGAGATAAGCCTACTCCATCAGGAGGGCCACAAAGTACAGGGAGTGGGTACCCTCCTAACGTTTCTACCATTCATAGGAAAGCATCTAACAGGAGTTCTTCTTCTGCGGAGCACTCCTATCCAACTGCCGATGGCCTCGGCCGACCTCCGAATATCGAAATGCGGGGAACATAACGCGGCGCGGATGAGTGGATTTAAATGAGCGGGGACAGGATCCCGACGCATCGGCAAAGTGGTCGTGTCATACTCCGCCACCAGGTGGCACACACCAGGCCCAAAGAACCGACCAATTGTCCGCCTTTTCAAGCTTGTTCAAACTGCATCTCCGGAAATTTCCGAAGATGGAAATCACTGCTGCAGAGCGGCGGAGAAGGCGCCGGCGCGTTGCAGATGAAAATCGCAGGAGAGCACCACGGGCGTACGCAAACAGGCATTCGAATTACAGTTGGGCAATTACTGATACCTGAAGCAGATGCACGCCTTGCAAACGAAGGAAAAGTAAATGTGTCCCAGCAAAGGGTAACGCTCGAGTGGATGCTTTCCCAAAATGCCAGCGATGTTCAGTGAGCAATTTGAACTGCAGATTTGAGAAGTAGGAGTGACACCCATCGCATCGCGATGATATTGTGCTCACAAAAAACCAGCGAAACTCTGTCGGTTCCAGGGGAGCAGGCTCGAATACCTTTACCGGATCAACAGCAATCGCCGACGCCGCCGAATCAGGCCGAAAATGCCTCGTCTGGTAATGTAGCCGCTGAGAGTCATGAAGTGCTTTCGCCAGCGTCTGTTATTTCCCATAGACTTTCCAAGCATGTCATTGCGGACCAGTCGAAACGGATATTCTGGCCAAGCATTTTATCTCGTCTCCGAGAAGCATTTTCTCTGGACCCTCAGCCAGCTCCGGAGGAACGCGATATGGTTGCGATGCAAGCAGTATGATTCCGTCCTCCCCGGAAACGAGTGTGTCTGTGGCTAACGGTCACAGCGCATGATCCGTCAAAAGGGACTACATCCTTCCGAGCTATCAAAACTTCAAGTAGCTATCGACGCTTTTCCACCTCGTGCTGTTGCGGACTTTCTGCTTGCGGTATTCATGAAGCACGCGACCGATGTTTTTTTCTACTTTGACCAGTCTCAGATGCTCGCCGACATGAATGAGCTCTACACAGACCAATACTCGCCATTGAGATTTGATCCAGCATTTATATGTCTTGCGATGGCTACATTCGCGCTTGGGAGCCAATGGACGCCCCTAGAGAGACCTGAAAGGCTCGAGAGCAGTCAGCAGAAAGAATACCTTGATGTCGGCAGTGTCTTCTTTTCCCATGCAAAAGCTCTCATACCTGAAATAATCGAACGCTCATGCCTGAGATCGGTCCAGGCTCCTTTTGTACTGGGCGTTTACCTCATGCCTGCTTGTGCAGTTGGAACATCTTACGTTTACTTGGGACTGGCAGTACGAAAAGCCTTGGTGGCTGACCTACACCTTGAAGTGGATGATCATTCCATGAGCCAACGAGACAAGGAGATACGACGTCGTCTCTGGTGGTCTATCTACTCTCTCGAACGGTGCGAACTCATCCAAGCCCCTGGTTTTGTTACTGAATGATTGATAAACTTCTTAGTTGTACTACGACCAAGTTGAATCGAGCGTGCTCTGTTGATGCAAAAATAATCACAGCGGCCCTCCCCTCTCAATGTGCATCTCTTGATCGGTCTCAGGTTTTCGACAATCTTCAATGCCAGATAGCCTACGCGCGGCTTATCAAAATACTTGACAAAATCGCTGGCTCTGGGTATGTTCTATTTCCGACCATTTGTCTAATATTCACCTCGCTAACATTACAAAGCGATGGATCTTCAGAACTGGGGTGGCTTCCTCAGTCAAAATGGGAAGCAGGTCTTAAAGAATGGAAAAGGTCCCTTCCCGCAGACTTCAGACTTGACCATTTCAGACCCAGCGATCTCTGTTATCGTGCTGTCGCCCACCTCTATTTGAATTACTACTATGCATGGATCACAATAGGCAAGGTGTCCCTCGTCACTGTCGCCAAGAACAAGCTGGGGCAGGCTGAGTTTGAAACATCAGAAGCCAGTGATAAGGCCAAGAAGATGGCAAGCTCTTGCACCAAGGCTGCGAGGAAAGTCCTTCGTTTATTCGAAAGCTTGATGAAAAATCGGAAAATTACCAGGTTTTCATTCACCGACTTTCAGGGCTGCAGCATCGCCACAATTATTACATTAGTTTCTGGTATCTTGGAGCGTGACTCTGGCTACGATGCTCGAGTCGAATTTGGGTTGAAATGTCTTCAAAGGATGGCTATAGGGAACATGGCCGCTCAGCTAGGAGTTCGATTCGTCGAGGCCGTTCAAACCATCACAAACGAAGCGGTGGCAAAACTAGAACGCGTCAGGGCTATCTCAGAGGATACTTCCAACATGAATATTTCTTCTGGCTATGATGAGTGGACCGAATGGCTTACGATGCAAGAAGACCCCCAACGACGGGAGCAGGCCAGTCGTTCAGGTCTTGAAACATCCTCCGGTGGAGATCACAGGGCTGAGAAGGCAGATCCCTGGAGGATTCTGCCAGTCATTTCTCCCAGGGGCGCATTTACATTTTCCGCATCTAGAGGAGAAGAGATTGTGGGGGTATCTACAGCTTCACGAGATTCGAGTCACCTGGACAGCACTATGGAGCCTTGGGAGCCGTTTGAGTACGACTTTCTCTCGGACTTCCGCAATGACGAACAGGCGTTTCTGATGGGGCTGACTGGGTTGGATGCCCTCGATTTCTCTGGCCTTACGGTTTAACTGGAGTGACGAGCAAGCTTCCAGCTGTCACGGAAACCATCACTCATATTCATACTTGTCAATTTGATCATTCTGGAATATCACATTCGCACTTCATGATGCATGCTTATAAACCATCCCAATGCTTCTTTCACACAATCGACAAACAAGCGCTTCACCTCACTCCAGGAAATATCATGATGTTCAATTAATTATACTTCACTCTCACAGGGATCTCAGAATCCTCTGCTAGAGTGCTCCAGCGACTCTTGCACACTCGGCCGTCCTTCATCACGCCAAGAACATGCTCCTCCGGTCGGTCAAAGACGGTCACGTCCTCGAGGGGATTTTTGTTTAGGAAAACAATATCTGCCTGAAAGCCGCCCTTGATCTGACCGATTGACTCTTCCCAGCCCATCATTTTAGCTGGGTTGGTGGTTGCACTCTGCAGAATCTCTAACGGCGAGAGGACCTGCGACCGCAGAGCGAACTCTTGTGTTTGCGCCGAACCCAGTGGACCGAGCAGATCAATTCCCATGCTCAATACCTTTCACGCCGTTTTCGATACAGTGTCGAATCGCCTTGACGGTATAGGCATGGGCAGTCACGAATGTCCCGGCATTCTCGGCGCATTCTACCATCGCCTGAATCTCGGCATTTGTGAATTGAAGGTGCTCCAATTTATCGGTCGGAGAAGCCACTCCGCCTGAGCCCATGATTTTAATGAAGTCTGCACCGCATCTGATCTCTTCTCGGACAGCAGCCATGCATTCGGGTACGCCGTTACACATTCGCCCCAGGTGGTTGTTGCTGTGGAGGCCCCCACAGCATTCAGCTTGGTCATGCGATGATCGAAGATCTCCATGGCCACCGAACTGGGATAAAGCATGACCCGAGATGAATAGACGAGGGCCTGGGAAGACGTCGTCGATAGCTTCCTTCAGAGGAAGCTGTGCACCGCCGCAGTCGCGGACACTCGTGAATCCACGATGGAGCATCTGAGACGCGACAAATGGCTGTCGCAGCAAGGATGCATGGTCGGAATTACCGAAAGCTTTCGAGAGATCTTTGAATCCAGGCACGGCGCAAAGATGAACGTGGGCGTCAAATAGGCCGGGGCACAAGTAGTGACCTTCGCAGTCAATGACCGTCAAATCGGACGACGAGGAAGCTTCGGCTGATGAAGACACTGATTCGATTTTTCCCTGGCGAGTAACAATTCTGGCATTTTCCAGGACATTCCCCTTCTGCACGTCGATGACATTCGCGTTGGTAAAGAGATAACCTCGCGGCGCCGGTCGCGCCCAGGGCCTGATGTCGGAGCCAGGCGCTGGATGGTGGTCGGGCATGGCGGTGAAAATAGTCGATGAAGTCGGAATTCTTCGGAATTCTCAAATATCGAAATGACTAAATCGCTCGTCTTGCGGGAAGATGCTAGCTGAAATAGCAGGTCGATCTGGCGATGGCTGGAAAATGGTCAGATCGCAGATCCTCCTCGTCGGGAAGCTGGCCGTGCAGATTGCCGATGATGCATCGATCCGATGCCCCCGCCTCCATATTTGTCCTGTTTATCAACAATCCTGGTTGATCACTTCCGAGTCGGTGGCAGATAGGCACTCTTGGCTCGCAGCCAGATCTGTCGTTGACAGCTGGCCGAATATATTATCCCTTGTTGATCCTTTTGTGACCTCAAGGCTCGTTGATAGCTCATATGCTTTCTACCGCGCTGCCTTTGGTGACAAACAACCTGTCCCGAGTATATGATCGAACGTAATGGGAAGGAATATATATTTCCAGAAGTCCCCAGTCATGGACAGCTCCGAAGATAAAGGGTCGGTCACAGATGATGGTCCCCGATCGAGCGGCGACGTTGTCGGCGTTTCAGAAGGGTATACTGCCGAAGAGGAAAAGGCTGTCTTGCGAAAGATTGACATGGTCATTCTACCATTCGTGAGTATTGCCTGCCGATGACCTATATCCTTCCAGGCAATAAACTCATAATGGTTCCCCAGATGTGCTTCGTTTTCTTCTTGCAATATCTGGACAAACAAAGTCTCAGCTATGCAGGTGTATTTGGCTTGATCAGTGATCTCAATTTGACCAACTCGCAATACTCGTGGTCGAGTTCCATCTTCTACGTCGGCCAACTGGTATCGGAATACCCCTTCATCTACCTGATGAGCCGGCTACCACTCACCAAATTTGTCGGCGCAACCGTGTATGTCTTTCACTGAGAAACCCGGTAGCGCGATCCATCTTGCTAACTAACCAGCTAAGTATCATATGGGGCATCATTTGCATGTGCCTCGCCGCACCAAATAACTTCGCCGGATTTGCCACAGTTCGCTTTCTTCTTGGATTCAGCGAGGGAGCTGTTTCTCCCGCTTTTGTCACAATCACCGGAATCTGGTACCGCAAAAAGGAGCATACAGTGCGAACTGCTCTATGGATTACCATGAATGGCTTGGCGCAAGTCATCGGTTGCCTACTGATGTACGGCATCGGCAAGAATAATTCCTTGTCAATCGCCCCTTGGCGTGTACTCTTCATTATCTGTGGTGCTCTGACCGTGGTTGCCGGAATCGGCTTCTTCTTGCTCATGCCTAGTGGCCCCAAGAATGCGTGGTTTCTTACTCCACGCGAAAAAGAAGTCCTGTCCCTCCGTATGGCTGCAGATCGCGAGGGTGGAGACAAAACCTCATTCTCTATTCCCCAGTTGAAAGAGACAGTGCTAGACTCGAAGGCTTGGATGGTCTTCTGTTTCGGTGTTCTATCAACAATGCAGTCTCCGGTTTTGACATTCGCATCCCTTGTCATTGAGTCTATCGGCTATAGCAAGCTCGACACCATGCTGTATACTGCACCGTCGGGTGCGGTACAAGTCGGCCTGCTATGGATTGGCACTGCTCTGGTCTGTTGCTTTCCACGTCAGAGAACATTGATCGCTCTTGCCTTGATCATCCCGCCGTTCATTGGCACTATCTTCCTTATGAAACTTGATGCAGCGGCTGAATGGGGCCTTATTGTAGCCTCCTGGGTGGTAAGTCTATATCCACAACATTTTCTAATTGGGAAAGCTGACATTTTCCCCAAAGGCGTCATGCATCACTGCATGTATGTCAATATTTCTTTCACTCTCGGCGTCCAATGTCAAGGGCAATACGAAACGCGCAGTTGTCAACACCATGTTTTTCATTGGATACTGTGCTGGTTGCATTGGCTCACCACAGCTCTGGACTCACAGACCACGTTATACAGAGGGAGTGATAACCTCCATCGTTACGTGGTGTCTTCTTTTCGTTGCCGTGATTGTATACCGCCTTCTTTGCGTATTCGACAACGAAAGACGAGATTCGCAAATGAGCTCAAATAATGAAAGTATGAGATGGGATGTTGAATTGGACGAAAACGGATTACCCCGAAACGACTTGACGGACAAAGATGATAAAAAGTTTCAATATGCTTACTAGATGAGCGTGTTCAGTTGAAGGACCAATATTCGTCTAATAAAATTAATATTAGGAGCTCTTTTAGTCACTCATTCGGATATTGCCCACCTTTGATGATGTCTCACAATCGTGAGGCCTCGCTCGTCATTCCCGTAACATAAGCTTATCTGGAAGCATCTGCCCTAATTTTCGGCCCCCACAAAGGATTTCTACGTCCAGGACACCACGAGGAATGGTAAAGGCTGGCCAGATTGGACAAGGTTGCAAATATTTGAAAGCAAAGTCCAGGAACAGCCGCTTCCAAGCTCCATGTCATGGATATTCACGGTCGGTTCGATCATTAGGCTTAAATAGCCTTTTTTCGGCGCTGGCATGTACTGGCATGCCAGGCCAGTCAACAGGCCACGTTCGAAAAGCTAAACTAAGGAGGCTTAGCACCAGGGCCATGCTTCTATCCTAGGCAAGGCCTGTGTCCTGGACCTGACAGGGGACGGGGTCTGACGGACAAAATTCTTCGAAATCAGCTTAGCCAGAAATTCCCCGCAGATGAAGACGTGAGGCCTGTACGCAGATTTCATAGTTCCAGCATGAGTACACCTAATCGCCGAGTCTCCAGGGGTCGATCGCGTACTGGGTGCGCTACCTGCAAGTAAGTACCCGCTACAGTAGTCATCCGTTTCGTCTGATTGGATACCCCTCGGATTTGCGTGTCCAGCCACTTCAATATCACCTTAGAACCTCTTTGGTGTTGACAAATCAATTACCAGAATACGTCGAGTGAAGTGTGACGAGCAAAATCCTGCTTGTCTCAAGTGCGTGTCGACAGGAAGGACGTGCGGGTGACTACGGAGAACCTCAGAACCTGGCGACCAATGTAGCCACCACGCGTGATCTTCGCATTGTGCAGCATGTCCCCGGTATATCGCATCCAACCCGCCTATGGCAGGTTTCACAGTCAACAGATCTGATTCTAGAGACTGAATAGCGTTCTCTTGAATTTTTTTCAAATTCACACTACGCTTCGTTTTGATTCCGGCATCTTCACATACCTCCTCCAGGCCGCTTATCATGAAACGATCGTGAGATCTACTGCAGTTACTATTAGATCTTTGTATCGATCCTTCGTACACGGTCAAAGAGGACATGCAGTCACACATGAAGAAACCCAGTCTACCCTTCTTCACTACAATAAAGCCATCCGATAACTAGTCTCTATTCATCCTCAAACGAGCCCTCGATAAAATGTCACCATCCTCATTGCCTGCATTTTACTCTTCTGCTTCGAATGCCATCAGGGACATTAAAAGTCTGCCTTTCAGCATGCTACTTCCGGACTAAATATTATCAACCAACAGCAGCCGCTCATTAATTCGGCTGCTGTCTCCACCTATATTCCCATTGAAAATATTGCTCCTCTGTTTTCGATCTTGGAAAATCAGATTCCAGAGATTGAAGGCGAGGAGAGACTTGCATCGGAACTGCGGCCAGCAGCCTTCTCATCGTTTTTGCATCCCATCATAAATTTATCTCACCCTCCAACGACTTTGGATGAAATATTCGTCTCATTTTAATTCATCTACAATCGCTTCACGCGCTTCGGAGCTATGTGTGAGCTGCTAGGGGAGCCACAGGACGAACAGCCATTTGAATACCTTGCACAGGCTCAGCATCTAAGCGCCGGATACACCCAGATTTGTATAGATATTGAGACCTGGATCTCTATCTTCGAGGGTTGGCGAGGGTTGGCTTGCGAAACAACCTCCCACAAGAGGTCACAGCGAGGCAGTAGTAACTCTCCAGGCCTGGAGGCGAGTCATGGCATATTTCTTCGACTGCCAATCCCACCTTCAGATATGGGCTGGAATGCTTTCAACGACGACCTTTCCGCAGCGAACTCTCTCGTCACCGAAATGATTCGGGCTCCTTCATTCGATATACTATCCCGGCATTCGTCGCCTACCTCACAAAATCAAAACCCCGCTCAACCAGAGACTGCCTCTGCATCCGCCTCCCTTCCCACTCTCCGTCCGAAGCCATCTAGGCTAGAAATGCCTATGTTTTCTTCGTCTCTTGGTATCGTCACGCCTCTTTATCTGTGTGCAACACGATATAAAGATTCTTCAATTCGCCACCTTGCTATTGGTCTCATGGTTTACTGTCAGTGCCGTGAAGGGCTCAGGGATGCGGATTTGGCAGCTCGGATCTCGACACGGATTGTGACGATTGAAGATATGACATCCCGGATCGCGCCAGGGACCGACTACACATTCGATGATATTGGATATTCTTGTCGTATAAGATCTTTATCTCCTCAATTTGACCAGGGGCGACAGGTCAGGGTAAGATACAATCGCGAAGGGGTAGATCCTGGTCTTGTTGGAGAAACCTTTACGTGGTGATATCGTCCGAGAATTCATTGCTATCGCGGAGTGGTCTAGCTTTCATCTCTATGCAACAATGAGGTGATATCTTAATATTGCGTAAAAGGTCGTGACCTGATTGCGTGTGTTATACATCCTTAGTAGTAACTCTTTGTTTCGAGTTTCTGCACTCGATTAACATTCACTATCACTTATCCGCTCTAGATCTGAGCCTTGATGATATCGGCGGCGCGCTCCGCAACTGCATAGACTGTACTCTGAAGGTGTCCGCAGACTTGGAAAGGCATCACAGAGGCGTCAACAACACGGACATTAGAAACTCCGTAAACCTTCAAAGAGGTGTCAACAACGCCACCGATTTCCTTCGGCATCATAGCAGTTGTGCTGATGGGGTGGAAGTTGGATCGGACTGTAAATTTGTCAGTATATTATGTACACTTGGTAGTATCGAGGCATACATACAGTTGTTCTTGATGAAAGAGGACCATCCCTGGTCATTGGCATCGGCAGCGACCGAAGACAGACCAGGACTAGTCTCGGAGCCAGCCATGCTGGCAAAAGGCTCGGTTTGGAAAACCTTGCGGATGAAGCGAGCAGCCTCAATCTGGGCATGGAGATCAAAGTCCAGCATAAAGTACTTGGGGTCGATAGAGGCGGCAGCAGTCGGGTCGGCAGACGAGATGTGTACATTGCCACGCGAGAAGGGCACAGAACCCCAGTACTCGGTGTCGTATGTAGTTCCAAACGGCTCAAGCAGGATCTCGGCGACGGGAATGTGAGCCTTGAAAATCAAATCCCACTGAATCTTGAAGAAGCGCTCAATGTCCTTCGCCTTGGTGATGTTGCCATTAGCGGACGCGACCTGGGCAGCATACTCGGGGATTTTAGCAAGGAGGTCGCTGCCGATAGCAGTGGCGTTGGAGAAGAGCTGATTGGCCGAAGGATAAGCAACGTAGTCGGCAGACTTGGAGTAGCTTGTTTTCGAGTCGTAGGCAAGGCCATTGTTCATCTGGTCTTGCAGGTTCTCGCCGACTGTCGGCAGGTTGACCTTGGTCTCGATCTCGTACTTGGATAGGACACTATTACAAAGTTCATGTCAGCAAATGATATAGTGGAGAACAAAATGTCTCTTCACTTACTCGGGGTTTCCAACGCCCGACAATTCAAGCAAGAGTGGAGACTTCAATGCACCAGCAGCCAGAATAACCTCGCGAGAGGCCTTGACGACAGTGGTCGTTCCATTGGTCAAAGTAACCTCGACACCATCAGCAGTAGCATCTTCACCATCCTTCCAGGTGAGCTTATTGGCATTGGTGTTAAGCCACACATGAAGGTTGCTTCGTGACTTGTAGGGATAATAATATGCACGAGCAGCATCTTCACGAATGTTCAACTTCGAGTCGACCGTCTTAGGGTAAAGAGAGTATCCGATCATCTGGCCACCATTGGGATCCTTGTTGTATGGAACTTCGGGACTCAGGTTCTGGTACGTGGAGTTCATCTTTTGAGCAAGTCCATCTTTCAGTTGGTCCTCAGACCAGCCGACCTTCAAGGGCCCATCGTAGCCATGGTAAGCAGGGTCATAGGCAACACCCGATCCCTCCAGCCAGGGGTAATCAGTGGGCACCTGGAAGCCTTCGCCCTTCTTGTAGTAAGGAAACAGGCTCTTCCAGTTCCAGCCCTTGTTGCCAATAGCCTCCCATGCATCTATCTGAGCAGTCTGGGCGCGAAGATAGACCATGCCGTTGATGAGTGATGTACCTCCCAGCGCCTTTCCAGCCCGCACTGTTTGGCGGTTGCCCTCGGCATATTCCTGGTCGGTTGTTTGATAGGCCCAGTCTATTTCAGTACCGAAAGCCTTTCCGTATCCAGCCGTGTCGGTTACATTCGGGTTGCTGTATGCGGATCCTCCAGCTTCGATAACGAGAACGTTGATGTCTTTGAGCTCAGAGAGGCGATTTGCAACCACCAGTCCACTGGTTCCACCTCCAACGACGATATAATCGTAAGTAGCTCCCGAATCGGATGCGGGAGAGACGTGTGGCACGGCCGCTGCCAGAGGAAGCAGCGCTAGGCTTGCGAGGCTGCGCATGATGAATGCGAACAATGGAGTATAATAGATTATATTGGACGATCTCCAAAGGTAAATCCTCAGAGCCAGCCGCCTGCTATTTATACCTCTGGAGCCTTGGGTTGCACGAACTAGGAACGTTTCAGTCGATTCCACCTCATTATCAGGGATAGGCTACTAGAAACCATCACAAATCATTATAAAGCATGGGTTACCTCACGAAAGATTCGTTTTGGAACATCCGCTCATGCCTCAGATCCACATGTAATTTCAGGGTATCGAAGATGATAGGATCGACAGAGACAGTCCGCAGGTGTACCCGGTATCGGGCGGATATATTCAGGGTCTTTCAAAGATTCGGAAGCCAATCAAGACCTTTTCTGTGGATAGAGACAAAACGAAGCATCAGAACAGTGCTGCGCCTCGGTCGGGTGAGCTAGGCAGACGATAGCATTGTGCGTCCGATGGATTCCGTGAGACTGACTGTCACATTTGCAGTAGTTTTTCTCTTCATCGCGAGGATAGAGGAGACTTAGCAGCGATGGGACTGAATGCACGATCAATATGTTCATCATCGAACATTCAGGTACAGAGTCCACAGCGCTCAGGCCCTTGCCATAGTTCCGGCGTGCTGTAGGGTCGCACGGCTACCTCGACAAACCCGCCACAGAAAGCTGGCCCAGGGATCGACATGGAAAAATCTTCGGGGCGTGCGAAATAAGCCCGATCGGCGTCATGTGGAGAACCGGCCAGGGGTCAGTTCACCGATACCTGGAAAAGGGTCGAGGCCCTTCAACATGACACCTGCCAAGTGATTACTCAACCTGAGACAGATGACAGAGCATATAATAATCAGTTCATAACCCAGCGGATGGTTATGTGATTCGTGGGCCAAGGTTGTGCTTTGTTCATGCCACAGGTCGACTGAGAGTGGAAGAGAATTTCACCTTTGGTTGACTGGTACCACCGGATAAGCCGATCTGATAAGATTCCGCGTCTGCGTGCCCGGGAAACTCTCGCGTGTCGTGGTTTAAACTTTAGCCTGTCCAGAACCCGCGTTCCGAGTGGTCTCATGAGGTGATGGAGTCGCCTGTCGTAGCACATTCCCTCTGTGGCTTAACAGTGGGGATAGACCCGTCCCAGCCCAACTTGCACCTCCTCACTGGACGGACTGAGATGAACTCGGAGAATCTGTGACGTTGATCATATCGGAATAAGGACAAGTGGGTCACGTTGAATATTGCTTGTCAAAAAGCACAACGTAGCCACGGCAATGCGGCATGGCCCCTGGGAAACAGACAATCAGTCACTGTATTCCGGCGTAAGGCTAGGTTTTCGCACTGTTGAAAGTTTGTTCAAGGTTAGGAAGACAAGCAATTGCCAAGAGCGGGCTAAACAAAAGATTGCGATCATCGAGATATATGTACAGGCCAAGTCGTCGATTCATCCATAAGTCTTCCCAGTTCGTACACAGTGTAGGCTCCACATCCGCGGCCTTATTCTTTCGTCCTAATGCCAAGCACACCAGCATCAAGATGCTATGGTTCACCAAGGAACCTTCTCATCTTGATAGGTCCCGATTCTTGTTCTTGTCGTCCGCTGCCTTCATGAGGGAGACATCCTTGATTAAAGGTCCTGTCGACGAAGAATTAGAGATTTTGGGGTTGTGAGGTCTTAGCAAATGGAGAAAAGAGTTGTTGAGATGAGGAAGAGGCATCATTCCAGCCTGTGAAGGTCCACTGTAGGGAGGTTTCTGAAAAAATCAGTTAGGAGGCCGCTGCTTAGAGTTCAGTCCAAACATAAGCCTACCGTTGCAGCTTCGATGTCCTCGGAAACCGAGCGCCGGGCGATTAGGAGCCCTATTTTTGTGTCAAACATCTTTTCAAGGTTGACATGGATCTTGCGGTAGCAGTCGCTTCATAAACATCGAGGGATTTGAAGATGGAATCAAGGTGAAATTGAGTTCTTTTATTTTCTTCGTCGATCGCGACACATACCCTCGGTCTTGTTGCTTTTTGCAAAACGAGGACCAAGCATGCTCTCATAACACTGTAGCCAGTAACCCCACTAAGAACTACATCATCATGCAGAGACACTACTACACTACACACGACTTGGGATATAAACGCAGTAGATCGCGGGGATCATCGATGAATTTCCGATTGTGGATATCGGAATATTCACGAAAATAAATTTATTGAATTTGCCGACTCCTTTCCCGCTTCCCTGGTCATACCATCTGATAAGATGGGTGATCATTACTGTCCCGCCAACGATGATCGCTGAGCATACCCTGAAATGAAGTGTCCAGGGGATCGCTTCCCGTTTTGGCATAGCCCAAACCATAGGTCGAGTCTTGATCTGTTTAAACTCGTGTGTTTCATCCATTGTTACGAGCGTGACGCGTTTCATTTAATTACTTTTAGCTATCAAAAGCAAGTAACTTGTACGGTTTTGCGTAAATTTTATAATTCCCAAAGTCACCCGCGTAGACTGCCTTCACTTTCCCAGCTGCTGTATCCCCGCCACCCTTCTCATTTTCTTCCAACAACCAAACTCAGTCACAATGACCATTGTAAACCATAGCAACGGTGATGGCCACCAGGCAAGGACAATACCGATCACATCGACCGATATACTTATCATCGGTGCGGGGCCAGCTGGTGCCTCTCTGGCATGCTTTCTAGCTTCTTACGGTGAGCTCATGACCCGCGAAGCTATTCGGCTGTCTGCAACATGTTTCTAAACATGATTTAGGGATTCGCGGCATTATGGTCAGTTCGTGTCCGACAAGCGCTGATAGCCCGAGAGCCCACATCACCAACATGGCAGCCATGGGTAAGTTCCTCTGCCGTTGGAAAAGAAAATCCATGCTCAGAGTTACGATCAGAATGTCTCCGAGATATTGGTCTCGATGTCGAATGCAACCGCCTTGCGACCAACGGAATGAACATGATGCACACGCGCTGGGCATACAGCATGGCAGGCGAGGAATATGCACGGATTCACTCTTGGGGCCATGATCCAAAGCGCAAGGTATGTGCAAGGCGTATGAGTGATCTAGAGAACAGAAATTCTAACCTTTCTTTCTCATAGGGTGATTACGAAATCGCCAGTCCCTGCGATCCCGTCGATCTTCCTCAGACTCTCCTCGAACCCATTCTCGTACGATACGCCACCCTTAACGGCTTTAACTGCCGCTTCGATACCACCTTTGTTGATTTCGTCCAAGATCGCGACGGTACAACTTCCACATTGCGTGACAATATTACTGGGGTGGAATACAAGATTCGGTCGACGTACCTGTTTGGAGCGGACGGCGCACGGAGCGAAGTCTTTCGGCAGGCAGACCTTCCTCTGGATGTTCGGCCAGACCAAGGACTTGCCTTCAACGTTCACCTCAAGGCGGACCTTTCAAGCTACATGCAGTATCGTACCGGTAATCTTCATTGGCTGCTTCAGCCGGACAGGGAGCACCCACTCTTTGGATGGGCATGTATCGCCCGAATGGTGAAACCATGGGACGAATGGCTTTTTATCGTTCTACCAGAGAGAGGCAAAGAGCTCGAGATCAATCCTACTAATGAAGAGTGGCTCACTCGAATGAAGGAATTCATCGGCGACGACTCGATCAACGCAGAGATCTTGGGCGTGTCTAAGTGGCGCATCAATGATGTCGTGGCCGAGAAGTTCTCCAAAGACAGAGTGTATGCCTTGCACCCCCAAATTCCGAGTCCCCTCGTTCAATCTCTGACATTTCATCAGATTCTGCCTTGGTGACGCAGTTCACAGGCACCCGCCTTCAAACGGATTAGGCTCGAATACCTGCATCCAAGATGCGTACAACCTCGCGTGGAAGGTCGCCTATGTGCTAAAAGGTATTTCTTACTTGTGCTACTATCAAAGGTTATGTTTCACGCTAAATATTTCCAGGCCAAGCATCTCCGTCTATTCTTGAAACATACTCCGCAGAGCGCCAGCCTGTCGGTCGTGGGGTTGTCACACGAGCGAATCAGTCCTTCCGTCATCACGGACCAGTATGGGCAGCACTCGGTGTGACACTGCCTACCCCTGAAGAGCGAACAAAAGCACTTGATGAATTGACCCACGCGACTCCAAAGGGCCGCGCCCGCCGTGCTGCTCTCCAAGCCGCCATCGAAGAGACCGAACACGAATATCACGCTCTGGGGACAGAGATGGGCCAATTATACCAGAGTATTGCGGTGCATTCAGCAGACGAGAAAGAATCATTCTACTCGCCTGAAGTCGTCGCACAGGACCCCGACCTCGTCCTGACTCGGAGCACATACCCAGGATGCCGAGTGCCCCATGTCTGGCTCAATAACGCCACTCCCACTCAGCGGATTTCTAGCATTGATCTTGCTGGTAAGGGAGCTTACACACTCATCACTGGTATTGGAGGTGAGGCCTGGAAGTCGGCAGCAAGTCGGGTTGGTCTGCAGCTGGGCGTTACGATTAATTCATATTCGATTGGGTTCCGTCAGGACTATGAGGATGTCTACTTTGACTGGGCCAGAGTTCGTGGTGTCGACGAAACTGGCTGTGTCCTTGCTCGCCCCGATCGATTTGTTTCTTGGAGGTGTCATGAGGTCCTTGGCGATGAGTCTCACTGCGCTGCCAAGCTGCGCGAGGTGATGCTCAACGTTCTTGGCCGTAGCGACTAAATTACTATAATGTCAGTCAATGGGTTATACTAGAATGTCAAAAAATTGTCTTCAATACTACAAGAGTATACCCTCTGATACCAACTCCACCAATGTAGAAGCGGGCCTTGGCGCTGCGCTGAGTAGAAACTCTTTCAAAGGCGTACACTTGAGCTTCATTGTTCAACTTGAGTCTAACAACAGCACATCACCAAAACTATCACTTTCTCCCATACCACTTCCTGTCACCGACCATCGTATCTCTATCTCCAAACATTCTTGGTTTCAGAGATGTACTTCCCGACCGTAAGCCGAACCAAGTTCCTGCCCGAGAAAAGTGGATCGTGTCGTAATTCGACCCACCATCAGTCTCCAAGATGTCCTAACGGGCCAGAAAATTTTGACTAAATGATTGATAATGCCAATCCGAAACCGTGCCTGAGTCCAGAACCACAATTTTATTCTTAGCCATCGGCTCCTGCCCACACGGCGACATGCCGGTTTCGCGAACAAGCGGCCCATGATGTAAATCTGATCTCGTTCATAGATTCTCACTATCCCCTATTACCCTCCAGTCGACTGGCAACGGCCACTCTGACTATCAAAATGGAGGGAAAAAGCAATGACCTCAACCCGGTAAAGTCAACCCCGTCGATCGCGGAGAGCTTTTCGCCTCTCCGGGAGGCCCTGTTCATCACGTTGGTCTGCATGGCACAGTTCATGACGCAGACCAATGTCGGTGTCTGTCTCCCCAGTCTCGATATCATGGGCCAGAGCTTTGGAATCGATGATCCCGGCATTCTCAGTTGGTTCCTGGCCGGCTACTCCTTGACCGTTGGCACGTTTATCATCGTCTTCGGACGATGTGGCGATCTCTTCGGATACCGACGAATGTTTCTCACTGGGTTTGTCTGGCTCGGAGTCTGGTCGCTGGTCGCAGGCGTGAGCGTCTACTCGAATCATGTTTTGTTCATCATTGCGCGTGTGTTGCAGGGCATCGGCAGTGCGATGCTATTGCCCAACGGGCTAGCCATTCTGGGTGCCACTTATCAACCCGGCAAGAAAAAGGCCATGATCTTCGCTCTGTTTGGTGCTGTCGCCCCTAACAGTGCTCTTCTGGGGGCTGTCTTTGGCGCCATCTTCTCCGAGCTTGCATGGTGGCCGTGGACTTTCTGGACTCAAACTATTGTGTCAATTGTGTGTGCCATTCTCGGGTTCATCGTTGTTCCGTCCATCCATCATGATAACCCGAACCAAATCAATACTTTTGTCGATCTTCTTAAGGCACTTGATGCCGTTGGCGCTCTCTGTGGTATTGGCGGACTAGTCCTCATCAACATTGCCTGGAACCAGGCTCCTGTCGCTGGCTGGAGCACACCTTACGTCTATGTGATTCTAATCATTGGAATCCTGCTGATCGCAGCGTTCTTCGTCGTCGAGTTTCGATTCGCAGAGCATCCCCTTATTCCATTCCAGGCCTTTAGTCGGGATGTTTCATTTGTTTTGGGGTGCGTCGCCTGCGGTTGGGGTTCGTTTGGTACTTGGATCTGGTACTTCTGGCGCTTCGAGATGGAATTCCGTAACACGAGTCCGCTTCTCGCCTCTGCGGAGTTTGTTCCCGTCTCACCCATGGGAATTCTTGCCTGCTTTGTGACGGGCTTCCTGATTGCCCGAATGCGTCCGGGCTGGATCATGATCATGTCGATGACGGCATTCACTTTGGGAAATATTCTCACAGCCATCGCGCCCGTGGACCAGACTTACTGGGCTTTGACTTTTGTCTGTCTTCTGGTTATTCCCTGGGGCATGGACATGTCGTTCCCTGCTGCCACACTGATGTTGTCCAACTCGGTGGAGAGGAAGCACCAAGGCATCGCTGCGTCGCTGGTGACGACCATCGTCAACTACAGTATCTCGCTCAGTCTGGGGTTTGCAGGAACTGTGGAAACGCACGTCAACAACGGAGGAACCACACCAAGTGATACGTTGAAAGGTTATCGGGGAGCGCTGTACTTTTCGACCGGTCTGGGCGGGCTGGGTATCTTCCTCAGTGTCATTTTCACTGCAAAATGTTATTGGGAGGAACGGATATCAAAGCCGACGGAAGAAGAAAAGGGTTCGGAGGCTTCGTTTTCTTTTGAGTCATGATCCCTGCACCAGGGTGTCTGTTGGCCAACTTCGTGTATACTAGATCCCAGCATTGAGGGCTCTCTATGCTCCTGCAAGGCCCTGCAAGATAATCCATTAATCAAACGACAGCCTTCACTACGGCAATTGGCCAAGTGCAAGCAACCAATGATCCCTGTGTGACAGTATCGATTGCTGCAAGTGATCAGCAATTTCCACTTTCCACATTTCAAAGCCCACCGATGACACGGTCGGCCATGCTTGCCAACAAACTTTTCTCAATCGCCATTAAAGTTTCGTCAGCCGAAGGACTCGGGCCACCTCAACCTTGGGCAGCCCGACATTATCGATCAGATAATCTTACCATGCCGCGCTCAACCAGTTGCATGGAAACGGGAATATAGTTTCCGATACAAGCTCCGAGAGATTTATCAGAAAATCGAAATTGGCAAAAAGAGGCGCAGTGCAACAGAGTCATCTGAGATGACGCCATGGTCCGCCACAACCAGACCCTGGGGTGGAACCTGGAACCACCTTAATGCACGTACAGCCTTCAGGGCCGAGAATTGCAGATATCCTATGGATAGATGGGGCCATCTGCGGCTGCTGCGGGGGCCGCGAAAAAGAATATTTGAGCTGTAACGCTCATCCTTGTCCGTCGTGCTTGTCGGGCCAGTATCTCCCCTGATGCGCTGCGTAGATCGTGATTTACCTGACTTCCAGCCCGCGATTGTCTCTTTGCCTCCACCTGCAAAAATGACTCACCTGAGATCTTCTCTGTGTGGGCAGGCACGAAGCAAGCTGCCGTGTGCGGCAGATGTCGGGCTCGGTAGGTTGAGTTTCCCACGAGGAAAACACGAGGCGATTGTCGGAGCGCGATCAGATACCGCGGGAGGGCGGGCCGCACTAGTAATTTTCAACTCTCTAACTATTGCGGACTAGCACGGACCTTATCAATCAGTACCTCCCACAAGCCGTAAAAATGTCGTCCTGCATTCTTTCCTCGACCATCGTCGCAGTTCCAGTCAAGTCGCGAGGACGACAGTGAATCCAGTCAACATGGGCAACAATCCAGTCTTTGCTGTCACTGGTGAGATTGCCCTGTCTCCCCAAGTTACCCCATGCCCAGGTGCATTTGCTAAGCTCACGCGATCGCGCAGTGTTCTTTATCTGCTTCCGAGAATGTCTGGAGACAACGGTCGTCGTGTCAGTTCTGCTGGCATTTTTGAAGCAGTCACTTGGAGGTGGCGAGGACCAGAAAACCCACAAAAGGCTTGTGAAACAAGTCTGGCTGGGATGTGGTCTAGGACTGTTCGTCTGTCTCGCCGTTGGCTGCGGCATGATCGGTGCTTTCTACGGTCTCGGCACCGATAGTTTCTCCAGTACGGAGGACATTTGGGAAGGCGTTCTGGGGATCATCGCCTCTTTGATCATCACCATCATGGGCGCAGCCTTGTTGCGCGTCTCCAAGTTGCAGGACAAATGGCGCGTCAAGCTTGCCAAAGCTCTCGAACATGAGCGCAATCCGAATGAGTCGCGAAAAGGCCGATTCAAGCGATGGATGGAGAAGTACGTGATGTTTGTGCTTCCTTTTGTCACGGTTCTGCGTGAGGGTCTGGAAGCCGTGATATATGTTGGTGGTGTTGGCTTAGGGCTCCCGGCCACCTCATTCCCTCTAGCTGTGGTTTGCGGGCTTGCAGCCGGTATCTTGGTTGGATACCTGATCTACAAGTAAGTGATTCGACGGAATTGGAACTGAAGGAACCAATGCTGATAAACCATCTAGAGGCGGGCGAGAGACCTCTATGCAAATATTCCTGATCATTTCGACCTGCTTCCTCTATCTCGTGGCCGGCGGTTTGTTCTCCCGAGGCGTCTGGTACTTCGAAAACAACACCTGGAACCATGTCATTGGCGGCGATTCGTCTGAGACGGGTTCCGGTGCAGGATCATACGACATTGACCAGAGCATTTGGCACGTCAACTGCTGCAACCCCGAACTTGGTGGTGGTGGAGGGTGGGGTATCTTCAACGCCCTTCTAGGATGGACCAACTCGGCTACCTACGGATCGGTTCTCGCATACAACTTTTACTGGATCTGTGTGATCATTGCCTATGCTTGCATGATGTACCGCGAGCGCCGTGGACATCTGCCTTACATTGATCCTGCGATGAAGAAGATACAAAACTTCAAGGCTAGGAGCCGGGCCTTTGTGCTGCGCCGACCCTATCAGGAAGAGGATACCACAAGCTCTCCTGACAATTCCAGCGGCGCCCTTGAGCAGAGTGTGTTCGGCAAGGAGAAGATGTCCGGCGCAGATTTCTCTGCCAACGTCAAGCAAGCCAACACTTAGAAAGTTGGCTGTATTGGCTATATGGTGCAGATAACAGTACCTCGGCCTTAATAGGATAATGGGTGTCATTGAAAGTGGATAGCAATTTTCTAATATACCAGAATGGAGAACCGTGAAACGTCCTGGTGGTGTCCCAGAAGAGAATTCATTTAGGCGCGAACTGAGATTAATCGGCTTCTGGTCTGCTTTGACATACCACACTATAATTGCAAAAATGTGTAATTTATACGAGTCACCGAACAGGCAGGTGTCTAGCGCGCGACTGGACAGGCTTAGCGAAGCTTAACGGTGTAGCCCCGCTCCGGGGCCCTGGCCGGCGCTGCCCATTGGGCCACCACCCTCCTTTCTCGGTCAGGCCGTTTTAACCAACAACAGGGTTCACGGCGATTTTCTCGGCTGCTATCCACTCTTCGTCCCGTGCTCTGTTCATCACAATCATGGCCGTACAGCATCGGCTATGGGGAAATCCCCCTCTACTCGGCACTTCCAACATGCATGTCGCGCCGTACGGAATTCCCGTGAAATGGATCTGCATCTGTCCCGGTAGAATGAGCCCCGCGGTGGGCAGGTGCATTTCCACACAAACAAGCAACGACAGCAGAGCCCACTCAGCAAGCTTGGTGGCGGCCTGAGCCCCTGGTTTGACTCGTGTTTTTTGCAATTCCGCCGTTCCAGGGCTCCACGTGTCCCCGGCATTGACAAAGTTACCCTGCTGTAGGAATTGTAAGGCCCGGAGACGGTAAGATCAATGATCTTATCGCGCGACGGTCGGCATGCTGGGCCTTTTTCTTCGGGGAGGTGGCTTCGATCTGATTTCAAATTTTTTGATCTTGATCCACGGTCCTTGCAGTCTTCCCTCCCCTTTCCCTCCTCGCCTTCTTCCCATCTGTCACAGACGCGCACTCGATGGCAATGGCGGCTTCGTTGGGAGGTTTTTTCCTGCGTCTGGCGACGCTACTGTGTCTGTTCCAATTTGTCCAGGCGAAAACTGTCTCATATGACTGGAATGTTACCTGGGTGAATGCCAATCCTGATGGCCTGATGGAGCGCAAGGTCATCGGTATCAATGGCGAGTGGCCGCTGCCCATCGTCGAAGTGGACAAGGGTGACCGTCTCATCGTGAACGTGTACAATGGCCTCGGTGACAAAGACACCTCTGTCCACTGGCATGGGATGTTTCAAAATGGCACCAATGGAATGGACGGCCCCTCCATGGTCACTCAGTGCCCAATCCCGCCGGGCCACTCTTTCACCTACAACTTCACCATCAATCAGAACGGTACCTACTGGTACCATTGCCACACGGGCAACTGCTACCCAGATGGTCATCGACAGGCGTTGATCGTGCACGACAAGGATGCCTACTTCAACGAAATGTACGACAAGGAATACACCATCACCATGAGTGATTGGTACCATGAGCTCATTGAGGACATCAACTGGATCCGTAAGGCCAACCCTACCGGAGCAGAGCCTGTCCCCCAGGCTTTCTTGATGAACGATATGACGTCTGCGAATATCTCTGTCAAGCCTGGAGAAACATACCTCCTACGTTTGATCAATGTGGGTGCCTTTGTAGCACAATACTTTTACATTGAGGACCACACTTTCAAGATCGTCGAAGTGGATGGCGTGTACACCGATCCGACCGAAGCTAGCATCCTATACATCGCTGTCGCACAGCGATATACCATTCTGGTGGAAGCTAAGAACTCCACCGAGAAGAACTATCCCATTGTGATGGCGGCCGACTCGCAGCTTCTGGATACAATCCCGTCCGACCTTCAACTCAATATTACCAGTTGGCTGGAGTACAACGCGGAGGCTGCGCATCCCCAGGCTGTCATGACAGTGGATGATGTCTCGAACTTAGATCCAATTGATGATATGACTCTCGTGCCCCACGATCGCATGGAGCTTCTGACTGACCCCGACGTTACCATCGATGTTACTGTCATCATGCAGAATCTTGGCGATGGTGCAGGTTATGCATTCCTGAATAATATCTCCTACACCATGCCCAAGGTCCCAGCTCTCTACACCGTACTCTCTTCCGGAAACTACTCCACGGATGCCACAATCTACGGCGAATACACCCAGCCAACTGTTCTGAAGAAAAACCAGGTTGTCGAGATCATCCTGAACAACGGCGACACCGGCTCCCACCCCTTCCACTTGCACGGACACAATTTCCAGCTGGTAGATCGCGCCCCTGGATACGGTGAGCACTTCTACGATTATCTCGATGGAGGCCCAGTGGCATACGATGCATCCAACCACGGAGACTTCCCTCAATACCCCATGCGCCGCGACACCTTCATCCTCCCCCCACAGGGCTATTTCGTGATTCGCTTTGTGGCCGATAATCCGGGCGTTTGGTTCTTTCATTGCCACATTGACTGGCATTTGTCGCAGGGTCTGGGTATGCTATTGATTGAAGCGCCCGAGCAGATTCAGGAACAGGAGCAGGTTTCATCGCAAGCCTACGATAACTGTCGAGCAAAAGATATTCCTTTCGAGGGCAATGCGGCCGCCAACACCAAGGACTGGCTCGATTTGACTGGTCAAAATAAGCAGGTCGACTGGCTTCCGGCCGGATTCACCACCAAGGGTATCGTGGCACTCGTGTTTTCGTGTGTCTCTGCCTTCCTTGGAATGGCATCTATCTCCATGTATGGTGCCACGGGCATCGAGTCTAAGAAGGTAGAGACAGCCGCAGAGGGCGAGAACTCGGCAGCTCGTGATGGTTGATTTTGTTATTTAACGTTAATACATGTGCACCTACGAGAGCATGAATCTAATATCTACACGGCGTGGCTTTCCTAGTTGAGCTGCCGCTAGTTTTCCGAGATCACATTGGCTCCTCCTAAGGTTGGCTCCGAGTTCCCCCGACATTGGTAGATTCAACACGCCCATCGAGATCAAATCGGGTAATTCACGGTGACTTTAGTGGCTGGTTCTCCCAGATATTTGAAGGAAGGGCCTTGGGGATGGCGTACCGGGATCGCGCTACATTACCGAATGGGGGGGAATAAAAAGAACAAGAGGAAATAAAGGGAAAAAATTCTCACAAGTGGACGTTCGGCAAGGAAAGGAAAAAAAAAAAATAATAAAAAAAGAATCGCCTGACCAGGGTCTCGAACCCTGAACCTTACGGTTAAAAGCCGTACGCGCTAACCAATTGTGCCAGCCAGGCTCTGGTTGGAGGAGTGGACCCATCTTAAGTTACATATTGACCCATTGTATTATAGCCATGAGTACTACGAATTACCACTATCGGGCAAAACCATCGAGCAAATATAGAATTTCTGCTGTCTGAATATAAAAAAAGTGTCCTAGTCCATTTATTGCTTCAAATTAATGATTGAGCTTCTCGCCGCTGCTTCACAAAGTGCGACCGTGTAAACTGTCTACGGCCATCTGCGACAATCCAGCTGGCGGCTCAGCACAATGCAGTCCACCCTCTTTGTTACATTATAGCGAGCCATATATTCTAAGATGACGATGTTTCAGTCAATTGTTTCTGGGGCATTTTCTTTGCGTGATTCCTATGCTAGCATAGCAGGATTATGGTGGTGCTGTCTTTCTATTCCCTCTCACACTTGGTGCACTAAAATATATATTCAACATTACAGGGTACGCTGGTATATTCCTGTGCAGTCATCCGCCTCGCCCACGGGTCAACGACTTCAGTGACTTCTTCCTCGTTCGACCAACTTCTCTTCCAAACCACCCCACTACGGGGCTCAAGGTCCCACGGTGAGATCCAAACCATCATAATCTACCCAAGATCGGTTTTCTCTTAGTCAACCAACGTCACTGGCGATACTCAAGATGTCCGTGCTTCCTTCAGACTAAAAAAGGGATGAAGACATGATGTTTATGAAAGGATCGGACAAGGATACAGACCGCATTACCCCCGATGGTGGACGAGATCAACGTCCTGTTGCAGATGAGGCGGAAACAAGCAAGCCTGGCCAAGAGGGATCAATTTCACTGGAAGAGGCAAACCCAGGGGAGAGACAGAGGACTACCCCCCGTCCTAGGCAGAGAGCAACGAGTGTAACGGACCGAACATTCTGGATGTGGCTCATCACCCTTTTGAGGACGGTAAGTGCCCCGATTGAAAATATATCCCAGGGTTCTCGCATGCCCAACTGAGCCCGACTCCGGGAAGAAATGCTCGACTGATCATGACCTGCCTGCCGAAGCCTGAAAGAAAACCGCCCACCAAACCAACCAACCTCTACGACCCCATTCAAATAAGGAGCTAGACGAGCTCGAATAGCAGGTCATCTCCATGGTCTTTGCGCTGGTCCCAGCAGGCCGTCGCCATCGGGGCACATGGGATAAACTGGATTGACGGGTTTCCCGCCCATACCAATTTAACTGGGGCAGTTCTCCAACGAATCTTTTCTGTACCGAGCTCTGTAGACTCAGGAATACAGCATGCGTCCGTATTGGATACGTGACGGCGTCGACTCGTGATGAAATTCAAAAAGTCGACGAGATGCCGATGAATTGCTCGGATGATGGAGACGACTAACCAATCTCAAAAGCATTTGCGACAACAACCGGAAGACAGATACCCCGATTAAGAGATCTTATATAGGCAGGTCAAGCAGATCAACAACTATAATACAAGGATGTGGTTATAGATAAGTCAAATCAGCCCAGGATTGCTTCTTACAATCGAAAATACTGAAACACCCTGAAACATATCAAAAAATGAAAGCCTGGCTACCACCATGTTGAAGGGTATCATCATGCTCTTTCTAGCTCTGTAGTATAAAGCCAAGGCATCTTGGCTGGCCCTGTGCATATCAGGGTCATGTTCAATATCGCGGTGTCCATTTCGACCATGACTCGATTCCACTCATGAAATACCCCAGGCTTTCGATGTAATTGGACATCTCAGGTCGCAGATTCTCATGATTCTTGTGTCTGATATCCTCGCTGCACTGTCTGAAGGACAGGTCTAGTTCCGACAGTACATGTGCATCAGTCTTTTGCAAGCCGGATATTGATAGACCTGTTTCATGCGCGAAAATGTAAATGACAGAGAAAGGATGTGCCCCATCGTCTTGTTTTCTCGATAGTCTGGCCATTCCATCTCCCAGCTGTAGATATCGTTCAAGACACCAACGAATCTGAAAGTAGTGCTTCCAAGGGCGGTGGTTTGCTCCAGCTCTTCAGGGAGGAGGTTCAATCTCGCCACAAATCTGATTAGAGCTGTATAAAATCTAAGATGGTATCAGCCCTCGACTACTCGTCACTCATTTTGTGAAAGCACTCACAATATGCCGATATCTACTTCTCTGAATTCCAGATATGGACCGAGGTGTTGACAGATAGGCAGTCCTCGGCTGTCTGGCCTTGGAGGAGAGTGCAAATTCCTTGAAAGAGATCATTCGTCAAAGCCTCATCCATGCCTCTAATAAGATTCAATGTTTCATAAAGCATCCATTCAAGACAAGATCCTCTATTAGGAGGTTGTTGGCCATGTGCTATCTTCATTACCCGCTCTCGGTAGGGCAGCATTCCGGACATGTTCATCTTCTCCAGCTGATCTATACAATATTAGCAAGTATCAAGGGGATTATTGCGGTGACGTCTCACCATCAGTCAACATAACCAGGTAAAGCATTCGTCCCGTTAGCTCGACTCGATCATCGAGTACGATCGGGTACTATACACCAAAGGCATGGGAAAACCCCATTCCACAAAAGCTCGTCCTCTCTTTCTCACTCACAAACTTCCAATTTTGACCGAAGTATGGATCCACTTTGTTTTGTATAGCCTCCCATCCTAGTGGACGTGACTTGAGTTCCAGACAGGTTGGAACAGATTCGAAAGGCCAACGACTAGAATCCGAAGCTGTAGCATATGGTCGGGAAGAAAGTGGTGTGCATGCTGCACGTGTGGAATGTGAAGTCGGTCGGAAATAAAATTGATGTCCTCTGGGCGTGCAAATTCCCCGGTTCAAATGGACACGTCGAGAAAATATCCTTTGTGATAATAGCATCGCAGGCTGCAGGCAAGCTCGGGAGAATTAATTCAAGCTCTTCAATGCTATCTTACCCGCTCTCGAGGTGAGAAATAAAAAGGAGGATGAATAAATTGGAATGTTTCGCTCGGTGTTAAATGCAAACTGGGCGACTGCAATCGAGCTCGGGGACGCGCCGACATCCGTGCACGGACCACCAGGCGGTTGATGTCACTCGGTCTGTCTTGACTACAACCTTCCCGCTTATCTGCCCGGTGCTATACATATTCGTTTTTATCTGGCCCTATGAACTGGCGTCCAGGTTGAATAATTATACTGTGAGATTATACAGTCTCCTTCAGCTGAGTACCTTCTGACATCTGACCATAGAGCATTATCCTGTTTTGCCGACTCTGGATGACATATTCCGCAGCTTTTTCGCAAGCTATCGGCAGGCTTCAGCTCTCATCTCGCCATATCAGCATAGGATCGGCGTCCTCGCATTCAGGAGAATACCCTACCACCCGCTCAGTTCAACTTCTCTCGACGAGATCAAAAATGGCCTCAACCAGCAATGTCCGCGCGCCTTGGCGCGATCTCCTGGCCTCCCATATGGCCCAAACTCCCGGCTACGAGTTCACCGTGGCAACCGTGGGCCAAGATGAGAACAAGCGACCGGTCCCTCGCGTCCGCACCTGCGGCTACCGTGGCTTCTTCCCCGAGCTGGAAATTCATCCAAAGTCCCAGGAAGAAATGAAGCAACAGGTGAAAGATGGCGGCAACCCGCCTACATATGAGAGCGACATGTTCTGCTTTACCACGGATACTCGAATGGAAAAGCTTGGCCAATTGGAGTCTTCTGGAAATGACATTGAAGCCGTATTCTGGCTGAAGGATTTGATGACGCAGTGGCGGGTGAAAGGGAAAGCCTTTGCTATTGGGGACCCGACAGAGGACGCAGAACACGAGAAGATCTCTCGCTCAGAACTTGAGGATTTCCTTAGAGTCAAGCAGAACTTTAACGGCCCTATCGAGGAATGGACCTGGGAGAGGGCTGTGACAAAGTATTTTGCTAATCACTCGCCTTTGGCAAGGGGTAAGCACTAGCCTTCTTGTCATACTGCTTGCTCCCAATTATTCGTGAATTCTTGCATTCTTCAAGCCGCTGTCTAACATACATTAGGATCATTCAAGAACCCAGCCCCTGGCCAGCCGAGATCCCAGCTACCTAGCGATCCATCCTTGAGAATGGGGCAGAAGGTGAACGATCTGCATGATCCTGTGGCCCGCGGAAACTTCCGAGTTGTGGTCATTCGACCTGATGTAGTTGAGCGTCTGGATCTTTCGAGCCAGGAAGACATGAGGAGATGGATATGGGTTTTGAACAGCCGTGGTGACCATTACGGTCAATATACTTGGACTGAGACTGAAGTATGGCCATAAGATGGTAGCTTTTTGATATCATAAGAAACACGATTTTCCATTGCATTTGAGGAACTGTAGAGTATACCCCTGCAGCCTATTGTGATTCCAGCACCGTGGTGTCCCTTAATGGGGCTTTCTGTGAAATGACGCAACGCCGCAAGGAAAAGAGATGAGGCAGGTGCAACAAGCGTGCCTGCCTAAACAGGCGCCAGCATCACGTGTTGTACGTATGTATATGTCGGTGGAATCGCTCTCCCTCTCTCTTCTTTCTTTCCCATCGATTTTCACCCATCCCTCAGCTGAGCAGTTCGTTTCCAAAACTGCCATCCATCACGCCCTGTCGCCTTGCCATCCTCACCCGGTGGCCACAAACTCGCAACTTGGAAACCTTGGAAGATGTCGGAAGGTGAGCATCCCAAGCGTACCCTGCAGGAGGAAGCCCAGCTCACTCTTGCCATACTCAGTGGCCATACCGAGGGCTATATCAATGTTAGTGTGACCAAAGCGAATTGAAACAGCGTACGCCCATCGCTGCGAACAATCAGAGCTGATGATATCTAGGAGCCCCAGATGAGCCACGAGGCCGGTACCGCATCCCCTACCGCCACTCTCCCTTCTCTCACCCTCCCCGCCGCCCCCATCGATGCCGTCGCAGGTCACAGCGATGGCATGGGCCTTTCTTCTCCTGGTGGCCTTCCGGTCATTCCGGCCAGATGGCCATCTCTTCCCAGCATGCCGGTCTCCCAGCCGGAGACTGTAGCGCAGCCCGAGGGCAACATCCCTCAGGTTAACATGCCTCAGAGGAACACCCCTAAGAAGGGCAGCAGCAAGCAGTCTGAGCTGAGTGAGGCGGCGAAGGAGTTCATTGCCGCCCACAAGTCCTATGATAGATCGGCTAAGACCTTCGATGAAGCCACGGAGAAGATCTATCTGACGCTGGACGAGTGGCGGCGTGCCTGGGAGGCCCATGTCGCCGATCGGGAGGCATCAGGTAATCAGAAGCAGGAGAAGTGAACATTTTCCTGCTTGGGGCGGTGGTCCTTGGCTACCGTTTCCCATATTAGTTCGAGTTCTCGCCTTTTGTTTCTCGTTTTCTGGTTATTTGTAGAAGGTAATTAGCTCAATGCACGCCTTTTTGCGTATCCTTATACTCACCTCCGAACACGTAGAAGCCAATTGGTCACTCACTTGAACCGTGGGAGTGGGCCAACCCTCGGCATAGTTACCCGTGGGTACACATCAAAGGTTCGAACATTCAGATTCGACCAAGTGTTAGTGAAAACGCAGCAAGGTTGTCACATTTGATGGAAACTGGATTCGTTTCTGGTAATTGATGATTGAAATTTGAGGACTCGTTCTTTGATGTTTCGTGTGCAAGGGTAGTTTTAGGGAACCAATGCACTATGATTATGGATTTCATCTAATTCTCTAGATCATCCCGAATCGGAGACACTTCAGCTGTACTCCTTGCCGGGCAAAACCCACCTGTAATCAGTCTTCAAGCATTCTGAAACTTGGAACGCGTTTTCTGTCATCAGTCTGATTTGCAGAACCTGCAGCCTCCTCGAATGGTCGCGCAAGCCGCGTCTACGCCAATGACTCGATCCATCACGTGCACCCGGTCGTACAACACCATGCGACTCGGACCTATTGTTACCTACCAGGTAGTTTGCTCCGTGGGCGCGTCCGGCGGTTTCAACTGTTTCAAACAGAATGGTGTTCGCCTGGGCGATCCAGTTTGAATCACAAAGCTCGGACGGGTTCCTCGATGGAAGTAGCTTGTCGACCGAGATGAGGTCCGTACGCAGGAATCCCATACGGATACGCGACCATTACGCCCGGGCGTGCTTGCAGCAGTGACAATTCCCTCCGATGCGCCAATGACGGGCGGCGATCGCGGCGACGGGGCCACCCGCCTTCTCATCCACGGGTTGTCCCGGCCTTCCGCGCGCTGGATCGCCCGGGGCGCCTGCGCGGGAGTTGGTTGCACCGTATTTGACAATACAGCTTGTTAGAGGCATCTGTCCATACTTACACATGGGACCCCTGTGCATTTCATCGTGCGGAAGCGGGCCCCCGACGACTCCCACTTCCATCATCGCCGAATCACCGGCAAATGATGGTTACAATCCCCAAGCGAGCGACCGTTACGTGTCATGTCCTTCTTGGGAATGGTACCCGTGTCCCCTGGACTCCAGGGCCAATGCCAGCACCAGTAGTGCTGCCAGTCTCCAGTGTTGCTGCTCTTGCAGGATCTTCATTTTGGCCCCAACATGCGTCGACTGACGTGAAGCCCCAGGCTCCTTCGGCAGCAGGATCTGCCCACTATTTGTCACATTGCCAGGAAAGCTCCATCCAAGCGAGGGCGAGGAATGGATGGACGCCAGACTGTCATCCACGATATGCTGTCAACTCCACGACCCTCGCACATACATACCCCCGGGACACGTGCATGGAGGGTCGCTCTGGCCAGAGAGGTCTTCGCCCAGGCCCAAAAAATAAGAAACAAGATGAGCATCATTTGTCTCCTCTTTTGGCATCTGTCAGTCGAAATGAGGGGGCCATGCATGTCGCTCTTCACCGCTCCTTACAGAGTATATCGAGGTGTCTGTACGTACTGGGCCATCGCTGTAAACAATCATGGCCGTCGCAAGAACCAGCCCAATCAGTCTGCTACAGTAGCACAAGCCCGTAGGGCCGCAGCCATGCAGTTGGCCTCGGTATTATTATTTTATTTTTTTGTTATGGAGACCACAAAGTACGCTGGAACTGTACGAGTACGTGTATTCGGTGCGTGCACCAAGGCATACTGAAGCATACGCACGGCTGGGAAGATTACCATACCGTACAATACCGGTCCCCCGTATGCCCGCCTGGTTACGCTGTAACCTCCCGCACCCTCCATCATACGCGGCGCTGCGCTCTTTTCTCGATCCTTCTTCCCGTCTTCCTTTCCTTCGAAACCCCTCCTCCAACTCGGCCTACACCGTTTATTACGTCTGACAAAAACCGCCAACTCGGATTATACTAAAGCGCTACTGCCGCAACCATCCCTCGCCGCCCTCCCTCCCCCCGGGACCCTCGTCTGCTCCGCCCGCCATTTCCTTATTTTTCCCTGATTCCGAACTCACGACGAAACGACCGTCACGAAAAAGAGCCCACCGGGGAAAATCTATCCATCAACCCCGAGGACCAGACTTTTCCCCCTTCTTTGCCAACACTCAGAAACCCACCGGACTTTCTGCCATCCGTTGGGGGTTTCTGCTGAACTCTACATCCGACGACAACGTTCCGTCCGGGCATGGCGATGGCATCATCAATGGATGCGCTGGGAGCTTTCTCCCACCTTCAGACCAACCTGCCAGCCTGGATCACTCGTGTCTCAGAACTCGCCGACCACACTGCCGCGAAGCACGCCGAATACTCGGAAGCCTACCGTCGACACGCATCGTACAAACCTCGCCGCCGGAAGAACAGCTCCGTATGCTCAATTCACACTGATGACCTGGTCCCACTTAGCGAGAGGAAAGAGCCTCCAGCAGAGGCCGTGCAAAAGGCTGCCCCAGAGACCCGGGACACGCCCACCCCTAACCAGCAGGCCGGTCGCAAGCGCGGCACCGACGAAGCCCCCTCCATCGACTCCGGCGACCGACACACCTTTGTCAGCACTCGCCACAATGTCATTATTGAATACGACGGCCACACGCAAACGACCCTGGAACAAATCGTCAAGGACATCGGTATCGCCAGGAACAACATCCGACGCGGTAAAATGGGGATGATGCCGCGGATGGGCCTGCGCGCTGGTCTTTTCAACCGGACTGCGGCCATTACGGGTAACGCGGCCGGGGGTGGGGAGCCTTCGGCGCTGTCCTCGCTGGCCTGTGTGCGCAGCACGCGTACCGGTGCTGGCATCGTCGGCGTGACTGGCTCAACACCCGGAATCCGCAAGGAGTCTCCTTTCGACTATGCCGACAAACAACTGGAGCTGGCGCACGGGCTCTGCGAGACCGCCGCATACCAGGTCCTCCGATCGGGCGACTGTGGAACCGAACTGGACGGCGTGGAGGAGAAGTTCAAAATGCTCCTGGACATGGCCAACAACGAAGTGGCGCGCCTGGAAGAAGAGAAACGGAAACAAGAAGAAGAGCAGGCGCGATCACAATCCGAACCTCAAACCGAGTCGCCCCAAGCCGAAGACGATGCCGCTAAACCGCCTCCCAACCCTGCCGCCGCCCGAATTGCCCGGATCGCCGCCATCTCCGCTGGCGCAAAGGACAAATCAAGCACCTCGGACACTCCCGGTGCCATCGAAGTCGACGACACTTCCTCCATATCGGCCGAGTCAATTGACCTCTCCGCATTCCGAGCCTCTCGGATTCGAGTGTAAGAGAGGGAGAGAGACTCCGGGGCAGGAAATTTCCTTTCGAAGCCGCTCTCGGTCATCTATTAGCGATTTAGCGTGTGTGGGCGAAGCCATTTTCCAGCAAAAGCATCGCCGCCGGTTGATATACCTTCTATTTTCCCCAAGATACCATCTGTTCTGGGATTTTTCTGCACATTGACTTCGACTTCCACTTGCGGCATTCGGGACCATGCCCTCTTACTTTACCTATACCTATACCTATACTGTCTTGTCTCTCTTTGACTGACCTTTATTATTATATTCCTGACAACCGGCAACAGTCATTTCCTATTGGGAGCTCCTTGTTTTGAACCGGGCTTTTATTTCTTTCCATCTCCTGTCTATCATTTCGCATTGGGTATACGGGTGCCTCATTTGCCCGGAGAGCATGGCGTTGGCAACAGCACGGCGGCGTTTTTGTTTTATTTGTGGTCTCTTCATGGACCAACTCGTCCAGTATCTACTGTGTTCTGTCTTGGTGAATTGGGCTTTTATTCCAACACTAGCAGTGGGAGTCGAATTTGTTTCTTACAGTGTAAAGCTTACGCAATTACCAGCCAAAGTAGAATACGTACTGGTAGTGGCCTGATATAAGAACAGGAAAAGAGCTTCATTATTAAACTAGCCGGGCAAGAACTTTGATTTGAAAATGAACCGAATATAATTGACATTCGTGATTTCAACATCACTCAGAAAGGCCCAGGAGCCAACTGATTAACTCAATGGTTCACAGATAGAATGACCTCGGGGACAGGGAGGTTGAACCTTTTGTGTGTACCCCACTACAGGGCGTGACGGAAAATACGAAACATCCTTATATGAAGAATCCATCTTCCATCTTCTACACCTCATCGTCAACTCTACCATTGTATGAGTATACAATTGTTCATACCATTTCTACCAGTACACTAATGTAGTGTAGATTCCGTTCCGACTTATTACTACTAACTAGTGTAGACGTGTACCAGTGCAGCGGTAATACGGGTGTCAAGGGCAACGAGCCCAGCCCCTGTCAACCAGCCAAGAGCCAATAACATACTGCCACAGGGGTGACCATGATGGAAGTGGCGCTCGGAGCTTCCCTCGTCTGCACCTCGACGGGTCTCTCTATAGTGGTGCATAGTCCAGACGAGTCGTTGCAGAGAGGCGTTGCGGACAGGGCTAAGCGAGCGAACCTACGGGGGCTCCGGTGTCTACTTGGGACCCTGGTCACATGCCGAAGAAGGCAGGAGGGGCGGCTTTTGGATATCAGACTGAGTCATGAGGGTATTCCCCCTTTATTAATATTGCATGGCGTTGGCAGGGGTTTGGATAGACCTGATGAGGTTGGGGATGGGGGTGTGGCGGTGGATTGCGTATTGGTTAGTATACGTCTGCACTTGGTGGGCGTAACTTGCGCTGCGACTGGGCATTTGCGCTTTGCATGCGGGACGGGATGGGATGCAGGTCTATTCATGGTTACCCCATACATCCATTCATTGGGCGGAGGATGATGATTCCGCTGAATTTGATTACAGTATTGGCGTAGGTCCTGTCGACTGGCGAGTCGGACACGGCGTCACGGGGTTGGTTGATTGCACGGACGAATAGCTACAACTTAAATATGCCGATCGATTCTCCCGTGCCCTATCCTATTATTTTGGTTCCCCCTTACTAGTAGGCACTACAGCATAGTACTGTCGTAGATAATCCTGTACATCACGAGCCGAGAACTTGGTCTCGGCCAAGGAAAGCTCTGCTGCTGCCGTCTGCACGACGCCCCGAAAAGGATCCAGAAGTACTTGTCTAGCACTCTCAACCAACCGCAACATACTTCTGTCGACCTGCTGTCGCGGCAGGAAGATGTTTCCGCTTCCCAAAAGGGCATCAGAATGCGACTTCACTTCGGAGGACCAGTAAAAGTGCCGGGCGGTTCCCGGGGGGCGGCACGCGGGGCTGGCGTATTCCGTACAATACGTCTGTATGTTACATGAGTATGGTATACATACCTGGCGAGGGGACGAGACGGGTGCTGCTTTGAAACTTGAAGAGTAGGTACATCAGTGGAGAATCGCAGACTTACTGCCCACCGACCCTGTTCTCACCCGTCTGCATGGAGTCGGCAGCGGCGCCGGGATAGAGTGGAGAATGCAATATAATAATGTACTGTACAAGGAAGATGCCAACCCTTGGGAAGCAACTCCGCACTCCCTTCACTACATAGTATAGCCGGAATACAAGTACATGTTGGCCCTTGTGTTGCGACCCAGAACCACGACCGCCAGGATGTCACTCCCAAGTTCACGGTGGTCGGAGTGCTCTTCGGGATTTCACGCACTAGGATTTCTGCAGATTGCGAGCGATAACGGAGTGATGTCGCAGTACGGAGGAGCAGCATGCGGTGGTGGTAGTGTTGGGTCGTGCACGACACTCAAGGAAGATCCCTCGTGTTGCCTTCGACTTATGTACTAACCATAGTACGTGGCAGGACGCTGGGCTTGAGGTGGCGAAGCCTCGAGCCTGGCTGAGACGCTGGTGCATGCTAGTTTTTACACTGGGCCTTCCGTAGGATTTCAGTAGGGCTTGAGGCCTAATCAATGAGATCTGTACCTCATTCTGTGACCGTCAACATACTCTTAACAATCATCCTGGTCAGAACCAAGTGGAGATAGCAATTGAAACAACTAGACATTTCCATTACAAAGCACAAGGTAGGAATATAGTACATTTGCCATTAAAATCTCGTTCATAAATGTACCTAGATAGCACATATATCAATCCCAGTCTCATGGCAACATTCTCAAACATTAATGGACATGACGCATAGACATCAGCCGCAATTACGAATATAAAATAGATATAAGGAAATGTAGAAATCACCCGGGCAATGTGCACTACACGAGGCAAGATCCAGTCAAATAACAACGGCCCAATCGGGGCCGATCCTGTCTTTTGTAAAAGGCTGGATCGGCTGGGTATCAAAGTGGGCCGGACCAAACGTCAAAACCAGGAACAGCATTTTACATCGAGGTTGCTGGAAACAAATCCGCAGATCACAGACACTGAATTGAAAAAGTGACTGTCTTCTGTTCTGATCCGCATGGTTTACCAGGCTATCTTCTCCTCGTAGATAGGGGGTTGGCCCTTGTCCTCGTCCCAGGAGATCTTGGCTTTCTCGTCCAGGAACGCGTCCTCATCGGTGATGGGAATGACGCGCGAGGAGTGGGCAACCTCCTGTCGACTAATGCCGAGAGGGTCGCGGGGGATCCAGAGGAGAGGAGCCGTCGCGTTGATGGCCGGATTGAAGTAAGCGTTGCGCTCGGCCTCCTCCGGGTAAGGGGGAGCATCAAGCGGGTTGGGGACCAGACGGCGCAGAGTGGCGTAGTCGGCGTAGATGTCCGGGCGCATGAACTTGGTGAAGAAGTTCGGCTTCGAGTGCGCGGGCGGCAGCGAAGTGTGGGGAAGACCCTTCTCCGCGTCGGCGGAGTCAACGGCACCAACACCGCTATCGACGTTGCTGACGCCGTTGTTCGCGGCCGAAGCACCGTTGTTGGCGCCGTCCGTGTCATGGCTGAGCTTGGTGCGCTCCAGGGCCAGGAGGGCTTCCTCCTCGTGCTCCATGTTCTTGGGCAGGTAGTTGAGAAGCGGCTCCATGGCGGCGTTCATTGAGACGTGGTACAGCACGATGAAGACCAGGAAGATGACCATCAGGATCAGCGGGCCAACAGCGATCTGGTTGTCACCGGAGGCCATGGCGAACAGACCGATTAGGCAGACGATCAGCAGGTAGCAGCCAACAGTGATGTGTTGGAGAGCACGGGTGTAGGCGCGACCCTGAGTGTCAATGTCGGCATTGGACACGTACAGCAGGTTGTACCGGTAGGCGAAGTAGAACAGGTACAGACCAATGGTAGCGAAACCCATGACAAGAGGGGCAATGCAAGAGTAGATGATACCTGGAATTGGTTAGGAAAAGGATGGTTGTGGTATGTAAAGAGTTAAATCAACGTACCAATGACAAGCAGCAGACTGAGAACAGGGTAAACAGTGCCCCATCCGAGGCCAGCCAGGCTGGACCAGCGATTGTACAGCTTGCGAGGTGTGTTGTCGAGGAACTTGCCCAGAAGCTTGCCGACAATCAGACCGGCGATCTGAAGAAGAGCACCAGCACTGAAGGACAGACCCTGCAGGATAATGTACGAGATGTAGAAGTTTGAAGCGCGAGGGATCTTGTTGGCGAGCAGGCTGGCGGCGCTAGTCGGGTCCTCGATAATGGAAGTCACTACACTGGTGGCGGCCGAAGCCAAAGTCACGACCAGGAACACCTGGATAACTTGGAAGGCAAAGAAGAAGTTCTGAGTGATCAACTCGACGGAAGCGGCGCTGGGTGCACCTCCCCACTTGGCACAGAGACGCATGATGATGGGCACCAGCGCCATGAGGACAGCCATGAGGACGGAGGGCAGAATACCGGTGATGACACCAAGAATTACCGGAGGGCAGTTCAGGATGAATTTCAGGAAGGGAACCTTGTCAGTCAGGAAGTTGATGTTGGAGATAGCACCGACGACGGCAGTTGGGATGGCCCAGAAGATGATCAGAACGACAATGAAGGCGACAGTGACAGTGTGACGGACAATGCGCTCCCACCACTTGATACGGAGGTTGGACCAGATGACCTGGGTGGGGTCCAGGCCAATGTAGCGGGGCGCCATGTGCAGGGGCAGGTTGTGCGCAACGGACTGGTAGGCAGACTGAGCGTCGCTCTGCTGGTAGAACTCAACAAAGACAGACGAGACACGCTTGGCGTCACCGACACGGTGCTTAGCCTGCAACTCCTCGATCTCGGGGGTCAGACGCTCGATCTCAGAACGAGCCCAGTTGATGGTGTCGACCTTCTTGCCAATCAACATCTTGAGACGGTGAGTAGGGCGGTCCTTGGCCTGCACCCAGCGAGCAGCAACGGAACCAGACTCGTCATCGAACTCGCCGATGGCAGAGCTCTCCGCACCCTCTTCCTCGGAGCCCTTCTTCTTGAGCGCCTTGTTGCGGGCCTTGTTGGCCATGACAATAAGCTTGGTCTCCGCGGCCTCGAGCTTCATGGCAGCATCGTCGCGCTCCTTGACCTTCTCCTCAAGTTCCTTGGTATCAGTGGCAATCCAGACATTCTTGACCTTCTCAGCACCAAACATGGCACGAATCTTTTCCTTGTGCAAGTAGTCATCGGTCACGGCGCTGAAGAGAACCGTACGCGAGGAAATGCGGTTGGCGTAGGCAGGCGACAGGTAGTAGGCCTGGCGAAGGTTGATATAGAAGATATGCTCACGGGTGATCAAATAGAAGATGAAACCAACGAAGATCCAAGCAAGGAAGGCATGGGCGAAGAAGCGACCGTAGCCGTCGGGAGCAACATTGGAGAAGCTCAGAATATCCAATTGCTGCTGACCACCACCGCCAGTGGCATTGACAGGGAACAGGATGGGCCAGGTGATGCAGCAACCCACAAACATGATGATTGCGGACAGCTTCAGGAATCGCAGCAGGAGATAAGCATCCATCGAGTGATGCTGGAGCACGTAGGTATCGGGCAGCTGGTACATGGCCGTAATCCAGCTCCACAGGCCAGTGGGGGATTCCGGGGATCGCTGCCATGGCTTCAGGTAGCCAATGTAGGTACGGGGCATATATTGGCGACGCTGGCTCTTGCGCAGAATAATAAAGAAGATGACCATCACCGCAAAGATCACAATGTTGACGACCAGCGACGACAGGAAGCCAGACAGTGAATTCGATGCACTACCGGGGTCATCCTGGAGGTTCTAGTTAGCAAGCTATTTTTTTCCTTTCGCGTCGCGTGGAATACAAGCACGTACGGCACGGCTAAACAACCGGTGCACACCACCGACGTGATCCGCCATGGTGGAGGTTAGGTAGTCGAGTCGAGCTCGAACGCGGAGATGTGGTCCGAATTGGTCCCACGTGTTGTTGTCGGAGAGGGGGTTGCAGATGTTTGCCCCAGGGTGTCGATGGAGGAGGGGAGACGGAGAGGAAAAAAAGAAGGGGAGAAAAGCGCAGGGCAGGTTTAAGCTTTAGAAGGGGAGGGGCATCTGGGTGCTACGATCTGCGATCTGGCCTACGTAATAGGAGCATATCTTTCTTTTTTTCTGCAGCATTTTTTTTGCAGGGGCCGAGAGCTCCAGGTGCCAATGGGCTAGCTAGCGTCTGCTTCACCCCTGTGACCTCCACTTGGGCGTGGCGAGTGAGCGATCGATCCAGACTTGCACCCGCAGTGGCGCGCTCTGGGATCGGCCGGTTCCTTGGGTATTCTTGGTGCCACTTGGAATCGATGACTCGAAGATTGATCACGCACGAGGGTTTATCGGCATTTTTTTTGTTATGACCTGGGATTTGATGTATTCTCGGGTGTTTTGTTCTGCGGGCGGCAAGGGAGGCGCTCGGAGAAGACCGTGCCCAGCCACGTCAAGCCACACAGCCTGCGTCAGAAACAAATTAAACGTCTGGGCAAATGCTGTGCAAGGGATGGCGATCTCCAAAACGAAAAGCATGACCAACCCCGTCCGATTTGAAACTACGGTCATGGCTCATTTGCGCCGGGAGCGCACAGTATGCGCGAAGGCGACACCAGGTCACATCTAGGGCCTGCGGGAATCCAGGGGCTGTCAACTTCAAAAGGACTTCGTGTGTACCCATTGCGATACGAAGCTTGGGCCAAACACCTATCAGAGCTCCGTGGGGAAGTAATTGCCGAGATGGCACTTGCTGTCGACAAATCCTGCGGTGTGACGATCTCGGGATTCTTGGAGAGGTGCGATGGCGTGCATGGACAGCTCAACGAGGGCGTTGTACAGCTCGCGACTGCCCGATCAACAGGATCGCCGACAGGGGACTGCACTGCTGCTGCGTTGCTGAGTTGGATCCAATGGATCGGACGGGCGAGCGACGCTAGTAGTAGCTAGTGGGTTGCGCTATTGCCTGGGATCTAGCTACCCATGGGCCGCGTCTGGACTATCAAATTTTGCGAACCATACGGCAGTCCACATTCGACGCGAACGTCGCGAGAAGAGCCCCTGTTCAATTTTGAGGTCGCCCTGGTCGCTCTGCTGCACCAAATTCTTCGAGATGCACCCCAGATTGTATTGCATTTCTGACTGCTGCCCCAGGATCTCAAGGGGGAATGTAAGTATCCCCCGCGGGAGGTATTCATATCGTCATCGGTGTCAAAGTGCATAGTGATCGACGATCGCTGGCCCCCAAAGTCACCTGAATGCGATCTCGTTCCTCGGTACCTTCAGGTACCTCCCGTGGTGGGTGGATTCGGAAAGTGACCTCGGAGAACCTTTGGTCGGGACTCCGCTGGTTATTCGCCACCGCAAAAACTGCGTTAAGCGTGAACTCCGATCAACGATCGACAGGTCATGGATTTTCGCTTTCTGATATCAAATTGGGCGGGGCCGAGGCTACTCGAGGGTGCACCGGCGCCCTGGTGCCTCCACTGCGGCCGTGGTTCGCTTTGCGTGGATGACGCCTACACTACCCATCCCGGTTGTCGGGTCCTGCCAAGCCCACGTTGTAGCCTCGTGCCTGACCGTCAAGCCAGTTGGCGACGAAATGCATGCAGAAAACCCCGAATAAACCATAGAGTACAATGAATATTCTGTATGTAAAAATAAAAACCATTGCAATCATGAAATGACGATCACACAATGCATAGATGATGATGAATAGGTAATTTAACGGAAAAATTCTCATTCATTCGGTAGGATTGGTCAAGGCTGCTATGCTAAGTATTCGAGGCCGCCCAGAGTTCGTTCTCGAAGATATCGATGCCACGAATGGGCGGTCGCATGGTGAGGAAACTCATGAGGATTTCATTAAAGTGAAATTGTTGGTCGGGTCGGAGCTGTTTGTGAGTGGTCAGCAGCTCGCCTGTCGACCATGCCCGCTCGGGAACCCGCAGGTCGGGGTCGCAGCCTTGCTCCAATAACAACCAGAGAAGGGTTTCGCAAGCGGGCTCTCGGTCGAGCTGATGGTGTGCAATCATGGCACTTAGATATGTAAGGAACCGACCGGTCTTGTGGACAGAATCTTTAAAATCCCACAGAGCGGCGGTGATGTTGATAAGCGCAGCCGTGCGACTAATTTCTTGGGTCTGCGCGTCGCGTACAACGTACATGCGAGACGCCTGCGGGACAGAGGATGGCCGCGGCCCACTGGACAAGAGGGAGAACAGCGGACTTTCCATTTGGAATGCATCGCCTCGCTGGGGGACTTGAGAGAGATAGGTCGAGGAGCTGTGTCGCCGCATGAGATCCTCCGCTCCTCGGAGGAAGGCAATGAGCCATCGCTGATCGGTCGGATCAGCTGTTATGTGTTGCGGCAGTTGGATATAACGGACATAATGAAGAAACACCTCCACGCCTGGATGGCTTCCAGTGCGGGGTCGCATGATGTGAGCGGCCTGATTCAGACATCTTTGACCCTCTATTTTATCGCCAAATCGTTCTTCTCCAAGAGCCATTCCTGAGAGGGCCATGGCCAATTGGTCGGGAGGGACTTGTATCAAGCCCTTGGCGGCGTCTTCAATGTTTTGCCGGGCTTGGCCGACATGTCGTGTGACCTCCGGGCTCTCAGTGACTCCATAGAGCTGAGCCTTCCATCGAGCGCAATAGCAGAGGATGACCGCTTGGAACGACACGGGATGTTCCATGGCGGTTCGAAAGATTTGATTCTTGACGTATGGGTTCTGTCCCGACCAGTACGCCAATTTGCTAGTCCAGTAGTCCACCAATTCCAAGTCCTCTGGGTTCCGGGCGATCGGTAAGCTCCCAAAGGGATCCTTTCGTGACGCATCGAGCATGGTCATGGGGGAGCCCAGTTGTAGTGGCACGGCTGGCTGGGCGTAGGGTTTCACGGTTGAGAACCTGATTTGCAACTGAACATCGAGATCATTAGCATTGAGATCGCCGAACCTCTGCCCGCAGGTTGACACTGTCAGGTCATGTCGTTGCAGTCGCATTGACGCCAGACTTGCTGTCCATACCGAAGAATCCTGATCGACCGAAGGTCCCTGGGGGTCCGGTAGCACGGCCGCCTCCGGTTGTGTGTCCGTATCATAGCCCGAGTCTTTCCTGGCCTGCCAGGATATGGATTCTCGGATTTGATCCGGCTGGAGGGATCCATGTGACATTTTGCGCTGCTTGCGCTTTTCCTGGACATGGTGGCGCATTACATGAGCGCGCTTTTCTTTGGATGATGAGCTTGAGTCGACAAAATAGAACTGATTTTTCGGCTGACCCCGGAATCCGTGGGGCGCCGCCGCCGCCTCGACTTGGCCGCCTGGGCCGAATCACCGGATGAGCCTAGACAGTAGTATATCGACTATTAACAATGGGAGTTCTCGAGGCTATGCAGAAGGTATGGGTGTTGAGAAAGAACTAACCGGGAGCATCCAGGCCCAACGGCTCCCGTTCAGGTGGTCCAGCGGCGGACGAAGCCGGCGGCGCATTTCCCAGCCGTGGTTCGGAGCCAGACATCTCGCGAAGTGAGGGAAGTCAGTACAGTAAATTGTCGGCGCAACGATGCACCCGCTACAGCGGCATGCCGGACCGACGATCGCCAAAATTCCTCCAAGATGTTCGGGATTTGGTGGCAACCATCGCAGGCTCCCTCGAGGGGCGATCCAAGCAAAAAAGGGCGGGACGGGTTCACGGAAGGGTACGAGCGTAGGAAGGCGACATTAGATCCGGATCAGGTGGGTAAGAAGTAAAGTCGAGTTTCGGTAATGCAAAGTAGAAATGCGATCCCCATAAATCGGGGAGAAATGAGAGGGTACTGGTAACACGAGGTGAAGCAGCCACGGGGGTTGCAGAGTGTGTGCACCTCCAATGCCCGAGTTGGGTTAGAGGGAGCATTTGGGTATTGCCCAACTTGGCAGTCGGCGGGGAGAGCAGCAGGTGGGCCATTGAGTAACTCGGCAGGATGAAGGGCGCGAATTCGCAAAAGGGTAAAGGGGGGCGGTTTTCCCAGCTAGCCAGCGGTGAACGTGTGGGCACTCCGAGAGCCTCGAGAGTCGTGACTGGCGGGATGTGCTTGCCAGCTCCGCGCCTCTCCCGGCCTTCGTTCGGGCGAAGGTAGGGACCCTCACCTGCGCAGGTCAAGAAGCCCAGCGGATGGTGCGGATGAACGGACATCCAGAACGGGTTTAGTGCATCCCCTACCGAATCGGGAAACCACTTAACGCGTCGGTCCGGATTATCTTGTCTGCCGGCGACGCGACACGCGAACGCGTCCCGACGAAAAATGGCCCCTTAGCGGAGGCAGGTGGCAGGGCGACCGTGACTTTGCTGTTAGTGCCAGTGCGAGTGCCTGCCATCACCACTTTTTTTTTTCTACTATCCCCCACCCCAACGTCCGGTGTCCCGCACGAGAGCACGTATACGTCCCCCGGTAGCTGCTCTCTTGCCATGTCTTCCCTTTTCGACGCCGTCCTCCAGTCCGAGCTGGGCTCGGGGTCTGGTACCCGCGAGAATCTGCAGTCCGACCACTTGCCCAGCTCTCGACGTTCAGAGAGCAATGGCCCCATGAGTGATATGAATGCCTTCCCCGATGATCGAGTGGTCGGAGCGAGCTCGTCGGCGGTTAGCCGGCTACGAAACCCATATGCTCCTGGTCCCCCGCCTGTGGTCGACGAGGCCGGAGAGAAAGTGCAGCAGGCCTTTGAAGAATTGCTCGAGACCTTCATGGAGGAGCCCTCATCATCAGCCCCTCCGTCCTCGGGAGAGATTCTCAGCGACAAATACTACATTGCTCAGATTCGCGGCATGAAGAAATTCGAATTGTCCACTCTCTACGTGGATTTCACCCACCTGACCTCTCTGGAAAACCCAATTCTTGCCGATGCCATCGCCAGCCAGTATTACCGTTTCCTCCCTTTCCTCACCAAGGCGCTTCACAACCTCGTGGCCAAATACGAGGGTGACTATTTTGTGTCGCATCGATTGGCCTCGAGCGCCTCCTCGCAACCGAGCACCTCCATCGCATCAGCCTACGCCAGTGTCTCCGATAACCCCGACCTGGAGCGTCAGATCCGTGAGAAGACCCGTCACCAACAGACCGACAAGCTCTTCGCTCTTGCCTTCTACAACCTGCCACTAGTTTCGCGACTGCGTCAACTGCGCACAAACCAGATCGGAAAGCTGCTGTCCGTCTCCGGTACCGTCACTCGAACCTCCGAAATTCGACCAGAATTGTCGCTGGGTACCTTTATTTGCGAGGGCTGCAAGACCGTGGTCAACAACGTCGAACAGACCTTCAAGTACACCGAGCCCAGCGAATGTCCCAACCAGACTTGCGGTAACCGCAATGGCTGGCGCCTCGACATTGGCAAGAGTACATTTGTGGATTGGCAGAAGGTCAAGCTTCAGGAGTCCTCGCATGAGATTCCCACGGGTAGCATGCCTCGTACAATGGATGTGATCTTGCGTGGTGAGATGGTGGACCGCGCCAAGGCCGGTGAACGCTGTATCTTCACCGGGACCTTGATTGTTGTTCCCGACGTGAGTCAGCTGGGTCTTCCGGGTGTTCGGCCTGAAGCCGTCCGGGACAATGGCTCATTCCGTGGCAGCGAGGTTGGTGGAGGTGGTGTTTCCGGATTGAAAGCTCTGGGTGTCCGTGATTTGACCTACCGACTTGCCTTCCTTGCCTGCATGGTGACGCCTGACACCACGACCCCGGGTCAGAAGCCCGAGCAGCAGCTTAGTGGTCAATCCAACAACATCCTGGCCTCTCTGAATCAGAACCAGGATCCCGACATGAATGACGACAAGGCCCAGGAGGCTTTCCTCCAGAGCCTGACCCCGACTGAGGTTCAGGATCTGAAGAGATTGGTGCACTCGGAGTACATTTACTCACGATTGGTCGACTCGATTGCACCCATGATCTTTGGTCACCGGCAGATCAAGAAGGGTCTGTTGTTGCAATTGATCGGTGGTGTCAGTAAGAGAACTCAGCAGGAGAGCTTGCAGCTGCGTGGTGATATCAACATTTGTATTGTTGGTGATCCTTCGACGAGTAAGAGTCAGTTCTTGAAGTAAGTACATCAACAGTTTTGTAGGAACTGGAAGTAGTTCGAGACATTAACATGGCTACCTCAGGTACATCTGCTCCCTGCACCCCCGTGCGGTTTACACCAGTGGTAAGGCTTCGTCAGCAGCCGGTTTGACAGCATCCGTCGTGAAGGATACCGAGACTGGAGAGTTTACCATTGAGGCTGGTGCCCTGATGCTGGCTGTAAGTCTTAGCGATCCTTAAGAGTGAGGCAGTGACTAACGCTCTTTTAGAATGGAGGTGGTATTTGTGCCATCGACGAGTTCGACAAGATGGATATTGCCGACCAAGTCGCTATCCACGAAGCCATGGAACAACAGACTATTTCCATCGCCAAGGCTGGTATCCACACCACTCTCAATGCTCGAGCCTCGATTCTTGCCGCCGCCAACCCCATTGGCGGTCGGTATAACCAGAAGGTTACTCTCCGCCAGAACCTCAACTTCAGCGCACCCATCATGAGTCGATTCGATGTTTTCTTCGTCATCCGCGATGACCCCAAGGAGAGCGTGGACCGCAATCTGGCCGAGCACATTGTCAACGTTCACATGAACCGTGATGAGGCCGTCGAGCCTGAGCTGAGCACCGAGCAGCTGCAGCGTTACATCCAGTTTGCGCGGACTTTCCGCCCCGTCTTCACGGACGAGGCTAAGGCTCTTCTTGTTGAAAAGTACAAGGAGCTTCGTGCCAATGATGCTCAAGGTGGTATGGGACGCTCTTCGTACCGTATCACTGTGCGTCAGCTCGAGTCCCTCATTCGTTTGTCCGAGGCTGTTGCCAAGGCCAACTGTGTGGAGGAGGTTATTCCCAAGTTCGTCATCGAGGCCTACGATCTGCTCCGCCAGAGTATCGTGACCGTCGAGAAGGACGACGTCGAAGTCGACGACGATGTCCCCGCTCAGAACGCCGACGAGGATCACGACATGGCCGATCGTGACCGCGAGGGCGACAGCCCCATGCGCGAAGACGGCGAACAACAACAACCCACGCCGCAAGAGCGTACTAAGACAAAGATTACCTACGACAAGTTCTCCAAGATCCTGAACCTGGTCGTCCGACGCATCCGCGAGGACGAGGTGAACCAGGGCGAGGGTGTCGAGCAGGAAGACCTGATTCTTTGGTACCTGGAACAGATTGAAAGCGAGCTGAACACCCAGGAAGACATGGAGCGCGAGCGTGATCTGGCCAAGAAGGTTCTGAAGCGCATGGTCAAGGATCACGTCCTGCTTCGCATCGCGTCAGACCTGATGGAAGACGACGGCACTACCCAGTTGGCGTCGGATGACAAGGTTCTTTACGTGATGCACCCCAACGTTGCGTATGAGGAGCTGTGATTCGGCGCGCTTTCCGGGCTTGTGTTTATTTTTCTTGGGATTTGGGTTGTTTTGCATTTTCAGGGTGAAATAAATGGAGCACAGGGGTCATGAGTGATGATATCCGTTCTTCGATAGTTCTTGAGCATGATTGTATAATCCATGAATATCTTGATTGTGATTCTTCCAACTGTAGCTTGAGCCGTTTCAAGAATTACAGCTTTGTTTATTGTTTTATCTTATTTTTATTTCATTAACGTTTACGGGCTGTTACTTTACCTCCTTTCCCCCTTTTGGGGCCATGCTGCGCCGTGTAACTGCCCAAGTAACACTGAATCATGATGCAAGGCCCGCAACGGGACAAAGGATCAACTCGTGCCAGGATGGCAAGACAGGGCGCTTAGCAGTTGTATCAGGCGTCCCACTTATCAGTGTCGGAGTAAACTGTTCAATGGTGACCAAATAGGTGTTAGTTACCTTCAATATGTATGTGGAGTTGAGGTCTACAATATTTATTCCATGCCCAGCCTCGCTATTTGACAAGTGCCTCGCATTCCATTGTATCTTAGCCTCGAGGATCAAGGGCAACTCAATTCAACTGAACACTATTCTCTAAGCACGACTGAGACATATTAATCCTCCCAACTAGAATCTCGTCAAGAAGTAAGCTCTCGCATAACAAAAACACCAAACTTCAATCTAGACCGGGCTAGCTTGAACAGGCCCTTAGACTATTTCCCCAACTCGGGCGTGGTTTTTGGCTAATTGCAGCCCAGTGGGGATTGGAGGCCTTATACCCTGCATGCGTGAAGCACTAACTACTTTCAAGCGTATGAGGCCTTCAAAATAGATCATTGGACGACTCCCACAAATTGAAGGTCATGGTTCGTTTGAAAATTGGTTGATGTTTGAGTTGCTCCAGGTGCTGATTTAGATACAGTCGAGACGTCGAAAGGCGTGGTCCGATCTACTGCCCTGAGACAGTTCCATCTGTGATGCTCAGCCACCACTGCACAGCTTACGGTTCGTTGGAGCATCACATATCGTATTCAGGCTATCGATGACTTAGATTCGCTGTACAGTCTAGAGGGATGTCTCAAAATATCGGCGGCACATTGCAAACTGTATCGTACTATGTGAATTTCAGATTGGAAATATAAAAGGCTTCGCTCTCCCGAACATCTGTTCTCCATCAAGCAACATCAATCGCAATCCCAATTCCAGTTTCTCACAAAACACCCAACTCACTATCCCAATTCATCAAAATGAATCTCACAATCACCTCTATCCTCCTCGCCGCCAGCTTAGCCATCGCCGCACCATCCACGACTAAGCGCGAAAGCCACTCTCTCCAAATCACTGACTTCAACGCCAGCGGTTCCAAGGGTGGCGCAGGCGCAAGCATGCATTTCGTCGTTACTGACGCCAATTACCCAGATGATACCCCGACTGACTGTAACTTGCTCTGGTGAGTCAAATTATTGCCAGTGGCTTTTACACTCCTACTGTAGATCTAAGCAAGGCAAAAGCTGATATATGTATAGGATCTACGGCGAAAGCCCCAACGGACGAGCCCGCTGCAACAACGGAAAGTACAAAATCAACTTCCCGGACGGCGTGAAGGATTTGCACAAGTTTACTCTTGAGCTTGTTCGTCAGCCGGAGCCTATTGGGGAGAGGGGTCAGGTTGTTTTGGATTCGAGTGTTGGGGGGCCGGGTGTTGGTTGGAGTTGTGTTGATAATCCTAATGAGACGGTACTTGTTCGTTGCAATTATGCTGGGACACTGGAGTTTCCTGTTTCGTGGCCTTGAGATAGATGGGTTGAGGATGGGTTAGATATTGTCTGTGAATTATTGAGATGGATTCAGAGGCTGTGTTAGATGATGGTTTTAATGCTATATTGGTGCACTACCTGTAATGTGCATTGATCAAATATCTGAATATGAACACATCAATCCCCAGACATGGGCAATAATACCAACATAATCCATCCTACCGTCTCAATAATAGGTAGGTCAAGCCCAAGTCCCATTAGCAGGCCCAAAATACCCCACATCCGCCATAGCCTTAAAGGGTAATCCCTGCCCATCCGCCGTATCCAGATAAACCGTATTACCCCACCAATCAGGAAACTTGGCACCAGGATACGAAATGCAAAAGAATATGAAAATCCCGCTCAGTGCGAGGCCTGTATCCAGGGCTGCGGCGAGGATATAGTTGTATTTCGTCCACCATGTGAACCAGCGTCGCCGGATGACGTGGTTGAATATGTAGTTTACTAGGGCCCAGCTGGAGTAGTTTATTCCAGTTGCTGCATCACGTCAGTTATACAGATATTGAATAGTGGGGTGGGTGGATATAGGAAAGGGACATACCCGGAGGAACATTGTAAGTGCCGACAAAAATAAGAGGCCAGTTAATCATTTTCCAGAACTTCTGCTTGGTGAATCGGTACAGTAGCCATGTCACGATAGGCATAACGGCACCAATCCAGAAGAAATGGAGGAGACCAGAGTAGATCTGGCCGGCGGAGTAGAGACGGCGCGGACCGACAAGACCCCAGATCACAGAGGACGAATAAACCGTTCTCCCATTGGGACAAGTAAAATTATCTGCCTGGTCCGACTGGCAAATTCCATGAATATGACCCAGCATCCAAAGCGTGACGCCGGTCTGGGTCAGCGCACCGAGAATGGTAGCCGCGCCCTGCGCGACAAAGGTCGTGCGCGGCGGAACCTTGAGGTAATGGGCCAATTTCATGTCCATGGCGAAATAAACGCCTTGACCCACTACGTCTGTTGAAAGGATTTTGAAAATCATATTTGCCAGTGGCTTTCCTTCGAACATGTACCCGCCCACGAACTCTGAGAGTACGTTCAGCTGGTTTGCGTCGACGTTTGTGATGCCCTGCACGATCCCGCAGGGGATCATGTATAGAGCTGGGACGATGAGGCCGAGGAAGACGCCGTAGACTGGGAGTTTAGTCTCGTAGACCTCGACCATGGCGATTGCCATTGCTGTGATGATCACAATGATGCCTGCATACCAGTACCACGGTGTTGGGCGGTAGGAAGCGCGGACCAGTCGGGCGTGGATGTCTAGTCTATTGCGGCCTTTAAAAGCGGCCCAGAGGTCACGGCTGTGCCAGACAGCAATGTGCGAGAGGACAGATGTGATGGCTGCAAAGGAAGGACCGTAAATGAAAGCGAATGTGGCGCTGAGGAAGGGGGGTGAGTAGTTGCGGTAAGCCGCTTCGTCAAGGCTGTGGTCTGCGCTGACGACTCGGGCTGTATCGTATACTGCGCCGGTTCTGTCGTAGACGTCTGCCGTCATGAGAGGCAGGTATCCTGTGAACCAGACGTTGGTGTAGTAGAGGATTGGAACGATGACCCAGAAGAAAAAGGCGAAACCGGCAAAGACGTTGATGGCGGCCCACGAGGGGGATAGGAGTGGGTTGGTATTGTAGGCAATTTGGCTCCAGTCAAAGGTGACCGGGCTTAACCCGAGTCCGGTCTGCATGCCGAAAAGGTGGTTGACGATGACATTCTTTGGCGCGATCCAGCAGACCCAGGTGAAGTAAGACAGAGCCGTGAAAATCAATCCGGGGAAGAAGTACCAGAGGAACCCGCCGGCCGTCACATAGAGGAAGAAGCGTAGACGGGAGATGCGCCATCCATTTGCCAGTATATTCGCTCGCGAATGCAGAGACTCGAGCATCGCGCAGTTGGATAACACGCCCGGCCAGATGATGCGGGCTGGCTCAACCAGCCAGGGGGCTGCAAGACCCGCGACTCCGAAGCCAAGCAGCTGGGCGCAGAGAACGATCAGAACATAAAATCCCGGCTTGAGGTTGAAGTCGTAAAATGCCGCGCTGGCGGCCTGGATGATATTGGTAGCGTCGGCGGTGGCATATCCGAAGGAGACATTGCTCATGATCACGATGAGCCCATGCTCTTTGATATTGAATTGTCGATCCGGGTTGAGTGAGAACGAGCCCAGCGGCCCCAAAGAGATTGTCGTCATAGGCAGCGTTTTCGCGAGGAAGATGCCCAGCGGGTATGCCAATAGCTCGGCGACCAAGGCGACAATATGCACCGACGGGTAGCGCAGAGAGAAGAATTGGTTGATGCCGGAGCCGAGCATGGTAAACACGATCCCCAGCACCCACATGCGCACGGTATTAATAGGCATGCTGGGGTCGTCTGTCTCGGGGACGACGGCCCTGACTTTTTCGTTGTAAGGATCATTTCTTCATCACTGCAGTGTGCAATGCTAGATTGCGCCGTGGTTGGAACACGTGGATGAGCTCACCTTCCGGAAATGGCGAGCGATGCGATTCATAGCTGTACTCGACATTCTCAATCACTTCGTCCGGTTCCTTGAGGTCTGGTTCTGGCTTGCCCCCCTCCTCCTCCCCTTTCAGATCGGGGGTGAGCGTCTCGACGTTGAGTTCCTTGGACTCCATGATGAACAAGATGAGGAGAAAGTTCCGAGTCCGCGCCAGCCCTCAAAGTCCAGGCGCGCGACATTTTGACCCGCGATGTCGCGCCGTCCTGGATTCTAGGATGAAGTTGGTCTAGTGGCAGCGTATCTGGAAACGCGGGCAAGCATCGATAACAGCCATCCAGCATTGCGCATATCAGCCTGGGAATGTCTGAGTATCGGAATGGACTGAATGGATTGGGCTGATCCGTGGCGAGTGGGCCGGCCTAAACGTTGCTAGAGCTTAGCTCGAGATAGCAGGCAACCCCGCTCGCCCGTCCTATCAGCATGACTGTGTAGTCAGTTGATCGTGAGAATTGTCGAGGCGGAGCGGAGGCAATCGAGTGGCATAGTGAGGAAAGAAAGAGATTTCGGTTCGGAGTATTGCTGCGATGGCATCGTGGAAGGATATGTCTGGGCAGAAGAGTGCCGGCAGTTGAATGGGATATCATGATAGTAGGAGATATGACCGAGGCGTGAGCCCTAGGACTAGGCGTTTCATGGGAATAACCCGAGTGCAACGGTATTTGCCGATGCGAGATAGCAAGATAAGGCTGCATCGTAAGGTCGAGACAACACTTGATCGTTCAGATGCGATCAACGTTGCGAATGCAGAAGTATATCCTTGCCCGCCTCAGGCATGGACACAGATGTCGACAGGCCCCGACACCACGATAGCGTCCACTGGCAATGTTGGCATGCGCAGATTCACCGCCATTAGAACAATCCATGTCCCTCCCACATCCTCATTTCCCCCCATGCCGGTCCTAACCAACCTCATGCCCTGCCCGGTCCCTGTGACAGCACTAATGTAGCCCGGGTAGCGTCTGACAGCTTCAGCGGTTCGGTTCTCCTGCACTCCTACGCAGCCCAAATAGTAATTTCGGCCGTACAAAGGGACATGGCCGTTGACGGCACCCGCTATCCACTAATCCTTGCACAGCAAGCAAAGCATAACCCTACAGTAGACAGTCCTCTGCTGTTAGAGCTGCCGCATCCGCCCGAGGGAAAGCACAGCGCAGCCTCGGGCCGTTAGCCCGCAAAGCAAGCGGAAAAGCGAAGAAGCGCCGCGAAGGATGCACCGGCCGTCGGAATGCGAATCCAGGGCCCTTTCTATGGTGCTGGCGGTTCGCCACAGGCGGGTCTGTACATCCGTCGAACTGTGGAAGCGTTCGAGAATGGTGCCCTCGTAGGTTAGGGTAGGGTAGGGTGGCTATTATTATCCCGGCATTGACAGCCGAATGCAGTGCCGATGTCCTTTTTTTCAGGCAGGTATGTTTGTAGGGTTAGTACTGGCAGCACGCAGAGATCTGGGCCGTAATCGGCGCAGTGGCGACGGAGAGTCCCCGGTCGCGCCTCACACAGCGCGGAGACGCCCCGGACTCAGCCCAGAGGAAATACATCTGGATTGGATCGACTCGACTCGAGGTCTTTCATTTCATGCTCCGTGCTGGAATGAGTCAGGGGCTGTTAATCACCATGAAGGAGTAGTAGCGTGGTGGCACGCCAATGGCATTGCAATACCTGCGACACGTCTCGGATTCGCGGTGAAGGGGTCTGCAAGGCCAGACCGTGCAGCGGAGGGGGTTCCGGTGATTTGGGTTACTCACTCTGCAATGGCCGAGGACTGAGCGCCGGGGTGTAAGTAACACTGCCCTAGGGGAATAGAGATAGAGAGAGATGAGATCGATCTGCCCCACCGGGTTCGCTTCCGTGGTTCCGCGGGGATTCCCGACCCGAACAGTATTACAATGATAAAGACGATATGATAAAAGTGCTATCCTCTGATCTAGAACCCATCTTCTTAAGATATTCATGGTATCTGCTATTTTGATAAGTAAACCTACAGGGGTGATTCTGTGGCTACTGCGATCATCAGTGGCGCCAGCTCCTACATACTGTATGATCTGTAGACCGCCCGCCGTACTTCTACCTCACTCTATCCAGCCCAAAAGATCAATTTCAAACTCCTCATTTCTGCAGTGGCAGCCGCATCTGACGCCTTGTCCAGCCATCGCTCTCGCACACAGCGGCACTGCGAGCAAGGACCGAGCGCCACCCCGTCCGAGCTTCGACGATTTGGTTTGAGGATCTTGCATATGCATCGCAGCTGCAGCTGCAGCTGCAACTGCAGGGAAGACCCAGCTGGGGTGATGAGCACCGCCCGTGTGGTAGGACAATTTGACTCAATTGACAGTTGGACCTTTACTGAAGTGTAAAGTGTACAGGTGAATGGCTGTATGTCCCTATTTGCTGCTGATCTGTTGCTCTGGACAACTGCTGTCCATCAATGCTTTCGCGGACGAGCCGTCGCAAAGCGCGCTACAGCAGGTATCCGACTAGCGCCGACAAATAAACAAAAGTGATAGAGGCGACACGATGGATCGTGTTCTGAGATTGGCTTCGGAAGAATCGACGCGAGATCTCACTCGAGCATTCGAGCTCCAGCGTTATCGTGTTCGTGGGCTCGGGTACGGAGAGTGAGGCAATAGCGCCCCCTACTGAGGAAACGTAATAAATCGACCTGCCCGATCAGGAGACGGAGGAGGGCGTACTTCAGGAGGCAGCGGACAACGGCCAGCCCCGTCCTGTCACCCTGATGTCTAGTGCTTGTCCACTCTTCCTCCACTTTGGGCATCATCATCTCCATTCAACCCCCATTAGGAGGTCTCCCAACCTCCGAGATATTGACCCGACCCCCTTTACCTGGAAGCCTAAATGCACCCGGAACTCTGGTAGCAGGAACCGGAGGCTGATGAAACACCGAGGGCCTGGGAAAAAGGGGAAGACCACGATGCTGGCGCTGTGTCGATCAAATTATGGGCCGCGGGCCGTCCCAAGACCCAGACAAAGTCGGAAACTGAAGCTGAGCAGGCAGTGGAACAGCTGGGAGATGATCATTTTACTCAGGATACGTCGCACGCAAAAGTCCCGAGGAACCTGTCAAATGGACTAAGTAAGTAGCCATGACTCGGTGGCTCACAGAATTGATGTGTCTTGTGTCAACGGGCCGCACCCCCCTTGATCCCCGCGCAGCGCACAGCGCGGAAGACGGAAGTACGAAATCTGGCGCTGCAGGTGGTTTCCTGGAGCTGATGGATTGGGAAGGAACGAATCTGACCTGTATGTAGGCGGTCGACAATCATTTCGGAAGGGAGTGACCCAGGGTAATGGATTGACCCACTGGGGGGCGCCGGGGGGAGCAGCTGGGTGTTCCGCGGCGCTATGCACGAACTGGGTAGGGCATCGCAAAGATGCGATCGTCGATGCAGCAGTAGTCTGGAGGAGTTACCTCCCCGTAGGGTCAGTAGGGTAGGGACCAAACAGCAGATCGAGATGGTGATTTGCATGTCAGAAAATTGAGTGCGCGCTCTTCTTTGATGTGTTCTCTTGGGCCTGGACTTGTCAACAAAGAACCGTCGTGCCTTCGTGCTCCGTACTGTACTAGTGGTCTCATCTCAGGCTGAGTCTGGCCTCGACGGATAACTCGACGGGTAAATGGGAACCCGCTGATTCGCGCGAAAACTCCAGCTCTAGGCTCGAGGAGGAGCCGTCTTCCACGATCCCTGCTCCGAAGCCATCGCGCGGCGGGTTCGCAGTGCGTCGGCAGTTCGCAGCAGACCGTAGTGCGTCGAGCGCAGGGCACCTCGGTATTTTTTTTCTTCGTCGTGATTTCACTTTGTTCACAAGTCGTCTCGAGAACTCCCGAGATAGTCCGGGCGAATGCCGGAGACGCGCCGGAGGTTGCCACTGAGTTGACCTCGGCCCAGCGAAGTGAAGGAAGGCGGACCAGCGGGAACCGTTGCCAAATTGCCACGGCCTCCTTTTGGAGTAATTAGCCCCTGCGGAGTTCCTTACTCCCTATGTTAGTACCCTAGGGAATGGGTGTTAGTAACCCCGGACCCGCCCGTCGGGCCTGGCCCCCGACCTTCCTAAGGCTTCTCGTCCACATGCGAAGCGTAGGTTCTCCACGGGCTTCCTCCATCTGTCCCGAGGCGGAGGCCCGGTGGAGCGGCGGAAGAACTCGCGACATCTCCGTCAAAGAAAGCGCTGCGCTGCCGTCCTCAAAAATGATCGATGCCCCTAGCCGCCCGTCCTTCTCTTTTAACCACCCTACCGTATGACTATCGACTATCGACTATCGACGCCTAACCATCCTACCCTAAAGTGCCTAAGGTGCACTATCGACTGTCTCAAAAAGTACCCGTTATCGATCGACACGACCAGGGTCCTCACAAAGAAACGGTGTTGACGTGTTGCCATCGCGCCGTTGACCGCTACACATCAAACATTGCAACGTTTTCTCTCTTCCAGGTACCTGAAGTACCTGAGATACTCGTTGTTTGACACGGGACCTGCCAGCATTGTGCACCGAGTATCCGCGATTGGGGGATTCCCATCGGGGCGGGCCATACATACATACACCGCAACAACAATCCGATTTTCAACGGACCAACCTCCCCGCGCTGGCCCTTCGGGGGAAGACAGCTTCCGCAGCAAGGGGCCTCTGGGGATCAGAAACTAAAGATCCGGAGGCTTGATCTCTTGATCTCTTGATCTCTTGATCTCGATTCCTCCCAACCACCAGGTCCGGGGGAATAAAGACCTGTACCAGGTACTTCCTGTCAGACAGGTCCGATCCGTCCTTCCCCGGAAGTGATACATCGTCGATTTTCGGAAAATCGAAAAATCGAGGCCCGATCAAGGCGCGGATCTGCAGGCGCTGATTGATCGCCCCGGAAGCCGTATCCGCCTGAACGAAAAAAAGGGAAAAAAAAAAAAAAAAAAAAAAAAAGGAAATTACCCTTTGGGCTCGAAAATCGATTTAGTTTATTTGTCTCAGCCGGGCCTGCAAGGGTGTCGCGGCAAGTCTAGAAGCCTTCCCCGGCTTTGGATATCTTTCATTCACACCGTCTCTTGATAAACACCGGCCCGCCGCTTCTCATTCACTGCACACCTTTCACCCATCATTCACTCCACACCCTTCGCCTATATCTCTTTCACCTTGCCCCTCTATATTTCTCTCCACACCTTTCATAACGACACTGCACTCAACCCTCTACTTCACTATTACCTTACTCCACATCGCTTTACTACTCCTCCATACATCACCGCCGCAATGGTGATTCCCATTCAGTCGCGTCTTTGCGATAGGGCCCTGACCAAAGCGAGCGTGCTCGCCCCTATGGCCAACTATGAACACGCCGAGCTGAGCTTCAGCTGGGGTGGCAGCTCTTTTGAATGCTCGCCGCTCTCGACTCCCTCCGCTCCTCCGCCTACTCCCACCGACTCCTTGACCGATATCACTCCTCGCAAGTCCTCTTTCTCCAGCGAATATGGCATGGGCGCCGCCTGCGCCTTTCCTTCCTGGCCCAACCGCGATTCGCTCTCCAACGCCGACGCCAGCGACGCCTACGTGAACAACGCCTACCTCACTGACGAGGACTTGTTGTGGATGCCCGAGAACAAGGCCGCCGAGATGGCGATCGAGGAGCCGGCGCCCAAGGACGAGCGGACTGCCCTCTTCTGCTCCATGGACATGGAGCAACAGCTCAAGCTGATCCGCGCCGCCGCCGAGGAGGACGACCGCGCGCGATTCATGGCCAAGGTGGAGGCCCATGCCCGAGCCACCCAAGCCGTGCGACAAGCAAAGATGACCCGCGTCCCCGAGCCGGAATCGAAGCGCAGGAAGCGTCGCCCCGTTCTGACCCCCAAGCGCCGCGCCCACTCGTCATCGGCCAAGGTGGTGACCAGCACCTGAACGTGCGCTATCACCAACAATACCTTCGGCGCGGCGCGGGCGCTTCGCCAACATAATATTATTATCCCACGGTATTGTTAATCTTTACCATTACTATCTGCCATCCATCTTTGCTTCGCTATTGGCAATAGCCCTCATGTCTTCCAACATCTTTGACCATGTCCCACCAACGCCACCACTATCGCCTGCATCTGGCCGCAGTCTATTTACTGTCGGTCTGTGTTTATCACACCTGTGATTGTCTCCTCGAGCGAATCAGATGATGGCCTTCAGGCAGCTGCGCGATCAACAGTCAGCAGCGCCGATCACGTACAGATTTATTGGCGGACGCCGCTGATGACGCCGGACCACTGCCACCCCTCGAGCTTTGGGGAGAGTCGCCCCGTTGCTCTCGCCCCTCGCCTTATCTCCACATCGCGCCCACCCCGCGCTTACCTAATTCCTCGCTGTGGGCGCTTCCAGAAAACAAACACCTTTTTCTGAGGAAGCACCCGAGGGAGTACCACCCTCACCGCCGGTCTTGACTCATACTTCGCATTCCCTCCGTGGTCGCATGGAGTTGCGCATTTCCTCTTTCGATCTTCTGATTGCATCCCGAAACGGAACCGGTGTTTTGACTTTACTTTTATTCTTTTTTCCGTTCTAGCGCTTGATTCACGATACCCCCAGAATTATACCCCCCCCATCTTGTATCCCCCTATCTATTTTCGTTCCGATCTCCGCCGCTTCCTGCCCTAGCCCATTTGAACTCGCGGCCCTCCGATCGCCGGCTTTTCTTGTGCCGTTTTTGCTTATTCTTTATTACTCACGGTTAATGTTCCCCCCTTCGAGTTCTTTTTTTTTTTACCCGGTCCCGCGCTCCGCGCTCTCAAGCCCTGTGCGCGCCACATGCCACCACTATCACTGTACAAGAGTGTCGGTGTGAGTTGGCGCGCATCTGATGAACCTATCGGGCACGCAATCGGTACTTTTATTTCATTAGGATCAATCCACAGTCTGGACTACAATTTTTATCTACTATTCTATTGTACTTCGTAGTCTCATTTCCACATCCTCGACCCTGCTGCAGCTGATGCCGCCCAAGTTAAGCCCTCACCGTAATGTACAGATACATTATACATCTAACCTCGAAGTGATAATGTACTCTGCACAGACTGCCAACTCAGCGTAGCACACCGTCGCAATTCTAAAATTGGAATCGTCAGCCGGTCGCGACCACTTTGGTGTTGTCCGCGCCTAAGGCCGACAACCCGCACGAGGCTCGGCGAGTCTCAGCCCTGCTTGCCTCGTGTTGGATCCATCTGCACTGATTGGGTTTGTCCGCTTGCACTTGTACTTGCACTCGCAGGTCCGGGAGGCTGTTTGCTGCGTCTGACGGTTGGCCCTGCAGATGACACGCAAAGGTAGGATTGCGACGCGACCTTGTTCCATTTTACCCTCCAAGGTTCTACACTTCTCTTTTTTAATGCTCATCGGACTCTGAGCTGACTCTGACTCCCCTTGCTGGCCTTGCTGATGCCGGGATAAGTCTGGGGTAGGTGGGCCTGATTCATTTCTTCTGTGCGACTCTCTCTCCTCCACTAGGATATGCTTAGTGTTGGTGGGTGGTCGTGTCGGATTTCTAATCCTGTGGGTATGGTTATTGTTACGCTGTTGGAAGCGGTCTGCTAGTGCTGTCATTTCTGACAGCCTGATAAACTTATCCTGCGGAGAATGTCCCGGGGTACTTGGATAAGAAGGGCGAATTTCTAATAATTTGCGACTTAGTAGTATTTCAGATTGCGACAGCGTGGTGCAATCCGCTGGGCCGATGCTACGATTGTATTATCGGGGATGAAGCCGAGATATCCGACCTAGCCTGGCCTTGGCGATAATCACGAATACGGGCGTTGAAACGTGCTAGTTGTAGTCAGTGACATGGATAATACGATTAGTCAAAAGTGTTTTTGATGCTAGGATATCCCCGGAGAATAAGGAACGGCAGACTATGAGATAAGATGACAAATACGTCGAGTGGAATCGATCCGGTGTACTATCCTGTAGCCGTGTAAAGGTATCTACAGTCCCTTTCCGAACAACTCTCCCCCAATTTCCTTCAGCAAAGGCTCCTTCTGAACAGCAGGAACCTGAAACTTGGCCTGAATGGTATCGGCGACGCCCATCGCCCGACACAGATCAATCAAGGCGCCGTCCAGCGGAGCCTCGTAGATGAATAGACCTAGTGCAAATAACAGCCCGTGCAGAGCCTCAACACTTTGATCCTCGCGCGACATGGCCTCGAGCAAAGACGCTGTCAGCTCGACCTGGTCTTCCTCCGAGAGTGCGTCGGGCTTGCCATCAAAGCGGGAGTTATGATTAAATGCCGCGAGGTTGTAGGCAAAGGAGGCTGCGACGACGCGGAGGTTGGAGTGGGAGTCTAAGAGGGAGTTGATGGCGAGGCGGAGACAGGTTTCGCGGAGTGGAGAGGTGGCAGAGGTGAGTTGGTCTGGATAGAGGGGTGTGCTGAACAGATTGCAGACGAGCTGGAGGGCCACGATGCGGAGGTTGTAAGGACAGTTGGAGAGATTGTCGGTGGAGAGTGGGGATAGGATTGTGAGGAGGGTTTGATGCTGGGGTTCTTCGGCGAAGTAGCCGCTCGCGCGCGGGTCCAGGAAGAGTAGACGGACGAGGTCCACGACGGCAAAGTGACTCTCACTGGGGAGAGTGGTGTAGTTTGATTGCAGGGTATTGGCGAAGGCATGAAGATCAGGAACTCTGATATCTGCGGCTGGGGTGTTGGTGTTGCTAGTAGAGTGACGTTGCTTGACAAAGTCGATGATGGCTGCAACGCTGGCGGTCTCCGTAAAAGAGGTAGGCAGCTTCTGCACAAGCTTGTCCAACGGCGGGACCTTCTTATACATGACAAGGTTGGAGATCGACCGCTGCAGACTCGGGAGTCGGAGTTGACGGTGGGGATGGGCTGGATGCGCCATCTCTAGAAGCATCCGCACATTTCCTGAAAGCTGGCCAGGGTTCGCACCACTCCATTCGTCAAGCTTCTGTCCTTTCAAAAAGGTCATGAAGGTTGGCGTGGCGCGCACGCCGTACTTCATGCTGACATCGTAGGCAGTGCTGATATCAACCTTGATGAGTCTGGCCCGGTCCCCTGCCACCTCTGCGAGCTCATCATAAGTCGGATAGACCATTTTGCAAGGCGGACATGTGGCGGACGTAAAGAAGATCACAGCGCACGAGGTCGACGCTGCGGCTAATTCGCCCTCCAGCTGAGACAGGCTGCTGACATTGCGAACAGTAGCAGGCGCCTGATGGGGCGCAGTACTCGGCCATGATGCCGCAGATGAAGGGCCAGAGATGGATGGTGGTGGTGGTGATGGCTGAACACTGCTTCCAGGGACAGTGCCAGGGCCACTGCCCTGCGTGATGCCACGCAAAGCCTGCTCGATCTGCGGCTTCATCATTTGACCGAATGGTGTATCCAGAAAAGTGCGAGGCAGATTTCGGATATGCTCTGGTATACTCCTCCCAACAAGGAACATTGCAAAGTCTTGGGTGAAATTGTTGCAGTTATGGAGGAAGAGATCGTAGGACTGCAACGTGTTAGACTCGATGCTGAGAGAACCCTGCACGCCGGGATATGATATCCGGAGTGACAAACCTCGGGGGTATAGATGGCGGCCAAAGAACCAAGATATTCTTCAATCACTTCATTAGGAAGCTCGGTCTTTCCCATGTGTACTCTCTCCATCGGTTGGCCATGGTGGGTGCTCCCTGGGTTAGCGATCTGAATGCCCTGGCCGAAGAAGTACTCCACGCCATTCAGCACCAGCGACGTATGGTAGATAGCGTCTATTTGGGTCCCTGTCAAGGGCTGCGAGTACTGTATCCAGGCCCTGTTAGTCGAAGCACTTCTCATTGGCGCCTTTGTTTTTGTCGCTGTGGTCTCTACATACCATGCGCGCAAGACCCTGTACACGAATCAGCTTATAAATTCAAACTTGGAGAGGGAAAGGGCCTACCTTGGATAAATCGTAGACGTACAGCTCGACGTCCATGAGGCAGGTTGATTTAGCTGATGGTTTCTATGTTGTGACGGTTATGCTCTAAGGGCCGTTCCGCCTTGATATGCACCCGCCAGACCAGGCACCGATCGGATCACGTCAGCACTCTAGATTCCGGTGCCTTCGACCATTTTCTTTGCACAATGGCACGCAGGCAAGCTGTTTCGAGATTTATGGGAGAAAAGAAGAAAGTATTTTGCGGCAGTAATTTAAAAAAATTTTTTTTTTAAACCTACTACGAATCCCATGGGCAGGGCTGCCACACGGCGGTCTGTCATTAAACGACCGCCCAACAAAACAAAAAAGAACGATCCTTCTCGGTTTCGAATCGCATAGCCCAAAATCTCAACCACATCCCCTACGTCAACGAAAGATCTGTAAGGAATAAAAAAAAATGGTAGCTTCTCTTTGATTGAGCGTGTCATCCTTAGTGCAGGGGCCATGCTAATCTTCTCTGTATATTTTCATTTGACCAAATGTCCCGAAGGACACCGGAGGTACCTTAAAGCCTCTTATAAGCCCATCCAGACTATCACGTGATGTATTGGACCGCCCCGCCCGGCGTTATCGCGATCACTCGCAGCTCACCTACTCCAGGTTCGATTCATTTAGCACTGACCGACGCGTAAGCTCTGTCCTATACAAATATGGTACGTAAAGCCCGCGTTCGACTAAAGCTCCGTGTGCGCCCTGCTAATCCTCCCGCGCCAAAGCCTCCCAAGAGGCGCGGAGCTCCCGCAAGCTCCTCCGCAACCCCAAAGAAAGCCCGCCAATCCAAGCTCGCAAAGGAAAACAACATCTCCGCCGAGGAAGAGAACGAGATCAAGGAAGTTTTCCAGCTCTTTGCAGATGCGCACGATGATTTCCCCGGCGAGAAAGAGGGTGTCATTCCCCGCGAAGATGTGCGCAAAGCCATGGTGTATGTCCCGCCTCTCCGACGCGCAGTTCTAGAAATTTTACCCCGCCATTACATTTTACCTTCGCACATATTAATGAGACATGCTTCCATACAGAGCCCTCGGTCTTCCTCCTTCCGACTCAACCGAACTGTCTGATATCCTGTCCGCCCTCGACCCAACCTCAATCGGCTACATACCCTACAGCCCATTTGTCTCGGTCGTCGCAGCCAAACTCCGTTCGCGCGATGATGATGCCATGGCTGCGGAGGTGGATTCTGCGTACCAACTCTTCACGAAAGGGGCAGAGGGACCGATCTCGCTCAACCACTTGCGGCGCATTGCGCGTGAGCTCAAGGAGGACTCTGTGGGTGATGACTTGCTGAAGGACATGATCATTGAGGCGAATGGGGGCGCTGGGGTCAGCGCTGGCGTTACCCTGGAACAATTCCATGATGTTATGAAGCGCGCGGGAATCTTTTGAATTCTAGGAGTGGTGGAGTTTCCGAAAGCACTGCTTCTTCGATTTCCCGGATTCTGTGGGACCTTGTTTGTACAATTCATTTAGCTCGGCGTACGGGGCAATGGAGTTCAATGGGCATGCCTTTCCTGCTGTCTGTTTTGAATAGCGTTGAGGATACATGACTTCAATTCGGGATATGGCATTCTGTGTACATCGATGTTCAATTAATACTCTCAATTGCAACTTTCATTTTGAGTAGGGAACATATTGAACGAAGGGTTTCTAAATTCAGGGAATTCCATGGAAGTTCATAACGGAAGCTCATAATTCGATTTAAAACGTTGTAATGGTATCTGATTGTATACGTAGTTACATCCCATTCCCAAGCCCATTCAAGCGCGACCGCAATATAAAATTATAAGTTCCGAACCCGAGGAGAAACAATCCACGAAGGATTGAGCTATCTTAAGATTAGTTTTTGAGACCGGGGAGACAGAATTCCATGAGGATTTTACTTACCTGAAAGTGATTGTTGATTCCTGAAACAAAGGAAATTTAAACCCAAGAAAGCTTGAACTGCAGGGTCAAATTAGTCGTCAACCCGCAATGACCTCGGGCATCGCGAAAAACTAACCTTGAGAAGCAAAAAAACAAAGGAGACCAGCAGAAGATATGGCCCGCGCATCGACTATCGAATCCCCCTAGAAACCCATTCATAGTTCGTACCCATTCATAGTTCGTATCGATATCAATGTGAACTGATCAAACCAGGTCGATACGACTGAGCGAAAGGACTGGGTTCATTCAAGAAATTTCAGCCATGCCGACATCCTCGCCGGCGTTGGCCTGGGCAACGTTGTTGGCGGCAGCATTGCCGTTGGTAGCGTTGTTGCCGTCGGCGGCAAAGTAGTCAACCATCTCAGCATCGAGTTCCTCCACAGTCTTGGGCTTGCCACGGCCAGGGTTGCGGCCCTTGCGGCCCTTGGCAGGACGACCCTTGGTGTTGTTCTTGTTGTTGTCGTTGGTGGCGCCCTTGGCAGCCTTGGTAGCAGTGGCAGGCTTAGGCTGCGGCTTGTGAACATGCCTGTGGCGGAGTTAGACTTTTTCGTTGGAAGGAAATAATGAGGATCAGCATACGTCACACGTTCAGCAAGAGAAGCGGGAGTGGGAGCGACGGGGGCGTGGGCGGCATCATAAACCATCTCGATCTGTTTGGGAGAGTCAATCAACCGTTAAAAAATCGTGTGTAAATCGATAGTGCAGGTCGGACCTTCATGGGGCGACCATCAACAGGGGTGCCGTTAAGTTCAAGAGCCTTGACTGCGGATTCGGTGCGTCGAAAAATAATGGTGGCAGTGCCGATGCTCACACCGTTCTTGTCGTAGCTAAGGGTCACCTTCTTGATGGGGCCAGCTCGCTGGCCGAAGTATTCCTGTAGCGCGTGTAAAATTAGTCTCTGCGTATGACGGGCTGAGTTCGAATCGACGGCAAACGGTTGGCTGAAAAAAGAACGACAGCGCGACCGGACAGGACCCCATATGTAGGAGCAGCGAAGGAGCACCAGCGAGCACACAGCAGCGATCGGTCGGATATTTCGTATCGAATCCCGCAAAATTGTCTTGGACATTTGAACACAACTCTCATCAAAGGGCACCGTTTTCCCACAATGTTGCGCAGACAAATTATTCATCCCCCCTCGGTGGCATATGTCGATCGACCAATTCATCAATCAAGGGCGATAATTCCTCGGATACATGAATGAACCTTCGGCGCTATCAACAATACATGCGCTCGGCACTGCGTTGGATAGCAAGGTCTCATCTTGTGTTCTCATCATCGCTCTCAGTTGCCAAAAAAATCCAAGGTGCTCTTCTCGGTAGTGACTGCGATGGGAAATCACCCCGCAAACCAGCCATTCCAGGTGAAAGCCCAGAGGCGACCCATGTTCCCGGTGTCCGGGTTGCCTTCGCCAAATCGAAATCCGCCGTGTCACTGGTGCGCTTCGCTAATGCTCTCCTCCAAGTTCCATTATATGAGCGAGTCCTCAAAAGGAATGCGGGATGGGAATGCTTCATCTCCAACCCCCGGCACCACAGTAGTCGAGTTGCAGAGCAAGCGGATCGCCTTTAGCAGGGATCAACGTAAGCAATGTCCACCCAGCCACTGTGTTTCAAAGAGCGTCGACCTCCTGTTCTGTAAATGCTAAGCAGCTATGTCGGCCAGAAACGCATGGAAGGAGCATCTTTTTTTGTGCCGAGCGCGCGCACTGGGCGACTACCATAAAAATTGGTAGGAGGAACGTGACAGGTCGGAAATGCGAGTTGAAGTTGTTCACGCCTCGGAAAATTCGAAAGCAAAGACGCATACCTTGATATTCTCGGCACTCACATCGGCCGGCTACAGAGGTTAATGTTAGCGCATGCACGATCCATCAGGTGGGAAGAAGGGAGAAAGCTTACCAATCCGCTCAGGATGATCTTGCTCGTACTAGTAGCGCCTGACGCGGGCGCGACCTGGTGCACAGGCTTGGCCAGAGCCTTGTTGGCTTTGGCCTTGTTGACACCTCCAGCGGAGGTCGTCTTTGCAGCACCGCGACGGGCAGCGCGGCCGCGGCGGTTGCGACCCTGCATGCGGCGCTGGTTGCCGACGAGGTCGTCAAGCGACTTGTCCAAGTTGGCAGACATGTTGTCAAGAGTGATGGCTGAAAGCGAAAAAGGCGATGGGTAAAGCTGGTAGTGAGGTGGGAAGGATGGTAAGAGAAGAGGAGTTGCGGGAGGAGAAACGCGTCAGAAGTACGCCGCTTAAAATTTAAACGGTGCGCGAAAAGTGACGTATGGTGGAGCGGTTGCGGTTTCTTGAGGTCTTCCCAGTGAACGATCCGGGGACAGCTGTGAATGAGGCAGGAGCGATGACCGGGTGAAGTGAGGGAATGGGGAGGGTGAAATGGCAGGGAAAGGGAGAGAGAGGTGCCTGCTAGTGGGGCTGAGCTAGCCCGTTTGGGTGTCGGGCACCCGGCGTTGTTTGCATCGAGGCTGAGCAGCTACGGCGGTCGATAGCGCCGCAGCACGCAACTGATGAATAATCTAATTACACTGGATAACTACCTAATGGCAGTGCTTGGTTCTAGCCAGCCTCCTTAAATACTTACCTCCAAAATTGATCAAATACATGGTACAATTTTGTACTATCTAATTCACTTCATTCCAAGAACAAGGACATAAATATGGTGTCGTACACACGTAGCCAAACGGAAGAGGTCGATCAGGGTATAGTACAATTGTATGCCCAGATTGTAAACGTAGCCGCTTTCCGCATTATGTAGGTCTTCGCTCGAGTGCAAATGTCTAATTCACTGGCTGGGAAATAAAAAGACCAACCTCAATAAAAAGAAAAAGAAAAAGAAGAAAAGACCAACTCGATACCTGAGACATCCCACTCAGATTCATTTTCACCACTTCCACTGATCATGGGCTTTTGTTGGTTGATATACAGGAATTCGAACCCCAGTGATGCCACTAGCAGGAAATTGTAGCGCTACGGTAAGCGCCGAATGACACCCGCCACAGGTACGTTGAGAGGACTGCATGTCCAGAAGAAGGGCTTCTCTCCGGAGCAAAGTGTAGTGTGTAGAATTACTTTCTTTCATTCTATGTATGGAAGGGCCAGCCCACGAACAAGAAACAAAGAACAAACCGCCAGACTCCTATTAATGAGGAGATAAAAAGAATTGACTCAAGGCTTTGAGGAACAGGTGAAAGGTGACGCAGTACTGTGCAGGTGCATATCCAATAGGTAGAAACAAGAAATTTCAGCTCTTGAGAGCTTCCAAGCGACCTCGCATCTCGTCGAGGGTCTTTTCTTGGTCTTCAAATTCGGGTTCCTCGGCTACAGGCGGTTCGTCCACAATTGGTTCGGAGGGTCGAGCGGGGGCCTGGGAAAGCTTGCCCTGCAAGACTTCTTGCAGGATCTTGTCCACTTCCTCTTCCGCTTCTTCCTCCTCATCCTCCAAAAGTTCATTGTTGGGAAGAGCATCATCGATAACTTCCTCAATGATGCCAGCCCTGACCAGCTCAGTCGACAATTGATGCATTGTAGATGACAACTCCGGTAGCCGTACCAAGGTATTCACGTCCTTCATGATGCCAGTAGATTTCTGGAGACTACCTTGGATTTTCCGTACCGAGAAGGCTTCATTGACCTGCATGCCAACACTCTGTAGCTGGGCTCGACTCGTATTCAGACGGGTAGTCTGTTTCCGAATTCGCACAAGCTCTCGCGCGAAGGTCTTCGTTTCGCTGGTCGCCTGTTTGGCCTGGGAGGGGTTTCGCTGGGCTCGTTTGGACGAATTAACGATATGTTGCCGGGTCTTGCTGTCAAGAGTTTTGAGATGGGCGAGATCACGGTCAAGTTGCCGAGTATTTGCGCGGATAAGGGCATTGCATTTTCTCATCTGGTCGAGCCAGGCGAGTTAGTGGATTCAGGAAATGGGCGGAGTGGCTGTCGCATAGGGAGCGAGCCTACCTGGGCCTGGGGGTCGGGCCCGAAGAAAACAGCCTTCAGTGTTTCCATAGTGAAAGGATTTGCGCTGTCTTGTATATGCTGGTAGGTTTGTACACAAAGGTCGATCGGCGTTTCGAACAGGCTGATAGCGATCAACCTGCAGGTGGTGGATTCAAAGACGTGGGGAGCAAGGAGATGCGTTAGAGGAGCAAGAGCATTCTCAGGGACCGAATGGCGCGGGCAATAAATCTGTGCGGCGGCCCGGATGGAATTCTCAACAAGGGCAAAAACAGGCTACAAGAGTGGTAGGCGCTTCACTCAGCCCTCGCAAGTGTCTTATCAGTTCCGCGATCAGACAGGATGCGGCCGAAGTGGAGGGGATCCCTGCTTAGTCATATGACACCCACTATTAATGCCTCAGGCAGAAATGAGACAAACCAGGCAAACAGGCAGCGCTGCTAGAATGTACTGGAAGCATGAATGCGGTGCGCATGCTTTGAGACTTGAGCAGCTCCTCCCCTACCACACACATTCCCCCATCTCTTTCTTGAAGTCTCCTCTTCTCTTCCATCTCTCACTCGCGATCTACATCTGTCATCTCTCCTACTTTCCATCAAAATGCCCGACACCGTCCACCCCGAAGGTGAGTTGTGACAGCTCGACTTCCCCGCTCCAAACCACTCGCCGACTCTGCACATTCTGCCCATGGCCCTGATGACGTTATTCGTTTGCATGGGTCGTGTTGAAACATATAGCAACTCTCAATGCTGTAATCCACGAAGTGACCAGAAGGAATATACTAATTTTGTCGCCGCCTAGTTACCTGGGCCCAGCGCTCCTCCGACTCGGACGCCGAGCGCAACTACCTCTACGTTAACCTGAAGACCCCCGATGTTCCTAAGGAGGAGTCCAAGCTGAGCATTACCCCCAACAATGTCTCGTTCACCGGTCCCTCCGGCAAGGGTGTTACATACTCTGTTTCGCTTGACCTCTACGGCGAGATCGACCCCGAGAACAGCAAAGTGAACCACACTGCTCGTGAGGTTGAGCTGGTTCTGCGCAAGAAGGAGCTGAAGCTGGAGTTCTGGCCTCGCCTTCTGAAGGACTCTAAGAAGGTCCACTTCCTGAAGACCGATTTCGACAAGGTATGACACGAATCGTTAAAAGCGGGGTAGCTGGACGCGATGCTGACTTGACATCTTAGTGGGTTGATGAGGACGAGCAGGACGAGGCTGCGGAGGATGACTACGCCAACAACTTCGGCGGCTTCGGTGGTGACGAAGGTGGCCTCAGCAACATCGATTTCTCCAAGCTCGGCGGCATGGGTGGTGCCGGTGGCATGCCCGACCTGAGCGCTCTGGCCGGTGCTGCTGGCGGTGCTGGAGGCGAGGAAGAGGGCGAGGAAGATGATGTAAGTACCCAGTTCCCTCCTCGATGTCTACCTTTAGATGGACATCCGGGTCTCGGGTGGAGTTCTACGAAGTCGGTATTAACGTCATGGTTAGGAGGACCTGCCCGAGCTGGAGGAAGAGGGTGGCGACGCCCAAAAGTCCACCAAGATCCAGGAGGTCTCTTAAATATTCTGAAAATGCGCAACCCCTCTACAGAGCTTTGACGACCAGAAACGAAAAATAAGGGTGCTTTGAGGCGCCAGTGGGATGGTGTGCTGGAGATTTTGGTTTGCTTGGGATTTCCCGATTGTTCGTAGAGCACAGCGACAGGCTCAACTCTTGCCACTAGCAATTGACCGACCTTCTAAGTTTTATGTATGGATCTTTGGGGGTCTTCCTGACGAATGTATGCAGTGGTATTCATCTCGCAACAGACGTAGAATATGTTTCAGATTTTTTTCTCCCCTCCTTCCGTCGTAGACGCCGTGTTGTAAGTAGCATTCGTGGACTTTTTAACTGGAACTATTGTGAAACCAGTATTCTTGAAAGCATCTCTGGCTGATATAATAGTCATTTCGGTCTGAAAAATAAAAGAGGGTTGGTGATATTGACTGGAGTATGCGGTATGCGCACTGTGCGCGGGTCCTCGACCCTACGCTGGGGCGATGACGCAAAGGGTCACCCAACCGAAAGCGCAAAGTCACCATGAGATGCAGATGCAGAGAGGTGAACAGTCGGTGATGGACGATCAAGTGCACGAGATAAAATTTAATCATTATTACCCCAACTCCGATTTTCTCCTTTTTCACTACTCTCCTGGTACGTTACTAAGTGAGGCCGGCCGACCAGAAATATACTTGAAGGGTTCCCGTCGTCATTGGTCAGCGCGAGAGGCCGCCACACTCACCCCTCGAATTTGTGGAGGCTGCGCCTTCAATCTCAGCCCTGGCTTTTCAACCTACTCACCAACCACACTTCCCCGGTCTGGGCGTGACCCTATCTTCCTTTTTCTCTGCATATCAGCGTTTTCCTTTCTCCTCACTCACGAGCGACTCGCCGAGCGGGCGCATTTCATATTTTTTATCCCATTGAAAAGCCCAACGGCCTAACCAGGCAACCTCGTCACCATGCCCCCCAAGAAGGCTGACCAGCCCAAGAAGAAGAAGGCCACCGTCGATGACAAGGTTCGTGCTGCGTAAACGAAATTTTCCACACGCGAAAAACCGTTGCTAACCTTGACCATCACGTCAGACCTTTGGCATGAAAAACGTACGTCGAAACCCGCGACCGGCCACCCGCGCAACGATTATCCCCCGCTCCAAGGACGACAATCGCTAACCCTGCAATAGAAAAAAGGTGGTGCCGCCAAGAAACAGATTCAGCAACTGCAGGCTCAATCGGCCTCCAACAAGACGCCCGATGACAAGCGGAAAGCCGCCGAGAAGGCCGCACGTGAGGCCGAGAAGAAGGCCGCTGAGGATGCGAAGCGCGAAGCCGCCAATCTCTTCAAGCCCGTGCAGGTACAAAGGGTGCCTTTCGGTGTCGACCCGAAGACTGTGCTGTGCATTTTCCACAAGAAGGGAGGTTGCGACAAGGGCCGCAAATGCAAGTTCAGTCACGACATGAACATCGAGCGGAAGTCTGCCAAGAAGGATCTGTATACCGACTCGCGCGAGGAAAACCCCGAGGAGAAGAAGAAGGCCGATACGATGGACAACTGGGACGAGGAGAAGCTGCGCAGTGTCGTTCTGAGCAAGCATGGCAACCCCCGCACCACCACCGACAAGGTCTGCAAATACTTTATTGAGGCTGTGGAGAACCAGAAATACGGTTGGTTCTGGACTTGTCCGAATGGGGGTGACAAATGCATGTACAAGCACAGCTTGCCGCCAGGGTACGTGTCAACCCTTTCCCCCCCCAGAGATAGTATCCGACAGTTGCTGACTGGTTAAGCAGATTTGTCCTCAAGACCAAGGAGCAGAAGGCCGCCGAGAAGGCTTTGATGGACAAGTCGCCGTTGAACACTTTGACACTAGAAGACTGGCTGGAGTCTGAGCGTCACAAGTTGACCGGTACTTTGACACCGGTTACCCCCGAAACCTTCGCCGCTTGGAAGAAGGATCGTCTCAGCAAGAAGGCCGCCGAGCAAGAGGCCCAGAAGGCCAAGGATGCCACTGGTCGTGCTATGTTCGAGGATGGTGACTGGAAGGAAGAGGATAGCGAGGACGATGAGGATGATGATCTTCTGGCTCAATACCAACAGCAGATGCAGGAGACTCAGGACGAGGAGGACGAGAAGGAGCGACAACGATTCGAGGGGCTTAATATTAGCAGTGAGGTGACTGCTCAGGCCGCAGGCTGAGTCCCTTCATGTCCCCTCGAGACTAGTATCGCGGGTCTCTAGGATCTTTCTCGATTGGTATCCGGAAACCGACTTTGTCAGTCCAGTTATTCGAATCCACGAGCGATGATCCGATTGACAAATGATCACCGCAATTCCCAGTTCAGCATGACATATCCATGGATGCATTGAGCGTTGGCGTTGTGTGACCATGTCATGTCTTCAGAGGCCCGGTCGGCCGCATTGTTCATTCAACCTTGATATAGCGAGGATTCCTCATATCCCCGGGATTGAGAGGAGGGTGGGTGGTGGCTGGCCACCATGGACAATGGGATTTTAGACTCCCCTGTCCCATGTGACGGAAGAATCAACGAACTGATATCTTGTTATGGCAAAAAGTCCGTTCATTTCCAGTATTTGCACGAGTTCTAATGCGACGATTCCCACTTAAATACTGACCGAGATATATGAGCGGGCCTACAAGGTCCCCAATTGCTCCCGGTACTTGTAATTATATGCTTTGATTTGTACACCGACTTCTAACAGAGTTGTTACATGATCAATTGCGATCAAGCAACAGTTGGGGTGCTGTACCTAATTGTTGCCCGTGGATGTATCATTGCATCGGTGTGTTGAACGCAAATGCGTCTTTTTTCATGCTTTTCAGGGGCTTCTTTTCGTCTCAACACTACGTTTCATTATTGAGTATACACACTGCACTAGTAGTGTACGTCTATCTGATAGTGTATGTTTCTACAAGTGTAGATAACGTCATGGTATACTAACGTCAAACACAATGCTGCATTCATTGAAGCACATCCATAAACGCATCGAATTATCGGATCAAGTATGGTATAAAATCATTTCATCTCTGCTCCTTGGGCTTCCGAGTACCGTCCCCCTGACCATCAATCCTGAGTTGAAACAACAACACTTTGAACACGGTGAATGCAGAGAGAATTCTGAAGATCGTTCCCAATCTTTCCTAGCATCAGATCCCAGCAAAAGCAGCACCGCATAGCCCGCAAGGGATAAACCCAATGCACGGGCTGTCTCCTACGTAACAACAGGTCTCTCAAAAACTCAAATCCTGTACGAAAGCATGGGTGACTGGGATTCTTCAAGTGCAGCGCGAGGCCGGAGAGTACGTTGTATATATGGAGTCCCTATTTACTGAGTTGGCTTTGTACAGGCGGATGCTCTATCTATACAGGCAGATGCTCTATCTATAAAACAGAAAAATTCAATGCCGTGGCGAGCCCACTCTTTAAGGCTCAGCTACAGGGCTGCCTGGGCCCTCAGCAGCCCGTTCTCCAACATCAACCCCGCAGTATCCTCCGCAACGCCCCAAGAGATCTCGAAGCCCCGCCCACCGGCCCCGTAAGCATGAACGATGCTCTTGCCATCTGCGAGCTTCTCCACCTCGATGCGCATCCCGCCTTTGCGGGCGGGGCGCCGGCCCACAATGTCTCGAATCACGTCGAACTGACCCCCGCTCTCGAGAGTGAAGGGGAACCATTTGCTTGCGTTGGCGAGAAGCCGGGCTCTGGTCTCTGAGGATGGGTTGGGGTCCCAATCGTTGGGCTGCTTGGTACCTCCGATGATGGTACCGCCATCTAGTGGACGAGGAATGCAGAAGGACCAAGTCCCGTCCGCGTTCTGGCGGGTGATGGTTGCAGAGACGGGGTTGCGGACCAGGCAGGTTTGGCCTATTCAATTTAAATTAGTGCGCTGATCCCATGGACAACTCGTTACTGATCGATTGAAGCATACCTCTGATAATGAATGATTTCGGGTCCTCAAAGCCCAAGCCCGAGCAATTTACTACCGTCCTCACTTTTGGGGTGACGGAAAACGCCTCCCTCACATCGGCGAGCGTATATTGCTTCATCTGCCCACCCTTCAAAATGAACTTGCGCAGCATATGCGCGCAATAAACCGGGGAGTTGACCACCCATGTCCCATATGTCACGCTCCATTTTACACCAGCGGGCACCTCATCTTTCGTCAAGTATCGCAGACCATCCAAATGGGCATGTAGTTTGCGCATGCCTTGGCTGTCCAGGTATTCTGCGGATGGCGCCTCGAGGTGCTCGATGCCTTGGATGAGCTTCACTCCGGCCGCCGGCTCGTCAGCCGCCACTCGCTTAAAATAGTTGTACGTTCGTTTTGCTTGGTCGGCTTCCCGGAGCGCCTGTGGTGACGACCCGGGCACGGGCCGATAGTGTGCACCTGCCCAAGGGGATGTATAGTTGATAGATTCATGGGAGGGGAAGTCTCTGGCCACGAGAAGGACGGATTGTGAGGGCGACAGGTACTGTTGGATATACAAGGCAGTGGATAGTCCGATTACTCCCGCACTATGTAGAGCGTCAGCTGAGCCGGTTACTTGCTGTTGGGAGAGTATATGTCGGTGTTGATAGGCGAGTCGTACCCTATTACGACAATGGTCTCGGAATCGGCCATGGTGGGTGCAACGGATCACGAGGGTGATGCTCTACTAGTGGAGGGCCCCAACGACTCTTATAATCCGTGCGATAAAGCACAAAGCGTGGTCGGTGGCAGGCCGCGAGTTGGGGTGATGTTGGTGGTAAGCATCGTGAGTCACCCAACGGTTGGCAGAATCCGGGGAAGACCCCGCCAATGTCAGATGATACGCAGCCGATGCGACTCCGGTGGGCCTGCAGTTCAACCGGATCGATGGGAACGGCGAGGGCGAGGCTTGATCAAATATAGACCTTACCTCTTTTTTAGGGACCTAAGAATATGCAATTCAGTTGGAATTCAACACAGCGTGAACAGTTGTGGTGGCAGAATACACTTGAATGTATAGATTGCCGCGGACCAACCACGCGGCCAGCCTTCCGACCGCACCGCATCGCGTCGCATCGCATCGCCAGAATGGCGGTGATCAGAAACCGTGGAACGTCAGCATCTTGCTCTCGATATGCCCAAGCTCGATTGTGAACTACTCGTGCCTGTCAATGCTATCACGGCGAGGTCCAAGCTCCCACAGCAGAATGCAGCGAGATGGATGTGCTTAATGTGCATGAGGACCCCGGCCGCCCCTCCAGGCACACGGTCACATCACACAGGGGCTCCCTGGAGCTCCCGAACTCTTGAGCTACAACTAGTCGTCGCTCTTGGATGGAAAAGAAAAAGAGCCTCGGATTTCCAACCGGTTGCAGAAAGAAGCAAAACACTGAGATCGGCACGACATCATCGCATCAAACTTCCGAGACGGAACGGCCAGAATTCTCCGCAATCACGATGGCTCCACCACTACATTACTGAGAATCCACCAATTTGGCCCAGTATTCTCTAGAGCCTAACGCCTGGCAAGCCTTGCCTCACGAATATCAGAGAAAAGGCGGACCGTGGGCAAGCATTGGCTGCGCGATGTGCTGTAGGCGCCGAGGGATCAGCAGTGACGGGCGGTGATTGGGCGAGCGAAGTGATAGAGGTGCAGCTTGTCAACCATTGCACGGATCCTCGTCACATCGTGTGTCTCAGAACACTCTCGGTTTCCCGCAGTCTTGCGATCTATCAAGTGCCAGCGATCCTCCTAATCCAGGAGGGGCAAGACGAGGGATGAACACAGAACTACCAACCTCGTGGAATCCGCCAGATGCAAGCCCAAACTAAACAGATCAACATCCTCACGACAAGACCGGGGCACCACCGGGTTTCAACCGCGTGCAACAGAGTTAGGGATCGACTCTTTAGACCTGCAGGCCTGCAAACTCGTGCAAGACCCACCCGTCCGGCGATGATGGTTCCCGTCTGTGATTCGGGAGCTTCCTGCATCGATCTAAGCCCGTAACTTCATCCGCGTCCGGGTCTCTGCTCGCTCGTTGGTGCGCGCTCGCAGCACCAGAGCCACGCTGCCCCCAGCCACCCAGGGCTCGATCTCACCGTCTCCGCTAATGATGTGATGCTCCTGTCTCCGATCCTAGGACACGGGGGCTAGAGTGGATGCTCCGAGGGCTCGGTCACTTCCCAACCCGTCACTGTATGGTCGGTCGTGAAATGAAGCGCCCTGCTCTTTGCCCCGGGCGCCAACCTCGATTGCTCGATGGCTGGAGATTCGGATCGTCTATCCTCGAAAACAGGAGAACTCTGCCTTTGTCCTACCAGATGTCAGAATATCCCCCCTGGTCGCATCCTGGATCCACGGCAAGGAAGTGGCGCCAGCTCTTTTATATCGCCTAGTCAATATACAGCGCATATACTTAGGACGAAGCCCCCCCCCCCCAGTCACTTTACCTCTCCACCCCGCGTCCTGCGTCCTGTCACAAACTTAGGCCCCTACACGCTAAACATACGGGAATGTGATGAACGTTGGGTGTGCAAAGACCGCAGCAACCACAGCAAAAAAAAAAACATCCCACTTATACCTGTTCCCAGCTTTTGATATTCCTGCCAACCTCCCACCCCCGGTCTGTCCGCTCTCCGCAACGCCGTTCTCGCTTGGTCGCATAATCCTCGCAGCTGGCGTTTTTTTCCTTATTAGGGTCCAGATCATCGCTACAGTTTGCCCGCTTGATTCCACTGCAGGCACTAAATCCGCGAGGCGTCTCTCATCCCAAATGCCTGGTGGTACCCTGGCTATTTGCTTCCCTTTGCCTTGAGCGGTGCCAACAGGGTCGTGACTGATTAGTAACGTGCCCCTCTGGAGCTGGTCAGGTTCGTGATCTTTTTCCTTTTTTTTTTCCTTCTCTACCTTGTCTCCTCCCTCTCGAGTTCACTGGCTCTGGAACTACGAGACCCAGGCAGCTAGCGGTGCTGAACAAGCTCGCTCTGCCGGACTCCAATCCCTCACTCTTCCGACGTCGGGCATTGATACAGAAAACGAAAATGGTCGAATTAACCTGGAAAAGAAGCTTGCTGCCAGATTCGCGACCCTCGAAGACCGTAAAATTAATGGCGCCGAAGCCAGTCACCGAGCCTCGGTTCGAGGCGTGCGCTTCGACGGCATCGTTATTTCTCTACGCCCAAGGTTCGACGATTCTATGTCTCCACCATGATACACTAGCGGTGGAGCGACGGTTCACGAGTCACCAAGAGAATATCGACTTCATTTCCGTGGACAATGTGAGCGAACGTGGCGCAGGGAGACTGGTCGTGAGCTACGATGTCGGCCAGACAGCTATTGTTTGGGATATTTTTACCGGAACTGAGATCGCACGATTTGCATCTTTCGAACAACTGCGGGTTGCAACGTGGATGCGCAATGGAAATGTCGCTTTTGGTATGGCTCCCCCGCGCCATCCCATGTCGGGATTTGGAATTGGTTCGAAAGCTGATTGAGGCCGGAATGCAGGAAATGGAAAAGGCGAAGTTATTCTCTTTGAGCCTCCTACCTCGGAACATTTCTCTGCGCGCACCATTTTTGATCCCATCACATCTCTTGCACCAGCCACAGATTGTCGTACTTATGCGATTGGGTATGTTAACAATTGCAATTCGCTCTGGGACTGCGCTAGACCTAACCATTCCAACCAGATACCAAAATGGATCAATATTGATTGCAAATCTCCACCCCCAATTCACCATTCTTCACACATTAACCACCTCACGCGGGCCATCTCCTATAATTTCGCTCGCCTGGCACGCTTCGTCGTCGAAACAAAAATCGGACATGCTGGCAACGCAAGCTTCGAATGGCGATCTAAGAGTCTGGAGCGTGGCAAAACCTCCTGGGAAGGAGTCTCCTCGGGTAATTCGTGTGTTGAAGCGATCCGATTCGAATTCCACGGATCCAAAGTGGATGTCATGGTCGAAAAATGGAAGAATCGTTCAATATCTCGAAGGGTGAGTCTTTATCAGACTAAATTTCTAGTCATCAAAATGGATATGCTAACGCCATCGATCTTGTTTCCAGGGAAACATGGTCATGGGATGTCCGAACAAAGCATGTCACCTATGAGCCGATTCCGACAGTTGAGGGAGTACGGGGTATTGCGAGTTATGGTCCGACCGCCACCCTATTTACCCTAGGTCCCAATGAATCTGTCCAACAATACGATTTGGATAACCCGGCAATGGTCGCCAATGTTCAGCATCTTCCAGTCGTTCCTCGATCAGGAGTATCAGAGGGAGGCCGGTCACGAGGAATGTCACCGAGACGTTTACAAGACGCCCCGGAAATCCGAGAAAGGGGTTCCGGAAGACGGACACCTTTTGATACAAATGGAGATACATCGAAACATCAAAGATCGGATTTGATGAGTCCCGCTTCATCAAGGAGCCAGACAGAGTCCGTTAGCTCCAAAGCTTCGTCTGGCAGATACAAGGTCGACCGACCATTTTCACCACCCAGCCGATCGGCTCAGAGCGGCACATCCTTTTCGCTGACATCGAACGGTCGCGATACTCCGCAACCCTCCGCCGGCTATCCTTACGCTTCGTCCATTTCGATGTCTTCGGCTAAGAGCTCTCGCGCTGGGTCTCGACTTAGAAATGAGGTTCAGATGAGCCCTGCCGACAAGGTCATGGTTGACCTATTCCCATTCATTCGCGCCCGATTGAACGACGTACCGTATAGATCACAGCCGCCAATTGATGAATCCCATTTGACTCCAGAAGATTTACGACAGCAAATGTTGAGTGTTGTTTTTGGCTGGGAGGGAGATGTCCAGGGACTTATCAGAGACGAATGTATGTTTTTGCGTACGCGAGGCGATTTTTACAACACCGATTAACATGAATATAGTGACTCGTCATGCCACGGGAAGCCAAAGCGCCATTCTTCTAGCGCAGTGGCTGGGTGAAATCGACACAGATCAAATGGCTCACATGTTAACTTCGAATCCGGGCCAAGTCACAGCTTTCGACTGGATGGTTCTGGCTCTGAGTCAAATGAGTGGCTCAGCACAGGCAAACAAAGTTGGACAAGCTTTTGTACAAAAGCTCCTCGAAATTGGAGATGTTCACACAGCAGCTACCGTCCTCCTTGGTCTCGGTGATGTCAACGATGCGATCGAGGTCTATGTGTCTCGGAACCATTTCATGGAGGCCATTCTCATGACCTGTCTTCTGGTACCATCAGACTGGCAGCGGCAGTCGTATCTCGTTCGCCGTTGGGGCGAGTATGTGGTGTCTCATTCTCAACAACAGCTTGCCATCCGCTGCTTCATGTGCACTGGGGTTGAGCCTACTGAGCCCTGGACTTCTCCAGCTGCCCAACAGGCAGCTTCGTTTGCAGAAGTCATTAGAGGGAAATCGCCACTGGGATCTCCCGCGTTCAATCAACCTTTGAGCGCTGGCCCTATGCCTCTTCCAGCCCGCCCAAGATCAGCATCTAATCAACAACGCCAAGCTGCAAAGGGCCCTGCTCTCAAATTGATCACGTCTTTCGATACCCAGCCTAACTACAGGTTCAAGTTTCCCGGGTTGAAGTCTGATGATAGGACTCCCACAAATGCACCTGGTGTTACTCCAATTGCAGAGTCCGCAGTCGCCGATTCGGCTCTGTCCCCCGGTGGCTTTGGTTCCTACAAGCTCAACAATATCCAAAGTCTCAGCCAGGCAATGTCTTCTCGGACGGGTACCCCTACATCCAATCGTCGTCGACTACCCTCAATCGGAGAGACACCGGTGGATGTACATCCCCCGACGTTCTCCCGGGCAGGCTCATACAACACCAGTGGCTATGGCTCGACTTCGGAAAACGATGAGACAAGTGGACACGAACAGAGTCAGGACGAGCAAGGAGATAATGGTGGTCTACTGACCCTCTCCGCTGCAGTATACAATCCTGGACACGATTCGGTCAAGCCAAGCCCCCAGACTGCCGTGCAGGCGTCAGACAAATTCGCAGCTATCAAGGGTCTTCCATCTCCGGCACCCGGCGTCTTTGAAGCCTTGAAAGACCATTACGATCTTCGGAATGGCTCGCGGGATCGAAAGCCAGATGGTCTCCAAATTGAACTGGTCAAAGCAGACGAGTCTCAGTCAGATGGCCGAGATCCGATTGATCTACTCCACAGTGCAAAGAGCGCCCACAGCTACGCTTCCACGACAAAGAGCCCAAGCGTGAGCGGCCGCAGCATCGATCAATACATCAGCAGCTTGGACGAGGCGAACTATCACGCAAGAAAGCACCGGGAAAACCGTTCTCATGGTCGTGGAAGGAGGAACACCGACGAGACTACCAGCCAAAGCTCACGCGTCCACCACACTCGTGAGCCCTCCCAGGAGATCCGTGGTCGAAACGAACGCAGATATATCCAGCCAGCCAAACGATCACCTTCCTCGCCTGTGCCTATGTCACCTGAAGAACTGGCTCGATACCACGTTGATGAGCCCGAGAAATCGGATGAGCCGCGAAAGAAGTCGCAGTCTCGTGCTAGGAGCTCAAGCAGAATGAGAAAGGCCGGATCGCGCAATCGTCAACGCTCTTCGAGTCGAAGCACAACCAACCGCATTGCAAGGGACGTCTCATCACGCGGTCGTAGTGCTGATCGTCATGGATCTACTGTCCGCTCGCCATCTTCGCCGCTTCCCATGTCCCTTCCTATGACACTTCCCAATCATGATCCATCCAAGCCAAACGAGGTGGATGACCCGCTTCGCATCGTGGCCGGAAATCAAAAACGGCTTCGCTCGCAACACCGGAGTGCCAGCCGTCGTCGTATAGAGAGGGGCGTTAGCTCTAGACGTGACGGATCGCCCGAGACTCGACACCGGCCGTCCCACAGCCAGCCAGAAATCCGACACGTCTCAGAGCCCGTGAAAACTGCCGAGCCTGCAGGCCTTGAGCTGCTGAGCAGCAAAACATTTGGACAAGAAGATACCTTGGCCAATGACACCTATCAAGATGTGACAAAGACTCCTGTCGCTGTCGCTTCTGCTATCGATAATGACGACGCAGACGCCTACGAAGCTCAAGATGTTGTGTCTCCCATCGTGTCACCTTCTACTCCGTTTGTTAGCCTGGCCGAGAGAAAGAGAAGAGAACTAGCAGCTGCAGAACTCGAAGCGCGCCGACTTTCTCTCGCGCGTAACCCTTCTGCGCCCAACATTCCCTTCCCAGGCGATCTCCAATCTGCCAAAAGCCCTGGTTCCGTTCGAAGTCCAATTGAGGGCCCTCCATTGTCCGGCGGTTCGTACTTCCCTCGAGTGCCATCTCGGAACCGAAACCATATCCCTCCAAGCAAGAACTCGCCCGAATACCAAAGCGGATCGGATTCCAGCTCTGGTCGCTCTGGCCCTCCAATTGGGCTTCCGGCCACACCACGAGCAATGCGACACCCCAAGTACGGTGGGAATGGCCACGAACAAGAGCGTCCACCCTCTGTCCCTGCACTCCCCACGGACAGCTCTGGTGCAGTTCTCCTTTCTGACGCCCGGTATCAAGGCGAGGCAGAGAGAATCGGCCGGTCAATGTCCGTCCCCATGCCGGAGAATCAATATATGAACCCTGCACCGGTGCCAACGGATATCCCCATGCATCCACGCTTCAATCCCAATCTTCCTCGAAGCCGCTCCAACAGCCGTAGCCGGACGATGGGTCATAGACGCACAAGCTCGGGCGGATATGTCTCGGGCACATCCCCGCAAGTCACTGTGAGCATCGAGGAGACAATCGAGAACGCAATGCAGCGACGGCCTTCCGCACCACATGTCGAGACCATCCCTCCTCCGCCTCCGCCTCCGATCCTCCCAGAACTGCAACATCTAAACACACCTCCACCCCCGCCCCCGATACCCGGCTCCCACGAGCCAATCTCGCCCCGCGAGTCGTCCGCGACAATCGACATTGCTATCGACAATGTTGACATGGGCCGTCTACTCCCTCGCGCAATGACAGCCGCCCCAACGCTGAATGCCAACGACGCCCGTCAGAGCATTGGTCGACGCATGTCATTCGATCATCGTCGCAACCGTAGCTCCAACGAGAGTTTCACCAACAAGCTGCGCAGTCTGACCCGCATGCGCAGCAACAGCCGCAGCGTCGAGCCATGGGGTACACCTCACGAGGGAGATGTACCGTATGAAAGTGTGCAGCCTTATACCCTTGCACCTACAACGTACGGCATCTAGCCCGGTCACCTTGATGAATTTCTGTTTTTTATTTGCATGAGTTTAATGTTTTCCTACCCTATGCTTGAATACCTACATTTACCCCATGTCCAGCGTTGTAACCATTTCTCTTCATATTTGATACTCCCCCTTTGACCATTTATACCCACCCTCGCTATACGATCTAGTTTCCTTATTTATTTCATTAAAATCTTTCATGAAACAATTTGTTTTGTTGTCCCCGCCTTTCGGACTACGCTGTGGTACTTCTATACCTTTCGGCTTTTCAAATTCCTGACCTCGATACCTCGATGGTTCGTGAATAAGGTTCTCACATAACGCCTGCATTGACTGAGTTGTGCGTACGTGTCTCATGAACCACAAAAGTGAATCCCCGAAGCAGGACAGCAGAAAAAAAGGCGATGTTACACGACGGTGATTCAATAGGAGCAATCCTAACTTAATTTGACAGGAAATGGAATGGATGGTGGCAGAGACGACAGCTGGTTTTAGATAGAAAGCAACGCGAGTTGCTGGTGATGGGTGGCAGATGCTGCAGCCGAAATTGAATGATATTTCCGGATGAGGAAGCAGAATTTACAAGTATGAATGGTTTAAATGAAGATAAAAGGTAGCCATGAACCAACAGTTGTATTCTTTTCCCGTCTTCCTATATGATAATTTTGTATTCCGTCAATCGTCCGTCTATTTTGACCTTTTAAACGACAGTCTCCTTGCAGGCAATGCCGTACTTCTCCTAGATGTTAATACATATTAGCATTTCGACTCGTTGCACCGCATACTGAGCGAAGCTTACCTTCAGCTCCTTGATGAGGGCGTTGTTGATCTTGCCGTTCATGGGGGCAAGGACACCCTTCTCGGAGAGGGTTCCGTTCAGAACCTGCTGGACGGCAACGGCGCAGGGGACACCGACTGCGTATGGTTAGTTGATGTCTTAAAATTCATCCAATTAGTTGCAAAAGACTTACCAAGCTTGGCCATGGCGGAGTAACCGTTGGGGTCGGAGCTGCCGTACTCGACGAGAGTAGAGAGGCGGGTCTCCTGGGTGCCGTCCTTGAGCTCGACCTCGAACTTGTGTTGCAGGCTTGGGGATGTTAGTTTCTGTTCTTCTTGGTATGGTTTGATGCAACTCACATGACAATGTCACGCTCACCCTCACCGTACTGCATCTTCTTCTCAAGAGTAGCGCAGATGGTGTCCAGGGGGTTAGCGCGGGGGGTGATCTTGAAAGAATATTAGCAAATAATCAGCTTGGCCACAACGAGATACAAGAGCTTACCTTCTCATCGGAGAACATGCCGAGCCAGCGCATACCGCCAATGATGTGCTGCTTCTGGGACTCGTCGTTGAAAGCGGTCTTGGCGGAGATGGCCTTGATCAGGGTCTCCTCGTCAGAGGAGGCGGCGCCAAGGATCTTCTGCAGGACGTCCTTCCAGGCGATGGCCTCCTTGAAGGTGGGCTGCTCAACGTCGGAGAGGAAGCCAATGTCGACGAGGACCTTGACGAACTCGGGGAAGCCGGCGTAGCGGAGAGTACCACTGAATCGATGTTAGTAACGTATGCCGGCTAGATGATGGCAGTAAAACGTACCGGATAATGGTCTGGGCCTCGGGGATGTTGTAGCGCTCCTTGTAGGGGGTGGAGTCACGGTTGGGGTAGGCGACAGTGGCGAAGCCTTTATTGAAGGTCAGTATTTAGCCACAAAGCATTTGACGTCTTCAACATTGACGTCTGGTCACAGAGTGTAGGTGGGGCTGGTTGATTACTTACCGGGGTAGATGTGGTAGGGCTTGGCGGTAGCCATCAGATCTATGAAATGCCATCGTCAGTAACGAATCGAATAGCAGAGATATTGCAAATACATACCGGGACCGGCAACGTCAACAATCTTGCCACCCTGGTAAAAGCGAGCAGCGTTGCGCAGGGCAAGCAGGACACCACGGGGAGACCTAAACCAATTCTTAGTACTTCACCTTCCAATCTAGATGTTATGGGCTTACCAGGAGAACTTGTAACCCAGGGGGTTGCCAGAGCTCTCGGGAGCAGGGAGACCACCGCAGTATGACAGGAAAGAGTTGATCTTTCCGCCCTGCGCGTGAACCTCCTCAATGGTCTTGACGGCGTACAGGTGGTCGACACCGGGGTCGAGACCAATCTCGTTCATAACGGTGATACCGGCCTTCTTGCACTCCTCGTCCAGCTCCATCATGGCGGGGCTAACATAGGAAGTAGTCTAGAATCATTAGCGAATGTTCGTTACTCGGTCGAGAGTATCTAAAACATACAACAACGTGCTTCTTGGTGCGGATGGCGGACTTGATGACCACAGCGTGGAAGGCTGTCCTGGTTGTCAGTTTGGACGAAGTGAATTGGTTGTGGAGTATGGTTGGACGCACTGTAGGGGATCAGGGAGATGACGAGGTCGTGCTTGGCGAGCTCGGCGTCGAGGGCGGCGGCGTCGTTGACATCGAGGGAGATGGGGGTGGCATTCTTGACACCAGCGGAAAGGGCCTTGGCGGACTCGAGGGTTCTGCAGGCTAAGGGACTGTCAGCGAACTCTCATCAAAATAGCACTTCAAAACAAAAAGAAGCCATACCAACAGTGACGGCAATGCCAGACTCAGAAAGAATATCGAGGGTGGGCCGAGTGACGAACCCAGCGCCGAGCATCAGCACCCTAGCCAGGATGTTAGTAGAGGTTCATACTGCGCAGATTTCTTGGATAATACTTTTGGGAAGCCATTGTGAGGGTTTGGAGTCAATTGATTGTCTTTGACTTGAATCCGGGATCGGAGGGGAATGGTGAAGCAAAAGAGCACCTCCGAGTCATCGACCCCACCAATATATGGCGGCCCTCCGAGCTCGCTTCCCGATTATGTCATCGGCCCCGCTGCGGGCGCGGGGTCCAGTTCTGGCAGGCGGTGGGACCGGGCCGGGGTAGGGTATCCTAGGTGGGCAACGCGATTTGTACTACATAGCGTACTAATCAAATGATACCTTACAGTAGGCAGACTGTCTAGTAGATACTAAGAAGGTGGGTATTACGCAGGTAACGAGTTGTTTAAGATGATGACCAAGTTAGCTTTGACGGTGAGTGTCAATTCATACCAAATATAGCTAGTTTTTATCCCATAGGCAGAGTATTTACCAACACATACATCGAATCACTGAAATATTGCAGAATGACGGATGCGCTCAATTGCTATATAGGCATAGATGTATTGTACAAGGTATCAAAGAGGAAAATTATGATCCCCAGCCTCGACCACGGGTCGGTCCGTCATTAGAAGCATTCCGCTCAGCCTCCATCATCTTATCAAAGTCGGCCTGAGCCTGCTCCTTATCGCGTTTCCGCTCATAATCATACCGGTCCCGATCACTGGGCAGAGAATCATTCACAGGCTCCGGCGAACTCTGTGCCTGAGACCGGCCCCATTGCATAGGAGCTTGGCTGGGCGAGACCGCGGGTGGAGAGTTCTGAGCCATGTTCTGCTTGCGAATGCGCTCCCACGCACCGCCAGCTGGCACACCGTCCATGCCGGTATTTCGGTACTCAGGTGCCGTGGGGCTTGCGTCGTCGTCGTTAGAGCCGAAGAAGAAGTCCGAGCCGGAGCTCGACTGGGAAGATTGGTTGTTGGTTTGTTGTCCGTAGCCGGGCTGGCCGTATGCCTGCTGGTTGCGGGCAGGTGCCGAGTATGATTGGTCGAAACTACCCTGGTTATCGGCTTGCTCTGTGCCATAGGCCATATCACTCTCCGAGGCTGCCACAGCTGGTGAGGCACTTTCATAACCATAGCTTTGTTCCCCTTGAGAATAAGAGCCAGCTTGGCCCATTTCCTCCCGAACCTCGCGTCCAACATCCTTCTCGCCGCTTCTTGTACGCTTATAGCGTTCAGTGGCGGCAACAACCTTCCTTCTGCGTACATCCTCGGGCTTTTGGCTCCGCGCTTCCTCAACGAAGTTCTTCATCCGCGGGTCCGACAGCATAGAGGAAGCTTCCTTCCAGAGGGCCGTCCCATTCGAAACCATCACACCCAGTGATGTGATAAAAATCATCTTGAACGCAGATTGAGCAAGGAGCCTATAGAATGTCGTGTTATCGGCCAGGCGGAGTTGGTGCAGCCGAGCGAGAAGGTTGGCCGGCGTCGGGTTTTTGGGGAACGTGGGCGATTTGCGTGCTTGATTGTAAAGCAATGCTGTACCGAGAGCAGATGAAATCGGCAATCCCATTCGTTTGTAGTAAATCGTTTGAGTCGACAATGTCGTCATGCAGTCCATTTCGTCTTGTGTCGGGGCGCGGCCGGTCAAGAGCCAGGTATTTTCCACGCGCTCGGTCAGCGCATTGCCCACATGTCTCTTCCAATTCCATACGCCGAGGAAACCGAAGTAGAGCGTGAAGACGTCGGGCTTGACGATAAGCTCCGGTCGAATTTGCACTGGAAAGTACTTGGCCATTGCAGGATTGTGGCCGTCTTGGGGGAGACTGTTTGAGGCATTGTAGCTGGGGTATCCGCCTCCCTGCGGTGAGTCACCGTCAACCACCATGGCGATATCTTGGTGGAGTGGTAGTCGATTGGAAGAAGGGGATAGCTCGGAGCTGAAGGGCTTCCAAGGTCGGCAACTCTGCGGAGGTGATGTTAATTTCTTAGTAAGCGATCCATTAGTCATCTCATGCTGGGTTCATCCCAGCCAAAGCAGACTTCAACAGAAGTACCTATTACCAAGGTGTTGATGTGAAATGAAAAAGAGGCAAGCAGCTTTTGTAATTTGCTTCAAAATTGAGGAAAAAGCTGGGCAATTTACTGTCTCGGCCTTCTGTCGTCTGATCATTGTATCTCCCCACCAAGTATTGGCTCGTGAAGGCCAACGCAGCATTTGAAGCTTCTCCCAAGGTTGTCAGTTGATAATGATGATAAGAATATTCGTGAGTAGATGTGCTGGAAAGGTCTAAATCCCACCCAGGAGCTATGCTTTTGAAGACTCTAGACTTGTGTCAGTCGTAATCCTTCCCAATTGGGACAGGGCCCAAGACCATACTGCACAGCTGTGCGTTTAGCCTTCCCTATGGTATCCCTGCAGAATACGTGTGGATTTACCTAGCGGAGATAATTTATAGAACAAAAGAGGGTGTTTATGCATGGTTTAAACAAAGCTTCTCTATGGCATAGATTCTTACATGTCTACACCACAGGCCTGGTTTGTTTACAGACTTATTACGCTTTTGGATGACCAAGCCACTCGCTCTGGATGCTCAGCAATGGTAAATAAAAGAGCTTCCCCGTGACTATATAGAAGAGCCTGCATAAACCCGCGGAGTTCTACATTATGGGTCTACAATGCTCTCATGAAAATGACTGACACATCAGCCCAACGCAAATGACAGTAGATTCCCAATAGAGCCGGTGATAACAGAAAAGCCTTCCATGTGCAGTACTATAAGCAGCCAGAGAGATTATGTTCATGGGCGATGCAAGAAGATTCAGAAGCCTTACGGCGAAGGTTCGATCTTGACCCGGGCCGCGGCTTCCTTGGCGTTTCTCGCTTTCTCTTCCTCCTTGGTAGGCTTCCTTGCCCACACACGGTTCCTAATGATATAAATTAGCACGGCTATCCACTCCCAAATCAGAATCAGGGAAAGCGTACGCAGGCTCATAAGCGTGAATGTGCGGGTCCTTCAACTCCGCGCGCACCTTACTCAAAAACACCTGCACCTCCTCCTTCGTCCAAGGCTCCGGCTCACCAAAGTGAGTAAGAAGCCACATGGCCCAGCCCTCCAGCGCGGTATTCCAATGGGCAAACTGAAGGTGACCGGCCTCCTTCAGCAGCTTGTCCTTGGCCCAAGGGCCCAGGGGGATCTTGTACTTTTCCTCATGAACGTCGATGAATCCGGCCTTTTCGATGGCGCCGCGCATGGTCTCGTGGGTTCTGAGGGAGCGGCCGGCGCGCTCGGAGCATCTGATGAACATGTCGCCCCAGCCGTAAAGTTGGTGTTCTTTCTTGAGCGTTCCGTCGTCGCTGTAGACGCGCACGTCGAGTTCCATTTGCTCGATCCAGCCGCCGGGTTCGAGGGCGCTATCGAAGCGAGGAATTAGGACTGGGCCATGGCTATCTGGTAGGGCTTAAAACTCACTCGTAGGCCTGCTTGTATACCTTGTCCCATCCCTCAGGAGGGAATGCGCCGTACATCATGCGCAGATGGATAAAGTCAAATGGCTCTCTCCAGGTCCATTCGCGCAGCACATCGTCCACCTCGAAAACACAGTTCGGGGGCATCCATGTGACGGGCGGAGGGAAAATATCCACACCGCGGATGGTAGCTATCCATCAAAGTTGGGATTAGTTTCTGCTTTGCAGGAATTGAATCGAGACATCTGGTACGGTACCTGACGGATAGAGATCGGCAACGTCACTGGAAATTGTTAGAGGGACTTTTCAGATGCATTGAGTCCTGCGCAAGACCTACATTGCCCAGCTTCCTTGACCAGTTCCAATATCCAAAATATTCTGCCGTGCTGTTAAGCCCCATGTTCAGGATGGAATGACCTCGGCTCATGCTCACCTTGGGGGAATTGCCAATAGGAGAACGGAAAAGGGGATTCTCCTCATTGTGATCTATGACGAGAAACAACATGTGACTTGACATAATTAGCAACTGCTCACAAAAAGCCAAAGTCGAGGGCTGCTGTACCCAATCTCAAAAGCCTCGAATTGCTGCTCGTCGGACGGACCCCTATGATATCCTTAGTCAATAACTCATGCAGAGAACCCACAACAAATGCACAAAACGTACCAGTAGTCATCCTCCTTAATGGCCTGGTACCTATTGTTTGTTATTTTGAATTAGTTTTCGGTCCGCGATAGGAGATTCTCAAACAACGCACCTGCGACCATTTTCTAAACGGCCCCTTGCGATCGTAGACGCGATCGACGTGGTCTCTCTGAATTCCAATGTGAGCCTGCGGCCTCCCATACCCTAGTCAGTCTGCATCTCGCCACTCACGACTGGAAATCCTGCGGATCTGTGCCCCAGCCGGCGGCCATAGAATAGAAGTCGGGGTCCTGGGAAGGAGGGTCAGAAGGGGTCCCATGGCCCTGGTTGCGGCACCACTTACGACCGCGATCTTTTCATTGTCGTCCGTCATGATTGCGATGGAGGGCGGTGTTGCATGAGAGAGGAAATTCTAGGGGAGGCCTTGGAGACAGCAAAGGGGGGTAAGGGTGGAGCATTGGCGGGTGCGGGACCCCCGAGTACCCGCTCCAGCCGTTTTATTGACTTGCAACGTACGAACCAGAAGCAAGTCGCCCACCGCGTTACACTTAGTAACTACTTTACCTTACGCTGGGCCCAACCATGCGAGAAAAAAAAAGTACGAGGGGTCAAGCAACTGGGCACACTCCACTGGCGCCACCAATCGACACGATCTGCCATTGTTCGGCAGGTCGTATTACGCTTCAGAGCGTCCTGCAGCCTTGACGCACGCGTGGGGCACTTCCAGTTCGTGTCTGGCCTGATGGACTGGTGTACTCTACTGGAACAGTATTACTGTACCCTTGGGTTCCACGTGTACTAGCCTTTTAACAGGCCAATAACGCCCGGCGAGAGAGATCAGATGGCCTGCGTCCGCGGCATGTAGGAGGTGCTGCTGGCAGAAGTCGGCAGCCGGTTCCCAGCTGTTTTTTCATGCACGCTCCGCACTAGTCGACGCTATGCGATAGTTTACGCCTGTGCGGGAAAGGCATCCACCAGGACTGATTCGATCGCCGTGTCTATTCGGAACACAATTTCCCAAATCCGATCGGATGAATTGTACTGCGGGGTTCACCAGAGCCAATAAACGGAGTCGATCGAGGTTGGCACTCTGCTGAAAAGAAATTCGTGGTGATTGAGCGTTGGCCCAGCTGTTTATGCTCGGGTCGCGGGTCATTGCAACTGGAGGTCCACCACGGAGTTGATACTGAACCGAGACGACGGAAAAAGCTTTTGACATTTTCGCAGATGACCTAATCAACTTCAGGCCAATTGGCAGCTGCAACTACTCGATGATCAGGCTGCTAGATGTCATTACTGTATAGTATGCCAGAGCCTAACAGTGTGATGTGATACCGGAAAACTGGATGTGACAGGAAATTCAGTTTGATGATCTGCAACAAGGCAAAACAGGCAGATGGCCAAAGCATAGTACTAGCGGTCATAAATTCGTTCTTACATCGTATAATTCTATCTTTCTGAATTTACCACTTTTCGATATAAGGACGCAGATCCAGCTCGAACGCGAACGTCGTCCGCGGCTGAGTGTGCAGATGCCAATACGAATCCGCAATCTAGACAACTTTTGTCAGCCTCTTCTTTTATCACTTCCCTTTTGTATAACAAATATGGTAGAACTTACCGCATCAGGGCTCAATTTAGCATCTTCATGCTCAAACACCCAGCCCTTGGTCCGGGGGATATCAATCACCCCATCAATGATAGCGTGCGAGACGTGAACGCCCTGTGGTCCGAACTCCCGTGCCAGCGACTGGGCCAGTGCGCGGAGAGCGAATTTACCACTCGCAAAAGCTGCGAAATTCGCAGAGCCCTTGAGACTTGCCGTGGCACCGGTGAAGATCAGCGTGGGCGGGTAGGAGAGCTTGTCTTTACCTTCCAGAAAGAGAGGAAGAGAACGCTTCGCGATGTGGAATGCGCCTTTTCTGTGAAGAGTCAGTGAATCCAACTTCTAAATCATTTGGTCTTTCTTTTGGTTTTCTTTTGTGAATAAAAGAAAGATTGAATCAATACTTACGCCTGCGCCTCAAACCCTAGAGAGAACTCGTCCTCCGTAAGCTCCAGGAAAGGCTTCCTCACAAACCCACCACCCGGATTAAAGATCGTAGCCGCTAGCGGCGTGTCGGGGAACTTTTTCACAATCTCATCGAATGCCGTGTTGACACTATCCGCGTTGGCGACGTCGGTACTGATCCCGATAGCCTGGCCGCCGCTCGAATTGATCTCCTGTACCACCGGATTGAAGTTATCGGGATTGCGAGCCAGAAGGACGACGGAGTAGGCTTGGGCGAAGCGCCGGGCGATCGATGCACCCTATTTTTTCATTAGAATGGCGTCTGGGGATCATCTGAGCTGTCCTAGTTACTCAAGAGCATACCGTGCCTGGACCGACGCCCGCGATGACTGCTAGTGCCTTTGATGCCATATTCGATGTTCTCAATACTTTTCCAGTAGTATGTGTTTATAGTACAGGTTGCTTGCGAAGGGCTGGGCCATGACTAAATAGTCCGTGATGGTTCGGGGTGGCATCGCCGACGCTTAGAAATGCAGCGGGGATTGATCATCACCTCGGTGAATGATATCATCTACCCTGGACGGGACTGGCGTCACGCTATAACCAGACCCCATTGATGACAATAACAGTCGGAAACCCCAATGACACCAGTCATGCATATTTCTGCAAATATCTCCACACTAACGTGCTCATGAATAGGGCATTCTATGTACCTTGACAGCAATACTACTACTACTCAAGGTAGTAAAAGTGGAGAAAGACATTCCTGCCTCAGGCCGCTATCGCGATAAGCCCGGAAATTTCCCAAGCAATTTGAGCTTCGCCGAGTCCATCGCTACCTCAAGGCACCATATTCCAGCAGAATGGACAATCATGACACTCCCCTGAGCGAGCTCTGCTCCATCTGGTACATTACCACCCCTTCCAACCTACCAATCTATGATAGGTCTAACAAATCCGGCACACAGCCACGTCAACCCCCCAAAATACCGCTGTCCACGCTGCGCAACTCGAACCTGCTCCCTCCCCTGCACAAGACGCCACAAGCTCTGGTCCCAATGCTCCGGCGTCCGCGATCCAGCCGCCTACCTCAAGCGCAGCGAACTAGCCAACCCTTCCGCCTTCGACCGCGACTTCAATTTCATTTCGGGCATTGAACGCACACTGGAGCGCGCCGAACGCGATGTTGAGAATCGCGGGATTGACATGTCGCAGGCCATTGCGGAGGAAGAAAACGAAGATACACCGCAGCCTGCTGCTGGGCAGAAGAGGAAACATCCCGGTCAGGGACTGGTGAAGGGGGAGGCGGGTTTCTTGCGGGGAGCTGAGGCTGGGGGTGTGAGGGTTGTTCGGGCGCCGAGAGGGATGTCGAGGAATAAGAGTAATGGGTCGAGGTGGCATCCTAAGTAAATTAAATCTTTTTGGGTGTTGGATATGGTGGTACTTACTAATCCGTTCTTGCGCAGGCACAAGTGTTTGAATTGGTCTGTCGAATGGATTTCGCCGACTGGCGAGAAGGTTGTCAGGAATTCTCTGGAGACTACCGTGCTCTCTGAGGCCTATAATCGCGCCTTCCCGCTCCCGAAGGAGGATCGACCCAGCCTGAATACAACAAAGGAAGAGATAGAGGGGCAACAGGATCCTGCGAAAGAAAGTCAACCGGAGGAACCCACAGCTGAAGCAGCTACGTCGGAACCAGCAAAGGAACAACCAGAGCAACCCCCAGCTGCAGAAATAATCGAGGCTCCCACCGAAGAGAAAACAGAGGAAAAGACAGAGCAGAAGGCACCAGAGCTACCAATCGTCCCGCACCGCGATCTCTACTTCTACGTCCACCGTCCCCGAACAGCAACGAAGAAACCCGTCCTAGCTCCGCTGCCACCATCAGCTACGCTCAGATCCGTACTGCGCGGACGCACGGTTCTGGAGTTCCCTACCATCTACGCACTACCAGACCCGAGTGCGACATTACTCACCGAGGACAGTCGCTTTATTCTGGAAGAGGAGTATCTACGAACGGCAAGTGCCGAAGAGCTCGACGACAAATCTGCGGAGTCGGAGCTGGAGCGGACAGGAACTGATATGGATTCCGGGCCGGATTTGCAAAATGTGGATGAGAAGTTGATTATGGAGGTTTTGAAGAAGGATCTTTTTGAGCCTATTCCAGAGGGGGAGGCTTCATGAACACTGGGGGAGGCCTGGTTAGGCCGAGGCAATACGAAGAGGGTTTCATGTGTAAAAAAAGGTGACAGTAACACCGCCTTCTTGGGAAGCGATTAGCTCCCGGAGCCCAGCCTGAGTTAGTCCCCTCGCCGCCCTGAGCTGCTCCTTAGCACCCCGATCGCTCACCCCCGATGTTCCGGCTGGCCGACGTCACGGTTCTTTCTTTATTTCACTTCCTCCGATGATAAGCGCTTTGCTGCCTACTGCCTCTCCTAGGAGCTCGAGCGAAGAAATGACCTGATCTCACATTGTATCTATTCTCCAGCGCTTGCTTACTCGAGCTCATCGCCTGACGACCATGATCCACCATTCTGTAGGAGTAATGAATGTTCCCTGAATTCGGTCTCCATTGTCTCTTCCTTTCTTTCACAATGGTAATACGTGCTTCCCTTGACCGGATACTGAAAGACGAATGGTTAGTTCAGCCCCAGGACTGTCATTCATCACTATAGTCCACCACAGATTTCATGACCCATAGGTTGTATTTACCCTAAATAAAGCACCTAGGAAGGTGTCAATAGTCTGCCAAAGTATAATTACTGTCCATTCGCTGATCACGCGTCCATTTTAGAGGAGTTCCTAGGAGCACCTCCTTTCGCAGATATGTTCCGGACAAGAGCGGCCCTTTAATTAGCTACGGCAACTCGCAGTGGATTTGAGTCGTGTATTAATCCCGTGTATTTTTGATTTCTTCTGTAGCCACTTGTAGCTTGAGCAGAAGCCGATTCTTCAATCATATCTCTTCCTCGGCATTAGGCCCACGATAAGCACAAGGGCGCTCATATAATCAAAATATAAATAGCCACAGTTGTTCCTTACTTCACGAATCCCTAGAATATATATATATTTTTTAGGATTCCTATCCTCGAGTTCCTTATTCGACAGCTCCCTGATTAAATTACGCCAACCTATTGTGACGCTCAATCATTGAATATTTTAGCAACCGGCTAAGGAAACCTCTAGAGAATACTCAGATAATGGTCCTGAAATTAGCACCTCTGGGATAACGAGGTAATTTATTACTATCAGAGAACGACGCGAGGCAAATAGCTATGTGCTATAGAAACACAGACCACATAATAGGTATAAAACAGAGGACTTCAGTACGTATTTTTCTTTAGGTATCTAATTTCTATTTAAGGTGATCTAACATATTCACGTTAGTGTCGCAAAATACCAAATCTGCCTAAGAGATTCCACTAGAAGCCTCTACTAGCGATTTATCGACCGCTGATAATTATCTAGATTACCCCGAGGAGGTCGCACTCTACCCTTCCTCTCGAGTTAGCAGCAGCCGTTCTGTGGCTAGACTTGACGGGCCTAGGATATTAAGGATCTTTAATATATTTCACGATGATCTAACTAAGAAAGCGAGCACTTGTAAACGCAGCCTAGTGTAAGAGGAAAGAAGCGAGCCCTAGAAGAGACGCAGTCTCTACAGAAACACACTAGATTCAGATTTCTACCACTGTAGATACGAAAATTTCGTGCGCAAGCAGAACAGGGTATTCTAGTGAAACTCTATTTGAAGATAAGGCTGGCCACTTATATAATTACGCCAGTATCACGTACTTGATATCTGGAGCACTTTTATCGTCTGGCCAGCGCTAAAGCTCAATTTTCAGATAATTTAGTCGATAGAGGTATATGTCATCGTGGCCAATTTGAATCGCCTGATACTGGGGTGGCCCGTATCATCAATATGACTAGCGTAAAGATGAAAAGAGAGAGAGAAATAATTTGTGTGGTTTTCTGTAGGGTCTCGGTACAAGAACCGTCATTCTGCTCCGGAATTGGCTGTCTAGGAACAAACGTGTTGTACCCGACTGGTAACGTAGATCAGTGGGCAGACGGGTTTGCAGCTCGTTGGGCGCCACCTGTAATAGCACTACAAGATACAGTGCCGCTCCTAGGCTGCTGTAGTGCAATATTCCTCTCCTCGAGGACATGAATTTTTGTTTTCTGCTCCGCGGATATTGATTTTGGATTGAAAGGGTCCACGGACGAATTTCCTAAGCCTATAACGTAATTCACTTCAAAAAAGTATATTGATGTTGAGGCACAAATCGCAGATTTATCATTGAAATACAAATAGGCTTCGGTGTTCAAATTTTGATAGTTGTTCTTGTGTGTTAGATACAAGTGGGCTGACAGTAATATATATGTACGCATGCACGTGCTCCCAGTCCCTGTGATCGGTTCAGTGATCGGGATATTCAACAGTCTAGTCACAAATACTATACACGTACCAAGAATCGGTTCCATCCTTCTCAACCCCAAAATTGTACAAGCTCCAACTTACTCCTTGACATTGTTGTAGCGGTAGGGCTTGGCCGTGTAACTGCCAACCTTCCAACCAACAGGGCGCTTGTACGCGACACAGCCGTAGGTACCGCGGCACTCAAGCGTATTGTACTCCTTCTTGGAACTGTCGGCCCACGACTTGAACAGAGTGACGTGGCCAGAAGCACCGCCAGTACCGGAGCCAAGGGTGCCAACAAAATCACCGGGCTGGATGTCTTTCCAAGAGATAGGCTTCGCAATCTCCGGGAGACTGACAGTGCTGAGGCCTGGAGAAGATGCATGGAGAGCCATGCTAACGAAACCCGAGCAGTCGGTGCGATATTTGCGACCATTTGGGTCCGGGTAATAGGCGCTCATAGAGTATGGGACGTGGCGTGAGACCCAGTACTCACCGCGGGAGAGGATCTCCTTGCGGCTGATCTCGCCCTTGTAGGATGAGCTGCCGTCGCCAGAGCTGCCGCCGCCACAGTCCTTGGTGACCATGCTATCTGAGCCGGTCTTCACGTAGTAGTCGGAAACATAACAGCCGTCAGATGTCTTGTCCCATATAGAGTTGCCCTGGATGTCTTCACCGTAAGTCTGGCAGGTGACCTTGACATCGGCACCCTTGTCGTATTTTGTGACAACCACATCATGCGTTGAGGCACCTTCGCGACAGTTGACATCACTGGTAGTGATTTTATATGCGTTGGCCATAGAGAAAGCCGCAGCTAGGGTCAGAGCCAAGTTGGTGAGCTGCATGATGACAAATAGTGGCAGTTAGATGAATTCTGCGTATTGGTGATTCCTCGGTAAAGGTTGTTGTGTTTTTGGTCTGCGTTTCCTTTCGATTGCCACAAGAGATAGCGAAAACTTTTTATGGCTTGAAGCTTGTAACCAAAATGTTGTGCATGAGGCAGGACGTGGATACTTATACTTTGACTGGTGTGTCGATCTTCACAGGTGTTGATCACTATGGGTTTGTACAGCCTAACAGGATCATCGCCAAGGCAGATTTGTCTAAAATTAGTGCTAGAAAGTATATTTACGAAAGTTCAGAATGTCCTTTCATACCAAACAATGTATTGTAGACGATGGGGAAGTATGCATTTGAGTTTATTTCCCGTAACTTGAATACTCAATCCACAGAGCTCTCATAATTAGGCTTTCTTAGTCTCATTTTCTCTTAATACGGGGAAGATGCTGAATATCAATCCTACCCTGGGGCTAAAGCGCCTGTATGAAAAATTCGGGTGAAGATGATGTGAGGCCGAAAGCTCCCAGATACGCTGCTAAAAATAGTCCCGTTACTATACGAGCCGCATGGGCGATCGGCAGGGGCTTACCAAAATACGAGATTGCTTGGCAGAAGCATGAATGATCGACAAGCCACTTCAATATTGAGGATAGAAAGAAACACGACGTGATAATAATTTTCCGGTGCTGCTAAAAAAAGTATTGTTTCTTTACTTGAGCCTCGCCATATACGAGTTGCATCCACGTTCTTCGGGGCAATACATTTAAAAAGTTGGCAAACTGCGAAGAAAATACGAGATTGCTTGGCATGGTGGGTGGTGTTGAAAACCCCAACATTAATACTGATACGTTAACATTGATGAGATGAAAGAGATGAATACAATATGCAACGTTGTACAGAAGCGCTCGAAATTATTTTCATCACAAAAGACAGTATTTTATGTTGATTAGTTAGCAAATTTATGCATTTCCGGGGGTTTACTGGGGCCCGGTCCCAACCCGCGGGGTATGCGGAAGTCTACCTGTGATCATTTCAGTGACCGGGATATTCAACAGGAGTCCGGCTCGCAACCCTCGGAAGGTCACCCGCGGGTCTCGCCGAGGTCTAATCAGAAAGATACTGTTTCATATTTCATGCGCTGTCCCAGAGCTTTTCAGCCAATAGTAAATGTTCTCGGTGTCTTTCTTGAGCGCGGTGGTCAACTAATCGATGGTCGAATCCTTCCTATCTCCTTCAGATCACCGCTTAAAATCCGTCCACTCGTACCCTTCATACTTTACTCATCACTGCCTACTTTGAGAACGGACAACGTTGGGCGGACTTTCTGCCTTTCAATGCAACCCCCCGTGTTTTTTGACAGGCCGCGGCTTTGGCCTCACAAAAGAGAATCGCCAATTGGCTATCGTCGCCGATGATGTACATTTTCTCCCGACGACAACTCACCATCTGCCTTCGACTCACTCCTCGTCAACTAGTAAATGAAAACACTTCAATCGTTGTCCCAGATGGCTGGCCCTACCACTACCGCCAATCAAGCACGAGTCTGGACGATCAGCAAGATGCTAAACCCACGGGAATGAAAGCTCCAGAAGATGAGGACGGGGAAAAGGCTCGAATGACGTGGTCGCTCACGGCAGCCGAGATCATATCCCTACCACGGGTTAGCACTAGACCTGGGCATGGGCCGGCCCATGGACAAAAACCTCGTGGGTCGGCCCATTTGGGCTGGCCCACGAATGGGTCAGTCGGCCCACGATTTGGCCCATTTGGCCCATTTGGCCCCCAAATCTGCATAATAAATATATAAAATATCCAGAATTACTAGCGTAATTTATAGCTGTCTTAAATCTTATACCGAATTACAGAATAGATTACGCACAGCGTAATCTCTTCTAACTTGAATATATATATATATTGAAGTGTTCACGATCAATTAATTCAAATTGTCCTTCAGCTCTTGATGTTTATTTTCTGAAATCTCGACGCAGGTCATTTTTGCTTGGATTTTTAAAGTATCGTATAATAAAATATAACTTTATGTATGTTTAAAGGCTTTCTTGTTTACGAATTAGATGTAGGGATGGAATAAATCTTTTATATAGTGAACGTGGAAGGGTGAAAAAAAAGTTATCGATGAGATAAAAACTGCGGGGGATGCCGTAGCACGAATTTCGAAGGCGAATGGGCCGGCCCATGGGCCGGCCCATGGAACTAACTAATAAAAGATATTCAGATGTGGGACTTAGTGACTAAATAGCCAATTATCGCGAACATAGGAGACGCGTTATCCCGGGATATCTGCGCCTGGCATGATAGCCCAGGCTATCTACGGACTCTGTATTCTAGCTTAAATATAGGCCAACCTATCTCCTCTTTATAGTCAACGATGATTTCTCTCTAACGTTGGGATTATTGAGCTTTCTTACCAAACTATCATGTCTCAACTACCGGATATCTACTCAGTACCCTTTTCAGAGAGTGGGGAATTTGATGATTCATCCTATCTTTTAACGGATAGCGTCGCGCCCGAGCACTCCGCAAGCCAAACGCAGCTTCCTCCCCCTCTCTCTGTTCCCACCTCTCTCAGACGCTCCACAGATCCAGCACAAACCTACGTTCTGTGCGAAGATATGAATAAAGAGGATTTCGTGGATTGGTGGATTCAGACCCAGAGTGGGCACTCTGAGCACCAATCTACTTTCTGGGATCGAAAGGGCCAGCGAGCAGATATATGGGCAGACTTCGAACAGGTTGCCCATTTTATTACTGGACAACCTAAGGTGATGTGCAAGAACTGCGGAGCAATTTTGAACCATCCGAACTCTCTAGTTCATACCAAAGCAGGGACGGCAGGGAAGCAAGGAACAACTGCTCTACGAAGACACCTAGAACGGGCAATATGTAAAACAAAGGGTCAATCAAGCATCCGGCGGCTACTACAGAAGCAGGCAAGTCTCTCATTTATTTATTCCTAGATCAAAGCTAATTTTGCTACTTAATAGGCAAAAATCGCACCAGAGCCGTTCAGCGAGTCCCGTTGGGAACACCAATTAGTTTCTACAATTACTACCTTACGGCTTCCCTTTACGACTGTTGAACATCCCGAGTTCCTTAAGCTTCTACAACTAGCTCAGAAATCGCCAACAGCTATAAGCCTTCCCTCTCGAAGAACCTTACAGCGTCGAATTCAAACAAAAGCACAAGATCAGCAGAAAGAAATACTTCAGAAGCTTCCACCAAAGGCAAAGCTCTCAATAAGCTTAGATTGTTGGACGTCCCCTTTCCAACAGGCCTTTATGGCAGTGTCTGGTTACTTTATTGACGCTGATTGGGAATATCGGGAGGTTTTACTAGGATTTGAGCCTCTGTCTGGTGTTCATACTGGGGCTTATCTAAGCACAGTTGTCCTAGACCTGCTTGAAAAGCATAGGATCAAAGAGCGAGTGTTAGCTGTCACAACTGATAATGCGTCTAACAATTCGACTCTTATTTCATCTCTGCAAGACTCTCTTCAGTCTCAGGGCCTTCGTTCTGATACTCTTATTATCCGAGTACCATGCCTCGCCCATGTGATTCAGTTGAGCCTAAAGCAGCTCCTTGGTCAAATGAAAGCCAACCCAGTGAATGAGAATGTCGATACGGTCTGGACTGAAGAGCATACGAAAATAGCTCGCCAAACAGCAAGAGAGTATAGTATGGCGAATACACTTAAGAAGGTTTGATCTTAAACTATTCTTTCTACCTATCAAACATATACTAATTATACAATTGCTTAGATCCGAAACCTCGCTATCTTCATCAATGCAAGCCCTCAGCGCCGTGAATCCTTCCAAAACCTCCAGTCTAATACACCTCGATTATTCCCAATCCAGGATGTCAGGACGCGCTGGAATTCGACCTTCTTAATGCTCCGCCGGGCTAAGAAGCTACAACCTGTGTTTGATACTTTCTGCTCCGAATTTCATCATTCTCATCTTCAGGTCACATCAAATGAGTGGCGGCGGGTTGATTACCTGATCTGTATCACCCAGCCTTTCTACAGATTCACAACTGCTCTCTCAAAAACAAAAGACATAACGATTCATACTGTTTTCAGTATTTACAATCGTCTCTTTAATCATCTTGAGAGCCGGATCCGCCAGCTACAACGGAAGAAGATCGGATGGAAAAGACAAATGCTTGATGCTCTGAGAGCAGCCGAAAGTAAGCTCAGGGATTATTATATGATGACTGACCTTGAAGGTCTTAGTGATATATACTCAACTGGGACTATTTTGGCGCCGCAGTATAAGCTTGAATTCTTCCAGACCTCAGATTGGCGGGATGACGAGAAAGACTTTGCTGCCCAATACAGACAAGCTCTCGAAGCCCGAGTTAAGCACTACGAGGATAGTGTATATAGCTCTCTCTCACAGACTGGAGGTTTACAGACTGTGAAGCCTACGAGTGAGATTGATCTACTACTCGCTTGTGGTAGTCGGCCTACTGCCCCAGTCCCTGAGCTCACTCAGTATCTCGAGAGTAGTAAGTGGTCTTCTATTCTTAAACCAAACACTCTTTCTAAATTAAATACCTTAAACATCCACGGTATCAATGCCTCCGCGCGAATTCTGGAGAGATCATGAACACAGATTTCCAGTGCTCGCAGCTCTCGCTCGAGATTTCCTTTCCGTCCCAGCCACAGGCGCAGGCGTAGAGCGTCTCTTTAACTCCGCGCGTGATATCTGCCACTATCGCCGTGGCTCACTACAATCGAGTACTATTCAGGATCTAATGCTTCTTATGTGTGGGATTCGATTTGATCTAGAAGAGGAGCAGCTTGCTTTCGTTCGGGAGTACGCAACTGAGACTGAGATAGAATTCCAACAAGAAGAGATGGATGAGCGTACGCAGGAGGGCATTCTGGAGATTAGTGATAATGAAGAAGGCCCTGCGCAATATGATTCGAAGAGGCGAAGGAGTGTTAATGAGCCTGCCGAAGAGCCTGAGGGGGAGTCTGAGCCTGAGGAGCCTGATTTGCCTGAGCAAAACACACAGCGTGTTTCAGGAAGAGTTCGAAAGCGTTCAAGGTTATTAGATGGCTATGAGATATAGTTGATTTCTACAGTAATATCAAAATGCCCTCTTTTAACTGAATATCGTATATAACTAAGAGCAATCAATCATTCTTGTTACCAAGGCATTACAGCCAAGAGCACGCGTAAAGTACATAAATTATGAAAGTCACATGTACACTAGTTTTCGCCCTAAAATGGGTCGAATGGGCCAAATGGGCCGGCCCATGAATGGGCAGAAAATCGATTTTTCGGCCCATGGGCCCAAATGGGTCAACCCATTTGGGCCGGCCCATGGGTTCTGCCCAGGTCTAGTTAGCACTCATACCTCAGAAAGGCGCTCTCAGAGACCAAGGAAAGCTTCTCGTACTGAATAGCAAATTTAGCAAATTGCTATTTCCGTCTTTCGATAATGCGGTTATTAGTCAGCTAGAATTTCCTCTTTCATTGGTCAATCTTGATTTACATGCAAGTGAAGATTAAACCACGCAATTTAATATTTCTTTTCACCTTTCTTTCCCACTTGTTAATTCTTCGTTTCAGGGCCGATACGCGTAATACGCGCGTCTTCCAGTAGATACAGGTCTACCCCTAATACATGAGTAGCCTGAGCCAGGATGACATAAAAGTACTGGCAATACTTGAGCTCTAATATCGACAGACCTCAAAATATCGAAGAGTGTAGTAACTATTGTTCCGGTATATGACAGCAATTTTTTTCGAGTAGCTCAAGAAATACATTGAGAAAATGTAATGGAAGATCGAGATCAGATAACGCTTAACTTCCCCTCATAAACGCACATTCAGGAGTTTCCACATCGACCTCTTGCGTGACTACAATCCCGCTGTGAAAGCTTACCTGACCATGCTGCCCAGTAGTAAATGCAGTGGGTCGTCGGTTTAGGGGGGCCATCCTGTCACAGCAGCATTGACGGTTTGGAGACAATAGGGAAGGAAAAATACGCGTAAATATAGGATACAACGAGGGGAGACAGGAACAAATAATTCCCATGTTCATCTCCACGAAAGACCACTTTGCAAGCTCGGCATTGGCTATGGGTTCTAAAGATAGCTGTTAGTCTTGCATATGTAGATCGCTGGTGGTTCAGGAGATTCTGACTTGCTGAATCCGTGGCTTTCGTATCAGTAGCCACTATTCTAAGACGGACAATGCTCGTGATACAGGCACTACATCTTGTTAGACCATCTCTCTTTTTTTTTTGGGAATTTGCACATCACGTACAAGCTGCCAGCCGCAAAAATTAAAATAAGGCCAGCCTTCTTTTTCTGAGGAAGTTGCAAGTTGGATAAAACCGGAATGGGCATTATCAGAATGACCAAGTCTGTGACAATATTTATAGCCGCATTGAAAAACCACAAAAAGGTCTTAGAGATGCAGCTTCCCCGGACAGAAGGCACCCAGAATGCACTTATTGGGATGCAGGTCAAAATAGAGCTCAGTACACACCACAGTCCGTAAATGCCTATTACCGCTAGGGCGATGCGTGTCACGAGGATAAAGTGAGGGAGAGGGAAAACCCGCAAATATAAAAGCAGGATCGAGGCTTTGGTGAATGTGATCGACAGATTGTACAGCGGAATACTGAGCCATAGAAACTGGATGACAGTCCGATCAGCATCTAGTCAATCTGAGACACACGTGCATTCTTGCAATAGAAAATGCGGCAGAACAAACCAGCAACTGCATTTGAGCATAATGAGGATAAAGTGCTGCTTGTGACTTTCCAAGGCCGTAGTGCGCCTCTTATATGAGTACGTCAGTCATTGTGCACCGTAATCATGATTCCCACTAACCAAAAACCAGCATAGAAAATGCTGCTAATGCGAATGCCTATCACGAGTTTAGCAGGCTATACTGTCAGGACCACAACCTTCAGAAAGACAGACCAAAGATAATATGATCGCGTAGTCATCCCGGCCGGTGCTACGAACTAGCAAGCATCGTATACACAGGCGAGATATGACAAACAAGGTAGACAGCCCGGTAAAAACCGCAGCGATAATCACTGTACGGCCTGTCATTCAAAAATGGCGAGGCAGCTGAGCTTCAAGCAGAAACTTCGGGTATTCTGGCGTGTAATGAAGGAACTTCTCTCGCAGCTAAGGAGATACGGTACTCCAATTTTAAACTTAAAAGTATCACGAGAGACCGTGAGAAGGGGTTCCCAATAGAGTAGACCTCGGAGAGGTGGAGCCCGATCCCTTTACAGTACGGCTTCTGTGGTAACATGTCCTGGAGAATCTGGGACGCAGCGCGCTGACGTCACCACTATTTCTGACCCATAGGCGCGACAGGTCTAGCCAGGGTGAATTATAACGGTTTCTGCTGCGATTTTGGATGCTCTTGGGTCTGATAAATCTGTCAGACTTGTCTGAAATTGTATCGCGATATGACGAGGTCCAAGGCCCTGCAGACAAATGATCCCAAGTGTCTGACCGCTTGGCATTCATCAAAGGCTGCCAAGTTAGTGCGAATTTGAGAGCTACGTTTAACCGGTCTCATTATTTCAGGTCTCGTGAAATGAACCAGTGACATAGAATTGCCACCGATGTTGGATACATAGACTTGCTGAAGAGCCAAAAGTTTTGCACACCATGCTGGCGCCCCACTTGCCCCGCGCTTGCCATTCCCGTTTCTAGACCCGGCTAGTTATCAAGGTCAGCCAATGAGGTTCAATTGACCGCGGGTAATGGATTCAATAGTTAGGACCCTTCGGAACAGGCTTAGTCATTATCCACCTAATTTCCCTCGTTTTTGGATGGAGGAATGTTCATTGCGATTAGAAAACGGTAAATTGGCTATGGCGCGTACCATATTTTGCTTAGGCGCGATTCTGTGTGTACCTGCAGAGATTATCCATTTCCAAAGTAATACTTTTCAATCTCAGTCAATCTACGGTTGTTCGCGCGCGTAGTGGCACGAGTAGTACGCTGGCAAATACCATCGCGACGCTTGCGGCGCGAAGTCTCGGGCAGGTCCAATCGACACGCGGCTTTGTTCAAGATCTGAATTTCGTTGTTCGAAGGGCTTGTACAGAAAATAGATCTCGCCCCTGTCAACTGGCATAATTTTGAAAAGATCGAGCGCATTTTGATGGCATTATTGATGATCAAAGTTGGTATGTGTTGTGGAGTGGGTGCAATATTTGATGGGGTGCGCAACTCCACACGTGCGGCTCACTTACGGGTTACCTTATCCGTTATGTACTATGATCTTATAGTCGGAGAAATTGGCTTTGCGATTTTTCCTCCTAGTGTGCTACAAGTACTTAGCGAAGGGGACAATCTTAGCCCCGTACTTACCGAGCATCCGGATATCTGTTGCGGGCCAATCGAAAAGAACAGATCAATTCGGTGCCTACTGACGAAAGTATCGAAGCTAGGAGAGAAAAGAAGGAAGATCCAGGAACGTGGGAGAAGCGTTCCGATACACGCTCCGATTGCAGATGCGAAAACTTATCATCCCGATCCGGAAATGTTGGTTCCTCAGTCCAACTCCGCCAGATCTTGAAGTTCCAACTGTCTAATTCGTAACAATATCGATAAGATCACCTTTACCGGTTAAAGTGCTACAGGAAACCTAGCAATAAAGGGCTACCCAGAGATCTTAAGGAAATTGCCATTAGGGTCGGGGGTAATGACCAGGCATTTATCTGCCAGGAGTGTTACGCTCAGTTACGAAAGGAACAACCAATGTATTAGTATTAAGGAAGCAACTAAGCATGGGGAAGGAAAGAAGAAGAGATTGTGAGGGGAGACCTGTATCCAAGTGGGACACCTGCGGCAGCGAGCATCAAACCAGGCGTCAGGCATCTCCACGTGTGCTTTGTTCTTTGCCTGACTTGTAATCATCAACACAGATGGTTCTCGATCTCGGGTATCACTGAGGCTTGAATAAAATTTGGCATTGATGTTCCTTTAATTATAGTAAGCACACAATCCAGTGATAGGTTCAGGTGAAACGTACTCGTACACCACTGCAACTCTCGTCATAAAAGATCTCAAAACGGCTAGTAATGCCAGGGGAGACAATGCCAAAATCATCTCCGGGTTCCGTTGTATATTTGCGGTAAAGCGCAGCCAGAAACGTGGTCATTTCAGCCATGGCAAGACTAGTGAAAGTAAGTAACAAAACATTCACATCACCCACTGGAAGGTGTCTTACTGCATCCCAATGCACATCCGTCCGCCACTAGAGAAGGCCCAAAATAGCTTATTCATTCCCGCAGTGTCCTGAGATGGATCAAGCCAGCGGTCTGGATTGAATGTTAGAGGGTCCCTGAAAATGTTTCCATTCCGATGTAAAATATAGGGTGAGATTGAGACGACAGTACGGGCAGGAATGGGATAACCATCGATGGTTGTGTCTTTTGGTAGCGATCTTGGTTGTGACGCTGGAAGAGGCGCGAAGAGTCTCAGCGTTTCTTTGATAACTGCATCCACATATTCTAGCTTGCTGGCCACTTCTGCCCGTGGTATACCATCCGCATTAAGCTCGTCTTCTGATAGATTTCGGACTTCGTTGATGAGTCTCTGCTGGAATTTCTCATGCTTAGGGCGAGAAAGAGACCAAATTGCGAACATAAGAGTGTCACTTGTAGTGTCAATTCCCCCGTCGAGGTGATCTGCGCATTCAGATGCTATGTCCAGATCATCTAGGCCACCCTCTTTCTGAGTGGAATGATGCTTCCAGAGCTTCGAGATGAGAGAGGACTGCTTGGCCTTCTCTTTGGTCGAGAAATTTGAGAATATCCGGAAAGCTTTCATTGCATGCAGTTTGATATCAGTGTATGGTATTGGGCCCTGCAGTGGGTAGAACCGGCGAGCGACGCAGCCCATTAATCCGGTCCTCGAGTAAAGCCAGGTCGTGAATTTCGGGCGATGGACCGTAAACCATGTAAGTCTGCGACTGCCAGTGGCCATAATATCGCGAAGAAGTGCACGGTCTTTTTCCACGCCATCAAGACATGCGGTTTTGCCAGCATTGCCAAATACGAACTCTGTGATGTTGTCCAAAGAGAAGTAATGTAGTGTTGGGAAAATGTCGATAGATCGACCGTCTCGCTCTCTATCCAAAAGCTCTATGAACTTCCTGACCTTCGTTTCAATCGTGCGCGCCGTCTCCCCCTTCAGCATCGTAGACTTGGCATACGCATGTGCGAAGAGTTTTTTCCGGTCTCCATGCTGTTTTACCGAGCTAAACGAGAACATGTTCTGCCGCCCGTATGTCGAAAACATATTGTAGAATGTGGTCCTTTCGAAGCCGCTCCCGGCCCCATACACGCAATGCCGAAAGACTGTTAAATGATATCTCTTTTGGGCCCACAAGGACGACCGGCCCATATTCCTCATGAAGCGCATGAAGTTTGCGGGTACGCGTGCCCTTGTAATCTTCGAAGGCAAGTCGCCATTTCGTTAAGGCAAAGGCCTTCGGCCCTGGGATCCCAGCCAAAGGACTGAAGAACAGGGACTTGCAAATGTAATGGACCACGAAAGCGATACTGACCGCAAAAGCGGCCGCGATTGTCATAAACATCTTGATGTCAGTGTTGTGGCAGACGACTTTCATGAAAAAGATGTTTGTCGGCTGAGCGTAAATTATACTCAGCGTAGGTCGGTTATAACGAAGACGATTGATGCTTCCCCGCAGTTAGTTGCCATGCCATTAGGTAACCGCCTAGTTTTCCTTTTAACACCACAATAGCCAGCAGGCCCCAACCAATTCTACCACAGGATTTCTACCCCACTATTTGACCCCGATTTTCTGGCACAGCATGCGGGGCATCCGGAATTTTAGGTTTTGGTGGCCAAATGCGTAAGCCGAAGGTGGCAGCGTCCTCCCTACTTTCGGGAATTTGTATACTGAGACGTCGTTAATTGAGAAACCTCCTAAAATACTATTCAAATGCCAGGCTGATAAGAGAACCGATAGTCCCCCCTAAGGTCGAACAGACTCCGTAACTGGTAATGGTATTCGCTCGCAGTTCATCCGTGGATTGGTATGAGGCATTGTATACCTTCTTTGACCGTCTTCCTATGTTCAATGGAATCCGCTCATAAGTGACTGGGACGAAAATTGCCAGCAGGCCAACTACTCGTTATAAAAGTAATCTATGAGAGGGGCAAGTTAACCACATGTCCGCGCCTGAACTATGAATCCTTTTTTTCTGGCTTCACTCCCCATCTGGGACCTCTGCGGGGAGCAAGAGTTGCGGCTGCTCTCTGTTCCAATATTTGGATTCTTTACTTTGTGCAAATTTGTTTTGCGCACCCATCACTGTATTCGGTCGAATTGACTACATCAACGCCAGTGGAAAGAGAACATTGCGGCGACGAAACAGTGATTTCATGTTCAACAACTCAGATGGTGATACAAAGGGCGAAAAAGCTAGCGAAAAGCTGTTGCTTAAACGCCCGCTTCTAGGAACCAAAGAAGGTAGAGTAAGGGCCGACACTGCACGGATACGGTAAGTCCCTATTCTCATCGAAGCTCATCACACCAGCTGGTTCACAGAGCGAGCTGTTGCGCACGACTAGACTGAAAGACCCTCAAGTGATGGTATGTACTATTGCATGTATAATACACAATGCCGCTCACACACAGCTTCGGATATGCTTGGGGAACACTCCGGAATCGAGTGCTGCGGGGTTACACCTGGCTTTCGGGATGATCTTATGATTACACATCCAGGAAGGTGACTTTAAATGACCATTTGAATTTTATCGGGGCGCAGGCCGGAGATCTTCCTACGCGACTACCTCGAGACTGGAACGCAAATTCTCTCCCCGCTCTCCTGTAACTCCAGCAATATTCCTGTTTCTGTGCATGCTTACGTCCACTGGCCTTGTTTTACACGGAGTTTCCGATGCTATGGCCAACAATGCCTGTGATGAGTCCACCGCGGAGCTGCAGCCGATGTCGAAGCAGTTAGAGAGACGCAGCAAGAGGCCACGTTGTCACGTCGCGAAACAGGTAATCTCGGCTGTTTGCACAGAAAGACTCAACTGATGAGACTTTCGTTAGGCATGTGAGCTCCGTCGCGTGAAGAAGTCGCGCTGTGACGAACAATTTCCGTGCGTTATATGCCGGAATACTGGGGTTGATTGTGTGTACCGTAGTCGAAAGTCATCTCGGTGAGCAGGCAAAGGCTTTTGGAGCATGTAGTCCCTCAGTCTAACAGTCCCATCGACAATAGTTCCGAGGTATCATCGGACACGTTCCTTAGAATTCTGGAGCAATTTGAATCAAGACTTGACCATATCTCCGTAATGCTCCCGAATCATGTTCCTGGTCCGCAGGACTTTCTCGATACAATTCCCCAAGCGCTATCGCAGGGCATACTTCTGACCCCAGATGCAAACCTTCCTTTATCATACGGCAGCCCAAGGTTTGTGGGCAATTTATCTGAATTATCAATTCAAGTGTGATACAATTCAGTGTCCACCAAGTTATATCATGGAGCCCTGTCGTTGCAGTGCTTCCCCATCCTGTCCAGGCAATATTTGCAGAGCATGGGATGGGCTATGCAACCTCGCTTGAGACAAAAAGGTCGCGCCTTGTCGGTGCTGGCCGCCCTATGGTGGACAGAAGAGACCCAATACGATGTCCAACCTAAGTATTTCCATTATCAATGAGCTTTGCGATACCTACTTTGCGACATTTCAAATTACTCACCCAATATTGGATTGAAGCTTCTTCTTTCATCACACTTTACCGAAGGCTATTCACGGGAACTTTGGCCACGAAATCGAATGATGTGTTGTTCTTGCGATGATGGCATTGGGCTGTTGGGGCAAAAGGGCTCTCTCCGAGGCTGGCGTTGAGCATCATTCTGAGAATGAACGGTGCACTTCGGATCAGGCTGATGCAGCTCTGGAAGAAAACGTCCTCGGACTTCACTTCTTCAAAAATCCCAATATCGCACAGGCTGTTTACTTGATGATAACAGCATGCAGAGCTGCCAATGTTATCTTTTGGCTGGGTATCTCTCTCTGCCATTTGTTAGTGGAACGGACGGCAAGACTAACCATTTTTCCAGACTTTTTTACGCCCAAATGGTTCGACTTGTGGATTGGTGAACCATGACTGCCCGAGCAGCCACGTGGTGTCGTATGTTTTGGGAGAAGTAAGTTGGTCATCTCTGGGATGTGGCAAGGTGAAGTATGAACTGATGGACCTATAGTCCACATAGTCCCTGCAACTCGTGGGTTGCAGATATGCAGTCTCGCTTATTTTGGAACGCGGCAATGTTTGAAGCAATCCTGACCCAAGAATTAAGTCTCCCTAGCACCAAGCTACACACCCTTTGGGCAGGCTCCACTGCCCAAATTTGTCAAATTGGAGCAACATCCTTTTATCGTCATGGATGTTACAATGGATGATTAGAACCGGTCCTTCTTTCACTATCTTTTTCTGGCCCAGATTGCACATTATAGTCTCTTGACCAGAACAAAAAACAGCATCTTCTATTCATCGTTGATGAGGGCCTCCATGCCCGCCCCTCGACTTCATGATGTTCAGTTGTAGGATTCGGAGGTTGTTTTCTAACATTGCGAGGAGAGAGGGACGGTGGGTGTCGGGCACAGGGGGGTCCCCAGTCGGGTGTTCGCCGCTGCACTCCAGGCACCGTGCTCTGATTCCTGGTGGGCATCTTGCTCGTTCATGTGGGCCGCCGCAGTGCCCGCATCGGGGGGCTTTCTCTTTGCAGGACCAGGCCTGGTGACCGAACCGTTGGCATCGGAAGCATGTCTCACCGGACGGCCAGCTGCTGGCCTCTGGCTCCGATGACACGCCCGTCCAGCTCTGGGATGCTAGTACAGGCGAGCCGCGCCGTACCTTCGAGGGCCGTTCCGATTGGGTCCAGTCTGTGGCTTTCTCACCCGACGGCCAGCTGCTGGCCTCTGGCTCCGATGACGAGTCAGTCCGGCTCTGGGATGCCAGCACAGGCGAGCCGCGCCGTACCCTCGAGGGCCATTCTGATTGGGTTTGGTCTGAAGGAAATGTTGCGTTATCTATAGACAAGCAGTGGGTTTTCTTTCGGGGTAAGAGAGGACTGTGGCTTCCTCCAGACTTTCGCCCAGAATGTTTAGCGTTGAGAGCAGGTACTCTAGCTCTCGGTCATTTATCTGGAGGGGTTTCATTTATAAAGTCGCTTCTATGAAGTCTAAAGTTTACGATCTCTTGTATATTCTTATCTCTTTCCAAAGAAAGTTTCTGGGGAGAGTAAGGAATTTATACTTTCCTTTCTCTTAGCAGAGAAATCGAGACATTCCCACTGACTTCTGCAGTTGGTATGAATACATCTGTTTTCCACTTTCCTCCACGGTCGCTGAGTAGATTCTAGAAGGTTCTAGGGATCCTTACCGTGTCATAACTATGACTCATTTGTTAAAACAGGTGACAGGGATTGTTCAGAAAGTAACCAAAATTACATTAGTGTGGGTGTACTTGTCCTACGTACGCTTAGCATTATCTACCGCGGGTGACTCCATCCTTTAGAAGTTGTCCAACTGACTGCGAGACATGGACCAGAGGAATTCCGGTTTGACTAATCAGAATGCAGGAAGCGGAGATAGATTTACAGGCAGGGGTTGTGTGGGGGAAGGCTATGTTGGACCTGGAGCAGACTTGGTTGAGACAGTACTAAAATTAGATTAGAGTGGAGCCACGGCTACATATTACGTTAGGGTTCGGAAAACAATGTGAGAGTAAATGGGGAAATCTTATTTCGAATACTTTATCGACGCCGTCTTTACGGAGTCAAAGAAAGTGGTACATTCTTTATCGGCGAGCCGGTGATGACTCAGAAATATATTCTTCCTCGGCCAGATGACGAGGAGTCAAACAGACGAAGGCAGATGAGGCGAAGGGAGAAGGAGCGGCGGTGACAGTAAAGATTTGAGAGAGCCGGGGAGATGTCAGTGCCAGAGTGGTTCTTCTGGTGCAGGGGATCCAACTCGCGGAACTGGCCCTTCTCGTGGAACTGATTCCACTTGGAGTGGTCGTAACTGAGGCAGCTTTCCACTTCAGCGGTAGTTCTACTGGCAGAGGTTTAGCCAGGTTAGAACATTGTCTGAATGGGCAGAAGAATGAATGCGACTGGGGCAAATGGACAGCAGCTCTTCAGGCTCAATGAGAGACCGCTCGTTCGATGTAATGCTGCCGCAAGGGGGAGACAGTCAAACGTCCAAATCTTGAATAGTCAGGCAGGCGTGCCGAAAATGGCCTCTAGCACTCTCCTTCTTGCTCCGAACTTGGTAGTACACTAGTTAAGAAAGCAGTCAAATCCTTGGTCCGGATCTTCTGCCAAGTAGCTCCAGTTACGCGCGCACCTAATGAAGCCCTTGGGCTCGGCGAAAAACTCCTCAATCGAGTTTGGTCCGGTGAATAAGGAGCTAGATAAACCAACTTGACTCCGGCATGGGTACACATTTGCAAAATCCGTTCGGAGTGGTAGAATGACGCATTGTCCATGACCAGGACAGACTTTGGCTCCGGCCATCTTCCGCGGTGCCGAAGAAGCTGTCCGATGAAGTCTTCGAACACAGCGGCATCCGTCGAGCCGCGAAAGTCTCGAGAACACAATACCATCTTGGGCATAAGCAGGCAATATTTGATACCGCTCGTCGTGGTGGAACTGTGGCACTTGTACGGGGGGCTACACCGAGTGGCGACCAGCGTGTTCGTCTAAATCCGATCCGCTTATCGCATGCAGATTCATCAACGTAGACCAGGTGGTACGACTCAAATTCCGAGAGATTGCGGAGATAAAACTCTCGTAATTCTGCAGGGTCCTTACCTAGAAACCGGGCTTACTAACGCAATTGCGAACTGGACACTGCTGGCTATCAACATACGCGAAGGCCTTTCGGTTCCACGATGATGATCTATGTGCCTGTGGCGAACGAGAGAGTGTAACCCATGTTCTGCTGGACTGTCCGGAGCTGAGAGAACTACGGCGAGAGCTCTGAGGGAAGGTCGGTGAGGCGTTTAACAGCATGTCAACCTTGCTGGGGGGACTTGGCGAAGACGGAAGGGGTAAGATCAACAGTGGTTCAAGGGCTAAGACAGTGGAGGCTGTCTTGGACTTCGCCGAAGCATCACATCTGTTTCAAAGCCGAACACCATGAAGGCAGCATGAAAAGAAAACGGCCGTTGAGCCTGAGCGCCTTCATAAAAGCGGCGGCAGCCGAGACAAGAAAGCCCCACCTGACAGACATTATCCTGTCTATATAGGTGCATATTGTGATTAATCTGAACGATGGGTCCAGAGGACTGCGCCACGTCTGCAAAACCGGCCGGGGAACATCAATGCTAGGTAACATTATGTCGAAAGGGCCATCACGGGAGTGGGCTATGAAAGGGTGGTATTTTGAATTATGTTTCGCCATAGAGTACAGATAGAACCGGTTTATCACTGGGAGCAAAGCTGGATGGTTGCCGGAATACCAATGGAAGAAGCTGCAGTGGCTGCGGGGTACGCTTCCGAATCAGGGCCTGAAGAGAGGAAGGACATAACAAATTAAGATTTGTTCCTAATTCCTAGCCACTCGTTTCCTGTTCGCATTCACGGACCCTTGTCGCCGCTTGGATTCGAAATTGTATTGCTAGCGTTGGGCTGTTCAAGTGGCGCTGTGCAGTTGTAGGAGTCAACCATAAGTTCTGATGGCGTGAATATGCACCGATGACGACATTGTGGCCTGGCCACCCTAGGTGGATATTGTAGCGGACCCGGAAGAATGATAATGTCGCCGTTTACTGTTGATGGTCGAGTTGGTGTAGTGTGCAAGATAACGCTCTCTCTGTCTGTGCGAATTTGTTAGCATACAGTTCTCCTTGCATAAATTAGACAACTCACCTGAGTCCTGCTCCAGGAACCAACAAGGTGCGATGTTACCCGAGATATGCAAATAAGAACCAATCCATTTCAGAAGCTGCGGTTGATGGAACATAGCCGAACGGCTTGTAATCATAGAACATTGCTCTACTGATAGGCGCAGATAGTTCAATATACCACCAGCGCTCAGAAGGATAATCGACGTGGGTATTGCAACTGGTCAGATTCAGGGAAGTCACATGTATCGTGCGTATGCGAAGGGAATGCGCCAACTTAGGCGTCTCAAAAGGGATGAATTGTTGAAGACCGGGGTTGGGAATAACCCCTGAATGGAAGAGTACTTTATATCCTCCACGAATACGACTATCTGTCGTACAAAAAAAGCAATATAAACCAGTCAGCTAATAGAACACCAGAAAGTATCCAGTCATAGCAGTGTTATACATGCATTAGCGGTAAACAAGGCTGAGTGAACAAATTGCTCCTCTGATGTAACCCCTATGATTGGTACAATTCAGGCTATTGCTCGACCTTCGATACAAAGTGCGCTTCTGCAGTAAATCAAAATTTATTTTTGAAAATGTCCATTGCTACTCTTGAACAGGCACATATTTGTTATTCAGATGTCCCTGGAGCACTTGGAGGCATTTCCGAATATTCGGAAAGGAAACATTTTCGTCTAGGGTCAAGAAGTCCGCGCCGTTTTTGACGAAGACTGTAGTAGGCTGTTGCGATATGAGGCTGGTGTAGATCAGGAACGAAGCCGCACCATCTGAAATATTTCCCGAGGTGTCTATACAAAGAGTCAAGTTGATTTCCAATCAACAATCAACTTGATCTTATCGTTGTATATATAGCCCCGGTTATTCTCCCGTCGATAAAAAGAATTAATCAATTTCCTCTGAACTACAACACAGGCAATTCTTTGTTGATACAGGCACTGTGGAGCATAGTGTGCCTTCTGATGTCGACTTGGTAGAACTGGACGGTTGTGAACTGTTGCTTAGCTTTGTGATTCGCCTTGTTCTTACCGTTTAATGGGGAAAAGAAGGTTACCATGATGGTCTCGGTCGAATGCCTGACTTTCCGCTCATACTCCTCGTCCCTGGAGGACATTTATGGTCAAGCCTAACTGTTTCGTCCCACAGAAAGGCAATCGACATACGTCATGAGCTCAGCGACGAAGCCATTCGCCATGTTGATAGGCGCGGAAGTGAAAGTGCGGTTGAGTTTGGGAGAGGTTGCCGTTGTATGGCGCGCAATGAGTTCCAGGTGGCGCAGCGCTAGCTGCGTGAGCGGTTGCGATAAAGATGAGCAAATTGCGGGGCCCGAAGAATGTGACCAGTTGAGGTACAGTATTTAGGCTCCTTTAGCGACCAATTAGATTGTTACTCCTATCGTATAGAAATGCCGCGTCTCAAACTTCAACTAGCCGAAATCAACCAACTGGAATGAGAGTGGCTGCCCGAATGGATTATCTGAGTGGCTAACCTTTCGTCCGGACGGAATGCTAGATAAACCTAATGTAAACCTACAGATTGTGAGGCGAAGCTTACTTTCCAGCCATGACATCATTACTCCCAGACTAATTGGGCGGTTGACACCCTTCCTGCCTTGACGTGCCAGCTGGAATAACCAGTCATCACCGCACCAGACTCTCCCTGTCGCCTGAGTTTACCCAGAACAATCCCCCGCTTAACAAAATAATAGGGGAAAATGATCCGAAACCATTCTTTTCCCCAAATGTACGCCCAGTGAATGCTATCGTACACGTCGCACTCCCCATCGTCATGTCCTCTTCGCACATCATGCTCAACGCTGACCGTCGGTCGCCTAATCTTGATGCCTGGATCCTGGGAAGCGGGATCTCCTCGCTCGCCTCCGCGGTGAAATTGCTCCAAGAGGCGCATGTGCCGCCAGAGCGCATCCATATTCTTGAGTCACAAGGTCTAGTGGGTGGTGGAACGGTCAGTGCTGGTGATCCAGTGAATGGCTATCATTACCTTGCGGGAGGCATGCCGTTATTTAACAGTGTCGGCATAGAGGATCTACTTTCCAGGATCCCTTCAACACCGCGTTCTAGTAAGACGGTACTAGACGACATGAAGGAAGATAATGAAAAGAATGTCCCCAAAGAAGTGCCTCGTACGAGGTTCCTCATCCGGAGGCCGTCTGGATTGCGACTCATCGACGCGAATCGAGCTAGACTAGGTCTACGAGATCGCATCAGCGTGTACATGCTGGCCTCTAAGTCTGAAAGGTCACTAGGGCGATCACGCATTTGCGACCACTTTCGCGACAGATTCTTTAAGACCACTTATTGGCTTACGATGGCTTCGACGTGCGCTACCTCGGTTAATATTTCCCAGGGAGTTATACTAATATCATAGCTAGATTCGGCTTCCAGTCATGGCACAGCGCTGCCGAATTCCGCCGTCATATACACCGCTTTATGCATAATGTTGACCACTTAAACTATTCTCGCCCTCTCGAAAACGGACGGCATAACCTTCATGAGGCCATCATCGCCCCGATTACCGATTTCCTGCGATTTAAAGGTGTCGACTTTCGCTTCCACACTACTATCACCGATATTATTACTGAACCTGCGGACGAACATAACCGTATAACTGCTATCCGTGTGAAGGAAAATAAGACAGACACTACGATTACTCTTAGTCCTGACGACATCATCATCGTCTCATTAGGGTCTGTCATGTCCGGTGCAACAACAGGCACAAACTCGACGGCCCCCTCCATCGAACCCATGGAAATTGAGAAAGACCTGGATGGGAACTGGCTCCTATGGCTAGAACTCTCGAGCAAACACCAAAAATTTGGCAACCCTTATAACTTCTGCACACGGATGCACGAATCCCGTCTCGAATCGTTCACCGTTACACTCAAAACACCTGAATTCTTCGACCGACTTGTCGAGGTAATAGGATATACGGCTGGAAGTGCTACCTTTGTTACCCTGAAAGACAGCAATTGGCAACTAAACTTGACCATCCCGCAACAGCCGTTCTTTCCTGGCCAACCGTCCGACGTGCAAGTGTTCTGGGGCTATGCATTGTTCCCAGAACGTAAGGGCGACTTTGTCGATAAACAGATGATCAATTGCTCTGGCGAAGAAATTGCGACAGAACTCTTCCAACACCTGCAGTTTCCCAGTGTAGGGAAGATACTCCAAAAGATTATTACCATTCCCTGCATCGCCCCACGCATGACAGCTGCCCTACTACCCCGGGCATATGGAGATCGACCAAGAGTGATTCCCGATGGAACGGAGAATTTAGCTCTAGTCGGACAATTTGTAGATGTCGAGGGCGAAGCCGTTTTCACAATGGACTATAGCGTGCGAAGCGCACAGATGGCGGTTAATCATTTGATGGGATTGGGTCAGGACACAACGAAGTCGGGAGGTTCCGGGTATTAGTTAAGCAGGATCAAGTAGAAATTAACCTGAACTGATTCGATTGATTTTATGTTCCTCTAGTTTGTTAGTGCTGGCTAGGACGCTTAACTCGAGACCCACGCCATACGTCATGGACTCATGGGTGGTTACTTTGACGCTGTGAAATACGTAGCTATAAGGCTTACTCGGGTTTAATTCATTTAGTATTATATGTCGGAGCAGGCGATATTGGTATCGGCTAGTGTGGGATGGATCGAATCGGATTGGACTGCTGATAATGACAGGTGTAAGACGCTGTTGAAGCGTAGTGTAGATCTAAGGGGTTCGGTTTGTGTTACGACACCGGTGTTCCGGATGTACCCCGGCTACCATAGAAAATACAAAGGAAAACAGGTACTCGCTTAATAACCTTGTCTCAGCGATAATATAACCCCTTTTGTTTTGACAGCATTTATTAATGCCGATTGAGATTTTCCAATTTCCAGATTTATACCAATGACGAAGAAATTCTATCCGGATAATTTCAAATCCTTTGAAAATCTTCGAAATCCTTTGGCCGGATACTGTAACTGGAACGAATGGCCCCGATGTCCCCAATTCCCTCTTCTCTTGGCAGTATCGAGTGCGGCTGCAGGCTGTCACTTCAATGTGAATCGATAGGTGTGAGAAAGACCGCTTATATTCGCCTTCAATTTATCGAAATATTGTGCTGACTTGACCAATGAAATCGACCAGACAACCAGCTCACGTTGTTCCAAGATAAGTGTGCCACTGTGAGCTTTAAGTGAGCTATATTGAACGGTCACGTAGTTTGTTCGCTAAGATAGTGCCAAAGTCTTGCTACATTGACAAGGGACAGGAGTTTGGGGTCCATGACGGCACATCCATCTAGGGCTCAGAGAATATGTTCAAAGTCTGCGTTATGTCTTAGCATCTCAAGAGGTAGATAAGACCTTTCTGTGTCTTGTCTGTCTTCTTTTTCGAGGCCGCAATCATCTTAATTCTCAAAACCTGTGAACAACGACATACTTCTTCAATCAGTAATAGCCGTCTGGTCGGCAATCATACCTGTGATCACCTACCTATCAAGGTGAAGTTCAATCTCGGGGTTGGATTCGTTTCCTTTGCCACTGGAATCTTTGCGGGCATGGGTAAGTTCTGTTCATCTGCATCCTAATTTCTTAAGCAATTTCCGACTAACGTGACATGAAAAATACCTGGGGACTACACATGCTGGAACAACTCTAGAAAAACAATGACATCGCGTTTCTAAGCTTTTGCTAAAAGTCGAAGAGGGTTTTCGCCTGAGAAGTCACAGTGTCTGAGATTATCTGCTTGACAAACCAGAATTATTCAAGGAAAGTGAAGATAACCTGATTCGCTTCTTTTTAATGTAGTCAATATTGTTTCTGGTAGAAACGGCATGTCTTTTTTGGACAACACTTTTCTCTAATTGCCGACGACGCCTTCGATAGTGCTCGGGACCAAGTATGGGCTCTTCATGTTCATGGGGCCAGACCCATCTGGAAGAGGCATGGCTTTGGGAAAGAAAACGCCGATCGGAAAAAAGAAGAGAGGAAGGATATGAGAAGTATAGTTCAAAAAAAGGGAAAGAAAAAGCCAAGACGAAGAATTCGAAAGGATCTGTTAGGCACAATGAAGACAAGTACAGTAGACCCTGAGCTACGAGCTGATGAAGGGGGGAAGAGTCCCTTTTAAATAGGAGAAAATGGTTCAATAGTTCTGTTTGACTGTCTATTTTTGCATCGAGCGGCTATAAGCGGACAAAGAACGGTATGGCTTCGACGTTACCCTGATCTGAGCCCGAAGCTTTCGGGACAATCCCTGAGCTGATCCCTAAGCAACCTGAGGGACTCCCGGAGTTCTCAGAGAGCGCTCCGGGAGCATACTTCGGGAGCTCAATGTTCAAGCGGGCTGTCTGCGGTCACGGGACTTCGGTGAGTAATCATTTGGTAAATAGGACGCTTAAAATGGCGTCAAACGTAGCCTTTTTCGGCGTCCGATTTACCGTCAGCTAGCTTTGTGGTGTACTATATTCGGCGCTGATTGGGTCAGTGATGCACATAATAAGGGCAAGGGCAATACTAGGATCAATATCTTATCCATCGACAAGCCAAACTGGGTGGCTTCCAATTGCAGTATGCGTCTAGATGTGCGCGTTGGTAAGCGCCGCTGGGCTGTACAGGGCGACAAAGCTCCTTGGGCAATTAGAGAAACCGACTGGGATCAACGTCCGCGGGCTCGGTCAAGGCGAGATGCATGGCCCTCGCTTGGGCATACAGTGCGAACGAATGATAGACGGGTTTCAACTTCACTCGGTCGAGGGTACACTGTACCATCGAGGAGTTAATCAGATTGATCATCAAATCAGAATAGACAAACACCAAAACACCTGCACCCAGAACAGGGAAAAGGTGCCTAGGGGTATTCAACTAAATCACAAAGTCCAAAAGCCTCAATATATGGCTCAAAAATAACACCAGGCTATGCCAACATCGCTATGCAGTCCAAATAGAATCAATCAAATCAAAAACGCCAAAACAGATGTAATGATCAAATGCAATACTCAAGGCCGAGTAGCTCATCAACCGGCTCAGGCTCACGTCGTGAGATGCATCCCGGTCGGTGATGGCATCGCTTGAGGCGATGCGTGGGTTGGGCCTCTGTGGCACGGTACCATCCTGCGTAAGGTGGCTATGTACTACACCCGATTCAGAAAGAAACTTCGTCGGATGTAGTAAGTCTTCGAACCCTGGTGGACAGTGTCCACGCTGGGCGCCAAACGACATCGTGAAGCAAATGCTTCATTCGGCAGTGTAAGGCGAATCCAGAGGTAGGAAGTAAGATCAACCAAACTTGACAACATCAAGATCAGTCTGTGCGTGGAATTGATCAGTTGATCATTCCGACGAGCTTGTGCTTCCAGATGAAGAGGCATCTTCATGGAAGACTTGTTCCGGAGCCTTGAAAGCCACCGAGACCCTGGCGGCCTCGGAAGACGATAGTGGCTGGGTTGGCACGGTGTTCGGAATAGTAGGTACATCCTGAGCCGTGGCGCCAGGGACACTCGTCTTGCCAACGGGGTGGCTAGCTTTTGACTCGGTCGGCGACATGTTCGCCTTTTCAGATCCGCTGGGCTTCATCTTCAGCCGGCCCTGCTCGAGGGCACGAAGTACATTGCCAATATCATGCGGATCGATGGATCGGAGTTTGCTCATAGCATCTTCCGAAACATCAGAGAACGGGTTCCATCCCAGCTTGTCCATTTCCTCACCGGAAGTGGATGACTTTGAAGCAATCGAGGGTCCCGTAATGAGCCGGTGGAGGAATGTGTCCGACACACTAGGTCGACGGGGCATCTTCACCGGTTTGGATTTGGTGCTGGTGCTGGTAGAGACGACATCCTCTTGTTGCCTCTTCGGCGGACGAGCGATGGGAGCTTGGCCGTGAGGACCATCTCCCACTTCATTGCGAATTTTATAGTACACTAGGCCTAGAGTGGCAGCCAGTGCTTGGTGTGCGGCCTCCGGGAAGCGACGAACAGCTTCCTCACGAGTCATATTGTTGGACCCATCACTTGAGCTGCTGGAATCGCTATCATCGGCGAAGAGTTCAGTGGGATTCATGTGGCACCAATCCTGGTAACCACCCAGTTGGTAAAATTCGGCCAGTTCAACCAAACGATGAACTGATCATTCCGAAGTTAGAATGTGAGGATAACGTATTTATCTCTTTCAAAAGCTTACCTCGACTGCGTTTCTTCAGGCACCAGAACCTCCACACAGTACGCGGGAAGTATTTGGGCCATTCGAGGGCACCGTCATCAAGAATAACGGGAACAGGGTTGATGGGAGCATGTGTCGTATGGGCCAGAGAGTTGAACCGGACCCGCTCCGAATGCCTCATCCGTGACTCCATGGCATCCATGCGCATAGTGAAATTCATATCCATTGCGTGCAACTGGCGAGTGATTTTGTGCTCCAAAGTGATGAGATCCGTCCGAAGCTGGTTCGTGGCGGATTGGAGCTTGCTGATATCAATTCGCGCAGCACAAACATCCGATCGCATCTGCTCAGCATCCGTCTGAAGCTGGTCCACGCTCTTCTGCAAACGATCGACATCTCCTCGCAGAAACACGGTCTCAGTACCCGCTTGGCCGATACTGGACTTCAACTGGAAGATACTCGTCTTAATTTGTTCAACATCGGAGCGAAGGGCAACAACATTCAGATCGATACGGTGAGAGATGGCACGGTGATTCTCGAATTCGCGGCGTATGTGTTCGTCCTCGCGGTTGCGGCGGTCAACGTAGCCGTCCTTGGTCAGGACGTTGGACCGCAGCTCGAGCACCCGCGAGTCCAACTGGTTCATACGGTCATGGAGGTGGGTGAGGGATAGTTCGGAGCCGGGCGGTGTGGTCTCGCGTCGAACAGACAGGCGAGGGCTGGACATGGAGAGAGAGGTGCTGGAGGTACAGGAGAGACTCCTTTCCAGAGTCGTCATGGAAGACATGTCGTGATCGGCAGAATGTGGTCGTCTATATCAACATCGTATAGTGGGTTCGAGTATAATGGGGTGTCGCGAGAGCGCTCTAGGCGATGAAGTTGTCCATTTTGCCGTGACAATGTGTGGTGGGTGGGCGATTCTGGGGGGCGAGCAGTAGAAAAGGGCGGGCGACAAAGAAGGGGGTCGCACAGCCTTACTCACCGGTCAGACGGTCGGGTCGCATTGCCAGGTCGACACATCCTTACTCACCCCTGACTGGCCCTCCCCAGGCCTTGGTCATTGTGAGTGGCTACACTACCATTTGAGTCATCTTCAGACAATATTCTACGCAAATTTTTTAGTTTTAATCGATCCATCTGAAGCGAGAAAACCAGAATCAAGATAAAATACCAGCTGTGACAGCAATGTTACAGCAGTGGTCTTCTGTTCCCGAGCTGCACAGCAGACGCTTGGCGTGCAGCAGTGCGACGCATGATTCCAAATAGCCACTCGCCGCCAATCATGGCCAGTAGAGCCGGCCGCAGTGGGGCGCCTCACCAGGCAAGGGGGCCGCTGACTGGTGACTACCGCCCGTCGCCACCGCATGCGCACACACCAGGAAACTCTGCGTGAGGAGGACCCGGCGCATCCGGCGCAATGATGACACCGCGGTATCCGTATTACCAGATGTGAGTTCGCTCACCAGTCAACGCCAAAAATAGACCGTTGACCATCCAAGATCCAAGATCGGACGAACACAATGAGCATAACCTCGATCAGATCGAGTGAATTGTCGGATGCCATTCCGGCTAGTGGTGTCCAGCTCGAGTCTAGATTGACAGCTTTGCAAAGGGCCATTATAATGCGACGACAGATTCGGAGTCACCCAACCTGGACATGCATACCCGATTAGGAAATCGTGATGCCCTAACTCGACATCGCGACTTCCTCGCCAAGCACCCTCAATCTGCCGTGACTGCTGTGACTGCCGTGGCGGTCACCTGGACAGAGAATGAGTCGATCTTGCACCTGTTATTTTGCGATTTCACTCGTTCACGGTTCACGTTGTGCCGCGTTTTCTGCCCCAACTGACCACCATGAGGCCAACCATGCTATGGTCGGGCATCCTGTCATTCGCCTCACTCTTGTCCAACTCGACCAATCCGAGCTCTCAGGTCAACGCGACTGCCCGCTCTCCCTCCAAGAAATCGCTCTTTGATTGCGACTGCTTCACCGTCTCCGGTCCCGACCCAGGCTACTATCAACACTACAAGCTCTGGGACTTTCGGTCGGTCCATCTCAAGAAACCCATCGAACCAGAGCTGCCAAATCCGGATTATGACGATGACGATGACGATGATGAGTGGGAAGATGACGACGAAGACGATGGTCAAGATGAAGCTTCGCAGCCTGTGTTGGGACCCAACGCCATGTGGTTCTTCGAAACCACCTTCGACAAAGATTGGATGAGCCAGCAGTGGGCACGTTCACGTACCCCCAATTCTCCGGTGGACATGGTTAACTCGAAGCGGAACGTTTTCTTCACGAGAAACTACGAGGTCGAGGACCCTCATGCAACATATCTTGCTCTCAGAACCACCCGACATGAGAACTATACCTCCACAGCGGAAATCGAGACCCGAATCCGTAATGTCTACCGTTGTTCCCTGCGTGTACGCCTTCGCATCCTTCCAGCCGGGATGGCAGTTGCGACTCCATCGAGCGTGGTGAAGGAATGGCCACCGCGAGAACCACAGCAACACGCTATCCCGGCCCTAAACTTCCTACCAACTGGTCCCAAAACTAATGCCACATCCCTCACCGACGGCAAACCCCATTCCGGTGCATGCGTTGGTATATTCACGTACCATTCTCGAAACTGCGAATCAGACATTGAAATCCTGACGAGCGATCCGTCTCATCGAGTGCGATACGCGAACCAGCCAGATTACGACCCCGTCACGGACGAAATGATCCCCGGGGCAAGCACAATCGCAGACTTACCAGTCCCCTGGACAGACTGGTACACTCATCGATTGGACTGGCTTTCGGATATATCGCAGTGGTGGGTGGACGACAAGATCCAAGAGACAAAGAGATACCAGGTGCCTAATCTCCAGAGCAGACTGGTGATCAACCTTTGGAGCGATGGCGGCGTATGGACAGGTGACATGAAGCTTGGTGATAGCATTTTCCTGGGTATCGAGTATATCGAACTCGCTTATAACCGATCTTCGGATGGATCCAACGAAGTCAACATCCCTCCCTCACAACGACATGGTGGACATCAACGACCCAATGTCAATGCACCTGCCGCAGATATCGCGGATATGTTCGAGGAGTCATGGGAGCCAGACACGGACAGGGTTACGAAGGCTATGAAAAAGAATAAGAAGAAAAAGGGACAGCGGAAATGTAAGAAGGGTCGCAAAGGCGACAAGTGCAGAAAGAGAAAGAATAAGCCCAAGAAGCCACACAAGGACCCGAGTCAAAGTCCGCATGAACCGTCTTGTCAGAGGGCTTGCTATATTGATGGCGAGAACTTCCGAGATGAGGTCTTGGGCTGATGCGTCTATCTTTATTCTATCTTGTTCCCTGTTCGGGGTGCTTTGGTGGTGTTGCTTTATTTTTATAAAAGCAGATGAGCTTTGAGCGTCTTGGAATCCAAAATTGATATTGACTCGGTTTACCGTAGGTACTCGTACAGTACTTCCCACTCTTCACTCACCAAACAGTACACGCTCGTAATACTTAACAGTACAATATCGAACAGGCATCAATCGAACCCAAGGAAAGAGTTTAATGTCGATGCTATGTTAATGCGATAAGAAATATTCAAGGCTGGAGGGGAGCAAGCTGCCATGCACCATGAGATCAGGGTCATAGGTATGCTGCTTGCAACACTTCAACTGTCAACAGGGGGGTATCATTCACTCATTCAAAACATCAACCGTCAATAAAAAGAGGACGGGGAAAAAGGACAAAAAGCCGAGCTCCGGACTATGGTTGTCGCGCCCCATCCTTTCCGATTCGCCATGCACGCCGAATAAAAAAAATCAACACACTTGTAACCCGTAAACGCCAGACACTCGGTCCCGATGATGATGATTATGATGACAAAGAAGCTTTAGAGGGATTTTGTTCGAACACCCTTGGGATGATTGAGAAAGTGAGAGGGATGAGCTGGATCGCTCAGAGAAAAATGTTGCCCAGTTGGTCAACGGGAGAGAAATCCCCATGAAGGCCGCCATTGATAAGCTCCGCAACAATCTTCTTGCGTAGCAATCGCGTGTCTGTAGGTCCAAACGCAGTCGGTTCGATGCCCAAAGCAATGGCCTTTGCATTTGTGAGAAGGAACACACCGCAATCGCTACCATTATCTTGCTGAGAAGAAACAGCTTGGAGAATATTCCATTCGCCCTCGTCGTATTTTGCTCCAAGTTCGCCGCAGAGCCATTGTTTGATGATTTTAACTTGCTGAGCACCTCTAGCGCCCAATGAGTCAAAGTACTCGATGGTACGGTCTGCTGGCCGCACTACCAGGAGAGTCCAATGACTTGACTGGTGAACAGGGATGAAGACAGTGTCCACATCCAGCAACGACTCGCCACCAATCTTAGCTCGGTTCGCCCAGCGGCGTACACTCTGGTACCCTTTATCCCGCAGATTGGAATAGAAGAATGTGTTGAAGGCGTGGTAGCGTGGCTTTTCATTGCCAGTGTTCCCTGTAGACTGGCGGAGGTACTGAACTAGAATTGTCAGGTAGGAATTGATGATTTCATCATTGAGCCATGACATTTCCCTGAGGCAAGTTAAAATATCTTTGGGATAGAGATCGTCTCCAGCCGGTATTCGAGCAACTGCACGGTCCGGGGACCTTCGCATGGCAGCCACAACCTCCTCAGACCACGCCGACGAAAGTTTACGGACAGCAGGTCCTTTTGGGAATATACGCGTGGGCCGGAGCTGAGCCCGTTCGCGTTCTCTTTTCGCTTTTTCGCGTGCCGCCAATTCCGACGCCCAAGGGGACTCAATACGACCGGGCGGGATAGCTCTCTGCTCCTTGTAGTCCCTGGAGAACAGTGATACCGCCGAAAGTGGTACTCGCTCATCTGCGATAGAGCGTCGCATCCACGGATCCAGGATTTCCATATCATATTGAAGCGCTGGCTTGCGAATGGCTTTCGCTGGGGCAGTCGAAGGGGCCACGGCACGCTTTGGCGATGGTGTGAGGGTCAGGGTCGGCTTCGGATGTAGGTGCGACCCCAGTTCAGTGTGCAATATTGGTAGCGTCTGAGCTACAAGTTCGACCTCCTCAAGCTCCGCGGTTGGAACATCTTTAGAGGCCACGCGAGGGCTTTGGGGCGGCGATTGAGGTGGCGTTGGCGGGAAAGCGCCAGGGATTGACATGAATCTGTCTGCATTTTGACTACCTGGAGCGACCTTTAGCCTCTGCGATTCCATATCCTCGAATGCTGTTAGTTATACCTGAACGATCCTTTGCTAGCCTTTGCGCACCAGGAAGATCATGGGTGTCTGATGAGACTGTGGGACTCGTATAGATAGCTGTATCCGACTTGCGTCGCTGCAATAACTTCTTGATCCAATCCATTTTGCGTTGACCGTAACCTGCGCCAGGTCGATCTGATGCGGGAGGTGTGCGGATCGACAAAGGCGCGCGCGCGGGTGGCTGGAGGGCGGCTTAAGATGAAAAAGACGAATGGTGACTGAGATGAAGAGAGGGAAGCGGTAGAAGTGAGCAGGCTCCAGCTTCCATCGCTGAGAGGGCACCTCAGCGAGTCGGTCCTGATCGCGGAGTTGCGAGAATGATGGAGCGCGACGTCCATTTCATCATGGGCGCTGAGTCATCACTGCCGAGCGCGCGCCGATCCACCTGCAGCCACTCTTTGAAGTATAGAGAGGAAAGACAAAATAAAAGTGAGCATTAGACACCGATTATTTCCAAATTAAAGGGCCCATAGCCCTAATTCAATTGCTTTTATTCTATTATATATGAATTTGCTTGATTTATTCTAATACCAGACTGCTCTGATGGTTTCAATGTAGCATGAAGACTTTAAAGATACAAAATCGCTCGCGGTACAGTATGTACATACCTATGTCTCTGAAAGACGCTCTTCCAGCAGATCCCGCTAGACTAGAACAGTCCCGACACAGGGGAGTGCTTGTATGGAAAGAGAAAACTCCACGCAATGCGATTAACTGGGAACTCCGAGCCCGAGCAACTCGAACACTGGTGGCGCGCCATTGATGACGATCCATGGGATTCCTGTTTGTATTGTACTAAGTAAGCGGATGCGAAAGAGCTTGAATGGGGCGGAAAATGCACACACCTGCATAGACAACCAGCTTTGTCACTACCTCCACGTCATATCGTACGCGAGGCTTCTTAATCTGAGAGAACACCTCCTTCTCATCTGTTCGGGAGGTACTGACTTCGGGAGGGGGAAGTGGCGATGATCGGGGGATATTATCATCCTCCACGGCAGCTGAGTTTGGACTACCCCTACCCATCATGTGCTCATAGTGGTCGAGCTTTGAGGTTTTTCTGTTCAACACGGGAGTGCCGTTCGGCTTGAAGTCCACATCCGCGGGAGATTCGCGGCTGCCTCCCGATTGGCTTTCACGTCGGCGCTTCTCTCGATATGCCAATGTCTCATATGCATCGGCTTCGGACTGTGGACCGACGGAGATAGCGCGGCGTCGTGGATGACGGATGGTCGTGATGATTGATGGGATGTCGGAGAAGTTGGGGAAGACTTCGTTGTCTTTCAGATTAGATGGGACCGTGGTGTAACGCCTGCATATTTAGGTTAGAGTATTCAAATCAATGAGACATAATTTGAGAACACTTACGAAGCAGTTGTGAAAAATCGCCGGGGCAGAAGGAGACCGAGCTTCTCCAGGCTGCGGAAGATAGGCGGCAGGATGCGAAGCAAAGTAGGCTTTGTGATCTCCCTCCAGGCAAAGACACACAGAACTCCTACCACAAGACGCAGGGTCGTTTTAGCAATTCCGATGCTCTCATAGTCGAAAGGGATGGTGCCAGGGAGAGGATAATCCCAGGCGAGGCTAGATCCAGTAAAGTACCATGAGCCCACGTCCACGCCCAGTGTTACTCCCGCAAAGGCGACGCTGTCATCGAAACACGGGCAGTCATCAGCCGGTTCTGGATGGATGCGAACTAAGACCAGGATGACAATTGGAATCACGAGAATTTCCTTCATGTTCGCCGTGAGAATATAGTTGTCGAATGCGGGACCCAAGCTGAATTGCGCAAGACCAATTAGTGCACCCAGTACACACCCAACAACAACATCCAGCATACCATGCATACCACAGTACAGTCGGCCCAGCACGATCGATGTCACGTAAAGGTATGTGATGATCTGGAGGATCAGACTAGTCTGCGGACTGACGGTCGAATCGGCGGAGTTGAGAAGTAAGATCGCGTAAACGGCTACCGAGACGGCATTAGTAGAGTGCGTGGACGGGAATCCATATTCGAGAGCGGCTGATCCGGAATGGGTGATGCGCTGGAGAGGCGGAGATAGTGGCCGGGGAAGACATAGCAAGTCCTTGATGAAGCCACTGAAGAAAACACCTGCGGCAAGGATGTGTACAAGTCTGCGCGCAAACTCATCAGTAAGGCATTATTCTTCCACTGCATCTTCTTGTTCTTGCTCGGCGATCAACATACCCACGACCTAAGCTAGTGTGACCACACCAGAAGAGGAATGGCAGGAAGACCATGAAAAACGTGTGGGTGCCGAGGTTCGCGGTGAACGCAAAGTACGAGTCCAGCGTCGGGGTGCGAACCTTCTCCTGCACCCAGGCAAGATATGGCGTTTCATATCGGATCAATGGGAGGAGCTTTTGTCGAGGCCAGTAGCGCCAGAGAGGTAGTCGGCTTGAATCTGTCGCAAGCCGCAAACGGAGCCATGATTAGCGATTGTCGCGACAACGCGGAGGGTCAGGGTTCAGTATGGGCGAAGGGCGCGCAATGTAGCAGCCGACACGTACAGTGATTGAGACTCTTCAGCCCAGCATCGGGCTGATCCTTCGCGGGTTTTCCCATCGTGCTATCGATCCGAGGTGCGATTAGAGGGACCGATGATCCATATACGGGCAGGCCGGTGCCTGCCGCTCGATTCGGTTACTTCGAGTCTCAGCGCGTGGACATAAGGAGCGAATGAAAGTTGGATGCCTGGAAGAATGAGGAGACTTTTAGGGTGGGAGGATGGTCGTGAGGCTGCGAAGGCCGTAGACTCGGGGAGATCGCGGCCGCGGCTCTTGGCTGTTGGCCCCTGATGTCCCCATGTGTGGGCTTAGTCATGACTGCGGCGGCGACAACGGTGTTGCAGTGAACATCGTGAAAAGAGAAGCATACTAGTACAGAAGGATGACAACTATTGGTTTTACTCCTACTAAAAACTTGATTATATTTCTCAAGTTGAGATTATAGTTCTTCCTCGTTTTCCAGCGAATCTTTGATGGTCCTTCAATATATATTGTCGGGAGGGGATCCACATACCTCCCGGAATATACTCTGAAGCCGGTTTCTAGATATGGTGTTTGATTGCACAGACCAGTGTCCACACGATCTCAAACTGGGCGAGTATAAATAGAAGCTAGCCAACGACGAGCAACAATCGTGTGGTACCTTGCACACATCGCAGAAATGATGTAGCACTCGACGAGTGCTCGGTGTGCCTTGACCTGCATAGTTCTGCGACAGTGGCGCTTATTACGACGTAAGATTTCCGATCTGATGGAATGGAGGTATCTCGGCTGAAATCTCCATTGCACCGCCTCTGCCCCCAACGTTTTAGCGATTTAGTTCCCCGCCACTCTGTCTTGATTACCCCTCTAGAGGGGTGTATAGTTCACATGACACGGCCGCCCCGAGGCAGAACGATCCGGTTTCCTGGAGAGCTGAACGGTGGGGATGTCGAAGAGGGGCATTTGGTGGAGGCAGGATGAAAAAAGCAAACGGATCGGAGCAGATCGAATCAAGTTGAAATTGACAGGCACAAGCCTGGGCGAATCGTGCAGAGCGGAGCCCTGGCGTCATCGTCGGACGGCCGTTGCTATGGCAGCGCGGGTGTAAACACGGGTCTCGCCCAGGACGAGACCCTCCCAGCAGTCGATCTTTATCAAGATCTTTTAGATCACGCCTTCCTCCTTCTCTTTGTCAACTCTTCTCACATCTCCCTTTGTCCTCGACATTCTTCCCCTCGACGTCAACAACAACTTACCCAGCGATACCACCGCCTTCATTCCGGCCCGATAATAAGCCGTCAACGCCTGGACCCGCGACCCGCATTACAACAAGGGGGTTCCATTCCAACCTGCCAAACACACCATGAGCCAGATGTATGACGAGAATTACTATGCGGCTTCGCGACGCCGGTCTCTCGCAACTCCTCCTCCATCCATGTCTCCGCGCCACAGCCGTACCCGCAGCCACAGCGTGCGAGTGAGCAACGGCACCGCCAGCACCCACACCAGCTTCTCCAGTGCTCAAATGTCGGAGGCCACGAATATCACTCAACCGCCCTCCTACTCAAAAAAGTTTGTGGTGGTCGGCGATGGTGGATGCGGCAAGACGTGCCTATTGATTAGCTATTCTCAGGGCTATTTCCCCGAGGTAGGTTCTCTTCTATACTCCAGATTCCTTATCCATGGTTGAGGCGCGGGGTGATACTAAAACTAGTGCAGAAATATGTCCCCACCGTCTTCGAAAACTATATCACCCAGACCACGCACCGACAGTCGGGGAAGACAGTCGAGCTAGCGCTGTGGGATACCGCTGGACAAGAAGAGTACGACCGCCTGCGTCCGCTGTCTTATCCCGAGACCGACCTTCTCTTCGTCTGCTTTGCTGTTGACTGCCCCGCCTCTTTGGAAAATGTTATGGACAAGGTAAGCTACTGGATGTTTTCGACTTCATTCCATTAAATCGCTCTAACAAATGCGTAGTGGTACCCTGAAGTTCTGCATTTCTGCCCGACAACCCCCATCATCCTCGTCGGCCTCAAATCAGATCTCCGCACTAAGCGAACTTGCATCGAGCTCCTCAAGACACAAGGCCTGACCCCAATCACCCCAGAGCAAGGCCAAGGCGTGGCCCAGCGGATGGGTGCTACCTACGTCGAGTGCAGCAGCAAGGAAATGCGCGGTGTGGATGAGGTCTTCGCAAAGGCTGTCGACACCGTCATTTCCATCGAGGAGCAAGGCTACATGACTCAAAAGTCCTCATCGCATTCTCGCACAAGTAGCAAGCCTTACGCCGGCGGAATACGACCAGGAAAGAAGATTAAGAAGCGAAGCTGCAAGATTTTGTAAACTTTCCTTCTTGCACGTCTACTCTCTTCATGACCAATCCTTTCTTCCTTCGTTTCTCACCCCTGGTCCGATCACAAGCCTGGTTGCTTCATCGGCTTGCTTGTCTACTCTGCGCAGGACAAAGCTGGACATGAACTGCAAAAAATTTCCCTTGGCGTTGGGGGACGCTGCGCGCCCTTGACCGATTTGTTCTTTGCTGGAGGCGGTTTTCTGAATTGTTTTATTTTTGCCCTTCGACTGTTGATCGCTTGTATTTCCTTTCTTGTATTTTCACCTCATGACCCTTGTCTTTTATCTTTCCTTTTGCTCTCATGACCTGGGTCGTTGCCCTTTTGCGGCATGCATGGGACTGGTGTTTCTCGCTTATGTTACCTTACCTGATACGAATTTAGCAATTCAGCATTGCATTTCATAGGAAGCTGTTATTCGTAGACTCGTAAGATTAAAGTGTAGAGACAGAGAGTGTATTTTTTTTCTCTCCTGAATATGCTGGAAAAATGGTATCTCAACAATGAAACTCGAACGCTGAACATACACCAGAACCAAACACGAATGCTGATTAGCATTTTCACTGGCTGACAGTCGACTCCCCTTCTCCCTCCTCAGGCTGGTGCTGACGCTGCCCGCCTGAGTTTCCATGTTCTCCACTCTCGCCGCTGACCTTTCGCTTCCCTTGACCAGCCTCCTCGAGCTCCTCTTCGGGCCGGCCCATGAAGTTCTCAAACTGCGACCAAAGAGCCTCAACAGACCCAAATTCATTGCCAACCTATTAAAGCCCAGTTAGCGATCCCAAATTAGTATTTGATGTCGAGCAAGGGGTAAAACGTACGGTAATGATGCTCTCCAGGTTTCGGTTCAGGCGGTTCATATTCTGGAGTACCTGCTCCATGCCCTGTGCCAGAAGTTAGAGTCACGACAGATATCACGGGAAAAAGATGCGGGCAGCATAGTTCTTGTCACTCACCACCGCAATTTCTCGAACCAATTCCTCACGTTGTTGCTCAAAGACAGTGGGGGATGCAGCGCGTCCGCCAGAGCCGGGGGTTTCCGAGATCCACCCCATGACCGATATTGAAGGGAAGATTGTTGGGGAGATTTGACGAATGTGAGAAGTCTTTTGCAGCCACAGGTGGGAGTAGCACTGCAGGCCAAGGCTGTTGCGTCTCGCGGTTGTGTGAGGGGCCGGGTTGGTTGGCACTCAATTGGGAGGATAGGGTCCGAAACGCGATCGGGATTGAAATTGCGGCTCGAGAACGGTAGCGGAGGTCAGGCGCGCGTCGTGCTTCTGTTGTGTTCTGCTGGCTTGTTTTTGCCGTGTTTTGGAGAAGGGGACGCCGTGGTGGGGCTTGCGCATATGATAAGAGATCCGATTAAGAAAACCCTCGCACATCAAAGATGGAGCGGTCATGTGACTAAAATAGCGTTTTATACGCTGTCATGTGCTAAAGAATCATGTTGTTCATAATGTAGACTGGAGTTCTCGACGTAATCTTGATATTATATTTACACAGTTGCCTTAGGTTTTTTTCTTTTTCTTCGTCGATTTTGGATGCTTGTCGAGACTTATCGGACTCCCCACACTGAGTCGCAGCATCATCATTACCAGGATCTTTACTTCGTAGGATAAACTGAACGATATTTCACAGATATAAGCAGAATGGTACTGAATTGACAGTGATTGGGAAACGGTTACCATTTACGCAAAGGACATTTCTGCGCTGCGGTAGACTGCCCCAAAGTTTCAACATCTCTTTCTTGTTGCAACGCAGGAAACACACAGGCAATCATCTGCTGAATATCCATGATGTAATCTGGAATCTCGAGGTATCATATTATTATTGTCATTTGTCAACGATGGTAGCCTTGTCAGTTCGATACCTGCTGCAAATGCTTGTCCAAAAAAGTATCCAAGAGCAGTACAGCGTGGATATCTTCAACCACCACTTGGTCAGCGAGTATATCGAGCTAATTGAATGAACACTATGAACGAGGAGATCCAACAGATCAAAGACCTACCTTAGGATACTGGGCATCAACAGAGATGTTAACCAAGTAAGCTTAACCCTGATTGAGTTTCGACCCGGCAGCTGACAGGAACGGCTGCATCGCGTACAATCTGACATTCTCGACCACTGGACTTGCCGCCGGCAATAGAAGAAGCTTACTATAGTCACGAAAAAGGACTCGATCAAGGGCCATCAGGATAGGACCATTCCGGTCCCGCGCCGCTGAGCTCCATAGCCTTTAACCTGGCTCATTTCTATTTTCAGATGCAAATGTCCCCTTGATCACCCGGCTCGAATTATGCATTGTACAATTCTGAAAAAGAGGGTATACTTCCATGTCGTTTTTACCACCAATTCCAATTGAAAAGAGATCGAAACACAACAGTGAGGTACACAGGATGGCGATGACGACAACAACAAACTCTGTCAAAACCCAGACAGCTATTCTGCCGCCCGATCCTCGAACCGCGATTCCCTCACGAACTTCCACCAGACGTTGTCAAAATCCTCGATCTGTGCGCAGTAATCACCAAGACAGCGTGTCAAAGGTACCAAATGGCTAGGATACATTGCCAATCGACAGGGTCGGCAATACCGCACTTGCACCCTCGACCGACAAAGAAGATTGCCCGCCTTCGACACCATCCAGATTATCTTCTTCGCTGAGGTCTTTTGAATGACTCCCGGTTCCGAGAACAGCGGCGGCTCCGCCTGGCATTGTAACTCGCATTGTTCGTGATGGAACTCCACACTACGGATTGAAGCTCCAATTTCTGGAGTGGATCTGTTATTTCTTTCTTGCGATCCTCGTACGGGATCGTTAATCTTGACGATCCTTTGATTGGATGGATAGGATATTTTGTGCTGGACGTTACAATCTAATCTCCCTATCGGAAGCACGCCCACGCCCTACAGTAAATTCATCAACACCGTGTCTGTTTTCGTTGGGAATTGTCCTTTGGAATTAGAATATCGACGGCGATTTGAAGAACTGAAGAGTCTGGTGGAGCAGAGTAGTATAGGATGTGCAGGGTTTTCTCGTGAAACATCCACTACTATCATGTCCTACTCTCATTTCCGAAGGTACACTGTGACCAGCGGGGTTTACCTTAAATAGTATAGCAAACAGAGTTCTACAGTAGGATTATTAGCAGCCCGTTGGCTCGCTTCTGACATGATCGGCAGTCCCAATTATCGCGATGCCGTGGTTCGCCGTATCCTGTAACCTGGGTCTAGACGTGGCATATAATAGATTGCTGCTGGTGGAAAACTTCCAGAACGAAGTGGGGGACCAGATCATCAATTTGCTTGTCGAGCACCTGTGGGCATATAGCGATAAGACCTCGGTCGAGGCATGCTTGTAAATCATGCAAATGGAGCCCTGAGGACCGTTTGGGGATGTAGTCCCAAAAAACCCATCAAAATGAGAAGACATAGAATGGCGCACGGTAAAGAACACTTGTGAAAATCGGACAGTGCCTAGAACGCCTTTAATTTCCAGAGGTCTCAGGCACATGTACCTGGGAGCCATTTCACGATTACCGACCAGTCCAGTCCTCCAATAGTTTGCGGCTAGTGTCGTTGCGCCCATGGACGCCAGTTGGGCCGGTGGCACAGCCTGCCAACCACCGTCCGGCGCCGGGCCCGGACAAGCAGCCAGGGCCCACAGTGTACCTGAGGAACCCAAGGAACCCAGCGCCCCCCGCAACGATACATGATCCAGGACCTGGCCCAGGGCCTGTCTCAGATCCACTGCCTCTCGCGTAACGGCGCGATTCAGACTGAATCGATGCAGAGGGGTTGCTGATTATTACAGTGCAAAATTGATTTCTAGGGCGGATGCGGATGTAGATGCGAATACCACCTGGGGGCGAAGAGCGGAAGAGCCAAGGGCGAGATCGGCAGAGCACAGCACGTGAAGGTTGCTTCGAGCCTTTCTCTATACAATTCTATGTGAATGGCGACGTGTCCAGGTGTAAGGGGAGGACGTCTCAGAAACAATCAGGATATTGTTCGGTCATGGACTCCATTGTATCCACTCCAGTAAACCAGTATGCCCAACAATTTACCCTCAGGTAAGTAAAAAAAAAACCTCATCACATCGTTATCCCGGGGAGGGGAAGCAATGCTGCTGCGTCCGCATCCGCATTCAGGTCCACGTCCACGTCCATCGCCTTGCCTTGCCAATCCGACCAGCTTAATCAAACCGGCCGAGGGTGCAACCAGCCCCTCCCTCATTTTCTTTGCTTTCCCCTCGGGAGGGGTTCCACCCAAGTCCAGTGGGAGGGTTTGCTTCGTTTGCTGCTTTGCTTTCCATGTGCACCACACGCGCATGGATCCGTAACTCCGTTTTGCCCATGTATCCTTTCGTGAAAAAGTATCCGGTAGGTCATGATATCCGTAATCGTGTCATTCGTATCCCTCAGTACGTTGAGGGGAGATGAGGAGGGAAGAGATGTGTTTCCGTATCGAGTCATAGTAGATCAAGAGGGCAAATCGGGTTAAGAGTTGCGTCGCGGTTGTGCGAGCATGTTGCTGAATCTCTTCCACCGCTGTGTCGGCGAGGTCGAGTTGACTCGACCCAGTTGTGCTTTGTCCATGGGCTTAGAGGACTGCGTGGAGGAACGCGGGCGACTGCTGATGGTGGCCTCGTGATCGGCGAGGACATCCTCGAGCCGAACGTCCGAGTCGGACATGCGCAAGTGCGAGTCCTTGGGATCGAGGATCTCGATGAACTTCGAAGGAGTATCGCGCATCGCGAACGAGTGTGTTCAACTTTTTAGACTCAAGTTCGTTTGCAAGTGGGTGTGCAAGTATATAGATGTGGGATGAGACAGCGAATGTCGCAAGTAAGCGCGGGACTGTGCAGCGCGTTTCACTTTCGGAGGGCAAGCGAGGGAATTTGGTTTTTCGGAGGAAGAATAACACGAACGAGGGCGAGGTAGGGGTTTTTTTTAAAAAAAAAAGTAAATAAGAACAGGAGATTAGTACCGAATATTTGGGGAAATGCGGGAGTCCACGGTTGAGTGTTCCATGAGGAAGTGGAGACTGCAGATCAGGGGAGGCAAACGAAGATTTGGGTCCCTTGTTTAGCGAGGCTTCTGTCCCTGACGCCGTGTACAGCGTACTCGAAGTACTGCGGTGTCTGTGCCAGGCAGACGCTTAAGTATATGTGCAACGTCTTGCTCTTTGGCACAGCATCGCATCGCATCCCGATAGCTCAGTCTGATGAATCATGCACACCAGACCCCACGCGCACGCAGAATTCCCTCTTTCGGCGCAGGCCTGCTGATGGACGATGGGCACGGTGGGTGCGAGCAAAACGCAGGCAGGATCAGCGGCGGCCATCCTCCACTTTCGAACGCCGTGGCGTCTGCATTCCGGCCACTGGCCGTTGGCGAGGGCGAACCCGCGAGCAGTCATGGTTTGTTCGATCGGCGTGGAGCCCGGTGGAGAGGGCACTTGCGTGGCCCTGAGAGGGTCCCCGACGACCATGCGGAGAGTTTCGAGGGTGTCAGGGTGGGCTCTGTGTGTCTTTGTGTGTGCGTGGTGTGGACCCGCGTTGGGAAATGCTGAACACCGCAACTTCTGCACGGAGGAACCCGGCGGCCCCCTGCGGTGCGCTAGTAGCAACCCCCAACTCCATCGCTGGGCCTGGATGGCCGCCAACCTGGGGACGAGGGTGGTTCAGTCGGACTAGTGTTTGGTCTAGCGCACACGAGCAGACCCTAAGGTGCCATGACGGAGTGTTCTGTTTTGGGTCTGCCTTACCCTAGGGGAATATGGTGTGTAGTCCTGAGGGGGTGTCCCGAAGGGAAAGGGCGGTTGCATGACGTCGGGGGCTCCAATCTTATCGCGCATTCGCCTTCGACGGGGCTTCCGTACTTCTGCGATCGCCTTTTCTAATTAAAGAAGCATCACGCATCCCCCTTCGCCATACAAAGGCCATCCCCCTCCTCCAGGTGGATTGCCCTCCGTGATATTCGGTGGAGAGCATCACTCAACCGCGGCGCGATAGACACGCCCATCCGTCAGCCTTCGTCGTCAGATTCGCCCCCGGGGCACCGCCACATGGACCCCAGCTTCGATTGCGGGAGAACCAGCTGATAAAGGAGGCAGCAAGTAGGAAGCCGCAACGGTGGCCGGTATATTTGAAATGAGGCGCAGAGCTCAGCTCGAGGGAGTGCAATGGACGAGGCAATTCTGATGAGTTGCAGAGTTGACTGCCAACGAATCTACTCGGACAAACGGGGGCCGCTCGGAAAGAATACACTACGTACCACTTTGGCAGTTGCAATGGCTTTGGCAGTGCTTACTCTCCACACCATCGGTACCTTGATTAGTCCGAGTCAGACCAATAATGGGCAACGCATGAATCTGCATCACACGAGGCGTGCGCATTCCTTAGTTTCCTACTGAGTTCGTACGTTGCTATGACCGCCCCAGGCCGACGAATCACCCCATTGCGAAGAACTATACGGGAGGCCGAGGTCCAACATTCAAATTGAAACAAGCCACCCTCGGTCAGCGCAATCCCGTAGCTTCCTGCTGACGAGTCTACCCCAAGCCCCAACCGCCTAACCCAGCGGCAATCACGCATATGAGATACGATGCACCGCCTGACTAGCCCACGCAAGTTCTACGAACCTGTGGCGAGGATGACCAATCAAAATTTGGAAGATCGCTCCGAACATCTACAGTATTCCTGTGACACTGTATAGTAATGTGGTAACTCGGTGAAGGAGAGAGAAAACCCCCACCTAGGCTCCCCCACCACACCATGGGGCCATGATTGGAGTAGTGCATCAGAGGCCGAATCTTATCACCCGGCCGGTGTTGGTACTGCTGGGGAAGAGATGAACATAGCTCCACGGCCGATCAAACCCTCCAACAACCCCACTCCAACTATAAAAGTAAAAAGGGTTGAAACATTCATATGATGCGGGGTATGGGATATCTGAGCTCCTGTCCGGCTCGCTCCTGTTGGGGAATCCTGTATAATAGGTTCCATATACACAAGGCATGTACCTCGAGCAAAGTACATCCAAAGTATTCGCTCTCGGCACCCCCACTGCACATCGATACCCAGCGAGACGATCAGACCAAACTGATCGACAATATCGGATACCTGCTCTGAGAATTCCCGACCGACTGCTTTTCGGATTGTCAGTGGTTCGTGGGGTGGAGATATCTGCCCTGCTGTAGGGCACAACGGTAGGCTACATACAGTAGTACTTAAGGTACTGTAGAATGTACACAAGTGCCGAAGTGAGATTCCCGCGATTGACACATGTCTTGCAGATTGCCCCTGAAGGAATCGGATTCTTGTCGCTAGGTTTAAAGTGCCGCCACATCACCGATGTGCGCGTTTTCTTCATCAATTGTCGCATAGATGGCAACACTGAAGGCGTCATCTCAGAGGCACCCGGAAAATATCTATAAATGGACTGACATTGATTGGATGCTCGTGGAGAGGCAGCTACGTAAACAGAACGATCTGCTCTGTGGTGACAGAAGCTCACAATCAAGGAGAATCGCCTAGATGTTGAGCTGATCCTCAAGGACCCAGACTCTGTTTTCGTCGCGCAGTGAGTGGTCTCAACGACACTCGTGGACGACCTCGGACACGATATTTCATCAAATTTGACCAATCCGCTGATTGAACTCTCAACGGTGCCGAGTGAGCCTAATGGCTATAATTTAAAGTATTATGAAAAGGTACTCTGATGATTTCAGTTACCTATCACCCTGGACTGGACCCCTGCCCCAACGGTGCCGACCGCAAATTCGACAAAAGGAAATCATCCATCGTAAATGGGAACAAATTTGAAAATTCGAAAGACCGGATTCCTGATCGAAGGAGCTCGAAATGGCCCACAGCGCATCCCAGTCGAGGCCATCGAAACCATGCTGGGCAATGGGGAGACTGGCTGTATCCCTGCTGTCATTATTACCGTATTTACTCTTGCTGCTGTTGAGAAGCTTCTCCAAAAAGATCTCCAGAACCGCAACGCATCGGGTCGCCGAGTCGGCTAGGATCCCGTAGGTCTTCAGAACCCGGAGTGCCGCATTCCATGTCAATTCGGCCTTAGTTTCGACCGTGGAGGAGGCACCCTCCTCGTCCTCTAGGAAACGCTCGACGAGAATTATCATGGTAGCGTTGTATACATCTAGTTGATCACGCCCCAGTTTGTCAGCTAGAAGAGCTCGGAGAAGAACAGGTCGCTGGAATATGGAACTAACAGAGAACGGAATACACCAGTTGGGCAACGGACCTAGTAAGGTCTGTCGGTCAAGATGGCGGTCGAAGGTTTCGATCAGCTCAAGGTGCAACGCGGAAGCTAATGCGGGCACATTGTGCCAATATTACTTCAGACAGGCTGGAATCGTCATAGGAATCATATGGGTTTGTTTTCCGGACAAGAGTCCACGGTCGTAGTCGTGGCCGCAGTGACTCCGCGCATGCAATAACAGATCACAGTCGGACGGAAGAGGAGACGGCGCGCGTGCAAGAAACTGCTTGAACATTAAGAATTAAAATCTGGAAAGACCTGCTAGGAAAACCCACCGAATTATCAAGACTATGACTTGTCGTTTCAGGATCTTATTGCCTTCGACAGCAAGTCGGGGACAAAGAAAATCGGGAATGACTTGTTCCATGCATGTAGTTTACCGTCGATTTGGAGATATGCTTCAGTTTACTCTCAATGCCTTCGCCCTTGGAGGCCTTGAGGTACATGTCGACAAGGATTTCGTCAAGAATCTGATATAGCTCCACGTCTTTCATGAAAAATGCCATCCTACACGGTCGTCCATCTGGTCGGAAAGGCGAGCCTATCATCTGGGATTCGAAAAACTCATCATTGATCATCGATGGCAACGGGATAGAATTGAACAGCCAATTGGGTGTCATGCTAGGGTGGCCGAAGGTGGATGAGAGGACACTGAGATGGGTGAATTAGCAGGCGAGTGGAGAAGTGCAAGCACACTGGTATGGTTAAGCAACGACACTCTCTTACCGATCTAGCCAGACACGTCCATGCCAGGTGCGACGTTGATACTCCCCATAACTCGCTGTCTCTCGAGAGCGACCATGGTGGGCCAAATGGATTCCGGGAGTACATCATCCTTTTCACATTTCCGGAAGGATACAGGTTCATCTTTGGAGAGACATACGGTCTTTCGCAGGGTCTCACCAGCATCACCTGGGCCGGTATATTTGTCGGCATGGGTCTGACGTGCCTGATTGTTTCCACTGTCTATACTCGGACCCGCGCCGAACACAAACGCACGAATCGGATCGGTCCTCCCCGAATCCAGTCTGTGGTATGTGATGCTGGGTTGGGGGGGAGGGTGGGCTGGCTCCAGCTGTCCCAGTGGGCTTGTTCTGGATGGGCTGGACCAGCTATGTAAGACCACCTCTCTCCTCTAGTTCTTTCTGGGAATGGACATTCGCTAACCAGCAAATAATCCTCTATCAGCATCTGGTCTCCGCTGATCACATCCGCTTTCGTGGGTTTCGGGATGACCACTATCTTCACCAGCGACTATCTAGATGTCATTGACTCATATGGCATGTATTCAGCTTCCGCCTTGGGCTTCGTGGCATTCACTCAATATCTATTGTCCGGTGGCGTTATGATTTCTGGCAGCACCATTTATGAGCGGCATGGGGTGCATTATACCCTGACCGTCGTCGGCGCCATTTGTGCTGCCATGGCCTTTATTCCATATATGTTCTACTTTTACGGGGCGAGAATTCGGCAGTTCAGCAAACATGCTGCTAATAAAGTTTGAATTGTAAACGGAGAGAGTATATGGGACTAAGAGGCATTCATGTGATGATGTCTTCCTCCTTCTTTTGGAGAGATGGAAAGTAGAGTGCTATATTGAATAATATAATTTGGTTATGCAATAGAGCAAGTTTACATCGAGATCTATACAAGAGGGCATCACGTGCTATATTGCGTGGATGCCAAGTCGGGAAACATTCATAACATTACATCAATCTGCCACCTGGGCGAGTCAACGGAGCTGGAGGTACGTAATTGTGTTCGTGGGCATCGAAATGTGCATTGATTTTGATATCAGTAGCCGTGGGAGAATACCCCGGAAAGCGGAAACCGCACTCGAGAAACCATCATAACGCCTTGTAAATGGTAAATGGAAAAAAGCAAAAGAAAAAGCAACAAATCAACGAGCTCTCGTGGCCATGTCCAAGGACCGCTTCCGCTGGACAGCATTCGACCGCACAGGCACCAGTCCATTATCATCAGCGTGACTGGACAAGACGGTCGTTTTCCTCGTCCCCATTTTATTCCTGTTTCTCCTCCTCGCCGGTCATATCGGTCATCTCGGTACCTTCGAACTTAGTGACCCAGAGGATGTTGTTGCATCTGCAATGGGACAGAGTCAGCGAATTCATGTTCATACTCAAATCGCACACAAGCGCGTAGGATCCTTCACATACCGGATTACCACCTGGCCCAGAGTACCGTTGTGCTTGCCGTTGATGTACTCCTCAGCGTTGTTCAGCTGGATGTTCATGTACGAGTCGAGGCTCACGAGGTTGCCTTTATACTCGTGCTGACCCCACTTGAGGCGGACGAGAATCTCGGTGCCGAGTCTAGAAGGAGGTAAAATTAGTATTGAAGCTATGGCGGCACGACGGAAAACACTGCGCAGTGTCGCGGCGGGCGGTTCGCGCGAGGTAGTCTCAATGGGGCGAGGGGTCGGGAGGGGATCGCATACTGAGCTTGCAGCCATTGGCGAGGGATCAAAGGAGCAGATCCAGACTTGAAACCAACGCTTCGGTCAGTCCATTTCGATTTCTGGCCCCAGCGCAATACCGGGACCTTTGACTCGTCGGATTCGGAGTTGATACTTACCGACATTGCGGATGTTCCCGATAGGGTGGTGATCTAGCGCGGTCGGAAAGGTAGAGAGTGGGTTCTAGAGAGATAAAGAGGTCGGAGGAGCTTGGCGATCAGCTTCTCGGACTTGGAGGTTGGGGATGAGCGCGCGTGGATGAGGATGGCGGAGTCGGCAGCTGCGCGAAAATGTAAGCTGGTCGGCAGAACGCACGGGCCAATCAATAGTGAATAAGGCTCACCGCCTTTGGCATCAAAAGAGGCGTCATGTTCGAGGCGCGATTTGAAGCTCACGGATGCCTATCATAAGGGGGGAATGCAACTCAAAGTGATTTTGTGAACACTTTGTTTCAGAATTTCAATTGCTGTAGTCTCGTAATCATAATCTCGCTCATGCGACACACCACAACTCCCCACTACCCCACACGCCAGGCTCATCAACGCGCCAGTAACAAACACAGCTAAGAGACTATGAAATTCAAAATCATTAGAAGAAGACACATGGGGAAATGTATGAAGAGGATTATGCCACTTGGGTAGTAGTATCTGTCCGGTCCGTCTGTGGAGCGACGCCGCACATCAGGACGACAGCACATATTTAAGCACGGCCAACCGACCACTTCAACTCCTTAATGCTGACCTCCTCACCGGCCTTCTCATCATAGTCGTACCATTCACCCTCAGAAAGCTCGATTCCCTCAAATTTGGTGGAGGATTCTACGCCCGTGGCCTCCCATTCGCCCTGGACGATGTGAGCATTTCCATTCAGGATCAAGTAGGGGGTGAACACTTACATCAGGCTTGAACTCGGTGAACTCCAGACCACGGCAGTCCAGGTCAATAATCTTCTGCGCGGTCTTCTTTTCTTGCTGCTCGTAGGCGTTCGGGCCGGTGGTGATGGAGGCAGAGTGGGTTTTCTGGCGTTTGCATGATTAGCTTCAGCGAACACAGAAACAAAATGACCATGCGCATGACCAGAAGGAAAATTCTGCCCATGGAATCAATCAATGACACAGGTTTTCGAGCAGTTTCGAAATTCTCATAGATTAGAGGTAGAGCCACATACAGTGCAAAGCTTGCACTTCCAGACGAAGTTTGCCTCGCCCCGGCTGCCGGGGATTTCGTGCTGCTCCTGCAAAGTTATTTTAATAAGTCTTTGTGACATCCGAGTATCGTTCGAGGGGAGGGATCTTGTACATACAAAGCGATTGAAGCTCACCCAGTTGGGGTGGGTCTCACGGCAAGAAGTGCATTGCACCTTGAAGGTAAAGTAGTAAGGGTTCTCTTCAGTATCAGTCGGACGGAGGGCAGTGACGCTGGAGAGAGAAAATTAGATGAACAATCCTCAGATCAGGGCCCGTTCAATCTCTCAATGCGGCCGTAATGAAACCGGATTGCGCGGTGCGGGGGAGCTCGCAAAGAACGGAAACATCAGACATATCGAGGGGGCAAATAGTGACTTACCCTTCCAGCTCGGCAGTAAGAGTGAGTGAGAGCATTTTGGATGACTTGAATCGGGTTGGCTGGGCTTGGCGTCTCTGATCCGAAGGTTCGCGGTGGAAGTGCAGGTTTGCTGGATGCGGGGTGGAGACCGAAAATAGATTCAAGTCTTGGCATTTGACGACTAAGCTTGCTCGAGACATATACCCATGGAACATCACGGAAGAGCGAAGGGATTTAGAGGAAAATGGAAGTGCGTAAGGTAATAATTCTATTCATAATTATCTTATCAAAACGAAACGCCAATCATGCCAAGCAGTCGCTCCAAATGAACGAGAGAAACAACAAGATATGTACAACCGAAACCAAAAGTTCATACAGGCACATCAGTGGGTCTTTACAAACGGCTCGCCTGGGAGTCCTGTCCCAGGGCCTTGGTCGCGAACGAGCCAAAGTACTCGTTGAGAGCATCAACGGTGCCGCTGCCCTCCACCAGCTGGATGGTGCAAGCGACGTGGCTGTCAGGCCGGGTGACAACGACACCACCCTTCTCGGCATCGAGACCAAGCTTCTCGTGGGCCGAGAACTTGGCGGTAGGAACGCGGACATCGGGAATGTCGTCGGCGTACAGGTGGTGGTGGTAGTCACGCAGGACCTGAGGGATAGAGTCCACGTCGACCTCGTTCTTGGCTGCGGCATAGATGAGGGAGAGGGTGAAGAGCTTGGAGTGAGGGTTGTGGCGCTCGAAGAAGGAGACATTGGCAATGTCGGGCCGGCGGTAGACCGAGAGGAAGGAGCGCTCCTTCTCCAGGTTGGCAGCGAAATCCGCAATGGCCTTCTTAGTCTTGTGCTGGTTACCGGCGAAGATGAAGATACGGAAGGATCCGTTGGCGGGGACCTCCTGCTCAAGCTCGACGAAGTTGGCGTCCGCAAGACGGGTGACGGTCGACGGGGTAAAAGCGCGGCCGGGGGTCAGGCGGACGTTGGAAATGTTGAAGAGGGCCGACTTGGCCGGGTGGCTGGAGTCCCAGTTGAAGACGTTGGGCTTGTAGGCAACTCCGTATCCGGAGGTGAACTCGCACGAGGACTTGAAGGTCTTTACGAACTCATCCTCTTCCACACCCTCGGCGGCCACGGCCTTACTAGCGGAAACCTCGCCGGCGCTGGGACGGCGCTTGGAGAACAGCGCAGCATACTTGGCATCAAAGTTCAGAAGGGTCTCAGCGATATCCTTGCGCTCGGTCTCGTAGGTGCTCAGAATGGAGCGGTTGGCAAAGCCACTCTCGACAGCGTGGATCTTCCAGGCCATGTTGAGCGCATCGTGGAAGGCAGTGTTCATACCCTGACCGGCCTTGGGGCTGTGGGTGTGGCAGGCATCACCGCCCATGAACACGCGCTCGTCTAGAGTGTACTTCTCGGAAATACCCTGTCCTATGGGGTAGACGGAGTACCACTCGACGCGGTCCCATTCCAACCAGTACGGCTTTAGAATGTTCTTCGCGGTCTGCTGCACCTCCTCGGCGGTAGCGGTCTTCCGGGGGTTGAAGTCGGGGTCAGTCGACGAGGCAATCTGGACGTACAAGCGTACCATGTTGTCCTCGCGGGGGATAACCATGATGGAACCAGCATCGGAGTGGATCGTGCACTTGGTCTGTGTGAGGTGTGAGCGGCAGATTTTGTTGATCTGATGGGATAAAGTTTGTGTAAGCTTACCTCGATATCGGGGAAGTTGGTGCGAACAACACCGTCCATTACACCCCAGACGTAGGAGATGGGGTCCTTGTGGTGGATCTTGATTCCAAGCTGCTCGCGCACGAAGCTGCGGGCACCCTCACCACTGAACAGGTACTTGGAGCGCACGTTCTCCACGACGTTGGTGTCGAGGCACTTCAGGTTGACCTCGACGGGGTATTCGGCATTGGCGCCGTCGTTCTTGAATCCGACGATGGTCCAGGGACGCTCGACGTGGGTTCCGGCCTTCTCGATCTCGTCCAGGAAGACGCGCTCGATCTTACCCTGGTGCACCAGGGTGGTGAAAGGGTAGCGGGTGTCGATAAAGCGAGGGCAGCTGGGCCAGCTGCCCGTGCGGGCGATGCCCGAGCCATCGCCCTTGGGATCCCAGAAAGCGACGTCGTAGACCTTGGCGGGCTCGTAGGCCATGATGGAACGCTTCAGGCCGAGGTTGCGCAGGATCTCGGTCGAGCGCGGCTGAATTCCGTCGGCGCGGCCAGTGGCGGTCGGCACCGGACGATTGTCGATGTGCTTGACCTTGTAGCCCCAACGGGACATACAGAGGGACAGCAGCAGGCCGACGGGGCCGGCGCCGACGATGACAATGTCATACGTCTCTTGCACCATTTTCGATGGCTGGGAAGGGGAGTCGGGACGAAAATGGGAGATTCGGTCGGAGGGGTGTACCGCAGGCGATCGGCGCAATTCAGACAGATATCAACCGGGTTGTTGGAGAGAGAGTATAGTCTGCACAGTCGCACCGAATCGAACGAGGTCCACGAGGGCCATGGCGAGCTCATAAATACTGCCAGCAGGCTGGGGTAAGCGGGCCGACTGGACCTAGTTTGAGGTGACGGAGAGCAGCCACGGCATTGGGGATCGGTTTGTATCGTGGGGAGCGACTGGGATGGAGCTGGGGAAGGCCAATCAGGGACCGCATGGACTGGGTTATGCGCCTTATGCGAGCCAGTGCGTGTGGGAACGCCCAGCTGCGATGAGCGTCCAGCGCAGCGTCAGAATGCCGTCGTTGATCCCGAGCTGCAGGGCCCGCTACTCTGCGCGCTTGTGGATGCGGCCGGCGGACGCCCGCTGCTGACTGGCCGCGGCCGCGGGGCTTCCCCCACCGCGCCGGCTGCTGCAGTCGGCAGTGCCCACCTCGGCTGCCACGCCCGGGATGTTGTCAATGCCCTCTGCTGAAAAGACCTCGACGCGACACTCCCGTGGGCGCCATTGGCCCAGTCCTTGAGGCTTGTCCCGTCTAGCCGACTTTCGAGAGAACCGGCCTGCCGCTCTACCCACCGGTCCCCACGCTGGGGTGGCAGTTTCGAGAGGCAGTTACAGGCTGAGACAACCGGTGTGCAGTGCCAGGCTCTGCGAGACACCACACCTACAGGGCTACTCTGAGGTACCAGGGTAATGTAATATAGATGATCGGTTGGATCTAGGTCTTTGCTGCGAAACGATCGGCTAAAATGGCAAATGACTCGGTGGTTGTTCTTTGCTCATATACCTTCGGTTGGTATGTGTGCTGCAAGGTTGTCTGTGCACACTTTTGCAGACACCGTACACTCCGTACACTGTACAAGAGCAGAGTGTCCTTGAAATCCCATCTGGTTCCTCCGATCTGATATGCTCCTCCGTACTGAACCTCGAATCTGTATCTACCCAAGGCACATAATAGGATAAATAGGATTGCTGGACTATACCCTAGGGTATGATCGGCCGTGCAGAAATAAACTTTAATATGATCTCATCCGAGAAACGAGCCGCTGGGGGATTTCCGTCCCCTAACCTCGGGCTATATATTCTGCTTCGTGCCTCCTTCTCTCGCCGGGTTCGATCTGGCTCGGGAGTGGGCATGGCAAACACGAAGAGCAAATTCCGCGGACATGGAGGCCGGGAACTCCGGCTATGGAGGCGCCCAGGGGAGGCTCGGCTGGGATGTCGGCTGGGCGGCTCAACGCTGCCCAGCGCTCGGGAGACCCGGGATCTTGCCTCTTTGAGTATTCGCAATGGCTTCACGGATAGTTGAGGGATGGAACAAGTCAAGCAATATGCAACCAGTGTCTAAGCTCTGGTAGGATTTCTTAGGCTGATTCTTGAAGATCACTTACTAACTCGTAGTAATACTTGACCTAGCATAATAGTGTAGGCATGGGACACCAGATTCTGGAGCGGCATTGGAACTTCGTCTTGCGCAATCGTCCAATACATGGGGACTGCCAATCCGGATAACTCGGTGAGGATTGAATTTCCAGAGATTTTAAGGTTGCGACTCCTCGTGAAATGTGCGCATTGCCCTGCAAGGATTTTGGTGTCCTCGAGCCGCAGCGGTTGCCGACTAGTTAGAAAAGAGAAGGGCGCAGAGTACACGTGCTTCAAATCTTCCCTCGTCAACCACCCGACATGGTGCGGCCGATGGACGATTGCTCCATGTCCATGCATTTTGGTCATTCAAGATGCAGTGCCTGATTCTCACGGGGTCTCGACATAACGTGACCTTTCGTCGCCCTCCGCGCGACGGCGGAGCTTAGAGCAGCAGGGTGGGTCGGCAAGTGAAGCAAGTCACGGACAAAGAGACTAAATTACCCTTTCGGTCCTAGCGAGCCGCCCACCGGCCAATGAAGTCTCGGAGAACTATGACAGCTCCTGCAGTGACTGTCCTGGACGATTCACTGTCGATGCTCCGGAGCATAAGAGACGTCGGCGTTTCCAATGCTTCGCCCTCTCCTACTTCGTCACCCTTTTCCATTCCTCCAATTCCCACCCCACCGATTCCCTTTCTACCAATTCTCATCCCAGTTTCCGGGCGCAAATCGTCTCGACTTACTGCATCCCAACGAGTCCAGCACAGCGATTAGCCATGGATTCCACCGAGCAGGATATTGAATTTAAGACCTACCTCGATGCTCTTGCAGGCAGAATCACTGCCACTCTCACGGTCCGCAATCTTGAATGTCTTCGGCGCCAGCATCGTAACATCCAACGAGAGCGTCGTCTCTATCATGCGCTAGGACTTCCCGCACCAGAGACCGTTTTTGAGCACCTTTTCAACAAGTTGCCAGTGGACAATAACTCGTTCGAGCGACTGAACCGTTTTGACCGGGATGGTAACCCCGAGCGGAAGAACCGTGGCAACCGAGTGGATGGCTCCCGACAGAATCGGTTTGACCGTGCCCGGAACAATTTCCTCGATCGAGACGATGACTTCTATCTGACATTCACATTCAACAACCGGACGCGTTTCAACTCTCAAGTTCGATCGGAGTCTCCGCCCTCCAGTGTTGCGGGCTCCCTGGCCAGCATCGACGTCGGCGAGAAAGCGTTTTCCTTCTCTCAAAGTCAATCTGAATCTACATCCTGCTGTGACCACTCTGCGTCCTGCGGTGGCCCCTCTGCGTCTTGCGATGACCACACTCCCCGTAAGAGCATTCTACGCCATGATATCCCCGATCCTTATGACGACAAGACGGACTTTTCCTTCTCTCGAAGCACTTCGTCCAATGACGACAGCACCGATCGCACCGATCGTGACACCGTCAGTGTTTACAATGGCAACACCCTGAATGGCATCCCGAAGTTCAAGTTTCGAAACGGCTCATCCACCCGTGATAGGAAAAGCCTGGACCGTTTCAATGTTCAATTCGACTCGTCCTACGACTTGACCTACGACGGTGACGACGAGCACAACAGCTACGAGGAGGGCGTGGAGCGTCTCAAGCTTAACTGCGGCTCACCCACCAGTGTCTACGGCCTCCAATCCAACAATCCTAGTACCAGCGACGACGAGGTAAACGCACTTGACAAACCCGATTCTACCATGGTCGGCTTTGCTCTGCCCGATTGCGAGATGCCAAAGCCTGTTGTTCCCTCGGCCGAGCACAGCGCAGGTGCTATGTAAGGAGAACCAATTGAGACAACTCCCACACTGAATATCTGCTGACAATCTCATACAGGGCCTACGAGAGTCTGATTGGAAGCAATCCCTACATTGGCAGCCCTGACTCGAGCACATATGGCGTCCAGGAGACGGGTTGGACTGACCCCCGTCCCTACATCACGAGCACGCTTGCCGCCCAGGAGATTGATTTGACTGGCCCCTACGATAGTCTGGGTGAAGACTATCCCTACATTGGCAGCTACATTGACAGCTACATTGACGGCCCTGACTCGAGCACACATGGCGCCCAGGAGACGGATACGAGTCCGACTAGACACTATCCATACATTGATGGCCTTGACTCGAACATATATGGCAACCAGGAGATCGATTGGACTGACCCCGAACTCTTCCTTCAGCCGAAGACATACTGCAGGGAGACGGACGAACGCGACTGCACGATAACCCCCGAGCCTTTTGAAAAGACGCCCGATGTGACGACTCCCGATGAGTCCGAGCGTCCTCAGAGCTGTGCCAGTTCGTTCTATGAAGTTAGGTCACTCCTCTCGATGTCTCCCAAGGTGGTCAAGGCGCCTGTGGCATCTTTCTCTCCCGCAATTCGCTCGCGTGTGCGCAATGATGAGGGGAGCAGCTCGGAAGGCAGTCAGGGCAAGAAGCGAAAGTCGTCTGCTACCTATGCATCTGTCCGCAAGCGAATGTTCCAGCCGGTGAGTGGCGGAAACCTTCAGATGCGCAAGATTCCCGAGGATCCTGAAGAGAATTCCGAGTCTGAGCTGGAGCCTATGCCTTTCATTGCGCCTCCGCCTTCACGCGCGCCCACGCCTCCGTTTACGCCTGTGGCTTCTCCAGGAGTCCAGCTGAATTTGAGGCGACGACCCAGTCTGATCCAACAATTCGGACAAAAGATCATGCGACTGAGTGTATACTTCCCTCTTTTTTTTTTTTTTTTTTTTTTATTGATCGAATCTGACTTTCTGTTTTCATAGTCATGGATGGGATCCGACAAGGCCGTTCCCAAGCGCCTCGGTGAGGCTCAAACCGCCATCTACTCGCTCGAAATCTCCGACCAGTCAAAAATTTACGGCACCATCGATTCCATGGTTTGCACGACCGCCAACAAGTTCCTTATGAAGAACTACTACGCAGGCAGGGTCTCCACGGAGTCTATCGCGATGGTCCGCGAACATTGGAAGGCGCAGAACCGCCCCCAGGTCTTGGAGTTTTGCTTTAGTCAGGCTATCCAGCAAAAGCTGATTTTTGCGAACCGTGACACCCTTCAATTCGCCGGCGCGGCCTCAACTAATCCGATCGTCATTGACAAGATCATGACAAACTGGAAGATGATGGCCCAAGATATGGGCAAGCGCATTCTCTGTCAGCCTGATAGTGTCGTCCGCAAGCACATCAATGATACGATTGATATTCTGAAAATGCTTGATGCCACTGATGACGCGATTGTCAACATGCAAGTTATGGGCGTGCAGGTGTCCAAGAAACTGCAGGACGAGTTCGGCAAGCGCCTGTCTCAGACTACCGTGGGTGTCCTTAACTCCGCCAGACGTTCGCACGGCCAGAACAGCTGCTGATACTATCGAGGATTCATCATGAGGATTAATCATGAGGGTGTCTGATGCAATCGTTACAATTAACACCGTAGAAGAAGTGAAAAAAGAAAAAAAAATCGCAATTTCCAAGGTCCATTCCACTCATTTATTGATGACTTCTAATTTGCTGGGGCTTACTTTACTGGATTTGAAGACATCTAATGTCAAAATAAGATAAGAAAAATGAAAAAAAAAAAAAAAAAAAGCACTAAGGAATATTATTATTATCTTTATTATTATTTTATTTTGACTGCTCACCCGTAGCCTCCACCGACAATTCATTGCCACAATAGCTCAGTAGCTCTAGCAGTACTAGTCGACTATCAACTCAAATTGAAAGAATAAATGTAAAAATCTCTTTAAATCGAGTAGCTAACTTCTGCCAGAACCCTCGAGAAAGTGTTGTCGCCTCTCTTTGCTTTTGGGGCATGGTACCAAAGCCAAGAGCGGCACGTGCTGCGACGTCATCTCCAACGCGCCAGGCAGCGTTCCAGTTTCGAAGTGGAGGACAATTCGGCTGCGTTCTTCATACAACTCAAATTACCCAACCCCTCCAGTTCTCTCTCGGTCGGAAACAGCCGATCGGACTTGGGCGATCCGTCACCGTTCTTGGCAATGTTTATCATCTAGCGATCGGTGTTTAGATCTCGCGCAGATTGTTGGGACCTAGGAAAAGTGGGACCCCATCTCCTTCACCATGACGGGCCCTTTCCATACATACGGCTCGACGTGCCTGCTGGCAGATGAGGAGCCGAAGCTGTCGAGCTTGTACTCGCTGTCTACACCACCAGAGGTCCGGTCTCAATTCTTCTACATCTCATCCCTGCCGATTGATGATCCGTTGGCCCCTCTGCCTCCACCGAGTGGGCAGGGATCTGGAAATGAAAGAGCTCCACCCAAACCATTCTCGGCTAGGGATAACCTCGCGCTGGAAACATCCTGGCAGAAGCTGGGGAGATCTCGACAGGCCAAGTCTGCGGCAAAGGCTGCATCGCGACCGGACACGTCAAGGGCGCATCTTGGCATAGCTGTCCCGGGCCAGAGGTCGGAGGTGGAGGCTGGGCGCCACTTCAAGACAGCAAGCAGAGAAGATGCAGGACTGGAAAGCAGCAGAAGCACCTTCAGCAATCCTCCTTCGTTTCCCGATGAGATCCCTGGACGCAATCTCAAGAGTCGGTCTGGCTTAGCTACGGGTTCTGATGCCCGAAGACAGGGAGCATCATCGGTGGACGATACGTTTGTTGATAGACCCAGAAGCAACCCCGGTCCCCGGAAACGAGAGCGCTCTTCTTCATTGATAGAGACCAGTGCTGCCAAGAGGAGAAGCGACTCATCTCTCGGCGACGACGATGCGGAATATGGGCAAGATGGTGTTGGCAGCCTCCGGGCAAATCGATCTCGCGATGCCAGCATCAGTGGGTCGCCTTTTATTAGGGCTCCTGTATCTCAATCACACAGTCAATTTGGGAGCTCAGTTGAGTCCTTGCCGTCGAAGGACGGGCCTCAGGACTGGCAAAGTGAAGTGCGGAGCAGTGCACCAAACCGCCAGGTCCCTAAGCCCTCTGGACTCAGAGCAACTGTCAGCTTGAACGAGTTGACTCAAGATACTTCTGAGGACGATCAAAAAAAGAGCAAAAAAGAGTCGAAAAAGCGGGAGGTCAAGGTCAAGGCAAAGATCCCAGTCGGTGCCTCTCGGCTTCACCTGGTTGAATTACCGAACTTGAAGGTGTGTTGATCGCTTGAAACTAATAACCGCTGCTCTTCTAACCTTTGCCTGCAGATGAAACCCATCTACTGGAGTCCTCTCCACGATGTATCGGTCGTTGTACGAGCTACGTGGTTCTACAAGAATACCATGCTCCCCGTGGAGACTCCACTGGCGAACAAGCTAGAAGAGGGCTACACCTACCTAAAGCCCTGGACTGAGACGTGGCAGGACGAGCTAAATAGCTGCGTGGAGAACGGAGCGGATGCAGAGATCAAAATCGTTCATCGCCTCTGGGATAAAGATGAAACAGGTTCTGCCAACCTACCAGAAACCGCGCAGACCCAGGAAATGGGCCCTGACACCACCCCGGACGAGGAAGCCCCAGAAGTTCCTTCATTCGACCATAATCGGGCAGCTGGAGGTATAGCAGCATATGTTGATGCTATCAAGCCTTATCTTTCTTCCAGTGCCATCTATGTGGATGCCAGGAATGCTCAGATACTTCGACCGAGCTTGCTCCCATCCGTCTCTCGAGGAAGGCGACCGCTGAACGCCATTCGCAAAGGTCGGCAGATCGGTATACCTGTGGTACGTGGCTTCAGCCGGAGACTGTATGACAAACTCCACCCCTCGAAGCCCAACTCTGTAGATGTACGCCAGTACATTCGCAGAAACCAAACCCAGGGGCCTGCTCCTGCCCCGGGTGAGCAGGTATGCTATGCCTGCAAGATGGAGGAGCTACGACAAAATCCTACTGATCTTGTCCTCGTGATTCACGGCATTGGGCAAAAATTGTCCGAGCGGATGGAGAGCTTTCATTTTACTCATGCGATGAATTCTTTCCGCCGGCAGGTGAACGTGGAGTTGAACAATGAGCCTGTGTGGCCTCATGTGGACGAGGATAATGGGGGTATCATGGTCCTGCCCGTCAACTGGCGCACGACCTTGTCTTTGGAAGACCCGTCGCTGGAGGAGTCACCACATGCAGATGATCCCGCGGCCAATAACTTTTCACTCAACGATATTACGCCGCAGACACTTCCGGCTGTGCGCTCGCTCATCAGTGATGTCATGCTCGATATTCCTTACTATCTGTCCCATCACAAGCCAAAAATGACCAGGGCCGTTGTCAGAGAAGCAAACCGCATCTATCGGCTCTGGTGCAAGAATAACCCTGGCTTCCAAGAGAGCGGCCGGGTGCATCTTCTCGCCCATTCCCTTGGCAGTGTCATGGCTCTTGATATTCTCAGTCACCAGCCAACTCACGTTCCTCGTTTCGATTTCCATAATACACCATTGCACAGTGACATCTTCGAATTTGATACCCGAATTCTATTCTTGTGCGGAAGCCCCGTTGGGTTCTTCCTTCTTTTGAACAAAGGTATGTTCATTAGCTCACTTTTGCCGGCAGCGCTAACAATCTATCCAGCAAGTCTCCTTCCCCGGAAGGGTCGAGGTAAACCGGGAAGCGAGGACGAAGATCTCGTACGCGGTGTCGCCGGAGAAGCCGGCGGCTATGGATGCTTGGCAGTTGACAACATGTACAACATCATGCACACGACAGATCGTGAGTACTAACCACATTTGCTTCTAAGTGTTCTTCACCATGCTTACTATTTATAGCCATCGCATACCGCGTCAACGCCGCTGTGGACACAGAGCTTTCCAACTCCCTCAAGACAGCCTCAATCCCCAGCGCCAACTCGTCTTTCTGGTCATCCTTCAGTGATGTCTTCAAATGGAACTCCACATCAGCCTTCATGTCCCCCACAGCCCCAATCCGACCCGCGGCGGTAACAAAACTACCTTCCACCGTCGAAATGGAAACCCACGACTTCACCCGTGAAGAAATCGCCGAGAAACGCATGCTCTTGCTCAACGACAACGGCCAAATCGACTACTATCTTTCCGGTGGGGGCGGCCCGCTCAACATCCAGTACCTCAATATGCTCAGTGCACACAGCAGCTACTGGACCTTGACTGATTTCGTGAGATTTTTCGTGGTGGAGATTGCTCGGAAACAGGGGCGAGAGGGGACCTTGCCTGCTTTCAGAGCGGAGAAGAAGAAGGGGTGGAAATACTCACATGGCTAATTGGAGGTGTACGTTTCAAAGTCACCATGTATTTTCGGGAAATCGCTGTGGGGCATATTTCGGTAGTTTGGATGCATTAAATCACTTTATTTGGAATGGGATCCGGGATCTTTGTTGTATCATGTTCTCATTTGCTCATAGACTTGTATAGGCTGGCAGTCTAGGAATCATAGATAATGGATCATCCAAAAGTCAAACCAAGAGAAGAGAGGTAAATACACAAAAAGCACCTTGAAGGTGATGTGGAGAAAAGACATCAGAAGAAATGTAAGCAACACCAAAGAAATCTAGGAACCAGCCCAGCTTTATCGTTCTAGTCGTGGCACATTCTTTAGCAAATGAGTCGAGTATCCGAGCCATACACACCACCCATCATCAAAGCCTCGACAATCTCGCCCTTGATGCCGACTCCACGGCCGCGGCGTAGGACAACCAGTGCGTTTGCGCTGGCTAGACTGCCCACGCGCGAACTGCGCTGTCCCACGCCCTCGACTCCCGTGCTGGTGGCATAAAGCCGGCCGTCCGAGCGCGAAGCCGTGACCACCGCACGGTGGTACTCGGTACGCTTGGGATCAAGAGGGAAGTGATGAGTCAAAACAACGGCCACGCGAGGCAGACCGAGTTGCGGTGCGAGCCATGGCTTTGTGCTCAAAGCCTGCGAGCTCTCGCCGAGGCCGATGAGCTTGTGCAGGGAGGGCAGGACGAAGAGATTTAGCGTGACGAGGGCAGATGCTGGGTTACCGGGGAGCGAGAAGATGAGTTTTGACTTGCGTTCTTGTTGGACGGCACCGCTGCCTGCTTCCTTGAAGGGGACTGTTGCGAAGGTGGTAGGCTTTCCAGGCTTCATGGAAACACGGCCGAAGTGGATGGTGCCGCCGAGGTTACGTTCGATAGTTGGTTTGAGGAGGTCCAGTTCGCCCATTGAGACGCCACCGGTGGTCACGATCACGTCCACGCTGGAAGTGGCACGGCCGACACCGCGCAGGGAGTCACGTAGAGCGTGTTCAAGCTCGCTGGCTGGAGTATCACGGGCAATGCCCAGGTCAACGGTTGGGAAGCCCCACGAGGAAAGGCAGGAGAGAAGAGAAGGGCGATTGGAGTCACGAATTTGACCGCCAGTGAGTGTGCGAGGGTCGTCATGTTCCACGAGTTCATCACCGGTGCTCAGGACGCCTACTGTGGGCTTCTTGAAGACCTTGACAGTGCTGATACCGGTGGAAGCGAGGAGACCAACCTCGCCGCCAACAGGGGAGATGATATCGCCTCGGGAGAGGATCTTTGAACCGAGACGGACGTCGCTGCCAGGCTCGCGGACGTTCTCGCCGGGCTTGATGTCTCCGGTCAGAATCTCGATGGTGGCTTCTTCGGTTCCATCGGGGGTGGTGGAGACGAGGTCAGTATCTTCGACCATGACTACAGCGTTGGCGTTCGGGGGCAAAGGGGCTCCAGTGGTAATTCTTGCGATGGTGCCTGGTTGGAGGGGCTTTAGGGAGCCGCCAACATTGGCATGGGTGATCGATGCTACAGGGAAGACACCTTTCGTACTCGGGGCACCGTTCGTGGAATCGGGGGCAATGACGGCGTAGCCATCGACGATACTGGCCTTGTAGGCCGGGACGGACTCGGCCGCAAAGACATCTTCTGCAAGGACAGAGCCCACGATGGCAGTGTTCACGGGGATTTCGATAACAGTCGGTTCGGGGGTGTGCTCGCTGATCTGCAGAAGGGCTTCCTCTACAGAGAGCATGGGGTAAGGAGATGAACGGTACCGACGGCCGGGACCCGCAGCTGGGTCATTTGACTGGGGTCGGTTGGATGAGGTATGTGCCTTTGGAGCTACATGTCCCGGGCCGTGGTGATGGCTGCAGTGGCTCGGGCGATGAGACAGAGGCGCCGAGTTGGCGCCGGAGCTGATACCAGCTTCGGCCTCTAGTGACTGGACTCCAGCGGCATGCATGTTGCGAGAATTGGCGCCAGCAGACTGTAGACAGGCGTGCGGAAGTAGTTTGACAACGGCTTCAAGGTTCTCTATAGCTCCCTTGGGGGATCCGGGTAAAGTGATGATCAAGGATTTGTCTCGGACTCCAGCAACGGGTCTGGCCATCATCGCAACTAGAAGGGCATTAGCGGGATGTTTATATACGTCGAGTTTGGGAAATGTCGCAAATGGGTTGCCAAGGGAAGGCAGAGGGTGATGTCATCTCACATGGGGTTACTTTCAGCGAAGCGGCGATCATGCCATGGCTGAGGAAATTAGTTCGTGCTCTAGCGCCAACTCTCCAGCCCCAAAAACGCCAGGAATTCACTTACACAAGGCCCGGGGCATGGCGGTGGATCAGGGGAGACACCGCCTGTGATATCATCAGCGCGGGAAACCTCGCGCCTGCAGCGGCAGGTCAACGTCAACTGGGTAACGACCTACCTCGGGCGTGTTGTCTTTGACTGCAAAGCCAGTTCCGCCGCTGAGTAGAATCAGGTTGTGCCAATTGGGACCATCGCTCCACTCGCAAACGGCCTGCTGGATCTGGAACACATTGTCCGGCACGATCCTAATTGCGGGGGTTCCCACTTCCCCTCGGCCGCGAGAATGGGGGCGAGGGCATTGGCCGTCTTGTCCGAAGCGGGGTCCTGCGAGGCCGTATCGGAGACGATCAGAATGGCTGCCTTCAGTTTGTCCATCGTGTGCTGCATCTGCGGGTTGGTTGGTGAGGGAAGTGGGGGAGGAAGCGGTCGACTTTTAAGGCGCAGTCGAAAAACCCGGGGTATCGCGAAACTTCGGGTGCGCGAATTTGCAACCCTGTCACTAGTCGCCGGTCCGTGCTGGTTCACACCGGTCGATTGGAACGGCTGGATATCCACTACGATCAGAGGCGCACGAAATGGAGGGACGACAGGATGCGGCCATCGAGCCTACGCCGGTACGGAAGTGGGTTGCCATGCGATTGAAGGCGGGGGTGGAGCGATGGGAGGGTTTTCACTTGGTTCCATTTGCTACTCATTACTGTACACATACATGATCTCCCGACGATCAATGCAATTCCAGCAGATAAAAAATAAACCCTCCTTAGAGCAAGCGTGCTCTCTCTACGGTATCGAATCCAGACGCCCCAATGCTGTGTATCAAAACATGAAGTGTGGCCAAACGAAAACTGTTCAAACAATGTGCCGAGATCATATGCGGCGGGCTACGGGCCGCGCCACTGTCGGTGCCCGAATCAGGCAAGCATAGCCATGCCAGATGGTCGTACCTCTTGCCGAGGGCAGCGAGAGTACTATACTAAACCCGGTAGTGCGGAGAGCGGGGAGGAGCCGAGCCTTTAGGCGGCACCGATGTCCAGGGCCTTGCCGCCCACAAGTAGACCAGTAATGAGACCGAACAGACCCAGGACGGAACTAAAAATCTCAATGACAAGGATCTTGACAAACCTAGGGTTCGGAGAAGTGGTAAGTATCCCGAAGCTAGTTCCCAATGCTGATGCCTCCCGGATGGGCACAGACAAAAGGCAAAGTCTGGGGTAAACTTACAGGCTCGGATCGGCAGCGTCGGCGAGGGCAGCACCACTGCCGTTGATGCCCACAGATATACCGCAAATCAGGTTGCAGAATCCCACCGTAAAGCCGCCCCAGAAGAGCGCATAGCCGGTATAATAGTTGCTCTGGGTGTAGAGCTCAGCCTGGGGGACCGAGTTGAGCTTTGCGGAGTAAACGATCGCCATGATGACACCGTAGATGGCGACGACTTCGCAGAAAATGATGGAGATCAAGTTCTTAGTCCGGATCCGGGGTGCCCGAACACCACCGCCGAGGATCGAAGAGCCCGTGAGGAAGATACCCCTGCAAGCAAGCGCCACCACGTTAGCATGAAGCCATTCACGAATACGCCTGTCTAGGCTGTTCATTTCGCAGTGGAGACGGGAGCTTTACCATGCAGCTCCGACAACCGAGCAACCAATACACATCGCGATACCGACGTTCGCAAAGGCGAAGGGAGATACCTCCTCGAGGAAGCGGCCGACCTGGGACGTGTCATGTCAATAAAGTACACAGAAGCCTCAGCCGGTCGGGGTTATGGAATTGATCATACATTGAAGGCTTCGCCCTCGCCCTGGAAAAGCATATCTGCATGCGAGATCTCCGGGTTAGCTGTCATTCCAGCTCGGGGGAGGAGGGTTTCATTCAGAAGCTCCACGTACACAATCCGACCACCACGAGGGCGGTCGTGGAGAGACCAAGCAGGTACCGGACAGCCATCACGACCTCTGACAACCTGAAGACGAATGAATGAAAGGCCAGTTGGAAAACGCCGCCGACGAGGGGGGTGTGGCAGTTGTTGATGGTGGTGGAACGGACTCGGTGGCCGGAGCGGATTAACTGCTCCGCTGAGGCGGTGGACGCGGCGACTCTCGTCTTGTTTCCCCAGATCCACGGATTGTTCCTCATTGATTTCAGCGGGGAGACTGTTCCTCAAAGTTGCGATTCTTGTCGTCACTCGTGCCCATTACGCTCTGCCTAAGCATCTTTTTCGCGGCTGCCTGTCGAGCGCCCCCGTCCGGTTCTGCGGCGCATCTCACCCCCCTGAGTCCCCTCCCACTCACGACAGCATCATCACCATGGCTTCCGCCTCTGGGGTAGGGTCGTATTCGAACCCGTTGAAGAAGTTTAAGTGAGTCTTTGTGCCCGCTAGATCCCATTCTAGTGGAAACGCCCGATTCTAATGTGATATCAAGGCTGGTATTTCTGGGTGAACAAAGCGGTATGGCATCTCCAAACGTCACGTCCAATTCATGACTACGGATGTGCACTGAAAACTAGAACAACAAACCTGACAACTGTTCCAGTTGGAAAAACGTCTCTCATTACCCGGTTTATGTACGACTCCTTTGACAACACATACCAGGCCACTATTGGCATCGACTTCCTATCCAAGGTATGCCCCTCATCCGCTGTTACTCTCTCAATTGTTTCTCTGCAACAAGAGGACTCACCCTGAATCTCTCCAGACCATGTACCTTGAAGACCGTACCGTCCGCCTTCAGCTCTGGGATACCGCCGGTCAAGAACGTTTCCGCTCCCTGATTCCTTCCTACATCCGAGACTCGAGCGTCGCCGTTGTCGTCTACGATATTTCGAATGCCAAGTCCTTTCAGAACACTCGGAAGTGGATTGATGATGTGCGTGGGGAGCGTGGAAACGATGTGATCATTGTCCTGGTCGGCAACAAGACCGATTTGAACGATAAGCGTGAGGTTACCACGGCACAAGGCGAGGAGGAAGCTAAGAAGAACGGCCTGATGTTCATCGAGACCAGTGCCAAGGTCGGACACAACGTGAAGCAACTGTTCCGACGAATCGCCCAGGCTCTGCCTGGTATGGAGGGTGAAGCTAAGCAGGGAGAAAGCCAGAGTGAGTTGATCCGAGCCGTTGCTGTTTATCGGATCTCCGTAAGGTCATACATGTTAACCAGTTCTTTCTTCCATCGCAGTGATCGATGTGAACATCCACCCGAAGGAGACCACCAACAACGATGGCTGTGCCTGTTAAATCGCCCTGTTCCCACTTTTCTTTTCCCATACCTTTGACTCATGACGATAGTCGCGCCCGTCCATGATATTGCACCATTTCTTTTAAAGATGTACATGTTTCACTTCCACTTTTCAGGTTGCTTGTCGGATGAATAGCGTGTTTAGATCTTTCAGTGCTGAATGTGGCCCCGTCCATTGCTTTCTGTGAGCCGTTGCTATCAAGCTGGGCGTTACGATTTCCGCTCTTCCCCGCATCATATCTCTTTTTCTCGTCACTGGAGGTTTCTCATCTTTCCAATCCTTTCTCGGATGCTGTTCCTCGTCAGTATGGCCCTTTGGCCGGTGTGTCGCATATCCTCTAATTGATGAAGCTGTACAATATGACACTTACACTTCACAGTATTGGTAAATTAGCGTAGTTTGGGTTATCATTTCAACATTAAGGTACCTCCTTACCAGCTTCTTGTGAATTAGTCTCCCCACGTCGAAATTGCAGCACTTCTCGGCAGTCACTGTTTCCACTGAGACACGAGTTCCATCGAGACAGTGGAGTATGTGCTGATTGAGGTAGTGACTAAAGGAGGTGTTGGGAGAAGGCAGAAAGTAGAAAAGCAAGATCAAAAACGCACAGTTATAAACATTAAAACGGATCATTCATGCAGGCATCCTACGCAAGACCCAGGTACTTTGTTGCAGAACATACCTCAAGCGAAAGGACGTACCTCGAGCATTCCGTCGAATTCCTCCAGCTTGAACGAGTCTTCTTGGCCTCTCAGATCCTCTGGAGTGTCAGTGCTTCCTGGAGTTCTCGATGTGGTTGTATAGGGGGTGATAACAATGTTCCCATCGTTTACCACAATGGACTGTGTGTCAGGTGCGACTCCAGTTAGTCTCGTGGTCGAGACGATGTTGTCGTAATTGTCGTGGAACTGGTCGAAGAGGTCATGTATGAAGTACTGCATGATGGACTCCTCGAGGGCAGAGGTAACCGCAGCCTTCGTGGCCCAGTAATGGCGCACCAATTTGCCGGCACAGGTGATATTTGCTACCTCGGGGTTCCCATTGGCCTCGTGGCATGGGATAGCCTTGACATCATCTGGCCAGTTAAAATCGTAACGAATGTAGTTCGCAAAGGCAGCTTGCTCGTGCGACCAGTTGAAACTCCAGTAAGAGCAACCAGGGTAGCGTTCGTCTTTTGGGCAAGTCTCCCACGCTTCGAACAGCTCGTGTGCTCGGGGGCTTCGCTGAGCGATGAGGAATCCGGTGTTGAGGACAACTTTGCCATACATGTCGAAGTTCAGTGGGTCCAGCGGATCCATAGCCATAGTGACGAGGTTATTGGACTGGATGTCCCAATAATTAAAAAGCCACTCCAGAGGCACATGAAGGTAGGGAAACAGGATATCTGCATCCGTGAATACAACGAAGGCATAGTGACGGAGCTTCTCCTTGATGACGGAGACTTTCGACCATGTTCCCCATAGCTCAGGGCGAAGATTGGGCACACGGACAAACTGGTAGTCGTACCCATGGATTTGAGCTAGAGAGCGGTTAGCTCCTGAACAGAGATCAGGTAAGGGGGGTGTCAAAGAACATACCGAACAGGTAGTGGTTAAGTCGGCCGCTTGTTTCCCATTGGATCCTCTCGGTGGTTGCCCAGGTCGAATTCAATAGACCGCCCGTTTCGTTCATAGAGCGAGAATCAACATCAAGGATCAGGAGCTTCTTTCCAATGGGGGTCTGGAATCTGAATCCAGTCGGGGATGAAGGAATAGGAAGTCGAAATGTTTCACCAGAAGGAATCGTGAAATTGTCAGCTGTCATGGGAAGACGGGTGTGGTCCAAGAGTCGGTGGAAGGTCGAGGCGAACGCGTTTCGGTGGTCATAGTGAAGCTGATTCCTAGAGAAGAAAGCCATTAGCATCAATTCATCACAAGTGATTGAGTCGGGGTGTACTTTTGGTCTCCGACCTGAAAGACGCGCGAGTCGGTATTCAACATGACAAATGGGATGCTGACGATGTAGAGCGTCACCGTGAGGTAGACCCAGCGGCGCCGGAGGGACGTCAAGATCTCCTTCCAGCACATGATTGATCGGATATCTCGGTGCGCAAAGAGAGAAAGAGAGAGAGAAAGAGAGAATAACGTATTGGGAGAGAGAGCAGGATATCATTAAAGAGGAGGGAAATTGGGGAGAATGAGTAGAGTGGGAGGCGGGAAAACCTGAGGCAGACAGCAAAATTGGCAATGCAGTGCGCTAGGGAACAGGTTGACGCGCTCTCGTCCAGAGCTTCTGCCAAGAGATGTGGCAGACTTTACGACCAGGCAATCTTCAACTTCGTTTGGCCCAGGCCGAGTCCTTTTGAGGACTTCTTCAACTGAAACCGTGCCACCCTTGGAGCCTACCAGTAGTCCTAGGCCGCCACAGGCTCACGATTCCTTCCTGAGGCTCGATAAGTCAGTTTGGGATTGGCCTATGTCCACTAAAGAGGCAGATAATATTCTGATTGAGGTTTACTTACCCAAGAAGATTCCCCGGAGACATCAAATCCGGTCGAGTCCGGAGTTGTTGGGGGAAGATCCCACTCTGCCTAATCATGTCATAGAGTAAACATCACGGCAATTGTGGCACCGCCTTTCTATGTTTGGGTCACATCCGGAACTGATGCCATCATTACCTCCGCCTTGACTTGTAGGCACAGATTTACCATCTGAGACCGATTCCAAGAATTATCTCAACGGTAAAGATCACTTCACCCTCGAGAGCACATAGAAGTATATTCCGTATTTCCCTGCTAAACAATTATCATCTTGAGTGTTAAGTCGGATATATAGGTACACCATGACTACGTAGGTCAGCGGATACATCCGGAATGCCAGGAGCGGGAAGAAAAAGAGGTGTCTGGTCAGATAGAATAGACAAACAAAGATGAAAATGGCATCGGTCAAGTGAATGAACAAAAAGCTGGATACGAACTTGCACACAGGGAGAGAGCAATTAGATAAGATTCATCTGGTTATAACAATAACTGCTCCGCAACAAACGGCCAATCACATGGTGGATTCATACTACTATGTACAGAGATCGCAAATAAAATCCCCAACTCCGTGTCAAACGAGCTCCAAAGAGGACAATAGAGCACCCTTCTAAATTAGAGCTGTAACTCAGCATAGGATCCAAAGAATCTCCTTTGTTCCCTTGCATCAGCTCTTGATGCATTTCCTGGTGGTGAATGGCTCGCTTCAGCGGTCGATCCAGGAGCAGGTTGGTTTGGAAGACCACTTTGACTGAGTTCCAAAGAGCGAAAAAGGTCGACATCGTCAAGTCCATCAATCCTGAACCAAACATCCTGTCCTATCCAAACTCTCATATTGATTCCAGCTTCCTTTGCCTCGGCCGCCAATGGACCTGGGAGTGACCACTCCGAAGATCCTGTCTGCCCTGTTTCCTCCAGTTCACGGTCACCGAGCCACTCAGGCGAGTATATTTTCACTGTATGTAGACGAGGTAGGCGAAGCGTCTTGTTCCGGATCACATCCAAGATAAAGGTATCGTAGGGCTGCTCATCGTCTTCCCAGAAAAATTGGGTGAGATCTGTGTCGTCATAGAAGACCTCCAAAACTTCCAGGTTGGGAGGCAGGCACCTTGAGACGCCTTCTGGATCATCCCAGCCACACAAGAAAACATGATATATGCGCAGAGTCTTGAGAGCTGTGAACTCCGACAGGTCAATCCGAGACCCATTGCCCAGCCCCTCGTGATCGAGCGGCGGTCTTGTCATTATCAGCTCCTCCAAGCTTTCTTTTTGCGACCGAATCATGCGTACAAAAGCTTCACATGTCCAACCATTAACTTGCTCACCTTCATAATGACCTTCCCATTCGAATTGATCGGCGTCATATTGAAGCACCTTCAAGGAGTCAGGCCAGCTCAGAACAGCTGCTAAAGCCTCCTCATGAGCCCCACACTCAATCAGTCGAAGACATTGCACGGGCGAAGTACCCACATGGGAATTATCATCGAACACCATTGGCTTCCAATCCTTGAACTCGAAGATAGTCAGGGTTGACAGGTTCGGTAGCCAGAAAGCAGTGTAGATTTCGAATATGGAACGGTTGTTCCCTGAGGTGCCGCACGGAATAATTGCCGAGTTGACAAGTTCAGAAAGACCTAATCTGTTTTCCAAGCTCCATTTTAGCTGCTTCAAAGGAGCCTTCTCGCCGTGGCGGTTGTAGTCACGAACAAAGAGATTCTGGTAGAGCATTGGCTTCAGAAATTTGTACAGACGGCTCGAAGTGAGGAGAAGAGAGTGCAGATCTTTCGTTCTGCGAGGCTGATTTTGTTCGAAGGCCTTTTGGTATGCGATGCCGATCTCGTAGAATCGTAATTGAGTCCAGTTAGAGTCCAGTTGCAGGTACTCGACGATCATCATGATCACCTCATAAGGAAGATCAGGTAGACTTGGCATTGTTGTTCCTCGGATCATAAATTTTTCTCAACCGCTTCGTATCCGAATCTGGATGGCAAGAGACTGCAAAAGACAAGAAACGATGTCAGAATTTACCCAAGTCAGGTCGCCAAAAGTTCCCACGGATTGCCACTCAATGTGTGCTAACTGGATGTGGGTTAGGGTGTCCTGGTGAGAAGCCTCCCTAGGCCCCCATCACGCACCCGAGGTACTTCCCTCAGGTTCAGCACGATCGTATTTAGTCTGCTCGAAAGACCCCCGTATTTGACACTGTCTTTGTGAAAAATCAGAGAGATTTTGAAACTAACATTATTCGGGTAATTTTTGTGCACCTCCATAGAGGATAAACTGGTATGTACAACTTTTTAAGTATTATGTGCTCTAAATATTTCCATTCTCCTCCGTCTTCTCTTCGGGCTCCGCGGCAAAAGACTCCTGAGCCGGCTCGAAGAATGGTGCGAATTTACTCTTCATTCGGAGCCTCTTGCCAAAGAAGTAGAATCCAATCGGGATAGGAACCAGGACAGCAGCGACACAGCCGAGCAGTGTAGACGCCCACTGAATACCCATATTCTCAAACATCTGGCGTGAGAAAAGAGGGAAGGCTGCTGCTACCATGGAACGGCAGAAGGTGTTGGCTGCGATGGCCGAGGCGGCGCTATTTGAATGTTAGGAGAGTCTCTGAAGAATTCAGAAAGAGGGAATTACTCACAACATGAGGTAGGTATCAATGATGTAGTTGAAAAGCTGAATGAAAATAACCAGAAGACCGAAGCCGGTGAACAAACCACTCAGGGTAGGCACAATCCAGTGGATGGTACCGTTGAAACCGGTCCAGCCGAACCAGAAAAGACCAGCAGCGAACAAGGCACCGCCAACCATCACTGGTGGCAGCCGCCATTCAGGAACTCCCACGCCGCCATTCTTATCCAGCTTCTTAACGTATGAAGGGGAAGATATAATGATGTATGCCGCGGCGATGAAAAGACCAACGATCATGCCAAATAGCGGAAGACCGCTAACACCGGCATTGAAGCCATAGACCTGCTGAAAGACGAGGGTATAGGCCGTCAGGAAACAATAGAGAAGACCATAGATGAAGCTCAGGTAGATAGTCACTGCCAGAATCAAAGGCTCGTGAATGAGCAGCTTGATCGGGCGAGAGAAATTGTTGACAACCAGCTCTCTGAAATCGACCTCGATCTCCTCTTGCTTGGCGTGGATCCCCCAGTTCTTGGTTCGTCGGCGAAGCTCCGAGGCTTTCTCAACGAGGACGACAGGCGGATACGACTCCTTGAGGAAGAACAAGTTCATCACGAATGCGGCGTAGCCCATGAAAGCCGGGATATAAGCGGTCCAGCGCCAACCCAGGTAAGACATGTTGATGAAACCACCGATGAACGGAGCAACCAGAGGTCCCAGGAAGACCGTGCCTGAGAAACAGGCAATGGCGACACCGCGCGTGCGGTTATTGTAAATGTCGGAGAAGACAGCAGCAACCACTGCCAAGGGTGAACTGCCAAAGATACCACAGAAGAAGCGGCAAATCATGAGGGTTTGCAGATCTTTGGAGACTGCAACGGCGGTGTTGAAGATTCCAAAGCCCAGCATGGCAATCACGATGCCTAGGCGACGGCCCTTGAGCTCGGACAACGGTGCCCAAATAAGCGGTCCCGACGCGTAGCCGACGATATAAAGTGAGCTGGACAGAGCCGAAACCTCGAGGCCCACGCCGAAATACTTGGAAACATTTTGAGAAGAAGCGCTGAAAATGGCAGAATCAAAAGTCGAGCAGATACTGGTGAAGGCGAGCATGGCACTGATGTAGAACCTAGAGAGGAATAGTTAGCACGATGCACACCTCACTCCTTCAGCCTTTACGACTTACTTCGTCCACAGCCCCCAGTTCTGTGGGTACAGAGGATCGTCTGGTCCATCAAACTCCACCACATAATCTTCACGGCTGGGGAGCAGCGGGGGATACGGCTTGCCGGCACCGAAATTGGGGAGGGGGCCTTGGAAGGTCGCGACTGGGCGCTTTCACCAACGGTGAGCTGATGCTGCAATCGCTGGGTCTCGATTCGGCTGAGGGCCTGGGAGGTTGTCGATCGGCGGCGTTCCAGGTCAACTTCTGTGTTGCGCGACTGCATTCGGTGAACATAGGGATCGTAGTCAACGGAGCTACTCGAGCCGGAGGACGACCCCGTCGTCCCTGATGTGGTCGGTCTACTGGCCTCGGCGGATGCTCTGGGCTTTCCCTCGCCCCAGTTTGAGACATCGGCCTCGGCCTGTTGGAGCTGCTGATCGGTCCTGTTCATGGCGACAGTTCAGATGCTTGTCTCGAGCTCTATAGTTCAAATGGCCCTTGGGCCGTGGTGATCAGGTGGAATGTCCCCGGTAGCCCTGACTGCAGAGAGGTCCGAATGAGATAAGTAGACTTTTTTCCAGGCGCGGCGGATCTCCAATATAAACAGGAGCTGCCCTGAAGGTGGCCATAAAAAGTGAAAATGGGGCTAGGCACAAGATCCGACTTAACCGTCCAGACCCACCACCCGACGGCTTCGCCTTGCGACAACAAGTGCCGAACCTCAGGGACATCGCCGTCCGGTGAGAATTTTCTGGCTGAAAGGATTTCGATATTCTACAATTAGCAGTAGAAACAAGCGATCGATAGCCAGTGGTTGGCAGCCGTTACCGTTGATGCGCGTGTGTTCTGCATCGCGTCGGTGGTACGATCGGCCTTAAACTTGGGCTGCACGCATCCACGGCCAGATTCTCACAGTGGGGCCCTCCGAGACTAGTGGGAAAATATGTGCACGCAGGCGGAACTGATGTCATCCATTTGGGTGTCATGAATCAGTGCGAGGTGTGGAGCTATTAATAATTTGCCCCCCGAGGCGCAAAGGTGGCAAGGCTACCAAATGCGGCCAGGCACACCCGTTACTCCATACCAGAACAGAGAGGAGAACGGTCGGGGCGATAGAAGGGCGAGGACCGAAGCATCGGTAGCCCCGGTGCCTGTGCATGACAGCAGAGGAACCAGCGGGTGGATCAACACAAGCATTGACGGAATCTTGAGGGAATCATGGGTCTCACGGCTATCTCGGTCTGGAGACACTAGCGCCCACGAGGGGATGTTTGCTGACGACTCGACCGCTGTTCTTGCGCATAATGCCTCCACTGGGCATTCTATCCCATAATTCTATGCATAGTATTTAAGGGGTATGGCTTGAACCTGACAGCGGCCCTAATTACGATATATCACATACCCATCTGCCAGTAGTATACTGTTGACTGCTCTCTGTTTGTAATCGCCAGCCCCATATCGGGGAACGAGAACAAAGAAACGCCGATGGGCCGAGTCTCTTTGTACTTGGGAAACCAATGCCGACCAACCCTCTTGTCGAACTTTTTCATCAATGGCTGATAGTATACGATAGTGTAGCCATCTGTTGTGCCTCTCACTGCCATCAATCTATCAGCACACGATATACATGCACGGGGGAAGTCGATTCCTACTACTGCAGTAATATCTATTTAAGTCTAAGATTAACTATCCGATGAAATATATCTAGGCTAATCTTCCTCCTATGATCATGATCTGGGGATCTCTGTCGGTGTGAGAAACGAGGCAGTGACTGGTCCGCTGCTCGACCCAGGGTTTCCAAATGCGGGCTGACAGGCCCAGACCCGAATGCAGGCTGCTTATTTGCCGCCCGCGAGAAGCAGTCAGGATCCACCGTCAGCCGAAGAAGCCTAAATTCTCGTATTTGGGCATTCTGGAGCAATGGTTCCTCGTCGCTGGCCTCGCCATGACGATACTATCTTAGCCGTGGTCGGGATTTGGTTGTCGCGGCCCTTGCGGGATCTGTTGGCGGATCCTCTGATCTCGGCCTCTACAAACGCCGACCACGACAAAAGCTTCTGTTTTTTTCTTTTGAAGAAAGTTCTTATTTCCTCGACCAGCCTGCCCTCGCAATCTCACGCCCTAGGGATCGTGTGTCTCAGCAGCCCCGTGCCACATGGCTCCGGGGAAATTCTACCCCAAGGCCCGGCGACAGCGGCCTAGCATCCATGATCCCGCCGTACGGCCGCGTCGCCTGGCGCTCTTGAAAGCGGCGACAATCAATCTGCTGGTGCTGCAGTTCTTGTTCCTCGGCCTTTTCTGTTACATCTTCGGTTCTCTTTTCCAACAGGGCGAACATACTCACAACATCAATATTCTCTTCGTCGACTATGATGGTGGCGCCATAGGGAATGCGGTGCGCACCGCGTATGAGCAGCTGGAGAGTACTAGCTTCCCAGCATTGATGGAAAGACCGGCAACATCGTATCCTTCCACCAACACCATCGACGAAGCTGTTTGCAACATCAAATATTGGGGAGCCCTCTACATCGCCCCGAATGCTTCAGATCATTTGACCGCGGCCCTGGGAGGCGGATCTGCCGCAGCGGACTATGACAAAAGCAATGTGATGACAATGGTGTGGAATGAAGCACGCTATCCTACGACTGTGGATTCCGCTATATCTGTTACCCTCAAATCCCTCACTGAGGCTGCCCGAGTCGCCTTAGCTAAAGCCGATGGCCAGAAAATGCTCCAGGCCCTGAACACCTCCGATTCAGCTGCTGTGGCTGCTTTCTCAGACCCTTGGGTCTTATCATCCGTGAATCTCCAGGAGACATCACAAGGGTCTCGATTAATCTACAATACTTTAGTGATCATCTTGATTCTTATCCAGGAGTTCTTCTATCTGGGTTATGTGAATGGCTTATACCAACAATTCCAACTCTACGTCTCAATTCATCCGCATCGGATTGCGATTGTCCGCCAGGTGATCTCCGGTGTTTATACCTTCATTGGATCTCTCTGTACCACTGGAGCCATCTGGGCGTTTCGGCATGGTTGGCACGTCAATGGGTACCAATTCGTGATTACCTGGATGTCCCTGTGGCTGTTCGCGCACCTCAACTTTCTCGTTCTGGATGTCTTCACGATTTGGCTTCCACCTCCCATTGTGCCAATGGCATTGATCTCCTGGATCGTGACAAATGTCACATCAATTCTGCTTCCTTTCGAGCTCTCGCCCGCCTTCTATCGCGTGGGATTTGCTCTACCCGCGCACAGCATCTTCAATATCCTGATCGATATCTGGTCTGGTGGCTGCAATCCCCAGCTCTACTACGCGCTACCAGTTCTCTTTGTGTATGAAATTGTGGGTCTGACCCTGAGCACGATCGGGGTCTACCGACGATCACATTACGCTGTGCTCAAACATGAGGCCGATGAAAAGGCCATCCAAGATCGCATTGAACCAGCCGTCTCTGAGCGACAGGACCAACTCCCGACGGAGATAACTGCTGATGGGCCGCGAGAAAGCGAAACATCTGAGACCGATCCCGAGGCTGGAGGTGCCATGCAAAGACGGACAACTGTGGCTACCCAGGCCGATCAAGAAGAAATAATGGAGATCATACGGCGTGAGATGTCGCGGCCAAGGGTGGAGAAGGCGACGACCAGCAGGGAGAACAATGGCCCCTGCTTCGATCTACCGTTTAGCGACTAGCAGTCTGCTATCTAGTCCTTGAGTATCGAGGCTATATGGAAATATAATTCGTATTCGTATTCAGAATCGGACCGACTCGTTCTTACCCGGTTTGACACAGTGGCAACTCGGTGTCAACTCTTTTGTCTGATTGATCTAGGTATTCATCCGAAGTAAACATATTCGGCTCATTTATGATTTGGGATCATGCCTTATAGGAGGTAGTGTCAGGATAGTACATAGTGTAATAATAAGTGGTTGCAGTCGTATAATGACTTCAGCGTCGCAATCGGGCAGCGATCGGCGGCGGCGGATCTCCCGGAAACCCGCTCAGCTTGGCGCCTGCGCCCCTGGGCCACTGGGCGTCCCATAATCTCCCAGCCATTTTCTCTTTCGCAACTTGCTCCATCGTCCAAGCCCTTCCATCGCATACATTCTTCGGGTCCAAAGATGGGGTTTTCATCCCGTTTCCTCCGCATTCCGCGGCCAGAGGTAAAATCACCGATGCCTCGCCTGCCCAGTCCCAAGCTGACAGTCTCGTGACCGCAGACCTTTCTCTACGTGATGAGCCTGGAAACAGGCGCGTCGCTGATTACTCTATCCTTGCTGCTGAACAAGATTAGTGGTCTCTACGGCCTCCTCGCCCTCCTCACCGGATATCACCTGTCCCCCGTGCAACTGTCCATGTACCTGTACTCCCTAATTGCCCTCGCCCTCGCCGCCTTGCTCTTCCCACACATCCGCAAACAATCGCCTCTCGAGTGCCTGGGCCTTGCCTGGCTCTATCTCCTCGACAGTCTCATCAATGCCGCCTACACCGCCGCCTTCGGTGTCACTTGGTTCTTGGTCGTGTCGCAGCATTATGATAGTGGCAAGGCCTCCGGCCCCGGCGGCGACACCATTGCACAGACGGCCGGTTTCACCAGCCCCAAGTACGATGCCGCCTACGTCGAGATTCAACACACCAAGGAGGGTAACGAGTTCGTCGCTCACCCTCCCCGCAGCGCTGAGCACCTCAGCAACGCCGTTTACCAGCCCGAGAGCTTTCAGAGCATCATCTTCATCTCGCTTCTCTGGGCCGTGCGCGTCTATTTCGTCCTGGTGATGCTTGCATTCGCCCGTCAGGCTCTTCGTCTCTGGGTCGCTATCCCCAAGCACACTTCGCTCCCAACCCACAGCCGCAACGTTTCGGTCGCGAGTGTGGCTGACATCGACCGCGAACCATTCTCTGCCTATAGCCCCGATGGACAGGGATGGAAGGGCAAGCTGGGCCGGATCATGGTTGGCATTGGTCATAGCTACTGGCTTGGTGAAGAGGAGGATGGCAACTGGCTCAGTGGCATCAACCACAAGTTCCGTAACCGCAGCAACAACATCGAGTTGCCTGGTCCCCTCGAGCGTGAGCGCAGACGTCGCTCAGGCACCGGTCCTCCTCAACCCTCTCCGTCAGTCATTCGCTCTGGTGTGATCCAGCAGCCCATCCACGAGCACCCGGGAACGAACGTCAAGATGCAGGACTGGGGTGAGACTCGGTAATCTTGCGGACCTACCCATGGAAGAATCTAGTCCAGGCTAGGCATTGCCTCGGTGGTCGACCAGGACATCGTTCGGATCCCGTCGTGCTGGACATGACTCCCACGATTTAATCCTCACCTTGGTCTCCTATTACAATCTTAAAGCAACGTCTGGCAGTCCCTTACTTGACTACCCCCGAGGACACAATCCAAAGCGGCTCTTGTGTCCATTCTATCGTTTAATCCGACTACCGGAGCATGACGAACCACCCGCTACAAGCTTCGCGTTCCAATCACGTGCCCGGGATCGCATCTTCGCGACAGCGCCATCAGCTATGCCGAGGGTCCTTTGGGCTCAGCAAGTAGGGGCCTCTGTATCACGTCGAACATCTTTGTTGTCGCGTGCATCGCTTTTCTCACGGATGTATAAGATGCATACGCTACACTGAAGCGTTGGTTTGAATGGGAATGATATCAAAAGAGAATCGACCGCCATACCTTTCATGTGCATCTGCTTTTTTGGCGTCAGAACGTGTACATTGCTTTCATACGGGATTTGGGTGTCTTGTATTCTGGCGCCTTGGGACAGACATGACAGAGTTTCAGAATAGTCTACCATTGTACACAGCCTTGCTTATATACCACACATGCATGTCTTATGATTTTCTCTGCCAATACTCTACCAATAACCCCGCTCTTCTTCGTAATCTCAGTATCTACCTTCGACTCGATACGTGGAGCAGGTGCTACCTAACATAGGCCCCTTGTTTCTCGATGCATCCACAAAGATCACACGAGTTAGGTATGTATCTTGTGTCAGAAATCCAAATAAGCTCCGCTTGACAGGCAGCTGCATGAGCAGCCCCTATTCTGAGCGATATTTCCTCCTGTCACATCCGGTGGGTATGAAAAAGTGCCCGATGGCTGCCCGAGATCAAAAAATGATTCCCCGAAAATTACCCAACTGGCCTACTTTCGTCACAAATGTTAATTTTTATATTTTAAAATGTGAAAAACGGGGTTCTTGCGACAATGAACTCCCCGCCGGTGGCTTAGCGCCCGGTTAGCGCCCGACAGGCTGGTTTCTGGGATTGTGATCCCTATCCCGTGATCAAGGTATCGGTGCCTACATAAGACGTATTTGTCGTACCTTAGCATCCAACCTGAACCCCCTGTTTGACTTTCAACCCCTATACCATGATGTCTGTCTATTCTCGGTGTTTTCTGATTGTCGGTGAGTCGTTCAATTACTTGTGCTTCTCTGTCACCATCCAGTACTAACAATCTAGAAAATCGCAAGGGGCTGTGGGGCTGAGTTGGCTACGAGAGGGGACTGTGCGTAAGAACCACGAATATTACTGCACTTTTTCTTAGCAGAGGAGCTCGGAGGAGCTCGGAGGTATGTTCTATTCTTGATCTGCGGGCGAGTAAGTCGTCATCTAAAAATGACCACAGATGTTCGCCATCCAGTTCGACGCAGCCGGCATCTACAAAGTTGGCACACGAACTCGACAATTCCACGTCTCCTTCGAGGAAATGATATCCTTCATAGGCGGCATCATCGCTCTACTCGAATACGGCCATCCACTGAAAGTCTTGAAAGGAGTGCTGGGTAGATTTCGACACCGGCTCGTGCATCGCTCCGGGACATCTCCCGACGCTCGGCCAGCAATATGGATTGACAACTCCGGACCGGTACTATACGAGATCTGCCATGGCGTAGATTCTATTCGTATTTCTCCAGGAGAATTGGAGAGTTCTCGGTTTGGACGGGCTATTAAATTGCACTGGGATGAGGGTATGATGAGTCCGAGTATGTCTTGGACTCTGCGAATGGTGTTTGAGGCCTTCTTCGTTGGTATTTGGAGAAACTTACAGCGTCACTTGAGGAAGCGGGCTTTTTAAAGCTTTTACTGCTATACCCCTGGCCTATTGGTCGCTATTTCATGGTTGATAATGCAGTTAACTGGTTTGGACTACTACTCTTCCGATACGCGTACTTTAAATCGTTCTATATACTTGGGTTTGGACGCTGTCCTAGAGTTTTCCTTTCGCCATTTGAGGTATACGTTGGAACTCATGAGTATTGGATCAATGCTTTTTGTGTCAGTCTTTGAAATTTTGACATTAATGGCACCGGGTTATCTGAATAAAAAGGTATGGCGTACTTTGATTCAGAAGAAATATATCAAATTTGCCAAGCAATTCTTCGTGTGGTGTGAAAACAATATCTAAGCTGACCGGCTCCTAAGTTCCCCCGAACAGTTTGAGAAAGGAAAAATCTCAATTTGGCGTAAAGAAAGAGAAGAGCGAGTAAAAGTTGTGAGACCTTGATAGTATCTAAAGATGGTTTGCACACTTTTCCGTTGTGTCTTGATACGAAGATGAGGTTAGTCATCCCTGATTGATCGACTGGCCCAGTGGTGAAGGCGCCCGTCTTACACACGGGAGATCGCAGGTTCGAACCCTGCGTCGATCAATGAATTTTTTTTTGGCAACCATCCCTTCATTTATCATCCATCCCTTTCTCACGATTGAAATGGGTTGAAATGGAGTTGAATGGGACAAATGGCTCATAAGGGCAGGTACAAGGTAGTAAGGTGGTCTAAATGTTATTTAGATCCGTCGAGTCACTTTTTGAAGACTATAATTTTTACATAAAGGATCATTAAATTTATCAAGATTCACCTATAGTTTGTATAGCTTATTTATTTGACTGGGAAGGACGCAAAGACCGTTGCAGAACATGATCGGGCTATGTTTTGATCACGCCATTTAGGGATTTGGGCGATGACTCAGATTCACGGCTGATCGTCTCGGTGTTCCAGAGATGGCAGCAGCTCTCGACCGAGAATCGGTAATCGCCGCTGTGCTATTGGTACTCTTGGACGGGGAGGGGTGAGGAGAACACACAATTGAAAAAGCAGAGCAGTAGAATAAGCGGCAGAATAGTCATGTACTGGGTGAAGGTAGATTGTGTGGAAGTATTTATATCAAGATCGTGCAGATTATCAATAACGAGCGAAGCACTATTCCATGACCAAGGATAATCCTCATTTTTTGGACGGCAGCTGACAATGTAGAAATCGCATTTAGGGCATATTAAAGTGCGGCAGGCAAAAGCCGCCCGCTGACGTGCTCGCCCGGTCACGGGATTCCCCGCACTACGGCCCAATGCGGCATGTTTGCATCTCCCGATGCCGGGGTTTGCATTGATGTCGTGATCGTGCGCCAATGAGAGAGCTGCTGATCTAACCCCGATGGCGGAGAACTCGTTGGAGGAAACTTGCCGACTTTTTTTTCTTGTTGTTGGATAGATCTTAAGAGAAGTGCGAAGGGACATCAATTGTGTCATATTCCTCCTCTACCCCTTCTTCTCTGTGGTGGATCTGCGTTGAGCGTGGGAGATCGTTGCATGCGCCGATAACCCAATATCGCGCCTGATTTCCCCATCCCACCTTGCTGTGACTTGCGCAGCATCTGCCAACCATGGCAACTGTTCAAAATGCGGGCGAAGCGGGTGAGTATGCACATATTTCCTAGACGCTGGACAATTGCTTATTGAATGCTCGTGTGCTACTAGTGGCCAGAATCGCCTACCTGGCCAGCGACCTCGTCCTTTCCGTCCAACCTTCTCTGCAAGGTGACTCGTTGTTCTCCAAGTCCCTGAAGTCCCTTAAGGCTAGCAAGACCGCCGGTGTGCTGTCAAGGGGTACCACAGAGGTAATTCACATCGCCCGCATAGCCGTGTTTCAGGGAAGGAGTTGGCTAACATAAGGAAATAGGTACAAGCCGTCCGCTATAACGAGGACCCTCTTCTGTCCACCTTCTACGCTCTCCAGAAGGGCGAGACTGTCTCTGTTGTTACTGGCTCTTCTATCCTTATTTCCTCTGTGCCGCACCTGTACCGCCTCGCCAACTTTCCCGTTGTCATCCACGTCGCCCTGGAGCCCACCCCATTCCCCGACTACTCCGTAATTAGCTCCATCAGGCAATGCGGTTTCACCTTCTTGCACTCGGAGACCATCCAGGAAGCTCAGGATATTGCTCTTACTGCCCATGCCCTGGCTCACAAGTCTGGAAAGGGGGTCATCCACTTCTTTGACCCGGCCAACTCCGCCAAAGACCCGGCTATCGCCACTGAAGATGTCGAGGTCGTGAAGAAGATTCTGAACCTGGGTGGGAACACCGCTGTTCACACCGCCGGTGCTGAGGCTCTCTACACCGACTCTGGCCGTGTGGCCACAGTCTCTGCTGAGGGATCGCAGGCCACTCCCGCTGGTCAGGAAGAGGCCTCAGCCAACTTGGCTGTGCCTTCTCAGAGCCAGACTCCGTCCAACTTCAGTGTCGAGAACTCCTCCGTCGGATCCTCGCGACGTGATAGCAGTGCTGGAAGCGAAGCACCTAGCTCGACTGCCACCACCGTGGACAACTCCAGTGTCCGTCCGGTCAATGCTGCTGATATCTTTGATTGGACCTCCCAGATCTGGACCGCCTTGTCCAAGGAGGTTGGCCGCACTTACAACGCCATTGAATACACCGGCCCTGCTGATGCCAAGTCTGCTGTCTTCGTTTTCGGCTCCACTGGAGTTTTTGTCGATGCTCTGTCCAACTCTGGTGCCAACGAGCTTGAGAACATTGGTCTCATCACCGCTCGTCTGTACCGTCCTTGGGTTGGTGGCCAGATTGTGAACTCCATCCCGAACTCAGTCGAGAAGATTGCCGTTTTGGAGCAGGTTCGCAAGACCACCAAGTGGGGCCCATCTTTCATGGATCTGCTTTCCAGTGTCACCCCCTCCAGCGTCCGTGGACAGACTCTCAAGGTTGTTGGATACCGTCTGGGATACGTTGAGCCTTCGACTGCTGTCCAGGCTCTCCGTGGGATTCTCCAGAACCTGGAAGCCCCCTCTCCCATCCAAAACCTGGACATCGGAAGCTCCGACGTTCCTTCTATTCAGGAGGCCCTTGAACAGCCTCACATCGAGAACGCCTACATCAAGATCCTAAACCAGCTTTTTGGCGAGCGTCTTTACATTGCCAACCAGCTTGGCGCGAACAACGCTGGTATCTCGTCTACCATTGCCGCCAGCCCCGAGTACGGTTTTGGTTCTCTGATTGCCCGCAAGGAGCACCGTGAGCGCTTTATTCGCGAAGTCGAGGAGGCCTCCAAGTCGTCCAGCTTCGCTACCGATGTTCCCAAGTCCTGGCTGTCTCGGTGGGCACTTAGTGCCAAGGAGGCCGCAAAGGCTAACAAGATTGCCCCGGATGTTATTGCTCGTCTTTCAAACGACGGCTCCAAACTGTCCCGCCAGCTTCTAGGCTCTAAGAAGCTCTTCTACGAGGAGTCCCAGTGGCTTGTCGGCTCCGATGCCTGGGCCTACGATATTGGCAACTCCGGTGTCCACCACGTTCTCGCTTCCGGTGCCAATGTCAACATGTTGATCATTGACTCGCAGCCTTACTCCGAGCGTGCTGCTGCCGACCCCACTCGCCGCAAGAAGGACATCGGTCTCTATGCTATGAACTTTGGCAACGCCTATGTTGCCTCTACAGCTGTCTACGGCTCCTATACCCAGGTACTCCAGGCCATGTCTGAGGCCGAGCAGTTCAAGGGCCCCTCGGTTGTTGTTGCTTATCTGCCTTACAACCAGGAGAATGATTCCGCTCTCACTGTTCTTCAGGAGACCAAGAAGGCGGTTGACCTTGGCTACTGGCCTCTGTACCGCTGGAACCCCGAAAACGAGGAGAAGGGTGAGCCTAAGTTTGCTCTCGATTCCGAGCGCATCAAGCGCGAGCTGGAGGAGTTCCTTCGTCGGGACAACCAGCTCACCCAGCTCATGAACCGTCACCCCGAGTTTTCCTCTGCCCTGTCTGCCTCTTACGGCACTGAGGTTCGCGCCCTGCAGAAGCGCCATGCCAAGGATGCCTACGAGAAGCTCCTTGAAGGTCTTTTCGGTGCTCCTCTGACCATTCTGTTCGCCTCCGACAACGGAAACGCGGAGAACATTGCCAAGCGCCTAGGTAACCGCGGTCGTGCTCGTGGCCTGAAGACCACTGTTATGGCTATGGACGATTTCCCTGCCGAGGACCTGTCCACCGAGGAAAACGTCGTTTTCATTTCCAGTACCGCTGGTCAGGGTGAGTTCCCTGTCAACGGCCGTGCCCTTTGGGAGCACATCAAGAACTCTGGAGACCTGGACTTGTCTACTATCAACTACTCCGTCTTCGGTCTGGGTGATAGCCATTACTGGCCCCGCAAGGAGGACAAAATCTACTACAACAAGCCTACTAAGGACCTTGACGCCCGGGTTGCTTTCTTGGGTGGTCGCAAGCTCACCGATATTGGTCTCGGTGACGACCAGGATCCCGATGCTTACCAGACTGGCTACTCCGAGTGGGAGCCTCGTCTGTGGCAGGCTCTGGGTGTCGACAAGGTTGAGGGTCTACCTGAGGAGCCTGCTCCTCTGACCAACGAGGACATCAAGATCCAGTCGAACTACCTCCGTGGTACTATCGAGGAGGGTCTTGTTGATGAGAGCACTGGTGCCATCTCCGCCAGCGATGCTCAGCTGACCAAGTTTCACGGTACCTACATGCAGGATGACCGTGATATTCGCGATGAGCGCAAGGCCCAGGGTCTTGAGCCCGCCTACAGCTTCATGATCCGCTGCCGTCTCCCCGGAGGTGTTGCTACCCCCAAGCAGTGGCTCCAGATGGATGCTATTAGCAGCTCCCACGGTAACGAGACAATGAAGCTCACCACCCGTCAAACCTTCCAGTTCCACGGTGTCATCAAGAAGAAGCTTCGCGGTGCTATGCGTGCCATCAACCAGTCTCTCATGGATACCATTGCTGCTTGCGGTGATGTCAACCGTAACGTTATGTGCAGCTCTCTTCCTGAGCTGTCCGAGTTCCACCGCGAGACTTGGGCTTTTTCCAAGAAGATCAGTGAACATCTTCTTCCCTCGACAACTGCCTACCACGAGATTTGGTTGAAGGACGAGAATGACAAGAAGGTCCAGGTTGCTGGAGATGCCGTTGTCGACCACGAGCCTCTCTACGGCCCCACCTACCTGCCCCGAAAGTTCAAGATCACAATCGCCATTCCTCCCCACAATGATACCGATGTCTACGCTCATGATATCGGCCTGATCGCTATCAAGGGCGCCGATGGCCATCTGGAAGGTTTCAACCTTCTTGCCGGTGGTGGTATGGGCTCCACCCACAACAACAAAAAGACCTACCCCCAGACTGGTCGCATGTTCGGTTTCGTTCCTAAAGACTCTGTCCACATCTTCTGTGAGAAGATCATGCTTGTCCAGCGTGACAACGGTGACCGCAAGAACCGCAAGCACGCCCGTATGAAGTACACCATCGACGACATGGGTGTTGACACGTACAAGGCCGAGGTTGAGAAGCGCATGCCCGACGGTCTGCGTTTCGCCGAGCCCCGTCCGTTCAAGTTTGCTTCCAACGTCGATACCTTCGGCTGGTTGAAGGATGAGAAGGGTCTGAACCACTTCACTTTCTTCATCGAGAACGGCCGTATCGAGGATACTGCCGACTTTTCCATGCGTACTGGTCTCCGTGAACTCGCCGAGCTGGGCAAGGGAGAGTTCCGCCTCACTGGTAACCAGCATCTTATTATCTCCAACATCACGGATGAGGATCTTCCCCTCATCAAGGAGGTCATGGCCAAGTACAAGTTGGATAACACCGCATTCTCTGGCTTGCGTCTGTCTTCTTCTGCCTGCGTTGCTTTCCCTACTTGCGGTCTCGCTATGGCTGAGTCTGAGCGCTACCTGCCCGTCCTGATCTCCAAGCTTGAGTCCACTCTTGAAGAGAACGGCCTGGCTCGGGATTCCATTGTCATGCGTATGACTGGTTGCCCCAACGGTTGCGCCCGCCCATGGCTTGCCGAGGTTGCCTTCGTTGGCAAGGCTTACGGTGCCTACAACATGTACCTGGGTGGTGGATACCATGGCCAGCGTCTGAACAAGCTCTTCCGCTCCTCCATCAAGGAGGACGAGATCCTCGAGATCATGAAGGACCTGCTCAAGCGCTATGCCCAAGAGCGCAACACTGATGGCGAGACTCCTGAGCGCTTCGGTGACTTCTGCATTCGTGCTGGTGTTATCAAGGCCACCACCGACGGCCAGAACTTCCACGAAGGCGTAAGTACAGCTCCATGATAACTTGTTTTCGGATTCTTGGATTCTAACATTCTTTTTACAGGTTGCCGAAGAAGATGAAGAAGAGGAGTAATGTTGAAATATACTCTTCCAATATACCGAACGTGTCATGACCGCCACGGGAAACAAAATGTGTGATTTTTTGTTCCTTTCTTTCTGTTGATAATATTGTGTCCATGTCTTTTCCACGTCTAGATGCATTGTTTCTTGGCGAACGATGATTCCGCTCGTGCAAAACCTTGCTGATTTTCTTGATATCATCCATTTACATCGTTTTCCCCCACATATGTATGTGTCTCTATGAGCTTAAAGCTGCTTGAATGCATAGAATGATTCCCAACATTTGGTTGAGTAAGTACTAGTAGATACATTGTAGGGTGGAATTCCTAACCTCACTTGTGACTTGCTGACAGCTTGAAGATCGTATGTCTTGGACGAGCGTAGTCATTTGCGTATGATTATGTTAAGGAAATATTTTTCTTTTGACACGAAGAACCTACTTGTTTATCTGAGTAAGTGATTGGAAGCTTGGTCCCATCCATCGATACACCCAAGGCGTGGCTCTTGGTTAGAAACGTAGGCGCGGCGAGACTTTAGGTTGCCAGTGGCTGTGGGAGAATCGGGCGGTGAATGCTGGATATTTTCTGCCATACCTCACGGTCATTCACTTGAGCTCACGCCGCTTATCAAACCCGATAACCGCGCCAAAAAAAAACGAGGGCAGTTAAATTCGAGGCTGTTCCTAGTCCATATTTTCAATTCCATTCAACCTTTACTTGGGCTTTCCCTGGGGTTGTGGACTCGCCTTCGATCCGTACAGTCGCCATTTTGCCTTAATTCGCAGTCATGAGCTCGACCGAGGACGATCCGGTTGTTGCCTCCTACGATGTCTTCCTGACCGATTCCGACGTCTCTCGCTATGTCTTTCAATACATCGACAGGCCCGGAAAGCATCCTTACAATGAGCGCATGGGTCAAAAGCCGACTGCAATGCGCATGAAACCGGACTCCGGGCTTGTGGAAGTCGAGGTCCCGATCTTTACCCGAACGACCTACGATGTGAACAAAGGCCTCAAATACGGTGAAGCAATAAAAAAGAGCCGCGCGGCCCGCGACGGGGGCGCTTTCGGAATGGCTGGTGGATTTAGCGCTGGGAGCATGGCTACTAGTGGCGGTGGAAGAGTCAAGTCCGAAGCGACTGGTGATATCGAGATGCTGGAAAACAAAAAAACGACGGACCAAGCGTCGCTTGTCCGAACGCAGGCGCTCGGTGGACGCATCAAGCCCCAGGAAGAGGGTGATCCGGTCCATATGCTGGCCACATTCAAAGGAAGTGAGTCAAATCCCTGGACGGGCGTCTCCTACAGGATGCGATCATGCAGCGACGCCGAGATACTAACAACGCGGCCTAGAAAACCTGCACCTCTCCCCCGTTTCTGCAGTTGTTCAGCTACACCCGCAGCTCCACCATCTCGATGCAATGGACGAGATGCCTAAAGGGAGGGGCGCCAAAGGCAAGAAGGAAGAAGAAGAACGCCCGGCCGAGAGTGAAGCACGGGCGATCGACGTGAAAATCAAGGGCGCAGAAGAACGCGGCGCTATGCTTGTCGGCAATTTGGACCTGCTTAAGAAGATGCAAGAGGAGAAATGGAAGAAGTATGATTGGGTGGATGCTGAGGTATGTTTCCTGCTCTTTTTTCTTGTGGTCGTTTGCTTTATTCGCGGTATTCTAACATTTCGCAGACCGAGGAATCTTGGTATACCTACGAAAATTATATGATGCACCAGAAACCCGACGAATTGCCGCAGCTGGAAGCTTCCATCAATAGTGAAGATTATTTGGATGGCATGAGTGCTCCACGAATTGACCCTGCCCGACCAGAGATGACAGGGTGGGCCATGAAGCAAAATCGGCAGAAGCAGCGGGAGGCGCCATCCGACAGCGAGGATGAAGGGTGACTAGAAATAATAAATGGCGGAAAATATCACAAGCGGCAATCCATCTATTCATCCATTTCCAAACTCGTGGTCGCAAGCTGAGGTATACGGAATACTCGGGAATAGCTCGAAGTAACATGAATGCCATGTGTTCTAAGGCCCTTCCTTATAAGTACTCTGGGCAAGTATATATTGGCAGCAAACTCTATCACCCTGTCTTAACGCCTTTGGGTAAGCAGACCCAAATCGAATTGAATCGAAATCCTGCAACAAGAATAGGACGATAGACTCTGAATTTCTATCCATATCCATCCCATAGTAGAAAAGCCGGAGTGGCGATTCGGGGGAACCGCGGCCGCGGCCCGCCAATCAGGGCGACCCGCAATCTGCGATCCCCCCGGGGGTCACGTGCGCGTCCGCGTCGTTCGGCCGCAGTTTTTTCCCACGCGATCATCCCTTTTCATCAATCACCCCCATTCTTTCATTCTCAATTCCCCACGGGTTGAGGGCTGCAGGTCGGTTGAAGGATACTGGTGGACGTCTGCTGCCGGGATTTCATTCTCTGCTTCACCCGTCCTTACCTGCAACCGTCTACTTCCAGTTCATTGCGATACTTGCGTTTTCTTCTACATCTATACTTTCTTATTTTTTTCTTCTTTTTTAATACTCCTATCCTCCAAGATTCTCTTCTGATCTTCACGCCGTCATATAATCTTCGATCGCCAAACAGTCGAACCTTCATGCGCCATGTTGTCTCGGGTCGCTCGTCAAAAGAATGCGCTCTTCCACCTTCGGAAGGCCCATGCCCATCAGGCATTGGGCGCATCGTCAATACCGCGCCTCCATTCGACCTCTACCCGTCTGAACCCAGCTGCTATTCCAAAAACTCATTCAAACCCGGAGCGACGCCGGAGACCTTCACTTCAGTCTCTGCGCAGTCTTGCAACGGCCACCGACCCGCCCACCTTCGAACATAACTCCTTCATGTCTTTGAACGAAACCAGCGTCGAACGCATGTCCGCCATCGATACCTCTTCTCTGATCATTATCAATCAGACCCCCCAGACACAACCAAAAATCTTCCGCAAGGTCCGCGGTATCGGTGGTGATCTGAGTGAAATGCTGGCAAATTTTGATATGTCACTGAAAGTTGGGCGATTTGACCGAGCAAGCGTTTTGCTCAATCGACTGGAGACTTATTACACCGCGAACTCCTCCGAGTATCGTTCCCTTCACAACCGCTACCTGAAGGAAATGGTCGCTTACATGATTGCGACTCGAGAGGAAGAGATGATTATGCCCCTGCAAAAATGGTTCGAAACCGACATGCCTGCGGCAGACGTGAAGCCGGATGCTACAACATTTGCCATCATGATTCGCATGGCTCTACGCATGCTAGACGGGTCAAAGCGGGAACGAACTGTTCGTCGCTACTGGAACTTTGCTAAGCAAGCTGGTCTTCACGAAGATCTTCTGGCTGTCGAGGTGCTTACTGATTTGGACCTTGGTGAACTCTCCAGAGTAAGCTTACATGCTTTTGTTTCTCATTCACATACCGCCAGTATACTGACTTGTTTGTTTCCTTAGATTTGCTTCGCCGATCTATACCCAGTAAACCTCGAACTGGTCACGGAAGAACACACAGCTAAACAAATCGACGATATCCCGAATGTTCTCGCAGCAGAACAAAAAGGCCTTGGTCTGTCATCCTTGATGGAGTCTTTGTCTCTGTTCAAAGAAAACCCCCGTTTTGCCCTTCCAGAAGACTTCAATGGAACAGAGGAGGAGAAAGAAGAACTGCAAAATCAGCTACGCCAACGGCAACTTGAGAGAGATACCATCAATGCGTCCATGAATCGCTGGCGGGCAGAATTTATGTCAAGGACACAGGCTGGGATTGATGTCACCACTGGCAAAAAGAGCATAAATTCTGTTGTTAGCCAATGGCACAATGCGCTTGTCTCAAAAATCGAGGAGGAAGTGAAGTTAGGCATGGAAGCTGAGACCCAGCCGATCCGTACCGAGATACAGGCACGTCGTCTTGAGCACCTTGTTTTCCTTCAGTCTATGAGCGGCGACCGACTAGCCGCTCTGACTATTCTCGCAGTCATGAGTACATTTTCGCGTGGAGGCATGGAAAAGGGCATCAAACTGTCTGCAGTTGCATCCACGATTGGCAGAGAGGTACAGCAAGAGCTTGTTGCGCAGGAAATCCTGAAGCAAGAAACCAACTCAAGTCCGACGCGTACCAAAATGCTTAAGGAGATGCTTGCAGACCGCAAGGGAAAGGATGGTCGCCTGCGATGGAAGGCCATCAGTGAAAAGATGCAGACAGAAAACGAATCCCTGGCGTGGACTCCAAGAGTTCAAGTTCGACTGGGTGCAGTTTTGATGAGTCTGCTTCTTGAAGTCGGCAAAGTTCCTGTACGGAACACAGACTCGAACACACAGAAAAGGACGACAGTCATGCAGCCCGCATTTCACCATTCTTACCAAATCACGTTCGGAAAACGCGCTGGGCTTGTTCATCTGCATCCTTCTTTGGTCAAAATGATGGTGCAGGAGCCCGCAGTCGACCTCTTGGGTCGTCATCTCCCCATGATTTGCAAGCCGAAAGCTTGGACAGGGGCGAAGGAGGGAGCTTACATGATCTACAAAAGTAATCTGATCCGCTCCACACCAGGCGAGCTTCTGCAGCCAAAGTACATTGATGCAGCGATGAAGGAAACAGGATTGACGGAAATTCGCCAGGGCCTTGATGTCCTTGGAAGTACGGGTTGGGCGGTCAATCGAGAGGTCTTTGATGTGATGTTGGAAGCCTGGAACTCTGGAGAAGGGGTTGCATCATTGGCACCTCTGGAACCAGACCTTCCAGCTCCACCAAAGCCTGATCCAGAAGCCGGGCATGCGGCCGAGAAGGAATGGCAAACTCGGATGCGCGAGATCGAGAATCTACGGTCTGGTTACCATTCTGTGCGGTGCTTCCAGAACTTCCAGATGGAAGTTGCGCGGTCCTTCCGCAATGAGACCTTTTACCTTCCTCACAATATGGACTTCCGTGGTCGAGCCTACCCTCTTCCTCCATACCTTAATCAAATGGGTGCCGACAACTCACGAGGTCTTCTCTTATTCAGCGATGCGAAGCCACTCGGCGTGAACGGGCTGCGTTGGTTAAAGATTCAACTTGCCAACTTGTATGGCTTTGACAAAGCAAGCATGGCAGAACGTGAACAGTTTGCCATGGATCATCTTGATGATATCCTTGATTCGGCCAACAATGGCCTGAAGGGTAAGCGTTGGTGGATCAAAGCAGCCGATCCGTGGCAATGTTTGGCCGCTTGCATCGAGCTGCGCAATGCCCTCCGCTACTCCGACCCCACTGAATACCCCAGCCGACTTCCAATTCACCAAGACGGATCTTGCAACGGTCTTCAGCATTATGCTGCCCTGGGCGGTGATATCGTCGGCGCGAAGCAGGTCAATCTAGAGCCCTCTGATCGACCTTCTGATGTCTACACAGGAGTTTCCGAGTTCGTCAAAGAGGCTGTGGCCAAGGAAGCTGAGGAGGGCCTTGAGATCGCCAAAATTTTGAATGGAAAAATCACCCGAAAGATTGTCAAGCAAACCGTCATGACCAATGTTTACGGTGTGACATTCATGGGTGCGATGAGACAAGTTCGCAAGCAGCTGATCGACCATTACCCCGAGCTTTCAACTGAAGAGAAGAAACAAGGCGCTTTGTACATTGCTCGGAAGATCTTCCAGGCTTTGAGTTCAATGTTCAATGGTGCCCACGACATTCAGTATTGGCTCGGCAACTGCGCAAATCGCATCACTCAATCTCTCTCACCAGAAGAGATTGAAGACTTTGCCAACAGAGCCTTGTCACCGAAGGATTCTGACACCAAGGTTGACGCCAAGAGCCTTGACCCAACCCGAGCATTCCGCTCAACTGTCATCTGGACTACTCCCCTCGGTCTTCCGGTCGTCCAACCCTACCGTTCTCGAAAGGCACGACGTGTGCAGACTACCCTACAAGACCTTAGCATTGTGGACCCGAGCTCGAATGATGTGATCTCGAGACGCAAGCAGCTTCAGGCTTTCCCTCCCAATTTCATCCATTCTCTCGATGCAACTCACATGATGCTTTCCGCCAATGCCTGTCATAAAGCCGGTCTCACCTTCTCCGCTGTTCACGATTCTTTTTGGACTCACGCTTCTGATGTTGATACTATGAATGAAATTCTCCGGGATGCGTTCGTGAAAATGCATTCTGATGACGTTATCGGTCGACTTGCTGCAGAGTTCCATGTTCGCTATGGCAAGCACCTCTTCCTTACCAGAGTCTCATTGAAAAGTGCTGTCGGCAGGGCCATCAGCAAACACCGCAAAGAAGTTTCAATGAAGAAGGGCAAGGTCGGGGAACTAGTTGAGGAACATCGACGACAAACCCTGTTACGATCTAGCGACCCGTATGAGCAAGCGAAAGGTCGTGAAATGGTGACTGCTGCTAGCATTTTCGAAGAAATGGGTGGAACTGAAGCCGATTTTGCGAATACCAGTACTTTGGGAGAAACCAAAGTTGGTCATGTTCCGGAAGACCTGGCAGTCGCTGAAAAACGACCAGGTGCAACTGTTGTTGATAATAGCGACCCGGCCATTCAAAGTTTGTTCGAAGATGTCGAGTTGATGGACACGCAGCATGAAACCCTGGCGGAGCCGGATGAGGAAGTCAAAAAGAAAAGGAGAGACCCGCATACTGTCTGGATTTGGATGCCTATGAGATTCCCTGATGTTCCTACTAAAGGTTCCTGGGACGTGTCTCGTATTCGCAAGAGCGAGTACTTCTTCTCGTGAGACATTTTTTTTTCTTTCACTTTTCTGGGTTTCGTTGAACGCATATTGTTGGCGCGATTGCATGGCACCTTGGATCTTTTTAATCGGTGTCACTTCCCTCCCCCTCTCACCCTTTGTATATCTACGTCTCATTTTTGATGGCTGCCAGGGGGCAGCCACATTGCATATATGTACATTACGCGCATGATTTGAGCATTTGAAAGAGCGAATGAAACGCCAGCATATAGTCACAATATACCATCACCATATTTACTGACTTTCGTGGCTTTGGTTGAACTGAAAGTTGACACTGTAGTTAATGAAGTCGAGTTGATATTATCCGCCCTGTGCTTCGAGCCAAGTGGTGTCTCCGAGTATGCTAACACTTTGAATGTGCCCAGGTTTGATTGCGCTTTGCTGTTATGATGTCACCTCTCATTGGGTAGGCACACTGCTGCTGAGTTCTTCCAAAACCACAACACTTATGAAGACTTACACTGCACAAGCCTCGGCAGGATTGCGTAAGCGGGGAGCCTTAATCCTCCTATTCCGCTGTGTTTCCAGTGCGTCTCAGCAATTATTCGCTTTACCGTTCACCTCCTGAATCGCCATCAGTGACAATGACCATGTCTAGCACGCCGACTTTGATATTCGTTCATGGAGCTTGGCATAGTCCAGCTTATTGGATGGACGTGACCTCCCGGTGTCAGCAACAGGGCTATCGATGTCTCGTCCCGCAGCTCGAATTCTGTGGCACCGAAAAACCAGTACAGTCGCTTGCTGGGAGCATTCGTCAGGTCCAAGACCTTATTGAAGCTGAAACCAAGCAAAAGAGGAATGTCATTCTCATCAACCACTCCTTCGGCGGTGCTGTCGGCTGCAGCTCCGTGAAAGGTTTCTCTGACAAGGATACATCAAGACTGGGACCTGGTTCCGGTAGGGTTATCGGAATAGTTCAAGTCTGCGCGTTCACGCCACCTTCTGGCAAGTCTTTGTACAACATGATCGACATTGACAACGCATTTCATCACTCTGGTCCTGACGGATGGGAGGTCATCGATAGTGGCGACCCGATCAATCTGTTTTACAATGACATTCCATCAGAGGATGCTAAGATTCGGACAAGTCGCCTACTCAAGCAGTCGACTGCTACTTTAAAAGATGAGGAGAACATCCATGCAGGCTGGGCCGAAGTTCCTGTATGGTATCTTCTGTGCACTCGTGACCAAGCTATTCCGATCCAAATACAGGAGATGATGGTCTCAGCCGCACAAAACGCCGGCGCAAGCTTCACGACCAGATCCTTGGATTCTGGACATAGCCCCTTCTTGAGCAAGCCCGCAGAGACCACCGGGTTTATCCTCGAAGCTGTGCAAGCTTTTACTACCCCCTGCTCCGTTAGCTAAGCCTTCGAACTATGTGATTCATCCATGACCGAATTTATCAATTCTCAAATAACCACAAATCTTGCTACTCGTAGCATCAACTTGGCCGAAAGATGTATCATTGGAATCTACTGCTTCTGCGAATAACATAGTCGCCCGACTTGTAATATCACTGCTCTATAACCGGCTCTTGTCTCTTCTCAAATACCACTGGAAGCGATGGAACAGCCATGGTGAAAGTGTCTTTAGCTCCAGTGTCAAAGTTCCTGCCATCCTCCCCTGGTGCAAACGAAATGTCGAATTCACTCGCAACCCGACGTAGCAGTGTTCGCATTTGTAGAAGCGCAAGTTGTTTTCCGGTACAGGCATACGCGCCTGTAGAAAGAAAAGTCAGAAATTTCTGGGAAAGAGTCATAATTTTCAAGATAATCGGATCAAGGGATCTCACCAATGCTAAAAGGAAAGTACGCTTGATCGTCGACGATCAAGTGTTTCCCCTCTTCTATCCAGCGCTCTGGAAGGAATTCCAAAGGACGCTTGTAGTTGCGTTCATCCCGCTGAACAACCCATTGAGGAACAAGTACATTGATGTTGCCGGGAATCCAGACTTCGTCAATAAATAGGCCTTCTGGTGGAGTCTCTCTTGGCTGTCCACTGGGAACAACAGGCTTCAGTCGAAGGGTTTCTGCGATGATGGCCTCAAGATATGGCAAATGAGATTTATGGTCCCCGGATTTCGAAGCCTCATCGATGTCTTTCTGTAGTCTACGGTATTTATCAGGATTGACTATGAGGTAGTACAGAATATTGGCCAGCGTAGCTCCAGTCGTATCGCTGAATTAGTGTCAGTATAGCAACGGGGAGAGGAGCCTGGAATCTCTGTACCTTCCAGCTATAATGGCCAGTCTGCCATCATCATAAAGAGCTTCATCTCCAGGGGGACCCAAATGACGACCCTCATCATTTGCCTTGAGTAGCCATGAAATAACGTCTGTAGGAGTTTTTGTTGCGTCTCGATGCCACTCCTGCTTTGGGTCAAAGATGAATAGGCAGGAAAATAATAGGACGAACCTACCTCTCTCCTTTGTTCTATTTGCTTCCTCGTGTAGTCAAAGAAAATCTTCGTTGCACCGCTGAGGAAGGGAATGCGGACCATGATATGCATCAACCAAGGAACCGAACCCATAAGTCCAACTTGGGCCATTTGGTCGCGCATCGCGGCAATTGCGAAGTGCTCTTTCGCCTCATTCAACTGATGAAAATCTTTGCTGAATGCGATGCGCCCCATGATGTCGAAAGAGAAATACATCGTCCACTTTGAGATATCCATGCTTTGGCCGAGGCGCTCGTTGAGCTGCTTGATGAAAATATCCACCTTTCGCTGGATGTCGGGCTGGTAGGTAGTGAGAGCTATTCAAGCAGAGGAATGTTAGCCTGTTCTTGAGTTGATGGCTCAACGTTGACTCAGGAAGTAGGCACCTTTGGGACCCAGACCTCTGTCCCATGCTTTGCGACGAAGACGATGAAGCTCAGCATCGCGGACACTGAGTACATTGACCTTGTCTGGATTATCTGACATTTGGCTATACCATGATGTCTTCGAAAACACAGATTGTGGACCATGTACGCTCCGCACTGCAGACGAGCGATTTATTGACAGTTCTCGAGGCCCTGTGGATAGTTAGTGAAAGATATGGCTGAAAGTGGACACATTGGGATTTAGACCAGTGCGAACAAAATCTCCATATTGACGATGCAGACTCTCTAGGTGAAGATGGTATTGAGAGTCTGAAGCTTTGACCATTGAGAAGGCGTAGAATCGACTGAGCTTTGCTCTCCAGGGACCTGGAAAGCTTCGCAGGCGATGGAAGGCCAGGCGGTAGATCGCTGTACTGAAGAGAAGCCCAGCAACAAAACAAGAGCAAGCCAGCGAAGCCTTGAAGACTCCGGATAGAATACCCAGAGTGTAAGCATTTGCCCATACCATAGACAAGCCAATCCAAACAGCTCCAAATGTAATGAGCAAGCTGCCACCAGAGCTGTCGATCTCCTTCGACAGAATGCTCAGATGACATATGACCCCCAGAAGGGAGCAACCGGCCGCAATAGACCCATTATCCGTTGGAAATTCTGCAACTAATCCCGAGAACATTTTCAAGATCCAGGGATCGGGAGATTTCGCACTGAAATGTTTGTGGAAAGTGCAGCACCGGGTGCAAGCAGCTGGCTAAATAAATCCCAGTCACACACTATTTTAAATTTGCTAAAGGGTCATGTAGTTTCAGTATGATCGCGCTGTCACTAGTCTGAAATTAGACTGAGGTCTTTCGATGCAGTCCCAGTCGCATTGACCCCTCCAACATAGTAAGTCAACGACACGGCGGTCCTTGAAACGACAGAAGTGGGGGGTTCACATTGCGCTGCATACATTTCCCGCTCTACCTGCGAAGCTAATGTAGTGCACTAGCCCCCATGTCTTCAAGCTAACCCAATGACATGGATTCGTATCGGCTCCAGTCGGCCTGGTGTAACCTTCAGCATCTTAATAGAGACTAGTCGAAGCGGGTCCATTCTTGTGCTCAAATCAAACCCACCTTGATTTGCTCCCCAAGGATATAAACTAAGCTGTAAAGGGAGACCTCCGCGGTACAGTCATCCCGGGTCGAGTACCTTTGTACGGCCCCCTTCATTAACTTCCGTCATCAACATAGAGTGGCTTGCTTTTTCAGCTCTGTCGAGGGCCGGGCTCATGAAGATGGTTGCAAGTGACTCTATTGCTGGCCCTTGGAACCTCTTTTCCCAGAAGGGGGCAACGCATGATGGCCGGAGAGTGAGACGAGGCGGGAAAGCACAGCCTCTGATGATGTGTGAAGTCCGGATAAAGGTCGGAGAGTGTAGCTGAAGGGCGAAGAAAAAAGAAGAGAGATGCCGCGGAGAAAGCAACGGCGAAGTGGCGGTTATGATGATGATGATGATGATGATGATGATGATGATGATGATGATGATGATGATGATGATGATGATGATGATGATGATGATGATGATGACGGATGCACACGAGATGTGAAGCTTTCCCCGGCATTATTCCATCAAACGACACGTGGCTGTCTCAGGCATCAACTGGGGTAAGCTCCAGCGAAGCTGCAGAAGGATAGCCTAGGGCAGTGCCTAAGACAGCTGGGGGAAAAGATAGACAAGAGCAGAATGAAAGAAATCGGACCGGCCCGCGAAAAGTTAAGTCCTAATGGCGTGCGCGTACCTTTAAATTCGAGAGACTGATCCTTATCAAATGAACAACCGCAACAATCCTTCAAACACTATACTAGGTGTCTCAATGAAGATGTTCGAGCACGGACTAGATGCAATGGTCCTGGTCATGAAGACATGTTCCGATAAAACTTGCCGCCAACCGTGGGAAACACTGCACCCAGATGGATATGTGAAGAGCTTGGTCGATGCACTCCATCCGAGATACAATGATTTCTACCGAGTTCAGAACAAGAACAAGTTTGAGAAATGCGAGGCGGGCTACAATGTGAAGAACGAACCCCATGTTCGGTGCTCCAGATACGGAGATCATACCGTCAGTGTATTGATGGGGGAAAGAGACTTGGACTGGTGGATGAATGCTGGATAGGGGTCTTCTCACTATGAGCTAAGAATGTCAGGTTCTCATCCGAAAATGCCCAATATCGTGTTTTCGTCCCTCATTATATACAAGGATACCGTTTTATTATTACTTTTTCGTCCAAAGAAGAGAAAATATTTACAATGCCCTCCGATCCCAGCCAGTACCTCAGACAGCAGATTCTCGCTCTTTATAGGATGACTTCTTATCTACCAGACACCTCCTCGAGTCCGAGTTGTCCGATCTATTTGGGGGCGGATGCTGCATAGTCCATGTTGCATTTACCCCTCATCTGAATTAGGAAGGCATGGCGGAGCAGCTGATAAGACAATAGTCGACCCCAGCTTTTCCACCCAACAACCACGCCACCCGTGAGCAAAGATGCCGGCCACCCAGCGACCCATCGATGAAATCCTGAACACGGTTGCTCGCCGCTATCGAGGACCAGGCGGGGCCATCGCCGTCGTCAAAAATGGCGAACTTGTCGGCCAACGGGTCTGGGGTTACGCCGATCTCGACCGACGAATCCCCTTGACATCAGAGACTCAGATGCCCATTTGTTCAATCACAAAGCAATTCGTCTGTGCCCTTTTGCTGGACCTCGAGCGAAATCCACCACCGGCAGTGGCGGCCAAGGGCGACATCCAGAGCCAATTGACAAAGAAGCTCCATGAGTTCCTTCGCCCGGAGTTGACCGAGGGTACTGGCCTGATACTTCAGCATCTATGCGACATGCAGTCGGGCATCCGAGACTACTGGGCCATGACCACGCTCTGGGGTGCCAAACCAGATGACGAGTTCTTAATTGAAAGGGATTGTCCACCGATGGTCGATCGGATGAGATCGTTTCATTTCAAACCGGGAATGGAATACTCATATTGCAATGTAAACTTCTACATTGTTGCACGTGTGATCGAAAAGGTCACTGGTGAGCCCCTTGGAAAGCTGCTTGCCGAGCGAGTTCTCCAACCAGCTGGAATGACGACCGCCCTTCTCTGTCCCAACACTGCGAAGCACCCAGGCCCGTGTGTTGGCTACGAAGGAACTGAGGAGCATGGATACTATGAAGCGGTGAATCGGATGGAATGGTCTGGCGATGCTGGGTTGGTGGCTTCGCTCACCGACATGGTCGCCTACGAGAAGTACCTGGAGCGTCTCTCCTCCGACCCGAAGAGCTGGTATCGCACTGCGATCGAGCCGCATACCTTCAGCGATGGTAACACGGCGAGATATCATTACGGCCTTGGTCATACGAATCTCCATGGTGTCGACACGATTGGACATGGGGGTGCTCTACGCGGATATCGACTTCACAGACGCCATGCACCAAATGAGCACATCTCCGTGGTCGCACTATTCAACCACGAAGCCGATGCGTCGTCTGCCGTCGATGATGTTTTACGGGATATCCTGGGGCTCTCCAAACCAGAAACTCCCCAAATTGAAGCAAGTTCTCATTGGAACGGCACGTTCCTCGACCAAGAGACGGGACTCGCGATTGTTGTGAGTAAGGGATTGAATATGGGGGAAGTTCGAATCAGTTACGGCTTCCAACCAAGTGCTGAGGTCATAAAGTTGACAGCCTCCAATCAAGGCCACTTCCAGTCTATGACTGCAGTTGTGGAAGGCGATGTGCTGAAGATCCATCGCATATCAGACAACCGAAAACTTGAGGCCCGTCGGATCACGATTCGCGAAACCATCTCCAAGGATGAATCCTTCACAGGGGAATACAGATGTGCTGAAGTTGGATCAACCTTTCACTGTTCCGGTGGATCAGGAGTTTTGTACGGCACCTTTGAGGGATACCTGGGCAACGGACCCCTCACGCCTATGAAGTATCTCGGTGACGATGTATGGGCGCTGACTTGCCCACGCGGTCTGGATGCGCCAGCGCCTGGTGACTGGACTGTGTCATTCTATCGCGATGAGAGCGGTGGCGTTGCAGGTTTCCGAATTGGATGCTGGCTGGCGAGAGGACTTCATTTCGTCAAGGTCTGAAAGTCAGTGCTGAGCTAGGACTGGAAACAGCACTTTCTGCTCATATGCCGGTCCTAGATGACTGTGACCGTCCAATACCTAAGTAGATTTATACTATTTTATGGGATGAAATGAGCTTCATATTCACAGGTGCTAGTTCAAACTTTTGAATAAGGGAACATTATGAATTGATACGGCCACACCCTTCTGCTTCGGACCACACTCCTTCCCTGACCTTTCAGGTGTCTGCTAATTCTTTGGCTTGAACACCCTGGTCATTCGAGTAGAAAGTTGAACTTTCTGCTCTACGGAGGAAATATTTCAGCCCGAATCCCATGCATTGGGCATGACGCATCACTGTAGACTGGCTGGCCAGACAGCCGTTCACGTAGGTGACTGGGTAGATGACAAGGTAGCTGACCAAATAGGTGATTGAGCAACGAACCTCGAGGTGTCGGTGTACAGAGAATGCAATACACAATATCACCATCTCATGGCACGATTTGATGGTCCGCAGACACGCCCCACAGGTCTTGTCTCCGCTGGATTTAGGCAAAATAGAAGAGCCGGACTTGGGGTTAGTCTGCAGAGCAACGTCCTCTCGGACGGCCAGTGGCTCTGCCGATCGAGAGATGATCGAAAAGCAGGAACACCTTTAGTACGAATGATGCACCCGGCCTTCTTGTTTATCGAATTTAGCCTCATTGCTGAAATGGGACGACATCTGGTGCAAGATGCATACCATTTGAACCGACCTAATTTTGTCATCCAGGAATGTTTTATTCCGCACTGTCAGCTTACCTCCACGTTGGCTTCTACACCAGAGAATGTTGGCTTCATAGCGGTCGTCTGTATAGATCTGGACGCCGCGTCGCCGAGTTCGGCAAAATCGCGGGCCAGAAGCGACCCTGCATCGAATGTGAAAAGGGGTGCCCTCCGGCTGCAACTCTGCCGACAAGTACTGGGTAGTCGAAGCGCGAGAGCCCAAATTGATCGTAATCTACCTGAGATGTCCATCTAGTGTCGTTTTCATACTACTCCTCTAGTACTCCGAGTGTCAGTCGCACCTTCCATAAGGTACGCCCCCGTCACCACGTGCCGCCCGGTTCCCCGCATCTCCGGATTTTCAGTTCGTTCCCTCGCAAATCGTGTAGAAGATCCTGTTGGACCCTGCTTTCTGTCGCCCTCTCACCTGTTCGTGCGAATTCCCAGTGGGATCGCCCGAGAACATTCCCATCCAAGCTTTCGGCGCTCGGGTCCGAGGGAGAAAAAGTGTCACCTCGCCGTTTGCGCCGCGGTCTGGGGTATTCTGACACTGGACGGTCTTCGCCTCATGCCCCGACGCCTGCCTTCTACCCCGGAAAACTCACTGTATATCGACTGAGGTCCCTGGAAAATCATAGAAGAACTGACACCTCCGGCTCTATGCCGCTCGAGCCCTGATCTCACGGAGAAGCATGTCAACGGCCCTCTCCGATCTCTCGCCGATTCCTACTCCGATTTCTCTTCGCGGTCGCAATCCAGTCGAATGTCCCAATCCCATACGTCCGGTCTCGACACTCTTGCAGAGGGGTCGCAGTATGCATTTGAGCAGCTGCAGCTGGCGCGACAAGCGGGCGCAGCCTCGAACCCCCCGACCGATCCGGGTGCACGACAGTCGCAACATCCGCAGCCTCACAACGAGCAGAATGGGGCGCGTATGGGTGGAAGGGGCTCTTCTCAGCCACGCGACACACTAACGGAATCTCGTTCCACCATTCGCAAGTCATCGTCAGCCACTCCTGTGCGCCGGAGGATAAGCCGGGCTTGCGATCAGTGCAACCAGTTGCGCACCAAATGCGACGGTCAACAACCCTGCGCACATTGCGTTGGTACTATTTTCCCCAAAAGGTGCTCATAGCTATCGCAGTCGCTAACTTGTTTCAGAGTTCGGACTCAGCTGCGAATACGCACGAGAGCGCAAGAAGCGTGGGAAGGCCTCGAAGAAAGACCTTGCAGCAGCCGCAGCAGTCAGCGCCCGCGGCGAGAAAGGCATTACAGATAATGCTTCTATGCAAGGCGACTCTCCCAACGATCAGATCCAGGAACCTCATGGGTCATACGATCCAACCTTCGATGCTGCTCGGAGTATGCCAGATACAACACCGGCCCATTTGCGGAACAACAGTATTCCAGGAATCATGAGGATGCAACAGAACACACACTCGCAGCAGGCTTCGGGATCAAATATGGAGGGTATCCCCTTGAATTATGGAAACGTATCAGAATCAAGCCGCCCACCCATTGTTTCTGACCTGCGCTCTGTTCAAATGATGCATCAAAACGGCAACTCCCGATCGCCGTCAGGATTGCTCAATCCCCAAGGATTTGGGTCGGGCTACAATGACGGGTCATATAATCTGATGAACTCGCAAGATGCAAGTTCGTCCTCGATGAACCAATTCCGTCTCGGAGGGCCAGTCGACAACCCGCCTGCGCCGTTTCTAGGGTTCTCTCCTCCCGCCCAATCGCCCAGCTGGCTTCCCTTGCCATCTCCTTCGCCCGCAAATTTCCCATCGTTCAGCATGGCGCCATTTTCCAGTTCATTAAGATACCCCGTTTTGCAACCTGTTCTTCCCCACATTGCATCTATCATTCCGCAGTCGTTGGCTTGTGACCTTTTGGATGTCTATTTCGCCAGCTCTGTCTCGCACCACCTCTCGCCATTGTCACCGTACGTTGTCGGATTCGTATTTCGCAAACAATCCTTCCTACATCCAACGAAGCCGAGAACATGCAGTCCTGGTCTCCTGGCTAGTATGTTGTGGGTAGGTGCACAGACGAGTGAGGCTGCTTTCCTGACATCACCACCGTCCGCACGAGGTCGGGTATGTCAGAAGCTGCTAGAATTGACCGTGGGCTTGCTTCGACCTCTCATTCATGGGCCAGCCACCGGGGAAGCGTCCCCTAATTACGCAGCGAATATGGTCATCAATGGAGTGGCCTTAGGAGGCTTTGGTGTCTCGATGGATCAATTGGGCGCTCAGAGTAGTGCCACAGGCGCGGTTGATGACGTCGCTACGTACGTTCATCTAGCTACTGTAGTCTCGGCAAGTGAGTATAAAGCAGCCAGTATGCGCTGGTGGACTGCAGCATGGTCACTGGCACGAGAACTCAAGCTGGGACGTGAACTGCCACCAAATTCAGCCAACCGACAAGATGGCGAATTAGAGGGCGAATCGGAGCTGGATATGGATGGACGCAAAAAGCAGCAATCGTCGCTTCTGAACCCCATGGGCAATGGGTCGGGTAATTCTGGTGTCAATTTGACAGAGGAAGAACGCGAAGAACGTCGTCGTATCTGGTGGCTGCTATACGTTATGGACAGACATCTGGCCTTATGCTATAACCGGCCACTCACCCTGCTCGACAAGGAATGTGAGGGCTTGCTTCAGCCGATGAATGATGACCTTTGGCAAGCGGGCGACTTTTCAGCGGCCAGTTATCGACGTGCAGGCCCGGCATTCGAATGCACCAGCCACAGTACTTTTGGATACTTCTTGCCTTTGATGTCTATCCTCGGGCAAATCGTGGATTTGCAACATGCTCGCAACCATCCGCGCTTCGGCCTTCATTTCCGCAATAGCGGTGAATGGGAGTACCAAGCAATGGAAATCACTCGACAGCTGGATGTATATGCCGCAAGCCTGAAGGAATTTGAAGCCCGTTATACTAGTTCACTGGGCCTCGGGAATAATGACAACGATACTGCGATGGAAGGAGCTCATCTGAACCATGTCAGTCCCTCTGGCCATTCAAGCAGTACGATCGGATCCCATGTGAGCCAAGTGCATACCAAGATGGTTGTTGCTTATGGCACACATATCATGCATGTTCTCCATATTCTTCTGGCAGGGAAATGGGATCCCATCAATCTGCTCGATGACAACGACCTTTGGATCTCCTCTGATTCTTTCATCACTGCTATGGGCCATGCGGTTAATGCTGCGGAAGCAGCATCCCAAATCATGGACTATGATCCCGATCTCAGTTTCATGCCCTTCTTCTTTGGTATATACCTACTGCAGGGCAGCTTCTTGCTTCTCCTGACGGCGGATAAGCTGCAAGGAGACGCCAGTCCCAGCGTTGTCAAAGCCTGTGAAACGATTGTGCGGGCACACGAGGCCTGTGTTGTGACCTTGAACACAGAGTACCAAGTAAGATTATCCTTTTTCCTCCTAAACCTCATGATAAAAAGTTGTGCTAACGATGACTCTCAGAGAACATTCCGAAAGGTGATGCGGTCCGCACTTGCTCAAGTGCGTGGACGGATGCCCGATGACTTTGGCGAGCAACAGCAACGCAGGCGAGAGGTCCTTGCCTTGTATCGTTGGAGTGGCGATGGAAGTGGTCTCGCTCTCTAGCTCGCTTTCAACCTGGCCAAAATTTCTTTCGTGTGTACTTCTGGATTATCAACGCTGGCCGAAATGTGTTCGCTTTATGCGCTCGCTCTCCTTCAGCCTATCTTCGCCCAGAACCAAATACTGGATCAAAGCTGTAAGATGGAGGCGTATTGATTGTGCTCTAATTTTGTAAACTACACTGCTGCATACTGCTTTCGCTTGGACAATGGACATACCCCAGGTGCAGAGGAGCCGATGACTTCTAATTTTGCATGTTCTTGAGTTCAGCCCGAACAGGATACCCTCTTTCTTCTGGAAAATATAGCCATGTTTTTTACCCTTCTTTGTAATTGTTCTATTTTTCTACTAGCAGTGCTGCCTACCGCTAGCTTGAAGGCAGGAGTGTACATTAATAAACACATGCGAGCCCATTGGACCGAGATGGTATGACGTCACTGAGACAATCCATGTTGCCAGGCAATCTGATCTCTCCATTCCTTTACCTCTTCGTGACATGAAACCTGAATCCTACAAGGAGCGGAGATGCAACCATCTGATCAATCATGGCCCTCCTCGCCAGATCGTCACGGCGAATCCTCTCCACACCTAGGCCCTTGTTCCCACGCGGCCCATCACTACTTTCCAAGCGGTTTCTCGGGATACCCTCAGCATTCTTACTTGACGATTACCTCCCCAAGTATCAGCTTCTCACGTCTGTTGATGCGGCAATGAAGCGATCTCACGCATATGCGCATCTGCGCGAATGCAATCTATGTCCACGAAAATGCGGGGTGAATCGATACGAGACAACGGGGATGTGTCTGATCGGCGCCGAGACAGCCAAGGTTAATGTGATTGCGCCGCACCGTGGAGAGGAGCCTTGTATACAGGGCTTTCATGGGAGTGGATCCGTCTTCTTTTCGGGCTGCAATTTGCGCTGTGTATTCTGTCAGAATCACGTACGTTGTTCAACTGACTCGCCCTTCTATAGAGCTATGGCTGACAAAATGTCATAGGACATCGCCCATCAGCGCAACGGATTTGACCTCACTCCCGAGGAGTTGGCTGATTGGTACATCAAGCTCCAGCAGATCGGCAATGTCCACAACATCAACCTGGTCACCCCCGAGCACGTCGTCCCACAAGTCGCATTGTCGATCTTGACGGCGCGGGACATGGGCCTTCGAATTCCGATCATCTACAATACCTCATCATTTGATTCACTCGATTCGTTGAAGCTACTTGATGGGCTAGTCGACATCTACCTACCAGACTTCAAAGTATGGAAGAGCAGCACATCAAAGCGGCTCCTCAAGGCAGAGGATTACACTTCGACAGCCATGGAGAGTATCAAGGAGATGCACCGACAGGTCGGTGACCTCTCATTCACCTCAGATGGTATTGCAAAAAAGGGTGTACTGCTGAGGCACCTTGTAATGCCTGGCAAAGAGGACGAAGGGAGAGAAATTATGCGCTGGCTGGCGGAAAATGTATCCACAGATCTTTACGTGCATATCATGGAGCAGTACCACCCAGATGCACATGTTGGAAAGAAGAAGCGCGTTACGCGGAGAGTACGAATGGGCGAAGGAGGAGAAACAACCACCGAGAAAACGCGGTATGCTGAGATTAATCGTGCCGTCCGCGATGAGGAACTTGGCTCGGTGAGGGATGCAGCTGTCAAAGCCGGGCTGTGGCGCTTCTGCGAAGTCAATGAGAACAACAGCGCATTCCACCTTTGAGGCAAAGCATCAGGGAACCATTGTACATATTATTTTTTTATATAGGGCTGAGCATCTAAAGTCTTGATATCACTCATGTGTATGAATCAAAATCATACCCATGCGAGCGCCCTTTTCATAAGACTGAACAATGATTGAAGCTGCAAGAGAGGGTGCCTAGGCTTTCAAAAACTCCTCAATTCCTTGACAATTGGTATCGACCCTTACTGTATGGCATCTTTCCTTCATGTTCAATCTGTGACATGTAGGCCCAGCCTGTAGGAGCAAGTCCATGACTTGGATGTTTCCGGGCTCTGCTGCCCAATGTAGTGGAATTCATCCAAAACGAGATCTTCTGCTGTAATGTCTGCTTTTTGCAATAGAAGGAGCTCAATAATTTCGATGCTCTGCGACTGTACGGCCGAGTGAAACATAGAGTAGTCGCCTGCAGTGAGCACTAATACATCTGTACCGTTTTCGGGTAAAATTTGCACGAGAGGAAGTGTCCTTATCTCTGGAATGGCTAGACGCAACTACTTGAGGCCACATTTTGAAGGTATATTTGGATTTAGGCCTGCATTTTAGAGCGACTTGCGATATTTGGACGATAACCTGGGAAGGTATAAACCGCTTTGAAATCGTACCCCGAACTGGAGAAGTGGCACGGGACTATATGCCTGAATGTTCGGCCCCACCTGAGCTCGCGCCCCGATCGGCCTCACTCACACCAGCGCAGCTCAATGGTTTCCGACGACAACTCCCACGCCCCACCCCTTCTCACCCATCACGATGAAGCCCTTAATCGGTATTCTTGCGGTGTCTGCCCTCGTGTATCGTGCCTGGGCCCGCAGGTCGCTCACCCTGCTTGGGCTGGTTGTTGCGGGCGTGTCAGCCACCATGCACGCGTTGCACCCGTGGTCGACCCCATTCCTCTTACTTGCGGTCTTTTACTATGGCGGCACAAAGGCTACAAAGGTATGCCGAGGACACATTCTATCGACCATGAAGTCTTTCTGTCGTTCTGTCTCTGGGGCACGAGGCACTTTGGGCGAAAACCACATGCTGACAGGCTCTCTTCCCGGGCTAGGTTAAACACGACGTTAAGGCACGCCTGACCCTCTCAGCGACCGGCGCAGATGGAGGAGAAGGGCCTCGAAACCATATCCAAGTCCTCGCGAACTCATTAGTTGCTACGGTCCTCAGCATCGCACACGCAGCGGTGCTAGCTAAAAACCCCGCGGACTCGTGTTTCTCGTTCGGCCAGAGTGCGGCGGATATCCTGATGGTCGGAATTGTTGCGTATGGCGCCCACTTTCCTTTGTTAGTTGCTCTTGGCTTGACACACTGGCTCACAATTTTGTTCTCTGTAGCAACTATGCCGCTGTCGCCTCCGATACATTTTCTTCTGAGCTGGGCATTCTTTCCAAGTCGAAGCCGCGTCTTATCACCTCGCTCACACTCCGCGAAGTACCCCCTGGTACAAATGGCGGCGTGACTGCTACAGGACTTGCAGCTGGACTGCTTGGATCGTTCACGATTGCCCTGACATCTGCTATCTTCCTGCCATTCTGTTCCGACTCCAGTGGAATTCGGGATCGTGTAATTTGGACAGTGGCGTTGAGCTCTTGGGGCCTGTTGGGAAGTGTGCTCGACAGCCTACTGGGTGGTCTGCTCCAGGCTAGTGTGGTTGACAAGCGAAGTGGCAAGGTCGTGGAAGGAAGTGGCGGGCGTAAGGTAAATCTTGATATCGTCTCCCGAGTCGCGTGCTCACCCACGTGCAAGCTTCTGACAGTAACGCAGGTCCTAATTCACCCGGGCTCTACCAAACCCGCCGTGGCCTCTGGCTTGACGTCGTCGGCGGTGACGAGCAGCACGCATCTGCGAGAGACCGAGTCGGTGGCTAACGCGGCTACGCTTCGGGGAAGCCGAGCGACGGGCACGTCCGTAGGCAGTCAGCCTGGCCGGGCACACGATGAAAGTCATGAGAGTCGAAGAGTGGAGACCGGACATGACTGGCTAGACAATAACGGCGTGAACATGCTGATGGCCGTGTCAATGAGTGTGGGGGCGATGGCAATTGCCCAGTGGGTTTGGGGGATCGAGCTCCGAGAGCTGTGGGCATGAAACCTGTATCGACAGACGTTACATGTTCCGGATACATATTTCTTACTCGCGGCATACGGGGTTAACCCTTGAGGAAGTATACTTCCTGTTCCATGTGAATTGCTGTACTGGCTGAATGAGATTAAGCATGGCTTGCCGCATTCTATGCATTGGTCCGCATCTTCGTACATATTCCCCAATTCCATGCAGGCCATGCGAACCCCCCCCACCGACTGGGTCGGTCGCTATTTCCCTAGATTTTATATTATATCTTATTATGGAATACTAAGGCAGGGCGCATGCAGTACGGAGCATTTATGACAGGGCCAGGTATATACGGGGATGTACTGAGCAAACGATGCCAAGACCGGAGGACAGCCCCTTCTAGAACACGAGAACTCTTTCCCAAAGCGGCCTCGCGATGGCATGTATTATGTTTCAGCGCATCTCGAGGATGCCTCTCCTCACCCATTGCAGGCCCACGTGTGAGCTTCCCGCGATCTCATAGGAAGCGGTGGTCCCTGCGGCCCCGGTCGTGCCAAGCCGGGCCCAACCCAATGGTAGGGCTGCCGAAGATTGGCTCTGACCCAACCAGGTCAAGGGCCGGTTCTGATATTCGGCTGGCCCTATAAGAACGACGCCTGCCCAGCTTTGCCAAGGGTACGCCAAGGCCGCCAATTTGGCTTCTGGCAAACAGCGTCTCATTCTGTCCACGGAAACTGCCGCCACCTCGCCTTGGTTGCCCTGTCATGGCGTGATTGCGCCCCCAGAACCGACCCTCATTTGTCCGCCACCAGTCTGACTTCGACACTAGACAACCTGCCAAGAGGGCAGCGAACGATGTTCAGCACGGCTTCATTGCGAGTCGTAGCCGCACGTGTTGCCAGTTGCAACGAAAATGGCCGTCTCTGGCAGCCCAGAGCAGGCTGCGTCTCAGCATGGGGCGTTTCCTGCCGAGCGTATGAGGGAGAACGCTGAGAATACTAAGAGAACTGAGCCCGCGTGTCTGTCTGCTTTGTACATAAGGCCCTTCTACCTGCAACTTCTGCCACACAACTTGTACTATTCACTGTTGATCAATCATCCCCTCGGCCACTGTGCCCTTTATCAAGATGTACCTCCACGAGTACGACTACATCTTTGCCATTGGCACTCTGTTTGCCTTTCTTGATGCCTACAACAACGGTGCAAGTAAGTAACTCATTGACCGTTTCCTGCTATTCTTATGGTATTGGTATCTAACGGCCGGCCCTGAACAATAGACGATGTGGCCAACTCCTGGGCAACCAGTGTCTCCTCTCGCTCTGTCTCTTACAGACAAGCGATGGTTCTCGGTACTATCTTCGAGTTCCTCGGTGCAGTGACTGTCGGTTCTCGTACGGCTGAGACGATCAAGAATGGTATCATCCCCGTCACCTCTTTCAAGGACAATGCTGGAGTGCAGATGATGGCTTTCACCTGCGCCTTGGCTGCCGCCTCGTCTTGGGTGATGTGGTGCACCAAGCACTCCGCCCACGTTTCCTCGACCTACTCTCTGATCTCGGCTGTGGCGGGTGTTGGTGTTGCTACTGTTGGTGCTTCGCAGGTTCAGTGGGGTTGGAATGATGGTAAGGGTCTGGGTGCTATCTTCGCCGGTCTGGGAATGGCTCCGGTCATCTCTGGCTGCTTCGGTGCGATCATCTTCACACTCATCAAGGTCGTTGTCCACATGCGCAAGAATCCGGTCCCATGGGCTGTCTACAGTTCCCCCTTCTGGTTCCTCATCGCCGCCACCATTTGTACCTTGTCTATTGTCTACAAGGGATCTCCTAACCTGGGTCTGAGCAAGAAGCCTGCCTGGTACATCGTTGCTGTGACTCTGGGCTGTGGATTTGGAGTCTGCCTCCTGTCCATCATCTTCTTCGTTCCCTTTGTCAGGGCCCGCATCCTGAAGAAGGATCACACTGTTAAGTGGTGGATGTTCGCCATGGGACCTCTGCTCCTCAACCGCCCTACCCCTACCGATGCCGAGACCGCTAAGGTTCCCAATTACGCAGTTGTCCAGGACGATGATGAGGATGAGGCTTCCACCCGGGCCGGCTCTATCCACGACGAGAAGAACCCTCACGCTTCCACCGCCTCGGCCAGCACTACTAGCGACAAGGAGAAGCAGCTCGTTGCTACCGAGTCCGCTCAGCTGAGCTACAAGGAGATCATGGCTCAGTCTGAGGAGCGCCACCGTCAGAAGCTTCTGCGCAGCCGTGGTCCTCTAGGTTGGGCTATGCGTTTCCTCCGCGACAACCCCATGGGTGCTGGCGAGATCTACGAGATCCGCAACATCATCACTCTTTTCAAGCGCATCCCTCCTATGATCGTTTGCGGTCTCTTGTATGGTGTTCACTACGACATTCACACTGCCCAGTCTGGTATTTCTGGAACTCCTGAGGGCGAGCGCATGAAGCGTGTCTACGCCGCTGCCGAGAAGTACCCCAACGAGGTCGAGCACACCTACTCCTTCGTCCAGGTCCTCACTGCCTGCACTGCCTCTTTCGCTCACGGCGCCAACGATATTGGTAACTCGGTCGGTCCCTGGGCTGCCATCTACTCTGCCTGGTCCACCGGCCACACCACCGCTGCTAAGGCGACCGTTCCCGTCTGGCAGCTGGCTGTCCTGGCTATTTGCATTTCCCTGGGCCTTTGCACCTACGGTTACAACATCATGAAGGGTAAGCAGAGACTTCCACATACTATTAGATTTGTACAGCTGCTAATCAATTTTCAAACAGTCATGGGTAATAAGATCACTTATCACTCCCCGAGCCGTGGTTCCTCCATGGAAATGGGCGCCGCTATTACGGTCCTGGTCTTCTCCCAATACTCCCTTCCTGTCTCCACTTCGATGTGTATTACGGGCGCCACTGTTGGTGTCGGTCTTTGCAACGGCACTCTAAAGGCTGTTAACTTCCAGCGTGTTGGTCTCTTGCTGCTTGCTTGGATCATGACCATCCCCATCGCTGGTACCATCGGCGGTTGTTTGATGGGTCTATTCCTCAACGCACCTCACTTCTAGGGCCGTTGATAGAAGCCGCTAGGCTTGTTGAATTTTGTCAAAATTTGTATTCCATAGAGTTGATATCCACTACAGTTATTGCACTTAATGTTACATTGCATATATGAAAGCCGTATTCTGTGGCGTTTGTCGTTCAATCGTGCAAACTGTAGAGTAGAGAAACGGGTTTTAATACTCAGTGGAGTATCTCGCTGGTTGATATAATAATGAGTTGGTACTTGGGGGGGGCGGAAGCCTTCAATGTAGCAAAAACATATGGAAGTGGCAATCAAGGCTTTTATTGATTTTTTTAAGACAGAAGATGAGGGATATGCGTTTTTCGTAGAGAGCTGGCTACTTAATTATGTAGTAATTTTGACGGAATTATGCCGTAAGTATACGATAAATTTTCAATTTTGTAAATATTTTTGGCTCCTTTGATTTTCTTCTATCCCAAGTTCATCCCATATGTCTTCTATCGATAAAGAGTGCTACTATGCCAGATATGTCGTCACAGGGAGGTGACTGCGCTACTTTTAATAGTGATATCTCACTTCATCACTCGGCGCGCACGGCGATATTACCCAGGTCCTGACAATGCCGCAAAACCGAATAAATGCTCAAGCAAGAGGAGTAATAACTCCATATGCTAGACGGTATTATCTATGTTAGGATATACTCCCGCCAGTACACCGTTCTGCCGATTTTTTACTGGGGATCGGCGTCCCTGATACGAGCGCTGCCACACAACAATTGGAAGGTCAGAATGACGATAGGAAGCTGAAGAGATATTAGTAGTTTTTTGTATCACTGATGATCGGAGGAAGCTAAAGTGGGGCAGTGGAGGAAGAGATATAGATGCATCGGTAGTCAGATGGTGAGAACGGTGAGCTCCTTAGCTCACGGAGTTTTGGCCTTAGCACCTGAGAGCTGGATTTGGCTCCTCTTTATTCCACCACATGTGACGCGAATGGAAGCAAGTCTTTCATTTTATGAATAATACAAGAATCGGGATCTTGGCTAGTTTTACTCGGTTTTTTGTTTTATTGCACTAATGATATCTTGCCGCAAAGGAACCCTATTAAGCGATGGAATATATGTATTGCAGACTCAGGTGAAATCTCTCTAGGAAGTCTAGCTGAGCCAATTATCCCCGCGAAGCAAGCCCAGTGAAATGCAAAGGTTAAAAAAAAGAAAATTTCGGCCAGCCACATAATAAAAATCATAAGCAAGATACCGTAATACTCCAATGAAAGTGATTTCGTGGATTGCTATTGAAGAAGTGCTTGTCAAAAGGGACAAAAAAAGTAAGTGACCAGACCCGGGCTCGATCCGAGGACCTTGTCGGTGTTAACGACACGTGATAACCAACTACACCATCCGGCCAACTTGTTATTAGACGTTGAAAACTCTGCATTATAAGTGGATACACTGGAAACAGAATCGAAGCATATCACGTGCTGAGAACAATGTAATCGTGCACGTGATATTTTGATTGGGATTGCCTGGGACACAGGCTTTCTCGTGGTTGACCCGTAATCATCTCAAGTACCTATTGTACCTATTACTCGTTGTACTTCCCTTGTAGCCAACACCATGGCACTAGATTCCAGACCTAGGCTGATTATGAGCTTCCAAATTAACCTTGCGAGGGCAAGAAAATCAAAATCTGTCACCTGATATATCGCGGTCGAATCTTCGGAATTCAGAGCCAATTAATGCGTAATTGGAAATGTTGTTTTGTAGCTAGATCCATTTTGCGTTGTAAAAACTTACTAGCAATAACGACGACACAAGGCATGTTTGGAGGTGGGATAACACTGAACTGTCGAAATGTGGAGAAAGCTCTCACCAGCTAAATGGGTGATTTCCCCGCGGTATTTAGGACAATGTACTTCCCCTCCGCACACAAGCAACAAGATTCCCCTTTCAGCCCATACTTACCTTAGGGTGCACTTGGGCCGAGAAGCGGAGAAACCAAGGTGAAGCCTAAGTTGCTTTGGAGCAACGCCTACATCGCAATGAATCTCAGCACCATTCCATTTTTATCTGCGCTCGGATTAGGGAACACCTTTTACCCCCTCGATTATTTCGGGTTGAATCAACAACCACATGTTGCAATTCAACTTGACACACTCTCATTGAACAGCGAAGATGCCTTCATCAATATGGTCCCTGGTGACTTTGAACAAGTATCAGTCTCTTACGTGAGAAACAATCTCGCGTGTCTCGAGTTCTGAAGCTGAGCGAAGTCTGACATCTGCTTAGAAACACCATTCTATGATATTGAGTCCGACCAACAGGCCGTGAGAGATGCCTTGGCCAGAATCAAATCGTCCGATTTCATCGCATGGGACGCGTCATTTTTCGACATTATCGGACCAAATGCGAAGCTCGAGCGGATCCAGACATTTGGAGAGCCTGCGACGGTACACGAGGCACCGGCTTTTGTTCCTGAGACCAATGAGTTATTTTTCTCCGATACTCAAATCACGGGGTGGCTATGGGCCATTCACGTGGACACATTACAGGTATGTGACCCGAGTATATATGACAGCACCGTCGCCAATGCTGGGCCTGGATCTAGCTGACTGCTTGTCTTGAAGACCCGAAAGTTGAACAATTCCGTCACTACCAAATGTCAATGGAGCGCGATATCACCAAGGGCGTGTCTATCTAACTACAAATGGAGGCTCAGCTCGAGGCGTTTGGTCATTAGATCCTCTCAACAACACCGCGATCCCGATCGTGAATAACTACCGCGGTCGGCATCTGAATAAGCCCAACGACCTGAGGTTCGATTCCCAATCCAATATGTGGTTCACAGATCCTCCCTATGGTTGGTATCAAGGTTTTCCCTAATGTGCAAGCACCAGAGATCCCTACGGATATATACGTCTTCAACATGAAAACGAAGGCCCTGAATGTTGCCACCAATAACGTTGTCATCACGTCAAATGGCCTTGTTTTCTCTCCGAATGGCTAAACGCTGTATGTTGCAGACTCCAACTCGACTTCGGGAAAGCCGATGGATAATTATGCTGCCAGCCTGAGGAACGTGTGGGCTTTTGATGTGACCGGCCATCTCAAACCGAGAGTGGCTGGCTGGATGGACTTCAAGTCACCCGAAACGGATACATTTTGGTGGCAGTCCTGGGGGCGTGGATGTTGTTGATCCTAAGACAGGATTTCTGTTGGGCAAGATCAATACACCAGACATCATCTTCAAGCTGGAGAGAGGTCCACGCCGTGGCCGTGACGCCATGTGGCTGTTGACTGGGCAGAACTACTTTTACAAAGTCATGATCAGAGAGGCTTGATAGCTGTCACAGCGAGTTAGAGATACACCTTGAATGAGGTTCAACACAAATATCACGGCCTGATTGATTAAATCTACATAGCACGAAGAAAATATGAAATGGACCTCTACTGTTGACCATCCCTTTTGGTTTCCAGTGTATCTCAGTACCCCCGGGGTGCTGGATGTACCTTATAAAAACCTTTCAATTGGTTTGTCATATTTCTAGAGCATTCTTGAGGCTGTGAAATCAAATAACCCGAGGGATATACGAGGTGCTAGTGCAAGTACTATGTGGGTCTATAATTAGAATGCAAACATCAAAACACCCCGATCGGAGCAGGTGCAAACGGAGCAAACCCGGCAAACCCAGCTATGACCTCAGCGCGTCGCGCTCCCCACTTGGTGAACCGCCGCGAGTCGCCGCAACTGGCTGCAACAGTGCATTGCAAACACCAAAGTGGGATGCTCGACGTCAGACGGTAACCTGCGGATGAGTCAACATCCAATCTGATAATACGGATCCGCGCGACATTTTGTCCGACCCGCGATCTAGACTGTGCGGGGTCCCTGATGCAAACATGTTCTCAGCGCCAAATCCGGGTCGTAAGGGCCAATCTGGCTTTCCCTGCCTGGCCCTGCGTTGCTGGCCTGTTGCGAGGATGAATCCGGTGTTCCGTTGACTTGGCCTGCGGCCCCTCGTGTGGCAGGGGTTCCCATCTCACTGGCTGTGCTCTACTCCCAAATGGCTCCTTTCTCCGCTGTTCCGTGACAATTCGTCATAGAGTTTGGGCTCTACAAGCGTAGCTTCCGTCGATTCCTTAAATCCTGTACCTTCCCCCCTCCCACCTCATCGGTCGTCGCTTCAGTTCAATTTTCGGTCGTCTCTCGACTTTCCCTTCCAATTTCCCTTTTTTTGCTCGTTCGGCGGCTCTTCTGACGCTTTCCGCACATTCTCCGCACATCCCCCGCAGCAAGATGTCTCCATCAGCACTGACCAATGTCGACACGGTCGACATTGTCGATATTCATCAGGATGACGTTCAGTTTTCTCTCACAGATGAGCTACACAGGGGTCTCAACCCGCCAAAGGGCCAAGCCCGTTCATTCCCTACACTTCTCCTCTACGATACCAAGGGTCTGAAGCTTTTTGAGAAGATCACATACCTAGATGAATACTATCCCACCAACGCGGAGATCGAAGTTCTCAAAACACATGCGCAAAGAATTGTGGAGCGAATCCCGGAGAATGCAATGCTTGTGGAGCTAGGCAGTGGGTACGTTGTCCTAGCACCCAAACCCAGGAGCATGCGGGATTTGGACCCTTGTGTCTGTGTCTGATAGTATCTAACATACAGTTGATGTCTCTAGGAATCTGCGCAAGATCGAAATCATCCTCCGAGAGTGTGAGCGGGTCGAGAAGCACGTAGACTACTATGCATTGGATTTGTCTTTGGCGGAACTGCAACGGACCTTCGCGGAAATCACCCCGGAAAGCTTCACATACGTTGCACTGCATGGTCTCCATGGCACATACGACGATGCTCTAGTGTGGCTACAAGACCCGGAGAACTCTACAAGGCCAGTCATTGTCATGTCAATGGGGTCCTCTCTTGGAAATTTCCCTCGCGCAAGTGCCGCAGAATTTCTTGGGAGTTGGTCGAAGGTTTTAAAGGCATCGGATTTTCTACTCATCGGTCTGGATGCTTGTAAAATCCCAGAAAGGGTCTTCAAAGCCTACAATGACTCTGAGGGCATCACCCAGCAATTCTATGAGAATGGGCTGTCGCATGCCAATGCCGTTATGGGCTACGAGGCTTTCAAGGCCGATGAGTGGGAGATCTTGACAAGTTACGATAACCGGGAAGGACGACATCAAGCGTTCTATTCTCCAAAGGTTGACGTAACTATCGGCGATACCACAGTTCGCAAGGGAGAAAAACTCCTTTTTGAAGAAGCCTACAAGTACCACCGCAAAGAACGTGATGAGCTCTGTCGGAGGGCGGGATTGATATCTCAAGTCGAGTTCGGAAATTCTAGGGATGATTATCGTACGTTAACCAAACAGTCCTTCATACCTTCAGGTCGAACTGTGCTCACTCAGAATCAAATAACAGACATCCATTTGTACTCACCTGCCACTCTGGGTAGGCCCACCAAGCCATCTGAATATGCAGCACACCCCGTTCCAAGCCTTGAAGATTTCCAGTCCCTTTGGACTGCGTGGGATATTGCCACGAAAACCATGATTCCCCGTGAAGATCTTCTTTCTCAGCCCATCAAGCTCCGAAATGCATTGATTTTCTACCTCGGTCATATTCCGACATTTTTCGGTTTGTCTAGACAATGCCTTAGCTGAGTATCCTGCTGCTAACAGTCGGCCAATGCAGATATCCATCTTACGCGAGCCTCGCGTGGCAAGCCTACGCATCCCAAATACTATCAACAAATCTTTGAGCGAGGAATAGACCCCGATGTTGAAGACCCAGAGCAGTGCCACTCCCACAGTGAAATTCCTGACGAATGGCCACCTTTGGACGAAATATTGGACTACCAAGAGCGAGTCCGCAATCGGGCACGATCTTTCCTTCAAAATGGTGCAGCGTTGAAAAATCGCTTCCTAGCCGAGGCTCTCTGGATTGGATTTGAGCACGAGGCAATGCACCTGGAGACTTTCCTCTACATGTTACTTCAAAGCGATAGAACACTGCCGCCGATCGGGTTCAACACGCCTAATTTCAGGCAGATAGCCCAGGATGCAAAGAAGAACGAGAAACCTAATCAATGGTTTCATATTCCCAAGCAGACGTTTACAGTCGGGTTGAATGATGTGGATGATTCTACGTTACCCCGTGATTCCTTTGGCTGGGACAACGAGAAGCCCCAGAGATCCATCTCGGTGCATTCTTTCGAAGCGCAGGCTCGACCGATTACCAATGGAGAATATGCAAAATACGTGCAAGCTCAGCACCTATCGGTATTGCCAGCTTCCTGGGCGCGTGCTCCTTCACCTCAGGAGAACCCCATTTCCAAGGGCATGGCCCAGTTATACTCTGGTGGAAGCTCCGCCACAACCCAAGATCCCTTGGAGGGTATTTCTGTTCGTACTGTTTACGGACTCGTTCCCCTTTCACTAGCTCAGGACTGGCCTTTGATTGCCTCCTACGATGAGCTCGCCGATTACGCTAAGTGGATGAGATGCCGTATCCCAACATTTGAGGAAACCAGGAGCATCTATATGTATTCTGATAAGCTTCGTCAGAATTATTCTCCAAAGCTCAATGGCCATAGGTAAGAGAAGGACACTTAGTGTGTAAAAGATGCCACTAACATGGAGCCACAGCAATGGAGTCAACGGAACTTTAACCAACGGAAGCAACGGCATCAAGAAACAGGCCTTCGAAGAACCGCCCGTCTTCCGCAATCTTGACGGTTGCAATGTGGGCTTTAAGAATTGGCATCCTGTCCCCGTTACACCAAGCGGCGATAAACTTGCTGGTCAGGGTGAGTTGGGAGGTGTTTGGGAATGGACCAGCACGCCGCTAGCACCCCACGAAGGTTTCCAAGCAATGGACATATACCCTGGCTATACCTGTGAGTATAGATTCACCCAAAATTAAAGAAACATCAACTCATTTTTTGTTTTCTTTTTCTAGCGGATTTCTTCGATGGAAAGCACAACGTCATCCAGGGCGGTTCATGGGCGACGCTCCCCCGGATTGCGGGTCGAACCACGTTGTAAGTACTCAGTCTCGCGACGACCAATTCGATCTCGACTGACAATTACAGTGTGAACTGGTACCAGCACAACTATCTGTATGCGTGGGCAGGAGCACGCCTGGTGAGAGACCGCGATGTGTAGATTTGATAGCGGACGTGTAGATAGCTTGAATGCAATGACTTCATCGGCGAGGGGTATTATGTAACGTCATGCTACCCCTCACCTCCTCGACTGCAGCTTCTCCAACTTCTCAACATCATCCATCATGTCTCTAGAAACAATCACGACTATTTCCCCCGCGACCAACGAGCCTATCATCACCCGCACGGGAGTCTCGTCGGAGGATTTGCGACGTCTCCCCGAAGCGGGACAGGCGGCATTCCGCGTCTTCTCGCAAACGACCCTCCAAGAACGACAGAAAATCGTCGAACGCGCTCTGGACATTCTGGAAAAGAAGAAGGATGAATTGGCACGCGAAGTCACGGAGCAGATGGGCCGGCCCATCGCTTACACTGGTGTCGAGATCGCGACCGCTATCAAGCGGGGAAGATACCTGATCAGTGTGAGCAACTCGGTGCTTGGTGAAGAGGGCATTGTGCCTGGTGAGGCGGAAAAGGGCTTCCGGCGATATATCAAGCGCTCACCTGTTGGGGTGGTGCTTGTTCTTTTCCCATGGAACGTGAGTGCCCAGCGGTGATACTATTCGGGGGCGAAACTCACTAACGTCTACTTTTAGTATCCCTACCTCACCTTGGTCAACAGTCTCATTCCCGCTATTCTGGCCGGTAACGCCGTCATCCTGAAGCCCTCGCCTCAGACCCCTACCATCGTCGAGCAAATCACCGCCGCCTTCAATGAGGCCGGCCTCCCAAAAGATGTTCTCCAATACTTCCACTGCGGCTCGTTTACATTGCTCGAGGCGGTGGTGCGGTCGCCCCTCGTGAGCCACATCTGCTTCACTGGCTCCGAAGCTGGTGGCTTGGCTGTGCAAAGAGCGGCCGCGGATCGGATTGTGAGCGTCGGACTGGAGCTGGGTGGAAAGGATCCTGCCTACGTGCGAGATGATGTCGATCTTTCCTGGGCAGCAGAGGAGATTGTCGATGGCGCTATCTTCAACAGTGGACAGAGCTGCTGCGCTATTGAGCGTGTCTATGTCCACGAGAAGATCTACGACGGATTCATTGCGGAAGTCAAGAAGGTGCTCAGCAACTACCGCGTCGGCGATCCCTCTGATCCTAAGACTCAGATTGGACCGGTCATCTCCAAAAATGCCCGAGAGACTATCCTGACGCACATCGCCGATGCTGTGAAGAAGGGTGCCAAGGACGATACTCCTGCCAACGGAACATTTGAAAACTTCCCCGCCTGCGGAAACTATGTCAAGCCTACGCTGCTGACCGGTGCGACCCATGAGATGGTTGTCATGACCGAGGAGACATTCGGGCCTGTCATCCCAGTGATGAAGGTGTCTGGCGACGAGGAGGCTGTTCGCCTGATGAACGACAGCAAGTTTGGCTTGACTGCCAGCGTTTGGTCCAAGGACATTCCTGCTGCCGAGAAGCTGGTTGAGCAAGTTGAGGCTGGAACCGTGTTTGTCAACCGGTCGGACTTCCCCAGTCCTGTAAGTACAGTCAACTACGTGGCCTCTCTACCACTCTTGAACGTATTATTGACAAATTTTCTCTTCGCAGGACCTCGCCTGGACTGGATGGAAGAACTCTGGTCGTGGCGTGACTCTCAGTCGATTTGGATTCGAGCAATTTGTGAAGCTCAAGAGCCACCACATCAAGGACTACCCGAAATAATGTGTAAAATATATATCTCTTGGAAAGTATGGAAAAGAATTTCATTCAACATTCCTGTGCGCCCCTTGATAGGATCGGTTCGGGCTTTGTGTATACTCAATACTGAAATATAGGATTATGATACCTTCATGATATAGCTGAAATGACAGTTAACGACCTGGAGTACCGCACATTAGTTCGAACCTTATTGCGTAAATTTCAAAAGTTCCAACTTGACGGTTTGTTTAAGGTTTGACCTTGGGTGGTTTCATTGATGTCGCATATAGGGCACCTAGGTAGTCTATGTGATGCTACGCAACTATAACGTATTTGACCAGATATAGCCTCTGAACTCCTCATCCTATCATGACTTTCAAAAAACTTCAAAACAAATACTCTGATAAGATTTCAAGTTGCACTTATAGCTTGAGTTCGATTTGGCCTGCTCATCTTCCACATTTTTTTTGTCCGTCCTCGGCGGGCTAGCCTTTGGAGGATTCGTATATCTCCGGGGGCAAGCTACAGGTCTAGCTATTAAGAAACATAAGTCATGGCGACGTTTTTCAGCTACTGCACATGATACACTAAGCAATTCATCTGGGAATCTGCACGATACTCCTCCCAGCCACGCCGGCACCCCGGCCATCACGACCATAACAACCATGCCTGGACACGCTGTTTCTGATATGGATCGAGATATTAAGTTTGGAACCGAACATTGCCAGGAGCTCCAGGAACTTGAAGCTGCATGTACTACCCGTTAATTGCGTAGATGCGTCGCAGTGTTGAAGACTAAGAATTATCTTTTAAGTGTAATGAAACCACAGTCGGTCATATCACGAACTCTGAAATATATACCCCCCTGGATGCTGGAACCAAGCTTGGAGGCAAATCGCTGCTGTCTCATTAAATCATTCAGTGTTGCACCCGGGCGAGGTGCTCAAGGCCACACAACCCTCTCTGGTTGAACTTTATGCACTTTTCTCAAGACCTCGGCAGCCATAGCTCTTCCGGCCTATGTTTTGGAGGTTGTCCTTGCTCGCATTCTTCAAGATAGTACCCAGTCTAAAAATTTCACGATTAGCATTGTGTTTTTACTTATTCTTACCACGTTAGTCCTACTCCTAACTCTGGAGGGTCATTAGTACGTAACGCATCATTACGGGACAGGGAGGTGAACGAGGGATGTTCGGCCCGGCCGGGGTAAATGCCCTTTCCAATGACAGAGTAAACAATGACAATAGGTTCATCAAAATAGAGTCCGCCCCTCTCACTGATGTTCACTCCAGCTTCTTAACCCATACTGGAGGGCCCATAATATTCTACCTTAAGTAGGGATGATACTACACTGCACTGGGGTGCAGTGTGTAAGGAAATTCACAAGCGCGGGTTGATGAGCCCCCAATTCGGGCCCAGGCGCCAGAGCTATCTACTGGAATGGGACCGAACAGTTCCAGGAATAACCAAGAGCGGCAATCCCTAGCTCACTGAGAGCTTGAGCATCTGGAATCTTCCGTGAATGGAGGGTAGGAATGTAAGCCAAGCTCTCAAGGATCCAGTTGCTCGGGACAAATCGCGCCAGCATATCTTGCGGGCCTTGCGTTGCGCAGAAATCCTCCCCCACTACATGCCAGTCATCTCAATTTCATATCGCCCACTGCCATTTTGCCGAGTTAAAGGGTTATGCGCTGTATACTGCGTTCCTCCCAAGACTGACTACGAGTTACTAGGGAAGTCTCGACCATAGATTTGGTTGCTAGATCGCCGCCGAACTCTATGAGAATATCAATAGCGCCAAAGTTAGTTTGGAAAACTATCTGCGGTTAATTATGCCACGAATGTGTAAATCACTAATGAGGCTCAAGCCTGTGATGACAACGATGACCTCCTGTTTTCCATCTCGAGTCAGGGTTGATGCTGGGAAAGGACGTTTGTAGCTGAGGAATACAAGATGGTAACACCCAATGCAGTAGAATCATTTCGGGACCCTTTTTCCGGCGATGCTTATCTTCTTACTACAATACAGTATTAAAGGACTGATCTCATGGAATGTACCTGCGTTGAGATTTTAGGTCGGTAGGCGACCGAAATTGCTCTTGTGATGTGTCGGTTGAGAGGAGCATTACTCCGACGCAAGGGAGGCGTGAGAAAAATACGAACGTTTCTGAGTTTTTTGCCGCAAGGACTCTTTCGCCTTTGACTTCATGTGGCAACGCTAGCCAGAGAAAAAGGTTGTGAGTGTGTCGATAGCATCAAAGGCAAAGGACACAAAGGAATGGTTTGCGTTGGAAGCATCAATAATTGGCGTCTATGTTAGATCTTCGCGGAGATATTTTCAGAGTGCCAGCTAAGAGGTCGGCTAAAAACAGTGCCCCTGTTTGCTTAAGACAAAGCGTTTCCTTTTTTTACAGTAATTCGGAAAAGGGTTCCGTGAAGCGATTGTATTAGAAGCGAACACGACGAGGCAGACATTGGAGGCTCTCCCAGCTGCGATGACGGTTATGCGGCATAGCGTACTAGGCCGTATTGACTAGACCGATCATCCCTGTCAGTTACGAATTCATGATCGATCGACATGGGGCTAGAGATCCGCGATCGACTATGCATCCAGCAAGATTATCATTACGCGCCAGGGTTCCTAGGGCTCGTCTTGACCATGGTTGTCAAGGAATAGAGTGTGTAGAAATTACCTACTAGCAGTCTTGTGGTTATCGCTACCTAGATTTTGGTACCTTGACAGGTACACTACCTGAGTCAAGGTATTCCGATCACCCCTATCTCCCAGTGAGTATCCCATACCACCAAGAATTTGTATTTGACTCCTGTAGAGCATCCTGAACCGCCGGCATTCGGATGTTGCCTTCCATGCACATAGCCGATTCGACAAACGGCGAATGTCTCGTCCTTCAACACGATCGCAATATTCAGGAGCTAGCAGCAAAACCTTAACAAGGATATTGACCTGTATTGGCCGTAAAGGGACAGAGGAATGTAGTGCGGAGTCACTGACACACGAGGTGTGCCTTCGCGACCATCCCTTTTGCCTGTTTCGGAGGACTCCATCCCCACCCTCCCCACTTGATCCTCGAGTGCCTCTCATGCACGGGTTTGTGACGCATAGCTATTCCGTGCAGGCTGCAGGTCATAGTGACCTTGCTGCCTGTAAGTAATCGAATACCGTGTGCATGGTTCCGTTCCAAGCCCTCCTCCTCCTTCCTCCTTCCCTCCAACGATCAAAGAAAAAGTGTGGCTGGCATTGAAAATCAAAAGCCCATGCTCACGGACAGTACCTGCATACTGCGAACTGAAAATCAGGCACACTGCCCCGGTATATCGGTTCGTTGTCCTCGATAGCAGCCAACCCCGGCCGTTGAAAATGGCTAGCCCGTTTCTGCCGCCAGGGAGAGCACAAGGCCTGGCCGGTTGGAATGTGTCACAGACCGATGAAAGGGATTTTACAGGCGAATCCTTCCGAGCCTGTCACACTGTGGTCCTCGCCCATGCCACAGGGAGTGGCCGGCTGTCGCCCAGTTCAACCTGCATAGGCGGGGCGGTGGATCACTTTTGTCCTTGACAAGCCATGGGTAGTATGGATGTGCATACTGCATGGGCCGCCTGGAACTTGACTGAACACGGCCGCGTTGTATATGTACCCAAATGCAGCCTCGCTTTCTTCTCTCTTCCACCCACCAGCGCCTCAATGACATAGAGCGCCTGCAGCTTTCGGCGTCCTTTCTTTATTGTTCCTTGTTACGGCTCGTCTCGCCGCCAGTCTCTCGTTTCGCATCTTGTCCCTCGTTTAGCATTGATTTGTTTCACCAGCCAAAGCGTTGCTTTTCGCCTTATTGTTTTCGATATACCCCCCATTGCTGGCTTTGACGATCCCGCTTTGCCAGAAGTCATATCCCCTCCTCAAGCCGACCATATTCACTGCCACCCCAACCTCATAAACTCGAGACGAACCCGCTTCGATCCACGGATCAGCAAACACACCACGCACCCGTCGATATGGAGTGTTTCCGACAGATCTTTCGGTGCATCAAGGCGCCATTCACTCGCGAGAAGCCGCGAGTGCTTGAAATTGTAAGTATTTTCTCTTTTACCGGACAGCGAGACAGTGTCTTAACAACATTTTCGCGATACAGGGACCTCCAACCAACTTCCGAAAGGAAGAACTACCTGCCTGCTTCTCGGATGCCGAGTCAGTTCTCTCGCCCAGCCAGAATCCAGTCGAGCAACCTATTCTGACAAAGGAACAACAGCACATTGACGTCTCAGGACAGCCGCGGGGCAACGATGGAGAAGAGCGAGATGACGATCGAGACAGTTTCGTGTCCGCAGTCTCCCAGCGACAAGATTCAGAGCCCTGTTTGACGGAAGAGCACGAAGCTCACACGGTCGGTTTTCGAGACCGCCTCAAGCCATCGCTCTGGTTCAAAAAGACCAAAGTCGACGCGCCTTGAAGAACAGGCCACCATATTCACGAATTTTTCCTGGATGAGGAATCAAATATGTACTCAAAGAAATGCGATCAATCTGGGCCAGATGGAAAAGAGGAAATTTGGTGACAATGGAGAATTTGTTTTGATCACACTAAAAATGTCGGAACGTTATGTGAGCGAGATTTTTTGGACTCCAAATTGTTTTCGGCAGATCCCCTATCGGCTGCCTGACCTGCAGGAGAATGGTCTTTCGTGTCGGATATAGATGTATTTAATCTCGATGACTCTGGTAGTTCGTCGAGGTCATCAAATAATGACTGCATTTTCGACTTGAACCCCACTGTGGTTTTTCCGGATTGCCGATTTGGCGAAGGTTTCCGTTTCTCACTTGTAGACTTGTTCGTGGACTTGTTCTTTTTTTGCATATTATTTTCTGGGATTCTTTCACGCGGCCGGGGCGATTCCTGGTAAATTCTAGGCTCCGGTCGTTCTATCGCTTTTGTAAATGTAGACGTAGGTGCTCGATGAATGGGACCATCAAGATCATCTTCATCGCTTGATTGTGTCAGATCTCCAGTGAGAACCTGGGACTTCCTCTCCGGTGGTGGTGCGGTCGAAGCACCTGCAGCACTGTTAGATGCTCTATTCGGGCCAATGACGAATGCAGCTGGGGGCCCGAAACCCGCTGCAGCTCTCGTAGACGACTTTATTTCGATTCCGTGGACGTTTAAAAGCGATCGCGATTTCTTCGGGGTTGTCATCAAATGATACAAATGAGTTCCTCGAAAATTATCGTCGTCGTAGTTACTGCCATTGCCGGTACTTTTCTTCGCGTCTTCGGCATTGATCTGTTCAAGCCCGGTACTCTGACGCGCCGAAAGTGCCTCGGACTTCCCTTTCAGTTGAATCTCTTTTGAGGTAGGAGTCCTGCCATCTGTCGGTCGATCGGTATCATCTCCAGGAGTCTTGTACACCGCGTGATTGGAAGGCCGATCGAAAGGCTTAGTGTCGTCGAGGACTCCATCTTTGAGGTGTTCCTTGTATTTCGACACTTCGGCCAACGACCTGTACAGTTTCGGTCAGTGATTTTGCTCGGCCGCTGTCTTTGCTGATGACTGCCAGAGGCTTTCACATACTCAACGGGGGAGTCGCGTTTGGTAGCATATGGAGGCGATGGGGCTATGGACATGACAACAGGTTAGCATGTAGCTCAATCCAACCTAATACAGTCACGTACAAGACTTCAGGTATTCCCGCTTCGCTTTTGGTGACGCCGGCCTCTCTGCATGCGTCTGGTCGCTGAAAGATGATTCCCGCTTGACGCGCTTCAGCGAGGGCGAATCGCGCTCTGCGGATCTGTCATCATCCTGGGCGCGCGTCCAAGGTAGAATTCTGGGCATCTTGTGTCCTCAATGAGACTTCACCATCAGGCGACTTGGATGGCTGTGGCCGTCGAAGGTGTGGAGGTTAAGTCAAATAGGATCGCAACGTCCTCCGGATCTTAGATCGGTCCCGATAAGAAATGAGGTCACTTGCCGCTTTCCCGATGGTCGGCTTGTGCCTGGCCCTACAACACCATGTGCAGTATTGAACAGCACACTCGCGCTAATTCCACATCTACTGGAAACGTCAATTCGCAAGGGCAACCTCCGTTTATTGGGTATCTATTGTAATATTGACAATTTTGTTTATGCAAAGATCAAGTTGGCGGGTAAACGAGGAGCCCATCAACGCCAGCAAAGAGAAGGGGCCCGGGATAGAAATGGCGGGCCAGCAAAAACGCCTTGAAAACCGCCCAGGTTAAAACGCCGGTCATTTATTGCCCATGTCAATCATCTAAGCTTCGCCCGGTCGCTTGCTGTTACAGCTAACGATCTTGACCTTGTCCGCGGTAACCTGGGTCTGGTTGTCCAGCTTGAAGGTCACGTCCTTGATCAGGAAGGTCCAGACTTCATCGCAGAATCGGTAGGTGTCGAGGTGGCCCTGTAGAAAGGAAAAAGACGTTAGCCTGGTTCATTGGGCTCACAGCATGCTGGTGGTGAAGAAGTATTAAGGGTGTCCCGAATTGATGTACCTTGAACGTAAGTCTGGCCCGGACTTTCTCGGCCAGGACCTCTGTAACCACTCGGTCGAACGTCGAGAGTATCTTCATTGCCAGCTGCGGTTCGATGCGGCCATCGTTGATCAGGTCGTCGAGCGTATCGGTCAATGCGAGACCGAGACTAGGCAAGTCCAGGTCAGCTTTCAGGTCCACCTCTGCTTACGTATAGGTGGGATCCTATATACCTGCTCCCACGGTAGAGTTCGTAGTATGACGGGGAAGACATCTCGAGCGTACGGACGGGTGGCGAGAGAGTCGGTGAGAGTCGAGATGGTGTCCGGTGCTCAGTTGCCTTGACCTGGGCGATGGCGGGGACAGCCGATCGGAGTAATCACGTGACTGTCAGGTGATATCGTATTTCTTATCGTCAATTTACGTCAGTCCTCAAAATTGGTCTAGAACCTGATCATCAAATAGCTTCAATTACTCTCCTCTCACCTCAGATCTCATTCAAAATGTTGCTAAGACCTTCACTACGAGTGACAGCAGCGACAAGAACGCATTTCAAGCAAAAGCACTCGAAAATTACCCCACCATTGGCTTCAGCATACTCCTCAGCATCTAAAGGTTAGTTGCGCCTTCCCGAAGGATATATTTCCCACTGAAGCTCAGGAACGCTCATTGAAGTCCAGACTCGCAAGTACCCAAGAATAGCGAGAAATCCAAGACGGAACCCAACGAACCCTCTCCGAAATCCACCACCAAATCGCCCGAACAAAACAAAGCCAAATCCGTCGCCCAAGCCGACGCCGAGCTCCGCGAACGATTGGAAAAGATGTCGGGAGAAGGAGGTGCAGCTGGAATCGAATATGAAGATGGCAAGCCGAATGCCATGAAGCGCGGTGTGCGGAACAACATATTCCGGCTGATTTGAACTACAGTCGTGGGAATCGTTACACAAAAACCACTGCTCTCAGCAAGCCTGCCTCCGGCCCAACCCAGATCCGCATGATAAGGAATACTTAAAGCAGTTTTGGGCCATGTTTAATCCGAGCCATGGCGTATAAGCTAAGGAAGCTCCGTCGTGCCTACAGCTGCAGCCTGGAGCCCCATCACCATGCCAAACGACTCGCCGAATATGCTCCATCTCCCGACACCCAACCCTTCACCCGAAATCCCTCCGAAAAAAGGTTGCGCGAAAGATCTGGGGATCTGGAGATTTCGTGATTTCGTGTCATGCGAAAAATGCGCGTCATTGCAGGGATTGACTCGGCAGCATTCCTCGTTACGCTGCTTTTGATGAGCCGCGCAATCAGCCTTGTCGTCATGTCTGAGACATCTTTGCATTCGTGCCGAATGGAAATGGCGCGTTTCGCGCAAGGTGGTCATACATCTGTAGTCATTGCTGCTGGAGATCGTTGTGAGGATTCGCGTCGTTTGTTTTGCAATCTTCAAACATGCCAGACAGCACACTAATTTGATCTCTAGCATCGCCTGGCTAAGCGATGCTTAGTCATGCAATGCGAGGCGTAATGTGCGAAGTATGACCCGGTCTGGATGTCTAGTTAGATCTAAACGGCTTCTTGGGGTTTAGGTAGAACGAGCCTGATTAACGCATTATTAGATTTCCCAATAATAAGATGCTCGCGGATGAATATATCAATCAAACTTAAAAGATACCCAAGAAATGAAATTGCTTAGCTTGTGGACCTGTCCATGTGCTTTTAGTACAAGATCCAATTAAAAAAAAAGGCCGAAAATGTGAGTAGCGGTTACCACGTAGACACAATACACTGACTGACAGTCTCAAGCAAATCCATTTCTATATGGCACCAGCTAGCAAAATGAATCGCAAACAATCCCATCCTAGCTCTTTTCCTACCACAGACTCCACAAACCCACAAAGACAAAAGACAAAAGACAAACCGCCGAGACGTCTAAGTCATGAAAGAGTCATGATACACCTAGAGGCCGACCAAGGTAAACCTATTACTTGCTCACGACCATGCCCGCCAAAACGCCCGCCCCAATAACTCCGCCGTCGGAAGCCTCGCGCAAGAAAACAGACTTGCCTCCCTGCTGCGGACCCGTCCGCATAATCAGCCGGTCGATGTGCTGCTGGCACATCTCCTTGAACTGGGGATAGTGCTGGATGATGCCGCCCGTGTATGCAACGACCAGCTCCTCCGGACCTGACTGCCAGTCCGCCGCAGGTTGGAGGACGGGGACTACATGGCCGTGGAAGCTGTTGCTCACACTGGGAGTGGGCAGGGCCGTGTTGTCTGGGGTCGTAGGAGCGTCGCCGTTGCTTTGCGGCGAGGCGGCGTTCTCGGGTGTGTTCCCGTTGCTATCCTCCTTCAGCTCGATTTCGCGGCAGCAGGCCAATAGCCCAATCACCGCCGCGGCGATCAGACCGGCCGATCGTCTCTGGACTGTCCGGGCGATGCGGCGGAAGGCGCCTGCTGTTCGCGCGTCCCAGCGCCAGTCGCTGCTCTCGGGGGTGGGAGGGTGAGGTTGAGTTTCTGCGCGAGTTCGGAATCGGACCGGGCGCGGGCGACGTTGTCGGAGATATACGAGGTGGTTAGGGCGTATTCTTGGATTAGATTGGCGGGCAGGATCCGTTTTGAGAGGCCCGCCACTTCGGTGAGGTAGTCGAAAAGGATCAGCCGGATCAATTCGCCAATGTATCGGCCGCCGGTCATATACTCGAATGGCTGGAAGCCCGGGCGTGCGCAGGCGCGGTCTAGCTCGACATCCCATTTGGTAGTGACATTCAATTCTCGCAGGGGTGGTGCGGCGCCGGATATGGTCCATTCGGTGTTGACAATGGTTTCTACGGCGTCGGCGTTCATGGCATTGACGTTCTTGGCTTTGGATTCGTGCAGGGAGTTCAGTTTCATGGGGATGGTTGCGTTGCATCCTGTGCCCACGATAATGCCCATGGCGACTCGACTATTGGGCAGCGATTTGACGGCGTAGGCGAGCGAAGCCAGCGTCGCCACGGTATCGTTTGTGATTGCCTGGATCTTTAATTTAGGGAGGGCAAACAGCTTGCGGCGTTTCGAGGATGGCTCATCCTCATCTTCGGGCCTCCTGGTGTGCTTTTCGTAGCCATTCAGCAGAATTTTGCGCAGGTTGAGATTGGAAGTGATGGCAAAGCCTTTGCCCATGGGCATCAATGTAGCCTCGGCCAGCGATTCTTGCCTAGAAAGATGTAAGCATGTAAAAGAAAATGACCAGACAAAGAGAATCATGGTGAAGGCCAATACTGACATGATGGGGAAACTAAAGGTAATGCCCATGTCCAGTTCCGCAGGAATATCTTTCTTGGTATCGTCCGAGGTGAGACTCTCGGCCACCACCTCTGCAATGCAATCGCCAATCCAGGCAAACAGGTCATCGGCCTTGTCCATCTTCAAATGCTCCTGGATCGGCCATGCCCGCTCCAGCGTACGCTTCACGCGCTGTCGCTGCGCCTTGCGGATGGTGTCGCGGGATCTTTCCGATGCATCGGCAGGGCGACTCTCCGACTCCTCGACAGCTTCACCTAGTAACTCGATAAAGGCCACGCGCAGGTTGCTTCCACCGACGTCGATGGCCAGGTAGCGACCGGTTTCCTGTCCGGTGGGCAACTGGGTGACGGGCGTGGGCAAGAATTGCTGGTCTGAAGTCAGGGCCAAATGGCGGTATGTGCTGGAGAAGCGGCGGGCCAGCCGATACAGCACGGCCTCGTCGAGACAGAGCGGGGCGAGGAAGTCATCGAGGCGCTGATGGTGCTCGAGATCTTCTTTTTGGGCGGGATCCAGCTCGGAGCTGGGCTCCTCGGGCTCCTCGTCCTCGATGACATCCTCATGCATGATGTCACGGTCCTCGTCATTGTCCTTTTCGGACGATATTGAATTGACCGACGCCATTCGGGAATACAGGGATGGCTTTGTGATCAGGGTCCAGCTCAAGACTGCACGGGTGGGATGAATTCTACCACAGACGACCCAGACGGAGTATTTCCTAGGCACCCGCGACCTAGGAAATACTCTGGCGCGGCACCAGGAGGGTCGAGTCGGAAGAAGGGAGGGGTGAAGACCGCGCAGGTGATAGGGCACTCAGGGTCTACCGTAGCTGGGGTTGGCGATACGAGAAGTACCCGGGATCTGATAGCGTACCTCAGTGGTGCTAGGTAAGGTCTTAGGGCAGGTACGGCTAAAAATACCTAACGGCGGGTTAGTGAGGTTGCGGGTTGAGCATTTTGGTGACGCGGACTGCAGAGAAGCGGTGCGGGGGCGGCGATCAGGGAAACCGCGATCTTCAGCTGTCATGTTGAGTTACGTACCCTGGGAATTCCACGACGGAAGGGGGCGGGCGATCGACCAGGGGAGCTCCCCTGTATATATACCCACTGCCGGCGAGCAGGTACACGACTAGTGTCCTCGCACCTACCTAGGTTACCCTAGGACTCAGGTACCAAGTGCAGTAACAGGGTACAGGTCTCGCTGGGGCTCAACTAGAGCCACACAGTGCAGATGCTGCGACGTCGAGACGGAGTCTGCCCACAAAGAAGGAACTTCACGCAACTCGAAGTGTTGAAAGAAGTGTGAGCCTGACTCTATGATGGATCATTTATGGTTGGGAGGGTCCGCAAATGAATCGCGCAAGTGGAGCAGCCGGCGGTCCCTGCGTGCGCCTATAAGATATCCTAACGAGATTCTGTGGCTCTCCTACCTTATTCGCAGGCCCGCGATTTCTGCGCGAGCTGGTGGAGGTGCGACCGTCGGGACACGCGATGCGACGCTGTTCTTTTCCCGTCACCACTTGCGCAGCGGTGATCGTACACCATCCTGCTGGACCCGCGATTGGATCTCTCTCCGAGCAGACTACGATAATTCCTACCTAGTAGGTAAAAAAGAGTTCCTCGGGTTAGTATGCCTACCCAGGAGTAAGGTTATTTATTCCCACCAAAAACCATCGCATGGCAAAGATCGCGGGAGGCAGGTCCGCGCTGCTTCATACAACCCCACCATTTGGAGCTGGGACTTTACTACCTGCCTAGCAGGTATGTAACCCTACGCTCCCGAACTGATCCCCCCAGGCCTCCTCGGTTAGCACATTCGGCTCCCTCGTGCTCCTATCCTCTTAGGTCATTCACCTTAAGGTCCTCCAGCCTCAGCAAAACACGAGGGTCAACAGGTGGGGCGCAACAGGATGGATGGGGTTGATCTGCCATCGCGTCATTCGCCGAAACCTGCTCAACTGGAGAACGAGGAACGCTTTCTTATTCCCCTTCCTATTCTTCCCTGCCACGAGGCGAATTGCCGTGCTGTGCGCTTGCTGGTTCAACTCGGGAATAACCGCGTGCTGTGTGCATTGGCAGACCCAGCCAACCCACTTGGTCTCCTCGTGGCAGCTGCCAGCTGGGCCTCGATCGTGGTGGCCACCGACAACGCCATCAGCGCCTCGCGACTGGCCCAACCTCGTTTCAAGACGGGAAGAGGGGCCCCGGAATCTATCACCTGCTCCCCGTCATTACGAGTCACGAAAGGGCTGCAGGACCCGGAAAAGAACTGGACCAAGACCCTCGCAGGCCGCAACTAATCAAACCTAAAAACACACCCAAGACGGTCGAGAGAGCCTCAACCCACGCGGTGCCACACCGACGGCGCTAAACGGGAACGCTATCGGGAATTTTGCATTGCAAATGCCACGGCTTTTGTTCCTCCGCTGGGAACTTTAAAGCTTGGGCACCCACGCGCGACGGAGAGCCTCCGAGATCGGAGTCAGGCAGACGCAGAGTTGATATCGCGGTGGAGGGGGGCTCCGCTGCGTCTTACGGGTGTTTTAGCACCTCACATTAGGTAGTCATAGGCTCGTCTGGCTCGAGAAATGGGGCGGATGACGATGCACCTGGCCCTGATAAGACGATCAAGATCGTTCGCGCGGGCCCCGGCCATGAGCCACCAAGAACATACGTCCGATGCTAATCCCATGCCATGCGTGTGTACACGAGAGACTAACTCGGTCTGAACAAGCGGGCCCTTCGTTTCACTAACTGTGCCAGTCTCAGTCTGAGACACGACCGTAGACAATCGTCGACGATTATGCCGGGAGTGCCAGCACTCGGCCGGTAGTCGAGTGGATTGTGGCGAGTCGGCAGCATTAGCCTCCCGGAGCGGAGCTGGTGGATGGCGTGCTAAGTACAGTACCTGCCTCGTAAGTGATGATTCCTTTAGGATTCCACGTAAGAAGGAAGATAGACATAATACCACTACGTTAAGTAGCTTAGGGTAGATATAAGGGCTATATGACAATGAAGTCGAGCATAATCCACCTGCAACCTGACTTGCTGGAATGTATGAAAGTTTTGATGTCTCATAGGTGCTTCTACATTTAGTAGGTATGTCCGCTGTATCTTGAGTCCAGATCAAATGAGGGAGAATAACTTCGTCCTCCCGGAGCACACACGACTTCTACATACTCCGTTCTTGTTTCCCAATTACAGAGTTCGGGTTTTCCCTCATGTCGAAACGCTTTCTCTTCAAGAAGCCTTACCTCCTAACCTCCTTCTTAAGCTTCTCGGACTCTGCTGGGCCTGTCCGCCAAACTTGAGGCTCAAGACTCGAGGGCACGGCTTCAAAGACTGGATTGCGAAGAGGCTGGGTCTTAGTGACCTTGCTGTTTCTCAAGGCATGCGACTCTTTCTCGCAGTCTTTGGCGTGTCAGAAGTAACAGATGCAGTTGGTAGTCCTGCCATGCTCCTTCGCTGTCAAATTCGGTGCGATTCATGCTTCAAGGAAAGGCACTTGGCACGTTCACGGTCAGAAAGTTAGTGGCTTTTCCCGAGCCAAAGTATTGTCCGTATATACAAAAGCTGGAAAATTGTGCAAGAAACTACCTGAGAAGATGGTCCTATGAATCCGCTGATGATTTTGTCTCGAGTGCGGGGTTTGGTGGTAAGTGCGGCTCAAAGAGGACCGTGTAAGGCCACCATTAAACGGGAACGCCAACCACTTTACAACAAAATTTCGTATATCTTGCTGCAAATATGCGTATTTCTTTTTTGATCTTATTCTGTTAAATTACGAGCGCGAGCAACTCCAAGGCCTAGATCTTGCCTCTCTTCTCACCAATGCGGTAGGCACCCCGGATTCAATACGAGATCAGCCATCGCGGGTTTTGCCCAGGTCGGGTTTAGCGCCGACCTTGATTCGTCTGGAGCTACGCCGTCAACACCCACGCGGGAATGCAGTCACGATATGACGGAGAGATCGAACGACCTTTGCAGCTCCATTCTCACAATGCGTCGCATCCATCGAAACGGCATCAACAGCAGTCTCCTCGCCGAGTCCAGCTACTCCAGATCACCCCCGATTCACATTGCCAGCAGCTACAGCATCGACTGGCGCTGACTCGCCCACGCCCGATACTACAGCTCCCGATAATTCCAGCCAAGGGCTTTTAGACGAGCTCGTATCGAAATGGAAGCGTCAGACATACCGCATCGTCACGCCCGGTCCCGAAACCCGCCCAATCTATTACATCGAAACCCACGAGACTCTCACGAAACACAAATTTGACCTCCTCCTTCACAAAGGAGACTCGAAGGACGGAGAGGTCCTCGGAGCAGCGAAAATGCACCTTCGCGGTTCCACGATCGGACTTGGCGATCCTGCTAAGGAGATAGAGGGGAGTTTGATGATATGGGAGAGGTTGGAACGACCACAGAAGTGGACTCACAAGTTATACTGTTTTGATTTCGGAGATGGAAAGCAAAGGACGACGTACACCTGCAGGAAGTCCTATCGGACACTAGGGCCTTTGTAGGGTATGGAGCTTCGGGCTGGAGGCGTTGACGAGGAGAATTGGAAGCTCCTGGCAAAGTGGGTTGGAAGCAGTCCTTGGAATATGAAGGCTGGAAGCTTGTTCTTCGCATCGCCGGCAGAAAGGGGAATTCCTCACGAGATGACCTCTGAAGAGGATTCTCGGAAGTGGGAAATCATGGTTTGTTTGACTACGTTTGCTATTATTGAGCGTCAGATCAGGGGGAGTTAGGGCGAGGAGTATACGTTGGCGTCACTCTTTCCGTTCCCCAGATTGGCTTTCATTGCATTTTGGCATTCCAGCTTTCCCATACCACGGCAGCTTAAATACCGGAACTTTGTCTCAGAGAAACTACTCGGGATATTCGAGATACTTGGTTTATTCGAGAATATAGCTACCTCTCTACATGAGTCACTCGAACTCTTTGCGGGTGCCCGCCGCTCCGGCTGGAGTGGGGGTATCCGAGTGGTCCGGCCGACTTCACCTTTAAGTACTTTCGAAGACCAGCGCCAATGGAGCTTTTTGCTCACCCATTTTGATCGAGTTTGACTACTTCAATTTGCTATGCCTCTGCAAATTATCTTGGTCGGTGCCGGCCTGGCAGGTCTAGGCGCAGCAATTGGCCTGCATAAAGCTGGCCATCATGTCCAAGTAAAAGCCATTCATCTACCGGTTTAGCGAATTAAGCTAATTGGATGGATATTTCGAAAAGGTCATTGAACAGTCCAGGTTTTCAAATGAAGTAGGCGCGGCTATTCATGTCGCACCTAACGCCACTCGGATTCTCCGCGATTGGGCTTGCGATTTCGCCGCTTTGCACCCGGTCCAGTGCAAGCGCTTTCAAGTCTGGGATCAGCAAGCCAACATAATCAGCACTCCCTTTGTAAGTTATATTGGTCACCGGATTTCATGATTAAATGGTTTTCAGCTAGTTGACTAACATTGTCGCTAGTTAACGGAGGAGATCCAGAAAAAGCTGGATATTCATGACGACTGGCTTTTGACTCACCGTGTTGATCTCCATAATGCTCTTCGAGCTGCTGCATCCCGGGAAATTGATGGAAGGAAGATTGATATTCGCTTTGCGTCTCGGGTCACGTCTGTGGTTAGTGATCTCAAATTATCCTTGCTCAAAGCTGCTCATTAATCTTAACTTCGTGCCTGATCAGGACGCGGAAGCTGGGGAAGTTACTCTATGCGACGGTATCAAATTCAATGGAGACCTCGTCGTTGGTGCAGATGGAATCCATGTAAGAATTACCAACTTTTGAGGAAATGCTTGGTCTAACATTCTTGATAAAGTCCAAGTCTGTCTACGCGGTGACTGGCGGAGAGTTCAGACCAAAGGAAAGTACTGGACAGAACTGCTTCAGATTCCTTGTACCAGTCTCCAAAATAAAAGCCAATCCAATTGCCACCGCATTGCTCGACAAGATCGGACTTGATGGCGTGCACGCTTTCGTTGGCCAGGATCGTCGCATCGTCCTTTACCCTTGCCGCAATGGCGAGTTGCTCAATGTGGCTGGCATTCACCCTTCAGGGACAACCCCCGCCAACGATGCCTCTTGGCTGGACTCTGGGAACATGGAGGAATTGCTGGCGACTTTTAGCTCGTTTGGTCCAGAGCTTCAGGAACTATGTCGCTTGGCTGAGGACTTGAAGCTCTGGAGTTTGGCATCGCGATCGCCTCCTTCGACCTTTGTCAAGGGGAAGCTTGCATTGATTGGTGATGCTGCACACCCAACGCTGCCCCGTGAGTATCACTTACATTCCTCTGAATAGTTTAGAGAACTGACGAATATAATAGACCAAGGACAAGGCGGTGCCCAGTCATTCGAAGATGCAGCTGCACTGGCAGCGGTGTTTCCACTCGAGACCACACCTGAACAGATCCCAGCGCGACTGGAGATGTACAACCAAGTCCGGTACAATCATGCCGTGACGGTGATGATGATGTCCAAGACAAGCGATGACCGCCGAGCAGAGATGCTGGACGAGCTCCGAAAATACGTGCCCGACGCTGAGACGCCCACGGACATGGTCTCCTACACATGGCCTTCTTGTCCAGCGCGGGAAGCTCAGGTCCTACTAGGACGTGCGGAAACATGTTCTTGAGAGATGGCTCCACATCAGACCAGATATTGCAGTGCGGTACCCGAGTGGGGAGCCGAAGCCAACGAAAACAACCCGACACTCTCTGGCTCACGCTGGGTACACATGCAGATCAAGTCGCGGGGGGTGAAAAATAATCCCTTCTAGTTAGTATTGCTTGGCAAGGATTTTGCCTTAAGACTCACTGCGTCAACCGCCGGCCGAGAATTAGTGGTATGTAGTGGTAACTCGCAGGATTAACCGAAAGTCCCCTTCTAGACAGGTAGCAATAAGAAATCTGTGTTTTCTGTGTGAAGATCAATCTTGACCCAAGCGCTATCGTACTAAATTTTCCATGCAACCAGACAATTTTGAGATGATGGTCCAGCTATTGTGGTCTGTGTATTTCTGCCCGAGGCCGAATTGTCCGTCTCCGGTATCTCCGCTCCGGGCGACGATCTTCTATTCTCTTGAACGTCGACTGCTTGATCGTCACTCTGCCTCTTGATATCCTTCCTCCATGTGACCTCGCCCAATATGCAGTCGTCGGGCTGGTCATGCGAGGAGTGTGGCCTGTCGTTCACACGGGGCGAGCATTATCACCGGCATCTCCGGACCCATACGATGGAAAAGCCATATGTGAGTCAATGAGTTTGAAAATCTTCCAGACAAGAGAACTAACTTGGACAGGCTTGCTCTGAATGTGGATCAAAATTCACAAGGGTGTATGTTTCATCAGCAACAAACGCAAGCAACTCGAGAGTGAAGATCGGTCCGGAAAAGTTTCACGCTGACCCAATGATGTAGAGACTCCCTTGTCCGCCACCTCAAAGGAGTCCACCGGAAAAGCTACTCAAATGGCCTTGGGGAAAGACGTCGCGTCATCCAGGCCTGCAGGTCTTGCCATCGGTCCAAGCTCCGCTGCAATGGAGAGCAACCCTGCAAACGATGTGAGGACAAGGGAGCAACTTGCTCCTACAGGTCCTCAGAGGAGCAGGTGGCAATACATGAAGGCAATTCAGACGGCCCAACACCACCTAAGCGACAAAGAGTGAATCCACCATCATCTGAGATTGCGCAACCTGTACTACGATCACCAGCTTTGCCCACGCAGCCAAACACGACCACTTTTTCTGGGAATCTTGGGCACAAAGATCCCCAAATGCCAGATCAGGAAAATGTGGTGGATTTGGACATGGACCTAGGCTTAGATCTTGGCACCGATATATTTCCGGATCTGCTGGATCTGCCTCCGCCTCTGAACCTCTTCAATGGCATGTGGATGACCCCGATACAATCCGAGGGAGCTTCTGAGTCGACACCAACTTCTCTCACAAAACCATCTCAACAATCCAACCCACTGATCCCCGATTCTGTCGCCGAAATTTACCACCAGGGCTACTCACCATCTACGGAGGCGGAAGCAATGGAACCACGCCAATATCACCCTACGGACCCCAGTGTTGACGCACAGCTATCTTTCCCAGATATGAGACAGGTACATCTGGACCAGGTGGACCAAGAAAACTTCGCCCATGTTCCCGAAATTCGACAAGATACAGTCGATGAGGTGACCAAGCTAGCCAGAGCCATGGAATATACCCCGACATTCCCTCCATTTACAGATCTTCGCGTTCCACCAGCACCTGTCATTAATGCCTGGGTGCAATTATACTTTGAACACTTTCATCCCGTCTTTCCTGTTTTGCACAAGGCAAGCTTCGGTTCGGCTGGCACGCATTGGCTGCTAGTGTTCGCTGTCAGTGCTATTGGTGCTCAATTCTCGCAACTTCCCCAGGCACACATTTGTTCAAGGGCAATGAATGAAGTAGTTCGTCGCCAGGCAATCTACCTGGTAAGCCTATGCGTTGTGTCATTTCTCTTATCCTCCATAGTATAGAAAACTTTACTAATCACATAACAACCACTTTCAGTGTGAAATTCAAAATAGGCTTGGCCGAGAGCTCTGGATGGTGCAAGTTATCTTGCTCAATCAAATCGCCATGAGATACTCTGGTGAACGCAGAGCACTAGAAATCGCAGAGTTCCTACAAGCGCTGCCTGTCACCGTCGCCCGACGAAAACAGCTTTTTACCGACGTCATGTCTCTAACAAATATGTCTTCCTTGGATCTATCACTTCAACAGAAGTGGCAAGTCTGGGTACTGGACGAAGAACGACGGCGGACTGGTTTCGCTATCTGGGTATGGCTTAGTATCATTTTCATCTGAAAAGTCTCTCAATACTAATATTCTGCCTAGCTCATTGACCAAGCATGCGAGACCCATTTCGACCTTACTCCAATTATGAGAATTGAGGAGCTGCAGAACTCGCTGCCTCATGAGGAAAACCGCTGGGAAACCTCGAATGCTCAAGGATGGGCCTGTTCTTCTCATGACCCAGGTTCGTGGCTCGCCAGTGTCTTCACCGTTGGAAATTTGCATACTTAAGAACCGCAGACACCAACAGTCATACGACATTAGAGCGTGTTATCATTGACGGTACCTGGAAATCCACGTGGATGAAAACAGGAGTACTTGGAAAGCAAACCATGCTTCAAGTGCTGACAAATGCCATCAGCAATAGTCAAAGACCTTTGACAAAATTATCTGCTGAGCCTGTCATGGGCCGCGAGAAGGCCGAGATTGTTCTCAAAGACCTTCTCACAACACTGGGGGAAGAAGAACCTCGTCTTTCTACCCTGGGTCTCAAGGCGAATTCAGTACATCGAATGATGATTATCTCTACCCTCATGATGTCTCATATACCTGGCATGTCACTTTTCTCGACTGCATTGCGACTCAAATATAAAAAGTGCACCGCCACCGAGATGAGCTATTTGACCGACAAGTGGAACTCAGTGCCTCATTCCCGCCGCCTAGCAGTTTCATATGCTGCACAACTATTTGGGACAATCAAGAACCAAGCCTGTGCTCACTTCTCAACGCCCGTCATGCTTTTCCACGCTACCCTGACCATGTGGCTCTATGCGGCTCTCAATATTCCTCCAGCAGATATGACAGTCATATCCGAACGCCGCTCTGTTGTCCTTAGTACCTTGGGTCCTGATGACCCGGAGCAATTCCGTTGGATAGAATCTGGGCGAGGTTGCGTCAAAATACCCGGTGTTGGAAACCTCCTCTCTTCTTCGGCTTGTCCGAGAAGGCTTCTCGATGAAGCAATCTCATTGATGCGGACACTCAATCATTGGGGCATCAGTAGGATTTATGGGCAGATATTGAGTGCTCTTTGTGTAGAATGACCCTCATTAAGAATCAAAAATACTTGCGACAATAAAAACAGACGTTTTAAATCTGCTTGTCCCGCCTGGGACTTGCTTATTTGATTGTTAAAACAAGGCGCAATTGATACCAATATTGCGCTAAGAATCGGCGGATTTCTGAATAGTAGAAATCTGTCAAGCATATATGAGACAAAGTTTGTATCCTATCTTTTTGTTTATAAAGCCATCATGCAAGGTGATGTCATCGCACCTGGCAAGATGGCCGAGCGGTCCAAGGCGCACGGTTCAGGTTCACCTGTTCCTCAGAGATCTTCAAGATTTCCGTGTCTCGAAAGGGGCGTGGGTTCGAATCCCACTCTTGTCATTTATTTTTTTTAGCTTAGAAGTCTTTCGCTGCTTGATTTTCGACATTTAATTTTTGTCGAACGGGTTATGTTCTTCTGATGTCGTGCTAATAGATTCATTGGCTGAAACTGGCTTGGTTGCCTGTCGCTAGGTCACGAGCTTGACCTCATGCCATCTTATGTAACCCATTTCGAAGAGCGGCTGGAGCGCAACCTCTCCGCACGCGCTCCGCTCCCCTACCCAGCATGATCGATTCTACTACACCCGGTCCATTCGAGCGTTCATCTGGCAGTATGGAGAAACTGCCCATTCACACCGGTGAGAATCTCGAGACTCCGCCTCGACATGGAGGGTTCAAATCAGGGCAACTTCGCAACAGATCCCCGAGAAACTGCCTGCTGCGCCGCATCGTCATTGCCCTGGGCTTCCTGGCGGGGTTCTACCTGCTCACCAAGTCGATCCGTATTCCCATGCCCTGTCATATGCGTGGTCATTCTATCCCTGATTCAGAAACCGAACAATACTCGACACACTCACAAGAGCACATGTTTGCGGACGACAGACGGCCCTCGACCTTCAACAGCTCACAACCTGCTGAGTCCGCCAAGATCCCCTTGGAGGCTCACATTATGAGCAAATGCCCGGATGCGAAAGCATGCATCCAACAATTGATTTTGCCAACCATGGAACAGGTCAGCGACAAGGTGGATTTCCGGCTGTCATTTATTGCGGAGTAAGTGCCCACCTTCCAGGAGCTCCTCCAGACGTCAAACACCCCGTACACAACACTTATTGACCTTTCTTGTGATCTCATAGCTGGAATTCAGCCTCTGAAGAGATAAAATGCATGCATGGCCCTACTGAATGTATCGGAAACATGCTCATGCTCTGCGCCGCGAACCTTCCCTTCCCTCCAAAGGCCGATGAATCATTGCTCCCCACGTCTTATCCGCGTACTCCTATCATTCGATCTTTGGGATTCGCCAACTGTCTGATCAACCAATACCCTCGTATACCTGAGCGTGAATTTGTTCACCAGTGTGCCTTGGAGCACGGTATTGATTTCGATTCCCTGAACCGCTGCGCCAGCCAACAGGACGATAACCCGGACGACTCGTTGAGCGGTATCGCACTTCTCCGAAGTAACGTGAAACGTGGGAAGGATCTCGGTGTCACCACCAGCTGCACGGTTCGACTGGACAACAAGGTCTGGTGTGTCCGCGATGACGGTAAATGGAAGAACTGCGTTAAGGAAGGCGAGGGTGGTAAGCCTCAACTATTGATCGATCAGATCAATAAACTCTATAAAGATAGTAACTAGGCTTGTCATGACACTTCTATTGATACCCCAAGAAAATGTCTGAGGAAATGATTATGATTATCTGATGGTTTCACCTGCTGGGTTTGCCAGCGACTTGACTCATACGATGCTTTTCGGTTTAATTGAATATTTCAAGATTTCTGAACAATCGGGCCGAGTTAAACTACCCTATATAGTATTGAATACGAAGATACACTACTTTTCACGTCAAATACCCCTCGACCTATTTCAGCCTTGTAGCTTTCGTAATCAAGCAAACCACTGATCGTCGCTAACCTCCTTTGGTAACGGACCCACACGTGCTGCGCTGACAAAGCTAGTAGCTCCCCCAGGTCTCGAGATCAGGTCAGCTGCAAACAACCTTCTTTCGGTCAGGAGCAATTCCCCGGACAGAGATCGTGAGAGGGTCTTAAGCTTGGGGAGGGCCTTCTGGACGATCGCCTACGCAAACGACCAGCTACACCCTTTCCAACGCGCTCCGAACGAACCAAAATGGGCAATCTTCACATTGCTCCCGCTGCGGGGAACGGCTTTCCCGACGATTCACCCTCCTCCTCCTCCTCCTCCTCCTCCTCCTCCTCCTCCTCCTCGAACCATCGGTACACGCCTGTCTCCAATGACTTGGAAGAAGAATACTTGAGGTCGAAGCCCTCAAAGCCAACTGGGGCACCCCTGCGCTTACAAACGGACTTTGGAGACAGCGTGGAAGTAGGCGGGCCTGTTTCTGCTGTTTCCGATGTGGACGGGGATAATGGGTATGATTCAGCTGAGGGTAATGAGGCGAAGAGAAGACGAGCAAGGGAAGCCCCGAAATACACCTCCGAAGAAGAATCCGAGGTTGTGAGATTGTTTGATCGGAGACTGGTGCCATTTCTAGCCCTTCTTTATCTGCTGGCTTTCTTGGACCGCTCGAGTATGTGTGGACTGATATGCTTCTATACTCTGAAATTTGAGGATGGTGACTGATGTGGACTTTTAGATATCGGAAATGCGAAAATTGCTGGTCTGCAGGAGGATCTCAATCTCTCGTCGTCGCAGTATGAATGGCTCCTTACAGCATTCTACATCACCTACATTCTTTTCGAATGGATGACCCTCATGTACCATCTCGTCCCACCGCATATTTATATTTCCCTTTGCGTCTGCGGATGGGGACTTGTGGCTTCATTTCAGTGTTTAGCAACATCGTTCGGAACCTTGGTCGTCCTTCGTGCTATGCTTGGCATCGCAGAAGCCGCGTTTGGCCCCGGTGTCCCCTTCTACCTGTCGCTATTCTACCGCCGTCATGAGCTTGCCTTCAGAAATGGACTGTTTATCTCAGCGGCACCGCTGGCAACGTCTTTCGCGAGCAGTCTGGCGTGGACCATCACGAAATTTAGCGCCGATGGCCCGATCTCTCCTTGGCGCACGCTCTTCCTGGTCGAGGGATTTCCCAGTATCATCGCTGCTGTATTCGCCTGGGCACTTATTCCAGATTCTCCTGGACGTGCTCGGTTCCTTACTCGTCAACAGCGGGTGGTAGCTCGGCTTCGTCTAGAAGAGAACAAGCCCGATTATCAGCAGACAAAAGAACAACGATTCAAGTGGGGAGAAATCAAGAAAACATTGGCTGATCCCAAGGCTTACATGGCTGCTGTAAGATTTCCGTCACCTGCAAATTATCAGTCGATGCTAACGTGTGTCTGCTCCCAGTTCATGTTCTTCAGCTGCAATGTGGCATTTAGCTCCATGCCCGTCTTTCTACCGACTATCATCAAAGAGTAAAGTTCCCTGATCTAATCACTCCGTGCAGAGTTACTCACCAAGTCTATTAGCATGGGATACTCTTCACTTCGAGCCCAAGCACTATCCGCGCCGCCCTACCTCGTGGCTTTCGCAGTTGTCCTTCTGACAGCCTACGCCTCGGATCGAGCTCACACAAGGAGCCCCTACATAATCGCGCATGCTTTGGTCTCTTCACTTGCGTATTCCATCATCGCCGCAATAGGATACTTCCACAATCACCTCTCCATCGAACTGCACATCTTCATTCGGTACATCTGTGTGTACCCAGCTACGGCAGGTTTTTTCTCCGCTATCACATTGATCATCACTTGGTCAATGGATAACCGAATCGAGAAAGAAGGCAGAGGAGCCAGCATCGCCATTCTAAATATCATCGGCCAATGCGGCCCCTTACTCGGAACCAGATTGTACCCGGAGTCTGATGGGCCGTGGTATATTCACGGCATGGCCACTTGTTCTTTTTTCATGGTTCTTGTTGCTGTGCTGGCTTTCGCGTTGAGAGTTCTCCTTCAGAAGGCGAATCGCATCGTCGTTGCTGGTAATAACGACAACTCTGCGCACTCGGGCGAGGAGCGCGACGAACTCATGGGTGGCGGAAGGCGTGACGATCTTGAGCAATCAGGTGATCGAAGACTTGTGTACATCATTTAAAGGTTTATTTAGAATGGCGACTGGGGCGTTAGGATTTCGCATGCTTTGTACCATGATACAGTGGCTATTTTAATTTTATCTAATATATTATCTACAGTGTTCGATTTCGAATTTTCATGGGATTGGTCGCCTTTGGGCATTTCTTTCCAGCTACGAGTTGAACGCGTACAAGACCATTCAAAGCCTCAATGCAAAATTAAATGTTGTGATCTCTCACCATAACTCGATATGAAATCTGTACAGATAGTAGAATTGAAAGGGCGCGAACCCAAACGGGACCCTTGAACCCCATGGAACATTGGAAGTTTCAATGACTCAATCACAGCAGCTCCACACGTCCCGAGCCGAGCGATTCGGCATACAGAGAGAGCCACATGGGCAAGCAGTAGGTCTCGGGTGAAGCTCGTTCCTGTTGACGAGGCCCACCTAGAACGTTCGTATATACGGGCTTCGTGGCGGTGGGTTTTGGTGTAGAAGTTTTTTCCTCTCCAAACAGCGAATCTTTGATAGGGGAAATTATGTCACTTTCGTATAGGCCGGGTATTATCGTGGTTAACAAAAGCAATTCACCAGGCAGTGTGGCCACCGTCAATAAGCATGGTGCTGCCGGTCATGAAGCTGCTAGCATCAGACAGGGAAAAGAGAGCGGCACCACGGAACTCCTCGGGCATAGCCAGACGACCAAGCATGTTCTCGGCTTCCCAGGTGGCGCGAGCGGCAGGGTTCTGCTGGAAGACCTCCTCGACCATAGGAGTGATAATGTGGCCGGGGCACAGGCTGTTGACGCGAATGCCGTGGCGGCCCCATTCCATAGCCAGCGAGCGGGCCAGCTGAATGACCGCAGCCTTGGAAGAGTTGTAGACTGGGGAGGTCATTCCCTTGTTGGCGATGACGCCGCTCATACTGGCGACCAGGAGGATGGAGCCTTTGACTTGGTAGTTGAACATCTGGCGAGCGGCGGCGGTGGCGGAATTGAAGACACCGTTGTAGTTGATCGTCATGACGTTATCTAAGGCCTGCTGGGAGTGTTCGAGGGCACTCTGAAGGTGGTTGATACCGGCAGCAGCAATCAATCCATCAAGACGCTCGTTCTGGGCGGCAATTGCAGCAAAGGTGTTGTTCACTTCGGTGTTGTTGCGGACGTCGATGCGGATATATTCCAGAGTACCTCCATACTCAGTGGCGGACTTCTCCTGAGCCGCAATAAAATCGGGGTGGGGAGTCTCGAGACGATCCAGGGCGTAAACTGAGCTTATTATCAGCATTTTGTTCAATTGGAAAAAGGATTTCGGACAATTGCATACCTTTTGCTCCAGCTTCGATCAATGCCTCTCCCATTGAAAGTCCCAGTCCTCGACCGCCGCCGGTGATGGCAAATACGCGCCCCTCGAGATCAAACTCGCGGAATCGGTTGGCATTTCGCAGCTGCTTATTAGATGACATCTTGGATTGGATGTGATCGGGGCCGTGGGAGACATTGTGGATGTCTTGCGGGCTGAATGCGCTCTTCGTGCTCCAATACAGACGAGCCGAGGAGGAAGCCAGCACACGGGGAGCGGCGACAGCAGCGCCAGCAAAGCGAGCGCGAGCCGGTTTGAATGCTTGGGACAGAGAGAAAGACATATTGGGCGTCGCGTAATTAGAAGAAATGTTGTATCGACAAGAAGGATGAAACGAAGGAACTTTTTAGGCAATTAAGGGTACTGTAGGGCAGCAAGTGTATTCCCGGGCGACTGTCTGAAAGTCGACGACACGCGAGTATGCAATCTATCTGAACGCTGGACTCATTGTTCCCTAGGGAAATGGGTTTATATGTCAAGGGAGGGCCGGAACGGCATTGCCCAGCCCAGTTTACCGAAAGCAAAGATTTTTTTTTTTAATTCGAGGGATGCGCCCAAAAAAAAAAATTCAAACGTGAAAAAGAAAAGAAAAAGAGAGCTGCGCGTGACACTCAGGTGGATTCGCCTGCTGCTTTCACCATGACTCAAGATCCAGACGAGTCGGCCGGGAGCATCCACGGGTAGGAGCTTGCCACATAGCCGGGAGCAATGAGCATCTCTGGGGTAGGGGGAAAATCCCCCCGCTTGGCAGTGCAAGAAACCCCTGGACTAGGGTGCAATCCCGTGTACATCGTGACCTCGCTCGCCTTGGCTGAGAACGGCAATGCTTCTAAGGCTTCGATGGAATGGCCCACTTGGACGGGTCCCCCGAAGTATGGCAGATCAGCAAAGTCCTTGCTCGCCAGCTAAGACGCAACGGGCTTGGTGTGGAGATTAAAGGTGGGCCTCCAGCACATCTCGATCCCCGATCTCCAGCTTGTAGCCAACGACGGGCTCGGGATGGCACCTTGTGTTTATTCTCCGTGCAGGTTCCGGGTATGCCAGCCTTCAGGGCCTCGCCGCTTGGAGTGCGGTCTGGATCCACCGGGGAAAAAAATCTGAAAGGATATCCTGGATCCCGGAACAGTTTCAGTCGAGCTGGAATGCATTCCACGAATCCCCGCTAAAAATACTACCGGGACAGCGCGGAGAGAGTGGTGCAGAGTCTCCCAAGGGTTACCCAATCTGGACATCCCGAGCGCCCGGCTTCACACCGCTGGCAACTTCGCGGTGGCGGACGTCCAACTTTCGTCGTTTGTGCAACGGGGTCAATGGGTTGCGAGTGACTGGCTGAGCATCTGGAGACCCCGGATCTTTTTGCTAGCCCCCGTCCTGGTCGATTTGGTGGCGTGTTGTCCATCTAATATCTCGAATATCTCGAAATGCTGTCTCGGCTGGGATGAAACTCTCCCAGGGGACGCAGCACCCCGGATTCCCCTGTTTCTCCATGAACCCTGCTGCAACTTGGCACCCAAACCAACTCCAGCCCGATCATGGGACTGAAAATCCAATTTAAATGCAGTGAAACTGTACACCCACTCGCGATCCTGGCTTCCAACGGGAATGCCAATGCTGCCGATTAGCTTGGAGCTCACATTTTTACTGGCCTTCCTGGTACCGAAGACAGGGATCGTCGAAACATGGAACCCGATCTCGAACGCTGTTGCTTCGAAAAACGTCCTTGGTCACCTGGACACGGTGGAGAAGATAAGAGCCTTGAGAAATATCGGTGACAAACGAACTTGACAATGGCCTGAGGAGCTCCAATGATATGGGTAGGGGTGGTGAACCGGCACCTCCTTTCAGCCTGCTTCAAACCAGCTGACTTGATCTTGCAGCCGCGGATGCGCAAACTCAATTCCGGTCGTCGGTCAGCCTCTCAACACTAGTGTCTTGAAGTATATCGTCCTGCAGGTGGTTGTACATGAGTAATTTCTTCTAGCGCTTAACCCGCAGAAATGAATTCATGTCCATAAAAGCATTGCATAGTCATTTATCATTAGAATAAGCCTAATAAGATAGTCTCCGCATATACGTCTAGCACTATTCCAGATCAGCTAGGCCCGGTGTGATCGCTGCGCCCTCCACGCTGCGCAGACTGCCAAAGTCCAGCTTCATGAGCAATCGGTCCACCCCTGCGGGCTGACGCGGTGCGTAGTGACTGAAGCTGGGGCCAGTACTTCCGGCACGTCCACCTGCTGCTCCTGTTGTGCCGTGGTTCGTAGAGTAGCCCGAGCCCGAGCGTCGGTCGTCCATCTCGCGCAGGCTGCCAATAAGTTCCTGGATCTCCGTCTTCACATCGTCGCGTGTTTCTCGTAGCCCCTGCCAGACCTCTCGCTCCTCCTGGGCATAGTCGACTAGTGCGTCCACGACACCTTCATCTTCTTCCAAGTCCATGTTTCGTTGAATAGTCTCTAGCCGGATCGCAAGTGCAACAAATCGGTCAACACTCGTCAGCAAAGCTCGCAGTGCATTGGTGAAAGGCACATCCGTGAGAAATAGTGAATGGATGATGGTCGACAGATGGCGACGGTGAGCAACAGTCAAGGCTTCAGGGTCATGTCGTCCCATGGAAACGGGACTTGGTCGAGACGATGGCCGACTCGATGTATGGCTTGGGGTAGCAGGACCGGGAATTCTTTGTGCTTTGAATGAGGAGGCTGTTCCCGGCCTAGAGTTGGGGGCAGAGGTGGAAGACAGCGTACCTCCCTCAATCCATTCGCAGAGGTGTTGCCAGGACTCGTGTACCACCTCGCCTTGGAAGAAGCTGCCAATTTCCGAGAGAACAAACAAACAGGCACTTGCTGTAGCCCAGATAGGCCGCATTAGTTGCGTGCGAGTATTTTCGCGCTCACGGTTTGCCTTCAGTTTATTCTGCCAGAAGGCATTGTTGCTTCGAGGTAGTTTTCGTGAAGATCCATGGCTCCGGCGAAGAGAAGTCCGCTTCCATAGATCACCGAGCCGTATTTGAGCTCGCCGGATACCCAGAAGGTACGAGTGGATCTTGGAATAGCAGGCGATGTCGGAACTTGAGATGAACAGATCCAGCGGGGCGCGCACTTGAGCTGTCAAGCAGGTTGGTGTAGGGAAAAGGAGATCATCAAAAGAAACGTTTGAGACTTCTGGGACTGTATTCGAAATATGTGATGGTGTCGCAGCACGTCCAGTTTTGCGGTCACTGATTGACAGCCGCAGGAGTTCACGAGCGAGCTCCAGCTCCTCATCCACGGGGTCTTCTTCTTTTTGTAGCGAGACAAGTTCAGCCCACGCTTGGACCAAAGAGGTCATGACGTCCCCTTCTTTGATGAGATATCCTTCCAGAGCTCCCCGTCGACGATTTTCCTCGATTCTTGAATCCGCATGCGACACCAGCGCCACGGCAAACTCACCCCGACCCAGCAGTAGAAAGTCGTGTAGCAAAGTGAGCATTTCGAGAATTTTGGGCAGGGGAAGCAGTTTAGACAGTGTTGATTGCGACAATGATAGGCGAATGCAGTCCACGGCTGTAGTAACCTTGGAGGGCGATATTGGTGGCTTCAACCCGGAAAGTTGATCTATGTGGTCCTGGTACAATCTGACCGGTGCAGTTGATATCCCACTGGACGTTTTGCGTTTGGCACGAATGTGATTCAACGACTTTCCGATGAACAAGATAGACCCTGCGGTTTGTTCCGAGACGAATTTTGGGAGTAGATCCATGTGCATTTTGAATTGGGTGTCGTCTTCTTCGCTGTCGAGATCTTCTTGAATGAAAAAGTCCTCTTTACCGTATATCGGCAAGTTACCATACAAGAGCCACATCGATAGTTGCTTCATCCAGGCGGTTTCCGCTGCATTCACAAGCTGCACGGCCATTTCCTTAATGTCTGGGTAGCCAGTTTGCAGCTCACCCCGTAGATGGTCGATAAGCGCCGCACCTGTGCACAGGTTTCGACGTTCTAGTGGGCTCTGCGATCCGATGAATCTGATGATTTCCCAGAGCCACTCTAAGCGCCGTGTCCAAGGAGCAAAGTCCCCAACGATAGTTGACAGCGGGACAATACCATAACCACCAACATATTTGCTATCTTCGGCAAGGATTGCTTTCTCAACTTCGAGAATGGTCTTTTGAAAATCGCCCAGGTGCGTCGCTTCAATTGCTGTAGAAACCGAACGGCAGACCACGGAGGGATGTGAGGTGGAGGTGAGAGAGGTATGCGATCGCAGGTCGGCGTGGAGGCGACTTAAATGGGCAATCGATCCGAGGAGGGCTTTTTCCGGAGGTGATAGAAGGGCGAAATCATCTTGCACGACAACATCCTCCCCCAGTCGAGAACCGAGGAGGGGCGACGACTGGCCGGAGAGGGAGAGCAGGATCTCGTGGAGCATTCTGGCCGCTGGTCACTAGATAGAAGTCAATATACAGTTCATATTGTGAACTCTCTTATTTTGCTATCGCAGTCTCACTTACCTGCGAGAATGTTTGTTATCTGCGTGTCGTTGCCAGTATAGCAGAACGCGTCCCAGAAGCTCGAAGCGACACATCGAAGTGCCTAATCGATGCGCGCCGCAGGTGCTGGTGATATCGGAAATTCAGCCGAGCGATCAACGATCTATCCCTATACAGAGAGGTCAAGCGGATGTCATTCTGGCTCTTATGAGAGTTGTTGTCAACCAAAAGTTGGACTTTCCTTGCGATTCCGCATCGCTTGGGTCGCGGTGCCTTATCGCACGTGATTGGCCGCTGTTCCTTCCCCCCGGAAGATCAGTTCGTCACCAGTTATAAGGGTTCTTCTTCTTTTTACTTTCTGCTTGATATGTAGGAGTACTGTTTTCTCAGATTACACAGTAACTATTATAGCCAAAAACTCCATCTGAAAAGATCATATGGCCTTTTCACCTTGGCGGCCTCGGTGTTCTCTCTAGAATTCGGTGTTTCTTTTTGATATCCAGAGTTCACGGATTGATCTATCAATGAGATACATCTACTAGTTGTTTTCCCTGTCAAAACGCGACAAGTGTAACATTACAAGCATTTTGAGGTTATACAAATGAAGTTTCTGGATTCTCCCTGCTGGATACATTCTATCCAGTACAACGAGGAGAGAATTTAACATGATAAAATCACCCTGAAGTATTGTAACTATTATTGATGCCTTGATGCCTGTGGCGACCAAGTTCCGAGGCCGCGGGCACATTAGTCATCAAGAGCTCCCCTCTTACGTCGATGCGGGACCAACAGCCCAATCCCTTGTCTCATCATCACTCTTCTCTGTACGAACACCCGCTCTCTCGCATTCGGACACCTGGAGGCCCATTGCTACCTTCTTTCTGTCCATTTCTACTTAGGTACCTGGTACGCTAGGCCTTGCAACTCATTCCTTTCCAGCACTGTCGAAGGTCTTGCTCGCTGGGCGAGACTTTCAGCCTCTGATTTCCATCATTCCTTCCGACCTTGCTGTTCGTGAATCGGCTAAGCCGGGGAAACGCAGAGCGTCTGACGAAGACACCGCAGCTCGGCCTCAGAAGAAAATCATGTCCGTACGTCTACCTTATCGTCCCCGAGTCGCCCCGACATCCCGCATCGCCACTAACACCCAACATCAGGACGGCAAGATGCAGGTCGACAACCCACAAGAGACCGTTGAGTTGATCAAGCAGGGGGAGATCGATGAATCCCTCTACAGCCGCCAACTGTGAGTTCTCTCCTCAAAACCACCATGGTTGCAAAATGAATAACTAACAAACAGAGGATAGGTATGTGCTCGGCCACGAGGCTATGAAGCGCATGGGATCGTCGAATGTTCTCGTCGTCGGCCTTAAAGGTCTTGGTGTCGAAATTGGTGCGTGCAATGAATCTTCTTGAAAACAACTATCGTTGGTCTAATACTCATACCTCACAGCCAAGAACATCGCTCTGGCCGGTGTTAAATCCCTCACTCTTTACGACCCCGCCCCTGTCGCCATCTCCGATCTCTCCTCCCAATTCTTCCTCCAACCGCAAGATGTCGGCAAGCCGCGAGCCGATGCTACCGCTCCCCGAGTCGCTGAGCTCAACTCATATGTGCCAGTCACCATTCACGAGGGCGGAAACCTCGTCGGGGATTTGGAGCAGCTGAAGCGTTACCAGGCTGTCGTTCTGACTCAAACACCCTTGAAGGAGCAATTGGCCATCGCGGATTTCTGCCACAAGAACGGTATCTACGTAACAATCACAGACACCTTCGGTCTGTTCGGTTACATCTTCAATGATTTCGGCAAGAACTTCACCGTCGGCGACCCTACCGGCGAAGACCCCGTCAATGGCATCGTTGCCGACATTTCCGAAGATGGCCTTGTCTCTGCCTTGGATGAGACCCGTCATGGACTGGAAGATGGCGACTTCGTGACTTTCACCGAAGTCAAGGGTATGGACGGGCTCAACAACAGTGCCCCGCGGAAGGTCACCGTCAAGGGACCCTACACTTTTACCATTGGTGATGTTTCCGATCTTGGCTCGTACCAGGGAGGAGGTCTCTTCAACCAGGTTAAAATGCCAAAGTTTGTTGATTTCCAGCCGTTGGAAGAGCAGCTCAAGAACCCCGAGTTCTTGATCTCTGATTTTGCCAAATTCGATCGTCCACAGCAGCTTCATATCGGTATCCAGGCTCTCCACAAGTTTGCGGAGGCCCATGACCGTCAACTGCCGCGTCCGCACCATGACGCTGATGCCCAGGAGGTTTTGAAGATCGCCAACGAAATTGCCGCTGCAGAAGAGAAGATTGAGCTGGATGAGAAGATCATCAAAGAGTTGAGCTACCAGGCCCGTGGTGACCTGAACCCCTTGGCTGCCTTCTTTGGTGGTATTGCTGCTCAGGAAGTACTTAAGGCTGTTTCCGGAAAGTTCAACCCTGTTCACCAGTGGATGTATTTCGACTCGCTGGAGTCTTTGCCATCTAACAGCACCCGGTCCGAGGAGAGCTGCAAGCCTCTCGGTACTCGCTACGATGGCCAGATCGCTGTTTTCGGTAAGGAGTACCAGGAGAAGCTCTCCAACGTCAAGCAATTCCTGGTTGGTGCTGGTGCCATTGGTTGTGAAACCTTGAAGAACTGGGCCATGATGGGTCTGGGCACCGGTCCCAAGGGCAAGATCTTTGTTACCGACATGGACCAGATCGAGAAGAGTAACCTCAATCGCCAGTTCCTTTTCCGGGCTAAGGATGTTGGTCGCCTTAAGAGCGAGTGCGCTTCTGCTGCTGTTCAGGCCATGAACCCTGAGCTTAACGACAAGATTGTCACTCTTCGTGATCGCGTTGGTGCTGATACCGAGCACATCTTCAACGAGGACTTCTGGAACAATTTAGATGGCGTGACTAACGCCTTGGATAACGTGGATGCGCGGACGTACGTTGACCGTCGTTGTGTGTTCTTCCGCAAGCCACTTCTTGAGAGCGGTACTCTTGGAACCAAGGGCAACACCCAGGTCGTCCTGCCTTTCATCACCGAGTCCTACTCCAGCTCCCAGGATCCCCCTGAGAAGTCTTTCCCGATGTGCACTCTCAAGAGTTTCCCCAATCGTATTGAGCACACCATTGCTTGGGCCCGGGACCTTTTCCAAACCCTTTTCGTTGGCCCGCCTGAGGCCGTCAACATGTATCTCTCGCAGGCCGACTACATTGATCAAACGCTCAAGCAGGCAGGCAATGAGAAGCAGACACTGGAGCATCTCCGCGACTTTCTGGTGTCTGAAAAACCCGTCACCTTCGACGACTGCATCATCTGGGCTCGCAATAAGTTCGAGGAGCAGTACAACAACGCTATCCAGCAGCTTCTGTACAACTTTCCCCGTGACTCGAAGACCTCCACTGGTCAACTTTTCTGGTCTGGTCCTAAACGCGCCCCGACTCCTGCCAAATTCGATAGCTCCAACCCCACTCACCTTGGTTTTGTGATTGCTGGTGCGAACCTTCACGCTTTCAACTACGATATCAAGAACCCCGGTGCGGACAAGAGTTATTATCGCAAGGTTGTCGATGATATGATCATCCCCGAGTTCTCTCCCAGCTCCAACGTCAAGATCCAGGCCGATGATAATGATCCGGATCCCAATGCTCAGCCCGCTGGCGCTACCAACGACAATGAAGAGATCCAGAAGCTTGTGGCAACTCTCCCGTCACCCCAGTCTCTTGCCGGCTTCCGTTTGCACCCTGTCGAATTTGAGAAGGATGATGACACGAACCACCACATTGACTTCATCACAGCTGCCAGCAACCTCCGTGCTGATAACTATGACATCCCCCAGGCGGACCGTCATAAGACAAAGTTCATTGCTGGCAAGATTATCCCGGCAATTGCCACTGCTACCGCCTTGGTCACTGGTCTGGTCGCTCTGGAGCTTTTCAAGGTTGTCGATGGCAAGGATGACATTGAGCAGTACAAGAACGGCTTCATCAACCTTGCGCTTCCCTTCTTTGGATTCAGTGAGCCGATTGGCAGCGAGAAGGGCAAGTACCAGGGCAAGGAGGGCGAAGTCACCATCGACCGATTGTGGGATCGATTCGAGGTTGAGGACATCCCTCTCCAGGAGTTCCTGGATTACTTTGCCAGCAAGGGCCTGGACATCACCATGGTTAGCTCTGGCGTGAGCCTCCTCTATGCTAGCTTCTACCCTCCTGCGAAGGTCAAGGACCGTCTCCCTCTGCCGTGAGTATATATTTCAAGTACGTTTAACAGAGTCACGCTAATCACACCTTCTACAGAATGAGCAAGCTTGTTGAGCATGTCAGCAAGAAGCCGGTGCCCGATCACCAGAAGAACATCATCTTTGAGGTGACCGCTGAAGACCAGACCGAGGAGGATGTGGAGGTTCCGTACGTGATGGTCAAATTGGCGAAATAAATGCCAACCTAAAAGCTATCTGTTATGCCGAGGTGGCCAAGATTTTTAGTATTAGAGTGACGGATATGATCAACGACCCAATTTCAGCCTAGATAACCAATTCATTGCTCATCACAATGCTTACTGTTGTGCGATTATTCTTATTCCTGCGTATGGTTCCCACTCGTTCCGTATTTGCAATGCTTTGTCAAAGCTGACGGATTTAGGGCTGAGTAAGCATCTCGTCAACGAACGTCATCCCCGCAGTTGCGAGCTCATAAGCCTCTTTTCTTTCTTTCTCTTCTCCAATTAGTTATTGGCTTCGGTGCAAGCTATAATTACCCCTGTTCTGCCCATGCTCTTGGCTCTTCTGCGGTCTCCAGCGTTGTACCATCTTCCACGCTCCACTTTTCGCACAGGCTTCCTCGCAGCTTCCAACCACAGCTTCTCCGCAGGATCATCGGTCAGATTCAGAACTATGGCGGTACGTAAATGATACGTGTCCTTCGCAATATAGTATTAATGGTCTTTATGCATCTAGACCGGCAACTCGGGTAAAATCACCGACTGGGTGAACCCCAATGACAAGTCGGGCGAGTTTAAGCGCCAGCAGTCGGTGTTCCGCAACTTCGTTTCCCGCGAGCCTGGTGCGGAGTTTCCGGCTGAGAAGGACCGTTACCATCTCTACGTCTCCTATGCCTGTCCCTGGGGTAAGACAAAGCTTCAATCGAGCCATTTGCGCTTATGACATGCTAATCAAATTTAGCCCATCGAACTTTAATTACTCGCAAGCTTAAGGGACTAGAGAACATCATTACATTCTCCTCCGTGCATTGGCACCTTGGGGAAAAGGGTAAGCCTTCGATCTCTGATATATATTGTTTAGTCGGATACTGACTCTCCAGGATGGCGCTTCGTGACTTCTGATGAGAAATTGCCGGGAGAGAATACTATCCCTGACCCTCTGCATCCCGAGTTTACTCATCTCCGTGATATCTACTTCTCCAACGACCCAGACTACACTGGTCGTTTCACGGTCCCCGTTCTCTTCGACAAGAAGACCAACCGAATCGTCAGCAACGAGGTAAGCAGCTTTGAACCACGGCTGCATTGGCCATAGTATCTATATAGAGTATTTCTTCGCTGACACACGATAGAGTGCGGAAATCATCCGCATGCTCTACTACGAATTCGACGATATCCTCCCAGAGCAATACAAGAAGGTTGATCTATTCCCGTCTGCCCTGCGCAATGATATCGACACCTCCAACGAATGGATCTACAACGACGTCAACAACGGCGTCTACAAATCTGGCTTCGCAACAACCCAGGAAGCCTACGAAAAGGCCGTGACGACTCTTTTCTCCTCGCTGGACAAAATAGAAGCCCATCTATCCAAGCAGCAATCCGTCTCGAAGTACTTCTTCGGTAACACCGTCACCGAAGCTGATATCCGGCTCTTCACGACAATCATCCGTTTCGATCCCGTCTATGTCCAGCACTTCAAGTGCAACCTGCGTGATATCCGCTCTGGTTTCCCGGCTATTCACCGATGGGTGCGTGGCCTTTACTGGGATATTGATGCTTTCCGCTCGACAACCGATTTCGAGCATATCAAGAAACACTATACCAAGTCGCATAAGCAGATTAATCAGTTTGCTATCACGCCGCTTGGGCCTGTGCCGGATATCCTGCCTAAGGAGGAAGAGGTCCCCGCTGCGAAGGCTTCCTAGAATAGGAGCGCACTGAACGGAAGGCTCCTATCCTGACACCCTTATATTCAGAGTTACAGTAGGATCAAAAATGACAATGCAAATATTTTGAGTACCATGCAATTTGCTCTACAATCGTTTAGTACAGTATTTGGTTTATTGGTATAGCTCTACCGGCATCGTATGTTATCAAATATGAGATTCTTTTGATATGTACAGAAATAAGAGGCAGAACCCAAGTGGTGTTGCGTGTGAAACCCACATGCCTCGACGCCTTGCCATGCAGATGGTTGGTAGTAAATGTGTTATCCTATTGTCTACTGCCGAGATCCTCTTTCGCACGGGATTTCTGGAAGAAATCCACGAAAAAAAGGAGCAAAAGCAATTAAGAGCAATGGATAAATGCAAAATAGAAACAAGGTCAAGCCAAGCGACACATGATAGCATGTACAAATGAGCAAAACCGCACATGTGACCTTGTTTTGCGGGTATCTTGGTCAGGGTTTTTTACCTTTGGATCGAGAGCGAAGTAAGGAGAATTTGATGTTCAAGGTGAAAGTGAGTTTAGCTGTTTGTGATATATTAGGTTGATATGTGGAAGATGATAGTATATGGCGGCCATCACTTCAGACCCAGCATCCGTTTCGAGTTCTCGTAAACCACGTAACTGATGGAAACGGCGGGTGCCACCTTCAGGAGGTTGGGTGTGAGACCCTTGTAGAAGCCGCGAGGTCCCTCTGTTTGGAGGGTTCGGCGGGCAACATCGCCAATGCTGGCGTATGTTGAAGGATGCAGAACGGTGCCCTGGGCCTGAAGCCGAGTTCGCATCACGTTCAATGGGTAGACGACCGAGGCACTGAGGCCTCCACTGATGGCACCAATGGCGCCTGTAACGAAGTTGTTGAGTGGGACGTCGTCTTCGTGGCACTGCTTGATGCGAGCCTGCCGGGCGAGAAGTGCACGCTTCAGGTACTCGAAGGTCGTCAGGTCGATGGCAGCATATGGGAACATGCCCATCAGACCCAGGGGGAGTCCACGGAAGAAGCCGAACAAGCCATTGGCATTCCAAACTTTGCGAGCAGTGGCCGCAATGAGTCTGTTACCCTTCAGGCCACCTTCGACAGTTTCGCATTGCATTCGGAATTTCAATGTGTCGAGGGGGTATACAAAGCATCTAGCAAATCGTCAGTAATGGTATTTCGAGGGAAACAGAAGGTCGACCTACTGAGCCACCATGCCACCGATACCACCGGACAAAAACTGGGAAGTAGGAAGAAGGCGCTTAGGATCATTGTGACCTTCCATCCGAGCGAAGAAACGCTTTGCAGACTCATACGCTCCGAACTTGATCGCAGACTCAGGCATGACTTTCACAACATTGAGACCATTACCTGCGTGGTGTTAGTTAATCCGAGAAATTTATATTGGGAGTATATGGGTGCATTCGAGATTCATCAACTTACCCGCAAACAAGCTTCGCATGCCACCTGCACGCCAGAGCTCTTTCAACGCATCGACGAGGGTTTTGGACGCATTTCCGGCTGCAGCGAGTGGTGCACCCTCTTTCGCCGCACGAACTGCCGAGTTTTTGACGCCCGTCTGGGCAATGAGGTACACTTTCAGACGGTCGAGAGGAGCAGTGACCGTTCTGGACACAACGCCCGCAATCCCGCCTGCAGCAAAGTAGCCTAGTTGAGGTGTATTCTCGGTCAACTTCCGTTCATAATATCGCAGAGACATCCACATGGCGATGGTCTTGGGGATAGGCAGAATCTCCAGCTCGAAGTCACCGCCCACAGCAGTGGGCAAGTCAGAGGGCGGGCTGGTCTGCGCGTAGGCTGATGGGAGGAGGGAGGCGAGGGCGTGCAAGGAGAGGATATTGTACAAAAGGCACTTGAAGGCCGAAAGATAACGATTAAGAAACGGAGATTCTGTACCTAAACCCTGTAGATCATTGATGTGGACATCTCCTTCCGGGTTTAGATTGCCCGTGGCCGTATAGTATGAGAGGACTGCGTGGAGGTCGGACGGAGAGCGGAGAGGTAGGAAGAGGAGGAAATCTCTGGAAAATGGTGCTCGTGGTCAGCTTCAATCCTGCAAATTATTCGGAGCGCGTTCATTGCGGTTGTCTCATTCACTAGGCCGATCCGGGAAAGGGTGGGTAAGTCGAACCTCCATTCCGCGTACGATATCACGCCGTCATTGTTTTTGTCGACCTCGTCGAAGAACTGGTCGAGCTTCGAGTTCGATACGGTGACACCTGAGTGTGCGAATGCGTTCCGTAGTTCATTCTTGTCGATTTCGCCGTTGTGGTTGCGATCGATGGCCTGGAACATCTGCCAAAGCCCAGATTCGGTATGGTTGATAAATGCCTGGAACTCTGTGGTGCGGGAAAAGGGATGGTTTAGATTCACTTCAAGGAAAAGAGGATCGCTCGAGAACTGACCGGCATGATCTATCTGACCGTCTCCATTCGTGTCGACCTCGCGCAAGATACTGCGCAGCATGCCATCTGCGTTTTTCAGAGCTGCGACCACGTCAGTCGGGACTGTTCGGCACGGTTTTCGGGACGGAGACCTCGTCGGCACTCACGGTGGTCCATCTTCTTCAGCCCTTTCTTCAGCCCGTTCAAATCGATATGGCCCTCCTTGCGCGCATCAAGCGTCTGCCAGAGCCGGGCCACTCGTTCGTCCCGCTCATCCTTCGACTCGCCGGGTGCCATGTTGAGAGGAAAATTGTTATTGAGCACCCGGCATGCTTCGAGAGCGCATATCCTCCGGTGGATAACAGGGTCGTGGGGGGGGGAGGATTAAGACTCCGCAGGGGACTCTTTAAAGGTCAAGCATAAAAATGAGCATAGGGAGAGCTCTGCGGGTGGGGAGGAATGATTAATCGGCGCCCGATCATTGCTGCAACACCTTGACGCCATCGCCGGGCCGGGCACGGGACTAGGGCTGGCCCTACTTTCCTGTTTGGGCCACCCCGGCTTGCTCTCCGGACTTCTGCTATGCCGCTGCCTTCTCGATACGTCCTCACTCGCAGACGCCGAGGGCTTGAGTGGCAGACAAAGGATGCATCTTCGTTGAGGCGAGTTTCTAGTTCATCTGAGATGGCCGCCAACTACTGGGCTTCGACCCAGCGCCGATATTGGCTTTTCTCTCGTGAGAAACTGGCGGAGGTTCGGGAGCGTTTGCGGGACCGCGATAAGGTCACGCATTCCCAGTTTCCTCTTCCAGACCAGCGTCTGCTGAATGTCTATTTCAATCAGCGTAAGGATGGTTCCCCCATCGATGATCGATTCCTACTAATCCATTTCAGAACTAATTAAGCTGGGGAAACGCATGTCCACTCGGCAACAGGCGATCGCAACCGCTCAGGTATACCTCAAGCGGTTCTATACCAAGAATGAAATCCGCCAAACAAACCCCTATCTTGTACTTACGACCGCATTCTATCTGGCCTGCAAGATGGAAGAATGCCCCCAGCACATTCGTTTTGTGGTTGGAGAGGCGCGTGGCCTATGGCCAGGTACGTATGATGAACCGCTCATGCCTTATACTCTTGCGCTCTTCGTTTTCAAGTCAAATTGACACTTTTACAGAATTCATCACTCCAGACGTGGCCAAACTGGGGGAGTGTGAATTCGCTTTAATCTCTGAGATGAGCTCCCAGCTCATTGTACATCACCCATACCGGACTCTATCCGAGCTCCAGCCCGAGCTCCCCCTCAGCTCGGATGAGGTGGCACTCGCCTGGTCTGTAATCAATGATCATTATCTAACAGATCTGCCACTGCTACATCCACCTCATATCATTGCGATCATGGCGATCATCGTTGCTGTGGTCTTCAAGCCGTCTCACCCAGGAGGCTTCCCTGGCTCCGCGCAAACTGCGTTGGCGGGTGCGATGAGAGATGGATCTGGCATGAACATGCTCGCCGCCGCTCTTGGGGATAATTCCGGGGCTGGTCCTCCTCGGATTCACAAGCTGGTTCAGTGGTTAGCGGAGAGCGAGGTGGACATTAAAGCCGTCATCGAGTGCACCCAGGAGCTGCTCTCGTTGTATGAGGTATGGGAGCAATACAGCGAAAAGCACTGCAAGGAACTGATTGGGCGAATGGTAAAGAGCAAGAATTTGGACAAGTGATGAGGTCTACATGCCAGTCTTCTCAGTACTTTACGATATGGCGTTTTGGATTTAGGAAAGGGTTTTTTTTGTCTCCTAAGTATCATCCGTTACTGACGACTCTGCATTGCATATGAGCATTTTAGTTTTCATGTTTTCATGTTTATCGTTTTCTGCATTGAACAAACACTTGATTTAAGTCTTAAATCCAAGCATAGAACAAAGAATTTTCTGATGTCTTGACCGTACGTTCCTTCGCGTAAGTTTAAGAATCATTTCATCTGAGCACTAATCTATCGAATGTCTCGCCTAGACGGTAATGTCAATTTCTTTCTATTTTGGCAATTCAGGCGAACAAAATCTGGTAGATACATTTGAAATATTATGTAGATTTCAAACTCAGATCTACGTGAGAGTCTATCTGGAAAATATATAGTATTATACATGTATCCCCTTATGCATTTGGAGAATATGCAGAGGCTTGAGTCTGTAAACAAATTTAAAGTTCAATCAATCGAGTAGACTCGAGATATATCGAACTTTTGGAACGTACCTACGGCGTCACTGTTGGCTCTGCGGGGTTGTTTGTATTCGGACTAACATCTGAAACCACCGCAGAATCGGAGTCCGTTTCGAGGACAACTACAGAGTACACGGCATCAAGATTCATACAGAGCCTGTGGCAAGGTTTCAAACGAGACCGTGGCAACCAGATTGTGTCTTCAAATCCCCTTGCGTGAGGTCTGGGGAAGGCAAACGATCGAGTCAGGGTTCTGTTGACCCCTCACTGATCCCGGTCACGGCTGTGCATATGTAATGCAGTTAGATCTTAGCTTAGGATCTGAGAGATCTCATCGCATGTCGTGCACTGACCGAGCATGGGCTTGGATGCGTCAGCTGCATGATTCAAGCTTCAATTCACGGTGCCTGCACCTGCGCCTTAGTGCCTACCGTAGTGTGCACCGAGCAGTCTATTCGCTCTTGAAAGTACATATTTGCCGCGCTACGCATTCTCTCTTCCCCCTTCTACAGTTTAGAGTTCGCTAGCAAGGCTCGAAATAGAATTCGGGATGGCCGGTTCCCAAAGGAGCGGTGAAAGCAGCGAGGACCACGAGGTGGTACGTTGACGGGTGAGCCCTCGAGGTACTTCCCATCGAGGGGCCTGTCCGACGAAGTGACTGGACACGAGGGGAGGACCCCCCGACTAGGGGGCACTCGGGGTGTTCCAGCAGGCGCCGGGCATTCCCAGGCTCGGGTCGGTCAGGTACATACGCAATGGAAGAAGGATCCTTAGCATGAGCATCTGCCACACCTTGGTGGAACCTCCAGAGGGTTTGGGCCGTGAGTCACAAATGCAACCCAAGGAGGCCAGCGACACGCCGCATCCCGTAACTCGTTTGATGGGGACCCGGCTGCCGATTTGGGAGGACGATGGGTCCGGCGGGATCTTGTTTTGGAGAACAACATTGGGGGGCGCGTAGCCAATAATGAGGAGGCCGTATATACAGTGCACCTGCAGCATCAGTCGTGGCGTGGTCTTATCGAGCAGAATCTTCCCCAGTGCAGTAGTCACTGCGCCCCTGTGTGTCGAAGGATTGGGGAATCCCAAGGGGGGGCGATCAGCGATCAGCAGCCACAGCCGGGGCCCTATGGGGGAGGGAGAATGTGTGCCTGGGACCTGCGAGACACTGCAAACTCAACATGGGCGTAAGCTCTACGACGGGAAGAGCAAGCTCGAACTTAGAACCTCGTCCAGTCTGTACTGTGTACAATATGGAGTACCCTCAGAGAGAGTATGGGGTCCAACGGTCCCTCGTGTACTCACGGGTGTGCCTGTACCGGTCGAATAAAAAAGGAAGCGCCTCAACCCTCTATGGAATGTTCCTCTTCCGGGAGGCTGGGGGGAATCCCTAAGGTGGTGGAGCCGTGGTCAAAAATGGAGGGCGACAATCCGTATTGTGCATAGCCCTGCGATGGAGACCACGAGTCCCAGGGCACAAAATCGAAGGTATCGCATGTCGGAGGGCGTCATGGCATTTACCTTGGGGAAAAGCCGATCACTGGCGACCTGCGTAATGAGGCCGCAATACCGTACGGCCACGCCGTTCATCGTGGGCTTGGGAGGCAAAGGGCGCAGCCACTCGTAGACGCAGCTAGCGGGTGGATCGCGTCACTCCCTGCCCCAACGGGACTAGGGGGTGATTGGGTCGACGACGTCACGTTGTTTTGTCCCGCAGTAAAGCGGCCGGCGGGTGCTGAGAAAACAGTGGGAAACTGGTGGGAAGCGCCCTGGTGGAGATGCGACGAGGGCGAGGGGAGACGGCCATTGGGTCAAGCCAGGCAGTCGACTCTCGCCACTGCGGCCGCTCGGCCGGTCTTGGTTGGTGCATGTTCAGCCGGGGCCCTCGCTAGCGCCGTTGTAGTGACCACCCCTTACCAAAATTACCGCTGGGTGCGGACAGCCCTGCAGCGGCCGGTGGGTGCTCGGGCAAGGGCGTGACCGTACGGTGACCATACCTCTGTCTCCCCCAAAACACCCACCCCTCTTTTCTCATTTCCCTCCCACACTCGATTCTTCTAATCTTCTCCTCTACCATCTTGTGCTATACCCAACTGCTTCCAGTCTCGACTTCCCACTTTTCCTTCTCTTTCCCGCCCTTCTACTCTTTAACTACGTCTTCTCTTTCTGGGTGCTGGCTTCCCTCAATCCATTCCACCCCGTCACGATGTCTGCTTTCTACAACCACCACCACCACCACTACCAGCAACAACACCCTCACGCCCACATGTCCACCCAAAATCACCACCACGGCCGCCGCCGGGCTCCCAAAATGGCCCAGCAGAATGCTCAGCGTCAGTTCCGGGGTGTGAAGAGCATGCGGGAATTGGCCGAGGCTCCCGCCGTCACAGCCTTCCGGGCTCGTTTCGAAGCCGGTCGCTCCTTCGATCTCGATGACGACCTGGAGTTCTGTCCCAACCTGCTGACCGAGGACGACGTATGTTTTGCTGATCACATCTCCCTTCGATCCTTCTCGCCAAGGAAGGAAATCCCCCAGGAGATAACCTTGAAAAGCTTGCGAGCTAACGGTCACTCTTTTTGCCCCCTGCAGTTGCACTCTATCCACTCCGCCTCCTCCGACCGCTCCTCGCTCTCCAGCGGGTCGCCCGATACCTCGCCCCTGCAACACCAGATCCAGCCGGTGCAGCAGGTCACCCCATCCATCTCCCTGTCGCCTGCTCAGGCCAATGCATACGTCCACGCTGGGGTTACCGGTAACATTAATCACGCAAACTACCAACAGGCCGCCAACCAAGCCAACAGGACTCGCAAGGTCATTCCCATTGTCAACCCCAACACCGGCATGACCCTCGCGAGCCCGCCCTCATCCATCTCCCCGGCGATGATGCAGACGGCCCAGCGGCGATGGTGAGGACCTTTCGTGGTCCACAGGGCCTTGCGCTCTCCTCCCTAGCGGCATGTTTCTTGCACGTCACCTGAGTTTCTGCATCATCCGAATGGTCTCCTTATCGCAGGTCTTAATACTTTCTGTTTTGATCTTTTTATCTTGCATAACTTGTCTCATACGGGCTTTGCATTCGACACGACACCTCTGGAGGGCTTCTTCCTTTTCTACGAAATACGGCGATCGACCCCTAAAAAATCCTTCTCAAAAAATCCGAAAATTCCTTCGAAAATCCGGCTATTGTACATACCACCCCTTGTTTTCCTCTTCCGCCGCCGATTACGAACCGACCTTTCGCCATACATCTAGATCACTTGCGATGCTTCTAGCTTGTTGCCAGCGACGGTGCTTGCGATATGATTCTATTTTTTGCATCCTTTTTTCGAACGATACCGACCGTCTCTCGGGAGGGACGAGAAACCCCTATCTTCATGGCCTCCCCTGTTTCTTTTCGATTGGGGCCGACCGATGATGTACAGAACGGTGACTTGCTACTTGACGTGCATGTTCCATGAAACCGGAGTTGTTTTTTGTACTTTTTGGAAAAGGGGGAGGGTCGCTCGCGAGCGACTTGGGCCCGAGCTCTCTACTCACCTACGCTGTGACTTATTTTTCGACGACTTCCTTACACTTTTGGATTCTCATTGTTTGGGGTTAATATGTTCTTGGGGCGGGATGGATTTCACATTTTTCAAGGATCTAGAGGCGGAAACGATACACGTCTGCATTGCTTGGGCACTGTTGAAATATCTGGGTTGTGCTTTTTGTCTTTTTCACTACGGTTTTGCTCCTTGGTTTTCTTGGTTTTCATTGGGCTTTTATCTTCCTGTATATCGGTTTTATCGGGGGGATGGGTGATACGCGATACTCATTACTTCCTTGCCACGGGGTATAGTGGCTGGTTGGGTTTGGTTGCGAGCGAAACCATGGGATGCGGAGTTGTTGTCTGTTTGGAATCGATATCCTGGGGGTCTCTTCTCGCGGTATTGGCGAGTTTTAGACCATATGCGTTGAGAATGGTTTTGTTTTTTTTGGTATTTGGTTTTGGTCATGTTTGGTGACGCCCACTGTTTATTTTCACTCACTTCACTTCTCATGTCTGCGTTTTGACTCGATCGGTTCATCGTCTGGTGCCCAGGACTTTTTGACAAAGGCTTGGGTGCAGCTCCTAGAGAGTCATGAATACGCTGTATGATGCTGATTCCCATATTGAACCTTCTTGCACACTGTCATTCAATTACATCTCATTTGTTCATATTCTCAATAGCATTTTTACGCTACTGGTGTATTCTGGACAATTGATGTGACCATGACCGTTCCTTATTTCTCTTCTGTCATGAACTCTCCTTCATTCCGTAACAAAAACATGAACTCATGCTGGAATGCCTTTTGCCAGTATCATATTTGCCATTGCGTACTACCACGCGATATCAAATTCTCCATCCCATCCCCCGCATGGCCTCAGACCGGAATTCATTCTCGGCGCCTGTTTCGCTGATGCACTGGGTGCAATATTCCCGTGCATCTAGATGATCTCACAATTCACACGACACTCGAGGAGTCGCAGTACTAAATAAACAGCCGGCTGTTCACAAGTGTTGGGGTGAGGACTTGCAAGTTCATCACTCTATGTAGAGATATATATACCTTGCCCCGAGTAGCCTCGACTATTAGGCTTGTGAGATATCACATATTCTGCATATTGGCCTATTGACCCGATCAGCCTAGAAAAATAAGGAATCAGTACTGAAAGCCAAACTGTAAATGATACAGGTTGAGAAGCATGTGGGTGCTCCAGAAGGAACGAATTTGGACAGATGCCCAGCTGCGAAACGGCAGAACCTTGGAAGTCTAGCTCCTAGAGGTGGCAATGTGTCAAGGTATTACTAACAACAGAATATGATTAGTAGAGGTAGATTAAGGTACAGAACTGATTACTGTAGCGTATCTGTACAAGTACTTGTCAAAGAAACTTTACGGTATTTTATGATGGATGATATGATTATGAGTGATGATTTCGATGATGTCACAATAATCGGTTGGTGCCAATTTGTTTCGGTAAACTCGCAAACAGCCCAGCACGGAAATTTCTCTATGTGGGTTTTTTTTTGATGATCGACTGACAATCTTTCCATCTAATGAGAAGTTGAAAAAAGCTGGTTCAAGAGGGCGGCTGCTATTCCAGCGGGCCAGTCTGAGCGAGTAATTTTGATGCTTGTAACGCCGTGAGCTTGGGCATTATTAGAGTTGTAGTAACGCCATCTTAACAGGGGGTGCAAGCTATGAACAATAAAAAGCTCAACTATGATTCCCAATCTTTGCATTCTTGGGAGACCGTGGTATTCGTTATAATCTTCTTCGCAATGAATTCGGGATTGCTAGCCACGGATGATCAATCTTGAAAGCGAGACTTCAAGGACCCAAATTTCACCTCTCTTGCGATCATTCCGGGAAGCAATACCGAAATCTAGTGCCAAAGTATTTTCTCGCCTGTTATCAAGTATAAAAGATGGAATGCACTGCCTGGAAGGTGAAGTTGTTGTGATATAAAGCGGCGTCGCAGAATACTAATACGCGGCAATACCACCCCAAATACCTTGGCGGCGTGTGGAGATGTCGTCATGGCCGGTCGCCCGGGAGTATATATGATGAATCCCGGCCACGTTTCGGCTCGACGGTTCTCCCTCGCCTCTCGAAACCACATAATCACTCCTCCAACCTGAAATAATGTCATTCCTCCCCTCCATCCGGGCCAACGCCCGCCGAGTCGCACAAGGCACTGCCCTTCGCCCTACAATCTCTACATTCCACACCTCCGCGTCGCGATCAACTCTCAAAGAAAGTGATAAGAGTGAGCTGGATAACTTATGCCCCGATTTGACCACACGCTTACCCCTCCACAGACCGCGATGACCTTCCCAACCTCTATGAATCACAGAAAGAATCCCAGGTGAAGAAATCCAAGGAAGGAAAGGGACATTGGGACCCGAGTCTGGCCAGCAACAGCGAGGCAGATGTAAGAGCCCAGCGACCGGAATTTGTTGGAGTTGAATCAACGCTGACTCATTGTGATAATAGATTAAAGCCGATCGAGGCGAGCTGGGTGGCGGTGATAAGGCCTTCCAGGAGCTGCAGCAGAAAGAGAAAGCCAAGAAAGGAAAGGTAGCATGAGCGACTAATGTAGCATGATGATGATTGCTCTGCTGTCTGTTGTAAGGAGTTTGGGATACCGGGATGAGAAGAAAATGCAATCAGCTGCACCTTGACTCGACCTTCCTCTTAGATTGAGCCATCACATTCTGTTTTTATCTAGGACTAAGCCAATGAATTGTGATGAGAGAAACACAACAGTGTAGTAGATGTACTGTCAAAAGGTAGTGTAGTATGTCAACCAGGAGAACTGGTGACAGGCTAGTAGGCTCAATTCCAAACGCCGAAACCCTCTCAGTAGAAACAAACAAGAAGCAGAATCAGCTGCCCAATACACCCGGAAAGAACGCCCGCTCACAACAAACAGATAGGGAATAGACTCTAGCCCACCCTTTATTTCAGAATCACAATGAGAATAACCAAGATAATAATCAACCCAATAATGGTCATCATACTCCAGTTCTCACCTGCGCGGCGCCGGAATCGATCGATTCGCCGCCGCGCAGTATTCAGGCGGCCCTGGTGGCGCTCAACATCTTCATCCACCCCATCCAGCAACGCAACATGTCCATCTAACTCATCTCCAATTTGAATACTCAATTCATGCTGTCGGCCAATCGACTCTCCAAGCTGGTCTAGCTGGTCGTCTTGATCGCGAATAACCTGCGAATGATGGGCATGGATTTGCTGATTGGACCAGTCAGACTGATCAACAGCCGACGGTTCATCGCGATACGGATAGAGATTCTGGCGGTTCCGCTCTTCCTCGTCGATCTCATCCTGTACGGCTGCAGCCGCGGCCGAATTGTCCATGAAGCGTACCGATTTAGACGGGGGATGCTGTGGGACGGGCTGTTTGAGATCGGGCGATGTTGCGGACCAATTGGCGACATCTGCATCTGGGTTGGAGGAGCCAGTGTCTGTGCCGTAGAACTGGGATGATAGGTCGCGTAGTTGGTCATTGAGAGGGCCAAGTTGGTCTTTCAGAGCAGCGGCACCGGTGCTATCATTGGACTCGGTGAGATGGGTTTGTTCGGCTTCGACGGTCCGGATGCCCTCTCGGAGTGACTCGAGGGAGCGGGAGATTTCGCCATCTTGCGCATTCGGCTCGAGATCAAGAGAAATTGCGCGCTGTCGCTCCAACAGCGAGAGCTTGATGTGGTCGGCGAGAAGGAAGAGCTGCGACGGGTTTGACATGGCGATGGTGTCAGGCGAACGGCGAACGGAGACGGGAAACGGGACGGGGGCGTTGGTCGTGAAACGGGTATTTGAGGGCCCCCGGATAATATGGACAATGCGAGAGAGACTTCCAGTCAGCCGGGCTCGGACAAGTCGCTCGGACAGAGAGGGAGGAGGGGATGTTGGATGTGTTTGGAGGTGAGGTGAGACGAGAGTTGCAGCTAAGGCAACCCCGACATGGCCGAGCGCGGGTCTGCGATCTGCCGTTTCCGCCTTTCGCCTCTGCCCCCGCAATACCACCTTCATTCTTTCCTTCGACTCTCATCCTTTCATCCCTGCTTCCCTTTTCGGACTCGGACCTAGAATCCTCTCTGTGCCTCCTTATCGAGAAACCCCCTGCTGTTCTGAAAATACCCCTAGCGGGCTCACCGCAAAGTGTCATCGACCTCGGTATCTACATCCCGGCCAATATCCGCCGCATTCACGAGCTGACTTTCGCCCTCCTCGGAAGAAAATATTCTAGGAGCGCAACAACAGGAGACGAATACCAAGCCCAGGCAATCCCGTCCATGGACACTTCCGGCGATACTGACTCCTGCGCATCATGAACATCCAAGACTTCATGGCCCTCGAGGCCGACAGCAGCCACGACGAGCTGATCGATTTGCGCTCCCTTGATTTCGTCTCCAGCTACGACTCGCACCTGATGTGTCCAATCTGTCACTGTCCTTTAATCGAACCCGCGCGCCTACAATGCGATCACGTTTTCTGCCAAAAGTGCCTTCGATCGGCCATCACCACCTTCCGCTCGGCCGATACGGACGAGTTCCCGTGTCCCTCTTGCCGAACCCCCACCAGCCAGATATCGACGAGCGTGCCCCGCTTGCTGATCAACATGTGCGAAGAAATCCAAGTGCGGTGTCCCTTTGCGACAGAGGGGTGCCAGGAGGTCGTGCCGCGAGGGCATATTCAGTCGCATGTGGATAAATACTGCGGGTATCGCCTCATACCGTGCCCGGATGAGGATTGTGAGAAGATGTCCCGGAAAAAGGATCTTCAGGTGGAACAAAGATGCATGCATAGCTATTGCCGGTGTTCGCGCTGCGAGGAGGACATCATGGAACAGGACTATGAAGTGAGTAATGCCCCTGCATTATTCAACTTGGAGACAATCCTAATCAATTGTGTGTCTCAGGAACACGACAAAGAGCTTTGCCCTAGCCTCGAAACAACATGTGTCGACTGTGGAACTACTATACCCCAGCGAAATCTGAAGAAGCATATCGAAACATGCCCTGAGGTCGTGAGTCCTTGCATGGCATCAAAATACGGATGTACAGCCAAGATTCGACGCGCAGAAATCGCCACCCATGAACAGTCTTGTCCGCTAGTCTCAATCGGCCCATACTTCGAAGCACAAAACACTCGGTTGAATTCACTCGAATTAAAAATGCGCCACCTCCAACAACGAAATGAAATCTTCGAGGATGGCCTCTCGAATATCCGCTCTACCTTACTCGAGTCTGCCCGTGCGACTGGGGGTAACCGCGGCGGAAGATCCGCCACCGAAAATGACAGAAGTCAACACGGCCGAGTCGACGACGATGAATCTGCAAATTCTTCAAACGTCTTCTCATCCAACGCCACGACATACCTCCTCTCACTGCACGAATCCTTGCGCGAAGAGGTGAGCCAAATGTCGCACGCACTCACAGACCTCGATGCGCGAGCTAGTATGACGATCATGAACGAATGTCTTCGCATCAAAGAAGATATGGCCCATACCAACGCGGCCGTCAATAGCGTACGCATGCAGGTCCAGTGGCTCATGAACCCCCGGCTCCACAATGGCGCCCGGGCCGGAGGCATGCGCACCAACGCCAGCACTGCCGGCAATGATACGACTCGTTCGCAATTAACGTCTACTTCCGCGCCGGGCCCGAGCAATGCTGCTGGTCCTTCCTTGGGACCAATTCGGCCCCGAAGGCCCAGTGATAGTGGGCGCGAGGGAACGAAACTATAATTGATTTGGTCTTTCAAATGACCATGTTTTTAGCGTTGCATTTTCTCCATGTGGTCCAGTGTGGATAGGAGAGGGAGTATGGGATGGTCTTTCAGTGTATCTTAATCCATGACTGATGATTGGCTTGCTTGTTTCAGGCAAGCCAAATGTATTGAGGTAGATTATGCCTGTTGTGTTTAATAAGCTACTATTTGTATCGCAGCATCTATTAATACGATATTTATGCCCTGATGTGTATTCTAGAGAATGTACATGGGTTGATTGACAAGTTTCATTTAGTAGAAAGCAGCAACGCATAGACGCCTTGAAATAGCGTTAGTGATCCAGTCACACGGTCTGGAACAACCCCGAGGATCTGAACAATATAACTCCTTGTATCCCGGCACTGTTTCAGTGCCGAGACAACGCGCGTCCGAATTTCAGGAATTGTGAAGCCCTGTTCTTGCCAGTCCTTGTACGGTGCGTCCGGCCAGCTCAAACCCAGCCACCCCTCTTTTGAATCTCTAAATCCCTAAAAAAATGAAGAACACACTTAATTATTGAAAGGTTGGGAAAAAAAATCTCGAGGTTTTTATAGGAATAGCCGAACGCGGGGGTCGAACCCGCAGCCTTGAGATTAAGAGTCTCACGCTCTACCGATTGAGCTAGCCCGGCAGGGCTGTTGAAAAAGGTACCCAGTTGTGGATACATAATCCCAAACCAACATGCTCGCACGCTAACCCGCCACGCGGCCCTTTTGAATGCTCAAGAGTCGCGATTCCAAGCTGTACACAAATTTTTAGGCAATGGCAGCCGTCTTTCGGGCCTTACCTCCAAATTTCGGTCGCAGGGCGTTGGTTGGGATTTGGTTCTAGCAAGGTCGATCGATTATATCTCTTCTGCAGCTTTTCAATATTGAGTTCTCAACACCGTTGGCGCATCGTATGTGTACCACCTCACGACGATAAAGTTGTTAATTGGCAATCCTAAGCGCCCACAGTACAGCCGTGAGGGACACTCAATGTGATGTGACTACTACCCTAGTATGCGATATCATGACAATACAGGAAAACTGCGCAATGCTATTTGACATCCAAATTGATTTTCACCACCAAACTTTACTCCCATCAGAAACGTCTTCACACGTTTATAGTCGTAAACTCATAAAACACAACCGTCAATATTTTTTACCCAACTCAATATCCATATCCGCCACCTCCATATCCCTGTTGACCATGGTGGCCATGCTGACCATGTTGACCGTAAGGATCGCCCTGGTATCCAGGGTACTGCTGTTGGTACTGCTGCTGGTACGACCGATGGTCATGGCCACCTCCATTCTCCGGACCGTCGCCCTCAACATTTCGTGAGGAGCCATGCGACAAGCCACCGGGAAGGAAGTTTGAGATCGTGCTCTCGAGTTTTCCCAGCTTGTTCAAATTAGACATGCCAGGGATCGGGAGGCTGGAAAGCTTGTCCCAGGGCATGCCGGAAGAGTGGGACTGCTGCTGTCCATATCCATGCTGTTGCGAAGACTGGCCAAACCCGCCAAGGAATGACTGGTGACCACTGGAAGAATGGCCTTGTCCGTGACCACCATGGCCACCATGACCGCCGCCGAGAGCAGCGAATCCGCCCTGACCACCTCCGTGCGTGTGAGGGACTCCACCAGTGTTACGGCCTGACTTCACACCCTCAGAGCTGAGGATGTCGTTCAAGTTAGCACCGCGGTCCGGACGAGAATGGACCCAGCCCTGGACGGCTTCGAACATGGTCCGATGAGCCTCGTTGTTCATGTCCCGGAGAACCGGGTGGTGGAATACGCGCAGACAGTCATTCAACACCTCGTGCTCGGGAACGTCAATGTGTTGCCAGGCGTACAGCACACGGGGTGCAACGTACTTCACAATTGCGGACGCAACTTGTCCAGCGGGCTCATTCAGGACGTTGGCGAAATGGTCCTTGGAGAGCAGCGAGTGGGTGGGGTCAGTGCAATGGGGGTCCGTCCATGGCTCGTACTGGTGCTTGCCCGAGGCATCGATAACGCCCGCAGAACCAGTCTGCAAAGACTTGGAGGCTGCGTTGATAAGAGGGCGCACGAAAGGTGCAAGGAGAGACATGATGAAGACGGTCAGTGTCTCTGAGATTTTTTCGATGATAGCCTCGAGGCCGGGGATCTTCTCAATGATGGAATTGAGCTTCCGGACGACCTTGTCACGGAAAGCGAGGATCGGGTAAATCTTGGCGACTGTCTCCTGAGGATTGAAGTCTGGCATACCCGAAAGGCCAGGGCCCGGGGTGCTACCAGAGGAGGGACCAGAGGCACGAGTTTCTTCGTTCTCCACGTAGCCCATGTGCGAGCCTCGGGAGCGGTTCAGGGTCTCTTGTTCCTCAGACAGATGCTTCAAGTTTTCAGCCTCAGACACAAGCTCCCTTGTCCCCGGGATCTTGCCCAACAACCCGGTCAGAGCCCCGAAAGAGTTACTGGATTGAGCATTGTTCTCTGCATCACCTAGTGCCAAATCCATCTCGTTGACCTCGGACTGAGTGAAGTGGTCGGTGGCTTCTCCAAGCACGGAGTGGAAGAAATCGACCATACCAAAGGTTCCCGTGACAAGAGGGAAAACATGGTGTCCACGAACATTGCACTGAGTGGCAGTGCCCGTGTGCGGGAAGACACTGTGGAAGCCCATTTCCCGAAGCACGAGCTCACAGTAGTTGGTGTGAGCCGCAAAGTCCTCCAGCGTGTGAAGTCCTTGTCCCAGACATCTAAGTGCCTCACAGAGGTCCTCCTCGTTGCCCTTTTTGTCTCCGCCATTCGTGTACATTCGGCCGTAGTGGATGCTACGGCTCAGACTGAATTTCACATATGCAGCACTAGTCGCCCAGTCTCCACGCTCATTGGCGATGTAGTTTTTCATGCCGGTGTCGGGATCGATCTCCAGTTCGACATTGCGGACGGGAGGGCGTAGTCGTTTATCGTACTGGCGCGCATCTTCATTGTCGGCGTAGTCCTTGGGGTTGCTAAGCAAGCAGTTAGAATGAATCGAAGGGTAGGTTCAAGCCTCGTACATACTCAATATGTTCCTCTGGCCGATAGACACCCAGTCGATCAGAGGTGACCTCGAATTCACCCGTCGCATAGCCGAAGCTCAGGAATGAGAGGACCCACACCAGGACGCGGATTGTGTCGGCCTGGAGATTTTTCAGGGTCCCGACGTCCATTGCCTGCGAACTGAAGGCTCAATGTCAGCCAAGCGGGGTCTTCACACTATGCCTGCCAGTGTGCAGACTCACTAGTCGCGCAGCCAGTTTCCAAAGTATACGCGCTTGATCATGGTGGAGGTCCATTTGTGGCCGTGGATGAAAGCGACCGTCTTGAGGACGTCTTCGATATCGCCATGGCGCCAGTTCTTTCCCTCAACGGTGGAGATCGAAGCGATATCTGCGATTGTTAGCGACAGTCGAGAGAGTCACGCGAGGAGACATACTGCCGGCACCGAAGGCGTGAACCTGGGGCAGTAGCAGCAGCAGGCACGCGAGTAGGGCGGGAAAGCCCACGCGTAGGAGGGGCATGGTGGGATGGTGGCACGGAAGGTCAGATGGGGGGCGAGTTGGAGGAATAGCACGAAATCGTCCCAAGTCAGGCTGGTGGGAGAAAGAGAAAGAGATCGCACGAGCTGGCTGTGTCTCAGCTCGGGCGATCTTGGCAGCCCCATGATCTCGATGACGTTGGGTTGGGGGCCTTTTATAGTTCGACGTGGGCAAGGGGTCAAAACGGAGACAAAACAACCAGTTGAATGCAATCAGCTCGATATACCGGTCAGTGGGGGTATTTCTGGACGTCCCATGGATTGCGCCGCTCGTCCAGAGTCGAGCGAAGTTCTCCCCCGAGAGATCCACGTTCTCACGGCTTGCTGTTCCGCGGGGCAGATCGGATCCACCCGAAGTATACAGCCATCACCACTCGCCCAGCAACAGCAGAGAGAAGAAGCATCTTTTAGAAATGGCTCACATGATTTGAATAAAAATCCGCTGCTTCGAGATAGCGGGTTGGTCTACAATAAACTCGTACCAGTCCATGACCCTCCATCACAGCCTCTCGTCGTCTGGAACAACTTCGTGCTACCTTACTAGATAAAGTGGGCACCCTACTTACTGAATGCTAGCCCAGTGATGATGAGCGGTCCCATGGAAGCCTGGAGAATATATGAAAACAAAGCGCACGAGCTCAAAGCACGATGTCCATACCAATACCCACGCGATGTCAACAAGACCCTTTCAATAGACGAATGGACGCAAATCAGATAATGGCGCCAGGAACGAGAAACATGTCTCTAACTTTATCTGAGCCAAGGAGCAGACTGCTATTTCAGCGCAAATCAAACGACCAGTGCCGTCTCATATATCGGTACTAAACGCACAGTACCCTAGGGTAATTGTCCTTCTCCGGAGCCCCGCAGGTTGTCGCCAGCCCCCGCGACGAAGTGAACTTGCTCGACGCCACAATCCTACGCTGAATATTCCGACTATGCTTGTCTGCATCCAGTCCAATAAACAGAAGCACTGCATTATTTAGCGACGATGGTTGCCTCGGTTAATTGCCCTGAAGGAAATTGGAAAAAGCCCGGCGGCACCAGCTGCTTCGTTAGCGCTGTCCCTACACTAGTGTACTCTACATGCGCATGAATTCATACTGTCAAGCATTCGATTGAAGTTAGTACTCTGCGGGGTACAAGTTCAATGGTCGAAAATATCTCCGTCGACACAGAGATACGCATCGCTGCCCAGCTGTCGAATAGCTTAGGGAATCCGGTGATAGGGCCAGCGGAACAAGGCGTTTCCGTCTAAACACGAAAAAAGCAGATTCGGCCAAATAGACTGAGATTGCGATTCCCCGCATCTGAGACAATTCGATACAGTTTACCCCGCCCATTAGGCTACTACAGCCAAGTCGCATGGTCCTGCCAGGTGGCCGCAAGGGGCACGGCCGATGTCGACAGAGGTTTTGACAAAGAAGTCCAAGAGACCCGCTGGTAGCGGAAGCTTCAATTAAGCGTGTTTTCTCCGATCATGAAAGTTGTGTTGTCGCTGGAGAAGGTGAGACGAATCCCTATCAGTGGCTGATAAGAGCTGAAACCGTGCCTGAAGATCGCTTGTTCTACAACGATTCATGATGCCCTGCAGGTACTTTCCACGTCCAGGTCTCATCTCATCTTAATGAGTTTCGGGGACAAGTCGCATGAAATAGAAGTAAAATCCCTTTGCAGTATTAACCGAGTCTGCAGAATGAACTAAGCTTCGCTTAGCTGACCAGGGCCGACCAGAATGCTCCACCTGGAATTATTGGAGGAAAATCCCCCCGCTTTGGTACCTATGGGAGCAAGGACATGCCTAGTGTCGAGGCGAATGCCTAGAAAACCTGGGTTGAAACGGGACCGAGGAGTATAAAAGGGACGGCTGCCAGAATGTCAGTCAAATCGTCACGGTGCACTTATTCAGTGGTGATCAAAACTTCTGTGGTCATAAGCGGAAAGACGCTGGTCTAGTATTCGAAAAGATGTCTTCACGGCTCAACCTGAACCGTGCTGGGCTACTTGCCGTCGGCCTTGCTGCAACCAGCTCTCTTGTCGCCGCCGGACCCTGCGATATCTACTCCTCCGGCGGTACACCCTGCATCGCCGCACACAGCACCACACGCGCCTTGTACAGTTCCTACTCTGGCGCACTCTACCAAGTGAAACGCGGTTCCGATAACACGACGACAAACATCTCGCCGCTCTCCGCTGGAGGTGTCGCCAACGCAGCTGCCCAAGACACCTTCTGTGCCCGCACCACCTGCCTCATCACTATCATCTACGACCAGTCCGGCCGCGGCAATCACCTCAAGCAGGCCCCACCCGGTGGCTTCAATGGCCCTGAATCGAATGGCTACGACAACCTGGCCGGGGCAATCGGTGCCCCAGTCACGTTGAACGGACAGAAGGCGTACGGTGTCTTTGTTTCGCCCGGCACTGGCTACAGCAATAACGCGGCTAGCGGCACGGCTGTTAACGATGAGCCGGAAGGCATGTATGCCGTTCTAGATGGCACCCACTATAACGGCGCCTGCTGCTTCGACTACGGCAATGCCGAGGTCAGCAGTACCGATACAGGCAATGGCCACATGGAGGCCATCTACTTTGGTGACAACACCGTCTGGGGCAGTGGTGCTGGCAGCGGCCCTTGGGTCATGGCTGATCTGGAGAACGGCCTGTTCTCTGGACTCAGTGCTAGCAACAACGCTGGCGATCCGTCGATCTCCTACCGATTCCTCACTGCGATCGTGAAGGGCACGTCAAACTTGTGGGCCATCCGGGGTGGGAACTCTGCGTCTGGCTCGCTATCGACGTACTATAGTGGTGCCCGCCCCAATGTCTCTGGCTACAACCCGATGAGCAAAGAAGGTGCCATCATTCTCGGAATTGGCGGTGACAACAGCAACGGTGCCCAGGGCACTTTCTACGAGGGAGTGATGACCTCCGGCTATCCATCTGATGCCACCGAGAATTCCGTGCAGGCCAACATTGTCGCTGCCAAATATGCCACCACATCGCTGACCAGTGGATCGGCCCTCACTGTTGGATCCTCGATCTCGCTGCGGGCCACCACATCCGGCTATACGACCCGCTACCTCGCACACACAGGCACAACCGTCAATACACAGGTCGTCACCTCATCCAGCGCTACCACACTCAAGCAGCAGGCCAGCTGGACCGTCCGCACTGGTCTTGCCAATAGCGGCTGCTACTCCTTCGAGTCGGTTGATACGCCCGGTAGCTACCTGCGACACAACAACTTTGTCCTCCTGCTCAATGCCAACGACAGCACCAAGCAATTCAATGAGGATGCCACTTTCTGCCCGCAGTCTGGTCTTAATGGCCAGGGTCTTTCCATTCGATCTTGGAACTATCCCACTCGCTGGTTCCGTCACTATACCAATCTCCTTTACATTGCGAGCAATGGTGGCGTTCACACGTTTGATGCTGCGACTTCGTTCAATGATGATGTTAGCTGGATTGTTAGCACTGGATTTGCTTGAACATAGCGCAGTCCTAAGTATACAGGGAAAGCTGTAGATCCCCCTTTTTTTTTTTTTTTCCTTTTTTACCTTTCGTTTGCAACCTGTCACATGGGGAAAGAAGTGTATAGTGTGAGAGACACAGATATATGAAGTACATTTCATCACAATCGACCTATTGTAATCAAGTTTCCCATGTTATAGTTGCGAGGCTATCTGATTCGATCAGCAGCGGCAGACGACTTCCCCGTCTGTTGCAGCAAGATCCTCTTATTTAGCAGAATTTTCCGATTGATATCACTACAGCTGCATTTTGAACTTGGACTGGATTCCTGGGAATTATCTGGTAACAGCACATTGCATTGGAAGTCTTCATCAGAGCAAGTACCCTCTCGGATTAGACATCGGAGACCTACACTTTGACCTCCCTCCGATCAACCAGATAACGACACGGAATATACGATATCGAATTAAGCCTGTCGTAAAACCAAGCTTCTGCAAGCTTAGTGACACCACACCCGAGGGTAGTCCCGGAATACTGGAAATACGAAATACCACCCAAGCCGATGTGCGACGGACAGCTCCAAGTGGGGATCGGAATTTATTGTCCCTCGGAGCTTCCGATTCAACCCCACGAAGTACCCCGGTCGTGTTCCAGACGAGTATCCTACGGGATCGTGGGGGGTTTTTCACAAAGGCATTGATAAACACATGGACTGTGGAGGTCGCATCGGATCCACAGTAGCATCGACTGGAACAAGTGAGGAAAAGAATGTCACAGTCGCAGTTTTTGTCGTAGCATCGGCATACCCCGCAGCACCGTATAAACACCTGACTTGGGGCTACCTTCTCCAGATTTCACTCTCGGCACATTCCAATTCACCATTCAACATCAATCTCAAGATGTCGACAACACCCAACCTCGACGCCCTCAAACGCGACGGCTTCGTCGTCGTCCGCAACCTCCTCACCCCCGACGAAATCACCCACTACCGCACCGTCGCAACAGAAGCCACGACCAAAACCCGCACCGGCAGCTGGCCTCACTTCCGCACCGTCCCCAAACAGTTCCCGCCTTGGCCCAGCACACCACCTCCAGCCTCCGAGGGTGGCATCTGGGGTGTCCAGCACCTCATGCACCCCTCCATGCCGGGCCGCGACTCCTTCGCCAAATGCTACTTCTCCCCGACCATCCTGGCCGTCGCCGAGGAACTGATGGGCGTGACGCCCGGTTCGACCGAGGAAGAACCTCTCGTCATGGAATTGTTTAATCTGCTCGTGGCGCCGGAAACGAAGGATTTCGAGCTCCGCTGGCACCGCGATGATGTGCCCGAGACCGCGACGGCCGAACAAGAGGTGCAGCAGCTCTCCGCCAAGTCGCCCGGTGGTCGTCAGTCGCACGCGCAGTATAACCTCGCGCTGTGTCCCGATGCCTCGCTCATCGTTGTCCCCGGTTCACACCGTCGAGCGCGGACGGACGCCGAGCGCACGGCTGATGCCTACGAGCCTAATATGCCGAATCAGCTCGTTGTCGAGCTGCAGCCGGGTGATGCCGTCTTCTACGATAGCAATATCCTGCACCGCGGGGTGTACAGACATAAGCCGGCGAGCGGGGAAGAGACGCGGCTGACGCTGCATGGGAGTTTGGGGCTGAAGGCGGATGATGCGGACGATGCGGAGAAGAAAAAGGTGCGTGCGACGGCGGTCTTGCAGCATGGTGTTGGGGCTTGGGTGCATACCCCCGAGGCAGCTTTTGGGCTTGGGGAGAGGCCGGAGAAGATGCGGGCGAATTTGGTGGCTATGGGGACTGGGGAAGGTGTTGGGTATTCGTTGCAGGGGTGATCCAATTCAGTCGTGCTGATTGATTCTTGTATATATTGTTGGGCATGGCGGATTTGGACAGTTGGGAAGTTGAATGAGGTTGTATAGCGTTTATTTCAACTGTGTATGACCAAATAGATTATGATGATGTTGATGCATTGAATATTGCTCATATGTAGGTGGATTGATTAAAGTATTGACCTGGATTATGTACAACTATGTACAGTGCTACGTTGTAAATTACCTTACCCAAGAATATCTGAATACATGTACCAAGGGTAGTACCCAAGCTGTATACTACTGTAGATCCCCATCTATTCTGATCTACTCGCCAACCGAACACCACTCGGCAATCCCAAGATCTGCCCCGCTTGCTCCAGATTGCACGTTCCCAACCGACCAGCTCCGGCGGACTCCGTCAAACAGCCGCCGTTTGCGTTCTGCAAAAAGCCAATCATAAAGTGCGACCACGTCGTACCGACACCACCATCACACAACGCGAGGGAGACCCCGGCACCGTGTCCACTGGCTGCCAGACACGTGGATTTATCAGATAGCGGGCTCAAGGTGAGCTTGCTGCCTTGCGAGGTGATGCGCCAGACCTGGGAGTCGGCGGCGTTGCACGATTCGAACTTGGCTCCCGAGGCAGATGCGGTTAAGCAGTGCTTCGTTGCTGTGTTGAGGATCATGCCGGTTGGGGTGGTGGTGGTGCATTTCCGTGGAGGCGTGATGCGGAGTACGCTGGTGGCATGACTCTCGAGAGTGATGTCGACGGCATCTTGAATGGTTGAGACGGCACCGGTCCAGAGATCACGGGCTTTGTACTTGCAGCCAGCATCCAGGCCCAGTCGAGCAAGGGGGATGGTCGTCTTGGTCGTGTCGTAACCCCGGTTCAACACGGTGAGCAGCCTGTCTCCGTTCGCCAGCGAGCGAGTCAGCACGTCGAAGTTGCTATCGCGACTGACCAAGGCAGCCTGCTCCGCGAGTGGGTCCTGATCCACGGCGATCAGATCCTTGTTGCTCAGGAACTCGATCTCGCTATCCGACAGATCGGGAATATACGCGCTGATAATCAGCGGCGCCCCCATCGACGCCCAGATCGCAAAGTGCGATCGCTTCTCGGCGTCCGTCAGACCCGGGTGATCGGGGATCAGGAAATCCGGATCATTGTAATAGCCCGGCTGCTGGTAGCGCGTAACCAGAGTCTGGTAGTTGTAGTTGACCATGATGCTGTCCCAAGCACTGCCCTCTCCACTATACACCAGGACATCATCCGAGTGTCGGGCGAGCTCTCCGTACTCCGGGATCCAATCCATGACCATGGCCCAGTCGGTGGCATTGATCGAGAAATACGCCGGGGCCGACTCGGAAAAAATCAGCGGCTCCGGCATGGCGCTGAAGATCTTGTGCCATTTGCCGTAGAGATAGCGGTATTGGTCCCGCAGTAGTCGGCCGTCCTCCGCATAGACATTGCAGCCGTCGAGCTTGAGATAGTCAATGCCCCAGCTGGCAAAGGTTTCTGCATCCTGCTGTTCGTGTCCGAGGGAGCCAGGATACCCACCGCAGGTTTCGTTGCCGGCGTCCTCGTAGATACCCAGGTGAAAACCGTGACTCTTCGCATATTCGGCCAACCAAGGGATACCATGAGGGAACAAGGTGGTATTCCACTGCAAAGACCCATCCGCCGCCCGTTCGTGGGTCATCCAGCAGTCGTCGATATTCAGACGATTGTATCCCGCAGCCAGCAGACCGCGACTGACCATCGCCTCGGCGGTATCGGTAAAGAGAGTCTCGTTAAGATCACACTGGAATCGGGCCCAATTATTAAACCCCATCGGAGGCGTTGCGAGCAGGCCCGGGTCCCCCACGGACGCCTGCACAGGCAACAATGGCACCATCAATAGACCGGCCATGCTAGCCCAACGCGTGGACTTTGTCATAGTCCCGAGCACGAGCGTCGTAGGTTGTCCCGAGGATTTGGGCGAGCGAATTTGGAATCAGGGCGGAAGGAATGCCAAGCTTGATGTTGCACAGTCTTAGCGCAAATAGTCTGAACAATTCCATTTTGCCCAAAAACTCCCGGCGCGTCCAAGCTTTAAGCCCTGAAGCATTCCGCATCCCCCGCACCGGAGATCCGCGATCGCCGCGAATCACACGTCGGGGCAAGTCGCAGTCCAGATGGCTGGGGTCGAACAGAGACGTTGACTGCGACGGTGGCATCGTCGATAAGGTACGGCCTTTGCCCTCGGATTAATTAAGGAACCAGGCAAAGCAGCGGTCGATCAGGGCGCCCCTGCACGGATGCGATCTGCATCGAGGCCTGTCTGAGCGTCGGCAGTCACAAAGCTCGGAAACTGCGGTGCAGGCCTGGTTAAGGTAAGTGGCACCGTGGGAAGTCGGGAGATGACGCTGCCTCGACCAGCCTACTGGGCCAGCCGACTGAGGAGGAAGGGAGGTTTTACCCGGGACGAAAGCCGGCATGAGATGCCAATGGGGAGGAAAGCCGAGATGCGATGGATCACATTTGGGCGGTGGGGCGTGGGCGACGCAGCTGAGCAGCAGCTGAGCAGGAATTGCTGAGGAATTGCTGAGAGTAGTCCGTACTTCTGCTCGACCAGAAAATGTACGCTGCACGCAAGAGGATCAGTTGGTGGAGACGCAGCCTTGAAGCAGTCCCACCCCACCCGCGAGTCCCTAGGCCCAACGGCTATCAGCTCGACGAACTCCCACACCTCCCCAGCAATGTCGTCCACGGATTCAAAAACCAAACTTCGGCCGCAGCAGTCGTGTCTGAAATGCCGCGAGCGCAAAGTCAAGGTATGTATACGCTCTCCGGGATCGCTGGCGAGACCGCAGCTCGTACAGCTCTCCACCGCCACCGATCTCTACCCGAACATCACTCCGCAAGGGCCCCAGCGTCCAGAATGAGAACGAGAACAAAACGAGGAGCAGGAGAAGACTGTCGCTAATCCTCACTCTTAATACTAGTGCGATCGTTCCCGACCTTGTCATGCCTGTATCATCCGCGGCCTCGAAGCCGATTGTACCTACCTTGCCACCGCTGAAGACCACGCCCATATCAGCCAGGCCGAGATCATCGATCGGCTACGGCGCGAGGTCGCACAGTTGCGGGGCCAATTGAGCCACGGTCCTCGCCCCCGACGGCCCAGTCCAGGCAGTATGCGCCAGCGGAAATTCTATGCGCGGACACAGAATGGCATGAGAAATGCGAATACCGCTGTCGCAGTAGCTGCAGGCACCGGCGCGGCGGCAGCGGCAGCAGCAGGAGGAGGAGGGAGTGCGCCTGCGAATGCGCATAGCGCGGTTGCGCCGGAGGTCGAGGGGAGTTGGGCGGGTTCGTCGCCGAGTTCGTCGACGACGACTATGACCAACTCCAATTCGGTGACGATGACGAGTCCTGATAGCACGGGCAGCGAGAATGGTCAAAGTGCGGTGCAATCAATGTATCCTGCGGCGGGTCCGTTTAGGACGAGAGTTGTGGAGGAGAACGTGAGCGCGGGCGCTGTGGGGGAAGTCGCATATTCTAGCAGTGAGTTTTTTTTGACATGTTGTTCTATATAGGAGTGTGCTGACCAGAACAGATACTATGAATGAAGTCACCGTCTCCTACTGTCATACGGGAGTTCCCGCCTTCGGGGGAGACATTCCGATTTCCATGCCCATGCAAGGGATCTCCTCGCAGCCAGTCATGCAGCAGGACATGCAGAGAATGTCCATGCAGATGTTCGACGGGGGATTCGGACAGGGACCAGGAGTCATTCCGGGCACTGGACAGACCGCACCGCTCTACGAGAAACCACCCGACAGCAGAACAACCGTATATCCTCAAAACTGGGGCAACGATGCCATCGGACATCCATTCATCGTCCCATATTCGGATTCATCATATTTTTCTTCTATTAATACCTTCGATTCAAATTCAATCCCGATCTTGAATTCAACCCCAACACCAAACCCGAATCCGCAACTCCAGATGCCCCCTGCACCGATCAGCCAGGCCCAGGTCCCGACTCCCGCCCACGTCCATCTCGATCAGACCCTGTCACAGCGAGACACCACCCCGAATCCGATTGATTCCGTGCCAGAATCCTGGAAAGGCGAAGGCAAGCAAGAACTGCTAGAGATCTTACTCGAGACGATCAGCAGCTGCGACGAAAGCAGCGTCGCGCAGGTTGTGGGCGTCGTGCGAACCAGTGCGACACCCGAAGAGGCTGTCTCGGGGATATGTCAGGTGCTGGGAATTAGCGCCGGTAGAGTCAATGCTCAATGACCAAGCCCATTGCCGCGGGGACTTTGTATTGTGTTGCTGGTGTTTTGCCTAACGTGGGATTGGAGTCCATCAGGTCAGTCCAGGCCTGGATCCAAATGGGATAATGCAATTCATGATGGACTGGTTCCATCGCTTCGCCAAATATTGTCCATAGAAAAGAAAAGGAAAGTCTATTACATAGAAGAGACGCCTTTATACATTAATGCAGGTCATAAGTCGTTAGCCGTGATGGTCGAAGATCATGTCTTCGAGGGTCGTTTCTCTGTAGAGAAAATACCGATACAGTCGTTCGTGTAGCCATGTTATCAAGCCTGGCCATTCCCATTTTCATATTCGTATTCATTTCCATTCCCATTCGCAGTGGTAGCGTGGTCCAGAGGTTTCTGTCCGTAGACGAAATGGAATCGCAAGTAGAGATGGAACTTGCTGCTCATCAGCTCAGCGCGTACTTTCTCCATATACTCTTGCGCTTGTTGGAAGGTGAAACCCAGTATGCGGGTGAAGAGGGCGAGTGTGTATGGTTCGACAACTTCGAGGATGGTTATTTTGCCCACGCGACCGATCTCCTTGAGCCGTCGATTTTTCGCCCAGCCACCAACGGGACACTATAACTTGTTAGTACTTCTCGAAAGACCATGTGGAGGGTCGAAAACATACCTTGTAGATATCGTCCATAACATTGACAAACCCCTGGCCCATCATCCAATCATAGATCATAGGTGCCACGTTCACCGGTTTTCCAAACTGCTTACTCGCCTGGCTCAACCGATCCTGCCAGTCCATGATCGCCGTGGCCCGGTGATGCGTCCCGTCGTCTGACAGCACACAAGTCTCAAACTCCTGCGCCTCAAACCAACCCCCCGGCTTGAGATGCGTCCAGGCCTGCCGCAGCAGCCGCGGCCAGTCGCCAATTCCACCACCTAGACTCCGGGCATGAATATAATCAAAGGCCCCCCCCGGGGCAAACGTCCAATCACTCTCGGCGTCATCGATGAAGAAGCGGCAGTTGGGCGGGGCCCAGTTCGGTTGGATGGGGCTGAGGTCGGTGCCGATGATGTCGGCGCCCGGGAAGTCCTCGGCCATCTCGAGGGCCCATTCGCCGGTGCCGGTGCCGATGTCGAGGATGCGACGGGGGCTGCTGGTGCGGTCGCGGAGAGGTGCGCGGTTTAGATCGCCGCCGCTGAGCAGCTTGAAGAGGTGGTGCATTAATGCGAGTCGGTCTTGTTCCTCCTCGTCGTTGGGGAAGGGATATTGCCCGTGTCGGTAGGCGTGGTAGCGTCGGCCATTTTCGTAGCAGTAGTCTCGGACTGACGAGGCGAAGGAGAGCTCGGAGCCCACGAGGGATTTTGTGTCGAAGAGCGAGTCATCGTCACTTGTCTGTTCCGGTTAGACTGAGCAGACCCATCGAGAGGTGGTGGTGGAGAGGTGGCGGTGGCTGTACTGTTGGGGGAGGTGGGATGAAATAGAACTGGACGAAAGGGCTAGGAGGGGAAGATCATTGTCCGGAGAGTTTCTGGGGAGTTCACAAATGGTGAGGGGGTTGGAGGGGCAAGTGGACATCATACACGGGTGATTTACAAGGGATCGGAGCTACGAGGCTGAACAGGGCAGAGCAAAGCGAGGATGAAAGGAAGGGCGGGTGGATGAACAAGGAACTTGACGCAACGGAACAAGCAGAAGATACTCACATCGACCTGAATGCGCTCGTTGGGGTTTGGCTGGGACATGGCGATGGCAGGGAGGAAAGGTGAGAAGGGGTCAAGAGTCCCGAGAGGCAGGTCGCCGGGAGTGATGCATTCGTTCCAGCCGGGTGGCCCCCGCAGTTCCCGGTTGCCGGTGCTCTACTGCTGACTGCGCCAAAGAACTCCCTTCCTACCCTACTTAGGTACCCCAGGCCTGGCCAAGGGACTGACTCCCAAACTAAGGCCGTCCCTGCGGCCCGTCCAGCCGGGCCTCGTCTCCACTCCCGCGGGTGCGCCCTTGCACTTGCCTGCACTTGGCTACGCGGAATAAGGGGGCTCCATGACTCGTGATCGACTCGAAAATTCCTCGCTCGGTGCCGCAACTGAGTCGGGCAAATGCTAATCTAAGTTCTACCTCCTACATACTCAGTAATACATAGTTCTTCCTTGCGACCTGGAGCTTTTTGAAGTTTCTTGCCCACAGTAGTTAATTCGTAGCCTTGCTTATTCATAGTTGGTAAAATCTTGGTCCAATCATCCATCCTCATTCCTTTATCCCAGACTCTGGAGCTTCGTCTGCTCATCAGCCGTCAGCGCCGCAAACAACTCCTGGAACCCGGGCTGCGTCGATGCCCGACGGAAGAAATCGCACAGGTACGCCTGGGTCTCGTCGTCACGCCGGCGCACCGCAAACACACTCTCCGATCCCTCTTCCGCAAAGCTCATCAGCTGCTGCTTGGTCATGCCCAGGCCGAGATCCAGCACCTGTCCGGGCATATCTTCCCAGTCATCATCCCCATCGTCGCTGCCAGCATCATCCAGGGCCGCCGCGGTCGCCGCATCCATTTCCTTGTTGCCAGACGCCGCTGAAAGCTCCTCCACGAGAACCTTGATGATTTTCAGGGATGCAGGCACTGTTGTGAATCGGTCGGGGTTGTTACGAGCTTGCGACCGGGTCTTAATGCGGCCGGTGTTTTCGACAATCAAATCGCCCTTGACAGGGACCTCGGCCAACCGCGGGTCCGACAGCTCGTACAGATGCGCCAGCGCGAAGATGTTCTGCTTGATCTCGTCGTAACCGGCAAAGTTGACCGAGTTCTCCAACCACTTGCTCAGGACCAGCGTGAGTCCACTCTGGCCACCGAGGTTCAGCTGGGCCAGGAAATCCACCACTTCGCGTGCGCTAATCAGTGTCAGACGAGCGAAGACCAGGATCAGACTCTGAATGAATTGCGCCTGCTGCGCCGTGGAAAGTCGCTGGGCGACCGCTTGCAGTAACTGAGGTAGATAGGGCCCCAGACGTTCCGATCCAGCACGCTCCACCAGCTCGGCCGCCAACTGTCCCACCTCAACGGCGGCATTGTCATCAACGGCCGGTCCTAGCAGACGGTCGATGATCACCAGCGCGACTTCAATGGCTTCTTTACCGGACTGCGGGTCCCGCCAAGCCACAAATTGGGCGAAGTCATGGGCAAGCATGTGGCGCACTGCTTCAGTCGCAGGCCGAATCAGCTCGGCCTCGGTTGAGTCCAGAAGCAACCAGTTGAGCTTGGGCATCACAGTTTCCACAAATCCGGCCGGCATGGGCTCCGGACTTCGTTCCGCAAGAGCACGGAGAAGGTCGGCCGCGAAGTTCGTCAACGAGTTCTCCTCTGTGAGGTTGCCGACATCAATCGCACCCATCAACGACGGAAGCACCTTCTCGCAAAGCTGGCGGTACCCATCGGGGCCGAAATCCGCAATCTGGTCCAGCAAATCCTCAAAGGCTTCAGTCACAGTCATGGTTAGCTGGAAGTTCTCGGCCCCGCTGCTGGCAATGTTGAACAGGACATCAATGGCGGGAGACGACAGGACCACGCTGGAGTCGGCCATGATCACATCGCGGATGGTTTCCGCCAGCGTGATCTTGAGGTCGTCGCTCTCGGTCTGCTCGCGCAGATCGTGAGCCGAAACAAATTCGGAAATAGCATTGATTACTGTAGTTTGGAATGGGCGAGCCACACTGATGGGCAGCGCCGGGATGATATCCTGAAGAACTCGGATACACGACACCTGAACGACCTCTGCGGGGTCCTCGGCAATCGCCTTCAAAGCGGCTTCGAGAAATGAGGTAGTGTTCTGCTGGAAGTAGTCACCAGTGACTTTGGCCAATGAACCAGCGACAAGGTAAGCTCGGGCACGCAGGAGCTCCTGCTCTTGCTGGAGACCGTAATGAACGAACCGGTTGAACTGGGTGGCCAGCTCTGGAGAAATCTGCAGAGATACCTCGCTGAAGTCTCTCAGCAGAGCGTTCAGGACGTAAAGAGATGCTTCACGAGCTTTCCATCTAATTCATGTCAGTCAACAGGCTGCTTTTATTTGAATTGGAGGAGGGGGTTGAAAGACGTACGACACAGAGGAATCTGCGAAAAGGGCGTTCATATGAGTAAGGAGACCTTCGGCCGCCTTCTCCTTCAGCCACTCGCCAGTCTTGATAGCGAGATCAGCACTGCAGGTTCGAGGGGTGTAGTTGGCGGTGATGGAGGTTTCTTCTGAGAGGAACAGGTTCACATCGATCTCCCACAGACTCTCCTCTTCCATAGTGATTTGCGAGTAGGAACTGCAGAGCTTCATCATCTCGGGCACCCACCCCGACGAGCCCGCCGCGGCCCCGGCATTCTGAATCCGCTGCTGCAATTCAGCCTTGACAGGAGGGGCCTTCAGCAATGTTTGAATGAGATCCAGTTCCTCTAGGACAAGGTAGTCAAGGGAGTAGGGGAGACCGTCGACATCTTCCAGGCGGCCCTGGCGCTCGTTCTCGATAAAAAAATCTTGGTAGACCTCCAGAGCATTGGTAAGCTCTGTCCAGGCGGTCGAAAAGTAGCTAGGGCTCGGGGCCGACAACAGACCGGGGAAGACCATGCGAATTTTCATGAGAGTCTAGTAAGAAAATAGTTAGTCATCTATCAGACACAAATGCAGATGCTTCTTGTGTGCACTGGCTTTTCTCTTACCTTCACAACCTGGACCTTCAGGGCAATGATTCCACGCCACTGTGTCGCAACATCACCCAATTTGTTCGCCTCTTCTTCGGATGGAGGCTGCGGCAAGGGAGCCTCCAAAGTTTTCACAAAGAATGGAGACCATCCGCCCAGCATCTCATCGACAAACGACTTAATCGCCTGCTTGTGTTGCTCCAGGACCATTTCCAGGGTGTCGAAGCAAGACTTGAACACCGCGACTGCGAGAGCTCGCAGCATGGGGCGACGAGTCTCTGACGTAGCAACCGCGAAGAGACCAGAGACAAGGTCACGAGCGACATTGAAAAACTGCTCCTCGCCGAAACCCGTGTCAACCAGGTCCAGCAGGACCTTCAGCGCGCCGTGCATCGCGATGTCGGTGGTGGAGGCATTGTTGATGATGTGCAGCAACGCAGGGAGGAGCTCGGGCCAGTCATCGGGGAAGTCGGCACTGGCAATCTTGCTCACGGCGTAACTGGCTGATGCCTTCACTTTGCGCTCGGGGGTTTCGATGGTTGTCGCGAGTTCGAGGAGGGCCTGGCGGATTTGCGCCTTGTTGGTGTCCGGGACAAGGAGCTGACCCTTGAATTCGTCGAGATTGGGAGACCAGCCGGCGGAAATGAAGGTGCGCAGCACTGACAGCGCAGATTGGCGCAGGTTGACAGGGACGGGCTCGTGGGACGCAATCGCCGTGAGGGAGATCGGGAAGGACTCGTTGGTGTAGAGGCTCTGTAGCTGTAGCTCAGCGTTTTTCCTGGCGTCAGCCTGGGCCGACTGGGTGTCTGCCAGGAGCGACAGAAGCTCTTGCTCCATGGCGAAAGTGAGCAATTGGATCCCGTGGGGTAGCTGGGGAGGGATTGGGAACGAGAGATCAATCAAATGAGTTTGTTGCGCGATAAGGGGACGCGGAGGGGCACCGGAGGCGGTCACATGCTCTAATCTGGGCCCTCGCATTTGTTTGTTTGGATTACATGCAACATTTTCATCCCCCCAGCCCCTCGAGGGTTCGATAGGCCATTGCGGAGGCACCTATTACTTTTTTGGGGAAGCTCGACGATCCGCTGAGGACCTCCATTTTTTCTCGAATTTTTCCTCGAACGATTGTGTTGATTCTAGCTGTTCTTGGGCAATGCCGCCATGGTGGGTCGAGGGTAGCACGGCCAGGAAGAATATCGAGGCGAATAAGGTACGAGCCGGCAGCACCGGTTTTCGAGGGTGGACTCACCGTACGGAGCAGGCATTCCCCGTGGTCTGTTTTTTCGGTCGTTTGGTCTCCATTTTTAGCAGCACACGGTCCAAGACGCCCCAAGTGATCTGCATCTGCTAACAGGCCTGCGAGGGATAGTGCTGACTAGATCGACCCATGTGGTACAGAAGCATCAAATGTAGCAAAAGGCATGACTTAAGGTACACCGAGTACATACATGCATGTAATTATGGTACAATTGTCTAGTCGTACGCTGGGGTACTGTCGATAACAAGTTGAAGGTACGAGCTTTGCAGAGCTAAGGTACTTGGATACCTGCTGGGGCTAGGTTGAATAGGCTACTGAGTACCTGAAGTACTTCTACCGCTAGGTGGTATCTTCGACGATGCAGCTTGGTATCCAATCGCGGCGTGATCGCTGCCGGCGAGCCTATCTTTTTTTTTTGCTCTTCCAATTGAACTTGAGATGGTACATCCCAAATCGAACATGGATGAAACTGCCGCAGTACAGCTGGATCCAATGTTTCGGACATTTGTCTGATTTCCCCAGCTTAGTCAATCCAACACGTCACCTCCAGACAATGCGCGATTCGTAATTATCACCTGGAGGTCGGTAATTATGTTACCACCCTGGAGGCAGTCATGCACACTGCAGCCTCGATAGACCTCGGGTACCTGTGGGCACGAGAAGAGAGAGGGCCCGGACGGACAAGGCGATAACATCCCCTCCCCGAGATCCTCAACAGTTTTCCCCGGCGCATTATTCAGATCTCGTACGGTGCGATGCGCCTCCACGGCCTGACACCGCCTGTCCCATCGGGTGGATCGTGGTCTTTCGGAAAGAATCCCCAAAGGCCCACCGGGTTTACTTCCATGTCGGCCGGCGTTGAGACCTCGACTCAGACTCCATTGCTAGAAACGCCGCGTGAATGCCAATGCCGGGCCTGTTTATAGCCGTGCCGTGTCTACTATAAAAAGATTGAGACCAACTAGTCTCAACTGCGGATCGATAAATAGCGAACTTGAGGGAAGGCATGCGAATACGTGCGTCTGATCTGCTGGGGAGCAAAAGCGTCAAGAGCCAAAGCCAAATCCAAAGCGGGCTGCCCCTCCATCTCCATGATCACCGGAGAGAAGCGGCCGAAGATCATCGCCGGTGGCGGCGGTGACAGTCCCAGAGAAGGAGTAGAAACGGATGGAAGACGATTGCTAATCTGGCGGGTATATGGAGTCGATCCTATTGGAACTGGTTTTTAGAGTATATTTCCGCGCTGTGTGTACATCGCCCTAGAGCCCTAGCATGTTGCGCCGGAAGAAGAGGCGGTCGTCCGGGGGAGAAATACTGGTGCCGCCACTGCCGTCACCTGGGAAGATCATCGGTAAAGGGCCCAAGGGCGGTACGAGCTGGTACGCCGACCCGGTCACACTTGGGGGGCTCGTCTGGCAGCAAAGACGCCTCAACAGCTGAGAACCACGCCTGGCAAAGAGGGGGCGGTGTAATGGGCGGTCACCAGATTACGTACCGTGTGTACCACATTACGCCTGTACCGTCCCAGAGTACCTGTAGGTACTGCAATACTGCACGCTGCTGGGTTTAAGGGGAGTATTCGGCACCCTCCTCCGCCTCTGACTGGTTACCGTCCCAGTAGCACCGTATCCAGGTACAAAAAGAGGAGCAGCGACACAGAAGAGGGGAACCGGTGGGAAGAAGTACCTCTGGTACATCTCCGGCAGTCTCTTTGTCGCCTGGTACCTGAGGGTCCCCCCCAACCTCCCACAGGGCTTAAAAGAAGACAGGGAGTACAGATAAGCTTACACACAAAGAGAGGGGTGGTGGTTTTCTGCTCGGCTATACCCCGTCGGTTCTTACCTCGCGCCCAAACTTGAGCCCACCGTGGTTGTGATGGTTCTATGGCCCAACAGGGTGTTTTAGCTAAGTGTTTTAGGTGTTTTAGATGTTCCTGTATGCGAGGGCGGATCGTACTAATCATTTTTTGTTACGCCTTTTTTTTCTCTTTTCCTATTTTTTTTTTTTTCGCTTGGCCGTGATGATCGCCCCTCCTCGGGTGTTCCATCATCCCACCCACCTCACTAATTCACTTGGTGGGGAAAAGCAAAAGAGGCAAAAAAGGGCATGAAAAACTGTGCGTGACACTGTACAGTGTACGGTACGGGGTCCTGTATTATTATTATGGTGTCAAAAAGTAGGCGGCCACCGCTCGTCCTCAACACCGACCACCACGCCGGTCAGCCATCCTCGAGAAAAAAATCAGACAGGGATAGTGAAACAAAAATAAGATACAGCCCATCGAGTCGCTGAGTCGCTTGAATCCACCCGAAAATTGCGATGTAGAGGGGAATATAGGACCCCAGGGCGCTGTAGAATGACGCAACCACGTGACGGACACCGTGACTTCCACTGACCGGCGGCTTCCACTCCTGCTTTTCCCCTCGAGCGAGCCACACGGGGTACATCGTGAACCACCATCGCCTTCATCTGCTTAACGTCCGGCTCGACCCTCGCCAGTCCTCGACAGGCCCTGTGCCTTTTTAACCCGTTTCAGATCAGGGTTACCATCCCCTCCCTCGCCCGCTCGCCGTTCACTCTCGCTTTAAAACCACCCCTCCTCGCCCTCCCCTCTTCGCCTGGGAACATCATTTCTCCAAAAAAAGTTACCTCGCTCCTTCTTTGGATTTTGGGATCGGCGCACAGGTTGTTATCGGCTTCCATCCCTCATGCTCTGAGGCTTTGCATCTTGTCGTTTTGTCCACCCAAGCGTACGTCCCTCGGATTTCCTCACCCCCTCCCCTCCCCTCCCACCAATCCACCAAGACCAGCCCAAACCCACCTCCAACCTACCCCCTCCCATCCACCACCTACTACCTCTGTTGGCCTTACGACAACTTCCAAATTACCTTGCGCATTTTTCCGACTGTCCCAGCCCGTTCGCACATCCTTCCCGACCCAGCGGGTCGTTGGCCGAGGACCGGCGGGAAAAAAAATCCTTGTTAATCGGACCCTTCCACCAACCCCCAATCTGGGCAAAAAAAAACACCCATCAGATCTCCACCACCCACCACTTAAATATTGCTCGTTCACCGCGTTGACCGACGATTTTAGAAAGGCAGAGCGATGATTAGCTTCAGGGTGGAACATCATTCAGATTCTTCGAGACTCCGTCAAGATCACCCTCACCGTGGAACCGACGCCGGATCGTTCGACGGCAATGCCGATGGCCAGTGAGACCAGTAGTACCACCACCATGACCACCTTCGCCGCCCCGGTCCCTGCTACCAGATCGCTGCCCACCAACCAGTCGGCGCTGGCGGCGTCATTCACCAACTTCCTTACCGTGTCTGTCCACCAAATACTTTTCCTGCGCTCCGTCTACCCGCGCGCGACCTTCCTCCCCGTGCGGGCATACAACTATCCCGTCCGACAATCTCGTCACCCGAAAGTGTGTGACTATATTAATGATGCATCGATCGCGGTCGGGACAGAGATCTTAAAGGGTACAATCACTGCAGTCAGTATCATTATTTCATCACTCCGCACAAATCAGCCCCTCGAACGATACGCCTTTGATCTGTCAGGCTTCCCCCGGGCACCGGCCGGGGAGGTAAACACCACATTCGAAGACAGAAATGGAGATTCATCGAATCCAGATGCCCCCGTCTCTGACCGGGGCCCAGCGCCAACCTCGGTCGATCTCGAGTCACAGTTCCGGGCCTGTTTGGCCCGTCTGGCATCCGCCTGTGCGCGGTTGACCCCGCTACCGCGAGATGACGAATTCAGTTTTACGGTCTGCATCGAAGTGCGGGAGGATGCTTTGCCCCCCGCCGGCACCACCAAAGAAGAACAAACATGGATTGTGGCCGAACCCGGCAAGGTACACCTACGATCCTGCACCGCCCCATTTTCCGTCTCGAAAGTACGGAATGGCGAGCCTCAGCGGCCGCCCCCGCCGGCCTCGAACGGCCGAGCCAAAACAGTACCGGTACGACGCGTGGAAGCCGGAGAACTACGGTTGGAGTTGTGGGTAGAAGAAGCGCGGCAGAAATTTAACGAACCGGTGGATTCAGAGCAGCCACCTTGAACTATGATTCCTAGTCGGGATATATTTGTGTCAAGCCTGTGGGAATTGTTGTTCGTTTCTTTACCTGTCCACTCCCATCTCAGTCTCATTCTTGATTTAGCGTGACCAATGATCGAACATACATGATGGACGAGGAAATTTAGGAATTGCCGTCCGCAAGAAAGTGGCGCAAATATATAAAAGGGGAGCGGACGATTTTTGGGACTCGCATGGCATTACTTTTTTTTTTACTTACATAGATCAGGTTCATATCTTTCCTTTTTGGCTCATCTTCTAACCAGTTACCCCTCCCTCCCGTCAACCTGCTCTTTTTATTCCCCTTCATTATTCACGACATTCCTTCTCCTCTCCCTCTTCTCCCTCTTTGATTTCTGGTCTTCTTTTATTTGACTCAACTCGCTGTCTTGCATCTTGCTGAATCCCTGAGTGCTTTTGACTCATGCTGATCTTTTTCCTCTTGTTTGCGGTTCGGCCTTTTATTATTTCATACCATCTCATTTTCTGTTGTATTTCATTCGTCTCCTTTGTCGAATCTCTCTCAACTACATGATTCTCTTTTTCTCTAGCCAATTCAATTACTAGCAACTAGTTCCCAATGTCGTCTCGTTTCTGGTCTCCTTTGTGCCTCTTGTGTTTGGCCTTTTTCTTTTCTGTTATTTCTGTGTTATTCTTCATGGACTCACGGGCTCGGGCAATTGTTGGGTTGCTTTGCTGTGTTTGATCACGTCGTCATGTCGTTGCATCTTTTCAAGGTTCGATCTATTGTTTTTTGTTCCGCGGTCCCTGGCACCCTGTGTTTGGTTTCTGCCTCTTTGCCCTTAATCCGAATCTTCTGCCATCAGCTGATGGAAAATAGGTCATTCAGCATTTGTAAGTATCGAATAGTTAGTCACATGTGAAGTATACGTAATGGATGTTTTCGTGGACAGATTACCGCAGGTTTGCAACATTACCCCAGTGTGATTGTTCTAACAGCCACAATAGAAGCGAGCATGGTACGCGTAACCACCAGTGGCGAGAACCGACCAGTGATTCCATATTAACCTAAAAATAGCCAGCGCCTTTACGTCGCAAAAAGAAAAGAGCATTTGGTCAACCTTTGAATAACTTGAAATATCGTATGACCCCACTAATGTTCCTACTAGAATAATATCCTGGGTAGTGTATATATTGGGGGAACGTGTCAACATCTTTGTGAGAGCTACATTATCGTCCACCCGCAATTTCCCAACAGAAGCCATTTGATTTCGCAGATGCAATCTTGGATACCGCAGGTAATCGGTTTTGACGCTGACCTAGCACTCGAATTCAATCTTCACTGAGAGCTGTGGGCGATTCTGATACCATAGAAACCGGAGTCGGACGACAGTTTCTCACCATCAATGTGAGACTGATCGCTATAAGAACCGTGGCATTCACTAGTAGAAAGAAAGTGTTAGAAAGCCAATTTAGTAGTCAAAAAGAAGAAGGTACAGATGATTGGACGTACAAAAAGTGATTGACGCCACAGCTAGCGCCCCATCCAACCTTGTCCCTGAGCCCATCACCCGAGACCCAGACCTCATCCGAGCACACCTGGTTGCAGCTATCACAAATCTCGGATTTGCCGATCTGATCGCCATTTTCGTTGTATACGAGCAGACTCTACTCTCCGCCCCTGAGGACCGAATCCCACAACTGAGTTATCTACCAGATAGCCGACAGCAGAGCAGATTTCTGCCATGGCAGGTGGAAGGCACGAAGCTGCCAGAATAAATGTGGAATGGCGATCTTGAATATGGAGAATATGGTATTAAAGCCTTCGAGGAATTTCGTAGGATGTTGGAAGAGAATACTTCAACAACCGCGCTCCACGTCCAATTAAATAGGATTACCTACAACCACCTACATTTTGGGGCATGGAATTTTTAAACTGATGTCAGATAAGAACGATGCTCCGAGAGCTGCTTTGGTTGGTAGAGCGGATTTTGTTTCGAAGGAATCCAAACAAGCCTCTCAACGCGGGTAACGAGAGGGCGGTGATGATGGTAGCAATCTCTGCCTGGCCCCAGACCATAACGACGGAGAAGTGCCTGCTAATATCGCTTGGATTTCGGAGTGCGTTGATCATTGAAATTATTCGGAGAACGGACGTACTGTTTCGAAATTAGCATTGTTTAAATTGTCGTCAATGTGTTCGCTGTACTTACACAACCGTGCTGTTGAACGAGGAATTGGTTAGCATTGCTCGTCATCGACTCAAAGGGGAGGTGGTATGATCTCGCAAGGCACCAAAGCAGAAAAAAACAGCAGAGTCATCTTCCTCGCAAAATTGGCTTGTAGTTTCAATACTATATTCAGCGGTAAAAGTAGGATAAGTGAGTCGCAGATAATAGTAAGAACGGAAGTTGAGACGAAAACGGATGTCGAGCTCATGCATTTGCCGGTGATACTGCTATCCTACAATGCCTGGAGTGGAATGCACTGAAGCGCGATAATGAGTGTCTGTACTACCCAGACCGCCGTTATGAACTCAAATGCTTGGGCATTGGGTTCAAGCGAGCGTAAAACGCTAGACCAGATACCCGGCAGATCCAAAGAGTCGCGAAGTATAGCATCTGAGCCGCGACGAGCCATTTGTACATCTTAACCATCTTCCCTTAATTTTGTACCAGAGCCACCAGGTGTTCGCCAGCACCGTAGCGGATGACTTTTGCTGAAAGTGCCATGTCGACCCACGCAATTACCTATACGAGAAGAACACATAAGCAATTGAATAGACATTAAAAGAACGATAGGAGATTTACCTGTCCGAAAAAGATAAGATAATCATCCATGCCCAGTTCACGGATGAGAAGCCCTCGAGCGTACAGCCGAACCAGCACGACTATTGTCGACAAGGCTGCGACAATGTACATCCTATCAATGCTGGCTTACCGCGGTCCTCGGCCAGATACGCCGCAGAGCCCTCTTGCGAAGACATGCTCGCAGGTACTGCTGTCAAGATTCTGTCATGAGAGCTTCGCGAAAGTTAAAGTAAAGCAAAACGTTGAACTACCCAGACATTCGACCGACTATGTCGAAACAAGGCATTGCCAAATCTCAACTTTAGGGGCGGGAACGATGTCCCGCATCCCCAACTGCCAAAGAGCGGGCCAATCGTCGCGATGTTTGATCCTGTTTCCCATCCTTGAACTAGCAGTCAGACTCGTGCCAATTAGTTCGCGGGTCCATGAAAAGATTTGGAACGTGCGAGACATGATAGCGCCATCTTATTCCCGCTTTTGCGTTAGCGCAGCGTTGCCGGAACAATTGCTTGGTTCTCAACAAGCTTAATCTTACCCAAGGCCCCACCTGCGCCCACTCGAACGGATCGAGGAATCGCTTAGGTGTGTCACTTGTACTTTTTAAGTATAGGGGGATGCTAGGACATGCAAGGACGGGACTGCTCACGGAAATGAGCTTGGGCTTCGCAAGGCTGGGTCCAGCCCCTTTTGACGGCCGATTTATGAACAGGATAATTAAGAGATGCAGAGTCCTATGACGATCGGGCTATCAGAGACCGGCAAATTGCCATTACCGTTTCCCCCCCTGCAGATTGTCCGAGTTATAATCCAAATTCGATTTTAGGCCCCCTCTCTGCTTTGTTGCGCCTATCCGTATCCCTACCTACTGAAGTCGTGAGGGCAAAATGGCTTTACTTGTGCCCCCCGAGGTAATTGCCTCGCTTAACTCAAGGCTCATTTGGGTCTTGGTTTTCATCGCTGCTGTTGTTAGCCGGATCATCAGCAGACGGTATTGGACACTGATAAGGGATATTTCGGGTCCATTCTGGAGATCTTTCCCCAGTCTCTGGGTGGTATCCCAGCTTTGGAAAGGTCACCTTGAGGCTGAGCAGACGAGGCTGCATAGGAAACATGGTATGACCACGCCGAATTATATTATGGGCTTTCTGACGAAACAAAATAGGATATTGTGTTCGCATCAGAGACAATGAAGTTAGTGTCTCCCATCCAGACGCAGTCAGACAGCTGCTGCATGCGAACATTGCCAAGGTACGTCGTACTCGCTGAGCCACTCGAAGCTTGGCAAGCATTTTCATCAAGTTCAACTATATCCAGGGCACATGGTATGCAATCTTTAGTCTTCCAGACTACCACTATGTGAACCAAATGTCTGAAATGGTTCCTCGACGACACATCGAAGAAGCCGTAACGTTGCGTCCGGCTATCTTCTATCTAACATAATTAAATCGGAGCCTTACGACGTTGACACAGTCTTGGCGTTGTTTACCAAGGCCATAGACAAGTACTCTCAAGCCGGCAAGCCATTCGAATTCAGCACTTGGTTTACCTTTTTTGCATTTGATGTTCTCGGTGAAGTGACTTTCTCAAACTCCTTTGGGTTTGTCGGGACAGGCATAAACATCGGGAATGCCATTGCGAATACCCGATCCCTCGCTCTATACGTTGCTGTCATGGACCACTATACATGGTTCCATAATCTAACCCTCGGAAATCCACTACTCAGTCGCCTGGGAATCCAGCCTTCTTCGCACATATTTGGTACTTGCCTTGCTGCTATTAGCGCGAGAAAGGAGAACCCTGAAGTCCGAAAGGATATGATGCAGCAATGGCTTGATACGCGTGCCAAGTACCCAGGTCGCATGGCAGAGAACGAGATATTTGCGGCTGCTGTTGCGAATGTCGGTGCTGACGTGGACACTGTCATCGCAGCTTTGCAGTCTCGTTTCTACTATCTCCTACGCTACCCTCAATATCTGCAACAACTACGTGCGGAGCTTGACACAGCTCAGGCTCAGGAGGAACTTACGCAGATCGTCCAGGATAATGAGGCACAAAAGCTCCCATTCCTTCAGGCCTGTGTATGCAATAGCCCAGAATGGTTCTGCATAGTTAATTTACTGATAATTTGAACAGATAAAAGAGATCTACTGGTTTCAAAATTCGGTGCCCAGTCCTCTCCCGCGTGTCGTACCCAAGGGTGGAATGACAATTGGAGGCAGATATTTCCCCGAAGGTGTAAGATCCCCGCCATTGCTCTCCATGGAATTACCTTTGACTTTTTTAAAACTTGCAGGTCATTTTTAGTATCAATCCTTGGGTATACCATCGAAACCCGGCGTTATTCGGTGGAGACTGCGACCAATTTAACCCAGACCGCTGGCTATTGGGCGACACAAAAACCATGGAATCTTTCCTTATTCACGTATGTGCCTTTTCAAGAGAATACTTTCGAATGCACTGACATCTTTTATTTTGTTTAGTGGGGAGCTGGATACAACCAATGCCCCGAGCTTAACCTTGCTCACTTTAAGATCACTAAGATTACAGCTACACTGATTCGCGACTTCGAATTCAAACTGACAGACCCTAAAAAAGAGTGGGAGTGGACCAACCACTTTACCTTCGTTCCCTGGGGATCGCCTTGCAATGTTCGGCGTTCATTCTAACGTTGTACTTTAATGGGATTCATGATAAAATCACGGGAATATCAGCTACACAGTCAACAGAAATTCCATGAGATCTCGGAAAAAGCGTATAGTTGGAAATACTTGATCTAGGCCATTGCATGCAGAGCAGCGTCAGACCATTTGTGGCGAAAAGTCACATAAAGAATATCCTCTATCCGCAACAGTGTAAGACATCATGACGGCATAAAGAGGTTAGAGATTATTCGCCTGGTACTCTCTAAAGCAAAGCGCTTGGTAATTATTACAAAATACCGATATTGTTTGTCAGCTCCCAATAAAAATGGCCTGGTCATTGATTCAGTTTACGAGATGTATACAAATTGACTCCAGCAAGCGTATCGTTCAAATGGTTAATAATCTAGAGCTTTCTGCGGTCGGTAGACAGGATGGACAGTTGAGCATATAAGTAATCACATCGCGAATGGGGCTGACTTCATATGAAGAAGCGGGCAAGCCGGTGGCGCTCGTATTCTAGGGGCTAGGACAAAAACCATACCTGGGTTACAAATTGCGTTGAGGGAAATACGCCGAGGAGAAAATAGTAAACTAGCTTCTCATTGGCTTTTATATTGATGGCAAAATCCCAAATGCTCAGCTGTATTTCGGCTTGAATCAGTGGCCAAGTGGCTTGCATGCAGTGATGTTGCTATGGAACATCGTCCCTGATGTCGTTCGAAATAGACTCCATGTGGCATTTTCGAAAGCGTGTCGAGCCTAAAGTATGTCTTCGCCTATAGGAGCAGCTTACTGATTGTGAATGTACGTGCAACGTGCTATCGCATACAGATTGTAAGAAGCTCGTGAGGTTATGGCTGATACCCCAAAGTACACCTTTGATGACTGGCTAGAGGGCTAACATTTGTCCTAATCTTTAGTAGCGCCACTTGACAAGCATTACTGAAAGTCATTTTGATCAAGTGTGTGGCATATAATTGTTGTCAGCGCCCCTGACCAGCTGTCCATAACCACTATAACTTTATGCCCATTTTACCAGTCCCGATACGATAAGCCTTATTTATCATATTGCCTCATCCCAACTGCAAGCCAATTGTCAATAGACAGGCACTTCCTTATTCACCCGCTCCAGCTCACGTACACCCGTGTCATCCGCATGCAGCACAACAAATGCAATACCCGCTACAAAATCAACACCACCAAGGCTGTCCAAATCCGCAGCTTGCCCAACTTCAGAATCAGCAAGATGTACAAACTGGACAGATTACTCGTCAGAATGCTCAAATTTACCAACAGGCAGCGGCACTACAAGAACCAAGCCACTGTGCAGCACCAGCGAGACTCTGCCTACCAGAACGAGCTTGCCAAGAAGAACGCGCAGACGCAGAAGCATATATTGAAGCAGAATGTGGCAACCCATAGTCAGATTCTCAAGCATAATGCAGCGACACAGATGCAGATTGCCTAGCAGACCGCACATGAACTCAAGACTACGAAAAATAACTCAACATCCGCAGCAGCAGAAACAGCACGGTGGTGAGAAAAAGGCACTAGCTGGGGCTGCTTTCAGTGTGGCTGCTGGTGCTGGTGGAGCCATACTCTATCAAAATTACCATGAAGACACACATATTCAGGACCAGACAGTTATTGTGGATCAAAACCGAGGAGACCCTGACCAGTACACCAGTACTCAAGACTACGACGGTGACAGTGGCAATGACAACTATGGTGTCATTGACAGCTATTCACCCCAAGACGATACGAATCATAGGTACTGGGGCCAGAAGGCACTATGCAAATGAGAGACAGTGGCAGAAATGACAATAATGATGATGTTGTTGCTGCTGCTGCTGAATGCGGTTATATGTAAGTGTGAATTTTCTGTATATTCATGACCGGCTCACACACGCTCCTTTTCACTTGATACTGAGTATTGATTCGAAGCTCGGCCTCCACATTGGATGTACAATTCGCAGACACTGTAGAATTGTCAAGATAAGGCTCGAGGTCACATCGAAGACGTCGTCATAGCCGCTGGGACGCACCGATGATCTTTTCTTCAAATCAGCGCCTTTACGATCATCGTTGCCCAGAGTCAGTTCGCCTCAGCAGGGTCCCCCCGGACAAAAATGCGAACTGTCCAAATCAAGTGGCCTAGACGGATACCGTCACCTGACATGTCACCTGACTGGCACCTGACCCAGCATGCCCTACCAGCTGACCCGCAAGTTACGTCAACGGCAGGTGCAACCGGGCCTCAACCTCTAACTGCTGTTCGAGTCGAGAGAGCCGCTTGCCATCGCTTCCCCTCGGTCCGCTTGACAAAGAAAAATGCATTGCCCGCTTGTCACCGTGTAAAGCAGGCGATTCCGGCCCGGATCATGATGCGGTGGGAGCGGGGAATCCGTGGGAGGAGAGGGGATCCGGCCGCGGTGCGACGCTGTAATCCTGCCATTCACCATCCTATATATGGGGCCTTCGTCCTGGTTGGCGCCATTGTTCCGAGTCCACTTTTGACTTTGACAGCACTTCAAGTCCGGCTTGCTCTCAACCCCGGATTTTTTTTTCTTTTGTCTCCTAGATCCAATCTCCCGTGGCGATTTCCAATAGAACAATCAGCTTCGATTCCTACTTCGTGCCGACCAGCAGACCCTTGCATACAGGGTATTTTGCCTTAGCAGTCTTGTCTGCAATCGAGACCAAGCTCCACGCCTGTCACAGTTTGGCCCCTCGGAGCAATTTGCGGGGAACACTTCTCCCTTGATCCACTCAGCCCACAACACCTGCGTAGGCGTCACTGTCAGCTTCACCTGCAGCATCACCATGATTGCCGCAGACGTCCCATCTCTTCCCGCGGGAGACTCTCCCGATCTCATTCTGGTCCCCGCCACACCCCATGAGCGTATTGAATCGATCAAGCTCAATAGCGTTGCCTGGAAGGGACCGCTGAACCTGGAATCGTACATTGCGCGTGAAGACCACCTCTACAATCAGCGCCTGACTCGTGAGAACCTCACTTGCTGGATCCTGGTCGACCGTAACGAGCCCGAGGGCGAGCGGACTATCCTCAGCTCTTGCGAAACTTATCGCAAGAAGGCTCTGCTGGCCCATAATGGTACCGTTGAAGATGTCAAGACACACGGTATCGGGAGTGTTTACTGCCGGCCCGAGTTCCGGGGCAAGGGCTACGCCAAGCGTATGCTCGAGGAGTTGAGCAGAAGGTTGGACACATGGCAGATGGAAAAGGAGTCCCGAGGACAGTCTTTGTTCACTATTCTTTTCTCGGATATTGGCAAGAAATTCTACGCTCAATTTGGATGGCGGCCGTTCCAATCTTCGCACATGTCTCTTCCAGCGGTTGCGAGGGAGGTGCTTAATGGCGCGGTGGAGAATAGCAAGACGAGAGCGCTCCTTGCCGAAGATATCAAGAACTCCATGTGCGACGATGTGACCCTCGCCAAGGTCCGAGAGTGTATGCAGATTGCTTCGCAGTCGCCTGGCGCCAAGATTGCCATCATACCCGACTTTGATCATTTCATTTGGCACTGGGCTCGTGAGGAGTTCTATACGGAGAAACTTCTTGCGCATCGGGCTCCTCCTACAATCAAGGGTGCCGGCGATGACCAGGCTCGTGTCTATTGCGCGTGGAACCGCAATTTTGGCGAGACGCCAGAAAATAATGTCCTTTATATCCTGCGCTGGGTGTACGACGATCCCAAGTCGGCGGCAGAGGAGCAAGTCCTGATTGAAGCGATGGCTGGAATTTTGCGGCGAGCTCAATTGGAAGCCCACGAATGGAATATGAGCAAGGTGGAGTTCTGGAACCCATCACCATTGCTGGAAAAGGCCGTGTCTCTTCTCGATCCTAAAGCCGAGCTGGTTCACCGTGAGGAGAGTAGCATTGCTAGTCTGCGGTGGACAGGCGCCGACCAAGGCTTGGGTAAGAATGTGACGTGGTTATTGAATGAGAAGTTCACTTGGTGCTGATTGGTCTTTCGGTATCATTTCGGGATTCTTTTTGTTTTATTTTTCCTTTTCTGATGCATTCAACACATTCCCTGAACATAACTGCAGTTGATTTGGGCGGCAGATGTGATCAAGATATTTTAGAGGCCAGCATTATAGACTGGAGACTCAACGGCAAAACCATCGCTTTGGCAATTTGCGCAGTCAGCGGCGCGTTTGATTTTTCAATAGCTCATGCCAATTTCGAGTAGTTTTAGCTTTGGCAGCTGCAGCTCCAGTAGCTGGTACTTTACTGGTCTGTTTTCGTTGCGATGATTCGACGAAGAACATTGCCGAAGGATCAGGGCTCTGGTATGAGCCCTCTGGTAGCTTCGAGAGCGTAGCGTCATTCCTCCATGATTCAGGAAGGCAATCCTTCCATACTCGAAGAAAGTCGCTTCGGCCAACTGCGGAAGAGGCCATGGGAGCTGTAGCTGCCAGACATATTTCACCAACCCACTGGATACACTGCATCTTGTCAAAGCTTGCCCCTAAAGTGAAAAAGCAAGGTCAGTATTAGCCAGTCATCACCGAAACTATACAAAACCAATTGACGCCAACTCACATTTGATCTCCTCGGACAAAGGAGGTCGCTCGTCCTCGGTACAAAGTCTCCGGACCAAAGCTTCAAGAAGGGGACGTGGAAACGGAGGATCCGAATCGTCATCAAGCACCGACTTCCACAGATCACCGACGAGGAACTGCTTCTCCAGATCAATCCCTTGCAACAAAGCACCCTCGACGAAGCGTTTCCACACATTCAAGCGCATGCGCGCTGAAGGTCTCCAGCAAGAAACCTCCTGCTTTCCATACACAAACGCACAAAGCTCCAACCATCCTGCCTCACACTGCGCCGCAGACACAGGAATATCCGCACAAACCTGGTCTCTCAATTCTCTGTGCTGCGTCACACTCAAAACCCCCTCTGAAGCGTTCTCGCCCATAGTCATGTCGCCATCATCATCGCCGCTTCGGGGGTCATATAGTCGTAAGGCCTTTTCGAGAAACTTGATGGCCGAGAATCCTCCTTCCGGCACGTGCAATTCCAGTGTTGATCCGCACTTCGCGATAGCTGTGACTGCCTCGTCGGGTAGATTCAACCCACCACCCTCCCCAGCCTCCTCTTCAACGACTTTGATATCTTCCTGGGAGATTTCGCCATGGCTTGGTTGGATAATATGGATTGAATTCGAAGAGTGGACTTGGCGAATGCGGTAGGTTTTTGTTGGGGTGCATAGATTGACGTATTCCTGCGCACTTGGGTCTTTCACTGCTTGTGCGAGGGCGAATGAGGGCGACTTGAGCTCGAGCCTAGACAAATAGCCATTTCAGAGGTCAGTTTCATGCCTGGGGAGGACAAGACGGAGATAGAGAGAGAATTGGTGGGCGTACAAGGGTGCATCCTTTGATGTCAATAGCTCTTCCAGATCTGGTGGGAGCTCCAGCAACCGAAAACCCTGCTGTGGCTGGGTATGGGTGAAAAGAATGCTTAGTGCGGTTTGAGTTGACATTATTGGGAAGCAATGCTGCTGCGGTCAGCAAAAGCGAGATGCGTTCGTGGAAAGCGACGCGAGAATCGGCGGAACGCGATGGACGCGCTGCCCGCGCACAGACCACCGTTTAATGGACGCAGGCCAATGAATCAATTAATGATGCGAATGCGAGTAGACTTGTTGATCCAACGACCCACTGCTCGTTGTAGTAATGGTCTTATAGTTAATATACTACGATGTATTGAATCATCAGTGAGTTTTTGAGGAGAAACTTTCGAAATTGCCAGTTCAGAATACCCTGTTTCTTGTGCTCCCGTTGCGCCTTGCAGTATGCTAAATAAATGAAGACAGAATCCGATGATCATGAAAATCTATGTGGAAATAGGGAAAATAGAACAAAAACCATGAGGCACTCAGAAACTCACTTCAGTCACAGCAAATTAAACTCTAGCACATTGCAGGAAGAGTAAATATGGCATTAATGACCGAGATGACCGGAGGTAGCGCACGTATGAAGGCGAGGCCGTAAAGAGTAAAATCCAGCCAGCTGGGGTTGAAAAGCCGTCAAGGCGCCGTAAAAGTCGAAAAGAAGGATGGTTCGCCGAATGATTATATAAGGTCGCGATTTCGCTTCCTGTTAGGGGTCCAGACCCGGCATTCCCATCGCTCTATGCATGTTGAGCAGCAGGGCCTTCGTTCGAACCCTTGGCGGCCTCTGCTTTATTTCCTGCAGCGTTCTGGGTCTTGGGCTTGCTGCCATGTTTTTGTTGCTTGTGTTCAGCGAGCTCGCGCTCCCTTTCTTCTTGCTCGCGAGCTTCTTGTTCCAGTTTCATCTCCTCCATATGTCGCAAGTCGTCCACACTTGGTTCGTACAAGTGCCAGATCGTGTAGTGAGGCAGTCCAATGACTGAAAAGTTCATTCGCCGAGCCATCTGGAATGTGTTAGTGGTAAAAACACTTGCGGGATATGAAGTGCCTGCTTACCTTGCCGAATCCCTCCGTTTCCGCGTGCTTCTCGAAACTGAAGGCCGGGAAGTGAACACCTGCGCGGGACACCCGGGCCTTTGCGAGAATGCTGACACCGCCAATGCCATCTAGCTCCATTTCCATATCTGGATCACCGTAGGGATCCCTAAGGTAGGCGAGATGGGGTCGCCAAGTTGCATACTCGGCATATCCCTCCACGATCACGGCATCCTCGTCGAGTGTATCGGCCAGCTGCAGGGCTGTTTCGGACTCTTGCCATGAATTGAGATCGTACGGTTGTTCTCCGCCGAGCCAATCCGGAAGTGGGCGCCAGACATCTGTGAAAAAAAAAAAAAAAAAACCCAATTAGTACCCAGGATGAACTGTTCCCCCTAGGAATGACCTACTTGGAACGATAACGTCTCTGTTATGACGCATCAGGTCTTCGAGGATCGTGAATGGCGCCGTTTCCACGTCTGCGTCTCTCCAGTACACCCAGCTATGGGTGGGCCGCAACGTCGCACTCAGCAACCAATTTCTGGCCCGAGCCATCAACTTACGTCGACTAGCCTGGGCCTCGAAGCCATGGCGACTCTCCACGTCCTGTAGGACTTTTTGGCCGAAGTCCTTCTGGATCACAGAAATCTCTCCAAAGCTCATCTTTGGGTCCGGGTCATTTTGAATCTCTGTGAGCATAGTCGAGAGCATGTTGAGGGTATCATCGCGCGAATCGGAGACCAGGAATGCGAGGTCAATGAGATTGTGAGGGTAGGTCAGGTTCCGAAGGTGCGAAAAGAACATTGGGAGGTGCGAGGAGGCATCACGCAGGGGGGTCAACATGAGAACGCGCTCGCCGCGCTCCCAGCCTTTCTCAGTTCCCTGTACCTCGGAGAGATCATAGTATCGGACGGTCTGGAGCTGAAGGTCTTCGGATGGGGCTAGGAGGCCGAGCGATAAGGTGGGGAGGATAGCCGCGCGCCAGGTGGGAAAAATGCAGACTGCCACCAGAAGGGAGACACAGGCGATCAGAAACAGTCGCTGAAAGAGCTGTCGGCGGCGACGGAAGGCGGGCTGCGAGCGAGGTTGGAAGCTATGAAACGACCCTAGTCAGCATCCATATTCCCGTGACGATCGGCCCTTGACATCTGCAACTGGCCCATGTGGGCAAGAGGCGCGCCGAGCTTGTTTCTCATGCCCATTGTAAACAGAACCACATACCGATTGGGAGAGATGGAAAAGGCCGACCCGCGAGGATAGGCCGAGTAGCCCTTGGGAAAGGCGTGATGCCTGTCAGCACTCATGGCTAACGGCAATCACACTGCATTGGCGGTTGGGGCGGAGACTAGGCCAGGGTGGCAGCGCCCCAGAGTCTGGAAGATAGGCCAGGTCGAGTCCAGAGTCCAGAGCGAAGGAAGAATGAAGGGGGAAATAAAAGCAAGCAAAATGGAAAAGCAATCAACGAACAGACAATGCCATTCAGAAAGGAACGCGAATGACTGGGAAGAGAAGGTGAAATGGCAGCGGATAGAAAACAAAGGAGTGCGTCATCCCAATCCGGCCTGCCGCTTGCAGCCACCTTGCGATCGAAGCGTGGCGTTCGATGGATCGGAGTTTCCACCCACTGCATGCGATTGGATCTACGTGGAGGTGCTTTTTCATTTGAACGGTCGACCAGGTAGACTGTCCCGGCCCAATGGGCTTTTGATGGTGAAACTATCTACAGGGTCGTTGCTGATCGCGGGCTTAGCGTCTACCCATGCGAACCCTCCGACTCGCTGTACACCATCGGTGTCGCTTGTGTGCTGATCGACGTCGGCGATCCCTTGGCCTTGGTCTTCTCTACCTCTTGCATCACCCGTATCAACCGGCCAGCCACCCGCGGCCCGTCGCGCAGCGCCGTTAGGACTGAGGCGGCCTCGTACTCGCTGTCGAGGATATAGTAGCGCTCTCGTTGGCAGTTCTCAACCGCGTCCCCCTGGAATGCGACCCTGGCGATCACCTTGGCTGGAACACTGGCCTTGTTGATCGAACTTCGGGACACCATGCGCAGGAAGGGCCGGAGTCCGGTCCGCGTCTGATGTGCAACTCGGACGGACCAGGGCGCCCCCGTCCGCATGTGCGAGTCGCCCGCCATGCCTCCCGGGTCTAAGGTGAAGATGTCGAGGGCGATATTCCCTGTCTGGAAGCCAAAGTCAAGTCAGTCGTCAGCGGTCGTCGGTCAGCGGGCTGTTGCGAGCGTCAGACTTACACAGGCCAGACTTCGACGTAGCGCATACAACGCCACACTCGCGATTAATTTGCTACTGCCAAATCGAATGTTCCCTTCCCGCGCACTTAACAAGGTTCCTGGCGGACGCGTGTCTCGGCCTTGGCTGCGGTCGAAATAATCGAGTCTGCCGTAAGACGCTGCAGAGCATCCAATGTACATCACCTTGGCACCGCCATCTCGTGTTCCGTCTCCGGCCCGGAAAGCCTCGAGCAGGCCGACGGTCAAGAGGAAGGGGGCGACGCAGTTGACTTGGTATACCGGGTCATACCCGTCGAGGGTGAGTTCGTCGACGGTATAGGATGCAATCGCTGCGGAATGGATGAGATTGACGATCGGCGGGATCTCTTTGCTGTGTACGCGGTCCACTGTGCTTTGGGCAAATTTGGCGACTTCTTGAAGGTCGGTCAAGTCGATCGCCAATACTTCGATCGATCGTGGCCCGATGAGGCGGATCCGTGATGCGAGATCTTGAACATCGTCGCCTTTAGGATTTCGTGCCGTCAAGAGGAGGTGAACGAAAGGCTGTGTTTTGGCAATGGCCACAGCGATCTCTGATCCTAGCTGCCCATTGCCGCCCGTAATAATAACGGTCCCCGTCAGTGCTCTTCCCATGTCACCGTCGCAGTCACGGTTTGTGTCTGACCCGTATTACTGTGAAGGACTCGTGTTCCGCACCGAAGGGCTGCCTGGCGTGCATATAAGAGACCGGCTCTTATGTGGTGTTCGATGCTCGGATGGCGCGATTGAGGGAGAATGGGCCAAGGGCCAAGGACAAACAGGTATTGAACGCAAAGATGAACTAAAAACATCCTAGATGCGCCACGACCGGGGGCTATATACGCCATGGAGGGCCGATCTGAGTCCCAAAGCCGAGAACCAATGGTCACAATGGCCCCGGAGCGGTGCCAGAGTCGGCATGTCTCAGGTTCACAGCTCAGCCCGTGTGTTCTGGAAGACCAGACAGTGGATCAATCAGATGCGGACACACGCTGGCATTGCTTTAGTGCCGAGTAGTGAGGGGCCCAAAAGGAAAACCTAGCGACCCCATCAGCCACCCGGTCGACAAAAATAACTCTCTTCATGACACGATTGTTTAGCATTAAGCGAACTACTTCTAGGCATGTTTAGGAACCTTTGAAGGCCAACCTAGATGGTCCAGGGGAAGGCTCGACCGTAGAACACGGAAAGATCGGCAAGATTGGGTTCGGTGCGAAGTTCGCGATCGTGCCGTGGTGGAACTGCGGTGGACTTGCGCCGATCTGCTCTCCATCGGTTCTCGAAAACTCCCCCAGGACATCCCAGTCGACGTGGCTTGACACATCAGCGGCCGAGATCGAGCGGCCCTGTCAGCCTGGGAGACTCCACCCCGGTTGGGGGCATCGCTTTCATCCGATTCGTATTCACGGTCAGATCTGGGTTTATACTCGCTTGGGCGGTGGCAGCCAAGCATACTCCGAATGACGAAGTGGTGAGAAAGAAAAAGCAAGGCTGACCGAGCCGGTGGCAGGCTTTTTACCTCGTCTCAACAAAACCAAACACAAAAAAAAAAAAAAAAAAGGTCTTGGCGCCGCCACCCGAGGACGACCCATCGATTGAATTCAGCCGCACACCTTCTTTTCAGAGATCCAATAAACTCGAGTGATATTGTCATGCTATAAGAGACAGACTACTTCTGGATGCTCACAAAAGGACTAACAGCAGCAACACAAAGCATGCAGACACGGCCGTGCCGGTGAGAGTCTTCAAACGGAGATGTCCACCAGGATCTTGACGTGCTTATCCCGCTCGTTTATGAGTGCCTTGAACCCTTTTTCAGCAACCTCATCCAATCCTATCTTGCTCGTGATCATGGGCCTGGGCTGGATTTTGCCTAGAAGAGCGAAAAGGTCAGCCACATGGAGATGAATGGCTCTTGCATCATCAGGCTACTGGAAGGGAAAGCTAAGGGCTTACCTGACGCAATCGCCTCGATGACTGCTTCGAAGTCTCCCTCGTCATAGACTGCTGCCCCAGTGATATGCTTTTCGCCCAAGACTATATCGAGCATTGCATTGATGGCCGGCTTCTTCTCCCACAGAGACACAATGACCGTTGTTCCTCGGGCTCGAAGGCCGGCCATGGCAGTGTCCAGCCCAGCCTGCACGCCGGAAGTTTCAAAAGCGACCGACACGCCTTTCGCGAGACCCGTGGCTTCTTGTATCTTTTCAACGGCTTTTACCTCCATGGGATCGAGGATAAGAGAGGCGCCAAAAGTCCGAGCAAATTGTCGTCGCTGCTCGGAGATTTCGACCACAATGATGGTCTTGATACCCCTGGCTTTCAGCACCTGAACAATTGCCAGGCCGATCGGTCCGGCTCCGATTACTAGAGCGGTATCATCTACTTTGAGCGGACTGCGACTGACTGCGTGCCAAGCGACAGAAAGTGGCTCCACCAATGCTGTCAAATGTTAACAGGTCAGAATCTCATGATCACATCCGGGGGCTCACCTCACCTCCTATATCCAGAGGCATCGAGTCGGGAAGCTTTATTGCATGTTTCACATCTACTACCACATGATCGGACATACCACCGGCCTCGCCTAAGACATGTCAGGCCTACAGCATAAAGGGGACCGGGGTCATCAACCCACTGGTATACCCGATAAATCCTAAACTGCTGCAGATGTTCTGTCGACCCATAATACATCGAGAACACGAGCCGTCGGACAAATTAGGCTTCACAGCCACCCGATCTCCCACCTTCAGACTGACGATTCCAGCTCCGATTTCTTCCACTGTTCCGCTGAACTCATGGCCCAGGGTTGTGGGTAGCGTCACCCCCGTGATCGGATGTGGCGTGGTCGGGACTGTCAAGGGTCCGGCGAGATATTCATGAAGATCTAATCTCGTGAGGAGATAGACCGAAACGGAACCACTTTGGACCACTTACCGCTGCCACATATGCCTACAAAGGCAGGCCTGATCTTTGCGCAATGTCAGTGCCGAAACATTGGAAAAATCATCGTTAAATCCTTGGTTGGGAGGACAGCCATAACAGCATACCTTGACCTGGCCATGCCCGCAAACAGGCTCACTAATCTCATCTAGCCTGACATCCTCCCTGCCGTGGAAGCGAACAGCTCGCATAGTGAATGACCCTGGTTGAAAATGGGGCTTTGCAGATTCCTCCACTTGAACAGATTTGGTACTGTAGAAATGAGATTCGCGATAAGGCGCCTCGCTCCTTAGACACGAGGCAGTATCCAGTGTTTTATTTCTGGCTGCTCTGACAACTTCAGACGTCAATATTGCAACCCGGACCGTGCAGTGTGGTCGGGTATTGTCCGAGCCCGGGGAGAACAACCCCTCTTCTGAGGCACCCCACGGGGTAGCACAGATGTTGAAAAAAGTCCCACATCCCACTCAAACTGTCGGTAACGAGGATGTAATAGCGGACTAACCCCGTGCAGCTGTATGACTAAATATTGACAAATTAATCTCGGATTGTTAAGCATGCATTCAGTACTAAATCTATAGCGGGGAACAGATGGACATGCATGGGGACTCGACCATGCTAGTACCTGGAAGGAATCCGCGGATCGGGGCAATTAATTGGGGTCTTTGTATTTGAACTTAAGTCTCAGAAAGATTTGAGATAAAATGCGCATAAATAAATAAAGAACCACTCGTCTCAGGGTACTGTGGCTGACAGCAATCCATGTCCGGTAGCCGACACGTGACCTTATCTGAAAAACCATCCCAAGACCATTTCGGCAACATATTGGACGAATTATCCCATTGAGAAGGTCGAATGGATCAATCAAAGAATAATTGTATTCGTAACTTGTATCTGAAAAGCAAATAAAGGAATCCTCGTGAAGTGTACATGATCCCGACTTGACCTCCAGCCTTGGAACCCTTCCGCTCTTGACACAAGCCGCACTAACTGCGTAATATCGACACAACTCCAGAGTTCTTTGAGTGTGCCAAGATATAGACGGGGTATTTGAATTAATTTCGGCATGGAGAATGGAGATTTCTTGTTCCTGGGCGTGCTCTTTTAACGTTCGTCATTGACTGATGAAAGCAGCCGTGTCGATCCAGGAATGTAACCCCGGACTCTGGTTGGAATGCGACCTCGGGGAAAACTATCGCCCCAAAACGGTGATCGGGGTCTACACCTCTTGTCGTTCAAGAATGCGCATGGCATGGCAAAGTATACATGGCAAAGTATCTCGATCATCATTTACAGAGAATGTACGTTGGAAGTAAGCAAGATCACGAAGTATAAACTAGTAGCTATTCTTAAGCATTCATTCATCACAAGAAATTAGCTGCTTTAGACTATCAACCAACAAATCGAATATCTGTCCATGGATCCTCCCAAGCCATCTACGGTACTCACGCCAATTTCCTTGGTCTGGACCCGGAGCTAACTTCCAAACGGGACTCTTCCATAGACACCGCGCCGACTTGTGGCCGGTATTAGACATCACTTGAATCAATCTAGAAGGGAACCCCAGGGATCCGTCTTAAATTTTGGACGATGTAACGCTCAGATTCGACTCTGTTCAATCTCCTTATAACCCCTCTTGTTTCAATTGTTCGTTGAACTCTAATTTTCGATACTTCTCAATATTGATACTCAACACTCATCACAGGGACCTCCTACAATTTTACTTTCTTCCGTTACCCAAGTGACCAATTGAACGTTTCCTTTGCAATGTACAGCTCTGTCAGACTTTCCTTCTTGCTTGCGATCTCGATTACTTTCGTGGCAGCTCAAGATCCAACGCCCGTGGCGCCACCTAGCAACGGGGGTTGCTCTTCTCAGCAGTAAGTCTGGGGTGGTACTTCTCCAGGAGCTCGAAAGCGGTCTAACTAAAGCAGACTCGTCGATCAATGCGTCATGACAATGAAGAGTGCGCTAGCAAAATGTACGACGAACGACTGGGATTGCAAGTGCACAGCTCAAGCGAACATCGCCAAGTAAGTCTCGACCTGTCATGCCACAATTGACTCTTTGATCGCAATTCCACTCTGAACAAGACATACTGACAAATTGACAGCTGTTACGTTGATTGTCTCAACAACGCAGACAGCTTTTCGGCTCAATTAGCCTCCGCAGAAACCTGCGCCACTGCCAACGCATACGACGCCGGATTGACGGCTGTGCCAGCGACCTGGACCACCCCCGGACCATCGACGGCGACCCCGGCGGAAATTGACAGCGTTGACGATGACGACGACAATAAAGCGAAGACGACCAGTGCACCAACGAAACCTCTGAAAGAGCAGAAGGATACAAAGCCGTCGGAGGGAGCTGCTGCTGCCAAGGCTGCAGGGAGCTGGCTGGCTCTTCTGGGATTGGGAATTGGAATTGCCTTTTGAGACCGGCGTTTCATGTGGTTAGATAGATGCATAATTGGATCAGTCATGGACCATTCAGTGGAAGTACAGAACAGCACAATAGCACTACAAGACGAGGAATAATTGATACCGGTACATAATAAATTGTATTCATGAGAGCAGCTCAAAATTCTGTAATAACCTCACTTGCTTTTCCGGGTCAAAAGTCCCTTCAGAGCATCTGTTTCGCCCTCCAACTTGGAGACCTTCAACCTCAGCTCATCCCGCTCTCTCCGCACACTTTTCAACTCATCTTCCAGGCTTTTCATTCGGTCAACGCGTCTCTGGCGACACCGCCGAGCCGCAAGGGTATTGAGTCTGCGCTTTTCAACGCGCGATGAATCGACACGGGTCAAGGCATCATCCCCTTGCGATATAGCAGGACTGGAACGAGATGTTGATACGGATCCTGAATTTTGAGATGCAGGGGAAAGATTGGAGAATCCGTCTATATTGGGTGTTAAGATGGGCGGATATTGTTTCACGAAGGGCATACATAAAGCTCACCTTGGGAGTTTGCTGAGTTTGCCGGACTGGGAACAAGAGGTGAAGGAGTGAAAGTATTAGGCACGTTGGACACAGAGTCCGAAATAGAAGTAAAGGTCGGTGTCATGCCATAACTCAGGCCATTGACTGCTACGTCAATGCCCGTCGGATACGGCAATGCATGATCAATAGAAACGAGGTTCCAGTCGGTATCGGCAAAGGACAGGTGCTGCTGTGTCCAAAGATCCGACTCTTGTCCAAAAGTATTAAAGGATTGAGAGGATGACGCAGTCGTGGGGAGACACGGCGACGCCCAGGATGTTGTCGGATAGTGATTTTGACGGTGATGGGGTGAGTAATTAGGCCTCGGCAGGCAGTCCAACCCCTGGAGGCTTGAGGAAGGACTGTGATTGAGAAGGCTGCCAGAAGAGGACTGTTGCCTGGATAAGGGCTGCGGCACTGTTGCAAGCGCAGGCCGCCATGACGAGATCGTTCAAACGGGCCTGAGCGGGCCCGTGGCGCGGTAAAGCTTTAGAAAAAAGGGTTGAAGGGGACCCTTGAGGTGCTAGGATCAAACTCGGTCACGGAGGGCCGAAAAATGGTGTCCTGAGGAAAAAAGGGAGATGGCGGCGAGATATACCCTGCGACCAGATGGCCGCTCTGGCCGCCCTGCCCTGCCCGCACTGCTCTGACTCCACCGCCACATAACACGGCAACATGATTGGGCCGATGACACACGACTCATCGTGACTCATTTTAGTGCGTGCCACTCGGCCTATCACAGTCCCCGTAGATACTGGAGACGGCCGTATTTGGAACATGAGAGGCATAAGATGTGCTCGAATATGGAGAAGCCTATGTAGGTGACTGAGAAATTCGCAAATCACAACGACCATTGAGCCAGGATAGGAGAAACAAGCATGTTAAAAGTTCCTTCTCTAGTTTAGTGCAGTGATCTATGCATCTTTTAGGTCCAGTAGTACCTGAACCCAGGCGCAATGGCGATTAGCAAAATCCTACCTCAGGAAGTGGCAGACTGAGGCTGAGCAAACTCAGCCATTCTGTCCCATACCTATGATTCAATGTCCTACTCAAAGGTGTCTGCAACGTCATAAGCGCCGGTGCTATACTATCACGGCACAGAATGTACCCTAATTGGGCAGGAATCCGCTCTCAGGTATTAGTGCCTAAGGCACAGAATATTTAGGACCATACTGTTGCACGCGATCTGTAGATCCAAAGCTGATAGGCTCGGTCCGCAATCTCGCGTCGTAATTGAGATTTAGGAAAGGAATCAAGTGAAACGAAGGATGCAGTCACCTCAATCCACTCATTTTTCTCGGAGCAATTGCGTAGTGCGACTCCTATAACTAACTAGTACAGTCGTAGGGTTAACGTAATCCACTAGCAAGTGAGACACACGGGCGCGTGAGACAGAAACCGCGGTCGCGCCCCAGCGCGTCAACCTCCTCATTTCAACTACCCACTATGCCCCCAATTCGCAGTCAAAATCCTCAAAATTCTATCAACCAAGAAGGTAGGATCCAGCTCGCAATACAAGCCTTTCGGAACAAAGAATTTCGATCAATTCGCGAAGCTGCGCGCCGATTTCAAGTACCTACCGCAACTCTCCATCGCCGATACAATGGCAAACTTCATCGATCGGAAACCCGCGCCAGCAATTATAAATTGACTCCAACTGAAGAGGAATCGCTCCTACGGTGGATACTCTCTATGGATACACGTGGATCAGCTCCCCGGCCTTGTATGGTAAGGGATATGGCCAATATTCTACTAGCAGAGCGTGGTAGTCAGACTGTTGGAGTCAATTGGGTTTACAGATATACAGAGCGCTATGATGAGCTCAAATCGCGGTATTCTCGTCGATATAATTATGAGAGGGCAAAATGCGAAGATCCGAGGGTTATTAAACCATGGTTCGACCTTGTACGACGCACGATCGATGAGAATGGTATCCAACCTGAGGATATCTACAATTTTGATGAAACTGGCTTCGCAATGGGGCTTATAGCCACTGCGAAAGTCATTACAAGAGCTGAATACTATGGTCGGAGGTCAGTTCTACAGCCAGGGAATCGCGAATGGGTCACATCGATTGAATGTGTGAATTCAACGGGCTTTATACTCCCACCATGCATTATCTTCAAATCGTCAAAGTACCAACAATATGCATGGTTTGATGACCTACCCGACAATTGGAGAATCGAAATCAGTGAGAATGGCTGGACTACAGACGAAATTGGGCTTCGATGGCTAGAAAAGCTATTTATCCCTGCGACTACTAGTCGTACTAGGGGTAAATATCGACTACTAGTTCTCGATGGCCATGGCAGTCATTTGACCCCCCGTTTTGATCGATTGTGCGAGCAAAATGATATTATTCCAATCTGCATGCCTCCGCATTCGTCTCATCTACTACAGCCTTTGGATATAGGCTGTTTTGCCCCCTAAAGCGCGCGTATGGGAGCTTGATTGAGCGCAAAGCACGGTTGGGGGTCAACCATATCGACAAGCTTGATTTCCTTGCAGCATTCCCACAAGCTCGCAAAGAGGCCTTTAAACCAGAGACTATTCAAAATGCATTCGTCGCAGCTGGTTTAGTACCATATGATCCCGATCAGGTCATTTCAAAGCTTGATGTTCAACTTCAGACACCTACCCCCTCAGGTAGTCGACCAGGGAGCCAATCGAGCGCGTGGAGCCCTAAAACGCCGGCAAATCTCAAACAATTGAATCGACAGGGCTCGTCAATTAAGGCACTGCTTAAGAAACGCTCGCAAAGCCCACCAACGCCTACGAATATAGCTATTGATCAGCTCCTCAAGGGCTATCAGCAATCATTGCATTCTAATGCAATCCTTCTAAAGGAAGTCCGCGATTTACGGGCTGAAAACGAGACACAAAAGCGAAAACGCAACAGAACGACTAAGCGCGTAGCTCATACGGAGGGTTTTACGGGCCAAGAAGCCAGGGAGTCGATGAACCAGGCTCATGAAGCTCCTAATACTGCCCCGGCGGAACCAGCTGCGTCAGCTTCCCAGCCAATTACACGCGCACCCCCGCGATGCAGCGACTGTCATCAAATAGGGCATAAAAGAACGCAATGCCCTGATAAGTCTAATAAATAGAAATTTGAAATCAATGGCGTTGTTGGTTTAATAAATTGGTTTGAAATTATAGTAGCTGGTTTTCTGTCTCACGGGCCCGTGTGTCTCACTCGCTAGTGGATTACGTTAGTTAGCTGGGCACAGCTGAGTCATCACGAGCATTGTCCGAGTGCCAAATCCAAAAAGGACAAGCTACGGATATATCGCTGTGAACAGTATCAAAAATCCCCAATTGCACCCAGCAGATCCCCGTGGGATCGCCCGTCAAGTTGTCGTTCTCCAGGTGTGCGAGCCTATTGCGGGCCCGAACCACGACCCCGCGGGTCCAATCGTTGACACAGTTCCGTGCCCCTCTTCGATTTTCTTTCCTTCCATCCCCTCCACGCGCATTCACCATGGCGACCGCTGCTGCCCCCGAGTCCTCGCTCCTTTCCCTCCTCTACCGGTCGTACCCGACCGTCATCTCGCCCGATGCCACCTCGCCCGATTACCTCCACGCCACACCCAAGATCTTCCCGCAAACCTCTTTCGTCGAGGCCGAGGAGGCCGACATCAAGCAGTGGCTCAACACCGTCTCCGGTCTGAAGACCGCTCTCGCCAAGGATGACAAGCCCGTCGTCGAGAGCATTCTCGCTCAGCTGAACATCCACCTGGCCACGCGCACCACCCTGCTCGGTGCGAAGCCCTCGGTCGCCGATATTGCTGTCTATGCTCTGGTCGCCCCGCTGGTCGAGAAGTGGTCACCTGAGGAGCGCACCGGCGAGAAGGGATTCCACCATATCGTGCGTCACATCGACTTTGTCCAGAACTCCCGCATCTTTGCTTTGCAGATCCCCGAGGAGGAGAAGGTGGCCATTGACGTGAACGACGTTCGCTTCGTGCCCAAGCCCGTCGACCCCAAGGAGGAGAAGGAGCGCAAGAAGCGCGAGAAGGCCAATGCCCAGAACCCCGATGCTGCTGCTGAGAAGCCTCTCGTCGTGGGCCAGGGTAAGCCCGGAAAGGACCAGGCCAAGGCCGCCGATGCTGCCGCCGCCGGTGCCCCCAAGACCAACAAGAAGGAAAAGAAGGAGAAGAAGGAGAAGGCTCCTAAGCCCGCACCGGCTCCCGCTGCTCCTCCCTCACCGTCAATCATTGACCTGCGTGTCGGTCACATCTTGCGCGCCATCAACCACCCCAACGCTGACTCCCTCTACGTCTCCACCATCGACTGCGGTGACGCCCCCGGCTCCGATAACACCTCTCTGGACGAGGAGACTGGCAAGACTGTGCGCACTGTCTGCTCCGGTTTGAACGGCTTGGTGCCTCTGGAGGAGATGCAGGGTCGCAAGATCGTTGCCGTCTGCAACTTGAAGCCCGTCACCATGCGCGGTATCAAGTCTTGCGCCATGGTCCTGGCCGCCTCTCCTCGCGTCCCCGAGGGCGGCGATGCCCACGCCGGCCCTGTCGAGCTCGTCAGCCCTCCCGCTGATGCTCCTGCCGGTGAGCGCATCACCTTCCAGGGCTGGTCCGAGGGCGAGCCTGAGAAGCAGCTGAACCCCAAGAAGAAGCAATGGGAGACCTTCCAGCCTGGATTCACCACCAACCAGGACCTCGAGGTATGCTTCGATAGCAGTGCTGTCCCTGCTGTTGCTGGTCAGGAGGGCAAGCCCGCCATTGGTAAGCTGACCACCGCCTCTGGTGTTGTCTGTACCGTCAAGACCCTGAAGGATGCTACTGTCCGGTAAAAAGTTTCTAGATATATCAAAATACGATCCATTAGTGCATACCCACGAGAAGACGAAATAAAATAGCTTTTACAATTTACTTGATCGAGCAAATAGACTACATTCTCTGCATCTGCCTACCACCGGATATATTTTCATTGGCGCCTGGTTAACTTCGCTTCTATGAAAAGAAGATGTACAATATTTTTAGCCACTGCTAACCACCAATCGCCATTATTGGGCTCAAATTGTCCAAAATACTTTATCACTTAGGAGATGCGAAACCGAGAGATGGACCGCGTTGGTCGAAGACAACGAAGAGAGCCTTCAAAAAGACATCACCGAAGATCTGCAGACTGGAGCCCGAGTTGGACTGCACGCCACCATAGCACACTATAGCAAGATCAAGTTAGCCTTGGATTCCATTTGAGGGAAGGAATAGTCGTACCAGTTCCACCGGTCGTCTTGTTCTTTCCAATCTCAGCAAAGTTGATTAGTGATCCGGGGATAGTCGCTTGGAACTTGTTTCCAATCGCAACCGACAAGCTGGGCAGCTCAAAGTCACACGGGAAAATATATCCACCAACACTGCCCGAGTACTGGGCCCAACCACCGTAGTATGCCTTGACAATCTGAGGGCTGACGAGCATCAGCGAGGTGCCGGTATCCGCAATGGCAGTCGGGGTGTCGGTAATCGTTTGCAAAGAGCTTCCATTCACAGAAAATTGCGCAGCCTCAAACTCCCAGAACCCATTCGAGTTATCGACGGTGACATTCACGAGCTGGCCGGAGTATTTCTTGTGATCGATAGTACCAAACTCATACTCACCGACACCTTCGCTCTTTAGGCGGGAGGTGAAAACCGGCTCGTCGAGATCGGGGGCAATGTTGTCGAAGAAAGTCTTCTGTGGGCCCGGATCAAACGTATTGATTGAGCTGAAGCCGAGTCCGACGAGTCCGTTTGAGTTTTCGTCGGAGATGAATGAATCTGAAACTTCAGTGGGCAGTCCGAATATTTGGTTCTTGACGACTGCGCCGCCGATCGAAACAGTATCCTTGCCCAGACCACCGTTCGCGTACGACGAATCACCGTAGGAAATTTTGAACGTGCCATTGACCTCTTGGAATGTGCTCGAGTTGCTAGGATTGTACACGGTTCGTCCGGAGATGGCGGACTTGGGAAGCTCGGTGTTCATAACCCACCTGCGACATGCATTGTTAGCTGATGTTTGGGTTGTGTTTGAGCCACAAAAACAAAAAAAATGGGAATTCAGGAATTCAGTTGGGCCTACATATCAGATGAACCGGTGTCGAAGTCCATGATGATCGTTTGTCCGCCAATCTGGACGGGCGATACAAACTCCACGTCGCCTTGGACCGAGGTTGCCGAAACAGAGCCAGTCTGCTCGGTCTCATCCGCGGCCTTGTTGGAGGACACGGCCATGCTGGTGTGCTTCACATCAAAAGGCTCGAAATCGTCCAGGTCGATCCCACTGAAATCGGTTGGGGCAATGCCGAACTTGCGGTAGGCCTTGCGGAGGGCAACGGGGCCATTCGGAACGTAATCGCTGCGTCTCACGCGTTCCACACGAAAAGACTTGCTTTTGTGCTGGGATCGGACGACGCCCGCTGGCGCTGCCAGAGCATCATAGCCCAGTGAGAGAAAGAGCACCAGTGAAATAAACAGGTGCATCGTATCTGATCCCACTGGCAGGGTGTTCAAAGAAAGATGGTATGAACTGGTCCGGCCAGGAATTTCAAAAGGGAAGAGGTGGGATGGTTAAAAATAAAATAGTAAGACCACCAGGGCGTGAATGTTAACGAAACGAAACGAAGGCTTGCTGTGTTGTCCGTTGACAGAGTGAATGGTGGTATAGGTAAACAAATGCGCTGAAGGAGCGACGCGATTAGGGCACAGCCAAAACTCGACACGCCCGTAGGCAACGGCGAGAAGGAAGGGAAAAGAGAAAAGAGAAGCGAAATAGATAAGATGGAACAAGAGAATGTCGATGGAAATGTACCCAGTACTCTGTATCAAGAAATCAAAAAAGGAGAAAGCGAGCGCCAATCCCCGGGGGTGGTGCAGATCTATAAAGAGAACAAAGAAGTCGGCAGGGACATAATTCATTTCAGAAAAAAAGGGACGACGCCCAAACCACCCGCTGCACCCAGCATCCTCTCCATACGGCACACTGACAGGAGCAGAAAGAAAAGGGTTGACGTCGAGTGGACTACGTAGTACGTTTCTGATCTCCCGGCCAATCCACCCAAACCCACCTATCACCAGCAGCAGCGTCCACAGTTGGGGAGCTAAGCCCTTGGCCCAGCTGGGCGCTTCTCCACGATTGGCGCCAGACCAGAACGAGCGAGCGAGCTGTCACAGAGCTCCGCGACAGGACAAAGCTCCGGATAGGGCAGTTGGCGGTTTCTCGGCGGCCCATTTGTCTGTTACTGCGTGGCGTGCTGGGCAGGTGGAGCCCCTCCTGGGCGCGAGTTGTGACAGGTGAGCGCCGTCGAGAAAGTCACTGGTGCTGGCCGTGACTGAAGCTGAAACACCCCAGGCGGGTGTGGGGCGAATCATCGTCGCCAGGTGCCTGCTCCCCTTGAAACGGCGGAGTCGGAGACGCTGTGAGAGGGCACAATGCTTCTCCCCTTGGCGGTCGGCCGCCGAAGTAATTCATGCCGATTGTGCTGGGCATTGCACAAAAGAAGGAGATTGCGCTCGGGCGGAGTTGCCTGCTTGTGGCGGATATTGATTGCTTTCGGATCACCCGCCCGAATCAGTTGACACCTCGGCATCTAATATTGACGACTACAATAGTGTACTACTAGTAACGCCCTAAGGGTGCATTGGAGGATATTTTTGGCCACAAGAATTAATGGACAGTTCAAATGCATCGACCCTGCTTCCAGGGTCTACCCAGCAGGACCTGATCACGTGTACCAGATGGATCACAGCAGTGGCGGTGAGCAACATTGACAGTCAAGACCGAAATCAGAAATACACAAGATGAATGCTGAGAAATAATAATATCAGCACAACTATGATTTGCCAGCTAATCTCAGTACCCGTTCAAGTGTTGCTGCAACTCCTTAGTTGGAGGTTGTTTATGTCCAGCTCCATTTGCCCAATAAGGTTCTCGCTGATCGAGCCAGATCCACATTCTTATCCGCTTTATCCATGGACATAGATCGTTGATCGCAGCCCAACACTTGGGAATGACCTGTAAGGCCCAATGTTGCCAATGGGAAAATATATTCATAGCTAATCCATGCCATATTCTAGTCACGCAATACCTACCTCCTCTCTCTTGAAAAAGTCCTTTCCCTCGCTGTCACAACCTTACACACTCAGACCAATTTCGTATCTAATAAGACGAGATTACATTGTATGTGGCCCCCAGGTATACAACGCCCAATCTGGTTGGAAGGGTCAAATACATTTTTGTTACACCCAATCGATCAAATATAGTATCAAAATTCGAAATTTTAATTGGGTTCCTCGCAACTGACTCTTTGCAATTCGTATACCGCAGGGATGTCAGCCAGAATGTCCAGTCCTCTACTATGGCTGCAGCCTCGAGTAGTCCCAAGCATCAAGTTCTTTTATTTTAGAATATGCTCCTAAAAGATCACACCAAAGGTTCTCAATTTATGAGTTTATGAAGATATGAAAGAATACAGTGGTGCTTGTCTCTGTGGTGAGGTTCGATTTTCTCTGTCCAGAGCACTGCAGGGTGTCTTTGTCTTTGCCTTTTACTGCCGTCACTGCGCCCTAAATGCAGGGGTCCCTGTCACGTTGTATGACCCACGAATTTCAACCAGGGATACTATCGTGACTCTATGGTCCCATGAATTTGGAGTATACGTGTGTCTGACATGAAATCAGGTTGCGAGATTTTCCCGTGCTCAGCTTCGGCTGCAGGACCCGTAGGAGCTGACTACTGTTTACAATATCACGTCGGTTGCGGAAAGTGACCATGCAACAGAGAAGAATTTTTGCAAAGTCTGTGGGTGTTCATTGTGGACTATCCTCGCAAGCATGGTGGCGAAGTGATCATTGTCCGGACCAGTCTGATTGAAGACGGGTGTCGAAAATATACTGCAACCTGGAAGGTCTCCAAGCTTGCTAACCCCCATGACACCCCGCCAGGGTCAATTCACTGCCCCCACACGACTAAGCTTTTTGTCCGAAATAAACTAGATCGTTTTGCCGGCTTCTTAGGGTTGATATTATATCCAGCGATGTCGAAAATTAGCCCGAAGACAGCCTGACTGGCTTGATCGGGTCTTCAGGGCATCTGATTAAATTGGGCAGGTCTCGGGCTCATCGTTGCCAAATGCCGAAGGCGATCGGCAAGCCAGTGGTTAGAACTTCTGTTTCGGGGAGGGTTCGACTCGATCGAGCATGCCGGACCCCTCGGACAATCCCCGCGGGGCCCTTCCCCACACTATGCCATCATCAGGGAGAGTCTGCAGTTCGTTCAATGTGGAGAGACGACAGAAAATATTTGTTTAGAGAGATCGGCGATGACCCGTCGGTAGTATATAACTAATTGAATTCACCCAAATGGCGAGGACTAGGGTCGCATCTCTCACGATACATCATGGCCACCCTCATCGCACTCACGGTGTTGTGGACCCTGGTGGTCCAGGTCTCTGCCAAATTTGTAGTAAAACCTAGCTCTCTGCTGCCGATTCCCAACAAGCCTCGGGTGTTTATTCTGTCGGATATCTCGAACGAGCCCGATGATCAAGAGTCATTGACGCGGTACTTGCTTTACGCCAACCAGTTCCAGACTGAGGGTATCTGCGCGGTGACGTCGACATGGCTCACAGACGAAGTTCACACCGAGGATATGCTGTCTGTCGTCAATGCCTATGGGAATGTCACGGATAACCTTAACCGTCACGCTCCGGCAGACTCGCCTTATCCCACGGGCGACCACATTCGCAGCTTGCTGCGAAAGGGTGCCGAGGTGAGAACCTCCAGGACTCATGAGGAATGCATAGACCGATTTTTCTAATAGCTCAACTCAACAAGACCTATGGAATGAAGGCCGTTGGAAAAGACGTTCCTCTCAGTGACGGAGGCAAGCTCCTGCTCGAACGCCTTCAAGACGACTCTGACCAGCCCCTCTGGGTGCTGGGCTGGGGCGGCGTGAATGTCCTCGCGCAGGTCCTGTACAAGGTCCACGAAACGCACTCCGAGACCGACGCAGCAGCATTGCGAGCCAAGCTTCGCGTGTATGCCGTCTCCGACCAGGATGATTCCGGCCCCTGGATCCGCCAGCAATACCCGGATATCTTCTACATCTCCTCGACACATGGTTGGAACCAGTATGGACTGGCAGCATGGACTGGCATCTCGGGCGAAAACTATTATTGTGAGGATGTGGGTGGTCCTGACTCGACCAAGGTCTCTCACAAATGGCTGCGCGATAATATCCAGATTGGACCGTATGGCAAAATTGCGTATCCCAGTTTCAAATACATCATGGAGGGAGATACCCCGACATTCCTGTACCTCATCCAAAACGGCCTTGGTGTGCCTGAGCAGCCGGACTATGGTTCGTGGGGAGGCCGTTATTCCAAGGTGATCCCGTCCACTGAGTTGAACTTCAACCACTACAGCGACGCTGCGGATCGTGTGAAGGGTCAGAACAACGAAACTTTCATCTCCAGCCGAGCAACCATCTGGCGCTGGCGCGAGGCCTACCAGAATGATTTCGCCGCACGCATGCAATGGTCTCTTCCCGCTAATGCCAGTCGGGCGAATCACCACCCCATCATCTCCATCAATGGCAGTGAGGAACTGGCACCGTTGAACATGACCGTACAAGCCGGGTCGACTGTGACAGTGAATGCCGCTGGGACTACAGATCCGGATGGAGATCGCCTTTCTTTCCGCTGGTTCCAGTATGAGGAGCCGGGCTCTAGTGACTGGAATGTTGCTGGCCAAGTGCCTGTGTTGAATGTCAGTCTTTCGCAGAGTGGTCGAATGGCGCAGGTGCAGATTCCAGAAGAGAAGGAGAGTTGCAATGGCAAGGGCTTCAATCCTTCGGGATGCTGGTTGCTCCATCTGATTCTGGAGGTCACGGACAATGGCTACCATCCATTGACGAGCTACCGTCGGGTGCTTCTGCAGACGATGAACTCGACACAGACCGTGTCTTAAACGGGCTCGGTCTGGAATATTTGCATAGCCCATTGAATGTACATATAGGGGGAAAAGACCAGGAAACTGTGATATTTCAAAAGGAAATCTTGTGTTGATCTGCTCGTAAAAATCGTATAATCATGGTATCGAATGATGCAACACCCCAAGACAGAACCGCCAGGGGTGTGAAGTATGTCCAAACGCCGAATGGTGGATTCACTAACCCAAACCGTATGCCATGCAATAAATAGAGACACGAGTCAACCTCATTCAACCAGTTCCTCAGGGAGGACATCCTCCGGGTTCTCTCCGACGGACTCGCCAACAGCACGAACGACGCGCTTGATCGCCTTAGAGGCCGGGCTATCCGGGAAATTCTCGACAAAGCTCTCGCCATAGTCACATGCCATGCCAACGCGAGGATCGAGAGGCACAGCTCCGAGGAATGGGATGCCCATCTTCTTCGCTAGCCGCTTCCCTCCACCGGTAGTGGCACGGAAGATCTGAGACTCGTGAGTGCAGCTGGGGCACACAAAACCAGACATATTCTCCACGAGTCCAAGGACACGTATACCGGCTTTGCGGCAGAAGTCGATCTCCTTGCGCACATCCAACAACGACACCTCCTGCGGCGTAGTCACGACGACTGCGCCGTCAACGCCGGATTCCTTGAGGAGGGAGTTGACAGAAAGGTGCTCGTCGCTGGTGCCGGGAGGTGTATCTACAATGAGATAGTCGAGCTCGCCCCAATCCACATCCTTCAGGAACTGCTTGATCAGACCGTTCTTCTTCGGCCCTCGCCAAATTACCGCGTCGTCGCGGTTGGGCAGCATGAATTGCACACTCATGGCACCTAGGTTATCCGTCACCCAGACAGGACTCCAGCCTGCGTTGCTCACGTGGATAGTCTCGGCCTCGACGCCCATCATCTTGGGGATTGACGGTCCGCAAATATCGGTGTCCATGATGCCGACGGTCGAGTCGGTGTTTGTGGCAAACGCATGCGCGAGAAGACTTGTGAATGTCGACTTCCCTACACCTCCTTTGCCCGAAAGCACCAGGATCTTGTGTCGTATTTGCGCGAGCCGCTCGGTAATGATTGGGATATCGGGGTCGGGGCCTTTGGGCGCGGTGGCGCAAATCTGCTGGTTCGGACAGCCGGCGCAGGCATCGCCTTGGCCTGCTTTTTCGGACTCGGGACCGGGACAGTGTTCTGAGCAAGAACAATAAGATTTTGAGAACCTGTACAGGGCTCGCGATTTCCCCGCGCGTGCGGTACGTACCTGGTTCCGGAGCCACCAGGTTGGGTGCTCTCTTGGAAGGCGCTTCGAGAGACGTCTCGTTCGGCTCCTCCACGTAGGGCGCCATCTTCAATTATCGAGAAATTCAAATAGCAAACTTGTACAAAGCACCGTTCAAAAGTGTCGGAGAAAAGTGTTGGTGGCGAGGGCCAGTGCTTGATAAGCGGGGATGACTAAAAGCCCGCGGCCATTGGCGGGGCCTGCGGTGTCGGAGGGCATTTCAACAGCAGCGGCTAAAGGCGCTTCTCCGAGCCGGTGGCATGTCGGCGAAGATATCCCCTGGTCATATTTGACCCTTGATACAATGAGGCTAGAACGATGTGCTATTCAAAATGAAAATGAAAATAATGCTACCACGGGGGTCCTCGAGACTATCCATTCAAATCTGTTGGAGAAGGGCCCCCTCTTCATAGTCTGTAGTACAGGACGCTTCGGCGGCATTGTCGAATGACTGTTACTCCCAGGGACACGTCGAGGCCGACCCAGTATTCTTTCGATCAATCTCTCGCCCTAGCTCATGTTGAGGGGGCCTAAAAGGATGCTAATACCGTATCCCTGCTTAGGTCACTTAGGGGAAGCGTCCACGGACCAAGGGATGCTCCCGTTTGCACAATTACTCTGCACATCAATCCAGGGACCAGGAGGGCCTGCGATTGACAGAACTTAAGCAGCAGACCGAATCTTGATTTGGCGCCTCCACTGCATGGTGATCAACAATTTCTGATTGCGGGTGGGACAGTCTAATGCTGAGCGGGTGAGACGAGAGAATGGGGTCTCGAGTAGAGAGAATATGGTCTTGCGACCATGATGTCACCTGAGGGTCTCCAAATGAGCAGAGCAAAGCCCTCAATGCGAGCCAATCCATTACTATATAGCGGGAGTATCCATTATCAAATCTCCAGAGGCTCGGCGCACTGACATCAGGCGGAACAAATGGTTTGTTTTCAATCCCGGTTTCGTACCCGAGACCACCCATTGCGATTCGGAGACCATTTTGACCAACAGCTTCGAACAGTCCTCAAAAGGCGACTGGAACATGATGTCAAGGCTCCCCACTTGGGCCGGTTGGCCTCAGTCGTCCATAATCCTCGCATCCTGGACATCTGTGTCGCCGGTGGGATGAAATCGGGTGCAGGCTCCTGTAGCGTGTACCTACTGCAGAGTGGAGTGATGCACGAAGACTCGCATTTAGTACCCGCACTTGCCGCTGTCTGCTGCACATCGTCAACAACGAGGCCCCGCCGTCGCCAGCGTGTAACCCATGCCGCACGAGCCAGCTGATGGCGGATGGCGGATTGGCGTTGCTGGCCGTAAAAGCCCGGACCTCAAAAGAGATGGAGTATCCTCACAGGACACGGGCGTCATTCTTGCAGTACCCTAGGGTAATATCTGAAGAGGAGGGTCGGCATTAGTGTGGGCGATCAGAGCCCTTCTTCCTTTCCCTTCTGCTCCATTCGGGGGCCCGCACTAAACTCGCGCTGTGATGGGGGAAGCAGTGGGCAGGAGACGGTTCCACTCAGCGTGTCCACCGTCCAGTCAAACATAAATACGACTCTCAACCTCTTTGAATTCGACAAACTTCTCTGCAGAAATCTTCGCAGGCGCACAAATTGCTTTTCTGGTACCACCAGTAGGTCAGGTCGCAGTAGACAATTGAAAACGCGGAGGACAGATTGACAGCCCACCGGATGCAAACAGGTCAATTGTGGTCCGCGGAGTCCGTCACATGCTTCTGTCGTCATTTACGCCCCAACAATCCTCTTTCTCTTCAACCTCAACAACAACATCATGGACCAGGGCCGTTCAACAGGTGCCCTGCAAACCGACGGGCTGCGAGAGCGGATTACATCACGCCCTGATTCAACTGGGGGCCGAGACGCTCTAACTGCCCTTGGTGAGGCTGAGATCAAGGATGCGGCCGGCAAGGACAAGAAGACATTTGGACGGACTCCCGATGGAACTGGTAAGTGTCCCCCTCTTCATCAGTGTGATGCATCATCGCGATCGATCTTTCGAGCGATCAACATCAAGCCTCATGCTATCCCTCCCGATTTTCCCCATCTCTAACCCGCTCCCGCGCGTTTCTCTAGTGTTCACGGTGCCTCAGACCCATGACATGGTCTCCCAGCTGCTCTCGCCATCGGAACCCAAGAACTTTTCAGATGCGGTGGTTCTCGTGCTGCTGGCGATTCACATTCTACTCCTCTGGGCCCTCCCCGCGTGCGCCAAAGTACCGGTATTCGCTGTTGTCTACCTCTCTTGGCGCGCGGCCTACAATGGAGGTATCGGATGGCTCCTTCATAACCAGTCGCACCACAAGACCCTAATCCGATGGGCGGAGAAGACCAAAATCTTCGTGAACCCGGCTACCGGGGACAACCCGCACCCGACCCTGTACAATTGGATCAAGCGCGAGCTGGAGACCAAGATCCCCCACGATTACAAGTTCGAAACAGCACCCGTTGAATACAACACCTGGCTTGTCTTTAGACGTCTGGTGGACGTGATACTTATGTGTGACTTCACTTCCTACTGTCTCTTTGCGATAGCATGTGGTCATCGTCCTGTGGATGAGGGCATTCTCATGACCGCCCTCCGCTGGACGGCTGGTATCGTGCTGGTGCTATTCAACCTCTGGGTCAAATTAGATGCCCACAGAGTAGTCAAGGACTTTGCCTGGTACTGGGGTGATTTCTTCTACCTCATCGACCAGGAGTTGACCTTCGACGGTGTCTTCGAGATGGCGCCTCACCCCATGTACTCAGTCGGCTATGCGGGCTACTACGGTATCTCGCTCATGGCAGCAAGCTATAAGGTGCTCTTCATCTCGATCATTGCCCATGCAGCACAATTCGCCTTCCTCGTCCTTGTTGAGAACCCGCACATCGACAAGACCTACAACCCACCTCCTCCCCGCAAGCGCTCGGTCTGTGTCGATTCGACTTCCAGCCTACCCTCGGACCTAGACACCCCAACTGCGCCAACTCCGTCTGAGGACCCTTCTCCCAATGCGTCATTGTATTCCACCAAGCCGCCCCCTCGATTCACAACCTTTTGGGACTGCACAACCTGGATCTGTATAGAACCACTGATTCCTCCACTATGCTGGTTCAGATGCTCGTATTCGCAGTCACGGCCTTGACCCCGTCCACGCCGCGTTACCAATTCTTCTTTGTGGTCAATGCTGTCGTATGGCGTGTGTGGTTCTCTGTAGGCATCGGGTACCTTCTGAACAATCAGTCTAACAACAAGGCTTGGACGAGGCACTTCCTCAAGTTTGGTGAAACCCCACACGAGGCATGGAGCCAATGGAAGGGTACTTACCACCTCAGTATGATCATGTGCTATGCTAGCTTCATTGCTGCGGTGTGGAAGATGTACACCCTCCCTTCGGACTGGGGCTATGGCCTGGTTCTCTTCCGGCACGTCCTTGGTGTTGGTTTGATCAGCTTGCAACTGTGGACTTCGATCAGCATCTACGACTCCCTCGGCGAGTTTGGCTGGTTCTACGGTGACTTCTTCTTTGATGAGTCCCCCAAACTAACCTACAACGGTATTTACCGCTTCCTCAATAACCCCGAGCGTGTTCTGGGTTTGGCAGGTGTCTGGGGTGCTGTCCTCATCACCAGCAGTGGGGCTGTCACCTTCCTGGCTCTGCTGAGCCACATTCTCAGTTTGGCTTTCATTCAATTTGTGGAGCGACCTCATATGCAGAAGCTGTACGGTCGTAGCCTTCGGCAAGATGGAGGTGTGGTCAAGAACCTCAAGAAGTCTTTGCCGTCCTCTCTCAGACAGCTACACGGAAGTGTCGACAAGATATTCGACGATTCTTATGAATTCATCGAGGAGATTCTTGACAACGCGCGCCCGAAGTTGGCTGCCGGCGTCAATACTTTCGTCAAAGACACAACAGCCCTCTTCCATAAGTATCCCGCTCGTGTCACCATCTCTCGCATCGATGCGGACCTGGCTGGAATCGACATGCGTGATTATTCTCTGTCTGTTGAAGGTACCGATGCGAAATCTTTCGAGGAAAGCGAACTGGGCAAGGGTCGTGAGGGTGCGAATGCCCGTATGCCTCTGGACCGACGAGGTGATCTCAAGAACCTGACTTTCGAATACGGCGCTCCAATCAAGGTCAAGTGGACTGCACCGCTTACCCACAGCAAGAAAGACTGGATTGGTATCTACCGTGTCACCGACAATACCTCTCGCGAAGTCTCTCGTGTCTCCTCTCAGGGCCGCTGGATCGCAACCAACGAGGGCTCTTACGACAACCTAACCTGTGAAAAGGGCATCATTACCAGTGATGTGGTCATTAACTCATCCGAAGAAAAGGATCGACAAGGCCATAAACTTGCCTCCGGTGAGGTTGTTTTCTCTGGCGATAAACTTTTCTGGACCCAAGGTGTCTTCGAAATCCGCTACCACCACAATGGCATGCACAATGTGATGGCTATTTCAAGACCATTTGAAATCCGCATCCGCCGATTTGACGAGGACGACACCACTGTCGACGGCGACAGCATCGTTCAGACGACAGTTGAGAACTCCTTGCTGCCTGTCGTCTGCAACTGCTTTGACCGAGACCCTGACGTTGCTCCTGAAACTGTGGACGAGCAGTTTGGCGGTCTTGTCGAACGCGATGGCAAATTCGCCAAGCGCGTAGTCTTCGCTGTTCATCAAATGTGAGTTTCTCCCTGGCATCCCCTCTGGAAATCATAGCTAACCGCTCTCATATAGGTTTGGTGTCGAACTAGCGCCTGAAGTCGTCAAGGCGGATGGCAATGTCCGCGATCTGGCTTGGAGGATATGCAATGCGAAGAAAGTTCTGGTAAGTCACGCTATTTCCTTGGCCAGAAGAGACGGCCGGTATTAATGTACCTATCATAGGCCCCCTACAGTATGTCCCTGTCAAATGGGACAACAACGCCGATTGAGGGAACCGAGGAAAAATAAATGGGTGAAATACAGCCAATAGGTATGACAAACGTTCGAGCGAGGACTTGGGAATCGAGATAGATTGGCAATGGCGTGAACTTCACCGAGTCCAGGTTTCCTCTCTGAATTGCATAGTGACGCCTCTTTGCAACAAATCCGAGGCCCCCATGCCCGCGAGTCTTAGAGAATAAACTGAGAAAAAAGAAGATGGTCGATAATAGGGTTCGATTTCACTTGCAGGTGTGAGTTGATTCCCCTGAATGTTTAGATTTGGGGTGGATGGCCGTGATTTTATTTTGCTATTTGTACCGTTCGGGGACCCAGGGGTGGCAGGATGAGTACCTGGGTACTCAACAGGATCTTGCTTAAGACAATGTCTTCCTCCCACTATTTTTATGTGTACATAGCCTTATGTGAGAATTATTAGAACGTTTCAAGGAAATCCAAAATGATATAAATTTTATCAGAAAAGTTTGTCATTGATTATGGTTAAGCTAATCGGCGGAACTGAAGAGACTGCAGACGTTGTTAGCGTCAACTGCAAGATAAGCGCAACAGATGAAGGCACAGGTGACATCACTCGCAAGCATAGCAAGCAAGGAATATAATCAGCAAGCCGGTTAACTCATCCCATCCTCTGCTGGCCCCCGAACTGAAGACTGACACCCAACACGGACGAACAGCCCAGTCCGAGAAAAACAGCACAAGCCGGACATCGCAAGAACCACACCGAAACAACGGTCCCATTAGAAGCATAAGCAAGCGACGACGAAAGCCCACACTCCCCGGAGCTTCACAACCTTCCTCCCGAGGACATCCGTAAGAACATCCAAGGTCCAGTATAGGAAGTCGCAGAGTGCAGATCATCACTTTGCTCCTAAAGGACTGCTGCACGACATGGGTGCTAAGCCCAGAAGGCGGTTCTCAAAGAGATCGTTGAATGGATTGACTAGTTGTCATCATAAGAGGGGAGATGTTGTGTGAAATAAACAAATCATAGACCGTACCTTTTGTAAAATTCGCGACAGCGGACCGAAGTTGTCCGGCGAATCTAGAAAGACACTTCAACATGTTAGCACCTGTCGTCGGTAGCGAGTAATGCAAAGACAATGACAAAATAGAATAAAAGATCAGGAGTTTTTGGTAAGGTATTTTGTTTTCTTCAAAAATTTTGCAGAAGCAGAACTGAAAAAAAATATTTCTCATCATGATGAGGTGTGGTGGAGAAAGAAATTTTCAAAAAGCGCGAGCTTACCTTGCTGGAATTGACTGTGGGCAACGTGCTTCGTAGAGCAGTGAGTGACGATCATGAAGGACCTGTCTTCGATGATAGTCAGCTTTGATGCCGATTGCAATTACTGATTGAATAATGGCATGATAATGTAATGTCCATCAGATGGTAGTGCATGTTGTTCTTGGCCCATTTTTGGTCGCCGAACAGAGATTTGGATCGTTTTCCTCATAAAGACGGGGGGAGAGCGTGGAATTGGCAGTGCAGGGGGGCGAAGGAACTCACGAGAGGGTTAGTGCACAAGAAGAGGAACAGACAAAGATAATTTGGGCCCTGGGTAAGCTCCTTTGGCATGAAAAGGTTTGCAGACCCAGGGCATACACAGCACAGAGGAGTGTGGAAGAGGAAGAAAGCGAAACAGCGAAGAAAACTGAGAAAAGCTGATGGGTGGGGCCTCGCAAACAATGCAAACACCCAAGATTTCCGTTTCTGGGCGATCCATGCCGCGTTACCTTCCAAAGATTATCGACCTTCCAGCACACACATCATGAATGACAGACGACGAGTCAATGGGCCTCCGGGCGGCACGAGGCCCCCGGTGTATGCCTCGCTGCTTGAAACCGGCACCGGGGCTGGTGATCGCTCACAGCGCCAGCGACAACCCGCTGAGTTGAGGAAAATCTGTATGCACGATGACAACTTGTCCGCGCCAGCATATCAAACTAACCTATGGCACTTTCGCACGTCAGTCCTCAAGACCGGTCTCATCCCTTCAGCTTCAGGCTCTTCCTACCTCGAATTCGAACCCTCCGCGTCTCTCACCGCCGCTCGTGCGAATCCCAAATCTCTGATCCCGCCTTCCTCAGCTCTGAAGCTCGCTTGCACAGTCCATGGACCGAAACCGCTGCCTCGATCGGCCGCATTCTCCCCAAACCTCGTTCTGACAACCCACGTCAAGTATGCGCCCTTCGCGGCTCGTAAGCGCAAGGGTCATGTCCGGGATTCAAGCGAGCGCGATCTCGGCGTCCACCTCGAAACGGCTCTGCGCGGCGCCATTATTGCGGAGCGCTGGCCCAAGAGTGGGCTTGACATTACCATCACTATCCTTGAAGCTGAAGATGACCGCTGGTGGGGCGATGCGCCAGACTCGCACGATGCCTCGTGGGGCATGATGAACGTTCTGGCGGGCTGTATTAGCGCCGCTTCAGCTGCTATTGCCGATGCGCATATCGATTGTCTGGATCTTGTGGCCGGTGGAGTCGCTGCTCTAGTTTCTAATGACTCAACAAACTCTTCGTCATCTGCGCCACGGTTGATGCTGGATGCCGATCCGGCCGAGCATCGCTCTATTGTGTCTGCTTGTGTCGTGGCATATATGCCTGCTCGGGATGAGATCACAGAGCTTTGGCTCAAGGGTGATAGCTCGAAGGCTTCCCTCGCCGCTGGTGATCAGCGAACAGGTCACGAGGCTTTGATTGATGGTGCCGTGGATGCTGCCCGTGGGGCCTACACCGTTCTGGCAGAGGCCGTGAGGGAGTCCCTACAGAGGGCATTTGATCAGTCTTAACCTCTAGGATACCATCTCTAACGAAGAAATGAAATTCAAAAAATATTTTGCCTTGCAAATGGTCCTCAAAAAGCTCAATGTACTACAATTTCAATGGCAATGTGAATATGAAGCAGTAGCCTTTGCTATGATTTTTTTTGTACTGGAATCTTTCCGCTGGCATGAGCTGCAGGGGGTACTCTATATGCTACCTTCCGATAGTAACTTTCTTTCCCGTGTGTCCAATCTCTCTTGAGATGGTCTTGGGTATTCTACACCAGAAGCATATAACGATGGTTCTGACGAACAGATATATTGCATCCACCGAGAAAACAGTGTACACCATGGTTCACCCAAGATAATGCGCACGCAAAGAACGTGAGTTAAGGGGCATCCTCATAATTACAGGAGTGGCTAAAGCAACTCTGGGCAATTTCTCCGCGTCCGTTTAGCAGCAGCACTGCGGCCCCGGGAGTACGAAGTGAGATGAGGTAGAAGTGCCGGCCATAGTGGCACATGATCTTGGGAAGAACATTTAAGCAAATGCAACCCTTTTTTCTCTTTTCCCTCTTCTCTCCGGGTCTCTTCACCAACCTTAATATCTTCGTTATCAGTTCCAGTCACTTCAAGTACTTACCTCTTCAGTAAGCTCCCCTACTTATACCCCACAGTCGTCTACTATATCTGCACTTTTGTACTCACCTTCTTTTACAGACATCTATTCTCACTGATAATCCTCAATGGGCAAGATGCCAAGTGAGAAATTAGACAAGACCTTAAAGCCTCTCGAGAGGCCAAATGTCCAGACCCAGGCAGAGAAGGATCTCACCTTCCTGTGTGCTTGCGTCAAAAATTGCAATTCCATGTCCAAGGTATGTACTTAATTTTGATGACCAAGGCCCAAGAGCTTCCTATCAAGGTCTTCGGTTAAAGGATTTACAACTAGGACAACCTCCAGCCTATCTCAGAGGAGCTTGGAATAACAATCGGTGTCGCTCGTACGCGACTCTACTACATCGAAAAGCGGCTCGAAAAGCGGGACAAGAATATGGACAAGAATGACCTGGAAGAGAAGTCAGAATAATGGGGTCTCAAAAGGGAACTTTGATGGTTCTTCAGTGAAGCACGGCTCCCCAGGATATTCCTGAGATTCCGGGATGGCTGGCAGGCAGAACACGAGTGCTGGGCCTGGTGTAAGCCCGAAGAAGGAATTTCGTGTCTAAGTTTATTGCGTTTGGAATCTCATAATTCTACCAGTAGCCACCAGTTCTTAGTAAGGCTTCTTTTCTGTTCCTACAGGTTCTTATAGACTTCCCTCTACTCCTCGTCATCTTGCGCTTCACCTTCCCAAGCCTTTGGCAATCCTCGTCCAGCCTATCACCATCCCGGTTCTTACTACTGCCTATTATCTATCATCATCTCTTCGGCTACCAAAAAGGCAAGGAGAAAGGCTACCATGTCAATCCTGCAGACCAAGCAGCAACCGAAAAATCAGCCGAAGGATCCTGCTCCTACGACCCATGATTTCAAGGTTCTTTTCATGAAAAAGACCACCTCCTATTGTGGATGTGCTTTGAACATAGTGGCAGCATGGAAAAATTCCTTCTTGTCACGGACATATTCCAGTGCATGATCTAGAGGCACCAACCCCCCGGGCCCCCGCGCGGGATCATAATCGATCCATCAGCAAATCAGTTCGCCCAATAGATCGACCACGTCACTATCTCTCAGAATCTTCAAATAACGGTCAAAAAAGCTCAAAGCCTGTATTCCAACATGGGTGCCCGTGTTCGGAAGTTACAAGAGAGAAGAACCAAGGCCAAGGGAACGAAAGAGGGGATCTGTGGCACAGTAGGAAGATCTTCTAGGGGACAATAAGGAAGAGTGGCCACAAACGAAGACTAGAATGATCAAATGACTCTGTTGGGTGATGATGTTCAGGATGCGAGAATACGGGTGTTATTGTACCTAAAATGATGTGATGGGTTATGCTTTTTCAGGTTTACGCGAGTTTGAAGACAGGATCGGCCATGATGCAGAAACCCCATGAAATGAGGATAAATTGAATGCAAATCTCAGGAAAAATGAATGCTATTTCATAGAAAGGAGAACTTTTTAATTTCCTCGCTTCTCTCCATTATCATCATTATGTGCACGGCCCGTCACAATTGACACGCATTGCTGTCAGTGGATCGGGTGCTGTGAGGCGAGTGTCCCTAATACATCCCACTATGGGCATACACAGTGGACTATAAAAGCTGCGACTGTCTCTCACTTGGACTTTCTTCTTCATCCTCTCTCTTCTCTTACTACTCTCGCGAATCCCATACCAACATCAGTCATACCAACACAGTATACTGCACCGAAACCACTCGACGACGTTCGCATTTCGCAATGGCTTCCGGGACCGAAATGACACCGATCACCGACAAGGCCAAGAAGGGCCCCCAGCCAAAGAAATACTTGACCAAAGTAACCAAGACCAAGAAGGCCACCAAGGCGACCAGAGCCACCCAGGCGACCAAGGACAATCAAATCCCTGGCTCGACTATGCTCCTGTGGGACGTCCTCACCCACAGCGGTGCTATGAAGGAGGAGGGAGCAGGGCCCAATGTGAGTAGTTCCCATCTCCAGCTATCCTGAACCAAGCGTTTGGAGCAGAAAACCAAGCCACTTCTTTCAGTGTTTTGTTTGAATGATGCTGACTGGGCATACAGGTTAACTGGGAGGCCGTGGCTATCGAGCAGAGCACCACCAAGGGTGCCGCCTCAAAGCGCTTCTCCCGTCTTCGATTGCAAATCAACGCCTACAAAGAGGTGATGAAGAATGCCCCGACAAGTAACGAATCCTCTGGTATTGGCGATGAATCCTCAGACCTGGAACACCTGGAGGAGGTCGAGGAGACCGGCGACGAGGCCGAGGTGGCCAAGGGAGCGTCGGGCGAGGACGTTGGTGAGGCTACCTAAGGGCATGCCTGATGCGCTCTTCGGGGCTTGATTTATTGAGACTGCGGTGAGGAGGTTTGAAGGTGATGCCTTTTTTTTTTTAACTTTTCGGTCTTTGTTTCGTTCTTATGTATGCAGTGAATGCGACTTTCCCACGAACCTACGTCTCTTCATCAAATTTACATGAGTACAGCAAAACCTTCACCCATGGAGCAGCCTGTTTTGTTCCAGAAAAGTCACAACTTGCGATAATATCCAGCGAGAGATGTGGGCGTTGGAATACCTCACCCGAAAACATGACATGCTTAGTATTTAGACGAAGATGTTCCACCCGAGTATGATTTCTTCCAGCCGGGTTGGTCCAGAATGAGGATAGTGATACTATTCTGCACTTTCCTCAGGCACAAACGGAGAGATCATATCTCGAAATTGGCTTGACCAATACACACTGAGCAACTCTTTCTTAAGCCACCGCCAAGGCATTAGCGCGGATACCTTTATTGCACAAGCTACGTCAAACTGAGGGCCGCAACACTATGCCGCCGCATAATACTGTTGCCACTAAAGGTTTATTGTTCAAGAACCAAAGAATAAAGGCGTACCATATAATTCCAGTTGGCAAGATAATGGTCGTATCAAAGAATTTTGTCTTGCGCCTCAATTGGGTGTGGCTTGTTCAATGAAGGTTCTCGCGCTAACGCCTTAGCGGTGGCTTCAGAAACAGTTGCTCAGTGTGTACTGGTCAAGCCAATTTCGGGAATGAGTGTACAGCCATGGCTCAAGGCCAACAATTTCAGACCGACACAAAACTGCTTGCTCTTCTTGAGGAATCCTCCGTCACAGTAGCCCGCAAAATTAGTCGACACGCTGGCCGAGTTTCGCAAAATCAGTTACGATGGGATTATGGCAAACGAGTGTCATCTGAAGCGTCTTGCTGCTCGGTTGGATTTCCTGTTTTACGAAGGGGAGGAGATTGCGGCTGCTGGGGGCCTTGACGCCAGGCTTGCAGCGCTCGCACATGTGAGTACATTGCGTACAGACACCAGGTGATGACGGCTAACATTACATCAGGAATTCCACTACCTCAGGAACTTTTTTTGCCCTCTCAGCTCTCTTGAGCGGCATGGCTCAAGGCGATGTCGAGCCCTGAATTACGAAGGGCACACAAACATAGGCGGGCAAGGCGTCGCAGGTGTCCTCCGCAATGGCGACGGACCTGACAATCCTCCTACGGGCGGATATGGAAGCTCTCCCGCTGGAAGAGAAGACCGGTCTACCCTACGCGAGTGCGCGGCACGTCAAAGATGCAGACGGGGTGTCTAAACCCATCTCACATGCTTGTGGCCATGACTCCCACGTCACGTCCCTCATGACCGCCGCGACTTTACTCCACGCTGCGCGGGAATACTGGACCGGGACGTTGATCTGTATCTCCCAGCCCTCTGAGGAACACCTGGATGGCGCGCGGGCGATGCTGGATGGCGGGTTATACTCGAAGATTCCCATGCCAGACGTCGTCCTTGCACAGCATGTCATGCGCATGCGTGCTGGAACAGTCCATCTCCGAGCTGGACGGTTCCTCACCGCGGCGGATGCGTTCGACGTGCGGGTCTTCGGTCGTGGCGGGCATGGTTCCTCGCCGCAGACGACGATTGACCCAATCGTCATCGGTGCTTCGATCGTGACGAAGTTGCAGACGATTGTCTCTCGTGAAGTTGTCCCTGGTGAAGTGGCTGTGGTCTCGTGTGGGAGATCAATGCCGGGAACTCGCCGAATGTTATACCCGACCATCTGGACCTACAGCTGAATGTGCGCACTTTTGATCCCCGTGTGAGTGAGCGTGTCTGTGCTGCGATTCACCGTGTCATTGAGGCGGAGTGCCGGGCTGGTGGTGCCGTGGAGAAACCGAGAATCGTGAGGATGCACTCGACGCCGGCTACTGTCAACGATGCGGGCTCGGTTGATAAGCTCCGCGCCAGTTTCGAGTCGTATTTCCAGAATAGTCTGGTTGAGATTGAGCGGCCGAGTGCGTGCGAGGACTTTTCGTTGCTGGCGACGGCTGTGGGGGCGCCGTATGTGATGTGGATGTTTGGTGGGATTGACGAGGAGACTTGGGATGGGGCTGTTGCGAAGGGGACGGTCAATGAGTTACCCAGTAATCACTCGCCGTTCTTTGCACCGGCGATTCAACCTGGAGTGTATGCGATGGCTGTGGCAGCGCTGACATTCTTGAGGAAATGATATTGTACATGTACTTTTTAGTCAAGGCATCATGAATACTCACTGCTTGGCCACATGTACGATAATCTTCCCCCTCGCACGCCCCGAACGAAGCTTCTCAAATGCCTTGACTGCAGCCTCAAAGTCATACTCGCTATCCACCTGCACCTTCAGCACCCCCTTCTGCAACCACTCCCCAAGCTTGACAATATGCTCATGAGTATTCGTAAACATGAAAATCACATACTTCCTCTTCCCACCCCCCAAAAACGAAGGCCACCCAACCCGTCCAACAAACGTCCCTATCGCCGACGCCCCCACCTGCACAAACACACCTCCCTTCTTCAAAAAATGATGTGACTGGAAATAAAGCTCAGAAGGAAGCCCAATATGATCCAGGACATGATCAAACACGACACCACGCTCCTTCAGCGTCGCAACCAGATCCTCCACAGCCGTATAATCAATAACCTCATCCGCCCCTAACCCACGACACAACTCGACATTCCTTGTCGAACACGTCGTCGTAACATGACACCCCATCTCCTTCGCAACCTGAATAGCGAATAATCCACACCCACCCGAACCGCCGTTAATAAACACCTTATCACCACGCTTCACATACCCAGCCAACGTCTGATAAGCCGTCTGCCCCGCAATACCCACCCCAGTCGCATGGTCAACCTGCACGCCCTCCGGCACCGGCGCAATAAGTCCCGCCTGGATGGTGAGGTACTCGGCCAACGACCCGAATTTCATCGGGCGACTGTGACACCCGAAGACGAGCTGGCCTGAGGAGAGATGCGTTGCACCGGTTCCCGTGGACACCACGCGGCCGCAGAAGTCCATGCCTGGGGAGGCGGGCGTGCCGATGACCAGTCTGGCGTGGGGACCCATTTCGGGGACTTTGAAGTCGGCGGGGTTGAGGGCTGTGGAGAGGACTTGGACGAGGACTTCGTCGCTTTGGGGGGGGGTGGGGGTGTGCAGGCGGATGGTTCGAGGTGGAGGTTCTTTTCGAGGCCGTTTGTGGTGGTGCTGTAGAGCCAGGCTTTCACTGTTGCTGGTGGTGGTGAAGTCATGTTGGTGGGTTATTTGTGGTTCTTGCTGATTCTTTGGAAGACGTATTGTTGGCTCTGAAGGGCTTTAGTGGATTGAAGAGACTGGAGCTTGCAGAGAGTTCGAATGAAGCGAATATATGGGTAGCTGGTTGAAAGATGAGGTTGGATTCTCGATGGGGTCAGGACAAGGTGACCTTCAATGTGGTCATAGCTCCTTGGCGGGGCAAGCTGGAACTATATATCGTTAAGGCATGGCAGGACGTCTTTTCTCCAAGAAACACTCAGTCTCGAAAATTTGCCTCGAATTGTATGTAATATTGAGTCAAGATATATTCGAGTACGTTTGGGTTCAGCAAGTAGTCGAGAATTTGGAAGATACAGAGCCGATGAGCCATCGGAGACAGAAAAAATGGCACTTCGTTTTGTCCAAACTATCAATAATACATTTCTCAAAGAAAGTACCTTTTCTAGTTCCCCAGCCACCAAGTGTAGTTGTTCGTCTCAGCGGGTGTGTCAAAGACAAGCTCGGAGCTGCTGTTCAACGGTCTCTGAGGCCAGACGTTGACCAAGCCATCCCAGATCTCAATATCCGAGTACTGGACGTGAGCGCCAGGGGCAGAGTACAAAGAAAATCCGTGACTGTCGTCCCGGCTGGGGTAGATGCGGCCAGTAAGAGCGAAGCGGTCGTTGACAAAGACCTCGACGAGAGAGCCGTCAACGAAGATGTCCAATTCGATGGGTTCTGTGCCCGCGCTGTTCAGTCGGTAGGGCTCGAAGTGGCCGGCAAGCGTTGTGTTGGGGAACATGCTGATCTGGGAGGAGTGGAGGCGGTCGAGGACAACGGAGTGCTTGGCCGGGTCGTAGTAGATGTTTGTGTACTCCTCGCCGCCGGGCGAGGAAGCAACGGTCACACCCGTGGCACCGGTGGTGTTCTTGATGACCAGCTTCAGCTCGTAAGAGTTGCTGAGCTTGCTGGGCAGCGGGAGTCGACTGGTGTTGTCGCAGATTCTGCGGCTGCACTGAGTCTTGGTGTGGTGGGAGCCGCGGCGAAGACCTTCGACGACATCGCTGGCTGGACGGACACCGAGAGTGCTGGCGGTCCAGGTGCCGTTGGAGGTTTGGAAGTAGCGGGAGTTGCCGGGAGTGGTGTCGGCAGGGTTGTGGACAACACCGACGGTGTTTTTGATGAACAGCTCGCGAGGCAATGACAATGCTCCTTGGTAACCTTGCTGAGTGATGCCGAAGTTGTCCATGTCCTCCGCTGCCCATCCGTACTGAATACGACGGTTGTTCTTGGTGTCATTGAACGATGTAATCTATCACGCCATGTCAGCATCATGTGGCAGTCTGTGGAATAACACTCTTCCTCTTACCGCATAGAGAAGACCCCAGTCGGCGGCACCACCTGCAATAGGGTTGAAAGCAACACTGCCGTTAGAGCGAGCTGAAACAGTGCCCTCATTCCACAAGGACCACCGTCGGTCGTGGAAGCTCACTTCACCGCCCTCAGCGCCCATGCTGACGAAGTAACGGCCATCAAGCTCGAAAAAGTTGGAAACTTCAAAGTTGAACCCATAGGAGCCGGTTTCCACCAACGAACCCAAGGTGCTGTTCGCTACTGGCTCCCAGAGAGCACCGAGGAAAGTCCAGTCGGTGAGATCAGAAGCAGGAGCGCTGTACAATGGCATGCGAGGACCAACACCCTTGATGCCAGAGCCGAAGACAGCATAGTAATGAGGCTCTGGGTAGCTGAGCAGCGTGTCCAGCTCCGGGATTGGAAGGAAGAAGGGATCACGCCAGCCAGTGATGTTCCAGCCTTCAGGGGGGCTGCTGATGATCGGGTTGTTCTCGTATTCTTGCCAGGTGACACCACCATCAGTAGAGTATGCCATACTTTGGCTTTCGGTTCCGTTCAAATACGGCACGTTGTATCCTGTTGGAAGTCTTGAAACAGATGTATAGAAAGCGAGAAGGGTGCCGTCTGATACACCAGAGATGTTGACAGGATGGGCTGTTCCGGAGAAGATACCCAGGTGATTGTACAGCGCTGGCTCGTGGTGGTCGCTGGTTAGGTTGGTGGTGACAAGCGACTGCGCTTGACCGTTCTGCCAGGCAGCGAGTCCATCAGTGGGAGAGTTATCCACATCCGTCCAAGTTAGGAGGTCCGGGGAGGTTGCGTGTCCCCATGAGATGTTGCCTAAATGAACTTAGCACATAGTTTAATTATGTAGAAGATGGATTCGTACCCCAGTTGACGTGGTTAGGGTTAAACTGGTAATGCATGTGATAAAGACCTTGGGCCGGATCGTACATAGGGCCGCAAGGATCCTAGATGAGTGTTAACATCAGTCCATTGAAGAGGTACCAACGGAGAGGAACATACGTTCATCCATCCAGCCGGAGCAAGGAAATGAGAATAGGGTCTCCAACGAGTGAAGAGAGTGTTGTTTCCCATCTTCTCGATCATCTCGCCCGTCAGGGTTTGACCCCATGCGGTTGAGACGGTGGCACCGAGCACCACACTTAGAACTGACAAGACGGCCATGATTGTTGTTGTGATCGTCTTCTCAGGTTGCCATTGACAGGATGAGAATCACCTTATATATATTTTAAAGGAGGCATTGCTCCCCCGGGCCTTTATCGCAATATCCTCGGGTTGGAGTTTTGCCCACGGGGTATCAGAGAGCTTGGATGCTCCACCCGCAAACTTATATTACATTTGGGATTGTAAGTGCCACTTGAATGATGCTGGATCGCGTCTCGCTGGAGAAACTCAAAAGGCTTCACGAGATGTCAATAGATAGTGGCAGGCTCAGACGGGCGATGTTTGAAGCCAATGGTCGAGTAAAGTTAATATGGGGACTCCCCCGAAATTTCCCCGAGCGCTGTGCCATCGCCTTCATTTCTGCCAATTCGCTCCAAGCCACACGTGGAGAAGCTGGGATTCGATTCATCCGGAGAATTGAATCAATCAATCAGTCAATCAGAGCCCAGTCGTTCCGTATGTGGCTTGTTTCCCCGGTAGCTTTCTGGGGGGCGAAATTTCTGGGGGCGAGATTTCTCCACGTTTTCACCGTCAAGCGTGGGTATTGCTGGAGACCAGGTCCGGCTCAATGATGATGTACTCGGTGAGCAAAAGAATATCACAGATCAGACTGAGAGTCTTGGTTTCAAAATTGAATATATGCCTGCATCTAAATATCCCCTTGAATTCTGTACACGCATCTTCATGTTGAAAGCTTTGGTATATCACCAGCCTAGATAGCAGAGTGTTTCCCAGGATGGTCCATCAGAGGCGACTTATAATCCTCGTCGTCCACATTCATCATCACAATGCGATGCTGCGTCATATTCTCCTCGGTTCGAGACTTGACCTGCTTCTCCATGCGCGTTTCCTCTCCAAATCCTTCACGGCTATTGAGGGTCTCGCGGGCAATAGACGACTCAGGATCTTTCACCCCAGCTTCCTCTTCATGTCGTAATTTCTCTGCCTCCTGTCGCTTGTCCTCAATCGCAAGAACAGCTTCTTCGCGCTCGACTTCTTGGTTATTGTCGGGATATATTCTCCTGTCAGAACAAACTGGCTGTGACCCACTGCTAGCGACCGATGGATAACATCCCTTGCTTGGTGTACACATTCTTGCGCTGGGCTGTGGCCTCGGTGTTGTGACCGCCGAAGGCCGGCGTGTGGGATCTAGGGGTGTTTTTCCAACTAGACTGAACATCTATCTACATCTATCAACAAGAATCAATTGACTTTTTGCTTTGGAGCATACACACTGTCCACTTAACTGTGTACACAGTACCTAGCTGGTGATACCAACAGTTATCGACGTCTTGTAGTCCGATCGATTTGATAATCCTTCCCAATAAGAACTGATATCGAAGGTGGCCACTGATCATGTCGCTCACATTGAGGTTTTCAACGCCTGGGACGTTCTCAACTACTTGTAGTCCAGCAACACCAAGTTGGAAACTGCTAGTCCGATAAAGAAAGGCGAGCACGGAGTCGTTCTCGGAGTAGACGTTGACGACCCGACCGCTCACGACGCTCCGCACGCGGCGCCAGTGCTCCTCATTTGACGGGATCGGAGAACCCATCATGATGACCGATTCGACCAGCCCGTACGCCCCTCTTTTTGACAGACTCTGGAGACAGGAGAAGATCAAACGGGATCCAAGAGAGTAGCCGATCAGGGTAACGGGCCTTTCTCCCTGGACCTTGCTGATAAGTGCATCCGCAAGCACTTCTGCTATATCAGCACGAGATTTTGCCACGCTGAACGGGTTGTGGACAATACGGGCAACTTTCATGAGACCCATTGACAACATCACTGCGCTCATGATTGTAGCGAAGAAGGTGCGGGATAGAACCTCTCGTCCAGCAACAGACCATCCCGCGCTGGTGACTAGTGCCGAGATAGCATTGCCCAGGTTCATCAGCGGTTCTATTTCCCATCGTAGTGCAAACACTTCCGAGTCGGCACCAATGACTCGCCAGGTATCACAAAGTTCGATTCCTCTTTCACCCACCCAGTGATGCCAATAGTCACCCTCAACCGATGATCCTATTAAGTACTTCCGACTTATCCTTAAAAACCCGCTACATGTCCATCATCCTGAACCCAAATACAGTGGACTCAGCGAGATCAGATGATGGCCCGCTTTGCAATATCTAAAGCTTCTCGAAAACGCGACGCTTTGGAAAGCAAATCATTTCGCCTTCTCGCCGTTGCAAAGTTTTCACCTGCAATTTCCGTCAATTTGTCTTCCTCAAATTCGCCGACCAAAAGAGGTGAAAGTGTTTTCACCGGGCCACCGTCTCTCAGTATGTATCGCTCGCAAACCTGAATCACGACGTTGGCCATGAAACGTTTCATAGCCACCTTATAGTAAGCCTTCAAGATATCATGGATATCAGAAACAGCTTGGTCCTCGTTGCTCAAGTGTACCCCTTGCAGCACTCTGCCCATGTCGAACCATGTACCATCACTGAGTCCAAGATTTTCAAACCTTACCATGACTCTTTCTTGACGAATTGAAGACAAGGTATCGGCATAGTAATGATTAACAGTCTGCAGGACCCCTCCTCCTTCATCATGCAGAAGTCTGAGGAGATTACCATGCGCCTGGCGGTACAGTACCCCTCTAATCTATTTTAATTGTTTGTTATTCTCCGACACACTGATAAATGAACTAGATGCAGGCCTCGACCATATATTTTATTCTCTGTTAAGGATCGCGGGCCAAATGTTGTTTTCCGTTCTTATGCAATCCACTATGTCCCGTCCAACACTAAATGTAGGCGTGGTTCTCTTTTAGTGAGATTGCCATGGAGTACACTGCAGGGACCACCGACCGGGATGAAGAATAGATTAATTTAAATTATTTGGAATGCTTATGTAGATTTGAATTACCAAATGTGACTCGTAGAACCCTTTATTGGACGATGTGGGGTGGTGTGCATTGATAGGACCATATTGCATCCTGGCGCACCTGGCACGAACCAGGCACGAGGCATCACGACAAGTCAAAGCCGATTCCGGCGGAATCCCAGCGATCCTGCAGGATGTTTCACGGTGAAGAAGTTCGCATCACACACGCCGCACAGTAGCACTGGTGCCATGTGGGTGAGCGGCCTGGCGGGTTGCCTATCGCAGTGCGTGCCCCGTGATTAAGCAATGAGCACTACGCACTTGTCTCACCTTTGACACCTCGACACCTCACACAGTACGCCGATCGGGGACCCATCGAAATCAAATCTCAATCGGCATCGGCATCGGCATCGATAGATCTGAATCTAACATGAGATGGAGTGGATCAGGGCACGAGAACTGGAGGGCACCGGTTTGCATCGCCTCGAGCAGTCACACAAGACTTGCCCGTGGGGAGTCGACTGCGCAATCCGCAATCCGCAGCGACTGACACCTGCGCCCAGATCGACATGGCCATCCACGGTTCCATACTGGCCAGCGGTCCAGTTGACGGTTTGGACTCGAGCTAGTGTTTCGATTCGCAACCCCTGAAGAGTTCGCGCCCATCGACTCCATCGGGGAACGGCGGAGAGGCACATTGAGATCCTGCCTTCCAAGTTTTTGCCAACATCGCAAATTTCTCGACTCCCGAAAGTTGGATCTGCGGTTTTGTTCGTGACGCCTTCTGCGCGCTCCGGGCCTCTGGGTTGCTCCATTGGTACCAGGACTCCGAGCTCTCGGATACGCCCAACGAACCAAAATTGGCACTCGGTTCGCGGCCTCGCTCCGCTGAACGAGAGGCTCCACTGGTATGCCCGTCGATCACGCTCATCACACCAATCGTGCCTCGGGCGGAAATTGGGGGCTCCATTGCCTGCCATTTTCAACCCTAACCCACGCTCGGCTGTCTCCCACTTGGCGTCATGCGCCCGCATCTGACCCCCATCGCAAGGGCTCTCATTGGAATGGGCATCCTTCGGAGGACACTGCGGCCACTTCCCGCCAGGTAGCGCCCCCGCCAGGCTGCCTCGCGGGTCTTGACGGGATCATTGTCGTTGTCTGTCATGGAAGTCTTGTCATGTGGACCTCCTGATTGCTTGGAACTGGGGCTGGAAGCTACGAGCTTACGGCCTATTATGCAGCCTGGACGTTGACTCCGGAGAAAGGTTCTGCTAGCTGCATATGCCGACCCAGTTAGGCCCCAACTGGGTTCTACATCCCCTCGTGTTGGTTAGGGGCATCGTTAAAGTATAGCTAGGGCAGGGTGTAGGGCAGGGCAGTCGTGTGCAGTCCTCCAGTCCGTTTGAGTTTCCCGAAGATATCCTAGTGTGACAATCGGCCGTACATGTGTCAGAACCATCGGCAGATGGAGCACTCTTAATTTCTTAGCGTTCGAACGGCCAGGCCGCATTGGCCTGGCCCCATTTGTGCCCGCGGCGATGGACTATGGAGAAGACCGGGCCACTTCCCCCTGATCCAGGCACACCAAAGGGTGCTGGATCTGCACACAAGGCACTTGACAAGGCAGGTCTCCGCTACCCTCTCGTCATGGCACCTTTTTTTGTTCTTCTTCCTTTTTCCATCATGGCGACCTTCACCTAGCATTGGCAACTCCGATCCGTATGACGGTCTCCAGTTGAGCTTCAATGCTGCCATGACATGCCCCGATCGCTCGATTCTTCACGACGACCGTTGGTCTAGTCACTCCACTTCTCGTTAGCTTCAGACCTTTTTTTTCTCCCTCCAAAAACGTCACTCGTTCGGCCGTCTCGTGCGCGCCTCCGATCCCACCTGCGGATCAACGTCGACGCATGATCCCATGTGCTGCACAACTGTCAATATGGTTGCGCTGAAGAAATTCTTTCAGCAGCAGGAGCAGGATTCATCGCGACCTTCAACAAGGCTTGGATTGGCGAATGATGAGGCGGGTGAATCTTTTTATGGCACCCCGACGTCACCCACTCGAAATCACCTCGAGCCGGACCGATTATCTGTCGCGCCGCCGTCACCAGGTCTCCCATCGCCCGGTTCAAAATCATCGCAGTCTATGGATGTGTCTCATCATTTTGATCAGATCGACAAGCAATTCGAAGATCTGCACCAGCACATGGGGGGCACGCGGCCGGTTTCTTCTCAGTCCCAGCTACCGCCTTCTGTCTCTACTAGCTTTGGATTTCCCAGGTATTCCAATTCTAGGCATATCGACTTGATGGATGCTCTGTTCATCTCTGGGCCATATCAAGAAACAATCCCCACGCCTGCCTCGCCTCCCACTAGTCCTTACAATGAAGATGTCGCGGAACGAAACATGACGAGATTTCTTCGTATCCAACATCGAAAAGGCTTTGCCAGTTCTCGAATATTATCTGCGTTATATCAAGAAGATGTTGCGGACAGGAATATTGCAAAGTATGGCGGTCAAACTCGCTCATCGTCCGCACTGAGCTCTCGCTCATCTCCCCCGGCTCCGGGTAGACGACGCGGCTTGAGTCCCATGGGTTCAGACGGCAAGAGACGCGACTCGAGAAATCTCAACCTGAAAAAGGGAAGCTGGATGTCGGATGGAGACCTTCGAAATCGGTCTACTCCAGATCGTTCCTCTGGTGCTTCGTCGCAGGCGTCAAACGCCAGCACCCTAATACGCCTGCAAAGATCAGCACCTACTCTGTCTCCGGAGGAGAAGGATGCCGCTGATAATGAGCCACCCGCTGCTATTCAGCGGTTGGGTGTCCCTCCTGCTTACAAGCAAGGCAAGCGATGGAGCAACACTCCTTTGCCTGATAGCCCGACATTGCCTTTCCCTATCAGCGATGGTTCTGAGGGCAGCAGCAGTGCTGAAAGCCCTCCGGAATTGCAAGCACCCGTTACAACTGTCCGAGCATCATCATTAACTCCAAAGTCGCGTTCTCCGCCTCCTTCGTCGGGGTCGACCTCGAGAAAGAATGTTCGAGATCTTTCAATCAATACGCAAATAGCCACTCAAGGACGGCCGAAGATCTCGCATCGTGCCATTCAACCGCCGACTCCTTCCAATTACGAAATGAGGCGGGCTCCGAGCATCGCGGAAGTTATGAACAGCCCATTGCCAGAACCCACTCCCAGTTCAGGTCAACCATCGCCTCGCTTCAAGGTGTCTGAGATGATGGACCTCTTCAAGCAAGCGTACATGTCTACTCAGGCTATGAGCCCTCACCCAACATACGAGACTTTGCAAGATGCCATCGTTCGCGAGATTAATTCCCATGATGCATTTAAGCGCGTCCCTGTCCCTACTGCTGGTCCGCCTTTCACACCTTCGGATCAGGACCGGTTCTCTCATAGCTCGGGCTTAAACCGGAGTGCTTCTGCTGGTCAACTCTCTAAGATAATGAGGAAAGGCTCTTTTAGGAAACACAAGAGGAACTCCGAATCTCGCCAAAGTATCTCGACTAGTGTTCCCTCCAAGGGCTTTCTCCGCAGGGTCTCATCCTCTCCTGGGCGCCGGAGACATACTGACGCCCCCCCTCCCATCTTCGGAATTGTTGACTCAAATTCAACAGCCCCAGGCTGTTGCCGCACCTCAAACATCTGATGGCAACCAGCTGACTTATATGGACGTTCTTCTTCGCGCAAGCAATGACAAGACCTCCAACTCTACATCCACCAACCCTCCATCGTCTCGAGACCGAATGCGTTCCGAGTCTACAAACAACCTCTCTACCGCTCCCCGCTCGACCCCCGACAGACCTTATACTCCTGGAGCGGTGTACTGCATGCAGGCACACTCCGACTCCTCTCAGGGCCGGAACAACGGCTCCCGCGACGCGTATGAGGAGAGTGACGACGAAATTATCCATCTCCCCAGTGTGGGTGCGCCGCCTCGTGTACAAATCGAAGGCGTGGATGAGAACAATGTTCGCTACGTGATTGATTCCGCGACAGTCGGCGACGCACACAAATTTATGAGCTGGCCCCAACGCGTGCGGCGTTCCAACTCCTCCCAGCCCGCTTGCGAGAACAGCCTGTCTCCTCTGACTCGTGCAAGGATGCAACTGCGAGGAGCCCACTCAGTCGAGACCTATTAAACGGGCAATGCCCAACTTTCTTTTCAAGTCGGGAGAATACCTCCTCTCGCATGATATGATGCTTTCATGATACCTCTGCCAAAAGCTTGCTTGATCACTCAGTGTCTGTTTCTTTGTATAGCGATTCTGAACTTCTCGAAGCGCCTGGTCTCAAAGTTTGAAGCCTTTCTCTCCTGCTACTCTCTCACCAACTTCCACTATCGACCGATTTCCTACCAACTCATCATCTTTTCCACTCTTTACCTCTCCTATTATATACTACTACCTCACCCTTTGTCTATCCTTTTGCTATCTCTGCTATCATGGCATTCCACCGCCGGTCCTCGCGACCAAAAGCTTTCCTACTTTATCATGTCTTATCATCGGATGTGCTTATTCCGGTCCCGGGGGAGGGGGGGCGTTTTTGTCATTCCTTCGCATTTGTATACTACTACTACTACTATATACTTACTATGGCGCGAACCGATTTATATACTCCTGCTTCAACCATGCTTCTTTTTTTCATCTAGCCTTCATATTAATGCTTATAAGAAGAAATCGAAGATCGATTTTACCGACAACATCTGGACTAACATCAAAAATCTGAGCAAGTTTGGTCTGTATATATAAGGCACGCGACGTGAAGTCAATAGAGGTCATGTGATTATTGCCTAGCTCAGATGTGAATACGGATAAGAATGCCATAACCTCGAGAGGATGCTCCCATTATATCTGTGACGCTGCTTCTTATTTTGTCATTACTTTTTCCAGTCCTTTAGTCGTCTCGTCCTGCGGACAAAGGTATGAGATTTTGGCTGCATGTCCAGGGGTGTTAACTGTACCCCCAAGAAGCTAACCTGATTCATTTGGTTTGTTCTTTTGGAGGGCAACATCTACACTGTATGCAAAAGGAGGAACGATTCTGCAACTAATCTGTCGATGAGAGCTCTCGCAGTATTCTCTGTCAGAAATGTGGTGACTGGGCCCAGGCCGGCTCTCGCTTTTGTGCAGTCCGTGAGTATCAAAGGAGTTTGATTTTTAAACCCTTCAAAACCAGTTCTACAAATACTGATTCGAATGTTCAGACCAGCAGTAAATGCAGCATATTGTCTTAGTTTGTGCCACACTTCCCTAATCTTCCTCCTCTTCTCTAACCCTGTGCTAGTTCTAACGTCTTTAAAAGGGTCGAGAATCAAGTTCGCGAGGCTTCTAATGACCACTTGAACGGAATGGGTTTTGTTTCTAGAGAAGATAATAGATACTGCTGTCCCAGCAACATGCTTTTCTAGGAAAGTACGGATACCGTCAAGAGGACCATAGGGAACCTGATCGAGAGCAGGGCCATATGGAGAATGTTTTCGTACAGAATTCATGTATTTACATGCTTTTTTTTATAAACATGCAACTCCCAGATATTGAGATGGGATCATTTGTTGTGGGCATTAATTTGTCATAGGTGATCGTAAGTGTAGGAGGTTCCAGCCGCCGCTGACCCACCCGCTAAATTATATAAAGCTGGTCCGCCGCCGCAAAAACACTTCACTCACACTACTCGGTTCGCCATGACCTCGATGCTTGACAGGTTTTATACTTGTGATTCTGCGGGCTGTGGTGCTACCAAGTGTTGGGAGGTCGGTCCCTGTGAGCGAATCAAACGCTGATGTCCACGCCTGTCTAACAAGGAGCATCTGCTCCATCCAGACAAAGGCCATCAAATCACCCTCCCTCACTCCGAGTCGTGATCCTGACTCGTGTCCTCTTAGGCGGCGAAGGCAATCTAGTCAAATGACCATTTGCCCCTCTTATAACAGAGAATAATCGTAATCAGCACCACGCCTCTAGATTTTATTAGTAGGAACTCGGCGAAGGACGATATAAGATTGGTATTCCCTATCTACATAGTCTGTTCTTGAAAAAACATTGCTCATTTCTCCTCATAGGCACATTGCAACTAGCTACCTGACCCCGACTCCACAATGAAACAAATCGCAAGGTAAACGTCAGTAATGGAAACCCCCTGTTACCCACGCCAGACATAGGAAACGATTTGCAGATGATGCACGACTTTATGGTTCCCATTTTCTTTAAACCCCGAGTCCTTGCAGAAAGAAAGGGTCAATGAATGATTGTCCCCATTGCGAAGCAGATGCCAGTATTTGGATGGATAATGCAAATGAAATCAACCAGCTTAGTAAGAGCCTAAAGATGAGGTTAGCATTATGCTCATCGCAGACAAATATGATGGGGAAGGGGTAAACATACGGCCAAACATGACCCACTTCTGGGCAAGGCGGTTGCAGCTGGGGTTGATGCACTTGGTTTCTGCCGGAAGTTCGCCAAACTGAGCCTGGTCGAACGGAATGCACAGGGACTTGGCACCCATACTGGGGGCCTTCGCGTCGGCAGGCCCAGACTGAGCGATCTCCTCTGACTTTTTAGCAGTATCCTTCTTAATCTGAGTTTCGCAGTCCTCGGCCAAGCAGAAGGGCACGATGCAAAGGTGCTTGTCGTTCATGAATGGAACGATGTCATCAAAGTTAGAAACGATCTTGCGGTGAGCCTTGAACTGCTCATCAGCACGGTTGTACATATCACGGTGGATAGTATCCAGCAGCTCAGGGACAGCAGTAGCAAGATCAGGGATGGGAATAGTGCCCTTGCCCTCCTTGCCAGGGATATCACGGCGGGCAGTAGTGACAAAGTGGCCGGCCGACTCACCGGGGCCGAACTCCAGGCGAAGAGGAACACCACGCAGCTCCCACTGTAGCAAAAAGTTAGCCAATATCTTTCTAGCTGTGCACGGGTATTTGTATCTTTGAGGTTAACTGACATCGGCAAACTTCCAACCGGGGGAGTAAGTATCTCTTGAGTCACCCTCGGCACGAAGGCCAGCAGCCTTCAAGACGGCAACAAGACCGTCTATCTCAGCATGAAGCTTGGTGCGCTCCTCATCAGTGGTCTTCGCGGTGAGACCGACGGGAATGATGACAACCTGGGTCTCTGCAACACGAGGGGGAAGGACCAGACCCTTGTTGTCGCTGTGAATCATGACCATGACACCCAGAGAGCGGGTGGAAAGACCCCAGGAGTTCTGCCACACGTGTAGAGGGGGCTTCTTCTCGCCGGGCTTATTGCTCGGGTCCTCAACAGTGATGTCAAACATCTTGGAGAAGTTTTGACCAAGTCCTGAGGATAATGTTAGTCTCAGTTGTTTCAGTTGTTGGACGCTCGTATTCATATTTACCGTGAGATGTACTGGGAATCATGTTAGCAAAGGTGCTCAATTAACCTGTCAGAAGCTGGGAAATACGTACCCGCCTTGAATACCACGACCGGTGGCAGGAATGTATCCCTCAACACTGTTGAATTTGTTAGCCCCATCAACGCAACAATGGCCTCATCAGTCTTGGTATACGCACGTGGTAGTATACAATCCACCGGCAAATCTAAGATAAAATTAGCATAGCTCCCTCAAATGGGAAGTGGTACACGAACCGTTCTTTGTCAGTCTTCTGTCCCTTGACAACGGGAACAGCAAGAAGCTCCTCATAGACATCGGAGTACCAGTCAAGGATCTGAAGCACCTCCTCGCGAGCAGCACCCTCCGTAAGGTGGGCAGTGTGGCCTTCCTGCCACAAGAACTCACGTGTTCGGAGGAAGGGAGTGGCGTGCTGGAACTCCCAGCGCACTGTTATCAAAAGGTGTCAGTATATATGAGTGATTTAGTCAATGCCATCAACGAAAACATACCGACTGAGTTCCATTGGTTCAGACGAAGGGGCAGATCTCTAAATTCGGGAATTAGTGGTTGGTAATATGTTGGAGGACATCCCGATGAAGGGAGATTTACCTGTGAGAGCGGATCCACTGAAATACGTTAGCAATTGGACATATATTTGCACTGGGGAAAGCACCTCGATGGACATACCTTAGAATAGTAAGGGTACATGACGGTCTCCGAGGTAGGGCGAATGGCGATCTTCTTCTCGAGGGGGGTGTTTCCACTTGAATGTGAAGTTAGAAGACCGTCGCATCATCACTTCATTGGAGAGGGAGATCCATACGCATGAGTGACCCAGGCGACTTCAGCAGCAAAGCCCTCAATGTGATCCTTCTCACGCTTCAACACATCTTTGAATATCGATCGTCAGAACACAATTTTTTGGTCGTTGTGAAGCGCGAGTCTCACCTTCAGTAACAAAAAGCGGGAACGAGCAGCTAAAGCAAAAAAGGTCAGTATATACAATTTTAAGTAAAGTTGATGTAATGAGACCTACTTCTTGACTCCCATTCCTTTAATCCTGGTGTCGAAGAAGTGCTGGATGGTTTCCCAGACATGATAAGAGGCGGGCTAGTTCATGACCGTTAGAATATGCTCGGATAATCAGACAAATTAGTTATAAGATACCTTCAGGATGAAGCAGCCCGAAACATCATAGTAATCCAACATGTCACCTAACAAGTATTAGATCCAGCTTCTTCTGGTTTTGTTTCTCAACACACCCTTGGTAAGAACCTGCTGGTACCTGGCCGAATGTTAATTAAAATTGTATGGCACGAATAGGAGCATTTGTCCCTACCATTCGGGGAAATCCTCTTCCTTGGCGACATCAATTCCAATGAGCGCCGCACCGTCGGTCTTCTTACTCTTGGCGGGCGCTTTCTTCTCCTGCTTCGGCTTTTCCTGCTTCGCCTTGTCCTTTTTGTTCAGCTTGTCGGCAGCCAGTTTGGCAGCCTTTGCGGCCTTCTTCGCAGCATTCTTCGACTCGCCCTCGGCGGGGTTTGCGGCCTGGTTGCGATCGGGCAGGGTTTTGGGTTCGGCAGCGGGGGCTGCGTCAGTCGGGGCTTGGCTAGCCATGTTGAATGAGAACGAGCGCCTGGCTAGGAGAAGAAGAGATGAGCTATGCTCGAGAGCAGAATGTGAGGGCGAAATTCGGGGGGATGACTCTTCGCACAAGTGGGATGTTATCTTTCATTCCCCACACCGCCGGGCAGAACTTTTAGCGCGGTCAATCCACCAAAACCCCCCCCCCCCGTCTCAGCAAGCAGAGCTCTGCCATCGCACTCGAAAGCCCTCGTTTTTTCATTTCATCCGCCATGGCAGGCATCTTCGAGGCTCCGCGGAACGCGGACACTCTCTGTAAGTCCCGTCCCTTATTCTAAACGAAGCAGCGGACTAACTAAGCTCGCACACAGTCTTGGGCGGACAGAAAATCACCGGTGCCGATGTCCGGGAGCAGAATGGTATGTTGAATGGAATTACCTTGCCGTGTCAATTGCTTTTACTGAGTGGTCAATAGTTCTCGCGACCCAGGCTATCTCAAATGTCATCAAGAGCTCTTTCGGTCCCTCGGGTCTGGACAAGATGATGGTGGATGACATAGGGGTATGGAATATGGCAGAATCCCGCAGAGCTTGAGCGGACAGCTTCTAACAACACTCGCTACGATAGGATGTGACCGTGACAAACGATGGCGCCACTATTCTGTCGCTGCTTGATATCGAACACCCGGCGGGTAAGATCCTGGTGGACCTGGCCCAGCAGCAGGATAAGGAGGTATGAACCCTTCACCCAATGGGAGCATCGGGTCCTTCAATATTGACCAACACTAGGTCGGCGATGGCACAACCTCGGTGGTCCTGATTGCTTCGGAACTTCTGCGCAGAGCAAACGAGCTGATGAAGAACCGGATACACCCTACGACTATCATCAACGGATACCGCCTGGCGCTGCGGGAAGCTGTCAAGTACATGAACGAGAACGTGACAACGAAGGTGGATAGCTTGGGCAAGGACAGCCTGGTGAACATTGCAAAGACCTCGATGTCTAGCAAGATCATTGGTTCCGACTCGGATTTCTTTGCCAACCTGTGTGTGGATGCCATGCTTCAGGTGAAGTCAACAAACCAGAGGGGAGAGACCAAGTACCCGGTCAAGGCTGTGAACCTGCTGAAGGCTCACGGTAAGAGCGGTACTGAGTCTGTTCTTGTTCACGGCTACGCTCTGAACTGCACTGTTGCTTCCCAGGCCATGAAGACCCGCATCACCGATGCCAAGATCGCCTGTCTGGACATGAACCTGCAAAAGGAGCGAATGAAGCTTGGTGTGCAGATCACAGTGGATGATCCCGACCAACTGGAGAAGATCCGCGAGCGGGAGGCCGGTATTGTTTTGGAGCGCGTTGAGATGATTTTGAAGTCTGGCGCCAACGTTATCCTGACGACCAAGGGTATCGATGATATGGTTCTGAAGACTTTCGTCGAGAAGGGCGCCATGGCTGTTCGCCGTTGCAAGAAGGAGGATCTCCGCCGCATCGCCAAGGCTTCCGGTGCTACTCTGGTCAGCACTCTGTCCGACTTGAACGGAGACGAGAAGTTCGAGGCCTCAAACCTCGGCCACGCCGAGGAGGTGGTCCAGGAGCGTATCTCAGACGACGAGTGCATTCTGGTTAAGGGTACCAAGGTCCACACCTCTGCCTCTATCATCCTCCGTGGTGCAAACGAGTTCAGCTTGGACGAGATGGAGCGCTCTGTTCATGACTCTCTGTGCGCCATCAAGCGTACCCTTGAGAGCGGTAGCATTGTTCCTGGTGGTGGTGCCGTTGAGACTGCCCTCCACATCTACCTGGAGGAATTTGCCGTCACAGTGGTATGTTCTTTCGTTTGCATCATTCGTACTCTAAAATCCTAACCCTCTTCTAGGGCTCTCGTGAGCAACTTGCCATCGGCGAATTCGCTCAGTCGCTGCTTGTCATTCCCAAGACTCTTGCCGTCAACGCGGCCAAGGACTCATCCGAGCTGGTCGCTCAACTCCGTGTCCGCCACGCCCTGTCACAGCGTGTGCAGGATGGCGATGCCAATGAGGAGGAGAAGGCCATTGCCAAGAAGAAGACCTACCGTAACTACGGTCTGGATCTGATGAAGGGACGTGTTCACGACACTTTGAAGGCTGGTGTTCTTGAGCCCAGCATGAGCAAGATCAAGCAGCTGAAGAGTGCTGTTGAGGCTTGCATTGCTATCATGCGTATTGACACTATGATCAAGCTGGACCCCGAGCAGAAGCAGGATGACGGCCACGGCCATTAAGGGGCTGATGTTTTGACTACAACTACCCCGGGATTTTTTACAAAAAAAGGCAGTAATTCGATGTTACATAGAAATGAGAAGGCAGTGGATATGATGAGCCTCTACTGCGACTGCATATGAACCAAATTTTATATCAAAATATCAAATGGATATCCTATAGTAGTAAAACCCAATGCAATCATGAGTGTATGCATTCACTGCCGCTTGGCGGCCATCAGTCGCCGATATTCCTCCACAATATTCCTTCGCTCACTAGCCAATTCCTCTCTTCGTCGCAAACTACCAACGGCGTTGGGAACGTTGGCAACGTCAACCTTCGCACCACCACGCACCTTGAAAATTTCGCGGGGCTTTTTCAACTGCGGCGGCTCCCGAGCAACATCGAAGGGATTGGCCTGGCTTTCCTTGTCTCGCTTCTTCAGCTTGGCCCAAGGGTCAGGGTCATCGTCGACATCCCCAATGTTACCAGACCTCTTTTTCTTAGGCACCGCTCCTTTCTTCTTAGCTTTGCCACCTCGTCTCTCCAAGTCCCACTGCCTCAGCAGTTCCAATTGCTCTTCCATTTCTTCCTCTCGCTCTTCCCGCTCCTCCTGTTCCTTCTCTCGGATTTTTGCCTCCTCCTCACGCCAACCGGCCTGCAATCGTCGTAGATGCTTTTCGTGCTTGGTCATCTTGTGATCGCGCTCCTTAGATGAACCGGGCTTTGTCGATGACTTGGTCATCGCAGAAAGCGGGAGAGCACGGTCAACACGCGCGGCAAAATCGGACAGCTTCTCGCCAGGCAAGATTTTCGGCAGCGCCTGTTTCGCGTCCTTGCCACTTGACTCATTTTGCTCAGAGAGCGTCTTTGCGGGCTTTGTCGGTCTCTTGTTCAACTCATTCTTGGAATCTGCGTTCTCGCGCTTCCGCTTTTTGTTATTAGATTTCTTCTCGCCTGTCTCGAGTCCCGAGGGCGCCCGGCGACCAGTGGTCTGGTATTGCATCAAGTGTCGGAAGGCTCGCGGGGTGTCATCTTCTTTGGCGCCCTTGCGGCGGCTAGCTGCTGGAGCCGCTGCCTTCTTGCCATCATCTTGCGGTTGTTTCTTGCCGGTGTTGGGCTTGGGCTGCTGCTCACGCACGGGAAGAGGCTTTGCGATCACGGACGGCGGAAGGTCGAATTGGCTGTCCAGAGGATGGGGGTTAGTTCAGCGCGACACCGAGTCATACACTCAAGTTAGAGGGAGAAACGACATACGTATCGTCCCGCTCGCGCCTCTTGTGCTTGTGAGGCATTGTGAGAGCTGGGTTGAAAGTGCTGAAGGGTTGAATTTGGTCGAGCGGACTTTTTTTTGGGGGGCGACCTCGAATTTGACTTATCGGCCAATCGTCTTATCGCAGCACTGGAGAATCACCCTCGGCCACAACAGCACGCCTACTGTACTCGGATACCTTGACTGTCTCGGTTCAATGTACGATGGGTCGCCGGAAATTGTCGACTGCTTCTGCAGCTGAGGAGTTCCCAGCCAGCAAATGTCAGCAACAAAATTATACATCGAAACCGTTTGAAATCGCCTGTGGTTTCGATTGCGGGAAATCAAACTTATAGCCTAGGCAGCCACTATAAAACTGACCAGTTATAAAAGATCCCTCAATGGTCAAGGGATCTACTATTAACCGTCCTTGAATACTCTAGATTGACTATACCGAAGTTTTCAGCGTATCCAAACCCTTTTGGGCTGCTTTATCCATCAAATCTTGAATCTCAATCATTGTCCATTCTTCCAACATGGAGCCGGAACTGTTCATCTACGACCTGAACCGAGAATCCCCTTCCCAATCCGCTCGGGTCGGAGCCCATGGTCTCCTTCAAGAGTATATCGAGACTTTGCAGATTTTTCTGAAGGATTAATTGGTTGTAGTGATGCACTCCAGCTTCTGTTCGAAAGGCGTTCACTTTACCATTAACTCGAGCCCTCGGGAAGAAACAACACTAGGATAAGAGCCCTAGGAATCTCTGTAAGCACTATTCAGCATTACATCAGTGACGATACTCATCCGACTAATGCTTCCTGATTCAGCTTCCTCGATCAAGGCTCTCCTGCATCGGGCGTTTATGTGAACACAAACGTCGAGCTGGGCTGTTGGTCGGATTGCCATGGTGATACGGGCAAGCTAGGAAGACCGAGGAGGATTATCAGCATTTGGCCGGGAGCAGAAACCGTGTGTGTCATATCTGATGTATTGGAACTTCGAAGAATAGAACATATTGCGGTTGAATGCCGAAAAATAATCGGTACAAAAAAGATGGGTATGTTGCGCTAACAGAAACTATGCCTTCCCTAAGCGCCGTAAAATGCTCATTCAAAACCAACGCCCCGAAGAGAACGCCTTCTAGAAGCAGAAAAGAAGAAGATAAAAACTAGTTGAAAAGAAACAAGACCTTGCAGATATCATTCCTCTTCGTCATCGTATGAATCTTTCGTAGCCGCCCAACCGGCCTCGTGGCGCAGACGAGGACCTTCAATGTGACCACGAGACCGGAGTTCACGGGCCTGAGGGCCCTCGCGCCAGCACCGGGCGCTGTAATCATCGCTCACAGTAATCAGTTCACCGTCAACAGTCCAGGATACCGCTGTAACTTCTCTCTTGTGCGCTTGGACAAGCGGGGTACCGGACTGGTAAATTGGGATTGTGTCCTCGAGACGTCCAGACAGGCCAACGCCAGAGTTGGTACGGCGAAGGCCGGACCGAGTCGTAAACAGTGACGTACGAGTAGGCAGGTCATCGTCCAGTGTTTTCACAGGAGACTGCAGGAATCGTTCGTCGGTTGGGAATAAGAGGGCACAATGGTCACTGCTGCCAGTCGCCAGCATCTCTGGGCGGTCACCAGACGCTTTGCGAAGGGCGAGTTTTACGTAGAAGGAGGAAACCTGAAGACGCGGGTGACGGAATCCATACAAAGGACCCAGGCCCTCTTTATCAGATCCTCCAATACGTCGGGGGCGAGTGTTGTTTAGAGAAAGCTCCGGGGCGTGTCCAAGCATTAGATGCGAGGTTGAGTATGCATAGACAGTGCCATCCCGGCAAAGAGTGTACAGCCGTGAACTATCACCGCTGAAAGCCATCGAAGTCAAGCCAAACTTGCGGTATTTAACATGGCTGTCGGGCTCTTTGGTAGAGGACAATGGAAGAACAGGTCGGCCGCGCCGGTTATTGTGTGCCGTTCGCAGATCCCACAGTCGAACACTAGCACTCGCCTCGGATGTGGTCACAAAGAGGTTTTCCTGGCCGATAGGAAGAAAAGCCAGGGAGGTGACAGTAATGTCGTGGCGCCCAAAAGGAGGAGGAGGATCATTTTTGTCCGCAGCTGACTTTTGTGGTGTGGTATATGAATGAGCACCATGAATCGTATTGAGAACCTGGGGATGTGTCGTCTTTGGAGGTGTCGTGATCGAATTATCGGCTTCGGATTCCAGCGAGCATCGAACTTGCAGGGCAGGGCGCTCAAATCCTTTGCAGCGCACGTCCCAGATGTTGACGTTTCCGTCCCGGCTGCAGGTCGCAAGAACTTTGTTATTAGAGCCGGGCTGAAATTGAATTCGCTTCACAGAAGAGACATGGTTCGAGAGGCAATAGACTGGTTGTCGGGTAGACATATCAATGACCAGCGAAGTTTGGTCCCCAGAAGCCGTAGCTAGGAATGTATCGTCGGATGAGAATTCGAGGTCCATAATCGAGTTCATGTGTGCACGCCAGCCGAGATACGCGCTCGAGAAGCCTCGTTCGTCCTCTTTGGAAGAATCCAGCAGTCTGATTCCACCTTCTTCATCGCCAATAGCCACTAAAGAATTGGCTTCTAGATGTTAGTAAATGTATTGTGCAGAATTGGGGTCACAGAGGTACTTACTATTACAAGAAGCGCTGCAAAATGGAAGCGACAGCGACCCCGGGGAGGCTTGACTGACCGATGAGTGGCGGTCTTCAGCCTGCGTGTAGAAATCGGATGTAACGTCTTGCCAGCCTAAAGATTTGTCAGTAACAAATCCTCTGGAAGATTCATAATTAGAGGCAACCGACCAGCTCCAGCTGTTGATCGCACGGTGAGCCGGTTTGCGCGAGAACCGTGTACAGTGCGCATAAAAAATGATCCTGACGTTTGAAGGGACCGGGATTTGCTAATTGGAGAAACTGGTCGGCGTTTTGGCGGGCTCATTGGCACTCTGTCGACAAACCGACCTCGGGTCGTGACATCGATATCTCGGACGCTGGTCCGCTGCTCCACTTCATCGCCCACTGGAGATCGCATACGGACTTTCTTCAATGGCGAAGACTGAATCGGAGAAGCTGCCGAGGAGAACGAGTGCTTCCGTTTTCTAGACGGAGTGCGCATAAGATCCTCGGCCAAGCCATTGTTCGGGTTCCTGGCACTTCCAGGCTTGGAGGATCTAGTGAAGGCGGGTCCGAGGCGGTTGACTGCTGGCGAATTTAGCGTCCGCAGGGCCTGGCGATTTGTTCTGACAGGGCTTCCATTGCTCCCGCTGTTGAGCAAGGATCGTGGGGTAAAGAAGCGTCGGAAGGACCGAGGTGTGACTGTGGGAGGTTTTCGCTGTCGTCGCCCACCGCCGGCTTCAGATGCGACAGAGGGCGGGGAGGATGGGATCTCCTGAGTGGGAGGAAAGATAGGCTCTGATCTGGGTGGCTCAGGAAGACCCGAAACCGTATCCATGGTGTGCACACGACAGAGGGAAGGAGAGAGCCTCCGTGGTGGTGGATTTACATGGAGAAAAGATTTGGCCGAAGGGGGTAAGATGGGATTTGAAGCGGGTCGTGTTGCGCGCAACAGACGTGACGCGGAGCGCGGCGTCGGGCATTTGGCGTTCAGGCACCCAGGCTTCATGCCAGGGCTGCCTGAGGTGCGGAGGAAGCACACCGAGCAGTCTGGGGCCACTATCCTTGCGTAGTATTTGGCAGTCGGGAATGATGTAGTCCAATGCTTCTAGAATACTTTTTTTTACCGATTTTTTTTTCAGTTTACTATTCCTCGAAATTGGGAGAGAAAATTTCCCATACAAACTACCCCGTCGTAGAAGTGGATCGGAATATGATTATAAATTCAAAGTCCAATTCGGCTACGAGTATTGTCTTTCATCAGATTTTCTTATTATTTTAAATGTCAGACATGGGCTTTCAATCGCATTTCTCAACAAGTAAACATTGGGGCTCTAATACTTGGCCGGACTATCGCTGCCCACAGGTAAGGCGGTCGGTCCCACCTGGCCTAGGCGGTGGGCGGTTCTGCCCACATATTAATTTTTTTTCGTTGCGCTACGACGGGATTCTTCAACCGTGAGCGTTTCGGTTTTTCTACAAACAATGGCGCCAGTTAAGCGCAAGGGGAATGCCCCCGAAGAAACGGCTGCTCGCCAGCCACAGAAGCGCGCCAAGGTTGGAACCGAAGAGCGCAAAAATGAGCAGAAGCCCAGAGACACCGCCCCGAAGGCTTCGGAGCTCTCTGTTCTCCGCGACGACGAACCATCATTCCCTCGTGGCGGTGGCAGCGTTCTGACCCCGCTGGAGCGCAAGCAAATCCAAATCCAGGCCCACAAAGATGTTCTGTTCGAGCAAAAGGGTCCCAAGGGTCCCAAGAAGCCGTCTCGCGAATTTGACGACAGCGACGACGAAGACGAAAATGATGTCGATATGGAAGACGCCGACACTGCGGCTCCTGCAAAGAAGTCGCGCAAGAAGAAGACCAAGGGAAAGAAGTCTAACAAGGAGGACAAGGCTGAGAAGGAAGGCGTTCGCATTGAGCCTCTCACCTACAAGGTATGCACGGCCAATTGAATTATACCTGGATTTATGGAATAGCCGACTAATTTGTCTACAGCGTATCGTCCCCGGTTCCATGATTTTGGGTCAAGTTTCGAGCATCAACGCCCACGATATTGCCCTTTCCCTGCCCAACAACCTTGTCGGCTACGTTCCCCTCACCTCAGTGTCGAAGAAACTCGAAGAGCGGATTGAGAAGCTGCTCAACGAAGAAGAGGACGACGACGACGATAGCTCGGACGAAATCTCTTTCGATCTCAAGGACCACTTCTATATCGGTCAATATCTGCGAGCGTATGTCGTTTCCACCGGCACCGATGCCACCGAGACTGGTGGTCGCGGCAAAAAACGCATTGAATTGTCAATCGACCCAAGACAGACCAACTCTGGCCTCTCGAAATCTGACCTAGTTGTGGAAACGGCTGTTCAGGCTTCGGTCGTCAGCGTGGAAGATCACGGTCTTGTGATGGACCTTGGTATTGAGGGCTCGGACCTGAGGGGTTTCATGGGCTCCAAGGAGATTGATACTCACGTCGACTACTCATCAATCAAAGAGGGTACAGTCTTCTTGTGTATTGTCACTGGCCAGAATGCCAGCGGCAATGTCATTAAGCTCTCGGCCAATCTTAAACACTCTATCAAGAAGTCCCACTTCCTTGCTGCCGCTCCTACTATCAACTCTTATCTCCCCGGTGTTGCTGCAGAGATTCTTCTGACTGAAGTTACCACCAACGGCATGATCGGTAAAATCATGGGTATGCTTGATACGACCGTCGATCTGGTCCAATCCGGTGCCACTGATGGAATGCTCGATTTGGAGCGTAAGTTCAAGATTGGTGCCAAGATCAAGGGTCGCATTATTTCAACCTTCCCTTCTGCCGAGCCTTATAAAATTGGTTTCTCCATGTTGGACCATGTTCTCAAGCTTTCCCCGGATGGCCACGGCCCTGGTTCGTCTGAAGATGCTCCTGCCGTCTCTGCCATCGTTCCGGAGACCACTGTTGTGAAGGTCGACCCTGGTATGGGTATTTATGTGCAGATTGGCGAGACCAAGCAAGTTGGATTTGTTCATATCTCGCGACTTTCTGACGGAAAAGTCGAGTCGATCTCGGATGATTCAGGTCCATTCAAGGTTGGATCCACCCACGAAGCTCGTGTCGTCGGTTACAACATGATCGACAACCTCTACCTTCTTTCTTTCGAGCAGAGTGTCATTGAGCAGCCCTTCCTGCGCATCGAAGATGTCTCCGTCGGAGCCATTGTCAAGGGTAAGGTCGAGAAGCTCCTGATCGGTTCCACCGGCATGGATGGTCTTATTGTTAGCCTGGCTGATGGTATCACCGGTTTGGTTCCGTCTATGCACTTTGCCGACGCCAAGTTGCAATTCCCCGAGAAGAAATTCCGCGAGGGGATGAAGGTCTCTGCCCGAATTCTGTCCGTGAACCTCGAGAAGCGTCAGATCCGTTTGACTCTGAAGAAGAGTCTGCTGAACAGTGAGTCCGCTGTCTGGAAGGACTACAAGGATATCGTCGCTGGTGCCCAGTCTCCTGGTACCATTGTGAGTCTGCAGCATCACGGTGCGGTTGTTCAGTTCTACGGTGATGTCCGCGGTTTCCTCCCCGTCTCCGAGATGAGTGAGGCCTATATCAAGGATCCCGCTATGCATTTTAGACTGGGACAGGTCGTTAATGTCCACGCCCTGAGCGTTGATGCTGCCCAGGGCAGACTTGCTGTTTCTTGCAAGGACCCGTCTTCTTTCACCGAGCAATACCGCAAGGCCTTCGACGATATCCACCCAGGCATTCTTGTAACCGGAACCGTCTTCGAAAAGTCCAATGATGACGTCCTTCTCAAGCTTGACGAGTCTGGTCTAGTCGCTCGCCTTGACGTTCAGCACATCATCGACGGAGCCCCTTCGAAGCAGAGTGCCACCCTCTCCAAGATTCGCGTTGGTCAAAAGCTCAACGACCTTCTGGTCCTTGACATCCAGCGCGCACACCGCCTCATTCGAGTTTCTGGCCGTTCCAGCTTGAAGAAGGCCGCCAACAAGAGCATGCCTGCCAAGTTCGAGGATGTGCAGGAGGGTGCCACTGTCACTGGTTTCATCCGCAACATCACCCCTGATGGACTGTTCATTGAGTTCCTGGGTGGTCTTACTGGTCTCCTCCCCAAGCGTCTTATTGAGGAGGCCAATCTCTCTCGTCCCCATTTTGGCATGTCGAAGGGACAGGTCATTTCCGTGACAATCCACTCCGTCGACATGGACTTCCAGCGGTTTATTCTCAGCCAAAAGGCCTCCGAGGCTACTCACGCCGGCCCCAAGCCGACCAAGTCTCCTACACAGACCGATGATGCCCTTTCAAACCCTGTCGACGAGAATGTCAAGACCATGTCTGACTTTACATTCGGACGTGTTGTCAAGTGCAAGGTTGCCTCTATCAAGTCTACTCAGGTCAACGTGCAACTGGCGGACAACATCCAGGGACGCATTGACGTTTCGGAGATTTTCGACAAGTGGGAGGAATTCAAGGACCGCAAGCAACCCCTGCGTTTCTTCAAGGCCAAGCAGGTCCTGTCCGCTCGGATCCTCGGTGTCCACGATGCTCGCAGCCACAAGTTCCTGCCCATCTCTCACCGTAGTGGCAAGTATCCCGTGTTCGAGCTGTCTGTCAAGCCCAGCTTCATGAAGGCTGCCAACCCTGTCCCGTTGAACCTTGAGCAGGTCCAGGTCGGATCTTCCTGGATGGGGTTCGTCAACAACGTCGCTGATGACTGCCTCTGGATCAACTTATCGCCCAATGTGCGCGGCAGACTCAACTTCATGGATGCTTCGGACGACCTGTCTCTCCTGACTGATGTCGAGAAGAACTTCCCTATCGGATCTGCGTTGAAGGTTCAGGTCACTGCGGTCAATGCTGATAAGGGACACCTGGATCTGTCTGCCAAGCAGGGCTTCGACAAGCTCTCGTTCGGAGACGTCTCCGTCGGCATGATTCTCCCTGGTCGCGTGACCAAGGTCACCGAAAAGCAGGTGATCATGCAGCTCGGCGAGGCCCTCGTCGCTGCTGTCAACCTCATTGATATGGCCGATGACTACTCGAAGGCCAACCCCACCATTTACCGCAAGAACGAGATTCTTCGAGCCTACGTTGTTGGCGTCGACAAGGCCAACAAGAAGATTCACCTGTCTCTTCGCCCATCAAAGGTCCTGAGCTCTTCGCTCCCTGTGCAGGACCGCGAGATCAACTCGATCAAGGATGTCAAGCCCAATGAGATCATCCGTGGTTTCGTCAAGCGTGTTGCCGACGCTGGTCTTTTCGTGTCTGTTGGTCACGGTGTTACTGCCTACGTCCGTGTTTCTGATCTCTCCGACTCTTACTTGAAGGAGTGGAAGGACGCATTCCAAACTGACCAGCTGGTCAAGGGCCGTGTCACTCTGGTGGATGCTGCCCAGAACAAGTTGCAGCTCAGCTTGAAGGAGTCTCTCCTCGACCCTAATTACAAGGCTCCAGTGACCCTGCAGGATCTCAAGGTTGGCCAGATCGTGACTGGAAAAGTCCGCAAGGTTGAGGAGTTCGGTGCCTTCATCGTCATCGACAAGTCTTCTAATGTCAGCGGTCTCTGCCACCGTAGCGAGATGGCTGACAAGCGTATCGAGGATGCTCGCACCCTGTACGATGAGGGTGACGCTGTCAAGGCCAAGATCATCAAGATCGACCGTGATTCCAAAAAGATCTCTTTTTCTTTGAAGGCTTCTCACTTCCAGGACGAGGCGGACGAGAGTGAAGACGAGGGCGAATTAGAGATGAGCGAGGATGGCCCTGGTGGAGTCGAGCTGGAGGGCCACAGCGATGATGACGATGTCTCTATGGGGGGTGTCGATGTCGAAGAAGGTAGCGAGGAGGATGAGGAGGACGAGGACGAGGAAGACAGCGATGTCGACGAGTCCACCAAGCCTTCCAAGGAGGGTGGTCTCGGCGCCAGTGGCTTCGACTGGAGCGGCAACGTCCAGGTCGACGATAAGGCGGCTGCCTTGGACAGTGACGACGAGGAGGACTCCAAGAAGAAAAAGAAGAAGAACCGCAAGCCCGAGATCGAGGTTGACCGTACGGGCGAGCTGGATGCCAATGGCCCTCAGACCGTTGCCGACTACGAGCGTCTCCTCATGGGTGAGCCCGACTCTTCTCTTCTTTGGCTGCAATACATGGCCTTCCAGCTGGAGCTTGGTGAGGTCGACAAGGCCCGGACCATTGCTGAGCGTGCTCTTCGCACCATCACCATGGGCCAAGATGCCGAGAAGCTGAACATCTGGGTTGCTCTGCTAAACTTGGAGAACACCTATGGCAACGACGACACCCTCGATGAGGCGTTCCAGCGTGCCTGTCAGTACCAGGACCCTCAGCAGATGTACGAGAAGATGGCCTCCATTTTCATCAGCTCTGGCAAGAACGAGGTATGTTCAACTCGCTCTACATTTCTTGATGCCATCAGTATCGATACTAATTTCTTGACTCCAGAAAGCGGACGATATCTTCCGCACCGCGATGAAGAAGAAGATCTCGAACCAGTCCCCCAGCTTCTTCCTGAACTACGCAACTTTCCTGTTCGACACCCTCGCCAACCCCGAGCGCGGCCGCGGCCTGCTCGCGCGTGCTCTGCAGTCGCTCCCGACCCACACCCACGTCGAGACGACCACCAAGTTCGCTCAGCTGGAGTACCGCTCTGCCAATGGTGATATTGAGCGCGGGCGTACCGTTTTCGAGGGCCTGCTCTCCTCGTTTCCCAAGCGCATTGACCTGTGGAACGTCCTGCTTGATTTGGAAATCAAGAACGGTGACGCGGATCAGGTGCGCCGTCTGTTTGAGCGTGTGCTCGGCCTGTCGCACAAGAAGGGTGCTGTCAGCATCGACTCCAGCAAGAAGCTGAAGCCCAAGCAGGCCAAGTTCCTGTTCAAGAAGTGGCTCGCCTTTGAGGAGAAGCTTGTTGCCGCGGGTGGGGACGAGAAGATGGTGGAGGAGACCAAGGCGCGGGCGGCGGCCTACGTCAAGTCTCTGCAGGAGGAGTAAGATATTTCTTGCTCCATTTTGTCTTCAAAAAAGCAACGGGTCCGTGATGATTGACCCGTGGGTGTTTGGGACCATTGCATTCGTTGTATATAAAGCGCTATCTGACGGATCTGCTGATATTTTTCCTGTTTTTCTACTATTCTACCTGATGCGCCTGACTATTAGAATTTGTACGGTAGACGATCTCGTCGTTCAATTTTACCATCTGATCATATAATGGGTATTCCACTCTCATACTGAGTGGTACCTACTACTAGTAGTAGTGTAGGAGCGTGGAGTGTCCACGGTTGTGCCGCCCGAACGAGCCACGCAATCCAATCAGTGCCCGCCCCTCCGCAACATGGCTGCATCCGCTGGACGCTGATTGCTTGCGACTTGCATCCTCCCTCTTCACGTTTGGCAACGGACACAGAATTGAGACCAAAAGAGCACAGGAGAATCCCCCCAATATAACCCGGATGAGACCTGCAGGGTCGGATCTACTTTCTTTCCTCCCTTCCCGATCGCATCCCCCACGCAGCAATGGGGACTTCCTTCCGGCCGCAGACCTCTCGAGGCCCCGGTGCCTCCTCCGAGTGTTTGCTCGAGGCCCCCTTCGAGGCCTACGCCGACTCGCCCGATATCAGGCCCGAGGATGACCCTCTCATGGACGATGCTGTTCCCCGCGATCGGGTGGGGCCGTCAACATGGCGCAGGCTGACGGCATGGAATCGGTTCACGCGCTCTGCCAACGCCCACGCCCTGCCCCTGCTATCTGAAGAGCCGCACCGCAGAAAGTACTCGCGCTGCTGGGGCTGCTTCTCCCGCGGTCTTCTTATCTTCTTCGTCATGCTGTAAGGTTCCGATGCTGTTGCAGCTCGATTCGGCCCAGGCCAAGGTCGATCCATAGCTCCTCAACGTCTCCCTTGATCTGCGCGATATGGCATGGCTAACGCAATGACTGTCAGTGGAATCATCCAATTTATCTCCCTTACTTTCGGAATTGTCCTCTCTTTCTTCCCGGATGAGTATGACCGTGCCGCGAGCTCATGGAGGAAAGGTGATGAAGACCTCGCTGACGACACCTCGCACTGGCCAACTGATCGGACGCGCGAGATTATTCCTGTGAACTGCCACTCGCACAATGACTACTGGCGCCGGGTTCCACTCTTCTCCGCGTTGCAGGCGGGGTGTATCGGTGTCGAGGCAGATGTCTGGCTGTTCGATGAGGAGCTGTACGTCGGTCATACTACCTCGTCCTTAACTTCGCGCCGGACGCTCCGGTCGTTATATGTCGATCCATTGGTGAAGGTGCTCAACCGACAGAACCCCGTTACACCCTTCCACCGCACTGTCGATAACCCACCGCATGGTGTATTTGATACGGACCCAGAACAGCCTGTGGTTCTGCTGATCGATTTCAAGACGGACGGCGCTGCGACTTGGCCTGCTGTTGTCAAGCACCTTGCGCCGCTGCGGGATCGGGGCTACCTAACCTACTTCAATGGACGCGAGATCATCCCGGGGCCTGTCACGGTCGTCGGAACAGGCAACACGCCCTTCGATCTGGTTACAGCGAACTCCACTTACCGGGATATCTTCTTCGACGCTCCACTAGAAAAACTTGTCGATGACGAGAAAGCGGACCAGGCGTTGTCTGTCCCGAGCGACGAGCGGCTTAACGACCTTGGGCAAGGTCACTCGGGGATGCCAAATATCATCACGCCCACTACCTTCAATGTGACGAACAGCTTCTACGCCTCTGTCTCATTCCGGAAGGCCGTTGGGTACCCGTGGCCGTTTCATTTCACACAGCATCAGATGAATATCATTCGGAACCAGGTCCGAGTTGCCCACCGTCACGGCCTGAAGGTGCGCTACTGGGCGTTGCCGAGTTGGCCCGTCAGTCTGCGTAATCATATTTGGCGGATTCTTGCTCTGGAGGGCGTTGACTTTATAAACGCTGATGATCTGGCTGCTGCCACCAAGGGCGACTGGAAAATTCGTATTTTCGATTGGTGGTTCTAGATTTTATTAGAACTTGGATGATCCTGGTCATGGCATGATATATATACATACCATCTACTCCAGACGTACGTATGGGATTATGACGGGCGTTATGAGACTTGATTTGGCTTTTTCTTGACATCTGAGATACCTTTTTCCTTGGATGTTTTTGCTTTAATAGATTTCATGGCTTGTGCTACGATCCAGAACATTCAAAGTTTTGTGAAAGGTGATAGCGCCATGGCGCAATATAAATATCATGTTTGCAGTCAAAAAAAATTTTTGGCGACTGCCTTGATGCAGTTATGCTATAGTCCCAATTTGTTATGGTTTTGCAGGGCCCTGCTGGAGGGATGCTTCCAAATCACCAATCACATGCAATAGGCTGAAAAAAAACAAATGCAGAATACCAAAAGTAGAGACCCGAAGGCCCAGAAGGTAGACAAGGCCCGAGGACCCAGTGGGTATCATCAATATTCGGTTGTGTTGGTACTTGGAGGAAGGGCGGCAGAGCTGAATGGGTTGAAAGTCCAGGTGGGAGAGGCGGGATAACAAGAGTAAGTAGGTGGCAGTCAGGTTGCCAAAGAGAAAAGGAAGATGAGATGTGAGGAAATTACATGCAGAAGAGAGCCTCTTCGCCGAATTCTCGGACGATGCTGCCTTCCTCGCGGAGAAGACCGCCAAGCCAATGCTTGGCTGTCTCGAAGTCCTTGGCACCGAACTTCACAAGAACAAAGCCGGCGCGCACGCGAGCCGCTGTCCAGGTGACATCGCCCCGGCTAGTGGGGGTTCCCTCGGGTGCGGAAGATGATTCTGATGAAGACCAATTCCGACTACCGATACGCGGCTGTGAGGTGAATTGCTCGATGAGGAAGGTTCCGAGCCTGTCAAACACCGGGCCTGACAGGATCAAGGTTCCCACGACTCCGTGAGGTCTTGTTCGTTCCTGAATCACGTTCAAAGGCAGCAGGCCGGCCTGCGCCTGGGGCGGTACGTCCGCGCCATCCGGGTGGGGATTCAATTCGTGGCTAGTCTCCTCATTGTCCTCATCGTCATCTGAGGCGAGGTCGTCTTGTGTTTCGTCATCCAGAATAACGGAATCTCGGAGGAGCAGTCGGCTCTTCCCAGTCTTTTCATCGGTAGCCCAGACTTCATTACGGCCCTTCCAGAATCGGAAGTTCCAATTCTCGCCACGCGAGGTCCGGCCTTGCGTCACCCAGTCCAGCACACAAAGACTGCTGCGTTGGTCACCCCGGGCGGAAGCATCCACGGTAAATGTTTGAATTTGCGCGTAGCGACTGTTTTGGTAGGGCACGGATGGATCTGGAAGGTAGCAGAGCGCAGACTCGCGGCCGATTCGGACGTCTAATGACTGCTGGCTCATGTCTGAGAGGTGGTCATTCGCGGGCATCTTTTTGCGGTGACCTTTGATCACACTGACACCATTGTCGTTGCCGGGTTCGGTTTTGAAGATCTTGGTGCTCCCCTGGGGCGTGGTCACCACCATCCGTGTCTTCGGCTCAAGCTTGATCGTCACCTCGATGTGGTCTCCGGGGAGTAGACCGCCACCATAGGTGAGAAGGTATAGATGGATAGGCCTTGATGGGCACGAGTCCGATAGCGCAGAAGTGTCCGGGCTGGGGACGAAGCCGGGAGCACGTGGGACGAGCTTCAATGGGTATTTATACGTGAGGGTAGTGAGGGTGGGATTGTTGGGGGGAGGAGAGAGAGGACGACGTTGCCCTGCCCCGGTTTCGCGATGGAAGACTCGAAGGGCGAGCGGATGGGCATTGCTGGTTGTCGCATGGTGGCAGATGTGATGTGCGTGTTTTGGAGAAAGGTCGAAGGGTCGAAAGATAGGGAGAAGTGGGGAGATGGTGAAAGCGGTGGACGGAGCGGAGGAGGGGCGGGCAGCCTTTATTCACGGCGCAGGATGAAGGCGTTGAGGAATAAGCCAAGCGGGCATGAATGTTGTGAATCAGTAAGGCGTGATACCAGGCTGCAGCATGATGTCTTGCAGAAACCCGGGTTTTGTTACCCCGGAATTCTTGGGAGCGTGACTGGTATATAAAATTAGCCCAGGGGCGATGATGGCATCCATTAGTCAATGGGCTCGCGCATCCTGGTTGCGGTGGCACGGCTATCCATGGACTAGATGCGACTATGTGTCAAGCGGGGCGCCCTGACCCCATGTGCGAGCATTGCTGGGCTCCGCGAGACCGAGCGAAGCGGATGAAGTGGATGAAGTGGATTTGGCGGCCGCCGCGGGGGATTCACAATTGCATTTCTATGACAAACCGCAACCCGGCCAAGCCGTCGCGACGGGCTCAACTCGGCCTAGACGCAGGCTTGGTCCTGCAGCACATGACCGTCTTATGTCATCGCGACGGCGATCCAGCGCCGCCAAGGTATTTGGCGTATTCTATCCCGCACTGCCGTGTATTCTGCGTATTCTGCCGAGCAATCTGTATCACTTCGCGATTTTGATTTGGCCATCTGAAGAGGTAGTCTGTTGATCCCCCCAGCATATGCTTAAGGGCCAAGACAGTGCCAACAGTATGTTGCTGCATTATTGTTTCACTAGGCCTAGTGTACGTAGAATTCCTCAAAACACGTCAGTCCCATAGCCACCTAGGTACTGTTCTATATGCTGCGAGAGCTTTCACTAGTGCTATTCTATATAATTTTTTTCGAATCAAAATTTCTTATATTATCAGAGATCGCATACCAAATTCAGGCTACTGTCTATCATTCTGATCTACACTCATAGTAGGCTGCCCTTTATTGAGGACAGGCTCCCCTTTTTTTGGAGGCAGTGCATCCCGCCTCTTGACTAGTCGATGGCGATTGAGGCCAGTCTGCTCGGCTCGGGAGACCAGCATCGCTTCCAAGGGCGTCCTAGATAGAAACAATGGTCGAGCCCCTTAAATGTCTCGCTTCCAAGATTGACCACATATAAGCTTGGTATTCTCACCTGGGTCACCTGCCTCATCACCAACCCAGTCATCTGTGTTATCTCCCATGGCTGTGGCTGTACTTTCCATCTGATGCCAAGGTACTAGGAATTCGGTGAGAGTATCAAGTTTGGAACCAATCAAGCTTTCCGTAAAGTTTTCCACGTTGCCTTAACTGAAGATGACATCCGGAATCCAAGCCCTTCCCGGCTCTGAGAAATGATGAAGGTCAATAATATCGCTCAAGATCATCCCAAACGTTCTTCTCTTTAACTCCAGAGCTACTGCTTACAATCCGTGTGGTAGAGAATGACATGACGGCTTCTTGTGGTCCTCTTCAATCCTTTCGAATTGTGTTTTATTTCTGGGGCGGGATTTATTTTTCTTGAAGAAAAATTGCCTTAGGATGGACTCGATAAGGACTACTTGCTACCCCACATTTACTGTGTCAAGTTAAGAGGTCTAGAAATTATAAACTCGCTGTGAGATCATACAAAGTATCAGTATAATCGACAAAATCAGCCAGTAGAGCATGCAAATCATGATCGAGTATTGCCTTAGTCTAGCAACCTTCACTCTTTCAATGCAGTTTGAGTGCGCATCTATCTACTAAGCTCACAACAATATGTTCCAAGCAGCACCATTACTCGCTTGGACTCAACTACTTCACTCGCAAAATTGTGGTCCTGCCTCCCGAAGCCCATCACTGCCCCGCTGTTCAATTACGACCCAGGTTTTGTATGCCAGGCGGCTCTTTGCCGACGGAGAGGAATTAAGACTATCCAACTATGGCTTGGATATTTGACGCGCGTGGATTGAGTTTGAATGAACCCTAAAGCAGAGCCGTTCAAAGCGAAGATGATATCGATCGTTGCGGCCTGAGATCTACAGCGCCAAGACGGCGAGTTGGTGCCTTAGTGCCTGAGTCGCGTCCACCTCCTGGTACGCTTTCACGCTTCCCAGGGACCCCCGCCCTCCGATCTATCGGCCCTCGCAATTTCTCCCAGAAACTGTTCGGCATTCGACCACCTGGGACTTCAGCTCTAACGACCTGTGTCAACGACGATCGGTCTACGGCTTTCGCCCACGCGTCCATTCGCCGGATCGTGTTTGCTGCCGTCGCACGGCGCGTTTCACGGAGCGCGATTCGACCTGACACCGATCCCCGTGTCTTTGTTCTGCATTCGGGGCTGACAGACGCGAAGCCCCTACTATTCCAGTCGCGAAACTCCCAATCACACAATCTCATTCATCATGGATGTGGACAATCCAAGCAGCCCAGTGGGCACCCCCGGCGAGGACCGACGCAAATCGGGTCGCATGACGCGCCGCCCCGAGGTCTTTTCACAAAGCACACACTCCGCCAACGAAACGAACGCCGGCGGAAAGCGCAAGCGTGGAGACGTACTTGAACCTGGCAACGATGACGATGACGATGACGATGACATGTCCGAGTCCGAGAGCGACGATGCTGGCGACGATGCTGGTGATGATGATGCCGACGAGGAGGAATTGAAGGCCAAACGCCGCGCAGCTCGCAAGGCTGGCCCCAAGAAGCCCGCGACCAAAAAGGGGTCGCGCGCTACAAAGAAGCCAAAGGTTGTGGGAAATGGAGTAGGGAGACAGCTCGCTTTCAGGCCCGCTGTCAATGGCCGACTTCCAGCTTCGCGTTCCCGCAAGCCCAAAATACGACCTAGCCTGGCAGCAGGTGAGCGTGGACTATACGGTGAGTTTCCCAAACTATGTTGCAACTGAGCTTAGTAACTAACACCATGTGAATAGCGGAGGTTTTTGGAAAGAACAACAATACCGACACAGCCGCCGCACAATGGCTAAGTCTCTACCAACGTGACAGCTGGGTGGCCATGCGCGACTTGATCAACTTTATCATCCGTTGTACAGGGGCCGAATTGGAGGTGAATACAGACGAAGTGAAAGATGTGGACCATACTCCCAAGCACATTGCAAATCTCCAAAATGACTACCACGAGCAGGGTATCACCGATTACCCTTTGATCTCCCGTGACAGGAAATACAGGGCGTTCCAACCTGTTCTCGAAGAATTCATCAGTGCCCTGATCCAAACCTTCCATCATTCTTCGGTTTTGTATACCGATGAGGCTCTATTTGAGAATATCCAGATTTGGCTTACTTCGATGTCGACAGCCTCCTGCAGACCTTTTCGGCACACATCGACCATCATTGCTTTAGCAATCATGAGCGCCCTCTGTGACATTGCACAGGAAGTGAGTTCAACCGTTACAACCTCTCGCAAGCAGCTCGAAAATGAGAAGAAAAAGAAGACCGTGAATAAGGGTCGGGTGGAGGCAATCCAGACGGCTGTTATAGAAGGCGAGCAGAAGGTTGAGCAGCTGAATGTCTTTATCCAAGATGGCTTTGATACAGTTTTTGTTCACCGCTATCGCGACGTCGATGGTGCGATCAGAGCTGAATGCATGCTTGCCTTGGGCCGATGGATTCGTACCTATCGAGAAATGTTCCTGGAAGCCCAGTCTTTGCGCTACCTGGGCTGGACTCTTGCTGATACCGTTGCCCAAACTCGACTGGTGGCCTTGACGCAGTTGCTACCACTATACGAGAGCAAAGACAATGTCGGTGCACTCAACTCCTTCACTGAACGTTTCCGTCAGCGTATAGTGGAAATTGCTGCTCAGGACGCGGACATCAATGTGCGTGTGGCCGCGATTGAACTTCTGAGTCACTTGCGGGAAGGAGGCTTTCTCGAACCAAGCGACATCGATGCTATTGGCCGGTTGGTTTTCGACCTTGACCCTCGAATTCGGAAGGCTGCTGGCGGATTTTTTGTAGACAATGTTCAGGACGCTTTCGACTCGATGGTGGAGGAAGTCGGAGACGAGATGAACGAAATGTTTGCCGATGACGACGAAGACGATTTTGAGTCACCAAAGCGCTCGTGGATCAAGTTCAAGTGTCTAGTGGACATCTTTCAGTCCTACGACGGTCAAGTGACCGAAGAAACGAATCCGATAACCACAGCGCGTGACGTTCTTGCCGGAGCGCCCGCCAATTCCCGCTTTGTTTTGGCTACCGAGGCTATTTATCCTCATATGGAAGAACTTGCACAGTGGCAGTCGTTGGCTGGCTTCCTCTTGTATGATCATTCGCAGATTGCTGATAACCCGTCTGAAGATGACATGACAGGTGTTGTTCGCAACCTGTATAAGATGCAAGAAGGCCAAGAGTCAATCCTGCTCGAGATCTTGTGTGCAGCGGTCAAACTGCGGGTACTTGAGGTTGCCAAGTCAGACATCGACAAGCGCGGGCGCAAGATTAAAGCTTTGACTGTTAAGATCCCTGAGCTGCAGGAGGAAATTTCCCACAACCTCGCTCAGATCATTCCTCAACTCTTGAACAAGTTTGGGTCCGCCCCGGAAGCAGCTTCTGCCGTCCTCCGACTCGAACATTTGGTAGACTTGGACACCATTCAAGACCTGCAAAAAGATACCACAGCCTACTCATCTTTGCTCAATGACATCAATAAGCAGTTCCTGACACATTCTGATCATGATGTCTTGGCGGAAGCTAGCGTTGCTTTTTTGCATGCAAAGAGCTCTGACGAGATGCGCGAGGCGCTCGAAGGCAAGGTCCAGGAATTGTGGGATGATATGGTCGAGACTTTGGGCGCATTGTCTCGCAAGAGGGAAGTCCAAGCTGGCATCTCCATTTCCGACCCAACTCTGACCGATCTCACCAATACTATCACTCGCATTTCTAACCTTGCGGGTATCACGGACTGCTCAACTATCCTGGAAACGGTGCCAACTTCCCGATCAAAACATAAAAAGGATCAGGGCGAGGCGCCATTCAACACCCTCATTCATCTTACACGACGTGCTCTTTTGCCGGAGGATGACGATGAGGATATAGCGAGAGCGGAAACCGAATTGGTGACCAACAGCATGCGTACCCTGCTTTTCTATTTCATGTGGAAGGTACAGGGTCTCATGACTGCCTTGAGTGAAGGCACAGCAACCTTCAATACATCCTACTTCGAAGCTCTCACAAAGTGCCGCGAGACCTTTGCCTCGGCACTCCTGGACATCATGAACGGGCTCTCCCGCCTGGATGACTTGCGGTTCGCCGCTACAACAACCTTCCTTGACCTCCAAACTCTTTTTAGCACACTTCGAAATGCCGGCCAGTGCGTTGGCAATGATGAAGACATCATTTTCCAGGCACAAAGCCTCGTGCACGAAATTGCGCCAGATTCCCAAGCCCTCATCGCCAAGATACATGCCATTGCTGAGCGAACCTTTGCCAAGAAGGCTAAGCACGATCTTGAGCCTGCCGAGGATGATGCACCCGCATCCGAAGATGAGCCCGAGGACGATGAAGAAGGCAGCGATGACGAGGATGAAGTCGTCATGACCGAGCGTCTTCGCAGCAGTATCGTTGCTGAGCAGCGCCTGTGTGAGCTAACCGGAAAACTTGTTCTTGCGATCATTGGCCGTGTTCTAGATGCTTCCGGCTCGAAGCGCGGCTCCCTAAAGAAGCGTCTTCTTCGCAACAAGACCGCTCTCGGCCAAAACTACCGCGAGGTTTTGTCATACCTGGAAGAGCGCAAGCCTCGCAGTGCACTACGCAACAAGGGAAAGCAGCCCGCCAAGAACGCACAAGAAGGCCAAGCACCTGCGATAGGGGGCAAGGACTTCAAATCAGCCGAGCGGGTGGAAGATAATGAAGAAGAGGAAGGAGACCACGATGATCCTATCGAGGAGGACGATGAAGATGATTTGCGGGCACGGGAGCTCGTCGAGGACGAAATTGTGGATGATGAAAATGAGGATCTGAATGGTCCTGATCTGGTTGACGATGAGATAATGGGTGACTGATTGTCTTTTCGCGGTATTGCTGCGATTTGATGAGATTTTGATTTGCTTCTCTTTTTCAGCCTTTGATTTTGTTTCTTCGCTTTTTCTATTTCTAGTGTCTAAATTTTCTTCCTTAAGTCCTTGCTCCCCGGGTGGACAAGTTTTCTGACTGTGTATGCTATGGATATCTCACCCCGTCCTACCTGTTCTTTCTTTCAACACTTAATGTTTGTCATCTTGGATGAGTACCTACTAGTAAGATGTGGAAGGTACAGCGCCTTGAACCGTTGTTTCCGGGCCGCGGTATAGAACTATGTCACTAGAGCGCATATTTGTGACTGCGCTCTATGCACCATAATACAATATGAACCACACTGGCATTGCTACAGCTGTGGGTGTTCTACCAGAAAGTGTAGGTATGCTTCTATATTTTTCGACGATACCTTGAGCCTCGAATGAGGGGATAAAAAATATCTTTTGTAATGCGTTTGAATGGCTTGGAAGCTATTTGACACTAAAGGTAGATTTGAACCCACATTCATACCGCACATAAACCCATGGATGTCTGCGTGGTCTACGAGCTAGTGTGAGCACACTGGTGAAACACCAAAATGATTAACAAGCGTGGTGGTGTTACAATGCCTTGTAGTGCAATGCGAACGTGTCATGCCTACACACTAGTTTAGTGTACCTCACAATGGATGGGATGGAATGAGGTATAACCAAAATATCGAGATGTGAAACTGGTATCTTCAGGTAGCCTACAGAACATGGTTACTCCTATATTACTCCAATTGTTGTTGATACTTGGAATCCTTTACTGCATAAGACTTGTCATTTTTTGCTGGCAAATTGCGAAAGAAACTACCAGGCGAAGCGCAACCAGCACTATTGCCAGAGGCGTAACTTGGGCAGGCAATAGGCAAACTCAGTAGTGGGAACGCTACTGCTTAGATAAAGCTTGAGAATTGCCTTGTTCACATTCATAATGCCAGCGAGCCACGGTCACTTCCTTTGAGGTCTAATGCCCTGCCAGAAGCACCATTCGAAAACGAGGGAGACATTAACGTAAAAAGAAAAATTCCGATCCTGCAAAGAAATACGCCTGTGTATGAGGATGCTAAAGGGGAAGGGGGGTTACATGATGGTGAATCTTGCTTATCGTAAATCAAATTGGGCGTGGAGAAAAGGGGGGAAAGGGAATAAAAAAAATCGTGACGAAGCTGAGGGGGCCAAAGGGGGATATTTGGTGGGGATGGAAATGGTTCAAAGTGGTTTGCCACGACATCAAGGAAACGGATGCCTAGGCGCAACGCACTGAAAGAGAACCCGGGAATGAAGTATGTTGGGACATTGAACCGAGGGTAATCCAAAAAAAAAGAAAAAGAAAAAGAAAAAAAAATGACTGCATCTTTGCATGTGGTACCAAGTGCAATTTGTGAAGCGGGTTGACATATGGACCGAGAAGATAGCGGTGAGGTTGAGAATGCGCCCTTTTACATATCCATGGAGTCACCACCGTTGGCGAAGTTGAATCCACCCGGCTGCTGCTGGCCAGCGCCGAGAGCGAATCCAGTCGAAGTCTGCTGGGGCGCGATCTCTTCGATGTCGCCAGCAACCTCATCCTCATCAGAGAAGTACTTCTCGATGATGTTGTAGGCCTTCATGTAGATTTCCTCGTTGGCGTTGTTCTGGCAGTCATGAATCTTCTCCATGCCAGTGGCTTCCTCGATGAACAGAGCGTAGCGGTTGAGGCGTGCCTCGCCTTGACCAGCCTCCTTATCCATCTCACCGACCTTAAGGATGTTCTCAAGGCCATCAAGAGCAACTTGGATGATCTTGTTGTCGGGGCAGGCCAGCAAGTCACAGAGGGGTTTGATGCAACCCTGGGAGACAAGATAACGAATCTGCTCAGGCTTCTGCAGACCACCCGAGGTGGCATTGGAGATGGCCCAGCAGGCCTCCTTGCGGGTCTTGAAGTCACCGTTGGCCAGCAAGTTGATCAATGGAGAAATGATGCCAGCGTCAATAACAGACTGGATCTGGCTGGAGTTGCCCGCGGTAATGTTGGAGATGGTCCAGCATGCCTCCTTACGAATTCCATCCTTAGTGGAACTCAGAAGAGAGAGCAGAGCTGGGAGAGAACCGCAGTTGATAATGACTTGGGTCTGGACATCATCACCAGTGACAATGTTACCCACAGAGCGCAGAGCAGGAGTCTGGACAGAAGTGGAGGCATGCATGAGGAGTTCAACCAGGCGACGGGGGATGCCGGCCTCGATGACAGCCTGAATCTTATCGTTGGCACCATCAGACAGGTAGGAGATGGCCCAGCAAGCATCGATCAGAACCTCATCGTCCAACATGTAGATGAGCTTGGCAAGGACGGGGAGAGCAGGAGCGATCTAGAAGAGTCAGAGAAAGGTTGAGGGTTAGAGGATGTCAGTTTTGAAGGACTCACCGTGTTCCAGTCGGGCTGCGGGGTCTTTCCACGGCAGAAGTTACTTAGGGTCCAGGTAGCGTTGCGGAGCATGCTAAGCTTGCGACCATCGTTGATGAGGTTCAGCAGAGGGCGCAGTGCACCGGCCCCGAGAACAAAGTCACGGCAGTGAGGGCTGTCACCAGCAATGTTACCAAGGGCCCAAACGGCCTGCTCGCGAACATCGGGTTCAGGGGAGCTCAGCAGCTCGACGAAGATCGGCACAGCGCCGGCCTCTATGACGACCTGGGTTTGTTGGGCAGAACCGGAGGCAATGTTGGTCAGAGCCCAAGCAGACTCAAACTGGACCAGGGTGTGAGGGGAACGGAGGAACTCGACGAAGCGGCTGACGACTCCAGTCTCGATAACACGCTCGATAGGAGGGTTGCGCTCCTTGGACAGCAATTTGCGGAACTTAGTGGTGGCCTGAATTTGCTCCTCGACTTGGTCGGAGAAGACACCTTTCACCATCTGGGGAAGCTCGACATTAAGCTATGAAAAGCATTGTGTTAGCTGCTTGTAATTCTCTCACGGCATCTCGCAAAGCATCGCGTGGTGGGGTGGTGGGCGCCATGGCCCGTGTTGGAGGGGTCGGCCCCATGGCAACCGGGCGGTGAAAAAATTCCATGTTGATGATCGCATCAAAAAAAAAACAAAGGAATAGGCGGGCGCCGTAATCAGGAGGGACCTTCAAGGTATCCTTCTGATCACCGTATGTCCGTAAAAGACAAAACCCACCAAGGGTTACAGAACAAATGAAACAGCGACGTGAGAACAGAACAAACGCTCAGAGGAATTCGAAAACTTACCTCGCTCTCGATAGCACTTGCTTCATCATCGCTCTCGGTGGCGGCAGCCATGCCACCGCCGACACCGATTCCTCCATCGCGGGTCTGGATACCACGTCGCTTGGCCAGGTTCTCCTCACGCTTCTGCTTGCGAATCTCGACCTGTTGTTCTTCACGGCGGCGGCGGAGCTCATCGGGGCGGAACTGATTCCTGGCCTTAAACTGGGTCCGGCGGTGCTCGGGGATGTAACGTTCAGCCATGATTGCTCGAGTGTAGAAAAAAGCGCGCCTCAGAAATGTAGGAGAAGAAAGGTGGGTAGAATGGGCGCGCTGAGGATGGAAGGAGGGAGAGGGAGAGATGTGGGGGGAGGAAGCGGAAGAAAGGATTCGTGTGTGCAAGGAGGGGGCGATCATGTGACGCCCGCTCCTGTCAGGCGCGTTCGCGCGGCCCTGCTGGTTCTCCCAGCACGACATCAAAGAAATGGATCTTTCCTGTTGAAATTGCAGCTCTGGAATCCCCAAGGCTCTCTTTTCCTGTCGGACGAAGTCCCATCTCTCGCGACCATGAATGACACCGATTGACTGGCGCCAAGTCCCAGCTGCATCTGTTATTTTGCCGCTTGAGATACGTCAACTTTCTGCTATCCGCGAAGACTCGAGCTTCACGAGGAGCTTCCTTTCCGTTTTCTGGACTCCCAGGGTGCCTGGGGAAAGCATGACAAATGGCTTCGGCTGGACTATTGAGCATTAGCGCCGCGAATGATTCCCGCCGCTGGGTTAACACCATTGGTGTGGTGGTGGATGCTCTTGACCCTTGTCAGACCAGAGGGTCTTCATACTGTGTCACGTTTACCATCAAAGACTGCGAATTTGATGCCCCGAGCTGGCAAGGGGGCTTGAGAGTCAAATACTTCAATGACGATGCTTCTACACTTCCTCCCGTCCAACAAAACGATGTAGTTCTCCTTCGACACATCAAAGTAAGCTGCCCACATCTCTGTTGACGTGGAAGGATTAGGGTCCTTCTTCCCACCAAAATATGCTAATGAAATTGTGTGTTACAGGTCAACGAGTTCAGAGGCAGTGTAATGGCCGTTGCCTCACAGAAGGAAAGGGTGAGCTGGGCCATCTTCCGGCTGCAACACGGCTCTAGCGAGGACATATCGATCACTCGCGGGCCCGGTAATTTTGATGTTAATCCAGAAGAAAAGAAGGCAGCGACCCTGCTTCTGAAGAATCTCCATGGAGAAGGACCATCTGCGGCGCCACAACAACCATCGCCTGCGCTGCCAACTCCAGTTCGAGCCCCATCGCCCAGGCCAGTGGCAAAAACCGCTTGGACTATTCCAGCTTCGGCCACGACCAGAAAGTCTGGGGGCCCTCCGTTCTCTCTCATACAGGATGTCCAGCCTGGACGGCTCAACCAATTACTGGGCCAAGTGGTGAAGATAAATACCTACGACACCGAAAAGACTGTGATCTACCTTACAGATTACACGGCCAATCCATCTCTCAATGACATCAGGAAGGAAGACGACGATCCCGGTGTCGAAGGAGATGCTTATGGGTATTTGGCTAGGAAAAAGCACAATTGGCCGGGTCCATGGGGTCAACTGTCACTGCAAATTGTGCTCTGGGAGCCACACGCCACCTTTGCGCGCCAGTATGTCAAGGATGGCAACCTCATTCTTCTCACTTATGTGCATATCAAGAATTCCCCTAACGGGGGTATAGAAGCTGCTGTGCACAGAGACAAGAGATTTGAAGACAAAATTCATGTCCGTATCGTCTCAGAGCAATATGACGACCAGACACAGCAGCTTATGGATCGTCGCAAAGCATACTGGAAGATCCACGGCGAGCCGAAATCAAATCTCAAGAAAGCAGACAGAAAGGCTGCGGCGAAGCAAAAAAAAAGCCAACAGAAGACCAAAGAAGTCCACATCGAGGAAGGCCAAAAAGTACTACCCGCAGTGACCTCCCGAAAAAAGAATTCCCATAGTAAGCAAAAAACACCATTGAATTCTGCAAAGAACTTATTACTAACCAACTGTACAGTCAAATGCCGTGATTACGGAGTTCCAATTCGATCGGTAGAATCTATCGTATCAGCCGAGACTCACATAAACCATTTTTCTGGGGATATAAAATACACTTTGCCATTTCAAAATGTCTGCTACCAGGTCCTCGTCCGTGTGGTTGATTTCTATCCTCCGAATCTAGAGGATTTCGCCGTGCAGGTTCCCATGGAATCTATCCTCGACCACGAAGAGGAAAGAGACGAGGGAAGAGACCATCAGTACATGTCGTGGGAATGGCGCTTTTGTCTACTTGTGGAAGGAACAGAGCCCGCAGCCTCAAAAGACCAGCCTCGAGAGCTCATGAAGATCTTCGTTACCGGTGGCGAAGGCGACCATCTATTGAACATGGATGCTGTGAAGTGAGTTCCGACTTCTAACAAAAGATTGATGCTCTTGCTAACATGCATTTTTTCAAAGCCTTCGTAACAATCCAGGCCGAGTGCATGAGCTTAAAGAAAAGCTTTTCCTTCTGTGGGGAGATCTTGAAGAGAGCAAGGAGGCCACTGCTACTATTGCGAACGAATATGGGTCTTGGGCACCGGTCAAGTCTTCGTCATTGCCTTTCACTTGCTGTATCAAAGAGTATGGGGTAAGGTGTTCTCACGAGGACTCCGATACTATGGCCATCGACGGCTCGGATAGAGAGATATGTAGTCAGGCTGGATGCTTTGGCTGGGAGAGACGATTTGCTATGTTCGGAACCACCATTCACTCCTGAGTTTCTGAAATTCAGTATGGCTCGGTGCAAACAGCCTCTTCCGTGTCCTTTATGAAAAATATCCATATCACCCCGGTGCTTTACATAAGCTATGCGTCATTGTGCCTTTGGCCAGCCCCATCCCCCTGTGCAACAGAAGAAGCTTGGAAAAACCAGTCATGAGAAGAATCCAAACACTTCATTCCGGCATCGAAACGTTCTTGGCAGATACAGAAGTCGTGACAAACTTTGCCTCCCTAACATGACTTTTTAGAGGGATACGTCGGGTGCAAATGTCGCAATCAGCTATTTTGGCTCGAGTAAGACATTTCGGGATCCTCACGAGGAAACTCGACCTCCTTTTCCTCGGCATATCGAAGAATCTTTTCAACGACCTCACTGCGTCCACTTCTTTTCGCCCACCATAGTGATGTCCGACCCAGCCCATCTTGAGCATCACGGGAGCCTTTGCCAACTGAATCAGGTGGTCAACGACCAGTGTACGTCCATTTCTCACAGCGCGAACAATGTGGTCGACTTGTAGTAATCTTTTGCACCCACATTAATAATCTGTTCAAGAAGAAAACGAGTGACTTCAAAATGTTTGTTAGAAACCTTCATAACTGCCCAAAGGAAGGCGGTTCGGCTCATGATAATCTGGAGTATCAGCGTCCATACCAGATGAGTGGACTAGCGAATCAAGTATATTGGCAAGTCCACCTATCAGGGCGTAATGGAAGACTGACATCGGCACCTCGATCAAGACTAAGGCGCACTATGTCACAAAGTCCATACAGAGCAGCAAGACGTATAGCTGCACGGCTTTCATTATTTTTTATGTTGGGATCAACTCCCCTGCCAAGTAGTCTCGTGACTGCCAGATGAACGCCCTTTGCACGACGCGGTAGCCAATGGCCAGCTGTCATTATCGGATGTATCGATATCTACCCTTAAATTAAGAAGCTACTGTGCAATATCCGGGTTCTTATTCTCGCTTGAGACGTTGGCATCCGCTCTCAAGTCAAGAAGTAATTGCACAGTATTGATGTGGCTATTTCCATCTAACCTGGTCTGGCAAATTAACCTCTACTCCTGCATCAAGGAGGATTTGCACAATACTGGCTTCGCCATCAATTGAGGCCGCCAGGAGTGGTGTCCTTTCTGTGGTATTAGCGTTTGCTCCTGATTCGAGAAGTAATTGCACAGGATTAAAGTGGCCATTTTGCGAGGCTGAGATGGGAGGTTCCTATCTATTTATATCCGACATATTGACATGTGCCTTCGCTTGGACAAGGAGGCGTACGATCTACATGGTCTGGGTATGAGGCTGCTAGAAGTGGAGAGCTTCCATCAATGCCGAAAATCTTGGCGTCGGCACCTTTGGCAATAAGAAGATTTACAATTTCCAAGTAGCCGTTGAAAGATGCGATAAAAATAGGGCTGGACCCGCACTCAGCATTGAGGTTGATCTCAGCCCCGCTCTCGAGCAATAACTCCACGGTTCTGAGGTGGCCTCTTTGACAGGCTGCATGTGTGAATGCCGTCTTGCCGGAATAGCCTCTTTCATCGATTTTCGCCTTGTTTTCATGTGACAGATTATTCACATGATTGACAAGGTCATACCACGCTGTATGCCACAGAGGACTTAGGGGAGTGTTTGCAGGAGAGTTTACCTCTCGTGCCATCATCAATTGAGTCAAACCATTCTTCCATGGGGCCCAGACCGGGCCTTTCTCGTCAAAGAGCACAGCGGCAAACTCCATCAATCCCGAGTCACTTGTAATACTCAGCTCATCAAGCGAAACATGTCGATGCCATGAGTTAGCAGCGTAGTCGCGGAAGTGTCTCAAGATCTGATAGTCCTCGGTATCGGGACTACAGATTGCTGGGCAAATCATGTAACGAAGACAAAGCCCGGCGAGGATCCTGCATTCGATAGCCTCCCGAGTATCTCCAGACGATGAGTCCAGTCTCAAACCATTTCCTTGGGCCGGAAGGTTCTGCAACAAATATTCTCTGACAGAGAATTGAGCTAGATGTACTGCTCTGAGTCCAGGGGCGGACTCCGCTGTGCGGCATCGAACTGCAAGAAGTGACTTGCAATCTTTCAAGATTTCAATATCAATGCATTCGTCGTCAATGATGTCTGGAAGCTTATCAAATTCGATTTCATCGTCAACGCCTTCGCTTATCACCAAGGCACCTGCAATCTCGTTCACTGTCATCAGCCTGAGGGAATATGCAACCCAGCGAAGTAGCAAGAAATCCCGATCTTGATATTCATCAGAGAGACGAGAAATTCCCCGCCAATTGTGCTTATACGCTAGGCAGAATGATATACAGTGTCTCGGGGGCACATTTGGCTCCGCTCCGGGTCACCCGCTTCATCTTGCGAGCGATGCTGCATCGTGACGCGAGATTCACTTTTCAGATTCGGTCCCAGCATCTGGTTATCACAATCTCTTTGGTACTATCTGAAATCATCCTATCATACCTCGGTCTACCCTAAGGTAATAGCATGCTCAGATAGTGCACGGAATTGATCGGCTGTGGATACAATCGTTTGACTAAGAATAAAAGCGTGGATGGAATCTCGTGAAAATCTTCGTCGTTGATACTAATACAATATCCTATCTGAAGATAGAATGGATGCCCCAGAGAAGTCTGCTGAAAGCATCGGCTAAACTACTACCCCATTCCCTGTGGGCAGACAATAATACTCACTACTTAAGGTAAATCATCACATATATCTTATCCCACGCGCCGACCTTGTAAACGCCGAAATACAACCCCCATGCCCGACTCCAGAAATTTCTTCAATCTCGAACACGATCCACAACCCAGGCGAACATCCATACACAATACAATATTGCAGGTAGGACATGGGGTAAAATCTTTTCTGTGTAACAGCGAGTAATAACTTGATTGGTGAGGATGCAATGCCCTTAACCCATACCAAAGCCTGCAGATAAAAAAGTCCATGTATGCCCGGCTGCGCCGAATTTGCAAATTATATGATCCCTCGGAACCCGAGAATCGAGGGGGGAAAAGGTTGGAACAATCAAAACTAGCACCGAGAAATGCCGGCGTTTTTCGAAAAGGGCAGTAGTGTAGCCGCTATTTAGACCTTTGTGACCTTGACGATATTCGTATCGATACCGTGCGCCACTGGATCGAAACGACAGCTGTCACCGCGGAAGCAGGTCTTCTTACCAGGCTCGCTCTGAGGGCAACGGTGGCCGTAGATACACTCGGGGTCATCACACTCCAGCCCAAAACGGCAGGGAGTCATGCGAGCAATAGCCGACAGGATATGAAGCTCTTGCCGTGTCAATTTGCGATCGTGATCATGGTAGCAGTTTTCTTCGTTGGGGCACTCTCCGAGCAGGAAATGATAATTGCACAGCTTCAGCTTCTTCAGGCGATTCAGTTCATCGCGAGGGATGCTCTTGAAGTCCAGGCGGTCCACCCGCTGCCCATACTTATTTCTCTCCACGGCTTTAGGAGGCGAAGTAGACGCAACCGTTCTGGAACGGACGACTTGCTGAAAGTCGGGAGACGCAGTATCGTCGTTGGGTGTGATAGTGGCCAGAGGAGCACCGGCACCCGACACGCTGGTGTTGGTAGAGGTACGCGACAGAGGTGGGGGATTTGAAAATTGTCGCGATGGAGACGGGGTGAGCATTGATCGTGTAGGCAATGTATTCTTCCAAGCCGGGGCCCAGATGGGTGTCAATTTGGATGTCCGGAAAACTTCTGGGAATTTAGCAATCCGGTATGAGGTCTTCACGGTCTCCAGTTCTTTCTCGAATGTAACGCCTTCCACAAGAGAAATGCGACCGGTGAGATCGCCTTCTTTCAGTATGTCCTCGAGGAAGTTGGTGTACTCGCTATTTGACGGACAGCCCAGAAAGATCTGGTGGCAATGGCAGTTGTAAAGGAAGATTTGGAGTGTCTCTGTAAGAAAAGATGACAATCAGCTGGGGTTCTCCAGATATTCAAGGACGGGGGACTCGTTGATGACGCACCTTTCATTTTATCGAGGGCCTTGTTTTGGCCGGACCCAATATCCACAATCTCGGAGAATGACATTGTCTCATTGAAGCCTCGAATGAAGTCGTGAATCGTAGAGGGGTCTGAAACAAGCCCAGCCCGAGTGCACAGCTCACTGAAAGTTCTCACATTCAAGTAGATCTTTGTCAATAGCTTCGGCACTTTAATATTCGGGAGGTTCGTAGTCAAATATTTGTTCAGGCTGGTGTAGAGTTGCTTCGCCGCATTGCAACCGCCCTCTTCGCCCTGCTGGAGGTATTCATCCTTGAAAATAATGCCTTCTCCGTCTAAAAGAAGGACGACGAATGGTTCTCGGTCCTACATAAGCCAGTCACGTATTAGCGCGGGCCCAAAACTCCGTTGTCCACCAGCGCTTACCATAATGGACTTGATTTGGTGTATTTGTTGCATCAACTCCATTTCATGAAGCTGAATATCACGATTGAAACGAGTCTCGCGTTCATGGTCCAGTTTCTCCTGCTGGAAAGAGTTCTCGAGTTCGGTCACACGTTGTAGGAGTTCCTGTCGTATGATCGCATTGCATTAGCTTGGCCATGTGAAACGAAGGGAGGGTATCGCAGGTACCTCGATGAGCTGATTTTTTTGCTGGTCGATCGTGCCTAATTGGCGATATCGCTCGAGAAAGGAGGTAGAATCCATGGTGCTGGAACAGTTATGGGAGGAGGTGGGTGAGAGAGTGGGTTGGGAAGTATGTGAAGGAAGGTTGGATCTTCAGGAAGAAAGGCCCATCCAGGTTTCCAAGTAGGCGCTTGCGCGATCTTCACGGCGGTTACCTGCTGGGTAGTAACAATTCAAGGATGCGCGGAGGTTTTAGCGTGCTTTGGCTTCGGCCGTCCAGGCAATGCAGTGAGTGGGGAGGGTTTAGCTTGTTTTAGCTTTATCTTTTTTTTCCCTCTCTGATAAAAAAATCGAATCTCGAAATGGCGACGAGACGCGATGCTGAGTCAGCAGTTTCCCCAGCCAAGTGGGCCTACCTAAATTGCAACGTGTGATCACCCCTACCCTTCTTGACGTGTACTCTTTCTATCCTCACCTCCCTCTCTCTTCAGGCTCTCAAGATGACTCGCCTCGGATTCCTCTCTCTGGCTCTGCTCTCGCTCCAGGCCTTCGTCGGCACCGGTCTCGCCGCTGTAAGTGTTTTTTATCTCGCCTGATTTGCTTGCGTTCGCGTGACTCTTCGCGACTGAAGAACTCAATTGACTGACCGGGTTTGTTTCTTTTCGTTCAGGATGCCGAGACCGTCGCGGAGACTGAAGTCGCTAACCTGGCCGTTACGGCCGAGGCTTCTTTCCCGGCATCCGAGATTTTCGGCGTGAAGCTTGTCAACGGTCGTCCGACCGAAGCGCTGATCTCCGTTACCAACGACGAGCCAAACCCCGTTGTTATCAACTTCGTTGGAGGAAGCCTCTGGAACCTCGAGGAGGAAAGTAAGGTGGTCCGCAACCTGACTGCCACTCGCTATGGCGTTGAGGTTCCTGCTGGCCAGAAGGAGACCATTCCTTACAGCTTCTCGACCGAGATGCACCCTCAGGATCTCCGTCTGAACATCGCCGCTATCCTGTCTGACAGCGAGGGCAAGTTCTTCACCGTTCAGGCCTTCAATGGCTCCGTGAGCGTGGTTGAGCCCGAGACCAGCATCTTCGACCCCCAAATGTAGGAACGCTCCCCAATTTGCGCCCCATTTCCGTGTTCATGAGCGAGCAACTCACTAAAACTCGACAGTATTTTCCTTTACTTCTTCCTCCTGGCCTGCTTTGGTGGCACAGTCTACTTCTTCTATACCGTCTGGGTCGCCCCATACTTCCCTCAGAAGCGCAAGGCTGGCAAGACCGGCGAGAAGCGTACCCCGGGCAGTGCCAAGCGCTCCGATGCCCCGTCTGTCGAGGAGACCCCTAGCCCTGCCGTTACTTCTGCCACCACCTACAATGCCGACTGGATTCCCTCCCACCACATCAACCGCCCGGAGGCGCGGAAGGTCAAGGGCGGCGGCAAGAAGGCCGCCCGCGCGTAAATTTGCATGCGAACAGATTCTCAGCCGGATGGCGGAGCTATGGGGCTGTGAAAGAGCTAGGGATTTTGTTTGGAGATTTGTCGAGCGTTTCAGATTGGAGCGAGGGTATAGCAACGGTTCTATGCTGAGAATGCGCGCAATCAACAAATACCCCAAGGTAATCATCTGCTATTCTTGACACCCCTTGGCCAAGACATGTATATCTATATCACTACTACGATTAGACCCATTACCATTTCCACCAGAAGGCCATGTTTGGGGCATCTGGGAGACTTGTGGGAGTTCGACCTACAATACAAGCCAGACTAGGCAGTTTGCTGCAGGCGTAATTGATTGTCTTGCGCGAACTAGCCCCTTGGTTCTGTTATAATCTCTTCCATTCTGCAAACTCCAGCGCTAGATGCTTCTTCAGCTCGACGAACTTGTTTGCAAAGTTTTCCCCACAGCGCCAGCAAATGAAGTCATGTCGTAGATATCCCTCCCGCGTGGGATACCGCCGCACATCATCCTTGGCTAAAGGAAAGTCGTCAATGGGCACAAAGAACGGTGTTGCAAAGCTGTTGTAGTGCTTCCGGTGTTTCAAGCAGTCACTGTAACGATCGACTGCAATCACGTGCACATGAAGATGGCTCATTGATGGCACGGCATGGATTCCACACATGATTTCCTTGTCCCAGTCTCGTCCAGGTGGTAGCTCGTCCGGTGGCGGATCGGCACTCAGAGCCTGTTGTCTTGCTCTTTCCTGCGCAGAGTCCTTTCCGTATTTGCGTCGTAGTTCGCCAGCTGCCAAGGAGCGGAGTTTTTGGGCTTCGAACTTCACTTTGGCAAGAAACTCGACGTCTTCAAAGGCTTCGAAGGGATGCAGACGAGTTTTAGTTGGATCGCGAGGGAGAAGCAGCAAATGCAGGGAGGACTTTGGGAACAAGTCGTGGATTGCAACAAACTCCGCATTGTGATAGATCACTATATTGGATGGGTAAGACTCTGGCTTTGCAATGTAGGCACCCAGTCCTTCGCGCCCTCCGAACTGACTGAACTGCGCCGGGCTGCTCTTCAAAGGCGGGGTCTTGGATGTGCTCGCCATCGTGTGCTTGGACAGCTTGCTGCGGGATGAAAGAAGTTCGGTAACTAAGTCAAATAATCACTTGTCAGTTGACATGGTCTCCAAAGGCCCATCTTGGAAGTCGACTCACAAGCGTTTCTCTTCTCCGCTGAGCCGTTCTGCTGCTTGGATGGCCCGGCAACAGAGCTTGCGGAACCTGGCTCTGTCCCGGACATCAGGTCAGATGCGATTTCCAGATCGCTCACATGGGAAGGGCCTTCTGAATTATAAGAAGTGTTGCTCCAAGCGGAATGGAGCAATCAATGGGGCGGTTTTGGACGCGGCGATCTCCAAAACTTGCCGCACTCCCCGCAATCCCGATGTGGTTTAGTGCGGGACGATTTGAAAAGCAATTAGGCTGCGCAGTGTGCAATGCCCAGCGCTCTTCGTCCTGCGTAACAATGGGCCCCAAAAAGAAGGTCGACAACCGCGGAGGTGGCCCTAAGCCTGGGACCAAACAGGCCAAAGCTGCAGCGGAAAAAACCGACAAGAAGCCCGCGCCCGAAGAGCCCAAGAAGCCGACCGTCAAGGAGGTCATTGGCGGCGCATCATGGACAGGCAAGTTGCCGGTGAACATGCTGTCGGAGCATTGTCAAAAGCAGAAATGGGAGAAGCCGGAATATGGGATGGTAAGCTTCATTGCACCCACAGGAATCAAAAATCCCCTGGCCAAGCGCTGAAAAAGGCTTTGCGACACCGATTACAGATTCAATCCCGCGACGGCTTCATGTCCTCTGTGACACTCAAGAAGATCGATCCGAAAACGAAGGAGCTTATGGTGCTTCCTCCCATGAAGATTCCGCCGACTCATAAGCACCTTGCGACGCAATCGTCGGCCTTAGAAGCCCGCCATTTCGCCGCCGCATATGCCCTTTTCCGTGTTTGCAACATGCGCAACTTGCACATGATGCTCCCGCCGACATACAAAAAGCTGTGGAGAGAGGATTTCACCGACATCAAAACTGCGGATACAAAGGAGGGCAAAGGCTGGCTGTACGAAGCCGATCCGTTCCTAGCCAAGCAAGAGCGCGAAAGCGCTGCTGCAGATCTGGAAAAGAAGAAGGCAGAGCGCGCAAAAGCGCAGGCAAAAGGAAAAGTGTCTTCTACGGACCTTGGTCTGGGAGATGGCGATGGAAAAAGCAAGCGCATTTGGTCGCAGGCACCCAAAGTGGATATGGGTACTCGCATCCGGCGTGATATCGAGGGTCTTTTAAGGCAACATACCACTTGGAACCCCCATGGCGTGAAGATACCGCGACAAGAATGTCAATCCATCGTGGGAGAACTTTCGAAGCTTGGATTCCGTCGCAGTCACGTTGAAGAGGCTGTGGCTGAATGTAAGGATCGGGAGGAAGTACTGGAGTGGCTGCTGGTCTATGTCCCGGAAGACGACCTACCGAGATGGAGTTTGCCCGAGGGCTATTCCGCCGGTGTTAGCCTTGCAGCTGGAGATTTGGCTCGTGAGGCAAAGATCAAGAGGCTTTCGTCTGTTGGATATCCGGCCGATCTGTGTTCGCAGATTCTCGATAGTAAGAGCGGGGATGAGCTCGCAGCCGCAGAGTATCTCCAGGGCACATTGGCTCATGGGTCAGCATTTGCATCCGCTGCGGCCCCTGATGGAGATACAGAGGCATGGAAAGAGGAACAGGAGACTCTTGAGGCCATCTTCGGTGAACGTTACTCCCGAATTTCCGACAAAATCTGCGAGATCAAGAGTGAAGCACCCGAAGTTCCTGAAAACACTTCATTCCGCTTTCAGGAACCATCAACACACTATCCAAGTACTCCTCCCGTGATTTTCATTCAATCGAAGGGTGTGCCAGCATACATTCGCCTCAGCGCGATTCGTCGAGCTGTACAGTATGCCGAGGAAAACTTCAGTGGGGAATCTATGATCTTTAACATCATGGACTGGTTGGAGGTCAATCTCCCTAGTATTATGGAGAACCCTGGCAGATTGCGAGAGATCTCTGCAGTTACAGCCTCTTCACCTGCCGAGACCAAAGAAATCCCTGTGCGTTCTAGTCGGAAGCAGCGCAGGGGCATCGACTGGAAGGCCAATTCACCACAAAGCATCACTATCCGCGAAGCTTGGGAAGCCAAGCAGATCAGTGCAGCACAGGTTGAGATGTCTCGGAAGAGACAATCACTTCCTGCTTGGAATACCCAGGAAGATATCATTCACGCCGTCAACTCACACCAGGTCACTATTATCTCCGGTGAGACCGGTAGTGGTAAGAGTACGCAGTCTGTACAGTTTGTCCTGGACGATATGATCAAGCGAGGTCTTGGGGGTGCTGCAAATATCGTCTGTACTCAACCTCGAAGAATTTCTGCTCTGGGTCTCGCTGATCGTGTGAGTGACGAGCGTTGCTCAACTGTTGGTGACGAAGTTGGATACGTGATTCGTGGCGAATCGAAGGCCAAGCAGGGCGCGACTAGGATCACTTTTGTGACTACTGGTGTCTTGCTTCGCAGAATCCAGTCTGGGGGCGATGCGGATGGCAATGTTACAAGCTCTCTTTCAGATGTTTCTCATGTCGTGGTCGATGAGGTTCACGAGCGGAGCTTGGATACCGATTTCCTTTTGGCCCTGCTGCGAGACGTACTCCGATACCGAAAGGATCTGAAGGTTATTCTCATGAGTGCCACGCTTGATGCGGACATCTTCATGGACTATTTTGGCGGGCGCGGCAATGTTGGTTTAGTGAACATCCCTGGTCGAACATTCCCTGTCAATGACTACTACCTTGATGATGTTATTCGTGACACCGGATTCGCCCCCGAGCTAGGTGATGACTACGAGGATGATTCGGACGATCAGTCATTGGGCAAGGCTCTGCGCAGTGTTGGTATGGGCATCAACTATGAATTGATAGCAACTACTGTTCGATACATCGATTCTCAGCTAGGCGATAACCCGGGAGGAATCCTCATCTTCCTCCCTGGTACTATCGAGATTGAAAGGTGTCTCACGGCAGTCAAGAAGATCCCGAATGCCTATCCCCTCCCACTGCATGCATCCTTGTTACCAGCTGAGCAACGTCGAGTCTTCCAAAACCCACCCAAGGGAAAGAGAAAGGTTATCGCTGCAACTAACGTTGCAGAAACCTCCATCACTATCGAAGATGTCGTGGCTGTCATCGACACCGGCCGAGTCAAGGAAACAAGCTATGATCCGAAAGACAACATGGTCCGCCTACAGGAAGTCTGGGCATCCCAGGCGGCATGCAAGCAGCGCCGTGGTCGTGCAGGTCGTGTCCGCGCAGGTACCTGCTATAAACTGTATACCCGCAAAGCCGAATCCAATATGGCTCAACGACCAGACCCCGAGATCCGCCGAGTCCCCTTGGAGCAATTGTGTCTGTCAGTGAAATCCATGAAGGGTATTGAAGATGTCGCAACTTTCCTTGCCAACACAATCACCCCGCCAGAGAGCATTGCCGTTGAAGGTGCTCTCACCTTCCTGCACAGAATCGGAGCCATGGACCATAGCAGTCTCACAGCGCTGGGCCGATACCTTGCCATGATCCCGGCAGACCTCCGCTGCGCAAAGCTGATGATCTACGGATCAATCTTTGGCTGTATGGAGCCCTGTCTGACGATCGCTGCTATTTTGACGGTCAAGAGTCCCTTCGTCTCTCCTCGCGAGAAGCGAGAAGATGCAGATGCTGCAAAGGCAGCCTTTTCTCGACCCGGCGACGGTGACCTTCTCACTGATCTATTTGCATACCAGTCTTGGTCTGACCGAGCTCGTGCTCAGGGGTACTGGCAGACGCAAACATGGTGTGGATCAAACTTCCTTTCTCATCAAACACTCCGCGACATCTCGTCCAACCGCGCTCAATTCGTCACTTCACTTAAAGATGCGGGCATCTTGCCGGTAGACTACACCGACTCTTCAACAACCTGGAACCGCAATGCCTCCAACCGCAACCTCTTACGAGCTCTTGTCGCCGGTGCCTTCCAGCCGCAGGTTGCGCAGATCTCGTTCCCAGATAAGAAGTTCGCCAGCTCGGTCACTGGTACAGTCGAGGTTGATCCCGATGCTCGAACGATCAAATACTTTAACCAGGAGAATGGCCGTGTCTTTATTCACCCAAGCTCAATTCTTTTCTCTGCGCAGGGCTATCCAAGTGCTGCGGCCTATCTGAGCTACTTCACCAAGATGGCGACAAGCAAGGTCTTTATTCGCGATCTGACTCGTAAGTTTCCACCTATCTTCAGTTCATTCGTCAATTCAATCTAACCAACCCTCAGCATTCAACGCCTACTCTCTCCTTCTCTTCTGCGGTTCCATAACCCTTGACACAATGGGCCGTGGACTCGTCGTTGATGGATGGCTTCGCCTTCGCGGTTGGGCCCGTATTGGCGTTTTAGTCTCTCGACTTCGGACAATGCTAGATGAAGCTCTTGCTGCTCGTATTGATAACCCATCACTTGAATTGGATGGAGGTGCTGGCGACAAAGTAATTGAAGCTGTGAAGAGGTTGATCGAGTTCAACGGACTTGATCAGTGATATGGTAGGTTCGGGTCAAGGTTTTCACTTAGACGCCCTTTCAATGGGCTTGACGATCAAAAGCATCGATTTCGATAGACAAGTTCGCTGGTTCAAGAACAAATGCATGACTGAGACAAAAATACCATCCAAAGATGCTCGCGAGCTAGGCATAGACAATGATGAAAAAGCCCTACTACAATACCTTGAGATCTCGAAGAGATTACGAACTTTACAAGGGACAACCCATGTACCGAACCGTCATCATTGACCCCTAAAGCTACTTCCATATGCGATATCTGCCTAGTAATGAGAATCACCTAGCAATAAATGCACGATAGACGCCTGGAGACGATCAATGTACGTGGAACGCACTCGAGAAAGTGATCGAAAGACATAAACATGAAAGAAATAAAAATCATGAGAGGCATTGCCAGTAGTGCAGCACCCGAAGGCAGGGATCGATTGGAAATGCGTCGTCACCAGAAGGGCAGAGGTATGTATCGTCACGAAAAAAAAAATGAAATCAAGAAGAGAAAAATTAGAGACGCCGGGAAAAGCAGACCATGTACGAAACGCCTTCCGACCATTAGACTCCACGCGTCCGGAATATGGCGTTAAGTCATACCGATGTCGTGAGGTTTGAAAAAGGGGGTAGTAGTGGTTGAAAAAAGAGTCGAGCAAAAAGAAAAAACGCCGGTGAAAGATCCAGTTCCACAGTTCACGCCGAAACCCATAATCAAACCCAGACAGCAGACCATGAGATAGGAAATGAGTTAAAGAGCGTGGTGAGCAGTGCGAAATCGAAATAAAAGGCGCTGAAACGGAAATGTTCAGAAGTTCTCGATACCCTCATAGCGGTAAGGGTTCTTCAACGACGTGGGCCGAGCAAGGCAAAATCCGCGAGCGATCTCGGCCTCGACATAAACGGCAGCACGCTTGAAGCGTCGGTCGGAGTACTTCTCGTAGATGGCCTGATGGTGGCGGGGCGAGTCCTCGCAGCATTCCAGCATAGTCGACATGACAGGCAGCAGCTGGTCATACAGGTATCCACTGTAGTAGGCGTGGGCTGGTGTCTAAAGGACGCTATGTTAGCAGAGTATCAACGAAGTCAGAGAAATTGGAAACTTACCCAGCATCCCTTTTGAAGCATCAAGCGTGCCAGGCAGTGAGCACCAGCGGCGGCAAAGCTAGGAGGCGTGCACACAAAGCGCTCGTCCATGATGGTAAGCTCAAGGAAGTACTTAGCAACGGTACGAGTCTCCAGGTCATAATCATCTGCCTTGCTGATACGACGAAGGAAGCTCATTGGACCGGGCCAGCCCAGATCAAAGTTGAGAATCGAAAGCATGAAGCGCTCAGCCTTCAGGATCTCATCAATGGTGTAGCCACCATCAACCATGTACACAATTTCCTGGACAGAAGGCGCAGTGATCTCTTCATACTTGGCGGCGATGAAGATGGCGGTGGCGCCGACCAGCTGCAGCTTGCCGAGAGAAACGATCTTGTGCGAGAGGAACCGGTCGATGTAGTTGACACAGAGAAAGAGGGTTTCCGGGAGGAGGGCAAATCGGTAGTGCACTTGAACCAGCCAGTCCATGAGCACGGAACGCATTGACCACTGAATCTCAGCTTGGTTGGCCATGTAATCGGGAATGGGCAGCATATCGATCTGTCGAGCTTGTGAGTATTGAATTACAAGCTGGAAGGGTTACTGATGTGTTAAGAGCTTCTCACCTCCTTCTGGCGAAGATACAAGAAGATTTCACTGCTATACTCGGCTACCATGCTCGAGTCATAGAAGTCTTCGAGGAGATCCTCCTCAGTCTGGGTGGCATCGACAATTTTCTTGGCCTCAAAGATCTCGCGCCTGGTCGCCGCAGTAGAGCGAGGGAAAATCACAGTGGTGGTACCTCCTGTTGTGTTGTCGATACGCGACAGGAAACGGGGTGCGGCGTGATCGGCTTCCTCGTCTTCCCACTCCTCGGCTTCCGGCTCCGAGGTAACAGCAGCCAGGTCGTTGGAAGAGCGTCCATGATATGGCGCAGACGATTTGGTAGCAGGAAGAGAGGAGACTTTTGTCTCCTCGGTGTCGGAGAGAGTAGCATCGGATGCAGTCGACTTGTGCAATTCGTCCCATTCATTGGCCTCCGCTTCGTCGAGGCCGATGACGGCTGACTCGTCGACGGTGACAGCCACCGTCTCCTCCTTGTTCTCCTCAATGTTCTTCCGTGCATTCTCGGTTTCGAGAGATGGTGCGCTGCGGCTGGCAGGCTGGGGGATTTCCTTGGATGATTCGCGCTCGGTGACAGTTTCGAGTTGGTCGCGGAAAATGGCGTTATTGCGCTTGTTGGCCTTGGAGGGCTGAGCTTTTCCGGCTGGGTTAATTGGTTTCGCAGTGACATTGTTGAGAATATCCTTGATGCCGGAAATGGAGAGCGGACGCTGGGCGGGCTGAGCCAGGGGGGCCTTGTTCTCAGCCAGCTGAGCCTTGGGCTTGCCCAGCAGTGCGGAATCATCGCGCGCGACCCTATTCCTACCCATGTTGTTGGTCACTTCACCAAAGACTCGTCGGGGGCCATTCTTCGCGTTCTGGGCCGCCAGGTTCAGGGCCGGGGTGGATTTGTTGCGCTGGTGGACGGCCTTGTTTGGCTGAACCGAAGGAAGGGCATTCTCGTCCACACGGACGCGCATACGCTGCGGCTAAATCATTGCTGTCAGCTAGGGGAATCATTTGGCGGATTGCTGAACGCGATGTCGCGAAACCGACAAGTCGATGTATAGTCCCATAGGGCACCACACCAGTCCGGACAATCGCCAGCAATGGAACGAGACGCGTGCAAAAAAAGCAAAGGACTCAACAAGAACAATCCACACGTACCTTCGCATCCATGTTGATTGCCGCCTGGATGGTGAGTGGCAGAAGCGTTGGGTGGTGAGAGGTTGAAGATGGGAACGAAGAACGGGAATTGTTTACGTTTTGCTCAGTTGAGCTGGAAGCAGGGTGGGCCCGACCACCTGCAGCAATTGGGACAAAACAAACAGCGCTCGTGCAAGGCTCGGCCTCACGTAAGGGCGGTACGCGATTGTCGGGGACAACGGTCGCTCTGGTTGCCCACGCTCTGAGAACATTTTTGACAAAAAATTTGCAGCAGGAAAACGGCTTTGATGGCGTTGAAGATTCTGAGCTTTTTCCTGAGCCGTCTTGAGCAATTTTTATCGCTAGGCACCCCTGGGCAGGCTGCTATACTCGATTTTGGCATCTCTCGTTCTCTGCCTGAGGCTCGCCCAAGGGGATGATGTGACCATACCAATACCACATTCTCAATACCGAATACCACCCCATCCAGTTTGCATCCTTTGTCTGCTTATGTCAGCAGCATGTCGCACGGCCACATTGGAGCTTATCGGCTTATCTATGACGTTATCGTCTTATCGTCACGTCTCCCTCGGGGGTCCGATTTTGGTCTTTCTTTGCAAAACCTCCCATTCCCGGCATTGCGAAACGACAAAGAATTGACATCGATGTCGCGCAGCGTGGCTCACACTATCCCGACTGTTTCCCCTGAAAACCACCGGCTGGGGCGGTCGCAATCGCCGTGGCGGTCGGCAAGTGGCCCCGGACGCGCTAGCACGCGGGCCCACGTGATCCACACCGCACCGGATCGAGCGGTAAACGTTTGGCAGCTTGGGATTTCACCCGAAGCGCATCCGAACTCGCTCATCATTGCGACAAAGTTGGACATCGTGTGTTCCCGCTCCGAAATGGCGGGGCGCCCTCGCGGCTGCGCTGGATCGGCCTGGACAACCCATTCGCTCCACGTTCCGCGGGGCCCTGGCTGCTGGTCCTTTTTTGGGTGGTTCCAGAGTTCCGACCTTCAGTTCCTAGTGTCCTTGTTGGGGTTAAATAGTAGATCGATGTACTCCGTACGCCCTCTCGTCGCACCCCCGCCCACGGCCTGCTTCCTCATTCGAGGACCCTGCGATGCTCACTTGCAAGGTTCCAGGGAGAATGCTCTGTAACCTCTTAGTCCCCCTCTCTCCCCTCCTCCTTCGCCTCCTCCTACTTTGTCGGCATTCCTTTTTTTTCCCTTCGCTGCCCTTACGTAGGCCCCGAGGAGGGGTAAACTCAGCCGATGCAGATCATGCGAAACACGCCGTGACAGCCATCAGTCATGCGATTTGGCCCTCCTGGTTTTCAGCAGACGTCGGCTCTCCAGCTGCTGGCAGAGATCGGCCTGGCGCGCCAGTCCCCATTCTGCAGCCCTCGTTTGATGTTCCTCCTCGGGCGATTGCACATCTGGATGCTTTTCCTCCCCGCGCCGTCCGTTCTCCGGGTTTTCAGGGCCAAGAGAATGGTCGCGGCGTCGAGTTTTGGTCTTTACCTTGCGAAATGGGCAATGCGACAAGGGTGAGCTGGATCGCATGGGCACGGCCAATGTCGCCGGTGTGCGACAGCCAGTCGCTCGCCCGCAGCAGTCCCGAATAGGGCACGAGTAGGGATCCAGAGATCATCGCCGCGGCTTGCATTGGCCATATATTTTGCAATGTTCCGAATTCAACCTTAGGGTACTATAGTAGGGTACTAGTAGAGTTTATATTGCCCAATATGCTCTAGTATGCTACCATCGGTGCCGCTGAGGTGCCGCTGATGCGGTCTGGATGACTGCCATCCGGCTTTCGTCGAGGGGGCGGCGACCAGGTACCGGCTCTCCGAGCGCCTGCGCTGGCCACCCTCGTCCTGGAAAAAGAGGAGCTGCGCTTTCAATCAGGCCTGTAAACCTAGCTCGAGTCCTGCAGCGAAGCTGTCCCGGGTTAGTTTGCCAGGGCGCTCGGCGCAATGAGCATCCGGCTTGCGACAGCGTGCGCATTGCGAAAGGACTGAACTTGGGACCAGCCCAGAAGATGGGATTTTTCAGAAAAGATAAAAAGCGCAGTCGAGTAGTTACTAACATTCAATTTGCCGTGCTCGCCCTCGTAGATCCCGTGGAACGGAGGGGCATGCTGCGACGGGCGCCGGAAGCGCAAATCGCCATGTCACCGACCCAGGCAGGCCGTTTTCTCGCTTTAGGTGAAACCATCGTACGCACCCACCTCAACTCTACCACCACTTCCTCCGCTCCATCCCCTTCGCCCAGCGTCGCTCCCTCCTCCGTGCTTGGGTATCATCCTCATTCCTTCTGCTCGTCTGGCCTGGCATCGCTCCTGGCCTCTCGCTGGGGCCATCGCTGACCTAGCCGCAGTGCTTCGTAGACAGAGCGAGAGAACGAGCGAGACCGCCAACAATCCCCTCGCCCACCATCGTCACCACCCATCGATCATCCTATCGCCCGGTCTTCGACTGCCTGAACCCCTGCGACTCGGAAGGAATTCATTTCGGTTGCCTCTAGGTTCGTCTACACTACTCCCCATCCTCTTCCGAGTCTGCTCTCGTCGTGCCCCCCGAGGCCTACTCCCAAGGTTGGGCCGGACTCGGTCAACAACCTCCATCTACTCATCCTTTCCACTTCAAATCCATCCTCGTTCCGATTTCCGGTCTCTTGGGCTTGCATTGTGCTGACGCTGGTGGTGGGTTCTCGTCTAGGTTACCGACTCCTCTTCCGGCTCGTTCTCGGCTCTCTTGCGACAGCAGATTCCCCTCCATCCCCGTCGAAAAGCCCTTCGTCAACACTTTCGCCCATCCACAACCCGGGAGTGGTCCATCCACTGTCCACTTTCTCGTACTCCTTGTCATAGTGGTAGGTTCGACGGAATTCCTCTCCTGCACCAGCCTTTCCTGCGTCACCCGGTCATAGTCCCTCGTCCTCCCGTCTAGCCGCCGTCTATTACACACAAGCAGTGGGTTGATGCAGTTAGCGCTATAGCAGCAGGGAACTCGTGATCATTCTGGACTTGCCCATCATGCAAGCAGTCCACCATGATGCGCTCTCTGCCTTTGCAGAGCAACCGGTTCTTGTCGATGGCTCGTCCCGGGACCTGTCGCTTAAGGGTCCTGTCCCCAAGAACGTCGCTTTCGAGCTGCTGCTGGACGAAAACTCCAAGGTTCGAGCCCGTATCCCGATGCGCGTTCAAATATACCCTCATGATACGACGGATTCTATCGTAACCACTGTCAAAAATTTCTATGGCATCTACGACGGCACCGCCAGTGGGGTGAGCTTCGAGGATGAACATGGGACGACCCTCATCGCAAGGTATGAGAACCTCAAGAACAACATGACTGTGTATGTGCGAGTCATTCCCATTCAATCGTATGGGGAATTTTACGGCGGCTACTCCGTCGAACGCAAGCGACCCAGTCTAGGCGAGCCTTTCCAGATGCCCGATGGTGCGGCGCCAGCATTGGAGCCGCCATCGCGCCCATCGTCGCGGCTCGCTAGGAATCGCAGTATGTCTCCATCGAGTCGCAGCCTTCGCAGCGCTTCTCAGCACAAGTCCGGCTCTCGCAATGGCATCAAAAGTCGAGGCTCGAGCCATGCCGGCTTCCCTGACGACGAAGCTGGCCTTAGCGACAGCGACAGCTACTCGCGCAAGTCTCGCGGCGATGCTTTTGCCAGCTCTGAAATAAGTATGGAGAACATACTACAAGATGGTCGTCGCAAACGTCCGAAGTTTGACAGTTCTGTAAGTGCGATGCAAGAACCTTACGCGCTGAAGTTTTTCAAAGCTTTTTTCCCACTCTTGATGGATGCTAACTATTCCTTTCTCTTAGGAACTCCCACTTTTTGTTCCTCCCCAAGTGCCTCTTACTACCTCCACCTCCTCGATCTCTCCTCAACGTCGCTCGGTCGGCCAAGAAGGTGCCGGCTCACCTTTCGCTCGTCCTACCCACCGCCCATTCAACTACCAACAAGCGCTCCCGTCGCCACAAAGCTATGGACACAGTGAATATGGAGTACGGTCAGCACGCGCTCCGGTCTATTCCACTCCTGTGGTTCTGGACCATGCGCAACGCATTCCCTACAGCAACTCTGCTCCTCGGGCGAGCGGTCCTGGCATCCTGCCCACGCCGGACCCAACGATCGCCAGTTGCATTTCTGACGAGGACGTTGCTATGCAGCTGATCCGTCTCGGCGATGCGTCGAACTTCTCTCATGGGCGCACATCGGCGTCCACATTGGACGATGCCTTCAGTGGTGCTGCCGATGCAGCTTCTTCAACTGGTGCAACCAGCGATGGCGAGGACTTCAGCGAAGATGAAGATGATCTGCCGGCCCGCCGCAGGCTCGAGTCAAGCCCAATGCTCCCGCCTGGTGCTATCAAATGTCATCACAAGCGCCTGGATGATATTCTACCCAGCGCCGACAGTAGCGACCACAGCTCTGATGGAGCCGAGGACGGCATCAAGAGTGAAGCCGAGGATGATGTCTTGTACAAGGAGTTTGCGCCCAAGGCCAAGAAGCCCAAGGGTCGTCCCATGCCTGCCAAACCTCGCAGCCAGAAGCCAATTTCCAAGCCCAACAAGGCCAAGACCTCTGCGCCCCCGGCACGAAAGCCCTCCGACAAGTCGGCTGCGCCCGTCCCCCCGCTCAGCCCCAGCTCTGCTCGCAAGGTATCGGGTGGCTCGGTCAACTTCCAGCACCAGCTTGGTGCTGACGAAGAGGATTTGTCTACCAAGCCTCGCTGCCAACGTTGCCGAAAAAGCAAGAAGGGCTGCGATCGCCAGCGTCCCTGTGGTCGTTGCAAGGATGCCGGCATCGGTATCGAAGGTTGCATCAGTGAGGATGAAGGCAATGGTCGCAAAGGTCGCTATGGGCGCCACATGGGTGTTCCTGTGAAGAAGTCTCTTGATGAACTCTCGGACGATGGTCACCACCACGAATTTTCGCCGATGCCAGATACCCCTCTGACAGATGCGGCCATTGCCGACAAGAACAAGAAGCGAAAGCGCTAGTCTAGCATCACGATACGTTCCTCTGGGAACCCGCGTTTTTTCCCAAAAAGGGAAAATTGAGTGTGTTTTAACCCCTCGTCCTACAATTCAATCCTCTCCCTCTTTCAACCATTTTTTACTCGGCCTGCATACACCTGTGAACGGCACCACCTCACCATCACAACCATCTCTCCCTCTCTAACCCTCCTTTGAAACACTCTCTGGGGCCGAGTATTTGACATTCCTTAAACCACGTATCCCTTCACACACTCCTTCCGAGCTTCGTGCTTATGCCCATGCTCCCGAATTCGATTATACAAAGTCCAGCGGGTTGATCTGTTGTCGTGTGTTTCTTGGCGTCTTCGAGTTTACGGATCTTCTCTTTCTTTTTCTTCTGTTATATTCATTTCACTCTTTCAGACTCAATGCTGCTAGTCCCCTGAACTTCATGCTACTATCGGGAGTATTTTCTTCTGTGGTTGTGGGATATCGGATGTCGGGTACCAGAAGATATATACTTCCGGTGCTGGCAGATTGATGTGGGGGCTTGCAAGGGCTGTAAAAGATGCAATGGGCTTTTGTGTTTCTTATGAGTAGTTTGGGAATGAACTGAGCTTTTTTCATTTAATTTTCTTATTGTCCTATACGCTTCACCTGCGATGGTGTGCCCTTCAGTGACAATCACGTGATCTTGAAAGGGCGGTAAGACTGCCAGTTTCGTACATTAGTACGTTCAATTAAACTTGAATGGGACCAACTTCCTCTTCGGAGCACAGTAATTGCTTTGGAACTCTGGCCTATGTTGCCGAAGAGACTGTTATTCAGTGTAGATTACTACTATGGCGAAAGCTATTGGTCATGGGACCGGTTTATACTGGTATTTTGTCTAAACCACACTAGTGTGGCGTGGACAGTTTTTGCCCGCTTTTGAAGATCCTGAGAAGATTCGAGTTTTACCAATGATAGATCAGATCAAAGGCACACGTACGCGAAAGCGAGGGAGGTATAGTGTAGCGAGATACTGCCGACCTTTATTGCCCTAAGATGCCGGGAAGGGCGCGGAGAGGAGGTGGCTGGAATTGACTTGTCTCATTGGTCCAACAAATCACTGCATGTGCAGCCGCCAAAACTGCTCCGAAACCCGAGCTCGCAGAGTACATGAGTAGTTAGTAGCTTCGGTTTGTCCTTGGAATATCAGTGTATGGAAATAGCAGCGATGTAGAAATAAAATGATATCAATTATCTATATGGGTCAATATCAGCATAAGAGGATTGCGCCATAACATACTGGTCAAGCTTAGTCGCTTCCCATCATGATCGCAATCCACGTACACGCCGATATATTGATATGTTCACCGGGGTCAATCTCCTTTCTCTACAAGTTCACGAAAAACCTGTCGCATATCGCGCATCATTAATTCTTCACTCCCTAGGTCATCTCTTCAGATATCCGCTACTTGGCCTTTTCAAACCGTTAACACTGCTCATTTTCGGACGATTGTCACGTGCTAACGAAAGCGGTGTAAGGCCCCGCAACTTTTTTGAGACGATTGAAGAGCTCAACTTTTTGCCCGCATTCACTTAAAACTCGTCATTATAGCTTACGCCTTTCATTATACACCTGTCGACTTCCCCAGAGTCATAAAAGCGACAGAAGCGACCTTACACTCTATGCGCTAGACTCTTTCTCCACTACCACCTTGCCCTAAGTAGCGGGGCGCCGACGGCGTCTTGCGCAAAACCCGACATCATGCCTCCCAAGTCCAGCGTCCGGCGAGCACCCGCTCGACGAACCGAGCAAGCTGAAGGCAGCGCCTCGGTCTCTACACCCCAGAATGCACCCGCAGAAGGTTCGCGCGCGACCCCGGGGCAGAGCGCGACCCCCGGTCCGGCCGGTCGACAGCCTGTGCAACGACTACAATCTCTGAAGAAGCGCGAATCATCCGGAAGCATTGCCCCCACGGGACGCCCCGCCTCCAACATTCCCGGCGAGCCTACGAAACCGGTCCTCAAATATCAGCCAAAAAAGGGCGTCCAGCGTCGCAGCAAAGAGGAGCGAGATGCTATCTCGAAGCTCGAGCAGGAACGGAATAATGAGCGATTGCGGGAGGCTGCTGCCATCCAGCGTGGTCGTGGTGGTGGACGTGGCCGTGGTGCTTTCCGTGGCCGCGGCGGACCTACCGGTGGCAGTTTCGGAGGTCCTTTGGGTGGTGCCCGGAGAGGTCGTGGCGGTGGCAGCACATTTGGTCCGCGGTCATTCGATCGATCTCAAACCCGCTCCGTATTTAGCGCTGGCGGTAGCCGGCCTCCTATGGACTACGACTCGGACGATGATGAGGATAGTGGGATTCGGATCAGCATTGACCAAATCGGTCTTTCTGACTCGGATGAAGATCTGCCTGATGACGGCAAGGGCAAGGGCAAGCTTCCTGCCCGTCAAGACCCGGACCTCAAGGGATTGAAGCCCGTTCGTGTGCATCGCATCGAACATGAGGACCGTGTGGTCTCTGTGAATATGGAATCCAGTACAGCTAGGACGGATGAATTGCGCAAGAAGGCCGAGCAGGAAGCCAAGATTGCACAGGGACAAGAGATCACTCCGGAGCAACAGGATGAGCCTCGTGTCAAGGACGAGCCTGTGGATGACGATGATACCCCAATGGCAGATGTGGCACCGGTGGAGGACGATGGTCTCCTGCCCAAGCAAAGGATGCGCGTGCGCCGGAAGACCTCAGATCCTCAATCGTCCCCCACGAAACCCAAAGCGAAGGCGCCGGAGCCACAGAAGGTCAAGCGCGACCCACGAGAGCTCCTTCGCACCAAGGAGGAGATTGATGAATATGATCGCCATATGGAGGACCTGGCTCATGTGCGAGAGCTTTTCCGCGAAGAGGAGGAAGATACGAGTCCGGAGACCCAATCGGCTGAGCGACAGACCGTCGAGTCTACCACCGAGGGCGAAGCCGACGGTTCTTCTACGGAGAAAGAGGGTGGGGAGAGACAAGGCGACAATGATCAAATGGAGACGGACGAGCAGAATGAGTCCAAGGAGGACAAGACAGCCAAGAACCTTCTGGGCCAGCTGTTCTTGATGCAATTCCCCCCGATGACGCCCAACCTTTCTATTCCTGGCTCCGAGCCGAACAATTCTGCGCCTACCGACTCTACACCTGCGGCCGCCACCAACCAAAATGAGAATGGGAGCGAGGTGAAGCCCGAAGGCGGGGATATCGAAGTCACGGATGTCGACGCGATGCCTCCCACCGAGACCCCGAAGGTCATCACAGCCACGACAGACTGGTCCTTGCCTGCGGGCAAAGTGGGCAAGCTGAACGTTCACAAGTCCGGTCGCATTACGATGGACTGGGGTGGCATCAGCTTCGAGCTTGACCGGGCTGCGATGGTGGATTTTGTGCAAGAGGCGCTAATCGTGTCTTCTTCCAACGATGATCCCGACGTGAAGCCCGAGGAAGCAGCGGATGAGGACAACCGGGTGTGGTCGATGGGCCAACTCTGTGGCAAGTTTACAGTGATGCCGAATTGGGACGACATGCTGTGATTGCCTTTCCGAGGTAAGCCCTGGGATTGTACTGCCTTGGGGTATAAGGTCTGTGGGTGCTATCGAACGTATGATTTTATTTGGGATGATGCATAAAAAGGTGTTTTCATGATGTATAAAGATGAAGACAATACAATTACACTACCCTCTGTTGGGGTATGCATACTTAGGTCCTTTCTGCCGTAAGGGTACAACACGAGCGGCAAGTACATGCGACTCGTAGGTCGTAGAACGAGTGGTTTCTATTTTCACCCGAAACCAGGACGCCAGCATGCCTTACGGAGTCGAACAAGGCAGCTCGGCGCTGCAGGTAGCAGGTGATGTAAGGCCGAGGCCATAGCTGCACATACTTGGCGATGCCTGCTGCGCCTGGGTGCTTCTATGTATAGCGAACCTATGGCCGGGCGCCGCCAAGACCTCCCGCTGGGCGTGGGGGTTGGAGCTTGATTAACCCTAGTCCATCTGTAAATTGTGTCCCATGTCGCAGCTACCTCCAGCTCATCGCGACCAGCCGCTGGCCAGCAGTCATTACTGCTCAGGGGGCCCCTGAGCAGCGGAGAACCAGCCGTTCGCAGGTCCTTGCATGGCGGCTTGCCGTCGGGATGTCTGTGTCGACCCACTGCTGGTGCTGGGTCCAGGACAATCGATGGTGGGTCCAGGCGTTGCAGGCAGGATCAGGCGAGGGTCATATACCCAAGGGGATTGTCGATTAGTATTCTGTGGTAGCACAGCAAGTTAAGAGAAAGAGCCATTAGAAAATATCTTATTCTATATTCCCTACTGATATATTAATACACTAGATACAAACTACTACTACCTAGAGCACTGGGAGAAAGCGAGTGGCGTCTGCAACAAGCCAAGCGGCCAGGAGCATCTGACCAATCAGCACACCGGGAATAGAGTGCCCCCCACCTGTCCCTGACTGCGACTGCGCGCTGCTCGGCTTCCCCTGGCAGTTCCACGGACGAGTCCCGGTCCCTGCTTTTTCTTTTCTTCTCTCCTGCTTTGCTTTTAAGTTGCTGTGCCCTGCTCGCAGAGTCTGCTTGCTCGTCTCCACCTCTCCAGCTTCTGCTATTCCGCTGTGTGTGACTGCTGCGACTGGGACTGCGACGGCGTCCGTGTGAGGCTCTTTTTCCCGACTTTTTCGGCCCCTATCCCACCCTCGACACGGCCCCGGTCACCCAACTCGACTTTCGACTTGATCGGTGTCTGCCCATATAGACGTGACCCCGACGCGCCCGCTTGCTCTGCCAACGGCGCGTGGAGTCCTATAGAAACCAGTCGTCCCGACTGTTGCATCACTCCACCTCCGTTGCCTCGCCAACTCGCATCTCGCAACCTGATCCCCACGGCCGGCCTCCTTGGCGTTGCTTGTTTCTCAAAACCCCTCCAAGGCCCTCGCCCGGCCATCGCGAGCCACTCTCACATACACACATACACATATCGCTGCCAGCTTCTCGTGTTACTATGAGGCCCGCCTACTTCCTCGTCGCGCTCGCGCCTGCCGCCCTGGCCGAGCCGCAGCCGCGCGCCAACAACCTCGCCTCCGACCTCGCGCACCGCTCGGCCGTCGCATCAATACCGGAATACGTTGTGGGGGAACATCTCGTGCCCATCGCTGACTCGTTCGACTCGACAATCACCCGCCGTGCCGCGAGACATGTCCTCCAGGCGCGTAGTGAGGGTTCTCTCGGCCAAACACCGTGGATCGGGATGGCCATTGGCCTCACTTGCACTGCTTTCGCCGCAGTCATGCTGGGCTAGATGGACCATCCTGATCTACAATTCCGCGACGGACCAAGGCTACTTCTACCTTCAACCTTACCTTATCTTCCTTCTTCAATTTCCGATTCTACCGACCGACACGTGAATACGCGCCCCCCGACAGCAAACAACCTTATCTCAATGTTTAATCTGGTCGACTCGACTCGATCATTCTTCTCACCTTTCCCTCTTCACCTTTACCATTTCATCTCTCACATTCCTCTGCTCTCGACTTTGGCGATTCTTCAGCGACTTTTGAGCTATCCTGCATCCATAACCCGGTGACCCCGGGCATGGGCATTCAATTTTTTTTTTTATTTTTTTTTTCTTTCTTTTCGAGCACATTGCATTCCCGCGGCGGCGTGGAGTATAGAGCTGCATGTTGTACATGATACCTGGAGCCCTGTGTGTATACCTGGGACGATTTCTTGCGTGTGTATATAGATCCATCACACAAAACCATTATTACTTTACCATCTCCGAACGCGACGTGCCAAGTATTCCATCCCACGTATTATTTTAAATAGGCCCGGAGAGAGCAATGTGGCGTCCAACCGTCTACCACCGGGCAGACTATTTAACTAGAGCACGCCTCGTCAGCCACCGCCGACCTTGCTCTTTGTTGCAGCCGGACCAGGCCGCGACTCGTCTTTGTTCGAGGCCAATCTCTACCTAGTTCCACGGTATCCCCAACACGACTAACCTAATTAATTGCATACCCTAGGGTAGCTCCCTATTTCCACGAAAGATCCCATAATTCACACCCCAGAATCAACCCCAAATCTATAGAGTACATCAGACCAAATGCCAAGCAGAATCCAGCCCCGGCCCAAATCACAACTGCATCCGACCAGGCACCGCCCCCCAACCCCGTTAACCTTGTAACGCCCGGCTCTCCACTTCTCCACAATCAGATTACGTCTGACATATACGACCCCGTTTTTCCGACGAGGCGAGCAGACGTCTCTCTATCCTCTTCTGTCTTCGCCCTGCTCGGGATTCAAGTCGAAGTATTCACCCCACACCGCGGCTGACCACAACCATGACCAAGTACCCGCCCTACACGCCCATGTCCTCGCTTGGTCGTGAGTTGGGCATTATGTTCGCATTTATCGCGGCTTGTTTGGTGACGATGGGGATTTATACATTTGTCTGGCGAAGTACGTAAAGCGCCCCGAAGTCAAAGGGAGGGAAGCATGGCTTTACTCTGGCCATGTCCTCTATACATCTTCACCTACACCTTGCTTGATATTGCAAATCTAACAAAATCAACCCGATATTATTAGTCGTCCAACAGAAAAACACCGCCCAAGACCTCGACCGCCGCAAAGCTTTCCACAGCCGCACCGCACCAGCAGCCGATACGCGGCTCCTCGGCAGCCCGACGACCGGCGGTGGAGGTCGTAATGAGCGGATTGCGGAGAAGATGCTGGATCGGTATGCGATCCCAGAGGATCGAGCTGAACTGCCTGTCCATGGGCAGATGGGCGAGAGGAGCTCTGGTTCTGGGTCTGGATGGAATGGGAGCGGGAATGGGGAGGGGTTTGGGTTTGGGTTTGGGGGTGCTTCTGCTTCGGGGGTGCAGAGGAGGGATCTTTTGTGAGGTATGCTAGGATGGAATGTTCTGCTGTGAGGTCGGAGTTAGCGGATCAGTATATTTTGGTTTTTATTTGATATCCTGAGGTACCTACCAATAGGTAGGGTACGGCATAATGGCACCTGGAGATATTAGATGGACTTTCGTCCCATATCCAGGATTCGTCACGTTTCAAGGCATATCATCTTATCTCCTCCCATCTGATAACCTCCTTCCATCCGATGAATTACCGCTCCTATAACTGAGGTAGAAAGACTGGCAGTATTGGATAATCAGTGAGCTGGACCGTTCAATACCATCATTATTATGATAGCGTGTATTGTCATTAGAGCATCCTACATCCATTCACCTATATGTAGATTAATATTTATACATCCATCCAAGCGATGTTATCAGCAACAAGCAACTCGGCTCGGCTGTTCACCCACAAACAGCTTCATCAAACCCCCGCGTCCAAGCCAACGACCCCATAATCACAACCAAGAATCCAAGAGCAACCGCCACACTCGTCACGCCATATACATACGCATGCCTCCTCTTCGACAACCCATTCAACTCAGCCACCCACGTACTAACCGTCGTGGCACTCCCACAGAACCCATCCATAACACCCTGCAACACCTGGCACCCACTCAAAGCAGCCGGCACCACAGCACCGAGTCCACTCACATGCTGCAGGTCATAGCAGACACCCTCGATGATCGTCCCGAATATATTCACTGTAAACGTGCCGAGCGGGAAGCTCGAGATCCGACTGTTCAGATACAGGGATACGTAGAATCGAAACAGACAGCCCAACGGCGCAAAGACGCATGCCAACACCGCACGTCCGCGCCATGTATCTGGTCCATCATGTCGGTCGGGTGGCCAGATAGCCAGAAAAACAGCGCCGAGCCAGCAGCCCCAGCCTAGTACGACGATGGCGGGATCCACGATGCGGCGCGTCGGGGCGAAGGGGACAGTGGGCGTAAACCGCGCGAGGGCCAGGGCAAGGTGTGCGCCGAAGATCAACGCGGACAAACTCAGAGACACAGTGAGGATAATAACCGCCACCAAGGCCATGAAACTGTACCCGCCATTCCGGGAGACGATACTATCACCCGCAGGCAAGGAAGGGTCCGGAAGGGAATTGGACAGAGCGAGAAAGACGTCTCTAATAAAGGAGGAAAATGAGGTAAAGCAGCCGCAGAATCCAGTCGCGAGTCCCACGTACAGCGGAATGGTCTTCTTGACGGCTTTGTGTTTCTTTGCGAGCTCGTGCGCTTCGTCTGTTGTCTTCGGCTGGATCGGCGTTTGGCCCCATTCTTCGCAGAAGAGCTTGCGGTCCTCAGCTAGAAACCCCATTACGAGGCTTCCGCCGACGTTCGCCCATAGCACGCCTGTCACGACGGGTGCGCCAGTGTAGAAGGTCAAGGCTTGCAGGCCCACTCGTGCGAGGGTGCCCCAGATCGCGAAGAAGATGAGGTAGGAGACGGTGTAGAAGTGCGTAACGTGTGGGGAGAGGATTGGTTCTGCGGTGCGCGCGGGCTCAGTTTGGACTGCGCCTTCGGCTTCGATTTCGGGTTGGGCTTCTGTCTGCGCTGGTGTTTCTCCTGTTGCGGATGCGCGCCATAGTTGGCGTTGGGATGAAACGGGCTCGACGGGTTGAGGGCAGCTTGTTTCGGTTAAGGGCGGGTCTGCGCTTTTCTCGTCCAGCATGGCGGGTGTCTCCGAGCCGGCGGAGGGCATCCTGCGCCGAAGCTGGGGACTTCACGGTGGTCAGGAGGTTTGCGGGCGGAATGTCGAGCAGCGAAGTGGATAAGTGGGTTTGCGGTGGAGCTGATCAGAGCTCGCCCGATAGCATTCCAATCAGCTCGGCTTGTGGATAGCATCGTTCTAGCCAGAGATTCTGAGCAGCTGCAATTATTCTTACTGCATGACTGTAAAATACTGCTAATAGCAATAGGACCAGGGTTCAGCATGGCCGTAGTGGAGGCAGAACACCTCAATGTGCTATCGGTAGTATGTAGAAGGTGGTCGCAAGGTGGAGCAGACTGATAGATTTTACTATCTCTGTGATGTAGCACTATACTCCGTACCTCTGGTCAAATGGGACTAATGACTGCCCCGTCTATGCTAGTAGGAGTAGGTAGCAGTTTGACCTGCAGAGAGGGGGGATGCGATAACACGCAGGCGTTCACCGCAGATAAGAACCCCTCTCGTCCCAGGACGACTGCAACTATACCACCTTCTCCCTCCGCTTTTGCCAATCTAATTCCATTCCCATCTTCCACCATGACGCTCCCTCCGACAGTCCATATCTCCTCGCATCCCTGCCTACAGGCGAAGCTGTCCCAGCTGCGCTCGCAGAGTACTACCCCGCGCGAGACCCGCGCGCTGGTCCAGGAGATCACCTCCATCCTGGGCGTGGAGGCCTTTGCGAGCGGCCTAGCGCTCAAGAAGACAGGAACGGTAAGTTCTCAGAAAACATCAAAGAATCTCCTCCGCTGCAGCTCTGAACACTCTTGTAGGACCGCACTCCGCTCGGAATCGAGTACGAAACGCAGGGCATCGACCCCGCGGACCTGGCTCTGGTCCCGATTCTCCGCTCGGGATTGGGGATGGTAGATTGTCTGCATCCTCCCAGCGAGACCATCCATGAGCCCATCTGACATGTCCTCAACAGCTCTAAACGACCTTCTCCCCACCCCCGTCCCCATCTACCACCTCGGCCTCTTCCGTGAAAAGGCCACCCTCACCCCCGTGGAATACTACAACAACCTCCCCTTCCACAGGGAACAGCTCTCCCCCGCCTCCCCCGCTTCCCTAGATATGAAGACCAATACCGCCGCCGCCACGCTCGCCGTCCTGCTGGACCCGATCATCGCGACGGGTGGTACTGCCGAGGCTGCGATTCACCTGCTTCGCGAGTGGGGTGTGCAGAAGGTGATCATGTTGAGTGTCCTGGGTTCTGAGAGTGGTGTCAAGAGAGCGGTGGACGCGTGGGATCAGGTGGAGGTGTGGGTTGGTGCGGTTGATCGGGAGTGCAATGATAGTGGAATGATTGTGCCGGGCGTGGGTGATATTGGGGATCGATTGTTTGTTGCCATAGGGAAATAGATCGAAGACTATACCAGTGGATATAAGCATACAACCTGAGTCTTTACCTCCAAAGGTCTCGGGAATGGACTATGTCGGGCGTTCTGCTGAGACTGCATTTCAATACTACAAGATTTGTTCTATTATCCTACTTCCAAAGTACGAGGTACTCGACTACAATACATGCCTACAACTGAGTCATGTTGGATATGTCCCCGCCAAATGTATTCATAGATTACGTATAGTACATGGAAATAGGCATCAAAACATGTGCAGTGAAATCAAAATGCGAAACAAATGCTGAGCAGACAGAAGCAACGCGGGCGGGGAGAGCAGACAGCATGCAATTAAACATCAAATACAGCGACCGAGAAGTCATCCCCGGCCACAAGAATCAGAATCAAAACCAGAAAATCAACGCGATTAACACGATTCAAAAGCAAAAAAGGTGGCAAAAGGTATCAAGAGATCAATAGCAGATGGACGAGGGGGCACAAATTAGGGGCTAATGATGAAACGAGAAAACTCCATCGAGTGCGAGAGGAACACACAGGACCAGCCGGGTGTCGAACGAGAAACGCAAAAAGCAAAACACCTCACCGGACTCCCTGGTGCGAAAAAGCAGGGGTTAAAAAAAAAAAAGGAATATGCAACCCAAAAAAGCAGAAAAGTCAGGAATCGCCCAGAGGCATCTTGACGGAACCAAAACACCCCGCCTTTCCACCTGGCATATTCATTCCTGATTTCCCATGTGTCCCAATGAAAGCGTCCAAAAAATGAGAGTAAGAAAGGCCGAAAATGACAGGTATAAAAAGATGCGTAAAAACAATCAAATCAAACAAAACTCAAGGAGAGTGGTGAAAGATGATTTAGTACGCGGTGCCGACGCTGGCGAGCGACTTGGGAGGCACTACGTGGATCGGTTGGTCTTTGGCGACTCGCAGAGAGTCTTCGTAGCCGACCAAGGCCTGGGAGTGGAGCTTAAACGACTCGCCCATCAACTTGGTGATTCTGTTGAAGTTGTTAGTTAGATATAATCAAGACATTGGAAGGAATAGAACTTACCCCCAGACAACCACGCCGTCAAGGATGTTACCCCAAACACGGGCCACGGTGGAGCTGAGTTTGCCAAATGCATCGATGGCATCGTCGTCGAACAGGTTCCGAACCTTGTTATAGAGGGCCAATTCCGCCTCAGTCGCCGGCTCGTCGTCATGTTCCAGGCGGTAGAGCCAGAGACTCAGGATGACCATCAGGTCCAGACCGCAGAGCGGGTGCTCGACACTCCAGTTGGTGGCAGAAGTCTTCGCAACCCAGTTGATTCCTTGGATGGCAGCGATCTCAATGCACTCGAAGCATTGCTGTACAACCTTGTTCATCTCCTGTGAGCGCTTGACCTTCTCGCGGGCAACGGTCATAGCGGCGGCCACCTCGTACGAGGAGTGGTAACGCATGGCCTCCTGGATGGACTTCAGGTCAACTTCCAGGCGAGCACGAGTGTTACGGTAGACAGCCATCGAGTTGAAGATCAAGGGGTGGCCCTTCTGAGGGGTGCTAAGGGGAACAACGATGGTCTCGGCCTCGCAGACCTCGAGCGAGCTTTCCCAAGTCTCCAGAGCGAGACGCAACTTGTACTCGGTGACCACATCCTGCAGGGCTTCGAAGCTGCGCTTGTGGTTCCAAACCTGCAAGAACAGGGCGTTGATGAGAACACGAGTGGCAAAAGCGCTGTAGCGAGTCTGTTCGCCCTGGAACAGGAAATCGTGGGCCTCGCGAACGGTGAGGGTACCATTCGCCACACCGCGACGCCAGGAGTCCTCGTCAGCAGGATCAAGGTTCCAGAGTGACTCTGAGGACGGCAGTTCCAGGTTGTCGAACTCGTCGAAGCTCATGGCAGGAGTGTGGTTGAAGGTGAGAGTAAGCATGCCGAAGAAGATGTAGACCGCGAAGTAGGTGCGGCGGCAAGACTCATCCTCAATCCACTCCTCACGGGAGGGCTGGATACCCTGGCGGGCCTCGGTGCGGACCTTGAGCTGGTACCGGTTGCCGGCGACCATGTTGGCCAGCAGACTCTTGATGGAGCAAGTCCACTCAAGGCCCTTGGGGTCACCACTCCAGCTCTCGAAGACCATATTGAGCAGGGTGCCCTGCATCAGCCACAGCGGGCACTTGCGGGAGTCGAAGTTCTCCTTGTGCTGCAGGAACTGGTTGACGAGGACCTTGGAGCCAACGTGCAGCATGAAAGCATGCTCGCGCTCGAAAGTGTACAGAGCGCCAATGGATAAGACGGACAATAAGAGGGGAGCCGAGACGGTGGCTGGGTTAAAGGACTGCTGGTGAAGGAACGGCAGGTGAGGATGGTACAGATTGAAGTACGTGGACAAATACCGGTTCAGCGCAACAGTAGTTGGCAGCTGGAAAGTCTCGGGCAAGGCACCCAGCGTATCAGCGCTTTGCACACGCTCGACCACCAGTCTGCGCTCCATCTCGTCAGCGATTTGGGGGGCCTTGGGGAGAGTCAATGCCTGGCTGGGTCCGGGAGAGCGACGGTAGTTGACGGGGCTAACGGGGCCGGTCATGGAGGGATACGGGGACAGGGCATTCGGGGTCGAGTTTCCGGACATGGGCAGGGAGTTGGACAGGAGCACGTCTCCGACGGGGCCATGGCGATCGACGAGGGTCGGCATCGAGCCAGTATCCGCGGGGGAGGCGAGAGTATCCCAGGGCATTTGCGGCAAGGTCGCGTTCCCAGAGAGATAGGGCTCGAAGGAACCGCGTCCGGGGGAAAGGGATTCGGAACGTTCGGAGACCTGACCGGTCGCCGCTGCTGCAGCCTTATGTTGGAAATCTGTCATCAACATGGCTGCAGTTTCAAGGTCGACCATACCGTCACTGCTTGCCTCAATCTGCTCTAGTGTCGCCGGATCAATGGTGATCGAAGGCTTAGACGGACCAGAGCTAGATGAGGAAGACTTCTGGACACCTCCACCACGTCTGCGTCCCTCTGCAACCAGGGGAATTCCGCCATCTTTGGCGTGTACAGTCCGATCATGGCGAAGGAGAAGGTCGCGACGAACAAAGGTACTCCGGCACTTCAAACACTTGAAGGGTCTCTCTTTTGTGTCTATATAATGGGTTAGAGTGGGGGGTTGCTGGGGATGAGGGGAATGGCAAAGCCGCCGCTTCTAACTTACGAGAACGTTCATGTCTGCTGCGGTGCTCGCTTCGGCTGAAGGCGCGATTGCAAAATTGGCACTTGTATTTCTTCTCTGGGGCGGAGGTCTTCTTGGCCGGCGAGTTGCTGGCCGTCCCGGGAGCCGAGGGAGCCATGTGTGTGAATTTGTGCCGAATCGTCTCAAGCGAAATGCGGAAAATACGGCGGTGGTATCGTCCCCTGGGTGAGCTCGCACCGGTTCTGTAGGCGTGTCGACGACAGGAGTTCGTTGGGATGTCTGATCATTCCTTGGTGGGGGATTTCGAGGAAGCAGGTTCGCGAAAGTGGGATTTGTCCAGCCACAGGCGGACGATGGGGAAAAGAATCAAAAAAGGAACGCTCGAAAAGAAAAGCGGGAGCGTTGGAACACCGCGATAGAGGGAGGGGGGGAAGAGATGGGAAGGTGGGGAGGGAGAGGGGAAGAGAAGAGGGGGAAATGTGGATGAGGAGAAAAGAGGAATTTAGGAACAGTTCGGGGGGAGGGGGGGGCACAGGAGGGGATCACGGCCAGTACAGAAGGGAGGGGGAAAGGCCGTGGGCCCAAGCATCGCTTACTACGCGTGAGGCGCGCCGCAGTGGACAGAGGGGCGAAAAGCGGGACTGGAGGGGGAGCAGCGGGCGCGAGGACCAGGCAAAACGCCGGCCAAACCCCCCGAGCACACCCCAGCCCCCTCGTTTGGTCGTGAGTTGCTGGCGGTGCCCGCTACGGCCACGCACTTCCCCTTCCTCCCACATGCGGCTTGACTAACATGATGTGCCCCCTTTTCAAGACACACGACACGTCGTAATAATTTTATTATTACATCTGTTCCCGATCGCAAGGCCCACATGGCTCAAAACTGGCTCCTTCGAACCCATCATTTCGGTTCAGCCGAACGTTTGGTGCTCTAGAAAACCTGATCGACGAGATGATGGTGACCAAATGCTCCCAGAGGCTACAACAGTCTACAGTATGTACAAGGAGAACCGGACCAGTCGACACTAGAGTGAACACATCATAAGCGATCCAACACTGATCGCGAAAACCCGTTTGATAGTTCCAAGGAAAAAAATGACCTGGAAAAAAGAAATGGAAAAAATGGAAAAAGAACCAAAAAAGCAATATCAAAGTGGGCACTGCGAGGGCTAGTGGGCCAGACGGTGATGCAGGCCCCTCGCGGAGCGAGGGGCGGCCCTTTGTTTATCGCAGGAGAAAATATGTGGCTGGCATGTGAGGCGATTTAGTGTGTGATCGTAGCCAAAGTACCGCCTATACCTCTCAGAGGAAGAGTGTACCTCGAGTCTCCGCACTGCGCGATGCCATCATGTCATGCCACGCTGCGATGCCGTACACCTCGCCCATACTTTATCTGGTCATCTGGGATTTGATCTCTGTTGATAACCTCTATCGGATGATGCTGTAGAACCCCGCCATCCACGTACCGTGGTTCGCCCCTCCGTCAAACCCCTCCATGACTGCGATCGACACACAATGCCAGATTGGCTTGATCGGGGTACCGTCACACAGTTCCGAGTGAGGCAATCGGGTGGGTTGGGAATGAGACACGGATCAGTTTCCCAGCGGCACCTGCACGCGCATTGGATTATGTACGGGAGGGGGGCACCATGACCCTAGGGTAAGGTACCCTACCGGACTATGCTGTCGGTACTACGGGCAGGCATACGGGCATATTCTGATAGCCCTCATCATTGCGTTCTCCGTCTACCCCGCTGACACTATAGAGGACGATCTCTGAGTTGGGAATTCTACGAGTCGGCGCTAGAATTCACTTTAGGCCCCTACCTAAACTTAGGGCTTGGGATGGTCTCGGGTCTCGATCGACTCCGCCGTGAATCCTTGGACACGATTCCCCGGCGCCGTCGCAGTAGTTGCAGCTGACGGTGGTCGATCAATCCACCCATCGACTCCCGAACACGATGACAGAGCAGATTGGATATTAACGGACCAAATCAGTGATCACTGAGCTGTCTGATGAGGAACGCCACACCAGCTGTCGCCGTCTCAGCCTTTCCCTGACGGATGGCGCTCCTGAATGGCAGGCCGGCTTCATCTCGGACGGCCCCGCTATGTGGCGGTTCGAACTGTGCCACGCTCGGCGTGTCCATCACAGGCAGCGCCAAAAAAGGGATGTGCGACCGGGACAGTCGTCTGTGTTACGTAGTGTTGCGCCAACAGCCCTCGAGACATCAGCTGCCGGACTGCAGGGCGATCTGCACCCGCAAAGCGAATCGGGCGAGTGGGTGTGATGCCCTCATCATCTGATTCAGGCTGCGACTGCTGCTTTAGGGCACGACGCCAGGTGGGAAGCAAATCATCCGGGTCCTGTCGAGTGCATCTGCTCCTCTGCTCAGATAGTGCTCAAAGGCAAGTCGAAGTGCGTCGGCAGTGTGGATAGGGTCCCGTTTTCTGTCTCCAAGGAAAAGCTCGGGGCCCACTCGTTTGGTCGTGAGTTGTCACGTACACCGCAGAAACGGCCACGGCCCTGCTGTGGATCCTCCAGCGAACGCGACTGTCACGATCATTCGCGAATTCCCGGATCCCCTCCGTGGGGCTAGCATTGAAGATCGCGAAGACGCGGAGGGCCGACGCGGTTACTTGGGAAACGCGTCTGGCGAGTGGCGCGCACGGCACAAATCGAGCGCCCCGGGCGAGACATCAATTTTACGAACGTTACTAATAATCCATGCCCCCTGCCTGTCGAATTCTTGTCCCATCAGATAGACAATGTGAGATATCTTCGGCTTTTACTCCCGCGGGCTTTGCAAAGAACTCACCCTCGCAGACGATCCGATGAACTAGTAGTTAGCTTGAGATGTATACTCCCGTTGCGCGCCCTTGTTTGCCCTCGAGTTCTTGGAGTCCCTTCCCTCAGTTTCCGGACGATCATCAACGCCGCAACCGCGTCCGATTTGCTCATCCAGCCAAGCGGTCTGTCGGGGAACTTGCGCTTTTCAGGGCCAGCAAGGCAAACCAGAGCTGGAAGCAGCAGCACGATCCACTTCCCGATGCAGCGGACCGACCCAGTCCAACGTTCTCGACCCAAGCAGGAACCAGGACATGACGACGCGGTGCATGATTCAGCGGTGACTTGACCGCCTCTAGTCCTGCGTACCCCTAGAGTGCCCTAACGGAGCTGATGGTACCTTTGTGCCCTCTCCAGGGCTCGTTACTACTCGAACAGGTATGGCCCCGGGAAAGGGGAGGGGGGAGGGTCTTTTTGCTGCCTTGCCGTGATGTGCGGACCTGCCACGCTAGCTGGTACCCTCTTGCGATCCACCCCATTCCCAATCCCTTCGTCAGTGGAGAGGGGCTCCAATCCAAGTCTCATTCCATTCCATTGACGAGGACCCGAATTGATCCTCGCACCCAAGAAAAAAAAGGTTCCAGGCGGCCCAATAATGGATCTACGAAAGGGATCGAAATCGGGCGGGTTGCGAATCAGACCTGTGTCGCTGTCTCCACTGCACGCCCAGTGCCGTTGCAGGAATTCAGGAACTTCTTCCCCGGCGCCGGCCCCTGATCTAATGGCCGATGGCCACCGGCACCTGGCCCCAAGCCTGGGGCCCTATCGTCCGGACAACTCCTTAGCTTCGCGCGGGAGGAAACACCGTGGGATCCGCCGACGACGCCAGGACGGTCTGGAAGTTCTATCGGTTGTGGGCGGTCTCGTCGAGATGTCGGTGAGTCTGTCGCCAGTATCGTCTTGGACTTCATTGCTTCACCGCTTCAATATCGTCGTCCCGCCAGGATTTGATACCGTAGTTCCCGTTGCAATGCACACACACGCCCCCACTGGATGACCGCATCTTGGTCAGGGTTGGTGTGATCGCACATTTTCAACATGGACCACCACAGGCTCCATTGTGCGCGCTATCTCAATACAGTTTCGCTAAAGACTGGGGAGGGGCCCTTCGAGACTTCCCAGCTCCCTGGTCGAGCAACACCTCCGATGGAGGGCGGGCTCCACTGGCAAAAGTGACCGGGTGGATTTGATTATTACAACTCCTCCATACCCTAACTAGGGTATACTTCATACTCTATTGATATGCCGTCCTTACGCCTGCCTACTTGGGTACCACGGGAGGGTCTTGAGTTTCGTCACTTCGTATCTCTTCCGTTCTGAGACAGGTTCGTTATTCGTCCGCATTGGTCAGACGGAGGTTCTCGCGACCGCGCGGTGGACAGAGAAAAATGGAGCTTGCGTATACCGACCTCCGTCGGTCCTCTAGACTCGCGACGCAAAGGGCAATTAAATCGATATGAGACAAATTGAAGTCACGGTGATGAGGATAGTCGGTGGGAACCATCGAACTTAATGCGGTCGACCCTGCAATCGATCATCCACGATCCGATCGTGGGAAGGGCATCCGGGGAAGTCCCGGTCCATGGTTCACTCCCGCTGCATCCAGCCCTTGCGAGATCTTGGTTCTCACGTTCAATCCTTTAAAAAGGCCTGCATATGCAGCGCATCTGCGGTCCGTGGCATTACCCTCGCCCTGTCTGGATCCCTTGTCGCGGATTCATTCCCCCGATGCAGGGGATCAGTCAGTCCTGTGACTGTAGTTTCTCCGTAACTAAATTATGTACGATGTACGCTGAGTAAGTATATGCGATGTACCTTGGTGGCCCATTTGCAAATAACCATCGGTCCGTCTCTTTCCGGTATGTATATTCATCTGAAAAAATGGATATCACCTGCGCCCCGCGCAGGAGTGCTTTCGCCGAATTTTCTCGAAAAGGTGGACCTGCGCAAATGGGAGGGGTGTGGAGGGGAGTTACATTAGGGGGGAACAGAAACGGAGAAGCTGGGAAGCTTTCGTCCTCAAGGTTTAACGTCAGACGTCCGTCGTCTTGAGCAACGAGACTAATTGCGCGCCCGGTGTGAAAGTGTCATTGGGGAGGCGGGCGGATTGGAATTGGGGAGTGGGTTGCCGAGGGGGCAGCAGTCGTCAGTCCTCCAGGCCCCTGCCCTCTGTTCTCGCTAAGATGCCTCGGTCGTGGGCAAGCTCGTTGACCTCAGTCGCTATGAAACTGAACGAAAAGGAAAAAGGGGGCGGAGGGATGATCACGATCATCGGGGTCCCGACGCTCTGGATATAGGGGCCGGCTGGGCATCACCATTGGATGAGAGCCGTACCGAGCGGCAGGATTCGACTCCGCTACTGGAAATCCGTCCGGTTGGGTGAGCGCCCTTTGATGTTGCCTACAGGGGGGAGGGAGTTCCTGCGACTCCCGTAATGTCCGGGTCTGCAAGGAACAAGGGACGGGTGGCAAATTGACCTCGGAGCTCATCCTGTGCGGTGCCTGGTGGGCTGGGCCGGGGAGGTCGAGCCCGGCTCCTGGTATACATCGTGGTGCTCTGCGACTTCTGTCGATAGTTTATAACTACTTCCCAGGCAGTTGACAAAGGTCCCATAGTAGGGTGTCATGCATGATCCAAGATATAACTTATTTACAGATAGAATTATGTCCTGCAAATTATTGCGACCGATTCCGTGTGGTTGCTTTTACAGGACTCTCAAATACTTTCCCTTCTATTGTAAAGACCTGATTGTATGCTCTCATGCTTTGCGATAATCAGTCGTTCGTCGGATGTGAATTCACTGCCTCTATTCAATATCAAAGTAGAGCTCTGTCGCAAGATATACTAGTTGACTCTCTTCGTGTTTGAAAGCACCGTGATTACACTAACATTTACGATAATGTACCATATTCTACAATGTAAACATCACATCAAGACACCGTGACCGCCCATGGTGTCTTGATCGCCCTGGTCCGGCCATCAGACATACACGACCCTTAGCATAAAAAGTATCTTTGATTAACCATGCCTTGTGACTTTGTATTCATCCATGTCATTTCAAATATCAAGGTTGTTTCGGGTTGTTTCATAATTGATCAGCGGGATGATGCTGATATATATTCGCCTGAACTGTGCACACCACGCGTGGCCCAAATGAAGAGATGAACTACAACCAAGAACACTTAGTATATACTGACAGAAAGCCGACACACCGAAGCGACATCGAGCCATAAATCGAACCAATATGCAGTATTCATCTAGTAACACCGGCAAACATGTTTGAGACGGACGCGCAACCTTCGACCCAAATATTCAGCGCCGCGGTGCCCCCCCCACCTCCCAAGTTTGAGATGACAACACCACGACACCAGATGGCATAGTTCGGAGGAGGTATGACAGGATCACCAGATGGATTCAGGTTCGAACCATGGTTCGTTTCAAAGCATAACGGCTCCCGAAATATCGCTTCAAGTGACAAGCAAGTCGGCGGCGGTCCAGCCCCATTTTGATTTTACCTGGTCGTGTCGACGCGCGAACCCCGCAGCCTGGCGTGGTCCGCTTCGATCTACAGGTACTATCGTTGTCCGTGCCAGCGCTAGAAAATGAAAACAATGGTTTCGATACCAAATGCTACCATTGAATGGAAATGCGGAGTGTTGACGACTGCGCCTTCGACCTTCTCCGCGGTCGTGCCCAATGGCCATGCCCACGAGGCAAAACGGCCCGGCGCGGTGGGTGCCTACTACCTGTCGGGTTCTTGGGGGTCAGCAGTCGGCGCCAATGGCCAACGGTTTTGCATATATTGAGTGGAATCGGGGTCCTGAGATGCGTTCCTTCTGCCCATGCAATGCCCAGAGAATCGGAAAATGTCTCGTTGGAGACGGGTTGGAGTCGAAAGTCGTATCGATTACCCCCGAAGGCAGGCCTCCGAACTCCATTGTTCAACACATACTTTTGATGGTTGTCGAACCCGGAACTCAAATGCCGATTAGCGCCAATATAGAAGAGACAATCGCTGTTGTTTAACCGTGACGAGACCTGGTATTCTTCATACTATCGCGTCGAGCGGCGCCGCAGTCCTGTGAGCCCTCCAAGCATGCCCTGACGACAATCGAATCGCATCATGCTGAGCAGGCACTCACCCCTTGAGTGCAGATACCTATCCGGGAATCGAATGGGTCAAACATAACCGACTATGGCCTGATTACCACGTAGCATCAACACTAGCATTGTAGGCCAGGATTTGAAGCACGAGCCCCGGGCTCCTGCATGCGGCATGTTATCCGGCAACTTGACGGTTCATAGGGCAAGCATGGGGGCTATACTACCCCCCCCCCCCCCCCCCCCCCCTTTTTTTTTTTTTTTCCCTCAGTCAATATTCATGTCAGCAGCAGCCAGACACGCTCTCCCCAGACCGGCCGCGTGGACGTGTTTATTGCAATGCAGCCACTGTCAACCGAGGAACGTCAGCACGATACCAGGTTGACCCCGAAGCCCCGAGTTTGCGCGGGAGCCATGCAAGCCACATCGAATTTAATAAACGGCGCAACCTTCTAGAATGGTTCTGGAGCCGGTTGGGGGTCCCTTTCTCTGTGCTATTGGTGGCTCGTGCATAAGGGAAACTCAACACTCAGCGCCCTGGACGAGGACAGGGTTCATGATAATTTGAGCCCCGAGCGAGAGGAGAACAAATGATGACCAGCGTGGACGATACAAATAAGATAAACAAAGATGAAAAGAAATGAAAAAGAAGACCGGGTAGAACCCGCGGTCATAATTCTCCCCGATGGTATCCAGTTTAGTTGGATATTGTCCCGAAAGAGAGCTGGTATCCTATAAAGTCCTCTACTTACATAGTACAACGCAAGACGACTGAGCTCCACTCGACGTCTTTGCATCGTGCCAGAAGGTTAGTCAGGTGCCACTGTTGATGCTGACTTGCACATTGCCAGTCTTCTCGACACCACTTTTTTAGACATATTGTATTTTGGCTGTGTGGGCTTGGATAATTCGGGGTATCCATTACTGGGAAGCGAGGCAGAGAGCCAGGATGGCCCTTGACCAACTCCTCATACAGTCTCCATCAATGGAAGAGAGACAGGACACGTACAACCGCTCCGAACGAGAGTCAAGGTGGCATATCCCATTGGATCGTTGCGGTGGAAAGCGATATTGAAAGTTCACGGCCGCCGTGCCCACTCCATGTGTCAAATCAGCGCGAGCCGCGGCCGATCCACATGGGCGCACTTTTCACGAAACGAAAGCCGGCGTAACAGGCTTCTTGGTCTGGATCTTAAAGCCCTTGAGGCAACGATTTTCATAATAATCCACTTTCGTACAGCGCTTCAGTTTGACGCCCCAAGTCAGACCCGTGGGGATGTGACGGAAAAGGAGCGCGTCACACAGCGGAAGGTCAGATTTAATTGGGGACTGCCATAGCACGAGTAGTATGGGGCTCGTATCCCCTTAGGGCTCTGATGTAGGCACTAGGTATTTTTGGCCTCTGATTTTCCCTACTTGCCTCGAACCCACCGCGCGAACGTGCCATGCTCGATCTCAGAGGCCTGTCGGATCGATGGCGTCCTCCGTTATGGAGCCCGGGTGCTCAGACGCCTGGTAACACTGGCAAACCCGTGTTGTACCTGCGGTGGTACCCGGTAGGATGGTGGATCAAGATGGACTGTGCAGTGTCATTGGACGACGGACTGCGAGAACAGCTGTAGCTCACGTAGGCACCATCGCTACGTACCAGTCACCGTGTAGAAAGGAGAGATTGAATTGATGATATCCAGGAACCAGAATCAGAGCCGCGTCGAGCCCGAGAAGGAAGGTGTCACGCCCTCGTACATACGCCGTACGCCGTTCGTCGTACGTACCGTGGTAACCGTACGCCGGCGGCGTACCGCCCATACAGACACTCGTCCATTCTGGACCACGGCGTAGGCCCTTATCCGTCCCGCCTCCACTCCCTGACCTCCCTCTCCCTCATTCCCCCCCCTCCCAAAAAGAGAGTCACAGAGACACCGAATTTCGTCTTGCACTTTCCCATCTTCCATGGATTAAGTCGAGCTCCCCCCACCAAGTGCTTGGATCTGTGGTTGTTCTGTGCCTCGAGTCCTCGACCATCTTACCCCCGGAAAGTGGGTTGCAAAATCACCCACCCGCCCCTCTCCAAAACGTCGTCAATTTTAGCCATGAGCCACGGGGGTTACTGAGCCCCAACCTCGCCCCTCCAAACGGTTGTTCCTTCCCCCCTCCTCTCGTGCATTGCGACCGACCGCTTCATGTTCGACTATCGTGCGCCAGAGCTGGCCATCGACACACGATCTGCGCTGGCCACCAAAGCTGGAGCTTTTGCGACCGCTTTCGAGTACACCGACGAACAGGCCACCACCCCCACAGCTGCAACCCGCCATCGCGGTCGGGCCACCAGCGTCTTCCAGGATCACGATCGCTTGGATACCTCACCCCTGAAGAAGATGGCGACCGGATATGCTGTCAGCCCCGAGCCCCCGGCGCTGTTCGTCCGGGCCATGTACGACTATGACGCCGACGACCACACCAGTCTGAGCTTCCGTCGCGGCGACATCATTCAGGTACTAAACCAGCTGGAAACCGGGTGGTGGGATGGAGTCATCGATAATGTCCGCGGCTGGTTCCCGAGTAACTACTGCACAATTATTACGGAGGCGGACGACTTCGGCGAGCAAATGATGCACGGCCACGATGAGGCAGACATGAGTGCTGAATCAGGACTCGAAGATGATTACGGAAATGGCCATGAGGAGGAAGAAGAGGAAGAAGAGCTTGACTCAGAAGGAAATCCGCGCGACTCACAACCTATCCTCCCGATCGAGGGCATCCCCGAGCCGAAAGAGCAGGAGGAGGCCGCTTTTTGGATTCCACAGGCCACCCCCGACGGTCGCTTATTTTACTTCAATACGCTGACCGGATATTCGACGATGGAACTACCATTCGAGAACCCCACGGCAGCGAATGATATGGGCCCTCGAGACCGGAATAACTTCTTCGTTCCCGACCAGACTCGCCCGCCTCCTGAACTGATGGCGCGCGGATTTGAGCGGGATGAGGATGAGTATGATGGATCGGCTTCAGAGGCAGAGGGAGAGTCGCTGATGCTGACCTCACACGACTCCATTTCGCGCCGGCGCCAGTCCTTTATGGACGGGGTGTCACCAGCGACCTCGATGGATTCCCTGTATCCTCCCGGACCCAAGGATTTCAAGCCCTCCCCCAACATGAGCAAGAGCCCGCAGGCGAATTTCAGCAGCGGCGGAGCCACCAGTGTCAACACATCGATTGCGGAAAGCTACTCCCGCCCGTCCATCTCATCGGGAACGCCTCAGCACTTCGTGGATGATGGATTTGTGCCCCTTATAACATGGCCACTTCTCGTGGACAATATGCGATATGCTGTTGAGACCTACCGCCAAACGCTACTTGCTGGCGAGCGATCAGAGTACGTCCGACGCGCGGAGGACATTTCCGACCATCTGCGCATGCTCTTGGCTGCCGGCTCTGACACGACCGACAACCACTCGGGCAACCCCTCGATCATTTCAACCAACAAGGCGTTGTACCCCTACTTCCGGGACATGATGTCGAAATTCTCCAAGCTTGTTCTCTCCTCCCACATTGCTGCTGCTGATTGGCCGGGTTCTGATTCGGTCAATAAATGTATGCAAGAAGCCGATGGCGTCATGCAAGGAGTGTATGGATATGTGGATGTCGCACGGCAGCAACGCGGGGAAAGCATCCACCGTATTGTCCCTGGCTTCGTGAGTGGTAGCTCGTGTGGTGGCAGCTGGCAGAACAACGGCGTCTCCTTGGACGCTTCGGGTCCGACCTCGTTCCTCGTCCCGGAAGGCAGCGATTCGCGAACTGAACCCTCCGTATCCCTCGATGCCACCCTCCTCGACCAGATCGACATTCTGCGGAGATCTTTCGTTGGCAGTATTCGCAGATTGGAAGAGCGTTTATCTGTCAACCAGAAGATTGTGACTGTGATCGAACACGAGGAGATCTCAGACGCCGTGGCAGAAGCCGCGATCAAGGTTGTGGAGCAGTTCCGCCCATGGATCTCCACCGTCGAGTCGATCAACCTGGTGCCACTCGGAACAAGTTTCCAGAACCCCCAGCTCGTGGATTTCAGCCTCCAAAAACAACGAGTCTACGATGGCATCGGTGATTTTGTGTTGAGTTGCCAGGCAGTCTCTGCTCCTCTCGCTGACGAGTGGGCAGAACTTCGCGGTGATTCTCTCGATGACCGAATCACCGCTGTGCGCAGCGTGGCCAAGCAGCTCGAGAACTATGTCTCGCAGATCGGGTTTTCTCTCTCGCTGCTTCTTGAGCAAATTCCAGAGGAGCCTAATGCCCCTCTCCGAAGCGAAAGCCGCTTAGATGAAGAGGACGAGTCCATCAAGGGCTCTCATGGCCGATCTGAATCCCAAGCAAAGATTGCCAACGAATCTATTGGCATTCCATCGTCATATGCACTGGGTAAGGGAAATGACAAGGTGCGCCGTAATATGGATAAGGCCCAGAGATTCTTTGGCCAGGCACCACCGAAAGCCATTACCCGAGAGCCCGTACGTGAGCCCGTCAAGGAGCCGGAAGAGACCCCGTGGTTCTTGAAGATGGATCACGAGGGTGAAGTGTTCTACGATACCAAGGGAGATGTTCCTATCCTGAAATGTGGAACACTGGCTGGACTGGTTGAACATCTCACACGCCATGACAAGCTCGACGCGTCGTTTAACAATACTTTCCTTCTCACCTATCGATCGTTCACCTCTGCGTCCGAGCTTTTTGAGATGCTTGTTCAGCGCTTCAATATTCAGCCACCATTTGGCTTGAACTCCGAGGACATGCAAATGTGGATCGATCGAAAGCAGAAGCCCATTCGCTTCCGAGTGGTCAATATTCTGAAGAGCTGGTTTGACCAGTTCTGGATGGAGCCCAATGACGAAGTAAACATGGATCTGATGCGACGAGTTCATGATTTCACCAAGGATTCTATCGCAACTACGAAGACACCCGGAGCTCCTGCCTTGATCGCCGTGCTTGAACAGCGTCTCCGTGGCCAAGATACAACCAACAAACGTCTCGTGCCCACTCAGAACACGGCTGCCCCGACGCCGATCATTCCCAAGAACATGAAGAAGCTCAAGTTCCTGGATATTGATCCGACAGAGTTTGCTCGACAGCTGACGATCATTGAGTCACGTCTTTACTCTAAGATTAGACCAACCGAGTGTCTGAACAAGACCTGGCAAAAGAAGGTTGGCCCTGGCGAACCAGAGCCAGCTTCTAATGTCAAAGCCTTGATCCTGCACTCCAACCAGTTGACTAACTGGGTCGCCGAAATGATCTTGATGCAAGGTGACGTCAAGAAGCGCGTGGTTGTAATCAAACACTTTGTGAATGTTGCCGATGTACGTGGATTCCCGCAACCCCTTGAAAATTTGGTCATTTTACTAACGGGAGGCCGCAGAAATGCCGCGCGCTCAACAATTACTCGACTTTGACATCGATTATTTCCGCCTTGGGCACTGCGCCCATCCATCGGCTGGGCCGCACGTGGGGCCAAGTCAGCGGCCGCACTTCTGCAATCTTGGAGCAGATGCGTCGACTCATGGCCAGTACCAAGAACTTTGGTGAATATCGGGAGACTTTGCATTTGGCCAACCCCCCTTGTATTCCTTTCTTCGGTATGACATGCTCCCCACATCCGGCTAGTCCGTGGACTTGCATTGGAGACCCTAATCTGCCACGGTATTATCCCCGAGTGTACAGCTCACACGACTTTCTCTCTTTATAGGTGTCTATCTTACGGACTTGACTTTCATCGAGGATGGAATCCCTTCATTGACGCCATCCGAACTCATCAACTTCAACAAACGGGCCAAGACCGCCGAAGTCATTCGGGACATCCAACAATACCAGAACGTCCCGTATCTCCTTTCACCTGTCCCCGAGCTCCAGGATTATATCCTTAGTAATCTACAAGCCGCGGGCGATGTGCACGACATGTATGACCGGAGTCTCGAGATCGAACCCCGCGAGCGTGAAGACGAAAAGATTGCAAGGTACGCTGAAACCACAAGCAGAGACAAAGGCTCCTTGCTTTTTGCAAGCACCGTCGCAATCCTGCGATGAATTGTTTTGGGCTTTTTTTTTTTTTTTTTTTTTTTTTCTTTTTTCTTTTTTCGTTTTTCGTTTTTCTTTCCTCTATTGGACATGGTGTTTGGATTCTCCCGGCGATACCCAAATTTGACCTTATTTTTCACATCTTTTTTTCGTTTTCGGGGGCAGCAAAGCCATCATTTTGAACATTGTTTGAGTTGAAACTAACCGCTTTTGACGTGGAACCGCGTAGGCTACTCTCAGAGTCCGGTTTCCTGTAGGCTGTGGCGGAGACCCCTGTCCACCTGCACCTGCGGGCGTCCGTCGCCCACCGATATCGTGGCCCGCCCGCTGCCACATCGATTTGCATTCGAATCGCTCCAATCAGAGTCGAGGGATACACGATGTCACCGGCACCGGCAATTATTTGTCTCACCATCCTGCGGCTAGCATGCGTTGCTGGCCCCCTTTTGGCAATTTTTGAGTCCCGCGACCGTGCCCAAGATTACCTAGTCTTCGCACAAGACGCTGCCAATTTCCACTCGTCGATACCATGCATGACTGATCATGTCACGAGACATGCAACTCTCTCCACCTTTTCACCTCTGCTGCTCAGATGTTCGCCACCACTGCTCACCTTCCCGCGATCTGGTGGGGGGTAGGGTGGGGTCGAAAACCGAGGTTCTCTTGAGTACTTGATTCATCAGGGCCTCACGGCTGCAGCTGGCCTTTCGTGCATAAGGTGAACCCACTACTGCACGCGCCGATATCCTTACTTCTGTTTTTCCCGACAAACCGAGCATTTTCAACATAGATTTCATTTCTTGGACATCGACCGGGGGTCTTTTCTCTCCCTAACATCGAAGACCCTTGTAACCACAGGGTACACTAACCTACTCTACTTTGCTGTTCTCTGTACTCAAACTAACGCACATATCGGCCACTTCTTGGTTATATTTCTGGCCACTCGCTTCCCCCATTTTCTTTTTTTGTTACTCGATACTTGTTCTCACATATCCCATTTCATTTGTTTTTGGAGTGGGTCATCTATATCCTTCGGGGTTAATGTCTGGATGCCATCTTTCTAATGATTTGTCACGACTTTTCAGCCCCCTGTTCTTGTCAGATGGGCTTTTTCCTTTCTTGACCGGCATTCACCAGAGCAGGGTTCATTGCAACCTCTTGACTCTTCTATGTATCTACCTTGTTTCAACATCTATCTTATCTATACCCTAGGTTCGTTATGATTTGGGTCAATAGAAGTTTCTCTTACCAATATTCCGTTTATCTTAAAAAATTTCACCATGCTTGAGGTGTGCAACGTGCATAAATGATATGAGCTATCAACACTTGGCATTGCTTGACCAGCAATTGTGGCGTAGAGCCTGGCCAAGCAGACCGCGTACTACACGCGGAAAAGGGGCATCGTATTTTCCACAAACAAAGAGAAATCAACTCGATAGCCTGCATTACGTCTATGGTGGTATGCGATAGATGATATCTGAAATCATTTGTTGTTTGCAGTAAATGCGCTAGGATCGACGTAATGCTCCTTGAAATTGCCCAGATAACCCAAAGAAGCATTTACATCATGACGTGAAGACAAAAAAAAATTGACCCACTATGCGCCGTGACTCCGCGTATGATCCGAAAGAAACGTAACTGTCGTGAGATGGGACATCCATGCCGTCAGAGATGGCCGTTGCACCCAACCTTAAACTTCTGGGGCGGGCTTTTCCTGTCTCTTATCTTTTGTGTCCCCAGAGCGACGCAGGAAGAGCTTCATCTTGATGTCCAGGGATAAGGCTCCCTTCTCTTCTTCAGCCGCGATCCGGTTTCCTTCACGCACGACCTTGTCCAGCTGTTGATCCTTCGTCGCGGCAGCTCCGCCTCGCGGTCCGCTCGTCTCGATACCTCGCGTAACCTTATTGATCTTTTGACTGAGGTCCGTAATCTGCTTGGTCACATAGTCACGGGATGCATCCGAGGGACTCTGACTGATGGTCGAAGCCCAGTACTTGTTCCACAGAATATCCAAGAGGTAGGTGTCAAGAGTACTCTTGTAGTGAGACGTCTCGAGCGAGTAATACCGATTTGCATGCGCGCCAAAGTCTTCTGCCTTTCCGAGCGGGATGGACTGATCCTGTTCATCTTCTTGATCCTGCTTAGACAAGGTGTAATCCGCAGGGAAAGTTCGGAATGCACCGATCTCGACTCGGCCCGAGGAGATCGTGCGCTGAGGATCAATCACAACGGCCACGAATGGCCCGGTCATCTGATGCGTTTGTTGAGTTGCAACGTCAATTCCAGAGAGCCAGCAGCCGTATCCCGGGTGACTGTGGTACCATCCTACAGCATTTTCTGGGCGTCCAGCATCCCGACATGACTGCAGATACGCGACCATGTATTCGTTCGCTTCGTCTTGGGCATTGACCCGAGTCTCGGTCCCTTCCACGGGAAGTCGGAATGCATCGGTCACGACGAAAGTTTCAGACAGGATGTAGCCTTGCATCAAACCCATCACTTCATTTGATCCGCCCTCGTGGGCATGTACCACCATTTTCAGGAGTGCAAGGGCCGAGATGCGCACGTATTTGAAATAACGAGGGTCGGAGGCCCACGGGCGGCTTTGATTGATCTGGCGCTGGTACTCTTCGTCGTATCCATAGAGGGCATCGCGTTCCGGGTCGAAAAGATTGCTTGCGGTCAGAAGTTCTGCTTCGGCTGGTGAGTAACCCGTTGTCGCGATAGCTTAACACCCCACGAAGTGGTAATCTTACCTAATTTCTGCTGCGCAGGATGCGGATCCATCTTGACGATGAAGGGTGGCTTCAACTAATTGGGAAACAAGGAGAAGGATGAAGCTAGGAGAGAAGAGATCCACGAAAAGTGGAGGTAGTGAGGATGGGATGGAGGGCGAAGTGGGAGTAGCATAAGTCGGATAGTGCTGGAGGTGGGGAGGCGGTGGAGCAACATAAGGCAAAACGCGGGCGGTCGGGCGGCCTGAGTCAGCGGTTGCCCCTGGAGACGATCGGCGCCAAACAACAGGGCGGGCTGGATGAACCTGTTATCACTGCGATCCAGAGCTGCCTTCTCCGTTCCCCTCTCATAAACACACCCACTCACCCCATTCATGTCTCGAAACTGACAACTTCCACCCACCTTCGTTTCTTTCATTGTTCGGTGCCGTGTGTCGGATACTCACCGCGCGTTGGGTTTTCTGATTTGATCCCATCGACGCTGTCGTAGTCCCGACACCCTGTCTGGAGACACATTCCTTGACCTTTCCCTTGACCACCTCGCTGCCCCTCTGGGTCTCACCTCACCATGGCAGTCGACACCAGCTACCTGACCACTCAGGTCAACAGTATTGTCGAGCAACTTCACAGCATCTTCGATGAGATCGGAGTGCCTGCTCGCGAACGCGACTCGCGCGAAGCCGAGGTAGGCCAACCCCATCACCATCGCCTCAATTGTCGAGAATCGGAACTAATTGAGACTATAGCTCTTCAGTGCTTTGTCGGAAACATTGAACAACCACCTCAAGCTTGTTGACGAGTAAGTCTATGTCCCCAATGCGCCCTCAACACCATGCTCTAACAAAGACCGTCTACAGAGAAAAGGAAGAAATGACCCTGGAAGCTCAGCGCCTCATCACAGCCATTCAACAAATGGAGGCATCATTGGGTGACGAGCGAGCCAGTGGTCAATTCGAACTTAACCGCGATGATTTGCGCGTCACCTACCCGCTCAACCGGTGCATTACTTTCCTCCGCGAAAAGAGCGACGCTATGAGCAAGCTTCACCGTAAGAGATTCGAGCAGGTCAAGAGTAAGTCTACATGTAATACTTCAATATTTCCGTATAGCTGGCTAATACACCCCTGACAGAACTTGTTGACGCCCTGGAGTCATATTCGTCCCACCTTGAAGCCTCTTTCCTCCAAATCGAACTGCCTCCCACCGCTCCAGGCTCCACCATTCCCCCAAGCTTTGATCTTTCTCCAGCCTACGTGACTGCCCTCGACTCAGAATTTACTCGTGTCTATGAAGAATACCACCGCCGCGTTTCCTATGTCCAAACCACCAGCGAGGAGATCATCAAGCTCTGGGCCGAACTGGGTACTCCCCAAGTGCAAACCGATGCCAACATTGTCAAGTTCTACCGCGAGTCTCCTGAACAACTCGGACTGCACGAGACCGACCTCGGTACTCTGATGGCAAGACGCGACAAGTTGTTGGAAGAAAAGAAGGGCCGTGAGCGCAAGATTAAGGAGCTCCGCTCTTCTGTCGAGAGTCTCTGGGAGCGTTTCGGGGTTGAAGAATCGGATCGCAAAGCGTTTTTGTCGGCCAACCGCGGCTGCGGCCTTCGCACTATCAACGAACTCGAGGAGGAACTGGCTCGTCTCAATGAGCTGAAGAGACAGAACTTGCACTTGTTTGTCGAGGATGCTCGCTGCCGCCTGCAGGAGCTCTGGGACAGCCTTTACTTCTCCGAAGAGGAAATGCTCGACTTTACACCTGCCTTCTCGGATGTTTGCAGCGACGCTCTGCTTGAAGCCCACGAAGCCGAGATTGCCCGTTTGGAAACCCTCAAGGAGCAACGCGCCCCAACTCTCGAGATGATTGATAAGCACCGTGGCCTTCTCTCGGACCGCGAGGCTCTTTCCTCGTCCAGCCAGGATGCATCTCGCCTGATGGCCCGCGGAAACAAGGGCGAGAAGCGTGATCCCGGCAAGCTCCTGCGCGAGGAGAAGATGCGCAAGCGCATTGCGAAGGAACTCCCCAAGCTCGAGGCCGAACTGCGGAAGGAGCTGGAGCGCTGGGAGGACGAGTATGGACGGCCCTTCCTGGTCCACGGTGACCGATACCTTGACAGCTTGACTCCTGCTCCTGCTGCCTCCACCATGAGACCGCCCACCCGTTCGAAGACTCCCTCTGCGCCCCCATCCACTACCAAATCTAGCGTGTCTCGACAGCCGGTTTCTCGTCCCGGCAGTTCCATGCGAGGACCTCCTCCTCCCCGCTCCGCTACTAAGACTCCCAATGGAAGTGGTCCCATCAAACACAACACTATTGGCTATGCTGGATCTCGATCTGGAGCCAAGTCCCCTACCAAGCTTCCTGCTCGTGCTCCTTTGAGCAACATGCCGCATGGAAACAACTCCCCGGAACGTCGTGCTGGTCCCGGCAACTACTCTTCCAGCACCATGGGCAAGATGCCTCCTCCCCGTGGACCTCCTCCCAGAATGCGCGCCTTGACCGTCGAATCCAAGGAGCGCAACAGCCATATTATGGAGCCACCTCGCTGCAACAGTGCCATGTCCAGTGCGTTTGTTCGACCAGTCAGTCCCGAGGATGTTTATGATGATCGCCAACGCTCCTTCATGAGTGCTTCCGTCATGTCCAACCACCGCGCTATGGGTATTTCTCACTCATCTCACTCCTCGCTTTCCTCTCTGTCCCTGAACTCGTCTCAGGGTTACCCTCGAGCTAACCCTTACCTTTCGCACGCGCCACCTCCCCCCGCCCTCCGTCAGACTTCGAGCTCATCTGCTGGAAACACCACTGTCTCCGGTTCTGAGAACTGGGAGACCTTCGACGATGCTTCCGACGCAGAGGCCGATGCCAGCGAAGTCTACTTTGCTAAGCTTCGTGCCGCGCACGGCAAGCGATTTGCCCCCGACGACGGCATGGACTTGATGGGCAAGAAGAGCAAGGGTATCCGCAGCGTTAGTCCTGACGGACCTCACCCTGGCCAGGTCCTCCGAGTTGCGGGCAGCGACACCGAGTGGACTGATGACTTCGAAACCTACTGATCGCTTCTGAAAAAGCGCATCTTATTTCCTCTTGTCTAAAGACTCCGACGCATGTTGCACTTTACTTCCCTGGAACATTCTTTTTCCTTTATTCCTGGCGCTTCGAATTTTGAGCTGTGGTTATGCAATCGTTTGATTTACTTGACGATCCCATGGCTGGACTCTGCACGGTTCATGGCTCACGACGGACGTTCACGATCCTTTACGATTGAGCTTTTTCAGATTCCTTCAAACGGGCTGGTGTTTTTTCCACACGCACTGTCTATCGACATTCGCCTATTCCGCTCCCCTTCGTGTCCAAAATTACGACGCTCATCATGTCAATCCTGTTTATGCTTTCAATTTCTTGTGTTGATTTTTTTTTTTCAAGTCCGCAGTAGCATGATGGAGCCTGTCTGGCGCTGCCCGAGGGTGGTTTTTCTGTGTCTTTTCACGTCGTTCCTCATACGACGAAACTCCTCTTTCAATCCCGGACGGATCTTTTAATTGTGCTTTTTTTTTGTTCCTTCGTGGTTCTTCTGGCATGGTGTTATTTGCTTTTTTCTGCCTAATGGTTTCTTTCCTCGGGTTCGGTGCTTACGGTTCATTTATTCCCTCTTCTGGCTCCCGATCGTGCGGAGTTGGATCTTCTTTTGTCTGCGTCGACTTTGCTCGACTTCTATCTGTTTACTTCTAGCGCCGTACAATGCTCGCAGTAGCTTTGCTGATAATATTATCTGATTGAAACCACCTTCACTTCTGTCTTTCTATCAAGTTTTAGACAGCTTCACAATCACCATCGGGGAATTTTTCATGCGAGCTCTGTATTCGCTCCGCCATTTGAGGTCGTTGTTTCGAACAATGAGCCCAAAGTACTCGGAGAACCTGGATTTCTCATGTCTAGAAAACGCAGAAGGTATTAATTTGCGACTCATTTTGCCTGGCAAATTGAATCCAGTTCCGCTCCACTTCCACGTTTCCACTCTCCCAGAACAAACGAAGGAATTGCAAGACAGTATAGTTACACCAGAAACCCGTCGTGGATATCGACTGCAAAAAAAGAGCCTCAATTTGCGACCGACGCTCGGTTGAATGACACTCCGTGCCGGCAACGAATAAAGGAAAGAAGATATCATGGGCAAAGGCGGGAAATGAATCAGTCGCGAAAGACTCAATAATTTGCCAAAGAAGGTCTATCGAGGGTTGAAATGCACCTGTCTCCCTTGCGTGGGGGACCAATGCTTGGTAGCTGTAGATGAGGCACGCGTGATAGTGAGCCTCGATGATGGCCCGGAAATGTATCTCCAGGGACACCTGTCCTGCAGGTAGAAGGGCAGTCATGGCTGTTGCTTTATCGTATGCTTGAAGAATTCTGATGTGCCAGTGCTGCATGTCCACTCGCGTCGGACTTCTGACACATTTGGACGAATGACCGTATTGTGACCTTTCAGCCAAAGTGATATCTCGGATGAGTGATGTGAAGACCCAGGGCTGCTCATCAGATAGCAAAGATCCGGGAATGGCCTCCTGCGAGCTGAGTGCCGTTGTGAAGACAGAAACATTGCCAAATGTTTCCAGATCAACTACCTCCTTAATGAAGAATTTGACGACGTGGTCTTGAGAACGCCCATGGGAGATCTGCAGACCATGTCTTTCGATAATGGCTCGGCAAGCGCGAAGATGAAGCCTCCAGTCTGGGGATCCAGGTATGTGCATCTCTCCGTAGCAGAGAACTACCATGGACGCAAGAGTTTCGATGAGGGAGGGATCCTGATGAATTTCATTAGATGAAAAAGGAGTTTTGCATAGTTCGAAGCGCATCTTTCGACTCAGCACACCGAGGATCTCATCTCGGATACGATGATTGACTTGCAACATGTTGAGTCGATCGTGCTCGGGCGAAATGGCAGATAGGTGGGCAGCGGCAAGGCCTAGGATGGACAGACGAAGACACGATGATCGTTTTGCTAAAGGCAGGACAAGACTTCTCCATGGATTGCTCGGGCCATCAAGCCAGGTCAAGCGGAAGGCGACGTTAGATAGGAAATGTTGAAGTAGCTTGTCGGATAGTGAGTTCGAAAGTTGTTGTTTCGTCAGGTCCGAATTCCTGGAAGCGCAAGCCCCCTGGCATGGATTGATCTGGTCTTTTCTTCCATCCTGTGATCTCACAGGCCCACGACTTCTCAGATACTCTTCCTTGGAGATGCTATTTTGGTCTCTCGACTGCTTCTCACATAGGACTGGTACTTTTTTGCCCGTAAAGTGGCCTCGGCTAGCCACACCTTGATCCCATCTGAGATGAAGAAGAGGAAATCCAGGACAAGAAAACCCGCGAACAGTACACTTCTGGCATTCTGGAACTGTCCGATCGCATCTGATGCGGCGCTTAGTGCAGCAACGGCAGTCTGTGATCCTTGAGTTGCTGGACTGCTTTGTGGGAGGGCTTTGCCTTACCTCTGGATGCCACTCGGCGGTTGACTGGGAGCGAGTCAATTCGGACGTTTTTCTTCCCTTTCCCTGTTGGTGATGACATGATGACATTCCTTGATGTAGACAATAGAGAAGGGATTGGAGCAATATTCAAATGGTCAGATTTGGCTTCTACCAGCAACTTCCGATCTGGGTTTGATTTTACCCCGCACACGCGCAATTCAATGTTATCGGCCATCCCACGGGGAAACACGAGGGGATCCAAGTGTGCAGTGGGGGTCCCCGCCATGGCAGTTGCCAATGAAAGCCCTCTTTTTCAAAATCTTCAAAATAGTCAACCTATCCTTTTGTTAGAAATATCGAGATCCCGTCGGATTCAAAGCTTCTGTATAGAGAAAAGGGAATAGGCGAACCTGAGATTCCTCACGAGAAATCACTGAGTGAATGCCGAGCAGTGCTGCTTTACCTACGTATTAATAAAAACCACATGAATAATGTATGTGACCATAGATGGATATTCATTGGTGATAGTATTTAGAATGATTCTCGAGGGTTGCTAGCTTGATTACATCACCACCCATAGAAATCGTCGATGACATAAAATTGCAAGATACATTTTCTTACCCGACAAGGTCTTATGCGACTGAGAGGCAGTTCCTTGACGTCTGTACCCTGAGGCTTTAAAGCTTCCTGCTTGCTTGCTATAAGGCCCCCGGTTAGGATCCGACTGCTTACGCTTCGGGTCAATGCCAGGACCCGGCCACGAAGAAAATAACATTCTCTTTTTGGCTCGTGAAACATCACGTCCTATGAAAGCGATTTGCTACCGCTAGTTGATATATACCTATCCCGGTGTCCTTTCCTAAAACTTCAAAGATCCCACGAGTCTCAAAGACGAAATACCATCTCTATGGAATCAACCATTGGACGCGATGGGCTTGCAATTATCATCACTGGCAATCTATCGTTCCTTATAGCAACAATTCTCATTCTACTGCGCCTATATACATTCTTCTATATTATCCACAGAAAAGGAAGCCAGGCACTCTTATGGACAGTTGTTGCATGGTTGTAAGTGGCCTTCCTTACTAAGAATAATACTAACAAAGATTAGATTTTGGGAGCATTTTATTGTATAGTTGCAACCAACCTTGCACTTTCACACACACTAATGTGTGCTTGATACGCATCGCTATATACCTGGCTTGCTTTTTGCTTTCTTTAGCTAAGCTCGAGTTTGCGATGTACATTTTGAAGAGCAGGGTGGCGCCGGTGCAAAAATTATCAAATGGCTTATGCTTGGCACTGTGAGCCTAAATGTAAGTTATCAAATTTGATAGCGCTTACAAGATGAAATTGATATTGAAACAACATTATTTTGTTTTGTTCACATCTGCCTTTTGGTATGGCTGACTCGTGATGCTATATGCCGGGGGCCAAGGCCCGAGACATTAGAGATGGGGGACTATTGGCTTGTTGGTGCTGGTGGTGCGTACATATCAGATTCCCAATGCGTCTTGAAGTATAAGTTCACAGATAGCTAAGGAATGATTGCATGTGTCTAGCATGGAATTTCGCAACCGACTTTTCGCAATTTATCCAGTTTTCGTAATCTGGAACCTGCAAATCCGCCGGAAGCTCAAGGCTGTGATATGATATCGGCTCTGATGGGGCTTGGTGTACTTTCTGCGGATTTGGCCTGGGAAAGACCATTGATTATCTTCACGGAGAAGGCGATCGTAAGTTCAGTCCTTTCCTATATATAACTTGGAAAGTTTGCTATTTCGGTCATTGACATACTCTGTGGACATGATCACTCTGGTTCTGATTCTCCACATCGTGGATGTGGGTAGTTCTGATTGCGTCAAGTGCTGCACCCTTATAGCCCTTGTAAGGCACTGAAAGGGGAAACCACATGCAACTCGACAGGAGAGCACTTAGAAGTAAACCTTGCCATCACTGGAGTCATTGGATATAAGTCCCAAGGTGAGAAGATGTATATCATTATTGAGGTAAATCTACCAATTCACATGTTGACTGTCTCTTCATCCTCAACACCGAATAGTACCCTCATGGGGTCCTGGTAGTTCATGAAGCCAACACCGGGCTCTGTAAGCCCGTATCCTAACAGTCTCTGGGCCTGAGGCTTCAACTGCCGAACCCTCTCAAGTGGAATCATTAAGAATTGATTTTCAGCCGGACGAAGAGTAGGCTGACAGAGAAAGATCCCGACGGTCTCTCGATAGTCATTTCTAGGAGATAGCAAGGAGACAGACTTAAGTGTATGGATTAAACGACAAGGGTGGGCGAAAGAAACGACTCACTGGGTGACATTGGAACCACCGGCATGGTAGGTATTGCCCAGGAATATCAGAGCATCGCCGGGCTCCAACTCGGCCGGAATGGCCTCTTCGTCTAGCGGACGCCGTTCTGGTCCCCACAAATGTGATCCAGGAATGGCAATGGTCGCCCCATTCTCCTTTGTGGTCTTGGTCAACGCGGTCACACAGCCGATCATGACTGGCAGCCTCTTGTCGCTGGGGTGATAATCGCTTCAACGTATTAGTAGTAAGTTAACGTTGCTTTTTGAAGGAACACGTACTTATCATCGCGGTGCAGCACCTGCTGCCGACCCCCGGGGTTCACCCGGAAGCCCACGGTAGACGAAATAATGGGCTTCCCGCTGACAGTTACCTGGTGATCGCCTCTCCAGAAAGTGTAGCTTGAGGACACCATGGCGTTGGCCACGCTGATATAGAGAGGGTTGCATGCGAGCTCTACACACGCATCGGAAATGCCTAATAGACCACTGGCGCGCTGGGTGGTCTCGGGGAAGAACCCGTATTTATCGGGGGTATCACCGTCGAAATGAGGCTTCAGGTCTGACTTGATTTGCTGTGCGAGCTCTTTGGAGATCAAGTTTTCAATGATTACGCCGCCTTCGCGCTCAAGAACCACAACCACATCCTCGGTGGTTGTAGAGGGATCCGCCGCATTTAGTCGGACGAACGAAGGCTTCTCTTCTCGGGCAATCATGGCGAATGAGAGCTCTGTCGAGTAGACAAGGGGCAAAGACAGAAACAATCAATTGAATGTTATACAAGAAATAAATGAAAGAAGAATTGGAAGGGCAATCGCTTGATCTTTATAATTGGGGTCCAGATGGAGCTGATATCATTTGCTCTAGTACAGCAATTTGAACCAGAGATCATGATCACTGCAGAGAAAACCAACCCGCTAAGCTTCATTTGACAGGTTATGAGAGAAACCGCAAACGGCGTCTCCATGTTTATGGGGTGGATTCTGGTAGATGGGATATTGGCACCGATAATCCTGTGGAGCCGCAGAGAAGCTTGGAGCCCGCACAACACGTAGATGCGCCTTGGCCGCCGGATTCGAGTCTCGGTGGAGGCCGTCTAGTCTGTTTCGGGGAGGCCGGGAGAAAAAAGGGAAACCAGGAAAGGAAAGGGCTTTAGCGAGGTTAACCGCTGGACACGACTAAGTCGGATGGGGCAGGTCCGCGAAAAAACAATGCGGGGTACAAAAGGGGCCCGCGAGGGTTACTTAGTAGATGGCTCAAGAACAAGAAAGATCGTGAGATGTGACTAACAGAATTACCGTTTTCATCTGACAGTCCTCATTCTCTATATCTTCCATCAGCCTCGACTGGATTGACATAGAGAAACGGTTGACCGCGAGGGGCTGCAGCCAAGCAGCTTAGCCTCGATTGGGAAGTTTGCTCTTAGACTCATTTCAGCCATTTCATTGCTTGTCGGTGCCTCGGCCGGCGAGAAGGCTTTCCCGGTGGAAAAATCCCCCATCTTCTTTTCCCAGACGTGCCTGTCGTGACTTTCTTTTCTGTACATACCCCACTGGCACCGTCGCCGCGCTCCAAATCACAGGGTCGCCTTCCCCATAAGAACCATGGCCGCTGAAGTGGAGAAAGACGATACGACCATGGCCAAGAGCAACCCGACGTTTCTCAGGTCCGGCAGCGACACCGACCAGGATGCTCCGATCGCCGGAGAACCCAGACGCGAGCCGGAATTGAAGCGCAAGTTGAAGAGTAGACACTTGCATATGATTGCAATTGGTAGGCAGATAACACATGCCCTGTTGAAGAGAATGCGTGGGCTCATGCGAATACAGGTGGAACCATTGGCACTGGCCTGTTCATCGGAAGTGGAACTGCCCTGGCCCATTCGGGGCCCGTTGGTGCCCTGATTGCATACATCTTCATCGGCACGATAGTATTCTCCGTCATGACCTCGCTCGGCGAGATTGCAACCTACCTCCCCATCTCCGGCGCATTCACCTCGTATGCCACCCGCCTGGTCGACCCCAGTCTGGGCTTTGCCATGGGATGGCTCTATTGGTTCTCCTGGGCCATCACATTCGCCCTCGAACTAACCGCCACCGGCTTGATCATCCAATACTGGGATAGTTCGATCCCAGTTTCGATATTCATCGCAATCTTCTGGGTGTTGATGACTGCGCTGAATATGCTCCCCGTGAATTTCTATGGTGAGCTAGAGTTCTGGTTTTCGAGTATCAAGGTCTTCACGGTCATTGGATTCATGATATTTGCGATATGCATTGACGCCGGCGCCGGTGACCAGGGCTACCTTGGTTTCCACAATTGGGTCCACCCTGGGCCCTTTGCGGACTACCTGATCACCCCAGGACCAACAGCCAAGTTTGTGGGCTTTTGGGCAGTCTTGATCCAGGCCGGTTTCTCATGCCAGGGTACTGAACTGGTTGGTGTGGCGGCAGGCGAGACTGAGAACCCGCGTAAAACAATTCCCAGAGCGATCAAGACCACGTTCATCCGAATCATTCTGTTTTTCGTCCTCACAGTCTTCTTTATCGGTCTTCTCGTGCCGTCTGACAATGAAGACCTTCTCTCAGATTCATCAAATGCAACAGCGTCGCCGTTCGTCATTGCCGCGAAATTAGCCGGTGTCAAGGTACTGCCCTCAATCATCAACGCGGTTCTTTTGACTGTTGTTCTATCAGCCGCAAATTCAAACATCTATAGCGGCAGTCGCATTCTCGTCGGCCTGGCAAATGAAGGGTTCGCCTTCTCTTTCTTCACAAAGACCACCAAGGGTGGCGTGCCGTTCATTGGGGTCTTCCTCACGTCGGCCATCGGCCTGTTGGGTTTCTTGAATGTTTCAAATTCAGGTGCAACAGTGTTCAATTGGTTGTTGAATATCTCAGCCGTTGCGGGATTCATAGCCTGGGCTACTCTGAACACCTGCCACATTGCCTTTATGCGGGCTTTGAAGGCCCGCAAGATTAGCCGAGATGTTCTTCCTTACAAAGCACCCTTGCAGCCATATCTCGCCTGGTATGGGCTTGTGGTCAACATCGTTATCATATTCACTCAGGGTTTCACGTCCTGGATCCCTTCTTTCAGCGTTGAAAGCTTCTTCGTGGCATATATCAGTCTGATTCTGTTTGCGATTCTGTGGATTGGCCATAAGATTATCTTCCGCGATGCGTTTGTTTCTCCCTTGCAAGCGGACCTTGATACTGGCCGCATTGAGATCGAGAATGAGCATTGGGAAGTCACTATGCCGACCACTTGGTATGGTAAGGTTTGGTATATGATTGCTGGTTGATCGCTTGGTGAAGGTAATCGCGGTTGGTTTTGCTGCGTTTTTATTTCATGTATATGTTGCATTGAAGCGTTCTTGACAAAGTATATACAGATACAAGTTGTTCGGAGTAGCAGATCGGTCTCACCGGAAAAGCTCAAAGATCTTTTCCCCGGCATATATCGTACAATTCGCCATCCAGGGACAAGGAGGGGGGCTTATTGCTTGCCAGGAGCAAGAGAACCCATCCAACTCTGGTCTGCATCCTTCTCCTTATTGGCAGAGGACTTGGGAACTCTCCGGCCGGTTTGCGGAACCAAGGATTGTGTCAACGCCTTCGCATCTTGAAGTCGGCGCACCGTCTCCTCTCGACCCAGAATTGTCATGGTCTCAGGGATTCCAGGACCTGGTGCCGAAGCCGATAAAGCCCAGCGGATGTAGTGATACAATTCCTTTTTGAAGAGCTTGTCCATGGCAATTGGTGCATCCGCTAGCTCTGCCGGAAGTTCTACAGACTCCGATCCATCGTAGGAACTGATATTCATGCGGTGTGTTTCCTCCGTCCAGTGGGCGGACGGAACAAGGGCGAAGGCGGCGGCAGCAGTGTGGAGTGCTTGCATCGGGATTGAAGCAGAGGGCGTCGAGGAGGAAGATGAAGTGAGAGGAGTGGAGGCGGGTGTATAGGGGGAACGGTCAAGTTCCTTGGTGAAGAAAGTAGAGTTGCGCTCCACAAACTCGGAGGCCGTGGTATAGGACTTGGCGTCGGCGCGCAGGAGAGGAGTGATATACTCATCCAGTGTACGACCATCCAAGATCGAAGCGAGTCCTTCTTCACGGTAGTTCTCCTTCACAGTAGCAGATGCCCGGCTCACCATCTGGTCGAAATCAGGTCCGCCGGCCGCTGCAAGACGCTGTGCATGAGCCTTCTGAAGAAACCAGAGTTTCTCGAAAGCTACCACAGTATTTCCACGCGTAATCTTCAGATTGAAGATATTCTCAAGTTCCTCCAAGTTGAAGACATCTGATTTTTGAGAATGAGACCAGCCCAAGAGCGCGGCAAAATTGACCAGAGCGGCGGGGAAGATGCCTTGCGCGTCTCTGAATGATGAAAGGTCAATATCCGCATTCCGCTTGCTCAACTTCTGACCGTTCTTGTCCACAAGGAGCGGAACATGGCCAAAACGCGGAGGAGTCCACTTGAAAGCATCGTACAAAGCCATGTGCATTGGCGTAGACGGCATCCACTCCGTTCCACGGATGACATGGGTGATTTCCATGCAATGATCGTCCACCACGTTCGCTAAGTGATATGTTGGGTGTCCGTCCGATTTGAGAAGGATCGGATCGTCGTAGACTCGGTCAATCAAGTCGAGCTTACTGGCGTTGGGCTTGTTTTGGCCAGTCTTGCCATACACCAGGTCGTTGAACATAGGGTATTTGTCCACCTTCAACCGAACCACGTGTGATTCTCCCTTAGACGCACGATCCTCTGACTCCTCATGAGAGATACCGGCACATTTTCTGTCGTATCCGGCTGGCAGTCCCGCCTGGCTGCGGTGGCGCGCGAAGGAATCGAGCCGTTCGGAGGAACAGAAACATCGATAGGCATGGCCATTGGAGACCAGGTCATTTGTATGAGTTCGGTATAGGGATGTTCGCTCGGACTGAAGTATTTTTCGTCAGTCTAATTCCAGATTAAAGAAGAGATGCCCACTTACCTGTCTATAAGGTCCATACGGACCACCGACCACAGGGCCTGTCACTACAATCAGCCTTTGTTTGCTTTTAAAAGATAGCGCAATCTTCGATCACCCACCCTCATCCCAATGAAGTCCCGCCCAGTGTAGATCGTCGTAGAGTCTTTGCTCTGCATCTGGAATCGTTCGTTTCTGCGCCGATTAGCTGCTGCCCACATCACATGGTTCTTAGGGTGCCAACTTGGTCCGTATCCTCAATGCGCAATAGGAATTGGCCGCCGGTACGTTTCGCGAGGAGATAGTTGAACAGAGCCGTTCGCAATGAGCCCAGGTGAAGGTAACCGGTGGGCGAAGGGGCAAACGCGTGCGCGCAGGGGCATCGGGGAGATTGTTCTTCGGCTTGCGGAGTTGCGCGCCCGCGGACGAGGACGATGCTCTGCATTGAATGCAAGTCCAGGACCGCCGGGCAAAAAGCCCGCTGTGAGGACTCCTCATCGAGACCGAATACAAGACGACGTGATCGACAGGGCGGGCGACCGAGCCGGAGTGGTTCGAGAATGGGTTTTTTGCGGAGGCTCGGCAGCTCCGCGCGAAGCTTCCCGCAAAATTTCGATGGGCCCGCTCCAACTCCGCCGCGTTTCGCCTCTTCCCACTCCGCGCCGATACTGTCTCGTTGCTTCTTTCGCGCCGTTTTGAATCTCGGGTTCTTTCAGTTTTGTACAGCTCACAGGCGTCGCGAGAGAGAATAACCAAAAGCAGTAAGTGAAAACCACTCTGTTGGTCTTGTTGACATTACTGACCTGAGCGACAGTGGCCAAAGTCGAAGTTGACCTCTACGGTAAGCAGACCTATCGCAGCAGCAGTACTTGACAAGCAACCTGACCGAGTATTCTTACCGATGCAGAGGTCTTGGAAATTGAAAGAGGAGCGACCAAGGAAGAGATTCGCTCTGCCTATCGCAAGGTACGAGATCAGCAATTTCCGACCTCATTCTCAAACACAAACTGATGGCTATTTCAAATAGGCTGCCCTCTCCAGCCACCCCGATAAGGTTCCCGAAGATGAGCGCCCCGCCGCCGAGAGCAAGTTCAAATCGGTTCAAGAGGCGTACGAAATCCTCTACGATGACAACAAGCGCCAAATTTACGATACCCATGGCATGTCCGCATTCAACGGCTCCGGAGACCCAGGTATGGGTGGCATGCCCGGCGACGTCGACCTTGATGACCTTCTAGCGCAGATGTTCGGTGGCATGGGCGGCATGGGTGGAGGTATGCCTGGTATGGGAGGTATGCCTGGGGGTATGCCCGGTGCAGGCAAGCCGCGCCGAAGCCGTGACGAGCAGCAAGACTACGAACTCAGCCTCGAGGAGCTGTACAAGGGCAAGACCGTGAAATTCTACAGCACCAAGAATGTCATTTGCAGCCTGTGCAAGGGCAAGGGCGGCAAAGAAAAGGCGAAGGCCAAGCAGTGCTCGACATGTGGCGGTGTCGGAGTTAAGGAATTTATCAACCAAATGGGCGGCTTCTTGACCAAGCAGACCCAGGCCTGTACCACGTGTAGCGGCCAGGGTTCTTTCTTCAGCCCCAAGGACAAGTGCAAGAAGTGCAAGGGAAAGAAGACGACCGAGGAGAAGAAGCTGATTGAGCTGTACATTCCTCCTGGATCTCGGTAAGACCTTCTCCTTCGGCCAACTCTGGTGAAGATGATTTTCTGGTGCTAACCCAATGTTTAGTGAGGGAGACAAGATCGTGCTCGAAGGTGAAGCGGACCAGGTCCCGGACCAAGAGCCGGGCGATATCGTTTTCCGTCTCGTGCAGGAGGAGCACGAAGTCTTCGACCGTGCCGGTGCCGATCTCCGAGCTACCATTGATGTCACTGTTGCCGAGGCTCTAACCGGATTTTCTCGCGTGGTGATCAAGCACCTCGACGGCCGCGGTATTGAGCTCACACACCCTGCTGGCAAGGTTCTTACTCCCGGACAAGTTCTCAAGGTCTCGGGCGAAGGAATGCCGATCAAACGCAGCGATTCCAAGGGCGACCTCTACCTTGTTGTCAACGTGAAGTTCCCCGAAGAGAACTGGAGGCCCAGCCCTGAGATGCTTGAGAAGCTCAAGGAGACGCTACCTTCTCCCGACGCTCCTATTGAAGCCACTCCCGTGGATGAGGTCCACTATGATGCCAATGGAAACATGGAAGAGTTCGGCGCTCGGGATGCGCAAGGAGGCTCCGCATGGGTTGATGACGATGATGAGGAGGAGCCGGCGCAGTGCGCGGCTCAGTAACCAGCTTCTGCAAGCGATACCCTGTTTGTCAGGCATAGAAGGCGTCTGGGGTTTGCATATTTCTGGCTTGTTTGATTTTTTAGGGACAGATAAATCTCCCATCCATGATGATGATTCATATCCAAAGTCAAGCAGTTAGCTATTAGCTAAAATCAATCTGCTGTCTTCGGTTTGTCCGGCATCTCATTCTGATATTGCGGGGAGCGGTGTTTTTCACGCGACCTGTTCATAGTACATACACAGTGGCATATTTCGTAGTCTACAAAGGGTTACAATGGCTAGAGTTCACTTTCCCTTTTTCGCCTATATTGGTGCCCTATTTTCTATTAATAGCTGATCCAACACTAAAAAATTTTTACTGGAAATATGAAAACGCTTCATCTCCATAGCACATATGGCCATGGCTTGTTGAAGCTTCGTCCACGGTACAAGTGCACTAAGGGGTGGTATGATATTACCTCAGGGTAGTTGACTCGGCTGATCGTTGAGAAGACTGTTTAGTACAAATCCTTATATTTCAAGCATTGAGTCCTTTTGAAATTGGAAAACTGGAATCTTGGTTGTAGTATTTTGTTCAAGTATACTCGAATTAGATCTAAAAGCAACAAATAAGATGGTATATACATGCAAATCTAAACGAAACTAGATGCAGATTTTGGGACAAGGAAAGCCATCACAGAGAAAGGAAAAGATCAGTATTAATAAATAGCCCATCAGACTTCCCCGTGGACACGGCCATAAGAACTGTTATAGGTGTTGCCGTAGCCACGGCCGGCATAACTATCATCAAGATGGCTCTGGGGATTCCCATAACCGCTCTCGTAAGCGTTGGTCTGAGCGGGAGGGTAAAACCTCTCGTGGACGTTGGCTGAAACTGCAGGGTAGTTTTCCTCGTTGGTATTGGCCTGAGCCAGAGGGAACTGATCGTCGTGAACGTTGCCAGACCACGCGCCTTCGTGGTCTTTGTCGTAGACGCGACCGTACTTTCCATTCCCGGTAGCAGCCCCGTGAACACGAGCCTTGGTGTCTGCAAGGTACCAGAAGAAGGTGATGACCATGAAAAGTGCCATCAAGCCAACGTCCAAGCCATAGGTCGGCCACTCATGTTCCTGGAGGTATCCGCTTGTCCCGCTCTTGTATTCAACAAGACGATAGACATTCCGACCGGTGATGAGGAATGCGGTCACATAGATGGATAGCAGCATGATATTGATGTGCAGAGTCGGATCGACAGTCTCTGCAATGCCGCGTTTGGAGACCCGCACATGGAAAATGACCGAGCAAAGCGTAAAGATCAAGAAGAAGATCACCTGCAACGCGAGACCGGCCAAGATGACATTCTTCGCAATGTCGACTTTGTGGGCCGTATCGCTTGCTTTGGAGTTCGCGAGATTGGCAAGACTGACACCACCGAAAGCTTGAACCAAGAAGCAGAGAATATCGCCGACGACGAAGATCTTGGTAATCCAGTTGATGCGGATAAACGAAAGCTTAGGATGCCCAGATACGCGGATCAGACGACCGAGGAACATGTAGACAGCAGCCGTATACAGAATTGGCGCCAGGAGGACCAGAACATATTGAACGATGAACGGGCCAAGCTGGTTGAGATGTGAGTGTCCATAGGCCCGCGCAGCTAATCCCACAATCTCGACTATTCGGGTGACAGTCTGTTAGTAGTGCCTCTTTGGATCCGGGGGTAGATAGAAGAAGTACTCACATAGTCCTCCAATGATGATGGCGATGCCGAACCATTGCCGTGTCGCGATGATCCTCCACATGTGGAGCGCTGTCAAAACAATGAAAATCGCAGCGAAAACAATCGCGACGATTTTGTTGGGTACATAGTACGAGTAGAGGTTCATGTCTTCGTTTGACGCCATGATGAATGTTGTGAATGCGATTCTGAATAGTGTTCCCCTGTCGAGTCCGCTGCGCTGACTTTATAAAATCCATCGGGAGGCTGTGCGAAAATAATGGCCCCCAACAAGCTGACCCCAGCCGCAGGGTCGAACTTGCTCATTGGTTCGCAGTACTCGCTCATTCGGTCGCAGCCTTGGTCAACTGCAATTTTTTTACGATCATTCCGTTTGTAGTAGTACACAGCGCCCTGGCACCTATAAGGTCTCGTAGGGCTGTTTCTTGTCCAAGCTTGTCGAGGCTGGGCAGCAAGTGAAGAACGACATTGCGTCAGACCTGCGTGTGTAGAGAATACCCCAAGAAGCCAATTTCCCCAGCATTGGTTCCTTTGCCGGTAGTGATGGATTATCAAGTCGCCCATTCGTAGTTGCTCTCCAGTCTTGAGATCTAGTCCATGCAATGAGCAGTATGCTGGCAACCAGCAAAGCCGCCTTCGAATTAACAAAGTTAGAAATGCCGATCGCTCGCTGGATACGAATATTGCCACATCCGGACTAGTGCTAACGTCCTGCTCGTCTGTCATCGGTGAGCACGACAGAGCCCCTGGGCTTTTGTGGACCCCTCGTGGCCCGTTGGTCTCGGTTTCCCAAAATAGGCGTCCTCGCGATGAGGGCGCAGGCCTGGAAGACTTGACCGCATGATGGTGATGAGATGTGAGGTAACAATATTTAAAAAGGTATCGTCAAACCCGCTAACAGAATAGACTCATTCAAGCAGAGAAGCAGTCACATTCGTACTGGTGGCGATTCACTGGGCTGACTAAGAAAACCGCATCACGCACGGACCACACCCTCGGTATAAACGCCGCCTGCCTCCTCAAACTTCACTCTTCTTTTTCTCCTCTCCAGCTCTCTTTGCCTTTCGGCTTAGATCAAGTGTAGTATCTGTTCTTTTCAGTTTATTCTCTGAAAGTCTTCTCCGGAAGACGTCTTTGATTATTTGAATTTTGTACCTCGCGGCCTGGCCTCTGTGCTCTGCGCAAGCCTCGCCGCACAGTGTCATCGGGCTTACACTACCTCCGATCGACGCGACCGTTTTCATCACTCGATCGGCTTGTCCGGTCGCTTGAAGAAGAGGGAGTGGTCAATACCCAAAGAAGTGTCTTTCGCATTTTAAGGTCGCCTAACTAGGTATGAAAGTGGCTGGAGAAGAATGATTTGAACCACTTTATCTTGACAATAGTCTTGACAGTGTTGAAATGGTTGGCAACCTTTCATTAGTGTGCTCTACCAGGGAGTTAAAGGCTGTTGATTTAGTGTTAGACTACACGCGTACACTAGCGCAGTGTAGCGTATCATTTTCAATCTCCAAGCCCGCTTAAGCTTCGGCGGAGTACTTTTACACCGAGAGCAAGTTTCTTGAGGATGGAGCCTATTTCGATGGAAATTACGAAACAATCGAAAGTATGAAAAAATCATGAATTGAATAGTACATGTACGGCTTTTATCCGTCGGTAGAAAATAGAGATATCTCCGGAAAATCCATCGGAGAATTCATACACGCACATGACAGACTAGAAAAAACTAAACCAATGTCCATCAGCTTTTACCAGTCCCATGCGAGTAAGGCTTAACCGGCCGGATTCGCGCAGGTGAAGGGTGTCAGTGCCGTGGACGAGAAACTCTCGTGCATGGCTGTGACCGAGGCCCAGATTCCGAGACCAGCGGTTGCCAGTGCAGCAAGAGAGTAGATTACGTCGAAGGTGTTCCAAACAAACTTCTTCTTGTAGCCTCGGATCCAGCGCTTGATGCCGTGGTCGACTCGGTGTGCCTCACCTGTATGCGGGTTGAACTCTTCCTCGGGCAGCATCGCGTCTCTCTGGACATTGTATCCGACTAGAAGCATGGGCGGGAAGGTGTAGGAGAATTGCAAGATGCAGGCGGCACCGACGAAGGAGGTCAGGTTGCTGATCTGGGGGATCGCAGCGGCAATCACCCATGCAAGGCACCAGTAGGTTGGTACTATATGACAGTTAGTATTTCTGATTTTTTAAATCGGGAGTGTAGAGCGAGCTTACCGAGCGCAACCCAGATCCACTTTCCCAGCCGGCTATCCAGAGGCGGGAAATGGAAGACATCACGGAGTATAGCGGAATAGAGGACCTTGATGCCAATATTTCCATAAAGCAGAGCTGCGATGACACCAGTGATGAAGGAGATTGCGTTTCCGAGGGTTTGGAAGCGATAAGCGGTGTTCGGGATACCTGCGAAGAAGTATTAGTACGGAAATGAAAGGACTCGGGGCTATTGGGGGATTTGAGCTTACCCTGGTAGGCTGGGTTGAAAGTGAACTGACCCTGCGCACTGTAGACGACCATACCCATGATCAAGTAGCAAGCATAGATGAAAATTTCGGCGCAAATGAATCCCTTCCAAAAATCATAGGGGCGTCGCATCTCGGCCATCAATTCATTGAAGAGCGTGGCACCGCCATATGCAAAGACACCGTTCATCATGGCAGTGACCTTGTCATTGAGGGTTGAGGACGAAGGCCAATAAGCACTCGTCTCCACCGGGCCCTTGGGGATTCCGTAGCTCTGTTTAACGGCCTCGTAGTTCGGAGGGTACTCGTGGACGACCGCCATCGTCATGATAATGACAATGACATTCAGCCAGATAGCAATATTGGCCAGCCAGGACAGGCGTTGCAAAGTGCGAATCTGTCCTAGAATGAAACCAATCAACATGAAAATGACTTCAGCGACAATGAAGCAAAGGAATCCATTGCCGCTGACGCCGGCTGCCATCTGCGCAAGTCCCTGTCCGTTGCTGGTGATCAACAACGAGACATTGAGGAAGAACTGGAAGCTCTGCAAAAAATTCACCAAGATGCGCGCATAGCTGCCGAACACGCGGAATGCGACGTCGCCATAGTTGCGCATGGGGAACCGGGTCGAGTCCAGACCGACGAAGATGCGCCACAGCTGCAGGCCCGAGTAACAGGCCATGATACCGAAGGCTGTGTAGAGGGCAAATCCCGGCCCATATCCCATCTTGCTAATTGCCCACGGCACATTCGTCGGGCCAAGAATATCGGTGGTGATCAAGTAGAAAATGGAGCCCCAGGTGGCGGTCCGAGCCGCTCGCTGCGCCTGTTCCCACTCGGACTCACTGACACCCCAATTGTCGGATGCGGTGTCACTATTTGCGGTCGGGTCCGAGTAGCCCGGGGGCGCCTTTTTCTCGTCGGTAGTCTTCTCATCAGGGGGCTGCGCGGCATTGCTCTCGGTTGGGACCGATGGGGTTGGGGTCGAGGTCGGCAGCGTCTTTTCTTTCTTGCCGATGACGGTTCGACCTAGCTGCGCAAAGCCGGCATTATCGGTGCGAATGTTCTTCTCGACCTCGCGCGAGCGATTGGCCCAGTAGACGTAGTTCTCGAAGGTGATACTGGTGTCCAGATAGATCGAGCCAGGGCCATGGAGGATTGGAGGCGAGATCTCGTGTGACATGGATTCGGGATGCTCATCCTTGGTGCCAATGACGTCTGCCTCGACACCGAGGCGAGCGTCGGCCACACCACCGATGTTGGCAGCCGAGATATTACCCGCCATGGTGGAGGGAGGATGTAGGATAGAGGAGACGAGCAGCCGTGCAGATCCTCAAATCGCAGGTGGCCGCGGCAGATGAACGAGTTGCAAGAAGGAAAGGCGCCAGCAGATCAGTTGAAATAGATGACTAGGGGGGTTGACGACGGCCTCCGGTCAGTGCTGCCTCGTTCTGCGGAGAGGACTGGACCTCATCTCCGGGCTGTTCCTTCCCGAACAACTCCTCCCACTAGGTTGCCGAGTGGAGCAGGCACCTCCATAGACGAGTTTCTGGCCGGCCAGTCCTTGTGCAAAGAGTTATCTCCCATGGCGTCTGGAACCACCGAAAGCGCGGGCGGATGCAACGCTCGGGGGTGCGGGTGGTGTCTCAGAGGGAAGCCGGGGGACTGATGGGACCTAAAGTGGAGTGACGCCAGGCCGCTCCACTTGGGCCCCCTTGAATTGCTGGGCAGAAGCTTGTCTTCTCCGCATCTGCGCTGCCCGGTGTGAATTGCAGGCCAATTGTTCCTTGCTTGTCCTCGCGACAGTCCCACTGTTTGCGGCTAAGACGGCACCATCTGCCACCGGTTGGCACCAAACTGCGTCTGTTCCTCCCACAATTGGGTCGCCGTCCGTCCTCCGTGCGCCGGGCGACCACCGGAGCCCGGCACTTGTCGAACAATCCGCGCGCGGCGGTACAATGGCATTGCTTGGGCAAGCTTAGCCCAAGGCGTACGTCATGCTTGAAGTTACATGTGGCTTGGGCTTAGGGCCATGCTGTCCGGCGTCCTGGATCTGGGGTGTTGCATTCCGCACCCGTTGGATCCGACCGTGATACGCCACGAGAGTTACACAATCAAATGCTTGGGGACAGAAGGCCATTGCCCGCCAATTTCCGCAATCTCGGTCGACCTTGGCTTTTGTTCATATGCTGGTTTGGGGCACTTCGCGTTATCTAGTGGGTCGAGCACGAAGCGATATAAATTTGGGTCGGAGTAGACCGCGGCGCCCTTTAGGGTGCTGATTTCATGGGTATTGGTGGACTCGGACTCCGCGGATGAACCCCATGTCTGGATGGATAAGTGGTATTAGATAGAGATGATAGGGATTGCATACCTATCAGCACTGGTCAAAAGATGAAGATGATGACGAGAAAAAAAAAATAAACATAAAAATAAAAAGGAAAGAAACAAAGATGTGACAACATTGATGGCTGCTTGCGTGCGACGAGTCAATACTACGTACGCCTCCAGCGCGTGCCACTCTGCCCGATGGGGGCAGAGTCCAACTACAACTAGAAAATCTGCCACTGCTGCAGGTGTGATGTTGTGCATGTCTATCGAGACGATTCGGTCGATCCTCTATCCTCTAGTTCCGCCCTATCATATCCAAAAAGCCCGCCATCCGTCTATACATGTCTACCGGGTTTGAATACATGGGGAAATGCCCACACCCGTCGATCTGCGCCAATTCCACATCCCCTTGCGCCAGACGTCCCAGGTATGAGAGCCCCCCTCATCTCCCAGCCAAACATGAACATGCGCGGGAAGGGCAGACCCAAGAACATCCCCATTAGGTCCTCGTCGTCAGATAGCCGCACCATCGACTCGAAGATCGGTCGCACCGCTTCCACGTGTACCCGCGCGCGCAGCGTGCTCGCGTACAACGCATTGCCGTATGCACCCCCAGTTCGCGTCCGGTCAATGAACGCATTGAAGAAGTCCTGTGGGTCGTCGGACTTGAAGGTGAAGATCTGCCGACTAAGGAAGCAGTCCTCCGGGGCTAGGTTGCCCTTGATGTTTACAAAACTCAACACCTTTTCGGGGTTGCGATGCGCCAGGTAGAGGGCTGTCAATCCGCCCATGGAATGGCCCATCAAGTGAAAACGAGTGATCTTGAAGTGTTCCAGGAAGGCTTCGGCGGTGGCGACCAGGAAAGGAATGTCGGTGGCAGAAAGCTTGTCGCTCTTCGTCTGGCCGCAGCCAGGGGCATCGTAGGCAATATACCCATGCTCCTTCAGGGTCGGGTGCATATGCACATCTGCGAGATCTTCTTTGCAGGACCCGAAGCCGTGTAGGAAAAGAATTGGTGGGTTGGAGGTGAGCTGATGCACTGTAGACACCTCCAGGTTGATGTCCTCCACTTGTAGCGGGACGGTCGCGTATGTGAGCGACATGCTGATGCTGATGCTGATGAGTATATAAAAGAGTGTGACTGTCTGAGACTGGAACTTCAATTGCAATGGAAAGAATAGATGGATTTATGGCGACTTGACCGAGGAGAAATTGCCATCCTGATATCAATGCTCAGTCAGCGTGGTTGAGGCGAAGAACCACCGTTTGCCGATATACAGCTCGGGAAAATCCCTTTTCGCCGAGTTTGGCATCCACCAAAACTCTCGGAATCGCGCAGCGTGCGTGTACTTCACAATAGACTTCAATAGATATACCGGAGAAGCTGAATAACTATCCAGTGATTAGCAATCTTGTGTGCTTGAATCCTTGATTCACTGTGAAAATCATACAGCTGGGGAATGCATCATTTCTTAGATCTCCTAGTCCTAGAGTGCCAAGACTTCAGCTGATAATCACCGGATCGGCATCGATCGCCATACGCCAAGACCGAACGTTCAAACAAATCAAATGGCTTGAATATCAATAAACTCAGCTGTCTCTACATTAATCTTGGTAACGGTAACTGTGATACACTGGTGCCTCCTGAGTGTTATGGTAATTAACTACAATCCTTCAAGTTTATACAGCGGCTCTAATTTCGCCTCCCGTTGGAAGAAGATATAGCGCCGGACGAACCACGGCAACCAGGTACCGATCTGGTACCGAGCGTGCCGATGGATCGGCACTCCGAAGGTATAGTCCAGCTCCTCGAGGGTGCGTTGCCTATTGTATCGGTGTCAGAAATGTACCAAGCAGAGACTCATTTGGGGAACTTACATTGTTTCGGGGACCACGAGGAAGACGGTAAGAAAGGCGACGATATTCAGTCCCGCGTAGAAACCGAAAGCTATATCATGCATGAGTTTTTGGAGCTTAGATTCAGTAGCATTGGGACGTACCGCCCGTTGGCGTCGTCTTCGCAAGCAATGACGGGAACGTAAGGCTGAGAGCGCTTCCGACGGAATTGTTGACGCAGATCGTGAATGCTGCTCCTAGTTCGCGATGGGAAAGTGGGAAGGCTTCGCTGAAGTAGATTGACGGGATAGGGCCAATACCTGTATTCATACATCAGTTGGTGCTCTGAAGAACGGGTGGGGCGATACTCACCTGGTCCATATAGGGCTGTGAAAAGGTAGATGAAGAAGGCGATGAGCGGTACTCGGGCTCCAGATTCTGTGGGAATTAGAAAGCAGCATCCCGCAGCAAGAAGGCACCAGGCCATATTGGGGAAAGTAAATAGTAACAAATTGCGTCGACCAAAGGTATCCATGGTCCAGACGGCAGGCAAGGCAAATATGAACATGATGAGCCCGAAACCGAGAGAGGCGAGTAGACAGTCGCGGGTTGAATACCCCGCCTCCTGTTAGAAGTTAGCGAGCTCCCAAGTGTTTATCAAGGACTTAAGACTTACCGAGAAGATGGTTGAGGAATAGAAACTCATGATGTTAATACCGGAGAACTGTTGCGAAATGACAATAATGGCACTTGAAATCATCGCTCGTCGCAAACGGGGTACCGTAAAAAGCTCCCATACTCGAAGGGAAAGCGATTTGCCTGAAAACGCATCTCGCTCAGTCATAACCTGGCAGTGGGCGTAATACTAGGCATGATTAGCTGTTGCACAGATAATGAACGGAGATTCGAATACTTACCAAGTCTCTGGCGGCAATGAGCTTTGTGTTGCGCAGGCGACAGAATGCTGTGAATGCTTCTTGATACCGACGTTTCTTCATAAGCCATCTTGGAGACTCTAGAAGGAAGTTAGTCTTGGCCTTTATACATGATTTTTGTATCACACTCACCAGGGCAGAACCAGACAAAGATCAACACTGGCACGGCCGGAGCAAATGCAGCTGCCAACTGGAAACGCCATGCCAGACGCCCGATGCGGTAGAATATCAAGTTTGAACAGAATCCGCTGTCGATGCAAGTTAGCTATCACTCGGGATGCTGCTTTGCCGTGAACGTACGCAAAGATGCCAAATGCCACCCACAACTGAAAGCTTGTGACGAGACCACCACGAATTGAAGCGGGACTGATTTCGGCGCTGAATACGGGGATAGTTGAGATTTTGACGCCCATTCCTAGACCCATGAAGAGACGGCAGAGCAAGAGGCCCCACCAGTTCTGAGTAAAGGCCTGTGCAAGGACGGGGAAGACACAGCTAGTTGTTTTGTAAGCTGGTAGAATTTCCATATGATCAGACAGTACTCACAATAGACCAGTCAAGAAGATAGTACCACGTCGGCCCAGCCAATTATTGAGAGGATCTGCTGCCCAGGCACTGGAACCTGTTAGAATGCGAGAGCTTTGGTTGTTTCGGTCTGCGATTGGCTTGCCTGAGAAGACCGAATAATGTTGGCCTAGGAAAGCTGTTAGACAAAGATGTACAAAGTTGCTCGGTACAAAAGAACTCACCCAGAGTTGATGACTCCGATCAGCCAGGCGTTATCTGCGATGCCAAACTCTTGCGGGAAAGAAAGGTTCGCCCCATTTGCTCCCGTGTTATCCCATCCCCTAAATATCAAGTCAGATTTGGCATATCGATGAACGAAGACTCAGCTCGTCTGACTCACTGAATAGCCGACCCGAGAGAGCACAGAGCAATGCTGTAATATAGGTCTTTGGGCAGGTGCCACTTATCTATCCCGGCATTAGTACGGCCAGGTCCCTAAAGACCGAAAGACAAAGGCACGTACGAGTGGTTTCCCGTCGCAAGTGATATTTATCTTCCTCTGTCAACTCCGACAGCTCCTCGAAATCCTTTTGATGCTGAGCGGCCAACGCTCCTTTCTGAAAAGTCTCGACCTGGTCTTCCAATCCGTATTCCTGACAGAACCGGAGCACGCGATCATATAGATCGACTTTAGTGATGCCCCCGAGGGGATTATAGATCCTGTTCAAAGCATAATCAGCATCGCTCAATCCGTAAAGGCACTGAGAACTGGTATCCGGTCGCGTTGTACCTCGCATTCACATTGTGACTATAGCTACCCAGATCCGCCTGGGCCTCGGCATCCTCGACAAACACCGCGTTAGGCTTGAGGTCGTCGTCCAGACTTCGCTTCGACATGATGATAGCAGTGAATAGCTTCGAGCTGATCGCCGCAGCTCCAGGTGGAACCTGGAATATATACTCCACGCGCAGACCCAGCCGCCTTCACGATTGGCGGATCGTCGATGCTGGAATCCGGGGTGCGCTAGCGGCGCCGATCGAGAAAGCGTCCAATCATGACAGCGGTACCCCCTCACTGGCAGGTCATGACGCAGAGTGCCCTGCGTGTGCCAGCGGCGTCAACGCCGACTTCTTTGTCAGACTTTCTGGACTGTGTGCGACTGTGCAACCGGGCGGGCCTATGAGGGGAAATGGTGGGTGTGGCTGGACTCGGCAGCTCACCGGGCCTCGGGAATGCGCCGGCCCTGTACAGGCCAGGAATGCCCTGCGTGCGTACTCCTTGCTCGTCTGTCTGCAAGGCCGAGTAAGCCGCGTATCAGAGTGTCAGATGATGATGCTTCTTCCCCGATCTGCTGGTACCCTGTGTGTGTCCGATGCAGGAGGTGGCAAGTGGAGGGGCGATCGCTGGGTGGTTGCCAGCTGTACAAGCGGGAGAAAGGTATATAGTCTCGTCGCGGGATTCCTAGGTGAGAGTTGTAAGAACACCAACTATTCGAATTTGCTTTCCGTCTACAAACAGTCCGCAGAAACACTCCATTTGAATCACCATGGGCAGCGCGGAAAACGTAACATGGCTTCAGAAGCTCTCTGAGCAGTGTAAGTAAATTTGATGTTTTGGTGACAAAGCTGCAATTCGATACTATCATTTCTAACACTATCAAAGTAAACGTGGACGTGGACTGGATGGACCCGGCCTATACTCTAAGCATGCCAATCGTCCCCCATGACATGACCAGTAACCAGGGCTGGGTGCACGAACAAATGTGCAATCCAGTCAACGAAGAGCTGTTTAAGAGCGTCGTCAAGGAGTACAAGGATCAGGGATGGCTCGCAATCTATACGCACATGGTACGGCTTCCCCAATCCCAGCTCAAATCAAGAGAAATACTAATACACCCCCAGGCGTGCTTGATGTCCAAGGCCAACCTCGACAACATCCAGGGCCGCTGTCTTCTACAGACACTTCCGTCCAACGCCTATGACACCGAGAAGACTCTAGAGCATGCGCGGGCTTATGCTCGCGAGTTCGAGAAACTGGGTGTCTCGAAAGATCGATTCTGCATCAAAATTCCAAGTACTGGCCCCGCGTTAAACGCTTGCCCCATCCTAAAGGAAGAAGGCATCCGCACGCTCGGCACGGCACTTTTCAGCGTCCACCAGGCCATCGCGGCAAGCCAGGCTGGTTGCTTGTACATCAGTCCGTACTATAACGGTAGGAAATCCCCAAGCCTTCTTGCAAGGTCGATGACTGACTCATGGCGCAGAGGTTCGTGCTCACGACGAGCGAGAGTTGTGGCCCCAGTCTGAAGATCCGGCACTATTGCATCCCATGTCGCCTCGTCTGGTCCAGATCCTGGAGACGTACAAGCGTCTCTATAGGGAGACAGGCCAGGAGCAGCCTTTCCTGAAGAATGCCAGGTATGTCGGAGAATGAACACCACTGGAAGTGAAACTGACAGATTTTCGATGCGATAGTTTCATCTCGCCGCAAGAGGCAATGGCAGCCGGCGAGCTAGGCTGTCACTCAGCGACGATCTCACACCAAGTCCTCACTGAGCTGGCGAATCTTCCATACGACGCCTCCAAGCAGCCGGGTCTTGGTGTCAACAAGCCAGCTCACCCGTACAAGAGCGCGGCACCAACTCCGGAGCGTCTGAAGAAGCTTGCCCAGATCGACCCGCTGATCGGACCCAACTGGGACGGAAGACTGTCGAGAACGGACATCGACTACCTGGCAAATGGAGGTGCTGAGCTTGATAAGGCAAATGAGGCGGACCCAGAGACCAAGAGGCGGCTTCGTGAGGCTCTCACACTGTTCATTGGAGCGGAAAAGAGAAGTCAGGCGAAGATCGAGGAGGCCATGAAAGCTGTCTGAAGTAGAGACACGGGTATTGTTGAGTTAATATTTTGTCACGATTCGAGATCCCACTCGGTCATATAGATAGACTCGCTGGATTGGGGAATGAATTTGCAGTTTGGAAATCTTGATTGTTCCTAACTGAATCCTCATTGCTGGATGGTGTAGTGACTGGCATAGGTATGGGCATGCTTGGTGACCACGAGAAAGCGAGGTTGCCAGGCAGGTCTAGTGGCATGGAGTCATCTTGTAAGTCTCCATCTTTGGGCGGAGTTGTAGCTAGTACGCCTGGGTGATGGGTCCAGAAGAACGCCGAATCATCGACCAAGCGTGATGCCTCCAAATGCTCCGGCGGCGTGATTGTAATCGTACCGGGTGACTGATTCCAGAATATCGAAGGATTTTCCGCAATATTTTGAGATAAATCCATGGACTGAGGCTTATGGGAACCAGGCCATGACCAGTCGTCTGTGTTACAGGCCGGTTGTGGGAGCAGCGGTAGACCGGATTCCTCAAGCGTACGCGTGGGTGGGGAGACACCGTTCGAGACACCAGGGAGTATTCTCGCTTGCTCCAAGACCGTACTAGGCACAGTTGTAATAGAGTCTACCTGATCAGGTCCTTCGCCGTTTGCCAGCATCGCAACCACAGCGGGGTCGATTGGCCGAGGTTGCCGGGGTTGCCGAGGAACGCACACGCCCGGCTGGCATAAGGAACGGAGAATATTAACCTCTTGAAGGAGGTCATCACGCTCAGCTAGGATGTTTTGTATGGCACGGGCCGCTTGTCGAAGCCTGGTCTCCTGTGTCTTGTGGTAGGAGATACTGGCATCTACAATGACGTGCTTTGAAGGGCGTTGCTCGCCCTTGAGCATTGGGAGCAAGTTGGTCAATTCCTGGGTCCCGAGTTATAGCTTTTCAAATTTTTCAAGGTCACCTTTGGAACTCACCGTTAAGCGCTCGGCAAAAGCCTCTCGTCTGGACTTCTCAAATTCCCGATGCACGGCGCGGTCCTCGGCTGTCCAATTCCGGACTCGCTTTTTCTTTGTTCGCTGTGGCCCCGAAGGAGACGGGGCCATCATCGGGGAATTATACTGATCTGATGCGGCGTTTGGCTCCATGTTTGCTCTGGCATGGCACTCACCAGGGGTGAGGTGTATGGCGAGATCTGGGGAAGTGGGGGAAATGCGGAGAAGCGTCGGCTGTGACTCTTCCGAAGCCCACAGCTCTTCCCCGCCAGAGGTCATCGAGCTGGACAAAGCCTCAAGTCGCAGGCCAGCTGGATTTCTTTACAGCTATTCATCCCTCTGTTAGCTCTAAGATTGCTGCCGCACATTCATGTCATCCATTCGTCTCAAGACTGAGTCGTCTAAAGCAAAGTCCGGTGATCCCATATTGGTTTCCATAAGACGAAACACTATAGCAGGCAATAAAGAGCAAATTTTTGACGCATCAGACAAGTAATCATCTTTACAGATGAATAATGATGCTTTTCTTCATTCTATTATCATATCTCACACTGGAGAGTGACTCGCCCAGCTCGTAATAAGCTCCACATTACTAGCAGGTTTTAAGGACGACTGAATATGAGAGAGGTTGGGCTTAAAAATCGCAGAAATGAAAATATTTTCTTCAGCTTGCAAGACCGATCTTCTTGGGAATCAGGAACTTTTCATGCCCTTTCATAACGTGCTCCGGGATGGCGAGGTTCTTGATGGGATAGGCCTTCTGCACAGACCAGTGCTTGGACCGTTTTAACCAGTGAAGGTGCAGCTCAATTCGATGATCTAGCACTGCATTCAATTGGGCAGATCCTCCGTTGCATGTTCTTGCGTTACAAACCTTGGAAAATAACAACCCGTGGATCATATAATGTAGGCAGGGGCGGGGCGATCTTAACGGGATCTTCACGATAATCAGTTCGATGGCGTGAAATGAAGACAGTGTGAGACTTCTTCAACCCTTTGAAGAGTTGGCTGTATGTATACGAAAATCTGTAAGTTTTGGAGTGCACTCAGAAGAATTGCACGTCATCCTTGATCACGAATATTTCCCACGAGGACACCTAATGGGTAAAGTTTGGCCCTCCTACACGTGGAAGGACAAGGTCTACCTGCGGCGGACGATTTGAAATTTGCAATCTATCAACTACGCACAAACAGCAGGTGTATTGCCACAGCCCTCTGGTGTCAATGACCAAAAGGATAGGAAAGCTCCTCAAGCTCACTATTCCGTCGGAATATTGATAGATGGGAATATAGAATGCAATAAGCTGCGAATGCATAACGTGCCGGGTTTCCCCGAGGCTCAAAGAGATTCGGTTGACTTGGTGGGCAGCTTCGCGACTGATGCCCTGGTCGGCATTCTGATAGGTCTGTTCATTGGCGCCGCTGTCTTTTTCGACTATATCTGGCCCGAGCCCGAGCGACGAGAATTGTGCGTCATGCAGTGGTTATGGAAGTCGATCGCGGCTGGATTGAGCAGCTTGCAGCTCGTCGCACGGTAGCTGTGACGACGCGAAGCTGCGCGATATCAGGGGTGTTTGTAGCACAGCAAGATGCTATTCGTTCGGACAGCAGTGGCCCGCAATTGCTTTATCACCAGCATGAACTGGCATTGGTTACTCTGGTGTTTATCTGAACGGGATGCCTGTTTCCCAGCTGGAGGTCAGTGTTCGAGGATGGATTCATCAGCAATCCCCCGAGTGCAACGACGTACTAGTAGAGCTAACGGGGAGTCATAGTACGATTGTCATGTGGCAGTGCTACGCCCACAATCACAAACACTGCCCCTTTCCTCGTCACAGCGAGGAGACCAGCCACGAAACGCCGGTGTGAGGAGTCGAAATTGCAGGTTCAACTGTAGCACAGAGCAACCGCAATGAAGCCGGTGGACCATGCTTTCAGCCCCCTTGAAAGAGAAAAAATTCGCAAGTCAGGTGTGTGCCCAAAAAGGGGGGGGCCAGGCACCGGCCAAGAACTATAGAATGGAGCATGGCTGAGGTAGTGCAGCCAAACATAGCTGGCACGCCTCGGACATGCCAGAAAGGCAATTGCAAATACTCCATTAGCCCAAAACAACCCATGCGTCAGAGGGCGCTTCTTGTAGGCGCTTCTTGTACTCGGTCGCTCTTTTAGGCAAAGCCGGCGAGACGTAAGGCTGAGCCACGCGGGCCTCGCCTGACGGGAAAATTCCTGCCTGCACGCCAAGAAGTGTAGAAAGAGTGAAAAAAAGACTGATGTGTGACTGAGAACCCGAGGGTCCGCAGGCTTTGAAACGGTCGCGATGACTCGAGGGATGACTTCAGACATACGAACCAAACGCACTATTCTTAGGACTGGGACCCGATGCCCGTATAGAGTCAACCCGGAGAGAAAAAAATCGAAAATCGCGCGAACCCGATGGATTGGCGTGCGCCAAGGGACGGCTTTCCCGCGCCAAAACAGAAAACGGAGCGGCGATCTCAGGTCTAGACAGCTCCTGTGGGCTCCACCGGCACCGGGAAAGTCGAGAAAAGTCGAGCGGTGCTGGTGGCAAGGCAGGCGGTGGAGCCACCAGCTTTTCGCGGGAGCAGCATCACACATTCCGGTTTTACCATCCTTCCTCTTCTTCAAGTTACACACCCCCGTTATATTCACCATGACATTCCTCCACTCAAAGCCTCCCTCTCTACCATGCGCTTGCGCTGAGCAATAGCACCGGCTCCTGTCTACGCTGCATCTTGCCGATTCCTGGCCGACTCCCCCCGGTCTGGCCTCCAATTGTGTCCACATCCTCATTTTTCGTGGATCACGCTCCTCCCTTCCTCCAGCTTGCAATCGCGCCGAACGCCAAAACGGTTTGAGCTGTGCCTGGCCCGCTAAGCTGCACGCTTATTACGGCCCTTCCCGAAACTAAACAAACCGGCGACCATCTCCGAGAGAAGTCGAGAGATCCCGTGCGACGGCTGCTCACCGCAACGATAACGCAACCCTTCAAACGCCTTGCCATTGAACATTCCCAGCCAGTCTCTGCCTCGGATCTTGGCTCGTGCTGCAGTCTCCTTTCCACATTCTTTGTGATAAGCTGCACAACCCCCCAGGGTTCCTTCACCGAGCTTCTGTACACGCCGAAGGAACGCCCTCGCCATTCTCAACGCAACTCGACTCTCACGCGATTGATTCCTTATATTTCATCATGGACGTCGACCTATAACTTGTGTTTTGTCCTTTGGATATATCTTTTTTCGTACTTCAGCGTCGCTTACATACCCATCATCGGCTTTTGATATCTCTTACTCTTTGGTCATCTCGTGATACGACCTCGACTCATTCGTCTACCTTTGTCAACAACCTCAGTGCCATCAATAATCATGGCTCCAAACCTCTTCCTCTGCCTGCGCACTCTCTGCTGCCCGACCTACTGGTTCCAGCATGGTGATCGCATCGACGGCAATGTCAACCGAGAACAACACTGGGAAACCCCCGTCCCAGGAACCTACAAGTTTCTCCCCGGTCGCGGCTGGCACCTGATCCAGCGCGATAGCTGCGACTACGAAGAAAAGGCCCCTGCTGCCCTGGTCTACTGCCGCATCCTCCACCGTTACATGTTCGAGTCGGAACTCGAAGAGCGCTGCCGCTGGTTTTCGGCTCCGCTGCACAAGGGCGCTCGGCCTGAGCAGCTCCGCTTCTTCCTCCTCGACGATGGCATTCACTGGGTGGCCGGCTGGGACGCCAAGGGTCGCTTCATCCCGGGCCCTTACCCCAAGTGGTGGCTGGACGAGGATGGCGAAACCATGCGCCGCGGCGTGTCGCCGCCCGCGAGTGCCAACGTCTCTCGATGCAACAGTATTGTCGTGCCCAAGTTCGACTAAGTGGCAATGACAAAACATACAATACAATCACGACAGTTTTCAACACGCTGGTTTTGCCTTCATCTTTCAACTTTTGGCAAGCGTTTTAGCGTCCTCCCTGGTTATTAAAAGTGCTTTTCGTTTCGGATTCTGCGTCATGACTCGGTTATACCTCTTTGGATTATGGTGTCTACTTTTTCTTGTTGGTAATTATGGGGTTTATAGATCTGATTGGATTTATTTGTTGGTATTGGGACTGGGCACTGTGATCTGCGAACGGCGCACGGTTATGAGTGTCGGTCATTTTCCTTTATAAATGGATGGCACATTCCATAGAATTCTTAATAGAACTATCCTCGACTGAATTTCTTTCCTCGTCCGATCGGCAATTGAGATGCCAAAGCTCGTGTAACACTCTTCAGACCTTGTGGTCCTTTCCATTCAGGCTGGATCGATAGCCACATGGACAATGAGATCCAAGCTCACAAAGAGTGTTTCAGGTTTCTGAAGCAGACACTTTTGTGCCGTACTCTACGTCATCATGCATGTCTCCAATTCTACTTAATCATATGATCATCTGCTTGATAGGCTCCAAGACTCGCATTACCTAGTGCATTACCAGTACTTTTATTTCGGCGGGCGTGCCAAATAGACCACTGTTTAGACAAAAAGTACGACTACGTCGCTGGTCTTATGTCAAGGCAATCTGGCAATGGTTTCGCACTGCGCAGCCTTGGGGACTGCCCTGACTCGAAGCTTGAAGAAACGTTGGGTCCCTAAAGGATCGTCGAGGGGCGGTTTCGAAGAACTTAGTTAAACATATGCAGCCCTAGAGCACTAGTTACTCTAGCAGTAGGTACTATGTCACGTGTTGTCTGTCTGAGAAATTTGATCTGATATTGGTCGCAGATAGCAAGTACCCTAGGTAAAAGGTTACTGAGCCATAGTCGAGAGATCAATACTAAGAAGAAAATTTTCTCCGCCAGAATTCCCCCCGTGTCCTCTCATCTTCTGGCGCGGACAAACACGGGAACGGTCCGGGTCCGTGGCGGGGTCTGGTCGCTCTCTCTCTCTGAGATTACCCTTATCCATGAGATGATTGGTAGTTTTCAGTTAGTGGCGGTTAAGGCTATATAATGATATCTCCAATCTTTCAAGAAATGCGGGGAAGGAGACACTAAGCTCGCTGGTCATGGGGCTATATAGTGTAGATAATACTGGGATGTCAGCCTCGAGTGGTACTGCTCTATCTTCATTCAAATATCCCCTACAACGGTCCATTTACCAGAAATCAAGATGGAGAGAGACGATACTTCAATCAAAAGTGTTGAGATGGAGCGTATCAATAGTCAGCGCCAGGGTACGATCCTTCCAATATCTATCAACAAGGATGACATCCAATCGAATATGAGTACACTGGAGCAAGCCTTCAATGAAATCGGATTCGGGCGGTTCCAATGGGGATTAACACTATCCTGCTCTTTCGGATTTCTTGTTGACCAGGTAAGTCTTGCTAGCCTTTAAGTAGTACGTCTTTGCCACTTTCTGATAACCTTTGGTCTTATAGATGCTATTGGTCTCAATAAGTCTTACAACTCCACAATCTGCTCTTGAGTTTGGTCCCAAATATCAAACTCTACTTTCGGCTTCGCTTTATGCCGGTCTTTTCGCGGGTGCCCTTCTCCTTGGCGGCTTAGCAGACATCGTTGGCCGAAGACTCGTGTGGCACGGAACTATTTTCGGCGTTTCTATATTCGGCTTGATTGCTGCTGCATCCCCGAATTGGGCTGCATTGAATGTCTTCCAGGCAATACTAGGATTCCTTGGGGGCGGCAACCGTAGGCTTTCCTACGAAGTGGAACTAGATCTACCACTGACACTGCACAGTTGCGATCGATTTGGCGATTCTGGCGGAAAGTATTCCACCTAGGTGGTCATTCATCTTATCAGGACTTGCTAGTATATGGGGCATTGGCAATGCAATTACTGGCTTGATTGCTTGGCCACTTCTCGTCAACTTTGGCTGTGCCAGCGGTTCTGATCCTTCAACTTGCCCGAAATCCGCGAATATGGGGTGGCGGTACCTCTATATCATCATTGGTGGTCTGTCTTTAGTGATGTCCTTTATCCGTGCACTTGTTCTGAGGTCTCGAGAATCGCCAGGGTGGCTTATTTCATGCGGACGCATTGATGAAGCCGTCTCTGTGCTTAACTCCATAAGTGCGACTAACAAGTCAGAATATCGGGTTCGCTCTGACCAGTTCATTCCTACAAGCCTGGAATCTCCTTCTCAGTCACTCGGCGAAACTTTCCATCGAGCAAGGAAACTTTTTGTCGGACCCAAACAGCTGCGTCTCGTCTTGTTGATGGTCGGGATGTGGGCATTTGTTGGCATCGCGTAAGAAATGTTTTTCCTCTTCCCCATAGATGAGAATACCAATTTCAAATAGGTATCCACTTTACACAATCTTCTTACCCTACTACCTCGCAGCACATGGGGCTCAACTAGGCAACCAGAGCAACTATATCACATATAGGGACTGGGCCATTTCCTCGGTCGTTGGTATCTTCGGCCCATGTCTGAGTATGTGGATGGTCTCGACAACATTCTTCCGATCTCGACGATCACTATTTATCACTGGTGCTGCCTGCGCAGCCTTTTCGGGAGCCTTTACATCTGTCAGAACCGAAGCACAGAATCTCGCCTTTTCTTGCATGGTGAATTTCTGGTTGAATGCTGTTTATGCGATCATATACTCGTGAGTCTGCCTTTCTATCATCATGTTGAAACATTGAGTAACTAGTTGCTCTAGATATACACCCCTGGTATTGAGTGTCGAAAATCGTGGGCTGGGAAATGGTCTTTTGCTCGCATGTGGCCGCCTGTCGTCTCTCAGCGCCCCATTCATAGCAACATTTGCAGATGTTTCCTCCGCAGCGCCTATTTGGGTTTCTTGCGGTTGCTATTTGGCTATTGGCATACTTGGTCTTTTGCTTCCAGTGGATACAGAGGCATTCAACCAATCTCTATCAGTATCGGATGAGTCTCGGCCCTCCGATCAGACACTTTCCGTCTTGAGACGATCGGTGGCGGGGATAGCCGGAGATAAGGCTTGAAGTTCAGAGTCCAGCCCTGATGCGGAATGATGATCGCAAGGCTGGCCTTGTGCCTTGGTCACTTCATCGCACATATAAGTGTTCTTGAATCTTACTTCCCATCCTTTTTATCCCTTGGGGACTCCCGCATACCTTCTCTCTGACCAGTATTCCTTGTAAAATCACCACGGCATCATGAAGGTCGTTCTAACCGGTACTACCGGCTTCGCTGGCCGCGAAGTACTCAACCAGTATTTGCAAAACCCTTCCATCACCTCGATTGTGGTATTGAGCCGATGCGAGCTACCTGCGCATGATAAGCTCAAAGTTGTCGTACTTGAGGATTTCACCTCATATCCTGATTTTGTCCGCGAGGCCGTTCAGGGCGCCGATGCATGTATTTGGTATAGTGGCACCAGACTCGATGATCCAACCCAAAAGATTGACGCAGCTACAATAGGACGCTTGGGATAACGGGGGCCAAGGCACCCGATGACGAAACTGCACATGTCAGCATCGACTACACAATTGCTGCGGCGCGATTTTTCTACGAAACATGCAAGAAGCCGTTCCGATTCGTGTATTGCAGTGGTACGGCTGCAGAGCGAGATCAGAAGAAGCCGCTATGGTTTATGCAAATTTTTCGACGCATCCGAGTATGACATCCCACCCGTAGATCCCTTCTTTGCAATTGAACTCGTTGTCCTAACAAGTCATAGGGACAAGTAGAGATTGAGCTTTTGGCTTTCGCCGATGAACACAGTGGTTTTAAGCTCTTATTGTGAGGCCAGGCATGATTGTGACAGGTGGAATGGATCTGCACAGCTTAGTGTTTAGCCTTGGTCCTTCGGTGAAGGTAGATGTTTTGGCTGCCAAAATGTTGGATCTGGCATTGTAAGGTGGAGACAAGAATACCTTGGAGAACTCCGAGTTGAGCTAGAAATAATTGTAGATCCGTAGTGTGAGTCCTGATGGTTGGTTTCTTGCAATTGACATGAATTTATGTTTGCTAATGATCATTTCCATTATTGAATACAGTGTTGTCTATGTACATTTCTTTCCGTGTCCTCTCATTCTTCAGGGAAATGGGTTATATGTGCCGTTCCCGAAGCAGGGGCCATCAATCTCATATCCACTGACGTTTTGCGCTGGGATGCCGTTCGCTCCGAAGCGGATGACCTTGCCTCCATAGGTGTATGGAACCCAGCCTAGTGAAGCAGGGCCCTTCTTAGGGTCTTTCATGAAAGCCAAGAGGTGGTCTTGCATGATCTGACTCGTTTTGACTTCTTGAATGGTAGGCCTAGCGGTAGTGTTCACCGCATTGTAGAAATAGGTGCCAAAGAACATCATCAAATCCGATGAGTGGAATGCGCCCATCCAGGCATAGGCATCCTGATTCGGCCAGCTTCCAGCGTATTGAAATCGGTATGTTGTTCGATTGGCGGCAGTACGAATAATACTGGTGTTGGCAGTAGGACAGACCCAACCAGACAAAGTACCTGCGTTGATTGTAGGTTGATAAGGGCCCTCGGTCACATTCGCCGATGGCCATGCACTGAGACTGACATCGTTGTTGGCAGCATCGGAGAAGATAGCTGGGCAAGTCGAGAGCTTTCCGGCAGCAGCCCGAGCTGGATAATCAGAGAAAATAAAATGCTCATCGGCGATAGGCCCAAATATCAACCCCGGCTTACCAGCATACTGGCCGACAAAGTTCTCTATCTTGGTCATGGGCACCTGCTGCATGCACTCTAGCTCTTTTGTCGAGTTGTCAGGGAAGTCACAGCCAGAATTCTTGGCTACGAAGGTGAAATTCGACTGGGCATAATCAGACGATGTGATCGTCTTGATGGCGGTGCCTGACTGCGAAAAAGTGCCCTGGACAAGTGGGTTGTCCCAGAAAGCAAAGTTATGATAGTCTGTACTGATTGCGCCAGCTGACTGTCCCCACATCGTAATAGCTTCGGGGTTGCCGCCAAACGCAGCGATGTTCTCATGCACCCATTCCAGGGCCAGGCGCTGATCCAGCAAGGCAGGGTTGGGGTTGTCAAGCCCAGCAGCGTTGGGATAGCCAAAGATGTTGACCCGATAATTGATGGTCACGACAATGTGCTCCTGGGTCCGGTTGACCCATGCAGATGGATTTTGAGCTGGCACGTCCACTCCACCGGTCTTGAAGCCTCCTCCGGTCATAAAGAATACGACAGGAAGCTTTGCGTCGGCAGAGATACCAGATGGTGTCCAGATGGAGAGGCGCAGACAGTCTTCGGATGATGTTTGCAAGGTGAGACCCGTCGAGTGGTCCTGATGGCCATTATTTGCGAGCAGGTAGGGCGTGACCTCTTCGAAGAAGCTTGGCTTGCTGGACACGAACTGCGGGCATGAGGGAGGGAACTGTGTCGAGTAGTGGTGCTTCGACGACGAGGGCAGTTGCTCCGGAGGCTGAAAACGCAGCGATCCAACTGGAGGCTGTGCGAAGGGAATGTTTCGGAATTCGCGCACAGCGCTGAAGTTTGCATTATGAAGACCAGTGAAGACACCGGTTCTAGTGCGAACTGTTAGAGATGGGTCGGCGACCGCTTGAAATGCGGAGGCCAAGAGAATACCAGCCCCAATGAGCTGCATGATGAACTAGAGAAGACAATCACAGTCAAAGCAATCCAGAGAATCTGCATAATGCGTACCTGCCGTCTATTTATTCCACTGTACTGTCAAGCTTTGTGGAGAAATGACGAAGATCGTCATTCCGGTCGATTCCCTCCCGAGGCCGGGATTTCCGAGATGCGCAGCCTCCTCGGCTTTTCCTAGAGAACTGGCTGGTTCTGAGTACAAGAAAGCGATAAGCTTCCAATAGCTAGGCCTTCTGGCTCATTTCTCCCGGTATCTCTTTACTACCTCATGCTGTCTCGCCTCTACAAACTTGTTCTTACTATACGCAAAGTACTACTCCTAGACATGCTACAGGGCTTGCTATCGTCTCTATTGTATTGTGTTAAATCGAATAGAAATCCAGGTCGCACATAACTGTGCGTGAAGGTATGGCGAGCCCAACGAGCACTCCCTGAGAGTCTATTGGAATTATGTACAGCTTTAGCTCTAAATCTGCTGGGCTAGCGCAGTCTCCTTAGAGCTTGGCCTCGGGCGAGCTTAGTAGCTTCTGGAGTCCCTGGCGCACACGGCTTTCCATGCCTTCTTTTCCGGCACGCATAGTCTCTCGCAACACAAAGACATGGGTATATGTGCCAACCATTTTGACGTTCTCTTCGCCCTTACGAAACACGCCAATCTCCCAGGTGACGCTAGACGACCCCAGCTTAGCGACGCGAAGACCCACTTCCAGTGTATCCGGGAAAGCAACGGATGCAAAAAAGTCACAGTGTGTGGATACAATGAGGCCAATTTGGTCGGTTCCGCCGGAGATATTGGACGCCTGTTCGCTTTGGGAGGGGGCTTATTGTTGACCGTGAAGGGGTTCATGCCGCAGTGCTCGATCAGGTAAGAATTGGCGATAGTATCGAAGAGAGCCGTGTAGACGGTGTTGTTGAGGTGGGCATACATGTCATTGTCAAACCTAGGCTTGATAGTTAGCTAGCTGGGAGCGAGTAGGTAATCCATGCTGGGAGTCCTTACCATCGTGTCTGGTGCACCTGGTGGTAGCCATAGTCACTGCGCGTGCGGCGCTTCTTTGCCTCGTACTCTGTAGGTACCATGGCTGTCTGGGTGGTCTCAAAGAAGGTCTCAGCAGCTGATGGAAAGGGAAGAATGTCCTGGAGACGCCGTCCAGCGGGACCCAGCGAGATGGAGATGATCGGGCTCGTCGCATCCCCGCTGCCTCGGAGTCGCTGGACCGAGGTTGGTCCCTGCTTATGTAATAGACATGCGGTTTTCATCTGAAGACGATTTGCAGCCTATTTGTCGCATAAAGAACCTCTTTTCCATTCTGTCAGGCTTGTGGAACAGCATATAAAGACGAAACGAGGGCGACTGGGCAGGTTGGAGGTGGGCGGGGGTTTCCCCAGTCGGCAGCGCCCCCACCGAACTCCGTGCCTGGTCTTATCGCTTCCAATCTAATTTTTTCCCTTCCCAAGGTTGTAGCCGCCACCTTTGGGACCGCAAACAACTTGAACAAAACCACCTACGACGCATTTGACGGTTCTCCCTGGCTCCCTCACCGCGCATTACCGCTTACTTGCTTCGGCGAGGTAAGCTACGAGTCCCCCCGCCGCCTACGATGGCTCTCGTCAACGTCGATGCCGTCAAGGCCCCTCCAGCGGAACAGTTCGAACAACCTCCCGATGTCATGGTGACGCCCTGTGATCCCTGGCCTGCGCCATACTATATGGAGGGTGGATTTCGCCGAGTGCGCCCGTATCACTACACCTTCAACACCTATTGCAAGGAGCGATGGCGTGGTCGAAACTTGGAAGACATTTTTCTTTCCGAATTTCGCGACCGCCCCCCAGAGTACTATGTACGCATTTACCTGCTGTGAATGATCGAGAGAAGTGTGTGAAGATTTGGCTAACCTATGATGTTTGCGGATAGAAACACGCCCTTGATAATGGTCTCGTCTGTGTCAATGGAAAGCCTGCGGGCAGGGACACCGTGATCAAGAACGGCCAAATGATCTCGCACACCCTTCATCGCCACGAGCCGCCCGTCACCGCCCTCCCGATTGGTATCATTCATGAAGACGAAGATTTGCTGGTGATCGACAAGCCAGCTGGTGTTCCAGTGCACTCCGCTGGCCGGTACCATTACAACTCCGTTTGCGAGATCTTGCGCGCCGAGCGTGGCCAGGGATGGCTGCCGCGACCATGCAACAGATTGGACCGACTGACTTCTGGCGTCATGTTTATCGGAAAACACCCCAAAGGAGCTGAGAAAATGACGACACAGCTGCAGGCGCGGTCAGTACAGAAGGAATATGTTGCTCGCGTGAAGGGCAAGTTTCCTGACGGCGTCGTGGTGTGTGATCAGCCTATAATGCAGGTCAGTCCCAAGCTGGGACTCAACCGTGTGCGCGCTACAGGCAAAGAGGCTAAGACCAAATTCCGTCGACTGGCTTACTACCCTCCTGAAGCAGCCGCATCAACAACTGCTCCTGAAGTCCACACACCCGGTGGGGACACAGCGCGCGCCGTAACTCCGCCTCCAGTCCTTGCCAACGAGACCGAGGGGTACAGCATTGTTCACTGCTTTCCCCTGACTGGACGCACGCATCAAATCCGTGTCCACCTTCAATTCCTCGGCCACCCCATTACCAATGACCCAATCTATTCGAACCGAAGGGTCTTCGGGCCGGAATTGGCCCGTAACGAAGACCACGGGGAACGCGATGAGGAAATTATGGAGCGGCTTCACAAAATGGGCAAGACAGAGGTTGCTGATACGGCTACTTACCGTACACACCTGACAGCCGCACCGAATGTGCCGCCGGGGACCGACCCTGCTGTCCTCGCGGAGATTATGTCTCGGGAGCAACAAGCTGCCGCCGAGGATTATGAAAAGCGCAAGGGAGAGCGCTTGTCTGGCGACTTGTGCGACGTCTGTGGAACAGAGCTATACACCGATCCGGGCCCTCATGAGCTGGGTCTTTTCCTGCATGCGGTCGCATATGCTGACCTCAATGGTAATTGGAAGTATAGAAGCAAGATGCCCACATGGGGTCTGCCTCCCAAGGGCATGGAAGGACCACAAGAGGTGCCAGATTGGGTCACTGGTCCTGAAAGCGAAGAGATCATTTATGGGCATGGAACCGTTCCTCCTGAGATTGGCACTGAGGACGACCCTCCTAACTCGGGTAACCGAAGAAAAAAGAATCCCGGCGACTTGGGCCACGTACTTCTGCGGGGCGTTGGCTATGTCAATATCTCTCAGAACGATCCTGCGTTTGGTGGTAATGAATCGTCGCAGCAGGGAACAACCGAGTCTGCATCTTCGACTACGAACTAAATGTTGTCCGCTCAACATTTGCATGAGATGTCGTTTCGTTCTTTTCAAAACAACATGATACCATCTTTGTTAGGTTCTGTGGATACTGGCATATATCTGAGATACCAAAGGTCATAATGCAATCATAGCGTTTTGGTTTGCTTCTTGCAAGGCTACCATTCTATCAACGTTGGAATTCCATTAATTGGTCGAGATTACCTACGGGCGACATACCGGCCTTGTAGACAGTCTAGGGTTCAGGCCTACTAGGTATTTCATGGTCCTCGTGGGTCTTCCAATCAGATACGCTTCCGATGGGCACTAGCGTACTGTTTGGGTAGTTGTTGCGGCGATGGGACTGTGGTGTTTGGAGGCTTAAATTTACGGACATGACCCTATCACACCTGGTTCCGACTGGCCCTACGTGCATCAGTTTGTAGGATTCCAATACTCGGTACATATATTCACGATGCTGTAAATCTGGTGCCGGTATGCTCCCTTCTTCTAATATTCTCGGCATAGTTCACGGCGCTCACTCTCCTTCTCAAAGAACCTTAAACTATTCGCCCATAGCGAACTGAGCAGTCCCAAAATCCACCACCTCCCGAACCAAGCCTTTCCTTACTATTCGAATTAGAAAGTCATATAATGCCTTTCCAAAGAAATTATCGGCCGAAATATTCAAAAATTGGTTCGATGGCCTCTTCACCGGTGACCCTGCCGACGCACGCGCGTTTTGCGAGGACACGCTGAACCCGAACTACACCCGACTTCAGGCAGGCGGCGACAAAGCGGATTTTGAGGGTGTGGTCGAGAAATTCGTTTTCTTCCGGACAAATGCCAAGTGGGAAGGCGAGGTGAAATTTTTCATTCAAGAAGAGAATAAAGTGGCCGCGCGCGTTGTTGGCGATTTGGGAATCGGGGATAGGACTATGAAGAGGAAGGAGCTTATGTTTATGGCTGAACTGGATGATGAAGGGCGATTTCTGTTTGCTTGGGAACAGGTTTCTGATTTTTGGGAGGTTTGATAAACATTATTTGATAGGAGATGGTCAGTAGTCCATGCACCGATTCCCCAAAATATATTTGAGCTGTCACATGCACCGGTCTGTGTTGCATCAAAATAAAGCATAACACTAGGTTCTGCCTCTGTTGTCGCACCATAAAGAACTACACTAGGATACAGATGCTGTATCCACTCAAACAGCCCTGGGATCTGTTGAATTTGCAAGCATCACACTGGTGCAAACTACCACTAGCGAACATGAGTGTTGGCTGCTGAATGACTTTTGATGCTAACAATATAGACTAGAAACCGAATAATATGTACCCGCTAATTCCAAAGGACACCGCCATGATAAGTACAAATTCAAATCTTGAATCCCAGCGCCCCGATGTATATAGACAAGACAGAAATATATAGATGAACAAAAGATTGTTGATCAAGTTACCCACAAGGGCTTTTCACACTTTTCCTTCGCCGCAACGGCGGCGTCGACGCGCCACATCAAGGTACCCGACTCGACACCGGGAGCAGGTGTTCCACGAAGAGCTTGCGGCGAGGTATAGCACTTCCCGTCTGAGAATCGATATTGCAGGCACGCCCTGTCACTGGCACAATGCTCTGCACAGTCCCAGACGGTCATGGGAATTTCAATGCCTTCAGAGTTCTTCTTTTTATACTCGTCTCTTGCGTAGTTGTCCCAATTATCGAGGTGATGCGCCAATGTTGGTCGGACAAAATGAGTGAATATGTCTCCATAGTGGAGAACAGTGTGGTTTTCCTGGTGGTTTATCGTAAGTTTACCAACACCGAACGACGAGTGTTACGCCAAAGTCTCAAAGACTATGAACTACTCACATTAGAGAACCACTTTTGGTCAAAGTCCCACATACGATCAACGTCTGCGGGACTCATGTGGTGGAAAGTAAACGGAGGATGACACCACTGCTTCTTACCAAAGCCCTCGCCCAAGGCATCCTGTCCCCAGACGGACTCGGTGGTAACATGCGGCCAAGACCAAACCAAGCTGATATGAATTGTAGAGAGTGCCATGCCCAATACGCAATCACCCGCCCACTGGGCATTGGTGATTTTCTCCCATTCCTCGGGGTACTTGGTGACAAGATCCGCGACGTTGTGGATCGCAGAATTGGAAAGAACGAAGCCGGAGCCACCGTGGGCGAACATGCTTTCCCCGATTTGCATCTGATTTCCAATGTACAGTTGTCTTTCGGCGTCGAATTGCGCCAACCAAGCCAGTAGATTGGTCCAGATCGGGTAGGTATCAGCTTCGAGGAAGACGAACCACTTGGCCTCGGGCCGATAAGCCCGCGCTTCCTGGACCATCGGCAAGAACTTCCACTTGTCGAGCTTCCAGCCCGGATTGTCCATCATACCGGAAGGGCCGTTGGCGACTTTTGTGTGATCTTGCTGAAGAAGACCTGCTCGGCCGCCACTGCGAGCACGATGGTAGATAGCGAAGTCGTCGCTCGATAGCATTGAAGCGCTGGCATTATGAAAGACATCCCGTGTGCGCAAGCCAGCGATGTCTTCTTCGTAATCTGAGACAATCAGCTTATGCGGGATACACCGAAGCGTCGTGCGGACGTGCACCGGCACTTTATCCTGTGCCTCGGTGATGCCTGTCTTGAGAATAACGAGTACATCCTCGATGCCAGGCAGCGGGCGGCAAGCCGAAGAAATGTCGACTTCGGTCTTGTTCGCTTCCCTCTGGTTCGAAGCAGCCGGTTCCACGATGACCGCAGAGTCCCTTAAACTGCTGTGGAGATGCAGAAAGAGGAAGACGAGAGCCAGCGGGGCAAGAATAGGCACCCAGCGCCCATACCGGGCGGGGAGGGTGAACATCCTTGGGATGGCGGGGAGAGGGGATTAGGAGAAGAGGAGAAGGAAGAAGCACAGCTCCATGGCGACTCGGAGCTCGTCAAAGGATCGACGAGCCTTTGAACGACGTGGGGGCGTGTTTCGGAGTGGTGGCTTGTCTTGAGGCTGACATTGGCCAGATCGCTCAGTGGCACCATGTGCTTCGACCAAGCATTCGTGCCCCCCTCCTGTTTCTTAGCGCCCGGTTTCAAATGGAGGCATCTCTCGGGACGACAGTATGCCGTGCGGCGTTGACATCTGAGACAAGATGACAGCTCAAGTCGACTGCCCGTCTCGCAGTCCTCGTGCGGTCGTTCTGCCCTCCACGCAGGCAGCCACGAGGCCCCTGGAAGGTGGGTCGGTCGATCTCTCTGGACTCGTCATCTTTGGATCCCCTGAAGCAGGGAAACTAGAGAAACTTCCGCAGGGACCAGTTGGCAGCGGTTTGGTGCGAGACTAGTACGACATCGGTGGGCCGGCGTCCTGCGGTTCGTACATCGTACATTGTATGTAGTGTAGTGCTGTCCAATTGTACCCTGTTGTTCGTCTACTATCACCGACTCGTACTGTAGTACTGAGATAGAGACTATCTCTGGGCGCTCCGTGTGAAGGATATGCATTGCCAAATTCTAAAGACATAGAGCAAATCGAAACAGTCCGGACAATTTACAAAGGCGGAGCACAGAGAAACCTGCCGTCGGCGGCATATTAAGAAGAATTACTGTCAAGAACCCAATGGCCACCTGTCGGGGTATAAAAAAAGGTTTGGCATCACAATGCAAGAGGATTTTTCAATTTTTGTTTGTCATTTCAGAGAAATTTCTCTTGCTCGACGCCCGGAACGACCAAAGCGCGAGCCGCACATGGAATGCCATGCACAATCCTTGGAATCGTTATCGCCAGAGTGATAGTATTCACGACCGTACAAAACCCCGACCCTCTCGTGCTCCTGCGAATACCCCACCGGAAAAATAAAGGAAACAGAACTTTTTGGGGGTTCAGTCCATTTAGGCCTCGGTGGTGACACGGCCCTTGGGGTTGGTGACCTTGACACCGAGAGCCTTGGCCTTCTCGATGATGTCCACACGCTTGCGGGAGGAGACGGCATGGGCGATCCTAAAAGCGTAGAGGTTAGCGGGTGTTTCGACACGTAAAATAATTCGGATTTTTTCATTTATTGATCGTAGGGCAAGAATGCGGGTAAATGTTGACATACTCGGCAGCGTAGGTGCGGTTGTGCATCAGGAGGAGCTCAACGTCCTTGGGGTTGTGGACAAGGAAAGCCTTGTGGCCGGAGGGCATCATGTGGCGGGTCTTCTTGTTGGAGCCGTAGCCGATCTATAATACCGGGTGGGTTAGCGATGTTCGTCGTGTTGAAATCAGTCGAGAAGCTATCGTACCGAGGGCATGGCAGGCTGGCCCTTGAAGCGGCGGCGGACGGCATTGTCAATACCCTTGGGCTTGCGCCACGAGGGAGCGACACACTTGAACCGGTCAGACTGGTGACGGTTGAAGCGGTTGGTGCCTATTGCAATCCTTGTCAGTCCTTCATTCTTGATTCCGGTCGTGTCAAAAAATCGTTCAAGAAACGTCGAAACCCTTTGGATAAACATCGCCCTCCCGATCATCGAAAATCGTTCGTATGTCGCCATTCGGTTGCAGTCGATTCCAGTTCTTCCTCCTTCCCCCTCCAACCAATTCATCTGGCAATTTTTGATTGTCGATTGAGGGGCGATGCTATCCAGGCCAAAGGGTATGGGTGCGGTCGGGGATCGGAAACATACGCTTCTTGACGATGGGGATGTGCTTCTTGGCGGCGACCATCTTGCAAGAAAAAAATCGTCAGTATATCGAGGAGATCGAGGGAGTGCTGTTCAACTCACTTTGTCGGTGTTGCGTCTCGCCGGGCGTTGAGGGTTGTCGAGTCGGAACGAAAGCAATCTCGAAAACTTCGCACTGGCGGAGTGGGTGACCCACACTAGTGTGCTTTCAGCGAGCTAAGCGAACGGGGTCTGATGATGTAAGCATAGGGCTTGCCGTGGGTCGAGCCCTGCCAAGACTTCCTCTTCGGGACAACCTGGATCTATACGAGAGTACGACTGGCAAATTACCTAGGATGTCGGTCCAACTGGGCAGCGAATATAACAAGCAGAATTAGATTTCAGGCAAATAATTCATTCAAATCCATGGTTGGGTAGTTTACACCTGTAGTTGCAGCTGAACACGCTCACCCTGCTTCTCTCCACTTTGGAGCATCTGTTCCAGCACCTCCAAATCTGCCAGCGCCTCCTCGGGAGACTGTCTTGTCTCAACCGGGCGGCCGTTGGCAATAGCACTAGCGAAAGCAGTAACCTCCGGGGTAACCCCCTTACCGTCGAACTCAACTGTATGAGTGACACCATCGACGATTACATCATCAAAGTTGAGAGCCACAGAACCCCTCTCGCAGGCAAATTCGAAGGAGTGGCGACTGAACGGAGATCCCCAAGAAAGAGAAATCACACCCGTAGCACCAGATCCAGTCTGAACAACTGCATCTACTGTATCAACTGGGGGAAGATGGGACTGTTGCAGTTGAGACTGCGCTGAGACTGTCGTGATCTGCTCCGCAGAACCCAAAATCAGACGAAGGCCAGCAATCATGTGTACTCCGCCGTCCAAAAGGAAACCGCCCTGATATTCAGGAACCTTTCTCCAAGATGTCACTGCGGATTGGTGGTTCAATAGTCAGCATAATCATGCGGGGCTTTTCTATCAGATGTACTAGACATGGAGCTTGACGGGCCTCCGGCCGGGGGGAGGTGCGTACAGTAATACCGGTTATTCGATTTCACCATGTTCTGGATATCAACACGGAAATTCCGAACCTTACCCATTTTTTTCATCTGCTCGGCCGCGAAGATGTATTTGTTCATGTATCGGAAGTTCTCGCCCACGGCCCAGAAGATCTTACTGGTATCGATGTTGGCTCGATACCACTGCAAGAGCTCCTTCGCGGTGGCGATATCCTTGGCAATGGGCTTCTCAGATAGAACATGCTTTCCAGCAAGGAGGGCCTTTTTGATGAAGTCTGGTTGCACCAGAATAGGAAGACTAATCGATGGTCATAATCAGCTGGAGCAGTCCCGCGTGGAAACCTAGTTCAACACTCAGAAGGAACGGGTGACGGGAAAAATACGCGATAATCACGGCGCTGATATCAGCGCGGGCCAATAGGTCTGCATAAGACTTGCCTGCGCCGGAATCTTCGGAGTACAGGTCGACTTCAGATGAACCATTCGCGAGGGTCTGAGCCGAGGTCAAAGACCGCGAATAGATCGCCTTGAGTTGGAGATCCGAGGCAGCTTTCACGGCGGGCTAAATCAAAATTAGGACTTGAAGCAGAGGCTAACCCCTTAAGCATACAGACCAGATGTTGCTCTTGAGCAAAAAGACCTAGTGCGGGGTTGTATTAGTGACAGCTGTTCAACAATGTAGTGGATTATAGGTACTGACCACTGCCAACGATGGCAACTCCGATAGACATAATGGTGACAAGTAGATCAACTGGGTTCGCTTAGTTGTCTGCCGGGCAGAAGAAAGAGTCAAAGCAAGATCGGATCACGAAGGTTCTACAAATGTCATGCAGCATGGAGGGTGGGGTTGTCGACGCCGAGCCCCGTAGCCGGTTTCCACATCCGCGCACCGGGGAAGGTCCAACCTCCGATTGCAAGTGGCGCCGAGTCGGCATACCTTTCGCTGTTTCCACGGTTCAAACTCGCTCGGTCGAGCCGAGTTACAATATTTGCTTTGTTTACAGGAGATTGCTCAGCACGCCGAGGTATACCGGAATAACACATCAGTCATGCATGACGCAAGAGCTACCCCGAGAAAACGTGATGATCTACACTCATTTTAGAAAAGAAAGAAGCAATTTGAATTTGTATAACGAGTCCCAGTTGCAATATTAAAATTCACACCAGACTCATGTATAGGAAATAAAACTGGGAACGAGGCAATAGCCGCAAACCCAGTCCATTAAACCGACAGACACTCCCAATCCAAGCGCCAAATCCATCCCAAAATGCGAAAGCGGGAATCATCGTGAACCAAATCCAATCAATCCAGGGTTCCAGACGCCCGAATCCATATACCCATCATAAGAAAAATCAAAAATCGTGTCAGTCATAACGCAATAAACGGGCAAAGCCAGGAATAAACGCGCGTCGAGAGTGAACAGGCTTATGGATTGGAGCTCACCAGAGCCCGCACCCTCTCCACACGCGCCATCGCCTTCTCCAACCGTTCCAGTCGGCTTCGCTTTTCAATATCTCGACGCTCCAGCACTGCAACCCGTTCTTCCAGCTTCGCGCGCGCCTTGCGCTCCTGCGCGACCATCTCGTTGGCCTGACTGAATAATTGCACCGTCAACTCCTCCAGCTCAGTATTGGCTTGCGTGAGCTGCGTCTCGGCTGCTTTACGCAGGCCCTGCTCGCGCGTCAGCGCGTCTTGCAGTTCCGAGGTATTGTCGCTGCTGGCTGGGGACGCATGCTGCGGGAGCGGGGTGATGGATGCCGTGGGCGTTGAGGGGGCTGGAGCACTAGTTGGGGTTGCGCTACCACGGCGATAGGGGAGGAGGTTGGTGAGTGTTTGCAGACGACCTGAGTAGGAGTGTTGCGACTGACTGTCGGGTGAGACTGGGGTCGGAGTCTGGGTCGGCGACAACGATTTGTCCGCGTGCGACGAGGGTGGTTGGGAAGAGCTGTTTCTGGGCGTCCCACACATTTGTTGTGATGAGCGCAGTCGGTGTATTTCTTCTTCGTAGTCGGCGAGTTTCTCGGCTGCCAGATGGAAAAGTGTCGGTCAGCAAAAGGATCCAGGTTTGAATGAAACCGGGAACTGAAAGGACAACAGTCTTCTCGCTGCCTGTTCGGACTTGCGACGCAAGATATGCAACAGTGACAGATCGCGGTTCATGCTTACCATTGACCTGAGCTTGCGCCGCCAAATCCTGGATCTGCCCCTCCAACTCCTGGATCTGACGCCGCGCGTCTGGGAGCTCATGCGAATCGCCGACGCCGCCGCATGTCGGACATGGTTTGTCGGGGGTCGCTACATTCGTCATAGCAGAGGGTGTCCCAACGAGAGTGGTAGTCGTGAGCGTCGAGGTGGTCGTGGCCGACATGACAACATGGGGATGCTACCCCAACTTTCAGAGTAAACGAACGGGCTTGGGTGTATGGTAAGGCGGAGACCAGTAAACACCGACAACCTCCAGGCACAGCGATATCAACCGACCAAACGTAAAGCCCAAATGGACAGGTGGTGAGGTTCAGAGAGAAGAGTCATGAAACACGGGTTCCTTTCCATTCCGGACCCTTTGAAGGGGTTCATTAACTCCATACTGCGCCACCAGTTTATTTGCCGCCCAATGGCTGGGGGACCCATCGCTGTCTCAGGAACAAATCCTTTTTTTTGCCTGCAATATTGCGCCCTATTGATCTTTCTTTTCATGGCCATTTTCTTTGTTTCGAGTCTCCTTTTATTGCGATTACTTTTTTATTTCTACTAGCCACGCTACGCCGGGTGGTTCCCAACACAACCTACCACTACATCGGCCCCCGTGCTCGCGGACATTTCAACTGTTGTACACGGCACATGTGCGGTGTGCATTACGCTCATGGACATTGGACTAGTCCGCATTAGCCCATTTCGACTGGGACTAGTCCCACCTATTTATAACGCCCTTGCTGGGCGAGCCATTTATCGACCAATTGCCCGATGGTTGGCAGTTTATCCCTTCAGAGGATTGGGGCCAGATTCATTCATAGAGGGACAAGCGATGCGGGGAGGTAGGATCTAAGGTTCGGTAGCCTGCATGTCCCCTGCTGGACCTGCTGGTAGGGAGAAGAGTACACTACTTTATTGGATTGGCTGGAGATGGGGCTACTGCGTGGTTGCGCCGTGCTGCGTTCTGCTGCTCCACACCCAAAACGGACAGGGCGGTAGGGCACGTACCCCAGACGGAACTGCATGCTAGTACATACTATGCGACTGACTACTCTAAATGTATGTATACTTACAGCAGCACTAGTGAATACCTTCAGGAGACTACACCGTACGCACATTGATATGTCAATGAAGACTGCATTTCAATCTATGCTGGAGAAAAGAAACACGTGAAAGTCCCACTCCATCATTTCGTATTGGAGGGGCCATGCAGACGTCAGACCGGATATCAGGAGGGGAGGGGTAGACGAGAGAATCGAGAAAAAGCACAAAGATCAGTAATTCATGGTCATCGAGAGCATGGTCAAGGATAAAGGGCTTGGGATATCCACCTCGTCTCTCATTCAGTCATTCGTGCTTGCATGGCTGGCCAAGGGTTCTAGGCGCAGACAGAGTCATTAATAAGACCATCCAAAGCAGATCGAGGAGAGAAAGAGGAGAAAAAAGAAAAACAGGAACCTTCATTTCGCATCGGCTGTAATGGTCATGGGCAAATCACTGAATCACGCATGGGAATAGTAGCTAGATAGCGAGCAGCAACGAAGACATCACAAAAAAGAAGGGGGCGGAAGGAAAACTTAGAAAAACTTTTCAGACTGCCAGATCATCAGAGCAAGAACTAGATGAATGTCGGGAATCTAGCCCGACACGAAAAAGGAGAAGATCATGAAATAATAGGTACGAGAGGAAGGATGGGAAATCAAGACAGAGCAACCACCGTCGTCTGCTTGCCGTGTAGTGGAATAGATGCAAGAATCCTGCCACATCAAAAGACGTCGGAACGCCTTGAGGAAGATTCCGAAACACGCCAGGAAGAGCAGATGGGAGTACGCAGCGTCAGGCTTTGATATCACATGAGGGGCCACAGTTGAAACGAGAGCGGAGGTTGGGTAGGGTATCGATGGGTTAGAAACCACGGCCACCGCGACGGTTGTTGCGAGGCTTGGCACCGACGGTGCTCCAGCCATCGTTGTCATCAGCGGGGGCTTCGGCGGTGCGCCAGTTGCCATTGGAGGCGGCCTCCTTCGGAGCCTCAGCAGCCTCAGCAGCATTAGCCTGCTCGGGCTCCTGGTCAGCAGTCATTCCACTGTCGTCACCACCGGCCCGCCGGAGGATCTCGAAGTTGCCTCCGCCACGAGGAGGCTCAACAGCATCCTTGTTGGAGTCGGTTCCAGGCTTGGTCTCCTTGGTTTGCTCCTTGGTCTGCTCCTTGGTCTGCTCCTTGGTCTGCTCCTTGGTCTGCTCCTTGGTCTGCTCCTTGGTATGTTCCTTGGGCTGCTTCGGCTTATCGGACTTTTCGGACTTGGGCTGCTTCTCCTCCTGTTCCTTCTTCTGGCGGACCGCAAGTTGGCGCTTCTCCTCAACTTCACGCTCACGAGTAGCGGTATCAATAGGACGGGCCGCACCGAAGGGGCTGGCCTTCGAGTCACCACCACCGGCAGGAGTGGAGGGAGCCTCAGCTACGGTACGCTTGGCGAGGTTCAACTTAGGGCGGGTAGCGGGAGCAGCGGGGGAAGTAGGCTCCTTCTTCTCTTGGTCTGGGCGCATCGAGCTACGCCACTGGTTGTCCATCTCGGCAGCAGTAGGGGCACGCTCCGGGCGCTCTGGGCGCGGCGGGCGCGAGCCATCCTGCGAGCGACCCTCACCCCAAGCAGGCGAGTTCCTCCGGAAAGAACCACCATCGTCGTTGTGGTGAGGACGGCCACCCTCGCGAGGAGGAGCCCCAGCGGGGGGAGAAAGGGGACCCTTGCGCTCCCAGTTGCTGAAGTCGCGGAACTTTCCATCGGATTCGAAGTTGTTGCGTCGGCCACCACGCTCACTGCCGGCATCTGATGCGGCATCCATGTTACGACCAAAGCTAGCACGATCGGGGACACGGCGCTCGGGGGGCGGGGGAAGGGGACCACGGCGAGTCCAGTCGAGATCACGGCCTTCGAGGCGAGACTCCTTGGCTGAAGGGTTTGTCAGATTCGATGCCTTTGCTGCATCTGTAGATCTCCAAGGTCGGTACTTACGAGGCTCAGCGATACTGGTACGGATGGTTCGTCCCTGCAGAGTAGTGCCGGAGAGGTCCAGGGCCTTCTGCAGGCCATCCACTGTCTCGAACTCCACATATCCGAATCCCTTGGGAGCCTTGGTCAACTTGTCCTCGACGATTCTGACGTTGGTCACACCGCATCCAGCAAACAGATCGGAGATATCATCGGCAGTCGCATCGAAGGACAGGTTGCCGACGTGGCAGGTGAAAGGCGGCTCGGTGGGGAGAGGGAGGGGCTCTCGAACGGCGTATCCGCCGCGCTCGATGCGGTCTGGTTATGGGAATGTCAGCTTTTCTCCATACAATAATATCACTTTCGCTTTCTCAGATCGTGCGCCATACCGGACATTCCGCCGCCAAAGCTGCTACCACCGAAACCCATGCCTCCGGCGGGGCGAGAACCAAAGCTGGAAGTAGGAGGGCCTGTTGAAAATCTTGTCAGACATTTCTGGGCACTTGAAGTTTGTCGCAAGATAGAATTCAGTTCAACATGGTTCGTAACGTACCACCTATAAGTATCATTGTCAGCGACGAGGTAAACAAGCCGGGGCGGGGGGTTTCTGTAACTTACTGGGGAGAGGCATATCCTCCATTTCGTCGGCCCAAGAGCCAAGGCCTGTTCAAATTTCAGCTACCATCGCACATCCACGGGGGTTCTGGTCACTCACTCTCATCAGCCAAGAAGGTCCCAATGGACATCTTCTGGGCCTTGGATTTTGCGGGCGCTAGTGGGGGAAATTCGTTAGTCGAAGTCGAACACCACCACATGTACATCTAGTCGCAGGGGACATGTCGCTTTCGACAGCGTGCTGCAAGACTGATTGGAGGGATCGTCACTTACCCATGATTGCGGTTCGAAAAGGTCAGGAAACGCGCCAGCGAACTTGGTGCGCGCTTCTCACACAGTAGGGTTTTGGGAGGGGGAAAAAGGAAGAAAAATTTGAAGACGCCCGGGTAGGAGACCAGGAGTCAATCAGAAGTGTTGGGAACGACCTGGATGTCGTGAGAGACGAGATCTGCAGGTCAAAGTTGATCGTGGAAAAGTTGGATAGAGGGGAAGAGCAGTCGGGGCTGCACGATGGAAGTGCTCGGCTGAGTTAATCCGTATCCGTGATTATAATTTTGTGGTGCGCTAGTCCGAATGAGCGGCAACCGTCGACGCTGCCCCAAGGAACTTTCCGTAGCACGACGACGACAGGACTAGTACTTTTCGGTCGGTCTGGACCGATCAGCCTATTTTCCCGAGGCAGATAGTCCATTGCTGTCACATCTTGGGAAGTTTTACTTCCTTCGAGCGGTGGGTCCCTGCGATCGCCCACTAGGAAGATACTTCTTTGTTCATTGGACCCGGCGCAAGCTCTACTTCGGGATTACCTGGTAGACAGTTGACAGACAATAAGTCTAGCAGCGATCTTTGAGGCTAATCCAAGAATGTTTCTTTTTGCGAACTGATTCAAGGATTCTCGAGTGCGTCTGAATGGACTAAGGAGCATTGTTGGTCTCCGCGGTCGAGCCATCTTTTTTTTCTACTTTCAGAAGGTGTTCCTCTCCGAATGCCAAAAAGGAATAGATTTTATTAACCGTATATAATATTGATGCTGATCACTGGCTGTGCATCAAAATGTGACATTAAACAGGTCTTGCATCACATGTAGCTAAGCGGACGAGGATCCACCAGTGTTGCGATATATATAGAGGGTACCGAGTAGTTCACTCCGATCTATAGGGCTATGCAGCAACTAAGCCCTGGAATGGACTCAACTGGCAACCAAGAACGTGGCGCGAAAAGGGAACCGTTTGCAACTTAATCCTGTTTCTGTTTCAGATCCAAATCCTCAAATCGTCACCGAATAGTAGACAACAGTCCCATAGTTTTCTCTTGGGGCGACAAAACAGATCGAATTCGATGACATAAGCACACGTGATGGTTAGCTCCGCAGGACGGATATCGCAGGGCGCTTGTCAGTTCTGCGGTTCTTCCCCGATGGAGCAGGGAATGCTTGCTTTTCTCTCGGACCGGTCGCAAGATGAGCGGTCAAAATAGCCACAATGCCGATCCTGTGGTCGGTTCCCTGGTGCCCGCGATCAAGGTGGGAGCTGTGAGCGGTTCGTGTCCTTTCACCAAGCCCGAAACTGAAGACCTATCTGCGAAGACGAGACAGTCAAATCGATAAAGTGACTAACTTGGCAATTAGGAGTCGCTGGATTGATTTATGGAGGAGCTGCTGGGGTAATCAAGTCGCCTCATCCAGCCATTCATTCTCTATCATGTGGCATCCACTGGTTTGCATGCGGTTCAACTTTTTGGTGTATGTCTCCCATGCATTTGTCCAGCTCCGCTCAATTACTCATTCTGCATTGGCTGTAGGGATGCGAAGCAACATCATCAAACACCATTACCATGACCAAGCATCCCCGCAAGAGCGAGCATACGTCAGTACCCTCTGTAGTGGGCTATCTGGGGGCGTGGTGACGCGGTTGATGGGTATGTATTGATCTGGCTCGTTTCCGATGACCTAGCTTCTCTCTTGACATAATCGCTCATGGTTGAATAGGAGGTCGACTGGTGCCTGGCTTGGTGATTTTTTCGATACTTGGCTTCGGCGGCCAAAGTGTCTTTAACAAGGTTGATGCCTGGCAGATGGGAAGGGCCCAAACGCTCAGCAAACCATTCGCCCAGCGGATGGCCGAGTCCAAATGGATTCCTTTTCGGCACTTGTCTGATGAAGAATATCGGAACATGTTGAATGAGAAGTTGCTCAGCGTCGAGGCCGAGATTGCGCTCTTGGACGAGAAGATCGAGGAACTTGAGAGCATTCGGCCGACACGGGATCCTGCCAAGTAAACCGCGGGCTCACCTTCAGGATCTCTGTACACCGCGGCTCTGGTGCGACGCTGTCTCTGGACCAGATAGGCAATCTGGGTCGGGTGGGATGTAGCGCACGGACAGGAGGACTTCTTGTCCCATCTGTGTCAGACTGCGTCGGCGTCTCCATGCGAGAAAAATACCTGCCCCACACGTGGGAAAAAGGGGGTAAACCCTTTGTATAGTTGCATACTTTTTGTACGATACAAAGCGAAGACATGTACTATTATTATTATTGTTTTTATTGATGCACCCACTTCACCCTGGACCAGGTAAAAGGGGCCGAATCAGGGCGCGCCGATCGCAGACCGGCAGAAGGGCCCCACGGCCATTTCTGCATCGTGAAATCATTTTTTTCTTGGGGAGCCTCATTTCGTCTTCAGGACCAGAGGGGAGGACTAAAGGGTACGATTGTACCGCTCAAGAAGGGGTCATGGGCACTCGATAAGGAGCCGTATCGAGTCGCTTGGAGCCTAGAAAATACAGAGAAGAATAGGAAAATACTTTAGTCCTATAGTAGACTTCGTAGGGCCTAGACGTATCCCACCTGGACGCTGACATGACGGGTGCCGAGAAAAGCCGGGTTGGCAGATTGCGGTCCGCTCCCAGTTTCTCCGGCGCGTCCGAACCATGAATCTGGCTTCTCCGGACTCCTCTGATCTACACTCCCAAGCATGATTTACCAACACCTCCCCTGTGTCTGGAACCAGCCTGGTGTCGGCTTTTCCTACTGATCTGGAGAAGCGCACACTGTTCGGGTCCGTGCAATCGCCTTGCTTTTACCCCCCCGTGGTAGGATCGAGACGCTTGGGAACCCCGGACCAGCTTACTCCCAGTGACCGGTACAATTCAACTCCTTTCGTGCAACGCTCGATGTCCTGTGTGCTGCTGTCTGCTCCTGTTCGACAGATCAGCCTCCGCTGATCGTACGTCGCGATGACTCTCTTCAACCCGACTTCGATCCTGGTGGGCTTTCTCCTGCTCTACCTGTCATCCTTCTTTGTCTTTGCGATCGTGCGCATTGCCACCGGCATCTCAATTCAGCGAATCGGATATTTTTCACTTCGACGAATCGCCTACGCCCCGAGAGAAGGTCTCCTAATCGAAATCCGCGGTCTCGGTTTCTCCTTACACCCGCCTTCCTTCGCGCAACCAACATGGATAAGCATTCGATTGACCGACCTGAAGATTACGCTGGACACCGCGACTCTGACCAAAGGAAGGACTGACACGACGCGAGATCAACTGGGACCAGCCAGCCCTGGAAGCCCGGCCGAGGACAATGTGACCCTCGACTCGTCCAGCTCGCGGAGCAAAACATGGAGGACCCTGACGCGAGTGAAAGAGCGCCTCAAAAGGTTGCACCGACAAATAAATTGGCTAGCCCTGGTTGATGTTACGGTTATCAACACTGCTGTTCATTTTCACGATGCAGGCCAGATCCACGTTGGGTCTCTCTCGCTCGCGGTCGACACCCGGAGTAAGATGGTGGAGCGGGGCAAGCTATTCCGTCGCAAAAAGGATATGTCTCGAGAACAGCGCCCGGCAGAGTGGATCATGAATGTGCAGAATGTCCTGCTTGCAATTGAGGGCATGGAGCCGACTGAAATTTTGGACAACGTCGGCGTGAATCTTCATGGATTGCTCTACAAAGACTTGGAAGGACTGCGAGATGCCTCCGTGGCTCTGAAGATCGGAAGGCTGTATATTCCTTACGACGATCTCAACACGCTTTTGAAACGCATCAAGTCGGCCCAGAAATCAGCCGCCGTCAAGGAACCGGCACCCACTGAGACTGACGACGAGATGTCGTTTGCAGACTTCGTGAAGGAACTGGATCAGCCTGGGACCCGAGACGATTCGATCGTCCAGACCGTGGCGGACTCTAAGGAATTTGCCAGCTCAATTCTTCGTGGTATTCAAGAGATACAGGTTGCTTTGAGTTTCTTCCGACTCTCACGCGGCCTCCAGTCGCTCTCTGGCCAGAATCCTGTCTTCTTGAATATCGTATCCCACGAACTTGGAATCGACCTTCATCGGATGGACCAGAAAAGCCCGGAACATCGCATGTATTTCCAGCGAAACGATATTGCTCATCAAGCGTTGCTCGCAGCTATCTCTCTCTCAGTGAGCTTAGATGACGACTCGGGCGAAACCGACAATATCCTGTACATCCCTATGGCTACGACAACGATCAAGACCACCCTGCCCTCGAAGACGGTCAGCGCATTTGATGATGAAAACCTAGAAGAACGAAACTCCAATGTGCTCTTCGCTAATCTGGTCGTCACGTCTCCATCGCTTGATCTGCAACCTCAACATGTTTCTCGACTCTTGAAACTGGCACAGGTCCGCGCTTCTTCTTCACGAGTCAAAAAGCGGAGCAACCACCAATTGATATCTCGTCTACTTCCCAAGGCGAGCATCAAGCTATCTGTTCACGAGCCCGTCATTCGATTTGTCTTGCCCATCGAAAAGGAGTCTGGTACTTCTGACGACTACAACCTCTTAATATCGTCCATTTCTTCAATTTCGCTCGATATCGAATCCTCTCATTCCGCCGAAGGAGGCGCCCATTACTCTCTGTCATCCGTCTATCGTGTTGCGTCTCACAAGTTCTATTACCAGACTCCCGAGGGCAACAAGCATAACCTGCTCACAACAGAAAGCCTGGAGCTCAAGGCACATCTCAATGCAAGCCCAGAAGTGTGCGTCATTGCATCGGGAAGCGTCAACGAGTGCTCGGTACATATGATCAATGGTGAAGTCAATCGAGGGATTCGCCAAGTCCTTGAACAGTTCCGAGCCCATTTACAGTCGCAGAAACGGCCGATGTCTTTGAACGAACGCAAGACAAGCCCGCTCAGAAAAATTCCTCCTTGGCTTCTTCAATTCTCATTTGAGTCAACGGGATTCAGCCTGGAAGTCGCGGGAGTTGACAACACAGTGTCTGAGACTTCCCGTGGCGTATCCTTGCAACTGCAGTCCTGGACAGCAGAATACAAAGCCCAGAAAACCGAGCACGCCGTCGGCAGCATTGCTAGACGGCGTACTTCGAGCCATTCTACCATTGGCGATGAATCACCGTTTAGGTTTCAGCCGACATCCCCTCCAAAAAATACCCAACGCGGCGCCGCAGATGGTCGGAGACTGGCGTTCCATGCGCGTGGCTTCGACGGATTTGTCATTGAATCGGATGACTATCTTGAGCCTGAGCCGTTCTTCTCCCTCCCTCGCTTCGAGGTTGCACTCAGCACTCATAGCGACCGCCTTGGACCGGTTCTTCATATCAATTCTGTCTTTAAGGGCATATATCTCCAATATTCTCTCTACCGCTTCTACTGCCTTGGCGTTGCGATTTCTGTGATACAAGATGTTATTTCGCCCCTCCCACCGAAAGATTCTGGCTCTGCCACAAGAAAAACGAAAGGAGCTCCAAGTATTTCTCTACCCCCACCTCCTTCTTCACCCCCTCCTGGCAAGAGCGAATTGATCACTGTCGATGTGAAAGCAACTGTTATTCAACTCAAGGCAAATCTTCCCGCAGATCCATCAATGATGGTACAAATCTACGGTCTGGCAGGCGGCTCTCAACGACTCTCGACCCCCCATGTCAAAGCCACCCTGGTTCGAGTTCACGCAGAAGCACCAAAGCTCAAGGGTGTGTGGGCAAGGATTGGAAGTATGAACAATGTTCGACTGGACTTCCGAAAAATGAAAATGAAGCAGGGCGCTAAACTGACGGAAGAGAGATCGATTGATCTTTGGGCGGATTTCATTCGACTGGGTGTCCCGCACCATATGGTGATGCACCGCATTTTTGACAATCTCATCAACACCTCCAAGGCTTTCAAGCAGCTGCACCATCGCTTCAAAAATCGCTGCCGAGAATTCGTGTCCACCCGAGAGCCCGAGGAGCCGAAGAAAGTGCCAAGAGTGTCACTTCGCAGCAAAGCATTACTCTTCGAGTTGGAAGATGATGCTTTCGAATGGAAACTAGGATGCATCTATCGGACTGGTTTGATCGAACAGTCACAACGATTGGCCCGCGAAGAAGCCTTCTACCTGAAGACTCAAAAAGTCAGAGAGACAGATCAGAAACGCGCTTCATCGAGGCTTAGAGCCAAGTCAAGTTCTCGCACTTTACGAAGTGAGCGCACTAGCCAAGACACCCGAAGAAGCCGCAGCGCTGGACCACGTCCAAGACAAGAAGAGCACCACGGCGGTGGCAGAAGCCGTAAATTCCGCTACGACACCGAGGGCGCGACTTGTCTATCCTCTGAGTGCAAGGTATCTCCCGATACCGCCTGGGACAGACTTCAACAGCACAATTCTCGGATCTGGAAAGAGAAGATTGACGCTGCTCTCAAGTTCCAAGGAACGTCTATCAAGGAAGTTCGAAATCTGTTTTCCGGCGCGGACGAACCGCCAGATGATGTGAAAGAGACCGAGACCATTCTTGCTATTCCAAACAGACCGGGTCTGATGTCCGCATTGATCAGTGATGTGAATCTTGTCATTGACAAGCCCACATTCCCAATTGACGAGATCCCCTCATTCCTCCATAAAATTGGCAAAGGGATGCCAATGGACATGAAATATGGCTTGCTGCTGCCAATGAGCTTCAACCTGGAGATGGGCGAAGCACGCGTCAATTTGCGAGACTATCCTATCGATCTCCTCCATATTCCGGCCCTTCGCCCTGGTCAATCCCCAAGGCTTCCTAGTTGGTCTCTGCGGACAAATTTCGTTGTTGCTGAAGAGTTCCGGGGCCATGAATCTGCAAGACAGGTTGATGTCGAGCTTGTCCCTCCGACTGAGCTGGCTGATGGTGCTCACGCTGATCCATTCCATATGAAGGTCTGGCGATCTGTGACCCCGGTGAAGACCTATTCCGACCCCACTTTCGAGATCAATACAAGCCTACCAACGAGTATCTCTTGGGGAGTCTCCTACCAACCAGTCATTCAGGACATGATGAAGATCATTGAAGGTTTCACCAAGCCCGAAATTGATCCCTCAGAGCGAGTCGGCTTTTGGGACAAGATCAGATTAAGTTTCCACTCCCGGATCAGAGTGCTGTGGAAGGAAGACGGCGATGTTCATCTGCGCCTGAAAGGCTCTCGAGATCCATATGTGGTGACCGGCTTCGGAAGCGGTTTCGTCATGTGCTGGCGAAGGGACGTCAAATGGGAAATCCATACCAGTGACGACCCAATGGAGTTCATGAGCGTGACAAGTGGCGAGTATGTCCTGGCAATTCCTGATTACAGTGCGGAAGCTCGATGGGCGAACGAGACGTCCATCGACGACCTGGAAAGCAGCTCTGCCTCTAGTGAGCAGAAAAACGCAGCGCACTTTAAGAAGGTTGTCATGAAGTTGTCAGGAGATGTGAAGTGGGCTACAGGGTTGGTTTTTGAACGTGATGTCGATGCCGATTCAAGATCATTCTCATTCAGACCGCATTACGATGTTGTTCTCAAGAATCCTAAATTCGTCCACCCATCAGAGCGTGCTGGCTATGATGCCTTCCGCGGCTTCCGCAGTGATCACATCCATCTGTCAGTCTCGGTCATTGCTCCTCAAAGCAGGGACTGGTCCCTCGATGGCGTCCAGCCCTCTTCAAGCTACAACACAACGCATTTGACCCCACGCTTCTTTACTCACTTCTTCAGTTGGTGGTCTCTCTTCTCCGGTGTTATGTCCCTCCCAGTGCGACAGGGTCCTCTATTCCCTGGAATCACCAAAACGAGCAAGAAGTTCAACCGTCACCTGGCCACTGTCAAGTACAAGCTTCTACTGGCGCCCTTATTTGTGGCACATATTTACAAGCATAAGGATAGAGAGGACTATGCTGAGAATGCTGTGACTGCCACTGGTCTCAAGGTTCGCCTTGATTCCTTGAAACTGGATGTTCATCAGCGACGGGAGCAAATCAAGACGCAGGCTCGCGGACGTTCCAAGCAGACAAAGACAAGTGCCATGCGCATGAATCAGGCACTCATTGACTTGCAGTCGGCCGACTTCCGGGCCGTTTCTGCCAGCATCGAAGGTACAACGGCCGAGGACGTTGCACAGAACAGAGACGATATCATCTCTTCGTTCCAGCAGCCAGTGCCATCTGTCGATCTTTCTCGCTTTACCATTCCCGATCACAACTTGGATTGGATTGACATGGATGATTTCGTGGAGCCCGACTGGATCCTACCACAAGAGTCGAATCCTAAGACGCAGATCCTACCACTGGCTTTTACTCCTCGGTTTACCTATTTCCGCCAGACGGATCACGGTGACCTAGGATCTGAGGAGACTGGCTATAGCACCTTTGGTTATGAGCCTACCCATGATTGCGTCATGTCCAAGACCAATGATCCTCGACGCGTTCAAATCGAACTCACTAAAGATCGCCTGGCAACGGTCGAAGCTCAGATCCGCAATTACGATCGTACCATCGGGGAGCAAGAGCTCAAGCTGATGAAGGATGTGGATCACGATCCTGAGCTGAAGGAAAAACATGAGACCTACTTGCGACAGGCTGAATCCCTGGCCCGGCGACGGAAATTCTTGACTGCTACGCTGCAACGACTTGAAAGACACCTAGCACGAGATGAGCGTACCACCTACCGAAGCAACTCAGGCCTGAACGCAGCTGCCAGCGAAACATCGTCCAGGACAGGACGGGATGCGGATTCCACAAACGATGGCCGCGCTTCTGGTCTTGATGGTCTTTATTCGTCAGCTGCCGATGACTTTTCTAGCGACTTCAACAATCGTTTCATGATCCACAACGTTCAACTGAAGTGGAACAACTCGCTTCGGAACATCATCTTGCGATACAGTCACCAAGTAAGCCAGCGCCGTGGCTTTGTCTACTATATGTCCAGACGAGCGGTCAAATTCATTCTCGACATCGTGGAGGAGCAAAATAAAAACCAAAAGAAGAACCCCAAGATGTCCAAGACTCATACTCGCAGTGACAATGAAGATGAAAACGAGGTGGAAGATCGTATTGAGGAACTGCTCAACAGTGCCAAACGCTACGTCAACGCCGACGAGACCGAGCCCTCTGACTCGAACAATCAATCGCCTTCCAACTCCGACAATTCCAGCGAGAATATTGCACCCGAATTCACTCCGCAAAACAGCTACTATCTGCGGCTAATTGCCCCCCAGATCCAGCTTCTCAGTGAAAAGAACCGCAAATCTGTGTTGTTGGTGGCTGCCAAGGGCATGGAACTCAAGGTGGTGTCAATCATGGACAAGGAACGTGTTTCAGACGATGTTAGCGGCCTGGTTCAACGTCGTTTCTCTCTCGAGATGGATGGCGCCCAATTCTTTGTTGCAACCCAGAAGAAACTCATGGCAAACTTGCAGTTCTACGCTGGCAACAAATATGGCAACTCACCGGGATCTGCATGGCCTCCTTGGCTGACTCTTGAGGCTATGTTTGACTTCGAGCTCAACCCATTCGGGTTCTCGCGCATTGTCCAAAAGACGTCTGCGACCCTTCGCTACGACAAGTACAACAATCTCCGACTTAAGTACAACGAAGAAGTGGCCAAGGGCCACCAAGGGCCTCACCCCGGCGGAGACGAAACCAGAATGGACCAGATTAGTGTCGACTTCCCACACTTCCGTGCGATCTGCGACTCTGCGGAGTACTACTCCATGTACATCATCGTCTTGGATCTTATGCTCTACAGCGAACCACTCGAGAAGGTTCGAAATGAGCGTCTTGAAAAGATCATGCTCATGTCCGATTTTAGTGATCTTCGGGGAGCGCCAGAGATGGTGTTCAAGCTGCAAGCACGCATTCGTCAGCTCGAGGAGATTAAGGAGTACTTCCAGATCAATGCTAAGTACCTGGACAAACAGGGCTGGGAGGACCGTCTGGCTCTGGAGCGAGACCTTTCGCAGTGCGAGGATGAACTCTTCTTCATGATGAAGGCTATCACCACGTCTCAGCGACGAGCAGAACCGAGCTCGACAAAGACGAACGACGGTGTCCTGCGTTGGAACATTTCTGCAAGCGAAGTTGTTTGGCACTTGATGAAGGAAGCGTCGGCGCCCTTGGTCGAGTTCCAGCTCAAGAATGCCCAATATGAGAGAACTGACAACACTGATGGATCTAATCACAACCTCGTGGCCGTCGAACGGTTGAGCGGTCTGAATTTGCTTCCAGATGCTATCTATCCTCAAATCATCGCGCCATACCTTGAGCAACCACGCCCATTGGATGATTTCATGCTCCGTGTTCGATGGCATATGCTTGAAGCTGTCGCTGGTATTCCTGTGGTTGACAACTTCGAAGTATCGCTGTTCCCACTCAGGATTCAACTGGAACGCGAGCTCGGCCAAAGACTTTTCGAGTACATCTTCCCTAACATGGGCTCGGGTGCATTTGAAAATGGTGGTTTCTCGCCCTTCATGATCAAGAACATGAAGCCGCTCGATGGCTCGGACGATGAAGAAGACCAAGGTGACAGCGAAACGCTGAGCCGGTCAATCAGCACCGATGGAGACAGTGTGCTTATAGATGACCTTCAAGCTTCTAAGGGCCCTGGCTCCATTGAGCTTCGATTGCAGCCCACCTTGTCTCTGTCTGAAGAAGGCAAGACCAGTCGGCGACCAAGTCAACTCAAGGGCCTCGCAATGACTCCTATCAACCGAAGTAACACTCAGCTGGGAGTCCCGGAGCCTCGCAACCTGCCGCGCCCGTCAACAACCGGTGCCCTCTCCAAGAAGAAATCTGCTGACAGCATTCGCATGCTCACCAAGCAGCCTACGGAGAGATCCTTGTCAAGCCACAGCACAAGTGCCGGTGAAGAAAAGAGGAAATTTGGCATTAGCAAGGGCTCCCGGAGAGGCAAGTCCTCAGAACCCACAGACGATCTGTCGCAGATGATGTCTCGAGCTTCCAATTACATGACCCTCGCACAGGTCAAGGTACATGACGTAGTCCTGTGCATGAGCTACAAAGGCAAGGGTGAACACAACTTCGAAGATCTGCACAATTTCGTCTTCCGTCTCCCAGTTCTCGAGTACGGCAACAAAACCTGGTCAAACCTGGACCTTGCTTTGCGTTTGAAGAAAGATGTCATCAAGGCTCTTATCTCGCACGCCCCTGCCATTCTTGGGAACAAGTTCTCTCACCATCGACCGAACAAGCAACAACAAAAGCGGTATCGCGAAATGGCATCGTCTTCCCAGCTGCTTCCTAATTCGAACACGGGGAGCATTCTGAACTCTGAACGCAGCCAGGCGCCGAGCATGGCAAGCTTCGACTCCAATAGCGAGTACTCCGAGTCCCCGTCGCGGAAATCAATGCAGTCAACCTCTTCGCCATTGGTCCGATCGATGTCCCTTAGTTCAGATGCGCGCGATGGTCAAGGACAAGATAACACAATCTCCGACTCCCGGTCCGCGGGCGAGGTTGATGTGGATTCTCGCTGGGAGGTGAGTAAACTACCTGATCCCCTCAATGTCGTATCGACCACCATACTAATTGATTCGCTAAGGAATCGCGTCGTTTTATCAATGACCCTGTTCGACCCATGACCTCAGGTCAAACAGTGACAACAGTCGAAGCCAGTGGCACTGAGCAAGATGACAGGTATGGAAATTCTCCTTTCTCAGGTACCATATCTAAATGCTAATATTCTTCTAGCCACAAGAAGACAATACGCAACATCAGTCGAAAACTGATGGGCGGCCGAAGATAGATGATCATCACCGCATCTTTCTTACCCAAAATCTTTTATCATTTTTTAATACTCCCTTCCCCTCCGTTATTTTACACCCCTGTGACCTTCGGCCCCCTGGTCTCACTACTACACATCTTGTAAAGCACATTTTCTCTACCGCAATTCCTCAGGCCCTTTGTCTTCCCTTAGATACCCTCTATGTGCAACGGGCCGTATATAGGCGTTTTGATTTGATTTGATTGTTGGGGCTTATGGGGGCGGGAAAAAGAAAGTCTTCTTTTCCTGTCATTTTATCTACCTGTATTTCGTTTGCATGCATGCATAGAGGGAGTGGTGGTTTGGCTTTTTGTTACCCCATTCCTATTCTCATTTGGAAATTCGAATATTCTTTTTTGCTGTTGCCTTTGCTGTGAAGGCTGGCAAAGTTGATAACCCTTTCTTCTTCGATGGCCCTTATTCATCCATGTTTTCCCGAAGCGTGACAATGCTTTATGTATGAGAAAAAGCATTAGTGTACATTTTTGACAATCATCCGGAGGGCATGTACGATATGACCATGAGCTAATAACCACTTGCGCAGATAACTCTCTGTGACACTGCACCAGTGTGATGCGTTTACGATGTATGCTAGGGTTTGTCTGAATGTTTGAGTGATGGCAAAAGGTGTAGTTTATAGAACAATCATTCTGAATTGGATATAATCACGTTTGCTGGACTGAAAGGGTATCTACAACCACGAGAATTTGCTGAAAGGATTCAAAATCACACTGCCAATGCCAAATCACCATCTATAAGCCGAACGTCTTCGTATGCAAATTAGAATAAACAGATCTTCATCACCGGAAATCTTGATTTTCACTTTGGACCCGCCAAATGAACCCGTAACCAAATCATCAGTCATAAATGGTGCAGAGTCAGAGAGTTTTTTCAATGCGTTTCTTGGTTACCAGGGGCTGGCGGGACGCTGTCAGGTGCAGCATCATGTGGGTTGTCAGCGCTGTGTGGGGGTGTCATTGGCAACGCCATCCACACCATCGACATTGGACTGCCCCCCAGGCTTGGCTTCGGGGTTGGCCTCGGGAGAAATCCCATCAATACCATCAGCGGACGGTGTAGACGGAGCACTCTGCTTCTCGCGGACCCAGGGGAGAAGGCTGGGCAGGGCTTCCTGGACGGATTCGAAACGGGTACGGGCTGTCGGCGCAGTGATATCATCGGTCCATGGAATGCCACCTTGACCTCGGTTCTCTGCCCACGCCTTCTTCTCACGACGCAGGTCACTTTGAACCCAAGGGATGGTAATCAATGTCCAGACGCCAGCCCAAGCGAAGGGGAGTGTCCAGCCAAGCTGTACAAGTGACGTCAGTCTGATGGTGCACGCCTGAAGCAATCCATTCATGTAGGTACTTACCGTGAAAGCGACAGGCTCCGAAACAGTAAAAATGACGGCAGTGAAGGCCGCTGCAAAGATGATGGACCCTCCACTCCAGAAACAGTTCATTTCGAAGAGCATCCGGCGGAAATAGGGGCTGGACAGGTACCGGGTTCGTAAAGCGTATCTGTATATCTGACCACCACCTCCATCAACGGCGACGACATCTTCGATGAGAGCGTACAGAGCGGTGGGCATGACGGATCCTTTAGGTGTGGAAGAGATTCGGAATGGAGCCTTGAACCCGGCCATGCGGAGGATATCGAGGGAGAGGTGGACGATGCCGAAGTAGAACATGACAGTCGGGAGAACCATGGCGACGAGGCGCACTATTCGAATGGTTAGTTAAAGGCGAGGCGATCGCAATGGGGGACATTTAGCTGACCATAAGGCTCTTCGGGCACCGTTCCTCTGTTCGTGGGGTTAGCAGGATTCAAGCTTCAATCTGGGCATTGCTTGGCAACGTACGCAATGAGTTCCACAGCAAGAATTAGCCACACGATTGTGAAGTTAATGTGAAAGAAGTCGAGCTATTGTATTCGCGAGTTAGTAATCTTTGAAGAGCGTCCTGGGGCGCGCGATGCGTCCTACCCATGATTTCCGCGCATTCAGCGGCCGGGCGCGTGAACTCTTGCGGAAGAGATTGTGTAAACGATAGAAGTACTCGAACACCGAGACACCTCCCAAGCATGCCGTTACAATCGAGAAGACTGCGACCCATTAGCCATTGACCTGGATCTCGCGCAAACGGCCTGCGGCTACGACCCAAACATACCCAGATTGTGCGACAGATCGGTGAGGTACCATAGTGTCCAGTAGAGAATGAGCGGCTGGCCCAAGGTGTCGATGATGAAGATGGTCCAGAAGATCGCGATCGCCTTCTTGCGAGTATGCAACGAGTAGGGGAGCGGAGGAGGCTCGTTGTGCAGCGGAGGAGCGATTCCTTCTTCCATCTGCGTGGCGACGGGGACGGACCGCGTCGGGGATGAGCGGTATGTAGCGGAGCGTTCAGGGGATGAGGAGAGTTCGAACGGGGAGCAGGCTGAAGTGAAGAGGATTCAGGCGATCAGGACATGGCGGGTAGAGATTGGAATACGGAACTCGCAACACTCGCATTGAAAAGGAGGCTTTTTTTTTTTAGTTCATGGGCAGATTTCCGGAAACGACGGAGAGCCGGGGCCAGATGGGGCGCGGCGCAGAGTACCTCCGCCGCCATACAAATTTAGGCGCGCAGTGCAGTACCTGACGTAAGGCCGTGATGTCATGAGCAGAACAGGATACTGATACGAGTCGCCCTTTCCTCTTGTTTGTCCCCTACTTCAGTCGTGGAATGGACTACGCTCACAACCCCTCACCATTTGACTACCCATTGTGTCTCGGCTGACATCGAGGCGCAGGTTTTTTGCCCTTGCACTGCCCAGTCGCCACCCGCCGCCAAACAATACTTTGAGGAGTATACTCGTGGTCAGCTGCTGAGGCGATTTTTATCGTTCGCGACGCTACCCATGGTAGGCTAGTCCATAAAGAGCAACGGGCTTGTAGCACAACGCGCAGCCGCAGCGACCACAGACGCTTTTGCAGACTTGCAGGCCGTTATCCCTGGATGCAAGTGCAGTGCCGAGAAACAGGAAAAGGAAATCGGGGTGGTGAGACGTGGAACTCCGACTCTCCTCGGTCGCCGATCCAAGCCAAACAATCCCGCCGATCCGGTCCAGCCCATGTTTATGCTTCATAAATGCACGAAATGTCGCAAGGAGGGCATGTGTTGCCGACCATCCGTGAGACTTTTGGCTTCTCGGATGGCCCGGGCGGTATCTGAAAAGTAATTTGTAGAATGTGTCACTTCTTGCACTTTGCCATCTGAAGAGAATCTCTTATATGGAATTATCCCAAGGTGGTTACCGCAGGAGTACAACAATGTACGTGCAGCTAATGTACATGACTCAGCGGAGATTGCGTTCGGCCATATCTGGCTGGGCCGCATTTTGTATGCAGATCCATTTTGTCAACGGAAGCAACGGACATGACGAGGTGCGAACTTGAACTGTTCTCCCGTAGCTGTCAGTTCGACTACCAGTGTGGAATCCAAGTAAAATGAAGGCATTTGGGTATAAGCTTGAAACGCCTTGGTGAACAACGATCAACGAGATCTGTTGCATTCAGCAAAGAATCTGCATGGCCCAAGAAAGTACTACCTCTAGTTTGGCTGATAGTAACTCGGAATAATGACAAGCTTCAAGTGATCATAACCTGTTAGTGATTACAAAGCACTCATACTCATAACTATTCAACTCACCCCGACCCTCAGTTTCACAGATCCTTGGTTTCTGCCACATATCTCAGGCTTGAAGCACGTGATGTTTCTGCTGAGGGAGCGATACGCCGACGGCGCCCGTTCGAAACCCACCTTTTCACTTCAATTTTCATCCCTCGTCCGCTTCCTCCCGCGCTCGCGCTTAACCACTACCTTCATCACCCACCAGTTCCATAACCATGCACTGAGCCATGGCTCCGAGCTTGCAGGAGCTGATTGACTTCCTACTCAACGAGGTCGCCCTTTGCGGCAATCAAGGTGCGTATAGCTCTTCCCACCCCAGACCCACTTTACTCAGCACATTGTATACATCATGCATATGCCAGATCCAGCACCCACCAGCCGCTGGAGCTCGCACTACACGACCAACTGATATGAGCCAAAGGTTACTGATTAATTCACAGGCGCGACCGTTTCAGAAGTCCTCAAGGCTTCTGAAGCTTTTTATGAGGAGAGAGCTTCCCAGGACACAAGCCAGCGACGTCAAAATGTCGATCGTCGTTTCAAAGCGAAGCTATGGTCCTGGCTGACGCACCACCCAGAGATTTCGGTGGGAAAGGAAAACCAGTGGCAAGATCTTACCCTGGACGATGTTGAACGGCTTGAAAGCCAGGGCCAGCAAACGCTAGAATCTCCCGAAGCAGAGGAGACGGCACATGATGAAGAACCGGCTTCTGCTCCATCAATCGCAACGCAAGTACGAATTTTCGTCTCGGCGGAGCGAACTTGGCATGCGATTGCCGGCCACGCGCCTGACGATACTAAGGTTCCTGCCTCCGAATTTGCCCTTTTGTCCATCATCGCCTCCCGCAAATCAGCAGGCATAGATCAAGTACAGCTGGTAAAAGCCAGCGGCCAGGACAAGAGATCCATACCAAAGCGAACAGACGCCTTATTGAGGAAGGGGTACATCGAAAAGCGGGCTATCCAAATTAAATCGGCTCGGACTAGCTTGTGCACGCATCGCCGATTCGTGAACGCCCCGCCGGATTCTCAAATCGCCACCCAGGAACGAACGCATATTGATCTTGGGCTTTTCACGACCCGGCTTTTTGACATCCTCAAAGAGCACAAAATAATTTCCCGCGATGATCTGAAAAAGCATTTGGGGTTTCAAGACCGCTGGCGCTGGAAAATCCTGTCTCGAGCTCTTCGAAAATTCGAAATGATCGGAGTTCTCAAGCGCGTGAAAGCAGAGTCGCAATATCAAAAGTTGCATCCATGTGTCATGCTCCTTCGTGAGCCAACTGCGAAGGATATAGAGAGGTTTCACGAGTCAGACGGTGGCGACGTCAATGCTGACGCAGACGATCGGGCAGAGTTAGATGAGGATCTAGAGCTGGATACTATTGAGCAAAATCCTGAAGCAGACGATGGAGACGTGGATACCAAGGCAGAGAAACATGTCGTGAGCTCTGGACGGATCGTGCCATCATGGAATCCAGATCGCCCTTTACCGAATCAAATATTTGACGCTGTCAATAAAGCCGGTTTTCACGGGCTCACGAATCAGGTGAGTCGGATAAAACAGATCATGGGAAAGACAATGTGCTAACATAATTCGCTCTAGGCTGTCAATCGAATTTGCTTTGGAAGCTTCTATCGGCGACCATCGGAGAGCATGCTGCATCGTTTGACTGATTGCTGGCAAATATCTCAGCCACTTCATCTCAGACACCTCACAATTGTCCGAGACACAGCTATCGAAAAGACTATAATTTTCTACCAGAACTTCTCATTCGAAAGCTTCCGCAAACGTGTCGAGGCTGGCGAAGCATCCTGGGAGTCCGTTGAATTCCCAAACAAAGGCAAAAGAAATAATGAGATCCCGGCAATCGATGCTACAGTTGAGCTTGACCAATATGGGCTACCTATATATGGTCCCCCCAAAGGTCTATTGAACAATGGCAGAGCCAGTCTTTTTGAAGGGATAGTGCATGGTAAACCACCAGACTACTGTTATTCTAGCAGTGATCCTTCGGTAATCCAGCTCCCGAATGGAGAATTTGGTAAGTCATCATTCACGCCCACCCCCTCTCCCTCCCCTCTCCCCGAAAGTCTAACAATTGCAACTAACCATGAATTGCGACATCAAGTTCTTAACGCTGGGCATGTCAAATTCCAGCCTGGGATGAAGAGAAAGCCGGCCGGCCAAGCGACGCCTCTTCGTATGTTTGGTCGTCCTAAAGGTTTGCTTAATAGCAAACCGAGCGTGGCTGGGGAAGGAAGCCCTGATCCGGGAACACAAGACAGTCCAGACTCTTTCCGACAGCCCAGGGGAACAAAGAATAAAAAAGACAAGTTCCGGGGTCTTTCAAGGAAGGAGCGATTTGAAGCACTGGGACTGGATGAAACTTGGACCGAGTACAAAGCTCTTGTCATGGACAAGCCCTCTCCTGGCGTTTACATAACACCCCAGGGAAAGCGAAGACCCGCGGGCAAGAAGCAAGGTCGACCAAGAATTAGTCGAATCGCAGTCTTCAAATCCGACAAGCTGCGCGACTTCCCATGGTTTGTTCAAGAGTGGAGTGGCTCGGACGAAGAAGATGAAGCAGCTGCGGAAGAGACAGCAACAGTAATCACTTTGAATGCTGAGGAAGTTCCTCTTAATGCCGAAGAGGGGTCTTTAAACAACGAAGAGAGACCCTTTAATGCTGAAATGGCTGGTGACATGCCCCGCGTCTCTTTGAAGCGAGCCCGATCTGCTTCGAGCCTTGCTGAAACCCCTACTCCAGCCTCGATGATCTCACCGAAACGGAAAAGGGGTAGGCCTCGCAAAGAAGATCAATTGAAAGAAAAAGGCAAAGCCCGCAAACAAACCAAGGGCAAGCCTAAACAGAAGACGTCAAGAACATCGGGAGCCACGAATGTCCCTTCGAAAACACCAACTGCACCAGTCCTTATCGAGAATTCAACACAAGAGGATGCCGCAACAACAACAACAACCAAGCATTCTTTGAGCGCTGAAGACACTCAAGAAGCATCATCTAACAAACGCCAGCGAACCGCGTCGCCGGAGCGGGCTACTGTGACAAATGGGACACAGTTGTCTATGCCAGTCAACCCCGATGTGCCCGTTAAACAGAAACCAACACCAGCATCGAAGACAAAGACGCCAATGGCTAAAGAAACTCCAGTTGGTGGTGCCACAAAGGAAAAGAGTCAAAAGGCCGCAGCGGACAGAGGTGGCTCCGTCAATTTTCTTCGAAGGAAGATCATCTTGGGTATCGTGGAGAAGGCGGGAGGCGCGTATCCTGCCGGTAATGAAATCTGGTATCCATTTGTTTCTGAATGGATGAATTTGAAATACAAAGGGAAACCAGACATGCGCACCATCAAGGCATCGATCGGTTATCTGGTTGAAACCGGCAAGCTTCGACAGCATACCTTCAGCGGCAAAGATCTCGCCGGAGTAATGATCACGAAGACGATAATTGCGATGCCGGAAATTGCGCCAGACGACCCGGTAATCAAAGACATGCAAGACAAAATGCTGGCCACCGACCGCAACAACCCGAGGGTTTCTTTCTCCCCAAATGTTACCGTGCATCCTGATTTCTCCAAACCTAGCAACAGCGCGGTTGGGAAAAGGAAATTCGAATTACCGGTTGTCTCGGGTACCCAGGTTCATCTGCAATCAGTACCGGCTTTCGTTCGTACGGCTGAAAGGTTGCGAAAACAGAGAGTCGAACGAGCGTTATACAAACGTCTCATGAAGAAGAACCATGACTGGGATTCTGAAAATGATGAGCCCCTTGGGCCCGGGCGACTCAAGCGACTTCGTGGTCCACGAGGAGATCCTGGATCGACAAATATCGTCAGGTCGAAGCGGACGGATGGCTGGCTACGGCGCTTGCTTTCGACGGGGCTTGGGCAGAGGATTTTCAGCTTTGGGCCGTATGCAATGCTTATGAATCCACATCAGACATTTCATCCCAACACAGGCACCTTCTCTACGCAGCCTGCCAGTGGCCTGGACCCGAATCGCTTGATGAAGAAAACCCCAGCCAGGACTCCGTTTGTTACGAAGATCATTGGGCCGCGTGCAATGCTCATGAATGCACAGCAAATATTCCACCCTAGCACAGGCACTTTTGCTACGTACTGCGGTCGGAACTTGACCCCAGTGATGAGGAAAAGCGCAATCAGGTTTCCAAGTTCTATTGGTGATATCTCAAAATTGGCGACCACATCTTCGGATGACTACGACTTCTTCAAAACCGTTGATCAAATCGCCAGATGGGAACTCAACAATGAGGAAATGTTTGATAACACGCCTGCTGATGGGCATTACATTTCGCATGCTGTCAGTGATAACTTCCAGAGTGCTCCCACTGGTGGTTTAATCCGCTTTGATGTCGATGAGCCGGCCCCAGAGCCTAGACGGGGCAGGAGACGTCTGGTGAGCCAGAGAGGACAACCAACGAAGGGGCAACCACGCCGCGAACGACGATTGCAGATGGTCGATGCGTTTATGGCAGCCTCTCAAAATACCCAGCCAATTAGGCAAGCCGCACCGTCTGCACCCCGACATGGCAGGCGACGCAATCTCCAACCGATCCCTGAGTCCTTACATCGAAAGATCATGCTTGCCATCGTTGCTGTGCGAGTTCTAGCAGGAGGGTCAGAATCCAGACACGTCGATTGGGATCTTGTGGCTGCTTGTTTTCCCGGTCATGATGCGCAAACCATGATTGACCGGGGGCGAAATGTCCTCAGCAAAGCCCGCTTGCAAATCTTGAAGATGCAGCACGACTTCCAGGAGAAGTTCTTAGAGGCCTACGCTAAGGACGAGGTGCCTCCAATTGACTACGCGAACCTGGAAAAATATCCTTGGCCCACCTTGATTGAATGGGCAAACTTCCAACTCGACGTTTCCACGTCCGAGAGGGCTCCTTCTCTCCCGGCAACCCGTGAACAATTTGATGAAATCTTCGTCATGCGCGAGGAACCCATCCCTACCGCTGATGAGATCTTCATCACCACCTCCGGCATTACCGTTAACCAAAAGCGCGCAATAATGTCTCGAGTCCCATTTGCAGCGACGATAGACAGCGGCACCGAGATTACGCCAAGTCGACGACAGGACGAACTCAGATGGAACGAACTCGTCAAGTCATTTGTTCGTGCCAACATTGTCACTCCAGAGGATTCACACGATCCCATCAAAGCCAAGACAACCCTCCAGCGCTTCGGCGAACATTGTGTCGAATATGCAGTGCAGACCCTGATCCGGGACCGTGTCATCATCACGAGTAATCATGGTCGTGTCACACCAGGCCGCAACTACGATATCACCGAATACATGCTCCAGCAACTGAACCGCAAACGTCTCATCGAAATTGGCATTCTGAGAAACGCCGCCAATTACAAGTCATCCGTTGTTGACCCGAAGCTGCAACAAGAGGCTTTCCTCGACGTGGAGTACATTGCACCAGACGCTCACATCCTCGCCATAGTCAACCTCTTCGCCAATGGCCGCGTCGATCTCGTCCCACGTGGAACCCCAAGGAACAAATTCGGTCTTACGGATGATGGATATCTCACTCGACAAATTGACAAAGCCAAGCTCCACTTTGCGGTTGAGGTGCGCCCGAGAGAATCCTATGTCTACGGCAACCCCATTCAAGAGATTGCCGCCAATACTCGACGACCGCCGCTATCGGCCCCTGTCATTGGGGAGATGCGGATGATTCCGCTCTGGATGGATCTCAACGGCCATCTGGTACGTCCGTTGTGGGAAATGGCTGTTTCATCGATCCTGGGATGCTTGGCGTTGCGTGAAGGAATCTCTGCCAAGGGCATTGGCAGCATGATCAAGCCATCTATGGCCCCTTGGGAAATCGAACTTCTGCTAGGCTGGCTTGCAGAAATCGGTGTTGCGCGAAAATGGCAATGCGGCAAAGAGACACGGTGGAAAGTACTGGAGTGGTGGTGGCTAACTGTCCATTGATACCATTTTTTGGGATTTTCCAACAGCTGGGGACCCGCCCAACGTACAGTTAGGATATTCATTTACCAGAGACCACCAAGCAGTTGAAAAATAATTTAAAAAAATCATAAAGCTCTTCAACGTTTAATGCCTACTAATACCTTTTATTCTGACATTTGTAGAGAAACATGACAAAATATCCATCCAAACACCATGCGGGTATCTATCAAAAACCGGAAGCACAAAATAGGACTGCTTGAAGCGACTATAGGTCATCGATGTCTATCGTCCGGCGGAGAATCAGAATGACTAGCGCAACAACGACACAGACAATGGCCCGGTCCAGCCACGGGCTATTTTCTGGAGAAATTGCGATGGCAGGCCTAGTCGGCGTGGCCCGAGGACGCGACTCGACATCCGTAGAAGCAGATGATTCCGGTACTGATCTTGCTGGATTCACAGCCGGAGCTGGGGCTGGAGATGTAGGCGTAGGTGTCTGAGCAAAGGTTGATGCTGGCGCTGGTGCTGGTTCTGGCGCAGGTGCGGATGCAGCGGCAGAAGCATCTGGAGGCGTTGATGCCGGTTTCTCCGACTCGGGGGCGGGCACCGGCGCAGGATTCTGTGCATCCTGCCCCTCTTCTCCTTTTGCCTTGTTCTGATCTTCGATCTGCTTCTCATCGAAACCTTCAACATCCACCTCCACCTCCATCTCCCGACAGACCCCCCACCACTCCCTCATACGCTCCTCATTCGATCCCCCGCACTCGCGACACACCCAGCCTCTCGAGAGCTCTGCATACTCACGTCTGAGCTGTTCACTCCCTTCCATACCCCCAACTTGTCCCTTGCTTTCCCCGCTAAAGACGACGCTCCGAATGGCCATCAGCGCGGTGCGTACACCCCACGCTGGCTGCCACGTTTCCTCGTGGTGAGCTGACATGCTGAGACATATTTCGCGGTTTACCTCGAAACGCGCGGACGGTGTGAGGAAGCGGAAGGAAGGTGGGCGGAGAGGATACGTAGAGGGGAATGTAATCCGGCCGTGATAGAGGCCCTTGGCGTAGGGAGTTGGACTTGGAGGTCCGACGAGGGTAAAGTGCCAGTCGTGTAGGTTGGAGTCGCTGACTGGGGCGGCGGCGAAGTAGGGACTTGGGTTTTTGTGGAGGTCGGTTGATTCTTTGAGGAGGCGGCGGGTTGATGCGGACGCCATCTTCGAATCGTGAGTTATGTGTTCTGCGTAGCTTGGAACTGCTCTTGTGGTGTTGGAAAGGTCGGTGGTTGAAGGAGAGTTGCAGACGCCAAGGTGGAGACGTGATTAGATCCCGGTTTTGCGGAGTAAGGTGCAAGCAATCAATCAATCACAGTGCAGATCATCGCCCTACAGAAGGTAAGAGAGTAAGTTTTCAATGGGTCATGAAGTCATGAACGTTGAAACAAATATTCAGATTGTCAAAACTAGAAAAGAAATACCTAGGGGGAATAAATCTGAAGTTCGATGTACATACTATGTAGTCATACATGGAAAATGCCAACTTGGCCTTTTGACCGATCGCTTATTCTGAACGCCAACCAATGCAAATATGTAATTAGGCCAGATGGAATGTTCAGTCCCAGTCACGCCATTCGTCTGTCTCTCGACTGCGTGCTCGGCGGCCTGCGTCGCTGGGCTCGAGTAGCCCATTGCCCTCGGCCTCGTCCTCAAAGTCACTATCACCCGGTCTGGGTCGCGGCGACGCAGGCGCCAACGTTTGCATAGAGACACTGGTGGGCGGACGCTCGGGGGTATCCTGGCGCGAGCGGCTGGGGATCCAGTGAGGTTGCGCCGGGCTAGCACCGCCGGTCCAGCTATGACTATTGTCCATGTTGCGCTGGTACAAATCACGGTAATACTGCTGCTCCTCCGAAGCGGCTTGCTCACGGTTCATGCGCAATCGGTCGCGTGACTCGAGGAAACGCGCGCTTGGCTCCCACCGCCAGCCGTCGCCGGTTGTGTTACAGATCGGAATTGCCCAGAAGAGCGGTCGCTCACCAAAGAGGTGGAGGAGGTTGCGACGCCAGCCAAGGTCGAAGGCATTGGGCATCTTCTCACTGTCTTCATCGTTCAGGTACTCCTGATATCGTTCGTGCTCACGTTGTCGTTCCATCTCTGCATATGACCGGCTCAGCGCCTGCTGGGCTGGCGTGAGATTCTGCGTCTCAGACGCGAAGGAAGGGCCCTGGCCCGGGCCATAGGGCGCGGGCGAGAGACGTTCCTCGCCTTCCTCGGCGCGAGTGACGCCTGGAATGGCATTCGCATGAGCATCGAGAATCTGATTTCCGTACCCTTGCAGTCGATGGGCCAAGCTCTCTTGGTTTGGATAGCTGTCGTGGCCGTTGGGTCCCTGGTCGAAATGCCCTCGCTCTAGCGCCTTGCGCAGCGGCGACACATAACGTGTCTTCTCGAGACATTCAATCGTCGTTGTGCCGCGCACCGCCAAACTAATATGCCAGGCTGTAAATCCGGTCAGAACCAGACCGATGATGCCACCGAGGATCGCCAACAGGACCACGTTAACGGGTAGGTACGTATCCATGTAACGGGTGTCGTTTAGAATCTCTGTCCACACCCATATAGATGCCGTGGCAAAGCAAATCCAGCAGAAAATCGAGGTATAGATTAGAAACAACAGGAATGCCTTGTAGTTGTGTAGTCCGACGCAGGTCGCGAGCCAAGGACAGTGGTGGTCCATCTTCAACACACACCGCTTGCAGGTCGAGCAGTGGTGCGCACGATCAGGCTTCGGGCACTGGCATTTCTTGCAATATCGCGATCCACCGGTTGAGCTAACCGTGTAGGAAGTGAACTCGGGGGTCTCGGTCACGGGCAAGGCGCTGTACTGGCCGCCGCCATTACCTCGGCGGGTCGATAAGGGCGATCCGGGGTCCGTGAAGACAGCAACAGTATAACAAATATTTAGGAGGCCGTAGAAAAAGAGTCCGAGAAGCGTGCTGGGTATACCTGCCATACGTTTCTCGTCGTTAGTAAATAGGTTCGCGCCCCCCACAAGCCATTAAGCCGCAAGACACTGGAGAAGCGGTTGAGTACATACCAAGCCATTCACTTCGTGTATCCTTGAACCCGATACTAGCCTCAACATAGACCGCCCATGTTGTGAGGCCATAGACAAAAACGAGGGGAAAGCAGCTGGCCGCTGCGCAGCAGTACCGTTCACAGCGGAGAGCCCAGGCGCGAGGGCGCCGCTTTGGCCACGAGGGCGAGGTTGGTGGTGAGGTGGCCAGGGTGGCCATGACTGATGCTCGCTCACTCCAGCGAAGGGTAGGCGAGGGGCATCGAGTAACTATTCAGTGTTCAGGCGAGTCCTGCATGGCTCGGGGGTTGATGCTTTGGAGATGGCGGCGACTCGTAAGCGGCCTGACTCAGCCACCCCAGCCACGCCCTTGTTTTTTAGCGTGGAGCTTCCACATGTCATAAGAGTACATGGGTGTATGAACTGGTATGTATACAGCTTCTACGGGAATTTCACTAGTGATAATTCAGCTGCGATAAGCAATATTTCGTCTTGGATCAGCGTCAGTGGCGATGTGGCTGAAATTAGAATGGTTCTAGTTTATATGTACACCATTCATCCTAAATACAGTAGGACAGATGAAGTATCTCATACAACATGGGACGTCCGCTTTGCATGAGGTACATTACATAGCTTCAACACCCTCTGCGTTTCGTTCTCATGAATTGCAAGAGTTTTCAATAATTGTCATCGGGCTAGCTTACGAAATCATGATATGTTGGGCAACCTTCGGTAGAAGTGACTTGCCAGATAGGCACTTACTTTCATGGTGTTCTACATGTACAGGTCCGAAACCGCTAGTCTTTGACTTCACAAAGGTTCATATGCAATTCAAGACAACTGCTTGAGGGTGACGATCAACTTACGTAGTCAAGCAGTCTGGTATAATGACGAAGGTCGCGCCTCGCACGCCCGGATGTTTATGTACAGATATATCATGTATCCCTCCGGCCGATCAACCCCAGATCAACGCCAAAAAAGGGGACAAAATAGAATGGGAAAGGGAAGCACGCCTAATTGGCTTTCTGCGTTGTCGTAGTGGTGGTGGCCTGGTCACACCAGCCATTGACGGGCTAAAAGTAGAAGACATGTTAGCAGATGCGAACTTCGGCACAGGGAACATGATTGACTTACCAGACAACTCAGGCGGTAGCACCAAGAGCAGTTAGAAGAGTGGTAACGATAAAAGTCGACAATCAGCATGATGAAGCCGATCAACACGGCGACCAGAGCACCAGCTCTGATCAGCCACCAGGCCCACCAAAGGGGCTTACGACCTTTGAAAAAGTTCAGAGGGCTCTTGGATGCGTCCATATCATCCGACGAAGAGACCATACCTCCGCGACCATGGAAGAAGTCCTTGAAGGAGGTCGTTCTGCGGGTATTGGCTTCAGGGTTGGCCGCACCGCCGCTCATAGCAACGTACGGTTGGCGGGCAAGTCCGATTCGCTCGCGCAATGTGTTAGGAGACCGCATAATGCAGAGACCAATCGCCAGGCCCATGACAAATCCGCCAATATGGGAAAAGTTGTCCAAGTCCGGGAGCAAGCCCAGGACAAACGAAACGGCGATACCGATAATCATAACGATCAATTCAACCCATCGGGATTCACGGTTGGGCCAGTCGTATAGCAGATCCAGCAGGAACAGGGCCATAATTCCGAACAAGGCACCCGAGCAGCCAACACTGGGTTCCGTCTGCGAAGCGTAGTTGCCTCCGAGAACATAACCGAAAATACCACTAGCGAAGTAGGCCAGGGCGAATCGCCAAGGTCCAATCAACCGCTCCATATCAGTGCAGATAAACATTTGAGCGAAAAGGTTGATAGCAATGTGAATGAATCCACCGTGCAAGAAAATGGGAAGGATGAAGCGGAACCATTGGTTTGGGGCCGGGTTGCTGTTCAAGGTGGTGTCTTTGCCAGGGTTCGGTACTCCGCCAAAGCCGCATAGTTCGGAAAGGGTACATTTAGTTTCGGTGAGTTGGCTCGTAGTCGCATTGGGGCAGGTGAAATAGACACTTTCGCCGGCGTCCTGAATCCCAGGAGTGTTCTTCATGCACGGAGTGAATCGAGCGCCCATGTAAATCTGCATATAGGCGGAAGGCCCCAAGAACGGGTTATTCGATGGTTTCGTGATTGGCGATCCGGTCATTTGGCCTAGAATAACGAGGCGATGAAGTTAGCATACGGATCTGTGATGCCTCACTCGTAGGATTTCACGTCGATACTCACCAGTCTTCACCAATTCAATGATAAAAGCGATAATCATAGCCACCGTCAATGTCCATGTTACGAAGGCGGGCTTCTTTTTAAAGAACCCGCGCTTCCTTTGACGGGGATTGCCGCGACCGCGATTTTCGATTGCGCCTGGCGAGGCCGGGTATGGGGGGTATTGAGTTTGCTGCTGCATCCATTCTGGATTGTTGCCAAATTGCGTTTGCGCCTTCAACGGAATATTCTCTGCGTAGTGATCGCCATCTGGTACCCGTCCCGCCGCATGGTATCCTCCATCTGAAAGGAATGATTGTTGGCTCTCGCGATTGTGATAAGGGGCCGAAGGGTCGTCGCGATGAGAGGGACTGCTACTGGCGTAGCCCAGGCCCGGGGCGACACCAGGCGCACCGGTCGTACTAGCAGCTGGAGTTGTCCTCCCTGGTGCTGCTTGCTCGTAGCTTGGAGGACTGGGGATGTTGGCGTGATAGTAGTCGTTGGCGGCCATCATGGGCAAGCCGAGGCAATGAAGGACAGGGGAAGCGCCCGCAAGTCCGGGGCTCGTCAAGTCGTAAAAAAGCCGATAAGAACGAGGAAAGAATGGAAGTCGATTGGAAGTGAAAGAATACAGCCCTATAAGCGATCGAAAGGGCGATAAAAAGCGGTGGTGAGTCCAAATGGGTTGGAGGGGCGATCAAAGAATTAAGAATGAAAGTGCCAGGCAGTCACGTTCGAAGTTATTTTTGGGGCGGATCATCAACACAGCCGCGCGGCGAGTGCGTGTCTGGCCGGCGACACACGAACGGCGATCACAGTTTGACTCTATTTTGCTTGAAATTGCCCGTTATCATTTGCTGCTCCTCTATTTGGATTTAAATTGTTTAGTGTTTATCTCTGTTTAGTTTACCATTATTTTCTGCTGGCAAAGAGAGTACATCTGGTGTCCAAGGCATAGCTTAACGGCCCTGTGGCCGCCTGACGCCTCAGCTGCCAAGCCGCGCTATCGTGTTCGCTCAGCCTTCCCGCTGACTAGCCACTTCTATACGGAGTATGCAATAATGTACTACTATACCTTGAGGTACACAGCACGATGCGCCCTCTAGTGTAACTGTACACAGCAGTTGGGCTGCAGCACACTACTATCAAAAAAAGTATAGGGTAGACAGTTGACATTAAGTATTAGGATGGGTAGCAATAAGAGCCACGCCATGCTCCCCATCGAAAAACAAAGTCACCTCCAGGTAGCCCCGGTGGCCCTGGTACATGCGTCGCATGCAGGCTGGGCCGATTCGTGGTGCTCGTGTTCATGTCGTTGACCGCCGGAACCCATTGGCGGCGTCATCAGGTTGGGAGATCGTATCGTGGAAACGAATGTGGTATGTCCTCCGAGTGCTCCTCCAAAACGCCAAGAAAATAAACAAGAAGTGTGCAATGCTGCTGGAGCGCGACAAGAAGCTTTAAACAAAAGACACCCAAACAACCAAAAGTATAATGCGATTGTCCGTGTGCTGTAGAGTCGCTCGAAAAAGATATGCGAAAGGTATATACCTTCTCAAACAACTCCTGCCCCGGGGCGAGACTAGGATGATTCCGGGTATTATTCATGCAGGGGGATAGAGCTCCGAGGCTCATCACGAGGCCAAAGGAGCCTCGGCGATCGAGGTAGGCGAGAATGCATTACCGTTCATGTCCAGGACTCCCAGTGCCGCGGTGACCCCCTCACCACTGTGGCCGGTCAGCAGCCAAATGACGCGGGCGAGTTTGTTATAGAGTAGCGGCGGGAAGTATAGCAGCAGCGCCCACAGCAGGAGGCTGATGACGACAAAGACGAAAGTATTCGCGACACACTTTTCGCTGGGGGTCATGACGTAGAGGCCGAAGGTGACTTCGTAGCGGTAGTACTCGAGTCGGACGCGGTCGATCACACGCTGAAAGGGATTCTGACGGCGGTTGAGCAGCGAATTCGACGTGTTGGTCATGGATGAGGAGTACTTGGTCAGCAGCTTATCCACGGCCGCAGGCGCATGCGACATATGCGAGGTACTGGACGTGTAGAAGGGGTGCATTTCGGTGGTCATGGTGGCCATGGTGAACAATGGCAAACAATGGCGACGATCTGTCGCCGATCTTCAGGCACAGAGTGGAGTGAGACCGCGATCTGGGGTTGAAGTTGTGCCCTCTCTTGTGATATACAAAGGCTCTCTCAGCCAGGAGGAACCGGAAGAATTGATGCAATAATGCGAAGCGAGTCGCCTGAACGAAATTCCCCCTGCGCTGGACCTGCCGGAAGTAGCGGATGTAGGCGGATGTGCACAGGCCGCTATACTCGAGGATCGATGAACGTGAAGAACACAACAATGGTGAAGTCAAAGGAAACGGTAGGGCCCGGCAAACACGACCACGTCAACGCGGGGATATAAGAGAAGGGAAGGAAGCGTAGGGGAGAGGAACAAGAGACAAGGAAAAAGGGGGAAAGCCGGGCCCCAAACAGGAAAGAGGAAATTGATCGGAGTTGTCGGCAAGGATTTTATGACTGTCGGACCTATTCAGCCCTGGACAAGGCACACCCTAAATTTGCATTATTAATGGGAATCTGCCCCAGTCGGAAACAGCAGGGCTGACATGGCAGCTGCAAGTGCAGAAAACCGGTTTATGGTGGGGTTTGCGGCGCAAAAATGAGCCCGATTTTTGGGAAGTGCCCGATTCCAGTCGAGGTCGTGTTGTCTGATCCAAGCAGGGCAGGGCTGAGGATAGCCATGGGTAGTGCCGATCGCGGGAGCCGCCAGGCACAAACCGTGGCCCAAGCGGGCCAGCTGGCGAGCGCATGTACTATGTAGTAGTGCAGTAGTAGTGGATGAGGTCGCCACGCCCCATATATCGGCGGAGACGGCGAGGACCCCGAGATGGTCCCGATTGACATCTGCTGGAGCATCCTCATCAACCTCCCCTCAAGATCTTTCGATCTGATTTGGTGCTGGGATGAATTGTATACTTTCGTCCCAGCCACAAAGTGGCTGCAGTGATGTCACCGGCCGCGCCGCCTCTTCCCCGCTATTCGCGCTACGCTGGCGACATCTCGCAACTCCGTCCACGACACCATCATGGATGCCAATGCCAATGATCCACTGGTCCAGGCCCTGCCGCCGGCCACTGACTACCTGACCTACCTCACCCTTCTCGAATACCAGTTGACGCCCAAACGCCTGCCGCTGCTGCACCAGTTGTTGCAAGATGAACGCCTCACCACCAACATTGGCTGGGACCTAGTCAAACTCCTCCTTCCTATGCTCCCCGCATCCACCGAGTGCCTCCAAGATGTAGCCCGACTCGGCAACCCGCGCGAAGTAATTCTGCGAGTATCCGAAGCTCTCGAACACCTTCAACCCGAGGATGACGACGATGAGCTCGCTGAGGAGGAAAGTGGTGCGGGCAAGTCTCTTCCCTTGCATGTGATCCAATTCAACTGTCTCCTGGGCATGCTGTCCATACTCCATAACCGGATCAAGACCAAAGCTCCTAGTCGATTCGTGGGCACCTCTCTCCAGGCCGCCTTGGAGGCCTATGAGGCGATGCCCTGTGACGAGTCCACCTTGGCTCTGCTCGAGTTCCTTCGGGACATATCCCCCAGCAAACGACCAGCGCCACCCCCGCGGACCCAAAGCCAGTCGAGTGTGCTACGAGTCGATGCCGCATCCGCCCCCGATCCCGAGGCGGAAGCCCAGTCGCCCTCTCCAACGGCTGATAACGAGACCCTGCTCGTACTGAAACTCATTCAATTTGGCTTGGTCGAGATGCTCAAGTCATACCTATTGAGCTTCTCCAGTCCAGCGGATCCAGGCCTGTCATGGACCGTTCGCATGCAAGAGAGCTTGAATCCAAACTTGCGCTTGCCCGGGCAGTCGCAGCTGGAGGCATACAAAACTAGTAAAGAACTTAAGGAGCGGGACATGATCATGGGCAAGCTTGTGGCTCTTTCCCGTGATGTTGGCATCGACAGCAAGGACCTTTTGTCTATTATCACACAATCGGCGGCGGATCAGCCCCCTCCGCTTGACTTTGACGAGCCTCCCGTTACGCCTGATGGGATCCCACTGGAGCGTCATGGCGCGCTTTTGCTGCTGGCAGCTCGAGCCGCCGGTGCCACGCTCTTCCCATCTGGACATTCCATGCCGCCACTCCCCGTCTATCCCGACCTGGCTAGGATATTTTCTCATTTTGTTGGTGGTCAAGACAACCTCGACGAAGTCGCTTTTGGACAGCCTCAAGCCCTGCTGGATTCCTTGTTGGCACTAACCGTCCACTCCACTCAACAAGATATCCCTTCGCCGCCCAGCGACACTGATTTCAAAGATTTCGTGGTTACATTGACTGCTTGTACAGCACGCCAAAGTCACGGTATCGTGCGGCAGATCCCGAATACCATAGTGCGAGGCAACCCATCGCAGCTTATTAGGTTCAAGCTCATCCGGACGGTCCTGGAAGATGATCGTCTGAACTCCGCCCGAGACAGCGCCATTACCTGGCTCCGGGAAGAGCTTCTCGACGCCCCACCCGAGTCTACAGACACCATTTTCCGGGATCCGCTTTACTTCTGGGTGCTGTTCCCTCTGCTCTTCCGCACCGTCAAGACCGCCGCTTCATCAACAGATCTGGCTCAGAGCTGGACCCGTCTCACTCAGACCGATGGACCGGCTTTGCACTCCGCACTGAACCTCTATTACCTGCTCCTCTCCTCTCCTTTTCTCCGCGACCATCTGCATCTGGAAAAGACCGCCAAATTCTTCCATAGCCAAGTCCGCACTCCTCTTCGAGATGCCTTCCGCTCTTTCGAGACCGATCTTACTTCTAAAGGAGGCGACGGTCTCATTGAGGCTGCTGTCGGCGAGGAAATGTGCCAAGTTGGAAATGATCGGTCTGTGGGGCTGATCGGGCTTATCCTGGATCAAATTGAGGATGTCATTGCCGATGCCTTTGGCACCGACGAAGCAGACTTGAAGGCCTACTCCGAGGCGGATGAAGCGCGACTGGCAGAGATTCGGAAGGAAACACACAGCTGGGTCTAGTCTAGTCTCAAGGGGTACGATCCACTGAAAGTACTGGCCTTTGTAAATTTCCTTGTAAATTTGACCAAGGAATTTTGAACATATTCACGTTGTTTTGACATATTTTCCTACGTATAGATATAAAAATTCAATTTTACAATTCGCTCATCGCTGTACCAAAACATGAAGGGATCTGATTTAATAGTCATTCTCTGAGTCAGTCAACTCCAATACACTACGAAAGAAAGAAGAGTTCGGAGGCATGATTGCATTCCCTATAACTGCCATAACCAGCGATGTAATAATGAAAAGAACGTACCGAATCGCGCACAAGTCCACTACCCAGACAACCAAGCCAGGGAAATCAGCACCGCTTCCACAGAAGTTGACCACCATCAACTGGAAGATCATTTTTAAGCCATCTCCCGAACTGCAATAATAAGGATATATAGAAGAAGCACCTCCATTCGTAATTAGATGGGATCACCCCCGATCACCCCAGCACGTCCAAAGAAAGACAAGAAGACGAATCCACAAGACCGGCCCACGGGCGAGAGTGATAGACGTAGAATCGGAATTCTGTGTAAACCACAGCGACAGGCGAAAGAAGTGAGGACCGCGTTGCTTGTCGGTGAGGAATGGCTTGAACCAACCTGAAGATAAGACGACGCTGCCCATGTTTTCGAGAGATGATTTTGAAGGTGTCGATAGTGGTTCTCAGGTGGTTGCGGCATCAATTATCGAAGGTCAAGACTTCATCGTCGACCGCAGACGAACCATCGGAGCAGGTCTGTCAATGCGGTGTGCTGTGAACTTGGTTGATTCGGTGTGCTCCATGTAGAGTATCTACATAACAACACAGCCACCGCCGGGGAGGCTAATCGGGCGACTGATGTTAGGCCCACATCAGCTGCACTGTAGGTAGAATGGAGCTGTTGCATGCCATTGACAATGACGGCGGGAGTCTGGATGTGGGAGGGAAACATGTTGGTAGATGAGATGGAGCTTCGTAAAAGCGAAAGTTGGTTTGTAATATGGTTTGGATGGTTGGAATTGATGAGGATGATGAAGAAGAAGAAGAAGAAGAAGAAGAAGAGTTTTGGGCTGGGGACTTGGACCTATATATACCATTTGGTGGACGCAAGACGTCGCGGTGAATTGCTCTCAATGTCCATATCTTGGAGACATCCGGGTTTGAATCGATTGACTTGATATTGTCCCTGCTTCTAGTGGCGTTTGCTTAATATTGTTCTCTCATGTTGAAAGCACGTGGCGGTCCGTCAAGGCCTTCGTGGACACGCATCAGCTAAGAAAATTGGATGAAGCTCGAGGAAGTGACTGTTTCATGTTAGCAATGATAGGATTAGACCTGTCTGACAGCGGAAGCGAGGTTGGAGTTTTCATGTGGGTGCGCCACGGGGTCGGTGACCGCTGTCGTCGGGCCCGAATTTGGGACGGGTACGTCTGCGGAAAGAGAACAATATTAACTTACAAGCAGGGGGCGGGTGCCTGGTTGGTTGAAGGTTGCCGCCACAGTGGGGCGAGGCTGCCACGCGACGAGAATCGCCTTAATATTGAACTTCCGAAAACAATATCAACACTCGGCTTGGCGGTGCACCTGTTCATTCACTCTGAATTTCCCAGAATTTTGAACGTGTTAGGACGGAGAGTTACGAGAGGGGAATCACGGTAAATTGCAATTCGCTGAGGCTCAATTTAAGTCACGAAAAAATATATCGATGTTGCAAAATGCAAAGTCGTCACGACATCACATATTCGTTCTCTCAGGTGTAGATGGGCTCGGTCACCTCGTTCAGAGTCAGTCCTTCCTTAGCCACATCCTCTTCAATCAGGAACATCAGAGGCATCTCAACCAAAGTGCCCTTGACCTGGCTGAGCAGTTCTTTGACCTGCTTGACTCCCTCGGCACCCGGCGCGAAATCATCGCGCACCACATGACCCCATTGGAATCTGGCGGGGCGCACATAGCCCTGTCCGTCGGCTTCTCTGTCCGCATTACGGAAGTAGTACTCATAGAATTCCTTGTAAGTGGCCCAGTTGCGCACAGTGTCGTCGGGCACTGCGTGGAAGACCTTGCGGAAGACATCGGTGTTCGTTCGTGCCCGGGTGTTCCACATGCTTTGCAGGGTGTCTGCAAGAGGGTCTGCGACAATCCGGCTCTCAGGGCAATCGAAGTCGAAGTTGTTGGGAACACCGACGGGTTCAAAGTTTGCTTCTGGTCGCTGGTAGTCTTGTGGGGGCAAGAGACCCAAGTGCTTACGGAACAGTTCTCGACGAAGAGAAGAAGCGAAGCGGCTGGCGGTCCAAGGTTTGCCGTTCATGCTGGACTGCACCGGGGTGAAGTCCTCGATAATCACGGCAATCTCGGAGTCATGATCACCCAGCTGCGAGCGGTCATTCAGGTTCGCAGATCCACATATCACGATACGATCGTCGGCAATCATCACCTACAAGTTGTTAGCATCGAAAAAAAAAAAGAAAAAAAAGAAAAATTCGAGTCAAATTTTGGGAGACAAACCTTGGAGTGCACGTAAAGTTCCTCGCTCACGAACGCATCAATTTCAGCATCAGGATGGCCATCCCACGGCACGTTGCGAATATCCTCCCCGTTTAGCATATAGCACGAGCTGACACTATCCCAACGACCGGATCCTGTGGCCTTGCTACCTTGCACCTGGTGCGCAGCCTGCTGGTATTGCTGGAAAGGAGCGGCGGTGTCAAATGCACTGCGAGTCACACCCTGGGCGGGAGCGCCCTGAGCAGACATACCCGGGGCATAGCCACCAGGACCAGCGGTGTTGACATCATACTGTCTCTGCGCATTGCCGTAGTTGACGCCGCTTTGCTGTTCGACGGCAGCCATGACTCCAGCATTGTTGATACGGTCGTAGTTGCGCAGGTTGTAGAATCGGATGTACTCCATGGGGTTGAAGCCCTCCTTGGCGATAAGCTCCATGATACTGTTGCCACCGCGGTTGATGGAGTTGTACTGGAACTCCATGATGGCCCGGGTTCCAAGAGTCTCATCGTCTCGGAGGTCTCCAGCGAAGCAGGGAACAGAAGGAATCACGACGATGATCTTGTACTTCTGACCAGCGCGGGCAGCACGCAAAATACGCTCCACGATGGCAGCACCAATCTTGTTCTTCACAGGGTGCTGATGGTCACCAGTAGCCGTGATGAAGAATTGGTTTTCGATGTAGACAAAGTGCTCGCTATTTCTGATAATAGCAGCATATGCATCTTGAATGGAATGTTCCAGGGGGCTGCCATTGCTCCACTTGGAGCAGCTTCGCACAATCTGGCAAGACATGTTGCCACGGCTCGAGGTCGGACGCCCATAAGTGCTCAGACGGTCCTGGTAGGTGTGGATTTGACCAGCCAACTGACCCTTCAATGCATTTCCATACTTGGTAACATCTTCACGAAGTCGACGCGGGGCAAATCCACGCTCTTGGTCTCCATCATGGTAATAATCACCAATTCCGCGAGTGCTGGAATGAGAAGTCTCTTGTCCCAGCGGAGGCGCATAATATGGCGCCCCTTGTTGATCTTGGTGATGGGCAGAGCTATCAGATTGCTGGTTTGGAGGTGGAGGATAGTATGGCGCCTGGTTCTGCGACTGCTGCGGCTGGTATGAATGACTGGCAGGCGACTGACTGGGCGGGGGACCTGGGGGAGGTGGCGGGAACGAGTCTCCAGTGTAAGTGTACTGCGTCGATCCCGGGTTAGGGGAGTGACTGGAATAACTTGGCTTGGATGGCGAGGTATTGGCTGGTAGCTCTGTCAAATGCGATGAGGGCGAAGCTCCGCCAGCCTGGTACGGCTGATAGGACGATGCCGTCGACTGCTGCTGCTGCTGCTGCTGATACGGCTGAGGGCTAGCAGATGTCTGGCTAGGCGGAGGTGGATAGCTTGAAGTGCTTCCAGATCCAGACTGCCAAGACGGGGTGGCGTTGTACTGCTGCTGCTGCGGCCGAGGGCTCGTTGACTGACCAGGCGGGGGCGGGTAAGTCAGAGTACTTCCAGACTGGTAAGAGAAAGTGTTGTGCTGCTGTTGACCCTGGGGTGGTGGGTAGGAAGATGACGGGGGATTCTGCTGCTGCTGGGACTGCGAGCTAGAGGTCGTCTGTCCCGGAGGAGGCGGGTAGGCCGAAGCACTTCCAGCTTGCCAAGATGGCCGCTGAACATGAGGGCTTGCAGTTCCAGAAGGATAGGGGCTCTGCTGCTGCTGCTGCTGCTGTTGGGGTGTGACACCGCCATACTGTTGACCAGTGGAGGTAGGCCGGCCGTACAGAGCGAGTCTTGCATAGCGCGACTGCTGACGGACCTTATACTTCGAGTCATAGATGAAGTTCCATCTTTCTACAAAGTGACGACGCAGATCCTCAACGACGGCACCGTGTAGACTCAGGGAGATATCGGACCAGCCCATTCTGGACATGGCCTTGCGTTCGAGCTGGTTGTTCTCCCAGTGAACGACATCATGGAAATCAAGCACACGCGAGTTATTGTAGTCTTGACCAGGGAACACCGTTTCGTTAAGATCTGAGGGATGCAGGTCGGAAATGGCATGCTGGTGGGTATCCCACCGTCCGAAGCACAGGTCGAGGCCACCCATGAACGCAGTTTGGCCATCGATCAGGCACAGCTTCTCGTGATGGGCCCAATACAGAATGACGTCGTCATTCATACCATACAGGCCCTTCAACGCATCCTTGGACATCTTACTGAGACTTGCCGAGTCCAGCGACATGTTCTGGAAAGAGCTAGTGATTGACTGTGCCAACTCCTGGCGATCCGGCAGATGATCGGGGTGGCGAAAGACCGCGATATTTGGATGTAAGTCTTCCAAGGCATGTTTCGTGTGGGAGGACGAGAGGGTCAAGGCCTGGGTGACTTCCTTGTAGACAATAATGTTGACGCGTACGCCGCGCTGGGCCGCTGCCTGCAGCATGCGGTCCAACCGGTACTGCTCATTCTTGGCCGGGGGTCGTCGCAAGTAAAGCTCGGGCGAGAGCCACCCTGGTAAATATGTCATTAAAGCCATACTCGTGCGTCTCTCGAGGCTTAGGGGGTCGCAACTTACAATCAAGAATCCAAATCGATTCCCGCGCCGTCTCGAGGGCCCTGGAGACCGCCCAGAAATAGCTACATCCATCGACATACCACTTCACATCGTTCTTCTCGCGCGGCGGTGCAAAGCTTCCGAACCGATGCTCGGTGGTCGGGTTACTGGCGCCGTACTGGGCATACGCTTGGGGATCGATGGTGGTTCCCAGCTTCTGGGCCATCTCGGAACCCAAATCCGTCACTGCGCCTTGGATCTTTCCTAGGAACCCGCCAATCTTATCTTCCTTCGGGGGTCGTCCCTGGTGCTGACCCTGGTACTGGGTCTGCTGGTACTGCGGGGTGTTGGCATCGTGACCGTGGCTATAGCCATACGGGGGCTGGCTGTGGTCTTGCGGATTTTGCTGTCTTCGTGTTAGCAAGCTTTCTGCGACCTGGGGGGCAATGGGCCCGACATACTCCCTGGTAGCCGGACTGGCTGTAACCTTGGCCGGAGTGCTGCGACGAGCCCTGGTGTGTCTTGTAGGTGTCCTTCAGCTTCTTGAAGGTATCGCCCATGAGTCCACGGGCGCTGTCACCCGTAGAGCCACGCGAGGACTCGTAATAGCGGCCGTAAGCCAGATCATCCTCTTGACGCGACATCGCGATGCAGGGGAAATGTGGGGAGAGGATCAGGCGGAGGGGATTGTTTTTAACAGCTGTCGATGCCCCGCCCAGCCACGATGGAGCCGTGGTGGCTGAGCCCCCATGGCCCCAGGCTTCCAAATTCCCTTCAGCCGATACTACTGCTATTTATGTACTGCGGGTACGTTGTTCAAGCTGCTGTCGCGTCGCACTCAGCAGCCGCTTCGGGCAAGTGTGGCGGTGCCTGTCCCAGCATGGTGCATACATTGTACTTAGTACCCTTAGGTACTGCTGTATGTACATCCGCTTCGCAACGTGCGATCGTCCGTGGCTCCACGTCAGCGCCGATCACACCGGCCACGTTTCGGCCATGGGACCATTTCTCCCTCTACCATTTTACCCTTGTCTGGCCTACGTCAAGTTCGGCATCCAGGGATCTGTATGCAGAAGCAGGGCTGGCCAAGCCGTTCTGATGAAGGCGGGTAGCGTGGTGGTTTCCGAGGAATCGCCCTCGGGGATGATCCCCACCATGTCTCCGCAAGATATAGCCAATACCTCCTCAGACAGCTTGGAAAAATCTCCTGTAAACGGAAAGAGAAGGCAACTAAGTGTCATAAATAATTTGAACCTCTAAGATCACAATATGATTGCAAAAATAAGGCAAATCTCTCATACGATCGCGGCCTTACAAAGTCATTCGGATTGTTTAGCAGGGAGTGCCGATCCCGTGCTAACCCCCGTGTATAGTTGGGGCTACAGTAACTAGACACCTACGCAGAAACACTCGAAAGCCTTTCGTGGAGAAACCGAATCAATTATTGGCCAGATCCAACAATCTCTGAAGCCTGTCTGGTAAAGGCAAACGCAGTGCATCGTCGCTGTAAAACCAGCTGGTGCGCAACAGCTGCGTCCCCGCACTTATCTAAGAGAGCCCCGCTGGATATGCAACAGGTTGCTGCCAACTCATTCAACCCCCTGAGTCTCTCAATTTTCTTTTTCTTTATTCTCTCCAGAGAAAATCTTTTCAATTACCCATTCCAGACACCATGTCGCTCGCCACTCTTGATGTAAGAAGTCATTCGCCAATTGGTTTTCTTTCACCCCCACTGACCGCAACAGACCGCGCAACACCCCTACCTGCCAACCGCATCGGCGACCCTCTTCCGGGCAAAGGAAGCCAAGAAGCTCAGCTTTGAAAGGATTGCCGAGTATCTTGGTCGCAATGAAGTCGCCGTGGCGGCCATCTTCTACGGCCAGGCCAAGGCCTCGCCGGAAGACATCCACCGACTCGCCTCGTTGCTCCAAATCCCCCAGCACCCGCTGGAGGAACAGCTGAGCGGATTCCCTGACCGGGGCCGGTCGGTGGAGATGCCTCCCAAGGAACCGTTGATTTATCGCTTGTATGAGATCGTGCAGAACTATGGGTATGCGTATAAGGCGGTGCTGAACGAGAAGTTCGGGGACGGCATCATGAGCGCCATTTCGTTTTCAACAAAGGTGGAGAAGGAGACCGACGAGGAGGGGAATAACTGGGCTGTGATCACTCTGCGAGGCAAATGGTGCGTATGAATGTTCGGAGAACGGAAGAGATTGAGACTGACAGGACTGCCAAGGTTGCCCTTCTCCAGGTTCTAAAACGGGGGAATGGGAGGGTGATGATTGCCAGCGTAGCATAACCCATAGGGTATTGTATTACTGCAATTGAAATCACTTTTGATCAAATAGTTTCTGGCTCAATTGTAGCCCAGGCAGTTCTCGTTCCCCGATACCGACAGACGGAACATGCACACAGGCTTGATGCGGACTTGACCGAGTGAGGCCGTTTCCCTGTCACCAACCTTCCATGACGCCCTGCCCGCAACGGGAAAGTGAGAGAAGTGAGCAAGCCACGCACCCTCAACCACCCAGCAACCATAAATACTGGAACCCATTGCGATTTACTCCACCCTCTCCCACCCATCGACTCCTCTTCCCCCTCCATCGAGTCACCATCTCAACTAATCTCTCCCTCGAAAAAGTTTCATCCAATATAATTCCGTTACTGACGCTCACCATGGATACCGGCGCTCCGGGAAAGGCTCCTGACCGAGATGAGGCCTCCAACGCAGGAGAGGCCTCTGGCAATGGAGAGGCGCCGGCCAGGGACGAGGTTGGCTCTCATTTTCCCCTCCATGACAGAGCAAAGGCGGCCGCGGCCAGAGAAAGCCTGCGAGCCCGGGGCCTGTTGGAGGAGAATGACAACGACACGGTTGAGGGTCCTAACCCAGTAGGCCCTCCCTCTGTCCGGTGTCTCCGGAATTGCGGCCTGCTGTTCCACACCAGGATGGACATGCTCAGACATGCAGTTCTTGCGGACCGGCACAGTTACTGCCCTGGCTGCGAGGAGCTCTTCGAGAACGACCATGACCTCCTCGCCCACGAGATGAAGGACGCCAAGATTGAGCACTGGCGATGCCCACTTTGCGGAGAGTACTGCATCCGCCAATCTGCCCTCCGAAACCATGTCCGATCGGTAAGTCTAAAGTCCCCAATTCCCTTCAGTTGTTACTCTGTGTTCTGATATGCTGACCCCGGTCATAGAGTCATCCCCCCGTCCGATACGGAAAGCCGAAGTGCCCTGGCTGTGGGAAGCTGTTCGAATTCGGCTCTCAGCACATGACGCACATGCGTACCAACGAATGCGGATCGGGTATCGTGGCCGAAGTCATGGAGCAGATGCGACGCATGTATGAGAGGCGCATGCAAGAGCATGAAGCTCACATAGCCAAACTCTTGAATGACCTCAAGATCCAAGAGGTAACCATCGCTGCTTCTAGTCCTTCCACCGGTTCCGCTCCTGCCGACACTCCCGAGCGAGGTAAGAATCACTCAGATAGCGACACTGACATCGATCTGGATGATCTGATTAACCAAAACAGACAAACCTAAAGCAGGCCTGACCCCCAAGACTGCGACGGAGAGCAGAAAACGCACGTGGTATTTTGGTGATCGGGACCGACGTTGCCTGGGACAAGAAGGCGTACTGGAATTTCATGCTTTTTTTTATTTTCTGTTTTTTATTTTATTTTATTTTTTTTGGGTGGTGTTTTGAAATCTTTTTCGGAAATTTTTAATTTCTTCGATCATCTCGGAATGAGAGTCATACTCATAAGAGTCATGTCTTTCTAAAAGTAGATTCATGTAATTATGCCCCCTTGGGTGCTCACTTACGATCTTGGTTAGCCATGGATTCCTCTTCGATCGCCTATATGATTATCTACACGGTCATATACCTAAGGTAATCAACTGCACATTTAACTGCCTAGGCACCTACTCTACACATACATTAGATGCCCGAAAAGGCAGAAGGGGTGTAGCCTGAGCCAAAAGGGGTGTCGGCACAGTCATCTTCTGAAATTCATAGAAAAACTCAAGATACAGAGAGCAAGGTATTATTTCGAGACAGCCCTGACACATCTGTCGAGACTATCCAAATTACATGGACATCAGGTATACTTGATGGTCAGGTTCCGGCTGGAAGGAACCTGTACAAGACAGGTGACACATGAGGGCTTTCTGGATGATCTTCTGCGAGGGAGAATTAATCAAAGGCTATCAGGCACAATTATCAAGGAGAGAAAAATCATTCTATTTACTGGCTTACTTCCGTTTTGAGCAACCAAGACGGCTGCCAACGGCCTTGATAAATGTTGGGCATGGGTTCGACGATCAAAGAAGCGTTTGAGAGGATTGTGCTTGTTGTGTCGGAGCAAAGTTGAAGACGGTGAAGGGCGTATCACTGAGAGCAAAGATATGCCGCTCCTCTGTTGATACTGGCGACGTGAAAGGGATACCGACAAATTGAATTTCGGACATGACTTGCAAGGACCACATAAATCCTGTGGTAGGTGCATATTGCTATACTCTTCCCCCCCCCCTCGAGTACTACGGCCTATCGAGAATATCTGACTGGGAGAACGGAAAAGTATTTGCTAGGCGAAGAAGGTATTGATGCAGCGGGCCTGGCTGGAGATAGTATCCAAAGCACGCCTCGCAACTGAAGAAAAGAATTAGAAGAGCACGAAGGAAGAAAGCATACCCCGAATTCCGCACACAGGACAGACACCTCAATCCGCTGAGTTTATTCCAGATTGACCACTAGGAGAGTCGGCTTTGGGAACTTGAAGGTACCAATGGTTGTAGGAACGAAGATGTATTCGGGTCGTCGATCGTGGTATGATAGTCAAGGAATTTCGGGTCGGGCGGAGGCTTAGCAGCAGTCCTCGCAGCATTCGAAGCAAAGAAGACCGGCACAGCTGTTTCATGTCAACATTTCCGTACCAGGATGAGACCTAGCAGAGTGCCCTGTAGACCTAGAAATAGACCTGCCACTTACACGCCGCAGCAGACATCGCCCGCACCACCACCGCGAAGCCTCATGTTCTCCTGGGAATTCTGTGAGGAAGGAGGAATCTGGTCAGCAATCATTGCTCCCAAGCAAGATAGTGGATAGTACAGGCGATGTGCATACGGGCTGCTCCGTCATGACACGCTCCGCGGAGGGAGCATCAGGGCTGGACGGCTGTTGGTTCTGGACAGTAGTGGTGGTCGCATCCCGGGTAGCCTCCGGGGAGGGCACCCGCTTTGGGGAGAACCAGTTGAAGACGTTGCCGAGCATTGTGAGCAAAATTGGCGTGAGAGAAGCAAGTGAAAGCGAATATGTGTGTGTGTGTGTGTGTGAGAGAGAGAGAGAGAGAGAGAGAGAAAGACAGACGTTATGTTGTAAAAGATCAAAGGAGAGCAGTCAGCTGAGGGAAGATGAAAGGGACGGAAACTTTTATATAGATCGCCTGATACCAGCCACGCTCATACCACTCGCACTACTTTCTACCTGAGGGTAAGGTAGGTGCGCAAACTCTACACACGCACTTCTACACACCTCCCAGCTCGGCTTGAAGCCACACGGAAAGCACTCGGATAAATCGGAGGCCCCAGCGTCGCGAATGATGACCATGCGTAATGTGGAGGTCTAACAACGCGAGTGGCGTCCACCCTGGACAGTCCAACCCTGGCCGCATGGGATGCGATACTCTGGGCACATTCGAAACCTCCCCCACCCACCCCCCGGGAGGCCTGCCACGTTTACCTATGATCGTCACATTCACACCGGGCCCCAACGTGACGTCGAGGAATAATCTCCTCAAGCAAGTACAGCCTCAAGCTGTTTCGCAGAGATGACATACTCGATACCGCGCACTACACGTCGAACCGACCCAGAGTTCCGGTCCCTGAATGACGACACCACCGTGACGAATGGCCTGGTGCCTGTCGTGCATTCAAATTTATGCACAATGCGAGTGAGTCGGGGTGAAACATCCGACTCAACCGCAGGAAGTGAGCGGGCTCCACTCAGCCCTGGAGCGCTAAGCTTCGGTCAAGCTTCGTCATTCGTGCATATCGCCCCTATTTGTAGTCGCCGCCCGTAGCTCAGATCTCCAAGTACACAACACGCATGTGTGGCTGAACAGCGTTCTCACGGACGAGGTCAACTTTCTCAACAACTTACATCAACCAAGATCAATTCACTTCTGCAGAACGCAATGTACATGGGGGTGGAGCCTAAACAACCTACGGCTTATGGGCGCAAAAATGGAAACAAATGATATGTTTTCAATTTAAGCGATGCACAACAACTCTCAGATAAATCAGAGACCAGAGATATCAAACAGACAGTCCTCAAACAATAAATATATTGACCAGTATAGATATAATATCGACCATCAGAATATCAAGCAGGAACAGTTCCGAAAAAGCCCCGGAGCCATAACACCCCAAGATGCCTTCTACTGTGGTCCTGGAAAAGAAAAGAAATTATATTCATCCACGAGAGTTTACCAGGACTCTTCGAAAGGTACCTCAAAGTCATGACTCTCCTCGGTACCATTCTCCGACTGGCTGCAAACATCTTTTTTTCTTGGCCTTTTTTCCCCCTCCTTCCTCTTTTCTTCTTCACCTTATCTTCTTTTTGTTCTTTTTTCTTTTCTTTTCTTTTTGTTTTCCCAAATTTGCAGATTTCCAATTCACATCATGCATGTCATCGCCCAAATGAACCGCTGATGAAAAAATGACCACTTGAAAGAAACATAAATGAAAGACAACAGGAAACTTCCAGGGTGGTTATAAGTGGCTGGTCCCACATTGGGGTCGTGGACTTGAGATTAGGACGAATGCCACGGGAGCAGGTGAAACCTTCTCGTGGCTTAGTCTCACGAGGTAAAAGCCCTGCTCAGTTCAGATGCTGTGCATTATATGCACAGAATAAAATTCCCCGCATGTTTCAATTTGCCCCCTTGTCTCCCAAAATGACAGGCGTGCGCGGCGCGATGCCTCGCGGAACACATGAAGCGGTCGTCCCTTCGAGTTTTGGCGTCGAAAATGCTGCTTGGCTCGATCACGGGACGTCAAATGTGCCACAGCGCAAATTTGATGGTCGCGCTCATTTCTTCGTTTTGTTCCTTGAGCCTTTGGATTTCAAAGACGATCTCGGGGATCACGGAGTTCATCTGTCACGGTGTTGGTTTGGTGAACTTGAATCAAACAGGGGGTTGTACGGGGTTACCCACGTTGATTTGGCATGTCTCCGAGGTATTGTTGACAAATGGATCGGGCGTCTGTATGTCATGTTCAGCTTCAAGTTCTCGTTTGTTGCAATGATCGTCGAATGGTAGTGACTGACCGGATAGGAGATGCAGATCTCTTCGTCAAGAGGTGGCGCGTCTGACATCTCGACGTCCATTTCCTGGTACCAGTTTGGCTGAGACTGGACCGGATATTGTGGTTGGATATGCACTTGCTGGTCGGTACAGGCTTGGTAACCACTGTGCTGTTGGATGGCGTACTCAAGTTGTTGTTGGCTCAGACGACCCTTGTTGTTCTGGCGGAAGTGGTTGTGCACACGCCCCGGACCTGGACGAGTGGAGTTGCGAGACTGGTAATTTTGGCCTCGTTGACGAGAGCTTCGCTGCCAGTTTGGGTTAAATCGTCTGTTCTGGTCGCCATTTTCTTGCCCCGAGTATTGCTGATGGGGTATAGGCGGCTCATGAGGGCGAGCCTCATTTCCAGAGTAAGTCGAGTAGCCGTCTTGCACGCTGGAAAATTGCGTGACTTGGTGATTGTGCTGGCTGCAGTCCTGGTGCTGAGATCGCACGTGTCCATTTCGACGTGGATTGTTCGACGGTCCTGGTCCGCGTGTTTGACGATTTGGGTTGAATGCAGGACCGTTTTTCCGTTGACTCCGAGGCCCGTGGGGGCGATCAACGAAATGCGAATTTTTGTTCATGTTTGCGATACAAGAAAGATAGATGCACAGTGGAAGAATATGCAGATCAGAAGCCCTGCGTCGGGCCTCAGCAAGGAGCAGACAAGAGTGGTCCTATCGCCGTCTGTGGAGAGCAGGGTTTCAACTTCCGAGATTCGGAATTCACCTATCCTTTTTTGGATCTCGATAGGACAATTCGCAGTTGAAATTTTTTTTTTGAAAATTTTTGAACAAACTTGAAAGCAACGCAGAAACAAGATCCTCACGGACTCGGTGACTCCTACAAGTCCTACACTCAAGACGACTTAGTGACGCAGGCTCACCTTGTCGTACTGCTGCTGAGGAGGTTATTTGCCAGGGGCTTTTTCTTTCTGATCGCGCGTGGGGAAGAGTGCGAGAGAGATGGAGGAAATGGGAGAAAGGCTCCGGTGGAAGAAACGATTGGGGCTTTTGTAGATCCTCCCTCTCCTCCGAAGCCTACCTGGAAAACTGTACCGAATTGACAGCGGAGTGCTGCAATTCGATACCAGATAGGTCGACTCAAGGTAAAGACGAGCGAAGTTTCGCCTATTGAGGTCAAGTCTCTGCACTGCCTTGAGCTTAGATAGCCTTATGAGATTTCCGTGGTTTGGATCTGTAACGAGTAAAGTAATCTACTGGAATAGGAAAAGTAGCCCATGACATAAAATGGGTGCCGTCCATGAAGACGACGATATGTGGGAATCACATGTTACATGGGCCAGGGTGCTTGAGCCAGAGCAATCTGAAATAGCTCACCAGAAAACAACTGAAAATAACTCCACAACGCTCAAATACCCTTGTCCAAAAGTAGAGGCAAAAAGCCTCTAGCGCATGATATCATCTTTGATGTAGATGAATGCATTCTTTCAAGATGAGTCTCGCGTACAGGGCAATTGAACTATACAATGAAAATCATTATTTATCAGACATCTTGATTTTGTGTGCTTTTTGTTTGCTGTAACGAGGTAAGTGGTGCGGCTTTCGACACTGTTCATGGTCCGATACTATATGTGGTCTACATTTTGTCGAGACAGCCCTGACCCCCGACAAGTTTATTCCGAGTTAACTTAACCCTTTTGCTGAGGGTTCTAAGCCATCTTTGGATTGGTTCGAATTTTGACTTGCGAAGGATCTCCAACAAAATCATGGTCCGATGCCATATGCGGTTGCCGCGCTCTGTTGCTCCTGACCCTGCCAAGCTTTCCCCAGTCGCTATTTTTGGCTTCCGGGAGATACTAGACAATGATCGCCAGCGATACAAACAAGAATTGTATTCTTTGTACTCAATCGCATTGTTTAGAACAACGAGCATTGCTCGAGTATTTCTTCGCGTCCCGCAATAAGAGGGGGATCTGGTATAAAAGCAAGCTCCCTCGAGGAACTATTTAACGCCATCGAGCAATCTAATAGTTCATATCCTCGGTCAAGCATCAAGCTGATTAATTTCAATGACTCCTCTCTCGCTGCAGCAAAATTCATCTCAGGACTCTCCGCCTTCATCGGCGAGGAGTTCGCCTCGTGACAGCGAAGACGCTGGATACTATGATCATTCGCACTTGTATCCTTCCCCGTCTCCCTCACCTCCACCTCCTTGGTTGCCTCCTTCGCCCCCCCAATCACCAGCACAGTCCCGTTCGATGATGCACCAAGATGAAGAAGGAAGGAGAAAGAAAGAAAGTCCGCCAGAAAAAGAGGGCTTAAGTACCCAGCAATCGCGCACCAGCAAACGCGTAGTGCAAACGACCCAAAATTATGCCTCAGGCACCCTTCTACGAGATGAGGCTATTCCCAGGTTCATCCGTCACACAGAATCAGTCACCACCGTCAACACCATGCCCATCGCCATGCCTATCGCCACCCAATTCGCCGCCTCCGCTTCAAATTTGATTTGAATAGAAAGTGGTAAGCGACTCACAATGGGCTTTCATGTCGCTTTGCATTTGGTTCACGGCTGGACAAAGGAGAGTAGTTAGAGGGTCTGAATAGCAATTAAAATTATCGTATGTTTCTCGCCTTTTCTCTCCATACTACTGTAACAGTACCGAATGATGAAGTGGCTCATTAATTCTATACGCCCATTGTATGCAATATTTGAGTTTCGTCTCATTTCTAGGTGGAAGACCCGTTGATTGTGATAAAGATGTTGGTACAGTCGACTGTTCTGTAAGAATAAATGCAATGAAGCAAAATCGCATCTTGCTGCGGGGTCCGTGCTTCCACAGTGCAGTCACCTCTTCTGTCTCTTGGGGATCCAGCGATCTTCTTGACCAGATATTAAGCCTCCGCCTCTCTTCGTGCCTTTGTCCAAACGAACGCGCTTTTTCTGATGCCCGTGTCCTCCAGGCGACACACTCTCGTTAGAGAGTAAGCTTTCCCGCTTACGCTTCTCTGGTTGCGCAAGGTCCTTCTTCCGACGCAGTTCTTCTTTAATTCGTAATCGCCGTTGGACCTCGGCAGAGATATCTTCGGTATCAGAGGCGGGAGAGGCATCATGCGGGAGCTCTTCGGCAGCATTTAGAGCACTATGACCCCTTGAAGTGCGATGGTTGTTTCGTCTTTGTTTTGGGACGGGCCCTTCAGCTGTCGCATCGTTTGGGGGGTTGATATGGCGGTCTGTAGGGGTATTCTCTTTCTCCTTCTCTGTCAGAGAGCGCCTTTTTCTCTTGCCAGATTCGGTATGTGTGGATTGCGAGGTGGACGAGGATTTCGGGTTTTCGGTAGGGTTGGCAGGTTCGCTTAGTTTCTCTGAAGACTTTCGTTAGCCTGCTTTCCCCGACATGTACTTCTGACTGATGCAGGTGTGGAATCGCGAGGTGGAGAGGTCGATCAACGTACTGTTGTGCATGTTCAACTAGATCACATGAATTTTTAGTCGCAGTATCCAAAAGGAGCTTCACTAGCCACTTACCACCTTCTTTCGCACCACCTTAAATTGTGTCATTGCTTGGACCGTCTTGCTCACCATAGACGACACCGTCCGGAGTGCCTCGTCGCCCTCGAGCGAGACTTCTTTTTCACGGCCTCGAGCATTTCCAGATGAGAGGTAAGGACAGTTTCGTGTCGATGAAAGACCTGCTCGAGTTTGCCGTGTTAGCCATTGTCTGTTTCTACGCCCGAGAAGTCCTTTTTGCTAGTAGATTGGTCGAGTATCTCCAGCGCATTTCGCGACTTCGGATTTCCGATGCGACGAGGAAATTTGGCGATGCGACATACCTCTGCCCACGGAATTGCTGAGCCATTTGCCTGCTGGCCATTCGGAAGCCTATCCCCGGTCCCGTTGTCGTTGGGGTTCATCCTGAAGCTGGAGCTAGAGAACATGCTCTTCGCCGAAAGGACTCGGAAGACCTCGAAGGGATCGGCGGAGAAGGAGCTCTTCCGCGCCAAGACTTTGGCGACGTCACGGATCTCCGCTGTGAAGAGCCGAACTTGTAAGTCATTCTGTTCAGACTCTGAGGGAATTGACTTGATCGAATTAATTTTTAGTGCGAAAGAAAATATCCCTCCATCCTAAAGATGTGAATGCTTCTGTTGATTACGCTGTGTACAGAATGAACTCCCAACGCCGCTCTCAGAAACCACCAAGCCCAACCGTAAAGTCTCGAAGCAGAAAACATTTCGTAGTCGAATGCAAATATTACAGACAAGTAATCCATTCTTCACCAAGCTGCGGCATCAAAGTCAAACCGCGAAAGCTCTTTCTGCGCATCCTCGACATCTTTCTTCGCTTTCATGCGCATGTAGAAAATGGGGCAATCGCGCGATGAGCAAATGACTTCACAGTGAAGACTGCCTTGGCATCGCTGGCACTGTGTCCACAGGCGGCCGAAACGAACCTCCAGATCAGAGGCCTTGATCAACGTCTTGGTGTAGAGCTCTCCCACACGAGGGCGGCAGTTCTCGCACACTGCACCGGCCATCTCCTCCTTGCCCGCGAGAGGCTTTTTGCAGCCCATGCATGTTTGTGTCCGTTTGGCGAACTTCATCAATCCACCCAAGCTGGGTGCAGCAACAGAGATTGACCGTGTGTGCTCGCCAGTCAGCAGCTGGTTGGCTTTCTTTTCGCCCAGGATGGGTTCGAAAATACGGCCGAGCGGATTGGCAAGCTGGTTATCCAGGTAGTATTTCGTGTCGATGGGAACATTATTTTCCAAAACGTAGATCGGGTCTTCCGCTCGCTCATAGCCTTTGGAGTTCGTCGCACCCTTGATCATGACGTAGGCTACACGGTCACCAAGGGCAGGGGCAGAACCTGCATCACGCTTCGCCATACGCTTGGCAAGCTCGACGTGAGCCTGCTTGGCGGCATATTCCTTTTGAGAAAGCTGCTTTGTAATGACCAGTTTCGACATATCGACCTTATTTTGCAGAAGATCTGAAATAGTCGATTTCACGTAGCTAGATGAGACGTGTTAGCATCTGTCAGGCAGATACATCTGGTGGAGATGAAATGTACTTACTCTTGGGCCGCGTCGGGGTCTCGGTCAATGAGGATTTTGTTCAAGACGGTCTCAATCACGTTTTGAACAAGCACGCAGTTGTCACGGCGAACTGTCTCGATTCCCTTGGTGTCCATCTTGTCGTGCTTTATGGTGTTAGTCCAGAAAAGACCAGCATATCGCTTCTTGTTGATAAGAAGGTACGGGAAGTACACCTTCTCGAACTCAAGCTTGATGGGTTTGATGAACTTGGACGAGACATATTCCGCAGCCTCTTCACCGAGCTTCATGGCATCAGCCAGGTCACTAACCCCAAATTTCACCATGACGGAATCAGTATCACCATAAATGACTTGGGCGTCGTGAGAGTAGCCATTGGCAATGGTGTAGCGAGCCTCGACCTCCTCCTTTGTCTTCTCGATCATTTGACGACCGTAACTGGTGGTACTACTGGCAATAGGAAGACAGGGGAGCTTGCCGACCGTGGCACCAGTTAGACCGTAAACACTGTTTGCGCTGACCTTCAAGGCAAGCTGCCGACCGTTCAGCACAGCCTTCTTGAAAGGATCGGTTTCCACACCAAGCTCCTTCTTGGCCTTCTTACGAGCACTCAGGAGTTCCTCGAGAATCTGCGACAGAAGACCCTTGCGAACTTTACTTGTGCAGAATAAGTCCCCATTTGGCGTCACAATGTAATCTTCGTCTTTCTTGAGGCCGAGTTTATCAACACTGCTCTTGTTCAGCAACGTAGTGTAGCACAGGTTATGGGCCTGGATGATAGAGGGATAAAGGGACGCAAAATCGAGTGTCGCAATGGGAACGTTGTAGTATCCTCGCTTCGGTTCGATCACAGTAGCACCTTCATAGTCCTGCTCATCTTGCGACTTGGAATTTGGGACGACAAGCTGCTGTTCAAGGGCTTTTCGGAAAAGCTGACTGATAAACTTCACCTGTTGACCACGAGAAAGCAGAAAGTTGAAGGGCACACCCGTTACTCTTGCCATTTCTGTGTAGTTCACCAGACACATCAGCTTATCCATCAATCGTTGCGGCAAATAGGCATCTTTCAGGCAGTAAACAGCCAATCGTCGTCGTGAATCGGGCGTGCCGTTAAACAACTCCGTGATCATTGTATGGTGAACGTCCTCTTTCTGTTCGCGCAAAAATTCGTAGGACACCGAGTTGAGGGTATAGCTTCGGAGATGGTGGTCTCGTTGAATGAGTTGTAGCAAGTCAAGTTGGATTCGGCCATTTGTGTTCGTCGCTTTTGTCTCACGGTTGCCCATCTGCTTGCTAGAGAAATTGGCCTCTTTGGCCTCAGTTTTCGTTCCCTTTAAGCGAGTCCAGTAGGGGAAATGACCACACTTCAGATGCTTCGCGCGATCCAGCAGATACGGGAAATCGAAGTTTGCAATATTGTAACCGATGATGACGTCGGGATCCACCTTCTGCAGGAATTCCTTCCACGCCATAAGCATTTTTTCCTCTTTTTCGAATTCGAGGATCTGTGTATTAACAATCAAGCTACATGTATCGAGGCAGAACACGTTTCTGACGAAAGGCTTCGACTCTCCGTAGCGGGTCACGACGTTGGCTATTTGAATGACTGGGTCCACATTGGGCTCTGGAAAGATACCTTGTCGACCAGCACACTCAATATCGAATGACAACACGCGGAGGGGAGCCATCTTAGCCCACTCTCCGTTTGGCGCATGTGCAATCATATCATGATAGTCCATCACGGCTTCAAGCTGGCATGTTGACACCTTTTCCCACTCGGGAATGAGACGATACTTGCCTGCAGCAGCTTCCACCCAAGACATGCCATGCAGCCCCGTATCGATCATGAATCGCAGCAGATATTGGATGTTGTCGAATGTCAGAATACCCGAGTCGGCCGAACTTCCCCAAAGGCCTTTGTAGTTCATTGTCCCGCTTCCAGTTTCGAGGGCGCTGCGAAGCCTGGCGATGAACTTCGGGTCTGTTACAGTAATCTTCAGATACCAGCTTTTTTGGTTTCCTTGAAAACCATAGATGTTCTCTCGCATCGTAACCTGAACTGACTGGATCACGGGGACCGACTGCGCCATTTTGGTTTCAAGGAAAGCCCGATAGGGATTACAGTCTTCCTGGGTGAAACCGACCGGGGCGGCGACGTAGAGATAGTGTTGAAATCCTGTTACGTTGAGGAGTACTGATTGACCGGCCTGTGTATTGTATTAGTCGTTATGAAACCGCTAATTCAGACGAAGAGGCGACGTACCTCGGTCACGCCGAATAGGCGAACTGCAATTTTGTCTCCAGCCATTCTGCCTTCTTCGGCGTCAATCTGCTGGAAACAAATGTTCTCTGTAGCCGGGTTGAAATCTCCAAGGGGAGGACGTTCCCATTGCTGATCCTTCTCCGCGTTGGTTTCTTTCAGGTCTCCAATATCTTGCGTTAACTTTTCCAGCACTTCCTCCTCAAAATGGCTCTTTTGTGGTTGGCTAGAGCCGAATCCTTTTCTTTGGGTGCCCATAGGCGGGGCCTTCAGCTGAGAGGATGACTCGTTTTCGATCTTACGCTTCTTGAGCACGGCGGGGGATACGAAGTCATTGCGAGGGTTGGCGCTGGCTTCGCCCAGCACCCGCTTCTGGGGCATGATGGCTTCGGGCATTGTGGCGGCTTGTCACAGGTGCATGCGTGCACCGTTGCGAAGCTGAATTGGACGGGGTGTCACGCAGGAGAGAGGAGAATGGGTTGGGCGGGCAACTGTCCGAACCTCCGAAAGTCGTGTCGCAAGTCGCGACTTCGACGTGACGCTCTTAACGCGTGAGCGGTCACATGATGATAAGATAAAATCGACCAATCAAAACGCACGTTATTCACAAAGTGGGTCAGCTGGTAATCGAAGCAGCATTAGATGGTACCTTCAGATTACAGTCATAAAAGCCAGCACTACAATTTAGGAAACGGAATGTGATACGCTCTGAGGGAAAAAAATATAGTTGCATCAGTTTATTTTCTGAAAGTGACATTCCAACTTGATGGCAATAGTGTCTCAAGCACGATATGGGTTATGTACCCTAGGGTAGATGACAGAATGGGTTGCATATTTTGGCTATCTCATATTCAAGAGAGGGTTTGTAAGCCGACATCGCGAGTGCGATCATCTAATGAGAAGCTTTCGGCGAGTTTCTTGGCTCCAGGACAGTCCAGCACGTGTGAAATTAGCTCAGACTGGGACCTGGCACGGTTTTTCATAGCATAAAGATCGATGTCTTTACGCCAGTATAATTGCGAATAGGATGTATACCTCTGTTTATAAATCCAATTGCAGCCCAGGCACCAGACCGCCGTCTCGAGCTCACCGCCAGGTAAAAGTGAAGGGAATAAAATGGACCCCATTCCTTCTTGTGGGTTTCTTACTCGATAATGAAATACCGATGGCGTCTGAAGTGCGCTCGGGTGTGAGCATTCAGTCCGAAGGAGTTTGAAAAGACCCGTCTCTCTCGGTAGCGTCTTTTTCTCTTCTCGATCGGCATTATCAAGCCATCCAATATCTTCATGGAAATCTAATGCAATTTCCCTGGCCTGTTTGACGCCCACAAGACGAAGACGTCGCTGGCGCGAATCAAGATGTCGGCTGTATATTCCCGGGATACTGTGGAGAACTGGTAACCGTTCTAGCTGGTGGCCAGGAAGCCGGAAACACTTCCTGGCAACCGATATGGGCATCGCCCAGCGATCGTGAACATGCAGCAGACACTCATAGCATGTTCGGCCACAGTCTGGGAGGAACAGAAAAGCTCCATAATTGTCACAAGAGACAGAGTCTGTTGAGCATAAAGCCTGGTGTACAGTTGCAGCGGAGTGGACTTGAGCCAGTCCTGTTTGACCAAGGGCTTTCAATGTGTCAGGCACCAATTTCATCAGGTCACGATACGCGGGGAAAGCCTCGACAGCTCTTTTTCCCAGTAGAGATGTGCACGCTAGGCGTGACAATGTCTGCAAATCCAACTGTTTAAAACACATATGGAGAATCTCCACGGGTAATCTGTCCAGTAAACCCAGGGAAGAACCGTCTCGGCGATTGACAGAGGAGAAAGTAGCTGGCTCCGATATTGTGATCATTTCTTCGATAATTCTGCAGTGTCGATGAGAGAGACGCGAAATTCGTTCTTCTGGTGTCCAGGCCTGGATGTCCATGATAGCGGAATTGATCGAACTTTGCCGACGCCAGAAGGCAATAAAAGAGATCCGCTTTGGTTAGCTAAAATGTGGTGGATTCCGTGGTCGAGCCGGGATTTATGTAAGATGGACTTAGCGCGTAGCGCTGCTAGAACAGTCTATCCGAGAGGTATTTCGTCCCAAAGTGGTTAGCTACTTGAAGGCAACAAGGCTGGAGCCTTTGGCGGCAATAATAACCCCCCTTTAGACATGAAACAAGAATGAGAGGACGAGCGCAGGGGAAATATACGGCAATACGGGATTGCCAAAGCGTTTCAAAATCCTTATTTATCGAATCAACCCCGATATACTGGCCAGTTTGAACCATATGAACACCCTTCTATCTCCCTGGCGCTAAGGTTGATCACTCCAGCTACATAGGAAGTGGTTTTGCGAATTCTTCTATCCCCGTCTGCCCGCAATTCGGATAGTAGTCCTTTCAATGGCAAACTAGCATGTCCAGAACTTTTCTGCAAGAACATTATTGCAGGGACTCACCTTAGTGGCCCATTTGGCGGGGAACTCCATGAGGCTCTGGCGGGGATGTTTTGCCGGCAGAAAATGAAGACTTGTCGCAGCGGCATTCGCCTCCCGCGCACCCTTCTGTCCACCATCAACGCGGCATGGGATATCATTCCTGAATACGGCTGTCTCACGCGTCTTCTTTCTGTCTCTCATCTTCTCCTGTGATAATTGACGTTGCAACTACCTGACACATGCTTGAGACAGGCAAGACTAGTATCACACGCCTTGTCAGAGACAAGTAGAATCCGATGGAATTCTGAGTCAATCTTCGCCTGTGCAGGGCATGTTGACACCTTGCATGTTTTGAGGCAGTCCCAACAAGATCTCTTGGTCTCGGACTGGCTCTTTCCGACACCGTCACGAGTGGTCTCATCTTGATTTTGAGACTGGCTGAGCTTTCTGATGAATTCGCCCAAGCAAAACTATATATAACCCCACTATTCCAGCGACCCGCACACAACACTTTCAATTGCAGCGGAATTCAATTTCACCCAGAACAAGATTATCCGACGAAAGCTTGCAGTTATTTAACACTCACTTTCTCCTCAACATCTTCATGTTGTGAATTTAAATTCCTCTCACCTGCTCACTGGGCTCTTGGTCGATACCATCATGTCGATGTTCAAATCAGCCGCAGAAATATCGTCTTCAGAGTCCGGGTCCGACTCAGATGGAAATGAATCTCAGAAAGAAGAATCTCCGGTGACCAAAGGAACGGCGAAGTCTAGATCGCAATCCCGTCAAACCAGTCGGGACAGGCTACCTGGAAAATCATCCGAATGGAAAGAGCCCGGTAGTAGCTCTAGCCATGCAGGGAACTCAGTATCTCTTGAAGATGTGTCCGGGTTGTCGCAGGACACCATTGACCTTAATGCCGACCACCATGCCAACATGATGACATCTGCTTTATTGGAATTTTACTGCCAAAGCCGTGCCGCGGATATCCTCAATGCCCAGCAAGGCTCGAGCAAAACCTTCACCAAACAGTCTCCCGAGGCACAGTATCTCGGGAAGAAGCTTTACAAGTATAAGTCACAATTTCTTGCAAAGCACGGCCTGGTAGCGGACGGAGTGGACGAAGAAGAGCTCGGTGCGACAAGACAAACCTACCGCGAACGCCTTGACATGCTTGGCCTTTCCGCCCTTGAAGGCTTGAACCTCAATGAGTCTCCAGTCCGATCACCAATAGAGGGTGAGGATGACCGTGAACTTGCTTTGGTTCCTCGGAACTCACATGGAATTGTTGTTCCCGACAACACTTCGCAATTCTGGCAGAACAATGGAGGCGATAGACGCTCCAGACGGCAGCTTCCATCGATCAACAAAGTCGATTTTCTTGACGGTATTCCCAATGGCCCTGGAAATATTCCTCACTCATCGCGACCGCTTTTTGAGAGCTCACCAGTGGGCGTTTCCCTGTTTGCTCAACCTTCGGCGCCGCCATTGAATAGCATGTCGCGCTATGCTGTCGAATTTAAGGAGCTCAAAATTCTTGGACGAGGCTCCTTCGGAGAGGTCTACCACGCCAGGAACTACATGGATGGTCAAGACTATGCCGTAAAGATGATTCCTCTGTCTCAGAGGAGATTGGATCAATTGCAGTACGGGGGACAGAATCAGCTGGAGACCATCATGAAAGAGATCAGGACGCTCGCTCGCTTGGAGCATACCAATATTGTTCGATATTATGGAGCTTGGGTTGAACAGGCACATGTCTCAAACCACACGTCATTCGAGCAACCGACTCGCACTCGCCGTGAGCCATCTCAACCTCATCTGTCTAGCCGTGAATCTACCAATGAACCTAGCATGGGCATCATTTTTGAAAATTCCGAGAGCTCTGCGGTGGACTCGCATGCCGGCTCTTATCCAGATGACCAGGAATCGTCGAATCACATTCGACGCTGGAATAGTCGCGCAACAACGTCATCCCACCATTCCAAGAAGAGCTCCGGTGCAGGCTGGGAAGATGATGAAGATATCGAGTCTATTCCTCGCAACTTCGACAGCTCTTCATATGGACAAACATCAACTTTCGCTCAGACCGACGACATTTTCACCGATGGATTGAGCCAGGATCAGTCAAAACTTCAAGTACAGCGCCAATACCAGCCAGGGAGTCAGCCACCAGCGGTCATCCTCCATATTCAGATGTCCCTCCACCCAATATCCCTCGGCTCTTATTTGAACCCTCAAACGACAGCCAGAAATAATGACGATGGATATTCTCCGGCACGACGCCATTGCTTCCATTTGATGCCGTCACTGAAGCTGATCTTGGACATTATCTCGGGGGTCGAGTATCTCCACTTGAAGAACATTGTGCATCGTGACCTAAAACCAGCAAATATCTTCCTATCCTTGCCCGAAAACAGCAAATTGGATACCTGCCATACCTGCAGCTTGGAATCGAAATCTCCTACTCAATTCTGCCGCCCCCGCATCGGTGATTTTGGTCTGGTCGCGGATATTTCGCACCTGAATTCGACCGCATCGGAGGGTACAGTAACACCGTTTCAGCATGGACCGAAGATCCAGCGCGTTGTGGGCACTGAATTCTACCGACCACCCGCAAACACCGAGGGCCCTGATTCACCCGGCTACTTTGATGAATATACGATCGACGAGAAATTGGATGTTTATGCTCTTGGCGTGATTCTCTTCGAGCTCGTTTACCAGCTAAACACCAAGATGGAGCGACAAATGGTGTTGAATGATTTGACCCGGGGCACCACCACTTTCCCCAGTGACTTTGCAGCCAAGATTGATCATGGAGAGACGCATCTGGATATTGGAATCAGAGTTGCCGACTCTCTGATGAATTGCATTAAGGGCATGTTGACACCGCAGTCAAAGCGGCGGTGGAGTTGCCAGGACGTGAAAGAGCAATTACGCCAGATTTATAAGGCCGTGAAACGACTGGAGGCGCACTAGGGATGATCACGATCTATTGTGGAGGCGATGGACCTTTTCATAATTTAAAGTAAAGATATACCCAGCATAAACCAATGCACTCTTCCCTCAATCTACTGTTACATACGGGAACGATCGACATAACCGAGGGGCCTCGGCCTGGAGGCAGCCGTTCTTCACAGGCAGTCCCCGCATTCATGTCACACCCCAAAGCCATGTAGAAATACAACGGCGTCGAATGGCTGTGGGGTTCCAACTGGCTTACTTTGATTCTGCGGCTACTCAAAATCAGCCATCATGGCACGCAATCTCCGCGCCCCAACCGCCCCTTACAGCGAGCCTCTGCTACCTCAACTCGACCTACGAAATCCCTACTACACCGACCTACACCACAACCTTCGCGCCTGGGTCCGCGAATACGTCGAAACTTCCATTGCTCCATATGCAGCAGAGTGGGAAGCTGCAGGGGAAGTCCCCGAGTCGGTCCGCCGCCGTCATTGCGAGCTGGGCTTCGGAATCGTTCACCCTCTCACAAGCAACGAGAACGCAGCTGGCTTGTCGCTGCCGGGAAATGTGCCGCCAGAGAAGTGGGACACCTGGTGCTCGCTGATCGTGTCAGATGAACTGACGCGCGTGGGCTACGTCGGCGTCATTTGGGGCCTTGGTGGCGGAAATGGGATTGGATGTCCGCCGATCGCTAAATTTGGGACTCCCGAGCAGCAGAAGCGGTGGTTGCCTGGTGTTGCGAAGGGCGATATTCGATTTTGCCTAGGAATAACCGAGCCAGATGGTATGTTCAGCTTCTTTCCAAGACCTTCGAGGCAGAATGCTAATGTTTCTTTACAGCTGGGTCCGACGTCGCGAATATCCGCACGACTGCGACGCGTGACGGCGACCACTATATTGTCAATGGCGCAAAGAAATGGATCACAAATGGTATCTGGGCTGACTACTGTACGGCAGCAGTCCGAACGGGTGGTCCTGGAAGAACTGGAATCAGTCTGCTTGTTATTCCTTTGGCTGCACCTGGAGTGGCCCTTCGAAGGATGTTTAACTCGGGCGTGAACGCGAGCGGCAAGTTTTCGCCAGCATGGCTTGCAGGATAACTATTAACTTGTGAAACAATAGGATCAACCTTTATCGAACTCGACGAGGTCCGCGTCCCTGTCGCAAACCGAATTGGAGAGGAGAACAGAGGTTTCCCTCTGATCATGTCAAGTATGTTTTGAGAATAAGTCATGCTCAAGAATACAGTCTAATTGCAATCCAGACTTCAATCCTGAACGACTAGCATTAGCGTGTGCATCCTTGCGACTTGCTCGTGTCTGTGCCGAGGATGCATTCAACTATGCAATTCAGCGAGAAACATTCGGCTCTCCTCTCATTCAGAAGGAGGCTATTCAGTCGAAGATCTTCAAGTTTGGTCTGATGATTGAGCCAGCATATGCATTCATGGAGCAACTCGTCAATATTCTCGAGCTGACCAAAGACCGGCCGGTGGACGATGTCAAGATCGGTGGTATGACAGCCTTGTTGAAGGTAATGTCTACTCGAGCACTGGAGAAAAGCGTTCGTGAGGCACAACAGATATTCGGCGGTGCTGGCTATAACAAAGCTGGCAAGGGAGCACGGGTTGAACAAATCAGCCGTGATGCTCGTGTCCATGTCGTGGGTGGGGGATCGGAAGAAATTATGCAGAAACTGGCACTCCAAGAGGAGACCAAGGCTCTGAGGACTAGAAGAAAGGCTCTCGAGAAACGGCAGTCGAAGATTTAGACCTCATGGTGCGACGTTTCTCAAAGAGCTAATAGCCACAAGTCGTTATCTCCGAGTATTCCAAAATCCGTTTGCTACAAAGATATAATTGACTACTCACTATCATCTTGTTGGTACGGACTGCAGACGTGAGTGCTGCTGGCAGGGATTCTGAGAGATTTCCAAAGTTTCCACAAAACGAGCAATGAATTCCCTAATGTTTGACTTGAATGCATTCCGCGATGGCATATCCATTTCGCATATACAATGTACTCATAGAAATTGTTGGCAGAATCATCAGCCACCGCCTTTGTCCTCTACGTCATAACAACAAATGGCACAGGACCTACCTTTTCCTGTCTCAAGCAATCCCCATCAACTTTCCAGGTACGTGGCTTTGACCATAACTAGTACAACAATGATAGACGTATTAATTCTGTCAGCGAATCTGACGCTAGCCCCCTCCTGCACAGGAGGCCCATTGGCAGCCGTGTTACGCGTGTGGGGAAAGCTCTCAACCTTCTGGTCCGCTCCAATCTCCATATCGACAGCTACTGGCTCATCGCTGTGGGGATGGAGAGCTTCGACGATGTGACCCTGATCGGTCCGGTCACTGATACCACTATTGACGAGCACCTAGCTCCTCCCAACAATGATGCAAAGACGAGAAAGCCAGGCGATGGCGAGTCAGCGGAATCGGGAACCCCCACCTCGAATCGATCGGTGACTGCAACCCGTGTCGCCCAAGCCGAATCGAAGAATGAAATAACGGCAGAGCCCTCAGTCTCGTCGGAGATCCCACCCGAGGAAGAAGACGAAGAACCCCGCGTCGCTACGTCCTTCGAGCGGGAATCGTCGCCTATTTTTGCACAGAAACATCGGTCGGGAATGTATCTGGAAGATGAAAGCATGAATCGGATGTACAAGTTTACTCTGTATGAGACGGCGACCCGTTTCTACATGGTAGGCATAAATCTCACCGACACCCGCTTCCGGATTCTTAAGATTGATCGTACATCCGAGTCCGGCGAGCTCAGCATCACTGAGGATGACATGGTTTACACTAAGAGGGAGATGAGCCAGTTGTTGGATGCAATTGATGATGGTAACAAGAGCTCGGGTGGATTGAAGCAAAAGTGTAGTGCATGGGCATTGCTTGGCTTTATTCGGTTTACAGGTGCATACTACATGCTGCTTGTCACCAAACGAAGTCAAGTCGCTATTCTGGGCGGACACAATGTTTTCCAGATCGATGAAACCGAATTGATCTCGTTGACGACCTCCGAATTATCTCGCCCGAAATCTGAAAAACAGTCCGAAGAGGATCGCTATAAGGCGATCCTCAACAACTTGGACTTGACTCGGTCGTTTTATTTTAGCTATTCATATAACATCACGCAAACCCTCCAGCATAATATCTTTCGGGAACGCAAGGACCATAGAGATGGACTGGCTCGGTCTTCTTTGGGAGATTACAACACGATGTTTGTGTGGAACAACCACCTACTTTCCCCCGCTGAAGGGGTTTTCAAGCACCCACATGAGTGGTGCATTCCCATCATCCACGGTTACGTGGACCAGTCCAAGCTGAGTGTATATGGACGATTGATTTACATCACGATCATTGCTCGACGGTCTAGATTCTTTGCGGGTGCGAGATTCCTCAAACGCGGCGCGAACGATCTGGGATTTGTTGCGAATGATGTGGAAACCGAACAGATTGTCTCTGAGCAGACAACGACACCTTTTCACTCCGCTGGCCCGTCACTCGATGCCAACCCAAACTACACCTCATATGTCCAGCACCGCGGCAGTATCCCTCTGTACTGGAGCCAAGAGAACACTGGGGTTTCGCCAAAGCCAGATATTGAACTGAATCTGGTGGACCCATTCTATTCGGCTGCAGCGCTGCACTTTGACAATCTTTTCGAGAGATATGGCGCTCCAGTCTACATTCTCAATCTTGTCAAGTCCCGTGAGCGAACACCGCGAGAGTCCAAGCTACTTAAGGAGTTCACTGATGCAGTGGAATATCTCAACCAATTCCTGCCACCAGACAAAAAGCTCATCTACAAGGCCTGGGATATGAGTCGCGCGGCAAAGAGTCGAGACCAAGATGTTATAGAGACATTGGAAGGAATAGCTGGTGACATAATACCGAAGACTGCGTTCTTCAAGAATGGGCATGACCTTGAAACCGGATTGCAAATTCAAAATGGCGTTGCGCGGACTAACTGCATAGATTGCCTGGACCGGACCAATGCTGCGCAATTTGTGATCGGCAAAAGAGCGCTAGGGCATCAGCTTCATGCCCTCGGTGTCATTGAAGAGACCACAGTTGAATACGACACAGATGCGGTCAATCTATTTACCAATATGTGGCATGACCATGGTGACACAATCGCGATCCAGTATGGAGGCTCACATTTGGTGAATACGATGGCGACATATCGAAAGATAAATCAGTGGAGCAGTCACTCACGAGACATGGTTGAGAGTTTCAAACGATATTACAACAATTCCTTCTTGGATGCCCAGCGTCAAGAGGCATACAACCTCTTCCTTGGAAACTACATCTTCACACAGGGTGCCCCCATGCTTTGGGATCTCTCTACCGATTATTACCTGCATCACACTGACCCCAGGACATATCTGGAGAAAAAGCGACCAAACTACATATCGTGGTACACGCCAGAAAACCTGAAAGATCGAGAAGTTCCTCCTCCTCCATCTCGTCCAAAGAAGCCTCTTTCACACTTCGATGACTACTGGTTGGAATACTACCGCCCATTCGCCTTGTCCACACTTTCGAAGGTGTTCTCTTCCAAGCTAAATTCCACAATCCATTACCTCCCACAGCCCCGTCCTGGACACGCACCGCCTGATTGCAGCCCATTCGTACCGCGTATCACAGCGGAACAAGTCCAGCGTGATCGTCCGCCCACACGAAGTGTAAAGATTCAGGAGCCAGCAAATAGCGGACGTGACGAGGACGCACAAACTACACCGATCTCAGAGATCACCGACATATGGAGGCAGCAGACCCCATCTTCAATGAAACGGCCTCCATCGACAGGCATAATTAAGGAGCCCGTCTTCGAGACGTCCCAAACCTCTCACATCCCGCCTATTCATCATCCGAATGCTCCGGCAGCTCCTAGCAAAGCGCAAATCGCTCAATGGACCCTCGGTCAGCTCGTCACTGACTCTTTGAACCCATCAGTCACAGGGACAGAAGCAGAAGAGTACGAGAGATACATCAATCATCCATTGAAGGTTCCTCTGGTCGCAACATCGGAAGACGAGGTGACTGCGGTTTCGCTGCGTGAACAAGGTCCAAACTCTGATCTTGTTGAGCATGTCAACAAATGCAACGTCGAGGAAGCTGCGCTAGAGACCAACGCTGAAGAAAACATGGCTGACTACGCCGAATTCCTGAGCGTTTCCGAGGAGGGTCTTACTGTTGTTGGAGAGGACTACGAAAAGAAACGATACAAACGATACCGTCAATGGTTGCGCGGAAAGAGCCTTTTTAAGCAACGTGTGGATGTCTGATTTTACTCTTCGTGATGCAAGCTTTGGACGAGCTATTTGAGATTGATACCCGGAATGTGCTATTCGATATTCATGTACTCTACAGGATTCCTTCAGCAAGAGCCTTGTCATGTGAAGAGACTCTTAAGCATGTTTGAGTAATCGCAGGAATTGTGTCTCGATTAACAATTATTACTATTCCGCTTCCATTGTAGTATTTCAGGACTTGAAGCCGTCGGCTTTGGGAAATAAAAGGCCTTCTAGCGCTGCGTCAGCTTCAACAAGCGCTAGTAATTCATCCTCAATCCCTTCCTTAGCAGCCTGCTGGTCTGGATCCGGCGTCTCCCCAACCACAGAAACCGGATTTTGCAGCGCGTGTTTCAATGCAAATACTGCACTCTGAAGCTCCCGCTTCAATCCAGATGACTTCCCCTTCTTCCGATTTTCACTCTGCGTGTCTGTAACAACGTGTAGCCAGCACGCCGCAAGACCACCCAGTAATTCACCGCGCCACTTCCATACTCGAGGATGCGCGTTCAAGATGACGGCCCTGGTGGTTGAGACGGCAGCAGAGAGAAGTGGGAGATGTGCAGTTCCAAATGGATTTGAGAGGGTGGTGTAAAGTACCGGAACAATGTCTTGCAGGTACTTTGTTGTGTGGATTTTCAGTTCAGAGCAGAAAGTTGATATCCACCCGAGAAGGAAGGTAGACAGACGTGGGTAAGGGAAAGAAGCGGAGGTAGTGGCGGAGGCTGGCGTGGAGAAGCTGATGTGGTGGAAGGAAGGAATGAGGTGCGATCGAAGAATTTTGGTAAGGTTGGTCAAATATGCTTCCCTGTTCTTTTCTAGCTGTGAGGGTTTTTGATTATTGAGCGTAGGTTGATAAGCTGCTTTCAAGAGTGCAAGGAGAGCGGGATATGCTGCTCCTAGTATTTGGATGGAGCTTTCCTCGGGGGTGATGCTTGGTAGCGAGAGAAGACAGGCCGTGACAGCTTCCTGGAAGACAGACACGAGGTTGGTTCGGAGAAGAATATCAGAGCCACTTTCTTGAATGGGTTTTAGGAGCTTGACGAGGAGGTGGCAACCTTTGGCCTTGAACGTGATGCTGCTATCATCTATCAAAGAGAGAATTGCTGGCACCAGGAGTGGAAAATGTGCTTCGAGGTGGGCTTTGTCTGTGGGCTTGGGGTTGTCAGTTCAATAAGTTTAAGGTCGATACCGCGTTGGAAGTACCTGATATTGAGAGATAGCCCATGATAGCACAGATGTAGCATAGATATCGGTGTTCTTCCATGGCTTGGTCGAGTCATCAATCTTGCTTCCGTCGAAGGGAGCGGATGGCATAGGATGCAGGTTCTTGCGTCCCTCACTTGTGATGGCAGGGTTTCTGGTCTTGGTAAAAAGAGGTCTAATTTCCTCTCTGAGAACTCTTTCAATTATGGGCCAGATACCGGATTGGCATGAAACATTAATATGCGTTTCAGCAGAGTCCATGCTGGTTTGGGTGATCCATGGGTCCTCCTTGGAAGTGAAGCTGGCCATGGTTGCAATGACGCCGGGAGATTTGATGATTGAGCGGTCTTGGAGGCCATTCACTGGTTTTGCGCCCAGAATTAAAATGAGTTCCACCGCAATCTCTGATTTCAGGCGGCTTTCTTCTTGGGCAATTTTCTGATCTGTAGCTTTTTCATTAGCCGCGATCTTTGATCACGATCGGGGCTATCCTACCTTCGGCTATCTCGGCATGGTCATCAAAATCGACTGCAAATTCAGATGAAGGGCGAGCATGGTGACTGGCCCACTGGAGCAAGTTGCTCAAAGCAGTGGCATCCGCCATGTTTAATGGCGCTGGTCCACCATCATCCGACAGCATTGTATCGTAGCCGAGATCGACGAAAGACAATGCAGCATAGAGGCTCTCGCAGATCTACCATTAGGATACTTAGTAACATTCAATTATTCCCAGAAAATGGTCTGCGTACATTCAATCGGGTGGAATTATCATGAGTTGAGACATCTTCCCACAGCTGCGCCAAGCTCAGCCGAGCAGACAGGGCCGATTCTAAAACGGTGGGTCGATTCCAGGGGCTTCTCTGAAGGACCTCGCGGGCCTCTTTTCGAATGCGGTCCATCGTGGATGGGGATATGTAGTCCTGTAGAGTACTGGGTGGCTAAGGGAAAAAACAAGAGGTGAAGAAATAGAATTTGGCGCCCCGCCTTCAGAGCCCCAACTCGCCGCGGCGCCCGCAAATCGCGGCCAGCGCCTCCGCCTTCTCGCCCTGCGGGTGCAACAACTGCCATTCCATCGCCATCGCCGTCGCCCGGCTCATCCAGGGTCCCTTCTTGGCGCCCAACGCCTCAATGATCTCGGCACCGTTGACGAGTGGCTTGAGCTCGCAAACTTCGTCCAGGTTATTATCTACGACGTACGCAAGAAATTGGTTATACTCTTTGACCACTGCCGACAGAGGTTAGTTCACTAGCGCACGCAGATCGATCGGTTTGGACAATTCATACCCTCAGTAAAGTTACGTCCCTGCATTACTTCTTGAAGAATGGCCAAGATCATACACAGTCTCCAATCTCTGCCCCAGGATCGAATGCGCAGCCCAACCTGCTGCCGGATCTCTGCCGGGGTCCCATGGATCGCGTTGCCGGCTAAAGAAGCCTTGCACCGAGTAATATCCTCGTAATTCAATGTCGCATCGCGAAGTATGTTCAGGGTTTTGTTGTCGCAACGGAGGCTTTCGCGACCAACCTCGACTGGACGTGTAGGAACAGGCTTTGAATTAGAGCTCTTGACGACTCGCGCAGGGATCGATGTCCATGGAGCAAAGGCAGCGATTATCCAGGAATAGTAGGTGCTAGATTCGTCAAGCACAAGAGCTTTGCGAAGACGTTCGATCTCAGCCTGAAGATCCCCCGACTCGGGATGTAATAGTCGCTGGAGTGCGTTGTATGCCAATGGCCAGGTGGTTGTGCTGGCCATTATATCATCCTGGTGGTTTGCGAAAATGGTAGAGTAAAGCCCGATTCGATCAATAAACTGCAAAGCTTGGAGAGGGTGGGGGCCTGTGTAATTGGGATTGCGTTAGAAACTGCCCTCTTGCAATGGCATAGACCTACTTACCGCGCAGCATCTTGTCGAGCTCAGTAAAGACGCGCTCCTTGCTGATTTTAAGCTTCAAGGCGGCACTGATGTCCTCATTCCGCATGGCCATTTCAGCCTCCTCGTCGATTTGATATTCCAAGCGGCTAGCGAACCGAATCAGTCGAAGCACACGGAGCGGATCATCCTTGAAAGTCTGATAGGGCTCCATTGGAGTGCGAATGATCTTTTTCTTCATGTCATTCAGCCCTTGCTCTGTCAGATCTTCTAGTCGTGCCTCGTTGAGATTGTAGAAAAGCGCATTGATTGTCGCATCTCGGCGTAATGCATCTTCGACCGCCGTCCCAAATTCCATTTGGGGATTTCGACTATCCTCTGTGTATGTCTCCTTACGCAAATTGACCAGATCAATATCGAGTCCGAAAATTTTGGTTGTGACAGTCTCCAGGTGCTTGGACTTTTCGGGATTGGCATCGATTTTGTGGAGGCTGACAATTGCATCATTCATTTCGCCGCTGGGTAGTGCCCTCTTGTATTTTTCGAGGTTCTCGGGGATGTCAAGGTAGTCCTTCAAAGCCAAGCCGAACTGATAACCCGTCATACTGCTGATCCCCACGTCGATGTCGTGACTGTCCACTCCAAGCAGCTTGTCCCGAACCCAGCCGCCCGTGAAGCGCAACACCGTCTCGGGATGCTTGGTCACATCGCTCCCTTCTTCGGTTATTCCATTCTCTTGAATGTGCCGTGCGACGTCGAGGAGGAGGGTTCGTAGTGCGCTTTCAATTGGCGTGAGCTGAATGGCGGGGTGGGTTTGCGCCATGTCGTGCAGGTCACCCCGCGTGGGTGTAGTGATTCGTCGCTTTTTGCTCGCTCGATCAGGAGAATGCGAATTACCTTCGCGAACGCGCATGAGAGAGTGAAAGCTAGGTGTGAGGGGGGTTCGGAGCGGGGATTTGGAGAAGCTGCGCAGGCGTGTTGAAAGAGCTGTTCTCGCGCAAGGGCGGAGTGGGGAGTGGACAGAGGACAGGCGATAGGCCACGAGCAAAGAGTTCAACGAGCGCAGTCTGGTCATTGACTATGGCCCTCGAAGACCGTGGGCAAGAGGTCAGTGGCTCAAAGCGAACAAAAAAAAAGCGACTCACTCAGTGCTGATCGATAAGCTGCGGCTCTCACGTGGTTGCATCACGCGCAATCTCCCCGAATGCGTGAGGCGCCTCGGACGATCTACACATCCTACTATCTCTGGCTTCAGGTTGCATTCAGCACTCTGCTGCCCAATGCCCATCGGCTACTTCCTTGACTTGCTTGACGGCCGCAGCGCGCCACTACCCCGGTCGCAACCACATCTTCCCGGCCCGCATCCGCAACTTGGCTTTCTTCCCGCCACAACACCATCTGATCAGAGCCCGACCTTGTTACCCAGCCCTCTTCCGCACAGCCGCAGTCACCATTCTTCGGTCTTGCAGTCCATGGGGCCTGCCGATTCCTGAAACTAGCTTTAGGTTCACGAAAAGCAGTCGGTGTCCATGACATCGCCCGGAGATGGTACTCCGGTGAAACCTCCGCCGTCCTTCTCGCCCGGCGTTGCGCGAAACGCGTCCAAGTCAAGGTACCCGGATGAGCACGACGCCACGGTTTCCCTGGATGCTGAGCTGGCAGAGACTCGCACAGGGTCGTCTCCAACCTCGTCACTGCCAGCTACGACTGCCGAATTGGCCATTCGATCAGCGTCACCGCAATCCCGCTCTGGCCGATCGTCCACCCCGCAATTAGCTCGATCGTCTATCGGCTCACCTCTTGATGGGCGCTTTGATGGCTCAGAAGATATCCGGTCACTGATTATTCGAGCTTTCTCGCCTACTGTCGCCGTCCATGCCTCCGAGGATACCGATGAGCTGGTGAGGAATAAGGGGTTCAAGGGAGGTTTCTCGGAATTGATACGACCATTTGGGGAGACGGTCCCAGGGAAGGTTGTCATTCGGGATAGCATTGGGTCAAGTCGTGCTTGGGAAGACTATGGCGTGCGTTTTGTGAATCTTAAAGGGTTCGGCGAAGCCCACGCCGGACGAGATCCTGGTAGGGATTCGTCACTCGCACAAATGGAGGAAGTTCTGGAGAAACAGTTAGATTCTGGAGAAAATTCGCTTGGAGGCCCAATTTCTTCCAAAGATGTCTTGGGGCTCCCGGCAACAACGCCACTATGCAAGTTATTCCTGCGTCAGCTTCTGTCGACCACGCCTGCCGCACCCCACGAAACATTCGGCCATCCCGTCGCCAGTGTAATCTCCATTAGCTCTCGCAATACCGCACCTTTGGAGACTCTTCGGCAGCTTTATGCCGAGAGCAGTACAGGTGACAGACGGCTACCTGACTGGGTCCAACAAGAGTATCTCCGGTACTATGTTTTGGTCCACGACGAGGAGCGAGATGATATCGCTGAGTCTACCAGACTTTACGATCAGATGAAGCGCCATTTCGGGCTCCATTGCCATCTATTAAGACTCCGGAGCAGTCAATGTGTGGTGACCGATGATGATAGTACGCAAGTACCCTCGTGTGAATGGTTATCACCCCGAGAGCACTTGTCGGGAGTAGGAGAAGCCCGTAAGTCTCCGTGCCTTTTATACTGTCTTTTGTGGGTTTATACTAATGCTCTACCTAGAAACACTTGTGGATTTAGGAACCGATGGCACCCCCTATCTCTTCGACTCCGACGTCACTGCAATCAAATCTTTCATCCGGGAGTTGATCGTGCAGTCAGTAATACCCTTCATGGAAAACCGAGTGGCTGTGTGGAATGACCAAGTTGCATCTCGACGGCGCGGTATCAGTGGCCGTTTCATGTCCATGTCACGACGATGGGCTGGCTTCGGTTCTAGTTCACGGTCAGGCATTGGGTCTTCGGGTGGCAACAGTGGAAATTATGATTCCACGCAGAATTTCTATTCACCAGACTCCCCGGAGGCCATCTTGCGGAAGATGGCTGATTTCGCTTTTATGCTCCGCGACTGGAAGCTTGCTGCGTCAACCTACGACATGATTCGCTCGGATTTTGGCAATGACAAAGCGTGGAAGTATCATGCCGGTGCTCATGAGATGTGTGCGGTGAGCATGCTCTTGAATCCACTCGCCATGTCCGCAAAGATCAAGCTGGAGAGCGTTGATCAAATGTTTGAGACTGCTTGCTACTCGTATCTCACACGTTGCTCTGATGCGCCACACGCCCTCCGGTCCCTTACTTTGGCTGTCGAGCTTCTGAAATCCCGGGGCGGATCTGCTACCGAAAGTGCCGCCAGGTGGGCCATGCGGGTCATGGACTTTGGCTTGGTTGAGTCAATCGGTCAGATACTTTTCATGGAGCGGGTAGCCGCATGCTACGCTTCCAAGACACCAGCAACCGGAGCGAAATGGGGTGCTCGTCGACGCAAGGCCGGCATGTGGAGTATTCTGGCCGCCGATCAGTGGCTCAAGGCAGGGAAGCCGTCTCTTGCTTCATCCTGTCTTGAAGAAGCCGAACGTCTGTATGCCGTTGTTCTGGAGGCCGATGGCGTTTTTCCGATGCCAGAGATGCAAGCGTTTGTCGATAACCTACGACATGCCGTGAAGGTAGAGTATCTCGAGGCGCGAGGATTCGATGCTCCGGATAAAACTCCGACCGAAGAAGATCCCATCGGCACTGAAGAAACTAGCGAGAAGCTTGACAAGCGCAGCCATCGTCGCTCGTTGATCGGGCTTCCGGCGACACTAGACGCAGGAAATCTCAACATGTCTCCGGGAGCCAGGAACCCTGAGGACCCGCCGAATGATGACTTTGAACGAGCTTGAGTATGAACTTAATATCTCATCATAGCATATATGAATAGACTACATATTTATTTGCTGCTTTATCACATTGGCAGACTGAGTTTCCAATTGGATTCTGGTTCTTGTCAAGTAGAACAACTCGAAACTCTTATGAATCATTGTCTTTCAGGCCACAAGGGAGTCATTCTGTCGTGCTTTCCTTTTCCGGTCTGAGTCTTCAATTGAAGAACTCAGGGGGTACAATAGTCTGCACTAGCCTCATTTTCACCGTAATTGTGAACAAAGATTGTTATTGCATCGATCCCGAGCCAACTTAATATCAGATCTATCTGAGGTTGGTCACATGGCCTTATCGATAAAAGCTGTGGAGCTCTCGCAATCCCACCGCAACAGGCCCATTTGGAGTCGTTGTTGACAGCGACTTCCGCACCGCAACACCCGAAACTGAGCGCACGCGCCCCTCTTCCTTCTACAGCACACGACAGCTGGTATTTCTACCTAGTGGCACTGCTTCGGACTCCTCATTAGCTGGCAGCCGGCCACCACTGTACATAGACCGCCAACATGAGCGAGCTGCTCGACTACATCCTTCGGCACGAGGATGCGTTCAGAAGGTACTCAACACAACTAAACCCTGAAAATTAGCTCAAGATGAGCCTTTGGAAATGCTGCATCGAGCTAACCGGTCCGCATCGACCGCGTAGAAACCGCCTGCCGTCCCTCTACTCCGATTTCGCCCTCCAGAAGAAAACCAACCCCGATGGGTATGCCATCAATGTCGCCGCCTGGGAACAAGCACTGAACCGCGCTGCAAAGCGTGGATACACTTCTTCGCGGGGTGTGCGCGTACGCTCCGGGTCAGCATCGTCACAGAATATCGGTAGACCGAGTCGCAAGAAGACGGATCATCTCATTCTTCGGACGGATGAGTCACTATTACGAGATCTCGAACTTCCAGAATTGGGGAGGCCAGTTGCGCTTGGAGCTGTCTTTGTATGTCACCAAGTGAACGCCTTGAGCTGTGAATGATCAAGGAAATATACTGATATGGATATTCGCAGAACGAGGCAATGAAGAAGCGAACCATGGTGCCCTTGCCGATGTACAAGACCGACGCAGGGTTCCTGAAGAAGACCCAGTGGGAAATAATTGACCCCGGGGCTTTGAACCCTTGGAATGTTATGAGCTGGGGTCTGCGCCAGTTAAAGGGCATTGTGGTGGGTTCAGATGAATCGGCACCCAAGTTGCAGGTCCAAGAGTTGGTCTTGGTGGAAAACTTACAGGTATGATGCGTTTTTACCGTGATCAACAATTCCATGGGATAGCTATGCTGATTAACTCGTTTCGTCCGGCAGGAAGCAGCAGACTTGGTTGTCAAAAGGGCCGTTGGCCACAAGCCATCAAAACTTGACCTTATATTTTCGAAAGAAAGCTTTGTCGAACATTTCGCCGACGTGCTACATGACATTACAGAACTCTCAGATTTAGACTTTGATGTTCTTTTGACTTATTTGTCTCGCGATACTGGCAAGATCGCATATGATGGGAAGGTACGTGGTGACTATATACACAACGCTTCTATAAAGAGATGACTCACCGGGCACACAGACTATCAAATTCAAGTCTGCAGATGACTCGTCATATATCACGCAACAAGATACGACTATTGCTTCTATCAAGACCCTCGTCTCGACAATGACAAAGCAGATCGAGGGCCTGGAACAAAAGATCGCAGAATTGACAGCATCTGCGAAAACGGCGCTGGCCAACAAAAACCGCATTTCAGCACTTGGGGCAGTGCGTTCCAAGAAACTCGTTGAGCATAATCTGCAACAACGTCTAAATGCCCTTGCGCAACTCGAGGAGGTCTATTCCAAAATCGAGCAAGCCGCTGGACAGGTCGAAATCGTGCAAGTCATGGAAGCGAGCACTGGTGTCCTTCGTGGCCTGCATGCCCAAATTGGAGGTGCAGAGAGAGTGGAAGATGTGGTCGAGGAATTGCGTGAGGAGATGAGTAAGGTGGACGAGGTTGGCAGTATCATGAATGAGACTGCGCCCGTAATCGATGAAGGTGAAATCGATGACGAGCTCGAGGCACTAGAGGAGAGTGGACGAAGGGTGAAGGAGGAAGAACAAGCGGAAGAGACACGGCAGAGACTGGCCGAGCTGGATAGCTTGAAACAGGCATCGGCCGAAGCAGCTCGTCAAGCAAAAGGAGACAAAGACGCCGAGGCTCTGTTGACTGGCAGACTGTCAAATCTATCGGTGGAAGACCGCCCAATGGAAGCCAAGTAGTAGCCCCATCGAGGGATGAGTCTTCATTGTGGCCTACCGCATCACACAATGCTCACTCGTTAGCTCGACGGATCAAGCGAGTCGTGGGATCCAACGTTCTGATTGGTCTCTACTGATATACCATTTCCCAACCGAGGGTCCCCAGGAGCAGCAGGACGTATCGCTGGTTCACTCTCAGACGACCTAGAAGCTTCGGGGATCGTTGATCGCACCTGGGCTTCGCTTCGTTTCCGAGCATTCGCAATCAGACGCTTGAAATCATCGCCGTGACTTGCCGACCACCCAGCAGCATCGAAGTCCTTGCGCATCACATTATTGTTGGTTGATGTGAAAGGCGACGGCCCTGCATTACCCCCTTGTGTTCGTTCCCATACGTCAAGTTCCTGCAGTAGGCCTCTTTTGGTTTTCGGGATTTTTGAATCACAGTTGGCATTCCATAAATTCATCCACTCGGTGTGCCGCCGTTGCAAGAGTGGCCTGGGGCCCCAATCCGGGATTCCCAGCTCCCGCAGTTTCTTCCGTAGTAGGTTGTCTTTCAATAAAGAGTAGTTGATAGCAGGTATCCTGTCCAGTGTTTTTCCGGGCGATTTTTCGACAGGCCTTGTCCGCGACTGTAGGGATCTATGCGTGCCGTTCTATATTAGATTCAATGACCTAGGCTGATGTGACTGGTCTTAACATCTTTACTTACCCGAAAGCCGGGGCCCTAGGCGGCGTCGTCTCCATTTTCCCTTGACAGTTGTCCAAGTGGGCAAAAACTGCGTGCGCCTTCATTTTGCGCTCGCAAATGGGGCACGCGACCATTCCGTCTTCTGTGAAGGTATAAGATTGGTCCGCAGCCCATGTGGGCGAAATCGAATATACTGACCGGGAATGTACTCCTCTTCCTCATCCTGACTGTCATCTATCACCTCGACCGCCTCCTCTTCCTTCGGCTGTGGCTTTGACGCGTTTCCCGCCACTCGTTGCGACCTGGTCCGCACATGTTGCGGGCTGGCTTGAACCACCGCGACTTGCTCTGTTGAGCTCATTTTCTCCACTTTCCTTTTTTTGGGCGAAGGCTCATGGTTATCTCCTTCTTTGAGGCGCGTGGCCTCCTTTCTCGCGAGGTCGAGAACGCTTGGTCGCGCATTCTGAAAGGTCTCGAGGAATTCCTGGACAGCCCAGTTGCGACGGAGTTTCAGTTCCTGATCAGCCGAACGACACACAGGACACTTCCCCTCGGTACTGAGGCATCTCCGAATACAAAGAGAGCAGAATGTATGCGAGCAGGAGGTAATGACAGGGTTGTCAAAAAAGTCCTTGCAGACTTGACATCGTAGCGATGATTCGAGAGGCGCTAGGAGTGAAAGTGGCGTATCTAGCCAGTCTGTGGAGTCCGGGACATCAAATGACGGCTCCATCGGGTCGATATTGGGGGTCAGGTCGCAAATAGGAACCCCCTTGTAGCGGACTGCGCAGGATCGCGGCGTCGCGAAAGGAAGTCGGCGCAGGCGTAGGTGGAGTGAGCGCCAAGACCGGCTGACTGATACGCGTTAAGTGGTTGCGGCACGCGTCAAGCAACTTGCGAGCATCCGAGCTTCAGAGCTTCAAAGCACCATGGACCCCAAGATGTATCTCGCCGAGAACGTGCTCAATGAGCGGCGCACGGTATGAATGCTCTCTTTACGAGTGTAGAAGTCTCCTACTCATCACTTCCAGGTCACTTACCGGTCTTTGAGCCGCGCGTTGAAGGTTCATGCCAGTCGGGCCAAACAGTAAGGCCTGTGTTTCTTGGAGAAAGAAAACTTCGACTCATGCCTGTTATTTAGGATTCTCTTTGAATTTCATCGCAGCGAAAATGCCAAGAGGCCTCAAAGCGTCCACGCAACATACGTCATTTCCGGATTCCAAAAGCCGCCAGAGTCCCCCCGCGACAAATGGCCATGCGAAGGACGAAGATGAGGTTATGCAAAGCAGTCCTTACCTTCCAAGCTCAATGCCGAATCCCGATTCTTCCCCCGACTCGTCGCGTGTTTCATCGATCATAATTGCCCGGGAGGAGGATTTGGAAGGTAGGCTCTTTCCCCGCAACCTCCACTGCGGTAACCTTTTATTGACACCGGGGCACAATATACAGATGCGAAATCAACTTTTCAATCCATATCGACAATTCAAATCTACAGTCTCCAGCCTGATGTTCTTCAAGACCTCAATACTTTGACAGATGTTTGCCGGGAAGTTGCGACAGCTCACGCGCAGGATGATCCCTTGGAGTGTGGCGCGCAATGGGGAATGATCCAAAACCGCAAAGTCAAGGTCAGTCTCAACTTCATTAATGAAGCCCCTGACGCTAACAAATATTGTTACAGCGACGAACTGGAGCGCGCCCCCTCCTGCGGCGCCGAAGCCCAAGTCCGAAGCGTCGGTACCAGCTAAGCGGCCCCTGCAGAAAGAAGAGGCTCCAGCAAAGCCTACTCCGAAGACAGAGGAGCAGCGCCAGCCAACGTCCGGCAGCGAGTCTCAGTCTTCAGCTAAACCTGCCACGAAGGCACCGGCTCCCAAGCGAGAGAAGAGTAACCTTTTCAATTCGTTCGCGAAGGCCAAGCCTAAGCAAAAAACGGCAACTCCGACTGAATCGGTTCGTGTCACCCACGCTGTGTATCTTGTAAAATTCTTTTGACTAACTTTAAGTATAGACAAGCCAGGATGGTCAGTCTACTAGGTCCGAAACATCGTACAATAGCTTACATATCGCAGTTGTCCTGGACGATGCTTCGGAAGATGAGCAGGAGGAACTATTCCCAGATTTCAAAGACAAATCCGGAGACAAAGCAGCATCTGCCAATCGCGAGAGCAAGAAAGAACGGGAAGAGAAGCTCAAACAAATGATGGAGGATGAGGATGCAGACGGTATGATCCCCAGTTCCCGGAGACTAAGCGAGTGGATTCCTTATGCAAGCACAGACGAGGAAATGCCCGATGCCGACGATGAGCCTCAGCGCGAGCCTACGCCAGTCGAGCCATCGCCGCCTTCAAAGCCCATTGAGCTCAAGGAGGAAGCTACATCGCAAGGCGGACGCCGCAGAGGCAAACGTCAAGTCATGAAAAAGCGGACGGTCAAGGATGAAGAGGGGTACCTTGGTGAGTACCAGCGTACCTAGAGCCCCTTCAGGTTCATCATTCTAATCTTTATGCGCAGTGACCCGCGAGGAGCCGACATGGGAGTCTTTCTCCGAAGATGAGCCGGCGCCGGTTAAGAAGAAAACGGCCGGCAACGTGCCCAAGGGCAAGGGAGCCAAGCCAGGACAAGGAAACATCATGTCGTTCTTCGGCAAAAAGTGAGCGCACCGGAGTATAGGGAGTTTAGTCATGAATGGAAGTTTGCATTGCGATATCCCAGCGTAGCGAGGGCTGAAGTAGACCGATGTGGCCCGATGTAAACCCGCCGATCTCTTCTCCGCATTGTGTGGAGACGGTGCAACATCCCCGTGGGCGATGTCACCTTGCGCCCACTATTTCCCCAATCTAATCAAATCCACGTTGCAGGATCGAGCACACAGCTGTTTACCAGGTACAAAGCCTACTAATGCTAGCACGGTAATCGGCAATCAGCCCAGATTGTCACGGTGGAATGCGTGACCCTGCACGGTTAGGATCGACATCCGCGATGCCTCCTCCCCTCTTATTTACCCCGGACCCGCCGCGCCAGGCTTTCTTCACTCAACTTGCTTGCCATGACCTTCTCGACACTGCTTGTCGGTGCGCTTCTGGCATCTCAGGCCAGCGCGGTTTCTGGGCGTGACAGCTCTGCGCTCGCGAAGCGTGCCTGCCCTGACTACACCTCGTACGCCGCGAAGCCGCAGTATGTGCCCTTCCCAAACCTGGATGCTTGATTTGAGACTAATGCCTTCCAGCGGCCCCTACAGCGAGGGACCTTTGAAGCTCCCCTTCCAGCGCCCCGCCGAAGCATGCCGTACATTCAGCTCCTCGGCCGTGGAGAAGGTCATTGACGATATGACATCGCGTCTGGTCGACAAGGACCTCGCACAGCTCTTCCGCAACGCCTTCCCCAATACCCTGGACACTACAATCAAGTGGCATGTGAATGGCTCCAGTCCGACATCTTCTAAGCGAAATGTCAGGCGCGATGGATCCGATTGGAGCGGCGCGCAGACCTTCATCGTGACGGGAGATATCAATGCAGAGTGGCTGCGTGACTCGACCAACCAACTCACCAACTACCATAAATTGACGGGCCAGGACAAGAACTTGTATACGCTCATTCTCGGAGCAATCAATACCCAGGCCGAGTTTGTCATTCAATCGCCCTACTGCAACGCTTTCCAGCCACCTTCCATTAGCGGCGTGAAACCCGAGAACAACACCCAGCAGGACATTGTTCGCCCCCCATATTCTAGGTCCTTTGTCTATGAGTGCAAATACGAACTCGACTCGCTAGCACACTTCCTGATGTTGGGTACTGAGTTCCACGAGAACACTGGGTCAACCGAGTTTCTGACAGACCGCTGGTTCATGGCGTTGAATACTGTTCTCCGAGTCATTGACGCGGAGTCTCTGCCCACGTTCAATTCTGAGAACCAGTTTGTCACCAACCAGTATACCTTCCAGCGCAAAACGAATATCGGCACTGAGACTCTCAACCTGCAGGGTGTTGGCAACCCGCTCAACAGCGAAACTGGCCTCATTCGCAGTGCTTTTCGCCCTAGCGACGATGCGACCATTTTGGGATTCTTCATCCCACCCAACGCTATGATGGCTGTCCAGCTCCAGAAAATTGCCAAGGTTGTCAAGAAGGCTGGTGGCCATGACGATCTTGCCGTTAAGCTGGAGCAGCGCGGCAAGAAGCTTGCTGCGGCTGTCCGTGAGCACGGTATCGTTAACCACGCCAAGTACGGCGATGTCTACGCCTTCGAGGTGGACGGTTACGGGTCGCGTATCCTAATGGATGATGCCAACATTCCCTCTCTTCTGTCTCTTCCTTACTTGGGATTCCTCGACAAGAGTGACGAGGTGTATCAGAATACCCGCAAGATGATCACAGACAAGGCCGGTAACCCCTACTACCTGGAGGGACCTGAATTCCACGGTATCGGTGGTCCTCACAGTAAGTCGCACACAGTCTATATTCCTGAGTAACTCACTAATTCCTCTCATTCCAGTCGGTCTTGAGAACGCCTGGCCAATGTCTCTACTCATGCAGGCCCAGACTTCCGACAATGATACCGAGATCATGAAGTCCATCAACTTGGTTCGTGATTCGAGTCTACTCGGCCTGGTGCATGAGTCCATCGACGTCACCAACATCACGGCCTATACCCGCCCTTGGTTTTCCTGGGCGAACTCGGTCTTCTCGCAGACCCTTTTGAAGGTTGCGGCTGAGAGACCGCATCTGATCTTCGGAGAGGGAGCCGAGCCATATAATATTTAGTCGTGAAACAGAGAGGTCTCCTAGCATCGGGCCTTTGAAGCATTATTATAAACGCTAGCGAGCGAATTCAATGACAGATTCACTATTATTGGCCAAAATCCACAAATTCTTCAAACAAAGGGTCATCGCCTAGCTCAGACTTTTTTTGCGCAGCTGCAGCTGTCCCAGTCGTCGGCTCTACCGGACCCTTCTGATCTGAAATACAGTGACTTGAGGTCGGAAGACCGCTTGTCAGACCACCCGCAGGCTGATTTCACCATTTTCACTGCTGTGAAACGGCCTTCCTTCTCGGCTAGATGGACCGCTCTGGCAAGTTCTTTCCGCTGAGGTCGCTCGGAAGGATCTATCCGGCTGAGGAGAAGCTGAAGTACATCAATGCGACCATACTCGGCGGCTCCCTGGATAGCGGTTCTTCCGTATGCCACAGAACCGGCTGCGTGGACATCGGCACCTGAATTTAGAAGCCGACGAACAATGCGCATGAAACCATTGATAGGAGCGAACTGAAGGGCGGTCGCTCCGGTGTTGTATGCTGCCGGTGCAGCAAAATCGGCACCAGAGTCCAGGAGAAAGTCAACCATCTCGATATTCCCCGTCTGCGCAGCAATTTCCAGCGCGGTTGTACTGCCAGGGCCTTTCGCTCGCCCATTGACGTTGGCCCCGGCCGCAAGGAGAGTTCGCGCTAAGTCGAGACTGCCTGAGCTGACAGCAGATTGTAGTAGTAGAAGGTCTTCCATTGTTGACCTTTGTGTAAAATCAACAAGCGATTAGCCATCTATTGATGTGGGTTGATGAAGCGAAACATACCTCATTTCTCCGTCGAGTGGGTATACCCTAATGAGTTTCTGATTGACCGACGCTCCAGCAGCCAGAAGGGTCCTCGCAAGATAGTGGTTCCCGGATACAATACTCTCGGTGAGAGCAAGTCCCTTTTCTTGTCTTGTCCATGTCGTCGATTGGAGCAACATTTTCAAAATCATTAAGCTCCCAGCTCTGGCTGCTGCCTCTAGTACAGAGGACGAAGCATAGAAAGCACCGAGTGATGAATGACTGAATTTGGTCTTCAGGACCTCTGGGTTAATATTCCACCATCCTGCGAGATCTTCAAGGCCGTCAAAGGTCAATTGTGCCGGCTCCACGACTAATACCTTGCCGTGAGGGTCAAGTCCAGATCGAAGCATGAGAGCCACAATATCAGTTCTGTCGGCAAGTATAGCCGCGGCAATTGAATTGGGCGCGGGGAAGCGATTGCGGAACAATGTCAGGAAGTTGGCGGCCGTTCGGGTGTCTGGCATCTCCAAAGTCTGCCAAATTATCGCGTTTAGTTCACGTTCGGTGACCACAGCACCTCGACCCAACAAAGCTTTTGTAAGGGTAATGTTTTTCTGGGTAAGTGCTACTTCGAGAGGAGACTCTGACCACCACAACACGCTTCGCTGGACCGATGATCTGCTGTGATGGACCTGGTCATCGATGCCATAGTTCAGAAGCCAGGTTGTGAGGTCTCTCTTATTGTCTTTTGTGGCAGATATCAGAATTTTTGTTCCGTTCGTGAGGAGGATACTGGGTAGAAGACCTATTCGCTGCAAGAAATTGGCGGTCTCCATATTTGCAATCCGAGGGATATCACGGCCCACACAAGATGCTCCGGCTCTGAGGAGCAATGCAATCGTTTCAAGATTCCCATGCATTATGGCCATGCCGAGAGCACAATCAGGAGCATCGCAATACCTTTGATATACCTCATTGGCTGATGGCCCCATCATCAACATCGCGCGAACCCTGTTTGTGTCGTTCTCCATGCTAGCCAGCCTCAGATGAGAAGCGAAATATCTCTCCAGTGTATCCCAACTTTCCTGGGATCCTCTTTTCAAAAGCAACTAGTACATGCTGATGTTGTTCTGGTCCAGCGCTCGCTCAATGAGTGTTTTTGGCATTTGTTCATTGATCATTCTGAAATTGTTTGCAGTATTCAGATTGGTGCCGACATTTAGCAGCAGTCGGGCTGCGTCTTCTTCCCTATTCATCACAGCAAGAACCAGTGGTGGAATGAAGCGCTTATGCTCAACTGTGTTTGGGTGACAACAGCAGAAGCTTCGAAAAGAAGAAAAGACGTCATCTCGATATTACCTTTCTGCGCAGCTAAACCGAGTGCCGTTGTTTCGTAGTGCTCATCGTCCTCGAGGACAATGACTTGCATTACATCAACTGATACTCCTTCGTTAGCTAAGATTTGCGCCAACTCCAAGAAGCAGAGATTCACGGCTAGATCCAGGGGCGTCAAACATGCATCGCAATGTCGAAGCGGATGATGTCCAAATCTCGGTGACTTCTTGCAAGAACCAGATGGAGAAATTCTGGATCTCCCGTCTCAATAGCCAATTTTTATCGTATCCTCTTTGATGCTAGCATCATGTGATAGGATTGTCTCTGTCAACCTCTTGTGTTTGCTAACAATCGCACTTCCAAGCGCACCAGTGGGCCAATGACGTGAGTGAAGACTCACATCTGCATGGAATGATAGTAGAAGAAGAGTCAGTTCGAGAGCGCGATCTTCCGAGTCAAACTTAGCAGCGATCTCCAAAGGGAAGCTTTCCGACACATTGAATTTTTGAATGAGCGTGTTTGGTTTTACACCCGCCTGAAGCAGTACCTTGACAGTCCGTATATCGCAAGATCTTATGGCACTTGCAAATATCCTCTCTGTTATTGATTCAGCCGTCGGTCCTCCTGTGCGGAGAAAATACTTCAAGTCCTCGTATGAGCTCAGTTCAGAGCCTCTGAAGATCGCGAGTACAAGAAAGACCTCTCGCTTAATCCACTTCGTCACGAGCTCATTCTCATCCCTCTTTCCGAGAGAAAAAAATTTTCGAAAGAAGAAATAGCATCACAGGTACAATGTCTGAACGCATTATTCGAGCTGCCCTATCGGTCTGGACCAGATCGCTGTCTAGTTCATCAGGCATGATCATATCAAATTGGGCCTTCAAGGAAATGCCAGTCACATTCTCTGTAACTGCCACTCTTCGTCTGTTCCTAGCAATAATTGAAATGATTCAAGTTCTTCGAAAAATTTCTCGTTGAATTCCATGCGATATGGCTTCAAGATCGAAGGTTCAAAGTGGCAATATCTTGATGAAATTGATCTTCTTGCTGCGCGTATGTTAGCGCCTGGCCTTTTTCACATTGAGGTATTTTCATACCATGTTTTCCGGTAATACCTAGAGAGTGACAGAACTGAAACCAGGGGAGATCCGAAGGCAATTCGAGCTGGAGCGGACCAGGCAAAGAAGAATCAACAGCTGGAGTGCATACAAAGACCCCATTGGGCGTCTCAGGCGGTGGAGCTATATCATATCAGTTAGCAGCCTGTAGCCATACTGTTCAGGGATTCTCAGCATACCCGAACGAAATCGCTTGACTGTAGATTGGTAGGCGTGGCGACGAATCTCATACTTGACTTTTTTGTAGGCTGCAAGACCCCGTTGATGTAAATATCGCTCTCTTTTCCTTTCCTCTTTCTTTTCCTTTACTGCTCTATCGGCATATATCCATGTCTTAGGGCCTCCATTGTACTTGACGAAACCTCAGTGTTTGAATCTCGTCCCATACTAGCCCCTTCTATTTCGCCATTTAGCCGAAGTCACAAAATAGGGAGGAGCATGGCTCGTCTTACGATTTATCAAACCCATGACGAGTTTTCATGATGTGTCTGACATCTAGTTTCCGTTCCTCGAATGTAGAGACGTTCGATCTCGGCTTTGTGAACAAGCCACACAAGCCACTCTGAGTCTGCCATTAGGCGTCGGTAAGATGTAAAACATTCCAGGGCTGGTATATTTGGACTTGGGTGGAAGAGCGATCATAAAGGGATGCGGTTAGTTCAGTAGACGTCAACAGGCACTTATAATGACAACGCCGAGTGGGAGTGGGCACCACACCACAGCCGGGCGATCCGTGGAGCCAGGATTCTGACCTCGCCCAATCAGGGTGTGCATGATCTAGATGCCGCAACCCCGGCCATCATGGTTGTTATTGTACCCGACTAGGATTACTGGTAGCATCCAGTAACTGCGAAGATACATCTAATCAGAGAATGAATCAGAAGAAACATATCCAGTCTGTTTGTCAGCACATGGTTGGTAAACATTCTGCGCGGGCAGTCAAGTCCTATGCCATTCCCAGCCCGTTTTGGATGCTTGGCTGCGCCTTGTGGGCGACTTGCACCGCCCGGACTTTGAGATGACACACCAGCTGTGTGACAGCCATCTGTGATTCGTCATTGTCAAAATCCGACCGATGATTCCTCCTTTTGAGCTTATCATGTGCCCCTTGGTTAAAATGGAATATGCCTATACGCAGGAGACAAGGACACTGGCAGCTTTGACCAACCTGTGGCCAATATTTATCAATATTTTATTGGCTGAAAGCAAAAGCCCTGTCCAGGGTGCATTCCATGGCGTTCAGGACTAGTAGACAGGCTGTACGCTTCCCTCGCCATAGTTACAGTTGCCACACAGACTCGGACCTTTCAAGTATACCCACCTCCAGGCACACATCCTTTGGAGAACCCCTTGGGGTGAAAGCATTAGTCATCAAGATGAACTTTTATCTTCGCTAATCCAGTATCCAAAAAGCCGTTCAGGGATTGCTAGCTGAGCAGAATCCTGCGACTCGGAGGGGGGAGGTAAAGCTGAATGACGTAGTAGATTCGGCTCAGTACCATGTACCTAGTCCCCGTTTTACAGATTAGTTCAAGAAACAAAGTTAAATCTTGATATTTTGGCGATCTTTACAATGCAATCTAGTGTTTTGCCCCACTCAAGGGACGAACGACGTTCAAGCCTTGGACCATCTCTGGATCTAAGCCACTGAAATCTTAACTAGGATATGGAGTAAGACACTCGTTTTTAGCCCGAGGAACCGATAGGTCGCTTCAGAATCATAGTGGGACCGTTAGTTGGCCCGTTTTGTATGCCTGTAAATCTGACAGTCTTCCCGGGTTAAAACGCAACACAGTTCCGATCCTGACGCATTTTCTCACTTTTTCAGTGATTTCAGGTCGCGTCCAGAAAATATTCTGCCTCACTCTATATACCAACATCTTCTCATCATGTCGCCCTGCAATCCATTTAATTCAAATGGCGGCCCGCTCTAACGCGACAAATCAAACTGGGAACCGAGCATGCTGCCATTCAAAAAAGGCATACCAAGCCACAAAGTGCCCTCCCGAGGCCCCGGTGATGTATGCTGGCAACCTGCAGCTCGTTACAATCTCGGACTCTCCATACAACGCAGAGAATACCTTGCCTGGATACTCTCTGTCACCGTCATTTGGAATAGGCGTATATGAAGACAGATATCCGCATGGCACAACGCCTAGCATACCATTCCAATTTCAAGAGCCAGGCTGTTCAATTTTCGGTTCATCACAATGGAATTCCATCTATGGAGACAGAATGATTTCGGATCCTACCGGTCAAGTCCACAGCCTGCTAGGTCACCAATCCCGCCATCAACAAGATATCAAATCAAAGTTTGTCAATTATTCAGATAGTAAAGACTTATTTGGAGAAAGCGACTGATAAAGTGTAGTGTGAGCCACAACCAGTCCTATTCTTGTCGTTGGGACGGCTGCAGATACCAAGGGCACTTTTCAAGAGAAGCATGCTTATGGCGACACATAAAGTCAAAACACCTTTTTCCAAACAAATACAGATGTCTGAGATGCAATAGGACTTCCGGTCTCGGGCGGGAAGACAAATACAAGGCGCATATACCAAAAAAAGGGAAATTGTCTACGTCTGTGACTCTGGATCTACGCTGGTTTTGGAGGATCAAGTTAGGAAAAAATTGCCAATGCAGCAAAATCTCATCATATCATCCGTTGAAGCATGTCTGACAAGAACAAAGGGCTGTGAGGGTGTAGTATGTATCCTTGTAAATGCATTGTTCGTTAAAGAATAGGAAATTTGACTAAATTCAAACTTGATCTCTATATTCTATTCCATTGAAGAGGGATCTATTTTCGGGAATTTGAACTGGACAGGCCTAGTTCGGCTAGGGCCTTTGTAGGACCAACCTCCTTCCAGGCACGGAGCTGATCATGATTGGAGATATAGACTGACCCCAGCATTCCCGGTGCATTTGATGTTATACCCTTAAATACCTTGGTTGTTCGCGGAACTATCACGATCCACCTTTTCGTAAGGACCACATTGTGGGGGCATGGATCCTGATCGATTTTCAACGACTCGCGCGTCTGTTGCAACAGTCGCTGATAGACCCACAACAATTGGTCGCTGCTTGTGATGTGACCTTCACGTAGATCTCGGAATCGCTGCAAGAAGTGAACGAAAGGCGGCACAGTTGCTTCTTCCTCTGGATCATAGTCTGGGAAGAACTTGAATCCTTCCGAATACCCCTCTTGCAAACTTGGTTCTGGAATAACCTGCAGATGCTTGTGGGCCCTACTAGATCCCGCAAGCTCTGAACAATTAAAAAAGGCAAAGTGATCTCGTTCCAGTCCCTGGACCAGACTCCATGCAGCGTCGATATCCGCGAAGTCAAGGGACTCATTTTGGCGGCGGTAGGAATCCGTCGTCAGCAGGAGGAGCATGGGTCGAAAGACCGGGAATTTGTTGATCACGAGGTAATGTGTTCCATTGACAAGGGTGATGCACTCATCGGGGTGGTCGTATGCCAGATCGCTGCCAGGGCCGAATGTTTTAGGATGAACGTTGGCTTCATCGGCTACAGTGGCCGAGTTGGCCGAAGGGATTTGAAGCCCCTCTCCCGCTTGTGGCTTCTTCTTTAGACCTTCAACCACGTGGAAACAGAACTTGATTCTCATTAGAAGGTGAGGATGGTGGGGTTCATGCAGCGGTGAGAACGAACAAGCATGCCGTTGTCGGTAACCGCGACCGTGTGGCTGGGCTGATAGACAATGATTCCATTAGAGACGAGTCGGTCGAATTTCGAGCAGATCTCGTCGTAGCTTATGTTGAGAGGCATTTCCGAAGCCAAGAAAACGGGCTTGTCGCAGGCTCAAAGAGCTGGGATGAAGCTGAAGCGCAAGCTCCAGGCGGAATAGGCGGTGCCAGCAGAAAAGGCACCGGCGGGATCACGCGACTCAGCCCAACACAACAACCAATATCAGCCCTCATCAGCAATGCAAATGGAAAACCCCTTGGGTACTGAGAACTCAATGGCTTCAGTACAGCAAATGCAAGTTCAATCCCAAAGCGAAAAGCGTGTCAGTTAATGTTTCGAAAAACTAATAATGATAAATTAGCAACGTGTATGAATGTCCAAGTCATTGTTTCGCTTCTGCCAGCATTCTACGCCAAATTTCAGCTCAAGAACCAATGAAGCAAGAGAAAATCATTCCGGTGATTAAATTCCATCAGGCGAATCCGCATAGTGCATTGGGTGCCCCGTCCAGCACAGTGGCAAGGGGCGAGGAAATAGAAACGGGATGAGGCTGGTATAAAAGGCTGATCATCTTGCAGCTATTGCGTGTGATCCTAATTCGTGTCTGCAAAGTCGCGGACCCTGGCAGGCAGGCACAAGGGAAAGGAGGCCCACGTGTGTCTATCCAGGCTTGATAATTGGCTGCTGCTGTTTCTCTGCGGTACGTATTCCCCAGTGGCTTGTCGCTAGTGCTTACCTGCCAATCCACTCCGAATCTGGACAAGTCACAGGCTTCTTCGTACATGCCAATTCTGTACATCCTCGTATCTCGACGCGGGATTGAAACGATTCGAGACATCCAGTGCTGTGACTAATTCCACGGAAACGTCTCTGAAGACAAGGAAAGGATCAAGCAGAATACCATACAGTTTGTGACGCGCGAGTCGAAGAGGATCGTGTGGGCTGCTGTTAAGAAGCTTACTGGGCCAACAAGGAGTTTCGACGGTCATGTTATCTCGAAGCCACCAAAAACAGGCTCGACACCTGTCGCCCCAAATCAGCCATTCAACCAATCAGCCAATCCTTCAAAAGCCGCTCGCCTCAGCAGGCGAGTTCAAAATGTCTCGTTCTTTCTCGTCCACATACAATTCGAAATCGGATTTCACCCGGGTTGAGTGAGAGAGGCGTCCACGCCACCGCGACTCGAAAAAAAATGGCTCTATTTTAAGTGCTGGCTTACCCCACATCCCAAACTGTTCTTTACTTTTCTGGCACCACCGGACGTTGAGTCTAAATCTCAAGACCGATACCATGACAGAAACTAGAGACCCACTTAGCCGAGCCGAGACTGGGGACCTGGGCAGGTTCTCGAAGCTTGAGGCTTCGCTTGTCCAAACTGAGGTTGAGCAGCGCCCTAATTCAAGAGCGCAAAATGATATCGATCGACATGCGGAAGCCACCGACCTCAACGTCAACGAGCTCGACTTCAACTTCAATCTTGGGGCCCAGGACTACCCTCTTGATGACCTCAGGTCGCTTCAACAGGTCTTCGACGCCGTCCAGTTCCATCAGCATCTGGATAATTCCTCGAACTTTTCGCTCGGGACCAATGTTGAATGCTTGAATGTTGACTCGCGGGGAGCAGGTATGGCAACTAGTATCTTCTGGTATTTCCCAGACTGACCTTGGGTAGAATGGCACGCCCTGACCGAGCATGGCATGGATGTCTTTCTCAAGGTATAGAGCGAGTAATTCACCCGCATCTCTACTTATGCCTGACTTTGCTAGCATATGGCTTCAAAGCATTCCCCTCCCTCTCCAGGGAAATCCGCGCCCGGCCGCAGGCTGCTAGCATTGTGAGTTTCATCTTCCCTGTTACCGTTTATTGAGTATTAACTCTCCTAGCTTTGTTCCGCTGGTGCCAATTGACGGAACCTCATTCGGCGCGCGAGCTATGATGACACAAGGAAATGCCCTTCAGCTTATGAAAACCCTACAAGTTAACCCTCTCTTTCTCTTGAATTTGATTGGGCGGCCCGACTATTGGGCGCCTAAATCGCACTGGGAATCTGACAGCGACGGCAAGTTGACAGCTTGTGGTACGCAGAACTTTCCGACGAAGAAAGGAAGTCAAACACCTAACACTCCTACTTAGACCTATTCTGTCAACATCCTCGGTGGAATCTTCATGTTCAAGGCTCTCCGCTATCCGTCTATGTGCGACATGATATCATTCGCAACTTAACTACATATGTCATCTCTCACAAAGAAGGGGATACATCCATCAACACCTTAAAATCGCTCCTCAACATTGCCATGAACACCGCCAACGTTTCCAACAAGCCAGCTGTCTTAATGGACGATCCATTCGATATTCACGTCATATTATCGACCCTCTCACTGGAAGCCTCGAAGCACCACGTCAAGCGATTCCAGCGATTCATGTGGGTTCAAATCAACAAGGTGAACGACCATCTGGCTGGACTGGAAGCAAGCGATCGATCCAGACTCGGTGACCTAACAAAACAACTTCAAATCGTATCGCAAAATGCAGATTCACACATCGCTAATGCGGATGTTGCCATATTCACGGCTACTGCCATCCGCAACGCCCATTTTCGTCTCATCTCGGCGTTACCGGAGTCTAGTCCTTATATCCACCAGCGAGTCGAAGACTCAATTGCCTACGTCATTTCCTCGATGGAGAAGCAGAAGACCTGGTTCCTCAATTACAAGCAGCGCAAAGACAGCACTATGTCTCTGGTGTACAATCTCGTGACACAGCAGGACGCTGCCAATAACATTCAGATTGCCCGCAGCATGAAGGCAGACTCCACGTCGATGACGGCGATTGCGGTGTTGACTATGGCGTTTCTGCCGGGCACGTTCACCGCGACAGTGGTCGATGCTGGGATCTTGGGGAATGCTGTCAGGGAGAGATCGTGGTTTATTTGGTTGGTGGTTACACTTCCTTTGACGCTGGCAGTGATGTTTTGCTGGTGGGTTTACCAGAAAGCCAAGGAGCCCAAGATGAAGAGAATGCCAGAAAAATCAACGAGCGAGGAAGTCGAGGCAGTCGCTGAAGCGAAGGTGATGAGTTCTTTGAGAAGACGCAGTGCTTTTAGTAGTTTTTCATTCCGAGGAGGAATCGGTCGTGGTTAGGTCGTGATGAGAGTACATGATGTAATGGCAGTGCTAGTAGTATTTCAGCGTGGTACATTCTTGCATATCAATGACATCTGTGATAAAATCTGAATTCCCGTCTGTTAGCTTCATGATCCCTCTACTTGGCCTCGGGCTGTGGAGTTTTGCGGTAAGCTGGAGGTAGCACATTCTCCAGCGATGCTTTGACCTGCAACGCCAGCGTCCGCGAATGCCATTGATGCAGCTGCGTATAGCCGCCCATTACCCAAATGTTATCATAACAATCTCTCGCGGACCAAGTCAGGCCTGATTGCCAGCATCTTCCACACAGCGAGACCTGTGAAGAGAAACAGAGCCGCCCAGGATCTCTGGCGCGGTGTTGCAGATGTTTCTATAGGCAAATCCTGTACATCAGATGATTGCATCCGCCTCCAGAGTGCTCCCTTCCGAAAAGCGCAGTCCGGTCACGGTGTATGCGTCGGATTCGGCAAGGGCTTTGATAGCCACCTTCCTTTCCTCAATCAACCTGGTACCGCACACATCCACATAAGTAACCACCAGCACGCTCGAGGTTATGCATCAACGCATGCAAGGGAACGGCGCTGTCGAGGACTGGTAATCCAGCCGCTTCCAATCCTGCGTATCGTTTTGGCTCCTGACACGAACACTTGAAACAGGCCGCGGGCAAGCTGGCTGTCCACGGACATTGGGAGAGAAAGGAAGAGCTTGTCGGCAGCCTCTACGCCCGCGTCATAGGCGCCGAGACTCATCTTGTCGCAGCAGTATTCGACGGGCATGATATAGGTCTGCGACCGGACGTCCATTGTGGACTCGACTCCTGCGGCGTGGCAATCTTCCAGGACATCGAATGCTGTGTTGGCCGATTCCACCACGATCACGGATTGAGGAGCATCATGCCAGTACATTTTATTTTTTTTTTTTTCTTTCTGATTTTCCCATGTACGATGCGCCTCACCTTGGCACCCTTTTCTTTCAACTGTCGACCATATTTATCCCCTGGTAGGCGTCCTTGTTCGCAATCTGCGGGACATTGGGCTTCTGCGATCCGATATTTGTCGCTAAGACAAGCTGCTTCGAGACTACTTGGCGCTATCCAGAGGCGTCTCGACCTTAACCTCCACCGCTCCTTCTCAGAGTCATATTGAGTGTACCTGACACGTTCTGATGTGATCATATTCAGGTTGAACGTTCCGACGTAGTGTCTGACATGTGCTGCGAGATCATTTTTAGAAAGTCCTCGGTCGCCGGTACTTACTCGCAGGTACAATGAATTCCGGACGATCCCTTGGGGTACAGAAAGGTTATCACGGTCAGAGCTCGCTTTCCTTTTTTCGCCATGTTGATGCCATGTTTGTAATTTATGGCCGGCATGGCACCGACAGACGAACAGTTGCTAAAATACGAAGGGGCGTTATATTCTGTTGGGACTTCATTGACGGTACAAGATTGGGAGTGATCCATGCTGTTAGGTGACTGTCCAGATGCCTGTTCAGCTAACCGTTCGGTTGACCGTTCAGAAGACTGTTTAGGAGTCTGCTTGTAATACTGTCTTGACTATTCTTAGAGCATGTCGGGTAGTCAGGTGGAGTACATATCTCTATAATCCAGGTATAAAACCCTGTTGAGATTGAAAAGTGAGCTTTGGCCGCTATAACCTTCCGTACTCGGGGTTACACAGTGCTGACAGCCCCTTGTTTTGATTGGCGCAAAATTCACTTTATTTAGCCCAAAACTGCTCGATCCGTCCGATGTGGGATTTTGGTACAATGGTGCTCGTTTTCGTGCAGGCCCTTGCCTCGGATCCTGATGTTTATCTCTTCATATGGGGACGAATCATGTGATACATTCTTCAGGTTCTGGCAGTCCTGATCCGTTTCTGAGCATCATACCAATTCAAGCTTCTCTCATCTACCTCTGTGATGTCCCACAGCATAATCTGACAATGTGATTGTCCTGTCCAGTGATGCTCCCCATTACCCTACATTGTGTACGTATACACTTGTCGTAGTATAAAGTGGGCCCGCCCAGAAAGCCAAATGTGGCCATTTGAAACCCAAAAGACGCCTCCGTCGATCCCGCTGATGCAATTGTCATGCAACCCCAAGGCAACCCTTCAAAATCACCATTTCGAGCAAACCGCTTCGTCCCCGACCGTCATTGGACCCCCTACAACGCCCAGATTGCGATAATAGCCAGCATGAACTAGTCCGACGAACGCCTCGGCAATCCCGCTGCTGTAGCCGAGCGACCCACCCCCTTACAACCCCGAGGCTGTGCCGGGAATCCGATGGAAAGATTTGTTATGCCCTAGTGCCCAAGGCCAGACCGGGCTTATCTTGCGTGAGATCGCGATCGTCGATCGACATTCTGTCAAACTCTTTCCCCTCAATCTTCTTCCGGCAATTGTGTTCTTCTCCTCATGAAGTATGCTGGGTCTCAGAGGTGCGCCCAAGTCCGCGCCCGGGGTGTACCCGCGAGGGATCCCTTACTGGCGCGTGCTAGTCGATCACGGCGCCGTCACGCAAGAGGTCCTCGACTATGAGTTCGCTGGCTCGGGCACCGAGGATGACCCCTACGCCGTGACCTGGATTCCCGACGACGCGCGCGATCCCAAGTTGTTTAGTAGTCTCAGGAAACTATCCATTACTCTAACGGCTGCGGCGACCACGCTCATCGTCTCCTTGGCTTCGTCTGCGTACAGCGGCAGCATCGATGAGGTCATCTCGGACTTCAATGTCAGCACGCAGGTTGCGACCTTAGGACTGTCGCTGTACGTGCTGGGCTTTGCTATCGGCCCACTACTCTGGGCCCCCGTTGGCGAAGTCTGGGGCCGACAGGTCACGTTCTTCTTCAGTATGTTTGCGCTGGCAGCCTTCCTGGCAGGCTGTGCGGGCGCTCAGAATATCTGGACGCTGTGTATTCTTCGTTTCTTCGCTGGTAGCGTTGGCTCGTCGCCCTTTAGCAATGCCGGCGGAACCATCTCCGATCTATTCACAGCGAGACAGCGCGGTCTGGCGCTCAGCTTGTATGCTGCAGCTCCGTTCCTAGGGCCATCCCTGGGTCCCATCATCGGTGGATTCCTTGGCATGAAGGCCGGCTGGAGATGGGTGGAAGGTCTGCTTGCTGCCACGGCAGGCTTTGTCTGGATCCTCAGTACACTTGTAATCCCTGAAACGTATCCGCCGGTTCTGCTCCGTCGTCGCGCTGAGACCCTCTCAAAAATGACCGGCAAAGTGTACCGAAGCAAGGTCGAAATCGATAACGGTCGAGTGCGGCTGGTAGACTTGTTGAACAAGTCTCTTCTTCGCCCGTGGGTCCTCCTGTTCAAAGAGCCGATCGTTCTGCTCTGTGCAGTATACATTGCCATCATCTACGGTACCCTCTACATGTTCTTCGATGCTTTTCCCGTCGTTTTCCAGCAAGGTCGGGGATGGAACCCTGGCGTGGGTGGCTTGTCGTTCCTGGGGATCATGATTGGCATGATTATTGGAATTGGATGGACGGTCCCTGCCAATATCCACTATATCAAGATCATGGATGCCCATGGAGGACATGCGCCTCCAGAGGCACGTCTTATCCAGTGCATGCCGGGGGCGATTTTGATCCCCATCAGCCAGTTCTGGTTCGCATGGACCGATTTCCCGTCTATCCACTGGATCGTCTCCATCATCGGGACAGCACCATTCGGCACGGGAGTGATCCTCATCTATCTGGGCATCATGAACTACCTGATCGATTCGTACACAATCTACTCGGCATCCGTGCTGGCATCCAACGCCGTTCTGCGCTCTGTCTTCGGCGCCATCTTCCCTATTATCTCAACATGGATGTATGGCAACCTGGGCATTCACTGGGCTCCGTCCATCCCGGCTTTCCTGTCCGTGGCCTGTCTCCCAATTCCGTTCCTCTTCTACAAGTACGGATCCGCTATTCGATCCAAGTGCAAGTATGCTGCCGAGTCGGCGGAGTATATGCAGCGCATCATGGCGCATTCTCTGAAGGAAAAACAAGCGACTGCGAATCAGTCTGAGCCGATGAAGGCCCCCCAGGAAGAGTCCAATCTGGAACGGGCAACGACACTGCATTGAGTGAGCGCTGCACCAATACTTGGGCAAAAAAAGCTATAGAAATACAGAGTCTATTAATAGAACTTTACACATATTTGAGATAATGGCATAATGTCTTCAGCAGACCACATCCGTTGATTTCAAAATATGCAAATGTACACTGGAAATTGACTCTATTGCCAAAGTGGTATATGTAGGAATACGATGCTGGTTGAATATGTGCATCATCATCAAATCAGCACGCGTCGCAGACCCTCCGTGCCGCCGAGGACTCGTCGCCCTGTAACCGGACATCTGCCCTTTCCACTCTCCCACTTCCCGCCGCGCTTGCGAGACCCTGGCTCTTGCTCATGATCATCCTGCTTTACATTCTCCTCATCCCCGGTGATTTCCTCCTCCCAAGGAGCACCGGCGCCTTCTCCATTCATGAAATCCAGCTGTCGCTGGTGCTCGCCATTGAGCCAGTGGAAAATACACACGTAACAGAACACATAGCCTGTCTGGCAGGCTGTCGGGTTGGTAAGGGTATTCAAACAGACGGGGCACATATTGGCACTAGAGGAATCGGCCGGGGGCAAGGGCACGGTGAAAATGGGGAGATAGGAAGTCGCGGAGATGGGAGGCTGGTGTCGGCGAGAAGACTTCAGGGCAGACTTGAGATCTCCCGAAGCGGACTTCTTCTCTTTCTCCACTGCCTGCTTCTTCTCTTCTTCCTGGGCTGACTTCTTCCGGTCGGCGGGGTTGGTCAACCCTGAAATCACAGGTGCCGGTAGATCGAGGACCTCTGTCGCCTTGCGAGCGAGTTGACGGGAGAAGTCACTAGCATGCCACCACTCCAGGAACTTTAGGGCAAAGATCGATGCCGGCAGGAAATATCGAAGCGACGTCAAGAGCTGCGGGTACATGTTCTGCGGGCTGAGCAGGCCCATGAGCCCCGAACCTGGACGCTGAGATCGAGAACCACCAGGGGCCGGCTTAGGATCCAACACTTCAGCGATGGCACGGTGATCAGCGGCTCCGAGGCGGCGAATCCGTGAGCCGATGAGCCAGAGGAATGGGGAGGAGTATTTGGTATTATCGAAGAGATAGGCGAGGTTGAACGCCAGGATAGAGAAGTAGTACGCCGCATTTACAGACGGGTATACATTGCGCAAGAACCACTTGTAATAGTGGAAGATACGCTGACGCACTGTCGGGTTGGCGGGCAGGTCGTCGCTGGGGTTATATCGTGGCCCGCCGCCCATGACCAGAGACGCCTGTGGCGCAGCATGGATGTCGTACCCTTCATCAAGCTTGCGTTTCAGGTACGGGATGCCGACCATCACTAACAAGTTCTTCCACACGTCGGCTGAGTGCAGTTTCAAGGCGTCGCGGACGGGTCCGCCGGCGCCGACTTGGGCGCGTGGAATCTCGCCATTCTTGGTGCGGAGGACGCGCTCGCGTTTGAGAGAGTAGAAGTTCTCTGTGAAGGAGCCGCCAAAAGTTCGGAGGTAGTAGCGTTCGACGATAAGCGATAGAAGGGCGTAGACCTCATCATATGAGTTCAGGATCCGGAGAAGATACCGAGGATGGCGGTGAGTCGCGACCGCGAGAAGGTATCGGAGGGAAGGGGGAAGGAGGTCGGATAACTGCTGCTCGGCGAGGAGTTCTGAGGAGTGATGGACTGGTTAGGGACTGCGATTGTGACTCTGGCTGCGACTGCGATTGCGACCGCGGCTTGTGAGAGACTCCGCAATAGAGACGTAGGATGGTCCCAGTCTGGGGATCTGACTCCCCCGCAAAGGCTTGGGCATGGGAGACTCACCGAAGAGCGACGGCTTGTGCTCATCGAACTCCTGTTGAAGACTAGGAAGGTACTCCATGGTGGGGAGCACCAGTCATCGTCGAAGGCTGAAGGAGAGGCGGAGGCGGAGGTGGGCGAGGTGCAGTTGCGGAGGTCGATTGCCGGAACGAGATCGGCAGCCGAGGCTCATCCTGACATCCGATTCACCTCCATCCTCCCACTCTACAATGTCACGACTTACATTATGCTGAAGAATAGTGTGTTTGAACGTAGCCATTTTGATTCTCTCTACAAGCAGTATTCTAAATGCCTAGGTATTCAAGTATTCAATGGCATATCTACAGCGAAAATGATCGAGCCCTTGAGAAAGCTAAAGTTCCAGACCCGAATGGCCCTCCCGACGGAAGTCGGGCTTGGTCACAACGTTATGCTCAGCATTTTGGATCCGATCAAGGAACTTCTTCGCGTTTTCAGGGTCGTCGGCGAAGAGGGTATCGGCCACATGTCGCTGAGGAGTCTCGCCCATCCATTGGAACAAGGAGATGTCTCGGAACTCGTCAGAGCGGAAAACCTCGAGCATCTCAATGGGCTCATCCCCGATGTTCTCGACAAAGTGACCCATATTGCGAGGCACAATGCCCACGTCTCCGGGAAGGTAGTCGAAGGTTCGAGCAGTGCCTTCGGCAGCGAAAATGGTGACACGGGCACGACCCTTGATGAAGAATGACCACTCGTCTGCATTGGGGTGCCAGTGCATTTCCCGGATCGCACCAGGCTCGATGATTGCGTGTGCGGCTGAGACCGTCTTGGAAACGGGGAAGTTGTTCGAATCAGTAATGCGGACCTCACCACCGCCGTTGGTGCTCTGGATGGGGTCCTGGTCAAGCATCCGATGAGTGAATTGGTACTTGGACTTCTTCGCCTGCTTGCCCCGTGGAGCTTCTTCATCAATGGAGCCTGGTTGAGAGCCCTGGAAAATGTACTTTTCCCCGGCAGGGATGTGGGCAAACACCCTGGGATCCAGGTTGAAGTTTTTTGACAGCACGGACTTAGGGGTATGCGCTGTGAAATGTGTTAACACGATGTCGTTCATGGGTTGGGGTCACTGCACAAGCATACCAAACCAATCTGTCAGAATAAATGTTGATTCTTCGGAGAAGCGGCCATCGTCAAAAATCAGGAGGAACTCGGTGCCGTTGGGACTCAGTCCTTGCAAAGAGTGAGGCACACCACTAGGGAAGTACTATAGAGATAAGTTAGCTGTGAACCGAGAGCAGTAGCTGCGGCAGCAGCCAAGAACTCACCCAAATATCTCCCTTCTTCAAGTCGTCGATGAAGTTACCCCCTTCATAGTCAAGTGCGGTCACGCGGACCTCGCCCTCGAGAACATACGCCCACTCAGCTTCCTTGTGCCAGTGAAGCTCACGAATCACTCCTTCATCAAGTCTCATGTTGACAGCGGCAAGTTCGACGCTGGTTCCGAGTTCGCGGACTGTGGTCTGTCGAGTCCATCCTCCTTCCTGTATGTATAATTAATACTTTGTCCGGCTCGCTTGAAAAAGAGTAGCAGTACCTACCTCAATGCGGATGTGGGAATCGGCAAAGCTCCAGCGCATGTTGGGCAGATTGCCCTTGTCGGTGCTGGGAGGCCTCACGAGGTCAGGACTCTGTCGAGAGCGCCCATTATTCCAGGGACCGAGGACAGATGCACCCAGTCCATTGCGCCAAGGGAGCGGATCAAGCTTATCGCCAACAGAGTCCACGGCCTTGTCATATGGGTCTCGGTGACTGGGGGTGAACGGGATGCGTCCGCCGCCGGTGACACCGTTGTAATTAGTCGGGAGCTCGAGACCATTCAGAAGACGTTGCTGGGGTCCATCTTGGACAGGGATTGCGCTGCATAGGCCTGCAAGGGCCAGCAGAAAATGGGCATGCATGGTGACACTAGGGCTGCTGGCTCTGTGTCACACGCGTCTTGGCTTGAGGGGATGCGGCTTTTTAAGTAAAAAGAAAAGATGGCAAAAGAAGGAGATAGCATGGAGGGCGGATCAAAACGGGATGCGGGGAAGAGCGCAATGACGCCCAAGACATCCCTTGCCACTCTGAGTGAGGAGCACGTAATTCGGCGATGGCTTCCTGGGCCGGTGTTTGCACGGCTCATTCAGCAGCAATGAAGGATAAATGAGCATATCCAATGACCTCTTGGTAATTACAAATTCAAATGCTGTATCCACAAGTGCCATAGTAACCCTTAGGAATGTTTTAGACCGCGGATGTAGAATGTTGCGAGCCAAGGCAGCATCTTTCCTTCTACCACAGTACTCCGCAGTCTCCGCACGTCGCCCGGCTTTAGCTCTCCCGACTGGAGCCCGCGGCAATACGAATCACCCGCAGAGCTGTCGGCTTTCGCCAGTTTCCTACGAACAAAAATTGGACATGGACAACAATGGCAATGATCGCAGTTTCGTGTGATAATTGATAAAAGACAGGGAGGTTTTTGCAGCCACGCTTCCTTTTCTCCTACCACGCTCGCTTCCCGTCATTTTTTACTTAGATACTTACCAAGCAACCTACGCCAATGATGTTGCCTGTTTCAATGTGACAGCGATTGCTCAGGCCCCATGCCCAAAGTGCTCTCGCTATTTTACTCTATATATTACCTGAAGACCTGAGTAAAGTCCCAGTCATCTGTTAAACAATTATCTACCTGGTCATCTACCCAGTCACATACATTGTAGTACAGGGCGGCGCCTGGATACCTTTGTACAGAGGATTTTTTAAAAAATACTTACTTTTTGAGTTATCTAAACATTTATATAGCTAGACAGCTGAACTGGTGCAGGGGATTGGATAGCCATAGGTAGTAATTCACAATCTTGAACTAGAACAGGATGCGTGTAATGATCTCAAACTCCTGCTCTCCAAGGATAATGTCAGTCTCTCATTTTTCCGGGGCCCGGTCGAATAGCGCCGCAAATGGGATAATCGTGGGGAGACTTACGATGCCGCTGGGGGCCACCTCAACTTTACGGGAACAGTATGCCAGCTGGTTTGCTGCGGGCTGCTGGGCAAGAGACAGCATCTGAGCCCGTCCGGGTATAGTCTGTTGATAACGGCGCTGGTGAGAGGATGTGGATCGTGTGGGGAGCCAGTTGCTATTTCTCGAAGATGCTGCTCCGTTTCTGGATATTCGAGCTAATGCTGATGCTGATGACCAAAACCATCCGCACCATCTCACTGGAACTAGAGAACCACCAGTACGCATCCCGAAGAAGACGGGGATATGATTCGATCATACTAGTCTCAATGACAAGCGTTGCCCAAACGTGAAAGCCGGTTGGCGAAGGATTGACGGGTAGATGAAATAAACGCCTGGTCTGTTTCCCCTTGAAAGAATTCGGCTTATAGGTAGCTGTTGCGGCTCATTGCCAATCCTCTCCTCTCAGTCCCATTGAGTTAAGCTGATCGTCAATAATGCGGGCAATATTGTGGGTCGTTATAATATGAGCTTGTGACGGGACCACTTTGATAAGTGCAGCGGAACCTTCCCATTGTTAGCGGTAGTCAACACCCAAGGGACTGCTGCGCTTCTCGTTGTCGAGCCTCTGTATCGCCGAAGGTGGCAGGCCAAGGACAACAAGCCACTGATTGTCGTCGCCATTCTCCATAAATAGTCTCTTTATTTCCTCGGTATCGACTTTAAGATGCTCGAAGTGAGTAAAGTTTACAACACGAATCGGGGCGGGGCGCTGTCCGTAAGCGAGTTAAGGGCAACGGCATCGACCGGGTACATTGCGGAGCGCCCGATCGTGCTATGCAGTACTGTCAGCAGAATTACCAACGTTCAACGGAATCAGCGGAATGCGACAGCATGGCAGCGAAGGTAAACAACTAGAGGAGTTATCATGGTTGAATTCAATGGGAATTTTGACGAAGTCAAGTCGCACTAAGCCTAGGTAGGCAGCGGGAACTTGAATCCGCCATGGCTTCAAATGACGGCATATCTTCGTCCCTGGCTTCGAATAATATCTTGGTCTGAAAGAAAAGATGTTTAGGATCCAGGTCAAATTGGGCCTGTACTATTCCTATACTTGCAACTTGGGTCTGGATTTTATTACATGCTTTCAAATGTCACGGGAGGACGCGATTCGAGGTAAAAAGAGTGTGGCTACAACAATCTCCTAAAAGATCTTAAATTGGCAAGGACCATAGTCGGACGCGTGTGGTATAGGACAAATATATGCTACAGCTACTATACAATGTATCTTCATCCACCCTTACCCGGGACCTTGGACAAGTGCTTCTTGACACTGGGTCCAAACATCCAGGAAATAACTCGCGGTGCCCTCCTGTGCCCGGTTCTGGATATCTGCATCTGCGACGAGGAGACAGTGCATGAGGGGAGTCACGACTGAACCCTGGAGCAGAACTGGAATAGCTTCTCGCTCCATCATCGGCACCCACGCAGAGATGCAGTCGCGCGCTCGTTTTTCTTCACCCAGATCAGCGTGTAGCTGGAACAGTCTCCTGTAGTCCTCCGGAGTACGGCTGACTCCCTTGAGAGGAAATTGTCGCCAGAGGCGCCAAAACCCATCGTAGTCTTCACATTGGAACTGGGTCACCATAAGCTGGCGCGCCTGCTCCACGTCGAAAGGGACATCGGCAGCGGCCACAATTTTGGACAGTCGACTCAGCATCTGGCGCTGGGATTCGGTCCATTCCAGTGGGTGGTCTTGATTCGATGGAAGGTCAGCCGTGGTGCCGGCGACTTGGTATAGCATATTGAATACTTTCAGATTAAGGATCGGGACACCGCGGAGACTGAGGCGCTCAAGAACTTGCAAAGCCAGCTCAATGTCCGCCTCAGACAGAATTGAGACAGGCTGCCCAAACTGGCCCTCCATCTTCTGGGGAGTCAATAATGCTGATACTACCTCAAACGCGAGATCATCCTTCAAATCATAGGTATTGCCGAGATAGTCGGTAAAAGAAGTAAATAAGCCTTGCTTGCTGTACGCCGGGTGCTGGCGTGAGATTCCTATAGATTGCAACTTCAAGCGCAATGACGCGATGTCCTTGTGGGACATGTCGGATGGTAGACTCCCATGTAGCAGTCGCAGAAAAAGAGTAGATTGGTAATCATCGGGACCAGTTCCAAGCTCACTCCTGGCACTTTCATGAGGCAGCCCAGTGAGAATCTCGAGTAGCACCTCTGTGGACATTCCACTTCCAGGAACTTGCCCTAGGGCTGACGGGGTAGAAAAGACGGCAGTCATATTCGAGTCGGCAGATTTGCTCGGGCCGTCACGCACGGTGTGGATTCCTCTCGTCTGGCCGCCAGGGTAGCCAGCGATCTTGGGTGCACGGCCTTTGATTGGGGTGGACTCGGTACTGTCTTGAAGATCCTGCTGTCTTTTTCGCTCGGCTCTATCCAAGGTTCCTTGCCAGAGGCCGTCCAGATCAACCTCACTTCGCTTCTCTTCGGTGAAAATTTGGACCACAACATTGGTGCCTGTGTCAAGCTGGCCGAATCCCTCAAATCCAGCATCGCTGAGCTCTGTCACGGTGGCTCCCTTATCCACTGTTCCAGCATTCACACAGATCCAACCGGTAGTGATGCCGTCATCCTTTTCGTCCACCATTCTACCAGCATTGGCGGCAGCACGCGCTCGCTTGGCCTTACGACGGAGCTTGATCTTTAACTCGTTGCGACCTAGCAAACCGTCGGCATATGGGGAGAGCTTGTATTTACTCCGAAGCCATCGGCACAGGCGATCAGCAGACACATTCAGATGCTTCACACTGCGTGCCGTTCCAATGATCATGATGGTATTGGCGCCCAGCGCGGCAGGAATGTCAAGTCCACGCAGATCAAAAAGCTTCAACTCGTCCAGACCAAGATCTTTATATGTATATTCGAGGAGCACCGGAAGCATTTCGGGAGAGTTCTCAGGGATTTGCGGGATGTGGTCACTAGGTACGGCACGAGACTCGTCGACGGGCGCTTCTTCCTGTAAATACCAAGGAACATGCGGCGTGGCAGCAGAGCTCCTGGGTGTTGACTCCACAGCATTCCCTTCCACTGGTGACGGGTTGATCTCCGGGGGTTGCGAGACAGGGGGACGATCAGACCGTAGCGTTCCTACTGCGGAGAAAGCTCTGGAAGTGAAGGCAGGTCGGATAGCAAAGGTGTATCGAGGCATCGGAACGCCGGAGGCGGCAAGGAATGACCTGACAACCTCATGGCGGCAGGAATTGCACGCGGCCCCTCGCAACAGGGCTCTGCTCATGGCGGCGCAACGGTGTAGAGAAATCAGATGAAATCAATGAGATCATCCCGACCGAGAAGCCGGCGAAACTGGTATCGGGGTGCAAACAGTGCAAACGCTGAGTCAGCGATAAAAGATTCGATCAACAGCGGGGCAAAAGTTACAAATCGACTTCGTTCGTGACTCCGTCCCTCTCACAGACTCTTTGAACTAACGGGAATTTCCTTTTGGAATCTCGCGAAGATGTCGATGGATCTGGATGCCCCCGTTCCCATGTCGGGAATGCAGCAGCAGGACCAACCCGTCACTGCAACGTGAGTTTTTTTCTCTTATCGCGGGGTTTTTTTTTTTTTTTTTTTGAGACTTCGATAGATGTTTTTTGATCTGTATGCTAACTTTTACAGTATTCTCTGCTGCAACTGCGGTGCTCCTATTGATGGAACTACTGCTGCTGGTGCACTCTGCCAAGACTGTGTTCGCCTCTCGGTCGATGTCTCGCAAGGCGTGCAACGTGAATCGACGCTGCATTTCTGCAGGGATTGCGAGCGATGGCTACAACCCCCTAACAGCTGGCTTGTCGCCGCTCCCGAATCGAAAGAACTCCTAGCGATCTGTTTGCGCCGCCTTCGTGGCCTATCGAAAGTCCGAATTATCGATGCCAGCTTCATTTGGACTGAACCTCACTCTCGCCGTGTCAAGGTCAAGCTCACAATCCAACAAGAGGCTTTCCAGGGTACCATCATTCAACAGTCCTTCGAGGTTGAGTATGTGGTTGCCACGCAGCAGTGCCCCGACTGTCAGAAGAGTTTCACCCACCATGCCTGGCGCGCGTCGATCCAACTCCGACAGAAGGTCCCTCACAAGCGTACCTTCTTGTACCTCGAACAGCTCATTCTGAAGCACGGCGCACACAAGGATACTGTCAACATTAAAGAGGCAAAGGATGGTCTGGACTTCTACTTCGCTAAGCGTAACGAAGCCGAGCGCATGGTTGAGTTTCTGTGTAGTGTGGCTCCATGGTACGGATAGCCACTCCCTCTTATGCTGAAAAGGCATATATGCTAATTATTTCAACAGCAAGGTCACCAAATCGCACGAGTTGATTAGTATGGATATCCATACAAGTGTTGCTCAGTATAAGCACTCCTTCTCAATCGAACTCATCCCCATCTGCAAGGATGATTTGGTTGCACTCCCTATCAAGCTTGCCCGTCAGCTTGGAAACATTTCTCCTTTGGCCCTTTGCCACCGCGTCGGCAGCTCTGTCAACCTCATCGACCCCCAGACACTCCAGACATGTGACGTTCCCACGGCTGTGTACTGGCGCTCTCCGTTCAAGAGTCTCGCCGATGTTACCGAGCTGAAGGAGTTTATGGTGCTGGATATTGAGCCTGTCGGTCAGACAAACGGTCGTTTCTACCTGGCCGAGGCCACTGTTGCTCGTGCCTCGGATCTTGGATCTAATGACACCACCTATTTCACACGAACCCACCTTGGCGGCGTCTTGCACGTCGGAGACTCAGTCCTCGGATACCACCTGACCAATACCATCTTCAACGACGATAACTACGATGCGATCGAAGCTAGCAGTCAATACGGCTCCACTATTCCAGATGTTGTCTTGGTTAAGAAGCACTACGCACGCAAGAAGAAACCCAAGAACCGCGCCTGGCGCCTCAAGCGCATGGCCCGCGAGTATGAAGAAGAGGCTGCTGCTGCTGCTGCCAGTTCTGCTGCCCCCACTCGCGCCCAGAAGCAAGATGCCGATCGCCTCGAAGCCGACTTCGAGATGTTCTTGCGTGATGTTGAAGAGGATCAGGAGCTCCGACAGACCCTGGATCTTTACAAGACTCGTAAGCAGGCTGATGCCATGGAGGAGGATAGCGGCAGCGAAGACGAGGCTCCGAAGATCAACATGGAAGAGCTGCTTGATGATTTTGATGAGTTGAACATGGGTGGTGACGAATGAGCTTTCTGCGTGTGATATCCTTGACGATCATGGCTGGCGTTTATATTTCTTTACGATGGGCTCTCAAGAAATCAAAAGTTTCGAATATTTAGAATCATCACATATGGTGTACAGAATGCACAAATGCAAATAGGTGCCTTCATCGTCAAATATTGATGGCACATGGATATCTCAATACAAGTATTTGGTAGAGTATTTGGTATAGCAGCTGCCCAGGCAGGGTAGATAGATCAAAAGATCTTGCCCAAGACTCGCTTCGCGTCGTCTCCGAGACTCTCCGTCTTCTTCGCAGAAACGATATCATTCTGCTTGAATGTCCTCCGAGGTTTCTTTTCTTGGGGCTTTTGCGGTTGGGGCTCCTCCGCGGCATCTCCCGCATCCAAGCGCCGCTTTCTCTGTGCCTCTTTCGTCTTCTCGATACCCTGTTGAATCCGAGACTTTTCCACGCCTTCCAGAAAAGCTTTTTCTTCCCTCTTCGCCCTCATATCCTCAGCTCTCTGGCGTCCCTCTCGTTGCACTCGTTCGATTCTCATCTGCTCCATTAACTGATCCCATTTGAGGCCTAGCATCATTAGTATGAGTAAGAATCGAGGTACTGAGGTTTCCATACCAGTCAAGTATTTCATGTTCCAAATGTCATCATGGTACCACGATCCCTTTTTCCCTCCAATGATTTGGCAATTAAGCGTCTCTGCAGCGAGCTTCGCGCTATTTTCGCAAGTAAATTAATACAGCTCGGCCGGACAGCGGGGAAGGATAAACTTACGTTGCCTTGCTCTGAAATTCCACCCATCCATCTGAATAAGTCTTTCTTTTATTTGACCGACGCTTCGGCGCGGAGCTGTTGGGAACGGTCGGCTGCAGGAATACTTTCGTGATGGGTCCGAAACCACGCTGTTCTATGAACGTGCGTAGAGCAGATGGTCGGAGATATGGCGGCAGAGAGCTCAGATAAATGACACCCGGCTTCTTTTTCGACTTCTTCGTGGGCTTCAGTTGTTTTGTGGAGAGAGGCTTCTTGTCTTTCGTGGTGTCGAGGTAAACGCCACCATCTCTATCTTCGGCTTCGTCGTCGTCTTCGGAGACTTCGTCATCACGAGGCTTCGTTGTCTTGTTGTGCGCTTTTCCCTTTCCCTCGGGCTCATCATCGTCAAAAACTTCTTGGTCTGATTGGTCTGACTGTAGGCCGAGCAGATCCTGAGTATCAGTTCGTCGCTGTCGCTTGGTCGTTCGGCCTTTGCTCCTCGTCAGGTTCTCTTCGGACTCATAGCCGTGGTCGCTAAGCTCTTCATCGCTTTCGGGGAGGTCGAGGAACTCGTTATGCATGCGTGTTGTCATTTTGTTGTGGTTGCAGCGAGAGGGAAGTCGGGAGGTCAGTCGCGATTAAGCCTGGAATCTTTTTTTTGACATGGCCCGTGCGTTATTAAGGACCCACCCACTCTACTCAACTAAGGTATCAAATACAGAGGGGTAACTATGGTATTCCCAGTAATCTCCAATGATTGATATTTGCTTCTATAGAGAGGTTCTCTTGTTAAAGATAGAAGTGTTGTTCATTGGTATCAGAAAGGACAGGTCTATCCTGCCCGAGTTATGTGCATCTTCAGTGTATCACCAAAAGCCAAGTGACCTCTCTATGCTTCTCAACCGAAAAGAGATCAGAAAATCACAACGCCAGAAGTGGGAATCAAGAGCCAGGAATGAGAGTTTATCAAATCCGCAAGAAATAGAAAAAGTAAAAAGTGTGCGTCGATCTATCGCGATATGCTGAGGCTAGCATAGGGTATGCAGCGAGAAAGAAAAACGCCACATGGAAAGGCGAAGGGAACGATGCTTTGCCTAAATTCCCAAAGACCACTTCATACGCTCGTAAACGAAAAAAGCGGTGGCAGACATCGGTACAATCTTGATGTACCCAATCGTCAGCCCAACCCAGAACCCACGGAATCCTCGCTCAAGCCAGACCGTGCGGCCCGTTTCAAGGATGCTGCGGCGATGGCCATCGCCGACTGCGCCAGAGACCTGCATCCGTCGTCGGACGACTTCAAGTGGGTAAGAAAAAGTCTGGGCCACGAGACCAGCGATAGCTCCAGAGAAAAGCTCTGCTGCGGCGGTAAGCTGGGGGTGTCGAGAGCCTTTCTTCGGTTTACTCTCCTCATCGGGGATCGTGGTATATTTGGAGACAGATGGGTAGCGGAGCCAATCGCCTATCGTGTCGTGGGTCAGGAACGACACGCCGGCGTAGGGGAGCATGCCGAGGATGGTGGGAGCAAAGCCACGGTAGAAGTTTGCGAGGCCGGAGCGGGGGACGACGTTGGTCACGGTTGACGAGACATTCTCGGCGGTGGTAAATCCTGCAGAGGCCTGCTGTGTGCTGGCAGCGACGGCCGGTGCTGCTTCTGCGCCGGATGATGGGGGCGTGATGCGTTCGCGGTAGATTTGTTTACAAATATCCGTCAGGGATGACCGAGACGACCGTTTTGTTTCAAATGCCAAACGCACGCGAATAAGCTCGAGCGGGTATGTGAAGAATACAGAGGTAATACCGGCCAAACTGCCGGATACCAATCGACGGACTGAGGTCTCTTTGTCCGGGGAGTTTATAACAATGGCACGGATCTGTTCGTAGGCTAGGAATTTGATGGCCGCGTAGGGGAAGATACGCAGAAGGGTAGCGGAGTGTCCCTTGTATAAGCCTCTGGCCCCTTCATAGCGCTTGATGTCACTGATTGCAGCGAGAAGTCCGGTCCAGCTGCCTGTGTATTTTGCGAATTTCGGGTTGGATGCCTGGAAGAGGATCTTGACGCGGTCGAGCGGTGCGACCACCGTTTTGGCCTGTGTTCATTTGCATCGTCAGAAAAGGCTCAATGGGATAGAAGATCTTCGTGTTTTATTCCAGCGCACTTACCGCACAGCCGGCGACTCCTCCTGCTAGGCCGCTTCGCGATACGTAGTCCACACTCCGCTTCTGAAAGGGAAGTTGCTGCTGCCCTGTCTTCTGCTCTCTCTCCACGTTCACAACCTGACCATTGGTGCCACCTGTAACCGGCGTCGAGGACGATCCTTGTTGTGCGAGCACACTCATCGGATGGCTAGGTTGCGGACTGATATCCGCGCTTGAGGGAAAACGGTGGCGTGGCTGTGAAAGAAGAGCGGAATGGGACTGCGCATGGTCTTGAGGTCCCGTCGACATGAGCGGAAGGGAGGGGGCGCTGTGCGCGGCCGAGGCGCACCGGGTGGGAGGGTCTGGGAAATAACGGTCTTCCCCTCGTGATCACTCGGCGATATCTGGAAAAGTTGATTCGGGCTACCGGAGGATCGTCGGGTTGATGGACGGGGCGATACAGCAGTCAATCCGTGCAATATACCGTATGCCGTGGTGGTATGCTGTTCTCCGCCGCGCTGAGGATGTTGCAGAGTCAAGAGGGAGAGATAGAGATTGTCTGGAGGCAAAAGCCCACGCTGAACTTCGGACAAGCACTGACGTCTTTCGCCAGGCGCCGTGGGACCTTCGGCGTACGAGCCTGACATGCCGATACCAACCGCCCGCCGTGTGTAGCCGCGTTATTACGGTATGGTTACACTCCCGAGTGGCGGAAGCGGGTAAGTCTTCCAAGTCAAACGATTCCCGAAAGGCCGAATGGTCAGCGTCTCACGACCAAAGTACACTGGAGCATACGCGTACTACGAATTTTTTCGAAATATAAACGTTTCTATGTGCGCGTTTCTATCTGATTCCAGCCAAAAAAAAAGAAGACCACAAAACCCCCCTGACTCCCGTTCCCACGCAGATGCACGGAATGTATACAGTTCACCGAAGCCTGATAGTAAAAATGGTACAAAATCGTGGTCGCATGATTTGAAGTAGATTTTACCTAGCTAGTTAGAAAGGAGAACAATCAACCTCTGCGCGAACCTTGTCGAGTCAAGGGCTTGCCTCGAGTCGCCTTGATCTCGCGCGCATCGTCCGTGTTCCGCTTTTGGCGCTTGGTTGGACGGTCTGGGTCGACGTGAAGATGCCCAATCTCGTTCAAAGCCGTCGTATTTCTCCAACGGAGGCAGCGAAGGCCGTTCTCGTTCAGATCCAAATAGGTCTTGGTGCGGGTTGTCACCCGCTTGGTGGGCATCTCTTCCGACTCGGCTCGGTCACGGGATTCGGTCAGATACGCCTGGCGGTTCTGCATGTAATTGACAATGTGCTTTCGCTGGAGATGAAGCTCCTTCAAGAGCTTGAATTCCCGGTTGCCACGTCCATTCAGCCATGCAATGAGCTGCTCGATCGACTCGGGTTCATCGTAGTAACCCCATTCACGGGCGTTCAGCAGATGCGTGGACCCTTCTTCATGCTTCTTGCGCTCGGCAGGGGTTGTTTGGAAGTGCTTGTGGTACACCTTGCGCTGGTCATCGGTCAAGTCGATAAAGCCTGCGCGCTCCATATCATCGGGGCCTTGCACCCAGAGACGGCCGTTGGCGTAGCAAGCCTCAGAAGTTGAACTATCTGGCATGCCTCCGTAGGGCATGGCGTTGCGTTCAAACCACCAGTAACGGTTGCAGAATCGATCAAGACCCAGACATCGCGTTCGGGGACAGTCAGCCTCCCGCAAATCATTGTCCACCGTGTCGATTTCTTCCTGCAGCTTCTCGATCTTGGCCTTCTGATCATCGATCTTCTTGAGGACTTTCTGGTACTGCTTCGAGCCCTTGGGTTGCTTGGCCAGCTGCTCTTTGCGTTCTCGCTCAACTTCCTGTTTCCTTTTGCGTTCCAAAGCACGGTCAACGCCACCACGAAGAGCGCGCGGGCGAGGCGTGTCTTCGTCTTCGGTGTCCATGGGCATCTCGGAATCTCCCTCGAGAGTTAACTTGGAATCGTCCATGCCTTCAAGGTCTGGTACAGGCGTGGGAGATTTCTCATTCTTTTCGGGTTCCGGCTGAAGTGCCTTCCGATCCTGGTGAAGCTGGCGAAGTTCAACGAGTCTGGCGAGGCATGAGATTAGTTTTTAGAAACACAATATGGTCAGTGGTTCATGTCACTTACGCTGCTTTGCGCGCCTTCTGATGCTCAATCTTCACCTTGCGAAATTCGGTCATCTGGTTGCTACATTCTTCCAGATAATTGCGGATGGCCTTGGTTTCCAAGCTGAGCGTAGTGAGAATCTGAAGAGCTTTAACCCGTAAGTTGATGTCGAGAGTGCGATACTGTCCCTGGGCAGTCTTCTGTGTAGGCTTTGCATCCAAGGGTGCAAGGTGCTTGAGAATGTCGTTGCAAGTTTGTTCGTACCGAGGACGGACAGACAGCTGATGCAAAAGACCGATCATCACGAGCTCCCATCCACCGTTGCGGAAATCACGTCGACGAAGGCGATCAATCCACCCGTAGTTGGTGAACATCTCGGCGGCACGGTGGATTTGCGTGTCCTCTTCTTCTTCATTTTTATCGGCCTGTGATTTCAACGACTCGAGTTCCTTTTTGGCCAGGCTGCCCCGGGTCGTCATTCTCCCAGCCGATTCCTCCGGCTCTTCTTCATCTTCGTCCTCCTCGTCCTCAGAATCATCGGATTCTTCGACAGGAAAATCTGGGAGCGTGATCTGAATGGCACCGTTGTCGTTTTCTGAGTTGACCAGCTTCTTCAAAACGGCACAATGGATCTCCACAAAAAGTTCACAATCCATTTCCTCAGAAGAGAATCGCATGGCTTGGAGGAAATCATCGAAGGTAAATGAGTCAATCTGAAATACCTCGCAGTAGACATTGAGAGTATCCCAGGTTTCTAAAAGCAAACCAACCGAGTCGGGCTCCAAGTCATCTGGCAAGAGATTCTCGACTCCATCCTCATCCGACTCGCCCACCATCATGAACTTCAGAGTAGGGCGGTGACTGCCGTCCCGGGGTGGAGGAAGTTCCAAATCTTCCACTGGATAGCGAATTGGTGGAGGCGACGGCGCGGGGGGCACTGACTCGTTCGTGATAACCACCGAAGGTACAGACACCGCAGACGGTCCAGAGGGCATAGAAGGTGGTTGCATTTTTTTGTCGCCGACCACCGGAGGCTTTGATGGGCGGAGGGGGTTGCTTGGGAGTAGGAACGTGGGATTTCCGTTGAGCGATCGCTGGTACTCCTCATATTGTGCTTGGCTGGACCTCGCGAGGTCCTGAGCGGACAGTTTGGCCTTTTGTGCCTTCGTAGCCGGCTTTAGTGCCGGTAATTGCTGAGAAGAGAAGAAGCCAAAATATCCTTCTTGGTCCGCCTTTTTCTGCGCCTTCTTTTCGGCGACCTTGGCGCCATACTGAAGGTGTTTGGGGACCTCGGTGGCGATCTTGTACTCCTCGGCGATGGAGGGCTTGACGAGCCATGGGGCACCGGTCCATGATTCCCGGGTTACATTATTTTTGATGAAACCACGAAGCATCAGCTTGGTGAATGCCTTTCGATCCCGGGTGATGTGGTCGTGGTCAAGCAACGCCTCCTCATTCTGTCGGTCTTGGATCTTTACTAGATACCTGGCATAGGCGGGAGTCTTGATGGTTCCATCAGCATACAACTGTTCGGCGAAGTTTGCTTTGTCTCTGATGATCCCATGTAGTCTGGTGGTGTCCTCCAGTAGAATAAGTACATTTTCGCCGGGATAGAAGTCAGTTCTGAATTCCTAGTTGCAAGGTTAGTATTTTTAATTTCCTTGTGCGTTTACAATCGGTCTTCTTACTTCGAAGATTTCATCCACTGCAAGAACGTTAGTTAGCTTGGATCTCACGCGACTCAACAAAGGGTCAATAGACTTACCTAGATTGTCGACCCTCGATACTGTAGAGAACTGAATTCGGCGCAGAATCGGCTCCTTAAGCGCTTCTGGGAAAGTGTTGTTCACCTCGCGCGACTCCTCCGTCTAGGGCCCGGTAAATTTCAGCTCATTACTCGTCTCCATTATAGTTGCAATGCCATGGGCACGTACCTCGCTTCGCAGTGCCTCGAAAAAATTCAAGCCTGAATGGCCCGTAATCTCACAGATAAACCGACGCTGTTTGTAAAAGTCCATTCGGGAGAGGTACGCCTCGTAGCTGGTGAAGACCTCGCTGGTAGCGGGGATGACCCAGACCTAGAAAGGGACCCGTCAGCCTTTCAGTCCTCCCCTGGGGAACACATTGCATAGATATATACCTCGGCGTTTTCATCTTGGATCACAGGCCGTGGGAGGTAGACGACCGGTTTTCGTTTGAAAAAGACCTAGCCCATCATGTCAGCTGCATGTCCGTCACTGGTAGTCGCTTCTCCGCGTCCGGTGTTACCGCGAAAGATCAAATCGGGATGGGCGATATCGCATACCATGATCTCTTAACGGTGGTGCAGGTACGCGTGTGTCTACTGGAGACGACCGCGACTGAGCTCGTACATGAACTAGCTGGACAACACGCGACAGAGTTAGCAAGCTTGTCGAAGTATAGAAACGGTGCAGACAATGAATTTCAACCGTGCGACAGGCACAACAATGATTCACGACAATTAACGCCGGACTTTGTCGAGATTGGTGTCCAGAACAGTGGCACGGCAAGTTTCGGGGAGGAGGTCGAGGCGACACGGAAGCAGTGGAGAAGGAGATGGAGTAAACTCGCGCAAACTTACAAAGGAACGCGTCGTAGGAACAGGTACAACCCGGGATATTTGGTGGCAGGCGGGGATGGGGACGAAGGTGGGTGAGATGAACGCGCACGTCGCGGAAGGGGAAGAAGCAGGAAGTGTCAAAAGGTAAAAAGCGCAGACGAGCGGTCGATCAACCGCGCTCTCGGCCGCGGGCGGTGATTGGCGGAGAGGAGGAGCAGACGGGAGCCGTCGGTTTCCACTTTTTCCTTTTCGACTTTGCGAACTTCCTGCCCTCCGCCGCTGCTGCCTTTCCCCCTGGCCTGGCCTTCCACCACCGCCCCCAACCACCCGCGTATTTCCCCTCGTTCGAATCGCAGCGATCAGGAGAATTTTCTGGATCTGTTCGTGGAATTTTCATTGCACTCATATCGCGACCGAGTGCGACAATCATATACTTCCATGGAGTGCTTTCTCGAAACCTAGTCTGGATTTCCACAATCGACCACACGGAGACTTAAAATGACTGATCATTTCTCACCGTCATGGCCCAATATCAGCCATCTAAAGAAGGACGATTGAATAACCTCTTTCTTTCTCGAATCGATCGTTTCTCCAATCAACATCCTACTCCGAGGGGATCCACCTCTTGCAGGCAATTTATCTGGCCTCGGACAATGTTCACTAGTAGTTCATTGTCCACCACACAGGCTTTGCTTATCTCAAAATACGCCAGCTTCAAAATCTATTCTGTTTTATAGTATCACGCTGCAAATCCCTTCTTTCCTTTTAAGTAGAGCGCCTCTCAGTATGGTTGATCCAGTGTCTGCGCATATATTTTCAGTCAAAGGACAAGTTCATTCACTATCTGCATTTCTTTCTCTCATTTTTGTCTAGCTGCAAAGACCCAATGCAATTTAAAATGGGATTGTTGACCCTTTTCAAAATACTCTAGGCCTTTCCTACCCTATTCAATATCGTCTTCTTACAAATCTCGACGTTGCCAATCCCAATTCAACATTCGAACAGGCCCGCCTTACGACTCGGGTCGCAATCATCATTAAATACGTCGTAACTGCTTAATTAACGTGCTTCTCAATTATACTTGATAATCTTGGTGCCTTTACGTGTAATCAATGTAGTAAAAGCGGTCGCAACCGCCACGTCGGCTTGCCGACTCTAATATTCCCACCGCCGAAATTCAAGGTCAACTCCAGGAAATAACGCCTTGAATCGTTTAATCTTCGGCTACGTATTAGCTCTTTGTCTTTAATATCTCTCGAAAAAGCGAACGTGTTGTGCACTGTCTCCTTCCAAGGCGCTGGCTATGTAAACTACGAGGCGGACTGTCGGACAACGGACACGAAACAAGCCACAGTGTACATTACAACACTGGCCATTGTATATATCCTTGCAGGAATATTGATAGATGAGCGCCCAGTCATACGATCTCCTTGAAGATCGCCAAGTAATCTACAGGTGTATTGCATGCGAGAGATAATGGAAAGTTGTCGAGGGATAGTCGAATGATATCAGCGTATCCACGAAACTAATGTATCATGATGCGTTTAAAGTGCCAAGCACTGTGCATATGGTAGAGAATGATAATGCATTTTGTGATATATTTATCCCATGGGTGAGGATGCCGCTTTATGATATTTGCAAATTTCAACCTGCTTTCGGAAGGAAACATTCATCAACCATCCGGACTGTTGAGGTGTGAACCACTGTTCCGCGGAAGCTACCAGATGGAAGGCAGCAAATATACATATAGGCATTCATAACAATGCAGTCTGATGTCGCTAATCATTATAGCTTCCCGACCATATATTGGAGGAGTGCTGATTGGCGGCGACATTTCCAAGTCTTAGCAGAACCTATTATTCCCCCCGATTTGTGACACGCAGGGTTCATATTTAGCCCGCATCTCACAGCCGGCATCGTGCATGGAGTCGAGGTGTAGCTAGCCTCTTTTGGTATAGCGCCAAATAGACTCCATGGTTGGGGTGGGCCGGTCCCACGTGGTGTCACAAACAGTGCAAACAGATTACATCATCGTTGAGCCCACAATTTACCGCTGATGGCTGTCTTTGAAAAGACTCATCAACCACGATTACTACTAGTTGTACTATGTAGTAGAAGATATTTCCCGATCCCTTTCAGTTTTTTCTCACAGGTCAGGGTTATCTACCAGTATTGTTGACATTTCTCGTGTGCGGGTCCATTTCCCCGACTGCTAGGATCAGGGCCACGCTAAACAAGTGGGCAAGCACCGAAGCGACAATCAACCTGGGAGAACGAAGATCTTCAACAAGAGAACATGACATGTACCTAATGTCAAATAACACTATTGGATTAACGTGGATATTTAACAGACTTTCTTTTAATTTTCTAGCAGGGAATCTATGCGGTAAAATAAACCACCATAAACCCAATCCAGCTACCAACAACACCCAGCGCACAATAGCTGCTCATGAACATCAAGGGCAAAAATTGCAGGCGCTCGAACCCGAAGATCAGCTGGTGGACTAGTGAACAGTACACAATCAAAGGGATTGCAAAGGTGAGATAAAGCAGAGCAAGTCGGTCGAACACGAAGATACGCGGTCGTTCTGGGACTGGCGCGACCCGGTCGAAAACAAAGAGGAAGAGGATCAGCCAGAATACAGTGTAAACTGTCTTGAGCGGAAATTCAGCGGCTGTGAATAGCAGGGGAAAGAGAGACACATGTCCGGCAACGGCTAGAGGTCGGAATGCGCTAAAGTAACGGCGATCTTTGAGAGCGATCAGACTGAACGGGATGATGATCAACAAGACAGCTTTTTCGTGGACGTGCCAGCCAAACAAGAATGATGCGTATCCGCAGAGCGTGAGTGCGCCGAGAAAGGTATCCCAATCTGGACGAAGCCATAGCTTCATAAGCGGGATCTGTATCATATGAGCCACGAGCCAAAATATTGCAGAAATGGAACACATACCAGTTGAAAGACAAAAGTGAGTATAAACGTCTGTCCACTGGTGATCTCTGGAAGAATCGCAAAAGAGGTATCTCCCACGAGGCCACGGGTGACACTATTGAGGGCGTCTGTATTCACCGATAGTCCCAAGCGTGGTGCGACTATAAACCAGGTCAGCAGGTTGTGACAATGAGCAGCATTAGGTGGCACATACGAGGAATCAAAGCCCGGTCGGTAAACGAGTACATGGCCCAGATATTGGGTGCCCAGTATGCATGGCACAAGCCTCTCGAGAAAGGGAAAAGGCGATCTTTAAGCTGGAATAGCTGACCCCATTGGACGAAAGGCCCGAATGAAACTCCAAAAACACCAATCACGCTCACGCCAAGCTTGAGAATGTTACCAAATCGAGGCCGGAGAACATTTTTCGGGTCGAGGCAATAGGCGCGACCCAAGTAGACGAAATATGCGAGGGCTAGATAGAGATAAATGTGTTTGAAGCACAGTAAAGCGGCAAAAAGAATTCCACTCAGAAGCATTGTTGACTGCTTGCGGGCGAGGACAATCGAGAGAATAAGAACACCGTACATGAATCCATTGTACTGGAAATGAATGTGGTCGATGATGAAGAGGCCGGGGGAGAGGAGGATCGAAAGACTGGCCACATGCGCAGCTTGCTTATTCCACGGGGAAGCCGATTTCACGAATCTATAGTTCTCGAAACAAAAATCGCTTAGTACCATGCTAGCACCCGAGACGACAAGGTATGTCTTACCGACTCAATGCAAACACCAGAATCAACTCGGTCAAGATTACAGTAGCCCGCTGAAAATAGACCGTTTCCCAGGAATCATAATGCAGATTTTTGACAACCAGCATGGCCGGATCCACATGTGTAGCCGCTTGCGACATGAGCCATTCGAAGGCTGCGAAGAACGGGGGGTAATCGAGTGTCCATTCGGAGGTTTTCTGCGCTGCGATTAGACCAAGTCATGAGAATTCAACCTGTCTAAGAACCTACCTCGTAGTACCATTCTTTAACAGGAAGAGAATGGGTGATCGCAAGCCAATTGCGGTGCACCTCGAAGTCCGTCGACTTGCTGTCAACATGGCGACACAGTTAGAACACGCCTGAGGGGCTCACACGGCCGCGACTCACTATGCGGGGAACAGCAGCACCTTGAAAGCTGCTGCGACGATGGCGCACTGCGCCAATAACGGATAGAGCTCAGCCATTGCGCATCTTCTGGGCTCAGGCGATCGCAGGAAAGCGGAGGAGCCAAAAATGAACACGCGCCGATCAAAACCGCAGCTCCTCCGCAGTCACGTGCACGCATGCGGAGAACAAATCAGGAGAGAAGGCCAGGTATCAACCGCAGCTAAACCCTCCGCATGGACTTCTCGGACGTCGGCGTCCGCCACACAATTCTCAACAGTGTCCAGCTGCATCATTTTATCGACGTTTCTCCTTCCGCCGCTGCCATCGCTAAAGAAGTTCGACTCTGCGTTATTGCCGTTGTGGTTGGGTGGATAACCACTCGTGTTGTCTCGAGTCTTTGCGATCTTCCCCGGAAATCCTGCGATTGCGACTCGAATCGCCCAGAAAAAAACCCGAGGAGATAGTTGTGTTTAAATTGTTACCGTTGGAATCTTGAGCAAGTATTTTTACTACTCTCAAAGGGTTTGCTCTGGACGTGCTGCGCGATTGCTCCGTGCTTTGATCGCCCCGCCATTATGAAGACTTTCGCTTCGCTTGCTTTGTTCGCCGCTGGTGCTGTGGCCCAGGTCATCGAGGGCTCTAGCTTCGGATACGACAAGACGTGCGCAATTCGTCCCACCCCCGTATGCTATGCCTCGGCCAACAACTGACATTGATTTGGCAGGATTTCGCCCACGCGAGACTCGATCCCGGGATGGAACATTGGTGGAGAGGGCGCTGACCCTCAGATCGTGAGTCTGCGTGTGCTCCTCATAATGGTCGGACCTGGCGCTAATCCTTATTTCAGATGTCGAACAAGATCATCCTGACTCCCCCTTTCCTGGAAACGTCCGCGGGTCGGCCTGGGCACAAAACCCGTTCGTTGATTCTGTGGTTCCAATATAATTATTTCATAAACTGACTATTATCTATGATACAGAATTACACAATCCGAATGGACGGCAGAGTTCCAATTCCGTGGCAGTGGCCAGGAACGATCGGGAGGTAACCTCCAACTATGGTACACAAAGGATGGACAGGCCCGAGTTGGCACTTCGAGCATCTATACCGTGGGCCAGTTTGATGGTTTCGCTCTTGTCATTGATACGCATGCAGGCAGGGTATGTCTGGCCTTCAAACTATCGAGAAAGAACAAAGCTAAACAATGTTAGGGTGGCAGCATTCGCGGATTCTTGAACGATGGGACAACAGACTACAAGTCCCATCGTAGCGTCGATAGTCTGGCTTTCGGTCACTGCGATTACGCCTACCGTAACCTCGGTCGGCCCTCAGTTGTTAAGCTAAAACACACCAGCTCTATCTTTGAGGTTACGGTAGACGACAAGGTCTGCTTCTCCACGAACAAGGTACGCCCCAGCCCATGGTTTATCGTTTAATACCTCTCTGACTATTTTTAGGTCTCTCTTCCAGCTGGAAACACTTTCGGCATCACGGCCGCTACACCTGAGAACCCTGACTCTTTCGAAGTGTTCAAGTTCGTCCTCGAGTCTGCCGCTGGGCAGGGCCAGACCATTCCCTCCCACCAAGAAAGTGCCCAGCAACAGCAGCAGCCAATTATCAATCAGAACCAAAACCAGAACCCTAACCCGTCCACCGGCAACACTGTGTTGGATAACGGAATCGCCGCTCAATTCGTGGACCTGAGCGGCCGTCTTCAACTTACCAACAAGGCCACCAGCAACATTATCCAAGACCTTAAGGCCCAGGCCTCGAAGAGCGATGCTCGCCAAACAGAACTCCTGCAAAAGCTTGCCTCTAAGGAGCAAGTTGCTGCCCTGGACGCTCGTCTTCAACGCATTGAGCAGCTACTTCAGAATGTTCAGCGCGACCTCGAGGGCAAGGACTATAGCAGCAAGTTTAACCAGCTTCACGATACTCTGCGGTCATCGCATCTTAGTTTGAGCGAGAGCCTGCAGGGAAGCGTTTTGAGCGGTACGTGTCCTTCAATTCTTACTGGAACAACCTGCTATAACCAAAGCACAAATACTAATCTCTCTCATAGCCATCACTGCTTCCACTCCTCGCATGGGATTCTTTATCTTCCTGGTCATTGCCTTCCAGGTCCTCCTCGCTGTCTCTTACATCGTCTACAAGCGTCGTCGCGCGAACATGCCGAAGAAGTTCCTCTAAATGCCCTGTATGATTTCGCAAACCCAACCTTGTGGTAGTAAAACCTGCAAATTCTGTAGCGCTCCATTTCGTTCTCACAATTCGCCTGCTACTTGCATGACTGAAAGGGTGTCTTTATTCTCATGTCTTTTATTAGCTTGATGTATGTTCTCAAGATGCTTTGGCCTGTACGTTGTCTCGGTTTCTTATTTTTTTTTTTCTTTCTTGATGTAGAGCAACGAATGCATGACCGTGCCGTCGGTAGGATCTAATTCAAAAAAAAAGGCAGGTAGGTTACATTAAGATCTTGTGGTAGTGACTTTCCTGACAATCAAAGCTTCGAACACGTTGATCGAGTTTGAACTCGAAGTTCTATTATCATAAAGCAACTGCCAATTCGTATCAAAAAATCTACCAAATCAAGTCTGGTGTCATCTTTACACGAATTTACAATTGCAGTACTGCTCTCCAAAAAGGGTTCACATAGTACCCTAAATACAATCATACCCTACCTCCTCATTACAACATTCTTGAACGTTACCATAACACCTTAACTCAATGCACTCGATGGGATAAAACAATCAAAATTCATGATGGCACCATTGCGCCCCTGCCCTGTCTCTTTAGATGCGCGCTGAAACGGCAAAATAAAACAAATCCCAACAAATCCAATGATCATGATGTTTAATGAAACAAAGAAAGATAAGAGAATAATAATGATAGATATAAAAAACAACACGGAGAAGAAAGAAAAGAAAGGAGATATAGAGTGAAATGAAAAAAATTAAGGAAAAATTATCAGGGTAAATCAATCAGCATCGGTATGCTGGCGCTTCTGAGCCGGCTTCACGGTGCTCGAGGAAGCCTCCGACTCAGCGCGAGACCGCTTCTTTCTCCCTGATTGCTCACTAGTCATGATCGGCTCGCCCAGGGAAATATCAAGAAGAGAAGACGCTGCATCGTACGCATCAGGGCTGGCCGTCTCGGAATTGTACAACTGAAGGAGGCCCTCGAGTCCTTCTTGGGTTTGTGGGTCGATGCGCGGTACTTGCTTCTTGACATGGTTGATGAAGTTCATGGCAAGATCAGGGGATTCGGCCTCAGCTCCTTCACCCTCAAAGCTTTCATGCCAGGTACGATCGGCATCCCAGCGGGGCGATCGGACCGTCACCGTGTCTTTTGGTCGGCGGGGTCGTCGTTGCTGAAGGCGGCCATCGACTACCTTGGTCACCACCAAGTCATCAATAGTGACGTGGTTGGGGCACTGCCAGCCATTGTAGGGGTTAGGGGGCTTGGCCATGGGCGGGTCGAGACAGTCCAGGTGGAAACGACATTCACAGTAATCGCAACGAATGATCGGCCGGGTATCATCAGTAGATGTCCCGCATCTATTGCAGAGAATGACGTGTCCGTTTTCCATCATTTTGGTAAGGTTAGGGTCGTCGTAGAGAGGAGTTTTGTTGGAGTTATTATCCCGCGGGGCTTTGGTTAGCCGTGGCAGGGTCGGGACGGACTTGTAAAAGCCATGGGTCCGCTTCGTTTCCGGTGGGTAGTGTGTGTCGGTGAGTATCTCCTCGGAAACGCCCTCGAAGTACTCCTTGATGCTCTGAGGAGGAGAGAAAGTGATCTTCTTTTTCTTACTGCGAATGGCCCGCGCGATGGTTTCGGTAAAGTGATTTTTCGCCCAGCAAGGCCCGCAGAACCAATCGCCCTCTGGCGGGTCGTTTTCGTCGATTGGGGGGTCCAGACAATCGAAGTGAAAGGAGTTGTCGCATTTGTCACAGCAGAGCAGCTCACCTTCCTCGCCACAAACGTAGCAGAAATCGTCATTATCCATAATAATGCTGTACGACAATGTCAGCTCTCTTATTCTCACTTCACAAGTGAAGGAATTTCGAATATCCACACATACATTTCATTGGGCATCTGGCGAGCTTCAAACTCGGCATCCCAGCCGCCGCTATGGTCCGAATAGTAGGAGTTGGTCTCATCGGAGTCGCCGACGCCAGAGTCTGGCGACACGGAACGGGCAGTATGAAGTCGAAGGAGCTTCTCCTTTCCCTTGGCCTTACCCTTACCCTTGAAGTTGCCCTTCGCCTTCAACCGGTTTTTGAGATTTCGTGTCCGTCGAGAATTAACAGCAGTCGAAGAAGACGTAGACGACATGTTGTCGTCTTCTTTCTCACTTGTATGAGAATATGGGTGTTGGATGGCGTCAGGTGGACCGCGTTGAGGACGGACGTGGCTGGTCTCAGCGACCGTTAAGTCAGACTTGGCTGCTTTAGCTAGCTGGACACGCTTTTCATTCACTCTCTCCTCATGGGTGGGGTCCGCCTCCCATTCACGGCGGCGCCTGTAGGGGTTCTCATCTGCCCGACACGGCTTCGTGGCCCTCTTTAGGGGCGCGGTATTGGTTTTTCCGGCAAGAAAATCATCCTGTGCCTTCTTGCCGCTCGTGTCTCGGTAGATGTCTGCCCGGGAGAAGTTGCCCAAGCTCGAGGCGGGCGACCTAGGCCCAGCGAAGAGACGACGGTTCTCGGAGACATAGGTTTGGTACCAAAGGGTTGCCTCGTCGATGGAATGACGGAGGATGGTCTGTAGAGCCAATTCAAGGATGTGGTCCTTCTTCTCGAGGCCCATATTGTGGAGCAGTAAAAACTTGAACTCGTCTCCCGAGATCCCCGCCCAGTAGTAAACTAGGGCCAAGGCAGCGTTGTCTGCCTTCGCGTTGGCAGTGTGAGTGACGGCCACCTCCATCACCTGCTTCAGCTCCGCCACATCAAATCTGGTGGACACGGGGCAGGGAAGCGAGCGAAGGATAGTGAGATAATCGGATGAGCCGGGGGTGCTGGACATGGTTCCGTCTGTACCAGAAACCGGAGCACCAGGAGAAAGGGGCTGTCGCAAGTTTTTGTTTGAGGAAAGGTGGATATCGGGGATAGTGAGGTTGGTAGGGGGAGCGGAGAGTGTGAGAAGGGGAGAGTTGATCTCATCAACAGGGGTATCAAGAGAAGTAATGGTCGAGTGAGCAGTAGAGTGAACGGAAGAATGAATACCGCTGGCTGGTAATTGATCCGGCGGGTGAATAGAAAGAGACATGGAAGTGAACGCAGGGTGAGGGTCGAGTGCCTCGAGAGTGGGAGTCGCGGAGTTGGTTTCATTCACTACAAGCTCCTCGTTGTCTTTGACTCCGAACCCGTTTGCCACCACCACGTCCTCAGTAGAGGACTTGACATGGTTTAGGATATCGGTCTTCTTGAGTCCGCTCATCTGCTCATATTCATCTGTGCGCAGCATTTTGACGGCAGTGGCTTCCTCCTCCGCGACGGGAGTGAGGGGGGTGCCGGGAGCGCCTTCATCCTCGTCAGACCGCGCTATCTTTGGGATCTTTCGCGGAGGCTTGAGGCCCGCAAGCTTGTACTCTGCAAGCGACGGGTACTCTCCGATGGGCTTCATGGCCTAGGGGGCCACGGCCGGCAGGTCAAGTTGTCGTCTGGATGCGCCCAGGATGGCGCGCGGGTGCAAGGGCAGGCTCTTCACATCCAGACCCGTGGAGCTGCGCGGCGGCCAGGGATACAGGCGCATCGCCAGGAGGTTTTGAACCTACGCGTTTCTGACGCGGATTTTTCTTTTCAAGCTTGCGAGGCTTCGCGGTTCAGCGGCTGGTTGAGAATTAGCCCGACGGCTTGCGGACCGAGTAAAGCAGCCCGTCGCGGTAGGCGGAAGCGCCGTGCTAGGGTTTAGCGCCACACGCGCGGTCCTAACTGAAGACCTTCCTGCCAACCACCAGCACAGCGTCCAGCCCGATGGGGCGCGAAATGATATCCTAGTAGCAGTATTAGCTGCCCATGTCCATTTCTCGTATTTAAAGCAATCCAAACCACATGGCGTCGTAACTTAACGGTGCCTGCTGCCTCTATTAGGCAACCGTCCATTCCCCCGAGATCTCCGTTCACTCACCATACGAGAAGCCGGACGGAAACTCCATGTAATCAAGTCGATGTCCATCTGATTTGAAATACACAGCTTGAAGGGAATGAATGTGAGCTACTGCCTCGTTCTTTTGGTTCTCGAATGCTTTCAAATCACAAACCTCGACGATCCAACAAAAGGCGAAACTCGATGAATCCATGAAACTCAACCAAATGTATCACTGAGGAAGTCCAAACGAGACGAGACCGACGAAAGCGGTTTCAAGCAAAGATGTTCTCGTGTGTGGTAACTTGTGCATCATCACGTCACATCCCCATCGGATTACTTGGCCTGTCCGGAACTAGTACTAGCACCGTAAGAGCCTCTCGTATTCCTCTTCGAACCCATGTCCTTCCTCACCACTGGTATTTACAGTATACTACAGAAAAGGGGAGCCCTTGTAACTATTTTGACGTCTGGTAAAGTACGCACAAAACCTAGAATATTACCGCCGATTATGGCAAGGGAACCAGCACCTGTGAGGCATGTTGCTTCGGCTAGTCGAGATCAAGATTTTCTAGACATCGAGAATTTGCCCTTCAACCGATAAAAGTCTCACCCATATAATTATGCTGGATGCTTTTTCACCCTAATTTGGAAGATAGTTACCATCTGCGATTGCTAGCCTAAGGTACGGATTATCTCTAAATTCCCAAGATGGTGGATCATTACAGGATAATTCAATACACTATTACACCATGATAGGCAGATCATCCAATGCTCAGTGGCAAATAGCCAAGCCAGCAAATGTATTTCGAAGTCAAGAATAAAATCTCGCCATCGCCGGCCTTTCGTCAGGCATGGCTCGGTCGGCTATTCGCTATATTGTCTGCTTTGGATTTGCACGGACACCAGAACACCCAGTGGGACGTTTCGTCATTTGATAAAATTTTTTTATTGACAGTATTGTAGATCGGTTATGGTAGGTGCATAGAAGAGATGCTCGAGTTAATGCATTACTCGTCACCGCCAGTGGCCTTCTTCTTCTTGTTCTTGTTCTTCTTGTTGCCGGTCGAGCGGGCAAGGGGCTGCTCAAGGATCTTGAGGATCTCCTCATCCTCGATCTTCTTATCGCTCTTGATCTGGTCGAAATCAATGGGGTTGGCAGTGGCGAGCTTGGTGACACCGTTCTTGGTAATAGCTGTAAGGACAATTAGCTGGTTTCTTTCACCTCATTCTTGAGATACAATAGAGATTTCTTTGCTTACCGATAGTGGTCAATAGACGAGACACGGGGGTGTTGTCAGCAGAGCCGGCGGGTTCGTACTGGCGCAGAACACCGCCACGGACACACTCGACAACACCGACCTTGGCGGCCTTCTCGTCATCGAGCTGGCGCAAGCTGAAGGGGAAGGTACCGAACTTCTTGACGATCTCGGACAGGGTCTGGCGGGAGCTAGGACGCTTGAGGCCGTAGGTGGTGGTGGTACGGCGGTGCAGGGTAGCACGGTGGTCGAGGTTCTTGACCTTGCCATTGCCCAGGGTGAGGCCGACCTCGACACCCCAGACCTCACCGACCTCGGGGGTACCATCGCCGCGGACACCATCGCCAGGGGACAGGATGATCTTCTTGTTTCCCTCGATCTCGTTGCGGTCGAACAGCCAGCTGGTAGTGTTCTCGACGACGTTGCAGCCGTAAGCCTTAGCGACCTTCTCCAGAAGAGTAGAGATCTGAGCCTGGGTCGGGGCGCGCTGGGCAGCAGCCTTCTTCTTCTCTTCATCGGTACCCTGAGCGAGCAGACCAGGGGGGATCATGAGGCGCAGCAGAAGCTCATTAGCGTAGTGAGTCGCAACGATCAAGTCAGCCTCGGGGCCAGTGACAGGCTCCTTGGGAGCGTCCTTCTTAGCAACAACCAGCATGTCGCAGACAATGGTACCGAAACCATCGATCTGAGCACCCAGCTGGATCTTGACGATCTCACCGGCCTTCAGAGTGGTCTCGGCCTCGGCGGCGTCGGACACCAGAGGGGTGTAGGGAGTCACATAGGAGCTAGGCGAAATGGTGGTAGGGGTGGAGATACCTACATCCCAGGAGTGTGAGAATTTACAAATCTCATTAGGGCTGGAAGGAAGAGGAGAAACAGAAACTCACCCTTCGAGATCTTCTTTCCCTTGTAGACCTTGGCGATCTCCTCGTCGAGGAGCTTGTCACCCTTCTGACAGATCTCGACGATCTTCTCACCCTCAAAGCACAGAGCTGAGGAAAACTGTTAGTGGCCATAACGAGAGGGAGAGAGAGAGAGCAGAGAGAGAGAGAGAGAGAGAGCGAAGGAGCGCAACGTACCACCGACGGCCTCGAGCACCTTGTGCGAAATCTGGGCGGCGGTCTTGTACTTGGTCAAGGTGTCAGGGTTGTTGAGGGTGTAATCTGCGAAAAGTCAGCACAATTAGCTTGAGAAGGGTTCCCACGGCATCGCTCGGCCGGAAGCATGTCCGCGCGAAGCTCGAGTTGCCGGGCATGGATGCCCACAAACGTCAGAGCTTTCGTGGGACACGCTGCAAAGCACTTACCAACCTCGGGAGCTTGAGTCTCCGCCATTGTGAAGTGGTATGGCCTCGTGGTAGTGCGAGGAAGAGATGGATGTAGGTTGGTTTGACGGCAGATCCTAAAATCCGCAGGGAGCTGGAGAGGAATGGATCGAAAGCAACTCGTGTGCAGCGAACGAGAACCGCTAAAGGTTGTAGTGGGGTTGTATCGATGCCCGACGATTCAGGCCGCCCGGGACTAGGGTTACGGCAAAGACGTCATGGCAGGCGCAACACGCCTTCCTGCCAATGATGAGTCCCAGCAACGCAATTTTCCTTAGGTACTGCATGTACTAAGGCACGATTACTACACTGTCAGTGAGGGGCTCGGGCTCGGGACAGGTCGCGTGAGCCTCGATACCTCCGCGCTGTGCGCAGAGATGGTCATGCTTTTCCCCTCATTCCGTCAGCTCCCCGAGCGTCTCCTCTGCTTCGTTTACGGCGTACAGCCACCAACACCATGAGATCAACACCCTCGTTTCCATTCCGTGTATTAACCCACAATATCCGATATGCAACTTCGTCACCTTTCAGAGGCGAGCGGCCATGGGCGGAGCGCAGGCAACTGATGTTGAATGAGCTTCAATACAATACTCGCGCCAGCATTGACGCATTCATCTGTTTACAGGAGGTTCTTCACAATCAACTCGTGGATCTGCTCGAGGGCTTGAATCCTGGTGTCGATCCGGAATGGGCCTACATTGGAGTCGGACGAGACGACGGCCACCAGGCCGGTGAATACGCACCGATTCTCTACCGACCGTCGGCCTGGACTCTGCAGCGTTGGGAGACGGTTTGGCTATCCGAAACTCCAACAAAGCCTTCGAAGAGCTGGGACGCGGCGTCTATTCGCATTGTCACTATTGGCCTTTTTACAAGTCTAAGAAGTGGGAACACAGTCCTGGCGATGAACACACATCTGGATGACCAGGGATCTCGGGCTCGTCTCGAGGCTGCGCGCATCATCCGCTTCAAGATCCAAGAGTATCAAGATGGACAACTAGGTGGTTTGATATCGGGTACTTTCTTGGCTGGGGATCTGAACAGCGAAGAATATCAGGAGGCATACTCAAACCTAACGGGACCCGGTGACATGGTTGACACCTACAAAATGGTTGAACCATGCAAGCAATATGGCAACGTCAATACCTTCACCGGGTTCGGGTATGAGAAAGAACCGTCAAAGCGTATTGACTATGTACTTCTGGCCCCTGGTGGAAATCAGACCTGGCAGGTCGATGGATATTCCGTGTTAGCCAACCGGTTTGATGACGGGGTAATGAATTCAGACCATCGGGCCGTAGTTGCCGATCTGGCCTTGCGGGGATAGCCGTACGATCTTAAGCCGACTCGACTTGTTAGGTTGATTTGAGGTGCAGCTGTAGCGTCATCTATGAATGCCTTGGTGAATGAGTCCCGGTGCAGTCAGCAGGCAGGTAATCTTTAATGCTATATATGACCTTCGAGTACACATTAAGCTGTTCGGAATCGAGCGGCATGGGGTGTTGCATTTGATCGCCGGCGTAGCGACTGAATGCCATAAGATACTCTTCACTACGTCAAATGACATGCTTTGACATGGTTGAAAGGTGAACTATTATAATGATTGTAGTACTCAGCAAGGGTATTAGAAGGTGCCATTCATTCGCCCCAGGATCGAGCAGCTGCACAACAACAAATCAAGCCGGTCTAGGGTCCTACTCCAGTATCTGCTTTAATTCACGCTGCTACTATGATTACTGCAGGAGTATATTTACTAATGAGATCACCATTAATAGAGTATAGTTCAACAGTATTAGTTGACACGGTGAGCGGGCCGCCAGAAACGGCCCTTATTGAACCGTCATTTTGCCACCCCTGGCGATATCTGCCCTTCCCTGCCTCTTTTGGTAAGCGCCCTCGCCCGGGCCCCCGTTTGGGTTTAGCCCCGTCCCTAATCGCTTTTACCGCCTTCTTGACCTTACTACACCTCTCAGCAAGACCCTCGACCCTCACACTTGACGTTTCACCATGAGGACCTCAAAAACACCCGACTCGTTTCAAGCGCACCAGGCCAGGAAGCGCCTTGATCAATTTTCCACGGACTTGGAAACGGCCATAAACCATGCGACAAAATTCAAACCTTATCGAAAGACAGCTGTAATCGCCTTTCACTGGGAGAATGATGATATAGGGGTCCAGCTCCTCGAGAGAGAACTCCTGGACGTCTTCAAATCTGTTTATGGATTTGAGACCGAGAGTTTCACGATTCCGCTTATCGAGTCCCAGTTCAAACTTCTAGAACGTCTTGTTTCCTGGTCACGACGAAGTTCTGGAGAAGATACGCTCCGAATTTTTGTTTACTCAGGGCATGCGGGGTTTGCCGGAACAGTGGACAGTCGCTGGGACTTGGCGTGAGTTATACCCCATCTTTAATTCTACCAATGTATCCCAGCCAACAAATAATAGCGGCAAATGCGATCAGAATACCGGTAACCTGCAAGGTCCCAAACTCAACTGGTGGGAAGTTCGTGGCTACCTTGAACAATACACGGGCGAAGTTTGTTATCTTTTTGATTGTTGTTCCGCAGGATCAGGGGCCTTGGGTGCGTACGACGGCGCAGAGTTTATGGCAGCCTCTACCTGGGATCAGGCAGCAGTATCGAATGTCCATTTCTCCTTCACCCGAATTCTCATCGACGAGCTCCGTCGGTTGAACGGCCAGGCCGAGACGCTGGCTGGTATCTATGCCCGAATTTTCCGCTACGCACAGCAGAATCAGATTGGGGCTGCACCAATCCATATCCCTAAACTGAATTCGCCAAGCGCGACTATCGGTCGTAGTCGCTCAAGGCCGGTCACAAGAAGCGTCGACCGAGAGTCTTACAGGGTGCTACTTAGCATCAAAGTCCGGGAAGAGATTCCCCTAGATTTCACCCAATGGAAAGAATGGCTTGCTCGCAATATTCCCGCTAACGTTTTGTCCACCAAAGTCACCGTCGAAGGAGCATTTCGAGGCTCTAGTCTCCTTCTTTTCACTGTTCCTATAGAGATCTGGACCATGATGCCGGCTGATGACCCATCCTACACATTTATTGGACACGTTACGTCTCATAATCTCCTGTCCCAGCCACCGACTCAAACAAGCGCACTAACAAGCACACTACCAATGCGATCCGGCGCTCCATCTGGAAGAGAAAATCAGCCACCGCGAAGCCCCGACAGAAAGCCGTTCGGTAGTCCTGGGCGTTGACCGTCTTGTTGAACAGGCTTGGATTGTGATTTGCCATTCCTCCCCCTTTTGCTTTGCTTTGTATTGCTTTTCCTTATTTCGAACCTGGATAATGAGTTCCACTCTACTCAAAATTGAATTTTTCTTTCTTATAATTCTTCTTGAAAAGGATCCTCTTATAAATATACACTGTGACGATTTGACGAGTTGATATGATATCGAAGTGGAGGATCTATGAGCATACTCAGCCAATATTTTTTATTAACTAGTTAACTATTCCTATAAAAATTGCCAGAAATAGGGGGAAGTTAGCAACACAGAGTTCTTGATGATTCCATTGGATAGCGTACCCACCGAATTCCGACAAGTTGACAGGACCACGTGACACTATGTATATTCCTCAACATGTAGATTACTGTAGCTTTCTCTCTTTCTTCTTTCTCTCTCCAGACTCGAACTCTTCGTGTTCTTGATGGTTCTCTCTGCTTCAACTCCTTCATATGATAGTAGATGACCCCGTCAAACTCCTCCAGGAGGTGAGTCAGGGTGAGCGAGAACGGGCCCTCGTGGCGGCTACATCTAGGCACCACGCACACGGGTGGAAGTAGGGACGGTCGGCCGTGGGCATTATCACAAGTGACGCCAAGGCCCATTCCGGTGAGCGAGACGCTCAAAACGGCCTCAAGTGCGGCCGTTTTTGGCCTCCTGCTCACCGTGTCATCGTTAATTTGAGTATTAGTATTATGAGTGATTTAATGACTTCATTCACCATGACTCTACATAAATTACAGATCCGCACACAACAAGAATGCCTGGCCTGTCGATCTGTTAGCTGATTTAGTGGAAGATGCTAACTAACTTATGATACTGTTGGTGCCTGAGGCCGAAATCCAGATTAATGCCTTAATTAAAAGGCGCTCATAACCAGCCTCCCAGATCACATGATACCAGCATACCGTCGAATCGGTCCTGCTGCCGGCGCATCGGCCAGCAGGAACGGAGTAGAATGACCATAGCTGCAAATAATCCTCCCTTGTAGATCGAATCACGTCAAGCTTATAGTCTTAAATAGTTGTGGCCGCGTTGGCGAGCGCGCCGGCGCTCTGCTTGCTTTCTGCCCGGGAGCGGACATCTCGTAATCCGGCCTCTCCTTTGAACTTCTCTCACGCATCCACCGGCGGCGCGCCCTCACCACCCGCCACCAAGCCTCGCACCACACGCCTAGAACAGAGCCGTTTTTAGGTCCCGCTACCTTTCATCTGACATCCTCGGATTAGCTGATCATCAAGCGCAAGGTCCATCGCATTCAGCGTTGGGTCCGTCCGCCAGAGAGCGCAATCGACCTCCACCCCCCTTCATCTTTGGTATGTTGAATTAAGCCTATGCTTTTATCTCAGTCGCTTCTTTGCAAGCATTTCTTCTCGCATGGAACTGTGTCGCTCCGTACAGCTCTTCCTTGCAATGCTATGTTTTCTTCAGGGGAGGCGTCCGTCGCGACACGCCCTTCGATCGACACTGCACCCTGACAGCCTTGATCGCTCGGTCGCGCTCTGATTGGGGATAAGCCATTTTCAATTAGAAATTCTAGCTAACAGTTGCGAAGCCCATTGTAGGTCTTGCTCAATGATGCTGCCCTAGGCGAACCGGTGCTATCCCCATCGCGTTAAATACCACTCCCTATCGTCCATCCGTACCAGTGACTCCGAAACGCGTGCTCTTCGCCTATCATATTCGGACAATGCCATCGCCTGAGCTGACGAGTGGCTCGATGCCACCGGAGAAATCTCCCTCTGACCCCCTAACTGGCGCTCAGAATGGCTCTGGCGCGTCCGATGCGGGAATCGGAGGTGCAGACTCCATTGATATCGCGGCCGACCAATCGGCCAATGGCCAAACGCCCGATGCAGTCGGAGAGGGGAAACAGAATGCAAAGGCCAAAGTAAGCGCATCTTCAGAGCCCAACGAAGCGTCGAACGGTACGCCCCAATCGAATGGCACAAACGGCTCCGCGCAAAGTAGGAAACGGTCGCGCGACGGCTCCGCGATACAATCTACCGATACTTCGGGGACGTTGGCCGTCAGAACACGTGAGACCTCAGTGGAAAAGATCCTGCTTGAGCAGTACGTCAACCGCGAATTCGACTACTCGGCTGCCGCCGCATGGCAAAACCCAAGCCAAGAATTACAGCAGCAGAAGCGAGCAGAGCGCGATTTTTACCTTCAACTTCGTCGTGAGACCCAAGGAAACCCGGCTGCGCTATATGGCCTCGGTTACGAAGGTTTCGGCAACCCGCGAACCGATCTGCGAAACCAACATCCGCAACTGCTGTACCCTTCAAATCGACGCCGCCCCGGAAACCGCAAGACTCGAGAACTGCGAATCCCGCGTCGAGACATGAAAATACAAAACGAGCAGATCGAAGATCTGGTGCCTATTCGACTTGATATCGATTGGGAAAAGATCAAGATCCGGGATACTTTTACATGGAACCTCCACGATCGCATCGTTTCACCGGACCTGTTTGCTGAAAAGTTGGTAGAGGACTTGGGACTTGCTCTGGAGACTTCTGGGCCTCTGATGCGCATGATCTCGCAGACCATTCAAGAGCAGCTGATGGACTACTATCCCCAAATTTATATGCACGAGGAACCTCTCGACCCGCATCTTCCGTACTCGGCATATCGGAACGATGAAATGCGTATTTTGATCAAGTTAAATATCACCATCGGCCAGCACACTCTCACCGATCAGTTTGAATGGGATATCAATGATCCTCAAAATTCACCTGAAGAATTCGCCCTGCGGATGACAGATGACCTCTCCCTTTCAGGGGAGTTTACGACTGCTATTGCCCACTCCATCCGCGAACAATCTCAGCTCTTCACCAAGTCTCTCTACATTGTCGCCCACCCATTTGATGGCCGTCCTATCGAAGATCCCGACCTGAGCACCTCCTTCCTCCCGACCCCTGTAACCTCCGCCTTCCGACCGTTCCAAGCTGCCAAGGAGCACACGCCATATCTCTACGAATTGAATGAGGCAGATCTTGAACGCACCGAGATTTCGATATCTCGTGAACAGCGCCGTCAAAAGCGGTCAATTAACCGTCGTGGCGGCCCTGCTCTACCAGACCTGAAGGACCGACAACGCACGATCCGTACGCTGATCGTCTCATCGGTCATTCCCAACTCGGCAGAGACTTTCGAAGAAAGCAATGTCATCAAACGCTCTGGCTCTAGCCGCCGTCGCGGAATCACCCAACGCGGGGATGATGAATCCGATGATATTGACAGCGATGACTCTTCTGTCGGCTCTCCAGCAATCGGTCCACACCTTGCTCAAGGAACCGCTCGCACAAGAGGCATGAGAGGTGCTGCAACGGCAGCTCATGCGGCCTTGCGTGCCAGCTTGGGTCAATCCGCAACTCCAGAACCTGTGGTACAGGAACCGACTCGGACATCATCTCGGCGACAGCAATACCGAGAGGAAAGTGTGGAAGAAGCCGAGAAGTTGATCGTGAGGCTCAAAGTGCCTCGTAATAAACTCAATGATCTACGGAATGGCAAAAGCATTGTCGACACACCTCAACTCAGTTCAGCTCAAGCACCTGGTCTAATGGCACCCCCGTCCGACAAGCAACGACTGCAGAACCAAAATGCCCAACAACCGCGATTTCAGCAAATTGGAGCAGTCGATGCACCAAACCCGCCCCCAGCCGGGGTCCCTGGAGTGAGTAGATTTTGATTTCTTCGAAGAAACTGGTCCTTGGCTGACCCATATGCATTCAGCCCCAGCCGCCCCCTCCACCTGCCTGGCTTCAAGCTGGACTCCAAAAACTGAAACATGACCATCCGAATGACTCGTTCGAGGGAGTGATGCGCTATTCTGCCGTCGATATTGAAACCATGGCCCCTGTCGCAAACCCAAACAACCTTCCACCAGGCCAGCAGGTCAAGTATCAGTACCTGCCTCGCATCCGCTGTCTCGATTGCCCTGGGAAACTGTACACTCCTGGTCCCGGCACGACCGTCGACAATTTTGAGGTTCACCTCCGCAACCGACAACATAAGGAACGTGTGGAAGAGCGTGTGCGATCCACCGGTGGTGTCCCATTGAAAACAGATTCTATTCACAGTGCCAGCGCCAGCCCGGCTCCTGGTGCAGGCACTTCAGCCAGTGCCAGCCCTGCTCTAGGCGCTGCCTCATCACCCGCTCCTGGTGCTCAGCCATAGTCAGGCCCTCCTTGACGAAGCTATGACAACGGCGTCCTGTGTGCGTGTTTGATCAAATTCGACTCAACGCTCCTCTCTTGAAAGAATTGTATTCGAACTTCCTGGCCTCACCCTCTCGCTCCAAGAGCACACTCTAGCCCTTTCCTTGGTATTTTTTGGTCTTGTATAGGATTTGAGTCTGCAGCGGCAGAGCGAATTGAATCGTCTTTGTATTATGAGTGGTGTCCGATGCCGACGTATCAAGGTGTTTTGACTTGTTCTCTAATGATATTGTGCTTGTTCTGTGTAATATGTAAAGGTAGGCCTGGAAGTAAATACTCGCTCGCACTTCAATCCAGTTGATTTGCCCAAACCCCGCGTCTCAACCGAGATTGCGTCTTGTTTTTCCTAAAACAAGTTCAAGTTGCTTCGTGCTGGGGCTCTGCAGTGGAGTGCCATTGGTGCTCGGTATGCTAGGTGTTACTAGTGCCGCCTACTAATACTTGGTAGTTCCATGGTGTTTCACTAGTGTAGTAGTCAGTACCTCGTAGATTCTAAAATTGACAAGTCAAACTCATGTGACGCTTTGGTCGGAAGAGATTTCACTTGAATGCGAAATACTGGATACACACATAAACGATGATAGCTAACTTAGGGTTGATCATATCTTTGAATCATAGAACGGGCTGATGAAGAATCAAACGCAAGTGGGTATACATTTCCGATTGTCGTCAACAGCAAATACAAAAAGATATCAATGATATTGGGAACGCAGCTGGAAGAAACACAAAAAGCAAGGCTTAGTCGTTGCAAGTTGAACGCAGTAAAAGGGAAATAAAGCATGGGACAAGAATTGAAAATGTAAACCAGAGGGTATCCCTATCCATATGTGCTCAAGATAAGCCTTTCTCCTAACCCCGTCGAGACGATCGGCGTGTCGGCAGGGTAGTCGTCGCTGGCTTTGCAGCTTCGTTCTTCTTTGTCTCAATCCGCCTGGGTCCTCGCTTGGAATGGGCCGGGGATGAGTTTTCCTTCTCGCTGGTTTGTGCAGGGTCTTCTGCTTCGGCACTGTCTTCGCCCTCCTGCATTTCCTCATCACTCCCTTCTTGCTTCTCTTCATCATCTTCTTCGTCCTTGTCTTGATCCCAATGCTCCATCTCGATATCATCCTCGTCACTGTCTTTGTCTGCGTAGCTCACACCCTTGGTACCTCGGCTGCTACGCCGGCGAGCGGACTTGGGGAGATCCTTTGCATCGCCACCATCAGACGACCAACCATCATCATCCTTGCGTTTGCGGCGGGGTGTCACAGAGGTAGATGACTTCCGAGCTGGTCGGGTTGACTTATCCTTACGGGCTTTCTTCGCTGACGAATTCCCATTGGAATCTAGGGGTTGGGGCTTCCGCTTTTTCGCAGAGTTAGCCTGATCCTTATGAGACGAGCTCTTGGGCTTCATGGCATTGCGCACGACACGTTCCAGTATGTCGTCCAGCTCGTCGGGAAGGAAGTTCTTGTTAGCAACCTCTTGGGCCTCTTCGTGGCCCGTCATGGAGGCGAAAAGAGAGCTAGGCACGCCCATCTTGCCGGGATAAGTTTGCAGAAGATTAGTGGCACCGTTGTTGCCACCTCCGAACTTGTGTTGTTGAGAGTAGATATCAGCAAAACGCCTAATGGTGGCCTGAGCCAGATCCGACAAAGTGTGGAGGCGAGTTGACATTTCATCAGTTTTTGTAATGCCGTCACGGAATTGTTTGACGCGCTGGGCAACGTGGAAGATCAGAGACATGTTCTGTTCATTAGCCACGGCCAAAAGGTAGAAAACGATGTATCGTGCAAGATCGCTCAGATCACCAAGTTGTGTCGCCTCGTCTAGGTCGTTGGGTGGGTAGTCGGGGTGATAAGCTAGGAGAGACAAAAGACGCGAGAAGATCAATTCCATGACCATAGTTTGTTCATTTCGCTTCCCACTAGCTTGGGCTTGCTGCGCGAAGTAGGCAGCGCGTGATCGTAACCACGTGAGGGTGCTTTCCTTCAAACCACTGCTAGGCTCAAACGCGAGAAGACAGGGGACAATGAACCAGCGATAACCCAAATACGTTCTTTGGACCAGTTTCTTTTTCAGGTGGTTGATGAATGCACTTCGGACTGGGAAGAGTGGGTCTTGTGCCATCAAAGCAATCGAATTGAAGTCTGCTGGAGCCAGCAATTGATCACAGAGACTGTTGGAGGCACATAACTTGACCAAAGATTTGGCAGCGAGAAGGCGCAGTCGTGATTTCTGATTTGCCGGTGTTACTTTCTTTTTAGAAAGTTCACCTTCGCCTGCAACAAGTTTGTTCAAGGTTTCGTACACAGGCTTGGCATGCTCGCGGAAGTCCGCATCACTGTCTGAGCCATCTTTAGCTCGCAGGCGATTGACAATGATCTTGAGCGCCCATTCCTTGGCTTGAGTCTCTTCATCAACGGTCTCAGCCCACACATATCCGGAGTCTGTTTCTGGGGAGCGATTTTCAAGGAGAATTTGGTTGACAGCGATTGAGATTATGGCATCGCTTTCTTCGTCTGCTTCCCGCGGTGCAAGAAAATTTAGTTGGGACAAGGCCCCGAGACGGGTAAGATAGTGATCAGTACCGTAAGTCCACTTTTTCACACACTTCTGGACAAGATCCTTGGCATACATCTCCTTCTTATCGGCAGTAGCCATGAGAATCGACACCGCGTGTTTAGCAGACTGTGGTGAGACGCTGTAGAGAGCATAGTTGGTGAGAGCCTGGAAAAATTTGCGCTCCTTGGGCAGCTTGCCGGGGAGCTTTTTGGCGAAGCCGGCACAAGCCTTGAGAATTTCCTCGTTGCTGGCGTCGCCCGCCGAACGAGCCTTCGGAGCTTGCGTCTCAAGATCTTTGCACATCTCCTGGACCTGAGCCTCGAGAACCTCGGGGTTCTGGGAAGATATTTGTTTCAACATTTCCTGGGCAGCATTGGCTAAGCCGTTCTCATCAGTTCGAGAAAGACTCATAATCGCTGGAATGTGGCTGCGGTTGAAAACAAGCGAACCACAGCGATACAGTAGAGGCGTTAAGGTCTCTAGCAAGGGAGAATTGTTGGCGCTCTGTGCCCTCCGTTGAAGTTCCTTGATGGCCTTTGTCACAGTTCGGTAGTCGCTAACAGCAGCCATGGAGAACCGAATGAGCTGGTAACTCCGGCGATCATGAACCTTGGCAAACTTCCACAAGTCCGCCGAGGCGCGTGCGGCATCGGGGAAGGTTTTGGACAGAGAGTCGATAACCTTTGATAGTTGCGCCTTGGCTTGGTCTCCATCCTTCTCAACAACGCCACCGTTGTACTTCTCACACGCCTCGAGATAGAGTGTTGTTGCCTGTCTCATGGACAATTGGCGGGCAAGCATAACGAAAAACACTCGTCTGGCTTTTTCATCCAGGCCGCGAAGCAACGTCAGAATACGTCGAACTCGGATTTTGTCGACATCATTCTCTTGATCAACATCGGTGGCCTGGCTCTCCTTCTCCTTGCCCTTTTGCGACAAGTTTGAACCTCCTCGGGAGATCTTCGACTTGATCGGGGGATAGCTGAGTGGGAGTAGAGTCTCGCAAAGAACACGATCAATAAGTATGTGAATCTCTTGGTCATTTGTGTAGAAAGCGTCGAAGATCTTGGATGGTGCATCCTTCAGGAGGGACACAACCGGTTCGGTATTTTGCTCAATGTCACCCGCAGCAACGGCCCATATGCGTGCAAGAATCTTCATCGCATGATCACGAACTTGCGGCTTGCGATCTTTCACACGCTCCGCAAGAATAGCGAGCACGGAGTCAGGGGTGGAGCAGCCGCCTTTCATACCGAGTTTGTAGACAATATGATGCAGGCCGAACTGTCCAACTGTATCCACTGCAGCAACACGCACCTTCTCGTCAGCGTCACGAAGCATCAAAGCCAGACTGGCGACAAGCCCTTGTTCTTCGGTCTCGCTCAGACCAGAACCACCCGCAGATGTCGACAAAATGCGTCCAACCACTGTTGCCCAGGCTGCGCGAACCGAGGGTGTCTTGTCGAGTCGCCGGCTCAGAAATGCTTCATAGGCCGAGGAATGCACTTGCGAGAAGGGCTTCGGAGACACTGGTGTTAGGAGAACATTGGGCTGAGCGATCATCTGGGAATACTCCTCCAACGTCACATGTGGATACGCCGTTGGGTCCATTGGTGGCGGAGGAGGGGGGCCAGCAACACCAATTCCTGCCGCCAGGTCTCCAATTGTTTGCGTAGCTAACAATCGAAGAGCCACCGATTCTGCAGACAGCTCGGCCTCGACTTGAGGAATGACGTTCTGCAAGACCTCGGGACAGGCACGCCATAGCTCCCGGATCAAACGATGCGCCTTGCTCAATTCCTTGATATCCTCGCCTTCCTCATCCGAGTCGTCGAGATTCGGTTTGCGTGGGGCCCCCTTGGAGCCATTTGCCTGGCCAGGAGCAGATGCATCAATGATGACATTGTTGAAATATTGGCTGATATGGCTGGTCATGCGTTCGGGGCAAGCCTGACAGATGGCCTTGGCCATATTGTAGGCGGGCGGGTAGTCCTTTAGCAAAAGAGTGTCCTGCTTGGCATCAATTGGTGCGTCGACGCGTTTGCCTTTCCTGGGACTTTCCAGCACCCTAGGGTCAACACGCAGGAATTGTGCGACAATGGTGTCCACAACCTCTGCCGCGAGTACCGGAGTTTCGTCAATCACGGTGACTAGCAGCCGAGTCATGTCGAATTCGACGCCCTTGGCGATTTCCTCGCCAGTAGAAGATTTTGAGGAGCCGGAGACGATGTCGAAGCAACTGGAAAAGAGCGGCACGATCAGTGAGTCGGGATGGTCAAGGTCGGTCATGAGAACAACACTCTTCACTTCAGCGAGTGAGCCCAAGACGTAAGTTTGCTGTGCATTGTAGGCGTTGGATGGATCGGCCAATGCGGGGATGATGGAGGTGACGATGCAGGTGAAAATGTCCTGTTAGGTGCGATAAGAGTCAGCGTTCTTATCCTGTTTTCCTGATGCAAAACTCGGGATCTTGTATCATCAAACACACCTTAAGTTGGTTCCTGGTGAAAGGCGCGTCCGGTGCGCAGAGTCGCAACACATCGACAATACAGCACGCAGCCCAGGCACGAACTCCCTTGTCTTTGTGGGCAAGCAGGTTCGCACTGGAAAGCTCCTGGGACACTTTGCGCAAAGACTCCTTGTCGATTTCTTCCTGCTCCAGCTTACGGAGCTCCTGGGCGAGGGACTGTAAACGTTCAAGTAGATCGGCGATGGGGATGGCGGCGCGCCCCACGCGCCAGGAGAGGGGTTGGTTGAAGGCCAGGCCTTGAAGGCCAGATTCCTCCTCCGCCTCATCTGCGGGACCTTGGCGAGTGCGCGAAGGCATGATCGAGGGAACAGCGCTCACATGGGAGATGGGAGGGAGAGAGAGAGTCGACGCGGTGCAAAAAGGGTTTAGAGGGGAGGTTGACCGCCCGCCGACGCGTCGCACGGGATCGCGTCCTTTCGACCCTACAGACAGCGATCATTGCAATGAAACCGCGAGCATATGACTAATATTCTTGCGATTGCCCTCTTGGTTGACCTAGTTGAAAAATGAAAGCAAATCATTCAAAGTTATCTTTTCCACTCGCTGGCTGTTGTTGGTGTCATCTATTCTGCAACCGCTGCGGAGCAGGCAATAATATACTACCACGAAGTTACATATGCCCGGTGCTCTTAGAGGCTAGAGGCACTGCGGATCACGGCATGGAAATGCGAAGTATAAAGAGTACGCACTACTAGGCAATATAAAGATATAAAAAGTCTCCTTTCCGTTGCTTCACAGTGTTATCTCTAGTTTCGCTACGGCCCTCTTTGAATTGCCCGTAAATATCCACAAGTGTTTGCTAAAGACTTACACTAGTGTACTATCTATCTTTATTCACCCTCCAAGGTTTTGCGGCCAAGTTAGCCCGCAAAAAAAATAAAAATAAAATAACAGGCATCCCCGTCTCGGTCTCGGTCTAACACTTAGGTTCTATGAGTACATCTCGCATAATATTGCATAATTCATGCTCCTCTTTTGTTGCTTCTTCTTACTCCGGTTCATCTACTTCTGTCCTCACAGTATGAAGTCAATCTATTAAGTGAAAACAAAGCAGGCGTTTTAGGTATTCCAAACATCACGTCACGTCTGGGAACTATCTCTAGATTCTACGAATTTTTGTATTCCTCACAGTGCTCTTGCCATTGCACCATTTGCTTCATAGCTACATCGCGGCGATATTGTGCGATAAAACTGGCGAAGATCTACCCCTGAAGTAGTTAGGCATTTACGGAAATATCGGATAGAAAAAACATACACTAGTACAGGATCATAGTGTTGGCAGATCCCTGCGTACTCGTTCTTAGGACCTGGATTTGAGATATCACAGCACTTAATAGAAGTCTCAGTGCTGCCAATAAAATCCAAGACATCAATGCAGCCAATGAGCACTGGTCATGCATGTGTTAACACGTGGTCGAATTGGGGCGCTCAGCCTTGTATGTACATATTGTGATATTGTACCCTCAGGCTGGGATACCACAAACATAGGCATGTGGAGCATGGCTCCTTTAGGAAAAATCGGAGATATCAGATGGAATTTTCCGTGGGTCGAGGAGGATTGCTAGGGGATTAACTCCGATTCGTATAATCCTACCGTAAGTCGCTCTGGCTAGGTCTGTGCCCTGCATACGGGAACAAGATTCATCTGACATCCGACATCCGAGTCAGTATCCTGAATCGGCATGAGTCACCATGTCGTGGTATTGTCATGATTGTATATCTTGTTTAGTCATTTCGAAACAAGATCAAACTAGAATTACCGACCCTATTTCCCTTTCATATCCGAACGGCATGCAACATAATTCAGCACGACTTTTGAGCTGCTACTTGTATGTAATACCATTATGATAGGCTGTCGTCGAAGTATCGTGATCAATTATTTGTATGAAGTGGGATGGATCACGCCTACCTTCACTTGTTAGCATCGTACTAGGACTACAGTACGGAGTCTCGATGTCGGATGCTTGCGAAGCGGAACAGACACGGCATCTGCCGAGCAGCGTTCGCTCCACTCGGCCATTCGGGCCCACGCGAAGCCCGATGCCGAAGCCCTGCTGAATGAGCGCCTAGTCTCTTTCCCGCCCTTGGCGACTTACGCAATTGCAACGTCCCTGGTCGCAGTGATGCAAAGCGATTAACTACGTCTCGCGCTTCACCAAGCACCGAGCCCCCACTAAACATGCAGGGATCTCTTGGCCCCGCGTGCGCCGTTGAGGGCCCTTTCTCCGAACTAGCGCACTATTTCAGCATCTCGCGTCTCGCACCTCGGACTTAGTCCCTACCGGGTTCCTCGACGGACATAACAGCCAAAGTGGAGCAGTCCATGGCCCTTGAGATATAGTTCCAGCGAATAATATGGGTCTACCCACGCTGTCCCTTTTCTTGCGTGCTCTTCGATTGATTTTTGTTAGCTCCGGAGCATCTCGTTCTAGATGTTTCTCGTGGAAGACCCACGGGGGAAAGCTATCCATGGCATTTAAATATTGATCTGTCCGCCGTGGAACAGGATTTTTACTTTGCATTGATTCTGTAAATCATCGATCCTTCAGTGCCATCAGCTCGCTCTCGAAACATAGTAAGAGCCTAGTGGCGCTGGACAGAGGCAGGCACACCTTCCCTTCACCGGTTTCCTTCCTCCTCCACGTCTTCCTCCACATCAGCCAAAATGGCCAACCAATTCGATTCTGCCACAACAACACCACGACACAGCATGGATTTACGCAACGCCCCCGCTGAGTCCAACTCAGATCCCAGTGCTATCGAGAAAGAAACACCAACACCCATACCACGAGATGACACCGACGTCGAGAGCGCGCCTAATCAACCTGCCCCAGAGAAACCGGCCGACAAAGACCCCAACCTGGTAGAATGGGACGGCCTTCAGGACCCCGAAAATCCTCAGAACTTCTCTCGCGTGCGCAAATGGGTCATTACTGTCGTCATGTCCAGTATGACGATGTGGATCACCTTCGCCAGTAGTGTCTTCTCGACCGCTACAGTCGTCACTGCGAAGGAATTCAACGTCTCTACGGAAGTGATGGTATTGGGTACTAGCTTGACTGTCTTCGGCTTCGCTTTGGGTCCTCTCTTCTGGGCTCCCCTCAGTGAGCTGTACGGACGTCGACTCCCGTTGTTCTCGGGTTATGCCATCTTCGCCATTTTCCAGATCCCCGTCGCAGTCGCCCAAAATCTGGAGACCATCATGATCTGCCGTTTCTTGCAGGGTGTCTTCGGCTGCTCTCCTCTCGCTGTCGTGGGCGGTGCCATGGCTGATATCTGGGACCCTGTTGATCGCGCCGTGGCAATCGCCATGTTTAGCTCCGCTACCTTCCTGGGTCCTACTCTTGGACCTATCATGTAAGTCGTATATTGCTGATCCGTATAAAGAGCTTGGAATTGTGACTAACTTGATGAATAGTGGCGGTTTTGTAACCGACTCCTACCTGGGCTGGCGCTGGACCGCATGGATCACCCTGATCGCATCCTCTTTCTTTGGTCTCCTCGCTCTGATCATCGTGCCCGAGACCTATGGCCCGAAGCTGCTCCAGATGCGCGCTGCTCGCCTGCGCCGCGAAACCCGCAACTGGGCTTTGCACTCGTTCCTGGACGAGCACGAGCCCAGCCTGTCCGACATTGTCTACAAGTACCTGCTGCGACCCTTCCAGATGCTGGCCATGGAGCCCATTCTGATCTGCATCACCATCTACCTCGCTCTTATCTACGGTATCCTCTATCTCTTCTTCGAGGCCTACCCAGTCTCCTTCTCCGAGGTACGCGGCTGGACCTCCGAGGGTGTTGCAGCACTCCCCTTCATCGGTATCATGATTGGTGTCCTCTGCGGTGTCGCTCTGATCATCTATACCACTAAGACCCGTTTTGCTCGCAAGCTGGCTAAGCATGGTCGTGTCGTTCCCGAGGAGCGTCTCCTGCCCATGATGATTGCCTCCGTTCTCCTGCCTGTCGGTCTCTTCTGGTTTGGCTGGACCTCCTCTCCGAACGTCCACTGGGCTCCTCAGGTGATTGCCGGCATTCCAATCGGCATGGGTATCCTGGTTATTTTCATGCAAGGACTGAACTACATCATCGATGTGTACATGATGTACGCTAACAGTGCCATCGCTGCGAACACCCTGATTCGATCGGCTCTTGGTGGTGCATTCCCATTGTTCGCTACCCAGATGTACCATAAGCTGGGCGTGAACTGGGCTTCCAGTGTTCTAGGCTTCATCACCATCGCAATGATCCCAATTCCCATCCTGTTCTTCTTCTATGGTGCGAAGATCCGCGCTATGAGTCGCTTCACTCCCAAGTTCTAGGCCAGGGCTGCTGGGAAACATTTAATCAAGAAAGCACATGTTCACGATATCGGATATCCAGGATAATGAAACATGGGTTTATCTTCCCGATTATACCATATCCTGGTCTCCCCAATTCTTATCCTGTTTTTAGCGCTGCATTTAACATTAGAGCTTACGTTTATGCATGATAATCAATAACTATAATATCTGTATTTCGAACAATAGACGTGCTAGTAGCAGTCCGACGTATCTAGAGTTGAAGTGCATAGTGGCGCATCTCATGCATATTTTCTCTCCAGTATAGACTAGGGGAAGGTAAACTACCAAAAGCGCACCGGAAAATCTACCTGAGGCATGCAGAGGTCGATAGTCGATTCCAAAACAACGAAAGCTTGGGAGCGACAAGATGCAACATAAGAAGAATGGGGCCTGGGCCTACAAAGAAATTCCGACTACAGTTTCGAAGACTTGCGTTCAATACAGGCTACGAGGGAAAGCTTTAACGTAGAGATTTCTCCACTTGTATTGCTATTATGGCACATTGTATGAGGGGATGGACTGGAAAGATCAAATCAAAAGAACAGGAAATAAACCTGCTTAGCAGCGAGCAAATTCCCCAACCTCAAGAACGATCTATCCGTTTCGTCTTCAGCGCGAAACCCCGGCCGCATGGATAAACGGCCCAGAAAGCAGAAATCAGAAGTCGTCAACCGGAGCGGAGAACATAAAGGAAAGAAAGAACCCATTTAGTCGTAGAGGCTGTCATCATTGCCGGCTTCGCCGAAAGTGTCATTGTTCTGGACCTCGCCGGCAGAAGGAAAGCGGAAGAAGCTGCTGCCTCCAGAATTCTTCAGGCTCTGAGCGAAGGCCTCATAACGGCGGATCTCAACATCGCTGACGGAGCGGCGAGCCGACTTCATGGCCTCCTCGAAGTGAGCACGGGTAAGCTCGGGAACGGGGTCCTCCTCATCGAGATCCTCCTCATCGCCCATAGTGACGTCCTCGCCGGCAGCCTCACGGGCCTTTGTGCGCTCAATATCGGCGGAGATGGCTTCCTTGATGGCCAGTTTGACAGCGCGCTGAGTCACGAAGCCAAGATCGGCACCGGAGAAACCGTGGGTCTTGCTGGCAATGAAAGACATGTCGACGTCACCGGCGACAGGAGTCTTACGGAGCTGAGCCTTGAGGATACCCTCACGCGAAGCCTGGTCGGGCAGGGGAACGTAGACCAGGGTGTCGAGACGACCGGGACGGACCAGGGCAGCATCGAGCTGCTCCGGACGGTTGGTGGCACCGATAACGAAGACGTTCTTCTTGGAGGTCATACCATCCATCTCTGTTTCAATATCAGTATATGGTTTGAATACGCCAAAGATAGAATCTACTTACCAGTCAGAAGCTGGTTAACAACACGGTCAGAGGCACCGCCGGCATCACCAACAGAACCACCGCGAGACTTGGCAATAGAGTCCAACTCGTCGAGGAAAACAACGCAAGGAGCGGCAGCCCGAGCCTTGTCGAAGATGTCACGAATGTTGCTCTCCGACTCACCGAACCACATGCTCAGCAACTCAGGACCCTTGACGGAAATGAAGTTGGCAGCGCACTCGTTAGCAACAGCCTTAGCCAGCATCGTCTTACCGGTACCAGGGGGACCGTAGAACAGCACACCGCGGGAGGGCGACAGGCCAAACTTCTGGAACATCTCAGGGTGGTCGACAGGGTACTGAACACTCTCAATAAGCTCACGCTTGACCTCCTCAAGACCACCAATATCGTCCCAGCGGACATTGGGAACCTCCACCACGGCAACCTCACGGAGGGCAGAGGGGTTGGAAACACCCAGTGCGTAGCGGAAGTTCTCCATCGTAACACCCAAGGAGTCGAGAACCTCGGCCTCAATGGTGTCCTCATCGAGATCGATGAGGTCCATCTTCTCACGAATCTGCTGCATGGCAGCCTCGGAGCACAGAGAAGCCAGATCAGAACCAACGTAACCGTGGGTCTCGGCGGCAATAGTCTCCAGGTCAACATCATCACCCAACTTCATGTTCTTGGTATGGATCGACATGATTTCGAGACGACCGGTGGGATCGGGGATACCGATGTCGACCTCACGGTCGAAACGACCGAAACGACGGAGAGCCGGGTCAATGGAGTTGGGACGGTTGGTGGCGGCCATGACAACAACGTTGGAGCGAGCCTTCATGCCGTCCATGAGGGTCAGAAGCTGCGAGACAACACGGCGCTCGACCTCGCCGTTGGTCTTCTCACGCTTGGGGGCGATAGAGTCAATCTCATCGATGAAGATAATGGCGGGAGAGTTCTTCTCAGCCTCCTCGAAGGCCTTGCGCAGGTTGGACTCGGATTCACCGGCCATCTTGGACATGATTTCGGGACCGTTGATCAGGAAGAAGAAAGCACCGGTCTCATTGGCGACGGCACGAGCCATCAAAGTCTTACCAGTACCGGGGGGACCGTACATAAGGATACCACGGGGCGGCTTGATACCGATAGACTTAAAGAGCTGGGGGTGACGCAGAGGCAGCTCGACCAATTCACGGATCTGAGCCATCTGTTTCCGGCAACCACCAATGTCATCGTAACCGACCTCGTTGAGGTTGCCCTCCTCGTCTTCCCGCTGGATGGGCTCACCCTCGCAGTGGATGATGGTATCTTGTGCAACAATACCGTACTCCGGGGGATCAACCTCCACAACCTTAAACTCTACTTGTCTCATACCACCTCGTACTGTGAACAGGTCGCCCTGGCGGACCGGGCGGTAGGCTTCGCGGAAGTAGGGAGCAAGGTAGACGTCGAAAAGGGAGCCGGTCAGGCCTTCGATGGTATCGGCGATGGGGAGAACGGCAATGCGCTTGGCCTAGAAAGTAAAAGAGATGGAGTCAATGAGCGAGCTCGAGATAGTACCAAGACTGGTTACATACATATTTGATATCGGGGCAGGGGTGGACGGTAATAACATCGCCGTGCTTGACGCGGAGGTTGTGGCGCACCACGCGGTTGATGCGGACACTTCCATCATCCAGGTCGTCATCAGCCAGGACGATCAGAACGGTATCCTTGCGCTTCTTGCCCTTAACCAGAACTGTATCACCCCGGAAGAGCTGGAGGGTCTCCATGGTGTTGTTCGAAAGAGCGATAACCGAGTTGTCGTCATTGACGGCATCCGTCACGCTGTTGATAAGTTGTCAGTTTCGTTACCAAGATGATCGTCAATTCACTTCAGCAGGGGCCTTACATCAACGAGTTGGGCTTCTTCTTCTTCTTGAGAATAGCAGTGGAGGTGTCGAGCTCCTGTAACTTGTTAGTATCCGGCGGTCAAGCTGTGGTGCCGTTGGTGGCTGTGCCTACCTCCTTGTGCTCGGCGCCCGAGGCATCCCTGGTACCAGCGTTAGAGAGTTGCATTGGGCAAGGGCGAGTGAATCGTGAACATACTGGAGGTTGACCCTCTTCTTCTCGTGACTGTGATCCGGCTCGGCGGACATGGTGAAGGATCTGAAATGTGTGACGTTGATGGGAGCGGAACTAAGGGAAATGCAAGGTCGAAGTGTTCACGACCGAGCGAAACGGTTCGAATAGATGAATGTGGGAGAAACTATGAGAGCGGTGAAGATGCGGATGAAGTAAAAACCGACAGACCAGGGAAGGGATCCGACGGCGAGGAGATGAGGATGAGGTGTTGAGCTCCAGGTACCGCCGAGTGACGATATGTGATGACTTAAGCTACGTATTATGTCAGCGGCCGTCCGCCACCAGCGAATCTGATGGAAGTTGGTCGATCCGGAGTGCCTGAGGCTGCCGATCGCCTGGGTGAGCGGCCGAACTGGGTATAGTTTCACTCAGATTACTAGTACTCGTGGTTTGGTAGTAGATTCAGCCTGGATCATCAAGATCTCTACGGCAGACAGTGATGTCTCCCCGTAGACACCGATTTGTGATACCATGGATTCGGGGCAATAATGCTTTGGGCCGTCTTTTCAAGAACCATGGTATATTCATTATTCTATACAAAGCCTACTAGTATGTACTATCCTCTTTCCACGCTACATACTGATTGTACTATTCCTTTTGCTCCAACTTCATTACTTTCCACATCATTGCTAAAATACAATAAGATGATGGTTCTTTTTCGCCTGATCACAACCACCACGAGACAAGGATGCTATCATGACACCTGGGCCATTATCTTACATGTTCACCACACACAGGTGCTGTGGTTCACATTATTAAAAGCTCGTCCGAGCCATCATAATTTCTTGGGCAACAGCGTCTCTGGACCCATTCATGATCACTCACCATCGCGTACACCAAGAAAACCAGTGATTCGAACGGGTAAGATCTGAGGTAAATTTCTGCGAAATCCCAATGCCTTGCCTTCGCTTTCTTTTTCAATTTTCTGTCCGCAAGAGCATTTGGAGCCCGACTTGACATCTATGTCTCCGTATTGGAAGGACCTTAGGCAAATCTTTCTGCCAAACAATCTTTCAAGGACGTGGAAGACTTCTTCGTGGTATGGTGCCCTCTATGAATTCTTCACCGCGCCACAGTCCCGGCAATTATATGTCCAAATTCACCTTATAGACCATCCGGGCCGCGGCGTATTTTTCGAATGTTGAAGGGTGTAATTAAATGGAAAGGTCAGCGAAGAATCTACGAAAGTTCGATGATATGTCTTGGGCAGCAGATAATCCAAGCATGATTAAACCGCCATGGCACGAGCTGCCTATCTCTCGACCCAAGTCGAACTTCACAATCAAACATCTCTCGACTCGGTCTTGGCGATTTACCTAGGGTGGTAGAACGTTCTATATTTCCTTTCTCACCATTCGACGCGTCAACATTAGAAGCACAATCATATGATCGTGAGGTTAGATGATGAGCTCTTCGGGTCACATAGAAAGTCGAGTATTTATTAGCTGATATTGGGCCGTATGCCCACGATGGCGTTCATTGATTAACAAGTTGATGTCACCGATCTAGAGGGGGGGGTAAAGTGTGAAGGCCGCCGAGCGGAAAGCACGTGGTCTGCTTGGTTATTGTGTACTTCGTGTTTAAGATAAAAAATGAACAGTCGTACCCCTAAGAAGCAGAAGAAGCAGGATTCTTAAGATGATCCGTCAGACCGAGTGGCTAAGGATTCGATATTTGATTTGCCGCCACTGCCGAAGCCGAGTGATAAGTGCCGACAGCAAGAGCGCCGAAATTCCCTTCTCGCACGACGATCGTGAAATGTCGGGAGAGAGAAAGACCATTACCCAATGAATGTTAGAAATCGCGCCTGCAAAGGATTCACCTGAAGCAGAACACCCAGCTCAGATCGACCCAGCAACTCGCGTAAAGATGCCCTTCTCAACCGCCAATTTCTCCACATCACGCAGCCACTCCGCGCACCGATAAAGCGGGGCCCCGGGGACCAGCGATTTGCTGGAAAGCGTAACTTGTGGCTTGGGCGGTGGAACCATCAAACAGCACACTTTTTCAAATCTTTCGAGGTTCTCCGGTGCAATCGTCGCGACTTGCTTCTTTGATCCTCTTTAGTGCTCGTGCAGGATCTCGGGGTCCACGCTTGGACGCGGGTCATAGGTCATCCCGACCAGGATGGTGCCCGTGACATGAAATATGCGCCCGCGGATTGATTGTGGAGCGGCCATGGGGTTTTGTTTCGATGTAGAAGGCGATGTGGTTACGGTCACCATTTCCGAGTGATTCGACGGTGTAGACGTTGTAGGCCATGGTTGTTCATGAAGAGGTGGAGTCAGATCAACCACTGAAGGGTGAAGCCCTGGGGAGTTCTACAGGCGCAGTTTGGTAATAGGAAATATATCATGATCGATCACCTTAGCAGGTCGTTGCCTCGTTGGACCCAAGTGGGGTAGTCTAAAAAAGATACAGGAGCGGTTAGCTTGTCAAACACGGCACTTCTGCACTTCGGGATGAGAACAACTGGGAAGATTGCTGATCAAGATGTTGAAATTCTTATGTGATCTAAATATAATGCAACGAAAATACAAGGATGGGTATGTCCAGCACCGTCAAAACCAAAATGGGATATTGAACAGAGAAAAACAATGCAGTCTAGAGAGAAGGAGTAAAAAGAGCGGCCTAAGCTTGAACCGCCTTGCCAGTCGCCGCCCACATGTCATGCAGGCTCCATGCACCAGCCATGAAACTGACAACTCCAACAAGGTTGTCAGGAACGCCGATTCCTTGCTCGAAACACCAGTGCAGACACAGCGGGGCCCAGCAGATGTTGTTGACGAGGGTCTTGCGCCAAGAGCGGATTTCAGCGCGGATCTCGGCGCTCTCCTCTTCCTTGAAAGCCTTCTCATCGTTGCCGGCCGCGGCGCGCTTCTCGGCGATACGGCGTTTCCGTAGGATGTGCTGCCGCCAGAGAACAAAAAATTCGAGAAAGATGTGTCCAAACCAGCCGCGTGTGCTCCAAATATCCCACTGTGTCAGGGTCCCGTATTTTTCAACCCATCGCTTAGAGACAATACCCTTGGCCGCGAGGTAGCCGACGTTCTCGAGGAGCTGGTAGATCACGTTCGAAATGATTTGGAGAATGGTCAGGGTACGGATAATCGGGTCGGCCGGTGGTGATTTGAGTGTCTCCGAGCCCCAGATCCAGAGCGGGAGGAGGCCAAAGAGGCGGATGGTGTAGCGGGTCTCCGAAGCCAGGGAGGAGAGGGCTTTCCATTTTGAGGGCGAGGGCACCGAGGAAGCTTTCGGTTCGGCGGCCTTACCTTTCAACCGAGCGAGGACGCTGAGGCGAGACTGGAAAGCAATCCATGGAGCGGATGCACAGAGATGGTGTAGAATCGAGGCGACATAGTTGACTGTCGCCAGTACTCTTTCTTGCCCGTCGGCGGTGGATAGGAGACTGCGTAATCAGCGGCGTTTCTTGAGTGAGGACGGCAGGTCGAACTTTGCAGAGCCTTTTGAAAACGAGCAAGGCACCGCACACGCCGTAAAATAAAATTAAAAACACTCACAGATCTAATCTTCTGATGGTCACGTCGGTCGCCGTCAAGGCCGCCGCTAATTGTCGTCGTGTTGCTGCTTTCCCCGCGGCTATTGGACCATTCCCCACATGCTGAGCGTCGTCCGCCGGCTTTGCTGGTGACGAAGGGTCCGGAGGGGTTTGAGAGTCTGCCATGGTGTGTCTGGCAGAAAGAGAAAGGGAGAAGACCAGCTTCAAGAGGATCCTCTGGGGTCGACTAGACCGGAATCGCGCGTTGACCGCGGAAGAAACCGAGGCTCGGAACAAGGTTGGGACTGCCTCACTCGGCGATCCTTCACGCGCACGCCCCACAGCGGATGGGCGGGTAATGCCAGCACGAGCCTGCGGGCGGTGGGCGGTTACCGACGTCCTGTACGGCGGAATTCCTGCTGCTTTGGGCTCTCGGGAATTGTTCTTGCTCCACCCGTGATTACTTTAGGCTAACATGTCTATGGCCTGGATAACACTTAGGAACTGCACCGCAGGTTACGACTTGAGTGTCAAGTGCAAAAAAGGCTCATAGGCAGTGGGAAGTTTATTTGATCGCGCTAGCCGCCTACCTTAGGGTACCTACGAATAAGTACTTCTAGGCTCTCGATGTCTGTCGGCTATTGACCTGCCCTTGTCCGCTGTCTTCTCTCCCCCTCTCGCTAACCGGCCTGAACTTGATCCCATAGACATGTTTATCGGGGTTTTCGACTTGTCGGATTCTCGGATGCTTTTTGGAATCGATCTGGTGAATTCCGGATTGGCGTTGGATCAATCGTAGATCTTTCTAACTGTCGGAGTCTCCCCAAATGGGATGCTTCTTGGCCTGAGGCGGTGGTCTAGGCAGCTGCCGAACGAGAAATTGGGTTTGCCGGATGTAGTATTCACCTGCTACTCCTCGCAGCCTCGGGGGATTCCTCGCAGCATAGCGATCGGACATTTCATACTCATAATCAGGAATGGCGATTGGTTCTCCATAGGCGTCGTCTGCTTCTTCCCAAATCGGGTGCGTGCTGAGTGGTACTGGAGTAATCTCCGCTGGGAGGTACTTCTCGTAGATGAGGTCTTCGTTGAAGAAGACGAAGGACGGGTCACTCGTTTGGCAGGCATGCCATTCAAACTGTCTCCCATTCAACACCTCCAACCAGTCGAGGTAGAGTTCATATTCGTCAGCAGGCATCTGCTGCCACCAGACCCACCAGCCGATTGCTCCAAGAGCAGCGGATGGGAGGCCATGTATCTCAACCCAGTCCAGAACTGGGGTGAGATCATTGCCGGCTGGGTATCGGTTGTCTTTCCACCACTGTTGGAAACCTTTGAAGTGGCGCCAGTGAGTAGGGTCTTTGTGCATATTGCGCAACACACTTGCGTCAGTCAATGGGCGATACAGGTTGTGGGGAATGGCAGGAGGCTCTTTGTATGGCTCTTCGACGACTTGATCGATGCCGCCCCAGGCATTTTCCGACGAACCAGGGCGGCAGTTGGCACACCACAGCATGCGACAGGGTTCCGTCTGCGAGTAGTCGCCTGCTTTAGCTGCTTTAAGCATGATATCTCGATTGATCTGGCGTAGAGGCGTATTGATGTCGTTTTTGATTCCTTGTCCTGCAGGCATAGCTTTATCCGTGTCCGGGACCTTCATTCGAAACTCGGCTGCGAGCGTCAAGACTTTCATCTTTTGGTCCAGCAGCTTTTCTACCTGTTCGCCCGTGTATTGATTCTCCGCAATGGCCTTTTGCTCCCACTCGGGAAGGATCAAAATATTTCTTTCGGGTATCTCTGATTTGTATGCCGAAAAGTTCGCGGTGTCTGCCGTGCACTCGTAGAGAAATCGTGTAGCCTCCCCGCAGTTATCGCAATGCAGAGGAAGATTCGAAGGCGGTCCCCAGTATCGCTGGATTGTTTCGTGATGGCAGTACAGCCCTGCTCTAGCTCGGTCCATTGAGTTTCGCAGGTCTTCGGGCGAGTCTAAGCTACTGTATGCCGAGCTTTCTTCAAAAGTTGTCGCGGACAGACGAAGATGCGGTGCAGTTATGTAAGGTGTTTCCTCACGGGACTCCTGAGAGGAAATTGAGGAGATCGAAGGAAGGTTGACAGTGGCCGTGGTGAATTCGAACTCGAGATCGGGAAGAGGCACAGTCGCGGCGAAGAAATCCATGCTGGAAGGGAACTCGGGAGGAAGATTCGAGTTTGAAAGAGAACCAGATGACTCTGAGGGGGTATCTTCCATGCTGGAATCGGAGTCGAGGATGGGAGGGGCCACTGAGGCTGAGGACTCATCCATGTTAGAAAAGAAGTTGGGATTGGGAAGGGGTGCAGCCGTGGAGGAGATATCCATGCTGAAAGAGAGTTCGGGAGGGTGTGATGGCTCTGGGGTGGGAGTGAATGAATCAGTGGCAGAATCCAGATTGAGCAAAGATGAGGGTGGCTGCGGAGAGTGGCCCTTTAATTCACTGCCGGACTCCATCGCCATGATCAAATGAGAGGTACGTTATCGCGCGGCAGTCTGATGCTCCAGGAATCCTGAGGGGATTGTCACAGGTCAATAGACCTCCTGGGGGTATTACCCCATTCAACTCGAACTCGGTTAAAAGTCCGTCACATATGGTCGGGGATTGTGGAAGAGTGTGGAAGAGCACCTAAAGGTAGGGTAGATGCGGTGCAGAGGTGGACGACGTTGGGTGCCTCAAATGAAAGGCCTTCCACGCGTCGAGCGCGTGGAGGGCGGCGATACTCCAATTTGAGGCGCGGAACCCTCAGGTATTACAACCTATCATTGGAATTGCTCTGATGCTGCTTTCGTACGGAAGAAAAATATACTAATAATGATTAGCTCAAGAAGAACATTCTCCTTTTTACACTATTTTGGTACTTCTTAGAGGCCAGGAACACGGTATTGTTCGTGACTGATGCTAGTGTTAACGAGGAGTCTCCCGCTCAGGTACGCAGGCAGCATGTGACCTACTTGTAGTGATGTATCAATGAGTTGCCGGTCTATTGTGGGATATCACCAAAACACATAATCATATGTGATATGATGAATCGCCGCAAATGCATATTTCGTAGTGTTCACGTTCAGATTTACTACGGAATCGTAGATTCTCACTCGATATGATGTGCAGCTGTGGCATTGGAAGTATTCAACGCTTCAGGGGCTCTGAGATATAGGGTAATACTTATACTATACCTAGGTACCTTGAACTTGAATGACTAGGGTCAGGCACTTCCTTTCGGAGTTTGTTATTAGATCATCAGGAGAATGGTTGCATGTTTGGTATCCATGATATCCATCCATGGAAGGAAACCGATCGCCGACAAGCAGACAGGCCGTTCGGCAAGCCGAGCATCGGTTGGTGCTGCATAGATGCATTCTTAGCGGATTCCTTGCACGGAAACGGTAGTCCCTTACTGTAGGGCTGGACTGGGCAGACTGCCCCACATTTTCTGGTGATCTTGGTACGTCCAATAGGTGGATTTGTCGGCTTTTGAATATTCTACAGATATACCATATTAGTGTACTAGTAAAACTGAACAACCGAACTCATGAGAGCATGAATAACTGGTATATCAACAATGAGGTCCAAAGAACTCGGGATTCGAAAGCAGTAGAGGAATTTTGTGGAGGGTTTTCGTAGTGGGAAAAGCTGCCCAATTTGTCGACTAGCGACTTGCCAGCAGTTAAGGTAGCCCCAGTCGACCACCACGCCGATGGATCGACCGTGCACTGATCCATGCAAATAGAAATGGTATACCTAGGGACCCCATTCTAGCGATATGACGGTCCTCAGACCCGTCGCTGGCCGAGGACGAGTTTAGAAGTAAATACAGGATGGCCGCTCCGGCGAACGGCGTCGGAACCCCCCGATGGCGTCCGCCAATAACTGGATGGATCTCGCCGGAGACAGCCCCATCGCGCATCTGCCGACCTGGCGACCGACCGCTTCCTCTTATACTCTGGTCTACCCCGGTTCTCGTGGTTTTTCTCCATCCCCGGATTTGTGAATGACCCAGGTGAGTCGTTTCCTCCACTGGCATTTTTTCGTGCCTCTGGTGCTACTCAATCCCGATCTGTTCAGCCCCGTGGCGTCAGCCTCGGTTGACCCGGCCCAGCCCCCCCCTCGGGCCAACCTTCATAAACAAACAACGCACCGGCCCCCCTGCTCCCTCCACACCCAAGACCGTCTTGCGATTATCCATCGACGCGCTGCGTTTTCATCCTGCAATTGTTGACCTGTCGCCCGTCTAGGCGCGTTCGGATTCCCAAATCCTCTCCCACCCCCATCCACATTCCTCAACATGTCTGTCAAATTCCAAGAAGAGACCGTTCGCGCGGTCGCGAACGCCGGCGTCAAGCACGAGGACCTCGCACACCGCGTCGGCGAGCGATTGACCGGTGGAAAGACCCAGACCGGGTACTTGGCGGTACGTATAAGCTCAAAATAGGCACCCTGGATTTCTCCGACCGATGGAACCCCAGCTGATCTGAGGAATGTGGATCGCAGGCCTATCTAAAGCAGCTGCAGAAGAACCCGCTGCGCACCAAGATGCTCACCTCCGGTGTGCTCTCGGGTCTGCAGGAGCTGCTGGCCTCTTGGCTCGCTCACGATGTCGGCAAGCACGGCCACTACTTCAGCTCGCGCATCCCGAAGATGTCCCTGTATGGCATGTTCATCGCCGCGCCCCTCGGCCACGTTCTCATCGGCATTCTCCAGAAGATCTTCGCTGGCCGCACCAGCCTGAAGGCCAAGATCCTCCAGATTCTCGTTAGCAACCTGATCGTATGTGTCTCCCCTGGCTTGCCGAGCCCCGATAACAGCACGGCTAACCAAATGTCCTCCCGCAGATTTCTCCCATCCAGAACTCGGTCTACCTGACCTCGATGGCGATCATTGCCGGTGCGCGTACCTTCCACCAGGTCCGCGCCACCGTCCGCGCGGGCTTCATGCCCGTCATGAAGGTCAGCTGGGTCACCTCCCCGCTGGCTCTGGCCTTTGCCCAGAAGTTCCTGCCCGAGCACACCTGGGTTCCCTTCTTCAACATCGTCGGTTTCTTCATCGGAACCTACGTTAACACCCACACCAAGAAGAAGCGTCTCGAGGCTCTCCGCAAGGTATGTAAAATGCCCAGGTTCGGTTAGATACCGCGTGATACTAATGCGACATACAGCGCTACAACGAGCGCCGCGACGGTGGCTACGAGAAGCGTGACTACCCTTAAATGGACCGCGGTGTCCCTGCAGATGAGGCTTACGAGACTTGACGCGTCTGAATGATACCTCCGTGGATCTCCCACTCGATCTGCAACCATTTACTATCTTCCCTTTGTAACTCACGTTTTGTCCTGGTGTTTTGACGCATGTACACATCCCCCGCCTTGGCCAGTTATCTTTCTCCTGATGTTATTTTCAATCTTACGACGCATGGCCTTTCCATATACCTCACCACTTTCCACCTGGCGATAGGTACATATGCCGGATCTTTAATCTGCCAGTACAGTCATGTGGTCGTGACATATCCTCCTGTCATACAGACAGGCTCTAAAGAAATACACTTTGTTTCTAAGGCAAAAGCTATTTTGACCTGACCATGCGTAGATAAATTAACAGATGGCCCAACATGGGCGAATGTACGCAAGCAGATAGGACAACATTCCTCTCCTGTTGTAGCACTACCAAGATTGGCTTCCAGTCACTCCACCTCCATCTCGGAGCTCTTGCCCCTTTTGCCTTGCACATATGCCACAAAGTCATCCAGAGCTCCCGGCCAGGCTCCATCGGCGCTCCACCATCCAAACTCCTCATCATCCCGAGACTTGCGCATGAAAACCTCCACCTGCTCCCACAGGTCTTTGTTTACAGGCTTCTTTCCCCGCTCCACGAGGAACTCAATCCACCAATCTAACCACGGCGTCTCGCTCGTATTCCAGGGTACGCCACCACGGTCTGCGGTGAAGAGCAGCTTCCATTGCTCTTCGGCAATATCGAATTGCAGGTTGCGCTGACCTTGCAATCGAGAGAGTAGGAATGTGAAGCGGTAGACCCGCCGAAAGAGATCTGCATCCTTGGGAATGTTGCTGCGGAGGTTCTTGCCGTATTGGGCCATATTCTCCTTTGAATCGCATCTGCATCATCATTAGTATTCATGCCAAGTTGTAGAAGTATATAGAGGATCTTACTGTGTCGATTTCCAACCCTCCACGAACCCTTCACGCGTAAACTCACCCATTGATGGGGACTTGCACATCTCGAAGATTGCTAGACAGGCTACCTCGTCCAGCTGCACACCAATATCCTCGAGAAACTTCATGGCGCCATTGATGCCGATGCCATCTGGGTTATCCGCCGGGTCATCTAGTACCGCTTGGTTGGCTTTTTTTCGTGATCTCTTCCGGGAGGAACGTCGCTTACCTCGATAGGAATCAAAAATTTCATTAAGAACCTTGGTGTTCTTGGAAGGGCCTTGGTTACCCCCGAAGTATCTGTAGGGGATCAACATTGGTTAGTTACTTCTGAGTCATGGGTATAAGAGGTTGGTTCAGAGATCAGGATGTTCAAGACAAGGGACCGACAGCCGCCATCTCCTGTGACAATAAAGAAATCCGGGAGCAAAGGCACTGGAAGGACATACGCATCAACTGCCCGCTCGACATTCCATCCTGCTGCCCTCAACGCCTAGAATGACTGTCAGCTCTTGATTCAAGAGAGGTGCATAGATGCGGCCGAGAGACCACACATGGCGGCAGGCCGGGATGATTTTCGAGTATGATTACCCACCTTGGAGGCAACGGTATCCCTAGTATTTGTTAGAGTGACAAACTGGGCGATCGCCTGTTTCTGAGCCGTAGTGTGAGGCGGCATGGTGGGGTTGTGATATTTGCACCCCGCCGTGGGCACAGGCGGTCTGGGAGGGGTAAATTACCACGTGGCGGAAGTGAAAGGTGCAAGAAATGAGTGAGTTGTCTTGTAGCAAGAAATTGTGTTTCACCTTGGCGGTATGAAGGTATAGGTTGCCCTATGTTGGAATCACCAGTGGTCTCAGCACCGCGACCAGATGGGACGTAATGACTAATATTCTGCCTCAGGCGGCTCATAGGCGCCTGAGGATTGAAAATGTGGGACCGGTCCGACAGGTCATATTCTCAACAGTATAAAGGGAGTAGTCCTATCCAATGCAGCCTGAATTGATTCTTGTGATCGGAGGGTTGTATTGCTATGTTTTATGATGGGAAGTTCTTTCAAGATGAATCTCCAGTGATTCGTTGTTACAAATATCGTGATATAATAGGTACTTAGGTATTGTACCCGAAGGACAGCACTTTTTACATGACAAAAATGACTCCATAAACTCCCACCCCTGATCAAGTATGCGAACATGCGAGATTCAAGCCGATCGAAAGTTGTTTAAGTAGTGAAAAGAGTATCCTCGTCGCGCAAATACATGCCAACATCGGCTTGGGCAAAAACGACAATCGCAGTGGGTTCCAGCTTGCGCATTTCCTAGAATCTAGTCAGTAACTGGTTGAACACTTCAATTTCAGTGGTACATACAGCAGTCGATCTGGCGGTCACACCGAATCCCTGATAAAGGAGCATGTCAGTTTCTATCCTTGACCTTGGCATTTTCGTGGAAACTCACAAGAGGGGTATCATTAGAATTGAAGACAATGCAACCCGAGTGTTCAGGCGCATCTTCAGACCAACGGGCCACGTGAGCTTTCAAGACATTAGATCCGTAGAGGAAGGGCATTCTATTTTCAAGTAGTCAGTTTCGGCTGCCCCATAGAATCGGCAAAATCTGGTCGAATACTGACTCTCCGTTGCTCTTAATGTACACCTTGACGCGGGCATGCGGCGCAATAATTGAAAGTGCGGTCATGTTCAAACGGAACTTTCCGGTCTTTGTGAATTTGCCGATCAGCGTACCGGATGTAAGAAGAGCGTCTCTGGGGATGGATGTGGCGAGGTTGGCGATGCGCTCGGGCATATAATAGCATCGGGAGGTTCCAATCATTCGGAAAACCATGCGCTCAGTCGTAGCAGACCCTTCGGTGGGCGGGGCGATGAGGTTCGATAGGGAGCTACCGGTATAATTGGCGAGCTTTTCGAACTGGCGGGATGTCAGTAATTGCTGGCGGGTCGGCATGAAGGGGCCGCAAAGAATCATACCATAGTCCGAGTCTCTTTCTCGTCGAGGGGGCGCATTTTGGCTGCGGTCGAATTGAATGTAAGGGCAAAGGCTGTAGGTGGTTGATGTCGATGCCGAAGCCCAAAAAAAATATCCTAGAAACAGCCCCGATAGGTGGGCGGTGAAAATGATTTGTGGCAGAAAAGTCAAAAAAAGTTGGGACCGCCTTTTGGCCGCAGACCCTTCTGTCTCTCTCAACGCCCGCAATTGCACACCCCCAGGAACGACAAAATGGCGCGAGGACCGACAGTCAAGAGGAGGAGATTGAGTCCCCCCAGTGACGGGTTGGAGTCCTCTTCCAAAAAGAGGTCCGACTTCTACAGCAATGGCGACGAATGGGATGTTGAGCAAGACTATGAACGTCGGCCGCGCAAGGCGGAGAAGAAAACCAACGAGCGCACCCGATTGCCCATCAAAACCTCCGAGGGGTTTGTCCACAATATGGAGGATAAAGAAGAAGATGCTGCTGAGGAAACCGACAGCTTCTTGGGCACTGACGACGATGACGATGAAGATGCGTCCGAAGAGAGCGAGCAAGAGGTGGGAGTTGAAGAGAAGAAGCCTAAGATCCCGGTGAAGGTACAGATTGCACAGGCAAAGGAGGAACTGGCTCGGATGGCTACCATGATCAACGAGGACCCCGAAGAGAATACCGCCTTGTTCAAGACCATGGCCGACATGGTGGAGAACCCTGACTCGCCCATCACAGTCAAGAAGCTGGCCCTCGCATCACAGGCTGCTATTTACAAAGATGTTATTCCTGGATATCGAATTCGACCTATCACTGAGGAAGAAATGTCCGGAAAGGTCTCTAAAGATGTGCGCAAATTGCGGAATTTCGAGCAGTCGCTGCTGTCTGGATACCGGAACTACGTACAAAAGCTGGGTGCCCTGACCAAGCCGGGCAAGAATGTTTCCGTCGATCCTGGTCTGAAGAGCATCGCCATCAACTGTACCTGCACCATGCTTCAGTCCGTGCCGCACTTCAACTTCCGCAACGAACTACTGAAGATCCTTGTGAACCGACTCGCTAGAAGACAGGTAGATACGGACTTTGTCAAGTGCCGGGAAAGCTTGGAAACTATTTTCGAGAAGGACATGGACGGTTTGGTCTCTTTGGAAGCTGTCCGATTGCTCTCGAAGATGATGAAGGCTCGGGACTTCCAGATCCACGAGACAGTCCTGGATACCTTCCTCCATCTTCGTCTCCTGGGTGAATTTGCGCAAAAGGCCTCCCGAGACAGAGTGGACAGGAAGGAAGAAGAGGCTCCTATCGGTGGAAAGAAGAAGCAACAACGCGAGTTCCGTACAAAGAAGGAGCGCAAGATTTTGAAAGAGCGCAAACTGGTTGAAAAGGACATGAAGCAGGCCGATGCGCTGGTCTCACACGAGGAAAGAGACAAGAACCAGGCAGAGACGCTCAAGCTTGTCTTTGGTGTTTACTTCCGCATTCTCAAGCAGCGTATCCCCAAACTGATGGGCCCCGTGCTTGAGGGTCTGGCCAAGTACGCCCACCTTATTAACCAGGATTTCTTTGGTGATTTGCTCGAGGCTATGAAGGACCTCATTGCCCACGCCGAACGTGATGAACTGGCGGAAGGAGAAGAGAACGAGGATGGTGAAGAAATCACTGGGACACAGGATTCACAGACCCGCGATACTCGTCGCGAGGCCCTGCTGTGTACAATCACTGCATTCGCCCTGCTGGAAGGACAAGATGCCAGCAAGGCCGCCTCTACCCTCCACCTAGACCTCGGCTTCTTCGTACAACACCTCTACCGATCTCTTTACTCCCTCTCCACAAACCCTGATGTCGAATTCAATCCCAACACCTCTCTGCGTCTTGCCGACCCCAACAACGCCGAAGACGAAAGCCAGCTCTCCCAGGCCCGAACAAGGAACAAGGTCAACTTTCAAACGCCAATGGTCCTGCTCCTTCGCTGCCTCCATCACACCCTGGTTTCCCGTGCCCACGGAATGCCACCCCCGTCAGACTCGCCACCTTCTCGAAGCGTCTCATGACCACCTCACTCCAGCTGCCAGAAAAGTCCGCCCTTGCGACCCTGGCGCTCATGAATCAGGTTTCGAAGCACAATGCTCGTCGTATTTCGTCGTTGTGGCATTCTGATGAGCGAAAGGGTGATGGTGTGTTCAACCCATACGCAAGAGATGTTGAAGCCACCAATGTGTACGCTGGGTCCGTATGGGAAGGCGAGCTGCTGCGCCAGCATTATTGTCCCCAAGTTAGAGAGGCGGCTATTGATATCGAGAAATTGCTTGGCGCGACGAAGTAAATGCTGGGTTTCTGTCTTTATCTTGTGAATATATATCCCGTGGCATAGCTTTTTGTTTATTTCTTGGTAACTGAAAAAGCGGAATATGCTTCTGAATCAGCATAAAAATACCAGTGAGCTATTCGCGCAATTGTACGTCGTATCATAATTCACCTTGGGAGAGGGCCTGTCCAATTGTTCAAGATATCTGACTTCACATTTTGAAGCAGAGCATTTTGATCTCCATCGGATGCGGCGTTTCAAGATGATTTTGAAGTGTAGAGACAAAATCATCATTCAAGGGATTGCATACACTAGTGTGAATGCATATAGGAGATTACTGCCACACTGACGAACCACATCCCCGCATTGATGCATCATCTGAGCTTCAGACATCCATATCACACGTCACATGGTGTCTAGGTATGAATGCCTGCGCCGACACTGCACTGATTTGGCTTGTCTGGCAGGTATGGGTTATACGCATGATCTCTCAAGTTGAAAACGCTGAAAAGTCTAAGGTCATTTACACTGATGCCGCCACGACGTGGAGAAACCATAGCAACAACTGGTTGGGAGTCATAACAGTAAAATTCACATCCACCATAATCATACATCGTAAAAATAATAGTAAACTCCCTGAATCAAAATCTCTGAGCATCCCCGAGCATAAACATACACCAGCATAATGATAAACAAAAACATTCGAGAAGGCAGATTTTCACCCAAGATTTTCCGGAGCCCTAACATATTGGCTATATGTCATTTCTCCACCATCCATTGTGAATAGCCTGCAACAAGATCTCGCACAAGAAAAAGCACACCTTCAGCGAAAAAATTCGTAAATTGTCCCGGTCGAAATAGAAATACAATGTTCATCCTCAGGGGCGTCGAACTCGGAGGAAGACTTTCTCGTCCCATTCTTGCTCATCTTCATCACGGCGGCGATTTCTTCCCTCGGAGGAGCGGTATTCACTATCACACACAGTCGTCTCAGCATCAGAAGACCAGTATGAACCATCATTATCACCTACCTGATTCTCTGCCGCAGCATCCTCAGACGATCCCTGGGTCTCGCTGGAGGCGGGGGTAGTCGGGCTCTGCGGGGGAGGTGGAGTAACGGGAGCGTTCGCCGTAGCATCAGAAGCGGAATGAATCGAAGAGGCAGAAGTAGTACCGGATGGCGAAGGAATTGGAGAAGGAGAAGTAAAGCTGCGATACTTCTTCTGCAGTTTGGCTGGAGCTGGCGGGTTAGTCATGGTTCGGAATGCCGGGTGGACAAGGACCTGGCCATTTTCGTCGATGATTTGGCCCGGAGTTGGAGGAAGTGGAGGTGTCACAGAGCGCGTACTGCTGGCACTTCCTCTTCTTCCCTGGTCTCGAGCCATGCCCTTTCCAGATGCCTGGGTTTTTAAGGATTGCAACGAACCTGTGTTTCGACGAAGACCGAGGAGACCTCGCTTGGCGTCATCATTATTGTCCATGGAGTCTGATTTTGGGAGAGCTTTCTTGTCAGGCTCAGAAATGCTGGACTTGGCGGTCTTCAAGAAGCCTTTCTTGGTGAAAGACAGACTGCGTGGAAGCGTAGATTTCTTCTCTTCGGCTGTTACCTCGTCGTTTGCCTTGCTTGACTTATGTGACTTGGGCGATTTAGCGGGGCTTGCTGGAGAGCCTCCAGTCGTCAGCATCATCGGAGGATGGCCGGCGGTGATTGAGAGTACAGCTTCCGAAATTGGGGAAGGACGCGGAGACTTGGTCAGAGAAGACTTGATCAGAGAAGATTTGGCAGCCAACTTGAAGGGGGACTTCTTCTTGATCAGAGGATCATGGCTGTCCATACTCGCCAAGGGGGCATTACTGGCTATGCTCGACTCGCTCGGGCGTGAGAACGGCGGTGCAAGAGCAGATGGCTCTGAGTCATGTCGGACATTAGTCCTTGGAAAGGCGAGCTCTGTGTCCATTTCTTCATCCTTCCCATATTTCTGGATCAAGGACTCGGTTTTGAGAGTCAGTTGTCTGTAGGAATCCCTCAGAGACCGGATCTGTGCGTGTATCTCGTCCATGAAGTGTGTCTGGAAGTCAAAGAACAGACGATCAATTGCGGCCAGTTCCAAGTAAAGATCCTGCTGGAATGCCACAGACTCATGATTGAACCGCATAGTCTGGGAAGAAATCTCCGCATGGATACGCGAAAGATCCGCAAAACTCTCGGTTTGATTGAGTTCAGCATCAAGCCGCTTCAAGTACTCCTTGGTCTTCTTTTCGAGATCTTTGAAGCCTGTATTCGACTTGCTCTGAAGTGTCCGAATTCGTTCCACAAGGCCATCAACTTGAGGAACCAGACTAGGACCGGGCCTCTCTGGGGAGACAGGACCACGTACAGACTGCTTCGCCAGGGTAACTCGTTCTGGTAAAGTCAGCATGGGACGCGACGCAAAAAGTGAGGAACTATCCACGCTTGATTGCGTAGAAACGATGTCTGGGTACATACCTTCAACGTTGCTAGAGGCCGTGTTGCCTGGCGCGACCGCAATCTGTTCTTCCTTCTGCTTGTTCTTCTCTGTCGAAGGATTGTGGTGGGTCGAGGACTTCGATGTCGGGGTAGTGGTTTCGGGGGTCGTTTGGGGTACAACCGGGGCAATCACCCCTTGCGCATGGCACGGCGAATTGGAAGGAGGTAGCGGACTACCAGCAGAACCGGCGTCGATATTGAGACCGCGAGAAGTAGAGGATGACGAGCGACCGCTTGACACAGAAGCTTTTCTCTGTGTCTTGGGTTTGATTTTCGGCATATCCGGGAGGGTTGGAGTAGTGTTGAGAGGACGCCGGCCCTGAGACTTGGTATTCTCGGTGGATTGTGCAAGAGGCTCCGACATGGGAGTCTCGTCCTTGACGCTTTCCTTTCGGAGATCCTTGAAGCTGAGCTTCGACTTAAGAAGCTCGAACTTTGATCTTTTCTTGCCTTCGTGGGTCGGGCTGATCGTCTCGTCAGAATCAGGGTATCCTTGAAGAGCATCCTGCTCTGCCTTGGGAAACTCCCCGTACAAAGTAGGAGGAGCGTGTACGTACCGTTTCGGTGCTTCATTCTCAGGCTTCGTTGCTCGTCGGGGGTGCGGCTTGGGCATGGGTAACGCAAGCTCCTCATCGTAGTCGAGGTCCGTTACCTTGCGAGGCATACTGGGACGACGAGAGGAGGCCGGGCTTGCGCTACCGGAGCTTGGGCATGGGATCTGCGAAGGGGACGAGTCCCCTTCGTTCGCAGCCGCCTCTGCAGCCACCTCTGCAGCAGCCTTCGCGCGAAGCGCGTCGGCACCATATGGGATGCCCTGTGCCTTCATCAGGGCAAAGGCATTGCCCTTCTTGAGCGCCGCTTCGATCGCGGCCTGTTTTGCATCCGCTGCCTTTTTGGCATCCTGAATTGTAATTACAATCAATATCAATTGTGGAAACGGAAGTGGGGAGGGCTGGGAAAGTATGGGATTAGGGGAGGAGAGTGGTTGTTGATTTCAGAGCACTTACGGATGGCGGGCTGCCAGTGGCCTCCGATCGGCCTGGCTGGCGGGGATCATCAGATCCCGAGGTCGATTTATCTCCCATATCGAGTAATGGGGATGCAGGTATCGAAAAGAGTTGTTTCGATCGAAACAAAGCGGAGGGGGTGATGGAAATGTGATGGGGTGAACGGGGAACGAGAGAAGGAAGAGGGGTGATGAAGAAGGGAAGAGAATGGAGGGGCAGAAAAGTGCCTTTTGGAAGTGAATAGTGAGCGCTTGAAGGAGAGCAGACGGAAGGTGCGCAGATGTCTGGCGGAGGGAAGGTGCGAGGGTGGCCGCCTGCCAGGCCGCACCTGCCTTACGGGGGAGACAGCGGCCACCACAACCCTACCCTATGCTGTGCAGCAGTGCTACTGAAGTACGGTCCATCATAGCAAACAGGGAAGGTCCTATAGTTGAAACTGTTTCATATCCATTCATTAACTTCATAATCGGGGGCCTCATTAGATCCAGCCGGGCAATATCAACCCCCGTCTCGACGCTCTTCGATAGACAGGCCAGGCACGCCGGGAGGAGAGACAAAGGAAAAATCATCAAACCAAGGAAAATAAACACAGCCTGGAAACCAGGCGCCTCACAATACTCGAGGCCAAATAACTGCAAAGATCCGAGAGAAATCAGAAACACAAAAAAGGAAAATCGTAAACAATACAGGGGAATCAATAGCAGAGAGAAAAGAAAACATTCTGGCTATTTGAACTTTTCTTTCGCCAGTCATCACCCTTGAACGCAACGCAATTCAGCAGCAGATGTGATATCACAGGCGCATGCCGCGCCAAAGAATCGCAAGAAGGGGTACCAACGCAACAGTCATCCAGAACGAGGCCCTGAGGTCAATCAATGTCAGTATCTGCAGCCCGATCCGTACGCACGGCTTCTGGGTGAACCCAACGGCTCTCTCTTTGCAGCATCAAGGGAAGATGAAAGGTGGAATATTCAATTCAGCACGATCTTATTTGCGGTCCTTGCCACGACGGCGGAAGGGCGCAAAGATCGTGCCGAAGAAGCCAACAAACACCGTGCGCAAGAACGCCTTGAGCCAGTTGTCAGGTGCACTATTCAGAGAAACAGCTGTCACTGACCGGTTCTGGCTCGTGGGGCGAGCATCTTCCTCGTTTGCGTTGTCCTTAGGGGCGATGGGTTCGGTGGCCGGCTTGCTGGACTCGGCAGCTTCGTTCTCAGGCTCGACGGTAGCCTTCTTGTCGGCGTTGGAGGGCTGCTCGGCAACGGCCGCGGTCAACTGGTCGGTAGAGGGCTGGTTGAGCTTGTGGAGAAGGGCCTCGCGGTCGCCAGCAAGTGCTGCGAGATCCGGATCAGCTTCGAACGACATAACGGACCGATTTTGCGCAATAGAGAATGGCGAAAGCTTACTGGTATCGGTTTTGTTGTCGGTGCTCTCGTTCTTCGCCTCGGTAGCAGAGTCCGTTGGTGTAGCCTCGGAGGTAGGCTCGGACTCGTGTAGAGCTGAGGTGATACCAACAGCAGCAACACCGGCGGCGGCGGCAGCACCAGCACCGGCAGCCAGGATCTCGGGAGTCAGAGAGCTATCCTTGGCGGGCTCTTCAACATCCTTTGTGGCGGGTGTCTCTTCCACAACGGCCCCAGGTTGAGCAGCCTCAGGAGCAGCCTCAGGAGCAACCTCAGGAGCAACTTCAGGAGCGGGCTCCTCGACAGCAAGGGTCTCAGCAGGGGCAGGAACCTCCTCATGCTTGTTCACTACCTCAGTCTCAGCAGAAGGAGTCTCATCCTTAACGGGCTCATCAGCCTGAGGGGCGGAGACAGGCTCAGCAACAGGAGTAGGCTCAGGTTGAGCGGACTCAACAGGCTCCTCGACCTTCTCCTCAGCAGGAGCGGGCACGTCAGCAGCCAGAACTTCTTTAGTTGCCTCCTCTGCGGGCTCCTCAGCAGGATCCTGGGGAACGTCGTGAGATTCAGCAACAACAGGAGCCTCAGGCTCGGTCTCCACTCTTTCTTGGACGGGAGTTTCCTCGACAATAGGGGCGGCAGCCACGACGACTGACTCCTCGGCCGGAACAGACACTTCAGCGGCAGGTGTCTCGGTGACGGTCTCGGTAACGGGGGTTTCGACAACAGGAGCTTCGGGACCTGATTCAGTAGGCGCGGGCTCCTCTACTGCAGCTTGCTCTTCCTTAGGAGCACTGGCCTCGACGGTGTCCTCTGCCTTGGGCTCAGCAACTTCCTCCTTGACAGATTCTTCAACAGCAACAGGAGCAGCGGTAGCAGCCACGGCGGCAGCGGCAGTAGCAGCAGCAACCTCCTCTTGAGAAGTGTCCTCAAGAGAAGGTTCCTCAGACTTGACAGGCTCAGCAGCTTGTTCTTCAACAGATTCCTCAGCAGCAAGCTTCTCTGACTGTTCCTCTTGGGCAGGTTCGACAGTGGTAAGAGCGCTGACTTCTTCAACCTTCTCAGTGGTAGGCTCAGTCACGGGATCTTCAATTGTTTCTTCCTTAGGGGTGCTCTGAGAAATGGGCTCCTCGACAGCAGCAGGCTCAGCAGCAGGCTCAGCAGCAGCAGGCTCAGCAGCAGCAGGCTCAGCAGCAGCAGGCTCAGCAGCAGCAGGCTCAGCAGCAGCAGGCTCAGCAGCAGCAGGCTCAGCAGCAGCAGGCTCAGCAGCAGCAGGCTCAGCAGCAGCAGGCTCAGCAGCAGCAGGCTCAGCAGCAGCAGGCTCAGCAGCAGCAGGCTCAGCAGCAGCAGGCTCAGCAGCAGCAGGCTCAGCAGCAGCAGGCTTAGCAGCAGCAGGCTCAGCAGCAGCAGGCTCAGCAGCAGCAGGCTCAGCAGCAGCAGGCTCAGCAGCAGGCTCAGCAGCAGCAGGCTCAGCAGCAGCAGGCTCAGCAGTGACAGGCTCACCAACCTCTTCCTCAGTAGCCGGAACCTCAGTGTCTTGGACAGTCTCTTCCTGAGCAGCGGGCGGCTCAACATCAGCAGCAGGTGCCTCGGTGACAACAGGCTCAGCAGGAGCAGGGGCAGACTCAGCCTCCTCCTCAATATGCTTAGCAGTCGACTCCTCCACAGACTCAGCAGGACGTTCAGTGATAGCGGGCTCCTCGATTGTGGCCTCTTGAGCAGGATCTTTGACGGTTTCCTTATGCTCAGTCTCAGTGGTGGTTTCGACGGGAGTCTCGACAGGAGCCTCAGGTGCAGTCTCCTTGACTTCCTCAGCAGGAGCCTCAGCGGGAATCTCAGTAGAGGTCTCAACGGGAGCTTCAGGAGTAGCCTCCTTGGTTTCCTCGGCAGGAGTCTCCTCAGCAGGGACTTCAGTAATGCGTTCGACAGCTGGCGCAGCTTCGGTAGATGTCTCCTCAACTGCCTTCTCGGCAACGGGCTCCTCAACCGGAACAAAGGCTTCTTCAGTCTTGGATTTCTCAATCTTAGGCTCCTCAGTCTTTGGCTCTTCAGCCGTTGTTTCCTCGACCTTGACCTCGACGGGTTCCTCGGCAGTCACCTCCTTGACAGGCTCAGTGGTCACCTCGGGAACAGGTTGTTCAATGGGCTCGGTGACGGTCTTCTCGTCAGTGGGAGTCTCAGTCTCGGCGACAGTGGTAGATTCCTGGGCAATTTCCTGGACAGGCTCTTCAGTCTTGGACTCCTCCACCTTTGTATCTTCAATCTTGGTCTCTTCGACAGGCTGCTTGGTGGCAGGATTCTCAGTAGTAGATTCAGCCGCAGGCTCCTTCGTGACGGGCTCAGCAGCAGGGTCCTCCATTTCGGCCTCCTCGACCTTGGCGGGCTCCTCGGCCTTGGACTCTTCGACTTGAGTCTCCTCGGCATGAGGCTCTTCAACCTTAGGCTCCTCAATAACCGGTTCCTCAGTGGCAGGCTTGTCGGCGGGAGTATCTTCGGAAGTAGTGGTTTCGGTGGTAGACTCAACAGGCTTTTCAGTAACAGGTTCCTGAGCAGGAGTCTCTTCGACAGCAGGCTGCTCAACCTTATTAGGAGCAGCCTCCTCAGTAGTGACTTCGGCAGGGGTTTCCTCAACAACCAGAGTCTGAGCAGGCTCTTCAACCTTGATCTCTTCAACCTTTTCCTCTGAAGCAGCAGGCGTCGACTCCTCCCCAGCCGCGGGGGCAGTTACTTCAGGAGCAGCATCCTTCACCTCAACTTCTTCAGTCTTCTCAACAGTACGCACGGAGGGCTCCTCGGTCTTCTCCTCAGCGGATGTGACCTCGGTGATTTCGGGCTCAGCCTTATCAGCGGCCGGTTGCTCAACTGGAGTCTCCTGGACAGATTCCTCAGAGGTGGGCGCGGCCTCAGTCTCCTTCACGATCTCCGGGGTCGGCTCAGGCTTAGACTCTTCCACGGGTTCATCGGCGGGTTCAACGGCGGGCTCAGCGGCTTCTTCCTTAACGGGTTCCGGTGCAGGCTCGGCCGGCTTAGACTCCTCCATGGTGGATTTCGCGGGTTCAATGATTTCAGTGGATTCCTGCACAGCCGGCTCTGCAGTCTCTGACTTCACGGGGACCTCATGGGTCGAAGGAGCTTCGACGGTCTCTTCCTTGGGAGCTTCAACAGGTGTGGATTCTTCCTTCACCGGCTCAGCGGGCTCCTCGGCAGAAGTAGTGGTCTGTTCAGGCAGCGATTCCGCAACAGGCTCGGCAGCCGCCTCTGTAGGCTCAGCAGCAGCTTCGGTGGGGATCTCGGCGGCCGCGGCCTCGGTCTCGGGCTTCTCTTCGTCGGGAATACCGGAGACGCTCTGCTGCTTCTTTTTCTCCTTCTTCTTGGCGTTCTTCTTGGCCTTTTTCCTCTGCGCGGCGGTCATGGTGGGTTCTTCGGAGTCCTTGCCGCTCTCCGGGGTGCCTTCGGTGTCGGCATTGCCGTTGGTGGCGGCCTTCTCGTCCACAATGGGAGCAGCGGCCATGGTCTCGACGGCGACAGGATCCTTGGGTAGGGTCTCGTCAGAGACTACAGTGAGAGAATTAGCATTTGTCTTCTCAAAAGTAGCGGAGAGAGAAGAAAACTCGCAGACTTACCGTTCTGGATCGCAGCGGTCGCCATTGTGGTCGTCAAGTCGTAACGGTCGTGAAAGCGGGAGGAAGAGAGAGCAGGATTTGCAATTTGACCAGCAAAGCACACTAACGCAGGACCAACTGTACAGGGCTCACAGAGCGGGGGAGGATATTAGGTAGAACTGGAAAAATGATGACCCTCTTGGAGGATATGATTAAGATGTGCTGAGAGGAAAACAAAGAGGAGAGGGACAACAGAGAGGCAACTCGCGCATAAAAAAAAACTCAGATGCCCAACTCGACTGTACAACACCAGACGCATATGATTGCAGCTCCCCACCGTCCCTCCACTCTAGCCCAGGTTGTCACAGTGACCAACTCGTGCTATGCTCCAATGGTCGATGGGGGTGTCTATCGAGGCCCAATGAGTGCAAGCCCAAGTGCTGTTCGAGTCGCTAGTCGGGCCATGGGCCGTTAGCTTGGGCCGATCTCCACTGCCAACATGCGGTGAGCTGCCGAGGCATCCCTCGCATCGTCCCGTTGCGCTTAAGAGGGACAGTGTGACAATAGCGAGCGGATTGTAGTACGGGCTGTGACTTGGTCCATTGTACCCCGAGCGGACGGCGGGGAGACCAACTGCGTTCGCTATGGGGGACAGCTCGGACGCGGAGGAATACACACTCGAAAAAAAAAAAGTGGAGCGTCGAGGGTAGAAATGCAGGCCCCATCACTAATAATGCTGTGCCAATAGGGAGGCGCGGCGCAAAAGTGCACCACTCCACCTGTCAGTTGACTCAGGATCGGCCGCGCAGGAATTGCATGCGACCCTCATGCCATAGCATCGAGGAATCTTCGCGAGGGAGGCAGAGAGAAAGAACAATCCCAATATACCAGGGGAAGACTGTTGCGACGTACCTCAAAACAACTACAAGTAGTATTGTTGACCGTGGTTCTAGGGTTCGACCCTGGAGCCGCTGTTTTCCACGGGTCAAACGGCCGCGTCCATGGAACAGTCCACGGTATGACACACTTCGGGAGATGGAGAAAACAGACGAATGCGATCGAAGTGAGTCATATACTCCATACTACTACTTGTCTGTGTTTCCTGCCTGTCTATTTACTGCTGCATAGGACAGTCTTCAGTGTTTAGAGCGGTCAGCAAACCTTGCAGGCCGGCCCAAGCTCCTCAAGGTTCGACTAGACAAGCCTAACCCGAAGGTCCCTCCGAGTGTTATGCTAGGTCCGTCCTGCACTATGTCCAGTATGTAGCAGAGGATAGCACCAGGGCTACGATGGGATAGCACACCATCCAGCCAAATATTCAGAGTCAATGCAAATCTTCTATCTATCAAATCCAATCTTCGGGCACCTCCCCACCCGCACCACCGCAGACTGCCCGCTAGCGTCCCCGATCGCCTTGACCAACGCACACCTCCGCCTCCCATAGGTGTGACGCACGCGGATCTCCGTCTCGAACCCATGGTGTGCCGTTCGGCTTGCATGTTGCAAATTCTGCTCGTCATCCCCCAGAAACACACCCCACGCCTCCACCTGCGTGGCTCCGTTCCAGCTCGCCCACACTCGAACCTCCTCGGTCGAGTTTGCCGCGCAGGCATAGATATTCGGTTAGGTACGAGGCCGGCCGATCCAGGGCGACCGAAACATGGGATACGACATCATAACCCCGTCTTGTCCGAAGCGGGCGCGCATCACGACCTGGCCGTGTTCATCGTATTCTTCCAATTGCGGGATTGTGCCGTGGCCGAGGAGAACATGGCCATTGCGGGGACTTTGATAGCTGCCCTGTGATGGCGAGTAAATTGCGTTCTGAGAATCCCAGATTCGGCGACGCACCGAGACTGCTTTGGTATCGAGATCGACGTCTAACAGAAGCCCGGTCGTCACGGCTGTCCCACTGGCCCAGGGCGCATTATCATTGTTGTGCATACGTAGTGTGATGGTGTTTTCGGTCCGCGACTCGATTCGAGCATCATGTTGCCAGCAGAATTGGGCCCCTGGGCCAAGCGTGAAATCGCCAACCGTCCCGGCCCCTGGTCATAAATGGTCAGTGTCACTTTTATGATGAAGAAAAGACGTGGGAGCGACCTACATCAAGTCTCCACTTCACACTTCCATTCCGATCAATGATATACTCACTACAAAACCCATGCACCGTGACAATATACCTATCTCCATCCATCTGCACGGAATTAAGATGCGCAAAATCCCAAGGACTCTCTTGGCTGTCGCCTTTCGCTGCCAGTGGTATATACGAATTCGTACGGTCGAGGTGCTCCAAGACGCTCCAGCGGAAGAGGATTTCTTTGCTGGCTATGTCGATCTCATAGAACAAGGAATCGAGCAGCCTACCATCGGCGGACCCACCAAGAACCGACAGATCCCCACGCGTAGTATTGAACGCAGTCACTAACACCGAGCCATGGGGTGTAATCACCGCCTCATGCAGGTCAAGATAAGAGAGGCCGGTGTCAAAGACGTGACAAAATTTTGACTTTCCTTGGAGAGTGCGATCCGATGGATCTCCTTATAGTGTTGATTCGATATGTAGATTGACCTATACCCGAAGCCGGAGGAGCTAATTGTACCATTTTAGCAGGTAAGCACGAACTCGCCATGCAGCATTTGGGGCTAAAGCACTGGAAACTGCCCAAGCCCCCCTTTCCAAATCAACTGCCCATCGTCAGCTACTATTGTGGGCCTGGTGTCGCTTTTTATGTCGGCTGGGCCGCCGAAGATGTATCCGGGCTCTGTCTGTCCTGTCTTTGAAACTTCGAGAACGGGTGGGTGGAATGGGGAGCTCTTGAATGATTGGACCGGCCACGCAGCTTCTGCTATTGATAGAAACATGACCGAAATGACCGGTATGAGGGCAAGAAGCCACATCCCCGGGCTGTACATGGTATCCAGAGACTCGCACCAAGGGAAGCGACTCCAGTTCAACTTAGCCGAAGTTATCAATGTGAGTCGGACAGGAAGGATTTTGCTTTTCGAGCTTTCCCCGCTCAATTCAGCCACAACTGATATGTATGTTTGTTCCTGCACCTGGCCCTGCAAGGGCCCCCATAGGCATGGAATACGCCGTGCCGGTCCTTCCTCGGCGGTGGGGCAGGGCGTTCGAGTTCATTCGTTCCGCTTCAAGATCAGGAACAATGTGGTACTTTTTCTCAAGCTACCGCGCATTGACAGTCCAGAGATTAAGCTTGATCTGAGACACACTGTAGGGTTGCATGTGCGGGGAAACATGGGTTTCCCGACCGTGCATTAGTTGCCGTCTGTTCTTCTCCACTTGCACCATTCGTGATCCCTGCAAGGAGCTCCGATCTGGAGATCTTCGATTGAGTGTATTCGTTAGGTATCGTCAGGGCCATCGGCCATCCTGGCCGAAACATTCATTGGGAATACTTACGAAGTCTGGCAGACAACGAATTAGATAGCTCAACTTTTGAATTAACCATTTGTTCTATATGCTCCGTCCGAAATGCGTATTCAACATTTTAAGCGCACAAAAAAAGTCTCCCATGCTATACTATAGTTCCATTTCCCACAGCTCACCCACCAATTTTGGCCCACAACTCTCATGCTCCTCCGACTTAACAATCTTATATCCCTCGTTCGCATATAACCTCCTCGCCGGAGTCAACATACTCTGCGTCCACAACCCAATCCGTGAGTAGCCAACTTCCTTCGCAAACTCTGTACATTGCCGCACCAGTGTCCCCCCGACACCGAGGCCCCGCGCACTGGGCTCAACAAGTAACAGTCGCAGCTTGGCCGTATTCTGATCTGAAGAGCGGTCTTTGACGAGCATGACACAGCCGAGGAACTTGCCGTCCTTTTCGGCGATCCAGCACCGTTCGCATTGAGGATCATAGTTTTCGAGGAATTCAGATCCAATCTTAGCGACCAGTGACTCGAATTTCACGTTCCAGTTGTATTCTTCGTGGTAGATGGTGGCGTGGCGGTAGGTGATCCAGCCTATGTCGCCCGGGCGGTGGCTTCGAAGGGTGAAAGGGGGGTTGTCTGTGCTTCCCATTTTGTGGGGAATTTTCAGGTTGAGCTTGGAATGAATTGAATATCAGAAGTTGGTCCATTGTGCCAGTCGGAGAATTTTGTACCGTGACTGTCATCGGCAGGGCGTCCGGCGACAGCGGTTTGACTCACGGTGCCGTGGACGCTGATTGGACGGATGGCCGGCGATCTGAAAGTTGGCCGACCTCGCCGGTCATTCTCTTTTCGACCGCACTTCTCCATATTACTGGCGTCTTCTTCTTCAATTTGAGAGATGCACGCTATCCGCTCGCAGACAAGTCACATCTTTTACTACTATACTTCATCTCGGTGAAACCATTGTTCTCTGGATCTCTCCGTTTGATAGAAATCCGCATTGAGGTACTGAACTGACTTGGACAACTACTCTAAATCAGTCTAGTTAAAGAATTGATTGCCTGGTCTCGCCAGACAAAGGTGCTCACGCAGTGTTGAGCCAGTGTAGTCCTTACGGAAGAGACCCCTGCGCTGCAGCTCCGGGATCAGCCGATTCGTCACCTCGTCCAGTCCCTGCGGCAAGAACGGAAACACAGAGGTGAACCCATCTGCACCCTCTTCGCGCAGCCAGATTTCCAACTCATCTGCAATCTCCTGTGGAGATCCAAGGAATGCCAATCCCGAGTACCCGCCCTGTCGCTGGGCAAGCTGACGAACCGTGAGTCCCTCCTCTCTGGCCACCTTTTCCACGCTTTCCCTCATCGTCTTGCTTCCGTTCGTCTCGGGCAAATCTGTCGGCAAGGGTCCATCCGGGTCAAGGCCGCTGATGTCCGATCCCACTGCGATGGATAAGGATGCGATGCCGCTGTCGTAATGCACCAGACTATCTAGTTTGAGCCTCTTCTCCCACGCATCCTGCTTGCTCTCCCCAACAATGAACATGGCTGCCGGGAGAATCTTCAGGCTATCTCGCTTACGACCAGCCTTCTCCACTAGTCCCTTGATATCCGCATAAAGTGCTTTCGCAGACTCCAAATCCTTGGGACTACAAAACACCACCTCGGCCGTCTCGGCCGCCAATTGCCGGCCCGGTTCGCTCTGTCCCGCTTGGACAATTACAGGCCATCCCTGCGGCGGCCGCGCAATGTTCAAGGGCCCTCGCACTTTGAAATCGTCGCCTGAGTGATTCAATGTGTGCAACTTCTCGGGGTCAAAGTATATCCCCGTCTCGACATTGCGGGTAAATGCGTCGTCGGCAAAGCTATCCCATAGCCCTGTCACAACGTCATAAAATTCCCGCGCTCGCTTATACCTATCGCTATGAGCCATATGCTCGTCGAATCCGAAGTTATGGCTCGACTCGGGATTCCCCGTTGTCACAATATTCCAGGCCGCTCGTCCCTCGCTCAAGTGGTCGAGACTGGCAAACCGCCTGGCAACGTGATACGGCTCGTCATACGTTGTACTCGCTGTTGCTGCGAGACCGATCTTCTTTGTCACTGATGAAAGGGCAGACAGCAGAGTGAAGGGTTCAAAAGAGGTGACCGTGTGGCTGCGCTTGAGGGCCTCGACAGGCATGTTTAGCACGGCCAGGTGATCCGCCATGAAGAAGGCGTCGAACTTCGCTGCTTCGAGCTTTTGGGCGAAAGCAGAGATATGTTTGAAGTTAAAGTTGGCATCTGGGTAGGATCCTGGATAGCGCCAGGCGCCTGTGTGCAATGATACTGGTCGCATGAAGGCCGTCAGATGGAGCTGGCGGCTTGGTTGAGCGTCTGCCATGTTTGATTGTCTTGACTAGCCTTTTTCAAATCTGGGTAACGAAATATCTTGGGTTTCAGCCTTTGGAATGACTGCGAGGCTCTTAAATAGCCATCGTGATGGGAATCAGATGGATTTATAATCGTCGGGTCTTCGGACGTTGTGAAGTTATGGCGTGCTTGTGGGTAAGCTGCTCGCGCAAGCAGCCGCAGCGAGTGACAGGGACAACCCCGCATATTCACTTATCATCATGGAAGATCCCACGACTGTTTTACTGTTGATGGGACAGTACTTCGGTGCACCTTATATTGACGTGTCTGAGGTTATTGTATGCAAATCAGCCTCGGGCGCTGTAATTTGTTCTTGTCTGTACCATGTCAGAGAAACGCGACAGGGTGAATAGACAAGTCGTAGGCTTACTGTATTTGTTCATATAAGCACCTTCATCGATTCAATTGTTATTCAAGATCGCGGAAGGCGCGACAATAGTCATCGCCTTTTTCCAGTCATCTGAAGCACGAAAGCTCTTGATGTAAGCCATCACACGGCCAGAGTACATTGATCAACGACTGAACTGCATCCTAGTTCAGCAAGTTGTTGTTCTGTGTAGATAATCTAAGTCCTCCTTCCATGATACTGGCTAAAGTCGGTTATTCAGTTCCTTGGCGAATCGCTTCATCATATCGCAATCTCGTGATCTGTCATTCGACGCATCGACATCTATACCTAGGTAACAATCATTGATTCGCATGGGCTTCTTAATGCAAGTCGCTTTTATAATATCAGTTCATTGTCATTATGTCTTTATAAAGACGGAACTCCGTCTGGAGTATCTCACCCTTGAACATGAATGACTGCTGATCGTTCACATTCGGCTTGTCTTTGTCCATGGAGCCGTTTCGATGGTATTGGCTTGGCCTTTGAATTCATCTGAAGTGACCTCCAAAATACCCTCTGACCTATATCAGGAATTCAGAGAACTTGCAAGTTTTGATCGATGTTACCCGGCTTTTTCTCAACCAACTTGACTGAAACATGGATGAATCGACCAGCTGGAGGTTGCATTCTTAACAAACACCCTGTCCTTTTCTTGTGTTACTGTCCCATTCTTGTTGCCAGCGGGTAGGATTTCTCGGTTGATATTATTCAACGTATAGCGAAATTAGACGAAAGGAGGGACAAGATTCTTTTGATGTTGAAAAACATAGGTTAACCCCCGGGTAGAGCTCCAAGCCCCCACACTGATGCATATACCAGCGCGAAATTACATTTTAGCCATCACAACATTTCGGGAAATAATCCTGGGCCCTCTCGTACCGCGGATTGGTTAATTTCGCACAACGATATTAAGGCCAAAAATAATCATGCATAAAGCTTCGCGGGAAGGACGCTATGCCCATTGAGTCTAGGAAAAGAGAGTGGATCACAGCGAGGCAACAAGATCTGGGGAAAGCTGAGCTCCAGGCCACTACTGCAGCCCGTGCTAGTCGAATTGTAGATGGGATGGAGAGACAAGCCCCCCGTTGTGGCTTTGGGATAGGGCAGAGACCCGATGGGATGGGGCTGGTGCTCCGTATCTGAGATTGGCATGTACGGCGTACAACGATCCCCTGGGTTAATACTGCTGGACATACCAACCTTCTTCTGCTGGAGTGTATCTCACATAGTCGCCATACATGCATTCCTTCGATCAACTCTCTATTCTCTACGGCTCTTGAATCCGCACGGCGCCTCCGCATGGAAGCCAACCCCCATAGGCTCCCACCCATCTCTTCTGCCATGCGCAACGACTTGTAGCTCCCCAATTTGGATTGGCATTCGCAGCTTCCTGTAAGGGTAGCGGTTTCCAAAGAAACAGCCGCCAGCTCCGAGACCGTGAAATTTACCCACCCGGGCAGTCGTCTCCTGGTTTTCTGCTGGTACAGAGGGTGCTTCTGCCGGCACGCGTCTCGTGAAATTCAATCGTGTTGGATACAGGATAACGAGGTCGATACAGACAGCACTCCCCATATTGTACAGCGCAGTGGAGAGTGATGGAGTCGTTTCGTTTCACCGGACCACCATGTATGCCCCAGTGAGTGGAGCGTGGCCACCGACTTGCCCCTGATTCCGGCGTCGGACGATGAGGACCAACAGCCATGCATGTCTATCAAACCTATCAAACCGACTCATGCATGCTTTGTTTTTCCCTCTTTGGTGGTCATTTTCTTCCGGGATGCAAGGGTGAGTTCGAGAATATGCCAGCGTGCCAGGCGGCGTGCAGCCGTGGCCAGCTGGCCGGTTGGCCAAGCATGGGACACGCATGACCTCCCGGCGGGTCGATGATGCTGAGATGAGTCGAGGGCGTCCCTGCGTAATCTATCGTATTTTTGGAGTATTTTTGGTAATTTAGGAGCACCCGACAACACCCGAGCCCCTGGACTCCCGTTCGTATTCTGTCCGCCTGACGGAGCCCCGTACAGTATCAACTCAGCACGGAGACTGATTCTATACTCGCATTCTAACACAGCTCAATTGACCATCAAGCCTTCCTTCATTTTTGTCAGGTCAATAGAAGTCGAAGATTCAGAATTGTCCGTTTGCCAACGGCGACGCAGCCTGAATCGCTCAATCGAGCTTGTGTGGGTCCGCCAAGCTCGTGCGATCAGCCGAGCTGCAGCCGGCGCTTTTTCCCACGGAGCAGAGCCGCCGGTTACCCTGGGTAAACGCCTCGATGCTCCGGGGCGTTGGGAGGGCTATATAAGCCCCTCCGGCCCCGTTCAAACTGGCCTACGTTGGGCTTCTCGGGAACAGCTTCACAATGGGTCTGTTACTGTCGTGCCGGAGTGCTTTTTGGGGTGAGCCGGAAGGGGGTCCCATCTGTGGGTGCGATAGTCGGGTTCTGGCGGGTCGGGAATCCAGTTTGGTGGAGGCCGAGGAAGCGAGGACGGACCCGTGAAAAATTCGCTATTTTGTTAATTTCCCTGATTTTTTCTGCCCTGGTCACTGCACCCGCTCGGCCTACTCCGGTTTCCCGACAACTATAAAGTCGACCCGATTTCCCTCCCTGCAGGTCCTTCTGAAGGGTGTTTTTTTGCCAGCCAGGGTAAAAAAAATTTTGTAGGCTGGGTGGTAAAATACCATGGCTGGGCAATGGTGGACTGGATCCATCGAAAGTTACGAGTGCTGGACTCTTGAGACCACTCGGTGAGGCTGTTTCCGAGGAAAGGGGAGTCGCCTGGATCCCGTTGGCCCAGTGGAACTGTAGTTGGTGGAGCTGGAATCCGAGTCGGCCCGGTTTGGGGCTGCGCCGGGAAGAAATCTGGAAAGCTGGGCTGCGTTAGTGAGGCCGAAACAGGAAGTGATTGGCCATCAGTGGGTCAGTGGATCGACCCACTGGGTTGGAAACATGCATGATCCACTGCAGGGAAGGGAGATATCATACCTACACACCAGAGAGCCCAGCTCTATCCCTTCCCCTGATCCCCTAACTGATAGAACTGCACCAGTTGTGATAGACGAGAAACAACAGTCAGATCATGCAGGGGAAGGGAGTAGACATGGTTGAGGAATTGACTCCTCCCACCCACGGTAAGGACTGGAACGTACACTGGCAGCCAGCTCCACTGGATGGAGCTGATGGAGCCAGGAATTACCAGCCCGGACGAACCCGATCAAGTCGACTGCCCCAGCGCCGCCGTAGAAATTCAATACGCGTATGGCAAACGTAAAACCACGCAATACACACCCCCAGCATTCCCAATACCGATGATTTGCAAGTGAAATACTCCGTCGTCCGCACAGAGTAGGGCTTTTTTCACGCGCGCACTAGCCTCGACCGGGAGGCGGACGGGCGAAAATTGTGCCGTGGAGTATTTATGTCCTAGGCAGACCTTCTTCCGTAGTTTCCCAGCTTTTTCTCCCTGAAAAGTTCCTCTTCATACCACTCCTCTCTTTCCTCACCCTCCCCATCCAACTCTCCCAAATCCATCACAATGGCCGCCACCCGTGTCTTCGCTAGCCGCCTGGCTACCACCATGGCCCAGACCTCCAAGGTCGCTCGCCCTGCCGCCCGCTTCCAGCTGAACGCTGCCACCAAGCGCACCTTCACCTCCCAGAAGGCCTCTCCCTTCGCTGCCGCCCCCAAGCGCGCCTCGCCCACCCTCCTCCAGGCCAACGCCCGCAACGCCTTCCAGTCCGCTGCCCGCCGCCAGTACTCCTCCGAGGTCGCCACCGCCATGGTTGAGGTCTCCAAGAACCTTGGTATGGGTTCCGCCGCCATCGGTCTCGGTGGTGCCGGTATCGGTATCGGTCTCGTTTTCGCCGCTCTGCTCATGAGTGTCTCCCGCAACCCTGCCCTCCGTGGCCAGCTCTTCTCCTACGCCATTCTGGGTTTCGCCTTCGTCGAGGCCATGGGTCTGTTCGACCTGATGGTTGCCATGATGTGCAAGTACGTCTAAATGTGTCACTATATATTCGACCGGGCTCGCCGCGCGGTCCGCCGACGTGGCCGAGTCTCTATCGAGCAATCGGCCTTTGAAGGAACGAAGAAAAGAAAGAAAATTATAGACAGTTTCTCTCCTGTTTGTTCGAACCCTTTTTTCTTACTCTTTTCCTTTGTTTCCGCCGGGGAGGGTATTTGGTCGTGATGTATTACCATGTACTACTTTTCAGCGTCATCTACAACACCTATTTCTTTCTGTACATATAGAGTCTATATGGCCTCACCCATCCCAACTTCGAAAGAGCCACAAAACTCTGTGTGTTGAGTGTCGTATCTGGATTCCCTTTCTACTTCGGGGCCGACTTTGGAGTCTCCTGGACAGCCTAGATCAAGGTTTTTTCACTATCTCGATCTCTTCGCTTCCCCATGGGGAGACTCGAGCATGGTTCCGTATGCAAACCTCTACAAAGTACAACCGACAGAATCAGAGTTCGTTCAAGAGCCTCTGGACTGCCAATTGCTACTAGCTCATGGAGCTGGTGCTGGGCAGCTGTACCCCCGTACGTAAGGGGCTCATAACAACTCCGGCAAATCGACCTCGGGTCTACGGAGCGCTACGTGTACACTTCTGACGACCACCACACCACCACCTCCATCCATTGACAGTCAATGCGTTGAATGTAGACTCGCTGAGCCTCAATCTATTGATTGAGCTTGTCAGATCCAACCCGGAGCCATACCTGGCGCGACGTCGGCCTTCAATCTTGTCCTTGAACCCCCGCCCCAGCGAAAACTCGCACTAGCTCCGGCTCCTCGGGTAGCGCGCTCCCGCCGTCCGCCGGTGCGCTGACTCAGCTGACATCAATGACGACCTTTCGCGACAATAATTTTGGCCCGTAGTAACCGAGTTGAGTTCACGAGTCATATCGGATGAATGTGTAATGATCAATTGTGGTTCGTGGTAACCTTGGTAAATTGGATGGTGATGGTGGCCGCCGGTAAGTATGAGTGGCTGGGAATACCAACTTGCTAAAAGTATACTGCAATACAATTCTTCAATACATATCATCTCTTTTCAATTAAGATCATTTGGTTTGGATGATTCCTCTCGATTTTTGTTTGGATCTGTTTCAATTTGTAAAGCATCAGATAAAAGAGGTTGTTCATGTGACATCTAACCGACGGTATGCTATCGGTTATATACATAGCTTTCCCGTTGACAGAACGGTTTGCATTTTATGGGATGCCTTTCTCCTTTTTTATCAAATATCCAAAACTACAATATACAGTTGGAAATAGATGTAAGCTTGATCTGGGTTTTCCCCATTCCGATGAAATATGTTGGCCTTCCGTGGTCTCATTATTTGTCGACCTTGGCCTGACACAATCCGAGTGTCCATGTGCCCTAGGCTCCCAATGTGAGTTACCTACTTCAGTGTGGTGCAGATCACTCTTTCAAGCGTCGAGTTGCAAGAATGATGAATTAATTGAGAAGATCTAACATATCAACACGAAAAGATCAAAGCAAAGTCGACTCCAATCATACCACAAGACTCGCTTGCTCAAACGCAGGGAGGTATCACGACCTTAAAAGAAGAGACAGAAATTCAAGTCATGAAATAAGCAAACGCAAAAGAAAGAATATCAGATCAGTGTAATAACCCCAGAGTTAACAAAACTAGAAGATTTCCAGATCTTCAAACTCCACCACCAACCCATCAGCTGAACCAGTCGCTGATGCAGGCTCCACCGGGACCCCGTGCATCGCATCCCACATCGTCTGTCCACGTCCAATATTCGTCGGTCGACTCGCGTATACACCAACGTGCACGAACTTATCTTCTACCCCATAGAAGAACCACGTCACCTCACGTAATTTTTTCCATGTACTCCCTATGGCACCGGGCGAGAGGGCATACGGTGATGCTGACGGAACCTGGTACCAGATCCACAAGGCATCTCCGATGCGCTCCAATTTAATGCGTAGTGACTGGACCGCTGGACCGGGAACGGTTTGAACAAGCGGCGATAGACACCAGTCTGCCCCATCGGCCGTTGCACTCACGCTCGAGGCATTCACGGTCGCAGAGGAGAACTCCATGCCCGCTTTTACCCACTTACAAGGTGGATTGTGGGTGCCGACGCGACGGGATAGACCGGATGTGTCTGATAAGAAGGACTGGGGTGCTGCCCCAGCGAAAATGACTAGCCCGCCTTGATCCCATTCCATTTCCCAATCGGCACTTACGGTGACTTCGGCGATGACGAATGGGTGTCGCAGTGAGGTGAAGACGATGGGTGCAGTGGATGTATCGCCGTTGGGCGGTTTACGCCATAGATCGGTATTCGGGCCGGCCGTTAGGGTGAAGTATTCCATGCATTGGGGAAGGGCGAATGTCGGTGGCAGGTTCAGGGCTGTGAACGAGGATCCATCCGGTGGCATCTTGAAAGAGGCTAGCTAGCTATTCGACTTCGGAAAGAGCTAGTTTCTCAACCTCGTATCTTTGGAACAGGCGGACGTTATTTTTTTTTCGAATATCGCTGAAGATTGAGAGACATGAGCGAGCTCGTGGCGCTTGATTTAAGTTCGAGTTCAGATCGTGCACGTCGTGAATGAGCTCCGATTCTTTGCAGATCATCAGATCGTCGGGCAGGCCGGTCGAAGCACAAAGGGGCGTCAGAGCATTAGGCAGAAAGTATAAACCAGTGTCCACCTCGACTTTGCAGGTTCTATTTTCTTCAGAGTGATCTGCAATAACTTAGGTGTTCTCGAACAGTGCTCCACGAAATTTCGGGGTGCGATGGAGTGGTGAGGAGCGGGTGCCGCGGATGGTGCCGAATGCGGTCTTTAGAGTGGACGGAAGTATCGAGGGAACACGACACCAAAAGAAACCACTGGAAAAAGGATACAAAGAAGGGAATTAAAATGTCCGAAACGACTACCAGCATGTGCCCGCAGACAGGGTAAAAGAAAATCTAGCCAAAAAAAAGAAAAAAGAAAAAGGATAGTCCTATTGCATCCTGACTAGTACCCTATTTATATTATGAAATGGCTTCTTACCCCCTTGGGACCGTCATTCAGGGGATCTTGACCATGGGCCGTGCCGTCAAAGGTCCACTTAGAAACTTCATCGATCGGGCATCGCACTACGGATCTGGGAAGAACCGCGTCGTCGGAATCTACAAGTGCAAAAGAAAGTTGGGTCGCCATCCTCTGGACTCGCATCCAGCGCGTGCTTGTTTCGCTTCGGCGGACCAGTTCGCAAGTGGCGGGTCTCCATGCATCCCCGGGGATCAATCACGTTGTGACAGGCCGGGGGGCTATGCGGTGCCGAACTGCATCAAAGGCGCTTTGAAGGCAGCGGAGCAACTAGCACCTACGGTAAGAGGTGGCAGGAGAACAGGCCAAGGAGGAAATCCGCTCTCGCGAGCTCCGCGACCCATCGAGAAAGAAAGACCCATCAGGATCGACGCACGCACGCAGCTGAAGACGCCTTCGAATCGGTGGATTATCCTTCTGCTGAACGCCCGCCCGTGCGACGTCGGTGCTGTCGCCACGGCGGCAGCGCCACAGCGGCGACCGCGGGCCCTTTGGATCTGTTCCAAGGCGATCTATCGGGTCGATGCATGGCGCATGGCTGGCGTTCGTGCAGACACAGCTGAGATTATGCCCTGGGATATTCCCTGGCAGCGTCTGTTTGGAGCAATGAGATCTCCATCTGCTTCAGCTTCAGTGGCGGTGGTGTGACTCAGCCACAGTCCCTCCTCTCTCCAAAGTCTGCAACTGGCTGAAGAAGGTAATCTGCTACCAGCAGAGAAAGACTTGCTGAAAAGATGGGCCACGGGAATGCCGAGATGACAACGGGACGACTGCACTGGTTCTCGTTCTGGTGGCTAATTGTTAGTTCATGTTGTTGACGACAGAGCTGAAGTGGTGAGAGCGGGTGGTGGTGATAAAAGGCGATCGACCCCGTCGTGCTGCGAATGGCGGTAGACAGCAGCAATATGACTGATTCGCATGGCCTACGAGTAATTATACCTTCCGTCTTATCCTCCCCTCATTTCTTTTCTTTTTTTGCGAGGACCTTTCACTTTTCTTCTTCTCCCCTTCCCCTTTATCTACAGTGATGAGTTGGCATCCAAGACGCCACAACTGGCTCAAACACCGGCCAATTTCACACAAGGCTGGGATAGCCTACGAGAAACCCGCGTTAAACTTCCCTAGATGAGCGCCTTTCCCTAGTGCGGCCAGACTTCCCCCACACGTAAAGAATCAAGCGATCCCACCTGCAGGAGATGCCTAAAAATAAGAACGTTAGTGTGGTTGGGGCCAAAATGCAGGAAAAGGGGGGCATCACCAGATCAACACGATCGACACGACCGCGCCAAACGTGTCAAGGGGGCCGTCTAGGGCTCCCGGCAACTCGTGGGCGTGACTGCATCTCATCCAGGCCTACCTTAGGGTCCCTTGGGGTCCGCCAAGCAGGTTGTGTTCGTATCATAGAACGCCTCTTCTCTGCCCTACATCTCCTCGACCAATTGTAGCCCTTGCGTGTCGGCTCAGCCTCGTATTCAGGGTCTAAGAGCCTCTAGACTTACCCAGCGTCAAGATTCCTTAAAAGGCCCGTCGACTCGAGAGAAGCGGTGGCATTTTCTCGCACGCAAGAATTCACGCCTGGGTCTGTTTCACTGCACCTGCTACTAAAAGTCGCATCGCAACAGCAGCATGGCACCGCGACGGGGATCTGGAGGCTACAGCAGCTCCTACTGGAGTTACTCAAATCCCTGGGCCCAGGAAACGAAATTTTACATGGAGATGTGGCCTTCGAAGACAATGTTTATCGCGGACTTTGCCTTCGATGTCCTCTTTGCACTCGCCCTCATTGCTTTTCTCACCTGGGCATGCTTGATCCGAAACCATGGCCAAATGAAGGGGATAATACTTGGACTCATTTTTTGGCTATTGTAAGAATACAATTTGTTCTCTAGAGCGAGGTGCAATGACTGACTATTGGATCTAGCTCCGAAATTACCGATATCATCTACGAAATCTTTTTCTTAGCCGAGGCGGTTGTGACGCAATACTACAATATCGACATTATGCTGCAGATCTTCTTCTCGGTCTTCACCTACTGCATCATCGTCTTTGTTTTCTACAACCTGATCCACCGTATGCTGAATCGCCTCACCGATTCCGGGAAGCCATATGCGACAGTGGCTATCGTTCACTGGATCATCCTCGGCATCGTGACAACCGTCTCTCTCGCTTCCTGGGCCTTGTCTGTAGTTATCAGAGTCAAGTTTGTTCAGGATGAGTACTTCAGTGACATCTCGCGGGACCTGAACAAAGTGGATTCGGCGCGGGCCATCATATTGTGGCTCATTTCCCTGGAGATCTTTGCCTGGACCGTATTTGTGGCCATGAAGGCTGGCTCCCACCGATTTACCTCAAGGGTAAGTAGAATCCTATGTTACCAATAGCAAAGAGAATATCAGCTAACAGTAATAGTCTCCCGTCTATGCCCTTCTCGCCGGCAGTATCTGCTGGTTTGCTTTCTGCCTGATGTATGCCGTCATTTACATCCGCTACTATCTCGAGGTCACCTACATCTACCCCAGCTACTTGAATCTGGTCACATCGGTCTTGACCTTTATCTTTGGCATCGGTACCCTCGTTGGTATACTTTTGTGTTGTCAGAAATGGCGCCATGTCGATGATTCGGCGGACAAAGCGCCAGCGACAATGCAGTACCCGTATGCCGGTGCGCCTTACCAGCCTTATCCATTACAGCAACAGTGGCAACCGTATCCTGGCCAGCCGCAGCCTCAATATCCTCAGCAGTTCCAGCAGCCTGTACAGGAACATCAGCAGCAGCCACAGAAGTGAAGATATTATTATTTGCGCTCAGAGGGGTCTCATAGCTGCCCTCATACTCCATGATTAAGTCGCGTCACGAATGGTCGTGAACTTGCAAATATACCTAGCCCTGATTGTTTTAAGGCGATCCTTTTAATTAGTGTTGATGTCGTATACGAATACCCAAACTGATTTTTTCCTGCTGAAGGTGGCTTTCCTTTTTTTGGTCATTACTTCTAAATTCCCATTTTGATAGCATCTTGCCAAATCTCATGGAAATCACCGGATAATTTAGGTCGCTGCCTACAGCATGAAATTACTTTTCCCTGCAAGAGGTGAAGGCCAGTGGCTACTAAATTGAAGTATGAAACCTGTCCTCACTGGTTTCTATTCCACAATAGCCCTTGAAATAAACCGAGGCATAGCCGATGATGTATCCAATAAGATGCGGTTGAGCCTGTATCGAAAAAAAAAAAAAATATTGATGATGCAAGCGACGAGATTCGAACTCGCGCCCTTTCGGATCACGGATCAAGCTCCAAAGGAGCGAAACCTAAACGTGACGCCTTAACCACTCGGCCACACTTGCAATATTATGTGGAGAAAGGTATTATTGGTCTCAAGTAGTTGACTCCAACCATCCCAGTTTGGCTACGTACGTCCTCACTTTATGACATGGGACTCCACCCTGATGTTGTTTTCATTTATTATCTATTAAAGAGCGATCTCTGGTGGCTGTATATATAGCGGGATCTCGAGGATACACTGCAATGTTAGGTTTGCAAGCTCATTTAGAGTGATTTGTACAACGGACGAATCGCCGAGTCTGTCTAACACCGAACAAGTTGACTTGCAGGTCTCGCCGTTTTAGATTCTAGTTGACACTCAGCAAGCCTGGCAACTAGATAATCCGACCGTGCGTATTCGCACGGATAGGCTGGTTGCTGAACTTGCGTTCGATACAGTCCATCGATATGACAAGGGCGAATTCCTTGACGGAAGACCGAGAAGACTCGCGCAAGTAAGGGACCAAAGAGGTTCGAGACCGGCGACTGGCAGGGCCAGAAGATCTTAACCAAGTACCAATGTCAATGCCAGGGTCGATTGAAAGGCTTGCAGGCAAATTCTGTTGCTTGGTTGAGGTACTCTTCCACCAAAAAGGAACCCTGCCGTAGAAGGCGCTTCCGTTACAGGGAGTCTCTTTGGAATAATTTGATTGACGGGACAAGAAAAATCTAGTTATACATGGCATGCGCAGTAAGAAGTATATGCAGAACGCTGCCAATGGCGCTCAGGGAAGGTAATCGCCAGTCATTGCTGGCCAGTTCCCCATTCAGTTTCTTCACGCATCTCTCCGATGACCAAAACAAGCCCGGAAACCCGGGCACTTTATCGATTCAATTCAATTTACCGATCGGCAAGCATGTTCTTGATGTTGCTGTAGTATTGCGGCAGCACGTACTTCGCGATCTCGTCCTTGGACAGCCACTTAAAGTCCTTCAGGTCCTTGTTGGCGGACAGGTCAGCCTGACCGGCCATGATGCGGGACTTGAGGAAGAAAGTCTTCTCGCCGTGGTTCTCGGCACCGGTTGCCTTGTCGACGTGGGCTTTGCGGTTCTTGTAGACCTGGTGACCGAAGGGGTGGTAGCCGACCATCCAGGTGTTCATATTAACACCGGCAGTCTGGGAGAGTGTACGCTCGGCAGCCTTTTCCGAGGTAGAATCGCATTAGTACAATTACTGTGTTTCGAACGATGGTGAATCGCATCGAGTCAAACGCACCTCGCGAAGAGTCTCTTTCGCTTCCACAGGTGTACTGGGGAACTTCCAGTACCCCTCCTTCGACTGAACGAGCAGGTATAGAGTTCGCGACAATAATCGGTTCAAACTCTTGTGGTCTCCCTTCTTATCGGCCTCTGTCACCCGCGAGAATGGCCGCGGTATCTCTTCCTTCTTGCTGGTATCCTGGGAGGTAGCATTGGCTGTCGACTCGGCATCTTGCACCAGCATCTCGACCTGGTGCTCGGGCTCAGCCTCCTTCGCACCTAGAAGAAGTTCGTCGTTCCACGAGTCGCTGGCGTACGCGTTGTACTTGCCGATGTCGCGTGCCGGGGTCCGGCGCTCCTGAATCTTCTTCTTCCAGTCCTCATCCGCCGGGGTTCCACGCTTGAAATAAAAGTATTTGGTAAATGGAAGAGCTAGGCGCTCGTTCAATCGCTTCTGGTAGAAATAGAAGGCCTTCTCAAAGGGCTCAAGGTCGCGGGTCACCTGAGGCGGGCGGGACAGCACCACGCCGGCATTGATGGTGTAGGGGAAAGGAGGCGCCGCAGAGGAGACTTCTGGTGTGGCCGGGGTCGACTCAGTCGCGCTCGTAGTCGCAGCGGAAGCGTAGTTGCGGCGGCCCAGGGTTTCTTGACAGCTTCTGCACACGCCGGAGTCGAGTTTTGAGGAACCTGTTGAGAACAATTGTCAGCAAGCGTTCAACTCGGAGGAAACAGAGGTTAGACACACGTAGAAGCGACGCTATGCGCCGAGCACCATTGGATCCGGACGACATGATGTGATGCTATCGCAGATGCTGGTGCTGTGATGTCGAGTGTCCCCCGAGAAAAGTTCCCTGGTCACGTTGGCGCTAGACCCTAGCGGGCTAGACCGCCCACGGCACCTGTTTAAAAACTTCGCAGCGGCGGCCCGCCTTCTCTTTTCTTCTCCCAGGCACCCGTTACCTTATCGTCACTGCGTCTTGTTTCCCACGGCCGGTCGACCATTGAGTGGTGCTCAGAATGAATAGCGGCTATTTTTCGCTAGCGGTACCTTCTTAACGCCTAAGGTGTACTGTTAGATAGCTGTCGCGGACACTTCGGCATCCATCTCATATTTTATGCGACGTAGACCCCATCAAATATCAGATGAATTCAAAGTTTACTCTCTTCACACTTCTCTCTCGGTATGCATGAATAAAAGTATCAAAATTAGATCCTTTGTCAACCTGTTCTCGGCCCTTTGTCCCTCGAAGGTCGTTGGGCAAATGAACCTTCCTTCGATCAGGTCATAGCAGGGATCAGATGAATCATCGCTGGGCCAGTCGGAAACAAACGAGTCTGATGAGAATGAGCTTCTGGTCCTTGCAATACTTCATGCAGAACGATCATCTATTTTCATTACTGTTGTCATTCCTCCTGGATTTTCATGCTCTCGGGGAGCTGGCCATCTTAGGACCAGTTTCGACCTAGAAAATCTTCCGAAAAGATTCCAATATTGAGCCGCACTATGCAGGCTCCATGGATTGTTTATTCTGTATTCTTAAATCTGATGCTGTAATGTTCATATTGCTGCGGCATGAATGATACACCGTCAGCGTGGGCTATATATATTATATCGTAGCGCCTACGCTAAAGCACACATGAATGTTCTCCATCGTGTACCTTGAGCCCAGTCATATTTCCCTTCGTTCATGTAACATCGCAGCAGTATTCGCAATATCTGGGAAATTCTTTTCATATTCGTCGCATTTCCCAACATCTATTTTGTGGTGGTAGTCATCGCGATTGATGCTATAGACGATAAAGTTGCCCGCGCCGAGGCGATCCCGTGACGACCCCGGACTTGGGAGCCGAGGGAAAACGACAGCCGATCGCAGCCCCAACTTCCGACCTCCACGTTCTCCTCTCTGGCCCAACCCGGACGTCTCCTCTGCGATTGTCTCCCGATTTCCCATGATATTTCCACATCACTGACGGGATGTCTACCACCAAGCTCTCTTCTCCCTCCCCCTCTTCCCCCGCCTCCCCCACGAAGCTTTGCTCCAAGACCTACAAGAAGGCGTCCCAGCTGTACCTCACGCGCCGCTTGCCGGAGTCGCTTTCATCACTTCAGCCAATCATTGCTGGCGAATCACCACAAGATGAACAGTACACCAATGGCGATTATGTGGCCGCGGTCGCACCGATCGCAATTGCCCCCAGCACGTGGAGAATCAAGGTGTGGAACCTCTACATAACACTGCTCAGCGCAATAGTCGACCTTGGCGCAGAGGAGGGGAAAACCAGTTCGGCCAGAAGGAATGGAAGAACATGGCGACTCAAGTCCGCGAGGGCGGAATCTGGGACACCGTCGTTCAGATTGGCTACCAAGGCCGCGAAGGCTCCGTGGATGCGGAGGTCGTTTATAACCTGTGAGTAGCCCCATTCCCTATTCCCCATTCTCCATCCATTCATTCGCCGACATATCTGACCCATGAAATGTTTAAAGCGCCACATTGCTTCTTACCCACTCGTCCTCTCAAACTCTGAACCAGCAACGCCTCGAAACATACCTCTCATCCTACGGACAACCCAATCTCGATCTTGCCGAGCGCCTACAAGATGTATCCAACGGCTTCCAGCAGCAGCGCATGGCCGCGTCGAGTGGAGCTGACACACCGAAGGACCTAGCGGCTCGAGTGCGGATCATCGAGCTCTTTACCCTGCATGTGCTTCCCCGAAACGAAGAATGGGAGTACGCGACCGAGTTCATCAATCTGAGCGAAGTTTTGGACGAAGAGCGCAAAGAGCTGTTCCTTCAAACATTGGAAGGCTTGAAAGAAGAGAAAGAAAGAGGCGAACTTCGCGCAGCTGAATTGCAACGCCAGAAAGACGCCGAGCTGGACCGGCAACGGGATGACGAGCGCCGACAAGCAGAGGAGGCTGCCGCCGCATCACAACCGAAAGCCAATGGCCACAAGCGGAATACCAGTGAAGTGGACTACGGGATCGAGAAAAGCAGCCCGCGCAGCGCTTCCAAGGGCAAGGGGTCCAAGTCGGCAGACAAGTCGCCTAATGGCAAATCCTCGGCCCGAACCGCCCTCTCATCCAGCTCCAAGAATTCCAAGAAACAGCTCAAGCCTGAGCCTCGCAGCCAATCCCGAGCTGTGGCTAATGCTATACGCAACTTGTTCAAGCACATCGTCCAGAGCGTGTCTGGGAACCCGATGTCAATAGTTCGCACCTTGCTTTTCCTACTAGGTATCCTGATGGCGATGAGCCGGCAAGACGTGCGTGAGCGAGTCCGCAGGATCACGGGTGGTGCGTGGCAGAAGGTAAAGGGCACAGTCGGAATGGGCGTTAAAGTGAGCTACATTTAAGATATCTGCTTGCAATGAGTTGATGCCTTCAACCTTGCAGCACTTATCGTGTATATCTCCTATGTTTGGTCTGGATATTCCCCCGATTCGGTTACGGGGAAGTGATGTCGTATATACACTTCTTTCATCTGTGATTGTTTTGTCTCATGTATTAGCATAAATACCAGATTTCAGGAATACATACTGTCAATGGCTGCCTACTACTATCTAGGTTATCCAGTGGGTTAAAAGATAGACCGAGTCATACGAGAGTCTTTGATTGGCACGCCTTCATAAATGTTGGGCCGTCAGTTGTCTCACGTATATTTTTGTCCATGATATTCTCTTCGGGTATGCTTAATCCAGCAACTACGATTATCCATATGCAAAATTTTGTATCAGGAATTCCAGCCAGGGATGGCATGCATTGCCTGGATCCACTTCCCCGCACAACACATTGCTTCTTCTACATTCTGCATATTTGGAGGAAAGTTAAAGTCTATATGCAAATTATGTTCTAACTGCATGTACAAGAAGGAAGTCTATGATGCAACATGAATTATATACAACGGAACAAAGAATTAGCTGGACAAGGGCCAATCAAACCAAGTCCAGCTCACCACCATATATGCAAGGCTTAGACTTCAACAGCATCGCTGAAGCGCAGAACAGTGTTACCCCGACGGGCCGCAACAGTAATATACTTGGCATCCAAGTCAGCAATGCTGACATTGGTTTCAAAGCCAGTACGCTTGTGCGTAGTCATAAGCTTGGTAGCGTTGGAGCCGAGAGAAGGAATCGAGTAGATAGCCCAGTTATCGTACTCAGTGGCACCATTCCAGCTCATGTAGACAGTGTCGTCGTCGACAACGGCGGCAGGGTTCCAGAAAGGCGTAGCCTTCCACTCGCTCTTGAAAGCACGGTAGGACATGGCGTGTGTACGGGCACCGAACTGCGCAGAGAGAACGACGTCGCCCTTGCCGTTGTACTCCTTCACCTGGGGGTCCGATCCGTAACCAATGAACATATTGGAGGTGGTAGCGGCCTCACCCAGGAACTCGAAGCTGCCCTGGGTTTTTGTGTAGATAGCGTCGGTGGGGTCGGACAGGTTGTACAGCATGGAGCCGGACATATTGGTCAGGTCGACGTCGAAGACCATGCCGGTTGTCTCGCTTTGGGATTGGCTTTGGCTGTTGGCGTTGTTGAAGACACTCAAGACTAGACTCTCGTCGGTCTCGTTGTATACGCGGATGTGGTGTTGCCATGTGAAGCGGACGTCTTCACCGGTGAAGTCGCCATCGCCGTCACCGTCACCCTAGGGTTATTAGTAAGATTGCTAGGATTCATCCAAAACAATGGGAATGAGTTACCGAAAGCTGCCAGCGGACAGTACCATCCTTGTTCAGGTAGAAGGCGGACCAGTAGAAGCGCATAGATATCAGGTAGCCATCGTTGGTGGGGGTGACCGAGTTCATGTGGTACGCGTCCCAGGGAGTGGCTTGGACAGGGTGAGCCTGCATTCTCTGACGAGAACTAGACAGTGGAATCTTGTCCTGGTGATCCAGAGCGTTCCAGGTGAAGAGGATCTCTTTGGTGAGAATATCGATCTCATAGAAGTGGCTGACAGTCATCCACGCGTCGGAGGGACCACCCAGAGAGGTCAGGTTGTGCTGGGTGACGTTGATAGCAGAGACCAGGATGGTGTTGCGGTCAGTGATCTGGTGTTCGTGGACATCGATGTAGGAGTCGCGGGTCTCGCCCGTGGCAGTGACGAAGTTGTCGGTCAGAGTGATGGTGTGGATCTCACGGTAGGTCTTGTCGAGGATGTGAACCTTGCCGTAGCCATAGCCACCGGCCACCTCAACCTCGCCCGACCAGAAGGTGAGCACGTCCTCGTCGAACAGCTTTTGCACCCTGAAGTCCATGGTGGCTTCCTCAGGGCCCTGGTAGACAAAGTGGCCATCGTTGTCGTAGATGGTCACCGCGGTACCGGCCGTGTTCTCGTTGCGGATGGGGATGAAGATCAGACCAGGGTCAACACCGTCAGTCTTGTTCAGGGCCAGCTGGGGAGGCTCCCAAGGACCGGTCTTGAAGGAGGCATACGGCCAATTTGTCTCAGTGGCCGCACCGAGAGAATTCAGAAGGAGGGCGCCAGCAGTTAAAAAGAGAGTACCCCGCATGATGAGCGGCTCCATATAATTCCAAAGTTTACGTGGAATTAGAAAGTGACGAATTCAACGGGTGAATTGCGTGATATCAAAACAAGTGACAGCACTGGAGACACCGCGATAGAGAAACGACCAGGGGAACCGGGGGAGGACCGGGCGTGATTTCTATAGAAACCCGACAGAAGCTTAACCTGGCCCAGAAACGTCAATCGTTTCCCATCGCAGGCCTCTCGATCAAGGCTGTGACCAACTGCTTTCCACCAGGGTTGGGAGTCGAGCCCATCGAGAACGACCCGGGAAGTCGAGACGGGGCGGACTATACCGCACTCGGGGCGGGATCAGCTCCAGTCGGCGGAAATATCAGTGCTCCACCCCCTTTCGAGATTTTTTCCAAGGCCCGCCGTCCTCCACAGTCGGATCGGAAGTGCTCATTCCACTGTGTATTATTGTTTATGATCACAAAATTGGATGAATTGAGACCCGCCAGGCAGACCGCAAGATTCGCATTCGTGGAAATTCGTATTCGCTTCGAGGATGCATGAGGCCAGTTTTGACTCGCGAAGCCGAGATGGCAGGGACTATTTTCTTCACTGCTAGCAAGGGTAGCATATTCGAGGCTCCTGGATATCCAGCCCTCCGCACAATCATGAAAAAAACACAAGATAGGGTTTCGCGGCGGAAAGCCGAGACTCCACCGACTAGCAAGCTTGGCGAACAGAAGATCTCAATTTCTTCGCTTCAGTAGCCAATGCGACAATAGCCTCGTCTCAATATCTTTCGGGCGTAAGATGAGGGCATCTAGTGCTCAAGTCTGACTCCGGATGTGAAATACCTGGCTCGAGATCGAGGCTGTTTATCCACGAGTGTCGGGTGACTTTCTGCGTTGGGACCAGAATGGCCATAAACAAATAATCAGGACCATTGGACCCATATCGCCAATAGACCCCGCGTGTTTTGAGGTCTGCGTATGATGGCATTGGCTCCGTACCCTGCAGAGGGATCCCGAGAGTCCGGTTTAGATCAATTCCGAGGGAATTGTGGCTAGTCCGTGGAGACAGTCGCCTCGTGGTGCGCCTGCTCCAGCCTCCTTGGATACGCTAAGCACTATCAGATGCACCGATCTGCACTAAATCTACCTGGTTCAGATCCACGAGTCAGTCCGCTGTGGGGTTTGCAGCTGCCTTTTTCGGATGTGTCGGCAAAGAAATTGCAAGGTCCATGGATTGAACGTGGTCAGAGATGTCAAGCGCTGGGAATGGGGATTCAGTATGGTCCCGTACGGAGTACTCCGTACATCAACATACATCTGCCGAGATGAGGGTGGATCCCGGTAGATGATGGCAGACATATCAAGACCCCTAGGGTTCGGATTGACTTTCGGCCGGCAAGGGCTGTCGCTTCCAGTCGGAACTTTGCCTCTTTGAACAATGTATCAGTCAAAGAAACCAGCGAGCCCACTGCTTTATTGACAACAAGCCTTGTGCGACACAATAAGACGCTAGGAAAAAGCAAGAAGCTAGCTGGTCTTAACATGACAAAACGTTAAATTGCAAGATCGCAAAGACGCAAAAGTCGAGGCTGATTTCTCTATATCATGTAAAGCAACGCTTGGGTATATGCATCAGACATTAGAATTGGCTTGGGTATCAGTTGTTCCTCTCTTCATCTCTGCCCAAGACACCATGACTCTCAGCCAGTGTCTGTACCATCTCCGGCTCAGCCTCGTGTGAAGGACCTTGCTCAACATCCCCTTTCTCCGCAATACGAGCATGCCACTGTCGGAAGAGCTGGACAAAAAAGTGGGCTACACAGATCTGCTCGGTCGTATAAAGTAGTACCGGAACCGATGTTTTTGCCTTGATGAAAAGGTCAACAGGGGCCCACATGGCATACAACAGTGGAATGCCCAGTGCAGTGCTTTTCGCGGGACCGCAAAAGCACACAGCGATTGTCTCCTCGGGAGACATACGTTTGAATATGGATATGGACCAGCCTCGTGAAGAGAAAAACAGTGGTGGTCGTGAGGTAAAGAAGCAGACTGCAGTGAGGACGATATAGAGGCCGATGTTGAAAAACACGACAAATATCACGCTCTGGACAGAGAGGGTCTGCAGTGCTCCCGTGGCAAAGCATGAAGAGAATGTAGTCCTATCAGGTCAAGTTAGCAAATGTTGGCTGTTCGTTTCCATCTTTCTCATGAATCGCCATTGCTGACATACCAAATTAGCAGAAGCATACAGGCCGACGCCAGCTTGGGCAACTTCGTTTTCTGAACCACCGACGCCGTGCGTTCCGGCCACGTCCAGCGTACTAGCTGGCCTACAAATAGAGGCAACAGCACACTCAGCCCCAACTGCTGAAAAACGTCCTTGTACATGCTGCCTAAACTGCCACCCCCATACCGCCAAACGTCGAACTCCGCCGTGTTTGGGATGAGAGCGACGGTCCATGCAGCTGTGACGAATGGACCCAGGATATTGGCCAGGAGGACCTCGACCAAGGCTGCGGCGTCGTCGCCACCAGCGGCCCTCGTCATGACCACATTCGACGCGATTGTCGTGGGTATACACGCCGTGAATATATACCCGGCCAAAACAGCACGATCAATATGGCCGCTTGGGTCCCCAGCCAAGATGATATGCACCACCGCCAGGACCAATGACGGGATAAAGAGGAATGAGATGATCTGGACGACCAGGTGCAGTCGCCAGTTCAGGAACTGCGTAAACAGCTTTTGGCGGGGGATACTCAGACCCGAGACCAGGAAGATGATGGCAATCACGCCGTACATGACCGAATACTCGGACTTGATGATGCCGCCGTGTTTGGCGACGTTGGGGAAGAAGTAGGCCAGGACACACGCGACGCCCATCCCGATCAGCAGCCACTGCCGCAGAATCAACATCAACATCAACACTCGCTTTGCAACCGCCAGCCGCCGACCTGGGGTGCGCTCTTGCGCTGGGGCTGCGCCCGTGGAATTTTCCATTGTCTTTACTTTGCTAGTCGTGGCATCGATCTGACTGAAATGTCAAATGGTCCGACGGTGTGATATCCCTACTAGGGATCGATGTTGACGACGGGCTGAATGGGCGGTGATGAGAGAAGAGCGATAGGATCGCGCGATCGGAGGAAATCCGAACATTTTGATGTGCGATGCGGACTTGATAGCGGCGATTCTTTTCACCGCAGGGAGCTGGTCTGCGGTCTACAGATCCCCCGCCTCTGACCCTCTCCTCCGTCCTACTCATGACTTCCTATAGCACCTCACGGTATTATGGTTAATTGACATTATCTGATCCGCCAAGCTTCTCGGTCCAACGCGGCAAACCCGCCGAAATCGGGAACCCGACTGCGACTGTCGGTGCAACCATCGGGGACATGTGAAGTCTAACGCACATGCCATGATGGCATCTCTCCAGACTGCGCCCAGGTACCGATGAACCACGACTGCTTGTCTGTGGGGGGTGCTCTCCCCTAAGGTACTAGTGAAGGCCCCGGCATATTAACCGTCTACTCCGGACAGGCCACGGCCACTCCGCTGGTGGGTAAAACATTCAACCGCGAAACCACCCGGCGAGGACCAGCACACCTCGCTGGAGGGCATGAATACTCCGAATATCGCAGCAGACTCGGGCAACCCCAGACGCCCGTCAGATGACCTGCACGACGGCGGAACGAGTACTTTAATTTGCCTCGAGTCGCGTCGCGTCAAGTGACCAGTAGACACTGGCCTAGGCTGGAGGGGATCGAACCTCGGCTGAGGGGAGCTCACGCTGGCCCGGATTCTTCCGGGGTGTCCAGCTGGGCTGCAGCGGAATTCGCAGCGGATGGCGGTAGGCGGTCCAGGGACTCTTGAATAGCCGGAGTAATCAAGCTCCCTTTCCCAGCTGGTAAATGGCAGAGACCGACGGGTGGGAGCTGCGGTGGCAGCAGAGATGTAGAGGTGAGGATTACTCCAATCATACTGCAGGAGTATCCCTGGAGTCATGGACGAGCATGCCCAAAATCAGACCGTTGTAATCTTTTGTCTCTTCGCCAGAATCGCGAGTAGATCGCCCGATGACGCAGTGACAAGCATGTGAAGTCAGATCATGGAGATCTGGGGCAGCGGTGCCGCACTACAGGGCCGCGACGAGTCATCCGCCCTTGTTCCCGAAGGCCTCGGGATTGTCTGCTGCTCATCGCGCCGCACCTTCATATAAGACTGTCCGGACTGCCCTCGGTTTATCTGGCTAGACTCGGTCCTACTCTTTTCCTTTCTTGGTTTCTTTTTTTTTTTTTTTCCATCTGGCGCCGACTACGTTGGACTCCTCGCGTATATAGTAGTACTCAGTACTTCCGCTCGTCCAGCTTCCTCCGCTTCCCCGTCAGCTGTTCCACCACCCCCCCACCACAAGGTTCAGAAGCCGCCACTCGAACCGAATATTTTATCCTCGGGTCTTCTCTTAAGACCTAAAAGTGCAATTGATTTCCCCACTACTTTTTTTCGACTCAGACCCGTCTCGACCCTGCATTTCGGCTCTTACTCCCCGGGATTGTATACTTCCGACCTCTCCGCAATTTCGGTTTGCCCCCACGAAATTCGGCTACAGCTTTCTCCCTTGCGACCAATTGAGCTTGGGATCTCGAAGATTGGCGCAGATCACTGGGAAAATATCGTCGGATCTGCAGCGGAATAAAAACATCCGCGCTCTTTCTTTCTTTTCTTCTCTCGGCTTTGCAACAAAGCAGCATACATACCAACCAACATGTCCGCCAAAAATGTACAGGCCGGTAACGGCAATAAGAAGGCCTCGCCCGCCGTAAACCTCATCGGTAAATTACGCCCAGTCCCTCAGATTAAATGAACCAGTGCGAGAACCGAATGCTGACTTGTACGGGATAGCTGGTGGTGGTGCTGGTATGATGGAGGCTCTCGTCTGCCACCCTCTCGGTATGTATAGCGTGTAAAACCGCTAAGAATCATGACATTGGTCTTGGGGAGAAGATGAACACTCAGCTGACGGTGTGCAGACACCATCAAGGTCCGCATGCAACTCTCAAGGAGAGCGACGGCCCCTGGAGTAAGTACCGTTCAGTGTCCATTTCTCCGATGCCGTCGCTAACCATGCTCCACTCGATAGGCCAAGCCCCGTGGATTCATCAAGACCGGTGCCGATATCGTGCGCAAGGAGACTGCAATGGGTCTGTACAAGGGTCTGGGTGCCGTGCTGGGAGGTATTATCCCGAAGATGGCCATCCGTTTCACCTCGTACGAGTCGTACAAGGGCATGCTGGCCAATCCCGAGACTGGCCATGTCACCAGCAAAGCCACTTTCCTGGGTAAGTCGAAGTTCGATTTGCGCGCGAAAAATGCGAAATTGCTTCAGAGCTGACGGTATCCTCTAGCTGGTCTCGCTGCCGGTGTCACCGAAGCCGTGGCCGTTGTCAACCCCATGGAAGTCGTCAAGATCCGTCTGCAAGCGCAACATCACAGTCTGGCCGATCCCCTCGACACCCCCAAGTACCGCAGCGCCCCGCACGCCCTCTTCACCGTGATCAAGGAGGAAGGATTCAGCGCGCTGTATCGTGGTGTCTCCCTGACCGCGCTGCGACAAGGAACCAACCAGGCTGCCAACTTCACCGCGTATACTGAGCTTAAGGCCGCCCTGCAGCGCATGCAGCCCGAATACAGCAACACCCAGCTGCCTTCCTACCAAACCACTGTCATCGGTCTCATCTCCGGTGCCGTCGGCCCCTTCTCCAACGCCCCCATCGATACCATCAAGACCCGCCTCCAGAAGACCCGCGCTGAGCCCGGCCAATCTGCCGTCTCTCGCATTCTGGTCATTGCAAAGGACATGTTCAAGCAAGAAGGCACCCGCGCCTTCTACAAGGGTATCACCCCGCGTGTTATGCGTGTGGCCCCTGGTCAGGCCGTGACATTCACCGTGTATGAGTTCCTGAAGGGTAAGCTGGAGGCATCCAACTGGGCCTTTGTGGGTGGCAAGTTCGAGGAGTAAAGTGCTTGTTCGAGGATGATTTGGAAAGCATTGTGATACCATTCCCTCTGCATGGTGGGCGTTGCGTTTCCCCTCTGTCTTTGACAGCGTTGACTTTGGCTGTCAAGACTTGGTCGTTCAAAGGCTGGCCGGTTGGAACGGCTATGTACATATTGTTTTGTTTGTATACCACATTGTTGGATTCGTCCGGGTGTAGCGCTTCTATAATGTATAGATCAATCAGTCTCCATGTCCTGTAAGCCGGTAAACAGCTTGATGTTGGCGTTGACAACATACCCTAGGGTAGCAAAGGTTCAATTGTGCCAGGGTGTAGTCGTCCAACACCTGCCATTGCCGTTGTGGATCATTGTGGAAGGATACTGTGACAGGGCATCAGGCCCGCCGCCACCCCGCCCCGATTCACCGCTTCCCCTCCCTCCGTCAACAACCACCCAACCCAAGAGGCACAGCGCGGCATCATGCAGTCGGGAATCTCAGGTACGTCGAGCGTTATGCGCTATTCTCAACCACGGGAAACCAAACCCATTGGTCACACCGAGCAATCTCCTGACCACAACCAGTCTCCCCAGAGCTCCAGGATGCCTTCACCTCCTTCAGCGGCAACTCCTCGAGCTTCTGTCTCCCGGTGACCATCACCGGAGAGAGCTTGACGCCCCTCAGTCCGCTATCGTTTTCCGGCTCTCCTTCTAGTCCGGAATCCTTTTTCTCCTCGCTGTCCCAGATCTCCTCTATCCTGCAGCCCAAGACACCAATCTACCTCCTGCTCCGCCGCCCAACCTCCGCCGCCTCGAACCTGATCGCTCTGACCTACATCCCCTCCAATGCGCCCGTTCGGCCTAAGATGCTCTTCGCCTCGACTCGCTCAACCCTGACCCGCGAGCTCGGCACAGAGAAGTTTGCTTCCACCGTCTTCGCTACCGAGGAAGAGGAGATCGTGAGCCCGGATGCGTGGCGTGAGCGGGATGGCGAGAACAGCCCTGCTCGTCGGGAGGAACTCATGGGCGAGAAGGAGCGCGAGCTTGAAGCTGTGCGTAGGGCCGAGGCCGAGGCGAGGAGCGGCACCCTCCAGCGGGATATTGGTATTGGAGGTACCTTTGGGCCGGGATCTGGGTCTGGCATGAGGGTTTCCATGCCCGTTGACGATGCGGCCAAGTCGGCTTTGAAAGAGCTACAAGACGGTGGCCTGGTGCAACTGGTAAGTCAACTTGTTTCTACTCTCCCGTGGCGTTACAGTTTAACATAGATATCGAGCGTGGATGATTTGGGAGCGATATGGGGGCGTTATCTCATTCAAGTTCCGAAACTAACACTCAATATGGTAGACGATTGATATTTCCACCGAGAAGATTATTCTCGCCGACAGCCAGTCTGGTGTTGACGCCGGCGCTGTTGCCACTCACATCTCCTCGACCTCCCCCGGTACTCCTTCTACCACTACCCTGGCTCGGATGTCGTTGTCTTCGTGTACACCTGCCCCACTGGATCTTCGATTAAGGAGCGCATGCTGCACGCTAGCTCGCGTAGGAACGCTATTGCGGTTGCCGAAGAAGAGGGTCTCAAGATCGAGAAGAAGGTAGGAGAGCGCCTGGTCGTTGTATTTGCTGCTGAACATATGCTGATTCGAATGACAGATCGAGGCTTCAGGGCCGGATGAAATCACTGGAGATCGACTGCAAGAAGAAGTCCATCCGTCACAGAACACGGGTATTGCGCGAGGATTCGCTCGTCCTCGTCGCCCCGGCCGGTAAATCACCAGAGACTATGTTCTCTCTCCAGCACAGTTATAAAGGTACTATAAAACCACATCAACTTGGTCAATAAGTTCTCCGATAAACTATTTGTAAGAAACATACCTTCTAGCCATTTGAATCAGCACGCTGTGGCCAACATGGCCGCACGTAGCTCCCCTCCACCCGGAATGTAGATGAACAACCAAGCCAGCCACGGAGGGCGTGCAAGCCGCGATCAATTATTTCGAAAACTTTTCTTTTGGTAGAATAAGTCTGTCCTCGAGCTTCCCAAATTGATAATCTTAGGACAGCCATCTCGGTCCTTCTCCAAACGTGTGCACTCGAAACAATAGAATGCGTCACTGATGCCTTCGCCACCGCAGACAACGCACTTATTCTGGTAGTTGCCGAAAGAGCATTCATCGCAGATCCGGACGAGGGTGGTAGGACGCACGTAGGAGTCACACACGGGGCATTTGCCGTCGCACTTGTCGCAAAGACGACCGATCGAAATGCCGGGCTGCTTGCGACACATAACGAGATCAGGGTGGTGGCGAGACATGATGGGTGAAGAATGCTCTGCCGGAAAGAGTGTGACAGGAAGGGTTCGACGGCGCCGAAGAGGGGAGAAGAGAAGCTGGGGTCGCGGAGGAGGCGGTTGGCAAAAGAAGCTGCGCGCTTTCCCAAGTTCGCCGCCGGTGGTCCGTGCATATGCCCGCCGCGACCCAAACGATCACAATGGCGTGCCAGCAGCCAGCGTTTTCTCCTTCATTTTCTCTCCACTCTCTCGGAGCTGATCCATCTCTGATAACCAAGATGGCTGAAAAGTATGACAGATCATCCACTGATACGTCACCTCTTACTACGGGCAATGAAGATACTATCTATAGGACTTTTCCATCGGCAGCCGGTCCGTCCGACGAAGAAGCCAATATCGACCAACTGCCCAAGCGGGGTTTGAAACGACGACTGTCTTCCCCGTGTGAATACGACAAGCCCGAACAAGACGACTTCAAGCGTCGCAAGGTAAGCGGCCTGGGTACCAGCGAAGACTCGCCAACCGTAGCGGGAGAACAACTTGCGCCGCGTCGTGAAATCAGCGAGGAGGACCATGCAAAGCGGTTTTATGGCCCAGCTTTGGATATAGTCGCTGGTAAGTTCGCTGAAATCTCGCTTACATTGGTGCAGCAACGTCGTGGATCCAGCCAGAAAGACCGTGCAAAGCGGCTTTACGGCCCAGCTTTGGATATCATCGGTGGTAAGCTCGCTCAAGTCTCGCCTACGCCGGTGCAGCAACGCCGTGCAGATACTGTGAAGAGGCATCAGAAGACTCAGGTCAAGGAAACTCAGCTAAATTTGGTGGCTGTCCAGACTACTCAAAACCCGAGTTCCGCTTCCAATGTGGCCGATGCGACTCCGGCGAACAAGGATACTGCTACGTACGAAGATAACGAAACCTCTCGTCCAGCTGATCACGACGATGAAGGCGAGGTCCTTGACGAGGTCCTCGACGAGGTCGAGGATCTTGTGCTCTACTAACGGCCTGCCTTATCCTCATGCAGGAGCTACATCCTGTCTAGGTTTATCTCGTTCCTCGTTCCTGGATCTGGGGTGGGGTGGGTGGCAGAATTGCATCGACTCTTTGAATGTGAATGCCGTGCAATATGTGCGCAAGGCCAAGGTGGATGGAAGGTTGTCTGTGAAGAAATTTCAGCAGGTACGTATTATCCTAGTAGGAATGCGTTAACGACAGTAGCCAAATGCAGAGATCGTCTTTCAAGTACGTTAATATTAATTGGCGCAAAGATCGGAGATCGGGGATTGTAGGGTAAACGATCAAGCAGTGCTGCAAAGATTGTGAGACTGCAAGCGACCACTGATGTTCAAGTTCGAGTTTGCAACTGAATGAAGCTCGGCTCTTCCAATTATGGTGCAGGCGTGCGTCATTGGAACAAAGGCTGAAGGTCAGGTCTTGGCCGAAGATCTCCAATGTTGGCCTGTTCCACATTGACAGCAGTACATTGCACTATGGCATCATAGAGGATATTTACCCACAGGGCTATAGAATTCATCCAACTGAAGGTACCTAAGCTTCGATTTAACAAATCACAGTGTTACCCAGACACGGAGGTCCTCATGTTTGTTGCCCGCTTGTCAAACCGTGACCCACCTAGCGAAGTTGGAGCTCTCCGCAGCTTCCTGGGTTGAGCCGAGGCAGACCGATCGTCCCGGGAGGGGCCCTCGGCCTGCCGCTCGTCGCCACGTCTGCCTTCGGGGCCTGTAATTTAATGAGAATAAATTTGACATTCAGAAATCGAAGAAACTTCTATCTTTCATTTTCAAGGTGTAAGATAGACGGGTTTCCTAATAGACTTGGATATTTCCCCGATCGCACGTGATATCCAGCGGAGGCTTGGATATATATCGAAGTTACAACACTCCACCTCACAGTCTCCCTAACTACGTACGGCAACGAGACTGCCCCGTGACTTTACAATCGATTATCGTGCTCTAGTATTGCCTCAGACATTGTCTCAACACTAGCATTACTCGGGGATACCCCAACACAAGCCGCCATGCCAGTTGACAAGATCCGCGTTGTGGGAGACCCGCGCATTGAGTACAAGACTGCCACTGTCAATGGCCATAAGTACAGTCAGTATTCCAAAAGCCCCTTGCGTGCATTCAGTGAGAGAAATATGAGATTAATAATACCGGCTTTATAGGCTATCTTCTCAGCCAGCCTCAATCTGGCAAATACCGAGACACCATTTTTTTGGTGAGTTAATCGCCCAACTGGTGCACTTTTATGAAATGATGTTTCTTTCCGGATGAGATAATCCTGAGCTGACATATCAAATATTCTAGATTCATGGCTTTCCCGATATCTCCATGGGATGGCGCTACCAGATCCCGATGCTCGTGAACCTGGGGATGAGGGTAGTAGCCCCCGACTGCCTGGGATATGGTCGTACAGTAAGTAGGCCCGCCGTATCTCCGTGAAATTCAAGGTTCGCAGTGATTTATGAACTAATCCTTGCTAGGATGCGCCGGATGATTTCGTGTACTACTCACACAAACGCTGCGCAGACGATATTAAAGCGCTGGCCTCGCATCTTGGGGAATCGAAGATCATCCTGGGCGGCCATGACTGGTATACAGACCTTGACTCGATAAATGCTCGAAACCACAGCTAACAGGTCACAGGGGCGCGGCTCTTGCATACCGCATCGCATTGTGGCATCCGGATTTGATCAGCCACCTGTTCACCGTCTGCGTGCCTTATGCTAGACCACTTGAAAAGGACATTTCGCTCGAAGAAATGGTCAATACCGTGGCACCGCATTTTGCGTATCAGTTGCAGTTTGCCAGTGGGGACTTGGAAAAAGTTTTCAGATCTAAGGAGGAGATCAAGCAATTCTTGGCTGCGCTTTACGGTGGGCGTACTGAGAAGGGTGAGTTTGGATTCGATGCCGAGAAGGGTGTTCTATTGGACAAGGTCATGGGTCTGAAGCCTTCTCGGCTACTGAGCGAGGAGGTAAGTCGTAATTGTTCAGCCCTTGGCTGAGACTTTTGCGTTGACTTTGCTAATCATCACAATACAGGAATTGGATTTCTATGCGGCCGAATTCGCGAGGAACGGTATTCATGGACCACGTATGTTTTTGCACTCTAACCCAGCTACCGCTGGATTTCTAACGAATATAGTCAACTGGTACCGTACCCGAAAGGTCAACTACGCGGAGGAACTGGATATCCTTGGTCGCCGCATTGACATCCCGGTGCTCTTCATCCAGGCTCTGCGGGATCAAGCTCTCCCACCGCACCTTGGAAAATCAATGGGCAAGCATATTCCCAACCTGACCCTGAAGCAGGTCAACACTGCGCATTGGGCGTTGTGGGAGAAGCCACAGGAGGTGAATGAGATCATTGAAGAGTGGTTGAAGGATGTTGCGCTTACTGGAGGGCGATCCGAGAAGCTCTAATCGGAGGGTTGTAATCATCAATGTAGATACTAGTAGTATGCACTTATCTATAGTACATACTCGCAGAATGGCTATCGAAATATGATTGCTGGATTGAGCATAGAAAGTATCTAAGACTCGTCAAAACATAAACATCATAGCATACCAGGGTCATTTAAAACAATGGCATAAAGGCACTAGACAGATTTATGGCCCATTTCACCATATTAAAAAAACCTCGAACTAGCGAAGCCTACTACAAAGAGAGCTAATACTCGAAGACCTTGGTTTCAATACGGCATCCAACCTTATCCAGGCGATCCACGTACTCCTGGCCCAGAGCGGCAGTTGTCACGATACCGCCTCGCGAGACCTTCTTGATCTTCTCCTCGTCCTTGAGAATAACCATCGCCGCCTCAGCCACAAGGAGACCAGTAAACACGTACATGCTGCCCTGGAAGCTGAGTTTACCAAGGACACGCTTGGGAGTAGGAACGTTCTGGTCGGCGGTCGCAACAGCATGATACTCAAGTCGATCATTGAGTGAGTCTTGCATGGTTGGTCCATTGCCAGGGGCGTAGACGAGCTTTCGCAGCAACCAGCGAACCGGTGAGAGCAACAACAGCGAGAGACCCACCATCATACCTACGTGCACCAGTGCACCGATGAAGACGTTGCGAACGCTGAGCAGCTGGTGGAAGGCGAAGCGCTTTCCGTAGAACTCTGGCATGAGCGAGCTGCTGCGGTACACGATGGCCATGTCAGCCATGCCATTGGGAGAAGTGGTAAGTGTGCCCAGGTCGCGGATGGAGCGCACGCCCAGAAGCTTCTGGAAGAAAGTCTCGCGGGGGAGGTCATTTGGAGGAGGGGAGGCGGCCAGAGTGAAGGGACCGGCGAATTTGAGGAGCTGTGAAGTTGGGAGCCAGTCAAAAATACTGATGATAGTGTTGAGAGTACCGCCACTAGCACCGGAGGACCTGGATATGAGGTTAGATAGAGCCAAAGAAAAAGGAGAAGGGTAAATTTCGTACTTCATCTCTTTAATGCAGCTGTAAATCTCCCTGGTATTACACGAGATGTCCTCACGAACACGCTTGACCAGGGCCCAGGCCAGCATGTCGGCAGGGGCACTCTCGACGCCAACCGAGTGGATAATCTGGACAAAGTTAGCATTCCGATCTTGTTTCTTTTTTGAGTAACTTAAGCGCTTACTATTGAGCCGTTACTCTTCGCCTTCTCATGGTACTTGTCAACCATAACCCTGATCCAAGGGGTTTCTCCGGTACTGGACAGGTTAGTGGGTGCCAAATCAAGCACGAGGGGGAATCTCTTACACATCCAGGTAGTGAGTACCATTGTTGGCACACGCCTCCACGACGGGAGAGGAGTACTTGTGGTAAGGGCCCACGCAATTGATGATGATCTTTGTCTTCTTTGCCAGCTCATCTAGCTCGGTCTCGTTGAGCTGAACCTGCAGAACCTCTATTCTATTGTTAGCGCAGGATACTGTCAGGCAGAGCGCTAGAGAGTGGGTGACTATACCTGGCGACACGCGGTCAGGAACCAGAGCTTGGAGCTCCTTAGCAATGGGGTCGATCTTTGCTGCCGAACGACCGGCGAGAGCCCATTTGAGATTGGTGGGGTGATTCTGAACAATATGGTCTGCACAGAACCGACCGGTGTAGCCGGTAGGGCCCAGAAGGACCAGGTCGTACTTCGGATTCGTGGGCATGGTGTAGGGGTAGCTGTCACTAGCTGAAGCTCTGGTAGACGGGCGGCCCACTTAAAGCTATCGCTGGAAGGTGTTTTAGCACAGCCGTCAGAGCTGGGCGATGGCTCCTAATAAAGGAAGCGACGTAGGTAATATGAAACCTAGAATGAAAGAGACCGCAAAGAGTGCCGTGTCTTAAAGCCCGTAGAAGGTAGTTAAGGTATCCGGTTGATGTTTTCGACCAAGCCTGACCAGAGGATTGCCACGTGACCGGGAAGATGAGTCTCGCCGACGGCGTTGATGCAGTCGGAAGCTTGCGAGAAGATGGCGCCGAGGACCAAAGGGAAGATAAGGGCTGGCTGGAAATGGAATATGGTGGAAGAAATGTGATTTTTCTATTTTGTGCAACACGGAGCTGTGGTATTCCTAGGGTACGTCATGGTCTCTCCTATAGACTTACACAAGGAACAATCCAGTTCGATGCACCCTCCCGCATGGTCTCGGTCAGCACCCAAATGCCAACGCCAAGCGTCACATGCCTGCGAGGGGTTCGTCATTTATGTATGCCTGAGCAGTCAGGCTGGATATATGGCACGTGCGCAAAATGCCCCCATTGAGAGAATGACATAATCTCGATCACCCTAACGCATCATGTGACCCACACACCGCCAAGGCCTCGAGCCCTAAGCGAGCCCACCCACAACCACTCTTCAGCCGGGCTCTTTTCGATCTCCCTTCGTTCTTCAACCATCCAGCCGCACACCAGCCAAGATGACCAAGCGCACCAAGAGTATGTCGAATGCCCCCGAACATTGCTCATAAGAGCTTCCGACCCCGAAGAAAACAAAAAAGAAGATGCAACAGCCGCTAACTAATTCCCAGAGGTCGGTATCACCGGTAAATATGGTACCAGGTATGCTCAACGCCCAATGCTCCGACTCGCCTTCGAATCACCATGATCCCTCGATTGAGAAGCGACCGGAAAGAAAAAACGCCCGCCACGAAGATTCGAATATTGACCACCTCTTTTGAACAGATACGGTGCCTCCCTGCGTAAGCAGGTGAAGAAGATGGAAATCACCCAGCACGCCCGCTACGTCTGCACCTTCTGCGGAAAGAACACCGTCAAGCGCAAGGCTGTTGGTATCTGGGAGTGCAAGGGCTGCAACAAGACCGTCGCTGGTGGCGCCTACGCCGTCTCGTAAGTCACACTCTACCCCCCAAGGACGGCGGGAAAAAATATTTCGCAGCGTCATTCGGAGATTTCAAAGGAAGTCGTAGCTGACTCTAAATTCACAGCACCCCCGCCGCCGCTGCCACCCGCTCCACCATCCGTCGTCTCCGTGAGATCGCTGAGGTTTAAATGGTTTATGTGGTTTCCTTTTCTCTTCTACGGTCACGATACCAAAAATGAAAAACTCCAGAATCTGAGAATTTTGTGTCCTTTCCGTTCTTCGCGAACAATTGCGTAACTCGATGAACCTTTTTTGGTGTCTCGACCGCGGTCTGCACACATTGAAGTCATCCGAGCCCTCAACTGAAAATCGATTGCCCGACAAACCGCACCGATGGCTGTGACTATTTCGCATTGAACAAGATTTTTTCAGAAGTGATCTGGATCTCTTTCGGCTCTGAACATGCTGTGTCACAAATCGGTCGGCCAAGGGCAATCGCCGTAGATGCCAGGCCCCTGTATCTTTGCTGAACCTCCGGTCTGGCTGCCATTATGTGGTTGTCAGAACACGAAAATTACATGAATCGACGATGATATCATCATTTGGCTTATTCTCTACATTGATTCTGTGTTCTTACTACATTACACTCGTATTCCTGCGCCGCGGCCCATTCTCTAGGGCTCCGATTTGGGCCCACCAATCCTGCTGGGCGCCTGGGCTGGCATTCGAGGCGTGAAACCTCTGGATTTTGCTCTGTGATCAAGGCTGAGGATTCCCGCGCCAACTCAGATCACGCCCGAGCGGTCACGAAGCTGGTCACCGGTTCATATGAATCCCCGTAACGTTAATTACTCAAACCTAAGGCTCTTTTACTCGTTCCTGGGGCCCGCTTGCAGTAAGGGCGCAGGCACCGACGATCGCCCAGGATTCCCGGCTCAGCGCAGGATGTCCGACGGAGGCCAGCACCAAACGAATTAACGCCTGTCGCCTGTCGCCCGGCATTTAGAATCGAGTGTAGATGGGCATTGAGGGCGATTCCGGGGAATCTCATTCGGAGGTGCGGGTGATTCGCCTCCGTCACGTTGGCTGCCTGTTTTGCGTTAGACTGGATTTGCGGCCGCCTTCAAAACGCCCGGCTCCTCTTCTCCACCTTCCTACTCCCTCCTCTGTACTCACTTCCTTCCATTCTTCTTCATGCCACCTCTCGCCTTCTCACCTGCCGTTATTCCCTTCAATGTCCGAAACCTGCATTGTCTGTTTAGGCGACCTTGGCGAAAGCGCCAGTGATCCCCTCGAGCCCGTGCCAAGCTCCGATCAGCCTTCCAAGCATACCGGTACGAAGGACAAACGCGGGCTCGTGGAGGACCACTCAACTGAGATCGCCCAGCTATTACCTTGTGAACATGTCTTACACCATAACTGTTTGAAGCCATGGATCGAGCGTGCCAACAGTTGTCCGATATGTCGTCGCTCCTTTCACCAGATTAACCTAAGCGACCGACTTGGAGGTATGTATATAGTTGCTCTTCTTTCGCCGTTTGCTGCCGTCTGGCCTGGTATCATGTTGGATTTCTTATACTGAATGTTTTTTTTATTGCATTTTTAGACCCTGTCTCTTCATCATATGCCGTCGAAGACCGTGTGCAACAGGCCGATGTCGACCCATCGATGATCACCGAAGACATCGAAGATGACTTGAACGCCGAGTCTCAACCCTGCCTAGTCTGCGGGGAGGCGGACCATGAAGATGTTCTTCTGCTCTGCCATGAGTGCGATGTCCCTACACATACATATTGTATCGGTTTAGACGAGGTCCCATCGGATGATTGGTACTGCGCCCAGTGTGAGCCACAACGCGCACTTGCTGGGACTTTTGAGGAGCTTACTTCACCTCGTTCGCTTTGGCCTGGTCGCCGCCGCACTCGTACAGAACAGCGCCGTCTACAAGATCGGAGCCAAGTGCACGACCGTGAATGGGCTCGCGTCTGGCAGTCAATCCGGAACAGGTTGCAACTCGACCTGGATTTCCCGTTCGACGATGAGCAAAACTCCCCCCGTGCTCGACAGGAACGCCGTCGTGCAGAAGCCAATCGACGAGAGTTCCGCCAGTGGCAACGTCGATTTGAGATCGCCGACCGGCAGGGTGGGGGCAGACAACTTCAGGATGCAGCCACTCTGCTCAGCCTTGAGCCTCGGCCATCGCGGCCTCGCGTTCCTAGAGAGCCGACGCCCGATCCCGAATCATTGGAGGAAATGAGAGCGTGGAATGCCTTTGAGCGTGCCCGGGAAATCGAAGACAATCCTAACGCTGCCCGGAAGCGAAAGGAACCGACTCTGTCTCCATCCCCGGAGCCGACTGAACCACAGCGTCAGCGGAAGCGGCCTCGCACTCGACGACCTGAAGAACTCGCTGCTATGGCGCAACGAAATGGAGAATCTTCCTCACGGGCCGCTACTTCGAGACCTCGTCTCAATGGTGATGGCTCGGGGGAAGTAAGCTTCCTGTCTACACTCTTGAAAGAGGTCGAAGATTCTTCGACTGCTGATCACAATACTCGTCATGTACCACCAGCCGCTGCTCCAGTTGTAGCTGATCTTGGATTACCTGCCAGTGGGCCATCCTCACCATCCATCTCGCCCGCCTCTTCAACGTATTCTTCGCCTCGCCTTGCGACTACACCACCTCCAGTACTTCGAAGTCGCCCTATATCACCTCTTCAGCTTTCCTCTCCTTCTGAATGTTCTTCACCCCCTTACTCTCCTGAGGTTTCTTATTCGGACAGTCCAAACTCCCCAACTATGAAGAACGGCAGCCCACGCTCCCGTATTCCTCAGGCGGCCCGCTCTTCCTCACGCAATAATTCGCGCCCTCGTCCTTCGTTCGTCGCCGCCAAGTCCGAAAATCAATCTCGTTCACGTGATACGCCACGTCCTAATCCAAACCCTTCGCCAGCCGTCAAGACCGACATCAAAAAAATGGTCCGCACCTCGCTCGACCCGTATTACGCAGCAAAAACCATCTCGAAGGACCAGTACAAAGAAATCAACTGGAAGGTTTCCTTCAAGCTGTACGAGCGCGCCGGAGCCACAATATCCTTTGATGATGAATCGCGGGCCGACTTTGTAGCAACTGCCAAAGCCGAAGTGCAAAAGGCGATTCGTTTGCTTCGCACCCAGAAGAAGGACAAACAACCTATGACACATGCCAGCTCTGATTCAGATGGCAGTGTAATGTGATATGACAGCTACGACCATGCGTTAGCATCTGGATGGCGTTTTCTTCAGCGATTCACTTATGTATTGGTGGTGTACGGTGTAACACAATGGCGTTTAATACTCTGAGCAATCCACTTGGCTATCCCATGGGGTCTATTGTATCCCATGCTGAACACATGCATTTTTTCGACATACTTTTACTCAAATTAATGTACGATGTTGTAGTAAAAAAACTTCCTTGGGAGATCTTATATCCTGTGTCACTTTCCATGCAAAGACACTACGATTCGGACATAGATGTTCGCAGCAATGGTTATCTTCAACGGACGATTTACTCTAGGTGTGATAGACAGACATACATTAAGCATAGGAAATTAACCGCACAGCCAATTGAACGGGATTCAAACTCTAGATTAAAATAAAAACCGCTCGTTTCTTCGAGCCAGGGTTGAGCCGTGCTAAGGTTTGCAGTCTCATTTATAGGATGTACCTGAATTGCGGGTTCTATTGAGATTCTAGGTTAGCGAGCCTACGAGAAATATCGACCATAGGAATTGTAATTGGAAGAAACGAAAAGGGAGAAACGACGGAATAAGGAAACATCTGCTCACTGTTTTATCGGTGAGGTCATCCTGGTACGCATGCTCATAGCCTTCTGCTGTCCCTGACTGATCTCGCTTCCGGTTTTCGCGCACGCACACAAATCGATAGATCAGCATGATTATTCCAGCAGCGAAGGAAGTGACCACTACCGTGGTAAAACCCGGCACATATCGAGGTGCATTTGCTTCTCTGTATACAAGTGGCCCAGTGAAATTTCCTATATTTATCAACGTTAACGATCAAGGATTTCGATTATCGCGGAATGAGAACCATACCAAGACAATATCCAATATAGAGCCCGGACGACGCGATAGATCGTTTTGTATAACCAGCAATGTTAGCGATTTGCAGTCCCATCAAGACCGCATAGCCGCCTCCAATTGCAGGGAGAATATAGCAAGCAAATAGAAGCCCACCGGTCGCATCAAGCGGTAGCACAACCAGCAATATCGCGGCAAGGGTGGTGATCATTTGCGCAGTGAAGACAATCCAAGAGCGCACACCTTCATCGGAAAATTTGTAGGCCAGATACGGCGCGATGAGCTGATATGATCCTCCGAGAAAGCCCTGTGGCATGACTAGAAGCAGCGAATTGAGCGTATTGAAGCCGAACGAGTTGATGATAATCGGCGTAAAGGTAGAAATGGGTCCGTTGGCGATCATGCTGAGAAACGCGATGAAGAAAACTAGCCAAAATTTTAGATCGCCGAGCAGCTCGACTACTTGGCCTTTTTTATAATGTGTGTTGCGGACGCCGGAATTGTTCACGCGCAGTCTTGCGACGGCGATGTATCGTTGACGCTCGTCGAATCCTCGCGCTCGAACTGGATCGGATGGCAGAAGGAAGACGAGGATTAGACCCCAGATTATTGTCACTGCGCCCGCGACAAGGTACATGTATTTCCATGGAGAGAGGGAGCCGGTTATGTGGCCCAGACCATAGTTTATTAGTGGCGAGAAGACCGAGACGTAGCCTGTACAGCTATACCAAATTCTGTGAGCAATGTTAGCTCAATTACTCATTTGGTAATAGAAGAGCTCAATGAATACTTACCCCATGCGCAGGGCTTGTTCGTTCTTTTTGTACCAGCCCCCTGTCCCGTGTCAATATCTGTTTTTCAGTCGAGATATTGCCGGTACACTTACCACGATGAGCATAAACATTGGACTGATTCCACTTTCCAGCATACCGAGAAAGAATCTTTGCGTGTAGAGTGCTTTGTAGTTGAAACAAGCGGGTGTCAAGATCAGACAGATCCCCCATAGGGTTATGATACTTGAGGCAACGCGCTCGATCGGGAATCTCTGGGCGAGGGTCATAGCTGGGTAAGCTCCCACCATGAAACCCAAGTATAAAATCGCAGCGGAGAATGAATAGCGATTTCCAATCTCCAAGTGTAAATCTTCTCGAAGACCAAATAGTGCCTGAAAGAGGAAACGTTAGCTTGGAACAGATGGGGAAGAGGAAATTGTCAGTAGAGTAGAGCTTACTGCTTGCGAAAACATTGCCTTATCATAGTACTGCAAGCCATATGTCACGCACAGGATCGGCATCAGCTTCCAATCGATGCGACGCAGGACCTGCTGCTCCTCATTTTTGGTCCAAGTTTCATCCCCTGTATAGTTGGCCAGTACTTTGATTGCTTCATCGTTGTGCACCGTATCGAGGGTCGCGCACTTTTCAATTTCGGGAAGTTGAGAGCTTGAGCTCTTCGCTTTCTCGGAGACGAAGTCTTCTTGCGTCTTATCTGAAATCGACATGTGGGCTTGGAATTGGCGGCGTCGGCCTTGCAACGGCGTGGAAGATACTGGCGGATTCAGTTCGAAAAAGCTCTCAGAAAGAGTGACCCACCAGAGGTCCGCTTCGGGTCCGGGAAGAATCGAGAGATTTTATAAAACCGAGCGCAATCTTAATGACATCGAGCTGTTACCAGCTTTGACTGCCAGTCGCGAATGCCGAGCTGTACCGGCCTGCCCCGAAAGTTTACCCCGGGAATTCAAGAGCGTCAATCCGGGGGTGGGGAGTGGCGCGCAGGAACTGGAGCCTTGTAGTACCATCTTTTTTTTTTTTTTTTTTTTTTTTTGAAAGGTAAGTTATGTGGAGCACGATCGAGCGGGTGGTAAAGGATGGCCGAGACGAAACGGTAGCCGAAGTTGAGTTTAGCCGACGTGGACAGGTTAGACAGACAGTTGCCGGTATTGATGGCGCTTGGAGGGGAATGTGGAGAATCGGAGGTGCTAGGGAGGTGCGAGTCCTGGCAGTCCTTGTGACTTGGAGCCATCCGGAGTAGACGTAGGAGTCTGCTACTGACTCGTCTCTCCGAACTACACTGCAACTCTTAAGTTGAACCAGAAAGATTCCATGCAAACAGCGACGATGGCGGAAACCTCGTCATTCAACGTGCCTGCTGGACAGACAATCACCGTGAAAATCATTAATCCCGTGAATTTCGGACCAGCTCAGCTTCACAGGTTCATGGCGCCGCCTGTGCCTGGGATGGGAACACACCCAAGCAACCCCTCGTTTTCTTTTCTTCTAGAACACACTTCGGGTCGGAAGCTGGTTTTTGATCTGGGCATTCGAAAGGACTACCAGAACTACGCGCCGAAGGTTGCAGAATACATCCCCACAACAAAGTACAAGATCGAAGTCACCAAAAATGTGATTGACATACTCGAGGAGGAGGGGATCAACGGAGACGAGGTGGAAGCAGTGATCTGGAGGTACGTCGTCATCACATTGCAGCTACATAGAACAAAATACTGATAATCGAAACAGCCATTGGCACTGGGACCATATAGGCGACCCATCCACGTTTCCCCATACAACTGACCTCATTGTTGGCCCCGGATTCAAAGATGCAATGCTGCCCGGCGCACCTACAAATCCAGATTCGCCGCTTAGCGAGTCTGATTACGCGTGAGGCCTGCTACATCCTGATACAGACACAATATGCTAATCATTACACGATTCCTCAGAGGGCGAAACTTGCGGGAAATCACATTTCAAGGACCCGAATGCCTCACGATTGGCCGATTCCGAGCCTTTGACTACTTCGCAGACGGATCTTTCTATCTCCTCGACAGCCCCGGACACTCAATCGGTCATCTATGTGGTCTTGCCAGGACAACTGTCAATCCTGATACATTTGTCCTATTAGGAGGCGACGTCTGCCACTATGGCGGCATTTTTCGACCATCAAAATACTTGCCTGTACCTGCTTCCATCAAACCACATCCATGCCATCCTCATAGCGAGGTCGCATTTTGCCCCGGCGGGGCTTGGGAGGAGCTCCAAACATCGCGGGGCCGAGGCGTTAATGACCCACTCTTCACTCCGACATTCGGCCATGACATTCCTCAGATTATTGAAACTATTGGGAAGCTACAGGAAGCGGATTGCCTGGAAAATATCTTCGTTATCATAGCTCACGATGCAACTGTGCGCGATGCTGTTGACCAATTTCCTGTTAGTTTGAATCAATGGAAGGAGAAGGGCTGGGCCAAGGATCTCAAGTGGACATTTTTGAGAGATGCAGAGGAATACTGGAAATCCAAGGGCGTAATCTGAGATTAAAATGAATAGAGGACAGACTCAAAGAATATTCGAGATAGAAGGGTACCTACTACACTAGACAGTGTAAAAGTCTACACTAGCTACACTTGAGCAATGCATAAAGAATGCCGCTCCAGAGACCAAATTTCTCAAACTTACGATCGGGGTCCATCTGAGCCAATCGGCATTCATGGGGAACGAGCTATAACTCAAAGCCTGAAGCCGAGATAGTCGTCTGTTTCGGCTTCATACAAGCGTGTACCGGCTGTAGAGAGGTGGAGCTCTCCACTCCGCAGATCGATGCCCCACGACATCATCTCCGGACTGACCCATGATACCACTTGATAAAGATGACGCCGAGGCTCATGGACAGTTAAAATCCCGAAGAAGCCAAGGCACACGAATAGTGAACTGTTCGCTGCACTGTCCATCCACAACACAACACGGTCCTTCATTGTTTCATAGCCAACATGGGCAGCGTTGATGAGCCCAGCTTCAGCCAGATGAAAAAAAACCTGGACTATGATGTCCTCGTCATCGGTGCAGGTTTGTCTGGAATGTACACCCTGCATCGCATGCACAAGCTAGGTCTTCGGACGAAAGTCCTCGAGGCTGGCGGCGACGTTGGTGGAACATGGTACTGGAATCGCTATCCCGGCGCACGATTCGACTCCGAAAGCTATTCATACAATTTTTCCTTCTCACAAGAGATCCTCGACGAATGGAACTGGTCTGAGCATTTTGCATCCCAGCCGGAAACACTACGATACTGCGAATTTGTATGCAAGAAGCTCGATCTTCGCCGAGACATGCAGTTTAACACGCGGGTTAAATCAGCGCACTTCCAAGACTCCACCAATACCTGGCTGCTAACAGATGAGCAAGGGCGCCAGTATACGTCTCGCTTTTTGGTGACTTGTATCGGAATATTGAACAAGCACACCATGCCGAATATCCCCGGAGTGCACGATTTTCAAGGCGAAGCATACCACACGGCTCGTTGGCCTCTCGAGCCTGTCAGCTTTGAGAACAAGCGCGTTGCACTTGTTGGAACCGGTGCCACTGGTATCCAGGCAACACAGGAGATTGCCAAGACAGTCGGACAACTCACGGTGTTTCAACGGACACCCAACTGGAGTCTACCTTTGCGTAATGCACCGATTAGCCCCGAAGAGATGGACGAGATCCGGACACGCTATCCCGAAATCTTTCGAAAATGCGCCGAGACATACTCTTGCTTCATGCATGTCTCAGACACTCGCGATACGCTCCAAGTCGATCCCGAAGAAAGAGAAGCCTTCTGGGAAAACCTCTATGAACAGCGAGGATTTGCAAAGTGGCTGGGAAACTTTGGAAATATCAACACGAATAAAGAGGCGAACGATCTCTTCAGTGCATTTGTCGCGAACAAAATCCGGCAACGAGTTAAAGATCCCTGGACGGCCGAGACACTGATTCCAAAGTGCCATGGATTCGGCACAAAGCGTGTTCCTCTCGAATCGGGATACTTTGAAGCTTTTAATCAGCCCAATGTTCGACTGGTCGATGTCAAGTCTAACCCGATCGAGTGTATTTCGGAGAAAGGTATTCGCACCCGTGATGAGGAATTCGAATTTGATATGATCATTTATGCGACCGGATTCGACGCCGTGACGGGCTCTTTCACCGCAATTGATTTCCAAGGCGTTGAGGGAGTCAAGTTGAAAGATCGCTGGGCGGAGGGGCCTCGGACCTTCCTAGGATTGTTCGTCGAAGGATTCCCCAACATGACAATGGTGATGGGGCCACATCAGATGTTTGGGAATATCCCCCGCAGCGTCGAGTATGCTGTGGACTGGGTATCACGCTTCATCGAGTACTGCCGGAGCCACGGCATTAAGTATGCCGCGGCAACGCATCAGGGTGTAATGGACTGGACTGATCATGTTCACAACTGCGCGGTGGGCTTGTTGGCCAACGAGGTTGACTCCTGGATGACGGGTGTCAATAAGAATCTGGCACACAAGCAGAAGAGGATTATTGCGAGATATCAGGGTCCGGCTCCTGGATATCGGAAGCGGGCGGAGGATGTAGCGACGAGGAATTATGAGGATTTGATATTAGCATGAAGTTTGTAATAATGGACTAACAGTTGCAGTTTTGTTGGGATAGCGAATCACGAAGAATGAGAACAGGTTCATTTTATCTATGAGAGAACAACTGCGAAGTAGCTGCACTTCACATGAAGAGATTCGTCTCCGACAGGGTATCACAAGGCTCAAACAAATCCTGAAACTGAAGCATTGCATCGGTAAATACATCGTCGTCGAAGAAAAGTTCTTCTGTATGTGGAACTAGAAGCCTGTTTGCAACAACACTGGTCTGGGGCGTCGCGAAGGGGAAATAAGCAGTCCAGTCAATGCCATCGGCCATCTCCATATAGCCAGTCCTATCGCCTATACCGAGCTCCGGACCAGGTGGCCGCTGGGAATCTGCATCTGATGCCGCAGCATTAGATCGTATCCGATCAAATCCAGAATGGAACACTGCGGCAGTAGGCCACATCACTCGTAGCTGATCTACAGCCATTGTGAGGATGTCCAGATCTTCATTCGCACCCTTCGCTAGGCCCTCGATGCGGAGTGCTTGGAGCAAGGCAATGAATGCTGTACCGCAGTACCAGCCTGTGATGGCCATGAGGAATCTTGTCCCTCCGCGAGAAAGGATGTCTCGCATGATACGTGCCATGCATGTGGCTGCCAGTATCGCAGGTGGATAAACCTGTGGAAGTGGCTGGGAGGAAGAAGACCTTTTGAGGTGAACGATAATGATGACAGCGAGGTAAGGGAGGTGAAGCTGATGAACTTCTCGATTGAAGGAGGTTGTTCGATCCGACTCGATAGGAAGCTGGAGATGAGGCGGTAGAGATTGTACCCAGGCAATGAGCTCTCGAGCTAGGCGCACAGGGAATGTGCATGGGGCCAAGGTACAGGTTCTGGCAAGATACTCAGCGACCTTGCCTATTATCGCACACAATCGTACCCAATGAATGAATATTTCTGCTTTGGTTTGATCTCGTGGATCTGGGAAATCTTCTAATGTAGGCTCGGAGAGCGTACAATCCTCCGGGTGGATGGCGCATGGTTTGCTTTGGCAAAGCGCAGTCAGACGCTCGCGCGCAAATGCCGTCCACCAGATTCGTCGTCGTAGACTTAAATCGATTCGTTGGCGAAGAGGATGGTCGAAAGCTGGCTCGCGGTGAATGCCTAGTTGCTGACAATGGCGGATAACCACCGATGTCCACCACCAAGATGAATGTCGATGGAGAATTGTAGGAGGGCGTGGACTCCACCAGTAGAATAAAGAGATCGCCTTGAGGGAGGTCATTACATCGGGCTCTTCGTCATCATAGAATCGCCTACGTGCTCGGTCGTAGTAAGAGGCTGGTCCGTCATGGGGGATCATCGGGGGCTTGATGTGACTGCTAGCCAAAGCCAGTGCATTCACCAACAAGGGTGACCTTGAAAGCTCATCTGGTAGGGAATCTCGGTCCAGGACAGGGCACCATGTATAGCAATAATCAAAGTAGGTTTCTGCAAATGTCTGCTGCAGACCTGGATCTGGGAGATTGGAGGTTCCTGGTGGTATTTCGGCGAGTAGTCTTTCCTGATCTCTCGCATTTGTTTGCAATTCGGGGAGGAAGACATGTCCGACCGGGTAACTGTCGTTGTGCTCAGAGTGGTCTTCTGTTCTCTGCGTTGTTGGCGAGTTGTTCGAATCAGTCGACAGAGGCATGGTATGGGGTTCTCCAGCCAGATGACCAGAAGTGATCCCGTTTATAGACGACCATCTCTCATAGCCATCGCTCATGGATGACTGAACATCGTGAACGCTGGATATCGACGGTCGATGAAGGATGTCGTCAGGGTACTCTGCGGTCTGGCCTTCGTTCCTCGGGTCGTAACGGGCTGGCAACTCTCCAAAATTATCGCAATTTGTTGATACTCGCGTTTTGGCTTGTTTCGAACGAGAGGATCGAGCCCGGTCGCTGGCATTGCTGTTTGGCGGCGTTAAGGGACGGGCAGTGCTGGCGGAGGGTCGGCCTCGTCGAGACGGCCGGGTGCTAGCGAACAGTGAAGACAGTCAGCCGCTGAGGGTGGCATGATGCAGTCGATTTTTGTCCCCAAGGAGGCTCGGAATGGGACAGTCGCATACCGGCAGTCCTTCCCGGTATTCGCGCACTTGCTGCAGTTGCTGTACCCTTGACCGCCGCGCACCTGAAGGTCGCAGCGAATCTGCCACTATCACTACCAGCTAGCTCACTTGGGCATTTGACGTCCCTACCTTTTTACTGTGGCATGCAATGCACGCTAACTCCGCTCGCTTCCTTTTTGGCTGCTGGCCGGTAAACTGCAGCCAGAGTGGAGCCGACATTATCCCGTTGGCATCTACAACCGTGTCAAAGGGCGTCCGAGACAGAAAAAGAGTCCATGCCCCGCGAAGAAGTCTACGAAAAGAAAGAAATGTCGAGATCCGGCAATTTCGCGATGCGGGGAACCCCAGCTTCTCCGCAATCGCGTGGCTGTGCCCAGAATTCCATCTTGGCTGCTAGTCTCTCACTCTCCCACAGCGGCGTTCTGACCGATTCGCCTGGAAAGGCCTCTTAGCTCGATCCACCAAGATAGCCGCCATATTAATGAGGCTACCATTTTACCCGTTGTCTCAAAACAGCTCCCATACGAATTAGCGCCCTGCAGATGCGCCTGAGCAAAGAAAGTAAACATGGGTTTACTTCGACTCGCCGGGATGTCGGAGAGCTGCGTCGAAAATACCGGCAGTAATATCCCGGTATACTTGAGTGTTACAGGCCGGTACTCGGCTGGCCGGGGAGGATCTGTTGATCAGTACGCGATAACATGTAGAGACAGCAATGATCCAGGTAAATAGCCGGATCCATTACGCAAGATCGCTCACATGGGCGACACGACACTGAGTTACGGGATATTCCAAAGTGGGATGGCTGATCTTTCTCATCCAGGCCCACAACGACGCGAAGGTGTCGATCAAATTTCCGCCTTCTATAAAGCCTCGCGTTTGTAATTATCCAAAAAGAGAACTGATATATACTCCTCGTATCACATACTTCAAAATGACAGTCCCAGACCTTGCGCCAACGGATGGGGGAATGCCGGGCACACCGAACTTTCAAGCTGTCAACGGGGCAGATGGCGTCCACAAAACGAACGGAACGAATGGAGTTAAGACAATGAAGAGCCCACCTACCAATGGGCACTATTCAGCGGACTCGCCGAAGAGCTATTCGATCCCCCTCAACACAGACTACGCCTATAAGCCTCGCAAATTGCGTGTGGTGACTATCGGAGCCGGGTTCTCAGGGCTGTTGATAGCGCACAAAATTCAGCATCGATTCCCAGAGCTACAAGATTTCGTCGAGCATACGATCTATGAGGCTCGCAGCGATGTCGGAGGTACCTGGTTGATCAACAACTATCCGGGCGTCCAGTGTGATGTTCCATCGCATATCTACGCATTCCCGTTCGACCCTAATCCCAACTGGAGTCGGTTCTATTCAAGTGGAGAAGAAATCCAGGACTATATCAAGAGCACCGTGAAGAAATGGAATCTTGATCGCGACCTCCAACTCAACACGAAAGTCGTTGGGGCTGTCTGGCAAGAAGACCTTGGTCGCTGGAACTTGACTGTCGAATGTTATGGGAGGCAGCGGGAAGACTACTGCGATATTCTGATCTCGGCTCAGGGTGTTCTTGTGTAGGTTTATCCAAAAATGCGTGAGTTCAGCATGGAAAATCTGACTGACTCGAGACAATAGTCACCAATCGTGGCCTGACATCCCAGGGCTTCGCGACTTCAAAGGCCATATCACACATTCCGCTCACTGGGATCATAACTTTGATTACTCCAACAAGCGAATTGCAGTCATTGGAAATGGCTCTTCTGGAATCCAAATCACGCCGCAGATGGCAGGGTTGCCCGGAACCGAAGTTGTCAATTTCATGCGGAGTCCTGCGTGGGTCTACTACCGAGTACCACCGTCAAAGCACTTGGGTCGAGACGTCGAGGACGCAAATCCTGCATATTCTGTAGAAGAAATAGCCCGTTTCAACGACCCAGAGTCTCATAAAGACTATCGGAAGGGGATTGTTTCGCGAACGAACAAGGCATTCCGCTTGGTAAGCTACCTACTACATACCCTATCGGTCGAGCGGTTCTGAGACGATGATCTCCAGTTCATCAAAGGAGAGAATAATGAGGCAGCTGTGAAATTTGGAACCCAACAGATGGCCGAAAAGCTCAACCACGATCCCGACTTGTGTGAGAAATTGATTCCGAAATGGGAAGTTGGCTGTCGTCGAGTCACACCGGGACCTGGGTACTTGGAAGCCTTTTCCAAGCCGAATTGCAATCTCAGCAACAGCCCCATCACGAAGTTAACTGAAAATGCAGTACATACTGCAGATGGAAATGTATTTGAGTGTGATGTTGGTATGTGATTCCTGATCTGTTTCCTATCAGCCGAAGACATACTTAAGACCTGTCAGTTATCTGCGCAACTGGATTTGATGTATCCCATCGCCCCCGCTACCCGATCGTCGGCCAAAACGCCATAAATCTTGCAGATAAGTGGGCCGATGAGCCTGAGTCATACCTGTCGGTCGCGACGTCCAGTTTCCCCAATTATTTCATGATGATGGGCCCGAATTGTCTGGGCGGCCATGGCTCCCTCGTGGAATCACTCAACTGGACTGGCGACTACTTTGTGAAATGGATCAAGAAGATTGCAGCGGAAGACATTAAATACGTGGTACCCAAAAGGTCTGCCGAAGATGCATTTGGGAAATACGCCGATGAGATTCACAAGACGCTGGTATGGACGGGTGGATGCAAGAGTTGGTACAAACGTAATCGTGTTGACGGTAGGGTGACAGCTTTGTTTGGGGGAAGTGCAATTCTTTTCAATCGGATGATTAGTGACCTTCGACCTGAGGATTTTGAGGTTGAGTACAATAGTGCTAATCCCTTCCGGTTTATGGGGAATGGGTTCACCGAGTTTGAGATGACGGAGGGGAATGATCTGTCTTTTTATGTTGATGTCGCTGATACTCCTCCCTCGGCTTAGATTATTTGCCTTAAACTTGAATATAGTGAATGGTTTCCACGTTAATCACAATGATTATGAAGGTCTTCCTCGGTGTGCACCGCCTCATTCCGGGGAGGATTAAGTGCGGGAAAGCAAGCCGAGTGTTTCGGCTGTCCTTTCTGGGAAGTCACCGCGGCGTCTATCAACGGCGATCAATATAAAGAGTAGACTAAATCCAGGATACTAGCTGCCTATCAGTTATACTTTGCCGAAAATTTTGCCGTCTTAACGTCGCCGTCATGGGAATTAACGCTCGTCCTGACACGATGCATGCATGGAGGAAGCACAAGGGAAACACAGAGCCGGTGAGCCGACACTTCAGTGCGCAGAATAGGCACGGTGAACATGGAAGTAATTGACGGGGCTTCAAGGTCTGGGAGATTTTACCGGTCCCATCAACACCTCCCGATGGACTTTTGATCAAATTGCTGGCTTCTGGAGGTTAGTATTAGCTTCAAAGTAGACCTTCCCTTGCTAAACCCGCGATAGTCTGTCACAGCGATCAACCGTTGCTTGATATAGAAGACCGTCTGAATTTCAATGAGCGATACATTCTAGTAAGATTAAGGGAACTCTGGATATCTCGATGAAACTAATACTTGTCACCTGCGCAGGGCCATGAGGGATGCGGAGAGATCGTTGAGATTGGAGAGGAAATCAGCGATTCCAGATTTCAAGTGGTATCCAAGACCTCGACAACACCGAAAATCCTAGTAACTGATGGAATCATCAAATTTAGGGCGGCCGAGTGGCTCTCGTGGCTGTTCCGGGCTGCGGACTCCCAAACTGCACCGAGTGCTCGCGCAACCTATCACAGCTTTGCCCTGCTGGCATGCACCATGGTATTGGTCAAGACGGATTCTATGCAGAGTGGGTTGCAGTCAATATTCGCGCTGCAATCCCACTTCCGGAAGGTATAGCTCCTGCTGTGGCAGCGGTTGCCACGGATGCCGTCACGACAGCTTATCATGGCATTACTCGCCGAGCTGAGGTGAAAAGGGAGGAGATCATCTTTCTCTTCGGGCTTGGAGGCCTTGGATTTAATGCCTTACAAATCGTCCGACATATCGGCGCCCGCGTCATCGTGTCGGATCTCCGGCAAGAGAAGCTCGATGCAGCGCTCGCATTGGGAGTTCCACAAGAGGACATTGTACCGGTCGGAACGTCGGTCCAGGCTTTTGTACAGGAGAGCGGACTGCAGGGGAAGATCGACACTGTACTGGAATTTGTTGGCAAGCATCAAACCTTCCAAGATGCCCAACAGATTGGTGAGTTCAGATACCCTCCCCTGATCGTTGCGTCGCTAATGTGAGATTTGGGCATCTAGTCCGCTTGGGAGGCAAGATTCTCTGCGTGGGGACACTGGATCGCACGAATGAACTCGATATGAAGAATGGGATTCGGAAGCGCCTGAGTATTATTTTCACTTATGGAGGACAGCAGCGCGATCTGGTCGAGGTGCTCGATCTCATCGCTCGGAAGGTGATTCAACCACAAGTCGAGATTGGCCGCTTATGCGACTTCCCAACAGTCTTGAAAGCCCTCGGAGATGGCAAGATTCGAGATCGAGTGGCCTTGGTGTCTGACTTGGTGGCGAGGGATGGGTAGCCCCAGGTACAGCTTTGCTGGACGACTGGAGTGGATGATTCATTGGCGTCTGCAGCCGGTTCCCAGCTCGAGCTTGGTGTCATGATGGCTTGACTCCAATGTGTGCAGAGCAGCCAACTCTGCCCTGTCTGGCAAATGCAACTGCCTGGATCTGGTACTAGTAGTAGTTAAAGTTGTATTTCGTTAGCTCATGGAAGAATTCACCTGTCCGTCACCGCGTCCCTGCAGGCCCAATAGGCTTTCCGCCCGCCTCCGTGGACCAGGAAACACTCGACCTGCTAACCAAGATCGACCGCGATCATAGATCCTCCGTGCCAATTAGCCCACTCACTGCAGGGCCGGAAATCAGCTCCCAGCAAGATGGAGAGCTCTGCAGCTTCCGCTTGCATCGCCGATCCAAAAGTGGTCCTCGGTGCGCCCTAGATCCCATCCCCAAATTTGGGTCAGGAGCTTGACTCTCCACCCAAAAACCCAATTGCTGCCCACAGTCGGTCTTTTGAAGAATTTTCTGCTTAAGCATAGTCGCGAGGTGGATGATGGAGCCGACAACAGCAGGAGACGATGGAAAGTATTTACGTCATGGCACAACGCGAGGTCCAAAGTATAAAGACGGACGGCGAGCCATCGCCGACTGCCCTCCCGCCCCCTAAGCAACTAAACGCGTCGATTCTGGTGAACAAAAATGCACATTGCGACAATTGGAGCGTGGATCCTCGCCACAGGGCTGGTATCAGCCAAGACTTGCTACAATGCGACCGTGCCAGTGCCTGTTTCCGCGAGAAATGGAGTATTCGACAACCTGAGCACGCCCAAGAACAACATGGAGGCAACCATGTTCTCTATCGCTGCCACCCGGCAAGGAGGGAATTTTACGGAGGATGCACTGACGGGCTACGCGACTGTTTCTGGGCACTACAACATTTCAGCTCAGTATTGCATGCCCAACAGCTCTGCTTCTAGCAATAGCAGCCAACCTGTGCTTCAGATCTTGACCCATGGAATTGGATTTGATAAGACGTATGTCCTTGGAGACAAAATTTTTGAAATGATATGATGCTAATTGACGTGCAGCTACTGGGATCTACCCTACAACAACTTCAACTACTCCTACGTCGACTATGCGCTGTCGCGTGGCTACCACACCCTTTCATACGACCGACTAGGCCTAGGCAACTCTTCGCACGGCGACCCAAAGAGCGAGATCCAAGCCTTCCTCGAAGTCGAGGTTCTAGCCCAGATCACCCGCAGTCTGCGCAACGCTAGCCTGTCTGGAATCCGCACTAGGCCGAGCAAGATCGTTCACGTCGGACATTCCTTCGGATCCTATCTGACATTTGCTCTGAGTGCTACGTACCCCGACCTCTCGGACGGCCTCGTTCTCACTGGATTCTCGACCAATTCCAGCTTTACGCCTCAGTTCGTGGCTGGCTCCAACTTCCAGCAAGCACGCCTGGACCCGTCGATCCGGAGCCGTCCGGGATTAAATTACAGTCTGGGATATTTGGTCACCTCCAACATGGGCAATGTTGAATACACTTTGTTCGACCCGCCACACTATGATCCTAAGATTCTGGCCTTTGCAGAAAAGATCAAGCAGCCCGTGACCGTGGGCGAGCTGTTGACTATTGCTGGACTGCCCCAGGAGAGTAAGTTTTCTGGCCCGGTTCTGGTGATGGCCGGCTCCAATGACATGGCTTCCTGCGGAGGTAATTGCACTGCGACCGGAGGAGCAAGTGAATCGATCCCAGCAGCCGCGAAGGAGGCATTTCCCGATGCCAAGACGTTTTCTGCCTATATACAGCCTAACACTGGACATGGCCTGAACATGCATTACAATGCCACTGGTGGTTATAAGCAGATTGCCGACTTTTTGGGTAACCAGGGGTTGAGCAAAAACATGAAGCGACTCAGATAAACAAGAAGACATTTTCCTTGAGAGGATAGGAGTTGGAAATAGGCCCTCTTTTTAATATTGTATAATATTTAATACTCGATGTGAATTAAATCTAGTTCACAGTGGATATGATATTACCTGAATCAAAAACGAAATTCGTGATGTGGAACTTCTGCATTCTATTCATCTCCTAGCCATTGACACTAGCACTCTTCGTCATTCCAATTCCCACTGCAGCTGTCGTCCCTGCATCAACGGGAAGGATGACCCCCGTCATCCATCGAGCATGAGGTCCAGCTAGAAATACAACTGCACCGGCACAATCCCAGCCATTGCCTTCTGTACCTAGGAGACTGCGCTTTCTGCGAGCCTCTCGAGCCTCTTCGCTCATTCCCTTTCCGTACATCATTGGTGTATAGAGCATCTGCAAGGAGTCAGTGATGATAGTTCCCTCGAAAGAGGAGCATAACACTCACACCCGGGCAAACGCAATTCACTCGAATACCCTCAGCAGCATGATGCGCGGCCATCGCACGAGTAAGATTGACAATGGCACCTTTGGACGTCGGATAGAGAAGATGTGGTGTCCCACCCTTCAGCCCAGCCACGCTACCCATATTCACGATGCTTCCCTTATTTTCACCCTCATTCCGACTCATCGCGGGGATCGCATACTTGCTCATCTGGACCATGCTCGCGACATTGATGTCCATACTTTTCGCCCAGTCGGCCATGTCGACATCAACCGCTGTACCTGGCGCGCCTCCGATTCCAACATTATTCACCAAGATATCGAGCCGGCCGAATTTCTCAATGGCAAAGCAAACGGCAGTCTCGCAGTCCTCGGCGGATGTGACATCTGCCCGGAATGCGAGAGCCCGTCCACGCCCAGGTTTGGATGATATCATTTCGACCGTTTTCTTTGCCCATTCTTCGTTCAGATCAATGCATAGTACGTCGCAGCCGTCGTCGGCGAGGAGAATGGAGATCGCGCGTCCGTTGCCGATTCCGTCACCAAGACAACCTGCTCCAGTCACGATGGCTGCTTTTCGCTTTAGCGAGCGCGAGGGTGGTTCCGAGGGAATACCGGGATCCATGGTTGTGATCTAGATCTGTACCAGGTAGCTGGGGAAGGTAAGCCCTGTGCCTATCGCATATCTTTAAAGGATGGCCGAGCGATTAGTCCGATTCCCATAGTACCGTGTCGCAGAGAACACCGGTATTCCTTTTTGGGCCTGATATGCGGGGTGTGATTGTAATAAGTGCAGTCGCATAACCGAGCCGAGGCTCTCCGAGGGGCTGCGGTTGCTGCGGAGCCAATGATGTGATGCGATGCGGATCAACGCATCTGAACCTCTCTCCCTCAAGACTCCAATTCCCCAGATTCGCCTCTCTTGTCCGTATTGCTGCCGTACTGCACCCACATCTAAAGCTTGACGCAATGGCTGACTTCTCTGAATTCACTGGTCCGAGCGCCGACTGGCTTGCTCTTGAACCCAACCTGCCTGCCATCCCTAATGTCGGGATCGAGGAGTTGAAGCAGATCGTCAACAAGAATCGCGAAGAGCTCTCCGCCAAGGGCATCGCCGACCGAGGTTAGTATTTGCAGATCTGAACAGCTATACTTTATTCTCTGGAGTTCTTCTCCATATTCCAAAGGCGTCACAGAAGGAATTCCATACTTCATTCTAATGGATGAATAACAAAGGCTTGAATGACAAGGTCTCGACAAATGATTTTAGCATCACTGTTCGTGATGGATTCGTTCTGGATGCTCGCTCCTATCACCCGGCCCATATCCCCATATCGCACCCGCTTCCTGTCTACATCCATCTCCACGGTGGCGGTTATCTTTTCGGCACGCTTGATTCCGAGGACGCCATCTGCTCGCGCATTGTCGCCGATCTACTCGAGAAGAACTTCCCAATCGTCGTGTTTAACGTCAACTACCGCCATACCCCCGAATATAAATACCCAACCGCTTGGAACGATGTCGAAGATGCCTTCGTTTGGCTCCATGAGCACATCGCCGAAGTTGGTGGTCGCGGTGGTGAAGTGGTCGTCGGGGGTATCTCAGCTGGAGCACAGATGACGGCAGCGCTGGCTCTTTCTCAGCTCCGTAACGAGAATCCCGATGTGTCTGCATGCCCAAAGATCGCGGGGCAAGTCTTGATGATCCCTTGTCTCGTGCAGTTGGACAACTATGCCCCACGACAAGAGAAGTTGCGTAGTCCGGAACTGTCCAGTCTTGTGCAATGTGCCGAAGCACCTATTCTGCCCATCAGCAGAATCAAACTGTTCATGTCACTCCTTGGAGTCGATCAAATTAAGTACAATGGTCGCGATCACAGACTGAACCCAGGGAACGCGAGCGCTGAGGAGGTGAAAGATCTCCCTCCTACAACCTTTGGTCTTGCAGGCAATGACCCGCTTCGCGACGAGGGATTCTTCTACGCGCAGCTACTCAACGAGAACAAGTGAGTGACCAATACATCTTCTTTCTGAACGCGATTGATAACATATTTCCATAGGGTGCCTACAAATGTCAATGTCTTCCGCGGCGTGCCGCACGGATTCCGTCGGTACGGGGATAGACTGTCAGCCAGTAAGAGGTGGGATGAAGTGATGAGTGATGGAATCTCCTGGGCTCTTTCGCATCCCGCTCACGACTCCTTTGAGATAAAGTCGGATTAAAGAGTTGCGAGAATATCCTGGGGGAGAAGGGCAGCGCCGAACAGATGAATAGTTAACTACCTTAGACCGAATGTATAGTTACGTTAACCGATTCGTATGACGTCATCTCTAAACCAAAGAGACAAGATCACGTGAGAGATCTTTGCGTGTCATTCATAGACCAAAGCCATTCATCGTGACCCAACCAGGAAGTGTTTGGGGCCATGCTGCATGTTCCTGATTCAAAGAAGTGGGTTTTACTTTGGCCCCTGCATATCCGCTGAGTATTTCCCCGCAGGGCACAAGGCAGACACCTGAGCAACTACGAATCGCCTTTGGCATAGTTTGTAGCGTCCCTTGGGTTTTCTCGGCGAGCGTGCCCGGACTTCAATATCGGATTGCAGGGTAGGTAAATACAGTAGTGATCAGCGTTTATATTACTATTCTTTTGCTGAGAATCAAATCTGATGACGTAGGGCTGAGCGTAAGCAACGGCATGTGCAGGGCACATCTGCTTGGCGTACAGAGTGCGTTTGCCCCCAGGTGACATTGCAAACAATTCCATCCTTGATGGGATTCTTGGCTGAGCTATCTTGTATGATTGGTATGGAATATGATGTGGCTGACCACTTTAGTCTTCAGCTCTGCCCAGGTGAGGATCCTTCTGAGATCTGGTACAACTTCTTGGCATGGTCTTTGCTGGGATCGGCTGGGGCTGAATTGGACTGGAGAATACCCAGGAACTGGATGTGGAGATGAATTGAATACAGAGGCCTGGTTGATCTCGGGTTTGTTTGTTGAATATGCATTATTGTAATTCACTACTGTCGGTCCATGGCCCTTCAGAATTGACAATGTGATAGCCCGAGCAACGCTTTCTTCCGTTATAATGCAAAATCAGCTTTGCACCAGACAATTCTTTCTCCGTTGCAGTTCAATGGGATATTTACCTAAAGGAAAGGACACTATACGATAATTCGCCTGTTTGATCCCCGATTATACATGTATGTAGGGCTCAACTGCTTGCTGAGTCAATCAGCAGCAGGCTCCCGAGGTTACTATTTTTAAGGAAGTCGATATACCTTCCTCGCCACTTTCCCAATATTTTATATGCTGTTCATACTAAAAAATCGCTGAAATCAGTCAAATACCTGCAAGGATCAAGCGGACTTGGCGTAGGCGGCGCGGGGCGGGGGCCGCGGGGGCCATTTTGTGCCAAGTACGCCACAAGGAGCCTCTTCGGTGCGTGCATGAGATCATGGATATGACAGTGCACGTTTACTGTTGGAGAGTAATCGATATTTGCTCTTCTTGGACTGTTGGTGCTCACGACAAAGTGAAATCTCTGCTCTAAGCCTGAGGATTTCATTTTCATTCTATGCGATGAATGACATGGACGTTAGGATAATTTTTAGATCAATGCGAGAAAATCACATGGTACGAAGGACATGGATTTTCCCAATGCGACCTGCTTCTCACATACAATGTAGTTCCGCACGTTGATGGAAGCCAAGCAGGGCTAAAATTTGAAGACACTAAGCTGTGAATCAGAATCCAGGTACACACGGACTTGCCTGTGAATGAATGGAAACATGCGGGGGCGTCATCAAGGCTCATATAATTGGCAGACTATCGGTTGCCTCTGCTAGCTGCATAGTCTGAATTGAAATAGGCTAGAGACTGACAAAATCTCTGTCATCCGATGATTGAGGCAAAATAGTACCATCTCAACGATGAAGCCCCCAAATATTATGCAAAAAAAGTGGCTCAGACCATACTGACATCCTTTCTTGAAAGACTTTTTTGGATATGATCATCGAAGGATCGGTTTCAGGAATTCTTGGGAGACAGGGCAAAGAAACTGGGCACTTTGGGGGACAAAAGCAGATTTTCCTGGGGTGCGGACTTTGGATACACAGTGCCTTTCGTCTGATTTACCAGACGATGGGATGGGGGCCATAAGCATCAAAATGGTATATAAGAGGCCTTAATAGACCGGCCTTCTCTACTTCAACTCATTCAATCTCATCAGAATCACTGATTACTATTACATTCCAATCAAAATCTCCCGATCCACATATTTCAGCCAAAATGATCACCTACGGTGTCCTTCCTGCCATGCTTCTCGCAGCTGCCAACATTCCCTCTGCTATGGCAGCCAAGTGCTCTGCTGTTGGCACTTGGAGCACCAACTCTGCAGGCTTTGGAATCGGTGGTACCACCTATACTGGTAGCGATAGTATTACTCTCTATGACCCTGATGGGAACAACATCGGCTCGTACGAGGGTGATAAATCGGCCTGCTCCGATCTCATCACCTGGGAGTCGAATGGCTACCTCAAAGACACCTTCTCGTGGGGTGCTAGCTGCGACGGCGGCGGATTCACGTAAGCTAATTTCGATATTCTTGAGAGATTTTCATATGTGAAGATTTGATGGGCTAATGAACTTTTTTGTTTGATAGTGAATGCCACGGCGCATATGCCACCCAGACTCATATCGATGGCGAGGAACCTACGTCTGACACGAACTTTTACGGCCTCGGTATCTCGGCTGATTCTGGATGTCGTGTTCTTTTTGACTGCCCTTAGAGTACTTCCTTTCTCGGTTGTGGCATAGATAGCTTTTTGCGTCAAGCTCTGAGATTGGATCCTGGCTCGTGAATACAGCCTTAGAATCGACACCGAACTATAGTATCTTTGATTCTATCTACAGAATATTACCCTTTGCTATCATCTTATCCGAAGATTGTCATAGAATTTCGTACCTCCTTCTCTACGAATTTACTAGTAGATCCCACATCCTTCTGAGTCCTCCCTCGTAGAGGTCATTGAAAGTCTCCTTACGACTTTATGGCACCCTCTGGAGTCCGTCCCTTGCTCCAGCCAACTTCCCACTTATCTTCGATAATATCCAGCTGAATTTCCTGCGTACGCTTGAAATATCCTTCCTTGACATGGTCGTCCATACCGACATCCATGTAGCCCTCCTTTGCAACAGACCTCGGAGCGATCATGAGAGAATGGCCTAGCAAACTTAGTCATTGTGTCCAAAGTCCCCCTCGAAGAATCCTCACATACCATTGATTGTCCTGTCTGTTGCAAGTTTCATCATGCACGTAGCCACATCTTTCTGAGGGGCAAATTCCACCCCTTTAGACATCAATTGAGCCTCATAGGTGGCTGAGCGAATGGCGCTTTTGATGTAGCTGTAAATTTGTCAGGGATTATCGGGGAGATATTTACTTGGGCTCCTACCAAGGTGCCACATAGTTGATTCGAATGCCCTGCTCATGTGAATTTCTTCGGGCTGTTCTCATTAGTCCTCGAAGTCCGTACTTGCTGCTTGTGTATTGCCAATTTGCCTATATTTCAGGATTAGCTACTGTGAGAATCTCAAAAGGGGTATTTCCATACCGGAGAGTCAATCCAAGAGACCATGCTTCCAGTAATGATGAAGCTCCGATCTCGATCCTCGGTGTCGGGCTGCTTCCTGAAGTAATGCACCGCAAGCTTCCAAGTATACATGGTTCCGATCAGATTCACGTTGACGATATTGAGCTCCGGTTTGACTGGAGGAGCATTGGGGTCTAATGGAAGTCAGTCATAGAGATTGGCTGTTCGCAAAGAGATAAATACCATCCAACGGCCATAAGTCATCCCCAGAAGCCCTGCTGATTCCCGCATTTGCGATGACGATATCGCAACTCTTATGAGGGGAATTCTTGATCGCAGCCTCAAACATGGTCACTTGTTCGTCCCAGGAAGTGATGTTGCATTTCAGAAACTGGGCGTTCCTGTAGGATGAATATTAAGACTTTTGCTCGGGACAAAGCATTATGGTCACTAACGGGCCAAGTTCCTCTGCGACCTGCTTTCCTCTGGCTTCATTCAGATCGGCTATCGTGACGTAGGCTCTGTTGGAGCCAAATACAGTCAGTATTCTAATCATACTATGGACCGACAATTAAGGTGGGATTACCCTTCCGCTGCAAAAGCGCGGGCTGTTTCCTCGCCCATGCCATTAGCCCCTAGAAAATGTCAGATGGTGACTCGATGAGGAATTCGGTGAGTATACCTCCAGTAATAATGACACTTTTCCCTTTTAGGACCTCATAGTTCGGTGGAATAGTGCAATCGACTGGACCAGTATATTGGTAAGGAGATAGTTGCGGCATCGTCTGCACAAATTTGTACAAGTATATGATAGATTGCGTTGGACCGCCTTTTTGAGATACCTTGGTTGCTTAGTGCCTCCTGTTGGTGTAATACACTGCAGATTTATCCCTTGAAATGGATCTACGTCCCTGACATCCTCGGTTATTTCCCCGCGATCTAACTTCTACTGGTAGGCTTCAAGTGTCGGCTACCCTAATCGAGTAAACCGGCGGGGCTCCTGTCATATGCCCGTCCTTTTGAGTACTGCTGGTCAATGTTCTAAGTTATAGAAACAAATGAGATAATAAGTTAAGTAAGAGAAAATTCTTGTTCCAATTTTTTATTTTAAAAACTTTCTATGCCCATCTTCGGGCTACTCCTCAAGTCCCGTTCTCTTCCTCCAGGTCCACCATCTCCCGCAGAATATCCTTCAGCCCCCGTACCCCCTCGTCAACGACAGTGTTTGGGATACGTACATCGACTTCTTCGATGTACTTGAGGGGGTCGTAGGGCTGAAGGATATCTGCCTCCTTGGTGGCGTTGCCCCCCTTCTTGGTGCCATTGGCCTTTGTGCCGTTGGCTGCCGTGCTGCCATTCTCCGTGGCAGGGGCGTTCTTCGAGCCCAACGCCGTGTGGGTTCGACCCTCCGAGGAGGCGACGACTGCCTCCATCACCTCCTCGAACGTCTCGCAGCGGCCAGCGCGGAGGAGTTCGGTAGCGAGACCGGTGACCCGCTCCGTCCATCCGGCACGGTGCAAGGAGCCGAGGAGGGTCTCTTGAAGATCCTCCAGGGCAGAAGTAGCAGAGAGCTTTGTCAGGAGGTCGGATTCGAGGGCATCGGGGGTGGCAGAGGCGCCGGCGGGGGTAGATGATGGCATGGTGTCGGCGCGGGTGGGAGTAGGGACGGTTCCTCGGCTCAAGGATTTAATTCGAAGTCCAACGGTGGAGCTTTTTGGATGTTGAAACACAGCCAGATAGCTCTTTAGAGAGCTTGTAGTGTAAATACTTCAGCTTTGCCAGTTTTTTGCGCAGCGATTTGTCGCATGCGCCGGCGGCTGTCGAGCGCGCGGGATTGGCGAACGGCGAACAACGGGTGGAGGGGGCCTGCCCCTGGTTGACGCACGTTACGGTTGAAAGTAAAGAATTTATTATTAAAGGCCGCACTTGGTGCAGGGAGGAATCGAGGGACAGAAGCGCGCAAACGGTCACGGTAGTGCCGGCGGATGCTTGTCGGGTAGGGTTGAAAGGCGCGGATTCGGAGAGCGAAAGTGGGAAGAGACCGGCCAGGAGAGCGGAGAAAGTGTCAAAGGAAAGTACCCATTGCACCAATATATACCACGGAGGAGCACTGGCAGGTCAGCGAGTATATGCAGTCCTCCTTGGCTGTCGACTCGCGCAAGTGAGAAGTCAATGCCGGCGCCGAATGTAGACGCCCCGCGGGCGGTGAGAAGTCACTCCATCTATAACACTACCTTAAGAGTGTACTAGCATACGGCATTGATCAGATCGACTGGCAAATGAAGGAAATAGAAAATGACTGCATTCGTTTGTTTTGTTTAAATTCCATCTCACTTTATTCCCGAATCGCAGATTGTATCCACCTACGTCAGTCGGCCAACATCTCGAATCTCGACGGAATGGGTGCTGAAACACCCCGGGGTCTGGGTCCTGCAATCTCCGCGAAACCGATCAGATCTTTCTAGATCCCTCATATCCGGGTTCTAGAAGCCCTAAAAATTAGCCCCTCCTTCGATGATGCTTCCACCTAGGCCAAAATCGGGCCGCTTGATTGAGGGTGTGTCAAATACATCTCATCAGACGGATTGCATAGTTCCTAGAGAGAGGGTGTTTCTTTGCCCAGAAGAGACCTTGGTTACTAGAGTGTACTATTTGGACCTAGCTCTTTTAGCACAAAGTGATTGATGGAATTCTAATATAGCAACCGATTAACACCCAGGTAGCGTCTTGGTGGGGGACTGGCACGTTCTGTTTGCGGATCGCGGGTGGGATCTAAGACCTGACACGACACTGGGTCCCGAGGGCCAAGTGCCGAAGAATGCAGCCCTAGATGACTCGGTCACCGAGTATATAGACCCAATGAGACCCCCGTCGCTGCTGGCCCCCTCCAGCGTGCATGCTAGCCGACATTCGACGATTTGTTGCTTTTGGTTGCTGCGACTTGCACGGCCACCCAGGCGCGCTCCGAGTCCAGACCCAGTCACGTGCCCCGCTCCGTTGGCGACGTCGGCGAAGACGATTGAAGACGACGTCGAGGCCGAAGTCCTGCAGTTGCGCCGTTTGTCGTCGCTGGCGCCCCGAGAGTCGCCTCGCCATACCTGCCTTCGAGCTCACTCCGTCAGCCGTCATTTCCTCTAGCCTACCCCGAGGTTACCCTCCGTCCCACACCATCGCAGCTCCCATCGTCACAGGGGCCTCGAGACCCAGCCTTGCATCGCACACCACCTCGAGACCCAACTCGACACGACTCGATTCAACCGGATTTGACCCGGCTTGAATTATCCCCACTGCCATCTCCGTGCAACAAAAAGGCAGTCCTGGGCCGGTGAATGTCTGCTTGACGCGCTCGATTTTACCCGCGCTGCTCCAGCCGCCCGCCGATGAACCTGACCACCCGCACGTCTGGGCCACACCTCCTCTTTGTCAGACTCGACTTGCTCCAAACTGCCTGCGCTAGTGGTGGCTCTTGGTGCCTATAACTACTATATATTCCTCGCGCGCATCATACAACCCTGAAATTTATCCATCCGCGGTCATGTCCCTCCACACCTCCTACCACGCCGACTCCGATGCGGATGACGAGTACGAGCGCAGCGTGATCACCTCACCACACCTCCAGACCGACTCAGAGGCATCTCCCACCGACTCAGACATCACCTCTTCCGAACACACGCCTACCAAATTCGGCTACTCCAGCGAAGGGCCACGTACCCCACGGTCAATCATTTCGGACTGGACGGCCGACGAATGTTCGGAATTCCTGACGTCGCTCGGCTTACTGCAATACTGTGGACCGTTTCGGGGTAAGACCAACCGGATGTCAGCATTGAGCGCTTTCGCTAATGATGAATCTCCACAGAAAATGGGATTGTGGGCGAAGCGCTGATTGCGCTGAAGCACGAGGAACTCAAGGAAATGGGCATCAACAGCGTCGGGCACCGCTTGACTATCTTAAAGAGTGTCTATGAAATCAAGGTTCGACAACAAGTCCCGCTAGATGTTGACCACTACATCCCACTTTGTAAGGAATGCCTTCCCCTGCTCTGACTGTATTTCCTTAACACCTTCGTCCATAGCCGCGGACCAGAGCATGAGTGAGAACGCTTCGCAGGACGACATCGCAAAGCTGATATTGTCGATTCAACGCCGTGATGAGAAGCTTATGACCGTCGAAGCCGAAATGCGTCGCCTAGCGGATGATTATCGGCGGCTACGCGAAGAAATCCTGCCCGTCATCAAGATGGCCAAGGATCGATCACAACCACTCCCTCCTCCTTCAGTGTCAGGGCCAACCGAGTCATATCGCGACAGCACCACCCTGACATCACCGTCGCAGCTGACTCTCGTCGACAACTCCTCCTCGTCGAAGCTTGCGCGAGCATTTTCCAAGCGCACCTACACGGGTGGGAACACACCTAAAAATAACTCCCCAACGCATATACCTCCTTCTATATATGAGAACCGGAACTATGAAGGGTCCAGTCTGGACCCGTCCGCTGCGGCCATGGCCGCATCGTCGCATCTGACTGCTTCTATGAATGGGGGACTGCAGCATTCCCCTGGCGTTCCATCTCCGACCTCACCGAGTCACCAGCACCAGACGCTTAATCCGAGGTCCTACACTCAGCCTAGCTCCAGAGGACACGATCACCCCGAAGAGATACCGCGAGCGTCATCGCGCGCCGATCGACTCACTCCCGGCCCACCACCGGCTCGCACCGAAACTCCGTCTTCCGGATCCCGAATCGAGTCACGAGGGCCCGGAGGAGAACCGAACAGCGTGGAGATATTCAAATCATTCCGAGTATCTTGGGAAGATCCATGCTACAAGGTTCTGCCTGCCGCCCTCAAGAAGTACAACATCCACTCCGATCCCAAACTCTATGCTCTGTATATTGTATATGGCGACCAAGAACGGTGCCTTGCATTAGACGAAAAACCTTTACTGCTCTTCAAACAATTGGAGAAAGAAGGGCGAAAACCGATGTTCATGCTTCGCAAGATTCACCCTGACAACCCTTCTTATCCCATCCCTGGCTCGGCCCCCAATAGCGCGGGCTTCGACAATGGAAGACCGGCCGGAGGAGGGCAGATCAACCTACCAGGGGGCGTCCTGTGATGTTGTCTACTTTCTAGTGATGCATTTTGAGTCTGTCGCTTGTGATACCCGGTGACTTCTGACGAGGCCTTGTATGTATCTTTGATCGCATTTGATTAAGTCCACGGGATTTTTGTCTACCTCCTTTGGTCGTTGGGATGCCAACGTTCTTTACCTATATATCAGTAGTCCCGTGGATGAGCCTGGCGATTTTTTCCATTTCTTTTTTTGGCAGTTGTCCTGTCCACCTTTTTACATGCATCGTGTATAAGCATTCTTCACTTCCCTTAGATACTTGTGGCTCCGTGAATGTCGATAACATAGCATCTGACCTGCTGTCATTGTTTATCCTTTTATTCTCGTAGAACATACATTTTGAATAACGACGATTATTGACAGGCTACGGACAACACAATTTCTAACACTGCACTAGTAAACGAACACTAAGTATTTCCTCTATACCCGCCCTCTGATCAAATCAGCCGCTCGCTCGGCAACAGGTTACACAGTGGCCTGGATAATTCCACTTGGCTCAAGAGGGAAAACACTCGCATCGATAACTCTCAAATTCTTGGTTCCGTAAACCCGGAGTGTGAAAACCACTCGTTCACTCTCCTTCAACATCATGGAGCAAGTTCCCGAGGGATGGAAGCATGTATATAGCTGCTGCTTCACGACCTCCTTCGCGTGGTCCAGGTCACTCAAGTCCCTGGTATCCTCCGGCATTCACTGCCCATGTTTGAGAAGAGTCGAAATGGTTCTGTGGTGACAATACGTTCCACGAACTGCAGCTGTCCTGCCATAATTCCAGATCCAGCTGGTGGGAGAGGAAGTTGGGGTCGTAGGTGGGTTTGTCGTTGCTGTTTCCAGAAGAAATATGTATAAAGCCTCTTGAGAATGGGTGGCTGTGAATCATCACGATGGAAATAAAGTTCCCTAGAAGAGATTTGGCCAGCATATCCGTCATAGTTGTCTTGCCTGGATTCATGTTCAGCTGAGCCGGAAGAGTTAGTGCGAGGAGGCATCTTCAGATGAGAGCAAGCTATTGTGGAGATGGCGATACTGTTCCTGTAGCCAGGTAGGAGTCTCATTATTGTCAAGCTATTTGGACGACAGAGACCCAATCTCCTCCCTTGGAACAGCGCCACTACCATTGACAAGTGGGAGATATGCCATGCTAAGAAGCATTCCTGCCAACGGTCTGCTGCGGGTTTCCTCATATATCTTGCCCGCCGCTTGGACAACATTAGGATCGCGCATGATATCTCCGGAAACTTGGCCGTCGGCGACCTCGAAGTTAATTGTGGCAAGACCGTGGTCCTGTAAGTTCTCACCCACACCTGAGTTGTTGATAACCATCGAAATGTCATGTGCTTTTTGAACAAATATGCACTTTTCCAATGCCCGAGAGCTCAAGTAAATGAGGGGAATTCAGACTGCCGGCGCAAAGAAGCACTTCTTTGTTTGCTCTAATGTGACATATACCGCTGGGCGTTTGGATCTGTACACCAGTTACAAGAGTCTCTTCATTTTCGTGTTCCAAGAGAATTCGCTCGACCATAGTCTCCGCAGGCAACTTCAGGCTCGGTCGCGCTTCGACTTTGGAAGAATAATATGCTGCTGCGTATCCTCGTTTACCACTTTTGCTATCAATGGTCAACGGCGAGGTAAAAGCGCCCAGCTTACGACCATCAATTGGATCCGCGTTGGTCTGCCAACCAGCTGCGCAAATGTCTCCCCCCCCCCCCCCCAGGCCTTGTTAAAGGACCCAACACATCTGGCAGAGACACCGGGGCTGGTACTTTGGATCCATGCTTGCCATCTCTCATGTACCGAGCTGTATCGAGAAGTTCGGCAGTCGCTTCACTCGGTGTGGTATAGCTGTGGAATTTCCGGAGGTATGGGGCCATGTCCTGTGCACCCAACCCCGGGTTTTCCCAAATTCTTCCATGCCTCAAAAGTTGGGGGCATTAGGATAGACGATGCACGAGAATTCCATAGCGGAAGAACCGGCCACAACACGCCCGCAGAGTTGGCCGATTTGCCGTTTGTTTGCATGGACCTATTCATCTTTGAGTTTGGAAATAGATAACAGTATGCGAAGAACCATATCTGAGGAACAACTCATATAATCCACATCAAAGTCTGGATCCCCGTATAGCATTCCCAAAAATTCAGGAGAGTCGACTCTCGGATCCCCTATGCGATTGGCGCCTGCTTCAATGAGCAAGACCTTAATGGAGGCATCTTTGCTCAATCTATTCGCCAAGACGAGGCCGCCGATGCCTGCCCCGATGATGATATAGTCATACACTCCTGTTTCTATCTTGAGAGCCCTCGCTTTGCGGATTTCGAAGGCAGAGAGGTGTTGAAACAATCGCAACTGACTCGGGGAGGAGAGGAGTGTTTTAACCTGTCTTTAGCAGGAGCGTCATTGTCTCTCCTCAGAACAAGACTAAATTAACCTAGTGCCAGCAGGATAGAAATTCGGAGACGTCTCGCTTATCATCATGCCAATAAGAAGAGGATCTCTAAGTCTTCGTGGACCTAGATAATCCTTCGGGCCGTTGGCACGGCCCGCCGCGGCCCACCAGGGCTGTCACGACTTGTCGATAATCAATTGGGCTCAGCTGCCCTTGTACTTTTGTCAATTCCCTCAGTCGGGACTTCTGTAATGTTGGTTGAGCTCACATTCAACATGCCTCTCCTGGATGCCCGAATTCTCCGGCTGAGTATGGCTTTGGTTCATTAGGGTGGACAAATGGGATGATGGAGCTAAATATGTTTTCACCTTCGTCGTGTGTGCTCGACTCATTGATAAGATGGTTTGATAACTGGTGTCATTCTATCGCACTAGTAATTATGCATCCTGTCTCGTTTCGTGTCCTAGAAAACAGATATGGCGAGGCGATGGATCCGGCGTCGAGTGTTACTACCAAGGTAATATCGTCGCTATCCGGATATGAACATCCTCAGGTCCTCTCGCATTGATTGCGCGGGTGTCCAGTGTTACGTTGACTGACAAAAGGTCATTGCAATATATTTCTCAAGTCATTTCTCGTCGATGAGAGCAGGCATATTTCATTTGAGTCCTTTGAATAATCAAGAATAGACTCCTATCGGCTGTTGACATTTGGCTTGCGTGCAAAATTATATAGGCAAAGGTGTTTTGGCTCGTGAAATTATTGAAGAACCGACTGTGAATCCTTCGCGTTGAATTGGAGGGTTTGGTACCAATGAGAGAATTCTTGTTTGATGGACCCTCTGCATCTCGAAATACATGGCAGCCTAATGATTTTCGGACAAATCCAGACTGGCATCGAAATTTTCAAACGGAAAAGGTTCCTAAGTAGGCAGATGTTGGAGCTATTCGTTCAAAATCATCAATTCACAACGGTGGTTTGGCCAGGAAGAGTTCTAGTGGTGGAGCCACTACACTAGGATAACACCTATTTAGCCTGCACAAGCAAACGGTGACAAGTCGATGTGGAGAGGCGGTGTTTGCACTGTTTGCACTATTTATGGTCATTGCGGCGCGACCATGTAAACGCGTCGTCCATCGTCATTCCGCCCATTGGGCTACCGCGACTTCGAGATGAGCTGGAAACGAGTCATTCAGGACTCCGACGAGGATGAGCCCTTCGCGGATGATGAAGTTAAGACCTCCTTCGATCCGCTTCAGGGCCCTGAGTCCCCGCGACAGCAGGAGACCCGTGACCTTCCCGCGGTCCAGCAATCAACACATAGAACAGAGCATGCGGGGTTTCCGGAGCCTCAATTAGGTGTCAATTTCGATCAATTTCTGCAGTCGCAGGACCAGTCACAGACGGCGGTTACGTCTTCGCAGCTGCAACGGGAGGAAAGGTGGATTCCGTCGACTGGTGATGGTGGGGGTTCTATTGGTACGTGAACGGGACCTAGCGCCTTTATAGGCGGCAATGCCATATTTTTGTACTTGCAATTTCAATTGTTACTTACACGATTTGAAACAGGAGCGATGATGACCGAGATCGGACTGGCGCAGCAGAGACTGTTCGACGATGAAGGTACCAACGTCGACCCGAACCATTCGATATCTACGACCTACCCGAGCGGAATCTCCGAACCTGGCTCGTATCCTATGCACTACCAAACAGCAGGCCCGGGCGAACCCTTTGAGCCTGTTAGCCCATTACCCAATATGCCTCAAGAGCCGACTCAGCTTGTTGCACCGCCACTCACGAATGGATTTGAATACAGCACGCCTGCGCCCTCAAAGCATGTCGACTCCACAATGGACCAAATAGAGCCGACGACCACTTTTGCTACCTCAACAAATCTGACCGAGACCACACATACAAGAAATTCAGGGAAAGCTGCCCAGCGTTCCAAGTCCATGCAGAACGAGTGGAACTCTCCGCACGACACTGAGCCCAACTCCTCCGTTCGGTCACCAAAAGTCAGTAGATCGAAGAGTGATAATGGTAGAGCGGGTTTGATGTCTCCTCAGCATTCCCCGGCTAGTACACGCGATGAGCTATCTATGCCGGCAGTTACCGTCCAGGTAGCACCGGCTGATGTGATCTCAGCTAAGAAGAAGCGTGGCCGACCAAAGAAACAATCATTGCCAGAAGAAGACGAAGATGACGAATTGGCCCTTGTTCACAATTCGATTTCCGAGCGAACCAAGACCGAGAAAAGACGGCCGGGCCGACCTTCGAAGTCAGAAAAAGCAGAGGGTACGACTGGGGATCACGAAGAGACTGGCTCTCAGGCCGCAGATCCTTCTGTTTTTGGAAGTAAGGCTTCAAAAAATGCTGAGCCATCAGAGAAACCAGAACCAAAGAAAAGGCCAGTTCAGAGGAGCAAGACTGCGCCTGGCAAGCTCCAGAAACGCCGCAAAATAGATGACAATGACGACGTTATATGGGTTGAGTCAAAAACGTTAGAAGTGGAAGATGCAAAGGGCGAAACCGACTCAACCACCCTTGAGACAACAAAACAAGATGCACCCGAAGCCCCACCCATCTCAACTGAATCACCTGCGCTTAAGAAGCGCGGGCGTAAACGGAGGAAGACGGCGGAGCAAACGAGCGAGACCCAAGCAGCTCCGGCGGAGCCTGAAAAGTCAGAGCATCATCTCGGCAACCTGGCCCCGAACGTGGAAGCCAAAGCCAAAGATCAACCTTTATCCATCCCCGAACAAACTCCAAACGAGGATGAGAAGGAAAATACCGGTCCCTCTGAAGAAACACAATCGGAATCAACACCTCAGCCAGCCGAGCCGCCAGTCAAGCAGACTCCATCCGGCTCTTTACCGCAAACACCCCAGCCCGAGAACCCTAGGAAAACACACAGTCCCATTTCGTCGACCAGCAAAGTACCTTATCGCGTTGGGCTGAGCAAGAGGGCGCGGATCGCTCCATTATTGAAGGTTGTTCGGAAGTGATGGAAGTGATTGTTGCGTAGGATGTCTGCTTTCCATCTCTCGCATGTCGAATGTTCTTGTCCATTTTATTATTATACCCCTTATCTCGTATTGTTTTGGAGTCACCTTTTGGTATATTTACCAAAATTCATACTTGTTTAAGCCCTTGGCTACACATATCCATAACCCTTATTTTAGTCTTTGATGTGTGATCTTCATAGAGCAATATCAGAAGAGCCGGTTTTACGAGCAATGGTCAAAGACAGTAGAGAACCCCATTCGGACATTATTTCACACAACGCTGCGTAATGAGTGACAGGAATGAGGCGACGGTGGGTAAGCATACAGATAAAATCGACAACTCAGACCTTTGTTCAACGAAACATGAATGTATCATGAGACTGTCCAGTTCAAGGCATTTTTCACATCCACATGGCAGCAATCAAAGCCAGGAGGAGAGATGTCACAGCAGCAGTGCCAACATTTCGAAGATCCGAGTCTGCCTCTGATTTTCCACTTCGACTAGGAAAACTGGGATCCCACGCGTCGCCATTCCGCGGGGCTTCGATAGTGCAATATCCAGCGTCCTTGAGGCAACCAGCGCCGCAATGCAAGGTGGTGTTCCCACAAGTATGAAAGCTGCCACAGCACAATCCGAAAGGAGAACCAAGACAGGTGTAGTTTGCTCCGCATGTTCCATCGACTGAGACTTGCTGTGTAGGCTGGGACTTCTTAGGTCCCTTCTTGGGCTTCTTTTTGCCCGCGTGACCTGGCCACCGGCTATCCTTGCGGTACCAATTCTCGCGTGGGTCACCCAGACAGTCACCCACAGTGACAGGGCGATATCCAAGTCTCCTAATTGTCTGCAACATGTGTTCGGTAAGGTTGTGGACGGTTTGCTCGTGGGCGTCGTGTCCAATGACGAGCCAGGATTTGGTAAGAGCATCACCGAAAGAGAGTGCCTTGTCAAAGATATCCTTGGAGTGCTGGATCAGGCCGGGGTCGTCATTTTTGTAGTCATCGGTATCAATGTCATAAAGAACGATGTGATAGCCCATCTTTCCCAGATCTTCACGACAGCCCGAGTGAGCAACGCAGCTGGAGTAAGGAGGACGCATGTACGTCGGAAAACTTCCGATGATATTTCGCAACGCCGCTTCGTTCTTCTCCAGCTGTTCGGTCCGCTGTACGGGTGTAACCTTGCTAAGATCCTCATGAGACCACGTATGACTGCCGATTTGGTGACCACTGAGCATCATGCGCTCGATCAACGGGGCCCAGGGGAGTGCCATGTCATCGATTTGACCTTTGCCATTGTTGACGCCGGTAATGAAGAAAGTGGCCGGTGCTTCGTATTTGTCGAGCAGGTCAAGGAGGTCACCAGTGTACCTAGTTGGGCCGTCATCGAAGGTCAATGCAACTGTTCCAGGTTCAGTGCAGGTGCGGATTTCTTGGGGTCCGTATGGGACTTTGCCGATGAGAGGTCGTGGGATATCTCTGGTAGGCGGACCTTTGGGCAATCGATGGGCATCACACATTCCGTAATCGATCATGCAATCCGGGGACCTGCAGTGCGCCTTGGTCGAACCGCAAAAGCCTGTAACAGATGCTGGTGAGTAACGTATTCGACGAGTGGATCGCGATGCTGCTCAAATCTCACCTGCGGACGAGCAGCAGGTGCCGCCGGGACATTTACCCCATCGCGGGCCACACCTGTAGTCGAGGTTTTGAGAGACATCCCGAAACTGAAGCTGGACATCCTTCGATTCCTCCTGGGGTGAGGCAGGCTGATCGAGGGCTTGAGGAGCGAAGCAGCTGCCCAGGCAGACAAGAATACCGAGAGTCAGAAAGAGATGATATAAGTGCATGCTGAAGCAATACGGGAGAAGATGGGACGGGAGATAAAATGGATGATAAGCTGAGCTGCAGTAGTCGGGGGCTGGACGGAGAGAGGTATGAGTACAGGAAGGCGGGGAGAGAGAGCAGCAAATGGAAAAGGAAGGGACAGAGAGAAGGAAGCAGCAGATCACATTCAACTGGGCGGGTCTAAAGCTAAACACTAAAGCCGTAGCGAGCATGACTGTCGTGGAGGAAGGCACCAAACGGGACAATCATAAACCGCGCCCAAGATGGTCTCCGACTGCGCCATGCTCCATGAGAATGCAAATATCCGGGATTTTGGGCAAGAGAGCCCGAGGGTGACAGGAGCCAGGAGACGAATATATCAACGTGGGTATCGTTATTTTTTCTGTTGGACAGAGAATCCTCTTAAATTGAAGACAGCGCTTCCAGATGGCTAGCCCCGAGCCTACCGAAAAGTATCAAATTTTAGCGCCGTACATACCATGCTCTCTAGGACTTATATTGCCATTCAGTATGGACATACTTTGCATGTATCTAGGAGGCAAGACGGTTAGAAGGGACAGCCCATCCATAAAGTAGGCTGGCCGATCAGAAAAGCTGTTCTGTGTAGAGCAAGCCAGTTGCGCCGGGCTCAGTTACCAACACCGTCCTCCCCCGCCGCAGCGAACACATAGGGCGCAAGGCGATCCAGATGCGGGCCCAGCTTAGCCGGTGCACTTCGTGTAACGGTACCGATGACAGCGATCAGGTGACGACGGTGAATGGTAGTAATTTTGGAGGACGACAAATCATCGACAAGACGTCCTACGAATATGTTGAGCTGGTTGTCAGAGAAGAACAACACCAGTGCCCCAATAGCAGCAAGGGCACGCTTGGTGACCACGGTGCCAGCAGTGTCGGTGTGAATAATAGCCATAACGGATTGTTGAAGGGAATCGAGCTCTGTCTCTTGAAGAAGTGGACCAAAACAAGTGACGACCCTGATGAGCACATCAATTGCATCGCTACTGAATCCCTTCGACGCATCCTTCTCCAGCATTCCTCTGACAACAGAACCGCGTCGGCCCGAGGACGATGGAGTCGAACCGGCCAATTTGGGAATCAGGACTCTGGAAATCGCAAGGTACGCATTTCTCACCGACGGCTGAGGGGGCTGGTTGGCTTGCGGGTGGGGAAGGGTGTCGACGATAGTGCGGAGAGCGGTGTTGGGGACAGAGGTGTCGATGGTTTGAGAGGAGGTCAAGTTGGTCAATTTCTCGAGGATAGACACGAGCGTTTCGGGAGGCACTCGTAGAGCCAGGGGTCCAAGACTGTTACGCGCTGAGTTAGCAGATTTCGACCTCACGATGCAAGACGGGGATGCTTACCATTGGAGAGCTTGGTTCTGAACCTCGCCATGCTGATCATCCAGGGCTTTCAACAGGCCATCGGCCAGCTGCGTAGTTGTGCGGCTTTCGTTAGAGAGAAAGAGAGAGCTCTGATCGTTGAGAATCCCAAAGAGGTCGTTCAAAGACATGTACCTCAGATCAGCGTCGGGGTCGTCCAGCTTCGGCAGCAAGCTGTGGATGTTCTGCTGGATCACCTGTCGGTCTCCCATGGTGAAAAAAAATGCAGACTCAACCTGCAAGCTAGCCCGAGATGAGAAATTGGAGTTGAGGGGTCGGAGGAAGAAAGGTCCAGTGGCTTTCAAGCTAATTAAGGACGAGCACGATAGAGGCGGCTCGATAGGCAAACGTGGGGTTTTGCGGCCTGAGGCATTCAGGCATCATGGAGCTGCTGCAACAAGTGCTTTCTGCCTCAGGCATAAATAAAGTGGCCCGTGCTTTGTACACTGAGGTCTACCATACAAATTACATGAGTTCGTTACCCGATGGTGGTTACACGAACTGCCTTTTCAAACTATTCCAAAAAGTCCCGCATTGGAGGTTATATAACTCGAAGAGATCCAAGCTGAGGATTGACCTATTAGAACGAATGAGGACGCTCCTGGATTTAAAAAACAAATACCATCTGTATTGGACTCCAGTGCATACTTTGATCTAATCTGATCGTCGGGCGCTTCGTTTCCACGGTCCACGGTTGAGCTCGACCAGAACGATTCCCAGCAGCAGGGATGATTGAAGTTCATAAGGTTTCAGCCAGACTGCTTATTCTATCCGGGGAATACTCTGTAGCTTTTTCATCTAAATTGAATAGGTAGGGTATCTGCCGCTATGGGAGAGCATTACATCACCGCGCACAGACCATCGGAAGCAGCAGGGAATGCGGTCTTACGATGCCGGAGGAAGTCACGAGCAACGGCAGATGGCTGGGCTGCAGGTGGTCTGTTCAAAATAATTTATCACCTCTCTCTCATCCTATCACGCCGCCCTGATTCTCTATCCTTCCTCGTTCATTCGTATTCCTTTCTCTCTCGTACCTCGTCCAGCATGGTCTTTGCTCGCCATTCTCTTCGCGGCGCCGTTACGGCTGCCCAGACATTTCGCGCGGTCCCTGTTGCCCGGCGATCGGGACAGCTGCTGGGTCGTCGATTTTACTCCAGTGGGAAGGGATATGAGGAGCACTCGACCAGTGATATGCCTTGGTATGGTCAATTAGACGCAATTGAGTGTTTACTTGCGATATACAAACTCTTGCTGACATTTTGTTTGATAGGTTGATCGGCTCCGTTGGAGTTACAGTTCCCATGGTCTACTACCTGCTTCAATCTGGCCCGGAAAAGAATCTTCATGATCATGGTCACGATCACGATGAGCACGGCGATGAGCACAAGGAAGAGCATGCCGGCGAGACTGCTCCAGATTCGGAAGATGCTTCTGCTGAAGCTGCTCCCGCCGAAAAGGAAGACAAGCTTGCCGAAGAGTCCTCAGGGCAGCCCAAGGAAGAACCCAAGGGGTCTAAGGAAGAGCCTAAGGAAGAGCCCAAGGAAGAGCCCGCGCAAAAGGACTCTGAGGAGCCTAAGCAGAACGCTGCGGAAGATTCCAAGGAAGAGTCATCTAACTCTGAGAAGGAGGTAAGTCTTGTCAATTGACCTCAATTGTTCACAGCATTGTTCTCATGCATCCCAGTCTGCTCCCAAGGGGACTGGCGACAAGCAGGAAAATCAATCCAAAGACCAACCGGCGGATGAGTCGAGCAAGAACGACAAGAGCGAGGGAGAGTCTGAGTCCGCAAAGTCTGAGAAGTCACAGGAGTAAGCTTTTAGGAGTGTCAACGGACTGTACTGATGTATTACATATGACGAGTCTAATTCGGCAGTTATACGTGTACAATGAAATAAATGGCTGCCATTTTCAATTCACCGCCCAAGTTCAAATATAGGTGCTTACCCTCCACTTGACATTGCTCATAGAAGATCATTGATATATTCATTTCATCCGCACAAGTCGGAGACTCGATCATACTAGAACAGACAACCAATAAAAAGGGGAACATGTAGTGATAAACACATACCCAAAAAAAGAAACCCCGGGGATTCCTCTGTGCATGAATCGAATAAAAGAAAAGATCCACACGTACACCCCGATACCCAATGCATCACAGGAAATTGGCAGAGCCCTCTCTCCGTATGAGAAAAAGACTCGCTCCGAACAACGAACACCATACCGGACATCCAATTCCGGTCTTCGAGCCATGCGTAATTATAAACAGGGGCTAGGCGCTTCTAATGAGCACCCGCCAAATATGAAACCGGTGACAATAATAAAACATGGGTGATGAAGTCTCAGGTACTCGGGACACAAGGGTCTCCGGCACGGTTCCTGGGAGTTCAACCCGGAAGGCAAAGCAACATATCCAATGTCTAAGCCTTCTTGCTGCGGGTCCGGGGACCACGCTGCTCGGTCGTGGGCTGGCCGTTGACCATAACCTGGGGAGCCTGGTTCTCCTGCTGCTGAGAGCCGGTTGCCAGCGTAGCCTTGCTTTCGGCCTCGACTTGGGCTTCCTCCTCTTCCTCCTCGTCTTCGTCGTCGCTGCGCTCATCCTTCTTCACGCTGTTGAAAATGTAGTTGGCCAGGATGCGCAAAATCAGGAAGAGCCAGAACAGGTTCACGGCCTGGAGACTGGCGAGGAGACCAAAAGTAATGTACTGACTAATCCAGCACTTGTATTGCTGGGTCTCCCAATTCAATTCGAAGGGGCCGACGGTACGGAACTCGGTCAGCACGGCCCAAAGGATCTTCAGGTTGATGTAGTGACGCAAGTAGATCCAGACACCAACGAAAGTGGCGAAATATGGAGCGGTGATAATCGAGTCCAGGTAGTTCAGTGTCTTAGAAGTCTGTCGGAGGTGCAATTAGCAGCTACTCGAATTAATTAACTTTTCGTGCGCCAGATACATACCGCCAAGAAGAAGTCCGAGATATCGTGGGTGATGTACACGGCCAGGCCCATGTAGGTAAAGTGGAAGCGATAGCTCAGTCCAATGAGCGCAAGCGTGATGATGTGATGTCCAACCAGCTCCTTGAAATCCTTCCGAGGCTTCTCCAGCTGCAGCATTAGAACAATGGCCTGCTGCGCCCAGTAACTAGCCTCGAGGAGATAGTACGCTTTGAAGCAGGCCTCATGCTCACGATGCGGGAAGCCCTCGAACATGGCGGTGGTGTTGAAATACCACAGAGTGGACCGCTTCATCACGTAGAGGCCGAACGGTCCGAAAATCGCGAAGTAGATCGCGGTGTAGACCTGCTCCATAAAGCGGGCGGTCTTGCCTCGGCCCTTGATCCCGCAAAACTTCGCCAGCGGGCGAATGATCTGCTGCATCATGAATTCACGCGTGAACGAGAGCACAACCGTGTAGAAGGCGACGAAGGCGATGTCCTTCTTACCCTTGCCGTACATGATCGGACCGCCAGGGGTCTTCGGCGGCTGTGGGTAGGAAAGGAAGATGGCGCTGTGCATAGGGTTCGATGTGGTCGGGTTGACGGCGTACAGCGACAGCAGAAAAGTCATGATGAGCAGGGGGAGCAGCCAGGTATACTTGAGGCAGGTGTCGGCGAAGCGATGGAGGTACGAGCGGCTTCGGCGGCGTTTCGAATGTGTCTTGGTGGCGGATTTGTCCTGTACCTGCGTGTCCAATTGCTATATCGCGATCGCGTCAATAACTGCCAACGAGGTTTGGGGCGTTGTTCTCTTCTTCCGGGGGAGCTTCTCATGCGCAGGGGAGCTGCGGGCGCGGGCGGGCGCAGACACCGATATAGACACATACCTTGCTCTGGTCGGGCGAGGTGGGCTCAATCGGGCTCACTTCGTTCATGGTGGACATGGCGGGCGCGCTGGTGTCGCCACGGATGTCCACCCCCAGGTTTGATCGTCCACGCGGGCGGACCATGTTGGCGATGATATGAGGGAGATCGGGAGAGAGCGACTCTCTGGCGGGTTGGGAAGGGGGGGGGAAGGTCGAGGACACCAAATTGCAGCCCGATCAGATGCAAAGAAAGAAAAGACGAGTCGGGCCTCGGGGCGAGGAACCACTCGTATTCGTACTCAAGAGGGTTGAAGTCGCAGTGAACTTTTTCTCCTTTTTCGATTTTTCGGGTTTGGGCGGGTCAGCGGTCTTGGCGCCAGGCACTTCGGGAGTATGTCTGCCTACATAGAGTACTAGAGGTATATTGTAGTTATGCTAGTAGTATACAATTTGATGGCTGTATTACTGCATGATCGTAGACAGCTGCAGCTGATCATCTTCCGGTTCGACTGACTATATTTACAGTCTTGGGCCAGTCGTAACCTCATGTGTTGATCGCCGGATGGGGCAGTGGAGCAGCAGAGTCGCAGGAGGTATGGTGATGCACCACAATGACGTCCATCGTTCACAATGCGTGGTGCTACTCAGGTGCTGTGCATCAGTGTATGCTTCAATCAATGCATTCTTCAGAGCCCTTCCACGATATTAGGCAAAGCTCCAACATTTTTGAAGTTGAGCCATCTATATATCCTAGGAGTAGCCCTCTAATTTCCAATACTACGAGCAGCAATTCTATATTACCTAGTTACAGCATCGAGCATACGAACCGTATCAACATACTATGATATATACAAGAACTAACAACCTTCAAGTGGCAACTTCCAAGGTTGGAAAGTGACGCAGAAGAAGAGCAAACGGAAACATTTTATAGGGTCCCGAACGAACTGTACGAGGTCGACCGTGTCAAGCGAGTGCTGATGCTATCTTGGCTTAGTCCAGAGAGCCTCGGGAATCTCGTTCAGCGTCACAAAGTACCACTGATCCCCTGGCGGTCGAGTTTCGTCGGTCCGGATCTCTCTGATACTCTCGTCCAGGATCAGGTTCGTTATCTCCTCGGCCGCCCTCAGTGCCGACTTCTTCGCCCGAGCCGCTTGGGCTGGCGTGGTAATCCATTGATCGATTCCCTGGTACCTCCAATGCAGCTCGTCGAGGATGTTCTCGAGGATGTCGCAAAACCGGGAGTGCATTCGCCGGTGCGTCAAGACGCTGGAGGCTCGAAGGACCCAGTGCCGGAACATACTCACACCGTCAACGCCAAAATGGCGGACAGCGGCTATCCCGATCAAAAAGCTCTTGTTAACCGGGGAGATTGGGCCGTTCGGAGTATGCTCGTGGCGACAGGGTCGATTTCGGGCGACGAGGCCATCAATCTGGCAATCACGCGCTGTTTGCACCAGAGGGCGAAGAACCAGGGATGGGTGATAACGCTAAGTCAGATGGTCCCATTCACAGACGTAATATTGATCGCTGGCCGGCCAGTTTGGTGGTTAAGAGATTGACATGGCCGGGAAACCAGAGCGAGTGAACTATGCGGTGGATGTCGGTTGCGGCAAACGCCGTCCTCGCGCGGTCGACGAGCAACGGCCACACCGGCATGGCGTTTGGCAACGGAGTCGAGAGATCCCCAATCTCGATGCCCATTTTTCGCTCGTAATTGCTCGCACTGAGGAATTGTGTTTGCCGAATCCATTCCCACGGGGCAGCCATCCCCGTTATCTGCGCCGGAGTATATCCCGAGACCTGCAGCGCCTCTCCGGGAAGAGGTGCAACGGTCTCCAATGGACAAGGTTGATCCACTCTCGCGAAAGCCGCTCACTTGGCCAAAGCCGTGGCAGGTGATTCGGCTCCGGTGGCGTGTTTTTGGGGTTTGCGAAGGGCAATTGATAAGAGGCAGCAAGGGCTAGCAGGCATCTGGTTCATGATCCAGATGCGCAACGGGGCATTGAGTTGCACCGGGTCCACCAGACCACCAGGGGGAGGGATGAGTTCTCCCTTTCGGATCACCTCTAATAGCTTCTTCCCCATTGCCCAAGACGTCGATCGACGAGCCATCCGGAGGCAGAGTATCCGGCCTTGGCCACGAGGAAACGGAAGGTAACAAGATCGCCAGACCGCAGAATCCGGTCATTATAGTTAACGAGTAAGGTAATACCGCTAACAAGGGGAACCACAGTCGGGGGTGCTTGTACGATCATTGAAGTCGGTGTGGCCCAGGGTGGAAAACTGGAACACCTCTTGCCCCCGGCGGAAGCAGAATGAGTTAACGACTGCCTCTTGAAATTGGCGCCACTGCACATTTGTCATGGGCAAAACTTGGGCAAGATCAGCAACTAGTTCCTGCCAAAGATTCGTCCGGGAGCGCTGTTGAACCTCCCTGAAATCCCGCGCATCAGACCAAGCTCAGCCGTGACGCCACAATGCGCGGGCTCGTAAGGAATCGACTCGCGTCTATGCTGCATCGAAGAACCTCGGTGGAACAGCCTCATGTAAACTCGCAAGAGCCTTTAACACCGCAAGATCCCCTAGGAGGAATCGTCGGTTTAATTTGGGTTGTTCAGAAACAGTATAACACATTAGTCCGGTCTCGAATGCCGAGTCGACTTCAAAACAAGAAATCTCTAGGGATATCAAGTCCTGACCATTCATTTGGAATTCTCGATGTATGGGACATTGTCAAGCCAATCATTCAGACAGCATCGATGCTTGCTCTTTACTGTGTGCTCAATGAACCAACTACTTCATGCTAAAAGGGATGAAAATAGAACAATTACTTGTTGAGATTAGACGTAACTATTTGATCTGGTTTGCTCATAAGACGCATTTCCTTGAACTTCATACAAAAGTACAACAAAGCGGCAGGTTGCTTTGCTCGAAGCTGTCTATTCGCTTTTCAATTAGGCTATCTCGAGCAAATTCCACCACGTCAAATATAATAGTCTGCACTAGTGACCGGAAATGCGTATGTTTACTTCAGCCCAGCGCTTAGGCGAAGGAAAAGACAAAGGAAATACAGAGCAAACCATTTCCACTCTGAACCTTTCACCTGATTCTCCTTAAACAAATCGATCCTTGGTTCGACTTCTACCCAAGACAATGACCTGTCACTACAAGGTAGTTCTATTGGGCACTGAGGTAGCTTGCCGCCTTGGATCTGGCACAACCGATCATACCAAGTGCTTGGGAAATTATTTCATCTTTCATACACTAACATTGTGAATGAGCATGGTGCATATTTTTTGATCTCAAAGTTCACATTTGAACCAGATCACCAGGGCAGTCTACGCTCACGTTAAGGGGGCTCAAAGTGGCCTAGATGATAGGGACAGCCCCTCAGATAAGGCATACGGATAGAACTCAAAAAAAAATAATTCATATTCACATGAAAATAAGCGGCGTAATTAGACATGGAAAAATTCAAGGAAAAACAGAGAAAAAAGGATCAAAGGGTTAAAAAGAGTAAGGATCAAAGGAATAATATTCCAGGTCTCAGATTCATCCAGTTCAATCGCAACACAATCAAAGAACCAGTAACAATCCTCTTCACAACACACCTTGAGAAAGAGTACAACAGAATACAAGAGATAAATCAATCAATGCTCGTTAGAGGGTGAACGTGTGAACGTCAAAGAGCACAGAAAATGGGCAAAACCAAAATCAATCGTGACAGGGCATTCGTCTATGACAAATTCGATCGGGGTATCGAAGCAGGGGGCCATCAGGTATCGAGTCAGAAAGTAGTCGAGGGGGGCATATAGAGATGTGTAGATAGATGCTCGTGGGTCTTAAATTCGTTTGAAATCGGCCGTGCACGCGTAAAAGAGGAAATGAAAGGTCATTAGGTGCTCATCATAACGGAGTGGTCGGCTCGCTCTTTCATTCGCATGGCCTGTGCTTCTAGGGAGCGGGCCATCAATTTTGTCACTATTTGAAATTATCAGTCAGTATTGTCAATCAAAGATAGATAGATAGTGACTTGGAAGGATTTCTGTCTCACCTGGCCAGACAGCAGCCCGTTCTAGGAGACTCGCCGTCGCAATCAATATTTTACAGCCGTATCCACCTTCCACCACGCTGGGGAGCCGTTGCATCACACTCAGAGCAGACATGGAATTACTGTTCTGCACCTGACGTTGCATCTTTCTTTCAATGCTTGCCAGGATCTCTTTAATCTTATCCACCAGCTTGCAATCTTCATCCTCAAGTAACATCACCCCGGGCACCTGGGTGAGGTCAACCTCCTCACGGCCCAGAATTCCGAGGTACGGCCCCACCCGCTCTTGAACAGTCGTGATCCACTCAGCCAGTACCTGCGCGCAGTCGAAAGCGCACATCGCGCACTGGATGGGTAATTCTCGGGACGAGAACTCGGCGAACGTATTTCCAAGACGGTCGGACATGGAAATGGAATCGGCGGCATAGAAGGCAGCTTTGCGAAGATGCTTTTCACGCTTGGATTGACCAGTCTTGTATACACCGGAGAGTGTTTGCATGGGCTGCTCTTGCGTCGGCGTGTTGGAGATCGCCAGATCGCCGACGCCGAGATCGTTGATTGATTCCCGTCGGTCCCCCAACGAGCTGAGAGAAGGGTCCACCATGTCTCCCATGCCAGTAGTATCCATGTGCTGAAACACTTCTGCGCCCCGGGCCAGCTCATCTGCCATTCCATTCCAATCGCGTTGCCAGAAGGCTTCCTTTGTCCGACCAAGATTGACAAACAACCGAACATATGCCAAATCCAACAAAGGAATGCTATCCGCCGACAAGGGTCCCGCGCCGAATGGATTAGGCCGCTCTAGGCTGTGAACAGGATTGCTTGCCCATGCTGCTTGCCAGGCTCGCAAGGCCGGCTCAATATGAGATTGCATGGCCTCAGTTTCCTGCGCAGTCCACTGTCGGCCCATGTGCCGTTGCCGAGTCTCCCAGATATAGTTGTGTAGCGAGTAGATCAGAACGAGGCAGCCGAAAGTACTAGGTCGGCTTTCAGGACTTGTAGTGGGGTCCTCGCTGAAGAAGAGATTTGATGACTGGTGCTGCTGCTCGCGTTGACTGGCGGTCAGAAGAGATGTGAGAGCGGACGAGAAAGAGACGCTCTTTGTCGATGCCGTGAAGCCTCCCATCTTCTTCCACGCCTGGGGCGATTCAGCAGCCCATACATCCTCTTCACAGGGCAGGTCAAGTCGAATCTCGGAGTTTGTGAGCGCCGGCGCGTGGTTGTACGCAGAGACGAGAAAACTGGAGAGAACGAAGATGGCGTAGAGAGTACGCTTCCTTTCCTCCACCACTTTCCAATTCAACCAGTCACGTCGCTCTTTTGGTTGACCGTACGAGGGCGACATCCAATCCTCGGTATCGGGAGAATCGGCATCGGAGGACGCATTGTTCAAGTTTGCATTGAGATGGTCTTGCGGAAGATTCTTGGGATCCAGATGGTGTGTCAATTCCGCAGCACGCGCTAAGCTAACTAGTGCTGCGCAATGTGTGCTGGCGATATCTGCGGAAGTTTTATCGCCACAGGTGTGACCATAAATCACATTTAATAGCATCGCTTGCACCAGCCAGAGAGGGGTATTGTGCACTGAATTATCCCGGCTAGAGCTCGAACGACTCAAGGCGGCAGACATGTCGGCCTTTCTTCGCTCTTCGAGGTATAATTGGATCATCTTCTTTGCGGCTTCAAACAGATCCTTTGAAGCCGCAGAGTCATATTCGTAAAGTGCACCGATGGCTGCCATCGAGAGGATCAGACAGCCTCCACCCCCAGCAACACCGGTGGAACTAAGATTGAGATGTCCGCTGGGGGTGCGCAAGTTGCTGGTGTACTCTGGAGCCTGGAAATTGAGGGTCGGGATGTGAAGAAAAGGCATGTGCGGATGAAAATAAGTAATGTAAGCCGAAATATAACGTTGCATATCCGAGGTACTTGGCAGTTGACCGGAGCTGTTGAAACCAGTCGAACGGGCGAACAATTCACGACTGCTCAGGAGGCCATTCGCGGGCTGGGAATACTTGCGGTGACTGAAACCAGTTGGTTGCGACATGCTCGCTAACAAAGCCTGTCGTGTGGAGTCTGTAAAGGTATCCGTTGAGACTGGGGAATGTTGACTTCGAAGGGCACTATTCGGGAAAGGAACGTTGAGAGGATTAGGAGATTCTCCGTTTGCTGCCATAGAGGATGAAAACATACTCTGCGAATGTCCTCCCATGATGGGCTGGCCGACCGAGGTCATGGATGGAGGCGTGGCATAGGTATCAGCAAATGGGTTCTGAGCCATCAGTGACTTGGGCGACACAGTCTCTGGGGGAATCCCCAATTCGTTCAGCGTGTTCGGGGAGAAGTCAATCGCGAATTGGTTGGTGGCCGCGTGCGAAGGGAACGGATTATGCCAGCCATTAGAGATGGGAATACGGTTGGGACCATCTAGCATGGCCTCGCTAATCCCGCTCTGGCTGCCTGTGCTCATCGCAGAGGGGGAAGACTCGTCGATGACCGAGTCATTGCCATTCCCGAGTGCCACGGCCGCGTCGAAACCATTCATCCAGTCAAAGTTCATCTCCTCGTCCATCATAGGGTCCGTCGCGGGGTGCATGCCATGAGCATTATGACCGAACGGGGAAGACGGCGAGTCACCAAAACCCGGGGGAGAACCTGCAAAGTGTAGTTGCGCCGGGTTGATAGTGCTGCCATGGCCCATGAGCATCCCATCAATGCCCATGTCGAAGCTACCGTAGACAGGAGCTGTACGCAGGCCACCGGACATATCCATGGGGAGCCCAGACGTTTCCAGCTTGGTCAGTCCGTTCACCGGGGGGTGTCCAGAGCTGAATCCTCGATAGTCCATGCTTGATCCGACCGATGATCCTAAACTGGGGTGGTAGGCATGGCCCGATTGGCTTGGGGCAGAGGACGGGTTAGCCCCCTCAGGCAGTCCCAAGGCAGACCCACCGATGTGACTGATGGTGTTTGCCCTGGGACGCATAGATGATGAACTGTTAGCGATGGAGTTCTTGCGAACACGATTGGCACCCGCGCCAGGCGGGGCGGCGCCTGTACTCTCCCGGCGACCATTCCTAGGCCGCGAGGACGGGGTTGAAGTCATGTGCAGCTTCTGCTGGTGTCGCAACAGCAGATCGCGACGGGCAAAGCATCGTGCGCAGTCGGGGCATTCAAATGGCTTCTCCTTAGTATGGGAGCGCTCATGACGCTTCAAGTGCTCCAATCGCGCGAATGAGCGACCACAAGTGGTACAGACGTGCGGTCTGGGTTTGTCCGTCTTTGGGGGCGGAATGGTGCCATTGGCGCCAGTCTGACCATTGGCCTCGGTCCTTTTGTTCTCCTTGGTCGGAGCTACCGATGGAAGTTCAGAATTCGCGGAGCTCCGAAAAACTGGCATTTTTTGACGGAGCGACTTACCAGGCATATTTCCGGGTATTTCGTTAATGCTAGCGAGGTCTGCGACTTTGGGGCTGTGATCAGGATCTTGACCGACCATAGCACCTAACAGCATCATAGGATAATCGTCGCTCCCCTTTGAACCAGAGTTTACAACCGGTGGCCGAGTTGATCAAGGAGAAGAAAACAGTGAAGGGGGCTGAGAATTGAGGAGAATTATCGCCGAATTTGCGATGGTGTATGATCTGGTAGAAGATGAGGTGCTTGGTCACTCCGCGAAGGAGGAACGACAAAAGCAAGTCACGGTCTGTGAGAATCGCATAAAACGAACTGTCCAGTCCGAATGACATCAGGTCAGCATATTCCTTTGATGATGCGTCGAAATAACGCGGCGCCGGTCATCGCCCCGATCCAGGGGAGCGAGCGAGGCTTATCATGGACCGTGCCGGGGAGCGGACAAGACCCACCAAAGAGCGGCTGCCGGTTTGTACAGTCGGATGACCAGGGGGGTAAAGGAAGGATGGGAACCCGTTGGAATTCCTAAACTCTAAGAGGAGAAAATGGGTTCGCTTCTCGAAAGAATCGAGTCGCAGTGGGCGTCGTATGTTCGAAGCAGGAAGAGAGGCCCTGCAGCCGGTGGGCGGGTATGCGGGTGTGCTTGACGTCTTTGGGGTCGAGCTTGGAGACAATCAGCAAAGCCAGGCCCGGAGAAATGGGGAAGACAGGGCAAAACTCGGGCGGAAATGAGGATCAGACGACTCACCGGAAGAATGAGGTGATTTGCGAGAGTAAGATGTCAAGCCTCAGCCATGCGAGCCAGCAGAGAACTGATCGGAGCACCTTATGCGCCAGTGGCACCGTCCGCAATCAGTGGATAAGCCGGAGATAACCGAGATAGCGGACAATTGCAGATAAGTGTAGTTGTGAATTGGGATGAGCGCGACACGGGCGAAAGGCAAGCACGTCGACGAGAACGACGAGGAGATGTCGAGGGGATGAAAGGAGAGGTTGAAGTTGATCGAAAGTTGCCTCCCAACCATTTGACTTTGGAGCGAGGTACCTGGGTCTGGGTACCGACTTACATACGGTGGTGATCGTGGCAGTAGCCGGCAGCGGGTGGGCGTAGCGTGGGCAGCGAGTGGCACTTGGCGACGAGCGATTGCCAGCACTGCTCCGAGAGAACCGCCACGCGCCACGCACCGTCTCTAGGGCGGGTACTATCGTGCTACTCGGCGTGCAGACGGGTATTGTGACGGTTTCAATACCGGTTCCCCAGAGTGGAGCTCGCGGCCTGGCTGGCGAATGGCTGGCCGGCGATTACCCAAGGTGATACCGAAAGCGGCGTAGGGTCAATCTTGGGCGCACGCACTGGCCTGCGCACCGGATGCCCACCAGTTCCTGGCTTGCTTTCGACTGGCGGAACCTGCTGGACTCCGGGGTGGTGGAGCCTGAAACAGTGGTGATAACAGTGGGACCCGTCCTAGGAATGATAGCCGCGGCATTGGCGTGACTACTGTTAGTCGCAGTACTAGACCTAATGGCTGAGTAGGTAGGAGAAAGGAAACGTTATACAATGGCAGGTATGGTGGCTACTACATGGTACCCCCAGATACAGAGGTACTAAGGGATTATACCGGCGTCGGCGCAATGTAGGTACACTGTTCCAGTACGGAGTATACGGCATGCACCGCCAGCATTAGCGGACCAGCCTGCAGTGGGGCCTGCATCGCCATTCGTCCCTGCGCATCGCCATACGAGGATGGGAATCCCCGGCCTCGTGACTACGATCGGCATGAAACGGTCGGTACGGTACCGTACGATCGTGGACACTACTCTGGCCATGCCTTGCTAGTCCACTCTTGAGTAGGCAGACGAGCCCACAGGCGATAGGCGCTGGTAAGGGGCAAAAGGGCAAAGGCGTGGTAAGATGTAAAGTATGTCCACCCGTACGCTCAGATACGCTGAGACGCTCGGTTTGATGTGGCCAGGTACCCATCCGATCCACCAGCGAGGCTGGGGGCTGAGCTCTGGCGGATGAATCCGCAAAATGGTCCCCAAATAAGAGGCCATGCGCTATTTTTTGTGGGGGAGCAACGCTGCGACCGGAAAAGGGTTCGTGTGGGGGACGTCGCCAGGTCTGGTCCTGGCTGGACCACTCGCTGGACGACGCTGGGTTGGCTATTGGCGTGCCGGTCTACGACATCCTCCGGTTCATGCGGCACATTGCTTGCGCCTGGTTCCGTGGCAAAGGGCGACCAAACATGGGTGTTGCCTTTGATGCATTGGGTGTGTGTATGAGAGTGTATTCGCCGCCAAAGGGAATAGAGTCAGGACCAGCCGGCTACGGTCAAGTGGCTGGGGGCTAGCAGGGTCGAGCTGATGACCAACCCCGGATCCAACCTTTCTAGAATCCAACCCGACGCACGTTGCAGCCACGTTTGAGTTTCGTCGCACGGAACGAGGCCGCATCCCCAGGATTGCGGATGGCAGTGATTGGGATCAACTATTGGCGCGGCCCCCAGCGACGGATCGAGTATGCGGCTGGATCTGGGGTGACGGTGCGCGACGATCCTTCAGTGTGATTCGTCTTGCGTGAGCAATAAACCGGATCCTCGCGGAGGAGCGTGAGTGTGGAAGCTCGACGGCGCAGGCTTGGTCCCGACAGGCTCGCGAGCCGTCCCTAGATCCCTAGACTGGTTCGCCTTGATGTGTTCGCCGGTGGAGGGCAGACGCCGTGCCGTCTCGTGCTCATATCCAGGGCCGTCCTGAGGTTCTGGAATGTAGACAGCCCTCATGCATGGAAAGGAAGCATCATCAACATTTCCCAGCGCTAATCCCGCGAGACTCGCACGGACAGCTCGTTTGCAGAATCCCCAGAAGTGCCCATGCGCGCTAAGACGGACTAGCCCACAAGGGCGATTCTGAGGGAGCTGCAGGTGACCAGAGTGGCCTCGAGGTTACGACTGAAACGGCGCCCTTCATGGTACTTCCAGTCTATTTGCGCTGCACTGCATATATGTACTGCCGACTCCGTAGGTCATGGTCACGATAGCTGTGGCTATTATGACAGAGAAAGGAATAGTAATGGCAGGGAACATGTTACTCCCTTAGGGTAATCGTTCGGCTGCCTTAGACTGGCCGATGCATCGGCAGCCACCTGATCAAAACAATCTCGGCAGTGTTGTACACTCTGCCACTTGCTACCTTCTTCACTCTAGTAGTAGGTACCTGCGGGAGTACAGATTGTATGTACTTGTACTCCGGTCTCTGGGCATTGAATTTAAACCCCGGATCGAATTGTCCAAGCTCATTGCCAGTGCTGTGCCTCGTCTTGATACTGCTTGGGGGACCTGCATGGCTGCAGCAAGAAGTCAATCCCTACGCAGACACTAACCCATTCGGCCCAGTGTGCTCAGCGCCACGATTGCTCGACTTTGAACCTGGACTGCGTCAGCAACCGGTACTCACGATACAGCCCTGCGTCATATCCAGGCCGAGTCCAGCAACGTTATTGCATACCCGCGCTTTGCGGGTGATCGGTCCGGATGCGACCGGGGTCTGTCGCTACCTCCAGTGTCGCCCCGGTACTACACCGCGTCTCAGCAACTCGGTCGTTAATTCACAATGGGCAAACAAACCCATGCCACCACAAATTCTCCGATGCGTCAACCCTGGCTGATCGCCTCGTGGCCTGTGCTCGCCGCTTGTGCACGATGGCATCAAGTGCGCGGCTCGGATATTAGTCCACCGCGAAGATCGGACTTCAGCCCGTGCCGTCGTCTCCAGCCCAGCCCAGCCCAGTCCCAACCGGGCACCCTCGAAGAATGGGTCCAACCACTTCGCACCCGACCTGCACTTCCCCTGGCACGGATCAGCCGGGGCGACGCTGGGCCGTGCTGACGGGCTCGCAGCGGGAGTTGCTGCGAGGCTAAGGCAAGGACACGGTGCAGCTGCTGCCCTGAGGCTCTGGCACTCGGCCCTATGCGTCATGGCGGCCCACTGGAAGATAACGACGTCCCACTGCGGCAGGGGTGGATTCAGGAGGGTCCCTTCGGATCCTGTCAGGCGCAGCTTTCATGGGAGGATGCACTCCAAACATTGGTTCTCTTGACTCACAGCGAGTCCTTTGAACGGTCGCTGCCTTCTCGTACCTACACACTGGGCATTCTGTTACACCTGCTTATGGGATTCGGTGGTATCGAGAGACACCACGCTGCCTTTCGTGCCAGGATCGAGCAACGGCCAGTGACCAAAGTCGGCAGTCCAAATAGAGCGATATGCCGACACACATCAACTGGTCGGCATATTAACTTGAAACGCGCAGGACTATCCGTACACAACGCCATTTGTGTCGAGCCTAGACGACCGCCATCTGGTGGATCCCAGCCGACCGAAAGATTAGGAAAGGAGAACACACCCGGCCAGGCCAGCTGGGACCACTCGCGAGATTCTATTGGCTTTCGTCTCGATTTCTTGATTCATCTTCTTGGGGTAGACCGATAGGCCTGGACCTGCCAGTGCTGGACCAAGGCGCTGCGCACCTAGGTTAGATTCCATCTGGAGATTCCCACGGCTTGTGTATGACCTCCCAGCTATGGGTAGTACCTTATACTATTGTGGCACTAAAATTCTGCTCGCACGATCGCCCTCTACACGGGGCGCCATGTCGCTCAATATTATTCACCCCGAGTTTACTTGCTGTATAGTACGCAGTATGCTCAAATCTATCTGTAAACATTCGCAATCGCCACAATGCCTAGGCAGCAATTGGCCCGTCAGTATAGGCGCTGGTCCTAGCTCCCGCACACTTGAATCCCTGCGCAGGCGATCAACACATCCAGCACAGCGTCGGATCATCTAGGATGTGCAGGGCCAATCAAGGTGCGTGCTCAGTCTTCAGGACTGCCTGGAAATCCTCCCAGTTAACGCCAGTGGTAGCGACGGGCCGTTTGTCGCAAGGCGCTGGATCTGCTGCAGCGCCAGGAGTCATCCACCACGGTTGTATTGATTACCACTACTTCCGTCCTCTCCGGTGTACTGGATCTGTAATCTGGTGACACTCCTGTGAAGAACTTATAATTAGGAACAGAGTGTCCATCAGCGCGTCCCAAAACACCCCAAGTGGAGACCTCCCCCCCCAACCCTAGCAGGCCCAAAGTTGCTGCCAGATGTATGGGAACGGAGACCGGTGTCCTGATCAAGATGGACCGCGATATCGTGACATGGCGACATTGACCGATCCGAGCACGAAAGAATGGGGCCCCGATTTACCAGGTGCCGAACCACAGCAAGGCAGAGGGCGTTGAACAACGGCAGCGCACAGCGACGGGTGCCTCGATACCAACTGATATCATTCCTCACAAGTCCAAATTCACCGGAGAAATGCCGACTAGCATTGTGCCAAACTCTACTTGGTCGCAGTGCATGATCACTCCACGGAACGTGCAGGCCTCGGGCGAGAGCGGCTAGATCTGGTGTGATTGACTGGTTTTCTCGTGGTGCATTAGCGGTAATCTGCTCGGACGTAGCTTTCTCCGTACACCTACCCTCCTGCGTGGTAGTATGAGGGCGAGCCCTGGAAGTTCCGATTTTCAGCCAGCTTGCGAAACATCTTCGAGCGGACATAGTAGGGACACGAGGAACACGGCAGGCGGTACCTTGCGTGGAGGGTGCGTTTTCCTGATCGCAGACAGGGCGACACAAGTACAACGGCGCGGGCATCTGTCTGACCTGCCGGTTCAGAACGATGGAACAGCAGGACGAAAGGCTCCCGAGGTCGGAAGCGACGTGCGTCTGGCAAACAAAACCGCCATCCATGCATGTCATACCCTCGAACCCACTGGTTCCACTGAGGAATACATGAGGTATTGTACGTAGTGTCAAATGATCTCCAAACTCCTCCCCGGGCCGTCGAAAGACACGTCAATCCATGGATGTCGAGTATCGTGCTTTCGATAAAATGTTCAGAATACAGTAGAAAAAATCGCCGACTCGCACAGACAGTCCGAAATTCGAATCAACCCAACCACTGCGAGCGATCAGCTCATCATTTCGCCACTGCCTAACCTCCTGTGTATTTTGGGGAGTAGACCGCGATCGTCAGCCCATCTGTCTACATAAATGAAAAGCATTGGCGCATTGCAGTGTAGTGTTTATGGTATTCTGGTAATCTGCATTATTGGTACCAATATAGTACTCACTACTTATGACACTACTAGTAGCGTACTCGGTACCCTAGTACGTACGACCAAGTGTGTCCTACTACTACTTTGTCTTGGGTACTATGAGGTATAGTAGCGGAGCTATACCTCCCGTACAGTCCAGAGTGGAACTTTTCACATCCTCTACCAAACCAAGTCGCACCCGAGTCGGGCCCAAGGCGGCGCCGAGCGAAATGGCGCACGTCGATCTGGCACGGTCCTTGACATCCACCCTCAACTCCCACCACGCAGCCTATAAGGACGAGCTGGCGTTCGGCCACGCTTTGCCCGCCTCAGTAAGGACGCCTGCTAGTCGCTGCAGCGACAATCCCAGATGGGTCTGTATTTCATACCCTGCAGTACCGCCGTACGGTACGCGCACCGGTGCGGTCGTGCGAATAGCGAGTCCTCGCAAGAGCCAGGCAACGCTTCTCACTGTGCTCATTACGTCCCGGGGTACGTAGTAGGTACCCACGTCCGCCGGTTTCTGCGATCGGGTCTAGTGCGTCGCCCGGAGTACCCTCCTCCTGTCAATCGAGCTCCACACTAGAGATGTTGTGCATTGCAGTTGGTGCTCGATGTAGCTGCCCCTCCCCCCTCATCCTGGCAGTGCCTTGGTCCTCTTTATCTTTTATCTCCTCGGCCGAGGTTGGGCGGAATGGTGGGAGGGATTCCGCTGGGCTCGGATTGGCTGGTCTATACTACGTTCTGCCGCGGAGTGCCGTCCCCTAGGAGATGGTAGGTAAGCCGATTCTTGACTGTTTTACATGGATACAGGAAAGAAAAAGTCACTGGTAACAGATATATGCATTTCTATCTACGAACGCCAAAAATGTAAGAGATTATTTTCATGCCGGTCATCATTTCATCTCCGATGCGGCGACAGCTTCAATCCGATATAACGAGCAGCCTGTGCTGACTCGCCTGGTATATGAGCGGGACATCACACGTTAATACTTTTGGTCAGAGTAGCTGATGTTGCTCTCTAGACGCTGATGGTCTTGAAGACACTGTAGGAGAAATCGAATTAGTGTCAAACAATAAACCATATCGATCATCGGAGATTTTACTTACCTGAATCCGTTGCCACCGGTCGCCATCACGGTACCGGGCATCTGAGCTTGCCAGTGCACCTCCTTGACCGACTCCATGTAGTGCACGAACAGCAGTTGCGGGGGGATATCAGCCATGCCAGCCTGGCGGCTCTCCTCGTCGTCCAGCTCGACAGCCAGATCCCACAGAGTGACAGTGTTATCCGCCGAGCCAACGGCCACAACACTGTCGTCGGTGGGGTGCCACTCAATGCTAGTGATGGGCTCCTTGTGGAAGTCGAAAGATGCGACAGGCGAAGCGCTGATCTGTCCGGCAGCATTCGGCTTCCAGTGGCGCAAGTCCCAGACGGCCCACTGGCCATCGTCGGCGCCAGTCGCGAGCAGGTGGAAAGTTTGGTTGGACCAGCTCATGACGTTGACATCGGTCTGGGAGATTTGCACGTCGACAGCCGGCTTGCGCGACTTGGATCGAACATCCCAAACCTTTACACTACCGTCACTGCTGGCGGAGGCGAACACGTTCTTCTCATTGGGAGACCACTGAAGCTCCTCGACGGAAGAAGTGTGACCAGTGAACGGCCGGGTGTCAGTTACCCAGCCACCACCCTCAGTCCGGGAAGTCGCGTAGATCAGACCGTCGTTATCACCGGTCAGAAGCTTGCCGAGTGGTTGCAGCAGAGACCAGTCCAGGGCGTAACCTTCAGTCTTGTGCATGCGGAGGGTGGAAAGAGGCTTGGAGGCGGAAGGCGGAAGGATCGTACCGGGCACATCGAAGCTAGAAAGGTAGGGGGTCACATCGTGAATCAGGACTTGTGAGTTCTCGAGCATTGTAGCCGTCAGAGTCTGCGGGGGCTTCGAGTAGTCGGCGGACTGCGAAGGGGCCTGGAAGGCGCGGATGCGGTTCGTCGTCGAGCCGAGAGGAATCGACTTGTGTTCGAGGATGGGCTCGCCCATATCGTCGTCGGAGTCCGAGTCGCTGTCATCGTCCTCGCCCTCCTTCTCCATCTTGCTCAATCCACTCATCTTGAGGACCATCAATTCGTTGTCCTTGGCACGAGTTCCCTCTGCTTGGGTTCCGGCGACGGCGTACACGGTTGCGGGGAAGGTCTTGCGGTTGTCGCCGAGTGAATCGCGCACAATGTCGAAGGACAGGCAGGGCCAGGGTGTACTGAGGGTGTGAAGCATATCATAGGTAGAGGGATCAGGCGAGAGTGTCTCGCCAGGTCCCAGTTTTGTCCGTCCAGGAATGAAGGTTTCCTTGTCGACTTCCATGGCCTCTGCCGGTTCAAATATTAGCTCACAGAGCCATTGTACAACAAGCGAAAAAAGGAATAAGAACTGTGAATACCTTTCTCCTCCTCCTCGCGCTCTGCGTCAGGGCGACCATCAACACCGGCCTCGAGGATCTCGTCCTCGCTCTCGAACTCGTCCTCAAACTCATCTTCAAACTCCCCCACTTCGTCCGGAGTGGCATCGACAATTGGGCGCTCGCCGGCCTTCAGCGCGGCCGACTGCTCGTCAACGGCATCCGCAGCTCTCTTAGACATCGTGAAATATAAGAAAGAGCCTCTTGCAGGGCGGGGTTGGGCGTAGCGAGGGGAAGCACAAGCCGATAAGAACTTTTTTGCGGGAAATTTTGGGCGCTGACCGCACTAAGCCTATCGGGGACTAGCGCAGATCCCGCTTCCGCAGCGTCGTCGATGTGAGCTGAGGTCGGCGCGAGCTGTTGCCATTTCGCCTTGCGCCCTTTCGTGTTCCTGCGTTTGCGTGCACTCATTTGCATCTCGTCCCCTTTTCCGCTCACCGTCTATCATCCCTCCTTTCACCTCCGCCGCGCCACCTGTTACCGTATCAGGTCCAGTGTTTACTACGCACTGTTCGATCCTTTGCTCGCAATCTCCCCTCCAGTCGCGGAGCTGGAGACGCCATTCCATCGAACGGGTTGTCAACCTTTGATCTCACGCTTCCGTGAAAACACTCGAGCTGCTCACACCCGGTCTGGCCTTGCTTTGATTGAATTCCTCCGGGGAATCGCTCAGTAAGTCGTAGCCACAGGGTCTCCTTTCCCCGCAGATGCTAACAGAGATGGGTTGCATCGTACAGGATCCACACACGCGAAAGTTCATCCTGATCCAAGACCAGATCAACGTGATGGATCCGCTGCAGCAGCCCGTACCGGAGGCTCCTGCTGTCGCGGAGCCACAGCAGCTTCCTGTTGAAGAGCAGGCCCCTGTACCGGACGAGTCGCAACCTCGGCAGGCCGAACAACCCGAACAGCCCCAGAAACCGACTGTTGAGCAGCCGGCTGTCGTCAGTGTTAATGTCGAAGAGCCTGTGGCAGAACGTCCCGTCAGCCGCACCGCCATCGACCACGGCTACAACAGCGACTCCAAGGCTCACTATCACTCCCGGTCGTCCGACTTCCACCACTCCGCACCTGAGTACAATCCCCAGGATGCCGAGTCGGCCGCTCGTCTCAATTCTTCTCCCTCTCTGAACCAACAGCCTCAGCTTCATACCTCGCGACCGGGCTCCGGCCTCTCTAGTGGGGCCGAGCGTCCCGGTCTCTCTCAGCCGCAGCCCTCAGAGGTTGCTCAGCGACAGGCCGGTCAGTCCGCCAAAAACAGTGTTGTCATCAAGGTCGGCATGGTCGGAGATGCTCAGATCGGTAAGACCAGTCTCATGGTCAAGTATGTGGAGGGCAGCTGGGACGAAGATTACATTCAAACCCTTGGTGAGTGGCAGCCCTCGTCAAAGTTTGTAGATGTTGGCTAACCGGTACATTTTGGTAGGTGTCAACTTTATGGAGAAGACCATTTCAATCCGCAATACCGAAATCACCTTTTCCATCTGGGATCTTGGTGGTCAGCGCGAGTTCGTTAACATGCTGCCGCTGGTCTGCAATGACGCCGTTGCCATCCTGTTCATGTTCGACTTGACGCGAAAGAGCACGCTCAACTCTATCAAGGAATGGTACCGTCAGGGCCGAGGCTTTAACAAGACCGCTATTCCTTTCTTGGTTGGCACTAAATACGACCACTTTGTGAATTTCCCTCGAGAGGACCAGGAGGAGATTTCCCTCCAGGCCAAGCGATTTGCCAAGGCGATGAAGGCAAGCTTGATCTTCAGCAGTACCAGCCACAGCATCAATGTGCAGAAGGTATATCATTCTCTCGTTCTGTCTCATGATTTTCAATTCCAGACTAACACATTCCCGACAGATCTTCAAGATTGTTTTGGCCAAGGCATTCGACCTCAAATGCACCATCCCCGAAATCGAAAACGTCGGTGAGCCACTGCTCCTGTACAAGAACGTCTAGGGTGAATCTGTTGGATGAACCTTTCATGATTTTGTACACTGGGATGAAGTGATGCTCTTGACGATCGATCCTGACTCCTGACCGCCGTGGTCTTTCTCTTCCTTGTGAATCCTTCCCCTTCGCCTCACATGATGTATTTCACGTCTTTCTTCTTTTATGTCCATCCTATGCCAGTGTGTCTGACTTTTGAGTGGTTGTGCTGAGTGAACCCTGATCTCGATTGTCTTGGAATCCAGACGCAGCCGGTGATTCTCCTTCTTTTGTGCATTATGGTCTCTTTTCTTTTTCGGGGCATCCCCTTTCGCATCTGGACGTACCTAGGTTTTTCTTATTTCTTTTTATTTGATATCTTTTGCCTAAACGGGGTTCCTGTGTAAACGCCTCGAGGCGTTTGGGAGTCCGAATAATTCAGGCAACGAACTGGAAATAAAATTCAAACAAAGCAACAGCGCTATCTTTCCAAGTGCATACGTGAATATGTATCCTGGAACATTCAATACATTACTCTACACTACACTAGTGTAATCTTGAACAGTCCATAGCACCGTAATGTATTTTTTTGGCGTCTCGTTGTAGCGCAGCTTGCTCTGGAAGCGTGAATAGGCAAGATGATATCGGTATAATGGCTACAACAGGCTAAAGTGTGGTGGTTGAGGCTGTCTACGACGGCGCCACGTGACGTCCTATCGTGACAACCCTAATTGCTCACTCATGCCATGCCCGGACCCGATCAGAGATCAAATACCACATAATATCATGGCCTACGTCAATGCGCTCAACAATTACACTAGCAATTGTGCCCTCGTTTTCCGCCGCATTGGGTGGTCCTCAATCGTCGAAGGTTTGATTTTCCTCTTGCTGAACCCCCACTCCCGGCCACAATGTAACAGAACATACGACTCGATTGCTTCCCCCCCGAAAGCATAGCAAATAATCATACTTTATCTGCCGAATAGTGTGACCTTAGGTCGCCCCGTCTCTCGTGCAAATGGCTTCACGCCGCGACAATACTCCGCATGGAGAGAGTGTTTCTCTCTGCCAACTCATTGAATATCGAAGTATTTCGTGCCATCGCAGACCACAAGACGTACTGACATAGAGTGAGCGGAATCATCTGGGGTGATGCGTGCTTCTCCAAGTTTACGCCGCTATGCGAGCTCTCTTGGGGCATGAGCCTTTGCTTCTACGAAGGTGGCTTTACCGCCGAAAAATGCATTCTGGGCACCGATGACCAAGGACCCGAATCGAGCGACGACGAGAGTGGTTGTCCATATTGGTTTGCCAGGGAATGTCGAATGAACATCGACAAACTGGAAATGTCTGATATGCATATAGGAGAGCGCCCAGATACGATTGCCCGAGGGGAGCAGACTCTCGCACAACTCCCCCTCCGAACATGCTGGGAATATTCGCGAGAGCTACTCCGCCAGCAAGCTTCAGTGATAGCTACTGGCAGTGACGAGGCGGCATTTCACCATGGCCTCAAGAAATTTCTGCGGCTGCAGAGAATCATTACTACACCAGCGGCACATGGACGACTTTGTCAGTCCTCTGCACACCCCACGCCGATGATTCGCGCATTCCCAAAAAGATTCAACTACGTAATTACACATGGTTGGCCGTGTTCGGACAACTCATATGCAATACCCGCAGAACCTTGGAACGAAGCCAGGGAGCGCAGCAGAGATCGATACTGTTCATTTCGAATTGTAGCTCGGGTGCTTCGCAGAGAGAAGAATGCGCCCGGCAGACAAGTTTCCGAACTAGCTCTGAAAGCCCATCAATCCGGAACTGGCCTCAATTGTATAATATTTGAGGAGCCACACGAGGAGTATGATAATCTCGTTGCGATATTGCGACATCCTGGTTTCGCCGCCTCGAACTGCCTCTGATCATTGGTCGCCAACAGAAGGCAAGGCGGGATTGGCGCTCGCTTCGGAATGGAAGGCTTCTCTACGCAGAGTCAAGCCAAGGAAATAAAATCCTTCGCACTATACACCACGGCCAGCAAGGCCTTCACAGAAGACCCTCGGGAGGACAACCGCTACCTTTCCCGCCTTCATTTCATTCCATTAGACTGTGTTCCCTATTGGTCAATCGTTGGCGCTGCGTCACCTCGGCCTATCTAGATTTTGTGTGATACAATCCAACATTATGCGACTACTTCTCGTTTTGCCCGAGACACTTCGATCCATGGAATTCAACTTTTGGGCGCACTCAGATTCGTGAAAATCGCTCATGGGTTAATTCGAGATATAAATCGTGACCACTAATCACTATCAGGATTCCGCATCACATCTAAGGACTTAATGGGGTAATCTGGTGTGAAGATGATGTGCATGGATTCCTCTATGGAGAAGGAGACCATCCGTTTGATACAACGGGAGATTTGCTGTGTGGGATAGGCACCATGCGTGATCCATTGAACCCTGAACATGACCTGCCCAATCTCGGCAACTTAAGTCTGCAGGCGCTAGGCTTGGGAAGGTATTACCTTTATAATTGGAAAGATGCCAGTACGAGTGACAATCCGCTCCCATGGCTCACGCCGACACGCAGTAGCTGACATCTTCATCTGGTCAAAATGTTGTCTTTGTCCCATTGTTGTTGAGTGGTTGTACCTGGGGCCAAATATATCTAGATCATGGTTGGACCACGGGCCATCGAATCGGGTCCTCCGCCCCCAATCTTAGAAACACGCAGCCCCGCTCACTTGAGCCTCCGCGAGCTCAACTTGCCGGCAGCGGTCGTCTCGATCCCAGCAATCCTTCTTTCCTCGTGCACCACCCGTGACGATTGTGCATTGTGGCCCCAGCCAGTCGACGTTACGTCCCGGAACCCGCCAAGCCATTTGGTCGACACGACTGTCGTTACAGGTGATCTTCTCTGCGTCCGCTCACTCCCCGACCTTTCCATAAAACAGAAGAGAGAAAGAGAGACGCCGGCACGATGGCTACCGAGGAACCCCAGCTGGGCTCCATTCAGGAGCGAATCGCCGCCCTGCGACAATCACAGGCCGCTCACCCGTCCAACCCTGAACCCCCACCGTATCCTCGGCCGCCCGCCGAGCGAAGCAGATCGGCCAACAATCCCCCATCATATAATGTCACCGGCTTGGTCTTGGACAGCGCAGCTATCGGCAACCAGCCCGCGGGCGAGCGGACCTCGAGGCCCGTCCCACGACCACCTCCGACTCCATCACCGAAGCCGGAATTGAAGCCTAAGCCCAAGGCCCCTCCCCCTCTGCCGACCAGAAAAGACCGCGCTCCTCCCCCTCCTCCGCCATCGCGCTCGGAGCAACCGCCTTCATATGCCGAGTCCAGACCATCGTTGCCGCCGCGACGACCGACAGATCACTCACGACGTCCTTCGATAGAGTCGGTCACGTCGGACGCGTCACACTCGACCGCTGCGACCACCGCGACCAGCTTGCGAGGCGCTTCGACAACATCGGTGAATTCCACAGGTACGGCGAATAGCCGAATCAAAGCACCGGCGTGGGGCGAGACGGAGTTGCCTGCGCTGCCGCCACGGCGTCCAAAGGAAGACCTGGCTGATTTGAGGCCGACTCCACGTTCCGAGTCGAAGTCAACGCTGGGTGGACTGTCGGGCAGGGCATCCGCCAAATTCAATTCCTTGAGAGGCAAGTCGCCGGGGCCTTCGACTTCGTCTCCATCTCCACGGCCGAGCGTGCCATCTCGCCCGTCGACAAATGGAGATGCTCCTCCCGTACCCCAACTCCCACCTCGACGTCCCTCGGGGGTCGACTCACCATCAAATGGAACCAGCGGAGCCGATGCCCCGGCGCCTGCTCTTCCAAACAGAAGACTGCCCCCTACTCCATCTGCGTCCGACCTCAGCAATATTCGACAAACCGGCTTCGGTGGCTTGACCAGTAAGGCCCCGAGTATACCAACAAGACCGAGTAGCACACCATCAAACGGAGCACCTCCGCCTATTCCCCATGCGTCGCGTCCGGATCTCTCAAAGATCCAAGCAACCAAGCCACTCTTCAATAGTTCGGGGCACACTCCGGCTGCTGATGGCGCATCCGGCGTTGGTTGCTTGGTTTGCCGAGACTTTTCGGCCCCAGATCATCGTGCTGGACAGTATCCTCGCGAGACACTTCCCTCGCAAGACTTGGGATGGTTGGCGAATGAGCTTACTGCGCCTTTCCCTTCTGCAACGGACAAGGCTCGGGTCATCTTCAAGTGGCTGCACCACAATATTATGTACGATACGTATTCTTTCTTTAATAATTGCGTCAAACCTTCCACGCCAGCAAGCACTCTGGCCACTGGATTGGCCGTTTGCGAGGGATTCGCTGGGCTGTTTGCAGCTCTGGCTACTAAGGCTGGGTTGGAAGCCGTGGTGATCTCCGGGCATGGCAAGGGATATGGTCACAAGGAGCTTGCGGCGGGAGAATCCATTCCGCCTTTCAAAGCCGGCCATGCCTGGAACGCGGTCAGAATCGACGGAGGCCAGTGGAAATTGATCGACTCATGCTGGGGTGGTGGCCATATCTGTGAATCCTCTGGTGGTCTATACAAGCAGGAGTTCCACCCTCGTCAATTCACCATGCCAAACGACGAGTTCGGATTGAAGCACTTCCCCACCAACAAGGAGCACTTTTTCCGTGACGACGGTCGTCCAGAAATTTCCTGGGAAGAATACATGCGCACGAACCCGGATAACCCCTTGGGTAACTCGCCGATCAATATTTATAATGACGTCGACAAGCACGATATCGGTCGGGGTACTATTCGCCCTGCTGATGGACGTCTTTCTGTGTACAGCATGTCCAGCCCCGTGCGCTTCCAGTTTAAATTGGTCTGCGAACATTGGACGATGGCCCATCACAGTCGTCGGGAACCGGCATTGTTCTTGCTGAACATCAAGGGTATTGACGGGCGGAAGGACGAACGACTTCCTTTCTACTACATTCCCGGCTCTGGACATGGCGGTGGTGGCGCGACTTGGTACGTGGATGTTCCCGATGCTCGCATGCTGGGAGCTCCTGGACAGAAGGTGCTTCTTTGCGTTTTGACCAAGTTCGGTGATCGTACGGACTGTCGCGGAGTGACGAGAGATGAGTACCTGACCAAGGCCGGCCGAGTGGGCATGGCCTGGGCGTATATTGCCGAATGGGAGCTGGTACGGTAATGGACCTTCGTGGTGACTTTCCTTCTGCAATGAGGAGCGTTTTATTATCCACAGCGATATCCATAATGCATTGAATTTTTTTTTCTTCTCTCAGCATCTCCCTTGGAATACCTCGGTTTGGTTGTTTCTGTTTTCTGCGGTCTTTTTTTACCATACCATAGCATCTTGGTTTAGTCATTGGCAATTTATGTTATTTTTGATTTCCAGGCCTACTTAGAATGCCTCAGCGCGTCTTCCTGCCGCAATTATCATATCCAGGATATCACTTTCTTCCTGCGAGAGACTGAACATCTTCTTCGATGTGAGACAACACACATTGCCTTCCTTGAGCTCCCAGTTAGGCTCTCTTCCCTCTTCTCGAACAAAGGTCTCGAATTTCACAGGTCGTCTCTTGCCAGCTTCGGCGAATTTATTCTCAAGCAACCATCCGTTGAACCACAATGGTCTCCCCATCCGATCCAAATGGAGTAGTTGAGGTGCGCAGACGGTGTACACCTTCGAAGGCACACTTGAATCAGGGCTTGGACTGGGCAGCGAATTCGAATCTGGAGCGTGAGCATGAGCAACTCCCATCGTTCCAACACTGCCATTGTGGAATGCATAATCTGTGTCTCCGACCAATTCCCAGCCCAGCCAGAAGGTCTCCTTATCGCCTATTTTCTTCGTTAGCCCTGTGCATCTTTTTTTCATGCTGGAGGAAAACTCACCAAAAAGCATATCATAAACTCCCCGAATGCCTTTCTCCTTGTTACCGTCCCGATCAGGCCCATTCATACGAGTCACCAAAAGCAGAGACAAGAAGTGCCTATATGTGTCGATGACTAGAACCCCGGACTCTTGCATGTGCCCGCTTTGGCCATCCCATAGGCGCACCTCCTGGGCTTTGCTGGAAATAGGCTCTGGGAGGACCTTTTGCATCCACTCTCGCTTGGACTCAGGCATTATTAGTCTGTCCTTGAAGAACAATGCGCCGGTGTCGCGATATGCAAAGTCATCAAAAAGGATTGCCGGATTTTGCAGGAACAAGGAGTCTGCATCGATGAAGATGACCTCTCGGAAGCTGGAGAAGAGAACTGCGAATGGTTTGCCGGCCCATCCTCGTAGCTTCCATCCTGAATCATTGATCATTTTGTGCAGGTCGCGCGTGACAACTCCAGGCAGGGCTTCCAGGGCGGCGCGAGAAGTCGGACTGAGATCTTCATCGCCGAGGTACATGACTTCGATCGGGAGGGTGCATCCTAATCTGCGGATGGACGGAATGGAAGTCAGCAGGTAGCGTACTTGACCATTGCCTGCTGTAAAGACCAGTCCGCGACCGGCGGAGTATAGTTGCTGTCGGAGCTGGAGATGGTCGGCGAAATACGGCGTTGTCCATGGGAAGAGGAGGGTGGCTAGATGGGTGATTGTTGAGCGATAGGTCTCATAGCCGTGGACAATGCTGGTTATATCTTCACCGAGAATCGTAGCGATTGAGGGATTCTCGTATAAGCGCTGAATCACATTGTCCTGGATGAATCGGTTTGGAGTTGTTTTGTTGAGGTGCAATGTCTCCCAGGCTTCGTAGAGCTGTTTGTACTGCCGCGTGCGAATTCCGTATTCCTTCAATCTCGGTTCGCCCGTCAATTTAATCGGGCTGAGTAATTCCTTGGTCTGGTGTTCGTTCGGCAGCAGCTGCAGGATATGTGATAGGCTCTGCGTGAATGCAGCATGACTCTCCCAGTCCACCGATGACTGGGAGCTCTCTTTTGCGGGCTCCGGGTACAGTTGTTCTGTTATCGATCGTGAGTATCATTGCATTGCATGTTGGAGCGAGTTTGGGTGGTCGCTCGTCGCTGGAATTAGTATGTACACACCTCCTAGCCCGGACAATGTATGAAACAGGGCCCATAGTGTCGAAACGATCACCGTGATCTGTACGAGGATTCTCCGCGGTCGCCGATGTTGTAGCTTGATCTCTGTAAATCCGACTGATTTGCTCATTTCGCCCTCTAAAGATCCACTCAGATGCCGGCGTGGCGAATTCCAGTGCTTGCAAGGGCTCCTCGAGATCGGCGAGCAGCTCAGTAGACGCCTGTGCCACGGTCCATAGATTAATGTGTGTCTCGTGAGAATGACAAGAGAAACGGCGGAGAAATAAGAGAGGTCGAATTTTCCTCTGGGGTTTCCGGGGGCGCCTTTGTGAGGGTTCATTGTCCAATGCGACCTCGAATCCCCCGCCATCGCCGCTTTCGTCCACCCGCGCCCAAAGCGGAACGGGCACAAGCAATTCGCTTGGCAGCTTGCATTTGGGGTTGGAATATTTGTTGATAGATTTAGAAAATCTTTTATATCAATGAATCATCTGTCGTCTGAAGGTCTTTGCTGCAGTCGAATGGGAGCCGGTTGTCGCACGGAGTACCATGGATAGAACGGGTCGCGGACCATGCGGATGCCCAAAATAACCCAACTTTATTTTCCCCATGTGACATTTTGGAGACTACGGTTTTTCCAATTTATCTCCCCCGTGAGTTATTTTTCGAATGCTGCTCAATATTGAGCAGGAACTGCACTCTTAGATCGCGTTAATCATTTGTGTCATTACGACGGTCTATCAGTGACATGCAATGGAAGGATCCAGGATCAGGAAAGCCCAAGGTAGTGTCCTAGCAGGTCTAAACAAAGAGCACTCCGCCCCGTACAACCATGGAAACCAATAAAACATCTAGAATTATACTTTCAAAATTTTATGAAGACAGCTTATCTTTTATTTTTCTTGGCATGGCAGGCCCTGGTTATTCGGACTTCATTCTCCGCTCCGAAAAAGAGCGAACTGCGCCACAACACTAACCAATAACGACAGCAGGTACTCACACTTCCAGCCCTGTGATGGTAATTAAATGTGACAGTGATGAATGCGTCGATCTAGAATTCTATATACTTTAACGTAACTTAATTGTTTGAGACAGAGATGCTCTTCGCCAAACTATAGGGAATAGATACAACCACACCCCTTCTACCTCAGAATACACACCCTCACTGGCCTTTTACATCTCCGCTAGTTCTTCAACTTGAGCGTCGTGGCTATTCGAGTAAAAAAAATGAGCCTTCTGCTCTTCCCGGGTAAATTATTCTAGCCCAAAACTCCATCTATTTGGCATTGTGGTCGCACATCACCCTCACCAGACAGCTGATCATGTAGGTGACTGAACAATGAATCTGGCAAGTAGGTAGAATGAAGGTTTCAGGTTATCAACATCATAGTCTAGGTGACATTTGGCGTTGAAATGGGCACCATGTTCGATCGAGGTTATAGTTCTGAATTATCTAAGCGAATCCATGCCAGGGGTGTGGTCTGAGACAAAGGGGTTGTGGAAGCATCAATCTTCAAACTATAGAGCCCCGGAAGAAAGTGCATGTAAAAATGCATAGAAATAGAAGGATAATGTCTAGAGCTACATTAGTGCAGTGCTTACTCAAACCTATGGATGTTCCAATCAGCCGAGCTTTTCGAGAATGTTTGACTTTTTTGTGGGGAGTGGACTACATAGCAATCATATTCATGTTCGTTTTGCCATGGTTGTTTTCATGAAACTCTTCTTGTTCCTTCAAATACTATCAATCCGTCATCGCATTGCTGATTTTTTGAATTTTCTTTGATACTATATAGAGGCAACGGATCGAAAGTGGCAGTTCACCTGGAGACACGGGAGCCAGTGAATGAGACGCGGAGAATCCGTTGCTCATCCTGGCTAATGTACCTGGTTGCTTGCCTGGATTATCAACGCCATTGGCAGCCGCGATATGGATCGCAAGTTGGATTTCGGCAAACTCATGAAAATATCAGGACAATGAATATTTCAGTTGACAATGATCCATTAAGGCATAAAATGCCTCCATTTAGGCCCGGAGCATCATGGCCCCAGTTCTGGAAGTGAACTCGGATTGCCACCCGGGAAGGGACGGAATCATTGGATCATGCCGACCTATGAGGGAGATTGGCAAACGGGAGTAGCCGACTCGGAAGAATAGAAGTCGAATGAAGCACGTCGAACAATCTGAACGGACCGTGGATATACTAGACCAAGCCAAATCCCCGCTGGGCCAATAATAGTGAAGTAATGACCAAAATTCTGAAGTCGGCTACAGATTGGGAATCGTTCGGGGCCTGTCGCTGTTATTCCACCAGTAAGGCTTATCCAATAACTTCTGAATGTGAAAGCTTGCAATCTACAGTGGATCCTCAGGCTAGCGGCTTGAAGCATGCGAGGCGTAAGCTTGGTCCGGATATATAGCAAAGGTGTAACACAGTCGCAACGGGTAGGTACAAGGTTCAGATAGCAGGAGGGAAAAAAGTCAAAACAAGCCCCAACCGCATGGGGCGTCTTCCAACCGCCAGTATTACATCATGGATGCAACTAGAGCATCGGGTGTTGCCAGGCTCGGACAAATGACGGGTTTGGGCAGAGTCTGTGCTACCGAAAGCACCAGGGTTAGTCTCTTAGCTGACGCGCATTGGGGTAGTATAGGTCACAAAATATAGTGTTGATGACCGTCCAACGAAGTCTGGCATTTTGCGAACCACGATTTCCCCGCCTCTTTGTCTCCGCGTGGAGAGAAATGTGGAAGATGGAGGTCTGGGGAAGTCTCGGTGTGCAAAACCGGCCATGGTGTAGCAAGGGCATCTGCAGACGACTGGCCAGATTCTGACTAGTCATCTTCGATCCGACCAAAATCCTGAGACCCGGGTTACCTGCTCTGGCAGCCGTCTCGCAGAAACACGGCCCACATCGCGCGTCGGCGTCAGGCCAGCACTGGGCCTTTCCGGGGATCTCGCTCGGCTCGATGAAACCCCGTGAACCACGCGGACAGCATTGGGGAAAGGGCGGAGCAGCCGAAGGGACCCCTCCGAGTCCACATCGGCGGGCACCGGCCAGTCAGAGCGTGTCAAAGCCGCTGCGATGCCGTGCAATGCCGTGCCTGCACGTCCCGTTCTGGGTAAATGGCCGTTGGCTGGGGCCCCGGACCGGGAAAATTTCTGTCGGGGTGGATCGGTTAATTGCAATTCCTGGTGAAAGTGTTACTGGATATTGCGTATGCGGTGGTGTCCACGGTCGGGAAGATTACAGGGGAAAAACCAGGCAGCGCGGTGTTGGGATGTCACTCGGGCTGCGCCGAGTCCTTGTTAGTTCACGCTGGTAGGGCGGAATGGCATGATTTGCAGGAAAAAAATGGGTTGGCTTCGGGCGGTGGGTGTCGGTCCCTACTCCGCCTCTCCATCACTCCACAAGGCCTTATGTTTATTTGCGATCGACTCTCGCTCGACTCGGTCCTCGTGTGCCTCGTGTGTCCTCGTGGTTGACTGTTCGTGCCGAGATGCGATGAATGCCGTGCCGAAAACAGCCACGCCGGGGCCCCAACCAACCCCGAACGCGGCATCATTCACGGCATCAGCCCGCGGCATCGCCGTGCAATCCCCTGGTCTTCTAGGGGGTGGCGCCTTGCTGTTTTCGGTCTAGACCGGTTACCTCGTGGTCGAATCCCCGGATCCTTTCAGCGATCGACTTGGTTTTACCAATCATTGGGCTAAATGACAGGCAGTGTGGGTTGCAGTGGGGATGAAATTGGTTGCCTCGCCCAATGACACCACTAAGCGTCTCCTAGGTTGCGAACGGGCCCTTGGCACAGCTGGGGCTGCCTGGAGGGCTGCTAAGCGGTTTTCGACGGCCTGGAAACGTTGCATCGTCGTTCCTCCCCGTTCATTCGCCCTCCCCGGACTAAGATTACCCGAGAAAGAGTGGGAATCCGAGTTAGCAACGAATTTCCTGTCTGGTTTCGGCTCCGGCAGAAGGAACCCACTATCTAGATTGGGGAAGGAGGGTTCAGCACGAAACAGAAAGAAGAAAAAAAAAAAGGAATTTGCATGCAGGCCAGAGGGCATGACGATACGTCTATTTAAGGATACTCCCCCTTCCGGCATCGCGACGACATGTAGTGTGAGGACTTTCTTCCCCGTTTCTCTTCTTCCTTTCCAACTTCCCCCAAACTTGGGATAGCTCAGCCAATATGGTCGTGGGAAACATCTACGCCATTGCGGCGGTCTCCGTCATTGGCGGTGGTCTGTTTGGTTTCGATATCTCGTCCATGTCGGCCATCATAAGTACCACCGCCTACAAGTGCTATTTCAACCATGGTCCTAGGGGACCGCCTTTCAATGACGACGACGTCTGCAGTGGTCTCAGCTCCCTGGCGCAGGGTGGTGTGACAGCTGCCATGCCTGGTGGTTCGTGGCTCGGTGCCCTGATCTCTGGTTTCATCTCGGATCGTCTTGGTCGCAAGTATTCTATTATGGTGGGATGTGTTATCTGGTATGTTGTTCGCGAGATGCTATTTACCCCTCAACACGATGATCTAGTGATGGCTGAAGAATAGCAACTGACCTCATGATTCTTGCAGGATTATCGGTTCTATTATCATTTGCGCTTCCCAGAACATGGGTATGCTGATCGCTGGTCGTATCATCAACGGCCTGTCCGTCGGTATCGAATCCGCCCAAGTTCCCGTCTACATTTCCGAAATTGCCCCTCCGTCGAAGCGTGGTCGCCTGGTCGGTTCCCAACAGTGGGCTATCACATGGGGTATTCTGATCATGTACTATATCTCCTTCGGCTGCAGTTATATCGGTGGCAGAACCTCGTCAACCTACAGCGAGTCGGTCTTCCGCATCCCCTGGGGTGTGCAAATGGTCCCCGCTGTTCTGCTTTTCATTGGTATGATGTTCCTGCCCGAGTCGCCCCGTTGGCTTGCTCGCCACGACCGTTGGGAAGAGTGCCAGGCGGTTCTTACCCTCGTCCACGGAAAGGGTGACCCCAACAGCCCCTTCGTTGCTGCTGAGATGCAGGAGATTGGGGAGATGTGCGAGTTTGAGCGCCAGAACGCCGATGTCACCTACTTCGAGCTGTTCAAGCCCAAAATGATCAACCGTACTTTCATTGGTCTCTTCTGCCAAATCTGGTCCCAACTTACTGGCATGAACGTTATGAGTAGGTGTTTTGTCCGTGCCATGTAGACTGATTCAACTCTTAACGATTTCTAGTGTACTACATCACCTATGTGTTCAGCATGGCTGGCTATAGTGGCGACGCCACTCTGCTTGCTTCTTCCATTCAATACATCATCAACGTTATTATGACCGTTCCTGCCCTGATCTGGGTCGACAAGTGGGGACGTCGCCCGACCCTGCTTATTGGAGGTGTTCTTATGATGATCTGGATGTTCGCCAACGCCGGTATTATGGGCGCTCACGGTGTCGTTGTCCCTGGCGGCATTGAGGGTGTGGCTGAGGCATCTATGCGCCTCTCGGGTGCTCCTGCCAAGGGTCTGATTGCTTGCACCTATCTCTTTGTCGCCTCTTACGCCCCGACCTGGGGTCCCGTCTCCTGGGTGTATCCGCCTGAGCTGTATCCCCTTCGTGTCCGTGGTAAGGCAGTTGCTCTTGCAACCTCTGCCAACTGGGCTTTCAACACTGCTCTTGGTCTGTTCGTGCCTGTTGCCTTTACCAACATCCGCTGGCAAACATACATCATCTTTGGTGTCTTCCTGTTTGTCATGATTCTTCACGTCTTCTTCCTGTTCCCCGAAACTGCTGGCAAGACCCTGGAGGAGACTGAGGCTATCTTCGAGGACCCTCACGGCATTCCTTATATCGGTACCCCTGCCTGGAAGACTTCCCACGATGCCAAGCGCACCGTTGCTGCTGAGCAGGGCGATGTCGAGGTGCTGGGCGAGAAGCTTGCTGGAAACAAGTCCGCCGCCGTGCACGCCGAAACCACCGAGACTTAAGGCATAGGCTCGAATCCTGAACTTCTGGTGATTTCGGTTATCGCTGCTTAGCTGAAATGCTTTCTTTTCTTTGTATTCCTTTTATCCTCGGTTGGGTGGAAAATTGAGTTGCATTGCAATTGCTCTGCCTACTGGATGATGTCATGTAGAAAGAATGATGAGATACTCCTGGATATATCGAAAATATACTGCTTCTTAATTCAATAACCTGTCTCCAGTGAGATTCCTATCTGAACCCAAAACAGCGCCCAAAGACTCGGCGCTGGCACTTAGCTACTGGTAGTATAGTAACAACAGGATCTTGAGCGGGCTGCTATCGCAATTTTACCCTAAGTAGGCAATACAGACCAAAGGAAAGGATCAAGTTATGAATTATAGCTTGACAAGGTTCTATTTCGGTCGCACCTTAAGGTAGTGATTGTAAGTTCTAAAGTTAAAGAAAGTAATTAACCGTTAGGCTGCGCAGCCCGCCCTAAAACGCATTCCGACGCATACCCACTATCTTCAACCACCCACCATGCCACCAACACGCACTCGATCAAGCCAGTATTCGGCTAATCGTGAGGGCCGAATCTATTAGATATCCAGGCTTTTCAAAACGGACAGTTTCCTAGTCTCCGCGCTGAAGCTAGGACATACAGTATACTGAGGCTACAGCACACGCGCGAATAAGAGAAACGCGTTATCATAGTGATACTCGCCATGGTCGCCACATATTGACTGAATTTGAAGAATATTCGCTTGTACAGTGAATACTCTCTATATATTCACGTGGTGCAGCACTTAGTCCCTCGACTGTAAGAGAAATGGCAAATATTCTACTCGCTGACTGTGGAAAAACTTCCAGCCGCGATGCCGCTTCTCCGTCAAGTCCTGTCCCTGGCCAATATGATGTAACCTACGACTGTGTTCACACGAGCTTAAACACTGAACGGGTTGAAGTGCAAGGTACGTCTTCGAGAAAAGGACTACCGTGGTCTAGGGAGGAACATCACATTTTGAAGAAGCTAAGAGAAAAGCAAAATCTCTCTTGGTCGGAGGTGATCAAGCAATTTTCACGTCAATTCCCCGGGCGGAGCAAAGGGTCAATACAAGTCTACTGGAGTACAACTCACAAGAAAAAATAGTCATTTGTTCTCTTATCCCTCTGTTAATCTTACGGTGTTTTAATCTTGCGTCTTTGGATTTACGACATTGGAAATATTGTAAATCTTCAAGTCATTTTGATGAAAATAGCAGGCGTAACTGTATGTCTCTGCGTGTGTCGCGTAGCTTTCAGGGTTGCAGATCTGCCACAGCGCCTTGCTTCTGAGTAGCTCTGTTGTTATTGTTGGGCATGATTGACATTTGATAGAACCGTCTAGACTATTGAATCCGTCACATATATGGACCTGATTTAGTGCATGAGATGAATATCGAAGACTGGAAAGGTCTATCGTCTAGCCACGCAGAGAAGTGAAGATTGCAGTGAACAGGGCTCAATTCAATCGGTCATCGTCTTTGATTGGTTTTAGTATTGTTAAATCGAATCCAACCCAGTGTTCACTTCCTGTTGGGGTGATATAGTCACAGGGAATAATATCGTCCGTTATTCAATATCCAAGTTCATTGCTGCATATGTGGTGAAGCATCCGGCCTTTTGAGGAGAATCAAATCAATCTCAATGCACCAAATTGCTCGAATGAGGAGATTGTATGGAGGCTGGATACCGCGTCAGCCAGTATCGAATATAGTCGACTAATCAAGATGGTTGATCGAGGATCTGTTAGAATAATATGTCGATAGGAGAGACTGATATTACAATCAGGAGCAGGATGATTCAGCAGATACCCAATCTTCTACTGTTTTGTATGGTAATCCGGTATTCTCGGAAAAGCAGCGCTGTAACACACTAAAAACCCCTGAATAGATAGCATCTTGAACGGGAGCCGACAGATAGTTCTTCAGTCAATCAATCAATCTCTGGGATGGTTCAATAGGCCCTCACGAGTACTAGTCGATACCGGTATCCGAAAGTCTGACATAATGTTTCCAAACCCAGCTCCGCTCTTTCAACCTAGTCTCATCTTTCTGCTTGATTTCGACCCTCTCTACCTCGCATTCGACCTGAGATATTGATTGCGAAGGACGTATATCCGTATCAAGATTCGATAAACCCATAGAGACATTGCTGGGAGCTGTAGGAGAGGTTGAGATCGGAGGAGTCGGCGACTTAAGGGCGGCCCGGACCGCTATCTTCTTTCGGGGAGGCGGAAGTGGTATATCCTCTGAAAGGAGGCCATATTTATTAAGCGCCGCATCATCGCGTTTATTCTTCCTAGTATTAGGACAGTAAAATGTTGTAGCAAGTGGAGAAGTCATCTGTAACGTTATATTAGTATGTCCAGCTTTTGTCTTGATCGATCGCTTACCCTCGAGGACCCTGAAGTAACGCTCTTCAGTAGCTTTTAAACCCGATTTGGATGTTGTTCTTGGTAAAAGCACGTACGCGCGAAGACACGTTCTTGTGGAGTCTCCGCTAACCCGATTAGACTAACCATTTACTCTTCATTGAATATAATGTGCAAATATTCCTATTATGACTCTATATTGATACATTACGTGAATCTTAGTACGTTCTATGAGCTAGTATAATTTGAAGCAAAACAGACCGTATATAAGATAGTGGATTTGTTGAGTAATCTTAGAAGTATAATAATATATATAAAGGCTATGTTCGAACCACGAAATTATATACTAGAAACCTGACTGGCCAATGCTGCAGCGTAACCTGTTCGGTATTCTTGACCCGCTGGCACTATATTAATGATAACTTTATGTCCGCAGATATCGCCAGATTGGAATACATACTCGTCGCCGCACTAGAGGAAAGACCATCCCTGGTGTTTATTGTCCAGCATGCACTAGCCACTCGGGCCTCGATCTCGAGCGGTGGTACATATCCAGGCGATAGTACAAAGTTGTGGGTTTAATTCATTTATGGCTGGCTCTGATTTCAACTGTAAGATAGAAAAAAACATAAAAAACTCAAAATTCAACAGAGCGGGTAGAACGGGAATCAGCCTTGGACGAAGGGTTGCTCTGCTCCGATTTGTTGCGATATCTTCTGCTGCAATCCCGCACTAGGCTCCAAGCATCACCAACGATGGATCGAAGCAAAGCAAAAATGGGACCGGATCAACAGCTTTTCTGATGATCAGCCAAAGCACACAAAGGCTGCAGCCGCAGCTAATGGCATAGCCGCGTTCTGGTTGGCCAGAAAGCCGAGGTAGAATCGAGGCAGAAGATTATGCATGAGATTTTCTCAAACCTTCATTCCAGCATAGTCTTGGTCAGAAAACGCCGTGCAGCATCCAATTTTGCTCCATAATTGCCACTATCACAAAAGCGCCAGTCATGACGGGAATGGAAGGCTACCAATGAGTATATGTGTACACTCTATCGTAGATGGAGGATTTCAATCTCAGGCTCTAGTTTCAAACCAACTAACCAAGTCCAGGACAGTCGGGCAAGTCCATGTCAGTGTCGGTGGAACATTTACCCCCATAGTCTTTCCCAGTACCCTTCGCAGACTCACCGTCAAGACGCTGTCCAGACCTAAATCACTCATCGCTGCCTTTGAATCGATCTCCTCAGGTCCAGATAGATGCAGTACCTGTGATAAACATCCTCGAATTGTATGATCAAGATAAGACAGACGCTCCTCTTTGGAAGGGGGCAACAAATTTGCTGGGCTTTTTGTAGAGGCCGACTCGCTAGAAGAAGTTGAAGCCAGAATTTTGCGCTTAATAATCTCAGCGAGAATTGGGCTTGGAATTGGTTCATCGTGTTCGATAGGCAAGCTCCTCAGAACAGTTACTTGGGATGTATCATATTTCCAGGCGTGCAACAAGGCCAGGAACGCTTCATCGTGTGTAATATCCGCGATGCCCTTATTGGCCAATTCAGCATTGATGAACTCAGTGCTTGTGGACATCCCCATTCCGCGCCAACTACTCCACTGAAAGGAGATGGTGTTACCACCTTGGCTGCGGCGGTGAACTGCAAGGGCATCCAAAAAAGCGTTACCAGCAGCATAAGCGCCTTGCCCGGGGAAGCCAAACAACTGTCCACAAGAGGAGAAGAAGACCATAAAGTCCAGGGTCTTTGGTGGGAAAAGCCGATGAAGTAATATGGAGCCGGACACCTTTGGTGCAAGAACATGTTCTAGACCTTTTGCTGTGATGGACAAGATGAGCTCATCTTCTAGCACACCTGCTGCGTGGATAACACCACAAATTGGAGGAAGGTTTAAAGCATCAATTGCTTCGGACAACAATTGTGGGCTGGACCTCGAGCCAATATCAAACTCCAATGTCTTGATCGTTGCACCATATGCCTCAAGGCGTAGAAGTTTCTGAAGTGTAGGCATCATGGGTGACGACTCAGCAATGTTTGTGTGCCAGCTTTTGCGAGGTGGTACAGCGCTCCTTGAAACGAGAATAAGCCGACGAGCCGCTTGTTGTACAAGAAATTCTGCCGTTTCCAGGCCCAGTGATCCCAAGCCACCTGTAATTAAGTATGTACCCCCGGGAGAAGACAGTTGCGGAACCTTCCATTGGGGCAGCAGTTGGCCAGGCGAAAGTGGCCGCAATCGAGCGACTCGAGGGATACCATCAAAAATGCGAATAACGTCCTCTCCCTGAACATACTTCATGACCTCGAGGGGTATCTTAGGTGATTCCAGGTCGATTAGAGCCCCCCAAATATCGGGATGCTCTGAAGCAATAATTCGAGATAATCCAGCTAGCGTCGACTGAGCCAAAGCCGTTGACTGGCCTGTAAATACCCCGTTTGTCAAGACAAAGATTTTGATTGACAAATTCGAGTTCGCAGATAGCCTTGCTATACCAATCAGGTCCATGGAATGATTATAGGCTGTAGTGGCGATTGAATCAAGTCGTGGATCTGACGTGGGAAGATATAAAACTGCCGAGTCGCCCTCTAGATCTTGCATCCGGTTCAAGAGTTCCCCTATATTGTCCAAAACAATGATTGTGAGAATATTGGAAGGCAGACTTTCTCTGTAAAGGTGGGCTAGAGATGAGTCTCTCGATATCAACACAATATTGCTGAATGGTAGGACCTTTTCTGTGTAGATTGCTGGAGGCAATGAAATCTGATGCACGAGGCTCTCCAGTCCGGCATCCATGCAAACTTCACCCTCAAGCTCTGAAAATTGCATCGATTCAATACATACCAGCTGGTCTCCCTGCTCGTTGTATACATTGATGTGGGCTGCGAAGGGAAGATTCTCCACGGCTTTGATGTGAAGATGGCACATCTTTGGCGGAGTCTGTTTGCTCAGAACAGAGATTCTTTCAATGTGAGATGGCATTCGGAGTCTAGGCTCGCTGGAAAACAAAGTTGATCCCACGGATGTCGCTGAATCGAGAATTGGCGCCCACGAGTGGGGATCCCAAGGAAGGCTTACAGAGTGATCGACATCAGGAGCGACATCGACCAGCGCAACCATCTCGTCCTGATTTCCGTAATGTTCGAGCACGATCCAAGGAAACCCCATGTTTGAGACACCGATGTTTGACAGATAATCAACCGAGAAAGTATCTGGCAGCCTCTTGCCGATTACAGCTTTCATCAGTTCAATGTCAACTTTGTACGGCACCCCCACTTCAGCAGCCTCTGTGGTTGACCAGCAGCCGGTTGTATGGGTTTCCCACGAGTTGTCATCGCACTGACTCTCTTTATTGCCGCGAATAAGGCGAGAGCATATCTTCGCATGACCCGGACTTACGACAAACTGGATGTCTCGCGGCTTGTCAGTGGCAACCGGAATCCGAAGGTGAAATTCAGAGAGCTGGAGAGCCCCAGTGCCGAGCAGGAAAGTATTGATCAAGACGGCAGCCGGGATGATTTCAGAGCCATGAACAGGGTGATTGCCAGGGAAAGGTTTGGAATCCTTATCGAGATAGCTTGAGTAGGTAACGATATCTTCACCAGCCACAGGGAGGCGTGACCCTAGGAGTGCGTGTATCTCCGTATTGTGGGTCATCGCGGCACCGAATGATGCTGTCTCAACATCTTTCCAGATCATTTGGTGGTTCCAGCCAGTTAGGGGAACCTCTGGTGTCCAAGGTGCCTTCATCAATTGGTGCCACTCAATGTCAGAGCCATGGCAATGTAACTGCGCTAAATTGTAAAGAATGGTTTTGTCAGCTGGCTTGTGGCGACGCATGGTATGGTAGACACCGAAATCACTGGTTTCCGAGCACATCAAAGTTTCCTGGACAGAATGTGATACAACAGGGTGCGATGAAATTTCTAAAAATAGTCGAAAGCCATCTTTGGCAGTGGCAGTTACTGCAGAGCTGAGTTTCACTGGTCGAACCATATTTTGACACCAATAATCAATGTCACGAAGTTGCAGGCTACATGGGTCATCCTGAGATGTGGAGTAAATTGCGACTTTGGGTACGCGTGGTGCAAGCAGGCCATCGAGAGCACAGGTCAAAGGCTCAGCCAGCTCTGTGAGGCTAGGATGGTGAAAGGCAATGTCTGTCTTTACCCACATGGACTTGACGCCTCGAACATTCAAGGATTGGCAGAATGTCTCCAATGGCTGTCTGTCTCCGGAAAGAACGCACGACGATGGAGACGAGTCTATTGCAGCGACTATGTCGGTGCGTGGGCCCAATTCTCTCTGCATTTCATCAAAGGGCTTGTATATGACAGCCATCGCCCCTGTTCCTATAAATCTTCGGTATAGCTTGGCTCGTTTTGTCACAACCAAGGCTCCCTCCTGGGGAGTCAGACAGCCAGCAGCAACCGCTGCGGCGACTTCGCCCACCGAATGTCCAATTACAGCATTGGGCTGTAAGCCTTTCGACTCAAGAATGGCAACGAGCCCCACTTGCAAGAGGTAGGTGAGAACTTGCACCATATCTGAGGTCTCAAAATCCCCATTCCGAAGAGCATCCAGAGCCGAAAAGCCCATTTCAGCTTTCACAATTGGCTCAAGAGAGGCTATAAAATCATGAAAGATATGTTGATTGAGCAATTTCTTTCCCATATCGGCCCACTGTGAGCCATGGCCAGAAAAGACAAAGGTGACGCCTTTGCGAATGTCTTTGCTCAACACCCGATTCTGTGTAACCCATTCCGTGGACGCACCTTCAGCGAGTGATTTGAGCTTTGTAACTGCATCATGATGGTTATCCGCCACCAATGCAGCCCGATATTTGTGATGAGCCCGACGGGTCGCCAAGGTAGTTGCGATGCTGGCCAGGGCATACTTTTCGCCATAATTATGGATCCAAGAAGATAGTTTCTCTGCCGTGGCACTCATACGCTTCTCTTGTGGCACAGATAGCAGAAGAATATGAGGTCCATCTAGCTGTGTCGTCGAGAAGTTCGATGTTGGCGGTAAATACTGTTGAACTATTAAATGAGAAACCGTTCCCCCCGTACCCGTAGCTGCAAACCCCGGCGCGGCGTGGTATTTTGGAATCTGGCCAGCTCTGAGCATTCTGGAGAACGTTTAGCCCAGCGCCACCCCAATCTATCTTTGAGTTGAGCTGTTCCAATTTGGCCTGAGGTGGAAGAATGCCCGTGGAAATTGACATCAATGCCCTAATCAAGCTAACCGCACCGGCGCCAGCTTCTAAATGACCGACATTAGCCTTCACGGAGCCGATGCAGCAGGGGTTTTCTGATCTCTGTGGGCCTCCGTAGACTCGTGAAATTGCCGATATTTCGGTGACATCACCAACTGCAGTAGATGTGGCATGGGCCTCAACGTAGTTGATTGTCGTGGAATCAACTCCAGCATCGTCGAGCGCTTTCCTAGCCACTAGTTCTTGTGAAGATGCATTGGGAGCCATGATCCCATTGGTATGTCCATCCTGAGAAACTGCACTCCCTTTAATAACGGCAACAATATTATCACCGTCATTGATAGCTTCATCAAGGTGCTTTAAGATAACGATGGCAGCACCTTCACCCCGACCATAACCGTTCGCAGCGTCATCGAAGGATTGACATATACCTTCATTTGAGATAGCACCGGCTTTTGCCAAAACAGCGGTCATTTCAGGGCTGCACAATGCGTTCACGCCTCCCACTATTGCAAGCTTGCACTCACCCTGGAGGATAGCCTGTTTTCCAAGGTGGACCGCAACCAGAGACGATGCACAGGCTGCATCAACTGCCATGCTTGGTCCCATCAAGTTGAGTTGATAGGAGACACGGTTTGGGACACCGCAATAAGCTGTGCCGATTCCCATCCAGGGTTCCACATTGGGAAGGTCTCCGAGCAGCAAGCGAGAATAATCATCAGAGTTCACCCCGATGTAAACACCGGTGTCAGATCCTGAGAGGCTATCTGGCGAGATTCCTGCCCTTTCCAAGGCTTCCCAGGAAACTTCAAGCGCAAGCCTTTGTTGAGGATCCATTTGCTCTGCTTCTTTGGGCGATATGCCAAAGAAGGCGGGATCAAAATTCTCCAGATGGTCCAAGAAGTATCCTTTTTTGGGAATTTTCTCTAAAGCCTTAGGGTTTCGGGGATCTTTCCTGGTCCACGGCTCCCATCGCATGCTCGGTATTTCGCCTGAGCCATCACGCGCCTCAAGAATCATCTGCCATAACTCGCTGGGGCTGTTGACTCCACCAGGAAGTCGGCACGCCATCCCGATGGCAGCAATATCGTCCATTGTAATGAAGTTTGATTGTCAAAGATTTCAAAATTGATCGTGTAAGTTGATTGCTCAAAATCGAACGTGGTAGAAATGAAATGGTCAAATTCTAATGTGTACAACCGAACCAAAGGATCTTATATGCCATGTAGATTTTCTGTTTCAACTTCCTGTCTTGGGAGGTTATAGGGTGCGTCAATACCCAGAGTCAATCATGGCAATAGCCACGGTCAATTCTGAGCATTTCATGATCGTCTGTTACTCACGTCGTCGGCAAATCAAGAATTGCCCTCCACGATATGCCGCCTCGCGCCACCACCATGCCCCCCTAGCAAAGATCAACAGCACTAGGCAACCAGTAATGTATCAGAAGACAAGTTGGTAGAGTGATATTGCCACTGATTGACGGTGAGTGGACGTCAACCCGAGGCCTTTTACGTCGTCCCTTGAATAATGAGGTGTGGAGGAAATGACGGCTGATCAGCTTGTTAGTCGGACATTTTCGTCGCTTATAACGTCAGTCACATTCGTTTTTTTCGGGTTGAGCTAAAGTTCTTGGATTGTATTGGAAGGTTTCGAGCTGCCTCGCTCGGAAACATAAAATTACTACACACCATTATGTTCAAATGCAGTAATTATGTGGCAACTGTAGTGATGCACGACTACAAATCTGTACCCACCACAAATTGTTTGCAGCTTCCCGCATCCTTTGTGTAACCACCTACTCTCGAACCTGAGGACCTTGCTCTGCACGTTCTTGCGGCTTTGGGGAGGCCTACCCGGGCCACCTGCCATAACTAAAAATTCACGTGATAAAATGGCACGGTGAGGCTTGACTGTGTGTGTGTATGTGTATTAGGTAATTATGTTATTGGTAACCTAGTTAGTTAAATAAAATGTTATGCGTGATGGAGGGTGTCAAAAAGCCGGTCAGATCACTCGAGATGCCCGAGGGTAATGCAGGATTACATCATTCTGCTGAGAGGCACCACCTCGTTAAATCGATTGATGGATAGTGCCTAAGAAGCAGAACTTAAAGCTACGGATTTATATCCCGTGTCACGTAAGTCTGCATTCTGCCACGCATCTTGTGTTACCATCCGGCTGAACATAAGATCTGTGCGATATATCATGATGTAGCCTCTATGTATCTTGGCATGGCTCTAATCATTACGAGTGGCCATATCATACGTAATCTACACGAGGCCCTATAGGCTACAAAGTCCACGCAGAACTACATATTTCTTCTGGAGATGAACTGTTGTTTCATCTATGAGGAATCCTGAGCGCTCAATACTCAAGGCGGAATGGATCTGCCAATGCACATCTCACAGCAGAAAGCCTATATAAACTCACAATGATAACCACCCTTCTTGGGTGTTCGTACTCCAAGAATAACCTGTGCCACATATACCTTACCTATCTTCCCTCGGCACTCTAGCCAAGTATCGTCAATTCTATCCAATCTCTCTTATCACCACAATGGACTTCGGGGTTCCGAATATTGGCAACAGGGTCATGGCCCATGTCATTGATAATTTGGCCAGGACTGATCCCGGCAGAAAAGTGTGTTCCATACCAGAGATCCCTGATAACCCTCGAAGTTATGTGGACTTGAATGTGAAAAAGCTGGCACACGCGGTTAACTATATGTCCTGGTGGATTGTGGAGCAATTTGGCAACAGTGACACTTTCAATGAGACGCTGGCGTATCTGGGAGCGAATGATGTGCGTTACCTGGTGGTGGTTCTCGCTTGTAATAAGACTGGTTACAAGGTTTGTACCCAACAATGACGTCCAAATCCTATGAATCAAGGATTGAGCTGAGTAATTACTTATTTTAATCCAGCCGTTGTTATCTTCAACCAGGAACTCACAGGCAGCCCATGTTCGCTTGTTTGAAATGACAAACTGTTCCAAGCTCGCCTACAGTCCTGAGAAGCATCTGAATGCACAGGATATCTGCTCCGCTGCCCCCTATGTTACCGAGTGCGAAATTCCATCTTTTGCAGAGATGTCGGAGCAGGATACTGGTGGGTATCCGTTTTCCAAGACCTTTGAGGATGTTAGGAATGAAGTGGCATTCATAGCCCATAGCTCGGGCACAACGGGTAGGATGGTTTGAACTCTTAATTCACGTACAGCTTGTACTGACAAGTCACCTTAGGATTCCCCAAACCAATCCAGCTTACATTTGGATACTTTGGAGCTTTGGATTATGGAGCCCATGTTCCTATTCCACCTGGACGAACAGCCGGAGTTCCTGACCGGCTGAGTCCCGAGGATTTGATTCTTTCGTCAACACCATTCTTTCACCTAATGGGATTTGCATTGCTCATAATGGCCGTGTTTCATGGAATTCCTTGCGTCATACTGCCGGATAAACCGCTGTCGACGGAATTAGTGACCAACGTGCTTTCCATTACCCAGCCGACCGCAGCACTCTTTGCTCCCTCTATCCTCGAGGATCTTTCCACAAATACCGAGTCAATGGAAGCCTTGTCCAAGCTCAGACGTGTGTATTTTGGAGGAGGACCACTCTCTCCAGATGTTGGTCGCAAGGTCAGTGAATCCACTCAGCTGGTGAGTTTCCTTGGGATGACAGAGGGTGGCTTCGTGCCCTCCCTTTTTGCCAGAAAACGGAGACTGGTCTTATTTCGAATGGAGTCCAACTTTTGGGATAACCATGGAGCACGTCGAAAATGGTCTACATGAGATGGTCTTACGCAGACACGAAAAACCAGAGCTTCAGCCGATTTTCCATACTTTCCCAGATCTCGAATGCTACCACACTAAAGATCTGTACTCGCCACACCCAACGGCTCCGAATCTTTGGAAGTTTCATGGACGACTGGACGATGTGATTGTATTCAACAACGGGGAGAAATTCAATCCCGTCACTATGGAGAAAGTCATTGAGGGACATCCTTTAGTGGCTCGGGCAGTGGTAGTTGGACTCGGCAGATTTCAGACTGCACTTTTGATTGAGCCAAACTGGAATCAGTGGGATTCAATTAAGCCAGGGAGTAATCTGATCGAGCTCGTTTGGCCAACAGTGCAAGAAGCCAATCGAATCAGCCCTGCACACGGGCACGTCATGAAATCCAAGATTACCTTAGCGACCAAAAACAAGCCTTTCGCTACAACTCCCAAAGGAAGCACCCAGCGAAGGATCGTGACGGAAAGTTATAAAGTTGAAATTGACCAGCTCTTCACCTTGGACGACGTGGAAGAAATACCATTCAGCCTGCCACCCTCTCCAAATTTCCCAAGCACCCTCCAGTTTGTTCGAAACCTTGTCGATTATGTTTCGAACATCAGCTCCTGTGCAGACGATGCGGACCTTTACAATGCTGGGTTTGATTCATTGCGTACCATGCAGCTAGCAGCAGCCCTACGAGCAACCGGATTTCCAAATATAGTCCCGCAAACAATCTATGGACACCCCAGCATTGGAAAAATCGCAACCCATCTTCATCATATCATAAAAGGGGATCAGGTGCAGACAAAGTCAAGACACGAGAAGATCGACGAACTGGTCAAGAAACACACAGCTTATCTCCCTAAGAAAGAGTATTCACACTCTCTGTGCGGCTCGGAATCCTTCACCGTGACTCTCACAGGGTCAACCGGATCACTTGGCAGCTACATACTTGATGCACTGCGATTTGACAAGTCTGTTGGAAAAGTGTATTGTTTAACCCGCGATGGGAAAGAAGAGAAACAGCTCAGAAGTTTTCAAGAAAGAGGTTTGGACGAGACACTTCCAGACAAGATTGAATTTGTTCAGACCTCTCTCGGCGCCCCTCACCTTGGCATCGACGATTCTAAGTATAAAGAGATGCTTCGATCAGTAAACACTGTCATTCACAATGCCTGGAAGATGGACTTCAACATTTCAGTTGAATCCTTTGAAGAAGCTCATATACGGACTGTTCGCAACTTGATAGACTTTAGCTTGCAAAGTGCGCATCGGGCTCACATACATTTCCTCTCTTCGATTGGAGCTATCGGAGGCTGGACCCTTTCTAATGGCCCTGTCATCCCGGAACTCCCATTTGAAGATTGTGACGTGGCACTTCGCCAGGGGTATAGTGAAGCCAAGCACATATGTGAGCGAATTTGTCTGGCAGCTTCTCAAACGAGCGGAGTGCCAACGAGCATTCATCGGTTAGGCCAGATTGCCGGGCCTTGCAAAAGAGTTGGTTTCTGGAATGTACAGGAATGGATTCCTGCTCTAGTGGCCACATCAAAGTCACTGGGCAAGGTGCCATCTACTCTGGGAGGATTTAAAGTTGATTGGGTTCCAGTGGTAAGCACAATCGGTCAATACCACTAAAAGGATTGAATTTTGACAAAAACGTTTTTACTTTTGACTTTATAGGACCTGCTATCCAGGATAATTGTGGATATAGTTCAAACCCGCCAAAAGACACAACGACAAGATCTTTTGTCCGTCTTTCATTTAGTCAATCCCACAGCGGCATCCTGGTCTAGTCTCCTGGAACCGATCAGTACACGCTATAAACTAGTATCAGTGGATATGAAGGAATGGGTTGACGAACTAAAGGAAATCAAAAATCCATCTCCAAAGGATTTGGTAGAAAAGCCAGCATTGAAGCTAATTGGGTTTTACCAGAGCCTTGTTGAAGGCGAAGGGGTGCTCTCTGTTCCACTTGAATTGGAACACACAAAGGCAGCGAGTGAAACAATGCGATCACTGCCTTCTATCACACCGGCTATGATGGAAAATTGGCTGAAACAGTGGGCATTTTAGGTGTTACTTATTATTACACCTTCTAGATCTACGGGTTTAGATGGGTGAAATTAACTTAGGCCTTGATTGAATTACAATTAGAAATAGCGAAAACGACCTCCCTTTTTACGGTTAGAATAAAGCACGCTACTCTCGGTTTTATAGTTAATTCAAAAGAATAAAAAACCAGCCCACCCATATCAGGCCACCAAATGAGTCGGCTGGAACAGTTAATTGGGGGTTTTTCTTCAAAGCGGGGTGATTGCTCGGGAAACTCATCCTTTGTATATTTGAATAATAAGAACAATGAATGACAACATGGCTCAATTGCTGGCATTAGGAACATGGCTTTGGTTCCTGGGGGTGGGGGCAGAAGATCCCAGGAGCTGCGTTGGGCTGCCTGGGGCTACGTTGCTCCGAGAAGCGGCTTCTGTGCTCCCAATAACTGTGCCAAGCCCCCGGGGGCAAAGGATCTTCTAGGGTCAAGATCAGGGCTCCCAGGCCTGATAGAATTGTCAACAGGAATGTGACTGATTTTACAGTAGTGGGAATCGTGAGTCTACAAGTTACGTACGATTTTCTGGGGCTATGTGATTCCCGGGGGCTCACATATTTCCAGCTTTGGCTTTCTAGAGTCTTTACGAAGACCAAGGCTGACAAACACTTACACAGGACGGATCATCAACCATTTCTGATCTTTTGTATTGAGCCACACAAAGATGAGTATTGACATGGGAACACTGCTCCAGATCGGCTATGATCGGTCGGATAGTCAGATCAGAAGATGGAGATGCGTGGATTCTGAAATCATGAAATTTAACTGGTTAATTATCTTGGTACAAAACTCTGTAATAAAATCCAATCCTTTGCATGACTCCGTCGCATCTCTCTAATATTTTCCAATTCTACCTTCCTTCATCCATCGAACATTCATTATGGAATTTGTGATTGTCCATTCCAATGATCCCATCTGGTTCTTCAAAGCTTTACTCCGCGAAGCACTGTGAGCCGCGACTTTGACTGTTTTGTAGGCTCGGTGCGCGTAATCTGCTAGTGACCGCATAAGTCATATGCGACAAGTCACACAGCAGACATGATGACCACGAGAGATCTGAAGGCGGCCTGGCCAACGGCTCCATAATACATAATCTCGTAATACAGATAGTGGCTCTCACTGCCAAAGAACTCGAAGGATGTCTGAAAGCCGTGAACGTGGCTGGCAACATAACCTCCTAACAGATAACGATTAAGCTCACGATGATTTGACTGCAACCGTAGTAAAATCGAACGTTGCAGTTCTCCTGTAGCCACTTCTGGTGGATCACAAGGACATACCTCTCAAGGAAAGGGCAACAACGAGGGAGTGGACCGAAGGTGCAAGCCAAGGCGCCGCCGCGGAGGTTCCAGTGGAGGGTGCGTGGGTGCAGACACTGAGGTGAGTGGAAGAACGGCTGGCAGATGGGCGGCCAGCTGAACGTGTTAAACAGCCTCCACCCGCACCGGTTGAACAGTCATTTTGCTACCCCTATTAGCCAGGCGCGCATCACTAACCTGTAGTAATTGCCGGAAGGTTTGTCATATAATGACCTATTACCCTAATGAATAGATTTATGAATTTACTGGTGTTTTGGTAGTTTAATCTTATTCTGAATCTTTAGTAGTGTGCGGGCTGCGCAGCATGCATAACCGTGTGCGCATAACCGTTCTAAGTTGGTTCGCGCCGCAGCCCTTACGTAATGCGTTGCTAGGGCACCTCACGCGTTAACTAGGTGCTTTCGCGTCAGGCGCCAACGCCGCCCGCAACGCAACCTCCAGAAATGACGACAGCTTCCAAGGCCCGTGCTAAGCTGCTCTCAACGCAGTCCTCAGATGCTTTCTTCTTCAACATCACCCGTGCGACAGTGCCGCGACGAGCTCAATGCCCCGCCCGCAGCAGGTCAACCCGCTTACTCTCGAAACATGCTCGCCTACCATTTCTGATCTAGACGATGACGACGTTCTCGGGTCGGACGACGAACTAGACGATAATGGGCGCGCAGCGAAATGGCGGAGGATTGAAAAGATCGCCGAATCATACCTGAAACGAAAACCTGTCTTCATTCTCTCTGCTTCTTTGAGAGGTCCGTTCGAGAGTGGTTGGAAGAATCCATGGAGAAAGGAGAGGAGAAGAGGCAGACAGTTAGTTTCGGAGGACACACGCCTTGATGGTGATCATCTTGATACACCGGTGGTACAAGAAACCGACTTGCGAAATACAAAACGCAGAAGGGACTTATCGGTCACTTCGGGCCTTTCGGCAGTGCCTCCCTCTGGCGACGAGGCGACGGTGACTGCATCAGAGCGAGAATCAAAACCTTCTTCACGATCCATACCAAAGCACGGCGCCTTCTCCTCGAAAGCCGGCGGCGAAGAGAATAATACACCATTACGACGCCCAAAGAGGTCAAGACATGCCTCCGTGAGGGTCGAGGTGCCGACTTTTGCTGAGCCTGTAACTTCGGATTGGCTGAAGAAGGGCGGCCGAAGATTGAATTTTGGCAGATTCAACCCACCAAGCTCACCGACGCCTCAAACAACTAGTAGTGTACGAGGCACAGAAAATACGACCAGCTTTGAGACATGTTCTCCTGGGAAGCAGATAAGCAGGTCACCTTCCAAGCTTCAGATGCCACAGACGCCAAAGACCCCCGACTTTTCTAAGAAGATTCATGTGGATTCTGCAGTGTCTGCTTCGCGAAGGCAGACTACTTCTCCCGCTACTGAAAACCGAAAAAGATCCATGACTTCTGCGCCACCTTACCTGAATGCGTTGCCGGATATCAAGACTCATGCAAACTCCTCGTTTCAGGTTGTTGCATCCACTTCTCAACTACCGCGCTTCCAATACCGGCGGTGGAACCCGCAAGATTCAAGTCCCGTACAGCATTCAAGTCCCGTACAGCATTCAAGTCCCGTACAGCATTCAAGTCAACGTGTCGATGATCAGCATTCAGCCCCATCTATGTCTGAAGCCTCCGATGCAGACCCACCTGGCCCAGACGCCCCGGTGCAAGATAATTTGGAATCGATACAGGGATCATTGGGAACTGATGGGGTTTTTGAGAGCCCGGATGGCCTCGGGGTTTCCCATGAAATGAAAAAATCTACATCGAGTGGCACGTTTCAGGACGTATCAACGGAGAAGAGTACCCATGAAAACATGCCATCTGCTCAGCAGATCCCCGTTCCCCCGGGAGTGTCGGATCGAGTTCCATCACTGCACTCGACGGTGGTGTTTAAGAATACCGAGCAACTCTCAGATGACCATGACACGCAGCTATCGACCCAAGCGGCTCTTCTTCATGCTCAGAAGTCTTTCCAAGATGACCTGGAAAGCCCAAGCCCAGGGCCTGACTACAATTTATCTCCTGAGAAAGAAGGGCATAATGCCGACGAATCTCTTCTGGCTCAGGAAACGCCATTCCCCAATCCCGTGACCACCGAGCGAGTGATCCCTCGTAGCCTCACACGTTGGGACGACGAAAAAGTGCGGGCACTTAGCACTCAGTGTATGATCGATGCAGCCACGCCGTTCACTTTCAGTACAGAGAGAAAAAAAACCCAAAACCCTTCCGTGATGTCGATGCTAGAAAAAAGAATGCAGTACCTGAATGTCCCGGAATGGCCGATGTCTTTTCGCCAGAAAAGTCATGGCTTTCCGCTCAAGACGACCATCATGCAACGACTGCGGGTGAAAACCAACACTCGCCCGGCCAGCAACGAGCAGACGTGGTACATGCTCCCAAGCCAACCACACAGAATACCACGTTGCCATCGGCTTTGGGTGTATCGACCTCTACGACTGCTCAGGATGGACAAGGTGGAATACACAGGGCCGAGAGCTTTAACCTAAGCCAGGCGATTGCTGACGCTGGCAGCTGGTTACAGCAAAGCTTCGATTTCATGAGTGAAACGCGACACCCCGGCCAAAATGCCCGGAACCGATTATCCGCAGATGCCCCTGAACCTGGCATGGACCTGGAATTATCCTGATCTATTTCGTTATTCTGCATATACCTGTTAGCGACTCACGTATTCTTGTGATTTTCTTTTATGGACGTGTACAGCCGGTTTAAGTTTCAAAACACGGCGGTGCTGGATATTACATAGCTTAACGAATTAATGACAATGATTAGAGACATGAACGTTTACTGTCCAAATGCAACCCTAGTTATTGTGGCTTAAAGGTCGTACGTAGATCCTTTCTGCGTCATTGTGGCTCATCTATTTCGGCCCGTCTGCTTGCCGCGCCGTGCAAGAACAGGGTGGCCCGAGCGCCGGCGGGGAGAGCTTCCAGTCCGCCTCATCGCCAGCTCCGTCGCATCTCCCATGGTCCGCCGAGATGGCACTTACATCAGTACGGCAGCACGTCGCTTGTGTTTTCAACCTCTGCTAACATTGTCCTCAGTGGAAAGCGTTCAACTTCGTCGATGTCTCCCCAGTCAAGATCCCGGAGGAGAGCTCCGCGCTATTCGGCGTAAGACGCCTCCCCTCAGCCCTCTCAGTTAACACGCACTGACACGCTCTTCTAGAGTGACCTCTCAAGTCTCTGCACCGGATCCTCAAACATCTTTCTCGGCACCGTCGATGGCTTCGTACATATCGTCACCTCGTCGTTCCGTGTCGTCCGCTCGTTCAAGGCCCACGACACGGGATCTATAACGCACATGAAACAGATCAACGGCACTTCATTGCTAGTGACAATTTCGGAAGACCTCTCTAATGAGCCAGTATTGAAGGCCTGGGCCTTGGATACAGAGAAAAAGACGGAGGACCGAGGTGCCTTTCAACCGTATCAGTGCAGAATGCCAGGCGGCAGTTTCCTGTGCGCACCCCCTTTCGCATGATGTGATAATATCAGTATCTGACTTGGCGGACAGATCTCAGCATTTGCAGCCTTGGACGACCTCTCGCAAGTGGCAATTGGGTTCGCGAATGGATCCGTGACAATCATCCGAGGCGATCTCATTCATGATCGCGGCGCACGACAGCGGATTGTCTTTGAATCAGAAGAGCCAATCACCGGCCTTCAAACGCAAAGTGGTCTTATAACGGTTCTCTATATCTCAACGACAAGTCGCATCTTGACCCTAGTCATTGCCGGCCGAGGGCAGGGTCAGCCGGCACGAGTGTTGGAGGATACTGGGTGTGCACTTGGGTGTATGACTGTCGATAACGAAACGGGCGATATCCTCATCGCGCGAGAAGATGCAATTTATATGTATGGCCCTCGCGGTCGTGGTCCCAGCTATGCGTTCGAGAGTTCCAAGACTTCCATTAATTCTTTCCGGGATTATGTCGCACTAGTTTGCCCGCCAAAATCTGGGCCGGACAAGGGTGATACACTGCGAAAATATGGAGTCAACTCGGCGGACGATATTCTTGGAACTACCACATTCACGCTGCTGGACACGGATCTAAAATTCATTGCGCATAGCGAGTCGTTGCTCTCGCCAATGAAGCATGTTTTCATTGAATGGGGTGATCTCTTTCTTCTAACCACAGAGGGAAAGGTTTGTGGTCTTTTTTCTGCATTGAAATAGCGGCCAGGAGCTAACTTGGAGCAGGTTTTTCGTTATCGGGAGAAAAGCCTTCAACAGAGACTAGAAATCCTCTACGAGCGGAATCTCTACATTTTGGCCATCAATCTCGCACAGAAAACCGGCATCGACACTTTGCAGCAGAATGCAATCTATCGCAAATACGGCGACTTTTTGTATCAACGTGGTGACTATGACACTGCCATGCAGCAATATCTTCGAGCAATCGACAATACCGAGCCATCCCAGGTGATTCGAAAGGTAATTTTGATGTTACTCGAACTTGACAGACACCAGCTAATACTTTATGCAGTACTTGGATACGCAGCGCATTCATAACTTGATTGAGTATCTGGAGGAGCTGCACGACCATGGCCATGCCACAGTAGATCATACAACACTGCTGTTGAACTGTTATGCAAAACTGAAAGACACAAGCAAACTGGATTCATTCATCAAAGCTCCTGGCGAGCTGAAATTTGATTTGGAGACTGCCATTGCAATGTGTCGACAAGGAGGATACTTCGAGCAGGCTGCCTACCTCGCCACCAAGCATGGCGAGAATGACATGGTTGTTGACATTCTGATTGAGGACTCCAAGAAATATGCAGAGGCAGTAGAGTACATTTGGCGACTTGAACCCGAATCGGTATGTCAATGCCCAGTACCGACACCCTGATAGCCAGCTGACGAGAGTAACAGGCTTATCACAACTTGATGAAATATGCTCGCGTATTACTTGCCCATTGCCCGGAATCGACAACGGAACTCTTCAAAGTCTATTACACTGGCAAATTTCGACCGCGCACCGAGATTATTGAAGCCGAACCCCAAACCCAACAAACGAGTTCAATACAAAGTCTCGCCAACATCCTACCACTGCGCTATATGACGGGCGGGACTGGTGCTCAACCGGAGACTCTTCCTACCACCGATGAGAACAATTACGAAGAACCACTGCCGTACAAAGTTCCAAAGCCACGTACCGCTTTCTCTGCTTTCGTGGATCATCCACATGAATTCGTCGGCTTCTTGGAGACGCTTGTGGAGAAACAAGACCTAGAGCAGGAATCAAAAGTGGATCTCTTCACAACGCTTTTTGAGATGTATCTTGACACGGCAAAGAGCAAGAAAGATACCACTGAGAAGCAAGAGTGGGATAACAAGGCTAAAAAGCTCATCGAAGGGAAAGACGTAAGTATTCTTATTCTGGCTCTCTGAAAATCTGAAATCTAACTCTTACAGATACCAATTTCCACATCAAACGTTCTCCTTCTTTCAGACCTCTCTAACTTCCGCGAAGGTTCTACGCTCGTCCGCGAACAAGAAGGCCTTCGCTTAGACATATTCCGCTCTTTCACCTCTGCCAAAGATACACAGGGTGCCATCCAAGCGCTTCGGCGCTACGGACCCGATGAGCCCCAGCTCTACGTCGATGCCTTGGCATATTTCGCTTCAAGTCCACAAATCCTTGAAGAGGCAGGCGACGAGTTGGATGCGGTACTTCAGCGCATTGACCAAGATGGTCTCCTTTCCCCTCTGCAGGTCATTCAAGCTCTCAGCAACAACGCAGTTGTAACAATGGGCCGAGTGAAGAAATACCTTAGCGCAAATATCGACCGTGAACGCAAGGAGATTTCGACAGTAAGCTCATCCAACTTGACATTTCCGATCTTGTCATAATTTAACCATTTGCAATAGAACCGCCGCCTCATCTCAAGCTACAAATCCGAAACAGCAACGAAACAACAAGAACTCTCGAATCTAGCCACCCAGCCCGTTGTCTTCCAATCCCGCCGTTGTCAGTCCTGTGGTGGAACCCTTGACCTACCTACTGTCCACTTCCTCTGCCGCCATTCCTTCCACGAACGCTGTCTCAACCGTGTCGATGACGACGCCCAGTGCCCTGTCTGTGCCCCGACGAACTCCACGCTTCGTGCTATTCGGCAGCGACAGGTAGACTCGGCAGATCAGCATGATCTGTTCAAGGCGGAGTTATCGCGTTCCCGTGATCGATTCGGAGTTGTTAGTGACTTCTTTGGGAGGGGTGTTATGAGATCACAGGCGACGATGGAGGAGTCTGCGTGATTCAATAGCTACCTCGGATCCTGTTTCTAGATTTGGTTTACATGCCAGTTGGCTTCCTTTCTTTTGATACCTCCAAGACGCCCAATACAACAGTAACGATTTCCATGCAATGCTCTCTGGGAAGGATGGTTGATCGTAGTAATACACTCGACTACAAGTCGATAAATTAAACAGACATCTGCTATGACCTAGATTAAATTTGCAGAACTATGCAGAGATAGATGCATTCCTGGAACGACCACGCTATTCTAGTAATAATCACAATCGTGAAGAGAAGACCAATATCGAACAGGGCAGACCGCTCCAACGGTCATTAAATCCAAGGAGCAACGGTAATATGCACAGATGGAGAGGAAAGAAGATACAGGAAGAATAAGCGCAAACTAAGGCATAAACAGAGCAATGTACTAGGCCCATCTAACGAGAAAATGGAAACAAGAGAACAATAAGCCCTTGAATTTCCCGATTCTAAGCAAGATCCCGGGAAATAGTTCAAGACATTCATGGGTCACGTCCCTTTTCACCTCCCCACGAGACACGCGGACGGTGGCCGGGGGTGAAGCGACCAGAGCCAGAGCCAGAAGAAGATGATTGCTCGCCACTGGGGCTAGCATTCGATGGACTGGTCACATCCGCAAATTGGATCTTGGTATTAGAAGAAGTAGATGCATGGCGCTCCTGCTCCTCGCCGTTATCATCGCTTTCAGAGTCCTCCTCAATAGCATCGTCACCCTCAGATTCGGAATCGTCGTTATCCGCTTGGCCCAAGGCAGCGAGACGACGGCGACGCTCGGCAGGTGTCTCACCAGTATCGTCGTCCAATTGACGGGATGGAGCTGGGATACCGGCAGCCTGGCGGAGACGTGACGGAGGGATACGCTCAGTTCCATCATCGTCGGAATCACGACGGGAACGGACACGAGGCGCAGGGCTGAGGTTGCTACGACGTTCCTGGGCTGAACTACCTTGAGTGATCCTGGCGAGAGAGCTGGCCACGTCGGGGCCGGGAACATCGCCATCGGACTCCTCACTGGCTTCGTTGTCGGTGACGGACTCGAGGTCCTCGGCATCTTCCTCAGGAATGGCGCCTGTAGTGGCGGCGGCTGTTGCTGCAGCGGCGGCTGAGAGACGGCTGTCCTTGCGTTCCTCTTGCTTTGCGTCCTCCTTGGCTGCTTGCTTGACCGGAGCGGGTGCATCGGTCTGCTGGACCACATCGCGTCGGGCCTTAGCATCCAAGCCCTTGATCTGCTGGAAGAACTCTTGCTTATTCATGCGGCGGCCCTTGTGTCCAATGCCGTGACTGCTGACATCCAGGTTTTGTGCCAGAGTGAAACGCAGACCATCATCGGTGGCCCAGTCTTCGGTTTCGGTCCTAGGGGCGGGCTTGGTCTTCTTCTGACCGGCCTGGGACGACTCGCCTTCCTCCTCCATTCCGAACCAGGTACCCATACGAGTCAGACCACGTCTGATCGGCGCATGGCCTGGAGGAGCCGCCACTTGCTCTTCAGGCTTGGGCTTGGGCTTGGGCGGCTTGTCTCCAGAGGGAATGGTGTACTTCTTGATCACCTCGCCATCCTCATCCTCAACAATAATGGTATTGCCAAACTGGTAAGCATGAGCGGAGCGATGCTTTGGCTTCGGAGGCTCGGCCTTTGGAGGCTTGGATTCCTCGGGCGTGGTCTCCTTCTTCTCTTTTCCAAGCCCTATCCACTTGCGGGCCTTGTCCCATGAGATGCCAGTTTTTGCGCCGACAGCCTGTTGCGCCTCCTCGCCTTCGTTCTTCTCGTGAGGGTGGCTAGCAGAGTGAGCAAACTCCCCAGTCGTGTCATTCTCCAGTCGCTGGCGCTGCGCCTCGATGTGTTGCTTCTTCTGCTCAGGGGTCATATCAGTGGTATCCTCGGTCTTGAGCACATTTCCTTCTTCATCTTCGATGACCATGTGATGACCTTCTTGAAAGACTTCCATCTCGGGTTCACGGCCAAAGCGCTCGCGCTCAGCATTAGGAGGCGAGGCACCACGATCGACAGCATCCCGCTCTTCGAGTTCCTTTTTTCCTCGTCACCTCCCGACTCCGCCGGTCGCGGAGCAGGCATGATGGCGGACTGGCTGATAGGACCACCAGCGGGATGCTTGCGGCGCTTGCGACGGCGCATAGGCTTGGGCTGAGCGGACTGGGTACTTTGCACTTCGCTATCCTCGTCTCGCTGCCGACGAAGGAAGTTATTCGGTAGACCAATAGGAGGCAAGGTTCCAGGGGGTATTCGGGCAGCCTCTCGTCGGAGGAATCCAACTCGTCTGCTTTGCGGAAAGACATGGATCCCTTGGCAATTGACTGGACTCGAGGCAGACGGTTCATCCAAGAAGGACCTTCTTCGTTGGCCTGGGTGTATGACAACGTCACGGTCAGGGTATTGATTCGTTTGCCGAGAGTAAACACCGCAATCGAAGATCCGTGGACGAGAATAGACGAGATGACCATGAAAGTGGTGATTGGCCAGATGAGCCTGATGACATAGTAGTCCGGCTCCCCTGGCGTAGGCAAACTACCTTCCGGCAAGGGCTGTGTGCTATCGTTCTCTAACTCTGCTCTCGCAAGGATGGCAGCGAAAATGGCACCGACACCAATGGGACCGAAATGGCCAGCGAAGAGAGCTTCTCGCCATGTTTTGACGTCTGGTATGATAGGTTTCAGCAGAAGCATGATAGGTATACGACGGAAGAAGATGACCAATAATGCAATCACGACCAACCGCCATGGCACAAGACCAATGTTGGGGTTGTTGAAGTCCTCCCAAGGGACAATGGATCCAAAGTAGACGAAGTAAGCCAAGTTCAGCAACAGATCAATGACGTTGGAAACATGCGATTCTTCGGTCTTCTCTGTGAACCAACCGTCGTTACTGAAGCCCACACCGCACGAGAATCCAATCAGCAAGTCATCCATGCCGAGTAGACTACCCGAACCGGCACAGAAGACTGCCAGGACGAAGTAGAACACCAGGAAACTCTCACGGTCAATGAGACCCTTGCGCTCGGCAAGCTTGATGGCATGGCGGGCGAGATAACCAATGGTGAAGCCGAAAATGGCGCCAAAGATACATTCGTACAGGACGGTCACGCAGAACCAATGCAGTGACACCTCGTTTGCATGAGGCCGGTACCGCAAAATGTAGAACGAGAGATAGATGAAGGGGAAGGCCATGCCATCGTTGCAGCCAGACTCGGCAGAAAGCAGGTCTCGCAAATGCTTTGGCACACGCTTGGCGAATTTGCCCTTACCGACGACGGACGATGCCAAGACGGGATCGGTGGCAGTGACACAGGCAGCACAGACAAGACTTTCTAGCCAGTTGAGCGGCGGCACCATCCACCAAATAAACAGGCTGGTGATGAGCCAACCCCAGGTCATGACCGGGACCAGCAGCAGGGTAACCGATTTCCAATGGCGTTCCATATAGGCCTTGGGCAATTCGACACCGACGGCGAAACATTGCACGACCAGGACAATGCGAGAGCACTCAAGGGTGATTTTGTCGATGTTTCCCCATTCGTGGGGATTGAATAGATTGGCAGCATGCGGACCGAAGATGATACCGCAAAGGGTGGCGACTGTGGCTTCGCCAATGTAGAGCTTCTCCTTCACGAAGAGGGAGCACAGCATGAACAGGCCTGTGAAACCACCCAGAATCATATACGCCAGATGCGGCTTATCGATATCTAAATGTTCCCACGCCATGGTGTCTTCTCGTCCACGACGAGTCTCCAAACACTCAAGCTTGTTCGCCGTGCAGGTGTATCCGGTGTTTTTGTTTTCTTTTGCTGTATGTGTATGTGTACCCGGTGGGTGTACGTCCTCCTTCTAGAATGGGTTCCCTCGCCCCGCAGCAATCGATTATCTAGGTAGAATTCCGCCTCGACCGTCTGGTGTCCGCGTAGCTCCTCATGCCTTGGGGGATCCGTTTGGAGGTCGGGAGTGGAGATTGGGGGGAGGGGTGTGGGAAATCGGGTGCCGGAGCCCTGTAGGGCTGAATGCGAAGGAGGAATAGGCAAGCGGCGCGTTGCCTTTCTCGGAAGAGCGACGGTCTCGGGAATCAACGGGTTGGAAAGGTGGACGACGAGTCCGAGCGTGGCTGATGCGCCGAGCAACGCAGCGTAGGAGGGTGCGTTTTGCCGTGGAAATTCAAGCAAAGACAAGCAGGCTCGGCGTCCGGGAGGAGAAGGAGAGAAACAAAAGAAGAACCAGGCGAATCGAAGAGTCTTGGGGGACTCTTGGCCGGATGGAAGAGAGCAAGCGATTGCGCGCCCGGGAGAGATTTGCCCAGAGCGAAGGTATTCTTGGACGCGGCGGGATTCGTCAGCCGAGACTTTGCGCCCCACGTCGCAAGCGGAGCGAGTCTTGGCCGGGCGGAGAGTCCGTGGGCGGTCGGACAGAGGAGAATCCTCGCAGGCGAACTAAGAGCAACCCGAGTAGATGGTGGCACCTGGTCGCAGAGGGCAAATGCATGAAAAATAGACCGCTGAGAGTATAGGGAGGCTGCACTGTTTATACTCCGAAAATTCAATCCCTGCCGATCGCCGGCATGCAGGCTGCCCCGATATCAAAAGGAGTATGGGTTCAATTACCATACCGTATTCGCCGTACGCCAGCCAAGTCCCTGCGCCCAGCCCTGCCGACCGCCAAGCCTGGATTGCCATCTCTGCTGATCCTATTGGGCTCGAGGGTCGCCAATGATCCCACCGGCAGTCGCGGCAGTGGGCCTTCTGGAAAAGATATCCCGTCTACGGACGTCATTTGTTACGGAGGTGTGTATTGCATGTGGTCCGTGAAGAGTTCTCCGTCAAGTCTAGGGTGAAGGAGCAACCATGAAATGGAAGTATGTACGTGCCAAACTGAGACACCCAGCAGGAGAGGTAGATCGCATTTAAAAACATCCATATAGGACAAAACAACAGTGGGGAATTTGGGGAACTTCAATGCACATATCACGAAAATCCAAACAACACAAGGGGCAAATGGACAACAGAGCAACGTAGGTCTCAGACGGATTGCAAACCTCAACCTCGAGGGGAATACATGAAACGGTTCCAGATCTCTGGAGGGAAGCATACCAAAGGATTTGCGGGGTAGGAATATAGCGTTGGGGAAGGGACTATGAGGATGTCAAAAAGCAAACAAATCTCAACCAGTCTTTCACAATACCATCTCCGATTGCGGCGGTCGCGCACTCCGCGCGTAGGCCAAAATGATGCGGAAAGAAGGTTTTGTCGTCGAAGGATTTATGTACGGTGTCGACCCGGCCAGGCCACTCTACTCCCCAGTCGGCATACCCTCGACCTCGTCACTCAGACGGCGCCAGTTGTCCGCCTGCAGTTCGGCGTACTTCACCCGTTCCTGGCTCCAGTCTTGGTGTAGCCGGCTGATGTGATACTGGCTTTGTTGGAAGTGGACCAATTCGTCCCGGATACACTCCTTAATAAATACCCCGCGGGCGTGTTGCTGCACAATCGATTCCTTGTCCTGCACAACGATCCTGGTTAATAACACTGATACACGGCTGCCGGCACTTGGGGGGTGGGTCGTGGCACATACCCTGAAAATCGCGTCCTCCACCTTCTCAATCTCCCCTGGCTTGACAGTGCCCGACGGCCGGGCTCGCAGTTCCTGGAGCTTACGCTCATTGGTCTCAATGCGCCGCTCGAGCTGGGGGATGTTATTCCGCGCGTACCGGTCCCGCCGGTCGAACATTTCGCGAACACTGACCAAGCAGTCCCGCTGTCGCTTCAGATCTTCGAGAACGCCCTGGGACCAGGCTCGAGCCTCGTCCTCCAACAAGCTTTGGCTAGCAGAGAGGTGGCGGGCCGTCGCGGTGATCCCGGTGTTCAGGGATGGAATATCATTAGTGTCAACCGAGTAGGTATCATTGGTGACCTCGGTCAAAGATTGCAGGGCCAATGAGAATCGAAGATGATCGGCAGCCAAGCCATCATTGCGCTTAGCCAATCGCTCGAGCAGAGTGCACAAATTAATATAGATTTCGGCGGATCGCTTCACGCCGCCTCGGACGGTATCGAAGGTTTCATCCAGCGTCGCTGGTAGCGAGTCCTCAAGATCCGGCGGCAGGTTCCGGCCAACAAATTCGTCTTGGACCGAGATGGTCGCTTGCTTCCGCCAGACAGAGAGCTCCTAAATCGTCAGTTAAAGATGTTATCTAATCCATAAAACGATGACAATTCATCCAATCAGAGAAACATACCGTAGGAACGGTTAGAAACATCACTACCAGCTGCTCCTGGCCAAGAACAGGATGGCGAACGAGGGAATTCGTAAATCTGATGAGGCCACGGCGACGCTTCTCAAGGAAAGAGCTCGAATCCGCTGAGAGGTGAGTACCATTGACTTCGAAGAAGGTGAGTAAATAATTAGGCATTTTTGTCAGCCCTAGAGACGTACCTGAAACACGCTTCGGTGGGAGAAGAGGTAATTGGCGAAAGGGGAATCGCTTCTGCAAACAATCAAGCAGCCACACGAAATCGCTATAGCGACGCACGACGGTACTGCCCCGTCGCGCTGACTTTACTTCATAGTTGCGGTGTTGGAACATGAACATGCCCTCTTTCTCGGGCAGGAGAGTAATAATCACGCTCTCCTCGACATTGGGGTTCGTCGTCCGAGCGATTCCCAATGACCGACGCCGCGGCGCCGGTTCACTTGGATCATCGCCAGGAGGTCCGAATCCACCCAATGCCGGGCGTGGCGGTGCGCCAAAAGCATCGTCGCCGGGCGTGATGCTGATGTTCCCACCCCAGCCAGACCCAGAGCTACTCGGTGCCATCGGCTCCGGTGGCCCGTTGACAGGTTCGGGGCGGACCTCGCCCTGGCTGGTTTCCTCGACTTGTCTGCTCGACCAGGCATTTGTCGTAGAACGCATGCTGCTATATCCATTGATTACACGTTGTTCGGAGGTCACGGTTGTATGATTGTGGTGTCGATGGAGATCGGGGCTTGCCCAAGGATCCGACTCCAAGCCGCCCAGCGACTCTCGTCGCGACCGTCGCGAGCGGGCTGAATTAGGTTCTTGCAGCGGGGAGGGCTGGGGCGGAGGCGTACTTGGTGCGTCGTGCGTGGGGCCAACGGAGGAATCATGAGACGTCCGCAATCGATCGAGGAATTCGCTTCGTGGCTGAGGGAGTTCTGTAGAACGTCGCGTTAGCATACCGAGCTTTGAATCACACAAAAAAGACGATCCAAGGTCAATGTGAGTGGCTTCGGAGGGAACTCACTCTTGCGATGATCATCCACGGCGTCGAAGGACAGGTCCTCGCCTTCTTGCGCAAGGCCGATCAACGCCAGCAGCACGTTAAATTCAGGACGGCCAAGGCCTCCCGAATTTTCATGGTCTCCAGATACGACGAGGTTCAAGATCTTGCCCTGGTCTGACGCGGTCAGTCCGCTGCTGGAAAGGATCTCCCGGATCGAGGTCAGTCCCACGCCGGAGCCAACTCTGTCTCCGCTGTTCAGGATCAGATCGTAGGCGTCGATGTAGCTCTCAGGGACATCAGTGGCAGGGAGGAGGGTTCGGACAAGATCGCGCCGAGCTGTCCGCTTCGCGGTGTTGTTCTGAGGGTTCCAGGCTGAAGAGCTGTCGTCCCCGATATCATCTGCGAAGAGCGACGAGGAGCCAGCGGCTGACTCGTCCGCAAAGAGCGAGGCCTTGGACTTGTGTGTGGAGGATGCCGCCGGGGGCTCTTCCGGAGATGCTCCAAATAGCGACATTGGATCTCCGCCACCAAGGGGGTTCGCGGGGGGAGCGGATGGGAGGTGCTGGATGTGGAGGTTGCTGGCCACAATGACGACGCCGTCGATCAGGCGGAGCTCGGCCGGAGGTGGCTGGTCGCACAAACACGGCCCAAGCTTCTTTGCCGGGATCTGCGAGCGGAGTTCTTGAACCACGCGGTTAGTCAATCGCAAGTGCAGCACTGTTCCCTAGGCAATGCAGAACACGGAAATCGTGGATTTGGTGATGAGGGGAAGACAAGTGCGGTCGCGCGGTCTGCGACGGGGTTGCGATAACGGCCCATCCTCCCCGCTGCAGAGCCACCCAGATTACCCTAAGATAGCTTAGCCTAGAGCCATTTGATACTGCCGCCAGTTGATGACATGTCGGTCATTCTAAAATTGGCTTGTATCAAGATTGGATGCTATCAAGTCGCACCATATGGTCAAAATTGGGTTCATCGACATTGGGCCCGTTGTCGGCAGTAGTGACATATATGTTCAGTACCCAATAGCAACACTATATCACATCGTCTTGTAAGTAGTGTTGAGTGTCCCAAATTTTCATATGCTTTTGCGCTCCTAGATCACTCTTGATTTCGGTCTTAGCAGAACAAGAAACAATTCATCCTAACCTCAAACATGTACCACACACGAAAAGAGATGGCATATATCAAGATCGGCATAGATCAGCTCTATACAGTTAGCCAGACGACCTACCAAACGGACACATGATGATAAAAAAAAATCGATGCAATTGTGAAATATATAAAAATCCACGTAAAGAACATTCCTGAGCCACAGACTTCCATAGAATCAGATTCGTTCTATGTAAATTGACGTCTAAAAATCAGTGAGCGTTGGTCGTCGGACGCCCGCGGCCAAACGGTCCTATCTTTCGCTTGAATCGCTTTCGGAAGAGCCCTCCGAAACCTCAAACGATCGGCGAACCTGGGCTCCATCTTCTCGAAATTCCCCGCAAGACCCTACACAGTACGTGGTGGGACCACTTTTTACTGCACGAGTGATGTAAGTGCAATGCATACTGGTACTAGTATCTACTACTGGTACAATGTCGGGATATCTTCCCGATCTTCTCCCGATCGATGGGTGCAGCCGAAGCGCAGTATATAGGCGCAGTTATATTTAAAGATGCAAAGACCGCGTGTCATTACAGACACTCTGACGCCTCCAGCAAACCCTCAGTCTACCTGACTTCAGGATGCGGCCTTCAACAATTACTCGTGTGGCTGGCCTTCGCCGGCTCAAAAGCTATGCGACAGATGGCACTGCCAGGCGATGCCTGACAATGCTCCATCCCCCAAAGTTTGAGAACGAGAAGATGGTGAGCCGAGACGATGTGATCCCAGGAAAAGTGCATGAGTTAACATAAAGCAGTTCAACTATGCGAAGGGTTCTGCCGAAAGAGCGCAACTCACCAAGACCATCCAGCAAATGAAGAGCGAATTCCCCGTCACAATTCCTCTACAGATCAACGGATCAGAGGTATGAAGAAAGCATATTGTCTTATATCTACTCTATTCATTCAAGGCAGACACTAATGCGCTTTCTTGATCAGGTCGAAACAAAGCACTCTCGGGCTCAACTCAATCCGTCGAAACACAGCGAGATTGTCGCCAACTATGCATCTGCCACCTCCGAACAAGTCGACGCAGCCATCGATGCAGCAATGAAAGCCAAACCGGCCTGGGAGGCTACTCCATTCGAAGATCGCGCAGCTATTTTCCTGCGCGCCAGTGAGCTCGTCACTGGGAAATATCGCTCGGAAATGGTCGCGGCAACGATGCTGGGTCAGGGCAAGAATATCTGGCAAGCTGAGATTGATGCTGCAGCGGAAACAGCCGATTTCTTCCGTCATTATATCCATGAGGCCTGGGCTCTCTACTCGCAGCAACCGAAGGTCCACCTAGACGGTAACTGGAACAAGATGGAATACCGCCCGCTTGAAGGCTTCACCTATGCCATCGCCCCGTTCAATTTTACTGCACTCGGTGCCACATTGATTGGGCCCTCGGCTTTGATGGGCAATGTTGTTATATGGAAGCCATCGGACTACGCATTGCATGCCAGCTGGCTACTTTACAAGATCCTGGTCGAGGCGGGTCTTCCGAAAAATGTGATCCAATTCCTTCCAGGTGATGCCGAGGAGGTGACCAATACCGTTCTCAAGAGACCTGAATTCGGTGCCCTTACCTTTATCGGCTCCACGGCTACCTTCAAGGGCCTCCAGAAGAAAATTGGCGATGCAATCGGCCAAGGCGTCTATAACTCTTACCCGCGCGTCGTGGGTGAAACTGGTGGCAAGAACTGGGGTATTGTGCACCCTTCTGCGGACATCAGGAGCGCCGCTCTGAATACCATCCGAGCTGCCTTTGAATACCAAGGCCAAAAGTGCTCTGCCAATTCGCGGGTCTATGTTGCCGAGTCAGTGTGGCCAGAGTTCAAAAAGATACTGACTGAAGAGACCGCCGCCTTGAAGGTGGGCAATGTCGAAGAGTATGGAAACTTTGTCAACCCAGTCATCCACGAACGATCCTTCGACAAGCTGAGCAAATTCATTGAGGACGCGAAGACTGACTCAGAACTCGAGCTTATTGTGGGTGGCAAGGCCTCCAAGAAGGAAGGCTTCTATGTGCATCCTACTGTGTATCGTACATCAAACCCTAGCCATGAGGTCATGTCCCAGGAGCTCTTTGGCCCAATACTGGGTGCCTTCGTTTACCCGGATGCAGAATGGGAGCAGACTCTGAAGCTTGTTGATACGACATCTCGCTACGGCCTGACAGGAAGCATATTTGCGAAGGACCCATATGCTAGTCGCCAAGCTCAGACCGTCCTCAAGCATGCTGCTGGCATGCTCTATCTGAACACCAAGTGCACCGGATCGACTGTGGCCCAGCAGCCCTTCGGTGGTAGCCGGGACTCGGGTACTAACGATAAGACCGGCACCATGGCACACCTCCAGAGATTTGTTAGCACTCGAACGATTAAGGAGGAGTTTGTTCCTTTGGAAAAGGTTGAATATCCGTCTAACGAGGTGTGACCTGAGGACCTATGCTATTCATTAAATAGTCTCATGGGCCTAAATTACAATAAACCTTAAATGAATCTGACTGAGAAGTAAAAATGATGTAAAACGTATGTAATCATGTCTTTGCCTACGAGAAGATCCTTGGGATAGATTGTTCGCCTTATTCGGTAGCGAAACACTAAGCACACCATTTACTGTAGAAAAGCTATGGGCACCCATGATGATACGTGGGCTTGCAGGAAAGAGTCGGACTCTTACCAACTCGACCTCTCACGTATCTACACGCAGAGTTTCAGTGCATTAGTGCACCCCCCGATACGCATGACTCCAGAAGTTCGCGCTAGTGGGATATTGACGAGGAAATGGCACCCATTGACCGGCCCGGGAGGGGAAGGAGTGGTATAGCCTGTAAGGAAGCTAGGCGAATACTATCTTGATTCTATTGATAACAAGAAACCCCTCCCCCGCTTTTTACTTTAGGCATTTCTGACCGATGGACGCTTGGTCCGATTCCCCTCTCACTGTCGGAGGGCCATCCCGACTGGAGCCATACGACCAGCCAGAGCGCACGAGGTGGTCGTGGGGAGCAGATAGACAGCGAACAGCCTGCATCGGGCCGTGATACTATATAGGGTGTGATGGCCAATATAATTTTGAGAGATAAACTCTTTTCGCTTGTCAACATCCCTGAGCAGATCGAGAGATCGATCAAAACGTACCTTACGTCCGGTTCCTGGTCAAATCCCAACCAGCCAAGATGATTCCTAGATCTGCCTACCGCCATGCTGTTGGACAGCAGCCCCGCGTCCTCCCACTTCACAGTCAAATCTTCAGGCGACACCGTTCCACCAAGCAGCGGTTTCACGATGCAGCGGTTGTATCCTCGCCATCTGCTGTCCAGCGCCCTCTGGAGGTGCCCTCCATGGCACGGCTTCCGACTCGATTTCTCTTGCGCTCGCTGGTCCTTACTTCGTTAATGTCATCGAAGCTGTTCCTCAGGCCCGCCCTTTACTTACTGAGCGTCGTGACGAATTCGAAATCCGCCATCCTCAACCCCGATCGCAATCGAGTGCTTAACAAGCTGCTCAGGTGGACGGTTTACAATCACTTCTGCGCTGGCACAAATCAACAAGAGGTCTCCAAAACAGTGGCAGAAATAAAGAGAATAGGATATCAGGGGGTCATCCTGGGATATTCAAAGGAGATTGTAGTGAATCCGAGCGAAAAGCTGGCCCGCGATGATTCTGGCTCAACTACCTACAGCGAGAAATGCTATGAGATTGTGGAGGAATGGAAGAAAGGAACATTGGACACCCTACGGATGGTCGGTGCAGGGGATTTCCTTGCCGTCAAGTAAGTGATTTCTTCTCATGGACTGAGCTACTTCCCGCCAACCATCACTGACAATGAGAACTAGGCTCACCGGTGCCGGACCAATCTCCCTAGATGCAATGGCAGAGCAAAAGCCGATGCCAGCCGTTCTGGCAGAGGCCATGGATGAAATTTGTGTCGCTACTCGAGAGCAAGGGTCACGGCTGTGGCTAGATGCTGAGCAGCAAGTCCTGCAGCACGGACTTGACAACTGGGCCATTGAGATCATGCAGAAGCACAACCAATCTACCACACCACTGGTATACAACACAATCCAGGGCTATCTGAAAGGATCCAAAGCAAACCTTGATCGGCATCTCATCGCAGCTGCTGAACGTAACTTTGCGGTGGGAATCAAACTGGTTCGGGGAGCCTACATTGAACACGAGACCCGGTCTCTTATCCACGACACAAAGGAAGACACAGATCATTCATATGACCTCATAGCAGACTCGATGCTTTGTCGAAGAATGCCCGAAAGAACTGATCTCGCTTTTCCGGACGCAGCCCTCTTTCTTGCCACACACAACGCTGCCAGCGCCGCAAAGGCCATTGCGAAGCACCAAGAGCTTCTCCTTGCGAAGAAGCCAACAATTCTTCTCGAGTGCGGCCAGATCCAAGGCATGGCAGATGAGTTGAGCTGCGAGCTCGTGTCAAGTTATGAACGGGCTATGAAAGAATCCAAAGCTGCGAGTGTCTCGGTTCCTAAGGCATTCAAGTGTATGGCTTGGGGGTCCGTGGCGGAATGCATGCAATACCTTCATCGCCGGGCTATCGAGAACAAGGGCGCAGTAGAGAGAACTCAGCATATGGTCGAGGCATTGCGACGAGAGCTGTGGCGCAGGATTGTTGGTTAAAATTTGTCGATGAGAGTAGAGGTTAGAACACGTTATGCGATACGACTCATGGAGTACCCTTTTCATTTATGGAGACTTGAGCATAAAACCGAATAACAGGGGGTCTGTCTTCATCCGAAATCGTAATCCTGCCCGGGTCATAGCGAATAAGCATGGGCTTGAGAGAAAAAAGTTAGGTATTAATTTTCCCAAGGAGTATACACATTTACCCGGTGCAGTATTCTTCGTTCAGTGTGTAGCTTCCATCTCCGAGCTACTCACACATCTACACCCACCCCCACACTCGAAGGCGGCAACTGCCCAACTCGTCCCGCCACCTTGTCCATCAGACTCCTCCTCGGTCTAGTATTCCATCATAGGTGGGGCCTCGCACTCTCCGGAGGTTCCACTTAGATGGACACAGCCCAACAATTAGTTGCCGATTCTGTGGTTCGCCGATAACGCTCTGATAAGCCGCCTTTTTAACGGGCTATCCTGGAAACGTCGGAGGGCCATCCCGACCGACCTCTCGAAACGCCAACCCCGCATATATCGGAGTGTCACCCCGCTGGTATCTTGATCGATCTTCCTTCGGCATTACAATCCGGCATGCCCCCAGCACTGAGCAAGGCGAAAACGAAGAAATGCCAGAAAGCGTGAGTGGCGCTTCGCCAGACGAGCGGATACAGGAGCTAATTCAAGCCAAAGTTGTATACGATGTCGGGGCATGAAGGTGAAGTGTTCTGGTTCTGAGCCATGTACAAGATGCGCCCGCAAGAAAAAGCCCTGTCAGTTCCCACCTGAAGATGTGCGGGTCTCGGTGTCGGAACGGTAAGTCGTCGACCACCACTGAACAATGTCTCGGTGCTAATTCATGATATCAGCTATCTGCGTCAACTAGAGGAGCAATTTTCAAAAGGCAGCCACTCCTCGAACCATACAAATGCCCTGGACTCAAGCTCGCTGGCTGGGCCTCCTTACTTGCGCAATGACGATGCCGATTTATCGCCAGTCAACCCACCTTCGTTTCTTTTGAACGACCGGGGCGGAGATCAATGGCGAGAAATATCCAATGGTAAGTGGCTAGAGGCCAATGTACTTACTATCTTAAGAAATCTGTCAGCTGAGGCACCCACATCTACAGATCTCGATTCCACACTTCACTCGCCCCAAGCCCGGGCTACTCAAGGTGGACGGCTAAGGGAAGACCTGGACATGGAGCCCGATGGGCACAAATCTCGATTCTCGCGAAACCCTCTCGTTGATAGGGATCCGTCCTTCGCAAAGACACCAGACGGCCGATTTTGTGAGTGATGAACATTCCTTTAGAGGGAAAACACATAAGTGCTCATACCGTAATATAGGGTATATGGGCCCGACCTCATCGTGGTCGTTCTGTCGGCGCGTCCTCGCCTTGATAGGAAGAAGCGTACCTGAGGCCAACTGCCCCGATGATCCCTGGCATCTGGACGGAATGGCATTCAAGCTACAATGGCGACCATTTCCTCCGGATGAAGTGCCCGACGTCACGAACCTACCACCTCTCGATTACGCCCTATTTCTATTCAGCACTGTGAAGTTTTATTTTGGATTTTTATCTTTCATGATTGATGAAGAACTCTACCTGAAGTCACTGTACGAATTTTATGACAACCCAGAAGCCAAGGCGGCCTCCTCGAGATACTGGTACGCTCAGTACCTACTTGTCCTCGCCTTTGGGAAAGCATTCCTTACACAGAAAAACCTCTATGGCACGCCCCCTGGGCACCAGTATGCGTCCAGGGCAATGGCTTTGCTCCCAGATCTATCTGGGATGCACGAAGATCCCTTGTTATGCATTCAAGCCTTGAGTCTAGCCGCAGTATATCTCCAGTCCATCGATATGAGACGGGCAGCTTTCCAACATGTGAGTTATCTCGTGCCAAAACTGACAAGTGGTGTTTTTCTCATTCATAATAGGTTGGACAAGCACTGCGTGGATGTATCATTGAAGGAATCCATCGACATGTGCCAGAGGAATTATGCGGACCAGAGCTCTCCAGCCGCTGCAGAACAACCTTTTGGGTGGTTTATATGCTTGATCGGGAGTTCTCGGCTCTTATAGGTGCACCAAGCTCTATCAGAGATGAGGATATTACAGTGAGGCTGCCGGCAGAGATGGAAAACTCTGTTGAACATATCAACCTCACACTTCATGTGCGACTTTCTCGACTAATGGCCCGCATTCTCTCCAGTATGTGCATTAAAAGCCTTTTTCGGATAGACTATTTGCTAACTGACTTTTCTAAAGCTGTCTACGGAGTTGGCGATGAGTTTGATGGATCTCTCATAAGAAATACTCAGTCAATTCTTCATGGGTTAGCAGAGCTCTCCCACGATTTGACGGTCTTTTTGGATGAGCATTTCCATGGCCTGATAAGCCGAGCTTCTAAGATGGCGATTCGACTTATGTTGGCTCATCACCATGTAAGTATTGATTTGAATGTCTTTTTCTCTTTCAGGAAAGCTAAACTTTAAAGTGTGTTGTACTCACAACGCGGCCTCTGGTCATGTGTGCCCTTCATATGCACATTGAAAAAGCCGAAAGACAACCCTCTCAGCAGATTTGCTTATCTCCGCCTGTCGCGTCACTCTTGCAGTGCTGTGCCGAGTCTGCTCAAACAATTCTGCAAACTCTTCAGACTCTAGCGGATGATGATTTGATGGGTGTGTCTATTCTACTATCCTAATCACACTCTACTCAGTGTTACTTATCTGTCCAGATGCATTTTTGCCCTTCCAGATCGAGGATGCTTCTTCTTCGGCCTTTGTTCTCTATTTAATCCGCGCAATTGCACCGTCAGTTATCCGCGGCAACTCTTGGTGTGACCATCTCGAGTGTGTTTTAGAGAAACTTGAGTCAAAGGGCAATCCGGCTGCACCGCTCCGAAGACGGGAGCTTCGACAATTAGAGCAAATCCTGGCACCATTAACACCCAGGTCAGACCCGAGACCCTTGCCCGCGATAGATATGAATGGGGATACGGAAGGAGACGAGAATCCTTATGACCTGAGTCATGTTGACGTGGAAGAGGCATTCGAATGGGATCTCCTCGGGCTCAATTCCTCTGTCAGCTTGCCTCCACGAGAGCTTCTGGATTTGGCCGATCAGTTGGACGTCGAGAGTATGCTCCAGTCTGTCAGTGGGACTGTAGCCTAGTTCTCTTACATTCTTGCATTAGCTACAGCAGCAATAGGAATTAAGAAATGAATGATCGAATAAGATACAGCGCAGCTTATGAAGCCATGACCAATTCCAAACCAAGTATTAGTGAAGGAGCATACTCGAAGGTTGTTCCAAAGACTGCTTTATCAGGTTAAGGAACTGCACTGCTTCCCTTCCATCAATAATCCGATGATCGTAGGTCAAAGCAATATACATCATCTGTAAAATGAACGTCAACCTTCGCTACACATAGAAGGACTTTAAGGACTGGAACTTACTGGTCGAATTTCGACTTGGCCATCAATTGCGACTGGTCGCTCTCGGATTCCGTACGTCCCAAGTACGGCCGTCTGTGGCATATTGATAATCGGTGTGCCGAACAAGGAGCCCCAGATGCCGCTGTTGCTAATTGTGAAGCTACCTCCCATCAGGTCGCCCATCGTAAGCTTGCCGTCTCGGGCCTGATATGAAATGAGAAAGTCAACTCCAGAATTCCTCATCGATCATGAATCTTCTTACCTTTGCCACGAGGTCCGCAATACCCTTTTCGATTTCCACGATGCTCATCGACTCAATGTTTCGGAGAACAGGCGTCACGAGACCCTTTGGGATAGCTGCAGCAACACTGAGGTCCACGTAATCCCGATATACAATAGTATCCCCGTTCTCAATCGCCGCGTTCACAGAAGGAATTTCGTGGAGGGCGAGAGCAGATGCTCGAGCCATGGCACCCATATATCCCAGCTTCACGCCGTATTTTGCTAAAACTGTAGGCCCCTGTTTCTTTCGGAACTCTATCAATTGTGACATGTCAATTTCGTTGAATGTTGTCAAAAATACAGCAGTGTTTTGCGATTGTTTCAAGTGTTGGGCAGTCTTCTGTCGGATCCGAGTCATTTTGACCTGCAAAGACACGGATTTCCGTTAGTCGAGTCTCGAGAAAGCACGGGGATTTTGGAACTTACCTTTTCCTCTCCCCTCCTTGGCTTAGAACTGCCATTCTTCGTATCTGGATCCTTCTTATGTTTGTCTGATTGAGCTGGGTATGGGAAATACGTGGACACCTGATGTTCTTCCGTTGAAGTAGGCTTTGAGGCGGGTGATGGCATATCAGGTCGAGACGGTGGTTCGTTTTTGGCCTCTGCTGCATCCGAATCTGACTTCGACTTTTCCGCCACCTTATGTTCTTGTTGTTGTTCAGATGATCCTTCTGCGGGTTTGATCTCTGCAATTGCCTGGTCCACTGTGACGGTATCCCCCTCAGCCACGAGTAATTGTTGAATAATTCCAGAGTGAGGCGCGTTCACAGATACATCAATCTTGTCAGTTTCAATAGTGGCGAGCTCCTCGTCTTGTTCAACGAGATCTCCAACTTGTTTGCTTAGTTGTGCGAGGGTTCCTTCGGTGATGGACTCGGCCATAGCTGGCACACATACAACGGTGTTCGCGTCATACCGCGGTCTGGATGCTGAGAAGAAGCGAGGTTGTAATAATTCCCTATTGAGGTCTTCCGGTAGGGCATGCGAGCTTTGGAGCGGATGGAATGTCCTAGGTCGCGTGTAGAAGGACTGGCGTCCTCTGGAAACGCGCAGCATCCATGCTGTGCGATTGACCGAACGTACAGACCCACGGAGCGACATAATCCTAGGAAGTTGAATAGACAGGAATTGAAAACACAATATGGAATATGGCGAAGAGATAACCGGGCTGTCTCCGGGAAAATATTTGAATTTCGGCTTTCGTTCTCGTTGCTCGGCATTCTGTCAAGTCGCCGACTACCAAAAACAGAGTCACCGAACGAAGCGTAGAATTCTTATTCGGCTTTTTCTGAATGCTCAGCGGCTTGAAGGCAAATTATTTTTTCACTCGCTGCGCAAATCCCCAGGTCGAGCTATGTGATTCGATTTGAGCTTGCGAGAAACTCGAGATGATGTTGCTAATAGTCGGGATGCATGCCAACTTTTCTTAGCCGTCGTATTGCCATCGATTTTCAGTTGGGATCATCCGAAACTGAATAGGTTTCCACGCACAGGCAGTTAGCCCTTTTCTATTAAGAGGGAGACCGACAGATCCCCTCTAAGTTGCCATTGACATTGGTATCTTTGGAGATCTTGTACCTTGGTCCTTACAAGGGTCATGCGTGGTAGAGCAAACCCGACGTTAAGCGCAAACATAGAAGGTTCTCAGACGCTGCGCAGGGTCACCTGCAGGCCCCAGGCAACTGCTAGTCGCCTACTAGTAACTACATGATGGATGACATGGAAAGTGGTATTCTTTTCAAATTTTTCTTCCGGCAGAGCAAATATAATGTACAAAGGGTAGCTTAATCCAAGCCCAGCCCATGATCAGAAATCATCTTCGTGGTATATGTAGTTGTTCGTATCGTTATTGGGATCTTCGGTAAATCGCGTCATGATTCTTGTAATTCAACTTCAAGGGCGTTTAAATTGCTGTCGGTGCTTGGCTCGATGACTGGCTGGACATGAAAGTGCCCAAGCTGAAACAAGATAGCTTGCCATTCCGGCATCCCAGTACCCTGGACCAGGAAATAGTTCGTATCATCAGGGAACCATCTCTCTTTTCGAACTGATGCTTTGTCTCCTCCTTCTAGTGCTGCTCGGCTGGCACGAGTTGTCCGCTTCCGTTTCTCTCCCTGGGTATACTCTCGAGACATCAGAGCACTTAAATAGTCTCGATATTGCTTGAGACGACCATCAAATACCATAATAGAACGAACATATGGTGCGATGTCCTCAGTGATAGGAGAAATGCTGCTATCAAAGGAAAGAGCAGAACGGGTGTTCGCATAAGAATATTGCCGCATGAGTGGTTCGAAAACCTTTTGGAACCCGGGCAGCTTCGAGGGGAATATCTGTCGACGAGCTGCATGTTGTCGCCAGCCATTGAACATCTGAGTCGCGCAGGTCGACTCCATGTTGTCACTGCGCGTACGGAATACCTTCGAAAGTAGGGCGGCAAACGTGAGGCAAAGCGTCTCACTAAGCGCAGGATATTCGGGCTGCAAATTGGCTTGGAGAAGAGGATAGGCTTCGACATAGTTTGATCGGTGAGATTCGGGAATCGGAGGTGCTGAAATATCAATGACATCCTTCCTTATTGTCAATTCCGAGATCATTTTGTTCACACCGGGGTACACTTACATTGAACATGTCCTGTGGACAACGAGTTGAGAGAACATCCAACGAGCTTCTCATATCCAGGTAGTCCATCTCGCGATCAAGCAATTCCAGTTGCTCGATCTTGGATTGGGCTCGAAATTTGTCGAAAGGAACACTCTCGGGCTCGCTGAACCCAGCGGCATCTTCAGAATCTTGGATTCCGAGTCTCCACCAGTGAAAGGTGTTCTTCAATGCCTCCGTCTCCTTCTCCCACGATTCTTCACCCAAAAATAGGTCCCGGTTGTACCAACCCATATACGGCTCATAAGTATTGAGACTCAGGACGCGTACTCGATCTCCGTTATCATCGCGATTGACTTCGGGTGGCCAGCAGGGTAGGATCCAGTCAAGCCCAGCTTTGCTACTTCCGACACCCATTTGGCACCAAAAGTTAAGATCCAAGAGCGACCTCCGGATGTCCATTCCGGATGCATCAAAAAGCTTGCTGGTTGCGTCTCTTTTGAGGACATGTCCTTCGTTTGCGGCAATGAGGAGTAAGTAGTCGATGGCAAGGTCACGAAGTGGCTTTTGATACCGTAAAATGGCGTACAAAGACATGCCTTGGAGGGGTATAAGGCTCTCGTCATTGCACGTAATGACGATCGGTCGCCTTGACTGGCTGATCAACGCCATTACACCTGTCCAGAATTGTTTGTCTTCGTCGAAGAGAAGGTCGGCTTCTTCAAGAAGGATCAGGGATTGTTTCTGTTCACGGGCGCGTTTCTCATCGGTGTCGGTCCTTGGGGTGGAATTCGCGGAGTTGGTGTCAGCCGGAGGCCTTAAGTCCGACGAAGGCTTCCCTTTGAAGAAGCTCAAAAGCTTGTCTTGTTTTGCTTCATCGGCTTGGGCACCAGACTCTCGAGGCTTAGGAGTGTCGTCAGATTCATTCAGGAGGTGGACCAAGTGGTTCCGCGTCATATCTCCAACTTTCTCAAGCATATCTCGAGCACTTCGTCGGCTGCCTGGGTTGATTTCAAATACCTCAAAATCAAGCTCCTTGGCAACGGCGTAGACCGAGGCAGTTTTGCCAACACCTGGTGGGCCACTAAGCAGGATTGCGTTTGTGAATCGGTTCCTCTCTCCATGAGAGCCACTGCTCGCGAGGTCTCCAGTGCGGATCACGGTCTTTTGGCCAGACACTGTTACATCACCAGCCAACTCATCATCCGAGCCAGAGAGATTGTCCATTTCGGATGCCTCTTCCTCACTCGAAACGATGAAACCATCAAGCTTGTCGGCTTGCTTTCGGCCCTTCTTTCGCTTTTTCTCCGACTTGGATTTTGATTTGGTGGATCTAGATAATTTTCCAGTATCGACCGCAGTGATTTTATGATGCCGGAGCCAATCCCGTAAAACATGAGCCTCCCGACCATTTTGGAGAACATCCTCTGCTTTTCTTGGCGCATACTTGTGTGTCCAAAGTTGTGGTTCGTATTTTCCGCAATCGAATGCCGAAAATGACGATAGCAAAGACTCTCGGAGATTCGAAATCAGGGGAATCGACGAGTTCCCCGCTAAGCGTGGGTTAGTCGCCCAAGACATCTGACTATCAATCGCGGTCTGGAGGACTCGACCACTGGCGACATGGCGTCCGGGGATGCGCAAGGTTGGACGAGGGTTACTTCCTTCGCATGCTGATAAAGCCGCAGCCTGTCGTGCTCGCAAAGTGCTCACCAAAAAGGCATTCTCGTCATCGTTGACAGTGATGACTGGTAATTTCGACTTCTTCTGGTCTTCTTCTAGAGACTTCAACGTGGAGTCATAGGTCTGTTGTGGCGGATCAATAGATTTTATGTGAACAAGATCTTGAGGTGGCCACAGAGGATCAAGAAGCTCGGGAAAATTGGTCGTCCGACGACCAAACGTTGACGGAAATGAACCAAAAGCCCGTAATTCGCGCTTAGGTACGGAAGAAATCGGTGGTGCTGGGGTCGTTGTTGGATTCGAAGTTACGCGTTCCGTCTCTGCTTGAGCACCAGACCCCTTTTCTGGCTGGATGCCCTGAGTGGGCTTTTTCAAGAAGAACGGGTGCGTAGGTTTAGCCGGCTTATTCTCTTTGGGCGCCACATCGATCGCTCGGCTGGCAGGCGCGGGCTTATGTGTTGTTTGACCGGAGAGTATACCGTCAATCATCCTTCCGATATTCCTGTCGCCAGACACACTATATTTGAGAATCGCCAGCTTGCTTTCATTTCTTAGAGGTCTTCCCCGTTTCCCTCCTGGCCGTTTCTGCGTGGTATTCTCGGCTGCTGTTGCAGGGGGAGAGCTAAGCAACCTCCCATTGGAATTCAATTTCAACGTCTTTCGCTTCTTGTCCGACTCTCCTTCCGGTTGTGCTTCCCTCTTGAGGTCCGGTCCAGATGAGCACTGGTCAGGCGCGCCCGTGCTTGTGGTTGTAGGCACATGCTCATCCTCGGCCGAAGCAACAGACGTCGACAGATCCTTTCCGAGCCAGCTCGCCAATCCGGTCTTGATCGGTATGTCGCCGTGGGGTTGCTTGTGTTTCTCAGTTCTGCGTCTCTTCCGTCTGTCTGTATTGGGGTCTTCTTCGGCACTCGATAGTTCGGCGGTATTGGTGTCTTGTTGTCCTGGTCCACTGGTGGGGGATTTTCCAGGTAGTAGTCTAGAAGGGAACGAGTGGTTTCCTGAAGGGGCAGCTTCGGGTCCTAATGCATCGTTTGCGGAAGAAACAGTGGCTTTGCCTGAGAGCGACGGGGTTGGCTGTGCTGAAACTCCAAATTCTTCAGAAAGAGGTCAGCTGGTTTATCTATCCGATGGACTGTTCTTTTCTTGCCTTGTCGAAAGAATGGGTGGACAGCCTGTTGCTGGCCGTGTCCCATGGCCACTGATGTATTCGAGGCGATCGTATCCATATGATTGCTCTCACTTCCTCCTCGAGTTGAGAGCAATGATGCGTTCGTTTCCAGTAAGATTCATGGAAATTTAGTAGGCGTGGCATCCAAAGCCCAAGCCACTTGCATTGGAGCTCAAACTGGCCGTCTCAGAATCCATTCACTGTCGATCGCAGCAATCATCGATACTTACACGTCAAGACGCGCCTGTCGCGTCGTGCTTATGTCAGCGCGGCCTTGCCGCATTAAACCCTTCAGGGACTAGCCTAGTGGGTCCGGGCCGTTGTTTTCCCGAAAATTTTTCAGATTTCCCCGTTGGGACGGCATTGCAGCTTCATCTGATCAGGTTCTGAAGGGAGTGGAAATTAAGACTTTGTCGAGATCGTGATCTCTGCGACCATGGATCTTCAGTCTCCATCCATTCTGGCACAATTGCCTCGCCCCCTTCATGCTTCCACGGGCAAGACCCGTATCGGCGATGTCTACAGTCTTACCGATGCCAAAAAGCGCAAGCGTTATGAAGTCGCTGTCGCTGTCGATGGAGAGGCCGTGAACATCTACAACGTACGATTTATCGTTAAATACCGTCTCTGTTTCATATGGACTAACCTTTTCCTTCATTAGGTGCAAACGCCTAAGCTCGTGACCTCGTACGCCGTGCCGCCTCAGTCCACTTTCGCCTGCCGGCCATGCTCTGTGCGCCGCAAGCTTTCTAGCAAATCGATCGTGAAAAGACAGACATATACCGCCACGACCAAGCCCGAACATCAGATCAGGTGTTTTGTGGAGGAGATTGGCAATGGCTCGAGCGCGCCAGTGATCACCTCGTCGACCACTACCATCACAGACTCCAGCAGCCCCACAACTTTCGTGGGAATAATCCCTTTCAACACCGAGGATGATAACCAATCCGATTCGTTCGATATTCTTGCTGTTCACCAGGATGGCCGCACGCGCCGGCTGTCGTCGGATTTGAAAACTCAACACTGGAGTATCCAGCACGGTGAGATTGCCAAAGTGTGCTCCTCGCACTTTGTGCACTCATGTTTTTTGATCGACCTCGAGGACGCCAAAAAGTCTTTGTTCAAGAGGCGTCAGGATTTGGCTGCTCTCGCCCTGGGCGACTCAACGACCTCCAACACCGACGAACCTTCAATCCTACTTGTTGTCTCCCATCCAAAAAAGTCCGACCAGATCACATTGAACGATGTTACCGTGCAAATGTTTTCTGTTCCCGCAAATTCGAAGTCGGGCTCTTTGGAAGAAAGTCAGCGCCTTCGACATCTGCAAACCATTCAGGTTCCGGCGCCTAGCGGCCTCGGTAAGGTTGATGGGAAGGAACTTCAGTGGAACTTCCATGCTGGCTCTGGCGGTCTTCAACTTTCGTTTGAGAAGGGATTCGTGAATGTGGATCTCTCGCAGTACTCTCCCTCGGTGACTTCTCAATTTGTTCTCGACGATAAATTTTCATCCGTTATGCGCGTCTCGCCACAATGTGTGATTGGGGCGAGTGAGTCTCTTGTTGCAGTCTACGACACTCAGTATCAATCTGTTCAGCGAAGCATTGCGGCTGCCGATGTTCTGTCGGGCAGTGGATCGAGCACGGATGAGCCTACGGTCTTCGTCAGCTATTTCGCGAAGCTCGGAATTGCCGTTGCGGCCAAGGGCAACACCCTTATCGCATTCGATTTGACCTCACTGCACAGTCACTCGGGTCCTTCTCTCAAGCGATCGCGTGATGGTTTGCTTATTGATGCGATTGGACGAGGCATTGGTTCATCTGCTGCCCAGTGGGACACGGCATCCAAAAAGCATCGCTCAGAGAATATGACATCCCTGCACCTCACATCTCCGGAGCAGGTCGAGAAGTGGAATCAATTGACGAAGGATGTGAATGAAGCAGCAAAATCCAAAAACTGCGCGAAATTCGACAAGGCAGTCAAGCAATACTTTGGTGTTTCTGGCGATTCCACCAAGCTGCCGGAACGAGGACAATACGTCAACCCAGAATCTACACTTTTCCTGCTGTCCAAGATCTTTGCAATTGAAGACTCTCCTGTTGAAGACAATGTGTCAGCATCTTCACCCTCTCAGCTACGCATTGTTTTGTGGCCCACTGTTACGTGCAATTGGCTTGTGCGCCTGGGCCACCTCTCACCGGACAACGTGGAAATTGCTCTGCGTCGTTCATGCAAGCCACGCATTCTCCAGTCGCTTCCGACCAGCTTCTTTGTCCAGGCTCTGATCGACTCTGATCCGTCCTTGAAACAGGTCAACCAGGTCCTCAGTGGACCTGCTGTCATTGCTTCAGATGGGCTTGCCTACGCCTTGAGATATTTCCTCAGTCAGGCCCGTCTGCACTCCGGTGCACTGGAAGAGACTGCACGAGCCATTACCAATGGCGACGTAGCCACCCCTACCCAGGAACTCACTCGACACCTTGGAGCCGAAGAGACGGCTCTGAAGGATATCTTCTTGGGATTGAACAATACCCTCCAGAAGATCCATTCGCATCCTTTGGCGTCTGTTGTCCAATCCCTTCGTTCAAATCTGTCCCGGACGGAGCTTCTTTCCATGGTCCACCACCTCCGTCTTTCTCTCGCTACCGGCGGCTACACCTCCCGTTTCACCGAAAACCCCCCAACTCCCATTACTCTCGATCAAATCACACCTCCTCTTTCCCTTAATACCATCATCGATTTGATCACTGCTTCGGTGGATGCCGTCGGCCCATCCGGCTGGATTTCGGCCCTCCCGCCGGTGAACAGCCTCGACGATGAGTCGGACGAGGCCATTGCATCGGCCAGTCGCGAAATGGAGCTCATAGCCGATATGAAGTCTGAAGTGTCCGCGGCTCTTGCCGGTGTGGAAGAGGCCACCTACCTTAGGGGTATTCTGCGTGAATACCTCAGCTTCGCCGACCAAGTCGCAACCCCTGCCAAATCCTCCCGTGCTCTCGCACAGTCGGATCGCGAAGCAGCTTCCCGGTCCCAGAACGTCCGCTATGAGAAGCTCAACGGTGCTGAACTCGTGATCTTCAATCTTCCCGGTGAGGGTGATGATGGCTATGATGGCGATGCCAGTGGCAAGATGCTGCCGCTGTCGCTGAAGCCCGCCTCGACGGATGTCTCGCGCACCAAGGTCAAGAAGACTACAGGTGAGGCTAAGGCTCGCACCAGCCGTGAGATTGGATATCTCCGTCGCAAGGCAGTTGGCCAGTACTCTTTTGAGAGGCTACTTGTCTAAGAATCCGGTCTCTGGTAGACAGTCTTCGGCTTTTTGTTTCATACTGTAACCATCATTTACGAACCACGTACCATATAGGAGTCGGAGCGGGGAAATAAATATTGACATTGTTTGTTCTGTAATATTCCATGGTTCGCCAGTCAAATCGGTAGCATTTTTTGTTGAAAAGATAATTATAATAAAGCTTTGAGCATGACAGAATTTGTCATGCCACAGCATTGCACCAGTCTGTGTTACACCGACCAGGCCTCGCTTGATCAGACACTTCATAACAATCACTTGTGTTGACAGATGTGTTCATGGTGCATTAAATATCACGGTTTCCCCGCGATCCTCATGCTGTACTGCAGTGTAATGATCACTGTGATGGCGATTCCCCTGACACCATGTTCGCAGGGTTGAAATATATATTTGCTAGTGTTTGGTTGTTTTACTGGGTAACATGATTGAACAAGACTTCACATTATCCACGGTCATTAATGTCTAACTGACGCCGCACCATAGTGAAGACTGCGATTTAAACTTATTTTGTTCAATGTATTTGCATCACATGTATCTCATCGAAGGTAACAATGTCAGATGTGAGAGTGACATTGGCATGGTTTCCGAGTCGAAATTGCTTCTAGGGCGCTCACGTCAGCCCAGGTTGGGAGGAATTGGGACCTAACGAGGTTGGAAGCAGCTGTGAAGGCGTCGATGGACGTAAACACCTCCGATTGAAAAAGTAAAGCAAACACCCCTCGCGTGCGAAAGGGAATAATTCACCTGATTTCGCAATCAATAGAACGCGAGTTGGGACAATAAATATCGGTCAGGAAGTGGGACCGCGACAACGCATCGGGAGCGTGATGGGCACCAATCAGAGGAACGAAGAAGGCGATGGGACTTTTGTTGATGACGATAGTTGGTGAAGACGATGTTTGCATTATTATTGCTTGGGGGATTGCGATTGCGGCTGGCTTGCCTCTGTAGGTACTCGTAAAGGTATTAATGTACTGTACTGTATACTCCGATCCGGCACCGAGTTGTCCCGTGGATGCAAATAAACAAGGAGCTCCAGTGGAGCTGGGGCCAACCTCGATTCTCCGCACTTCTCGCGACCTATCCACCGTTCTTCTCTGATTCATGGTCTCCATCAATTCAGCCTCCATGTTGGCGTGACGTGAGCTCCCGTTCTGCCTGTGTTTATTGGAGTGCGACCTCGCCGCGCGCCGGGCGCCGCATAAACAAAGAAAATGAGCCAACCATGGCTCGACAGCCTGTCGGACGACTGGCCGTCGTTGCCTGCGTCGCCCACCACGCCCGTCCCCAAACAAGACCAGCTCGACCAGCTCGACTCGCCGCGGACCGTCCAGAATTCTCCTAGTCGCATTCCGGTGCCTGCCCGCCGCTCCGGCGATCAACAGTCGCCCGCCAGCAGCAAGCCGTCCAAGCCAGCCCGACGGGACTTTTCGAAAAAAGTCACCCGGCCCTGTCATTTCATCAAACGCGAGCCACCGACCCCCAAGACTCCTCGCACTCCCAAAACACCCGCCAAACAGCGGTCGCCCGCCCCCGCGAAATCCAAAACAAACACCCCCAAGTCCCCCAGAGCCACCACGAGCACCAGCCCCAAGCGCAGTCCGAAGTCCACGAAGCCCTCCCCCGTCGCGGCGGGCAAGCAGCCCACCATGGACACGCGCTCCCCGCTGCGGTCGGTGTCCAATGTATCCAGCCAGGCCAGTTTCCAGAGCACCGACACCGTTCAGATTAAACCGACGAAGGGGCAAGAGGAGGGAGCGCCCACGCCCGAATGGCGCAAAAGACTGGTGCAAGGCGAGATCGCGGCCGGCGAACAGCGGGACCTGTTTGCGCCAATGGGTCTCGAGAGCGTCTTCAAGCCTCCGACGCCGGGCTCTGCGACGGCCAAACCAGGCTCGATCCGATTCACCAAACAGGAGGATGATCAATTGTGGGATTTCACCGACACATCGCGACGCGACAGCGCAACGCGGGACGAGGAAGACAACATCAATGCTGCCAAGGCCGCGAATGCCCCGAACGCCAACGATGCCCACGGACAGGAACGCGATCGCGACGACACCGAATATTCAGGAACCGGGATGGAGTCACCAATGGGTACGGTCAATCGTGCACCCTGGGCAAACAAGTGCAATGGACATGGCGAAGAAGACCCCTCCCAAGCAGACGATACGGGGTTTCGAACCGCGAGTGGACTGGAGGATCTTCGCAATGAGGGTATCTCTCCGATCATGTTTACGCGTCCGAACACGCTTGATGGCAATGGCACGTCTGAAGTGATCAAATCGGCTCTAAAGCAAGTGACAAACAAGCTCGAGAGCCTGTCGGTCGACAACAGCCGCCCTGATTCCCCGGCCAGCGACAGCCTCCTCTTCTACAACCACAGCGAACCCCGGCCTGAGGGCTCGCCGCACGACGACAGTCTGCTGGATGTGACGAGCCACTCGCTCCCGCAGGATCTCTCGATGGGCACCATCGATTTTAGCCGCCGCGCAGGTAGCCGCCCTTTCCCCCAGCGCTTCTCACCATCGCCCTTTCCCTCACAACGCATGTCCCCCGCAACGCTCGCCAACATCAAAGTCCGCAGCTCGCCGCTTTTCAACCCTGCACGCAAAACTGGTTCGCCTTCCCTGCCTCGTCCTTCTTCATCTCACGTGCGACCCTCAACATCTGGAGATGCAACAACAAAGGAAGGTGCCATGCCTTCGTCAGGGAGTCCATTGAAGCTGTTTGGAGAGCATGATACTTTCACAAACAACCGTCTACTGCGGCGCATGAGCCAGTTCGAGGAAACCTTTGAAGATGGGTCGGATGGCGACGAGCCTCCATCCCCGTCAGAAGAGGCTCGGCGCAAGGGCGAGAGCCGCAGCTTCTTGAATGCTAGACATGAGCCGTTGAGTGAAATATCACCCCGACGGAACGAGCGTCTAGCATCCCGCAACACCCCCCGTCCCCGCGTCAACAAGTTCGGAGACGGGGAGCTCGATAAGTTCGACTTCTCCGACGCGAGCCCATACGAGCATCAATTAGTATACGATGCGTCCCAAGCGTTTGGATCGCGTCCCACCTCGCGAAGACAAACGTCGATTCGACAGCAATATCTTCGCCATCCCTCCTCGCAATTGGGTTCTTTGCGTTATGCTCGGTCCGCCAGTTCTGGGTTTACTCGTAAGCCATCAGCGTGGACCCGCCAAAGCTACTTCGACCACCTGCGTGATGCTTCATGGTCCTCTCGCGTGAACCGAAAGGAAAACCTGGGTTTCTCGGAAACCAAAAGAGTGCCTAAAGCGGCAGCAGACCCAACTCCTAAACGCCGTCGAACAATACTGCGCGACACCGCTGAGCCTGACCACCCGCGCGTCAACAGTGAAAACCCCCAGAAGTTTGACGACAGCATGTCATTGTTGCAACGCAGCCTACTACAGCACGGTGTTCAGATAGAAACTGGCGACTACCTTGCCCCTCCTGGTCTTTCTACCTCCATGCAGCGGCCTCGAACACCCACGCCCAGCCAAATTCGCCTTTCCCAGGAAGCGTCGAAAGGACAGACTCGGGACTTTTCCGAATCCAACTTCGACGAGCTTGATTATTCCGACTCCTTTTCCCTCGAAGGCGACATCCCGCTGGTCAAAATTACTGGAACTAGTGACACATCCCGCAAAGGATCTATCACTACCCAGGATTATTTGAACGAAGCCACAAAGATCATGGATCTCATCCGCGCCAAAGGTCGACCTGCTGACGTGATGACGAGTCTACAAGAGTCTGATGGAGATAGCGAAGAGGGAAACTTCAGCTACGAGGATGAATCTACGCGTGAAGCCTTTTCTCGACCCCCCAGCCGGGAAGGCGCCGATCTTCGCAAAATGCGGGAACCGAGGGAGATGAGCCCACAAATTCTGAACCACCTCAAGAAATATCAGGAGAAAGAAGACGTGGAGTTTGGTGCTAATGACATGTCACTGAACCTCCACCAAGGGAACAAGACCTCCGCTGAGCCCAAAATGGGACAGCTAGCTCCTGAAGAACGGAAGCGAAAACCTAGTGGCCCCATTGACGACATTGCAGCGGACATTGCTCAAGATCTGATGACAATCAATACGCAAATGTCCGGATTCAGTATCAATTCTGTCCCAACCGGCTCCTCGCAGAACTCGCAGGCGAAGGGGATGCTCTCTTCTGATCTGGTGTCCCATTTGATCCCCGAGCAGGTCAATGGCTTCACATACGACCGATCAAAACACCAATGGGTCAAAGGCGATGGCGAACCACTGGCCAGGAAAATTCCTCGAGAGGACGGAGAGGATGACCCATTTCAGGATATTCCGGACTTGAGTGTGGATGAACTACAGGAGATGATGCGAGTCCATGGATTAAGCTCTCCCACGAAGAGTACCGAGGAGCCACGTACACGGTCTTCGTCTGGGGCCAATGGTTCGCCTAAAAAAGTCAGTATCCGCCCTCATACGCGAGATGGGGACCCATCTATAACGATAAGTTCCGTCAAGTCTGGAGCATCACGATTTACGGCCAGTGTCCCCAACTCTGGTACCAGAGATACTTCGTGGGGAACCCACGAGCTGCCCAGAAAGCGAAATGCCGAAGAGGCCTCGACTCAGAAGGATTCTGCGCCAGCATCTGAAACGCGACCAAGGCCAAACCGTGTTCCTACTATCAGCTTTTCGTCGCCTCTTGTTTCACATGTTGCTTACAGAGAGGACTCTGATGCTCCGGATTCCCCTGCCGATTTAGGAGACTCTTCTCATCCTGAAGCCCAGAAAGACGGGGCAGCTCATACAGACAACGTAAATGGCTCAGTGCGTTCAGCCAGACAAGAAACAGTTGCAGGTCAACCGTTCATCCGACGCCCAATCTCCAGAATTGAGGAGCGCAACGAGGAAGGGGCTGATGAGTTCAGCCTTGTTCAGAGAGACGAGGAAATGCCGGTTCAGAGAACACCCAATGCTGCGGGAAACTCTTTAGTTCCCATGAACAATAATGGTCAGGATACGAGCTACAGTTTCCACATGAGTCCACTGGCCGACTTCTCCGTCAACGAGCCAGACCACCCCTTGAACCTGGAGATGAGTTACGTGGCGCATCGTACCCACCCGACTTCTTTGCGCCAAGTGCATGGTACTTTCGCTCTGGCAACAGAGGATTTGATCAAACACATCACGGATGCTGAGGCTTATGAGCCTTACTGGGAGCATATTCGCCGATTGATTCTGCCTCAGAAAGGCTTGATTACCTTGCACAAGCTCAGCGACTTTTGCCCTCGCCTTGAGGAGCTGGATGTGTCCGACAATGACATTGGTCAATTGAGTGGCATCCCTTCATCTCTCCGAACGCTCAAGATTCCCCGCAATTGTCTTTCGAACCTGACTCCTTGGAGCCACCTGACCAATCTGCAATATCTTGACATCTCTGGAAACGACATCGAGACACTAGACGGCTTTTCCAGTCTGATACATCTAAGAGAGTTGAAAGCAAACGATAACCAAATCCGCAATATCGACGGAATTCTCGATTTGAATGGGCTCTTGAGCCTCAAGCTGAGCAACAACTCGGTGACAACTGTGGATTTTGAAGGTGCCGAATTGTAAGTTTCCTTTGCCCGTGGGAGACTGGGAAGTCAATATTAACAATTGCAGGACACGACTGCGAGATCTCGATCTGAGCCATAATTGCTTGACATCTGTCCATAACGTTGAGTGGCTCCCGTCGCTTGTCACTTTGGACCTCAGCGCCAACCAGATCGGTCGATTCGAGTCATCCAACGCCATGATTAGCCTGCGAGCCCTGAAACTTTCTGTGAATAAATTGGACGTCTTTGATGTCACATCTTTTTCGTCCGTGAGCTTGCTCTACCTCGATGAGAATTCATTGTCTGGTATTGCCGGACTGCAGCACTGCCACAATTTGGAGGTGCTATCTGTCCGGGAACAGGCTCAATCGCAATCGAACTGTGCGTTGGATCTCGAATTGGGATCCGTTAAGGATGTGCGAAAGATTTTCTTGTCATCTAACAAACTTTCACCCACCTGTTTGTCACCTTCATCTCCTTTGCTTCGGCTGCAACTCCTCGACATTGCAGGGTGCACGCTGAATGCTCTTCCAAGCGACTTTGCTGTCAGCTACCCCAATTTGAAGGTCCTGAACTTGAACTTCAACTCCATTACCGAGTTGGAGCCATTAGTTGGAATGAACTGCTTGGCACGACTGATGGTGGTCAACAACCGACTTGCAAGAATGCGCCGCGTCTGCCAAGTTCTGAGTCGACTCGGTCGAACCGGCCGGAAAAGCCCATGCTCGCTCCGCAAGCTTGACATCCGTGGGAACCCTCTGACTGTCGGCTTCTACCCCCTGCTGTTACAGGCAATGGAACGAACGCAGAAAAACAGAAACTCAAGTACCAAGAAAATGCTGTTGTTCATCATCAACAAGGTCATCGGGATCTTTCGGACGCTTTGGACGATCTTGATCGCAACGATCCAGTTGACCATGTTGTGACATGGGAGGATGGCACGAAGCTTAACAAGGCTCTTGAGGTCAATGATCCGTTTACCTTGCCCGCTGCCGACCCCGAGGCGGATCAGAAATACCTGAATCGTCTAGACAAAGCTACAAGACTGCGTCGCAGTGTCCTCGAGCTTCTTTTGTACGCTGGCACAAGTGGCTCACTGCAGCACTTGGATGGACTGGACCTTCGACCATGCCTGGGTGAAGATTCTCCGGACATGGAGCGAGCTTGGACGAAGCTGGAACAGCTGGGTGTGCTTCGTCGCAAAGCAATTACGAACGACGCATAAAATCAACCGCGGAGGGCCTTGATTTTGGCATGGAGAGGAATGTATTTCATTTGAGCATGGAAGCGTTGTGGAGTTTATTTGTTCTTTGTCTCAACATGGCTTGGGCCTGGACTCGGTGTTGATCGGGCTTTACACAATATGCATGATTGCATTACTCTGGAGTTTGATTTTTTACGAGCTGTCGAACCCTTTACTTCTAGCGACAGTATTTTACCATTCGAATGAAAGATCTTCATTCTTTTATTGACGTCCTGTCTGTTCAAGTAGAAGAAAAAAAGGTCTCCCTTGTTTCCAGTCGGTCCACTGGTTACACGTACACAGCCTGCATCTCCGCACCCGCATCCAAGGCAACCCAGAAGATCCTGATTAGGCTGGAGGCAGACACGAGAAAGAATAAGCCGCACTGCGATCGACAGACCGAATACCTCTTGCAGAAAAGGTTGCGCTCAAAGTTTCAAGAGGACAGGATGAGGGCTACACACAGAATGAGCTGCGGCCAATCCGTCTCAGGAGGTGCAACAGTCCAAAAATTTCTGGCTGTTAAGAAAGAGCTCCAGAGATGTCCTCATTCCCATAACAAATTAATCTGGGTTTTCGTCTTTTCCAGCCATCTAGTTCTTCCCAGAACCCGACAGGGTGGTAAGTGCGGACGGCCCCATGAATCCGAGCCGCTGGGACCGGCTCGTTAGTCCCGAACTGTGCGCCAAGTCGGAGCGCATTGCTCATGTCAACGTCGTTAATTGAGTCGGAGTTGCGGTAAAAAGTACTGACATGCATAAGTGTGTTTCATACCTGAGAGAGTAGTGACTTTGGCCTTTTACCTGCAAGCCGGGACCTCTATTGCGTAATTTGTTCGCGATCATCTGTTCTAGGGCAATTTTGTCCTGAAATGAGTTGAGGGCGATGTCGGTGACGGGTAGTGATAGTCTTGATTCAGAAGATTTTGACCAATCGAGGCGAAGTTCAATTCGAGCCGCTATGCAGCGGGCCCGTATAAAAGTGCGAAGACGGGACTACTACTTTCAGGCGCCTCATCGCGGGGCTCTGGAACAGTTTACCACGATCCATTGCTCTGAGATCAAGTTCCAAGGTGGTATAAAGAGGAGTTGTCTTGCAATGAGTCGCTCTTCAACGGCTACTTGTAATCCTATGTAGCTTGAGAGGAGTGCCCTCGTCTATTACCTGACAGACAGAGAGGTGATCCTGGTAGTAAAGCCGCTTGAATTATGCAGTTCTTTATTCCAATGCTGCAAAGGGGGGTGATATGTCATCGTCGATATCGACATAATTGTCTATGTATTTTCTCTTTCAGCTTGGTCGCAAATTGGCCTTCGTTTAAATGGAAAATGCTTTGGCCCCCGTGCTGTATGTCCCTCATTCTTTAGTATGCCACAATTTGACTGTCCCTCAAGCAATGTTCATGGCATACGTCTCTATACTTTCTACTGTTTTTATGGTCACCGTCTTTCATCTCATTATGGGAGGTGCTTCCGATCACTCGACCTGTGAAGATGTTGAGATGGTAAGTCAGTTTGATTTGAATGTCTCTCCGCCCCCTTCTCCTACTCGGCTGCTGATACTTGGTTTCATGAGACGCGGGCATGACATCAATTAGTACACCCGAACAGGCTGCCCCCAAAGGGTTTCGTCGACGCATTTCTTTTAAATGTTAGTTTTGTGGCGACTAGACTCAACGCGGACACACAGCTCTCCATCAAAGTTTGCGACGAATGAAGCACCCGGAGTTCCATTGAGACAAAGGGTTAAGAAGGAGTCGGTTGTATTTCAGAAGGCAGACTGGGTTACAAAAAGGTCCTGAGGGCATGGTTGATAGAGGCATACTAGTAGCAACCATGGAAAATTATGAATTTCGTTTTTAAATTTGCAGTTTGGTGCCTTGTCATCGGAACACAAATTTTATTTACGTTGATCGTTTCATGGTTTGCTGTTTGCTCCCTGAGATGTAAGACCGATAGCGGCGGTTGGAAACGACATGAAGCTTGGTAGGGAGGGGATTTCTAGTCTCTCTCCTTTCGCTCCACTGTCGGCTGCGGAGATGGATATCGGCCCAGGAAGACCCGCACGAATCCATCGTTCAAGCATTATTGCCTTGAGATGACTCGCGCAGATGAAACCAATACTTGCGATCACTTCGAAGCCCTCCTGACACCACATGAATCTCCCAGGACTTCGCAAATCGATGTAGGTTTTCGACAACTGGGTCACGAGAATTACGGAAAGATGGGCAAAGCACGACTGATGCTCATCTCGTAAACAGTAAGGTATCGAACGAGCAATCTGATCAGCATAATATCCCTCAAGAAGATAGTCTTCGTCGTCGAAAAGCTTGTTGTGCGCATATGGTGAGACTAGAGCCTTCGCTTGGTAAATCAGAGGATGGACGAGTCGCATCGCATTGAAAAATATGAGAAGCAGCCTGGCATTGTCGCAAGAGCTGAAGAAATAGGCGCTTCCAAATAAGTCGTCCGTGGGCGACAGATTCGAAAAGGGAAACCCATGTCCTTCTAATAGAGCAGGACTCCCTCCGATGTCGTTTTCCCACCGCGAATACCAGGCTAGAATTCTGTCTCGCTGTGCAAGGCAGTCCTCGAGAAAACATTGACAGGCATGATTATCAGAGGAATCGATGGTATTGGCCACGTTGGATAGCACAGAGGAGGTTGTGGTGAGCCGAAGAAGTTGATCTAAGGGCGTATCATCCCGTCTAAAAGCCATGATTTCACTGCTTTGTTCGTTCGATATGCCATCGGTCATGATGGCAAAGATCTGGCATTGATTAATATAGCAACTAGAAACGACAATGTCGACTTCACAAACTGTAATTATCTTTTGGAAGCGATTCCACTGGTATCCGAGCACGGAATCAAACGAGCATGGCCGGTGAACCTGGTACTTTTTGATGAATGCCTTGAACGCTGTCCAGTGAGCCATCCAAGCATTGAGGCTGTCGTGGAGATAGTGCGACTGATTCCAAATATTAGAAATGCTGTCCAAATCCAAGGCTAGGATCCGAGAGCATCACCTCTAGTTCTGTCCAGATCAAGAGAGCAAATGCTATGTCACCGTGGAAGGTCTTTCGGCGAATCATACTCAACATGATCCGTATTGACTGATTATATATTTCAATGCCGTATTCCAAAAGACCCTTGTCATTCTTGGTCTTTCCTAGAGAAACGCAGGCCCAGGAAGTCAGACTGTGTTGAAAGAGCTCGGTTCTCGCGGGGATTGTGGACCAGCCCGTCACCACGGCGTGCCATGCGTCATTCACCTTAACAGGGAAATATTCATTCAAAAAGGTCGAAAATAATTGAACACGCAGGAGGGGGCCCCGGGATACATGTCCAGGCAAGGTAAGAGGCGGAGGTTGAGAACGCTGGATCTGAGAACCTGTTCCCTTTGTCGACTCGAATGTGCTGAGTCGTTTTCCTGAGGCAAGATTGACAAAAATAACTCGAGACCCATAGCCCGGGCACTCAAGGCCTCTCTTGACGCACCTAGCACAATCGGGTTCCTGCTGGTCACACTGCCTTTAGCTATTAGTGCCAATCCGAAGAGCAAGTGCTGCATCGTCCCCACTGACTTTTATCCTGCGTTTCTTACACGTGGTGCAACCCCTGGACTGGAATGGTTTGCCTTCACCCATAGTCGGCGTTTTGGCTAAGGCATTGAAGCGAATGACTGGACCATGTGCGAAAACGGTGACACTGATAAAATATTTCGAGTGAGATGAGTCGGTCAACTCGAGTGGGGGCTGTAAATATTCCGCCTGATGATGTCAGCAGCCATGCAATGTTTACTAACAACGAAATGCGTTTACGGACCTCAACATTGTCTGTCTGAGTCCTAGATTTTCTGTGGACTGTGCGAATTGTCAAGCTCAATATCATGCCATGCATCTTATGGCACCGCCAGGAGATAGCAATTCGAAGCTTGAATTGCGTCACATTTTTCCACCTTGGTGTCTACAGCTCAATTCTCCAATATAATGGAGCTTTCATATCATCTCACAGCTTTTATTGGCGAATATTATGGCGACAAGGCGGGGTGTATTTACCTCTTGCACTGCTTAGCAATACGACTATACTCCCTGCAACATAAATTGGTCCGACTCGCCCAGACCGAAAGCAATGCTCGACGGGGATAAATCCTCAGTCCGGATTTTCAAGTCTGCATCAGCTTCGATTGTCCGAAACCACCCCCTGCATTGTGTGTTATGGCTCCTCGTTTCAAAAAGGTTGCTGTCATCGGCGCTGGTCCATCGGGGATCTCTGCCGTGAAGGCACTGCAAGAAGAAAAGGTGTTTGATACTGTGCGACTTTTCGAGCGTCGAGACTGAGTCGGAGGAATCTGGTACTATGACCCCGTCCCCGATGTTTTCCCCGTCTCCGAGCGCGTCAGTTCCGACAAAGGTCGAATTCCTCCCAAACTTCCTCACCTTGCACCTCCCGCACCTAAAGACCTGTCCGCTAGAACAGCAATCTATGACAGTCTCGATAGCAATGTGGAGGCGAAGGCCATGGCCTTCTCACGTACGCCATTTCCGCCTACTAACTCGGCACTTTCTACCAGACATTTTGGCCACGCCAATCCGACTCGGCCATTGTCATAGCAAGATATCTGGATGACCTTTCCAAGGATTACCTTCATCTGGCTTCCTTCAACACGACCGTCGTCAAAGTGGAGAAGAAATCTAGCGAGTGGAACTTGACTCTCCGACAGTCAGGCCAATTTGTAGGGGGTGAGCCAAAGGACTATTGGTGGGAGGAACAATTCGACGCAGTTATCGTGGCATCTGGGCATTACAGTGTCCCCTTTGTGCCTGATATCACAGGACTGAAAGACACCTTCGAGAAGCGCCCTACCCATTTCGAACACTCGAAAGAGTTTCAAAACCCCGACGACTACGTCGATAAGAAAGTCGTCGTGGTTGGGGGCAATGTTTCCTCGGCCGATCTCGTGGCCGACCTGCACGCCATCGTCAAAGCCCCTCTCGAGCTATCCCAGCGCGGCAAGAACGAGGCCCTCGATTCAGCTTGGAATCTACCAGGAGTTAAGCTTCGACCGACAGTCAAGGAAATCCGAGCCGCGCCGCTTGGTGTAGATGTACGATTCTCCGATGGAACCATAGCCCAGAACGTGGACAGGATCATTTTCGCTACTGGCTACAAGCTATCTTACCCATTCATTACTCCAGACCCCGTAACCCCCAACAACCGAGTCGCCGGATTCTATCAGCATATATTCAAAATCGGTGATCCATCTTTGGCATTGGTTGGACAGGTCCGAGCGGGTGTCAGCTTCCGGGTCTATGAATATCAGGCCGTCGCGGTCACTTTGCCATCTCCAAGGGAACAAGATCAATAGGAAGTTGAACGGCTTCAATACAAGGGGAATTCGGCAATATTTCATGAGATCAAGTCGGATTTCAAGGAATATTTTGATTTCTCAAGGAGTTGGCTGGTCCACCTGCCCGAGAGTCGGACGGATATATATTGGCTCCTTGGGAAGATAATTGGGCTGAGCAGGCATTCGAAATCTTGCATCTGAAAGATAGATACTGGAAGACCTTGCATGGAACAGAGAGAGGACCAGCTACTGCAAAATTGTGAGCGATTATTCAATGAAGGTGAAGCTGCATCCATGTGAGTTCGAGAAACCTTGAAATGCACGGTGCAGCACCTGGCGATGGACACCTTACGTGAAACAATACTTTTCTCCTATATGAAATTGCACTATACTTCTGATGAGAAAATTAGAAGTACAGAAGGAAATTTATGGCTACTGTAATACTGAAACGCCTGGATCTCTAAAATTTCTGATACAATGTATTCACAATGCAATGAAGTCTCCCTGTCAATATGCTCAGATTGAACTGCTAGTATATCACATTATATCTAATACTGGAGCGCTACACTAGTGCTTAACTCTATGCGATACCCTAGTTGCAGGATAAAAAGAAATTATATTATGGAAGTAAAAGTTAAGTATATGGGAATGAGCTTGTCGGTGCCTGGACCATCACTCCCATAATGTTGATTGGGATCCAAACCTGTTCATCCACTTGAGGGTTAGCGAGGTGTGATCAAGGAACACCCTTAAGGAAGAAGCAGCTGCTTCTCCTTCTTGATGTGCTCGACAACTTCAATGTCAACATTGAGAACCCTGGCGACAGTGTCAGAGGGTGTCAGCGCGAGCCATTGCGCCAAAGAGATATCGGCAACACGGTCGCTCTTGTAAAGCTCAATCCAGATCAGCTTTTCGGTCTCGCTGGTGTTCTCGATGTAGTGTCCTAAAGAAATGATGACTATTAGTACTTACATGGTATTAGACGCTGAGGTAAAGGTATGTGAGAAACTTACCGCTGTTGTCTGGGAAGACTGCAGTGTCGCCTGCAGTGAAATCAAAGGTACGGGCCTTGGAGTCACCAATGAAGATAGTGGCACGAGCATTACCTTGGTGGAAGTACAGCCATTCCTCAGCCTGGGCAGGAGTGTTAGCTTCGATGCACACTTCTCTCGGTCTCTCGGTGCCTTACATTAGGATGCCAGTGGAGCTCACGAAGGCCCTTCGGCTCAAGCTCAACGATGGCAGCAGCGATGGTTTTCGAGATGGGGAAGTTGGTCGAGTCGATCTTACGGAAGGTTCCGCCGTGTCCGGGAACCGGCTCCGATGGATGGTCGTAGGTGTGGTACACGTACGAGCTGTTGCCCTTGAGAGTACCCTCGGGAGCCTTCTTCAAGTCGGCGCTCACAGTGCCGTTGAGAATGTAAGGGAACTTGGGTGGGACCTTGTCGAAGACATCGGGGGAGACACCGAAGTTCTTAGCAAGAACATCCTTGGGGGTGTGGGTGATCCAGTCGTCAACCATGAAGGTGGTTCTGATTTGAGACAATCAGAAAAATGGAACGTTCCAGGGAGACTGGTAAAAATGACTTAATAACTTACCCGATCTTCTCAAAATCGCCATCATCAAAGGCAAGAAGGTATTCATTCTCCTCGTCCAGACCTTGAACATTGTGCGCAACACCCTTTGGGAAGTACCAGATGTCTCCAGTGTTCAGCTTCTCAGTCGTGAATCCACCGTTCTCATCGACACCGGTGAGGAGGAGAGAGCCGTTGTAGACGAAGCCCCATTCAGCCTATGATAAACAGAGTTAGAATACGGTATGAATTCCTTCCGTGGCATGGGTGTATGAAATACTCACCACTCTGTGCCAGTGAAGTTCCCGAATAGCACCCTTCTTCAGGTGCTGCTGAGCACCGGCAATATCATGGCTCTGAGGCAGGTCCTGGATGACTTGCTCTCGGGACCAGCCACCCGGGAAAAGTCTCGTCTGGGACTGGGAGAAACTCCACTTCACGTTGGGCACGAAGCCGTTGTCGGTGCTGGGAGTCCTGAGCTGGTCCGGATTCTGGAGATCGACGGGCTTGTTGGTACCGCCTGGATGGAATTGGTTTAGCAAACGAGAGCGTCACTTGGCGTGAACTGGGGGAAAACTTGAGATGTTTACAACACGAAGGAAGACTTACCCAAAAGAACAGCTCCCTTGCCACTGTCATTGATTGGCTGGGATGGATCACCGGCTCGCTTGACCTTGGGAACTGCCAAGGCAGACGACGACAGGAGCCCGGCCAGCGCAAGTCTTTGGAAGCGCATTGTGAAATTTATTTAAAAAGAGTGTGGAAGTGGTAGAATATCACAACACTGGTGAAGACTTGTCTGGATTGCTTACTTGGGAACCTTTGTTCCGGCGCTCTATATATGTTCCAGGCATCCCACGTCCCAAAATTCCGGCATCCATGGTCGCCGAATGAGAAATCACAACATGATCGATAAATATCGCGCTTGTGTTGATCGAAATGAGAAGTGATCCGAGCAGACTGTGGCGTCCGAACTATACAGCGCCCCGGATGAGGGGAAATGATGCAATGCAAGTGACCGAAAGCCGATTCGCATCCCGCGTGATGCCTGGAAAAAAGCAGGCCGGACTCTGAAAGCGCCTCAAGGTCGCCAGGAACACACTCGAGGGCACAGTAAGGTTCGATGTATGTATGTATAACAACATCCTTGGCATGTTGGCGAAATCGACGAGGCGTGCCAGTCCCCATGGGGGAATGTCTGCGCCGATCCAGGGACCTGACAGGTTCTGGAGGCACTGCCGGCGGCACTCCTCGTGTAGTTTAGCGTGGGATACGCACCAACAGCGCGACAGGGCCTTGTCCGGCTTATACTTAGGGCTCAGCCAACCTGCGATCACCTCATTTAGTGCGCGAATGAGTGGTGTGTCCATACCTTGGCCCTTCTTGGCACCCGCGGATCATCCTCACGGCCCACGCGAGTGTTCGCCCGCAGAAACACCAAGCTTTGCTTGGACCTCGTCGACTGGAAATTGGGATAAACTTGGATGAACCGCCAGACGGTGGCTGATTTTCGTACAGCAAAAGGGCTGATGCCGCATGTTTCATGGCTTCCCTGAATATTCTAGATACTATACAACCATACTGGTAGTATATACTAGTAAAAAGCTTCTTCCCGTTGATGAAGAGGTTTTAATAGCCATAGATGGCAATATTCAAGGAAACAATGCACGAGTTAGCTCCGAGAGTGCAGCTGCCTCTGCGCTCTCGAGAGAATTTAGACTTTGGCTAGTCTGTCAGCCCAGCAGCCTCGTGGTGTCACCTCTCTCGAACTATCAATCCCCCGGGCCTCTGATCCCCCAAGGAGTTTGCCGTCCTCAACCCAAGAACCAGGTTTTTGACCTGAATCACGACATCCTCTCGGCATTAGCTTGGCTTGGCTTCATATCGGTCGAGACTGGAAAGGCAAGACTACCTTGATCAACGCTCGAACAGGATAGTCCACCATCTCGTATTCCTCCATTCGGAGAGGAATTCGCCATCTCGTAGATCACAATCGTCTTGAATAATTGTAATTCTCACCGCAGCCAAGGAATAGCTTCATTGCGTGCTCTCGGTTAAGTATGATTGAGGAAGACAAGTTGACGAGAGTTGAAGTGATCCTCGACGAGCTGCAGAAGAACAGGATGTCTATATAAGCGTTGCTAATTCCCTCAAATCTGCTCATCCACAAATTGCGAGGGTTTTCTTCTCTATTTTATTCGTTAGCCTATCTGCAAGGCCCCAAGATGAAGTACTCCCTTGCTACCGCTGCGTACTTGGTCTCCCTTGTGGAGTGCCTCTCGCTTCCTCCGCTTATTCCCACGATTCCTGGTGTCACGGAGCCTCTGACCACCAACGCACCTCCTCTGCCTATCCTGCAGGTTCCGACCCCGCCGCTGGAGAGCCCGCCCTTCACGCCCAGTGATATAAAACCGAAGAAGATCGGATACTTCTGGACTGGATCTGGTGACAAGTTCCACAAGGGTACGTGCTCAATATGATAGCACGCCCTGATCATAGCTAATCAAAACCTCGCAGATTTCCTTGCCACTTACAGTCTGGACGATGTGAGTAAAGATCAAAACGGGGGTTTCAAGGTTCAGTACTGACCGCTTTTGTAGGACACCTTCGGTACGCTGCTGTGGGTGACCGACGTCCCTTCGAGTGGAAACGATCCCCACCATCTCGGACCCTCGCTGGACGGAAAGACTCTCTTTGGAGGAGGCCTGCTCTCTCTTCTGAAGACCCAGGTTAGTCATTCACCCCGCTTTCTCTCTACATATCGAGGCTGAACTAACCCCTTCAGGACACTGGATTCTACTTCGACACCTCCAACCCCTATCGTCCCAAGTTCCTCAAGAGCAACCGTGCCCTTTTGAGCTCCATTGCCGATGAGGTTCGCGCGAAGCCCGATGGCGGATTCTACATCACCTACATGGGCTCTGCAGTCGGCACGGCACCCGGTCGTCTCATCGAGACCGATGCCAATTTTGACATCATCCACGAGTGGCCCGAGGATGTGGAGTCCACCCTCAACATTCTGGGCGAGCAGTTCTCGCCCCACGGTCTGAGCATCGACTGGGAGAAGAAACTCATTCTGACTTCTGACTTTGTTGAGCCCATCACTATCTTGAAGCCTTCCCTGGGAGTTCGCCATGCCAACACCCTTCGTCTTTGGGACCTGGACTCCAAGAAGATCTTGAGCACTCTGACTATTCCTGATGTAAGTTTTGTCTACCAGTAGTCGGAATTGGAATTGTGTTGCTGACTCAATGAATAGGGAGGAGGTATTCAGGATGTCAAGTTCATTCCTGGAAACCCAGAGTCTGCTGCTCTGGCGACTGCCGTGCACCTGGGCCAGGTCTGGATCATCTATCCTCTGCGCAAGGACGCGAACGGCAACCAGGGTGTGATTGAGCTGCTCTACGACCTGGGCCCTAAAGCCCGTGACACCATCGCTATCTAGTAAGTGACCCCAATACTCAGGCTATCATTGAAAGCATCAAGGTCTAACCACGCTCTTCTCTCTCCAGCTCCGACATCACCCAGGACGGGAAATACTTCTACGCTACTCTGACCACCGCCAACCACATTGCCGCCCTCGACATCAGCGACCTGAACAATGTGAAGCGTCTTGATAACCCCGATGAGGACCAGCCCACTGTCGGACCACACTACATCAAGGTGACTCCGGACCAGAAGCACGTGGTGGTGACGGACTACTTCGTGCAAACAGGCGACATTGGTATCATCAACACCCCGGCTGATTTCAAGGCGCTGTACATCGACCTCAACGATGACGGTAGCCTGTCCTTCAACCGCACCATCGACTTCAGCAAGGAATTTTCAAACCGTGGTGGCGCTAAGCCTCACTCCAGCGTCGTTTTCGATTTGACTGACCCTGACCACCCTCTCTATTACTAGAGGGCCTAATCATTTGTGAGTTAGAGGAGTTTGGAGAGGGTTGGCTGGAGAGAGTCGTACTGTGAGGGTTCGCTTTACATTCTCTGAACAGGTCAAGGTGATTAGCGCACTTACTTTTATAATTCTACTACACTCATTAATCTACACTCTTTTATTTTGAACAAATGCAATTTACTAGAGGATTCGAGCGACAGATACAAATTTTAACACACTTCATCCACGGTAGTTGTCTGTCCTCTCTTGCGATCGACGCCAGACGGCTGTCCCCTTGTATCGTGACTCTCTGACCGCCCCGATACGCTAGTCGTCTTTCCACCGACTGCCTGTGCATCGATAGTGGCTTGGAACGCAGCACGTTTGGGTAAGAGATACCGCACATCAATATAGCGTAGTGCACAAGTCATAATGATGACAAGGACCAAGAGTGCCAGGGCCGACTGCCAACCGTACCTGTAATACGGTGCTTGGGATGCGGGCCAGACCAGGACTTGACTCCATGCAGAGATGGCATAGTATCCAGCCACAGAGACTCCGACAACAAGGGTACGAGCCTCGGGATCCTGTGGGATGAGGTCCGACAGCCAGGCAAAGATCAGAGGGGCAGTTCCGAGGCATATGAAGCTGATAAAATAAGACGCGTATGCACCCGACAAAGGAACTGCACTGGGATGAGAGGTCCAGATGCTCATGATAATACACGGAATGATTCCGATGATTCCCTGGAAGACGATCAAGGTCCAACGAGTGCGAAAGAAATCGGACAAGAGAGCCCAGATCCATACAAATACGACGTTGATGGCAGACCCTCCGATAGGAATGGCGTTGACTTCCGAAACAGACCATCTGGCACTGCCATCCGGATTCTTGAGTGACTTGAGGAATAGCGAGAAATACACGTATCCGTAGGTGCCAAGGACAGTCGCGATATAGAGAATGGCGATGAAATACACGACCCAACCAGAAAAGGTGCGTTTCACGCCGGCCCATGTCATCTTCTTCGGTTCGGCACGACCGTTGCGAGCGAGCCGCTCCATCGATAGTTCGGCATGGACTTTCTTGAACCAGAACGAACGAGGATTGGGATTGTTGGGTAGATCCGGGATCATAACGAAGCCCGCGAATCCCCACACGACTGTGATAATGGCGTTGATGACGAACAGCCATCGCCAGCCGGCCAGGCCACCGTGCCCATCAAGGGTATCGGATATGGCAGCTTGGAGAGCCCCGGACATCATCTGTCCTACGGCTTGACAGGAATGATAAAATCCCATGCGCTTGGCGAGTTCCGTTGGCGTGTACCAGTACACTGGACCGTATGAGTATTTGAAAGGTGTAAAAATAGGGAGGAGCATTGCTTACTGAACAAGGTCATCATTCCAGGCCAGGCACTACTTTCGCACAGTCCCAAGAAGACTCGAAGAACATAGATCTGCTTAGCGCTGGTGGCCATGGCGATCAATCCGGTAAGGAGCCCCCAGAGAATTTCCAAGCCCGGCAACCAGTAGCTCGGACGCACGTAGGTCAGAATGATCTGCGAGGGGATGAGCATGACACAGTATGCAGCATTGAAATATGTAGTAAACCTGGTTAAATCATAAGTCTCTGAGGGAATCGTGCGGGGTTCTCTGGCAGAAATCACAGGTTGAGCTGGTTGCCATAAAGGTTCAAGTCCTCTTGCATGCCCGAGACGTAGGCATTGTTGATATTTTGCTGGTCGAGGTATTTGATCACTAGATTATATTAGCACTGTAGCTCGTATTCTTCCAGTTTTTTGCGCATGTTGACTAACCTTGTGAAAGACAGCCAAAGGTAAGAAGAAACATGTCGAGGCGTCGCACAAGGGCCTTTTCCTCTGACGATCGCGCATGGCTGGACTCCGACTCATCGCGGCGAAGGAACTTGAAAGGTCCCATGGCAGACCGGGCAGGGAAGGGATGAAGAACTAAGAAGACAGACGAGAAGAGCAGACCCCCTCCGAGACTCTAAATAGGAGCTCGCAGCGTGATAAGCATGGCTTGGCGTCCGGGGTCACAACGGAACAGTGCAGATCTGAGGGGGAAGCCCGCGTGATAAGCCGGCGTCCAATAACTAGCCGCATTCTAGGGCGAGGCGGGCGCGATGTCGGAGTCTTTCCGGCGCAAGAAGGGCTCACCCCAACGTTGGCGACTCCACTTCGACTCCTGCATTGTAGCCTCAGTTGGCCGGGGTGCAGGAAAAGGCGAGTTTGTGCCGCGCGCCAAACGCCGGTCACCGCGATGATCGGAGATAGGTACGGTGCAGTGGAGGCACTAGAGTGTACGGGGGTGTTAGTCTGGAGGGTCGCTCGTATCTCCGACACATAATTGCCTGTTTGGGATCTAGCCTGCGATAAAGACGAACCGGTCGATAGTAATCCGCGGACAATTGCGGTGGTTGGTGGTTGGAGGTGAAGTCAGTGGAGATGCGGCTTCCCCGCAGATCACGTTAGGGTAGTATATTAGTAGTGCTGTAGGGTAGGGCGAGTGCTGGGACCGCGGCTTGCTTAAACTTCCCCCCGCAAAAATGGCCCACGATGGATCGAGTCGGAGTCTTCCGAGCACCACGCCATGCCTGAGCTACTGGCAGCGCACCACGCGCGCCTTTCCACATCTCTTCGCCAATCGCAACTCCACGGTCCCTGAGAAAAGCAAATACGTGATTATTGGCTCCGGGATTTCCGGCGGTCTCACGGCATTCGAGCTACTCGAGACCGGCGTCGAAGCCGAGGACCTGATAATCTTGGAGGCGCGCGAAGCGGCCAGTGGAGCGAGTTCTCGGAATGCGGGCCATGTCCGTCCAGGTATGTGCAGCTGTTGCGTCGGACAAAACATAGCAAGTTCTGATGGAGCTCTAGATGCATTCCGCGGTTTTAGTGCCTACGCCAAGGTCCATGGTACGGAGCAAGCACTCAAGATTATCGAGAACGAGCGTCTGGTCCTCCAGAAAGTCGACGAATTCGTGAAAAACCACAACGTACAATGCGATTTCAATTTGACTACCACATTCGACGTGTGCATGACCCCCGAGTTCGCGAAATATGAAGCAGATAGTTTCGAGGCATATCGGCAAGCAGGCGGCGATACCTCCCACATCAAATACTACTTAGGCAAAGAGGCGCAGGAGCGGACGAGAGTTCCTGGTGCCGTCGCAGCATACGAGTGGCCCGGAGGGTCCAGCCATCCGGCTAAGCTGGCCCAGTTTCTTCTGCAATCGGTGATACAAAAGGGAGCTAGGCTGTTCACCTTTTGTCCCGCAACCGAGGTGAAGCAGAATGAGACGTCGCCGACCGCTTGGGATGTCCATACACCCCGTGGAACCGTGACAGCAGAGACCATTATCCACTGTACCAACGCACACGCAGCTCTGCTCCTCCCACAACTCGAGTCCTACATTCGCCCAAACCGTGCTCAGGCTCATTCTATAGTTCCGACGCCTGCTCTCGCGGCCGAAAACGCACTTCAAAGCACACTCTCCCTACGATACAGTCTCTATCACTTTTATTCTTTGATCCAGCGGAAAGATGACGGGACATTGGTGCTGGGTGTTTCACGAACCAATCCCACCCTCTCAGAGGAGACATTGGCTAGTCGATTCAGCACCGACGATACTCGATACAACGAGGAGATTGCCCAGGACGCCGTGCGCAACTTTGGAGACTTGTTCCCTTCCTATAGTTCCGAGGGATCGGCCCATGGTGAGGGCGTTGACCATGCTTGGACTGGAATTATCGCCATGACTACCGACTCGGTCCCCTTTGTTGGCGCAATCGACTCGCTTCCGGGGCAATACATCTGTGCCGGGTTTAATGGACACGGTACGTGAAGCTGCACTCCGCCCTGAGACACTTTTGATGATGGCTTAGTTGACACACGATACAGGAATGGCACGTATATTCACATGCGCCCCGGCCGTGGCAAAGCTGGTAGGTCAGAGGCAGTGGAAAGATACTGGATTGCCGGAGTGCTTCCAGTTCAGCCCCGAGAGGCTATCGCGACTGTCTGCGGGTGACCTACCCTCTATCTGGTAATATTTAAGGTACTCCATTTGACCGATGTTTCCATGATTTATAGCATGCTGCACATAGAACTGCAGTTCACTCCTCTCGGTCTCACATCTCACAGTATTTGCGCTGAGTTGGGCTATTACCTATGAATTCATCATTTCAAGAATGTAATATTTCTGGGGTAATGGTTGTGGCGATTCCCAGGCCTTGAGCCTTCGTTCATAAATGCCGATTCAAAAACTGTCAATGGACTAGTCTGAGTGTCCTTTGGGTTTCTGGAAAACATCAGTTTCGACCTTACGAAGTTCTAAATGTCCGGCCACGGTACCTAATATTTGCTTCAGCATGTACCAGAGCACACTTTAGGGCACGCAATATTTTACCGGAAGAGCGATGGGAAGGTCAGGCGCATCACGTGCCACAGTATTTACTTGAGGCTACCTTCCATCGATTTCATCTTCCTCCTCTTCCTCTCATCTCCAAGCTCTGTTTTATCATATCTCTGTCTTGCTCTCTGTGTGCTATTCTGATCTTTGGATATTGGTGATTGCAGCTGATACTACACTAGTGCATCACCAGGCTGAAAGGCTCCATTGTCGAAGCATAGTCTGTCAGTTTCGAGTCCACTTTATTTCCTGTCCTGTAGATGCTGAGCTTTTTCGGTGGCGATCCCCAGGATCGTGCATCTTCCAGAATTATCCTCTCCTTCTCTTTTTGTTCATCCATACGTTGGACGATCAGGAATCTGCAAATAGACATATTTTTCTCATTGCTCTTGCCTCGCTGGCTGACGATGATAGTACTAGACTTGTTCGTGTACTGTGAAGGTTCTTCTCCCTGGAGCCACTGAACTCCTTCCCTCCCATGCTTCCAAAGCCTCGAATTACATAGCGAGATTAAGAGATGAATGATCAGGTCCACCGTGCGATATGATACAACGTAAACCGGCTTTGGAGCGGACTCGGATTCCACGGGAATGCGGGCCAACGTTCTCGGGATTTAACACGCCCCTGGGCTCTGGGACGCAGCACAACCACTGAACAGCGGAGAAGCAGCCTATCCTATTTTCCTTTCTCACAGGAGACTCTTTTCGCGCACGTCCTCCCCGACCTCGACCTCCGTCCCTCAATAATGAACAGATACCGGCTCAGGACAGTTTCGCCGGACACCTGAACTGCATTTATTTCGGGATCGCATCAAATAACACGCACGGCAACTTGTGCATCCTATTAGCTCCCAAACCTTGAATAGACAGCACCACTGAGTATACGCATCCGACGATCTGGCCTGCTACTGCTTCCATTACTCCCAGAGCACCCAAGTCCGTACCACCGTTCCAACGGATGCGACAAGAGTGTATTGTAGGGTCCGGCAAATCTGCACCTCGAGATCCACGCGGTGCGTAGATGATGAAAGCTCTCATGAGCAATCCTGACAAGAAAGAATTTCCCAGAGGGCCTAGTGTTGTCGTGTAGCGTTAACAGGTGGGGCGGTCCCCGCAGAGGGGAAAACCGTTGATTCTCCGGCCCAAATTCCAGGGTGCCCCTGTCAATAGCATCACATCCCACTTGAAGAACTCCATCACCGAAGACAAGATGGCTACCTCGAGCAATTCCAGATCCGCCAATGAATTCCGCAGCGATACCTTCACCACCCCGACGGCCGCCATGCTGAACGCCATGGCCAATGCCAGCTTTGGCGACGACGTCTACCAAGAAGATAACTCGACCACGGAGTTCCAGAAGGAGATCGCCCGTTTGACGGGGATGGAAGACGCCCTCTTCATGCTCTCTGGTACTATGGGCAACCAAATCGGCGTCCGCATCCACCTTAACCAGCCGCCTCACTCGGTGCTGTGTGACTATCGAGCTCACGTCTACGCAGAAGAAGGTTCGGGACTCGCTGTCCTATCCCAGGCCATGGTGACCCCTGTTCATCCCGCGAATGGAATCTACATGACTCTGGATGATGTAAAGAAGTGGGTGGTATTGGGTGATGATATCCACACGGCTCCGACGAGGGTCATTTCCCTCGAGGTCACCATCGGAGGCGTCGTGACGCCGATTGATGAGATTAAGAAGATTTCCGAATTCGCCCATGCCAATGATATCAAGGTCCACTGTGACGGGGCTAGACTGTGGAATGCTACTGCCGCTACCGGTCTCTCGCTAGCCGACTACTGCCAGTACTTTGACAGTGTTTCCATGTGTGTGTCGAAAGGGCTCGGAGCACCAGTTGGCGGAGTGCTTGCAACTACAAAGAAGAATATCAAACAAGCCAGATGGCTGCGGAAGCAGCAGGGAGGAGGAATTCGGCAGGCTGGAGTTCTGACCTCTGCCGCCATGGTCGCGTTGAAGGAGGTTTGGCCTACCATGAGGGGAACACATGAGAAAGCAAAGAAATTGGAAAAGGATCTGGAGGCAATTGGCGTCTTTCCTCAGATCCCTGTGGACACCAATTTCTTCTTCATCGATGCTGCTCGGTCTAAGATTGACATGGGTGTTTTGCTGGAGCAGTGTCAGAAATTTGATGTCAAGTTACAGGACGAGCGAATCTCCTTGCATCATCAAGTCAGTGACGAGGCGATTGAGAACCTCAAAGCGGCCATTGCTGCAGCAGTGGATATTACGAAAAGTCTACCATCGGATTATGTGTCCAAGGTGGCGCCAGCGGGTTACGGTAGTTCCTCAAAGATGAACGAATACAACTAAAGGCTTGTGAATCAAATGACGCAATGCACGGGTGGCTATTTGACTAAAATAAGCACATTTCAAATTTTTTGAGCAACCTACTATCTACGATACAAAACCGAGTTGCTTGACTCGATTGCATTTGAGTACGCTGCAGGTCAGGAACACTCAACACTCCGAAGCCGGTCGTTATCAACCAGCAAATGGTCTGGACCAGCCTCATCGATTCCAGATAATCTGCTTCGAGGTAGGAATATCAACACCACCATGTAATGTCTAGTAACCATGCAGTACCTGTTGGTAGAAATAGTGAGGTAGGCTTATAGTGGGCCACTGGGGAAAGAGCTCCGGTGTCGGCCACGCTCCGCTGCAGTCTACCAAACTCTATGTATACAACGCTACAAGGCTTTGATGGAGCCCTGGCGGATAATGCCGAAAGCGCATTTGCCTCTTTAGAATTTTGTTTTTCTAATTGCGCTCGTTTAATAGGTTGATATCTGCTCAGGTTTCATGTGGGCGCATACAATCTCATCTCCATCTGTCTTTTGCTGGTGCTGATTCCTATATGCAACGGGTCATGACTCAATAATACGAGGGAGGTGAGGTGCATCATATATAATCGCCAACAGCGTAACCATCTCAACGCACAGGCTGATCAAGTCTATGATTGCCGCTGGGCCATTTTGACCAATTCGGCAATGACAAGTTCGAGCTGGCTAACAGGTACTCCATGGGCGGCCCCTTCGACCAAAACCCTTTCAACTACCGAACTCGCCTTCGCCGCCCGCTCAACCATGGTCTCCTGCATCAGCACCGGAACAATGATATCAATACTCGGTATCATGTAGACACTGGGAATATCCTTCCACGCAGCGTAGAAAATCTCCCCGTTGTAGTTGTCCGAACCATGGAGAGACATCGCTCTAAGGAACGCGAGAACTTCCTCCGGCTCGAGGCCGTTGAAGACAAGTTGTGCCAGTTCTGGAGTAAATGCAGGCAAGTATCCTCCGGGATTACCGGTTTTCAGAGGCTCGTGGAGGGCGTCGAACTCGTTCATGATGCCGCGGAGGGACCCGCCCTCGGAGAGGATGAAGGAGGCCAAGAAGACGTTTTCTGTCACAGATGTGCTTTTCCTTGCTCTTGTCGGGCTTTCGTATTAAGGCCTTTCAAAGCGCAGGTCGTGGGAATGCCGCCGTAGGAATGAGGTACGACAACGATGTTTTTAGGGTTGCTTGGGTCGTCTAGGATGGACAGTGTGGCTTGGCGAATGTGTGCTGCGTCGTCTTCCATTGTTGCTGGTGGCTGCCGCGAGCCATCGTTGACAGAGAGAAGGTCGATGATGTGAGTCTCTTGGATATGAGCACGCAGGCCTTCAACAAGCTTGGTGTAAGCTGCGGGTGTTGCGAACGAGCCGGGGATAAGGAGGAACGCGTAGTCGTTTGCTGGTGGCGCCATGGTGATCGTGAGAACTGCTCGCCGATTTTCAAATGTGAGTGATACTGGAGGTTTGTTCTTTCGTCAGTTGGTGGAATAACTCGACGTGATAAATGTTTCGAGTGCAGATATCGTGCTGATTTAGCGATCGCAGCGGGTAGTTAGGCAGGAGCAGCATTTCAAGCCCCGTCGCTGACGAAAAATATAGCGGAAGACACAGATCTGGTGGTATGAGTCCTGGCCCATGAAAGCCGGCATCCAGCGGACCCGACTAGGTCATGATGCGCCCATTCACGAGGTCCTTTTCGAGGCAAAAGGATATGAGAGATGACACTCTTCAACCCAAATGTGGGTCCGCATAGAATGAGCCTTCAAATAATACAAAAGTAAGAGCTAAAGCATCATCAACACTGCACTATGTAGCTTTTCGAAGTCAATCAAACAGTAGAAGGAAGGGGCATTGGGATATATAGATCCAAGTCGACCCTCCGCACAAGCCTCGCGGCAGCCATAAGGCATGGGCCCCCGCCTAAGTACGTACTCAGCATGCGTTGCGCACCAGCCATCGATCGAAAGTCAACTCTGAGCCGCAGTTCCTCAATTCCCACCGTTCGAATCTATCATCACCCTTCTGTCTAATCAGTGCAAAGTGGAAGGATCGGCGGCGGTGCCAGCTCGGGCTCCGATATCGGGGTTCTAACTAGAGTACATCATCATCTCGACGAAGGTATATAAGCTGAACAACAACCGCAGAACAGTAAGAAATCAGCTTGAAGCTCCAGGAGCCCCATTGAAGTGTGACTTTTCCATTCTTCCAAAAAAAATTTGCCACAAAAATTCCAAAAAACCCGCTGTGCCAAAATGCCCAAAATCGAATCAGCAACATACACCCACGGCCACCACGCCAGCGTGATCCGCAGCCACGCAGCGCGCACAGCCAAAAACTCCGTCGCCTTCCTCCTCCCACACCTCAAGCCCAGCATGAAAATCCTCGACATCGGCTGCGGGCCCGGCACCATCACGGTCGACTTGGCCGAGTATGTTCCCAAGGGATCCGTAACGGGTCTTGAGCGGGCGGGTTCGATCCTCGCACAAGCGCGAGATCTCGCGGAGACCCGGGGAATCACCAATATTGAATTTGTGGAGGGTGATGCCAATGATCTTTCTTTTGCGGATGGTAGTTTCGATGTCGTTCTTTGTCACCAGGTTCTGCAGCATGTGGGGGACCCCGTGGGAATGCTTCGGGAGATGAATCGGGTCGCGAAGAGCGGTGGTATTGTTGCGGCGCGGGAGGCCGACTATGGGGTCTTCGTGTGGTACCCTGAACTTCCTGGGCTGAAGGAATGGCAGGGACTATATGATCGGGTTGCGCGGTATAATGGGGGCGAACCGAATGCGGGCCGAGTCTTGCATGCATGGGCCCGACAAGCAGGTCTGAGTGAGGTCAAGTCGTCTTGTTCAATGTGGTGCTACTCAACTAAAGAGGAGATTGCCTGGTGGAGTGGCTCGTGGCAGGAGCGGGCGCTGAAGTCTGCTTTTGCCGCTACGGCAATGGAGGGCAAGTTAGCGACACAGGAGGATTTGGAGAGGGTGTCGAGGACCTGGAAGGAATGGGGAGAGGACCAGGATGCGTGGTTGTCCATTCCCAATGCAGAGATCCTGTCACATAAGCAGTAGTATTAGGGACCCAGAGACTAGGCCAGAAGAACAGCGCTATGATTCTCGCACGAAGCGATCTGAAGAGAGCTCATTCTACCTATCGTGACGTGGCGTCAGACGAAAGTATGCAAGTCGATGAAAGTATGCAAGTCTATTTGATATGCCGTAGGCGTCATTATCAGATGCAATCAATAAGATAGACATCTCCAGATTGTAATGTACAACAAATGGTTACCCTATCACACAAATCCGATTCCCATATTTACACCATCCAAAACGCCTGGGCCATAAAAGTAAGAAAGAAGAAATGGCCCGGACAGCAAGTTGTCCCTGAAGAGACCCTGCTCACGCTCGAATCGTAAGAGCGAAAGCGATAGCAAAGGTAAAAAGCAAGTGGTATGTGCTGGCAGCCGCTGTACCCAGCGCAGCTGCGTTGATCGAAGTCGTTGAACTTCAGACGACTTCAGTGGCTGGATCATGATTCCGGCTCGTACTCGTAGCGACGCCAGTTCTCACTAACCCACCACTTGGTGACCTGGGCAGCTTCCTTGACCCAGTCAACCGCCTCTTCATCGTGGGCTCGGGCCACTTGGTCGATCAGCGGGAGCAGGTTGAATGACTGCTGGGTGTCCAGCTCGTGCGGGTCGATGTCGACGTTGGAGAATCGCCATTCGACGTCGGGTACCAGCGGGATCACCAGGCGGTAGGGCTTGTCGGCAGATCGCAGAGCCAGCCAAGTCGCTCCGGTATTCATGACAGTGAATTGCCAGTCACGCTTGCCATCCTTCGCGGGAACGGTCTCGCGGATCATCGACTGACCTTCATACAGAGGCAGAAGATCCTGGATAGCCTTGGTCTGCTCCTTGTCTAATGAGCCAGACTCGACCAGAAGATCAAAGATCGTAGGCAGGATCTGCATCGAAGTGACTCGAGAATCGATATTGATTGGTGGCAGTTTTGGGTGGGAGAACACCAAGGGAACATGGAAGTTGGAGACATGCGGGTTGTCGTAGGGGGTGACACCACCGTCCTCGATTAAGGAGATGCCGTGGTCGCCGACCATGACAACAAGGGTTTCATCGGCCACACCGGCTTCCTCCAGTACCTCGGCAACCTCACCGAGCCACTTGTCGGCCACTCCGAGGGTATTGAGGTAGCGGTTCACCTTGCCATTGTGGTTGAACATGCTAGAGTGGATGTATTCCTCATACTCGTCGCCCGCAGGCATATCCCACGGATGATGTGTTTGACCAGTGAGGTGAGTGAGGAAGACCCGCTCGTGCTTCTTTTCGGCATGCTTGAGGGCATTGAGGAAGTACTCCCGCAGTTCGTGCTCGGGGTAGCCCCAGAAGTTGTACTTTTCCGGAGCCGTGCCATTCTTCGCCTTGTAATCCTCGGTGATCTTCTTGTCGGTGACCTTGTCCTTGAAGCCGAGTGCCGGGATCAGCAGGTCCTGGTTGTCGTAGTTGTCGGTGATACTCTGCATGAACGTCGAATGCCAGGGCCAGGTGGTGAAATCGTCCGACTTCGCCCCGTCGTGGGTATGATTGGAAAGGTGGTTCAGGGCGTTGAAAACCTGTGGCATGCAAGGTTCGTAGATGTGGTGCAGATACTCGCGGTTGAAGTCGACCACCAATGGTGCAATGCCGCAGACACTAGCCAGAATACTCTTCAGGGTGAAAGTATCACCCGTGTACGCATTCCGCATGTACATACCTCCATACGGCTTCACATCTTCTTCGCCATTGAAACCGGACGGGGTGTTGGTGTACCGTGCCGCATTGCGGGTCAAATTGGCCAGCCTTTCTTCGATCTCATCGGGGATCTCTCCACCGTACGACTTTTGGATAAGCTCGCCCAGGTAAGATTCCTTGCGCAAGGGGAAGACATCGGCTCGAGTACTCTCGAGCTTCAGCAAAAAGACGTGCTTGATGTTCACCTTGCCACCCTTGAGGGCGTCGCGGAGCGGCTCGAGAACCTCCTTGTCAAGATTGGAGATCTTGAGCGGGTCATGAGCCGGGTCATAATGCAGATATTCCTTGTCCTTTTGTGACTTGCGCCAATCGCGAAAACCGGGTAGTTTCTTATCCGGGAGCCAATCCAGCTTCGGGGTTGCGGCCAGAGCGGTGTGGTTGAAGAGCCAGCTCCAGTCGCCTGGCAGATCGGGTACGTCCACTGCGGAGGTCTGGTCGCGCTCGATCTTTTCGAAGGGAGTGATAATGACGGTCTGCGAGAGGAAAGCGTACGCGGTTTCCGAGGGCCGGATGAAGCGGAGGAGAAGGACGACGAAGGCGGCCGAGCCGACGAGGATGCGTAGGAGAAGAGATGGCCTGGACCGGTTGGACGATCCCGAAGATTTGGGCAAGGGTTTCATGGAATCCTGGAGATCCAGCATGGATTGGGACTCGCCGGACTCCTCGTCCCAGTCGTCGTAGGCCACCTGTTCATAGTCGGGGGAGTTGCTGCTGTTGCTGTTCTTCTTATTTGTCTTGGCGCGGCGCTTGCAGCAGATACACAGCGGCTCGACGGTGGCCTTGAGGACACGGACGCCCCCGCGGACCCAATTGTAGAGGTAGGGAGTGCTGATCCAGGCGGCTGCGGTAAAGAGGACCTCGCCGATGACGATGCCGGTGAGACCGGTGAGGAGGGTCTTGACGGAGGCGGCGTCGCGGTGGAAGGAGTGCGCCTGTCGCCAATGGATTTCGGCACCGGTTTGGATATAGAAGGAGATGTTGGCGGCGGCAAGCCCGGAGATCATCAGACTGGCGAAGATCATGACCGGAGCGGCCAATGCGCGGAACCAGCGACTATGGAATTTTTGGCAGAGGATCTGCGCGATGAGGATGCACACGACATCTTGGACGAAGAAGGTCGGGCCCCAGAGGAGAAAGCGGCCGAGGGTGAGGGAGTTTAGGTGAGAGTAGAGGTGAAGGGCTTTGGCACAGATGACACCGATGAAGAGGAGGGAGAAGAAGTACTTGCGGGAAGCAGGCCAGTAAACATCGACCCAGGTCTTGGGGTTGAGCAGGATGCGAACGACTTCCTGAAGGAAGACGCGCCAATCGACCGTCATGGTGAAGCGTGAGCAGAAACAGGGACAGACTCCATTCCCGGAGGGAAAAACACAAAGGAGACGAAAGGGGAGGGGGGGCAGAAAAGGTCTAGGGCCGGAGCCAAGCCGGGGGCTAAGCACGAGATGTACAGGGTCTCTCAGGCAGGGTCCTTCCTGCTGTGGTGAGATTTTTGGGGTCTCCGAGTCTGATTTGGCACAAGGCTCTTTGCCTCTTTGGGGGGCTTGTTCGGACCGTCGTGGGTGGAGCAGTTACCCGTCTGCGCCAACCGAGGCTCCTTCCAGTGGGCCACTGCCTATTATTGGAAAGCCCCCCTTGGCCCCATTGCAGCCTCGTATTACCAATCTGGGTACTCCAAGTCCTCTGCCAACACCCAAGGTATACGCAGGCGCACTGTCCCCGTATCCTGCTGGACCCTGAATGTCAGCCTGCAGTAACCTCCATCCTCGCCGTGGTCTGAAGGAGTCGTTACCCTGGTCGGCGCGGTGATCCGTCTCGGAGAGCGCAGACGAGGCTTCCGTGCGGCTCTACATCTCCACCAGACCATTCGTCATCCACCATCCGTATGACTGCATCACTAGCGCCCCGCCCGACTGCGTTGTCCACTCAATGTGAAATATGTACGGCCCACGTCCCCCCACCCAGTCAGCCCCGGCGCACCCAGATGAGGCTGTGAGGTTGCAACAAGCCTCCTTGCTCCGCTGCCTCGACAGCCCAGCGCTAACAGCGATCGATTCTTCCTGGAAAGAGGGGGATGGCCTCCCCCGGAATCTTCTATCATTCAGCACCACCTGTTTATCTTTTCATCGGAGAACATGGCGCGACGCTAGTTTCCGCCACGCGGACTCTCAGACACGCAGCCACGGAGCATTCACGGCCAATCGCCGGATGCTCATTAAACGGCAGCGCCAAAGACTAACCGAGATAAGCTTACTGGCAAAACGGAGCGGGTGGCAAGGGATGAGATTTTTGCGAGCGAAATACTCGCGGTTCTCTCGACGTATCCATGAATGGATTTCACGGTCTTGATTGCTTTCTTGAACTAGTCATGATGCATGTGATGTTGTTTCCGCCATGGAGAGGCGGAAAGCAGTCGACGCGTTTCTTGAACTACCATCTATGGTATACATTCTACTGTACCCTAGGATACGCAAGTCCTCCGTCTCCTACCCAACGTTGGATACTCGATCGATCGCCTGCTGTTGGTAAGGCCACCCGATGAAGGGGAGACACCGCCCGGTCGCGAAAGAGGCCGGTGGAGTAGGGCTGAGGATCCGCCGTGGGGGCCGTGGGTTCGCGAGAGATCATCGACCGATTTCGATCTCCGACCTGGCGTCAGCCAAGCATGGGCCTACTAGGAATTCGTCTACGCCAACTCACAGAGAGAACAGTAGTGTATGGATATATAGAGGTATGCATATACTCGTAGGATCATAGATACGGAAGTCAAGCTTGTCGTCAGGGGTGGCAGCTTGGCATTGAGCTTGGTGGGTTCCTCACGAACACTTTAAAGGGGCTCCGCTAGGCAGCCGCTTTTTTGGGGTTCTCTCAGAAATCCGTCTCGAGCCCGTGCAGCTGCGATGCAAAATTCTTACGAACCCACTCCATGTAACCCTTCCACTTGTGCAGCTCGCTTGCCGATTCTGCCCCCGGGAATGCCTTGCTGAGTTCCTTTGTGATCTTGAGGATGCCCAGCGACGCCTCCTGTGCTTTCTCTAATTCCTGCTTGACCGCATTATCCTTCGGCTTAAATGACAATACATTCGTGAACTTTTCCGACAGCGCATCCAATCGGCGCTGCGTCTCGTCCGGTGCGATCTTGATTAGCCGCACGGTCATCAGGTTACTGATAGCCCGAATGTCTTGCTCGTCCTCAATGCCTGCAATGACACGGTCAAAGATCTCACCGACATGGGCCCGGGCAAAGGCAGTATCTAGCGACGCGTATAGAGTTTCGTAGGCACTCTTCCGCAGGTCCAAGCCGTCGTCCACCTTGTGCTTGAAGGGCCCCATTTGCACCTCGCGAATAAGCTCCGGCTTGATCTGAGTGTCATCAAAGACCGCGGGGAGCAATTCACCCAGGTGGGGTCGCAATAAGGCCATCTTGTTGTGGATGGCGGAGTTCAGCGTCGTCAAGGCAAGGCGGTGATTGCCCAGGTCCTTCTCGTCGAGCATGCGTGTGAGGAGCGGCACCATCAACGGCCGCAGAACATCATTGTAGGCATCGCTTGAGTCCGCAAGTGTATAGCGGAAGGCGGCAATCACAACGCCGCGAATAACAGGATTGAGGTTGGCGAGATATTCCTGGGAGGTCGGATTAGAGCCGCGTCCGTAAAAAACGGCTCCGAGGGGCAAACGACTTAGACATACCTGGAAGTGAGGAATGTAAGACACTGGGTCAATCAAGGCGAGTCGGCCCACGCATTCGGCGCCAACCGCACGATTATCCTCCTTTTCTGAAACGACAAGAAGCGCTTGCCAAAGCTTGAGGGCAGATGGGGCCAGGTCAGGACGCACGACCTCGGGGTGCTGAAGCAGTTCCCGCACAGAATGCAGCAAGAGGTAGCTGTGCGAGTTGGTCACGTCGAGGCCATTGAGGATGATGGGAAGATAGGTCTTCAGACTGCCCGCAGCGGCGTTGCCCAGTGCAGTTGCAGCAGCGAGACGGACATGATCGGACGGAGAGTCAAAGTGAGCGATATAGATGTCGGGTGTCAGAGTGCAATCCGTACCCATACGCAGGCCGATTTCGCCGAGAATAGCCAGCGCAAGGCATTTGCGACTCTCATCCTTCGCAGTACGTAGCTCAGTAGAGAAATCCTCCATGGTCACGCCCAGGTTGCTACCGCCATGGACCAGAAGCGTTCCAATAGCTCGGCCAACGACGGAGGAATCCCCGGTAATTCCTACATTCTGCAATAAGTTCTCCATCAACTTAGCGCCAGCGCCTTCGTCGCCGATGACTTTCACGAGAAGAAGCAAAGCCTTGAGAACTGTGCCGATCAGGGGTTGCTTCACAATAGAGCAGATTGCAGAGATCAGAGTTTCGTTCACGAGCGACTTCGAATTGTCGGGAACGAGCTTAGCGATGATGATCAGCGTTGGTGTGAGCAAATGGAAGTCGGCTGCCGAAAGAAGAGGCAAGAGAGAATTTTCGAGAGCGATCATAGTGTCGGGGATGAGGTGGGTTCTGACGTTGGAGTTCATGGCTAGGCTTCGCAAAGCTTCCAGGCATGAGCCTCGAAGAGCACGATCCGACTTCCTAAGGTTGGATCCCAATTCTTGAGATACATCGTTCACCCAAGCTGCATCAACATCCTCCTTACGACTGGCCAAAACAAGAATATCATCGATCGCACGTACAGCCGCAAGGCGAGTGGTTTCATTCTTGGCACGGTCACCCATGACGGCCAAGCCCTTGAATCGACGATCGGCAGAGAGATATTCGGTACCCCGTTCCCCAGAGGTGCGTGCCAAGAGCACACCGAAAACATGGATAGCGCGCTGACGGACTTCTAAGTCTGCGCTGGTGTCGGTGATGCGAGTAAGAATCACGTCGTATAGTTTCTCTAGCTGCATGGCCACATCTGGGGCGTTGGAAGAGACGCGAGGGGGTGTGAGGGCCTTCACAATTTGCTCGACCGCACCGAGTGCCTCGCTGCTGACCTTGTAGTTTCTCTCATTGACGGCCCCCATAACACCGGGCACGAGTGCGATAAGGAAAGGGAGCAACGCATCGGACACGTGTGTCTCAGTGATGGCAGAAATTAGGCCCAGGGTCTCAATCTGCAGGCTACTTGGGCTGACAGCAGCACGCGCATGAGCAGTAGAGGTCCCCGAGAGCGACGATATCTTGAGAGCATCCGCAATGAGATCTTCAATCTGCTGCAGATGATCTGCCAGGCCTCCGTAGCGCGCAAGGGAGAGGCTTTTCAGAAGGACCACGACGGCCTGGCGCAGGGGCATGGAGGCCTGCTTCCACACCTTCACTAGGCTCTGTACAATCAAGGGAACTGAGCGAGCGAGGTCCGCCTGGGGCCCAGACTTGGGCGAGGAAGGAACGAAAGGCGAGTCGATGGCGGAAGAGGTACCAGCACCCGGCTCAAAGTCGACCATGCTAGCGTCGCTATCCTGGCGTCGGCGTTTACGGGAGTTCTTCGACCCTCCCACGGCTTCCAAGAACCCATTTGATGTGACAACAGTAGAGCCCTCGCTGATCTTGCAAACGAGTGTCGTGAGAGTAATAATGACTTCCAGCTTCACACTCTCTTCCCGTTCTTTGCTGATCCGAGAGATCAGAGCGGGCGAGATACTCTGGTATAGAGCGGAGTCGTCGAGGGCCCGGCTATGGCCGTACGAGGAAATGACGGAGTAGAGAAGCTTGGCGGCACATCGACGAACCTTCCAGCTCATATCGTCAACATCACTATATCCATCTTCCTCCTCAAAGTCGTCGAACTCGTCATCGTCCATGTCAGGGTCCTCGGTGGCATCGTCCTCGCTCCCATCATCCTGTGTGCCCCCCATTTCTTCGTCGTCTTCGTTTTCGGCAACATTGGGGTCGTATTTGAGGGATCGGAGGGCGGCCTGGATTGTATTGGCGAGGTAAGGCTGCATTTGCTGGTTGCAGGAGCTGATCATCGCCTCAAGGGTGACCAGCGCCGTCTCGCGGAGCTCGTCCGCCTGAGGGTCGTGATCCTCATCGTGCGAGTAGTCCGACATAGTATCAGAGGCTCATGCAAGACCCAGAATTGGCGATGCGGAGAGCAGATGATTCACTTGCAGGGTCAATCCTCAAGTGGTGGGGGGAGTTGAAACACAAAAACCATGGAGGTTCAAGTCAAAGCATGAAGGGAGCTGTCACGACGCGGGGCTCCTCGGAAAAACCCTTTCCGGAAGGTTCCGCCGACGGCAGAACGATTTTACTGCAAAAAGTCGAGCAAGTCCAGCGAGGGTTGCGTGCTCTTTTTAGAGGCCAGTAAGGCTTGGAGGCCGCCTTGCTTTCTCGCCTTGGCTCGTCTCTTGCTGTTGACGTTATCGCCACTCTTTTCAGACGGACCTGGACCAGTAGATGGAGGAATCTGCTGCATAGAAGACTTTGGAATAGATGTCTCAGGATGTGGTGAAGCGGCATTGGCAGCTGTAGCTGCAGCTAGAGCTGTAGCTGAAGATGGAGCAATACGAGCAGCGGCTTTTGAGGCCGGCCGTTTGCTTGGGATGACAGCACGTTGATTGCAGCGCAAACACTTATAGACAGTGGCTAATGCCTGAGGTTTTGACCTATACTTGATCTTCGTAGTTTGAGAACATAGAGATTTCTGGTCCCTGAGACCACCACAGCCTGCGCAGTGATGCTTATGTTGGCGTGCATTAAGTGACTTTCCCTCCTTATGGAGGAGACCAGTATGGGCTGTGAGGAGATGCGCAGCCGTCGAGGGGCTGCTGGAGGCCAGCAAGTTGGCTGACTGGGAGAGAAAACGTAGCTGAGGGGGTTCAACCGGTGCCATGACGCTCGCAGCCTGTGTAGTAAATTCCCTAAGGTGTGTTAGGGTAGACGGTCGAGGGTGGTGAACCGTCGCGGCCAGCAGTGAAGAGGCGCGAATGGGCCCCACTTTGGTCCGCCGAGCACTCACCACTTCGTCCTTCACTTTTGCACGACAATGAAGATAACGTCCGCAACTCTCGCCAATCCTCTTCTCCCCACCCTTTCTCTCCATCCTTTCTCCCCTCCTTTTTCTGGACTGCGCACTTTATATTCCCACCCCCAAGTTTCTGCCCTTTTCCAATTTCATCACTCCTACACAACTTCAACACTGTCGACATCCCCTTGCTTTTTGAGGCATCCCATACCTCTTGTCCTACTTCATCGATCTCATACTCGGCGCAGTTCCTCTGGTGGCCGACCATGTCGGAGCTATTCCAGGAGCGAACTCCGTTGAATGTGGTGACGGTCGGCTGTGTACGTGTGATCCTTTGCTCGGTTGCTCTCTCGCTGCAACAAGCAACCACATCATCGATGATACTAATCTTCTACAGGCTCATGGAAACCTGAACCAACTGTACCAGGACATTCAATGGCAAGCCGCCAACGAGGAATGGTCTAGTGTTGACCTCGTTATCATCGGAGGTGATTTTCAAGTAAGTTCAGGATTTTGTACACATCGACACATGACACCAACTAACCTCAGCGCAGGCACTCCGCAATGTTGACGATGCCGCTTGTCTGTCTGTCCCAGCCAAGTACCGAAAGATGGGAGATTTCCACGAGTACTACAGCGGTGAGCGCACAGCCCCTTATCTCACGATCTTCTGTGGCGGCAATCACGAAGCTGTCAACTATTCTCGCGAGCTGTACTATGGCGGCTGGATGGCTGAGAACATTTACTACCTCGGTGCCGCGGGCATCGTTTCTGTTGGAGGCCTCCGCATTGCGAGTCTGAGTGGAATCTTCAAACCATATGATTACAATAAGCCTCATTTCGAACATATCCCCTACGGCGATCTTGAGCTTACCTCCGCTTTCCATGTCCGGGAGCTGGACGTCCGCAAGCTCCTCCAGGTGCAGACGCAGGTGGATATCGGTCTCTCGCACGACTGGCCTCGAGGAGTCGAGCACTTTGGAGATGAGGATCTTCTGTTCAAGAAGAAGAAGGGCTTCCGCGAGGACTCTATTCACGGAAGACTCGGCAACAAAGCCGCTCGTCAGGTTCTCGACCATTTGCGCCCGGCATACTGGCTGTCTGCTCATTTACATGTGAAATTTGCGGCTGCTGTTCCGCATGACAATGCCACTACGAAGCAGATCGACCAAAATCCCCTGTTGCCCGCTGAATGGGCTGTTGAAGTCGCCGATGACCAGCCTATTTCTACTCAAACCGAACAGACTAATCGAGATGAACTGTACGTCCCTCACGCCGACGCGGTGTCTAACAGAATTCTTCCGGCTACCGGAAGCCGGGAAGAACGCATCGCCGCATGGAACGGTTTTCATGCCGTGGCACGCCGCACCGAAGAAGCGGCCTTTGGAGAGTTCCTTGCTGAAATGCGCAGTGGAAAGACGGCTCCGCCTCTTCAGACCGCTACAAAGTGGAAGAACCCCGATACTGGATATTTGGAGACCGTGGAGACGACTTTGGAACAAGATCCCCATCCAAACAAACGTGCTAAGAACGACGCTGAAATCGCTCTGGATTCTGAGAGCGAAAACGGCTCTGAGAACATGGAGGCACCGGCCAATGTTAATGACCAGCCCGGTCCGTCGAAAACCGTTACGACCGAAGTTCCCTCCTTGGACACCGATGGCGCTAATGATACTCCTTCATTGTCTAAGTTGGCCAACGAAGAAGTTGCGGATTCGCTCCGCACAAAGCTTCCCGCTGCATTCGCACGCCCTCCGGCAGCGCCGGCCAAGCCCAAGACGCCCGTCAGGATTACAAACAAGTTGACCAAATTCTTGGCTCTGGACAAGCCGAATAATCATGATCCTTATCTGCAATTCGTTAGAGTTACTCCCCGCTCACAGGGGGTTGTTCCCACTTCCACTAGTGATGATCTCGACGAGCCACGCACGTCGCCACGGATCCGGTATGACCCCGAATGGCTCGCTATCCTCCGCACTTTTGCCGACGACCTGGTTCTTGGAGACCCGAATGCCAGAGTTCCTTTTGATCTCGGAACTCGGCATTATTTGCCCTTGATCGAAGAGAACATGCGTTGGGTTGACGAGAACATCGTCAAGAAGGGTTTGCTCGATATTCCCTCCAACTTTGTCCGATGCGCTCCGACGTTCGACCCAGACACCGAATCGAACATCCAGAACCCACAGACTCCTCGAGAGTACCCGAACCCTCAGACTGCCCAATTCTGTGAACTGATCGGAATCGACAACAAGTTCTACCTGAGCGAGGAGGAGTGCCTCGAAAACATTCGCAATGCCCCTGATACTACCGCTCATCCTGTTCACCGCCGTGGTCGTCGCGGTCGAGGTGGCCGAGGTGGCCGAGGTGGAGGTCGTGGTCGTGGTCGTGGTCGTGGTCGTGGTCGCGGCGGCCTTTACTAACTGGTTAACCTCTGCTTTGATATTTTTCGACTTTCTCTCTATCTCTGGCGTCTGTGGCGTCTCTGGTCAATGTAGGAAGTGAAATAAACAAACATTGGTTTTTGCTACTTCTGTTCACCTGTAATTCTCGCATGTGGAAGGCTTCTGTCTGCGATCATGCACCGTGCCGATCATTTAGCTGCTCATAGTGTACCCAGGCACCAAGGTGATCAGCCCCATGGTCTCCTGCTCTGTATATATAAAGGATCCCCCTCTCTAATGTCTTGATGTTCTAAAAGATGAATGGGCCGAAAACCAAATGATACTTGCGAATCTGAAAGGCAAGCTAAGATTTGCTATTCATCATGCATCCGCTGCTGCTAATTGCCTCTAATTGCACTTTCATCATTCTCTCACTCCAAATACCCTAAGGTATGTTGTCGTATCTACTCAATCTCCTCAATCCGTGGCTGCCCAGACCTCCTTCCAGCCAAAGGATCAACATCCAATCCAGCAATCCTATCACCTAGCCCTAAACTCGGTTCATCAAACCCATCAGTCTGCATGCTGATCCCCCAAAGCAGGGACTTCTCCAACCAGGCCTCGAGGCTCTCAATCAAAGCACGCAAATGCCCACGCACGATCCCATCCGTCTCCTTGCTTTCCACAAAGGCGAGCTTCCGCAGCATATGAGGAATATTTCCGATAGTGGACGGCCCATTTGATTCACGGTCTTGTGGATAGAGTCTCGACGCCGAATCGTCTCTTAATGAGAATCCAAATCCAATATCTCTCCCTGGCTTCGCTTCCCGTGCTGTGTCAAGCGCCTTGAGAATGTCCAAAATAAGAACCACACTTGCCCGGCGAAGAATGGCGTTTTCGGGCGCTTGGTCGAGCGTTAGAGTTGCCAGTGCCAATTCTATTGCCGACGACAAGATTTCGGGGCCGAGACCGATGGCATTCACCTGAACCGCAGAGGCAAGGATGGATAATGCGGATGCACGAACACGGAGATCATCCGGTTCTTCATCATTAGCTGCTCCTGCTGCCCATGTGGCGACGACATTGGCGGCATGCGCTATTTGTTCAGGTGACTCGGCATCGGAATTTTCCTCCTCGTCGTTTCCAGGATTCTTGGGAGGCGTCGGAGTCGTAGAGAATTTCCATCCTGGCGGTAAGGCCGGCTCTCTCATTTTGCGATCCTCGTGTTCTTTTTTGCGCCGCTCTTTTTCCAGCTGGGCTTTACGCTCTTTCTGCGTTTCCGGTCTGTGGCCTCGTCTTCCGGCAACAGTGATCATGGTGTCGCCCAGGATCTTGGCTGTTTCGCCGGACAGAACATCACCCAGGTCTTGAACGGTTCGGAGAAGCGATTCGCCAATTTTGAGACGTTGATCAAGCGTCCTTTGCTCACTTTTATCTGCATAGTTTTCAACGAGGGTTTTGATTACCGTTCGAGGGTGTCGAGAAGCCAAGGTGCCGGTGAGCTTGATTGCGTTCAGGTAGATAAACTCTTCGTTGGCAACTGATTCTGTGGGGTCTGTTATGATCGACAGGAGGAGGGTTAAAGTTGATGGAATATCAAGTACGGGCGATCCTTTGAGGACCAGTTTTGAGAGGAGCGAGAATCCCTCTGCTTGTACTGGCGGTAGTTCCGAGTCAAGACTCGTCAGTGCTCGGCGATGTGTCTCAAGATCAGCAACATGCGGAGGTGTTGGTTTGGTGTCGTCGTGTTCGGGATCCGTGAGCTGGATCTCCAGCAGCATGGAAGATGTAGTGGCCGGTTTTGACAGTATAGGCGGGAGCCACGGAATGAGTCGGTCAAGGCGCTCTTTGATAGTCTCGAGTAGAGGATTTGTCGCTTCTGAAATTTTGAATTCAGAGGAAGACAAAACAGTTGACAAAAGGCTGAATGCGGTCGTGAGAGATTCCGATGACTCTTTTTCTGATGTGTCCCCTTCTTGTTGCTTGCTTATTTGCTCGTCCGGGACGATAGAAGCCAGAGATGATAGCGAAACCTTGCCTTTGGGATCTTGCTTTGTTGACCCTTGGCTCTGGAACCTATGTAATTCACCATCCACAACTTGTTTGATGAGTTCAAGAACACGCAAAGGCCGACGCGATAGAGTATCCTTGAAGTTGTCTAGTAATTTCTCAGCAATTTTGGCGCTGACTAGTTTCTGGAAAATGTTTTCCGAGTCGCCCAGTTTTTGGGACTGGCCAGCCTTCGAGGAATTGGACTGGACAAGCCAAGTCTCGCTCACGTAAAGGAAGATATCACCCGTGCGCTCTTCTCCGCTCGGGTCCGAGCCTAAAAGAGTGACAAAAAGGTCGGCGCGACTTTGCAGCGAATCGATCAGTCGAATGATGTTTGACTGATTCTCTAGCTGCTCTTGGCGGGATTTCAATACAATCCGGGCTTGTGCATCGGTGCTGTAAGTCCATCCTGAGCCTCCGTCCCAAAGCAGATGATCAACGAGCTTCTTGAGCGGTTGAATGCCCACAGAAATACTAAAGTATGTCTGCAACAACGCCATGATCCTTTCGTGATATGCAGTGAGGTTCTGCTCTTGAGAATAGCAAGCAAATCCCCATAGTGGCAGCAAAATGGGATAGATGAGTCTTTTCACGAGGCTGGGGTTTGGATGTTGAAGTGCCAAGCTTCTCAGCCGGTCGAGGGCGAGGTCTACCGTAGCACCATCCACAATTGTGTAGCCTGGCTGCATATCCTCGATATTGACCGATGGTGACCCCTCGGCATCTGGAAGCCGCATCATCCAGTGCCTTGTCTGGCTGTTCAAATCAGCAGTCAAAGATCCGAAGATGGGCTCCACAAAGATCGAATGGCCGATTGTGCCGAGAGCCCCGTATGCACGTTTCCCCAATATGCCACTCCCTATGACGTAGGAAGCAGTTTTCTTCAAATCTGGGTCCGGCCCATCCAGGAGTGATAGTAATTGAGGAGCAATGGATTTGAAATATGATGTAGGCTCGATACCCTGGGGAACGGATGACAGCAATCGAGAGGTTTGCATGATAGCCTGCACGGTTAAATGAGGCCCATTCGAGGGCTCACTTTGTGCTTCCTGTCCAAGAGAAGGAGCAAACTGAGAGGCGATGAACATAATTGTATGCACGACTCCACCCTGGCGAAGCGGCACGTGAGAAATCTGGCCGGAGACAGTGGATTTGAACCAAGGCGTCGTATCGGCTTGAAGGAAGCTAGACATCATAGGCAGAAGAGTAGCGCTTGGTGTACTGTGATTATTAGTATCGGCTTTCAGTATATTCAGGGAGCAACTTGACTAACTCTTCGATAATCCTTGCGAATCCATTTGCGTAGAGGCTTCGCTCAGGAAGATTTGAGATATTTGGGTTGAATGCTAGGTCTGCCGTGCCACTGACAATGTCACTCAGGATGCGACCACGAATGACGGGCTGAATACTTGGCGTGGTCTCCAGCATGATATTCAAAAGGGCTTTCATTATTACACATAGAAGCGTCTCATCATGGGGTTTGCTGCTGGGAAGGAAGGTAGTTTGCTTTGCAATGACTCCGGCAGGCAGGACCGAGATTATTCTCTGCTGGAGCGGAATACCGACCCCAGACGAAAGAGACGGGTAGATACCCTCCAACGATATGAGATCAAGTAATGCGTGGAGAAGGCGCCGCCGCTTTGCATCTTCCAGTGCTGTATCCTCACCTGCTGCGGCATCATTGGCAGCCACATGCTGGTCCTGCACCGGGGTGACAAAGCCCGTATGGACCCGGTCGAGAATATCTAATGCTTGGCCAACAACAGCTCTTCTGGCAGCAGATTCATCGGTAGGTGAACATGGTAAACGGCTGCTCAGGATTCCTAGCAATGACTGGCCTGGGAATTTTTGTATTTCATCTGTACTTGTAGTTAGCTCGAAAGTTGAGGATGCAATGTGGGCTTCTAGTGGCAGACCTCGATCGAGCACCGGGTTCAAGAACTCGCGGGCAGCATCAAATGCCTCCTTGACCCTTTTGAGATCATCCATCATGGAGAGGGAGGAGAGGCAAACATGGTCGTTTCTTCGTTGAAGAAATCGTCAGCTTCCGAACTGCGTTCCATTGCGATGCGTGGGTGGGTCTTGGCGGGACATATCACGATGAGTAATCAAGACCAAACATGCACACAGTCACGTGATCAACATGCCGTCGCGGTTCCAAGTCAATACAGTCGCGTCGATTCTTCCTCCCTTGACATCCGCAATTGCTTCACTCGACTCCCATCAACACACTCATGGTTTATTGATCACGACGGAAATTTCTCTTCTGATTGATCATTATGAATTCTGCTTGGATCGACAAGATTTCTGTTGTTCCCAATGCCTTGTTCACACGCGCCAGAGTTTCGTGTATGCCTTTCTCCGATGTGGAACCCCCAAGTCTTTTGCCTCCCGAGGCACACAAGTACAGCGAGTCCCTCTTTGATCCGGCTATCACCTGCCCACGGCATCTTGGATGTTTTCGCGAATTGAAAGCTGTCGTACAGGCGATGTTGGGATCTAACCCTAAGACTTATCCAGTCGGTTGTCTTTTTGACACCAGTTTCGCGAATTATGCATGCCGGGTATTATGACTAGCACATCCAATCTATGATGGATTGTTTATGCGAAAGTTGCTCGTCATTACCAGAGTCTTTCGGGACACAAGAGACGGTTACTACTATGCAAACGTCCTCACGGGCCACGCGTCGGTTTAACTTATGCTGGTTGCATGCTTGGTCACAATCGGACGGTTTGCCTATGCTTCGAATGTCAAGGTCTCGAAGGGAAAAGACGGTGGATCACGTCGGGTACCTCCAAATGCGAGAGGTTACCTTTGGGAGCATCACACGACCGTGCGGAACATCGGGATTAATGGCAACGTTCAAGTATTGAATGCCTAGGGCAGCAACTAGTTTGGCTTAGAGGTGTGGAGTCCAGAACACAGCAGTTGCCATTACGCACAGCATGGCGACGGCTAATCAGAAGGGTCCACTCGCCGGAATCAATCTATATCTCCCTGAAATTGTTCCAGGCTTTTTCATAGGTATGAGTGACGCGAGGCTTTTCTGAATTGTTTGTCGTCATGACTCTTGATGCCCCATCAATGATTCTGGCCTGCTGTCAAGTTCCGGCCCGGCAAAGCGTCTCCCCAGACTAGCTTGGTGTTTTTCGATCTTGTTCACCCTGCGGTTTTTCCCGTCTGTCTCGCAATAACTGTCTGCCGTCCCGTACCTGGTCCCACCACGAAGATACCTGGGAATCTTGCACCCGTCTTTCACCCCTTCACCCCTGTCATTCCTTAGCTTTCAGCAGCTAGGCAACCTCGTTTTACGGCACCCGCCACTATTTCGACTCCCTCGGGAGATCCAGACCATTCGCGTTAGCCATCTCTTTGCAGGCAGGTTTGCAAATCGATCGATGGGCGCCGGCTACCAAACAATAACGTCTGTTATTGTTCCTTCATCCGTGAAGAAGAAAGCGGTTTTTTCTGGATGCTCTTTGTCCGCTTTATATTCCATGCCCTCCTGTGAGACTTTCGAGTTGATTGGGAGGGAAACAAAAACTTGTCCCAGAGGGTACTGTACCACACACAAGAGACTGGTTTCTCATTGGATTGGCGTCAATGGAAATTCATGGCGGGTTATGCAATGCTTAGGAGACAGATCTTTGCAAGTGCAATCCGATTGATCAGTGCGACTTGGCCCAATCGTGATCTTCTTCCAAGGGTGTGTCAGGAGGATGAGAACTGCGTTCGTTTTCATTTGGTCATTACTCGGTCGCCGTGATCCTCAACTCCTTTACATCAATCTGGGATCAACAGTAAGCCGCAATGTTTCTCAAATCACAATGGTTCTGGCAAAATTACGAGGGCGTTCGTCTCTCCCGATCTCTTCGCTACTGGTCTCATCACCTAGTCGGTGTCGGCTGAGCTATCTGGTTCGAGTTCCCCAGGCATGCTGTATGCAGAGTAGTGTGGGACCTCTCTCGAGTGAGGATCAAAGCTTTGGCTTGTCCACGCTTCTTTCTGCAGCTGCATGCTTTCGGCCAGAATTCTTTGTTGAGATTAGACTGGGCTGGATCTGAAGAGACGGGATTGAACTGCTTGAAGCTTTTGCTACGAAGGAGCCATTACAAGATATCGAGATTTGGCTCTGTTGACTTCGGTTCGATCGTGGAGCAGACCACGGCGGCAATGATGACTGGTGAACAGCCGTTTCCTCTGTTCCGGCGGAGGAGGCGGCCCCCCTTTTTTATAAGTGTCCCTCCCGGATCTTCAATGCAACAACAGCTAACTACGAACCTAGAGAAAGCCTGAGGCCTACCTGCGACTATTCGGATCTTCCGTCTCGAATTCAAGCCTTCGATTGGAAATTGTCACCAGTACATCTTGACGATCCTCTGCATCGCACGGAGGACTCTGCACACATGACCTTCATCATTTTCAGGATGCGAGAGCGCCATGTACTTTTTGTACGCTAATTCATATTTGGCATTTTGCTATCCCCCAAAGTACAGTTTCTTCTAGCGCGATTGTCACCGGCGTTGTTATCCAGCGTTGTAAGACGGCCTTACCTATTGTCATTTAGCCCTACTGGAAGTGTAGCCCGACAATATTTAATTACTTAGGTAGTCTGGATGGTAATATGAATTGAATCAATACCTATTTGAACATTCTTTCTTAATTAAAGCGAGACCCTAACGATATATGAAGATCTGTACAAGAAAAAGGAGGGGGGCCCGATAAAAGTCAGCGATGCCGATATGGAAATGACGATGCAGTATGTTACAAGCTGTTGAATGCGGATGCTAAACTAGTCGAGAGAAAGCCTCATATAAACGAAAGCCTTCATGGTTAGAACAAGAATGGGATTGGACAAAGTTGCCCGAGGCGGACTTGAGAGGGAGTGGATCACGGCACCCATAACCGCATGAAGCCGCTCACTTCCTGTCGACAGGTTACACAGCTGCCGAAGTTGTTCATGGCTAGGCTGACGCGGCAATCTTCACAGATACAAAGGCAGCGGCAAGGCCATGTAATGATGGAGCGGGGATTGGTCTGGCAGACAACGCAGGGAGGCCCATTCTCACCCAGTCCCATGGCGCCAGATTTCCAGGTATTGGGATCAGGACTAGAGATGGTCTCGGAGCGACAAGACAAAATCAATTTTTCAAGAACTTCTGACTCCTCTTCAGCGGTGGGCTTATGCCTGTCGTTCGCAGACTGCGAGGCCATTTGCAAGCGAGATGAGAACAGGACATGAGATCTCTGCCGTTCCACTTGCTGCCGGTACTGGCTGCGTGTCATGATGCGTGCAGAATCACCTCCAGGGGTGAGATGGGCAGCAAGAATCCGTGCTTCCTCTCTACTCTCACGATCACGAGGATCAAGCAGACGGGCCAACTGACCCATATCCAAAACAGGGTCTTGAAAAGGGGTGGACTCCCTAGAAAACGACGGATATGGATCGGTCTGAGTCGGAGTGCGACGACCATATTCCTCTTCATCCTGCCAATCATCCTCTGAGGTGTGGGTGGACATCGAAACCATGCTCGTGGTATCGTCGTCGTCGGCTACTGAAGGATTGTAATCTGAGGTGTGGTCTTGATCGCCCCATGATCCGCCGAATTTCCACCAGCCGTATAACCTATCGTCAAGTCGGCGTTCATCATTTCTTTCCCACTCCGATTGGTTGCATCGTTCTCGTTTTCTCATCTCTAACTCGACGTCAAACTCATGGTTTGCAGGAAGTTCAAGTTCTCCCTCTTCAGTAAGGATCCAAAAGTCCAAGTTTGACGAAGACTTCCTTCCGGGTCCTTTATTTTCTCGAGTTCCCAAGAGGCGTTTCAGCCACTGAGGGCGAGCCGTGATACCCATTCGGTCAAGCGCTCGGTTAGCGCCGTATGCCATCCATCGTAGAACGAGCCAGAAGATAGAGCGGAAGAATGAGATGACGTGCCAAAAGCGGAGCGATCCTTGCACCACTCCTACGCCACCTACTTCGGCATGGGGTCGCATTGCTCGAGAGCCGTTCTTGGATTTCTCGATTTTCTTCTCTCGGTTGTATCCACTTTCCCATGACGAGGATTGTTCGGGGAGGTCAAAGCCGGAATAGCTCACTGCATCAAATAAGGACTCTTGAGACTGGTCGGACCAGTCTCCATATGATGAATTCCTCTGGCGAGAGGCCTCGATTTCGGCAAGACGGTCTCTCTCAAGCCAGGTCATTGATCGCGCGATGATGACCTTACCTTCATTCAAAAATACCGCCTCGCTAGCTGCCGTCAGTGCGACGTAGCCCACACGAAGCAACGTAGTGTAAAAGTCTTCGTGTCTGTTGATACGAATGCTGCGAATCTGGTTGGCACCTTGCATATTTTCATGAGCCAACGCGAATCGTTCCCGTATGGAGATGGGCTGAGCTTCTTCGGATGGCAAAGAAAAAGCCGTAATGGTCAAAGCGAGAGCATAGATGTTGAAACAGGCGATAATGCCGACAAAGACAAGCATGTGAGGTATGAACCCAATGGTGCACACTGTTGGAAATTTGAGAACACCTGTCTCAGCGCTGACCGGCGGGCCACTCTCTAGTCCCCACAACATAACCGTCATATAACAGAGACCCCAAAATGCAGTATTGAACAAGCGATATCGACTCTGCTTGCCGATGACATCAAGGGCATGGGATGTCAGGCTATTGCAACACGAAATCAAAGCAATTAGTAAAAGCTCTGGGGTGACGTTCATTCGGTCCAAGACCTGAGCTCTTGTGAGTAGTCGAAGTGGAGAGACGGGAGCGTCTTCAGTGGCGCCTGCGTGCAGAGGATTTTGCTTGGGTAGACCAAAGATTCCGAGCCCTATCGATTTGCTGATCATAGACTCGGCTTCGGCAAAGGCTAGAGAGTGTTCGAAAATAGACATCCCGGTCTCGGTCATCACAGGCTTGCCATGCAGTGCGCATGACAGGGTCTCCACAAAATGACTCAAACAAAGACGTAGAAAAACGGGCCATAACAGCGAAAATGTTCCAAAGGGTATGTCAGAGGTACCAGCCGCACGCCCCATTTGAACAGCGCTGCATGCCTGCTCGTCGGACTCCCATGACAGAATGGAGGAGGATAACCAATGTAAAGTCCCTCCGCCGGGGGCATAGTCAAATGCCAGCGGCTTTCCGGGATGGCCGTATCGCATTATGGAATAGGATGGGGCGGTCTGACATCGGATGCCTCGCAGCAGAGATAATATCTGGGAGGCTAAAAGAACGAGAGGGACTATCCGGAGGGCCAGTCGGCGTTCCCATCCAAGCCGGAGATGTCGCCTGGTTGAAGCGTAAATAGTAATTCGGTTGAGAATCAGCGCCTAAATAGATTGTTAGAAGGCATCCAACATAAACATGGAAAATGCAGTAGCCCACCTCCATCAGACAGGTAAAAGACCACATGCTGGTCAACCACCCAATAAACCCGCCAATTTTCTTCGCTGCCATCAAAAACTCCGATAAATACCAGCTATCCCCCACAGTGGCAGCGTGCGCGCCACCCGCCATATCCGCAGCGGCCCCCATGGCATCGCCCGCAAGCCCGGGGTCGCCTGCTGCCGGGGAGGCGACACCCCAGAAATTCATTTCGATATTCTCTATCCCAGCCAGTCGAAGGAGATGCCTTGGGACCGTGCTGAACGCGAACGTTTCGGCCTGGTTGAGGACGCGCAGGGGAGCGGTAATCAGCTCGAGCGGAAAGGCGGGGAGGAAAGAGAATCCGGAGTTCGAAGAGAGTGTGGTACTGATATTCTGTGCGAGTGAGGTACTGGTGGCGCTTGGCATTTCAGCTGGTCCAGGAACAGACGACATGATGCGCTGCTGTTGAGGGCTTCCCTCTATCAGTCGCCGCTATCAACGATCCGGGGAGATGGAATGGGGCAGCCCCCACGCCACACTCGGGTTCGGCAGACAGATTCGTTATCGGTCAGCTCGAGAGGGATCTTGGGGGTGTTGCGAAGCGAATCCGATCGGGAATCACGGCTTGCCACAGCTCCTGCAAAAGTGGCCCCATCGACAATCAGGAAGGAGGGTCAGGCCGCCGACTCAAGCTGGGGAATCCTCCGGCCCGCCTTCCGGGTTAGTCAGCGGCCGAGGTCCAAGTTGAATACCAGCGATGTCTCCAGTACCCTAGGATAGTCGCCAAGGATACGAGTTGGGCGTGCGTTAGGCAGTTGAATATTAAATTGTTCCTGGGCAAGCGTCAATAGACCGCCTTAGATTCGACGAGGCTGTACAGATGGTACAGATGATTCAAAGCAGATTGTGTTTTCTGTAACAAAGGATTTTGAATAGCTCTAGAAGATACTCCGACGTGTCTAATCGAGACTATATTCATCAGCTACCATGATACGACTACTAGCAGTAGGACTACTAAGAATGTCTCCTCTGCAAATCCCAAAACCCGGGCACTTGGCTTGCAATGCCTCGGGCACGAAAATTGCGGAAAGTTGATTTAATCTGCCATCCATTTTAGACCATTCGTCCAGGGGACACAATAAATCGAATGTTTTGATGCTTGAATGGCACAGCAGTTCCTTGGCAATAGGCAGGCAAGGAAGTTGGAATGTGAAAGAGCATTCACTGATGCTCTCAAATGATTAATTTTCCCATGGCCTATACGAACCGACAATATGCAAACATACAAATACATGCCACGACAAGAATGACGTGGGTTGGTGGTCCTTTGGTCAAGCCATTTAACTCCTCATAATCTCATAGCTGTGGGTATGGTCTCCGTATACGCCGTAAGTAATGCGTGTCTGCCCGAGTTGGTGCTATAAGTTATCACGTATTAGCGGATTTGTACCAGGGTAATGCGGGAGTGATTGGAGTCTTCGCACATACAGGTTCAGACATCCAGGTAATCAGCAGCGATCAAGAGTTCCAAGCAGATATCTGACGGAATGTCCATGTCTGCCACATTCTTCGAGGACTTGTGCTTTTCGTTGTAGAGAAGGTATTCGCAGACTTTCTCGAGGACCAGGCCACTAGATGGGGTTCGGTCAGAGGCGGTCGAGTTCAAAGGCGCAGCGACGGCATCCACAAGAGGCAGGGAACAAGAACAGCGCTTAGGTCCTTACCTAAAGCTGTCGAAGACACAGTAACCAGTAAGAGCTTCGGCAAATTTACCTATCAGGGGACAAGGCTGGTTAGCATGGAGGCCGGGGGCAGGTTGAACAAGACGAGGGCCGCGTACTGTTGGGATCAAGCATGCGGCGGATGGTGCCAGATACGCAGGCCGCGCTGCGTGGCAGGATGAATTCGAAGCCGTCGCCGGAAGCCAGGGTCACATATCCTGGCTCAGAGGTGGACTCCATTGTGTGTGCCGAACGGTGGAAGTTCCCGAGGGTCGAAGATGCTCGTTGACGGGGCCGGTCCAGCCGGACGAGGGTGGCCCGTGCAGACCGTGTTCCCGCAGGTAGAACTCGCGGCAACGCTTGGGCGAACTCCAGGATGCTTGGGCAGGACTCGGTACTTGTAAGCACTTGCCGAGCAGTCGCAGTTGCTTTTTCGTGGAAACTCTGACTTGCTCACCCCAGAGGGTTTCTGTCTGACTAATGAAAGCAACTAGCCAGCTATGACGACCGCTCTTGCGTCGTGGACGCGTTGGCGCGCCACTGCTACATCTTTCATCTATGGTCGACCGACAAAAGCAATCAGTTCCAGATGTCTTGTGTCCGTGCGGAAAAGAGACATTCGATTCTTTTCATCTACTCGCCCAAGCAAAGACGCCACAAACTTTCAGCCTGCAAATAGGCTTGCTGGTCGGACGTGTATGGTCACCGGCGGAACATCGGGCATTGGCTTCGCCATTGCAGAGCGATTCCTGCAAGAAGGTGCATCGTCGATCATTCTGGTCGGCAGATCCCAGCAGCGTCTTCAGACTGCAGCCGACCGTCTTCATGCTTCGGCGGGTGCAAGATCAATACAGAGCGACAGTCAAGGTGCTTTGGAGACGGTCCGCCTTCTCGTCGGTGATGTCGGCAATGCAGGCTCATGGATACGTGAGATAGAAAAAGAAATGGTGAGAATAATTTATCCTGGAAAAATTTCTTCTTGTATTTGCTAATTGTGGTCCAGGCCATGGTAGATGTGCTTGTCAATGCAGCCGGCATCTCCATCTCAAACATACTCCCCAGATCTGAGTTGGAAGATATCTCCCAGATTCTGCGCACAAACCTGGAAGGCGCCATTATCACCTCTCGCGCTCTTATACGCGCTGCGATTCGCTGTCGGGTGCGTTCTCGCAATAAAGAATCAGTGGGCACGAAGCTTCCTTCAAAATGCATCATCAATGTCTCCTCGCTGCTGGCGCTCAGGGCCGGCACCGGCGCGGTCCCATACGCTGCGTCTAAAGCCGGTATTTTAGGATTGACCCGGTCTGTGGCTGTTGAGTCGGCTTCTTCATTAAAGGACCTGGCGATAAGGTCCAATGCCATCGTGCCGGGTTATATCGAGACACCCATGATTGCAGGTAAGCATCTCAGCTACTCCTGGATGACACCCGCTGGGACTGACAAAAATATCTCTACAGACTTCACGCCCCGCGAGATGAATCGTTTGAAAGACATGATACCCCTTCATCGGTTTGGAGATCCACGAGAAGTAGCTGATGCAGCTGTGTTCCTGGCGCAAAACGAGTATGCCAATAACTGTGTTCTCAATATTGACGGCGGGCTTAGCGCTGTTTAGCTGAGATGAATATAGACAGAAATCAAAATCATAAAGCTTTGTTGATTTCAATTCTTAAAAGGTCGGCGCAATGCCATATGATACAGTGTAGGGGAAGTGAAGGCAAGATGAATGTAGACAAAAAACGTAAAAAACATGAAGAACGTGCGCCCCTGTCTATTTTTAGGAAGAGCGCATTGCTATCCGCCAAGTTGGGAGTATAATAAATCTAGTCGTCGATCAAGATTGCGCCGCTGTCCTCTTCATCAAGGACAATTAGATCATCGCTGTCACCATTTGCCTGTTCACCAGCAACTTTCTTTGCGACGTGGCCATTGGTCATGACTTCGTCTTCCCCATCGCGCTTGCGTTTACCCAATCCGCTTGTACCATTGGCCGTAGACGCGTCTTCAAAAACCGGCTCCGTGTTCTTTTTCTTAGGTTTCCGTGGGATTTCCAGCGTTCCTTGCAAAGTAACTGGCTTCGAGTCTTCCGAGGCAGGCTCTTGTCTGTGATTGAACGTCAACAAGCAGTCCGGCCGGGTTACTGCGGTTATCTTTTTAGGCATACCTCTCAACAAAAAAGAGATCTAGATTGACTCGAGGGTCTTGGTCCTGGTCATCTTCATCTCGGATAGTAAGAAAGCTGAAGCCATTTGTGATAGCTGGCTCGGATAGTTTCCGGGTGAGATTTTCCTCGAGATCTGGATCATAGATCACTTGTCCTGCGCTGTTCACGATAGACAATTCCTCCCCATATTCCAGGTCTGACCGTAGGATTTCAACCAGGTCCCCAAGAGTCGCGCGCTCCTGGTCGGCGGCTACTCGTCCGTGTGCAGAGGAACAAATTGAACAGCCGGGCTTTGGCGGATCGAGAGAGTCGGAGTTAATGGCTCTGGCGCCAGACCTCTCAAGGAACACCTGAATAAAACAAGGTTAGTTTTAGAGGGGAATAGCTTGGGCGGGAAACAGTGTGGAATTACCATCTTCGCCTGTGAGAGGTCATCTTGGAGAACCTTAAAAGACTGCAGAACGCATAGACCTGCGGTCATGGCATTTGTTGTTGCAATGGCAGGAATGATGTTGCCGGCCATCTCTGGAAGAATGTCAGTGACTGGTCTCTGAATGAGTAGTGTTCTCTGTCAACCCACGTTTAGTGTCAAATTTCGTCTTTTGCGGAATGTGGAAGATTATTGAGCGGAGGTTGGCTGCTGCCGTCACAAAGTCCAAAGTATCTTCGTCATCTTTGTCGAACAACAGCTGTGGTTTCGGATCACTCGAGGTCGCCTTTTCCACAAGCTCCTTCAATCGTTTGCTCAAGCGGTCAAGACTATGCTCTGGTTAGAACTGATGATCCTGAATTCAAAGGGGATGCATAGTTCACCTATCCTTAAACACGAGGAAGTTCTCTTTCAGCGTCCACTCTCGTCGATCTTCCTTCGAGGCGGCTGGTGAAGATAAGGCAGGATCCTGCTCAATACTGTCATATTCGAGAGCATCCGGAGGCTGACGCTCTTTCCACATATCCTCCATGCCGCGCAATCGCTCGATATCAACCTTGAAGACCTTCTCAAAAACCTTCCGGCAGAAGTCGTCCGACCCCATTGACTCACGGATCTCCTTGAGAGCCAAGGCTTCCTCGCGCAGCTTCTGAATTTCATCCGCTATTTTCAAATTAGTATGCGTTCGTAACTCTGTATCATCCATGCAAGACATACCGTTTTCTGCATCTTCTGTACTATCAATAGTACCGGATTCGTCCTCGCTTTCTCCGAAAAGTTCTCTTGTTCACTGTTAGCGTGCTTTCATGACTTGCTGAGAGATTGGTGTGACTTACGGAATCAGCCAACTCTTCGCCCAGACGATGCAATGAATCGGTTGGGTCGGGTTGCTGCGGAGAGTGCAAATCGGATAGGTCTTTGGTGTTTCTTTCTCATTGCAGTCATAGCATTCGGTTTTTCCCTATTTTAATTAGCTAATGCGACGACCTGGTGGGAGCCGACCAGCGACAGATACTTCGTACCTTCTCAATCACTTGCACCTGGCCATTGAAGCCAGTGGTCCCACTCTCGATCAGCGGCACGCCTGCTGCAAGGCACATGTGGTTTACATGGCGTCGGGCAGAGATATTATCCAACGCATTGAAGACGATGTTGAATCCCGCAAACCAGTCCACATTGAACTGGTGATCCATTATGTTCGCATGATACGCCTCGAGCTTCGCACTGGGCTGGAACTTCTGCGCAACCTCTTTCGCAACCTATGTTTGACAGGTGAAATGTCAGCAGTGGCTCGTCATGTCGGGGTGTATATTCGCGCGTCCTGGCGCGGGGCGCGGGTATGCTTTCGCAAAGGGAGGAACGATGGCGAACGGGGGCCGGGTTGACGCACGAGGGCTTTGGGTTTCTTGATGTGTTCGTGGCGGAACAGGAATTGGCGATTGAGGTTACTCAAGTCGATTGTGTCCAGGTCAATGATGTGAACCTCGCCGAACCCAGTGAGGACGAGGTTTTTGAGGAGCTCGCAGCCGATGCCGCCGGCGCCGACGAGGAGAACGCGCGACTAGAAAGAAGAGAGAAGAGGCGTTAGGATAGAGCCGTAATCGATGCAAGCACATCGGGGCAACTTTCTGGGCATCCCAGGATGTTCGTACCTTTTGAATCCGGTGGGCCAGGTCGACCCCGACGGAGCGCTTAATCGAGCTTGGTCGCATGGTCGCAGATGCGCCAGCCGCAGTTAGCAGGTTCCGACTTTGGTGTGGGGGGAGGGGGAGGTGCGGAGGCTTTGAGGTTGTGTGGATAGTAAGGGAGAGGAAAGCACAATGTCGGGAGATGTGTAGAAGGAAAGGCGCGTGCGGAGCGGAAGCCGAGCCCGGGAGGTTCGTCGATGACGGATGACGGCACGGGCGGAGCCTCCTCCCTCCGCAGCTCCCTTCACTGTTGATCGTCCTTCGCAGTCCCACTCCACGGCGTGACTAAGACGCCATACGCTTGCGCCTCTGTGCTGGCGGCTACTGAGGGAGTATCGACTGTTCTTTGTTTTGCTTGGGCCTGCACGATTGCCTCCACATTCCATGCCGCCTGTCTTATGACGGCTGTCTTCTGTTTGTGGCTGCGTACATATTGACCTTGCCTTGGATCAAGGCAGCTCAATCCAAGCTCTCGCAACCAGAAGCAGCACCGATGCGATCAATCCTACTTGACATCAAATGTACACAATCACAGCCATCCTGGTTCTTGTTTCACTGGCTCCTGGAGCCTATTCTGCTTTCCCCATCCCAATGGCCCTCACCTTGAGAGCCGCACTTCTCACTACACCGAGTTGGTCCGGGAAGATGCCGAGGATCAACCGAGATAGACTCACCCAAATGTTTCCATGACAGCAATTTGCGATTGCAAATGTCCCGACCAAGAATCAGTGGAGACTACTCACTGGATGGTAATGGGCGGTATGGGTGCTACCGTGTGGCTCTGAACCATTACAATCCAACGCTACCGGTTCCTCTCTGCTCGAGGGCGTATTGCCTAAGGTTCAGACACATATACCTTTCGGCTTCCAGCATTGACACCAGTGTCATTTAGGATGATTGATCTAGAAACAAAGCCCGCGTGTGACCCTTGCCACGCAATCGATCAGGTAGTTCTAGACGCGCAAGATCTTGCTGCCTTGGGACACGACTCAGCTCTGTCTCGGAAATACAATCTATGGAGCATGCTAGCACTGAGTTTCTGTGTCCTAGGGACGTGGGGAACCGTTGCCCAAGATCTCGCCACGGGATTAGAGAGTGGCGGTCCCGTTGGGATCCTCGTGGGCTTCTTCTGGTCACCATTTGCAATCCGTATTTTGCACTGTCCCTGGGCGAGTTCTGCAGTAGCATGCTAACGGCTCTCGGTCAAGCGTATTGGGTCTTCGGATTTGGGACACCTCGACCGGTCGCTTCGTGTCGTATATGTGTGCTTGGATTAATACCTTTGATTGGTGGACATTGACGGTTTCGTCCGCTGCCTTCATGACCAACATCCTTCTGGGGATGAAGGTGATGTTTGATGGGTCTTGGGCCGGAGTGGCAGAGGGCTGGGCCCAATTTGTCCTTTACGTCGGTGTTACCTTGATGCTTATCTTGATGACTCTGGTGCCCTGTCGAATTGACAAAAGATTGCCAATTTTTAATACCATTATTCGAATCTGGTTCGCTGGGCTATTCGTCCTGACGAGCATTGTGATGGTAGCATGCGTGCGGACACAGTCTGGTCTGACCTTCCACTCTGCTCAGTTTGTTTCCGGGGGATGGATCAACCAGACAGGATGGAGAAATGGGGTAACATTGTCTTGTGACTCTGTTCATCGCTAATAGCCTTGGCCAGGCAGTGAGCATCATGACTACATCCTCTTGTCTGACTTGGGGGTTTGCGCGGGATGGTGGCCTTCCATAGAGCCGATACTTCACCCATGTTGACCGGACATGGAAAATGCCCGTCCGAGCGCTCCGGCTTCAGGGACTTCTAATAGCTCTCGTCGGAGTATTGTATCTTGGGGTGAGCACTGTTCTTCAGGCCATTCTGAGTGTCAGCACCATCGCGTTAACAGTCTCTTACTGTATCACGATGTTGTCTCTTCTTCTTGTGGGGCGTGCTATACTATTTTACTGAGAAAGTTTTTACTTAGTTATAATTAACTGGATTAGCGTGATGTATTGCATTGTCACCACAATACTTCTTCTTCCCCGACAGCCCCACGCCTTCACAAGTGACATGAACTACGCGATTGCTGTCTTTGGAGTCATTATTATTATTATTGCTATGGGATTCTGGGTTTCAAAGATCACATAAATTATCTAAAGTTACAGGCTACTTTGAATGCTATCATAGATGCTCGCCGTGAAGAGGTCGCCGAGTCAATTGATGAGCAGAGAAAGGAATAACTTAGCTTTTGTTCAGAATAGAATAGCCTGGCCCTATCTTTCCGGCTTGGTATTTGAATAGTCTGATGGCCTGAGCCAAGCAGCGTTAAATACTTGAGCATCTTTATTTTTCAAAAATGCCCTTCAACCACCAGCAAAAGAATTTCGAACAGCGTGGTTTGCATTCGATTTAATTCATGGATAACCTCGTACACCCTTCGAAAATTCTCAAGCCTGCTCCGGAATATGATTGTTGGCATTCTAGAAAAACATCGAAATACACTTGTTTAGTAGTCAGTGTCGGCTGAGAAGAGGAGACCATAATTGAACTATTGCAGTTGTTGTTGTTGTTACAATCCCCCACCCCCTCCCCCAGAAACCTGCGTTTATCGCCTGTGATAAAAGGTCCATGAATATTTGTACTGATTCTTAGACTGCGCCATGCACGACCATATTTTCCATCGCATCGCTCCAAAGGCGACTTTGGGATCGGTCACTCTGCTTACATAAGACACAATGGACATGAATTTTCCCCGTGGCGAACGACAAATATCCCGTTCGACAATCATTTACGCTTGATTTAGGGGATATCTCCGGCTCGATAGCAGAAATCATACCAACAGCATCATTTCCAATTCTACTCGACTAGAATTGCGCGGGAGATCGTGGCGCGGTCCATTTTCCAGCCCTATCGTCGCACGAAGACGGTCCCGCTGTACCGGGCATAAAAAGGAGGCCAGTTGAGAATTAATCGCGTCCCCTCCAGTTTATTGTACGAGACATACATTGGTTTCCACCATAACAAAATGCCCTCTTTAGAAGAACCTCCTGCGCGAAGCAGCCTGCCGGATGGGGGTTCCGACGACGAACCAGACCCCGAATTGTTAGAGCTCTTGCGCCAGCATCTTGGAATGGGCGGCAAAAAGTATAACGACCTTCCGCCTGAGACAAGGGTACTGGAAGGAGCACAGTACATCTTTGACAATGCCATCGATGTTGCATTGAGCCCAGCACAGACGAAAGAAGCTGCCGAGACAATATGGCGTTTGATGCAGAAGAAGGCCTATTCTACGCAGACCTGGTCGGAGCATGAACTGCACCCGAAGACCAAGGACGAGAGCACAGTGGACTTTATCTTCACGATGGACCTTTTGAACTTCAGCTTTTGGTCTGAAGAGAAAGACCAATCGAAACGTTTCTGTATCGAGTACAGGGGGAAGAGGTGGACTGGTTACTGGAGCTTGGTCGCTGCGTTACAAAGAGCCCTCGAAGAAGGGATTCCCATTACGACACCCGAATTTTGGATCGACGAGAAGGAGTGCACAGAAGAGTTGCTGAGGCATGTCTTTCGATCTGCCACCGATGAAGAGATTCCCCTGTTTCAAGAGCGAGTGCAGTGCTTGCGCGAGGCAGGTGAGGTTCTCTGCAATGTTAGTTGATATAAACCCCCGAGTCTGTTACTTCAGCGCTAACTTTCATGTGACAAACAATTAGGAATTCGGAGGTAGCTTTGTTAATTGTATCGATGATGCAAATTTCTCCGCTGCTGGTCTTGTCAACCTGCTCACTGAGAATTTCGTTTGCTTCCGTGACGAAACAAAGTTCAATGGAAAAAGGGTACGTCTCTACAAGCGTGCCCAGATTCTTGTTGCAGACCTTTGGGCCTGTTTCGACGGAGAAGATTTCGGAGAGTTCAACGACATCGACAAGATCACCATGTTCGCAGGTGAGTACTACCGCATTCCAAAAATTGCCTTCCCAGGCCTAAGTATACATTCTAGACTATCGTATTCCCCAAATGCTTCATCAGCTAGGTTGCCTTCGCCTCTCTCCTTCATTAGAGAGCCACATTCGTGACCTGAAGCCCATTCCAGCAGGTTCAAACTGGGAGATCGAACTTCGCGGAACAAGTATCTGGTGCGTGGAGCTTATCAAACGCGAAATTGAGAAGCGCCACCCCGAAGTCAAAACTGCAGGCCTTCAAGGCCTTACGGCTTCTGAGGAGAACACTCCTCCGGATTCAGAGACAGAGGCCCAGGCCACCACGAAAAAGGAAGAGAAACCGCAAAAGACGTACGGAGTCAATGCGATTCTGATCGACTTCTTTTTGTATGACACGATGAAGAACCTGGAGGAGGAGCATAACGAGAGCATTCCTCACCACAGGACTCGAAGCATTTGGTATTAGTGTGGGGCAGGTTCCCTGGCGTCTTCGTGAAGTCTGATTGGCGCTTGCGTCTAAACATCGGCTTAATGACAGTCTTGCATTTCTGGAAGTATGTGGACTGTTTTCCACAAAGGAGGTTCATTATGGGGCGGGGTAACAGATAGTTTCTTTTGACCAGGGCAAACATAGGGGAATTTCTACATAGATGAGGCTGCCGATGCAGCTAGAAATTACAGCATGGCGTACAAATACAGGACATGGAGCTAGAAGACAAAAAAAGATCATAACGGCCATTCGTATTCCAAAAAGGGTATCAATTCTCCCAACGCCAAAAATTTTGACCAATTAAGTACACCGAGACTCAGATAGTCTCCAGTTCATGCAGCAGCCTGGCCAATGCGAGACATGATGTCCGCTTTCCACTCCAAAAAATCCTCCTGGCGATCTTCGCTCAGCCAATCCACTCGATCCTGCATCATGGTACCAAGGCCAGGCAACAAACCCCCACGAGGAGCATTTGTAGGGGTAGAACGAGATCCGGCGGCAGGTTCGCGGCGTTTGGGCAGCTTGACCCCACGAAGAGCTGCATCTTCTTCGTCCATGTTCCGATAGGAATTGCCTTCTTCATCTTCGCCATCCAGTTCCCCAGCAAGGGGAATGTTCTCAAACCATTCCTGCCCGTTCGCCCATCCTTGCTCCATAATGAGAGCAATCCACTGGTCCACATCATCACGGTGCCGACGGTCATTCGGGAGGCCAAGACTTGTCAGCGCGGTCTGGCGCATCTCCGTGAATGTCTTTTTATCCATCTTCTGTGCTTCAGAATTCACCTCTTCGCCCTCTGCAGATGGCGCTGGGTTACGTCGCCTGGCCAGAACAAGAAAGTAAACTGCTACTGCCATGGCGTAGACTAGCTCTTTGAAGTCATCGTCATTGCCCGCAGGCTTGATAGACACAATGGGCTCCAGAAAGTCCAGGACATCTTGCTCAAACCCCTCTTCATCAATAGACATGCTCGATGTCATAAAAAGAATGGACGAGACACCTGCAAAGATATGAGGCGGCAGGGTTCTCGAAATTGGAGGTCTAGACCAGGTAGTCGTTCGAGGGGCGGGTGTTGCAAGCGTCTTGCATATGGTGCGGATGGCGGTCATCGCCCATGCCGGGGCGTCGGGAATGATCGTTGAAGCGGAAATGCCTCTTGGGTGGCCTGACACGGATTTCCTTGCCGATTTGGAGGGTGAACCAAGATTGTTGGCGACGCTGACGCTTCTCTTTAGCGGCGTGGATTTGGAAGGCGTGTTTTGAAGACCGCGCGGCGTTGGCGCTGCCTTCGTGGGGGAGTGTGCAATGGACGATGCTTTGGTTGGTGTTGTCTGGGTAGAGCTAGCTCGAGATGGTGACCCGGCTATCGAGCCACTCGCCGACCGTTTCATGCCCGACGAGCTGGCCGAAAGTGACTTATCCACCAATGTATAGAGCTTTTTGTACACGCGTGGTGGGCATGGCGGATGGCCGAGTAACGGGGGAAGCTTAAGGGCGCGAGTTAATCTGCAATTCATCCGTATATTTAGTGACATGGCCAAGAAGTGGCATTTAACGCCCTGAAAGTTGGGCATACGACCTACCTCCGGCAAGCGATCTCCGCGCAAGCGTAGGGACGAGCAATATCTTCCTCTGGCTTCAGGCTGCTCGACAGGCTCCGAGACTGCGCAACAAGACTCTTGGCAAGGCTTACAAGCTCTTCAGGCAAGTAAGCAGCGTGAGTAGGGACTAGGATGCCCAGAGCTTGTTCGACAGGTCGGTTCAAGTTGTTCATCGTGGGTGTTCTTCAGACCTCCGTCTGGTTTGATGGAAGGGCTTGAAGACGAGGACGGAACGCGTAGGACGGAGTCGATGAGTGGGTGCCAGGGACCTTTCGAGATTCCTTTCCTTGCTCGAGCCCGATCGAAGGACGGTGGTGTCTCACTTTGGAATTGTGGCCGTCAATGTCTGTAAACAATCGAGGGTCTTCTCCGGTGCAACGCCGCATGTCATGACTAAGCACGCTCTCGATGGGCGGGTCAACTTTTGCTCTTCTCCGTAGCGCCTCCGCTCGTCGACCGAGACAGCAAGAACTCTTCTCAACATGTCTGTGACTGTAAGTCAAGCCTCTGCTTCTGTTTATGAGCAATCTTCCAGCTTCCCGGCTAGGTAGAAAATCGCACGAATGCTGACGTTGGTATTTATGCAGCTCCACACGACTCAAGGCGACCTCAAGGTCGAGCTCTTCTGCGAGGCAGTCCCCCAAACAGCCCAAAACTTCATCGCCCTCTGCGCATGCGGCGCTTATAATGACACACCCTTCCACCGAATCATGCCTGGCTTCATGATCCAAGGCGGGGACATTTCTCTTGGTTCCGCTGCAAAGCCATCTACGTCCAGCAAGCCTGCTCTCCCCTTCGAAATTCCGAAAGCTGGCACCTCCATATATCATCCGTCCGCTTTGAACCAAGAAATCAATCTTCCTGCTCTCCGACACAATGCGCGCGGCATCCTATCCATGGCCTCGCGCCCAGTCAAGGATAAAACTGCACCGGGCTGCCAGAATGCAACTGGCGCAACCTTCAACGGCAGTCAATTTTTCATCACATTCGCACCAGCACCACATTTGGATGGACAGAGCACAGTATTTGGTAAAGTGCTGAATTTGAGCGCCCAGGATGAGGGTGGCGACGTACTATCTAAATTAGAGAAAGCCAAGGTTAAGGTGGGCAAGAACGGCAAAGTCTCGCAGCCCAAAGAGGGCGATGACTTTGAAGCTTTGCTCATCAAACACGTTACTATCCACGCGAACCCCTTTGCCAAGTGAGCCTCTACTACTACCTACACACTCTAATACCGACCCCTCAACCTCAAGCCGGATCCAGAGCTACTTTGTCTCATGCCAAAGCCACTACACTTCGCATCCCATGATGATGGGATCTCATGCCAATGATCTTGTGCAAATCCTCCAGAAGTCGGCCTTCTCAACATTTAATTGGTTTCCAACTGGCTAAAGCAGACTGACTTGCTACGAGCATGCTACGTCAACATGAAGATTAGTCGACCTATTACCCCATCTTCCAATCTGAGATAGGTATCCATGACCTGAACACTTGCCTTAGGATATTTGAGCAGCAAGATCATCCGAAAGAAGGGACCGTGCCCTTAATTTCCAATGGGGTGATTTGTGTTCAAGCATACCTGGTGGTAGGCATGGCTTTGCAAGGAAGTTATTGATGTCAAATAATCTACAAGATACCCAAGAAAAGAAACAACAACGTCAAACAACCCAAAAAATAACTTTTTTCGTATCATTCCCCAACCAAAAACCATCCCCTTGTCGCCAGATACCATAAAAAGCTGTACAAAGTTATCATCAGGAGCGCCGCCATGCAAATACATTGTAGCGGGTCAAATGCATCATGAATATGGATATAGAATCATCACCAAAGAAAAATCGCGAAACATCGTAGAGCATAGCATGCAGGAACAGATATTATGAGTCCTGCTCCTCCTTCTTGGCATCCTCCTCGTATCCCTCGGTTTTCATATCCTTGAGACCAAGGTCATCCTCCTCTTCCTCTGTGCGCTTGTAATCCTCAGTGGTAATCTGAGGGTCCGCAGCTGGTGCACACAGATCCTGGACGTAGCTGTTTGCCAGAGGGTCTGCGAGAGTGATCGTAAATTGACCTCCGAACTTTTCGAAATCACCATTGATAGCAGACTCCAGGCGATCGAAGAAACGATCCCACTTAGCTTTCTCGGAAGTCTCGAGACTGTCACCACCGCCACCACCAATATCGAATAGATGGCCACGGAGACTGTCACGCACCTCGGTGAGCAAGCCCTCCAAAGTAGTGAAGCGACCACCGAGTGTGCCTGATAAAATGGTGTTAACTTACTTCGAACGTGGGTTGGGGGAACAATATGAGATGAGTAGCGAGGAGTAGAAGGATTTTTTCTGACACGTACCTGCTTGAATAGAGATTTCGAGCTCATCACTGTGCACGGCACAGGTGTCGGACTTGAGGACATCGCGGGAAAGATCGACCTCGTTCTTAACGACCAAAGTGATACGCTTTCCGAGCTCGGGCACCTCACCACCGGTCTTCACATCGCTAGAGCGCAGACCGCAGTGCTCGCAAACATTGCTCCACAAGTACACCTCCTTGAAGTAGGGAATGGTCACCTTCTTGATCAGGAGCTGCGAATTAAGTTAGTACTAGTCTGGAAGGAACAGTGAGACATCGTGTAGGTGATAAATACCTCAGCGGGCTTAGCACAGCCAGGGCATTCAGTGGGCAAGCAGTATTCGCGGCCATCAACGATTTCAGATTCAGGGTCCTCCGTAGCAGCCTCAGCCGTGGAGTCGCCAGCAATACCGAGTTCCTCATTCTGCTCATGAGTACGGTTGTAGAGCTTGGTGCGGTACTTGTTGCCACGATCCTTGGTATTGGGGGCAATCCAAGAGTTGCCAGTGGGGTCATCAAGGGAGATGGTGAAGGGAAAACCAGTTCCGTCAAGATAGCTCTTGAGGCTGTCAATCAAAGGCTGCAGGGCATCGTGGAGCTCGGGGGCCTGTTCCTTGCGAGCGGGCTGGTCGTTCGACAGGCCCTCGTGGATTCTTTGGATAACACCTTCCACGTTGGTGAGCTGTCCTTCACTCTTCGGGCTCTCGATTCCGAGGGTATCCACAGAGAACGAGGACAAGTCGGATCGCACCACCTGTCTCTGCATATCCTCCAGATTCTCAACTTGAAGGGTGTACTTCGCGCCCTGCTCTTGAATCTGGCCGGCCGCTTTGATGGAGTTGTCCTTGAAGTAGCAGTGAGGGCACTCAAAAGACTCGAGAATGATATCGCGGAAGAAAGGAACGCGAATGAGAAGGAGGCGAGTGGTTCCCTTTGCGATTGCTGTTAGTGACCTGACTTGATACCCTAGACATCCTGACTAACCGACTCGTGGCAGTTCATGCAGAGTGATTCAACCTGTAGAACTCTTGTATTAGCTAATGCGACACATTCGGGTCGCAGATGGAGCAGCCTCACCTGCATCGGACCAAGGTCGTCGCCATCCTCTGTCCCTTTCTCGACGATCTCGCCGATGTTCTTGAATTGCGACTCGGCCGCGTTCTTATCGGAGTCTGCAGACATGATGCCGGGTGCTGGAGTAACGAAAGAATATCTGGATTGAATGAGAGAATGTCCAGTTCAAGAAGACAGAGAATTTCACGAACAAATCTGCCGGGCGACAATAATGGAGGGATTTGGTATTGGGAAGTGGGGGAGATCTCTTATCGCCCAAAAAAAAACGCGGGCGATTATTAATGCGGCCAGGTGGCGGGACACTCAAAACTGTGTCCTTCGTCGGTCTTCCACTGCTTCTGCACGCCTCTCAGCTCGCAAATTCCAATTCAAAAGATATACCCGACTGTCTATTCCCAGGAGGAATTGAATTGAATATCCAACATGCCAGTTCAAAGGCACTGTGCCCATAAATAGTCGTTCGTCTCTGATGGAAGTTCATCGAAAAAAGAATGGTCAACTACTGAACGTAAGACAACGGGATGGAACTATACCTAACCCGAGGTAAGGACGAAAAATGGATGAAAATTTATATAGCCCTTATATTCAATGTTACTCATTTTCAGCCTGCGTGTTAAAAAAATGAAAGAGAAAAAAATAAAGAAAGAAAGGAAGTGTTCGAATTGTTGGCCACCAGTCTTGGAGGGATTCGTTAAGAGTATTGATGCAGCTACGCCCCTTAGTTCTTCGGCTTGGGTGTCCCGGCTATTGGAGTAGAAAAAAATAAAATAAAAAAAACTTTTGCTCTCCGCGATATATTACTCTAGCCCGAAGTCCATCTACTTGGCATTGTGATTGCACATTACTCTGTAGAGTAGCTAGCCAGACAGCTAATCACGTAGGTGACTGGGTAGATGACCAGGTAGCAGCTGACCAGGGGTATTTGGCGTCGAAATTGGCAGCATGTTTGGTCACATGCAAGGTTCAAGTTCTGTATTATCTGAGCGAGGCCATGATGGGGGTGTGGCCCGAGACAAAGGGGTTATGGAAGCATCAACCTCCTTCATTAAAAGCCTCAAAAGAGGCAGACTTGACTTTTGTTTCATTTAATTTTTCTTTTGGGGGCGGGGCCTGGCTCCTCAGGCCAAGAAGCATCGAATTAACACGTGTGGAGCCACCCTATTACCCTATTTCCCTAAGCCATAAATATCGAAGCAGCTGAAGCACATTGAAAGATGATTTTAGCCCGACTAAGCCCAGAAGGGTATGCATGTCATTAGACCGATCGGCATTCAATCTTTCCTCTCCCGTAGTTGATGTGGTGTCCAGCCGTTAGTGTACACAGCGTACCTTGGCATTTCAATTTTTCGCCCATTCTTCTTCATAACTAGAAAACAGAATTGGATTTCGGCATGCATCTCACAAGAAATCTTAACAATAATATCTACTATTATTGAGTAAAGCCTGTAGAAGACCCACTTTCCTAATATGGTATTCATGTCATTAGCGTCGATTCAGACTCAGCCTCGCGGTACGCCGATTGTATGGAATGTCAAATGCTATACTTTTGAGGCAAATCAAATCATGATCGACCGTTTCTCATTCTAAGAATAGTAGAGATTGGGCCCGTGTTTTATTATGATGGTGTATTAGACCATGACAGCTTCACTACTAGAGTGAATTCTTCCAACTATACCCTTTACATATAAATTTGCAGGCCGCCTCATACCACAATCATATTCTATGAGCCGAAGATTTTCGCTCTATCACTCAACTACTGTGATGATGATGCTATCGATCTTCAAACTGCTCTTCCCTTTTTGCGCCTTTCTGGCTGAATTGAGCCATGTCAATGCAGCGTGCGAACCGGAAATTTCATACCCGGCACCCATATATGGTGGAGATGTTTTGAAAAAGACCTTTGCGAGCATCTCATACAATCTCGACAGCTCTATTCATACCGGAAAGTTCAACGGGACATCCTTTTCTCTTGAAATCTCATCTTCTAACAACACTCTTTATTCGAAACACCACACGGAAAAGTCTCTGGGTGGTAGTACCGTCAACGGCTCTTCGGTATACCGGATAGCTAGTAACACAAAGCTGTTCACTTCATTGGGAGTTCTCCAGCAGGAAGCTCTCGGGAAGCTAAATTTGGATGATGAAGCGACAAAATACATTTCCGAGTTGTCTCGCGGACACAGCAAGATTTCGTGGAAAGGAATCACAATCCGATCTCTGCTTGCACACCTCAGTGGGTTACCGGACAATTGTAAGTACTAATACACAAGCTCTATATCCGAGAAGAGCTAACAGTTTGACAAGATGGCGACGAGGATCTACTTCTGAGCATGCCAGATCCATCGGTCGTTGGCCTTCCCCCAGTTACTGAATTCCTCGCCAATCACCTTCCAAAGTGCGGCGCCTATTCCAACTGGACAAAGCGTTGCACCACTACCGGTATGCCGAACGAATCACAGCAAGCAATAAAGGGACAAGAGAAGCTGACTATGCCCTTAGAATTGAATCGGAACCTTCGCCAAGTCAACTCGGTTTTTGCGTCTCAGCAAGAATCATCATATAGCAATGTCGGGTTCGAACTTCTCGGAGAAATTTTGGCAAATGTTACAGGTGTTTCCTACGAAGAATACATCTCCTCATCTATCCTAAAACCCCTCTGTATGAATTATACTTCATTTACAGCACCCGATGAGTCTGTAGCTGCGAAAGCCGGACCAGGCTCATACTGGGGCTTGGATGAGGGCGCAGGCAATTCGTAAGTTCCATTTCTGGTGCTCTCCACCAGATTAGCCCCAGAGTTCTCAGGCTGAATTTTTGATTTATAGCGCAGGTGGACTGTATAGCACATCCTCAGACATGATTACTTTTCTACGCTGGGTTATCAACAACTACAAGCAAATCAGCCCGACTCTCAACTGGTTTCAACCAAGTGCCTGGAATTCTGGTTCTCATTCACTCCTCGGATATCCCTGGGAAATATTCCGCTCTACTGAGATTCTACCGAATACAAAGCGGCCAGTCACGTTTTACACAAAGGGTGGCGGGCTAACAGGGTACTATACCTACAGCATCATTATCCCACAATACGACCTGGCCGTCTTTGTCGCAGCTGCTGGCGGCCTTTCCAGCCTTCATAACATATTCACCGATGTTATTAATCCCCTAGTCATCGGAGCAGAAGATAGGGCCCAATCACAATTGGAAGCGCTCTACGCCGGCACTTACTGCTCGACGCAGAAGGGGTTGAACTCCACGATCACCTTCTCTCACAGCGATTCAAAGTCCCTTCATATCAAATCTTGGATCTCAAACTCAACAGATGTTCTGGGGGCCTTGAAACCTCTTGTATCTGCAAAGGCTGGCACCACTGGAGATATGTACTTCCAGCTTATGCCCACGTTTCGCAACAAGACTTCATCAGATGGTCGAGTCGGTGAAATTTGGCGGTTTATCAACGTCATTGATGATTATGTTTACCCCACCAATGCTACGACTATATGGAACGATTATTGCGTTGCCAATGTCGACCCAATGTCCTATGGCGCTGTTCCGCTGAACGAGGCGGTCTTCTGGCGAGCTTCGAACGATTCTACTTCTACTGTCGAGGAGGTGACACTTTCAGCATTTCGAGTGACACTGCGACGGGAATGAGAACAGAGAAATGGGCATTTTGGCCTTTCCGGGGGAAAATTGTGCTTGAATGAATAGACTATAGCCAGATCTAAGAGAGATATATTACATGCAGCCTGTTGGAGAAAGGAAAATGTTAGAATGTCACTATTTTAGATCACTTCCCAATAACCAGGGTTTCAATTACCAGTTGATAACGGAAAAGGAGTCGGTAGGTGTGTCCATATACAACTCACACATGCCAGGGACACTAATTAGTATTTGCAATTGCTTTTCAATGTAGTCCCGCAAAACGTCTGAGTGATGCGCTGAGGCCTTCGCCAGACTCAAAGGCCAAACAAGAGAACGCGCCCAGGCAGAGTCATCGGTCGGAATGCCCATCGGATTGTTTTTCAGAATTGAACGTGGTCGCAAAGGCTCTGGGACCGTTGCACAGATATCGAGCGACGTTCTTGTTGCAACTTCCGTTGCACGTTCCAGCAAGCGCACAAGAGATGCCTGGGCGGCTATATCGTTTGTGACACTTGACAGATAAGCTGATGCAGCGGATGCAAGTAATTCTGTGTTGAATAAGCGGAGAATCCGAAGCGTATTCCAAGTTTGAGCCAGACGATGGCTCTTGAATATTTGAAAAGGGATTCGTTTCACTCCCCCTTTGACGGGAAGTTGAATAGCCTCGGATTCATCTTCTTCGAACTCAAAGCAGCTCTGGTAGGCTTGCGGCATAGTTCTTAAAAGATTCTCGATTTCATCATCCACAAACTGTATATCTGACAGATAGGAAAGACTGATGCTGGTGGGGCTAAATGAAGCATTGAGCATGGAAATACGGTCAATAAGAGACCAGAGCTGGACCTGTGGCCCACAGCTAAGCCAGGATACAGAAAAGAGACACTGCAGCTGAGGTGGCAGTGGCTTGCACCGGTTGATCGAGTCTATCTGAGTGGTTGAAATAACGTGATGAAGAATGCTCTGACCGGATAAGCTGTCGAAAATTTCCGGTGTATTGCAAGATGCTAGGACGGCCAAAGCGCCTTGCACATGCTTTGACCAAGTATCCCGGGCTTCGGTCGAAGATCTGGGTAGTATGACAGCAAATAATGCAAGAAGCAGGACAGACGTCGCCGTCTCAAGCTGCTCTGTCGCGGCGAGGCTTCGCACAGCAAGATTTGTGAGCGTCAAAGCTATGCCATAGGTTTTTAGTGCCATCTGTCTCAGATCCGTTCGACCTTGCACCTTGGCCAAGTATGCGAGCGCCACTGCTTCAAGTGACGTCTGTAGAGAAGCGGGTCTTTCATGATATCCATAGATAGCAGGAAGGTATTCGAGGTAGACACCACCAGAAAATGCAAACATGAACAGATTGATGGCCCTGGAAGTGAGAGGCTCTACCAGTTGCTGCATCTGTGGTGGTGTCATGATGTCGCCATGGCCGGTCGCATTGTTCCACTCTTCGCTTTTTCCTGAATATGACTTGGAATATCTTGATTTTGACCCAGATGAAGAACACGGGTTCGCTTTTGGGGTGACATTGTCGGTTTGGTGAAGGAACATCAGATCCAGTCGATCGCGATATCCATAGCATTTATTTTGCACTTTAAGGCATTGCGTGCATGAAGGAATGCCCAGGTCGCACTGGCAGCATGTGTGAGTTGAAATCGCAGTCTCGAAAGTCAGCCTACCTTGATCCGCCGTTGGCGGCAGGGCCCGCATCCAGGGGATGGTTTGCCCCGGAATACCATCGCGACTGATGGCCCGGATGGCAACTCCTAGTTTTATTTAGGGTGTGGAGAAGGACGTCGAGGAAAGGTTGTGGGACATGAGAGCAAGATTCGCCTTTTAAAGTGAAACCAGGGTGGGGGCTCTTTTAAGGACAGCCGTCTCCTTTTCGTGACCAAATAAAATAGGATGAATTAGGCAAGCCATACTTTACGACAAACAAAGTGCGATCTGGTGTCCAGGTCAAAGCCAAAAAGAGAGCACCGACGTGCTGGTAATATTAATTCCACTATACAGATCACCATTGCAATTGCTCACGTCGCCAGCCCAAAATGTGACATGTACCATAACGGGAGAGCGAAACGACATTCTCGAAATGCAACATGTTAGGTAGCGGTGAGGTCGACAACAGCACAAATTAAGTAATGTATATTTACAGGATGTAGGCAGCGGCAGCGGCAACGGCAGCAACGCCGGCCATGTTGCCCTTCATGCCAGCAGCGGCGTTGTAAGCGGGAGAGGTAGTGGCAGCAGAGCCACCGCTGCTAGTCTTGGAGGGCAGCGGGGTGGAGGTACCAGCCGGGGTCGAGCCAGCGGGGGTCGAGCCAGCGGGGGTTGAGCCGGTGGCAGTAGCGGAGCCAGAGCCAGTAGCAGAACCAGATCCAGTCGCGGTGGCCGAGCCAGAGTCAGTGGCGGTAGCACTACCGTTGCCAGTCTCGGTGGCAGTGGCAGAGCCGGAGTCAGTAGCACTACCGCTACCAGTCTCAGTGGCAGAGCCACCGGAGCTGGTGGTTTCAATGGGAGGAACCGAAATAGGGTGGCCGGCGGCGGAGCACTGGGAGACCACGACGTTGGAGACGGCTAGAGACTTGTTAGCATCAAACGATCCCGGATAACAAGGCTACAGACAACAAATTCTTGGAATACATACAGACTTGGTCGGCGACGTCGCAGGCCTTCTGGACGCAAGGGGTCACACTGCTGACCAGTGAGGTCTTCTGGCAATGGCAGGCAAAGTCGGTGAGGGACGAGCAGCCGTCGCTGGTCAGGGCCGAGACAAAGCAGTTCAGCTAAAAGATTGTTAGCATCGATTGATCACAGTCCTAACTGACACGACGGCGATATAATATGGGCATACCGAGCAGGTAGGGACGTCAGGGGAGCTGAGCGTTGGCCAGACCGGCAGCAACGAGGGCAACGAGGGCATGAGAGAACTGCATTTTGTCGATTGTTGGAAAGGTAACACACGTTTGACGAGGTTGTAATATATGGTGCTGGAAACGACAGTCAAGGCTAACGAGCGAGGCGGGTGGTCGAAGAACAAGGAAAGCTTCGCTGAGGGCTGGGGGTGCAGATGTCCTTTTATAAGCTTTGTATAGGTGTCGCAGACTCTTCCGCTCGAGGTAGCACCATATGGGCCATCACATGTCCGCTTTCACAAAGAACCAACCGTCTAGGCAAGGGCCTATGGCCGCGGTTGACTCAGATCCATGACAGGGCTGGGTGGCTCTGATGCTCGTTACAAAGCCAAGCCACCATGGCTTGCGCTGATCCTGGCTTCCTGTAGCCGAACGGGTAGACGAGTAAATTAATCACGCTTGGGGGGCTGGTTTATTGTAGACCGTGTCTTCGATGTCGGGTGTACGGGGCGTGTATGGCAGGTACGTGGAAGCGATGCACGCCAGCCCCAGCAGAGCCAGGTTAGGCATAGCTCATGAGGAATCTTGAATTGGCTTGTAGGATCCAACCAATGCAAGCGTGGTTGAGATAGTCGCACGGCAGCGGGCTCCAATTTCCACCAGTGGCCAGGCCTCGAAACGGTCCAAAAGGGACAATGTGGAGGTAGCACATGCAGTATTGATTTTGCAGATCCTGCAGAGTGCCCTGTACGTAAACGGATTGGCGAAACTGCATTAGAGCACCAAGGTGCGTCCATGGGACGATCACAGTGGTGAATACACAAGCTCTGGCGGAACACCGGCGCAAATGTAATATCCAGAGCCATTCCTAAGGAACGTAGACATTTCTGCCAGTCCACCGGGGCCAGCTTTGACTGGCTTGCCCAAGGAAAACAATACCCCGCAGGCCGTCGTCGAGAACTGCTCAGCGAGTGGGCCCTCGCCGTGACACGGAAGTACGAAACCGAAGTAAATCCGGGGAAGTTCGACCCAATGAGCGATGCCAATCGTGACGGGTCGAGGACAGGGTTTTGGTAGCGTCGCATCCGTCTATCCCAAAGTAGGCTTTGGCCCGACACCCGTCAGCCCATCAGCGCTACCATCCCATTATTTTCGGATATTGTTCAGTTAAGTCGTACAAGCCATGTCGGGTGTATCGAGGACGCGATGATGAGGTACAGTGCACGGAGGCTTTTCATCCAACAGTGACTGCGATTGGGAGCTTTATTTAGCAACGACAGATTTCATTTTGTCTCTGAGACTTGGGTGGAAAATCGGATGATCCGGGACCCCGGCGTGTTTACTTGGCCAGGTGCGGATCGAGGTGGACGCGGGGCCAGCATGATCGGTGGACCTTTCGAGATGCGTCAAGGCCATTCCCCGGGGTATCCCGCGGGCTAGCGAGATGGGATCGTAGCTTGGACGCTCGTCCAGAGACTGCACTGGATTGGGGCCCCGTACCTGCATGGATGCCGCGATCATCACCAGTGGTCGGCCAGGCACAGCGTCAGCCGTGGTACTTAGATTCTGAGGAACTTGTGCAATCCCCTGCCATGGCTGAAGGTCGTGCAGTCAGGAACAAGACTCGTTTAGGACGGAATGCGGGCCATTCTGGCTCCAGGGTCTGACGGGGCAGACCATCCACTCGGTCCCACCAAGTGAGACATTGCTGTTTGGTGGCGGCGGCGGGGGCAGCAAAGGTCCCTCTGTCGCTTGCTCGCCTTCTATGGCTGTCTTGAGTCGGGAGGAACCAGGGACCGTTGCCAGGCAGGTGGCGCTACGCCTGACGGTAAAAAAAAAGCAGCGACGATCACATGGGACACCGCGCAACTCGGAGATGCCTGGACGGAGACGAGAGCCGCAACGGGTTTAGACAGACTGGTTTAATCTATTTCGAAGTTAATGGGTGGGAGCGGGTGGAGATTGCGGCGACGAGGGCCCTGAGCAATCGCCAGAACAGTCGTCTAGGGCTCCATTCATGCCATTCACAGGTCTCAGCACGGCTGAGTGTATTGAGAATCGTCGCAGCGCGAACCCGGCGGCGGATGGGGTGGTGGGGAGAAAGAGAAATAGAGAATCTGGGGGTGGAGAGAAGGTGAGTTCTCCACCCGCGGCCCTGCCAGGACATGATAAACTGTGTACAATAACCTACTAGAACTCAGCGCAGGCCAACAATCCCCTCCTTCTAAGGCATCTTGGCTTGGTCTCAGGTTGCCGTCGAGCATATTTGGACACCAGCTATCCACGAATAGGCAAAGGAGCGCCCAGTTACTTTATTCCGATATTTCCCAGCGCTGGACTCAGACTGCCAATTCCTCCCGAGCACGTGAATCGCTACAACCTCATGCATCAGTCTGAGACTTCTCATCCGATAATTTCCAGACTTTTACATAAGCGCACGCCTTGCTGATCCAATCGATGTGCTCCCCAAAAAGAATGAAATTGCGCCTGATCTATCAGTACGGAGAGCTCGTGAAAGAACATGGGCCAGATCGTGAATTTAGGGACCAGAAGATAGACCAACATGCAGCTGGCGACCATCTCGCTGCAGTAGCCAAGAATTTTGTGCTTTACTTCAGACGAAGAATCGACAAACTCGTGCCGGGCCAGAGCAGTGAGTCACGAGCAAATAGTAAGATTGCGGATCTACCCCCGGTGCTCCATTCTGCCATGGTTTGGAACTGAAATGGAGACTCGGTAGACGGCACCCATGAATCACCGAGTAATCAATGAATCGCAAATCTCACGTCGTTCCGCCCAAATGGAACAAAGTTCGCCTTCTTTAGAGGTGCACTGCGAATCTCATCAGAGCGGTAGGTACTATTGTCCAATATAGTTCTTTCGCTTAAGGGAAATGCAGGAGAGCATTCCAGCACAGCTCCGAAATTCCGTTGCTCCAATTATGTGTGACGTGATTCCCCTGATCAGCTCTCTGGTCATGTCCAATGCATCTCACAGGATCAGACCGAAATCCCAGCACATACGCGACGCCTCGGTCCATCATGTGTTTGACGCAGGGTTAAAATGCAGATCAAAGTGCGCAAGGATAGTGGTCCACTCTGTCAAAGACGTCAATTCGAGACAGTATAGTTAATTCGTATTCGTATCGTGTTGCTAACTGTACAGTCCCTAAAACGCCCTGCTATGCAAATAGTTGTAAATCAACCTCGACGAGGTATGGTCTCCCATAAGCCATCACGAGAGTAGCTCATCCATATGCGCTCGTTCCTTGACTGATTCATTTTTCAATAGAACGGCCAGGACCTCGAGAGGAGGGTTAAGATTCAGTCGGTTGGCACGGCGCCATCGCTTGAGCCGGGCGATGCCGATGCAAGGCTGGAAAGAAGATTAGCATGTTTTATTCCTGCCTACCTTCTCAGGGGCTGGAGATGTGACGGTGAAAGGGGACCATACCCCAAATTGACTAGACAGGTCGAAATGACGGAGAATCTTCTCCTCTACATCCAGGCCCTTTTGGTGGACTGTTGCATGCGATATCAGCAATGTGCTTCGAGCTTGAGTCGCCGGTGACTTACTCTGCGGTGCCAAGCGGCCTTGTTCTTCCTTCTTCCAGTATCGGTTCAGGTCCTGCTTGCTCAACTTCAACGCCCGCTGATCCTCCTTTGATCGTGGCTCTTGGATGGCGGCCGCGGCCTGATGCCGTACGGCCAGCTCGGCGACATGGGGGTTTGAGACTTCTTGGGGCTCTGGGGTCGGAGACGCCGTTGAAGCCGCCGGTTCCTCGAGGTTCTTTCCGACGTGGCGGGGGGCAGTCGACGGTTTCGACACTCGGGACTGGGTACCGAAGGAGAGCGTGGGCTGGCCTGCATTAGAGGCAGCTGCGCGACGACGAGGGGGCATTGTGACGGTCAAAGGTCGATGCGACGGGTATTGAGTGGTTCAGTGTCGTGGAGTTGGTGAAGGCGTACCCTGGGGTAAGTACCTGAGGATGGTGGAGGAGCGATGACATTCGGGTTGCGCCTGGCAACCGCAACCAAAGCTTGGCTGCCGCATCCACGGTACTCTCGACTGATCCGGTCCAGCAATGTATGGAAAATCGTTGTGCCTCAGGCGAGAAACTGATGTGTTCTTTGTTCTCCTTTTGGGGCCCACCGACGGTCTCGACTGCTCAATGGTTCCTAAAAAAGGCCCCCAACAGTGTTCGCTGTTCGTGGATGACGTCGGCGTTGTGAATTGGTCCAACAAACGAGCATCGAGGGAGTGGCAGCATCGCAGACATAAGGAGACCAGACAACCCTCTATAGGCGTATGCACCTGTATATGCTCGATAGCTCTGTAGGCATTTGAACCTTAGGCCCGATGGCATCTAATTCTCGGAGGATATATCTATGTAGACGCCCAGGACAGCATGATGCTATCGAGGCTCAAGGGCGGCTGGGGCTGGGGACCCCACATCGCACTTCTCTCCCATCGCTCGCGAAGCTCAGCTCTACATCAGCTTCGCCCTCCCACCAACCCTTCCTCTTCTCATCGTTGCCCGCGACCCTCGACTCGCGCTTTCCGCCATTCTGCCATACGCGCTCTCGGCCCATATGAACCGTGCGACAGGGCCTAGCTTGCCGATTCCCCACAACTTCCCTGTGCCCCCTCCGCCGCATGTCCATGCTGGTGCGGGAACTGCGCTCTCGAGATGGCCGCCTTCGTGCGCGTTTCAGGCCCGGCAAATGGCAACTTCCTGATCGGTTATCCTGGTATCTCAGCCACGATGGTAAGCGCCCTCCGTTTCGGTCCCAGGGTCGTCTCGCATCCGACCTGCGATCCCCTGGACTCGAGACCCAACCTCGAGCTCGGCGCGGTGAAATACATACTAACCAGACACACCTTGACATCACAGCCTCGGATCGAGGGTAAGGTCGAGATCCGGCCTAGTATCGGTATCACCGCACCAGTCAATGTCTCCCTCGTCACCATCTCCCTCCTCCGTCGCGAGACCATTCATCCCTCGGCCGACTCAGTCACCAAGAAACGCCTCGCTCCGCCTCGCAAGGAAGTCACAGATATCGTTGGCAAGGAGATGTTGCTGTTCCGCTGTCCAGCAGGCAAGGAATTCGAGGAAGTAATTGCGATGGATCTCCCGTTTGTGCTCTTTATTCCATTTGGTCGCGGTGGTCGTGATGCCTCCCGACGGGTCCCTCCTGCAAGTCTGCAGCTTCCCAGCCGCACAGCTGAGACGTACTACGAGATGGTGGTCATGATACAACAGGGCCAGTCCGAGCAGCGCAAATACACCTTCCCAGTTCCCATCGCCCGCTACGACACATTATCAACATTCGGCATGTACAATCGCCCTGAGTCGGCAGAGCGGGTATCAGATCACTTGGTCACCTTGGCAATTTCACTACCACGGTGGTCCTACGGCCCCCTGGATCCCGTCAGTGTTTATGTCAAATTATCCCCCAATCAGGACTGGATGGGCAAAGCCCGCAAAGTCACCATCAACAAAATCACCATCGGTATCGACGAGGAGATCATTTACAACCACGAGGGCGACGAGCCTCAGCGCAAAATTAAGACCTTGACCAAGAAAACCGAGGCAGTGGGCGTGCGATTACCCCAGTCCGGCTATCTGACCAACCTGGGCTTGGTATTTCCCGCCAAGGACATGCGGGACTCGGAGGGTATCTTGCCGCGGAGTCGCGCAGCCTTCCCCATGTACGGCGTGAGCGGATTTACCACAACGGCTAGCCTGTATAAAATTGAATATTATCTTACAGTGCGCGTAGGTCATCCTTCAATCCCATGACCCTCTCCGCATTTCAGAATTAACGGATTTGCCAGGCCCATTTGACATCGGCGCGAGATATCACAATCCGACAACCTATTGTCGTCTGCCCGCTTGACCACGTCGGATGCAAGGAGGAGATGGAGGCCATCGAGCAGGCGGCTCGCGATGCGGCCCATGTCAACCCAGACAATCCAATGCTGCCTCTGCCAGCGATCGTGCGACCCAATGACCCAAATGCCCTCAACCATTTGGGGGTTGCCTTGGTCGGCAATCAGAAGAAACCCCTAATCGACTGAGAAACACGTGCGATCAATGGTTTTTTACCGGACTTATTCACTCTGGAAGCTCCAGACTCCATCTAATCGAATCCGACTCTCGTCGGCACCAAAGGAGGCTGTCCATGAAGCAAAATGATCACCTCATCGACACACCGGGAGCCCAACGATGGCCCTTTATTTAGCACTTCGGCTCCAGGCCGGAGACGAGCATATCATGTCATGTCTTACGATTGCATAGAGCTTGGAGTTTTGCATGGCCTTCACCGAAGTTTGGTCATTCTTCATTTGCGAGAAACGGGGTGTTGGGAGATTTCTTCTTGGTGTTTCAGGGGCGTTTCCTTCTGTTTCTGTCTCTGCCTGGGGGAGACCTCACCTGCCCATGATTCCCTTCTCTTCGAATTGGGCCTTGGATGGACCATTTTCCGCTTTCTTGTTTAGTATTTGAGCTCGACAATGTAGGCTCAATGTAAATGCCTAATCTCACTCCGAAACAATGATATACAATCATATCAAAGTAACTCAAATGTTCACTCTCTCAAAGACTATGATAAGCGTAATAGAATTTACTGTATGCCATGCCAATGTGATGCGTCGTGGATTTGTGGGTATCAAAAAAAGACCAATTCCAACGTTGCCCCCGCTACTCTCCAAGCTTCAAGAATCCCATCGCCGCCGTCAACATGTCCGGGTCAATGCTTGGCTGGATGTGTAGTTTTTTCAAATTTTCGATTTCTTGGAGACAGTCTTGAAGAATCTCTAAAATGGCCTGGTATTGTCTCGAGGAGGGTCCGAATGTTTCTAGTGCATTTTCGAGGCTGTTTGATATCTGGATATATTGTTAGCAACAAAGCATAATTGCCGCGTGTCTCCAAGTACGGATCTACCTTTCGCAGACTCTCATTATAGTCCTTCAATTTTGGATCCATGAATATGATTGAGAACACTGCCACATGGAGAAGATGCGATGAGTGATTTAGCAAAGTCCAGATTGATGGCGCTTGGCTTGGCGGTTCATTTGAGCGGTGGCCGCTTATCGATAAGCCCCATTCTTTTGAAATGCGGTGGCTGATTTTCTCTCCGAGCTTGAAACCGGCGGCCGGCTCTTTCACGCTGACAGTGATTTTTGCTGGGCTACACGCAATGGCAGACAAGGACGAGGATGCCATTCGTGGTACCTCGGTTGAGGCCACTCAAATCGAGACAGATCTGTCCGACGAGACTCAGGACTTTCGCCTGTTGAACCACCTCAATTTGTACGCGCGACCCGCAGCAAGTCATATCGCTTTCTCCCCACCTTCATGACGACCTGATCTAGATTCTGACATTATTCCAGTCTCACAGACACAGCCTCTTCGAGCCTGCCGAAGCGTGGCGAGAAAGACTTCGAACCCAACCCGACCGAATTCCAAGCCGATGTCCTCTCCGCTTCGCGCCAGGCCATGCACAATGCGCTCGCGCATCCGCGCCTACACAACCCCAATACCCAAGTCATTGGCATCTACGCACCAGAAGGACCTGCACCTCCGCCTGGGGTGAATTTGGAAGACGTGAGCAAGTTTGGAGGGAAGGGTCTGAACCTGCACCCGGACGCTTGTGTCTGTGTGCCAATTCCGAAGGGCCAGTACTTCAAGACGATGGGCCAGGCCGACCGCTGGAACCGGATTTGGCTGCTACCAGAGGAGGCATTATTTCTGGTTGAGCGGGGAAGCTTGGATATTCGCTGGCCGACTGAGATCACAGGTGCGGCTGATGGAGAGGACGCCGAGGAGCTTTCTATTCCGATGAGCTTGCAGGCTGCTTATGCATGCTTTATTGGACGTGGAGGATTGACGTTGGAGCGATATACTGTGTTCACTGGGCTAAGGCGAACTGGTTATGCCGCGTTGCGGGCTCCAGGATGGGATGATACACAGGCGGAGAGCTCAATGGACCGAAACCAAGAGCATGTCTTCAGGTATCCCCAACGACGGGGAGCCGGACTTGTTGGCGTCCTTAGCCAGGTTTTCAATTGGGTCAGAGATCCATTTTGTACAGCTTCTACAACGGCCGGTCCCGCCGTGGGATGCGGCATGCATCGCAATTATGGTAAGCTACTCACTTCTTCCCTCTAAAGTATCACTCTGACGGATCTCGCAGTCGATGTCTACCGCCGCCTCGCCATGATCCCGTGGTATGACCCCAGTCTTGCAGCCGAGCGGGATCCACTAGATACCATGCCTCCATTCCGGGTTGTTTTCCATATCTTCAAACCATCAACCCCGATCAAAAAGACCGCCTTGCCACCCCCTGATTTCCGTATCGCAGTGGTTAATACTCGCGAGACGACATCGATCCCAACCCTCGAACAGATCGGGACCTTGCTGGAAAGTACGCCATTGGACCCGCCCCGTGGCGAGAAGATGCAGCGAATGCTTTACATGCGCTTACGGAATGGCTACCGCAATGTCATTCTCGCAGTGGTTGACCAGGGCATTGTCAGTTATCTCCGACTCGCAGATGCGGCTTTTGGAAAGGAGAAGCTATACGAAACGCAGGCTCCTTCGTCTGCCTCCAAACGAAATGGAAATTATCGGAACAAGAAGAGATGAGGGACCGATCTTCCACGACCGAGGACAATACCCAAAATGGATGACATAGCTAGCCTCTGAGGTAAGTATCAGTCGGCAAATTTACATGATACATGATACATGACAAGAATAACTCAAGAGAGCTCTTGTCGTCTTTCATGGCCTACAATAGGTCACAGCGCGCGGCTACGAGACATGTAGGTGCTGAGTAGCCTATACTACCCTTGACTCCATAAAAAGGGTAGATCGGATTAGGCTGGGCTAGTTTGAGCTATTCAGAAACCAGATCGAGCGCAGAACTCTCAAAGCCAGGTTTTGACAGGGGAACTTGAGTTGAAAGCCAAGTGAAAACTTGATATGTATACCCCACGGGTTATCCTGCATCGCATTCAATCTCTAGTTGCGAATACCACAAATCTACTCATAATAAGATGATTAAAGCTATTTTAGCACTCGTATTTTTTTCCGCGGGTCAGCCTCTACGTCAGATGGAATTGAAGGGTAAGTTTTCAGAGCCTGTACATCTCACTCCGGCTGCGCGCCCCGTCGAAGACACAGATATTATCAAGGGGCACATACTGCCGTGTCAACACCTTCAGCGCTTCCTGTGCAACGAGACCACCCGCCAATGAGGCCATGTTGTGCAATTCACCACATTCTGCCCGACGCAGTTCCTGAATAGCGTTCTCGATTGATTCTCTGGCGTTCTGGTCCAGAGCCGTAATGTCATCTCTTTGCAGGAGAGCCAGGATCCTCTCAGTATGACTCTTCCAGAGGCCCTCGTCATCAACGGAAAGTGTGGTGTTTTGTGGGGTGCTCTGGATCTCGTCGACGACAGCATCGAGGATCTGTGTGGCGATGAAGATAGAGACAAGCGAGTCTGGCAGACCAAGTTGACTCAAGCTTAGTTGGCTGCGAATCGACTTGAGCGTTTCCGTATCGCTGTCACTGTTGATTTGCGGGATGTCTCGACCGCGGACGACTTTGATGTGCGCGGCGTTCTTGCAGAACACCTCGATCTCGCTTTCAGGAATAGCTGTCGTTGGTCTATTCAGTTGGGACTCGAGTTGTCGCACCGTCGACACAACTTCTTCCACATCCGAGCGCGCCTTGTTCTTGTAGATACTCTGTAGGGAGACATAATCCGCCGATTGGGCTTTCATATCTGGCAAAGTACCCGGTAGCGGCAAGACGCCGTGGGCAGAATAGAAAGTGTTGATTGCAGATGCAATGACCCAGAAATTGGGAGACTCTGCGCTGAGGTTTTGGCATTGCTCCATCTCAAAGATCTCACGGATAGTGCTGCGCAGACTGAATGGCGAAATTGTTTTGAGCACGGCGGCTACTGCTTCATCGAAGTTCTCCTCTCCACCCTCGGCGTTGTTGGTGCGGGCCTTGGAGCGCACGAACTCGCGGAATTCGGTCTTTTCTTTGTAGTTGCTCGGCGCATTACCTTCATGCGACTGCTTCCATTCGTCGAGGAAGTGCAGTAGAAGGAGGATGTATGGGACATGGCCGTGCTGGTGGTCATCCATCGTATCCAGATTACTCGTCATGGCTGCGGCAACATCGATGAGCTCGGGCCAGGGATTGAGCAGACGGAGATCTTGTGTTGATTCTGGGTCTGGATGAGTTTCCACGATAGGGAATTCCGCAGCCAATTGAGAGGAAAATGTGGCATAGAACCCAACCGAGTGCAAATAAAGCACCGGGATACCCAGGTCCTGGGCTTTCCTACAAAGCGGATCCAAGGAGGTGCGCTTCGTGGGACCAGATATAATGATCAATTTGTGCTGGGGCAGAAAGCTTTGGTCGTGAAGTAGTTCCGTGATGGGCTGAGTAGATTTTAGCCAAGGACTTGATGAATGAGGACGAATAATGACAAACCGTTGAATATGAGTATCCTTGCACGTCAGGATTCAACTCTCGCAACAAACGACATGTCTCATCGGCACGCGGCTTGCCAAGTGATTCTTCCTCCAGGAAGAAGTTCACGCCGAGATCAGCCTCGGTCACTGTCGCTGGGTCCACGATCGTAAAGCCCCCGATACCAGGCAGCACGAGATTCTTGAGAGTTTCAACACCCGCGACACCTGGGACGCCAGTGCTGCTGGAGCCCAGAGGCCCATCCGAGTTCACAAGTAGGACGCGGGCCTCTTCTAATGCTTGCTGTCCGCTGGCTGCCCAGAGTCGAAGTTGTCGATCATACTTGCGCTCCTTGGAGGTTGGACCTGCCAGGGTTGCGGGGAAAGTGTCCATGTTGTGTGATGATGTAGAAGAATGCAGGCGGTAGAGTGACTGGAAATTCCTGAGTAAAGGCCAAGCGGTCCAATAAGTAGGACACCCTTGTTTGCAATGATCCAGATCTACTTGTTTCCTGGCTGATGATGAAGTACGTCGCGGCGTGTTGATGAGTAGTCGTTTGACTAAGCGATAGGAGGGATGTTGGTGCCTGATAAATAAGGATACAATATTGCATAAAGAGCATCCCGGCTCCATATGATGTATGAAAACCTGCAATACCGACAAATTTTGACTCAGACAACTCACAAGAGATGAATCACTAAATTATTATTTTATAACTCCAGATGGAGCTGTTGGATCGTTTACATGTGTTGCTTTGTCCTGGATCTACCAGACCGGACCAATTGTATGCCAGCACACTCTTGCGGGAGTTCATTTCCAAGAGAGCATACTATTCATGGGTCAATCAATAAAATTCTCATCGTACTTTTATTCAAAAGGGCCTAATCTACAACATTAATGTACTGTTGGGCGACCTCTTTCATATTGAACGGGCCATTGAACTTGAACCCCCAATTTCTGTGCGCTCCTTAGCACGAACTCTGGCTCACGAAGGAACTATCTACCCACAAACACCAGTCCGCTCCTGCAAGTCTATCAACACTTCTGTTCAAAATCCCTTTTTACAATACCGGGTCATAAAATTCTGCTTCATCATCCTGGACTGTATTGCTTGCGACTTCGGGACTGGTAATATGCCCGACAGCCGCAACAAACAAGTTCCCTTTTGCTTTCAGAATGGCTTGGCGGATTGTAAGCGCAAGATCGAGCTGGTATGTGGGTGTGATTTCAATTCGCTGGCTTTCGGTGATACCACCCCATGACACGTCCAAGATGTCATCGCCTATCTCCGGCAAAAGCGTCGCTAGTTTGATAGTTTTCGTCAAGGTCCCAGGAAGGCTCGGCAGACCACTCCATCCAGTCAGTCGCGGAGACACGAACGGACAAAACAACACATTCTGGAATGATCTTCCGGATTGCAAGTATGGCGCTGCGCAAAAAGCGAATGCGGTTTTCAAAGCTCCCGCCATACTCATCGGTGCGTTGGTTTGCCAAAGGAGAAAGGAATTGATGAACGAGATACCCATGAGCACAATGAATCTCAATTATTGTACCACTCCCTCATCTCTTCATATCAAGTATCGCATTGGATTACCCATGATTCTGCATCTCAGCCACGAGACATGAATTCAAAAGACACGGACGCAAAGAACAAAGAAGATCAGTCGATCCTTGTCCCCCTAAATGGGAAGTTTGCTGCCAAAGTACGGACCGGATGCAAGACATGCAAGATTCGCAGAATCAAATGCGATGAATACAAGCCGTTTTGTCGCCGGTGCAGTTCAACTGGGCGTACTTGCGATGGATACAGTTCGTCGTATGTCAGAGTCCATCGGCAGATTGGACAACCAGTATTTCGCTAATCTCGGGGTTCGGATGCGGAGAATCAGGCGCTATACATGTTCCGAACCAAAATTGCATCCCTGATTGCTACTTCCTTCGATATAAGCTTCTGGGCCTATGGCCTCCTCCAAATTGCGGATGCTTTCAAGACTGTGCAGAATGCGGTTGTCGTGTTAGTGGCTGCTTACCAGACTCATATCTTGGAAAGCGATGCCAACCCAGCACAGTGCCAATCTGTTCTTACACAATACAACAAGTCGATCAACTCGCTGCGCCAATATCTCGGGAAAACCAAATTTCGCACAGAAACCCAGCAGGTCGTGGTGCTCATCACAACCTATTTTGCTTACCTGTCTTTGCGCCATTCGAGGGGTTCAGTTGGAAGCATGCGCTCATCTTCGAAGCGGTCTCTCTTTAATTCATGAATGGAAGCTTGGAACAGCAAAGAAGAAGGCCAGACCGAGAAGGACACCCATTACCATCGACACCTTGGTAGCTACCTACACACAGCTCGACACCCAAGCCCGCATGATGATTGAAGCGAAAGGGACCCGTCCCAATTCTCGATGGAGCCCCCATGACGTCTTGCTTGACGGCGGAGGCAACGACTCTGGTGATCTTATAATACGGTCGTTTACTCGATTTGAAGAATTACACAACAAGGCTGTTCAAGTAGTCGCAGGCTCGGGCCCCGTGCACCATCACTTCAACCAATCGTCACGACTTCTTCTCCAATATCAACATCGGCTTTCCGAATGGGATTCCCATTTTGAAACGCTTCTTTGCCAGCTTGAAAGGCCTGAAAAATCAATTCGCGAGCTTCAAATGTGCAGACTCTTGGTCAACTTGTCTTGGGAGACACCAGCATCAGCGTGGAGCTCTCAATTGGAATCTAATGACGAAGCATTTCAAACTCTTGTGGATTTTTCGGCTGCCATTCTTCACCAATCCGGGTTCCTCGAAGGTTGCTTCTCCTTTCGTCCTGCCGGCGGATTGATCGAGGCTCTTTTTGTGGCGACGTGCTGCCGCAACTCCACGATACAGCAACAGGCGATCGATCTATTGAATAGGTATCCTCTGATCGAAGAGATATGGATCAGCGCTGCAGCGAGTCGAATCGCTGCTTCGAGATGACACCGAAATTAGCATTGGAAGCAGTCACGGCTGATTGACGTGTTGACGTGTTCGGTCAAAGTACCGCTGCCATAGAGTCGAATGCAAAGGCGCATCTGTGGCGCTTCGGCTTCCCCTTCTCATCAGCGCGTAGTCCTTCCACATTGGCTGACTCCACCACCACGATGCACTCGGTTGGCCCAGCACCAACGCACTAACCCGTGTCGATCGGATATCCATGCGCCATGCTGGGCCCGGTGAGTGTGGAGGGATGTCTTCGGTCTCGACTGGTGGGGTTCGCGCGGGGCATCGCAAGAACAGGACGGTCCGTTCAGAATGGCCGAGTAGAATCTTGCAGATCCTGTTTGTGTGCTCGTTCGCGGCGGCCGAGGAGAATGATGCCATAGTATATCCTGCTAGTCGTAGTGAGTGGTTGCAGAAGTCGCCCAAGGAGGTGCCATACTGCACCAGGCGACCATGGAAAGGCCCAGGAACCGTCGTGGACAACCCCGCAATGGCTGTCGCGACGGAAATTGACGGAGTGCAAATCCCCAACTCCGGAAAGATCCCAATGGTCCCACGACTTTTCTGTGCGGCCATCCGTTCTCCTCTCTCTCGATCTCTTCCACTTCGTCTCCCACGCACGACCTTCCTCTCCCCACGCTCGCAGTCCACCATGGCCGACATCGAAGCCGCAAAGCGCGCCGCCGCAACCACCGCCGTCGCCAACCACTACCCCAAGAATGCGCAGTGGGTGGGCATTGGCAGCGGTACCACCATTGTCTATGTCGTCGAGGCTATCAAGGCCCTCGGTGTCGATACCTCGGCCACTCGCTATGTTCCCACAGGCTACCAGTCCCGTCAGCTGATCGTCAGCGCTGGTTTGACGGCTGTCGAGTTCGATGCCATTCCGAAAGGAACCGTCCTGGACGTCGCCTTTGACGGCGCGGACGAGGTCGATGATGAGCTAAACTGCATCAAGGGCGGCGGTGCCTGTCTGTTCCAGGAGAAGCTGGTGGCCATGCAAGCGAAGGAGTTCATTTGCGTCGCCGGTAGGAAATTTGCCCATCACCAAGAGAAACAGACAGCCTTGAGCATTGAACGGTCCACACTGACACCATTTCGTTCTTTATAGACTCCCGTAAGCTTCAGTCTCGTCTTCTCACTAACTGGAAGTACATTCCTGTCGAGGTCGCCCCCATTGCCGCCTACCGCGTGCTCAACAAACTGGTCGAGCTCGGCTCCATCAACCCCGTCATCCGCTCCAACGCCAACCCCAAGGAAGGAAACCTGAAGACTGACCAGGACTTCTTCATCATCGATGCGCCCTTCCCGCCCATGCTGATTCAAGCCGACATCGCTGGCGGCTTGGACGGATCTGGCGTCGGCGGCGTCTGGGACGTGAACCGTCTGTCGCGCGAGATTAAGCAGATTGCTGGTGTGTTGGAGGTCGGCATTTTCTCCGGCTTGACTGGCCCCCAGGCTGCGGCGGCCGGTGGTATTGGTGGCCAGCGCCCCGTTGCGGCGTACTTTGGTATGCCCGATGGCTCTGTGTCGGTGCGCAATGCCATCCAATAGATGGGACCATGCGTGGATTTGATGCAATGGGTTATATACTGCTAGATGATACCAAGATGCGATTTCCTCCGAGCTACAGTCCGGTGGACTAGAAATGAAAGCTATTTGTACTTTCGCGATAGTTTGAGGTTCTACCAATATGTAACCCGTGATTGCTACGTGGGCTACGCGTAGTGAACAGACAGTTGCGCATTGACTCGTTAGATTGTGTTTGGTATCAGAAAGACCTCGCTTTTCCATCCAGCATCTGCACCCTTTGAAGAGGTTTACTTGGCACTCTTGCGCTTCGCCTCTGTCTCGCCCAGCTGGCGAACGTAAATCTTGACGACTCCCTCGGCCATATCATCCTTGCCATCCTCAAAGCCAGGGCTGACGCCAATGGCGAGGTAATTTCCATTCCCACTGAATGCGAGGGCAGCCACACTAGACTCATGCTTGTGGTACAGGCGAATGCGGCGTCGGGAAATGCCATCCCAGATGGCAACAACACCATCGCCGCCGCCAGAAGCAAACGTGCCATACACAGGGTGAAAAGCCAGTGCGTTGACGGGGTAGACAATGTCGACATCATCCTCGGTAGTCTGACGATGGAACTTGAAAGCGTACTTGCGGGCCTGAGATTCGGGCGATGGATCGAACCACTCAACGGCCACACGGCCTTCAATGCTGGAGCAGGCATATCCGGCATCGTCGGGCATGCAGGCGACACAGCGCGTCATGAACTTCAAGCTGCTCTCGCGTCGCTGCCATGGCTCGATTTCCACCTTGTTGCCGTCAGTCGAGGCGCCATCAGCCTGTGCCGTAAGGAGGGCCAAGGACTTCAGGTCGTAGATGTAGAAGGATCGGGACGCCATAGCGACGACCAGCTTGGTAGGAGTGATGGACAGCGAGAAGGGCTTCGAGGGGAGGGGAATGACGGCGGGAATGTATTCGGTGTTCGTGCCAGCTTCAGGACGGTGCACGTGGAGAGTCGAGTCCCATGAACCGGAGATGACGAGTTTGTATTCGGGGCTGTAGACAACATTGCGTACGCCAGCCTCGTGGCTGCTCAGGACAGTCTGTTCACCAGTATTGGTATCAATCCTAAAGCCATTAGTATCGCTCCTTCATGCCAAAGTGACAGAAGATATCGGAACAGGCACTGCGCGATACTTACTTTCGAACGTCCCAGTCCAGTCCAGCTGTGTAGATCTCGTTCTCGTTCTCGCCAAAGCACACGTCGAGCACAGGCGCGCGGTGTTCAAACTTCTGCAGCAGTTTTCCCTCGCCAACTGCGCCATTCTCGTCGCGCAGATCATAGAGGTAGACATTCTTGTCCCATGACGATACAACGATGCGAGTCGAGTCGGGGTTGGGCGAGAACTTCAGGGCGGAGATGGCGTCCTCAGGCGGCGAGGCCACGGTAATGAGGTCTGTCCAATGTTAGTTCATCTTTCAGGGACTACATGACACTTTAGCACAGGGAATAGTACTCACTAGACGACATGGTTGGCACCTCGTAGGAATTTCAGGCGGAGTTGGAGATACGCAGCCGACGGAGCTCTTGAGGGCCTTTTTTGCCGCCGCTCGCCGCCAACAGACTCCCCGCGCTACACTGATAAGAATGTCACAGCTTGATTCGGATCTACCAGTATTGTTTTAATCTCCCTTTTTGGGCCTTCAGGGTCACTTAAGTTGTTGCTTCATTATTTGTTGAAATTGATTGGGCTTCGAGTAGTACATGATCTTATGGTGTTCGCTGGCAAATCCCAATCTTTATCAGGAACTACAACTGGCCGGGGCACTATGAAGGTCTGCGAGAGGTAGAACATGGAAATGTGCCGTCGTACAAGCCAATCCCTTAGTGCTCAGACGAGATAGTATTCTATATATGATCGTTTATAGATTCTCACAAGCAAATGAATAAATTTTTGGATCAACAAACAGTATATCCTGACGTCACCCATTGTAGACGCCATCCACTGCCGGCGGTGAGCGCGGTGAGACAATATCGCCGCATCCCGTCAAATGTGACTCGAGTGGGGGGAGATAAATTTATTACAGCTTACAATACTTTTCCAACCTCGTCCTCTTATGAAAGCACCAGTATGCCTTTCGCACAACTGGTTATTGGCCCACCTGGTGCAGGAAAATCTACTTACTGCAATGGCATGCATCAGTTCCTCGGAGCGATCGGGCGCAAATGCTCAATCGTGAACCTCGACCCCGCGAACGATAAGACCTCATACCCGTGTGCGCTGGACGTGCGCGATCTCGTCACGCTGGAAGAGATCATGGATGAAGACAAGCTCGGTCCGAACGGGGCGACACTCTATGCGCTTGAGGAGTTGGAGGAGAACTATTCCTGGTTAGAGGAAGGATTGAAAGAACTTGGAGGTTTGTGTTGATCTCCCGTGCTTAGCTTCAAGGCTGCTAGGTGACCTGGTTGCTAATACTTTACTAGACGATTATGTCTTATTCGACTGCCCTGGCCAGGTTGAACTATTTACGCATCACGCTTCGCTACGGAATATCTTCTTTCGGCTTCAAAAGCTTGGCTATCGGGTTTGTTTCTCTGCAGAAAAAGGTCCAAGAAAGATGCTAACTCGAATCAGTTGATTGTCATTCATCTCGTCGACAGCTACGCCCTCACTCTCCCCTCGATGTACATTTCCGCCCTCCTTCTCTCTCTTCGCGCAATGCTACAGCTTGATCTTCCTCACTTGAACGTCCTCACCAAAATTGACAATCTTTCCAACTATCCTGAACTGCCATTCAACCTGGACTTTTATACAGAAGTTCAGGACCTCAATTATCTTCTCCCACACCTGGAATCCGAATCCTCCCGCCTCCCCCATAGCAAGTTCGGCGCCCTCAACACCGCCATCGTCGACCTGGTCGAAGAATTTGGGCTCGTTGCCTTCGAGACGCTGGCCGTCGAGGATAAAAAGAGTATGATGAGCTTACTCAGGGCTATTGACCGCGCCTCCGGGTACGCATTTGGTTCCGCTGAGGGCGCGAACGACACCGTTTGGCAGGTTGCCGTTCGCGAAGGGATGGGGGTTACCGATGTACGGGATGTGCAAGAACGATGGCTCGACTTGAAGGACGAATATGATGAGATAGAAAGGAAGGAATTGGAAGAGGAGGCACGTATGCGCGATACAGCTAGCAAGGCCGCGGCGGAGCAGGAAGCTGAGGATGAGGATGACGATATGACGGATTGGAATGGTCCAGTCCCGGACAGCGGGGTGAAGGTGCAACGAAAGAAATAGCCAAGACATAACACAGCATTCATTTAGAGCTGAAACCATGTGTACAATATGCAAATTCAAAAGGGTATCATTAATGTACAATCGAAACAACCAGCAGTAGAGCAGAGCGGAAATCTAACAAATCAATCATCATCCATATCTTCGTCTTCACTCTCATCCATCACGTTTCGCGCGACAGGGACGGATCGTTCCATTTTGGCCTTGCCATCTTCCACGCCAGAGATCAAATCGCCCAGGACACCTTTCTCCTCTACTCCTCTGATCCGTACAATCTCCTGTCTCGCGCGACGAATGGCTTCCTCCTCGGCTTTCCGCATTGTCCCAGACACCCTAACCACGCGGAATACACAGGGACGTTCGCGTCCTCCGTTAGGTCTCTTTTGTGCACCTGCGCCAGGCTCGGGGACATGGGACATATAAGTGAGTGCGGACCAAACGAGGCGGAAGGAGGCACGTGGGCAGCGAATTATGGCAGTTGAGGTTGCCGGCGACAGATATTTCACTGGAGATCGGTCAGTTCATGCTCAAATTTTATACGTGACACTTTTCTCATTCCCAATTCGTGGGCTCGCTCCCACGAGCCAGAGTAGGAAGACTTTTGACGCACCATTTACTCCAGTCGCGGAGGCTCCTCCTAGCTTACCGACGCCCCAATCTCCATATAGTTCGGCCACTTCTTCGCGGATCATCTTTGCGAGAAGGCCCGGGGTCAACGCGTCGGAGGTTGGCGAGTGGATTGCCAGCTGAGCAGATTGCGAGTTATTCTTCGTGGCTTGGGCTGCCGTCGGCCATGTCTTTGGGTCCGGGTAGAGGATATCCAGAAGAAGGTAGCGGTTTTTGAGGCGGACCATTGTGATGTGGGAGGCTAGACCGAAGTTCGAAGGAAAATTGGAGACCGTAGCAATTGCAGCGAAGTTGACATTTGATAGCGGGCACTGATAAGCCTTGCGATAAGAAATTCTTCCGCCAAGCCGCTGGGTCAAATTGCCTCAGCACAAAGACCGATAGATCACGGACGTTTGTCAAGCTACGTGATGGGGGATTTTCGCATACGATACATTGGATATAGTCTGCAAAATCCGGAGCAAGAAGATGCCTACAAGCGTGAACATATCTACGGGCACATGGGGAAAAAAATGCTGAATATAATAATCATCATGCAATGGGTACGTTCATTAGGTCCCCAGAGAGGTCTAGTCATCTAAACAAATTAAATCAAGATCCGTAGTCGGGCGTTGCACCGTTTTTTCCAGGGGCGAGCCCTCTGGCATCGCCCACCGTTAAGCCGGTCATGCTGGGTAGCGCAGTACATGGATACAAAACTGCTGAGAAACAAAAACCAAGGGATCAACCAAACTCCACCGTCCTCTCGGGACGGACTGTATGCCACCAGCGGACGGCGCTGCAAATCATGTCCAAGAAAATCAAATGCTGACCTCGACACGGCCCTCGGCACCACCCTTCTGCAGGGTGGGAAGAAGGTAGGTGATGTCGTCCCAGGGGTGACGGTACAGACCGGTACGCAGGCGCTTCTGGTCGAGGTAGTGGGCAATAAGACCGATGGAACGACCAAGCACGAACAGACCGTTGAGGACACCCATCTGAAGGTAATCCTGGGCCTCCTCGGTGGAGAAAGCACCGCAGTTCTTAATCATATCGATGAAGCAGACAGCAACGCAGCCGTCGACGTTCAGGATGAGGTTGTCCTTCTTGGAGGTGGTGACAGTCTCGACGGCGATGGCGTAGTCGAGCAGCTTGGTGCTGGGGAAGTGCTTCTGGGCGAACTCCTTGACAAGCTCGACACGCAGATCGGGGTTGTTGCGGGACTTAACCTTGTGGCCAATACCGGGGATGAGCTTGTTCTCCTTGCGCATAGTGTCGACGAAGTCACGGGGGCTGAGGCCCTTGTCGTAAGCCTTGGTGAACTCCTCAGCGGCACCGTCCAGCGCACCACCGAAGCGGGAACCAATGGTCAGGAGACCGGAGACCAGGGCAGAGATCAGGTCCTTGCCGGCACGGGTAGTGATGATGGTGTTCATGGCACCAGACACGGCGGGACCGTGGTCGGCAGTGAGCATGAGAACCATCTCCAGGAACTTGCTGGCGTAGGGGGGAGGCGGCGGCGGAACCACAGCAGAGACATGACACCACCGATACCGATGTCCTCCTTGAAGACGTCAGAGATGGGCATACCGGCGTACAGCAGCTCCTGGCCACGGTCGTCGGAGATAGTGGAGATAAAAGCAGCGGGCTTGCGGACAAGACCCAGCTCCTGGGCCCAGGAGTAGTCGATGGGAATCTTGGGGACAACGGGCTCGGGGGCGGGGGTGATGGTGCCCTTCTTGAGCTCGGCCTCGTAGACCTCCTTCAGGGTATGGGGGAGGTCCTCGAAGGTCTCGGGGACGTAGATACCGGCCTCACGCATGGCCTTGTTCTTGTAGACAGCGGTCTCCAGCTGGGAGTTGGCGGAGGCACCAGCGTGACCGAACTGAACCTCGGTCTTGAACATGCTGGCGCAAGTACCGATGGCCCAGGCCACGATGGGCTTGGTGATAGTGCCGTTCTTGACGGCCTCGATCACACGGTACTCCTCAACACCACCGACCTCACCGAGCAGGACGAGGATCTTGCACTCAGGCTCGGCCTGGTAACGGAGCAGGTGGTCAATGAAAGTGGTGCCGGGGTAACGGTCACCACCGATGGCAACACCCTCGTACACACCGTCGGTGTTCTGAGAGATAATGTTGTTGAGTTCGTTGGACATACCACCGGACTTGGAGACGTAACCGACGGAACCCTTGCGATACAGCTTGGAGGCGACAATGTTGTCCATCATACCACCGGTGTTACCGATCTTGTACGCACCGGGCTTGATACCACCGACGGTGGCGGGACCAATGATGGTAATGCCCTTCTCCTTGGCGGTGACCATGATCTCACGGGCACGACGCTCGGGAACACCCTCGGCAATGATGGCGATGGAGCGAATCTGGGGGCAGTTCATGAGCTCCATGGTGGAGCTGTAGACGGAACGGGAAGAGGCGAAGTTGACGACGGTGTCGACATCGGGGTGCTTGGCCATGGCCTTCTCAACGTCTTGGTAGACGGGGAGGAGGGTCTCGCTGGTACCCCAGTACATCTTGCTGACGAATTGGCCGCCGAAGGTGTAGATGATACCGGCCACGGAGGGGGTGGTGCGCTTGCAGATGAAGTCAAAGTCGAGCATGCCCTGCACGGCTCGGGGTTGCATGCCACTGGGATCACTGTTAGAACCTCGTGCTGCGGATGAACCCACATCCGCCCATTGGACTTGTCCTCGTCTCGGGGGAGTAGTTGGGATGCAATTGGTGGGGGGTGGGAGTGGCTCGGACTCACTATACGAAGCATCGTGTCTTGTTGTGGAAGAGGGCGTGGCTGAGGGGAGAGAGCACACGGCTGGGGGGGTTGAAGCGTGTGATGTTGTCGTTGGCATTGGCGCCGTTGCCGGCGGACAGCGAAGTGGCAGGCATTGTGAATCTGATGGTGGTCAGAACCAGGTCAAAATTTTGAGGCGCACACGGACGGTGTGGAGGGAACGAATGCGTGGCACACACGAGCAAGGGCGAGGGAGGGAGGAGAGGAAAGCCTACCTATGCGTTATAACACCCGCTGAAAGATGAATGATGGAGAAAGGAGAAGGGAGGAGGGGAAGAAGACAACAGAAAAATCCGCGGGGCCGAGTACTCGCAGGTACGGTGTACAGCTCCTCCCAGACGGCGCTAAGCAGCTCAACAGTTGCGGTCCCCAAAGTACCGGGTACCGGCGATACTGCCCCACTTGATCGGCGTACGATACAGGTAAGTGTACACGTTCTGCCCACTGTTCGAAGTATAGATCCGAGGCCTCGAGTTGCAGCGAATTGAGGAGGTTATGCAACCAAAAAAATGCTCAATTGCGGGCAGAACAATCTCTGCATATACAGTACATACCACAATTCGTCGTATTTATTTTCACTCCCATCCGGGGCCCGTCTGCTCGGATGGTTTCGGCCGGCGAGTACAAAAAAAAAGTTCTGGGAGCGACCGTGTAGATCGGATTCCGGCGGTGAACCCAACAAAAGGAAGGGGCACTGGGGATGGCCTCCTCGCAAGTCTAAGTTTAGTACCTTAGCGGTTTCTGGCCCAGGCTGAAACAGTGCTCAGCTGTACACCGGCGAACTGGCCCAAGTAATAATGAGCAAGTACCAAGTACAGGTCCCGTACACACACACCTGCCCCAACACCCCACCTTTCCACACTTTTTTGCTCGCCTCAACCGCACCTGCCTCAATTGTACGCTGTACTCTCCAGCACAACTTTTCCCCTTCTACGCTGTACTCTCCAGTCCTGCTTTCCCCCTTCCCAAAAAAAAACCTCCCTTCTCCCTTCTTCCTTCCTCACTCTCTCTCCCATCCACACTACATCCACACACCATGTCCGCGAAGTCTATCCTCGAGGCCGATGGCAAGGCCATCCTCAGCTACCACCTCACTCGTGCTCCCGTCATCAAGCCGACCCCTCTGCCGCCCTCCTCCACACACAACCCGCCCCCTCGTCTCGCCTCCCTCCACTTCCCCGAAGACAAGGCCGTCAAGGATGTCCTTGACCAGGCTGAGGTCACCTACCCGTGGCTGCTGACCCCCGGCGCCAAGCTCGTCGCGAAGCCCGATCAGTTGATCAAGCGTCGCGGCAAGAGCGGTCTGCTCGCCCTGAACAAGACCTGGGCCGAGGCCCGTGAGTGGATTGAGGCCCGCGCTGGCAAGGACGTCCAGGTTGAGACTGTCACCGGTGTTCTGCGCAACTTCCTGGTTGAGCCCATGGTCCCCCACCAGCAGTCCGAGGAATACTACATCAACATTAACTCCGTCCGTGAGGGCGATTGGATCCTGTTCACCCACGAGGGTGGTGTTGACGTTGGTGATGTCGATGCGAAGGCCGAGAAGCTCCTCGTCCCTGTCAACCTCAAGAACTTCCCCTCCAACGAGGAGATTGCCTCTGCTTTGCTGAGCAAGGTGCCCCAGGGCATCCACAACGTTCTGGTGGACTTCATTTCCCGCCTCTACGCCGTCTACGTCGACTGCCAGTTCACCTACCTCGAGATCAACCCTCTGGTCGTCATCCCCAACGCTGACGCCACCTCCGCCGATGTCCACTTCCTCGACCTGGCGGCCAAGCTCGACCAGACCGCCGAGTTCGAGTGCGGTACCAAGTGGGCTATCGCTCGCAGCCCCGCCGCCCTGGGTCTGCCCACCCTCGCCAACACCGACGGCAAGGTCAACATTGACGCTGGTCCGCCAATTGACTTCCCCGCCCCCTTCGGTCGTGAGATGAGCAAGGAGGAGAAGTTCATCTCCGACATGGACGCTAAGACCGGTGCTTCCCTGAAGCTGACCGTTCTCAACGCCAGCGGTCGTGTCTGGACCCTGGTTGCTGGTGGTGGTGCTTCGGTTGTCTACGCCGACGCCATTGCCTCGGCCGGCTTCGTCTCCGAGCTGGCCAACTACGGAGAGTACAGTGGTGCGCCCTCCGAGGGCCAGACCTACTCCTACGCTAAGACCGTTCTGGACCTGATGCTCCGTGCTCCCCAGCACCCCGACGGCAAGGTCCTCTTCATCGGTGGTGGTATTGCCAACTTCACCAACGTCGCCTCTACCTTCAAGGGTGTCATCCGCGCCATCCGCGATGTCGCTCCCGTCCTGAACGAGCACAAGGTCCAGATCTGGGTCCGCCGTGCTGGTCCTAACTACCAGGAGGGTCTGAAGAACATCAAGTCCGCCGGTGTTGAGCTGGGTCTAGACATGCACGTTTACGGCCCTGAGATGCACGTCAGTGGTATTGTGCCGCTGGCTCTGCAGGGCAAGAAGACCGACATCAAGGAGTTCGGCGCTTAAATGTTGAGAAAAGCTTCTTCCCTGGTGTTTTGTCCCTGTTTTCTTGTTTTGCAGCGTCTCTGTCGTTGCATGGGTTTGTGGTATAATGCATGGCATGATATGAACTTTGGCGGGACCCCTTGGGTACCCCGCTCACCCCTCTAATCGAGGGTATGGCGTTTCTTCCCGCCCGGACGAAAAGACCGGATGCTTGGTGCCGACGTACATGATTAGATTTCCTTTATGTTCCACCCGGGAGATTTAGATCAAGATGTCCCGAATAATTTATTCCGTGATGATACAACAGTTCTCTGGCCCAATGTAGTATGTAAGGTATTTTTTGTGTCCTACAAATAAAAGAACTCTATGTACGCCCAAGACCGCAGGCTTGTAATTATTTATTTTTTTTTTTTTAACGGGGAGATCGATTTCTGCTGTGTTCAGCTCTTTGGCGCGGAAGTGCAGGGTGCAGGTGAGGGTGGTTGGTAGTTATAGATGACGAAAATTACCATACCGAACAACAAGCACGGGCGATACGGGCTCCACACAAGCTCCTGCACCCCGGATTAACAGGGTTATGGCTCAGGAACCGACGATCTGGGCTGCGAGGAACAGATCGTGGGGAATAAGGTAGGGACCGTGCCGACGCTTGGGTTGGATTGGGCTTCATGGTGGTTGCCGAGGGTGGCAGGGGAAGGCTTCCGCTGCCCCGAACTGCGGCTCGCGGGCGAGCGGGAGTGGTCTTACCCAATGCGGTTTGGTCGGCCAGATACTGTATACTACTATCGTGGTCGTAGTCTGTCCTAAACAATGCGACAAGGCTAGAGGCTCAACAGGTCTTTTTAAAATATTTTAACTGACTGTATTCTTCTCTCGATAGGTCCTATGGACTAGTCCTGTAGAAGGGTTCGGCAATGAGTACTGCTAAGTATAATTGCACCTGATTACGAAGAGCCACCAAGCAACCGCTCCAGGTCGAGTTGTTCAAGGCGAGACGTGAGGGGTAAGAGTATGCAAAGATTCAACTGCCGAAACGTGCAATAATTGCATCCTCTGGTGGTAGGTTCGACAATATGGTCGACTGCCGAGACGTCCGTAGCAACCGAGTACGATGCTGCTCGTTCACAGCTACAGCAGACGAGTTAGCTCAATCCGCAGAGCAGTACATAAGTCCTACTCACCATATGGTTGTTTCGAACTCGATTTGCCTGTTTTTGGAGCCATCGCAGTCCCACCAGGTGTTATCTTGCCGACTTGTCTGGAGCTACCTGTACCGCTGCGCTGGTATCGATGCAGCTGCTCGACTCCCTCCGGACTGACGGGGAACACAGCTGCCTTGTGAGCACCCGGGGTTCGAGATTTTAGCTGCCCGTTGTTACCAGTTAAGGAGATTGATGCGGTGGGTTCTGTTCGAGTTGAAAATGTGTTGATCGTTTGAGATACTGTGTCCGAGGCAGCACTCTGCAGCTGGGTTCGCATTGCGCGTGCTTTAAGGAGGTTGTAAAGGTTTGTCATCTGGGAGAGCTTTTTGGATTTTTCCCGATTGAGGCCGATCAATTCTTGATTCTTCTTCTCCAACTCTTCTGAAGCAGCTTGCAGGTCTGTATGGTTGAGGTCTTAGCTGGGTTTGGAATCTAGCCCAGATGGAGGATATGTGACGAACCAGAGACCTTGCCATGGAGAGTTGCAATCTCCGAGTTGGCGTTATGAATGATTTTATCCATTTCAGTGTTCAGGCTTGCGTATTTCTCGGTGAGACTTTTCCCAAGGAACTCTTGGTAGAATCTGACAAGGAAATCAGCAGCAGTAAGGAAAACTGTCACCACGCCTCGAACATACATCTCTTGAGTGCTCTGATATGCCCAGAATCCCAAAGCGCGTCCAGCACACTCCATGATGGTGTTGGGGTCAAGACCACTCAGCACGCTGGTCTTGTAATCCTCCGTAGGGTTTAATATGGTCGATACCGCATCGTCTGGGTTGGAAAGGATTGTCTGACAAGCAGGGCAGCGACGTTCTCCTGATGTGGGGTGTGCAAGGCCAAGGTCGCCCGCGCAACGAAGGCAAAAGATGTGTCTGCACCGTCAGCATAGTTCAGGGAAGATCAACGCCAGTCCGACTCACGAGCAAGTTGTCACCACAGCTCTTTCCTTCAGTTGCACCCGACATCTGAGAGAGTTGCATCGCAAGTGAAAGTCCATTGTGCTTGCCCCAACGAGTTGCGGCGGCAGAGCGGAGTTGGGAGGTGAGGTGGTCACCTGAGGCCTGAGGCCAAGCAACAATACGTTAGGGTTTCTCGAGCGCGGACAGCTAAAATGGCAGGGTATCAATTCAGCGCGTTTTAATCTGGTCACAAAACGGCAATGGATTCGGAGGCACCGTGGGATATTAACAAAACGCCCGCTAAAAGAAGAATGTGTTTCCTTGCGCATCACGCCGTGTGGATGTCATCTTCTCCTCAAACTCCTTGCCAGGCTCATACTCATTCCAGAGACTGGCTGGGTAAATATGCTTGTTCTTTTCATACCAGCGTCTGTCCACCACCTTTGTTTCCGAGGGGTCCTTGTCGGCACCTTCTAGCTTCTCGTCTTTAGGATGATACAGAGGGTTGTCGTTGGGCTTTGCCGCAGGGGGTTTGTCGGAGTAATCAAAAAGCAGGCCGCCAGCTTTTGAGAAGCTCGGTACGCGATTGGCGATGAAGTAATAGAACTCGTAGTGCTAATGCTGTGGTTAGCTGGGATCTAGTGGAAATGGAAACGCTAGGCCATGGTTTTAAAGCCGGACTTACATGAGGAACAATAACATTGCCCTTTACCAGCATTAGATCGTCCACGCTGACACGAGCCCACTCTCGACGAGCTTTCGCAGCCCCGCTGGCAGTGCGGCTTCCCAACTCTGCGCCAACTTTTCGGCAGCGATCCAAGAATAGCCAGACGGGATCTCCTTTCCTAAGTTTGACCGACCCAGCGGGTACACCTGTTCCGTCAAAAAGCACGAAAGGGATCAGGATTTCTGTGTTTTTAACCGCCTCTTGCATCACCATAAATTCCTTGCGCAATGTGTCGCGTGCTTGTGCCTCGGCCTTCTCGGCGGCCTTCGTCATTGCCTTTGGAGGGGGCAGCGCGTTCGGATTTGCCTTCATGCGAATCGTAGATGGTGTTCCCTCCTCGTTAGGTGTTTTCGAGTTCGATCGGGAGATGCTCGAGTCGCGCGGAGTGGCGATCGTTGATTCCTCTCCAGTATCTTCATTATCATCACCGAAAGAGAGTTTGCTTTTGGCGAGAGCCTTTTTTTTTCTTCTTGGGTGGACCGTCACTCTTCGCAGTCGAAGATCTGCAAGTCACTGCTATCAGATAATGTGGAGAGACGATGGAGTGCGTTGAAAACTTACCCATCAGTCATGTCGCCTGTCGAAGGAGTTGCGCTTCTTGAATTGCCATTCCCTGGCGGTATACCGAGAGACTTATCATGCGCCTCCCGTTCTTTCTGCTCTAATACCTCCGCGCGTCGTTTGCGAAAGTCGGAGAGATGCACGAGACCCACGGTTTGCGACTTGAGCATCTCCTCTGCAGAGACGCTCTGGCCCGTGAAGGACCGCGGCGTGGAGGTCTGGCTGTCTTGTTCGGAAGATGCCATCTTGACCAGCAGAAGGGCTATGGAAGCTTGGTGGCACCTGGGGTTCAACACTGACACAAAGGACCAGAACCCAATACTGTAACGGCGAACTGAGGTCTTGGGAAGCGTCACGTGATCGATTGGTAGAGATGGAGGCCTACCAGATTCTTTACCTGGCAACCTTAGAAACACATGTACTACTATGTGCTGACAGTTAATACGCACTGTCGAGATTGACTGAGATCATTGGTCCCGGGGCATCAGCTATATTTGAAGTAGTTACTTCACGAAAGCCTAGCTTGCTGTCTAGAACCGACTATAGCCGTACGCTGGAAAATAAGTAGATACGGTGAGGAACGTTGGCTGAGTTTATGTTTGCCATCAAAGAGCAGAAATACATTGTATTCTTTTCTTTTCTTTTCTTTTTTTTCTTGGGGGGCATTACTCCGTTCTTTTATTTTCATCACAAGAAAGCACCATCTACTTTCCAAAGCTCTAGCTCACTCGGCGGAGTGGAGTGCAAACAGTCCAAACTCGGCGCATGCATTGACTTGCGGAGTCCCTCCGACCTTAGATTCCTTTTCTGACAGCCAATTCACGATTTTGCCTGCCTGTCCACGATTCTCGAACCCAAATAATGGACGAAGAAGAAGACGACTTTTATGACCCTGTCGACACGGTGCCGACCACCGAGGTCGCGAACAATGGTGCCAATGTAGCCCCAGACCAATCGCAGGAGAACGACGGCATGGAAGAAGAGATCGAGGTTGAGGATGACGATGACGATGATGTTTGTGGACCCAGGACGAGCTTCAAGCACACTCGCTAAATTTCTCTCAGGATGACTTCAATATCATTACTGAGGCGCCCGCCGACGCGCCCCCTCCAGAGGCGTAAGCTTCCCCCGGTCGCCTGCCCACTTGCGACCTGCCCCGTTAGCTGACCCTTTGAAGCTCTCATCCACGCCATGCGACCTTGCGACAAGAACCGCAGCGACCCTCCTCGGCCAACTCATCTCTGACCTCGAAACCTGCGACGCCTTCTGCCACCCCTCGTCTAGATGCCCCGACTCCCGTGTCCGCGCCCGCGACAACGGCCGCTGCGCAACCTACCGCGCCTCAAAAGCCTGGCTCTGCGTACCCGGCAATTCACACCTCTACGATCGACGTCAATGGCAATCCTGTTCACCCAGCCACGGGTAAGCCGATCATGGCCACCGATATGGATGTCGACTTCCCTACAGACGACAAGCCCTGGCGCCGTCCGGGCTCTGATATCTCCGATTACTTCAACTACGGGTTCGACGAGTTTACATGGGTGAGCTACTGTCTGAAGCAGCAAGGGGTGCGAAAGGAGGTGGGAGACCAAAAGAAACAAATGGACGATATGCAGTCTTTCTTGGGCATTGGAATGCCCCCCATGCCTGGTGCGCCTCCAGGACCTGCTGCCGCAGCTAGTGCTCCACCGGCTATGCCTGGTATTCCAGGAATGCCTGATATGAACCCTGAAATGATGCAGGGTATGTTCCAGGCTATGATGAGCCAAGGATTGGACCCGTCAACCATGGACCCGATGGCGTTCATGCAGCATGCACAATCGATGGTGGCAGGCCAGCCAGGTGGCCAGCAGTCACAGCCAGGGTTCGGAGGCCAAGGCCAAGGACAAGGATATGGTCAAGGAGGCCAGGGTCAGATGGGATATGGAGGTTATGACCAACGTGGAAATTATGGAGGACGGGGGCGAGGGCGAAGATGGTAGGCTGGCGTGGGTTTTACTGGTTACTCCAATGATCGGCATGGATTTTATACGATTCACCTGGATATCGCGGCGTTCTAAGCAAATTTCAATGGGAAATTTATGTATCGAATTCGATTATGAACCTTCCAGACCGGGTATGTGAGCTTTGACTGCGGAGAACGGGAACTTGAGACAGTCTGTCCTATGAGAAAGTAGCTTCAGTGTTTCTAGGACGTTTGCCCTACCAATAGCGAATACAATCACAAATCACAGGCCTAATGGCCTCCTAGCAGTGGTTGCAGTATAATTACAATAGATCACGTCGAGTAGTCAATGGAGTCGTGTTCTCTTGTCCTAAGATACAAGCCATATTGTCCTTTATGTCTATGACTATGACTATGACTATAACTATGACTATCTTTATTGCCAATATTCATTCAACAGCGATTTAATTAAAAGAGGTATGAATGCCATTTCAATGGGGTAGAACCCGCAGAGAAGCGTGTCGGCCCTCGGGAGAGCTCGCGCGGCTTGGCATTCTGGAAATTTCTCAAGTCTGGATTCCCCCGGACGCTTCCCTCTTCCCTTCTCCATCCCACGCACATCGCTCCCTGGCCTCAATACTCCCACCTCTCATCACAATGGTATGTTTCCTGTGTCAGGCAGCTTGTCTTAGCATGTTTGCCAGCTTATTTGACGTCCTTTTGAGCTGTTCTTCCCTTGATCGGACGTCCAATGGCCTCCGCTTTTTTTCCAACCCCAATTCCCACTCAATAGCCCACATCCCACGAACTCTTTTGCGCATCTTGAATACTGACGCCTGCTGCGATAGTCTGTCCTCCGTAACATCAAGTCCCTCGCCCCCCTCCTGGACCGCGTTCTGGTCCAGCGCATCAAGCCCGAGGCCAAGACCGCCTCCGGCATCTTCCTCCCTGAGAGCAGCGTTAAGGAGCAGAACGAGGCCAAGGTTCTCGCCGTCGGCCCCGGTGCCTTCGACAAGGATGGCAAGCGTCTGCCCATGGGTGTCGCCTCTGGTGACAAGGTTCTGATTCCCCAGGTACGTGGTCGCACCCTTCACCCCCGTGTCCTTCCGCATAGCGCCGGCATATAGCATGCTGCTTCTCCAGCGCCAGTGATCTATTCCATTAGCTGTTTCCCTGCTAACATGTCTCTCTCTGCAGTTCGGCGGCAACCCCATTAAGGTCGGCGAGGAGGAGTACACCCTGTTCCGGGACTCTGAGTACGTGTTGCGCTGGCCCCTCATCACTTCCCAACAACCCCGACTAACCCCCTGACAGGATCCTGGCCAAGATCAACGAGTAAATTATTTGACATTCATAATATGTCTCTCGTTTCTTCCATGTCGTCTCTTTCTCCTCCCTGTCGTCTTGCTGGTCTCCCGACCTGCTCGGCTGTAAATCGTCGAGGGGAGGGTAGATGGCTTTCGACGTGTATTATACTGAAGCGAAATCACGAGCTCGACCATCCACAACGAGCCCAAGAACAGAATAAAAGAAAAAAAGAAAGAAAAAAAAGGAAACCTGAACAATATACCGGGACGGGACTTCATGCCTTGTCTCGGTTTCCTTTTGCATAATGAGTTTTTTTGAAGCGCTGGATTGGCCCTGGGTCTTGCATGTCTTTGTCTATTGTACTATTAAACCAAATCGCCACTCGCCTTTACCCCCGTGCTACCTGCCAGGGGTGGCAGTTGTGTAATTCAGACAAATCTCCCCTCAAGACACTGCTGTCTCTAAGCTATAACTCCTGCGCCACTATTCTCCCGGATGGTGCCTTGAATGTTGACCCAAACGACCGCTTCCGAGGCTTGCGTGTGGCCGTCTCCCTTTCCCGCCGGTAACGGATCAACAGGGGAACTCAAAAATCCTTTCTCCCAGTTCTCTTGTCGAAGGTACGAACGTACCTAAGTAAGCCCAATATGAAAGGCATCGTCACTCCGCCAGACATGGCCGCCGTATGTAGGTTTGGCCTCGACATCATGAGCCAGCACTGTGAAATACGAGTGAAGAGTGAATTCAAATTATCTGTGATGTCTAGGTCATATTTCAACGTTACCACGGCGGCATAAAATTGTGTTTGGTGCAATTGTGATGCAATCACTGATATGATATATATAATGTATCTCAATAGCGCAACCACGCACCTTCTAGCGAAGATGACAAGCATATTGCATGAAACCTTATAAAAAACAGAGAGCTTAAATAGCAACTCAAGAGGAAATAAAAAGGAATGTAATGGAATTATTATCGCTAATTTGGCAAGTTACGCTGAAAGCATTTGTGATGTTGTCGTTATCATGTCCGTTCTTCGACCCTCAGTCGTTGTAGTTTGACTGTCGCGATCCGTCCTTGTCCACTGCCGGCAGTCCATACAAGGCATTGAGCTCCTCCTCTTGCGATTTTCCAGAGTCCTCCAGCACGGGACGCTCAGCGTGGCATGCGACACGAACGGCGTGCCGTCGGTGGGGTGTGAAGCCGTAAGAGGCAGAATGGGTCTGGGTCGAGTCAGTTATTGCGCCTCTTTTCATTTTCTTGGGGTCAGGATGTCACATACCGTTGTCCGATTATCCCACAGAGCAACGTCGTCCTTGCCCCAGGAGAACCGCGCATGCATCTCTTGTGTAGTGGCGACCACGTCTGTGAGGTATTTGACAATGGCGTCGCTCTCAGCTTTGGGGATCCCGACAATCTTGGTCACGAAGCCGGGGTTGAAGAAGAGGGCATTCCAGCCGGTGACGGGATTTGTTCGGATCAAAGGGTGCTTTGTGGTGACCGGATCACGGCGGACGGGCCGGCCGATAGCTCGGGAGTCGTTGGCTTGCATGTCGGCGGAGTGCAGAGCCGACAGATTCTTGAGGTAGTTTTGCATGAAAGGAGATAGGACATCGTAGGCGGCGTATTGCGAGGACCAGAGGGTGTCACCGCCACCACCACTGGGTGGGCCAGTGAGAAGCTTCAGCGATGTGTAGGATGGAGGCTGAATCTCGTAGGTGACCTGCACTAGGGGTTAGCAGGAATTCCAGTGGTAGTGTGACACGGTAGAGAAACTTACGTCTGAATGCCAGAGGAAACTCGGGCTAAACAAGGCACGGTTGTCGCCCGAGTTGTCACCAGTGTAGACGACGTGAACGTCTTGCAGATCGCCTCTCTTTGGCACGGCGGTGGTTGCGTGCTGCGGGAGTAAGCCAACTTGAACTCAACCCACCATCACGATACAGGCAGCCAGATCTCACATACCTTGTGCAACTTGCCAAAGTGCCTCCCGAGTGCCCGCTGGGCCTCGATATCAAAGTTCTTTTGGGACCGGAAGAAGACGACGCCTCGGTAGGCAATCAAGCGGGCGAGGTCATCCTTCTGTGCATCGGTCAGAGTGGCCAGGTCGACCCCATGTATCTCGGTTCCTATCTTGGGGTTGTAGTCGAAGACCGCGGTGGCGTCCTGGAGCAGATTGCGGAAGTTTGGGTCTCCTCGAAGGCCACGATCCTCATACGAGTGTGGCTCGATGGGCACCCAGTGCACGTCCGGGAAAGATGGCAGGAAGTCTTCGTGTTGGTAGTTGTCGTGGTTTTCGACGATGGTCCGTCCGGGCACGTAGCCAAACTTGTTGTCGCCGGCAATTGGCTTGACGGAGTTGATGGCGGTCTTGGGCACAACAACAGTGTCCAGTGCTGGCGGTGTCGAAAGAGCAATGGGCTCTTCCAGAGATGGCGCCATGGCAAAAGATTTCTGGTACTACTGACAGTACTAGTATACCGGAGAGCCCCGGATCCTATGTGACGAATGGACGAGTATAGATCTTTTCAATACTACGAGAACTCGGGTCCAGGGTCCTCTTTATAAGGCCGGATGCGATGGCGTGAGAGAAGCGTGGACCATGAGTCAACCCCGGACACCCACGTCTTCATAATCCGGCTCCATTGGAGATCTTGCGTGCTCGGCCCAGAGTTGAGATTGCGCCATCGCGGAGCATGAAGATGGGAACCGCTTCCCCAGACGCTAGAAGCACGCCATCTGGCTGACGTTGATGGCAAGATTTGCCATCGCTGTCGAGCTTCGAGACACACCGCTCTCTCGCAGGTTCGCTCGCAGGGTACAAGGTCCATGTTACAACTTTCGATGCCGAGCAGCGCAGGCGGATAGAGCTCTGGTAAGTTGCGACGATCGTCGAGGCTGCGGGCCGCGAGGTGCGATTTAGCAGTGCCCGGTTGCGCGCTAGCGGGCGATCACGCAAGAGTGGCGGACGGTTTGCACTTCCCACGCCACGCCGACGGTCTGGAAGAAGCTGACCTGAGAACGGGTGCGCCGCGTTCCGGGCTGGCCGAAATGAGCAGACCGTCTTTCCACAGGCTCCAGCGGTTGGGCGATGATTTATTGTCAGCGGGTGAAACCAGCGAGAGACCTGCCAAGCATTGACATTATAAACCTCGATAACCTTGTTAGAACTCGGATATTACTAACCCTTAGGCATGGTCAGTGTGGGATGCTGATCTATTTCTGATGATGCGCCAAAATATCCGAGACGATCTCAATGGAGTGACTGCAATCCCCAAGACCATGAGCGCAATGGGGAAATGTACCCGTCTCGAGCAACACATCTGGACCAACGCGGGCCTTCCGCCTACGGCATCTACATGTAGAGACACCACGAAGTGAAAGTCGTTTCATTTGCGTACCTTTCCATACCGCTCATTGCATTAGTGTACATAATCGATGGAGCCCTCCATCCTCAAGTCATTTTCAGTTGAGTCCCAGCCGGCCCTCTCCAGCAGACAAGGGCCCCAGGGTCACCTCCTGCACTTGCTCGGAAACACCACTCAGCCGGTTGGCAACGCCCAGAATTCCGGCTTCCACGTCTCCCAGGACAGCCGCCAGGTCGTTGATGGCAGACCGAGGTCCGCCGGGACCAGCACCATCACGAGATCGAGAGCTGACAAACTCGCTGATCTGGCGGTTGAGCGTAAGCTCCACCCCATGCAGGTGGTCTTCGATCTCCTTCAGGTTGCCCTTGTAGCGGTCCAGTACACCGCTCATTTCATCTGAGCGCTGTGAAAAGTAATCCACCAGGTTGACCGGCACGCCATTGACCGCCGTGGCCGTGGCAGGGTCAGCCTCCACGTCATCCGGCAGAGCGAGAGTATTCTTGCGAGTAGACCGGCGATCTGGCACCTTTTGATCCTGCATCGACCACCAGCCATTCCCGCTGGTGGACTGGTACTGTAGGGGCAGCTTCAGGGTGTCGATGGCACGGAAACCCACCTGTGCCTCGGCCGCGTCCCGTGCGACGAGGCCGCGCAGCTGGTCGATGTCGCCTGCGTCGTTCTCCAATGCATGTTGGATGGTTTCGAGTTTGCCCTGCACAAACTCAACGTCATAGGGGATGGTGGAGCCCTGAGACTCGATTGTGGGAAGCATGTCGGACACCTCATTGCACAGCTTGATCTGGTCCAGGATGTAGTTGTCGATGTTCTCGATTCCCTTGCGAACCTGTTCCGCACAACTCTCGAATTTGGTCGTAGGGAGTAGCTCGTCCAGATTAAGAGCCACACCAGGTGCCACCGAACCGCCGGCCACACTTTGTTGCAGTGGTTGTTGAGTCGTCTGTGTCGTGCCCGGGTTTCCGAACAGCGAGAGAGTGGGCTTTTGAGTCTGCTGTTGCTGAGGCTGCTGGGTGCCCGTGGTGCCGCTAAATCGGAAAGGGTTAGCAAAGGTATAATAGACAAGAAACACACAAGAGTCACTCACAAGAGTCCGCCCCCGGTAGTTGAGGTGCCCAGTCCGAGGCTTGGCTTGGCCTGGGTTTGTGTCGCTGAGCCTAATCCACCACCAAAGAGACCACCGCCTCCGGTGGCACCTGTCTGTGTGTTGTTGGATGCTCCGCCAAATAAACCCCCTGCTGTCGTTCCAGTTTGCGTGGTGCTGGTGCTGGGTGCACCGCCGAATAAGCCGCCCTGTCCAGTGCCAGTGCCAGCACCGGCACCAGCTGCAGGCTGAGTGGAAGCCGTCGCCGATTGCCCGAATAAGCCACCTCCACCTCCGGTCGCGTTATTTTGCTGCTGATTCCCGAGACCCGAAAACATGCTGGTCCCGGTGCTTTGTGGTTGCGCAGTGTTCCCACTGCCCAGACCTCCAAACAATCCTCCAGCGGGCTTGGGCTGTGTCGTGGAATTCGGATTGCCGAAGAGACCTCCACCAGTAGTACCTCCACCTAGCGCAGATTTCGAGTTGGTTTGAGTATTGTTTCCGCCGCTGCTGAGCTCTTGATTAGTTCGCTGTTCAAAAACCTGACGCGACTCCGTCTGCCCCTGCGGTCCCTGCGCTCCACCTGCTTGTGAAGCCAGGAATGGAAGATCTGCAGCAGGTCGATCCCGACTTCTTGCGATAGAAACCCGGGATTTTTGTGCCTGGAGGAAGCTTCGACAGCTGTGTGGCGGAGCAGGAGACCCTGGAGCGACGGAGCCGGTTGGGAAAGGAGGGCTCTCTTCACTTACAACAAAGAATTGGCCGAATTTGTGTTGATAGACAGGCCGTCCGTCGATGGTGCGGAAGACTTGGGCGCGAAAAGAGACATGGCGATCGGAATGCGTAAATACCACCGCGCGAGAAGCAACGACTGGAAGGCCGCTGGGGCGCGAGATGCTGATAAGATTTGCGGCGTCTTGCAGTGAATGGCGGCGAGTGGGTTTTCCCGGTCCGACGTCAGACACCAAACAATTACCTGACGCATCGAACATTCAATTACTCCAAGGTTAGAGTAGAAAGCAAAGCCACCCTGGGACATTTTCCTCTCGGTAGTACCTGTCTGGCCTAGGGTGCTGCTGCGGCGTTTGTTTCACTCATACTGAACACACCAAAGCTCCCTGTGCTTCGGCTCATTCTCTGCTATCTCATACTAGTACTAGTAGGTACTCAGGTAGGCGAAAATGAATCTATTGTGAATTGAGCGTTCCTATAAGCCGCTTACTCTTCTTTATATTCTAGTACTACTTACATTCTGCGACACGCCATGGCCGATGGGCAGCCTCTATGCGTAGCCTCGACGTCCCCTTGCGACCATTATTTCAAGGATGCCGAATGGTGAGTCGTTGCTTGAAAAGCTGTCCTGCTGAACCCCTTCAAGGATGTCGCGGCATGGTAACCTATTGACACACCGCACTTTTAATCATTGTTCTAACAGCTCCAATGACCGGTGCTGACTTCGAGGGCTTCACAATAGGTCTCCAGATGGCACGACCCTTCTCACGAACTCGGCGGACCACCGTATCCGAACATACCTTTTGTGAGTAACGGCCCCATCCCACACACTAATAGCAGTATAGTAGTACTTCCAGGATGACCTAGGGTCCTTCGAAGATAGTCCTTTCGAATCGCGACTGACTGACATGTTAGGCCCCACGACCTCTTGGAAGCTTCATCGCCCCATCGCCTTGAGCCCTATTCAACTCTTGCTTGTGGGGAAACAACATATGCGACAGCAATCTACCCCCGGTACGACCTGGCCGATCCATCAACCACAGTGTTTCTGACTTCGATTCGAGACCACCCTATCCGACTAACGTCCGTTTTCGACTCCGAGCCTATCGTAGCAAGCTATTCAATGGTCAAACCAACCACTGAAGCCTTCATCGCTCCACACTCCCTTCTATTCCCTCAAACTCTTGGAGGGACCCATTTTCTCGCCGGATCAGATTCCCTCATTTGTGTTTTTGACGTCGAGCATACGGGTGCCGCTGGGCCCAAGTCCTGGCTGCCTACCGTATCGGGCAGAGATACTGCCAGCATGAAAGGAATTGTGTCCGCCATGGCCAGTAATCCCTCAGGAAACGGGACTCTTGCTGCGGGGACATTCACGCGACGTATTGGGCTGTATGGCTCGAATGGCACCGGAGACTGCCAGGGAACTTGGCACATCGGAAACACCGAGGCAGATCGCGAGATCGGAGGCAGAGGGGTCACTCAACTACTCTGGAGTCCCTGTGGGCGCTATCTGTATGCTGCGGAGCGTCAGAGCGATGGTGTTATCGTGTATGACATCCGAAGAACAGCAAGTGAACTTGGCTATCTCTGCGGACGGAAAGCGGTCACGAACCAGCGGATGAGGATTGACGTTGTTTCTTCCGGCAGCGATGGCTCTCACGAGATCTGGGCTGGTGGGACCGATGGGTTCATGAGAGTCTGGAGAGATCCTGCGTTTTCTGTGGGCAAAAAGGATCCCGATGCTGAGTTTCGAGTTCATGATGGTAAGCCTCCATTTGCTTATCCTTCCTGTACAGGGAATCTGGTACTGACTACCATACAGACGCTGTTTCCAGCACCGTCTTTCATTCCATGGGCAGTGTGGTTGCCACTTGTTCTGGGCAGCGTCGTCGCGATGGGGGACTGAGGCGGCAGACTCGGACGACTCGGACGACTCGGACGATTCTGACGCCTCGGATGACTCTGATGACAGTGACCGGTCCAATAATTGCTTGAAAGTATGGTCGATGCCCTTCCTGGAGGGTGCTGAAGTGGCCGATGACACCTATTAGTCTCAGCTCTGGTATGCGCTCTCCAATTCAGTGGAGGCGGCTAAATAACTTGGACTTGGTCGCCAGCCCAACCTACAGGCAATATGACACCGGACATCATGAATCCCAACCAGCAGCAATTCTGTATTTCGTGTATCCGGCAACCGCCATGCTGGCCATTGCTGCCTCAGGTGTCAATTCGTAATGGAGGGTAGCCCTACGGCCGCGCAAGGGGCTTGGCGTTTTACGCTAGTCCGAAAGAGGTCTAGCGTCTCCATTTGAGCAAGTTGTTGCCCAGCAAGCGGTCCCCAAAACGGAACTATATAAACATGCGTTCTTTGATCAGTACTTGCGCCAAGCCATTTTTTGAACAAAGAAACTGCCATTTCTTTGACCTGCACTTGCTGCTCGCAATGGCGCGTCTGATTGGCCAGGTTCATCGGTCGCCAATTGATAAATACCCCCAGCGCCTGCGTCTTTTCTCCGTTGCATCTCTCCTTCTCATCCTCTCCAGTTCGTTCATCCTTCGACTTCTGATCTTCCCACCTTTCCCAATTTCAGACTTGACTTCTACCATCCATAACAATTTATCTTACCACCCACGCCAATTCATCATACCACCCATTGCGACTCATCGCGATTCAACATGACTTCCACCTGTGTCGTCGCCACCGACTCGGGCTCGAGCGAGCCTTTTGACCCCCTCTTCGACGAGGTTGATCCGCCTTTTGACCCTCTTTTCGACGAGGTTGACGAGGCTCAGGACAACGCCAACCTGACCAACGAAGAGGCTCCTGCCATGATGAACGCCATGGGTGCCAACATTGCTATGGTCGGCAATGACTTTGATCTCGAGTTCATGGCCAGCGAGCCCCACCCCGTCCGCACGGTTACGATGTACTCCGACCAGAACTACATGGTCGCTGACAATGCCATTACCGACTATGCCTCCACTCCTTCTGACAAGCTCGACTCCGCCGAGCAGTTGCTGTATGACCAGCTGACCGCATTCATGGCTCCCAACGGACTCGGTCTCAACGAAAGCCTTGCTGTTGAGCAGTCGACCGTCGTGGACAACACTGCCGATATCTTCAGCCAGCCTACCGCCATGGGTTACAACACCCAGGTCTTCACCCAGCCCAACTTTGTGGATTTCACCACTGAAGTCGCTACTCAACCCACCGTCGTGAATTACCCTGCTGAGGACGTCACCCAGCCCAGCTCGGTCAACTACACCGCTGAAGTCGCTATTCAGCCGACCGTCGTGGACTACCCTGCTGAGGTCTTCACCCAGCCCAGCTCGGTCAACCATACCGCTGAAGTCTTCACTCAGCCCACCGCCGTGAACCCTACTTTTGAGGCTCCCGCTAAGACCTCGCCCTCCGATGATTATGATTCCACCTCCAAGGTCACCGTCCTTACCTTCGATGATATTTTCGACAAGTACAAGTCTCAACTTGCCCTGGTGAAGTCCCAGGGGTCCGACATGTTGCAGTTTGACTCTCTCGAAGAGGCTCTCGCCGCCCAGTACCAGGTCAACAGCGACCAGGCTGACAACACTATCCCGACCACCATCCCGAACAAGAAGTTTTATGTCTCCATCCTGCGTACTGCTCTGGACCACATGGATGGCTGCGCGAACTATGCAACCGGCTTTGGTAAGGGCAAGCTGGTTTACTCGAACGCGCAGAAGGAGCTTGCCTGCTGGCAAATTCTCGAGTCTGTCATCCACTCTCAGGTGAACGAGGTCGCTCTTCAGGATGCTGAGACCAAGGCTTACTATCCCACTTTCTATGAGCGTTTCAAGGATGTGGCTGTTTCTCTGGCCCGTTCAAAGCTTATCTGCAAGTCCGTTACTTCGCCTGCCTACACCTTCGCTCTTACGGATGCTCCGATTGCGGCCTTTAACCGCAAAGATACCAACAAGGAAGTGAACGATCACAAGGGGGAGGTTCTTCGTACTTCCCCCAAGCGTGGCAAGGTGACAAAGCCTCGCAAGGCTGCCAAGTCTCACAACTGAGAATGACTCGGAATGATGCCTTTTTTTTTACTCATGCAATTTCAATCGGTGGATATTCGAGAATGGTTCAATGATTTTTTAATGAGGATTTTTTTGATTACTTGGCTTTTTAATCGGCTTTGGTGAGATTCAGAATGTTTTCACTTATTGGAGAATACAAAAAGAACCAAAAAAAATATTAATGCACTGGGAGCTTTTGTTCTGTCTTGCTTTATTTCTATTTCTATTCTATGTTCCCCCCTTTACCCCTTACCCCTTCCCCCCTTAATATTAAAAATAACAAAAAATGAATGCAATGTGATTTAAGGTATACACCTGCCCGATGTGAGCTCTTACTACAGAAAAACACGCTATGCGACCAACTCCATCGACAAAATAACACTGAATCAAAAATCCAACTTCACACATACCCCTCACATCAAAATGCCATTAATTCGCCGCCTGCGAATAATGCTCCTGCGCCGAACTCGGTATCTGACTCCCCTGCATGAATAAGCTCCATATAAGAGAAATACCAAAAAATACAGTCAAAAACTGCACAAAATATGCAGCCACGAGTCTTCCTATGTTTGCAGTATTTGATAACCCGCAAAAACCCGGCGGGTTACCCACACTAGCCCATAACCCATTGCGGATTGGTGAAGCCTACCCATTTCCTACCCATGGGTGGGATGGATTGGGTTCGGGTGCGGGTTGGTGCGAGTTATGGCGCACCCTACTCGTGGGAGCGCCACTGTAGATGCGAAGCGGCAATGGCCTGGTTCTGGTATATGGCCCGTTTTACTATCTTTGGACCGCAAGGTAATTTCTCACAGCCCTATGTTCTCGTAGCAGAAGAATTAACGTTCGAGAGACTCAAGAGTATCGATCCTGAGACAGGGTCTTATACCTATAGACTGATCACCCTTTTCTAACTCTGCTAGTTATACAGTAACTATTGCCAGGCACCTTAGGTTTCAGGCAACAGTAACCTCTGTGACTTTTCCCTTGACACCAAGCGTTTGTATAGCTCTGGAAACTTGGCTGTAGTCAAAGTCTTTCTTCTCTTCTGCCATATGATTCCATACCTCGTCCAGCCGGTCCCCTTTGACTTTCTGAAGCACTATTATATTCCCGGTCGGGAACACGGACGAACAGCAAATTTGCCCTGCTGCGTAGAAGTCTGCGAAGAATGGATAGCCCTCTGGGCTTTTCTCCTCAAGAGTCTAGTAAATGATCCGTTCGTTAGTGTAACTGTAAACTGCTCCAATGTTAGCTTCTGCTCCCAGAATCCTGAGGGATTTCATTCAGACCTTTGGACGTCAGATTCCACCCAACACTTCGCAACTGCGGATTGTCCGTCCCAAATGACCTCGAATACTGACTTCAGGTCTCACCGTGGACTTAGTGAAAATGAGGAAGGCTTGCTCGCTTACTCTACCACTGATAAAAAGCAAGTAGAAGATGATATATCACAAAAATGATCCACTTTCAGCTAGAATAATAGATTCTAGTTGAATTATCTCTATGGGCATGCCCAAGTAGCCCAAGAAAATCGGTGGGTGGGATGTCCCAGGTCGGAATGTTCGCCCTTTGTTCCTCATCCGGGGGCGGCCCTTCCGATGAACTCTGGTGGCGTTTTTCGGCCGAAATAAATGCGATAGAAGATTCTGCTCAGTTGATCAGGTGATTTTGATCGTAGTCTTGAAAGTTGGGTGTTGAACTGTGCGTAGAACCATCGTAACTTCCAATATATATTTTCACTTTACCCAATTGCAATACATCTCTGAGTGTGGAGCTCGAATCTTCAACATACCTCAGTATTACTCTCGTTTCTCAAAGCGAAATCGAGTAAAGTTTCATTTGCCTAGGTCTAGAGATTTTAATTTCTTTGAATACGGTAGTATAATTAAATATTTCCTTTATTTATCATGGTGAAGATGGAAGTCATACTCGTTTTGACCAGAACAGTTGTATTTTACCGTTATTTATTGAGATTAATCATCTTTTTATGCATCCTAATTGGGAAAATATGCAGTACTTGGGCGGTTTGGGCTGTTCCGAGGTCTATTTGGATATAATTTTGATTATACTTCCATCGTTCGACCAAGCCAAACATCCTACAAGTAGGGGAGCTCTTCGGACTGACCTACTTGGCGCTCTACCTGGTACATCCTTCGAAGCTACTCAATAGGACCCGAGTCCGTATAAGGCCTAGCACGGCAACGGTACGGCTGCGAGTCGATACTTAAGGATTACCGAGTGGTGCTTAGAGGGCCACTTCTGGCCATACCGGCACATATCTTTATTGTACCTCTTGACAACTGGTAAATTGTTGACCAGCGTTTGACCGCTCACCGTGACCAGATAGCAACGCGTAACAACTGTCTGTCTGTCTGTATAACTGATTATAGGATAATTCTCGTATAAATAGACCGAAGGGTAACAAGCTCGTATACAAGAAGTCTTGAAGGCCCTGAAAGTCTCCAAAGAAGCACTTCTAAGTCCCCTCAACGGAAAAATTCCAGATCTTGCATGAACCAGACCTGGAAGAAGGCATTTATCGACGCGATCAGTATACCGAACAACTTTGATTTCAAAGATCATCCGGCTCAGGACTGCGAACCCAGACAAGTTGATTATGACCAAGCGAGTCGACACTGAGCAGTCATATTTGATAACCCAAGGCATCATGATATGAAGTAGGCTTCAGGACTGATGTTTATCCAATCTAGGCTGATCTGCAAGTCTGCGACACTTGGTGATCTGCCTAGCCTACTATATATTGGCTCTTATAGGTATCACAGTTTAATTATGATTTTCTTGTTACGAAATTATTTGATTCCCGGTTTTAGTCAATTTATCAGTCGTCAGCCCGACATCTGCCTTGGGCTGCAGGCTGCAACATCAATGTCCGATATGGGCGATGTGTGAGGAGGTACAAAAAGTGTATCTAGAATAATTTATCCAGTCAATTGGTTTCATTGACTTTATGCAAGCTTAAATGTAGTATGAGATCATGGTGACTATGAGGGCGATTGGAGCTTGAGATGAGAAATGGCACTGAAACTCACTGCTGGCCCGGTATCCGAATACCGTATTTTTCGTAGGGAAAGTCTTCTAACGTGGACAGGAGCTGTCCAAATCCATCGCCAATATTTCCCGGTAGTCCAGCTCCCTGAAGACGCCAGGATTGTAACTCCTCGGCCTCTTTCTCCGAGGGTGTCTTCTCATTCTCCTTATGTTCCCCAGTACGCCCCGCCAGCACCTCATCTTCGCGACCTTTGTACGCCTCCAGAAGACCGGGGTGTGGAACCCAAACTACCTGCATACCTGCCCGGCGGCCAGCCTCAACACCCGGCACGGCATCTTCAAAGACAAGACACTCTTCTGGCTTGACCTCCACCTCGCCCTTGCTGCGCAAGTTTATGTTGATGGTCTCCAGAGCTAGAAGATAGATGTCAGGCAACGGCTTTCCTCTCCCCTTTCCGATGCGGGGATCATCCCCAAGGACGCGGTGAACTTCGGGAAAGACCTCAAACAGCTCGGTCAGGTGGCCAGACTTGAGCTTGAAGTTTTTGCTGTGGGAAGACGTGGCAAGGGCGATATGAACAGGGTGATCGGTGGACTGTGTTGACACCAGGTTCGATAGCAAAGTTGGCACCCCCGGCAGCGGTGAGCATTGTGGGAAATACTTGGCCTGCAACGAAGACTGTTTCACAGCAGTCTCCTCCGGCGTGATGGGAAGTTGCGCCCAGTCATGGAAGATCTTGCTGGCCTGAACCAATTGTTAATTAGAAATTCGATCGCCCATTGGAGACAAACAGGGGAGGGGGCAGGTACTTCAGGCTGCGGCCGGCCTTGCAGCTGTGCTTTGATTGACCAGGGCAGACAGGGCCTGCCATACATTGCCAGCACCTCATTGGTGATCTGCGTATATTTGTCTTCGGAGTCGATCAGCAATCCGTCCATGTCGAAAAGACATGCCCGGATCCGGGGGAGACTGTTTTCCGCGTCAATTGGGTTGTTCCTCGACCAGGAGGGATCTCACACACTCTCTGCCATGCGTCATGGTATGCAGTTACAGTAGGGCTTGATCGAAGGGAATGGAAAATCGAATCTGTCGAGACAAAGCCCTTTGCATGCGATCCTAAAGGGAGCCCAGCAACCGTGGAAAGCAATTGACTTGGTTTTGTTGATAAGACGCGGGGGTCGACCCCATCCTGCTTATCGCTGTCCCGTGATCGGCCAAGAAGAGCCCACCATCGACGTATCCTCTTTGCATCCCACACAACATGACCGACAGCAGCGGTTCAGCGCCGAGGCAGAAGGATGAAAAGGAAACTGTGATAACCAGTGGGGATGACGACAGCGACAATGAGGTGTTCCACGATGCCCGGTACCCCACCGAGGAAGAAGAAGTGAGTCGATCCCCAGATTTTCCTCCCACAACACCGAATAAGACGGAACAATAGCTAATTTATGGCGTGCGTGGTCACAGAGACTGCTGAAGGAGGCACATGAGATCAAAACAGAAGCAAATCAGCTGTTCATCGCGAAATGTTACGACCAAGCGATCTCCTGCTACGATCGCGCTCTCTCGTCATGCCCCAACTACCTTGACTACGACGTCGCCGTGTTGCGGAGTAACATTGCTGCTTGTTATCTCAAGTTGGAGGACTGGAAAGCGGTGGTGGACTCAGCAACCGCGTCCATTGACCGTTTGGATAAATTCCTCCCACATCTTTCTTGCGACAACACTGCCAACGACTCGAGCAAACCCTCAGCACCCGCAACCAGGACACAGGAAACTGACGGAGTGGTGGAGATTCTGGGCGAAGACGAGGAAGCCGAGGAAAGACAACTGAAACAGTTAAAAGCGCAAGATGAGCAGCGCACGAACGTGAACCGGATCCGAATCAAGGCTCTGATGCGACGAGCCAAAGCGAAATCTCAACTAGGCGGCTGGGCAAACTTGCAAGGTGCGTCGGAAGACTATCAGGCCCTTGCAGGCATGGAAGGTCTTCCTTTAGACGATCGGCGAATTGTACAGCAGGCTCTTCGGGTGCTGCCTGGGCGGATCAACGAGGCCAAGGAGAAGGAGATGGGAGAGATGATGTCGAAGATGAAAGACGTGAGTTCCAAATTCTTCGGTTCCTTTGCCCATGCCCGGGTGTTCGCTAACTATTATTTGGCTTTGCAGTTGGGCAACGGACTTCTCAAGCCATTTGGGCTTTCAACCGACAACTTCAAATTTGTACAAGATCCCAAGACGGGCGGTTACAGTATGAACTTTCAATCTTGAGGGAGGTTTCTAATGCTCTTTACATTGCATCCCAAATACCCCACGAAAGGACTTATGCTCTCTAGCAACGTGGCCGGTTACCCGGCTAGTGCCACCCAGGGAAAAAGAGAAGTGTCACAGTCTCAGTGTCTCACCCCCTATAAGAAGATCAAAGAAAAATACAAGCAGTTCAGATTCTCAGTCTCAAAATTCGGAGTCCATGAATACGATATCCCCAGCCACTTTTCGGTCTTTCAAGCCTTGTGATCCGACCTCCAGTCATCAGACGATGACAGACATCCTTATTGATGGGGCTTGACAAGCACATGGTGGACGAAGGGCTTTATTGGCTTCGAGTCAGCATGTCTCCAAAGAAAACCAATCATATCCGCTAGTGTTCTGACTATACATTGTAGTGGGGAGACCCCCTTCCCCCTACTACATGGGTGCCATCCATGTTATGTGACATAGCCGGCAGTATACGGTGGCCGGATAGCTAGTTCTAGAATACACCTTCTTACACCTTCACGACCTGACCCCTACATTTGGGTTTCTCGCTATTTCCTGACAGCTACGCGTGTGTTTTGTGGTGGTTTTCTGCTAAATCGACCCGCACGTCTCAGCGCGTGCTGCCATCGAGCGTTCCCCTCTTCAATATAAATAAAGCATGGCGGTGGCTAATAATTACCCATCTGCGCTGATAATTCGATCGCTCTAACTAGTCCGCACACGGTTTCCTGGTTGTAAATCTCTGGCTGACCGTAGCATTCAGCGCGTGCATAGCGGAATTCCAGGCTCTCTTTATCAGAACCCTGTTGGTACCTGTGAAAGATCGCCACAGTATGATCCAAGGGTAGGAGGCGTACGAAGAAAGAAGAGAAAAAACCAAGATTAGTATTTATAGGCGGCACACACCGCCTTTTGGGAGCCCTAGGGGGACTTTGCGATGTCGTACATGTACAAAACCGCATTAGTAGGATGGGAAGTGTGTGAAGAGGGAAGATAAAATGGCAAAGATCAATATTCATAGTACTCACACACCGAATGCAGCTAGGTAGCATGCCAAGGACTTGGCAGCATGGAAATGGATGGTATTAGCAGTGGAGTGGGAAATATGTGAAAGAAGAGAAATCCGTAAAGAGTAGTATTTCATTCATGTGCAAGCCCTGGCGGACTCGGCGATGTAGTACCGGTAAAATATTGCATTTGTAGGATCCATGGATGGGAGATGTGCGAAGAAAGACGGAGAAAAGCAGGCCAAGATCAGTGTTTATACATATCTCTATGGGAAATTACTATAGCCACAGCCCCTCCTCGGGACTCTTTAAGATGATTCATTCCTGCTAATGCCACAGATCATACTGGACCATTTCAAAACTTATTCCCGCCTCCGTCGTCCATGTTTTGGCTAATTTGAATACTCTATATTTGATGCTATCTCATACTATGTCCCTGCCCAGTCACCTATCTCGTCATCTGCCTGGTTAACTTTCTCCGTACGCTAATGCCCTAGTAGGAAAAGGAAATATATGCCATATCACATGCAGGGTTGAAGTGGAGCAAGTCCGCTACAAATGTACTTGTGCATTTGTCATTTCTGTTATTGTACCATCTTTACAAATAGGAAAAAAGGCATATTCTGCTCCATACATCAAACTCATGGTCCTTGGTCGATATTCTGTCTTTAAAAATGATGTATGGATATGCAGATCAGGTGGAAGGGTACCTGACCACGTAGATGACGGGTTAGATGACCACCCGGGCAAGAGAGATAGACGCCTAGCAACCATAGCCGAAGTCATGCCGCAGGTAGGTCTTTCCTGGGCACCTTCAGAGGTTGAAATTCCGACGGCAGGATCAACATCAAAGTTCCACGTAGGCCCCAGAGTTTCTGAGTGGTGGTAAAACTAGCGCCGGGACATGAGTAAACCATCCGTTGGGGCGTGCACTTGCGCTTACGGAATTATCACGCCAGCAAACATGACGGAAATATAAGCAAATTCCCAAGATATATGAGGTCCGCTTGCTGAACGCCAGGCTTTAGCTTGTTTCGTCTGGTACACTTGGGTTAGTGTAGGGCGATTGCCCCCCCCGGCGGAGATCCCGCCGTGCACAATTCCCCCACTCAAATTACATTGACACACTTACCACCAATAGCACAGCTCAAGTGGGATCTGTATCGGCCCTATTGGAGGATAATCGGCATATTGTAGGTCTCCAAGGTGCCATTGACTTGACATGCATTCTTCAGGGCCGCCCTCTGACCAGCTAGCGACCGAGCTATGGATTGCCCTCACTTAAAAGGCGATGAGATTCCAATTGGCGATGATGTAGAGGATACGACAGACAGCCTGGTAGACACGCCTTCACAGCACAATGCATGCGCACAAGCTTTTGACCTCTGCGGTGGTGGCTTCCTTCGCAGCCTGCGTGCTCGCCTCGCCTGCCCCCGAGCCCGCCATCACCGAGGCGCCAAGTCTAGCAAAGAGAGCGACAACATGCACGTTCTCTGGGTCCACCGGAGCCTCCAAGGCCAGTGTGTCGCAGCAGTCCTGCTCTACCATTGTTCTTTCTGACGTCGCTGTGCCCTCCGGAACGACTCTGGATCTGAGCAAGCTGAAGGATGATACCACGGTATGGCGCCCGGGCGGACGCATCTGTTGACCTTGGTTATGTTGCTGGGCTAACGATCTGCATCTAGGTCATCTTTCAGGGACAGACGACATGGGGCTACAAGGAATGGTCGGGGCCTTTGCTGAGGATCTCCGGAAACGGCATTACGATCAAGGGCGACACTGGCGCGTCCCTGGACGGACAGGGCGCCCGCTGGTGGGATGGAGAAGGATCCAATGGCGGCAAGACCAAGCCCAAGTTCTTCTACGCTCACGATCTGACCTCGTCAACAATCACCGACCTTTACATCTATAACACCCCCGTCCAGGCTGTCAGCATCAATGGATGCGATGGACTCACCATCACCGATATGACCATCAACAACGAAGCCGGCGATAGTGCCGGTGGCCACAATACCGACGGGTTCGACATTGGCAGTAGCAACAATGTGGTAATTACCGGGGCGAACGTTTACAATCAAGATGACTGCGTTGCGGTTAATTCTGGGACGGTATGATGAGCTATGGATGCTTTCCTGGGGGTCCCAAAGCTAACGGGTTCATTAGAGCATCACCTTCAGCGGTGGTGTTTGCTCGGGTGGGCATGGATTGTCCATCGGAAGTGTGGGTGGTCGCAGTGACAACACCGTTGACACCGTGACCTTTAAGGACTCGAAAGTCAAGGATTCCACCAACGGTCAGTCCCAATTTCCAATCGCCATGGCATTCTCCCTCCTCACCACGGTCTACAGGGATTCGTATCAAGGCGCGCAAAGATGAAACAGGCTCGATTACGGGTGTCACCTATTCCGGCATCACTCTGCAGAATATTACCAAGTGCGTTTCAAAAGTATCTCGCCCTTGATGCCTTCGACTGAGCTGACGCTTCAACAGATACGGTGTTCTGATTGAGCAGAACTACGACGGCGGCGATCTCAAGGGTGACCCAACCAGCGGCATCCCCATCACCGACCTGACGGTCAAGGACATCTCGGGCACGAGTGCGGTGAGCTCGAGCGGATACAACTACGCCATCGTATGCGGCTCCGGTGCTTGCTCCGACTGGACCTGGTCGAATGTCAAGGTCAGCGGGGGCAAGACCTACGGCAGTTGCCAAAATGTTCCCAGCGTGGCTAGTTGTTGATTGATGGTCTCGGGAATGTCAGCAGCAATAAGAGCCAGTGAAAGAATTCGACTTTAGGCCGGTGTAATATTGGACTTGTCAAATACGAGCACAACCCCAAGTCTATGGTGCATGTTTCTAGTTCCATCCGTACGGTGTAGGCTGCCTGAGTATGAGTAATCAGACCGAGGAGGCCAGCCAGGCCGAGGATCTTCAAGACCCATCGAGTACCCGTTTGGCTGCGCCAGTGTGGAACTGCCAATTGTTGGGGAACCGAGAACTCCCCGGAGATCTGGGTCTCCAATAGGCGCTCTCTGCTGGTCAAGATGGACGATCGCCCGGTCGGCACTTGCAGCCGGCAGACGGCGCTTTGACAGTCGACGGCTTGGACCCTGCAGCGACTCCAGCCTGCGATACTTAATGTCCCGCGCGACGCGATTCCTCGATGAATCGATCAATTGCATTTCGCTCACAGCTGGTGCTCTGCGTCGTGTAAATCCTCGTCTTAACATGTCGCCCAGAATCTACCGGTCGCCATACCCGGACATTGATATCGAATCGGTCGATCTGGTCTCCTACTTGTTCTCGAACCCGTTCAACACACCTCTCGACAGACCTTTGTATATTGACGCGACGTCGGGGAAACAATACACTTACGGCGATGTGCTTCAGCGCACGCGGTCCCTCGCACATGGCCTCCAACAGACCTTTGCTCTGAGGCCAGATGATGTCGTGGCCCTTTTCAGTCCGAATACGATCGAGTACCCCATTGTTTGTCACTCTATTGTGGGCTCAGGTGCCATTGTTGCGCCTACCAGCGCGGCCTTGACGGCTCTGGAGTTGAACGCTCAACTGAAGACCAGTCGCGCCCGATTTCTCATTGTGCATACCTCGCTCCTGGGAACGGCGCAGAAAGCAGCCAAAGGTACGGTGGTTGAGAAGATTATTCTCCTGGATGGCCCTTCCCTAGTGAATGGACAGCCTACATGCGAATACCTCGCGAGCACTTCTCCGTCTGCCCCCTTGAGAGAAATTGCGCCCGCCGCTGCTCCAAACAAGACGGTCTTCATTTGCTTTTCTTCAGGCACCTCTGGTCCATCTAAAGGTGTTGTCACCACGCATCAAAACATGACGTCCAACTTGCAGCAATGGCGCGCGCATATGCTGGAATCGGGCCAGATGTCTCAGCGAGTCGATCGGAACACCACCATTGCGTTCCTGCCGTTCAGTCATATCTACGGCCTCAATCTCTACATGTGCCAGTGTCTGTTGTGGGGGACAACCGTGGTCATGCTACCCCGATTCGACCTCGACCAATATCTTGGCTGCGTGGAGAAGTATCGCCCGGGTGAGCTCGCATTGGTGCCTCCGATCGCTCTGATGATTGTGAAAGACCCTCGCGTTTCCAAGTATGACCTACGCAGCGTCAAACGAATCATGTCCGCCGCCGCGCCTCTGACGAACGAACTATCCGCCGCCCTCGAAGCCAAGTTCAAGGAGCTGTACCAGACCCAAGTCTTCTGCACTCAATCCTGGGGCCTGACCGAAACCTCGCCCATGGCCACCGCCGTACCGAACGATCGCATGGACAAGAGAGAGTCTGGAGTGGGCTGCATTACGCATAACATGGAATTCCGCTTCGTGGACCCGGAGACCATGACAGATGCCGCGACGAAATCAGATGGGTCGACTGAGCCTGCCGAGATCTGGTGTCGAGGACCCAATGTGACACGGGGCTACTACAATAACGAGGATGCCACGAAGGGAGCCTTCCACACTGAACCGGATGGAACTCGCTGGTTCCGCACCGGTGATATCGGGGTCATCGACAAGGATGGCTTCATTGCCATCCAAGACCGGATCAAGGAGATGATCAAATACAAGGGTCTACAGGTTATCCCCAGCGAATTAGAAGGAAAGCTGGTGGATCACCCCGACATCGCAGATGCTGGGGTGGTCGGCATGTGGGTGGATGAGATGGCCACGGAGCTGCCAGTCGCCTTCGTGGTCCTCAGCCGCCAGGCAAAGAGTCGAGAAGCCAAGGATGTCATCAATGGTATTCATGCGTGGCTGAATCCGAAGGTCGCCAACCATAAGAGACTACGGGGCGGGATCCATGTGCTGAATCAGATTCCCAAGAGCCCCAGTGGCAAGATTTTGCGGCGACAGCTCAAGGATCTGCTAAAGAGTAAAAGGCCGAAGTCCCAATTGTAGATGGTGAGGAACCTGGGGAAGCCTGGGTACTGTATAGTTCCCGCTGATTCCTCTAGTGTACGAAGTATATATACCAAGTATACAAAGAGCGTTCTCATTTGCATCTCGACTGTTCCGACCCCCACCAAGAAAATGTCCCACGCGACCACTGGAGAATTATTGCCACTGCACGTCAGCTACACACTCATCTCGAGCGAGCGTAGTCAGATCTGATGCGGATTCCACAATGGCAAAAACAACACGAGCTCGAACAGGCCTGGCAACCCACTTGCTTTCTCACATTTTTTTGCACGCAAACTCGGGGCCCGCGGGCTCCGCGGATCGGAGTCCTGTCTGTGTCCGCTGAGAAGCGGCTGGGTTTTTCTCTTTCAATTCTTAATTGATGTAATCTCAACGTTCTCTTGTTTTACATTACTTTTCTTGGGTTTGCAAAACCGAAATTCTTTATATCTTTGACATCTCGCCCGTCGCGCATACCGCAGCCTCCCTCTTACCGGATGTGACGTCGAGTGGACCCGCGATAGCTGCATTTCTGAGCATCAGGGACCATCCGAACGTAATGGGGCTCTGGAATGACTGGCCCTTACACGGGGGCCATCGCGAGCCCACGAGGCCCAAATTCGTGGAGCTGCGGTCCTCCAGGTGGTTTATCATGTTCACTGTTTCTTTTGCGACATGCACAGTGAGTCCCGCTGATGGGTTTGTGGCACGTTTTGGCCACGGATGACTAACTAAAGAATAGGACATATTTATGTACGGACTGGTATGCGCTTCGACATGCACCTTGCTTTTTCGATCGAGTCGACTCACCATCATATCTGTGTAGATTGTACCAGTCACCCCCACAGCGTTGGAACGAAAGGTCGGCTTCTCCGGGGATCAAAGTGAGTTGAATGTTGTGTCGTGCCATATCTTGATGCCACAAGCTGATGACAATTCTGTGACAGTCCAATCGTGGACATCTATTCTGTTGGCACTGTATTCCGCCGCCCTGCTGGCCTTCTCTCGTATGATCTGATTCCTCCCCCCGGGTTGCTCTTGAGGTATTGATTCTAACGATTCACAGCGATCATCGGATATGTAGCGGATAGGACCGAGTCTAGACGATGGCCATTGCTCTTGGGCCTTGTGGCACTGGCTGCGGCAACGGCTCTGTTGTGTGTTGGAACTCATATTGGCTTGTGGATCGCCGGTCGTTTATTCCAGGGCGCGGCGGCAGCCGTCGTCTGGACGGTCGGTGTTGCGCTGATGGTTGACACGGTCGGCAAAGAGGGACTAGGCCAGGCCATTGGGTATGTGTCCATGTCAATCAGTGTCGGAACACTCGCCGGTCCGCTTCTGGGTGGCGTCCTCTATGAAGATGGCGGGTATTACTCTGTCTTCGGTCTCGCCTTTGGATTGATCGCCATCGACATCATCCTCCGGCTGGCGCTGATTGAGAAAAGACATGCTTTGCCATGGATCCAGCCAGTAAACAAGCCTTCGGCTCATTCCGAACCTGACGATCTGGAAAAAACAAATACTCCCACAGTGGCGGGTCCGGTCGACTCCCCGGGGGCCAGCATCAGCCCGACGCCAGAGGCCCTGAAGCAAGCGAACATTCCAAAAAGCCCCCTGAAACAGGTGAAAACACTGCTTAGCTCCTACCGTCTGGTGGTATCCTTCTGGGGCTATTTTGTCATGTCGCTCATCATGACTTCGTTCGACAGCGTTCTGCCGCTCTTCGTGCAGGATACATTCGGATGGCAGCAGACCGGACAAGGACTGGCCTTCATCCCACTCATGGTTCCGCACCTTGTCGATCCAATTACCGGGTATATCATCGATCGGTTTCCAAAATCGCCTCGCTATATAGTCACCGCCGGGTTTCTGAGCGCGGTTCCACTGGCTGTGCTGTTGCGACTCGTCACAGAGAACACGATGCATCACAAAATTCTCCTCTGTGCGCTCCTAGCGTTGCTCGGTGTGTGTCTCGCCATCGTGATGACGCCTCTCGTTGCGGAAGTCTTCCATGCTGTGAAGGAGAAGGAAAACGAGTCGCCCGAGATATTCGGCCGTGGGGGGCGCAATGGCTCTGGCGTTTGGCCTTTCCAACATGGGCTTCGCGGCCGGCAGTCTGATCGGTCCGTTCTTCGCTGGGTTCATTCGACAGAGCGCCGGCTGGAGCACAATGGGATGGGCGATGGGACTGATTGCGGGAGTTACGTCCATCCCTTGCCTGCTTTTCTTGGGAGGTTGGATCATGGGGGAATCGAAACCTGCCGATGCTTGCAATCCGTCGGGGGAAGAAGTAAATAGTTAAAAGTGGGGGTAAATACCTGCATTTTCAAACCTGTATGACAAGCGACGCATTCTCAACTCAAGGAAGTACAAAATAGCATCACCGTATATAGATTAATGTCTGCTGCTCACTCTTGATCTGCTCACTGATGTCTTATCGATGTAAACACGAGGGTGCCTAACAAGAAATCCGGGGAGGAATATGCGGCCTTGTTGCCTGTGGCGTCAGGCATCAAATCGAAGGTCGGGTTCCATTCCTTCCGCTCGCCTTGTTTTCCTGTCCATTTGCTGTCCGTCGATTTGGCGTGCAACAAACGCTAGACCTGTTAGCATCTGCTCGACTGATCATCCTCTCCGTGCGACCTCCATCTTGATACCGATGTCTCTCCCACATCCCGGAATCCACCTCCCCCGAGCCTCTATTCCAATGCACACCCCACAAGCCCAAGTGGGTTCCCCGCAAAGGCCCCACGCCGACCCAACTGGACTGGACTGGAATTTCGATGGAGTCTCCAGCGGGCGATGCTCGGGAGTTGAGGAGGGCCGCATTAGCCGTCCTCTACTATGGAAGCTCACCTTCTCTCTGTGTTGACCCCAGTGATCCCATCCCATCCCATCCTATCGGCATTGCTCTATGATTCCAGTACTCGCCATGACAGGCCCAGAGGTTCACCATCCGATGTTGAATGCGACTTTCAAAGGCATCAAGCGTGATGATCAAGACACGGGTGTTTATCAATTTCTGGGAATCAAATATGCGCGCGTTCCGGCACGATTTGAGAGAGCTGAACCGGTAGAAGGATTCGGAGGTGCTATTGTTGACTCGACGAGATACGGGTAGGTATACCCCTTCAATAGCCAAAGGTGCTTTTTCTTTGACCACTGCTTACCCACTCTGAAGACCAAGATGCCCTCAGGCTGATGTGGATGTGCGCCACCTTCTTCGAATTCCCGAGGATTTTGCGATTCGCCCCGAAAAGGAAGACGAATTCGAGTGCTTGAACCTCGAAATTACTTGCCCGCCAGTGTTATCTACCACCGAGCCTTTGCCTGTTCTTGTTTGGATACATGGTAAATCGGAGAGATATTCCGCTGTCATTACCAGTGTGTTCTAACATCGCTCTAGGTGGCTCCCAAATTGTAACATTCTGCTCTGCAGCCTCGAAGATCTGCGGTAGGCAAACCTCTTCTGCATCTTTAATCTATTATGATGCTGACACGTTTCGAATCAGATCCTACCAAGCTTGTGGCCGATTCGATCAAAACGGGGAATCCCATCATATTTGTTTCGATCAACTATCGCCTGAACATTTTCAGCTTTGGTGATGGCAAAGAAAAGAATCTCGCACTCAAGGACCAGCGTCTGGGTATCGACTGGGTGCGAAAGAATATTGCAGCCTTTGGAGGAGACTCGGTGAGTACTCTGGTTAACTCTCGATATAATTCATCGTACTAATGATTGTATAGAGCAATATCACTCTCTCTGGAGAGAGTGCGGGCGCTATTTACACCCATGCGCATCTCATAACTGGTCCACCTGTGAAGCGGGCTATTCTGGCGTCGGGTACTTTGTATCTGTCTTCACCTCTGCCCATGGAACGTGGAGATGCACTTATTAAAGCCCTCGAGTCAAAGGTGCAGGAGTTGGGCCAACCGTCGTTGAGGGGATCCTCGACCTCGGCTCTGGTCCAAGCGCTGAAGGAGTGCAATGTCAACACCATGTGGATACAAGAAGAACCGGAGTTGATGGGCTGGGAGACTAAACCAGAGCAGGCCGATGAGTTGATGATTGGCGATACCGAATACGAGGTATGCGATCTCTCGTACGATGAGTGGACTCGAACTTTCTAATTCTTTTCTACAGTCTGTCATATGGCGCAATGGTGTTGAGCAGTTGGATGGAGAAACCATCGCTGCCGCTTTTGAGAATGACAAGAATTGGGCCACGCAGCTTCGCAAGATGTACCATATTGTCGGAGACCGTCCCACCGCTGCAAAGCTAGGGGCTCTGGACCTCGTCCACGACGCACGCTACACTCTACCTGTTGAAGTTATCTCAAGAAAATTCGAGGCCGCCAAAAAACGTGTGTACAAGTATGTCGTCGACCAGCCCAATCCATGGCAGGCCTCTAGCCGCGCCCATCACGCCGTTGATCTGCTGTTTCTCTTCGACGGTGTTGATCTATCGTTCAACCCGGCAGCAACTGCAGTTGGGCAAATCATGCGGCAGCGTTGGATTCGTTTCGTGTCGGGGCAAGCACCTTGGTCTACAGAAAGCCGATTCGCTTTTGGGCCGGTGGGCGAGTGTAAGGAAATCAACGAGGCCCAGTTCGCCATTCGACGAAGGGTCAACCATTGCAAGGTGCTCCAGGAGGCTGGAGCTGGCGTGTATATGCCCATCCTGGCTGCGCTCACGGCTGGGCGCATCAATTTACTCAACTAGACCGTGCAATGCACTAGACCTCGGCTACTAATTGAACACATCTTCCGTCCCGTCTCTCATCATTGTATGTCCTCGCTCGGCACAGATCTCCCGACTGCGGTGTGTATAGTTTCGAGTGTACCTGTCGATCCACCAACATCCACAGCCCATTTTCAAAGTCTTCGGTAGTTCTCGCCTGGGTTGAATCCCGCGCCGCCCATTCTGGGCCAGAGACCAGCGCAGGCCATGCGACCCACCGACGCCGACGAGGCCTGACTATACCTCGTTGCAAAAGCAGATGGTCCACCGCTTGCTGAGCCAGCCGGTTGTTGCGGGTGTTGACTTGTCTACTTCCGTCGCTCTCCCCACGCACCACCGTTACTCAGGCCTGACTCATGTGGGGTCGCGCTCACCCGCGAATCTCGTGCCGTTACTTTTCAAGATCCCAGGTCGGCGTCTCCACTGCAGTGCACGAATCGTGCTCCACTGCTCGGGGAGTCGGCAAAGCGAGGCTCTATCGACATGCCGATTTGTATGGGATTTGTAGGTGGATGGGCTGGTCGGGCCATCCGAGGCCGCAACCCCAGCTATCTACATCCAGCGGATGGGGCTCCGCCATGACGATGCCCCTCATATTCCACCCGTGCTCTTGCATTATTTGCAAAAAAATGCAATCGTCTATGTACTCCTTGGGCTTCGGCTGCCCGGATTCCTTGGCTAAGGAACCCCACAGACCTCCCAGAGGGTCAGCTTTGGGCGCCTGAGCCCGCTGAACTATATAGAACCGAGTGGCCCCGCTGTCCCTGCTCGCATTTTCTTTTTCTTTTCTCCTCTTTGAGATTTGATCGATTAAACAGATCATCATGGCATCTTCAAGTTCTCTGACCGATCCCAAGGAATATCAAAAGATTTTCCATTGGGCTGAAACCCAGAAGGACGGGACAATTCCTTCATTCAACACACGTCGCAATGACCCTTATGAAGTAGGTGATCGCTACAAATTCCCTCGGCCTTTTACATGAACTGACACATCTATGCTGCAGTATCAATCTGGCTTTGGAAACGCGTATGTCTTGGGACTTTCTACATCTTGCGACTCAACTGGCTGATGTGGCATTTATCCAATAGCTTTGTATCCGAGGCAGTTCCAGGCACTATTCCACAAGGCCAGAACAACCCTCGCAACGTCAGGTTCGGACTCTATGCCGAGCAATTGACTGCCACGGCCTTTGTTGCGCCCCGACATGCAAACAAGAAGGCGTGGCTTTATCGGGCACGCCCTGCAGTGGCTCACCAGGGATTTGTATGGCAACTAGGTTTCGCCTGGGTCGCCTCAATAATACTAACGTTGAATATAGACCGAGCTCCCAGATAACGCAGAAACAGAGTCCAACTTCCTACCGATGAACCCCCGCATCCACGTTTCTCCTACTCAGCTGGCATGGCATCCTTTCGATATCCCTACTAGCGGCGAGATCGACTTTGTCTCCGGTCTGAAGACTATTGCCGGCTCGGGCGAGCCTACTCTTCGTGAAGGTCTAGCCACACACGTCTATGTCGCCAACACAAGCATGAAAAAGAAGGCTTTTGTCAACTCCGACGGCGAGTTCCTGATTGTTCCTCAGCAGGGCGCCCTTGATATCCAGACCGAGTTTGGTCCTCTTTTTGTCCAACCCGGAGAGCTTGTGGTTATCCAGCGCGGTCTCCGATTCCGTGTGGAGGTGCCAGATGGTCCCTCGCGTGGCTATATCCTCGAGGTCTGGGGCTCCTGTTTCGAGCTTCCCGAGCTGGGTCCCTTGGGTGCCAATGGCTTGGCCAATGCGCGAGACTTTTTGAGTCCTACCGCGTGGTATGAGATTGCACAAGAGCCATGGAAAATTGTGTACAAACTGGGTGGGAAGTTCTTCAAGAGTACCCAGAATCACAGTCCGTTTGACGTCGTGGCGTGGCATGGAAACTATGTATGTTCATGAACTTTGTCTCTCTATCTTTTCTGCATCGCTGACATTCTACCTCTAGGTCCCCTATAAGTATGACTTGACCAAGTTTGTCAATGTTGGTTCCATCTCTGTGGACCATATTGATCCTTCCATTTTCTGTGTGCTTACGGCAAAGTCGCGGGATCTGACTGCGCCGCTGGCTGACTTTTTGATTTTCTCTCCTCGATGGGACGTTGCATCTCGTACGTTCAGAGCCTTGGTTCACTTTGCCAGCATCGTTTCTGACATTCTTGGCAGATACTTATCGCCCCCCTTACTATCACCGCAATGTGGCCTCGGAATTGATGGGCTTGATCTACGGCGAATATGGCGGCCGCTCGGATGCCTTTAAGCCAGGCAGTGTTTCCTTCGAGTGCGGCAGTATGCGAAATCCCATTTCCCTCTCTCTGAGGAAATTCTAACTCTGAATAGTGGTCCCTCACGGTGTTGCATACGAAGAGTTCAAGACAGCGAGCGAGAACCCTCCACCTGTCATGAAGATTTCTGAGGCATCGGTCGCCTTCATGTTTGAGTCCAGTCGCCCTTTCACCATCACCGACTACGCGTGGAATAGCGAGAAGAAGCATGAGCATGAGCCGAAGATGTGGGATAATTTGGTCGATAACTTCTCAAAGCATGCGAAAGAAGTCGAGGAGATTCTGGCTAAGAAGGCTAAGAATCTTTCTGTATCATAACTTGCGGATGCCTTAGAGCTGATTCTCGACATGACTGAGCCTTATGAACATAACCAAATCATAGCCTAGTCACTTTCAGTGCAAATCAATCTGATTCATCAATTCAATGTAAATCTTCATCGCCAGCTTCCGCCAGCTTGCGGAAATCTGGCTTCTGTATCTCAAGCCATTGACCTTCCTCACCAGCCTATTTCACGAAAAAATAATTAGTTTCGTCTTTAGAACACAATTATGGAAGCAAGATGTCATAATGATCAGGTAGATTGACAGATCTTGGGTCGTGCTATCCCAGCCTCCAGCGCCGTAGTCAAAGCCCCCATCACCCAAACGATCCGTAGTCCCTCTTCCCCTTCTTTCCCAACAATCCGTTCCCACTTGGCAACGATGGACCGACAATGCTCAATGTAGGACTCATTCGAGCGGTTTTCACTCGCTCGCGTCCGCAGAATAACACGGTTGTACTTTCGTCTTATGCCACCACGGAATACGACTTGTTGAGTCGCGTCCGTGAAGCGGACATTGATGAAGAAGCGTGGAGTATTGAATCTCGTGCAGTGCAAACTTGTGAATGCTTGCGTCAGGCTTTCTTCCTGCGCTGGGGTCAGCGGGCAGACATATTCCACGTCGTAGAGGCATTGTGGTGGTGGGTCTATTGAATCTTTTTGGGGGGATTCGAATCCGTCCAGCTTCAATAATTGAGTTGTGAAAAGGGTAGGTGTAGAAGCTTTCAGATTCTGCTCTTGAAAGTGGTACGTTTTAGGGTCTCCTTTTTTGATACAGTAAAAAACATCGACCAAGCACTTGCCGATTTGGTCGAGTGTATCGGGCGAGAACAAGGGGTCAAAGCACCTCATGCATGGACATTTATTCATACATCGCAATGTCGATATTTGGGTACTTCTCAATGATTCATTATCTGCGTCGCGTGTGATATATACATTCGTAAATACGCGGCCAAACTCGCGGCGTCAACCATCGAAGGCCCACCAAGATGACGCTCAGAGAGCCTAAGACCAATACAAACGATGAAAATGCCTTAAAGGTATCGCTCATTCCACTGACCAGTTTGGGCCCTCCAGCACCCGGGCTGTTTTCAGATTGAGCTCTGTTAGGCCCAGAGTCTGAATCCAGGTGAGATGTCGAGCGAGATATCTGAGATTTGCCCAGGGCAATACCATCCCGATCAAGTGGCTCAACCGAGATCCAGTCAAAATGACCTCTGACTGTATGAACAGTCTCGAAATTTGTCTTCTTCGTACTACCGATCAGGTAAGGTGGGTTATTTTCTCCGTCCTGTGCGTAGAAATTCCATGAATCGATGTCTGTCGCGCCATTCCAGCTGACGTGAATGGTGGTCGCCAGATCATTCTTCCCAACCGCCCCAACTGAAGCCACAATAGCCGGCGGTTCACTGGGCCGACCAACAAACTCGAATTTATATGCTCGATAGTTGTAGAAGCCAGTGGTGAGGAATTTTGCTTCCATCAGGTTGTCGCCCTCGGGTGAGAACTCCGAGATGTACCCGTTGTCGCTCCAGCTTACAAACATGTTTTTATTTGGCAGCTGCTGGGCATTTCCACGTAAGCGACTGAGTCGGCTGTCCGGTCGATTGTAACGATGAATAACTCTGGCTGTTTTGGGCGAGGAGCCTGCGGTTAACTCCACAATCAGGGCAGATGATGCATCTTCTGCATTCTCCTTGTCATCGGAAGCATTGTTCAGGAACGAAATGATGTAGCTATCACCACTAGACTCCAGAAATCTAGCATCGTGCTGTTTCGAAAAAGTAAAGTCCTGCTCAAAGTCCGACACGCGCCCACCTAGTCTCCACTTGATGGTCCCGTCTGTGCCAGAGACCAGGTAGATAGTGTTCGTAAACCGCATTGAGACCAAGTAGTCCCCGCTCGAGTCCTTGTCCACAGAATTTATATGGACATAATCGTGTCCGGGGGACTCTTCTGGTGCACTATCGGCATCAAGTTTGACAGATTCATGAAGTGCGATATTGCCGGGGGCGGAGGAATCCCACCATGTCAGCTTCTCGCCAGTGGTCAGGTCGAATTCGTAGAAGCCAGCAGCAGCAAAGAATGACTTTTCACTGGGGCGACCCAGGTCCGCTAAACTGAGCTCCTTTGGCCAATGCGCGCAAGCTAGTGCCGTCTTGCCCCCCGGAAGGATCCTGAATTCATGAATGTCAAATTCTTCAAGCTCTTCCGGCGCGATGAGCTCGGACTGAAGTTCGTAACTTTGGTTTAATATTACGGCCCGTCCTCGAGGGGCGTCCTCGCTCTTTTCCACGATCCACGACAGGTAAGGATTTTCACCGTCCTGGTGGTTGACTCGGAAGTCGTAGGCATTGAGATTGCCGAACAAGTCTGAGCCGGTCCAGATCAGAGTCTACTTTGCATTAGCAGTCAAGATTTCCTCTTTGATCTTGTTCAGGGATTTGAGTACGTACCCCGTCTTTGTCGTAGATGTGCGGGCCGACATGAAACGGCTGCAGGCCGGTTGTCTTATTCTTGGGGATCTGTCTTCCGTACGGTGCCACGAACCAATACCCTGGGCTCACACGGTCGCGGTCATGGTGCTGGACATTGTATCTCGGGGCCCACACGTCGGGGAGCTAGATCATGATCAGCATCGTCCACGTTTCCTTTCTCCGGGCCGGTGGTTGTGATACCGTCACAAAAGACATGAAACCCTCATGGTCGGAATGAGCGAGGATCCCGCTGACGACCGACAGGAAGAGCAGCAGCCAAAAGAACATGCTCTGTTCACCAGGGACCCATCAAGCCCCGAGGTCTGGAATGTGCATTTGACGGGACCGTCGAAGATCGTCGATCGATGCGGAGGGGAGATTGCGGCTGGCTCGGGCGTTGGCCGGGCACTAGCGACTCCCCATCTGCGGCTCTGCAACAGCCATCTCCAGCTGTCATGAAAGACTGGCAATGATGGATCCAAAGACAAAAATTATCTGGAGATCACTCAACCTCCGACAATCCATCCATTCTGCATTCGTCCACTTTGCCGCGTTCTCTCCAACCTCGAGTACAATGGCCATTGCCATTGTTGGACATTGATCGGTGTTCGGACGTTCGGCCTCCGTCGACGGGTGGGCGGCGCCGTTCCAGCCCGACGCCGACTACGATCGAAACTCACGCGACTCTCCAACAGCCGCTGAGACTTGGACCTCATCGCGGAACCAGTCAGATGCAGGCACACGTTCTGTCAGATCGGGCCAGCGAGAGCGCGTCCTCCGGGGCTCGTATTTTGCCTTCGGTCCCGAGATGCAACGAATATGCTGCTAACAATGCTATATAGAGTTGACAACCTACAGTGTTGCCGAACACCTGGCACTAACTCAACACAATCACTGCTAATTGATATATCATATATACCAAGACTTCATTCGATCGGCCAGTGCCTGAATTGATACCGCAAATCATCCTCGGATCTATCGCCATTGCATCTCCCCCTGGGATATACCAAGCTTTATTGCGAGTCGCCAAACAATGGGCGGCCCCTTTGCGCCTCGAGTCGCCCTACTGGGCGGCAAGCCAACCGTCGATGTCGATGTTCCCGTTTGCTCGGTCTTCCTCGCCCTCTTCCTCGGGTTCGGCGTCTCACACATGGTGGTCTTCCGACGCAATTTGTCCAGAGGTCACAAGTTCATCCCGTCAGCCGTCACGTTCGGTTTCTGCATGTCGCGCGTCGTCGCCAGTATCATCCGAATTGCCTGGGCCTGTCATCCAACAAATGTTCGACTTGCCATCGCCGCGCAGATTTTCGTGGCGGCCGGGGTCCTGCTGCTGTTCATCCTAAACCTGCTCTACTCGCAACGCATGCTCCGCGCAGCACTGCCCCGGATCGGATGGTCAAGAGCCGTGTCATATGCCTTCAAGGTGTTCTATGTCCTCGTCGTTCTGACCATCATCATGGTCATCACTTGTGTGATCCAGAGCATGTACACCCTCAACACGAACACCCTGCGCATCGACCGGGACATCCAGCTCTACGGCGCGACCTACTTTGCCATCGTGGCCTTCCTCCCGCTCCCCATCACCCTCCTGGTCCTCTTCTTTGCCCGTGGCAGGGACTTTGAACACCCTGGATCCGGCACTTGGGCGGCGAAGGGATGCATTGTGATCTTCGCCGCGGTACTCTTGTGCTTGGGTGCCTCGTTCCGCGCGGGCACCACCTGGATGCCTCCTCGTCCCGCGACCAACCCACCATGGTACGACCACAAGGCCTGCTTCTATGTCTTCAACTTTGGCATCGATTTGTCAGTGGTCGCACTCTTCCTCATCGCCCGCGTTGATCGGCGATTCTGGGTGCCGAATGGCAGCTCGGCGGTCCGTCATTATCGCGGAGCCGAGACTGAACAGAAGGAGCCATCGTCGACACAGGCCGACGAGCGTGATATCGAGAGCTGCGTTGGTCCTTCGCCTGTTTCTTTTTCTTCGGTTCAGCACGAAAAGTAAAGATCGGCGGCATGCCTCTTGGCTCAAAAACGGTTGGTGTATTGTGTGATCTTGTCTGGAGTTACACGGCATTCGCATTGGTGGCGTCGTACTAGATATACTGCATATATTTAATGTGATATGTACAGCATTTGAAGTTTCCTACAACGTAACTCGAGGCTGCGATAGGTCGTAGACGGCGAGCCACCCTATCCTACTAGATGGTGGAAGGAAAGGTCGAATCTCGCAAAGGGGCCTTTTTATTTTCATGATTGGTATCAACAGACGGCAAGGCATCGAACCACACAGAATTAAATGGGCAGAAGCCCTGTTCGTATGCAAGCCCTTTCCATCTCTAGCCCCGTAGCCTTCTGAAAGACAATGATGAAATCTATCACAGGAAGTAGTCGGGTGTGCGTCTCGATACCATCGGTTCGCCCGCTCGGGGGCAGGGGTCAAATTGTAGACTGTGCGCGATCACGTTAGCGGGGTCATCAGTTATCCGAGTAGGGGGAGAGTGGGGGTGGAAACTCACAATGTGTACTTCAAATGCTCGTCAATCTCCATAATAGCGGCCTGGTTGCCGCAACGGTAACAATAATTGGGCGCTGCAATTCAGGTCAGTCTTTCACGGTCGTCTTCCGAAAGGATCGTCACGTCGAGCACAATCATACCTGAGAAGATGGTCACCACGTTCCTATCCTGGGACCAGTTGTAACCCTCCATCACCAGTTGGTGTGCCCGCGCAACCAGAGTCAAGCCGTTATTGTGGTTGAACGCCTCCGAAATATCCTGTCCAAATGTGTACCCCGCACCGCGGGGAGAAATGCCCCAACCGCAGCGGTCATCGGGATCACTCCAGAGCAAATCACACATGGGTCCCTCGTGCGGGACTTCTTGAATACGGTCCAGGGATCGGATGTTGTCCAGGGTGTCAATCGACGGGCTCAGCCCACCGTGGAGACAGAAGATCTGGTTTTCAATGAGAGCAGTGAGGGGGAGGTAGTCGAAAAGATCGGTGAAGTATTTCCAGACATTGGCGTTGCCGTATTTGCGCAGACACTCGTCGTAGAAGCCGTAGACCTGGGTGATCTGGCGGGATTCGTGGTTGCCACGGAGGATGGTAATGCGTTGAGGGTAACGAATCTTCAGGCAGACCAGAAGAGTCACGGTCTCGACCGAATAGTATCCTCGGTCAACATAATCACCTGTTGAGAAGAGATCGGAAAGTCAGAAATTTGTCCACAGACACCAGTTGCCGCCCCCCACAACCTCCGACCGCAGAGGAGGGTCGATCACCACTTACCCATGAAAAGGTAGTTTGTGTCAGGATTAGGACCGCCGATGCGGAAGAGTTCCATTAGATCGTGGAACTGGCCGTGTATGTCACCGCAAACCGTCACAGGGCATTTCTAGGTTTGTGAACGTCAGTAACTTGGAACTGCTGGGTAGGTGGGCTGTAGCCCGACCGGCGACAATGACACATACCACTGGCTGAACGTTGGATTCCTCCTGCAGTACCTCACGGGCCTATTCGAGAAAGAGTCAGTCATCATGGGTTGGGTCATCAGAGATTATCCAGCAGGACAACCCACCCGATCGCACAGCCGCCGCACATCCTCCTCTGCTAGTTGCTTGCACGTCATCAAGCTCTCGATCCAGCCATCCAAAGTCGGTATGGAGCCCGGGTCGCTCGTCGGGGAGAGGTGGTGTGGCTCGGGCGACCGTGCGGTATCGATCTCCATGTTGTTGTCCATGGTGGGCACAGCTGGCGGAAATAGGAGGGGCCAGCTGGGGAGGGGCGGTCTCGTGAGAACAGAGCACGGATTTTTCGCGCAGTGAGGGACGGTGGAGGAGGAAAATAGACGAGGTCGAATCTAGTGAGAGCAATTTGATAAAGGAGACAGGGTCCCGAGAGCAACTCAAGGGATGAGGGGGTTGGAGGGGGAGGACACAAGAGAAAGGGAGAAAGAGTTGGGAGATGCGGGAAGGTCAAGTTTGGAGGTGAGTTTGCGCCACACTTCAGCCACACCGCCGAACTCACTTGCTTTCACTTCAAATTAGCTGCGGCAGGCATAACGTTGAGGGTCTTTTGAGCGAAAATTGCATGAGTGTGTTGCTAGTAGAGCTCCCCGATCTCGTGCGGTTATCGATTAATTATCTAAATGCAAACAGCATGCGCCATTAATACTTACCAGTACCATTGTATATTAGCTGTCGAAGACCGGGTTTCCCTCTGAGCTCCAGACTATCTTCTACAGTGATCAAGTCTCTTCTCCTCCACATGGTTGGACTAAACAACAATCATTACGAGAGTGTGTAATGAATAATCCACAATATTAAGACAAGCCTATGGTGTGCCCATTTACAAAAATCATTAGCGAAAAAACTACATCTATATAGCACACAATGCTTATCCTAGCAGCAGCCACCAAGATACAGTTTATAGTGATCAGATGGACCCATATCATTAGCTGCGGAGGTGGCCATTTTGTCGTCATATACATCACATCGAACGCAGTCTATTTGCACGGATTAGTCTTGCTGCATCTATTTCTGATGAATCCCAGTACCTTTGAACCGAAAGCAACTTGTCTGCGCACGAGGTTTATGCCCAGTCCTACCCTAGAGTAGTATCGTCAACTAGACTAATATAGAACTTCAAGTATTGTTGGCCATTGGTTTCCATATCTGCAAATTTATCTAATTATAATTCTCGCGAGTCAGCAACACGACCAGAGAACGTCAGTTACACCAAGAAGGATTCGATGGCCATCCTGTCGGGTGGAGGCTCTATGACCAACGAAACCCGATGCATTTGAAGCATTAGGCTCGATGACATGATGATCTGGGTCCACGGGCTAAATACCAACCCCTTCAGATGTTGGGCTTCATAGACAGTTTCGAGTATTTTATGGTGCGCAGCTTGCTGCAAGTTGACCTTTTGGCCCCTTTCTTTGCAATTTTCTAGGATGTGTGGATGTTGAACTGGCGATAATCTCACTGAGCAAGAGCCCAGCCACAGTTCATGCTAAATATATCCTAACCTGGTACCTTGGGCATCTATTAGATCTGGTACGAACAATTGTAGTGCTGATCATCAAAGCATGACGTCAACACGCATTCCGGTCAAGTTTGTCAGCAGGAGGGGGGAGGGGCAGTTCATCGCTTTGACCGCAAAATGAACAATGGCGAAAGTCTGGTTTCTGATCCATAGAGAGATCAATTCGTGGTTGCTCCAATCGTGATTTTTGAAAAAAATGTCGGCCGCTGCAAAGAACGTTATTGCCACGGGCACCTCGTCGGGCCTGGTAAGTCGCAATCCCGCGCCCTGATGACATTGTTTGGGCTTGATTAACGCGATGAATAAGGGATTTGAAGTCATCAAGCAGCTGCTTGAGAAGCCCGAGCCATACAACTTCATTCTCGGTGCTCGAGACATCCAGAGGACCCAATCTGCCTTTGACGATTTGAAATATGATACCTCCAAGCACACCATTTCTCTTGTGCCGGTTGATTTTACCGACCTGCGCAGTGTACAGCTCTTTGTTCAGCAAGCATTGACCAATTTAGGTCCTCACAAGTTGGACCTCCTCTTCCTATGTGCAGGCATGGTGGCTCCCGCGGAAGGGCCCAGTCCTCACGGCTCACAGTGGTGCGCTCCCTACGTTGTCAACCATCTCTGTAAGTACTCGATTATTAAAGCTTACTCCAGCATCCAGACTAATCGAGGTTATTCTTGGAAAATCAGCACAGCACTACTTGGTTCATTTGTTGCGTGAGACTTTGGCTGCATGCAAGTCGCGGATCGTCGTGGTCTCCTCGGGTGGAATCCGGAATGTCAGAAACCAAGATCCGAGTGAGTTGAACGGTTTTCTGAGTAAATAATCTACAGGAATGGCCTACTGATCTTGCTAATTAGCAACCCTCGATGTCGACCTGAAAGCAAACTCTGGAGCAGACCACAGAGTCGTGTACAGTGCTTCCAAATTTGTGCAGCTACTAGGCGCGCACTATTGGCGCCGTGCTCTGCCCGAATGTACAGTGGTGGCTGTCTCGCCTGGTCTCATTCCAGACACAAAGCTTGCTGGAAAGGACATGGGATTGACCATGAATATGCCTGATGCGAAGACCGTTCCAGAGGGTAAGCATTGCAACTCCAAAATCATCGATCCAAACTAACACGCAACAGGCGCCGAGAACCTTCTGCGTGCGTGGAACGTGAGTGATTTTCCATCGGATCCTCAGCAGATTTTCTTGACCAGCTGGGGTGAATGGTGGCCCAAGGATGTCTACGCCCTCAGCCTTGATCCTGCCCTGCAGGACAAGTGGTGTTTGAGCAGAGAAGAAATTGAGAAGACCGAGGGTCTTTCGGCTTAAATCTCTGAATCATGTCTGGTCCGTCCGAGACTGTTTCGGAAAAGATTGAAAATAGCTTCGTATTACCTACCACCTATGATACTAGATCAGGGACACTAGGATTTTCGATTGTTTATATACTAAAGTTCAACTTCATGTAGACTACTAAACTTTGGAATACAATGGATAACTGGCTCCCCCTGGAGATGAGTCAACTTGTCCGTTATCTAAGATGCGAAGGAATTAGGAGTCAAAAATCGCATACAAAACTTCGCAGTAATCTACTAGTACATCTTGGTCATTGGGATAACAATAATACACATTTCAGCAAGCTTTTGATCATGGAAATCGTCATCATCATATCATAAACAGTCGTCTCATTTCAAGGTCAATCCGCGACAAACTTAGATAATGTCGCCTCCGCCGAAGCCTCCTCCGAATCCACCATATCCCCCTCCAAAGTCTCCTCCAGGTCCACCGCGACCAAACGGTCCGCGCGGTCCCTGGTAGCGACCCAGGGGAGGATCTCCGGGTCCGACGGGGTCATATCGTGCGCCAGGTGGTGCACGAGGGTCATACACACCACTACCGCCGCCAGGGCCGCCGAAGAGCGGATCATCAAAGGTGGGATGCATACCACCACCAGATCCAAAGCCAGGGCCCATCGGTCCACGAAGCGGATCATGAGGAGCCATTCCGGGTGGGTATAGATCTCTGTCTCCTATGTTATAGGGGCTTCGACCTCCTCCCAGCCCTTGGGGGTATCCACGTGGAGGGCGGCGGATCTCGAATTCATCCTCGAATCCGGGCGGGGCAAAGTCCGGCGGGTTTGGCATGCGTGGTCCTGCTGCGAGCGGATCGTCAAATGGATACGGACGTGCGGGTTGGGGCAGAGAGTCATCGCGAAGGGGATCATGTCGTGGAGCTTCCTCGGGCCGGGCACCCCGTGCCCGGTTAGTATCCTCGTATCCTTCCTTATATAGTCCCGGTGCCAATTTTTGGATCACATTGATTTTGAAAAGTCCAATCAGGTCTACCAAGCGGGCGGACGAGATGAACACGTTATGCACGGCACTGGTGATATTCTCGGTTGTTGAGAGTGGGAGCGCAGATCCAGAGATGTAATCTTTTACAGGCAGATCGAACGAGCTGGTGCGATCGTCGCCTAGCGCCAGCGCGTTAACCACCGCATTGTTTCCGAGTCGGCTCACTTTCAACAGGTACTGCATGGAGGATTGTTCGTGTGCGTAGCGGAAGGCAAAGGCATCGTTAGTGTTCCATCCTGCGGGGAGGGCGGGGGGTTTCTGTAGGTGTTTCTGCTACTGTGAGCGAGTTGTATCGACTAGACAAATTCGAGAAGATACTCACCAAGGTTGTGGTCTTCCCCAAGCCCCACCAGCCTGAAGCCCACTGCCGCCATGCTGGCATGGCCGACCAGCGCCACAGCTTCATAAGGAGTCTTGAGGCTCGGCTGCCCCTCGCCGAGAGCTTTCACCACGAGGTCAAGGACGCCGTCGGGGCTCAGTGCGTTTGTGCCAGCCATCTTCTTATATGATGAGAAATATCGGTTGCGTTCAAGCTGCAGTGCCAGTTGTGGTAGCAGCGAAGTATTTAAGCTCAAATGGATGCTATCCTGTCAACGCGAGGCAGCAGCGGTGATGCGGAGAGCTGACGTAATTTATTGGTGCCCAAGGCAGACTCTGGTCCTGCGCCACTTCAGCGATGACTGAAAGGGAAACAAGACCAATGACTACCCTAGGGTAGAAGTACTATGGAGCGAGCCCTGATGTTCTGTCCTGACTATTCTTCAGCGGGATTTCTATTTCCATCGATTTTGGGGCTCGGAATAGGCTGCGGCTCTATACTTTACCTAGATAAAATCCACATTTCTCGAAAAGGTCATCAAGATTAATGAAAGAAAAACATGATCGAAGAATCTAATTGATTTGTATATCGTGGTATCTACAGCATCGCCTTGGGAAATTTCTTCATCGCCTGTCGGACTCCCAAATCGGCCAAAATTTCCTCCGTGCCTCCAAGAATGGCATCGAACTTGTATGTACGGTGGAACATTTCAATAACCTTACCCATGCCGGTCTGAGTCAAGCCACGTCCACCGAAGATGTTGGTGGAGTGGTCAGCGATCTCTTGGGCCGATCGAGTAGCATGGGACTTGAGCAGACCGATTGGCCCGCCCAGGTGCGCCGACTGCTCCGCGTAGGACATGTTGCACATCTGGTAGGCAATCGATTCAAGCCATGCCTGGCAAGATTCGGTGAGAGAGATCATCCGGGCGAGCTTCTGGCGGATGGCTGGTTGCTCGACAAGCTTCTTGCCGAAGACGATACGCTGGTTGCACCATTTCAGACACTCCTCAACAATCGTCATCGACATGCGCACCACGGCCGCAACCATCATGAACCGCTCGTGGTTGAAGTTGCTCATGATCACGATGAAACCCTTGTGCTCTTCGCCCAGCAGGTTCTCGACGGGCACCTTGACGTTCTCGTATTGCACGTAGGCTGTGGCGGCGGCGGTTGAGTAGGAAGTCTTTATCTGCTTGGTCTCAATACCTTCCCCACGGGGGATCAGGAGCACCGAGAAGCCCTTCTCGGTCTTGCAGCCCGTCACGAAATAGTCGGCAAACATGCCGTTGGTGATCCATTTCCTAGGCAAGCATCTGGGTTAGAAAAATGGGACCATGCCACTCTACTAAGAGGCTTGTACTCACTTGGTACCGTTGACAATATAGTGCTTGCCATCTGGGGTCTTCTCCGCCGTGGTCTTCAGGCCAGCAACATCGCTACCGGCAAAGGCCTCGGTGATGGCAAGACACATCTTCTTCTGTCCAGAAAGGACTTCGGCGGTGACTTGCTCCTTCAGCGCTGGGTTACGCAGCCACTCCTTCACGGCCGACAAACTAATGGCCATACCGGCCATATTGCCGTCTTGGAAACCACGGGCATTGGCGCGCACTAGCTCCTGGGTCACAATCATATCATGTAAGTAGTCAAACTCCTTGCCATCGACTGCGCCGCCCAGCAGGGTTTTGCCGTGGAGGTGTTTGCCCGGGCCCAGTCGCATGGCCAACACGCCGTTCTCGGCCATCTTGTTGATGAGCTCCTGGCTGATAAAGGTGCCATCCTTTTCCTTTTCCTGCGCTTCGGGCGTCACATGTAGGTCGGTGAATTCGCGGATCGCCCGTTGCAGACGGCGATGGCTCTCCTTGAAATACGGGCTCTTGAACTGTGGGCGCAGCCACAACGGCTCTGCGTAGGGAACGGGACTGAGAGCGCCCGGCTTGGGCTCGATGACTTCGGGCTTCTCGCCCTCCAGGTTACCAATGCAGAGCTGGTCCCGGTACTTCTCGAGCACCTCCTGGCGATGCAGGTTGTAGAAATCGACAGTGGCATCCTGGCCGGCGACCTGCGCCAGCACCACGCTCCCACCGGGGTGGGCGTCGACGAAATCGGTGAGATCGTACACGCGGTGGTCGATGATGCACCAGAGGGAATCCTCGGTGTTGTGTTTCGCGACCTCGGCACGAGTGAGGGTTTCGGCAGGCATGGTGCAGGGTGTTGGGAGAGCAACGATGGAGTGCGGCCGGGGGGAGGAAGGTGGAGGTAAATACTTCCGGCTCACAAGGGCTGTAGGGTACCCTAAGGTAGGTGCAGGTCAACGAGGTCTGGCACTTCACCCGGTACCCCGGATTTCCGGGGGCCAATCACCCAGGGCGTGATTTTCAGCCGAGGTGCAAGTCGCAACCGAGGAGCTTCCAGTGCCAACAGTGGACCCAACAGACATTTTATCAAGGATTCTACAAGTGTAGTGATGCTAATATTTAAGTAAGAGTGCTCTACCAACACTAGTAGCTACAGTTGTCATGTTCTGTCTGATCATCAGGCCTAAAAGAAATGACCGATCTTGTCACTCCAGACTGTATTCAGCTCTCTCGCCACGCCAGCGCGACCGAGGTCCAACTGCTGCAAATCGACCTTCACATTTGAGCTGCGGATGGGCCCATGCCGCGGAGCTAACCAAAGGCGCTGCGCGAATGACAAATCGCCCAATGGTCATCGTCAGACCATGCGACCCACCGCGATCGGCGCAACTCTATTGAAGTACATACTGTGGTAGTGCGTGTTGCGTGTTGCGTACAGCCACGGCCGAGGTTGAAGATGGGCGATCTCGATTTCGATCTGGATGGTCCGAGAGGATTATTTTCATGCAGGCAGTCTCGCTATCTAGTCACACAAGCATAAATGAACCCTAGGTTACCGGATGCAAGGGGATTGGGTATGAATAATATCGGATACGGGTGGCCCTACTACCTTCGGGTAGGGAAAGGTTGTAAGGTAGTAGAGTATCTATGAATATGTACAAGACACGCCTGCGGAAAGACTGCCAGAGCCCGCGTATGGCTATCGATGTTCCAACCCCTCCTCATCCTACTCATTGATCACGGCTATCTTGGAGTTTCTTCAGCTGCTCCTCGATGAGCCACATGCAGACAGACTGCGCATCGCTTCCAACACGCCAGCTACCCAGCACCACGCCATGGGTTTCAAGAATCTCGCTCGCGCGTTCCCAGCGACGTCGCCATAACTCCTCGCGCTTATTGGGGAGCGGGGCGGGTGGCATTTCGGACTCGGCGGTGTTGTAGGAATTGCCCGAGTTCGTTCGTCCCAGCGACTGGTTGGAAGCCGTGGGGCGCAAACCAGGCACCGGAACCGGCGACGACGAAAGGTTGAGCCGCTCGGTGGCATATTGTAATGCAGCCTGCGCAGCAGCCGTGGGGTATGATGGTTTGGGGGGTGGTGCCGGGCGTGACGCAGCCGTGCCGGTCGTCGCAGAGCTGCTAGTCGAAGATGCAGTGTTGATGCGCCGAGGAGGTGGTACTGGAGGAGGTGGCTTGTTTCGAGTTGGGATGGCAGGTGCGCGATCACCCTCCATGACAGGTTCAGTCTGAGAGCGAGAGATGGGAGAAGGGTCGAGGTCGATCAATGAATCTGTCTTGGGCGTCGAGGTGCGTCGAGGCGGCAAGGGAGGCACTGGCTTGCGGCGAATAGCTTCTTGAGATGGGGTTATCGACATGCTTGCTGGCGGTTCGAGAGCGTTTCTCGGTCCTGATGCCGTGCGGAGCGAAGATGGCTTTAATGGCTTGGTAGGAGGAAGGCGTGGCTTTGCAGGTGCACTTGCATCAGCCCTGAGCGCGCGCGGTTCTTCCTCATTCCGCAGATCAATGAGATCCCCATTGTCCAGGCTGCTCGTATCTGTCTCCAATGATCCCGATTTCTCCATCGGTCGGCGGGGAGGCAAAGTAGGTCTTCGCGCCGCGGAATCCGAATTGTCCACGAGCTGCGGCGTGCTGCGACTGCGAGTGGGTGCGGCGTCAAGATCCTTCACGGATTGGTCGAAAAACGGCTTTTGCTCGGGGGTGGTCACATCGCGGATGAAGATGCCTAATATTCGACCAGGGTTCGCGAGAACAATATCGGTGTAGACCTCTAGATCGGCCTCTCCACTATCACCGACGAGAATGAACTTGCGTTCAGGGAAATCTCGCATGATCTGCTCGAGCGAACCTCGCTTTCTCTCTGCGGTGGGCTCGAAGATGCCTTGGAGCATACCCGAGTACTGCTTGAGGTGGAACGATCCTGGTGGGAGATCAACCATCTTGAAGTATCGCTCCAGGAGAGGATACAATTGCCATGGAGCGTTGGACACATAGTGCATTTCCACTCCTTTTTTAGCCACCTGGGTATACCATTCGCTAACTCCAGCCACTTTGAGCTCCGCCAATTCTCGGACGAAGGTGTTTCGGAACATCTCCTTTGCGCCGCTCGCGATAGCGGAGTGCTTGACCGTGTCATCGATGTCACTGATGAGACTGATACCAGTTGGTCCGATAATTTCGATGGGCTTTGCGGCTGATAAATCTTCGGACGCAAGTACTCGGACGTGCGTTGGGACGAAGGGCAAGGGAGCCCGAACACTGAAATGACCAGATTCATCCGTCATGAGGTTACGAGACTCGCTTTGGTCATTGTTAAAGAAGAATATGGTCACCGGCATCCCAGAAACAGGATTCGTTAAGAACGGGCGGAGTCTCTCCATCAGATGTGCATTCGCCATGGATATCTCATCCTTGCTCCATTGCGCGACTTGGTTAACACCTTCGCGAGCACGCTCGGTGTGAGAGCTCTTCCATGCCTGGTCGGCATCTCTCTCGGCGGTATCAACCAACGTCTGCATCTGCTTGTCCACGTACTCGTCCTCCCCTTTAGAAGGTGGGGCGTCAGGGCCATCCTCGTTGGCTGTACCCGAGGGCGTTGGGATACCGCTAAGTGTTCGCGCCAGCTTGACCATCAGGCGATGTTTCCTGCTCATCGGCCCTCGGTTCGGTGCATAGATCCAGCCACGCACGTCAACATCCACGACGGCATTTTCGATTTCCATTTCAGGCCAAACATTGCCAGAGCGGTCGCTCTCCTCGGAAACACCTCGGTATTCGTCGATCGTCTCGGACCATGAATCACGTCGTGGGCGCATCTTAGTATCGTTTGCCTTCTTGGGTGGAAATCGTCTGCCATAGCTCGGGAACAGCACCATCTCTTCGTCCCCGGATCGCGCAATCTCCACGTCGGGGAAGGCACCGGGTGTATGATAGTAGTCTTCGGAGGAATCATTCCTCGGGCCAGTCCATCGTGATGTATACGCCTGACCCAGCTCGTTGGCAGCTTTCAGCCATTCGTAGGCCTTTTTACGGCGGCTCCCGGGGGCGGTTCCATCACCGCTTCCTACACCCCATGTTGACGAGAGGCTGGACTGAGCCATCGAGCCTCTCGCAGCATCGCTTGGCCCCTCTGCAGAGGCCTTGATAGCTCTCGAGCGTCGCGCAAGACGACTAGCCCAGGTTCCAAGTCCACTCTTCCCGCCCCGCAGCCGTCGCCGAGGCCCTAGGAGATAGGCAACGAAGCCCCCACCGGATCTGCGATTGCGTGCTGCAAGTCGCGCCTGTCGATTAACGATTGCACGGTAGATTCGCGACTGAGCACGATGTCGGAGTGCGGGGAGGGCTTCGTGGCGGAGATCCCACAGGCGATTCTGGGTGCGGCGAGTCCTAAGCGGGCCGACGAGGACACGGAGGAGAATCGAGAGCTTACTCGGTCTGGTTTCGCGACGGAACAGGGGTCGGATGGAAGGAGAGGAGGTAAAGGGAGGCAGACGTCTGAATAGCGAGTGGTTGTAGCGCAAGTTTGGCCAACGGAAGCGCGGTTTAGGAGCCAGGGTCTCGGTTCGTCCGAGGACGCGGTTTGTTGATGATTCGGTGCGTGGAGTGTAGCCAGGTGGCTAGTCGAGATCAAAATGTGCTGGTAGTAACACAAAGAATTTTCCGCATGGTACGGACCAAAAAAAAGCCAGCACTCACCTCGACACACAATTGCGGCTAAGGATATGGTGGGAGTTGGAAGTTGAAACGTTGCGCTGGACCGGCGGGACGTGGATCAGCCCCAGATGACGCCAGCCTCGCAGGGCTGTCTCGGCGATTTCTAGGCGACTCCATCGGGGCTGGTCGCTTTACATGCTCGAACTTGTTTCCGTTTGCTCTGTATTGTTATTCTGGTTTCAAATTGCTCTCTGCGGACATGGGACTAAATGTCCTGTCGCGACTTGGCTCGATAAGCCCTCTCAGTTAACAATTCATATGATACATAGACTCCCAAAATATATATATGCGAAATTCCACACCTTGGTAGTGCACCTTCCAAGGTCTACTAGAGTGCACTACAGCAACCGGGCCATACACTCCTGTACTGCTAATGCAAAGAGTTCAAGTCTTGACTTAACGTTTCATAATCTTCAAATGTTCAAATCAATGGAATTATATTGTCACGCACTGCAGCTTGACACGCGCCACGGACATGAACTTTGTGGTATTTGACGTTCCTAGGTAGGGTGTGAACTACCTCTCTACATAATCTGCCAGTCGATTCGCAAGTTGCCTGTCTCATGCTACAATGTACTCTATCAGGATTCATGAGATTGATAACATTTATTCGAGTGTATCGCACGTTTTCATGTCTACTGTCTACCAAAATATCGTACAAGATTCATCATTATACATACCACTCAGGGCTGATTTATGCGCTTTCCTCGGCATAATTAACCTTCTTGACGCGGCTACTCCTCCTAGTCGTGGTAGTCTTTGTGGTGACCCTGTCTTGGTCCACAGACAAACCACTCAACTCCGACTCGGGAGTAGACTCTTCCATTTCCTCGACCTTGCGTTTGGCTCGTGACTTGGCCGGAGTAGAGGTGCGCTTGGGAGCCATGGCTGTTTTCTTCACCGGGGTTTCCAATGTCCCATTCGCAGCAGAAGGCTCAATCTTCATCTTCCTTGGGCTAGGAGAAGCCTTGGGCTTTGGAACCTTCTTTGCTGGCCGAAGCCATTCTTCCATTCCGCGGGGCCAATAGACTCTTCTTTCTGGGCCACCCATGCCAACTTCCTCGTCAGGAATGGTGCGAGGTGGCGGAACAGAGCCTTCCAGATCAACAAAGCCACCGTTCTTTTTCGATTTCCTGGGCGGCTTGAATGGCTTGTTTTCGTCTGTCCGTGTATATGGAATGATATCGTTGAAGAGGTCATGGCCGGGGAGCTTAAACGTCCTCATCAGTTCAAACACGGCTTGCTCCTTGTCCTTGGCTTCAATCATGAGATCCATGGTAGGCGCACAGGGTGGTAGGGTGGCCACTCGATCACTATGCTTGCGACGTTGGCGAGGTGTGATGGCAGGAGCAGTTTGCTCCGAGTAGTGCATCTTCTGTGTGATGTTCTTGCGGGACCAGGTAGCCGCGATGCGGTCGTAAAGAGCGACGATGTCCTGTGTCCCCTCGCGAACTTCGTTCACATCGAAAAGGATATTATGGTGGTGATAGTCGAGGACCAGAGGAATATTGAGTTCCTCGCAAACAGGCAACAGATCATGCACAGTCCAGCTGACATCATCATTTTCTAGAACCAGTCGGTTCTTGATATCCTGGGATAAGACAGCATAGTTTTCCCGGAACCGGTCCAGGGTCGCGGCCTTGTCGCCAAAGACTCCTCCCATATGCAGAATCATGATCGCATCGCGATCTTGCTGAGGAGGCAGCTTGAGCAGCTGCAGCAGTTCGGAGTGATATTCCAAATCACGGTATGAGCTTTCAACTACTTCCCTCTTAGGCGAGCCTAGCTGGGTGAATTGACCGGGATGAACGGATGCTCGGTGACCGAGTTCTGCAATCACTCGTCCAGCTTCGCCCAATGCCTCAGCGGCAAACGGCGCCAGTTTATAACCGTACTCTTTATGGCTGGCGAAGGGGAACATCTCACTGCTGAGTCGCATGAATTTGATTCCATATTTGTCATTCCAGCGTATGAGCTTCACGAGGTCACGCGCGTTAGCTAAGCCTAGCGACTCAACAAAGGCCTGACCTCGTGCCACATCCGCGGGCTGGTTTCGGTCTGGTCGATTCTTGGTAGGGTGTGGAGGCTGCTCGGGGTCTTGGAGTGGGTGTCTATTCTCCAAAATGGATGCGATGCGGCACGTTCGGGAACAGAAGACGGGTGGGGTCGAGTAGCGCAGGTAGGTGTTCAAACAGGCCTGTTGATAAATTGAATGAGAATCGCAATGTTCCAAAACCGACCCATTCTCCAATCTTAAACTCACATATCCAAGCCGCCCTTTCCAAGGAAGAGGGAGGTAGCTGCTGTTCACCGGCGGGGGTCGTCCTAGCGCCTCCTTCAGTTCGTCCGCCTCGACAGGGACATCCTCATCTGACTCCGGATCTAATGAGCCTTCCGCCCGGCCAGCAGGCAAGGTCACGTCCCCGTTCAGAATATCAGAGGGCTTCGCATCTGTGTTGGATGCTTCTGTCGTCATCGCCACGTCCTCGGCGTCCAGAAGGTTAACAATCGCTGGAGATGGGTTCAAAGTGCCCTGGGAGTATGCGCGGTGCGATGCGACCAAATTGGAGGAAAATCTGGAGGGAGTAAAACATGTTGAATCTTTAAGAAAGGAAAGCGATCGTAGTCCAGAAACATGACGAACGGGGCTCCAAACTGAGCCTGGCGCTCTGACGTTCGCCACGGCAATCGATCGATCGGAGAGCCTCAGTGGCGAGGGGTGGCGACCCGCCGGGCGCAAATTGGCGGCATGCTGGACAGGCAGAGCGCGCAGATGTCGATAAGACCGACACATCCAGCGGGCCTCCTGCTCGTGGAGTTGACGGCTGCGAGATGAGGGAAAGTAGAGGGGAAGGCAAGAGGGGCGTTCGCGGAACGACTCGACCGACGCGCTAATCGCGACGTCGCGTGTCCTTGCAGGCCCTAACGATTATGGTGGCTGTCCTCAAGTTGCATTACGGTGTCATCGGCGGGATACATTCGAAGCAATTAAGGAGGATTAAATATGATCAATTGAGATGGACGCCTTCATATTCTCGTTTGAGATTCTGCATTTCCTGGATGAGGTCCTTTTAGCTCGCAGATGGGGTTGACCTCATAGTGGAGCCGTTTGGACCTGCCCCCAGTCGCGGATCTATACAGAACTGAGTGTATGCACGATCGTGTCCTGCAGGAACGTCAATGGCTCCGGAAGCCCACGAAACAACTCTCCAGTGAGCCTGACGGGGTCATCGGCTCAATAGTCACTGCATTTCCTAGCTGCCGTGTTGGTGTTCAGGCCATTGGCATGCAGGGCGCTCCAGGGGGTGGAAAGACCAAAACCTAGCGACGTCTCTGGGACATGACGTCCGGCAGACAATTCGGACCCTACACTCCATTCGAACCGGTTTTCACCAAGGCCACGTTATCATGGCAGTGCTTGAATGTTCCCAAGAATGAACTATACCAGGTCTGGACGAACTCGGGATAGGTGCAACTGCCGACACTGCAACGTGTGTTTATGACTGACATCACTGAATACCCCGGCAACTTGGCTTGCGGAGATTAATTTCGATGCGGAATGAGGATGCCCCTCACGGTGTTCTCATGGGCCTGTCTGTGCAGTCCTACCCCTGGGGGTGGCTTGTCACTAAGAGAGTTGCTGGCAGGGATTGTGGCACACGACATGCGAGCTGCAAAGCTTGGCTCTAACGAGACATCTGCTGAGTCGACTACAAAACCAACTATCCCAGAAAAATCAGCATGTAATTTGACAAGTCCATCTTTCGAAAGGCTTTAGCCCGCGCGGGATGAGTGGTTTCCTGCTGGTGACGGCGCTGGCAAGTGCGGTGGTTGCCAGCATTCTTCGCGTTGCTGGCCGCTTCGCAGTCGACCAGGGCTTGGACCGCAAAATAGTGGCATCCGCCATTCCTCCAGGAAACACTGGGGAATGCTAACAACACCAAACTATTTATTATAGCTCGAGCTCGTCATTTCCGCCCACTCTTCTTCGTTCCTCAACTTTCTGTTCCTGGACAAGATCTTTAGCCCTGGTGGTTGAGTGCTTGGCAGACCCTTGAGCCTATCCTTCTGTTTTTATACTCTCTTCTCATTCCTTCTATCAGATTGTGAGTACTCCTCCGAGGTACTGGTCTGCATTAATGCATTTGATGGGTTTCACGCTAATAACGGATAGACTCTATTCAAAATGAAGGGTCTTGTTCTCCTCGCCAGTTTGTTGGCCGGTTCGGCCTCTGCCCACATGCAGATGTCGAAGCCGTACCCCATCCGCAGTCCTCTCAACAAGGATTCGAAGGGCGAGAAGGACTACTCCTACACCAACCCGCTCCAGGCTTCTGGATCAGACTATCCGTGCAAGGGCTACGCCAAGGATGAATTCGAGTCCCAGGCTACCTACAAGCAGGGCTCGAAATACACCATGGAGCTCGAGGGTAGCGCAACCCACGACGGTGGCTCCTGCCAGTTGGCTCTGACCTACGATCAGGGAAAGACCTTCAAGGTCATCGAGTCGATGCTCGGATCTTGCCCCATCGACAAAAAGTATGACTTCACCATCCCCTCGGATGCTCCTGATGGCGAGGCTCTTCTCGCCTGGACCTGGTTCAACAAGGTCGGCAACCGCGAGATGTACATGAACTGCGCCATGGTTACAATCGGCAGTGACTCCAAGGGTAAGCAGGATTCTGCTCACAAGAGTGCTCAGCACACCGTGGAGCACGCAAACCACCCCAATCATCCCAATCACCCCAATCATCCCAATCACCCCAATCATCCCAACCACCCCAATCATCCACCCATGAAGCAGGCAGGCCCCCCTAAGAACATGGAGCACGAGCATGAGCACAAGGATTTGGTCCACCAGCACGAGCAACGCGACATGACTGGCCAGATGAAGACCATGAGCTTCGACAGCCTGCCCGAGTTGTTTGTTGCGAACGTCGACCAGGCTGGAAAGTGTGTGACCATTGAAGGTGAAGCCGTCAACTTCCCCATGCCCGGTGATAATGTCGTTGGCAAGGCCGAAGGAAAGGGTTACAAGTGCGAAAGCAACGCTCCCTTCCTCGGTGCCGGTGACTCCGGCTCATCCGACTCGTCTTCCAACAAGACCACCACCGACTCGTCTTCCAAGAAGACCACCAACTCCACCCGCAGCGTCCCTTCCAACACCAGCGAATCGATGTCCAAGATCGCCTCCGCCTTTGGCACTCCCTCCGCTGACCCTCGTGTCTTGAACGGTCAGTCCTCCAACTCCCAGGAGGCTTCCACCAACAACGCCTTCTCTGCCTACGTTGGTGGCTGGACCTGCACCTCGGGCGAGATCCTCTGCGCTCCCGATGGCATGAGCTGGGCTATGTGCTCCAACGAGCAGCCCGTATACATGGGCCCTGTCGCTGCAGGCACCATCTGTCGCTTCGGCTCTATCGTTGCCACTCGTGGATGGTAAAATCTCTCTTTTTGACGATTTGACCGACTGGGTCGGGTTACAATGTCGTTTTTATTTTTATTCCCATGATGTTTGGCGAGCTTTGAATTCCTTTCTCCCACAGTCGATGACCGATTGATGTTCATGTCGATGCTGATGCCTCATGTTAATCTGTATTCCTAATGATTGCCTACCCTGGGGCCGCGGGTAATGTGTCGACGCATGCGGCAATGGTTTCGTTGATGTACTTTAGTCTCAGGAACAATACAAACTTTATTCTCCAGAACCCAATTTAACCTCCTTTTGTTTTTACCCCACACAATACGAAGGTGCAGCAGTCGTCGTATTGTGATATTATGATCAGATTCCCACCTTCAAGTTTCCAAGTTGATATAGAGTAGCGATAAATAGTAATTCTCATATTCCATTATGTATCCCTGTGCGAAGAATTCGCACTCCTAAACTATCTTGACAATACCATCCCGTGTATAGTCGCGATTAAACGTACACGCAAACATATTATATAACATGGTATCACAGCTCAAAGCGACAAAGCGTCATACAATCATCGACCAGCTATTGACCGGTCCAATCATCAGCAAGATTGAGAGCAAATCACAATTCGCCATCCATCCACCATTACCGAAATGACAGCGACTAGTCACTTTAGATGTTCCCGGTATAGGCCGAGTTGCCGTAGCCGTAGCCGTTCTGGACTGCACCAGAGCCGTTGGCCGCGGGGGCGGTGGTGTTGTTTTTGCGCCCCCAGGAGCCGAACCAGTTCTTCTCGTTCTTGGGCTCGCCATCCATTTCGACATCACTGGGGGTGGGGTGGCCGGGTAGAGCGTCGGCGCCAGTGTCGGCGCTAGCCTTGTTGCGACGCCACCAGCGACGACGGCTGCCGGAGGTGTAGCCGTTTGCGGGGGAGGGACCGAAGCGCTTCTCGCGTTTGTGGTGACGGGCGAGCAAAATTTGGAAGAGGATAGAAATCAGGAATAGGAAACTAGAAGATGATTAGAATATATTTTCATACCACCCTCCGGTAAGGAATTATTGGGGAGAAGAAGAGACTACTCACACTCCAATGATGGCCACAGCAAAAGTAACCTTCTCGAGCTTGCAGGCCATCCCGAAAGACAGATTGGCCTGGGAATCATCCGAAGCGTTTCCTGTGCCCAGTGGGGTGTCGACCGTTCCAGTGCACTGGTCAACGCCCTTGCGCGTCAAGACAGCGATGGCGATCATGGCACCAGTGAAGCACACGTCCAGCACCACACCCAGGAAAGCAAAGAAGGAGACTCCGCCGAGACAGCAGACGAAAATGATGCCCAGCAGGCCGTATAGGGTGCCGGCACCGGCTAGACCCTCAACGGCCTTCAGCCATGTGGCGATGTGCAGGTCATGGCGCGCGAGAATAGCGAGGTAGTAAGAGAAGATCCCGAGGATGACAGCTGATGCGAGGAACTGCAGCACGCGTATAGCGAGACTGCAAAACCGCAGAACGACTCCTCCGATACCCATGTTGGAGGTGCGATGATGAGGTCGGATGAGTCCGAGGGAGGCGATAAGGTTAAAAGGCCGGATGAAGGCAGCAGGATTCAGGGCGAGTTATAAGGGACCCTCCCCAAACGCAATGCTCGAAGATCAGTGGGAATCGGTGGGTGCGGCGGCGGCGATCGAAGCATCGCCTGGTCTGATTCGCGTGGGCAGTCCCCACTCCACAGCCTCTTTGGGGAAACGACTGCAAAAAGCGGACCGCTGATGTCAATGTGGCTCCACTTCGGTCGCTTTGCCAGGATCCATTGGCTGCATCCTCTGCCACCGCATGTGAAGAAAAGGAAAATTCAAAAATGGAAAAAATAAAGAAGGTTCAATAATGGCAGTACCCCAGCCACACTACTGCGCCACGGCTCAGTCCGTGGTTACGTGGATATTCCAGGGCAGTCTGAGGTATCACAGGATAGTTAACTAGGCAATCATATGTACTACTGTACTACACTAGTGTGCAGTTGGCATCTCGAACAGGCAGTAGTTATTACCTAGGTAGACAGATTCCCATTGGGTAGATGATGCAATGCGACGCGCTCATGACCTTCGAACACACGGATCTGTGCAGGCAACATTTCGTGTTGCGCTTCCGTCAAGGGCGAAGGCAAGGGCGTCAGCGGGCACCAGGATCCGCTAGCGGTCACCATTGGCAGATCGTGATCTGGAGACGTGAGGGGCAGAGCATATCCAAAAATGCGGGGCAGTACAAGGCACTTTGAACAGATTATTGACCATTGAAATCGCCTTTTAACCCCAGGTGAACGAACTGGGTTGAAGCACCCTAGGTAAAGATTAAGGAATCAGTATCAAGGGCTATCAGCGATGATGAGATTCATTGTGGATATTTCATAGAAAAGGCACGTCAACAATAATCGAGACAGTCCATATTACACTGTAGTACTACCATATCTTATACCTAGAGAATAAGGGGAATGCGCTCGAGGGCTCGCTCATGAGCGGATGGCAGAGAAAACACACACACACACACACACACACACAAACGATCACTTCCTCCTACACTACGCTCGTGTAGGCCTGTTAGATTGCGCTTCTGGCGAGGACGGAAACGGATGATTGAAGGAGTGTAATAATTATTTGAGTGATTGTCTCCGTCTAGAATATCTTGTCGGGAGCATATATATACTTGACAAGAGGCACAGAACACGGCGGTATGGTCATTCTGCCGGGCTCACAGTAGTAGTGCATGCTAGTCCCCCACTACAGCATATAAAGATACCTTCAAACCTGAGACTATGTCAGTCTGGTTTTGTAGCAGCAGGTCTAGTTCCACTAGACCCAAAACGTGTGCTTTCAAAACTCAATATTTCCCTCCGAAAAATAACACCACCACCTTGCGCCAGTTCAGCCCAAAAACACCAAAGACAGGATTCAATTACATTTCTTCACTCAAAGCCTTACTCAACAAACGATCAAGAAGCCCTCCTACACTAAGATCACCATAGATCAGATTATCAAGGGCTGCTATCTCTCAATGCATAACGGCGCGCTACTAGCGCAGGAAAATGCTGATTTACGTGTTGCGAATGAGAAGAAATGGTAAAAACGACCACGAACGAATCGCCTAGTTCGATGTGAACAGGGTGTTACAGTTAGAGAGGGCCTACCACCGCTAGCGCAGCTAGTGCAGCCAGTTGAACGGGTTGAACAGCCTATTTTGCCACCTCAGTTAGCCAGACGAGCACCCCCTAGATGTAGCGGCTGGTCAGAATGTTGGCCATTCGATTACTTGGTGCCTTAATAGATAGCTTTTTGAATTAATGGTGTTTTGGTGGATTTATCTACTTTTTGAATATTTAGTAGTGGGTTAGGAGGCCCACTCGGTTGGGAACTACGTTGTGGGAATATTAGGTTTGGCTTGATGCCATGATTTTGAAGCACCTATTGATCTCTATGGTACATGATCCGGTTCCCTCGACCCCGCTAATTCTGCACATCCACCAAGATCTTACAGTGTTCGTCGCGGTGGTCCAGTAATGCCCGGAATCCCCGGTCCACAACGTCCTGCAGGGCAATTCTCGCGGTGATCATCGCCTCTGGTCGCAAGTCGCCTGACAGCATTTGATCAGCAAAATCTCCACATTTTGGAACCAAGACATCATCATCGCATCAGCCAAGCCAAGAGAAACAATGAGGACTCACCACGGCTCAACGCCTCAATCACGTCCAGAAAGGCCTGCTCGTCATACAATGCCGCCCCCATGTACCGCACCTCCTGGTACATCAGCTGGTTGACAGGGAGCGCCGGCTTGCCCTCCCACACAGCGATATTGACTATCGTCCCCTGTGCTCGAACAGCAGGGATCGCCCCGATCAACGCCTTCTCAGACCCGGCCGTATCAAAGACCACGTCTGCACCAACGCTGCCGGTGAGCTCGCGTACGCGCTCGGCGACATTCACCTCGCGCGGGTCAAGGATCGTGGTCGCGCCGTACTCTGTGCACATTTTCTTGCGACTGTCCATGAGTTCGGCCACCATGATCTGTCCTGCGCCGTGCAATTTCAAGACCTGCACCACGCCCAGCCCAATCGGCCCGCCGCCCATGACGAGGACGTTGTCGCCCTTATTGAAGGGAGAGAGGTTGACGGCATGCCAGGATACGGCGAGCGGTTCGACAAGAGCGGCCGTTTCGAGGGAGATGTTGTTAGGCAGTGCATAAAAGTGGTTGGCTGGTGCGACGACCTTTTGCGACAAACCGCCGCCATACCCTGGACTCCTTAGTATTCAGTTCATTCGTCGATTGTATCCGGAGATTGGAGAGAAGTACCACTCAGCCCAATAAATCCAATGTTCTCACAGCAGTGGTTGTATCCCCGTTGGCACGCACTGCATGTTCCATCGAAAATGGTCGGGCGGACAACAACGCGTTGGCCGGGGAAGACATTCGTGACACCCTCGCCAACTTCTTCGACGAACCCTCCGAATTCGTGACCGAGTGTGGCTGGGTATGTCGAGCCAGTGATATGGTGTGGCTGTTCAGGGATTAAGACCGGGCCGCCCGTGTACTCGTGAAGATCTGCCACGATGCAGTGTGAGATACAATCAAAAATAACGTCTTTGCTGGGCTGATGAATAGGAGACCTACCGCTACCGCAGATCCCAACATAAGCGGGTTTCATCTGAACGCAATTGATATCGGTCAATACCATATCCAGTGGGAAGAATGAGCAAACCAATCGAACCTTTACTTGTCCCTTTCCGCAGATCGGCTCTTCTACCTCATCAACGCGAATATCACCGGGTCCATGGAAACGGACCGAGTGCATCACCGGCGCACTTTTAAGCGTCGTGTGTAGTGCGTCGCTCCGCGTAGACGTGTTCAGCATAGTGGCAGATTCTGATCGTGGGAGTATAGACGGTGGCGTCATTTCCTGAAAGATTGATACACTTTAGGAGATTTTGTCGGAATTGATATTGAGTGTATTCTTGAATGAAAATCATTAAAGGTATTTTAAATGGTAGTCGATTTTGAGGAGTTCAGAATCATAACTGTTACTGAAAGGGAGCAAGCACTGCTACTTTATACAGAATGTTGGATCGTTTACCATACGTCATCAATTCATTCCGACATTGATACACCGCCAGCTTGTAGTTGTACGCAGCTGGCATTGGGGCAAGGTAAAAGACAAGAAATTGATCGTGACCAGTAGATAAGAGTAGATGGTACAAAGGTGCTGGTATCAGAGCCGATTGGTCGGGTTCACAAGAAAGAGGCAAAGCTGCTACCGAAGTCATCATATTTTCCAGGCATATTTGGGTTCTTGGGCCGATGAATCTCCTAGCAAACTCTTGAGAAACCGAACGCAGATAGTATGGGTGAGTGACAGGTGCCACCATCGTGCATTGATGGGGAAATTGCGTCATGGAGTTATCTGGAGAGCTCTTGGAACGCTCTGACTCGAGTAACGAGCAGGATTGGCAGGAACAAGAACGCACAGCACCTCGAGTCGAACATTCGAAGCGCTATCGGAGGCTCAGATGCAAGGGCTCGAACCAGAAAGGTATACGGTTGCATCAGGGTGACGCGATGATCAGGTGCGTCGCGACAGGGAAGTTGGAATTAAGTTGGCATACATCACGAACGACTAATCAGGCTGGGGATTTCCTCAAAGGCGAGCCACAGGTGAGGGACGGCGAAATCCCGCCAATCAGCGTGTCCGGGGAGAAGTGACCTTTGAATCATAAGGCGCCATCGATTCTATCAATAGCGTCGCAAGGGGCCCGCAAGCAAGTCACCCATCTTTCAAGAGGCGTTCTCGCGCTGCTGCTCAACGAATGCCTTGAGGATGGATTCCAGCCCCTCGTTGCGGCGGGCGAGCAACATCACGTCTGAGACGTTTACGGTCGAGCGCCCGGCATGCCTAAAACGGAAAACCCGATTAGTACGACTGGACGGCGCGAGTTCCAGCAAACAAGGATCTCCTGCTGACGGGAGGCAATGCTACGGGGTTGACTCACTTCGCAAACGACTCCAGGTCTTGACTGACCGTCTCTGCAGATCGTTAGTTACGCGCCTGTTCCAGGGTACCTCAGAAGACAGTTCAGGATGAAGCATCCGTGATAAACCTGCATTCAGGAAACATACCAATCTGAGCCCACACCATCTCCGTCAAGGCACCGATGAATTGAGGGGTTGCGTTGACGCCCAGCTTGATGGTCTCCTCGTCCACGATCTTGCCAATGGACAGCCAGAGGGCGGATTTCAGGCGCTGACCATCAGGACAATTGAGAACAGGGTTTTGGATAGTTGATGGAGGTTACTTACCTCCTCCAGGCTAGCTTCCTCACTCTGCGCCATTATGGGATTCCACTGAAAAGAACCCAGGTTGTTTCTGGTGCTATCTGCGGGTAGGTTGCTGTGGTGGTGAACGTAATGAGGCGCGTCCCATACTGCGTTTCGGCCTCGGGCGTTGATTGGCCTTGGCCCGCGACGCGTCGGCGAGCGGAGGAACTGTTCATCCGGGCTCGCCGGACCTGCCGCTTACCCGCAATCCGCGCCTTCCCGTTGTGGGAATCTCGAGCCCATCGTCCAAATTACTTGGTCTGCTCAATTTCGACGGGTCCTGCCGAACCTTCGAGCCGCTTCGATCATTTGTGGTCCTATTTTTCCCCTTTCCTCCCCTTTCTTCTGTTGCAGGGTCCCTTCATCCGCCGCATCCCGCACCTCCCGTTTCAACCGCAAGTGCAAAAAAAAAGTTGACACGACAAACAATTCTTCAACTTCGCGCACCAGCTGCCCGCCATGGCCCAGAACGAGCAAGGTGATATCAGCGACCTCGCTGCTGAGGCGGCCTCTGATTTTTTCAACCAAATCTTCGGACTTGTTGAGACCAGCGTTCGACGCTTCTGCAAGAACCTCTACGCCTCCTTCGCCGACGTGAGCAAGACGCGCTGGACAAAGGTCATCCTCAGTGTCATCTTCTACATCCTGATCCGACCGTACATCGAGAAATTCTTCAAATACCTCCACGACCGCGACCGCCGCAAGGAGAAGGAGAAGAAGGAGAAGGAGAGAGCCGCGTTTGGTGGAAAGAAGCCCAAGATGTCGGCTAATGCGCTGCGCGGCGAGACCGGCAAGGTTCTCGGCGAGGTAGAGGACAGTGACGAGGACCTGGAGGCAGAGGAAGGCGAGGAGGATGTCTTGGCCGCTGCGAGCGGTGTCCCCGAGTGGCATGGCATGGCCCGCAAGCGCCAAAAGAAGTACATCAAGAACCTTCAGAAGCAGGGCAAGAAGGCAGAGAAGCTGTCAGAGGAACAAATCATGGAGCTCCTGGACTGGAGTGACTCCGAGGGAGAAAAAGCCACCTAAATCCCTGGTAAGTTGCTTCAAAATTGAACGGGTATTGAAGCTGCTTGTCAACAACTAAGAAGTTGGCACATGAGAATACCCTACCTTGATAGAAAATGTACTGTATAATCAAAACAAATGTGTATACTAAATCATCATGGCGACTATACGACTTTCTCACATACTGGGAAGCCTAACATGCCAAAGTCATGGTGGACCATCTTCAAATGATCCATATGTTGTATTTGTCATTTTCATAGGAGTGCGTCCATACGTTGCTACCAAGTCTCAAATGCGCTGTATCATACCCCATGAGCCATGACCGGCCGGAAGACCTCACATTCATGCCAGTGGACAGTTCAAAAGCCAAAGCGGGTAAGTCGATCAATGCAACCTTCTAAGTGCTTCGATCGTTCCCCTCACGCTTTCCACGTCGCCCACTCCCACTTCATCCACAATCTCCTTCTGCAGCTCTAGCTCACAGGATAGGAATTGCTCGATCAGTTCCCCATCCACGAAGCGGAATGGTGTGTCCGCCGAGCGCGCTAGTGTACGGAACGCGCGGAACCCATCGAATGGCAAATCACCCAAGGACTCGACCTTACTAGCCATCACGGCTTGGAGGGTCATGAGGAAGTCTTGATGCTCTGGGTTGATCAGTGCGAAGAGGTAGATCGATCCCTCGACCTGGAACAGCCGGTTAGCAAAAGATTATTCCCATGAAAGTTATCATGATGATAGTCTGATATCCGGGCGAAAACGTACTGTTGCCATAAATGCCCGCGGGGTTACTGTGACGCTTGCGAGCTGTGGAATATGGATTGCGCGGATACGATTGACCATCTCACCCAAGCGAATTTCACTCGTAGGAACGAGACGGTGCTTATCCTGTTCGGTGACACCGTTCGTGTTTCGCGACAAGACAATCAAATTGCCCTGTGCCTCGCTGACAAGGAACGTATCGTCTTCAACTGAGGCGACGGCGGTGCTCCAGACAGTCTGGTGATGGCGGCCAATCTCCCGTAGTTCATCCTTCACCCCGTCAGCTCCCTTGACATATTTCACAATGCAAACGCTCTTCATGAGATCGGCCACCATGATGGTGTCGCCGACGACTGTGACATCCACAGGTGCTGTGGAAGTGCGGTAGCTAGCAAGCCTGTCAAGCTTCATATTCGTCCCGGAATTGCTATTGGCAATCTTGTAAACAACGACCTTGATAATATTTCAGTGAGCCAGATTCTCCTCGCCGTCGTCTTCCTGAGATTCCACTTACAGTCTTCACCAAGGCTGCAACAATTAGATCACCCATCATCGCGAGTGCCCGGCAAGCACCCTTGACCGGCAGCTCCGCAACCTGTGTCAGCTTGCGCCCATGGTCAATCTCCAATACTAATATCCGCCCGCGGATTGACCCTTCTCTATCCTCATCCAGGTAGGCCGTCCCGACGACGAACCGATCTTTGCCGCCGGTGGACTCAGCCCGGATCACACTTTCCACCAACTCATCCGGGTGGAGTTCTAGTGAGTCCAGATGCCGAAACATGATCTCGTCGGCGAGTACGAAATAGCTTTTCACAATTTCGACACCATCTTCCAGCTTGCGAACAATCGTTCCGAGACCGAAGGCCTTTTCTGACGGTGAATAAGCGACCCGTCGGACTGTGGAGCCCATCCGAAGTGTTTGGATCTGCGTCGTGCGTTCCTTGTCCACTGATGCGATCTTGAGTTCCTTTGAAGTGGCGACAGCAATGCACTCCGGGAATGCCGCAGTATGTAGATGGCATACACGAGAAGCGCCTTCTGAGTTGACTGCAGAGTATATGATGCGACCTTCCGAGCCATAAATCAGACTAGGGTTTTCACAGGTAGCGAAGACGTTGTATAAACCGTCTCCTCGGGGCAGTTTCTTAAACGCCGGTTGTTCGGATCCAAGGATCAGCTTGGCCATACTCCCTAATGTATAATCCTTGGTATCAAAAGAGAAAGTAATGACGCTGCCGTCAGCCATGGAAATAAAGAGAGTCGGGGGACTATTGGCAAGCACATTGGCCACCAGAACAGAACGAGGGAATGCCTCGCCCGTTGTGCCTAGCGACTTTGTTTGGATCTCAGAAAAATCGTTGATGTTGAGAACGGAAATTCTCGCCGACTGCGGGAACCCAGCGATGCAGACGCCTGTCGGATCGAACGGCACCGTAACACCAGAGACTTGGTGGTCTGCGTCGAATTCCTTCTGCGTGATAAGACTGGCTTCTCCCCGGATGTCGAATGAGGCGAGCACTTGACCACCAATCACCAATGCAAGATGGTCATCGTTAGCTGAGGCAGCTGTAATAGCCTTCTGGGTCGTCGGAGTCCATTCGAAAACCACCATCCCACCCTCGACATCGGCAATCAAAGCCCTCTTCTCTGTCACTTGCAGGATTCTACCACCCGGTAGATTGGCAGCCAGGAGAGTACTCTCGTCGAAGGCAAGACCCAAAAAGTTGTCCAATTCCTCGACTTCCCCATCCATGCCGAACCGGAAAATCCGTGTTTCGTCAACAAAGGTCACAAGCAGTGTATCCAGAAAATCCTCGGTGCTCTGCATCCGCAGCCCCCAGAGATCCGTAATATGGTCCATTTCGCCCAGGACTGCGAGTTCTTCCATACCGACACCGCTGCGTACACTCCTCAACGTTCCATCATCGAAGGCACCGGAGCCCGTCACGATGCGGGCTTGTCCGGACGAGAACTCGTGCGTGTGGCTTTCGCTAATACGATTGCCCAGGTCCATTACGGTGAAATCAAGGATAGGCGCGATATTGTCTAAAGTCTGTATCACCTCGAATGAGCCCTCCCCGATACGCAGGACCTGGGAGTCGCCCTGGTGGGATCCGACAAACAGAACACCGCCACCCAGATAGACAAGCACTGTCGCACGTGATGTGTTTCCTAGCCAGTCCAGCTTCCAGTCTTCGACGTTGCCCTCATTATTCAGAATGAACATAAGGAAAAATAATCGGCCATAATCGTCGGCCAAAAGCCACCTTTGGCTGTCAACCTTCTCCCAGGCGACGAACACAGTAGCCTCGTCGAGGTCACGCGAGATCATGTCATTTGCATTGTCATCGATGTACTTGATTGAAGTTTCTCCCAGTACAATCAAACCACCTATAGAAGTCAGTATAGAGGGATAGAAGAGAATGAGTTGGACACATACCAAGCGGGGCAGGGATCGGGATAAGATGCGAGGAGCCCAGATCAAGCTCGTGTCCAAACACGCCCCCCTCAAGCTTTTTGTCTTGCACTTCCTTGAAAGTCGCATCGGGAGAGCTACTTCCTCCAGACTTGGTATAGTCCAATTCCCGAATCCGTAAGCGGACCTTTTTCTGGTTATCCTCGTATAGCAAAGCCAGCCAGGGTTGGCTAGAAACAGAGTGCAGGAATGCTGACGATCGGACAAACAGCTCTTCTATGCGCGAGTTAGTCGGCTCGCCAAGCTCGCCTACCTGTGGTGCGTCAGATAAAGCCGCCTGCGAAGACTTTTGTTTGCGTTTCGAAGGCTCGACAACTGGAATGACTGTGATAACGCCCTCATAAAGCTCCAGCGTCATGAATCGTCCACTAGGGTCAAGCAGGCACCGGGGCTCGGTTTGTGATTCTCGAGACGAGGGCTCAGCAACATCGACATAATTGCGTGCTGTCTTAATTATTTGATTCATTTCATCCCATACAAGTGTAAAATATTGAAACTGATCCGTGCCGACAAAGAGGTGATCAGTGCGTGAGTTCACTGGCGCTGGCAGCCGGGCGAGCATGGTAACCTGCGCATACAACGAACGGGTGGCAATGAGCGTGAGGCCATCAGGCGTGAGAGTGTGAAATTCGAGTCGATTCGATTTCCTAGTGAGTGAATAAAGCAAATTAGCTCACATGCTCCATACTGAGCTATCCAGCGATGGCTGCAAGATAGGGCTGGGGTGGGTGTGCACTCACGCAACCACCAGACAGTCTTCCTCCGACCTCAAAAAGTTCAGCTTCACAGCATGCCGAATGCCACTTGCGCGGTGTATCGGAACCACATAGGCCATGGTGGTGGTGCGACGATTCGCGGTCCCTCACAAGTCGGGCTGGGAGGAGCTTGCTTTTCCGCACTGCCAGGCCACGATGCAGCTATTGCGATGGGTTCAAAGACACGACCGCGGAAACTTGAGGTAAGCGGAGAGGTTCAAAGTAAAGATCCAAGTCTGTGATCGCAGATGGTGCATCTCCTCGAGCTGATATCAAGGATTACGCTGTTGCGGGGAGTTTTGACGTTTGCCGGGCGGTGCCAATGACGACGTACGTCCGTTGACATCGAGCTAGACAGTGTTTGTTAGGCTCATGATGTCAAAATCTGACCGGTGAAATATAACCCCGGTGCTGTAGTCAAGTTGGTTAAGATGCCTCGTTGTGGCTGTTAGTTGCTTATAGTAGCGGCTATTCAGATCCGAGGTGGCCCCGGTTCGAATCCGGGCGGCGCCACTTTGTTTTTTGGTGCTTGGATTTGACAAACAGCAATATTTTGCAATTCCTTCCTTACTTTTCTTGTTGTATATTGCATATACAATTTTGGACCGTTGACTATTTCCTCTCCTCATCAAGGTATTGTTGTAATTTATTCTTTTATATGACAATTTGCAATTTATTTCATGAATTAAATTCTTTTGGATACAAGTCTACAAACCATCACCCCTCAGAAAGATCCGTCGCAGATAAAGACAAGGACGAAAAGCCTCTAAAGCCGCGCGAGGCTCCAAAATGAAATGCTAGGCATACATGACCCGCCAATATGAAAAGGACATGAGTGAGTCGGCAAATGGTGGTGCCGAGAGAGAAATATGTATAGAGAGATGTGTGTGTGTGTGTGTGTGTGTGTTGCGTGTGTGCTGGATCATCTAGACTGTGAGGGGATATGATGAGAAGAACAGCAAGAAAAAGGAAATTAATAGCTCATCAATCATGACCACACGTCCTCCTGGTAGCTGCCGCTACTCCGCATGTGCTTGACCATCTCTTCGCCACGCTCGGCGGGCATACCGCGCTGCTCCGCGATGATGTGTCCCAGCACCAAGTTGACTTCCCGGGCCATGTTGGCGGCGTCGCCGCAGACGTAGAAGTTCGCCTTTTGCTTCAGCAGGTCGCTGACCAGCGAGGCATTCTCCTTCAGGCGGTGCTGAACGTAGACCTTCTCACTTCCCTCGCGAGAGAAAGCGGTGATGATCTTCAGGGAGTCACCCATCTGTTCTTGGAAGGTCTAGGAGCAGTCAAGTTAGCTCTTCGTTCCTTTTTTTTATTTATATATTTTTTTTATTGGTTGAGAAAAGAACGTACCTTGAATTCGTCCTGGTAGAGGAAATCCTCGTCGCGCTTACGGCATCCGAAAAACAGCAGGGTGGTGCCAACCTTCTCGCCCTTGGCGGCCAGGGCCGCACGTTCCTGGATAAAACCACGGAAGGGGGCGACACCAGTACCGGGGCCAACCATGATGATGGGCTTGGAAGGATCGGAGGGCAGCTTGAAGTTGGAGTGGCGAACGTGAACGGGGACATGGATGCCGTCGTACTTGTTGCGAGGACCAGTAATCGAGTAAGTCAAGCCGTGAGGGTCGGGAGAAGGATCACCGTTCTGCTTTTGCTTCAAGGCCAGCAGGTAGTTGGTGGTGACACCCTTGACCATATGCGACGCACCGGGGAGGCGGACAGACTCGACGACGGCAGTGATACTGATCTTGTCCTTCTGGACCAGAGACGAGGAAGAGATGGAGTAGTACCGGGGCTGAAGCTTGTTCAGACCCTCAATGAGCAGCGAGAATGGGACGGCAGTAAATTGCTTGGAAGTGATACTCTGCAGGGCCTGGGCGATGTTGTAGCACTGGTTGGTGATCTTCTCGTGGAAGTAATCCTTGTCGTTACCCAGGCGGACAATCTCAGCCTTGCTCGCCTCGTCGGGCGCGAAGGCAGCAAGAGTGGAAACGAATTGACGGGAGACGGGGGCGCAGACTTCCATGTAGTAGCGGACAGCGGCATCGTAGGTGGTCGGCGTCGGGATCGGAACCTTGGCAGTGACATCAATGCCCTTGATGTTGATCACCGAGTCGCGCTTATCCCCCAGACCAAAGACCTGCAGGAATCGGTCGACTTCGACACCGGCGTTCGTGGGCCAAATCGCGATGTGGTCACCAGTCTGGTAGCTCAGGTTGCTACCCGCGATGTTGATCTCCATATGCAGACAGTTGCGGTCCTTGACAGTGAACAGTTCGTGCGATTCGACAATGGGGGCGATGTACGGGTTATGCGCGGAGTATGGGCCCTTGGGCTGACCGGCGCGGTGAGCGGCGGTGGGCTCTCCCAGGTAGACGTTATCATCCTCGGGGAGGCCACCTCGTCCTCGGCGACCGAGAAGACCGGTTCGTAGACAGCTTCGCGTTCCTGCAGGCCCATGGCATCGGAGAGGGCCGCCCACATGGGCTCCTTCCAGGCGAGGAAATCCTCCTCCATCGTGCCGGCACCGTCGTCACCCTCACCGGCCGAGCCAATCCGCTGCGCACCCAGCTTGGTGAGGGCAGCATCGACGTGGCGGACCATGGCGTTGTAGTGCTCGTAGGTGTTGTTACCGAGACCGAAGGCGACGTACTTGAGGGACGACAGCGGCGAATCGTCGGCGCCGGCGCCGCTCTCAAACGCGACGTCCTCGCCGGTCAGGAACTGGTAGAACTCGACGGCATTGTCGGTGGGTTCGCCCTCGCCGTATGTGGCGAGCACGAAGAATGCGATCTTATCTTCGGGAAATTTGTCCAGGTTCTCGTAGTCGTAGTCCTCGATGTCGGCGACCATGGTCTTCAGTCCAAAGCGCTGCGAACCCTCCTTGGCGAGACGCGAGGCGTAGTCCTCGGCGGTACCGGTCTGGGAGCCATAGAAAATCACACAGTTCTTGCCCGTCTCGTCCATCTTCTCGACGATATCGCGGGTCTTGCCGCTCTTGGCGGCACCGTTCATGGCGGCGGCGGAGGAGGCATAGGGGTCCTTGGGGACGGCCCAGTAGGTCCCCTTGGTGAAGTAGGCAATGCTGCCCACCAAGAGGGCCACCAGGACGACCAGGTCGAGGGTGTCGAGTTGCGCCATGGCTTGCGATGGTCTCGGGGGAGTCCGCTCGAGGAGAGAGGCGGAGAAATCAGAAATCGACAAAAGTCCCCGGCGAGAAGGGGAGGGGAGCGTCCAAGAAGAACCCCAAAAATGGCGAACCAAACAGAGAAGAGTAGCCCGGGAAACCCCAGCAGAACCCAAGTGGTCAGGAAGTGATCGAGAGGGACCCCTATTCACGGCGGCACGAGGAAGAAGAGGCAAAGTGGTCTGACCACGCTCCGGTCGGACCAAAGTGGATCTTCACCTGCCGAGACGCATGTACGTACTTCACCGACAGGCGCGCGGTGGGATGGTCCTACCTCTAGAAGGGCAAGTGTCACGAGATGTCAAATTGTTGAGATGAAGAGAACGAGATCGAAAGAAGCATACCCTCAGGGACTAGCAAGAGAAGTATTGGACTGATTGCAATATCGGCTGAGTATATTCCACCGAGGGAGCCAAAATCACAATTCCCAGGTGGGGAGGGACTTGGCCGAGCGTCGTAGTATTTATACAGGATGTGCACCCTCGGCTGGCGGTGGAGGCGATCTATCTCCGTTGGGGATCGGAAGGAGAAGTCGGCGTTGCAGCCCAGGCTCAGCGGATGCGCGACGGCCCTCCTCGTCCGCCGCAGCACACGCCCGTGTGGCCAGCAGGTGCCTTCCTCGGGTAAGGGCCTGTTCGGCAGGCCCGTCCGGGAGATCGCAACGGCCGATCCACGAGCCATACCTCCACACTGTACACTACCCTACACCGCGTAGGGTAGATTCACGACCGCAGGAGATCCTAAGGTATAGTGGCGAGGGCGTCCTGACGGATCTCACGGCTTCCCCAGCAGACAGTCCTTCCGCGCTGTCCGATCTTCGAGTTGCACGCTGGAGGCCCATCGCGGGCCCATTCCGCAGTTGCGGCCGTCCTTCCTTTCTGGCCTGTTCCTCGCGGGCTACTATCCTCGCAGGTCCCGCGGGCTGCTTTCGCTCACGACTGCTATTAAATGGCCCTCTGCCCCGAGCCCCCTGCCTTGAGTCTCTCCCCCCCAACCGCGCTCTACACTACCTGAATAGGCACAGTGTACTCCGTTCTCCCGGGCCCAGCCCAGCATAGCCAGAAACCCCCGCAATCGGGTTAGTTGTCTTCTGGCACCTTCCATCGCAGACGCACACCAGTCATGGTTCCGTTCAATGTCAATCATTGTCAATCAACCCTTGGCGGTACTGCATCAAGCATCTGCACGCAATATACATAGTCGCTGTACATATACAGTCGGTTTAGGGTACGACTTCATATGATTGTAGACCACCGGTGATCACATTAAATGCCTAGGCTACGATTGCTCTCCGCATGTCTTTGCCATCCTATCACCACTGTCACTCCTTTTCAGCAGTGCTCATTCCCCAGCGGGGCTGAGATGCGCAACAGCCCAGGATACAATGCGAGGCCTTGTCTCACCATGCCTGCCCATTAATTGGAGGGCCAGCACCGCCCGGATGCCTCGTGTGGCACACCAGGTACAGCCTGTCAATGGAGGAGGTTTCGTAGAACCAGCTCAGACTCGTGTAAATTGATCGGACTCTCGTGGCCCCCTACTGCGAGGAGGAAATCCGGCGGCTGGGCACTCCAACGGCCCTGCAGGTCGATCGTAGTATGATATCGGTATGGTCTCCCACCACGGAGTCTAGGACGGCCAGACACCCGGCGAGAATCTTTGACAATGTACCGATTAGTGTCTCCACCGGTTCTCTCTGAGATCTAGTCAGTTTCATCGTCCCTGATGGGTACCCCGCCATGCGAAACATAACGAAGCCGTGAATCTCCTGTCCGAACAGCCGCAGGGTCTCAATCGTAGCTTTTACCCAAAAAGAAAAAAAAAAGGGTTGAAGGGGAAAAAAGATACGATATGTCATTTTAGAATTGATCGTAGTGAGCATTGTCTTTTATTTGACTTAATAGTCTTAAGAGGTTTAGCAATATCAGTAGACATGCTGAGCTTCTGGCAGTGTCAGCGGAGGCTCCGGGAACACAAGGCAAGACGCAGGCGCCCAATCCATTTGTTGCCAGTCATTGGGCCAGGAAGGCCGCGGTCGGCGAAGAAAGGAATGGGCTCTGCGAGAGGAAATACGGTATGGAACCTGCACGAACGAATTGATTATAGATGCCCATATGTCTCTGGTCATAGTATTGAGGAGGTTGATGGTTGTCCTTTCTGTCGACGGCAAGGAGAAAGCGGTCCCGTGCGCCCGAATAAACACCCCAAGCAACAACACTCCCTCTTCACACCTCATCCCACCCCTGAAAGATGGATTGAGTCGCCATGTCCCGGTTACCGCTCACTGCTGACACCCTTCACGTGGCTGCCTACATGGGAATCGAGCAATGAGCCCTTGACTCGTCGCAACCAGTAAGCCCCTCCCGCTGCGCGACGCACCCCAAACCCCCAAACCTCAACCGCTGACTCGTCGATTATCGCAGTGACCTCTCACCCGGCCAAAGGTGCTGGCCACGGCCAGCAATCGACCTTGCCCCTCATGCCTGACGACCTGAGAGCCGCGTCGCTTCACAACCTCGCGTCCCCGTCCGAGCGGCGAACCACCAGGACGGCGCAATCGACCCCAATGCATAGTCGCGAGTCATCCGCCGTCCGAGGCAGAGTCACCGAGCCTTCCACCTTGGCCCCGACCCTCCAAGCTCGCCGCGGCCATTCCGGCTCAAAGAGTCCCGACGTCTCGTCCGGCCGCCCTGCAGGATATGACGTGGGATTGGAAAGACGACCGTCGAACTCGTACGGCCACCACCGACAGACCTCCATTGTCCACGGCATGCAGCACTCGCGCAACCCCAGCATGGCCGGCTCGACCGCCTCCGCCAGCCCCCTCAGCCCCGAGCTGATCGCCTCCCTCGGTCGCGGCGGCTTCGACGAAGCGGGTCCTCCGAGTAAACTAGACCAGCTCGATGCGCACCCAACCTACCAGAGCCCAGCAGGAATCGCGACAGGACATGGGGCTCCAGGCACACTGAGCACGATCCAGGACAACGATATTGACGACACATTGAATGGCAGTCCCATAAGCATGGTGCACAAACGGATGAATTCTGGAGGCGTATCGAGACGAGATCGGTCTCACAGTCGCTCGCAATCCAAACATCATTCGGAGTCTAAAACCGTGGGGGAGTATGCTCTTCATCATTTGTTCAACTCTGTAAGAGTGTCATCTACAATACATCAGACCAACAGAAACCCCGAGAAAACTGACACAAAGCTCCTCTCTACAGTTTGTTGGCCAAGCAGACAGCAAGATCAACCAGGCCATACTGAAGCTGGGGGAATCCGATGCCCCCGTGGAGGAAGTTTGCGGGCCCGGTGCAGACGCAAATTTCGATCAGTTGATATCCGCCCTTGGACATATCGCTCGCCAGAAGCCGAAGCCGTTGATTGACACAATCATGCTCTGGAGGAAAGCCAAAGGAGATGCTGCAATCACCGCGAGGCAAATGACGAATGAGCAGGTATGCTCACCACTAGCCCCAGGAAGCAGAAATTGCAATTGCTAACGTTTCTCAGCCAAAGCCAATTGTCACTGAGAATGGAGTGCTAATGCGTCGCAATACGGAACCCACCCAGACCCCTACTGAAGCTGGCGCTCCTGCGGATCGTCCCCCACAAGCGACACCATTCCTTTCCCGCCATGATGATGTTGCTCTAGTGGAGCGACGAGCAACCGTCTCGGTCTACTTGGTATGCCGAGTATTGATTGAGATCTTCAACCAGAGCAGCCTTGCATCAATCACCCTTGACATGGCTGACCGTCTTGAAGATATTGTGTTTGGCCAGATTAAAACAGTGGATCCAGAACAGATATCTGCATCTCCTCTTCGGATGGCCAATTGGAGAATTTATGGCCAATTGCTCGGGATTATGAGTGAAGCAAACTTCACCAGTGTTACCAATCGCTTCCTAGGCGAACTTGAAAAATTCCAAAAAGATGAAGCAACCCGTGGCCCAACACGCGATGGCGATGCCAAAGCAGAGCTTCTGATCTTGGGTATGAGGTATTTGCGCCTTCCAATGAATCCGGAAGCTTGGTCCAAATCCTGCGAGTTCATGCGATCGTTGGCGCGCCTTTTCGTCAATGCACACGGGCAAAGAATCAAACAGGCCTATTGCTACGTGATTGAGAAACTCTTACTCCCGGTGGCTGCAAACCCGACAGTGGATCTGGCGACTCCTCGATGGAAGGAGTTTTTGGATCTGGTTCAACCGCGACTGGCGCAGCTTCTTACCAAGCCTCGCCACTGGGCATCTTCCTTTTCATTGAACGTGCTATTGCTGTGTATCTCAAGCAAGGAGACCTTCTCCGTACAATGGCTGTCCATGATATCGACCTTACCCCCACGACTCAAAGACCGCCCTACTCGTGCGCCTGCTCTGCAAGCAATCTGTCGCCTCGTTTGGACATACTTCTTCCGCTACTCCGATTCTCCAACAATCACGCTTCGCAAGGTTGAAGAAGTGGCAAAGATCGCTCTGCCTACCGGACGAAGGACGTACCTCAGCGCAGAGCCGACATTTGCAGACCCGCTGATCCAGCTGATTCGAATGATCGGTTTTAAGCATCCAGACGTTTGCTTCAGAAGTGTCATTTTCCCTTTGATCAATTCCGATCTCTTCTTGTCTGGCAGAGAAGTGAAAATTGAGCAAATGGAACCCGAGAAAATGGTCATTGGTATCCGTTCTTTCCTCGCTACCATGTCTGATCTGGAGACAAGTGATCAACTCTGTCCTCCCTTCCCTACCGGCTCTCTCCCGAATCCATTTTTAGAATCATCGACCCCAATCTACTTTTACCGACCCCAGTTGTTAGCAGAGCCCAAGGTTGCCACCGCCTCACAAAAGTCCGAGCCCTCATGGAGCCCGGTTAATATGTCGAGGCTGAGTGACAATGTGAAAGAGTATTATCTCCGTTTCTGTGAAGTCCTCGGCAAAGTCACCATTATCTGCGACAACACATTCGGTGGCCAAGCAGTTCTAGATGAGAAATTTGGTGGAACCACGCCCAAGACTCCGTTGACCGAAGCCTTCGGGTTTGGACGACGTGACGACCACATGAATGCGGTCGATCAGAAGCAAGGATTCTATGAACTCCTTCACGTCGCGGTACAGGCCCTACCTCGTTGCCTCTCCGACCATATCCCCTTCAACTCGTTGATCAACCTCCTCTGCACGGGAACCGCTCATGTGCAATCACATATTGCCAAGTCATCAGCAGAATCGTTGAAGTCAATCGCTCGACAGTCTCATGCGCAGCAAGTCACCATAGGCTTCGCCAGATTCATTTTCAGTTTTGACGTACGCTATTCCACCATGTCCGACGAGGGAATGCTTGGCCCGGGCCACATTGAATCAACCCTGCGACTTTACGTTGAACTACTTCGAATTTGGATCGATGAAATCAAACAAAAGACCAAAGAAGCGGCGTCAGAGCAGCTCGAGAAAACCGTTTCTGGAAGTCGAGCTCTGCACCTTGACCTTTCGAGTGTTCTTGCACATGTAGAAGAGATTGAATCACACGGCCTCTTCTTCCTATGCTCACAATCGCGGAGAGTCCGGGCCTTTGCCATCAATGTTCTGCGCCTGATCACTGAATTTGACAGTGCACTCGGCAAAGAAAACACAAGAATAATCAGGATTCTTGAAGCCGATTCCCAGCAGATTCTGGATCTGAATGACGAGCAACTTACCGTAGCAGAGAGAAGTCGTATCCAAAAGGGCAAACGAAGAAGCGCGTCGCAGAATACTCTCATCGAACTTTGCAGCAGTGAAGTTTCATACGACTCTACTTTGTGGGCAAAAGTGTTCCCAAATATCATCCGGTTCAGTTTCGAGACCTGTCCATTTGCTGTTACCCTTGGCAGAGAAATTGTTTGCACACGCCTTGTTCAAATGCACAAGTCGATCTCTTCACTGGCAGAGAGATCACGACCACCGCAGTACTCTCCCGTGGATGTCTACCAGGGTCGACCCACAGGTAGGAGCAACATGACTGCGGAGATTCTCGTTGAACAATGGAAACTGTACCTGGTCATGGCCTGCACCACCGTCACTAGCGTCGGTGCTCAATCCCAGAGTCAGTTGGCGAATGCCCAGCACACGCGGAAGGCCTCGAAGGGCGCCTCATCTTCAGACAAGATCAGCTCAGCCAGAAGTCTTTTTGCATTCGTCATTCCGCTCCTCTCTGCTGAGCGGGATTCTATTCGGAACGCGATCGTGATTGCCCTTGGCGCTATCCACAAGAATCTTTACCGCACTCTGCTGGAATCTCTTCAGTATGCGGTCACCACATGTAACGAGGAGGCCAAAATTCGTATTGGCGCCCACCATCGGACACCCAGCAGTCCCCGCAGGGACCGCAAGACAGACCGTCTGCGCACTGAAGTCACTCACGTGTACAAGCTGACTTCTTACTTCCTACGAGAACCAGAAGTTTACAATGAGGATTGGATTGTTAACAATCTGATCACGTACGCCAAAGATATCCGGATATTTCTGAGTGATGCCGAGGTCCAAAACGACTGGGAGTTCCAGCGTTTACGCTTCCATTACTGTGGTCTGATGGAAGAGCTTTTCGAAGGGGTGAACCGCACGAAGGACCCTTCACGATGGATTCCCTTCGAATCACGGAAATCTGCCTTCTCTCTCATGGAGGATTGGTGCGGTTATTCCCCAAATCAAAACCATATCAATGAGCGCGAGGAAAACATGCGGAAATTTGCCATGCATCAACCCCACGAGGGCGGCGAAATGAGGAACGCTGGCGCCGCTACGGAAATCGAAAAGAAAAATCTGCGGGCAGCTGCCTTGAGTGCGATGGCGTCACTTTGTGCTGGCCCTATTAGCATCACTACCGAAAGCGGATCGGTGCTTCAATTCGATGTCGGTCGGATGCTGTCCTGGATCGATATAATCTTCGGTACCCTGAGCGACAAGTGGCATTCGATTGGCCGCCGAGCCCTCAAGAATCTCATCATCCACAACAAGGAACATTCATACCTGATGGAGCGATCCGTTGAGATGTGCTACGTGTCTGAACGGCCCAAGGCCTTGGAAAGTTACTTCGAAGTTGTGACCGAGGTGCTCATCGAGCACCCTGACTACCCACTGAGATTCTGGAGAATCCTTGGTGCAGTGTTAGTAACGCTCGGCAATCAGAAGCGTGAGATCCGCATGAAGTCGGCGAAGCTCCTCCGCAGACTCGAAGAACGCCAGCAAAAGAGCTCGCGGATCGAAGACTTTGACATCAGCATCTCAGACAAAACAACTGCTGTTTATAAACTTGCCCAGTTTGAGACATCCAAGCGATTGGCTAACCAACATACCGACTTGGCCTTCACCTTGTTCTCTGAGTTTGCCTTGCACTTCCGCAATCTTAGCCCAGACAGCCAGCGAAACATGGTTGCTGCTATTTTGCCGTGGGTTCAAACCATGGAGCTACAGGTTGATCCAAATGGTGGCCCAACGGCGCGGTCCTACATGCTCCTTGCCAATCTTTTTGAAATTACAATTCGCTGCAGCACCACCTTGCCCAACCAAGTTCAAGCCTTGTGGCAGGCGCTCGCGACAGGTCCTCATGGAGGCAATGTCCAGCTGGTTCTTGACTTCATCATTAGCCTCTGCCTTGAACGCAAGGAACAAAATTTTGTGGAATACGCCAAGCAAGTGGTTGTCTTCCTGGCCGCAACTCCAGCCGGTTCGAAAGTAGTCGAGTTCTTCCTCTTACAAGTGGTGCCAAAGAATATGGTCCAGGAGCGAAAGGAGATTACTGCGCCTCCTCCGGATCTTAAGAATCTCCCCTATGTTGCGGACCTGAACACGGTGCTTCCTGTTGGAAGCCATAAACAAGCTGGCCTTTCACTTGGACAGGTGGCTCTCATCTTCCTCGTTGATCTCATGGTGGCGCCCGTAACACTTGTCCTGAACGATGTGGTCAAACTGCTCCATGTCGTTCTCATTCTCTGGGACCATTACACCCTCACTGTGCAGGAGCAAGCCCGAGAGATGCTGGTCCATCTCATTCATGAACTAGTGACTGCTAAGCTGGAGGATTCTTCTCCCCCTGGCGCTCGTCAACTATTCGAGGACTTCGTGGAGTCAATTCGCAAGAGCGATCCTGCCGTCGTCTGGGAGTATGAAGAGAATTCCGGCAAGGACGACGAGACTGAAGATCGCCGAGTGCCCTCGGCCATGGCCACGGTCACCCGCGATGTGATCAAATTTTTCAGCTTTGCATACGAAGGAGTCGGGGATCTTTGGGCCAAAGAAGCCTTGAACTGGGCCACTTCTTGCCCTGTTCGACATCTGGCGTGTCGTTCATTCCAGGTTTTCCGCTGCATCTCAACCTCCCTGGATTCGCGAATGCTGGCGGATATGCTTGCTCGACTCTCCAACACGATTGCAGACGAGGAAACCGACTATCAAACATTCTCAATGGAGATTCTCACAACCCTAAAAGTTATCATCAGCTCGTTGGCCCCGGCGGATTTGTTGCACTATCCTCAACTATTCTGGACCACGTGCGCTTGTCTCAACACCATTCATGAAAGTGAATTCATTGAAAGCCTTGGAATGCTGGAAAAGTTCCTGGATCGTGTCGATTTAAGCGATCCTGCCGTGGAAGGGCAGCTCCTTGATGGCCAGCCACCCAAATGGGAGGGCGGATTTGATGGTCTTCAGGACCTGGTGTTCAAAGGCCTAAAGTCTTCTGAGTCGTTCAACCGCACACTGGACGTGATTCATCGCCTCAGTGGCATTCCCAATAATGAGTTGATTGGAGATGGAACCCGCCAGCTTTTCACAATTCTGGCGAACTTGCCTCATTTTCTTCAGTGCTTTGAGGAAAGTTTCACGAACCCCAAGCCTATTGCACGCGCTAGCCTCCTGGCTCGTGTCGCGGAGAACGAAAGGTGTCCCCGACTCGCGGCGTCTTTGTTCGGATTTGCGAATCAGCAATACAAGACCGAGGGTGTCTTTCTAGACCACATCATCACAGAGATCAAGTCTTATTATTTCCCTCATCTTGACTTCCAGTGCCTCATTTTCTTGATGGGTCTTCTGACTAATACCACGGATTGGTTTAGAATAAAAACCATGAAGATCCTCTGTGTCTTGATCCCCGAGGTGGATATGCGTCGCAATGAGGTGACTTGTCACGGTCCTGATCTGATTTCACCCTTATTGCGGCTTCTGCAGACCAACCTCTGTCCCCAGGCTTTAGAGGTGTTGGATCACATAATGACAGTCGCTGGCAATCCAATGGAGCGTCATCACCTCCGCATGAGCATGGCTTCTGCAACTTCGTCGCGCGCAATCCGGAAAGAGTATGAACGCATACAGAGCCTGTACGGCATCCCCGAGCCTTCCGGCTGGTCTGTGCCTATGCCTGCGACCCAGTCCTCATTGACTCGGAACAATGTTCATGCTGTGTTCTATACATGTGCTGAAACCGAGCACATGAATACGGAGGATGTCATGACGCCCGATGTGGAGTTCCGGGCAGATGACTTCAACGAATCGTTCTTCCCCATGAGAGCCGACACGATGAAGTCCATTGAAACCCAGACCGACGATAACATTGGCAACATTGTCCAGAAGCTGGATAGTTTGGATGACTTTTTCGACGAGACGAGCGTGCCAAAGTTCAACTCAGTGGCCCCGCCTATGCTTCGGGGGTTTACTGGCAGTTATGTGGACACGAACGCCCATTTGTATGACCAACAGACGGCGCCGATTCTGCGAAAGTCGCTCGCACGAACTGGCTCGACATCTTCGTTCCACGACGGTCTTGCAGAATCTCGACCAGCCAACTTCCGTTTCGATAGTCCAAGTATGCCTTCTCCTGTGGCAGCAACTCCCCACAGCTCGAGTCAAACTTTGAGGCCCGCCTCACATACCCGGTCTGTCACGTCGCCTGCGAACAATTTGTTCGCCCACACCCAGCCACCTGGGATTCACGGAACACCGCCGATCGGGATAAATGATTCTGCTTTCTTCTCCGACGACGACATCGAAGAGGCACATTCCGATATGGAGGAACGATCATCAGAAAAGACGCCAGCAACCCAGCTTCCCCCAATGGTTCGCAGTGCAACCGATGGCTCTCATTCCCTTGAGTCTATGATCCGCAGCGGCATGCGCCGACTCACGGGCGGTGCAGCGAATAATCGAGAAAAGGAACGACAGCGAGACCTCCTCCGTGCCCAGAACCGCGCTATCGTTCAGACAGCCAGTTCTCCCCGCGTACCAAAAGTACCCGAGGCGTACCTCGCCGGGCCAACCAGCCACCCTACCTCACCCAGATCGTAGTCTACCAGACTCGATCTTGATCCACGTACTAGAAAATCGCATGGTACCATGCGATCTTGGGCTCCATTTTTGTTCTCTGCTGCTTTCAGCCTGGGCATTTCTCGGGCGTTCGGATTAATCTCATACCCTTCCTTTCTTTCCGTGACGCTGTCTCGTGCATATTTGGATCTTTGTACACTATTTAAATCATGAAGCCTTGTAGTCGGTGTCACGGACATAGTTTTCGCAATCAATATGACGAACACTCATTCATTCTTAGAAAGCTTTTGTCACTTCGTGTATACTTGTTCCACAAGCGTCAGCATTGCCATCTTTGATGCGACATTCCCCGATGCATATCCATCCACGTGACCACACCCCACGGCGGGTCTCTGCAGTGTTTCCCCGCAAACCAGAACCGCTCTTCACAAGCGCCCCTGCGTCTCGGAAAGCGACGGCGTTCGATGGACCGAGTATTTAATCCCCCCCCCAACCCTCAGCCGAGGACCTATTACTGATTATCTTGAAGCATTGTACACAACCTTCACCGTTTTTCCTCTGCGACTTCAGCTTGACTGCGCGATGAGTGTTCGATCCGCATGCTCTCTTTCTGGGGTAGCCCGTCTCCACACACCGAGGACCTTCCGACGCTGGCCGTCTACAAGCTCGGTGAGCTCGGGCCGAAGGTCATTCTCAACAACGCTGCATCGTGATGCAACTTGGGGATTCGTGGGATTGGGCCAAATGGGTGTGTCTTGATCAAATTGGGCCTGAACAGATCAATTGATCTTGCCTACCCATGTTGGTTTGGGGTGTTTACTGACATCTGATCGACGTAGGCTACAATATGGCCAAGAACCTGCGTGCTAAGATCCCTGCCTCCGACACGCTGATCGTGCGCGATGTAAATGAGGACGCCATTAAACGATTCGTGGCGGAGGCACAGGAGGCTGCTCGCGAGAGCGGTGCCGCCGGTACGGAACAAGTGCGAGTGGAAATTGCCAAGAATGCGCGTGAAGTTGCCGAGAAGTCCGTGAGTATCTTTCTGGCCCTGTTGTCACTGCAGCCTTGGAAAACCCACCTGCCGGTCGCTATTCTTTGTGCCGTTGATTGTTGATGCTAACAATGATCTGCGTTGCGTGACATACGTAGACCGTCATGATCACAAGTCTACCAGAATCTCAGCATGTCCTTGACGTGTATCATTCCATACTGAAGCCTGCGGGCCTTCCGGCCCTTGAAGAGGAGCGATTGTTTATTGATACGTCGACGATTGACCCAGTGACATCCAAGGACATTGCGAACGCAATTCACACGACCCAGACTGGACGTTTTGTCGATGCCCCAGTGTCTGGAGGTGTTGTCGGTGCGAAGGCAGGTACCCTCTCCTTCATGTTCGGCGCTCCCTCGGACAGTGCAGAGCTCCTCGAGCGCATCCGTGGAGTTCTCGCCCTGATGGGGAAGAAGGCATGGCATCTCGGCGAGCCCGGTTCAGGTGTGTCCGGGAAGCTTGCGAACAACTACATGCTTGCGATCAATAATATTGCCACGGCCGAGGCTATGAACCTGGGTATTCGTTGGGGACTAGAACCCAAGGCCCTTGCTGAGATGATTAACTCTTCCACTGGCCGTTGTTGGCCCTCCGAGGTGAACAACCCAGTGCCCGGCGTGGTGGACACGGCCCCGGCTTCGCGGGGCTACACTGGTGGATTTGGAGTAAGCCTGATGAACAAGGACTTGCGACTTGCCCTCACGGCTGCCGAGGAATCGGGGACACCGCTGGCCCTAGGCGGACAAGCGCGCGAGGTATACAATGCGGTTGAGGCCGCCCATCGTGGCAAGGACTTTTCGGTGGTTTATCAGTGGTTGCATGACAAGTCACAATAGTTGCGACACAATGAATCTTGCAAACACAAGCACTGAATCAATGACTCGTATGTACGGTCTTTTCTGTTCATTCTTCAACTTCTACTATGCGCATTATCATCGGGCTCTGGAATAGAGACAGGCCAAACCCTAGGGCACTAAATGAAGTATCTATAGTCATATCAACCGAACGTGGATATTGCACCAGTGTTCCCATCCCCACTTCCTTTTTAATTGAATTATCCTACACCAGTGTACCTTTGCCTCTCGACTGCCCTGGACACCGGGTCGTTGCTGGGGTGGAGGGGGGATTCTGCCATTCACTGCTCGTGGCCCACCCCGTTCCTCGATGCATTCACTGCTGGCCGCCCATTCACTGCGAGTATACGGGAGGGGGGTCTACTAATACTGCGATGGCCCTCGCCGCCGACCCTCTTTGCTCTTCTCTTCTCTTCGCCATCTTCTTCGCTTCTGCCATCCTTCCTGCCATCCCAATTCTATTCCACTCGTTCATCATTTCGTCTCTCCATCCTTTCGATCACATCCGTTCTACCGAGTATCGTTCGTCGCCAGCGCGACTGCCCTCAGGGTACGCACCTTCCTTCCCATCGGCCTTGCCAACCCGTGACTTCCTCGAGCGGCCCTCTTCCTCTCGCTCTCCCCCGGTCCTCCCCCAATCCTTTCCCTCCCACCCTCGCCTTTTCTTCTCCTCTTCTTCCCTCCCATATCTCCCATTGCCAGTCTCGAAGTTTCACTGACCTTGTGACCTGGATGGCCGTCTGTTCCAGACTTCTTTCGTTCGTCGAAACCAAATAGTCCTGTGGCTCCCCAGGGTCTGGACGGACAACATCATCAGATAACATCTGCACGGTAAGTAACGACTCGACTGGTTGATTGGAGCTTTGCAGGCAATGGATGAAATGTCCTGACTGAAATGCAGCTCTCAACCTTTTCGTCGTTTATCCCGACGGTTGCCTATTTACTTTCCCCGGGTTTCAAATTTCGGGAGTGTTCCCATCCAGTGTGAGTTTCTCCCGTCTTTGCTCTGCTGGTCTGGGAGACATGATGCCCTCGTGTCTTCCAACTGCGTGTTTCTTGTGATCATCCTCGATCGCTTCTTTGATGGACCATGATCTACCACAATACAGACCAAATTGGCTGACAAGCACAGATCAACAGCGAGCCAGGATGCGGAAAGGCTCACGCAACATGAGCTCGTCGAGCTCCGGCCCATCTCCCAGTGGCCAGACGGGCCATTTTTACCACGACCGCCGTTCGTCCTACGGACACGTTTATCCTCAAGTTCCGACGACGCCTGTTCGTGATGGCGGCTCAGTCTACCCTGGTTTCAACTTCCAAAGCCACCGCAGCAGCTTTTCCTCGAAGAACGCTGCAGCCACTGCCCCCGTGGCCTTGAATGCCAATATGGACTGGACAGCAACCTCTCGTTCTGCCTACAACAGCCCGCTCATTCTGGTGCCCAACTCGAACTTCTTCGGCAGTATGCAGCAAATCCCTTCGTTCGTCACCGGTCAAATTAGCGGACAGGCTGATCAAAGCTCTCAAGTTCCTTACCTCTCGCCGAATGTCTACTCGAGTCTTGGTCCTGTGATTCCCGCATCTTATCCGACTTGGTCGTATCCCGCCAACTACGATCCCCAGGACAACAAGCAAAATGTCTGGAACACCACTGATCAAAAGGGTGCTCAATCCGAGAATGCTGCTCAGATTTCGTACCTCCCTGCGATGCTTCCCTCATTCGACGGTACGAATCCGCTGCCCGGACTTCCTTGTGCAAGTGTCTTTCCCCAGGCTGGGTCGCTCTCGTTCCCGTATCAAGTGATGAAAACCACCGATGGATATGTGATGCAGGACATTGATGCCCTGACCCAGCAAGATCCTGCGATCCCCCGTGCGGTACCTGCCATGTGGACCAACCCAACCGAATTGACCCTGGCAAAGTGTCTGGAAAACCGCGAGGGCATTACAAATGTCTACATTCGGGGATTCCTTCCCGAAACCACTGATGAAATGCTTCATGCCTACGCTGCCCGGTTCGGGAAGATTGAGCGCTGCAAGGCTATCGTCGATCTTGACACCGGCCTCTGCAAAGGGTATGCTCTCGAACCCCCTTCTTCCCGCCCCCCGATAATACCAGTTACGACCGTGCTAACTTGAATTCAATAGGTTCGGTTTTGTTCAGTACTACAGCTTTGAATCTTGCGAGAACTGCATTCGCGGCTTCTTCTATCTCGGCTACCAGGCCAGCTTCGCCCAAAAGTCTCGTAATTCTCGCCTGAAGGACCTGGAGGATAAGTCTTCTACCAACATCTACTGCACCAACATTCCGATCGACTGGACAGAGGCTGTACGTTGGACCACAATTTGGTGGAGAAAAACATGTTTGCTAACTTTATCCGCAGGATCTCCGTCGTCATTTCGAGCCTTATCGCGTCGTGTCGGAGAAGATCAGCCGTGACGACAAAACTGGCGTGAGCAAGGAAGTCGGTTTCGCTCGGTACGAGGACCTCTCAAGCGAAATTCTGAGTGCAAATGCTGACTTTCGCAAACAGATTCGAGAGCCGCGACATTGCAGAGAAGGTGCTGAACGAATTCCACAACGTCACGGCCAAGGAGAATGGTGTGAAGTTGCTGTTGCGATTTGCGGACACTAAGGCCCAGAAAATGCTGAAGCAACAGAGCAATGAACGCCGCGCATACCGTGCTGGTGAGTACAACTACTCTGTCGAGGTGGTACAGGGAACTCCTCCGTCTCCTACTATGCAACGCCTGAAGCAAGCGGCTTCTCATCTCACCCCCGAATCCCAAGAAAGCCTGACCTCACCGACGGGCATGGACTCAATGGATTCTGACTGGACGCCTGCAACCTCGATTTCCCCCACGTAAGTATTGAAAGATCCAACCTTCTTTGAGTGCGAAAGCTAATGGAAATTTAGATTTGCGCTGATGAAGAACTCGGCGAACAGTGCTCGTCAGAGCCTATTGTCCACTCGGAGCCTCAATGCGACTGACAATACCCTCGAGGATACCCTCGAGGACACTCTTGAGGATGACCCAGATGACAAGCCCAAGTACTACCGTCCACGACCATTCGCGATGCGTCGAGCTGCGAGCTATCAATCTCTCACCGATATCTCCGGTGGCTCCACCAAGACCGTTGTTCCAGGCTCGCCCACTCTTGACCTGCGCTCACGCTCATCAACTTCGAGTCCGCAGAAGGAACACTCCCGGAGCGCCTCTACGTCCCGCCTTCCAACGCGCATGGAGTCCATGACCCCCGCCGCGGCTTCCTAAATTGTCTTACGACATTCCATTTCGGAATTGGCATGACCAATCCAGCCAAAGCTCTACAGAGCACCATCACACGCCATGCCCCAACCCATTTTACCTTTTCGATTATCGGCAAGCATTGTCATTCGCAAGATGCACAATGCGTGTTTGTGGATCGAGTTACGTTCTTTCACCCACGATTTTTTTATGAAGTTATGAAGTTATGACGTTATGACATTATGATCTAGCATCCACGCCGTTCCTTACGGGGCTGTCTTCTTGTGCTATGCCGTCTGTTGGGCTATTTTTGAAGTGTTTTTCGTGACTTCGCACCTCGGATTTGATTTTGTTGGTTTGGGTTTTTTTTTTTTTTTTTTTTTTTTTTTCACCTTCCCCATATAGGATGTGGGGGAATGGCGGGTCATCTGTCTTGCCTTCTATTGTTTTCATTCTTTCAATTATGGGGAAAATCATGTTTCTTTTGTGGTATGTTTCGGATGCATGTTTTGCAGGTATTCTCCCAGGTTATCAGGCCTGGAAAGGCAACACAGTCTAAGGCATAGGATTTAGTCATTCATTTATTTTTTCCACCGGAAAACATGGATTTAAAATAATTCACATGGTAGATGAGGTGCTTGAGTGCGCATCCGTAAAGTAGAATCTATAGATATGGCCAACACAAAAAGGGGGGAATGTCCAATCGAATGATCTATACATGAGACGGAAAGGGCCGTCGCCAGCCTCCAAAACGGGGAGCTGGAATATTTCGCTTCAAAAAACACTGAGATTGTACTTTGTCCTATCATTTCCTACCCAGTCTCTCCTCCAAATCCTCGGTCAATTCATAGGCGGGGAGATACTGGCCATCGCTGCCGGATCTCTCCACCTGCAAACGCGGGTTTGGATGCGTGTCCGACGTCCCGCCCAGGCTGGTATATCCCATATCATAGAGCGAGCAATATTCTAGTCCGAGATGCCGAATGAATGCCCAGATCTCGGCATAGTGCCAGTCGATGACGGGGTGAATGCGCATGAAATCGGGCCAGCCGGAGTCCGTCCGGTCGAAGTGCGTCAGCCGTGCCCCGTGCGGGTCGGTACGCCGGGTTCCAACGAAAATGGCTCGAATACCGGGGTGGCGGGAGAGGTAGTCTTCGAAGCTGGAGCGGAGGGTTGTGCGCGGTGGTTCGGTGGTGTATTTTGTTATTGCGAGGTGGTAAGCTTGAGCGGAGGTGATAACGAAATCTTCGACGGCTGGGAAAGGATCCGGTGGAAGGGCATATATAGATGGGATGACGGGGTTGGAAAGCTTCTCTTTGGAAACTGTGCCTCCGCTTTGCGATGGTTGTGTGGTGTGGTCTTGAACGTGGCTGCTGTACGGATGAAGGCCTGCTAGAAATAGGACCAAGAGGACGAGGCAGTCTTTGCCGCCATTGTAGGAAAGAGATAGCTCTGAGAGCTTGTACCGGGTCAAGGCCGATGCGACCACTTCGAGCGAGGTGCGTGTCTGCTGTTGAACCGAGGCTAAGAGGGAATCAGGTGGGTGTGTCTCGGCGAGGAAGGCTTGGACACGAGTGTGGATGCGCGCGATGACCTCTGGAAGGGGAGGAATCTCCTCGTAGTTCTCGCCTGTGTCACCGGTGGTCTTGCTCGCGTGTCCATTCGTCGATCCGTTCTGGTCTGGTGTCGTCCCGGGCCCGCGGTGGGCTATCGGAGTTGCGGCGGCCGGTGGGAATGGGCGCAGATGATCTTGCGCCCGCGACGGTCGATGAGAATCCGCTGGCAACTCCGCGGGCCGCTCGTCGGGGACCGAAGATTGGGCCATTGTGCAAGTTGGGGGATTGTAGGAGGGATGCGAGGCGGGGCGAGTGGGTTTCTCGGCATTCGGCGAGTTGGGGATGATCTAATCCATGTGGGGGGCATATACTGCCTTCGAGTCAACCTCCCATGCCTTCCTTCTTCATTGAAGCTTTTCGAGCGACCGGGATTGACTGGTTAGCGCCAAAATGCTTGACCAAAGTGAATACCAGGTTCATCTAGCTTAGGCTTCTGGACATGTTGCCGCAACTGCTGGGTACAGGTAAACAAAGCGGTTGGCAGCGCCGGTCCCAAATATCACCAGAGCTCGGCAATGCCCGACATTTGACATACTTGATATCCCATATCCCCCATTTAGTATTACTTTGAGACAACAGTAGGGTACAATTGTAGTAGAGTAAAATGGACACTAAATACTGATAAGCAGTATTCGGCCAAAGAGTGGAAGCCAGGCGATGGCTCATTTGACCTGGAGGTTCGCCGTGGATGGTTTCTACTGTGTAAGCGGAGAGTGGCATATGAAAGAATGTTCTATTCTCATGACGGCAACGTTGAAATGTCGCCAGTGCATGGTTATCACTTCAAGATGAAGGTAGATGAAACCTCATAGAACCCCATAAAAACCCCATGAAACCCTCATGAAATCCCTTAGTAACAAAACCCGCAGGTGGGAACAAACGACCGAGTAGCAGAGAACCGTAGAACGCCAGATTGCGGAGATCATCCAAGCACTTTCATCTTCTTTTTCTTCTTCTTGTCATCGGCGCTCTTCCGACCTTTCTGCCAATCTCTCCAATTGTCAATGCGTTCCTCCCGGGTGTCCTCCCATGCTTTGTCTTGCTCTCGCTTGCGCTTGCGCGCCGCAATAATCTCGTCTTCCTTACGCTGCTCCCGGCCTTCTTCCCTCATCTGTGCCTTCGCCTGAGCCTGCAGGCGTTCTGCATCGTGGTGCAGAACCTGGGCCGCCTTTTCGCGCCATTCGACCTTGAACTTCTCCGTATTGAGCTCTGGAGAGTCAACCGTGTATTTGTAGTCACGCATCAAAAGACGGCGGGCGTCAGCAATGCATTCATCGAGGTAAGTACGCTTCTTTTCATCGAGGAGAACGGTTTGCGCCTTGTTCAGCTTGTCGAAGGAATCGGGCGCGGCGGGGTTTTTGGTCTTGTCAGGGTGGATGAGAAGTGATTTCTTCCGGTATTGGATTTTGATGTCCTTCTCTGGCACACCGGGCTGAAGGTCTAGGATTGCATATCTATGAAGCACACAAGGTTAGGAGCAAGCTTAGGGGGGATGACAGACGAGGGAATGCTGAGAACATACGCATCGAGAGGTGATGCACGGCGAATGCGGTCTATCTCCGTATCCTGACCTTGTGGGTGAGTGATTCGTCATTTTAATGTACATGGGTGTACTTACCCTCTTGAATTCAAGCTCCTCGCGTTCGAGCCCGGCGAAGAGCTCCTTGTCGTCTTCTTCCTCGGCCATGACGAGTGTTGAACGCGACAACTTTCCAAGAGCGCGGGCGGCGTGAAGATAAGCTGCTTATCGTGCTGAGTCAGCGCGTAAAAAAAAGCTGCGCCGATAAGCATGCGATCCGCTTGGATTTGAACAATTTGAACTTCTTCCGCGACCCTAATCACCACCAACACAAATTATGGCCCCAGCCCGGACGTCTCGTGGGAAAGCTCCCAAATCGAATCATGGATCCGGCAGGAATCTCAAGCGCAAGCGGGGCGAGGATGAGCTGTCTTCGCTCATTCAGCGCGTCGAAGACCTCGACTTGAAAGCCTCCCTCAAAACCTTCGCCGACTTGCCTCTCTCTGAGCCGACTGCTCGTGGCCTGTCTGCTTCCCATTACAAGACGATGACTGACATTCAATCGCGCGCCATCAGTCACGCTCTCAAGGGACGTGATATCCTCGGCGCAGCCAAAACCGGTAGCGGCAAAACGCTGGCCTTCCTCGTCCCCGTTCTCGAAAATCTGTACCGCAGGCAGTGGACCGAATACGATGGCTTGGGAGCACTGATCTTGTCTCCGACCCGCGAATTGGCGATCCAAATCTTTGAAGTGTTGCGCAAAGTGGGACGGTATCATGGCTTCTCTGCCGGCCTGGTGATCGGTGGAAAGAGTCTGCGCGAGGAGCAGGAGCGATTGGGCCGCATGAACATTCTTGTGTGCACACCCGGACGAATTCTGCAGCATTTGGACCAGACGGCTATGTTCGAGACGAACAACTTACAGTTGCTGGTCATGGACGAAGCAGATCGCATTCTCGATATGGGCTTCCAGAAAGATGTCGATGCCATTATCGACCACCTCCCTAAGGAACGCCAAACCATGCTTTTTAGTGCTACGCAGACCAAAAAAGTTTCGGATCTGGCTCGTCTCAGTCTCCAAGAGCCTGAGTACGTTGCCGTCCACGAAGCCGCCGCCGCGGCGACTCCCTCTACCCTCCAGCAGCACTACGTTGTTACAGCATTGCCTCAAAAGCTCGACACTCTCTGGAGCTTTATTCGCAGCAACCTCAAGTCCAAGACGGTCATTTTCCTATCTTCGGGCAAACAGGTCCGATTTGTCTACGAATCATTTCGACATCTTCAACCCGGTATCCCGCTGATGCATCTGCACGGCCGACAGAAACAGGGAGGCCGCCTCGACATCACTACAAAGTTTTCGCAGGCACAGCATGCGGTTCTTTTCGCCACCGATGTCGCGGCGCGTGGTCTCGACTTTCCTGCAGTAGACTGGGTCATTCAGATGGATTGCCCCGAAGATGCCGACACATACATACACCGAGTCGGGCGGACAGCCCGATACGAACGAGTGGGCCGCGCCGTATTGTTCCTTGACCCGAGTGAGGAAAGGGAATGCTCAAGCGACTTGAGCAGAAGAAGGTTCCTATCGAACGAATCAACATCAAAGCGAATAAGCAACAGAGTATCAAGAATCAGTTGCAGAATATGTGCTTCAAGGATCCGGAATTGAAGTACCTCGGCCAGAAAGCGTTCATCTCGTATGTCAAATCGGTTTACGTGCAGAAGGACAAGGATATCTTCAACTTGAAGGAACTCTCGCTGGAGGATTTCGCTGGCAGTTTGGGCCTTCCTGGTGCACCACGTATCAAGTTTATTAAGGGCGATGACACTAAAGAGCGCAAGAACGCCTCTTGGAAAATGTCTCATATGTCCAGCGACGAAGACGACTCGGACGCGAAGGCCAAGGAGGATAAGAAGGGTAAGAAGGAAGAGACCCAGGTCCGCACCCGCTACGACCGCATGTTTGAGCGTCGTAACCAGGATGTCCTTGCTGAGCACTACCACAAACTCATCAATGATGACGGTACCATTGTCGCCACCGGTGCTGGCAAGGGCACTGGCGAAGATGCCGACGAAGATGCCGATTTCTTGTCAGTCAAGCGCCGCTTCGAGGCCGGCGATGCTAGCCTCGACCAGGGCGGTACCGATTCCGAGGACTCGACTGCTGAGAAGGGAACCAAGAAGGTACAGATCGACGGTCAGGAGCCGCTGGTTATCGATTCCAAGCGCCGCGAGAAGCTTCTCAAGTCGAAGAAGAAGCTGCTCAAATACAAGGGCAAGGGTACGAAGATGGTATTCGACGAGGAGGGCAATGCCCACGAATTGTACGAGATGGAGGACGAGGACCAGTTCAAGGCTCGCGGCGATGCCGACAAGCAGCGCGAGCAGTTCTTGGCTGGAGAGTCAGAGCGCACTCGCCGTGCCGACCTCGAGGACAAGGAGGTGGCCCGCGACAAGCGTCGCGAGAAGAAAGAGAAGCGCAAGGCCCGCGAGCGTGCTCTTGCCGACGAAGAGGCCGACGAGGAGCGTGGTGTGCAGGGATTGCCATTCGTAGAGCCCATCCCCATGTCCGATCCCGAGTCCGAATCCGAGCCAGAGCCCCAGACGCGGCGACCCAGCAAGAAGGCCCGAGTCTCCTTTGCCGAGCCAGACGACAGCGACAAAGAGGATGCGCGCAAGAGCAAGAAGAGCAAGAAGGACAGGAAGGCCGAACCCCAGATCGAGACTTTGGGCGATCTGGAAGCTCTGGCGAGTGGCCTGCTGGGCTAATGCATCTGTATCATACGACGGTGCCTCGGGCGTCTGTTCTATTCTGTCTTCTTTTTCCCCACTTTCCATGTTTGTGATGTTTAATATGTGCTAGCGACACCCCTAAAAAGCATTCTGAATTTGCATGAGTATATACTACAATGAAGCGATTTTGCCACATCGATTTCCGTGATGTATCTTGTGATATATCTTGGCTGCGGTTATAGATCTGCCCTTCGGGATCAACCGCAGCCACACCCCAACCACGACATTCTTAAGAAACCCAATCAGAGCTGTGGTTAACTATGGTGCCAATTTTGGCAGCAGCACATACTACCTCCACTAGACTTGTTGATTTGAAAGCCGTGTTCTACTTATCACATGTGACTGCACCCTAATGTACGTGTCTTCCTCAGTAGCCACCTTCAGGGTTGGGACAATATCTAGTCAACTGCAAAGTACCTGGCCTCCAGTGCCACGTGATCATCATAATGTAGCTATCTGTTAGCTACTAACATTGGAAACGTTTAGACAGCCCAGGACCTATTCTGGTGATCCCTTCCAAGCAACGACCCAGCCTGTCTCACATCTTTTTCAGTGGTATTGGCGAATTGCCTCTTTCACATTGGTTAAAGCTTTATTTGACTCGAATGATTCTTCCATCCTTTTGACATTAGACTTCTGCTAACCTCAGTCGTGACGGCACCGAACAAGAAGAGCTAGTATTCTACGGTAATCACAGCATGTATCTGCACCGTCGGTAAATACTTCAGCAGACATTGCACCAGAGCAGGATAGATTATTATATCAGTAATACTCTGACTTCTCGAATCAGGGGAATAAAAAAGGGACATCTCAAGTGTCGTTTGAGAAGTCTCGAAATTCATTATACACCAATGTACAATGCTCCAACGCATGCAAACCATTGTACAAAATGCAGCACTATCTAATCGAACTGTAGAAAGAGAATTAGGAATGCGAGACTACCCCTCCACTCCGCAAACGCCGTGCCATGTCTTGAAAACATAAACTGTAAGGGGTACTCGCGAGAAAGAAAAGATATAAGTTAACCCAAGGGAAAACAAAGGAAATCAGTACAAAAGAGACTCTCCTATATGGAACGCCCGCTGCATCGAGACCACAAAAAGATAAAAGGTACCGAAACATATTCCGAACGCAAACACCACACACCCACCTAACCATAAGAACAGGACGAGGGATGCAGCCTTGTAGCATTGACAACCGGAACCGAAAAACTTTTCGACGTCCCTGCGAAGGCAAAACAAATCGAGAAAACAAAGCAAATGGGTTTCAACCCATTCAATTTCAGAACTGAATGAAAGCGCCGTGCTGGGTATCGTTCCTCGTAGTCCCGGCTACGAGGATTGTCAATTATACAATACAATAGCCTCCAGGGCAGCTGTCGGGTATCCTTTGAGAATTAAGTTGCAGCCAGACTTAGTTTTCGCTAGCCATTGACCATATCGTCTAAAGCCATCTTGCGCCGTTTGATGGGTCGTGGCTCGCCAGTTTCGGCCTCGGTGCTGGTGTGTGCGGCCTGCGTTGTGATGGGAGACGAATGGCTCAGAGGGACCGGAGACGGCAGATCGATGGGCCCTAGATGTCGAGGAATTGGTTCAAGAGGGCCTGTCGTGGACGAAGAGCGTTGGTGATGGTAAGATTGCGGCGTCGAGTGCGATAAGAGCGAGCTCATCGGTCTCTGTAACGTAGCTGGCGATCGCGGTTCTCGAGGGTTATCTTCACGACTGGAGCTAGAGGTTGTCCAGCTTGCGGGATAAGGATCGCTCAGTCGATGCGCGTGGTGAGATATCGGACTCGCGGTGGCTTGGTGAATCGGGGGCAGTCGGAAGGGGGATTCAAGATAGGGCTCGCGAGGCGCTGGAGGAATCCGGGAATCACTCATGGGCTGATGTATCACGCTAGATGGAGCATCAGCGTACGGCAGGTAGGAAACTCCTGCTGGGTGCTGGTGTTGCGGAGGCGATGTTGGTGGTGGTAAAGCCGGGCCTCCATATGGAGGAAAGCGTCGGTCCATTCCGGGTGGCATGGCCCCGGTCTTCAGGACTGGATTGAAACCGCCCGTCACTGGCACAAAAGCAGGCGGTGGATGAGGCGGCACGGCTGTATAAGAAGCTGGACCGGAGCTAGAGAAAGGACGTCGTCCTGCACTGCCTGGTATCGAGGTAGAGGGATCCATAGGTCGAGTCAAAGGGAAAACCGAGGCGGACCATCTATGCGCCTGGCTGCGTTGCATCCGCATGGTCGCTGCTGTGGGACCAGGGTCGCCTATGGTGTGAGGGTCAGGCATGGGGCGCAGTTCACGAGACGAAGTAGCTCGATGGAGGACATTCCTTTGCGCTGCCATGGACGGTTGAGCTTCGGCTGATACACCTGGGCTTTCGATATGTGTCGTATAAGCTCGGAGCGAAGAGTCTTCAGCTTTCAGTGGTGGCCGCCCTCTCTTTTTGTGGGTCACATCGACGCAAGAAGCCTTGTATGAGGTTAGTCAAGAGATCAAATCTTTGACCTTGGAGATTACCATCGAATTTGAGTACTTACAGCCTTGCCTGCCAGAACACATCTTCGACATGGCCGTGCTGGATCACATCCAAGATGCTTTTTCTTACAGTTCACACAGGCCGAGGCTACATGAGCTTTGGTCCGCCGAGTGGACTTTTGCGCCAAGGAACGGGTGGAGGGACCTGGCACGGCGGGTTCCAGCGTTGATAACGAAAACGGGGGTTCTCCTGAATGTGGATGTTGTTGCTGATGTGTGTGAGGGTGTTGGTGTTGATGTGGATGGTCATGTTGGTGCTGATGCGGATGCTGATGCGGATGCTGATGCTGATTCTGGTGTTGATGTTGTATTGGAGATCCAACAAATGGCGGAGGGCCTGGCTCTCCATACCTCGGGAGGATAGGTGCTGATAGAGGATCACTCACAGCCGCCGGCGGCTGTGAAGTTCCAGACACTGCAGGGATAGCTAACACCCCGGTCGTAAACACGGGCGAGGAAGCCGATGGATATGCCACCGGCCTGGACTCTCCGGATGTCACCGAGGGCTCTTGGGTGGGAGGAGAGCCAGACATCGATTGGCGGGGGAGAGGAGCCCGGGGGCTACACCCTCGAGCATTGGTAGACCAAGATCGATTCAACGGCAGCCGCTCAGGGCCCGAGTTGAACCGGGGCTGTCCAAACTGGGCGGAGGTGAGGCTCGGAGGGTGAAGCACGAGTGGTTGCATCGGGTGCCAGGCGGGAAAAAGGAAAGGGCCCACGGGTCAAAACAGGATCTCCAAGCGGATCTTGTCGTTCACAAAAGGCGACCACTGGCTCTCGGCTCGGCACTTGGGGGTAGCATATCTGGCGAACGGATCCCTAGCGCCTGGAACAACAAGGAGGAGGGGGTTTACGGGGAGGCACTGCGAAAGGAGAGGAGGAAGAGGGAGGAGAAGCGTGAGAGGAAAGGGAAAGGAGCCAGCAAAAGGACCAGCAGCGGTGTAGGGGTGGAAAAAGGCGTGGGTTTCAATATCCGGTCGTCATCAAGCTCCTCTCGGGCCTGTTCGAGGACCACCTGAGCTTATAATCAGTGGCCACCGAGATCCGCTATTGGAGGAGTCAGAAAATAGACTGCATCGATCAGCGGGAGATTTCCAGATCATGACAGCAGGGTTACTCATAGCCGCGCATGTCTTTCCCCTCCCAGGGCGATTTATTGCAGGATGGCGGTCGATCATCGAGCTAGGCTCCAGGTGCAGTAACGCCAGTGTCAAAGCCCCCACGTCCTTGCCTCTATGTCTCGACGGCCCACGTTCCGTGCATGGAGGATGTGCGGAGGGCCCCAGGAAAGAAAGAACCAGGAATAGGAAACGGTGAACTATACCCTTCAAGTAAAAATGCAGCGTCCAACCCGTGGCGCTGGGCTGGATGGGATGCTCTGGTGACCAAACAAGCTCAGCGGGAGCTGCGTTGGTCTCTGTCGTTGCGAAGTGGGTTCACCCTGGCTGCCCTATTTTCCTGCTTTCCCGCTCTTCTATACGAAGAAGGGGGGTTGTGTGGAGGAGGGTGGTCCTTGGGCGAGACGGGGTGTATGGAGGGGGAGGGAAGCCACTCAGACAGAACAGAATGCAAAAAGAAAAAAAGGGAAAAAAAAAAGGTAATAGATAATAGAAAAAATAGTCCAGAGCCTCGATAACAACCCGATGGGTACTTTTTTTTCCCATTCACACAACTCTGGGCCTCTCGATGTCGCAGCAGCGTAGCACACCCGACCTGCGGGACCAAGGCTTATACTCACGGGGAGACGAAGAGGTCAAATGGGCGGGTCTTTGGGGGGACAGGGTAGGAAAGAGCAGTGGTCAGTGCAGGCGGCGCTAGTAGCTGATAGACTTGATCTCCGTCATGGTAGATCATTCGAATAATGGGGAGGGGGGCCACCCTAGTTCCCTCCCAGGTTTGCCCAACAGTACCGGGGCAAAGGGTAAAGTGGAGACGGTGCTGCGGTAGTGTACCTATAGGTGGTTTTTTTTTTTTCCAATTCACCCAAATGGAAATTGGGCGTTAGTTTCATTTTTTTGCTAATTATTTTTTTGGGCAGTGGTGGTCTGGGTTCTCCTCTTTCCTTTCTGGATGTTGCGATCTCCCATGAGGCCCGTGAGCAACCCTAGTCGTCCTAGTAGTTCGCTGGCTGAAGTGGCTTGCATTAGATGGAGAACGAGCTGTCAGTGACACCCTTCCGGACCCCGTTTTCTCTCGGAAATGATCCCTTGGGGACTCGGAAAGGGATCGAATATGTCGTGGACCCAAAGGGTAATTCTGAGGCCAATCCGAGGTAAAATTCGGTGAAGGGCCCCTCCCTTTTCCATTGTTGATGCTTCTGTGATTTTCACCCTGTGCATGATTTTTTGGGGGGAGGGGCTCGATGCCAATCAGGCCGGGAAGCAAGGCAAAAAGATTTGACGGATCGACGTCGGCGCCCGCAGCCATTGCCAATAGTCGGCCTCGGCAATGAAATGCACATTCCGTTTGACATGCGTAGGCACAAAAAATGATATGGCCCAAAAAATAAAGAAAAGGCGATGCTTAATTTCGAAATTGCAACCCACCATCGGGGAGGACGAGTCCAGCGCATTTCCGATCGAATCGTGCCAGCGCGACGCGTTTTTGAGTTTCCCACCTTATTCCTTATTTTCCTCTGCTCCACACTATCCCGTTGCCGGATCGGGACAGGGAGGAGGAAGAAAAAGGAGAGAGAACGTCCAGAAAACGAGGGTGGCTCTCGCTCGGCCGTAGAGGAGTCGAAGTCTCCACGCTGGTCGACTGGGCGAGGACCGAACGGGGATCGGTTCTATCACCGACAGTCTGGTTGCGTCCCTGCATTACTGGTCTGACTTTTTCTTTTTCTTTTTTGTCTCTGGACTGGGGATTCTTCGTTTCCCGAGCTGTTCGCCACTCAGAGGCTGCTGGCTTGCCTGGGACGAACACCTCGCCCAAGGGGGTACGCCTGTATGCCGTACAAACCCCTCTGTCGGCGTGGTCCAGGACCCGTCGCCAGCGAACACCCACCCATGGTCGTTATTCTCCGCAGTGGAGATCAGGAATGGCCCCACTCCCTTCCCAGCACACTGTATGACCGAGTCGATCCTCCGTTTATGCTCCGTAGGACAAGTGGGGGTTACTGTTACAGTCGAGTCCTACATCCAACCGATCAGAGTCCGTTGGCCTTGGAAGCCCCTGGATGGAAAGGAAAAAGGAAGCAGACATCAGCACACATGAAAACTGAGCCCCGAAAACAAAAAAGAAATCATAAAAACAAGTGTCTCACAGCAGGTGTGGCCGGCCATGAACCATGAGCCGGACGGCTGCAGACAAGGAGGGAGAGGGGGGGGGGGGGGGCGGCCCAAAGGGGGTTGTGAAGAGGGGCAAAAGACAGAGGCGTGATATGCCTCCCACTGAATGATTCTCGGTAGCTGGTTGGATCGGCAGCCGATGGAAAATAGTTCACGACGAAGTGATACCGATGACGACGCTGAGCAAGACCCAGGCGAGTTCCTGTCGTGTTATGGCTGGTCCGTCACACCTCACGCTTCACCCGGCTGCACTTTTGGCTCCCTACACCCTCTCAACACACCGGGGATTAATGCCTACGGGTCTCTGACCTCGTACATCCGTCGCTTTCCCGTTAAGATTGATCAGCTCTCTTGTGCTTTTCCCTTGCCTGACCCTGTCTCGCCATGTCTTGTTTGAAAAATTTCCGGGGACTCCGATGGCACCATGACACTCCGAGGAGGCAACAAGATGTGGCTGCAGCCTCAAGGTGGTCGATCAGCTCTGCGCGTGCACATTGCTCATCCCTGGCGTTCGGCTGCAGGGAAAATCCAACCCAACGTCACCGGGTGATTGACAGGGCCTCATGGGACATGGGCCTCGTCGGGAGCTGCCGAGGGGGCAACCCAAGGCGGCTCGCCTTGTCCTGGCCGAAAGGGGGGACTGGCGCATAATCGATGCACAGCTGTGTGGAACATGCGGCACGCGGAGCAGCAAGGGGTCTGTCACCCCGTTCATGCACGATCTGCCACTGAGAGGCAATAGTGCAAAGTGCTTGAAGGAGGTTTGGGCCACTAAGGCTTCGCCCACCCCCTGTTCATGCAGTCGTGCGGTCTGGAGTACTTCTTAAAAAACCGCTGCACTCCGGGCCTGCTCCTGCTGCTGCTGTCGCCGCGGCTTTGCCTGGCGAGTTTTGGGTTGAATAGTGTGGCCGGTAGTATGGATAGCGCCCTGTAGTCGATTGCGGGAATGGGGAAATCCCTAATGGCCCGCACGATTTGTCAAAGCGGTGCAGATCCTCAAATTCGCCGATGGCTCCTTTTTGGCCGGCAACAAAGCGCGCGGAGATTATTCGGGTTTATTTCCTCGTGGGTTAGAACGCGTTTTTGCTCAAACCCCGAGGTCGCTGTCCTCGTTCGCATGTTCGTGATAGGCCCCATCTCAACGGTGGTCCGCTGCAGAGGGTGCATTTGGACCACCGCGAGCCCTGTGCTGGGGCAATGGCTGGGTTTAGAACCTGTCGCATATCAGCCCATGTACGTCGAAGCCATGAGACGCCGTTTGGTGTGCAGGTAACGAGGTCGGACTCATGAGATCAGATGACATGAAAAGAAATAGACCGGCGCAGATTTAAGATGAAAGGGCGAAACAAACTGAAGAACGAGGAAACGGCAATGGGTTCAAGGTCGTAAAACGTAAAAATGATTGCGGTAAAGATAATAAATGTAAACAATTGGTATCTCCAATGCAGGTATACAGACATCTATGGTGTAGAAACTATACAAGACTCCTCCATCCCAATCATCTCTTCTTCGACGGGCGGGCGTTCTTTTCGCGGCGTTTCTGTTTCAGCTTGCGCGCCTTGCGAATGTCGTCCGTCGAACGAATCTCGCTCTTTCCACGCGACGCCCCGCCACCGGCCTGCGACTGCATGCGCTCGCGAGCTGCGTCGTTCTTCTTCTTCATCTTGTCGTAGTCCGACCGCAATGGATCGGCCCGTTTGGGAGCCTGTTGCTTGTGGTGTCGGAATCGCCCATGAGGTCCGGCCGATGGCCCCGTGCTGAGGCCAGGCGTCTCGGCCTCGCCGACACGAGGCAGGTTGCTCATGCGCTTGCCCTTCTTCCAAGACTGGAAACGTCCGCTGCGGAAGCTGGACGCAATCTTGGCACCACTCTCGCCGCGCACCAAACGCTCACCCTTCGAGCCGTCCTCATCGTTCTGTCGCGCCACGTACTTCTTGTGACGTTTGTCCCAGCGCATGGCAGAACGACCTTCAGTGGGGGCCTTCTGACCCTCGTCGCCGTTGAGATCCATCGCAGCATTGCGCGACTCCTGAGCGAAGTTGGAGTTCGTGCCAGAGTGAACACCGTATGCCCGGTCTTCAGCGGAGTTGTGGTTGGTAGGAGTGTATCCCATGAAATATTCAGGATTTTGGAATGAGGCTGCCGCTGGTACAGCATTGCCTCGATCGGAAGTTTTGTTCTTTGGCTGCGAGTAAGCGGAGAAAGTGACTTCGAGATCCGACTCATCTGCCTCGGACATGTTGTCTCCAGCCTCGGCGGGAATGTCCTCGTCTTCATTGCCGTTTTCATCGTTCTCATTGCCTTCGCCGCTTTTAGTGACCCCCATTTCGGCGAGTTCGGTTATTTTCTTGGCCTCGGCGCGCTCCTTCTTTCTTTCAACTGTTGACCGGATTCTTTTGATGGTGTTCATGGCTTCTTCACCTTCGCCCTTGGCAGCTCCTTTGCCAGCACGACGATTATGAACTTCGAAAATGGTTTCCTGTGGCCGGTAACCACCGATACGAGAGAGCATCTTCTCTCGCTCGTTCTCAGCCAAACTAGCCTCATCATTGAATAGAACATGGATTGCGGACCAGTCATCAGTGGTAGTGACCTGCTTAGCCCTCTTGGCACTCTCCAACGAGGCGGCGTTCCGGGTGCGCATATAGAGCTTTTCACCTCTCACAGACACTTGCCGTTGGGAAGAGATGTCGGAGTTTTCATCCAACACTTTGTTGACCCATTCGCAGCTCCGAGAGAGGGGATCTCTAGGGATGGAACCCACGACGACGTCCTCGGCATAATTGACATTTTCCCCGTACTGGCGGCCAAGAACCAATCGGCGGCCCAGGAAAAGCTGAAGATCAAGCATGTACGGAGCATCCGCATCGCGGACAAGACTGTAACTCCAACCTTTTTGGCCAGCACGTGCAGTACGGCCAACACGATGGACGAAGATTTTCGGTTGAGACGGGAAGTCGTAGTTGATGACGTTGGCAAGAACAGGGATATCAATACCTCTGGCAGCTACATCAGTGACGACCAGAATGTTGGAAACGCCACTTCGGAAATTCTGAACATGAATCTTACGAGCCGTCTGGTCCAGAGAACCATACGCGTAAGAAGTTGCGAAGCCGGCTTCGAGGAGCAGGGAGTATAAGTAGTCAACGTGATGCTTGGTCGCGGCGAAAATGATAGTTGAGTGTTTGGTCGGAGATTCTTTGTTGTTGCCTTTCTTTTCTGCGTCCCGTTTGCGCTTCTTGTTTTTGAAATTGGACTCATCCTTGCGCTTCTGTGAAACTTCTGTAGGCCCCGTGGGCATTTTGATCACATTGTGTAGAATGTGAAGCAGAGCACCTTCTTTATCCGACGACTTGATCGAGAAGAAGACATTCTGAAGATCGGGAGAAATTTTGCTCTCTGCATCTAGTCGGACAAGGTTTGGATCTTGTAGACCGGCTCGTGCGAACTCAACCAACGATTTCGGCAAGGTGGCAGAGAAAAGCAGCGTCTGTCGAGTTGAGGGTAGGCCATGTAAAATTTCGGCCAACTGCGCAGCGAATCCCATTTCGAAGAGACGATCAGCTTCATCAAAGACAACATATTTGATACTGGAAAGGTCCAAATCCATTTCCACTTTCAAATGCAAGAACCGACCAGGAGTTGCGATCACAATATCGGGGTTTCCAGCCATCATTCCAAACTGATCTTCCAGGCTGTCACCGCCAACAAGTAGCACGGCTCTCAAGTCGGTACCACGGCCCATCTCTTTGACCACCTTCAACGTCTGCAAAGCCAATTCTCTCGACGGGGACATGATCAGACCCCGAGCACCGAATTTAGTGCTGTGGCTCTTCAGTTTTTCGATCATCGGGATTACGAAAGCTGCAGTCTTTCCGGAGCCAGTTCGGGCCATACCGACCACATCTTTGTCGTCCATAATCACCGGGATCGTTTTTCGCTGGATGGGAGTAGGGACCGAGAATCCTTTCCGGGCAATAGCCTTGAGCAGACCCGCATTGAGTCCCATTGCCTGAAAGCCACCACCCTTTTTCACTGTACGGCCTTTGAGGTTGGATCCTTTGCGGTTGGCAGATGCCTGCTGTGTCGCGATAAAGGCTGCGTCGCCATCGTCGTCGTCGGCTCCGAGGAAATCGAGGTCCTGCGCAGGGCTGACCTTGGGCCGAGCTGGGGCACTACCGGAATCGGAATCACTGTCATTGTTGAAGAGGGCGCTCGTAATGTCGAACTCATTCTCCGACATGGCTGGAGACGCCTCGCGGTGAGGCATTTTGGCGGTTGAGGTGAAAAAAAAAACCTCAATCTTAAACTGATAACGCCGATCAAGGCGGGAAAGGTCACGATAGCGTTCAACAAATCAAAGCATGAATGGAAAGACAGAGTGAAAGCCGCAAAAGCAAAAGCACCGACAATATTCAATCGGTCAACTGCAAGTCTGACCGCCTCCACGCTTGTAATGTCTTCAAGCAAGTCGTAACTCTTGTGTCGGAGCACCCGCGGTCTGCGTCGCCGCAGAAAAAAAAATCGGGCGGTGAGAGATCAGTCCGCAAACTGATGCAAACATTGCAAACAGAGCTGCGCGACGCGTTTCCAGACACGCCCAATCGAGTAAAATGATTCCTCACTAGCTTGAGATACTCGCACTTCACACCTACACTCTCACATCATGGGTACGCTCCCTAGACTCTCATTCAACCCGTTGAATCTCCCTACTAAAAATTCGCTCCAGACGGCGGTTACAATAATTACAATTCTTTCGGCGGTGGTGGCGGCGGCTTTATGGCCGGCGAGACAAACTCCCCGTCAGGTGGAAAGGTATGCTCCCACACTTGAAATTGGCGCATCTTTTCACAGATTTAACACGACTATTGAATAGACCGACAACCGGGATAACAAAACGCTTCGCCCTGTGACAGTCAAGCAAATTGCCGATGCCACTTCGCCCTACCCCGAAGCACCCTACCAGATTGACGGTGCCGAAGTGAACAACGTCCTCTTTGTCGGTCAGGTCCGCAACATCAGCTCGCAAAGCACGAACATCACATACAAGATTGACGATGGTACCGGCGAGATCGAAGTCAAGAAATGGGTTGACTCGGCCACGGGTGACAGCATGGACACCGACGAGAAGGGACCTGGCGATGGAAAAATGGAAGTTGTGTTGAATGGATATGCCCGTGTTTTTGGCGCGATCAAATCCTTCGCCAACAAGAGATATATCGGTGCCCATAGCGTACGGCCGATGACGAATATCAATGAACTGCACTGCCACCTCCTTGAAGCCACCGCCGTGCACTTGTTCTTCACCCGCGGACCCCCTGGTGGTGCCGGTGCCGGTGGCAATGCCGCAGCTGGCGGTGACGCCGTAATGGGCGGGGCCGAAGACTACGGCGGTGGTCAGAACAAGGCTCTCCTTTCTGTCTCGCCCTTGGCAAAAAAGATTTACCACTTGCTCAAGACTGAGCCTCAGGACGATGCGGGCATGGAGTTGCAGCACATCGCATCGAAGCTGAACTTGCCAACTATGGACGTTGCGCGGGCCGGTGAGGAGCTTCTCAATGCCGGCATTATTTTCTCGACCATGAACGAGCACACCTGGGCTATTCTCGAGTATTAGACTAGCGAAGTGTTTAAAAGGCTCAAATGATATCATGATTTACAGCATTTTTGAATTCTTTCGTCATTTTTCATAATGGCTCAGTATCATCTAGAAATGCATCTAGTCCCTTTCTTCTAAATATCCATTGATTGACGCAGACATCACGAAGAAATTCAGTGCAGCCATTCCATTGATACAAATGATAATCACAACGGAGGTGGCTGAATCAGAGGACCTCATTCCGCTCCATTGCTTCTTCAACAGACCGTTCCCAGCTGATGTGAGTGATGAAAACACACTCAATCCCAGAAACTAGCATAAGGGCAAGGGCAACACCGGTCCAGAGACCCATCACGCCCCAGCCTAGGCTAAAAGTTGATCCCATGCTGATGGGCATGGCGATCGCGTAGTAACAGAAGAGTTGGATGTATCCACCAATTTCTTGCCGACCAAGCCCACGGAGGATGCCATTGGTGACGGCCGCAATAGCATCGAATAGCTGGAAGGCGGCGCATAAAGGTAGAACTTGGGCGACTATCCCAATGACCTCGGGATCAGAGCTGAAGAGCATTGGGATATACGATCGCAGACAAGACAGCAATACCATGTTGAAGAGTCCAACGATGATGGCTCCGCAAAAAGTGACCTTGGCCGATGTCTTGGCAGCGCCAGCAAGCGTAGCACCGATCAGGTTCGCGACGCGAGTCGAACCAGCAATGGAGAGCGGGAATGGAATTTGCCAGGTAATACTCGAAATGGTGGATAGAATTGATTGCGCAGCAAGCTCCGATGTTCCGAGATAACTCGAAGCCAGTGTGAGCACTTCAAATGCAAGGCACTCTGCTTCCACCATGATCAATCCCGGCAGAGCAAGACGAATCATGGGGCCCCAATTGTCGAAGGCGCGTCGAGTAAAGCCGCACCAACATTCGGAACCCACTGCAAAGTAAATGTACGCAAACAAGCAGAGCGGGAGAAGATTCTCCGTGATGGCAACAGCAATGGGAGCACCGACAAAACCCCATCCTAGTTTCTGCGCATTTGGCATAAGTCAACGGGAACAAATCAAAAAGCGCGACATCATCCACTTACCCATACGAAAAACCAGTTCATGAATGCATTTAAAGGAGCGCACACCAACAAAACCCACAATGACGCGGAGAAGACACCCTGGGCTTGGAGATAGCGTTTGCCACTTTCAAAACACGCGTAGCCCGGCGTTCCCAGAAGTGCAATCTTCAGGTACATGCCTGCCATTCTCGCGACCTCCCTCTCTGGCACAATCTTGGCCAAGATATGCTCTGAAAAGTACCAAAGCACGGCAATCGGGATGGTTACAAGCCACAGGAAGTAGATCATTCGTAGCATCTGAAGACCGACCAACTTTTTCTTGCCGGATCCGTACGCCTGCGCACAGAGAGTATCCAGGCTCGTCGCCAGACCGGAATATACGGCATTCCCAGTAATGCTGACAGTCATACTGGCCAAACTGACCGCACCCAGCTCCTCCTTGCCCAGATGACCAATCGTAAAGATGCTGGCAACTGTCAGGGAGTACTGCAGCAGAAATGTCACCATTAATGGTAAGGAATATCGACCGATCACTTGGGCTTCCCGTCTCCAGGTGGTGTTGATCAGCCCCGCCGTCACGGCTTCTTCCCATTTTCGGTCGATTTCCTCCGCGTCCATTGCATTGCTGCTACACCCAGGAGCATCGAGTAGGGCGGTCGTTTCGGTAATCTCGTTGGCTGTCGCGGGTTCTATATTCCGCCCGCGCGAGGAGTCATACGGCTTTGACGAGCTTCCCTGACCTGGTGAGGTCGAAAACAAGCTGCTCAATTTATGTTGTAGACCATGAGGTTTGCCGTGGACATGAGCATGCTCCGGTGCGATCAGCCGATTATCACTAAGCAGGTGTCGTTCGTCCTCAATGGCTTGGTCCCGCTCGCTCTGTGTCAACGGCTGGTAATCTCCGGGCGAGGGAATGACCGTGCCATGATTGCCGGAGGTGAAAAAGCTGGGGCGCCGGTAGGATCCGGCCAGCGAGTGCGGGTTGGTGGCCACATGGCTGCTAGGCGCGCGGACGGTCGACGACTCGGATGTATGATCGGTGCTGCTGATGGCGGAGTCTTCGTCGGTGTATTGCGCCAGGTCCCGGGCAATGGCGGCCTCTGCAAGTGGCGAGCTGGACTGAAAAGACCGACCGAACGGGCTTTGGTGCTCTGCGGCTTCCGCCGAGAGCGTATTGCGCGGGGCCATGAGAAGGGGTGGGCTGGTTATAGCACCACCAGCATCATCCGCCGAGGAGCTGTTCGAGAAGAGGCGGCAGGTGGAAGCAAGATCTAAATCCACTGACAGGGTCAAAGATCCAAAGAACCTGAGACCCGAAGTTGGAAGTGGGGAGGGCGTGGGGTCACTAACGACGCCTATCAGAAAGGCGTGACCGTCCAAGGTACCTGTTAATATCCCCAATCTGCAGCTGCCTTTGCGGAGTCCATCAGTCTTCCCAAATTGCTGCCATGGGCATTGCTCTAACTGCGGGTTCCTTCCGAACAGTGTGCGCGCCTTGCTCTGAAGGGCGCAAGTGTAGATAGATGTAGAACCGAGTAAAGGCGTGCTGTAACTCGCCGATCCGCGCTTTTATCCCGGGTCCACCTGCAGACCCACGGCCGTGCGGGCCTCACCGTATCAGCTGGCTGTGAGTAGCAAGCTGCTTGGCCGCCGCTTCGATGATCTGCCAGCAGGTTTTGGCTGGGAGCCAAGCACGACCGCGACGATGGTCATATAGGGGAGCAGCAGCGAAAGGAGTTCTTCGTAATGTCCAACATGCATCACGCCGATTGCTGCCGGTCAGATGGCTGCCAGTGCTGAAAGCGGTCGGGTCGCATCACATGACACGATGAGGCCCGTTCGCTTCAAGTTCTCTCACAGGTTCTGGTCTGCTGCCCATTTCCACTTCCAGACAATCTTGGACTTTACACGTGCAGGAAAGCGCGATGTCTTCAACAACCTCAACCGTGGACGCCATCCGTCCTCGCCGCTATAACCCCCTGGTGAATCCCGTCCACTCGAAACCGGCCCTCGTGGAAGAGTAAGTCAAGATCCAGATGGACAGTGCACGGCCCCAACGGCCATGGTTCTTTGAATATCAATATCAAAGAGGTCGATCGTGTTGGGCCGTCTGATGCTCCATATTCAGCCGAATCTGACTTGTCTACAGACATATTGAGGACCAAAACCACATCCTCTTCTCCCGTCCTCTGTTTGGTGCACTTCTTTTCGAGAACAGCACCTCAGATGCTCGTGACCACTGTGCCAATGAGCGTACTTTTCTCTCATGGCTCCGTCTCTCCATGTACCTCTCCATCGTATCTCTAGCCATCATCATCTCCTTTCATTTCCGTGAGCAGCCCTCGGCCTTGGAGCGACGCATGGCCTTGCCTCTCGGAATTATCTTCTGGCTGCTTAGCCTCACCTGTCTTATCAACGGATTCGCCAACTATGCCCGTACGGTCATAAAATATAGTCGAAAGGCAGCTCTTGTTCAAAGTGGTTGGAAAACCCAGCTGGTCTTCACGGTGGTAGGGACTGTCATCCTGGGCAGTTGTATCCTCTTCCTGTCAACAGACAAGACAAGGTAAGCGTTGGCCTTTCCAAATAGCGGGGCTAATCACCAAGTTCTTCGTCTGGGTGGCTTCTTTCTTCTTGGGGTCTTTCTTTCTCTCTCACGATTAAGCGTTGCATAGCATTTGTACATCTTTCCAGTTGCCAAATATGCATATATATATATATTTAAAATTGTCTGATCCAGGGCGCGTTAACAGAGCGTGATGTCTAGACAAGTGCCATATTTATTAATCCATGTCACCGATCGCTGTCGCTCGAACAAGGAGGTGAATCTACATTGACATGTAAAAAGAAGACAATCTTGGAAGGAGGGGGTCGGGTCGCCAAGCTCAATGCTTTTGGGGGAATTCCAATCGAAGAAATTCGTATTATGTGCAGAAACAAGGGGAGGTATCGAGGATATGCAGCAAGGAGAACAAATGAAAAGGTTCAAAAGCCAAGGAATACCCAAACATGGCCCATCTCACATCCGGCGGATCTGCGTCTCGCCCTTATACTTGTCCAAAGGCGGAGTACCCAAGTGGCTCCACCATTCGAACAGCATAGAGTTGCAGATGAGCTTGAACCACGGCGTGAACTTCAGCTCAGGTCGCTGGAACATGGTCTTCAGCTCATCGGCCGAGACGTAGCAGGTATCCCGCACCTCGTTCGGACTCGGTTCCAGGTCGACGTCGGCCTCAATGAAGAGGATATAGTCCACTGCCAATCATGTAAGTAACTTGAACAAATGGGAATGCTTTCAGATGTATGACTACATACCCTCGTGCTCTCCCCACTTGCCATCGCTCGGGGCCTTGTAGTGGATGCGAGTGAAGAACTCAAACTTATCCAATGGGACCTGTTCGGCCTTGATGCCCAGTTCATGGTTCAGCTTGCGCTGCGCAGCACGCTTCACACCCAAAATGGCTGCGTCTAACTCGGCGCCTGTCTCGCCAGGAACCCCCAAGGGGTGGGAGCAGCAGGTGTTGGTCCACATGTCGGGAAATGTGATCTTCTCGGAGGCACGTTGTTGCAACAGGAGGCGCTTGTTGGAATCGAAGAGGAAAACGGAGAAAGCGCGGTGCAGAAGACCCTTGTTAATGTTTGTCATCAAGTGGCCTATTATTTTGCCTCCTGGTTAGCAATTGATCTCAACAGTCAGACGCGACCGCCACTGCCCCCTCCCCAAACCCCTCATTGCAAAGAAATCCGGGGGAGGGGTCAAAATGGAAGGAACAGCACATACAGGTCTTCTTGCTGGCGCTACCAATAGGTCGGTCTTCATTGTCCAACACAATGCAGACTTCTTCCATCAAACGGACCTGCTCCTCGTCGTAACCATCGAGTTCGGCACCTTCGCGCACGTTGCTGTTGCTGGCGGTGGGGAGCACATTGCGGGCCAGGGAGGTGTCGACGTCGGGGAAGATGGTGGCGACATTTTCGGCCGTGATCTCCGGCGGAGCAGTCATGGTCATGGTAGTGGACATGTTGGCAACGACTCAGTACGATCAGTGAAAAGAAATAAGGGTTCCCCGACGAAATAAAAGCGAATGCGGGTGTTGGGGCGCCACTATCTCCCCAGGCGGTAAAGATCGGCAGTTGGTTCCTGCGCGGAGGGCGCTTTTGGAGTCGCCCATCTAGCGCAGTACCGTAGTGAGCACAGCTACCTGCCAGTACTACGGCTTCAGAGGCAGTGAGGTGAGTGGACTGGCCGGCAGCTCCTTTATTTCAGGTTCAATGCGATTTATGATCCAGCTGTGATCATTCATCAGGACTACCCACCTACCTGAGGGTATTCCAACCTTGTCCTAGGGTGCCCATGGTCCGTTTATTGACGTGGAGCACAATCAGAACCACCCTCTGGTATATTCATTACTGCTATATAAACCCTAAGACTAAACCCTAGAACCTTAAGACTTACTATATCGTATCCCACGGATGATCGGAGTCGTCTCAATCTGTTCCTCTTCGTCGCAAGAAGCGGATGGCATTCTGTCCTTCGGTGCCTACTACCTTATACTTCGCTACAATCCAAGCTGCTCTACACTAGCCAGCTCCTCGATTTCTTCTGAATTCAAAAAGATTATCTCGCCTCGTCGGCGCATCTGAATCAAAGACAGGTTTCCCTGCAAGCGACGTCACTCGAGTCCCATGTCTCAGCTGCGAACCCTCATAGTCCCAACTGGTGTTATGGATCGTGATTCTACTCGAGGTGAGCTTTCTATATATGACACAGCAACCAGCAACACGAGGCTGATCGCATCAATAACTGACCTGTTATCCCAGAGAGCACTCGTCCGTGGATTCAATTTGAAGTGAATTTGGATATCCGGGTTCTTCTTGTAAACGTCGCATAAGTATCCGAGAATTAAATCGCTCTCGGCAGCTTGGAGTTCTGGCAAAATTACTGTGACGCCGGGGACTCCAGGGACCTGCGCAACTTGGGGCTGGAAATATACTTGTCGGTGACCGCCAGGGGCCATGAAGTGGACAGAGTGGCTCATACATGAACTTCGATTTCGCCAATCCACTCCCCTAGTTCCTTCTGTTGCTGTGGAGAGATATCCTGGTCCCGGAAGAAGACCACACTGCGCTCGGCAATCAGAAGTCCCAGTTCATCTTCCTGTTTGTCCGTCCGGTCTTTGAGCTGCAGCCCGACGATTTCAGTGCCAATGTGCCGAGTCAAATTGATGACTTTGTCGGCAGCAGAAAGCAGTCTTCGATTTCTTTTTGGATCTGGACAATAATATATAAAGATGTTGTTGGCAACCATGACATCGCATCAACGCCTCGTGGAAATGCAACGGAGCACACCATCGCCACATTGCATCGCGCCTTCTACGGGCCTTACACCCTTCCCGAATTCAGAATCAATAGTCGTCTTTCGCTTGCGGGGAAGCTACCATTTCACAATATGCGACATCAAGTACGCCGATCGGAGCCGCTTGCTAATCCAATGCTGCTGACCGTGCCGGTTGATCCGATGGATGTCGCCTGCGGTAGTTCGGATGACGAAATATTGGGTCCGAATAATGTGAGGCTAGCCACTGCGGAGACGGGCCCTTCGGGGAGAAGATAGATTAAGCCACGACAACCCGGGTACCCCAAGGTAGTCCGGTGTGGGATTTCCCAGAAGAGCCACGGTATCAGTCATGAACGAGCGGACCATTCGACGTGTGGCTATCATTGGAGCCGGCATCAGCGGTGTCGTCAGCGCCGGGCATCTTCTTGCAGCTGGAATCGATGTGACAGTGTTTGAAAGGAGCGAAGCGGCCGGGGGAGTCTGGTAAGAGACCACGCCAAACTCGACGTTTAAAGACTAACTACATGATGGAACTCTTTTCCCAGGCTTTATGACAAGCGAGTACCGATTGAAGCCCAGTACCCGTGTGTCAAACCTTCGGATGCGAAACATTTCAGTAGAGATGATAGAGATGAAAATGAAAGACAGCATCTATTACATGCACCTCCCGGGTAGGCTTGCCCCGGATTACGACTATATTGAAATTTCTCAGCGCAATGCTCATTCTTGCTAGACCCTGCTACGAAAGTCTGACAAACAATGTCTCAACCCCACTGCTGCGTACCACACTCAGTGCTTGGCCTGAAGGGACACCCCCCTATGTGAATCATGGTGTCCTGAAGGACTATATTCAAGGCACCTCCAGGAAGGCTGGTGTGGAGGATGTGACTGTCTATGGGGCGCTCGTGACAAAAGCCTACAAAGAAGGGCATCAATGGCATGTATTTTGGAAATGCCTTCATAAGGATTCTCAGACGGCAAGCTTCACTGAGCGAGAAAGTTCAGCGGTATGCAAGAATCATCCAATGCTACGAATCTTGACACAATCTAACACATCGCAGATATTTGATGCAGTGGTGGTAGCATCGGGCCATTATCACACCCCTCTCATCCCTGATATCCCAGGTCTAGCTGAGAAGAAAGCAAATTGGCCTTCGAAGATCACACATTCAAAATCGTTCCGCAGTTCCAACGGATTTGAAGGAAAGGTATCTATCCCTCTTCATAAATGGAATGGAGCACCACATTGATTCTCATACAGAATGTCCTTTTGATCGGCGGAGGAGTATCTTCTGTTGATATTGCTCGGGAAATTAGCCCTGTTGCCCAAAGGATTTATCAAAGTACACGCAACGGAGCCTTTGATATTCCTGCCAGCGCGCTTCCTCAGAACGCCTCGAGAGTTGAGCAGGTTGCTGCATTCAAGCTACTTCCTTCCGAAAAGACAGACGAGAGGCATTTGCCAATTGTTGCGTGCCTAGTGTCTGGCGAAGAAATACGTGGAATCGACCGAATAATTCTTTGCACAGGATATCAGATGACCTTGCCCTTCCTGCCCCAATATAACGATGACACTGAGGCCACCGCAAGCGACGCGGTGTTAGTGACTGATGGCACCCAGATACACAACCTACACCGCGACATATTCTACATCCCGGATCCATCATTAGTATTCGTTGGAATTCCTTTCTATACTGCTACCTTTACGCTATTCGAATTTCAAGCTATCGCGGTGGCTGCTTGGTTCTCGGGCACAGCACAGTTGCCATCTACAGAAGAGATGAAAGCCGAGTACAAAGACCGAAAGACGGCAAAAGGGCAGGGAAGGGCTTTCCATTCACTTCGGGGGGAAGAGGAAACATATGTAAAGAGCTTGATAGACTGGGTGAATGCTGGTAGAGTCTCGCGGGGTCTGGATGTGCTCGAAGGACATACAGATTCTTGGCGGGAGGAAAAGAAATCACATATCGAACGGCTGAATCTGATCTTCCAGGGAGTCATACCCTATGGAAATTAAGAGATTCGAGGCCGATAGAAGCAACAGCGGCGGCTTGAGACATGAGGAGATGAAGATAGTTCACTTGGGCATCTTTCAGATGTTGCTAGGCGTTAAAGCAAGCATCGTCATTCACGTTCATATATCAAATGTGATATAACCGCCACGCTCTCATGTAGTGTTCAACCAAATTCTGATATGTTTCTGCTCGTCCACAATATCAACATTTTGCATAATGAACAACCTTGGAAGGGAAGAACGTTGGCCCGATATGCCCTGAAACCTAGGATAATAACCCTGCATGCAGTGTGGCTACTAAAATGTATATCCCCAGTAATCGGGAAGCCTTGTCGCGCGGAGAGATTGGATGTTTTGATTCTAAAAGGTCCGAGGCACACCATCGTCGCTGCGAATGACGAGCTTCTGGGCGCCGGCGATGGTGACCTCCTAGTGCGATATGACAACAGCAGTTTAGGGAATCGGCAAATCTCCGTACTGCCATGTTCTAGTCCAGCATTAACCGCGTGTCATCAAGTGTATTGGCCATCCTCGCAGATATTGCGCAAACACCGCCCACTGTCATTCGATTGTCGCCGGGGGTTGACCCCCTTTTGAGCCTGCTGCGAAACTTGCACCGCGAGAGCTGGGATTCGATCCCCGCTTTCTCTTGCATTCAAACATCAGACAGCATAATGACGCAATCCGAACTTGTCACTGTCCAGTGCGATGTGCACCATAGGTGGCAGTATTGAGCTTTGGTGCCGATAAGGAGCATTCTTCGGGACTGGAAGAACGCAGCTTATTTCTTTCACACTTATTAGATTTGCGAGGGCACCGACCACAGAGGCTTCCAAAGGTCGCGCGCGACTTCATCATGTCATCAGCACCCCGTCTCGAAGAAGCAACTCCCGGGCCTACGTCTCCGATTATTCAGAAAACCGTCAAGCGAAAATGGGTCAGCTATATTTGGGACACATTCGACAAGTCGCCTGAAGAGCGACGACTTCTGTTCAAACTGGATTCGGCAATCTTGACTTTTGCGTCATTAGGTAGGAATCGTTCTTTTAATCTTGACGCGTGTGGTGATCCTGACAGGTCGTTCATTTCTGACTAGGATATTTTATCAAATATCTGGATCAAATCAACATCAACAATGCCTTCGTATCTGGCATGAAAGAGGATTTGGCTCTGTATGGGAATGAGCTCAATTACATGCAGACCTGCTGGACCGTTGGCTATGTCATCGGGGAGATTCCTAGCAATCTGCTCTTGACCCGTATCAAACCGCGATACTGGATCCCGGCTGCTGAGGTAGGCAACCCAAGACCTCAAGGCTACCTGTTTACTAACACGGCCCAGCTACTCTGGACAGTCTTAACATTTTCGCTTTCAAGATGTAACACTCCGACTCAATTCTATGTTCTTCGATTCTTCATAGGTACCACACTCCGTGCCACAATCCTTTCTATTCACAAGATTGACGCCGTCTATTCTAGGTCTCGCGGAGAGTACATTCTATCCCGGGATGCAATATATTATCGGATCATGGTACCGGAAGAATGAATTGGCAAAACGATCGTGTATCTTCCACACGAGTAGCGGCATTGCCAGCATGTTCTCCGGCTACTTGATGGATGCCGTTTTTCGCCTAGGTGGCCGAGGAGGATTCAAGGGATGGCAATGGTGAGCACAAAACAGCCCTTCTCTGACCCATTTGTTAATAGTGGCCACAGGCTGTTCGTGATCGATGGTGTAATCTCCTTACCAGTCGCTATTAGCGGATTTTTTGTGTTGCCTGACGTGCCTGAAATCTCCAGCCCATGGTACCTCAGCAAGAATGTATGTTTCTTTTTTGCACACAATATAACTAGAGAACCAAATTCTAACGTCAAATTCCTAATAGGAAGTTGAGCTGGCACAGGAAAGAATGAAGTTGGAGGGCAGACAAAACAGAGAACCCTTTACCAAGGCCAAGTTGAAGAAAATATTCTCTTCCTGGCATATCTGGCTCTTGACATTGGCATACATTCTCTTCAACAATGGCGCCGCAGGCTCCCAACCTGTATTTCAGCAGTATGTTCCATTTAAGGAGCTTATATTGAACTTATTCTCATTGATGACAACAGATACCTTAAAAATTCGACCGACCCGGTCTATACAGTCGGGCAGATCAATTCATATCCGACCACAACTTATGCAGTTCAAGTCGTGACAACACTCGCTTATGCCTGTAAGTATCATACCGAAGTGAATTCAATTTTTACGGTATACTGACTTCTGAGAAAAGGGTCCTCGGATACATTTCTCAACGGAAAACGTTGGCCGCCAATTGTCTTTGGCGCTGTATGTACTCAACTCGCCTACTACTTAGTGCACCAGATACTGATGGCTTTGACAGTGTGTTAACATTCTGAGCTATGTCTCTCTTGCCGTCTGGGATATCTCAGTGGGGTGGAAATGGACTTGCTATATTATTTCCGGTGCTGGCTTTGGACTTAGTGGGTTACTCATGGCGTAAGTGTCACTATATCTATTCCGGGATATGTCATGGTATCCTAACAAATCACAATCAGCTGGGCGCACGAGATCTGCTCAGATGATAACGAAGAGCGTTCCCTCGTCATTGGGAGTATGAACGAGATGGCCTACGTGTTTCAGGCTTGGCTACCTCTGATTGTATGGCAACAAGTCGATGGTCCTAAATACCAGAAGGGTTTTATCACAGTGTCTTGCATATCATTTGCTCTCATAATTACATCATTCATCATTCGACATCTTGATCTTAGAGAGCAAGAGCAGAAAAGGTAAGCAAAACACCTCTCTTTCAACATCTACAAAATCTCATAAAACATAATAGGCTGTGGGATCCCCAAACAGAGGAAGCTGACGACGGGCTTTCAGAATCGTTTGCAGTGACGCCGGTGGATACGAAACCGAAAAGTTAGTCACAGTCAAATAAAGCAGTCTTCCTCTCTGCTTTCACTCCCAGGTCGCACTAGATTTGATTTGCATTGCTACACGAGGAAGAAAATGGGTGTGAAAAATCTCGTTGCACCTGAGTATATGGGATGGCAATCTAGTCTAAAAGGAGTCAACACTAGTCAAATGTATTAGCTTAAAGAGCCTGGGCAGGAATCATTCATGGTCAAATACCAGTGTCTCACGAACTTACAACATGTATACGTGTAATCGTTGACTTCTTTGTCAGGCTCGTTTTCCAACCTAATGAGTCAATAGTAGGAGTAATATGTCGAGCACATCACAATACTCGCAAGACTAGTTCTGTGCCTTTAAATGACGGTTGCGTCATCATAAGACCTTCGGGACTCGGATACCACTCTTATTCAAAAGATCAAACATTTAAACCACCGCTTTGTGAAGGACTCCACTAGTAAAATTACAAATGTATGTGTTCATGATCCTTGACTGAGCCTCCAACATGGTGGGTCCTTTCTGGTGTGTCACATAAGTACGGCAAATCGTATTTTTTTACGATATCGGAGGTAAATGGGTGGCTAGCATTCTGAACAGTTATTACGCACGGTAAAAATGACGGAAGAATGTTGACTATGCTGAATAGCACAAAGCAGTTGCTGCCGTGACCGTTCTATCCATTGTCTACACGTAATCTCGTAGAGGAGATTTCGGGATATCCGGCTGCTCTCGCTTTCACCCCAGTAGCGTGAGACTAGCTGTGACAGAGCGAAAAAAACTGAATTTCGAGCCCCGCCTCTGCGTATGAGACGATGTTACGAGGGGCTGTTGAACAGGGAGAGGTACTTGCTCTGTTATTGTCTAGTTCGCGTTCGTTGGGTATACTGTTTCCATTTCGCCCTAAACCCCTGCTTTCAAAATACTAATATCAATACCCGGTAACTGACAGATGTATGTTCTCTTTTAATCCTCCATGGGATCATGCCGACGTCACATACTATGCAGCTCCCTGCCGATCGTCAAAGCCCCCTATTAGAAGGTATCCATTTCATTTGTAAGATAGTGTCGCTTCCGACTACAGACTACCTACTCTCATGAAGATAGAGGAAGACTTACGCTCGTCATCTGAAGACACACACACACACACATACACACACAAAAAGAGATTAGTTTTATCTTACAACACGTTTTGGTCACTCCCCCAAATTTCGGGGGCACTGTGGACGGTCAGGTCAGCCTGGGAAATTAGATCCGACAGGTTGCTCCCAGGCTCCTTTTCCCTATGTCATGTGAACTAAAATCCATTGTGGATCTACCACGCAGCGATCATTGTCTAATCGAACCATAGAGAGGTGCCCACTCTGTCCCCCTTAAAAGGGGCAGGTGAGGCCAGGGTCGACGAGCAGGCTGGCGCCACGGCAAATCTTTTGCGCCGAGGAGGTAGCGCTCACCCCGAGAGCAAGATGGTTGTTTTGGTAATCAAACTTCGGGATATCGGTGTGGAGAGAGTCGGGGATGTACTCAGGTACTACCCTGGAAGTTTTTGCTGCGTACACGTGCGTTTTTTCCATGTTCCTCCGTTCGTTCGAGCACCAGCGCTGGGTCCCTATTTTTGACAGACTAGGTGTGAGACACGGGTTCCAATCTGGGCGTTGAGTTCCTCACCCCTTGTTCGAGTCGTGATAAACGATCGCGGGCTGTAATCCGAATAGTGAGGCGAGCTAGGCAGAGAAACTTGGGTCAACTGTTTCGGAACTTTTTCCGCCGGTGGAGGTTCTAAATGGTAGAGTTTTCCTTCTCAAGTCGTATCACTTGTAATGCCTGGCGATCAGAGCCGGACTGTCTCGAAGATCCCTCACCCCATCTTAGCGTGTGATTCGGCTTCTGGGAAGTGGAGCGCGGCATGAGTCTCGACTCTGAGCGGATCAGGCTGCAACGTCTTTCTTGTCCTTGTGATTTTCCCCCTCTTATCTAGCGCCCTTTTTTTTTGTTTGTTGCTAAACTGACAATCACCAGGGGCTAGTATGAATTGAGGCGAATGTGGACCGTCGTCCGAGAATCCAGGCTACTCACTCACTCGAATCCACGGCGGGAAGATGCATGAGAAAAACTAGCAGAGAATCTGCGTTAATGTGACTTGGAATCTCATGTTGGAAAACCTGAACTTCTGAGCCAATCCTCAAATTTAAAGTGGTCCGGTGCGATTGTACAGTAGCGTAGCCCCGCTCTCACGCTAGGTCTGGTTTACCGCGCGCCAGCTTATCAAGTTCGTTGCATCACAATAATATCACACGAAATCAAAGCAGGACCCAACTGTTTCAAGCATGATATATTTGCAAAATGGATTGGAATTGCCAGAAAACCACAGAAAACCACACCCAATGCATCGTAATATCACATGAACGTATGAAAAAATAAAAAATAAAAATAAAAAATAAAAAAACCCCAATGCAAGAGAAACAACGCTGGGAACAGAGCTGAAACCGAAAATAAGCGTCAAAGAAAATTCGGGCCTGCCGTAATTGCTATGCTTGATGTGAAGCGCCTTGTGATGGGGTGGTGTATCATATGAGAGCTGTAACAATAAACTCAGGTCTTCAATAGGCTCCTGGCCCGCGGCATCGAAGGACGAAAAATTAGCCATCAGCGCCTGGGGCTTGCACGAGGACGCTTCGAATAATGTCTTCGGGGCTTGGTAGGACTGAGAAAGTTCGATTTCTTCACGAGCGAGTAATTCAAAGGGTATGAGGCTTTGTCGGTCTCAACGTTGATGGGGTTCTTAGAACAGTCTGCCAAGTGCCTAAAAAAAGGAAAACATGTCAGCGCATCGTCTTGGTATATCAATTGTGTGGATTTTGCTCACTTCTCCAAGGCCTCAATTCGCGAAAAGCGATCTCTGCACCATTCACAGGAATATTTACGGGCCCCATGGTGGACCTAGATCATCATGAGCGCCTGCTAGCCCAGAGCGGAATATACCTGACTTACATTCTCAACATGACGATTGAGGTCGGCTTTCCTGCCAAAACTTTTCTCGCACGTCGAGCATGTAAACGACGGCTTAAAGCTGGGGTCGTGCCTTTTCTGGTGCTCTTTGCAGTTGGATTTCCGGGTGAACGTAAAGCCACATGTTGGACATGTGTATCCCTTGTTATTTGTTCTCCTTGACTCAACAGAGGAAGCACAAGTCTTCATCGGCTGCTTATGACTGACATCAAGACCGCTTTCGCCAGACGTAGTGCTGTTCTCATAGACTTCTACCCGAACAGGGGAGGACTGGGGCCGAGCAGAGCTCTTGCCACGTTTGTCTAAAGGACTGGATGGGCTGATGTCAGTCTGGATCGGAAAGCCTGAAGTCCTGATGGGCGCGCAGTAAGGAGCCTGGGGCAATACTGGCTGAAGTCCCGTTGGAGGAACTGTCGCAAGAAGAGTAGGGTCCATGGTTGTTGTCGATCCCGAGCATGGTGTGTGATTCCAAAATTGCAAATGGCCAAACGCATCCTGGCTGCTGGTGGCCTCCAAATTCGAGTTGTAGCGGGTGGAAGCGCTCATAGTTTGGGAATCGTAGAAATCGAGGGGGGTGAGCAAGGCTCCCGGGAACCCGTCGTATGTCGCAAAGAACGACTCCGGATCTTCGGGCGACCCCAGAGGTTTAAAGAAGGTATTGTAAAAGGGAGGCGCGGCTGCTAACTGATTTCGCTCGGCGGGAGGCATCGAGTAGGATAGCGGTGCTGGGAATCGTTGACTGTGATTCAAGGTAGGTTCCAGGCCACAGTTTGAAATGCCTAAGCCGACCAGAGGAAATCCTCCCTGAGGCGTCGTGGCAGAGACCGGTGACGGATATGTGTCTAAGATGTCGAGAGCGGGGACCTCTTCAGGCATCGAAGAAACCATGGAAGACGATCGATCTGTAGTCTGATCCATGGTGACATTTGGAGGCATATGCGCTGAAGAGTGATAGCTGAATGGGTATATCAAGATCAAAAAAAGACAAGAGCAGAATCCACAATCAAACCAATCGAAGCCAAATCTATATTCCAGAAAGAAATGACTCAAGTATAGCGAACGCGCCAAGTATAAATAACGAAGGATCTTAACAGCCGGGGCTGTTGGTGACAAGCAGCCGCATTACTTGGGCAGTGGCTGAGGGAAGTCAGGCGCAGGATCATTGGCGCAGAGCCTGCAGTGCATCAAAATCGTGAAGAGTTGACAGGCTTGACGCCTCGAGGGACGAGGCAGATTTTCGAGCGGAAGGGGGACATGTTGTGCAAATGCGGTGGAGGAATTGGTGGGGGGAGAGAGACTAATGGCCTGGGGGCTTTTTGGTGCCATATCGATAGTAGCCCAAAAGGTTTGCAAGCAAAGCTACAACCCCTGCCCCAGAGGTTTAGCGCCGGCGGAGGGCGATGGAAATGCCCCAAGGCATTTTGGACCCAGTGGACAGTCACGGCCTCCCTTCTCGACAGGTCTAGCCCCGCGGCCGGGGAGGGCAGGCGATTCAGCCGGAGAAGACCGACAAGTTGACCGGCGACAGACATCCGCAGGGTGCTGTGCCAAAGGCCGTCTCGATGCCCTACGAATAAACGCACAACGGCGGCTGTATACTGTCGAGCTGGAAAAGGCTAACCATCCCATCGATCACCGCTGGTATGGTCTGCCCAACCGCATCACGTCCCATGCGACGTGTGCAGCCAAGGAGAAGGCCTTCCGAGGCCCGCGGTCATGGCTCGGGCTGGCGAGATGCATTGGTGTCGGTGACTGCGAGCCAGTAGAGTACACAGCCGCACCCGCCGGGGCAAACTGGGAAGAAACCTCGCGCAGGTCTGGAGTAAAGGATCGTCTCATGCTCAAAACGGGCAAAACCTGCCCATCGTGACTCCCACGGCATGCGGGCCCGCCCTTCCGAACCGCTCGATTTCATGTATACCATTGGCGCATACTCCACAAATCCCCCACAGGATTGTCATTCGCACAGTCGCCATGAGAAGCTACCTTCTCTGATAGGCCCGGAGCTGTTCGAGATCGGTAGATCTGCATGGCGGTCTCCAGTGTTGCCCGCAGCACGTTGCTCCGTCCGACTCGAGTCATGGCATCTCCTGGGCGCGGCGGTTCAGCAGAGCACGAGAGAAGGGATGTCAAGAGTCCCCGACCGCACCTGTGCCAGACTTGCAGGGGCCAGGGGGGTCGTGCATGGCTCTAGGCGCCAGGGCGGTAGCCCCTCATGCAACATCCCCTTTTCTAATTTCCGGTGGAGTATACTTCATATTACTACTACCACTAGTAGTAGCCCCGGCAGCAGATAAAAACAAAGAACCGGGGGCCAAAAAATTGAAATTAAACCGACAGACAGGAGAATGATTCAGAGACCGAAATCCAAGCGACAGGGTTATTTGCTCTGCTGCGCTTCTATGTTTGCTGTAGCGCGCTCCACTTGCGCTCGAAGACGTTCGATGGATGCAATCATCTCCATCATCTGTGCCTGATAGGTTCGTGCTGAGCCTGAGTCCTGTCCGTCGTGCTGATCACGCCGATCCACATTTGGTCCATTTGAAAGACTTGTGCGACGATATGCTTCGACTACGGAGGGGTGCAGTGGGTCCTGACATCTGGAAACAGCCGGCTCGCTAGCAGAAGTACTTGTGCTTGGTGACGGTACCGGGGACAGGCGACTGGTCGGACGGTGCTGAAGACGCCGTCGGCTGGACTCGTAGGTCCAGATGAGCATCACAAATGGGAGATGGGTCGCTCGCAGGAGGATGATGCGCACTCGGCGAACTGCTTCTGCAGACAGGAACAAGCGCATGGGGCGAATGCACAGCAGAGGGATGAGATTCTGTCACATGGGGTCAGCAGTATAAAAAATAGATCATTCCAGAACGTGGGAGGAAGGCCGTCGCATCAGAGCCATTCTCATCATTATCGGGGGGTGGGCGCTAACTGACCAGGGGGGGCATGAAATACGTCAGACGTCGAGAGTTGCTGCTCTCCAAGACATAGATAGACAGTCTAAATGAAATCCGCCAAAAAAACCCCTCGTTAGTCCACAGCAACACTGCCATGATTCAGAATATTTGGGGCACTGACTGGAAGAGGTATTCCTCTCGGGCATGTAGCATTACCTGAAGTATACCATGATGGAGATTAACCGGGTACAATCACTACAATGTTCCCTGGGAATGACGCAGAGACCTACCCCTTCGAGACTCATACTCATCATGCTGATCAGCGAGGAGAGCAGCAAAATATTGGTCATACAGACGAAAATTAACCTGCAGCCAACGTCAGTTCGGTTGGGGGATCGCAGCCATCGAGCACCTGCAAGATGCGTGGAAATTATTGCGGGGGTTCGTTGCGACAGCCGCCCATCGCCCTCACAGAAAGAGCAAAGGCGAAACAAGGAAAAAATATAATAACAAAATTGCAGCGCAGCATCACTGGCACATCAAAACGTGACTCGACATGCATGCGATAATTATTTCTTGTTCTCTCGCTCTGATTGCTCTGCAAGGTGATGTCCTGGTGTGGCGCAAGCAGATCGCAGGGGACTCACATCAAGCCGTAGCCGAAGATCGGAGAGATCTAAATATTAGCGCATCAGTAAACTGATCGCCAGAGCCAACCATTTTGCCAAGGAACAGGGATTAGAGCACTCGGCCTGCAGAACAGCCGCCTAGTGCAGACACTTACTTCAGACGCGCTGTCCTGTCCACGAATCAATTCAGCCACCGTCAGCGTACTTCCCAGAGGGACAGATATCGCGGAAGACACCCACTAATCCCAGTGCGCCCGATCTGCCTCACCCGGTTAGCTCGAAGAAGCGGTCGAGAACAAGGGATTTTCACCGCCATACCCGAAGAACACCTTCACTAGCATCCACGACATTTCCTTGAGGGACAGGCGGTCACGGGCGAGCATGGTGAACGTCGTCAAGAACCCTGCAGTGATCCACCCCCGGGCGTCAGAGGATGTTTCAGTTGTCCAGAGGGGCTATGTGCTCCTGCGCCACTCTTACCGATGTACAAGACCATCACCACCGGCATGAACCTGAAAAATGCTTTCGTCTATCGTCTAGTCAGCCTCGAGCCCGCCAACTGGTTTCAAAGTGAGGCATTACCATCTCCTTCAGAACCGGAATCTATCCAGGACAAGTTAGTCTGCTGCGCCCGGAGTACTGCCTTGGTATGAGTTCACTCACTAGGCTGCCGAAGTATGAGTTCAGGCTCACGAGCGAACAGATCCTGTGCCTGCGTCAGGGCTGAAGGTCCTGCATATGGGCGACGCAGCTGATCATCATACCTTGGCACGAGAAAAAGAGCCTCCAGGGAGAGAACATCGAATGAGATATTGAGAACATAATCGTCACCCTTGGCAAGCCCGATGGTTCCTTTGTCGTTTTGTTCAGCTTTCTGTCGCTAAAATGCCTCATCCATTTATGACAAGGCAGATCAGGGGAAACGGCTCACGAGCGATGATGAATGCAAATCCAACCCCGATGATGCCCAGATTCCAGAGGCTCCAAAAGTCCATCTGGTAGAAGAGCACCCCTGCATCCATGATTCCGCTCAGCTCGTCATAGGCAAATGCGGCAATCCAGATATCCATCAACGTTTCAAAGAATCCAATGCCAGTCTGCTTTCGCTCCACAAGGACCGAGTAGTACAGAAGAAGAAACGACAGAAAGAACCCTGCTTCAAACATCTTCCGATACACAGGTACCCTCAAGCGTGAATACGGGTCAGCCGCTCTAGGTTGCGCTGTTAGTGGGGACCCGAGGCAGTCAGGAATTCTCGTCTTACCTTCGGTTGAAAATATGCGGCTTTTTCTTGGAATGAACAGTAAGAGACTCCCAGAAAACGATCTCTCCGTTCCAAATATCGTTGACCACACGCTGGACTACCTGCTGACTCAGAAATCTTTTGGCTTCAGCGATTGCTGCAATTTCCAATGCATTCAACCCGAAAAAACGTGTATATGGAGTGGTATCAATAAGTCCCGGGTGAGCGCTATGCGAGCGTTCTCCGTTGTTGCCACGCTCCACGGTTTGTCTCCTCAGCGAAGGACGACTGATAGGCGTTGATGATCCTGAGAGAAATGGAGTCGTTTCCGACTCTCCCGTGCGTGGATACTGTGAATCCCCACGCTCGACCTCGAAAAGATTCGTGGAGTGCCGCCGGGGCTGTGGTAGCTCTTCAAGCAAAAACTCGATGGTCTCGTGCTGGTTCAGATGACATAGGAATTGCCAGGCTACAAACTCACAGGCTGCTCCCCGACTTTCATTCAGGCCCCAGTCATCATCAACGGCGCTACTGAAGTTCCACTTCAAGATCCTGGGATGACCCGATTTTCAGCATCATAATCGCGGGTGTGAACAAGGCACTTCTTACATCAAGGCAACAATGATAAATGGGTTGTGACTGTCCTGGGCCAGAGCATGGACGAGTTGTCTTAGACGATGTCCTCGGGAGCCAAATCGCATCTGCTCGAAGGAGTACTCCATGTCACCCACTGCCATGGAGATGAAACTGTACCCAAAATTAGATCGGATCAAGTGAAGGGAAATGTAAACTCAGTTTTGCCTTGAAAGTTTTGGAATCACTTCAAAGAGTGACTCTTCTGTATCAATGATCGGGATCTCGATATGATCCATGGCGTCTGGATACTCCATCATGCGGGTGTCAAGTCGTTGGGCAGTTGTTAGCAGCTGTCGGGGGGCGCCATGTTAGGATCATGTCAAAAATTTTGTCAAATCATAATATATCTAGCAAACACACGGGATTCAATCTTCACAATTCCGCTTGCAAAGGAAAAAGACGATCACTCCCAGTACCTTCAGGCTGTCAGGCAAGAATGATTCCCCCTAGCTCTCTGGTACCCGACTGAGATATAGGCAGGGGCTGACGCTAGAGACGAGAAGCCATTCAGACGCTCAGCAATATAAGTCACAGAAAATAGCATAGAAGGTAACAAGGCGATCGGGCGCAGCAAACAGTCCTGAGTTTCTAGTTCCTGCTCCGTTTAGATGCGATAGATAGAAAGTCGGCCAAGCCCCGGCCAAGCCCACCCACACCGCTGGCTGACCGCCCAGTCTGACGTCACGTGTCAAATGCCCGCTTATTAACAACGCCTTGACTGCTTGTCACCTCCAGGCCTCCTCTACTTGAGCAGCTCTGAGAGATGCGGTCCATACACCATGGGTCAAGGCTACTCCATCACAACCCTTTCTGCCGGGTCGGCGGGGATAGATGTGCCAGAGCTGTCGGATCTGGTTTATGAGAAATCGATGGGCGGTGGCCGATTCATGAAGAGCATCCGTGCCAGACAACAGAATGGCCTGGTCTTCGTCAAAGTGATCATGAAACCGTACCCAACCATGCAGCTGGAGAAATATGTGAAAGCTATCGCGCGTTCGTTCCCGAATACCTGCGATCCCTTCAATCAGGGCTGACCATCTTCCGTAGGCGAACGCAAGCTCTTGGCCGATGTACCGAATGCATTGAGCTATGAGAGAATTCTGGAAACTGGGAATGGTGGTTATTTGGTTCGCCAATGCGTCCACAGTTCACTCTATGATCGTCTGAGGTGCGTATACTCCTTTCTGGACCACCTTGCCCTCTTTCCATGATAACTAAAAGCCGCAGCACTCGCCCATTTCTTGAAGAAGTTGAAAAGAAATGGATTGCCTTTCAGCTTCTGTGTGCCTTACGGGACTGCCATTCCTTGGAGATATTCCACGGGGACATCAAGACTGAAAATATCTTGGTAACTTCGTGGAATTGGCTCTATCTGTCGGATTTTTCTTCCTCGTTCAAACCGACTTTTCTTCCGGAAGACAATCCGGCCGATTTTTCTTTTTTCTTCGATATCTCGGGCAGGCGAACATGCTACCTAGCTCCTGAACGATTCCTGGAGGCCGGAGAAGAGGAGGGCAGTCGCAACGTTAACTGGGCAATGGACATCTTCAGTGCCGGCTGTGTGATCGCAGAGCTCTTTCTGGAATCCCCTATTTTCACTCTCAGTCAGATGTACAAGTATCGCAAGGGAGAATACAGCCCCGAGCACAGCCAGCTCGCCAAGATCGAGGATCCAGAAATCCGGGAGCTCATCCTGCATATGATTCAATTGGAGCCAGAGTCTCGGTATTCCGCCGACGAGTATCTGAATTTTTGGAAGAACAAGGCTTTCCCTGGATACTTTTATGATTTCCTGCATCAGTACATGTCCCTCATGACCGACCCTTCGTCGGGAAGAACAAAGGTGGATGCGGAGTCAGCCAATCGAGGGGAAACTGACGACCGGATCGAGCGAGTCTGTCTCGATTTCGATAAGATATCTTACTTCCTTGGCTTCGAACCTCCGAGGGGTCCCAGAGACCTTTCCGTTATGAAGACCTCTCGACTCATGGGCGACGTATTCCCTGTCAAGCTCGATCTTCCAGGGAGTGAGTTCCCTGCATCTGATCGACAATCGCAATCAGACGAAGGAGTTTTAATATTCCTCACTCTTATTGTCTCGAATTTACGGACCACGGCCAAAGCCTCTGCTCGGATCAAGGCGTGTGATATTCTTTTGGCCTTTGCCGAAAAGCTATCAGATGAGGCCAAGCTTGACCGTGTTCTCCCACACGTCATGGTTCTTTTGAACGACGGTACAGATGCCGTTAAAGTCGCCGCGATCCGTACATTGACACAACTTTTGGAAATGGTCCATGAGGTCTCTCCAGTGAACGCCTACCTGTTTTCGGAGTATATTTTCCCCAGGCTCCAGCCTTTCATTATTTCTTCTAAGCATCAACCGAGCCCCATCGTTCGCTCAATGTACGCATCATGCATCGCATCATTGGCACAGTCTTCTTTGAGATTTTTGGATATAATCCAGGCATTGCGCTCAGATAACCGCCTGACTGCGCTGGTTCCCGTGGGGTTCGAGCCTCGTTGGGCGGAGGATGCGACTTACCATAATCTCTACAATGTTGCCCGCAATGATCTCCTCGAATACTTTGAGGTTCATACGAAGGCTCTCTTGACAGACGCAGATCCGTCCGTCCGTCGAGCCTTCTTGGGATCTGTGTCAAGCCTCTGCGTGTTCTTTGGGAATCTGAAGTCAAATGAAGTCATTCTAAGCCATCTCAACACCTACTTGAATGACCGAGACTGGATTTTGAAATGTGCTTTCTTCGAGGCCGTGGTTGGTGTCGCCGCATATGTGGGGACCATCAGCTTGGAGCAATACATTCTTCCTTTAATGATACAGTCCATGACTGAGCCAGAAGAGTTTGTTGTGGAAAAGGTGATTCGCTCACTGGCAGCTATGGCGGAGCTCGGATTGTTTCAGAAATCGACGACATGGGACCTACTTCATGTCACGGTTGGATTCCTGGTACATCCAAACATGTGGATCCGCGAAGCTGCTGCACAGTTGGTGGTTAAATCTGCCCAGCATATGACAACGGCGGATATTGTTGCTATTCTGACGCCGCTTGTCCGACCATTTCTTAACATCAAAATCATCGGGTTCTCTGAGACAAAGCTTCTTGAGGCTCTGAAACGACCCATGTCAAGACACATCCACGACTTGGCTTTCCTCTGGGCTTCCAAGGCCGACAAAGGTCTCTTTTGGAAATCAACCAGCCCGCTTGGTTTGTCTGATGTTCACGGTCCTCGCATAGGGCGAAGCCCTTCACTCAACATGGGTTCTGTGCCTAAGAATGATGAAGATGAACAATGGCTGTCTCGTCTACGAAACCTCGGAATGAGCCCGGAAGATGAAACGAAACTATTGGCACTCAAGGATTATATCTGGAGATCATCGCTGAGGCGAGCAAGAGATTCTGAGCCTGATGCTCCGTCGTTGAATGAGATCATCGGTCTAGAGCATATTGTTTCCCCTCAAACAGTTTTTTTCGACAAAACCATCCGTGAAAAACCACGCAGTGTCTCTGTAGACAGGACTGGAAGCCACACGCCGGACGAGACGAGACCAAGAACTATCGCGGATGCCTTGCTCGACGCTTCTACAACAATTGAGCGAGCTCCCAGTGCTCAACGCAAACACCTGCGAGCGAGAAGTCATCTCCACAAGGAGATTTCACGTCCAGGGTCCCCAGGTAATGCGGCCGGGGAATCTTCGGCTTCATCTCCGGCGGCGTCCTCTCCCGCTGCAGGCGGCCCTGGGTCTCGGCCACTGTCTCCGCCAGGCTCGGATGTCGATCGAACCTCTCGCAATCGCCGACTGAGCTCTGGCCAAGAAAGTTCATCGACCACGCCCACCAATACCGACACTCTATCCTTGCGTGGTGTTTCAGATCGGGTTCAGCGAAAACCTAGTGCTATCAATCTGCTCGGTCGCCACGAGACCTCCAAGGCGTATGCTGAAACAAGCACAAGCTCAGCAAATGCATTTGGGAAAGTCGATGCACCTTTCCAGAGAGCAAGCACGCCACAGCAGCCATCTGCTCTCACACAAGCCTACGAACGCAAACGAACGTCCACACCTCCACGACAATATCAAGCCAGCCACTCCTATACTGGTGACGACCCAACAGTATTGCGACTGTTGGACAATGTGTTTGCAGACCACTTTCCAACCGACCTCTTCGACCTGGGTCCATATGTGCGGGAGTTGGATCCTCGGACCCCAATCCGCAAATCTGGCACCCAAGAGCCTGGTAGCCCCTGGAGACCCGCAGGGAGTCTCGTGGCAACGTTTGGCGAGCACAGTGGACCAATCAACCGAATCGCCATCTGCCCTGACCATTCCTTCTTTGTGACTGCATCCGATGATAGCACCGTCAAAATCTGGGATACAACTCGTCTCGAGAGGAACTTGAATCCAAGGTCGCGCCAGACTCACCGCCATCCCGCTGGGTCGCGCGTGAAAGCGCTCACGTTCATTGAGAATACATATACGTTTGTCAGTGGCGCTACTGACGGCAGCATTCACGCGGTCAAAGTGGACTACCAGAAGGTCCATGAATCGCATCGATACGGAAAGCTTCAGCTCGTTCGGGAATACCAACTTCCTACCTTGAAAAATGGGACGCCCGAGTATGCTGTCTGGATTGAGCATTTCCGAGATGATGGCCAGTCGATTCTGCTCGTTGCTACTAACAACTGTCGAATCTTGGCCATTGATATGAAGACCATGCTCCCCATCTACACTCTGGAGAATCCTGTACACCACGGAACACCGACTACGTTCTGCTGCGACAAACGACAGTCGTGGATATTGGTCGGCACGACACACGGCATCCTTGACCTATGGGATCTTCGATTTCGCGTACGCCTGAAGGCCTGGGGTCTTCCCGGAAGAGGGTCAATTCGGCGCATTCAGTTGAATCCCTTGAAATTGCGCGGGCGCTGGGTGTTCGTCTCTAGTAGTGGCAGCCATGGCAATGAAATCACCGCCTGGGACATCGAACGATTCTGCTGCCGCGAGGTGTACCGAGCAACCCAAGCCACTGCCAACGAGGGGGCAGCAAATGGCACTGGCCATCGCACCTCTCGGGCCGCCGGTGCTCGTCCTCGTCGATTCAACCTACGAGATGTTGAGCCCTGGCCCGTCGACGAAGACCGACCAGAAGGCATGCTCAGCCGCTTCGCGACGAGCAATGCAGGCACCCCAGGCGTAGACAGAGGCGCACCGACCTCTGTCGTAAATGATCCTGCGATGCCACCCAATCATTCCTCTGGCGACCGGCCTGGCACCTGGGTCTTTGCGACTGGTCTGAATCCTGGTGATGATGAGAAGGGATCCAGCAAATGCGGATTCATCGTCTCTGCTGGGTGCGATCGAAAGATCCGCTTTTGGGATCTTGCCCGGCCCGAGCTATCCATGATTGTCAGCGGTCTCGACCATCCTGTGGCGGACGGGAACGGAGCCAGCAAGCCCCGCTACGAGGTATCGCAGCCCGGTCCCAACCTCGTGGTGACTACGGAACAGCTCCCAGCCACGTCTAGCAATGGCGGGGCGACCGCGGCTGGCAAGAAGGGAGCTAGCCCACGACCCCCGCGCAGCACCGTGATCAGTTTGCAGCAGCAGATGCTCCTGAAGAGCCATCTGGATATCATCCAGGATGTGGCGGTGTTACGGCAGCCATACGGGATGATCGTGAGTGTCGACCGAGCTGGAATGATTTACGTGTTCCGATGAGCTCGGTCTCGTCCTGGAGGGCCGTCAGCTCATTCCAAGGTTGTTTCTCAGCGGGTTCCAATTACTAGCTAGATATTTGCAATATGATACCCATGCTTCGACTAACGTCTCCACACGCTAAGTAGTGTTCGTATGATGCGATGATTTCTCAATCATATTGGCAAGGTAAGTTCATCATGTTTCACATCATATCCATGGATGATTTCGAGGTGTTTCGCATGGATTCTGTACAATATAGGTACGACTCGATTGCAATGCCACGCTGCTATTTCCCCCAGTGCCGATGCTGTTGCTTTTTTGTGTTGAGGTTCCAGGATAAGGCACCGAATTGATGCCTCATTCCCAACCTCTGTCGGCATGCCTACCCAGAGAAACCGGAGGCACTGAGTTTAGTATGCGTTTCAACGTTCGGGAGATCTTCATGGAAGAACCCCGATCGAGATCGATTATGAGGGATTTACTACTGTGAGGGCTTGCCGCGCGTTCAGGGATAAATACCCCCAGAATCGCATGTAGACAATACAACACAAGTTCAAGTTCCGTCAATTTCATTAAGGTCGATTTGTCTAGCAGGCCCTCATTCTATATTCAGTGCTTCGTCGTAGCCAATCTCAACATTTTGTGGTGTGATGTGAAAATGTATATCAAGCGCCTATGCGTAATGTTGAACAGTGTATGCACCATGTGATCTAATGTGGTAAATCATATAGCACCGTGAATTGCACCTATGCCGTCTGAAAAGGACTCCGTGATTAGATAAATATATACGTTCAAATGTATTGCACGGTGCAATCAGTATAGTGCCACATTTCATCTAAACGTACTCATTCATCGTACTTCATTCGATCACAATTGACTTAAGATTACACCTCCAATATGAAAGTTCCATGGACAGTGTTTTCATCATTCTATACCTACGCTGCTATATACTCACCCTAAGCTACTGTTAGGTGATGACCACAATTCCATATTGATCACCTATAGTTCCTTTACATCATGGCATTTCAACCAACTGTCAGTAGCGCAACCCAATTGTACCTCATCACTGGCCCCATTCCGCCGCAGGTGGAGACCGTGCCAGTACCTGGCCACGAGTCACCGGTACCTCCGAGCAGGCGGAAGCACGTCCACCTTCGGCGTACTGGCTACCCAGCTGCAGGTATTACGGGTGGAGGAGACGCGGTGCGCGGGCAAGCTGGGCAGTGGGGCGGCGTCCACGCAGGCGAAACACCGGTGCGTGGATGGGGTGGCTGATCGGCAATGAGGGAAGCCGCAACGAGGATAGCTTTCAGAGTCAGGAACGCTGGGGGTAGGCTGGACGCATTGCTAACCGGATTTCTACCGATGCATCAGTGCGTACGCCCTGCAGCGCACGCAACGAGGAGCGACGCCGTGGCCGAAGCGCGGTTCGCTCCCGGGGGTGGTCCCTGCGGAGCAACTGCTGCGATGATCTCGCTTCATCTCCCCCCCCGGGATCCCTGTTGTGGACATCTGGTTCTCGGGGGTCTGGATCCTCTCGATCGGTGGGTTATTGAAACCGCCAGCGACGCGACTGGACGGCGTCTCCGTCACTGGAGCCTTCGCAGCGGGTTTTGCAAGTCTTGTCTCGCACGTCACACGCGAATGACAGAAGCCAAATGCGACCAGGTTGCCCACCAACACGAAGGAAGAGATTGGCCCGGCGGGCGATTATGGTGGGATCTCCGCGAAAACTTCCAGAGTCGGCTCGTAGATTTTGACCTTGGTGGAGTCGACGGGAGGTGACGGACAGCGACGAAAAGAGAAAAGCCGGACAGCGGCCGCACGAGGAAGATTGTGTGCATTGAAACATGGCGGCAACGCGGCCAGCCAGGGCCTTCTGGTTGCAGGTCTGTCACAGCGCGCATCTGATACACATGTAGGCCATCCCCTCTGGTAGTTCACACAATGCATCTGCCGGCAGCTCCGGGTGGTTCGGTCGAAGAAACCGCGGACAGCGCGTGGGTCTCGCGCTGCAGGGGTACGCACCATTCAGACGGCGTAACCACGGTGGACGAGGCACCACACGGGAAACCACAAAGCTTCCGCCCGAGAACCAGGGAACGCGATGGAACCATGGGGAGGCTTGCTTCCAAATCATCTCCTCGGCGGAGTCGCCCTGCATGGGATCGAGATCGGAGGCCCTGCAGGGCCCATCGCGCGGTCATCATTGGGCCACACGGCCATTGAGTCTGGAGCTGTTGCGGCCAGACATCCAACGCCCGAAGATTATTCCCTAGGCTGTTGTGAGCCCAAGATTTGAGACGCCCAGCTCCCATTCTTCCGTCGCGGGCCGGCACAATGAGCATTGTCCCTGGCCTCCTCGCGGCGCGCAGGCGAGACCAGCAGTCGGCGCGTCTCCTGTCACATTCGTGGTCGCAATGGAGCTGGGACCTGCAGGGTGCGCACGCGCGTTGCCACCACCGAGGCGAGGCATCAAATTCCACGGGGGGGCTGATCTGTGGCGAGCAGAACGTTGCGAAGAAGACCAGCATGGGACGGATCTGACCTGTCGACCGGGTCGCGCGTGGGCACGAACGGCGGTCAACTGTTGGTGAAACGTAGTGGAGGAGTCGAGAATCCGGAGAAGACAACCATCTCTGTCCATTCTGAAGTATCTAACGCCATTCATGCATGTATCTAGGGCGTTGGTCCCATCATGAGGCTACCTCCACACGGATCATCCATGGATGTACCAAACCCTAGACACAATACTACCCAAAGGTACCCCAAGCTACATACACTGTATAGCTACATACACTGTATACAGTGTATGTAGTCCACCCAAAGAGTCGTGCAGCATGCACCACGAGCCCCTGACTGGGCAATTTCCCTCCCGATGCTGCAAATGCAAATCTCCTCAAAGCTCCGACTCCGCCTTTAATTAACGGACCGGGCCCAAGTGGGGACGGCGACGCCCACTGGTGCGTTCGCGACCGACCGAACCCCTTTGGCTTTAGTCCGCCGGCTAGAGTACGCCGAAGCTCTCCTATTCTTCTCCCCCTAATACCAATCCTCCCTCTCTACCACCCGTCGACCAACATCTCCCCCTCCCCATCCTCGCCTCCTGTCTTCCGTCTCAACTCCCATAGTGGTGCTGCCACTGGTTTCCATGGCCCCGGGTGTCCGTTAAACAGATCAAAACCCCCTCGGGAATCAGACCCGGCCTGCTATTCGGATTCCTTCGTCCTTCGTTTCCCGCCCATCGCGGCTCTATATTGATCTCGACATCTATACACACACACACACACACACACACACACACACACACACACACACACACACACACATACCAAAATAACCGCCGCCAAACATGGGACACTCTCTGCGAGACCACGCGTCCTTTGTCCGGCCGTCCACCAGGGACCGCCCGGCGACTCGCGGCGAGGGGGAAAATTCGCTGGTCGTCCCCAGTCGCACGTCGTCGCTGCACTCCCGCATCACCCAACCCATTCCTTCAACACTCAACATGAAACCCGCACAGCGCACCCCCAAAACCCTGACCCATGCCTACATGGTCTGCGGTGTCGGCCGGGAACCCTCCCAATGGGTCAAGGCTCCCACCCCGGCCCAGGGCAAGATCGGTCACATGAAGGGTGCCGTCGGCCAATTCTGGCTGCCCGAGATCCTGGGGAGTAGCCCCCGGTTGGAACAGGATAACGAGATTGCGCGCGCCTTGCACTCGGCCATGAGGGTGAGTTTCCGCCTGAGACGATTAGATTTGAAACGATTATCCTCGATATCAACTTGAAAAAGTCCGATATGAGAGGAATGACGATCGGACAAAACCATTGCCATGTGGTAGTCTCGATATAGATCTACAATTGTATAGATGCGATCGCCAAACAGGGGTGACTAACTGGAATGTGACAGGCATGCTTCCCCCACGATGTCGAGATCTGCACCGGCAAGAGCCAGCCGCACTGCGCCCACCACGCCTTTGTTCTCCAGCAGGACTCCTCGCACACTCTGTACGGTATCGCGCTGCGCGTCTGGTCCCGTGCCGACGAGAAGCGCGCCGAGACTATTCGTGAGCTGCGCAAAAAGACGGAGCCGGACTTCTACGACAACCCCGACGAGACCTACTGGATCCCCTACTGCCTGAGCTTCCTTTCCCGCTACCCTCTGTACGACTTGCTGGGCGATTACCTGCGAGGGATGTGGATTCATTGGAACAAGGCCACCAACCTCTTCCACGCCGAGGAGGTCTCCCGCATTCTGAGCTTCCCGGCACCTCGCCTGAACGACCTGGTGCGCATCGATATGAAGGACTACGCCCTCTGCTACCAGTTCCCTTCGTCCCCGACCGGCTTCCAGAACTTCGCCATGTGGCCCCTGTTCAACTGTCTGTCCATCCCCAACATCGTCGGGGTGATCGAGGCCGCCGTTTCGCCGACTCGCCGCATTATTTTCGTCTCTCACTATCCTGCCATGCTGACCGCTGCCTCCGAGACCGTTCGTTACTGTGTCCGCGTGTACGAGTGGAGTGGCTTGTACGTCCCCGTGGTGCACGCCCGCCATGTGAAGGAGCTCGTCCAGGAGCCTGGCCCTTATATTCTCGGTGTCACTGCCGAGTGCCGCACGCTCTTCAACGCTCCCTCCGATGCGCTCGTCGTCGACCTCGACCGGAACTTTGTATTGACCTCGAGCCCACCTAATGTCCTCAACCAGGGTCAGCGTACCAAGTTCATCAACCGACTGACTCAGGCCCTGAACGGCGATGTCTCGCCCTCCGGAGTCCCCACGCACCTGCGTTCGGCTTACGCTGGCGGTAAGCTGATCCCCGCGGGTCAAATTATCGTGATGCGTGGCGAGGTCGAAAGCGTCCAGGAGCCCAACTGGTGGAACCAGGATGCCGTGATGGGGGTCATGGACCACGTTTGTGAGAAGCTCGGTCGTAACACCGGCATGAAGGCCATCTTCGGCGGATCCGTCAAGAAGCCCCTGATGACCAAGGTCTCGATGCGCCATCTCAACGAGATTGTCCGCGAGCGCAACCAGTACTCTCGCGATGCGATGGAGGCCTGGCAGGACTTTATCAACCTCAAGGGACGTATGGATACCGAGCTCAGCAAGGTCACCAAGCGCAACAACTTCCTGGTCGAGGAGCTCGAGACCTGGAAGCAGCAATTCCTCAAGTTCCAGGCCTTTGCTGAGCAGCTTACCAAGGAGACCTCGGAGCTCAAGGTCAAGATCGAGAATCACAAGCGCGAAAACCGTCGCCTCACCGGCCTCATTGACCAGCAGAAGGATGATGTGGCTCGCCTCACTCTCCGTCTCTCCGGTACCGAGAAGCAGCGTGACGATGCTCTCGAGGCACTGGTTCTCCAGCAGGAGATTGCGGAAGAGCTGGAGCGTGAGCGCAAGCGCAACCAGAAGGAGATCTCTGCGCTCACGCACACTAACTCCACCCTCTCTCGCGAGCGTGAGGAGGCCCAGCGGGTGGTTCTGCACCTGCGGAGCCTGATCAACGGCAAGAGCCACCACATGGAGCACATTGTGCGCTCCATCGGTAGCACTTCCGATATTACTGAGATGGTCGAGCAGGGTTACGAAGACGCCCCCGAGGAACCCACCGATGAGCGTGCTAGTGCAGAGTCTGCGAAGGAGTCAAACAAGGAGACCAACGGAGTCACCAACAAGCCATCGGTAAATCACATGAGCCCCGAGCTAGAGCAGCATTTGCTGAATCTCGACAAGGATCGTAAGACCATTGCTCGTCTGAGCGTTACCGATGTCGCGGACCGTTACCTCCGGGACAAGACGGACGCTATTGCGGACATCATTCGCAGCATCAGTGAACAGTGCGCCGCCGCCGTCGAGGGTTTGCACCTGGCCCAGGATGCCGAAGACGAGGAGGCCGCCGAGGCCTCCTCGTCCAAAGTCCACCAGAACGGTTCCCCCCGTCTGGGTTCGGACTACGAGGGCCAGGACGGCCGCACCACCCGCGCCACCAGCGAAGTGAGCGACACCGACAACACCTCGCTGCACCCGGACAACCGCCACTCCAGCATTCCCCCTACTCCCGATCTGGTGCACAACCGCTCCAGCACCTCCATGTCGATGGTCAGCAGCTCGACCTTCCCCGAGCGGTCCAGCCAGCAATACGGACCGGGAGAGATTCCGACTCGTATCGTGGAGGACGATGACGAGCATGCTCACGAGACAGAGAGCATGGACGATCAGCAAACCGAGACTGGCACCCTGTCCAAGCAGGCCAGCGAGGATCTCATGCGCCCCCAGACCGCTCGTGTGATCTCGTAGGTTTATTTTGCCTCCATCAACTATAGATGATGTGCAACGCTTGACTGAGACGATATTGTTTGCTTGTTGCCTTTCCGATTCTCATTTGGCGTGGTTTGCTTTCTTACTGCTGACTGGTGCCGTGATCCCGACACGCACATGCTCTGGTTGTCCGGCGTAGTCTAGTCTTTTTTTTTTTTATTTTTTTTTTTTTTCTTTTTCGTCGTGTCGATTTTGATACTCCCTTATATCCATCTGCCCATTCCCATCTGTCCTTCTTGTCCATTGATTTTTCAGGGCCATTTCTTTTTCCCCAAGGCGACTTTCTTCAATCCTCATTTTCATTTTCTTGTGCTACTGTCCCCAAGGAAACTTGTCACTACTTTGTGTCCTTCGCCGTGCCTTCTGGTATGGAACGGCTTTGTTGCTTTCCGCTCCTTATCTTGCGCTTGAGGCCTCGATTTGCCGTCTGATAGACTCGGCGCGAGAGAGCACCCCACTCTGCACCCTATCTGCAATTATCCCTTGCAGTTTCCTTTTTGTCCCTATTGTGCCGCGCATTCCCATATTTCCTTTTGTCTGCAGTCGTTGAACTGGTCTCTCGATTGCCATGGATCATTCCATCCTGCTGTATCTAGAATGGATCCTAATCAGCATATTTGCTTCAAAAATTATTGTCTATTCCTTGAAAAGGCCGTTCGGGCATGCATGCATTTAGACCTCAACTACATTCATTTGTACATGGACAACATTTCTGTAGGAGATCATGCCAGTTTTCCGGGAACGACAGGATGACCAGCACTCAGTCCACCACATACAGCCCATGCCTGGCCATTGACGTAACTGCTTTCATCACTACCCAGGAATAGTGCCACCCGGGCAACTTCATCAGCGACCGCACCGCGTTGCAGTGGGTTCAACTGTCCAATTTTGCGCGTGGTACCGCGCTTTCGGGCGTTGTCAAACACAGACTGGGTCATTCCAGTCTCGATCAGGCCCGGGCAGATGGCATTGATACGAATTCCTGTGCCAGCCAGCTGATAGGAGACGGTTTGGGCAATGGAGACAACGGCTGCCTTTGATGCAGAGTAGTCGGTTGAACCAGCATTGGACCGAAGACCGGCAACCGAGGCAGTGCAGATGATTGAGCCGCTGGGGTATGGCTTCGATTCGGAAGTGACTTTCATAGCCGGAGCGGCGTGTTTAGCTGCAAGGAAGACACTATGGCAGCGAATTAGCCCTGTGCTGAGATGCTGATCAAAAATTCTTACCCAAGCGCATTCGTCTTCATTGTGTTCATGAACCCATCGCCGTCAATCTCGGTAAACAGCTTCGGTTGCCCCACGATACCCGCATTGGCGAAAAAGATATCCAAACGGCCGTACTTGGAAATGGCTTCGTCGATAACGGCAGTCACCGCCTTCTCATCCCCGGCATCGAATTGTCTCACATGTACATCCACTCCGGGATAGAGAGACTCTATCTCACGCTTGTGAGTCGCGAGATGAGAATCACTGAAATCGCAGACATAAACCGCTTTGGCGCCATTATGGGCGAATTGGTGAGCGCTGGCCCGACCAATCCCATTAGGGGAGTTGGCGCCTATGGTTGCATTAGGGTGATGGCCCTGTACTACTTCAAACTGACTTACCCGTGACAATGACGACCTTATCCTTCGTCCGACTGTAGGAACCATTAATCATTGCCCATTCAACTATTTTTCATTTTCATTGTTTGCCTTTTTCTCAAGAAAGAAAGGAAGAAAGATAACCGGCGTTTGGATGTACTCACGGGCCTGCAGAGTCAGGGGCAACATGTCGGATCTTTGGGATGTCCTCGAATGTTCCCTCGTCCGGTATGCCTTCGACAAGCTGTTTGCTCAGGGCCTGGAGGCGCTGTTTGGCTGCAGCGGACATGATGAATACCTAGGACGGGTCGATAGAGGGAAACACCAGTGGAGGTATGGAAAGCTCAGATTAGACGAAAGTGCGGATTGATGCTGCGTCTTCAGCAGCTGTGGACAATAAATGGGAGGGAGCGCCTGCCCGCGACCCTTCCCCACTCCGCGGTTATGCGGAGGAGCCGAGGCACAGGTCAGGTGACCTTTCGGGGTAGCTATGTCTCACGTGACTAAATATCAAGAGGAGTCACGTGGCAAGGAATCACGTCATGTGCCGCTGCTTGTTTTGGGTACTGCCGCCCTGTCGCAGATTTCACAAAGGACGCGCAAAGCTTCTTCCTTCTGGGGACTGCGTGTTTGGTACAGCTTGGATCCATGAAATCCTTTCGTTATTTCGGCTAGCAAGTTCGTTGATCACCCTTTACTCCCTAGGATCCACACAGGATCTGTTAGGATCGTCCGACGGAACGGGCGCAGAGGGGTGGAGAGAACGCAACTGACCAACACTTGCAGCTATCTCAGGATCTCTGCTATTGCGCCTTGTCTTGTCTACCAGAAGTCCTTTTCGGTCAACTTTCTATGCAGCATTAATGAAGCTCGCAACCACCGAATCCGACGTTTACGCCATCCACCAGTCGTTGAGTCATGGCGGAGCCCGATCCTCACCCACAACGAAGATCCTCGTCCCAGGCATCTTCAGCTTCGAACAGGAGCTCGAAGTCTAGGACACTCCGTTCGAAGACTCAGAAGCGCAATTCAGGATCGAACGCTCCCACCGATCTGACCTCATTCCCATCGTTGCCACCGAGCTCGCCGCCCGATAACTCTTCCGCCTTGACACGCGGCATGACAACTACGTTGCTGACAGGGGACCTTGGAGAGAGTGCCAATGATACTGGTCGTGGACGCAAGGCTACCCTGGCTCGACTGACGACAGGTGTCTCTCACACTTCAGGCCGGGCTGCACTTTTTAATGATTCGGTTCCGGCCCGTGATATTCCAGGCGCCCTGCACTTGGCCGACGATGCACATATTGAGCGCATGATTGCTACTACGGGACCAGTCAAGATCGTGAGGCAGTTTGCACGCGATCTAGCCCAGCGGGATGCCGATGTTTCGGCGTTGCGGCAGCGGGCCGATGCACGGGAGCGGGAACTGAAGAGGATGCTTCGAGAAGTCTCGGTGTCTAACCAGGATATCGAGCGCCGACTGTATCAGCTCGAAAACTCCCCGGAAGATCCGAACTCAGATGGGGACAGCATCAATAGTGCTAGCCAGGCTTCTATGCAGTCGGGATTGAACGGTCTCATGTCCCAAGCCATGACGGACGCAGTTGGGTCCACCGACGGTGAGCTTCCAGAGAACTCATCTGATCTTCAAGCAACGATTCGGCCCCAGCGACCGGAGAATGAATCTGATAACAGTGTGGCCAACCGCAAACGACAAGGCTCACTTCGCGGTTGGCAGGATTATATCTTCGGATCAGCCAATGCCAGCCGCAAAACCAGTCGTGCCAGCAGTATCATGAGTGACATGCAAGAAGTTGATGAGGAAGATGCTGAACGACCTCATGCACCAAGCAACCCCTCCGTTCGCCGCAAGGCTCTTGATGATCAGTTGTTCCAACCTCCGAGTGGGAAACCTGGCTCTGTTGCGAGTGATAGTATAGGAAGACGGATTGCCAGCGGCTCTACCAATGGTGATGACGTCAGTATTCATTCGCGCAAATCCTCTCGCTCTCTCGGATCATGGACCGTCAAGTTGTTCGCCGGCAGTACTCAGTCGCCAAAGGATGCCAGTGATTCCGAGACTGGTCGCAAACAGCTCTCCGACAACCATGATAAAACATCTGCTGCAAAAGGCTCAATGAGTGCCGTGGCTGCCTTGAAAAGAATCAACAGCAACACCAGTATGCCAGCCTCTGGAGCACGCTCCGCAAGTGGCAACACCGGCACGGTCAGGGTCAACCCAGCCGCCAGGAGGAACCCAGGTACTAGTGCATCGCAAGGCTCAACGGCAGCAGAGACCACAGGTCGGAGCGCAACCAACCATGGTCCTGTGGAAATGGACGCAATCCTGCCTGTAGAGTCTCGCCCACCGACTCTCGCCCCTATCTACAACAATTGTCAGTCGGGAGAGTTCCTGACAGATCGTTTTGGGTTTATTTACGACCAGCGTCGCAAGAAACGTCAGCGAGAAGCAAACTCTAGCAAAACCGGCAAACACCGTTTGAGTATCACCGAGACGCTTGGCAGCCTGCGCGGTGACTCTGACGTTGAAGATGGCGATCAAAAGCTCCCGTCAACAACACCCGAGACGCCTGCATCTCCGCCTGGCTCGCCTGGCGACCCTGAGGATATAGCTGCTGGGTCTCGTCGCTGGCAAGACTACCTCAGGATGCCATCTCGTCCGACTGAGTTGCTTTCCCATACGCCTTCCACTGCCCCTATTGTTTCCTTGACTACAGCAGAGCAGAGTCACCCTCAAAGCTCCTCTGTCTCGGTGGATAAAGGTGGATCTCTATCGCTCAATTCCGCTCAACCATCAGCAACTACTTCTGCCATTACTGCGGATCGACCCGAATTTGCGGGAATATCTTCGGAGGAGCAGTCTGCGATTCGAATCAGTGCTTCTGAAACAGAGCCCGTGAAGCTTTTGCTCGAGCAGCTAACTGATCTCCATGATACGTTACAACGCGACCGCACAGTGAGGTGGAATGAGTTTCTACGCAAAGTGCGAGCAGAGCGTCGAAAGGAAGGAGAGGCAGCCGCGGCGGCAGCGGCGGCAGCAGCGTCGTCCGACCGATCTGTCACTGCCGTAGACACCCCAGAAGCTACTCTTGCAGATGGCGAGGTCGTTGGGATTTCAGGCCTGGGGAATAAAGGCAAGGTGGGCCGCGCTAAATGGCGCGAGCTTCGATCGCTCGTCCTCGGTGGTATTCCTGTCGCCCTCCGTGCTAAAGTCTGGTCCGAATGCAGTGGTGCATCGGCAATGCGGATTCCCGGGTATTATGATGACCTTGTTCGCGGAGTTGGTGGTACTGAGCCCGATGCCGCAGTTGTTGCGCAGATCGACATGGATATTCACCGGACGCTGACGGATAATGTCTTCTTCCGTAAGGGACCGGGCGTGGCTAAACTCCGGGAAGTGCTTTTGGCATACGCTTGCCGCAATTCAGAGGTGGGCTATTGCCAAGGCATGAATCTGATCGCGGCATCACTTCTGCTCATTATGCCCACGGCCGAGGATGCATTCTGGATCCTAGCATCCATGATCGAGATCATCCTTCCTCAGCATTACTATGATCACGGCTTACTTGCATCTCGCGCGGATCAGGTCGTGCTCCGGCAATATGTCTCGGAATTGTTGCCCAAGCTCTCTGCACATCTGGACAACCTGGGCATTGAGTTGGAAGCCCTTACCTTCCAATGGTTTTTGTCGGTGTTTACCGATTGTCTCTCTGCAGAAGCACTCTATCGTGTGTGGGATGTGATTCTCTGTCTTAATGTGACTAGTGCAGTCCCCAACGGACCGGCCGCGGCCACCTCTTCTGCCTCTAGCACGAAGGATGGCAACGATAGAGCTGTTTCTGCTGCGGAAGAACTTGCCTCTGGCAGTGGAGGTGGAAGCACGTTCTTGTTCCAGGTTGCTCTAGCGCTACTGAAACTTAATGAGCCACAGTTACTGACAATTTGCGACTCTCCGGCTGCTCTGTACATGTACATCAACCACCAGATGACCAACCATGCCATCAGTATTGATGGCCTGATCCAAGCTAGCGAAGCCCTTCGCAATGTGGTACGCCGAGAGGATGTCGTGTCCCGCCGGACAATTGCTCTCCGGGAGATGCACCAGTTCAACTAACTCCTTGGCGCTCTGAGACCAGCGATCTCTCTCAATTCTTCCCCCTTGGTCTGGGTTTCAAGTGGAGGAATTTCGTTCCTCTTTTATTTTCTGTTTCACGTTTAGACTCTTTGATGATGCCAACGACATGAGCATGCTACGGAGTTCAGGCTATTGTCGTTTATCATTGATATCCCACTACTTTCATTCTCTGGCGCTCTTTTATTTCTCCAGATTCGATACGATCTTGATTTAGCATTCGGCCTGTCCTTTACATCCCTGCGGAAGCATGTAAGATACCCTCTGTCTTTTATTTCCTTGGGAACCATATTAGATCCAATTAATATCTATGTTATGTGATGGCTCTATGTCTTCTTCTATAGTATATGATCTATCCGATCTATATAAGACCTCTAACAATTATGAACACTTAGAAGATCAAAGACATGAAATGGTGCCTGGCCTCTATATTCCACCCACTGAGAACTTGCTCCAGCTGCGGATACGAGCCCCGTGAATTTTAAAGATGATCGGCGATGCCATGATACATGCGGATAGACATGCAAGCAGCGTGGCTGACCAATAGATGTGCAACGTGCCATACATTGGCCCTTCAAACAGGGGGAAGGACGCAGAAACAAGGCTGCGCACCATCACGTGAATACTGATGGCCGAGACCGTGTTCAACAGGTAAACATCGACAATATAGGCGATGCCCGTGATGAAGATCAGCTGGAGAGACAATCCGATGAAGAAGCAGGCAATCACTTGCGCCACCCAGTGAGCGTTCCCAGTCCATCCAAACCAAAGAAGACTTGGAGGGAGCAGAACTGCGCCCAAGATCATCGGAGGCAATCTATCCTCTGGCGCGAGGCGTGCTGGTGCACCATCTGCCATGGTTTTCTGGGCAGTCGTCCATCGCTTCTTGTACCAGGTCATTGTGAAAAGCGCGAAAATCCCCAGAGCAGATAGTACACCCAGACCAACCGCGATAAATGGCAGCGTGGAGAGAGGTACATCCCAACCACGTAATTGAAACGCCCGCGGGAACAATTGGTACGATAAGTACAACGAACCGTAGACCAATGTTAGATAGGTGGTCATGACGATCAGAATCGGCTCTTGGCAGAACATGCGGATGGGCTTTGTGCAATATTTGCGCAGCAATACGCGCGCATCCAGCGAGGCCATCTCAGAACGCGCACGGAGAGAGTCATTACCCGTCTCTCGGCGAAGACGGGCAGCTCGGCGCATGAGGATACGATTGTGAGAGGTCTCGCGCAGAAGGGCAATGCAGAGGAGTCCGACGACACCACATACGATCAATGATGCCCAGGCGGTCCATCGCCAACTATAGTGGTCGACAATATAGGCACCGGCAATTGGACTGATGGTCGAAGCCAGATTCATGATCGAAGCAGATGTACCAACGGCAATGCCACGGGTAATAGGGCCGAAGATATCGGCCAACAACCCAGACCCAACAGCGAGACCTCCACTGCCTAGCATCCCGGCCAGGAATCGACAGACCAGAATTGTGACGACGCCCTGTGCGAGTGCCAGGGGAATCTGGAAGATGGCACAGCCGACGAGTGCAATCGCCATGACGGACAAATTTCCCACCACTTCCGCCATCGGTGCAAAGATCAGCGGACCGACTGCATAGCCTGCCATGAACAGTGCGACTCCTAGGCTCATCACCTCTTCGGATACCCCATACTGTTGAGCTGTGACGCTTGTCGCGGAGCCGAAGATGCTGGAACAGAACGATATGGAAAAAATTACAGCCAGCGGTGCCACAGATCGAAGGAGCTTCTTGAGCCGGGGCCAATTCTGCGGATTTTCAGGGTCTTCAGGTCCATCCCAAGTGACGAGGTCGAGCGTTGACTCGGTGCTGGGCTCGTTCGATGGGGATCCCGTCCCCAGCGTGGAGACGCTGTCAGGTACCGCAATCAGATTGACATTGATGGCCTGGTCTTGCTTGGGCTTTTCAACGACGGAGGTGTCGGTGGACGCCATGGTGTACAAAGACGGGGGATAACTGCCTTAGGTAGAGTCGCGACCTTGCCGGACCCTGGTCAAAACCCTTGGGGAAAAAACGAACATTGCGGTCGGCAATTGATTGACACAAGAGGTGCATAATCTGGATCCACCAGGACTATCTCCGATTCAGGGCTGCGACAGGGCCGGTATGCGAGTACGTGGATGTCTAGGCATTGGCATGTCACGCGATTGACGCACGGGTGTCTGATTGGCGACGATAAGTAGATATCTCTGGTCAGTCGCAGCGACTGGTCCTACCAGCGACTGGTCCTAGCCATCATGGGCGGCTTTCGGGTGGTGTTCGTGACGAGGAGTCGAAGGGTTCGGAGAGATGGCCGATCACCTGCCCAAAGTCAATTCGCGCCAACAGGCGACTATGCAGGCCGCGCCCTCGGAGAATCATATGGAGAGAAAAACAACAATGCAATGATTCAGCACTATCTCTGTCGGGGCTCGAGCTCACTCTAGAATTCCGGACGCTCTCAAAACCAGCGTGGATGTGAAAAAACACACGCTCAATGACCTTATTTATTCCTGTACTTTACTGGGCTGAATCATCATACTGCTACTTTCATTAATGCAAGAGCTACTATCCTAGTACGTTCAAAGCTTGAACCCATGGATGCTTACCGAAAAATTGAACGAAATTGGTTGGTCCTATGCAATATACATTGATTTCATTGCATGGGCCCAGATCACGGGGGAGTTCGCAGTGCCTGAGTTCATCCAATGCATACTGATAATAACACTACGTGTAGCTCGAAACTCTGTTTGCAAGCCAGGGAAAATCTCAAGAATTTGATAGGCCCAAGAACTAAACTAGGACTGGGGTATTTCACGCAGCGTACCGGGAGAATAGTGAATGGCGCGTCAAATGTGATGATAACTTGGATGGTCGTAAAAGACAGTCAGTCAGTCCTTTGGCGATCATGAATGTGTAAAAGAGCGATGGATCTTTTAAACACTATCATCATATGGTACCCTGTTTAAACACCCCTTGTCCTCCCTAATGCTACATGATTGATGAAAAGGCCTAGAATAGCAGCACCTGTGACGTCGATTATGTCGTGGACCAAGTCAATTGAGATAGTTTTAAGATAGGGTATGGGCTATATGAAATTATGCACATTCATTTTATTGTTCACATTGCGCAGGGTCTGAGCCAAGTGGGTCAGAGCTTGGAAGCTTGGACCATTGCTGACGCAGTGCATACAGTCCAGTGTCACGCACTGAAGTCCGATTCGCTGCCTTCGAATGTAATCTGTCAAGCATTCTCCCTAGCCTAGACAGGTGTTATTTGAACCTTTGCCCGACGGTCGACGACAGACCAGCATTGCCTCTTTTTTCGAAAATATCGAGGCCTCTCAGACACCACGGACGCCAATATACGCCATGGCCTTAGAGCAGACCCCGATGGGGAGAAGTTGGGCCCAGGCCTTGCATATGCATGAAACTAGGGCGGTGACGAAAACAGTGGTGGGGGGCCCTGGCGCCATATAAAAGGGGCACCATGCGCACTGGAAATTGGAGGATCGTCCACTGATGGTCTCGGCCTCCAATTCTCTTCTCCTTGGTGCACTACCGAAGCGACAGGCCAATCCGTTTGCCCCAGCGGCTCTGTTCGATTTCTTCCGAGTGATTTCGACGCTCTTTATAATATCCTTCAACTCGGGCCCTCCTGGGCCCAGAATCGACCGGTATCCAAATATGATGTGAGATCGATTGTGTCCATGCTCGGCCGTACACCCAGCTCCAGTACGTCGCGTGCCACGGCTTTGATCTGTCGCATAATGGACTGCGAGATGGCCCAAGTCCGGGCCAACGTTCGGAAGACACCGATGGTGAGTCCAATGCGGTCGCGACTCGGATCAGGCATCTGGCCCGCCTTGACAGAACAAGCTGCTAGCTGAACAATGGAGCTGAGAGTGAGGGCACAGATAAAGAAGGGGGTGTGTCGCTCCACGGGCAGGCGCATGGCAGCCAGGGTCGACAGCTCGCTGGCCGCCTTGACGGCCTTCATGGCATGCGCGTGGTGGGAAAAGGCGGGGACGCTAATGGGACCATGGTGGCCGCAGATGACTTCGGACGCGACTGCCGGGGAAGAAAGCAAGTCGGAGCGGGGGAAGTTCAGGTAAATAGAGGCCCCATTCACGATCATCGTGGCCTGGAACATGACCTCGTCTACTGAGCCATCTGGCCGCATAAGCTCTGCCTTGGACTCGGGGAGGTGGTGGTACCAGCTGGCAATGCGGGCATCGATGGCTTCGACATGGTCTTGTTGGCCCTCCGTCATCTCTTGGGTGGCCACCACCCGGCCCAGAATGCGCACCGCCTCGATCCGGTAGGAATAAGACGAGAAATCGCGCTCTTCTTCGGCAAAGACACGCTCATCGAATTGAGCTATCGTTGGTGGCGTTGGTGGGGCCATGCCTTCTAGGTATATCTTTTCCTCGCAGGGGAGGGATACCTCAGGTAACACCAGATTCGTGCGGTATACACTCTGCACCCCGAGTGCCGTCAGCAGTCCCTCGATCACAAAGAGCTCCCACCAGGTCCGTCGCAGGCATTCGGCACGGATCGGATCGCCATTACTGGCAGTCTCGGCATAGGTCGCTTGGTTGAGGCCCAGCTCGAATGCCAGGTCCACCGCAGCAGCCAAGCAATTCCCGGCCTCGGCACGTTCATTTCGCGAGTGCAACACAATCGAGAGCAGAAGGAGAGCCTGGACCTTTTCAACACTGGGCGCTTGGTCCCAAACTCCCACGACCACCGTGGGGCGATAATTTTCGCTGGAGGCAGCCGGAGTGAAGTGAGTGCCAATGAACTTCATCACCTGCTCCAGATACACTGGGAAGTTAGCGCGATAGAGGAACCGTAGCGGCGGGAGAATTGGATGGGCGGCATGGAAATTCGTATAATAGATATCAAGCAAGTATCCGTCGCCGCCGACGGACGAAGATGAGTCCGGGGTCAACGGACCGGCCATCGGGCGAGCCGTGGGTGTCGCGGTGAACGGTATTTCGTGTATGCCGGGGCTTGCAGACGCCGAAGAGAGCAGAGGCATGACTGGCGTGTAGTGGTAGCTGCCGGCTTGTAAATTCCAGTCGACCGAGACGTCGGGCCTGCCGATCGCAGGCCCAACAGGCAGCATCTGGTCCGGGGAGCCTTCATCTGCGCGGCGTTTCTTCGAGGGGCCTTTGTAGCCTCGGCGCGATTTGGTGTAGTTGCACTGGGCACCGTTCACGGCACAACGGCTGCAGGTCGGGCTGTTGCCATCGCATTTGAGATGTGCTTGACGACATCGCAAGCATGCCAGTAGTGACGGGCCAGCTGCTTTCGGGCCCGGGGGGATGTGAGGATCGGTCATGGCGAGAGGAAGACAGAGCCTGTCGAACGTGACGAAAAGGCGTCGCTTGAACGACGACGCCGATAATGCAACGACCCGCGCCTTCAATGCTTCAGACTACTAGTTTGTCCAAAACTGGGCAAAGGGGCAGAACCGAGAGGAGGGTCGAATTGGAAGATCCCCGTTGAGCCAAGCGCGAAGAGGGGGAGGCGGCGAGAAAGCAAGGATGGCCCCGGCTGCCGCTCGGAAGCCACTTGTTCCTTCTTGACACTCCCTCTCCAACATTCAAGTTGTCAGCTGCAATCCCCGTCCGACTCGCCCAGCCAATTCGTACCTATCTCCAGCTCCGTGCGATCGAATTCGTACGGTTCCCTGCGGTCTGCCCGCGCCCTTACCTTCATCCTCGCGCTCTTCATCTCCACCTCCATCAACATGATCTCCGACGGCGACCTCTACCGTCTCGCCATCTTCCTTGGCTCTTGCGCCATGATGATGATTGTGCTTTACCACTTCCTCGATGTCAATGCTTCCGACGAGGAGACCACTGATACCCTCGCCGCGAAATCCTCCAAGTCCGTCGAGTCTACACCAGTGTCATCGCTCGGGGCGACGGGCGGGTCGGCCGCAGAGCCAGGGAAAGCAAAATGAGCCCGGAATGGACAATTACAATTCGAGATGCCGAGGGACGGGCAGGAATCCATGTCCCCGGGCTTGATTTGGCGTGCCAGTGCGGCCACGCGGCGCCCAGGAGTTTACAATGCATGTGACAATTCCCGTCAGCTTCGATAGCCATGACTCTTTTCTGGCAAAACACCAAATGGCATTGAGCATTACGTATCCTCGGAATCAAACGTAAACTTTCATTGATCTGTAGCTCAGCTCAGAGGAACGAATGTGCAATTGCAAGGAAATTCCCGTGGAAAAGAAATGGATAATGCAGAAAGAAATGCCATCGAATGGCAAGGGTCGCAAGGGGGTATCAAAACAGAGAGAAAAAAAAAAAAAAGGCGTGAATGCATCAGATGGCAACAGAAACCATTTCCTCCGAGTTGACCAATTCCTGGCACATCATCGGCGAAATTCGATGGCTGCTCGCCTCCAAACTTGCACCAATGCTATCCAGCCGGTCAATTCCCCCGTCGATCATAGTGCGAGAGCTCCGCTCAGTGTAATTCAATTTCTGATCCCCGTGGATCCGGCTAAACGCGAGGATCATGTTATCGTCTGCCGGCAGAGCCACTGTAGGTGGGCGTGTATGCCGCGAAGGCAGGGCATTGTAAGAGGGTGTGTCTTGTTCATGGGCTAGGGGTGCCATTCCAGTTAGATCATGTATTCATGGTGAAAATGGCCCGGGCAGCGGGCCAGGCAGGCAGACCAAACGAGGGTAGAGGGTGAAAGACCAAGAGTAGACACACATCTTCACATACCAGTAGGGGACACCGTTGGCCCATCTCCAAACTTCCACGCCAGAGGTGAGATATGGACATCCCGAGCATGATCCCACATGCCAGCTGCAGGTTTGGGATCGGTATCCTGGCAGCCCTGCCAACCGCAGGTGATGTTGTGAGGGATATGGTTCTGCATTAAATGAACCCGAAGTGCTTGCAAATTGTGTAGTTCGGACTCGCAGTACTCCCAACGACAATGAAACACTGGGTACTTGACAGGTGACTCCGCAACCGGAACGACCACTTCGATAGATTTCCGTGGGCGTCCCCGTGCCTTCTTCTTTGGAGGCATTTTTGTTGGAGACGGTGGGATCACCACGAGAGGCTGGGGATAGCTTTCGGCCGCGCGTGAACACGGTGTGCTGTTCACCTGTTGGGAGCTGGATCTAGCTGCCTCTCTTCTAGTCGGTGTATCTCGTGTCGACACGGGTCCTCGATTTGCATTGGTCTTGAGATGGGGCTTTGGAGTGGCCGGAATTGCCAATGGCTTGGGGGAAGACCGATGAAGGTCGAACACGCGTGGCGATTGGAACTGCGACTGTGAATGTGGTTGCGCCGCGTGACGCGGTGAGTTGAAGGCGGATGGAATTGGGAAGTTCGAAGGATGTAGCGAATTGGTGGAATGGGGAGGTGGCGGGTTGCGAGGGATGTTGATGGTGGGTGTTGGTGCTTGTGTTGGTGCTTGTGTTGGTACCGGCAGATGTCCAGCTGTCGGGGGCCGCGGTCCGCCCAGGCCAACTGCGGGCGGTGGAGAGGCGGCTGCCACACCCGCCGCGGGTACAGTCGAGTGGCTGGTGCCGGCGGGTAGCGCCACCTTGAACGGCATCAGCGCTGGCGGCGGCCTGGGCCTGGAGGCAATTGCTGCAGATCGTTTCTCCTGGGCATCTTCCAGCAAATCCCACCGGAAGCTGGCGAGATTTTTGGAAAGGTCCACCGCCGAAAACCTAGAACGAAGAATCTCTAAGTGGTGATTCAACATTTTCTCTGTTGGGTGCTTGGCACAATTGATCAACACGTCCCGCGCAATGGTCGCTGGATGATAGGTTTCCTTTTTGACTGCCTTTGTATAGTCCAAGGGCTGGATCAGATCTTTTCGGCTCCGCATGTAGGACGGTGATGGCACTGAATGGACATAGTCTGAAGCATTGAAGGCGCGGGTAGTCCTAGATATAGGCCGAGCTTCTTCCGGAGGAGCAGAAGTATGCGAGGCAAAGGATGAAGCAATAGCATCATCAATTGATGAAGAATCGCCAGAGAGGCTTGCTGTTTCCTGAGGGTGAGATGGCCCTGAAGGTAGCGGTTCCTGCTTCGCGCGATTCGAAGCTGGGGCAGTCTCGGAGGAAGGCTTAGGTAACACTGAAATGGGATTTTGCGGATGAGAATGAGAGCCTTCTGTGGTCGTTCTTCGAGCTCGCGGTGGAGCTACCGATTCATCAAAGGTCTCTTGCGAAGGATATGATCCGAGCCCACTGTGAGCCACTGATGTAGACGAGTCTCCCAAAGGGTGAGAACGATTTTCATGGTCAGAAAACAACGGACCAGTGGAGGAAGTAGGAAAGCCAAGTGTTGATGTAGACGTCCCATGACTCTCAGGACCTGCAGAAACAGAACTTATCTGCGGAGGAAGGTACGAAGTGCGTGCTTTAGCTTGGAAATAGCAATTCGACGCTCTGTTGGAGGGAGATGCCTCTTCATGATATTGCGGAGAAGCTGGTGAGCCTGGAACACCATCCAGAAGGAAGCGAGGAGTATTCGAACTATACATGGGCAAAGAAGAATTGATATCGGAAGACCGTACAAACTGCTGCTGCTGCTGCTGCACCCGTTGCTCCAGCTGTTGGTGGTATTGTTGTGACCTTTGCTGCTGCTGCTGCTCTTGATAAAGCCGTACTCGTTGTTGTTGCTGTATCCATTGCTGCTGCTGCTGCTGCTGCTGCTGCTGCTGCTGCACCCGTTGCTCCGGCTGTTGGTGGTATTGTTTTGACCTTTGTTGCTGCTGCTGCTCTTGATAAAGCCGTACTCGTTGTTGTTGCTGTATCCATTGCTGCTGCTGTGTCCGTATCCGTATCCGTAGCCATTCCTGCTCTCGTGGCGGTTGATTTTGCAGCATCTGCTGGTGCTGTGATATCTGCTGGTGCTGTGGAAGTGGTTGTTGTATAGGTCGGTGTTGCGATAGCCGTGGCTGTGGTTGTGGCGAATGTTGGGTGTGGAATTGTAGCTGAGTTTGTGGCGATTTATTTGTTGATTGGATGGTCGCTGTATTCGTCCTTTGGGCATTAGACTCGACGTTCGGACCGGACTCGGATCTCCGCGCTTGTTCCTGTTGAGCCCGACGGTAGGCGTCGTGGGCAAATTGCGAATCTCGTGCCGGGTCCTCAAATGCTAGTGGGGGATCATTTCGCCACCGGGGAGAGTGCTGTTGGCCATGTTCCCTATAATTTGTTTGGGCTTGGCCAGTGGGCAGAAAGTCTTCGGACCAGTCGTAGTCATTCGAGTCGTCATATTGAGACATATCGGACGGCTTGTGATTATCGCGGGTCGGGTTTCATAGTGAAATGTAAGGAAGAAAGAGGCTTGGCCAACTGAGCACTGGCAGTTATTTCAAAGGCTACTAGTAGTGATTAAGTAGCGCAAATTGAACGATGATTTTGAGACGGCCTTCTTGCGTTTCTTTCTGCCGGGATACGCGCGATCCTGTCGCGTCACGGGTGTAGGCGGTGAGCTCCACCATAAAACTCCAGCCATTTTTCGATTTCGCACCCTCCGCGACTGCACACCAACACCCACCACAGGACTGGGACTGGGTTATGCGATCACACCAACAAAAGCTTTTTGGGATGTCTCATGTAACTGGGACATAACGATGGATGTTCACGTTACATGCGGCAACTTTGCCCGTCTAGCATGCTAGGCCTCAAAGTTTTGCTCAGCAAAAAAATACTCACTCTTGAATTATAGCTCACTTTTCCAGCAATTCGAATCCCACCTATCCTGCACATTTCTCTGCTACTCATTCTTCCATTGGATACAGTCAGATGGTATCCTGTATGTCCCATAGACATTTTAGTGTCGCCAAATTATCTCCTCGTCAACCCCGTCTCGGCGGGCCTCCCATGGTTGGAGAGGTAAACAATTGGCGTATAAAAACTAAAGAGCCAACCAATCGGTCAAAGACCGACTGGCTCTGTCTCACTTGCAGACCGGCGCTGATGCTTCATGCTAGGATGACGTTGGTTTGATAGTGAGGAACACTTCAATAAATATATCTCCGGCATGGATTGGAAACTTCTTGTGCTATTGACAATGGTATAATCAAAATTAGAAAACGAGATGATACTTATTTTATAATTTAAGCATTCTTTCAGCCGCTTGTCGCATTGTCAACCCTCAATTTGGTGAATCTCGTGATTATCACCTTCACATACACTCAGTCACCGCTACATGTTGTCCCAAGGCTCTCGCTGTCTATAAGTGGTCCTGGTGCAACGGAGCCCGGTAATTTGAATTGGCGCAAGTGTATCTGCGGCCTCTCAACATCTCCGAGTCGTTTCGACGGCAATTTCCGTGTCCTTCCAAGGTTGCCCTGGAGTATACTTGCAGCACTTGGAGGTTGCTAGCACCGCCAAGAGAGACACTGGAACATAGAGGATTCAAGCATCGCCTGTATGCCGGCGAACGGGAACATTTCCGCCTAATAATATATCAAGTCAAGACCGAGAATTGACTCTAGGGAATAAGCGACAGAACACAATAGATTGGTTGGCTATATTACTAGTAATGTACACGAGAGAAGGTGCCGAAGAAAGCTAATCGAAGTAAGTGAATCAAGAGAAAACGTGCATAGTTCTGTATCATACCTCATCAAACTTAGGGGATCCAGACAAAAAGATAGGGAAGGAATGAGGAGGTGGGGGAACAAGGAACGCTCGCTGAAACTTTGCTTGCTGCTAAAACAAGTTGAATGACACATTGATCCAATTCGGCCTGAATCGGACAGGTTTTACTCATGGCTCTTGCTACCAACACACCTGCCCCAGGCAGGGAGACCACATCCCATGCCGATAAAGAGGTACAGCAAGAAAATCACCACAACACCCAGTAAAACCATCAATTTGATGTTCTTCCACCACATGCGCCGCCGCAAGCCACGACTACGCATCCGGAAATCATGCGCGCTACCACCCAGCCGATCTGTCTTGTCGACCAATAGATCAATACGTTCTCCGCGTTCGAGCACCCGCTCAATGTTCTCTGTCATAATGTCGCGGACGCTATCGATCTCACGACGGGCGGAGGCGAGCGAGTCGGCAGGTGGTGCAGTATTGTATGTCTGGAGGAGAGCGCGCAGTTCCGTATTAAAGGCTGCACAGCCGTAGGCAGGGAGCGAGCCAAAGTCTGTACTAGAAGGGTTGTATGTCGTCAGGAACTTGCGCTTCATCTCAAGGAGGTAGGCAAATGGGATGCGGCGGCCTTGTTCGGCGGAGGCCACCACAACAAAGCTTAGCGGCGCATAGGAACTTGTCTCTGCGCGGCCGCCCTGGTCATCGGCTGTGCCTCCCGATGAGGAGTCGGCGATATAGTGCACGAACAGGCGTTCGTGAGTGTACGTGAGCTTCTGAGGCTTGTCATGGGTGATCTTGGGGAGGATAATGGAGGCAAGCGAGGAGGCTGCGGTAGATGAGGTGCCAGGCGAAGAGTGTTCGGCTAGGATAGTGGTGCGATGAGCGATGCACGAGCTGAATTCGATATGCTTGGTTAGATGACTGCTGCATGGTTGTTGTAACTGTGTGGGTGGGGATAATGCTCACTAGAGGAGGAAGCTCGGAGCTTTTGAGGAGGACGCCATGGCGATCAGATAAATGTCAGTATTTCCACTCTGCAGCAAGGGAGTCAGACCAAGCTGCGTCAAGACGACACGACTTTGAAGCTTGGGGGAGGACTTGGAGGAAGTCGGTCGAGAAAGTTGAGTTACAGTTGCCCGGGGGCGGGTCAGCTTAGTCACGTCATCAGGTTGCCTACCGCGCATCGATCACATTTGGGTAGGTCTCTTCACAGAATGTTTAGCAGAGAAAGCAGGCCCAACACCGAGTAGCCAAACATATATATATATATATATATAGTATGATGTTTCTACTGGGCAACTAAGACGCGGTATCCAGAAAACACTGCGAACTTTAGATGGTCTGCAATGCGTACATTGCAGTACATCTTTACTGACTGATAACCTTGGGAACAATACCTCACTCATTTATACTACAAAGTACTAATGTAAGATAGACTACCTTAATTTGCTTTAGGTCTTGCATCAGTGTACATCAAAAATTTCCATCCAGCTAGCTATACATGGGAGATTCTCAAACTACACAGGTGTACTTAATGGGAGGTGGCTCTGCGGGTGGCTTGCGTAGAGTAGAGCATTTATAAGCAATATGTTTTATATGTAATAATAGCATTGGGATCAGGAAATATGACTTCATGTCGTTTTGAACAAGGTAGCAGTTTTCCAAAATCAGTGTAGAGATGAGCACCTGTTGGGCACTCACTTCAGCGGAGGTTGCACCAAGCAATATCCATCGTTCAAAGTATCTCGAAGTCATGAACGTTGGCATCATTCGTAAAGTAATTATCCTCATCATTGTCAAAGTCATCAGGGTGATTCATATCAAGGTCGTCACCAATGTCAGATTGATGGCTCATCATCACGGTGCTGTTGCCATCACTAGCCGCAGCATCGACATCGACATCGACTTGCACCACTGACCCCTCCGCGACTGAGCTCACAGACTGGAGATAAGAGATATGTGAGTGCGTGGCGTGGTGAGATGCGCCTTGCACAGTACTGCGGGAGTCAAACGGATCGAGGTCGCTGAACGATTCCTCCGTTGAGGCCACACTTCCGGTGTGTATGGCAGGCCCCGGAGTGGAGAATCCTCCATCTTCCATTATAGGGATGTTTTCACTAAAAACTCCCCCGCTCCCATCGTCGTCGCCTCCGGCCCATAGCGGCAGGAACCTTAACTGTCTCTCTGTCAAACAGTTGAGAGTTTCAGTGCCATCATTCGCCTCTGAAAAATACTCAGATCTGAAAAGCAAATCCCGGACATATTGACGGATGGATGCGGACGCGTGCGTAAGGAACCCATTCAAATCAAACTTCTTTTGTTCTATTTCAAGCTTCATCTGGGTTTTGTCCGAATCAGTATTTTCAAAATAACTTGAGCTTGGCTTTGTCGGAACCATGTGGTCACAAGTATCTGAATAATCCTGCAAATCTGAAGCTGCATTGGCCGGTAGACTTGTTTCACCTGGTGAAGAGAAGAACATTGGGAAACTTCGAGTCGAGACCGAATCACATGTGCTGCCATCTGAGTTTTGCCGCTGGTTTAAAGTCAAGGGGCGACTGTGGATGTTTGAATCTGCGGTCATTCTAGCGTCCGATAAAAAGCTGGGGTCGTTTGGTGTTGGTGGTGAGTGCCGCAGATTAATCGTCAAGTTATGGAAAGAGAAAGGGTTGTGTTTCTTCATGATCTGGGATTCGACTCGTCGATTAAAAATACCAGTTTCGAGCTCAAGCAAGGGCTTGCCAAAATTGCACAACCTAGCCTTCTCGTGGTCTTTGAAAGCGAGTAACCCGGGACCGATATCTGAGACTGTTGCGTGAGGAACTAACTTGTCATCTATATCGGACACCAGATTCAAATCGAGAGACAGAAGATTGTACCAAAAGCTTCTTCCAATGAGGCGTGGAAGAATGTCGGGGTTCTTGAAGGAGCGATACCAAGAGCCTGTTGCGTCACCGGGTCGAGCAGGATCTTTAACTTTCTCCAAGATTCTGTAAATTCTGTATCTCACAAAAACCTTAAGATGGTCTATCAACCTGTCAACCGCTCTGTGGTCTTCAGGAAATTGCCGTCGGTGTTGGGCTATTTTCTGGAATTGGCGATTGTCTTCCATCCAGCTCATCTCAGCCCCAGCGAGATGCAAAAAGCGGTCAATGATATAATCGGAAAAGCTTTTGCTCGCATATTCAATACGCTGAACCTCTGTATCCTCGAGGAAATCACGGATTCGACTGTGTGAAAAGGTTTCCACAAAGGTATGCAGAGGCGTGATTTGGGCTGATCGAATCGTATACAGCAGGGCTTCGTCCCCGACAAGGATAACGAATGAACGACGGCAAAGCTCTGAAGATTTTATTGTGCAGGCGACTCGGTATGCGATCTCCGGGTGGGCGTCAATGAACTTGGTGTTATTTCCCTCGTAAAACCACGCAAGAATATATCCGCTCACAGTCGGCACGGTCGGCACATCAAATACTTTGGCCAATGCAAAGAATGTCCACATTTTGGACGGGGTATTGAGGGTAATGCTGAGGCCCTCCAATACATGCAACAGGTGCTCAATTCCTTCGCGATGGCGCTCGGCAGAGTATTCCACCGGCAGACCCATTTGCTTCGCCTGGGACTTGACGTCTTCAAACTGGCTGGATTCTCCCTCGTGGGGCTCGTCGTCAACAGAATCACCCTCAAGCGATTCGGCAGGCACGTATAAATGGCTGCTTTCACGTTGGTCCCAGTCATCGTCTTCCTCTGGTGAGGAGGCCAATGGGGGCAAGGCCGCGTGTAGTATCAGTTCGGCCGATTCGCAGCTGTCGAGGCCCCCGATACAGGACCGAGGTAGGCGCCACACATTTTTTTGCCATGCCCAGGTTCGAACCGGCAATGGACAGGAGATCTCCGTTACCTGGATGATGGCATCGTCTTCCAAGATGGGCGGTGTCAGGTCTAGGAGGTAGTGGATGCCTTCGGGCAGTCCGCCTCCAAAGCCCCGTTGCTTTGCAACCCGGGCCTGCACTCGAGGTTGGAAGAGCTTTGAGAAGTACTTCGAGCCGGTCGCCAATAATTTAGCGCTATGGATACGATGAGGGATTGTTGATGTGACCATCCGGCGGGGAGGGCTGCATGCTGGGGGCGGATCGATGTACACGAGGGTGTCACCGTCGGGGAGCAAGAGGAGGGGCAGCATTGCTTCCATGGCCAAGGAAGTCCCACCTCGATCGACTGAAATTTGTTCTGCGTCTGTCGGAGGATTGATCGGATCAGGTTCAGGCTGATGCTCCGGTGAGCGTGGAACGTCAGGTGGCTGGGCTGGTTGGGGAGAAGCCATCGCGGGACAAACACCACCGAACTCGAGACAGAGACAAGGGACAAACTACCAGAGGAGAAGTGAAAGGGAGGGAGGGGGAGTGAGAGGAACAGCGGAGTGAGGGGAGTTGAGCCTCATCCTGCTGCCTGCGCCCGTGCGTTCGTCCCATTGTGAAGTGGTCGATACCAGTAATACGACGTATTCCTCCTATCCGACTCTACTCGTGTATGTCCAAGTATATTAAGTACACTTGAAAGTAGCAGTACAGTACAGTAGGTCGTACCATTCAGCCAGCTTTACATCTGCATGACACGCGCGACCCAGGCGCAACAGCGTTTCGACTGTACGTGTACATACAGCAGTAGAATGTAGCTCCGAGCCGAATGCCCGTCTCCACTGCGGATCCCAGCGGGGCAGCTCCACCTCCCTCCGGAAGCATAGTATGTACGTAGTACTTACTAGATCTTAGGATATAGGGGCAAAACGGCCGAGCAAGGTCCGATTCCACAATGTGGTATCATATGGCCCTAAGATGGAGAAAAATACTACAAGTCTGCTACTACGAGTATGTACCATGGTTGGGCCAACCCACGCTGACTTCGGTGGATGTGCTCATCGAGATGTCATGACATTCAGCCCATACCTACCCTAGGGTACCCTAGAGTGGTAGAAAATAACAGTTATTCTGAGTCACTTTCCATTTCACCTTGCAGCGATCCATCGAGGATCTACCAGGAATGGCCGCGTTCGCAGGAGGGCGCACGCCCACTAAGTCTGTGCCCAGGCACCCAACGGGAATACATCGATCTGGCCATCCAAGCTAACCGTGTGGGATAGATCCAGCTCCATTGCTCTCATGAGTATCGTCGGCGTAGTCGGTGGCACTTGGTTGGTCTTTCGACTCCTGGCACCGCAAAGAGGCACGGTGGTGACGACGAACGAGGAAATGGACGCCTTCCGCGGCTCGTCATCCCTCCAAACCGACGTGGGAAACCAGACGGCTCGTCCTCCACGGAAGGGATACTCGGTGCCACGGGGTGGTTCGGTCTAGGCGATCGTCATTACAAGAGGTGCAATCGAGTTAGTAATGTGAAATCAAGACGCAATGCTTCGTGTGTGGTCGATGCTAGTGGTATCTGCAAGGGAAAAAATACAACAGGGTAGACAACAAGGTGCCAAGGAAAAAAAGAATCAAACAAAGCCACAGGAATTTCGAAGACAGAATCCGAAAAACAAAATCAAGTAAAAAGAATTGAATTCCCCCGATTCGAGAGCCGCCCTTTAATAGCTGTACAGGGTATTGGCAAAATGTACACAGGATAGATATCCGAAACAGACATCATCACTGATGTCCACGTGAGAGAAAAAAAAGCCGAGTCCTGATCAAGCAGATCGGGGAACATCATCGGTTTCCTTGAGCTCACTGGACGGACGACCGTCACGGCCGATTCGACTCTCTTCTGATTGCGGTCGGTGCCTCTTCGCGTCTTTGTCCTTCTTCTCCACGCGCTTCTTCTTCTCGCGCACTCGTTCATCAGTCCGACTACGACTTCCGCTTCGACTGGACTCATTCCGTCGCAGGTCCTTGACCTCTTTAATCACCTCCCGGAATCCTTCTTCGATGTTATTCATGCGGGCCAGAACTAACTTGCTGAGCATGTCTTGAGTCTGGCTGGGTCCATCCCGCCGGAGCCTACCAGTCGCAAACGCCATCTGAGTGTTGAAGCTGGAGGGGACACCACCGGTAAAGGCACCTACCACCGCCTTGTTGTCCCCCAAATCAGATCCAAGATCGAACAGGAGAGATCGCTGCGGCCGAGCAGATCGGGCGCGGTCGGTAAGATATAGACCATCGATTTCGGGAACAGACATCGGATTCAGGCCAACGGAAGTGTTGCGTGTAGCTGCCGCTTTGACGGGATGTCTTTTGATGGTGCCCTGATCGACCGATGTCGATACCAGAGGCAAGCGGCCAGTTTCGTCGTCTGAGGAATCTTCGTTGGGCCGAGGGTGAGTGGCTCGGCCCTCGGTGTCTTCGTTGGATGATCCGACAGGATTGTAGAGCATGGTGACGCCGGATATATTCCGAACATGCTTGGGCCGGCGAGTAGGGCTGGCACGACGAGATAGCATCCTTGCTGTGGAAGGCCGCGAGCTGTAGAATTTCGGGGTGGTTTTTTCTGTGCTCCCAACGGCCTGATCGCCGTCACTGGTAATCTCCTTATCGGAAGGCTCATCACGCGATTCTCCACCATCGGACGTGAGCTCGTCGTCTCCCTCCATATCTGTATGTTGCGATAACTGCCGGGTGCGTGTGGGAGAAACGGAATCTCCTCGATGGTGGTTGAAGGCTGGACTGGCAATAAGGCTGGTTCGATCCTCGGGGTTGGATGCCACAGAGCGAGTGGCCACCGTGAAGTCACGCCCATGTGCAGTGAGCGTCTTACGGAATGGAAACGGAAGTCGACGAGTCGGCATCTCCAGATGATCGGCGGCGGAATCTTGCTCGTCGGTAGTATGTGCAGGGCCGGACCCGATCTCCTGCATCCAGTCCTTGATCACGTTGTTCGTCTGCTGCTTGCGCATGGTGCTTGGAGGCTCTCGCATCCGCTCCTCGCCAAAAGGCTGTCGGAAAACCTCTTCCAATGCCTGATCCTTCTGATAGGTGGCAACAGATGGCTCCCGTACTAGGCGTGGTGCCCTCGTGCTGAAGGCTCGGAATCGACTCGGTCGCCAGGTTTGCGTGGGGTCAGGTACCCTTGTATTGGGATTTGCCTCCACGAGATCTGTCGGCTCGATCACTTTGGCACTGAGAATCATCTTCTCATAGAAGCAGATGGTAAACAGGATCGGAAGATGAGTGATTTTAATGATGGTTCGATTGAGTCGGATGAACTCACGAAACGGCATCACGTACCGGAAAGGCGTAACGAGCCATGCGATGACGTTTGCTGGGGCCACGTAGGAGAAGAGGGCATCAGACTTGACCATCGAGATCGCATTCACAGCAAATAAGAACTGATGTTCTTGGTTCGCATTCTGAACAATTCGCATGAAGGAGTTCGTGAGAACTGTGATCAGAATGGTGACGACAACGAAGTGACAAATGAAGAGGAAGACGGTCAATATAGTCCGTCCCAGCAGATTGTATTCTTCCCACATCGCCCATGCAGTCGGCGTGAAGCCCATCAGCATTTGAAACAAACCATACGCAACAGACTTCGGGGAGTTGTCATCACCAAAGGATAAGAAAGCAACGAAGAAGCCGCTGCATGCAATGATGATCAATACGAAAACTGCGATCAGATCGGATGCCATTATGCGGAACGCAATCAGCAGTTGCGAGAAGTACCGATAATGATCAAGGATTGAGAAGAGACGCGGAAAGAGCAGGACCGCATTTGCCGCCAACACATCGTATGCCAGGTTGGCCACTTGCTGGTTGCGGGGATAAGTCAAGAAGGCACCATAGATCCGCAGACAATAATAACAGAAGAGTAGAAGCAGAATCCCCAGGTCGAACAGGTTCCAGAAACTCATTAGGTAGAGACTGAATCCCTGCTCGTTAAAACCGACCACTTCATCCAGCATAAAGCCAGTACTCCAGAACCAAAAAACGACTTCTAAGGATGTAATCTGGCGGCTTCGTTCTTCCAAGACCGCCAGGAAGAGCCCCAGCAACACAGCGAAAGAGACCGTCGACAGGAACTGTCGGTAGCGTGGCACCCGAAGCCGTGATAGCTTGAATAAGGAAGCATCGCGGGGATTGTACAATGTGACCGAGCGACGTAAACTTCCATTGCTCGGGGCAGGTACTTGGCTCTCATTCTGGTCTGTAGAGGTCCCATAGTTGGGATCACACGCCGTTCGCGCGGCGATGTAGGTTATCAGCAGCAGAATGAAAGACAATCGTCCCAGCCCAGATGGCCTCCAGCTGTTGGACAACTACTGGATGAGCCAGGAATCGCTTGGCCTGAGCTCGAATCGCCACTTCGAGGCATGAGATCCGTGCCGTCCCCATTCCACGCTTTCCCCGTAGACCCGAGCTCCATGCCGTTGACGAATCCTGGCCCTGGAGAGGGTAGAACTCATAGGACAGCGCGTCAATCAAGTCTCTCGTCGAGTATTCCCGGAGCAGCTTAATCGCCAGCAGCTCGCTCACCATCGCACGTGTCTGACTGGCACCACTATTTCCGGGATTGAGCTGAATTTCTTTCTCGAACTGAAGGCAATTGGCCATGAGGGCATAGAGTGTCGCACGCGAAAGATGTGCGGACATGATTTTTTGTTGGATTGGTTTGATCAGGAATTGCGAGACCTGCGGGGAGCGCAACTGGTCCCATGTCAGGGTAGTCTCGCAGCGCGAGGCAATCAGTGGGCGAATGGCATGGGTGATATCGTAGACGGGGAGCGCATCTGTCGCGTGTAAATATTTGTCAGCTTCAATTCCATAGATGCCATGTTATCTGGGGACCAAGGCCCAGCAGCGAGGTTGCGCCGGGGGAGGGGATTCGACGACAGTACCTAACACTGAGGCAGAGAAGATTGGCAGAAGGGGCGTCGACTCAATGGGTTGATCGTCCTCATCCTCATCTTCATCCCGCCAGTCCTCATCCTCGTCCACGTCCACATCTTCCTCATACACATCCTGAAGCTCGGGCGCGTCGTAGGTAGTGGGTCTCCGAGCGCGTCGACCACCCCGTTGCGCCGCCGCTCGGAACCAGGGCGAGCTATTGCTGTCACTGGGGTTGAAAGGCGAGGCAAACGAGGTCTGGTCGATTTGGTTGCGCCGCGGTCTTGGGCGAAGCAAAGAAGCCAGCATCGTGGACAACTTCAGACGCGGGTCCGCATGGCAAGAGATCTGAATAGTCGACGGCAACGATTTCAGAGCACGCCAGGGGAAATCAGAGCGAGGAAAGCGAGGAGGGAGTCGAGGGGCAGAATCCGGGGAAATGCAAGGTCGTCGAGTTTTGGCGGGCAGTGCGAGCGATTAATCCCAGCGAAGGGCTATCGCAGATCTAGAGAGATCAGAGGCTCCACACCCGTCGGACGTCATGGCGCAGCGCACCTGACCGCGCAGTCGGGAGATCCGGTTTGAAGGTAGTGTACACAGCGCATGGTTTATTTGTCGCCTCTCGGGTCCTGTAGCTCGGCGCCTGGAGGGCCTTTTGGGCTACTTTGGTTGCGCAGGATATAGATGTGATGATATTCACGTGCGACGATACATGCCAGTGGTTAGGTAACTTGGGTCGCTAACCAGGCATCGTCGATAGGTTGATAAGTCGATTCGGTACGAAAATATAGTTCTGATCAATCCTCCAATTGGAAGAGCAGGTAGGACTTAGGCTCTATTTGTGTATCTAGAAACGCGCTGGAGGGAAACACAGGTCAGACTCGAACAGTACATGCAAAATCGGTCGTATGTACTGATAGTTCGATATTGTCCATGTCTGGTTCGATGGCCGGCAAACCGCGTCCGAGGCTTCTGCCCTAACCGACGGCCCACTCGTGTGCCCTGCGAATTCCCAATCATAGAGATGCTTTGTTTCGACCGAAGCACTTTTGTCTCAGGGTGGGAATGCTTGGTGGAACAGGTCAATATAAATTTGTAGACTATCGCGCCTTATCATTCACCGCCTGCAAGCCACAGACAGTGCAACCTACATGTAATGTACTACAAACAGGGAACAAACCAATGCCATCCAAACAAGGAGAGCCATAAGAGTCCCTTGGAGACACCCTCATGTCCTCAAAGTTTTATTTCAAACAATTCGAAAATAGAGCAACAGATAATTGCCGATCCAATGACTCAATTGCTCCACCAGAAAATTCTGAAGGCGGCTCACCGCCCACCGCTTCCGGACGAACAGTCGGTGCGCCGGCAGCGGCACGAAAAATTTATTCTGCCATCGCCTCGCTCTTCTCCTCCTTCATACCTCAGCTCTTGAAGCTGCTCTTCAATTCATACCTCCCAATTCCCCTTACCCCACAAAAAACCCCTCAAAAAAAGGAGGCCCAAAAAAGTCTGACTGGTGGATGCTGTGCTAGAGTGACCTTGCGCTAGCACACATCGTCCCCGAGAGGACTTGTCCCCTCATTCTTTCTTTCTCTTCAATTGTGATGTCCCAAGAGGATCCGGTCCTGCCCACGAGTCCCAAGGCGGGTGGTCCAGTAGCCTACCAGACCAACAAGGACCTGCTGCCCACAATGGACGCCAACAGCGGTGCTCTCATCGCCCCTGCCTCCATTCCCGTTCGGGGAGGAAGCGATCGCCTCGTGGCTCTCGAGCTCGAGGACGGTACCGTCTACCAGGGATACAACTTCGGTGCCGAGAAGAGCGTTGCTGGTGAATTGGTCTTCCAGACTGGTATGGTCGGCTATCCCGAGTCAATCACCGACCCTTCCTACCGCGGCCAGATCCTGGTCATCACCTTCCCTCTGATCGGTAACTACGGTGTGCCATCTCGGGAGCAAGTCGATGAGCTGCTTAAGCTCCCCTCATACTTCGAATCGAGCCAGATCCACGTTGCGGCGTTGGTGGTGGCAACCTATGCCGGCGAGGACTTCTCGCACTTCCTGGCTGCGTCGTCTCTGGGCCAGTGGCTCAAGGAGCAGGGAGTCCCCGCCATGCACGGCGTTGACACCCGTGCACTGACCAAGCGTATCCGTCAGAAGGGTAGCATGCTGGGCCGCATGCTGCTCCAGAAGGCCGATGTCGCCAAGGAGGTGGCCGCCGCCGTCGATGCTGCTACTTGGAAGTCCCACTTCGAGAAGCTTGAGTGGGTGGATCCTAACACGAAGAACCTTGTGAATGAGGGTGAGTCAATAGACCCTATGCATCGGATCAGACATCAGATAACAAGGTTACTAACGTGAATCTTGCTTTGCACAGTCTCCATCCGCGAGCCCAAGCTCTATACTCCTCCCGCTGATGTTGCTCTTAAGCACCCCTCGGGCCGCCCCGTCCGTGTTCTGTGCCTGGACGTTGGTATGAAATATAACCAGCTGCGCTGCCTGCTCACCCGCGGCGTTGAGGTCATGGTTGTCCCATGGGACTACGACTTCCCCAACCTGGCCGGCAAGGACTACGACGGTCTCTTCGTATCCAACGGCCCCGGTGATCCCGCCACTCTCACAACCACCATCAACAACCTGGCCAAGACATTGAAGGATGCACGCACACCCGTTTTCGGTATCTGCCTGGGTCACCAGCTGATTGCCCGCTCTGTCGGTGCCACCACCTCCAAGATGAAGTTCGGTAACCGTGGTCACAACATTCCTTGCACCAGCTTGATCTCTGGCAAGTGCCACATCACCTCGCAGAACCACGGTTACGCTGTGGATGCTTCTAGCCTTCAGGATGGCTGGGAGGAGCTGTTCGTGAACGCCAACGATGGCAGCAACGAGGGTATCCGCCACACTGCTCGTCCCTTCTTCAGTGTCCAATTCCACCCCGAGAGCACCCCCGGTCCCCGTGATACCGAGTATCTGTTCGACGTTTTCATCAACACTATTCAGAAGACTATGGCTTCTGCTGATGCTCTCACCAAGCCCGTGGAGTTCCCCGGCGGCACCAAGGCTGAGAATGTCAAGGCCGCACCCCGTGTGCACGTGAAGAAGGTTCTGGTTCTGGGATCTGGTGGTCTCAGTATCGGTCAGGCTGGAGAGTTCGACTATTCCGGTAGTCAGGCCATCAAGGCCCTGAAGGAGGAGGGAATTTACACGATCTTGATCAACCCCAACATTGCCACCATTCAAACCTCCAAAGGTCTGGCTGACAAGGTCTATTTCCTCCCCGTTAACGCCGACTTCGTACGCAAGGTCATCAAGCACGAGCGCCCCGATGCCATCTATTGTACCTTCGGTGGTCAGACTGCTCTCTCAGTCGGTATCCAGCTCAAGGATGAGTTCGAGGCCTTGGGTGTCAAGGTTCTGGGTACTCCCATCGACACCATCATCACTACCGAGGATCGTGAGCTGTTTGCTCGCAGCATGGACTCCATCAACGAGAAATGCGCCAAGTCGGCTTCCGCCTCTACTCTCGAGGAATCTCTGCAGGTGGTGGAGAACATCGGTTTCCCCGTCATCGTTCGTGCCGCCTATGCCCTGGGTGGTCTTGGCTCCGGCTTCGCAGAGAACATGGATCAGCTGAAGGATCTTTGCACCAAGGCTCTGGCGGTTAGCCCCCAAGTGCTCATTGAGCGCAGTATGAAGGGCTGGAAGGAAATCGAGTATGAAGTCGTTCGTGATGCTCAGGACAACTGTATCACTGTTTGCAACATGGAAAACTTTGATCCCCTCGGTATTCACACCGGTGACTCGATTGTCGTCGCCCCCTCCCAGACCCTCTCTGACGAGGACTACAACATGCTGCGAACTACTGCGGTCAATGTCATTCGCCACCTTGGTGTTGTTGGTGAATGTAACATCCAATATGCCCTGAACCCATTCTCAAAGGAATACTGCATTATTGAAGTCAATGCTCGTCTTTCTCGTTCCTCGGCTCTTGCTTCCAAGGCTACTGGTTACCCGCTTGCTTTCATTGCCGCTAAGCTGGGTCTGGGTATCCCCCTCAACGAGATTAAGAACTCTGTGACCAAGTCCACTTGTGCCTGCTTCGAGCCATCGCTTGATTACTGTGTGGTCAAGATCCCCCGCTGGGATCTTAAGAAGTTCACCCGTGTCTCTACTCAGCTGGGTTCGTCCATGAAGTCGGTTGGTGAAGTCATGAGCATTGGTCGTAATTTTGAAGAAGCCATTCAGAAGGCCATCCGGTCCGTTGACTTCCATAACTACGGCTTCAACGAGACTAATGCCCTCATGTCTATCAAGGGCGAACTCCAAACCCCATCTGACCAGCGTCTGTTCGCCATTGCCAATGCTATGGCCGCTGGTTATACTGTGGATGATATCTGGAAGCTGACTAACATTGACAAGTGGTTCCTGAGCCGCCTGAAGGGTCTGAGCGATTTCGGCAAGTCTATGACTGCTTTCAATGCTACCAGCGTGCCCATCCCTATGATCCGTCAGGCCAAGCAGCTGGGTTTCTCTGATCGTCAGCTTGCAAAGTTCCTGAGCTCAAACGAACTGGCTGTTCGTCGCAAGCGTGTGGAAGCCGGTATTATGCCCATTGTCAAGCAGATTGATACCGTCGCGGCCGAGTTCCCTGCGGTCACCAACTACCTCTACCTCACTTACAATGCCTCCGAGCATGATCTGAAATTTGACGACCACGGCATCATGGTTCTTGGCTCCGGTGTTTACCGTATTGGTTCGTCCGTCGAGTTCGACTGGTGCTCCGTTCGCACTATTCGCACCCTTCGCGAGCAGGGCCACAAGACCATCATGGTTAACTATAACCCTGAGACCGTCAGTACCGATTACGACGAGGCCGACCGCCTGTACTTCGAAAACATCAACCTGGAGACTGTTCTTGACATCTACCAGCTGGAGACTTCCAGCGGTGTGATTATCTCCATGGGTGGCCAGACCCCTAACAACATTGCGCTGCCTTTGCACCGTCTGAACGTGAACATCCTGGGTACTTCCCCTGAGATGATCGATGGTGCTGAGAACCGTTACAAGTTCTCTCGCATGTTGGATCGTATCGAGGTTGACCAGCCTGCCTGGAAGGAGCTCACCAGCATTGACGAAGCCCGTGATTTCTGTGACAAGGTCGGCTATCCTGTGCTGGTTCGTCCTTCTTACGTGCTTTCTGGTGCTGCCATGAACACTGTCTATTCCGAGCACGACTTGGCGAACTACCTGAACCAGGCTGCCGACGTTTCACGCGACCACCCTGTCGTCATCACCAAGTATATCGAAAATGCCAAGGAAATTGAGATGGATGCCGTGGCCCGCAACGGTGTCATGGTTGGTCACTTCATTTCCGAGCACGTCGAGAACGCCGGTGTGCACTCTGGTGATGCCACCCTCATTCTGCCCCCGCAGGATCTCAGCCCCGAGACCGTCCGCCGCATCGAGGAGGCCACCCGAAAGATCGGTAATGCTCTGAATGTCACTGGCCCCTACAACATTCAGTTCATTGCCAAGGACAACGATATCAAGGTTATCGAGTGTAACGTTCGTGCTTCGCGTTCGTTCCCCTTCGTGTCCAAGGTTATGGGCGTTGACCTTATCGAGATGGCCACCAAGGCCATGATCGGCATTCCCTTCCAGGAGTACCCCCCAGTCAACGTTCCCAAGGACTACTGCGGTGTCAAGGTACCTCAGTTCTCTTTCTCCCGTCTTTCGGGTGCTGATCCTGTTCTTGGTGTTGAGATGGCCTCGACTGGTGAGGTTGCTTCTTTCGGACGTGACAAGTACGAGGCCTACCTCAAGGCCTTGCTGTCTACTGGTTTCCGCCTGCCTAAGCGCAACATTCTCTTCTCTATCGGATCCTACAAGGAGAAGATGGAGATGTTGCCGTCCATCCAGAAGCTGCACCAGCTTGACTACAACCTGTTCGCCACTTCTGGAACTGCCGACTTCCTGAAGGAGAACGGAGTCCCTGTCAAGTACCTGGAGGTTTTGGCCGGCGAGGAGGATGACATCAAGTCTGAGTACTCTCTGACCCAGCACTTGTCGAACAACCTGATTGATCTGTATATCAACTTGCCGTCGAACAACCGCTTCCGCCGTCCTGCCAACTACATGTCCAAGGGTTACCGTACACGTCGTATGGCCGTTGACTACCAGACCCCCCTGGTGACGAACGTGAAGAACGCTAAGATCCTGATCGAAGCTATTGCTCGTCACTATCCTCTGAACATCCAGACCACCGATTTCCAGACTAGCCACCGCACTGTGGTCCTGCCTGGTTTGATCAACATTGCTGCCTTTGTCCCTGGTCTTGTCACTCCCGGCTCCAAGGACTTTGAGGCTGTTACCAAGGCTTCAATTGCTGCTGGTTTCAGTATGGTTCGGGTCATGCCCGTCGGCGTCGACAGCTCGGTTACTCAAGCCACCGATCTGGCCATCGTTCAGCAGAATGCTCAGGACAAGTCGTACTGCGACTTCAACATCTCGGTCGCGGCCACTGAGACCAACTCGGACCAGATCACGCAGATGACTGGTGAGGTTGGCTCTCTGTTCGTCCCGTTCAACCACCTTTCTGGCAACATCAACAAGGTGGCTACTGTGACCAACCACTTCGGTGCTTGGCCTTCCAGCAAGCCCCTGATCACCGATGCCAAGGGAACCGATCTGGCTTCCATCCTGCTGCTGGCCAGCCTGCACAGCCGTAACATCCACGTCATGAGCGTGACCTCGAAGGAGGACATCAAGCTGATTGCCCTGAGCAAGGAAAAGGGCCTGAAAGTGACTTGCGATGTCTCCGTCTTCTGTCTTTTCCTCTCGCGTGATGATTACCCGGCCTGCGCTTCCTCCCCTCTGCTGAGGACCAGAAGGCACTTTGGGACCATATGAGCACCATCGATGTTTTCTCTATTGGTAGCATTCCATTCCAGCTTGCTGGAAAGGATGCTACGCCTTCCGTCGGTATTGCTGAGTCTCTTCCGCTTCTCTTCACTGCCGTCGCCGAGGGTCGTCTTACCGTGGAGGATATCACTGCCCGTCTCTATGACAACCCCAAGAAGATCTTCGAGTTGCACGATCAGGCCGATACCTCTCTCGAGATTGAGATTGACCGCCCTTACATCTTCCAGGGCAATGCTTGGTCGCCCTTCAATGGCAAGATGATGCGTGGCTCCGTCCAGCGTGTCACTTTCCAGGGCAAGACGGCTTGCCTAGACAACGAGGTCATCCCCAGTGCTGTCAAGGGTACCGATATGTCGTCTCACCGTATCGTTCCTACCTCTCCTGTGCAGAAACCTACCACTCCCATGGTTCGCCCCGAGAGCTCTTTGGAGCGTCACACCTCCTTGTCTGGCACTCCCGGTCGTCGTGTCCGCGGTGTGGATGCCAATGTCCCGTCTGTTGGCGAGCTTGGCCCCCCTCTGTACCCGTCGGCCCAGCTCTCCTCCTCGTTGTACGAGATGCTCTCGCGCTCTCCCTTCCGTGGCAAACACGTACTGTCCGTGAACCAGTTCACTCGCGCGGACCTTCACCTGCTTTTTACTGTCGCTCAGGAGATGCGCCTTGGTGTTCAACGCCAGGGTGTTCTTGACATCCTCAAGGGCCGTGTCCTCGCCACCCTGTTCTACGAGCCGTCGACCCGCACCTCCGCTTCGTTCGATGCCGCTATGCAGCGTCTTGGTGGACGCACCATCCCGATCTCGACCGAACACTCCTCGACTCAGAAGGGTGAGACCCTTCAGGACACCATCCGCACCCTCGGCTGCTACGGTGACGCCGTGGTTCTGCGCCACCCCAGCCCCAGCAGCACCGACGTTGCGGCCAAGTTCTCTCCGGTCCCCATCATCAACGGTGGTAACGGCTCTATTGAGCACCCGACCCAGGCCTTCCTGGACCTCTTCACCATCCGTGAGGAGCTGGGTACCGTCACCGGTCTGACCATCACCTTCACTGGTGATCTGAAGTACGGTCGCCCCGTGCACTCCTTGATCAAGCTGCTCCAGTTCTACGATGTTCGTGTGCAGCTTGTCTCGCCCAAGGAGCTTGCCCTGCCCGATGATGTTCGTCAGCAGATCAAGGCCTCTGGTCAACTGCTTGGCGAGTACGAGGAGCTGACTCCCGATATTGTTGCCCGCTCCGATGTCCTCTACTCGACCCGTGTGCAGAAGGAGCGCTTCTCCGACCTTGCTCAGTACGAGCGCCTGAAGAACAGCCTCGTCATCGACAACGCTCTTCTGAAGCACGCCAAGAGCCACATGGTTGTTATGCACCCTCTGCCCCGGAACGCTGAGATCGCCGAGGAGGTCGACTTCGATCAGCGGGCCGCCTACTTCCGCCAGGTGCGTTATTCCCCCTACCATTCTTTACTCGAGCTTTTCTAACGGATTTCACAGATGAGATATGGCTTGTACTGCCGCATGGCGCTGCTGGCCCTGGTCTTGGCCCCCTAAATTTTTCCATCTTTCATAATCCTTCCTCCCTGAGACCGGGACTTCCAAAAAGCGCGCCGTCCATTTCACGCATGTCATGTCTTTCCACTTTCCTGTTCTAAAAGCCTGTCTGGATATCCCTCGTAGGTGCAGCTGCCACGATAGAAAGCGAGCTGTATAGATTAGACAATCTCCGTTTCATGAACCTGATGACCCGTTCTATGTATGCTGTATACTATCTTATTTTCAATTTCTGTTCATACATGTGTTACGACTTTATGTCTGTCGTTTTGTTTGGCGTGTGTTCGGTTTGGCGTGTGTTTGGCGTGTGTTTAATTTGGTTTTGGATTGCTTTCTTTGGGTCCTGGGGCATTGGGTTCATCATTGCGGGCATCTTTTATTTCCATTGCATTTGACTTCAATTTCAACATTTGACATCTCTTCATTTCGAATTTGCTGTGCCTTGAACCATCAAACTTCTATTGTATGTTTGCTATGGGGCGACCTGTGGGTCTATGCTGGCTCGATTCGGATACTCACAAAAATCATCAGCATTGAAGCAAACTGCAGTGAGTCGGTACAAGTCACATCTCAGATATGAATCTTCGTGAGAAGAATTCAAGGATTTCACAAGTGTAATTGTAGACGTCTGTCCGTGATATCAACACTCGAAATACATCAACGATTCTCTCAACTGTGAAGTTCAATTTGCTGGAGACCAGCATCAAAGATGATAATAAAAACAACAAAGCGACTTACAAAAACGTTTGTCTACAGGCGATTTAAATATACAGAGATAGGTATACTACAAGGTTAATAATAAGAGCTTAAAGCTCAACATCTTTATCCTGGCTCTCAGGGAAGGCAGGGAACAGGGGACGAGGAGCGAGGGAGAGAATGACCTCCATGAGGTCCGATAGCATCTCCTCCAGTCGACCAAAGCTAGCTGCCATTTGCGCCTCCAGCCGCTGCATATTCTCCCGGGTGACTGAGGAGGACCCAGCCTCAGCAAGAAACCGGAAGATTTGGCCGAACGGCCGCTGCTGGACGCCGGCCTGATCAACCAACCGTATAAGTTAGGTCTGGCAGTCCGCAGCGAGGTGATCCTTTGCGCCGCATTTGCAGCATCGGCGCTATTAGAAAAGTTAGCACTTACTCTTTTACCAGTCTACAAAGTGTATCGACGAGTGTTCCCGCGACCGAGGGACCGGGTACTTTGACCAGTTTCATCGATCAAATGATCGAGTACTTCGTCAAAGTCCAGCGACCTACCGACCGATATCGACAGGATCAAGGAGAGACACTGACTGGGGAGTAGGGGAGAGATGCAGGAATCAGAGGTAAGTACATATCGTACGAGAGCGGCTGGGAAAACGTCAGTTAAGTCCAAGTCCATGGAAGGTAACAGTAACAATAATCGTATATCGGGTGAAGTTCCCCGGCTGCGGTATCGGCTGCGGTATCAAACTCACTCCCTACTTAGCTTCCCAAAAGGAGCTCAGTCCTAACATTCTGGATGTGCATGTCTCGGGGTATATTAGACCGTAGCGCAGTCTGTTGCCAAGCAGCACACTGGCACGAAATGCGGGGTGAAGCTTGCACGCAGGCTCATTAACCCCTAGGAGCGGCCCCAATCGAGAAAGGATCCGACGAGTTTCAATCTGCCCTCGTCTTGGCAGCATGGGAATGACGATGAGCTTCGGCACATCTCGCACCGATATGCAAACCGCCCGCTGGCTTTGATGCTTTGCTAAGAGACCCCGGATTATCGCATGCGGGGTTGCGAAACATTTCTGGGGTGAAAAAACGGCAGTTGGCTAGAAGAAGAGGCCCGGAGGGTACTTAGGTACTTATCTGGCAGGTACTCGCAGTATATAAGGTACGGGTGACCACAGTGAGACGGTTTGAGCTCTCAGGTCTGTCAGTCGAGTACCTCAGCACCATGGCCCTCTCGATTTCCCAGGTCTCCTTTGAGCACCACCGAACGGCCCTGGGGATTGGCGAAGCTTCTCCCCGAATTTCCTGGCGGTTCGATGGGCAGGTCTCCGACTGGCATCAGGATTCATACGATATCCAGATCCAACGAAAAGGGCAAGTGGAAGACTTTCACGTCAACTCTCCCGAATCCGTGCTTGTTCCCTGGCCCAGCGAGCCCCTGGAGTCGCGAGAACAGGCTACCATCCGCGTGAAATCGGCAGGAGGAAAGGATCAACCCAGTAGCGAATGGTCGGAGCCAGTCTCGGTCGAAGCAGGACTCTTGACTACCGCTGACTGGCAAAGCGCGGTTGTCGTGGCTTCCGACCGACCGACCGAAGTCAACGCCACCCACAGACCGATCTACTTTCGAAAGGATTTTCTCGTGGATCCGGATGTGTCTGCAGCTCGATTATACATCACTGCATTGGGCTTGTACGAGGCTCGGTTGAACGGCCAGCGGGTGGGCGACCATTACCTGGCCCCGGGCTGGCAGTCGTACACCCATCGTCACGAGTATAACACTTACGACGTGACGGACCTGCTTCAGGACCGAGAAAACACGATTGCCATCACGGTTGGGGAGGGATGGTTCTCAGGTCGTCTAGGCTGGAATGAAAGACGTAATATCTATGGCGATACTTTGGGCGTGCTCTGTCTATTGGCCGTCACAAACTCCAATGGGACCACGACCTATATCCCCAGTGATGACACCTGGAAGTCAAGTACGGGGCCGATTATCTCTTCGGAGATCTATAATGGCGAGGTTTACGACACCAGGCTAGAGCAAAAGGGTTGGGATTCCCCGGGCTTCGACCAGTCCAGCTGGCTCGGTGTCCGAGAGCTGAACTTTTCCAAGGACGCTCTGGCTGCCCCAGACGCACCCCCGGTGAGACGAGTGCAAGAGCATAAACTCGTGGATGTGTTTTCCAGTGCCTCGGGAAAGACTGTATTGGACTTTGGTCAAAATCTGGTCGGCTGGTTGCGCATTCGGGTCCAAGGCCCGAGAGGGCAAAACATCAGTTTTGTTCATACTGAAGGTATGCCATCCCATCAAATATTGATAAGATCCTCGAGTTAACCAACTTGCCAGTCATGGAAAACGGTGAGGTTGCGACGCGTCCACTTCGAACTGCCAAGGCAACCGACAATCTAACCCTCTCGGGGGGCCACGATGTATGGGAGCCATCTTTTACCTTCCATGGATTCCGATATGTTCAGGTCGAGGGCTGGCCAGCCGAGAGTTCGCTGGACACCGACGCGGTCACTGCGATTGTGGTTCACACGGACATGGAGCAGACCGCATTCTTTGATTGCTCGAGCCCTCTCCTCGGCAAACTTCACCAAAATATCCTCTGGAGTATGCGTGGCAACTTTTTAAGTATCCCTACCGACTGTCCTCAACGTGATGAGCGCTTGGGATGGACTGGCGACATTCATGCCTTCGTCCGGACCGCGAATTTCCTCTTTGATACCGGGGGCTTCCTCCGCGGATGGCTCCGAGATGCACGTTCAGAGCAGAAGGAGAATAACTGTAAGGGCTTTAACTTTGGCATACGATGATGGGCCATGCTAAAAAGTATCATAGACTCGCCTCCATTTGTCGTACCTGATGTTCTTGGAGGATCGACTGCGACCTCGATTTGGGGAGACTCGATTGTGGCCGTGCCCTGGCAGCTCTTCCAATCCTTTGCAGACAAAAACATGTTGCAAGAGCAATATGCCGGTGCCAAAGACTGGATTGATAAGGGTGTCCTCAGAAATGAGGATGGTCTTTGGAACCGATCGACATTCCAGTACGCAGACTGGCTAGACCCAAAAGCACCCGCAGATGACCCTGGGGACGCCACAACGAACAAGTATCTCGTCTCGGATGCATATCTGATTCACAGTACTGAAATGTTGGCCAATATGTCAACAGCGCTTTCTCTATTTCCGAACGCAAAGCACTATGCCAAGTCGCGCTCCAAACTGACCAAGGCTTTTCAAGATGCATGGATTTCTCAGAATGGAACTTTGGCAAATGAGACACAGACTGGGCTCACACTACCTTTGTACTTCCGCCTCTTTTCAAGTCCGGCCCAGTATGACTCTGCCATCAACCGACTGGTCAAAATCGTCAAGGGAAATGATTACAAGGTCGGCACAGGTTTTGCCGGAACCCATCTCCTCGGCCATACATTGTCTGAGTATGGTGCAGCCGATGCGTTCTATGGCATGTTGTTACAGGAAGAGGATCCTGGCTGGCTGTTTCAAGTCGTCATGAATGGGACCACGACGTGGGAGCGCTGGGATAGCATGCTGGCAAATGGAAGCGTCAACCCCGGGTCAATGACATCTTTCAACCACTATGCGGTTGGGTCTGTTGGAAGCTGGATGCATGAGAACATTGGCGGATTGACCCCAGCCGAGCCGGGGTGGAAAAAATTCAACGTCGAAGTTCGCCCTGGCGGTGGACTGAATAAGGCCTCGACGCAGTTCATCAGCCCTTATGGCCGTGTGTCGACAAATTGGACCCTCGATGAAAGCAGCGGGACGCATGGCTGCCCCGAAAAGCAAAAAAAACTTTCACCTAATGGTCCAAGTGCCACCAAACACGCAAGCCACAGTGAAATTGCCACCTGGTCGGGGGGAGAAGAAGTTTGTGGTGGGATCGGGGGTGCATGAGTATACTAGCTGTCTAGCGTAGGACAGGGAATTACATATAGCCGCTGGGATGCCGATCAGGAACACTACTAGTAGTGTTGGGACTGAACAAATCCGAGGTCAAAACTTCACCCGTACAATGTGACAATGATCTATCAATGAAATCGCGCTTGCTCGATCGCTCTCAGAACATCCCTAATGCTACAGTCTAAACCTTTCGCTGGATCACGATATGAACTGAAGTCTGTGTGGGGTACGGCGGAAAATAACTAAACGCCATCCGAAAATGACTTCGTAAGCATATACTAATCTTCTCACCACTTAGAAGTCGCCTGAAGCCGCCTTGGCGGTCGCCTGTATCGTAGTTTACGCATACAAGCTCAGTCACTCAGGCTATTCGTTCGTAGACCTAAGGCCCCCACCCCTGGGGTTCATGCATACGCTATTATACTGTTTTCAGTTTTGAAGCTATTCCGACTGTGAAAAGTGCAACTTTTTTTATTATCCTAGGCATTGAGAAAGTCAACTCGCATGGATATCACATGACTCCATTTCTCGCTGTAATTGAACCCCCCCCTAACACTCCACCATCTACTTCACGAGGCAGGAGGGATGAGGTGTGTTGGTTAAAGTAAACGTAAGGTGGGCTGCACTGTGGAAGCTCATCTTTTCACCTGTGTTCGATCATCAGGGTCATGTGACTGTGGACTCGGGCGACATTCGTATGGCAGGGGGCCATAGCAGAATACTGGTTTCGTCTATCGTCCGCCGTAGTGCGGGGCCTCGGCATCCAAATCTAACCTCCGATCGGCGCCAATATGGACGCCGATATCCAGCTTGCCGAATCGGTCTGACGAACATCCTTGCGTGCTCTCTCCTCTCCCCCTGTCCATCTATCCCTCTTTACTCCCACGCTCGTCCCGATAGGACGCGATCATGCCGGTCCCTGAGCTGCCGATTTTTGTAGCCGCGCAGCAACATGCGCAGAACGATCCCCAGAGGGTGGCTGTCGTGGACTCGGTGAAGCAGCAGTCTTTTACGTTTACCCAGCTTCTCGAAGATGCCGCCGCCTTGCGGAAGGGCATTCTCGAGCAACTAGGATTGTCGGATTTGAACGAGCGACGCATTGCCTTCCTGGCGACCGGCTACGACTATGTGGTGACTCAATGGGCAACCTGGGCCGCGGGAGGAATTGCGGTGCCTCTGTGTACATCTCACCCTGTCCCGGAGCTACTTTACGTGATTGAAGACTCGGACCCGTCGTTGGTTATTATCCACCCCGCATTCGAGCAAATCGCACCCGCGCTGCGAAAAGGGTGCTCGGCCAATGTCATTTTCCTGGGTCTGGACCCTTTGAGTCGCAATGACAACCCCTCTTTGCCTTCCTTCTCCCCATCCTTCCCATTTAACCGACGGGCACTCATGATCTATACTTCCGGGACCACGTCGAGGCCAAAGGGTTGTGTGACTACCCATGAAAACATCACAGTTCAAGCAACCTCTCTCATCAAAGCTTGGAAGTACTCGGCCTCTGACTACCTGATCCATGTACTTCCTCTCCATCACATTCACGGTATTGTGAATGGGTTGGTCGCGAGTCTGCTCAGTGGTACGACCGTCGAAATGAGACCCAAGTTCGACCCCGCCGAAATCTGGAGTCGTTGGCAGGATCGCGGCTCCTCTACTATGTTCTTCGCAGTTCCCACCATTTACTCCCGTCTGAACGACTATTTCGATGCGAATATCCGTGGCACGGATAAAGAGAATGCGGCCCGGGCCGGCGTACAGGCCTTGCGACTGATCGTTTCTGGGTCTGCAGCTCTACCAACGCCGATCAAAGCCAAGTTTTCGGAAATTTCTAGCCAGATATTACTGGAGCGTTACGGCATGACCGAGATTGGCATGGCCCTGAGCTGTGGTCTCGAAGTGGAAAAGCGAATCGATGGCAGCGTCGGCTGGCCCTTGCCTGGTGTCGAGGTTCGATTGACCAAGGATGGTCGGGTTATTGAAGAGGATGATGAAGAGGGCATGATTGAAATCAAGGGAGGCAATGTGTTCATCGAGTATTGGCGCAGGCCTGAAGCGACATCCTCCGAGTTCACTTCCGATGGATGGTTCAAGACGGGTGATGTGGCTAAACGAGACACAACTGGTGCATACTATATTCAAGGGCGTGCTTCTGTCGATATCATCAAATCCGGGGGATACAAGGTCTCTGCCCTCGAAGTCGAGCGTAAGATGTTGGCTCTGGATTCGATTCAAGAGGTCGCCGTGGTTGGACTGGCCGATCAGGAGTGGGGACAAAGAGTTGCGGCAGTGGTCAAATTTCGAGAAGGAGTAAGTTCGTACCCCGAGAGATTACCAGGACGTGGCTAATATCATGCAAAGTCCGCTCCTCTGGAGCTCCCAGCTCTGCGCGCAGAATTGAAGCATGACATGGCGGCATACAAGGTTCCTACGATGTTGAAGGTTGTCAACAGCATCGAGCGGAATGCTATGGGAAAGATCAACAAGAAGATTCTCGTACAGAAATACTGGCCGGAAAAACTGCCTGAAACGCCAAACACAACATCACACGAATAGAGGTAAATAGAGAAGATAATAATATAATAGACAGAAGTTACGATAGATAAAAACTTTGAGAAATTGAATCAGTTGCTGACAATTTCTGATGTCACGACGTGAAGAAACAATCCGACGAGGCTAATTGATTCTGAGTAAACAACACTTTCGGCGAGCGGGCAGCAGGGGTCGATATTGCTGTGGTAGTGGACTAATTGTTGGTCTCCGGAGAAGAACCCCGAGTGATAGGTATACGTCCCGTAGTGCTAGGAGGCCCGTTGGTGCTTCAGATATCCAGCACCCGCCCAATGCGGTTAGGTCGACTGCTAAGTGTATATACAGAGGGTTTGTCCATGCAAATCCCAGGCAGCTAGATGCGACTTTGGGATGTGACAATTTATTTATCACTGTTCCTAAGATTTTGATACAGCGTAGGCCCGTCGCTTACGTTTGGAAAATCCACCGTGGATCCTTGTCACCCAAGAAGTCACCTTCCGCATCACCGATGTCCCCCATCAAAGGTCGAAGCCCTCGCACTTCACGCACGCGGTCTTTCTCGGCATTCTCTTTGTGAAGGACCTTCCACAAAATACCCACGACGATGATGTTGGCGACCAAATACCCTAGCGCGAATCCATGCCCAAGGAAGTATCGGGGACTAGTCTCAGTCCGGTATAACTGTGTCCCTAATACGGCACCAAGATTTCCGATTGAGATTTGCATGGCATTTGCAATGCACCGCTTTGTCTGTCCTGATACGTTATTGGCGGGCCAGGAGAGAACGATGGCCACCGCTGGGTAGATACCTGCAGCTGCAAATATCGTACCGAGATAGGATACCCCAGCTCGATGCTGCGAAATCAGAAGGATATATCCGATACAAGCAAAGGCAGACGATCCCATAATAAAAGGCGCACGAAGATGCGTTCTCTCAGACAGTATAGCAACCCCGATGGTTGTCACAAAGGCTACTGCGTAAGGAGGGATACTCAATAGCTGTGCCTCGGCCGCAGAATAGCCCAGCTCTTTAATGATGGTAGGCTTTTCACAGTATTAGTGTGGAACCGATCAGTTAATAGGTTTAAGGATGTAGACGAACCAAAAAGAGCGAAAGAGTGTATAGTGGCAAGCTCATTGTATGGAATCCAAGACCATACAGCCACGTCTTAGGGTCTTTGAATGCATCCAGTACTGCTTGCCATGTAAATTGTTCATCGCGCGTAGCGTCACTGTCATTTTTGAGGCGAAATTGAATGAATTCTCGTTCTTCCTCAGTGAGAAACTCGGCGGTAGAGGGGTAGTTGTAAACCCAGAGGTATGCGATGGCAGACACAACAACGGTCAAGAGCCCTTCGAGAATGAAAATCCACCTCCATCCATTGTATCCTCCGACTCCCTTCATATGTGAAATGCCCTGTTCGATAGGTTAGTCTCTAACATAACCACGGAATGATAGATACTGTATGTATTACTGACCCAGGCCAAAATACCACCAAAAGCGCCTGCCAGACTAGCTGCGCTGAAAAATAAGGCAACACGATAATGCTGTTCGTTGCGTTTGTACCACATGGAAAGGTAGAATACCACACCGGGGAAAAGGCCACTCTCGGCGACACCCAGAAAAAATCGAGAAGAGAGGTAGCCGGAATAGTTCTGGACGACACCGAGCAGCGTAGCGACCACGCCCCAGACCAAGGTGAGTGTGGGGAGCCAGATTCTTGGTGTAGTTTTCTTGAGGACGACGTTGGCGGGGATTTCAAAAAGGACATAACCGATGAAATATAGAGTCAGGCCCGTGAGATATTGATCTCCTGCTATATAGACAGTTAGAGAAAATCCACAATTCGCTTCGCTCATATAAATTCACATACACATGTTGATATCATCAGTCATCCCCTCTAGTTTTGCATTGCCGACTATATAATATACCTCGTTAGTTCCCCTAATTCATCGCGACGTAAATAGCATTTGGTAGTTAGCAATCCCGGAACGCACCATTGCTCCGATCCAGAAAAGAGAGAAGGTAGAGAATGGTTAAAGGAGGCAAGAGTCGATAGTCGAGTTTTCGCAGTAACTTTGTCTCGTTGATTCCGACGGTCTCTGCGAGGCTGCTGGAGGAGGGCGAGTCACCCGCATCCTTAGTCGTGGCATCAGAACCGGCTTCCTTTTTTTCGGCCAAATCAGACATTGTGACAGCGGAAATCCCAGGAAACAGATCGCTAGGAGCCAGGCTTCATATGTCACTGAGATTTGATCACAAATTTGAGTCAAGTCAAATCGTGCAGAAGTCCCCTAGCTTTTTAACGTGGCCAACCTTAACTTTAGCACCTCATCCTGCGTGGGCCACGCGCAAGCCTCGTGTTGCGGAATTGCATCATCCCCGTGGAACTTTCAACCCGGCCGAGAGACCCTGCAGTATTCGACATTCAAATGCTTCAGATTGGCCGACGAAGGTGCGAGGATGAACAATCGCGGCAGCCGATCACACCATCGGGCGGGGGCTGCCATCCCCGATCTTCGTGATATTCATAAAATTCGTGATATCCAAGCCGTAAGTCTCCGCAGTGAAATAACAAGAAAATAAGGAATCAAAAAGGAGCGTGTGACGCAAAGAAGTAGATTCCAAAGTACGTAGCAGTTTGTTTGATATTGTTGATCCTGACTTTTACTTCTGCGGGAAACCGAGCATCATGGCGTAGCCAGAACAAAACATCTGCCTCCGAGGTCCTTGATTCCGCCCATCTGTTCTTGGACCAGCCCCGAAAAGTCAGCTGGGTCTTAGCTGGAGAATATTCCTTGCTAGAATCCGCTTTTTCGAAACAAATTCATGCCTAGGTCATTCAAGAGCAGATCAGTGTAAGGAAGGCAGTCAAAGACCATATTGGGGGCAGCGATCCCCAAGTTCTCAAGTCCCGGGAGGATGTCTTATTCTCATATACTCACTGTGAAGCATAGTCTCGTACTCCACTGCCGCGGGATCGAGGGATGAATGTGGTTCAAATGCAAATGGGGTATCAATCGTTAACGTAGGTAGCCAACCATGGTGCTTGCACCTATGCTATGACTGCCGTGTTGATCGACAATTGAGAACCAATGAATGCGATGTTGCGAGTTTTGATCCTAGGCGCGCGAGGAATCATAAAGCGATAGAAGCAGTATGGTCTGATCGTCGATTTAACCGGTCTCACAGTTGTATTTTAACCACCTGCGATGCCCTGGGGTGGATTAATTTTTGGCAAGATCGATAGAATGGGAACATCCCTTAATATTTGCGATCGTACTGTGTGTAGCAGCTTCTCCTTCTTGTGAAATGGCCCAGGTAACCCATCTGTTCCTCAAGACCGGTAGGGAGAAATTCCACGGACCGGATGGCCTTCCAGCCGGAACAGCAAATGAGCGCATCAGCCTTGAGGGTTGTTCGATCAGAGAGTTCAATTGTGTGTAATGAGAGCGACATGATCTCTGCGATATGAACGCGTATTCTCCCCTCGCGAACAAAACGGAACCAGTCGCTGTCGTAGTTATAGACACCCAGGAAATTTCCGATCTAAAAAGGCGATAACCACGGTCTTAGTTTTCTGGATCTCCGGATGGCTTACGTGCGTATTCGCTCCATCGAGTAACATTTGCCAGATATACCACCTCGCGGAAACGAGCAGCGAGCCAAGTCAGGAAATGTCGAATCCAGCGATAACCAGCATGACTGGTCCAGAGGCAAGGGCCTAACCGAGTGCAGTCAAGTCGATATGAGTCGCGCGGCCGATACCGTGAGCAGACGGAAGCGATCGGGCCCAAGATAATGAAGGCCACCTCCGGAATGGAAAAAGTGTCACCGGAAATCATCCTGGCCATCGAATATAGGCATGTGTGGTTCAGAGGTCAGACTAGTGGCAGCCACCATTCGTATGCTTCGACCTGCGTTGAGGTAGGATTCAACTTTACCAATGTAAGTAGACACTTCTCATCTTCTAGTAGTAACGATGACTTTATTTTATTTGTTATAGCCGTATTCAAAAGGAAAGGCCAAAGTGCTTGGCAAGCTGGTCAAAGTATTGATGAACAACTTCGCCTGGGGTTATGAGAGCCTGATGATACCTGGAAGCGATCTAATTCCATCGGAAAGTCGCTGAGCTCGTAGCTTCCGATCAGGTTGTTGGTCTTGAGATCGGGGTATAATCTCTCTTTGGCCCAGGTTCCACCGACTTAAGATGCAGAAACCACCATCAAGATGCGAGCCGCGGCATATGCTTCAACGTATGTCTTTGCCATCGGTCAGGCCACTCAAACCTAGGTAACTTTGTCAGAAAATGCTTGGGGATTAAGAGTAAAGGGGACCATACCTGCGCCAGAGATGACCAGTTCATATTCTTCCATGATGCATCCACGTCGGTGTGAACTGTCGTGGATGCTTCAGCTGGGGATTCTGGAGGCTACCTAGATGGTCCACAGCCCTCATGGGAGACATCACACACGTAGTGGGATGTAGGTGAAAAGGTACCAGCGGAGAGAGCTGAGAGTCTGAGAGCAGCCCTGGACATTGTTGCACCACTCGCATACCCACCCGTGCTTAGCAACTTCACTTCCTGGGCGATCTCTTGAGGTAATGGCTTATCGCTCTTCCGAGAGTCGTTGGTCTCAATGCTCACTAGTCAGACGAGTGTCAGGGAAAGGCAAAACAATTCCTGGTTTGTACGATTATCCGCAAAGTCGCTATCTGATCGGCTGGGCGGCAGGAAGAGAAAGGACCAGGGCGGGAAAGGGACTTATTGCAGGTAGGTGACTATTCAGAAGACTATTCAGCTGGCTGTTCAGGAGACTGTTTGGGTGACTGTTTCGATGACTGATTCCAACTGAAATTGGGAAGTGAGCTTTGGCTGCTATAACCCTCCGTCCGGTGAAATTTGCAAGGTCCAATGCTGGCTAGGTTGTCTCGGTGTCTGTGGCACCTCCTCCTGCAGGCCTGGCCATGCCCACCGGGGGCAACTCCCGTATGTATTTTTCTCTGTTCGACCAAATTCCCAGAGAAAGAGCGGACTTATAAATAACGACGATGCTTCAAGGTGGTGAAGATTACGGTCCTGCCTGGGTCGCGTTCCTGAGCAGATGAATGCTCGCAACAACCTGACTTGCGGCGGCCCCGGTTCCTGCTCCCGCTACGGGCTCGGTCCCGCTGGCCAACGTCGACTACAGCGGCTTTGAATAGAAGATACTGGTATGTCCTTGTCCTATCTTTCACCTCTAGTGCCCGGGGCTGCAGGGAGTAAGCGTTAACATTTCTAGTAGCAGCGTTGTTTTAATTGCGGCGAGGGGGTCTCCGCCAGCTGGAGGCCCATATGGCGATCCATCCAGACCGACTGGAGGAACTCTTCCATCGACAGGAAGAGATGCTGTCCGACCTCATGGAGATCATTCTCGCCCTGGGTTCCCGTGCCAGGCCGGGATGAAGATGTTGAACTATGAGCTCGTATTATTAACAAAGTAGTATCCTTGTCATCCTTGAATATTTAACTGTAAGTCGCTTTGTCTATATTTTCATCACCTTTGATGCTGGATTCCAGCAGATCGAACTTGAGAATTGCATTTTCACACTTTGACTTGGTTCATACTGTACCTGTAGTTGTATCGGGCATCCATCTCGATTGCAACACTTCAAGTATGGATCGTACGGGATTTGATGCCTCCCACTATCTGGAATATATAGTGGTCCAGCGAGAATTGGCCTTCTTGTTCTCGTATATAGGAAATGCAGACGGTGCGCAAGTCTTCTTTCACAGTTGTGAAACCAGTACGGCTAGAGGTACAGAGAGAGTGATTCGGTCGATCTATTGGTATTCTGGTATATTGCCCTGCTTAAGCTAGTAGTTTCATGGTACTTCAAATCATGGCCGGCGCGCTGGGCGTGGCTGTCATTTTATCGGGCTGGACGACCCGCGATCCATCTTCGCCATCCTCCAAGCCTCGTGCCACCAGGTCGGTAAAGTCGACACCCACTTCTATCAGCAAAGCGGCATGCTCATGGACAATGTCAAGGCATTTCTGCCAGACGGAAGTGCCGCGCTGAACGCTGCTCAACTGGCGACTGAGCAGACCATTGAATCCATCCAAGTGGTGCTTAGCCCAGCGGATACAGGAACTGCTCATCACACCTGGGAAGCACTGCTGGTAAATACTGATCGTGTTTTTGATCAATGAAAAGTAAACATAGGAGATTTGGAAGATGTAGAGAGGAAGATCGCCCTCGAATACGCATGCCCTGTGAGAGTGTAAGTCAGCAACGGGCACAAAATTGAATAGAGAAACCTGCGTGAATCTCAACGTACCGGATGCGCTTGGCAATGACATCGGTTCGTGCCTTCAAGTACGTTTCCCGTGCCTGATCTTCGAATCCCAGGCGGCTCAGCCAGCCAACATTCGTTTTGGTGGCAGTAGGGAAGGACTGGGTGTCCACCAAGGCGCGAGAGAGCATGCCGGCTAGCCGCGTGGCTCGTTCATCCACCTTGACATTAATCACATCTTGAGCAATCGCATTTCCCTTGAGTCCCTTGGCTAGTTTGCGCAGTCGTTCAATGCTAGATACGGCAGCCTCGAACCGCTGGAGAGCAATGTCGATGTCCAATTCATCCACCTGGCCTTCCACCCAGCGGAGGTTCTGCTGCTTTCCATCAACATCAATCCGAAGTTCGGACTTGTCTCGCGGAGTGTCTCCGAAGTCGAACGATTCCGACTTGTGCGAATTGGACAGATGTCGTCCCGTCAGGTATCCGTATGCCTCAAGGGGTTTGCTGGCTGCCTCGGTTTCGGAGCGCAGGGTTCGCCGCAGATCCTCGACTGTCTTGCGGAACGTTGCAAGGAGCTCATTCTTGGTGGAGGTGTCGCGCTTGTCCTGGCGGTAGGTGAATGGCTTCGAGCCGACCCGGATGCTGATCGCGTTCCCAATGCCACGATCGAGCGCCTCTTCCCTCGCAGCGCCTGTGCCCAAATTGGTGGCAAGATCAATCATGTCGATGTCTTGCAAGGGCCAACATTCCTCTGCAACGAGCTTGGTCGGGACGGGGCCACGATGGTTGGGATGGCTCTGATCGACCCGCTTCCGCTTCTTGGCTGCGACCAGGAGGTGGTCGTTTAACAGAACGATGTGGACGGGCCGCTTGGGCTTCCAGGTGGCCGAGTCCAGCTCCGCCCAATGACCGGTTTCTAGCACGATGTGTCGTCCCGGAACCGCCGGTAAAAACTTCTGGGATCCTTCGACTGTCTTCCACAGCGTCTGCAATTGAACGCTCCACATGCTTTCGAGATTTGCGACCGAGCTACGGTTCGAATGGCGTTTGGGGAAGTGGTCATCGGTCGGCGACATGGGGTTCGGAGTGTTGCCCACAGACGTTTGTCCGAGAGCCGTTGTGAGCTCGGACATGAGGGTACGGAGGGTGCGCATCTCGTCCTTGAGTTTCTCGGCCTCGCGACTGATTTTGATAAACTGAGTGCGATTCTGGTAGACATTCTGCTGTAGATCGGTGGATGTTCGGTTCTTGACTTTGCGGAGGCTTTCCTGGTATTTCTGGATCTCTTCCTCGGACGCGTTGGCCAGGAGGCCGGCCACATCTATGGCAAATTCATGTCAGCATTTAGAGGGAAAGGACACGTTGGGTGGGTTTCGGATGGTACGACCTACATCGTTCGACAGGGAGACTCGGATCCCGCAAGGCGTTCAGATCCACCTTGGGCACAGGGGAAGCACCGTCTGCTGGGGATGGCTGTCGCGAGATGGCCGACGGGGCAACCAGCCCACCATACCCGCCGCCTGGCACGGGTGGCGGCAGGGCTGGGATCGGAGGCGCGTTGGCATCGAAATCGGGAGCTGCATTGAATCGGGTAGAGTACCGCCGCTTCACGAGGTCGGAGGTGGCATCGCTCTGGGGAGCTCTTTCACGGTTGGTGGGGATGGCAGCCTGACCAGCATCGGGGGCTCTGGTGTTGGCGGGCAAGGGGCCGGAGATGGGTTTGGGTGCGCTGATCTGGGGACGCTGACGACGAGACTTGCTCCGCAGAGTCAAACCGCGGCCTTCCATGGTGGCGGTTGGTGGGTGGGGTGGAAGGGAGGAAGAGAGGGCGGGCGTTGGGGAAGTCGGGGGCTCACGTCGGCGGAGGTAACACTCGGCAGTACCAGCCCGACTCCAGCTATAGCAGATTAGTATGAACACGGGGAATGCACTGCGGAGTAGCAGTAGCATTGAGTAAGACATTCATTGAAAGAAAGAACATTGACAATTCTTTCTCTTTGTCTCTAGCTCAGAATCATCTAGCCTACTATTTAGGCCAGCATGGACTTGCTGTGTGTCGGCAAAGGCTACTTGTTCATGCGGACTTTGGCGCGTCATCTGTCTATGCGGCTCCAGAACAGCAATCGCATTACTCCGAAATCCTGGAATCTCCCACAACAAATTTTTTGCTACAATTGGGCCAATCTATACTTTTTTATTGATATTTATTATTCCTTCTGCTTTCATCCGGACGTCCCCGGTATGTGATGGATATCCTGTCCGGCTGTATACTCTGACGTCGCCAAGGCAGCCCGGAACAACGATGATCCCATCAAATTTATCCAAGTCGACTCTCTCCACGCGGCGTCTACGACTTCCGACTTCGACCACGACCTCGACTTCCACTCCCACTCCGCACATACTCCATCTTCCTCACTTTCCCCCCCATCTCCTCCCACACTCCCTCCACTTCCTTCACAATGCGGACGTCTGTTATGGTGGCCCTGTCGGCCGGCACCGTCATCACCGGCCTGCTCGGTAAGAACCCATCGGCCCTTGTCCATGCCATCCATCCCGCTAACCAGACTCTTAGCCTATGCCGCGTACTTCGATCACAAGCGTCAGACCGATCCCGAGTTCCGCAAGTCGCTGAAGCGCAACAACCGCAAGCTCGCCAAGGTTGTCAAGGAGGAGGAAGAGGCCCAGGGCGCCGCGCAGCGTGATGCCATCAAGGCGGCCGTGCAGCGCGCCAAGGAGGAGGGCTTCCCCGCCGATCTGGAAGAGAAGGAGTCCTACTTCATGAACCAAGTCGCCAAGGGCGAGGGACTGTGCGCCGAGGGTAGGTGTCGCCTCTCTCCGGAACCCGCGGAGAGATAGAGCGCGAGAAACCTTCACGTTCTCGCCTGGCAATGGCAATGGGTGCTAATTTGAATTCATCGACAGGTGACCAGCAGATCGAGGCTGCGCTGGCCTTCTACAAGGCCCTCAAGGTCTACCCCCAGCCGAAGGACCTGATCTCCATCTATGACAAGACCGTCCCCAAGGAGGTCCTGGAGATCCTCGCCGAGATGGTGGCCATGGACCCCGGTCTGAACCTCGGCGGCTCCTTCACCGGTGCTGGTGCTGCCGGCGCCGACAACCACGGCGTCGAGTAAATGCGACCGGACCGGACTTTCTGCGTCTCCCCATGAAAATGGCTGCGGACTCGCTGGCTCCCGGCTGGAACCAGTGTGGCTCGTGGCTTCTGTAATTGTTCGACCTCATCTTCATCTACCCCTTCCCCTTTCTCATCTGCTCCTTTGCCCACCGCTCTCCACTATTCCCGTTTCTTTTCTTCCTCTTGGATTGTGTATATGTATTGGGTCTTGGCTGACAAGCCATCGGGGCCTTCCTTGGGATTTCTCGGCGGCGTGACTTGTTGTATTGATTGCGCGCCTAAATTTTGTTGACTTATTTCTTTTTGCATTGTTCGGGCATGGAAAGGAGGATGTGCGATACCGCGTGTATTCTAGAGCGAATGAAAGGAGATTAGAGTGTGACGCTGGCATGTCTCCTTGGCCACGATGTCTCATCGGCCATGTCTCATCCATATTTTATGACTTCATCCACCAGTGCCCTAGCCGTATTACTGTACTAGTACATTCAGGGTCCCCTGCCAGTCCCACTTGGCCTCCTCCGCCGATCCCCTTATTTTCCCTTTCGCGCGCTCTCATGCAAACCCTTCTGGCGCATTTCGCATTTTGACTGTGCATTGCTGGCTTGATTATCTGTTCGCTCCTTCCTGTGCTGCTGCGCTGCCATTCCTTCTTTTGAACCCTCCAATTCAGGGCGCCGACGCTCTTTTCTTTTCCAGTTCTCCATTTCATCTCATTTCCATCACAGCCCCCAATCACAGTTTGGTTCCCGAATCCCGATCGTCAAGATGATTGCCGTACGTGTGAAATCCTGCAGAGCTTGGCCTTCAACCCAACCCGCGATCGCACCCTCGACCGGTAGTGATCTTCATGCAAAAATCGCCGCTGACTAGCACGCCATGTAGTCGTATAGCCGCATTTTCACGGCCGTATGTGCTCTGGCAAGCACCGCGGCCGCCGTGACGCCCCTCAAGGTCGATGGTAAAGACTTTATCGACTCCGAGACTGGCCATCGTTTCTCCGTCATTGGAATCGAGTTCGTGTCTTGTCCCCCGATTCCCCACGACAGCCCCATTGACTTCCCTAACAGCTACCAGCCCGGCGGCCAGTCCGGCTTTACCAAGAAGAAGGATCCCCTGAGTGACCCCGACACCTGTCTGCGCGATGCGGCCTTGATGCAGCGTCTGGGCGTAAGTGGAAAAAATGCTTCGGATCTTATGCCAGGTCTGGTCCGATCTTCCGGGAGTTCTCACGCTGATATCTATATAGATCAACACCATCCGTGTATACAACTTGGAGCCCTCCTTGAACCACGACAAGTGCGTGTCCTATTTCAATGGCGCCGGTATCTATATGATCCTGGATGTCAACTCGCCTCTGGAGAATGGCTCTCTCAACCGTGGCGAGCCCTGGACTTCGTACAACCCCATCTATTTCCAGCAGGTTTTTGGCATTATCGAGGCCTTCAAGTCCTACCCGAACGTGCTCGGTTTCTTCGCCGGTAACGAGGTCATCAACGAGGATGCCCAGTACCTGGTTCCTGCCTATGTTCGCGTAAGTCTGACACTGTTCCCCCCAAATTCCTCCTCCCCTCTATGATCGAACCCGGACCTAATTGTGCACAGGCTGTCATCCGTGACATGAAGGATTACATCGCCAAGCACTCCAAGCGCGCTATCCCCGTTGGTTATTCGGCTGCCGATGTCCGAAACATTCTGGTGGACACCGACCGCTACTTTGAGTGCCACATGAAGAACTCGACAAGCTCTCAGGCCGATTTTTTTGGTCTGAACTCCTACTCCTGGTGCGGCAAGGCCTCGTACAAGTCTAGCGGCTACGATGTTCTCACGGATGATTTCTCCAACTCCACCATGCCGGTCTTCTTCTCCGAGTACGGCTGCAATGAAGTCAAGCCCCGTGTCTTTACCGAGGTTCAGGCTCTCTACGGCGAAGAAATGACCCAGGCCTTCTCCGGCGGCCTGGTCTATGAGTGGACCGAGGAGGACAATAATTTTGGTCTGATTCAGGTCAACAAGAATGACAGCGTGACTCTCCTGATCGACTACGCCAATCTGCAGAACCAGTTCGGCAAGCTGGATATGGACCGCATTGAGTCGAGCAACTCCTCCCAGACCAGCGTCCAGCGCGAGGAGTGCAGCGCGGACCTCATTAAGAGCAAAAAGTTTTTGAACGCGTGGAACCTGCCTACCAGACTCGACAAGATCAATGACTACATCGAGAACGGTCTGCCCAATAAGCCCTCCGGCTCTCTCGTTCCTGTCTCCAGCACCTCTATTCCAGAGAAAATCTACGATCACAATGGTCAGGAGATCTCCAACATCAAATACACAGTGCTGGCCAACGGCGAGGTGAACAAGCCTTCCAGCTCCAGCTCCAGCGGATCTTCCTCCAGCACCTCGGGCTCTGACTCTGGCTCTTCCTCGTCCTCGTCCTCTTCTTCTCCTTCTTCTTCTTCTTCTTCTTCTTCTTCTTCTTCTTCTTCCACCGGCACCGCGACTGGCACTAACGCCGCCTCGGTGAACGGTGCCTCTTCCATCCTTTTTGGTGGCGTAAGCGGTTTCTTCATGCTGCTAGCATCTCTTCTGTAAATGCATTGCACTTGCGGCTTTTCCTGGTAGATTATAGAAGACCATTTTCAATTTCTGGACCTTGTGTTGTGTTTGGATTTTCGTGATTTATTCAAGTTCGTCTTCCATGTGACTTATCTTGCTTGTATGCACATGCCTGTACTTTGGTCTAAACACGGAATATACTACTCCTTTAGATCTGTACTCCCGGCCCCCTATCATTGGTGCTATCCTACGCGGGCATTACTCATCTAAGGGACGTTAATCCATTGCCGATTTACAGGCTAATTGAATTTAGGTGAATTTCCTACTAGAGTGTGCAGATAGTAATAGGTACAAGGTATAGTCCATCCCATGGTCCCACATGAGCCCGACTATTTTCGTTGTGTTCCTCCGTTCGCCTCAATGTTTGAGTTTGACACCAATCAGAAAATTATACCTGATTTGGAAGCTATCCAATCGCACCATGATATCTGAGTGTCCATCATGATGCCGCAAGACTAGATTGAGGTTACTCTTGCGGGAGGTAGCTTGGCAACGATAAGGTGTCAGCGGCTTTATCGAGCAAAGCGGTAATTACGGTTTGAAGGGTTTCGAACTGAGATCATGCAATTATGCTCTAGTTCTGAACGAGTCAATCAATGAAATAGCACAAACAAATGCACACATGGGTAAATCCAACAGGAAATAGACGCAATTCACTACCTTAGGAGAGGCGTGACAAAAGACATAGATAACAATTAAAGACGACAAAAAAGCATGCATCCCGGATTCTTGTGTTTACAGGGCTCTCGCCCTTCCCTTTCCTTTCGCAGAAGACTGAGAAGTCGGCATTGGCTGAGCAAGACCGGGAAATTCTTCCCATCCTTGCCCATCCGCATCATCGCGGCTCTTGTTCTCAGCCAGACTCAGCTGGATTGCGAACTCCAAATCGTCCATCTCTTTCTGCCGGCTGCTCTCTGCAGTCCTGTTCCCGGGTGAAGATGCATTTGGTGGCTTCACGCCTTTGGCGTACTTGATTGGAATAGACGGAGTCTGGTCGACCGGCGAGGCAACGGACTCTTCTTGAAGACTCAATCGAATAGCTTCTGCGAGATCGTCATCCACGTCGTCGTCCGTGGGATTCTGATATGGCGAAGAAGAGGACGAGTCTGCGCCGACTCCAAAGGAACTGGCGCCCACGGCATCACTGAATGAGGTGCTGGTAGCTGAGCTGGCTTCTGCATTTTGTTGGGATTGTTGAGTCGCATCCCCGGGGTAAGTTTCCTGGCTCAGCATCTGTGCATATGCTAGCAGTTGCTCCTCGTCGACGTCGGGGCCCAGCAGATCAACGCCAAAGCGAGCGCTGAGGTGGGCCCGCTCCTCCTCGTCCGCGATTTGCTGTCTCTCCAATTCGACACGTTCATCCTCGATGAAGTCCCGAATCGCACCTCGCCCACTGTTGTTGAAGCGCTGGCCATCGGCTGCACCATTGCTGCCGCGGAGCCCGTGACGAAGACGACGCTTGCTAGTATTATATTGGTCTGCAGCCGATGAGCTGTATGACCAGTAGCGGAGATGCGTACCCAAGGAAACCATTCCACGCAGGTTTGTCGGATCCGGGTCCAGGCAGATAGCTCCCGTCGCGAAATAATTATTTCCAACACCCAGAACAGAAGCTTCTGCTTGCACCAGCCGACGACGGGCTCGTGAGGAAAACCGAGAATTGAGAGTTCGAATGGGTTGAGTTGACGAGGCCAGTGGATCCCAAGCCTGTACCAGGCCGTCATTGCCACCGTGCACAACATACAAAGACGTCAACGCGACACAGGACACTTGGGGGGACTCCGTTTGGATGACACGGATTGGAGGGATCGAGTTGATGACTTCCAAATTCCGCGCTGCGAGTGCACGAATGTCCCAAACAAAGACCAGGCCAGTGGCGGTTCCCACAGCGAGGTAACGAGCTCGTTGTCCGGGGACCTCGAGAATCGACCGCGGCTTCTCCATATGAGGTAGCATTGGGGATGAGGTTGCAGAAGACAATGAACTTCCTGACATGCCCAAAAGAGGATCCTCTTCCGCTGGAAGTGTGGCAAAGGTTGAGTTGTCCAATGCAGAGGTAGTGATTTCGACCAATTTCCTGTCATCAAAATTGAAGTCTGAGATTCGCCATTCGGCACCGACCGCAGGAACAGGATCGGTAGACCGACTCGATGAACGAGAAGGTGGTAGGCTTTCCCGAGGCGTTGGGCCACCAAAAAGAGATGCGTGGGCCTTCTCCCCGCGGAGTTGAGGAGCAGGCAATGGCGATGACGACCCAAGTCCTGGTTGAGAGGCCGTACGCAAATATCGTTGAACCGATGCTTTTGATTCATCTCCTCCACGAGCGATAACAATGATTGACTCCCCAAATCCACGTCCGTCATCGCCAGCAAAATCGACCAGTAGATCACACTTCATATTCCAGCCTTCGCATACCTTGCGGAAGTGCTTAGGCTTGAAGGCAAGAAACTTCTCAATTTCCTCGGTTTCTGCAGCAACTTGATCCGCATTCAGGCACATGGAGTCGGATGATGATCTTGGGCTGTAGCTGCCATCAACCAGCTCCCGACTAAATGGGTCGGGCCGGGCCTTACGGCGGCTCAGCTCCAGGAGCTCCCAACGTGCCGTTCTTCCGGTCTTCCAAGCTAGTTCATCGTGCTGTTCCGCATTCAGTTTAGCAGTTGGTGAGGTTTCGGGCTTTCGAGGGAGATCCGAAAGATAGAAGATCTCTCCCAGAGCATTGAGAGCAACAGCCCAGATGCGTCGGTGAGAACAACGCTTGGGTGAGTAGGTGTCATCAACAGCGATTCCAATGATGGGGACACCTGGGCTAAGAACCCATTTAGCAGTCTCCTGTCCTCGTTCATACCGTCCCTCGTAGGTTGGATGGGGGCCCATCGCGTATGCTGTGAGTATACCGGAAGATGAGCCAGACATCATGGCCACGAGGCCACCCGTTGTTTTGAGAATGGAAGACGATTTGGCGATCCATACTGAACAGACTGCGTGGGTGATCATGTTCACTGCAGGGATTCCAAGATAAGGGTGAGAACCCAAGTCCGAAGCCCCGAGGAAACGGCCTCGTTGCTCGGTCGTGGAAATGAAGTAACTGCGCCCTTGAGGACATCCCTCGCCGTAGATCATACCGTACAGTTGGCTGACATCCATTGGATTGGGCACGCCTACCATCTCTCCCGCTCCAAGACCGTAAGGCGCATCACCTGGGAAGGCATCTGCAAAATGCCGGAACATATGGTGGTCAGAAAGACCCCAGGTGCTTACTTTCACAGTCGAGGGATCACTCGCAGAAGCGACACCCTGTTCCGACGCACCGTGAATGAAAGTAGGCTCCTTCTCCGGATTATTGAAAGACCCGTGGATTTTGCTTACGGGAAACAGAAGATTTGACGTGTATGTGGACACCGCGCTGCCATTTCGAGCACTCGCGGATCTGACTGTGCCGTTTCTCTTGGACGGCTCAAACCGCGCCGGCTTGCCCCGGCCCAACGACCGCATAAGACGGGTCCGCAAAATGTACTCACTGCGCCAGGATGCCAAGGCAGTCAGTCTTGCGAAAAAGCGTCTATCCGACATCAGATTGACCTCATCCGGCCCAGCCCGTCGGCCAGATTCCATGGCTAGAGGGCCGGGGAAGAAGCGCGAGAATGCGATTCTCCAGGCATGAGGAGTTGTGACCAGAGAGTGAAACCGACGCGATACCAATGTGATAGCGGAAAGTGTCTGAGGAGGCAGGTGTGAAAGGATATGGGTTAGGACCTCTGCGGGAATTGTTAAAAAACTTCCTAATTCGTGGTTCGTTTGTCGTGATAAGGCGCATACCGTTTGGAAGCGAATCGAGAGGCAGTTGAGACCGGCTCGAAGATTTCACGACTCGAAAGCCATGGTTGGCTTTGCGTGGCGAGCCGGCATTTTCATGCTCAGTCACTCGTTGGGCAGGAGATGGCGGGGTAGAGACAGAATCGCTCAGGGGCGGATGGTTTGAGCCGGGCGAGGATGAAATCTCGACTGGAGTATCTCCGGCCTCTCCAGAGTGGAGAGGGCCAGAGACTGCACCGTCATCGAGATTATTTCCATGCTGGCTGAGGTTGGCGTTGGCTTGCGATGAGTCAACGGGGAGTGTTCGTTGAGATACTGCAGTCGACTCTGATTGCATAAAAAGGTCTTGTCGAAAATGGGGTAGGCAATAGCGACTGATCCAGTGAAATACCTGGTTCAGCCGAGGCAGAATGTGTAGGTGGGAGGGGTGGTAGCGTTGGTAGCGAAGCGATGAAGAAGAGAAGTGACGAGGCGCGGCGGAACAAGCGACTTGCAGGCGGCGAGGCGGAGCGGCCATGCCCGCAGATCCCGCTGTGATTCATCTCGACTCCATGTGTCCTACTTTAGAACCACACTACCCTCGTATCTTCGTACGCACGTCCTCTTATGGGGCTTTTTTGATCTATTTCTAATTCAACAGTTATCTTGTGCTCTCTCTGTATGACATCATATAGATCCTGGGCACGAAATTCATATGGGCGTCTGTAGTCACGTGACTCTTGGCCTCTACATAGTACACTAATAGGCCACCGATCGAATCTCATCGTACAATACGTTGAGTTTAGTGATAGGCCCCTGCTAGTACTATTAGGAAATGTCCTCCTAGAAGGCAGATGGTACATGAGCCTCCAACAATAGTCTTTTTGGCAGTGATGTGACACTTGGAACAGATACTGGAAGTGTAGTAAAGGAGATCGATGGGTATGATTAAGTTCCTTTATGGTATCAGCCATTGCCATATTGAGCATGACTATACTCTTAGACGGGGAACAAGCGCGTATTATTTCTATGCAGTTACAACAATTTCAAGCTAAGGCAAGTTGGGGTGGCTGCCTAAGGTTGTCTTCCCTTCATGGACTTTCTGGTCGATACCAGCACGTAAATGTTTGGATCACATAGTAATTTGACATAATTCTTGATCCAAACAACTTTCCATGGCCGAATTTACCGATATTGTAGCCTAGAGTATTCTTCCCTAAACTGAAAAATTTGTTTGAATCGTTAGTGTCGCTAGCGAGCGGTACATGACTTAACAGAAGAATATATCGAAATCAAATACAAGGAAATCGATAGTTGAAAGGACACAAAAATGCACCTTAAAATACCTGGAACCCTCACTAAGTGTTTACCCCCCAATATTACCCCGTCCCTCCCACTGTCTGGGGTCATTCCATTACCTCAACCGACTCTGCGGGTTGGCCACTCTTTCTCACGTGTCGCGCACGTGACCACGCGTGCCTCATCGCTCTGCGCGTTCAGGCTTCAGGCTTCACTCACCGTTCGCAGGATCAGAAAGATTCGGGCCGGCTCACTCCACGCTGAGAGCGACCGGTATTTGTGGTCATTCTATCACGCGTTCAAAGTCACCAAAATTTGAAGGTCTTCTGGGACAGAGGCAGCGTGCCGTTGGATCGGCCAAGCAACATGCCGGCTGTCAATGGTGAGTGTGATTACTGCAACAAATCTCTTTAAATCATGATCTAATATCTCGCAGACGCGGAAACCATCCGCGTACTCATATCCACCGACAATCATGTCGGGTATAATGAACGGGACCCCATTCGCGGAGATGACAGCTGGAAAACTTTCCATGAAATCATGTGTCTTGCCAAAGACCAGGATGTCGACATGGTGCTGCTGGCAGGAGACTTGTTCCATGAGAACAAACCATCGCGCAAATCCATGTATCAGGTGATGCGGTCTATCCGGATGAACTGCTTCGGTGATAAACCCTGTGAGCTGGAGATGCTCAGCGATGCCAGCGAGAACTTCCAGGGTGCCTTCAACCATGTTAACTACGAGGACTTGGACATGAACGTTGCCATTCCGATCTTCTCTATTCATGGCAATCACGACGATCCATCGGGCGAGGGCCACCTTGCCGCGCTGGATCTGCTTCAGGTTTCCGGCCTTCTGAATTACTACGGCCGGACGCCAGAGTCAGACAATATCGAAATCAAACCTGTTCTTCTCCAGAAGGGAAGAACCAAACTCGCACTCTACGGGATGAGCAATGTGCGAGATGAACGCCTGTTTCGCACATTCCGGGATGGCAAAGTCAAGTTCTTCCAGCCATCCATTCAGAAGGATGATTGGTTCAATCTGATGTCGGTTCATCAAAATCACCACGCTTATACTGAAACTGGGTATCTTCCTGAGAACTTCCTCCCAGAGTTCATGGACATGGTCATTTGGGGCCACGAGCACGAATGCTTGATCAACCCCAAGCTTAATCCAGAAACCAAGTTCCACGTCATTCAGCCAGGTTCTTCGGTCGCGACATCCCTAGTTCCCGGAGAAGCAGTCACCAAGCAAGTTACCATTATGAGCATCACTGGCCGGGATTTCAAATGCGAGCCCATTCGCCTCAGATCAGTGCGGCCATTTGTTATGCGAGAGATTGTACTCTCTGAAGAAAAGGGGGCACAGAAGCTCTCTCGGAAAGACAACAACCGCACTGAAGTAACCCGTTTCCTCATGTCAATTGTGGAGGAGTTGATAGAAGAGGCAAACGCCGAATGGCTAGAAAACCATCCTCAAAACGATGATGACTACGACGAGCTAGAGATTCCTCTTCCTCTCATACGCTTGCGAGTTGAAATATCAACTCCAGAGGGGGGAAGTTATGAGTGCGAAAATCCGCAGCGATTCTCAAATCGATTTGTCGGGAAGGTCGCTAATGTGAACGACGTTGTTCAGTTCCACCGGAAGAAGAAGGCGACAACCTCCTCTCGCAAAGGTGATAGCGGCATCGATGAAGCGACCTCCTCGCATCTGGCAGCGTTGGACACGGTGAAAGTCGAGCAGCTGGTGAAAGAGTTCCTCGCATCCCAATCTCTCAGTATTCTCCCGCAAAATACTTTTGGAGATGCAGTTGCTCAGTTCATCGACAAAGATGACAAACATGCTATGGAGATGTTCGTGAATGAATCCCTGGAAAGCCAGGTAAAGCACCTGATGAATCTGGATCGTGATGAGGATGATGAGGACGACGAGGAAGGAGCGCAGAGCTCTCTCGTCACAGCCATGGAGAAGTACCGCACCCAGATGGAGGAATTGTTCTCGAAGGGGGTCAAAAAACGTACTCGTGGGAAGAAGCGTTTTAAGCCCAAACCAGACGGCTGGGATACTGAATTTGATGGCGTTTGGGAGGATCAACCGGGTGCTCTCATTCATTCGGACAATGAAGGCGGGGACCCTGCAGAAGAAGAGGCCGGAGAAGATGGCGCGACACCCGCTCGCAGTCGCGCCTCGGCTATGACCTCCACTCGCGGTCGTGGTCGAGGTCGAGGTCGAGGAGCTCGCGGGGCGGCTGCCGGCTCTCGAGGTGCGGCTAAAGCAGCCACCTCGGCAAAAGGACGCAAGAAGCAAGCCGCGTCAGACGAGGAGTCGGAAGCCGATGATGATGTGGCCATGCTAGACGATGACGATGACGATGCGGCCGATATGGTCTCCGACGACGACGATTCTCAAGCTTTGTTCGTCAAGCAACCGCGGGCCAGCACCAGCTCGAAGGGACGCAAGGCCGCCTCCACCGCAAAAGCCTCCACAACTCGTACTCGTGGAGCACGCACGGCAGCTTCGCCCGCCCCCTCCTCAACCACTGCTGGCGCTACGTCCACTCGCCGAACTGCTGCAGGATCTGCTGGACCGACCCAGACAAAACTCGATTTTGGCTCGCAGGCCAGCGCACCGCAGTCGTCAAGGCCCAAGCGCACGACTCGTAACATCAGTGTGATTAGCGATGACGATGATGACGATGATGACGATGATGCTTTTGAGCCCGTGGAGACTGCCAGCTCAAGACGACGACGGTAATCTCTCAAGCTCAAACTGTTTTTGCATCCAAGGCGCTGGTGGCGTTCCAGCCCTCGCAAGATACTCTTACATTTTTAACTCGACATGATCTCACGAATCCATTCTTCAGTGTCTGATTTACCAGCAGTATGTTCAATGTCGGCGTGTTAAAACACACGCAGTCCAGGTTTCTTCGCAAACTTGCGGGGTGCTCTATGGCAAAATACACACCAAGTAACTTCCTGGCTTACTCGTGCATCACACGCTTGTGATGAGAAGTAGATCCTAACAGAGTCCAGCGATTAATCAAGTATGCTCTGTAAGTGGCCATCTAAGAAGTCACAGGATGTATCTGGTATTCGAGCGTGTTGACAAGGCAAAAGCCCGCGGACTCAGATGAATTAAACCGGCATGTGTTCCTAGCCAGGGCGATACCCTGGGGCTTCCTGGGACTTGGAAAGGCAGCCAAGAGGTAAAAAGGCACCTCGATCGTGTCATTATTTCTGAACGGTTCCATCCCAGTTGCACGATTCGAAGCAATCCTCAATGACTGTCAACATAAGGGTACCTTAGAATAGTAACTATATCAACTCTATGGAAGCGTCCCCAGAGTAGAGTGGAGCTTCCCCGCAATGCGCGAGCCGAGCAGCCTCGGCCGTGTCACCTTCACGACTCCATATCTGCTTCACTCGCCGGGTCTTCTGCTCGGCGCAATTCGAGAGTGACACTGATCACAGCACCATGACCTTTACGGGCCGTCCTATTCGCATCGCAGGTAAGTCTCCTGTGGCATTGTCGAACATGCGCTGAACCATGGCCAGGTGCCTCGGGCTCTGCTTCAGACCGTCGCCATGCGATCGCTGAATTCGCATGCCACCACCCTACCGACCCGGTGGATGTAATTATCGCGGATTTCATGAGCGAGTTCAACATGGCCACCGCTGCGGGCCGGCGCGTGGACCAGGCGACTACGCAGACGGCACCGGCGTACGACCTGTCCTTTCTGGAGGCACTCAATCCCGCCCTGGACGATCTGGCCAGACATGGTATAAAGTTGGCTGTCAATGCCGGCGTCACGGATACCAAGGGGCTTTACGAGGTGGTGATGAAGATGGTACAGGCGAAGGGGTTGGACCTGAAGGTATGCCGACGCGTCCTAACGATACTACTGTGTCCGCCAACCTTTTCTATGACTTGGGTCGATGCTGAACTCGACTGCAGGTAGCCTGGGTTTCGGGAGATGAGGTACTCCCCGCGGTTCAGCAATCTCTCGCTGCTGGTCAATCCGACTTTCGCAATGTCTACACGGGCGAACGACTTGCTGATTGGTCGTTCGAGCCCATCTACGCGCAGTGCTACCTAGGCGGGTTGGGGATCGCCGCTGCATTCGCCGAGGGTGCGGACATCGTCCTTTGCGGACGAGTTTCAGACGCATCCCCTGTAATCGGAGCTGCTTATTGGTATCATGGCTGGCGACGGGATGAGCTAGACAAGTTGGCCAATGCGTTCGTCGCCGGTCATCTCATCGAATGCAGCAATTATGTCTGCGGAGGCAACTTTACCGGCTTCAAGATATTGGAGCATGGCGGCGATGGCTGGGCGAACATTGGATATCCCATCGCCGAGATATCTGCCGAGGGAGACGTAGTGATCACCAAACAGGCGCACGCTACCGGGGGCGCCGTCACGGTCGATACCTGCACCTCACAGTTGCTATATGAAATCCAAGGACCTTGGTATTATAACTCCGACGTCACCGCGGTCCTGGATGGAATCCACTTCGAGCAGCGGGGTATCAACCGGGTTGCCGTTCGAGGCGTCCGTTCGGGCCCACCGCCGCCAACCACCAAGGTTGGCATTACCGCGCGTGGAGGATTCCAGGCGGAGGCGTGGTGGTTCTTGACGGGACTGGACATCGAGGCCAAGGCGCGAATGCTTGAGGCGCAGGTCCGCCGGGGGCTCGCTCCGTACGCGGATCAGTTCTCGGTCCTCAAATTTGACTTGCTAGGCACCCCCATGTCGGATCCGCACGATCAGAACCGCGCCACGGCCCCTTTGCGGATTGTCGTGCAGGCGCGGCGAGCCGAGGATCTGGCGCCCACCAAGTTCCTCAAGCCCATTACGGACAACATCATGCAAGGTTACCCGGGGGCCACCTTTCATCTGGACTTACGCCAGGGGTTTCCCCGCGCCATCTTTGAGTACTATGTGACTCTGTTGCCACAGTCTGCCGTGCAGCACCGGGTCCATCTGCCGTGGAAACCCACCGCGGACACGCAGATGCTCGACATCGCACCCCCACCACGTTCGAAAACGTACCCATCCCGACAGCCTTCCCAGGCAGTAACACATCACGACCAGCCCATCGACCTGACTCATGATTTTGGACCCACGGCCCGTGGTCCATTGGGATGGATTGTGCACGCGCGCTCCGGCGACAAGGGCTCGGACGCGAATTGCGGGTTCTGGGTGCGGCACCGCGACGAGTACCTGTGGCTGCGAACGTTGTTGTCTGTGGAGATGGTGCGTCAGCTGCTGGGTGGTGAAGCATCCCGCCGGCCGCCATTGGAGATTGAACGATTTGAGCTGCCGGCCCTGCAAGGCGTGCACTTCCTTTTCCGCAACCTATTGGACCGCGGGGTCGGGGTCACGACGACCGTCGATTTCTTGGGGAAGAACGTGGCGGAATTCCTGCGAGCGCGGCATGTTGATCTGCCTGTGCGGTTCCTGAATCGGGGCAAGCTGTAGGCGACTCCAGCACGAAGGAAGGAGACGGGATGAAGGAAGAGACGTGCGGAAGCCATGCGGACCGGGTGGAGGGCGATTGCCTAATCGGGGGTGCATCCTAGTCAGGTGACTCCGTTTCTCGGCCGTGATCCAGTCAGGCACTTTCGATTACACAGTACATCGTACATACTGGAGTCTAGTACAGGAAAACTAGTACGGTAGAGCTCAAGGCGACTTAGAGGTATCCACGTAGTATCTCCCATCTTTATTTCTATCCGGGAATCTGCACACCGTATCTGCAGCTGCAGGCAGTGGCCTGTATCAGATCAGGTATGCACCGTACTAGTAGTATATACTAGTAGTCCGGAATAACCTCCCGTTCCCCAGGGACGAGCTCAGAAGGTCAACACGCTGCCTACTTGGGTAATGGTACTCTTCAATTAGTAACCCGACTTGGCTCAGCATGAAACCGCCAATCCGTCCCACCGGGCCCATCTGGCTGGTGATCCACCGCGAGTAGCCGGGGAGTTGTTCGTCCGACGAATGGCATCTTTGAGGTCACGATGATCACATCTGGTCCACCCTCCCTTAGCCCGGTTTAGAGTGTCCTAGACCAGCCCAGAGCAGCAACACTTGCGCGGATGCAGCTGGCCGGGCGTGCCATTCGCTGCTGCGGGGGGCTGGCCCTCGAGCGAACAATAATCAACACGCCTCGGCAGCTCGGGGGAACTGCTGGGAATGAAACGAGGAGACGAGGGGCAAGCTTCCGCGCCGTACTTGATCGGTACTCGCCCCGACGTGGCGCTGCACGCAGACCCGCAGGTACTGTTGGAGTACCCTCCGCGGCGCAGTAACCATACCGACGCAATACGACCCCGCAATCGTGGCTCGAGTATAAGAGGCGTCCCTCGTCCGCTCGCCGCTGAAGCTTCCTCTTTCCTGCACCACCTGTGATACCCTTAATACCCACCATGTCGCTGTCTACTACTATCAAGACCCCCAACGTCACCTACGAGCAGCCTCTCGGCTTGTATGTCCTCCCCCACCTGGCCCCTCCTCGTGTATCGGCACTATTTTTTTTTTTTTGAAAGCTCTGGTGCACTGCATTTTCTGTATGTCGATGCTAATCATCTGGTCTCCGTTCAGGTTCATCAACAACGAGTTCGTCAAGGGTGTCGAGGGCAAGACCTTCGAGACCACCAACCCCACCGACGAGAAGGTCATCACCTCCGTCCACGAGGCCACCGAGAAGGATGTCGATATCGCCGTGAAGGCCGCTCGCGCTGCCTTCGAGGGTGCCTGGCACAGTGTGACCCCCTCGGACCGTGGCCGCATGCTCACCAAGCTGGCCGATCTGTTCGAGCGCGACATGGAGACCCTCGCCTCCATTGAGGCCCTGGACAACGGCAAGGCTGTCACCATGGCCAAGGTCGACATTGCCAACGCCGCCGGCTGCCTGCGCTACTACGGTGGCTGGGCTGACAAGATCCACGGTCAGACCATCGACACCAACACTGAGACCCTCTCCTACACTCGCCACGAGCCCGTCGGTGTCTGCGGTCAGATCATCCCATGGAACTTCCCTATCCTCATGTGGGCCTGGAAAATTGGTCCCGCTATTGCCGCTGGTAACACCGTCATTATTAAGACTGCCGAGCAGACCCCTCTGTCTGGTCTGTACGCCTCTAAGCTGATTGTTGAGGCCGGCTTCCCTCCTGGTGTCATTAACGTCATCTCCGGTTTCGGTCGCACTGCCGGTGCCGCCATCTCTAGCCACATGGACATCGACAAGGTCGCCTTCACTGGTTCCACCCTTGTCGGCCGTACTATCCTGCAGGCCGCTGCTAAGAGCAACTTGAAGAAGGTCACCCTGGAGCTGGGTGGTAAGTCTCCCAACATCGTCTTCGACGATGCCGACATCGACAACGCCATCTCCTGGTCCAACTTCGGTATCTTCTTCAACCACGGCCAGTGCTGCTGTGCCGGTTCCCGCCTGCTGGTCCAGGAGGGCATCTACGACCAGTTCGTCGCGCGCTTCAAGGAGCGTGCTGCCAAGAACCAGCTCGGCAACCCCTTCGCCCAGGACACCTTCCAGGGTCCCCAGGTCTCCCAGCTCCAGTTCGACCGTATCATGGAGTACATCAACCACGGCAAGAAGGAGGGTGCCACCGTCGCCGTCGGTGGTGAGCGCCACGGTACCGAGGGTTACTTCATCCAGCCCACTGTCTTCACTGACGTGACCCCCGACATGAAGATCGCCCAGGAGGAGATCTTTGGCCCCGTCATCGCTGTCCAGAAGTTCAAGGATGAGGCCGAGGCTATTAAGATTGGTAACAACACCAGCTACGGTACGTCGACACTCTAGGATCCAATGATCAGAATTTCTGTTCTAACCTCGTTTCAGGTCTGGCTGCTGCCGTCCACACCAAGAACGTCAACACCGCTATCCGTGTCTCCAACGCCCTGAAGGCTGGGTGAGTTTTCCTCCATCTCGTCCCCGACTTTGAACGCCTACTAACTGCTTCATAGTACCGTCTGGATCAACAGCTACAACATGATCTCCTACCAGGCTCCCTTCGGTGGCTTCAAGGAGTCCGGTCTGGGCCGCGAGCTCGGCTCCTACGCCCTGGAGAACTACACCCAGGTTAAGACTGTGCACTACCGCCTGGGCGATGCTCTGTTCGCTTAAGCAAAAGTTCACCAATTTTATGATGAGGGATGAATATTTGAATACTTTTTTTGTTTGTACATAACCAAAATTGGACATCCAAATATGGACAGTAACCTGCAGTGGTCCTGTAAGCCGAGGGCTTTTGGTATAGAGTTGTATGTAGGGAGACCTTAGTCCGCAGGTGCGGTGTTCTGTCGGAGCGGGGCAGGCACACTATTGCTGCGCGACCATTGCGCTACTACGCTCGGTGTAGTGACACACGAGATAGACACGGCGAATAGCTCGAGGAATTAAATTAATCGGGGCTGTCATTCGGTGTTGGGCTGGATTGCGGATCCGATGCGGGGCCGGGTCAATGGCAGCCGCTCGGGTTATCACCCGCCGAGCAACCCTTCTCCTGTATTTGGTGGGACTGGTCAGCATGGGTCTTCTGTAGAATGAGATGTCCCGGGGTGGGTTGGACCACAATCTGCTGGACACTGTGAAGAGCTAAAATAGATCGAGTCGGCTTCTAGAAACTCCGATCAGCGCGATTACGTCCCCAGTATTTCGTCCTCGTTTAATTTACGCAGCCCAAACAAAGAAGTACTAGTAGTAATCACTCAAGCTTAATTGAACATACTATGCCACTAATTCAAATACAAATCAATACTTAGTACACATGACACCATACTCGGCTAAATTTAGGCTCCAATGGTAATTCCACTAGGCAATTCCAATCCGATGGGGAGTCCACAGATGAACTTGCCAGCGTAAGGGCTGCCCCGCTTGGCGGCGAGTTTCTCCTCGATATCCCGGTACATGTCATAACTAGGTGCAACCGGTTAGCATCGAATGAGCAAACCCTTGTGAGTATACAAGACATCACTACTAATATTCTGGGGGACTCACGCATTCATTTCCTCGATGGTCAATACTTTCTTTGGGTCTTCCACCTTGTAGGTCGGTGTGTCCTTGTTGACGGAGAATCCTAGCAGATACGTTAGCATGCATCTTTGTGTTGTACAGCACGTACCCCATAACTTTGTGGCTGCTTACCGATTCTCTCGTTGATGTTATACGCTGCCTTTGCAGCTGCCGCCTGCACTCTCGTCACACGGGGCAAACGAACCGCCTCGTACACAGCAAGGGCTTGGGCAATGTCGCCGTTGAAATATTGTTTGTTGAAAAGGATTCCCAGAGCTGCAGCATCTTCAATAGCCATGCAAGCCCCTTGGCTCTGATGCGGCATCATGGGATGTCCTGCATCGCCCAATAAGCAGACACTGCCCTGGTGAATATAAGGGTATGGGTCGTGCACCCAAAGGCGCCAGGGTTGGATTTCCTTGCCAATGGAGAGATGCTGAAGAACCTGGCGATCGAGATTGGGATATGGCTTCAGCAGCTCTTCCACGGGCCGGGACTCTGCACCCCACGCTTGCGTTGAATAGTCACCCTGATCCCGGGGGAAGAAGCAGTAGTATGAGAGGAGTTTGCCGTTATTGCAAGGTGACAAAACGATCTTGTCCCATTTGCCTTCTTGTCCGCCCCAGTATTCAAGAGCGCTATCTTGCGAGTAATCGACCAGTCCCAGCTTCACGGCTTCATCGGTGCTAACATTGGCGTGGAGACAACTGGACTCTGAGGGACGTTTTTCAGGACGGATTCCCAGGATTCCGCGAACCGCGGAGCCGATGCCGTCTGCGCCAATAATGAGGTCGTGTTGCGCGGATGCACCATGCTCAAAGGTGACAGTGTTGGTCTTGAGGTCGATGTCACGACACTGCATCCAGAATGTGTAAGGGAACCTTCCGTGAATGTCATGATGAGTGGGGATAGACCTGGCTGCAGCTCACCTTATGATTGACCACCAACTTCGCCGGCGTCCCTTCCCCCTCGTCGCCGAGAGCAGAATCCTTCAGCATCGCATGCATATATTGACGGTGGAACATGTTATACACATATCCCCAACGCTTTTCATAATCATCCAGGTTATAGACACTGACTGGCTCCCCGGTCTTCCAGTCGCGGTTGATCAGCTTCTTCAACACGACAGGGTCGCCTTTGGCGACATCCACACCCCACTCATGGAGCCAACGGGTTCCATTAGCAGCACAAGAGACAGAAGCACCAACTTCGCCAGCGAAATCAGAGCGCTCGTAAACGGTCACCTCGTGGCCGGCGCGGCGGAGGGCGATCGCCACTGACATGCCGCCGATGCCGCCGCCCACCACACCAACGTTGAGGCGTTTCCAGCTTGGGTTCATACTGAGCTGCGTATTTTATGTAGCTGAAGAGCTTTGTCGAGATGAGTTGGAATGGTATATTGCTGACAGCGACGCCTTTATGTCTTTATCTTGTTGTCGGATGGCGCACTTGCGGGTCGGATCAGTTGTTTAGAGCTGGCGGGCCGCGCACCGCTTATCGCCGGATATGGGCATCCAATGACCTTACAATCCTAACGTATTGTAAGATCGGATATTCTGATTGTTGTGGGGTACTTGGATATCTCAGGTATATTTGACCTAGGGCACTTATTACGACATCTCGTCCTATCAAAATGCTCTCGTCGCAGTATCATGATACCATGCTAGTGTATGTGACGTACGAGTATACCAAGACCCCGCATTTTGCCGGCTTGGTGTTCGATGCGGATAGCATGAAATATACTTGATCATCACGGGGTATCTCATTCTTCAGTAATCGTCGTTCCATGTGGTGCATCCCCTCAAGTGTATCTACAACACAGAGGACCCCGGCTCTGTAAAAGGAAAACTATCCCATAGCGGCAAGTCCATACCCTCCCAGTCCAAGAATGCTCCCTCCATTGAAGGGGGTGTCACAGTCGCTGGTCCGCCTTCCTGTGGGATCCACGGATAGAACGGGCCGCCTAGGCTTAGCGGAGTCGAGTCGGTTCGGCTATCGTCTTGGTTCGGTATCCTTGGCGTCGACGGGCTCTCACTCAGACTGAAAATCCGGTTGACGTACCGACTGCGACGTTGTCGCGCTTGGTCAGACTGTCTCTGGCGCTGCTGCTTGATGGCCGCCTCCAGCATTGTCAATATCTCCAAATAGTGAGCCGCTTGGGCTGATTGTTGTGCGAGCATTTGCAGAATTGCCAGTGCTCCTGTGAAGGCGTTGTCAATTTCGCTATCAACGTCGCGATGGCTGAACATGGAAAATCCTAGCACCAAAGCTGCTGCAAATATAAATGCTCTATATCTGTTAGTGTCAGTTTCTGGGATCTGAGGCCGAGCGCTCACTTCAAAATTCCCATGTTCCGAAGGAGATGCCCTGATTGATGCACTTCAAAACATGTCTGCAGCATATAAACTGCCGAGTCGATACACGCAGCTGCAAGACGCGAATGGGCAGGATCTTCATCCCGTATCTCACTCAACATATTCGTGGAGAGGCTCTGGTGTAGCCGGGCCAGCCGGACGCTAAGTGTTGAAATGAGAAACGGACGCGTGACGAGGATAACGGCAAAATGATAGGAGCATGCCACATGCATATTCCCAATAATTCGTTCTTGCACTACACTGGGGTCTGAACTCTCGGATGGGGCACGCAGTGAATCAGGAAGCCGGTCGCTCCAGCGATTCAGTTCTCTGAGAAGAAAATCTGCGGTTTCAGTCGACGCGGCTTTCTCGCTGTATAATCTGCCAATAATCTCCTCTAGTATGAGGGAGAGCTGGTAAGAGGCAAATATGCTAATTTCGGCAGTAGTTGTTGGTATGCGGCAGAGGTCACTGCGGTTCTCTGGGAGCAAAGCGGCCGTGGCTGCGGGACGGCCAAGGATCGAGCTCGCCAGGAGATCGATCACACAGAGACTCATCCAGAGTCTACATCTATAAATGGGTCAGTAATTTGTCTAGCTATACTTGCGTGCTCACACACCGTTCCTGCTGTTCACTATGGCCTAAAGACTCTGCTGAATCGGTATGAAGGCCCAATGCTACAGCTGATCGGGCCGCTACCCCGAGATACATGAAAGCTGCATTTCGGCGACACGCACCAAACATATAGAACGACATTAGTAGAAAGGCCCGGACCAAGTCCATGCTTGGGTCTTCAAGCAGATTGGCGAACGTCCTGCGCTGGCCGCGGGTGAAAAAGAAACGTTCTAACTGGACCGTCTCGGGTTCACTAGGACATGACTGAGCTCCAATGGCTATTATCAAATCTCGGATGGCCGCCCGAGTCTTTTCTCGGTCTGATTTTGGCTCTGTGGGGTCTTGTAGAAGTGCCTCTATGTTACTTCCCAGGTAAATGAAGCCACTGGTCTGTCAGAATTGTCAGATACCAGCCTGGGTTATGCAGTCGGAGCTCATACCACTGCATGGAAGGCCTGGATGTATCGGCGTTGGTCATCCAGGGTACAATTTTCCTCGTTGAAGTTTGAAGGATCATGATGAGCCTCTGTCTCCAGCATGTCTTCACTTCGGAAATTGTGTGAAAACTGTGAAGGCCCAATATGTTGGGTAACGGTGTCCCGAAGAAGCTGCAAGAAGGACAGGGAAGCAGCTTTACCGACATATACTAGACGACCAATCAGTCTTGTTGAGTTCTTTTTGCTAAATTTAGTGGACGTGAAGTTATACCTCTCTCCCTTGTAAATTTCGCAGCATACGGGGATGCGTGCGATGAGTGGCCTCTGGTGAGCGCGACCCGGCCTCCGGGGCCTGTTCAAGCCGCGGTTGACTGATGGAATCATCACGAGGTGAGATCAAGGGACTTTGCCACTCGGTACTTAGGGTATTCCCGCTCTCATTTTGCTCTCCATGCGATCTAGTATCCGGTCTCAAGCGCGCTCCGACGGGCGTGTCGGTAATGGACTTGAATGGTATGCACGATCGCGCCCGGCTTTTGTGGATGCAGTTGGTACAGGGAAAGCTGCCACTGCAGCGCTTCTTGGAAGCACGGCAAGCCGTGCAGGCGGTGTTGGCGCGCAAGCGATTGGCGGGATGCACCTTCGGGCGGCCCATGATGGATGATCGAGGCGAAATCTGGGGTCGGACGCGGGCATTGAAGTTCTAGGTAGTGTTCGGTCGGTTGGCGCCCACGCGGGGAGATGTGCGGGGTCGGAAGTGCTCGGCCCGACACTCTATAATTCCGATAGCAAAGACGGTGTTAAATGTTAGGAGTACTGAGTCAGGGGCTTGGTTCAAGCTCATTTTCGTATGCTATGTGCTCAATGTCCCCTTAATTAGAACTGTTTGGGGCTTGAAGAATTGTCTCCTGGGTGAGCATCCAGGTGGTTAGGACCCTGGAGCCCAGAGGACCGCATCCGATCGGCTCGTCCACGAGTACCTACTTAGACTGCATCTAGCGTTACCTCAACCTAGAAACAGACGACGGAAATTCAAGAGTTACCCTACTACCATACATATCTTGTCGCTACTAGTGTATCCGCCAGGTACACTCCTTGCATTATTGCAAAGTCAGTGTGGTGAAGCCCCAGAATTTCTCGCCCGGTGCCTCGATGCGATGGACGGCAAATTTGAACGCCTAACACATGTGGAATGCGGAAATTAGGTGTATAAATGATAGGTTTTGATGCTCGTCAGTGTGGCACACTGCAACATGAATATATTACTTCGCAAGGGTCAGCTTTACATTAGTGCCATCAACTTCGGGCTTTCAGATGGACCGAGTGTGACATTTGATGTTCCTCTGGCTTTCAAGTGTTGCGGCTTGGCATGAACCTGCTATTACTCATCACACCGGTGCCAGTATCATGCCAACCTTGGTGAATTGCCTTAAGCCCGTGCTTTTTCTATCTACTCCAAATTGAATACCGAGTATCTAGTTTACACTGACCGACGATACCAGGCTAGCTCAAATGACTACGTATTAATCCTCGACGAGAGTGTCGTGACATTGTCGATCTAACGGCACCAACGGTCTGAGGCGTGTCCACTTGACAACAGTACACCGCCAGTGAAGCCGCCAAACACTGGAGCTGCAAAGCTGCAAAGCGGCAGAGCTGTAACCACAGCAACCTGGGGGTCTAGACCATGGCAGTCTCCCGAGGTCCGGTTGGACAGGGGGCTTAATGCACAAGGCCGGTGCTGCCAGCGAATGGTACGACTACAAAGTATTTAGCCACACTCGGCAAGCCGACCGGAGAAGTTCCGACGAGAATTATGATGGAGTAGGAGTCCGCCCACCATGCCTGAAGCAACGCGGTGTGAGTAATGGAATTCCCTTTCGAAGCGAGTGGAGAGAGCTTCGACCACATACAAACAAACAGGCCAATCATCGGCCCGCCAAGCCATGAAAAGTCTTCTGCCACGGGATCTATGTGGGGCCGGCCCGGGCTTCCTATTGGGCAGATTGGCAGGGCGGCTTGGATGAGATGCAAACACGACAAACGTCGCTTAGGGTGCTGAAGGTGACCGCCCTGGCAGAAAAGGTATAAATAGGCGCTGGGCCCCGGACCTCTCTTGTTTTTTTCAAGCGACTCTACGTATGTGATCCCTCCCCCTACAGTTCCAGTCTGTCTTCGAGAACATTGCTGACCATTTCCCTACAGTTCAAAGAATCACTTTAGAGTAGACGTCCTCTTCTAAGCTCTTTAAAAGAGCCACAGAATCTCCACCCTTGCTGATGACTGCATGTCCTCGATGCCCTAAAGTGAAGCCTTTTGACTCCCGCCTCGACGGCTACGCGATCTCACGGTCTGTGTAAATGTCCAGGGAGTGGTGATGATCTTTACCTGGTCTCGGCGTCTGACTTCGGTCGGCTGGTCCTGGTGGGTGTCGAGGAGGTCTGAAAGGTTTTTGATTCATTCTCTTTGATGTAGGAGATGATCATCGGAGCTGTGAGAAGTACAAGCAAACATAAAAAACAGAAATTGAAAACCTTAAAAAGAAATTTTGAACAACGTTCCAGTTGTAGTTGTAATCAATAGATAATCGGGCTGTCCATTGACAGGTGATATCCCCACTCGACAATCCAATTGTGTGTACTACTTGCAATTAGTGCTGGTCCTAACCAGGCGTTTGGTGGGATTCATTGATATTCTGGGCTCAGCGTCGTTCCGCTGGCATCACCAAGAGATCATAGGGTATCGTATCGTACATTATCTATCCACCTCAATCCCCAGGGATGTTGACTACTCAGGCTTCGGGGCCTTTTCCTTCCCTTCCTTGGCTTCTCCCTTGGGACCTTTGTTGCGATTACCTCGCCCACCGCGAGACCCTCGCGACGACCCTGCATTGCCACCACCACTTCCTCCAGCAGTAGCAGCAGGATTAGCAGCAGCAGTAGGCGCAATTTCCTTCGTTTTGTTAACATTCCTCTCACGTCCCTTACGCGATTTTTCTCCGCCTGGGTTGGCCTTGCGCTCCAGCACTACCACTTGGCTTTGTCCCACAGTCACAGGGCTAGCGGCCATAGCGTTCCGCAAGCCCTCGGGCGCCGCAAAGTCCACATATCCGAATCCCTTCTTCTTGTCGATCTCCACCTTTGTCACTGCGCCAAACACGCCGAATGCCTCTTCCAGCAGCACCTCCGTGACGCCTTGCGAGGGATTGGCGTGCTTGAGGAAGGCCTGCGTTGAGGTCGGTCCCGGGGTCGCCGCGGCCTTGGCTGTGACGCCCTTGGGAGGTTTTGTCGAGGCGTTACTGGTGGCGGGAGTGCTGGTGGGTGGTGTCGCGGCATCGGAGGTTCGAGACGATGAAGAGCCAACGTCCTTCGCTTTGGTGGAGCTGTCGCCCTTAGCCGGCTTCGTCGTTTCCTTCTTGCTTGACTCGGTAGTAGTTGGACCGGGGACGGACGAGTCTCGTGAGCTCTCGTTCTTTGGCGAACCGGTCTCATTGGATCCCGATCCCCCCTTGCCGCGACGTCGACCGTTGGACGAGGCAATTCCAAGATCTCGTTGTAAAATCTTGGCTGCCGCCGCAACATTGCCTCGCTCCCTCTTACGCTCAGAGCCTGCGGCACTTATAGATTCCTTTGGCGTGCTCGCAGCACTGGTCTTGCCAGACTTGGTCGTAGCCGCAAGTTGTTTCCCTGCTTTGGCGGATTCCTTGCTCGCCTTGTCGCCCTTGCCTTTCTTCTCTGCAGTAGAAGCTGGCCCTGCGTCCTTGTCAGGCCGTTGCAGAAGCTTTTTCGCCTGTACCTTTTCCTGCTTGGACTCCTTCTCAGCCCGGTGCTTGGACTTGGAGTTTCCACTTTCCTTCGCCTTGCTGGCCTTCTTGTCTTTGATGTATTGCACCAAAGGCGTCGTGGTCACCGCATCCATTTTCTCCTCAGTCTCAGTGGAGTCCATGGCGGCCGGTTTGGTGATCGGCTGAGTCAGGCTTTCGAGGAAGGCAATGAAGTCCGGGTCTTGGTCAATCGTACCCTGGCGAGCGTCTTTGCGGACGCGACCCCCAGGGGTCTTAGCGTATGGCGCAAACTCTACCGATGGGGGTCCCAGGAGGACAGGGTCATTCCAGGTTTGGCGAGTATCTTGGAACGAGGCTTGTCGCACTCGATCCGATAGCGGGGTGATGTGTTCGCTAGATACCACATGGATGTAGGCTCGAGAGGGACGCGATGGTTTGGCTGGGCTGCGAGCGTGAGTTCGCTGATTAGCTGTTTTCCAGATTGTTACGGTTGTTCTGGCTCTGGTAACCCACTCCTTGGAAACTTTGCCGGGCTTATATTGAAGCCAGTCGACCTTGCCTGCTCCCACCTTCCATTCGTCGCCCAACGCAGTGTCAAACTCAGTTTGAGTGAACCCTGGCGGCAAACGGCGGATGAGAAGCTTGAGACGCTGGGCAGGGGGTTTGGGGGTCTTCTTTGCCGATTTAGAGGCGGATTTCTGAGTGGCCGTCACGGGGATTTGAAGCACCCCGGCAGTGGGCCTGCCGGGCTGTGACATGGTCTTGTATTGGTATTGAGCGTTGATGAGTGTGGGTAACTGGATGTGGAAAAAGGAGAATCGGTGCGGAGGTTTGGTGGTCTTGTCGTGGGAGCTGCTCTCACCCCCGCAATTCAATGTGGTTGAGAAGCTGAAGATGCAACCACATATCCGCTGTAACCAGCCGCCGCCGAGGCGGTGAGGCGGTGAGATTTCACACGATCGATAAGCGGCCTTCGGCGGGGTACTATGACTACAATGTACCCTTTGAGTGTGGTATTACAACTGTAATCATCCCAGGATTAATAACTTGTGCTACAGGCATCAAGGCATAATGTCTTTTATTCACAAGTACTATGGATATACCAGAGCAGTGGTGCGTTTTGATCATTGCATTGAACAAGTGAATATAACCACAATATGATACAATCGCATCAATCACTTTTTATTTTGTGGAATTGCTACTAGAACTAGCTACCGCGGGTTAAATGGCAGCCCTGGATGGGACGTAGACCAGTTCCGGTGTACGTGTAGCGCATCTATATCCTTCTATAAGCATCTCATGCTGTCAAGAGCTTCGTCAAACCATATAAGCCCGAGATCGCAAAGGATGTTTGGGGGAACAACGCTTGCATCCAAATATCAGCTGCCCACTGGCAGTATGTGGGCATGGCAACTCCAAATCTGAAGAGTTGGAATTTATTCTGCCGAGTGCCGTCCGAAGATTCGGGGGTTGGGGAGTGAGTGGTTTTCGCTCGTCACTTCAAGACTCCGGGGCGGCTTCAAGGGCCTTGTTTTTGTTCTTGCCTGTTTTCCGGTAGACACGCTCATCCTCGGGGTTGAATCCACCCTGTCCCCAGTACGCCCACTCTTCCGTTTCCTTCATGTAGTCTTCTGGGGCGAAGGAAGTCCCATCCCGCTTCTCCTGCTCCAGCAAGTCAAAGAAACGCTCATAGTCGATCCGAGTGTGCCATTTGCCGTTCACATGGAATCGCTCCGACGCAATCAACACGCAGCAGCTGTGGGCATGCTCAGCTGCAAGTCCATACTTGAGACCACGGCGTTCCAGCTCCGCATTCAAAGCAACCACAAACGTGGAGATTTCCTCATAGAAAGGCACGTTCTGCATCGTCAGCCCAGCTCCAGCGCTGGTGCTCGTCCCGCAGTATGTGACGCCCTTGATCTCGACCAGACCCGGCAGGGCCTTCTCGACCAAGTTCGCATAGCCCATGACCTCATCGTCCACGTTAAATCCCTTGACGAGAGTCAGGCGGAAGACAGTGCGTTGGATGTGACGCTTTTCACGGAGGATATCCAAGCAGCGTTGAAAGCGCTCCCAGAAGTCGCGGTGCAGTGGGCGATCAATCTTACGGAGACTCTCTCGGTTGCTGGCGTCGATGGACACGTAGAGCTGGGTGACCCGGTGCAATGCCTCGAGTTGGTCTGGGTGCTGGGCGTTACAGACCAAGAAGCTGGAAATGTGCTCACTATGCAGCATATCGAGGAAGCGATTGATATGCGGGTAGAAGATTGGCTCGCCGACCAGACTCAAGGCGCAGTGCCGGATGCGCATCGCCTCGGCAAATCGTTCGGCGCGAACCCCCGGGACACCACGCATCATTTTGATCTTCTTGTAGTGGCCCTCCTTGACACCGTCAAAGATGAGCTCGGGCGAATCCACCTTCCAGCGCCAGGTGGTACCGACGGGGTTGGTACCGTGGCGCCAACAGAAGATACACTTGTTACTGCAGGAAAGGGAGGGAGTCGCCTCCATGCACAGGTGGGACTTGATACCGTAAAAGGAGTACTTGTAGCAGGAACCGCGGCCACGTAGAGCCGACTTGGTCCAACGGCAGATTTTGACACCAGAGTGAGAGCCAACAATCGAGTACCCTTGCTTGGTCAACGCGGCATAGGTCGGGGAGGTCTTGGGAACCATTTCCTTGGCTGTGTCCTCCGTAGCGACGGATGTGGCCTTTCCAGCGGTGGTGAAGTCGACAGGAATGGGCGCGGCGGTGTCACCGTTCATCTTGATATCCTCCAGATCCACCATGGTCGATGCGCTGTTCTCCTTTTGGTCTTCTTCATTGCCCGCGTCCTCCTCGTCACTCTCCAGGGCATCGCCGCTACCAGGGACACCTTCGCCCAGGCCACCATTTTCCAGGATATCATCGAGAATGTCCAACAGGCCGCTTGTCCACTCCTTCAGAGCCACCTCCGCATCATTCTTGACATCGCCCATGCCCAGCGGGTACGCACGCTTGCGACCGGTCAGCTTGGCCATCCACCGATCAATTTCCTTGGCCTGGGAGCAGAAGCCTTCTTCCTCGGTCGGCCATTCTTCCTTGTCCCCAAAGCCAAAGACGGAGTACCCCGCCAATTTGGAGAGAGGCGCAGTGTCAATCCGGAAGTCGTTATGGGTTTCGTTCAGGTGATCGAGGAAGGTATTGAGCACAGTATCGATGTTGTAGGTCGGGGTCAAGATACAGTAGACATAGCGAGTGCCGGGCGAGGTGGATGGCGGCTGCGGGACCGTGGTAAAGAAATCATCGAAGTCGATATACGAGATGTCGTGAATCTGCGGAGGCAGAATGCCTCGCTCGCGGTTCTGCAGATCTGCACGCTTGGCGGCGGCAGCCCGGAGGTCCTCCAGAAGAATATTGGCATATCGTTCGGTGGTCGTGGTTAAGGAGGCGAAGAAGACGAGGGGTTGGATGAAAGAGACGGGGGGGCCTGATCCTTGTTCTCGCGCGAGCCACGACGCCCGCCAATCGTCTTCGCAGGCTTCTTTCCCAGTACGCGCTTCGGTCCAGTGGCAGGCTTGGCCGCAAGTTTCGCATTGTCCTTGGTGGTGGGCGGGGCGACGACTTTTTCGGCGGGCGCGGCGAGTTCCACGATCTTCTCCGGGGATTGACTGCGAGGCGAGGCCGGCACCGACGATGATGCGGTCGTCTTGGATCGCGACTGGAATTGGCGATAGACACGCGCGGCGACGAACAGGGCGAACAGAGCGACGAGCAGAGGCAGACGGTAGACATGCCAGACAACCACGAAACCTGGAATGTTAGCGCCGGTTATCCAGCGGGCAGGAAATCCGACGGAAAAACAAGGAAACGGGAAAATAGAGAGAAAATCACTTACTATCCATGGCCGTACCAGCCATGATCATCACTGAGAGGAGTTCCTTTCACACTTGAGTGGAAGGACGGGACGAAAAAGCGAGGGCGGTTCGGACGAAAGCGAGAAGTGGACGGTGGAGCCGCGCTGAGCAATAAACGTCGAGTGATTGTCAAATCACGGCACTCTTCCTACAAGTACGAATATCACTACTATTACTACTACTACTAGGACCACATGGTCTAGGCATGATCCCTCATTGTTGAAGCTGAATTTGGAGGATTGGGATGAATGGAGTATGTTTGATAGTAAAAAAGGATCGGCTCCCGAAGCCCAAAGCCCAGCTTGAGCTAGCCTCCTCCCCCGCCGCCCGGAGTTGCTCCCGAAGCTGCTCCCGAAGCACCCTGATCTCAACTGCATCGAACCAAACAATATCTGAAGCCAGAAGCCAATGACACATTCGACTATATGGTTTCAATCAATATTTCGAGCAATGATCTTAATCGTCACAAACCCTGGGAAGCTGTCATTAGTGGGTACACAGTAAGCAGCAGTGCTTCAGAAGCACTCCTGCTCATTATGTGCTCAGCATGAAGTGAAATTCGACCTCTACCTCCCCGTCCACCCTCCCTCAGAGCCAAATACCATCATCGCTGACTTTCTCTAACTCTGTCAAGACGTCGCCTAAGGTCTTATAAGAAATGAAGTTCAAGGGTTTGTATCATGATGAATGGCTTCCGAGAAAAGCCAATAATATCAGCGCCCATCAAGCTGCCTAGCCGAAGTACAGTAGAGATGAAAATGCTGGAAATCCTTTTTAACGGAAGACAGTGGGAATATGTACAGAATAATGCACGCTTACATTTGCATGATACAGTATGTAAAGGATATTCGCTGCTCTAAAGTCGTGTATGAATTTGAGGGATGGTCTTAGCGATGAGGTGAATTGCCGAGGCTTTGAACTTTCCTTTTTAGTTATTTCAGGATCCCTAACTCGGATTTTAGGCTCATTATGCCAATAGCTGTCTTCTGTTCATTCTCCAGAAGAGAAATAATAAACTCATCGATCGCAAAGAGCACCAGCGAGACTTTTCATCTTGAATCAGGGCCCTCTCGTTTGGTGTTCCGCCACAAAGGACCGCACTTGAGGTCTTTGCTTTCTGTTCATTCTCTGTCTAGGTTCTCATCGGCAATAATTATTGGCCTCAGAAGTGTAACATCGCCTACGGGACACCCGCGGGTATATGCGGGCACCTAGGCATGCGCAGACACTTGAGTAGGGCCGAGCGCGGCCCGACACTGAGCGGATGGGTCCATAGTGATACATCATATGCTAAGCCTTTGGAGCAAACTCGATACTTGATGAATAATGTGTATCATCAGAGTTTGTCCCACATTGTTGTTTGAGCCTAAAAGAAAATAGAAAAAATATTGAGGTCAATTCTCTTGAGATTCCATTATCTAGTTTACTAGTCACATAGTTAGTGCTTTAATGCTTACGTAGCTTACCCCGCAGATAAGGACTCAAGAGATAAGTCCCCCGTCCTCACTGGAAGGCTTATGCCACGGATTTGCATCTCTCTGGGCCCTATAGAGGTCTTCTAGACGGTATCCACGAACAAGGCCACCGTAACCAACCTCCGAGGCCAATGAATAACCCGAAGAGATCAAAAAGATCACGTACGAGAACCGTTTCCTACAGCGGGTAAGGCTGACATCCCCCCCTCCCCACCTTTACCCTAAGTCTCTATCTCATGTGTGTCTAGCTGTTGGACGTGTCGAAAACGACGGATAAAATGTGATGAGAGACCTGGCTCGTGCAAAACGTGCGAGAAAGCAAGTTTAGTCTGTGCTGGGTATGATATCCGACTGAATTGGGGAGTCAATATCAACAACGCCGCTTCTGAACGCCGCTGGAGCCGGATGAGGGTCAGTCCAGGTAAGTCTTGGTGTCCCTGTTCATGTCAACCAGAGGGTCACTAAGATTGAACTTGGAAGGGAGATGCCTCAATCAGCACATGACGGACGAGGAGCTTGCCAGCACCCTCTCTATACTTGATCAAGAAACTGAATCCGAGACAACAGCTGGCCCATTCTCTGTCTTTCGCCTCCAGCCTCTTCATAACAGCTCTCCTGTTCAGCCAAATTCACCATCAGAGCGTGATGCGTGCGAAACTGGTTGGCCTATACCATATGAGGACAACGTATCTGATATTCAAAAAGGGATTGAACGTGCAGTCGCAACGCCACCTGATATGTCTGGGTCCAACGAGCCTACTGGCATCATGAACGAGTCAAACGCTAATTCTGGAGGCGAAAGCTCACCATCATTCTCTACTCTTGACGCCACTGACAGAGAGGAGATCTATTCGGTTAATGTTAATGATCTCCAACAGGCTCCGCATGACATGGTTTATCATGATAACTGTATCGACTATGACGAGATTGATGAAACTTCCCATATGATCCAGTTGTGGGATGAAAGTGCTGCTCTAGGAATATCACGCCATAATTCTGTGAATTGGCAACGTCGATGGTTTATCGACAATCTCAAGCGTGGGGCAGCCTTCCAGGGAGAAGGAGTGCGAGACCTGCACGCCATTCATTCGCCCGCGCCATTTTATCATATGACCATCCCAATAGCTGGTAATTCCTCGGTCGCGATGCTTGTCAGCCACTATGCTGAGCACGTCACACATCTTATGCAGCCTGTGGCACACCAGAACAATCCCTTCCGCTCTCTGTATCTTCCGCTTGCAATCAAAGGGTCGTTCGATATGGAGGACTATCGAGCTTTGGGCTGGAATATGTCGGCTAGAGCAGCAGTATTCCACAGCATCGTCGCTACTGCTGCTCTCCACCTTCTGGGGCTAGGCCTCAAGAGTGAAGATCTTGAACGTCTCATTTGCCATCACAAACAACAGGCTCTTGTGGCTCTTAGGTGCGCCCTTTCGAATACAGTGAGCACATATAAAGAACTCATGATAGCTGTCTTGTCTCTGGTTTCTATGGATGTAAGTCTCCTTCGCCATCCCCAGCTTGGTACAAATATTCTGACCACGATACACGTGATGAAGATCCTGGGTGGCGGTACACACGATCATTGGATCCATTTAGAGGCGGGAGCCCGTCTTCAGGCTTCACGGCATCACGCCCCATTGGTGAGCCGGGAAACTGGCCAACTGAACGCAATATGCACAATGCTTCGTCTTTTCGCTCAAACTGCGCACCCCAATCCTGAGCCATCGCCATGGGTCTCCAACAGACCCTGGTTTGAAACGAGAGCTTGTGATTACACAAATCCCAGTATAGAGTATTTATATGGGATTACCTCTACCATTGCCCGGTCCATCGACAAGATATACGTGGCTACACAGCACATAACTTACTATAAGAGTCGGCTATTACCCTCTGGCCTTCTGGAAGCTTGTGAAGCTTTAGGAGATGAACTATGCTCCTGGACAATGTGTTCCGAGAGTTTCTCAGCAGTAGGCTCAGAAGAAGACGACACACTCCCAGTTGCGCACGCACATGCAACAGCTTTTCATTACGCATCACTCATCTACTACTATCGGTCAGTGCAGAACCGCGACAGAAATATCCTTACTATGGAGCAAGAAGCCACATTAGCTGCGATGAACGAAGCGGAAGATTTGAAAGACCATTTATTCGAGCCTAAGTCTCGCCCCGCGCCGATATCGTGGCCAGCTTACATTGCATCATGTGAAGCCGTAGGCGCGCAGCGCGAAAAATGGGAAAGATGGTGGATCCGTGTGCAAAGCTATCGATTGAAAAATTTCTCGAAACAATACGCTACCGTCCGCGGGCTTTGGAAAAACCTCGATCGTCACCAGACGTCTGATTGGAGAAAAGAGCTTGAAGCATTAAATATACACATCATCCCAGTTTGATGATCAAAGTTTGTTTGGCGAAATATGCAAATGTGTTGGAAAGAAAATGCAGTAGATGCAAGGTATTCTCCAACCCGCAAGGGGGGTTCTTTGACCATAGGCATGTCAACTCATGGGATGAAAGCAAATGGACATCTACTTCAGATTGTGTGTAAATCATAGAACGCCAAATCAATCAACACTATGGTCTTCTAGGATGTGTTGATCGCTGCTACACCTCTTCTGGACCACGTGCTCAAACTTCCCCAGAGACTATGCCAACCGACAAATAGAGCGCTCACCCGAAAGTACCGTTGTAGTCGAATCGCCGTGGCAGCAGTATAGATAAATCAAACCTTGAAAAAGAAAAAAACAATGAGTTTTTCAATCTTTTTCTATCATGGTCGGCTTTGTGGATGCACCGGATATCACTAATTCTCCAAATTAATATTGCACATTCACACTCGCAAGGTAAGGTGAGTCCTCCAGTATTCTATGGCACTTATAGACACGCAACGACCTAAACATATGTGAGAAGTTCTTGAACACTATGGCAGACATGCAGCCACATCTTTTGCCTGAGATGAGGGTTCGATCAACTTGTTCTGACTTCGACTCGGAAAGCCCATGCATTCACTTAAAAGCAGATTTTCAATCATTATGGGTTTCACGAAAGCTAACATACTTTCGAAGGCTACCACGCTGAGAAATTATGGATCTTGGCGGATCAGAATCGGTCACAGGCGACACACCAGGAACTACAATCATTTTAAAGCCAGAGTGGTTTTGGGGCCTCCTCATTCCGAGCATGCCAGAGACGATTTACCCACTAGGTCCGAGCCCTGCATCTGGAAGTGACAGCACGTCAAAATTGAGGCTAGAGTCGCACTCCATTGACCGTCTGTCTCAGGATCCTGGACGATGGGGGCGTCTTGGTTCCGGTCTCACCATCCCTGAATTCTCTTCCAACCGGTTTGGAAAATGATACATATAAGTCATTGTCAGCCTCAGCAGCATTAAAAGAAACAACCTAGGTCATTTCGGCACGGTGCTTACATGGTTTTGACTATCAATATTTCATTCTTTTCTAGACAAACGAAAAGGCCAAATTTTGGCTTGATGTTCATCAATACCTCATCAAAAGAAGCACAGCGTTTTGAATATCCATTCTTCGTGATACAGGTTGAAGGCAATACTAAATAGACGCCCAGTTCCGTTTTATAAAATCTTCGATCTTCACGTGAGGCAAGGTGTATTGATTATTTTCTAGTATTATATTGCTATACAAGTCGATCTACGTCATATTAGAGATACCACTCCTTGCCAATATAGTAACTGATCCTTAAGCCACGTGAATGAATCGAGTTCATATTAGGTGGAAAAAAGGACTTGTAACCAGCGCGTAAAAATAGCCTTGATCGATCTCTGAAGCTTTACAGTCTGCAACATCCAGACTTGGAGTTGATGTCATTGCCCCCATCAACCAACACACTCCGATTTCTCTCCTGGGTGGAAACAGCAACATCCAGACCAGGGTTTCCGGTGAAAAAGTTTGCGGGCTTGAGGCCGACAACCATTTTCTCTGATGGCATGACAGGCCAGTCTTCAATTCTTGGGTTATGCGTAGAGCCGAAAGTATGCCAGATAACAATATCCTTGTTTCGAGTCGAGGATTTCTCAGTTCCAGCACGCCTTTCAATAACGGTAGCGATGCCATCACCACCAGTGGACTGCATTGTATGGCGGCCAGAGGGGAAGTGCTCTTCATCGTCATAACGTGTAACCCAGACAGCATGTTTTCCAAACTCAGAGCGCTTCGCGTGGTACGAGTCTGGGTGCGCTAACAGCATTTGACTGTAAGCAGGAAGTAGCTTGAAGCCAACAGGAGTGCCGGTCACTGGGTTGATGACGTTCTCGTTGATGATTTTAAATGTGCGGTTCTTGGTGAAATCTAGGTCAAAGCCCCCCTCTTTGTCAATGATGGAAGAGCGGGTAACGTATCCGACACCAAAGGGGTTGTCGTAGGAGTCGACCTGAGCTTGCGATTTTCCCGCATGGTCAAACGTGGGAGTGTCGACAGGCATAGCATGTGATTCCTCCACCTGTAAGGAGTTGCTGTGGCCATCGATTGCTGGATCCATGCGAAGAGAGAATAAATGTTGGTGGTAAGGTGCCAAGACGCCCGGCGCGACAACAGTACCATAGGGTACCTTATCACCAATATCGATTGGACAGGTTGACAGGATACCGGTGGCGCGAACTTCATAATGAATCGATGCGTCCTGGCCGAATTGGAAAGCGAAGATATATTCGTAGTTGCTGACAGTGATGATCGTTTGCAGAACAAGAATTCTCGAGCGCGTCACAACTGCGTTTTGGGTTCGGAAGTTTGTGTGCTTCCACAAGATCCCGTCATCTTGTTCATGGCAGCAGATCACGTTAGGAAGCTTGACCGGATCTCCTGAAGTAGTAGTATGCCAGCCATCAAAGTACTTAATATGACCTAGGCAGTCGCAGCCTAGACGTAGGTTGTTGGCGTTGATCCCCGCTCCGTCGTTACCGAGGTCAAATGCGGCTTTGCGTGGGTATGGAGCCCGGGGGTCACCATATGGCACGAACATCTCTGCAAGGGACAATCGGTAGAAGAGACTCCGGTTATCATAGCGAACGTCATGAAGAGTGAGGCCTTCTCGGTAGTTAAACCCGATGTGCATAGACCATTTTTCCCACTCCAAAAAGTTCCCTTGTGTCTTGAAAGAGGGTCCTTCAGGTTGTACCACTTGGTACGGCTTCGTCGTTAATCGGGGAGAAGGCCTTAAGCCAGGGCTGTATTCAGTCTCCGCTCCATGAATTTTACGGCGGTCGAATGGCTTTGGCTTGTTGTGGATACGTTCGCCAGGCCCAGAAGGCAGTTGATAGATCCTGGTGACTTTCAATTTTTCCGACACCTCCGCGCACAGATCCAGTGGATATGCGTAGTAGTTGGCGTCGGCGTTGTCCACTAAACGCATGTAGAACCAGCACTATACAGCTTGTCAACATTTGCTTTTGATTAAGATCGTATATAGCCCAGAATCATGGCTTACCATGGTATTTCGCTGTGACATGTCATTGAGACCGTCTGTAGCATACGCCCATGCCTCGACGATAACTGACGCACCGGCAGGTAGTTCAAGGTGAGCGATGTGTTCCTGGACTCCTGGGTCTGCCATGCAAGCCTTCTCAACCGCTTGCATATAGTCAGAATCAATGTAAGGGTGCTTTCCAACAAGATGTTGTTTTTGAAGGATAACAGCTTGGCCTATATCGACCCAGAGTTCAATGAACTTGTTCTCAGTGTCACCAGGGAAAACTGCCTGGACACGAGCGATTCTAGCAGGTCTTTTGATTCCATTTTCCCCGCGATGCTCGTGCTCTAGGAATGAAACCATCTCAAGCTTCGCAGGTTCCTTCAGAGTAATAACCCGGAAGTTGGGGGTTTGTCCTGGAAATGAACGGCGTACAATAGCAGCGGCCTAGATGTGTTGTCAGTGCCAGTTTATAATAGTCATCTTGGGGTTCTATTCTACCTTTGCGATCTCTTTTGGAGTCAAAGGGTCAAAGGGGTGATTGAGCGACATAGCTGCGAAAGACTTGGAATCACGACGGTCGCGAGTAGGATAGTTGTTTCTTGTGCTTAAGACGAGGGGTATAGAAGATAGTGTTTTTGGATAGACGATTTCGGAGCACTGAGAGTGACGATTGTTGGAAACTAGAATATTTCCAAAGGTCAGTTTTACGCGAGGGTAATTCATTTAGATGGAAATACGAGTTTCCGACCCACTTCCATGAAGGTAAGGATTAACCGGGCGACGCATTGAAGGAACCAGGACAACCTCAAGGGGCAAGAGCCAGCGGTCCAATCCCGGCGAAGTCGGAACGTCCGCCCGCAGCTTCCGTGTGGAGAACTGGGTCCAAAACTAGCAGGTAAAATTGACCTAAACAACCCTAAGAGCAATTTTAGGCGCCTGCTGCTCAGAATATGATAGCATTCAGTGGGATAAGGGGGGCCGAGCTTGCCTCTGCATGCGGGATTTCCGCTAAGGTACAAGGCGAGCCGAGTCACCATTCATCATGAAGCTCAAACTTCCCGGCCGCGATTGTAATTAGCTAGAGAAAATTTCCTGTCTCTCACGGTTAGATAATTACGAACGAACAGCTTTATTAGGGGCAAGTCTAGAGATTACGTGGTCATAGGAGACTGGACCCGCTCTCGACAACCCGGAGATACTTGTTATCCTTATTGCACCGAGGGATCCTTTGAAATAATTGGAGAGATTGCCTATAAAGGACGAGCTCTGCCGGAAATTATTTTGCATCCTAATCGCTCAATATACTCTATCGAGGTTGTATCTCACGATTAGCTTCCACAGCAATGTCCAATCCGCTTCCTTTAAGGGTTTATCTTCCCCCTAACCTCCGCTTATCTTTCAAGATACTAACCTTTGCCAATATGTCGATAGCTAGATGACCCAAGTCTCCTCCATGGAGCCTCTTTGCTACATGGCAAATGGGTTCAAGCCCAGGAGCAGCAAAAGTTCGCCATTGAAGGTCGGTCCCACTTACCCGTCACCTACAAGAAGACTCTAAAAGTGGCATTCAGACCCCGGGTCCCGTCAAATTTTTGCCCACTGTCCCAATAACCGTCTCCAAGATGTTGATCAATATGTCGAATCCGCGCATATCGCGTTCCTCGAGTACAGAGAAGCAAATCCCAGAGAACGGGCCAAGCGGCTCTTGAACTGGCACAGCCTGATCACCAATGCAAGAAGCGATATCGCAAAACTCATCGTCTACGAGACAGGCAAGCCGATGACAGAAGCCCTGGGGGAAGTTGACTACGCACTAGGCTTTGCATGGTGGTTCTCCGGCGAAGCTGAGCGCGTTCGCGGCTCAGTTGCTCAGCCGTCTGTCTCCAATAGACGCACGCTAGTCATAAAGCAGCCAATCGGTGTCAGCGTGGCATTAGTTCCCTGGAACTTCCCTGTTGCGATGACGATCCGCAAAGCTGCTGCGGCTTTGGCTGCTGGCTGCTCGATGATCGTTAAGCCATCGCCTGAAACCCCGCTTAGTACACTGGCGCTTGCAGATCTCGCCTTGAGGGCTGGGTTCAAGCCAGGTGTCTTGAATATCATTACGACAGATAACGAAAATACCCCTATAGTTAGTGAGAGATTGTGCAAACATCCGCTCGTGCGCAAAGTCACCTTCACTGGTAGTACTGCTGTTGGCTCAATCATTGCAAAACACTGCAGTGATGGGTTAAAAAAGGTACGTCTTTATCCAAATACGCAGGCAGGCTTCTCCATATCTGTTGCGCTGCTTCATTATTAAGACCTGTCGAACATCGCTCACAATTCCATAGGTCACTCTTGAGTTAGGAGGCAACGGTCCATTCTTAATTTTTGACGACGGTGATCTTGACCAAGCTCTGGCTGCACTAATGATCTTAAAGTGGCGAACCGCTGGGCAGGCATGCACACACGCCAATCGGGTCTATGTCCAAAGTGGTGTTTACGATAAGTTTCTGCCCATGCTAGTCAACGCTACAAAGAAAATCCAAGTTGGCCACGGCACAGCGAAGGACACGACAATGGGAGCGTTGACGACATCTCGTGGCTTGACCAAAATGGAACGGCACATTGCCGACGCCGTCTCTAAGGGTGGACAGATTGCGTATGGCGGGAAGAGACTAACGAGTCTATCCGGGAACTTTTTCCAGCCCACGATCATTTCCGGAATGACACCTTCCATGCTGACAAGTCAAGAGGAGATCTTTGGGCCACTCCTTGGATTGTATCGATTCGAAACAGAGGAAGAAGCTGTTCAGATGGCAAATGATACTAGTATGGGACTCGCAGCATACTTTTTTACCAAAGATACAAGCCGTTCGTGGAGGTTGCTCGAGAGCCTTGAAGCCGGAATGATTGGTATGAATACAGGTAAGGCCACTATAATCCACCCCATTTATACGGGACTTTCTCAGAATATATTAGGAAACGCCTCTGCAGCCGAGTCGCCCTTTGGAGGTATCAAGTCTTCCGGGTATGGAAAGGAGGCAGGCAAGGATGTTGCGATAGAAGAGTATCTGATTTCGAAGACTGGGACTTTGACGGTTGACCCCATTTCGAAGCTTTAATTCACTCATGATTTGACTGTATTGTTTCCATCTTAGTGATCTCACCAGGTTTGTCCAGATATGCGCTTTCGGATTAAATTGTATATAGAGTCTTTCCAGTGAGAATAATTGACCCACTATGTAAATGTAAGATTGTTTATAAAAAAAATGCGCGTTTTCCTTGTTGTTTCCTTTCAACGAAGCGATGAAGAGGGAACTGGGATCGTCTCCGTCCTCCGCATGGCAAGCCAGCTCAAAACAACATAATTGCATGGATTTTGCCGTACGTTATTTGCGTTGGTGAGCCAGCGGGCTGAACCCAAATTTTTGACCTAAGAAGCGAGGGCTTCTACAAAAAAACAAGAGGAAAATTTTTGGAAGTGTAAGCAGTTTCTCACGAGACAGCCTCACCTTCGTTTTTAAGTAGATGTCATCAACTGTTTGTACCCAGATAAACGAGCCGACAACTGCAACAAAAATCTTGTTCCACATTGGAAGACAGTTCGTCCCTTGGAGCGTCATGATAGTCCCACGGCAATTACGCACTTCCCCTTGAGATATAATAATAGCCGGCAGCACGTCTTTTGGGTCCGCTCATGATGCGTGATTTCCGCTAAGGTACAGAATAGCCAGCCATTTCGCTGGTTTTAGCCGCCCGCATATCCCCAGACCTGGGGTTCTTGGCAGCTGTGTCCAACCTGTTGAACGAATTATATTCAGCACTCGCATAGTTTGTTGCCCATAATATCCATTCAACCGAGTCATCTAGCGAGGAGCAGGGTAACTTTCCACGGTCGAATTAGTCGGGTTCTGTACGATCTATGGCTCCTCCGTTCGCCCGGGTCTAAACATGTTGGATATTTTGATCTTATGGTTCATAGCATGTCATTTCGACTGGAACTCGTAAGCACAGTCGCAGCATTTCCTAATTGGTAAAAGTGGCCGAGCAGTTACTTAGCGCTTTTATTACCCAATCGACCGCCATACCATTCAGGCTGCGAGTCACCGACATAGTGTGGAGTATTTAGCCTGCTATAGAGCTACGAGTAACTATCATTCAACAGTGGTGCAACGCTGGCGTCGATTCAGTAGCTACTAGAATAATCCTGCTAAACCAATCTATCCAGGTACAGGCAGTTCTCGTTGAGCAGCTAGTACTCACTGAAATCATATTCTACCTCGTAATCCTCAGCATCAATTTCACCGTCAGAAAGCTCGACGTCCTGAAGATTCTCTCCTTCATCCTCCTCCTTTGCAGTAAATCCGTACTCTTCTTTCTTGATTTTTTTCCAAGCCGCAATGGTCTGCTTTCGAGTTATACAGAAAGGCAGTTTTGACAAAGAAACACACCCGTCTTTGGTAACCTCGACACTTTGCCCGATAGAGCTAGCAGTATCAGTCGCTCTATCCATCAGAATAATGTGGATAAAAAACACCATGCCTGGCTGCGCAATGACATTTTGGCCTCGGACAAACATAGGGTAGTCCATCCAAGTAGGAGCAAAAGTAGCGCCCATGCTATATCCACAAGCGCTAAACCGCTGTTCTTTGAACCCATTCTCATCTGCAACTCGAGCATAGGCTTCAAAGACGTCGCCAATCTCCTTTCCTGGCTTAAGAGCGGCCATCGCTGCTTCCATCTGTAGAATATTGACCTCGAACATACGACGAGCGAGCTTAGTAACTCCGCCGATATGAATAGTTCGCATCAGACAGGCATGGTAGTGTTTATAGACACCGGCATGCTCTAGAGTCAATTGGCGATCAATCTTCGACTTCCCGGTCGAGTACCGAGTAAGGACAGCCTTGTTGCCGGAAACGAGAATATTCTCATTAGCAGGATCATCCCCACCACCTTCATACACCGTCCCAGTAATTTCGCGCCATAAGTCGCCTTCATATGCGCCAGGCTTGGCCAATTTCAACGCTCTGACTAGCGCAAAATCAGCTAAATAGGCGGCCTTTCGGATCTTATGAAGCTCAGCCTCTGATTTGATAATTCGTAGTTCGCGACCAAAAAGAGTACTATGGTTGACCAAAGTGCATAGGCCACTCGTCGTTTCCTCTAGTAGCTTGCCAATTTCGAGGTTCAACGTCGCAGAATTGGGCTCATAGCCAATTCGATGCGAGGGTGAGTTAATCCCGAACTCCTTGAAAACCTGTGCGACTAGGGCAACCGGGTTGCTACCCACGTCATCGGGGCGAAGCAGAATCTCTTCTTCCTTGAGGATAGAGGTATAGAGGGCCTGGCGAAGGTCTGGCATGCGAGTAATAAGCCGCATCGAGCCGTCAATGTGGAAGTACATGGCCTGAAAGAACACATATCCAAAGGTGTCGAATCCAGTGAAGTAGTACAGCGACTCTTGTTTGGTGATCAAGAATCCATCAAGCTTCTCTCGCTTCATGAGATCAAGTGCATTCTGTCGGCGTTGTCGGAACTCCTCCTCGGAGAAGTGCAAAGCTCGCTGAAATGGCTGGGGCTTTTTAACAGGAACCATGACGGCGGGGCCCGAAATGATATCGAAGATAGATGTAGAATAAGTTGTAGTGATGGATTGAGTATTGCAATTATTGTTCTCAAATTTGGGGGACAAGTATGGTCTTATAAATTGTATTTCCGGATCTCATGCATAGCTCGGCTTATCTGGCTCTGTCTTGGGAAATTGGAGATCGAACCTCGAATCGGGTCTTTCAATCCAGTAGGCGAGCCTATGACGGCGTAGCCGAACGGTAACCTGGAAAAATCTGGAAGCTAGGAAGGAGCCACCAGGCTGCCCGCTCGTTCTTGCCTTGCGAAGAGTAGTTCGCTGGGTGGGGCTCCGGATGCTCCCAATGGTCAGTTCGATACCTTTCGCTAGTCCCAAATTACTGCACTTGCCCCGCCCGTCCACAAAGGCTGTGTTGAATCGGGCAGGAGCGACCGGGGGTCATAGCGTTGGCATTGATTGGCCGGGCTTATCAACGATGAATGTATGATCCGGGGAAGTGCAGTGAAAATCCCCAAACTTTACTAGTATGCAAAGTTACTATGTTTACTACATATAAATCCCTGATGTCGAATTACTCCAGCGATAAAGACTCTCGTTCTTCTTTAAATTAACTGACATTTTGACCTACAATACACAACCACCACTACCACGCGAGAGGAGCCCAGATGAAGAAAGCCGAAGGAAATGACCAGGAAATTCCAGGTACCGCCAGTATGGAAACCATGGATAATGGTACGACGCACCGTGGCCTCAAGCCTCGTCACAGCCAGATGATAGCCTTGGGGGGCTGCGTTGGGACTGGGTTGTTTGTTGGTACAGGAGCAACCCTGGCTACGGGCGGACCGGCCTTTATCCTCGCGGCATTCATTGTGATGAGTCTTCTAGTCCACAGTGTTGTCACGACTATCGTCGAAGTGACGGCGTATATGCCCATAAATGGAGCCTCAATGTCGTATTATGCTTCTCGATATGTCTCCCCAAGTTTGGGTGTCGCCATGGGATGGCTATATGTCTACTCGTTAGGTATTTTGGTCCCGTATGAAATTACTGCGGGAGCCTTGGTAATCGACTACTGGAACAGGTGAGTTCCTAAATACATTTTTACCACTTGGTTACTTTCGATTAATTCATGATTGCTATCTTTATTTAGCCCCGTTGACATTGCCGTGTGGATCACAATATTTATCTTTGTCATTGTCGGTCTAAACTTTCTGCCAGTGAAGTATTACGGTGAATCGGAATTCTGGTTTGCAGCCATCAAGGTGATTACGATTGCAGGGCTCTTAATTCTGGCCTTCGTGATCTTCTGGGGTGGCGGACCCAATCAGAATGGCATTCTGGGTTTTCACTATTGGAAGGAACCGGGTGCGACCACCACCTACCTTATCGAGGGATCTGCAGGCACTTTTGTTGCCTTTGTCCAAACTCTCGTCTTGAGCGCGTTTCCTTTCGTCTTTGCTCCCGAGCTACTACTCTTCACCAGCGGAGAGATGAATAACCCTCAGAAGGACCTCCCGAAGGCTGGTCGCCGCTTCACTCTCCGTCTTATAGTGTTTTACATTGGCTCGGCCTTGGCAATAGGCGTCATGTGTCCCCGCGACGAAAAAGCACTGATAAATGGTGGCCAGGGAGCAAAATCCTCTGCCTTTGTCGTGGGGATCCAGTATGCCGGGATACATGGGCTAGGAAGTGTCGTCAATGCTGTTATCTTAACAACGGCATGGTCGGCTGGGAGCGCCTACTTATACATGAGCTCGCGTGCTTTGTATTCATTGGCACTCGCAGGACAAACACCCACAATATTCAAAAGGTGCACTAAGGAAGGAGTGCCATATGTGGCCGTAACAGCCTGCTCCTTGTTTTCGCTGCTTGCGTACCTCAATTGCGGAACCAATAGTTCGACGGTCTTTCAGTGGTTTGTCAACATCACGAACACATCAGGCTTTTTATCTTGGATAAGCTGCTGCGTTGTCTACTTGCGCTTTCGGGCCGCTTGGAGTACGCAGGGAAAGCCAGCCCTGCCCTACCGAAGCTGGATCCAACCCTATGGTGCATGGTTTGCGATGTTCTTTTTCATCGTCTTGGCTTTTATCAATGGCTTCAGTGTCTTCTTCCCTGGACAATTCTCAATATCGAACTTTGTGACGACATACATTGGAATTCCTGCATTCTTTGCGCTTTACTTGATCCACAAGATATGGAGAGGACGATCGGATTCCTGGCTCCTTCCTGCCAGCGAAATAGATATCCATGAAGGATTGGAGCATATATATGAAACTGAGAGGCCGGTCTCGGAAGAGGAACCCGACCACAACAAGTAGATAGATGTAGATCCACAACCGCAAATATGATTTTTTTTTTGAACTGAAATGAACGTTCCTGACTCAAGCAAATATCGATCTCCGAGACAGTAATGTACAACGAGTGATATATCTACCCGTCGTCGGATTGTAGTGGAAAATTCATGTAGACAAAATTCAGCCACCAATTTTATTGGCTGGTACTTACGGGATCAAGATGTTTATGAGGGTGTTTGTAACTCCTCACATTTTAGTAATCTTACTTCACCTTTTTCTTTTGAGTAAAGAGGGGCATGTCCCCATTCTCGCCAAACGCGGCGGGGACGTGAGCATCATGATGTTGACAAAGCGGGCGCCATGCGTGCAAATCCAGCTAAGCTATGCGGGCTATTATTACAACAATATTGAAATCGGAATATATCAGAGATGACTCCTATCATCGATAGAGTGTGCACCCGAGTCTATTTGTGGGAAAAGCATAAGCAAAAGAGGAGCCATCGAAATCGGAAGGAGCCACCAGAGTTTCGGGGAAACCCCCGAGCCTATCGCCAGGGCCCCAATTTCCGAAGCTACTGTACACCATGGATCCTGATAACGTTGATACTACTACATAATCCGATCGTTTTCCTATCTCAACGATATTTTTCCATTCACAACGAAATCGATTCTTGGGCAAGTTAACTTTGCCACAATTCACAAACTACTCCAATTCAACAGCAAGATCACGAAAATGTCAAACCTTTTGAAGCACCCGGTGGTAGACCTCCATCGCCAAATATGTCAAGTTGAATCGATTACAGGGAACGAGAGGCCTGTTGCGGAAGTGCTTGTGTCTTATTTGGAACAGAAAGGATTCACAGTCGAAAAACAGCCTGTTCCATCTACTTATCCAGACGAGCGATACAACGTTCTTGCCTATATGGGGGAAACAAGAGACACAAAGATCTGTCTTTCAAGCCATATCGATGTGGTTAGTACTCGAACTTGAAAAATCATGCCCACAATCCTCGAGCGGTACCTAATTATGATCGTATTAGGTTCCACCATACTGGCCATACGAGCTAGTCAAAAACAACACTGAAATTCGCGGTAGGGGCGTGGTAGATGCAAAGGCGTGCGTTGCCGCGCAAATTGTTGCCGCGGAAGAGTTGTGGGCCGCCTCGTTGATCAAGCCCGGCGATATATCGTTACTATTTGTCGTGGGAGAAGAGACCGAAGGCGATGGCATGATCCATGCAAACAAGCTTGGGTTGAGCTGGGATGCTGTGATATTTGGTGAGCCGACCGAAGGGACTCTACCGAAGGGACATAAGGGAGTGCTTAATATGCGCTTAACAGCCATCGGGAAGGCCGCTCACTCGGGCTATCCTGCACTAGGAGAGTCAGCAATTGACAAGTTGCTCTCTGGTCTAAACGAGCTACGCCAGTTACAGCTCCCTTCAAGCGGTCGATTCGGAGAGACGACTATGAACATAGGTCGCATTAATGGTGGTGTTGCTCCCAACGTCATTTCTTTCTCGGCAGAGGCTGAGATTATGTTTCGAGTTGCTGGAACCACGATTGATGGGCTGAAAACTATGATAGAGGATGCTTTGAATAAGTGTGGTAATCCTTGTACTTTCACGTACGGACCGGATGCTTGTGAGCCCGTTCAAATCGAGTGCGACGTGCCCGGCTTTGACACGATGGTTGTCAGCTATGGGACTGACATTCCCAATCTTAATGGGAATCATAAAAATTATCTATATGGGCCAGGCTCCATTCATGTCGCTCATACTGAGGAGGAATCACTGAAGGTGGCAGACTTGGTGACTGCTGTCACGGCTTATCGGACACTGGCATTGCACGCTCTGAAGAATTAGATCGGATTGGGTTCTGACATGTCAAATAAGTACGTCACCAACATTGTATCTGATCACTACTATTAGAGATCCCCAACCTATGTTTGTTTGGAGCGGCTCCAGTCGCATTCATTTGTTGATCTTGAATTTTCTTTTTTTTTCTTTTTTCTTTTTTCTTTTTTCTTTTTCCAACACCTAAACTGTTCTCTTAGGTATCATGCTGCAGAATGTTCCTTTGAGGTGAGGTGATATGATCAACGGGTATTGCCAAAGTAATCAAAGCGCTGAATATCTTACGAATAAATGTAAATGATGCTTCCATTGATTTCGATAGTGCTCGCGCAACCAGCTCATTCATATCAACTGGAGCGAGTGAAAATCACTCTTGAACGTAGATTGCAAATGGGATAATTTTCTGCCCCACCAGAGCCTCATTTTGATAAGACGGCTACATTTAGGCTTTCTACTTTGAAATGGATAAACCCACGTTGATGTTTATAGCTACAGTACTGGATTGAAGGTTTCTATTAAATGAAGAGGATTTTATATGCCCTATATATGAAACTCGCGGCTAGGGGTGGATTTGGTTCTTGTTCTGATGCAGACTACCCTGCAGCGTCTGGTTCGATTATCATGGAGAATGATTCACGGAGTTTCTATGTATGCCATGAGCGTGCCATGTTTCCGATGAGTTGCATGGACTTCAAAGTTATTGATCATTTGACGACGAAAACGGACAATTTTAAAACTGACAGTGTAATTGAATTGTTCAAGTCATTTTGAAAATCAGGATAGAGCATCGATGCTATCTAGCCACTCACTGAGTGCAAATCTGTCCTGGCTAAGATAATGTTCGAAAGCTGTATAGGCGCATTTTTCGATTAATTATCAATTGTACCAACACATGCTCCAGTGGGTTCACTAATGTACTGCCTACCCTAAGACACTGGTTTTTAATACATGCAGAACGCTCTCAGTAATTTAATCATTTGTAACAGGTTAAGCGATAAACTTACAATCAACGTTCATCCCACCCCTGGTAAACACCATTCGCCAGTTATCAGGTGGCAGAGCGTGATATATTAGACCTGTATTGTTTAAGTTTTCCCAAATTTCTTGTTGTCAACCCTCCAAATCAAATATTTGCGTACTAAGCTGCAGTAGTTCGTGAGATACAGTAGGCTCTTACAGTCCTGAAATTCTTTATTAATGACTTGAATAACCGCACCAGTTACCAATAATCTTTCCACTTATACCAATCATATCGTTGAGATGTCTGTGCGCGGACGTCTGGCTGGCTCGTCGGAGAAGCCACAAAGCAGAACTAGCCCATATTCAGCAGCTGGAACAGCTGCCCATTGTCATGAGTTCCCTGCTGGGCTCGGTCGGCCAGATGTTGCATCCCAGTTTTCCAAACCTGAAAGGGTATTACATCCACGAGAACCGCACCTTCCTGGCGTGGGAGCCGGTTGAACTGTCTCTCGGCCAGATTCTGGCATCAAAGTATCTCATCCCAGAGATTGAGGTTGCTGCAATCTTTCAACTGGAAGGTGGCAGGTGCCCGTGGGGATGAGGCTCTAGTGGCAAGTGCGTATCCATGGCTGACTCGTTTCACCTAAATTGAACAGAACAAGAAAACGAAAGCGAGCGACCGAGCCAAATGCAGGAATATATGATGATTAAAAGAGAGTATTTGAATTACACTAGTGTGATATCTCTGAAAAGAAACAACGGGCAGGTAGGAGCAAAGACTGTTTATGTATCACCGAAAGCTTGACGTGGCTCGAACACCTGACAAAGTCATACAAGCAGATGACAGAGAATGAAAATACTAATGACATGCCTGGTAAACTACTCAGAGCATGCTGGATAGGGTGGAGCTGATCCCTGAGTAGCCACGAGCGCTCAGAGAGTCCTCAGGGAGCACTTCGAGAGCAAACAAGACTGGTTTGATTTCAATCACGTGATATTTAGATGACTAAGATCTTCGTAAAATGAACGCTTGAAATAGCGTCGAATGTAGTCGTGTTTGGCGCTCAATTTACCTTCGCCTAGCGTTGTGGTGTAGTAGCCTGCTATACGCAGGGATCGAGAGACAGTCCTATAGGGCCGTGTCTAGCAGTGCTACTAGAACTAGCAGTAGTATTAGTATAGCATGCTCGTAAAGAGTGAAATTACTCCGGGCTTCCCAAGTTGACGACGATTAGTAGTATTGCACTCGACAGGTATCGACGAAATGGTGGGTTCGGAGGGTATTGGGACAGTTCCCAACACGACGCATATATTAACAACGGCAATGCGGTGTTACTCGAGCGGGGCTTAAAAGCAGCGTCGCATCGCCCCGCGCACTTCTCCCTTCCATCGCCGTCTGCCTCCCACTTCGCCCACGATGGACGAGAAACCCGCCCAGCCTACACCGGGCCCGGCCACACGGCCTCCTGTTCAGACTTCCCGGCGCAGCTGGTTCATCTGGCTGTGTGCGTTCGTCGCAGGCGGCTGGTTGTTCTGGCCCCACTGCACGCATCTCCGCCAGGCACTGCGAACGCCCATCACCCTCGAGAGCCGGGTACATAATATCTTATCGAGCACACCGCTCATCGGTGAGAAGACCCTCGGGATTCCTCAGAACCCCTCCTGACATCGACCTGATCATTGACCTCGGCATAGATGGCCACGACGACTTCCCCATCTTGATTCGGATGCTGTATCACAACCACATCTATGGCTCTAACTTCACCGAGTCGTTCATTCATGGCAATCTGTCTGGACATGTCGATCTGCCACGGCTGAAGAAGGGCTATGTCGGCGGTACCTTTTGGAGTGTCTTTGTGCCCTGTCCGTCGGATGGGATGGACTTTTCCGACGAGAATTATGCCCCAAGTGAGTCACGTCCTCCCATGGAGAGATCACATCCGCGAGTACGGGAAGACTAACTCTAGTGACAGGCGTGCGTCAAACGGTCGAGCAGGTAGACGTGATGTCGCGCGTGCAAAAGGCCTACCCGGAGATCTTCTCACGTCCGCCCAACGGCACGACCGCCTTGAAGGCGTTTCAGGAGGGCAAGATCATCTCTCCCATGGGCATCGAGGGCCTGCAGTCCATTGGTAACTCTTTGGCTCATCTTCGGATGTTCTACGACATGGGTGTCTCGTATGCAACGCTCACCCACAATTGCCACAACAAGTACGCGGATGCCGCCCTTGTTGAGCTGCCCGATGGGGGGATGAAGAAAGCGGATCCTCTCTGGCACGGAGTCAGTCCGGCTGGCCAGAAGGTGGTATATGAGATGAACCGACTGGGCATGATTATCGACCTGGCTCACGTGAGTCTGGAGACGATGCGGGATGTGCTGGGTGCCGGCAAGACCGAATGGGCCGGCAGTCGGGCCCCGGTGATCTTCAGTCACAGCTCTGCGCACGCGCTGTGCCCGCATCCTCGAAATGTCCCGGACGACGTGTTGGAGCTGGTGCGGCAGACCAACTCGATCGTGATGGTCAACTTCGCGCCTGATTTCATCTCCTGCACCGCTTCGGACAATGAGAATGGCCTGCCCGACACGGATGTCAAGCACGCCACCCTAGAGCGGGTTGCAGACCACATCGTCCACATTGGCACCGTGGCCGGATTTGACCATGTCGGCCTGGGGAGTGATTTTGACGGCATTCCGACCGGCCCGCAAGGGCTGGAGGATGTATCCAAGTTCCCCAACCTGATCGCGGAGCTCCTGCGGCGCGGGGTGAGCGATGAGGACGCTGCGAAGGTCGCTGGCGGCAACCTTCTACGAGTGTGGCGCGCGGTGGATCAGGTTGCACTGGAAATGCAGTCTCGAGGGGAGTATCCTGCGGAGGATTAAAAGCTAAGGGTATAGGAGCATACAATTGTCTGAACATTATGAAGCATTGATTTTTCGGCATGGACGTCACATTATTTGGACTACTTTTATATCACATCTCTCTCGCCATTGATTTGCGCTTGGTGCTATAGAGACTCCTTCGTAGACTTGGCGGCCTGCTCTTTGCACCATGCAAACGACCGCAGGATGTTGGGTCCCTGATGGCCCGTCGGCGGCAGCGGGAGTTGATATCGGCCACTGCCCTGCATCGACCGTCGCACTTCCTCCTCCACCGCCCACTCGAACGCCTGGTGCTCGCTCGCCTCCAGTCGGACGGGGATTTGTTCCCGTGGGAGCTCGCCTTCGTAGACGTCGACAATAAACGAATATTTGGCGATGCGCAGCATGTCGCCGCGATTCCGGCGGAGGTGTTGCCAGCTGTCGACGGCCACCAGATCCACAATGCGCGACACATGCAGCCCCGTTTCCTCGAGGACCTCGCGCACCACGCCGTCGAGCAGCGTCTTGTCGGATTCGGGCTCGGAGGCACCGCCGGGTCCTTCCCAGCAGCCACCCATCGTGTCGGTGATGGCGCGCTGCAGCAGCAAAATCCGTGGTTTGGCGGGGTCATGGCGGGCGAAGATGTACCCACCCACGGCGAAGCTCTCGAATTCGGGGCGCGCCGCGGTGAAATCCGCCAGGGGGATGTTGAAGTAGTGCAGATGCGATGCAACCGTGTAGGGACGCGCCATGGTGGAAGTCTCGCGCGGTGGTGCAGAGAAAGTGTGTGTGCAAGTTGGCCTATTTATCAACTCAACAGCCGCAGCTCTGAGTCAGGCGAACCTGAACACGAGCAGACCCGCTCAAATCGCATCTGCCTGGACGGATGCGACTGCCTACTGTTTATACCTACTCCAAGAAGGATCTGATATATGGAAACAATACGATCCACCTCCAGGCACCCGGGGGAACTCCAGTCCCGAAGGTCTCGACAGACACATCCGAATCGGAAGTGTGTTATATCCGGCCAGCCAACCTGGAGGTGTGCCGGTATCCACCAAGGACATCCCCCGCAGAAGATCTGCGGGGGAAAGTCCGGGGATGCATGCTATGATTGGCACTTTTGCGACATCCCCCACTCGATCTCCGACTCTGTCGGGCTACCGCTCAGATTTGGATAGTCTTCGGCCTACGACAGGTAGTATATAAGGCTTGGTTGATGCCATTATCTTGTATCTTTCTGGACAGTGACACCTTGCATCTCTTAAAAACCTCATAATCGATCATGCCTGGAACTCTTCCGTCGTCAGAAGACCATGTCGATGTCCTCATCGTCGGGGCTGGTCCTGCAGGGCTGATGCTGGCCAACTGGCTGAGTCGCTGCGGCGTCAAGACACGAATTGTGGACAAACGTGGCACCAAGGTACATCAGCTCCATGGATATACATGTCATACCTGGGGAGAATCTGGCGGGTGCTAACCATCATAGATCTTCAACGGCCAGGCAGACGGCCTGCAATGCCGTACCCTCGAGATCTTCGACTCGTTTGACTTCGCCGACCGAGTCTGGCGAGAGTCGAATCACATGCTCGAGATCTGTTTCTGGAACCCTGACGAGTCGGGCCAAATTCGTCGCTCGGGGCGGATTCCTGACACGATCCCCGGCATCAGTCGCTTCCAGCAAGTGGTCCTGCACCAAGGTCGTATTGAGCGATTCTTTCTTGACTCGATCAAGGAACATAGTGGCATTGTGGTGGAGCGTGGTGTTCTTCCCACTAGCTTCGAGTTTGACAACGCCAAAGCGGCCGACTTTGAGGATTACCCCATCACCGTCACCTTGCGCACATTGTCCGAATCCGAGGCTATACCCCGACAGCAACAGCAGCACCATAAAGATGATCATGGGAACCAAACCACGGTAAACGATGGCCTGTTTCGGAGCAACTTGGCGGCTGATGACACCGACGATCTTATCCGAGCCGCTGAGACCAATGCTCGAGCAGACCAAGTCGAGTCGGTCAAGGCCAAGTTCCTTGTCGGCTGCGACGGCGCACATTCATGGGTGCGGCGACAGCTCGGCTTCAAATTGGAGGGGGACTCGACGGACTACATTTGGGGGGTGTTGGACATCGTACCGATCACTGATTTCCCGGACATTCGACAACGCTGTGCAATTCATTCAGCCAATGCGGGAAGTGTCATGGTCATCCCCCGTGAGAACAGATTGGTTCGACTTTATATTCAGTTGCGAACCACAGAGCATGCTCAGTCGGGGATGAAGGCCGACCGATCAGGCATCACTCCGGAGGTCATCCTTCAGTCGGCTCAGCGCATTCTTCACCCATATAAGCTTGACTACTCCTATTGCGATTGGTGGACAGCTTACCAGATCGGCCAGCGTGTAGGGGACAAATTCTCGCTCCAGGAGCGCGTTTTTCTCGCTGGTGATGCTGTCCACACGCACTCTCCGAAGGCTGGACAGGGCATGAACGTCAGCATGCAAGATAGTAAGTGACCAAATGGGTGGGTTTCCTTGAGTCGCATGAAACCCACGCTCATTCGGAGGCAGCATATAACCTGGGTTGGAAACTCGCCCATGTCGTCAAGGGCTACAGCGAGGGATCGATTCTCAAAACATACGAGTTAGAGAGGAAGAAGATTGCTCAAGAACTGATCTCCTTTGATCATCGTTTCTCCCGGTTGTTTTCAGGGCGCCCGGCCAAAGATGTCATGGATGAAGAAGGCATCAATATGGAAGAATTCAAGGCCGCTTTTGAACGCGGAAACGAGTTTGCGAGTGGAATTGGTTCGTTCCTACACTATTGGAAATATCGGTCGGGTTTGCTAATTTTCCTTCACAGCTGTCAACTACGGTTCCAGTGTGATCGTCGCCAAAAAGGTCACGAATGGCACTGAGGGCGACCAGCAAAGTCAAGTCCTTAGCAAGCCTCATCTAGCGACCAAAATCGACATTGGAAAGAGAATGCCCAGTTTCAAGGTCTTGAATCAATCTGATGCTCGACCATGGCATCTTCAGGAACTACTGAAGAGCAATGGTCATTGGCGAGTGATTGTATTTCCTGGCCAACTGAGCAACCCTCAGAATATGCAGCGAGTGAAGCAGCTGGGTGCTCGGCTTGAGGCCCAAGGCTCGTTTATCAGACGCTACGCACCTTCTGGGCAACCAACTGACAGCGTTATCGAAGTACTCACGGTACATGCCGGTCCGCGGACAGGGGTTGAGCTTCTGGATCTGCCCCAGGCATTCCACCCATATCACGAGAAGGTGGGGTGGGACTACTGGAAGGTCTTTGTAGATGATGGATCTTACCATGAAGGTCATGGTCAGGCATATCTCAACTATGGAATTGATCCCGTTCATGGAGCAGCTGTCATCGTTCGCCCAGATCAGTATGTCAGCTGGATTGGTGAGGTGAATGATTATGATGAGATGGCAGGATTCTTCGCAGCATTTATGAAAGAGCATGATACAACAAAGGCCGCTTAGACCATCGCTCGTTTACACGTGACCGCTTGAAATATTCAACCTTGGTCCCTGAAATGTGACTTGAATTTTGATTATTATCCACATCAGCAAAGCAGTGAAAAGAGAAATTTGCAATTAATTCATGACAGTAGACCCTTGCAAGCTCCAAAATAAGGCCTAGCCTAGGCGTATTGTTTGACGATATCCACAATTTCAGACTCTGACAGCGTCCGTACCCCAAGCAGCTCATTATCCACCTGGGTAAATTTACCACCAAACTTACTCCCGTAGATAGCCCGCAGAATGAGGTTGCGGGCAAATGTGCGAGGGTCGGGGATGGGCTGCTTCAGAGCCCCATATGCCTGTTGCTCGAGATCTTCGGACTTGAAAGCCTCTTTCTCGATCTGGTCTGCTTTGCCTGACCACTCCAGCAGCTTATTCTGTGTAACCTCCGCTTCCGCGATATAGACGTAGCGATTCTTGGTTTCACGGGGATGTCGCAGAACCCCTGCGACCGCACGGCCTATTCCCGCGAGAGTAGTCGTACTGACAGGCACATCTCCCCCATCGTAAATTTGAGCGGTTGGGCCATCCAAATTGATTATGAATTTGTTCTTGAGCCCCCAGTCGAAGAAGGGACCGGTTATCACGGCCGTGTAGCCAAAGTCTTCGTCCTGCCCTGCGATCTCCTGCAGTTTTTGAGCCACGGCGACCTTATCCCCGAATACCGGTAGCTGTGCGGTCAATTGGTTTGCAGTATCGCTGCCGAATTCCGATGGGATGTATCTCTGGACCTTCGCAGCATGGGCAGCATCAACGAGGCGAAGGTGGATATCGCGAGGAACCACACCAACCCCCAGCGCATTAACGAGTGCATCTTGGCCGGTCAAAGCCGCAGTGAGAGAATCAAGCGACTCATAGTCCACGACCTGAACGTTGATTCGGGGATCCAGTTGATGCGATGTTGAACGGCTAAGGAGAGTTATCTCAAAGCCTGCATCCAGGGCCGCATTGACAATAGCGGGACCGAGGTTGCCGGTGCCCTACTCTTGTCAGCATTCTCAATGTAGTCTCCCAGATCGAAAGATAAAAAACCTACCCCGGCAATTGCTACTTTGTGAATAGCCATGGAGAATGGACGGTGATTGTGGTAGTGCGGGTGTGGCTAAAAAGATGGTTGGGCTTATACAACGATACTGCGAAAAGTAAGGAGCTCATTCCGTGTCATCTTCGAGTTTATATACGCCTCATCGAGCATGCAGATCGATTCGCAATCCTTACTATGGCGACATGTTATCCAGAATGCTGTGTAATCACCTCATCTGGCGAGGATCAAGTTGGAGGATGCTTTCCAGACTTCCGGCGGAATTGCCCCGCGGGCCGCCACAGCGTTTGTCAGCCATCACCAATCCGGCACGCCGATGGCGCGAGGTGTCGAGAATCGAACTGGCGTGATTATGAATATATGACAATCAATTATCTAAGCAGAAGTGACCAGAATAAGCTAACAACTGCAGTTTTGAATAAGAATTGGCTCTGAGGGACCACAGGTGGCGGCTAGATTGCGCGTGACTTGGTGGCTGATTGGGCCTTGGTGTTGACACCGCTTCGTTTCTCTACACCCACATGCTTACAAGTTGTGCTCAAATGATGAAATTGGCTCTCTCACATTCTCTGGTACTCGAAGGTAGAAAATGGTCGCACTTGTGCGAATACAATGCTTGTATCTCAAAATGAGCTCTGTCACCCTTGATTTAAATGCAATTCATGTGATTCTGTGTCTCCGTATTCATCAACACATGCATTCGCAAATCTCATAAACCACGTTTATTCGGATGCTCTCAGCGATGCGATCGTCATAAGCTTTTTTCGGCCATTTCCTCCAAACAACTTGTTTCTCTTGTTTGTCCCTTTAGAGCCTACTATCAAGTAGTTGGGATGATCGAGAGGAACTCTCCTCGCCTCTAAATGTCTCGGGGTTATCCATTGCATCTCATCGCAAGCCTGAAGCTGCCAACCTACGTTTGGCGTTTGAGGAAGCCACCGAAGAACTTGCCAATCTCGGCATAATCGCGAAGATCCATCACGGCAGACACATCTAGTAGCATGATGAGCAAACTGGTGCCAGGTATTGATTGTTTAATTTGACTTACATTGGTCTGGTCGGACGATGATCAATGCTCCCTGTGTAGGGTTGATGCCGAGGAACTCGTATGCATGGCCGGGTCCCTTATTGTAGCTGTCATCGTCGTAGTAAATCTTGTGCAAGTCTGCCAATTAAGTTAGATCAAGTTGAATCGGGAAATCCACGAGTCACTGGTCACCATCACTCACCTCGCGTTTGATTCTTGCCGGCCACAGGATAGAAACACGTCGGGATTTGCTCAAGCTCCACTTCATGTCGCTTGCCATAGCCCACAACGATGGTTTCGATCAGGCTGTCGACATCCCGAGTCTTTGGCGTGAAAGTTTGGATAGGGCCATCAGACGAGGAAAGATATTCTCCGAGCTGTAACACCGATGAGCAGGTGGGAAAAAAAAATCGGTCGCTCGTATCCAGGTCAAAGCACTTACAGTGTTCAATTTTGTACGGTTCGCAGGGATTGATAGATCACCCACAAACGCCATGATGCGCCATTTCCCATCTGACTTGAGGGACTTCATGAGCTGTAAAGGTTTCGAGTCACAGAATCGCACGACTTGGGCGCTGGGGAGTCGCATGCCAACGACCACATTTGAGGCCAGCTGAGTCGATTCTAGCGCAGTAGTTATGGGAGACACGTCGTATTTTGCCGTCAAGCCAGCTGTATACTTCCCGGATTGAATAAAGCCCTCCTGAAATTCCGCTGGGGTGGTTTTAGCTCCGGAGGAAAAGAGCTTCGAAAAGTATCGATCGAAATTGATCAGGTCGATAGCGACCTTTTGCCGTTCCAGAACGTATGTTTCTAGTAGCAAGGGACTGGCCAGTCCAGTCAGTATCTCTCCAAGCTTCCAGCCAATGTTGTACCCGTCCTGCAGGCTGACATTCATTCCCTGGCCAGCCTTAGGGGAGTGGGTGTGGCAAGCGTCACCGGCCAGGAAGACCCGGTGGTCCTTGTGGAAGGAGTCGGCATGGCGCTGGCCGATCGCATACGCGGACCACCAGACCGTCTCAACAAACTCGACTTTATAAGGCTCGAGGATGTTCTGGGCCTGGCGCTGCAGATTTTCCAGGGTAACGTCCTTCGGGTTTGTTCCCGGGGCGAGCTCGATATAGAAGCGGGTCAGGTTGTTACTGTCCCCTTCGCGGGGAATAATCAGAATGTTTCCAGCCTTGGACCGAATGGTAGACTTTTTGCGGAAATCGGGGAAGTCTGTTCGAGGGATCATGTCCATCACGCCCCATACGGCGTCACTGCTGTCTCCGATCATCTTATACCCCAGAGCTTTGCGGACGATACTGTGAGCACCGTCACAGGCCTGTGATGGATTAGATATTTGGAACTCGGGACACACTGGTTCTGTTAATAGAAAGGCCACCTACCAATACATATTTCGCCGCAAAGACATCGGCCATGCCATCCTTCTCTGCTGTTACTGTGACTGGATATGCGTCGGGATCCGCAGCGGAGGCGCTATCGACTTCAACGGAGATAACATTGTATCCGTAGTCGATCTGCTGGTCATTGTACTTGCGCATCAGCTCAATAAGAAGCCCATTGATCCGCGCCTGGTTCAAGATGACGTGCGGTTGGTGTGATAGTCCCGGCTGCGTATCCGCCGTGCGTCCGGTGCGTTTGATGGCGCCAGAGCCATCGTCGGCCCAAAAGTTAACCTCGAGAACATGATATGCCTCCCGGAGCAGCTCCTCGCCTATTCCAAAGCTTTCGAAGATCTCGACGGTCCGACACTGCACCCCATCCGCCTGGCCCATCGTCATGGGGCCATCGCGGCGCTCCAGCACTTTGCAGCGCACGCCGTACCGGGCCAGCCAGGTCGCGGCGCAGAGACCGGCGGATCCGCTGCCACAGATGAGCACGTCGACTTTTTCCTTAGTTGGCTGCATGGTGTCGATGTCGAACTGTCTGTGCGTCTTCCCCCGCGGGGAGCATCTTTTATGGGCGGTGCCCGGGATGCATTCCGAAGCAACTCGGGATACGCTCCGGGCGTGGTGGACGTTGCGGGACCCGCCACTCAACGGGGGAATGCCCTCGGCAGCTCTTCCAAAGGAATCATCCCAGGGTGCATTCAAGGCCCGGATGGCACGGCAAGTGTCGGTCGACCCCGTGGGTGCCGTGCTGCACTCCGGATTTTCGGCTTTCGGCTACCCCGGGGAGAGAAGAGAGGAAAGTACAATACGATGGTACGGTGGAGACGCAGAGTATAGACATGATTTCGTCTCTAGATCATTATATATGCTCGTCAATTCCCAAAAAACGAAACAAAGAAAAGCTCGACCCAACGCCGGCGCCCGTGCAATGGCAATTGCAAACACATGATTTTACAAGAAGTACTCGCTGCGGCCCGGCCGCGAGGTTGGCATGTGTCGCTGGTCATCACTGACCGCGCTGAACAGCTTGAAGGTGGGCTTGAGGTCGTCGCCGATCTCACAGACCGAGGCCAGGTTACCGCACCGGTAGCAATAGTTTGGAGCACTCCAGACAGTGACAACATTCTGGTTCGAGAAGTGATACTTGTATCCTTCGTTTACCAGTTGGTGGGCACGCGCAATCAAGGAGAGATCGTTCACATGGCAGAACTCGTCAGCCACGCGATCACCGAACAGCCATCCTGGAGACAAATTAGTATACTGATGGATGCAGGGATTCGAAGTGAAAATGGGCTCCGGACTCACCGGCTCCTCGAGGGCTAACAGCCCACGTCTCGACATCGTCTGGATCGGACCAGACCAGATCGCAAAAGGCGCCCTCGTGGGGATCTCTTGCGCGCGGGCCACCACGCGCACCTGGTCGAGAGTGCGGATCTCCGGACTCAGTCCGCCGTGAACACACAGGACTTTGCCGTCAATGATGGCGCCCAGCGTCATGAAATCGAAGACCTGGCAACAAGCCTTCCACACAGATGCGCTGCCATATTTCTGGAAACATTCCTCGTAGAATCCGTATACTTGTGTGATCTGCCGAGATTCGTGGTTGCCACGCACCAATGTGACTCGATCGGGATACCTGGTCGGAGGGTGTCAGCAATGCTCACGCTCATCATCTTCGACCTGACTTGAGACGGTCACCTACTTCGCCTTGAGACACAGCAACAATGTCAGTGTTTCCAGACTAAAGTAGCCACGATCGACGTAATCTCCCAGGAAGACAAAGTTGCGATTGAGCTGAAGGGCGGATGATGTTTCACTGGCGGACCGACTATGGCTGGGCTCAGGGTCCTCTCCCTCCTCGTCATCATGCTGGGAACCACGCAACTTCTTTCGGATCTTGGGGTCGGTGATGGTGGAAGGGGGTTCGATGTCGGCGGAGGTGATTATGGAGGGTGAGGTTTTGGGGGCGTCGAGCTCGGTGCCATCTGGCATTCCGCCCGATACGCGGAAGAGCTCGAGGAGGTCGTAGAACTGGCCATGAATATCACCGCAGATGGTGACAGGGGTCGACACGGGCTGGATATTGGATTCTGGGGTGAGGAACACGGGGTCAGCCGTGGCTCGCAGGATTCCCTGGGATGCCCGAGTGCCACCCGCGGGCTCGGGGAGAGCGTGTGCACACCTTCCATCATGTATTCCTTGACCATCTCGCAGAGCTGCTTCATATGGGCCTCGGAAAGGTACTTGCAGTCCTTTGCAGCCTCCAGCCACTCGTCTGGACCTGCATTGCGCTTCAGTTTGGCCGGTCCCGGCTGAGGGACCTTGCTGTCGGTCATGGCGGCGGAGAATGGTGGAGGAGAAAGGCGGGCGCGGCGCAGAAGAAGCGGGGCGTTCAGGCCGCACTTGACGGGTCACGTTGGCACCACGAATGATTTGGGAGTTCAGGTGAGGAAAAAGGAAATTATGGTCAACTGATGGAAATTACAATATGGGCAAGCAAAAAATGACGGCAATCAAACAAAAAAAAAAAAGCAAAAAACAATGGGAAGCTAGGAAATAGCAGCCGAACGCGGTAACCACTGCGCCACTCCGACCAACGTCGGAGCCAGGATTCGAACCTGGGCACCCGAAGGAATTCGGTGAGCTTAACCATTGCACTATCCCATTGCTTAGGAATATATGGCCCGTTAGGGATATATGAGCAACTTGGCAAGAATCACAACCCAGCCAACACTACCCTACACCTTGGATACAGGGCAACGCGTAAAGAATCTCATAAGGCTTAGGATAGCATTTAACAAAATCAAGTATTATTTAATTTTTCCAGGCGTTTAATTAATGAGTACTCGGCGATTTTCAAAGCATCCCTAGTAGAAAATCTGACACTTCCTGAGGCATTGTCTCCTGTCGGTGCCACGTTCATGGATATATTATCATGTTGTTCGAATACTTGATTTGAGATCGACGATATTGATCAAGCCATCACACTTACAATTGCAGTGTGTATCTGATTTCAGCTTGAACTCACATTCATGTTTCACACGAAACCAAATTTTGATGCAAAACACGACTGGGTGCTGGGTAGCTTGCAGGACCCAGTTACTAGCATGGAAATACAATCCACTGACTACAGTTAATGTGTACAAGAAGCTGTTTCAAGACATCTTCATCAATATCATCATTTTGCTATATACGTGACAAGTCTATTGATCGGACCACATGCATCATCCAAGGCCAATTCTGCCCTTAAGCATCAATCTTGCCCAGGAAGTCAGTCACCACCTGCGCAAACGCCTCGGGTTGCTCCACCATGGGCAGATGGCCGGCCTTCTCGATGATCTTCAGCTCTGCGCCGCCTTTGAGATCCGCCGCCATCTTCTGCATGGTCTGGGGCAGCACTCCGTCGTTGGCACCGGCCACAAACAGGCCCGGTACGGTCGCGCTGGCCATGCGCTCGCGGATGTCGTAGGCGCATAGCGCCTGGACACTGTGTTCGAAACCCTTCAGGCTGTTGGTACGGACCGCCTCCTTGACTGCTGCCAGCACCTCGGGCTGGGTCTCGTACGACTCCGGGACGAACCAGCGTCGCGTCGTCACCTCGGCCAGGTTCTCTCCGACAATGGGCTCCTGGGTCTCGGCGCTGACGGAGCCTTCCTCCTTGCACATGGCGACGCGGTCGCTCCATGCCTTGCGGTTGGACTCGGGCGCGGATGAGTTGGTATCGCAGGAGATGAAGGCGCCCACGCGCTCGGGGAAGAGAAGCGAGGTGTTGAGCACCGTCACGCCGCCCAGGCTCACACCGATCAGGCGCGCGGCCTTCGGGGGCACTCGGAGGTGGTCGAGAAGAGTGTTCAGATCGGAGGCGAGCAGGTCGATGTTGACGGGCTGCGAGCCGCTTGCCGAGTGGCGGCCCCGCGTCAGATACCGCACGACGCGGTAGCGCTGGTTCTCCCTACGCGCGAGGAAGGCATCCACGAAACGGTCCCAGATGTGCCAGTCGACGAGGATGGAGTTGCTGAGCACCACGACGGGGGCGGTCGGGTCAGTGCTGCCCTCGAGGCGGTAGGGGATCTCGACACCATCAGCCGTTGTCACGAAGGACTCGACGGCTGGACGGGTGGTGGAAGGGAATGTGCGTGTCTTGCCGTCGTTGGAGGACCAGGGACCGGCGCAGTCGTGGCTGGCCAGCGAGCTCAGCTCGCGGGGGCCGGGCCAAAGGTGTAATACCACTGGTAGGTCCGTCGGCGCTTGGAGGCCACGACGTCCTTCTGCAGGCGTTCGCGCCAGGGGGTGCTCATGGCGGCCTTGTGGGCGTCGCCGCCGAGGCCGTTGACGGGGGCATATTCGTGCAGGGCCAGGGTCTCGCGCGGGGCCTGGGTATCGATGGCGGCGGTCACGAAGAGACGGCTGCGGCGCCAGCCGGGGACGCGAGAGAGCATCTCGAAGTGTTCGTCGCGGTACCAGCGGTCATGCTCGGCCTGCTTCTCGGGGTCGGGGTGGGTGGTGGTGGTGACGGCGACCATGACGCTGCCGCGGGTCTCGGCATCGGTGTCGGCTTGCGTCTCCAGCGGGCGATAGTCGGACACGCGGCGCTCGTCCACGAGGTCGTACAGCAAACGGCCGACGTCGATCTGGGCCATGGTCTTCTTCTCGCGCTCCGTCTTGATCAGATCGGTCCGCAGGTCCAGGTAGGTCTTACGGGTCAACTCGTCCATGTCGGTGATGTCGTAGAGGGCGACATACTCGGGCTGCTCGCCGTCGGTGGCTCGGAACCGGAAGCCATTGGTAATGAAGGGCAAACGCAGGCGCAGCGGACCATGCTCGGTGTTGTACCAGTCGTGGAATTGCGCCTCTGGAAGCGAGCCCTTGGGCTGCATCGTCACGTAGAGGAGGCCGGGGGTAGGCATGATGGCGGGCGATCAGATGCAGACAGAGGCAGAGGCAAATGCAAAAGCAGCAGGAAAAGTGATGCTCAGATGCAAAATGCAACTTGAGGATCAGAAAGGAAAAGCCCGCTCCCCAGGGAAGCAGCGCATCTCGATCGTAATCTGGCTGGTGCCCCTCGGCAGGTCCCTCCAAAGTGGCTCCGGAAGAAAGCAAAGCGCAACCGATGTCGACTGCCGATTTCCCCGGATTTCGTCACCGCTCTCTTTTCCACCACTATACTACAGTTTACTAAAACAGTACTACCGATACTACGTCTGCTAGTACGGTATCTAATATATGCAATACACATATATATTCTCTATATATGCAATTCCATTTGTCTTCGCTTTTAATAGACGAGCAGTCATACAGTGCTTCGTCTCAAGTCTATACAGTCATGAATTCGTTCTATATACGCGTTCTCGTCTAGTCGTACCAGATCGCATTCATGCCAAAGCCCTGCTCTGGGATGTCGACGCGGGCGACGCGGGCCAGGGTCTCGTCGCGCCAGCGATACATCTCGACAAAACCCAGCTGGTCGTCGCACAGGGCGAGCCACTCGTCGCTGAAATCGCAGGGGCTGACAGCGTTGGAGTGGCCGCCGCTGGTGGAGGTGGGGTTGATGAAGAGCTGGCGCTCGATCTCGCCGGACCGACCCAGCTTGAACGCGGTAATGTAGCCAGTCACATCGAAGTGGTTGGAGCGGGTGGTCGCAAACAGGTACTCGCCACTGCGGGTGGTGAAGGTCACGTCGCCGCGGTACTTGTTGCGGGGTGGCAAACCTGGGGGAAGCTTCAGCAGACGCAGACTTTCTGGGGGAACCAGCCGGAAAAGCGATTTCGACGGATTTCCCCACCTCGTGGGTTCGGAAAGGTTGAGAACTTACCAGACGGCAACAACGGGTAGGTGATGTGGGTGAAGACGGGCTTGTGGGTGCGCTCGTCGATCACGTAGACGGCCAAGCGGTTGCCAGCCTCCATCAGGGCGTACAGGTACTTACCACTGGGGTGCATCTCGACCCAGCGCGGGTGGTCGCCGGGGTCGGGCGCCTCCAGGCAGTCGACCAGGGTCAGTTGGCCGGCCTCGTCCTTCTTGTGCGTCCAGATCTTGTTGGCCTGAAGGTCGGCGGAGTAGAGATAGGTCTCGGTGGGGTCGAAGACCATGCCGTGAATGCCAGTGTTCTCGGCGTATTCGTAGTTCTGGACATTCTGGTCAAGCGCGCCGTCGGGGGTGACGGAGAAGACGTTGCCAAAGCCGGCGTGCTTGTAGAAGGGGTTGCCGTAGACGTTGAAGGGCGCTTGGCGGGCGGCCAGCACGAAGATGGCGCGGGTGTTGGTGTCGGCGCTGGCGGCAAGGGCTGAATACACAAAATTAGTACAGCGCACTTCCCTTGAAGGATCATCCAATCCAGTGCGCATTTTCAGTCGCGGCAATGCGACCATGCGACCATGCGCCAGAGAATCTGGGAGGAGCTAGCTGGACTTACGGTGGCCGGCGACCGGGTGAGACGCCTGGTGGACAATCTCGGTCGGGCTGTGGACGGCGAAGCTGTTCCACTTCTTCATGGCAGCGCCATAGATGGCCTTCTTGTCGTGCGAAAAGGTCATCCACGAGATGGGCTCGGCCTCGGGGATGTCGGTCTTCTTGACCAGGTCGAGGGTGAGGGCCTCATCGTCGAACTGGACGGTGTAGATGCGCCCGGGGGCGGTCCAGGTTCCGACCATCAGATGGTGCTTCATGGCGGCGGCGGGGGAGTGCGAGAAGGATCGGGCGTGTCGGGGCGTCGCGACCAGGCGACGGAGAGAGATCATACGATGGAGAGGAAGCCGAGACGAGGATACAGAATATAGCCAGATGTACTAGGTGCCCTTAATGGGACTAGGCGGGATAAGCGTTCGGGGCGGGGGAGCGGCATTGTCTCTTTTACAGTACCCTACGGCTATACTACTCTATACTCTAGTGGAAGTCCATACTGTGCAGTGGCAACACCTACTTAGTAGGTAGGAGAATCGGCACTGTGCAAAACGCACTCCCGGCCGGGAGTTGGGCGGGCGCGGCTGCCGAGTCGCAGGCCGGGCCTCCCCACGTTGCTTGCCGACGCTGCGGTCCGGGGTTGTCTTCAGCCTCTGAAGGCACGGCGCGATGGTCATCTATAAATCTGGTTCTCTACTCTCTTGCACCTCTATCTACATCTCTCACTGTCTTCCATCCCATCACTACTCTCGGGGAATACTTCCTTGATCTCAATACCTCCGACCCTCCATATATCACACTAGTATAAACCATCTTCACTATGTCGACCAACTCTCGCTTCGACCCCAACTTCACCCCCTACGTGGTCAACGCCATGGGTCCCAACACCCCCGAGCGTGCCCGTGTCATCCTGGGATCCCTCATCACCCACATCCACGATTTCGCCCGCGAGGTCGAGCTGACTCCCGCCGAGTGGATGATGGGTGTCGAGTTCATCAACTCCATCGGCAAGATCAGCACTCCCATCCGCAACGAGTGCCACCGCATCTGCGATGTCATCGGTCTCGAGTCCCTCGTCGATGAGATCGCCAACAAGATCGTCACTGAGAAGGGCGAGTCCCCTACCTCCAACGTCATTCTGGGCCCCTTCTGGTCCCCCAACGCACCCTTCCGCGCCCTCGGCGACTCCATCATCCAGGACCCCAAGCCCGACGCCAAGGTCACCTACATGCACGGTGTGCTGACCGACATGGAGACTGGTGCCCCCATCGTCGGCGCCGTCCTCGACATCTGGCAGGCTTCCTCCAATGGCCAGTATGACTTCCAGGATCCTACCCAGTCCGAGAACAACCTGCGCGGCAAGTTCCGCTCCAACGAGAAGGGCGAATTCTACTGGTACTGCTACCACCCAACCCCTTACTCGCTGCCCACCGACGGCCCGGCTGGTGCCCTGCTGAACCTCATGGACCGCTCCCCAATGCGTCCCGCCCACATCCACCTGATGATCACCCACCCCGATTACGCCACCGTTATCAACCAGATCTACCCCAGCGATGACCCCCACCTCGACATCGACTCCGTCTTTGCAGTCAAGGACGATTTGGTTGTCGACTTCAAGCCCAAGACCGGTGACCCCAAGGCCACTCTGGACCTGAACTACCCCGTCACCATGGCCCTGAAGAAGCACCACCCCAACCCCAACTCCGCCCCTCCCGTCTCCTCCTTTGAGCGCTTCAACAAGGCCGGCCCGGTCCAGCAGAAGTTGTAGGGACCTGCGAAGAGGAAAGTGATTTGAAAATTTGGCATTGCATTTTGTGGGATTTAGCGATTTGACTTGTTTTTCCTTGTTCGGCCGTGTATGCTACCGATACATCTACACACACACACACACAATCAGATGAGACCAATGACAACGACTCACGTTGAATAATACCCCAAGGTACTGATATAACCTTTTTTTTTTAAAAAAAAAATTTAATAGTGTCAATCCAGAGTAGATCCGCACGCGACCTGCAGCTGCCCCTCCCACAATTCGCAACGTGCATGCTCCACTCGCTAACCAGTTGCATCACTCGAGGGGCGATCTCGAGCCGCTGCGGTTGGCATTCGGGCTGCAGACGCCCTGGTCCAATCAAGGGGTGGCCCAAGATGCTTATTTGGTGAAATTGGACCCTGATTCGTAAGACCTGAAGAGTCTACCGTAGGGTACTGTACTAATAGTAGTATTGATTGATAGCTGGAAGGTACTAGTGGTCAATCATGGGCAATTTTCAAAAGTTAACAATATCATTTTTACATTTTGTTATACTTTCGTTTGCATTATTATTAGTTTTAAAAAACAATGGTAGCTGTGATTGTACTATGCAGTTCTAAGGTAATGGACTTGGTGATCTGACCAAGCATACTAACCTTGGAAAGTACCAGCTAACGTTAGTAGTTAGTAAGTTAGTGGGTAGTTATCGGAGAGGTACCTTAGGCAGTTAGAGCATGGACTTGGTGGTTTACCTGCCAGTGGTCTTCGACTTGCTCATGAAACTTCCCCCGCGGGCAATTCGCTTTTGCCTCTCCCCCGGCATTACCCCTCTCCATCGGACGATGCTGGTCGGCTGTCGCCACAGCCGGAGAAAGGCTTCCCCAGCGCGCGGAAGAGATCTTACCCGCTCGCTCCCCGCGCGTCGGCAGCGACGACACCCGTCGTCGGTTGTGGCGATCCTGTGATGCCGGCGCTGTTGCGGTCTTCGGCTGATCGCTGGGGCAGCCGTGGTCGTCGGGATCCAAGGCCAAAAAGTCCATGGACGCTCTGCGACGCCCAAATATCCGCCTCTGGAGACTCCTGTCTGCTCGTCCGCCCGTTCGTACCATGCGTCTTCCGTACGCCCCCAACACGCCGCCCGCCGATGCGCCCGCCGACACGGCGGACATTTATACACGCATCGCGGCGCGCCGGAACCCTCGTCCCCTCATCCCGCTGGACCTGTCTCTCCTGCACAGTCCGCCGGTCGCCGATGGCTGGAACAGCTTCCTCGGCGCCATCCGCTCGCGCACCATCGTCGATTCGGGTATCTTGGAGCTCGCGGTGTGCCGCGTCGCGGTATTGAACGATGCCGTGTATGAGTGGAATGCGCATGCGCCGCTCGCGCTCAAGGGTGGCATCAAGCCCGAAGAACTGCAGGCGGCGCGCACGCTGCCGTGCACCGCAGAGGGCAACCAGTCAGAGCTGGAGAGCAGCGCGCTCACCCCGCAGCAACGGGCAGTCCTGCAATATACCGACCAGATGACCAAGACGGTCAAGGTCCAGGACGCTGTCTTTGCCCAACTGCAGACTGTTGGGTTCAATGATCGCGAGATCGTCGAGTTGACCACCGGCATTGCTGGGTACAATTGTGTTAGTCGGTTCCTGGTCGCTTTGGATGTCGGCGAGAACAACGCTCGCGAGATGAAGAGTGTCGACGAGCTAGTGGCTGCTCTGCAGTAAACCGAGAGCAGTTCGACAAAAAAGGAGGGGAAGGCTCTCTCTTTACGCGACGATGCAGAGAGTGGGACTCGCGTGGAGACAGACTGGAGCCGGGGTGAACTGTAAGGGGGGGACTACATCATCCCCACAGACCTCTTTTGGACATAGTGGAGCCTTGTGCCCATGGAATGAATTACGAAGTACGAAAAAGCATATGTGTATGGAAGAATCTCGTATTGAGAGAAAACCGATGGTTTACCTTGGGGCAGGAGGGCGGCGGACGCCTTAAAAGAGAAGCCGACTGCCCTGGATTCAACATGGCGAGGAGCACTAGATCCGTAGTTGTAACCTGATGTTATTACAATTGAGTACTATCCGTCCTAGGGTACCAACCATTGTGATCGACTAACTGTCAAATGTCGAAGGGGCATTGGGAGGCAATGCTCAACTGTAATCAAGTCAAATGTTCACACCTGCATAGCAATTTTCATCCGAACAGGTTGGCTATATTCATATCATTTACCGCCACAATTTCAACTTTCTGATTTGTTTACGGTGGTTTGTTCGGTTTGGCTGAAATTATCGCCTCTGTTACTGTCATTCAGGCATTATCTGCTTGAGCGGTAAATCCCCGCCACATCTGTTTGCCACTAAAACTGTATCTTAGGACAAAGCACAACCATATGTTGGTGCCACATATTTAGACACGACAGTAAATAACAAGAAGAGCAGCAGAAGGGGAAAAAAGAAGAGAAAAGAGAAGGAGTAACCTTGGAAATCGGGAGAATAAAGGCCCATGCGGCTAGCGGTGCCAACACCGAATCTGATTTCTGCGAGTCCAATCGATCCATGCGAACGCTGAATCCGAAAACTCGGAATAGGGATACCTCATTTTTTGCTTATCCAACAAGATTAAACCAACCATTTGTTGAATTAATATTGAGCAATCGAGCATTGAGAATGGTGAGAGGACTAACTATGGGCAAGAGTCGCGTCGATACAGACAGCACCAGTCAAACTCGAGAGAAGAATGATCACGATCCATGAAGGGTCGTACAATATTCAATCCTAGTATTCCATTCTTCCTAGAACAGCCAATAATTTCCGACTCTTTTCATATTGTGGAGGCAAAATTGCTCGAGGAGGGGAATGTGCAGCGTCACCGGCTACAAAGCAGGATCTCCCCAGGATGACCTAGGCGTCAATTATCCGAAATCAGCCTACAGCTACTCGAAAGGCAATTTCCGGACTAAAGTGTGGAGGGATGAGGGATGCGCTAATTACTGGCTCTGGAATCAACATAACCTGTCTAGTCGGAGCGGTCTCCGCATGGCGTTGCTGCAGGTGCCTGCAGAAGCGACACCTGCAGCGCAAGTCACTGCGGGCAACCGGCCTGAAGAACACCCTGCTCCCATGCGAGGGCGGGCATATACGTCGGGTGATTCTGGTTGCTCGGACGCTAGTACTAGTGCTGACCTGCAGGGGTTGCAGCGTTAATTGCACGGCTGCGGGGGAGGCGACTAGTTCGTAGTATGCCCGAGGATCAACAAGGCGAGTCACTCGAATGCATGACCCACGGAGACTACGAGACAACAATTTGGCATTTGGAATTGGACCATGCTGGCTCGAACTTTCGGAAAAATATCAAGTTGTGAAGAGATATGGAAAACAGCAGTCTCAGAAGAAATAATAACATTCGTGCAATCTACTTATCGCAATCACAATTTGCCGGCTCATCTTGCCTCGTTGCTGCCACCTCTTGAGCCCATATTTGCTCTACAGACACTGGGAATAATAATCGTTCTGCTTGGTGCAGGTGTAAGGGCTGGCACAAGTGGTCGCGCCAGTCCAGCCACTACCACCACACTGGGCATAGTGAGCTGCCCCAGTAGTGCTCGAGCCGGTCGTAGTGGTAGTCTTGGTAGTAGTGGTAGTGGTGCTGCTTTTGCTCGTAGTCGTCGTCGAGCCCGATCCGCCAGAACTGGAATCGGACTTGTAGGTCGAGCCGAGCGGACCGACCTTGATGTTCGAGTAGATAACATAAGCGTTGGCGTTCTCCGATTCGACGGTGGCGGGGTCGCCGGAGGAGATATCACAGGTACCTCGGGCGGCGCCGGGCGTACTGGAAGTGGCGGTGGTTGGGTAGATGCTGTCGAGCCAGAGCATGTTGGCAGCGTGGTCATCCCACAGGCTCATCACCAGCACCATTCCCTCGGCTAAGGCCGCACCCATGCCCTCGAGACCGCCATGGGCGCTAAAGCTATCTTTGTCACCAAAGGCCTTCTTCTGAGCCGAGCAGAAGTCGGTGGTGATCGAGTTGCCGCTAACACCGCTCACGGTTGATGCAGACTGGGAGATCACCTCGCCATCTTGGACATAGAAGCGCTTAATCTCACTGAGTGTGCCGGAAGAAGTTCCGTCGTCGGTGATGAACTGGGTCACCACCGTGAAGGGAGACGATGTGTCGACCGTCTTGCCAGGTCCATAGAAGGAAGTGTTGCCCATACGGTACGGGTTGAAATCACAACCATCCGGATCGCAAGTGCCAGCATAGCGATCAGAGCTGTATGTACCGCCACAGGCATCGCCTTCACACATAGTCTGGGTAGGGGTATCGCAGGGATGAGGCGTGACAGCATTCGAGATGGAGTTGGCCTCCCAGATATCCATTTCAGCACAGCAGGAACCGTGATTGCCTGTGCCAGCATTGACATCATTGTCGGACGGTTCCCAGCCGTCCACATTGGCCTGACCATCAATGAACTTGAGATCGCGCGGGCACTGCGAGTCACAGTAACCGGTTCCGTATTTGGCACCCGCTCTGTTCGTTGGGAAGCGCGACATGCCACCGTCGGCATCCATCGAGACAAAGTACAGTGCGCCGTTCAGACCGCAGGGGAGATTGGACACATCGACGTCGAAAGTGAACTCTTGGTTCAACAGGTCGAAGATTTGGTAGGTACTTTCATCCTCGAGTAGATACAGACGAGAGCCGATATTCTTTTGCGACGCTGTCGTAACAAAATTCAGGCGCAGCTCGTCACCGCTGGTGGTGACACCGTAGGTACTGGCATACGAGGCTCCGTCAACGGCACAGGCAGAGGCACAGCTCACATCATCAGTGCAGATCGAAGTGTCCCACTCGTTGCCGGTGTAGCAATTGGTGTATCCATTCGTTTCGTGAACCCAGCGCCAGTTGGCATCAATGACCACGCTGCCAGTCGTGGAGGTACAGCTGCCACCGCTGGTGCACTTAGACCAGGTCAAAGACGGATGGGTCTCTGTCTGATAGGTACCAACTTGCTGTGCCTGGACCGAAGTCAGGAAGGCAGAGAGAAGCAGAGCATTCTTGTAGACACGGTAAGAGAGAGTAGCAGCCATTGTGGAATTATATCACTGTGGTCTTTGGGGCTTGGATACTCGAGGCCGATGGGGATGATTGGAGAGGCTGTCGGGCCTGGTTAGAGAGCTTTTTTATATCAATTCCTCGAGATTGAAGCCCATCCCAATGTGACTCGAGGTTTATGATTTTCCTTAGCTCCACGGCAGTCCGGTCCGTTGCACCGCGATGAGGAACCCATTCTATTGTCCCAAAGGAGAAGGGAAGTCTGCCCTCCGTGGACACGGAGGAAGCCTCCCATACTCCCTGAAGTGGTATGGGGCGAGCCTAGATCGCCTTCTGCACTAGGTCTCGCTTTTCCTGGTTTTTGCAGCCCTCTCGCGATGATGTCCGTGTCGAGAGGAGTGCCATCGTGCAGATAGTTTGAGCCCACCTGGAGGTTTCCTGGCGACCATACTGTTTTCGCCGAGGCCGCGCGGCTAAAGAGGAAGGAAATTGCAGTCCCACGACCGAAATGAGCGATATTGCGTGGTCCGTGACGGGATGGTCGTTGCACGGGTTCTGCAGGCTTCCATCGGTAATTGCACCCTGGCGCCACTAGCTCGCAGGGGCATTCATGCATTAGCGCGGTGGTGGTGGGGAGTGGAAGAGGGATTCATCAGGCGTTGATCGCGGGGGTGGTGGAAGTCCAGGGTCGAAGTGCGTCGGCACATTGGCAACATGCGGAGTTCACAGACCACGCTCAAAAACAGGTTGTTGGTTGACCGGTTCAGCTGGTTTTTGATGAAGCCAGTGGTTGAAAGTAAGTTGGGAAGACCTATTTGCATGATGACAGTAGAAAGCGACCTCACGTGACTAACCAGATATTCAAGTTGAGCCTGTGTTTGAACAACCTCGCCATCATGTGCTTGCCTAAGAAGGAAAGTGCCAAGAAGAGACGCGGGTATGTGCCGTCCAGTGGTGGCTGGTGTTGGGAGATACTTGGTAGCTGCGCCATACTGGGTGAGGTTCAAGATCCTCGACGAGCCCCTGGCTCTACTTCATATAGGGTACCACAGGTCTCACGGCTTCCATTTTTCATTTTCATTTCATGTCCTCAATTACCCAAATGACATAGGAAGCACGATGACTGCCAGTGCGTGTTATATTAATGTTGAATTCCCGCATTTTCGACAATGTCCCTTATTGACCACTGGCGAGTAGCCTCACATGCTCGACCTTTGCACGAACTTGAAGCTGGTGAATCACGGAAGTCAACATCGACGCTCCGGGCTCAAAGCAATTGCGAATGTTAGTCCTAACTGCCCACGCCGTATATACGATCACATACTGTTATTATTAGCCCGTGGTGCTGCATGGTTATGTGAGGAAATTGGAACATGATGACTCGGACATTCAGGAGCCTTTCAATATGTATCCCCAGGGTATCCTAAGGTATACACTAGGGCATTAGTAGCTAGTAGATCTGCAGGAATGATATGGGATCGACCATGTATTGCCCGATACTGTGAAGTATGTGATTGTCCTGTCCACGCACACCTCGAGCTCGCCGTCCTCTTGCTCTACGCTACTGACCTTGTTCAGACACAATGTTGGCATGAATTGTCGACTTCTGTTTCACATTGGTTTCAAGTGGACACTCTTCTTCGGCGGACAGAATAAGAATTAGGGTTGGCACGGCGGGGCCGATCGGGTGAGTCAGCGCCGCGATCGGCCGAGGGGCAATTTTGGACGGTTGGAGATTTTCGTTTGTTTTTATCTTCCATCGCAATTGCTCTCGCTCGAGGCACCATACGGATTCAACACCGTCAGCATGGCCACCAGCTTCATCCTCACCCTTTCCGGCCCCGACCGGCCCGGCATTGTCCACGCCGTGACCGCGTTCCTGGTCAAGCACAACCTCAACATTGTGGACTCATCGCAGTTTGGGGACCCCACCTCCCAGCGCTTCTTCATGCGTGTGCGCTTTGCGCCCGCCGGCGAGGAGCAGTCTACGCTCGAGAGCCTGCAGACGGCCTTCGAGCCAACGGCCAAGGACTTTTCCATGGACTTCGAGATCCACCCCGCAACCCAGAAGCCCCGGGTGCTGATCATGGTCTCGAAGATCGGCCACTGCCTCAACGACCTGCTCTTCCGCCAATCCACCGGCCAGCTGAGCATCGAGATCCCTCTGATCGTCTCCAATCACCCGGAATTCGCCGCGCTCGCTGCAACCTACAACATTCCCTTCCATCATCTCCCCGTCACTGCCGACACCAAGGCCCAGCAGGAGTCCCAGGTGCTGGAGCTGGTGGCCCAGAACAACATCGATCTGATCGTCCTGGCCCGCTACATGCAGGTGCTCTCGCCGACTCTGTGCGAGGCCATGTCCGGCCGTATCATCAACATCCACCACAGTTTCCTTCCCTCCTTCAAGGGTGCCAAGCCCTACCACCAGGCCTATGATCGCGGTGTGAAGATCATCGGTGCCACCGCCCACTTCGTCACCAGCGATCTGGACGAGGGCCCTATTATCGAACAAAACGTCGTTCGGGTCAACCATGGAATGAGCCCCAAGGAGTTGACCCACGCCGGCAGCAACGTCGAAAGCAATGTCCTTGCGACCGCTGTCAAGTACTTTGCTGAACGTCGTGTGCTGCTGAACGGCCACAAGACCGTTGTCTTCGACTAAATGTGTTCGACACTTGTTACGAATATCCTACATCCAGCAGATTACTGTACAGCGACTCCTTTGTGATACCTGGGCGGGCTCAACAAAGAAATAGACTATTGAACGATGTCCGAAAAGACGAAGACGAAGCTACAATGCATTGTATACAATGCGTAAGGTTGATTGGTGATCTTGCCGGTATTTGACGTGGAATATTGGACCGCATGGCTACCAAATACAAATTTTTACAATATTTTAAACTCATCATTGGATCCAGCATGTTCAATGGAGATATCCATCGCGATTTAGTAAGAACTATATCTTACACTGTTGCAGGGTAGAAACGGAGAAAGGATTCTCCCTCGTGCTTCCGTCGATCAACCGCGTCGCCCCTTCCCGCAAACAGCGACGGTGGATCCGTGCGAAGCTTGTTTCGATGATGTCAACTTCCACGTTGTGCAGAATGGGCGAAATGAAAATTCAGCAGTAGTATTTTCTGGTACTTTGATACTACATCAAGGTATGTTGGTTGCTCTGGGGTGAGGCTTGTGGTGGTGGTTGACTTTTATTACCCTTGTAACTACAGTTGTGGTCTTAAGGTAGGGGGGACTCAGGGACTCTCCATAGTAGTATATCGGCGATGAACGACCACTGATAGTTTACGTTTAGACACGAAATCGGGAGGTTTAAAAAAGAAATCCATATACACTTGATCTGCCCTCATTGAGTTCCCCACACTCTTGTATAGCCGAAGTTTTCTACCGGAATTACCGGGGGTGGAGAGGACTACTAGTGTGTGGAGGGTGGAGAGTCCCGCGCTCCCCTCATCACCCCCCAGGGGCTTCTGGATTCACACATTCTGTAAATATTACCATGACTACTCTTGCGCCGCCACCGAAACTGAGCCATCTCTTCACTCTCCGCTGTGCGGTGGATCCGCCCTTGGAGATCGGGCATGGTCCGTACGGGCGCCGTCGCTGTGTGCCTATCGTCTGTGGCTCGGTGTGTGGGCCTTATTTCAATGGAGGGGTCGTTCCTGGCGGAGCCGATTTCATGTAGGTTGGATGCGAAATTGCCAAAGGAAAAAAAAAAAAGGCAAGAAGTAACCTTGAGCTTGCCAGGCTGGTCGAGGACAATCAGACCACACATGTCAACACAAACTACGTGATCAAGAGCGACGATGGCGCGCTTCTCTACATTCGGTGAGTTGCGTTCTAGCCATGGTCCATACGCGATTGGGTTTCGATAGCCCAAGAGAATCTTTGGACTAACACGCACAGCACTGAGGGAACTCGCGCCGGCCCTCCAGAGGTTCTGCAGGCACTGATGGAGGGCGGCCCCGTGGATCCGAGCCAGTATTGGTTTCATCTGCACGTTAAAATCGAGACAGGTTATGAAAAGTACAAGTGGATGAATGATCGGGTCATCGTTGGGAGGGCGACGAGAGCCAAGGGCGAAGTCGCATACGATGCGTATTTTTTGGAAAACAGTCCGTAAAAGCACGAGGACATCAGCACATTAGTGGTCTATAATATATTATATTAGATATACACGGCATCACAGACGCATCACTGAACACGCAGTCGCTGCAACAGCAACTCGGCCAGGTTCGCATAACATCCTTGGCTCACGTCCTGCCGAGCCAGGACCTGATCGGCGATCTCGTTGGCCCACATGTATTCAGAATGAAAGTCGCGCAGCTCAAACAGACGTTGGCGAATCCACACCCGGTGGCTCGCGTCATCTGTTTCAATAATTGCCATGAGAAGTGGCCAGTGAAGCCGCCGCAAGGGTCGAGCATCCGAAGCGAACTGCTTTCGAGCAATATCGATGATGCCCATAGTGGCCTGTCGGTGGATGGTCGTGGGTGAGGTATCGACACACAGGAGTCGGCGATGAAGCAAGATCTGGGCGTAGAACGTACAGACAGCCATGTAGATAGTGTTCAGCGTGCGCCGAGCCGAGACAGGGCCAGCAAACCTGGCAGTGATGAAGAGGTCGGAAAATTTCTGTTATCGGTCATGTTAATTCTCAGTTCGAGAATGAGCACAGCCACAAGTCAAAAAAGGTAAACTTACATCGCGTGTCGCCAGAATTTCTTGGAAGAGTGAGTCGGTGGGGTCGGTTCCAGCCTCATTGTCCACCAGTACTCTCCAAGTCCGATGGCGCATACAGAACCCGGCATGTAGTAGTTCCAGGGCTCTGTAATTTTCAATATCATCCAAGACCTCTTGATCGGGGTACTGCTCACCCCAGAAACATCGGCCCCAGAGGCGAGCACAGCGATGCAAGTGGTCTGGGTGCAACGCTGGGTTCTTCGATTGAATTGCATAGTCATTCAGGGATTCGGTCAGGCCCATGGGCCGGCAGCTGGCATCAATGTATCTGGCCGCGATGAGTAATTGATCGATCGACCACCCAATGGAGCACACTCACAAAATCCATAGCAAAAACTGTTCCGGTATAAAAGACACCTTCGAACTGGTCCGATCGTCCGGAGATGCTGCTTCATTTTCCGAGGACAGAAACACGTCATTGACATCTTTGAGGCGGAAAAGTTGGGGATGAGATTCCACGAGTGATCGCACCCCATGCAGGTGTAATTGAAGATGCCGCACTGAGTGACCAAACTGCCACTCGTACGTCACCATCAAGAACATGGTTGCGAAGATAATTTCCAGTTCCTCCACGGAGACATTTCGGCGTGGAGCCTCGAGGAGTTGCCTGAACTCCTTGACCGCGAGGCTATAATGATATCGCCCGTGATCGTCTGCGGTGGGACGGCCAGGGGACCTGACCACCAATCCGTGGCGATGCATATCGCTTGCGGCCAGAGCGAGGATCATGCGCATGATCACCTTGTTCGTCGCCGCGGGTCCCTCGTAGAGGTAGCAGAAACTGCTCCAATGCCATCCTTTCATGTAATAGTAGACAATCGAGGAGGACGGAAAGTATTGGAAGTAATTTCGGTCGTGTTCGGTTAGCGTTAACGAATTTGCACACGCGATCTCGTTGACGCTCAGCGGTGGATAGAGGGGAGTCGGCACGCAGGCCGAGGCGGCGACGGCTGGAACGAAGGCAGGAATCTGAGGGCCGAGGCCGTCCAGGGTCACAGCGTCCCCGGGCCATGAGATTGGCGATAGGCCGGCCAGCAAAGTGTCTGTGGGAATATCAATGTCGATAAGCTCGGCGGCATCGGGGGTCCAGAGGCTCTGGTCGCCGGTCGTCGGGGCCGGCTGCAGATGACGGATTTGCGCACTGCGACCGCGCTTTACCGGGACGCCCCATTCGCAGCTGAGTCGCAAATTGAGGCAACGCTTGCAGACGGGTCGCTCTTCGCCGCATTTGACCTTCCGCCGGCGGCATGTGCTGCAGCCTACAAGTGCGATGGAAGGTCAGTTCGACTTTCGGGGAGGAATCGATGTCGGCGGAACTAATGCCGCTGGGGGAGGCAGATGCGAAGTAGACAAGTTGACAAGGTAAGGAGACGAACCATTCTTCGAGCGCGGCGCGTTGCGTCCGGACATGAAGATACAAACCCCCGCCACGTCACAGAGAAGAATTCAGGAGCAGACCGCATGCATACGGGTCCGGCAGTCGGGTGGAGAAGTGGAGGGAAGAAGTTCGAGGTGGGCGTTGCAGCCAAATGCATGAGGCGATAAGATAAGCTACGCGGCCTGAGGCAATCCAGTTGCACGTCAAATGCGGAGAAGTATAGACTTGACAGCCAACTGCCGAGACCCCGGAGTCCGGGGATGCGGACATGCAATGGCATCTATCGACCTGATCTATGATACATATATCCCGATTTCATGGTCCCATGCTAGTCTTCCCGCTCGATCTCCGCCTGCCACTGCCGCCGCGTGGTCGCGAACAGCGTCTCGTCCGTGAGCATCTCCCACCCGATGAGCGCCAGCGACTTGCCAACCACGACAGCCTCTGTGTGCGCCTCGTCGGTTCCCGCAGACACGGCAAATGAAGGGTGATGCGGGAATGTATTTTCCGGGGTCGGTATTCCGAACATGGTGTGTAAGGTGGGGGTGACGTAGCTCACATTGCCTATAGTTGGAAAAAAAAGCAAAAGGTCAGCACCCTATCTGCGGAACGTGTGGTTGTGAAAAATAAATGCATACCGATATCTGACGAGGCTGTGAGGACCTTATCATGACGCTTCATGACCTTGCGACCGTATCCGCCCATGTGAACTTGGTATCGCTCACAGAGGGTGTCGTTTAACCGTACATCCGTGTAGAGTTCCTCTCTAGACAAAAGCAAAACACGCGGGGTTAGCAAGAGTCACATATGGAGATGGCGGGAACAAGGACCTACTCTTTGATCTTGATCTCGCACCCTGTCGCTAAGGCACCAGCTTGAATGCAATTCCGCACCTTGGAAACCAAGCTATTCAAACCCTTGAGGGAAGGACTGCGCACCTGCCAGTAAGCCTTGGTGTATTCCGGGATCACATTCGCCACTTTGGGGGTATCGACAAATGCGCAGTGGATTCGTTGCTCTGGCAGGATTTGCTGTCTCAGTACGGCCACGTTATTATATGCGGAAATCAAGGCGTCGAGCGCATTGACGCCGTCCCATGGGTTACCCCCTGCGTGGGCACTCTTGCCGGTGAACTCGCAGATGATCTTCTTGCGGGCATTCATCAAGGTGCCAGCAATTCCTCCTGCTTCGCCTTGGTCGGCAAAGATTTTCTTAGGACCAGCATGACTGTGCCGCCCATTAGAAACTACAACTCAAAGCTGTGTGGCGAAGGGGGACAATACGTACGCCATGAGAGAAATATCCACGCCCTTGTATGCCCCCGCATTAATCAGGTCCGCCTTGCCGCCACCGTTTTCCTCTGCTGGTGTTCCCAGCAACTGCGCTCGCCCAGGGATGCCGTGTTTCTTCAAGGCAAACGACAGGGCTAAGAAAGCAGCGATGCTGCTCGTGGCGATAAGGTTGTGACCACATGCGTGGCCGATGTCCGGAAGCGCATCGTATTCCGCATTGAAGTTAACTAGACGCCCTCCAGATCCACTTAATGCTTCAAAGGAAGTATCCAGGCCATAGGCGTGGCGTGTGACGGCGAAGCCCTGCTTCTCAAGAAAATCGCAGATTGTATCATGGGCGCGGTGTTCGTTGAAAGCGAGTTCGGGATTTGACCAAATCTAGCAGATCTTAATGCATGAGCTACGTGCCCTCAAGAGCTCAGTTTAAGGAAAAGAAACCCCTTGAGCTCCCCGCTTACCTCGTGATTGACCTTGCGCAGTGATCCATGCAGTTCGTCCAAGGCTAGATCTATAGACACTCGAACGTCTTCAACTCCCACGATGGAGACGGTCATGTTAATGTTTGGGACAGCGATTGGAGGTAGTTCTTGAACAGTCACGACCAGTCGAAGTTGATTGACAGACCGAGTGCAGAAGTCATATGTAATAGATCTAAAGCGAGGGGCAGGAGAGTACCCCTCCAGGGTCCCACATCCGAGGTCTCCCCTCAAACTGCCGATGACACATCAGAGGCAACCTAGTGTGCTTTGATAGCGGAGGAGGACGGAACAGCTTCCACAGGATTCCGGATTTGGCGAGCAGCTGGAGGATGATATCAACAGGCCTTCAGGGCGCGTCGGCAACGAGGTGGATCTTCCCCACGGCGGCAATCTGTGGGGTAGCCACTACCCCAGGCGTCGGATGGAGTCGACTGGTCGAACGCATGGCCGCCATGCGGTTGATAATCCTGCCAAGAACGCATCTGCACCTCCACGATGAGGCGCAATACGAATGATCGCGCGAGGATAGGCCGGTGAGTTGCAGCGATTGCCGACCAGCGCAGACCGGGGCGGATTGCCGACGCCCAGCGCGCATTGGCGGAGTTGCCGACAGCGAAAGCCCTAATCTCGGATCTCCAGGGATTGCCGACGTCGACTCCGGGGAGCTCGCAGGCGCAGTGTGAGAAGGGCAGCAAGAGGATGTCGAAGTCGGTATTAACTGGCCTGCGGACACCTAAACCCGCTTCTGGACTGCCGATATTCGTGCCCGTCCAAGGCGATCTGAGCAACTGGTGGCGTCCGATATGACCACATCAGAATGGATAGGGAAAATATCGGACAACTTGGCTCAGAGAGACGCTCATGTCAAACTGCCAAGGGCCTGCCAAAGATAGGCACGATAATTAACGCGAAGTCAAAACTGTTGTGAGGCGGTCGTCCATTCCGATCGCCACCTACTAGTACCTAAGCCATGAGGGGTTTGGCGTGGAAGCAATCCGTCTCTCGATGTTATAACCCCAGATTTGTCGCCTAAACTCGTTGGACAGGCCCAATCCCCTGCTCGTCTGGACTCCTCCTCAATTGGTTGACGAGTCCACTTTTCCTTGCCTACATCTCACATCCCGGCTCATCAAGCAAATCGTATAGTTACCTCCATCAATTGTACCCTTTCCATTGAGTCATTCCAAAGATTTTCATCATTGCATGGTCAGCTGTGGTCCAGACAAGATGGAAAAGCAACAATCGACTTCTCATGGCGCACCAGATCTCGACATGCTCAAAGTTGAGCCCGTCCCTGCTGTCCGTGATGTCGATTTCGGCGAGGTCCTGGAGACCACATCCACACCGGAGTTGGAACGAAAAGTTCTCTGGAAGCTAGATCTCTAGTGAGTACCTCGAAGCATACAGTCTCGCACCAATGGTCTCTAATCAAACATGTCAGTTTAATCCCACTGATGGGGTTCTGTTATATGCTACAGTACATGGACAAGCTAGCCCTGAGCCAGGCGACACTATTCAATCTAGCAGAAGACTTGGTATTTGAGTCCTTTCCTGTACTTTCTTGGTACAAAGCATACTAGGTACTAATTATTGTTCCTCTTTTCCCTACAGAACCTCCAAGGCACGCAATATAACTGGTCTTCCGCCGTCTTCTACTTTGGTTACTTCGCCTGGAGCTGGCCTAGTGGATATTTGATTGTTCGACTCCCAATGGGGAAATACTTGGGCATGGCAGTCTTTGTTTGGGGTGGTGTACTGATGTGTCATGCGGCATGCACCAACTTTGGCGGGCTGATGGCGGCACGCTTCTTCCTCGGAGTCGGCGAGGCATCTATCGCCCCCGGATTCGCCCTGATCACCGGAATGTTCTATAAACGCGAGGAACAACCTGCACGGCAAGCAGCCTGGTTCATTGGAAACTCGATCGCCACGGTGGTCGGAGGTCTAGTCGGATATGGCATTGGATTGATCCACAACGACTCCGTGACCAGCTGGCAGCTGCTGTTTCTCGTGCTCGGAGCGATAACGGCCGGGTACGGGTTCATTCTCATTGCATTCCTCCCCGACTCGCCTGCCAAGAGCATCTTTCTCAACAAGACCGAAAGGGCCATTGCCATCCAGCGGACCTTGAGTAATAAGACAGGTGTCATGGACACAGGGAAATTTAGATGGGGTCAGGTGTGGATGGCCATCAAGGATCCTCAGACATGGTTCCTGGTCCTGTATACGCTGTGCGTGAACTTTTGCAATGGCGGAATCACAAGCTTCTCCTCCATCATCATCAATGGATTTGGGTTCTCAAAGCTTCGGTCTCTCATCATCCAGATGCCCATCGGCGCCGCACAGCTGGTCTTTCTGATCTTGACCTCGGGGTTTGCGACGTTGGTCCACCAAACGCGTATCTTAATGATGATTGTCAACACGACTACATCGATGATTGGTATGATTTTGATCTGGAAGCTTGACCATGATAACCAGGCGGGCAAGATGGCCGGGTTGTGTTTGGGCGCTGTCTTCGCAGCCAACATCCCCTTGTCCCTCAGTATTATTAGTTCGAACGTGGCTGGGTTCACGAAAAAGAGCACCGTCAGTGCCCTCATGTTTGTGGCCTACTGCGTTGGAAATATTGTCGGACCACAATTCTTTCTGCCTCAGGAGAAGCCAGACTACCCCGTGAGTACTCGATTTTCCTGACAATGGGCAAGTCTTTCGTACTAATAAATTTTTTTAGACTGGGATCAAAGCAGCAATGTCGGGACTCATTTTTGGCATCTTCTTCTTGATCTGTCTGTACCTCTACTACGTGTATGAGAATCGCCGACGCGATCGACTCTATGGTTCGCCGAGGGAGTTGACTGAAGCGGAGGAGTTGCAGGATGAATTCTCCAACAGAACAGACCACGAGATCGAGAGCTTCCGCTACGTTCTCTGATTCATTTGGTTTCAATAATCGTCGTCATGTGTATAGGATTATGAATGGTTAGCCCAATTTATGTTTGCTTGGGCTTGCTTCTTTTGTATCGAGTCCCGTGGCAGACGAGCAGGTACTTGGCGAAAAAGTCCTCCGCAAAGTCATCAAAGGGCTCATAAGCCGCTCCCAGCTGATAGGCAGCCGCGATTCCAGATATACAGGCAATTTCGTGCATGTTCTTGACCGGAAAGTTAGTACAAATGTTGTCGCGGAGACAGACGCTCAAGCGCACTCACTACCATGGTCCAGCTGCCCGCGTACCGTGTTCGACGCTGGCCGTTAATAAACATCATTCCCGGGACAACCCGTAGATAATGCTGCCATCGGTGACCAAACTGATGCCACCATTTCCGCGCGATGATCTTCGAGGGCTCAATCTCATTCCATGTCCAGAGACCCTTCAGCTGGTCATTGAGGTAAATCGTCTGGAAGACATGCTCCTCGAGGGGCCGTGGAGGGTGACCCTCCCCAAGGCTCTCCCGAAACTGGTGCTGATAATTCGTGCAGTCGAATCCCATCTCGATCTTGTCTGGGTCCGAGGAAAAGGAATCCGAGCCATCCGTCCTTTTGGCAAACGGCCTGTTGCTTGGCAAATGCGATCTGGTCCCTTCGCTCCTTGGATGTGGATTGGGCACACAAGGAAGGGTGATATTGCGCTTCGAAGATGGACTGGAAATACGTAGAGTCGAAATGGGTGATTGTAATATCGTTGAAAAATTTGACGCCTCCTAAGACGTACTTCTCGCGCCAGGTCGCGTGGCGATCAAGCAGTTTCTTTGCTTCGTCGGCCGGGCAGCAAAATACTAACTCATCGAAGGTCTCTGTCAAAGGCTCACCCGGAGGCTGGCTGTGAGGATCATTGGGTGTCGTTTGAATGATGATCCCCTTGGTTTTCCTCTCGAGTATGGCGACCAAGGTATTCAAGCGGATGTCCACACCCTTGGAGCCGAGATCTGACGCCCAATCACAATAGAAACTGCCCAAGTTTGGAAAGGTATACATGAGAGGGAGATTTGGCAAAAGTGTATCAGGATCATAGTCCCATAACCTCATTTGTGGATCATCGAAGAGACGCTCGAGGAGTACACTCGATACATTGGGGGTTTGGTTTCCTGTGCCGAGAAACAAAGCTAGCAATGGCAACACCATCTTGTTGCTGAAATCATGACTGAAGCGAAATAACCTCAGGATAAACTTGACTGGGAAGATCCCCAAGAGGGGCATCAAATACTTGATGCATCTCAGCACACGTCCTAACTTCTTGATTTCCCGCGAGTGTTGTTTGACCAAGGCACTGGGGAACACGTTGGTCCAGAAATTGTTCCGGTCCTTGCCAAAAGACACTTGAAGCTTCACCGGCTGAGGCTCGTAGCCATAGCTGCGAAAGAAGCGAAACGTATGTCGAAAAATAGCCGAGCCACCCTGGACCCCGTCGTTTAGCCAGCTCGCTCCATGCTGGGACTCATTTAAGCTGATGGAGGTTGCCTGACCGCCCGTCTGAGGCTCCGGGTCGATCATGGTGACCTCGAAGAGATCTGGATGCTTGGCCAGGGTCGACGCGCAAGACTAGAAGTGTTGTTAGCACTGGCTGTGGAACGAGCTGTGGACGATCAGGGTATGTATACCATCCCGGCAGCGCCGGCCCCAATGATGACCACCTTCTTCCTGTGTGACATGCGGAAACTTTCGAATCCACAAAAGGACTCTTAGAGAGAATCAGATAATCGTATCACCAGTGGAGAAAGTCTTTTCTCTTTCTGGGAATTGGCGATCGTGATGAAAGCAGGGCGACGCGGTGATGTCAGGCCCGCGCATGCCTCGCGATGGGCCAATCATCAACCGGCGACGGAACCATAGCATGCGGCATGGCTCGAAATCAAGAAAGATGCAGGTGACAATTGCGAAAAAAAAAAAAAGCAGTCAATATGGCGATAGACATGTAATAAGATACCAAAGAGAGGTTCCATTGCATGGAAGATGATCCAGACTCGCTGTTGAGTGAGCTGATCGATGTGAAGGCCGACCGATCGACGCGCCGCATGGGGAGACAATGAGAGCCAACATAGCATGCAACCGCGCGCAATATGGTAAGTATCCCATGGAATTTACAACGAGTGGCTTGCAGAAAAGATAGAAACAGAACAAAGCAGAACAAATTAAAGTATAATGGTTGGGTACGCACGTTATCCACCGATGATGGCATGCGTTCGTATGTACACAGAGAGGCAGACAAGACACATTCGCAAAAGCAGATGAGACTTCTACTGCTTCTCCACCTTGATGTTCTTTTCTGCACTAGCTAGCTCATCCGGTCGGGGCTTGCGAGCCCATACTCGTCGTCTGTCGTAGTCAGTCACCACCATCTTCGGCGTCTACCAAATAATGTTGGATGTTCAGGGAAGAAAGCTCACGCGCGCTGGTAAGTATGGTAGCTCGGATCTTTCAATTCCTTGCGCATTTTGGCAACATATACGTGGACCTCTTCCTTCGTCCATGGCTCCGGCGATCCGTACTTGGTGAGCAACCACATGCACCACCCTTCCATGCCGGAGAGCCAGTGCTGAAAGTTCACGGTGCCGGCCTCTTTGTACTTCTTGTCGCGCGGCCAGGGCCCAATAGGCCACTTGTACTCCTTTTCATGAACGTCAACGAAGCCTGCCTTGTGGATCGAGTCAGACATGGTGTCGATCGCATTCAGCTCTCGGCCGAATCTTTTCGCACATTCCATCGTGTAGTCGCCCCACGTATTCAGAATACTGCTCGCTGGAAGGCTTCCATCATCGCATTGTATTACGGGGCTGGCCTCCACTTGTTCAATCCATCCCCCGGGTATCAAGTTGCTGTGGACAGGAATCTGTATGAGCCAGAGGTCGACTTCGAGCGCCGCGGTTGATCAGGAGACTGGAACCTACTCGTAGCATCGCTTATAGATTTGCTCCCACTCAGGCTCGTTGAAGGACCCAATCATTATTCGCATGTGAATAAGGTCAAAGGGCTCACGCCAAGTCCACTGTTGCAAAGCATCATCGACCTCCAAGACGCAGTTGGGAGGCATCCATGAGACTGGCGGTGGGAAGAGGTCCACTCCTCGAACAGTCGCTGGTATAGTTGAGCAAGGGCACACGTGCAGACTCTCCTTGGAAGACTTGGACTCACCATCAGGGAACATATCAGCCACATCGCTGTCTTGTGGTCAGCAAGCCCGGTCAAGTATGGGAAGCATATTCATCGGGAATGGCCTACATGGCCCATACGCCCTTTCCAGTGCCGAGGTCGAGGATGTGCTTCGGGTCCCTGCCTACAGGCGATCGGAAGAGTGGGTTTTCTCGTTCTGAATCGAGGATAAGAGCGACTAAATGTCTGGGAAGACCATAGGCATCAGTCACAACCGGCGGATCCCTGCAGGATTATTGAAAGGAAAGGCGGCGTACCCGGCTTCATAGGTTTCAAACATTTGATCGTCGGACGGCACACTATGGAATGTCAGTGCTAGAGATTCCTCGCATGAGTGGGGATATGTCATCCTATGTCATACAGGTATTCTTCGTTGCGCAGTGATTGGTATCTGATGAGACTGCGTTCAGTCTTGAGTCTTGCCTTGGGCGATCGCAGCAACACTCACCGACGGCCATTTTCCATCAGACCGCGATAGATGGAGGAGCCGATCGATGTAGTCTCCCTGGAAGAGCCAAAGTATCAGTAGAGGACTGCCTGCGGCTGCTGTGAGTGTCCTCGAGACGTACGACTGCCAGTCCTCGGGGTAGTACGGTCCCTCGGTCGCATACAGGTCAGGGTCCTGCGAGGGTCAGCCCCGAGCTCCTGACATGTGCTCAAAATAAACTTAACGATACATACTACAACAATCGGTTGGTCGTCCATGATGGGCGATGATCGTAAAGGTGGCTGAAGGGAAAATGAAATCAAGGCCCGGCAGCCCGCAATTCTTGGATGCCTTTTTAAAGCTGGTCCGCAGCCTTCTCGGGCGCAGCCACTCAGCGAATCCGCGTGGCCATCGGGCTGTGAGAAGGGCCCAGTGCAGTTTAGTAGCCGTTGAGTCGCAGCCTAACGGGTACAGGATTGCATTAGTGACCGTTAGGGTCGGGGTGGATGCAGGATTGTTGGTGACACATTGGCCTAGGATAATAGTCTGACGTCTGCGGGTGCATGATTGACAATGCAGCACGCAATTAAATATCGGAAAGAAGGCCAATAGAATAGGAAGTGAAATTTCCCCCTAATACCGTAGCAGCCGTCTGTCACCTCTTAAAAACTGGCGATGGGGTTGCCCTCGAGCTGGGAATAAGCGACGACGCTCGGCTGCAGTGGAGATCTCCGTGGCCCGTCCCGTTCGCAGTGGGGCGACGAGCGTGGCGGAGAGAGCGCGATTAGTGGAAGAGATATATGAACGGGAGGATGCAAGCTGGTCGGAAGAAGAAAATTGCCCGACGGGACTTGGCATTGTCTAACTATGTACGTACATACGACCGGGAATACGCGGCGAGGGCGATGGGTCGATGGATAGTGCTAAATTGGGACGAGCTGCGGGAGAGAAGGTCGCAACGATGAATCGTCGATGGAGACCACTCCGAAAGAGCTACTCGCGTCTAGCAGGATGCCCCCGAGGGCACGTTCTCGCAGTCGTCGCTCGAGCTGCCGCCAGTCAAGCTGACACCGCTCCAGGACCAGTCTGTGCAGCTGTCCTCGGCGCACAGGATGTACACCTGCTCCGCGTCATCCTCGAGCGAGCCGGTGATGCCATCCACAGTCAAGTCCGAAATGGGCACGCCGTCGGTAGGGGTGCCCGTGGGGGAGCCGTTCTCGTAGTCCTGCTCGATCACAATGCCGTAGTCGGTGATGCCGGACAGGGTGATGTCCGAAAAGGTCACATCGCTGACGGAGCCAGTCGCATCGTAGATGGTCTTGATGCGGATGCCGTTGGCCGAGTCGCTCACGGTCGAGTCGGTGATGGTGACATTCTTGACGGTGTTGTCGTCACGACCGCCGATGGAGCCAATCGACAGGCCGTGGCCACCAGAGCAGGTCGCACCGCTCCAGTAGATGTTCTAGGGAGAAGAAATCGCTGTGAGGACGCACACAAAGGGAGAGAGGAACAGAAAGATCCAAGTAGAGTGTTGGGTACTTACCTCGCCCGAGTTGATAGCCAGGCAATCATCCTGATTCTTGACGGTGGGATTCTTGATCGTAATGTAGGTAGACTCGCTGATATCGAAGCCGTCAGTGTTGTGGCCGCCATTGTCATCACCACCCGAGTTGTCAATGGTCACATCCTCGATGAGAAGGTTGTCTGACTGGACACTGATGGCCTGCACGGGAGTGTTCTTGATGGTGAGGCCCGAGATGGTCGAATCGTCGAGGGAGTGGGCGTAGAAGAACTTGGGCTTGGTCTTGCCGCCATTGGTGCCCTTGCTGTCCCACCAGCGAGAGCCCTCGCCATCGATCACAGCGCCGTCAGAGGCCGTCACTGTGATGCCGGACCCTGAGATGCGAAGCAAGGGACCCTTCCACTCCTCGTAACCGAAGGTGGTGGTGCCCTCAAAGATGACCTTGGTGCCATCGTTGAGATCCGACAGGTCCAGGGTCTCGCCAGCTGGGACCTCGATACCACTCAGCACGATGGTCGAGCAGTCCGACTTGCTAGCCGAGGCGCTCGCCGCCTCTGTGAAAGTGCAGGTCGAGGAGGATCGCTTGGTCAAATCGGAGACGCGCGAGGGAGCGGGGGCAGCGGATGACAGACTGGCGGCGGCAGTGGCCAGCAGAAGGTGCGAAAGAAACGAAGGCATGGCTCCAGATGATTCTGTTCTACAGAACACGGAGCGATAGGGATTGGCACTAAGGAGGATTGAAAGGAATGGAGGTCGGTTCTGATCAACAGAACTGGGACTGGAAGATATGAAAACGAAGGTTGGTCGACACTGTCCAAACGACGAGCCATCAGCAGCTGCGTCTGCCTTTTTATAACGAGACGTCTGCCATGGCCGTCACACTAAACCAAGCACTGCGAAGCTTCAGCATGACGCCAGGGGCGTCAAGGCAATTCTTTCCCCTCTCCACTCTCCAGCGTCAAGTGGTGCCGAACGAGACCGTCTGGCCAATTTCCATGCGGACACCAGGGGCGTGGGAGGAGCTGGATGGAGGCGAGACTGCCCTACGCGGCATTCGGCTCGGACGAACTGCGAGAGCTCGCTGGTGGATCTGCATCAATCCGTAACGGCGGTCACTTCTCTGAAACCAGCAATGATAGCCCCCGTTAGTTCAAATCCCCCACTCCTCGCTTGAGCAGAGTCCTGACAAGAGAGTCCGAGTCACCGGAAGATTTGCCGGGACTATTAACATCGTGAACCGGGTGAGACCATCTCGAACCTGACAGATCCTTGACGCTTGGCCCCTGGCAGTGGGGTGGAATGAATTGGACGATGAAAAATTTCACGGAGTTGATAGAATGAAGGGTACTATCCTTGTTGATAGTGCCCCATAATACTTGTGAGCGGACTGTATTGGAGGTTTGGAGTCCAGCCTTATTTCGATTGCAGCAGTCGACAGGGCTGCTGCGGTGGAGGAGGAAAGGTGGCAGTTTGAGAGGTCGGCTCTTCTTCGGCAGAACTCCCGATTTAATCTCCACGTGTGATGTTGATATGAGCTAAGCCGCCAGGAGGGTCTCACCATGGGCCACCACCATCAGCCTAATTTGCTGGAGGTAGATTTGATTACAGTTGCGTCTCGACGGAGATGCGCGGCTGCCAGGTTTACGGCTGAATTCGACGTCCCATACACCACGTAGTATATTGTTGAGTTCTACCCCCTACGATCAAGGTCAACATTACATTAGATCAAACGACTCCGAAGCTCAAATGCATGCTATAATATACGAAGGATACAGAAATAAAATTCGAAATAGTACATCGCAGAAACCAGGAAGCTGGCCCGAACAACATCGTGCTTACGATCCACGCGGGGCTACACTTTCGTAGCGGTCTGACAGAAACAATTGTATATTTTGATATCGCACTATCGCAAATACACAAGGTGCCATGGCTCGCTGAGGACCATCCGGTGGTTCCACTGTTTAAATGGACGCAGCGCAAGAGTAGCAGCTTCATTTTTCACGTAGAATTAAGAAAAAAAATTCCCTCTTCTTCTGACAGTTGCAAATATCCATATGCAACAGCCCGATGGGCGTACATGTACATGTAGATCGCCCACGTGACCCTCATCGTAGGTGGACCGCGGCATCGCAAGTTCTTGTTCAGCACATAATCCTCCTCGTTTGTTGCGCATGGCTCACGCCTCGGACCGATCGCACCGGAAAACAAAAGGGGCCCCGAACTACGACGACCCCGAGTTCTGGGATGTGCGGTTTGCGACCGGTCGCGATGTCGGCGAGTGGCTAAACGCCGGTGACGCCCTCGTTGATGCCGTTCTGGCCGACTTGGATCACCGGACGGGATTCGAAGGCGGCGCACCGCGCGTGTTGCACCTGGGGCCCGGCGTCTCGAAACTGGGGCCTAAGCTGCGCGATGCCTGTGTCGAGCTAGGGCTGCTGCGAATATTCGTAATTGCGAATATTATTCGTGCGAATATTCGTACGAATAATTATTCGCGAGATTTTTGCTTTGCGAATAAATTTTGCGAATATTATTCGCAGCAAATCGGGATTACGAATAAATTATTCGCGAGTCTGCGAATATTCGGCGAATATTCGCAATCCCCGAATTATTATGTAATCCTCCAGGATGATGATGGTTGACTAGTTAATTAAGTATATGCTAACTAGTTAGTTACTTGGTTACGTAGAGGGTTAAGGTAAGATTTCTATACTTGTAAGTCTTGTAGAGTAGGAATATAAGGAGTGTAGTAGATTCTACTGCTAGACTCATCTTACTTTTAGAAGTGCGTGTTCAAAGTAGTTATACAGATTTAGAGTAAGTACTTGAAGCTAGCATGTTATGGGTATATATATTACGGATTTGCGGAGTTAAATTGAATTATCATTTATAGAACACCAGAGGAAACACTAGAAATTGAGACTGCTCTCTATATAGTTGTCCAGTCGAATCACTATTACTTATAAACATCATTCAACAACATTAAAACCCTCATCGTCTCTGCCTTCATAGAGTATCTCCGTACTCCAAGTACATCTCTTCCTGCATTGAACAATCTCTCAACCGAAACTTCAGAGGCTGGGATTGCTAGGTAATCTCTAGCAGCAGCAGCCATCCGAGGGTAGTCATGTTTATGAACCCTCCACCAATCACATAACCAGTTTGGATCTTCCATATCACTAGCATCAACCCGAGCACTGTCAAAATATCGATCAATATCAGATACTTGAGGCTTATCGTGAGGCTGTAGCCTTCGTAACATCCGGCTTCCAACTTTTTGCTTCTTGTGACTGGGCTCTGAGGGCTCTGCTATACTAAGTAGGTCTGAAGTCTCTGGATATTTGGAATAAAGGTCATCACGGAGAGATTGAAGAATCTCCCTGCTAGTGGCTTTATCTTCCAATTCGTATAGGAGGAGGTCTCCTTTCACACGAGGATCCAGAATCAGAGCAGTATAGTATGTATCAGAGATATCCATAAAAGTATAGTACTTCATATACTTCTTGATACTTTGCCTAACCGCACTTGCAATATCCTCATCAATGTCTGCAAAATCCTCCTTACGCTCCGCAGCATCATGTAGTAAATCATGAAGTTCATAATAGACCGGCACTGTGAGACTGATCTGGGGCCTTTTCTCTGAGACAAACAAGGTGAACTCATCGAATTTTGAGAGAATAGAGTGGATTTGTGAAAGTCGTTCCCAATCTTTTGTCGAGAAAGGTAGAAACTCTGTCTCGTAATGAATGAACTTCTCAAGCTGGTCCTTTGACTTAGAAGCATTAGTATTTAGTCTTATTAAAGTATCGTTGAGTGCTAGTAGCTCACCTTTAGAGCGTCACTTATCATGCGGAAGGTAGAATTCCATCGTGTATCAACATCATATTGAATGAACTTTTCGGGAAGGTTCATACGCTTGCAATTGTTTTTCCACGCCTGTCTGCGTTGAGGACTTCGGTAGATCCAGATAGCCAGGATACGAAGCTTAGCGAGTGGTTCAAGTGTATGGAATGAGTGATGTTCCCCTCTATCAAGGTTATCACAGACAGAAGTGGCCTCTTCTGTATTACCAGACTTGAGAGCGGAAAGGATATCCTTCACGATCAGGTTGATAATGTGCGCTAAACACCGCACATAGCTTCCTAGACCACAGAATATGGTATTCGCTCCGGACTGCTGTAACTTTTCAAAGAGTTGTAGCACCATCCGCTCATTATTGCTAGCGTTATCACCAGTAATTGAGAGTAATTTGTGCTCAAGATTGAGTTCAATAAGTAATGTTTCAATAGCCGTAGCTAGATTCTCCCCACTGTGTGGTCCATGAAGCTCTGTAAACTCTAGGACTCTCTCACGATAATCAAATTCTTCTGTGAGCCAATGACCAATAACACCAAGGATTGGTAGGTGATTCTTGCTAGTCCAGACATCAAGAGATAAAGCAATTGTTTTGCACGTCGCCGCAAGCTCCTCTTTCAATTTAGCGCGTTGTTGGTCGAAATCTTCTAGGAGACGCTGTCGAAGGGTATGGCGAGAGGAAAAAGGGAGCGAAACCCCCGGTATATCCTTAAAGAGTTGCTGAAAGTCTGGTGATTCAATGACTGTGAAAGGCTGCTTACTGCTCACAACCCAGCGAAGAAGGTTCTTTTCAAGACTTTGTTGAATCGTGATATTTGCCTTACTACCCCATAGGCTCAGAAGAGTAGATTTAGGTGTAGTAATCACTTGCTCAGGGCCATTAGGGGGTAAAATCCCATGTTTCTCCTTCAAATGGAGCCGAATATTAGTGGTAGAAGTCTGTCGCTTCGAATCTGTTGTAGACCAGTTGCATTTCTTCCCTGTGGCTTTATCAATAGCCGTACAACTGATTTCGCGATCGATGAGCCTCTTCTTTCTGCTTCTCTTTTCGATCCATTCGCTAGAGAACTCTCTAACATGAAGAAAACCCCATAACCAGTCGTTTTTCAGTGTTTTTGGGCGGGAAATTTGGGAACCAGTAGCTGGAGGAGGTAGTTGAGAGGCTGATTCTGAAGGTAACACTTCATCCAGAGAATCAAGATAAGAATCGGTATCTGCAGTCACCACTGACAGATCAGAGGTATGCGGTAGAGGCAGTAGGCTAAGCTCTTCTGGATGCTGAGCTATCGGATTCTCTATTAGGTTTGATAGCCAATCTTCAGAGGGGGCTTCATCTTCATAGCCATCGTTTAGAGCAAGGTAATTCGGATGGTTCCCACGAGTCAGCATCTTGGGCGATAAATATCTCTGCAAAGAGTCAAGAATATAGCACGAATTGTACAGAAGAGTGATTTTGCATTGGGTGACTAGGAATTATTTTTTTGCTCCACTATTCTAGCTGCACGTGACATCTTGCGAATATTATTCGTATTCGCAGCCTTAGTGCGAATAATTATTCGCACACTTTTAGTACTGCGAATAAAACTGCGAATAATATTCGCAGTGTTCGTGTGTTGCGAATACGAATAACGAATAATACCGATTCCTGCGAATATTCGTATTCGCAACAGCCCTATGTCGAGCGGCAGTGGGCTGGCAATGGCATCGTGGTGAGCCCCCAACGGTCATGACACTCGACGATCGGCACGCACACGCTAACCCACGATCTACGGCAGAATGTCGATTTCTCCTCCGAGGCCGTGCGCCTGGGCGAACATGCCGAACGCGAGAAAGCCGCTACCCACGCGATGCACTGGTTGCGTGTCGATCTGCTCCGCTGGGACCATGTCTCAACCCTGACGCCCTTTGCGCCGTTCGATGTCATCCTCGACAAAAGCACCAGTGATGCGATTGCGACGTTCAGCGACCAGGAGGTATCATTGAAGAATGCAGAGATCTGTCCAACTGTGCGAGAGGTGGCTGGTGCGAACGATAGGACCACTCTGTCTCCGGTGGAGTTGCTAGCCTTGAACCTGGTTCCCTTGACACGTCCCAACACGACCTGGATCACGCTGTCGTACTCGACGCTACGGTTCGATCACCTCCCCGGTCTGGAGAAATACTGGCATCTTCGATCTCGCACGGCACTACAGGCACCCGCAGGTCCTGTTTCCACCCCAGCTCACACCCCGGCGGTGTTCCATTGGGTTTACATCCTGGACCGTAAATGATCGTCCCGTTTATACTTCATTTACGTACGTTCTGGCATACAGTGACTGAACATTATGCGTGTGTATCACATTCGTAATATTTCAAGCCAGGCTTCGACAACTGGAAAATACAACTACTCTTCTCAATGAACCGACTACGCCCCGTAAGAAAATATTCAGGCAACAACCATGACTTTGAATTGAAAAGCGCCTCCAAACAGACTCATCCAAGCGGGCGAGATCAGCATATTTACCTAACATGTACTTCCCTTCATCCGCCTCGTCCTATCGAACCCCAAGCACCCGTGCTCTCCCAATACACCGCGAAACTTTCCAAGGCATCAGCAGCCGAGGTTGATGGCTATGTGCACAGTTAGTCATTTGGGTGTTTAGTCGCGTATCCGGTCGAGAGGAACCTACCATTGGCGTACAGGGCGTATGAGTCCGCATTCAGCACAGCCTGGCTGCTGCTAAGGGAGGTGGCGGCCGAATAGCCATATCCCAGATCGTCAGTGCCGGGGCTATACACACCAGGTGCGTGGGTGAACTCGTGCAGGGTGGTCGTCGCCTGGTCCTGGTCATGGCAGGTACCTGTCAAAGCAGGAAGTTCGGAGTAGTAGATGTCGCAGTTGGCGATGATGTTGCGGGACGGCAGCGTGTATGCCAGAACGTTGGTCTCACAGTATCCATAGGGGTCACTGCAGTAGTAGGTGGTCGATCCAGAGCTGGCCGACGCGGCCTCCTTTGCCACGGCAGTCAGTCGCGCCGCGACGACGGAGCGGGTGGAGCTGGAAGTCGTCTTGAAATACTCGCTGAACTTGGAGGCCGATCCGGACTTGGCGGCGGTGGCAGCGGCGTTGGCCAGCTTCACGGTGTTGGCGAGCGCCTTGTCGAGCGCAGTCTTGCGACTCGCGTTGCTGCAGCTCTCTTTGGTGCGGCGGTCGAGCGGCTTGATAGCCTTGCTCACCTGTGAGGCCTTGACGCCATCCACCTCGATCTTGAGGTCATTCGAGCTGAAGGGCAGATATCCGGACACGGCCCCCTCGCTCACGATAGGCACCAAACCGCTGGAGGATAGAGTGATGGCACCTCCGTTGGACAGGTCCGTTGTTTCCGCAACATCAAACTCATCTTCAAAGGTCTCTCCGGCACCCAGAGTGGTGAGAGACTCCGAAGCCAGCCCCTGGAGTTGGAAGCGGCGCTTGATACCGTCGAACTCAACCTCGTTACCTACGCGAAGGTCAGCTTGCCTACATCTCTGCATTTCCCAGAGATCGAGCGGCCAATGTCTTACCATCTTGGTACACCGCAACTTTCTTGACGGGTGCACTGTCATGGAAGAAATTCAGGTGCACAAACGTGACATTCTCGGCGCCGGTGTTCTTCACAATGGCCTTGATGCGGGTGTCGCTCACATGGCTCAGGGTGACATCAAGAGCGGAAGTCTCGCTGGTCTCGACGGGCAGCGCATACACATGCTGTGCGAGGGCCAGACAGGCCGCGGACAAGGCAGTAAAACGCATGGCGGAGATCAAAAAGTTCGATTGGGAATCGGACAAATCCACAAGAGAAGTTATAATGGCGTCGACTTCAGATGCCCGCTGGAGTTGCTTCGTTTTGAAAGTCCTCGAATCCACGGGGCATACTGCTTTGATTTATAGATGTCCGGAATATTTAGTATAGCGGGATCCGGAGATAGCATACCGTCTTCGAATACAAAGGTGATCGCCAACTAACCTGACTGAGAAAAGAAGGTGGTATCTCCGCTTGCAATACTCATAGCACATAGGGAGTCGATGAAGTGGTCATCTGCCAATTCCGGCGTCCATGCCGACGAAGAGAGCACACTGATACCCCTTGTAACTGGTGGAGATGCCTCTCAGGGCCTGGATGATACCGGAACTAGTCTGGATGGGAAATTCTTCAACAACTTGGCCCGGCGGAAGCCCGTTTCATCCTGCGACATCTTCAAAATGAGATCGGTCCCTGGCGAGAGCCTGTAAAAGCCGGATAGCAGCCGCGACAATGTAGAGAAAGGCCCTCCCGAGGCGCCGATTGGTATAGGAGAGAACAGCAGGAAGAAACCAAGACCCGGCGATGTAACAGCCATTGAGTCGTGGAGGCAACTAACGTATGTAGTACATGATATGGCGGCATCTCTGGTATTGCAAGGGGCTTCCGCACCACATTGAAGTGTCCTGCCGAAGCCCGAAGCCATCGTGATCGAGGTTCGCTATCCTCATCACCCTATGTCTCGAATGATGCTTGTTAGGGAGGAGATGGCCAGGCCAAGCTCGCCAAAGCGCCACGCTCGACGTTAGCGCCGCGGAGTCCGACGCCAAGAGGAACAAGATACCACCCAAGACACGCCCAATCCTCGCCTGCAGAGCACATTGCTGACTGCCATCTCCTCAACCCCGCGCCTTGAAGAGCTAATCGGACCCCAGTATCGGGAATCTTCCCCTCCATGACTTCTTTGCCCGTGCAGATGATAGGAAAAAATGGCCCTGAAGATGACCGCCAAGTCGGAGTGAAGGGGAGGGTTACACGCCACTCAGGAGAATAGGCGCCACCAGACCCTGTGGTACAGCTTGGCCGCACAGTCGGGGAAATCATTGGATAAAGTGAATCATGCCGCGCCCCATTGGCCATATCGTCAATTTATCTCGTGCGTGTTTGTGTCGTATGCCCTACGGAGGACCAGTGAATCCTGATAACGGGCACCCAGTGAATCCCCGCCCTCTTAAGCGCTTCCTTTTTTTCATACCGACTTGACTCATCCATCGACTTTCCCACTGTTCATTCCTGGGGATGTCTTTCGCTCATAACAATATGCATGGCAGTCTGAGCCTTCAGGTCACATTGGCCTCCCAAATGACAACTCTCCAAGCTTCTCCTGCCCTTGCGGTTCCCATCACCATCTCTGTCCATAATCCCGCGGACGCACCGATGACACTACTCCGGTGGAATAGTCCTTTGGATTTGAGCGCCGGCTTGCTAGGAGTCTTTGAGGTCTGTGACACCGGTACTGGCCAGGCTGTGCCCGTCGACACCATCAAGATTTCACGGAAGCTGCCGGCTTCCTTGGAGGATTTGGTGGAAATCCCCGCGGGCCAAACTGTGAACCAGACAGTAAATTTACCCGAGATTCAACTCGAGGAAGGGCATGAATACTCCATCCGCGCGCAGGGCATATGGCATGCTGTGTGGGATATGCCATTGGCAGATGTGACTGCATCCCAATTGAACGATTTAACGGGATCAACACGTGGGCAGTTCCAATCCAATATTGCCGTTGTCAAAGTCGAGTAACCGGGGAATGAACCGGTACTATATACGACAGAATTCCCACTGCTAGGCCAATCGATAATCACTTGCCTCTCGCCTTCGCGATCCGTACCTGGCGTCTCATGTATTACAGGTATCACCCGAGGCTGGGTGAACGGCCACAGGAGTTAGTGGGCATGAGATCAATGAGAAATATTACTTATCGACCCGAAATCTATCTAGATACATGAGATACTGCCCCTCCCGGAAATCGAAAATTCAGTACCTAATTCAGAAAGTGACCACTGTCGCCTCTTCATATACACATGCGTCGGTAGATGCAATGTCTGCAAACCGAGCTGTTTCTCCACGAGAAGACGCGCAAAAGGTCTTCCAAGTACTGCGAGCTGGGGGTATTGCAATTCTGCCTTTGAATGTCGGATACGGGATTGTTGCAGCAGACCCCAATGCTCTCAATCGCATTTTCACGGTGAAGAAGCGCAGACAGCACAAGAGACATGCTATGATAGGGAGCTTTACTCTCCATCGAGAGATACACTCTCTTCCCCAATATGAGGCAGATATGGTCAAGCTTTTGACTGTCGATCTGGATCTTCCCCTCGGGGTTGTTGCACCATACCGTGCCGACCATCCAATGATGAAGAGGCTCGGGCCCAATACATTGCTACAAAGTACCATTGGAGACACGTTGGCAATGCTTGTCAATGGAGGGCAGCTACAGGAAGAACTTTCTCAGCTGGCTTTCCAGGCAGGTCTTGCTATTTTGGGTTCGTCCGCAAATCTGACTGGTACAGGGGCCAAGATACTTGTGGATGACATTGAACCGGAAATTAAAGCGTCAGCAGATATCATTATTGACTATGGGCGCCAAAAATATAGCAATCCCCACCCGTCATCAACTATGATAGACTTTAAAAACCGGAGATTGTTGCGGATTGGTGCCTGTTACGATGTGATACAAGATGCACTGTTGAAGTTCTTCGGCATCGACTTGCCTGATGATCCAGGAAGACATGTTTCATTTCCGGGCCATACAATAGCCCCAAAGCTGCAATGGTGACACAAGATACCTCGGAATGTCGCAAACACAGAAATTCATTACAACCTGAACGTGGGATTCCTTGGAACAAGTTTTAATGTCAAATTTGTAGAATACTTCCGGTATCCTTATTGTACACGGTAAAATTTACATTAGTAGGGTATTGGCTAGATGTATTTCGGGGGCGATAACTATTAGGAAAATATTTATAGGAAAATATTTATAGTACATCAAGCCCATTCAGAAAAGCGTCAAGATTATGATAATGGAGATAACATTAGTCGACTATTGAATTAGCTCAATGACGGGCTACAATGTATGAGCTAGAGAGAAACCTGAAAGGCTACCAGAAAGAGAGCCCGGCTGGTGTGCAGCTGGCTCTGGTAGCTTCTTCGTATTTGGGTGTTTGCATAACAGAATGTGACTTCTGTAGGTATCTAATCTAAAAGGACCTCTTACAGTCGGACGGAAGGTACTCGTACCCCCCGAGCGCGCGTACCAGATCTGGCCGTGGTTGTACTATTGCAATCACGATGCACCTATTTGGGACAGCCCAAAACATTATGTAATCAATATATTGTGACAGACCTGGAAAGAGTCGATACCTGGAAACTAGAGATGCTAGCTAAATCAGAGAAGCCATATTCGTGGATATAATTGAAACTGATAAAAATGAACGGAAAAGGAGTAAAGCAATTGGAGGCAAAGAACAGCGAAAACATTACGAAGCAGTGAAGACCTTCGGATATAAATTGTGTGCACATTCCTGAGAGAATATTGCCCCCTCTCGTCCTAAGGATGGGCTAGGCGAACTCGCGATAATAATGTCATGTAACGCAATTTGTTCAATGCGATAGTTATTGACCTAAGAATCGACATTGCATAACCTGCAGCCCCAGAACCTTAGGTCTGTCGACCACCTAAACATATTTCACTGTCACAGAACTACTGGTGACAGAGCTTGAAGTCAGAATTGCATTGCTTTGCTTGATATCAATCAGAGTAGCGCCGGACGGGCCCACAGTCGAGCCGTTGTCGGTGGCCTCTGCGTTGGAAAAAGTGACTGTCCCGAAATTGGCGAAGGGAACCAGTGAGTTGTTCGACTGAAAATCCTCCACGATCCATTCTGCATTATATTCACACAGGTTACCGTCGACGCCCCCGTTGAATGTATGGGTTACAGATTTGCCGGTGGATACATTCTCCACCGTAGCGGTGCCAGATGTTTGAGAGGTAGCATCCACAGTCACTCGGATGACATTGCCGGCTGCGATGCTGATACCACTGAAATCATAGGCATAATCGGGATACCACTCATACCACGCATCATATGACACAGAGCTGCCTTGGATGCAAAAGTCGACACCTGTCTGCAGTATTGCAGTGTCGCACGTATCTCCATCAATCCCGACCCAAGCAGAGGCGCAGTATTGCTTGTTGGAAGAGCCACCGGTAGGGACTTTGGGGGTGGGGACGGTGAATTCAGCAGTTACAGCAGTGTAGCCAGTGCCGATAAGAACAGCGCCAGCCCAGTTGGAGCTGTATTCTTCCTTTGAAGTCTTGTTTAAGTGGAGAATTTCATTCGTCCCGGGCTTGTAAGGTGGGTGGCTTTCACGACCGTTCGAACGAGTAATACGTCGAGCCTCATGGCGAGCCTTGCGCTGGGAGGTGAGAGGTGCAGCGACAGCCGCGGTGGCCAAGATGATGCTGCTGATGAAAGTAACGGAAAACTTCATGGTGACAGGATTCCTCGGATTGAGCGATGAAAACGCAACAAAGCACTGAGAGATGATGGAACGTATAATGGAAAGACTTCAGTAATATGACAAGAAGTGTCGTGACTGTCAATGGAGTCCATCTTATATATGCTAGATATCGGTCTCTAAAGGGCGAAGACAATCAATTGACATGATTTGTTGGTATCATCCTAAGATCCTGGTGATCCAAAGGTGCCATGGGTATCAAGCCCAATGCAACATTGCATAAGGACTCCAGAGGAGCCTGAGAATTATTGGAACTGTATGACACGCCGCCGGAGACCGGTGGGTTGGCGAGATACTAGCTTGGAAAACGTAAACGTGCCTGGAGAGATCGGGGGAAGCACCAGTGCTCACATGGGGGTCATCCCGAATCGAAACTAGTTCTGGGCCGACATCCACCTATTGCCAGCGACTGTCTGGGGTATTGGTGTGCCGTCTGATGAACAGGAGAGTTTCCTTGACCATTTTTTCCGAACCCAAAAAGGTCACTGAGATGGATAACTCAGCAAAGAACACAAGGTACAGGCATAGATCCCCCCCCAACAAGGAAAGAGAAACAAGGAAAGAGAGCCGGTGACTCCTTATTTCCCCACCGAAAGAGCCAGTATGCCCTGTATGTTATGCCCATAGGTAGGCTTGTTTCGATATTGTGCAGAAAGTGGTGTAGAGCCGATGACTGCATCCTCTCTCCATGATTCGCTGAGACGTCTAAGCACGCCAAATTCTTAGCTAGCGTCATGAAGACGCGAGGTGATTGCGGCCTGCAGATTCACGGGATAACCGACGGAGACTCCAGGTGCGATAAGACTAATGTTAAGTGGGCGGACTGATGGTTTCTGGACAGATCCCTGACATAGGGAAGATGACCATATCAGGCCCGTAGATGGAATTGAGCAATCGGGGCAATGATCGTCCCAGGTCATTTTGGAAACCAGCAACATAGTGGCCGATAGGCAACGCAATGCAATGCTACTGTGGCGTAAAAGCCAACAACGCCGTCAACAAGCCACAAAGAGAAGCGGAGGTCAAGCTTTCGACAAGCAAAAATGCCGAGGAGGGGACCGAGAGCAAGTGAGAACGTAAATTAACGCCTGGGTTCCAGACAATGTCTGCTGGATCCCGACTTCTTATTTTGTCATTGCCTCTTTTCTTCTTGGGAAAATTGCCTCCCCAAGCCAGTATCGCGATTCAAGCTTTTACCGAGTGTTATCAACAGCAAAACCCAGCCACACTGAGATATTTTACTAGCGAAAGCTCAAACGGGGATATATCGAATAGAGGGACGACAACCCCGCTCCCCTTTCGGGCATGGGTCAGTAGATGCGCCGGCGCTAGGCTGATTGGAGAATCACACCCGAATCTCATCAAATATCGTGCAGTCTGCAGCGGCACGGGGCGAAAGACTGTGCCCACTAGGAACGAAGTGATCCTCGAGGTGTGGATCTTGTGCACTAGAGAAACTTGCAACTGACTTCTAGACCTTTTCGAATGGTCCAGCATGGGGCAATATCACGAGGCACCCGATAAACTAATTGCAGACGGAAATGAAACGGCACAAGATGGACAAGCGAAACGTCAACGAAGAGACTTTTAGATACCCAACAGCGCCTCTGGGGATGAAAATGGGAAAAAGCTACGCCTTTCGGAAAATCGCTCTCTCGGAAGGTCAGTGAGCGCCATGATCCGTGCTCCTACGCATTTGGGCCAAGGCCGGCAATCAACAGTTTCTATTCCCTCTTCGAGAATCGAAGCTGTTATGTATCGGGCGAGGTCTGCTCTCATGGCACGAGGCTAGAGACTGGAACCAAGTTGGAAGACAGGTCACCCTCGAAGTCGAAGGAAGAAGGGACATCATGTCGACATTAAAGATATCTTCAAAAAAACTTCTTGATCGAGATGTACAACTGATTGTATGCTGCTGTCTTGCGCATCAGAGCCCGACCATATTTCGTCGCCCGGGAGGGGATCTTCCAATGCTGTAAGTAACAGGACAGCACAACTTTTTGTTGCAACGCACCTCGTGACGGCGTCTGAAAAGGTGAAGCCTGCCCGCCGAATCTCCAACGCCAGTTCCATAATTGATCATGAAGTAAGCTTGCCGCGAACCGAGTTCGCAGATTCAAACGAGGTTCGTGGATACTTTGGTGCGAGCACCCTTGTAGACTCCATAGCTGAGCCAGAATATTCGAGTTTCTGTCCGGCAGATCATTATTTCCCATCGAGGTTAGCCGGAGGAGGAAAAGCGCAGTGTCAAATGATCGTTGCCCACCTTCGATGTCCAAAATATTCGCGAAGCTAGAGTCTTCCAGTCTCGGAATAAAGAGGGCCGCAAGGGAAGCTGCACGGAAGTAAGACGCAGGACAATGCCTCATGAAATCGGAAGCGGTATCCAACTGTTGAAACTGTTGATTGATCCTGAGCGTACATACATCAGGTACTCACTTAGTCACCACAGTCACCTGACTCTGTACCTCTTCTCTCACTTCCCACGCTCTCTCTTCCTTCCTCTTCTCTCTCTCTCAGATAGCAGAAGATAGCAGCAGATAGCCAATACCACCTGCTTCTCACCCGTTCACGATCATGCTGTACATCTCACACTCTCAGATCCCTTTGCCATATCAAAAACTTTGAGAAGGCCCATTTTGCGAGCCAGGGACCCCCAGAGTCAAGAAGATAGAAGACATAAAGTTGCAGTTCTGTGCTAGTCAAGAGAATATCATTCTCCACTATAATTTGTCAGAGACTTTTCAACTTTTCCATAGAAGCGAGAGCAGCGATTCCAAGAGAGTAAGTTACCTGACAAAGTGGGCTGGAGAGATCGTGATAGGTCAATGAATTCCTGTTCCAAAAGCATCAAAACAGACATGCTTCCTGGGGAGCATGACAAAACTGATGTCGAGGGGAAGCTTTTGGACATGCAACAGCCAACGCGTGCCGAAAAGCGATAAATCTGAAGTTGGTGCTGTACGATTAGGGGAACCTCATGAGTGGTATACTCGTCGCATATACGGTCAATCCTCCAATCCGAACACGGAGTCGACAGACCATATGAGGAGGCAATACTAATATTGGATTTCAGTCGTGAATTCCGGTAAAAAGGGGTATACGAAACCGACCTCTGTGACGCGATGTAGCAGACAGACCAAGTCCTCATTGCTTCGGATGCCTCCGTTGAGCTCAACTTCCGTTTTATGCGTGAGAAATCTTGGATGGCATCAGGTTGGTGCAAACCCAGCTGTATCGCAATCGTCTGTGCGATATTTACAAGCATTGGTGTTGTGTCAGTGGACAAGGAGGACGTCGGAAATGGCCACAGACAAAGCAGTAAGATCGCCTGCACAGTATACCAAACATGCGGGGGATTAGAAATAGTATAAATACATGGTGCTGTGTAAAGAAGCTAGATTAAAAATTGTTAGAAATGACATAGACACGGGTCACAACGGGTCCACGCACAGCTGAAAGAGAGAGTCGATCTGGTGCGGGTCCAGCCGCAGATGATCAAGAGATTGTGGTCGAGTTTCGGTTCCATCTTCGAGTTCGAGAACCCGAGCAGTTTTGTGCACAGGTGTCTCCGAGAGGTGCATCATATCAGAGCGCGGCAAGCCTGGCGCGCTGCCGTGTAAATATGTGCGAAGCCATGGTTTCGCGCTGGTCTCAGGCACGGTTTTCCCGGGAAGATTTGAAATTGAAGACCGGAGCTGTCGGATCTCATTTTCTAGTTCATCCAAACGCCTAAAGATCCGTTAGTCATGAGGCTTGGTGGATTCGCGATGAGCCCCGATCCTTACATTCGCTTGTTGACTGGCTTGGATCCGAAATCAATCTCGCAGTCCTGATAAATCCGTTGACATCGACTACATGGGATGCTGCCACCGGAGGACAGCTCACACCGGATCTGCCACCAACTGTCAGTGGGCGGTTCATACCTTAACATTTGTGGTGCCTTACTCAGAGCAGACTCACTTTTGCTTGTCTACATTGGCGACAGGCAACCCGCCGCCCTCGGTGACTGGCCTGGCTTGTTTGACTTGTCAAAACAGCGCTGCGATTGAAGCGCGTCATCTCCGCGCAAAGGGCCGAGCGCAGCACAAAGACGCAAATGCAAGCCGGCGATGTTGCGGTCGCTGTGCAGGGCCCTCACGTGACCCTCGTTTTACCAGCTGTCGCAAACAACGAAGAAGTGGATATATCCCACAACCAATGGGGTGGTAGAGGTCTGAATTGCTGTGAAGCCCCTGTTCTGGCAATTTATGGGGGCAAGCTGACTAACTATAAAACAAGGCAATAAGGCATCAATCTAAACCCAATTAGGTCCTCCAGCACCTGGATTCCGACACCAGCCTTGGTCTTGTCCAGCCGCAACGGGCATCGGGTTCGAATGTAACGAAGAATACACAGAAAACGCAGCTTACATTCAATCTCTTACTTGTGCACTCTCAAGTCTGTCAGCGCGACTGCGGATGTGCAGATGATGCGCCACGCCTAAGGCACATGCCGATCTCACGGCGCGTCCAATTGCGCATTCCTACTTGTCTCTTCAGAACGCTACTGCAGAAAAGTGATATATCGCCATCGCCGTGACTTAGCGTGGGTATATTGTACACTCATAGGTACGATCTACCGGTTACAGCCGCTTCCCACACACCATGTTCAAAATGTCCTTCTCCAGTGGCCATGTCTGTTGTAGTTCAGAGGTATATATTGTGTCATTTTATTCTTGAGGGGATACACGAGGCTATATATACAACGAGAAGACCAAGTTGATTGCAAATCAACTTGATTCTTCGTATAGGCAACCTGGAATATTTCCGATGTTGCGGCTTTGTTCCTGATCTGCGCCAGCCTCACATCACATCAATATCAATCTCTAGGCCTCCTTCAACCCAACCACGTTGAGCAAATCCCTAGGACTCCCTCCACCAGAGGGTACTTGGCTGCCTGTCTCCTTGAGATGTTTAGCTGCAGCACTCACAGCCGCATACACCGGCGCTAAAGCAAAACTTGGGAAGATGATCATTCGGAACCCAACGCCAGAGCTTCGGAGGCTGAAAGATCGGGCGAGACACCCCCTGTGGAGGCATTGAAGACGACCGGAGTGGGCCTCAGGTCGGCTCATATTTGCTTCGCCTGATCCTTGGAGGTGATCCCTTCCAAAAATGCGACATCGGGCCCCAGCATAATCGCCTCCTTCAGACGCGAAATTGCTTCGTCGTAGCCGAGTGTGGCGAGTGAGTCGGTTCGCACAATGAGCACAATGTCACCGCCGGAGAGCTTCCGGGCATTCGCTGCTTCTTTGATTCGGGAAAGATATTCGTTTTTGCCGCCCAGCTGCTTGTTGCGGAGATGCCCGCACCGTTTGGAGGTTGGTTGATCCTCAAGATGAAGCGACGCAACTCCAGCACGAATATACTCAGTAGTGGTACGGTAGACCATCAATGACCCTAAATGATTAGTGTGTCTTCAGAGAAAAAGCAAAAGGGATCAATGTTGTCTCGAACGCATACCGCCGAACCCCGTGTCTGCACCTGCAATAACAGGCGTTGATGGATCGAGACAAGCAATCATCTCCGCAGTCTCACGCATCTCGTTCAGGGTGATGATTCCGAGGTCAGGTTGGCCAAGCCTGGACGCGGTTGTGCCTGCTCCTGTCTTCCAGTCATCAAGCTTATTAGGGACAATGTTTGCACGAAATAGGCACGGACAAGGAGAGAAAAAAGAAGAGACAAAAGGTGACTCGACTGTGGAGAGGTTATCTTTACCATATACAATGCCTCAAATTCGGCGTTCAAGGCAATTCTAGCCGTGAGGCCATCGTATTCGCCGGGGCATACTGTGATCTTCTTCTCATCTGCCAGTAGTTGGCGAAGTTTCGAAGCAGACGAGGTCGCCATTGTCATAAAAAACCTAGCAACAACGGAGGGCAATCGCGCTCAGCTTGCTGACCGGACATTTTTCTTCGCCTCGGCTCTCCCTATTTTGATTTATGCAGCGTGGTTCGTTCCATGGGCGACCGTTGTCGCTCCGAGTCCAGCGGCTAAAGCGCTTTCGGGCCGTTCGCGGCCCGGCGATGCATACCACGAACGAAACCTCGGGTCATTACAAACTTGAACGCAAAAATATAAGAACCCTTCAGAGACCGATGGGATCCATGGCGAAGTATAAAATCAACCTTCTCGAATCGACAAGGAAGTTAACAGGATGACTGATGATGCAAAATCACAGCTTTCTGAACTTGGCAACATTCTGTCCTCTTCGCGGAACATTACTCTGAAATCCTTGCCCGGTAAGTTAACCTTCTTCCGTTGCATCTGATGCATAGACTAACAGGATGATAATGAAATCAGAGAATGAATCCAATAATCTCATAAGAAATCTGAGCACAGTTGGCGAACGGCTTCGGCAGATCGGCAAATGTCGAGAAGCTAATGCAATCACGGATGTTTTGGAAATCTGTCGACAGCCTCGCGATCTAGGTGGGCTCGGCATATCGGAGGAAGAGAGTTCAGCGACAGACCAGGAATCCGAGATTCTTTTCCTGGTATCTGCATGGCTAGAGGCTCTTAATTCGGCTGATTATGCCAAAAGTCCACCCACCCCGCTGGCAGATCGCCCCGCGGGTCGAAGAGGAATGACAATGAGCGAAAAGATATTCGCGATGCATGACATGGCACAAAGAGGATTCGTTGCCCCCGGAGACCTGATACGTATACATGTGGACTGGGTTATCGCCTCCGAAGCGTCCTGGGCAGTAGGTACCACGGCGCTAAGAGTTGCTGCAATAATTGCCTGCTAAGATCCCGCCTTTAGGGAATGGAGAGGACATATAACGATTTGGGGAAACCTGGAATATTTCGCAACGATCGTTTTTGGCTCGCCGGAGACCATGTCGTTGATCCTCGAATCAATGGGCTACCAAAAGTAAAAGGCCTGATTGATGCCAGTGAGCGCGCGAAGCGAGTTTTCAAGATGACGGATTACCAGGGGATGAACGTAAGACACTGACCTGTAGTGGGTTGATTGCTAGCTGACGTACACAATAGTACACCATTTTGCACACTGAATTCTACAGGGAACGCGCCCAGCCTGGCATGGTGGTCATAGGATCTGATTCCCATACATGCTCAGCAGGAGCACTGGGGTGCCTGGCTATCGGTCTCGGAGCGGCAGATGTAACGTTGCCACTGGTCACTGGTGAGACTTGGTTTAAGGTCCCCGAGTCCGTAAACATCCGCCTTGTTGGAACACCAAAGCCCGGAATCAGCGGTAAGGACGTGATTCTCTACATCCTACAACAGCTCAAGAGGAACACGGTTGCATCGGAGAGAATAGTGGAATTTACCGGAACAGGAATTCGACATTTATCATCCGATGCGAGGTTTGCTATCTCGAATATGACAACTGTGAGTGCCCTGGGGCCCTCAGAAAAATGGAAATATCAAATTAAGACCCCATAGGAGCTTGGTGGCATTACAGGAATATTTGTCCCAGATCAAACAACACAGGAGTTTGTCCAGAAAAGGAAATCGCCTCGACACAAGGGTCTTAAAACCTTCTTCAATCCCGACGAAGATGCACACTATGCCGAGGTACATGAGCTAGACCTTGGGAAAGTTAGATCATTCTTGGCCAAATATCCGAAGCCAGATGATGTGGTTCCGGTCAATGACTATGCTGGTATGGAATTACACGGCTGCTTCATTGGGGCCTGTACCACGGTGGAAGAGGACCTAATTCTAGGCGCGCTGGTTCTTGAGCAAGGCATGAAAACAGGCCAAAAGCCAGTTAACTACGGCAAACGAAAAGTTGTGCCAGGATCGATGCCGATTCTACGTCGCTTGCGACAATTGGGTCTCACAGACATATACGAACGTGCAGGATTTGAAGTTGGCATCCCTGGATGTAGCTATTGTGTGGGAATGTCGGCCGACCAGGCCGCGCCGGGGGAAGTGTGGCTTTCTTCCCAAAACCGGAACTTTGAAAACAGAATGGGAAGAGGTAAGCTTACCTTTCAGGCTCCTGGAAATGCTCATTTTCCAACAACTTGAGAACAGGATCAATCGGACATCTCGCATCTGCGGCTACAGTTGCCGCATCATCTTTCGCGATGGAGCTGACCGACCCAAATGAGCTTATTGAAGCAATTGACGTCGGCAAATGGAACGAGCTACGAGGAATGGCTTCGGTCCCAGTAATATATGACCCCACATACATCCTTCAATATGTCGAGCCTAACAGCGATCCCGAGCCTTTCCAGTCATTTCCCGAGGAGGAAGGCTCGCTTGATCTGAGAAAAAGCCAGGAAAAGCCAAGGAACAATGAGTCAAAGTCTCTCGAAGGGAAGGTTCAGCAACTGGGCGATTATGTCAGGATGTCGGATACGTGTATCATCTAGTATCGAGGGACGGCCAATTGATGCATGAGATGGATTAACGAGAGTGTGTCTGTGTGTTCCGATCTGTTGAAAATGATCCAGGGGCTATAAACTGCGTATTACATCACAGTTCTTCCGAGAATGACCCGAATTACCATACAATTACTATTGCAATGTGGGTGGATGCTGAATAACCAAGAGCAGTGGAGAATCCACAGTATTTTACCTCTCTCAGAGTTGACACACCCCCCCAGCATCCGCTCTCATTGCTGAGGTTATTCCAACAAAGTGTGGATATCCTCCATTCCCAGTTGTTGCAGGAACTCGGTGTGTTTCTGTCGTGGGAGCTGCTTTGTTAGGCCGTCCGCGGCCATATCCTTTGTTTCCACCCATTCAACATGTATCCGGCCAGTTTGAACCTCCTGTCGAAGCCAGTGATGGTGTATGTCGACATGACGAAGCTTCGTACGTAAATGAGGTATTCCCCTGGTGAGTATACCAATCGTTTGCTGGTTATCGCAATTGATCGATAAAGGGTGTTCAGGATCAAAGCGGATGGATAAGAATAGGCGCTTCCACATTTCCATGGTCTTCGCGGCTTCCGAAATCGCTAGCAGCTCTGCTTCCGTGGTGCTAGTGGTAACCGTACGTTGCTTGCTGGCACGCCAATCAACCGCTCCACCAAACATCTTGCAGATATATCCTTCTGAGCTCTTCCTATCTCTGTTATCCGCAAATGATGCATCGCTGAAGAAGGATACTGCTTCAATGTCTCCATGTGGACGTGAGCGATACGTCAAAGCAAGAGAACGCGTGTGATATAGATAGGTAATGACCCTGTTGATGGCGTCAAGGTGCTCAGGTCCTGGATTTGTGAGGAATTGTGCAAGCGCAGAGGTTGCTTTTGCTGCATCTGGTCTGGTGATTGTGGTAGCATATTGCGTTGATCCAACTTTCTGCTGATACTCATGGATCTGCTGTCGAGTTGCTTCTCCTTCATATGGCTTCAGTGCCAGTGCTGAGGGCAGTGGGGTGTCAACTTTGCGGCCATTTGTGAGATGGTACCGGCTTGCCATAGAAGAGATATAAGAGTCCTGACAGAGCCAGAGTGCTTTCTCCTGCCGATCTCGAACAACTCGGATTCCAAGAAACCACGCTGCTTCTCCCATGTCACGTAGTTCCCACTGCTCATTAAGCTTCTGGCGCAGTTCCGTTGCGCGTGTGCGCTGGGCTGGATGGTTGACGATGATGATATCATCCACATAGAAGAAAACAATGATGCCGTTTGTGGAGAAGAGGCAGAGGTCTTCCTGTACAACTTGTAAGCCAAAAGAAGTCAGGACCTTAGAAGCTTCTTGTTGCCATAGCCTTGGAGACTTTCGTAAGCCATAGAGAGCTCGCTTGAGTTTCCAGCACTGCCTCTGTTCCTTGAAACCCTCTGGCATCTCAGTGATGATCTCCTCATCAATCCAACTATTAAGGAATGCATTGACAGCATCATACTGGTAAGTGTCAAGGTCAAAAGCAGCCACTAATGAGAAGACTGCTCGTGCAGTGCGTGCAGCGAGGGTTGCCGAGTATTTCTCCTCTGTGGTAAGTTTCTGGAGATCTCCTCGCACGCAGATTCTGGCCTTGAGCTTGCTGAGATAGCCATTGCTATCAACCTTATAGTTGAACACCCAACGGAGTGGTAGAATCTGTATGCTGTGGTCATTTGGTCGTTGTATGACCTCATATGTGCCTTTCCTCTTGATTGTCTGAATTTCAAGAGCACAAGCTGCCAGGAATCCCTCTCGGTAAGGATGGTTCATCATCTCCTTCCAGTTTCCTGGCTCTGGAGGTAACTCATCCTGATGCACTTGCGCGTGTGTGCGGGAGCTGTTTAATCCAGTAGCGAAGGCTGCGAGTACGCTATCCTCTTCCTTCTCAGAGATAGCTTGAAAGCTGACAAAGTTGTCATCCTCTCTTGTTCGTCGTTTTCTCGTTCCTCTCACAATGTTTCGTTCTGAAATGTCACCATCGATATCTCTAGGTGCTCTGGGAGTCTCCTGTGCGGGTGATGCAGCTGTGAGCTCATTTTGAAGCTGCTCAGCATGGTCATATGACTCCCGTGGCGGTGAGCTAGGGAATGTTCCTGGTGGAAGCGAAGGTGCCCGTTGCTGTGATGCTGATGGCGTTGGTGAAGGTGTAGCCATCTGTCGTCCCTCCTTCTGTTGCGAATTTGTTGCTTTTCCTGCTGAATGTCTTGCTGCTTGTTCATGCATGTTCTCAGCAGCGCTTTCTCTGCTTCCTGCTTCATTTGAGGAAAGAGGGACTATCTGGTGTTGTATCTCCTCTTCCTCATCCTGTTCAGTGATCCAAGGCATTGATTCAATTATATCGCTGACTGGTGGTTTGTCTAGTTCTCGTGGGTTGAAGAACTGGTTCTCATCAAAGACAACATCTCGCACTGCCCGTACAGCTCCTCTCTGTGGAAACCATACTCTCCAGATATTTGAGGCTTCATAGCCAACGAGATAACCGATCTCTGCGCGAGGCTCCATCTTCGCTGCATTCGGGATGCCCTGCTTGCGTACATACGCTCTGCATCCATAGATTCTGAGGTTGGCAAGGTTGACTCGTGGTGGTTGGTCTTGCTGGACATGAAGTGCTTCCTGGTATGGGACAATCCACTTTCCATCTCTCATCCTCGTGGGCGATCTGTTAACTATCCAAACAGCTGCTTTGACTGCTTCTGGCCACAGGTCTTTCGGAAGACCTGCATCCTGCAGTAGTGCGCGTGCTATAGTGACTATCACCCCCCCAGATCGCTCCGCGAAGCCATTTTGCTCTGGCGTTCCAACGACGCTATGCTCAACAACAAAGCCTTCCTCTGCTAGGAATTGCTCTACCGTACGACCTGCTGAACGCTCATTATCATAGCGAAAGGCTCGGATTGGTAGGTTCCACTGGGTCCTCACATATGCACAGAAGAGTGTCACAGCTTGCTGACAACCACTTTTCTTCTCGTGAGTGAATGCTGCATGGAATCGAATTCCATCCACATAGAAATGGGATAACCAGCGATCACCATTATAGGCAGGGTCAATTTGAACAAGGTCAAAGTGTATTCTCCCAAATTTCCCGTATGTGGCTCCCTGTGGTCTTCTTGATATCTGACGTTTCGCAGAGGTGATCTGACAGACCTCACATCGTTCAGGGTTACCATGAGAGTTGTCTTCACTCTTTCCATCAATTTTGACTCCATCCACCATCGCTGGCAACAGTTCAATCTTCTGGCTATATGCGTGGCCTAGCCGACGATGCCAGCGCCTGGCTGATGCTGCTGAAATGAGTGGCTTTTCTGACTGCTTGGTTGCAAAGGCTGCATCAGAAGAGCAGTATTCCATGAAGTATAATCCCTTTTCCTTTCGCACATGTAACACTGGACTGTCGCTGTTGTTGACAATGGCTTTCTTGCTAGGATTCCACCAATATCCTTTATCCTCAATCTTTGAATAGGATATCAGATTGGTATGGAAGCCCGGGGAATAATGAACATTGGTGAGCTCTACCACTTGAGGCTCGCCAGTTTGAGGGTCCTGGCCTACCATGTCCACAGTGCCATACCCTGTAGTAGCAGTCATAGTATCACCTGTTTTAACAGAGCTTTCCCCTTTGATGAACACTTTGAAACGCCCACGATCATTACAGATATGCAGGGTAGTGCCTGAATCAAGAATCCAGCGATTTCTGAGCGGTTTGGTCACCTGATGCTGACCGGTTGATGCTGCAGCTGCAATGAAGAAGCTAAGCTTCTCTTCTGATACTGCTAATTGAGCCTGCGCTGATGGTGCTTCCTTCTTTTTCTCCATCAGCTGCTTGATCTTCTGTTGATCCTGAGGACTCATTTGCTTGATAGCATCAGTTAAGCGCTTCGCAATTCCTTCTCTTGGCTTCCAGTCGTCACTTCGCAGGGTCTCATCAATATACCAGCACTCTGAGTAGTGGTGTCGAGGGTATCCGCATGGGCACTTCGTTCGATAAGTCTTCTCTGTTTTCCCAGTTGGCTTTGCCTCTTTCTGACCATCCAGGGTTGCGAAGGCCATCTTCGGTTGCTTCTTTCCAGAAGTGAGTGCTAGATCTCCACGGCGGCTGCGATAATCGGCAATAACCTCATGAAACGTAGCAGTCGTGTTCATACGAAGCTCACGTCGCCATCCCGAGCAGAAGGTGTCATCTAGCCCCTGCACAGCATCTAGGAAGTCACGAATAGCATCATCTTTCTCAATACAGTCAGGAACCTTGGCAGCTTTTGCCTCCTCATATAAGCTTTCCCACTGTGTGAGCCACTGATCAATGCTAACATCTCTCGCAGGTTGCCTGATCATCAATCTCCACGCACGTCGGAGCTCCTGTCGTCGATTCTCAGGCTTTGGCTTGAATGTCTCTGCCAGTTTCAATAGCTTCTTCCTTGGAGTTTCCTCATCGACAATAAGATAGTGAAACTCAGTGGCTACTGAACGGGTAATAAGGCTATTCATGCGCGCCATAGCCTTAACAAGCCGCTGTCGCTTTGTTTCCTGCCGCTCATACAGCTGTATCTGCAACTGCCATCTCCTTAACTCATCATCAGTGAGGTCCATGATATCCTTCTCTCTACCGCGATGGTCCACAGGCATCATAGGTTCCCGATGTGCGATTGGAAGCTGTTCAACTTCTTCGTCCGACTTCTCGAGGTCAAGATAATTCCACACATCTTCAGATATGGCTGCTGACCTGATATGTCCTATCCAGATCCTCCACTGCGATTCCGCCCGTAGTTTCTGATCGGGTGGGATCATTGCCATCTCCTCTCTTTGTGAATCGGCCATCCTGTCTTCTCTCGCGATGATACTGATGCTGTGTTGATGCTAGGTTCAAGGGTACGGGATTGCTGCGTTGAGCGCGGGGCGAGGTTCCAATTTCTCGCGTGATGCGTGCGTTCAGGGGTATCCCGATCGTGCGAATCGCTGCTGCAGTGCTGCCAGGGGTGGTACGCTCGCAGTTACACGTGTGCGGCGCGGCTAACCGGGCTCATAACTGTCAGGATGTCGGATACGTGTATCATCTAGTATCGAGGGACGGCCAATTGATGCATGAGATGGATTAACGAGAGTGTGTCTGTGTGTTCCGATCTGTTGAAAATGATCCAGGGGCTATAAACTGCGTATTACATCACAGTTCTTCCGAGAATGACCCGAATTACCATACAATTACTATTGCAATGTGGGTGGATGCTGAATAACCAAGAGCAGTGGAGAATCCACAGTATTTTACCTCTCTCAGAGTTGACAGATTATATCGACACAGATGCAGTACGTTTGACCTTATTGTGGAGCTTAGCTGATAACTGACGAACTTTGGCCCAGCTTGCACCCGCCGAGTTCTTGATGGGCATGAAAGATAATGACTCTAGTGGACTGCATTGCCTCGAATTTACACACCCCGAATTTCGCAATCGTGTCAGACAAGGGTACAATATTGTGGTAGCGGGAAAAGGCTTCGGGTGTGGCTCGTCTCGCGAGCAGGCTGTGATGGCACTGCTAGGTAAGACAACTTAGTATTAGAGGTTTGATTGGCATATAAGATTGCTAATAGAGCCCCTCACAGGGACTGGTGTACAATGTATTATTGCTCGTTCATTTTCATTCATCTTTCAACGGAATATGCCAAATCTGGGGCTCCTGGGGATCACAATGCAAGATGAGGCCTTTTTTGAGGCAGCAACTGATGGATGGAAAATTTCGATTGATTTTCCTTCGAGAATTATAGATGTTGATGGTCAGGAATTCCCGTTCCAATTGAGCCAAATGGAGAAGCAGCTTTATGACCATGGCGGGATCACGTCGGCTTTTCGTCATTTTGGGAACAGACTGTTTGAAGTCATGGTATCTCGCGACAAGCAAAGTGAGGCAATTAATCAAAGTGTCCAAGGGGTGCCTCAAGCTGAATTGCTATGGTGACAAATGTTGAGAATCTAGCGATCCTGCGCATCATTTTCGTTACACTCACAATCTCCTCGTATTCCTCACAGCTGCAGTGTGCCTTGGAAAGCATGGAATGGATAGGTCACATTAGTCTGCGCGATATATAAAACAAAAGAGATACAGAAGAAAGATACAGAGATGAAATCAAAATATGGGTTTAGCTCTTCGGCAACATCAATTTCCATGTTGAAATACAAATTGTTTCAATAAGAGTCAAACGACGAAGATTCATGCTCAGCCCACTCGACAACGTATGCATCCAGAAAATCTTGGTCGGTACCATTAACCTCTGTCTGAAAATCAGAAATGTGATCCGACAAGGAAGGATTGTCATTACATTCGAAAGATTCCACCGGTCCCGCTAAGCCTTGATTGCTGCGAATGTCTGAGGCATGAAAGCTTGGCGAGACCATGGGGTTTGGGAGGCTTTGAAAGACATCGGAGAAATCAGTAGTGGAATTTGCCAATCCTGTATCGGACGTCATGGGCTGATGATTCATCCCAAGGGAGCCTCTTGTGGCCTTATTCGCAGGACTGAAAAACTCATCAACGCAGAATGATGAACGAAAATCTTCACGGAGTCGGCTTCGATCGATTCTCTCACATCCTATATTCCGAGGTATATCAAAAGGGGATGGGGTATCGATGGTAGACTCCGAATATCTTCTAGCCTCACCACAGGGGCTAGTATAGGCTTCTTTGTTGACTGGTACATTTACAGTCTCGTCGCGCTCCGACTTTGGTCTTTTTGCAAACAGAGTATTCTGGATGTGTTTGAATGACCTTACTTCAGTCGACAAAACCTGTGGATTGGATATGTCAGCCCTTGAGAGTTTCATCTTCATTGTGAGAGCCCCCATTCTTTTTAGGGCAAACAAAGTCTTCTGGGCAAAGCAACATCGGGTCATCAATCCATCCAATGCAGAAGTTGCAGCTAGAATCGAGTAATCAAGGTCTTGAAGAGACTGAATATGTGTCAGTTATTCCGTGAAAAGATGCTACAATCTGAAATTGATGCACATACCAGCTTCCGACACACCAAAGGGGAGTTCCAGATTGTAAAATAGAGTAAACTTCCTGGACTGAAAATTAGAATCCTCTCAAACAAGGCTTTATTAAAGGCTTACCTGCAATGAAGATCTGATGAGTCGCCAGGTAGAAAGAAGTAATAAGCCCAAAGTTCTGCAGCAGGCGATATATGTGTAGCGCTTTTGAACTGGCCTCTGCAACCTTGAAATGAGCCCAGTCCAGATCCCGTGGCGTGTCTGGAAGAAGTTGCTGAAGGTTGGCATTGATTGTAGAAGGATTTCGAACTAGCTCAGATGGTATTTTTATGCTCCACCTATAGAGCAAAAGCATGGTCTGCCAAAAGTCGAGTTCCAAAGCCAGTCTATCTGATTGGTGCTCGAGCGTTGGCATTGTGTCTTTCCATTCATCAAGTCTGGCGCTGACATCCCTTTGCCACGACGTGAATGAGGAAAAGTCTCGCAGAAAGGTAGACGGTTTTTGATTGAGATTTTGCTGACCCGAGTGCCGTTCTCTCTTGGCGAGTGCTTGCTGGTGCTGGAGAACGCTATGGATCTCTGATTGTAGAATCCGCAGCCTGAGGTAATGCTGTGCTGCATGCTTGTAACCGTTTCGGTTTTCCGATGACGCTAGGATTCCGTGCCTTGTGATGAATCTGTCATCGAGGGTGGAGGGAAAAAGAGTTGTCACAACATCATCCGGAATGAAGAATGGCCGACCGAGATACGGCGCAATTAAGCGATCTAGACTGTAGACACACCACCATAGACGTCTTCGTAAATCATCGACCCAGTCCTGATGTACCCCATTGGCAGATTGAGTTTCGGGTAGCTCTCTGGTGAAGCTGGCAGTGTCTTGCTCGGAGTAGAGTCTGAGGTCGACAGCAGAGCGAATGATTATTTCCACTAGGCTTCCTAATCCTGGAGTCACCGGCTCGAAAAGAGCAAAGCTACAGAGAAGTATCATTGCTTGGAGCTCTTCATAATCACTGAATCGGTCCAAAGAGCTACTTGAATTAAGAGATCCCTCTAGACACACCATAGCAGAGGCATGGTATTCTTCCGGGGTTCGAACACACTCAGCTGACCTCTTTCGCTTTCGCGATCCTGCCGTGGGCCAGTCATAGTGGAGCTGGGTGGAGTAGGAAAATTCCCCTGAACGTCTCTCCGAGGCAGAACCAATCGCAAGAATGATGAATAGAAAATAAAGCTGATTTGTCTGATGATCTTTGCTGGGGACGGAATATATATGATCGACGAGTGTTTCGAATTCTTCTCGATGGAGAACGGGCAATTGGAGATTTGTGCGAATGAAGTATTGCTCCACCAAACGCTCTGCTTCATCTCGAGCGGGAAGCTCCACAAAGGCGTGTGTTGATCGTTCGCCGTAAAAACCGAAGAAGGATGTGCGAATCGAAGTGGGGTTGGTGAAGGCCGTGGAGCAGCCTGCGTCCATTTTTGTGATCGCAAACTTGGCATCCTTTCCAGAAAGAAGATCGAGGATAATTGAATCCAAAGGCTGCATCAATTCAGGACCGTCCTTTTTCTCCGCAGGTTGATTCGAAGTGGAACCTGAGTTTTCGGATTTCAGAGTCGGTGAAAAGAGGTTTGCGGCCTGGGGTTCGCTGGTCGCCTCGTCATCGAAAGCGGCCGGTGGCTTGAAATCGATTTGATGTTTCTCCAAAGTGGTCTTGAGATATTTGATCCGGTTTTCCAGGAAGTAGACATAACTTCGAGGTATCTCTTGCTTGGTAACTGGATCATAACCCACACATCGAACATGGGCCTTTTCACACGATCGGCACCGTGGTAATTGTTGATCACATCGATGCTTCCGCAGTCGACATCGGTTACAGGCAGACACATTCCTGAATGAGGAGCTCAGAGCCGATGATGATTTCTCAGTTGATTGCGATTCGGGACAACCGATATTATCGGACACTGCCAAAAAACTGGTTGGCTGTGGGGAGTGCTTGGACAAGGCGATTTCTCCGAACAAGCTAGCTGGAGAGGGCGGAACTTCGATTCTCTCCTGCACTGAGGATTTGCTGCCCGTCATAGTGAGCACTGCAGTTCGCATGAAGAGCCTAACCGATGAATGCACCAGTAAAGTTAAGGCAACAGGGCGAGGTCGCGCAGAGCCTCTGGTTTTTAGTATTCTGGGGCGATCGAAGCTTAGTCCATTTCATATGACCGTCAAAGGCTTTCCTGATAGATTTAAACTTGTAAAGTCCCAACCAAAAAGGTCGGCATCGTTAGTGCGGCATTTGGGTCTGCTGGGGGGCAACGAATGAAACCTAGAAAGAAGATTCAATCTGGGGCCCATCAAACCGGCAGCCAGATGACTCTTTTCCATCATGATTTGACATCTAACTGGCAGAGACAGCCGTAGACTCGGATGAAAGACACCGAGTTTGGGGTAGAAATTACTCGATAGAAACTTGATGGAGCCCCAAAGGAGGGGTTGCGAGGATGCGGCTTCTGCGTCTTATCTGTTGATTACTCGATTCGAATACCTGACCTGAGGGTTAGATACGCGAAAGATCGCCCGATAAGAGGACAGAGAAAGAAGGGGCGCAGGATTACTCGATAGAAATATAAAGGTGTACTCGGAAATCATCCGCGCTAACTGTTGCCGGTGTTTTCCGCGGAAAGTCAATGCCATTTAAAGCACTAGTGCCAAAACAAACGAGCTCTGATGCAGGATGAGATGACGCATCAATGCCCACGGATTTACATATTAGCCCGAGGCTTACCGACGTGCCTAAATAACTACAACTGCCAATGTGTATCTGATATGGGCTGGGTCCCCTTTGACCCATGGGAAGGAGTAAGGAACTGGGAGGGGGCTGGAGGGGAAGCACTGAGTTTGGGAGATCAGCACAAGTACCAGCTCAGCCGGCAATCGGGTACTTGCCGATTGCCGCAGCCTCCTGCGCTGCCATCCTCATTTCGATGGTCTACTCATATATGCAGAGATAATTGAATTAGGATTCTCAAATCGCTCAATATATGCGTTATATTCATTCAATCCCTGCAGCGTCTTTGCGACGCATTCATCCCGATATCGGCCCATGTGACCCTCTCACGGCCCTTCGAGGTTGACAATACTCCAGATCCACTTCAAGGGGTTCCACCCTGAGAGTCCCACTTAGACCTCATCGATTTTCTTGTCGTCTGCATCAGGTACGGGGCTGCTCTCATATGGTATCTCATTCCACGTGTCACTTGTTCCCGAAATGGGGACAAGTCGTGCGAGGAGCCAATATACTACACCCGAAACAATGAATCCAGAGAAATAATTGACATCGTAAATATATACTGCACCGATCGGGACATCAACACCCAGAGCGCCGGCGAAACCAACAATGTTGATCAAAATGCCGCATAAATATGCAGCATATCCGTGCCAAGACACGCCGAAAATACCATAGTAAAGACCGTCCTTTCGAGCACTGTAGAGTTGTTCGATGTCAAGATAGCCTTTGCGCACCAGATAGTAATCGCTGGCCATGACACCAGCAATTGCAGAGAGGAAGACTGAATAAGCGGAAAGATAGAGTGTAAACTTGCTAGATGAAGCAACAAGGGTCCACTAAGAAATTATCAGAATATCGGCAATCTAAGCACCGGACCGATAATACTCACAGGGCACATGGCAAGACCAATGGCTGCGCAGAGATATCCACCGCGTCTTATTGTGCAGAACCGCGGCAGCAATGCCGTGAGATTAGTTCCTGCTGAAACGGAATTGGCGGCGATATTCGTTCCTAGTTGCGCCAGAGCAAAACCACTGGAGATCACGAAGATACCAAACCTCTCGGCCGGGCTCGCATTTTCTAGGAACATCCCCAAAAGAGTAAGAGGATTCCAGACCGGCTTGTCAAAAATCACACTTGAGGAGGAAGATACAATAATGCCAATGAAAGAAGTTACGGCGAAACCGACGGGAATAGTGATAAGCTGAGGCCAGAGCGCATCTTCGCGCTTGCGAGCATACCGAGCGAAGTCAGGGTTGTTGATGACGAGCGCAGCGAAGTTCGCAATGCAATTCATAATGCTTTTGACAAAGGCCCAGGCCAAATCGCTGCCCTGAGCAGTATTGGGTTGTGTGATTATAGGACCTAGTCCGTGTGCACGAGCAATCGCCCAGCCGAAAAATGCAATTGCACATGCCGGAGAAAAGTATGCTTTGACCGTAAACAGATGGCGGATCTTGTAAATTGGAAACCAGAGAGCTGGTAGGGAGCCAAGCCAAAATAGAAAGAAGCTTGTGAATTGCTTAGTCGTCACTCCAGCACTCGCCGGGATCGTGTTTGGCAGCGTGGCATAACTCGGCCAGATAGATTGAATCATCAGCGTTACGCATTCACCTGAAATTGACATGAGTATAAGAAAGAAAAGTGAGGACCGTGAGCTCGTTCACATACCACCTAGGTAGGTCTGAACGCCATACCAGATAACTGCCATTGCCGCTCGGTTCACAATCGGCCAGAAAGAGCCCCAAATACCAAAGGAAGCTCGATTAGTTACTGCGAAGGGTATGCGGTAAATGGCTGCTATCCGTCCCATGAGACAGACGAAAAGGGCTGCTATAGTGTATCCGATCCAAACACAAAGCCACGATTGCCACCAAGAGAGCCCATCAACGATCATTGACGAAGATATCATCCAAGTATTCTTTCAAATTGGAAAACATTAGAAAGATTTGATATTGGTGTCTGGCACAACGTCTTTCAAATCAATGCTACCTAGGGCAGTGTAGCCTGTCCGTTGTGCACTGATAAGAATGAACAACTTACGACATTCAATGAATCAGCAATCCAGAAAGCCACAAAGTTAAGCCACCTCCATTGTCTCCGCTCAGGTTCAACTGTTTTCGAGATTTAGTCAGCAAAATTCCAGGGCGTTACCCTGGGATTGATGGTCATATTTGACAGAGTTGACGAGCAACAACCGAATGCTTCAATGGCTTGCCCGGAGCAACGAAGGTGGTAGACGAATATCTAAGCCTCTCCTTGTATAATTCTTACCGGGTTTGAGATCATCATTCGTTAACATCAGCTGCGCTGTTGAGAGCCCAGGCTCTGTGGGAACTTGAAGCTTTCCAAGCCAGTACTTCCACTGACCCATAGCCATTGTTGAAGCGAAATAAGAGGTTGGACTAAACCAGGGTGCATGAAATCATGGAAGGTTTGGAATGTGTGCTTTTGGAGTTTTTTTTTTTGAAAGCTCATGAGCAAACCAAACGTGAAAGTGATGAGCTGGCTCCAACACTCCGTCTTAAATATGGCCGTGATGCTCCACCGCGCGGATTAGTTGTGCCACCGCAAAATGCCCGCGGCATGTGGCTCTTCCAGGTCTGCTCGGCATTCAAGCAATGTCTCATCTGCACTCTAACCCCGCATTCATTGACTTTTCCCCCGACCCAGTTCTTGCTACTTTAGTGCAGGGCGCTTTTATCGCCAGTCCCCACTTCTCCCCGCGGGGTTATTTCAGTTAGGTAATATATTAGCCTAGCGACGAGATCGGCTTCGGAGACAACGACTTATTGATCGTCACTTTTCAACCCTTGACATTCGTGTGGTTTCCCGGACTGTCTTCGCATGGCTTGTGAGGAGAGAATTCGACGACTCAAAATGATAGCAACGAAATTTATCTCACCGTGCCACAATTTTCTAATCAGATTGAGATTTCCTTCCTTCATTTTTCGCGCCGAATCAGAAACCTGGGTCTAAACTATTGAGATGAATTTCTGGCAACTCGGAATAAGACAGAGCCTAAGTAACGCCATAGAAAGTCGTGACTTCAGGGTTTATATGATATAGCCCTGTCCTTTTGAAATAATTCAGACTTTGATGAAAGGATTGGAATGACAGTGTCACAAGAAAAGATAAACAAAAATAAAGTAAAGTAGAAAGTTTGTTAGTGTAACATGGAAATACAGGTATTCATATTTTCTAAGAGAATGCCATAATGCCACGGTTGTTGAAGTAACAGCGAGGAGAGACTACGACAATACTGTACATGGTCAGTTGCGAAGACGCTGATCTGGGCCCTGGAGCCGAGAGATAGAGAGGTTAACTCATTCTTGGGATATATTTGCCACTTGGAGGATGTTTTCGAACCTCGAATCATGGTCTTGGATGACTACCCAATAGTTGCCAAGATTTCCCGCCGGGGATTCCCCGCGGAAAGCCTTTGAGGATAAAGTGAGAAATTCTAAAAACCTCTAAATTCTCATATCGAACTTTAATTTTGCCAACCTTCATAAAGCCTATTGAGGTATTATGAGGAACTTTGGTGTTCGTTTTGGCATTCTTTTCAGCTTTGATAGCCAAAGAGGGACTGGTTTGTGAAGTTTGTTTCTAACTCGGTGAAGGCTAAAGAACTAAAGGGTACCCCAGATCGCCTAGTTTGTGTCATCCGTAAGAATTGCATTCCACATACTGCATTCTAAGAGTCAACGCCCTGTCTAACCTCGGAAATGTGTGAATAATATTCAGACCAAATTTCCGGAAGGAAAATGTAAGATAAATTTGCACTTATTATTGACTTTATGTCTCAATATTCTAAAGGAAGGACTTGATTAAATACAAAATCACATGGTAATTAAAGACAAGGAAAGAAAACATGTTCATTAAGAATGGCCCGGCCACGTGTCCATGTTCAGCTACACGTGGCAGTTGACACGAGCGTTGTCGAGATTCACGGGAGTAGCAGCACCAGGGTTGCCGTCGAGATCGATATAAGTGCTCTGGGCCGTCAAAGTGAAGATAGCACCGTTGTTCTTGAGAGTGCAACTGATTGTGCCTGGGAACTGAGACAGCTGAGCGGACGAAGCCAAGACGTGCCCACTCGATCCGACAGACTTGGAACCGAAAAGGGAGGAAATGCTCTTGTCGAGGCCATCGGCAGCGAAGGCGGCAGTTGAATAAGCCCCACTTTGATCATTCGAGAGCGCAAGGGTCACAGTCGGGACCGATCGAGCCTCCAACGGAGCGGCGGCAATAGTGGCCACAAGAAGAGAGACGATAGAGATAGCTGACTTCATTTTGAAGGATAGAATGAACTTGATGAGCGTTGGAAAATTGGTATCTGGCAGTTTTGGTGTTTTCAAGAAAGACTCGATCGATGCTTGTTGAGTTTGGAGAATGATCAGGGAAAACAAAGGTTTTTATATCTTCTTGAGCAAGCCCAAAGACTCCCCAGGTAAGAATCCAAGACCTGGCTCGTATTCATGCCTCATCAGGATGTAGGCGTTCTAAGCCTCGATCGGGTAGAAAGACATATGACGCCCGCCAGATATGTGGCTTCAGCTAGCATCAACTCACTGGGCGCCTGGAAAATAGCAATCCGCACTTCATATAGGTAAATAGACTGTCCCAGAGAGATTCTTTCCACCAGAATCAGTATCATTTGGCCAAAATGGACAGAATTGTTACTAAAAAGAATGTTATTGAGCTTTTACAGTTTTTCTGCTAGGGTGAGGTCAAAGACATCAAACTGAGAATACAAGGTATCATTTGATATGGCTGGTGAGACCGAAAAGTTAGTTTTAGCCTTGGAAGTGAACGAGATAAAAATAAAATCCCTCCGCGAAACCCAGCGGCCCTGGTACATTTTCCGGGTAAGAAAAAGCTTTCGGATACGTCAAGAATCATCTCTTGGATGCCATAGCAAAGAAAAATAGAGGTTGCGATATATGCGTGTTCAGAATAGCAAAAGGAGATCTTTTTTTTGAGGAAATTTGTAGTCAGGCTCTCGTTAAACTATCTATTAACGTTCAAAAGCAACTAAGACCTAAGAGAGATGAACGGATTCGAAGAATGCAATATTAGAAAGAAATATTGAAATAGAATCATAGCTTGATAGACGACTGAAAAGAGAATTAGCAAAATCAAATCATGTAAGCGTCGATGAGAGCAAAAATAGAGTGGGATATGGAGGAGGTACTGGGAAATACCAGAAGTACCCGGGCTGCAACCCATATTCGAAGTTGTTATTCATGCCCCATGATCCTTCTGACGTAAATTCTCAGCAGCCAGAAGCAGCCAAATACGAGCTGAATGAGGTAGCGTACAGGAAAGACTATCGGTCGATAGGGTGCAGGGTGAGCCTGAGCTCGTATACGAAGTGATGTCTTACAATCCCGATCACATGAGTGGCTTTAGAGTGACTTTTACAGGGCAATACCCCCCACATCACCCTCCCAGAAGTCAAGAGAAGCGATCGAGAGACAATGTAAGCCGAGGGGGAAGAAGCGGTTAGGACTCGACCTGCTAAGCAAGACAGCCACTATATGCACCTTGAGGCATTCCAGTGGGACGTTACGGCGTGACTGTAAATGTGTACATATTTGCCAGATCCGGACGAGAGCCGCGTGGGTGATTTCATTTAGATTTTAGACCTGAATCACTGCTATCGTAGCGAAAAAGATCGAGGGATACATTCAAGTTCATTGGACATGTTCTCTAACTCACCTGGCCAATCACAATACGATGCAGGTGCTAGCCATCGAGTGTCATAGCAGAGATTCTCTGCTGGGTTCTCGGAGGTACTGTTCGCTTCTTTTTTCGGACCAACTCACAGCCGAGTGTCAGCATTTGGGCACCTTCGTACTTCCCAACTGATGCATCAGCTAGCACAACATATGCAACCCCTGCCGATTTTCAGGGCACATTAAAATTGTCAATACTTTAACCAACTCGAATTTTATATGGACTGACAATCAATAATATTACCGAAGACACTGAGGACCTCCTTCTTGTAACAACGCACAGTTTTTCAAAGCCTCTTTCAGTCTGGTCACTTCTTCCTCCGAAACCTCCTCACTCCCGGGGAGTAGAGCGCTCGAGTGAAATGTTTGCGCCGGGGTTTGTTCCCACAAGGATTGAATATTCGTTGATCTTACACCGCCGCCGATGATAATATCGAGGGCCTGATGGGCCTGATGGGTCTGAATACCGCCAAGGAAACCTTGGTGGAGGCTCGACAACTTGTCAATGCAGTCGGTCGCCTTACTCCCAGAGGGGCCGCCGCTCGTCAGAATGGAGCGAAATCCGCACTCTTCCACAGCGGCCAAGGCGGTATCCCAATGCTGCTCAGGGATACAATCAAAGGCGCGATGAAAAGTGCAGGGGCGCCCATCAGCTAGTGCCACGAGTTCTTTGTTCCGTTCGATGTCAACCCACGCGGCTGTGTCTTGGGTACGGGCCTCGGGATGCATGAGAATTCCGAAGACAAATCCGTCAGCGCCAAGCCGCTTCAGGCTCTCCAGAGTCGATTTCATCTGGTCAAAATCATCGCGACTGTAGTGGAAATTTTCTGAATGTGGGCGAATCATGACAAAAATAGGGATTGAAATCCAGGGTCTGAGAGCCGCAAGCGTCGCAGCGTCAGGTGAGAGGCCTCCACAGACGTAATCCCGACACAGCCTGAGGAGGAGTCAGTGAGACACCCTGGAGACTGCCTTCCCCAGGCTTGGCTCGTACTTCGAAATAGACACGAAAGTTGTGGCGCTTTCCATAACCACGCTGGGGACGTGGCGGGCACCTTAGCAGGTGCCGAATGGGGGACTTACTCGATCCGATCTGCGCCTGCTTTTGCTGCCGTGATGGCAGATTCTTGGTCGAAGCAAGCAATTTCTAAAAATGGGCTTCGGCGAGGCCTTGAACTGTTGAGCCCAGAGGCAATATGGTGGCTGATTGAAGTCATTGCGAAAGGCGCGCCTGGATGGAAGTAGGAAAAAGGAATGGTTGACTTGGGGCGACAGCAAAAACACGCCCGCTTGGGGCCAACGTGGGCAACGGCAGCCGGCATGGGGGATTTTCCGCCCGGACAATACATTAGACCACCCCGGCTACGACAGTACATCATTGTTTCCAAGTAGTGTCAACAATACTACTAATAGTCTTGACCAGAATTAACCGTAAGAGTAATTATTGTTGTTGGCAACCTATCCTCTAACGGCAAAAGTTAGTAAGAGCATAGTATCTCATCTCCGCCCATGCTTGGACTATGTAGGCCAGATCAGTTGCAGATAGCTTGGAATACGCTTCTCAACTGTATTCTGTCCATGGCCAAACTCTTCATAATTAGAGTGAAAATCACTGAATGGCCGGCTTCATGTCAGGGTCAAGCGTGTTGATCAGCTGCTGTTCGATGGTATGCGTGTCGATGTCTTCCCCTCCATTGCGAATCAACTCTATATCGGACACCGAGGAATGATTTTCGCCCTCGAATAACGCATCGATCCCTTCCAATGTTTTACCTTTAGTTTCGACCTAGTAATTCGCTTTTTGACGTTAAACAGATGCGATACTGTGGAGCACCGCGAAATTACAATAAGACCCAAGATTACTATGTCCCAGGAAGCGTTGACGATGTACATTTTCCAGGCGATGTTGCCTATTCCAGTAGGCATGATGAACGTGAACATGAGGCTGAAATTTTTTCAGTAACAGATCATCAATAGCTCGTGTATATTTAAGCAAATGCGTTTAAATCGGAGGGGAATGCCACCCCATTCGCTCGAATGGAGTAGTTCATAACCTCGGGCGGGTAGAGGTACAGAAGTGGCGTCCACGCGATCGAGTAGCAGCCCTGGAAGAGAAACATCACAGCGACATCCCCGTAGACTACTAGGCTATCAGATGCGCCTGCTGGGTTCCAGGCGTACATCCTGGAAAATCCCGCCGATGACAAACAAGCAGATGCTCACCAACGTTTGTGAAAGCATCGCCGTGAACTTTCTTCCCCATGTTGCCGCGAGACGTGTGTCAGCGAGACAGCAGGCAAGGCATCAAACATTCAGGACCACATTATGAGACAAAATCAGCTCAACCATACCCGGCATTTTTAATTTCAATGGGTTGCGCACCGCCTTGAGCTGGTCATTTGTGTCATCGATGTCAGCAGAACTCAACTCCAAGCCGAAGTAATAAAACGCGATAATGTTTCCGGCAATGCAAGAAAACAGGCCGGCAGACATTGCGATCAGGAGTCGCGGTCTGGAAGAAGGTGCGGTGAAAATTTCGATCGGGCTCATGTTGTGCCCTTGCTCCTTTTCCCATTTCAGCGTGTCGACGATTTCTTTGAATATGGCGACAACTACTGGATCGGAAGTGTTACCCCCGGCGTTGGTTTGAGCGACGGAAAGGCGCGCCTCTTCGTAATATCCTTGATGCACCAGCCAACGTGGTGATTCTGGGCTATCAAGGTGAGTTGCATCCCGGAAAGCTGACATCAGTGGGATCGACTCATATGAGCGGAAGGGTCAAGATGCAGAGCAGGGAAAAATGGCCTGGAACAGCGATGGCACACGCCATGCCCAGGTTGACCGCCATTGACCGGCGCCCAGAGTCACACCTGCTGCAATCAATGCTCTGACGCTGCATGATTATGTCAAAACCATGGCCTCTCCAGCCTAAACTGACCTTGTTGAATGCCACTCAATAGTAGAAATCGTTCAACAGCCCGACTCCCTATGCTCGCCAACGGCTAGGTAACGCTTCGGACAGGTACACTCTACAGCGATACCGGTAATCGCATTACCAAAACCCAATACAATGCGAGCCACGACGAACATGACGACGTTTTGCGCTGCGGTTTGAAGGATGATGCCGATGATTGTGATACACGATCCCCAGAAAATCGTCGGGCGACGGCCCAGCCTGTCAGCCGCTGGCCCTGACACCAGTGGACCGAGGATTCCTCCAATGAAGACCGACGCGTTCTTAAGGCCTGTTGTCACATCGTTCAAGCGGAAGTAGTAGGTATATGTTGGCAAAATGTTCAGGCCGTTCAGCATGGACTCATCGTAGCCACCGGTCTAGTTAGCGGCAGGGTTAGTCCCATTTGTCTGGTTCTTCGTGCCCTTGGCAGGGGAGGAGCCACTCCTACTGCAGATTGCACGATCAAGTACACCATCAATAGCGCAGAGACGATCGCCGTGGACTGGGGAACAAGGCGGGCATCCATGTTCCAGTTGTACTTCGGTCCAGCATGCCGAGGTTCGCCGATGTGTGCTGGAGACACCCTGGCTGACATTGATTTCCTTGCGTCAAAGTATGGTCAATGGTGGACGTACCATATGTATATATACTCGATCCGGGGTAACTATTGGAATGGACGCATACTGCGCACCGGGGCTCAGAGCAGTTGGTCGATACCTACGGAGTGTGCCATCACAATTCGTTGTTCGTTGCGGAGCGGGTTCCGCAGAATATGTCACCTTGCGGTATTATCCGGTCGAATTAGCGAGGCATGCAAAAATCCTGATAAAACCCCTTCCAGGGGGTTGGAGGCGATGTGACCCCCGACCGGGCCTCAAGCTGTCTAGCTCCGCCTACCCACGGTGCTGCGGTCCATTCCTGATTCTTCAGCGGGAGGCCAGAAGCAAAAATACAGAGAGTGGCTTCAAATATTGCGGAGCCGACGCCATCTTCTCGGGCGGCCCAATGAGCCCCAAGCGTGCGGCGTGGGAGGACAACCACACTGCTCGCATGCATACTAGTGGTGAGTTTACCAGTATATAGTACCGGTCCTCTGGAAGCTGGAGGAGCGGGTAGAGGCGACGTTGCATGGAAGGCGTGGGGCTCCCCCACAAAGCCAAAAGCTTCGCTGGCAACCGCCCACGTTGCACAGACTCTTTGTACTACCTGCTATTGCGAGGAGTACTTCAGTGCGAAGGTGGTCTGCTTCCCCTCGCTCTTGAAGAGTCACAGCATCCCCGTATCGACATACGTCTCAGTTCCCCGGCACCATGCCACCACTCCCACTCCCCGTCATCGCCATTGCGGGGCTTGCCTGCGAAACCTCCAGCTTCTCCCCGGCACGCACGCTGGCGCCGGCATTCCATCCCCGCCGCGGGCCCCAAGTGGTCGACGAATATCCCTTCATTCACCGCGAAACACCACTCGGCAGAGCAGCGAATTGGCAAGGCGCACTGATCGGCCATGCGCTTCCCGGGGGGATCGTGACCAAAGCCGCGTTTGAGGAACTGGCCGGCGAGATATTGTCGCGGCTGTCCGAGATTCAAACGCAGTCCGAGGCGGGCATACAGGGACTGTGGTTCGACATACACGGGGCGATGTGCGTCGAGGGAATGGATGATATTGAAGCAGAGCTCTTGCGGCGCATTCGAACGGTCGTGGGGCCAGACGCCATCGTGTCGGCCTCGATGGATTTGCACGGCAACGTCTCGCAGCAGCTAGCCCACCAGGTGGACTTGATCACGTGCTACCGCATGGCTCCCCATGAGGACGAGATGGAAACCAAAGAGCGCGCGTGTCGGAATCTGGTCCAGCTGTTGGCCACGGAGGCCAGGCCCATTCGGCGTCCTCTGAAAGCATGGGTCCGGGTGCCCATTCTGTTGCCAGGGGAACAAACCTCAACGCGATTGCAGCCAGCGAAGGGGCTCTATGCCTTGGTCCCGGAGGTCGAGGCCACGCTTGGTGTGCTGGACGCCGCGATTTGGGTTGGATACGCATGGGCGGATGAGCCTCGCAACCATGCCGTCGTGCTCGTCACCGGCTGGGATCTGGACGTGGTGACGAAATGTGCGGAAATGCTCGCTCAGTTCTTCTGGGATGCCCGGGAGAAATTTCATTTTGTAGCCCCCACGGGTTCGCTGGCCGACTGCCTAGAGAAGGCGCTGTCCTCATCCGCTCGGCCGTTTTTCGTCTCTGATTCGGGCGATAACCCAACAGCAGGGGGCGCTGGAGACGTGACGTGGAGCCTCATCCAAATACTGGCCCGGTCGGAATTTCAAAACAAAGTGGGACCAACCGTAATCTATGCAAGTATCCCCGGCCCACAGGCGGTCGACGAGATGGTTGCAGCTGGGATAGGCGCCACTGTGACCGTCACCGCAGGGGCAGAGGTCGACGATCTTCACAGCGGGCCCATAACGATGGCAGGCCAAGTCCACGCGATCAGATCAAGGGATCGAGACGCCGTTGTAGAAGGTGTGCTCCGCGTGGGGAGTGTTTTTGTTATCATTACGAAGCTCCGCAAACCATACCACCATGAACATGATTTCACTGCATTGGACTTGCAACCGAGATCGGCCGCCATCGTGATCATTAAGATCGGGTATCTGGAACCAGAGCTCTTTGACATGGCCGCCGATTGGATGCTGGCCCTCACGCCAGGCGGCGTGGATCAGGACTTGGTGCGTCTGGGGCATCGCCGAATCGGTCGGCCCATGTGGCCCTTTGATAAAGAATTCCAGCCGGAACCCGATTTGGCACCTCTGTTGATCCCGATGTCGAACAAGCCATTCAGGGTGTACATGGAAGAGCCTGAAAAGTACAGTCGGTCAGCATGGGCTGAGGTGGTGTGATGAATAACCGCATTCCTGTTTCCAACCGACGGTTGCCAATATGTATAGACGTCATCAATAGTTATACATACTACTCCGCGGATTGATTGATCAGACCCGCTCGGACCGAGCCGGATCAGATTCTTGGTTCGAATCCTTCGCAGCCCTAAGGTTCACTTATTTTCATGATCGCTTATCCATGCACCCTCCTGATCGCCAAGAACTTGGGATGATGCGGCTCCTTTAGAGAGGGATTCATTCGAGAAGCCCACTTCTATTGCTTTGGACTTGGCTTATTGTTTGATTCTGGATTGAGATGGTGCGTAGTTGTGAGTGGGTGACATCCCGAGTACATAGCAGGAGCCCCTTTGGGATTGGGGTTTTTTGCATGGCCCAACGCTACCAGCTCGCGCCTCTAGAAATTTTCGGAGAGCCACGTTTGTTTCTTATCCTCACTTGACTCTCATCGAAAATCAGAATCGCCTCTTCGAGAACGTCCATCTGTCCCGCTCGTTTCGTATAAATGTAGAGCATAATTCCGAGGGGATTCAGCCGTATTGCCATGTTGGGATAGTTGTTAGGAGTGATCTGGTCTGCATGGAAAAACAATCTGGTCGCCCCTCTAAGGTCCGTTATTTTCCCTGTTCGTTAATATCGACGTCCAAGCTTGTTTCTGAGGCCAAATTATTAATGTAGCCGGAGAGATCGAGGAACCCTTCCCATGGCCGTAAAACAGGATGTTCACTGAGCACCCGACGGGCATCAGTATAAGGAATTAACATACCACATGAGCAACAAGCAATGTCTCGGCTGGCAACAGTCATTTCCTTCTCGAATCGAGCTATAGACTGGCGCACTAGTGAGGTAGAAATGTCCGGGGGAACAAACCCGAGGCAGACACACGAGATACATGTTCCTGGAGCAAGAATGCAACAGCCCGGTCGAGAACCGAAGGCTGTCTTCCCATTGGTGGAGCTGGAGGTAAGATCTTCGACCCTTGAATTGAGGGGGCTGTATGGGTGCACTTATTGGTTGAAATGAATATAGCGTAGGATCAAAGGAAATATCAATAGTGTGGCGAAAACCAGAGGGACGCTGCACTATACTTGATCTCCTCAATCTACAGCCATGACAGCGCATGACAGCGCATGGCACCCGGTCGAGCGGGAAGGGGGACTTGGCAGTCATAGCATGGAGTAAAACGAGGATTCGGAGAGCGTAAAGTTTCACAACGCATGCAGCGAATACTTGGTGAGTCCGCGGGAATCGGCACATGGCAGTGCAAGCAGTGGCGCGTTTCCGGTAAGGGGGCGAGCAGGGAAAACCGACAAGCGGGACATTTTGGTGATTCAATAGCCGTAGCCAGACGTACTTGATGTCCACAGCCAGAGCAAAATCGGTTAGATAGTTTCTTTGAGTCCGACTGCATATTGCTCGAAATCAGTTCGATCAGGTTATTATCATGGATTCTTCGAAAGCGTGCCACTCTATGTGGGAGCTAGATTTTCCTAAGTAGTTAAAAAGAGTCTAGCCAGCATTGAGTTCTAGTGCCATTGGATCACGTGCCAATGAAGCTGCAAGAAACCCCGCACTTAGCTGAGTAACGTGAACTTGAGCGCGAATTGCGAGTTCCCGAATGACTTTGGTCATGGCGTCAATTAACTTCAATGGAACAAACCATGGCCTCCAGATTGGAAACAACTACGGGACTGCAGAATTCCATCAGTGTAGGTTAGATCCTACTTAATAAGCTGAATCGATGTGACTTAAATCGTTCATAGCAAGCACCACTGAAGATATCGATCGGCTCTGTCTCCGACATCTAAGCTGCCCTGATTCATTAGTCGTCAAGAATCGGCTGAAAGAGACCAAGGACAAGTTACTCCGTCAATCATTTGAATGGATTCTTCGAGACCCGCAGTACCGCCGTTGGAAAAATGGATCAGATGTCTGTCTGCTTTGGATCAAGGGCGGTGCTGGGAAAGGGAAGACCATGTTGTCGATCGGTCTTATTGAAGAGCTTTCCCGGGTACGACATGAATCAGCTACGGTGACTTATTTTTTCTGCCAAAATGCGGACAACGAGCTCAACACCCTTGAATCAATCATCAAGGGCTTGATGTTTAAGTTGATGAGCCAGGAAATCGAGCTTAAAGAATCTCTGCGACGTCGTTGGGACTCCAAGAACGACAGTTTCAACGAGGACGTTACGTCATGGCGAACTCTATGGAACATCCTGCTCGAGATGTTGGACCGATGCAACGCCCCGAAGGTATATGTTATTGTGGATGCTCTTGATGAGTGCCAAGGGAGCGGCATGGCCGACTTCTTGAAGCTTATTGTCCGTAATGGACTGGACCACCCCGCAAAAATCAAATGGCTGTTAACTAGTCGACCATTGGAAGCCGCAGAGCGAGTATTGTTGGCTGCGCATGACCAGATTCAAGTCAGTCTGGAGCTTAACTCGAGATATGTCTCCCAAGCGGTAAGGGCCTACATCTCTTATAAAGTGGATGAGCTTAGTGTTCGTGGCAAATATGGAGAGACACTGAGGAGAGAAATGAAGGCTGAGCTTACTGCAAAGGCTGAGGGTACCTTTCTGTGGGTGAGCCTGGTATGTAGGAGACTGGAAAGCGTCCGCCACGATGAAGCTTTGTCCACAATTCAACATTTACCGCCGGGGCTGCATCAATTCTACGATCGGATATTGCACCAACTGAACCAAGGCGAGCCAGACGATGTCCATAAGTGCATGCGACTACTTCGGACAATGATGCTGGCATATCGACCTTTGAAAGTCGAAGAATCTCCGAGTGTGACTGGCTTGACTAATGAAGACGACGCGATCAAGGCGCTAGTCAATCGTTGTGCGTCATTCGTAAGGATGCAAGGAAACAACATTGAGTTTGTTCATCAATCCGCTCGAGACTATTTGGCCGGGGAGAACGGACAGTCAATACTTGATGCGCATGAACGTTTCGGACACTATGAAATTGTACTGAGATGTCTGTCTTGTTTATCGAAGACGCTTCAGGTCAACCTCATAGGCCTGGCGCGACCTGATTCAACCAGAGAATCCTGCAAACCGCTAAAAGACGATAAAAGACATGTCCAACTATCTTCTCTGGATTATGCGGCTACCTTCTGGGTGCAACATCTCGAGAGCATCGAGCGAAGCAAGATAGTACAGAGCGGGTTCATTGACACGGGTGTCGTTGGTATATTCCTTCACACAAAGTTGTTGGAATGGCTAGAATGCTTTAGTCTATTGGATAGGCTACCACGGGCCATTGAAGCATTAACAGCATTGGTAAATATATCAAAGGTTAGAATTTGATATTCTTTTGATGACGAGGGACTTTGCTTACAAATTGTCAAAGGACGACCCTTCAACATTGGCGCTTGTGCAGGATGCTACAAGGTTTTTGTTGCGACACTACCACACTATTACTCATTGGCCATTACAAATCTACAGCTCTGCTATTACATTCAGCCCTGAATCAAGCGTCGTGAAGAGGGAAAACTTGGAAAGAATTCCAGTATATCTAAGAAAGGCTCCTCTCATGGAGGACAATTGGTCGTCTGTAATACAAACACTTGCAGGCCATTCAGAGGGGGTCCATACTGTGGCCTTTTCACCCGACGGCAAGCAGATCGCATCCGGCTCTGATGATAACACTATCAAGATTTGGGATACCGCCACAGGTGGCCTTCAGAAGACACTAGAAGGACACTCAAAGTTGGTCACTACTGTGGCCTTTTCACTCGACGGCAAGCAGATCGTATCCGGCTCTGATGACAACACTATCAAGCTTTGGGTTACTACCACAGGTGAACTTCAGAAGACACTAGAGGGCCACTTAGATGAGGTCCGAACTGTGGCCTTTTCACTCGATGGCAAGCAGATCATGTCTGGATCCGATGACAACACTATCCGGCTTTGGGATTCTACCACGGGTGCCCTTCAGAAGACACTAGAGGGCCACACGGACGGGGTCGCTGCTGTGATCTTTTCACCCAACGGCAAGCAGATCGTATCGGGCTCCCTTGACGGCACCGTCAATCTTTGGGATAGAGCCACGGGTGACCTCCAGAAGAAACTAAAAATCCACGGGGTCACTACTGTGGCCGTTTCACCCGATGGCAAGCAGATCGCATCCGGCTCTGATGACAACACCATCAAGCTCTGGGATACCACCACAGGTGACCTTCAGAAGACACTAGAAGGCCACTTGGACTGGATCTGGACTGTGGCATTTTCACCCGATGGCAAGCAGATCGCGTCCGGCTGCGATGACAACACTATCAGGCTCTGGGATACCACCACAGGTGACCAACAGAAGACACTAGATGGCCACTCGGGCCCGGTCTATACTGTAGCCTTTTCACCCAACGGCAAGCAGATTTTGTCAGGCTCCCTTGACGAGACAATCAAGCTTTGGGATGCCACCGCGGATAGCCCTCAGAATACACTAGAAGGCCACTCGGACTCGATCTGGACTGTGGCCTTTTCACCTGACGGTAAACAGATCGCATCCGGCTCCTTTGACCACACTACCAAACTCTGGGATACCACCACTGGGGCCCTTCAGAAGACATTAGCTGGCCACTTGGGCTGGGTCGCTAGTGTGGCCTTTTCACCCGACGGTAAGCAGATCGCATCAGGCTCTAGTGACCACACCGTCAAGCTTTGGCACACTACCACAGGTGGCCTTCTGAAGACACTAGAAGGTCACACGGACGGGGTTGCTACTGTGACCTTTTCACCCAACGGCAAGCAGATCGCATCCGGCTCTCTTGACCATACTATCAAGCTCTGGGATACCACCACTGGGAGCCTTCAGAAGACACTAGCTGGCCACTTGGGCTGGGTCGCTAGTGTGGCCTTTTCACCCGACGGCAAGCAGATCGCATCAGGCTCAAAAGACCATACTGTTAAACTTTGGGATACCACCACGGGTGGCCTTCAGAAAACACTAGCAGGGCACTCAAAAAGGGTCACTACTGTGGCCTTTTCACCCGACGGCAAGCAGATCGCATCAGGCTCCCGTGACAACACTATCAAATGTTGGGACATCGCCAAATGTCTTAGATCTTCAAAAATTCTCAGCCACCATCTAAGTCGACATTTGAAGTTCCGATCATGGATAGAAATCAAGACATCAGAGCCGGTAAAGAACATAGTGTTCCCGGCAGGAAACCGGTATCTTATAACAGACATTGGCCTGATTATGCTCCATGGCATTGCTACAGAAAAACAGAACGGAAGTTCAGATTCTCTACTGAATATTTTCGTCGCAAATCAGTGGTTGTATTGCGGAGAGATGCCTTTCCTTAGACTACCAGCAGATTATCTGCCAGCATGTCATGCCGTGCACGGCAATCGAGTGGCAATTGGATTGCAAAATGGTCGTGTCTGGCGTTTTGTTATCGATCGCCAGAGCTTGCAAGCAGTGCTAAGCCAGAGAAGTAATTTCAATGAGCCCCATTAAGTTTTCAGTCCTAGGCACATTGAATATTTTTTTCTTGGTGACACCGGTACCTGAAATTGGATATGTTATACAGTGGATTCTGTTACATGGTAAAATTTAACTTCAACCCTATTAAAAGAGTAGAAAGGGTTGTTTGCAGGCGTCGAAAATCGCCGAATCTTTTGAAGGTCCCGCGACCCGCGACCCGCCGACCGTGACTGACCGTGACCCACCACCAGTTTTACTGTGGGGGCATAGCTGAGCGTGGTTAGAAAAGTCACGTGAATTGACCCACTCATGGGTTGAATTTCTACCCACGATCAGGTGGCTGGGATGAGCGTGGGTAGAAATTTCAACCCATGGTCGCTTATTTTTAGCGTGAAACTAGTGTAGACTGATTATAAATACCAATTTATCCTACAATCCTATTGTTTACATATTTGCCAAAATATGTCTGTTTTCAATCATCCAGACTTTGCAGGACGCTTTGGGTCTACATTTAATGATCCATTGGTCGATTTTTAAGACCCCCCCCCCCCTCAGTCTAACATTCGCTACAGCAAAAAAGCATATAGAAAAAAGAGGCTTTAAATATGATTACTATATGCACTGTATATGAAATATTGAGGGTACAGGTTAGTTGTTCTGCTAGCGCGTACTTAATCAGCAGTGGTAGCCAATTAAAAACATGAAAAAATGTGGAGCGTGGGTTGGAATTTCTACCCACGCTCAGCTAACACAGCTAAGCGTGGGTAGAAATTCGGAAAAATGATTTTCCAACCGGGTGGGGCGAGTCACGTTACTTTTATAATCACGATCAGCTGGAACCCGTTTTACTGTTATGGACCCTGCAAGATGAGGGGCTACGGGTTACCAAATAAGTCACCCAGGGCCAATCATTCCGGAACAACACATTCGAACCCCGAAGTCACGTGTGAGGCTTGGAACAAGATCTCTCTGCGTCAAATCACGTGACTTCAGGATCTACCATCCGCTACCGGGTTCTGGTAGAACGAGTGTCAAAAAATAACGTGACCGCCCCACTAGGCCGGAATATTAATGTTCCGGATTTTGGCCCTCGCTCAGCTTTATAGTGGAGCAAGGGCCAAAAACTTTTGGCCCTTGCCAGGTACACGTAAGCCGGCTACGGCTAATTTAATTGGCTTATAAGACCCTGTTCTCCATTGACTAATATACGCTAATTGTATACCTGAACAATAACCTCAATTTACTGCACTCAAGTTTTTCTACATATCATGAGCATATCGCAGCCAAGGTTTGCAGCCATTGTTTTCAAACAAAGGAGGAGGCTCAATGGCGGAATTCACTACTGCACTTTCCTTTCATATAGCCTGCCACCTATTTTGGGCAGTTATGCCTAGTAAATGTAAACAAAGCCTGTGATATATATATACACAACATACACTCAACAAGCTCTCTCTCCTACCCTCCCTATCTTTATTTTGCATAACTCTCCACACATTGTCTCGCTCGCTTTTGACATATTGCTCACATATTATTTGCTTATGTTGAAATGGCTGATCACACAAGTTTCGCCACCTTTAAAGGCCACCAACTACCTCGCGCGTTCTTTGAGGCAGATGGTGTAGAGACTGCTATGAACCCACACCTAGTGTTTGGTTACCACCATGGTTTGTTGTTTTGTTGACCTCGGAAAACATATGCTGATCATATGCAGGCCCTATTATTGACCCTAACCCAAACTGGAAGCCCGTGGCCTGGCATACAGCCCACCTGGCAACCCTCGGTATCAGATCACCGCTGCTGATCTGGCTAACCCGACTGATATGCCTCCAAACCCACGTCTTCGGCTATCTAAAATAAACACTCTAGTTTGCCCAGTGGTGGAGAACCCACCCGTGCACCAGTGCGGCCAAACATTTGAGTCGCAGCCCGACTTTCGTCGGCATATGCGTCAGGTGCATACCGGCTGCTGTAGGCATTTTTTTCTTCACATATGTGAGAGTTATGCTAACCAATGAACACTGTAGTTGTTAATCCTGACCGCAAACCTATATCACGTGAAGAGCGTGTCGAGGGTCAGAATACTCTTGTCAACTATGTTCGCAGTGGGCAGTGGAGTCAGGATGTTTTCATGAACGAACCAGGCCGCGGCCCAGCGGCCGGCCCGATTGGCCACTACGCTGATAACCTGACTAATATTGCGTAAGAATTTTGTATGCAGAACTTAAGCATATAGCTAACATATCTGATTGTTCTAGCCGACATGACCGCTACTGGCGCCAGGGATACGGTTCTAATTACAATCGCGAGCAGCAACCCGTCACACCTACTAGTGGCGGACGTAGCAGACGCGTAAGTTAACATTATTTTGTTAATACGCCAACCATATGCCAATCATATGCAGCGCGGACAAAACCCTCCTCCGAACCCCGTTCCATTTATGACCCCCACTCAGCTGCATGTGGCCGACGGCATGAGTACTACCCCTGACGACTCTAGCGAGGAGGAGTATATCTCCGATGATAACGGTAATGAAGATGGAAATAGAGATGGCGACGGTAATGGAGATAGTGATAGCGACAGAGAAGGTACCGGAGGTGGTGATAGTGCTGATGATAGTGCTTTTGCACCTGCTTCTCCTTAGCTGGGCCTTTACGCTGTTAGTCCTCCGAATTAGGATATATATTATGCACATTTTGAGAGGGTAAGTGATCCGTTTTTCGTCATGATAATGATTGACGACTTCAATGTTTTACATCTCAGAACAATATGCAATCACCGTACACATACTCAATGAAATGAATGTTTTAGATATGCAAAACATATGCTATTCCTATGTACAGAGAACTATTTAACGTAATGAATCTAGCCGTTGCCTTAGCTTCTGAATCCGTTCACGTCGTTCTATCAATTCGATCTCTTGCTGGAGCCGTTCCTCTTCTTTTTGTAGCTCAGCTAACTCAGTCAACTGTGGCTGGATTGATAGTGAGCGAGTTGAGCATGAGCGAGAGCGAGATGATTGAATAGTTTGTGTATCAGATATTGAAATTGAATCTGAATTGATATCTGAACCAGGACGCGGAGGCGGCCCCATAAGCGATGTAGATATTTCAATTGAATCATACGGATTGCTAGGCTTGTAGGGCATATGCGACTTTCTTTTCCGACGTTCTGCTGAAGCACGGTTTCGTATGTCTGGAAAGAAGTTATTACATAAGTTAAACATATATCAACCATATACTAAAAAACCAGAACTTACTCTTTCGATGACCTGCTTTCGAGATACGTGAAACAGCATCTGCGGGCTTCCATGTCGAGTGGCGACCTTCTTCAGCAGCAAGCTTTGTCTTTTCAACCATATTGTTAACATGCCGCTTTGTCCTAAACGTAATATGTTAGTGATATGTTAACCATATGGAGAGCTGCTAGATACTTCAAAATCGCTGCCAAGAGTGACTGCTTTCGTCCAATAGCTTCATTATCCACAAAGTGGCTGCTTTCACAGATCCCAGTATGATGTGGCGCCGCCATCCACCAATAGATTGGAATTCTAGAGGCCTCACGTGTGAGGCCTGCTAATATCCATGGCGTTCGCTTATTCTTAAACCAATTAGCCGTTTCAGGCCATACTTCAGCACATTGATCCATGTACCCAAGAACTGTGGATAGGTCATCCGCTCGGAGTATCAAATCGATAAATGGAGTAGCATCATGGGCCCCGAACTTCTTTTTGAATGCTCGTTTAACATGGGTTTCACAGAAAATTAGCACTCGTTGTAAATGCTCTTGCCATGTCCAACGTGGATCCAACGACGCAAGATAATCACCAAGTCCTAGTATGTTTAGCATATGTTTAGCATATGTTAAAAAGATCGCACGTACCAGGTGCCTGTTTCTTACACATATCCAAAGTGACAGTGCGAATCCCCTCCGCCGAATCGTTAGCACCAAGTTGATACGCCCAACACACTGGCTTACGACCAACGTCACTGAGGACTTGGAATAGCCTCTCAAAAAGGGACTTATATGCATGGCGTGTCTCCAAATTCATGAAAACATAAGCGTAAGTGTTGATCCGATTAGCCTCTCGATTCCATGAAGCAATAGTGAAAACATTGGTTTTGCCAGAGACCATCTTGAATGCAAGATCCATCTCAATATAACGCACTGTCTGGAAGAGCTTAGCCTGTTCGTATGTGCAGCATATGATGAGAAAATGCTGACGATCTTCATCAAAGAAATAGACGTCACGAATCCATTGTTCATCCGGCTGTTTAGCCTGATCAAAGAGATATTCCCGCCAGACCCCTGCAATATCCGTGCCAAGAGGATAAGATAATAGTCTTTGTTTCCGAATAAGGGCTGTAACCCGATCTTCCACATGTAAACTAGAATGGAGCCCTTGTAAGGTCGATTGGTCATATTTCCTGAGTAATGCCTTGAATTGAGGCGAAATCATCAAAGAGCGAGCAGTTAATCCTAAGATATCATGCTCTAAAATAGCCCCATGGACTTGTTGTGCCACAGTGCGAGGAAGCTTATCTGGTGGTGGTGGGAAATGTGTATGGTTACCACGACCAACCAATAACACAAATGGAAAGCGATGCCATGAATATGGGATGTAAAAATCAAATTTCACATTACAATCTCTCTTGACGAGATGTCCAATCCCTGTTTGATGGATGAAGTCTATAATAATAAGACGGTTAACATATCAATTACATATGTAAAACATATGTTTATCAGACTTACCACAGCGTTGATTAGTCCGTCCTCGGTTAGCCACAAAATGGCAGTTATTATCCCGATAGCTTGATTGAATACCAGAGGTTTCAACTAAAACCTTGAGAAATTCAGGATGAATGTTATCGCCATGGCTTATGGTTTGTACATAATGCCAATCTTCAGCCTCATTTAAGGATGGGCATCCAATTCGCCAGATCCCATGATTAGCCCAGATACAAGGATACTGATCCTCGCAGGTTAAGACTCCTGTGGTATGCTTGCATCGTCCTGGAGAATTCCAGTTCCGCATAAAGCCAAAATAGTATCTGATAAACAAATTAGTGTAGTACTGATATGTCATACATATGTATCACATATCCACATACTCTCGAGTCCGTTGTTCAATCTCCTGTCGAACAGAACCATAAACTGGGACTGCTGCCTTTTGACGAAGTTCCCAAAAGATATGAGGATCAACCCGATCATATTGTTCACATGGAGTGATTATATCAGGATGAGTTGACTCGCAGTGATGAATTCCATGGCATCGATATTGGCGATGCCATACTCGAGAGTCTGGATCTTTAGGCTTTGTAGAAAGAAGTCTCAGAAAAATAGAGTTTGGGCGTCCAGTATTTTCAAGCGAGAATTGTATCTACAAAATTATTATTAATATACTTCACACATGTTTACCATATGTGACACTTACATTTGATGAAAGAGTAGCAAATGCCTCAAGCGCATTATCTTTCATCAGATTTGTTCCCAAAGGGCTTTTTGAGAGATGAATCAGATGTAGGATACCACGTTGGGATACAGCTGGGTATTCCGGGATCAAGAAATGGTTTTCTTGATCAAATGCCTGTACTTTACTCCTACTACTAGCACTAATAGTAGCACCATTTTGTGTGAGATCAGAGTTTTGTAGTCCCATATTGAACTCAATGGTAGGCTGTGATTCAGCGTTATCCACTGGTTCATCAGATATAGAATCCTGCTCTGAAACATCTAAATCCTCAAATGTTTCTTCACAGTCTTCATATACTGACCCAGCCTCAGCATTATCTTGCAGCTAATGAAAAAAATCTTGTTAACATATGCAATTCATACGTAAAAAAATATGTGAAAAAAAAGGGAATACCTTAGGAAGATCATATACTAGTGATGTGAGATCATTTCTTGCAGCATTTTTTCGACGTAGGTCCTGTATACGTGCCAAGTCCCATGGCGGATACTCCGGAAAAGTTGGTGGCCGAACTGGAAGGGCTCGTGGAAGTGGAAGGTCGTCCATAATGCATACAGAGACGGTGAAAACAAAAGGTAAAGGGTGAGGAATAGGGGTAAATAATAATAAATAACGCTAGTTGGCACTAAACTTTAGCAAGCGAGGGTCAGAATTTTGGCCCTTGCTCCACTACAAAGCTGGGCGAGTGTCAAAATTGAGTGGGGCGGTCACGTTATTTTTTGACACTTGTTTTACATGGTGCCCATCTGCTACTCCGGTACTCGCCTCAGGGCTTGGCGCTTATGTAACCATGTTATTTATCTAGCTGCGTTTCACCTTATTACCAATACAACAACCTTGCTGAAGCCACATCTGGTAGCATGTCCTACTAGGCCCTACCTTCTACGGTAGGCCAGGGATTCCCTCGAGGAAAAGGTTCCCTGGCCCTACGGCGCTTCATGGCGATTCCATGAGAGCCGTAGGGGCCCTGGTAGAGAAGCTATACTGTATGTATGGCTATTGTCTACGATCCTGGGCAGTTTTTCGGCTTCAGCGATTCAGCTTCTCTGCAGGGAGGAGAGGGCCCTCCTCGTGGGGATGGCTCTCCTCCCCCAGCTCTTCCCCATGGAAATGCATATCAGCTGCATATGACCAACAGGAATGACCGAACGACATTCCATGATGCGATGACCACGACCTTAAGGTCACCGCAAGACCTCCGCAAGGTTCCAACTGGAAAGGCAAAGCTGGATATGAGGCCTCGAAAAATCGAAAGGCCTACTGCAGGCAGTCTAGACCAGCAATATGAATGCTTTCGAATGGTCTCGAGCTTCCTCATGACGGTACTAAGCATCCTTTAGGATGCGATGAGGTAATGAGGGAAAGCCTTTGAGGTCACAACTCAAGGCATGACGTCGAAGGATGAGGGGAAGAGTGAGGCATAAGAAGGATTCCCCGAATCCCTCGTGAGGATCCCTATATACCCCCGAAAAAAGGATCACGATCAAGCACTATATGCACCTGAATCAACTTCACTCTCCACCCCCTAAGCCGCCTGACAACCAATATGCCAGCCGATACTGGGTCCCTTGCTACCTCCATGGCAGCTTCTCCAAGTCCTAATACGGGACCTGCAGATGAGTTTGCCGACCTACCGCAGGACTTATTAGCTGCCTTGCGACGCCTCCCTCCTGCCATGGCAGAGAATCAAGCTCGCCTATGGCAAGGCTTGCAGAACGATCCTGCGGCTCAGGATCTGCAGGCTCAGGCAATCCTTGCGATTGCGTCGAATGCAACTCTAAGAGGCCCAAATCAGCATGACGGCAACCCTTCCACGTTGGTTTCGTCTAAGGCTGTTGAATTGCGTACCAAGGACCTCTTAGAGAAAATTGGTGATGTGCCTAAGTACAATGGGCAAATCCGAAATGACGCCGCGCGAGAATTCCTTAGGAATTGCGAGCGTTATTTCCGCCGATACCAGGAGCTACTTGGGCATGAATATCCTGACTTCCAGAAAGTCATCTTTGCCCAAGGCCGGTTCAAGGACTTTGCGCAGAAACGCTGGGACGGCCATGAGCAGGCCGTCGAAAAGAACCTTGCGCGTCCTGTACGAACCTGGACTGCATTTACGGAGTGGATTCACACTACCTTTGGTGAGCACCTTAGCAGCGAGAGGCGCTACAAGCGTTTTGTCGAGCTACGCCAAGGAAGGTTCTCCTTTATGTCCTATTTCCAGAAGGTAATGGAAGCTGTGGCTGCTCTGGATTATGCGGTCCCTGAAGATTTGATTATCCGCCAATTGGTCCTTGGCCTCAGTCCAACACTTGCACCTAAATGGGCAGAGGAAAGAGACAAACCTAGTGGCCTTCAGGCCACTGTGGTTCGGCTACGAGAACTTGAGGATGGTGCTCGTTCTCGCCGTGAGTACGAGGAAAGCGATCTGATGGACCTAAGTGCCCTTACGAGTCCACCGATAGGACGCCGTACGGCACAATTCAGGAAGGGCCCTCGCCGCTGCTACAACTGTAGCAGTACCGAGCATATTGCCCGAGATTGCCCGAGGCAGGCGAGGAAGCCTAACAGGTCCAATGCCACTAAAAGGGAGTCGGAAAACTCCCAAGCCCACTAAAACAGTGCGAGGACTTAGTGGGCCGTCTTAAGAAAGCCTCGCAGGTGCCATACCCGGATATCCAGGACCCCGTGGACGATCCTGAAGCTCCACGAGGCCATGGACACCTTAATGCAATCCGTGCTCAGGCTCTAAAGACGTTCCAAGGGAACCTCGGCCCTCCAACACGAGGTTTCGATGCGGAGATTCTCCTAGATTGTGGCGCAAGCCACAATTTCGTCTCTGCAAAGGTGGCCCAGAGGTTGAGGGGAATCGCAAGGAGCGAACAAGCACGACTTCCCCTGACCGTATGCCTGCCTAAAGGAGATGCCATCGAAACGCACCGCCTCTGGTCAGTGCTCGTAAAAATAGGTACCTGGACCGCACGTATCAAGTTCTGGGAGCTTGATATGGATCACGAAGTCATCCTGGGTTGCGATTTTCTTGATGATTGGAACCCCAGGATCGACTGGCCCACGGGCTCTATGCGCCTTAAGGATACCCGTGGCCGTTGGCAAGTTATTCGACCTGCCTATAGTGGCAATGGAAACGTTGATACCTCAGATAAAGGTGTCTGCAACGTCATCTCTGCAAAACAGGCCAAAAGGGCCTTAAAAAAGAAGGGAACGCAAGCCTACCTCTACGTCCTCAAGGAGGAGGTTGAGGAAGTCTTACCAAACCCTGAAAACCTCTCACATACAAATCCTCGCATCCAAGAGTTGCTCCGCGAGTTTGCTGGCGTATTCCCTAAGGATCTTCCTAAGAGACTACCGCCTGAACGCAATGTGAAGCACAATATCGATACTGCGGACGCAACTCCCGTTAACATCATGCCATATCCACTCTCACATGAGAAGCTTGAGGAGCTCGCGCGCCAGATTGAAGATCTCATCAACAAAGGCCTCATTAGGACCTCAGGCAGCTCCTGGGGATTCCCTGTAATCTTCGTAAAGAAGCCGAACGGAAAATGGCGCATGTGCATCGACTACCGTGCGCTTAACGAGAGGACCGTAAAGAATGGCTATCCATTGCCAAACATACAGCAACTTCTGGATATTGTTGGCAAAGCCAAGTACCTCTCTAAGATCGACCTGGTTTCCGGCTACTGGCAGATGCGTGTTGAGGAGGGTGCTATCCCTAAGACTGCCTTCAATACGATCTGGGGCAAGTACGAATGGCTTGCTAACGTAACCCACAAGCGAACCGCCCACACAAGCGAACCGCCCACCCCATCAATTTTGATCTGAGTACTATAACCTCTCTTTTATAACCATCCACCATGCCACCAAATCGATCTAGTTCTGCCCGATTTTCGCAGGATAGGCAGGGCAGACTCTCATTAGCCCTGCATGCCATTCAAAATGGTCAAATTACCTCTATTCGCAAAGCAGCACGCCAATTCGACGTCCCCTGGTCCACTCTACGCGATCGCGTCAACGGTCAACAAAGTCGCTCAGAAACACGCGCCAACAACCATAAATTGACAGAAGACGAGGAGAGATCACTTCTACAATGGGTGCTCTCTATGGATTCACGTGGATCAGCTCCTCGGCCTGCTATGGTGGCAGAAATGGCCAATCTTCTATTAGCCGAACGCTGTACGCAGACTGTTGGCGTCAACTGGGTCTACAACTTTGTTAATCGCCATGATGATCTTAAATCTCGGTTCTCTCGAAAGTACAACTACCAACGAGCAAAATGCGAGGATCCAAAGGTCATACGAGAGTGGTTCGACTTGGTTCAACGCACGATTAATGAGAACGGCATCCAACCTGACGATATATATAACTTTGATGAGACTGGCTTCGCAATGGGTCTTATTGCTACTGCAAAAGTCGTCACCCGTGCTGAATACTACGGTCGGAGATCTCTTAAACAACCTGGAAATCGTGAATGGGTCACATCTATCGAGTGTATTGGTGCGTCGGGCTTCAAATTACCACCTTGTCTTATCTTCAAATCCAAGACACATCACCAGGCTTGGTACGAAGATAAAGGGGTAGGACCGGACTGGAGGATCGAAATCAGTGATAATGGATGGACAACTGATGCTATTGGCCTTCGCTGGCTGAAAGATCTCTTTATTCCGAGTACGGCGAGCCGTACAAAGGGTAAATATCGTCTTCTAGTCCTTGATGGTCATGGTAGCCATTTGACACCTCAATTCGACCGACTTTGCGCTGAACATGATATTATACCAATTTGCATGCCAGCGCATTCATCTCATTTGCTACAACCACTAGATGTCGGGTGTTTTGCGAACCTAAAGCGCGCATATGGTGGCTTGGTTGAGCGAAAAGCTCGATGCAATATCAACCATATTGACAAGCTTGATTTCCTTGCCGCCTACCCGCACGCTCGCGAGATCTCATATCACTCGGATATAATTCAGAGCGCATTCGAATCTGCTGGTTTAATACCCTTTGATCCCGATCGGGTTATATCGAAGCTTAATATTCAGCTTCGAACACCAACCCCCCAGGAAGCCGACCAGGAAGCCGATCAAGTGAGTGGAGCCATACAACACCACTCAACACAAAACAATTATATCGGCAAGAATCTTCAGTCAAAGCTCTACTCAAATATCGATCCGTGAGCCCTCCAACGCCTACAAAGCATGTGGTAGAGCAGACTCTTAAAGGCTTCCATGTCACGCTTCAAAGGCTAGCGATGTTGGAGAAAGAAATCCGGGATTTGCGCGCTGCCAATGAGGTTCGGAAACAAAAACGCAAGAGGTCTAATAAACGCATCGACCGTACTGAAGGCATGTCAATTCAGGAGGGAAGAGACGTAATATTCAGTTCGAACCAAGCCGTTGAATCTCTGGATCCTGTTCATCCAGAACTAGCTCCGGTCGCAAATGAGACTAATACACCACGACAACGGGCGCCACCAAGATGCAGTGGTTGTGGAGGGATAGGGCATAAGATAAATAGATGTCCGAAGCAGTGATATCAATAATTTAATGGCGTTGTGGTTATTTTATATGCAAATCAAAATTATAGGTTGAGATGGGTGGGCGGTTCGCTTGTGTGGGCGGTTCGCTTGTGGGTTACGTTATGCCTTTCGGCTTGTGCAATGCCCCTGCCTCGTTCCAAACGATGATGAATGAGGCTATGTGGGGACTTCTTGGACACTGTGTGGTTGTGTACCTGGACGATATCCTGGTCTTCTCAGAGACCCTCGAGGAGCATTATCAACACCTTCAAGATATCCTGCAGCGCCTACAGGATAACCAGTTGTACGCTCGCCTCGCTAAGTGCGAATTCGCTTCAGAGCGTCTCGAATTTTGTGGCCACATCATTGGCGCTGGTACAATCGCTCCTGTACCGGCCAAGCTTGAGGTTATTCGCAATTGGCCTCAACCAAAGAATGTCCACGAAGTCCGCCAGTTTCTAGGCATCGCAACCTATTATCGACGCTTCGTACGAGGGTTTGCGGCTATCGCAGCGCCGCTACATGACCTCCTGAAGGAAGCACATGTCGAACTCCGCAAGCAGAAGTTTCGTCCTATCCGCTGGACTGACGAATGCGCGAGTGCCTTTGCACGCTGTAAAGCAGCCGTACTATCTGCTCCAGTCCTCTGGCAACCTGATCGAGCCAAGCCCTTCACCATCGAAACAGACGCTTCTGAGTGGGCAATTGGGTATGTTTTGTGCCAGCTTGGGCATGACGAAAGGCTGCACCCCGTTGCTTTCGATGGCCGCAAGCTACAGGGCGCAGAGCTTAACTATCCCACTCATGAAAAGGAGCTATTGGCCATTAAGGAAGCCTTAAGGACCTGGGATATCTATATCGAGAATGGCACCACCACAACTATCCTCACGGATCATGAAGGTTTGAGTTACCTCCAGACCACAAAAGCGTACAGCAAGCGCCTTGCTCGCTGGGTACAGGAGTTCCAGTCATATAACCTCGAGATCCGCTACCGGAAGGGCTCCGAAGCTATAGTACCTGATGCTATTAGCCGTCGCCCGGATTTTGTTCAGGATACTCCAGGAAACGTTGCGATAAACATGTCTATGCGGTCTGCCGACCTCAATGCCTTGCCCGAAACCGTACAGGGCTTCTCTGAAGCGGACTGGATGTCCGCAACTATGGCTTTCTTGATGAATGGCACGGTCCCTGATGACCATAAGCTCTTCCACGCCGTGAAGAAATATTCCGACCACCTGCGTCTGAATATAACTCCTTTACCAATGCGTGCCCACCCTAACCAGGAGAAGCAACTGGTCTTCTGCTATCCTGACAGCGTTAGGGCACCTTATATTGAACCGAATTTCCGTGACGACCTCCTACGAAAGCTTCACGAAGAACACGGCCACCTTGGCTACCCCGGCCTTATGGGTCCCCTACGCCCACGAGGCTGGTGGCCCTCTATGAAGGAGGATATCATGGCCACTTCAAAAGCCTGCAGAAATTGTCAGGTCTCGCAAGGATCCAAAGAAAGCTTGAATCGAGAGGCTGCCTCGTACCTTAATAAGGAAGGCTTAAGGGCCTTCGAACGATGGGGCCTCGACCTAATTGGCATCTTGCCAACTACCCCTAACGGTAACCGTTGGATAATCACTGCTGTTGAATATGCTACAGGATGGCCACTGGCTCGAGCGATTCCTGAAGCATCTGACCTGGCTATTGCGCAATTCATCCATGAGGAGATCGTCATGAACTTCGGTGCCCCTGCGGAGTTGATCACGGATAACGGCCCAAATATCCTGTCAACTGCAGTACACCTATACGTCTCAAACCTGCCCATTCGGCACAGAACAACTTCCGTATACCATCCGCAAACCAATGGCAAGGTGGAGAACCTCAATGGCCTCTTTGGCCGTATGCTAACCAGGTTCCTGATGGGAAAACCAACGCGTCTGTGGGATGAGTTCCTAGCTCAAGCCCTATTCGCCGCGCGCATCCGCAATCATGCTACATCTGGCATGAGCCCGTTCTTGCTGCTATATGGCGAGCACCCAAGGCTACTGTCCGATGAGCCTGCCCCTCTCGCCACCGATCAAGAGAACCTCGACGCGGCGGATAAAATTGAGCTTGTACGCCACTTAAGGTCTCGCGCCAACGAGCTCTTGCTCAACCGTGCCATACGCTCAAGGATCATCCACGACGCCCTTGTGAAAGAGTCGACCTTCACTGTTGGAACCTGGGTTCTCGTCAGAAACGAGAGCCATGAGAAGTTCGAAAACCGTTGGTTTGGCCCTTACAAGGTATTAAAGGCCCATCCACTCGGCACCTATGCCCTCGAGGAACCTTCGGGCCGGGTCTTAAGGAACCTGATTCACGGTAATCGACTGCTGAAGGCTTATGTTGATGACCCACAGCAGTTGTGGACGACGTCCGCCATGAACCGCAAACTCCGCCGTGAGGGCCTTTCCTTACAGCATCCGGACGAGGTTCGTGACATCATCGACGCCCTTGAACCTCCGCCTGCTACCTATTCGGAGCTATCCACGATCTCTCGCAAGGAGTGGCTCCAACTCCAGCGTTCAGGTGTACGCTGGCGCGTAGCGGGGGAGGGGGATGCTGAAGGACGTGCCCAGGAGGACCGAATCCTCCAGCAAGCGGTCTCACGCATGACGCAAAAGACTCGCAGGGCTAATACTCGGTTGCCAAGAAAACCGCTTACTAACAGTACCAATACACCAATACCGACGGTAGCGACCGAAGAGGCTCAACAGGAGCCTCTGGAAACGGACCAGCACCTGGTACGCGAGGTGCCTGAGGAGGTTCACGAAGAACCTCGGCCCACAGCAGGAGACGGCCGTAAGGAACCTCCAGCAGATGCTTTGGTTGAGGCACATGAGGACGCTCAATTGCCACCCGCCCATGACGATGGTGCAAATGAAGCTGTGAGCTCTCCTTACTCCTTCCGTGGGAAGCGTAAGTACTGGGGACCTGACGGAGAGTCCCTGCTGCCAACAGAGAGGCACAAATCTATCTCCAAAAAGAAGAAGGATCATATAGGAAAGGATCCTCAACGAAGCCGTAAGGCTCGAAGGACTTCGCAAGGAAGCTACAAGGCTCGACAAAAGTAATTGATTCGATTCTGAAAAGCTACTACAGATCCTCTCACTTCCTTGCCATCATCTGGTCAAAAGCACTGAAGTCAACCTCACTAGCAGGGTTATGAACTGCTTTCTGAGCCCGGATACGCTCCAATGCCCAGCGAATTGCCTCTGCATCCCACTTCATACGATCCCATGCAACTTGCATCTCCTTAGCAAGCCTTTCTAAAACCTGCTCGTCGTCATGCAGCATAGGATTCGCCGACAACCCCACGGCCAAAATAGAGTTGTAATACGGGCTGTCAGGAGGACGTGAGAACCCGGGTTGCGGAGTCTTGTTGACCGAAGTTGCTGCTGAAGCAAGAGGAACTGGGGGTGGCGTGGCTGTCTGAGAAGGCACTATAGGCCCTGGAGGCTTAGTACCCTGAGGAAGCCGAGGCTTAAGGTACCCTGGGAGGCCAATAGAAGTTGTGGGGCGAATTACAGGCCAGTCGAGCTCGACTGGGCTCGACTGGGTTGGGAGGTGGTAAAGTGGTGAAGGAAGGAAGTGCAACTGGAGCAGGAAGAAGCTATTTATACCTGCTCCTAACGGAGATATCCGGCCAACTCGATACCGCGAGGTCGTGGTCAGCACCAGGAGGGAAGGAACAGAACAAAGACGACGGCATCCATCCCCCCTGTCCACCTAACTACCAGGTTCTCTTTGATACTGAACCTCCTCGTTCTCTTTGAGGCTGGCTTGGAGAAACCTTCTCGCTTTCATGAGCGAGGCGCAGGGCCTCAAGATTGCCTAAAAGAGGCCCCGGAGAAGATGCAAAAGTTCTTTGATATGCTACATACTTTTACGCATGCTAACCTTGATGCTTTGTTCTGCAATACTGTCGACGTTACCCTGATACTTTTCCGGTCGCAAGTTCCACCAAATTGCTTTGTTCGCTATGACGCACTACCCTCATATCGAGGAAGAAAAAGCTGGTTTTGCTCCTTTGTTTCATGAAAAAGCTCTTTGACTTCCTTACGGTTTGTGCTCTGTGGCTTGAGGACCTCTGTACTACTACCAAAAACCTCCTATATGACCATGAGGGCATGGTCAGGGCTAGTGGGGGAGGATGCTACTCCGGTACTCGCCTCAGGGCTTGGCGCTTATGTAACCATGTTATTTATCTAGCTGCGTTTCACCTTATTACCAATACAACAACCTTGCTGAAGCCACACATCCGGTATACCATCTGGTAGATCCTGAAGGGTCCAATCCATTATACCATCGAAGGTACCAACCAACATATCCACTTAGAGAAGGACTGGATATATAAGGACACTCCTTTAAGCACATTTATTTAGTTCTTCGCGATTAATTACACACTGTTACTTAGATCTACTGTTGGTTCATACTTCACTGTTCGATTAAAGCCAAACCCTATAAGTTAGGGAGCTCTTCGGACTGACCTACTTGGCGCAGTCTACTAGCGCACCTATGCAAGCATCCTAAAGACTCGAGTCCGTGTAAAGTTCAGCGACAGCAACGGTACGGTTGCGGACAGGCTTGGAGTCCACGCATATTGTAGAGAAAACAGCCAGGTTGGTTGGCTCCAGGTGACTAGGTGGTAGGCAAGAGGGACTTAGGTGGAATACGTGTATTCTCGTAAAAGCAAGATTTCCTCAAGCGTTAAGGTCTCTAGGAGAGGGATCCTATACCCGTAGGTTGACCGGTCGTTCTGACTCGGTTATGCACACGATTCTGCCAGGCATCTAGGCAGTAATGATCTCAGTAACATTTTTCTTGACAGAAGATAACGGCTGAAGGTATTTCTGTCGCCGTTTTCATTGAATATTGGGTTCATAGATGATCTTTGGGTACTAATTCGAAAGCAGTTCTGGTATTTGTCGGGGCGCGGGTGGCGCTTGCGGGTGGGTGGCGTTGCCGTTGGCCGCTGCCGAGGCTTATGATCTTGCCGGGGGCGCTGGTGGGTGGGTTTCGACTTGGGTTCGCAGAGTTCTGACTTCCTCGTGAAGCTTCTCGTTTTGGTCGCGGAGGACAATTTGGTCTTGCTTGACATCTTCGATTTCGGCCTTGGTGGATTCGATGAGTGCCGTTTGGTGGGTGATGTTTGTCTTCAGACTGTCGATGAGCCTCCACACATCTCTAGTGGTGACGCGGCCATGCCCTCCGAAGACGAGAAGCCATCCACGCTGCGGGTCCTTTTACGGGATACCAGCAGCGGCTCGGTTAGAACCCGAGGCTGAAAGTCTTCGACCGATACACTGATGCTGGTCTCCTGGGTATTTGTAGGATGGGGCTCGGGAGTCTTGCGTTAGGTCTGGACCATCATCTAGGGCTACCTCACATACCTTTCTGACCTCGGCTTTCAATACCTCATCACTCAGACGTGATTGTCGCCAGGTATTATATTCTCTCACAGCAACATCAAGAAGGCTTGAAATATGAAGGACAGGGATATCAATTGAAGAACCTCTGGCGTTCTTTGGAAATGGAGGTGTTGATGAACCGGCTGCCTGTGGGATTTGCGCTGGAAGGACATTTGTGATAGTAATCGGAGGGCAGCTTGTCTCGGCCGCAGAGCGATTATGAGTCCTCGGCTTATCAACCGATTGGGTCTCTGCTCTATGGATTTGTTCACACATCATGCCAGGAACATCATCATGTGACTATAAAAGTTCACCAGTCTGCACATATTTGACCAGACTTTCCAATTAGTCCCGGGAGAGCTTGTAGAATTTCTTTCCGTATGGATCCTGCCAACAGTGCGGTCCCAGTTCACAGAATCCAGGACAGCGCATCAAAGCATGGACCGTTTTCCTGGCCGGGGGCTCTCCAGAACCTTTTTTCTTAGCACAGACCTGTTGATCCAGCTCCTTCAGCATGAGCTGAGTAGTGTTGAGGTTCCAGGATAAGGCACTGAATTGATGCCTCATCCCAACCTCTGTCGGCATGCCTGTCCAGGGAAACCGGAGGCACTGAGCTTGATATGCGCTTCAATCGCTCTTGCCGCCATTGTATTCTACATTCAGGGGGTCTTCATGGAAGAACACCAATCGAGACCGATTATGAGGGATTTACTACTGTCAGGGGCTTGCCGCCCGTTCAGGGATAAATACCCCCAGAATCGCATGTAGACAGTTCGATACAATACAGTCAAGCTCAAGTTCTGCAAATTACATTAAGGTCGATTTGTCTAGCAGGCCCTTATTCAATATTCAGTGCTTCGTCGTAGCCCATCTCAACAAGTAGTAACAGATGAAGTTCCTCTATATCGCTCGTCCTGCGACTGGCACGTGAACCATGGATGTTCTCTATATAATTGGAAAAGATGCTTAGTTTAAGCTTCTTGCCAGCAAGTGTGGAGAGGGTGTTGATAGGAATGCAACTGCTTAATACTGTATCGCAACTGCTTCAAGGGCTCGTACAGCCAAAGGAATCACACGACAGATATATTCGGTCTATCCCCTTGCAACTTGTGAAGAGCAAGACTAATACAAAAACATAAAAAAATAAATTAAAAAAACAGCAATCTTCCTTCTCGACTGCGTCTCCGGCAACATCTACCGACATAGACTCATGTCATATAATTCATGCCATCTCAACCTGCTCGTCCTCCGCGCCTTTCTTCTGAATAACCGTCTCATCACTAGGGATCACATAAGTTGCCCACTCACGTACAGGAACCCGGTCCTGGAAGAGTCTCTCGATGTCCGCATTGCTGCGACCCGCCGTCTCGCCAACACAGAACCACGAGTACGCCAGCAAGAAGAGGGTTGTCCCTCCATATACAAACCCGATCTTCGGTCCCAGGTTACCCGTGTAGTACATGTAGGGACTGGTGAAGACCATGAGCCAGACGGTGAAGAAGAAGGTGCCAATAGCGCACGCGGTGATCTTGTTCCTGTTGCGGCCGACGGACATTTCCGACGCGATCATGTAAGACAGTGTACCGATGGAGAAGTTGTAGAAGACAATGTTGCAGTACGCGAGGACAACGATGCCGATCCCCACGCCGCGGCTGAAGGACCCGTCTGGTAACCGGGTGGTGCCGAGGCCGCCGACGGCGATGAGAGAGACAAAGATACCGCACGAGCAGACGAGGAGGTTTGTGCGCCGCTTGATCTTGTTGCCGAAAATCACTGCGACGCCCACCGTGACGATTTGCAGGACGTAAATGCCAATGTTAATGGTGAAGGGAGAGGCAACGCCGATGGACTGCGCAAAGACCACGCCGTACGTGTACCAGAACTGGATGCCGTTGATCTGCTGGACGAACATGACGCCGCAGGCGTAGAAGAGTTTCCGGCGCTCGACGGGGTCTGTGATGAGGGAGATCCAACTGGCATTCTTGGCCATTTCGCGCTCCGTTTGGACTTGGTCGTCGATGGCTTGGATGTCCGTTGTGGGGTCGTAGTCCGGATAGCTGCGGTTGATCTTGCGGAGAGCCTTGATGGCTTTCTCACGCTTGTCTTTGTACATGTACCACACTGGAGTTTCGGGGGTGAATGGCAGGCACAAGAGCATGATCCCGGGAAGAACAACCAGGAGGGCCATGGGGATGCGATAGGATTGAGCGCTGGCGATGTCTTTGGTGCCTTCGTTTACACAGGCTCCGACCAATTGAGAGACGGACTGCATGAATTGGAAGCACATGAGAGCCGGACCTCTGATGGCAGAGGGTGCCACCTCTCCAATGTACATAAGACAAGTAGCAGTGAATTGCCCGATGCCTAGACCAACCAGGACGCGGCCGACATAGAAAACTGGAGCAGAGCTAAAGGAGCACACTTGCACGATGGCACCGACAACGATACACAGAGATGCCGTCAGAAAGACGGAACGTCGGCCGAAAAGGTCGTTGATAGGAGCGGCAAGAAAAGCGCCGACGAACTCTCCCACGTAGATGATACTGGCCGACACCGACAGGAAGGTTGTTGCAAGCTCGTAGGAGCCTTCTGCGGTTTTCACGCCATAGTCCTTGGCAAACCATACCATACCCTGAATCCCGGTGTAGTAGATCGTATCATAGCCGTAGCAAAGGGCACCGATGGCGGCCACCAAACAGTAGGCGATGGCGCGTCGATGCGACTTCCAGTCGATGTTGAGTTGAAGGGCTACCATGGTGGAAGCCAAATGAAAGTGTAGTGGGGGGATCAAGAGCAAGGGTTGAAGATTGAAGGGGGCGGCTTTTTATACATTGTTTTTGTGGAGGAAAAGTTTAACATGGCTTCAATAAAGCGGTTCGCCAGAAATGCCCCAGTTCTTCCCCAGTTGTGCGGCCTGCATCTCCATTTGATCGTCTTGGCATACGAGGAAGTTATCCGGGATGTGGTCTCTCTTATTCCCGCACCGGACCTGGTTACTACGTCTGCACCTAAAGAAGTGTTGAAGACGGGGCGGCTTCCAATCTGCGAATATTCGAAATTCTCCTCAAATTCAAGGAGACCGAGGGTGTCAAGACGACATATCAACGAACGTGGAGAGGACGGCATGCAAGTAACCGGCCAAGAACGATCCCGGAACGGGATCCCGCCTACGTTTCGCCTCCCCCAGTCGGGCCACCCTCCTCCGTAAACCTACCCCGCGCCGGAGAAAATAGGCCACTAGGGAGAAAATCGGCGAAACTTTGCACTCACCGAACGACCGAATGAGCGGAAATCTCATCGGCTCTGACAACTCGGGACCGGACCAATGCGCCCCGTCGGGCGCATTCCAAAGAAATCTTCCCCACATCAACCACAATCTCTGGTTTTCATCAGTGCAGCCTTGATGAATCAGCATACTGTGGTAAAAATCCACCAAGGGTCCCTGTGGAGCTTATTATACAAGCAAAACCTCACAATAATTGGATACTATACCGGAAACGTGGTTCCATAGGCCGCGTGGTCTGGTAGAAGGCTTGCCGTCCCGGAAATAGGTAATATTGGCGTTGATCTGCACCACCCGCACGAGAATGATGGGTGAGATGTAGAAGAGGACGCCCGACGAGACAGAAGTGGCTTATTCTTTATCCACGCAACCACATTGTGCAGATTCCACGACGCCACCAATCCAATGACCGTAAAGGAGAGGTACCATTCGTAAGCGGGAAAATCAGCTTATGAAGGAGGGCGTGTTTCTTCATGTTAGTCAGTGTCACCGCGGCCATGATGACCAGCGAGCCGACCGGCTTCCAACACGATCCCGCGGGGATTGGTCGCACGCGACGAATGTGATTTGCTGGTCATCCTGGCAAGAAAGAGGCAGTCATGGCCATCCGGCCTCTGTTTATGAGTGGTCCACAAGGATGAAAGGGGTTAAGAATAGGTAGCAGCCATCGCAAGCCCAAAGCAACCAAACCGCTCTGATCGAAAGGTGAATCCTCACAGGACCAATGTGAATAATGGGCCGGGCGCCATTCATCTTTCAACTAACATTTCCAAAGAAGTGGGACTGTCCGAAGTGGTTGGCGTGTGGCGAATCCTGCGACCGATCGACGTGGGCATTGGTGGCCAAGCAGTTGTGCTGGCGTATCTCGGCATATCCAATCAACGCTGCAACCGCCCCCGCCCCATCCCCACCCACCCACCCCACACGCGGCAGATAATGGACTCCCCAAGGGACCCACGTACTGTGGATATCAAGCCTCCCCCGCGTCATAAACAAAGTCACAGATATTTCGCGGCAACAAAGATGGAAGGGTGGCGATGACTACCGAGCCCTTCATAGCTTGGCCGACCGGCATTTCTCCCGAAGCTCAATTCAAATCTTCACCCCCTGCCCTATCAATTGGGAAGGGGTGGGATTACTTCGTGTTGTAAACCAGATGAAGATTGATTATTCTATTGCTCTAGAAGGAAAACTTGAGACTATACATACTGCGAGAAGACAGATTGATTTCCAATCAACTTGGTTACTCGTATAGGCACTTTGGGAATTATTTTAGATGGTGCGGCATGGTTCCTGACCTGCACCAGCCTCATATGACTACAATGTCGGAAGTTCACTATCAAAGAAATGCTTTTGGCACTTTTGGTATACATGTAAACGCAACACGGCCCACTGGGTTCCAAAAGAGCCCGGATCTCGACGATTGACATGTAGTGGCAGTATCGTTCTACTCAGGAACCAAGCAGATAAACCAGCTTGAACCCTTCGCTCCGTACAATGCGGAAACGTAATCTTAGTAACACGTCCACCAATCAACAGTCAAGAACGCGTCATGTGATCCCAAGAAAAAGGGGGACGAATGAACAGTCGCCAATGACAGTCACCCTAAACGCGACGCGCCCGCGTTTAAACCACAGCTCACCGCAGTGAAATAAATAGGAGGAGGTCGCTCGACGTTATCCATCTGCAACTATCACCTGCGCGCTTCGACAGACAGGGAGGCCTGGAAAATGGTGCCTCCGACTCCTCTCTCACAGTACATCTGGTCTTTCCAGTCATTGAATCGCAAATGGTCCAGTCACGCCCAACCACGACAAGATGACGACCAAAGCCCCCTCGCGAGTCGCTTGATCGATGTCCTTCGTAGTACATGGGACCTAGGGTTTACCGCGTTCGGAGGTCCACCTGTTCATTTCCAGATACTCTATGCCAGGTTCGTGGAGGGGCAAGGGGGAAATGAAAAGTGGGTAGACGAGCAGACTGTATTCTAGCACCAGCCAGACATGGCGTTTCCCGTGGGAGACCTGCTTTCTAACGTATTAGCATAGTATCAAGAACTCTTCGCCATCTGTCAGGGCCTACCTGGCCCCGGCAGCACGAAGATGTTATTCTGTCTCGCCTTGCTCCATGCGGGCTTCATTCCCGCTCTCATGGTGTTTGTCATCTGGAGGTGAGACTGCTCTGCAAGGCCGACTATGTGTTCCTACCTTATTGATCGTGTCCCAGTCTCCCCGGTGCGATCGGAATGTATGCTCTCTCAATCGGTATCCAAAACCTCAGCCAGACACTTCCTACCCCGGTCTACGCTCTTCTGACAGGACTTAATGCTGCTACCGTCGGGATTGTTGCGGTTTCTGCAGTTCAGTTAGCGGAGAAGGCTATTCGCGACAAGATCTCTCGCATCTTGATTATTTTTGGTGCATGCGCGGGTCTTTGCTACAACGCTTTGTGGTATTTCCCCTTATTGATGCTGGGCGGCGGTCTGGTCATCGTCATCTGGGATGGATGGCTCTATACGCAGGCACAGAAGGTCAAAGCAGCCTGGAGAAATAGACATAACCAACCTGCATGTTCAGAAGAGGTGAACACAACCTCTGTGGAGATGGGTCCTACTTCGCCTGGAGGAGCGGGGGGAGCGACCCAATACGATCAAGGAAAAAGGGCAGTAGCACTGGTAACTCTCCGAACAGCTTGTCTGAGAGTTCCGGTGGACCATCGAATTCACTACACACAACTGGGACTGACGCGAGCCAATCGGTGAACTATGTGATTCGTATTCGCACTGGGCTTGCCATCGTAGTGGTCTTTTTTGGTACTCTGCCCGCGTCCTGAGCCGTCAGTAATACACAGCTAATATTGTACAGCCTCCTTTATCGCTATCCTCGTCGCAAGAGGGCAACTGACCACACCTCCACTTGCACTCGATCTATTTACAAGCATGTACCTCGCCGGAACGGTGATCTTCGGCGGAGGCCCGGTCGTGATTCCTCTTCTACGCTCCTACGTCGTCGCTCCAGGCTGGGTCTCCGGCCGAGACTTTCTAATTGGTCTAGCTATCATCCAAGCATTCCCGGGTCCGAACTTCAACTTCGCCGTATTTCTGGGCGCACTTGCCCTGCAACATTCGCGATTCCCCACGGTCTTTGGAGCGATACTCGGTTGGTTGGGTATCTTTGTGCCGGGCCTTGTGTTGGCTGTTGCGTTCCAGAGTTTCTGGAGTGTGCTGCGGAGAAAGCAGTATATCATTCATTTTTTGAGGGGAGTTAATGCGACAGCGGTTGGATTGGTGTTTACGGCTGTCTATCGGCTATGGGAAATTGGCTACCTGACCCCAAAGAACAGTGCGGGACAAAGTCTGGCCATTGAGCCGTGGTGGGTGGTCGTCACCACTATATCGTATTCGGGGAACGCGTGGTTCAAATTGCCTCCAGCTCTGTCTATCATCATTGGTGCTATCCTGGGTTTGTGTTGGTACGGAGCTGTAGGACGGTAAAATTTCTAGAGGGCAAAAGTCGGGATCAGAGTGGCGGTCTAACGGGGCCTGTCAAGCGCAGATGATATACCATCAGCTAGCAGCAGAGTCTACCTATATAGTTTAAGTTTCTATCTAGTACAAACACAAATACACGTAAAACTACATAATTTAAAAAATTAAGGAAATAGCAAACAACGAGGGCAAAGAAAGGATGATTTCCAATCAGAGTCAGGACATTAGTGAGTGCTCTCTCAAATCTAAAAGGAGGAAGGGATTTCCAACTATTGGGATGATCGGCCAATATCTCTCTTGCCAAAATGATCGTCCACGTAAAATAGTCCATCTAAGTCTGCTTGGCGTAGTCCTCAAGGACAGACTCGGCGATCCGCAAGGCCATACCGTAGAAAACGGTCATGACGTGCGAGGAGACCTGAGTAGGAGGAATAGAGCCGTCAATGACACGGAGACCCTGGGTACCGTAGACCTTGGCAGTAGCGTCGACAACACCACCAAGCTCACGGGCCATCATGGAGCAGGTACTGACAGCGTGCCAGTTAGGACGGAAGTTCATCATCACGTAGTCCCCCCACTCCTCAACAGTGGCATCCTGGTGCAGGTTGTCACCGGGAATGGTCTCGCCAGCGTAGTATTTCTTCATCTCACCAGCGCTGGAGAGCTGACGACCCAGCTTGGTGGCAGCGGCCTGGCCGAGAAGATCAAGCTCGTTCATGAAGAACTTGGGGTCATTGGCATATTGCCAGAGGTAAGGGTCACTGCTAAGAATGTGGACGGAACCACGAGTGAAGGGGATAAGGTTCCAGATATCGAAGTTGATCTTGCCCTCAGTGTCAAAGAAGAGCTCGGCGAAGGCAACATCCTCATCAAGGAGCCAGTTGCGGTAGTTCTCGTACTGGATCTTGAGGGCAGTCACGTTGTGGAAACCACCACGGGCAACGGTCTCCTCGGCCCACTGGTCAAGCTTGATGTTCAGCAGCTCAATACCTTGGGCAGCGTGGTCGCCGAGCACCTCAGTAAAGTTGGCGAAGTAAGCGGCTTGACCTTGTCCAGGTGCGTTGTTGGCGCGGGAGCGAACAGTGGTAGTGGTCTGGTCTTGCATGTTGAGACCAACAGGGAGTTCGAGGATCTGCTTGACACCGGCCTTGTCAAGGACGGACTTGGTACCGATACCGGAGTACTCGAGGATCAAAGGGGAAATGGCAGATCCGGCGGCCAACAGAACTTCCTGCTTGGCGTAGACATTGAAGTTAACAGCTTTGTTGGTACCGAAGTTCACACCAATGGCCCTAGGGCCTGATGTGGTCTTGTCGAAGAGAACCTTTCCAACCATATGCCCCGTCAATATCTGCAGGTTAGGACGCTCGTAGTTGGGAAGAAGCCACTCGCGAGCAGCATCAGCCCGGATCTGGTTCTCGTGGAGGTTGTTCGGGATCATCGAGACACCACGAGGGTGACCACAGTGGAAGTCCCTCTGGACGGGGACACCGAAGGCGGAGACGGTATTCATGAGGGCTCGCATCAGTGGGGACCAAGGCTTGCCATTGTCGCGAGGGCCGGCATGAACGGTTCCGTTTGTTCCATGGCAGGTAGGGTCGTAGAAGTGACCGGCTTCAACCTGGGCGGCAGTCGGGGGACGCGAACGCTCAGCTTTCATCATGTACTCGAACAGGTTGTCCCAGTTCCAGCCCTCCATGCCGAAGACCTTCTCCCATGAGTCGATCTGGACCTTGTCAGGACGGGTCCAGGAATCGCCGTTGATCAAGGTCGAGCCACCAAGACCGAGACCAGACTTGATTTCTCCAGTTCGGTTGTTGATGAGGGGAACTGTGAGATAATTCTGGTCCACAGTAGTTCCGAAGATATCCCCATACATGTTGGGATCCTCGATGATCGGTCCGTCGTTGGATTCGTAGAATCCTTTCTCGATCACGAGGACTTTGATCTTCGGGTTTTCGGACAGCTTGGCAGCCACGGTCAGGCCAGTCAAACCACCACCAGCAATGACATAGTCGTAAGTCTTTCCCTGGACTTTGTTGGGATCAGAAAGTAGGTGAGACTGGACATCGAGCTGCTCGGCCGGGGTATAGGCCTGGACAGCAGCCACAGACAAGAGAATGGAAGTGATAATAGTAGATTTCATGATGCGGAACAATGGCCCGGAGGACAATGTACACAGAAACGAAAGAAAAGGAGTGAGTCGGTGTGCATTAAGTGACGATCAGAAGCATCAAATAAATATGTTCGAGAGGATTGCTTCCTCTGTTTTCAAACTATACAAATACCGTACTTCGAATGATTGAATAAAACCCACGGGGGGCTCCACGAGCCCACATACGGCACGTTGTATGGTGCAATAGGGGTGAGCTATCAATCTTCAATTCCAAAAGATGAAATCTACCGGCTGATCTGCAGGATAAACTTCTGCACATCTTGGCAAGTTGGTGTCTGGGAGCGGTCAAACTAAATTCATCCTAACTTTCATGTAACCGGTGTCCTATCTGGGAGGAACAACCAAACCCGTGGGTGTACCTGTGCTAAAAGCAGAGATTACTTTCTCTGAGTGGTGGGTCATTCATCAGGCTGGTGTGGATTAGCGTGAAATAGCGTTAAATCGAATCCTTCTGCTCTCCTGTGTATATAGTTAAATTGGGATACGAGTGAAATGGATCTTCTTGACGTGTAATGTTCGCACTAGGTCACGACTCCGTATACATATTCATACTATGTCTAGGTACAAAGTTCCAGGGGTTGAACTCCATTAGTCGTATTGAATATTAATCGAGGTCTGAATTGTAACTGGGGGTGATACTATGTGGACTGTATGATCATTGATTTCAGTATATGAGTGTAAACAGTGGACTTTTAAAAACAGCCAGGGAACTCCAATTCCATTCTGAGGACCTTGTGAATCGAAACAAAGGCAACTTACTTTGGCTAACCTTGGAAGTTAGCTAATTCGTATAATTCATGAAGCATGATTGATAAGGAACTTCCGGAAATGTACGGAAGATGAAAGTCTCGCCCATGATTGCTTCGTAATTCGAAGGTATTCTCCTGTCTGGGCCTCGATCTGGGCCTCGGTCTGGGCCTCTATTTGTTACCAATCGGCGTCGTACTCGGTACGGTCCATTTTCGGCATGCCGAGAAGGAGGAATGTCGTCGGAAACTCAAAACTGCATTGGCGCCAAGAGTGGCGGAGTGGCAACTCATTTACGAGAACCTTGTGCGCCACGTGCGCGATAAGAGACATCGATACCCTATCAAGTTTACACTGCCTCAAACAGCAGGAATACAAAGGGAAATTATACGTCTAAGATGAATGGAGCGGTGGGGACTTCACTCATTTCCATATTGCTAGGGCAAACCGTCACACATACAAAAATTGTCAACTACCTAATTCATCTCTTCGTTCTCAATCCTTGCCATCTAACTACCAGAGCAGACAAGCAGAAGGAACCGCTCCAATGAAGACGTTTTCTATACTTTTTACAGCCTCCCTTTTCGGGAACGCTGCCCTTGCTACAAGGCTTTATGCGGCATCGTACGCTGGTCTTGTCACCTCGTTGGACTTTTCCAATTCCACCGACCTGTCCACCCTCTCCCAGACAACGGAGTGCGGTAGCAGCCCGTCTTGGTTGATGCTGGATAGTCCCAATGGTGTCTTGTACTGCCTCGACGAAGGGATCGATGCTCCCAATGGCACCATAACCAGCCTGAAATCTCATCCAGATGGGACACTCACCAAGCTCGGGCGACTGAAAACCCCCGCCGGCCCTGTCATGTCTGCCATGTACTCGGCACCTGGGATCTCAGGGCGCAAGTTCCTTGCTGTAGCACACTAGTAAGTTTCGATCGAATCTAGAGAATAGTAGCACGAAATATGGTACGGGCTGCTGACTTTGCTCTGGTATTATAGCTCAGGATCCTCTGTCACGACGTATTCCGTGGACCCTGTCCTAGGACTTTTCGAGCATGAACAAACCTTCACATACCAGATGGCCTCTCCTGGTCCGGTCGCCAGTCGCCAAGAAGCCCCCCATCCCCATGGAATAGTTGTCGACCCTACCGGACGGTTTGCCCTTGTACCCGACCTTGGAGCTGATATCGTCCGCGTCTTTCGTGTCAACCCATCGACAGGTCTTCTTGAACCGATTGAGCCACTGGTTGTGAGCCCAGGATCTGGACCCAGACACGGCGTGTTTTGGACCCCCCCGCGGATCCAACAGCACTTCCTCAGATGTCTATTTTTACCTCGTGCAGGAGCTGAGCAACGAGTTGAGTGGTTTCCGGGTCACATATTCAAGCAACGGAATTTCCTTCCGCAAGGTCTACGAAGGAAGCACATATGGCGAGGAATCCTCCCCCGCCGGTTCTAAGGCCGCAGAAATTGCAATCTCGGTAAGTCTCGGGTGTTGCCCCCTAAGGTATCGTCCAAAAGTGATTCTTCATCTAACGTGACCTTGCTCCAAAGCCTGAAAACAACCATATCGTCGTCTCCAACCGTCTTGACAGCACATTTGGCCCAAAGAAAGACTCATTCGCCCTGTTCCTCTGCGCTGATCCTAGTGGAAAGAAGGCTGAGAAGGTTTCCTTCCTCGGGTTGTACCCAGCATATGGCTCCTCCCCTCGCCACTTCAGCATTGCACCTACCCAGGCTATGGTTGCGGTGGCATTAGAAGGCAGCCAAAGTGTTGTCGTGGCTCGGTGGGACAAGCATTCCGGGGCTCCTGGGACCGTTCTCGCAGAAAAGAAGCTGGATGGAGAAATTCCGTCCGTTGTCTGGGACCTCTAAATTGGTGCCTGTCTCGGGACTTTTCACTGGACCACGTTTCCCCATATTTTGCTAGCAGCATATGTATTAGGATCTGTCTCATGAGAGAGAAATAAGTAATGGATGTATTTTCTTTGTTAATCATCGAACAGACGAGCTGAACATGGTCTTTTCCCCGGGCAAGCTGAGACAGTATGTGTCACGGATACACATGAAGCATATACGATCAGCGGAGGATATACGGAGTGACGGACCTAGACTGCGGCAAAACCGCGGTTTTGGGTATCAAAGTCAAAACCACAACCGCAAATTTGCGGTTTTGGATATCATTTTGAAAACCGCAACCACAACCGCAGATTTGCGGTTTAACCACGGTTATCCATGGATAACCACGAGAAAACCGCACTAGCATAACTCTCGCTTTTTTAACCGATTCTAGCCCATCAGGTGCTACTAATGCAGCTTACATACTCCTGTTTGTAATTTAAACTTACACCTGTTCTGGTTAAAACGGCACAACACTGCAGTTTTCTTTCTCACTCTATAAAATAATAAAAATTAAAAATTAAAAATTAAAAATAATTAGGTTCTTCTTACATTAATATTCGCCTTGCAGCTGCAGCTAAAAGCCGCATTCGCCGCGAGGCAAAAATCGAATGGGAAAGGTCATGGTCTATAGAAAGAACAGGTCGACCGACGAAACGCTTAGTCGAACGACCAACAAAGAAGACCCTGGAATACTGGTCCGACCTGCGGAAAGCGACAGCGTCCATTCTGATGCAGCTTCGTACTGGACGAATTGGCCTTGCTGCCTACTTGACTCGCATCAATCGGCGCGAGTCAGCGAGATGTGGTTGCAATCTGGGGAACCAGACCGTCGATCATATCTTGCTTGAATGCCCGCTACTCCAAGATGAGCGCAACTGGATGAGAAACGCTCTGTCCGACCGCGGAGTTGCTCTGCGACTCGACGAGCTCCTGACGCGGCCAGAGGCTCGCATAATTGTGGCCGAATTCATGGTCCGGACAGGTCTCTTAAACCAGTTTCAAGCAGTCGACCCATTGGCTCTCAGCACGGAAAAGGCGACGAAAAAGGATGACCCCTCAGGACAGTGTGACGGAAGGAGAAGGATGGTGCCCGTTAGGAGTGCAGTGCCAGGTCCACTGTACTCCCTTGATGCAAGCGAGCGCAGGAGCGGCAGCCGACGGCCCAGAGGGCTGCGCAGATGAAGGCGGTGGAGGATGAAGTAGATCAGAGAATGAAGTCTGATTGTGGAAAGGAGAGTGGGTAGAGGGGAAGCGACGTTCGTTTTGGATTTGATTGATTGATTGATTGATTGATTTGTCATTCTCGGATCTGTCAGCCCATTGGCCGATTTGCCGGCAGGTCACGTTGGGGTAGCCGGGTCAACTACATCACTATCTACACTGGCTTGCCACCAATCTCAACCCTCCGCAATTTACACCTGCCGGGAAAGAGGTATATGCCTGAGGGTTCTCCCAAAATCATGGCGTATTGTCCAATGCTCCCGTGCGGTCCTTATTTGCGGTTGATCCTCGACGGCCGAGGCCGTTTCGGCAGGTTGGCAGCTGCGAGTCTGAAGGCCCGAAGGCAAGCGAGGGGAGGCGACGTTCGTTTGGATTTCCTTTGTTTATTTTGTCTATTTTGTCATGTTTGCATATGTCGGGATATATTCTCCTGTCAGAACAAACTGGCTGTGACCCACTGCTAGCGACCGATGGATAACATCCCTTGCTTGGTGTACGCATTCTTGCGCTGGGCTGTAGCCCCGGTGTTGTGACCGCCGAAGGCCGGCGTGTGGGATCTAGGGGTGTTTTTCCAACTAGACTGAACATCAACATCTATCAACGAGAATCAATTGACTTTGCTTTGGAGCATACACACTGTCCACTTAACTGTGTACACAGTACCTAGCTGGTGATACCAACAGCATACATTCTCGGGCGACCAATCAGGGGCTTGCGTTGCAACCCATGGAAACAATCGTTCAGTGGGCTGGCGACTACCTTCAAACTGTCGGCAGGCCTGACAGCACTCTTGTATAACAGCATATATTTAGAGCAAGTTATGTACATCGGGCAAATGAATTCATCATCATCATTATAGATTTAATTCGGTCGCAGATGAAGCGGAATGATTTAATAAGGGAATTCGGCCCTAATCAGGGTTATAATAAGGACGTGTGTGTTGTGTAGAAGGTTATTAGTGGGCGTCCATGTATAAAATATATCTTCTAACTACGTAATGCAAGATTGGTTCCCCACTAACAAAAAGCGCCCAAAACTCTAGGAAGGTCATTTTTTCCCTTTGGAAAGTAATAAAGAACGAGGGATCTTTGTTATAATTTCAAAATGATTTCCTAAAATTTCCAACTTCTAGGTGATCAGTTGCAGCATTTTGACAAACTGAGAAGGTGGTCAAATACCACTAGGACCCTTCGGGATTGGCTTATTCATCGTTCACCCAATTTCCACCTAGTATGGTGTCATAACACGCCATAGTTCAACTATAAAGACCCCTGAGATCGCTCAACCGATCGGGGGACCTACAATCAATCATCTTATTCTGTTTGGACATCTTCAGTACTAGCCAGTACATCGATTCCTCATCCTGACAGTTATGAGCCCGGACTGCCTGACTGTATGAGAGAGATATATCACCTACCTGCTCTGTATCTCGCAGTCAACGAATCCCCGAAGCACCTAACACGGTCGGATACCCCTGAACGCTTAGCCACCCCTTGTGAGCTCTTACGTTCAGCACACAGCGAGATCCGCACCGACAAACATCCTTCGGAAACGTTATATGAGGAGAATTCGAGTGTCTGAGCTATATCTTTTGCGAAGATGTCTGATATCGCGAGGGAAGATCTGATGCAGGTCCCGCTTGACCAAAAGCTTCAGTCGGAAGCGCAGTGGAGGGTCTGGATAGGCCATATCAAGTCAGCGGCTGTTGCAGAAGATGTATGGGATTACCTTGATCCTGAGAAGACGGACGAGGAGGTCCTACAAGTGCCCGAGGCTCAGGAAGAGCCCTCACTACCCCGGGATAACCGCCAACGAGAGAGAGATATTATGGAGCTAGATGATGCTGAGCTGAAGAGATACACGTTCGCTGTTCAAGCGTACGATCGTCGTAATCAGCGCCGGCAGAGGTTGTTAAAGACTATGTCACGATTGAATGGCCTTATCACCCGCTCGCTAGCCACAGAACATCACTATCTCATTGTGGGAGAGGACTCACCGCGAAAGAAGCTACTGAAGCTATCTGAAACGTTCAAACCAAAACCTCAGAATCGACAGCAACAACTTCGCCGTGCTTGGAGAGAGATGATCAAACAAAAGCCTTCAGGTGATACAAACCACTGGTTAACTCAGTGGGTTAGCCTATTCGAAGAGGGCAAGATCGCGGGCATACCTGACTGCTCACTTGGAGATCACTTCGCGATACGAGACTTTCTTGACGCTATACAACCAATTGATGATGGCTGGTGCATAACCTGGCGCGAAAAGCTTGCAGATAAGGATAAATCTGTCACATTTGATGAAGTTATAGCTAGCTATCGCAGCCGCCGTGGAGATCTTACAGTCTCTGGAGGACGGAAGCAGCCCAAGATAGCTCTAGCTTCACTGAATGGTGAACCTGAGGCTAAGCCTGCAGAAAAGGCCTATCGCAAGAAATGTCCGTGTGGTAACGCACATCCTCAGCATCACTACTCAAAATGCTTCTATCTTGACGAATCACTTCGACCAGATGGATGGAAGCCAAGAGAGGGAACTGTTCAACGCATTCCTGAATACATAAAGCAGATGAGTCCTCAAGATCAGGAGAAAATCGCCAAAATACAGCAGAAAAACGCTAAATCAGCTCACCTAGCTGGTTCGGCTCAGCCAGAGAATCCGTCATTAGCGTTCTTCGCTAATGATACTCGAGCTATCGCAGCGTCAGCAGTGGACGATGAGCTTCTCAAAGACAGCTGGATTCTTGATACTGGAGCCACCTGTCATATCTGCAACGACCGCCGACAGTTCTTGACCTATACGCCGCGAAATAGCACTGTTAAAACCGGTCAAACAGTGACGCCGATGATAGGCTATGGGCAGGTCAGGATCACTGGGAGACACCCTCGTACAGGCGCTACAGTGCCTATTACCCTGGATAACGTGTGGTACTCGCCTGGCTTCCACACAAGCTTGATCTCACTCTCTGTGATCGAAGACAAAGGATTCTGCTTCAAATCTGCTGAAAGAGCGATCTTTAAAGGCGAAGAGGCTGTTCTTGAGATAGGGAGATATCATGGTCTCTACACAGTCATATATGATCCGAATCACCGAGCAGCATTTTCGGTACGGCATTCGGAGAAGCCTCATCTCTCAGTAGCCTCAGCGCGGTGCTGGCATCGTCGGTTAGGCCACGCCTTTGACCAGAAGATTGAAAAGCTACCAGAGATGGTTGATGGAGTCAAAATCGATGGGATCTGCGAAGATAACCGTCATGACAACCCTGAGAGATGTGAAGTCTGTCAGCTAACCAAGGCCAAACGTCAGATCTCTCGCAGGACTACTGGAACACCGTACGGCAAGTATGGGCGTATCCACTTTGATCTTGTCCAGATCGACCCAGGTTATAATGGAGATCGCTGGATGACGCATTTCTACCTCGAGGGCGTACGCCTCCATGCAGCCTATACTCATGAGAAGAAGAACGGCTGTCAAGACGCGGTTAGTCAATTTGTGGCCCTAGCCAAGAAGCAGTGGAATCTTCCGATCCATGCCTTTCGATACGATAACGAACGCTCTGCGGGTCGTACAGTAGAGGATTTCCTGTCAAATGAAGGCTTTATCATTGAACACAGTGTCGTGGGTACCCCGGAACAGAATGGCTTCGCGGAGCGATCTGGGGGGTGGTAATCACCATGGCTCGTGCTCTTATATCCGATGCAGGCCTTCCGAAGAATCTATGGCCAGAAGCTGTTAGAGCCGCGATATGGATCATCAACAGATCGCCCACGAAGTTGCCAGACGGCCGGTGGATAGTCCCTTACCAAGAGGCATTCCTTAATCAGCCACAACAACGTGTTAACCTCGCGAATCTGAGGATTTTCGGCTGCCGAGCATATGTGAGGAAGCAAGCTATTCCGAACGCAGCAAAGATGGAACCACGCGCCGAAATAGGCTATCTCGTTGGCTATGAAGCCTCGAATATCTGGAGGGTGTGGTTTCCACGCAGAGGAGCCGTACGATCAGTGCGAGATGTTGTTTTTGATGAGAATGTGTTCTTTAACACTCAAGAGCTAGAAAAGGAGCCTGTCAGCGATATCTTGGAATCCATGCCATTCGTTATCGACGACAACGAGGATTCTGACCAGGTTATTTCTGGACCAAGTCTGGATATACCTCAGCCAGAGAAATCAGCCACTCCAAAGCTAGTGGAGCCTCAACAGATGATATCACCGTCACCCACGCCATCCATTCAGCCTATACAGGCCTCGATGCCTCGCATACCACCAGAATCAATCCCAGGTGCCTTTCCGGAACCACCAACTCGTGATTCTCAAGATCAACTCACTGAACAACTTCAGAGAGAGCTCTCAGCCGCTACACCTACACAAGGGACTCGCATTGCGCCTAGAGACATCGTGGGAGATATCTCGACTCGGAACATTCTGTCAGGCTCACGTAAACGAACATCAAGAGATATCAGCAATTTAGCCTTCTCGGCAGACGAGGATGCTGAAGAGGGTATACTCGCAGCCTTTGCAACTGGCCTCAACGGATCTCACTCACACACGAGACCTCACCGTGATGATCTTCCCCCTGAACCCCGGAACTGGCGAGAGATGATAAATCACCCGTTCAACGAAGGTTTCCTAGCAGCCGCCGGCCTTGAGGTAAAAACTATCGAACGAAAAGGCACCTTTGATGTCATACAGCGTCCAAATGACCGCAGCGTGCAGGTGCTTCCGTTGAAATGGGTATTCAACTATAAATTCGATAGCGATGGATATCTCGCGAAGCTGAAGGCGAGAATCTGTGTGCGAGGAGATCTCCAGAAGCTCTCTACAGAAGAGAAATATTCAGCTACCCTCGCTTCCCGTACGGCCCGCACCGTTCTTGCCCTAGTCGCTGCATTTGACCTTGAAACACGCCAATTTGATGCCGTCAACGCCTTTCTCAATAGCTCACTGGATGACACAGTGATAACCGAGATGCCAGAGGGATTCAGACAGTCTGGACATTGCTGGAAGCTCTTAAGAGCTCTCTACGGCTTACGGAAATCTCCGAGGCTCTGGCAGCGCGAGGCCTCAAAGGTCTTGACTCAGCTAGGTCTCACTGTCGTTCAAGAAGATCTTTGTCTCTTCGCATCGGACGGCATTATCATATTCTTCTATGTGGATGATATAATCATTGTCAATCACCCATCTCAGCGCCAGCGTGCGGCAGACATTAGAGAAAAGCTCAATGTAACATGGGAATTGAGAGACATAGGCGAAGCTGAGTGGTTCCTAGGGATTCGTATCGTCCGTGACAGACAACAGATGGCCCTCTGGCTCTGTCAGGACTCATACATCTCCTCTATGGCCAGCAGATATCACCTTACCACATACCGCCGCTTCGATACACCCTTACCACCAGCTACATTGAAGCCGTACGCTGGGCAGGCCACAAAGGAACAGATTCATGAGTACCAGGAAAAGGTAGGCTCCACTCAGTATGCCACTACCATCACACGGCCAGATGCAGCCAAAGCAACTTCCGCGTTAGCTCAATTCCTCACGAACCCGGGACCGGAGCATCTCGAAGCGATCAACCGTGTGATATCCTACCTATACCACACCCGTTTTCTTGCCCTTACCTACCGGCCACGCCGATCTGAGGACAACGAAGCCGTCACTCTCTTTAGTGATGCCTCGTTCGCTGATAATCCTGACCGGAAGAGCTCGGAGGGATACATATGCATCATTTTCGGAGGACCAGTTGACTGGAGAGCTAGCAAACAGCGTACAGTGACTACCAGTACTACCGAAGCGGAGCTACTGGCGATCTCTGAGACTGCAAGGAATATTAGCATGTGGAAACGTCTCTTTGAATCTATTCGCTTTGATCCAAAGCACGAGCTCGCTATCAGATGTGATAACCAGCAGACGATCCGGCTTCTCACCAAGGAAGCTCCTCAGCTGCGCACGAAGCTACGTCACGTTGATGTACACAACCACTGGCTCCGTCAGGAGGTCCAGGCAGGCAGAATTCTCATCAGATGGAGCGAAACAAAGGACATGGCTGCGGATGGGCTCACCAAGCTACTGCCGCGTCAAAAGCACGCAGAATTCGTTCAATTGATGGGCATGGAGGATATCGGAAACCTGCTCGATTAGCAGAGGATTTTTGGAGATTGTGCGAACGCTGAGGGGGTGTGACAAACTGAGAAGGTGGTCAAATACCACTAGGACCCTTCGGGATTGGCTTATTCATCGTTCACCCAATTTCCACCTAGTATGGTGTCATAACACGCCATAGTTCAACTATAAAGACCCCTGAGATCGCTCAACCGATCGGGGGACCTACAATCAATCATCTTATTCTGTTTGGACATCTTCAGTACTAGCCAGTACATCGATTCCTCATCCTGACACATTTTATAGGAAGAACCAGAACAGAGGTAAAATACAGTAACGTAGTTCCCAAGCGAGCCGGCCACCCAACCAAAAAACGCGTTCCGACGCGTACCCACCACCTTCAACCACCCACCATGCCACCAAAACACATTCAATCAAGCCGAATCTCGACTAAGCAGGAGAACCGAATCCTCCTAGCTATTAGAGATATTCAGAATGGCTGTATCGACTCAATTCGCGCGATCGCAGCACGTTAACAGGTACCCCGCACTACGCTACAGGGCCGCGTCAATGGCCACCAATATCGGGCTACTACACGCGCTAATAGTCACAAGTTGACTGAATTTGAAGAAGAATCGCTTGTTTAGTGGATACTATCTATGATCACGTGGTGCAACCCCTAGGCCCTCTACTGGGAGAGGTATGGCTAATATTCTACTTGCCGACCGTGGAAATACCCTCGTACCAACTGTTGGAAAAATCTGGGCCTCAAATATCGTCAATCGCCAAGAAGAACTTCAAACACGCTTCTCAAGATGCTACGATTACCAACGTGCCCAAAATGAGATCCAAAGATCTTGCGTGAATGGTTTAAAACTGTTCAATCTGTCATCAAATAAGAACGGTATCCAACCAGATGATATCTATAACTTTGATGAGACTGGTTTTGCGATGGGCCTTATATCAGCACAAAAGGCGGTTACTCAAGCTGAGTATCATGGTCGTCGAGCAATTCTACAGCCTGGAAATCGTGAATGGGTGACTGTTATCGAGTCAATCAGTGCGGCTGGTTTTGCTCTTCCACCCTGCATTATCTTCAAAGCCAAAAACCATTATATTTGTTGGCTTGATGGGCTTACAGAAGACTGGCGAATTGAAGTTTCACCTAATGGCTGAACTTCAGATGAAATCAGCGTCCCGATGGCTTCAAAATCTATTCATCCCGTTCACCTCAACTCGGATGAAAGGAACATATCGCCTTCTGATTCTTGATGGCCATGGTAGCCATCTCACGCCTCAATTTGACCGAATTTGTGCTGAAATCTCGATCATCCCACTCTGCATGCCACCACATTTATCCCATCTTCAGCCTCTGGATATTGGATGCTTTGCTGTTCTTAAGCGTGCCTATGGCCGCCTGATTACCAATCAGGCACGGCTAACTAATTATTATTATTATTATTACTATTATTATTCATTCCTCAGGCTTTTCACGACCTTAGGTCGTATGTAGCCCCCTAGCTTGTGTGCACTGCTCCATAGAATATATACATTTGATAGCGTTACCACATGCGAGATGTCCGATTCAGATCTTCTTTTTCTTCACCCTTCAGGAGCCAACCGTTTTGTCTCCACTGCAAACGCGATGGCGGCTCTGACAATCTTAATATCAGGTTTCCAAGCTCTTCCATTCGCTACACACGAATCTCCTCCAATCTCAGGTTTACCTCCTAGCATCTGTGACAGATTACCGAAGCTCGGCCCTGTGGCCTCAATCAGCGCGCGACGCTGCTCATTCCACCGTGTACATCGAAGCAAGAAATGAGGGACTGTTTCTCGCTCAGTGCCACATTCGCACAAATCACTATCGGCCTTGCCGATTCGATGAAGATATCCATTCAGTCTGGCATGTCCCGTGCGGAGTTGAGCTAGTATTGCTGCTTTCTCCCGATCCAGGCTGTCATAGAGCATCTTCGTGTGGGATCCTGGGAGTGCCGAATCCAGCTGGCGAGTAAACTGGCCAGTGGTCCACAGTTGGAAGTGGTTCTTCCGATGTTGTTTAGTATTCGCCCAAACCCATCGCAATGCCGACGCCCGGAGCTGGACTTGCGCCCAGGGAGGGGGGCTAACTTCGCAGTTCTCTTCTGTTGCTTCGCGTGCGAGGGTATGTGTTCGCGTAGTATTCTCGCGGTCTTCATCAGTTGGTGGCTGCAGGCTAACCTTAGTCCCCATCTCCAGCAGCTGGTCGATTGTGTTGGTGATCCTAGTGATAAGAGCCTGTCCGCCTTGAAGGTGCGGCTTCGCAAGCGAAAGCAGGACAGCAGGGTTGCTCACGACGATCACAACCTGGATTTTGTACGGTGACATCTGGATACGAGGGAGCATTGTCATGACATATGAGACAGCCTCCAGCACCATCCCCAGCTGTGCGTAATGAGCGTTGAGCGAGTCATCGTTTCCGACCGTCCGGTATGACGAGGCGATATCGACTTGGTTAACACGAACGATCAGCCCCACTCCGACCAAACCATTGCGGACGCTGACACTGGTGAACAACCAGAGACGGGCATAGCCAGCCTCATGCAGCTCGTTCATATCAGATCCAACAGTGATGATCAACTCCCTGAGAGACCGTTGCCATGGATCTAGAGGGAAGGGTCGAATGACCTCCATGTCAGACAAGCATTGTGGTCCGTACTTCGCTAGTATTTTGAACGGTGACAGATACCTCTTATTCTGCATTGCGGCCGCCGCTCGACAGGGCCAGAAAGGGTGATCCCTTGGTAAGGTGTGGCAGATGATCCAATGCTTCATGATGCGTGCTCGAAGGCGTACGACAGTCGGTTCAATCCCTGCTTCTGCCTCGGCGATGGCGAGCGCTGTGTTCCGGAAGACGCCCACGATCGCCTGAGACGCGACTCGCTGGATGGCTTCGAACGGCCGTCCGGTTCCCGCCGCAGCAATAGAATCCTGTCGTATAGGGCACCACACCGATGCTGCATAGTCAATCTTTGATGTGACTGTGGAGGTAAAGAGCTGGCGAGCTACCGAAGGAGGTAACCCGCGTAGTCGTCTTAGTGCAAGGACAGCTTTCATTCCTTTATTCACAGTCTGCCCGATATGTGATTTGAACCGTAGACCCTGGTCGAGTATCACACCAAGAATCTTAACTTCAGGCGCTGGGGCAACACTCGCTCCGTTTATGTGTAACGGGACCGCAGGCAGTTGGCGCAGCCGCTGGTTCCTTGTGAAGTGGATGAACGATGTCTTCTCCGCCTCGAAGGTTGCGCCAGATTGCGCCGCCCATTGTAACGCTCGTGGGATGACCTTCTGCTGGAGTATGGTTGTATTCGCCTCAGCAGACGAGCCTACCGTCCAACGTGTATAATCGTCAACGAAAGCGAGTGCTCCCTTTCTTCTGGTGATAGAGACATCCACCAGATTTGCATTCAGGAATAGGAAGAGAATAGGAGAGTGCGGCGACCCTTGCGGTAGGCCCGCATTCTCGATATCCATTTCCTCGGATTGGTACATATTTACGATGATCGACGCCTGTCGCGAGGAGCAGAAACTGTCAACCCATCGGATTAGGACCTCCGGGATTCTTCGTTCTCGCAGTCTCTGCAACAGGACACCCCGGTCCACTCCGTTATATGCACCCTTCACATCGAAGCTCACCAGACTGAGGACTTTGCCCTCACGCCACGCATCGTGTATCTTTTCCATTAGGATGTTAAGCGCTTGCTCGCATGACCGCCTCTGGCGAGCGCCAAAATGATTTGGGGGCAGTAACTGGTGTTTTTCGACTAGGGCTGAGATTCTGTTGGCGACGACTGCTTCTAGTACCTTTCCGAGAGTCGCCAACAGCGAGATAGGGCGGTATGATTTTGGCAACGATGGGTCACGTCCACTCTTGGGTATCACCACGATCTTAGCTACCTTCCAATCACTGGGGAAGTAGCTGAGTCGGAGTGACGCTTGGAAGATTTCGACGACCCATTGTTTCACGGTAGGCCATATTTGTTGCCATACCACCACCGGCAGCGCGTCTGGTCCGGGGGCTTTCCATGAAGCCATCCTCTTTAGAGCCACTTCGATCTCGTGTTCCGTGATCATCTCCATGGGAAGGGCGTCCGGCAGCGATTTGTCTCTTGGCGGCTCATCCTGGATATTGGGCAGCGGCGGAAAGAAGGTCCTAAGAAGCGTATGGGCCTTTCCCTGGTCATCATTGATCGTCTGGTCCCCCGAGCGCAGTGTAGGGACTATCCCTATGGATTGGTCACCTGGCTGGAGGCATCGTGCCGCTTTCCAGATGTTGTCGGTATTGTCAAGGAACTCTCTCCAATGCCGTCGTTTGGTGTCACGGATTGCTCGGTGGTACTGTCTCCGTAGATACAATGCCGTGTCTTCCAGCGCTGTAAGGTCGACTCCATGCCGCCGAGCTTGCGTGCATCGATTTCGGGCCCATGTGTACGTGTTTCGCAGTGCCGTTAACTCCGAAGTCCATCATCGCTTGCCGTATGGGGATGGCCGCACAACCGGGACTAGCTGGCGAATTGCTGCTTACCCTGCGAGTCAAGTGCCCTGCAGTCGCGTCTAGCTCCGAGCGGTCGGTGATATCTGTGATCTCCGTCTCTAGGTCTCTTAACTCCCTGTTGATGTCGGCCCATGGAGCTTCGCGGAATGAGAAGCGGATTGTCGGGGGAGGCGTTGGTCGTGCTTCGCTCTGGAAGGTTGTTTCAATTGCACGGTGGTCTGACCCATGTTCAACAGGGTGGATGCGACACCGCGTGACCCGCCTGCTCAGGTCCGTTGACGCAACGACAAGATCGATGGTCGACCGATATGGGCCTTCCTCCCGGGTAAAGATCCCTCGGGGCAGTAAGCTTGTTAAGCCCCAGTCCGCCATGAGGAGCACAATTGGTTCCGCTTCACCCTGGCGATTCCGCGTGGCCACTTGGTTTCCTCCCCAGAGCTGGTCGTGGCGGTTAAAGTCTCCCACGATGAGAATGTCAATGTTGTCCCCGTACTCGCTCTGGACTCGATGATAGGCTTCCCGGATTGCATCCAGCCCTTCACGGCTAACTAACTAACTAACTAGGTGGAAATTGGGTGAACGATGAATAAGCCCATCCCGAAGGGTCTTAGTGGTATTTGACCACCCCCTCAGTTTGTCATTTAACTATATTCGAAAAATTGGTTCAATAAGCAAAGCCGACGGCATTTTCTATGTATTTTCTGCCAAAAGATAGCCGAATGTTTCCCGAACGTCGTACGTACTCTACTACACCTGTATGTGTCGCTTACGCCTCCACGGGGATTTTTGTGCAAAATATTCCGTCACCTCCGATCAAGTAAAACCACTTCTCTCTCAGATCCACCAATAAACGGCCTTGTTCTACGTTCCATGGTTGCCCTTTTCCCAGAAGTATGCTGCAAATAAGAACACGTTAGACAGATGTGATTCATGTTTAATCATCCTTCCATTGAAACCATTCTCTATGATACATCATTTTCGCTCCCTTCTATCCCGCACAATATGTGCTCTTGGCTCTGAGCCGCTCTCCGTAAAACCACAATAGCACGGGAGCCACAGTTCCCAAGCCCAGACTGACAAATCCCAACAAGCTATTACCCCATCCTAGGCCCAAGTTCTTATACAGACTGTCTGCAAATAGAGGGAAAGCAAACCCAGCTATTGTCCGCACAAATGCTGCTGCACCCGTCGCGCTGGCTGCGTATCGTGAGTAGGCATCTAACACGTATGTTTGCGCACATTGGAAGGAGATGATCAATCCAAACGCAAATATTGCGGCACCAATATTGGGCACGATCCAATGTGTTTTAAAATACGCCGTCCAGCCGTAGATGAAAAGGCCACATGGGACTAAGAGGCCACCAGGCACCATCAGGGGAACGCGAAATTCCGGTCGGCCATCGTGTTTGTAGTGCCTTTTAAGACCTATACATATCTTGAAGGGGAGTCAGCACCTTCCTTAGGCGTATAGATAAGGAACGCACCATGTCAAGGGCACGACCGCAGAATTGCAGTCCTAATACAAATCCAATCCCAAGAGAGAGATAGTTCAAGCTGGCGGTCCCGGAGTTTTCTCGGTATACCACCTCCCACACCGTAGGAAATGATGCCAAGCTGGATTTTATGAGTCGTATGCACCGTTCATATTTCACACACACACTTACACAAGATACATGAGGCCATACTGGTAGCCTCGATACAATGCAAGTGCCTGGATTGCCGGCTGCGTGAAAAGCATCTTGACTGGCCGAACCAGATTCTTCCGCAACTCCTGGCCAAATGTACGATCAGGACTGTCGTATTGGGTGTGAAGTTTATCGTTTCTGGTCTTTTTCTGTAAGTTTCTTCGCTTCGTCGCCAAGATCGTCGGTGCATAAGTTTCACTCAAAAAGCAAAAGGCCAGAACCTGCACCACAGCGTCTGCAATGGAAACAATCCAGAATATCCATCGCCATGACATATACTGGGTTAAATACCCGCCAGCTAATCGACAAGACTCCAATTAGCATTATCGCCTCAATTAAACACACTATCACATATTCTTCTCACCGATTGGACCAACTGCCGGCCCTAGAAAAGGCATCAAACTATAGAGGGCAGTTGCTGCTCCTCGTTCTTCCTTCCGCCAGCAGTCACTTAAGACGCCACCTCCGATCTATGTGGCCATTAGCCTATTGAGGATCTTAATGGAAAACCGAGATATCGACTCACCGCCTGTGGCGCACTTCCTCCGAAGCCACTGAGGAATCGAAAAGCAAACATCTGTCCTGAGGTCGTGGCAAATCCACAAACAATATTGAAGACAAGATAGAACATGTTCGCGGATTGCAAGACAACCACGCGCCCATACATTTCAGAGAGAGGAGCAATGATAAAGGGGCCAAGGGCGTAGGCGAGAAGGAAGATCGACATCATCAGGTACTGCTCCGTTTCCGACTTCACTTTGAGGTCAGAGGCCATGGTATCTAGCGCTGGCGCCACCATCGTAGAAGACACTGGTGATATGAATGTAAAGCATGACACAAGAAGAGTTGCGGTCCATTTTTTCGCATGACTCCAGTTGAGAGGGTTGGATGGGTCGTCGTGGCCTGACCAAGTGACCTGTTTCTATCAGCGATATGGTCAAGGAGATCGTCTCCTTATAGGTCTTACTAGATTAGCATTGTCAGAGGTCAATAGGCCTGGCTCGGGGTCTTGGTCTGACGAGGAGAGCTTTTGTGACGATAGTAAAATATTTTTCTCTTTGTCGTCATGCTCGCCAGCCAAATTCGCCATGTCGGCTATTTGTGTCGAGGAAATTCCGAAAAGCAAATGAAAGTGGCGCTCAAGTTAATCTAATGTCGATGTTGACAATAAATACCTGGCAGCATTTCAAGTCCCGTGCGGTCTATCACAACTCCTGAAGATGTCGATCGCTAGGATACTCTGTTGATAATCGTTTTTTAATAGAGTACCAAATATAGAAACTGACTTACCCCGACACCCCATCCATTTAAACGCAAGAAGTCTCCGATACGCCGGAAAGTTACGGAAATACTGTGCATATCATTACTGGTTCAAGGAGTAAAGTTTAGGCAACAATTCAATGCTCAACTTAGTGGAGCCCAATGTCGATACCAGACGGGGATGAAGGAGGTGAAAAAGAAAGTACGCGGATTTTAGTCGAACGATCTTTGTAGATGCTGTTCAGCATATCGAATTCTCCAGATGATGCTTGGCTCGAATAATAGCAACCATTTGCGGATGTGGGGTTTGGCAATTGCAGCCTAGCACTTTTTGCTAGTGGGGCTCCGTTTCCATAGCTAAACCCTAATAGGAAATCGGTCGCGTGTCCTGGTGAAAGGGATCAAGATCGCCAATTGATGCCAAGATTGGCCAAAACCATATCTGTCCAAATCCGCAGCGTAATCTTCTGTGGGCTCCTGTGCTCCATGTTGGGGAGGACTTCGTAGCAATTGATAAATTTTCATAGTAGAGGCGGAATTCCAGATCGCGTAATAATTCCTGGCTCAGGAAAATCGCAAGCCCCAGCCATAGCTTGTGCTTCTTTGTTGACTTAGCAGAATGTCGATCCACATGACGACTCTTGTTCCCACCGTATTTAATGCATTTAATTTTCCGGGCCCATAAAAGAAGACATGCTAAGCGTTTTGATGCGGCTTAGCTTGTTCACCAGGCAACCCAATATTCAATTTTAGAAATCCACAGCCTTTTATTTCCCTTCTCAGGCGCTCGGTTGAGGCTGTGACCTGGAATTACCGAGACATGTTTCCAAAGACTCTAGTTGAAAACCAGTAGTGGGAGATGACGGCCCGCTAAAATTAGTAACAGAAAGAGAAATGGGACAATACGAGAAGGGCCATAAAGAAATACAGATGAAGTAGCAAGGGCTGAGTGGATCTCAGACTGCAGTATATATAAGGATGCAGAATCGCCGATGCATAGGTATTTTCCCCTATGACAGGCATCATCGACAGACATTCAACCTCTGCAACTCTGGACCTCTGCTATTCACAAAACCAAACCCCCCGCTTCTTCTATAGAACGTCTTACAATATCAATCAACATGAGAGTCCTCGTCTGTCCTTCCGGATTTAAGGGCTGTATCAATTCACATACTGCAGCAGACTGCATCGAAGAAGGCATCCTGCGTGCTCTACCAAAAGCTACCATCCGAAAGGTTCCACTGGCTGATGGTGGCGAAGGTTTTGTTCGTGCCCTAGTGGATGCCACCGGAGGCCAAATTCGAAGATTACCTGTCATGGGTCCTATTGGGAATCCCATTTCCTCTTACTATGGAATCCTCGGAGACGAGCCGAAAACCGCAGTTGTTGAGATTGCCGCAGCCGCTGGGCTCAGTCTTGTACCCCCTGACCGTCGAAATCCTTGCATCACAACCACATTTGGCGTCGGTCAACTCATTTTGGCTGCGTTGGAGGAAGATGTGCAGCGCATTATTGTCGGATGTGGTGATTCTGGGACAAGCGATGGTGGTGCAGGTATGCTTCAGGCCCTCGGGGCACGCCTGGTTGATATCAATGGAAACGAGCTCCCGCAGGCGGGTGGAGGTGAGACTCTAGTCTCACTTGCGGATATTGATTTCTCGGGCCTGGACTCGCGTTTAAAGAAAGTGCGCATTGAAGCCGTTTGCAACTGGAAAAATGTACTTGGCGGGCTATATGGTGTGGCCCATATCTATGGGCCCCAGAAGGGTGCTACTCCCAAGGAAACAGAAATATTGGCAACAGCCCTGCATATGTACGCCTCTGTAGCCGAGAGAACGATTGGAAAAAAGGTTTCCAATGCCCCCGGTAGCGGTGCATCGGGAGGCCTGGGGACAGGGCTCCTCCTCATTGGGGGGAGCTACGTCCAAGATATGAAGCAATCATGCAGTATTTCAACATCGACGGTTTGTTTGACGACTGTGATTTGATTATTACGGCAGAAGGGGCAATCGACTACCAGACTCCGAGAGGGAAAATCCCAGCCGAGGTCGCAACGAGGGCTACGAAACACGGGAAGCCAGTGATTGTTCTGGCTGGGTCCATAGGAGAGAATGCAGATGCAAACTACGATGTTGGCATCAATGCATACGCATCTATCTTGCAGCGACCATCAACCTTGGACGAGGCCATTGAGGAAGCAGAACGACTTTTGACGGAAAGTGCAGAGGGCACAATGCGAATTGTGATGGTTGGAAGAATGCTGAATGGCAGCTTTGTGAATACGACTAAATAATGTCAACGTTACCCGTACGCGAGTCAGGGGGGCACCCCAAGAGCTACAGTAAATGCGATATTTGCCAACTCCATAACTCAAAAACCACTACTGAATACCGAGGACGAATTTCCCCAACCCTGCAAGCAACGACGGAGTCCCGAGGAAACTCGACCTGGGGACGGCGCTGGAGCAGGAAGGAGCCACAAAGCCGACATGACCATGTCCGAAAAATTCCCCGGCAAGGACCAGCGTCCCACGTCAAGTGCCCAAAAAGGACTACGAGAAAGAATTCCGGCTTTCGGCCCCCAACGACCCTGTATGCCAGAAAGAATTCAAATTTGGCTATGACTTTTTTTTGGCCTAGGCCGGTATTGCTGTGTGCCACCAGATCTCTAGACCTGTTTGATATATTTATAATTGTTCGTCCGCAGATAAGATCTACAAGGTGGACCAGGGGACGTAGGTGGCTGCCTGGAAGGCTGGCCTCTGATTAGCCATGCTCCATATTATGAAATCTATTGGCCCTGGCAAGTACGCGGTGCTGACGTAGTTGTGACGCGTGCAACGCGCTCGCGTATGTGTAGACGCGTAGGTTCCGTGGCCCTATATAGACAGGATATTGTCTGGCGGGTGGGCCTTTCCTGTTTTGGCTGCCGTCGCTTTTATGAGGGCTTCCAGGCTCCGTCAGCAGAGTCATGTGATCGATCAGTGACTAGTCAGGGCCACCCAGTGATCGGATCACTTAGCTGACCCATAACCCCCACTCACCTCCAGGACCAGGAGCGCCACTGGCTGCTTCATCGCCAAGTTAGCGGCCGTTTGTCACTTCAGATCCACTATTTCCTGGTCTGTCCAAAATGGCCATGGCAAGCGCACCAGAGATCGACGAGGCGCTTATTGTGACCCCCCATATGCCCAAGCCAGAGAAGTCACCTGGAACTACCAAGAGAAAGGTCACCCCATCATCAGAGTTGTCGTCCCAGAGCAAAAGTTTCATTTTATCTCCTTATGGGACTTTCTCTTCAGAGAGAACGGTCCTCCGTCTGGGTGACTCACCCCTCTTCGAACTATCGATGCGTCTTTTCCCATCAGGCGAAGCTGTGATCAGTAAGTTTTCATCAAGCCTACCTTTGTACCATCTACTTATTAATGTGTTTCAGACAAGAGGACTCCTCCTAAGACGACGCATACCCACCCTGGGTCGCCAGAGTCGTCGTTACCGGGGATCCAAATTCCCCATCTCGTCATCTCGTTCTTCTATTCAATCTCCGGCAGAATCGGGTCTTCACCGAGAATTCTGAGTTATTGTACCGCCTCTTTCCGGACACAAAAGCGGTGTGGTTTGATGGCTATTTCTTGGTGTTTTGGCTCGGGACCTTGCCGCCGAAAGCCCTGGCCGATTACTATTGCCGGTGTCCAGCCTTATTTCACGATCGATCCGAATGATGAAGGTCCATTTCCGCCAATCAAACGCTCGAGTAAATCGCCCCTTAGTGTGTCCGCTGAAATCAACGCTACCAACCTCCCACCCGCTAAATTGACGATGCATTCGAGCTGTGTCTTTGACTTTTTCGCTAAATCTGAAATTTCGATTACGGAGGTTCAGTACTGGAACAATTTCTTCATCATTGTTCTAGAGAATGAGGACACCGATCTCGCTGAAGTTCCTTGTGCCATAGGTCGCTGTAACTGTTTCTATCTGTTCGAGAAGGAGATGGGACGTCCAAAATTCAACAAATTCCGGGCCTGCCGGATCCGTAATTTGACTGGCGATGCCGTCGATAACAGCGAGTATGATATATTGCGTCCTGGTTTTACGGAAACACGTGTGGGCGGCGATTGCTAGTCTACTGGACCTATTTGCTTCGGAGAATGGATTGTGGCGAATATTGGCTATTGCGGGGTTGAGGTTTTTCGCATTTCTTATATAACTGGTGGCTAGTTAGTTACAGGATTTGGTGGTCAGTGAGGCTGGGTGGTAGTTAACTAGTGAAGAGGGGAACGCTCGATGGCAGCACGCGCTGAGACGTGCGGGTCGATTCAGAAAACCACCACAAAACACACGCGTAGCTGTCGGGAAATAGTGAGAAACCCAAATGTAGGGGTCGGGTAGGGGAGGTGTAAGAAGATATATTCTAGAACTAGCTATCCGGCCACCGTATACTGCCGGCTATGTCACATAGTCTGGATGGCACCCATGCAGTAGGGGGGTGGGGGTCTCCCCACTACAATATCTATTCCTGAGACTAGACAATGGTATCTCCGGGCTCCCATGGAACTCCTACTATGGAACCTGAGACATCCAGCCGTCCACTGGATTGGAGTTATGACTAATCCCTAGGCTCGTGAGCAAGACCACATTGGTCACGGAAATATGAGACTTTCCGACGTGACTGTGAAGAGCACAAACAGCCAAAATCCCGTACTAGCATGAAATGTAACTTGCCTAGTAGTTATTAGATCATACCGTGTAGCCACTGGGATCGGCCCCATACCATTCACTTGCCATCCTGATTTGTCCGCTGTGTTTCCTTCCGTGGCCCCGGGCGGTGTGTGGCCGTCGTGTTGCCCATCAGATATCCTAGTCTTCCCATTGCTACGAGCCAGTAGAAAGAAGCAGGTCAAATCGGTGCTTACTGAAGAGAAGCTGAGAAAGAAGAAAAGGAAACTTAGCCAGCAGGGGGAAGCTCGAGTACACAGCAAAACAGGCAAGCATCCTAACCCTCCAAACAAATACCTCCGGCACCAATTCCGCAGAAAGAAGTTACTCTCAGGCTTAGACGTCTCAGCCGTCACCCTGATAACACTTATCTGGTACAAGGAGGAGACGTCTGAGAAAGATAATCAAGGGAAAAGATGGAGAAGAACGAAAAGCACGCTGCTCCAATTCTACGCTACCCCTGTCTGTGGCTCATATGGCTTATCTGGTCCGCGAGTGGTAGAGCTCGAAATTATCCTCGCGGAGGACCACTCATTTCCCGAGGGTCGGCTCAAAATTTTGTCACTCACGCGATCCTCAACCCTCGACGGCCCTCGTGCGGGTGAGCGGGTGATCGTCATTGACCCTCATAGCCCTTATTATTTTGTAGATTTTCTGCTCTTATACTTGAATTGGATGGATACTCTTGATGTCGGGACATATCCTTTTGTCAGAACAAGCTAGCGGCAACTTACCGCTAGCGACTGATAGACCACATTCCTGTGCTGGGTGACCTTGCGCCAAGCTGCGGCACCGGTGATGAGAGTCAGACCACCGAGTATCGGCGTATGGGATTCAGGGGTATTTTGGACCGGACCTGGTACACATCTACATCTATCTACATGAATCAATTGACTTTTGCTTTGGAGCATACACACTGTCCACTTAACTGCGTACATAGTACCTAGCTGGTGATACCAACACAAAGCAGGGTACTTTGTATCTGGATGACCGAGATAGCCGGGTGATACTCCCACCAGGCACGTACGTTAAGATATCACTAACTATTATTGATATATGCCAAGGTCCTTACAACCCTTCGAAAAGGAAGACCGATGTTTTAAATATTTGGTTAGATTCACAACCGGAAAGACGAGTGACTCAGACTCGAACGAGGAGGCAAACTAATTTATGATTGGCTGGACTGTCCCCATGGTCATTGTTGTGGGGCTTAATGAAGCCACGAGTATTGGGAGAATTTGACGCTAGCTTACTCTAGATAATGCTCGCTCGTATAGGTTAGATCTAAAGCTCCATCTATAAATAACAAATGATCTAGCGTTTGTAATGTGTGACTAAAGACAAGGAAGATTTTTAACGTAATTAATATTTTACTCGCTTATTTGGCTTACATAATGGTTGCGTGTAGTTATTTTCAGCCGCTGTAGGTTGTTCATTCACAAATCTAAAATATTTCCACGGATTTGTACTTCCATGTTGGACGACATAAGCCATTCATCCAACATTTTACAATGAGCGAGGCAAGAGAAATTTATCCTCTTCCTAGAGATGAGAACGAGTCGAACCGGTATTTGCTCATGCAATTTATCGTTTGGACGGCTAGCTCACCTTTGCAGACTGAATGAGCAACACTATTTTATTACGGAGATCATCGAAGGCCCGATCGTCAAAGCCGTACCACGAACCAATTTATTCGCTTTCGCAGACGTCGGCACTGGAACGGGGTAAGTAGCAGACTTTTGATTACGGACCTGGGATATACCTAGTGATGTAAATGAATCTAACTGTCATTTGATACGTAGAATCTGGCTCAAGGAGATTCTCGAGTCGATGAAACACATGCCAGCTGCTTGTCCGCGTTACTACCATGGCTTTGATATATCAGATGCCCAATTTCCCTCTACTCCAGAGGAGATTGATTTTACAGTTCAAGATGTCACAAGACCGCTTCCTCTCCAACATCAGAGTCGTTATGATTTAGTTCATGTAAGGATGCTTGTCGGAGCTATCAAGGTGTCGGACTTTAAGACAGTTCTTGCAAATCTTATAACGCTTCTGAGTAAGAGTCTCCTTTGATCCCCTCACAATTATTTTATGGGGTTTGATTGACGTGATTTTGATTGCTTTTCTTTCCCTTTTCCTCCATGATTCATGCATCTGGCTTACTTATTTGATACTCCCAGAACCTGGAGGTTATCTTCAATGGGTCGAGTTCGATATAATTACCTTGCTTGAAGGGAATGGGGCTGAGTATCCGAAGTTCGCAGAGTTATTACAACCCTACTACAGCTTTGCAACGGCCAACGGACTGAGCTTGTGTGCATCGAAAGCAATTTACACAGCGTGTAAAGAAGCGGGACTCGTCAACGTCGCAAGGTATTGCCCTACCATACTCGACCACCTAGATTTGGAGGAGAGGTTTCAAATCTGGCTACTTGCGTCATTCAAGTCTATTATGCCTCGTATATTCCTACGGACAGGTACAGTGGCTACTGAGGATGCTGCTAAACAACTGGCCTCCCACTGGCTGAGTGAACTGGGGGAGCTACTTGCTGAAGGACTGAAGCCAGGCACAACGTTTGGCACAGTTGTTGCTCAAAAACCAAACGATTCTGGAGGAGCCCTTGGTTACCACTCTGAATGAGTGTACTAGAATACAGTTCCTGGCTGTATTGCTAGCGTTTTGATTTTCTTTGGAACAAGACAGTCTCTTGACAAAATCTTAAAAGGCCGTTGTTCTCTTAATCTATCTTGAGATATAGTGTGACATTGATTATCCAAGTAAGCAGAGTAGCAGAGCGAATCAGTAGTCTCTGTACGAAGTCCACAGGTACTAAGTCTGTCCCTCCTTGCTGGACCTGGACTGTTCTTTCCCCTTCTCATGTCACAAGGACCAAGGACTTTTCCACAATGACACCTATTGTTCAGGAATATGACTACATGAAGCCTTGCAGAGGGAGAGGAGGTAGTGATAGTGAAAGCGCTCGTCGCTCAGCGGGCTGGTACGGAGTAATAAATACGGGCTGTAGAAAATAGCCGGTCTGGTTGGTCCAGTTCTTAGTATTATTTGATAACGCAACCAGTTCTCGCCCTCTGAACACATCATTCAGATCGGACACTGATCAAACGTCAAGCTGTGCTCAAGAAGATAACCTGAGTCTGTGTGACCATGTATGAGACAACAGATATGTATTCCCGAGAATATTAGGGTTGATATGGGATTTGGCAGACGAAACGCATGGCAATACTCCTCACGTCCTTTTTTGCGACTAGCAGTCGCCTAGTCAGCAAGATCAACCAAAAGGAGGGCCGCCGGTATTTAGTAGATTCAACAAGATAGGGGACCGGATTGACCCATGGAAAATCGCTATAATCAATTAATTAATGTGCTTTGGGCCGAGTTCTACAGCCCATAATGGGCCGGGGGCCCCTATCTTACTCGTTTCTCTGAGTGGAAAGGTTTCGTCGATAGCAAAGACCACAGCAGATACTTCCCTTATGGTTTACTCTTTCAAGGACTGAGTAACTGAGTATGGTCTTGGTGGCCAGGTGGTTCTTCCTACCAATTAAACAACGTCAGATAAGCTATTCAGGTCATCATCCTTGTTTTGACTGCCAATCTTCATATGAAAAATATAACGCGTGTGTGCGCTTTAATGTTTAACATGAGCGAAGTTGAGGTCAGGTTTTTCTTTCTGTTACGATCCCGATGTCGCAGCCTCTCTCATAGCCTATTTCCTGAGCATCCACCAGATTACTTGGCTATTTCCCCTCCATCCTAATCAAAGATATTCTTAATTCTGAAATAACACCGAATACAGATATTTCCCTGACTAATCCTGGTGCATCGTGTTGAGGTTTCAGCGGTCTTCGATACTGAGGATTCCTTGGTGTATATATCTTGTGACTATTAGTTTCTGCTGCTCTCTGTCCTCCCTGAGGCACGCTAGCTTTGCATGTTAAACCGGACATTTGAGAAGCGTGTAGAGCACGCTTCCACCCAGGGGTTGTCTTCGATTGCGAGACATCTTTAATATCACTCAATTGCTGGCATATACCGTCGCTCTTCCTATATTCTGCCCCTCCTCCTAACACATTGTGACAGACGCTTCAGGCTCCTGCTCAGTGGTGCAAATCTTTGTATATTTGGAGTGCGGCAAGTCACCGACCATCTGTCATCGGCGTATTCCACTGCCTCAATAACTCTACCAATGCCCCGGAATGACTATGTTCCGCCTTAATATAGCTCCTCCTTCCTTTCCCAAAAGACCACGCCAAAGCCATCATCTCCTCCTCATCGTACGACAGGCACACCTGGAAGAAAGTCCATATCCGCTCATTGAAACTCGGCATATCCTCTGGCGATAACCTCAGTGCATAAAATGCAACACGAGATATCTTCCCTGTCGCGAAATCCATCGTAACAGCAAACGTCCCTCCGCTTTTCGGAAACTGCTGCCTTATTTCCTCGAAGAGGGTATCGGATATGGGATCTGCTCCAGCTATGGAGATATACTCATCCACAACTTCTCGTGCAAACCCTCGAGTTGTCCGGAAATAGAGGTTGATAGATTTTTTCTCCAAATCCACAGCAGTATGTCTCACATGCGTAAGATTCAATGCCACGAACAGATCCTGGTGCCTCTTGATACATGCTGGCAACTCTGGAACACCAAAGACCTCCACCAACGGCCGCATTGAACCAAGATACACCCAGAATTTCACAAGTCCCCGGGCCGCGTCGAAGTCAGCAAGTTGGTGGCTTTCCTCCCCGTAGAGGCTCGACCAGGATTGGACAAGAGACACTAGGACGTCGTTTTTTGAAATTAACCCGGCGTCCATGGCCAGAGCAACCATGTCAATGCTTTGGCGCTCGTAGACGCGGTAGTTCAGTTCTCCGTTAGGTTGGTCAGTTGTACGCCACAGGACACAGCCTTGATGAAAGCTTTTACGGAAGACGGACAAAATTCTTCGTGTTGTGTTTTCCGAGTATGGGACACCCAAGGCTGTGCTGGCGTTGCTTATGTCGTTGAGGAAACGCTCCTCAGAGAAGGATGGTCGGGGAGGCTGTTTGACAGGCATTTGATTAGCGCTGTTAAGGAGATTGATGTTTAACCCATCAGGGTTGGTTTACGCTTTATTTATAGTCTAAATTCATGGGACCGTCGTGTACTCCGAAGCCCCTGAAACTTCAAAACCGCGCCCCATTTTCAGGACACAAGGCTGCGACCGATAGGCTATTGTGGCATCAACGCCAACACTGAAAGAAGTGTGGGGGTGTAGCAAAGCTCACTGCAACACATCCTCCCTTTTGTCAGAATAAGCGACAGTTGAGGCCTAACGATAACGTGAGATTTCCTTCGCCACCGAAAGGCATGAAATCATGCACTATACCGTGGTTGGCCTCGCCAAGCTTCTGCTAGCCTTATGAAAATTTTGGGCTCCTACTCAATAAACCCGCGGGTGGGCCACTGTCTAGCCACCTTTCATGGCGTATCCGTCCGCTTCAACGCAACGATCCTTACCACTTGTTCCGAAGCCGTCCCTATCACCCGCCGTGCTTGAACCCTTCAAATACGGACGAGTCTCATGGAAAGGAGACCTACAAAGCCGCTTGAATTCAAGAGAAACTGGATATCGCAAAGGCTGTATGTGAGGCGTCCCTATGACCCTGCATTACGGTCAAAGAGGCTTGCGGGTCCGTACGGCTAGGAAACTGCTCATAAAGATTTCGAGTAACAAGTGTTCGGGAGAAGAGATGGTAACTACCACTAAGAACTGACTGATTCAGCAACTACCCACTCCGCGACATTTTTTGTATGGAAAACCGGGCCAACTCGATATACACACGTTGTAACACGCTGATACTAGCCCGTACAGTGACACCCCTCAGACTACAGTGACACCTCATAAGTTTTAACAACACCCCAGGTCCCACTTTCAGACCGCCTATATTAATAACCTACCGCCTTCCCAATAACTAACTCACTACGCGTTGTAGGAAATCACGCTGAGAGACGCACCACGCAATTATTGAATCGGAGGGGTAGTATAGCCACACTAGGAGAAGACGGATCCTGATTTGGCTAATAGGATCGTAATACTCCCCTGAATTAGAATCTAATGTTTCATAAATTTGGTGATGTACAGCGAAGAATATCCGGTCGGCTCACCTGTGGGGCTGTAAGTGAGCAGCTTGAGATGTCCCTGTTGTAGCAAGTTTTAGCGACCTGTGGGGCTGTAAGTGAGCAGCTTGAGATGTTCCTGCTGTGGCAAGTTTTAGCGACCAACGAAGGAATCAGTGGGCTTGATAGCAATATACTGCGGGGAAGAAGTGATTGATACAGAAATGGGCTAGTCCGTCCTCACAAAATTTCCGACAGTGCTAGCACGGGAGAAAGCCCATTCGAAGTCTCAGGCATCGCTCAGAGATTGTTATATCTTTCCAAATTTGATTTCGCGTTCTTCACATACGCATAAATCCCCGTAACCTACGAAAGACATCACGATCAAGAAGGAGATACACATTTGTCCACCCATGTCAGTGGAACATTGTCGCCCAAAAGTCTAGCTCTCATAAGCCGAAACAAGGCAAGGCTGCCTGCCAAGACAGCGCCGAGTTTCTTGGTAGGGCAACAAATGTAAAAGAGGTTTAGCTCGTTAACAGCACACTAGCCGTGCAATATAGAATGATTGTTCATGAAGCTGCGTTGGGCCCCGCTCAATGAGTAAACTTAGGTTTCACTAATTTGCAACGACGAAAACTACGGCCCTGGTTGATCACTATATGAACAACTTATCAGAAATTGTCCGTGTGAATGATACCACCCGGACATTATCACCCTTGAGTATATGTGGTAGCCGAGAAAGGTTATTCAGCTCTTACGTTAATCACTTCACTCCTCTTCAGACGGTCATTGCTTAGCTGTGATATGAACGGGAGGATTCTTGCTCCTGTCAACAATTTGTGGCGGCCCCAATTTTCCGTTCCCCAGTGAGACAAGTTGACAAAAGGATTTTTAGAAAATGTAACCCTCTCGATTTAGACTTCTTTAAGCCCACGGAAAGATTACAGGGTAACTCACAGCATACGTAAGTCTTTCATGCAGCTAGATGGTTACGACGATGGACATTTTCAATTTTGGATTAGATAGAATCCGATGCATGTCGGCCGCCAAAACAGTTGTGGAGCGAGAGGTCTGATGTATGATCTGATTACGGCAGCATTGAAATTAACAAAGAAAGCATATAAGGCGGCAAGCGCTCAAAACAGACTGGATATTCATTTTTAACACATTGACGCCACTCTGCAAGATTACCGATCCGAAGAAAGCTCAGCGGCTCCTTCACTTAAAATGATGACCAAGGTTTGTTTAAAGAAATGCGCACTCCTTGTAGTCAAAGAATAAGCGCCAAACTGATACCATATATCAGACTGTTAGCGTTCTATCTGCCCTTGCAGTTATCGCAACCGGAAACCCCACTGTTGGCTATGCTGGATACTTCTACTCCAACTGTATCGCCCCAAGCATCGATGCTGCAAACGCTTACGGTGGATCTTGTATCAACATCGAGAACTTCCCGCTTAAGTCCTTCACCGCTTACGTCGAGTCTGGGTCCTGTACCGACGGTACATCTGCTGTCCTCAATACTTACACTGCCTCCGGTTGCAATTATTCGACTCTTTATGAGACTGTCAGCGTCGAGAGCGAGAAGCAGTGCTTTGAGGCAGACGTGACCCTGGTGAGCCTGAAGGCTGAGTGCATCTAAGGGCGCTGATGAGAGTGGGATGCAGTCACTCTTCATTGTATCGGTACCCACTGTGATATTCCCCTAGGCTAGCTAGACGGGAACTGTGATGTTTGTGTATTGTATCGTTCCTTGAAAGGCACATGCACTTGTTACTTGACGACATGCATTTCACAGTTCAAGACAACCCATCCTACGAGCAGGAATGCTTACTTAGTGCATCACTGGCACTCTTTGAAGAAACTTGATAGGAACTGAATCCGTGTATGGCTTAGCGAAGCAACGATACGGTTGTGAGAAGCTTTGAGATTTGCAGCAGGACAGCAGGCAAGTATTAGGCCCGGGACGTTCTACTCACATTGATCCGGGGGTTACGCGTAACACAACAGTGATGTTTCAAGAGTCAAGAAAATGCCGATCTCCATTCATCCTGATAGCAAGTAATTCTAGCCAATATACTTGTCACAATGCCTTATGAGTGCCTTGCTTCAGTTCCAGAACGTTGGAGATCCGTGGAAAGATTTCCAGGGCATTATGGTATTTGATCGAGGTCATATCCTCATCCGTAGAATTGCCATTGTCCTGGATGCCTGTTAGGCCTGGCACGGCCTGCATGAGTGGCACGTAGGGATCTGTCCGCGTTAGTATACCGCGAACATATATAATCCGAGGATATAGATAGCCCAGAGGATGGCCTTACAGTCAATGCCAGTCACGAACTTTTCCGCACCAATAAAACCCTTTAAAGCAATAAGCTAAACGGCAGATGTTGCGCTAGCAAGATCAAATTAATATCCAGCAAACTGATCCATCGTTTCGGTGAAGGGATCCCGCCTGCGTAAGAAAGTGTCGCGACGCGGGCAATACGAATAGCCAGGTAGGGCATAGCGCCACCACCATGAGCGAAAACCATTTTAAGGCTGGGTATTTAGTACGCTGACCATCAAGAATAAATTCCCCATAGCCCGCACGATGTCGAAAAGATACCCTGTCATCGGAATGGGGTGACCCAAAGCGACGGATGTGCACTTTGGGGAGGCTGAATGAACAAATACGCTGGAATTGGGGGCACTGAGGGCCGACAGAACAGGATCCAAAGTGGGATCACCCAAGTACATGCCATCAGCATTAGTGCACAAGCCCACGCTCACAAATTTTAGGGTGTTGATACAGAACTAAATGGGATACCAAATTAGATGATTTGAAAGGCTTCAAGAAATGGATCATATATTAAACTGTCGGGATATATTCTCCTGTCAGAACAAACTGGCTGTGACCCACTGCTAGCGACCGATGGATAACATCCCTTGCTTGGTGTACGCATTCTTGCGCTGGGCTGTGGCCTCGGTGTTGTGACCGCCGAAGGCCGGCGTGTGGGATCTAGGGGTGTTTTTCCAACTAGACTGAACATCTACACACATCTATCAACAGGAATCAATTGACTTTTGCTTTGGAGCATACACACTGTCCACTTAACTGTGTACACAGTACCTAGCTGGTGATACTAACATAAACGTACTTGAATCTCCTCCACTGCTTCATTGACGAAGAGGGAGAAGACAAAGTGCCCCAAGCCGAGTCTGGTAAGTTTGAGTATATTCATGAAGTAAGAGATTGATGGTGCGGGCTAAAGACTTGGCCTTGTTGGCATCTTTGATAAAGGAAACACATGGCGCACTGATACTGATGGTCGAGTAATTAATCCCAAGGCTGTCCATAGCGCTAATGTGCGAGCTTAGAGTCCAGTCAGGCATAGGGTCGCCGTCATTTTGTACAAAGTACCAGTTGTAGCTGGGAAGCGTGCTGAGATCATTGCTTGCTTCCAAATGGCCGGAATGGCATGAGAATGAACATCAATGCTATAGTTTGACCCGAGGGAATAAGTTGCATGGCAGCTGACGAACCATGCCGGGATAATTGCCAATAGTATTGTTCGTAAGGGAGAGGGCATAAGATTATTGCACGAACTATTCGAAAGTATCTAGGAGTGTAGTGCGTGATGAGGGGCTAAGACCCCTGAAAAGTAAATATTACTCGGAGCTAAGATACAAGAAGCGAAAGAGGACATTAAATAAGAATAGCGGAAGTTGCTGTGGAGATTGCCCGAGTCAGCATTTTTAGTAAGGGGAAATCGAAAAGGGGAAACAGGACCTAGGGTGAGACTAAGAGATACCGAGGCCAAAAAGTCCGACGCAGGCTCAAATCATCACCTTTAAATACAGCCAGTAAGAACTAGAATTGCCAATTAGGATCTTTCTTAATAACTTCGTCTTGGCAGCGACAGAGTACCTCAGACAGACCTACTACTAAATTTGAAAAGAAGAATAAACCACCAAAATGCCGTTGAATTCAGAAACCATCTATTGGGACAATAGGAAATTACATGCCAATCTTCCGGCAATTTACTACAGGTTAGCGATGCGCGCCTGTCTGGTGGGGGTGGTAAATTAGGATGTTCTACCAGTGCGTGCTGAGGCTGTTCAATAGCCTCGTCCAGAATTCTCCTTCATGGCAACTATTGTACATTTGAGAGCCTGAGCAGCTCCAATTACATCACTGTTATGCAGTCAATAGCTCAGTTCAGCTTTGTGCGTCAACAGGAACTATAGTTGCGTAAATTTTGAAGTCCTTAGGCCGTCTATCCTCAGCTATATAAAGGAGCTCCCTCCTCCCGCCTATGAATCTAACTGCTTCACTAACCAACTCGATCTTATTTTCTTCCCTTTGTTCGATCTCTCCTCGATTGTTTGCGCCCACTATAGATCTCCAACTCGCGTGTCAACTGCCCACTGTGGCTGCACAACGCACATATAATCCAGCCACGGTCCTCCCTAATAGTAACAAATTTCTCAACCACCTCGTCAGATTCCGCGATAACAACAATCGCGAGTATATTCGTTTCTAGCTCACTGCAGCTGGTAATGAAGCTCTCTGTACACTCTGTTATACCCCCCATCGAGCGCCAGGTCTGGTCCTGGCTATGTTACATATTCACGATCCGAGTGATTAACGGTGAAACCTGTGTTAAGGTGGCCCAGGTAAATCAGTGTCTAGAGGGCCTTATATGATTATGCTAATTCGCTCACAGATCAAGATGGCTCGTCCCTCGTACGTGAACGCACTCCTCATCGCTTCTCGTATATCCCGATGCCCAACGCCTGTGAGTATTCCAACTATGGTCGTCCCTTCGGCGGGAATGTACGCCTTCCTGGCACCTTTAATGGTGCATTCGCTATTGCCAATAGTGTGACCATGCTTCCCAATACACGCTTGGGAACCGTAACGAGCGTCAGTATATCTCGTTGGATGCTGGCGAAATCCCTGAGCCATCTCGAGTCGAAATAATAGTTGGCCGAAAAAATGCACAACATATTCATAGAGACTTAGTGGTGGTGAATAGGTGTGGCTTTTTCTTAACGTTGGCTTCCTCCTTTTTTCTTTTTGTGTTTTGCTGTTTTTCTTCTGAGCAGTCACCTAACACCATGGACCACGTAATCTTATATCGTCGATGAAGCCTCAACAAGTGTTATGCGTACCAAAGACCTTCATATTCTATGAATTTATCGTCGGTCGGTCCTGATCAGCCATCAACTAAAAACGTGGAATTAACATAGGGGAAAAGGGAAAGTGAGCTCTGCGTTATAACTTTTCGTATGTTGAGGGTCCAGGATAAGGCACCGAATTGATGCCTCATTCCCAACCTCTGTCGGCATGCCTGTCCAGGGAAACCCTGGGCACTGAGCTTGATATGCGCTTCAAACGCTCTTGTGCAACATTATATTCTACATTCAGAGGATCTTCATGGAAGAACACTGATTGAGACCGATAATAGGGGTTTATTACTGTCAGGGGCTTGCCGCCCGTTCAGGGATAAATACCCCCAGACTCGTATGTAGACAGTTTAACACGATACAGTCAAGTTCAATTCCATCAAGTTCGATTTGTCTAGCAGGCCCTTATTCAATATTCAGTGCTTCATAGTATCCAATCTCAACACAGTTTGTCACTTTCCTATCAAGGCCAATGCCAACGCCACAAATTAAAGGAGTTGTATGTCATCCTTGAGAAGGCTTTTTAGCGAGAGCCGGAGAGGCCTAAAAAAACTGCCCCTTGAGGATTGCCATCTACGATTGTGAGAAAATATATTTCACGCTCTTAAAGTCAGACGTATCCGATTGCGGGCACAAGACGCATTTCAACTCATTGCAAGAGACGCCTTGTTCAGGAACTATCACAAAATCAGTGGCGAAAGGGTGTCTAGCCACTGGACTTTATGTAGATATGATGAGCCAAGAATTTCTGGCTCTCGTGATCGAGCTTCCTGGGATGTTGATTCGTGGCTGTGGGTCTAAATGACCAATTTCAAGTTAACCAACACACCAATCGATAGGACAGGCTGTTCTGGGAAATCACGTTAAAATTGTCGAATGCTTACTGGGGGAGAATGGCAACGAAGCCCATCTTCGATATCGAAACTCCCGCGGTGAGAATGTTCTACATCTAGCATCAAGACTCTGCAACCCACAGATGTTCCGTCTTTTGGTTCCCCGTTTTCAGAAGGGTATCGATGAAGAAGATGACCAAGGCAACACAGCCTTGGTACGAATCATCATGAGCCCTTCGGCGTCGCGGTACAGGTCGGCGGAAATACTTCTCTCGCACCTTGTGCAAAGCAACGCTTATGGGTGCAGTCATTCTTTCGATTGGCAATACAGTGCTTTGAGGGCGGCTTTATTGCGTCGTGATCTTGACATGTGTTGCGTATTGATCTGTGTTGGCAAGATCAGACCGATTTCAGTCTGAGCGTACATACATCAGGTACTCACTTAGTCACCACAGTCACCTGACTCACTTCCCACGCTCTTTCTTCCTTCCTCTTCTCTCTCTCTCTCAGATAGCAGAAGAGAGCAGAAGGTAGCAGCAGATAGCCAATACCACCTGCTTCTCACCCGTTCACGATCATCCTGTACATCTCACCTCAATCTCATATCCAATGGAGCGGATATGCCGCAGTCTACCGGTGTCACTGTGACGAGGGCAGCCAGACTCCCATGCATGTCCTTCTCCAGTGTCCGTTATACACCGAGCCTAGGACCGTGATGTTGAACAAGATCTGGTACAAAACCAATCTGGGGAGAACAACCGATTGTGACACGATCATGTCGTTCGGAGGCCATCCGCTACGTGGCCGAATTCATTCACCGGACAGGACTCCTCGGCCAGTTCATCCACGTGGACTACCAGGATGTTGATGCAAACATTAACACGCCAAAATAACTTGGCAAGGTGGCAGCAGGAGGTGAAGACGCTGGGTGTAAGGAAGAGATCAAAAACCTACAGCGACGAGAGGCGATGGGAGAAATACAACGCCGATGAGGAACGATATCGAAGGAACAGGGCATGTTGAAAAACGGCATGTCAACTGGAGCAGATGCGGAAGCAGAAGCATGGGATGGTGCGGCAATACGGGAATGGGATGTGGCCGCATGGCACGGCGTGTGCTGGCATAAGCCGATTACATTCATTTTGAGCGTTCTATAACGGGTTTTGTGAGATTATCACCTGTTTTTGAATCGCGACATGCAGTGTTTTCTTTGTATTTGTTACTGTTGGGCGTGGCTTTTGGACGTGATCTTGTTTCCGACGGAGGAAGCACCTGCATAGCCATTACGTTCTAGTTGGGCTGCATCAGGTTAATAGAAGTTTGAATTGAATTGAATAATTGAAATGCAGCCAGCCGCGGAGAACTGTTGGCTGTATTATATGGGAACTCAGTATGGACGCGGATATGGCCGCGTCATAAGGGCGGCCTAACACTACGAACACCAAACCGGCCACGACAGGCTGTTTCAGGTTAGGCTAAGGTTCACCACTCAGGAAGTTTGGAAAAACCCCGTGGAATATAAGAGCTTGTATTTACGCTGTGGTTGTAGTCTTCATGTCGCTTCCCATGTAGATTATCCCCTTAGACCAAAATACGGATCCATATTCAGCCTAATGAGTGAAGTCTATAGTCACATTTTATTCTAGTCGGGAGCTCCGTCGCTTGTCACAGATTTCCCCGTGAACATTTATCTGCGTCTCCAGAGCACTGCCTTTTCCGGCGTGGGTAAGTAGGCACTTCCATTGACCTGTTGTAATTCATATATTGTAGTGCTTCCACATTGTCCGCCTTTAACCATCCGGAATTACAAACGACTCGCCATTATTTTATCTGGTTCTCATACATACGTAGCCCTCAGCACTCCGCAGCGATGTAAGGCTACACTGGTATTCGATCTCCATAGCATCCTCTACCTTCCTAATAGCTCAATCTTTATTTCCACTTGTGTAGCTCATTCTCTGTCCAATCCCACAGTTTGTGCTCTAGGTCATTATCAGAAGCATCACGACTGGCCCTTCCACGCACACCAATTGGCTCATAATATTCACCACTGCGCACATCTGGTGCGAACGCGGCCCACAATGGATTTTTGATGCCTTCTCGGATATCGTGCAACCACAGCGGGGAGGTTAACCGGACCATATCCGGATTGAGAGAGAGCGACTCGGCAAACTGCCCAATGAGGGGTGTCTTCGATATGGCCGGGTGCACAGAGACAACCGTGAGATCGGGATGACGCCGAGCTATTGCCCGGGTGTACAGGATGTTGGCCAGCCTGCTTTGAGCGTAACGGGATAATGGCGAAAGGGTCTCTGCAGGAGACTGGAGCAGCTCGAAGTGAATGCCACCAGGGGGTGCCATCCGATGAGCGGTTGAGGTCAGGCTCACAATGCGCACATTTGCTCGCGTATCTCTTTTCTGTGTCTCCAGTAGCAATGGCAACAGATTTTGTATCAGAAGTGCGTGGCCAAGATGATTAGTCGCGAACTGCAGTTCGTACCCGGCAGCGGTCTGCGCGGCAGCAGGTACCATGACTGCCGCATTTAATATCAGGAGGTCCAGTCTCGACGACTCCGCCCGAACGATTTTGGCTGCTGCGCTCACCGTCTCAAGCGAGCTAAGGTCCAGTACGAGGATACTGAGAACACTTTCACTGCCCACTACCTCCTGGATCTCCCTGGCGGTAGCCGAGGCCTTTTCAGCGTTGCGCGCCGCCAGCCATATACGTGCGGGGCGATGCTTGGCCAACTCGATAACGGTCTGTTTGCCAAGACCACTTGTACCCCCAGTCATGAGGATGACTTTGCCATCTAGAGGAGGAATATCGGAGTCTATATTAAAGCTAGATCCTCGGTTGGGAAAGATAGATGGTAGGAACATTGCTTGCCGGGTACCGTGATTAGGGTGTGGTAGGAACACTACTGAACAGGGCCGAGATTGGAAAAAAAGAAATTTGGAAAATTTGGAAAATTTGGAACTATATACGACACTTATACCTTGGGTACAATCAAGTTGATGTGACGCAGGAGACCTGATCTATGTACTGAGATACGTCGAATTCCATATCATTACAGTGGAGACAACGTAATAATACACGTATTCATTAGTCGATGATCAAAGTCAAACAAGTGCCGCGAATTGATGGGTGATTAATGACTTTGCAGTTTGAGTCCCTCCATTAAACCCGTCGCGCTGCACGGCATAATACAGATCACTTTTGCCGGAGCCAATTGTTCTCTAATAGAGAGCTCCGCCAGGTGAGGACCGCTACAAGGCGCTGCTAATTACCACCCTGCAGATCGACGAAAAACCCTGCTCCAAACATTCCGACGCCCTCGAACCCAGAAGAGGCCCGAGTCGCCCGAAGGGCCCGAAGACGAAGCCCAAGGATCACATCCAGCTTGTGTAACTCCAATTAACTTCGCCCCACATGGTGGGTCTTTTGTGCAGTACACGGTCTCCCTTGCGCCACCTGCATATCGGGGCTCAGGTTTTACGTGTCCATTGACCTTAAGATTCACTCACACCGGTCATGTCGGTGGCTGCCGGGGGAAGGGGGACTTATTGATGTTGCAGAGTAGGTCTTCTTCCGCGCGGCACCAGATGCTCAAATCAGGCTGCAGCAATCAAACCTACGGTAGTCATATGCGTAGATTATGCTTTTGATTCTCGTAGCGATGTGCAGATTTCAAGGTGGGTCCCGCCAAGAACTGTAAAGTTAAATTTTATATACTGAAGAGGGGAACGCTCGATGGCAGCACGCGCTGAGACGTGCGGGTCGATTCAGCAGAAAACCCACCACAAAACACACGCGTAGCTGTCAGGAAATAGCGAGAACCCCAAATGTAGGGGTCAGGTCGGGGAGGTGTAAGAAGGTGTATTCTAGAACTAGCTATCCGGCCACTGTATACTGCCGGCTATGTCACATAGTCTGGATGGCACCCATGTAGTAGGGGGAGGGGGTCTCCCCACTACATACATAAACTATCCGGAAAGGGAAATTTTTATGGGAATTTCATAAAAGTTGGGAATTGGAGTAGAATTCGAAAACACCATGGGAAATGCCGCGGTCTAGTCTACTAACGTCCCGTTATCCCTCCCGCGGTGGGGCAAGGGCAAAGGCTTCAGCTACTAACTGTCAGCTACTCCACACATTAGGAGTCGTTCTGTACAGGTGAAATCATGCACATTCTGGTTAAATGAGAAGAAATCTATTTCCATAACGCCATTGAGCTGGAGAAGTATTGGTGTTCTGAATCTCCCGCTCAGGATCCAGTTTGTGTGAATTAAACCCTCTCTGTGAAGGGCTACGGCCGAATTGCGTCAATTAGGCGGTTCCAACATGCAGTTTATCTAAAGCTTGAAGACGAGAATAAACACAGAGGGGAATCAGCCGTGTGAAGACGCCAGGGAGCTAGGGGAAGACATTGTGTACAGGCCTAGACTGGACAAAGGATCGGGCACTAGCCCGTTACACTATCGGTCCCATACTGATTGGCACGATCAGGTACATAATGTCTCCATCGCGGGACACTAGAAAGATCGGATATTGGATAATTGATCCTTACCGCATAAATATTCGTCGCAGCTTACCACTGATGGGCTAAAGCAAGACTTGATTCAGTCCAACTAGGCCATATTCGTTTTACCGAAGCTTGAAGGAAAGTCCCAGGAAAGAGATGGGGGTGGGGACAGTGCAGTATAAATGTTAGAGCGGTCAGTCTTGCCCAGGGAATCCCTGCCCAATGTGCAGCCATTGCGTGCCTCTCGTATCGTCATCCCGATGCAAGGAGAAGTTGTGGCCCAACGGTGTGGATGCGAGAGCAATCAAGGACGTGTACATGATCCCTATCGGGCCCTGGCCCGCTACATCTCTCGGCTTACGATACTATATAGTAATATTTCTATAGCTCTGTTTACTTATATCATAGACTTTAGACCGTTGTATTTGGGATTGTTGTCTAAAAGTTGCCATATTAGACCAATGAGATACGTTTCTGGATTTAAATCCGTAAGTAGACTATAGGGGTTATTCCAATGTTATTGGGTAGGTAAATGTCATGCATGGTGAGATGTGATGGATGGAATTCCACTTTCAGCTTTAAACTCAAACGATGTCATGTTCCAATCCAATAGCCCTCCTAGGATCTCCGAATGAGAGCGTTAGAGATCGTCATGGCAGAGGTTTACATAGGACTGCATCCGTGTTGGGATATCCTTCTCCCAGAGCTGAACACTATTCAGATACTGGCTGACAAGTTCGCATCGTTCCTCGCTAATAAAGGGGAGAATAGCCGACAGGGCGCTGAGCTCAGCCCATCGGCTGTTTTGTTCGACACAGGACATCATTGCCCGAAGTTGCACCTCGTCCTGACACATGTGGCCACCGTTGAGCTTGTCTTCACATTTTTCACGCAAGCTCTCGAACACCCTATCCATAAAGTCGGCAAGGGCTTCCTGTCCTTCGTTGATCTTGGTGTGTACAGTACCATCTTCAATCAAGCCACGCATCAACTCTTTCCCATGGCTGGCCCAGTCGAGCGATCGGGGCTGACAGCCAGCTTTGCACGAGTTCTCCTGTATGACTCTGGCGAAGCGAGGCGGGTCCAGGCTGTGGAGAGCTTCCAGGCAGTTAAAGCCTAGGGCAGCACTAGCTACCGGAATGAGGGGAACGCTGGCAGCGGAAAGGATGGTCAATATTTGGGTAGAACGCATGCTGAGCGAGTTGGGTGGTTTGAAGTAACCGACGAATGAAAACAGAAGACTCTGTGGCTGGTTTGAAGTCTGAAGGGTGAAGTTTTCAGGTTGAATGGAAGTGAACAATGGGAAAGAGGTAATAAGATTGCTCAAAGTCTGGAATTGTCCGTATACGTCCGAAACGCAGTCGGGTTTAAAAGATCTGGAGGAACAGGAGCTTTGGTGCAAGCCACATACTTAAATCATCGGATAGAGGCCGTCAAATACGATAGACTAAATAATAGGGTTCAGCTCCTTACATTAGCCCCATTGTCCGCGTCATTGCATTTGACGATACCTTCCCGTGTACCCACAGCATTCGGGACTATTTAATCTCAGCTCGCCCAAAAAAAAAGAGATCGACTCCATGAGCGCCCCGCATGTGAGAGATCCTCGGACATATCACTATTGTTGAATAAGATTCTGACGTTGACTGATGTTTATACATCGAAAAAGAAAAAGCACCCCTCCTTAGTTAGACACATAGCTCATATAATTGACACTGGCCAACATTCTTTCACATTTGTCTTCTTTCTTACAGTCCATATTATTTCCTTTTCTCATGCTCACATCGTTATGGATGATTCGCTTCATATCAATAGTATCAGCACGGGCAAATCCGATGCAGACCACCCCCCGGCCATGGAACCAGTTAGTGGACATCCTCATGTCAATGGCACACTTCCATCACAATCGCTGCAGATGACTTCTAATGGGGACCTCCCCGCCACCCAGAAGAGCGGGCGGAATCCGTGGCCCTTGAAGTCAAACCCGGTTGCCATCACGGGCATGGCCATGAAACTCCCTGGAGGAGTCCGAACTGCAGAAGGCTTTTGGGACTTTCTTATCCAAGGAAAGGATGGCCATTGCCAAGTGCCGGCGACTCGCTATAATATGAGCGCGCACCATAGCACGACCCGCCCCGACTTAGTACGAACAGCTGGTGGCTACTTCCTGCAGGACGACCCGGCGAAGTTTGATGCAGAATTCTTCCGTCTCCGACCTCAACTCGTGGCTGGACTTGATCCTCAGCAACGACTTTTGCTGGAGGTCGTGTGGGAGTGCATCGAGAATGCGGGCGAGACTAACTTGGCTGGCAAAAATGTTGGCTGCTTCGTCGGGGCGTTTGGGAACGACTGGATGGAGCTGTCGGTGCAGGATCGACAAGATTATGACCGAAATCATGTCGCCTGCAACCACGACTTTACTTTGGCGAATCAGATTTCGCGTTTGTTTGACTTCACAGGGCCTAGGTTGGTGATCAAATCGAGATCAAGCGGACCCTTAGTGACATTCGTTAACGTCTTCTTAGTGTTACGTACCGAACAGCGTGTTCGTCCTCCATGACAGCCTTGCACCATGCTTGCCAAGCCGTCGATTCTGGCGAGTGCGAAATGGCAGTGGTGGCCGGGGTCAACCTCATTCTGACTCCCACCACATCTACCTCTATGTCAGCTTATGGTGCTATCTCGCCTAGCGGCCTCTGCAAGACCTTCGATGCAAGCGCAGATGGATACGGGAGAGGCGAAGCCGTGAATGCCATATTCATCAAGAGGCTCGAGGCTGCAATGCAAGGAGAAGATCCGGTCAGGGCGGTTATTCGTGCAACTGGGATCAATTCCGACGGAAATTCACCAATGGTGGGCGTCCCTCGACCGGAGACCCAAGAAAGACTCATCAGAACGGTTTATGAGAAAGCGGCTATCGGTGACTTCTCACAAACAGCATTCTTTGAGTGCCATGGGACTGGGACTCAGAAGGGCGATGTAATAGAGACATCCGTGATTGCAAAGATCTTCAAAAATGGACTTCTGATGGGCTCGGTGGGTCACTCACATCAAACGTATCATTTTATCATTGAGTACTAATGTTGTCATTTAGGTCAAGCCAAACATGGGACACTCGGAGGGTGCGGCAGGACTCACCAGTGTAATCAAGGCTGTATTAGCTCTTGAACACCGGCTAATCCCGCCCAATATACACTTTCACCATCCCAATCCGAAAAGTAAGTTAGCAGAAAGGCGCATTCAACACGGAAACGGAATCAACCGATTGACTGGTCAAAGTTGCTTTCGAAAAGGATGGACTAAGAGTTCCCCGCGAGCTCACTCCTTGGCCAGATGGTTGCGCCGAACGAGTCAGCGTCAATTGCTTCGGTGTTGGAGGGTCCAACGCACATGTAAGCTTCTAGACTTTCCCTATTGACCTTTGACTAAGACCTCAGGTCATTCTTGATTCGGCATCTTCCATTGGCGCGATAAGGCCACGCATCAATGGCGTCAGCGTTTCCCAGGGATATAAACTTCTTCCCATATCGGCCAGCTCGGAAGAATCGCTCAAGTGGAGAGAGGTTCAAATACGTGAATATCTTGAAAATCACCCGGATGCGCTCCTGGACCTTTCTTATACTCTGGGAGCTAGGCGAGATCATCTGTGCTCTCGCGGGTTTCTTATAGCAAGTGATAAATCCATAATTCAAGCTCACCAGGTCCACCTCCCCTGCGTTAGTACTTGTCGAGAAGTCACATTCGTGTTCCCTGGCCAGGGAGCTCAGTGGCCGGCAATGGGCAAGCAACTGCTCAACCAGTTTGATCATTTCCGCAACGACGTCAAGAAAATGGATGAAGTGTTGCAATCACTTACAGACCCACCAAGATGGAGAATCGAAGGTACACCCTTTACTCTGTCCTTTAACAAAGACTTAAATATATCTAACTTGATATAGGGGTCTTGTCCGATGCTAGTGACTCCTGGATTGAGGACGCGGAGCTTGCACAGCCATTATGCACAGCAGTCCAGATAGGGCTTGTCAATCTTCTTTGTCACTGGAGCGTCCGACCAGACTCAGTCGCCGGGCACTCAAGCGGTGAGATTGCAGCAGCCTATGCTGCAGGTGCCATCTCACTGCGGTCAGCCATCATTCTGAGTTACTATCGCGGTACAGCCACAAAATTGCAGAGCGAATCCGGTTATATGGCTGCCGTGGGCATGGGCAAATCATACGTTCTCCCTTATCTCACAAAGGGTGTTACAGTGGCCTGTGAAAACAGCCCTCGAAATGTTACACTCTCTGGCGAATCTGACAAACTAGATGATGTTATGCAAAACATCGCATCAGACCACCCGACTTGTCTTTGCAAACGCCTTCCCGTCGGAGTTGCATATCATTCTGGTAAGTCTTTAGCATCCTAGAATTGCTTCTGAGGAATGAACTAAGATGTAGCAGATAGTATGGCTAAGAGTGCGCGGCAATATGCTAAAATGGTTGGGCCTTACCTTGATCCGAATGAGTCGATGGTTCCAATGTTCTCCTGCGTAACTGGTCAGGATATCTCATCACCCAAGGAGTTAGACACTACATACTGGCGTCGAACAATTGAGTCACCTGTCCTATTCCATCAGTCAATCAATTCACTGCTTCAGTCTAGCCAGACTGGCCGGGTGATTGTCGAAGTAGGGCCTCAGTCACTACTTTCGGGCCCATTGAACCAGATATTTGAGGCATCTGAACAAAAGTCGCTGGTAGCATATATCCCGACTCTCCTCAAAGACAAAGATCCGATGGAATGCTTGTTGTCTACGGCGGGCGGGCTATATCAGCAACATGTGCCTCTAGATTTTGTTGCAATTAATGGGCCGGGCAAAGCTCTCACAGATCTTCCTCTGTATCCATGGCAGCATAACAAGAGGTACTGGTATGACACTCGGATCGCACGAGAGTGGAAACACGCGCAATTTGCACCCCATCCACTCCTAGGCTATCGTTCACCGGAATCGTCAGCTGTTGAGCCTTCCTGGAGGAATCGCCTCCAAATCAAACATGTTCCTTGGTTGTCAGATCACAAAATTGGGAATGACATCGTTTATCCGTGCGTCGGATATATCTCAATGGTCGGCGAAGGAATCCGCCAGATCACCGGCTCTACGAGTTTTTCAGTTCGAGAACTTTTCATCACAGCCGTGTTGAATTTGAAGGAAGGGAGCCCGATAGAAATTGTGACCAATATTCGTCCACACAGGCTTACCGACAGCGTTGATTCGCTATGGTACGACTTCACTATCTCTGCTTGGGATGGCAAAAACTGGCAAAAGCACTGCTCCGGCCAAGCAAAGGCAGGCAAGGACATCAAATGGGACAATTATCCAGAGTCTAAAGATTTTGTCCCAGGTACCCGAGATGTTCAATCCAACCTGTGGTTTGACAGCCTAGAGGCGTTAGGACTGGGTTTAGGGCCGAGTTTCCGCAGACTTGAGGACATCACTGTCGATCCGACGAACTACTATGCAGCTGCAAGGGTGAGAACGAGGAACCAATCTAAGGCCGACGATGGACATTGTATTCATCCAGCGGTGATTGACCAAGGCCTTCAATTGCTGGGTGTTGCATCATGCAACGGGCTTCCTCGTCGTATGTCCAGCATTGGAATCCCAGTGTACATCGACAGTATCTATATCTCAGATGCTACTGAGATGATTTCACTGCAAGCTGTCTTTTTGAAGAGCGAATCGGGCTCATTGAGATCCGCCCTGGGAGGGTCCGTGATGGGACGTTCAAACGGCGGCGTGGCCTTCGCTCTGGAGGGAGTTAGGTTCATTCCCTTGAACAAACCGAAGGTTTCCACTGGAGCCAAGATCCCACTGGGATCTCGCCTAGACTGGAAGCCAGACATTGATCTTCTAGCTGGCAAAGACTACTTGTTCAAGTCGATACAACACACATCTTTCATGGAGGTGGTGGCCAAGCTGACAATTGTCATCGTTTTGGATTTTGTCGATCGCATGGGGTTCAGTTGTTCGGCTTCGGCTTTGGACTCCAAACAATCTCAACCGTGGATACAAGACAATTACGATAGACTTCGAAATGTCATGATGTGCTTTTTCCCAGACATTGTGGATGGTTTTCGGGATCCAGTTTCCCTTCATTCAAAGTTGATTTGTGACCTCGAAGCTGCGACAGAGTCGTCGGAGTCGTGGATTCAGCCCATTCGTGGCTACCTGACAAAGGTCCTTGATGCACTCGATGACCAAGTTTCCTTAACGGAGCTTTTCATGGACCACAGTGGTTTCAAATCGCTATATGAGTTCACAGCAACAAGCGTCGACCTGGGCTATACATTCTCATTACTCGGCCACGCCAATCCCACCATGACTATTCTAGAGATCAATCCAGGCACATGTGGTACAACATCAGGAGCATTGGCAGCTCTAAAATCTGAGGAAGGAACTAGTCTTTTCTCCAGATACACATTTGCCTCCCAGTCCTCTGATCTCTTGACTGAAGCAAATGAGCAGTTTGGGAACATTGATGGGTTCTCAACAGCCGTTCTTGATCCAAAGCTTCCAATTTCTGCCCAGAGGTTCAAGCTCAAAAGCTATGATCTGGTTATTGTCCCCAGTGTGAGTTGATAGTGCTGTATACCAAGATAGTGTGCGCTAACCTGTGCTACTTCAGAATCTGCCCAAACTTTTCGACTCAGCAATACTGATGCAGGATGTCAAATCTTTGCTTACTCCAGGAGGCAGGGTACTGGTGCGTGAGGTCACTCCGCGTAAGTTTAAAAACGAGCTTTCATGCACTGGGCCACGAATTCTAACACTCGCAAAGCCGTTCCCATTATCGATTACTTCATGGTATAGTGGACCCACGCTCTATATAAGTTCAAGGCCAGCTAGCTAACATGACTACAGGGTATGATGCCGGCCCCTTTTACCCTGCCGCATGATCTTCATCTGCCAATTCCGTTCCCTTCTGAATTTTGGGAGTCTGAACTCCTCGCGGCTGGCTTCATGCAGCCTGAGCATCACTCTGGCAGCATGTCCATGTACCCCTGGTCGATGAAGCAAGCGATTCTCGCGAAAAACACACTCCAGGAACCTCCTAAAGACTCCATATATCTTCTTTGTCCCCCAGAGAGTCATCCCTGGGTAGATATAGTGAGGAGTAATTTCGAAAGTGAAGGGTACAAGATCTACTTGACAACCCTGGAAAATCTTTCAAAAGAGATCACTCCTCTGGAAAAGGGTAATTTCATTTCTCTATTAGATTTGAATAGCCCCTTTTTTGCGGATTTATCGGCTGAGAAATACAATGATTTCCTGAAATATATGACAGGGAAGAGGCGAACGCTGTGGGTCAGCAGACCTTCACAAATGCAGTGCGACGACCCATCATCCGGTTTGATCACGGGCTTCGCGAGAACCGTTCGACTAGAAGCCTTAGTTGAATTCGCAACATTCGAAGTCGACAAATTCGACAAATGCGCTGCCGGCGCCCTAGTTAAGGTGTATGAAAAGATCCGCCGAGAATCTCTCCAAAACCGCTGGGATCCTGAGTGCGAATTCGTCCTGCAGAATGGCGTCGTTCATATTGGTCGCTTCTACTGGCTACCTTTTGAACAGCTGACACCTCCCATGGCGGAGGACAATCCAATGTCTCTCGCGGTTGAAAGGCCGGGAAGTCGGGATTCAATTGCCTGGAAGCAGCAGCAGCTTCCCGACCTTGGAAATGATGATGTTGAGTTGGATGTGCACTACGCTGGAATGAATTTTCGAGTATGTCGGACCTTCTGTGTTTTAGGCTCATCGCTGACGTGACAGGATATAATGGTGGCTTTGGGCGCAATTGATGGAGAGCGAGGACTCGGTCTTGAAGCTAGTGGCGTGGTGCGCCGGGTTGGAGCTGAAGTCACTCACCTTCAACCAGGTAACAGGGTCACTGCCCTTGGTACTGGACTCTATACCTCGCGGTTGGTGATATCTAGCAAGATGTGCTTCCCAATTGCTAGTGATATCTCCATGGAAGACGCGGCTACAATCCCCGTTGCATATGCAACGGCCATCTACTCCCTACTTACTGTTGGACAACTGGAACGAGGCCAGGTGAGATATTAAAATATCATTTGGAGAACAAGTGTTGCAGGAGCTAACAGACAGTCACTAGTCGGTGCTGATTCACTCGGCTTGTGGTGCAGTTGGGCAAGCGGCGATCCATATTGCCCGAACTATGAAAGCAAAGGTAAGTACAGAAACGCCTAGGATGCCCAAATTTTGTTAACCGGAACGAAAAGATATACACGACCGTGGGCACATCTCAAAAGGTGGAGTATCTGGAAGAAACGTTTGGAATTCCACGGGAAAATATTTTCCATTCCCGAGACACCTCCTTTGCCAGTGAAGTCATGAGCGCTACTGGGGGAAAAGGTGTCGATATCGTCCTGAATTCCCTCAGCGGGGAGCTACTTCACGCGTCTTGGAACTGCGTGGCCAAATTCGGTAAGATGGTGGAAATCGGGAAACGCGACTTCATGGGCCATGGGACCATGAAAATGGAGCCCTTCGGAGGCAATCGCACCTTCGTTGGGGTGGATCTTCTGCAAGTCATGCTGGAGAGCCCGGCCCGGTTCCAACGGTGAGTATTGGGTACTTGAGACTCTCTGGTGAGGTCACGGCTAACCTTGGTTCTCGTCAGGTTGTGTGACATATTCACTCGATTGAGTATAAGAGGGAAGATTCAGCCAATTCGACCCGTGAAGATTTTCGATGCCTCAGATGCTCGAGAGGGATTCGCATACATGCAACGAGGGATACACATGGGCAAGATCTTGATCCGGTTCACGGCCGAGAATGCCGTGACCAATATCCCAAAAGCTATCACCATCGCACCTACAGTATCCTTTAGGCCAAACGCGTCCTACCTCATAGTAGGTGGTCTGGGAGGAATTGGACGTGCAGTGGCAAATTGGCTAGTCGAAAATGGCGCCCGTCACCTAGTCTTCCTCTCTAGATCTGGAGCGCGCTCACCGAAAGACCAGGCTTTTCTCCAAGAGCTTCGATCTCAGGGTTGCCAACCGATCGCGATTGCTGGAAGTGTCACAAATATGGATCATGTGAAGTGTGCTGTGACAGCAAGTCCCATGCCAATCTCCGGCTTGATTCACCTAGGCATGGTTTTGAAGGTGAGTGAAACCAATTGAACCATCCCTAATGGTACTTTTCACCACACCGTCCGGCTCACATGATATCTACTAGCCTGCGCCGCTTCTCGAAGCCAGCTACGATGATTGGATGGCAGTCCAAGATCCCAAAGTAAAAGGGTCCTGGAACCTGCACTGTGCTCTTGGCTCTGCGAAGCTGGATTTCTTTGTGGTCATGAGTTCCATCGCCGCAGTTTGTGGTAGCATTGGACAAGCGAGCTACGCCTCGGCCAACTCATATCTTGGCTCCTTGGTCCGTTTTCGCCGGTCCCTAGGATTGCCAGCTGCCACACTCGATCTAGGTGCGGTTGGTGATATCGGCTGCTTCAGCCAGGAGCCGAAATGGCTGGCACAAGCTCGTCAGTGGGAATTCCAACTGTTGGACGAGGGGCAGGTAATCGAGGCGCTACAGACAACTATTTGTGCGTCCCAGGCACCGTATGGCAACAACGGTACGTCTGCCTCAGGTCAGATTATTGTGGGCATGGGCACCACCCGAACTGACCCGGATGTTACTCAACGTATCCCCTGGCGTGATGCTCGCTATCGCATCTTTGCAAACATTGGATTGGAAGGACAGAATACTACGGTAGACAGCATTTTTGAGCTGACGAGGCAGTATCTGGTCCAAGCCCAGCAAAACCCAGCCCTTCTGGAACAGCCACAGTCGTACAATATTTTTCTCGAGTACATTGGGCACCATATGAACTTCAAGGTGGGAAATGAAACCGAGAGGGCTCAGGTCGCGAGAACTTCCATTGATTCAATTGTCATGATCGAGACTGTCGGTCATTTCCGCCGTAACTTCGGGGTCGAAATACGCTTGACCAGTCTCGTTGGCGCGACCAATATCGGCGAGCTTATACGACTGATCCTGGCGGAGCTCAGCCAAAAAGCGAAAGAGTCCGAGTGAAGAACTACTCATACCTAATTGGTAGGTGGATCATCAATGCATATTTTATTGGGTTATCGCTGCAGACCTCGTAATCGATTTTTCCACATGTGTGGCCTAGCTGGGGGTTTCATCATCTATCCATCCGTAGCGATCCTCTCAATCGACCATAGTCAATCCTCGGTACAATGGGTCGACGGATGAATGATTTCATTACCTTGATTCCTCGCCGCTGTTACGGGCCGTTCGAAAGAAACAGATTCATTCGGTGCCTACAGGACGCGAATCTCAAAGATGAAGAAGGAAGGAGAAAGAAAGCAAGTCCACCAGAGAAAGAGGGGTTAAGTCCCCAGCAAACGCGTAGTGCAAACGACCTAATATTATACCTCAGGCATCCTTCCACGAGACGAGGCTATTCCCAGGTTCATCCGTCACAAATTTCAGGAATCCTGACGCCGGGATAGTTCCACAACGCATTCGACGGCTTTGTTGAAAAATCCCTCACGAACCTCGGTTTCTGCTTCGGTTGCTCGATGAAGATTGAAGAGACGAAAGAGAGTGGCCAAGCCCTTGACAGCCTCCATCCAGGCGAAACTAGAACATCGGCCTTGTCAGTCATCTGACGGATCAGGTGCTACTTGGCGGACTTACTTTCGCCCAATGCAGGCCCTGGGGCCAGTAGAGAAGGGAAGAAAAGAAATGAGAAGCGATTCGGCGTTTCCCTCTAACCATCTTTCTGGGCGCAAGGCGAACGGGTCTGGAAATACGATCTCGTCCTGCATTACACATTGTGTTGGGACGCTAACAATGGTCTAGCGAGCAGTGTCAGTAATAGATGGATCTACCCTTATCCTAAGATACTTACCCCTTCCGGAATAAGGGCCCCTCCAATGACCCTGCCCCCCTTTGGGGTCACGCGCTCCAACCCTGTTGCACTCGTCGGCCGAATACGCATAACCTCCCTCAAAGTCGAATTGAGCAAAGGAAGGGTTCCTGCTGTGGCATTGTCAGCCACCCAGTTTGGGCCCAGTGGCCCTGGATATTTAGCATCAAGCTCCTTTTGGATCTGCTTCAGAAGTGTCTTGTCTCTTGACACAAAGTCAATGAAATTGGCCATTGTACTGCTGGTCGTATCGCTACCGCCGACGATAAAACTGATCGACTCGGCGATAATTTCTTCCTCTGGCAAGGGCTTTCCGGTATCGGGATCTTTAGCTGCGAGTAAATAGGATAATAAATCTCGACGGTCGCTGGACTTGCTGTGTTTTCTCTCAAGATACGCCCGTCGACCGAAAACCTCAAGATTAGCCCCAGCCATGGCACCCCGTTTCCAGAAAGGATCAAACGGATGGTACTTCATGAAAGGGCGTAGCCAGCCTGGTATAGATCCTAGTGCATTGAAAACTTCTCCGCGTTCATCAATAGCCTGGATGAGGCCATAATCATCGTGGCATTTCTGAATAAAGCCGAAAGGTTTTCCAAATGAAAAGCTCCCAATAACATCAAAAGCAAGATAATTCGCTTTTTATACCTCAGTCAGAATGCTTCGAGAAATTATGGGCTATAGCTTGGAAGTGAAGCACTTACTCCATATCGCGAAGTCAACTTTGGCGCTTGTTCCATGAGTCATGTCGAGCAGCCGCGACTTCCATAAGCAAATTTCCTCGTCCATATGTGGCTCAAAGTCTCGGAGAGCTCTGGCTGAAAATGCAGGGTTCATGTACTTTTTCTTCCTCTGATGTACGTCCACCTCGCGAGTATTGAAGAGGCCTGGCTTGACCTGAACGAACGCCTCGTAGAAGCTTGCCTTCAGGAAGCCGGAGTTGTGGCCGTAAACCTCATTTGCCGCTTGGGAGACGTTGATAGAAATGTGATTGGGCGCAATGCGGACGAATTTACCATATCTTTTGTGAAGACTCAGAACAGCGGTGGTTCTTTGAGTGGAGTGACTTTGCTTCACGAGCCAAAATGGGGAAACTTTCGCCCAGAAAGGACCAGGGAACCTGGAAAGACTCGAGAGATAAACGGAATAAATAACATATAGGAATGTCTTCATGGAGTAGACAGACTGTGTTAGCGGGTGAGCCTTCGTTTGCGAGCTGCATGACATACCGTCAAGGAGGCCAGTGTTAAAAGAAGAACAAAGTGTTCGCCATAGCTTTTGGTGCCTAACGCTAGATACGCTTCCCGCACAACAGCAACCATATCAAGAATATGTTAAGCTGCCACTTTTTTTTGGTTAAGTGCGATAGGGAGTGATTTCTTTTGACGATACCGCGTTCAAAGAGGAGCTTCGAAATCGTTACTTTACGAGGATATGCTCGGAGGAGAGCACGACTTTAAATAACTAAGGATAAGGATGATTCTCGGCAGAGTTTGAATGCCGAAGGTGATTTTGTCCGGACGACGAGATACCTGAGGGCTGCAATAATCCACTCCTCTTTGTTGGAAATGTTCAGGTATTCCTACTATAGATCCGGTAGTTCTCGGCTATTCAGTTCCGAAAGTACTGTCCTAAAGCCATAACTATTACATTCGCAGGGATAGCAAGTGACTTATGATTTCCATCGTAGCCCGGCCGGCCCCCCGCATCCAATCGTCCTACCGAAGATTCTCTTATTCAAGCCAATTTTCATCCTCCCCGCCTCCCCACCCCACCCAATGAGAATTCTGCACAAGCACGACAGCCAATCAGCCAGATACCCGCGCTTATCGCTTATCAGGCCAGCCCAGGCTACCCCGACTTCGGAACAGTACAACCGCAAAGTTTGTCAACCGGAAGAGCGAGCAAAAACAAAAACAAATTGTAAATTATAGGGAGAAGTTTTATTGGGGTTGCCTCACGTTGGCCACGCTGTCTCACGTGACATCTACACCGACATTTCGGAGGGCTCCTTTCCTCCTACAACTGCCTCTGAAGAGTCAGTTGCTTGCCTCTCGTGGTAGCTTGTCGTCTCTCAAGCAGTCAAGACTCGATTTTGTCCCTCCCACCTCCCCTCTGTATATAGAAACCAGCATTGCAATATGCAGACACATTGCCTCCCTACGAGGGAGCGCGGACGGGCCTTCTCTGACGCTACAGTCTAATGCGTTTACGCATAAGACCGCAGCGACAGGTAGGCCTCGGCGGAAACATTTGGAGGGCCCGTCCCCCCGGCCCTCCGCCCCGGTCCTCCGCCCTTACCTGCCCTCGTTTGCAAAAAAAAAGGCAACCTTTCCGAATTAGGGTGGATAAAGTTGCTGATTCATTCTATTAGATTCTATGAATGCCTCCCGACGTTGTAGACTTGTATTAATAAAGACTGTAAGCCCTTAGATTGTATTAATAAAGACTGTAAGCCCTTAGATCTTTAGTACTTTTTTTTAGTCCGGATGTAGACGGGATTAGTAGATAGAAGACATGCCTTTTTTAATATATCTGTGATAAGAAAGGAAGCGCTGCTCAAGCTCAATCGGGAAGAGGTTAATCGACATAATTTCGCAGTTTTTGCAAATCTTGAAGGCATGAGTCATTGAGTATGATATCCCCGCCCTGTAAGTCCGAGAGGTCGCAATCCGACGACTTGGTGTGTACATAAAAATGCTCCCAATACACATGGCCGTAGTGGTAAAAGGATTTTCCCCACTGTAAGGCCAAAGCACAAATGCGGTCTGCATCCACGTCGGGACAGGCAATCGTCTGCGACGAACCCACCACGGCGGCGCCGGTGGAGTCGGACCCGGAAAGCTTAAGTTGTGCGTGAAGACTTCGTGTTGCACGTATAAATCTGGGTAAAGTGCGCTCTGGCGATCGGTAGCGCAGTAATTTCACATGAAGGATTGACGTTTCCAAATCCTTTCCGCGAAGCACCTTAGTTTTTCCTCAGAGATAACTAGGTCTTTTTGCTGGGGTTAACGGGAGTTCGGTTGAGGATTTTTTGGAGCGGAAGCGCAAGTTGGGTTGCTGAAGAGCTTGCTTCATTCACGTAACTCTCACCCGTCACTGATGTCTTGTTGCCGGCTCGGAAGAGCTTCAAGGATGTAATGATGCGTGCCGTAGAGAAGTGTGATCGAGTGCGAGTATTAAGGCCTCGATCGTCCCTCTCCCATTGTTGAAACATAATGTCAGGTTTATCCCGTGAAATACTAATAGTAAGTGTAAGCTGAACAGTCGAAGATTCGCTCTCTAGTCATCCTCGTGCGTCGAGCCTCAGGTGTCCCGCTGACTCTGTTAGGCCCGTCTCAACAACAAAGGTCAAAGGCGGATTTGGAGCTTGAAGTGTTGGACTAAAACAGGAATCGGCTTCTTTTCTCCAATTACCGAAAGTGACAGTCATGGTCCCATATGGCTGAATTTCTTAGCCTATATTTTATAGCATCCATCTCCTGTAGGAGTAGGTGATCAAATATGCGAATTACGATCTCATACACGCAACTTGGCATCACTTTGGCCACTAAAGTCCCTGTTGCAACATCGAAAGAGAGTCTGCAAAACTTGCTCACTCGACTTTGTTCATGGCTCAAGGCAGAGGCTTGCGGCAGTGGGACGGAGGTAAAAAGGAGATATTGTTCGCGGGTTTCGTCTTCAAATAGCTCTCCGTGTTGGCGATTCAGTGCGTTTATCAGGTCCTCCTTACTCGTAAATTGCTGTTGGTGCTTGACCTGGTTCGCGAGTTCCGTCAGTGGGTGCTCAGTCTCGGAGTTCACTGGGGAAACCCAGCCGACGAGAGCTCGGAAGAAGAAGGCGTCTTTGTTGGTCGTTCGACTAAGCGTTTCGTCGGTCGACCTGTTCTCTCTATAGACCATGACCTTTCCCATTCGATTTTTGCCTCGCGGCGAATGCGGCTTTTAGCTGCAGCTGCAAGGCGAATATAACGATTGTTTGGGTTTTGTGGTCCTTCTGGTTCCTGGGCCGCCTCCTTTGCGTGTCGGTCGACACGTTCATTGCCGGCCACTCCTTGATGAGCAGGTATCCACCTGAGGTGGATTTGATGGCCATTGGCTGCGTGTTGCCTTACCAGGTGGAGGCATTCTTCCAGGTAGACCTGTCCTGATGGCATCCGTGGTTGGCGGAGCGCCTTCAATGCCCCTTGGCTGTCTGCAAAGATGACAAACCCGTTTCTCGCCTGTGCCGCCCACGGTTCCGTGGTCTCCAAGATTAATTTGAGTGCCATTTCGATGGCACTGAGCTCGGCAGCGTATAAAGTGGACGTTTCTTCGCCGCCCATTATTTCATCCATAGCCTATTATGTTCATTTACAGAACTTCGAACGACGGTCACTGCAGCGTCTTCAACATGTTGACATGTTATGGACGAGAGAGGAAGCGCTCTATATCAATATTCGCTAGAAGTAGACTGGGAAGTTCGATTGCGCTGACTATAGTATTAAAAACAGACCACATGAGAGGCTAGACAAAACGTTCGACCGTGAATCCACACCTAGTCATGTCCAAGTCTCCGGCCAAGCCCAGACGCCACGCTCCTATACACCACTTGTCTCGACCAATAGGTTCAAACCGATACCAATCTGCAATAGAGTCCGATGCTACTTGCTGCCAGTCAATACGCACGTCCAATTCCCTCATGAAATTGTCCAGTCGCACGAGGATCTCCCAGCAAATCTTTAGATAGTTTCTCAAACCCTGCCCACCACCATTTTTCAAAGGATCCGCGGGAGGGCTCTGAGTAGCAGTCGGCCAGCCCCCGAGGCCGATAATTGCGCTGTAGCCAAAGAATTGCCAGTGCGGAATAGACCAAGCATATCCTGGCTTCAAGGGGCGGTAAGGTCCAAGGGCATGACAATTCTTTCCCTCCGATAGCATTGACTTGTAAATAGGCGTGGAACGGTAGTCTTTCCGTCGGATAAATTTTATCGGCACCCATTCGGCGGGAGGCAATTCTGCGGTCGTCAGGGGCGCGCTAGGATTACCAAAGGGCCAGCCAGTTCGGTATCTTTCAAGTTCCCTTTCATATCGATCTGTTCGCACCATCTTCTCATCGAAATACGACTGCCACGCATTCTCACCCTCTGCGTACCATTCTGGCTTGCAGTAGAGCACGTTCATTCCAATATAGAAGTCCACCGTTCGTTCCATCAGCTGCTTTAGTCCGCAATGGTCATAATGGTCATTCCAGGACCACATTCTCTTTACCGTCTCCGGAGCGTATCGGGCGATCTTAAACAAGGTCTCCATTTCACCCAAGATAAGCCACATCGTCAACACGTCGGTCGTCTCCGCGTGACCACGCCACCAGTCGACATTTTTCCAGCACCGAGCAGAGCGCGGGGCGTTTCGTTTTTTCTGCAGTTCTTCGTCGTAGGCAGCGATTTCTTCTTCGGTTCGGATGACGTTTCCAGCCCAGTCCGTGGAATAGCTCCGGGTCGAAAGTTGTGGTAGCGGAAAGGGGGGCTTATCAGGCCCGACATTGCAATTCTTAGCCTTTCGTGTCTCATCTCTAACTTGATAGAAGAGATCATTTAGACGCTGGATAGCTGTCTCGCTCACAATGTCATCGTCGTCTTCGATGCTCGTCCGCACGTTGATGGCTGGCGAGTACTTGCAGCGTTCCGTGGCGGAGAACTCGGTCAACGCACGGGCGAATGCAACAGTGAAATGTGTGATCTGCTTTCCCTGGCGCGGCTTATTCAGTGGCGCCAGAAGATACTTGCACTTGCCCACTCGTCTCTGTTCAAAGTTGGCCGCTAGCGTATGCCATGGAAGGGAGTGTGCCTGATGGGCCATGGCACTCGGGGTAAAAAAGGTAGTAGGTTTTTTCGAATGTCCCACCTCTTCTTCTTAAAGTATATTTGGGCGAGTATTGTTGTGGATGCATGATGTGGAGGAAACAGCAGAGTCAGCCAAAAGGATACGCATGACTCATCAGATCTCGTATTAGGAAGATCGGCAAGCGCCGCGTGTTCCTATTAGGCACAGCTTTGTTCCCGAACCCTAGCCTTAAACACTCGAGTCTGCGGTACGAGTCGAAGGGCCAGAGATACTTCAGTTAGTCCCAAGTTCTTGCGGATATATTTGATATCGTTCGCTTGACCATTTCAGACGTGCTTATCGACTGGCTTTATAAACTATCATGAATATAAAGTGTACATAACTTTGAGCGGGATTTTAACGGCGCTATGTTTTGCAAAAGAAAAGCCTAGCAATTGTCGAGATATTGGTGCTGAAGAAGGATGGATGTCAGGAGTCATATGGAAGCTCTCCTCTTCTATTCTCGGACCTTGAATCTTTCATACTGGTATCTAATCCATAAATTCCATAAAGACAGGGCCCTCTTGATTTATCCGCGCTCCCATTGGTCCAGTGTGCGTGCTCCCGGTCCCAGCGGTGCGTGCCCGGAAGACCCACACCCCATCAAATTCGCGAAATTCGCGACCGCCGACCGCAGCGACCCTGCCAGGCACAGTCATAGACTATTCATGATTTATTCGGACAAGAATTGCTATATAATGCAGTTAGAGAATCATCCATACTCCGGTCGCACGGTTGTACTAGACCTAAGCTTCACCACACTGAATGACCACATTTAGAGTATAGATGTTGGAAGTCAAAACGGTTCAACACCTGGCTTCCAAGGCTGCGATCAATATCACCTGATCAATCGGCCATATCTCTAATTTCGGCCGAAATAATGCTGTCAGATGAGTGCATGTTCGTCCAAGGGGCATTCCGCAGATGAATGAGATATATAAGAATTACCCCGCTTTACTCCGCTTGTTGGTTTACTGCTTACGTTACTTCTGTTTGCTGTGTTTACATCTTTATTCGTGTATTTAAGACTGTTCCTGATCATAGCTAGAGGATCAGGCGAATTCTAGGTGAATCTTACCCGCAGACTCGACCCCTCGAGGCAAAGCCCGTCCTCGAGCGAATAGTCTGTGATTCGTCTTAACCCACAGTATCCTCGGTCTAGCACATGACTCAGCACTGTAATAGACCCGGGATGCCGACATTTAATAATACCTTATTACTAACTATAAGGAACATCTTTAGGCGGCGATCAAATACTCGGGCCTAATCATTAATACTGTCAGACCAGTATCAGGCTTCTCAATAAGGAGCCACTATAGTGGCGCGTATAAAAACACCACTTGTGAAGGGCTGAAGCAAGACTTAAATTCAATCTAACTAGGCCACAAACTGTGTACAAAAGGCTTGAAGAAGAGAATCTTCCCGCGCGCGTTCGCTATGTCAATATGCCAAGGTTTCGTGGCACACGTGACCAATATCAGGCATTGGCCCGTGACAGTTTATTGAAGCTTAGGGAAGTGTAAGAATAGGGGTGGCCAGCGGTGAGTAAATACCCTCGGGGATCTGATAGATCACATCGTATAGGCTTGGCCTGGACAATAGGTCGGGCCCTGACCCGTTACAGCGCGGGTTCTTTATCTTTATCTGACTGGGTGGGTGATCTGTCCCGATATTATCTATCCTTCATAAGATGTATGCCTGAACGACTGTCGTGAATACAATTATTATATATTAATGAGATCCGACTACTCGAAACTCTCAAATACATAATCCCAAAACTTTGAACCCTCCTCAACACAATCATCATACTCTACCATCCTCTCCCTTAGCTTGTATAGAATAGACTTGCGCACTTCCTCTGTTTCATTTTCCTCACTCAACCCATCTGTCACCATATCCAGCCACTCCGCAACCTCTGCCAGCATCCCTAACAGCACTGCAAAACTCTTCAGGGAACCTGCGATCATCCCCTGGTACCCATCTGCATGGTCCCAACCGCTAGGATCATAGAGAGACACGATCCCATCCTCTCCACCTACCATCATCATCCACTCATTAACTTTTCCGAAATGGAAGCAGAGGTTTGTGGGAGGAGAGTCATCATCAGGATAGCGCTCGCCATATAGCTCGTCGGCGTCATAGGGCTCTAGCGGAACCGCGTCTTTCGTTAAATGCGTGGAGTCAAAACTAACCCGTCGGAGCCTAACGGCAGGAAAGCCCACGGCAGTCAAAAAGGTCCTTGTCCCTGAATCTGTGAGGGCTGGTGGTATGTCAGATTCCTCAGGATGCCACAGAGAACCAGTACCAAAGCGACCCTCCAGCCAGACTGTGTCTGAGCTTGGGGCCTGGAGCATATTATCGAGCATATTATCCTGGTTGGGTCAGCCATTATTTGCTTGAAAAGCTGGTTCATTTGATGGATAGTTACTATGATTGAAACGAAGATTTTCAACCGATTCTGTGGACGGTCGAAGATGCAGGATAGTAATTTGCATGATTGGGCAAGGTGAAGGGCGTCGGGAATATTGTTGAGGCTTTGGTAAATCCAGAGAAGAATCTCATGAGAAAGGCTCAAGAGAGAAGACATTTTTTATTTTATTTCGCAAGGCAATAGAATGAATTCACCAAGAAAAATGTTAAGCGAAATTTGCCATTATCGAGATCATCAGTTCAAATCTTCAGGGGCTACAGTGCCAAGAAAACTTTAATATTAGTCACCGCTGTAACGGGCCAGGTCGATAAACGCCAAAGTCCGTAGCAATCTTCGTGGCTGAATTGCATAACTTGGAAGCGTACATAAGAGCTGAGCGAGCCTCAGGTGAGAGTTTTGTCCCTCGCCCACGGTTTCCACTGATTTCATTGCCTAAACCACCATTTTGTGTATATAGGAGAAAGTTGAAGAGGGAGGTTTGGGGGTGGACAGAAAAAACGCCGTAAGGTCACTAGTGTGTGCCTAAAATTCTAGCACGTGTCGGTCGTACCCTGGCCAAGTCATGCGACTGCGCCTAGATGCTGCCCCCTGTTTTTGATATGTAAGGCAGCTTCCCAGTTCAGCCTCGTATTTCGGGCTGTGTGGCCGAGTGCGTAAATCCCTGGAGATTAGAAACCTGTTAATCTAGCAGGTGTTCGCAATAGCTTGTATCGAGGACAACTCTATTAGTTAATGAGATGAATGATCAAATGAGTGTCTATCCCGCGGTCTTATTAAATTGTGCTCGAGGAGTTCTACTATCTTATAAGTTATACTATATTCCTTCTGATATGCCCCCGATTTATTATAAAAATCTGTCGATATGAGAAATAACGGTATTAACGAAGGATGTTGCCCGTAGTGTATTTTTAGCCTAGCGGTTATTTTGTCCTATTTCTGAGCGACAAAATCCTAGGGTAATACAGGTAGGGGCTAGATAACCACGCCATTTGTTATGATATTTCTGGCATGAGCCTATTTCTATAGCGGTGCCTCAGGCTATGAGGTAGCCTGAGGATCCTGGCAGAATGGCAGCCCTTCCGTGGTCAATCATTAACATTTCGATAGTGATGCGGAGAGGGGGCTCTACAGGGGGGAACCTGAACCCTAATCCATAATGCCTTAAAAAAGACAGGGCCCTCTTGATTTATCCGCGCTCCCATTGGTCCAGTGTGCGTGCTCCCGGTCCCGGCGGTGCGTGTCCGGAAGACCCACACCCCATCAAATTCGCGAAATCCGCAACCGCCGACCGCAGCGCTCCTAGGGATCCCTGCCGGTGGTGATCACGATTCATCCGACGAGATATGCCATATTGTATGTAGCGAAAAGATCATCCTTACCCCTGTCGCACGATCGTACTGGACCCACGCTTCACCACACCGGATGACCACACGTGGAGTATAGATGTGTTTCCCTGTCGTCTAGATATATATTGAAGAGGGTAACGCTCGATGGCAGCATGCGCTGAGACGTGCGGGTCGATTCAGCAGAAAAACCATCACAAAACACACGGGTAGCAATCAGGAAATAGCGAGAATCCCAAATGTAGGGTCAGGTCGGGGAGGTGTAAGAAGGTGTATTCTAGAACTAGCTATCCGGCCACTGTATACTGCCGGCTATGTCACATAGTCTGGATGGCACCCATGTAGTAGGGGGGAGGGTCTCCCACTACCTACGGTAGTGTCGATAAATTCTCTATTACTGTGCTCGTTATGAGTAATCACGTTTGTCATCAGTTCATAGACAAATATCGACAGATTCAACCGTACCTATTTGAGGATGATCATTTGTAACTGAGAGTGAGATGTACAGGATGATCGTGAACGGGTGAGAAGCAGGTGGTATTGGCTATCTGCTGCTATCTTCTGCTATCTGAGAGAGAGAGAAGAGGAAGGAAGAGAGAGCGTGGGAAGTGAGAGAAGAGGTACAGAGTCAGGTGACTGTGGTGACTAAGTGAGTACCTGATGTATGTACGCTCACATACGAACTACTGCGTAGTACTGTACCTCTCTGCCGCCTAACAAGTGATCTTGTTCGCATCTCCTACCAAGGCATCTGTAACCTATTGCCAAATCGAGTCCATAGACGCGTCGTCGTGCGTGACTATGGCAAACCGATTTACAAGGCAAGCACTCGCCAGGCACTGTGTGATGCGGCAAGCGTGTGAGGGGTGCATTACGGGGCATTAGTCTTTGCAACAAGCGGGGATCCTTCACCGAGATATTTCAGTCAACAACCTCATGATCAACGAAGATGAGGAGAACCCGTCTCCGTCATTGATTGTGTTGTGATATGTCGTATCATAACGGAATCAATTCCTAACCTCACGGAATTACCAGCTTTGATTGGAATTCAATCTGGAGGTCGCATGTGTATATAAACCCTCAAGTTTTCTGTCCAGAAGGAATACAAGCAATCTTCCTCTGAATTACAACAGATTGGTCTTGATCTGGTCATGAGAGAGCAGCGAGACTGTGTTTTAGGAGCAGATGGAAAGACCGGCACGAGGGCCTTTATGGCAATTGGCGCGCTCATGGGTGAGAAGTATTCTTTCATGCATGATCTTGAATCATTCTTCTGGGTGATGTTTTGGATATGCATCCACTACCAGGGGCCAGGTAAGGGACGAGTCGTTGCAAGGTTTGACAAGTGGAACTTTGCGGATAGAGAGGAGTTACCTCATACTCCGTCAAGCCTGGACTCCTTGAGCCACACCGGCAGGCTCATGAGACGGTATTAGTGGGAGCTTTCCTGAAAAGCCTCCTTCAAGGACCGGGAGGTCTGGATGACAGAACTCCGCAGCTTTGGCTGGGATAAGAAACTCATGAGAACGGATGGATATTCGGCGTTGGAATTTCTTTCATCTGGTAGGGTTTGTTGTATTCTTGACGGTGTGAGTGTGTCAGTCTGTATAGCTCACACCATCTCGGAGGAATGGGATACGACATTGCATTGGGCCCATCCATTGTTCTAGGCGATACTGCTGCGCTTCAGGAGCTTGTCCTTGGAGAGATATACGTTAGTGGGCGAGCAAGACAATACGCTCAAGATAGAAGTTTCAAGCCATCCTCTCAGTCAGGTATCACTTTGCAGCCGTTCTCATGGGCTTATCTTGAAAGGTCATGACTCCCGGGGGCAAGTCTCATGTAGTTTACGTATTGTGAAAAAGCTAAACGTTAGAATGATAATACTGTTGCCTTTGTGAACTGCTCGAATATATTCCAGCTTGCTATGAATACGGCTCTGATCGAAAATAAGATGGCTGAGCTTCAAAGCTGGTCTTTATGTGGGTGTTCATACGCACCGACCCTCTGGGCCATAATTTGGGATGTCCCGGCACGTAGTGTTGCAGAGAAGACACCGCTCAACAGTACCAGGATCAAATCAAGACCACAGTCTATACACCAACGCAGACATAGTAGTCAACCCACAGGTTGCTACAAGACGCATCAATCTCCATATTCCACCGCCGGAAGCTGGAAAGGTCGGTTCCCACCGAACTCAGGATCGTGTAGCAGCTGTCTCCTTCCTGGACCTTATAGTAATCGGTTCAGGTGCTGATGATCCCGGGCATCTGCGGCTGCGGTCCGGTGGTTGCGCCGGGGACGTGCACGCAAACGTAGTAGTCGAGCCAGAAGTTGGAGCATTCTATATGTTGAAGGAGGGGAATGTTAGATCTCTGACTTGCTAACGGTGGTGGTATCTTTGGACGGGAAGAAGAGATGGGCTTACGCTCGTTGAGCTCGGTGTTCCACTCGAGGAATTGGGCTTTGCTAATGCCGTGGTCGGCGGCAATGGTGTCACATTGGTCGCCAGACGAGACCTTGTAGAAGCCGTCGCAGTTGTCGACGATGCCCGGCATGGCGGGCTCGTTGGTGGGCTCTGGCACGTTGGTGGTAGTCGTCGAAGTAGTCGTCGTAGTAGTCGTCGTAGTAGTCGGACGAGTAGTTGTCTTGCTTGTAGTGGTGGTGGTGGTGGGCTCGGGCTAACCAGTGACCGTACCGATCACGCAGTACCACTTGGTGGTGCCAATGTTTGGGCAGGCGAGGCCAGGGTTCAACGCCTTAAGATTATCTACCGTGAGACACCAACTTCTTGCAAAGCTCTCACACGTATCTCCAGTCGACGGATTGGTGGTGAAGCTGCAATCCACTGCGCGTCGAGACAAGGCCCGGGCCGAGGCGATTGCTGGGACGACACCAGCGAGGAGGAGCTGGGTAAAGTGCTTGGCGAATGGGACTTGGGAGAGCTTCTTGACTAGGATCTTGACTAGGATGCGTGCGAGGAGGAGGATTTCATCCGATATCTACACGGGTTATATAACTAGACCGGGAGTATAGGGCCCTGATGGGTAAACATCTCGGGTCGCCTTTGAGACAGCCCATGATCCTGGCGTGTTGTGGCGCCATTCATTCCCTGCTGAATCTGCTGCTTCGAGAATAGTTGAAGGCCTACTCCGGAGTCAAATGTCAGAGTGACCGATGGGCTCCATGTAGTACTACTGTTGAGTAGGCTAAAGCCCGACTACTCCGTGGATTGATGCCAAGGATACGCCCAACTAAAGAAGGCTGAAGCAACAGTGGCCGAATGTCTTGGTTCCTCAGCTCGCTTAAATCCTATGCCGGGGGCTCCGGACAGCAAGCAGCCAAGAGGCCATGGCAGGGTAGCGTTGCAACGCATCCTGCGTTCGTGACCTTGGCAGTGGTGTGGGCGCATATCGCGGACTGGACAGGGTCTGATTACTGCTGCTAGTAGGGCTCGGCATGTTAATAGACGAGCTTAGCGGCTGGGCGATCAAGGATGGTGATCTCCCGCAAGACTTGGTCTGGGGCGAGATGGGATATGCCCGACTGCACCTTAATCATACGCGGCATATAAGTGAACGCAGCTTTACCCCCCCCCCCCCCCCCCCCCCAGGGGCCACCAGAGCAGTCTGTCGGTCCTTCATACCGCTCGCCAGTGTCTCTCCACCCACCATGTCTTCCTCTCTGGCGCGCAGCTGGATGCTCGCCACCTGTCTCGGGGCGATGCTGGTGCACGCATCTGGCGTGCTTGAGATGGACCTCCTCTTCCCCCTCAACAAGACTTATGCGCCCACCGACTGGTTCCCCGTGGTGTTTGCCTTCAAGCATCCTAAGCTTGCGCCCCTGGTCGACCTAGACATCTCCGTCACTCTCCGCAATGCGGACAACATGAGCGACGTCGTTCACTGGCCAGCCGACATGACCGATATCGACTGGACCAACAAGACCAGCGATGACCCGTACTTCTTCTACACCTACTTCTCTGAATTCCGCACCCCTGGCCGCTGGCGGGTCGCCTGGAACGTCTACTGGAAGAGCTGCAATGAATTTGCCCTCTTTAACATCAGCATGCTCCCGCGCGCGGAGATGATCACGAACTCCACCGGCTGGTCGACCTGGTTCACGATCGGGGACGGAGGTGCGCCAGCCGATATTGTCGCGGACACGGGCGCGGGACTCCTGCCCCGATGAATTCGCCGCCCCCATCACCGTCACTGACCACACGATCCGAGTCCCCGCGGGCGAGGAGTGGTCCAATGGTGGTATGTGTGCGGTGGTGGATCCCTCGCCTACGCCCTCGCCCTCGCCCGATCCCTGTCGGATCGATATCAGCGAGAAAGTGGTCGAGAGCATGGAGGCCTCGTGGCAGGCCCCGTTGTGCGGGAGCTCGAGTCCACCCGACGACTGCCCTGCGAAGGAGAATGCAGCACAGGGACTGGCGGTTGTTGGATTGTCTTGTTTCCTGGCGGCGTTGGGGGGCTTGGGCTTTCTTCTTGCGCCGTTCTGAGCCGGTGCACACCTGTAACTTACTACTCATGTATATCTTCTTGGCGTTGGTCCCCCGATAGTTTTCTCCAATTCACTGGGCAGTTTCTTCGCGAGTCCCGGTGCAGATTTGTTGGAAGCAGCTAGTAGTAGTAGGAGTCGTAGTAGCAGTCGTAGTAGCAACCATTGGCCGATTTACGACTCGACCGCGAAACAATTTTTAACTTTTTTCAAACAAAATTTTGCATACGGGTAGTACTGTACACGGAGAGCTCAACCATCATTCCGAGTGGCCATATCGGGATAGCACCAAACTTAGCCCCCTCAAAGCTTTGAGCTTATCTCTGACATGATCCACAGTAGAGAGCTGTCTGTATCGCAGATGGCACGGGCTGCTGGTTGCAACAGGAGAACCATCCTGAGAATATCCTCCAATATAAAAATCTTCGGCAGCACCAAAGCCCCGCCTAATAAGGGCGGTTGACCACGAAGCGTCACTCCAGTTATGCTGGAAACTCTATGCGAGCACCTGATCGAGAAGTCTAACCTTTATCTCCATGAGATGACGATCTTTCTCTGGGACGAATTCGCTATCCAAGCAGCAACATCGAGTATCAGCCGCGCTCTTGCGTCTAAAGGCTGGTCAAAAAAGACCGTCCGAGTTAAGGTTCGAGAACGCAATCAAGACGTACGCGATGAATATTTTCACTTTATCTCCGATTTCCAGTCGTAAAATCTTGTCTATGTAGATGAGTCAGGCTGTGATAAACGAATAGGCTTTAGACGAAAGGGCTGGTCTCCGCTAGGTACTGCGCCAGTCCAAGTGTCCAAATTTTTCATCGTGACCAGCAATATCAGATATTACCTGCATATACTCAAGATGGTATTGTCCTTTGTCGGGTGTTCCGACGCTCGACTGATGCATCTGTCTTCGAGGATTTTATTGAGTAGCTTCTTCAGCACTGCGGGAGGTGGCCCCAGCCGAAGTCTGTGCTGGTCATGGACAACGCATCCTTCCACCATTCTGACAGGATAGAAAAGATGTGTTCCGAAGCCGGAGTAAAGCTAGTATATTTGCCTCCCTATTCGCCAGACTTGAATCCTATTGAGGAGTTCTTTGCTGAGCCTAAGGCCTTTATTCGGCGTAATTAGAAGTTTTTCGAAGAGAATCCCGAGCAAGGATTCGATAACTTACTCGAATGGTGTATTAATGTGGTTGGTGCGAGGAATAAAATCGCAGAGGGACATTTTCGGCATGTAGGTCTGACCGTAGAGAGGATTTATGGTAGCTAGTATAGTATGGATGGATGCATGTATGTATGACTACATTTACACTGACCCCTCGCATCGAGAGCGACATACAGGCCAGTAACTATGTATATCCATGTACGTACATGTACAATGTGCCATTTCCTAGAACGAACTTGGAGCCTCGCCAAGGCCTTTCGTAGCTATTACTATACAATGTGACATCTGAGCCTTCTTACGCTAACTAGCAATTCATAAATTTCCTTGGAATTTTTTTCTTCGGTACAGTAACCACCTGCTCTCGCAACAAAAAGAAGGTAAAAAAAATGCAGCATAACGATTTGATTAGAGAAGCGAAGTAGTTTTGACCTGCATTTTGTACAGTAATCAAGTTCGGCGGAAAGAGCCAAGCGAGCAACGCTGGATTCTATCACCGTCGAAATTGAGTGGATCAAGCCACTTCGCAAAAGCATCTTGTAAAGCAGGCCATTCCGAGTCAATAATTGAGAACCAAGCCGTATCGCGGTTGCTACCTTTCACAACCATATGCTGGCGGAAGACACCTTCAGCCGTGAACCCAAAACGAGCCGCAGCCCGCTTTGAGAGATCATTAAGGTCATTACATTTCCACTCAAGGCGACGGAAATGTAGATCCTCGAATACAGCACGTGCCGTCAGGTAAAATGCCTCTGTCGCGGCTGTTGTGCGCTGGAGAAGGGGGGAGAACACAATATATCCAATCTCCACCACACGGTTCTCCAAGTCAATACGCATAAGACTGAAGAATCCTACTGCTTTCCGCTGGGCCCGGTCTACTACTGCGTAGAATACCGAGCCTTTATTCTGTGTTAAGCTTCCGATGAACTCAGTGAAAGATTCCTTGTCTTGAAAAGGCCCGGCGGGAAGGTAGGTCCAGAGGCCATGATGTTCTGGTTGTCCTAAGTTGGCGTAAAGATCGTCGATATGCTTCGCATCAAGTGGTTCGACAAGCACATAACGGCCGGTGAACGTTATCAGAGGCGGTAGTGTGGCGTAAGCTTTATGGACGGGGAAGCCAACGTGGCCATGCATTTCGTCACGGGGAGTTGGAGGTCGTAGCTGTGTCGAAGCCAAATTGACGACTTAATAGTAGTGCAAGTGCATAGACTGACGATGTTGCAAAGATTTCGTGTTAGAGAGGACGGATATTACTATAGGCAACTAGTAGCGTCGGTCGAACGGGGAAGCAATAGTCTGTTTAGAGCTATTTGGCGTATAGAACAACAAAATAGAATCGCAGCAGGTCTGAATTAATATGGCCCCTTTGGTGCAATATATAGTTACTGTATGATTACGATGACTCATCGGTTATCTACAGGCGGTTTTGCCGAAATTTCCCCTGGCGGAGAAATAAAATAGATCAGCGCGTAATTTATCCTTCGCGAATGAAGCTGGAATAGTGTTAAGGTATAAATGAATTCTACTACTGGTGTACAGTAATGTAAAATCAGATTTAACCCTACACTACTTGTCAGTATGTCGGATACGTGTATCATCTAGTATCGAGGGACGGCCAATTGATGCATGAGATGGATTAACGAGAGTGTGTCTGTGTGTTCCGATCTGTTGAAAATGATCCAGGGGCTATAAACTGCGTATTACATCACAGTTCTTCCGAGAATGACCCGAATTACCATACAATTACTATTGCAATGTGGGTGGATGCTGAATAACCAAGAGCAGTGGAGAATCCACAGTATTTTACCTCTCTCAGAGTTGACACTACTCGATATTTATTCCCAAACCTAGCTCGAAACGAGATTGTGTATTTTTAGCCATTCCCCAATGATCCATGTTGGGCCGTACTGTAGCCATTGGTCAATATAAATGGCTCATCGTTTTGGTACTGTAATTCGCGTCCTCTCTAACGGGTAATTCATGGCCAGGACCAGAGCCACCCCAGGGTCGCAGGGATTTGGTCTCGTAGATAGAGGTTAAAGAAGATCTGCTTAATCAGAATCCACACTTGAAACTCCTCCAACATCTCTGGTTGAGCCAAAAGAAGGTAGGGAAGTTGGGGACTTTTTGAAGTTCATAATTTCGGCGACAGTGATCGATTTTCGGCGACAGCTAAACCTATTTTGGAATAGTGCCAAGTTAAACCTCTTTTGGTCATTAGTGTAACTTTCTTACTCTTTGATCAGAGATGCATTTTCTGACCTATCGAATCTTGTGTCCTCAATTAGTGCCGCGAACTTATTCATTGCAGCCCCTATTTCCATCCGCCCTGTTGACCATGCCTTGCAGGGGTGAATCCAGCGCTTCTCATCCCCACGTGCGATCGACCGCTGAGGAGCCAAGTTTAACATGACATTACTAGCCACAGGTCCTAATATTCGAAAGCGTGGCCGACCACGAAAATACCCATCCGTGGAGCAGAGGCGCGAGGCTCGCACGATTCAACGACGGCATCAGCGACGGCGACAGTCCGCCAGGGCTGCCGAGGCTGCCAACTATGCGTCTCAAATCGGTCCGTACTGTGCCAATCTCGCTCGCGTACCCGCCGAGCCTGTTGCTGGGCTTGTTCTTCCTACCACTCCCTCTTCTGCCCTTCCCCGAGAGGAACCCACGCTGCCTGGAGACATTCAGCCGCTCTCGCTTCCTCTGAGCCCCACACCAACTGCAGTCATTGAACCTGGAAGTGCCGCTCTCCCTCGATCTCTGTCCGCCGACCCGACCTTTATTTTGCCAGATAGCATACCTGTGAACGCAAATCCAGATCATCATCCGCTAGATCCCTCACGGACTAGCGAATCATCGCCCGCGGCACTGATCAGCGAGGATAACGAAGAATCTCCGATCCGATCCCCTAACCAGTCCGGCTGTGATCATACACGTATTCTGAGCGACACGAATGACGTGTGGCCTGATGTGGACGTGCCAGATCCTGACATCATCGTCGATTCGGATACCGAGCTAGAGAGTCCAACTCCAGACCAAGAAACGAAAAGTACCGGAGCGCTACTCGCGGAACAGCTCCTCCGGTCTCCCGAGTGCTGCATTGATTGCCATACGCGATATAAGCACGAGCGGAACCCAGTCGGATCACCGAGCCACGGTCTGAACGAGGTCTTCAGCTGGCCCTGTCCCGACGTCCTCAGCACTACCAGACTGGCCAGGTCTGGTGACCAATTGATCGAGGACTGGCCACCAGAACAGCGTGAAAAAGTCTTCTGCGGAACCGATGCGGGACAACCCAGCAGCGTGCCTGCTATCTGCTTGGCCCGGGGAGAACAGAAGTTAGGGCCAGCAGCCGTCCACTTCGATATTGACAGTGTCTTAGCTCATGTAACCAGTCCAGCTGTCTGTTCCCAAGGCCTCTACTGGTATCCTGTTCAGCGGCCGGTCTCGGACCTCCAGTCGGATCTTCACTTAGATCCACTCCCGGTTCAGTTCACAGATGGCCACGGTCACCTACATTGCGTCTCAGTACCGCTACATCGCGTTAAGCACTACACGTTTGCCCGGGTGTCGGGATTCGAGGATGCATCGATCTACGCCCTGTTCCCTAGACTCCATCAGCCCCAGCAGAAGTCTAGCCGACTACCAGATGATCAGTTTCGGGTCTGGATAGACGATATCCTCCTCCCAGCGGTCCATCAATACTACTCCGATGCCCGGCTACAGCATTTCCCTTCCAGTTTCAGTCATAGCAACTCAAACTCATGGGCGGCGTGGGCGGAGGGCCGATCGATCCAGACACAGTCCCGTCAACAGCTACTCAGCTACTTTCTGCCCCCCGAGCACCTAGATCATATCTGGCAGGCTGTTCATCAAATTATTCGAGCAAAGGGGCTAGACGAATTCCAGGGGGTTCGTCTTTTCCTGAGTGCTAAGAACCTGAAGCTCCGTACACAGTCCGCGACCTGGTCCGATATGCAACATCGGTTTCAACAGTTATGGAGCAGCACTGCCAACCAGAGTTATATTCACGAGGTCTTCTTTGATATTGGGAAGGAAACATGTCCTATTGCCCCCGATTCTGGCCAGCCCATTCGGGGGCAAACTCTGCTCTGGAAACAATGCTGTCTAGACAAGCTTCTCCGCTCCCCGCTAGTCCAGAACCCGGGGAAGACAATATTTTATCCTTTCTCGTTTCTCCGAGATACAGGGTCCTTGACGATCCAAACCCGGACTAGATCTCACCTCCGTAAGACCGGGCTCCTTTACAGCCAGTTCTACAACTCGGTCAAAGAGATCTTTGCGGCTGGAAATCAGTACCCCTTCAGTAATCCACTGTTAGAGGCTCTAGCCCTGGACCACGAGTCATATCAAACTTGGCAGCATATCGGGAAAGGTTTTCATGACCGAAACACCCTCCATCGCGCGTACATCCACAGCAAGTCCCGGTGTGCCACTGCAATCGATGCATCTATTGGAAAATCTTTTGGGACCCGGGAAGAGCATCGGGTGCGCGAAGACCTCCTGATCCAAATTAATCAGGAATTTCAGCGACGCCGCGCGACTCAACGGGTGGTTCAAAATCCATCAAGTCAACCATTCTATATCCATTCCACTGCGACCATCCTTAAATGGGTCCGGTGGAACATAAATCGGCTATGTGCGGGATTCGAGTTAACAAATAGTCTGCAGCGCCATTCTATGGTGTCCTGGGATCGCACCCAGGTAATGATCCTGTTCCTCCGCTGTCTCCGACGGGCATTTGGCGGAGGCGGGAACCGGTTAGAGCAAAGCCGGGCGTGTTGGCAAGACGTGAAAGAAGTTCCGGGGTCCAATGGCCAGATTCAGTATCGGGAGGGCATTGGACTGGGAACCACTATTCAACGCCACGGCTATGGCTGGTTCCTTAACAAGATCCACTGGGATACTATGGGTTTCCGCCCAGCCCATCGTCTCCACATGGACCTCCACACACCAGCGGTCATGGCCCAGTTTCGAGTCAATTACGAGCGCGTCCGCAAATACCAGAATGATTTTCTTCTACTCGAGGATTATTTTCTGTATATAATTCAGTATCAGCGAGACCATACCGCGTCTACTGCGCTGCTCTCCCTCCTCATTGACTTCTGTCTGCGCGCCTTTCGGAAAGATATTCTGACTGTCTTGCAGGCGGGCATACGCCCTGAATTTCAGAGCATTGCAGAGACTGGGCAGGTAGCGCTCAGCAAGCCCTCCCTACAACGGGTATTAAAAGATACACACTGGCCTCCTGCCATCCTGACTGGCAGTCGTTGTGGCATTAGGCGTGTTGATCATTTATTTGCTTGGCTATGGGGGCTGCATCCTGACGAGTATAGCCGCCTGCACTGGGCTCATAAACCATATCGTACACTGTACCGCCGCTGTGTGATCAAGATCCAAGAAATTTATGGTGAGGAAATAGCCACTTCCTGGCAAGCATGCCTGAAACATCGCTTTCTCAGCACGCATTGGATGCTGCCGTACCCAGACCAACAGACCTTGTTCAGCCGGGACAAGCACCAACGGTATCGCTGGTGGTCGAGCTGGAATGAAGAACTGATACGGAATTCGCTCCCGGCATGCGTATCTAGGTGCCCAATCATTCCCACTACGCAATATGGACATTTACCTCAACATGGCTGGATATCATTCGCCCAGGCAATGCCCTTGGATATCGAACTGCCGCCCATCCCAGGCAATATCGAAGCATTCCTCAAGATGGTTCCCTCCAAACTAGTAGATCTCGGGGCGATTCTCCCCGCCGTTGTCACTATGACCATGGGGCCTCAATCTGGCCACGACTATCAGTTGCGTCCAAGCTCCCTCCGGAACCCTATCACAAGCTCGTCTGGGAAGATGGAGGTCAATGGACCTTCTACTGTCCCCTGCCGGTGGGCTGATTTCCTTGGCCAACTTTATAGTAAACAGTCAGGAACTTGTCTGGCCCAACCTGAACCCCCCGCAGAGGTCAATTCTCCCAACAAACAACCGCACAACGGTGTTTCGAAGAATAACGACTGCACGTTAATTTCCTCTTTTTGGCCGCATTTTGATGGATCCAGTGTTTGTGACCACTGGCCAACGATTCCCCAATCTTGGTCTGCCCGACC